TAATACTCTATACGATGAATTGAATTTATAATTCGTCAAGAACGAATCAACGACTATTTCTTTTTAATTTTCATATAAAAAAAAGAAAGAAAAAGCAGCGACACCGTCGATTCTAAACCATGCATTCACATAAAGAGCATAAACGAAGCAAGATTACCTTTTTCTTTTTCTTTTTCTATTCTGTATTTTTATGGACATTACCTTTACCTTTACTTTTCTCTTTTTTCCAACTATTATTTAGAAGATCATTGCATGCCTTGTTGTGTGTGGTTCCTTTCCAGTCCGTCATGTCATTTCTTATCCCAGAAATGCAGCATTCCTATGACCCAAATTCTCAAGCTGTAGCAGCAGCCTGTTTCTATTTCTATTTCTGATTCTCTCCCATAGCGTATTTGGAAACTGTTTTCGCTTGCTCTTATTTTATTTTATTTCATTTATTTGTTTATTTACTACTTGATTTTTTGCGGAAAGCAAGTATTTCCTTAAAAAATGAAAATAATAATCTATTGTACAACTATCAATAAACAAAATAAAAAAAGGAAAAAAAAGAAAACAAATTGTCTAGTCAACTAGACACACCCTTTTCCAGGTCATTCAAAGGATACCGTTCATAATGGATCGCTGGAAGTAAATCTAGACAGAAAAGAAAAATATAAATAGCCCATAAAAATTCAACAACCCATTCAAATCTAGCTGACCGAGAATGGTCATGATAATGATACATACCTGCATAAGCAATGACGGAAGCAGTAGCAGCAAGACTGATCAAAGCCTTGAAATAAAAAGAAACAGCTACTAGATTACTTTGTTTATGATAACGATAGTATGCGAAAAGCCATTCAACCAAATTACTGTCAGCAGCAGCAAATGCCAAGACATAATAAGATGCCGTGAATTGCCAATTGAGGCGATGGTGATGTACCGTATCACGAATAGACAGAGCAATCAAACAACCTGCACAACCAGCGCTTGTCAATACAGAAAACCAACCAAAAATAGCCTCTAACTCGGAAGATGTAGGATATATGAATCCCCATTGCCCACATAGACGAATGGCAAGGAGAGAGAGCATATAGAAAACACCTGTAATAACAGTCATGGGAATGAAAAATCCTTTTGTATGCGCATGCGCACCCATATCAGTCAGAAAGACAGGTTTTGGTTGATCAGGAGCATGCCATTTGTGTTGAGTATTCCAAAGACCAAAAGAACAATCAAGCAAATTGCCCATGTTAGAAAGCAAATCAAAGGTATGGACACTAAAAGAAAAGCCCAATAGCGGGGACGACAGCGAATTCGAGAAACACTGCCAACCATTTCTTTTTTTTACTTTTTACTTTTTACTTTTTACTTTTCACTTTTGTCTTTTGTCTTTTTATATTTTTTTTCTTTTCCCTATGAGTGAGATTCAGATTCAGATTCAGCTTTCGCAACTGCTCGACTGGTTTTCAAACCAAAAGTATATAGTAATGTTTTTCCAATTTTCATGTTTATTTCTGGCAGCTTGATCTTTTATTTATGTTATTTTTTCTCTTTATGAATGACTCATAATCCGCCGATCCACTGGCCGCAGTGCGGTTTCCAATTGCGGCTTTCACAAAGTATCCGCAATGAAGAATAAAATAGTAAATATTGACGAAATTTCAGCCTCGATGGTACAGTCAGTATTTTTAAATCGTTGCATGTTGAAATGAATCGTATTGTCGTATTGTATTTGTAGATAATTTATGGAAAACCGTTATGTTTGGTGGCTTTGTACTTTTCTGTAGATTTGTTGACATTGAGAAAGAATCTTAAGAATGTATGCTTGAAAGCTCCTTTTGCTACCTTCATTTTGTCGAAAACCTTGCAAACCCTTCTCTTTCAAATTTAAAATGCCTACTATATTATCACTATTGCAAATACTGATACAAACCAGTGGGCCCTACTAGCAGGGTTACCGCATCAACATTGGCAAATCCTGGACCAGAGAATATATATAATCGTATATATATATATATGATTTATTAAATGAATTTATTTCCATCGTTAAGAGATAGACACCACAATTCCTTTTGTCTTTGCTAATGTGTAGCTTATTTTTACTTTGATGTGTTTTTGTGACAATTTATATGGTTGCTATTGATTTAAGTTAGTTACACAGTTACACAAAATAAACAAAATATTCTATTCTAGCTTGATTTTTCATTTCATTTTAATTTAATTTGATAATAATTTTTCTTTTGAAATGCATACTATGCAGACGTCTCCTCTCCTCTCGTCTCTGCTCTGCTCTGCTCTACTCTTATATAATATAAAACTAATTATATTACAAAGCTTTCGTCGTTAGAATATTTCAACAGAAGAATTGCTTTCAGTAAAATCATTCAAATGTAATGACATTTAAGCATCTCTAATTGTTTCGATAATAACGCTCAGAAACTAGAAATACAAGAATTAGCATAATATGAGGTTCCAAAAACTACCTTTGATGTTTACAATACGACGTACAATTGTCTCTTAATTAATAAAACACAAAACAACTATTTTATTCATACATTTATTCATTCATTAATTATTTTTCATAACCACAAACAATGTCAATTCAGAATTACTGGATCCATAGGTTCGTAAACTCGTCTCGTCATTAGAAAATATTGTGCGTTAAAAGTTTCCGATTCACTTCATAGTCTGTCTCTGCTGAATTAGAATCAGTGAATGGCAATTTGCTTTCTCGAGCGAGATTCTTCAATCTTTGGCAAGACAATGCTTAGAATACCGTGGTTAAATTGAGCTTCAATGCGGTCGGCGTCCACCCTGTTTGGAATGGTGATTGTTCGAGAGAAGGAACCAAAGCGACGTTCCGACCATCTTTGGTTTCCTTTGTCGCTTTCGCTCTTGCGTTCGTTTACAGATTCACCAGAAATCGTCAATTTTCCTTCATCGTAATGAACCTGTACGTCTTGCTTTTTGACACCAGGAAGTTCTACATCCACCTCGACGGTATCTTTGCCTTCATGAACATCAATGGCCGGTGACAAATCACCAACACGGTTCTGGCGTTGGACACGAGGAGAATAACTCAAAAAGTCAGAAAAGACGTCTTGGAAGGGGTGCAATTCAAAGAAGGGTTGGAGAGACATTGTTAATAGCGATTAGCAATAGCAGTTTTCAATTTCAGATAGCAGTTAAATAATTTAATACTGTTTGTAGATGTTGTCGATTGACTTTTACATGCTTCCAATTTATACCTACTCATCACGAGCAACTAAACGGCCTAGCACTTTCTAGATGCTGCCTTTTGGCCACCACTGGAATTCGTCGAATTTCCATGCCATTCCTTTTGTTCTTTTGTACAAATTCTGTCATTTATTCTTCTCAACTGGACATAGAAATGGCTTTTCTTTTCTTTGCTTCTTTTTCCTTGTACTCTTTTGTTTACTGCAGCTCTCCTCGTCATTCTAGTTACCTCTAGAAGAATCATCACACATTCCTCTTTTGTACGATACACACATCAAAGGATCAACAGAAGTACCGACATTAGTACCAATCCTCATCCTAACGGTAGTGCTGCTACAAATTCTAGTGATTTTACATGCACGAACAGATGTCTACGGCCACACCTAGGCGAAAACACCAGTTCCCGTCCGATCACTGCAGTTAAGCGTCTGAGGGTCTCGTTAGTACTATGGTTGGAGACAACATGGGAATCCGGGATGCTGTAGGCTTTTTACCGCTTCGTTTTTAAATTTTTTTCTTTTTTTTTTTTGTTTCTTTTGTGGCTCTTATTGTTGAAGCATATGGCTGGCATTTGGGTCGGCATGGTCCTTTGATGAAGGTAATAATAGCAGTGGAAGTTGGAAATGCAATGACTACTCTTAAATTCAAGAACTAAAGATCTTCCTAGACTTATGAAACGAATAACAAAGATCAGAAAATAGAGTTTCAAACGAATAAATAATAAGCAATTGAACGTAGCTATGCAGATACAATGACAATATCATCCAGTAATAAGCATTCTTACTTATCCAATGTTGAAGAGATCAAGTAAATAAGAAAACGGACGCCATTCAGGAGAATTCGTCATGCAAAATGCAATCTTAAAATAAATATACAGGGACGAAATAATCGAAACATAAACACAAACATAAGCATGAAGGGAATAACCAAAACGATTGGGCAATATAATAAATAATGCTTTACTCTACGTACAAATCAACTCCTACTACTTTCCACATTCCTAGACTGACCAGGTTCCCGGCGTAACCCTGGAGATTGCTCAGAATGTTCAGTAGACGGTTGCTCGAAAGTATTATCACTACTATTATTAAATTGACATTCAGGCTCTGACGACATGCTGTTTCATGGGATAGAATTATCATCATCCGTCAAGTCGTTTCTTTCTGACGGCATTCTGAAGCCTAGAGCACTAATAATCACAGAAAAAAGCGAAGAAAGAAATGAAGATATTCCAGAAAAAAGCGCACTAATTCCAAAAAAAGCGAGGAAAGAAATAAAGATATTCCAGAAAAAGCGAAGAAAGAAATGAAGATATTCCAGAAACAAGCATAGTGGTTCCAGAAAGGACTAGAGGAATCAGTGTAACGATAAAATCCACCAACACTAAAAGCATCCCATTAGTAAACAACTTTAAATTACAAATCCACCAATTCACTTACATGAACAAAAAAATAAGAACATGTAGAAAGTCGCGATGACAAGAACAACTGCTACTGTAATTTGAAACCATAACCATACAGATTCTTTCATTGATTCCTTTATAAAGGGGACAAGGTATTTGTAAGAAAAGATAAAGTTCAATATAATTGAACCATTAAGGCACCAACCAAGCCGAAGAGCTTCATTCTCTTGTCTCCGTTGTGCTTCCGGGATTCTCGCAATTTTTGCCGGCCAGAAAATTAACCACAGTATCTCCTTACAGACCCGTAAAGAATTCGAGGGACCATTTCCTTGCGCCATGCGACTAGAAGCTTCTTGATGTCGTCTTCTTGAGTATGATGGTGCTGGATCTGGATCGGACTGTAAACGTAAACTACCTTTCTCCATATTGTCAACATGAGAATACGGGATTTCGCTGTATTTAGGTAAGCAGTTCTCAGAACTTGTAGAAGAGCTCAAACAAGCAACTTTTGCTGGTTCGACAGTTTTTTGATGTCCTTCCTTTTCTTTTTGATCCATTTTTGTTGAAAATAACTGTGACTGAAAGAGTTTCTTAATTACCTTTGCTTGATCACTAAGTTACTGCGAAAATTATCGATTACAAAGTAAAAGGACCAAAAGCGTACAATTTCGAAAACAAAAAGATGCCATATCAATTTGGTTTATACATTAAAGTAGGAATGACAAAAAGAGTCTTGAAGCCCAGAAAATAAGCCCGCAATGGCAAAGACTAGAGCTTTGCAGAGGTGAAGCTGTCATCCAACCCATTTGAGATCTGGGTGATGCAGTTCGTTAAAGAGACTTATCGATAGCTAGTAAGCGCACGCTATTATATGTGTATATAATATGAATGAATGAATGAACTATCGGATATAGCTTTTGTTGGTTTCTATCGTATAAATAACATAAATTTAATAAAGACGAAAACAAAATTCACTTGTCCGTACAAATTTTGTTTACCATAGTTCGACGTCGCATCTACAAACTTTCCATGTGTTTACGGATTTGAAAATAAAACTACGAAAATGGAGAGTGTTGTAGCTTACTCAGAATCCGTTTCCCCACAGTCATAAAACCTTTTAAATCAAAAATACGCATTTTCAATTCCTTTTTCACATCATTCAAAGCAAACAGCATGGTTGTTTTGCCTAATATTCCTTTGTTTACTATTTGTAATAAACAGTGACTCTTTTGGATTATACTATTACGAGAAATCGCAACGAGGATGTGACCAGTCGGTGACATAATGTCGCAGCTTTTATGAAACGAGACATGCGAAAAGCCACTACCATGAGTTTTTAAACTTGTATCTTTGGTTTTAAAGAAAAGTTTCAGCTGAAAGATCTGTTTGGTTTTTGAAGCAAGGACCAATTCCTATTTTTGAAGACTCTGCAACAATTGGAACCAACTCTTAAGAACTTTTCTTGGTGATTCTAGTTGATTTCGTTTAGAGTATAACTGCAGGTGTTAGTTTGGGATTTAATGTGGCATTGCAAAAATGAAGAATAAATACACACCTGTTTCAGACTCTGAAGAGTCTTCGAAAACGCTCACTGATGAAAAGGCAGACACCCGTTCTTCAGAGGGTACTCCCCCTCCGTATTCAGGTAAGATTTATTGAAATGGAAAGGTAATGGTGTTTGTTCATAATTCCTGTTTGTTATTGAAAGTTTTGACGGAGAATCCCTTTGTTTATTTATATGTTGGGCTTAACCTTGTCGATAATTGTAAACAACAGGGCAAATACCTCCTTCCTTTCACAGAGAACAAAAACGTCAGCTACTAACACATTCATTAGCTTCAAACAAATTTATCGATTTAGAAATGGCTGACGGACACGTTCAGAATTCTGCCCAAGAATCTGTTGATAACACTAGGTCGGACCCTTCAGCGAACAAAGAATGTTGGAAAACCTTTGCCGCAGGCATAATGACTATTATAACGATTTTATATAATCTTGTTTTTCTAGCCATAATTTTTGGTTACAAGGTTTCTCCATATTCAAGAGCTTTTTATGGGCTTGCTGGCGTTTCTATTGGATCTATTTTTATTTTCCTATTAAGTAAGTTAAGAATATTTGTTCTCGAATAACTGACCTATTTTTAGCGATTCTTGTAACGTATCCAGAATGGTACAGGCAAGCTGGGTTCAATATGTGTGTTTCAGCATTATATGTGTGTTTTCTCAATGTCCCCGGTTTCGCCATGTATTATACTGCAAAGAAGATAATACAATTTGAAAAGATAAATAATCTTTTTCTCTACGTTGTTTGCTTTGTTGATTTTGTCTTGTTTCTTTTTATTTCGAGTATGCCATACAACCTGCGAAATATTCTAACTGTTCTAGTGAATCCAATTGCCCGTGAACGACTTAGATTATTAGTCATTGATATAGGCAACGGCGCAAATGCCATAGGTAACGGCGCAATTGGCATAGGAAACGGTGCAAATGCCATAGGAAATGGCATAGGAAATGCTGTGAATCATGTTTTTGGTATGTACACTACGTGAATGCTTCCTATCATAGAGCAATTATTAACCAAGTTAAAAGGAAGAAATCAAGGAGATGAAGTACCTCAGAACGAAGAAATCGAACTTCAACCTCTTGCTGAGCAAAGTGGTGAAGTTTGAATTTTAACGAACCTGGTTTACGTTTTCATAATTTGCATTTTCTTTGGAAGTATTCATGTCAATATTGCAGTCCATCAACTTTGCATTCGCACCATCCCCCAAAGTAAGCATTATCTTAATAAGACGGCTTAAGTTGCTTTTCTCATTCACTCTTCCATGAATCTTTTTAATTCGTTAAGCAATATCGTTGTTTATGCTTTGTGAATAGAATCGAACACCCTTTTTAATGATTATTTAATTACTCTAACGAAAATTCTGCCGTGATTAACTATAGCTTCAACACAGTGTCGTGTAATTGTATGTCTTTTATGAATATAGTCAAGGCCGGAATATGGCAATGTCATCATCATACAGAAGAGTCTTTTACTACAAAATGTAAGAACGTCCTTACTGGATCACAACTGAACTTGTAGTAATTGTACCGACGGGAACAAATGTTTACGGCTATACCTAGGCAAAAACAGCACACCAGTTCCCGATCAATCACTGCAGCAAGTGAAAACCGTCTGAAGGCTCGTTAGTGCTACGATTGGAGACAACATGGGAATCCGGGATGCTGTGGGCTTCCGCAGATTCTTTCTTTATTTTTGTTCTCCTTCATATCATTTCCAGAACATTAACTAGTCAAGTACAATAAAGAGAACTAACGCATAAAAACTAGCGTAGGATAGAGCCTTAAAAATAAAAATATAAAACCCAAAAGGGAAAAGGGAAAAGGAGAATCAAGAGGTAAAGAGCGCAAGACTGTTCTACGAATATGATAGAAATAAAGTAATCAAGAAAAATATTGTTCATTATAGTACTACTAATCTTTGAGGATTATTTATAGATTGTATAGCTCATCAACTAATACGTAGTGTTCCAATTCATTACAGCTTAGAAATTAATTAAGGACTAAGGACTAAGAATGGAATAGACAGACAAAGAAAAATTCGTCATTTAATAAACATAAAATAAAATAAAAAAAAAAAAACCTTCCATTCATAGAAAGCAAAATTCAAATTATACTTGTCAAATACCGAAGTGTACTATACTATAATGCGGCGCCGTGTCTTATTTATTGCACAAGGTTGTATATGGTTTTCAGTAGTCATTTCTTGATCCCTCTCCGTATACTGATTTCAAGTACCAAAGAGTTTTTGTCTTTTTATAAATAGAAATTTAGAAATTGATTTGATAAAAATTTTGGACAAGATGTCGTCTTTCTTGAAATTATTGTTTTCAAAGCAAGAAGCTACCAAGGAAGAGCCTGCTCGCGCAGGTGAAGAAAAGCAAATCAAAAGGAAAAGCAAGAAAAAACAAAAAAATGATCCTGGATGTACTCAAGAAAAATGGGACGCATTAGTGGAGAGCGGTGAAAATTTGTCCGTAAGTGATTGATCTAGGCATTAGGCTGTTTTAAAGAATGAACATTAACATAGGAGAAAGGGAGTAATTGAACCCTTTAAGGTCACGATGGAGGAATTGAAGAAGCACAATACAAAAGACGACTGCTGGATTGCTGTTCGAGGAAAAGTCTACAATGTTACTGCTTATGCTCCGTATCACCCAGATGGTGCAAAAAAGATTTTTAAACACTCTGGCATTGATGCTACAAAGCAGTATAGTGAGTTCAATTTGTGTGTTTGGTCGTAACGTACTTACCATTTTTATAGTGAAGGCCCATGCTGATGTGAATGAAGAAGAAATGCTTAGAACCTGTTACGTTGGTCCTCTGGTTGATCATTAATCTTGATGCATTTCAAGGATTACCTGAGTGTATTGCATGTTGACACGATATGTATATTTTTGGGAAGCGAACCTGAAAATAAACATATTAGATCAATTGCAAATGGCGTATTCAAAAAGTGTTATTGTAAATTCAGTGAAACCTACACTGAACAACAAGAGGAGCTACTTAGCGTTGTTTATATAAAATAGACATTTTTTCGATTCGCTTGAAAAAGAAATTCGTTTGATTCAATCGCTACATAAAGAAGTTGTAAGGAACACATGTAACAAATGGTTATTTAACGGATTGTTTTGTAGATTGTACATAAATTGATATTATCAAAATCAATGTTTATGACATTCATGTATTCAAACACTTTTACGAAAAAGTGCTGCTTGGGTATTACTTATATTATTGTAGATTAACTCTCAATATTAGATTTACTTTCTGTTCTCGAGTGAAAGATAACTGAGAACACTGTTGCAAACAAATCGACCTAACAAAGTTTGATTTGGATATTATGGTCATCAAGTTAGTTAGACTATTTATTTAGTCACAAAATTTTAGAGAAGCATTACATGTCGGAAGGATGCTTATGATTATACAGTGGAACATAAAATCTTCAAGATTCATGCGAAAATGTAATCCCTCAGTACCGTATCAAGAGTATCTTTTCTAAAATGGTTTTACTACTTTTTTTAGGTTTATCATAAAGTTTCACGTAAATATTTTAAAGTCGAATAAAATATTGATTAGCAACTTCATCGAAAATCGTTAAATACCTATTATTCCTGTTCCTGTAATCTAATGAACGCTCGCTTTTAAAAACAAATTCAAATCAAAGGAGCGGGGCGTCTTTCCTTTTCGGTTTCATGGTCAAACTGCAGCTCATCACCAAAATTTGGAAATGTGTTATACCCATAGTTGTATGGAGCATAAAATAAAGAACGGACATAAGGAGACAACTCCAAGCCTTCCTTTAATCTCTTAACTAAATCGGGATTTGACGTGAAATACCTGGAAAATGCGACCATAGTGCGGTTGTCACCATCTACATCAGCTTTCAAAGACTTAAATTCCGGTTTATCATAGGTATAATTGCCACCTTGCAAAACATTTCCTTTCCATAACTTTTTATAAAGTCATTGGAACCAGCTATATCAGCCAAGTTCACATCAACGTTATTATTTACCCTAGGTTCGACCACAGAAAGGTAAGCGAGCTGTTTACCCTTGTTTGCACGCTTTTGAAGCTCGTTAACTACATAACTAAATGTAGTAATTGGATGCACTGTATCTTTTTCCGCTTTCATTCCTTGGAATTTAGCCCATGGAGACAACCGGATTGCAACTTTTTCGGCGCCAATGGTATCACTTAAAAGGTCGACAATTTCCAGCAAGAGTCTTGCACGGTTCTCTATAGAACCACCATAGTTATCTGTTCTTTGATTAGCCGCGGGCTGTAGGAATTGATCAAGTAGGTATCCATGAGCACTGTGAAGTTCCACACAATCAAATCCGGCGTTCATGGCATTGATGGCTGCGTTCTTGTAATCGTCATAAATAATACTCTGAATTTCTTCCTCGGTCAATGCTCTAATGGGATTGCCAGCGGCTTCTGCTGCCTTCTTGGAATCTTCGCTTTCATACAAAGCAGAAGGGGATACCAAGTCCAAACCATGCTTTTTCAGTAGTTCTGGGGATCCAACTCTTCCTGCAAACCACAATTGGCAAGCCATGTAACTTCCTTTTGCATGTACTGCGTCTGTGATCTTTTTCCATGCTTGGACCTGTCTGTCGTTCCAAATGCCAGGAATATTGGGGTATAAGCCAGCACGAAGAGAGACCAAGGTGGCTTCTGAAATGAGCAAAGTACCAGGAGTCTGTGCTCGGTCTGAATAGTGTTGTAGCATCAAATCGCTTGGAGTATGATCATCTGTAGCACGGAGTCTTGTTGTGGGAGCAAAAGCGATTCTATGATTCAGTGTCATGTTACCAACCTGAATCTGGTTGAACAGATTTGTCTGATCCAAGTCAAAAGCCATCTTACAAGGAAAGGTCAAATCGGTGAGGTGTGCAAGTAGTACGAAAACAAGAAACAGTTAATTACCATTAGCAAAAAAAAAAAAAAAAAAGAAAAAAACAGAATGAAATAAAAAAGATCTACATGAAATTAGATATGTATAAACAAAGATTCACTAGCGGTAAACAAGATGGTGACAATGTGGTTTCATCTAATCCTATTCTGGTGCTCATATATAGCTGTCTACCGTATTTTGGATGAAAACAAGTTGCAATAAGGACGATCACGTCTCTATATATGCATATAGTACGTATGATTTGCGAGTAAAGAGATATACCTGTCAAACTTTTGGCTATATTCATTAGAGGAATTATTTTTCATAGCATAGGTTCGAACAACAGGAAGGAAAAATTTACTCGGTTGCCCATTAATTACTTTTATTACAGCACTGACGGAGATTTTTCCATTGTTCCAAAAGTTTCCAAAAACGACGACTCCTTTTCTGAGTCTAATGGCAAAATTGAGTCCTTCCACTGACACAAACATCTACTCCATATACATTGCCAATGACAACGTCACGGTTAATACAGCTGAATGTCGGGTTTGGGCAGGTTTGCAAACAAGTGTTAACTCGTGGGGCCAATTCAGTTGCTTGTGCAGGAGCTTTCATACTCCAAGAGACACAGCAACCGGAGTAGCAAGCAGCACGAGGCCCTCCTGAAATAGTCCAAGTACTTCTTGATAAATAACCGTACAATAAAGAGCAGGATTCTCTTGATGCAGTATGTTTAGTGTTGCAGGTATAAGTACCATCGTAACGCTTCCCAGTTTGTTGTTGGAGGAAGCATCCGATTCTGGAGAGACCAAACTTTCGAAGAAGTCTTGCAGTTTTTTATTCGAGCTAGACTGGCTAAGCTTTGTAAAGATTGTCGCATCGTTCTCGCAAAAACCAAGCAAATCTTTAGCGAAACTAGATTCATCATTCAACTGCATATACCCATTATAACCGCCGGCAGATGCAAAATGAGCTAGGTATATAAGATCTCCAACGAAACCCTTGTCATTAGCTTTAGATGCTAAATTCAATAGAGCCTCCACTTTTCCATAATTGTCTCCAGACATAAAATCCATGGTATAGTTGAACTGGCTCAAGTCATCCTTGTACAAGCTCTCGTAAACACCCGTATGGCTTATAATACCTTCGTCTCCATAAGTTTCGTCTGCAAGACCGTTCACAAGCGTATTCAAAGAACCTTCATAGTCGGTCTCATTGAGTTGGACTGCACAAACAAAGGTACACACCAGACTTACAAGCGCAAACAGAAACAACATGCTAACTTGTAGTACTTGAGTATTAAATATTAAGTTGTTAGTAACTGAGTACACAGTAAATACCAAGTCATTTGCAGCATATTTATACCAAAACTCGACCCTTATGAAACTTTTTTTTCCATCTCTGCTATCCTTTGTGACTTGCACAATCATATGACCTCATTTTGGTATTTTCCTTAGGATCCCCTTTCATTCTCAAGTAAGATGGGAGCTAGATGATGCCCCGCAAGCGGGGCATGCCGCCCGGAAGTACGGTCTTGTCCATTACCATCGATCTGGATGATTTTCTCCGTTAGTGATATTATAGAAACGAGGTTGTTATATGTGATATGTTACTTTGTTTGATTCAAGAAAACCATGGTGTTTGTTTTATATGCAGGTTTATGTTGAGAGGAATGGAGAAACGAAAGGATTGAGTAGTCGTTAGTCGTTTGAAAGAAATATTTTTGAAGAAAAATGTGGAACCAATGGATCATGATGCGTGGTCGTTGTATAGTGGTAAGACGAGAGAGAGAAGAGTGTGGACGATGGATATTTATGAGACCTGTGAAAGTGAATTACATGGAATGAAATGCCATTCCATTGATCTTTTCTTTATTAACAATACAGAAACGACATAAAGAATGTTGTAGTGGTGCTCTAATCATTCTTTCTGGTTGGATACATATCTACCACTATGAATGAATCACTTGGGTCTTGTCTTGTATTTGATTCAGTCATGGAATAAATACGTGAATCCATAAATCTCGGTCGGTAAATCAATAATTGAAGGTTACAACGAGGACATGAATCTTTTTTTAATTTTTATTTTCAAGTTTCCGTCGTTTGTATGCTGTTGTTAGTTTTCAACAAAAACGACAAGATGGAGAGGAGAGAAGAGAACGCTTGAAAATGAAAAAATAAAAATGTGAATATCAACAAACTACTCAAGACAAACGAACCGAACTGACTGCCATTATTTAAAATAATCGTTCCTATTAAGCAAAGTTGCTTATGTAAATTTGTTTTCCTTGGTTTCTTGATTGTTTGCTTTTAATTTTCAATTACACTTGGTGTCTGAACATTTATCGCATATTTTCTTTTTCTTGTAAACCATATTTGATTCATAGCAAATGAAGATTGGCAACCAAAAATAAATGATTGATCAGTTAGGTACGAATCGTACAATACAAATCAAGAATCGCACACGTTTTGTTTTCTCTCACCATGAAAAGTTGACAAATCTGGTAATCCGTAATACACTATCCTACGATATTCGTAAACTAAGAATGTGCTGAAATCAGTTTCTTTTCTTCCCATCATATAAAACCATACTAATGAAAATGTATCCATAGTTACATATGCGAAAACAGTATTAGTTTTCCTCAAACTGGGGGAGGATTCTGCTACAACGCTGGCGCAAAAAATTCCCCATAGTAAAACACATTTGAAAGGAGAAATACCCTTCAACAGCAAAGATTTCCGTACCGAATCCTACAATACACCATATACACCTAATGTTAGACATGCGTCTACAATAATTAAACAGAAACAAATTGGACTACATCAATGTATTTTTTAAACAACAAAAATAATCAAGTCTCATGAGAGTGTCGTTCTATGAAGCGTGCAAAGACCATGCTGCCAGTAAGTATTTATCACATGCACTACCTCTAATTTCCTTGCAATCGAATATCTCGAATCAAGATTTCTCTCAAGTCAATATACCATTTCGATGTACTATACCCTGAAGGCTTTCATACGAAACGGAAAAAATCGCGAATGAAAGCAAATTAATCAAAACAACTTGCATTCCACAAGCCTTTAAAATCAACTACCGCCGTACCCCTCCGAATGATTGTTAGTGATCCAGGTTCAGATGATCAATGTCAAAAATAGTTTTTCATGCAAGCGGCCATAGAAATTCTCATCCACTACAAAGTGGGATTTCATTTATTTCTCTAAAAAATTCTTTCTATATGTACATCTCTAATATCTGCGGTGTCATTCTTGTTTTGTATTGTACGAAAACATTCGGCCAGTTTTTTTGGCAATATGATGCGGCTCTAAATATACTTCAATAAAACTCAAGTCTTCTCTGACTCCTATTTGTGTATGATCTCGTCCTTCTCGTAGGCTTTTGACGTCTCCTATAAAACAATCTCACCTTTAAACCAGGTCTTCTCTGAAGTTCATGAATTAATCATTAGGTGTGCCTCCATACATCTGAAACACACTTCAAGTTTCAGAAATATTGTGGAATGTGTTAACTGTTTTATTTGGAAGAAAATGCCCTATAAAAGTCAGCCAGTTTACTTTTGAAGTGAATCAAGTTGATTTTGAAGAATCATCTCTGTTTCATTTATTCTTGAGGTTCTTTCAAGCGACATAAGAATTACGAGATTGTATATGAACTGTGAACGGATTTTCAGTTTAAATTGTGAATCTTAAAAGGGCTGAAACGCTTCTAGGAGAACATGAAAAGTAAAGAAAAACAAAGATTTAACCATAAACAGCTTTCTCTTAGATTTTTAATGAATTGTAATATTCGTTTACAAGCTAATTCCACTATTGAAGTCGAGATTCAGTGTGTCGTCGAAACAACAGTGAGAGCAGGAATAACCTTTGACGTCGTCAAGTATAGCCTCTATCCTCTTTTGATTTTTAGAAAAAGTGGATTTTTATTAGGTCTTGTATATTACGAATGGTAAAAGAACAAGTTAATCCATTTCTACAATGATTTCAATGAGACAATTAGAATCAAATGAACTGACTCCTAATAATACGATAGAACGGGAGTATGAATGAAAAAGAAAACAAAAAAGAACGAAGGAAAAAAGCCTACCGCACCCCGAATTCTCATGTTGTCTCCAACCATAGAACGAAACTAACGAGGCCGTCAAACGTTTTCACATGCTGCAGTGATCGGACGGGAACTGGTCTGGTGTTTTCGCCTAGGTGTGGCCGTAGACGTTTGTAGTCGTCTATAAAGCTACTTCTCTATAAAGGACTCGTCCAGTATTTTCTTATGTTTGATGCCTTTAAAATCCATCCCTGCTCAGCTGTGTTTTTTGACTGTTTTCCACGGAAGAATGGAAAATGCCTTCATATTATAAAAATAAGATTTGAATACAAACTGTCATTCTCTATTTTCTTGATTCACATTGTTGTCGTAAAAGCATCAAAATGAGTGTTAAAATGAGCGTTTGGGTTTACGGGTTGAAAATGTGGTTTATACAAATTGGGTTCTACTTGAAATATTTCATGGTGCGTTGATTTGACTCTCTAAATGAACGATAGTTTAATGACCTATGCTACATCTGATCTTTTTATCTGAAGATTTGTGTTTTCTATACTGAATGAAAATAATAACTGTCGAAACTCACATTTATTCTTGCCAATTCTAAAACATAATCAATTACGCGACTCGATGTTGAACTAAACAATAGCTCATTGCCATGCAATATTCGTTGCCAAAATCATGAAATAATCATTAAAAAGGATGTTCTATTTCAATTGCGAAGAAAATGAACGTTGCATAAACAACAGTGCTGTGAACTAATTAGAAAAGTCGTAAAAGAGTGAATTACTAAAGCAATCAAAGTCTTCTGGATTCATCAGATTCAAGCTTTTGTGACAGCAAACACAGGGATCTTGGTGGACTGCAATTGACATCGATGATCCCAAGGAAGGGTGGAAGGCGAAGTACAAAATGAAAGCAGGTTCGGTGAAACTCACACTCACACTCACACTCATACTCACACTCACACTCACACTCACACTCATACTCACACTCACACTCACATTCAAACTTCAGAGCTTTGCTCAGCAAGAGGTTGAAGTTCGGTTTCTTCGTTACGAGGTGAACCATTCCTTCTAATTCTGTTGTTCTGAAAGGTTAATGAATATTCCTAGTAAAGAATACTAAATGTACTTACTAGACGAGTCATATCGTGAAGATCTTCAACAAAGTCTGGGTTTCCTAAAGAAGTTAGAACGGTTCATAGAAAATAAAACCTTACGAACGAGAAGAACAAACAAGCATATGTTCAATACGGCCAGAACAACTAACACAGCTGTTGAATGTATATATTCGAAGCCTCCTGATAATTTCAAAGCACCACCCCCGACTCCATTCAAACTTATCAGTATAATTAGGGCTTTACATACAGCTGGTGTGAATTTCTTTATTGCTCTTCCAGATTTCTTAATGCACTTCTTTGTTGCTCTTCCAGCTTGCCTGTACCATTCCGGACAGATATAAAGAATTGCTAAAAATTAGCGAGCGGTCCTGAACAAGATATTGTAGACTTACCAAGGAGAGAAGTACAAATAGATCCAATAGAGCTGCCAGCAAGACCATAAAAAGTGTTCGAATACGGAGAAACGTTGTAACCAAAAATTATGACTAGAAAAACAATATTATATATAATAGTTATAATGGTCACTGTTCCTATGACAGGTGTTTTCCACCACTGTTTATTTGGCGAAGGGTCAGACCTAATATTATTTTCGGATAATTCTGCGGAATTTTGAGCGGATCCGTCAGCCATTTCTAAATTGATAAATTTGTTTGAAGCTAATGAATGTGTTAGTAGCTGACGTTTTTGTTCTCTGTGAAAGGAAGGAGGTATTTGCCCTGTTGTTTACAATTATCGACAAGGTTAAGCCCAACATATAAATAAACAAAGGGATTCTCCGTCAAAACTTTCAATAACAAACAGGAATTATGAACAAACACCATTACCTTTCTATTTCAATAAATCTTACCTGAATACGGAGGGGGAGTACCCTCTGAAGAACGAGTGTCTGACTTTTCATCAGTGAGCGTTTTCAAGGACTCTTCAGAGTCTGAAACAGGAGTGTATTTATTCTTCATGGTTACAATGCCACATTAAATCATAAACTAACAACTGCAGTTGCAATCTAATCAAAATCAACTAGAATCACCAAGAAAAGTTCTTAAGAGTTGGTTCCAATTGGTGCAGAGTCTTCAAAAATAGGAATTGGTTCTTGCTTCAAAAAGCAAACAATTCTTACGGAACAGCTCTCTTTAAAACCAAAGATACGAGTTTCATAAAATCTTGGTAGTGGCTTTTCGCATGTCTCGTTTCATAAAAGCTGCGATATTATGTCACCGACTGGTCACAACCCTCGTTGCGATTTCTCGTAATAGTATAATCCAAAAGAGTCGACGTTTATTACAAAAAGTAAACAAAGGAACAAATGAGCATTTGGCAAAACAACCGTGCTGTTTGCTTTGAATGATGTGAAAAAGGAATTGAAAATGCGTATTTTTGATTTAAAAGGTTTAATGACTGCGGCTGAATGATTTCTAGGAGAAAGCTACAACACTCCCATTTTCGTAGTTTTATTTTCAAATCTGTAAACACATGGAAAGTTTGTAGATGCGACGTCGAACTATGGTAAACAAAATTTGTACGGAGAAGTGCATTTTCTTTTCATCTTTATTAAATTTATGTTATTTATACGATAGAAACCAACAAAAGCTATATCCGATAGTTCATTCATTCATTCATATTATATACACATATAATAGCGTGCGCTTACTAGCTATCGATAAGTCTCTTTAACGAACTGCATCACCCAGATCTCAAATGGGTTGGATGACAGCTTCACCTCTGCAAAGCTCTAGTCTTTGCCATTGCGGGCTTATTTTCTGGGCTTCAAGACTCTTTTTGTCATTCCTACTTTAATGTATAAACCAAATTGATATGGCATCTTTTGTTTTCGAAATTGTACGCTTTTGGTCCTTTTACTTTGTAATCGATAATTTTCGCAGTAACTTAGTGATCAAGCAAAGGTAATTAAGAAACTCTTTCAGTCACAGTTATTTTCAACAAAAATGGATCAAAAAGAAAAGGAAGGACATCAAAAAACTGTCGAACCAGCAAAAGTTGCTTGTTTGAGCTCTTCTACAAGTTCTGAGAACTGCTTACCTAAATACAGCGAAATCCCGTATTCTCATGTTGACAATATGGAGAAAGGCTGTATATGTTTACAGTCCGATCCAGATCCAGCACCATCATACTCAAGAAGACGACATCAAGAAGCTTCTAGTCGCATGGCGCAAGGAAATGGTTCCTCGAATTCTTTACGGGTCTGTAAGGAAATACTGTGGTTAATTTTTTGGCCGGCAAAAATCGCAAGAATCCCGGAAGCACAGCGGAGACAAGAGAATGAAGCTCTTCGGCTTGGTTGGTGCCTTAATGGTTCAATTATATTGAACTTTATCTTTTCTTACAAATACCTTGTCCCCTTTATAAAGGAATCAATGAAAGAATCTGTATGGTTATGGTTTCAAATTACAGTAGCAGTTGTTCTTGTCATCGCGACTTTCTACATGTTCTTATTTTTTTGTTCATGTAAGTGAATTGGTGGATTTGTAATTTAAAGTTGTTTACTAATGGGATGCTTTTAGTGTTGGTGGATTTTATCGTTACACTGATTCCTCTAGTCCTTTCTGGAACCACTATGCTTGTTTCTGGAATATCTTCATTTCTTTCTTCGCTTTTTTTTGGAATTAGTGCGCTTTTTTCTGGAATATCTTCATTTCTTTCTTCGCTTTTTTCTGTAATTATTAGTGCTCTAGGCTTCAGAATGCCGTCAGAAAGAAACGACTTGACGGATGATAATTCTATCCCATGAAACAGCATGTCGTCAGAGCCTGAATGTCAATTTAATAATAGTAGTGATAATACTTTCGAGCAACCGTCTACTGAACATTCTGAGCAATCTCCAGGGTTACGCCGGGGACCTGGTCAGTCTAGGGATGTGGAAAGTAGTAGGAGTTGATTTGTACGTAGAGTAAAGCATTATTTATTATATTGCCCAATCGTTTTGGTTATTCCCTTCATGCTTATGTTTGTGTTTATGTTTCGATTATTTCGTCCCTGTATATTTATTTTAAGATTGCATTTTGCATGACGAATTCTCCTGAATGGCGTCCGTTTTCTTATTTACTTGATCTCTTCAACATTGGATAAGTAAGAATGCTTATTACTGGATGATATTGTCATTGTATCTGCATAGCTACGTTCAATTGCTTATTATTTATTCGTTTCATACTCTATTTTCTGATCTTTGTTGTTCGTTTCATTAGTCTAGGAAGATCTTTAGTTCTTTCCTTGAATTTAGTCATTGCATTTCCAACTTCCACTGCTATTATTACCTTCATCAAAGGACCATGCCGACCCAAATGCCAGCCATATGCTTCAACAATAAGAGCCACAAAAGAAATAAGCAAAAAAAAAGAAAAAGAATAAAAACGAAGCGGTAAAAAGCCTACAGCATCCCGGATTCCCATGTTGTCTCCAACCATAGTACTAACGAGACCCTCAGACGCTTAACTGCAGTGATCGGACGGGAACTGGTGTTTTCGCCTAGGTGTGGCCGTAGACATCTGTTCGTACATGTATAATTACTAGAATTTGTAACAGTACTACCGTTAGGATGAGGATTGGTACTAATGTCGGATTGTTAAGTACGAAAAGGCGGAAGATAGGATTTATATTATTTTCTGATAATCCAGATTACTGCCCAAGGATGAATATATGAGCGTATCTTTGGGTTACAAAAGTTGTTTTTCTGTAATTCGATGCACTTAACATTTTTCATGGTTCGTTAACTTGAACTCTAGAAAAATGATAATTTAGATTATTTAGACTATATTCGTCGAACCTTTCAAACTGAAAGTGATTGCTTTCTATTGTATAAAAATAATCGAGAAGAGTCTCAGTTAATACTCACTTTCGTTTTCGCAACTACATGACTGTATGAAGTTAAAGTTAATCAAGGCATAATTTTCATAAAAATAAGCTAACTAATCATAAAAAGTGGAGCCTACTCTATTCACAAAGAAAATGAATGATACGCTGACAAATTAAAAGATTCATGAAACACGAATGTAAAAAGAAAAAGAAAACAAAGTCTGTCCTATTAAGCTGACAAGATTTTGTTAGAAAAATGTCAATAAACTTGATTGACCGCAAATGGAATTAACACTTCCAAAGAAGATCCAAAATATGAAAACGTAGACCAGGTTCGCTAAATATCAAACTTCACCACTTTGCTCAGCAAGAGGCTGAAACTAGAATTTTTTTCATTTTGATTTGCTTCCTCTATATTTTTTTTGGGTCTAATTGTAACTCAGTTTTTACGAAAGAAAAATTTTACAGATGTATGTACCAAAAGTGCGATCCAAAGCATTTCCTATGCTGCTTGCTCCAAATAACATTTGCCCATTTTTTAGACAAATATTGAATACATCCCGATGGACCACGTGTATTTAGTTTCACTAGAATAGTTAGAATATTTCGCATGTTAGGTTTGCATACACGTCAAAAGAGGAAGGAAAGCTATGTTGATGACTAAAATATCCAAACAAAAAATAGCATATTGTGATATCCTGTAAAGGTATTTGTTAAGAGATACATTGGAAATAGCAAACATCAATGGGTAATAAATATAAAATAAAGATATACGCATTTTCCAGCACTCTTGCAGTCGATTTGAGCCATTCTTTATGCATTTAACTCATTGCTAACAATTAACAAATCTTTTAAAATAAATAAAAAACCGCTAACTTACAAACAAAAACAATGCAAAGTATGCTACACAGCCAGCAGAAAGTCCCAAAGGTATCGCATTCAAAAAAATCTTGGAAATGAAATATAACACAAGAAAAATAGCATAAAATATAGTGTACGAAAAACATAAACAACAAGGACATGGATATCTGCCACTTATTCATTGAACTCGACCTAGTACTATTTTGCGGAATTGTGAGCGGAACTGCCAGCCGCTTCTCAATTAATAAACTTCTTTAAAGAGGAAGGAATATAAGTTATAAGTTACTTCTTTTTTGTTTTCGAGAGGATAGAATTGGCTATGTTTGTTTACAAAGCGCCGTGGTCATAGCAAATCGAATTGACATTCCTTTTATATATCAGCAGATTTTACCTGAATACGGAAGAGGCATACCATCTACAAAATGCGTATTCAAATTTTCAACTTTTACGGTTTTTGAAGATTTTAAAAATCTGAAACAAGAATATATTAACAGTCAAAACGAAATCAATTAGAACCGCCAAGAAAAGTCCGTAGGATGTGATCCGAGATTTGACAACAAAAAGGAAATTAGAACTAGCTTCCAAAGAATAAAAAGTAGATTTTGAAGGAAAATTTCATTTAAAAAAAATTGCTTCTCTGAAAGCTGACGGTAGCGGCTTTTCGCATGTCTCAATTCATTAAGCTGCGACAATTATGTCATTAACTGGTCATATCTCTCGTTACGATTATTCAGCGCTACGTTTTCATTGCGATTTTTTTTATTATAATAATAAAGTGTCTTTCTTAAACGAAGTAAGCGGCCGAAACCGCGTGTCGAAGCTTCACTAAAATTAGTAAGGAAGATTGATGATAATCCTAACTAGTCTATGGAAGAGATATATAACACTCGTTCAAAGTTCAAATCTTCAGATTGGAATAAAACTGTTTATACAGTTTGCTTAATGGCTCAGAATCTTGGAACCTATTACTAGCCTTTCTAGCGGTATTAAACCATCCAATTCAAACAGAACTCATTGTAAATTACAGACTTATTTCCACTGAATACTTGTTTTCATAATTAGTGAGATTCCACATGCGTCAATACCCTAAACTTAAAAAGGCTTATAATGATTATTTTTGACTGGTCTCTTTTTGTTTCAGGTTTTTATGTTTTTTTTTTTATTTTTCTTGAGCAAGTACTACTGTATTCATTTGTAAACAAATACTCATCGTTGGCAAATAAATCTCACCTTGTATCTGAGGCTCTTCATCCAACCTATATACTGATTATCTAGATTTTTAGGGTAGAAAATCAAGGATCGATTCAATCTTCGAAATTCTATGTTGTGGTAGTTGGTAGGATGCATTGTACACAATTTGGTAAACATCATAACCAGAAAACGATCTTGCGTATATTTGATACAGTAATTGAATTGTATTATGAAATAGCTTGTGAAAAAGGAAAACATTCATTTTGTGACATTATAAAATTTCAAAGTCTAGAACTGAGATAAATTTAAATACCTTACATGAAACCTCAGAGCTTTATGTGGAAGATTTGAGTGGTCTAGCTAAATGAATTGCTTTTTTTAAAACTTTCGTAATGAATTAGTGCCGTGGAAACTAATTATTTATTTCCTAGTAGTCCTAGTACTATAAAAACCTCGAATTTTTGTACGATTCTTATTTAATTGTATATTTGTTTTTATTGAATGCTTATTCCCGTAATGAGATCTCGTCTGTGACAGCCTTAATTAGGCATATCGTTAGTTGTATTCAGAAGCAAAAAAATAACACACTTTAAGGTATTCTGTTGCGATATATAGTGCATCTCGCCAACTTCCGTTGTTTCGACTTACGGTATTCCAAAAAAGCTCTAAATATAAAGGTTGCTTCATTGAGATAAGCTGATTCATGTACTATCAATTTTGATAACGGTGAAAGAGATTAAAATTAGAGTCCGAAACAAAGAACTAAATTATACTATAGGGATTCCTACCCGAAGTCTTTTCAATAAACACTTAGTTGGTGAATTCATCATTATTCAAATCCCTTTTTTAAGTGAAGATTAAAGTAAACCAGTATTAGAAAAATTCAGTTTCTAAAATTTAAGATTAAAACATAAAACGTGCTCTCGAACGAGCCTGAAGTTACTGACAGTTGTATCCTCTTTTTAAAGTCATTGAACCGTAAGCTACGGAGATAATCTACAAGAAAACATATTAACGCCTTCATTTCCATCTTTGATTGCGTTTGACTAACATAGATACTCGTTTATTGTTCCCCTTATCCAAGTTTGCTTGAAGAAATATTTTTTCTATCTCTAATTTCCAGCTACCTTTTCTAGCATTTTACCTGATATTTTCTTTATAGATATTATAAACTCTATGTCTGGCGATATTAAAGATGATTCCGATGAAAACGTTGGATTTGAATTTTCGAGTTCAACCGATCACGCTTCCAATCCTAGATCCAATTTCACGAAATCAAAGTCAAACTCAGCAGAGGAATTAAAAAATGAAAAAATAGATTTTTTTGACTCTTCTTCTGACATAGAAAATGAATCAAAGAATTCTGCTAGTCAATGGACGAATTTCTTTGAGGTTGTTATTTGTGGTGTTGCTTTAATTTCTGACGGTTATTGCTCCAATTGTATTGGTACAGTCATGACAATTTTAAAAAAACTATATCCTAAAGAGACAACTAACAACAAATCGATGCAGGACATAGGTATGATTGCATATGTTGGAACAGTTGTCGGACAATTATCGTTTGGTTGGTATTCTGACTTTTTTGGCCGTAAAAATGGTATGATCACAGCTACTCTTCTTCTTATTATGTCTACTGCTCTCTGTGCTGGTGCCTACGGTTATCATGGTAGTATTAATGGAATGCTTTCAGCTTTAATTGTTTATAGGTTCTTCCTTGGTGTAGGCATTGGCGCCGAGTACCCTTGTGGATCGGTAGCAGCTTCAGAAAACTCTAGTCTAATGAATACCGGAAAGCGACATGGTTCTTTTATATTTGTAACTGGGTCAGCAATTGCATTGGGATATGTTCTGGGGGCTTTTATTCCCTATATTGTTGTTTGTATTTTTACCGATCACCATCTCCGGGCTGTTTGGCGTATATCGATAGGTTTGGGAGCTGTCATCCCTATTATTCTTTTAATAGTTCGTTTGCCGATGAAAGAAAACGGGGTTTTCTTGAAATCTAAAGTCCCTTATTCCAAAATTCCTTGGCTAATTGTATTCCGTCTTTATGGTGCACGTTTTCTAATCATTTGTGTCGTTTGGTTTACCTATGATCTATCTTCGAATGCGTTTGGATTATACTCGAGTACGATCGTGAGCAGGGTTCTCCCTTCAAATGCATCTATTGCAAAAAGCTTTGCATGGAATACTCTTATTAACTCGTTTTCCCTTCCTGGTTCTTGGTTGGGTTGTATATTCGCCGACATTATTGGACCCAAGTGGTGTTTAATTGCTGGCTTGATTTTGCAAGGTGTCATCGGCCTTTTTATGTCTGGATTTTATAATCAACTAACTCATCATATTGCTGGTTTTTGCGTTATTTATGGAATTTTTTTAACGCTAGGAGAATTTGGACCCGGAGCTAGCATTGGCTTAATGGCTGCAAAAACCTCTCCTACTCCCATTCGTGGTATTTATTACGGCCTTGCTGCTGCTGTTGGGAAATGCGGTGCTATTACGGGCGTATACGTTTTTGGGGGAAATAAAGTTCAAACATACTTTTATGCTGCTAGTGGAATCGCACTCTTTGTTGCTATTCTAGTTTTTTTCTTTCTTCCCCATCTTAGCCAAACCTGCGTGGAAGACGAAGATGAACGCTTTGTCCAAGCTTGTATTGAGGCTGGTTACGGAAATCCCTATGAACATAATAAAACCTACCTTGACAAAGCATGATGGTTTTCTCATGATCGACATATTTGATGAACAATTTATTGACTAATAGACATATCGCACAATGATTATTTATTTGCGTTTCCCTTATTATAGACTGAATTAATGCTAAAAGAGATTACAAAGCTTAATCTTATCGGTTCTTAACTTATACTATATTACAGGCTATTTCCTCTCACAAATATCTGTTTCAACCTAAACAGTTAGACAAGCAGATGTTTCCATGGCAGTTGTGCTTTAAATTTATTGAAAAAACGTTAAAAATGAAATCTCTTAATCTCTTAGCTTTTTTACAAAGATTGAACTAATAGGGAATACATTCTTGGATATAGCAGTCGATATTATATGATAATAATTCAAAAAATTGCTTAATCTAAGCTGTTAGACAATAGAAGTTACTAACTTACAAACTTTATATTCAGTTGGAAGTACCAGTCTTCAGCTTAAAAGATTTCAACTGATCTGAGTTAGAAAATTATCAGTTCTTCAGCAAATCGGTCCATTATACCCGAAAATACCTTATAGAAAAAAGTTTTAATATCTAAACGCTTATAAATTTTAAACTACTTTAAGCAATAGACTTAATTTATCAGTCAATTTAAAACATCGCAGTGACAATGAGAACAATGGAGTTGGATATTACGTTCACAAGAAACAACAAAAAACAGAGTGAAAAGAAGATAAATATACCAGCTGATAACCTTGTTGTAATGCAAGTAAACATTTATAAAACTACCTTCCAATATTCAGGTTAGAAGGTTTTCTGATCTAGCTAGACGAAGTAGTCTGTTTTGTTTATTCTGATGGACCGATCCCTTGAATGGTAAATCATTCAATTTTTTTTTCTTACAAAAAACTTTAGTTTGTAGTTATAAATGTATGTTTTACTGAATAATTAACTTGAAAAGAAGTCATATCTCGTCTATGATATTATCTTTAAAACCATAAGCTCACTATTCATTACACATCTCCTTCGAAAGAGAAATTTTATATAGCTTTTAAAGCAACTAAAGCTTTTACAACCTTGATTTTCTACGTCACCAAAGAATTTATTATTGCTTCACATCTACCTTGAAACACTTTGAAGGAGATTGTCTATTATAATACTGTTTAAATCCTACAATATAATGAAATTTCATTTCTAATTATTAATACAAACCCCTTCAATAGCAAATAAGGTCCTCCAAATTACTACTCATGTCGATTAATATGATAAAAGACGACAGCAAATAATTTGTTCCTTCCTTAGAGCATCTCACAGGCGGACTATACCATATTAAAAAAACAAACAATTCAGTGGAAAATTAGGTACCAGTTTAAAATAAACTGTACTTATAAGTGGATGCTTTGGTAGTATAGGGATGATAGTGATAGTTCCAGGAATTTGATTCATTAAAAACTTATTAGAATGTACTTAGCGAGATCAATTAAGTATTTTAATCCTTAAATTTTTAATTAATTATTTTATTTTCACAACAACTCACGAATTCTTTCACTAACTATTCTCGTTGCCTACTCTCAATTCTTTGTTCAATAACTTCTTTTTGATTGAATTTCGTTAATAAAGCATTATTGTTACGTAATAATAATATCAAATATTTAATAATAGTATAAGGTTATGACAACTGCCAAAAAATGGACAACTGCGGATCCATAAAAGATGATCAAACAAATGTAATGTTCCTATGCGAAGTTTTACGAACAAGAGTGTTTTTTATTCTTTCGAATAGATTCATACAAATAAAGGAAAAATTGGGCATTTATTATCGTATACCGATTAAGATGATTGCAAGTAGTACTACACGATAATTCACTTTTGATAAAATAAGGATGCCCTTGTATACCTTCAAATGGATTGCTACGATTTTCGTTGAACGATTATTTTCATGTAGTATTTCTATTCTCTTACCATGAACACGGTTCTTCAAAATATCAATAAAAAAACGATTGAACGTCTGTAAGAACAGTTTTTACCACTGCTTGCTTTGATTTTTTATTTATTGACGTCGCTGGATTTTATTCGAAATAATTAATATAATAGGTCCAGACTGAAGTTCTGCAAAAACACCGTTTTCGTTCAATCGATGTCTACAGTTTTTACTCTCTCGGTGGACTAAGAATGAATTCTTCTGACTGAGCGTAAATTTCGTCAAAGTTATCAGGATTTCTCATGTTTATGCGATAGCCTCCATCAATAGGCCAACCCTTAGTATCAGCAGTATAGCTGCCATCAGAGACAGACAACCTAGAAAGAAATTTGTTGATAGGAGGATATCTAATGTAGTTACTTAAATATAAATCAGCAATTTTCGGATCGGTGTCGACCGCGTCCCATGTAACTGTATGATCTTCACAAGTTGTCCATTCTTCAAACGGAGATGGAGTGTTGAATTGTATTGCCATAGAATAAGCAATAAAAGCAAAATACGTAAGTTTGGATAGCATCATCATTTTGAAAACTAAAGGTACTACTTATGAAAGTAGAGCTCAAGCAGGATTGTATGAATGGAAGACAAAATCTTTTTTCAGAATGAATGTATAGGTTATTGAGCAAAATGACAAGTAGTTTTAGACAGCTCCGTTTAACAAAGACTTGTTATTTACTTTACTTCTGAGAAAAGATGAAGCAAGAGACTGAGCAAGAAAAATAAATTGAATCAATTACTCACAAAACTGTTCTTGTCGGTGAATGAATAATAATTGGTATGAAATGGCTCTATTTATAAGATTAGTTGTTTACATAACTATGTAAACAAACATGTCACTCGTTAGTAAACAAACAAACAAAACACCAAATTGGAAATCATTGCCCCAAATGCAAAAATAACGTAAAACAAGGAAGGTTGTCGTTAAAAAGACTCCAAGTACAATTTAAAGGCTTGCGCATCTGAATGGCAAACCTGTGTTACCAATGCACATGAATTAATAAGTATACTCGCAAGATATGAAGAAAGTTTAGCAAATACTACATATATATTTGGTGTTTCATTTATATAGTCCTTCCATTCCATTCCATTCCAGAAAACAATGTACATAGATAATTACTCCTATAAACTGACTGTATAATTCGAAGCTGTCTGTTTATCGGTGTAATTCGTCAAAACGAATCAAATAACTCAACATTACATTCTTCATTGTCGTACATATTGAATTTCACTTTCACTTTCGTTTCTAGAATCAGCCTGTGTGTTACGCCAGCCTTGGATAGAGTACATAGTAAACTTAATGAGTCTTATTAACACTTCTTATATATTAAAAAGGTAAGCGAGTTCCTTAAACTAATTAATAGGTCCAAGTCCAACCTTGTTGTTATCGTAGTCAAGAGAAGTATAGATATTGGTGAAAAAAGCATCACCAAAATTAAATTGATACGTCCCATCAAGACTATTGTCCACATCCCAATTCGACCAGCAAACACCATTGTCTTCTGTTGCATAATCATTAACTGACCATTGGAACTTCTTTCCGTTGAGCACGAATGAAATATCAGGTCCATCGCAAGGCATACTACCATCTTCTGAAACGCCTAAGAAACGATTAAGAGCAGCACCAACTTGAGTATCCACCAAATTTATTGTAGCACCAGTGTCTAATAGAGCACTGTATGTATGGTCGCTTTCTAAAACGCAGTTTTCATTTCCATCTTTGTCTACAACACACATGCTACTCGCCGTTACACAAAATTTATGATCAGCGCAATTGTCATTGTCATACCAGATGACACCTCTGTTGCTGAGCTCAGACGGAGTTTCACCAAGTATTAAGGTGCTATCGTTGGGATTTTGGGCAAAATTAAAGGATACCGTTGCAGGCGTTATAAGACTTTTATTGAAAAGATCAACAAAAGAATTCAATCCATCCCACTGATCGCGTGCCATACCCAAAATCCCACTAGTGCCGTATACTTCGTAAGTATTGTACATGTTTGCCGTTGTAGCAGCACCAAATCTCTGATTAGGAATTTGAAGATCCCCAAAATGAAATGTGTCGGTATATACGTCCATTACAGTCTTGCCCGATACGTAGCTAATCCAAGCTGTTTCACCAGTGTTGTAGGCAGTAGATGATTGGGAAGGATCATATAGTTCTGGATTGTTGTTGCAAATATTGCCATTGCAACCTTCCATAGGAATCCACAGTACATCACTTCCTGTATCAAGAAGCAAATTGAACTTCTGTGGTGGTGTACCAAAACCAATCTCTATAGCATATCCTATACCGTACTGACGTCCACCCAATGGTTCTTGCAACTCGGAACGTTTGATTTTTGTGTCATTACTAGAACCTGGGTGTTCCACGTTGGAAGTTGCATTTGAATGTGGGGTTTTTACAACTCGTCTCAACGGAACAGAAACAGAAGCTGTTGCCTGGTCGGTAGCAGCCAAAAGAGAAACAAAGGCAGAAAAGAGGGTGAGAAGGCGCATCGAGGGAATACCTTTTTTCGATGATCGATGATCGATCAAGAAAAAGAAAAGAGAGATCTATATATAGCTGTTCATTTTGTCCAAATCAAGAATATCACTTCACTTTTGTTCATCTCTTCACGAGGTCAATTACGTATTTTATTTTTACTTCTTTGTCATTCAAATAGTAGCAACAGCTCCGTCTGTCACATGTTGTTGATGAAATGTTAAAATTTTCATTCCTGAAATTATTTCCTTTTTCGGCAAGGCAGATTATATCATTTCATTGAAGTACGAAAAAGCTCAGGACTAGTAACGTTTTAGTCATGCAGTTGGAGCATTCACTTCAAGTAGTTTCCAAGAGATAAAGCGGTTGTACCCTGAGAAAGAAAGAAAGAGAACTCATGTCAATGAGGAATATAAATGAAAGAGACAAGGGGTTAGCTACTAACGGATCTAATGTTTGTAAACCCATTGTCCGCTGTCCACTGTTCACTGTCGACTATTTGATCCTTGTTTGCAACGTTTACATCATGAAACGAAGAAGACAGACATTACGAATTTATTGTCAACTGAATATTTCGTTGCTTTGAATCGTGTTTTAGCTGAGCAGTGTTTTAAAACGCGGTGCAACAGATGGTTTGGTTAAGTACAAAACGGTTATAGAACATAGAGCGTATACATAGAGAAAAAAAAATTTAAATCTAAATAAAAACTGCATCAGCCGGGAGTCGAACCCGGAGCGAATGCTTGGAAGGCATCCATGTTACCGCTACACCACTGATGCGATATTATTTATTTGTTCTTAAACCCAATATAAAGAGCAAGATTTAAAAAGTACATACTGTATGCAAATAAAATTACTTTTATCTGCTTCTTACGGCACAGCAGTGCAAAACAATTTACTCTTCTTTTAACTCTTTGAGAGTAGTGAAGAAAAAATAAAAATTTGGGCTGTTCTGGGAATCGAACCCAGGACCACCATCACCCTAAGATGGTATCATACCACTAGACCAAACGGCCAACCTGAGGATTAGTCGATGTAAAACTAATTTATTAGTAGTATGATTTATTCAGGGTGAAAAAGAAACGTTTGTTTCTGAATATAGATAGTTTTTTAATCAGAAATCTTTAAATACGAATCTTTTTTTTATTTTTCACATAAACTCTACAGGGTATTTACGGTACTTCATAACTGACACCAAATTAGTGTTAAAACCTATGTATTCGCTTTATTTTAACCTTACTTCCATCCGAATTTCTTCTTTCACCTACTGTTGGATAATTCAGCGCAAATTGCTATAAAATTTTACGGTGACAAAAAGTGAATTAGTAAGCCAAGACCATGAGCTTTGCGTTATATAAAGGAAATTATCCATGTTAGCTGTATACAAACATTGGTGATTACTCTCTTTTTTTTTGTAAATAATGACTGTCGGATTGGAAAAAACAAATTTATTTAAACCAATTACTGTTGGTAAAAATACTATAAATCAACGGATAGCTTTTGCTCCTACAACAAGATTCCGTGCTACAGATGATCATACTCCAAGCGATTTAATGCTACAACACTATTCAGATCGAGCACAGACTCCCGGCACTTTGCTCATTTCAGAAGCCACATTCATTTCGCCTCGCTCTGGCTTATATCCCAATATTCCTGGTATCTGGAACGATAAGCATGTTCAAGGATGGAAGAAAATTACGGATGCAGTACATGCAAAAGGGAGTTACATGGCCTGTCAACTCTGGTTTTTGGGTAGAGTCGGATCCCCAGGACTTTTGAAAAAACACGGCTTGGATTTGGTTTCTGCATCTCCTCTCTATGATAGTGAAGATTCCAAAAAGGCAGCAGAAGCCGCTGACAATCCCATTAGAGCATTAACCGAGGAAGAAATTCATAGTATTATTTATGAGGATTACAAGAACGCAGCTATCAATGCCATGAATGCCGGATTTGATTATGTTGAAATACACAGTGCGCATGGATACATGCTTGACCAATTCTTACAACCTGTCAGCAACCAGAGAACAGACAACTATGGTGGTTCTATCGAAAAGCGTGCAAGGATGGTCTTGGAGATTGTCGACCTTTTAAGTGAAACTATTGGCGCCGAAAAAGTTGCAATCCGGTTGTCTCCATGGACTAAATTCCAAGGAATGAAAGGCGATGAAGATTCTGTACATCCTATCACGACTTTTAGTTATGTGGTGAATGAGCTTCAGAAGCGTGCAAACAATGGTAAACAACTTGCTTACCTTTCTGTGGTCGAACCTAGGATTACTGGTGGCAGGGACATCGTTGGCTTGATTGGGGATCTCGACATTTCTGACGTAGTTGGTTCCAACGATTTTGTCAAGTCTTTATGGAAGGGTGCTATTTTACAAACCGGTAACTATACTTATGACTATCCCGAATTCAGTTTATTGAAGTCTGATGTTAATGGCGACGACCGTACTATGATTGGGTTTTCAAGATTCTTTACTTCCAATCCGGATTTGGTTGAGAGATTAAAGGAAGGACACGAACTTACTCCTTATGTTCGTCATTTATTTTATGCCAATCATAACAATGGTTATAACACATTTTCTAATTATGGCAAGGAATTGCATTACGACTCCGAAGCTGAAGAAAAGAAACGCCCACTTTCTTTAGTCTAGCTTTCCGTTACACGCTTTAAGAGAAGACCGGTTAGAAAAGAACAGTGTGATTGTTTTTTATTATTATTTTTTCTCTTGGTGATTTTAACCATTTATTTATCTATTGTGGTTTAATAAATTTCGGTAATTGCGAAATGTGCTTGTATGGCATACAGGGTAGTTAGTCGATAGTTGTAGTCGATAAAAGCAACATCATTATTTTCCTTCCAAAGTAGTTTTGGCATGCTCAGAACATTCATCTAATTGTACATGTATCTAATGTGACTTTGTGTTATACCTTTCTACTGAAAATTTTACGAATATGTAACAGCGTTACCAGATTGTTTATACAAAGAAAAATCCATGACGTTTTTAACACTCCTATCTCGAACGGTAGAACGGTTATTCTTGCATATTAATTTAAGTTAAATCGAAAAGCGCAACTTCATGCTGGCAACTGGTGTTTGCTATAAAGACTATGAACATGGTTTACTACCAAGAGCTGACAATCTAATGAAACAGGTATCTAGTCGCTTATTATGGCTATTTAGTTGTGTTTCGTTATTTTAACGAATTCGTAACGCCATGACCCGAGTACAATATTACCAAAGTCTTGACACAGTCACAGATGGACTCTCACTCTTTATGGAATAAACAAATCACTGCAAAACTAGTGTGTAAATTTATAAACTGTAAGTAGAATTGCGTTGATTCTAATCTCCAGGGATCCGACTCACTAAAAATAGTGCGTGAACAATGCATATAGCAAGATCAGTCAAATCTTCCGATCTGGTCTGAAAATTTGGCAAGTAATTATCCTTATTTTATAATCATTTTTCCAAAGTATTTTCTATGTTCGCTTTCGATTATTTGTTCAACAATTTCTTTGTTCTGTTCATACATTAACGAGTCTTTATTGCTATATGATGATTGTATCGAGAAATCAGTAATATCCTATTCTGGTTACAACAGTGTAACCTTCTGAGTGTCATAACTGTAATTTGATGTTACAAGTAGCGCGATACGATAATACCATTGTACCATCAAGTAACTTATTAAAAAGGAAATATTCAATTTCTGCAATTTTTAATTGTAAAATTGTAAAATTGTAATTATTAATAATTTTATAATCATAGAATACTATATATACCTCTAGTTCTCAGTCTAAAACTCCAGATTGGAATATTTGACTAATCTAGCTATAAAGTACACTCTGCACAGGTTATTTAATAAATTAGATCCACCTAAACTAATTACTATACTTTAAATGGTACAAAAGCATCCAAAGTCAAGTACGGTTTTTCATAACTGATCCATACTTTTCCACTGATTTATATATTCTCTTAACGAAAAAGAGTCCATCCGTGACAATTGCAACATGCATAATATCATAATATAAAAGTATCGTTTATTACACAAAGTAAACAAAGTAACCTTTGGCAAAATAGTCATACTTTTCGCTTTAAATAACACATATATACGGACTTGTAAAAAATATATTTATATTAAAAGGCTCACTGACTTGGCTTGATGATTTAGAGGGCATCCTTGGAAACCCTTTATTGTTTTTGAAAGTTTAATCTTTCTTATGAAACTATATACTTTAATTATAAAAAAATGATATAAACCATCTTGCTAACAATCCTAACGAACAGAGTTCCTACACCAGTTGATTGCAAAAGAATATTTATGCAATCTGGGAGTATGATGCTATTTTGACTTACCGACAGATAAATACGACAAAGAGAAAAATTTTTTTCTCCTCGCAATTATTTTGATTACAACCATTTACTTCAGTACCTCTTTTTCCAGTCTTCTGGTCAAGGTGTCTTTCTTTTGGGGACAAGCAAATTGATTCAACCATTTCCATCCTGAACCAGCTGCTTCAGCCATTACTAGCTATAGAATTGAAACAAAAAGGTGTTTTAAAAAAAATTTTAAGAGAAGGATTACCTTGTTGCTGGTAAGTACACAATTGCTGATATGTCTTTCGCATTCTGGAACAACACTCTTCCGATGATGTTTGGAAAAGGAAAGCATGAATTCAAAAAGAAGCTTCCTCAATTGGATTTTTAATAGGGCATTCCTAAGACATATTCTTGGCATCAGCGTCTGCTGAGCGTCCTGCTGTTGCTGCCACTTTGAAGGAAAGATTACAGCTCTTCAACAATGAATGAATTAAATGTTACCTATTTTATCCGCTCGTTTGAATGATAATCAAATGTGTTTTATTTATTAATTTATTTTTTACTTTAGGCAAAAAGGAACGAACCACATAATATTTTAGGAAGAAATGATCGAATTTCTTACAATGCTTGAAAACAAGAAGCTTCGTTTTTGATTGTTGGATGCTATATCATTCATTGTCTTAAACTACTTACATAAAATATCTTTGATGCTGCTGCGACAAATGAAGCAACATCGTCAAAAATATCATTAGCAGAATAAATAAAAAGATTTACCTTAATTATAATTATCTTGACCAAAGGATTGTAGAATTTGTCAATTTTTAGACTCTTTTTCATTTACAGATAGGATTAAATTCTCAATTTATTAGTAGTCATACAAACAAAATAATTTATGCATTTCGTAAAAGAGTGACTGAATACGCTTCGTTCAAACCACAATGTCAACATTATACAAGCTTCGTAAAAGTTAACTTACTTCCATAAAACAGGTATGTCAAATCCCTATAGAAATTTAGGAGAATGCAGAAAATCGAAACTCAATATCAATAGGTAACTGTAATTAAGGGCAACACGAAGGCGCTCCTTTAATTTTGTCCTTTCATTAAGTCCGTATTGAATTCCATAACCATCAAGATAGCGAGTACATTGGGCTCTTGTTAGGCTATTGATATCTTCATCTGAATATTTTCGTGGTAAATCCAAACCCGGCTCTTGCCATTCAAATGGAACGACATCAACTGGTTTTCTCTGCGACCCTCATTTGTATATTGTACAGTCTACAATTTTGGTACTCCTATCTGTGCAACTTTATTTCTACTCCATCAAAACGTCGGTCCACCTCATCAAATCGTCTTTCCAATGACACAATTCCACCTTCTATAGACACTTGCTACTGTTTGACAGATGCAAGATTCTGTCTAACCGAAAGAAATCCAACGTTCGATCATTAAAAAAACTGATAAACCATTTTGGAGGTTGAATGCTATTAGGTTCCTCTTCACTTGTGTAGCGATTCGCAAGGCTTTCTATCGTATGTATTTTTTCAAGCCCACGCGACTTCATTTGAGACTTATCAGTAGCTTTCTGATTTCCTTCAGTTGAGAATTGATTACTTGACGTTGTAAAGCAATTCGCTCAAAGCCTTGCTCAAGCTCATACCTCCTATCATTATAATCTTTCTCATTGATTGCCCATCTATAATCTTTCGCATAACGATAATTCAGCACTGTTTTCCTTGTCTTTGGATTTTATCCATTGACCATCGATGTATAGTCCGACGGGTTGTCTGGCTGTGCTACCGTCTGGGAATGTTAAATTTTGGAACAGTTCTTCTGACATTGGAAATTCTTGATTGATACTACTACGAAAGGAAAGGAGATCACGGTGTTCAATGAACATGTATTTATAAATTAGAAAGCCTTTGGTTATTCATGATGTGATATTAGCAATGATAAATTCCCAATCTATTATTGATAGAAGTGTTGCCCTGAATGGCTAGAAATTCTCTTTTTGAAGTTGTACTCGAGGATGTCTCAGATAGCATTCATATATTGACAAAGACGGTATCTTTTGTCATGCTATATATTATGTAATGATAATACAAAAGATTAACTTTATTACATTTTGTAAACAAAGGAAACTATCAAAAGAAACAACATCGGTTAAAAGTATAGCTGAACCATATGAATATACGAGCTGTGTGGATTTGAATAATGTTGTAAACAAATTACGATACGTTGTCAGGGAAGGATTTTTTAAATGAAAGTGATGTATGGATGAAACTAAACTTTGATGATACTCATTCTCTTTCGTTCTTATAATGAATGCTCTTGCAATTTGTGAAGGACTTGTAGTAATTAGCATTTTAGAGTGGAATAATAGTTCATTAAAAGCATAAATATTTTGAAATTGATGATAAGAAGAGTACTTAATTTACAAAGAAAATGAACTTCATGATCATGTCTTCTCTCATGCCTCATTTTTTATAAAGCAACGACATTATTTTGGTGACTGGTCACATCCTCGTTACGGTTATGTAGCGTTTGTTCTCATTGCGAGTTTTTCTTCCTATTACTTTAAAGAGTTGGTTATTATAAAAAGTAAACAAATGATCTTTTAGTAAAAGAAAAAGTACTATCGAATAAAAACATATACATATGCTAATCATTAAGAGCAAAAATTTTCGAAATTAAAAGCTTTGATCGACTGGTTTGATTCTTGGCAAATCAAGTTCTGGACGTTGGGGGATTTATAGAATTACCTTCCTATCATTCATTTAATACACATACAATTGTTTCAATTACCAAAAACTATTTTATGATATAGAAACCTTGGTAGTGGCACTGTTTTTTGTTCCCCTACTTGAATATTATTATTTTCAATCTCGTGTAGGGTTAGCAAGCTTGGGACATAATACAGTAGCTATAAGACCGGCCAATATACGCAACAAAAATTATCTTACTGAAATTAGTTCTTTAAATCCTAAAAGCACGATATATTTTTCTATCTTCACAAAATGCCAAAATCATCATTAATTAGGTAGACTATAACTAACGTTTCACTGTTCCTCAATTGCTGATTGAGATTAAACTAAATTTAGTTTATTTTTATAACATACAATTAAATTAGAGAGACAGGGCGTTTCTTTTCCTCTGCTGCAGGCTCATAATGCAATTCCTCGCCGTAATTGGGGAAAGTGTTGTAACCATAGTTATGGGAGGCGTAGAACAAAGCACGAACATAAGGAGTCAGTTCAAGACCTTTCTTCAATCTTTCAACCAAATCTGGGTTGGATGTAAAGTATCTTGAAAAACCAATCATAGTACGGTCATCGTTATTGACATCAGCCTTCAATAACTTGAACTCGGGACTGTCATAGGTATAGTTACCACTTTGTACAATGGGACCTTTCCACAAAGCCTTGACAAAGTCATTGGAACCAACAATGTCAGAGGTATTGACATCTAAGTTTCCTTGAACTCTGGGTTCGACGAGAGAAAGATAAGCAAGCTGCTTACCGTCATCAGCACGCTTTTGAAGCTCATTCACAACATAACTAAAAGTGGTGACGGGGTGTACCACGTCTTTTTCAGCCTTCATTCCTTGAAACTTGGCCCAAGGGGATAATCTAATAGCAAGCTTATCAGCACCAATGGTCTCAATCAAAGATCAATGACTTCTAACACAGCTTTAGCACGTTTTTCGATGGAACCACCATAGCTGTCGGTTCTTTGGTTGGAAGAAGGCTGCAAGAATTGATCAAGCAAATATCCATGAGCACTGTGAACTTCAACAAAATCGAATCCAGCGTTCAAAGCATTAATGGCGGCATTCTTGTAATCTTCATAAATAATACTCTTAATCTCTTCTTCGGTCAATGCTCTTACAGGATTGCCTGCAGCTTCGGCAGCCTTTTTGGAATCTTCGCTTTCATACAAAGCAGAAGGGGATATCAAGTCCAAACCATGCTTTTTCAGTAGTTCTGGGGATCCAACTCGTCCTAAAAACCACAATTGGCATGACATCAAACTACCCTTAGCATGTACGGCATCAGTAATTTTCTTCCATCCTTGGACTTGCTTATCGTTCCAAATACCAGGAATATTAGGGTATAAACCAGCGCGAGGAGAAATGAATGTGGCTTCTGTAGTGAGCAAAGTACCAGGAACTTGTGCTCTATCAGAATAGTATTTTAACATCAAATCACTTGGAGTATGATCATCTGCAGCACGGAATCGCGTTGTTGGAGCATAAACGATTCTTTGATTTAGTGTATGGTTACCAATCTTAATTGGTTTGAAAAGATTTGTTTGTTCCAATCCGACCGTCATTTTTTACTAATGAATGTGAGATATTATCAAAGTAGATTTACCGTGATACTAATGACCGGCGTTGTTTTCTACTGCCTTGAATTTATATGTGTTTTCCAATGTCAATGGTGGAAAGAAATTGCGAATCTTCATTGTTGGCTGACTAATATTCTTAGTCATCATAAAGTAGTTGTAAGTTCGCACGAATTATTATAATTAAATAGAAGTTCTATTATTTCGATAGATATAAGGTTAAATTGAACGAATATACATATACTCGTATATCTTCCTGTTAAAGTTTCTTAGTATTTAGAACTCTTATCCAGTTTTGTTTGTCGATGCAATTGCAATGTGACATATGGAAAATTAGAATGAAAAAATAAAAATTAATATTTATATGTTTGAAAATTGGACGTATCAAGGTTCAGCTTAGGGTATCTAGGTAATGCCTTGTACACTCAAGTGCTTGCAAGCGTTCAGCGGCTTGTTCACTAGTCAGATCTCTTTGGGCTTCACCTAACATTTCAAATCCAACACAAAACTTTTTTACTGAAGCAGACCTCAATAGAGGAGGATAAAAGTGCATATGGAACCAAGAGTTATTGCATTCATCTTCGGTGCCGTGGAGAGGTGCTTGATGAATTCCCATGGAATAGGGAAAACTCGTGCAAAATAAATTATCGTATTTCGTAGTTAATTGCTTTAAAATAGAAGCCAAGTCTTGAACATGCTTTTCTTGGAAATCCATCAACGAATGCAAATGCTCTTTTGAAATCAACAAAGTTTCAAAAGGCCATAAAGCCCAATAGGGGACGAGTACAACGAAAGAATCATTTTCAAGGACAATTCTTTGTTTTTCTTCCATTTCAAGCTTGACATAGTCGCCGAGTAAGTGTGAACCGTAGGACTTGAAATACTTAGTCATATTCTTTATTTCTTCACCAACATTCGTTGGAATATAATCCAAGCCCCAGGCCTGGCCATGTGGATGAGGATTTGAGCAGCCCATAGCCGAACCTTTGTTTTCAAAAAATTCAATGTATCTATAGTGCATGCGTTCAGAAGACGCTGTTTTTAACTGAAAGCATAGTTGCTTCCAAGTTTCCACAACATGCATAATAGCATTTATTTCCATACGAGGAAGCGTCAAACTATGATTAGGGCTAAAGCAAATGACAAAACAGTCGCCCTTGACACCTTGAGTTTTCTGCAAACGGGACTTCAAGGAGAGTGTCTGCCCTTTTTCGTGGGATTGTTCTTCCACTAAATCAGGTTGTTCCCTTTTGACTGCTGGATAGTCATTGCGAAAGACGTGCGTCGCTGTGTAATTGGGGTTTTTGGTACCCATTGCTCGATCATTTCCCGGGCATAAATAACAGCTGGGGTCATAGTTTTGTACTTCATCCTTTACTATATCTTCTTGTTCACCTTGCCAAGGTCGTTTTCCACGATGGGGAGAACACAACACCCATGTATCATTCAGAGGGTTGTATCGGCGATGTGAATGATCTGTAAAGTCAAACTTCATACTTCTTTTTCAACCTTGTAAATTCAATTCATTTATTATAGAAAAAATTTACCAGAAAATATGGCATTCCTTGTTCTTGGTGGTTTTCCGGTATACATTACATAGTTCTGCTCCCCTTCTACTTACGAGTCGCATTGCGCCTTAGTTACTTCAAGCGGATGGAAGTAGCTTCCTATCAGTTGCTTGTATTCTTTGATTTACCATTTTTATTTTATAAGCGACTCGTTTAATAATCCTTGTCGCTTCTAGCGTATTACGATATTTACGCCCTTTATTTTAAGTCTTTTATGGCCGTGCCTTAGTGTCTCCTAATCCATTAGGATCTCAGGAATGAGTAGTTTTCATGCTTTTATAAACTATTACATATCTTGTATAATCTGCCTTGGAGGAGCAATACCGAATTCATTCGTATATAAATCCCCATCGTTCATGGACATTTTTTCGTCTTGAATACCTACACCTATACCTCATCCATCTTTCTTATGTACAAAAAGTAGTATAAAAAAATTAATTTTTTATGTACAGAATCGAATCACTTTAGGACAGATTATGAGTACTGGCAAGGTACTGCAGGCAGTGTTTATGTACAAAAATAACGAACTGAAAGGACATTGTTAAATTCTTTAAAGCAAAGGTGATCAGCTGAGCTTAAAATGTAAATAAGAAGTAAAAATGTGATTTACAAAAACAAACCAAATTGCAAGTGAAATTTCTTTTAATTGACGACTTGAAAAGACGTGAATAAAAATAGTAATAGAAAATCAAATAGTCAAACAAATTCTCTATTCGACCATTGATAATCCATGATTCAAGGTGACAATAGTACTGCATCTCATTTCATTTACTGATTCGTTCCATTGTCTGCATTTTCGAGCGTTTACCTGGGATACTGTGAATTTCTTAGATGATCGGGTTGGAGTATTCCATCACCCTTTGCTATAAAGATGTAAAATAAATAAGTTTATGCAATTATTGAGAAGGTTAGTTATTATGATGTAAAAACGAAAAGAAAAGTCTGACCCCTATAGAAGTTTACTTAAATGCAGAAAATCGAAAATCAAAACTCAATATTAGTAGTTAGTTGTAAATCCGATGCCGATACAAAGACGCTCCTTTGGTTTGATTATTCTATCAAGTCCATAGCGGATTCCGTAACCATCAAGGTAACGAGTACACCATACTTGGAAGTTTCTGCTACCTTACTTGAGTAAGCTGTGAGTTTGGTGTCAGATAGTCTCATATGACCGAGACTTCTCATTGCTCATAAGTACAAGTTTGGAAATGCTTTAGCCTGTGAAAGCGGTGCTATGAAATTAATATCCCTAATCGTAAAACTTCATCGATATTGACGAGTGCTACTCCTTGTGACCCGCTTATTTCCTGCATTTTCAAAAGGTTCATTGTTATCTGAAAACTCGTAACGGGATTCTTGGGGCGTAATAAAACCGACGTAATCAGAAAGCTTTTTTTTTGAAATACTCGTGGCTCATTCTCATCATAGTTACCGCCATATCCCTCTAGATATGTTTTCAATTGTTCTGGATTTAGACCATCAATGTCAGAAATAGTTATTAATTCAGGCAGCCCAGCAGGATGTTGCTGTCCGTTGACAAACGGAATTGGCTTTGTATCACTAGCCATAACTCTGTGTAAAATGTTTTCAGATCTCTGGGCTAAGGTTCTTGTTTTGTTAACTTTAGAATCAATTCGGCGGATGCTTGTGTGAATCTCACCGTTATTTGCCTGAACATTGATAGCATTAGACTCAAATTGTCCTTCTAGTCTTTCCAGTCGTCCTCCGAGGCTACCGACGTCTTTTCTAAGGCTACGAACGTCTTCTCTAAGGATATTAAACTTCGTCATTAAACTTTTCGTCAGTCATTTGAAACAATCTTCGAATTTCAGACATATTATCTTGTGAAAATGTCTCTCCTCCTCGAAGTTTAGATGTAAGTGCTTCATAAAGGCTCGCCAGTTTGCTTCTGAACGAATCAAATTGATATTGGGGAATCGTCTTTGCGAATTCATTTGTGAATTTTGAGAGCGCTGCATAAGAATCATCAGAGGGTGGAGGAATTCCAAATGGGTTCTCAAATAAATCCTGGTTCATTTATTAAAAGGGTCGAACGGCGAAAAGGAGGATTCAAAAATAAGTGAAAGAAGAATTAATAAATTGTAGCTACTTCCTTAGCTACATTCTGAAAGGCACTAAACGGACCGGGACATTTGTTTACAAGTTTATGTCGTTGATGTGAGTAGTCCAGCGTCGTCAAAACAACGTATAAATTTATTGCTTTTGGCGTCGTTAAGTGTTTACCGGTGTCTAACGCTCAATAAACATTACATCTCTCTTTATTCTTATGTTATTCAGTACATATATTTTCCTATCAAGAACCGAATATTACAAAAAAGTAAACAAACAGTCATAGTGCAAGAATGAACTGAAATACACAGAGTAAACAGGAGTACTAAAAAATAGCATACCGTCCACAGCATCCCAAATTCCCATGTTGTCTCCAACCATACTACTAAACTAACGAGATCCTCAGGTGCTTAGCTAAACTGCAGTGATATGACGGTTTTGAATTGCCAGACGTCGCGGAAAATAACTGGCTTCACGAACTTCATTTTCTAATCTTTTTTTTTTCTTTTTCTTTTCCGCTATATCAAAATCTCTAGCGAAACGTAGGATGGCTGCAGTTGGTTGTTGTGAAGGAGGAAGAGTATTGAACTTGTTAGCGCGCAGAAATTTCATTCACCAATTTTTTTTTTTATTGACTTTAAATAGATTATTATAGGTCCTCATCCTATTTGATTTATTAGATGTTTATAAGGTAGAGAATGAATTAATCTGCTCGAAAACGCAAACAAAACACCCACTAACTGTACATCATTTGTATATTGTTTCAACTGACAATTTAATATGAATCGTATTTACAATACATACTTAAGTATCTGAGATACTATAGCATAAATGTTTTATAAATTGGTAGTCTGAAACCATTCCCGGTTAATCACTTGTTGCGTCGCAATGAGTATAGAAATAATTTTTCACTTATAAGTATTCTTGCTTACTTCTAGTAAAAAATTACGTTTCTTTAATTAGCCATCAAGTCCTTATATTTAAGCTCATAGTAAAACACGATCTATCAAAAGAAAAGAAGAAAAAGAAAGACTAGTGATTACCAAATATACCGAAACTTGATTTGCTCTCGATCCGTTTTGTCAAAGAACTCTTCGTTTTTTTCGGTATAGTTTAATTCTGGATGACCTTTCAGAAATTTGTCCCTGCGGTGATTTTCATACATATAGTAAACTGCAAGCAGAATTAAAACACCTTCAAATAAGCAGGTTGCTATAAGCGATGCCTGAATTCCTTCAATATATTCAGGAACTTGGTTCGGTTTGAAGAGCTGTGGCGAGACTATGTTGCCAACAGAATAAAATAAAAACATAGTTGCATTTGCTGTTACTTTCTTTGAATATCCAGATATATTGGAACTCAACAGCGAAAGAGCCAATGCATTTCCTGAGGAGATAGGAGAGAAAAACCAAACACCCACCACTCGGGCCCATGGATTTGAATCGGGTATCTTCCAAATCATGAGGGCTCCTACGATTGTAAAGCTGCTAACAAACATACATAGAAAGATTCTTCCTTTCTTGAAAAAATGTGCAAATACTCCTGTAAATACCATACTACCAACGGCGACTGCGCCCGAAGGCAGTGTCAGTAATACAGCATTGATTCCGGAGTAACCCATCCCTTTGATAATTAAACCACTAAACACAGACATTGCATTTGTAACTTGGCACATTCCGTTATAAAAAACTAAAAGAATCACTTGAGGGTCCTTAAATGCTTCCAATGCTTGCGAAAACTTGAATCTTTTTGTTTCCATTCCTGTGCGATTCTTCCTTACTCGTTCAATGGCAATTCGCTTTTCCCTAGTATTCAGGAATTTTGCACGTACTGGGTTCTTTGGAAAAATTATGTAGACAAAAGACCATATATTTGAAACTGCACCTATAACTAGAAATGGGTATTTCCAGTTGGGCAAGCTTCCCTTGATATGACCAGTTCCATATCCCAAAAGCGCACCCACCATTATGGAGACCCCATTAAACGCATACCAGGCGACGGTTCGAATTGGTTGTTCCTCTCGCTTATACCACATGGAGGTAAGGGCCACAAATGCTGGATTCACACAACCTTCGAATATTCCCGACAGGAAACGTAACGCAAGTAGTCCGTGTTGGTTCGTACAAGTCGCCATCAACAATACGCATGCAGACCACAGAAAGGATGCAATAAACAAAAAGTAATGAATAGGATACCTTTGTAAAAGATATCCAGCTGGATATTGAGCAATCATGTATCCAAGATAAAACATGGTAGAGAGCCAGCTATAAGCGCTCCCACTCATATGAACCGCTTCTTTCATCCCATATACAGCTGCATACGAGATTGCCGTTTTATCAAGATATTGAATGCCATATGTAATACACATGACTGGTAGTACGAACATATCAATCTTTCGTCTAACTCTTGCATCTTCGGCTTTACTGTGTTCAAATTCATCATCATCCTGAACAATAGCCAAAGCTTCATCGATGCCCGCTTTATCAAGTTTTATACTTTTTTCTTGTTCATCATCAAAAGCAGAAAAGCCTTTTATCACGCTGACTTGGTCTTTCTCTTTTCCCGGATGAGATATTTCTGATGATGAAGGAGAATGTGTTTCGTTACTGACAAACGTCCAAGAACGGCCATCGTTTTTCCCTGTTTCAGAAAGGTGCTCACTTATGACTCCCATTTTTTGAATTCCCTTCTTTTTCCTGATTTCTAGAAAGAAGTGACCAAGCTTTATATTTGAAGAAACCTAGACAGATAACACTCCCAACTCCGCACTTACATTCATTCTTAACACCCATCTTGTTAATTTCTAACCTTTTATCAGCGATTCAAAATATGGGAACCGATTAAAGTACTATTAGCTATTTCTTCCAACATATTGTGTGCTGTTGAAGCAACATCTTCTTTACGAGAAGATCAAGTATAGTTACTGCAGATCCGTAGATTTAACGAAAAAAATACACATCGCTTAAAACAGAAGCGAGTTGGTATCAAAACGTCAATGTGAGCTTAAATTTTAACCGAATTGAAAGTGAAAAGCTGTAGTACATAGATTCACGAAAACATTATAAATGGAAAAACTAAGACTACGTTCATTTCAAAGATTTCTTTACATCTTTTTTAAGATATTGATGGGCTAAAAAATTCATGTAATTGTACCTACAAAAGAACATGGGCTTTCTTCCAATACCGAACGCATCTATGAGTTCATCGTTTTCTCGAATACTTTCGTCTTGGGTTTCTGATATTTCTAGCTTCATTTGAGCTTCATTATACTTTCTTTTATTGCTTTTATTATACACATAGATTACTTACCTACAAGACTTTTCTGAATTAGTTTATTATTGCTTTTGTTATATGATATTGCGTAGCGCATGGAACGGTAGGAAGAAAAAGGAATGCGTCAAGGTCAGCTTACTTTACGTAGATGAGTAATCAAAATCCTTTAGATTGTTCTCCCACGCCCGTCCTTATATTAAAATTCTTGGTATAAACACTTAAGAATCTACCACATTGATTCATAAACTCTTGTTGATTGCATATCGTTCGGTAGGTACCAAAATTAAAGAAAACGAAATATAAACTTCTTGCTATGACAGTATTTACGGTGTTTGGAGGTCATGGAAAAGTAGCCTTACTTTTCACAAAAGTTGCCAGAGAATCCAAACATGTAGTTTACAATGTGATCCGCAATGCTTCCCACAAAGAAGATGTAGAAGAATGGGGTGGCCGACCTAAAATACTTTCTCTAGAAGAAGCATCGACGGATGAGATTGCTGGACTTCTTAAAGAAACACAAACTGATACGGTCGTATTTTCTGCTGGTGCAGGTGGGAAAGGAGGCCCCGAAAGAACTAAAGCTGTGGACTATGAAGGTGCTGTCAAGGTATATGATGCTATGAAATTAGCTGGTCTGCGTCGTTTAATTATGGTGTCTGCAATTGACAATCGTGATATGAGTCAACCTCCTCCCATTCATTATACAACCGCCGACAGGAAGATGAGTGAAGAAATCCACAAAGCCCTTCCTACTTACTACCACTACAAATTCCTTGCCGACCAAGAATTGATTAGACGCACTGAAGACATTGATTGGACAATTTTGCGTCCTTCTTTCCTCACTGACCACCCAAGTTCTGGACTGATTGCTCTTGGTAACATATCCATTAAGCAGCCTATCTCTAGAGAAACAGTTGCCCGTGCTATCCTGGGTTTTGCTTCTAATGCTGAATCCCAACATCTAGTCATTGATATGACGGAAGGCGATGTGCCTATAACGACTGCCATCCTTGCCTTCCTTGGCCGCAGAGAGTCTTCTTACGATTATCCACTTTAAATTCTTTACGACTGTTTACCATTAACCATGATATAATATCTAATTATAAAAAAAAGTTTGGACTTTTATTTAACGTTTTTGTCTATGATTTTACGTATTTAGCCATCTTAGATCATACTATAAGATCCTTTAAGTTTGTAAAAAGCTTCTTGAAGAGAGATATACATATATAATTTGTTGGTTGACAAACGGCGCATGCATCAGCATCATGCATTTTATTTGGTATTACCGCTGCTTGACACCAATCTTGATTTTCATGATAAGGAATTAGAGAATTTCTAAGCATATTGTCTTTATTGCCGACTTCGCAAATAATATTTTTTAGTTAGCAGTCGTACAGTAAGCGATCATTAAAATTACCAATGCAAATAGAAATGTATTTCATAGTGTCACAGCCTTCCTTTTTTCTTTTTATTATTATTACAGATTCATTTCAGCGTTATCATTCATACATAGGATACGTTAACATTAATAACAAATACGAACTAAAGACAAAAGGCAGACCTTTTAACTTCAGATGTAATCTTTATGCCCTTTGTTTGCTTGCCATGTCATAAAGGGGATTCTTCGCCATAATTGAAACAATTTCAAAAATAAAATCAGCGGCAGCAAGAGCAGTGCTTTCTGCTTGATCATCATAAGGCGGAGATACTTCTACAATATCTGCACCTACTATATTCAGGTGCCCGTCTAAACCTCGAAGGATACTCTTCATTTCACGACTAGTCCACCCACCCGTTTCAGGCGTTCCTGTCCCTGGTGCCAAGCCAGGATCAAGCACGTCGATATCAATACTTAGATATACAAGATTATCACCGACTGTCTTCTTTATCCTTTCCACAATGCCCTTGACTCCAATTTCGTCTATTTCGCTGGCCTCGATGAGCATAAAGCCAACTCGTTTGTCTTCTTCGTAATCAAAATAATCAGTTCCACTTAACCGGGTACGAAGTCCTGCGTGAATAGAGCTACCATTGTTGATGAGGCCTTCCTGACTGGCAAGCCAAAACATGGTTCCATGAGTGAATTCTGATTGCTCGGACATCCAATGCGAATGGTACGTGGAAGGATTCCATGTATCGAGATGAGAATCAAAATGGATAACGCTGACATTCTGATATAGTTTCCCAAGAGCTCTTAGTGACGATAGAGCGATCGAATGGTCACCGCCAAGTGAAACCAAACGAGGATGAAACTTTCCATCCTTTGCCAAAGCTGAATTTCGCTTGTTTTGTGAATCTGCGGGAGTGGCTACTGAATGAGATAAAAGGTCAATATAGCCTTCTGTCATTTGCTTTAGAGCCAACTTGTTATCGAAGGGTGTAATAGGAATGTCACCACAATCAATGATTTTGGTGTTTGTTCGGTAGGGGTTGATATTTAAAGAAGGATTAAAGCTTCTAAGACTTGTTTGTCGAGAAGAAGCAGTGCGAATAGCTCGAGGACCAAACCTCGCACCTGGACGATAAGACACTGCAGTATCGAATGGTACACCGACGATGGCAATGTCGTAGTCAACAGACCAATCAGTCAAGCATTTTGTTTGCGGCAAGTGCGCAAAGCCGAACATGTTGGAAAATTGTGTGTCGAAGTTCCAACGTTCAGCACGCTCACTGTCAGGAACAGGAGATTCTTCAAACGCAATATTTGGCTGTTGCAAATGTTGCTCAACTTTTGGTAGCATCTCCAGATCTCCAATTCTTTTGGCAGATATAACTGCGCACTGTAACAGTATAAAAAGCAGCATTCTTTTAGTAGGAATGATCATCTTTCACAACCGATGAAATTTCTTCAACAATAACTTTCCGTATATTCGTTTTTGTTGATTGTTAACATGAAAAGGTCAATAGTAAACTCGATTCGTGGTATATATATAATGTCGAACATCATTTTATCAAAAGCTCCATATAGACTACGAAATGATCGATAGGTGTCATTGCTGTTTTTTATCTCCACGGTGTGAACGCCAGTACAATATAATACTAGATAAGTGTAATAACAGTATTCACATAGGATGAGAAAGACCAACACAGTGGGCATTCAGTCTGAGGATTAGAAAGACGTTCTGTTGGGAGTATAAAGCCATTTGCTCAAAACTAAGGAATTATAGAGCTTGTTCGTTTTTTGTTGTTGAAAACTAAGATAGCTTTGGTATACTACTTAATTGTACAAACATGATAAAATAAAAACTGAAAGACATTTCTTATTTAGTTTTAATTATACGCAATATCCCTAAATAAATTATACTCCAGACCGACAATTAGTTATGTAGAAATATTTTTAGACTGTGTCCTTGCCTTTCAAAGCCGGAATTTTTTAACTAAATAAAAGAAAATAATTTAAATATAGATACTTTTTGAAAAAGAATCGTAGAAAAAGGTGAAAGTCTAAGACACAAGATTGATATATGGGTTTTTTCCACGCAAGCTTTTACCGAAAAAATAAAATACAAAAGGAATTGGGATCATTCCGAGAGCAACAAATCCTACTAAAGTTCCACCCCAGTGAACACCCAACTTCTCAAACATTATACGGGAGAATAGCGGAAAACTACCACCACAAATTGATCTCGTAAACGTATTAGCGGCAATAGCTGATGCAGCGAACTTTGTAAAAGTATCGACAAGATAGTTCAAACACCCTTGGAAAATAATAAAGAACCCAATACCCATCATGGCTATACCTATAAAAGGTGCTATCCAATGAATACTTTCGTATGAAGTCCAAGCAAAGACAAATATACCAGCTGGCATAAGCCAACCTGACATCATCATAATCGGTAATCTTTGCTCAGGAAGCGGTTGTCCACCATTCTCTTGAAGCAATCTAGCATATCTTCTATTCCATAAAATATTAAAGACGCCCCCAATCAGGACGCCCAAAAAGAATGCAATCATGGGAAGGGTACTAACTGTCCCTGTCCAATTTCTCGACATGTTAAAAGTGTAGGGAATGGTAGTTAAGATTATATAGAGGATACCATATACATAACTGGCAAACATAGCGATAAAAAACACAATCGGTGTTGCCAACATTGCGAAAGGTCGTAAAAGATGGAAGGTAACAAACTCTTTTGCATCCAGCTTGTACTGCTCGTGAGCGGCATGCAAACCCCAATTGTTTGTAGAAAGTCGTAAATTTCGAGCTTTCCTGGCTAAAATTACAGGTACATATGTCTCATCAATCACTATCATATTTATGAGTAGGATTGCAGATTGAACAATCACCATAAACCATAATGGCCATCGCCAAGCCGTGTCGGAACCTTTTGAAAGCAGGCTACTGATGATAGGACCGAAATCAGCACCGCAAACGACAAAGAAAGCATAAAAAATCAAAGCAGTGGCTCTCTGCGCTGGGTGCCAAAGATCGGCCATTACACCGCCCGAAGAAACAATTGGAGCGCCTGCAAACAATCCAGAAAAGAAACGAGTACACATAATGGCCGCCACATTATCAGCACTGGCAGTCCCCGCTGTAAGTAGCATGGATATAAAGAAAGGAAAAAAGACACCCACTTTTCTCCCATTCATTTCTGAAAAAGGAGCAAAAATCATAGGACCAAAAGCGATTCCTAAAACATAAAGCGAAGTAGCGAGGGTGGCCACTTCTTGACCGATGGGATATACTTTTGTTAGATGTCCAGCAGTCGGTGACATAGTTGTACTGTTGAATTGAGCGGCAAACGTTGTCATTCCATATAGCGCTGTATGTACTAGCTTTTTCCCGGTGGGCCAGTTTATAGGTCGTTCAGGGTCATCCATGTCAAAGTCTACCAAAAAGATTTCATCGGGGTATACGCTAGGGTATTGCGACCTTTCCTGAAGGGATACATTTGCGTTTTCTTTTTCGCTGCCAGAAGAACTTTCAAACGCTCTTTCTTGCTCATGCATCTCCATTTTTGACATTTCAAACCGAGATGATACCACTATTTGTTAATTGTTATTCAGTTGACTCAAAGTGAATAGATTTTTGTAACGTATTCTCTACTTTTTATCCATTCCAACACTCTACGGGTATAAACTGGACTAAGCCTGTCAATATTAAAGAAAATATCTATATACGCTCACCAGCGTTGATATTGTGGAGTACAAGTGGTATTTGCTCGATAATTTTTCAACAGACCATACCATTATGTATATTCAAGCACTTACGCTTTAATAAAATATTTTAGCGGTTTACATGATAATATTTTAGCGGTAGTCTGGTGGCCATATCACGGGTGTTGTATTTCAAGATCTTGAAACTGATATTTGCGTGTCTAGGACATTTTGTTTTATGCTTCAATGTGAACTAAAAGCATTTACAAATGACCAACTCGTGTCATTTATATTCATTGTTTTTTATTGTTTAAAACCACTTGCATCCGCCACTATCACATGAGTGTGCTCAACGAAGTACTTGTTAGATTCTCTCCATTTCTATGCATAAAGCCTTTGGAAAGGAAAAGAGTTTCTGAAAAGGTACTTCGAATGGCATAGCGCCTTTCATTCCATATAGCCAGTGATTCAAACTGTTAAATGCCCAACATTACCAGACTGATCTCGTTTGTAAAAATTTTATCTGAGAAGCGAAGTAATTAGTCCAAGAAATACAAACATGACGCTTCATATCGTTGGAAACGAAAATGAAACCTGTATGTCAAAAGAAACGCTTACTCTGACAACTATTTGCGAGAGTGGTTTGAATAGTATGTTTATATATGTATACTAGTTTCGGTTTCAGGGCACTACAAAGGGTACGATTCATCTTTTAGTCATTTTGAATAGAATATATTTGGAAGTTGGTTATTATTGTCATTAAACGCCTAGTGCGTTACTTTGATTCCGAAAGCACGTCTTTGCGCTGACGGCTGTTCTTGTCCAAAAAGGGTTTCTCACCACGGGCTGCAATACGAATGAAATGACGGGTTTGGGGGTAATGATCATATGTTGCACGGTGAACGACTACACGATTGTCCCATGCAACCACACCGTTTTCAGCCCATCGAATTTTGACTGAAGAAGCAGACAAAGTTGCTATATGTTGGTACAAAAAGTCCAAAATCGCATCAGACTCCGCTCTAGGCACTTCAGGAATGTACCGACTGAAAGAAGGACTAACGTATAAAGACTTCCATCCCGTTACTGGATGGGTACGGACAATTGGATGAGCGTTCAGAATTCCCTCTCGGCGAGTAGCATGTCCTGCTTTGCGTCTCATCTCTGCCTGCTCGACACCAGAGTGTACCAATGTTAAACCTTCCAAGTATTTCTTTAAGGGTTCGGAAAGCGTCTCATAAGCAGCGTATCCTGAATAAAACACGGTATCGCCACCCTGGCTGGGGATTTTTAGAGCCTTGAAGAAAGTTTGTGCTGTAGGTTGTTCTTCAAAACTAACGTCTGTGTGAATTTGTCTAATTTGAGGGACGTTTTGGACCGTGTCCGATTGGTTTTTATCGTCGGTATACACAACATGAAAGTTTTTCCAGCGATCATTTCTTGGAATCGCATTAGCACCGTGAATATGAGGTGTACCATAATACAAACCCAACGATTCAAATTCCTCAATGGATTGTTTTTGATCGGGGAAGTAAACGACTCCTCGTTCTGCCATGAGTCTCGCCAACTCATCCTTCTGTACGTCAGTTAGTTGACTCAGCTGAACTCCGTGCAAGACAGTTCCCAGGTCTCTTCCAAGATGCTCGATCTTTGTAACATCTCGGAATAGGTTGGAAAAACTTGGATCAGCATGGAGTCCGCGATCGTGATATTCGACTTCATCAAGAGGCTTGTCCTTGGTATCTGGGAATGAGGGAAGCAAGTCTGCGTATTCATAGTCTTTAGGAACAGAATACTTTGTTAAGGTACCATCGTTCTCTTTCACAACAAGCTTCTCGTCATCAGGTACTCTTGTAGAATGACCATTAAAGACGCTTTTGGAAAATGAAAATTCCTGGTTTTCGTTGTTCGACTCTGGTGCTGCTTGTTGGTCAAGCGTTAACTTTGGAAATGCTTCAAGGACGGTTGTTGAACTCATGATTATAAAATTGTCTTCAAAAAAATGAATGAATGTATGTCTGTATATTCATTTCTGCTTGGAAAATTCTTTGCTATATATAAGTCTCTGCCTTTACTAAGCTCAAGCAAAAATAGCAAAGAAATGAGCAATTCATACGAATTGATGAGAAACTTTTTGAAATTTCAGCATTTTATGATTTTCATGATTCATGCATGAAATTGTTTCTTCCTTAGCAATAATTTGCCTTGTGTTTTTGCGTTTATTGGCGAACTTGATGTGTGACGTATCGAACATTGATAACTAAAGTGAATACTTCATTAAGCAGTGTTGTGTGTTTCGATAACACCGTAATGGGTTGTTCAGTCTATTGAATACATTTACATTGAATGCTTTACTTATCGTATAGGTGGCTGATTGAAAAAACTACAGTTCATCCGTTTTTAGTTCGTTCTTCATACCATTCTCTTGTAAGGTCATATAGTAACAAACCAACTTTGTATAAGATTTCTTTCTACCGTTTTTTAAGTGTTCAATATGTACGGGTTTTAAGTATTTTTGTCGACAAACGAAAGCATCCTTCAATTTTAACAAGTTCCTAGCTTCTTGAACGCATGTTGTAAAGAAAATCGAAAACATAACATAACAAAATTAAATTATCTATCTATGATTTGGCATCTAACAAAATTCTGATTATGTTTGTTAAGATACGATAAATTGCTAGCTAAATCTTGTATTGTACAATATAAATGTTCACATTATTTGTATTAATTACACACCGACACACATACACCAGTTGTGCGTCTCATTAATCATACCTTTATGCTTGAAACGAAGATGCTCAACTCCAGTTGCTATAACCAAATGTTTCGTTTGGACCCACAGAACGGTAAGGCATGCTCTTCCAGTCGTATGTATTCTTGTATACGGAATTTCCCCACCAGTTTAAGCTTCCCCCAGGATAGGACACACAAAGGAAAATAACAACGCCAGCAACTGCTACGCCTGCATCAAGCGCCGCAGCTAACACGTAATTGTACTTTGTCCACCAATGTACAGCTCTTTTGCGGATCACGAAATTGAAAACGAATCCTACAATAGCCCAAGACGAGTAATTGATACCCGTAGCAGGAGGAATGTTTCCTGGTCCAGTGAAGAAGACTGGGGCATTAAGTTTACCATACCAGGATTTTGGGAATTTCTTGTACAGCACATATGTAAAAAATGGAGCTATTGCACCGATTAAGAAAAAGTAAAGTAAAGGATAATATGGTTTTCCTTTGGAAAACAGTTTTTCCGGGCCGATAGCTCCCCAAATCAATGAAGCATTATAAATGGAACGTCCATTCGGACACGTGAAGCCATCACTCTGCTTGTGAGTGCATATATCTTTAATGTGAAAACGCATCCATTCTTGAACAACCACCTGCGTAACACCACCAAGGACAGTAGCGAAGATTTGGACGTAGAACAATATACGAGGCGGAACCTTCATGTATTGAGCCAGTTTCAAATCTCTTGAGAACTCTAGTCCCTGTCTCATGGGGATGAAGCCATAAAGCTTGATCATCAAGTTTGCTACAGGTCTCCCCGGTAACATATAACCTCCAACTAGCTCGGTGATGATGTTGAGACCAACATGCTGATTCGTGATACCCTCAAGGATACCTTGAGGAATGAAATTTATAATAAATATAAGCATTGCAACAATAAAAGCCCATACCGGACATTGTGTATCGTAATATTGAATCGTAAAAATAGATAAACCGAATGTAATAATAAATAAAGCCAGATACCACCACTGAGGAGCCTCTTGATAATTGCGCATTAGTTTTCGATGGACACACTCAAACTTTCCGCGTTCATCACGAAGGCGTTGCCAAATATCCTTGCCGTTGTATAATATACAATGGGTAAAGACGGAAGTGACGGCAGCAAAGTTCAATGCAGTAGACATGCTATAGGACATGGGCATGTACAAAGGAGAATAGGACTCATACTTTGATTGGTCAAACGACAAATCAGAGTTTAAAACTCGGGAAGAATTAAAGGTTTTACCAGTGTTGTCATATGTAGAGGAAGAAAGCATAGGCAAGTAATTGGAAAACCAAACACTCTTGTAGTACAAAATGGGGACGACAATCCAAAAGATAAGAACGACAGAGCCAAAGGTGTTACTAATGACCCACCAAGGGGAAGCCAAAGGATTAGAATTGTATACAACTTGCTGCCAATCAAAAGTGACAGGAACGATACCAAGACCTGAATTGTATCCAAAGAGCTGATTCACTACGCGATTTTTAGGCCAGATCCAGCATAAGAAAGTAAAGTAGGACAACGCTGTAAAAATAAAACCAGGAAACCAGTAGAAAACAAAAGCACCGATGAAAATGTAGGCGAAAAAACGATAACGAGAGATCGACCAACCATTAGCAGTAGTGTTTCCGTCTTGTGTTTCACCGATTTCGTTACCGGCATCGCCATGAAGAGTTCGAAATAGGACGGCGCTAACCAACGTCTGCGGCCAAACCATGCTGGCAGGGTAGACAATCCAGCGCCTGGTGAGGCCAGCAAAGCCGTAACCAAGCATCTGAGAAGTCAGCACAACAAGGATTTTGTAGCCCCAAGAGAGGTCTTGGTTGTAAAAGCTCGTCTGTGCAGATAAGATGTTTGTTGCATAAGCGGTGGAAGAAGTCAAAGAGACTGCAATGGTGATGGTAGCATGTTCTTTTGTATTAAAGGGACCGGGATTGAGATAAAAGGAGAACCGACGGTAACCGATTTTCCAATTTGGAAGCAAATTTAAAAGTTTGCCAAGAGGAAACAATAAAATTTGGGCAACGATAAAGCTGATGCTAAGAGAAGGGTAACGTAAACTGAAAAACTGGTTGACAGCGGCAAATACAATGACAAAAAGGGTAGTAAGCACCCAAGTTCTCCAAGTATTCACGGGTTTAGAGTAATCGTCAGTGGGAGGAACGGAAGCCCTAACTTCAGAGTATATGGAGTCTTCGACTTTACCGTTTTCATCGTAATAACAATTTGCTTGAGTAGAATCAAAGGAAGATGAGGATGAGGTTAGGAACCTCACAAAGAAGTTGGACTTGGATTTAGACGTTTTACCAAGTTCGTTGGTATCTTCAAGGGATATACGTCCACTAGGATGGTTCGTTGAATGAATGGAGCCTCCGCCCTTGATTTGTTCATGTACATTTTTATTCTTGTCTTGATTGCTATTCAGGCTGGAAGCATCCTCCACTTCACTATCACTGTCCTGTGCAACAGAGTGACCGACTCGCTCTACTGTGGATGAAGCAACAAAAGGGCTGTTGGAATACCACGTTGGCTGGTTAGGAGTTTCGGAGGATGAGTTGGACTCTTTTGAAAAATCATTTTGATGTTGATTAAATCCTCTGGGCATTTTATAGATGAATTGAAATGAAGAGACAATTCTTCATCTGGGTTCAAAAAAAAAAAAAATAAAAAAATAAAAAGAATAATAAGAATAAAAATAAAAATAAGAGTAAATGGAGAATGAAGAAAGAAGAAGAAAAAGCAATACAGGCAAACAAAACCTTTGTGCTTTTCTGTGAACGATGGACTTTTTCGAAACGAAATGAACAAGGACGATAATATGACAATCTTCGTTTACCTGATTCAACAAGCAGAAAAAACAAAACAAGAAAAGGAAAGGAAAGAGAAAGAGATTGATGAAAAAAAAAAATTAGAGAGAGATAAAAAAAAAAAAAAGAAAAAGAAAAAGGAAAACAATGAAAGAATCCTTTTCAATGGATTATTAATGTTCAACAAAGGATGTATATACAAAGGAAGAAAGACAAAAAGGCGGCTTGGGCGTAATTTATAACAGGGACTGACTATGTCGCAATTGAATCATTCATTGCTAACATTTGCAATTCTCGTGTAACTTTATCGAGAATCTTTCGCTTTATCTAACGATAAGTATAAGGTTAAGGTTGTATTTTATCGAAGGAATAAGAAGTGTTTCATGGGTCCAAGAGCCAATTATGTACAATTTTGGATTTCCCGGCAAAGAACAACAGGTGACAGAAAGAGAACAAAAGAAAAAGACGATAGGACGTACGTAAATCAAGAGAATTTCATTCCAGTGGGTATTCCAATGTGCATTTCATTTAGAAAAATCAATAAATAAATGAATATATAAAGAAACAAAAAAAAAACGAGTTTCATTACTTGTTTGGAAAGAAAAAAAGAAAAACCAAGTCTTCAAATGGCATTTCCCAAGAGAAACCATACGAGTAACAAAAAGATACAAAGTTGTCTAGTTGGAAACTGTAAATATTGCCTAAAGAATCTATGATAAGCCAGAACAGCAACAGAGTTATCAGCGATCAAATAGCGCAAAGGTAAACGAGGAGGATAAAGTGATAAGCGGGATTGACAATAAATGAGTCAATGGGTATGTGTCTTTCGCCATAAGAGAGGTTGAGAATCGAATACGGCGGTGTGTTTTGCGTGATCAAGACGCGATTAATCAAAACGCGATGGAAGATGAAAGAGAAGTTGGATTTTTTTGTTTTTTATTGATTATTGTTTGACAATTATCAAAAACGCGTCGAAAAATGTACAGTTGAAGAAACTCGTCGCGTCGCGTATAGAATGGATGTTCTTGTTGTCATTTTGAACATTATATCAAAGAATTGGGCTGTAAAAAAGAATTGAACGGAAATATCTTGAAACTATTTCGAGTTTTGTTTGTGGGTTGGTTTTATTTCATGTTTATGTATTTGTTTACGTCTGTTGATTTTGATTTTGATTTTAAATTTATTTATTTATTTATTTTTTGCAAGTTTGTTTATGTTTTCAAACGTACGTTCCCCCTCTGTATTCCATTTAGCATATTCCAACACTACTCGAAACGCTGCACAAAATACCATCGACAACCTCTCTCTCCCTGTCTTTTCCAAAGAAAGAAAGAAAAAAGGTCCGTCCCCAGCGAAGATACAACAAGACCCAGCAAAGCAAAGCAAAGAAAACTATCCCAAAAGACTACCGATTCGAGTCGTTTATTATTTATAATTATATCTATAATAGCAAAATTTCATTTCATTTTCATTTCTTCTCTATCTATCTATATCATTATTGAATTGTAATCATATCTGTAACTGTTCTTGTAGCGAAACTTCCATCGTCTACCATCTTCTGCCACCGCCTGCTTATGCCTCCTGCTCTACGTTGGCTTTTTCGAAAACGTTCCCCTCCTAACCACGCCGGGTCGTCTACTCTCTGCCCCGACGAGAACGAGAACAAAATGCACGCTTAGTGTCGCGTGTACATCGAACTTCCTTGCACAAATCTGGTACGGTCTAGATCAAACTCTAGATATTTTAGCTGCCAATGAAAATTTCCCTAAGCAAGTTTAGCCACCTATTGGTGCCCACTTTTCAGTTGATTTGTCAATATCAGCCAATAGGAAGTTAGTCATCCTCACCGTCGCTTTTGATTCTGGTAACAAACGCTGGGAATCTTGGAAAATTTGACTAAAAAATGTATATACACAAATCCTTTTTTTTCAATTTCTTTTCTTTTATTGTAATATTTCTTCTCTTCTTTCTCAACCTCCTTCTACTAGCCTCTTTCCTTTTTCCTACTCAGGTAACAATACTTCGCGAAAACTTCTACCTCCGTGCCCCGGATACCTGTCCTGGACGCCGATTGGTTGAGCCTGGATACGTTCCACAAACCCCCTTAAGAAGTGACAGTGATAGCTAAGCAAGACAACAAATTGTCGGGATAAAGTATCAATGCCGAACGATTTTCACTTCGCGCCGGAAAATTCCGGGAAAGCCTTGAGTCCTATAAATACCTGCTGAGATCCTTCGTTTTCAATCATCAAACACACATTCTTATTCAACATGACCAAGGAAACTCAATTCACTGTTGGTGACTATCTTGCCGAAAGATTGAGCCAAATTGGTATCATCAACCACTTTGTTGTTCCCGGTGACTACAACCTTAAGCTCTTGGACTACCTCGAGTACCACCCCAAGTTGTCCGAAATTGGCTGCTGCAACGAATTGAACTGCGCTTTCGCTGCTGAGGGTTATGCTCGTGCTCACGGTATCTCCGCTGCTGTTGTCACCTACAGCGTCGGTGCCTTGACCGCCTTCGACGGTATTGGTGGTGCTTATGCTGAGAACCTCCCTGTCATTTTGATCAGTGGTGCCCCCAACACTAACGACATCAACTCCTCCCACATCTTGCACCACACCATTGGTACTCACAACTTTGACTACCAAATGGACATTGCCAAGAACCTCACTGTCGCCGCTGTTGCCCTCCGTCGCGCTCACGAGGCCCCTCGCTTGATTGACCACGCTCTCCGTCAAGCTATCTTGCAACACAAGCCCGTTTACATTGAAGTCCCCACCAACATGGCTACTCAACCCTGCCCTAAGCCTGGTCCCATCAGCGCTGTCATCGAGCCCGAGACCTCCGACAAGGCCTCTCTCGAACAAGCCACTGATGTCGCTGCTGACTTGATCTCCAAGTCTGAGAAGCCCCTCATGTTGGCTGGTCCTAAGCTCCGTGCTGCTGGTGCCGAGAAGGCTTTCCTCAAGTTGGCTGAAGCCCTTGATGCCGCCGTCGTTGTCCAACCCAACGCTAAGGGTTTCATCTCTGAAGAATACAAGAACTACGCTGGTGTCTACTGGGGCTTGTGCAGCACCCGTAACGCTGACAAGATCGGCGAATTCGCTGACTTCTTCATTGGTGCCGGTACCGTTTTCAACGACTACACTTCCAACGGTTACAAGGTCGGCCCTACCCCCGATCAATTCATTGACTCTGACTACATGCACGTCAGCTTGCCCGGTTACGAATTCACCCGTGTCAAGATGGACGAATTCTTGAGCCGCTTGGCCGACAAGGTCTCCAAGAAGAACGCTACCATGGTTGAGTATGCTCGCATCAAGCCTGCCTTGCTCAAGTATGCTCCCGCTAACCCCAAGGAGCTCCTTACCCGTGAAGAACTCATGCGCCAAATCCAAGGTGTCATTGACGGCAACACCACCTTGTACGCTGAGACTGGTGACTCTTGGTTCAACGGTATGCAAATGAACTTGCCCGAAGGTGCCAAGTTTGAAATTGAAATGCAATGGGGTCACATCGGTTGGTCCGTTCCTTCCGCTTTGGGTTACGCTATTGCTGCCCCCAAGAGAAGAACCGTTATCATGGTTGGTGATGGTTCCTTCCAATTGACTGGTCAAGAACTTGCCCAAATGGTTCTCCACAAGCTCCCCGTCATCATCTTCTTAATCAACAACCGTGGTTACACCATTGAGATCCAAATCCACGACGGTCCTTACAACCGTATCAAGAACTGGGACTACGCTGCCTTCATGGAATCCTTCAACGCTGAGGACGGTAAGGCCAAGGGTCTCAAGGCCAACACTGGTGAAGAGCTTGAACAAGCTATCCAAATTGCTCTTGCCAACAAGGAGGGTCCTACTTTGATTGAATGCTACAACCACACTGATGACTGCACCAAGGAATTGGTTGCCTGGGGTTCCACTGTCGGTGCCACCAACGCCAGAGCTCCTAGTGCCGATCAATAAATCATAAATGATGCATAATTTCACTTAATCATGGTTTAGTTCGGTTCGGTTAGAATTTTTTTTGAGATCGAGTTTTCCTAGACTAGCATTTTATATAGAACGTAAAAAAATAAAGGATTTCATTTTTTTAGGGAAATTTATACAAGAGTTGTAGTTGATTTAGGAGTTGTAGTTCAATTCAATATTCATTGTTCGTTTAGGTTTAAAAGTAAATGTATCATTTTGGATTCTGGTTTTGCATCAGATTGAAGTCGCCATGTTGCTGTCATCAAAGTGACTCTTGCTACGCAGTGGAAGGATACAAAGGTTTCATTCTCGTTTTCCATTTGATGGTAAGCTTTTATGAGAATTATTTATCTTAAACTATGATCTTTCTTTGGTTCGATCAATATCAACCAGTCTTTACTTGCAAAGGCTAGAAATCCTGAAATCGCTTTGGGAATTCACTTTGCTATTAGGACCCGTCCGAATTGTAAACCCTTTTCTTTGAAATGTAACGACTCCCTACTCTGTCTTGTGCTTTAGCAAGTTTATAGTGACATTCACTTTACAAGAAAGAAACGGTTTAAAAGTCAAACTACTATCCAAACTACAGTAAGAGAGGTTTTAAACTGCAAAATACATACATATATATATATATATATAAAAGAGAATAACAATGGAAAGATGTATTCAAATCAAACCAGACCAACGAGGCGATTAGTAAGGAAAATATAAAACTAAATAAAATAATAAATATTATAAATGGGGACTGATTGAAGAGTCAGCAACAGAGCTGACCCAATAAAAAATGTTACAAAATGCGGTAGTAATACACATAAAATCAGTATATATGCACAAGTAGATGAAAACAAAACACCCCTTGGAATTAATAGCAAAGGAGATTAGGTCGATGGAAGCACAAATTACACCAATTTCTGCTTGAATTCTTCCCAAAGATCCATACATTTATTTTCAACCCAGCATCCAGCGAAGTGTACCAACAGGTCACCTGGATGATATTCCATGTCGGTAGGAGCATGAGGATAGGCGTTCAAATATCTTTGCGGTAAGATACCAAACTTGGCAGCAAGCTGAGGATGGTGATGAAGCATTAATCCGATAAGATCTTGCTCATGACGCACAACTTTGTAATCCACAAGTAAAGGTTCTGTTAGTAAATCCATGAATAGAGCCATCGTTTCCGTATTTTTCACGAGAAAGCTTCCAGCATTTACACCATTGTGATCTTCAGAAATCAAAAATTCCACATTCTCAATCATCTCATTATCATAGGCAGAGGGAGTACGTCTCTTCTCCTCAGTTATGATTTGACTCCATAAGGGTTGATCCGTCAATAAAGAAGATTTGAGTTTCTCGGGAGACAAAAACAAGTCTTGTAAGGATTGGCTGTTATTCATAATCAAGGCATCTTGATCTAACCACCAAATCCATTTCGCAGTCGGATACTTTTCCATCATTTGAATCACGCTTGGCATCTTGCCCCAAACAGCCGGCATGTTAATACCATTTAAATCTACAAACTCAAAGTTATAGTTGTGTTCCTTGACATATTGCAAACGGTTGGCAAAAACATCATCCATGATGGAAGGATCAAACGAGCCTGTGTTTCCATTGCTTCCCAAAAGCAAAACAATTTCATGGGACTTGATTGCTTGAGTGTCCTCTTCATTAACAAATGCTTTATGAAGGGTCTTAGCCTGTCCATAGGCATTCTTGTCCGCTTGGGCAATTCTAGGAGGAGGTACAACATAATTAGTGGGCGTAGAACAATAAGAGTCTTTTAAATCAGCAGCAGATGGTAAATTAACTAAAGAAAGATCGATCTTGTATAAATTGTTGAAAAACAAAAAGACACCCATAATGACAGCTGCAGCGACAATAAAAAGCAGCTTTTTCGATAACCAAACACTTGAAACCATTTTAACCAACTAATCAATCACTTTTCAATAAAAAAATAAATAAATAAAAACGTTCACAAAAAAATGCAACTGCCAAAGTGTTTGGTTTCGAAGAATAAGATTTCTTCTTTTACCCTGTCCGTAAGGGATGTTGGTGAAGTTTGTGTCGCAGAATGCGGTACGAACTCTCCGGTCGCCGTCTGTTACTTGAGGTTACATAGGACTGCCATTAGATACGCAATAGTGATCAAAAACTGTCTGTCTGACTATATTTTTGTTTGAGACTGTAGGGTATTTTTTTAATATATTTATAAATTTCACAAGTAATAGTGTTGATTTATTTCGTTAAAAACCGCCGGCGAAATTTTTTTGATATTCGTCGATGAGCGTAATTTTTTTGCAAACTTCCAAAGCTTTGCTATGAGAATCAAGAATCATTTATTTTGTCAGTTTCTGAATGTTCATTAAACGGTAACTATCGTTACAATCTGTCTTTATACTCTACTCACATCCTAATTCAAAAGAGCGAGCCCTTCCCGTAAAATATCAAAAAGACCGAATCATCACTACCATATCACTTCATTCACCTACCAAAGGCTTTATATAGATTCCAACGAGCTATCAATTTCCGAAAACAAAGAAAAGAAGAACATTCTCATCTAACAAACCAGTTCTGCTGAAAATGTACTCGGATTCAAAAGATATTAATCGTATTCATTATCGTTCATTACCTCTGAAATCAATCGCTTACAAAAAAATGTTATTTTTGATAAACGAACAGAAGAAAAAATAAATAAAAACAAAAAACAAAAAGCCATAAATAAAACCATCAAACCACATGAAATCCATTGTTAACAAACGCTTTATCAAATCTAAACACTGCTAGATCAAAAACTTATTTAATAAATTTTCTCTGTAGCAAACTGTGAACTTTCTACACTACAAATATAGCCGCAGTATTCTTTTGTCAGGTCCTTTTTACGCCTTCATCATCCAACGTTTCGGCATTCCTTAAACAAATGATATGTAAAGTATGCTAAGCAGGGAAAATACTTTCCCTTCGTCCGTCGGCTTAAGTGATTTGATCAAATACTGTGGCAAGGCGATAAACAAAATAAGATCACTTTAACTATGCAAAAGTACAAAAACCTGTTTCCTCGTTTATGTTTACGTAGAACCTCACTGCGCTATGATCTTTAATAATGATGATGAATTCATACGTAGGGTACGAAGAAAGCCTTCTGATATAAAGAGACGAAATACCTTTGTTTACAAGTATTTGAAAGGAAAATCAAAATTTCAAAAGAGGCATGGACCGTTTAATCAATCATTGTAACATAACTAGCACTTGAATTTTATAAAGGTTAATCGGTAAGTTACGCGAAGAGGAAATGCACACACACGAGTTTTCAAATTATTATTAACCAAAATAATAAAAAGAATTCTTACATTCTGAAAGTAAGCACGCTTGATACCATTTCTATTACACATAGATACGTTCGAATTTCCTCAATGGTCAACTTTGGAAAGTTTGTTCCCGAGCTCCCAAACAGAAAAGAAAAGCAATTGAAAAATGAAGTTGGAAAAGAAGATTACATAGGAGTGCTCGAGAAGGTGATGATCGATTTCGATTGTGTTATCAACGATGACTATAAAACTCTCAAACCAAAACTAGAGGAGGATTCTATAGAGATGGATACCTTGGAATCCTCACAAAATTTTTACGTTGCTCTTTTAGGACTCGAACCCAAAGTAGTCCACCTAGCCCGAGATATCATCGAGCGCACCGAACAGCGGTTTGAAGAATTACGGAAAACGGTTGAAGATACAAGTGACACATGTGGAAACTATCCCCCTGGATCTGAAGTCCAAGTTATATATTCCCTGTTATCGTTGATGGATACCGTATTAGGATTTATGTCTGGCTCGCTTTTGGAATCAATGAAAGCGACCTATCGATTGCGCACTACGCACAGTTCCTTCTCCAAATTGCTGGAGAACGTAAGAAAAGTAAAACAAGAAAAAGAATCTGGCATAAAAAACGTCAAGAATAACGCCGATATGTTTCTTGATGAAATTGTCGAGTCAGGGGCAATGGCTGGATACGGTATTTTAAATTTCCTAGTGTCCATGTTTCCATCTTCTTATTCTAAAGTCATTTCGTTTATATGCTTTAACCCAAACAGGAATGAAGCTTTAGAAGGATTGTGGAAATCCGCCATGTACAACAATGCACTAGGTGCTATTTCTCTTGTTACTATATTTACATTTTACGGAATGATACAACCGATTGCCAGTATTTCACCTCCTTACTATAATTCTGAGCTGCGTCGACTTGAAAACCAAATTCAAAATTGCAAAGCTCGATATAGGAAAAGTTTGTTATGGCAATTGATGGAGCTTAAGATTTCCCTCTTAACAGAGAATCCTTGGAATGCCATCAAAATTGGAAACCAGACTGTTACAGCTACAGCCCAACAACTTATAAATTTACAAGGATTTGATATGGCGATGGCTTGCATCTGCGTCCGCGATTTTAAAATCGCAGCCAAACAATTTTTGATATTAGAGGAATCAAACGATTGGTTTCGGGGACTGAACAGGTTTCTTGCAGGTTGTTGTATGTTGCAGCATGCAAACGAATTAGAAAAAATAAAAAATGCAGACCCGAAAGAATACAATGCATTCATCGAAGATGGTGCAGATCTCTTGGTTAACTCGTTGTCTGTCTTGCAAGAGAAAGATAGAAAAAGTTTGCTGCCAATGGAAAAGTTTTCAATTCGCAAAATCCTAAAATGGGAGAGAAAAGCCAAGACAGAAAATAAACCGTTATACAAGGTGATAAGTGTTCCTCCGTATCTACAATTTTTGTATGCCTTTGTGGTTTGTACTCTGGGATTCCACAAATATAGCGAAAGCTATAAACGGGATCTCTTAGAAGTTACATGTTACGAAGAAAATGATTCAGCTTTGCGAGATTTCCTACTTGCAGTTATCGAAAGAATGCAGAAGAATTATACATCGTCAAACGCTCGTCTGAGAAAGTTACTTCAGTTAAATCAAGCTTCTTCGTCGACCGGCGACAATGATTTTTGGATTATTCCTTACGCGCATTATGAGCTTGCGGCTTCCCATTGGTTTGAGTATGGAATGAAGGAAGAATTGGAAATCAGACGTCTGATAAAAAAGGCAGAGTCGTTCCAGGGTTACGATCTAGAGGAACGAATGGGTCTTCTTGCTAAAATTGCGTATCAGACATTGGACTCCGCCAAGTAATTATCGATGATGAGCTCCTTAATGAGTAAACCATGATTTTGGTGGAGTTTAAACAGTTTCGTTAATATGGTCTTGAAGAGAATGTTAAACAGTAACGTTTTATGATGTGTTACGAACGGCAGAAGATGAAGTTTCTTACTGCTTTTGAAAGCAATGGACATTTGTTATGATCCCAATACGCGTACATAGATTATAAACCTATATAATATTCGAATAAAACCGTTTTGCATGAAATAAAAGTTCTTCAAGGATTATCACATGTCTTATAACAACAAGTACCACTGGAATCAATTGAGTAGGGTAAGTAAAGTCTTTCACCCGACACAAACAGCGTTGGAACAACCTTGAAGTGAGGACCGCAGGAAAATGTGACTAAAGTATCGCGACTAGCATGTTGACGGTGAGTCATGAAAAAAACTGGCCTCAATATGGCTACACTTTTATGCTTTCGCCCGATTCAATGCAAGAAGTTCAAAACCATTTTAACCAATTACTAATATGAATGTCTTTCACTCTAGTATGTGAAAAGTCGACAAGTCCCTTTTGAGATTGCGGACCCATCTAGTGTATATAAACAGCATAAAAAAGGATGGGTTTCTACCATCTAATAAGAATTCGCAAAAAGAGAGGCCAACTCGGTTGTCCATCACATATACCTTCTTTCACGTCATGCTTCATATTAATCTCTCCTTGTGAGATTTTATGTAGATTTGAGCCCAGCGTCAAAATCGAGAGAAGTACAAGGATTTCTTACAATTTAATATTAACATAGCATTCATGACAAGAGAATGATACGCTATATAACGATTTATAGGTTGTATGGCCAGTCGTCCTTGTTGCCATAAGACAGCCGATATATATGTCACTGTCCTTGAAAATCCTCGGGTTATAAAAACAGTGAATCTGGAAAGATTTATAGAGCAAGTTATTCGTACCGTTACGATACTAGCGTTCAAATATAGTTACAATGCCACAAGTAACTTGCACAATGGCTCCAAATACAATTTAAAGCGCAACATCAAATCTAAAGGTTTTCTAACGATGGTCGACAACTGTCAACACTTGGATACGATTTCAAGAGATGATTTTTAAAGAACCGTCCATAGTACTTATAAAATTGTTTTCTATTTACATTAGTAATATAACAGAATAATAGATTGGGGAAAGGGGGCAAGGTAGGTTTCTATGAAAGTACTACTGACACTACCATACTACACAGTATGTAACAGTCTTCACAGGTAGCAGGAATTAATTATTTATATGGAAGAATTTAACGGAATGGACTAAATCACGCGAATTTAAATGTACTAATAAATAAAAATTTATTCATATCTCGCCGAGATCAATTAGTAAAAATTCTCAATAGTGTTGAAAAGCGTTAGCAAAAATCCACCATCCTTAGTTTGAAGATGTTAGCTCATCCATTAAAGCAAGTTGATGTGTTTTCCAAAGGTGGGTTTAATGGAAATCCAGTAGCGGTTGTTTTTAATGCGGACGATTTATCGTCAGAACAAATGCAAAAATTTGCCATATGGACGAATCTCTCCGAGACTACATTTGTACTCAAACCAACTGTTCCTGAGGCTGATTACAGACTTCGTATCTTTACACCAGGAAATGAATTGCCTTTTGCAGGACATCCTACAATCGGTTCAAGTCATGCTGCCATTGAAAGTGCTGTATGTGTCCCGAAAAATGGGAAAGTCGTACAGGAATGCGGAGCCGGTCTCGTCCCTATAACGCTTACTAGAGGGGAGAATGACGATATAGAATATGCTTTTGAACTATCAAATGTTACGTCGTCACAAATTTCCGACGAAGCAGCTGTAGCTATATTGAACTGTCTTTTCGACGTAAAGGATCATATCCAAGAGAGGGGGAAATGGAATCCAGTGTTGATGGATGCTGGTCCAAAATGGCTTACCGTTGAACTCCAATCTGCCAACCAGGTTCTCGATTTGATTCCCGATTACGGCACCATGGCCAAGCTTTGTAAAGAGTATGGGTACACTGGTGTATATGTTTTTGGAAAGCATCACGGAGATACGCATTACGAATCTAGAGCATTTGCTCCAGCAATTGGCGTTCTTGAGGACCCTGCATGTGGCAGTGGAGCCGCCGCTTGTGGGATGTACGCTTCCCTTTTTAACAATAAAGACGGAGAGTTGGGAAATGCTTCCAATGGAAAACTTAGAATATCTCAAGGCTGTAAAGTCGGTCGTCAGGCAAATCTGAGTGTACAGACGTTTATGAACTCGGATGGTTACTCGACAGTCAAAGTGGGTGGTTCTGCTACTACATGCATTACGGGCTCTGTTTTAATTTAAAGTCATTGATTTCTCGTCTTTTCGTCTGAATTTTGTTTCAAACACCAAAATTATAATAAAAAACCCTCTGTAATCGTAACAAAGGCAATTCATCTACAGGGAAGAAATGCTTTTCCTTTCATCCATTATAGTCTACGATTCAACAAAACTCTGCAATCTTTTCTTTACATGCATTGGACTATATAAACTATGATGATTCTGAGCTATTCTTCATTTACCAATACCATCACAACCTCCCATTCTTTTATTTACTTACTTACCGGACCTCAAACTCGTCGCGCTAAAACAAATGCCGGTAACAAGAGGATGTTGTAAAGAGGTTAGATAGGTTAGATAGGTTACTGCTACTCTTCCATGGATCTACTACCCCCACACAACACATATTACCCCCATTCTTTAATGAAAGCACTACAAGGAATACTGAAAGCCAGTGCAGTGCTTTAAAGGATAAACAATCCATCTAGCATTGTTCTAAGTAAACAAAGCCTATTGATGGTGGGTTTTTAGAGAAACTGAAAAATTGTATGGATCCTTAAAAAAAAGTCCCGTTAAATTGAAATGATGGGAAAGACCTTTTCTTTAGCACCGCTCTTTTGCACCTTCGCCTCACCCGCTCTAGACAACAGTTTCGACTCGAATTAAATTATGCTTTTGACGTCGGGTCCTTCTTAAGCGCCACCTTATCTCCACACCATCAACGTGGAATGACGCAAGTGACTTGCTTTCATGATTGAGCTATGAAAAGCGATGAGCCTTTTTAAAAAAAAAAAAAAAAAGAAAGAAAAAAAGAAAAAAACACGAGAAAATGAAAGAAGAAAGATGATTTTTTGTTGTTGGAAATTCTTGTAAAGAAAGAAAAAGCGAAAAAAATATATCCAAGAAAAAAGACTCTTCCGCTCCAAACGCAAGACTCGGGAATTGATGAAATTTGTACGTAGTTCTTCCAGATAAGAAAAAGGTTAAAGTTAATAAGGTTAAGAGTCTATTCATTGGAGAGAAGAGAAAAGCGCCCCATTTTGGACTTTGTTTACGAATGAAAAGGTCAGTCGCAATGAAAAGGCATCATGGTTAGGTCATTGTTTTGTTGAGCTAAACCTATTTTGTACCAATGAAATTGTTCGGAAGAGTTAAGTCAGAGAGGTGAGGTTTGTCTTAGGTGGATTGTTTACATTGATCAAATGCGGGACATTTGGAGCATATAAATGGGGACCCATGTCCTAAATTCTTTTCCTCTACACTCACTTTACTAATATCTTTTCATTCTCTTGGAACCGACTGACTGTATTGCAATTTGTATATCAGTTACAATCCTTACCACGAAACTTATTAACTTAGAACTCAATTATTGAAACAAACCTTTTGAATCAACATGGCAAGAGAAGAAATCGACGGCACTCGTACTGACATTGTCACCCTTTCTAGCTTTATCCTTCAAGAACAAAGACGATACAACAACAAATACCATGATCAGGGTAGTAGTATCATTCGAGAAGCTAAGGGTGAGTTGTCTCTCTTACTCAACAGTCTTCAATTTGCTTTTAAATTCATCGCAAACAACATCCGTAAGGCAGAATTGGTGAATTTGATTGGTCTCTCTGGTGTTATCAATTCAACGGGTGATGAACAAAAGCAATTAGACAGTATCTGCAATGATATCTTTATTCAGGCTATGAAGACAAATGGCTGCATTCGAGTCATCGTTAGTGAAGAGGAAGAGAAGGAAATCTTAGTTGACAGCAGTGGTTCTTATGCCATCACTTGTGATCCCATCGACGGTTCTTCCAACATCGATGCTGGTGTCAGTGTTGGTACCATCTTTGGTATCTACAAAATTCGTCCTGGCAGCCAGGGATCCCTTCAAGATGTCTTGCGCTCAGGAAACGAAATGGTGGCTGCTGGTTATACCATGTATGGTGCATCTGCTCATCTCTTGTTGACTACAGGACATAAGGTCAACGGTTTCACTTTGGATACCAACCTTGGTGAATTCATCCTTACTCATCGAAACTTGACCATGCCTCATTTCAAAAACATCTACTCTATCAACGAAGGTAACACTTTGTACTGGCCTCCTAAGATTGCAGACTTTATTCACTCCTTAAAGGTTGCTCCAGAAGGCGGCAAACCTTACGCTGCTAGATATATTGGATCTATGGTTGCCGATGTTCATCGTACTATGCTTTACGGAGGTCTATTTTGCTACCCTTGCACTCGCGGTAAAGGTAAGCTTCGTTTGTTGTATGAATGTTTCCCAATGGCTTTCCTTTGCGAACAGGCTAACGGATTGGCCGTCAATGATAAGGGTGAAAGAATTCTTGATTTAACTCCTCAACATATTCACGAGCAAAGCTCTATTTGGCTTGGCAGTAAAGGTGAAATCGAGAAATATGTGAATTACATAAACAAACACTAAGTGTTATAGAGAAGTCCCGCTCTTTCCTTCGTGGTACCCTACAAACCTTCTTTTTTATTTACGATTCACTTCGTATATGTTGTTTAACAACTTTATGATATTTATGAGAAAAAGGCTTTTTGTGAGCCTCCCTTCTTCTTTGAAGTATTCCTCTTAATTTTTATGAAAATAAAAAAGTCCCTTTTTTGTTCTTGATTAAATTATCTTGGTAATCATGTGATGTGTAGTATATGATGAATCGTTGTTTTGTAATTTGTAATGTATTTATTCCTCCTTACTAGACCCGATATCTTTGAAATTTTTAACGATCTAACATTTCTATAAACTAATAAATAATAGATGTGGGTAGATTGTTTTTAACGAAATTACCTCTAAAAACAACTAGGGATCAGTGTGAAAGCAAGAGTGACAAAATGCCGAAAACCATCCAATCAGTCCTGTCAGTTAGTTATTAAGGAATGCGTCCCTTAATACTTATTTCTACAATTTTTACAACTAAGATCCTCTTTCAAGCAATAAATCACTTTTACCTTAATAATTCAAATACAATCAAATCAAAGCCCAAAAACATTTCATTAACAGGTTAGGTTCTAAAAAGTTTCAATAGTATCATTATCATAAGTGAATCATATTCTGTTCTGTGGGTCATCATCACATACTAACTTATGCCTTCAAGAGCTTTCCAATATAGTGGGCAATCTCTTCTGTAGCTTCCAAGCATCGCTTCGCGAAGGGAGCCATTTGAATGAACCCATGAGGAAGATCGTCGTTATAGATGTAAACTAAATCATTTCCGGCAGCTGCCAGTTTGCGAGCGTATTCATGAGCAACATCCCGTAGCATGTCAAATCCGTCATTTATCACCAAAGCTCGAGGTAGGTTGCTAAAGTCTTTTGCATTTAGAGGGGTTACGTAAGGTTGAGTATAATCGACGGAAGGTGGAAGTAAATGCCACAAGAAACTGAAAACACCAGCTGTTTCTACATATTCACCAACTCTGTTCTCCACAGCAGCTTTTGTTTCAAACGGCATCTTTGTCTCAGGATAAATAGGTATTTGTAAAGCGACTTTCGGACCACCTTCGTTGCGCAGCTTTTGCGTTATGGAACAGGTCATATTTCCACCGGCTGAATCACCTCCAATAGCAATACGTTTCTCATCTACACCTCTATCTTTTGCATTCTTAAAAAGCCACCTGACGACGTATTCGCCCTCATTCATTTGAGTAGGCCATTTGTATTCTGGCGCTAGTTTATAGTCAACGTTGTATACCTGACAACCGCTAATTTCTGAGAAAATTCTCATGGCATTGTCAAATTGATCAAGTGTGCCTACTGTATAGCCTCCCCCATGTAAGTATACTAATGCTGCTCCATGAGCAGGACCGGGCTTCGAAGCATGGTATACTCTTACGGGGATTGTGCCGTGAGGCCCACTAAGTCCTAAATGCTCAATTTTTCCTATCTTGTATGGATTTTTTGTAACGAAAGCGTCGTGTTCGCTTCTCTGTACTTCCAGTGGTTGATGCGAGCCTAAAACAGGGCCATGGCGAGACATCCATCCTGCTAATTCCGAGTCCTTAGTCCCTCGTTCCACCTTCGTTGGGAGGTTGTCCCGAGTGAATATTTGTGAAGCTCCTGGCATGCTGTTGTTGTACAATTCGAAATGCGATCAAAAGTATTTTTCTCTCTCTCAAGCCTATTTCTGTTTCATTTGTACTTATACGATCAGATGAGTAAACGTCATGAAGTAGTAATACATTTATTGTATACGTTTTCGGAAATTACCTGTCAAATTGACCATATTAAATTGTTACATAAAGAATATCATGTGAAGAACGGCAAAGAAAAAAGCCACATAAAGAATATATCCGTTTATTCAAATACCTTTAGAGATGTACGCTTTTTTATACCAGGTACGTAAAGTTATGTAAAGGTCAAACCTCTTGAATGTTAGTCATTTGTTTGTTGGGGTATGAGGTAGTCAGTTTTGTTCAAATAGTAGACGAAGTAGAGGGTCACCATGCGTCTTTTTCTTTGTCGTTGTTTTTTGTTTTGTTTTGATTGCTTTTTTCTTTTTTTTTCTTTTTTTTTTTAGTTTAATAATGCTAAACTAATTTTACTGTATGTCATCAAGTTTCGTTGTAATTAATAGGGAATATGTAGAAACGCAATCCAATAAGTTGGACAATTAGCAAGATGTGGTAATAACAATTCTATCGATCTTGTACATTTCTGTTAGACTTCTTCGGTTGGGTCTTCGTTTATTGGTTTGGAATTCCAAAGAGGATCTTTAATGCCGCGATAGATTCTGTATAAAGCACCAGGGTACACTGTGAATGTCAGAAAAGTACTAAACATAAAAAGTTTTTATCCTTACTCGTTTCCAGGATTGCTAAAACATCTGCAATGGCAGCCATGGCATACCAGAATCCCTTTGGCAAGTTATCAGATCCCTTGACATGTTTTGTAAATGCCGAGATGAAAGCAGGAGCGCCTATACAAGAAGTAAAACAAAACGATTTTAAACAGGCTACAATAAATTTTTTCTTCCAGTATAAAGCCATTTCGAAAGAAGCTAGAAGTTAGCAACTGTAAACAATACAAATTACTTACAGGTCTGGTATAATGTAACAGCGCTAAACGACATCAAGGAAAGAACGAAAAAATTTGGAGAAGAAATTAACCATTTTAAGGGGAATAATAGTCCCATGTACGAAAAAAACAGAGGAATGGGACATAAAAGAACCACATAAGTTATTGTCATCAGAACAGCAACTAAAATATCGTTGGAGTTTTTTATACAATCTATCGTTTTTTTTATTATTAGTTATTCCATTTGGTCTTCTTTATGTTCCTTACATGCATGTGATTCAATGGATCCACACAGAACCAAACCGATCATAATCCAAATCCATCGAGGAAGGTCGACAGGTCTTTTTACAGGATTTAAATGGTGCATATAATCTTGTAAGTATGAAACAAATATTAGAAAATAAAGAACAGTCATAAAGCATCCTAGGACCCAGTGTTTAGCGAATACAATGGCATCTCTCGTTTGTCCTAAGGTTGCAGTTAGTATAACAGGGATTCATTCTCTCCAGAAAGAGTTCTCAGTTACTACTTACGAATTCGAAGCGCCGTAGAAGAAATCAATGCAATGCTATAGATTCCCCAGAAAGCAATTTGAGACTCATTACTGACGAAAAAAGGACCGCGGTCAGAATAATAAAAAGAAAGTAAATTAATAATAGCGTAAACGTAACCAACTGCAATCGTTACAAAAAAATGAGTAAACTTGGTATCATTTTGATCTGAATTTTCGTCTGGATTATCTAGTAAGCGTGTTTGCTCTGACGGTGCAGGACTAGAATAGTGACTATTGGAACTCATTGGAAATAAAAAAAACTATTGTTAAGAATCATTTATTTCTTGTTTTGATGATGGTTTTGGTTGAACGCAACAAAGATGATCCCATGTCAACAACCCCTTCTTAAATAAACAAAGCAGCAAGGAGCGAATAGGAAGAGCTACATAATTACATATAAACAAGACGTGCTACCTGTGGTTTTTAAGCTCTCATAACTATGAAAATGAAACAAACTCTCATACAAAGAGTTGTTTTGAGAATTCTTGGTAGTTTTGGACTGTCAATGTAAACAATAAAAGAAGTTTTAAAACCTGCCGAAATTCGTTACGGGAAAAGGTAAACATGTATTAAGTTAACAAAGAACAAAATCATTAAACGAGGTGGGATACAAAACATTCGCTAAATATAACCAAATAATCATAAAAAAATTAAACGGGAAACAAAAAATATGTAAATTAAAATCATCAAGGAAATACATTTCAGAAAAAGGCTATCATTTTCTTTATAACCTTTTGAAATGAACCGGCTTCGGACGTTTGTAGTTTTTCATCCTCTACTTGTGCTGGTATCACACAAGCCAAGTCTGTTTCGATATCCATATTTGCGGAGGTTATAATTGGAGTTCTATAAATAACTTTGTGAACAGTAAAGAAAAGAAGGAAAATGACTGCTGATAAATAGTTCATAAAAAAGGAACTAGCACTCGGCTTCCCATTTAGGGGACTAACCGAAACATAAAACTCAGCTATTAATATCAAGCAAATAAAGCCAAAGGCATACCAGGCGGCTACTATGCCAAACGGAGAACGAAATCCAATCTGACTTAAGCTACGCTGCTGATGCTTCATAGCAGAGCGGTAACGAATATAGGCGAGATTGATGCTTCCCCAAGTAAAAAAAGTGCCAAGACCAGAAAGAGATAAAAGCCAGTTAAACACAGTTGTACTTTTTCCCGTTTCTACTAAATATCCCAAAGGCATAAATAAAAATATTAAAAGAAGAGAAGTAATAGGTCGGCCAGAACGATCTACCCAACTAAAACATTTCGGGACAAACCCGTTACAGCCTAACGAATGAATGGCGCGACTTCCAGCATAGACCATAGCATTTGCGGAAGATAAAACAGATATTAAAATGACAGCATTTAAAACTGAAGGTAAGGCTTTTATATTAGCGTCTTTAATTGCTAAGACGAACGGACTGGCATTTACTCCGCTAAAAGAAGTGAGGCGGGAGTCGGAACCGCTGATGAGAAGACTTACAACGAACAGAGAAAGTATATAAAAGATAGTTATACGAAAAAAAGTCTGACGAACAGCCTTTGGGAAAGCCTTGGCTGGGTTATCAGTTTCAGCAGCAGCAACACCTACGCATTCGGTACAGGAGAAAGAAAACGCTGCTTTTGTGAAAACTGAACAGAATCCTTTAAATCCATTTCGAAAAGCATTTTCTCGAAACAATTCGGTTCCTATATAGCCTCGATGGTCTGTGGAGACACCGCCACAGTTAATGATAATGCCAAGTATGATAAAACCAACCATGGCTGCAACTTTGATGGTCGACATAAAAAATTCAATCTCACCATAGACTCTTACGCCAAACATATTTATAAAAATGAGAAAGGTTATGAAGACTGTGATCCATATTCCTGAATTAAGGTCGGTCCAGTAACGCATCAACATCGTACCAGTAGTAAGTTCAAGCGGAATCGAAGTGAGAAAACCCATAGCATAGTTGCAGCTCAAAGCAAATCCCCAAGATTCATCAATGAAACGAGTGGCATGTGTAATGTAACTACCTCGAGTAGGATAGGCCACAGATAATTCACCGAGATTATACACGGTAAAAAAAACCAAGGTACCGACCAGGATATAGTTAATCAAGACAGATGCACCACCCCCAGAAGCTAAAGATTCGCCACTACCAACCCAAACGCCAGTACCAATAGCTCCTCCTATAGCAATCATTTGAATATGACGAGCTTTAAGTTTTCTTTGTAGGCCATGTTCAGAACCAGAATCAGATGTATTAGCTAGACGGAAACTATTAACGAAATTGAAAAACCAACCTTTTGGTTGGACAATATCTACTTCACCAACTTGAACTTCGTAGCGTTCATCAACGACAGCCGACTTCTTTACTTCAATTCCTTCATTTGCTTTAGAAAAACCATGACTTGAATAGGAATGTAATTCCGCTTCAGGTGAATACTGTGGAGGTGAAAGTGACGAGCCCATTGCAGAATGCTTCAACCGAGACAAATTGTTTAAGAAAAGGCTTGTTTTTTAGCAAGAGTAAAAGGTCAATGAAGAGGATTTTTTTCAGCAAAGTATATGCTAGACAAAAAAGCAAATAAAAAAGAATCTCAAAGAAATGATGTTTCGAAAAAAAAAGCTAGTACAATTGTATCTTCCCATTTTGCTGTTTCTATTTGCCTTTTATATTCTCTCCGTGGCTGTCAGGATTCACATAAATCATTTCCATAGTTGTAGATAGTTATTATCAAACATCCTTAATTGCAAATGATAATTCAAGCATTTTGAGAGACTTTGGGCTCTCTAAAAAGAATCCTCCAAGATAGATAGAACCATTCAAGACTATCAGCTGATGTAAATAGCAAAAGAGCGGCCTGGCGACACATTGTAAAGTGATGAACTGCACACCGTATATAGAAGCTTTGTCCCCAAACGTACATCAAAATAGACCTTACTCCATGCCTCCAGTGAACCGAGGTGACCATTGCATGGTGTGAGTTTTTACCAGGATTTTTAAACATTTTCTTATTTAGGCGAAGGGTTATTTTATCAGAAAGAATTTAAGAACACCTGTCTTTGCCGAGGTAATGCTCAGATAACGATTCGCCGAAACATGGTGATGTCCGTTTTGTAAGAATTCATTATGGAAAAGAAGGCTTCCAAGTTGTATAGGAGATTAGATTATCTACTCAAAGACGGGAACCATTGAGACAATTGTTTACATTTCATATGTTGGCTCCAATTGGGTTCCTTCACAATTTGTTTGGGACACCCTTCGTCTTCATAGATACAGCCACTCGTATTTGTCAATATTTCATAAAAATATCGCTGTAGTTAATTCAGAGTCGGCTTATCCGTAATGAGCTCCTTGGACTTAGTGGAATGCGTTCATGCTTGGTATATCAATTTAAGCAGATTCAGTAAATCCGCATCGGCTCATCCGAGATGTATCTTTGGCTGGGTAAGCACTTTTCTTTATTTGAGTGCAGAAAGTTATTATAGTAGGTTTTGTTTTTGTTATTACTATTATCATAAAATTTACTCGGATTATGTAGCTTTGCAATAATCATTATATTGGTTACGCTGTATCTTCCCCCCCCCGGGGGGGTTGACAAGTGAAGAATATGTGGATCGGAGCAACCGAACGCTTTCATAATATTTTCTTATAGTTGCGTGCGGTATATGATCAATGAATCAAATGGCAGTTGGTAAAATGGTATGTAAATTCAACCCCTTTTTTATATTTGTTGTTTGTAAATACTTTGTTCACAGCTTTACCACTAATTGCCTAATAGAGCCTCCATTAAGCTAAGCAGAGTGCAAACGTTCCTATGATACAACGAATGATGCGATGCACCTTATCTTCATAAAAAATTCAAAAAATCGGTCAGAGAGGGACTCGAACCCTCGACCTCATGATTAACAGTCATGCGCACTAGCCAACTGTGCTATCCGACCTTGTATGTCTGCCAATTATTTTAAATAATATTTATGGGCTTACCTTAACTTTAATTAATTATACTTAGATTCTGGAAAAAATATGATAAGCATTCTTGATCTTTATATTCGATAAAGAAATAGCTTAAATGTCTTACCGAATAATTGATAATTAAGAAGTGGCCGTTTGGTCTAGTGGTATGATACCATCTTAGGGTGATGGTGGTCCTGGGTTCGATTCCCAGAACAGCCCGAAATTTTTGGATCGGTATTTCAGAATCAGAACTGTGCAATCAAAAGACTGCAACAAAAGTAGTTTTTAAAGGAAGTACAGACCAAGAATTATGAGGCTTCTTTGGCGGTCCCAAAGAATGCTCGTGAATGCCAAGGACAACCATTAAATTGGGATTCCTTATGCTCGGATATTCCGATCGTTGATCACTGTGGATAAATGCAAAGAGGTAGGATGAATAATCATTCTCATGTACGGTTGAACTTAACGATTATAGTCTCGGGTAATCCGTGTTACTTCTATTACATCCTAGATCAAATCACTTTAATGTTGTTAATGAGTAACTGAAAACCTACAAAATAATTTTCCTCGTTATTTGTATAATACAAACGGATTTTAGATTTATTCATAAAGTTTAGTTCATACTCCAAATGTAGTACTCCTATCCCATCTTGTCGGCTGGGCCGATAATTTTAAGTTGATATCATGAAATCCTTCAGCCAGGTTCACTTGAAGGATTGTTATGATTTATCCAATGTTTGAAACAAGAATTAACTTCTTCAAATCCTTTCATTTTAGAATTTCCTTAGTAAGCATGAATAGAATATGCACTCAGATTTGGTCACCTATTCCAACATCTACGTTACGACAAGTTTATTAACAATGTAATCCATCAGTAAAAACTTCGAAATTTGAGTGCATTCCTCATCTTTATTGATAAATTTTACGGCCTAAATGTTTTAATCTTAAACCTGCTCAAGTGATGCTGCATTCCTTCTTTATTGTAGAAACGAGTAAATGAGTCCAATATATTCCTTTCGGTCAGCGAGACGAAATTTGCTGTTGGAAATCAATTAATAAGCAAAGATAAAATACCTTCCAGGAACGCTTCCTACCATCGATCCCTTATGATACGGAGGTTCATATGATCCTAGCGCACGGTGATCCTCCTTTCTCTTCTCGTGGTATGTTGTCTACTTCTGGGATAAATGATGGAACATTTGAGTTTAAAGAGAATGTATGGTTTCAAGTTCAAAAAAAATTGAACATTTAAGAAGCAGGTGAAAGGACTCTCACTTTTTTTTGGTCGTAGCGATCCTTGCTATCATTCTTGGATAATTCAATTGAACTGCACGAAATTATATCTTTTGCTGACTATTGATAGAGGAAAAAATAAGCTATGCAATTTTTAGCCCCGTTCTCTTTCAAGAACTTACAACCAGCTCATATAGGTTATTGCAGATTGCGTTAATCTTACTCAAACTTTAACAGCTTAAACCGATCTTCGTTTCGGTCATTCTTTATGGTATTCATGTCTTACATTAAAATTCTAGTTCATTGAACGCTACATTCCTCATGCAAGAAACTCGCAGCAGTGAAGGTCAATTACCTTCAACATCTTCAACAGTAGGTGTATATGAAAATACCATGTCAAATCACATAAGCCTTAGTCCTAACTCTGATTCCCCTGTTCAGTCTAAATTGACTCAACGTCAAAGGCCCGCTGCTAGGAGAGCACTGAGAGCGTGCACGAGGTGCCATGTACGAAGAACCAAGTGCGATGCTAGAAGACCAAGTTGCAGTAGTTGTTTGAAAGCTGGTAGGAACTGTATCATGCCTGACGGATTTTTAATGACTGAACAAGAAACCTATAGCTTGGTCTGCAGAGTTCAATGGTTGGAAAGTGTTTTATCGGAGGCTGGTATTAACGCTTCTGCTATACCTACAGGTGCTACAGTTACTATTCCGACTCTTCCTTCATCGCCTACAAACTCTGAGTGTGATGAATCCGAGCTAATATCACCATATCTTCAAGAAAAAAATCTTACAAACTACATGCATGAACTAATATTAGATTTTCCTATACCAAATTCTATCGATCTACAGACTGCGCATTCTCATGAGAACAGCCTTGAGAAGAATCATTACGTTGGGCAGAGTTCAGCAAAGATAATTGCTAACTGCCTTTCAAAAGAAGTCGAAGGAAATTGCTTTGCCATAGAGTATTCCTCAAATCAAAAGGAAAGCCCTTTTACTACTAAATCAAGAGAGATACCTTTAAGCGAATCTTTATACATGCTTCCTAATCGTGATTCTGCTTATGCAATGTTGACAGCTGTAATCCACCACTTTATATCATTTCCAATTATTAATTTGAAAAATTTTTCAGATTTATTTATCACCATTTACGATAATGGACCTTCAAGTAATACTTATCAACAATACGAAGCAAATATGTGTTTCGCGATCGGATCTTCTCTTATGGGTAGGGATTGCTCTGATTATTTTTGGAAGGCTATCCATTTCCTTTCAAAATCAAAGCATCTCTACAGTTTTGAGCATTTGAGGGAGTTACTCTACTTGGGGTTATTTTCCATGCTTGAGTCAGTCCCGGGATTGGAATCTTATGGCATCATTCGAAAAATTGGAACCATTGCTATTGCTCTAGGTCTTCATCGAGAATCTACTTATACAACGTGTGGAATTCCTAGTAGTCTTAAAGAATTGATGAGACGATGTTTCTGGTCTTTCTATGCTTTAGATCGAATAATAGCATCAAGTCTTGGAAGACCTGTTAGTATTAGTGATTCCAGCATCGATGTAAAGATGTTCTCTTCTACTACTGATGTAAAAGAAAGTCTATCTTTTGCTGACTTGAATGCAACAGGATGGAATCTTGAGTTAAGCGTTCATATTATTAATTTAAGACGGTTTACTTCCGATGTTCTGAATGAATTGTATCAGGCACATGATAATAACGAAGAGGGTGTCCAGCAACGTTTGCATTCAAGGTTAGACGAATGGAAATGTGAGCTAAGACAGTATACTGACTCTTCATTTGGAAGCACGAGGGCATATTTAGAACTGGAGTATCTGGAAACTCTTATGCTTATATATCGCTCAAAAATTGAGCTGAATAATACAGATGTCTCAGCATGTATTATTTGCTTGAATTCTGCATCTTCTTGGATTAAGAATGCCAGTATTATTCGTCAACGTGGTATCCCACAATTAAAGCCTATTATAAAAGGTAGTATAGTCGCAGTGTTTACTCTTATTTGGGCGTATCTCACTTGCGGTAAAAAAGGGTTATTTATTTTCTCACAGTCTGCAGTGGTAGCTGACATTAGTTTATGCTGGAGATCTTTGAAAGCAGCTGAACAAAGTAATCGAAAAAGTATTGCTGGAGTTATAGCGATTTTAGAGAGGCTTCAGAGCTGGGTAAGCGGAGACAAGAATTCTCAAAATCATTCAGAGATTGACATGATGACTTTTGAGGAGTTTGACATTGGTGCTCACATAAATTTATGGTTGAAAGATATATGAAGGTCCTTAGAGTTGACTTGCGGATTATATAAAATGGTATTCATATTTTCATGATGAATAGACAACAAATAACAAAAAATTGAGAAGCAGAGCTTTTAATGATACTTGTTTACTACATAAGTAAGTTATATCTAGCAAGAAACCTTTATATGGAACGTCAATTTTGTTATTAGCTTATTGTATTGGTTCATTGTACCACAGTACCACATAAGCGCGACACTATCTAAATATGAGAACTCTTGCCTAATTCGTTCAAAATCTTGGCAGCCTAGTTAGTATATACATGACAAATCCATAGTGCAGAGGACAGAAAGCTTTATTTCATGTAGCTTTTTGGACGAAATATCTTATGGTAGACTATTTTGAACTTCAAATCAGTTATCAAATGAACAATTAACTTTTATGTTAATCGTTTTACCTTGATTGGTTTTCATTCGATGCCGCTTTATTTTCATAAACGGTCAGTGTAGATTTGACATTCATTTACTAAAGTATCTTTTAGCTAGTTTGTGTTACATTATTATACCATTTTCTTTGCATAAAAATCCAGATGAATCACTTGGTATAACTTTTCTCGAATGCGGCCCAATTCAAATTGCAACCTTTTCTCTTCAGGTATCACAATGATAAGTCTGGTATGTTTGAAAGGCTTGTTATACTCATCTATCGTTTGACGCCTTCACTATATCAATGTAACTATGTTGTTTGCATACAAAATAATTTATCAAACCATGGTTGCGTTCTGAGGGTTGAAGTCTCGTACTTCAGCAAGAAATAGAACTATGAGTAAATGAAACTTATTGTTAAAAATTCTGGAATAAAAGATCAGATACCAAACGAAATTCAAAACTTTGTATTCATATAACTGAATAAATTAAAATAAAGTATTTTAACGGAAAACAAACCTGCTAATCGAATTATCCTCCACGCCAACAATGAAATTACACAATGCCGCTGGTATTGTGCGAAAGAATGACCCTTAAACATCCTATCCCAAAGATCATAAGAAACGGGTAACTATGCTCATAAAACAAAAAAGCAATCGAAGGCTGAAACCGAATTTACTGAGGTATATAGCCTGAATATTAAAACCGAAAACGGAGATCATCCGATTTGTTCAAAATAATGTTGCAATGCTTGAATACCGAACCATTGAATTACTACCCGTATTGTCATATATATCATGTATTAACTAAGCATTTTAGGAATAATGCACTGAAATTAACGGAGACGATTCTGCTTCTAGTCGGGTATCTATTGCTTCCCTCTCTGCGACATTTTTTTCATTCAGAATATTGGGTGGAACTGGACGATAAGGATAATCCGTTCCATTTCTTAGACCCGGAGGAAGTAAAGGCGGATAGGTGGTTTGGTTTAAACTCTTCGCTGCGTAGCGATTTACGCAAGTAAAAGGAGAGAAATTATGAGTGGGCGTAATTCCCCAAGAAGGATAAACAGGTGCATGTAACGCAGGCCAATATGTACTTTGGACAGCAGGAAGAAGACTCATAGAAGGTGGTCGGGACCAGGAAAGTTGTATTCGCTGCCCGAGGATAGGAAAATTATTCATCTCGTTAAGCGCGCGTTCTGCGCTATGTCGTTGTACGAAATTAATTTTAGCAAAGCCGCTATACACCTGAGTATGCAGTATCTCACCCAGATGTTCAAAATAGGATCGAAGTGTTTCAGAATTAATTAGGGGAGAAAGTTCAGAAACAAATATTGATGTATTGTTTTGGTCCGTGAATTGATTCAAGGGTTGTGGAGTACCGTAGAAACCGGGTGAATTAAGATAAGTATTTTGGTCAGATCGAACTGAGTGTACAAGAATAGGACGTTTAATACATAACGCTCCTTGCATTTCCACATGTGCTCTTTCTGCTCCCTCCGAATTATTAAGCCATACAAATGCTAAACTTGTTGATGATGAATCCATGCAACGTAAGACTCGAGCAGAAACACAGCCATACGTTTGAAATAACTGTTTGACTTCGTTTTCAGCAACTTCTGGGTCAATGTTTGTTATAAAAAGCATATAATAAGTTGGCTTCTCCCAATCAGCTAATACGTCTAATAAAATGGGGCTACCAGAAATAGTCTTTTGACCGGATAGGATAGTTAGGGCATCAGTGGCAGCTTCTGGAGAAGAAAACTCAACTCTGCATGTTCTAAGCAAAGCATAAGATTCACTATCTTGGTAATAAGTGACGGAAATAGGCGTATTGTTGAAAAGCAATTTAACTTGCTCTTCATCCATCCATTCTTCAAGATTATTTAACCTAAAACATACTGTTAATTAATTTTTCTAAAGAACAAATAAATACCATAAAAAATTACTCATAATGGCTACTAAACCTCAAATTTTATGTGCAGAGGTGTGTGATGCAGTGTCGAAGCAGAGAATACGGCATGGACAAGGTACAATAAATGTGGGTTTAATAACTGCAAAAAACAGACTTTATTATTCTAGCTAAGTTCACCAAGAAACATAGTTTTGTCTGAAGAACACGAGAGGATGATATTTTGGGTTGGATGAAAATCGACGTGATTGACACAACCTTCATGACCAGGCAATTGATATTTAAGTTCCCCCGAAGAGGATGACCAAACGTACGTATTCCGATCCGAGCTACCTGCAGCAATTAAACGAGTATCTCCGCTCCATGCGGCTCCTAAAAGATTGTGCTCTAATCCGTGAACGGCTCCACTGTAAACACTAATGTGTCTATTGGAAGGAGCAAATGGTTTTACATCAAAAGTTCTTACTAAAACTAATTAGCTTCTTATAGCCAAAAATCATTTGAAAACGGCTTACCTGTGCTATCCATGGAGTTGGATAACAAAGTTGAACCATCCTTAGACAAAGATAAGCTCGTAATAATATCATTATGTTCTGTCAAAGTGTAAAGAACTTCGTTTGTTCTTAGATCCCACGCTTTAATGACACCCTCGATGCCTCCAGTGTATACAGTAGTGCCTTGCTGTGAAATGGCGACAGCCGTAAGAGGAAACTTTTCTCCTATGCTTTGTATACAGTCCCTAGAGCGACTATCCCACACCTTAAAGTATATTTATTAGTTTGAAACGAAACCGTAAAAAAAACCATACCTTTAAAGTCGAGTCATCACTGACTGAAGCTAGCAATTCTGAACCGACACGTAATACATCTAGAGCATTGACCACGCCAGCATGGCCCTTGTACTTTCTTATTTTTTGTCCAGAATTTGTATTCCATGAGTATAGGTTAGTGTCGGAGCATGCATTGTATAAAACTTCACCATCTCTGCTCCATTGTAAATCAGTTATAGCACCCTTAGCACCAGACAAAATACCAAAATTACTGACTTCTCCAAATACATTCCATAAAACTATATACGAAGGGATGTGTTAGTTCATACTAGCTTATAGAAACAAAGGTATTTGAACATACGTATTTGACGATCCATCCCGCCAGACGCGAATTTCGAGCCAGAAGTATCAAATCTTGATACCAAGACTTCTGAAGAGTGTCCTAACATTTGTAAATTAGGAGCTATTAAGTCTGAAGTCCTAGACAAGGTATCTTCTTCTGAAACTAAAGTTACATCTTCCACACGAGGCCGTTTCACCTGTAAACCGTTAGAAAACGATCGTCTCATCTTTAATACGTACGACATGACCATTCTGTGGAAATTCAGATTCTTTTCGCTTGTCCATTACTGGTTGAAATGACAGAAACGTATATGAGTAAACTACCGCGACGAACAGTTAAACTTTTCAAAAAGGATGATAAATTAACAAATTTTAGACAATGTAAGGTATTCGTTTGATACAGACTCTGGCAATTTTTGTATAAAAAAATCTAGCCTCCTATACAGTAATAGCTAAAAGAGTACCACCACAGTAGGAAGTTTAAAAACTCCAAATTCGGTTTTTAGAGTCCTGAAAATCAGCCAAAGGAAGTAAGAAATTACATTTAAGAATATAATAATTCTTCAGCTTCATATTATTGTCTATTTAAAGGTCACAAGATCTACTGCGCGGAGACGGTTTAACTCTGGTGCGTTGGTTTTTTCTAATCTTCTATATTTTCAAATAAAAATTGCTTAATTTACAACGTATTAGCCATTAAAGATATTTAAACTAGCAGAACATGCTAGTTTAGCATGCTATGTTGTTAAACCATAAAAATATATGCCTGCTATAGAGAAGTCTTGCCTCTTAAGAGAGTAAATAATCAGCAAAACTAAATTGATAACTTTCATTAGTTGCATCCGCTTTGAATGCTTTTTTCATTTATTGACATGTACAGCAATAGCCTTCAAAATTTGAATCACTAAGTTGCATAGACGATTCATTTAGCTAAATCTTCCTATTAAGACATTTTACCGCTAGTCTCTTTTGTTTCTTTTTACCATATTAATTATAGTTATCAGTAATAGCAGAACTTTCACCGGTCAGTTCATTTACTCTAATTCTTAGTTATTTGATTTCTTCTTTCGTTCATTATGGTAATGACAGCACCCTTGTAGAGCAACAGCATCAAGACATTGTCAATATCATATATGGATTAAATATATACAAAAACCTCTTTAGTTAATGTAACATCTTTTCGCTTTTTCATGGTTCCTTCAATTTCTGAAACGTTCTCACTTCCGATTACTTAACTCAGGATTTTTCCTACATAATTTTAGAAATATTCAGCTGTTTTAGATCTTACAGAACAATTTTGATCGTCAATATCCCTAGGTTCAGGTTTGTCAGAGTAGCCCTCTCTAAAATCTGAGTCATATTCATAAGATAAGTGCGTTCTTCAAGAAGATTCTTCTTTTTCTTTTTTGTTGTATCTCATATCGAGCTTTACGGGTTGAATTCTTACTAAGGACTAAATGCAGGAAAAGTCAACTCATACCATCGTGAAGTTTTAAATAAGCACATTCAAATTTCACTGGCCTAAGTTTAAAACTAAAATTTTCTATTCATATAAAGTTTTAAATCGTAAACTGAAAGTACAACCATTAAATAGAAGGAAGGTACAGTACTACGTATTAACGGCCATAGACAGTTGTTCCTGCCCGTAAACTACTAGTTAGTAATTTAGTGATGATCCAGTAAGGAATTTTTTTAAAATCTTGAATTAAACACTCTTCTACATGATCACATCGCAATATAATGGTCTTGAGTACCATTTATGAAAGGTATGAAATAACACATCGCGGCATTGAGCTAAAAAGTAGTTTATTACAATGGAGTCTTCGTCAGGACATATAAACAGTCATTAGCAGGAGTGTTCTATTCACGAAGGAAACGAACGATGCGTAAACAACAATGTTATGAAACGGATAAAAGGATTCATGAAAGAACTAATAAAAATACAACCAAACAATGCTGAACTCGTCTGATCTTTTTTATGGGAGTAAATCGAAGAAGCTTTATAGAATGCAATTGATATGGATACTCCCAAAAAAGTGACAGAGTACAAAGACTTTAAAACATGTTTGGTAAGACCGTAAATGAAAGCTGGAAAAGATCAAACATTAGCTGCTTGCTCAACAATAGGTAGAAGTTCAATTCCTTCAACGAGGTCGACCATTCCCACCATTCCTGCTATTTCTGTTCTGACAGGTTACTAAGAAATCTAAAATAATATAAAAAAGGTACTTATTAGACATGTTGGTGTATGGCGAACGTTTGGTATCTTATCCTCGATCAAATCTGGGTTTCCTGAACACGGTAAAACACTTGATGATAAATTGCATCTTACGATTAAGAATAAACAAGAATATGTTCTATACTGCTAAAACGACCAACGCCATGGCTGAATGTATATATTCGAAGCCTACTGATAATTTCAAAGCATAACCCCCGACTCCATTCAAACTTATCAGTATAATTAGCGCTTTACAGACAGCTGGTAACGCTTCTTTATTTTTCTTCCAAATTTCCGGATAGATATAAGAAATTGCTAAAAAATAAACGAGCTGTTCGAAAACAAGATATTGTAGACTTACCGAGTAAAAAAGCCACAAATGGATGCAATAGAAACGCAGCATACCCGTAAAAAGCTTTCGAATACGGAGAAACCTTCTAGCCAGATATGACTAGAAAGACAATATTATACATAGTTATAATAGTTATTGGCCTACGACAGGTGTTTTCCACCACTGTTTATTTGTCGAAGGATTTGATCCAGTATTAATAGCGGACTCTTGGGCGGATTCATCCGCCATTTCTAAATCAATAAATTTTTTTGACACTAACGGGGGGATGTATTAGTGACGAATGCTTTTGTTTTTTGCAAAAGGATAGAGGTGTATGACGCTTTTTTTACAGCAAGTCGCTTAATATTATGCGAATTGAAGCAATTGACGTTTATTTTTTTCCTTTTTATTTCAATAAATCTTACCTGAGTACGGAGGAGGGGGTACCAATACCATTCCAAGAACGAGTGTCTGACTTTTCAAAGTTGAGCACTTTGACAGAGTTATCAGAATTTGAAACAGGAGTGTAATTGTTCCTCATTTTAGCAATGGCAATTTAAAACACAGAATAATGCGAATATCTATAGCCAAAACGAAATCAGTTAGATTCACCAGAGAACGTCCGTATGATTCCACCGTTCACAGATCTGTCAAAAAAAGGAATAACTCCTTTCTTTAAAAGCTTAAATTAAAAGCATTTTTCAAAGGAAAGCTCCTCTTACAAGATAAAGCGAAGTTGAAAAAATCACGGTAATAGCTTTTCGCATGTCTTAATTCATAAATCAGCGACATTATGTCACTGGCTGATCATATCCTCGTTACGATTATTTGACTTTCGTTTTTACCGTACTTTTCGTAATACCATAATCCAAACGAGCCTTTATTACAAAAAGTAAACAAAAACCTTTTATAAAAAAATACAGATTGTATACTTTAAATAATATATACAAGAAATAGGAATAAAAAAAAAACTTTGTTAAAAAATCCTTGAAGAAATCTATCTTGGGGCTTTAAACGCAGTGAAAGTTGATGTAGATGGAAAGGAAATCATTGTTATGCTGGGTCCGGTCTTCTGTTTTTCCTTTAGCTTGGGCTATGCTTGTTTTTTTTTCATATTATTCGTTACACTGCTTCTCCATGACTATACTCTTGATTGGGATCCATTGCTTAAGCTTTTTCCATATGCAAAATATCACCTAACTCAAAGTACCATGGCGTTCATAACGAAATCCAAATGCAACACGATGCATGCATAAGTTACGCTAAAACAGGTAAAAAAAAACAAAAAATATGTAAGACGGGTTGAAACGAAACAAAGCAGAACTAAACTAAACTAAATCCAACCATACTACTAACGAGACCCTCAGACGCTTAACTGCAGTGATCGTTTCGCCTAGGTGTGGCCGTAGACGTTTGTAGTCGTCTATAAAGCTACTTCTCTATAAAGGATTCGTCCAGTATTCTATTACATCTGATGTCGTTTAAAAGCATTTCTACTCGGCTCTAAATTTTGGTTGTTTTCCACGGAAGAATGGAGAATGCCTTCATATTATAAAAATAAGATTTGAATACAAACTGTCATTCTCTATTTTCTTGATTCACATTGTTGTACGAAAAAGCATCAGAGTGTTAAAATGAGCGTTTGGGTTTATGGGTTGAGAATGTAGTTTATACAAATTGGGTTCTACTTGCAATATTTCATCTTCCGTTGATTTGACTCTCTAAATGAATGTTTAATCAATGTATTAAGATATATCTGATCTTTTGATCTTTTTGATCTGAAGATTCGTGCTTGCTATACTGAATGAAAATAATAACTGTCGAAACTCTCATTCATCCTTGTCAACTCTAAGACATAATCAATTACACGACTCGGTGTTGAACTAAACAATAGCTCATTGCCATGGAATATTCGTTGTCAAAATCATAAAATAATCATTAAAAAGGATGTTCTATTCGAACTGCGAAGAAAATGAACGATGCATAAACAACAGTGCTGTGAACTAATTAGAAAAGTCGTAAAAGAGTGAATTACTAAAGCGATCAAAGTTTGCTGGATTTATCAGATTCAAGCTTTTGTGACAACGAACACAGGGATCTTGGTGAACTGCAATTGACATGGATGATCCCAAGGAAGGGTCGAAGGCGAAGTACAAAAAATGAAAGCAAGTTCGGTGAAACTCACACTCACATTCAAACTTCAGAGCTTTGATCAGCAAGAGGTTGAAGTTCGGTTTCTTCGTTACGAGGTGGACGATTCCTGCTAATCCTGTTGTTCTGCAAAATTAATGAAAAATTCTAGATTAACAAAACTAAATTTCGCTTACTGTAGGTACGATAATTGTCATATTTCCAAATCCAATTGGGTTTCCTAAAGAAGTTAGAAAGGTTCATAGAAAATTGCAACTTACGAATGAGAAGAACAAACAAGCATATGTTCAATACGGCCAAAACAACCAACACCATGGCTGAATGTATATATTCGAAGCCTCCTGCTAATTTCAAACATACCCCCGACTCCATTCAAACTTATCAGGGTAATTAGCGCTTTACATACAGCTGGTGTGAATTTCTTAATGCACTTCTTTGTTGCTCTTCCAGCTTCCCTGTACCATTCCGGACAGATATAAAGAATTGCTAAAAATTAGCGAGCGGTCCTGAACAAGATATTGTAGACTTACCAAGGAGAGAAGTACAAATAGATCCAATAGAGCTGCCAGCAAGACCATAAAAAGTGTTCGAATACAGAGAAACGTTGTAACCAAAAACTATGGCTATAAATACAATATTATATATAATAGTTATAATGGTCACTGTTCCTATGACAGGTGTTTTCCACCACTGTTTATTTGGCGAAGGGTCAGACCTAATATTATTTTCGGATAATTCGGCGGAATTCTGAGCGGATCCGTCAGCCATTTCTAAATCGATAAATTTGTTTGAAGCTAATGAATGTATTAGCAACTGAAGTTTTCGTTGTATACGAGAGAATGAAGGTATTCGCCCTGTTTATTGACAATCGTCGACAAGTTTAAAATAGGATTCCTCAGTAAGGACTCTCAATAACAAACACCATTACCTTTCCATTTCAATAAATCTTACCTGAATACGGAGGGGGAGTACCCTCTGAAGAACGGGTGTCTGCCTTTTCATCAGTGAGCGTTTTCGAAGACTCTTCAGAGTCTGAAACAGGTGTGTATTTATTCTTCATTTTTGCAATGACAAGCCAATCCCAAACTAACACCTGCAGTTATACTCTAAACGAAATCAACTAGAATCACCAAGAAAAGTTCTTAAGAGTTGGTTCCAATTGTTGCAGAGTCTTCAAAAATAGGAATTGGTCCTTGCTTCAAAAACCAAACAGATCTTTCAGCTGAAACTTTTCTTTAAAACCAAAGATACAAGTTTAAAAACTCATGGTAGTGGCTTTTCGCATGTCTCGTTTCATAAAAGCTGCGACATTATGTCACCGACTGGTCACATCCTCGTTGCGATTTCTCGTAATAGTATAATCCAAAAGAGTCACTGTTTATTACAAATAGTAAACAAAGGAATATTAGGCAAAACAACCATGCTGTTTGCTTTGAATGATGTGAAAAAGGAATTGAAAATGCGTATTTTTGATTTAAAAGGTTTTATGACTGTGGGGAAACGGATTCTGAGTAAGCTACAACACTCTCCATTTTCGTAGTTTTATTTTCAATTCCGTAAACACATGGAAAGTTTGTAGATGCGACGTCGAACTATGGTAAACAAAATTTGTACGGACAAGTGAATTTTGTTTTCGTCTTTATTAAATTTATGTTATTTATACGATAGAAACCAACAAAAGCTATATCCGATAGTTCATTCATTCATTCATATTATATACACATATAATAGCGTGCGCTTACTAGCTATCGATAAGTCTCTTTAACGAACTGCATCACCCAGATCTCAAATGGGTTGGATGACAGCTTCACCTCTGCAAAGCTCTAGTCTTTGCCATTGCGGGCTTATTTTCTGGGCTTCAAGACTCTTTTTGTCATTCCTACTTTAATGTATAAACAAAATTGATATGGAATCTTTTTGTTTTCGAAATTGTATGCTATTTGGTCCTTTTACTCTGTAATCGATAATTTTCACTGTAACTTAGTGATCAAGCAACGGTGGTTAAGAAATTCTTTAGTCACAGTTATTTTCAACAAAAATGGATCAAAAAGAAAAGGAAGGACATCAAAAAACTGTCGAACCAGTAAAAGTTGCTTGTTTGAGCTCTTCTACAAATTCTGACAGCGATTTACCTAAATACAGCGAAATCCCATATTCTCATGTTGACAATATGGAGAAGGGTAGTTTACGTTTACAGTCCGATCCAGATCCAGTTCCACCATACTCAAGAAGACGACATCAAGAAGCTTCTATTGGCATGGCGCAAGGAAACGGTCCCTCGAATTCTTTACGGGTCTGTAAGGAGATACTGTGGTTAATTTTCTGGCCGGCAAAAATTGCGAGAATCCCGGAAGCACAGAGGAGACAAGAGAATGAAGCTCTTCGGCTTGGTTGGTGCCTTAATGGTTCAATTATATTCAACTTTTTCTTTTCTTACAAATACCTTGTCCCCTTTATAAAGGAATCAATGAAAGAATCTGTATGGTTATGGTTTCAAATTACAGTAGCAGTTGTTCTTGTCATCGCGACTTTCTACATGTTCTTATTTTTTGTTCATGTAAGTGAATTGGTGGATTTGTAATTTAAAGTTGTTTACTAATGGGATGCTTTTAGTGTTGGTGGATTTTATCGTTACACTGATTCCTCTAGTCCTTTCTGGAACCACTATGCTTGTTTCTGGAATATCTTTATTTCTTTCCTCGCTTTTTTCTGGAATATCTTCATTTCTTTTTTCGCTTTATTCTGGGATTAATAGTGCTGTTACGAGTGCTCTAGGTTTCAGGATGCCGTCAGAAAGAAACGACTTGACGGATGATAATTGTATCCCATGAAACAGCATGTCGACAGAGACTGAAAATCAGTTTAATGATTGTAATGATAATAGTTTGGAGCAACCGTCCACTGAACATTCTGAGCAATCTCCAGGGTTACGCCGGGGACCTGGTCAGTCTAGGGATGTGGAAAACAGTGGGAGTTGATTTGTACGTAAAGCAAAGCATTATTTATTAGTAGTTCCCAATCTTTTTGGTTGTTCTCCTGCATGCTTTTGCGTATGTTTGTGTTTGTGTTTATGTTTATTTCGTCCCTGCATATTTATTTTAAGATTGCATTTTGCATGACGAGTACTCCTGAATGGCGTCCGTTTTCTTGATTTACTTGATCTCTTCAACATTGGATAAGTAAGAATGCTTATTACTGGATGATATTGTCATTGTATCTGCATAGCTAGGTTCAATTGCTTATTATTTATTCGTTTGATACTCTATTTTCTGATCTTTGTTGTTCGTTTCATTAGTCTAGGAAGATCTTTAGTTCTTTCCTTGAATTTAAGAGTGATTATTGCATTTCCAACTTCCACTGCTATTATTACCTTCATCAAAGGACCATGCCGACCCAAATGCCAGCCATATGCTTTAACAAAGAGCAACAAACAAACGAAACAAACAAATACAAAGAAAAAGAAAAAGAATTAAAAACGAAGCGGTAAAAAGCCTACAGCATCCCGGATTCCCATGTTGTCTCCAACCATAGTACTAACGAGACCCTCAGACGCTTAACTGCAGTGATCGGACGGGAACTGGTGTTTTCGCCTAGGTGTGGCCGTAGACATCTGTTCGTGCATGTAAAATCACTAGAATTTGTAGCAGCGTCCAGTATTCTATTACATCTGATGTCGTTTAAAAGCATCTCTTTGATGTGTGTATCGTACAAACGAGGAATGTGTGATGATTCTTCTAGAGGTAACTAGAATGACGAGGGAAGGTGTATAGTAAACAAAAGAGTACAAGGAAAAAGAAGCAAAGAAAAGAAAAAGCCATTTCTATGTCCAGTTGAGAAAAAGAAATGACAGAATTTGTACAAAAGAACAAAAGGAATGGCATGGAAATTCGACGAATTCCAGTGGTGGCCAAGAGGCAGCATCTAGAAAGTGCTAGGCCGTTTAGTTGCTCGTGATGAGTAGGTATAAATGAGAGGCATGTAAAAGTCAATCGACAACATCTACAAACAGTATTAAGTTATTAAACTGCTATCTGAAATTGACAACTGCTATTGCTAATCGTTATTAACAATGTCTCTCCAACCCTTCTTTGAATTGCACCCCTTCCAAGACGTCTTTTCTGACTTTTTGAGTTATTCTCCTCGTGTCCAACGCCAAAACCGTGTTGGTGATTTGTCACCTGCCATTGATGTTCATGAAGGCAAAGATACCGTCGAGGTGGATGTAGAACTGCCTGGTGTCAAAAAGCAAGATGTACAGGTTCATTACGATGAAGGAAAATTGACGATTTCTGGTGAATCTGTAAATGAACGCAAGAGCGAAAGCGACAAAGGAAACCAAAGATGGTCGGAACGTCGCTTTGGTTCCTTCTCTCGAACAATCACCATTCCAAACAGGGTGGACGCCGACCGCATTGAAGCTCAATTTAACCACGGTATTCTAAGCATTGTCTTGCCAAAGATCGAAGAATCTCGCTCGAAAAGAAAAATTGCCATTAACTGATATATTAATCGGAATAGTGGTTTGACTGGGTTTATGACAATTTATGTTTGCGACGAAAATATTAATGCATGCTTCTTTATATGACTCGTTGTTTTAATGAAAGATAATTATGTTCTATGACTTAGAGAGTGTGGTGTTTATGTTGGTGAAACCAATAAAAGGAGTAGAATCGTAATAACTTATTCAAAGCAAGTTATAGTAAGCTGGTATGAATTCCTCCTTTTCTATATGAACTGTGTACATTCCTTCAATGAAAATAAAAGTTCCTCGTTAACGAGACTATGAAGTATTAGTACGTTTTTAGCCGCTTCGAAAAATTCCATAAAGATCAGGGGACAATGCCTTGTCATTATACGGCAATGAAGGAACTTACATGGCTCCTTCAGTGTAATTATTCCAAATAGGTGAATACTAGGACATAGTCATTTATCGGCTATTGAAAATCGGCATTATATAACACACCTTGAGTATGATTGAACCTCTCAAATGAAAAGTGAATGTCAGCGTATGACTAACGTATATGAACAAAAATCCATATTCTGTTTAGAGACCCTCATTTCAAAGACATATTAAATTATTATACTTTCCTTGTCCATAATAATATCGATAATAAAGAGAAGGTCTATGCTAGGAGTAATAATGATCCAAGAGGAAACCCAATTCTCGAACTTGAGCTTACAACTGATTTAGGGAAATTTCCATCCATGGATCTTTGGCAGCATCAACAGGTAAATGGAAAGTAAAAGGAATTCGTAACGAAGACAAAGAGAAATGGATAGGTAAATTGTCAAAAACGCTGTAGAACATATCAACAAAGTGCTGGGGCTCCTCCTGATAAAGTGATATAGCAATGAAGAAAAAAGTTGACAAGTTAACGATAGATTTGGATGACCTTAGTAAGTCCTAAGCTAGGAGGTGATGATAATGTTGGGATTTCAATGACAATAGGTCGCTGCATCTGCTTATTTAAAGATTCCCTTTGGATAAACATATAGCCGAACGTTTTTGTTTTGAAAGAAAATAACTAGTTCCATATTCCTCCATTGAACATCTTAAATTGTTTAAACACTTGCGGTGGAGACTTTTCATGTACTGGTATCGTTTGGGCTCAAGTTGTTAGATGTATAATTACGGGTTTTACATAGACAGAAAACGGTTTCTTTCCTCAAGATATTCCTCACCGTGGTATTGAGTTCAGCTTGATATTTGCTTCATTTGGTGCAACTCTGCGATTATACCTTTCACGCTGGTTTAACTCGCCAAAGTACTACATGCCCTATGGAACACTGATGGCAAATTTCTTGGGTACGTTCCTCATTGTTATAGTATACATGATTCCTTGCATCACGCACTGTAGACCCGTTCCAAAAGTGTATTGTATAAATTTAAGAATGGGTTTTGCGATTGTTTGACAAATTTATCTACGTTTGTTAATGAACTTTTATAATGTGCCTACAGAAGGAGCATACATTTATTTTATATTGAGTGTTGTTGGATTTTCGTTTTGCTCTGTCATTGTTGTCGCTGGCGTATGGGACATTATCACAATGTTCGACAATATTCACAAGAATCACATATTCATCGTTTGCTTTATTTGATTTTCGTAACCTATCTTCGTCTTCACCTTGACGTTTTTTCTTTGTTGAAGCGTATTTTCTCATTCAATAAAAAGCTTTTGGTCATTTTCCTTTTCGATTGCCTTGGAAAAGAAAATTGAATAATAAATTTAGTATAGTATGGAGAGAACCACTTTGGCATTTGAAAGAAGAACAAAAGCTCCTCTTTTCTTGAGCGACAACTGTGAACGAAACTTTCACTTTATATGAACAACCGCACTCTCAAGTCGGAATCATTTGAATATTAGATTTCTTTCTAAATAGAATCTATACTTCGTACTAATATATTCCTTTTGGTATGATTTGATCACTTTGTTTATCATAGTATGTTCATAATACGTATGAGGTTTCGTGCTAACGCTAAGCATCTTAAAGATAATTTGCGAATATTAAAATTGTTTCTCTAAATGTACTAATGAGGGACTAGTAAATTCCGAAAAGCTTGTTTAGTGATGAGTGAAAGGCGCTTCGTAAGTAAATAAATAAAAGGCTTTTTTAGTTTGTGGCATATAAGAAAACAAATGCTGAGTGAATTTCTAGATCATCAACATCAAAATCAAATAGCAAAAGTCCAATTGAAAGCAAAACTGGTAAAGACTAGGAAGGAAAATTGAGCAGAACTGAACCTGCTTTTTAAACCGCTATATACTCATACAAATTTATGAGATGTGTTCGCTATAAAATTTTTGCATTAAATCCCCATAACTTCTGTATTTTCTTTGTATCTTATATTATATCATATCCACGAAAGAAACAATCTATAGTCATTCTGAAAGTTAATCCATCAAGTTTTATTTTACTTTTTACAGAAATCACCAGTTTTATAGATGACTGCTTAAAAAATGAATTGAAATAGTTTAATTGTGAATAGAAAAACTTTAATGGCAGCTGAAATTTGTTAGTTTAACTTCTTGATATCCTTAACGGCTCACCTTTCTCAAGGTATGTTTTAGACAGTCATAACAAGTCGTAAGTAAAGTCCATATCACTAATTTCAGTACAATAGTAGTTTCATCACAAGTTTTCGTAGCAGGGTAATTCCCATGCCACGCTCTCCTGTGAACGCTGGTTCAGCGCTTCAACTCACTACAAACACCACCCCAGTTGATGGCAGAACCGGCTGAAAAATCTGGCTCGAGTCAGCAGGGCAAATTGAATGATGCAAATAATCATGAACATACGAACTTGGCGGATAGGACGACTCAGTCCCTGCTGAACTCGTATATCTATGATTATCTCGTAAAGAAAAACTACTGGGAAGCAGCACAGGCATTTGGGCAAGAAGCCCAAGTCCAAACATTGATGCGACCTTTAAATAAAAATACAGCGACATCCGATAAGCAAGCAACTTCGTCCCCGGCAAACGTTAAGCGGGAGAGCCCAAACTTGAATGATCCACAGAACCCTGATCTTGCTAAGCAAGCTTCTAACCATCATGAATCAGGAAGAGACCCACCTCCACCTCCAGTATTACCAATTGATTCCTCGGGTGGTTTTTTGATTGAATGGTGGAATGTATTCTGGGACATTTATAATGCTCGCAGAGGGAGTGGTTCTGAACCTGCAAAAGATTATATGTCTCATATTAGCAACTTAAGGAAAAAATCTTATATGAATATGCAACTTCTACAAAAGAATTTGATGCAATCCGGACCTCCGAACGGTATGTACCAGGTACCCACCGCTCCTCAGATGTACAATGGAGACCCTATTCATCATTTTGATTCGTCGAGGATGTCTCATGGAAATGGAATGCTTATGGATAGAAATCGTCATCAGCTAATGCGTCAAGCTGTAATGAACAATCAGGGTAGAGAAACATTCCCTCCTACCGCTGCTCAGCTTCAACAATTAAAACAACTACACTATCGTCAATTACAACCACAAAAGCAGCAAGCAGATAATTTAAACGTGAATCAGGCACCTCCTGTATTTCCTTCTCATGCTTCTAATCGCCAATCTAAGACACCGCCAGTCATGGGACCTGTCACCCATGAGTCTTTTTCTTCAGCACAGAAGAATCATGTACCAGAATTCAGAAACTATCAAGCTCATGGAATTACAGATACTAATGCAAATCCCACGACTGCAACTGATGCTTCCATACCGGGTCGAAGACTAAGTCGGCCGCTTACGCCTAGTTCGATTTCTCAACCCCCGGTTTCTTATGATCCTTCATTGACGAATTCGGGAAATTTTGTGGTTCCAGGAAATTCTGCTCAACCTCTGCTTCATGAGGTAAATTTCCAAAACAGTGGACCATTTCAACAAAGGCAAGTTATGCCCTCTTACTCCAATCCCTCTTTGCAGCAAAATGGTGCAGATAAAGCTCCTATACTTCCACAACGTTCTAGTGCGTCAGTACCCCAGCCAAGTCAATATGGCTTCCAACCACCGACTCCATATGGGCAGCCAATATCCTACGGCATGAATGCACCTTCTGCTCCGAATAACGCAAATCCAGCTTTAAAAAACTATATGGAAGAATTGAAATTGCTTGAACAACAAAATAAAAGACGATTGCTTTTGGTTCGGCAGGAGAAGGAACGCCGCATGTATCAATCAACATCACCAGAAAACAGAAATTTTCCTGCGCATCCAGAGTTGAATTCTGGGGTTCCTTTGAATGCTATTCCCAAGCCAAACGAAAAACAACCTGAAATTACGTCTTCTGAAAATATCATTACTAACCCTGATGTTACATCGATGGCAGCCCCAAGCCGTCCAAGGATGTCGGATCCACGTGCTTCTCCGTATCCTGCCGAAAGAAACGTATCGTTAAATTATACCGGTCTTATGTCTAGCCCTGCGGATACCGCTATGCAATCCCCGGATTTTAATAATCCACTGAATCGCTCGAGAAGGCCAACTCCCTATCGGGTGAGTGTACTAATAATATTAATTTATAGTTTTAAATACTAACAGATATCTAGGATTCACCTACGGGAGGGAAAACAAAGAAAATTCGTCAGTCTAATCCTCCCACTGCGGATACTACTAATGTGATTCATCCTCAAAAGGATGATCGATCAGAATTAGAATCAGCCTCTGCCGTTTCTTCAGGTGATGTATTAATGAAAGACATTGGCTTTTCAAATAGTAGTACAACTATGCAGAATGGTCAACAGTTTCAAGCAAATCAAAGAAATTCAAAGGAAACCGGAGAGGATAACTCATCTTTATCGGATCCTGTGAATAATTTGGAAAAGTCTTCTAATGTTCCTGTCTTAGATGTTCCAGGATCTACGGATCTTGATGCATCTTTATTAAACGATTTTGATTTTGACAAATTCCTCAAAGATACTAGCACAGCAGATGACTTTGGATTTGGATTGTTTAATATGCCGGATAATGCTGATCAAACAACTGATTAGTACCATGCTTTAAAATATCTACTTCTTTTTGTTTATATCTCTTTTGCTACTCATTTATTTTCCTTTTTTTTTTTTGTTGTTTTATGGCTTGCTTTTGTTTAACATGTGCCTCTTCATGTTACAAATAGCGCTGGGTATGAACGTTCTTTCTATGATTTTTATTTTATGTTCACCGTTGTATCAGTGTTTGTTATTCTATGTTCAATGGAGACCATAACACATTATGCATCACAAGAATGCTCCCATTCCGTCTTTTATGTACCCTTTTTTGCAATAAATTGTGTAGTTATTTCGTTTCCTAACTGTATACTAGAAAATACAAGATATTGTTCTGCGAAATTAGTAATGCTGAAGTAATATTGGTCTAAAAGAGCTGGCTATAAAGTATGGGCAAAATCAACTAAGCAGTTTAGCTAATGTGAAAGATTCAGCTGTAAGATAGGCATGTATATATTGGGCTTAATTGCGAACTTACTCCAAAATTAAATTTTTATTGAAAGTATTTGCTTTTGGTATAAAGTAATTATTTCATATATGAAACAACATATTGATTTTCATCAAAAGTTAATGAAAACGATAATTATTTTTATCTTTATCTGATTATATTTTAAGTCACAATATGCTCTAGGTAACGTAAACAAAGAAAAACAAAAACTCTACTGACGCTACGAAAAACTTCAGTCTTACTGATACTTGGGAAGTTGACAATCTGAAAAGAAGATTGTATCTGAAATACTAATCTTTTAATTGTAGGTCCTTTGATCTTAATAGATGTCGTCTTTCTTAAAATCGCTGTTTTCAAAGCAAGAAGCTACCAAGGAAGAGCCCGCTCGCGCGGGTGGTGAAAAGCAAACTAAGAGGAAAAGCAAGAAAAAACAAAAAAATGATCCTGGATGTACTCAAGAAAAATGGGACGCATTAGTGGAGAGCGGTGAAAATTTGTCCGTAAGTGATTGATCTAGGCATTAGGCTGTTTTAAAGAATGAACATTAACATAGGAGAAAGGGAGTAGCTGAACCCTTTAAAGTCACGATGGAGGAATTGAAGAAGCACAATACAAAAGACGACTGTTGGATTGCTGTTCGAGGAAAAGTCTACAATGTTACTGCTTATGCTCCGTATCACCCAGATGGTGCAAAAAAGATTTTTAAACACTCTGGCATTGATGCTACAAAGCAGTATAGTGAGTTCAATTTGTGTGTTTGGTCGTAACGTACTTACCATTTTTTATAGTGAAGGCCCATGCTGATGTGAATGAAGAAGAAATGCTTAGAACCTGTTACGTTGGTCCTCTGGTTGATTCATAAAAACTTGATGCATTTTAAACCCCGCAATGTACGGCCTGTTGATAGGACGCGTGCTTAATTTTAGAGAGTAATGAAGCAATTAAAGTATAGTATAAACATTATAAATCACATTATATTGCTTCAACTGGATACTGTGGAAATAAAAATATCTTTTATATTTGAATCTTTATTCAAGTAGACTCCGGCTTTTCTGTACAAGCAGTACCTCTCAACGTTGAAGTTGCTATAACTAAAGTTCCTTTAAAAAGTTATTTGTTTTGGAGTATCCAAGTCGTTTAACAATATCACTAAGCTTTTTCTTGATCTTTTCTATAAATGTAAAATGAATAATTACTAGCTTTTCTTCTGTTTCAATATAGAGTTTTCAAAATAGATTGATTATGGGAATATTATCAACACCAAAACCATGGAAGACTGCAAAGTACTTCGATGGTTAGCTTTCGTATTAGCTGAAGGTCAGTGGCACTCTTATTTCATTGGTTTTTTTGTTATTTATTAATCCTAGATGGGAACTTCTCTAGCAAAATTTGATAGTACACTTGAAGTCATCATGAAATCTTCCACATAGCCATGTCTGCTTCATGTATCCCTTCAACACCAAAAGATTTTCAGAATACTCTCATTTTCGGTAAGAAAAATTTTTAGAGCAATCCTTTAAGTTAAAGTCAGGTAATGTTTTGTTTACTTACCCCAGCTGACGTTTTTTAAGCTTCCCCAAAGACCCAAGTTCTTGTTTTGGTGTCTTATAGATCTTGTTTTATCAAACAGAATAATATTTCCATAATTAGCAACGTCAACATATAGGTATTCCCAGACGTAGTCCTTTCCGTTATTCGCGAGTCGTCCAAATACATGGCCCTTATGACCATTTCCAATCAAATGAAATTGCAAGACCAGGTGTTCAATGCCCTTATGGTCCCAAACTCGGCTTGTCAAAATACCATGAGTTCTTCTTAAAGGATGACTAGCCTCACCTATAGCCTTCATTTCGTCACCAAAAACATATTGGCATTCTGGGTTGTTTTTCAATAAATCAAATGCCTCATCACCATAATGGGCTTCACCTGACCATAAGCTGGTAACCAAAGCATAAACGATTAATCCAAACACACCTCCTCCGAAGACAACAATTGACAAATTTCCAAAGTTTGCAGAAGTACGGTAAGCTTTTTGAGGAGCACTGAGATCCTTCCACGACTTTCCAGCAGGATCTTTAAAGACACGAGCTAAACGTCCTTCTTTAGGCTTTTCCGGGTTCTTATTTAATGAATCGGATGCAAGCGAATACAGCCTTTTCGGCTGGAATATGCTCGAAGGTCGTGGCGCACTAGATAAACAAATACTACGTCTCATATAAAATATATATTTTGAATGCTATAAAAAACCCACTTGGATAATGGAAAACAGGGGGATTTCAAAGTGTAGGTGGTAGGAACCTGTTTTTCTTGAACTCACTATTTCTCCGTAAACCAGTCAGCTTCATCAGAAGAACGTGTTAATGTAATTTCTTAGAAAAGTGTATAAGAGTCTAGTAATTAATATAAAGGATTTTCTGCTATACGCTTTCCTCGAATGTATTCTAAAGATTCTCCTTGAAGACTGAACGATGGAGCAACAAAAGGGCAATCACCCTGTTCTAAAATACCACCATTTTGTAGAATCCATTTCCTTCCAAGATCAAAAAGATCCCTTAAGCAGGTACTTCTATTGTCGGTAGGTGCATCCTGTGAATTCTTCAGAGGACTAAAGGATGTGTCACGTGAAACTTGTAGACAACCGAATTTTTCAATAGGAATCTGCTCAAAAGAATCAAAAATAAACATTTCAAGCTTATATCCATTAGGAGATGATGGCTTGAAGAATTGGTGTTGAGTAATATCATAATATGGTATCTTTTTTAGAGCAAGGTGTACAGGAAGATATCGAGCATTGTGGGACATGTGTTCTAAAAAGTCCAAAGAAAAATAATGATAAGCAATATTTGCAGCACGAAGTCGCAAACATGTTTTCCCATCCACCGATTCTGTTGCACGTGAAGCCTCCTCTGAAATTTCGGAATACTCAACGACTGAAGGATGTGCGTTTTGTGAGACAACTAAACCAACTCTTTCTTCGGCGACTTTCTTTTCTACAACTTTCATAGCCACTTGGTATCCTTTCTCGCGAACCATGCCAATAAAGATGGGATCCACCGGTAAAGCAAGCACATTATCTACACTATAAGCGGTAACATGGACGATACCAGATTGCTTCATATGCTCAAGTGCGCCCGTTCTTTGTAAAGCCTCATAAACACCGCCATTTCCGTTGGGTGCTTGAGAAACGGTATAGTCGGACTCAAGAAGAATTCGCCCTTGGACATCTAAGCAAGGCAATTTTCCTTGTTCAAAGAAAAATATCCGCTCCTTTTGGATTCCAAAGTAGTTATTTTTTTTAAAAAAAGAAAGGGTGATGTCTTTGGTTGCGTCGGACACCATTACATACCATACTACTTTCGCTGATTGTTTGTGCATAGGGTATGCTTCTTGAGCAAGATATTCTGCTCTTTGAATTTTTAAAGCCTGCAACTCAAATAAGGTCTTGTTTCCAGGTAATCCAATATTAAAGCATCCTTTTGGATCGTTTGACCCAAGTCTTGTACCTTGGCCGCCAGCAAGCACTAAAGCGGCAACACGACCCTTTGAGATCTCTTCTAAGCCCATATTATACCATGATTCATCGATTGTTGAGATAATTGGTACCGGAGAGACGTCAGACGGGGTCAATTTGCTCCGCTTTTGACTATGTTCGATCGCATTTTCGAATTTGGTCAATAACTCATCTAAATGCAAACTCTCAACCTCACTCCAAAGAGTTTGAAACTTTTCAAAAGAGATTCCCTTTAGTTCTTTTAGCTGGTCATATATATGCAATTGGTTTGCTTTTTCAAAAATTGAACGATAATCCTCCAATGCACCTTCCAACATATCACCTGTGTCTAATGTATGAAATCCCTTCTAAAACTTATGATTTCAGAAAAAGTTTCTAAAACTCTTCTCTGTAGAAGAAAGAAAACGTCAGTAATCCCTCAGAAGGAATACTATCGTATTTGTTTATAATAAACCATTCTTTCATGCGGTGGAAGATTTGTTTTCAAAACTTGATATAAGCATATGACTCCTATAAAGCAATATATGCTTCTAAGTTTGTAAACATCTTTAAATATACATAAACACTCCAATGACTATGTGTTTGTATTGTAATCAATAAATAATAAAGTAGTGAAATTATACCACAGGAATAGTTTCTGTATGATCAACAATGCTTGTGACAAAAGCTAAAAGTATCTTGCTGGTAAGTATCAAGTAACTATGGAGTAGGAGCATGAGTCTTTCTACTATTAATATCAATGAAAGAATTAAGATATAGTTTATTTTTATTTTTGTTTTCTATAAAAGCACTTTGCTGACATTTAGATAGACTAGGAGAGACATTGTACTCGTTAACAAAGCTTTTTTAAAAATACTAAGTAAATGTCAGAGTTCCGTGCTCATCTCTGTTGAAACAATAATAAAAATAAAAAATAATCACTGATTTCTTTTATTTCAGACATTGCTTTTCAACTTAGCACCATTTTTATTATACCTTCTGATTACCAAATATGGTTCCCCATTAAAGTGCGGTATATTTTGCTATCAAATATTACGATACCCAGCGCGTTAACCACCAGTCAAGGAAAAAGTTGTGAAAATTCATATTGTCCTTCACCATACTCCCATCGAATAGGAACAGAATGGCTACTGATCGATCGAGGACGGAAGTTTCTATCCAATCTGACCGAGTCAAAGATGTTACCAGTACAGACTTTCCTGGTTATTACTTTGATGAGGACAATTCCTGGAACTTGGACAAATTTCGTGAAAACTTGAATGTCTCCGTTACTTCTTTAAACGAAGAAACAATGACTTTTGAGATTAGTGGAGTGGATGCTTCTATTGCTAATGCGTTCCGACGAATTTTGATTGCTGAAATCCCTACGGTAGCTTTCGAATTTACCTATATCATTAATAACACCAGCATTATCCAAGACGAAGTATTGTCTCATAGAATTGGCCTTTTACCCATTAAGGCTGATCCAGACATGTTCAAATGGTTTCAGCGACCTATCCCTGGCCAGGAAGCCACTCATACTGACTACGATACGGTAGTTTTCTCATTGAGCAAGAAGTGCGAATTTAACAAAGAAGCCGCTGCTGATGAGAAGGATCCTAAGAAGCTTTACGTTAATTCGGAAGTTCTGTCGAGCGATTTGATCTGGAAGCCCCAAGGACGACAAGAGGAACGTTTTGCTGAGTCTCCTATTCGTGTCGTAAACCCTAATATTGTAGTTGCTAAATTACGTCCTGGTCAAGAAATTGATTTGGAAGCTCATGCTGTCTTAGGTGTTGGTCAGGACCATGCAAAGTTTTCTCCCGTAGCTACAGCCTCTTATCGTTTGTTGCCCACTATTCACATTTTATCACCTATTGAAGGTGAGGATGCTGTCAAGTTCCAAAAGTGTTTCCCTGCCGGTGTCATCGATCTCGAAGACGGCCCTGATGGAAAGAAGCGTGCTCGTGTTGCCGATGTTCGTAAAGATACCGTATCTCGTGAATGTTTACGACACCCAGAATTCGCTGACAAGGTTCAATTAGGCCGTGTTCGTGATCATTTCCTTTATTCGGTAGAAAGTACCGGAATCATGACGCCTGATGTCTTATTTTTGAAGAGTGTTGCTGTTTTGAAGTCCAAATGTATGGCTGTGAAAGCTAGCCTTGACAATTTGGGTTCAGAAGCTGCTTAAAAAATTTTTGGGGACGGGTTTATAATATATCCATACATTTAGTTGGTAAATATAGCCACGTAGACAATTGTTCATAATTGGCTAGAGAAGGGTTTGCGTTTGGTTTTTTAGGAAAGGATAAAAAAACTTAATATTAATATATCTAGATTTATGTTTTATGACCATTTCAGAAGCGAAGTTTGGATACTGTAATTTGTTTGTTTGTTTAATAAAAATCCTTCGTATCAGCAACTAGTCTTACATAGCTAAGGAAACTACTGAACTTTCAATTTTTCTGAGGAACCGTTAAGAGGATCTTGAGGTCTCTTAGTTTCAACGGTAATGTTACAAGCTAGGTCCACATTTTGTACGAAATCAACAGGCATAGGAATCTTTTCGCTTTGTATCTATGTACCAATATTGCTAATACTCTAGAATGTTTTTTGAATGTTTCCTTCTCTCAACACATACAGAAACCCATTACAGAAATAAGCTACTCGTTTATTATGTAGTTAGTTCGTTTAACATAATTTAATATTATCAGATTTGTCTAGAAGGAGTGAGGGTTATATATTTCTCTACTGATCTTTACGAATTTTCCACCACCAACCATGCAAGGATTTTGCAGCCAGTTTTTTCGAAAGCTGCTGAAAAGCAACCAGTTGCGTCTAGTTGATCCTATAATTCAAGCTAGACGTACTTTTGTAACTACTCATCCTTTACATAATAACCTTCATTCAAGCTTTACACCCGATACTCAGCGACACATAAAGAGCAATTCATCGGTTTTGGTATGAGAGTTTTATAATTAATTGAAATTAGAAAAAGAAATTCTAACAAAAATAAGCTAGATGAACTGAATGCCCAACTACAAGCTAGAAAGTATAAGGAAAGCGTTGCCACGTTCGCTGGTCTCAAACCATTAGGAGTCTTGGATTCATTTACGCTGACTAGATATATTACATTCCTTGTAAACCGTTCCAAGGGTATTCGCGGCCGTGGATCCGTTGATAAAAACACATTAGATAATCTAGACGATATATTAAAGTATGCTATTGAACACCAAGAAGTGGCCACAGCTCAGTTTTGGTCAAGCATGATCAAGTCCTACATCGATTTGAATCTTTACGACAAAGCCTCCTTGATTGCCGACATGGCATTGAGCCACATCGAGTACTTGCATAATGACACGAAGGTCCTTTCCAGTCTTTATTTATGTATATTACATGCCAAGTTGCTAAACAACTCAACTTTTGATCAGTGTAGTCAAATTGGGTCAAGAATTCATGAGCATCTTGGTGGACGAGAAGCTATTGATGAATTAGTGGCTGTATATTTGATTTACGCAGTGTTCCCTGATCCTGCAATTCAGACGAAAGCTCACCAAGCTCTCGTGAATTTGAAGGGATTAACTTCCTATCATTCTGAAATTATTCTGTCTGTACTCGCTCACAAGGAGTACTTTGATGACGGTTCTAAGTATTTGCTTAAGTCCAATTTGAATGACTACAATCTCCCCTCAGTATACACGACAGTATGGTTTATGCAAAAGATGTTTGAACACGAGCAATCTGTCTGGCCATTGATGCCAATTTTGGAATATCACCTTGAGGTTTCACCACGCAACGTTAGTCGCTTGACGAATTGCATCCTTAGTTTAGCTCTCAAGCAGCCCATCGGTAATGAGAAAGATCGTGGAAAGGTCGAAAAATTTATCAATAACTTGCTCAACCGTGTTTTTGAAGAGAAGCGCTATGAGCCAACTATTGCTACTGCAAACGCTCTGTTTACCGTTGCTTCCCGTTTGCGTGATGAGAAGTGGCTATTTACTGCTCTCGATTTGATTTCCAATTATGAACTGGAGCCATCTCATGTAACCTATCGCTCTTTGTTAATTACATATACGAATTTGCCCAGTACTTTTGAGCAAATTATTCAAACTTGGAGACAACTAGAAACTCTTTTTACGGAACGCTCGTTGCCAATAACAGAAAAGGAACTTTCTATTCTTTCTAACTGTGTAAACTCTCAACCAGAGCGTGAAAACCAAAATGCCTGCTTGGAATTTCTTGAACAACAGCTCAACAAATACGTGACAAAGAAAGTAACTGCATAGATTTCAAGTTTTGTTATAATCTTTTTGACGTTTAGTTTACGGTTGTCTTTTGGTGACATTATTTACATTTACGCAACTTAAAATTATAATTGGCTTTTATGGTTCCGTCTGATTGTTGTTCTTTTGGATTTTAGCTATGACTCTCATACAGTTTCTCGGAAAATTTAGTATATATGGCTGACTTTCATCTGCTTTCAGTGCTATGGGGAAGAGTAAAATCCAATGGCCCGCATAACTCCCAAAATTAATTTGTACAATTGGTCTGCTAGGAAGCAAGTAATACTCCCTTCTTTATTAAACTAATTTTTTTTCTATTTTTTGATTACAGCAATCCTTTGAATGTTTAATATACCTCATAAATAAGAATAGAAGTGAATTTACCTAAGATATATTTATTACTTCCAGTTGTTCAAAAGCTTCCTTATTCTTTTGGCAGACAATTATCCTAATTACATTTGTGAGATTAGCAACAAATCAGCAAAACAAGTGAAAGTAGTTTTTAACTTTGAAGAAGAACAGAGCCAAAGAGTAAGCAGTTTATTTATTTATTTTTCTATGTATTTTACCTCTATAACTGCTTTTCTTTTGATACTTCTATTTCATTACAAAGTGCTAACGAATAGAAGTATAGTAGAGCCCTCTAGTACATAAAGTGCTTTGATGATTTTTTAATAACTATTACACAGTTCGGGATCCTTCAGTATATGCATAGTGCATCTCGGTGTATTTCATTATAAATAGGAAGGGTCGGACTTGTAGAGTGTAGTCTTCTGAAATTGGAAGTGTGAAAGTTCCAAGTTGCCAAGTTTGAAACTAGACGCAAAGGAATAATGGTATGGTGATTAGGATTATGAAAAGAAATGAGCTAATTCTTTTAGAGTACGCAAACAAATTCTGGAATTCAGCAATTGTTGGAGGTTCGTGTTAAATGAATGAATGTAACGGTGCAAAATTGATTGCTAACACCGTGAAAAAGGCAGAGAAAGTGGCCCGCAGTATTGTAGACAAGGCTCGCCAACGTATGTAATGATGAATACTTAGCATGATTGCTAATTGTCAAACCATAGACCGAGTTCAAAGATTAAAGGATGCACGTCAGGAGGCCAAGGCAGAGATAGATGAATACGCTGCTTCCAAGGAGAAGGAATTCAAAGATGCTGAAGCTAAGGTAAATAAAAGTGGTGAACTATATCCCAATTCAATTCTAACATTCGGTAGGCTTCCGGTATTTATTCTCAAACTGAAGAACAAACGAAAAAGCAAGTGGAGAAAGATTTTGAATCTATCAAGAAGGATGCCAAAGAAAACTCTGATAAAGTTATCAACGCCATTTTGGCCATTGCCTGCGACGTAAAGTGAACATCTACGATTAATGAGTTTTGCCGTTCACTGTTTCGTTCTTTTCCCTATATATAATATGTATATTGATGAGAAAGAAATATTGTTTCTATTTGAAGATTATAATAATGTTAATATCCTTTCTTTCTTCAAAGTCAACTTGCGTGAAGCAGAAGGTACTGTTGTAGAAATTGGAAATAAGAAACACGATATGTTATTAACCAAAGCTTCTGAAAATTTGAAAATCAAAAGAGTAGTCATCAATATTAATAAGAGAGTTTCTAAACTCTCTATCTCGGCCAGCTAGAAGACTGTACACCATTCTTCCATGGTCGATCTGTTTTTTGCAAAGAGTAAAAGTAGATAGCATCCATGAAAAGTAGCTTTCGTTTTTTGTTTTAATTTCATTTCTTTTTCCTGCTTTACATTGCTTCTTTTCTACAGTTTGCCTTATTACAAGGATTGTTTAATGTGTTTCGCATCAACTGTAGGGCTTCATATACATTCTTGGGAAGTATTGAAAATCTAATACATTATAAATACTTTCTATTCAGTCATTCATTGCAAATATAATTCATTCATTAATTTTCATATAACTAAGACTTGCCTAATTAAGAAATTGAAAGTTACCCCCACTAAGTCTTACATTCCAGAAGGGAAGGGTATCACAGTTCACACAGACGTTATTCTCCTTACAATGTGTTTGCTATACGTTATCAACTTATACGGATAGTTAGTTCTTTGTCGTTAATAAACATCATCTTAATATAATAAAATATAATATATACATGTTGGCTTTCATAGAGGAGGGGACCTTCCTTTATAAAAAAAGAAGAATTTAATTTAAAATTATTTTATGGAATTATTCAGGTAATTTTATTGAAGGTTTCCTAGTGCTGAGAAACATTTTGCTTTCTTCATGATTGTTTGTTTTTGTGTGTGGTTTTGTATAGTGATAAGTCATTCACATACACTAAACATTTTAGTGTTTTACATAACTACAAGCTTATTAGTTTTTAAGAGTAGGTGCGGTCGGCTCCCTTATGTCTAATAACAGCACTTTCGTCTCTGCAAAAGGCAAAACCAGCCAGCCATCTGGCTAAGAACGAAACGCCATTCTAATATACTTCAAACAACTACTGACATTCATCCTTTTCGTTTCACCGCAAACATGGCGTCTGAACGGTTTGTGGTTGCTTTGCATTCGTTCCCTGGGAAAAGCAGTGACGAACTGCCATTGATTGAAGGGAATAAGTACCTACTTATAAAAATGGACGAAGAATTTGGCGATGGATGGTGGGAGGTAAGTAAAACCTGTTGATTCCCACTGTATGTGCGTCTTGCGAGGATTCTCATAATGCTAGTGCATTATCAGTGCTATGACTTATTTCTAATCGCTCGTGAAATGCTCGTACTGGAAGTGACAAGTTGTTTATTGACGTTGCAATTGTGAAAGAAAAAAAAGCAAGTGATTTGCTAACCATTTGTTTTAGGCAGAGGACCAGGAAGGAAATCGAGGGATTTTTCCTGCCTCACATGTAGAATTGTTATCTAAAGAGGTTCCTAATCATGAAAATGCTCGTAACGAAAAGGCAGACGTGTCTATTTCTACTACCGAGCTTACTGAGTCTTCAAGTTCCAGCTCGAATTTGACGGACTTGGAGGAGGAACCTGCCCCCAAGCAAGACTCTCATGCTAGTCTTCCTCAACCAGATACTAATGGAGTGTCAAAACCAGAAAGCATATCGCCCAACCACTTTAATGATCATCTGCTTCCTCCTTCTTTAAATAAAAGAGAATCATCTAATTTCGAAAAAGACTTCCTTAACAATCACCGTAATTCACTCCCTAGTGGACCACAAAAGTGGAATGATAAATCCTCTCTTTCTAATTCACCTGACCTAGATAAATCATCTTCTAATAACGATCCTATGCGCAAAACTATTGATGATATTGAGAGCGCACTACAAAACTTATCGACTGCTGAAGCCGATGAACACAGCACCTCCCCCCTGCCTATTTTAAATTATCGATCACCATCTTCCCTTGGTCTTTCTGAAAAAATTCAAAGCTTGCCACACTGGTCTACAGCGGAGGTCATAGATTGGTTGAAAAATGCCGGCCTTGGATCTGTAGCTCCTAATTTTATGGAGAATGAAATCAATGGTGAGATCTTACTTAATACGGATTCGAGTGTTTTGAAGGAGCTTAATATAACTTCTTATGGAAAAAGATTTGAAGTTTTACGTAAAATTCAACAGCTTAAAGACATCTATCAACAAACGCTTTCTGAAAATTACCCAGAGTTCCCTGACAGCTACTCTCAATCTCCCAGCCCTGATTTATTGTCTCCGAATGTAAACCACTCTATGGTAGACTTTGGTGACCCTACGTTTGTCCCTTCATCTTCCAATTATGGTTCCAATAATGAATCTAATGCTAGTTCGAATCGTATGAGCGTGCTACCTACTTTATCTCATATGTTGGTTTCTCCTGATCTTGATGAATTTGGCAACAATAATTCTGAGCAATACATTCCTCCTCTCTCAGCTGCTCGTACTCGTGGAGAAAACAAGGCTCCCACTGTAAAACGTGATAGTGTCACTCAATTGTCTTCTTCCGTTCCTTCAAGCGTTTCGCCTATCACCAAACGTCCCTCGCCGTCAGAGTCTTCGCACTCAACTCACGGCTCTTCTCGTTTAGCTCAAGTGCCAACTGCTGGATCGTCAAGTTTCGAACATGCTAATGGCTCAGATGAGTCTACTTCATTGCAACCGCCAGCTGATCCCAAGTTGTATACTCCTCAACCCTCAGCTACTTATAAACAATCCCCTAACGTTATACAATCAAAGGGTAAAGACAAACATGCTGGTTTAACAAGACTGAAAACCGACACAGCAGGTGCGTCTTCCTCATCCGCTCCAACAGGAGAACCATTGCTGTCTTCTAAATCTGTGGAACCTACCGTGATAAGCCCCACGAATTCAACCGCTTCCTCTGGTCTTTTACCACCTGCTTCATCGCAGAAATCACCTTCTTTAAACAATGCTAAGAACACTTCAAGTACGAAGAAACCTCTTGTCCAGAAAGTGCTGTCCGCTACAAGTGTCAAATCTTCGTCCGATAATGGACAGAAAACACCAAACCTGAAAATCTCTACTCCCAGTTCACTATCTTCTTCGGTTTCGGATGCTCCTAGTTCTGCGCCCTTGGGAAAGGAACCAATTGGAAAAAGAAAGTCAAAAAGGGATATTTTTGGAAGACAAAAAATCTTACCTACTGGAATTAGTGAAGGACTTACAGATATCCCTGCCAAGGAAGCGCTGAAGACTGCTGACTGCCATGGTTGGATGCGTAAACGAAGTGATCGTTATGGTGTATGGAAGGCCAGATATTTCGTTTTAAAAGGCACAAGGCTATCTTATTACCATTCTTTGAATGATACTTCTGAAAAAGGATTGATTGACATAACTTCTCACCGTGTTTGCAAAGTTGAAGATTTAGTTCTAAGTGGCGGTAAAACCGCTATTAAATTGGCACCACCTGCACCAGGCGCTGCAAAGGCTGCTGTAATGTTTACTCCTCCAAAAGTACACTACTTTATCTGTGAAAATAAGGATGATATTAATCGTTGGTCATCTGCTTTCTTGAAAGCTACAGTGGAGCGTGATATGTCTGTTCCCGTATTAACAACAACAAGGATGCAAACGATTTCCTTGAATAAAGCAAAGGAACTTCGTACCCGACCTCCTTCACTGTTGATGGACGAACAAGCAGAGCCAGACTTGCCTTCCTCCATTGGTCTGAAGAAAAATGCCAAGCAGAAAGGTAAAGAACCTGTGAGACAACCTGCCAAGTAATACAAATAAATAATACGTGCGGATTTGCTGATTGTACGAAATTTTACTATTAGTCCAATCTTGACTCGACTTTCGAAAACTGAGTGGGAATATTGATGGCTCTAATGTTTTTATATTATTTAACGGAATTGATAAATTTAACGTGTTTTCTTACTGCTAAAAAAATTTGTTTCTTGGAATAATAGCAATCTAATGTTTGAGTTTTGCTTCCTGACGATTATTTTCTTTAACTTGCCCATATATTCCATGTGAATCTTCACAGGTTGCAGGTCAAATTTTATTTAAAATGTTTAACGATCATATGTTTTTTTTCTTTCATTATAGAATTAAGAGTTAAGTATTTGTGTGATGATACATTGCTCTTCACTTTTCTCTTTTACAAAAGTAAAGAGTTTACTTCGGATTTATGGGTTGGACCGAAGACCTGTTGTCGTTTGTTTTATTTCTGTATATATATTTATATATATAGATTTTATTTAATAGTCAAGTTGAGGTTGTCACACCCAAGTTTCCCGACTTTCTAAATCAATCTCACTTTGACTTTGGATGTTAACCCATCAAATGCGCATACGATGCAAACTTCAGATCAATGTAGACTCGTAATATGATGGCGATTGGAAGTTATTTTCATATTTTAAGCTTGCTTGCATAATCTCCGTAGCCTTTTTTTATCTTTCCATTCAAGCTTGAATATTTCCCATATTCAACAATTTTCTTATAGCCATTTTCCTCGCTACACTATCTTATTTACTGCACTCGTTAATTCACCGAATCCTCCATTAAGATGTTCTACCCTTCCCATTCTGTCGGATTCCAAAGAAGTAGTAAGGTAGGGTTAGGGTTTCCTTTGTACTGGACTCGCTTTCATATAAAAATTACGCTACACTAAATTTTTCCCTTAACCAAACTCAGGTAGTTTCGGTGCGGTAAGACAAAAGAAACATGGCTCAACAAAATATCCCTACTTTTAAGCTTGTTCTCGTAGGAGATGGTGGTACTGGTAAGACCACTTTCGTCAAACGCCATTTGACTGGTGAATTTGAAAAGAAGTACATTGCTACTTTGGTATGTAAATCTTCATAAATTAGCAGGATCGCAGAATTAAATCCTTGTAAAGACGCGTTCAGAAGATTGTTTGGCTCCTTTTGGCTTCGAACTCTCATCTTTATGATTTGAGTACAAGCGGGGAACATTGTCAACGGTTCTATAGTTGAGCAATGACCGTCAGGCAGTCAATTATACAAGGAAGATTCTGTGTATAAAGATACAGCAAATTGCTAACGTATTTAGGGTGTCGAGGTTCACCCCTTACACTTCCACACCAACTTCGGTGAACTTTGCTTCAACGTTTGGGACACTGCTGGTCAAGAGAAGCTTGGTGGTCTTCGTGACGGTTATTATATTCAGGGTCAATGTGGTATTATTATGTTTGATGTTACTTCTCGTATTACTTACAAGAACGTTCCTCACTGGTGGCGTATGTTTGATTGGAAAAATCGGGTAGAAATGAAGGAAGGATTGGTTATCCATTAAAACATCTATTAGAATTGAGTTGCACGTGTTTGATTTGCATTCATATGAGTTGATGTCTGGTTATTTCCTTCGTACTACCTGATTTTCGTCTGTTAAGAGAAAAAGGTTTACTAACATACTCAATAGGTGATCTTGTCCGTGTTTGTGAAAACATTCCCATTGTCCTCTGTGGTAACAAGGTTGATGTTAAGGAGCGTAAGGTAAAGGCTAAGGCCATCACCTTCCACCGCAAGAAGAACCTTCAATACTACGACATCTCCGCCAAGTCTAACTACAATTTCGAGAAGCCTTTCTTATGGCTTGCCCGTAAGTTGGTTGGTAACCCCAACTTGGAATTTGTTGCTTCTCCTGCTCTTGCTCCTCCTGAGGTTCAAGTTGACCAACAATTGTTGGCTCAATACCAACAAGAAATGAACGAGGCTGCTGCTATGCCTCTTCCTGACGAAGATGATGCTGATTTGTAGATTAGCTCATTGTCTTGGTCTCCTACTAATTGAAAGCGGGTCGCATTTCCGTCTGCGTGTTTTCAAGGGAGCTTTGGTTACGGTTGAAAATACCCCTTTTTCAATTTGAAGAAAAATTAATTTCAGTCTACACTTTACTCGATTAAAATATTATGGGGTTTACTAAATTTGGATGTTAGTCTTTTGTTGCTTATTTTTTTCAGAAAACTGTATACTTTGTAATCCGTCGTTGGCTATTCAAGTAGATGCTTTATAAGCTTTGTTTGTCCATTTCTGATATTGTTTGTAAGGTGTCGCCGCTAAGCAAGCACTAGTATAGTAACATGTATACTTGAGCGAAAGGTTGGTCGGCCGCTGTTTGTATCGTTCATTAGACATTTGCAATTTAAGGTGCTCCGAATGTGTGGCAGGAAAGAGCCAGAGAAGGTGGTCATTTTCAATCAACCGTATTTGGAGTTTTTTGAATTTTTCTTCCAAGCAGTTACTGAACAGTGCTTAATTGTAGGCAAACAAAAATAAAAATAATACAAATCAATCAAGTTACAATGCATTGTGTGGTATTTCAGTAAAAATCAGTTGCACAAGTACTAATGTAAACATTCGCAGTCTATAGCTTCGAGAAAGGAACGTACTTCATTTATGAAGTGATAATCACAATAGCTTCTTTCAAGCATCATTTTCATATGAAGTACTCTAGTTAAATTTGGTAGATTTGATCTTACATGGAAGTTGCGATGATTAGAAATTGATTCGGACAATTGACAAACTCCTTTGAAACGGTATTAACAAATGACACAATTCCTTTTACTGGCTGAATTGATTCAGCAAAATAGCAAAGCGGCGTAGACGAATGCCGTTAGTTTGCATCGTCTATATTGAAGCACATTTTACCGATTGAGGAAATCAATTACAAATGATACTACTCTGGATGCTCTTACAGCACTGCATTTATGCAAAGGTAAATGGAAGCATCTCGTACCAAATCTCAATTATGCCGTTAGGGGAGAACATGAACTTCCTTCCGATTACGCAAATCTCAATAAGACTTTCCGAATGCATTGCTTTGGATAATTGCGAGAATGAACCTGGATGGCTTAGCAAGAAAAATAGAAAACACATAACTAACTTGCTTTAAACGCCGTTCAATTTTTTCCTTTGTACGAAAATCGGGAAAGACAGATCACTATACTAATGTAAGCAATCGACTCATGTTCCTTCTCATAAAAATTCTTGAGTATTACATAGCAATACGTCCAAATAGAATCCTTCCAACATATAGGTAAACAACAAACAAACTTGATAAAAGGGGAAATCTCGTTAAGCGCATACACAATAATGTGATTCACTATTAGTATATCGTGTTGCCTTTATTTTTGTTCACGAGTTTTATTTGGGCAGTCCATAACTTCTGGCATATAGCAATGAAACCTATTTATCTCAATAGTCAATAATGTTGACAAAGAGACTCTGAGATGCATATACGAAACGTCTGTTCTGAAACCCTTTCAATCCCTCAGATAGGCAAGTAGAATATTATAGTTTTTACTTTTGTTTTCTTTCTCGTAACAAACTTTGAGAACACATGCTGTTTCACAAGTTCATAAGTTACGTTCGATGAAGCCCTCAGTACCTTATATAGAGTATTGAAACCGCATAATTGCAGCAATTGAAATAAACATTTCTCTATTCTTCTTTTTATACCATGTTTTCTTCTGTTTACGCCATAGTATGCTAAAACTCGAAATAAGTATATTTATGGCTTGAAGAGAAGGAAATAGGTTTTTGTGACCAATTTTTTTATTATTAAATTCGACACGACGATATATAAAACCCTATACCTTCAAAATGGTTTTTTTTCGTTGACTCTCAGAAGTGGTTTCCAACTACCACATCGCTTTATCATCGTCCAGAAAGAAAGCAATGTCTTCGCAACCAGTTTGGGATGCTCAGATACGAAGGTGGAGGTGTTTAGGACCTCAAGAACAGCAATTGATATATATTGAGGAAGAAAAGTCGTGGAAGGAATACGTATGAAACATGATTTTGTTAATACAAAGAAATCAAACAAGACAGATCCCCTAACGACTTAAGGATTTTGAGAATAAAAAGTTTTTAGGTAGCTTTCCTGTTGAATCTAATGCAGATGAAGAGTCAGCCGAGAAGCGTGCAGAAGAGAAGCCAGAAACAGTAAGCGAAAAGAAGAGAGAATACCCCAATGAACCATCCTCAGAAACGCAGCAACCGGATGCTTCGGTGAAAAGAACAAAGAAAGAGGAAACTTCCTCAAATAAAAATGAAATGTCTGCACCAATTAATAAGGCTATCTACGTTTCCGGTCTTCCCAAAGACGTGACAGTGTCAGAAGTTAAAGAAGTATTTTCCAAATGTGGAATTATCGCTGAAAACGTCGATACAGGTACGCCTAGAATAAAACTTTATACAAATGACGATGGGACGTTAAAGGGCGATGCCTTAATCGTTTTCTTTCGAAGCGAAAGTATACAATTAGCAGAGCAGTTGTTTGACGATACCGAATTTCGACTTGGTTCAGGAGTAAAGATGAGAGTTCAAGAGGCCAGTATTGATTACAAAAAAGAGAAGTCTGTAAATCGGGACCTTAGTGAGTCGGTCAAGAAAAAGGTTCAAAGAAAGCGGCAGCAACAACTACAGTAAGCCATTCTCTAAATAAGTTCTACTAATTCTTATTCAGGAAAATTTCGTCTTGGGGAGAAGTTGAAGAAGAAGTTGATGAAAAAAGAAGAAAGCGTTTTGGGAAAATTTTGGTTTTGAAGCATATTTTTACATTGAAGGAGCTAGAGACTCAGCCTGAGCTGTTACTTGATTTAAAGGAAGACATTACAGCTGAAGCCGAAAAATGTGGACGTGTTACCAATGTCTCACTATATGATCAAGAACCGGAAGGCATTGTAACCATTCGATTCTCGAACAATGAGGAGGCAGAAGTATGTATGCGATTGATGCAAGGAAGGTACTTCGATGGACGAATTGTGGAAGCATCTATTTACGATGGGACAACACGATTCCGAAAGTCTGGAAAACAGAGTTTTGACAATGATGAAGATGAAGAGCACAGGTTAGAGAGATTTGCAAGCTGGCTTGAAAGCGGCGAGAAAAATGATGAGTGATCTAAATGTACGACCAATGGAAAGTTCACTGGAATAGTAATAATTTAGCATGATAATATGTGTATTTCCTTCTCTTCCTAAAGTTAGGTATACTACAAGCTTGTAAAGTATATTGTGTATTTTATAATAATTACTTGAGTCATTATCAATGAACTGTATTGACTTCCTTCTTTTACGCACTAGCAAACCTAGTATAAACAAACCATTCTTTTTGTTTCATTTACAATTTTATGTTGTGTATATTCCTATAATACTTTAATGAATATTGTTCAAAAGATAGGTAACATGTGATATGTCACTCAGGTACTTGGCTGGCATGCTATCTCTTTGCTTCAGTTTCGTACTTGCGAAGTTCAAACCAGCACCAGGACTTATGATACATTGTTTCCTAGTAAATTAAAAGGAAGTTGCTTAGGCGTTTTTGAAAGGATAAGGACGCCAAAATTCGAACAGCCGAAGTGTCCTTTACCAGGTTAACGACAGGAGCTTTCTTATAAGCTCCTTGCATATTAATATATATTCTCTCTTTTTACGTGTTTTCCCTCTTTCTACCAGTTGTCTTTATTTATAATTAATATAATCTCTTTAAAATGTATTCTGACGGTGTTGAATACTCAAGAGGAGCTGCAGTTGCATCAGACATGTCAAGTCCTTTACGGGCTGCTAGTGCAAGTACTGGTAATTTAAGCCGAATACGTTCTCGAAATCGCTCAACTTTGAGTACTACTATGCAGTCTGATCCTCAGTTGGCTTCTAGAATTGGTGCTTTTTATCTCAACAATGTTCAGTCGAACATACCTTTCGAAACAGACAAGATAACACCTGCTTATGGTATTGGTGATATGATCGCACCTGAAATGAAAGATTCTAAAAGTCAAATCGTTCCGAGTGTTAGTCACAAAAAGGATGGTCTTTATTCCCGTCCAAACGTATCTTCTTCTAGCATGTTATTGACGATTAAGCGAGCTACATCTTCGGATTCTCCTCAAGAAAAGCAACATAATGAAAGTTCCACAACCAAAGATTTTTTTCCTAGGAAGTCGTTATCCACTACTTTTACCCCGAGTCCGTCTCGGATTTCTCATGAAGTCTTACCTGCTACTACTTTTCCAGCGCAATCAACCGATTCTTTGCAACGCAATACAACACCAAGACATTCTTCTCCGTTGCAGAAGCAGGTATCGACTGATCTACCTTTTACTTTGCCTATTTGTGAGGAGGAGCAGTTAGATTGGATACGCGAAAATGAAGATTTGGTAAATGCTGTGAATCCTGACGATTGTTTAGAATGGGTAGAGTACGTCCTTCGTTTTACGTTGGTTCATCTTCCTTATTTACAATCTTATGATACCGAAAATTATGACGAGATAAATTATTTGGAGAATGTATGTGAAATTGCACTCGACAAACTTCGTGAGCATTCAAGAGCAGAGAATCCCCGTGCTCTCTATTATGATGCATATACTTATGAATCTGGTGCATTTGACGTTGAAGTTGACCTCCAACAAGCCTGGGAATTATACTCAGCATCCGCCAAGCATGGCTTTACTCGAAGTCTCTATAGACTCGGTGTAATTTTAGAGGATCAAGGAAATCTTCAAGAGGCCGTCGAGTACTTCGAAGAAGGTGCTAGCTACAACGACAGTGCTTCTTGTTGGAGATTAGCTCTATTAATTCTTGAAGGAATGTTAGATAATATAGGAACGTATGCTCAGCAACGCGGTCGTGGTCTTGAACTTTTAGAACAGAGTGCTAATAATGCTGATGCTGATGTTCCTTCTGGTTTGTATAGTTATGCGCTTTTAAACTTGCAAGAGCATCCCGGATTGGTTGATTTAGACGCTGAAGGCTTGCAAGTCCCAGTGAATGAGCGAATCGCGTTAGAATCCTTTGCTCGCGCAGCATTCCTGGGACAATCTTCTTCTATGTTGCGTATGGGTGCAGTTTATGAATTTGGTAAATACAACTGCGCTAAAAGTCCAAAGTACTCCATACTTTATTATTCTGCTGCCTCCAAGCAAGGAGAAACTGAAGCTGATTTTGCGCTTGCCAAGTGGTATCTTAATGGCGGTGTAGGTGTTCCAGTTGATGAAGATCAAGCCTTCGTACATGCCGAGAGAGCTGCAATGGCAGGAAACTCCAATGCGCAGTTTTTACTGGGATACATTTTTGAAAGTAAAAATAATTCTGAACAAGCTCTATATTGGTACACGGAAGCTTCTAACAATGGACACGCCGAAGCTGCTGAGAACTTGGAGAATTTGAAGGATGTTTTAAAAAATAATCCACCGGAAGAGGTTCCGCCTACAAGTACATCAACTCAGTCCCACCATGCCGCAGACTATAGTAGTGCTCCTTCGACACCCTATATTAGCTCTCAATCTCAGGGCGAAACCTCTAATGGGGGTACTATGAAGCCTGTCGCTGGGACCATGCCTGAACAGCCTATAGTACAAAAGGTGCCCGTTACTAAGAAGACGACAAAAACTAAATTTCGTAAACGTTTGAATTGTGTGATAGCTTAGATTAAAGGAGATGAATTAGCATACAACTTAGAAGTTTACTAGAGCATTAGCATTTGGTGACAGATTAATTACTCTAACATATCATTAGCATTTTAAATTATGGAAACCTACGCTTTACGATCGTTAGCATCGTTGTCCGTGGATAACTAACCATAAAAGTGTTCAGAAATCTAAATTTCTATTTTTTTTTAAATGTGTGATTTGACGAAAATGCTGCATTTTTGTTATTACAACAGCCAAAGTATAGCACTCGTTTTTATATACTTTCGGTTGTACATGCATCTGGTCGTACGATATCTTGGACGCTTCTATTCAATGAGATATGAAAAATGAATTGTTATTTGTATTTTTTTATCCAAAACCTAACTAACCCAATATTGTATTATATCCATGTATGAATGAGATGTAAAAGTACATAAATCTATACCTGCATACGGCTGTACATTTGCTTAAGCTTGGCAGAGCTTATGAGTTTGGGGTTCAATTTCATGTCTTTTGCCATACTCTCGAAATCTTCAGTGCCATACTTCTTTAGCAGTCTAGTCATGTAAGACAATTCAAAGGCACTTAAAGGAAGTTTCTTACGAGGCTTATCTTTCCTCAAGGCTTCTTCCTCCAATTTCCTTGTAACTTCAGTCTTGGCTGGGACACTTTTCACGTCTTCATCTAGAACGTCATCAAAGGTACGCTCTTTACCATGAATAATCTCAATGATATTTCCTTCATCATCTCTTCGAACAATAGCTTGCCCAGGACCCAAATTCCTACGAATTTCTTCTAACTCCTCTTGGGTAGGTTCGGCCTTGTTTTCATTCTCTTCGGGTTTGCGATCTGGGTTGATTTTTTCTTTACCACCGGTAACATAATTGGGAGTGACTACAAGACCCATTCGTTCGTAACTATACAAGCACGTTAGTATATGAATCCAAATAACCTCTTCAAAATATTTTAAGGACGCCAGAAGGAATGTTGACAGACAAAACAAGAAATGTGAAGTTTATACTCTATGCATTTCCTCCTCGTCCATATTTAACAACGGAGAAACTTACTTCTGAGTCAATGTGGCATGCATATCCCAATTTTCACGAACAATAGAATTACCATAGATTTTTGCTTTTGCTTTCTTGTTGTGGTTCTTTCTCGTCAATCGAGGTTGGTTGGAACGCTGCTTTTTCCTTTGTGCTGGAGTTACCATTTTAAATAATTAAAAGATGAATCGAATAAGAAAATATTGGCAATTAAAACGCCAAATTTCTAACTTTTTGTATGCGATCAACTGTTTGGTTCTGGGTTCGTTCAAACGCTAGCAAATCAAATTTCTTTGGATTGCTGTTCTTCGGACAAAACCTTGTACTGTAAATCTCAATTCTTTAATAAATGTTCAAACTTTTTATAGAAAAAAGCACCATACAGAATTTCGTCTTTAAACAGGTAAAAAATCAAATTTTTGATGGAATCACAGTTTTCATCGTCCAATTGCATAATACATACATAGCGTACATTTACTGTAGTTCCCTATAAATTTTACTGCATTCCTGCGAACCTTTACAACTTATTACTGAATGTTAACTTGGCTTTGGTTACTTTGGATAAACAAACATGTTTATTTACTTGGCATGTGATATAGAAGATCTAAAGTTTTTTGGATACGTTCTGTAGTTCACATAGGATAAATTAATATAGATCGAATAATAATATTAAAAGATTCATTTACCTTACTTACTGTGTAGCGAGTAAACTTACGCTTCGTGAATACTGCTAATGTACGCGATGAATATTCGATTTTATTTTTGTGGTCCTGCATAATGAATTGCATTGTAAAAGAAGGACTAAAAAAATTAGAAAAAAAATTGACTGTAATTTATTGTACAGACTTCCTTTCTTTTCCTTTTACATGCTTGTTGTTCAGATTGTGTCGTTAAGATCGTTTTATTCCAAGGCTTCAATTGCAAATACAAAATCTTATTTATTTATTGATTTAGAAATTAGATGCATCTAGGTCGTAAATCCACTTGCTTACATTTCAAATGGTTACCTGTCAAGTCGCAATATTGAAGGAATAGTCTTACTATTTAGAATATGTTCCTACACTTACTATACAATTCAAACAAGATTAAAAAAGACGACAAATTTGGTTAGTTTGTCCGTTGTACATATACCATAAAATCTATTAAAAGTGACATTCACAATATATATACATAGGTAGTTGACTGAAGTTTCAAAACTAAACATTCTATAGCTCTAAGAGTTTCACTTGGTGTTGTTCAAAAGCTGTATTTGCTTCAACGAATAGATTTTGATCCTCTATTCATTTTAGGCGAAAATATTTTGCAGGATGAAACTTTCAGTTTATCTATCCAATTTCTAGATAAATGGTAAATATGAGTAATCGTTTCAGGATCTTCATTGTGTAAATAATTTTTGAAAAGATATAATGATCTCAATTGCCTTTTATGGAACTGCATTGTTCATCTTCCAGAGTTGAAGAGAAGAAAATGGAGCATTCCAATATTCCATTGAAGAAAATCCGTCTTCATCATCCATATAATCAAATCTTCTGCCATAACAAAGAGTAATTAAAGAAGAATCACAAGGATTCTTTTCAATGGCTGCCACTGTTATGTTTCTTTGATCTGTTACGTTTACTTTCTCAACGAGTTCATTTCCCTGCCAAATTGAGACATAGCCGTCCGTTCCGCCACTTATGAGTCCTTCATACCCAAAAGTATCAAATGATATCCTTTGGTTGGTGTCACCACCGTGATCTTTAATTTCATATAGCATATCCTGCGCGTAACGTGTGTCCCAAACTTCAATGCTTGTACTTTTTCGACTGCCCACATACAACTTACAGCCATCCGGCGACCATTTCATATGTGTAACTCCGGTACCAGTCGCCAATGAAAATTTGAGTTGACATGGTCTGCTCCCATAGTTGTCATAAATGCCAACAGTATTATTAAAAGTCCCCAAGGCCAGCATCCGAGGATTTTGAGGATTAAGGCATATGCTTGACTGAACTCCTTCAAGCGTAGGTTCCAAGGTCGAAAAACCATGTCCATTGGTTGTAGTTTTAGAGACAGGAGACTTCTGTCCTTGACGAACATTGAATAAGTACACATTGTCTGTTCCACCAGCTACCAAATATTCACCATCGGTGGTGAATACCATACAATGTGAGCCAGTAAACTTTTCACGATGGTCAACTATGTAAAATGAGGATATCCTTTGTTGCTTTGCAAGACTGTAGAGTTGTATAGGATAGTCTTTTGTGGAATATACAAACAAATCAGAATCTTGCTCGTCGTTATTCTGAAAAGGATGCCATGCGAAACTATATACGCATTCCGAAGGAGTTATAGTCTTTTTCTTATCATTGTCAAATATAAAAGCCTGGTCATCCGTATCAGGGTCCCTTGAAGTAACTGGCCAATTCGTCAGTTTTTGATTTTCTGTTAATGCTAGTACACTTCTACCGCCGGGTGACCATTTCTGCGCTTGGAAAAAATTTAAACCTTTTGAGGATTGAAAGCTGGGATACGTATAGTTTATATTGACGCAATCGTATCGTTTCCAAGTAGGAAGCGGTTTATAAACCAAGTTTTGTTTGAGTTTTTCTTCTGTTTGCAAAGCAAAGTACGTGTTGGACATTAATCAAGTAGTCAAGAATCAAGTTTCCATGTATCCAAACCGTTACCAATCAACTATTCCTCATTTGTTGCTTTTATTCAAAAATCCTTTTCTATTTTCAAATGAACTCTACGAGGTATCTGCTTGGGTGGATACAACAGTAGGGAATTGGAATCTAGATAGAAAAGGTAGTTGCTAGAGGTCCATATGATTTTATGCTAAAAAATCATCACCAAACGATTTTCGGCTTTTATTTTCGCTCCTTTTAAAAGAATGAACTTTTCAGAGAATAACTCTTATCCAAAAGTAGAATTCAATGTTGTGTATCGGCATGAAGGTTACTTACTGGTGACATCTGAGGTTTGCTTAACAGCAAAATCGTCTGCTGAAAGGTATATAAGATCAAAGTCCCAATTTTTAAAAAAAATAATACTTTTCATAAACCAGAATTCATACCACTTTTCACTTGCAAATACCAATCCTCATGCCTTCTTGAGCAATTTGTAGTTACACAACATATCCTGTAAATTGACTTACTGTAATTAGCTTCAGTAATAAACCGTTTCTATATGCGTGCTGAAAATTTATATATGATTTAAAGTCTCATTAGAAAGCTTTCATCCTTTGTGAATGATGAGTGACTCTATAACCAACTTCCCTCCCCCGAGGAAAAAAAATAGGAAAACTGTATGTAAGAAATCAAGTTCTTAAAACACATTCTCATCTCCTTAATAACGTCTACTCAACCCATTGTTATAATATCTATGAATACTGTAGGATTTGATACAAGAATTTCCTTTGTTAACTTTTCGAGATATACATACTTTTCAAATATAATGAATGAGCGCGATTCTCTTCGTAGTATCATTTTATATTTTTTTTTAATCCCTACAATTGGTTTTTATCTTTTTCACCCAACAAACAAGGGATTTTGCCTTGAATGACATCCACGTTGTTTACTGTTTGTTTACATGTAGGATGGGAAATTTGTTTACGCGTTTGGTTACATCAACGTGATTCGCACTAAACAAGAAAAATATGCTGTTTTTAGTGATTTTGAAACGGTAAAAAGCTATCTAATGTCTTTTAACATTTAATAAAAATATATTCATCGATCCATTTTCTGGAAAAGCCAGAGTTATTTTTATTTATATTGCCTTATCGAGTGCGCTGGTTGTCATGACAATGTCGCGTCTCAACCCTTGTAATATACGAGTGGGACAGGTCGGCAATGGCGCCACGTTGTAAATTATATAAACTGGCTTCTTCCACTTTTGTAACTTGACCTCTACCAACGCGACAAAGGTTTATAGAATAAAAATTCTATATCTTTTGAATTGATTCATAGAATCATTCAACTTTTTTCTTTCTTTTTTCTTTCATTCTTTTGAAAAAAGCTGTTCTTTTTTTATCTCCACAAACTTCTTCTTTTGTTGTTGGAGCTTTCATTCATTAATTTCTGGGTTTGCATTTTTTCATTTGACATCCTATCTTTTACTATTCATTTTTTTCTTTTTCTTTATTTTCAACTTTGTAATTCTTTTATTTAAGTATGAATTTTTTCCAATTTTTAGCTCATTCACTCACCTTGCTTGCGATCGGACGCGTCGTAAGCGCTAGCACTCCTCATCTTGAAATCCGCGGTAATGCGTTTTTTAACAGTGAAACTAATGAGCGTTTCTACATTCGTGGTGTTGATTACCAACCAGGTGGCTCTTCATCAACTACTGACCCATTGGCTGTTGTTGAGAATTGCAAGCGTGATATCCCTTACTTAAAGGATTTGAACATTAATACAATCCGCGTTTACCAGATCGACAACATCGCTAACCACGATGAATGTATGAAAGAACTCGAAGATGCTGGTATTTATGTACTCTTGGATTTGGCAACCTCAAAGAACTCCATTTCTCGTTTGGACGCAGCTGCCAGTTATAATGCTATCTACTTACAGGGCATCTTTGCTAGTGTCGATGCCTTTAAGGATTACGACAACGTTCTTGGTTTCTTCGCTGGTAATGAAGTTGCCAATGAACCAAAGAATGCTGCTACTACTACTTGGGTCAAGGCAGCTCTCCGCGATACTAAAAAGTATCTTAAGAATAATTCGAAGCGTCAAATCCCTGTAGGTTACTCTGCAGCAGACGTTGCTGAGATTCGTTTGCAGTGTGCTGACTTCTTTGCCTGCGGTGATGACGCTGAAGCTCGTGCCGATTTCTACGGTATGAACATGTACGAATGGTGCGGTAGCGGCTCTAGCTTTACTACCTCTGGCTACGACCAACGTATGAAAGAATTCGCCAATTATTCTATTCCTTTGTTCCTTTCTGAGTATGGATGTAACACTGTTAGTAAGGAATCTGACGGTACCCCTGATCGTCCTTTTGATGAAGTAGATGCTATCTTTTCCGACAAAATGTCTTCTGTCTTCTCTGGTGGTTTGGTTTACGAGTACTCTGAAGAGGGCAGCAATTATGGTTTGGTTACTATCAACGGTGATTCCGTCAAAACTAGCAAAAACTATGATACTTTGAAGCAAAAGTATGGTAACGCTGCCAAATTTAGCGGTGACAATGGCTATAACAAGAATCCTCAGACTCTCAAATGCCCACCCAACGACAAGGACTGGAAGAGCTTCCCTCTTCCCCCTACTCCTCGTGAAGCTGAACAATTTATTCAACACGGTGCTGGTCAACCCTTGGGTCTAAATGCTCCTTCTAATCAAGCAAGTGGTAGCAATGGTACCGCTTTGGTTAGTGCTGGCCCTCATTCTTCTTCCACTAGCGTGGACGTTGACGCCGTTGCCATGACTCAATCTCCTGATAGCAGTTCTAGTACTTCTGGCTCTTCAACTGCTAGCGGCTTGACTAGCTCTGCTCCAGTTGCAGGTTCCAACTCCAACACCACCAGCTCTGGATTTAACACTAGTACTGTCTCAGCTGCTGCTAAGTCCGGCTCTCACAATGGTAGCCCTTCCTCTGCCCCTAACGTTCAAATGGCCGGTTTTTCCATTGCTGCTGTTCTTCTTGGAGCTATTGCATTCATCATCTTGTAAGGTGCTTTTATCTTTTTTGTCTATCTATACAAGGCATATATCAACGAACATAAACTTGGCATTTTTCGCATTTCTTTTATATAGTGCATTTTGCATAGTCATAACCATATATATTACGCATATTGCATATTTGAATACATTATCTGTTTTTGTTTGTGGTTTGAGGTAATTAATAGTAGAAACGTTGCTGTAGCTTACGCTTGATGCCTTGGGGTTGAATTTTTACCCGTTCAGTGCCAAAGATAAAAACTGTTGACAACCATCATGAAATACGGGTTTAGTTCCTTCTTTTAATAGATCCACCTGTCATTCATAAAGGTTGCAATTCATAACAGCTAAATTGAAAAGTACATTAAAACGGACAATAGGACGTAGAAAAGCGTTATTTTCCGATACGGATATAGCTGAAAATAGTTTTAGAAGTAGTACGGTTACACATAATAAGATCATTAAGTGAATTCTTTGGAAATTATTTCCTTGATTGTTTCTTTCGTAGCATCTGTGTGAATTTTATCATTAAACCAGAAGGCTGGTGCACCATAGCAAGCTCCCAAACAAGACTATTATAGTTAGTTAGTTTTTCACGGTTTAAAAGAACTATCAAAACTTACTGTTGTTTTGACCTCGACTCCATATTGAGAAGCAATGGACTGGGCTGCTTCAAAGATACCATTATCCCTCTGTTTTGCTTTTTGGCAGCACATCCAAGAATCACAAATTCGCAGTTGTGGAGCACAAGGACGCCATTGAAATGATGTGGGATATGCTAAGCTATTTTTAGGTTAGAATATAAACGAAAGGTCTATACAAAAAAGCCTCATTCAAGAATAAGAAGCAAACTATTATAAACGTACACAATAGCAAATACTTGTTCAAACGAAAGATTAGTAGTATTGCCTATCTCTTGCATCGCTGAAGGGGGAATCCATGTACCATGCTGTCTTTGGGCCAAATCCAGAAGAGGAACCAAGGATGCTCTTTCCTGACCAGGAGGGTATCGTGACACCAGTCTCTTTACAATCTGAAGGTTCTCAGGTGTGAAAAAGCGTGCTGGCTTCATGTTGATTGGAATATATTCGCACTTCGATGATCTTAATAGATTTTAGATTATACCAAAACTGAATAGAATCTTGGATATATAAGGGTTCTTAGTTGACGTTGTCTCTTATATAAATGTCTCAAAAAGCCAAAGATATAGCGATTGTCTTAGTACACCCAGTGATTATTTATATTTTTTATATATTATCTATATAATTTATTAGAAAAAGTCAGATATTAGGAACTCACTTTTAGAACTGTCTTAATTCATTTGGTATATAGCGGTAGTAGTTTCTAGTAACTGCTTTCTACTTGCGCTCAACACCAATTATTTTTATGAACATATATAACGTTTCGGTTTAACAAAACCAATAGTCATTCCTTTAATTCTTGTATTTAATCGTTCTTTTTAATAATTTATTCTTTTTTACCCGAAGTCAAAGTGATTTCTGTTCTTTCTTTTTTGGTTCATTTTTGATGCTTTTTACGGAAACTAAATGAGGTATGGATTTGAGCTCTCCTACTCAAAACTTTTATCCTCGTAGTTTACATAGCAGCTCGAGTCATCGCTATCAAAGTTCAATCGCGTCTAACGCATCTACATCTTCCACTTCATCCAAGAAGTCGATACTGAAGCGACTATTCCCTGCCCACTGGTTCTATAAAAAAGACTCTGTTCCACCATCGAGTTTAGAATCTATAGATGAGGATAATTCTGTAGCTCGTTCCAAAGAGGATACTGACTCTGAATCCAATTTTTCGCGTTCTCAGTCAGTCCTTGGATTTAACTCCTTGTTAGCAAGAAGAAAAACAAAGAAAAATTCAAAATCGAAAAAATCACCTCCTTATGAAATTTCTACAAGCGTTCCAGATTTGCAACAAGCTCCGCTAAGTGAACCTGTTCGTCCAAGTACGTCTCTTTCTTTTTTCGAAGACGTATCTTTTGGACCTCCGTTTAGTGCCGACCTAATACTTTCCAGTTTACCATCATCGCAAAACAGCCCTCTTAATAAATCATCACCAGCGTCACCATATGTTAATGACTCCTCCGTAAAGGCAAACCAATATGACTTTTGTGAGTCTAGTGATGAAAAGTATCAGACTCCCAATTCAAGTTTCAATTTTAACAATTTTAACGATGGTTTGTCTGATGGTCAAACTACTCCAACAACTACCAATTATTGGTCAGGTTACAGTTATTTAGGAGGCGATGGGGACAATGCACGAAGATTATCCATTCCTGTTGTCACTGCTCTTCAAGACAAAACTAATACTAGTTTGAATGAATCTTCAAGGCCGCTTAAATCGAAGAACGAGTTATCTTCCTCTGATTCCGTCCATTTGAGTTCCTTAGAAAATAATGCTTATGACCCAAAAGTGGTCGCTATGGATATATTCAATAATACTGGGAAATTAGTTTCTAATGAAGATGCGCTTTCTTTATTAACAAAGGAAGATGATTATAACAAGGAGGTCCTTGAAAATTACGTCTCTCTTTTTGATTTTGGAAATACTGATATTCTACAATCTTTGCGCATTCTTTGCGGTAACCTTTTTATTAAAGGCGAAACACAAAAAGTGGATCATCTGTTGGAGGCATTTTCTAGTCGATGGTGTCATACTAATCCGAGAATGACCTTTTGTACAAAGGATATAGTTCATTCTGTTGCCTTTTCATTGTTACTTTTAAACACGGATTTACATATAGCGAATATTGCTTCGCAAAAAATGACTCGTTCGCAGTTCGTATCAAATACCCTATTCGATATTTCACAAGCTCTTGAAGCTTCTTTTAGTACTTCAGAAGACAAATATCAATTTTTGCAAAGTTCTTTTACTTCTGATACTTCCGACCTCAATGATAACTCAGCTGCTATAAACTCCTTGTCGGATAACCTTTCAAAAACCAAAGGTGGATTTACAAAGTATCATGACAAGAAGCACCCCAAAATTAAAGATCTTGAGACGGCGTTTGTAGATCATTGGTCTTCAGTGCTAAAAGAAATGTATCAATCTATTAAGGCTTCTTCTATACTACAACCCTACCGTTATCTGCATAAAAAGACAAACTCTCAACAGCAGATAGCTAACGATATCTTTGCACATGCGAAGAACCTCTCAGTTTCTGACGATAGATCTTTAAACAGTAACAAAAGTGAATCCAACGATAAAGTTGAAGAAACTTTTACACGACCTTCGTCATCCCTCCTTTTTGAACACAATAATGACGGTGTTTTGTTATTCCACAATAGATTTGAGAAAGCTATGCGTCATCAATTTCCAGAAACCAAGAGATCCAAATCTGCTATGGGCTACTTCCAGGCGAGTTGTCCTTCGCCGGATTTGTCAAGCATTATTGTGACGCTAAAAAATCATAAACAGATACCACCATTTTATCTTCCTCCCTATAGCAAGTATGGTATTTTAAGGTACTTGATCCGATACAATGGAAAGCTCAGGAAGAAGGAGTTATGGATGACTACACTTTCTATACTCGAAAAAGACATACTGTCCTTGTATAGTGTAGAAGGAAATTTTGATGGAGATTTGCACGATATAGATGGTTCTAAAATTGGAAATCCCATCTTAAAAACTTCAGTCATGGGTTCAGCAGCGCACCTTATGAATTTAGAGAAAACAAGTTTTAGAAGACCGTCAACTTCCTTTTTTTACTTGGAAACCCATTCTGGAAAACGTTTGCAATTTTCTGTCCCAAGACTCGGAGAAGCGCAAGCTTGGATAGAAGCTCTAAACTATTGGGCAGCTCGCACGTCTCGTATCCCAATGCTTGGCAGTGTATCAAACGTGGACTATGGATGGTCACTGTGCACCGGGAACCAAAAATCAAACGGGAAGAGTACAAAAACGTCCGATCATAAAGAAGAAAAATATCCTAAATTATCATTGAAGGTATGGGAGCCTGAACCTATGAGTGGCATTCCCAGTGAACTTCCCATTGCTAAGCAATATAGTTCGTTTAAATCTTTTTCAAAATCTTTGTCTGAGGCCTTAAAACAACATGAGGCTATTCATTTAGAGATGTTGGTTATTCTATCCAGCCAGAATAAAAATACCTACCGTCGTGGAGTTGAAAATTGGAAAGCTCGCATGGGGTATCTAAAATCAACTATGTTTAAGGTGAAACTATATATTTCTGTGCTTAAAAAGTATAGAAAGCTTGCTGAGGATTAGCCTTCTAATAATTTGTCGCACTTGTTGAGCATATGTATTTAAGGCAAGAAATTCTTTATCTTGGGTATTTACTTGTCATTTAATCCAGAATGTTTGTTTTTGTTGTATTTAGGAGATTAATAAAATGGGAAATTTTCGAATAGAATGAATTATGGACATGATATAACAGATCAGGATATAGGTATAAAGATTGTTTTATGGACAATAAATCCGTCTTAAAAGATAAAAATGCCTCGTTCCTTTTATTTTTTTATCTATTTACAGTTGTAATGATTACTACAAAGCTTAAAAATAATATTTGCTTTCATCAAGACGTTTAATGAATTATTTGAGTTTCTCTTATAGTACAGCATTTGGCAGGTACGAAGAAATTAACAACAATTTTGTTTACCAAAGAAAAAGCGTTAAATAGAGAAAATCTTTTATTCTTCATCAGAGCGTATCAAACATAAATCAAGTTTCAAAAAGAAGGAGTAAGTTATAAGCAGGAGAGGAAATTACAAGCAAACACCAAGGATGATAAAAACATTGTGTTGGGCTTATGCCGCACGACTGGTGTCATTTTCCGCCTCTGCATCTTCCGATTGTTGAGCTTGTAATTCTAAATCATCCTCGACGGAATCTAAACGACCATATCGTTGAAAATGGAGTTTTTCAAGGCGTCGCTTATGATACATGATATTTATCATAAGAGAAAGGCCACAACCGACCAGATTGGCCTATAGAATTAGCAAAGCTTTAAACGTTTATAATGGAGAAGATAACTTACAAAAATGTCAAAAACGTCGAAAACTCGTAACTGTTTAGGCGCAAAAGCCACACGTTAGTAATTGTTCAATAGAAAGGTTTTATCATTTTTATAACAAGTGACAGGGTAGAAAACGTTAATAGTATATAAACGAGAACTTACAGTAAGAAAAGCTTGAACAAATTCGGAACCAATGCAGCCAACGAGTCCGCAGACAACTAACGTAAGTTGAGTAGCACGGCGACGAGACAGATCAAAGACCCAGTAGAAAACCAGACTGAGGAGAAAGAACACAACGAAATGACATAGTTTGTCATTCACTGGAATTGGCAAAACAGGCGCGAATCCTCTATAGAAGTTAAGTTTAGTATGTGTTCATAAATCATGTATGTATTCAGGGCACTGCTTCAGGAACGACTTACAAATACGTAGCAATAATGAGTAACCTAAACACGTTAGCGTCTGTTTTTCAAGTAAGTGAGATGCTAAATATAATCATAGTAAATATATAAATTGGCTTGTATCTTACACTATGAAGACGGCTAAGACCCGCTTTCGAATTGCAAACTGTAAATAAGATGGGAGCATCATATTTGGCGATTGACGACGATCCGAAATGAAAAATACCTATAAAAAATTATAATATGTAAAGCAACTTATAGTAGCTTAACTATAAAAGTAGAACTTTGATTCAACGTTGGATAAGAGTCTTGATGAGGTCGTATTAGGAAGGTGCAGATGGCTTACGAAAGAAGAATAAGTGAAGAAACAAATTATATGTTTGGACATTTCTTTTTTTAAACTACCTAGATATAAACGGTATAAAAAGGAATAAATTATAGATTGTTCGTGGAGGATATTGTTTCAACGCATGCCTTGAATGAATAGTAAAAGGAGGCATATGAGCAAGTTGATCCTTCTAATTTTTTTCGTTAACAGGTTTCTTTCGTCAAATTCAATCAAAAATATCGGATAGACCAATAGTATATTCCAAACCATGGTCTCAGTTAATATAGATGAGGAATATGTGTATCAAAAATTTCTTGGCTTAGGAATATTGAAAAGATAGAGGCAGTCCAATATCAATTTCTTATTTTATGGTAAATGGGTGGATATGCTGCTTTCAATTCTGGCACCTTGGGGAAAGGCATTTGAAGGAGTTCATAGCACATGATGTACAAGAAAATGAGTTGTTCGGCTGACTGCACGGATTGCATTCTTTGCATGCGAAGACAGTAAACAATTTCAGGTATTGATTCCAATAACTGATCGCTCGCAAATCGAAATTCAATCCTGGTTATGATTTCGAAGAGTGCCATAAATGTCCCAGTTCTACCACAACCAGCTGAGCAATGTATGATAATCGGAGACTTATGAAATCTGACTCTATGAGCTAATGATTTAACAAATAGTAGTAAGGAACAAATGGAACTCGCTTTAGGGGTTCTAAAGTCAGACCATTCAGTATAGTAGAAATGGTAGATCGTTTTCTTTTCTTGACCTTTTTCCAACACAAATTCCAGCACTTTACAATCATCTACCGACTCTACCTCGTATTTTTGATTGCAACGTACTAGTAATTCGTCTATCTGTAAGGGTTCCTCGGGGTCTGAAGGCCAATATAAATCGCATTTAGCACGAAGACCCTCTTGTAATCTCGTAAGCATAACAATAATTCCATGGTCATGAACAGACTGCCATACCATCTTCCAAAAGTGAGGAATCGTACTTGACGTAGGGCCCTAGATATAGAGACAAGTTAATTACAGCTTTAGATGTTGCATTATACCTGTGTTGCAATAAACGATTGTCTACATGGAAGAATAACATGAGAAGCATTCATATAGTCACAGTCATATCCCCATTCAGGACTTAGACGAACGTAATTATCTTTGTAAGGAAAGATGTTGCTGTACCTATTTCGACGTGCGCTTTCTTTGTTGAATTTGGGCATTCGATCGTAAGCGTGAAGAGCTTCTTGTCTGTTCAATTGGTCCAGAATAACATCAGCACGATCGTCTAAATTTACTAAAGGAGCCGGCAATTTCATCTTGGAGCCCATCCTTTTTAAATTTTGAAACAAAGCTTTGAATTTTTTAAATATTTTACCAAATTTTGGTTTTGATGATGGAACAACCGATAAAATAGTTACAATTTTATGAAATGGTCAAGGAAAAACGGAGGTGGAGGAATAATTTGTAAAAGCAAATTAATTAGTCTATGACGGATGCTATACCAAATTTCGAAAGTGTATGTGAATAAAGTTAATGATTCAAAAGCAGTAAAAATGAGTTTTCTGTCTTGCTTTTTCTAGTGTTTACCTCTGCAGGGGAACTGAAAATGGTTATGGGAATGGGATAGTCCCAAGGTAACTGTAATTGCTTTACAGGAATTGAAGAATTTTTTTAATCGGATTAGCTTTCGAATTGAGAAGGAAAGGGTTTTATGCTGCATCGTATGCTAGTCAAGCTCACCTTAAGCTAAACCAAATCCGTATATCAATGTCATATCGTATACAGAAAAAGCTTCACTTATACGAAAGGATTAGAAATATCCTGATCCAAATCTCAAATTTTCTGTATCTTTGGCAGTGAAACCGTTAACTGGCCTGAGATAGATCTTTTAGAAGTACTTGATACATTGTTTGGCCTAAGTAAAGACAATTCCTTTAAACGTTTGATTTACTCTCAGAGCCCGTTAAATGCTCAAACAGAAGAGAAATTTTGTAAAACCGAAATAAGTCAATCAGTGAGTTAATAAATCAATAATTAATGAACTCTGGATTTAAGAAAGGTTTACTTGCTTTAACATAGGCATTCTTGCTTGCAACAGAAGAAGCTTTGCTTAATACCTCGTCCTTGTTAAAGGATATTCATAAAAAGAAAATAACACATGTTGTCAATATATGAAATTTCATAGGAGTCCATAATAACTTCTCAATAAAGCAGAGCTAATTTGCAAGCGAGCTGGACGAGTTTAGTATCTTCAATAATAATTCACGCGTATTGAATCAATATGAAGCAACATTACATGAGTACTATTAAACAATAACAATGTTTCTTTTCAATGCAGTAGTTTCCTTTCATGATTTTCACCCATGAGTGATGTATCGTAAATCACTTAGGAATGTAAGTAAATATTAAAATCACATTGTTTTTTCCTTTTTGTAAAAAAAAAAAGTGTTCAATATCATTCACATCGCTCTGAAACTGAGGTCAATCTTCTCTAAGTAGTTCGCGTTTCATCCATATTCCATGGTGGATTCTTATTCCTCTGTCAATGGAAAATACCGATTTGAAAAGTTGCTCAGGAAAAAATCATGATTTGGAAAACCTAGATACTAGCATTCTAGACAGTGATTCGGACGAATTCGATGCATTACCAGAAATTACATTGCCGAAAGGAGAGACGGAAAATCGCCCTAGGCATTTGTACTTAAAAAACGATACTACAGATTTTTCTACTTATAAATGGAGTATTGATCGCCTTTCCAGTACTGCTACACAAGACGATATGAACCGAAAGCGACGAAAGTTCGCGGTCGAAAAACTTCTTTACTATGACAAAGAACAGCTGGAAAACGAGGAAGACGGCGGCATAAATACTCTGCTGAATGAGAACGTTGGATCAGACGTCTTGAATCTGTTACGAACAAACTCTACCAAATCAGAAACTTTAGAATATCACTTCTATAATCCGTCTATAGCTGAACCGGAAGTAAACCCCATTTCATCAAAGCTTTCCATAGAGGATGAATGCACTCAAAAGCTACTGAATTGTCCAGATTATATTTTTGAGATTGCAGCATGCTCCAATTTAATACCTCCTTCGATCGTGTCAAGTGTTTTAATTAAACGCTTCCTAAATTCATTCAATTATCCTTCAAGGTTTACATGGCTTCAGAACTTAAGAGCATATATTAATTCAGGTCCTCAATGCAAGGATGAATTTTGTTTGAGTGTAAACTTCTTCTATACACACATATGTCGGAAAATAGGGTTTAATATTCAAAAACGTAACCAACCTGTTCGCTCTGAACTTACAAGTTCGGAAGAGGTCTGTTCTGTAGTCCTTAATGAGTCATCCGAGGTTGATTTTTTCGTTGAGCTTTGTCGAGTCTTGTATCCTATTTGTCCACAAGAACTTCAATCCTTAATGATACGAGATGTCTGTCGCTGTTTATTAGATATCAAGGTTGGACATGCCTGTCGAACGTCTTTCATTAAATTCATGGAATCTATCGTGACATCGGAAAAACCACACTTTTTCTATGATTTGGTTCGACTTTCGGATCAACCTTCTGTGTGGATAAGTATTCTCTCATCATTGCCTTCTAATTCCCCTACTAATATCCGTTTTCGAACGAACTTAGCTATTCACTGGTTTTTAGGAAGCCTTCCTGAACGCTCACGTATATTTCCTTCTATCTGTGGACAGCTTGATAGATTGCTGGATCGATGCAAAAATGAAAACTATACTGATTTATTATTCTTAATGATCACCTTTAGCTATACAGTAAGTGAGCTCCGTTTAAAAAAGAGTGAAAATCTGGATTTAGTATTAGAGAAACTGCGGAAACTGAACTTAGCAATCCCAGGTACAACTGAGCATTTATTGTTATCAAGATGTGAGGTAAAAGATTACATTCATCGTCTATATATGGTAATTTATTATGAACATTCGGATGTTTATTCAGAATTAGAGCGGACAATCGAAAAAGACCTGGGTCCAATGGGAAAACAAAACGAACAACCCAAAAGAAATTCTGCAAGGAACACATCCAAAAGTTCTTTAGCAAGTAAAAAAGGAGGTAGAAAGAAACGGAGAAGGAATAAAAATCAGAATTAATATTTCCAAATCGATTTTATTAGTATCACGTAACATACGTATCATGAAAGAAGTCGTATTAAACAAATACTTCTAGATAGATAATCAACTTCATTTTGCGGACGTTTCCTATCATGAAAGATTTCATATTGATAGTTCAATTTGAAATACTGAAAACATTATTGTCAAACCAAACCGTAAACGATTAAGCATAAAAGGAACTCTTTTATTAGTGATGAAAGCAACCTTGCCGGTTGATATTAATGACAAAGGTGATGACTAGAAAAAAAAAGCAAGAACTTCCAAACTGATTACGAAAGCCGATTTCGCAGAAAGTAAATGTTTCAAGATTTCGAGAAAAAAATAAATTAGATAACCGTGGAGAAGGAAAATGATCGACAAAAAAATAAGCTAATTAAAGAACTTACGGTTGGGATTGTCACCAAACAATAAATGGCGGATTTGAGGAAGTGCTTCCTTCTTGATTAATTCGAGACGTGCCTTTATCGTGTTGTCAATTTTAATCTTTCCTTCTAACCCGACGACGATTACGCCGCCAAGACAGGAATCATCTAAATACTCATCGTGATCAATATCAATTTCGATATTTTTGAATTTTTCTTGTTCTTTCAAAGTTTCCATAGCCTTAGTCATGGCTAGGGACACCAAATCAACATCACGCTGACGAGCATAGATAATACCGACTTGCTCACTCAAAAGCTCTATAGATTGAACGATTAAATCAGTCAAAAACTTGACATAAGCATCCTTTTTTTGCTCAATTGATTCTAATTTCTTTTCCACCTTTGAGAAAATCCCATCAATCACTTCTTGTCTATTGTTTAACAAATCCAAACGGCTCTTGTTCATAACGTTGGATTTGGCAATCTTTTGAGCCATCGAGACTCGCTTGAGTTTTCCTTCATAACTTCTATCAATTGCTTCACACTCTTCACGGACAATCTTTGCCTTTTCAACTTGGAAATCTTCTTCACTGAGTGTGTGGATTTCCTTAGCCTTTTCAAGCGCTTCTTGCTTGATGAAGCTAATCATCTTGCGCATTTCAGCTTGTACTTGCTCATCTGATAGTGACATTTTGTGAATTACTTAACGAAAACAAGTTCCTTCTTGATGCTGGTTAAAGGATCGTTCGTTCGTTCTTATACGAGTATCTTGAGAAATCAAGTTTACCGAGAAGATTTGAGATTTGATATTTATTATTCCGCGATATGTTGTTTTATGTTAGGGTATCATACTACGATATTTTCATAAATATAGTAAAGTTGTTACTTAGCATTGCTTTATTTACTGGCAATTGTAACATTTGTTTACCATTTTTTCTTTCAAATAGACATTAAACATCAAATATAAAGGATTTCGTATTTCATCTTTAATTTTATATTTAAAACTTAACTAGGAAAAAAAGGTTATGCATTCTTTTCATGTATTCATTGTTATTACTCACTCAGTTATTTAGTACAGGTGCAAATATTATGCAGCAAGGGTTATTTTGTAAAAAAAAGAAGAAATAATTTTTACTACTAGAAATGATCTCAAATGGGCGTAAGAAGGGTGTTTACACAAAAAAATTTATTAAGGAAAAATTAAAAACTGCCTAATATTATTAACATAAAAGATTCATACATATAACCAAAAAGACTAATCATATACCACCGTCTTTATCCAATTGTTGCCTTTACTAGATTGGCATATAGTTGAAGTCGTTGGGTTCTGACCGTTGATACCCTTCGTCGTAAGGCTCTATTGGAAAAGAATAATCATACGACGGTTGATAATAAGATGGTGCAGGAGTTTCTTGAGCATAATTAGGCCTTGGATAAGGCATCATTGGAGGTATCTGATAATTCTGGTTCATATACCTCATATCGTCTGTACGAGGTGCTTCCGTGAAAAGAGGAGCAAGACTAGGCAATCGACTCAGTGGAATAAGAGGTGGTCTTTGACGCTGCAACTGTTCATTTTGATTATGCGACACTGTTTCTGAATTCGTCTTCTCTGGCGTAGTAGGAGGTATGTGCATACTTTTGGTATTCGACCTTGGTTTCGTCTCCGATTTTCGGCGACGCTTCTTCTGGACGGACGAAGAGCCTGAAGCAGCAGGAAGTGAGAACGAATTTGCTCTCTGCATCAAATAATTATTGTTTCCGTTCTGTTTGTCTTCTTGAAACAGACCAGATAGTTGATTCGAAAATTCTTGCAAATCACCGGGAGAAAATCCCATTGAATCATCCGTTTCTTCCCCCCGCATTGAGTATCCTTCTTGACTTTTCGTGGGAGTCTTCCTCTCGGAAAGGAAATCATACTTACTGTTGTTGTAAGTCAACGACTTTGAGGAATGCACAGCAGGTTCTTTCTCTTGTTCTTGATCTTGATGAGGGGAAAAAGACATAAAAAATTGATCGTTATTTTCAATTGGATATCCAGATGATTCTTCACCATCTCCTTCCAAACCAAAATTCAAGTATGCGGTCTTCTCCTTTGGTAAGTCTGGCTCTGAACGGATGACCGCCGTGGACTCTTGCCCATTTTCAGAACCAAATTTATTTTCTTCTGATAATAGTTAGTATAAAAAAAATTCAAATATTAATATGAAAAGAATCAGATCCTCTCTTGACTGTTTCCTTGTTATTTTTGAAAGTTGCTAATCTCTTGCGACAACCCATGACGTAGTAAATTTCGCTTAGCGGTAGCTAAATTACTAGCTCTTTTGACAGGCGCGACAAAAATCAATCGGAAGAAAACAGCGACATTCCAAAAGAAACTCGATATTCAAATTATTTTGATCTGTTTTTTTTTCATCTATTCTTACCGTATGCATCTTCATTTATTCCCTTTAAGCTTTGAGAAATCACTTTCTGTCCTTCCGGTGATTTCACGACATCTTCTAGCTTTGGCGACGAAAATGTATGTACTAATCCAGTCTCAGAGACGACAATTACCATAACTTCTGATCCAGTAAGCATGAAAAGTTCATTCGCCTATTTACAAGGAAGTTTCGTTAATATTATTCCTCAGTTCACTGCACTAGTAGAAGACTCAGGAGTTTCTACTATCCAGTCATTCACTTTACCTTCTTAAATAAGCCTGCTTTTCGTTTTTTGAAACTTGTCTGTCGCTTGAAGGGGTCTTGAATGTATTGTACTCCGGGTTCATATTTGCTGCTTTCTTCACCCTCAGCGTCTTCTTGCAGTGACCTATTTTGGTCCATACTTCAAACACAATTTTGTTGATTCGAAAAGGCACTTTATGCAGGTGGCTTTATCTCCTGCTTCACTCTTTAAAACAAAGAAATGTGACTACGACTAACGATGTTACTTAGTTTATGGTTATCGGGTTGTGAAGTCGGTGGATTTTATAGAATCGCTGTTAAATTATGTTTATAAGCTTGTCTATTTCTTTTTGGAATTACAATTAAGTTACTAAAAAATTATGTATTTTCTAAATCATTGTCGTCTGCACTAAATTATAACTATTCCCAATCCCAATCACCGATCAAGAAACATAAACATTTCAATCAAAGATCTATAGATCTATTATAACTTGCGTGAGTACGAGAATATTAGTAGTATATTATCATCCATAACCAATATACAATTATTATTTTTTATTAAATCTTGCAAGTAAAACACATTATACGGGCATATACCAACATAAATTAAGCAAATAAGGAGCTATTATCATTATCACCACATCATTCTGGTTTTAAGTATTGACAGTGACATCCACAACTTGATGGACAGTACTGAGTGAGCATATCTTGTGTAGAAAACCATTCGTAAAAACATTCTTCATGAATCGCATGTAAACACAAACTACAGACTTTCGATAATCCCCGAATTGATAGATTACAAAAAGAACAACGTTCGTCAAGTTTATCTTTTCTTTCCTTTCTTCTCATTCTGATTAGAGCAACCGCTGCTTGCTGTTGTCTAGCAGTTACCATATCAGGCTTTCCATGATCACCAAAACTTCCTCCATCCTTCTCACATATAGCATTCAACTTCAATAATTCCAGTTTTTGAATATTAAAACCCCATTGATCTAACAGTCCTGCATAAGATGATCTCCAAAAGGCAAAGCAAACATGCAAACGCCAAAACACTTCTTCTTCTTTAGTATTGACTTTTTCGTTCCTACCATCTGCCTCAGGTCGAACTTGAACAACCCACGTTTTTTTCTTTGGGATGGTACTCTCCCTTCCTATAGAATATACAGAATTACCATCGCCATACTTTTTCTCAGGTATGGCAAGTATGCGTGCCAATGACTGACTTGACATTTTTTCAACTTTTTCTGACTTCATTGTAAGCTTTCCCGAACTTTTGTTTAATAACGCGGAATCTGGCTTCGCAGAAATAGGCCTTTTATTTCTGTTTACCAACCGCTTATTCTCCGAATATAGCTCTGGCTCATCCAATACGCATGAGAGCATCGCTAGCATCTGAAAGTTTTCCTGAGTGATATAGTAATTCAAAAATGACTGAACTGTTTTCAAGAACAGTCCATTCTCAAACCAGTAACTTCTTGCTCCTATCTCCTTTTTGTTGTTTTTTAAATCCAGCAGCTTCAGCATTCTTCCAATGAAAAGCCATGAATCCATTAAATGATGATACCCGAAAGCTTTGGCAACCTCAGCATTTCGTTTACAAATATCGACTTTATTACCGAATATAACGTACTCTGCAGCAAGGTGTTTCTTCGTAGGAACTGTCTCACTCATGTCAAAAAACTTCACGAGATGTCTCGTTTCAACAGACGTCTTGTTTGTACCTATAGAACGTTTTGTGGATCCTCTGGATGAGAAACGATTTGTCGTAAACATATCTCGGGGAGCCAGATGAGATCCGAAAAAAGAATTATTCGAGTTTATGTTGTTTAATTCTAGGCTATTTCGATACTTCGGGAAAACGAGACTGCTAGTATTTGCTTCATCTACGTTCCATATAAAATCCTCGTCCGAATCAGAAGAACCAACTTGAGCTAATGACGGATCCTCATCGAAATTAACCGAGTCTGATTCTGTGATATTATTCGCGTCTAAAACACCGAATGACTCAAACAACTTCTGCCGGCCGTGATTTTCACGATTTATTGAAGTATGACCAGAAGTCTTCTCCCGCTGTGTAGTAAAGAAACATACCAGAGTATCATTACAGAAAATCGCCGCACAAGTCTTAGGTAAAGGAATATTTTGCTTTATATGAGAGAGACCACGATCACCACCCCGGAAATCCGAAATACTAGGAAAGTTTTCTACAAATGCATCAGAAGATTCAGACGAAGTATCTGAATCTTCATCTGTTTCTTTAAATTTCCAAACGTCCTCACTCGTCGACTCCCCTGAAAGAAAAGATAAGCAGCCGTCCATGCATGGCTTTTTAGAAGTGATACAATGACTTGAAATTATATTCAGCGTTGATAAAATGCGATTAAACTGATCATCACTAAATGCGCTGGATTTTTCCAAATGGAATATAGGACTCGCTGAAACTGGATAACCCAAAGGAAATTGTATTCGTAAACGAATAAAAGTGAAAGCTCCTTCTGGTAATAGCGGAGCATTTAAAGATATCCTGCATTTTCTTTGAGCTACATCGATTTCCTCAAAATTTACGTTTCCATATTTTTGACCGATCCAAGACAGCTCCTCACCAAGATTCTGAGGAACTTCCCAATCAGCATTCGCTTGACGACCCATTGAAATTCCGCGAAGCCAGTTTAAAGGCGTTAGATTATCCTGCAGCTTTGTAGAACGAGTCATGAATCCAGCATTCGATGAGCCATTAGTATTTTTTTGACGTCTTCGGCTAATATTAGGGGCAAAACCTATAGATGATTCACCTAGAAAACTATTACTAGTTTCTGCGTTCAAATCCGTCGGTTTTTCCTTATTAAGAACTTCCAAATTATTGGATTCCTTTTCGTTAAGTTTTATGCACTCTTTGAATGGCTCACGAGCATAGGTTCGATACTTTGCCCCATATCTAGGGAGAGAAAAAGGAATTGGTTTGGAAGAATCATGCCCAGTTGATTGTAATACGTCCTTAGAAATCGGCCATAAACGTACATATCGATCTTTAGACCATGTGATCAATTGAAAGTCTCGGTTGTCTTTATCAAAAACGTCTTCACCACGACATCTCCATAAGAATTCCTTTACCAAGTCGGTATGACCAGAAAAGGTATGAACGGGTCGAGGACCACCCTCATTGAGATTACGAACATCATACAGATGAACAGAGTTATCACCCCTTTGTGGCATTAGCATAACACCTTCACCAAAAGGCGTAAATCTTGCTTTCCAGACTGGAGCGTCGGTTGTAATCAAGTGCTCCGGTTCAATGGTAGATTCTGAATAATCCCAAAATTTAACAGTGCGATCCATAGCACAAGTTAGTAGACGAGTTTCACTGACTTTATTAAACTCTAAACCGTTAATTTTTGTGATGCTTGCCGAAGTCTGAATTGTATGTAAGGGCCCAGAGCCATATCGGTCATCCCAAATATGCACAAAACGACCGTGACTAGACGCTAACACATGAGGATTACGGTAATTCCATTTAACTTGTGTTGCACCATTATGCCAATCATAATAAGAATTGACAGGGAACCTGGGAGTTCGTAGATCCCAGCAATGAACGGAAGAGTCAATGGAACTCGTAGCCAAAATATCTGGGTACTGTCTGTGCCAGTTCATATCAGTAACAGCACGTGTATGTCCATGTAGCATAAACTCTATAGCATTTTCATTAGGAAGTGCAAGGTTCCACACGATTGTTTTTTGATTTGACGTCGTGACAACCCATTGATCCCTAGCAGCATGAACACTCCATTGAGCATCAGCAACTTCCCAAGGAGTTGAATGTCGCAACATCCGAGGTGGATTATAAGGATTATCCAAATCAATTACTAAAAGGCCATTGCGTGAAGCCAACGCCACGTCTCTACCGCATGGAGATAAAGACATTGCACCAACAGGCTGATTCACCTGAATAGAAAGTTGACGATCAAATGTACTGCTTCCGTAAAGACCTAGAGTTGAGTCATTTCCTTGCGGTTGGCCTAACATAGATGGCAGATTTTCTTCTGTTTGAGGTACCACCAAGGTAGAATTTCTATTGGTATTTTGGCGGTCATCAGATGAATTCTCTAAACGAAATGAATGTCTAGAATCGTAGCTATATTGTTCAACTGGGGAAGAGTAAACAGAGGTTATGGTGGGAGTAGGCGGTAGTAGAGTCTCAGATCGATCGCTGCTGGATAAATTGACATAAGAAGTTGAAGATAATTTTTTTATCTTCATCGATCCTTTTTCAGATTCATTACTCCTTTCATCGGAACGTACGCTAGAGTTATAAGTATCAGTAGGTGTTTTACTAGCATCGACACTGCTTCCCTCCTTTCGTTGTTCCATTGAGGAAAGTGAAGTAGTCCGAAGTTTAGGCGATACATTCGAAGAAATTGAAGGTTCATCACTAACGTTCAGAGATGAAGACTCCATTATTATAATGCCAAAAAGAAAATCTCAAAACAAAAACCTTATTCACATCAAAATTCCAAAAAACGTTTTTTATTCATTAATGTTTAAATACATGCAGAATTTCAAAAAGGAAAAATCATGGCATCAGGTTAGTTCATGAAGTTCCTTCTGTGCGTTTGTTTACATGGTGTAACCCTTTAAACCATCCTTGTATGTCGCTAACGTATATATAAGGGTATAGCATACCATCGTTAATAGATTGCAAATACACCAAAGAATTCGCATTTGGGGGACTGCAACTAAAAAGTGCCTATTTCATTGATTTATTATGGCTCTTCCTAAACGTATTATAAAGGTAGATTTTTAAGGACCTATAATAGAAACTGTACTAATCAAAAATAGGAAATCGACACTTTGACAAGAGACCCTCCGCCAGGAATAGAGGCATCTCCTATGGAGGATAATCTGCGCTACTTCCAAATCACAATTGAAGGACCTCATCAATCTGCTTATGAAGGAGGAAAGTTTCATTTGGAGCTCTTTTTACCCGAAGAATATCCCATGGTATGTTGGACCTGTGCGAAAGAATAAAGTTCTGTCTAACGCACGTTCGCAGACGGTTCAGACTGAAAGAATTAGCAATAGGAAACACTAACCACCGTTATAGATGCCCCCTAGTGTTCGTTTCTTGACTAAAATTTATCACCCTAATGTTGATAAACTTGGTAGAATTTGCCTTTCCACGTTGAAAAGTAAGAAGCTCAGTTACAAATTTTTTTATTAAAACCTTTCGAAATTTAAGGGATATCTGCTAACAATGAATAGAGGATTGGAGTCCCGCTCTTCAAATTCGTACTGTCCTATTGTCTATCCAAGCCCTAATGGGAGCACCAAATCCAGACGACCCTCTGGACAATGATGTTGCTAAAATCTGGAAAGACAATGAGCAACAAGCCATTTTAAATGCTCGCGAGTGGACTCAAAAGTATGCTTTGTAATTAATAGATTGAATACGATTCTTTTATGATACATGACAGTATTTACCTATGCTATCGTTATGTTTTTCGCGCTACCAATTATCTTCAAACGTGAGGAAGTAAATATCTGACACATAATACAAGTGAATTTTCAAATATAGCAGCTCTTCCTCAACAGAACTTAGTATACATATTGATTTTAAAGGAAAACTGTCCGTTTAGTCTTGCAGAGCCTTCATAATTCGAGCCGAAAATAACTTTCCCTGTTCCTTCGTAAATATTATCTCTTCTGTAAGGTATTCTGGTAAGTAATCCATCAACTCAGCATCACGCTGTGGATGCAAACAGGGTGTAAACGTGAAGTTTGAATCGTCTAGTAGTAACTGATACTCCAATTCTATATTCGTAAAGCTGTTAGTCGTAAATATTCCACAAAATTGACACTACATACGTCCTCGTCTACCAGTATTTCTACAGGTATAGCGAATTCCTTCTTCGACGACTTTGGAAGAAAGAACTTCAAGACCAAAAAGCTCCTTAACTAGCAATTTCTCTTCATCGACTTCTTGAACATAATGTTTGCTTTCGGCAAGTTCTTGGCGTAATTGATCATTATTTTTTTTTTCACTCTCCAATTCTCTTTTTAATTCAGCTATCGTTCCATAAAGTTCTTGTTTGTGTTAGTAAACAAAGATGCTCATGGTATTTAGTGACTATACCTTTAGATTGAGTTTCTGAAGTGTGAACAATCTCTTTAGTAGCCATACGAAAAGATTGCTCTTGCAATGCATTTATTTTGCTTAATAGTTTTGATAACTCATTATATTCGTGCCGCCGTTCCCTAGGAAGATTATTATCATCGAAACGCGGTATACTTAAAGGCTCGACATTTGGCTTATCATTGTCTTTTTCAGTACCATATTTTCTATGATCTTTAGACAAAATGTTTTCTTTAATGTCTAGATGTGATTCCTCTTTTTCTGGAGAGTCTCTCCGTTGCTTAAATGTTTTACGACTAGTTTTTAACGATTGTTGATCCATCCGGGAACTAACTCAAATAAGCACAGTGAATTTAACCGTGCTTTCTTACCGGTTTCTGATTTTTTTTGAAAGTGTCGATTTACGACTGACTTGTAGATTCGTGTGGATTCAAAGGTGGGTCTACACTAAACTTCATTTAGCTTTTAATCGAATATACTTTTATTCACCTACGATATATGCGAAGATTATCATCTTCCAAGAATAAGTTATTTTTCTTTTTTAAATCTGTAATTCGCGATGTCAAGAGTTGTGAAGTACTCTGTAAGAAATACTGGATTTAGTAAACTTTTCACTCAATTGAAACAAATGTTACGATTATATTATCTCTTTATTTAACTTTAGCAAAATAGAAGAGAATTAGTACATTCTACATCGTTTTGGTAGACCGCAGAATGATCCATAGGCTCTTACCTATCTTTAACCTATACCACTTGCATTCTTATTTATTTGCTCATACCAGGATTTTGTATTATACAACCGAATTTGCATAGATTAATCACCATTTGCATTAATTCAGAAGTCTAAATGGAATGAATTGCAGACGTAAACCTCTCCCCCTTCATACAAAGGAAGTTCAGCTAGCTGAAGCTATACCAAAAGAAGAATTATACTAGTAAGATTATTTTTAATACTATGAGGACAAACTGACATGTTTAGCTGGTCTTTAAAGAACGTTTTAGTGTTGTTTTTGGTTCAATATCGCGCGCTAGCTCCCTCTACATTACAGTCTGTATCAACTAGCCAGCTAATTTCTGATAAGAAGGCTTCTGCTATAACTAACAATAGTAATGCTGTTAACATAAAGGAAAAACGAGGGTCACTTAAATATCCCAAGGAGTTTATAAAGTACTTAACGATTGAACTTGAAAATATAAGTATGGGTCGTAACCCAAAGTATCAAGATCAGTTGCTTCGTGGTACCTTCGCCGCTTTCTATACCACCATAAGTAAATCCTACATAATGAAACAGATGAAAGAGTCTCGAAGAATTGAAGATTTGTTCCTAATTTTCACTAGTTCAGTTTCATCTGAACTCACAAAACGCTTGGGTTCCTTTGAAAGTAATTTGTCTGATGAGATCTCTGTCTGGTTTATAGATTTATGTGAATCTATTCTAATTAATCGGCAACTGCTTGCTGCTACGTCTGAATTTATTGTTCACCTTAATATGTATAAATCAAAAATTCAGAGCCGTACAGATATTTTGACCTCAAAACGTGTTAGCAAAGGAGCTGAAAAATTCGATTTCTCTTCATTTCCTCTCCTAAAAATATTTGCTTCGGTATTTAAGGTAGCATACTCCAAAGTTTTATTGGATGCCGAAAATATGTTCCCTACTATTGATGAATCGGCTATATACAAAGATATTACGATATTAATTGACGATCTCGAAAATGACACTTGTAAATATTCCCAATCTGTTTTGGACTTTTCCAATTACAAAGCTTATTCTACTTATAAAACCCGTGAACTGCAGATTCTAGAGCAACATCGAAAAATAATACTCAGTTTCAATCCGCTTTTGTCAGAAATTTATCACAGAAATAATGGAACTAGCTCTGCTAGTGCGCCAGAGACACTAACTTGCGTCCCTCCAGTTACACGCCCTTATTTTCGGCAGTTGCTAGCACTTTGTCTTCAATATCGTTGTGGCGTTTCTGACCCGACAGAAGAGAAAAATGTTAATACGTTCATTCGTGAATGTTCAATCTATTGGAGAATTTTACCTTCAAGTCGATTAGCATTGAGCATGGAGCTTGCTCGTGAGTATTTTCAAAAAGACTTTATATCGATGATGGATGTCGTAAATTATTTTGGCGAGTTATCTAAGGTGACGAAGGAGTTTGAGTGTGTATACTGGCCAAAAGTAGATGTAAGTTAACTAACTTTACATTTTATATTTTCAAACGTTACTAACGATTATCAGGTATCTATGCTTAAAACAGCTCTTACAGGAATCCGAAACGTCCTTTTACAAAGATTCAAGATATCCCTCATTAATGTTCTAAATAACAAGAAATCTAACTACAACAATTTATTAGCTATACTAGAACTATGCCTTGAAAATGGTAAACTGGTAAACGAGGATTTAAATCCAAAAGCAGAACTTATATCAATTGCATTATGCTTACAAGAAACTTGTCAAGAGATTTTTTTAAAGGAATTTAATATATCGACAAGAAAATTCGTTTCTGATGGAATCGACGAAATTCTACTGCACAGTCGTGCCCTGAATGATAGAGTTGAATTTATCCAACGAACATGCCCGGAAACTATATTTGGTATAATTTCCTTACCAAGCTTATTCACTAGTGTTGTTTTGCCTAATTATATTACGTCTGCAATGAAGGTGACTAAGGCGCATCTTCAAAGTAATGCAAAGGGTGATCTCGATGCTCTTACTAATGACATGATTGATGCTTACGGAGATTTGAAGAAAATGATAAATTTACTTCGTTTTTACCATCAAGATGAATACGAGCTTGGTAACTTTGAAGGTTTTTTTCAACCATTCGTGGATTCTTGGTTGAATAACGTAGAAGTTAACGCAAACGATTGGCTTGAAAGAGCATTACAAAAGGACAAATTTGATACTTTGAACAAGGAAGCAGCATGCAGTAGTTCAATTATCGATCTTTTTCATGCTTTTCATCAGTCTTTACGTACACTCATGAACTTTGAATGGGAGGACGCTCTTTGCAACGCGAGGTTTTTTACAAAGTTTTTTAGGATTGTGTATATGGTTTTATCTAAATACACTTCTTGGGCACTAAAGACCTTTTTTGACGAAGCTAACAAGAAGGACGACAATGTGGACTTACAAGCTGAAAATGAAAGCTCAGGCTCATCTTGGTTATCGAAAGCCCGAACAATGTTGTCCGGTACATCTGAGGTTCTACCTTTTCACTTTTCTACTTTCATGTGTATCCTGCTGAATAATGTGCATTATGCTATACAGGCATATGAAGAACTTGAAAGTAAAATAAATCTTCAAGAATTAGTTCAAGCTCTTGACCAGGCAGAATCTACGAAAGTTCAGAAGCTTTCCACTACTAATTATCTGTATACAGTGAAGGTTATTCGTGGAGAAAATTTACAGCCGGATGATACTGGAAAGATTCGAACATCCTATGTTGTCCTTACTGATAATAGAGGAAAGCGGATAGGAAAAACTAGGCCAATTCATTCTATGAACCCCCGTTGGGATGATACTTTTGAAATAAAAGCAAAAGATTCTTTAATAATTACAGCCAATTTATGGTCTAAAGGGAAGTTTGGCGATCATGAGATATTTGGAAGATGTTCATTCCCTTTAACGCCTAAAGTATATGGCGATTATATCGCTAGAGAAGATTGGTTGAACTTGAATCCACATGGTGAATTGCTTGTAAGGATCGAAATGGACGGCGAAAAAGAACATATCGGTTTTTATGTTGGTCGTACTTACCATGATTTGGAAAGATCTCAAAGTGAAATGATTAGGTTTATTGTCAACAAAATGGATCCAGTTATAAGTCAGAATTTATCAATGTCGACTCTAAGGAAGCTATTATCAGGTTCATGGATGGATTTTGATAAGACTATGACTTCTGTAACTAGTTTGTTTAATAGAGCTGCATTGACTTCCTTTTCAAAGAGGGGGGATCCAAAGAGAGAAAACCATGAGTTGACTGATGTTGAAATCGAATCTGCAATTAATGACTTACTTGACTTTTTTGACGTTAATTTCTCAGTGATTGCTCGACATCTATCAAAAGATGTCTTTGTGACGGTTATGTCTTACGTATGGGACGAAGTAATGTGTACTATAGAAGATTTATTACTGCCTCCTGTCTCTGCAAAACCAATTGAGAGGAAGCCACTTTCTGAAAGTCAACTGAAAATTGTATACAGTTGGTTACAATTTCTTAAAGACTATCTACACGCTAATGGCGAAGGTGTTAACCTTTCGGTATTGGAAACGGAACATTACCAAGAACTTCTAAAAATACATGAGTATTACGATAAGTCTACGGATGAATTATTGGAAGAATGTGAAAAAATTACATTGCATTTGTTCCATTCTTCTCGATTAGTAAACGTATCACCCGAAAACAATGCAGAAATGTCAAAACTAGCGAAGTTGAGCAACAAGGAAATATATAGATCAGGAACAATAAAACAATATGTTCCACCGATTCGACAAACTAAGGAGGGTGAACTAGAAAGGAACGAACGTATTATCCTAAGGATTTTACGGATGCGGGCCAATTCAAAAAGATTCTTATTGAAGCATTTCCAGAGAAAGGATAAACTTAGAATGGCTGATGCTATGAGAAATGGGTACGTGATGCCGCTCGGGCATTTAAAAAAAGTGTAATGAGTCTTAAAGACTTCTGTGGTAGTTACTTTGGTGTACAAATGCTTGTTGATACTGGATTCAATTAATTTATCTTTTTGCTTTTAATATAATGTAAATTGAATGTCGATACACTAGTAATACTAGTAAATACTAGGTATTTCAGTAGTAAGTGTGTTCTATTCCTAGCCATTATTGACCGCATTTCATCGAGTCCTCCTAAATAGTTTAAAGATTTATTTTAATATATTTTACAACTTACTTTTTTTATAAAGCCGAAGAAGTTAGTATTAGCCGTATACCGTACAAATGGTGTCAGAAAGCTGAATATGAACGTATACAATTTGGAAAAGGAAGGAAAAGTTTATTTCATATGTATATAATCAAGTAAGATAATTTAATCTGAAACCGACAAGAAATCGCCATTTTCTACTTGCACCAAGAAATTTTGTGGTCAGTCGGTGGTATTTCTAACTTCATCCTTCTACCACTACCACATAGTCAAATGACTAGATCAATTCTATGACTTACGAAGAGTCGGAGAAGAATGTAGATGGACCTGGTTCCTTTATAAAAAAAGAAGATTCTTCGAATTTCAAATTACGCGTTCATCTGCGTGAACCTGAGCTTATAGTCACCCATGCTGGGCATGTTGTGGAAAAACCAAAGTACGAAAATCTAGAAGACTTTTTAAGTTCGTATGTATCATTAGAAGATGGTGATTATGATGCTCAATCTGCCGAAGAAAAAGTAGAAGGTGAAGTCAATCTTCGTCGAAGAATTGAAGAGTTCCGAAGAAAGGGATACTTCAGCGCTGAGGCTCCAGTGGAATTGAAAAAGGGACCAGGCTCCATGAGGCCTCCTTTGTCATACAGAGATAATTTTTTATCTCATATTCATGGGTTAGCCCGTTATATGCACAATGAAAGGAAAGTACGAGCATCGCGAGCTCGTAAAGTGTCCGGTATGATTTTAGGGCATTTTAAACGTCTTTCCGGAGCGGATGAAAGAAAAGCTAAAGAAGAAGAAAAGCGAATTCGTCTATTAGCGAAAAGAACCGCTTGGGAAATACGTAAAAAGTGGAAAGTAGTAGAAAGAGAAGTTCGGAGAAGACGAGTGGAACGTGCCGAAGAGGCGCATCGTCTAGCAGGCAAAGAACATTTGGCCAATATTTTGAAACACTCTACCGATTTACTAGAAGCTAGAATTGAACGGCAAACCGGTCCTACATCTGCTAAGCAGAAGAAGGAAAAAGACAAGCCTCCAAAAATTGATTTGAACTATTTAAGGGATACTCCAGATGACCAATTGTCAATCGATGAGTTGAAACTTAAATATAGTAATCCTGAAGTGGTTGACTCACTCGGTCAAAACGTTGAATCTGATGAATCTGACGAAGATCAGCTTGATTCTGAAAATGAATTATCTGAAGATATTTCTGAAGACGAAGAAATCAAAAAAGAACAGGTTGCGTCACCTAAGACCGATGAAAGCAGTTTGAAGACTCAGACAAACCCTAGCCGCGTAACTCGTGCTTCTGCTAGAAAGCTAGCTTCAGAAAATGGAATAAAGAAAGACTTAAACGGTAACTTTGAGGAGGCTTTGTCCAACAAACAAAGGAATAAGACTTCCAATTATGGTAGCTCACGCTCCAAAAATCACGAAGATGAATCGGAAAATGAGTCCACTTTATCTTCTCTGTATGATGATTCTGTTCAATCAAAAAAGCGATTTTACGAAGATGAGGAAAAGACCTCTAGGAAACGACAGCAAATTGAGAATGAAGGTTCCAAAGATACTCAGAAAAATGAGCACTCTGCCATAACGGCGAATAAAGTTGATATTCCTTTTCTTTTTCGGGGTTTCCTTCGTGAGTATCAACAGTTTGGATTGGAATGGTTGACTGCACTTCATGACAGCAATACCAATGGTATTTTAGCTGACGAAATGGGGTTAGGTAAGACTATTCAGACAATTGCCTTGCTGGCTCATTTAGCCTGTGAAAAAGAAAACTGGGGACCCCATTTAATTATTGTTCCAACAAGTGTTATGTTAAACTGGGAAATGGAGTTTAAAAAGTTTCTTCCTGGTTTCAAGATATTAACTTATTATGGTAACCCTCAAGAACGGAAAGAGAAACGTGCGGGATGGTATAAGCCAGATACATGGCATGTTTGTATAACCTCTTATCAACTTGTTTTACAAGATCATCAGCCTTTTAGACGAAAAAAATGGCAGTACATGATTTTAGATGAGGCCCATAATATTAAAAATTTTAGATCACAACGGTGGCAGTCATTACTAAACTTCAACGCAGAACATCGTTTGCTCTTGACGGGTACTCCATTGCAGAATAATTTGGTTGAATTGTGGTCGCTCTTGTATTTTTTGATGCCTGCTGGTGTGACGGACGCCAATTCTGGATTTGCTAATCTTAAAGACTTTCAAGATTGGTTTTCGAAACCCATGGACCGACTAATTGAAGAGGGAAGTGAAATGAATGAAGAAGCCATGACTACCGTTGCAAAATTACACAGGGTTTTACGACCTTACCTTCTTCGCCGTCTGAAAACAGAAGTGGAGAAGCAAATGCCAGGAAAATATGAACATGTTGTGTATTGCCAGCTTTCAAAAAGGCAAAGATTTTTGTACGATGACTTTATCAACCGTGCTCGAACGAGAGAAATATTAGCATCAGGAAATTTTATGAGCATTATTAATTGCCTGATGCAACTTCGTAAAGTATGTAACCATCCTAATTTACATGAAGAACGTCCGATTGTTACGTCGTTTGCTCAACGTCGGTCAGCTATCGCTGATATGGAAATCAAAGAAATGTTAGTTCGTAAAAAGCTATTGGAAGACGAGCCAATGAGAAAGCTGGATCTTTCTACTTTGCGTCTTGTCTGTACAGACTCTGAGTCCTTTGACGCTGTCACATCAAGAGAATTAGGAGCGCTGTGCGCATCTGATGGATATGACAAAAGATGTACATTATTGGAAATGGAAATAGATCAGCAATCATCTGCAAATTATATAAAAAAGGCGGAATTCAGGCTTGATTTTCAAAACAGAAAATATAAACGTGAACTCGAGACAATGCGCCATCAGAAGTACTTAAACCAACAAAAGTGCAATCGTAAACCAATATTTGGCAGCAATCTTATAAGCATGGTTAGAGAATTACCAAGGAATTATCGTGCTATAGATTATACTGTTACTGCACAAAAGGATCCCATGTATACTCTAAATACAACCTCAATGCTGCGTGACTCTATTTTAGGGGTTGAAGAACGCGCTGATTCGATGAAGGAAGTTCTTCAGAACTTTGCTTGCATCACACCGAAAGCTGTTGTTGTAGATTTGCCAGAATTGTTTACCGAACCTGTTAAACACAAAGTATTGCCTCAAATGAAGCAAGATAATTGGCCATGGCATCAGGCTGCAACGAGACTTGCTATTGCATTTCCTGATCGTCGATTATTGCAGTATGATTGCGGTAAGCTACAAGTTCTTGACAAGTTATTAAGAGATTTAATTTCGAACGGTCATCGAGCTTTAATTTTTACCCAAATGACAAAGGTGTTAGACATCTTGGAACAATTCTTAAACATACACGGTCATCGATACTTAAGGTTGGATGGTGCTACGAAGATAGAACAAAGGCAAATTTTAACTGAAAGATTCAACAACGATGATAAGATTCCAGTATTCATTTTGTCTACTAGAAGCGGTGGATTGGGAATCAATTTGACCGGTGCTGATACAGTTATTTTTTACGATTCAGATTGGAATCCACAATTAGACGCTCAAGCACAGGATCGTTCTCATAGAATTGGCCAGACAAGGGATGTTCACATTTATCGTCTCATCAGCGAATATACGGTTGAATCTAATATGCTAAGAAGGGCAAATCAAAAACGGATGCTTGATAAGATTGTCATACAAGGAGGTGAGTTCACCACTGAATGGTTCCGAAAAGCCGACGTTTTGGATTTATTTGATTTGGATGAAAAATATTTAGAGGAGGCCGAAGCAGAAACCACAAACAAAGCAGATGATGAACATTGGGAAGATGCTTTGGCAGCTGCTGAAGATGAAGAAGATGTAAAGGCCGCGCAAGTTGCCCGGAAAGAGTCAGTACTCGAAAGAAATGAGTTTATTGACATCCCTACACCCCAATTATCATCTGCTATGGAAAGCACTTCATCCCCATCAAGTATGACTCCTGTCTACGACAAAGAAGCTGAAGATGAGGAAGAACAGCAGTCAATTTTTGATGAGGTCGGATTCGAGAACGAAGAAGAAGGAGATTTGGAACAAGAAACGGTTGACGATACTCTTGGACATATTGATGAGTATATGATTGGATTTTTGGAACGTGAAGGTACTAGTGATGAATGGTAAGCCAAGCATTAATTTAAGAAAGAATCAAGAAAGAAAACGATTATTTCTGGTAAATAATCTTTGTCATGATGATACGTAAACATTAATAAGATGGATATTTTCATAATTATCCTTTTAAACAAGACTATTTATTTGATTTTAAGATGATGGTATGGTTTTCAAAAGAATACAAATCAAGAAGTGCTAAAGTTGGATTTTCCCATACATGTTTTTTTTTTCTATTTCTCAAAGAAACTGAGGGTTATGAAACTGGACGCTGTCCCTTCACGTAACTAAAATTTTTTTTCAACTTTTTTGAAAACAAATCTATATGGAATGTTGAAATGGATTTCGTTCTAGAGCAACATATGTTCTCGCACGTCAACTTCAAACTTGATGGCGAGAATTCCATTCCGTCTTTATTATGGAAGAGTTATTTTTACAGAAGTAAATTGTGAAAAGAAGATGAGACCCGGGCGAAAATATATTTGAGCTGGCATTCGTAGTGAATCTTTTACCGACTATAACTACCAATTTACCTGAGCTATCTCTAGATGAGTATACCCTAATAAATTCCAAGGAAACATCCTATTCAGCAATGGTTTGTTGAAGAACGACTTAATTCATTAATAAAATAGAAATTGTCACAATTCTACTATATATTAAAATCTGTAGATGAGAGATTCTTTTAAATAATATTGCCATATAATGAATGAAGTAACTATTTAATTCAACACAACAAAAGTTTGAAAACTTCTCATCAATCAGCAAGCCAGTTTCCGAGAGTTGTCTGTGTATAACGGCGTTATTTCTTCAAAATAGTCTTACGTTGACACCTTTCAAACTCTTCTCACATACATTCAATAACGTATCAAAAAAAGAAGTAGAGCAATACGAAAAACGCTGATAAGTTCACATTTCAAGATGTAAGATAAAATTTTAAAATATGCCTTGCATTTAATCGAAATTGCTACGCTGGCAAGAATCGAGAAAAAGGCAAGCAAAGCAAGTTGGTTATATGCGCAGGACCCATTAGGTGACGTTTGTAACTTGCAAAAAGCGTACTCGAGTACATTCGCTTGTAACGAGTCGTCTGGGGTATGTATTACTATTGAACATGAATATAATTATATATAATATACGTTTCAATGTGAGGATATTTGGAGAAATAGAAACAGGATAATACTAAAGAAAGTGTATTACAAAATGAAAACAAAGTATATAGACGACTGTTCGAAGAGGAATGTGGAGTAGATAGAAAGAAGAGGAAAGCAACAAAAAGCAAGTCCATTTATTGCGTTTAATGCAATTTCACCTTATAGGATGTTGCGTTGGAAATGTGAAACAATTCGAGTGCTCGACGGAAAGCAAAAACCAAAATTAAACAAAAAAAATAAAAAAGCTTCTAGTAATGTGTAAGGAAATCCTCAAATTCGTTGATATTTATGAGCTGGGATCAAGTGTTAACAAATTGGCTTACTATTTACGATGGAAAGGAAGACAACTCCATTGAGGAAATCACATAACTGTAGGAACTGGTTTGCTGAAGTATTTTATTCAAAAGTATTCTAGCTAACTGATTTCCTGGATTTTGATAGATATGTTTGTAAATTCTTTGTTTGTGTTCAAAAGTCCTTTTCTTTTCTTAAATTGTTTTCGTTTCTACTTCTTTTCAGATATTAAATTCTTTTGCTTATTATTATTCATTATTAGAAAAAAAGGGAAAAAGGGAAAAAGGGAAAAAAGGAAAAAGGAAATAAAAATTAGTACAAACTTGGTGTTGCTGGTCAAGTCAACGATTATGAGTGGCATCTCTCTACTAAGCGCCGAAGTTGTAACAATAGCACAGAGACACATACGGTTGTTCATTTTGAATTAAATCTACTGATCCCAATGGAAGAATTCAAACGGTTAGAAAAGCAGAAGCTGAATATTGAGGAAGAGTTGAAGGAACTGCAAAGTGTTTTACTACGAGTAAGTTGATTCCCTGCTACGAAAAGAATGAGCTGTTGGCTCGTAAACAAATCAATAGCTAACAGAAGTTAGGAAAATGTTACGATGAATACTCCATTAGTAACACAAGATGGGTTTCCCAGGTCCGATATCGACATTACTACAATTCGACCCACGAGACATAAAATAATCCTGCTTCGAAACGACTATAAAAAGGTGGAAGAAGAAATTAAAAAAGTATTGGAAAAAGTTCTTTCAGCAGAAGCAGCTGAGTCTAATCTTACAAACGGAGCTTCCGAATCGCAGCTCAAGACAAGTACTAAAGATGAGGCTGCAAATGTTGATGGATCTTCTCTGAACAAAAACCATGAAAAAGTTTTACAAAGATCTTCTATCTTGGGAAGGCCGAAACCATTTTGCGTCGTAGACTCAGTGGCCGTAGATAGCCCAGCCCAAGAAGCTGGACTTTGCGTCGGAGATGAGATTATAAGCATTCAAAACTGTACAAGCTTGGCGTCTTTGCCAGAAGTTGTTTTAGGAAGCATTGAAAAGAACTTGCATGTGTTGTTAATTCGTGGATATGATGCTGACGATTCACCAAGAGTCTATCAACTCTCTCTTAGACCCCATACTTGGCAAGGCCCTGGCGTATTGGGTTGTCATTTACGTTGAAACTTACGATAAAGAGAAATGGCAATAAATGAGAATAAAAACAAAAAGATTCCAATGTGAAAGAATGATACCAAGGACAAACTTTGAGAACAGCATGAACAACTGTTATGAATGAATAAAGAAAACGCCTTTTCTCCTAATCGACAAGACTCTACGTTTGAAATGAGTGTATTTGTTATGAAATATTTGTAATCACTTAGTTTACAAAATGCTAGTTTGTTGATAAGAATATTTTTAAAAGTTAGAACGCTTATGCACTAGATTTTTGAAAAACATATGTATGTTTATATATTTATAAATTTATAAAAGAAATAAATGTCCATTAGTATTCTCATAAGAAAAAAAAAATAAAAAAAAAACAACGATTATAAACTTGAAGGAAACAACGACAACAAAAAAGAAATGCACCAGGCACTAAAGATTTGTACAAGAGTTATTTTACAAAAAAAAGATACACAAGACTTCTCCTCTAGGGGTCTATTGTTCTTTCTCACTTTTCTTCCATACAAAAAGAGAAAAAAGAAGTAATAAAACACAGCTTTAACATTCGTCACCACCCATTTTTTTTTCAAAGAGCACGACATGTCCTCTTTAATGTCGCTGTCTAAAAGGAGGTTTGGTTTATTGGTTTCTTTTTTCTTTTTATGGGGAGGCTTTTTCAGAGTCAAAATTCTCCCACCACAAATTCTCATTAGTAAAGTCTAAGCACTGGAAAGATTCATCGAGTGATCCACAAAATTCGGGATAAGCAAAGGATTGCAAGGGTGGAGAACCAACGGTCAAAGAAAGAACGGAGGATTTGGAAGGGTTGCAATTGGAGAATTGAGAGAAAGAGGTTTCCAAAGGATTATTGGAAGAAACAGAATCTTGCAAATTGGTAAACTGATCGATTTCAAGACTTAGGGGGTCAACAGAGCCGATAGGATCGGAAGAGGAAGTTGTAAATGACTGGGAAGCAATTTCATCGTTCTGAGCAGCTGGGGAGGCACTGTCTGAAGAGTCGGTGAGATAGGAAGAATAGTCAAAGTCCGAATCGCCCAAAAGCTGAGAATTAGAAGAGGGAAAAGAGGCGGAAGAGGTGGAAGGAGAAGAAGAAAAGGTATCGGCGGATTCGCGTTTGGGAGAATGGGATGGTTGAAGCTTTGGGAGGGATAAATCAGATAACATGGGAAGTTGCATGAAAGGCTTGTTGACATAGTCTTCCTGAGGAAACTTTGTAGTTGTGATGTCGGATGACGGAGGAAAGGTAGGGTTGGAGACAATTGAATTTGGGGTGGAGGGAGAAGAAGGAGAGTCCAAGTGGGTAAAAAGAGGATTTGTTTGAAATAGATACGGCTGCAGAGGATCATGATCAACGTAGCCGGGAATGGAAGAAGAGACGGAGGAGACGGAAGCGCTAAGAGAAGGAGGAGGAGAAGTAGAGGAGGAAGAGTATTGTTTTATGGGAACGGTGGTAGGAGAGGTGGGACGGTCGATTGGATGAGAGGGAGGAGACATGTAAAGAGAAGATTGTACAAGGGGAGAAGAGACAAAAGTCGAGGAAGTGAGAGGAGCTTGGGGATCGTTATCGTTGTATGAGGGAAGTGTAGCAGGATTACCGGAGGGGTAAAACAATTTGCGGGAAGATTTAGAAGGAAAAGAAGAAGTAGAAGTAGAAGCGGTGGTGGTGGTAGTGGTATCAAGAGGAGAAGCGATCGTGGAAGAGACGAAAGAGGGAGAAAAGGAAGAAAGTTTAGAAGGGGAGGAAGCAACGAGAGTAGAAGAAGAAGCGGAAGAAGGGGGAGGAGGAGGAGGGTAAGATGAAAGGTCGGTGGAGAAGGAAGGATAAGTATTATAAGAAGGGTAAGAGAAGGAAGAAATGGAAGCAGTAGGGGCAATCAAGGAAGGAGAAGAGGGAGTAGTGGTAGTAGTAGTAGAAGAAGAAGAAGAAGAATGAGGAGGACAATGGAAAGGGGTGGTACGTTTTCGAGAGGAACGCCAAGAAGAAACGGAAAAATGACATTCAGCATGAGCTTTTTGACAAGCCATACAAGGTTGATTGGGGAATTCACTAGCGATACAACGAATTTTTCTACGACGACAACGATCGCAAGCGACGGCAGTACGACGACGAGGACCGGAAGATTTGTGAGGCATGTTGAGGAGACAAGGAAGAAGAATGCGAAAGAAAGAAAGAAAAACAAGAGGGTTGGGAGGGAGGAAAGAAGGAAGAAGTAAATAGAATTATGAAAAGAAAAAAAAACGAGAAATCAACAAAAGGGCATAAAAAGGAGATACCAAACAAATTGAAAAAAAAAAAAAAATAAAGTTTGGTAAGTAGGTAGGTAAGTAGGTAAGAAAGAGAGAAAAACAAGGAAAACGAAAAGAAGAAAAGGGGGAATTATAGAAAAATAGCAATTGAAAAAAAAGGCAAATGATAAAAGATGATAGTCGAATTGCGGGTTCAAAGACAACAACAATAACAACCAAAAAAAGAAGAAGAAGAAAAAAAAAAAAAGACAATGCGTTAGGACGAAAAGGTAGTGAAAACGCGATGGGGTATTTTTAAAGAATTAGTAAAATTGAATTCAACAAATAAAGAGGAAAAAAAGAAAAAGAAAAAAAGACACAGGCTCGGTTAGAAATCAAGTAGATGTAGATGTAGATGTAGGCGTAGACAGAAAACAAAAACTCGTAAACACAAGCAATGCAAAATGCAAATAAAAACAAGGTAGTTTTCATTCAAATTGATACAATCCAATTCAATTCAATTCAATTTGGCACAATGCAACACACACACACGCACACACACAGAGAGCTGTATTAAAAAGAAAACAATGAAATTGAGAATTGAATTAATAAAAAATAAAAAAAAAAAAAAAAAAGGATGAAAAGGAAGGAAATGAAACTCGAGAAACCAAGTTGAATCAAATGGAAGAATTCAATCAATCAATCAATCAATGAATGAATGAACGAAACAAAACAAAACAAAACGAAAAGAAATGAAATGAAAAGAAAAGAAAAGAAACGATCATAAAAAGCAGACCATCTTGTAGAAAAAAAAGAAAAAGACATTGACTAGAGGAAGGAGGGCCATATATAGGAGAGAAAAGACCATAGAACCGAACAATCGAGATCCCTTGGATGAAAGAAAGCAAATGCCGAACGTAAATGCCCAGCACCAGAAACAGTGCAGAGGATGATGTCATAGGATGACGGCCGAGAAAGTGAAGAAGCGAGTTAAAGTGGAGGAAGAAAGGAATCTGCCGACATCAGGTGGGAAAGGAATATCGAAGCGGAACGAGATGAAAGGAGAAGATGGGGAAAACGAGGAGAAGTATGAATGATTAAGTGGAGAATGACGCGAGAAAAAAAAAAAAAAAAGACTCGAAGAGTCTCCAAATAAAAACGCGTTGTGGGTCTCGTTCCAGGTCTTTTTTTTTTTCTTTCTTTCGGTTATGAAATAGACACGAACGAGGGTCGTCGTCGGTTCGGTTCTTTCAACACAAAGAGAAAAGTCTCTATCAAATGATATTATGTGGGGGGACGGGAAAACCAGACACAGTGGGGTCAACGAGAATGAAGGAGGAGAGAGGAAAACAAGGTTCCAATAAAAAAGAGGGAAAAAGGGTGGGAAAAGGTGATGATGATGAGGTGAAATGAGGGGAAAAGAGGAGAGGAGAGAAGAGGAGAGGAGAGGCTTGGTAGAGAGAAAGAGAGAGAGAAAGACCAGACCAGACCGTCTTTACTTTCGGTTCAGTTCAGTTCAGTTCATTTCAGTTCAGTTCATTTCGGCTCTTCTCGCTCTCTTTGTTTTTTTTTATTTTCTTTTTATTTTTCTTCAGTAAAACCATCACGACAACGAACGACGCCGTCGAGTTTTGCCTCGTCTTTTTGTTGCTGTTTGCCTTCCATCACAGCTGATCTCTTGCAGTTCCAACCAGCGTTCAAGTGCCAGATCAGTTGGCTGCCCAAATGACATCGACCAAGCAAGGAGGTTCCATTTGTATGGGCAGGGAAAGAGTGTGTGTGTGTGAGTGACGGACTGGATCGGTCGGTGGAAGGAACAAAGGAACAAAGGAGCGTGATGAAAGAAAGACGTCGTAGTAGCGTGGTGGAAGGAGGAATAGGAATGGATTGTGTGGAACGGTAATTGATACAGAGGAGGAAGAGAGTGAGAGACACACAGTGAGAGAGAGAGAGAGAGAGAGAATGGACGTAGAGGAGAGTCATAGAGTCATAGAGGAGGAGGAGGAAAAGGAGGAAAGAGAATGGACGTAGAGAAACAATTTTCTTTTGTTTATTTATTTTCTTTTATTTATTTTTTAAAAAGAAAAAATAAAACAACCGATACAAACGAAACGAAACCCTTCAATGCTTCCATCAACAAACCTTTTCTCAACGATTCTTCCTCTCCTCCCTCTCTTCTCTCTCTTTCTCTCTCCTCCCACATCCAACAGAATCCCCCACTCGGTTTCTCATCCCACTTGGATACAACTTGCAACTAAAATCAACTCTACTAGATGGAATTGGGATTGGAATTGGAAAAGAACTGGGTTGAGAGTTGGACTTGAAGAAAGAATGAAAAGAAGAAAAAAAAAAAAAAAAAAAAAAAAGCAATTGTTTATTTGAATTGCTCTGCTTTTCTTTTTTTTTTTTTTCTTCTTTTCATTCCATTCTATTGCTCACTCTCCCTCCCTTCCTTGCCAGCCATTTTGGTTGAATTGGGATGGCTGGCATCCTCGTTCCCCCTTCATGACCTTACTTTTTTTTTCGTTTCTCCCTCTCTTTCATCCCCTCCAGCCATCCTATCCATTTTCCTACCCTCGTCCTTTTTCTATATAAATCCTGTTCAGCATTCCTTTCCATCTCAAGCAAATCAACCTTTGTCATCCACAACACATTTCTTTACCTTAGTTTTTTTTTATTTTCTTTTTTGAAAAAACAATGCTCTTTGCTCGCTCTTTCCTTCAATCTCTCTTGGCCGTTGCCTTCTTTGCTCTTCCCTCTCTTGCCGATCCTTCTTCCTCTTCCTCTATTACCGTCTCCGATTCGGCTGACATTTCCTCTTCCACTTCCGCTTCTCCCACCGCTCCTGCTACTACTACCGTCTACCTCGTCCGTACCGTCGACTCTCAAAATAGCCCTCTCGCTCAACCTCCCGTTACCGTTTACAATGTTTTGAAACCCGACACCGTCACCGTTACCGCCTCTCCTACCGCCCACGCCAAACGCTCCATCAGCTTCAACGAAACCCTCGACCACTCCTCCATTGCTTCTCCTTCCCCTTCCGTCTCTACTCCCATCTACTCTGCCGTCGTTCACGTCCCTTCTAACGGTGCTCATCCTCCTTTTGCTACTTCCAATCCTCTCATCAACTCTCCCGCCTCTTACAACACTTCTGCTCCTGCTTCTACCATCGGTTCTTCTTCCGCCGTCTCTTTTACCGCTTAATTTTAAAAAAAAACTTTTCCTCCTCCTCCTCCTCTATCTACCTACCCCAAATAAATGGATGTTTTTGATACTCTTGCTACAAGATATCCTCTTGGGTAATTTCATTTCATTCTCTATTACTGCAGGTCAGTAATACGATTCTCCCCGCTTCTCCTACCCTCTTGTCTCGTCGGAACGTTTCTACGCCATTCCTTTATCCATGGTTGTTTTTTCGTTCGCAAGACTTTTGCTGTTTTCCCGTTTGTATATAGGTGTGTCTTTTTATATGTATATATTTCTTCTTGTGTATATAGACTAGTCTTTTCTTTTTCTTTTTTATAAACTCTCATACCAATGGATTCCATTTCCTTTTTTTTCTTTTTTTGCTTTCCTTTTGTTTTTGTGTTTCTCTTGTAATTCTCCTTTTTTTTTTCTCATTTTTCTTTTTTCTTTTTTATTTCTATTTCTAATTCTATTTCTATTTCTATTTTTTGAAACCACTCTTACGTTCTCTCAAAACATTCCTGTTTCATCACTCCTTTGCTTTCCCTATCCACCCAAACATCATTTCCTCTTTCCTTCCTTCACACACTCCATCCTACACCGATTCTTCCCTTTCCCTTTACTCTTGTTTTTTTAAAATGTCTTTTCAATTAGACACAAGCTCTTTTGGTTCTGACATTAAAAAAGCTCATGCCCAAGTCCTAAATGGCTCCCCAGATTGCTCTTGGGCCGTCTTTGGTTATGCCAAAGGTCAAGGCAATGTTTTAAAAGTGCTAGCTACGGGAAGTATGTCTCTTTTTCTTTTTCTTCTTTTTTTTTTATCTTTCTCTTTCTTTCTTCTCTTCCTTTTGTTACTAACTTGCTAGATGATGATTACGAATTTCTTGATGAATTTGACGAAAACGCTATTTTGTATGGTTTTTTGCGCGTAAAAGATTCCAATACGGGTCTTCATAAATTCGTTTTGGTTTCTTGGTGCGGTGAGGCTGCTCCTAGTTCTCGAAAAGGATTGTTTCCCATCCATTCTGCCTCCGTTACTCGTTTACTAAATGGTTATCACATTCAAGTCACCGGCCGTGAATCTTCTGATCTCAATTTGGACGACATTCACCGTCGTGTCGCCGACGCTAGTGGTAGTAAATACTCTTCAAATACTTCTACTTCTACTTCTGCTACCTCTGCTCCAAAGCCTGCTTCCGCTTTTTCCCATCGTCAAACTCCCCCTCCTGGTACAGTCGTTGGTTCCGTCCCTTTCCAGAAGCCTGGGATTGAAGATAATACGTGGAGCGATACCTATAAACAACGCCCTACCCAACCTCAACCTTCTCTTCGTATTCCCGTAAATGCGAATTGGTCCAACGCAGAGTCTTCTCAGCCCGAACCGGAAAAGCAACCACAGCCTTCTTCAATCAAGCCTGCTCCTACTCCTACTCCGGCTCCCGCCCCTGCTCCTGGCCCGACTCAACCAACGTTCGTGCAAAAACCTGCTGCTTCGTCCACGTCTGCTTCTACCTCTAAACCGGAACCAAAGGAATTAAATTCTCCAATCTCAAAAGCTTCTACTGAATCTACAAAGACTCCCACTTCCGAGTTGGAACAGCTTCATACTAGTGGAAACGTTAATTTATCTGCTAAAAGAGCCCTGTTTGAGCGTTTTCAAAAAAACGACACCTCTTCCGCCATTCCTCAGACAAGGCCTCAACCACGCAAACTCAACCGAAGCTTTGAAGCTCCTGCTTCTCCCAAACCCCAAGCTTCAGACATACCATCTGCTCCCAAGGTTGATGCTTCTGCTTATACCAACAATGATGATTCTAAAGAGGCTCCTTCAGATCCACCAAGTGTTGCTTCTTTACGATCTCGATTTGCCAATCAAAATTTGAACGATCAATCCACTTCTTCCTCTACTTCCAATACTCAGCCTTCGAAACGTGCCCCTGCTCCTACTGCTACTCACTCGGCACCCGTGCCCGTAGCTGAACCGGTACCTGCACCAAGCAATACGTCTCCGTTGCCTCAAGCTCCTCCTGTACCAACCGCGCCCCCAAGACCGGAAATTGCAAACCGTGTACCATCTCCTCCTCCTGTGGCTTCTTATGCTCCACCTCCACCTCCTCCCCAACAGGAACAGAAACAGGAACAGGAAGAAAACCCACCTCCCGTCCCGGCCATGCCCCCAAGACCAGAGTCTACGAACCAAGCACCCCCTCCTCCTCCCCCTGTTGTTCCTGAACCTGAATCTGAACCTGAGCAGCCTGTTGCACCTGCTTCGGTAACACACTTGGAACCATCTCCACCTGTGCCTGCCAGGTCAGATGAGGAAGGACCCCCCATACCTCCTCTTCCACCGGTAGTGGAAACAGAAATGCCACCACCACCCCTTCCTCCCACACCCAACATTCACTCTCATGAAGCCGAGGATCAGTCACAACACGCTTCAGAGCCTTCCTCAAAAACCCCAGCTGTCGTAATCTATGATTATTCGCCTGAGGAAGAAAACGAAATCGAATTAACTGAAGGTGAGAAAATCACAATCATAGACTTTGTCGATGAAGGTTGGTGGCTTGGTGAAAAGTCAAATGGTAAGCAAGGATTATTTCCTTCCAATTATGTTGAGCTTTTGCAAGAGGAAACCGTTGCCCCGGTTCAGGCCTCTGAAAGTAATGTCGAAGATACTTCAGGTCAAATTTCAGTAAAAGCCGTCTACGATTATGAAGCGCAAGAAGACAACGAGTTGACCTTTTATGAAAGTGATATTATTACGAATGTCGATCGCATTGATCCAAATTGGTGGGAAGGTGAATGTCATGGACGACGTGGCCTTTTTCCTTCCAATTATGTTGAAGAATAGTTGTCCTCGAATTTCATTTAATGCCTTTTTTACTTATGATTGATGTAGTTTACGTCGTTTCCCACATTATTGAACATTAAAAATAAATGAAATCTTTTTGTTTCTCTTTTTGACTTTTTCAGATATAACTCGCTGCAATTCGTAAAATATTCTAAATACTATTTACTTATGTTGTAATCCTCTTATACAATCAACCAGTATTAATTACGACAAACTACACTGAATACATTTTATTTTGTTATGAATGAATGGACATGGGGTCGAGCCTTCCATAGCTGGCCGTAATGGTTCTGTAACAAAGCAACATTGGAGAAAGCGAAGTGCTATTGTCTCTTCGCAGGATGTAAAGGCGGTGCTACAATCAATAGAAGGACAAGACGATACAGATAAATCTACTGAGAGTAACGACTCTCGAAAGAATGCTCGAAAGAAAAGGCAGTTTATTTATTACTCGTTAGTGGGTGTTTTGAGTTTATTCGTTGGAAGCCTTGTTTTATACTCATTTTACATTTTTATAAATAAGCATAAATTTCGTGGAATCGTAACACCAACTGAAAAACATCGACTCAGTACGTCTCAATTCGATGATGGAAGCTTGATGCCTTTTGTCCAGGAAATTGAATGGGTTATTTCGAAGGAGGGGGTAGTGCTATATTACGATCGAAGTAATTTTCTTCCTGTATTCTTTCTTCCCCATGGTAATCCAAGCGGACCTAGCATGCATCTTTCGGCCTTCCATATAAAAGAAGTTTGCAACTCGCTAACACAAAAGGTGGTTTCGTCCGATTTGGAATATGTGGCATATTTCTGCGGTAGAAAAAAGAGGTGGAGATATTCAGTGTACAACGAAATATTTATATTGGAACGATCCACTGGTCGAGTTACCACTCTCAAGCAAAATTCTCAGATTATCGTGGCAGAATGGGCACCTGCTGGCCATCGAATGGCTTTCGTAGATGGCTCTAACCTGTATGTTTGGGAAGGATTTGATCTTCCGATTATTCCAGTTACGGAAGTCGAAGAGTCTGAATATATTATGAACGGAATAGCAGATTGGCTGTATGAAGAAGAGATTTTGATGTCACCAACTGCTTTGTGGTGGTCAAAAGATGGTACTTGTCTTTCTTATTTATCGTTTAACGATTCTCTTATACCAAAATATATCATTTCTCAGAACGTTATCGTTCCAGCCCAAGGCGATGCATCTGCGAACCAAGATCTGTTTCGTTATCCTCGACCAGGTGATCCTATTCCAATTGTTCAGTTATTGGGGGTTTGTTTTTCTCCTGAATCTGTTACGCATCATCATTTTTTTACTGCTGAAGAATCTCCTTTAGATGAATTTTACATCCAGGATGTTTCTTGGATTCAGGATGATTCAGTTATGTTCGTTGAGACCTCAAGAGGTTCTTCACGCAGACTGACTCATAAATACGATTTGACTACTTCCAGTCTTGAGACTCTATATGAAGAGGTGGAAAAGTACACTTTACCTCCATGTTCCTCATCACAGATACAAAGCGTCGTCTGGCAGTCAAAAACTGGTTACGTACGTTACATGGGCAATCCACAAAGGAAAAGGCTGGCATTTTTTAGTTTTGACGATGATAATTTTGTGTATATAACGCCAGATGATTTATATGTTTTGGAATTTTGGTTGGTTGAAAAGTTTATGTAAGTCTTTTTTGAATCACTTTCCTTCACAAGTACTAATTTTTTTGTTAGATTTTACACTGCTATCCGTCCAAGTAGTTCTTATGTTAGTATTCTCTGTTTATCCACCGAGTTTGCAGCTCAAGTGGAAATTGAAGTACCTCCTTCTAATGGCGCTAAATCTGTAAAAATTTCTCCTGATGCGAACTACATGCTGCTTAATTATTTGGGTCCTGGAATACCCACCCAGGCTATTTATTCATTGAATGCTTGTTTAGGTGACTGGATGAATAGTATTTCTACTGGTGATGTCTCCTGGAATGGAGGGCTCATTCCGACATTACTTTACATTGTGGAAGATAATAAAGAACTACATACTGCTGCTCTGAACTATGAATTTCCTTCAAAATATACCGAAAGTGTGGATATTCATAATATCACCGCATTCTTTCAAGAAATAAGGCCAAAAAATTTTGATCCGCGGAAAAAATATGCCACCGTTTTCGAAATATATGGAGCACCGGGTTCGCAATTAGTCACCGGAAAATATGAGATGGATGCGAACGAACTGATGGCGTCGTCCTTGGATATTCTAGTTGTGAAAGTGGATCTTAGAAAGATAACTACAAGTAATCTGTTGGGAAATGACTTTCTAGCTTTGCCCGGCTACTGGGTCGATATACTTGAATGGTATACTCATAAGCCCTATATTGATAATTCACGACTGGGAATTTGGGGATGGAGTTTTGGAGGTTACCTTGTTCTAAAGATTTTAGAAATTACCGATATGATATCCTCCGCATTAGTCGTAGCTCCTGTTGTGGATTGGCGGTTTTACGATTCCTATTATGCAGAAAACCTTCTAGGTGCTTACTCTGCGGATACTAAAGATAGATACGAACAGAGTGCTTTACACATATCTGAAAATATAAAAAATATACGAAGTATTTTAATTATTCATGGAGCTAAAGATGATAATGTGCACCTCGAAAATACGTACCACTTAACGTCTTCACTTATTAAAAACAATATGGAGAATTTTGTGCAATTAATTATTCCTGAAGCAAATCATGACTTTTCTAACATTCAAGTGTACCCTTATTTGAAGAAGAAAATTGCTACCTTTTTTGGCAGTTGTTTTCAACATTTGTGAATAAATTTTCTTTTGGAAGTTCAGTAAATTATTTATTGCAATCGAAGTAGCTACGATTTATGAGTAAATTTATTGTAAAGATCAATAATCGAGCTTTTAAATTTTATAGGGCTAATTGCTATTTAGCTAATAAAGCAAGCAGCTTGCAGAAAAGCAAAACTATACTACCTTTTGGTAATGAATAAGTGGGGGGACAAATCGTAAAATTATCAATTCAGCAAACATATAATTGATAAATGGCAAGTCACCGGCAGGTTATCACAAGTACAAAAGATGTTGAATCGTTCATTTCATTATTAGGATAAAAGATAGTAACCTCATGTAGTGACAGCACCTATTGAGTTGAACCTGCGAACTTAGAAAGAAGACAAGAATTCGTTGAGGAGACCCTTCAACTTCTCTTCAGTGGCAGGACTAAGGACACCCTCAGTACGGATGGCTTCAGTAACATCAGATCCACTAGATTTCAAAAAGGGAAGGAACTTCTGTTCGAATTCAACAACGCGAGCGACGGGAATTCTGTCAAGGTAACCCTTGACACCAGCGTAAATGATAGGAACTTGCTCTTCAACACCCAAAGGAGAGTATTGGGGTTGCTTAAGCAATTCAGTCAAACGAAGACCTCTTTCTAAAGTAGCACGGGTACCAGCATCCAAATCAGAACCGAATTGGGCAAAAGAAGCAACTTCACGGTATTGGGCAAGGAAAAGCTTGATTTGACCAGCAACTTGCTTCATAGCCTTAACTTGAGCGGCGGAACCGACACGAGAGACAGACAAACCGACGTTAATAGCGGGACGGATACCCTTATAGAAGAGTTCTGATTCCAAGAAGATTTGTCCATCAGTAATAGAAATGACGTTAGTGGGAATGTAAGCAGAAACATCACCACCCTGAGTTTCAATGACAGGCAAGGCAGTCAAGGAACCACCACCGTGTTCCTTGCTCATCTTGGCAGAACGTTCGAGAAGACGAGAGTGGAGATAGAAAACATCACCAGGGAAAGCTTCACGACCAGGGGGACGACGCAAAAGAAGAGACATTTGACGGTAAGCAACAGCTTGCTTGGTAAGATCATCATAGGTGACCAAACCGTGCTTTCCGTTATCACGGAACCATTCACCAATAGCACAACCAGTGAAAGGAGCCAAGTATTGCAAGGGAGCACTTTCGGAAGCAGTGGCAGCGATAACAACAGAGTATTTAAGAGCGTCGTTTTGTTCAAGTTTTTGGACCAATTGGGCAACAGTAGAACGCTTTTGACCGACAGCAACATAAACACAGTAAAGCTTCTTGCTTTCGTCATTGCCACTGTTCCAGCGCTTGTGGTTAAGGATAGCATCCATAGCGATAGCAGTCTTACCGGTTTGACGATCACCAATAATCAACTCACGTTGACCTCTACCGATGGGAACCATAGAGTCAATAGCCTTCATACCAGTTTGCATAGGCTCACAGACGGAGGTTCTAGGCAAAATACCAGGAGCCTTCAATTGAGCACGACGACGTTCGGTGGTCTTAATAGGGCCCTTGCCATCAATGGGGTTACCCAAGGCATCAATGACACGACCAAGCAAGGCCTCACCGACGGGGACGTCAACAATGTTGGTAGTACGCTTGACAACATCACCTTCACGGACAAGACGGTCGTTACCGAAAAGTACACAACCGACGGTATCGGCTTCCAAGTTCAAGGCCATACCCTTGACACCGGAAGAGAACTCAATCAACTCTTCAGCTTGTACGTTGGAAAGACCGGAAACACGAGCAATACCATCACCAATGGACAAGACACGTCCAGATTCCATCATTTGTGATTGGTTGTAAGCACCACGGATACGTTCCTGAAGTAGTTAGCATATGTCCGTTTATTTTTGTTTGTATAAATTTCTAAAAACATTTAGAAAACTCTTTCATTTCCTTAGGTATCTTTGAAATGAAGCTAAACACTGCAAGTTGAAGGACCGAAAATTTTTGATACAGGACAAGATGTAGCACCCGTATTTGTCAAAATCGATCCAAAGGAAATTCAAGCAGTTTCAAAGATCCTTTGTTTAAAAAAAAAGTAGCCAAATGCTTCTCGTCTCACATACCTCCAAAATGGAAGGAACTTCAGTGGGAGCTGCTTTTTCCGCATAGCCACGTTTACTACACTGCTCGGGTTAGTTATTCATTCCGAATACAACATAGAAGCATGTTTTATCGCAAGTAAGCCAAAAACTAGCAAAACTTCGAAGGTGCTGTTGTTTGAAGCGGGACGGAAAGAGATGAATGTTCCGCTTCAAACGCTGCCTAAAATCTGGCAAAATAATAAGCTAAAACTTACAAAGAATGGGCGGTAGCCGCAAACAGGAGCTCTGATAAATCTAGATCCTGCTTGTCGAAGCATTTTCGTGAGTAAATGAAAGTATTACTGTTTGCTTAAACTGAGAGGAGGAGAGGAAGCGTTTGGTTTACCAGGTAAGTAACATTATTAAAGATGGAAACCCGAACCCTGAAAAGAACCCTAAGTGACAGAGGTGGAAATGAAACCACGGTATGTTACCCGATATCCAAGACTGTAATTGCAAAGTATCCTCAAAAAATGAAATAGTTTAAGTAAAAAAGCTAAATAAAAGATATAAAAACTCTTTAATGTTTGTATTTTTTAGTTGAGGCAAGGCTCAATTTATAATTTCGTTATGTTGTATAGTGGGTATAAGAGATATGAGGGTATTATTTAACTAAAGCAAAAAGAAAAAAGTGAAATATAATTTATCTTGGCTAGAGTATTCTTCTTTATTATGATATGTTCGTTAGTTGTGATTGTGACCATAAATCATATTCGTTAAGCAGAATCATCATCTTCAATAGGGTCATCGGGGTCCTCCAAGGCTTGGTTTTCATCATTAATGAGGGTTTCAACATATTTAATTGCCGAGGACTTTCCGCAAATGGCCAAATAGTCATCTGAAGGTTTGTTGGGGATCTCTTCTTCTCGCCATCTATGAAATTTTAGCTGTCTCCATTTCCTAGGGACTGGCGATGGAAGGTACCATAGAGTTCCTTGAATAGCAAACCATAAAGACATTTCGTCTGCTCGATACGAATACGGGTAATCGACTGCCATAGTGTCAGCGAAGCTTAGAATGTCAGATACGGAATGAGCTTCCATTTGATTTAAGCAAGAGTCGAGATAGTTTTCAAAAATTCCGTAACGAAACATGGACCCTGAAAGGCCTGCTTGCTCAATTGTTGTCTTGATGTCCACTAAACTTGGACGTTTCTCTATGTCGTTTGCTTTTGAAGACAAATTAAAGACGGCACTTCCTTTCTGTTGTAGTTTTTCTTTATTGTAAGTTAGATTTGAATGTGTTTGGTTATTTAATGAAAGTATTTCATCGTCTCCTTCTCGTTTATTCCAAACGACTTTTCCCAGCGCATGTAACATTCCTAAACCGATATCCTTTTGAAATTCTTTTTGTTTATCTTCATCATCAACATTTTGTTTATACTGAAAAGTCGATAAAGCAGAGTAAGGGGAATCCTTTTTACTAGCAATTCTATTCAACATTTCGGAAGCTTCTGTGGATACTTCCGTTTGGCTCTTTAAATTTTCATTTTTTCCAAAAGATTTTCTTTGTCGATTTTCTTTTGGTAAATAGAACTGAAGAGCGTTCAGGGCACTTCTTAAGTCACCTTCACTGGCGCTTATCAATTCTTGAATAAATGCTGAACTCTTCGATTGGACTAGAATCTTTTCTTTTTTCAAAATATTATCTATAGCTTTCTTCATAAACGTCGTAGCAATTGGATTCATCTGAATGATGGAAACATGATGATGCTCCACTAGGTCGGGGCCAAGGATTTGTGTTCCAGAATTCAATTCTTTTTCTTGGAAATTATTTCCCTCCGAATTTATTTGTTTAGTTTCGGTCAAAACTAGAATAATAGAATACGAGCCTCTAGATTGCAAAGCGGAAAGGAGGACTTCTCGAAACATTTGCAAGGTACCGGTTTGTTTTGATAAATGTGGTAATTCGTCTAAAAGAATAAACTTTTTTTCTTCCGAAGAATTCGTTTTTTTAGGAGCCTTAGTAGATGAAGACAATTCCAATTCAGGATACGTTTCTGCTAAAGACATAAAGCGTCGGAACTTTTCACTAAGTGAAAATTGTTCATAATCATGTTCTTGATTTATCAATCTTGTGTCCATTGGATTTGACCATTCAACCAGACTAGCGCCCATCTCGTGAGCTAATAGACGAACAGTAGTGGTTTTACCACATCCTGGAGGACCTGACAATACCAGTAAACGCTTAAATTATGGTTACTAATTATAGATATCTAAAGTATCTTACGCTGAATGGAATATTTTCTGTCATCCATTGTCGTATAGCATTAACTTTTCCTTTATGTACGGCTAGTTCAGATGACTTTGTAGGTTGATACTTTTCAAACCATAAAGCTATTTAAAAATGTCAGTAAATTCGATATAACTTCTACTTACAGGACGAGTCGGGAGTTATAGGTGTAGATTCATCATCAGAAATGGTTTCAATTTCTTCATCCGGCAAAGCATGGGTGTCACGGCGTCGCTTTGCGTTTTTAGTCGAAAATTCTATAGAAGATTGTTTTCCCCTTCTTTTTGGTTTAGTGGAAGGATTTTTGGTACTTTCACGTGACGACGATCGCCGTTGCATGCCAAGAGGAATATGATGATAAGTTATTCCAATTTGGGACTTGGAACAGGTTAATAAAGTGTTAAATTATAGCTAAATGAGGGTCGAATTTGATAAAACATAAAATTACGGATTCACTTCCTAGTGATCACAACGCTTTTTTTTTTTTTTTTTTCAAAATCTAGTATTCAAAATAGGACCGTCAAGAAAACTTTTGAGATACAGAAAATTATCCTGTTCCCTTTAGTATTCACAAAAGAAAATATTCAACAATAAAAAATAGTTAGTTGACTATAAAATAGACATTCACAATTTTGCGATTCTTAAAAGTATTATATTAAATACGTTATATGAAGGTAGGTATTCTGTTGAGATAATTCTGAGCAAACCAAATGTTGCTCTAGTTTATAGAGCAAATATGATTAGAAACAGGATTTAAAAATTAAAAAATAAATTCTGATCGAATTGGATTCAGTGTGTCAATAGAAGACAACTTGTTAGTAAAAGACCTAAATGAGTGTTTACAAAATTTACATATGAGAAAGAAAGCAATGTAAACATTTTTGGTTTTTAACAATTAATTCCGGTATCAATTTTCATAAATAGGTATATAATACTTTTTTTTTATTGATTCAATTCCGCTCCATTTGTCTATTCTAGCTTTGCAACGTTTTGTTTATTTTTTGTTTCGCGTTTGTTTATATTGATGGGAAAAAAAAAGAAAAATTCATATTCACAGTCATTAATGTATAAGTGAAGAAACATATTGTTTTCTGTATTAATGCTTACTTTATTCTATGATTTACACAAACTAAACCAGCTACAAAATTGAGAATGTCGCTTGAGCTTCCATTGCTGCATCAGCTACCAAAACCAGTCTAGTATTCTCACTGTAATTTACAAATTATAAGCATATTGTACACTAAAGAAATAATCATACACAATTGGTACTGTATCCATAAGACCCTTCAAGAGTTCCCTTCTAAACATCAAACAGCCCTTTATTTTATTTAGGTATAAAAGAATTTCAACACATGTATGAATGTTTATATAAAAGTAACTATATTCTCTAAATAATATTTATTTTATTCTTACAATTGTTTTTGAAGTTTGAAGAGCAATCTCGCATACCCTACCCTTTGGAAGAACAGGACTACTCTTTTTCGAAGGTAGTGACAGCATCTGTTGTCACCGTTTTGTATACGTATCTTAGGCTTTGAGGGTTATGAATGCAATTCTTATAGGTATGTAAACAAATGTTTCCTGAATTAGTAAACTAAACGGTGAATTGCAGTCGCATAAATATCATATTTGTGTTTTGTGGTTTTGGTTTCTTGGTTCATAGGTTGTTGTACTGGTTTATATTTGGGTCTATATTTATTTTGTTTTATTTTTGGCTTTAACTTACTGTTCATTTTACTGGCTTTTTATGTTATAATTTTTGGTAAATATCTAGCGTAAATTGAAAAATTTCCATATGCAATCCCCATCAACTAGCGCCAGTGTTGTCTCTTCCAACTCGTCACTAGGGAAAACTTTGGATAAAGATGTTTGTCCTTCTGCGATGAAATCCTATCAACATCTCATTTCTCTTCCTCCTTCACCACTTTCTCCCGGTATTTTGTCAGACAATGGAGATTTAATTCGATGTAGTCGACCAACTACGCCTTGTAAACCAATTGTCGCTACTTCTAGTCAGAAGCCAACATCTTCGTCTGGTGCTCGATTAACTTCTCGTGTTTATAGGGCCTACCAGGATTCTCCCAGAGCTTGGCTTCTTAGGGAAAGACACTGGTTACAGCGCCATTTACCTACTGTAACACCTACTTCTTCTCCAGCTAAACGTCCTCGCCGAACAGTTAGTACCACATCCGTTGCAGTTGAATCAAAGGTCGCTGTTGAAACACCAAGGGCTTCACCTGATTTTGCGGATTCTCGCTCTTCCACACCAGTTTCTAATTCCTCTCGAAGCCATTTTTACTCAAAATCAATGACTACTAGATTTAAACAATCCAGTCGAGAGTTTTCTTCCTCTAGTCAGGTACTTGACGTTGCTAATACCCCTTATGAAATGCTTCCTGATTATTCCCCAGACATGTCCACCCTTGATAAAAGAGCACATTCTCGTCCATTGCGCAGTGAGTGGAAAGACCCACCACTTGATTTGTCTAATGACGAACATCGACATCTTCTCCATCCGGCTGAAATACAACTTGCTGCCACTCTTCGACTTCCTTGTCTTGTTTATTTAGACAACAAGCGTCGTATATTTGCAGAATGGCACAATCGTCGTTCTCAAGGTCTTAGTTTTCGTAAAACAGATGCCCAGCGCGCAAGTCGTGTCGACGTTAATAAAGCTAGTCGGCTGTGGAAGGCTTTTCATGACGAAGGTTTTTTCGATAATTAGCTGTACAGTTGCGATTAATTTCCTTTGTCAAGTCTCGTTGTATGGACTAATCCTCTGTTCCCTACCTTTAGCGTATTTCTTATCGTCTTTCATTTTTGGGTTTTGACATCTTGTGTTGCATCTAAAAACTTTACGCGTTCTTTTTGGACTTAACGAACGTGGAGACTACGCTTTGTTTATTCATACCGATCCCTTTTTCCCTTTTAAATTGTTCATCTTCCTTTTATGTTAAAAATAATTTCTTTTCATAGAGAAGTCCTGAGTCACTATTCATCATTTACGTGAGCTTAAGATATTCGTTCTTCATTCTTTTTACCTAACTCTGTGTATTAATTCAAAATTTATAGATTTAATGATAGATAATTACAGAACAGAAGTTTTTGTACACTAGCAACATTAGCTTTCATTCATTATATTACTTAAACAAACAGCGTGAGCAAACCCAGAACGTATTATTAAATAATCACAAAAAATAAATATAAGCCTTTATGGAGACAGTAAAAGTTTGTAATTATGCTTGCATTAATTCTAGTGAATGACTTTTAATCATGGCTCAAAAAAACCAAAAATTTATCGAGAAGATTATTTTTAACTTCACGATAACTTTTAGAAAAACTGCTTGCAAAAAATTTGCACAAGAACATGATCATCTTCAATCAAATTCTGCTGAACAGCCCCTCTTAAGGCAAATGCCATATTAGCAATCAACGAAATAGCCAAAGCAACACCAACAAGTAGAGGACCCCAATACTCAGTCATCGGAACGGGGCTACGAGTCATAATCAAATGACAACGCTTAGCATGAAGCCTCCAAGCATACATCCCCATTAATACGGCAAGTAGTACATAGATGCTACCAAAAACACGGCCTATACCTTCACCGGCGCTATTATACAAAGCCAATGACAAGGAGCCAAATAGAACGACGACTTGTAACCAATTCAAATATGTTCGTTCGTTAGCAAGCCAGACTTTCGTCTCTACTTTGACGGGACCGCTGACCCGAAGAGGAACTTCAGGCTTCTGAATATGAGGGGGTGTCGTATAAGTTTTGCCAGGACGATAGATTGAGCCATATGTAGATGGTTTTAGTAAACCAGGTATACTTTTTATATTAAAGTGATCTCCATGAGCATGCTTAAAATGTTGGATTTGCGGCGCCGCCATCTGAGCATTAGAGGCTTGTGCGCGTCGGGGTACGACTGGCGTCTTTTTAGAGGTCTTTGGGGGCGTTTCATCAGTAAAAATAGTTTCGTCTCTTCTTTTTACGTAGATATTGCTTGAATTGGAATTATCTTTTGAAATCGGATAAGTAGATCGAGGATCTTTTCTAATATCCTGCTCCATAGAAAATAACCACATCGGTAAAAGAGGAACATTTCTTTCAAACAAAACTGCCACTCCGTGCTCATACTTTGAAAATCCATCGATTTCGGAAATTAAGTGAGAACCACGAAGCTCGGAAATCCACAATGGCTCCTCTTCATCTGGTTTTAAACATTCGCGAATCTCCAGTACGCTATAGGGGAATCTAAAGTGTTCACCCTTACGAAGATGTTTATAAGGGAAATCGGCATCATCAATATCATGTCTGTGCCAATCGACAGGGTCACGACATGGTCGCTCTTGATCAAATGAATCTTCACGAATCATTACCCAATCCGAATCTAAATTCACGCGCACAGAATCATCACCAGGGATCTGGAAAGCCGTACGAGTATAAACGGATCTCAAAACGGGTTGTAAATTATATTCTCCAATAAGCTTTTGGACATCCTCCGTAAGCTGTTTTTTACGAGAAGAATCAGAGGCTTCAGTAGTATCGTCTCTGCTCTTTTTTTCATCGGGTTCATAAGCTTCTTTCAAAAATTCATTAATTTTCTTCTCGCGTAGAACAAATCGGTCTTCACTATGAGACAAACTGCTGCCTTCGCGCACCATGCGTTCTACAATGATATCGGTCTTTGGATTCAATTTTCCATACCAATGAAGGCGTAGTGAAAAAGCACGTTCAGATCGTTCAAGATTTTGAGTATACAAGTCAAAATTAGGATTATCAAAATAAAGACAAGTTGAAATTGGATCAAGTATACCAGACACAGCTGAACGGTCTCGATCAAAGCCATGTTTACCAGAGTAGTATAAAACTGGCAAGCGCCTCATAATAAATGTTTTTACTTCCATGAGATTGTCAGGGTGGACCCAAAAACGATATGTTCGTCTGCGGTAAACATTTTCGTCTGAAGAATGATTATGACGACGAGGGTTTGATGAAAATTGATCACCGGAAAGGCTTGTACGAAGCGGGTTATAAAGAGAAAAGATGCGTGCCAATATTGGGTTATATTGAACATTACCAAACGAGCAAGCACGCAACCTAACTTGTAATAGAGGTCGAAGGGAATACTCGCTGTGTAATTTATCATGTTTCTTTACGATCTTGTAAAAACCTGTAAGATTTAACCGAGTGTACTTTTCCAGTCTTTTAACTAAATCGGTACAAGAGTCCAATTGCTCTAGAAATTTTAAACGAGCCTCATTTGTCAAAGTTGCATCGGTAAATTCATTAGAAGAGTCATATATGGTTTCAACACCGGTTAGCAATTCATTTAAATCCTCCCAAATCTTCTGATGGAACACAGATACCTGTCATGTTAATATTCATGTATTTCAAGGATTCTCAACGAAGGTTCTTCCAACGAGCAGCTAATTGTTTAGATAACCAACTACCTTTTTCCTTCTGTTCAAATTCTTTTATTATACCTTTTCCAACTGGTCATCTAAAGCAGATACGAAACGTGATTCATCGTTTTCTTCCCATACAGGAGATTCTTCATCAGCTTTCAGAAAGTGCTTCAGTTTCACATAATTCATATAATGTTCCCTCCATGGTTGATGAATACCAGCCTCCAAACTGTCAGTAAAACGCATTGTTTAATCAACTTATAATTTGGCTGTGAATGGTTGTATTTCATTCTATACAAAAACATACCTAGATTCATATAGTGAGTTACAGTAAGCCTGTGTAAACGAGAAGCATCACCACCATGAAGATACACCAAAAGGACTAAAGCAAGCATAAATAATGAAATAGCTTTTGTTGTTAACTTGAACAATCGAAATACAATATATCTTTCATTTAGAAGTAGTTTGCGTGGAGCGTGAAAAACATCAAACAAATTTTTGCCGTAATTGAACTTTCTGAAGGTTTGTTTCAGATTGTATTTCAATTTTATATTTTTGTTTTTTTGTAAAATAGTTTTAATTGAATATACAGCTTCCTTTGATATGTTTAACTTAACTTTTACACAACTCGCATATTCCCATTACGTACCAAAGATCCGTCTTGAAGGTCTGCGTCTTTCACCAATTCCAACGAAAACGATCACTTAAAAAAAGCATTGTGCAAGAATCATTGTCTACCTTGTTTAAAAAGTAAATACAGTACGCCATCGGTTCAGAACTTGGGATTTACAAATTCTGTTTATCAAAACGAAATTCGATTATTATAAAAACAGAAGCTACATATGTGTCTCTTGTATGGAGTAAAGATTTGAAGAAGAAAAACCATTTTATTTTTTATTTATTTATTATTTTAATGCTTTAAGACATGAATTTCGACCTAGATCTACTTACAGGCTTGCAGATTTTGGGACAGAAAACGTCAGCTTCGGTTACAAATGGACCCAAAAAAAGAGCATCAGTTGCTGTAATTCTTGCAACAGATCCTCCCCAGACAACATCTACCCCAAATTGGATTCATCGAATCCCTGCTAGTGTAACACCTCATGTCCTCCTAATTCAGAGAGCTTTTCGTGAAACAGATCGATGGTCTGGTCACGTCGCTTTTCCTGGTGGTATTCGTGAAACCGATGATAAATCCGATGTATACACTGCTATACGAGAAACAAAAGAAGTAGTGGGTATCGATCTTTGCGAGCAAGGGGCGTATCTTGCCGGCTCTTTAGATGAAAGAGTTATTTCTTCCAATTGGGGTAGCACTCCTCTACTTGTACTTTCATCTTTTGGTACGTGTTATCTTTTCTACATAAATGATTATTCTAATTGACTATCTTCCGTCTAGTATTCGTGTTACCAAAACTTTGTGAATTCCAATTTAATGAAACAGAAGTCTTTTCCGCCCAATGGATCCCTCTTACTGATCTATTGCGCCCAAACTTTTTTACTCATGTTAAAGTTGACCCTTCTCGAGCTATAGCCAATCGTACCATACCTTCTTTGGAACCTTTCTTACGATTCTTTGTTGGTAAACTGTTCTATTCTGCTATACGCTTAGAACCTCATATCGACTCACCAGCTTCTCGACTTTCCGCCGACAAGCGACCATTACTATGGGGTATTACTCATAGCGTATTCGTCGACTTATTTGTCTATTTTTCCCCTTCTTCTGCGAAATCTTGTATCATATGGTCTTTACCGTACTTTGAGCATTATGACTTTCGAGCTATTACCAATATCATATCATGGAAATACAAAAGGAATATGTCCAAAAAATATCCCCAAGGCAATTATGCTCTTAAAACGCTCAAAGGATATTATAAGTACTTACAGTTGTCTTTAATAATTGGATCTTTACTTCGTGCTGTAGTCTGTTACTTTCTTTTTATTACTTATTACAGTCTATTATGTAGCCATAGTAATTAATAAAGGCTTATTCTCCCTGTCTGTGTGTTTCCCTTGCTTTTAATTCATAAAACCTTCAGCTGCAGAAAATATAAGTAAGGCATCTTAGATTACTACCTCCGAAATGACCCTTTACTATTCTTTTTTTAAAAATAAAAATAAAATAAAAATAAAAAGGAATCTAATTTATTAAATTAAATTATCTATTATGAACAAAAGTATAAAATCTAATAGTCGAACAAAAAAATGAGATAGATGCATTCTATAGGATGAACATTAACGAGTGAGATGTGGCATTAGAATAGTCCAGAAATGATCGATCAAAAACAAGAAAAAAGTTACGGTTGGTATGTATATCCCGATAAACTTGACAAGAACTCCTTATTTCTCGGACGGGTGTTATATAGAGGTGTCACGTTAGCAACGAAATGGCGAAGATATATGTGCATTCTTGTATAAAGAGCAGCAGAAAATGTCTGCATTAAAAGCAAAGAAAACATAAAATCATAACCATGTCGATGCAGAGCCATTTACTACTATAGACTCAGCTGAATAGTGAACACCGGTTTAAAAGAACAAATAACCAGTGTGGGCATTGAAGTTATATTCTTTAATGGTTTCTTCAATTTTTGGTCCTGTTTGTGAAGCCATTTCTTTACCCTGTCTAGAAACACTGAAACTTGGACTAGAGCCTGGTGCCATGTTGATAGAGAAACGGTGAACACCAGCTTCGGCATTAAAAGTCTGGCTGTTTTTACCACAAGACATAGTAACTTCGGCAGGCTGCAGCAGATAAACTACGGCATAAATTTTGTCTTGATCATAGTCACCTCCAGAAGGATAACCAATACCATCTTGAGTAGGAACACTATACTTTGAAGAAGGTCTATACCAGTAAAACAGAGACTCAAAGTTAATATAAGGTTTGCGTGCCCCATCCTTAAAAGCGGCGATATATGGAGCTAGCATTAAACGCCAAGCAGTATGATCGAAACCTTCAACATAGCTCTCAGATCCAGAAGGTAAAGCACCTTGAATCTTACCGATGTAATGAGACTCACCAAAATCGTTCCAGGTTAAGACCTCAATCATGTCAGGCTGAACATCCAACATTTGCTGCAGACGGTCCACGTAGAGCCAATCGCTCTTGTATGCCCAATTTTTATAGCTTAGATGAGTATAGAACCATGGCGAAATAGGTGCAATGTAAATCTTACCCAAAGAATTCGCTAATTGCTTATAATAGTAATCATCATTAGCATTCATATCTGCGGAAGTCGTAGGCCATGTGTTCCAGGAAACGAAGCCGTCGGTTACGCTTTGTTGTAAAGCTCCGCCTCCCAAAGAAGTCCAACTAGGAGCAAAGAAGATAGGATAACCAGCAGATTCTAATGGTTGCTTTACAGCTAAATTCCAACCAGTACTAACGTCTGAGTGTCCGAAGAAGTCGCTTTCACCAGAAAAGGTTGAAACAAAGACCTTGTTATCCCACCATAATTGATTGGGTTTCCTAGCAAATCGTCTCACTATCCCTTCAATGTAATCCGGATTTGCTGGCATGACGGTCATATCAAACGATAAGAAGAGCTTGAAATCTGGAGATACGCTACTAGCTGCTTCATAGGCATCACTGACACGTTCAACCTGCCAAGCATCACCACCAATATTTAGTGCGAAACCATCGATTCCTGCCGAGTGAGCATCCTTGATGTCCTCTTTCCAATTTTCGATCGTATATGGGTATGTGTTTCCGACAATGAAGTGTGCTACAACCAGTTTGCTAGCCTGAACTAGGCTAGTAAAACTCATGACCAGCAGAGCGAAAAATAGTAGAAGCTTCATTTTGTTTAAAGTAAAATGATAAAAAAAGGCTGGAAGTAATTAAACCCAAGGGGCCTTATAGATTTTCTTTGTCTCCGATTCTTTGTTTCTACTCAAACAAAGGAAAGATTCAGCGTCGCCAGCGAGCTGAATAGACTTTAATCTACAGAAACATTTGTAGCCCCTGAATGCATCTTATATACAATTCTCCTTCTTAGAATGGGCTTGTGAGGCATCTCTGAATTTAGAATCGGTGGCTGGTATGCATCGAAAGCTCGCATAGAAATGCAAAAGAAGGCTGGTTAACCACCATTGTCAGCCATAACCTTATTATTAACAGAATACTAATGGATGTTGCATAAACAAAACCCTTTTTTGTTGCACATTATGTAGCTCACTGCCACTTTCGTCTACTTTTACTTCCCAACCAGACAATCACTTTTGGACAAAACGAAGAAAGATGTGAAAGAAAGTAAACAACAACGCAAACGATTTTTGTTTATTAAAACAACCAACATATTATTTGTATAAGCCATGATATTTCGTAACCATTGTCCTCAGCGGCTGCAAGTACTATTGAGAAACCTTCTTTGGAATCATCAATGTTCTATAATGGACAAATTGCTCCTCGAGTTTTCAGTAATTTTCCTTCCTCAGTTTATGAGTAGTGGAGTTCTCTATTTGAACTCTTCGCTCTAATCTTCGCAGTCGCAAACTTAAATCTTGTAATATGTTATTTTTAAATAACGTTGGTTCAATGTAGTGAAGTACTACTAAACGAATAGTTCGTTTAAGTAGTTCATGATGTTCGTTTAAAAGCTGCTGAAGGTGTATAAATTGTTTAAACGCGATTCTATGTTCGTTTAAAAAGATTAAAAAGTCTTTGGTAAAATTTGTTTGATCATAGTTAGCAACTTTCTTAATGTCAATGAAGAATTTGAGAAGTGCTTCCAAGTTTGATAATTCAAGTTCGAAAATTGGATTTCTTTTTTCTGAACAAGAAACGCTTGCTTTAATGACGTTCTTATACTCATTGTAAAGTTCATGGTATGCGTTTGATTCTAGCAGTCGAGTTTCCATTTCACGTAAATACTTCAATTGATTGGGATCAAATAAGCTCATTATTAATTCCAAATGTTGCAAACGTCTTTCAAGATTTTCTAATAAAGTCTTAACTAACATTTCTTATCTTGAGCTCTATTCTGATAAAAGAGTTTGGTAAAAGTCAGAAACCAAGGTGCTGTATTTATAGGAAGAGGGAGTTGACGCGTAGACGCGTTAACAGAAGTAAGTATTATACGTTATATTTAAAAAAGAACAAAGAAAAGAGAACATACATAAAAGTAAGAAAAAGAATATAATAATAGCTTATAAACCACAGCGTTCTAAAATAAGTTTGCAAATCCAGTTAATCGATTACGTCCGATTCAATGGTTTATATAGTCTCATAAAATAAGTTACCACCAAACAAATAACATATAAAAAGGCGCTCACGTAAAAAATTAAATTAGGGAATGAGGTATCAACGGAAGCAGCATATATGTAAGCGTACATAGGGCCTCTTATGATTAGAGCGGCAGCTTCGAAAACGGCAAAAGCGGCTAATATTCGTCCATTGTATTCAGACAAAACTCCATTTAAGGCAATAGATTGAACACACGGAATTACCATATTAGAAACAGCTTGAACAATGACAGCTATAAATAATGAGACGTCTGTTTGGGCCCTGGCAAGTAATACAGAGGAACAGATCGCAACAATATAACTGAATCTAGTGTTCCATACATCACGCTTAACGATCGTATACATTTCGTTCAAAGTATTAGCTCGAAGTACACTTTCGTTTGTATATCCAGGAAGAGTTAGGTAAGAGAATACATTTCGTATACCTTCCAACGTCGAAGGGTTATCTGTACGACTACTTAAATAATTAAATAATCCCTTTGACGAGTGAAGTGTCTCTAAAACTCTTTCTATTATTTTAGAAACCAACGGAAAGATAGCAACTAGAGTAAAAGCACTGGCAAACGAATCTGTAAACAAAATTAGACTTGCCTTTAGTGGACCCCAGCCAAAGTAAAAATCAGTATAGATTGGTAGCAAAGCCATCGCTCCAGCTCCTATCAATGCTAGAAATATGAGTACAGCAGCTAGCATGACATCCCAATGTCTTCTTCCAGCATGAGTATCACAATTCACATCGTACTGGCGAATGGAGCAGCTTTCTTCTGTACAAACAACTTGAGGCCACAATACCTTTAAGGGACCCAAGCAAGTATCTATAACTGACGAAAAAGACAGACGGGTACTTTCAACATTATCTTCACTTCGGTTTAAACTTTCTGGTAAAATAAGCCAAACGTATAAAATATAGAATGTCCATAACATTGTTGTTATAATAAAAACATAATACATACGTGAAGAACATTGCAAAATGTATCCGCTGATAGTCGGCCCTAGGGCAGTGCCAACATGGTATGTAGCAAAATTTAAAGCCAGATACCAAGCTCGATGTTCATTTTGAGTACAGTCAGCCACATACGAGTTTTGCCCCGCAAGTATTGTAGAAATATACCCACCTAGACCTTTTAAGCATGCAGATAATAAAATGAAAGAAAGTTGGCTAAACGAATATGACTGATAGAGAAGAAACATATCACCAAATAATACGAATGATACAGCTATCATCAAGACAAGTCTTCTACCATAAATATCGCCTAGAGTACCATAACAGGCAGTAGATAATAGTCCAAGAAACGCAGCCACGGACCCGAATGCAGCACGATATTTTGAGACACCGGAAGTAATTTCAGGAAGACGACATATTGCATCACCTGGAGCTAGTTTAGAGGGATCAAGTCCATAGTGTTTGGCACATAGCCCTTGTCGAATAAGAAACAAAAGAGGAATTTCAATCATCGCCCACGAAAATGCATTAATAAAATTCAATGGCAATATCAATAAAGGAGAAATCAATCTTTTTTTAGGTCTAGACGTGGTATCCATGCAGCAATCAGTCCTACCACAGCCTTCATCTCTAAACACTTGGTTTTGGTTTTCTGGGTCATTAAATGAAACAGGTTCGTTATTCACTGTAGCATTGTAACTCCTATGTGAAGAAGAGCTTTGAGAAGTTGAATTAACTTTGCTATTCGATGTTGCAGTATTACCTATTGTGGATGATGCACCATTATCGTTGTCTGTAGAGCTTCGAGAGATCAAGGGACAAGAGGAACAGTACTCTCTCTCCGGAGAAGGAGTCCGTGAACGATATGCTCTGTTAACAGACGGATCGGAAATCAGTAAAGGGGTATGCTCATCATCTCGGCCGCTCATAGTCTTCCTTTTATATTCTGTTTTCTCTCCAACGTTCTTTCGTAACTTAAATGAAAATGAATATAAAAAACTCGTAAGATTAAAACAAAAAACTCAACCCAAATTATCCAAGACAAATTCTGTGTGAATGAAGAATTTCCAAAAACAAAAACACACAAAGCGTTGACCCAGCTAATCCGAATTCTAATAATAAATATATGCAAAAAGAAAAGTGTTACGAACAAATTTCAGTATCCGCACAGACAATCCCTAAAGCCTTTAATGAATATAGATCTTGCCGATCAGTTATTCGTAGCAGGCGATGAGGCTCACAAGAGATTGAACGATCCAAAAATCCTATTTAAGGAAGCAATTGTTTTACTAGCATAAAAGGTAATTTCTATGCAAAACACATATACAATTGCTAGCACAAGTATGAAATGAACAACGTTTGTTGCTAGCGGGTTCCGAATCTCTACTTGAAATAATCTAAGATTGTTACTTACTGTATTGTTACCTTTCATTGAACGCAGCAGTGAGTATATAAGCTTAAAATAAATAATGAACACGTTAAAAAGAAAAAATAAATAGAAGAAAGAAAAAGAAAGTCAATTTAAATATTTGTATCAACCAACGTCCATACTTCAATGAGTTGGACTCTAGTTACGAACTCGTTAACTTGCCTAAACCAACTTTACGACGGTAATGTAAGGAGAGAGTAGTACAACACGAGAGACATATGAAAAGTAAGAACTAAAGTGAAACCATATAAAATTAACGTCTTCATAGAGGAAGTATTGCTGATCCACTATTTATATTATTACATTTTTGGGTCGTCTTTAAGAATCAGCAGAACGAGGTTCATAATATAGTCATTGTTGACTTGAAGCCTGCTTTTTGTGGAAATTTGCGAGTGAACTAAATTTTGTAAGTGTTGTTATATTTTTCGTTTTTGTATCATCTTAAAACGCTTCATACGCTTATTCGGTGGTGACTGAAGTCATCGATTGTACACTAGTCCGCTTTCGGTTTATAGAGATCTCAAAATGGCATCAATACTGGAAAACCAGGAAATTAACGCAAAGCTTCATCAGCTTGTGGAATCAAAATTGGCCGAATATGGCTGGGCGGAAGAAGCCGCTTCTCTAACAGATTTCATTTTCGTAATGATTGGAAACGGAAAAGATCAATCACAGGTCACTGAAGAACTTATAGATTTGATCGGACCCGAATTTGACTCAAGTTTTTCTCAATGGTTATTTGATGAATTACGAGAGTTTGATTCTTCACGAGGAGTGGAGACTTCTAATGAAAGCGAACAAAAATATTCTGAAGAAACCCCTTCCGTCCCTGCAGAGATTCCCCAAGAAACTTTGCCTGAGACCGGCACAGTAGCCGACAATGACACAAGCAATAAATTGGGAGAAAAACCACTTCAATCGGAACGTGTCGGTCAAAAGTTAAAAAGTAGCGCTGTTCCAAAGCAGAGGTTTAATCCAATGGCTCCTTCCTTTAATGCAACGAAACCAGCCATACCACCTGCAAAACGTTTTTTTAAACATGATGAAGAAATACCTCTCTGTAAATTTGCCGATAAATGTGCTCGTTCCGATTGTGTTTTTGCTCACCCTACTCCTGCTGCCGCTCCTGGTGAAGCAATGGTTCTTAGTAGCAAAATGTGTACTGCCGGAAGAGATTGCAAAAACCCGGATTGCGTTGAAGGACATCCATCTCCAGCGTTCGGTACCACGCTTCCTTTCAAAGGAACGATTCCGGTTGTCTGTAGATATAATCCCTGCTTGAATCCTAGTTGTCGCTTTCTTCATCCTCAAAAAAGTAAAAATATGACATGGACTCCCTCTGCTACAGAGCCGACGCCATCGACTTCTGTGAGCGAGCGTAAATTTGCCGTTGAAGAGTCAGATGAGCATTTGCATGTATCATAAAAATTGTGAAAATATTGATTATTTATCTTGTTTCTTTCTTTTACCTTCGCGTTTGAAGTTTCCCATGTGTGGTTGTATATTTGGACAGTATATTGGCAATGATTCTTTAAATTGCTTAGTGAGGTGGCTACGTTTATGGAATCTATATAATATGAATCTGCTTTAGAAAAAGTATCCTATTTGGCTTAGTATTCATAATGAAATTCGTCATTTTCGTTTACTCTCACACATTTCTGTGTAGAGTATTCCCATTGCGAACGGATGCAACCAATTTCCAAACTTTCGTAGCAAATTTATGTTCGATAAAGCAGCTCAAACAGTCCCTCCTTAATAATTAATAATCCATGCCCATAAGTGATCGAAAAAGTAGTCAAATGGTTGAACTCGGTACAAATGACTAGATGAGCATTTGCATAATATTAAAAAGTTGATGCCATAACAAGATGTGTTAAGCATAACAAAAAAACAAATTAAGTGGCACAAACTAGCCTTTATTTATGGCTGCTAATGCTTGACTCATCTTCAGATAGCCGATATTTGCTTATAACCTTCGGTTAACCAAATTTTTTCCAAGTCGTTTACTGATTATCGCAGTAATTGTATTCAAACTGGAAGTGGAAAACTTAAGACACCAATACTGAACGTCAGTCAAAAAGGAAAGAAGGAGTATGTCATTCGACTTCAACGCTTACCATTGAAGTACAATTCCTTGTTGAAAGTCTTTGAAACGAAACATTCCGAAGAACCTTCTGAGGAACCGCTCCTCTCTCTTCATTTTCATAAAAATTATAATAGACATCTTTGGCAAGCTAGATCAAAAGAGGCTAACAAATTTGATTTCATACCATGTTCTTTGTTAGTTCCCTTTCATTGTGTATATAGTAAGTGTTTGGAACAATAACGCTGATCTCAAATATGACATCTGGCATACTTAGCATTAAGTCCTTCTTCAATTCTCACTTTATTGCCTTTCTCGATATCATTCCAGTTCTATACACCTATGATCCTCGAGTTTGAGGTAGACTAATCCCCATGGAAGATATGTCAAGAAAAGCGAAGGGAAACACTAACTGTTAATCAATTTACGAAGTCTATAACATTGGAAACATGTTGAAAAAATTCTTTGTTTACAGAACGCGTACGTACAGTCAGTTACAGTTAGGAACTCGGAAGCTTTGTAATAATTATGACTTGATCCTTAACAATAAATTTCTTACGAGAATGAGAATGAAGAGGATTTAGAGTACAGAAGACAGAAAGAATACAATCCGCCTTATATAATTTTGATGTTATTTATACCCCCACCACCCCCATGCAAGTTTGTTTTGATTTTGGGGTATATGTTTACATTCAGCTGAATCTATAGCTACCCTAATCAATCATTGAAACATTTAAAGGAAAGCTATGGAGGGGGATCAACAATATTTCGATCCTTTATTTGATGCATATTCTCTTCGTGTAATAGACCTACGTGAAATTCTAAGTCGACACCAGATATATTTCCCATCCACGGCTAAGAAAGCACACTTGGTTGAATTGTTCAACAAACTACGAAGAGTTAAACATGGATCTCTTTCAATTGATGAGCTACAAAAGGAAAACGCTCCTCCAAATCGCAGTCCACGCCGGAAATTCTTGGAAATATCTGCGATGGACTCCGGATTTGGTACTCCCTCAACTGCAAATACATCAATGCGCATTACGAGAAGCTCTGCTAGAGGAATTGAAAACTCAGCCAGAAAGTTTCTTCCATTCACACAAAGGAGCGAAATTCTTGACGAGGAAGAAGTCGAATTGTTGAAACAAGAAGAGACGCAGCAAAGGAGCCCTTTGTCAATCTTTCATACAGATACCAATCCAGTCTCTCCAAAACATTACAACTGGGAACAACTAATGGATACTCCTGCAGTGTCGCACTTTTCGGAAGCCCCAGAGGTTTATTCAGTTCAGCCAGCACGCAATCCACATTTTGAAAAATCACATGAAAAATATAATGATAATGAAAACAAGTTTCTTGGAAGATCATCCATTCCAACTGTTGAAATCCCTGTTCATTCGAGATCGCCATCCTCTTCGCAAACACTGTCTGCCAATGTCGGATTGAAACAAAATTTATCATCTAAATTACCAGATTCTACATTGTTAGCAAGTCCTACTCTTGCTGCGAAACCTGCAAGACTTCAAGGAATCGAAACGCAGACGTCCCCATTGTTCTTGTCCAAACATCAAAAGTCATCGCCGGATACACAAAGCTCTTCTAACACAAGTATTTATGCATCACCATTGAAATCACCGTCAAAGTTTCAGAATTTTGCAAACCTATTTCCATCTCGTCGCACTCCCTTGGGAGAAACAAACTCGCAATCCATCACCCAAACATCACCCCGTGAATACTTCCAATTTCGATCTGATAGTGAAGCCGAATTTTCACCGACGTCAGTAAAAGCTTTTGTAAACAAAGATAATGAGAAAGTGATCTCCTCGCCGGTCTCTAACTCTTCATTAATGTTCGCCAGTCAATTAGAGAATTTGTATGCCAAGGATCGATCGCTTCCTGGAAAAGCACCTGTAAATACACCTTCAAGTTTCTTTACTGTTGGAAATCGGATTCAAGAAACTTATTCTCCTAACGAAGAATTTGCCGAAAGTTTATTTGCCCAGAAAGGTGTACGTCCTGACACAACAAATCCGGTCCTCAACAACGTCAGTCTTTCATCTACTGAAAACTCGTTTTTTGGAGAACAAGAAGAACCTTTAAAAAAAGGTTCTGAAACGTATATTAGCAAGATGGGAAAAATTCGATTATATGGAGTGTTTCTGTCTGTGTTGTTTGTTGCGCTGTCCCTCGCATTTTGGCAACAAGAAGTTAGACGAGTTGGATTTTGTGAAATTCCTGGTAAGTTGTTTACCAAATTTTACCAAATATAAAAAAGAATCAATTTTAACAATTTATAGAGGAGCCGTATCCTAGTTACATATCTTCCATTAAACCAGAACCTGTTCGATCAACTTTGCAGTCAGTGTACACTTATTTAAACATTCGAGGACTAAAAGCCAAGTGTGTGCCATGTCCATCCTCTGCAAAATGTGGTAGAAATAGAGAATATGTATGTGAGAGCGAGACGAAGCAACATACACCATTCCTTTCACATTTTGGATTTAAGCCTCATCCTAGTTGTATTAGTATCGGTTCTGTTACAGACCGTATAGAAAGTATAATCAAGAGATGCGTTGACATGGTTGAAGAATGGTATACGCAAAATGGATCCAAGACTCAGATATCTCATGGGGAAAAATTATCTCAAAATCATTTTCATTCTTCAGTCATTGACAAATTCTATGAAGAATTTAAGGACAAAATGGATTTAGAAGTTACGATGGACGAATTTAAAGTTTACTTCAGACAAGCTCTAGAAAGACTTCATATTATGAAGAGGAAAGAAAACAGGTAAGAATATTTTGAAGTTTAAAGAGCATATACTAACTTAAAATAAAGAGTGCCGGAAAGCATTCTGGTAATATATTCGCACTTTAAAGATGTGGCTAGCCATCTCAGAGATATAATAAACACCAATGTTGTCGTTACCTCGAAAACTATAAGCAACTCAATTTCTCACTCGATAATTTCGTTGGTATCATCTATACATCAAAACGTTCCCAGATTCGCCTTGAGGACAACATTTCAATCAATCTACGATAATACTGGAAGTATGCTTTACCAGTTGTCTACAAATCTGAACAGAGTATACTTTGAATTGCTTGGAAAGATCATACGGTCAATGATGAGCCTTGGCGGAACCGGTCTTGAATGGCTTGGGAAGATGACACAGTTGCTTCTCATACCGTTGAAAAAGTATTCGATGACGGCCTTGTATGTTTTGTCCGCGTGTGTTGCTATCCCATACTTATGGTCGTTGTTTATTTCATTTTACAGTACGGAAAAGCTTGTAAAGGTATGCGTAAAACATTGTGTTTCACGTTTGCAAGTTGCAAAGAAAAGTTCACTTAAAGATGTTTCTAATAATCCACGCATACAGTTGGATGAATTGCGCGCAGAGTGTTTCGTTTACCATCCGGAACAGCTGAAAGATCTCGAATGTTTGAAAGACACAAGCAGTATTACTCAGAAAAGAGTTTGGCGGCGAACCATAGAAGTGATTGACCAGATGGTTAGTGTTCGGGTTTTTGACGATAAGTTAACGAACAAGCGCGCTTGGGAATGGATTGGCGTTTTACCAGACAACGCGTATTAATGGTATTTTATCGGTTGGTATTTCTAGGCTAGTAAGAAAGATAATTAGCATTTAAAAAATAGTATTTATTAGTTATAACTTTGACATAAACAACACAACAATTGCGTGTACCATAAATTAGTATGACTGTTCAAAGCGGTAAACTCTATGTATACCAAAGATTTAAGAAAACGAGCAACCAAAGAACATTAGTACAGTATATAAACAAGCAATCAAAATTAACACGACAATAGAATCAGTCAAATTAATAAAGAAAAACAAAACAATCAAAATGACAAACAAACAGGAACTGTGAATATAAGAAGATTCTTAATATTCAGCAACATATAGCACGCAATAAAAAAAGAAAGATATCTAAAAAATAACTAAGAAAAGCAAACTACATATCTATCAATGGAGTGCACTCATGACAAGATTGCGAAGAGCTTTGCAAAGTAGTTCAACGTCGCCCGAATGACGACCAGAAGCGTAGAAGTACTTTTCATCGGAATAAACCCAATGGGAAGCACTAGGACCAGCTTCGTACTTGTCCGCTGGGATAAGCATAGAGGCATACGCGGGTGGGTTAGCAGCACCAAACAAATATGACGTTCTTTCCATATAAAGAGGTGTTGTCGTTGATTTTATTTGAAGATTTGGAACAGCACGATGGATGGCAATTGCGCCTTGCGCGATGGCTCCCAAAGCATGGTTGCCACTAGCACGAGAGCATAAAGGGATATAATCGGCAAGCAAGGCGGACAAACGAGAAGAATGAACAAAATCCAAAACAGCAGGATCCTTGCCACCTGGAATAAGAACTAAATCATAAGTGTTAAGAGTAAAAGAATCAGAGGATAAGCTTAGAGGTTTCAAAAATTCTGAAATGGTGGACATTCTATCATAAAGTTTGCAAGTCTCTGCGGTAGCACCTATGAACCAAGACTTGAAGCCGCTCAATTGTGTTAGGTCAGCCTGAGCAACGTTTCCTGTTAAAGTTGCGAAATGAACGATGAAACCTTGTTTCAAAAAATATTGCCAAGATTCGCAGACTTGAGTCACATCGTAACCATTGTCGGGTAAAAGAATGCACATTTTAAGAGTACGTCGGTTGCTATTTTTACTGCTGTGCACGGGAGTAGGAGCCCATAATGGATTGGCAAATGGTTGCAAAATACTAGAGTTTCCTTGATTTTCACGGACAATTTGCATCGACATTTTCAATTAATTTCTCAAATTCCTCGAATTCCTCAAAAAAGCAGTTGAACAATAATACGTTGTTACTAAGCTGTAGGAGTCGTCCTTCAACAAACAATAAGATAGGGGAAGCTTTAAATGAATGCTATTTTTAAAATGGTCTTCAATAGCAATTGAAGGAAAACAATTATTTATGAGTTTTCGTGTTGGCAAAAGGAAGAATATTCTGCCGGGCTATGAAGGGCCCATATCCGTTTGTGAGCTGGCTTTAAACTTTAAAGAGTTGAATTTCTTTACCTTAATAAACAAATAGATAAATAAATGGAATAGAAATTATTTGCAAGATCTATAGCTAAGATTTAATAAAATTTTTGTACTTTTAGATTTCAATTAAAATAATACCTTTTTTAAAAGCTTAAAGATATTTGGACGCGGACATAACTCTGACATTTCAAGTCAAGGATGATGTTGAATTGGATGAAACTAGTAGTTAAACTTGAACGAATTTGAATTACACATTGTACTTAAAATTATGATTAATGTGAGTAGAATATACTACCTAAAGTAAGAAGAGGAAAAGCAAGCGGACTGTGAATTTGGAGATCAGCAAAAATTTCGGGCTTAAACATTCAAAATCCAACTAATAAATTACCTTCTTTTTATACACTGAATAATCTATTCATATAAGCAAATTAAGCAAGCCAATTAGTACTCTGCTTTAGCTTTGTTTATCAATTTCAGTAGATTGATTTTTCTACTTTATATAATTTTATACAGTCCTTCAAACACCGATCTTCCTTAGTATAGGGGTAGTACACCAGCCTGTCACGCTGGCAGCCCGGGTTCGAATCCCGGAGGGAGAGAAAAAATATTTTGTTTTTGAGACTTAGAATCAATTTTTTAGTGATGTGGAAAGGTAAACCGAAAATAAGGCTTATAAATGAATTCGCTAACAAATAGGTTGCTTTGTATTTAGTAAATTTCATATTATTCTCCTAAAGTAATAGTTAATCCTTGAAGTTTAAAAAGTATACAAGACAATTGAGTGTTTGAGAAGTTTAAATTGGAGATCCTTATCTCCATCACTTTCTAGTTTCATTGTACATTTGTTTCAGCGCTTCATGATGAAGGTCGTTTAAGAATTCTAGTTTTGTACAGCTTATCCAACCTCGATTTATGTCGATAAAACCAAGGGTGCTCCAGCGCCTCCTCCACTGTGGGGCGTTCACTTGGTTCTTTTTGTAGAAAAGAACATATCAGATCCTTAGCTTGCCTCGATACAGTTCTCCAAATCGCGTCTTCAAATACTATGTTTCCTTCCATAGAAAAAATAGGCGAGTTTCCCGAAAGAAGTAAATACATGATAATTCCTAAGCTCCATATGTCAACTTCTTTTCCATATCCCATGTTCAATTCTTTGTAACGTCTACTACGACCTTTCAAATCTCTCACTTCTGGAGCCGTATACTCCAAGGTGCCAACAAATGTTGACATTCGTTTCCCATTTTCCATACATCTAGCAACACCAAAGTCAGTCAAAATAATCCGAAACACGCTATCGCTTGAAGAGACAATCAAAATATTTTCCAACTTGAGATCACGATGAGCAATATTTTGAGAATGCAGATAACCTAATGCTTGTAGCAATTGATACATAATAAACAAGCATGTCACTTCAGGAACTGTTCCCATCTTAGTTAAATAACTGAACAAATCGCCACCTGTAACCAATTCCTCAAAAATAAAACTAAATAAAATTAGCCGAGTGAGATTAGAATTCAACATACAATTGGTTTTCAGAGTTGTAGTCCATAGCCACATGGACAATATTGGGATGATTTAGCTTTTTCAAAATAGATACTTCATGATCATCATAAAAGCGACTGGAGGAAACCTTCCTCTTCTCGATAATTTTACAAGCATATTGTCTGCCTGTTTTATTCTCAATTGCCATATAAATACGCGAAAACCCTCCCGTACCAAGTAGGCGATGGGTGATACTAAATTCTTCACCATCATACTCATGATGATAGTCATCATCCGTTGTATTTTTTTGTTGATATAGAAAAGAAGCACAATGGCGAACGTCTAAAATATCGCCATCAGACAACAATACTACATTTCCTTTACCGATAAGACAGTGGTTCAGAAACGTGCCGTTGGAGCTTAGATCTTGACAGTACACTAATGGATCCATATCATCGTCGACAAGCACCGAATAAACTCTAAAGTGTCTATAACTTGCGGTAGACTGAATCAATTGATACGTATTGGCATTTCCACGTCCTACAGTCACGTCTTCGTACTTTTTTATACTGATAGCTGAAAGAAAATTAGATAAAATACAAAAAGTTAACAAGTTTTTACCTGTTTGAGGGGACGTAGATGAGAAAACGAATAGTCGGCCCAATACGCCATCTTCAGTTTGTTGAATGTCAAGCGTACTTTCATCAATTTGACTCAATTCACAGAGGATTTGGGTCGACTCTGAACGACTTAGTATAGCACGCGACAAAAACTCCATAGTCAAACAAATTGATACGCTTGGTAATTGTTGAAATACCTACACGCGTATCCATCATCGTGTACGCAAGTAACAATTTATTTACCAGACGGAGTGACAATACGCGTTTCTATATTTACTTACACAAAAAAAAACAGAATTAAATTACTTTCTATGAAAGCTCATAAATCCTTTGTTAAAATTGAGATTAGGAAAAATACGAACAGTAAATAAACCCTATAATCTCAAGAAAGAGAGAAGTCTCGTTTCAGTGGTTTTCAAGGGTAACGTGTGTCAGAATGGGAAATTTTGATGATCCTTGGAAGAATTGCAGACAGAATAAAGGAATGCGAGAGGTCAAATGAATGAACCCAATCAAGAAAGTCACTATTCAGAAACTGTCATCTATGCAATCCTCATTAATGTCGTCGTCTTATTTGTTTTCATAGAATAAAAATTGAGTTAGAACGATGATTCGTAAAGGATTCGTATGAGCGTATATCATCGGACTTCTTTTTCCAATGTGAAAGTTGGAACATTGGGCAATTGTCCGTCCATTCTTAGATTTAGGTAAACTCGTACAAGAAATGCAATCGGTTTTCTGTAATTGAATTATAACCTTAACTTTCAAACATCAACCATCCTTATGTTTTAGTTTCTTGCGTTTCCAGGTCCGCCAATATGGCCCAAACACTTGCTTTAAATAATGTATGCACCAAACCGATTTCTTTCTCTAATTCTCTTAAAGAGTCAAGGATATTATTGCTAGGATTATATACCATTTCGTGCAACAATTTTGCAAGCTTCATGTTAGCTCGAATACACGCCAGTTCTACACACTTACAGAATCCATATTTCTAGCTAATTTAGTGTATTCATCCAAAACTTGCTTTTGTAGGATTTGTTTCTCCCTTGAGGAATTCAAATCGCCAGACATTATTTTGGAGGTTCAGAACTTGCTCATTACAACTTATATTCAGGTCAACTTGGGTTTATTATACGATGGAGGGCCATAGGCCTGAAAAGCGAAGGAGAAATAATCCTGATTACTCAAAGTAAGTTTTCAAAATCGAAAATGGCGTTATTGAATTCCATCCTTTCAAGATATATGCTTTTGCTAACCTCTTTGAAGATATGCATATGGAAGCATCGTCCGAGTGAAACTCGTCAATTTTGTCACATATGAGTATTGCGAATTTTATCCTGGTCCATATTTAAATATGGTTATCGGTCCTAATGGTACTGGTAAGAGTACTGTTGTATCGGCCATTTGTTTAGGCCTAGGATGGCCTCCAAAGGTATGCTCTACTAATGTGTTGATGGTTTACTAACAATCTTCTAAGTTACTTGGAAGGGCTAAAGAAGCTAGGGAATATATCAAATATGGAAAAAACAGTGCTACCATCGAATTAGAATTAAAACTAAAAAACAACAATACCGTTACTATAACGCGTGTAATCAATCAAGATAAGTCAAGCTCTTTTTCTTTAAATAAAGAAGCTTGCTCTGCTTCGGCGATCTCCCATTTGATGGAAAAGTTCAATATTCAATTGAATAATCTTTGCCATTTTCTGCCACAGGACAGAGTTGCTGAATTTGCTCAGTTAGATCCATTCACTAGACTAATCGAAACCGAAAGAGCCATTGATTATGATGGATTACTCCTTGATCACGAAAAACTGATTGACTTACGAAGAGAGGAAAAAGATGCTATGCTATACAAAGATCAGGGTCAGAATACTCTTAATTCAATTAAAGAAAGGCAACAGGCTCTTGAAAAGGAAGTAAAGATATTTAAAGATCGTGAAAAGATCCAATCTTATCTTGGTGTGCTGGCCATAGCGAAAGACCTTGTAATATACCGAGAGAAAACGGTAACTTATAATCAGTTAAGGGAAAAAAAGAGAGAAATTAAAGACCAACTAAAACAGTTTATTGAAGAATCTCGTCCAGTTTTGAGCCTGACAGACCAATTTCAATCGGATTTGCAAGATAAGAAAGAGGCTTTCAATCAATTATCATCCTCACTTCTTGTGTTTAAGCAACATACGGAAAAGGAAAAGTTATCTGTTTCCAAATACATGGAGAATGAAAAGCGAATTTACGAGAAAATTAATTCAAACCGTGCCCTATTGAAAACCAGCCAGGCAGCAGTTCAAGAAGCCCAACGAGCCCTGGATGGACTTCTGGGAATGATGGGACCAAAGCCTTCAGAACAAAACTTTGAGGCTACCCACCAAAGAATGCAAGAACTCAATTCAGAAAAATTGCGCTACGAGAATGAGAAATTAGAGTGTTCACACGCCCTTGGTAGCATACGTACCTCTAAAGCACAAAAACTTCTTGGCATTGATAATTTACGGCGCGAACTAAATGCTTATAATGACCTTACACGGAGAAAGTTAAAGTATATAGCAACGACACCTGGCTGGGAAGATGCTTTTCATACTTATCAAATCTTAAAAGAAAATGAATCAACTTTCGAAGAAGCAGCATATGGACCTATTTACATGCATTTGGAATGCAGAGACAAGAAGATTGCTCCTTTAATCGAAGGTTTTTTCCGTGCTGATACGTTTCGAACCTTCGTTATGTCCAATTACAATGATTATTTGAAGTTGATGGATCTTATTACTTCGAAAACAAGATATACTCCTACAGTACGAGAATTTTCTAGTGAACGGAACAAGAGACTTAGTGATTTCCAATATATATGTTCTCGTGACAAACTCAAGTCATTTGGATTTGATGGTTATTTGATAGATTATTTAGAAGGACCAGAAGTTGTCTTGGTAGCCTTGTGTCATATGCTAAAAATTCATCAAATTCCTGTTGCAGAAAAGGAATTATCTACCGCTTCTGTCAATGCTCTTAACAACTATCGCTTACCAAATGGTGATCCTGTGTTTAAATCATATCTTGCAGGTTCTTCAATACATCTTGTTTTCCGTTCCGCTTATGGTAACAGAGAATTAACTCAAAGAACGGATCCTCTTCCTTCTAATAGTGTTTATTTTTCTGAAAGTGTCGAACCATCACTAGTAAAAGAAAAGGAAGAGCAACTAAATTCTCAGACGTCTGGACTTAATGAATTGCAAGCTAATGAAAGTAAATTGCAGAATAAAGTCGGCGAATGTGACGCATTGATTTCTGAAGCAAATGAAAGTATCACAAATTTGCGTAAAGAAAGAGATGAAAAATTGGTTCCTTTACGAGAATGGCAAGCTTTGAACGACAAAGCAAATCATCAGCGTCTGGTTTTAGACCAACGAAAAAAGAATCCGGGTCAATATGAAAGAGAATTGGAGAATAGTAAGGAATTACGCAGAGAAAATTGCATGGCCCTTATGGATTCTATAACAAAATTGAAAGATTGGAATACAAAAGCAACGATTGAATTTGAGAAAACCCTAGGTTCACGATTGAACGTAATTGAAGCCGAATATCGGTTACAGAAACACGAGCTGGATGCGGAACAGGTGAACACTATGATGCGTGAACTGCATGATAAACAACAAGAAACTTCAGCAAGGATTGCTGAAGCAAGAAAAGATGCGATGGAGACGTATAATTCCGTCGTGGAGCGCTTGCAAAATGAAGATCAAGAGCGACAGACATCAATTACTGAAGAAAGCGAAAACTTTTCAACAGTTTCCGAGGTTGAAAATAAAATTAGTGTGGAAGAAACAAAGCTTGGATTTATGAACGTGAATAACTTTGTTATGGAGCAATATGACCGCCGAAAGTTAGAAATAGAGGAATTAGAGATGAAATTGAGTAGACTTGACGAGACCATTCTTTCAACGCAAGAAAAGATTGAGGATATAAAGAGAGTTTGGCTAGTTAAATTAGAGGGTGTTATTGAGTGTATAACTGAAAGATTCTCAAAAAGCATGTCTAGTATGGGATACGCAGGCGAAGTACGTTTGGGAAAAGCAGAAGACTTTGATAAATGGCGTATAGATATCATGGTGCAATTTAGAGAAGCAGAAGGACTGCAGAAACTTACTGGCCAACGACAATCGGGAGGTGAACGATCTGTTTCGACTATAATGTATCTACTGGCTCTTCAGGGCGTCGCTACTGCACCATTTCGTATCGTAGATGAAATCAATCAGGGTATGGATCCTAGAAATGAACGTGTCGTTCATTCTCATATCGTCAACTCGACATGCGAAACCCCCTCATCTCAATACTTCCTGGTTACTCCTAAGCTTCTTCCAGACTTGACTTACCATCGTAACTTGAAAGTGCTGTGCATATGCAATGGAAGCTGGCTTCCAAATACTTTCCGATTGTCTCTTACTTCATATTTAGAAAACTTGAAAAGCAAAGTGCTTTTGCCTGCTCCTTGAAGATATCAATGTGAGACCGGCAAATTTCTCAATGAGGCACTGTATATTACATTGGGGTTTTTTGGAATCTATTTCATACCTTTCATATTAAATAATTACATTCTAGCTTATATTTATTATTACGGAGTTACTTTTCAATAGATCATAATATTTTACATGTTAGTATTTACCGTTGGGAACAGTACGTGAAATATAATTTATAAAAATTTAATTTGAAATATTGAATTTGAAATAGTATATTGAAATAGTTCAAAATAAACAAAGGAAGTTTGGAGTTCTGTGTTCAACATGGAGGTTACGACAGCAGACCTCAGCAATACCACAGACTGTATTTCACCATTAGCAAACTGTCGGTTTGAAAGGAGGATAAAGGTCCGAAAAGTTGAGTAGGAAATTCTTTTGTTAAAGCACCTTAGTGCTTTGCCAATTTTCTAAAGTTAAGTAGCAGAATAACGCTAAGTCTTGCATTTTAATGCCTTTGGATAAGAAGAAGTTTGAAACATTTGGTGAACAATCTCACAAGCCTTTTGCTAGTGGAGCCTGGGACGAAGATTATGAGCTTGTAAGCTTAAATTCTAGTCAAGATGCCTTGAATAGTTCATTTTCAAAATCTCTTGCTTTGGACTCCAATCGAACTTCTTCTCCTTTAAGGATAGAGTCCTTAAGCTCGTCAACAATTATGATCAACACAAAGTTGAGGGAATTTGAAATAGGAGAAGGAATTCCTGAGACGCAGGAATCGACTCAAGTACCAATTGAGACCAACGACTCCGAAGAAGTTACCAATTCTATTCCAGATTCCAGTGATGAAGCTTGTGAGGAGGAGAGGGAGGAGGAAGAAATAGAAAGCAAAAACGAAGAAGATGACAGTGTATGGGAATCCGACTATTCTGAAGCTCCCACTGAACCTGCTCTTGCAGCTGTCGAGCCTCATAGAGGAAAAGCATTTATGTCACCAAGCTCGTCCGGTACTTATGAAAGTGAAGCATTGGAATATAATGTTCCTGCCATCCCTGACCTTCGTTTCCAAAATTCTTACTTGAAGTCACTTGAACAAGCAAATGGCTCGGTCCCTCTTATTTGCTGGATTACTGTTCGTGATCAGATCCTTTTTCCTTTCCTTAGTGGAGGAATGTGGATTTTTGTCCGCCATTTCTTGGGATTTTCAAAAATTCAAGACAAAGGATTTCATTTCGGTCAATGGCTTCGCAGATTATTTGGTTTCTTTTTCTCGTCCCCTTCCAAGAAGTAGTGCTTGCTTTTAAAATCGTTTTTTTTATTTCTTCATGAAGCGATTTTTTTTTTTGCGTGCCTTAATTCTAATAACATTCTTCTGTATGTGCTTCAGTGAAGCCAAATGACAACTAGCGATTTTTTACTCTCTGTCGACTTTATCAATAAGAAGGAACATATCATTAATTACTTTTTATATTTTGTCATGACGATTAACGGTTTACTTAATTTATAATTTGCCTTTTACTTGGAATGACAAGTTTGTGATGAACTTGGGCAAGCATGAAAGATTAAATAATTCATTTAAATCAATGATGAATAGTAACTATGAACAGATAATAATATAAAAGAAAGAAAAGAAACCATTCGGGTATGCGTTAGTTTTAGTTTAGGAAAGGATTGCAGAAAATATTTTAGAATACAAACATTATCCTTCCAATATGTATGTGTACATTAGGTAGATTGGGAATTAGAAGAGCCCTTTAGATTAGTTCATCAATTTTGCTCAGAAGAATCTCAGCGTGATGTTGTTGGAAAACAAGCATAGGACGAAGACGGATTGCTGCAACACCGCAGCCGCCAATGTTAATACCATTCATCTTCATACGTCCAACGAATGCATCACGGGCAGCAGAGGATTCACAGTCCCAGGCAATAAAAGTACCTTTACCTTTACCACGAATGTTGTTAATCTTTCCAGGGTGCTTTTCGGCCAACTTTTCAAGAGAGGTATATACAAAATCACCGACAGTCTTGACATTTTGAAGAAGATCCTTTTCACGAATTTCTTTGGCAATGTACTTCGCCTGGATAGCACGGAGAGGATCACCCATCCATGTATTAAAGTGTTGATAAGCATGAGGACGAAGATTTTTGTCATGGTAGTAAACACCAGCGGCCTGGAACTTCTTAGAAAAAGTAACCATGTCAGGAGGAGTAGGCAAGTTCCAGTGTTCATGAGCCCACATAGCACCAGTAGAGCCCATACCGGTTTGTACTTCGTCGACAATGAAGAGAACGTTGTGCTTCTTCAAAGTTGCTTGAAGCTTATGGAAAAATTCATTAGAAGCATGGTTATCACCACCTTCGGATTGAATAGGCTCAACAATACAAGCGGCGATGGGACAGTGATGAGTGTTTAAAATATGTTCAACTTCTTCGATGCAACGGTCTTCTTCGGCTTGGTTTTCAGTTGTGTATTTTTCGAGAGGATATTTCAATGCAGGGAAATGAGCTTGAGGCCAATGGAAAGCGGGCATACCAATCTTATGGACGGGCTTGGAACGAGTTGTCGAGAGGGAACCAAAAAGGCGGCCATGGAAACCGTGACGGAAAGAAAGAACAGCGACTTCGGGGCTACCTGGAGACGAGTTATTCATGCAAGTTGTTTTTTCTTCTTCAGTGAAGTCACCGTTAACTCTGGGTAAATTATTGAAGCGGTAAAGCATGGCCAACTTGTAAGCTACTTCATTGGCATCACTTCCACTCATTTGGTAGTAGACATACTTTTGACCTTTGGGAGCAAAGTCAATGGCACCTTCTTGTGCCATAGTAGCCCAGTTTTTGGGGGGATAATTTCCAAGAGCAGGACGGTTCATCATAGCAATGGCGGCTTCATCAGACTTGGCAGCTTCAAGGAGAGTTGGGTTGTTGTAACCAACGGGTATAGTAGCAATTTGAGAATAAACGTCCAAAAGAACATTTCCGTCAGCGTCTACGAGGTAGTTACCAACTGATTTTTCATAGTCAACAGGGAATTTAACTGCACCGATGTCGTGAACCTGGCTGATTTCTTCGATGGCAGCTTTACCCTTAGGGCCAGGAATAGTACTGGTTTTAACAGAGGGACCCTTGGGCTCATTAGGGAAATAGGCAGAGCCATTATTAGCGACGGAAGTAACAGTCATATTATTATTGATCAAAAAGAAAAGGAATAATACAAAGTCCTTAAAAAATAAAGCAAGAAATGACTAGAGAACAGGTGCTCTAGAAATTTTGAATTTCAAAAAAGAAAAAAAAGAAAAGAAAAAGAATAATACTTGAACAAAAGATTTCTAGAAACAGAGAATCTAATTTTCCTTTACCTTATAGCAAGCGTCTAGAGATCGAACAATGTTAATGAACACAAATTTCAATGTGCAGCATTCACCGGTATATATACCATTTTCAAAAGCTATTTTTCGGCTCATTTGATTTCCGCAACGAGCACTTTCCAATCTTGCTTTTCTATATCAGACGTTGCAAACTGATGACTTACCGATCATAGATAAAAATCGACTTGGGATTAGAATAGCCATCAGTAGGAGTAAAAACCGACAGCTACAAAGAAAAAAGGAAGTGCTTAAAAAAGAAACGTAACTGAAACCATAACATAAACAAAAATCAAAGCAAAAAGGTGTTACAATAAATCATGGTTAGTTACTATCATTATGGTAACAAGAAAAGAAAAGGGACGTTCCTTTTCCCAGGTGAAAAATGAGTACGTATAGTTCTTATAACTAATTTTAGGTAGCAGGCTTTTTTTGTTTATCAATAGCTATGTAAACGGTTTCATTTACCTTGTCATTTTTAATGGATCTTTCTGATCAATGAAATAACTTTTCTTCTTTTACATATCTGTTTACCAACGAATGAACTTCCAATTTCGTTAAAGTGGTTTATAACAGATGCTTAGTATGGTTTAGTGATGTTTGCAAAGAAAAACAATACATTTTTAAAGTGCTATAACGAAAAGTAAGGCTGTTTGTAAACACAACATAGACTCATGCTGCCGCATTATAGTAATCAACATAAGGATGTCGAAGTACGTCCGTATTTGGTTCTTCATACTTTGATATACATAAACAAACACCAAAGGAAGGAATAAAAGGGTGTAGGTACATTTTCTTTTTTCAATAGAGTTTTTCATTCCATCTTTTGAAGGGTATTTTGCTTGTTTTGGTTTGTTTTTCTTTTTTGGAACTTGGCTTTTCTTGGTTCTCTTTCCGACGTTGTATGGTTTTGCTTGGCCTACCGTATTCGGATTTCTTTTTTTCTAACTATATTAAACCTTTTTAAATTAAATTCTTCTACATACATTGATTCAATGCATTACGAATTTGCTTTCTATCAGGTGCGTCCATCCAGCACGCCGTCCGTGTCAGAACCTTTTGAAATTGCTAGCTATAGTATGGCCGAAGATTGCTCCTTTCATTTGGATGATCGTCAACTCAGGTACTACTATCCTCCTTTACCCCATAGCGATTTAAACAGTGGGTATCCTGACAAATATCATCCACCGAAAGCAGGCGCACATCCCATTTCCAAGGTAAAAGATGTTTTAGATAAAAAGCATGTTGATCAGAAAGCAGAGCTGATAACATGGAGAGGTCTCATCACTAAAATCATGTGTGCACCACTCTACCCCAAAAGCCAGTGGGAGTTGAAGCTACGGATGGATGCCGAGAGCGGTACAATATTCATGGAAGAAGGGGAATCATCTGAGACAACTTACGAAAATCAAGACAGGATGTGCTACTGGGGCTATAAATTTGAGGTTATATCTACACTACCCACCATATGGGATGCGTGTTCTCGATCCGACATTGAGGAAAGAGACAATCAGCCTGTAATTCCAGACGAACAATACTGTTCCATTGTGAAGTACCACATAGGTCGTACTAGGTTAATCCTTGCTGGAGAAGTCGATTGTGTCTGGGACTCAAAGCCGGGCGTGACACCGGATTCCGACGTGGATAGTAAAGTAAACGATGATTCATTGAAATCACAAACAGAAGGACAACAGGAAGAAAATCTTCCTGCATCCAAGCGAAGAAAAATGGACGATGACAACGATTCTACTGACCCATCACCAACTGTCGAAAATCCTTCTCCGCACTACTGCGAACTAAAAACCTCCAAAAAGCAGCCGCTCGAGCATGTAGGCATGCGTAGGAAACTCCTAAAATTTTGGGCCCAAAGCTACCTCTTAGGAATTGGCACAATCGTTATTGGGTTCCGAAACGACGATGGCGTTCTTGTAGAAATTAAAGAGCTGCCTACGCGCCAAATTCCAAACCTTCTACGCCCATATGCCAAACCACAAGATTGGACAGCGAATCGTCTTTTGGTCGTTCTTGAACAAGAACTTGACTGGTTGAAAAAGTGTGTGCAAAAACATCCTCCAAATACTAAATTCACCCTACAGTACTCAGCAAACGGAAAGTTAATTTTACGTGTCCATTCTTGAAATGAGATTTTTATTTTTTTTCTTAATCATTATTCCGTCCTAACATCATTGCAAGTACTCGATTTTCTGAAGATCGCAACGTATATCCTTAAGACGTATTTCCACACTTCACACAGATCAGTTTAGGCGAGCTGCCAAAGGAAACCTAAATAAACAGCATGTCGATGGTTCAAATTACTCATAAATTTGGGGATCAAATTTACTTAATTGAATTACAAGCTACTGTTGAAAAAATATCAGAAACGTTGGATATAGGGACTCTGGAAATCGTTCAGGTAATAAGCAATATTTTGGCTCTATTAGGTTCTAACTGATTATTTAGGAAAACAATACAAAAAAAGCTTCTATTTATGTAGGAAATCAATGCATGGAAGGTGTTGTTGAAACTTTACAAAAGCCATTAGCTGTTCTTCAAAAATCGCCTGTTGGAGACGGTGGATCATCCGCTCGGGAATTAAATATCGTTTCTATCATCAAAGAAAGAATTAGATTTAGTTCGCGTCCTTTACCTGTGAAAATTTAAAATACTGTAGGGAGAGCACTTTTTTGCCTACATTAAGTGCGTGCTCCTACATCCCACTAAGAACCAACTCTCGCAAATTTCATTAAACCTTATATAGAGCAAAGATGAGGATTCTTAAACATCGTATGTGAATTTATTTTACATATTTAATTACTAATTTCTTTTTAGATGAGCAGAAACTTTTGAAGAAAGTCGACTTTCTCAACTACAAGCAGGATGACAACAATCATCGTGATTTGATGGTTATGCGCCGCTACCATATTCCCAAAAGAGAAGAATATCAAAAATATAACATCGTGTGTGGTAAATTTCGCCAATTGGCTCATCGTATCTCCTTACTGGATCCAAAGGATCCTTTTCGCTTGAAGTATGAAAATATGCTCTTGGAGAAGCTCTTTGACATGGGAATATTACCCTCAAAGTCGAAAATGTCTGATATAGAAAATCGAGCCAACGTTTCTGCTATATGTCGTCGTCGGTTACCTGTTATCATGTGTAAGCTGAGGATGTCTCAAACCATCTCTGCTGCTACAAAGCTCATCGAACAAGGCCACGTTCGTGTTGGTCCTCATGTCATTACCGATCCCGCTTATCTTGTTACAAGGAATTTGGAAGACTTTGTTACATGGACCGACACCTCTAAAATCAAACGAACTGTTGCCAAATATAACGACAAGGTATGTACAATTTTCTTCTGTTTATTTGCTAACCTGAATAGTTGGATGATTATGATTTACTTTAATATGGTTCTAGTTCGAGGTTATAATCACTTCCTTCTGCTTGCCAGGAAAAAAAAATTGTATTTTATTTCGGGTAATATTGGATATATATAGTATTAAGCGTACGTAAAATTTATAATAAAAAGGATACTGTCAAATCAAAATTTAATTTAGAAGAGGAATGCGATTCTTCAAATTTAATTTCACATACGCCCTCGTTCATTTCACTAACATGTTAGCAAACATTTTGCATTGTTTTACTTAATTACCCTTTTTATATGTAATGTAAATAACAACACGATTTATATTTATTTTCATGACTCATGAAATTTCTAAAGTACGTGAAATATATCCACCCATCATCTAAGAATAGCTTCCAAAGGTTATCTTTTCTTCATATTTCTTTTCATAGAGCAGATAAAGAATCTAAAACATAATAATAATAAAACCTACATAAAACAACATTCTAAGCAAATCCAAAACCTTCAGAGCCTTCATTGATGGCTGTGAGCAACATAGTCCTTAGCTGCTCATACGTTTCATATTCGGGTAAATCTAGCTGATTAAAGCACGTATGTGATTGCGGTAAGCGATTCAGCGATCCATAACTCTTATGGATATTAAATCTCTGGAAACCAGACATGCCTTCAAGTTCCTTGAATCCATTTAATGGAACCTTAGATGTACCGGTTGCAAATTGAAGGAGTTTAGCTCGCTCCTCCTCATCGAAAGATCGAACCGCTCGCCAGAACCATTGAATTTGAGGAGATGAAACGTTATAACCATGATACTCTGTATTATTACGCCAGTCATCGTTGTCAATTTCAGGGAGACCTGAAATTAACAACTCTAGTTCTTGCTCGTTAAAAATTTGGATTAAGTTTGGAGGAATAATATCCGAAAACCCTTCCAAAAGACTTTGCAACTGGTCTTTCACACTCTCAACCAATTTATAGTCAACCATCCTATTTACGTAGTCATGTTTGTTTAGCTCTGTAACAGGAATATTACGACCATTGGGAATAAGATCTACGATCGTCTTTTCACCAAAAACGTCTTTCTCAACAGCAAATTCTTCCGTAATGATATCAGTAATATCATTGTTCAACATCCACACCAAAGACTTGCAGTAGTCAGGATCAAGAGACTCAATATCCTTCACCGACACTGATCGATGAAGCATGTGCTTGTAAACTGCACGACTGAAATGACAGTCAAGCAGTCTACCATCGTAAACTGATTTTCCAATAATTCTTCCAGTAAATTTGAAGAATGATAAATGATCGGGATTTACGGAAGAATCCCTGTTCGGATGGAAAGTAGTGGCGTCACCCGCAACTGGCAAGAACAAAGCGTAGTCAGGATTGAACATCTGTCTAGCTAATACCTGTAACCATTCACGAGTCACACCTCCTGCATCTACACCTTCCTCATCCCTGAAATGAATGTTAAGCTTACTAAACTTAACCTCATCAGCGTCTTTGAAATGTAATGCGCGGTAGGAATCCAAAAATACCTGATCACGTCTAACATTGATATTTAACGGAGGATACTGTTCCTTTGCAGCTTCAGCGTGTAATTGACGGCTGAAGTAATTTCTCTTATTTTCAAATTCAAGTACCTTGGGATTCTTCACTAACAGAGAAAATGATCCACTCATCAGTGAAGGAGTTGTGAAAACCATCATATTAATAATTTTACGATGCTCCTCAGTAAATGAAATAAACAAGCCCTTCAAGCGTTCCAACATCGGTGAAATACGTTTGGAAACTTCCTCAGGCAGGTCAAGATAAACGGGACGACAAATGACCATTAAAGATTCGATAAGAGGAAGCAAAACCGTGGAGACATGAGTGATACTGGTTTGCTCTCTCATGGAAACCAAGCAGTTACTTAGCACATCCCACAATGTTACAAATTGCAAATTATCGTAAAATTCAAGCAATTGCACAATGTTTTGAGGACTTTGTTCTTCTCTCTTTGGCCGACGCTCAAAAATGTAGTCCAGAGCTTTCAAACAACGTAACAGCTTAGCCTGGTTAGAACTTGCCGGACAGAATGGAGCCAAAGCGTTCTGGAGCTCAGTTTCATTTCTACCAGACTTGACCTCTTCAGAAAGTCTTGATAAATCACCGGTTATTGCATTTCCATACTTTTGAGCATGTCTCAAGAGCTCTTTACCGATGATATTCTTCGCATGCGGTGCGGAGCATAAATGAAACATTACTGATAAAGCATTCTGGAAGGTACGACTTGAACAGGAATCAGTGGTTATCAATGAAGCAGCCAGTCTTAAATTATCGTCGGTAATTTGAGGAGGATTCGTCGGTTTTTTACCCTTCTTTTCTACCTGAGCTGATGATTCATCAGTACGCGGGGTATTCACATCACTGTTCCCTGTATCATCCCTGTCTTCACTTACTTGATTCAGTTCTTCTGCAGGTTTTTGATGCTTATAGAATGACAACAGAGGCCTGGTGAGAGTCGAGAGTAACTCGGAAAATGTATTCATGACAAGAGTGTTACCAAAAATTTCTTCACGACCCAACAAACTTAGAAGAACATTAATGGGAGCTACTTTGTAGACATTTGTCTCCTTGTTTTTCTTAGAGCCCGACTTTTTGTAAGGTAATCCAATGAAGTCTTGCATACTTAGGAAAAACGAAGGGAAATGATCCGCCCAACTTGATAGATGCGAAAGTAAATCGATAGTTTGTTGCAAGATCAAAGAACGAGACGTAATCCCATTAATAACAGGAACCTTACATAAGGAATCGAGTAGCCCATGATACTTCTTGAATTCTTTTTGTTGAGGCACGTTCAAAGATCGAATGGTCAAGTCCTTGTAACATTTTTCGGTGGAACGAGTACTAGTAGAAGCTTCGTGAAGAACATATAACAACAATCCCAAAATATCAGCTCGTTGTTGTTTGTTTTCAGAAATATTCACTACCAAATCATAGAATGGATTTTTGCCATTATGTTGTGGAATATACAAGAGTCTTATCATTGACAGGATACCTGAACGGTCAACCAAAGGTGGTACAGGTACCTTCTTAACCGGTTTGACAGATCGTTCTCTCTGCTCGTCTTCTGCTTCGTCGACTTCATCCAATCGCTCCATTTCCAATTCATTATCCCCACTCTCATTATTTCGAGCATTATCAAACAAGCGCATTTGAACAGCTTCCTGAAAGAGAAGTTCATCACGAATATCAGTCGGTAACACTTCCAAAAACGAGGGATCCAAACGACGAGAAGAATCACTTATCGACTCTATATGTCGTTCTTGAATATGCTGGAAAACGACTTCCTCACGCATGTCCTCTGGTAGAGCGAGTAAAAACGTAGGATCAATTCCCAATGAAGATACATTTACATCCCTTCCTCGAATGCTGATAGTCTGCCCTTCATCAGCAGTATTTGCTTCCTGGACAGGTTCAGGTTCTTCGGTTCTAACACCTTCCATTTCATTCATTTCTGAATTCTGCACATCAGGATCCTCCGTTTCAGGAGCACCAACATCTGCTGGCTTTTCATTTTTTGGTTGGCTTTGTCTTTCAGATTCTTCTTTTTCATGGTTATATTTTTCCAAAGCAGGCGGGACAAGACCGAATAAAACGGATCCTGTAACTCGTAAAGCAGTGGAACCAGCAGCATGACCAAAGAACATAGAAACAATTCCATTCCATCTTTGAGTAGTAAAAAGGGGTGTAAAATCTGAAGTAGCACGTAAAGGATCATTGTGGATCTGATTCTTCAAAGCAGTCCAACCGATCCTAGACATATCGGTTGTGGACGTATCCATGGAAAGATAGAACAATAATCTCTGGGATGCCGCTCCAGAAGACACATGGCTGTCTAAATCAGACAAGCTTTCGTTTACCTCAACCGCTTTCCCTTCACTTGATAAATTGTTTCGTAGAAGCAATGGATGCTTGAGTATATCTTCTGACGACTTACTATTTAAAAATGACCTTGAACGAGCATTATCCCCTGAATTAATTATCATAACTCGACGAGAAAGACCCGGCAAAGGGAACAAATCTCTCAAAAGAGCACCATGACGACTGATAATGTCTGCTCCAGAAGGAACATCAGCATTCCATTCCCACTGAAAATCTTCATCTTGCTCAGAAGAACTACCCTCTTCGTTATCAAGAAAGTCTATTTCCACTGGACTAACATTATCTATAGCCTCGTCTTCATTATCCTCATCAGAGGCTTCTGTAAACGCATTTTCCATTGCTTCAAACGTAGTGGAACCATTTTCTTCATCTTGATCATGTAATTCTTCATCACGTTCATAATCTGAGGTTTCGTTTCCTTCGTCTTCCCATTCATAGGGCTCACCTGTGTTATCAATGTCTTCTTCATCAATGGAAATGATATCTCCATGACTAGATTCATCATCATCATATGAACTAGAATCCCCCTGATCGGAGCCATCCTGGTCTTCATCAACCATAAACTCGATATTCATGTCATTGTTATCACTGTACATAGTATCGTCATTTTCATCATCACTAACAACGCTACCGGGACTTCCTGATTGATCATCTTCAAAATCCATTTCCTCATATACATCGTCATCCTCACTACCTTCGTAGTTGTCTTCATTTTCATTAGCGATATCACCTTGAAAGATACCAAGCACAGAGTTACGATAAAGATCTGGAGGCTCATCACCCTCAGATTCTTCAGAATCATCACTAACGGAGTCATCAGTTTCAGCCTCTTGTATATTCCCCGATAGACTTTCTGGGTTTGTCTGGCTTAAAAATATAGCTTCCTTCGTCAATAATTGAAGAGGCCTCAAAATGTGACGAATTACCTTTCTGGAAACAGGATAGTTCATATCAATTTCAGAAGTAGCGCTAGTTAAAGCTGGGATGAAACCAAGGTCAATCATTGCTTTGATGTTAACATCCTGAGATTTTCGTAATAACTGATTTGGCGCCTTCTGCGAAACGGTTTGCGCATCGCCCAGTCTATAACATAATTCAGCCACGACTAGTAATTTGCAGTAATAAGATTCCAAGTTTTCAGAATTAACAGAACTAGATCGGTAAAACTTTAGGACACAAGATAAAACTTCACGACGAAGCTCATCAACGACATCGGTCTGTTGATCATTCGAGTAAGCACACAAGAAAACCAATATAGAAATGGCCCAGTTAGATACAGAGAAAGCCTTACGTATTTCATTATCCTCTGACAGACGTATGCTCCCAAAGGGCAACAACTTCTCAAGGAAAAAGCCAACAAGGTAAGAGTTATACTTTCGAGAAAGTGTGAAGAAAGACGATTTGCGCTTGGGTTGATATTCCATAAAGCACTTTTTACACGAGTCATAACCCGACAATAACTCGGTAAGACATTGCAGAAGAAATACATTATACATGTACATAGGGTCAGATTCAGGTTTAAATTCAGAATCGACAGGTTTTTGCATTTTTCGCTGGGAATCCACCGTCTCCATTATTTCATCCAATAGAGAAGTTATCACTTTGGAGCTAGTCTGTGACATCAAAGAAGCATCAGAATTAATCTGGTCTTTACTGTATGCTTCCGGGAGGGTTTCCTTCAGTTCGAGATAATGATGATCAGCATTAGGTGCAAAATGAGCTAACTGACAGGTTTCTTTAATTATTTTCTGGAAAGCATCAGGTGAGCGCAAAACCATTTCGGAGTTTGTCCTTATAAAATTAAGAAGCTCAGTTTTACGAGCCCTACCTTGTAATTTAAATATATTTCGTAAGTCATCAAACATGATAAGTTCAATGACCCTTTCGGACTCTAACAATCTTCTTAATATGACGATGAAAGGAACGTGTAGTGCTTCATTGCAGGTAGCTGCACATGCTTTCATAGCAGCAAATAGAACATCTAAACCATTGGAATCGATAAACATATGTACCATGTCATAATTAGCAGTTAATAGTAAAATCAGTCTCATGGCCGACGTTACCACACCCAGATTTGAGGTATATTGCTTCATTAAGTAAATTAATGATACCAATATCTTCTGTTGGGCGGCATGGTTTATTGAAATGGAGCCATCAATAAGCTTTAATGAGCAGTCTTTTGAGTTAAACTCGAACTCATCGGGCTTTCTTGAATTCGTTAACAATACTTCCAATAAAAATAATATGGAAACAACCCAGGTAGCATTAACATCTTGCACATAACATTGACGCATAGACTCTAGTGCATTCAACAAGAAATCCAGTTCTTCTAAAATATAATTCTTTGCCTTATTCTGAGTGAAATCATGACTAATAAAAAGACCAAGTAAACCGATGGCAGGCCCGAACTGAGAAATCCGAGAATCGCCTTCATCCAGCGATGAAAGAGATTTTATCTCTTTAATCATTGCCACGGTGGTCTCAAGCTGAAGATCAGAATTCATTTGAACCTCATCACCAGAGTATAGCAAATCACAAAGACTTTGATTTACGTCGCCTTCGTAAGATGACAAGGAGACACAAGTCTTAACAAGCCTAGACTTAAAGTTATTGAATTCTGTAACCATATTAGAAGGGACTTCATTAATTAGCAAGTTAAGAAGCGTTTCGTCATTCACAGTATCACTCAGCTTGGGACTTTCCAGTGAACTTTTTTCGTCAGTCGATTGACTTTGAGACTCACGTAGACTATTTTGAGCAGCCTCAGAAAGAGAGCTTATGCCTTCTTCAAATTGTAAACAATTAGACAATATGTTTGTAATTAGTGCCTTAGTAATGTACGGCAATCGGTAATCCGCAGACGATTCCCATATTTTCACCATTGTCAAAAACGAATGAGCCTGAAGTAGATGCATGAGCTTGGATCCGCAATCACTGAGCTCATTATTGTCCAATTGAAGTTTTAAAGAAAAGTTCAGAGGCTTCTCTGTTTCAGAAATAAAATCGGCACTTGTTAACATATGTATTAAATTCAGTAGGGTTGACGACAATGCTAGCAAAATACGGCTTGTCCGCGCCGTCGTATCTTCACCTACAAGAGCGAAATAGCTTATTACTCGCCCTGACAGTTTAAGTAATAGCTGAAGCGTCTGAGAGCCAGCAAAAATTCGACTGATAAGAAGAGTGAGTGTAACTTTAGAGTCATCTTCTCGAATTATTGCTGACGCATCAAGTATAGACATTAAAGAAACATGCAAGGCGAGCTCATCAGGCAATTCTTCGCGGTTTAGAATCTGACTACAAGCCATACCAACCAATTCATCAACGACAAGAGCAATATTGCTACCAAGTTTGTATATGCCCTTGAATTCATTGATGTCTTGAATGCTTGAATTACCCAATGCCCGAGTCAAGGACGTGAAGAACTTCGATATACTGTACGTCGTCTGAGTGAAGTTTGTGCGAATATTTTTAAACTTGTTAAAGGAAGGGTCTTCCTTAAGTTCTCGCTTTTTGGTCTCAAGGTTTTCTTTCTCCTTTTTGTCAGCGGAGATTGATACCAGCGAGCCACAGCAAAGGGCGTAATCACTGGAAACTTGAGAACAAAGGAAAACATCCACACTCGTTGAAAGATTCTTAATGTTACACAAAATATCAAAGACACCAGCATAACGAGAAGGGCTTATAAAAAGCTGAACTAATGGAAGGTTGCCCGCCTTTTTTAGTGCAGCGTATGAAGAAAATAATTCAGAAAACATCGAAATCAAATTACCAATAATGGTAAACTGGAAGAAGATCTCAGAATCCTGTAAATTAACCAATTGTCCGCATAGTTGGCCTTTAACAATTGCATTAATTGGATTTAGTGATTGTTCAACATTACTATTCTCACAATTGAACATAATACAATCCAATAAAGGACGGAAGACCTCTGCTGCATCAAAATCAATAATATGATGTAAAAGAACAAACAAAGTGTTGAATGCAGACGAATCAACAAACCCATAGGCTAACACAGGTACCTGCATGAGCTTAAGGATATGAGTTATAATTCCTTTGGACATCAGATTTTTTGCATGACCTTCGTTAGAAATAATATTTTCTAAGAAACTAGAGAATGTCTCGAAGTATATCAAATAAGGAAAGTCGGTCGCATCAACATAGTCCAAAGGATTGAAGGTACGGAGAAGATCGCAAACCTTGTCAACGGTTTCGAAAATCATTTTAACAATACCGTCTTTCAAAAAGGGCTGATGGCGCATCAGTTCGTCGATGTAAGTTCCTAATATAGCTGCATTGTCGCTGGATGATAAAGCTTTGCAATGATTGTAAGATGTAAATATGCTAAAGAAATGAGGAACAGGATTCTTTTCTAAGAATAAATTGAAGCCCTGTGAATTCAAACAGATTGCACCAAAAGCCAAAGGAATTGAAGTAATTGCATCACACGAATTCAATATCCGTCGATTTACTGCTTCCAGGAATGAATGCGAAAGTTTTTTCTCGTGAATAATACCATAACAAGTAGGTTCATTATGAATGAAAGTAGACATTATATTTGTTGCTGAAGCAAATAAATTGGATCCAAATACTTCGTGATGGTCCAAAAGGAATGCAAGGGAAGATATAAGAGAAGAATCAATAAGGTTACGAAGTTCTACAACAGATCCACCGGTTTGGATTAAATGCAAAATAAACTTCAACAAATTTTTCAGCAAGAAGTAACGATCATATGGAATAGCATAATCCATATTTAAGCAGATTTCTGCGTTACCTCTTCCGCTCTTTACATCATGCAACGAGGCTTCTAATTCAAACTGCAAGCGAGTTACCAATAAATCCAAACCTTTGGACTCTGAAAAATCAGGGAAAGCCATAGAATAGCCATCAATGAGGTGATCAAGCATGGAAATCGACCTGGACACCACATACAAAGCACGGGGACTCTTAAGTGATAAATGGTGACCTAAAAGGGATGTCAAACCTGCTGAACAAGCCATGTTTCCACCCAAGGGTGAAGTAGCCATAAATTGAAGGAAATCATAGAAACTATCAACATATTCGCGATTATATTCAAAATTTTCATCAGATAGATTGTTCGAAAAATCGCGAACCAAATTCATCATTAAACCATAACTTACTGATACATTGAGAGCTGCTAGCACGGAAGGTACCATATTTTTGCGGAAAAAAAATGCTTTAAAGCATTCAAAAACAACAGCTTTAAACTCCTGTGGAAGCTTTGTATCCACAGAAACAAGGGTTGCTAGATGAGTTGTTATTTCAGGATCCGCCAACATGAAACGCGATTGAACAGCTTGTGAGTGAGCGTATACCAGGTTGGAAAGAGCCAACAATCCAATACGGACCATGGTCCTTCGTTTATTTAAGTCAGGTAAATTTTTATGAAGCAGAATACTTATGAGGAAATCAGGAGTGTTTTGTTCAGGAATTTGATTTTCAGTTGACAGCTGGACAAGCAAATCATGTACTGGTTTTACTGACAATTCTTCTGGAGACACTTTCAAAACACGCAAGCCTTCTGACGGAGAGGAAGTAGAAGACCCGGTTTTGGAAGAGTCAGAAACCTTAGAAGAAGAGCTCTTATAATATGAAAACTCTAACGAGCACCATGGAGCTGGGATATCATTAAGAAATAGAATTGATTCATAATTTTGGGCTAGTCCGGATTTTGTAGCTTCTTGAGGAAGAAACGAAAGGAAGCGGAACAAACGATCTTGCGACAAAGAAAAAAGCTGTTTCCCTCTTCTGGAAATCGTAGCCTTTTGAACAATATGTAATAACAAACCCAAAGTAGCGTCTAATATCTCCAGTTCGGAACTATTCAATAATTGTTCCAAATAACCGGTCGAGTTATAAATGGAGCGATTTGCACAATGTTTGAGTAAATAGGTTGAAAATCTTAAGACTTCTAGTAAAACGGTGTATGACTGAGGGTCAAAAGGTCGAGTTTGAACCTTGGTTTTTAAGTCGTAATCTTCAACCGTTTTTTCTAAAATCGCATCAAATCGATTTAACACTGGAATCCATGAGTATAAATCGCCACGAGGGTATGTCCATTCTCTTTTGCGAAAATCTGAGCATAAAGAAGCAACTTTGTCAAGTGGACATCTCTTTTCATCTTGAACTTCTTTTATAAATTCAAGCACCCAAGGCGGGGGCTGGGAATTTGGATTTTTTGAAGGACTTTTAGTAATCCTCATTTTGTCTTGGGTGACAATATATATGGAGAAAGAATCTAAATCTCAATATCGTTTTGAATAAATATAATAAACCGTAATAAACCAGTACCAACGAAACAGAAGGGTTTCACCCAGCTGTATGTATGGTAGTGTTTTAAATTAATTGTGCACTAGTAGAATGCCTCTATTATACCGAGGCTATATGGCTGACACCAGCATAGTGACGTTGAACGAGACTTCTGAAGTTTTAGTAATCTGCTTTAGGCTTTTTCTCGTATCGTTAAATAAAATAATGCAATGGACCGATCAAGTCTATCCGTTTAAATGAAGTTTCTGGTTTTGATACAAAAGTCTCTTATTTTGATGTTATTCATGAACAAAACCGTTATAGATGTAAACGCAGTAAATAATAATTCTTCCAAAGTACAAAAGAAACTCGTCTTAATCTACAGTTTTCCGTTTAAATAAACGCAATGTTTGAAACCATTGTATTTTTATGTAATGTACAGTAGTGCTTGTATAATTCGTATCTTTAAAAACCATTATAACCTTATATCCTTTTCATATTTTTTTCCAGTCAAATTTGTGTTCTTTCTACATGAGAAACAATGATCGAAATACCGTTGCTTAATTATCGAATAGTTCCAATGATCATTAAGACCCAAAAGAACAACATATTTGACATATTAATTGCTTTTATACCCAAATTCCATAAACCACTTTCATTAAGCTTGACGAATTTCCCCTTTTCTAGGATTCTCGTTATTTTCATCTTCTTTTTCAGGTACATCGGTCTCGTCAGCTACTTTTTTAGATCGCCGTGGAGGTAACGGTGCTTGTTCAAATAATTCTTTATAAGACCCAGAGACGCGTGAATTTATTAGCCGTGCAGCAGACATGAATTCGCCTCGTATACGGTATAATCCGGAGCTACTGACGGTTCTTCCTACCTAGGCAAGAGTTAGTATATAATGACGGTTAGAGGACTTCATGGAAGCTTACATTATGAGTAGTTTCAAAAGGATCCTCGATAGCTAATATATAACGATCCTTGATTATTTGATCTGCTGACCCAGTATGTTCAGTCTAGATAAGTTAGAGAATGAAATATGAAACCTATATAACAGTTTTCTTACCGCCGATGTCCAGCCCTTCTCTTGTTTTGTTAGAACCCCGTCCTGCCGATTAAATGTAATTACGCGATCCCGTGGCTCAAACTTGTAGGCATAATAGCGAAAAAATCCATGCAACAAGCTTCCTAAAGTGCTAACATTACTAGAAGGAGGAAAGCGCTCAATATTTTCTTCAAAACCAACATCAAATCCTGACGGTTAGTGTCAATGATACTGTCATTTCCATACCCTCCACAATTTTCTCCCGTTTCGTGCGTGCTTGTTGTAGATTAGGAAAAACTGGTGGTTTAACAACATGCAGTAAATAGTAAAGTAGCATCAAAGCATAACCGTAACTGCTGTGTAAGTATATTGAAACAGAAAAATCAAACAGGTGTAAAGCAATTCCCTCAACGTACCTAGAAAGGGTTCCAAAATAAGGAGAGTTGATCCGCTTCTGTTTGGCCCAGTATTTTACTAGCAACATTAGGGGTCGAAACCTACTATCCAGTCGAGAATATGAAGATAGAAGTTTTGTATTGTGAATTGCCAACCGGTTATTGAAACCTATATCGCATTGAAAACCTGAACCAAATCTTTCCTTTTCGTCACCAATTAATTTAATGATGGGAATTCTAGCTTTTTGTAGAAATTTTCCCTCAAAGCCTTTAAAAACATAATTAGTACGTTGCTTCCACTTCAAACTTCATCCTTCAGAAACATTATACCATCCTTTCACTGGGATTTCCGAAGCAAATTCAATTACCTTCTTTTACAAGTTCCTCATAAAAAAGAGGAGCAAGCGGTTCGCTTGCTTCCAAAGATTCCGTAAGTACGCACAAATCCATATCTGAATGCTTCAAAGCAAATCCAGATTCTAAACTTCCAAAAGACGCTAGTACCGCATCTTCTTATGTTAGTTTTGACTAATTTTAATGTCTTTTGTTTCATTTCTACTACCATACCCGAGCATATTCGATGTAAATATTCGCTTAGTACTCTCATAGCCTCACGCTTATGCGCAATTTCCTCATCAGTAATCTTAATCTCATGGTAAACTTCCCAAAAGAACTTTGTTAATTCCTTGTATGAAGAATACGATTTTGATACATATGATTTTTTGGCTACATGAAGATTCGCAAGCTGGGACTCAATTTCCTCAACAGTATGGACACCTGGAACAAATCGTACAGGAGGAATGCTCATCCTAGTTCTATATACTAGTTTGCCTCTTAATTACAATGCTTCCAACTTCTTCCCAACGGTGCCTCAAAAAGGTGTTGTACTGGTGAAAATTGGCCTCTTCATTCGCTTCAGAAACTTCTTGTCACTTGTAAGGCAAGAAGTAACCGCTTGAAGGAAATTGGGCTAGCTACCTTAGTTTTATATGAAAAATAAATAAGATTCTAGAGAATATTATTTTCGTTTCTTTTTTCCTTCTTTATTTTGTTTGGCATACAGGTTCACCTGTTTAGTATTATCATATATGCGAAATATATAATACGATGTAAACAAAGACCATGATTCTTCAAGGACAAAGAAAGAAGAGTAACTGAGTAATATGACTATTTGATTTTATCTAACATAAATGAAACTATCAAAAATGTACCTTGCATACTAAAATAAAGGTACTTAGCGTCGCGTTGAAAACCTGGATTCTATGCAAATAAAGAAGTCCTAAATTGAATATGACACCATTACCGGTTGATTTATTTATTAAAGAAAGTTGAGGATTTCTTTAATTTGAGAAATAAGTTAAAATCAGTCTTCATTCGTTTGGTGAAATCCAAATTCAAATTCATTCCTATATTTTACTTCGTGAACCTCGATTTCTTTCTTACTTCTTTATTTTTAAAAATGTTTCTATTCTTTTTTGAATATAAATCGTATCTCTTTAATCCAAAGTTTAGGACGACATAAAAAATTCACCTAGGATACAATATACGTCTTCTCATATCAAGTTGAAAGTTTTCGTTTATAACAACTATTTGTGAATTTCTCTACAAAACATGGTTCCTTGGCAGGATGGGTTTTTTAAAAACATGTTTTACAAATTTATTATCTGCCTAGCGTTTATGCAAATTGCTTTAGCTACTCAAAAAATTCCAATTGTCTGTTCCATTACGAACGACAAAGGCACTCAATATTTTGACCATGGTTCAATCAATCTTCCTGAATTAACATTTGATATTGTGAAAAAAGAATTTGATCTGCAGGATTTTGAAGCTTCTTCCATTTTACGATGTGGCTATCGAAATGAAGATCCTGGCAATTGGTCTGCAGGAACCAGTTTCTACAAATTGGGGCAGTTGTTAGGATCCCATCATGCTTATAAGGATTGTTTCATATTACACACCTCGAAGAACGTAACTCCTGATTCGTTGAACGATGTTGTTCAGGTGGTCCATAGCTTCAAACCAATAGCCAAGAATTCAGTAGAAGGCTCCGAACCTGACATCCTATTAAAGTATCCCGAATCACCTGAACCTGTTCTAATTTCTCCTAAACAAAAATCCCAGGCACCTGGCTCTGCAAGTGCTAAAAATAGCAAGCGCCCTTTGCCCAAAAATGCACGGACAAAACGTAAGTCATCTGAGGTGAATGATGACACTCAAGACACCGAAGAAATACCAGAAGAAAAGACGTTTTTGCAACGTTTTGGTCTATATCTTATTCCTATTTTCTTCTTACTTTTAGTTGGAAGATCCGGAGGATCGCAATCTTCTACTACTAGCAACAGATAAAACTCTCCTTGCTTGATGTTTGAACCAAAACAGAATTTATGAATTCTTTTATTCGTAAAAATTAAAAACAGTCTATTTTTATGCATAATCTTTTGCTTTTATGAACAGCAATCTCTATATATAAATAATAATAATATTCTCGTTCTTCGTCGTACACAATAAATAATGATGATTATAACAATGACAATGACAGGAATGAAAATATAAATAAAATGAATCATAACAAGGACATGATGAAGCTCGAACTTTTAAGAGAACAATTCCACTGAATGCAAAGAAATTTTCTTTTAAAAGGGGCATATAAAGTCGAGCTGACATACTTCTTTTTTGTTTTTTTTTTTTCCTCTTAAAAAAAAATAAATAAAAAAATAAATACCATAATGCAAAGAGTTATTAGGCTGTCCCTTCATTATGGCACATTCCACTATTCAGCGAAGGGTCCGATATATAACTAGCAACTGAATATAAAAACCGAAACTGATTAAATGTCTGAACCATTTTCATGCGATGACATCGTAAAGTATTAACTACTTGAAATACGAGATCTTGTGAATCCTCCAAATTGGCAACCTTTGGCAACATACTCGGAGGTATGTCAACCAGCTGAGCAAGCGCAATGTACGTACCGGTACGTCCAACACCGGCTGAACAATGTACAAAAACAGGGCCAGTATTTCGAACTTTGTTAATGTATTTTACAGCATCAATTACCTTGGGTAAAGTACCGGGGCATTCCCCGTCGGTCCAGGTACGGAACCAATAATGCCGGACAACTTTGACTTCAGAGGAATTTCGAAGACAAAAAGTACGACATTCTAGACGATAGTCATCTAGTGTTACTTTTTCCAATAACTCCACACTCATTGTTGGCGTAAGCTGCATCAGCGAATGCATATCATCAGGAAAATACAGCACGCATTTTTCATTTCCTGCCTCAAACAAGTCTGTTAGCATCACAATGACCCCATCAGAACCTGTGTTATGCCAAATCATTTCCCAAAAGTCTACTAGGGTATCGAGCTGTGGTGCCTGACTAGCTATGTAATGGGCGGCATCAAAAACTATATGTGAAGCATTAATGTAATTATGGTTTTCATCCTTGTGAGGTAAAAGGACGCGGGTCCTATCATAAGGTACGATATCTGTGTAGCGGTTTTTAGAGTTCAAGCGGAAACTCTTGCTAGATGCTAGACAAGACCAATCTGATCCTGCATCATTGGATAGTATACGTCTCTTTTGCTCAAGTTCTTCTAGACGACTGAACTTGTAGAAGATTGAAGCTGTATTCAAGTCAGCCATCATCTCCGCTGGAGGAGGCGTTGCTTGTTTAAAAGATCCCCAAGGATTAGGAAAAGTATTTTTATTTCCCACCGTAGAGAAGGCCCCCTCAAAATCCCTTCCAAAGGATGGTTTATTTTTCCTTCGTAAACTACCAGATTTTTTTGGCAACAGTTTCTTGCTGGATCTTGGATTATTTTCGGAGAAATCTTTAGATTGGATCTTTACCGAATTTGCAATTTTTTCAAGGTTAGCATTTGTAGAGTTCTTTCTAGATATCTGTGGATGACCAGGTGTATGTTGGGGTGAAGCGAGACCGCTGTAAGAAGAAGAAGAAGAACTCCGGGAACGTAACAAGGAAGGCCTCCTTCTGGGACTAGATGGAAATGAAAACAACGAACGCAATGCCGGTCTAGAGGAAGGAGACTTTAGAGGTATGGAAGAAGATAAAGGGTTAGGTTTTTTTTCAACCGGAGTCATTGGATCAGGACAGTTATGGGATAGAGAAGGAGATATCGGTACAAAGGGAACATCGTTCACAGTAGGGGCCATCGAGTTCATGGTAGAAGTCAGCTGGGGTGTCTGAGGTTTTTCGGTGTGAGGAGGTTTAGGAGAGAGAGATGTAGGACTAGCAAAGTACTCTAGTTGGTTTGAACATTCGCTAAATGCACTCGAAGTAACGGAAGGAGAAAATACAGGGGTAGGAATTTTTATAGGGACACGTAGGGGAAAGCTATAGTCCGGCGAGAGTGTCGTAGATGCAGGAGTCGGATCAAGGAGTTCTAGAAAGTTATTTTGCTTTGGAAGAACGGCGTCAAACATACAAAAATCGATAGACTGAGAAGGATTGTCATAGTCTACCATGTCTGGATGAGATTTAGCAAACTCCTCGAAACCTGTAGACAAAACATAAATACTATTGGAATATCCACCACGACGGAATTTTCTAATAAAATCATGAATACGATTCAAACCAGCAATTGCTGCATCGTATATAAACAGGCTAGACAAGTCATCCAAGTCTGTGATCTTGATAATCCCATTTAGACATGCGAACGCTTTACCAATGTCAAAGGAAGGGCGGCGAAGCAAAGCACTTGGTAAGGAAACATTTATTGCATTTTTTACGTGGCCACGAGTATAATTAGACCGAAGTCGAAGATCGAAAATATGTACAGATTTTGTAGGGTCACTATTATTGGCAAAGTCCAGCGCTTGAAAAAATTCTTGACTTGAAAGTATACGAAGCATGCTTAAAAACACTTCTTCTCACATGTCAAAAAGGTCAAACCCCCTCCAAAGTTATTTTGTGCTTTTTCAAAGCAAGCCAACTCCAAAGAGACGAGGCGTAATTTTTATGGTAATTTAGTGCTTCCCAAGAACAAACAGAAGCTTTCAAGCTTCTACCAGCTTAAAATTGGCTAGCAACCAAAGATGGTGAGACGCGTTTTAGACGGATGTTTGAACAAATCGCGAGAAACCTGGCAAACCGCAATGTACGCTTTCAGAAATCAGTAAGCACTTGTAAACAGAAACTTTATAAAGAAATAGATATATTCAAGGTTTAACTAGCATTTATATATCATCCAAAGTTCAACGCGTACTGCAATTCTCGTATGGAGGAAAACGCTTGATATTAGTAGAGATTTGTGATTTACATGAGGAAGTGTATATAATATATACCGGGTGACGTCAAGGATAATCTCTCGGCAAAGTTTAAGCGCCAACCATAAATAAAAAATTATGTAATGTACGGACGACATTGCGATGTAAACAAAGGGCGTCTTTGAAAAGAAAACACTTTAAAAGTTCATAATTATTAACTTATAATAAAGCATTTACATTATATTTTTTATTTTTAAAATGAAACAAAAAGCCAAACAAATCAATTTTTTCTTTTTGAACTTGTTATGAAAAGCCATGATGTCATTTTTTTTCTAGAAGAATATAGTTGTGGGAACGTATTAACGTTGTTAAGCCTATTACCGACACGACGGGCTGGGGTAAGGTTACCATGTGTAAAAATAGAAACCGGGACAAAAAAACTGAAGATCGGAAAAAGAACAAAGAATAAAACAAAAAGGAATTTTCTTTTTGTCGTCCTTTTTAATAGAAATGAAAAGAAAACTTTGGAATGAAATGTTTCATAGTTTACAGGTCTTTGAATAGCGAACGGATTTAGTATGTGGGGATAAATAAACGTAAACAATAGCAATGTTGTCCACTATAGGGACAGCATATAAATGAAATGAGATATATGTCTGCATCCAGTATGCTTAATCAATGAATGTTTAAACAATGGATTACATAGAGCTGGTGCTGGGAATAGACGTATGTTAGTCTCTTACACCATACCATAGTTTGTAGGTACATCAGCGGTCAACAAGGATGGGAAGGAGGAGCTTGTATTGCATAGATGAAACGAAAACGTACGGATTTGTCACTAGAAAAAAGAAAGAAACAAACAAAAACAAGCCTTTCATAAGCGGTTTGTGCATTTTTTTTGCTTGTTTTGCTTTTTATATCATGGCTCACTTGTGAGTTCATAGCTTGGGAAACGGAAATGAGCAGCGGGTAGGATCCTTTCAGAAGAAAGCATTCGAGAGAGAATAAAGAAATAAACATTTCAAGAGCTGGTGTATTTAGGATGGCAGGTAGAAAGTGTATATACGTCTTCGTATATGTATATGTATGCGCATGTGCATATGTGTCTCTGTATGATTTTGATTGACCCAAGTAAAATGTCAAAGAGTAAAGGTTTAAGATTAAGTATAGGTGTGGTTTAGTTTCGAAAAAAGAGTCGTACTTAGTTTGAGATTTGAGTTTTCTTAGATTAACACATTTTCTTAATGAAGAAAAGTTCATTTCGTTTACTATACCTAACTCTGAATTCGTTTATATTGGTCATATGCACCTAGGAAATTGACTTTAGCCATAGACATTGTCAATAGTAAAAGATTATAATACAAAGTAGACCAGTAAATCAAGTTGGGGGTAGTAGAAATTGTTTACCAAAGATGGTTATAAAAAAAAAAACAAAAGATGAATCAACCTTTTGGAACATTCATTTACTTTTTCTCTTCAGTCTTATTAGATTGTAATTCTTGATGAATAGAAGGAAACGTTCTGAGCTTTGCATTGCAATCAGCATACGCTTTACCAAGACCAAAGCCCAAGCCTCCCCAAACAGGCCATGCAGCACCTAAACATGGAAATGGTTACTATGGGAAACAGAAAAAGAAGAAAAAAAGAATTTTCCAAACTTACGACGAAACATTATGGCAGAACTGATAATTCCGATGCCAAGACCTACTGTAGATTGAACAAACATGTTGGAAAGGCATACATCCCACTACAAAAAGTTAGTACAACATCCATCAAAATAAAGAATCCATTCTACGGATATAGATCAAATCGATTACTAAAATTCAATCACCCACCTTGTAATTGAGACTTTGTTCACTGGAAACGGGTTTCGACATTTTAATAGAAAGAAGGTGTCAGAATAAGCCTGGAAAAGGAAAAGATAAAAAAGTTTAAAGAAACAAGAAGAAATCAGAAAAAACAATGAAATTACACCTAAACTATGAGTGAAAGGGGAGAAGTGGTTTTTTATGGTGGAAGTCTATCTCATCTAACGTATCCACTCTTTACATGGGAGTTTGGAAGGTAACAAACAGCTGTTACTTAGTATAGTACTTTAGAAAACTAAAGGCTATACCAAAAATCATCACAGCTTGTTCAATCTATTCTGCATTGGGGGCATGCGAAGAGAGAAGCAGAGCGTAAGAAAATTGGCACAAAGATTCTTCTATTTTGCTTTTGTATTAAAAAATAAGTAGGAATCATGGTTTACTGAAATGCTCAAGAAAGGAGAGGTGTACACGAAAGTCTAGTACAATATTCTGTTTAAATGAGTGTCTAAACAATTAAATATATATGAAGCATTTACCAACTGAAATGAAATCGCAATATCTGCAAAACAGCATAAAAGTGATATGAAATGAACAAAAAGAAAAACAATTGATCGATTTGGGAATTATACGCACACAAGTGAAAACGAATTAGAGCGATCCCAGAAAAGAGATGTAGAATCCCTAACATCCAGAATAACTAACCGCGTGCAAAAGTCAGGAACTTGGAACTTTTTTCCAAAAGAAAGATAAAATAATAAAATAATGAAAACCAAGGCGGATAACAAAAAGAGAAAATTTAAATAGAAAATCACAGTATATAATATTACCACAGTATAACCAACGGATAGAATCACAGTTCCTCAATCCAGACGCAGGATCATAAATAATAAGATGTATGTATGTCAGATCCGACACAATCATCTCGGGTAACGTTTCTATAAGGAGGACGACAAAAAGGTAATGGGAGGTTGTACGATACATTCGCTTGCATCAATTTCATCGCGAATGAGAGAGGAAACATTTAATTCTAGTATATAGGCACCTTCTTTGTATTTTTCTGATGGTTTATAAGCGAATACGTACTTCCAACCAACATTTGCATGGCATCGGCAGCAATGCACACGGCGGACGATATATTTCCCAGATAGCATTTCCTCAGTGACTGACTGCATTTCAATCACATTTTCTATTTTCTTAATGAGAGCTGCACGACCATAGCGACCCGTATAGTCCCGACTGATTAAATGGCCTTTGAATGCAAGGTGAGTTTTGCAATGAATGCAAATATAATATTGACTCGTAAGTCGTAGAGGGTAATGACGGCCCATGAAATATGGTAATAAAAAAGAAATGCAAAACAGTTGAAGAAACTAGCTCCAAATGGCAAAGAGAATCAAGGGAAACCTTCGGTGGCGAAGTAATAGATGCAAATTTTCTTGATTCCAAAAATTTACTTGCGAAATACACGAAAACTATTCGAGGCACACGCTAATTTTCAATAGAATGAGATAAAATGATTGAAGAAAATAATCTTCAGCCAAAGAAACGATCCTCAATCTTGTTAACCAATGTGTACAAGAACAGTATTCGAAAAGAGGGAAAAAGCCCTAAATAGTTTCAGCAATTTTCAATGCAGTAAGAGCTCAGATCAACGTGCTAGTAAACGGTTCGTTTGTAGCTACAAAAGTGAAAACGCAATGGCAGTTTCAAATTGTGAGTAAATATATATGGGTCAAATTCGTAAGAGAAATCACAGAATATGAAAACTAAAAAGAAAAATCAGTAATGAAAATGTAATTTAATGAAGAATTCACGCCTAAAATTGAAGAATCCCTGCACAATGGCTAAAGAAAGCCTTTTGTTAGTGGGATGAATAGTGTATGTCGGATTATATAAAAGAAATTTTCTATACGACTGAAAGCTGACTCTAGTCCGGTACATGTACTTTTACCGTAGCGCTATTTTGGGGTTTGTTTCGGTGAATAATAAAATCTTATGGAATCGGGCGATACATGACACAAAATTATTTAATCGCACTGTAATGAATGTGTCTGGATAAATCGATTAATTTGACGTCCTACTCTAACTAAAAGGAAAATCTGAAAATGAATATATGACAAATCTTGCATACAGATGTAGAGATTCTCATATTGTACAACTCTTGTGAAATATAAATACATACCCTTGTGTAAATGTGTGAATTTGTTATTTCTGTCTGAAAATTGGAATAAATACGAAAACTACTCTGTTCTTTTTTGAATTTCTAAAAGTTTCTGATTTAGCTTTTCCAAGTTTATTTTCTTTTCTTTCTTATTATTAGCAGCAGATTCCCTGTCTCTCATGTATGCACAGGTATACATCAAAGTGAAAGAGGTTTCGAAAGGTACAAGGTAATACTTTCTTTTATTAAAAAAGGAGAAAAAAAAGGCTCTACTTTTCTTTGACCTTTCATCCAAATTGCTTGCTGAATCGTGTATACAAAACCAACTCATTCCTTCGTGTATGGTAGTATTCTATCTATGTAAAAGGTGCCCGAAAGGATTTGAGTACATTTTTTTTCGTATTCAAGTTTGAATAAAATTTTTAAATTGGTTTTGGACTTTTCAAGGATACTTTGAAGCATTTCCTCTCTTCATTCTAAATGTCGCCTTTTCACATTGTTTATTTACATTACATCATGCTTTAAATTTCTGAAACACAGACTAAAAAAATGTACGTATAGGAAAAGAAAAGCTTTTTTTTATTGAAATTTTTTAAAATAGGTTTGTTCTTTTGCGGTTCTTTTCGAGTAGGATAGAAACTCAAAAGGTCTATACAGAGCTCCAAACGAGTCCACCTCATAAACATCGACAGATTTAAATCCATCTTCAAACGAAAATTTTTTATTTATGTCAAAAACTTATGAATAATCTTTTTAGCTGTGTCTTATACCTACTGTATTTCTATAAAATTCACCTCACCTGAATATTGTATTAAACAGTTAACGCAATATTACGACGTAGTGCCTCCTTTCGACGAAGGTATTTCATGTTCATTCAACCTTTCCCCAAAACGAATTTATTCGTTTAGTTGTATCGGAGCGGTAAGTGCCATCTGCATCCTCTTCTTCTTTTGCCTCTCCATTCTTTTCCGAAATCTTGAATTCTCTTGAGTGTGTCGCTATGCTCTAGGAGCTTGTACAGTATATATCTAAAAGAATTGGACAAGTATACTTCAGTTCTCTTTTAACCCTTTCGTTTTCCGCAGAAAATTCTATTTGCAATCGTTCTTGGTTTCCTTTTTATAGGCAAATAATTTTCTGGTTTTCTTGTCATGCATAGTATCCTAAAAGTGATTGTTTACTAGATTGGTTCGGCTTAGTCCTGGTTGTATTAAAAAATTGACTTTCATACATAAATGATTTGTATTCGTTTTGTTTAATGACTATAGAATTGGCTTACAATGGATAACTTATCTGGAAAGCCACCTTCCTCACCTATAAACCCTCTTTCTGAATCCGCTAATTGTCCTCCTTTTCCTCAGAGTCGGAAATCGAAAAAGAAGAATGCTTTTCAGTCTGCGTTTCATCGTTCAAAAGGTAAGCGTCCTCCAAGACTTACCGTTACCTCTGAAATGTCTGATGGTTCTCTAAACTCACCCTCCCTATCCTCTCCAGGTTACGCCTTAGACTCATCCTCGGAATCGGAGCACCGTTCAGATTTCAGCACATCTAAAAACATCTCAAATCGTGTTTCTAGTGCGTTAAAGTTGTCGATTCCTAAACGCTGGAAGCGCTCCTCAAAACCAAATTCTCCTCAATCTGCTTCAGCCCATTTACCTACAGGGCTTCATCAACAACAGCGTCACCGAGCTAAAACATACTCACCTGAAAGAAAGAGTTTGTCCTTAAATCACTCTTCGTCTTTTCCGACTCAGCCATCATCTAACAACGAGACACCTGCTCCCGTTACCGATCTATCAAACATTTCACAACGTAGCACTCTAGATGAACTGGCTGTTTCTACTCTCTCTATCCTTCCATTGCAAACTTCGAAAACATCTTTCTTTGTAGGATCACCTTCCCGTTCCTCCACGGAGTCAAATGGCTCATACATATTTCGCACCAAATCTTCAAATTCATTTTCTTCTAGTTTGAGTATCCCCAGCCAGACGTCCAATCGGTCGGCAAATTTTGATGAACATGGACCGTCTTCATTACCGGAACCCAGTAAATCAAGTCTATCTGATTACTCTTTACTGCCTATTGAACATGGGGAGACTCCTGCCGCTTTCTTAGAGCGGCTGCAAGCTTTTGTTCCTGCACGATTTATACCTGGACTTCTTTCACAGTCCAACCTCTCGTCTATGAAAATAGCTTTGCGAAGGTATTTGTCTGACCTGCCTTTAAAAGAAATAGCACTTGACATGGCTCTTAGGAAGTTTCTTGCTCTTTTCGTTCTTCCTCAAGAAACCCAGCAAATCGATAGAGTCTTGAGTTCTTTTTCAGATCAATATTACCATTGCAACCCGTCGTTTTATGAGTCCTCCGATGAGTGTTATATTTTAACTTTCTCGTTGATGATTCTTCATACAGATTTTTACAACATAAATAATCGTCAAAAGATGACAAAAAGCGAATTTATTGCGAACACAAATTTACCAAATATTATGCCTGAAATTTTAGAATGCTTTTATGATAATATTACTTACACTCCGTTTGTTCATGTTGAAGAAGATCCTAATTCGTTAAGCTCTCCTGCTGGTGAAAGAAGCAGTTTCTCTCAACGTTTTGGTGACTCTCAATTTCGCTTTTCCAAGAGAAACCCACTTGCAACCGAAAGCCACTTTGTGGGAATCGAGCAACAGCTTACCGGATTTCGTCTTAATTTACAGTCTATCCTTAGTTATGATCAACTTGATGGCATTCCAGTTGCCGGTAGTTCGATATGTCCAAATGCCAGAGAACATTATAAACAGTTTATGAACGCCCCTTATATTCAAATTGTCTCCCATCGTTCTCAACCTCAAGCGTTTTCTTTTCATTTTGCTCCCGAAACAGAAAGCGAAAGCACTAATCCGGCCGTCGTGAACATAAAAGTTGTCAAGCTTGGCATAATAGTTCAAAATGAAAGGATGCGAAAGGACAAGACAGTTTCCGGAAGAGAAGTTGGCGTAGTTTTGACAAGTTCCAAGCTGATGTTTTTTAAGAATACTTCGTGGGTAGAAGGTTTAATTTCGCAGTTTCATGAATTTCAAAGCTCTACTAAATCTCCTCCTCATTATTTTACTCCTTCTCTGACATCTCTTGATCCGGATTATATAATACCACTTTCAAATTTGGTTGCTTTTCATGAGAAGAAAAATGACAATGACGGTAGTTATTCATTTATCATCAAACAGAAAAACACCTCGACCTACATGTTTTCTACTGGATCAGAGCATGAAATGAACGACTGGATATATAAAGTAAATTTCGTTAGCGCCTTCGCCACTTCTGGAATAGCTCCCAGAGAAAAGCTTTGTTGTGCAGATCAATCGGATACTAGCGTCAAAGCTTCGGTGAGCGTTCTCCCGGAAATTGAAGAAGACAAGGAGGCGATGACGAAGGTGTCCCATGAGACAGGATCTGAAATGTTAGAATGCTCAAGACTTCGGATTTTCATTGTTCAGAATAGAATCTGTAAACTAGAAGAACGCCTGCGAGAAGTGGAGTCCAAATTTATCAATGAGAAAGGAAACGTAGATAATTTGTTACGCATGGCGCCAATTCAAAGCCGTACGCGGGTCCGACTCGTTCGCGCCGCAAATAATCTGCGGAAGGTCTTGCGAATGCATATAATTGAAATTTGCAAATTAAAATCTAGCATTAAAATTTTGAAGGAGGATCTAGAGCTGGACAATCATTTACAAAAATATCTTCATTCGGTTTTTCCTCCTCCAGCAAGCAAAGAAAGTTCGTCTAGTGTACTGTACCCTTTAGGATATGCCGGTGGTCGGACACTATCAAATGCTTCCAAACGAAGAAATCAGTTAAGACTTGGAAACAATTCGGAGTTGCAGAACTTACGAGCGAAATCGTCTGAATTAGAAGTGCCAAATGCTGATGTTCAAGACAGGGTCGAAGATCCAGGTAGTCCAAAAGTTAAGCAAGATATAGTCACGTGCAACGGTCAACGGTTGAGCGTTGTGGAGGTCCCTGATGATTTTGTTCCTGAAAATCTTGCTCAAGAAACCGTTCAGCCTGGAAGTTAATTTATGTGAACAATATGTAGACAACGGATTCATAGTAAAAAAACGAAGGCTCATAATGATTTTATTTAATAGAAAATTTTAAATGAAGGTGCAACATAATTCTTTCATTTATTCTACATACTAATTTGAATAATCGTAACTTCGAATGTTAAGCCCTCAATCGTAGGATATATTGCATGTTTCCAATATCAACTTGAAGACCACGATATTTAGCACCTTGGACATATTTGAGCGAAGAAATAAAACAATGAATGAACAGGAGGAAAATTATATGAAAGAAGATCATTTGACAAAAGAAAATAGACCAGATCAAGACGACGACTCCATGGAGATTGAGAAAACTGAAGGATCAACAGCTCATAGAGATCAAAATGGAAAACAGCATTCGTTAGAAGGAAAAGAGCCTGTTGAGAACAAAAGAGGTAAAAGAATGTTTGGTGCTTTACTCGGAACTCTTGGTAAATTTCAAAAGGAAGCAGAACGTGAAAGGCAATCGCAGACGCGCTCAAGGCGCGCTGAATTAGAAGAAAAACTAGCCAAGCGTCAACAAGAAGAAAAAAAGGAGTTTGAATTACAAGAAGCAAAAGAAAGAGAACAAAGGGAAAAGGAATTGACTGAAGAAAGGAAGATTGTTATGGATGATATAGATTTGGACTTGGTATGCTAGACGTTCTATTCTACATTTGAATATTTGCAAGATGCTAACTCATGATTTAGAAGGATTTAAAACAAACATTAAGGAAGCAAGAATCTACGTTTTTGAAGACAGATACCGAACCTCACTTGTATTATAGACCTTATTATTTATTGCCTAGCCAAAAAGCATACTTGGATCAAGTCAAAGAAGAAAAGGATTAGTTCATTTTAAGGAGAACTTAATTTTGTGGATATATTTATTGAAATACTTGGCGTTTTTTCCTTGTGAAATATCGGTAATTGCAAGAAGAGAACCAAAACGTGCAAAGTGATTGAGGCTAAATAATTACATTACAGGATAGAAGACGGGAATAGTGTCTATTGACGATTCTTAATTTTGGTTCTGGAATTTCAATGTAGAAGAGTCTGTTAACAAGACAAACTGAATACCTTTTATACAGTTAATCACATATCGTGCTATAGGTGTACACCTTTTCTACAAGAAAACAAAATTTCAAATAATTCATGGATTCAACGTTAGTCATAATTGTTAAATTGTGCTACTTCTTGGTAATGGAGTGGTAAAACGATTATGTATCTGTTGAATGCAAAGACAAAACAGCGAACTGGCTTTTATACTTGCCGATTCTAGACGTGGGCTATGAATTACTTTTAAATATATATTAATTAACAAATGGGACACTACGTGCGGATTTCACTAGCATGTTTTTTTCTTTTTTTTGCTGAAATGTCATCTCAAGCTACTAATAAAAAATAAAAAAATGTTTTACATATTCAAAATTAATTTGTAGTTATTATTGTTTTTTTTATTGTTTCAATAAATTGGATTGAGTATACTTCTTTGTCTGAAATATGATTTCTGTGCTAGTACTGAACTTGACCTTTCCCCAAAAGTACAACCACTACCAAGTAAGTTAAAGGAGATTCAATTTTCCAAAAAGAAGCTTTTGAATTGTATTTTAACACAAATAGCTATCTTTTATAATAAATAATTAAAAATTTTATTAAATTGCAGTTGGTTTAATTTAAATATGGTTCGCGTTCCTTTGGCAACGGGAAAAATCTCTAAAGTTCTTCTAAACAGTCAGTTCCCTCGTGGCTTACGAACAGTTACCACAGCTGCAACTGCATCTAGTGTTGATCCCTCGATCGTCCCTGAAGAACGGGACAAACCCTTCCCTGTCCAGCTTAAGGATGGTGTCTTTGAAGGCTACAAGATTGACATTCCCTCTATGAACATGGAGGTTACCAGAAACGAATTAATGGATTTGTATGAAACTATGGTTACTATTCGTCGTCTTGAGCTTGCCTGCGATGGTCTTTACAAAGCAAAAAAAATTCGTGGTTTCTGCCATCTTAGTGTCGGCCAAGAGGCTGTAGCCGGTGGTATGGAGAGTGCTATTACTCCTGAAGATAGTATTATCACTTCTTACAGATGTCACGGATTTGCCTATACTCGTGGATTGGCACCCCGTGCCATTATTGGTGAATTGATGGGACGTGTATGCGGTGCTTCCAAGGGTAAAGGTGGTTCTATGCACATCTTTGCTCCCAATTTCTATGGTGGTAACGGTATTGTTGGTGCTCAGGTTCCTTTGGGAGCTGGTATTGGATTTGCTCAAAAGTACTTGAACAAGCCCAACGTTACATTTGCCCTTTATGGTGATGGTGCTGCAAACCAAGGTCAAGCGTTCGAAGCTTTTAACATGGCTAAGCTTTGGGGTCTTCCTGTTGTGTTTACTTGTGAAAACAACAAGTATGGTATGGGTACTAGTGCTGAACGCTCTTCTGCCATGACTGAATATTACAAGCGTGGTCAATACATTCCTGGTCTCCGTGTTAACGGAATGGATGCTTTAGCTGTTAAGCAAGCTTGCAAGTTCGCCAAGGAGTACACTGTTCAAAACAGCCAACCTTTGATGATGGAGTTTGTCACTTATCGTTATGGTGGTCACTCCATGTCTGACCCCGGTACCACTTACCGTACCCGTGACGAAGTTCAACAAATGCGTGCTGCCAAGGATCCTATTGAGGGCCTTAAGCGTCAACTTATGGAATGGGGTGTTGCCAATGCTAATGAATTGAAGAACATTGAAAAGAAAGTTCGTTCTTTCATTGATGCTGAAGTTAAGATTGCTGAGGAAAGCCCCTTCCCTGAACCTACCCATGAGAATTTGTATTCTGACATCTTTGTTAAGGGAACTGAGGACAAGAATGCTCGTGGCCGTAACACTTTGGAGTGGAAGAATTAGGAAAATCTTATGCTTATGGAAGTCTTGTAGAAGCAAATCTGATCTTTGTGAATTACATTAACTTGGCCTTTCGACATTTGGAAATCGTACAGTATCCGGTTTAATACGGTTTTTCTACTCATTGCGAAAACAAAAGAAGGCCTATTTGTAATGGTATCAAACGATTTACTGATAAGTTTGGCAGAATTGACATTGGTTTACTGTTCAAATGGATAGCCTCGTTCTTGTTATATGAAAAGAAGGTATAATTTCTAGGATAGTACGATAATTTTAGCTTTTATGATATAATAATTTCATAGAGTAACTAAAACTGAACCGGTAGCTAAATTTATTAGTTTTATTACTGTATTATTCATAGCAAGAGGAGAGGTAAAGCTGTCGTAACATACTCATATAAGTCTAGTCATAACGGAATTGAATGATAGATTTTCCATGCTGTTCAATAGCATCCAAAAATGTGTCGTAGAAAGACTTTCCATCGGCGGATTCGGGAATGTCGATGAGCTTTGTGTTTGCGGAGCGCAAAACACCTTCCCTGATGAGTTCTTGGATTTCAAGGACAAGGGCTTCATATTCCTTTGGATTTTCGGATTTCCATTTGGTTACCCAGAAACCGTGGAAATGAATGTTCTTGAAGATGAGCAAGGAAACGGGAACAGCAAGAGGCTGGCGTGACATACCTCCGTAGGTTGCCATAGTAGCTCCTTCACTCATGTACTTGGCCATTTCCGTAGCGACTCGACCGCTTATGCAGTCGATACCTAGCTTGACTTTATTACCTTGAGTCCACTTTGGAACGTTTTCCTTCATCCAAGCACGATTCATGAGTTCTTCGTCGGTGATTACGACATTAGCGCCCATGGAATACAGCTGTTGCTTGAGCTGGTCGACGTCGGGACGATTACGGATGACGTTAATACTGTTAAAACCAAAGTGCTTTGCAAGTTGGATGGCAGCAAGGCCTACCATACTATTGGCACCATCCTGGATGAACCAATCGCCCTTTTCCATGGGAACAATTTTCTTCAAGAGGCAATAAGCAGTACAAGGATTGACGGTAAGTGTAGCGGCTTCAACGATGCTAGGGAAAGCAGATTTATCCAAAGCGATGAGTTGATTGGGAGCCAAGTTGTTGCGGGTTCTCCAGGTACCCAAGTTTGTCGAAGCCATAACGGCCCATTGTCCAGGGGAATAGAGCTTTTCCAAGTTTTTACCGACGCCGGTGATTTCAAGTAGACCTTCGTTGCCGGCCACAGCTGAGGGTTTGGAGGGAGAGACATCGTGGGTGAAAGGAGGTCGAGAAGGATATACACCTTGAATTTGGTTGATATCGGATGGATTGATTGGGGAGGCTAAGTAGCGAACAGAGACTTCATTGTCAGAGTGTTGGGGAAGGGGATAACTAGCAGTACGGAGGACATCGCGAGGGTTTCCGAATTCAGAGAAAACCATGGCCTTGGCTAAGGTTTTGGAAGAGTTGCTTGTCATACTGGAAAATTGGCGAAATGCTTTAACTGTTTGCATTCTAAAAAGCTGCAAGGGAGGGAGAATCTAGTTTATAAACGATATGAGAAAATAGACCGTCACTACCGAGGATTGTTTTGGAAAAATGCGCTTATGTAAGAGTTTGTTAAATTGTAAAATGCTGACCAATCCAAAAGTAGAAACACAGCGAAGATTGCAGAAAGAGGAATTTGTTGTAAACGGACAGAGTGTGAGTACAGAGAGTAGAGAGTAAAGTAAGAGAGTGTGTAAAAGTGAAATGAGAATGGAAAACAAAACTTGGATTCGACAAGAATGATTTATTCGAGGATGGAAAAAAAATAAAAAATAAAAATAAAAACAAAAACAAAAATTGTACAAGCACTGGTACAATGAAAAGAAAAAAAACTGGATGACTTGGTTATGAGATAAAATGTCTATATGACGATGACGATGACGACGACGACGACGGAAGTGATCTATTTCATTATATCCTTTTGTTGTTCGTTAATGGAATATAATACAATTTCTTGTATAATATTGTTCTTAAAACCAAGAGCCTTCCTACTCCTTTACAGACATCCCCACATGGGACGCAAGTGGGATGGAAAGACCACCACTTGGTGCAGTGTGGGATCGTTCCTAAGGGAAAGACACTTTCTTTGGAGTAGCGCTAACGTTCGTTGTAAGATGATAGTCTATTATGTTGCAGGTCGTTGAGAGGGAAAACGCAATGCAGCGCAATATCAGTACAAGACTAGTGCATAGAAAGAAAGAAAGAAAGAAGCTTTTGCAGACTCAAGTAAATAATAGTTTTTCCTTTTTCTGTTTCATTCTTTTTTTAAATTTTGTAAACGAGTGAGATTCCAAGAAAGACAGTTTGTTTATTTTTTTTGGTATGTTTTGGCGTCGCAAATCTAGAACCAATAACAAGCCATTTCTGGTCCCACGTCTCCTGAAAGTAACGGTAATCGTGAAACAACCGTCCAATCAAAGATACCGGAAGAAAAGGAAGGGTTGCAAATCACGCTACCCGGAGATGGGAGGCTAAAAAAGCGATCCAATCATTGAAGAGAAGTGTAGATCCGGAAAAAAAGGATCGACAAGGTAAACAAAGCCGAGTCGGCGATTCGTTTAGCAAGATTGGATCAACAAGCATCTGTATGAAACATTGGATTTCATGAAGAAAATCCTGTAATTCAAGAAGAAAAACCACAGAAAATGAAACAAGAAACTCTTTATTGTTTTTTTATCTATCAGTCATTGGTTTTGAGGTGGTTTTCGATCATTTGGAGCTTTTTGCTTGTTTTTTCTTTTCTTTCTTTTTTTTTATCTGATCATAGATTGTCTTGGCTCGGATGCGGTCATGTTCACACCACAGGGAAACGAGTTGTTGCGAAAGGCAATGAGGCGGGGCGGTTACGCCATGATGGTAAAAAGGAGAAATGTAAAGTGACCGACCCTTCCCTTCGATCATTAAGAAATAATCCGAAAAAAAAATGTTCCGAGGGTTTCTATGGGCATGGATATATAAAGGCCTGTCCCCGGGCGATAATTTTCCACCATCAACCATACATTTTTTTTTGGTCGTAAAGAATAGAAAAAATGTCTTCTGAAGCTGCTGAAAACGTCCTCGTCCTCGTCCGTCACGGTGAATCCGAATGGAACAAGTTGAACTTGTTCACTGGCTGGAAGGACCCTGCCTTGTCTGAAACTGGTCAAAAGGAAGCCAAGCTCGGTGGTGAACGCTTGAAGAGCCGTGGTTTCAAGTTTGACATTGCTTTCACTTCTTCTCTTCAACGTGCTCAAAAGACCTGTGAAATTGTCCTCAACGAAGTTGGTCAACCCAACTTGGAAACCATCAAGGATGAGAAGCTCAACGAGCGTTACTACGGTGACCTCCAAGGTTTGAACAAGGACGAAGCCCGTCAAAAGTGGGGTGATGAGCAAGTTCACATCTGGCGCCGTTCTTACGACATCGCTCCCCCTAACGGTGAATCTTTGAAGAACACCGCTGAGCGTGTCTTGCCTTACTACAAGTCTACTGTCTTGCCCCATGTTACCAAGGGTGAGAAGGTTTTCATTGCCGCCCACGGTAACTCTCTCCGTGCCTTGATCATGGACTTGGAAGGTCTCTCTGGTGACGAGATCGTCAAGCGCGAACTTGCTACTGGTGTCCCCATTGTCTACCGCTTGGACAAGAATGGTAAATACATCTCCAAGGAATTGATTGACAACTAAATGCCGTCACGTTTTTTTTGTTGATAGTAAATTAAATTAAATGTAATAATTTGTGAATGATTGATTTATCCATGATGTTTTTGTGAATTAGAAATGGTAATAATTTTTGTTTGTTTTGTGGAATATAAAGAATACAAACGAGGATAAACGAGGTTTTGGTGACCTGTAAGAAATTGTTAAAGTAACATTGTCATTTTTCTTTAGAATGACGTTTGTAAAAGATTTTTTATTGTGAGCAAATATGGGAATAGTAGGATAAGTGTTTCGTTTTTTTTGTTTTTTTTTTTCGCTCGATTTTTCTCTTTCTTTCTTGTTGTAGGGTTCCTTATCGTTTTCGCTTGGGTTGTTGTTTCGACGAGAAAATGGAATTCACTTTCACTTGATGGAACGAGGTCTCTTTTTCTTTGCTAAAGAGTAGCAGAGATTTACTTTTATTTGACGTTTAAAAGATGCAAGCGACCCTTTCTTTCTCGCGCGATTAATCGTCTTGTTACGATGCTGCTAGCACAGCGACAGAGAAGGAAAGAGAAAATTCGCGCGAAAAAAAAAAAAGAAGAAAGAAAAGAAAAAAATGAGCGACAAAAACCAAACAGCTTGGTGGACTCTGTCGCTTCAAGACCCAACTCCAGCTCCAACTCCTTCACTGGATTTCCATTTTTTACCATCGTCTCCTGATTACAAAAGTTCCTTTCAATTCCTTCTGTTTCGGTTGTCCCCAAAAAGTAACTAATTCGACGTCATACTTGCGTTGGATTGCGTTTCCTTCAAGTTATATATATGGGGACGTTCAGCTACTTAACTTTTACCACACAGTAATAACTACGGACTGAAAGAGAATCGTAGAAACATCTAATTTATATCTTTTTTTGTTTTATATAGGAAATGTCTGTTGAAGAATACACCAAGAACGCCAGAGAGGCTACTTTCACTTTGCAAAACGGTGACAAGATTCCCGCTCTTGGTTTGGGTACTTGGCAATCCCAACCCAACCAAACTAAAGAAGCCGTCAAGACCGCCTTGCAATACGGCTACCGTCACATTGATGCCGCTCACATTTACGGAAACGAAAATGAAGTCGGTGATGGTATCAAGGAAAGTGGTGTCCCCCGTAAGGACATCTGGGTTACTTCCAAGTTGTGGTGCAATGCTCATACGCCCGAATCCATTCCCAAGGCTTTGGATAACAGCTTGAAGGAATTGAAGCTTGATTACCTTGATGCTTACCTTATCCATTGGCCTCTTGCTTTCAAGACCGGTGCTGAAAAGTTCCCCAAGGACGGTGACAACATCATCTTTGAAAATGTCACCATCGAAGAAACTTGGAAGGGTATGGAGCAATTGTTGGAAACTGGTAAGGTAAGACACATTGGTATCTCCAACTTCAACGAAGCCAACTTGGAACGCATTTTGAAGGTTGCCAAGGTTAAGCCCTCTATCCACCAAATGGAACTTCACCCCTTCTTGCCCCAAACCGATTTTGTCGAAAAGCACAAGAAGCTTGGTATCCATGTTACTGCTTACTCTCCATTTGGTAACCAAAACACCATTTATGGAACTGACATTCCCAAGCTCATTGACCACAAGAACATTAAGGAAGTCGCTGCATCCAAGGCTACCGGTACCAGCGGTGCCAACGTTGTTGTCTCATGGGCCATTGAGCGTGGTACCTCTGTCATTCCCAAGTCTGTCAACGTAAACCGCATCAAGAATAACTTCCAATTCATTCCTCTTAGCCCCAAGGAGATGGATGAAATTAACTCTATTGATATCCGTCAACGCTTTAACAAGAGTTTCCCTGGTACCAAGGTCTTTACCGGTTTGGAAGATGGTAACAAGTAAAACAATTTGATGACACATTTTTTATGAATCAGTCGCAATGAATGATATGAATTCTTTCTCTTTTCTTATCTCTTTTTATTATACAGGTAAGGTGCATATAATATATACATATCTAAGTAATTTTTTTTTTTTTTTTTTTTTTTTTTTGGTTGATGTAGCAAGAGGAAATCAAACACCACTTGATCTGTCATAACAAGAGCAACAGCAACTTGGATGTAATCCACAATCACAACCGTATATGTGCAGGTGTATGTTGGTGAGGTTTGTTCGTTCTTAAAATTGCTTTACTAGGTCTATTCGTCGCTTCTCTGAAAGAGGTGATTTAACAAGATGTGCAGCGTAGTACACGACCATATGTTTCCTAATTATGAAAATTCCATTCATTTATTTGTATACACATTTTTACCTACACATATATCCAACAAAAACGAAAGCAAAACATACTACCACCTTTCCAATTAGCCAAAACAAAGGGAAAAGTAAAAGGCGAAAAAGAGAAAAAAGGCTTCACTAAACACACCTTTTCATTTACAACTTTTCGTTCCAGACTCTGGGCTTCTTTTCTTCTCCGTTAATTCGCTTCACCAGCAATAACAAATCTTCCAAGTCATTGACAATTTCCTCAATCACTTGGCACTCAGCATAGTAATACAACACCCCTTCATTGCCATGCAGCCATAAAGCCGCTGACAACGCAGTTGGGCTGGATTCTTCAGAAACGTATGTTTCGTCTGGATTATCACTATTGTAGCCACTTTTAATTTGAATATCTTTCATAATAGCTTGTCGCAAATTCCAATGAGCGTTTCGCGAAGACGGTAAGAAATAGGGTACCGGTGATTTTACCATTATACTGTGAGATAGAATATACATTGTTAGCGAAATCGAAGCAATCAAACTTTTTCGATACCGAATGACATTCTCTACAACTTCTTGATAAAGATAAGGCCCAAATCGTGCTCTCACCTTGTTCAAAATCACCAAACGTCCAGTCATAACACTAAGTTTGTCAATTAATTGCCCAAAGAGTTTGCTTGGAAAAGGTCCTTTTAGTCGAAACTCCATATTTGTAAGCAATAAAAGATCAGTCGCTTTTGACAAATGAAACACAATTTGATTCTCCATATCATCGCACAAATTTGTGCTCGCATGATGAGTCGAACTCAGCATATATTCCGACATTGTGTTGTATAGTTTTAAACTTAATTTACAAGCTTTTGCAACTTCTTTGATGAGAACTCGCCGAGCAAGATATGGGAAAACTACGATATTTACCACAATAGCCATACCAATACCAACAATCACATCCAGAAACCGAAATACAGCCAAATGGAATGTAGAGCTTTTATTTCCCAAATAAGCCCCATACAAAATCGGCGGAAACGTAATGTTAAAAACAGTCGCAACACCAGAATATTTCGTACAAAACATGATATAACAAGATACCCAAGACACCAAAAAAGTAAGGGAAGCGATAACATAACTCCAACCACGACTAATTTCCCATGCGACATAAGCATAAACTGCACCAGACAAAGTTCCCAAAGCTCGAAAGAATCCAACACGCAATGTAGCAGAAACAGTGACTTCCAACACGAACAACGTAGAGATAAGTGCCCATTGTCCATCCCATTTTCCATAGTCATGAGCCGTGGATTTTTGAAAGGCTACTATACTTAGTAAACTAATTCCAGCAGCCATTTTAAGACCATACTTTACGTCTTTCGACTGTATAAGCCAGTGGCTCACTTTCCATAATAGAGCACGAAATCCCTGCAATCTTTTTTTAATCCTTCCTCTATAATTCAGAATTTCCGTGTCTTTACTAGTATCCTCCCAATTGTGTTCTTCTCCACGAGCTACTAATTCTTCAACAGGATCCCCGCTATCGGGTGCATCTTGAGAGACAAAAGGAGTAGAGAAAACGTGAAGCTCATCGTGATTTCTTCCTCTTTCTTTAAGCATGCTGAACGTATGGAAATAAAACTTCCGTCGTTTTGTGCGAAATCTTTTCAGATACAGTAACTGAATCAATAGATTCCTCGTCTCTTTTGCAACTTCAAAAAGGTTGAAAATGTAATATGAAATGGTAAATACATCTTCATCAGCAGCGAACCTGTACAGACCAGTAAAAGTTCGATTATTTCTACTAAATTCAAATGCCATTTTAATAGCATTTCTAATAGTCTCATTTTCCTTCATATTTTCTTCACTTAAAGACGATATATGCTCCAATATTTGTTCGTCTGAAACCTCCTTCGACGCCGAAATTAACCATAGCAAAACACTACGGGATATTTGCAAAGAAGCCATGACACGTTTAGAAATATCGCTCACATTCTGTGAAAAATAATCGAGGTATGTTTTGAAAATATCTTTGCTTGATTGCGGTCGAAGGTTCGAATGAAGAGTAGGATTCCCTCGTAAGCGAAAATGCGGCGTAAACAAATCGGAGTCTAGTCCATCAAAAGCATCCTTCAAAGAATAGGAGCTCGATTCAAAAACCCTTTTTTCGGTATGATTTTGATAACGACTAAAGTTGAATGCTCTGTACAGGGATATACAAGCAGCAACATTCGCAGACATAGTAAGAGATGTACGCTGTAGTACACCTTCTAGGTCTTTAAGGACACCAATAGGGATAAAAGAAAAATTCAATTCAAACTGAGAATTTCGAAGATCTGTGCTAAACTTATTGAGACGGTCTCGAAGAACAGTACGGTAAACAGTAAGGCGAAATTCTTCTGACGAGGAGTAAGAAATGGAGGAAGTATCTCCTGAAGGAAAGAATCCTTGAAGACACCCATCCAAGCAATTCATCAATTCATCCATATATGATAGCGCTGAATTTCCTACTAAATCCGATGCCATTCTGGTTGGGGGAATAAATATTGAAACCAAAAATACCACTCCTGCTGCTATCAAAGAAGGATAAACAAGGCTTGTATAGAAGGAAGAAGGAACACTCTCTCCGTGAGGATCGATGGTCATTAAAAAGCAATCTATGAAAATCCATATAATACACATACTTCGAAACCCATATCGACTACGGATATAACCTGATATGAAAGACCCTATGGTAAGAAAAATTGCCAAAACGGCTGCACCTGAATAGCCGTTACGATTCGCAACCACTGCCAAAAACTTAGAACCCACAGCCCAACCTAAACCAATAACAGTGCCTAATAAAGATTCGTATATTACTTCTACTTGACCACCCACTGTGGCTTGAATAGGATAAAACAGCGTCTGTATGGTGATTATGAGAAACGGGTAACTACCAATATTCCTGCTCAAAGGCCGAATAAGGACCAAAGTTTGGCAAATAAACAGAGCAGCCACTGGCTTCAGTAGAAGATAAATTGTTCTACTTATTGATTTCCATCGTTGTGAACTAGAGAACTGATTTCTGCGTAAGTTTGAGCTTACTGCGCTCAATATTCCCATGGATTCCCGCGACGGTCCAAAAAATGGAACGGACGATTCAGTAATTTGATGAAGTTTTTAGCCCTTCAATTGCTAACGAAATGTGTGAAATTGTATAATAATGTAGCCAAAATGGAAACTGAGAAAGTGGGCCTCTTACAGCTTAGAGCATGCTTATTATGCCTAAAACGATGTCAGTACATAAAGCAACAAATAAATACCAAGTCTTTCTTAATAAAAAGCGTTTGTAGTTATTTTACCTTTACAATGAAGAATACTAATGAGTTGCTTTTTGAACAGAATCCTTCTTGAGTAGTGGTTATGTGTTTGTATGATATCGTCGTATTCCATTGTAAACAAAACACTTTGAAGTGGTATTGAGCTTTTACATTAGTGCAAAAAAGTTTCAATCTGTGTAGGTATAATATTATGATTGAATAAGATAGCTCACAAAATAATGAATGCACAAAGGATCGTATTTGATGCATCTAATAAAAAGTTTCGCTTTGTTTATAACACTAGTGACAACCAAAGGCAACAAGCAGACATCCATCTTCACAACAAACGACAAAGCATGGTCAATGAGAAAACTGATGAAAAGACTGTGAAAGCAGATGATTTTAATGATGAATTGAAACTTCCTAGAAATGATTCCCATAATGGTTCGGTATCAAATGATGATTCTTATAAAAAAGGAAATCATTCATTCTTTGATCCCAATAATGTACTAGAAATAGCTGCTCAAGACTCTTATGATGAATTTTCTGATGATGTAGACGACGATTTTGATAATATATCAGAAGTATCGGCAGCTGAGGACTCCAAGGCTGCAGATGATGAAACACTAGAGGAACCGACAAGGCAAGACAACAAAGAAGATATTAACGCAGAAGTAGATACAAAAGAATTGGATGGATTGAAAGACAAGACTGCTTCTAAGTCGGAAGACGATGAAGCTGCAACTGCAGAAGAGCATGTGGATCAACCAATATTAGAAAACAGCTCTAAGTTGAAACATACAGAAGATCAAACTCCTGAAGAAAATGAAAAGAAAAAAATTGTGGACGATGATGTATCCAAAACCGATCACGATTTGCCCATCTCTACAGAAAAGCCAGAGGTATTGAATGAAAAGAAACCAGACGAACCCGAAGCAAAACCATCACTTGATAGAATAGGTGTTAATGAGACTGAAAGTAAAGATGAAAAAGCCTCTATGGAAGAAAAACTTTATGATTCAGAGAAAGAATCAGTGTCTTCAGCGTCTTCTTCTGAATCCGATACCAATGCATTTTCTTATGACCCTCAAAGTGCTAATTCCAGAAACAATGAAATTAATTCTGAAAGTGTTTTATTAGAAAAGGATACTTCTAAACATCTGGAGGATCCTTTAAGAAAATCATCAACTGGGCCTCAAACCCCTTTTAAAGAGGAAGAGATAGGATTAAAGGGAGATATCCCCATAACAATGCAACAAGCAGAGAATCCGGAAAAAACTGAGACAGATGAAAAAATGAAGGACTTGTCTATCACTTCAAAGGAACCGCAAACACCGGCATTAGAGTCTGTGGAAACCGAAGATTATTTGCCTCAAGCTACATCTTCTACTCTCTTTGTAAATTCAGCTTCGCGGATAGATGCTTCGGAACATATTACTAAAAATCACGAATCCATGAGTTTTCCGGCAAGCGCGAATGTTAACATTAGCAGTCCGCAACTGACGAAGGATGCTTTCAAGGATAATACTGAAGATGAATTGCCTAGTTTTGTACTTGATCCTGCTTCAGATACCGCAAACTTGAACGGTGATATCTCGAGACAGAAATTTGATACTAGATTAGGGTCTCATGAAGGTACAAAAATTGATGGTAATGGCGATGTTTTGGGACCACATGAAGAGCGTTCTCGTGGCAGATATGATTCGTTTTATACCCGGGCAACTTCGCCAGTTTCTTCTGCGATTTCTTGGTTCAATTCAAAACGGGGTGATTTGAGTCCGGAAAATTCTGTAGCAAGTACATTTTATTTGGAAGAAATTCTTGAAAAAAATGCGTCTTCTATTGATGAAAGCAGAAAAAAGAAGATCATCAGCTTCTTAGAAAGTGAACGTAACATGATTCCCTCGGATATATACAATCTTTTGCTTGAATTTATTGAGAACCCACTAGAAGTGTTAAAGGAAAAATCAGAAAAGATCCAATGTCTGATTTTCAGTCATGAAGTTCAGGCAGCACATACAGTGTTATGGAAGTCGATCTCTGCTTGGTGCTCTTTTGATTGTGAACAAGAGTATTTTGATTTACAAAAGAAGAGTTGTGAGTCCGATAAAGCTATATGCAAAGACTTAGATAGAACATTCCCTCCTGAAACCTTAGAGCGGTTTTTTTCCAATCGTGGCCAGAAATCACCGGATACCGTCGCAGATTCTATTGCAAATTTGCACAGAGTATTAAGATCTCTTGCGAATGCTGTTCCTGAAGTCGGCTATACACAAGGAATGTCTTGGATCGCTGGCTCTCTTTTAATGTATTTACCACCTCCCCAAGCTTTCTCTATGCTAGTCCTTCTTTTCAAAGAGTACCATTTACAAAGCATTTTCTGTCCAGAGTTGAAAGGTTTGGGTCGTATCATGCATCAATTTACTCGATTGGTAGAAGATTTTATGCCCGCTTTGGCTGTTCACTTAAAGAAGAACGAGATTGAGACTTGTTCATATGCTTCCGAGTGGTTTCTTACTTTGTTTGCGTATAAGTTTCCTTTGGACGTTGTCGCTAAAATATATGATATATTACTTTTTTATGGTTCTACCATTTTACTGAACATTGGTCTTGGATTATTAAAGAATAGTGAAAAAAGCCTATTGCAATTAAACAATGATGAACTTATAACGTATCTGAAGGACAATATATTTTCTTCTTTTATGCTGAATGATGGAACTGAACAATACGATACGAACAAGGTCTTACAGTTTGCTTTTACTTTTCAAACCTCCAAGTCAGCTATCGACACATATGGTAACGAATATGATACGCTGCTGAAGACACAGAAAGAAGTTGATGTGCAACTGGAAAATACGAAAAGCACGAACAAGTCATTGAATGATCACTTTTCGACGTTAAATGAAACTATGTCTAAATTACATGCTGAGCATGAGAGTATGAATAGTATGCTACTGCGAGAGAAATTAGTTCTCAAACAACAAGCTAAAGAGCAAAGTGAGATGGAGTCGCGGATTACCTCGTTACATGCTGAGCTTTCAAAAATAAAGACTGATGTGGAAGGGTCGTTCCAAGGTGAGATGGAAGCCATAATTGCTGAAAACCTAAAAATTATGTCAGAAGGCCAAGTACTAGAGGATGAACTCTTTAAAAAGGAAAAAAAGCTTGCTGAAACAAAAGTTAATCTGGCTACGTTAGATGGAGAACATATGATGGCTGTGCAAAGATGGAGTCAATTGATGAGTCGAATCAATAAAGGCTAATGGAAACATTATATGATTTATCTGCAGTTTGAATGCATGTCAACTTCAGTAAAATATCTGCATTATAAGGACGCCTAGGATGATAAAGTAGCTTGGAGTTGTTCATTTCGTTATCCGAATACGATTAACACAATTTAGTTGTTTCCTATTGAATGCGTTTGAAGAAATTATCTTGTTTTTTAATTTTTGCGATCATTTTCCGGGTAGCCTTAGTAGGTAAACATCAATACTAGCTGACGATTGTAACTTTAAATTCCATTATTTATTCAATAATCAATTCCTTGTTTTATTTTCAGGATCTCATACTCGTTAGCATTTGATGAAAATCGTTATGATTTTCAATTTCTAAAAGTAATCCCCTTCGCCAAGACGGTATATAGACCATAGTATTTTAAAACAACCAAAATCAGATTAATATGCGCCTTTGTTTTTATTGTTTTCGACCAATTACTCCAAATCCTAACTTGTCTTCACAGGACTAAACCAACTATTACAAAAGATCACAGCTTACGAATAATCCAACAAGGCACTAGAAAAAACTTTTGAAAATACAATCATTATATTAAAGTCAAAAAATTTACATATAAAAAAGAAAACGTTAAAAAAAAAGAAAAGGACAATAAAAATCAAAAAAGTGTATAATTAAGTACCTCCTTCACACACAAACATTCAAAATGGTAAAAGTAAACATTCAAAGATAAACCAAATGTAAGAGCTGATAGAGGTACCTTGGGTGGATATCATTATTTTTGTTTTAAAACCGCAAACCGTATATTTAAACAGTCAGTTTTGATAAAACTGGAAATTTTGTGTTGTTACTCCTCAAGAGATCAATTAAGTCATAAATAAATTTAAACTGGATGAAACTTTGGACCATTTTCATGCGCTGAGTCCGTATGTGATCGATTTCTTGAAATATAATGTCCTCCGAATCATCCATACCGAAAGAAAAGTTTTTGAAACTTTCCTCAGGATATCGCAAAAGACTATCTAGAGTAATAAACGTTCCCGTACGACCCACTCCAGCAGAACAATGCACAACCAAAGGTCCTGTATGCTCATACGAATTGACAAACTTTAAGAAATTAATCATTAAAGATATTTTTTCGGGGGAATTACAGTCGGACCAGTTTTCATACTGAAAGTGGTTAACAGTTTTCGAGGTAGTTGAACCTTCCCTTTGAACATCAAGCTTTCTTAGTATACAACCACTATCATCAATCCTTTTTTTCTCTAAAAGTGTCACTGTGTACGAGCCGTACGTTTGCTTGGAGTGGACGCCGTCCTGGGGCCAATAAGGAACAGACATTTCACGACCGGCTTCATAGAACGAGCCCAGCATAACGATGGATCCGACGTCTCCAAAATGATCCCAAGACATTTGCCAAAAATCTTCAAGAGACAGCTTTAGAGAACCTTGACAAGCAATATAATTCGAAGTACTTGTATTCACGTAGGAGGCGTTAATATAATCATTCCCTTGATTCAAATCTCTGTGACTTAAGTGAACACGAGTTAAATTATATGGCACAATATCAGAATACCTATTTTTTTTATAGGTAAAGTTCGACAGAGAATCAACAGTGCACCATTTAGAGTCCTTATCCGCACAAGAAGCCAATCGTTGTTGCTCACGGAACTCCAAACTGAAGAATTTTTGGTACAAAATAGAAACATTGGGATTTGAGAATGCATCCGGAATACTGTGAAGGGAGGGCGTTTGAAGAGGTGCATTGATGGAAGTTTTCTCGGGAATGGGACAAAAGAAGTTGTTTAAGGACAACATATTTGGTCTTTCTTTGGGTCGGGGTATACTAGAGAAATAATCACCACCATCGCTTGACAAAGAAATAGGAGCGGTTTGAGGAACTGAAAAGCTTAATTTCGATTTAATTCCACTGTTGACACCCATTTTATTCTTGACGGGAGTTCTGTCAACCAAATCAGGAAAAGCATTGGCAAGACGGTTGTAATCCAAATCCAAAATGCCGAATGTACCCAAAAAACCATCTTTCTTTAGTTTTTCGCCAATAATCTCGGCAATCGCGATATGGCTTGAAATCCAAGCAGGAAGACAAACAAAGATACAAGACAGCTCTTTCCAATCTTCAGTGTGATCGCATGATTCGTCTGCGTAGAAAAGCGTGCTGATAATTCGAGAAGCAGAAAAAGCAGGACGCTTTATGAGGGTGGCAGGAAGAGTAAGACTACAGGAACCTTTGAATCGGTTATTTGAAAAGTCCGAAAGAGGGCGCAAATCTATCAGTAAAGCGTTGTTTTGTTTAACCGAGTTCCTATAGTAATCAGGCAGCTTGCAGGAACGTATTATATATTTGCTTGTGGATTGGTGGGACTTAGGCAAGATTGCCGTGCAAGAACCTGAAGGAGTCATCGAGGAAAGCGCCGTTGTTTCGAAACTCTGAATAGAAGACATTCCCTAATTTCTATTAAGAATGAAACGCAAAATGTGAATAAAAGGAAAACAGAAAAGTGGTAGTCGTAATATTAATTAAAAAAAAAATAAAATAAAATAAAAAGAAAAGAATCTTTTCAATATATCTTTCAACGCCTTAACTAAGGGAGGAATATATAAAGACAAATGCTTTAATCCTTGGGATATACAGTCTCTGTACAATAAAATGAAATAAAGAATGATTTGGGATTGAAAAAAATACACAAATTCCACGGTTTGTGTAATTAATCAAACAAAGCAATGAAAATAAGTAGGCCGGATAGGAAAGGAAAGAGAAGATTAAAAGAATAACAAGTGAAAAAGGATAAAATGAGTAAGGACGGATATCAGTAAAAATGAAGGATAACAAGGTAGAAACAGAATAAGAACAACAAAAATGGTCTAGTTTTCAAAAACAAAAAAAAAAAGGTATAATCCACGGAGGCACACAGGGTATACAATGGAAATGGACTGAATGCACAAAGTAGAAAAGAGAGGTTAGGACGTGGAAAAATCTAGGAATTACAAAAGAACGATAGTAACAAAAATGAAGAAATAAAAACAAGTATCGTCTTTCGCAAAACACGGAAAATATGAATAAAAATTGGGGGGAAAAAATGAATTTCACTCCAGATCCAAGTCGAAATGTTAGTTCAAATCAAAAATCAAAAGCAAATCGATTAAGTATATATAGAACAAAACAAGTAAGCTTTCTAGCAATTACTCATTGTATCCTGAAACACAAAGGAAAAAGATTTAGTCGAATCGTTGAATGAAAGAATCCTAATCGGAGCCTTGAAAACTCAAGGAGAAATTTACAAAAATCAATCCTACCTAGAATGTTTCTATACAGGTAGTGAAACAGCGACAAGAAAAGGATTCCAAACGCGACGATATCAGAAATCAACCAGCAATGAAGCAAAAACCAGTGATATACAAAAAGCTCTCCAGAGCTAATTATTGAAAATAAAGAGGAACCCTCAATTTGACTTGTATAGAAATTTTAATATTGTTAAACACAGCAGCAGGTCTTTGCTCTTGGAAGAAAGAAAAATTCAAAAAGAATAGAAATATTTTACCAATAACGCAGTCCACTGATCACCGACAACAGAAGCGAGATAACAACAACTAACAGGTAACAACCAGCAATAATTTTTGGAAAATCTTAGAAGCACGAGCGTCGGTTTTGCTCAATAAACGCGAATAAGGTAGAATTTAGTTAAACCTAAAAAATACTGAGTTGAGCGGACATCCACTAACTTGAAATAATTAGACGTAAACGGAGTTTGACACTAGTGGCGATAACTATGGTTGGATCTTTTTAGAAATATTAACATTAGATCATAAGTAACAGAGGGGTTCGGTAACGGTGGCAAAAAAAAAAAAAGTAAAAAGTCTTTCTTTTCTGTTCTAAAGACGGTAATGTTGAAGTTTTTAATATAATAAACAAAACAGTGAATGTAATTTCGGAAAGGATTTCGTCTGAAAAGAGGATATCAAGAGGAGAAAGAAAGTATGCGAGTTTTTCTTTTAGAAAAAAAAGGTTATGTCATTTTTGATATCATAATGAAATCAGTAAATGTTGTAATGCTTGATGTCACTGATTATGACGAAAGAGGTGGATAGGATAAGTTAGGCCACACGTTGTAGGGAGGGAACAGGAGGCAGAAAAGCTTGCTCGGATTATGACGAAATGTAAATAAACAAAGAATTTATTCTTAATTTCGACATGTAAATAAATAAACAAACAGTTGATGGAGAGGGAGCAGTAGAATGCAAGTTTTCAAACGTTTTTTTTTTTTTTTTTTTCTTTTTATTTTATTTACAAAAAGTAATTATTCATCTTATTTTTTGACGTGCGTTATGTTTAACATGAAAGCAATAGTTGGATAAAGGTAGGCCTTTTCCATGTTCCTACTGTCTGGATGATATTGTCGATGACTGACTGCACTGATGAGTCTTTACCATAACCTTTTATGATGAAGAAGGAATATGCAAGTTTACAAAAGCGACAGGACAATTGGCATCCATCTGATGACATTGCAGAAAAGGAAAATGAATACGTTGAGTCCAGAGTCTCTGAAGAAAAGATACCACCTCCTCCTTGATCAGGTAAATGAATTGAACATTTTATTGCAAAAATAACTCTTTTTCTTTTTCTTGGTTTTTTGTTCCCCGTTTTGAAATTGATGTCGTTTGAACCATGAGTTGCTTTAGACGAGTTCTAGTGCTAATTCGGATTTCTCTTTAGAGACGTTAGAAATTTCCCATGAAACCCAACCACATGAGAAAGAGAACGATTCAATAACTCATTCTGTGCCTTGCTACATCACAGTGCCAGTCTGTTCTGCTGCATTTCTCCTCTTGTGTCTACCCTGCATACTCATGTCACAATTTATGGATCCTTCCCATTTACCTTGTTGGATTTTTCTTTGTATACGCTACTTCTCTTGCATGGATTTTATATGCTAAGAGTCTTGACTCCATTATGAAGTGTGTTTACGCGTTGCGCGTTTGCTAATTCCACAGTGACTTTTGAAGCATGGACCAAGGTCTTCAAGAAAGCCATGGGGAAAATTTCCGGTGGCATAGAGACAGGAATTCGTTGTTCTCTTAGTGGTATATGATCCGCCTCTTTGTCTACCAAAAAAGGAATCAAAGAAGCAGTGGTGACTACTGTTTCTGAGCTTAAGAAAGCTACAAGAAGCTAGTCTGCTTCTCCACTTTGGCATCGAGTGAGTCGTTGCTTCCCACATCCATACCACGTTTCTTATAGACTATTCCATTTCATTCATATACTTTCAAAGTTGGTTCGGAGGACATGTTTCCTTGATAATAATTCCCATAGCGGGAAAAAAGCACTGTTTCCTCGTTCCTACAAGTTACAAAAAAAATAATTACAAGAGAAGTTCGGATATCCTTGCTTCTCTCCCATTTCTATTTTTTTCTGTTTTCCTTCTTTGTAATTTCTCCGTCCTAATTCAGCCATCATCAAAGATATCATATCATATTCACAATTCAGCAAACACAAATTTAAAAAATAAGTAGGCAACATCACCAACTGCTTGGGCCACTACATGAAAATATATTCCTGTTACTACATTTTCCCAAAGGAATCGTCTCTTTTACTCAAGCTTATATTATATATTCCATATCTTTTACTTGATCCTTCCATCATATTTTTTGTTTAAGAAATATGCCAATCCCGTCCATCGTCTTGCTATATTTATTTTCATACCCCGTCAGTCTTTTACCACAGGATGTACGTATCTTCAACGACACTCAACAAACTAACCATGAATGAGAGAAAGGTTGTATTCCTGTAAATAGTATGAAAACAATTAATTTACATGAAATCTCGTTTTGCATCCATATAGTCCAAACTTTTATTTATATTTCTCAAAACCTAAAATAACCTTAGTGCCCACCTAGTCTCCTTGCTTTCCAAAAAGTATACATCTAATCGACTTCTATAATAGCGTCCTCCTCGTCGGGTGGATTTTCAATAGCTTTTTCGTCCTCTCCGGTAGCTTCATCACGGACAAGTAATTGAACCAATCTATCATCGTTAGCAAAAAATGAAAAACAAAACATAAAACAGTTCCAATAATTTATACATACTGATCACATAGACCTCGTAGATCTTCGTCCTCAACGTGAAGATGAAGTTCACGAATAATAGGATAGACTTTGCGACTTCTCAAGTGTTCTCTACCTTCACGAGTCGCGCAAAGCAAAATCAATGACTCGACATGTGTTTTCATTATAAACATATCTGGTTCACGTTTCTTGTCATCGGGAAGCAACTGCAATTCATCAAACATTCCCTCCATATCTTCTTCATCCATATCTTCTGGACCAGCCAAGGGAAGCAAAATATATGGAAGCAAATTTACACCTTCTTCGTCCATAAGGATTTTGTGGAAAGGTGTATCAAAGCAAATGTTTTTGATGATGGTTGCTACACCAGTACGGCGCAACATAGAGTTATGTTCGGTGAAAACAATCAATTTTGAAATAGGGTAAACATTGTCATATTCTTGAATTGTAGTAAAATATTTTCTTCCTCTTTCAAAACGTGTCATATCGGCAAACACATTAGCAAGGAAGTCAAAGTTTGCATATTGATTAATACCATGATTTGTTCCCTTCACGAACAGATCCATCAATTGATCAATAATATTTTTGCTAAGAGAAAATTCGCGAAGAGGAACTTTCATGTCTAAGATGCGAACAAAATCCTCCTCCTTGGCTAAATTGCACAAAAGCATACATGTCAAATCGGCGAGACCGTGCTCAGGATTCGTGACAATACTGAATACAAGATTCAAGAATTCCTCATCCATCAAGACCCTACGAACTGCCACATTCTGAGATACGTTTACCAATGCGGTAATCGCTTGACTAGCGATTTGTGGTTTATCTTTCAATAATGCCTTCAAATCCTTCACAGGTTCACAATTATTGTTAAACCAAATATCAAATTGAGGGCTGTTTCTTGCTGTGTAAGGGAGTAAATGCTGTGTAGCCAGCATTCTCACCTGTGGATTCTGATCATGCAAAAATCCTGCTAGCTGACTTTGTAAGTAGATATTCCACAATTTTCGCCTACCTCTTGTAATTCCGACATCTTTTATTTGTAAAAAACGATAAATTATACCAACCTTCCCTAAAACTTTCAAAAGGCAGGGTTCTCGAAATTTTTGCACCTGGTAAGAATGGAGGTATCAAGGCAAAACCAACAAAAAAATCCTCATTCCTCGACACCAATTTATACTTTCATTCTTACTTTAAACTTTTACAGGGAATTCATAACCAAGTTCAATTTTTATTTCCCTATATATTAAGTTGTTAAACTGTTCTTTTTTTATGCCTAATTATTTTACTGTTGTTACGAAAAGTTAGCTAAATCAAGTACAACAAAACAAACAGCTATTATTAACACTTATCTATACCAAATACCAGAACATGTATGCATCTTTATAAAATTCTAAATTATTAGGCAGTAACGTTTTCAAACAAAAAGGTGGGTTGCCCAGGAACAGCATTTGCAAAATTGGCAGCAATTTCAATCGTACTACCAGCATCGGGACCGCTTTCGACAACTCCAGTAATGGGAGCAGACTCATCGTTACGCTTTTGAATATGAACAATGCGTAACTCTTTAATACCCACATTGCCGATTAAATAGGGCTTAACTTCCTGCAAGACGTCGATTTCATTAAATCCTAACTCGCGGCTGAAAATGGATGATGCAGCTACGTGTTCACCACGGTTAATGACCGACTGTTTGAATTGCTGGATGAAGGGCATAGCAACCTTCATGGCCTTCTTGTCGACATTAGAAATAATGGCCTTGTCATCAAACTTATTTTCGGCTTCGCTGTAGTATTTTTGGAGTAAAGAAACGTATTGAGCTTGCCATTCAGGGAACTGATCAGCAACGAAAATACTCAAACGCTTAGGCTTAGAAGGATCGAAAAGCATGCCCTTACCCTTCTTTTGACGTTTTAGTTGACCAGCCTCAGCTTCACGAATTAGCTTAGTCAAGGTACGAACGTACTGCAAAGAATTTGAGAGAGCGGTATTTACAGGGTTAGAAGCACTAGGGAATCTACCAGATACGTGGATGCTGCTGGGCTTCTTAAGAACGGTGAGCCAGAGTTGTTCACTCCAGTGAGGAGTGAAAGGAGCAAGCATCAAAACTTGAACTTCGATCCAGCGCAAAACAAGATCCTTATGCATTCCACGATCAGCTGTAACTTCACGATACCAATCACGAGCATTTTGGAGGTCGTAGAAGGAGTTCTTCAAAGCAACCTTGTAAGAAGTAGCACTGTAGGCTTCGTGGGCATATTCAATCAATTGGTTAATCTCATTATCAAAAACACTGTCGTGGAAGTTGTAAGGGCCAGAGCGCAACTCATCAGCCTTCTCAACCATTTCACGGCACCAGGCTTCTTGGGTAAAGAGACGCAAAATGGCAGAGTTAGCCATAGCTTCCTCAAAATTAGCGTCATCCACAGTGTCACCAGCGTCAGCCAAAGCCAAACGAGTAGCATCAGCACCGAACTTCTTGCAAGCCTCGTGTAAGGTCATAAAGTTTCCTGTAGACTTGGACATCTTTTCACCATTCATGAGAAGGTGACCGTTGGCACGAATACCCTTGGGCCAGTACTTCTCGTCAAAAATGGCAGTATGTGTGTAAAGGCAGAAAGTCAAGTGGTTAGGAATCAAATCTTTACCAGAAACACGAATGTCAAAAGGATAGAAGTATTGAAATTCGCGGCGAAGCTTGAACAATGCCTCATCAGTAATAGATGTATTAGTAGGTTTAGCACCGTTACGGAATACATAATCCCACACTTCAGGTGTCATTTGTTCAGGCTTAATGCTCAAAGCTCCGGGAACGCTTCCGTTAGGAGCACCTTGAAGCAAGTGGGCAATGGTGTAGAAAGCCATGTAGATGGTGGAATCGGTCAAACTCTCAACCAAAAATTGAGGATCCCATGGCAAGCGTGTACCCAAACCATAAGAACGAGCGCAAGCCCATTGAGAGAGCCAGTCCAAGTTCTTCTTAAAGCCGTTACGAACCTCAGGAGAGAAGGTGTTCAAGCGTTCTAAAGCGACTTCGGTAAGGGCCTTCCAGCTAGCCTCACCATAGTCCAAGAACCATTGGTCACACAAGGCAACAATGCAATCATCACCACTACGGCTAATGACTTGTCCTTCAGGTTCGTTGTATACGAAAGCCAAACCTTGCTTAATCAAGTCTTGGCGAACCTTAGGCTTAGCAACCTCAACCTTCTCACCATTATAATCACCAATGATCATAACTCCGTGGTAGAAATCTTCCTTGTAGGCCAATTCCTTAGCTTCAGCCAATTGCTTAACATCCTTTGGACTTTGAATTTTCAATTTCTTACATAAAAATTCAGCAGTCAAATTACCAAAGGAAGGTGTATTGATGATGGGAACAGCATCATACTTCATCCATTCGGGGTTTAAGTTATAAAACTCAGCTTTCTTACGAAGTTCACTAAGTGTAGCATAATCATCAGGAGAGCCACTGGGGACAGATGTAACGACACCAGTACCCTTGGTAGGCAAAACACTCTCCATAGGTAAAACATAAACCTCACGATAAACAGACAAAGGAGCGTTGATACGAGCACCAACAAGTTGTTGTCCCTTGATAGTACCAAGCTCTTTAACAACACCGCGTTCACGCAAAAGACCTTGGAAAGCCATATTGCTAGCGGCTCTACGGGTACAGATGTAGAGCTCTCCAGGAACAAGACCTTCATAAATACCATAGGTCAAATTGGGACCGACAAAGCAGTTAGTCTGACCATACATAGTCTCAGGACGAAGGGTAGCAGCAATCATATAAATCTTGTTGATTGATAAATCAATAGAAGTCAAAGACTCATGGGCAGCATCAGGGAAGTTCAAGACTTGCATCTTAAGTCCAGTGTACTCTTGAGGACCTACACCTTCACCACTTTTACGGTCGTGATCCATACAAGGCTGACCATCTTTGATAGAATAAACAGTATAACGTTCACCAAACTTGATTTTACCAGCCTTGTGTAAGTGATTGACTTGCCAACGGACAAATGAGTCATAGTAAGGGTTGGCGTCTGTAGTAATGAAGGAACGGCGCCAGTCGATACCAAGACCAAAACCACTGCAGTCTCTTCGGCACAAGGGAGGGAAGTATTCGAGCCAATATTTGGCATCAGCAAACTTGCTAATTTCGTTACGAGGAACACCAAGCGACTCCATAATTTGGAATTGATACTTGACAGCAGCGGTCTTAGCAGCAGCTTTACTCTTCTTACCACTGTGCTTGGTGACATCCTCGTTCTTGGCGGTTTCTTGCTTAGGACCAATTACATGCTCTTCCTCTTCTGGAAGAACGAAGTTAGGACCAAACATTTCCATTTCACGGGAGAGCTTATCAGCACTAGCGCAAATGGGCATACCGGTGCAATGGAAACCCATGGGGAAAAGAACTCGCTTTCCCTGCAAACGTTCAAAAGCACAGGCAAACTCGACCTTGGATAAAGTGAAAGCGTGACCAAGGTGAAGGCTTCCGTTCATATAAGGGTAAGGCATGTTGCCAAAGAACTTGGGATATTTTTCACGCAATTCTTCAGGAGTCATATCCTCCAAAGGAGCATTACTTTCGAAAACCTTTTCATTCTCCCATTGCTTTTGAAACTCCTTCTCCCATGCGATAAGTGTATCACGCTTTGTTGTGTTCTCCAACTTCAACGTCGCGGTTTTGTTTTCTAACTGTTCGACACTTGCATTAGTGGCTGCCATCTTGGACTCAAAGAACGTAAAGTTCAAAATCAAAATTTAGAACAATCGTTCCTTTTATTTGTTTACAAGCAAAGCTGCTAATTTGGGCGGTTTGCTTGTCGAACAATTATTTGGTACTTGGCAAGTTTCGTCTTACGAGTAGCAACTCTCTGAAAACAGGTAGTAACCAGATGCTCTATTAGATTACGATCTCGGTTGGACTACGTTATCGAGCTTCACTGATAATTGGTAAACTTCCTTACAACCGAAAAACAGTCACAAACCGAAACAAAGCTCAGCTATATATTCGAGCTTTACGTATACTTATTTATCAATAATGCTTACTTGTGTATCATGAGGAGAATATTCTCATAAATAAATGGTATGTATTATTCTAAAAGTTAGAAGAAAGAAGATGTCTTTAATGATGAAAAACCATTACAGACCTGTTCTGATGCCATTTGGTGTTTGAGGACAACCTTATATTGCCTTTTTTTCTGAAGATATTTCGTTTTCTTTTAGTTTTTTTTTCCTACAGAATTTCATTTTACTAACAGTTTATAGATGATAGAAATTGAGTGTTGCTCATCGTAGAATATCTTTATATTAGATTTCGTGAAAGTGTTGAGAGTTTGTAATGTTTCAATGAATAACATGGATATGATAAAAAAATCTTGGATTTACTTGTAGCGATTGTGTTCAAATTATTTAAATTCATAATAATAGTAAAAAGCATTACGAGAAACTAAGTCATTAACTAAAAGATTGTATCAAGTTACCTTGTTTACAGATCAATGGAGCAAACGTCAAACCCTTCCTTCAATTGGGACTTGGTGGGCATGCTTCCAGTAAGGAAAAGACGAGAGCATTGAGAAACAGTTGGATCTTTCATGATACTGCTGACACTGACAACCTTTTCTCCCTTCGTATAAAACATAGCAAATTTGTAATCAGGGACCGATCCTTGAACAACGATATCATCAAAGCCCTCTGCAGCATTGTTACCACAGTATCTAATTTGCTTGCCCTGAGCAGACCAGAAGAAGGGGGTAAATGTTTTCGTAGTGTACTCAGCGTTTTCTCCCAACAAAATGTGGTTTGCGGCTACACGTCCGGTATTTCCAGCAACGTCCCAATGTTCGATGCGTGTAATAACATTTTCAGGTAATCCTGCATAAGGAGCATGGGCGATATCACCAACGGCATACACATCTTCAAGACCTTGGACGCGGCAATTCTTATCTACCTTAACTCCTCCGTCTTTTTCTAGTTGAACATGGTCCGCTATATAGCTCAAGTTAGGCTTGACACCAACCGCCAATACAACAACCTCAGCAGGCAGGATTTGGCCGTCTTTGAGAACGACTTTGTCTACAATAGAAGAATCGCCTAAAGACTTCTTGGCCTCCTTTATGGAATTGTTCAAATAAAAGTGGGTACCGTTCTGTTCGTGCAGAGCTTTGATGGCATTGCCCATTTCTTCACCCATAATCTTGGCGAACGGAGCAGAATCCATTCCGACTATGCTTACATTGTGATCCTTCAAAGCAATGGCAAGTTCGAGTCCGATAAAGCTACTTCCAATAATAACAATGTTCTTCTTTTGGCCGGACTCGTTTGTGGCAGCTGCCAACTTGGTACCATCTGCTAGGGAACGAAGACAGTAAACATTAGAGGCGTCGAGGCCTGGAAGGGGAAGTTTGTTGGCTTCACCACCAGTAGCTAAAATGACCTTTGAGTAGTTCAAAGATTCGTTGTCGCCGTAGTAGATAGTTTTTGTCTTAGGATCTATTTTGTTTACGTTAGACTTGAAACGGAATTCAATGTCCAGTTCATCATAATATTCTTTGGACCGTAAAGCAATCTTTGAATGATCATGCATCAACGTCTTTGAAAGCTTCGGTCTATCGTATGGAGTGACATCTTCACGAGTCAAGACGGTGATCCTTCCCTTGTAATTACGTTCACGAAGATACTCGGCAGCTACAGAAGCTCCTTTACCACCGCCGACAATGCATACGTGAGGTGCAGAAGCTTGATTTTGGACGCTTCCCTTCTCGTAAACCTCGGTAGCCTTGTTTCTCCAACAACCCTCGGGCTGTAAGAACTTGGAGCCACCGTCGCCTTCATCTTTCACCTCGATGAAAAGACGTCCATCTTCTGTTGAAGAAATTGGAAACGTACGTAACGCTGAAATGGCTGGTGAGTCTTCGACGTCTCCCGTCGCACTATTGAAGCAAGCACCGTGCCAAGGGCACACGATTCTACCGTTCGAAGTGACAGCACCGTTCACCAAAGGAGCACCATAATCTAATCGTTGATATTTGTTAGTATCGTCCTAGGGAATGATTACCGTAAGAATGAAAAAGTCTCAGGAAATTGCTTGTACGTCTTTTCTTGAGTAATATTCAACAACATTCAAATTCAGATTTCTCAAGACAAGCTGGACTTGTTTCAAACTAGAAATAAACATTCTACATTGATTACATACGTGAACATTTTCCAGCAGTAGCAAAGTACTGATTTTTCGCTCGTACCAAAAGAACATTAAAAGCGGTACCTAGCACTTTAGCTTCCGTTTTTGTTCCATTCCTATCGACCTTCGTATGGTCAAATTCCAACTCGTATTTACGGCCCTGGACGTTATTTCCTTGGCTTCCAGTTGAACTGCTCATGCTAAAATTTTGACTTTTTATTAAACCTTGCAATGGTGGTAACAACAGTCTCGTTTTCGAGAATTTCGAAATGTGTAGTGGTTGGGATTTGATAAATTTCCAAGCTCCTAGCATCTTTTAAATCATTCTTTTATAGCGGAACTATTTCAATTGTTGCGTTTACCGTAGTACGCCATGTTAAATGCTGCAAGATCTGTTTACGTTATGCAACCCAAACGTAACCATTTGCTTCTCCGTATTTCACCTTGATGTCAGGTTTTCTTTTCTATTGATTTTCTTTGGTTCCGTCTATGATAATGCTTGAAATTCATTCTTTCTTATTGGAATTCGCTCTTTTCTTAGGCAATCTTTTTCAACCAGTTGTTGAGGTAAGAGTTCAACCATACAGTCATTGAAGGAAGAAAGGTTCAGAATGAAGTATCGAGCCATATGAATCTAAGAACAATAAACCACGCTTTAGAATAGTTATTTATTTATTTTTAAAACTAAAATAGATTCCAACCCATGAAAAAAATAATAAATTTCTCTATATATGTTTGACGAACGACCGTTAAAAAAATCCGAAAATCAACTTTTTTCTTGCTCATGCTGTTCATGTAATTAAATGATTTCAATAGTTACTACTATACGTAGTAGGCATGGACAGACAGACAAACATATTGGAACTTCATTTATTTAAAAACACTTTTTTTAACATCGCTTTGCTTAGACTAACATAAATAGATTAAATCGAGTAAATGAAATGAAATAGAAGATGGAAAATGCAAAACAACACTTCTTTAGATGCTCAACTTTGTTCATTCAAGCGTCTACTTTTCGCTTTCTTTTCACTCATTTTCACTCATTCTATCCTCCTGTTCAATCATACATGCACCTTCTCATAACTTCGATAGATGATACTATACATACCCAAGCTACTACTACAATATAACTTCCCTTCCACCTATTTATCCTTCAAAAAATATATTAAATTTCATTTCTGAAATATATGATTTCAAACGGCATTTCTACTAGCTCGCTTTGATTGTGCATTATTGAATTTAAGCATGTGATGTTGTAGAACCACAATACCAGAAACAAAACCAACGTTGGTTTAGTTGTTCCTCTTTCATGCACATTACCACCACACAATATCATCGGTAAGAACTTCACGCGGAAATGCAATCTGACCCATCTTTTCAGAACTGCCCAAAAAAAAAACAAATCTACTATTTAAAATACAGTTTTAAACAAATATCACATCTCATGTGTCTTTTGTTTACTTGCAGACCTTGCCGTCAGCAACTTCACGACCAAACATAGGCTTGTCCCAGGCCCAGGCGTCTTCAATGAAGGTCTTGTCTTCAGGCTTGGAAACATCAAGCTTGGTGAAGCTGTAGGATTCCCAGTCAGGAGCAACATCGAATGCGGGAACGTGATCTTGACCCTTGATAACGAAGGCACCAGTGATGGTGTTGTCTCCGTTCTCACCAATGACCAAGCAACAGCCAAAGATGAACTTACGAGAAGCTTCAAGTCTTTGGAAGAAACCACCGATCAAATTGCAAGTCATGAAAACGGCTTGCTTCAAATCTTCAGGATAGGCATAGTCAACCTTCCAAACAGAGTAGTTTTCGGGATCAAAGTGTTCAAAGAACCAAGGAAGAGAACCACTGCGGGTATCTTGATTGGTATAAACACGCTTGAACTCCTCAAGGTTCAATTCACCATTGGGGAGAGCAGCGAGAGGGTGCTTAGGCTTAGGAGCGGGAGCAGGAGCCTCTGGCTTTTGCTCCTTAGGGGCCTCCTTAGGCTTGGGGGCTTCCTTGGGAGCAGGCTTGGGAATCTCGGGCATCTTCTCAACAAAGGTGAGAGCACCGATAATGCTGTCCAAACCACTTTGATGATACATGGTAGCGTAGTAACGTTGGACATGAGGGTACTTAGCCAATTCACTCTTTGTAAGGACGAAACGAATGACACAGCTCAAAGAGTTAACGGCAAAGACATCAGCCAAAGAGAGACGAGAACCAACAAGGTAGGTCTTGTCGGCAAGCAATCCGTTCAAGCGAGTCAACTCACTAGCGACGGAAGCTTGGGCTTGCTTTTCAACATTGGCGTTGTAGGGTCCCATCAAACGGCCAAGAGTCCAGGGAAGACCAGCACTGGCGAATTCAGAGTTGAAGTAAGAGACATATTGGAAAATCTTGGCCTTGTCTTCAGGAGTTTGACCAAGGAGAACACCGGTCTTGTCAAAAGAAGCGACTAAATTGTATTAGTAAACATTTGAAAGTAAGTTCAATAGAAAGATAATGAGCTTTCGGGAAAACAAAAAAAAATCTACGCGTGTTCAGATTTACCGGTCTCAACACTATTTTTTAGACAGGGATAACTGTAAAAAAAGATATTCTCATCATATACAAACAAAAACCTTTGAAATCATTCGAAAGTTTTGCTCGCGTAAATTTTTCTTTTTATTCGTCTTCCGTAATCGAAACACACACTTTCAAAGCGTTTTTCACTTACAGTAAACGGCAATAGCAATAGCTTGAGAAAGCAAGTAGCCGTCTTGACCGACGAAGACGGGAACCTTCTTTTCAGGGAATTTGGCAGCAAGGTCAGCTGGGAAGTTACCAAAAGCAACATCTTGGTTGTCTACCTTAATACCGGCAGCAGCGGCGGCTGACAAAACAGCAGACACGCGAAAAGAAAGAGTATTTCCGTAGACAGTACCGACAGACATGGTGGTAGTGGTGTGGTGAAAAAAGAAGGGACAAGTTCCTTAAATAAATGATTTCTGGTGCAAAAGTTGACTAAAATTCAGTTGTTGTGGCAACGCAAGAAGTAAATAAACACGATTCAAAAAATAAAAAAAAAATTATTTAGAATGGAGAACAGAGAAATGAGAGTTCAGTGAAGAAAAAAAAAAATTACAAAATTGATTTTTTGTATTAATCGAATAGTACATGACAAATGTTGAGAGTACTGTAAACCGGCGTGAAATTTAAACAACTTCAAGGAGATGAATACTTTCATGCTAAAGGGATGGCTTCTTGTTTCTCATGTTTATGGAAAGAGAGTAAGGGAGAGGGGGAAATGATCAGACAAAGAGGGTTATTATGTGGATATAAAGTAGAATGGACCTGAATAGAAAGAGCAGATTTAACGTTTGACCCAGGTATACTTCTTTCTTGCCTTTGGTTGACCGGTCTTTTTCCGCTCTACCTTACGCTTGTCATTTTCGACACAGCCGGCTTGACGTAGAGGACCTTCTAGGAGAGCGTTCTGTATCCTCAGTGCTCTTGAAACTGCAGAATGGATAGCTCCGCTCTGACCAGTTGGTCCACCACCATGGACGACCATCCAAACATTAAATTTACTAAGAGTTTCGGTAGCCACCAAAGGATATATAGCATGTCGTCTATGGGCGAGGCGTTGGAAATATGAGGCCAGGGGAATGCCGTTCACAAACACTTGTCCATTTCCCTGGATGATCTTCACTGTCGCTTTACTACTTTTTCGTTTTCCTGTTGCCAAGACAAGGCCCTTTTCTTCGGGCATAACCTTCCTTTGGTTCTGAAGTCCAGTAGTGGAAGGACGAGTAAATCTATCAATAACCTGTTGAATGGATCCAGTTCTATAAGAAGGAGATATCTTATTCAGAGAATCAAGAAGTTCAATAATCCTTCTATAACCCACTCGCGACGTTTTTGGATCCGAAAAGTCTTGCTGATATTGTCTTAATGTCTTCCATTGGATTTCGGGAGGTACTTCCGCGTATATTTTCGGAGCGTATTTTAGAAGATCTTCTAGATACAGACAAACTTCATTGAATCGTGCATTTGACGTAAAATACGATGAACTTTCCGGAACAAGATGAACCCCACGAAAGCTCCATTTAGGAGTCAATGGTACAGCCACGGGGGATTTAAATAGTCTTGGGAAACTCCTTATGCGCGCTAATGTTTGAAACATTAGACTAAGCCTTCACAAGTTCAAATCTGAAATAAATATGAATTCTGCTCCTGCCAGGTCGTCCTGTAAAGTGCGTAAGTAGCACCCTTCGCAAATAGGAAATTCTACCAGCATACGCTAAATGGATCTATTGAGACGTTCTTTACGAAACTATATGCCTTCAGAAGTTCTATAGCTACTATAGCTAGTAAAAAGACTGATAAATTGTTTTATGAATGTATTACATATATATATATATACAAGAATTTCCTTTCTTGTCCAGTTAATTATATTTTCTATGGTCTCTACAAAGGACGTCAAGCATAATATCCAAAAACTTTCAAATATTGTTATTATAAACTAGTGAGTAGGCTTAACTCAAATGTTTCTTTTTAAATAAGTCAAAAGGAGCATAAGAAACACAAAAGATCCTCGTGATCTTGACGAGAACAGAAAAGTTATGAAAGCAGAAGTTTTTTATTGTTAAACTTACACCGCTAGAAAGACTGTCAAAGCAAATTTTCCAAAAAGACCCTTAAACCAAACAATATAGAATTATTAATTCCTTTCGCGTGATTGAATAATTCACATTCCTTCAGCATCTTTACTCAGACTTTTTCTTTTCCTTTTTGTCTTTCTTCTCCTTTTTCTCCTTCTTATCTTCCTTCTTTTCCTTCTTCTCCTTCTTTTCTTCCTTCTTCCGCCGTTTCTCTTCCTTCTTAGCGGCCTCTTCGTCTTCAGATTCAGTCTTACGCTTCTTAGTAGACTCATCCTTCTTTTCAGCATCAGCTTCGACAGCAGGAGCATGCTCAGGAACAGTCTCGGGAACTGGTGTAGGGGCGACTGCTGGGGTAGGAACAGGAGCATTAGGATCATTGTAATCAACGTAGCTCTTGGACCAGTCGGAAGGAGTATTCTCGTTGGGACGGCCATACTTATCAAGCTTACCTTCCTTCTTCATACTCTTCTTCTTCATGCTTTGAGGTCCAAGACCCCAACGTCTGGGATAGAGATCACGTTCCATGATACAACGCTTGACCTTGGCAACAACGCCATGGTCGCAAGTTGAAAGCTCAACAGTAGACATTTGAGCAATACCAACAGCAATAGCTTCACCTTTAGTAGTCATAAGGACGACTTCGTCATTAACCTCGATGCCAGATTCATAGCGGAGAAGACCAGGAATCATCAACTTGGCACCGTAGCAAACAGCATTAACAGCACTGTCTTTGACGACAACACGCTTATAGCCAACAAGGAGAGACTCCAATGGGCGAATGACGCGACGCAAGTAAGATTCATCACGAGTGTTATCGTAAACCCATTGAGCATCCAAGATATCGTGCATGGTGACTATGTCGTCGTTTTCAGACAAACAACCAGAACGAACACGACGAAGTTCTTGCATATGAGCACCAACACCAAGCAACAGACCAAGGTGAACACAGAGGGTACGCATGTAAGTACCAGCTTCGCAACTAGCCCAAAAGATGGCAAGGTTTCTGTCTTGATCAAATTCAATCAACTTGGACTCGTAAATGCTACGAATACGCAATTGACGTTTAACAGCTGAAATTAAAGGAGGACGCTGAAACAAAGCACCGGTGAGAGTTTCAATAGAGGAAGCAAGCTTGCGCTCGTTCTCGATAGCATCGTGAAGACGCAAAATACAAACATACTCTTTACCAGCACTTTGTTGAGATTTGACAAGACGAGTGGCACGGTCATTGCAAATAATCAAGCAACCAGTGACTTTGGGATCCAAAGTACCACTGTGGCCAGTCTTCTCTACACGAAGAATTTTTTTCACCCAGGCGACAACTTCGTGAGAAGATGGGTTTGCTGGTTTGTCCAGGTTCATTACACCAGATGAAACATAGTCAGCAATTGGGCGTTTCAAAGGGTTGCTACCACATGGAATAGGGGTATAGTGGCCAGTACGGACAAGAAGCTTGTCAAAGTTTTTCAACAGCAAAGGCCATTCTTCGGTGTTGATTTTGCTAGCCGAAATAGCTTCAGGCTGGATCTTAAATTCAGTCTCGGATTTCGATTCTGCCATTTTACTATCGAAACGATGGTAAAATCGGGTTCTAAAATGTAACTGTCCTGAGACCAGCGATGTTGGCAGGCGTCAGAAAATATTTCTTCGTTGTAAGGTCGTGACTACCATGGTCAACACACACACCTTGCATTTCGCTATGTCTATTCCGAAGCCCTATCATGTGGTATAATATTTAGCGATGAAGGCAAATACACTACGCTAATAAATATACAAATTTTTCTAAAAAGAAATAACAGAATTGGTATAATTTATAGAATCTTTATCTTTTTATCTTTCTTCAAATTGATTTGCAATTTAAATATCTTTTTCTTTTTTCGTAATAGATTCAGCTCATGCAAATGCAATTTGACTGTAAAACACTGTCTGTACAGTATGTAATTTCGCCTTTCCCGGTGATACATCCTCCATTAGTCTGTAAACTTGCTCTCGAAACTTTAAAAATAACATCAGTAATGAGACTGGTATATGTGTTTGAGTCGATTATGATAATTCTGTATTTTACCTTTCCGTGCAAAAACACTCAGACACTTTGAATGAACCGGTCGCTTCATTATTCAAACTTTCTATGATTATCTCTTTCTCTTTATCCATAGAAACAGAAACTATTTAGTATTTGTATCGTTTCTCCCAGTTACAGAGTATATACCAAAGAAAAATGCGCACAAAAATAGACCTCCCAAATTTTTGAGATATCTAGATTCTTCAAGAAGATTTTTTCATAAATACATTTGTTTTATTTAAATTACATGCAAATACACTGCTGTAATGAAAGTAAACTTTCGTGTTTGTTTACACGTCTCATATATGTCACCTTGTCTAAGTGTTTTCGTCACCTTCGTACGTTGCTCTTAACTAGCACCAGAAACTTGCTGCTTCCTTTTAAATAGTCGAAACAGAGAAGTTTAAGGCTCTAAGGGTTTGTTTGGATTATTCTTTACGCGTTTCTCTATATTTCGCATTTCTCTGGACCTGAAACTTGAAATATAATCAAAATAAGCAGGCAATAAGAAAGATGGCTCCTTCCAAAGAACAGATGGATGAAATGAAAGAAGCATTTACTCTCTATGATATTGATAGAGATGGACTTATTCCCTCGAGCCATGTGGGCTCTGTATTGCGAAGCTTGGGTGTAAACGTTTCAGATGCTGAATTAACAAAGCTATCCAGCGAGCTCGGTGATGCTATTGATGAAAAGAAGTTTATGAATTTTGCCAAATTCAAGCTGAATGAGACGGAGTCTGAAGAGGAGTTTGTGAAGGCTTTTACAGTCTTTGATGCCGACAATAGTGGTTACATCGAAACTGCCAAATTTGCTGAGTATATGATGACCTTGGGAGAAAAATTACCCGAGCATGAAGTCCAGCTAATGGTTCAGGAGGCCGATCCCACTAATTCAGGTAGTTTTAATTACCACGAATTTGTACAACGCATTATGGCTAAGTAAATTTTCAAATCCATTTTATTGGTGAGTACCTTGCTGATTTAGGCTCCATGGGTTGTACCTTTTTTCCTTATTCCTTCGTTATAAAATTGTCTTTCGATGTCGAATTCTTCCGTATGTGATCGATTACATATCTACATGAATTATGAACTTTTCTTTATGCTATGTGTCCCTCCGTTTGCTTATTTTATTAGCAATAAATCATGTTTCCATATCACATTTTTTACTTGTTTAAGTAGATTCGTAAATTGCAGTAGAACTTTCCATAGTCTTGTAATAAATAAAAGTAATGATTTGATATTTCCATTACATATCTCCTTCTGACTTGGCTGCTTCGCGTTTTCTTTTTAAATATCTTTCTCGGGCGGACAAAACTTGATCTTGCGTCGTTGTCTTTGGCATATGAGTTTTCAACGCAAACTCTTTCTTTTTTTCTTCCTCTTTTTGCTTTTTTAAATTTTGTTCCTCTTGGTATTTTCGTTTTTGTTCCTCCACTTGTTTCAAGGAGTAAACACCTCTAGAACCTTTATTATCGTATCTGCTCCTTCTTGTGTCATATTCAGAAGATTCTTGTTTCCAACGTGATTCAGAAGAAGGGACACGAGAGGCCGGTAAAGAAGATTTCGTAGCAGGGGGTTTTGGGACGTTTAAACCTGCTGAAAGTACTTGTCTCTGATCAACAATCTCATTGTTGTCGTTTAATTCAGGTGCTTTATCCGTAACTGAAGTATTTGAGAACGCCTTTTTGTTTAACTCATCTTCATGGCTATCGCGTCGTTGGCCAGAGGATTGTGATGGGATGCTTCGCATTGCTTTGTCATGCTCCTTCTCTTGTTGTTCTAGCATACTAGCGTAAAAATCTTTCATGCCACCTCCATGGGAATTTTTAGCTTCTAACTCTTCTTCTTCCCTCTTTCTATCTTCAATTTCTTTTTCCATTTCTTCACGATGCAGCTTATAACTGCCAGTAACAAATTTTTCAGATCCATCATCACCTTCTGATTCTCGTTGCTTCTGTAGAGCTCGCTCACGAGCAATGAGCATATCCCGTTTTCGAGTTTTGGCTGATTCAATAAGCTTTTCCATATATTTTGGGCGTCGCTCTTGGGCTTCCTGCCGTCTTAATTCCTGCTGTTCACGCTCCCCGCTCTTCATGGAATCATAATATTCATCATAACCATATACTAAATTGTCAGTTAGTAAGAATTTTATAAATAAAAGATAGCTTAAACATACCAGAAGCATCACTTTCTGTTGTTTCATTCCTTTCAATCTTTTCTATAGGTATTGATTCAGTAGTCTGAATAGTGAAAGGACGCGCGGCATCTTCATCAGAAGAATCTTCTGCCTCTTCCAAGAAGTTTATTCTCGTATTTTTATTCTCCTGACTGGGCTTCTTCATTAAATTAAGCCCATAACGAAAACCCGAATTTGACATATTCTTATAAATCAAAATCGAGACTTGATAATCCTTGTTTTAGCAGAAAAACAACGTATCTAGTTGAGAAAATAACAGAGGAAAAAATTGGATATAAACGATAACTGAAAACCCTTTACAAAATTTGTATGCTGAGGTTGTACCACAAGAGAAACATATATTTAACGTTTAAAAAAGAGTAGTTGAGCTTTTATAGCTCATAGTACCTTGTCGTCAAGTTGTTTACTTTAAAACAATACATTTTAAAGAGAAAAAACAAATAATACTTTGGCAGCCGAATGCTGCAGTATAGGGACTAAAAATAACCGTTTCATTCATTAACCGGATTCGTTCGTAAAAGTACACACCGAAAGGGTCCTGCTCATTTTATTATGTCGTCAGAAAGCTTTCAAAGAAGACTCGCTCAACATACAAATGCTCTTAATGCCTCTATAGATGGAGCTACGCAAACGCTTTTGTCTCGGTTTCAGGATATTGCAGACATTGCAATGAACCAAGGAAAGGATAAAAATATAGTATCATCAGAAGTATATCAAATTGAGTGTCATACGCTTTCAATGATCCGCGCTGTGGAACAGCTACTGGATATCTCAAGACAATTGAAATCGTTCTGGTTATGCAATTCATCATCTACTACCGTACCAAGTTTAGACTTCAACGAAACGAATTTAGACCTACTAAAGTCAAAGATGACTTCACTTCAAAATATCGGGCTTGATGTAAAAAGCTCCTTGACTAACGGCATGCATGAACCAGAAGAAATGAAAAATGACCTCGCAAGTTAAAAGCTTGTTTATATATTCTCACTTGCTTTCCGACTGTTCTTTACAGAAATGGTTTACTTTAAAAGTAATTACTACTATAACCTTGTTTTCATTATAAAAATTTTGGCTGACTTCTAGTCTCTAAGTGATATTTATTATAGAGGCCTTATTAATTAATATTTTCCAAAAGACATACAGAACCTTGATTTGTACAGTAGACGAGTTTGTGTGGATCTTCCATCCAAGCTAAATTTGAAATTAAAGAAGCCTCGACCTTGCTCACCAGATTCCAAGATTTGGAGGCTTTAACGTATGAATGAATGTACAAATACTTATCATCAGAAGATGCCAAAAGTTGACAAGTTAAGTCTAACACAGCTGCAGAAGTGTTGGCATCTGTTGGTACCACATGAACTAACTTGGATTTTCCCAAATGCCAAATGGAAGTTCCCTTTTCATTGGTAGCAGTAGCAGCTAACCAGTATCCATTCTCACCGAATTGAAGCGACTGAATGGAGCCATCCTGAGGACCGAATCTAGCAGCGGAAACACCACTAGCCGTTTCAAAAAATTCTATTTCACCGTTTTTCTTACCAACAGCAAAGATATGTCCATCGGGGTGAAAAGAAAGAGCAGTTATTGTATTTGATATATTGACAGAATAGACAGCTTCTTTCATGGAATATAAAATGCATGCTGCATCTGTAGCTGCAACGACGTATTCTCCACTTGGATGAGAAGACAAAAACATCAAGTTTTCATTTTCGACAGGAATCGATAATGAAGGTCCAGAAATTGATTCAACTTCTTCTGGAACATTATAAATTTCAATCTTCTTCGTATCAGCGTTTATAAGTGCAAATTTAGAAATATCTAACCAGCAGCATGCCGTTACGGATGAATCAAAGGACTTTAAGGGCTTGTTGGTATGGCAATCAAGTAGAGAAACCCGGTTGTCAACCGAACAAAGAGAAACGCCTGCACTTCCAGGTCGTGGAATTAAAACAGAATTAACATCCTTTTCAGCAGAAGGAAAAACTGTAGCCGGTGAGCTGTGCACAAGTTGATTAAGAACCTCTGGTGTTGCCCAAGTAGGCTGTAATTTTGTTTGCTTTCTTTTTGAGGAAAGTTGCGTAAGAGTTCTTTCTACCGTAGAGTTAAGAGTTGTTTTGGTGTCTTCATTGTTATCCTTCATTTCTATATCATGATTTGCAGCTCGGTCAGCTGTGGGCTGAGAGATAGACGAGATATTATCGGAAAACTTAGCCAATGCTTCCCTTGCCTCGTCTCGTTCCTTTGTCAGCCGAGATATAACTCGAAAAGCAGCGTCTAATGAATAAAGAGATGTCGAAAGCTCTTGCTTCGTTTCACTCAGTTTTTTTCGTAAATCGAACTGCTCTAATGCTAAAGCATCCCATTCTTCTTGAAACAAAGAAAGTAAGGCTGGCAGTGAAGTCGTAGAAGGGGGACGAGGCTTAATAAATTCAGGTACTAAGGAAATATGTTAATATGTTATCAGAATAGGGGTCTTTGTAGGAATCTACATCGAAAAGCATAGGTATAAGGACAATATCTCCAACTCCAACCGTCAAAGGAGATAGTTTCTTAACAAAATGTCATCTTTTTGTCTACTGCTCGTTCAAGAATAAACCATGGACGCGTTCAACATATCCTTTTTCATTCGATATTCTTCCTCCAATGCTTCCATATGTTGATTTATTATCCAAATTCCCATTAGCCGTACCTTTTACAGGAACCAAATCATCAAGCGAACACTCCTGCTGAGTGACAGGGTCCTTGGAAGTTTCATTAATTGCTTGTTCTATTAAGCGTCGTTCGTATATGTTTCCTGCAGAACGCGTTAGAAAAAGTGAACCTGTCATTGTTCTTACCGCTAACCCGTGAAACAACCGGTTCTTTCGGCGTTTCTCCACTGATTGAACAAAACATTCGGCTCAAAAAGTTTCGTTCTGTGCAAAAGGGCCTTCCTACTGTTGTGGATTGTAATCAACGAGGTTGAACGATATCCATAAAGTGGGTATATTTCTCATGTTAAAGTGTAGTAAAACGTTTTAGAAGTAACGGTACTATACCTAAAAAAAAATTATACATTACAGTAAGAAAGATAATGAAATACAAAGAGACTATAAGAGGTCATGCGTGCTGGTAGATTTTTGATCTATTTCAATATTTCCCGTTAGCATATCACAGAAAGAAGGAATTCATTCATTGGTACTTGTGGAAGGTGAATTTATAGTGTCGTGAGAGAAATAATAAAGAATAGAGAATGGATAACACGACATTATTGACGCGTGGTGATAATGTCTACAATAAGAAACGCGGACGTAAGCAACGGCAGGAAGAAATAGTTTTCGACAAAGCACAGAGACAGTAAGTTACTACGTCTAATTTAGACATTGAATGCCAATTAACGTGTATTAGAGAATTTTTAACCGGGTTTCACAAGCGGAAAGTAGAGCGTCAAAAACATGCTCAAGCTGTCGCGGAGAAACAGCAACGGGAAGACAAGCGTCAAATGCGAAAGATGGTAAGATAATATGATAGCAAAATACTTCTTTAGGAATGTTTGTTGACCTTTGATTCTTTTTATAGATACGACAACAAAGAAAACAACAACTTCAGGAGAGAATTGAAGCTTCCAGAAAATTATTAGGAGCTGAAGATACTTCTAACTCGGAGGATGAAGATTCAGATAATGTTACAGCTGAAACTGAAGATAAAGTGGTAATAGAAAACGACGATGAACCTCGTACTCGTGAATATGAAGAGGATGATAAGCACGTTTCTGTTATTATTCAAGAAGATGACGGAGAACAGAGCCAAAATGAAGAGGAGCTGGCGGATGGAATTCATACTCCACAAACTGATCCTCCGCCTAGTGTACCGATTCGTCCTCACAAACAAAAGCAAAAAAAAAATAGGTTCCGTTACGAGTCCAAAGAGGAAAGGAGGATGAGTGAACGAAAATCTAAAATTAAAAAGCTAAAACATGCGGTCCGTCGTCGTCATTAAGCTGGTTAGCATTTTGGGAACATATCATTCTGGTATTTAAGCATTCTTTTTAGTTAGGTATATATGTTAATATAGTAGGAGCAATACTTATGCGGACTAAACAAGAACTTTCAGTAAACAACAGAAATCTCAGAAGTTATTTTCTATACTAAATTGTTTTACTAATTTAACTTACAAACGAAGCGTCTGAATGAATTATATAATAGCTTCACCAACCCATTTATGTTAGTCCACCTTATTTTACTTTCAAATGATTTTATATTTTATATTATTTTTCTATTTAGTTTTTGTTTCAATATAATCCTGTGAGTTCTTTTCTTCGCATTTACCATATTATACCCTCTCTCATAAAAGTTTTACCCTTCCTTCTTGGAACATCAAACTTGGCAACCACACAACCTTCTAAACTCAAGGATTTAGCGTTGCTGGTTCTATAAGCACCCAGACTCATCGATCATGACTCTGCAATAGAGCATGTCTTCACCTTTAAAAAAACTGAACCACGCAGTATCGCATCGTCGTGATTCTATAAAAACTCGCGGGCGAGATAAAGGCAGGTCCCTTTACGTGAAACAGTATGAGCGGTACCTGGACGTTTTGCAAAAATATTTGAATGAAATAAATAGAAAAGATGTATCAAATTCAGAGGAAGCCGTATGGGGAAGTTTAGAGGGATCTTTCGTAGGTAATACTTTTTGGACTTCGGATGAAAAACGTTCTTTTTTTCATGGACTGGCGAGATATGGAAAGAAAAACATAGATAAAGTGTCTTATGTGATTGGTAGCAAAAGCCCTTCGCATGTTCAGCATTATATTGACATTTTGGATACCGAATTACGCTGGCTGAGAAATCATATTGATTCTTCTGTTCGTAGTCGATATTTAATCAAGTATCAGGAAATTCCAGCTGCTTCGGAAATGAGTCATGAATGGGTTGAGTGGGAGGAGTCTTGTTCTCAACGACTTATTGACGCTTCAGATAAAATAGCCTCTGAGGATAGGAGAAAGGAATCCATGCATGTACAAGCAAACCGGGAAAGCCATAACGATGATTTACTGAAGCCGCAAGATTTATTTAATGTTCCTTTGATGGAAAAGCTATGCTTTCAGTTTTACTATAATGAAAGGTCTGGACTGGAAAGTAAAGAGAAAACAGCAAGTTTCTATACTTCCTCGGTTTTAGAGGATCTTGTGGATTTAGTAAAACAAAAGACAAAAGAATTGGTTTTAAACTCGGCTTTTTTGGCTGAGCTCCGATTTGGCAAACTGGAGTCAAGCGCCGTGTTTCATCGAAAGGCTACTATACGTTACCGGGATGTAGAATTATCGACAAGGTTGTCACGATTTGATCGTTTTAATATTCCTGGATTTTGGAAATACCTTCCTTTTCGTCAAAAGCTTAGGGTTTTAAAGCAGAATAAAAGACTGAAGCCAAAAACATTTATTGAAATATTGAGCAAAGATGAAGACTTCATTCGTCATAAACAAGGAAGAGCAAGACTCAGAAAAAAGCATGATTTAGATTCGGAGGAAGTGCTATCGTTTAACTCTAAAGACTCACCCCTAATAGATTTGGAGTCGGTGGTGCCCCCTACTCCTCCTGAGGCTAGTTCTGACTCTGGGGACGATGCGTCTGCAATTACGGAGAGTCATTCGAGCATGCCTGAGAGCGATGATAGTCCAGTTGAGGGTGAAGAAGAACAAGACGACATCAATTCGTATGATATGGCACAGTCAAGGGCATACGAAAAGTCCTTAATTGATTATGTTGTGTGTAAAGAAATTGAATCTCTAAGTGAAGAATCCGATAAAGTTGCTTTGCTTGAATTAATAGCTCAAAAAAAACTCGTGGATATGTCAAGCTTAAACGATGATACCTTTCGTGATGCATCGACCGATTATCTGCGCAGTTTACATACTGTCGATGGGGAATCTGATTCTGACGTTGATGTACAGCCAATCTGCTACTATTATAAAGACCCCATGCTGATAGACTCCAACCCTGAGGATAATCCTTCTGAACGTTTGCAGAAACAGTATGTTGGTTTAATCTCTTATGACATGGATTTTCATCAGGAACGGATGGATCCTTATGAATTGTTAGCTCAACCGGTGTCTTCCTGGGAATATTCTTTCCATAATTCAACTGAGTATGATGCTTCTAACGAAGAGGATATTGCTAGTATCGAACCATAGATATAACTTTTCACAGTGCTGTGCTTCATGTTATCTGATTATTTCTTTTTATTTTATTATTTTATTATTCCTACTTGTTAATCATGTATATTGAATTCCTCCGTGCTCTATTTTTTGGTCCGTTTTATATGAGTTCTGAATATGGTTAATTTCTCTTCTAGTGTGCTTTCTTGTCTACATTAACAACTTTGCTGTTTGAGCGCTGCCAAGGCAACTCTCCTCCAACTCATACTTTAGGATAAATTGTTTCATATTATCTGAATTTTGTTAGCTACTTTATTTAATTTTTCACGCTTTACTACATTTAGCCAGCCATTTTCGTAAAGAATTAAGCTTAAAATAGCGAGCTATATGATACTGTAAGGTATGCTATGATAGAGCATAATGTCATAAGACCGGCAAGGTATTCTAGCACAATTCATGATGTGCATGAATTTACTAACTACACCCACCATCATTTATTGATTGTTTGCGAGTATACCTCGGTAGATATTGTAATTTTACAATATCAATGGAAACCTGAAACACGAATAGTTTTATCCGCGTCGTTTGTTTGCTTGCAGTAGGCTTCTAGTTCCTATCGTTTCATGAAGCTTGTTGTCGTCGATTAGTACTAAAAGTAGAATAAGAAGATGGGGTTTAGAAAAAATTTTCCGTTAGGAAAGAGTGGTAATTATTGTACTCGTTGCGAACGTGAGTTCCAGCGAAAAGAAACTCCGATTTCGTTCGGAGGTAGACTTTGGCATAACGGTTGTTTTACATGTGCGAAATGCTTGAATAATCTAGAACAGAGCAATCAATTGCTAATTCAGACGTCCGACGGAAAGCCGGTTTGTAGTGATTGCTCACACACCTGTACAGTTTGTCAAAAAGCGATCCAGGACTATGCTCTTATGAATGGGTTTGATTCATATCATCGGGACTGCTTTAGATGCTCGAATTGCAGAAAAGTTTTTAATAACTCGGAATTTGTGAAAGACGGTCGAACTGTATATTGTAGCGATTGCAGCAGTCAAAACTCTTCTTTCATGTCTCCTCCAATGGAAAATGCACCTTTACGTACTTTACGTACCACAAAATCACCAAGTCATGAGAAAGCATCTTCGCAGGATTCGAGCCACTCCTCGAACCCTGAAATAGCATCTCCCAAGTCAAAGTTTTATGCTTCTGAAAACAGATCTAATGAGCGTGTATTGCATGCCAATGGTGAAACTACACTACAAATTAACCAAACCATTCCTACGGAATCAGCTTTTCAGTCTGTCGACTCTTTATTTTCGCCCGAAAAGAATAAAAGTTCAACCTCTTTCAATAGCTTTGGATCGCCTAAAAAAGACAATGTTCATTTGAATGCTCCTTCTCCATCCAGTTCCCCTCTCCATAGAACGTCGGCATACACGAATGACCGGACTCTTACTCCCAATATCCCTTTAGACAGGAAAGCTCCCTCTCCTTTCAAAACCATTTCCTCATCTAACAAAAAGACTTCTACTGATGACTTTTTAAATGACTTTGGCTTTGCCCCACATCAAAAGCAACATTTCTTTACTGCACATCTTAACAGATCTCAGTCTAATCAGAACATTCATTCTTTATCTGAAATAAACAGCAATCCGCATCAACCGTCGTTTTTATCTCCCCATAATCAATATAGTGTTTCTCGAGCCGTGAGTCCAAAGTCGCAAGTTCACCGCAAGTCATCCTCCCAACCGTCAAATATTTATGGACTTCCCCATTTCGTTTCCTCCCCCGAGACAATCTCCTCAGGTAATGGTGAACGTGGTAATTCTCATGGGTCTCTTCATGTACATTCTGGCTCATCACTGCCCACTCTCGTTTCCCCTTCTAATCCTCCATTTGAGACGAAAGTGTCCGAGAGTAATAGTAACACTCCTTCTTCTGATTCTTCTAGTTTTTTTGAAAGCTACAAGATAGATATGGAAGCGCTGAAACTACAAATAAACAAACTCACACACTTAACGGAATCTATATCGTCAAGATCTATTGCTTCTGGATCGGAAAGTTCATTGAATTTGACTGAAAAGAAGGACGCGTTACGTACACAGAAGCTGGAAGTTTGTGAAAAGTTCTTTTCTTTTGCTGACGTTGCCGATGATCCTATTTTGAAAGATCCTCTCCATCAGAGCTTAGTAGCTGCGGCTAATGCTTATATGAAAATGCTACGCGATAATTTCTCACAAGAACTTTCTAATTTGCTGGAACGACGAAATGAGCTCCTTCAGGATTATTCTAATGCACAAAAATTACTTAGCGAGTCATTAGAAGCCTCAGTTCACTTGAATGCTAAAAATCTGGAACTAGCTGATTTAAATAATAGCCTGGCTAAACAAATACAGCAAAAACGAGAGTTACCACAAGGAGCACCGCAAGCTTCGTCCGGGCCGAACAACTTGTTCTTAGACACAAAATCGTTAAAGCCGCATTCCTCTGATTCCGGAATCAGTAATCCGGATTCCTACCAGCCGTCGACGTCTCCTTTACAAGCCAGTTTTAACAAGCTTGAATTACGTGGGCTGAAGTTGCTGAACTCTGGGAAAGCCAGCAATCGAAAAAGTCATTTCAAGTCATTTCATGCGAAATCCAAATCTGCTGATCCCGTAATCGTAAACGAAACGCCAGTATGTCAACATGTCTTCCAGGTTAATGCTATATTCAAGCCGTCTCGTTGTTTTATTTGTTCGGAGACGATATGGGGATCAGAAGTGCGCTGTATGAAATGTTCTGTTGCTTGTCATTCACGTTGTGTAAAGAAGTTATATTCGGGAAACGAAGAGTTAAAGTTTTTTTCGGACGAAGAGACCGATAATAATAACAATAATAGTAATGCTAACGTCCCGGAGATGCCGAGCAGACTACCTCCTCCGGAACCTTCTCCTTTGATGTTTGGTAGACCTTTAGAGGTTCAAGCAAAGATTGATAAGCAATCTGTTCCTAAAGTTGTTCAGATATGTGCAGAGTGTGTCGATGCTCATGGGCTACATATCGAGGGTATATACCGTATTTCCGGAAGCGCTTCCCAAGTTCGTGCATTTATTGATATGTTTGAACAGAACAGCATACAAGTGGAACGTTTAGCTTCTGACATAACTGCTTGTACTTCCGTGCTAAAAACGTATTTACACAAACTTCCAATTCCAATAATCCCAGATGAACAATACCGGAAGCTATTGAAAGCTGAGGAGCTTGATGACGGTTTTGCGAAGGAAGAAATGTTTCGAATGGTTCTACAAGAACTTCCTGTCGAACATATCAGCATTTTCAACTATTTACTTCAACATCTTTTGCGTGTCGCTGACAATGCTGATAAGAATCTAATGACTAGGAAAAACCTTGCTACCGTATTCGCTCCAACTCTCATGAGAGAGACAGACATGCATCTTAATTTGAAAAATGTTAATAAACGAAGTGCTATACTACAGTACATACTGGAAAGTTATGAAACGCTTTTTACTGACACTTATGTTGCGTGAAATACCCTCTAAGAAACCTTATGCATATTTATGATTTTTTAACATCAGTCAATAAATACTATAAATGCAGACATATACATATATGTATATGTAAATCATTTTGGTGGAACAAGCTTTAAGGGAGAAGGAAATATTTTTATTTATAAGATAATGAATTCATGATAAAAAAGGTTAACGGACGAGTCTCTCCAGATACCGATTCCTTGCATGGCATATTTAATGATATTGGTATTAAAGATAATCTGCACTGGTCAGTTTTCAATCACATAACAATGGTGTTCTTATTTTAGAATATACTACCTAGTAAGTTTAAGTCACGATCATTGCTTTGATCTCTCAAAAGTTCCTCGCTATCTTCTTCTCCAGAGTTTTCTGTAGACCCGCCTTTCTGGTTCTGTTTTCTTTTAGGCTTCGATGAGAAGATGCTTCCCAATGCGTCGAATGACATTAGGCGCACTCGTCCGCGATCACCAGAGTTTTTGTTTGATGACAAGGAAGATTCGTCACCGACTTCATCAGTGATAGATTCTTTTCTATTAAGCGTTTGGTATTCTTCGTCTTCAGTTAGTGGTCCAGCTTCCGGAAACTCGTTGAGATACTCGTTGAAATCATTAAGTCTTGATCCCGTATGGCTACTATACAAGTAGTTTCGGTTTTCATCGGGAGATTCTTGTTTAGAAGTAAATCGACGCATCACTATCAGGTATAATGGAAGTGTTAATTTGTAAGATGTTGTTAATTTTCGCATATACCTATATTTATGTCTGATGTGGCCAACATGACGCCTACATCAGTTATGGGATTCTTTTCACTGATGAGGAATCCTTTGAAAGAATGATTTTTTTACGATCATGTCAGTCGTCATTTGTTACGCGGATTGTGGCACCCTGGGATTTGTTTGCTTATTTGTATATACTACAGAATCATCAATTGACGGATGGAATTGTATAAGCCAAACCATTCAATGAAAAAGTACGCAACATATTTTTTTCTTTTTACAAAAATTGTTAAGCAATTTTTATTAAGAAAACTCAGCAATTTCAATAATGCTGGCTATACTCTTGATAAACTTGGTGGAGAAGTTCCCATTTACAAATGTGATCAGTATGATGTCAATTCGGTGAAAAAGAAAGAAACGCCTACGGCTCTCTCGTAATCAACTTTAATTTGCCTAAACTGTTCGGTTCGATCGAAACTTGCTTGAGAAGCTACGCTATGTGGTCTAGTTACATTGCTAAGCTTGTAGCAGAATCCTATATGAGTAGGCAATAGCTCGAGAAGAAGATTGCTTACAAATAACTTTTCGTGACTTTGTAGGGCAGAATTATTGATACATTGTGTTTATCTTACGTCGGCAAGCCAAGCTTGCGATGTTTCCTTCGTTCCTTCGTTCAATGACTGACTGAACATACCTTTTTTGTTTGTATCTGTTACTAATTACCTTGCGAGGATTAACATTCTTCCTGCACCCAGTTTGTGTCATGCTTGAAGGAAGAGGATTTGAGTTACTCGATTTTATTTTCCTTTCTTTATCACTGCAATCTGCATTTAAGTGAGTACTCTCGTTTATACAACAGCATAAGGAAACAATTTTTCAATTGGTTTTTGTCTTATTCTACTCTTATGAATGAAAGCTACAAAGCTAGAACTTCATTATCACATACTACCAGTTAAGTTGGGATCTTCATTGGAAACTATGATGACGCATATCAATCTTTAAGAAATAATAAAATAAAGACTCAGATAATCAACTAGAGTGTGATACTTTATGTATTGTACTGTACATAAGCGAATCATTCGGTTGCTCTAAATAAAGTCTTTTGATAATATTCTAGGGTATAGAGACATTTTATACCCAACGGAAACTAGTTATTGAAATGAATGTTTGTCGTTGCTATTAAGTTGATGCGTCTTTGATGAAGGATCTTGCATTCATAACAACGGTGGAAAAGTCTGTTGTATGAACTAATCTGATGAGTGTGTATTGTATAGCAAGCATTGAGACTTGTGCGAAGTTGAATATGTTTACTCTTGAGAGTCCTTTTTGTTTTTTTTTCTTGTTCTTCCACATTCAACGTTCGTTTCTTAAGAATGGTCGGTCATCGGGCTTTTGTGTGACTACGGTTAAAGTATGAAGAGCATGCTTAACCTATGCACTAATTATTATAGTATTCTATGCTTTATAATGAGGCGAGATATATAGTTTGGGAAATTCCAAGATGAACTACCTGAGTGAGACCAAACCATCAATACGTTAATCTTTTGATTGATGCGTGTGTCTTTTCTGCATGGTGAATGGTAATGTCGACGCTCTTAATGCTTTGATTAATCTCTCTTTTCTTTTTTCTTTTTTGTTCTTTTGTTATTTTAACGTATACGATCTTTTAAAAAAGCCTTCCTCAAAGTTAAAGAATGAAAGAAATGTTATGAAGCAAGTATTCTAATCCTTGTCAAGCAGATTTACCATACTGATTTATGAGTACTACTTTGATTGGTTTGTAGGAGCTTGAATAGAAGCATTTTGTTAGATTTGCTCGTTTCAATTAACTTCAGAAATTCTTTTCTTAATCGATTTTTCATGCATAGTGAAATGATTATTATTATTATAAGTGGTGTTTTTTTATTTTCTAATTTTTCTAATTTCTAAAATATCTTTTTTTTTTTTTTTTTTTTGCTAAATTATATTTACATCTTTGGTGCTTTCTTCAAAAAGTTCTTTTAGTCTACATACCTTGATTAAAGCATGCTAGGTACCATTGCCAAGCAATTTATTGTATAATGTAGATAAAAGATTTTCCGTTGTACATGTTATTTATAAGTTTTAAAAAAAAAAGAAAGACATACTGTTAGCTTTGGTTGTCTACAACTGATCCACCGTACCAATGGATAACATCGATCTCAGACAAGCAACCGAAATTCATCTAAGCAATCTTTTGGTGTAGTATGTCAGTCTGTGCAAATTAAATCTATCATTCTTTATTTTAAATTTAATTCCTCCTTATTGAATCCTCTTTAGTTGACTTTCTGTCTTGTTATCAGTTCATAGAGTACTTTTATTACGGCCTTGAAGACACATCGACGATGAACCCTTCAGAAACCCATCTGTCTTTAATTTTATCAGACGCTGCGTTTCCACTTTCTTCGTTTTCATATTCATTTGGTCTCGAGTCATACTTATCTCATCAACCCCGAAGAACTACGAGTGCCTTCTTTGACTTTTTACCATTGTCACTAAATTCATTGCTGTATACGAACCTTCCCACAGTTAAAGAATCATGGGAAACCCCGGAAAACTACTTGCAAATAGAAGAATTCTTTGAAAGCACCCAAACCTGTACGATCGGTCAGAAAGTATCGACCATGCAGGGAAAGGCTTTACTCGGAGTGTGGGTGAAATCGTTTTCTACATTTATGATTCCAAATGAAATATCAAAACTATTAATGAATTACGATTACTTGGTCCGTCATCGAAAGGCACTCGGTCACTTCCCAGTGATTTGGGGTATCTTATGCAGGGCACTTGGAATTTCTTTAGAAAGGACATGTTATCTCTATTTATTAAATCACACAAAATCTATATGTTCTGCTGCTGTCCGCCTGGACGTATTAAGTTCTTTCCAATATGTGTCCACTCTAGTACACCCCGAAACCGAAACACTTCTGAAAGAGTCATTAAACGTTGCGTTAAGTCTGACATTAGAAGATACTTCACAAACTTGGTATCCCTTGGACCTATGGCAAGGGAGACATAGTCTGTTATACAGTAGAATTTTCAATAGCTGAAAACTTACGGTCAAAACTTGAATAGATAATCGATGCAAATGTTCTAGCTTCAGAATTATGGGATATAGATTCAAAAAAACTTTCCTTAACGGGTGATTCAGTGATACTGCCACTGAATTTCGTGAAAAAGCTTAACATTTTGGCCAATCTAGCGTCCTCGGTAGGAAGAAAAGTTTTCAAATGGGATAATAGTAGTCGCATTTGTGTTGAGAAAATAAGTTCTGCATCTGCTTCTGTCACAAAATCTTCGAGCTCATCCAACATTTGGGAAAGACCGCCCGTGACGACATATTTTTTTGAGATTTCAGAAAGAAGTTCTTCGCGATCTTGGGAAAATTCAAATTTATACCTCAGAAATACGTCGTTCATTGTCCCTTCTAAAGAAGCATATATATTGTCTACTTTCATAATATCCGTAGGGGAAGTACTAAATATATGTCAGTTTTGCTTCATATAGATCAGTTTGTAAATTACCTTTCAAAGAATTTATGGACAGAAGAAGAAACATGCTCGATTAAAAAGGGTAATTGTTTTTTTTCCAGTACGTAGACAATTCCCATAAGAATAGCAGGATCAGAATCCTTTTGGAAGGTATCATGAAAATTAGCACTGTATTTTTGAGAAGCACGTAGACAAAAATCTTTGCGTCCCAAAATTGTTAGAGAAACCTTGGTCAGCATATTGCATTCTGTTATCACACATAAAGTCGTTAAAATTCGCACAATGGATTGGAACTTCAACTCATTCCACAGGAAAAGCTTTTTTTCTCCATTTTGGTCGGTGGAGCGGGAATCCCTGAGATTTTGGACAATCGAATGTAGAGGAAGCTGTTCTTCGATTTCACTGACTATGGCATCGAAAACAGAACATGAACTCGACTGACCATCTGAAAGAGCTTTCTCGAAATTTTGTGTGTATCTAAACCATGATCGTTAGTCCAAGTTAACGCTTCCTATATACGCATACAAAAGTTGTAATTCGCGTTGCTCAGCAAGTTTGCCGATAGCAGTTCTCAAACTTGAGTCTGCATAACAAAGAGCCAACACTGGAATTGAAGTTCCCAAGGCAAAATTGCAACACTTCTTTACGTATCTAGAAAGCGACATGCAGTAAGAATTGCTGTGAGATTTGGCAATGGCAAATGGCTTTGAACGGTGAGCTTAACGGTGAATTAAATAGGTTTACTCAATGGGAATACTGTTTTAAATCCTAATTATAGTGTTGAATGGATCGTTAAATTGAGTCCCGATTATAAAATGCCAAAGGTATTCAACCAACAGTGATGGTTGGAAATAAGGCAAGTTTTTCAGTACCAAATGATTAGATGTCTTTTTTTCTTTTGGTTTTCGTTTTGGTTGTATAGGAGATACCGGAAAAGAACAATTAGTAGGTATGTGAGTTTTCTGGTAATTGGCGACTCCTCTACAAACATATGTTTCGAGCAATGTTAGAACTGTTTGCAATGTTACATGGAGACTTAGATATTTACTTAATATTAAATTGGTAAGAAGTACTGTCTACCATTACAAGCGGTCGAAATGCGACAAAAATAATTTTTCACAGGGGACGCTTTTATTAATTTTTTTTTGGAACTTTGAGGAATAGAAGAATAATTAAATAATACATAGACTAATAAATACAAGAATTCAAGATGCTACATAAGTTGTCACTCAAGTACAACTTTTCATCTGGTTTTCAGTAGTTGACCTTACCAACAACACCTTACATCCGTAGGCTTTTCTAAAAGCGAGACGTTAGCGTTACTTGTAAGATATAATTTAAAAAGGGAAAAAAATTAACAAACTAGAGGTTTAATCGCAGGGATTCATTGCTCATAAACCTGTAACTGGGAGACATTATAACGGTCAGACAAGTTTTGGAAGTTACTTAAAACTATTATACACAAGATGTTGGACATTAATTTGTTTCAGACGGAAAAGGGAGGAAACCCTGAGTTGATCCGTGAATCTCAAAGAAAGCGCGGTGCCGATGTTGGAGTGGTTGACCGTGTTATCGAAATGTACAAGGAATGGGTTGCTCTTCGTTTTGAGCTTGACAACACTAACAAGTCAATGAATCGTGCTCAAAAGGAGATCGGCATGAAGATGAAGGCAAAGGAAGATGCTTCTGAGCTTTTGGCTGAAAAGAATGCTTTGACTGAAAGAAAAAAGAACTTGGTCGAACAAGAAACCGCCAAGAACAAAGAAATGCTCAGTGTTGTCCAATCTATTGGTAACATTGTTCATGACTCAGTTCCCGTCAGCATGGACGAAGATAACAATGAAGTAATTCGCACTTGGGCCCCCGCTGGTGTGAAAGCTGAAAAGAGGGATTGCCTTTCTCATCACGAAGTATTGACCCGTTTGGATGGTTACGATCCTGAGCGTGGTGTGAAGGTTGCCGGTCACAGAGGTTACTTCCTCCGTCAATATGGTGTCTTCCTAAATTTGGCTTTAATCCAATTCGGTTTGGACTTCTTGTATCAACGTGACTACACTGCCTTGCAAGCTCCTACCATGTTGAACAAAGACGTCATGGCTAGAACTGCCCAACTGGAACAATTCGACGAAGAATTGTACAAGGTTGTTGATGGTGATGAGGAGCGCTACTTGATTGCTACCTCTGAACAACCCATTTCTGCTTACCACAGCAATGAATGGTTTGAAAAGCCTGCTGAGCAACTTCCCATCAAGTATGCTGGTTATAGCACTTGCTACCGCCGTGAGGCTGGATCTCACGGACGTGATGCCTGGGGTATTTTCCGTGTTCATGCTTTTGAGAAGATTGAGCAATTCGTATTGACTGAGCCTGAAAAGTCTTGGGAAGCCTTCGATGATATGATGAACCATGCTGAAGAGTTTTACAAGGCTTTGGAAATTCCTTTCCGTGTTGTCTCCATTGTCTCTGGTGCCTTGAACAATGCTGCTGCTAAGAAGTTTGATTTGGAAGCTTGGTTCCCTTACCAAGGTGAATACAAGGAGCTTGTTTCTTGCTCCAACTGTACAGACTACCAATCCCGTAACTTGGAAATCCGTTGCGGTGTGAAGAAGATGGGTGACCGCGAGAAGAAGTATGTTCACTGCTTGAACTCCACTCTTTGTGCTACGGAGCGTGCTATTTGCTGCATTATTGAAAACTATCAAACTCCTGATGGTATAAATATTCCCAAGGCTCTTCAACCTTATATGGGTGGAAAGACGTTCTTGCCTTTCACTAAGGAACTTCCCAAGAACTCTACTTCCAAAAAGGGAAAGAACTAACTTGTGGATAAATTTGGTTTAGTAAATATATATGCATATTCTATAGACATAAAAGTTTATGCTACAATTAAATAGGAATACTGTATTGGACCAAGTCCAATAGAGCTAACTGTAGGAAACCCACTTTTCATAATTTATACAATGCACTCACATTACGGACATATGACAAAGAATGGTCAAGGGAACTCATGGTATCGCTTTCACTTATTCGACATTACTGGCCTATAAATTCCTCCCAAGTTTATAATATTTTTATTCATGCTTACCAAATTTTCAATTTTCCTGCGAATATTTGTTCCCCCAGACACCATAATATAACTACCATATAATCCCATGGAGGGAATTGTTTCCTTCAAACACTCCATAAAACAATTTTTTCTTTTTTTTTCTTTTTCAAAAGTAAAATGAATTTCCTTTGCTGCATAAGCAGAAATGCTATCTTCCTCTAATGTTTACGTAACCAATGGGTGTGCTAATTATTGATTTTTATTTTGTTTTGACTCGCAAAAGCAGTCACTATAACCAGAATTTGTCGTTTGTTTACTATTTTAAGACAGACGTTTGGTTCTTTATTTATTAAAATCACCAATTCGTATTGTTTCCAATTCTCTTGCTGTTTCTTTAAACCGCCAGCCGTATATTTGATTTTGATCAAAATCTTTGGTTTGAGAGATCTTTTGTCATACTTTATTAATGAAGTACACCGCAGTCTAATGCATTTCACAATAGTTCAGTGTAGTTTGTAAACGTCAGCCTCATTTGAGTTGGGGTTGGCAACTTGCTGTCATCCGTTCACTACATACCATAAGTTATTGGCAACACCAAAAAATCAGTTTGTAGCGGCTTTCAGGGCTTTTTTCTGCCTTTTATTTGTTTCTTAAAGTCTCAAGAGATTTTTATCTCTACAAAGAACGAGACGAATCAAGAATCCGACGAAAATTGCGAGTTGTTCGGATACAATAGCATATATTTATATTTTTTGGAGGAACTTTTGTGTTTAAATTAGCAAAAAATGGATGAAGTGGAAGACATATCTTCCAAAGTTGCTTCCTTAGGGGTGAATTCAGTGAAAAATGCAACAAAGCACATAGCGGACATACCTAAGCATCACCACCACCGTTCAGATGCGGATGCCAATGCTGAACAAACGAATGCATCGTCATCTTCGAATGGAAATGACGTTCCTGCCGAATACAACAATGGTACTGCTAATAATGAACATCCTCAAAAGCAGACGAATTATGGAGAACCATTGCAAGGCGAAAAGCTTCGTTCTAATGATAATTATGGTGCTCAAATGGTTCATTCACCGGTTCCCTCCGCAACTCCTAGTCGGATTGGCTCTGTTGATGCTATTGCACCCAATTCGTCAGCAACAGCTCAGCAGCCTAATGCAACGTCCAAAAATCCGGTATCCCAAAATAGATCCAAAGACCAAACTGCCATGCCTCCCCCGGCAAAACCATCTCGCTCGCCTGCGTCTTTTATGTTGGGTAATCCTCATTCGAAACCCCAAACAAGCGCTGCACATTCTCCGATTGTCACTCCCGCTTCCTCTGCCTCTGTTTCTCGGGCTAATTCATCTTCCAATACTCCTCACAAACCCACGGCAATAGCAGCACCAAATCCAAGTGGTGCTCCTAACGCTAATAATGGTCCCGTCCCCGCCCCAACTCCTATCTCTACCACCGCGACTCCCTCAAAAAATCCTGTTTCCAGGTTACAGCGTATTTTTTCACAATCATCTGTTAATCGCCAGAACGCTAAAAACAAGCCTTCTGCAAATGCTAACACCGAAGAAACAAATAGCACAAACGGTAGTGAGACTGGAGCGTCAGGCGTCGCAAATAGTTCTTCTGGTGCAAACCAAAACACTAAACATTCTCGATTTACTGTTTACGATGACGGCAGTCATACTCACCAACTTCGTCCTGCTAAGCGCCAGGAAAAGTTGGGTAAGATGTTGAAGGACTTCCTTGCGGGGAACAGTAAAAAGCGTGAAGAGGAGCGTGCTGCAAAGGAGGCTGCAGCTGATTCTCAGCATCAACTCAGTTTGGTTCAATCTTGGATAAATGGTTATGGTCAGGAGAAGCTTGCTGACAAGAATTTCGGCAAGGTGTCAGCTAGCTTTGTAGAAAAGTATGGACGCTGTCAAGAAGTCATCGGTCGAGGAGCCTTTGGTGTTGTACGGATATCGCACAAGGTTGATCCACAAAATTCTAGGTCAGAGTTGCTTTATGCGGTGAAAGAATTTCGACGCAAGCCGACGGAATCGCAGAAAAAATACACGAAGCGTCTCACTTCGGAATTTTGTATATCTTCGTCTTTGCGCCATCCTAACGTCATTCATACATTGGATTTGATTCAGGACAACAAAGGTGATTATTGCGAAGTTATGGAACTTTGTTCTGGAGGTGACTTGTATACTTTAATTATGGCTGCTGGACGGCTTGAGCCTATGGAAGCTGACTGCTTTTTCAAACAACTCATGCGAGGCGTTGATTACTTGCATGATATGGGTGTTGCTCATCGAGACTTAAAGCCAGAAAATTTATTGCTTACCATTAACGGTAGTATCAAGATCACTGATTTTGGTAATGGTGAGTGTTTCCGAATGGCTTGGGAAAAAGAGGCACACATGACATGTGGCCTCTGTGGTTCTGCACCTTATATTGCGCCTGAGGAGTATACTGAAAATGAGTTTGACCCTCGTGCTGTGGATGTGTGGGCTTGTGGTGTTATTTATATGGCCATGCGTACCGGTAGACATTTATGGCGAGTCGCAAAGAAAAGTGAAGATGAATTTTATGCGAAGTATTTGATGGATCGGAAGAATGAGAGTGGATATGAGCCGATTGAAATGTTAGAACGGTCACGGTGTCGAAACACTCTATATAATATTCTGCATCCTAATCCTGGCTATCGTTTGACCGCGAAGCAAATTATGAAAAGTGAATGGGTTCGTTCCATTAAGCTATGTGAATATGGTGGTGCTGGATTATAAAATGGTTCAAATTGCAAATGCTGCCAATATCAATAACTGCCCCTTTTTGATTCCTTGCAAGTGCACTCATCTTATAATTATTCTATTGTTTATATGTTAATGCATAAATGTATTTTTGCCAATTGAGAGTTTTCAACTGACATATTTATTTTGTATATTGTCCCTGTTGGAGAATACACAATGATCTAAACACTACTCAGTTTATTTAATAGACTTTATTTCTGCTTATAAAGAAATACTTGCTTCTTGTCTCTAGTAATTTGTTCATTCGTAAGGTTAAAGTAGTTTTTAACAAGAATACAATGAATGTAGCAAAAATTAAATAAATAAATAAATATTTAGAAAATTTATTAATGCGGATCTGTTTTTGTACTTTGTTTATGAAGCGTCAAATAAAATTAAGCAAGCATGATTACTGATTTCCAGGAACTGTAATGTCTCACTGTTTCGTGTGTAGTTTCATAACTTTACATGGTTCATTCCTCGAACAAGGAACGAAATGAAGGAGTCATTCTACCAGCTCATTCATCGCTGAAATCTTGTGCTTGTCAACTTATAAGAGGGTATGTATGAAAAGACACGAACAAAGAGAGATACCATAAAGTAAGGAAGGCTTTCGTAGCGTAGTTCATGAAAATAGAAAGGATGCAGATCTTTCAACATCAAAGAGATGGATCAAGCAGAGGATAAACCGACGTAAAACGCTGAAAGAAAACTCATTTTAAAGCAAGGGTTGGTCAAAGCCCAGTTCCGTATACTAGTGAATGTTGACTGAGCCGGCAAATGTTCTGAAACGTTTGTACTAAGATCACCAAACCGTTCAGTCTGTCCGATAAATCTGCTTTGGATTCGGGACCAATTTATTCTGATCAAGCCTTTTGTATTAATATACTGCATATAGAGTTAGCATTTTACCTTGTTGGCTTGACTTGAGGCGAAGGACATTACTCATGATGAGTCCTTCTGGTATCTCAAGTGGAATTTGTTTTTCTTACAGCAATGGTAGCAAGGACACTTGAGCAAGCTACAATAAATAGTTGACCGAATTTTCCAAGTGCAAACCCTGCGGCTAAGCCAAGAGAGCTTCCAGTGAAGATTTGACGATAGTTCAATTTGAAGCGATTCGTAGTTTTAATGGCAGTAGCGGTTGGACCAGATTCACATGAAATTGAGCCAGGAAAAAATAGAGACAAAGAGGAAAATTGAGAGCGGAAGGAAGTCATTTTTAGTGTCGACAAAAAGGCGTTATGAGTAGTTTCTTGGATACACTTGGAAGTAGGTGCGAAGGATAGAACGTCATGGGCGTAAACATTCAGACGTCAAACCCAGACAGAGATCATTTGAATTTCTATGTATATTCTTTTTGTTAAGATAAAAAATAAAATAAGTTAAAATAGATGTAAATATAAATGTATTTACAAATACTCTTGCAGACGAAATAGGAAAGAAAAAAAAAATAATATTAGCCAGAATCGTGTAGAGAAAATTGAATACCTGAGACTTCTGGCCTATTGAAATAGGATGCGAAGAAAGAAGCTTAGCATTGACTTTCTACGCTTAGCAAGCGATCCACTTTTTAAAACATTTCGTTTGGAAGCCAAACAGAAGAAAGGGTCATTAGAAATCTCTAATCTCAGTACGAATTTTCCATTATGAAGGCGTACAGATCAGTTTCTTGGGTCATGGCAGACATAACTAAGTTTCATACGAAGTGTCGATTGACCAAAACTATTGAATTGCTGACTGCCAAAGTCTCAGTGAACGAGACTGTGGAATTCCCGTGTGTCAGTCTAATTAGAGGCTCACATTCTCTGGATGAAACATTCTTGCTTGTAATAATAAGATGTCAGGCAGCCTGCAGCAATTTTCGTTCAATATGTAAAACAATGGTATCCTTAGCTCTTGGAAATCCCTCGAAAAAAAATCATGTAGGACAAAATAGTAGGGACGATCATCTTTTGAATACATGAATTACCAAGTAATTGATTCATTATGAGACATTCAATACCAATTCCGAGATTGCTCGTAATAGTTCAGACACAAAGTTGGGGCTTGAGAACATACCGGTAGAATAACTAGTAAAAATCGATAGGGAAGAAATTCTATGTATTTAGTTTGTCACTGAACCATTGATACAGCTTTAGACAAGCCATCTAGGACAAGCTTGTAAAGTTACTTGGAAACCACAGAATGACTTTTTCTCAGGTAGGTCAAGACATTATCGAAAAAGAGTACTCTATTTATCCTTTAACCATTTATTGAATAATAAATTACGTCCAGAACTGGGCTAAACAGACTTCATAAGGTTTTACTTCATACAATGGTGGATGAGACGCGACTTACCAACTGCCATAAAACACAATTTAGGAAGATAAAATGGCTGTAAGTGCTACTGCTCAGTCAGCCAAGCAGGTACAAGCTTCAGAGGAAGCAATTAATCAAGAAAAATGTATTAATGAAGGTAAGGTTTGACGAATTGGGACGTGCAAATATATGCAAGCGCGTTTTAGTGACAGTAGGTTAACGCGCGTTTTAGTGACAGTAGGTTAACGAATTAGAATATAAAATTTGGAAAAAAAATTCACCTTTCTTGTATGATTTGATTATTACGAGGGCGTTGGAATGGCCATGTGTTTCTCTTCAATGGTATCCTGATCAACAACTGTGAGTTCATCAAAGCAACCGAGTTCTAAAACAGATTAGCTAATCATTCTCTTAAGATTTCCTGAACATGGATATACAGAACAAAATGTGCTGCTAGGTGTTCGTGCTGACGCTGGAAAGTATTACCTCGCAATTGCAGGTATTCAACTACCTTACCTAAATCAAAATACAAATCCTACTTCTATGGAAAAAGATGAACAAGAAAATTCTCTTCGAGTCAATGTTCGTGAGCTTTATTCTCATCCAGAGTCAATTAGCAAGGCCACTTTAATGCCGCAGAAGACTAGTCATGTTGCTACGATCGGGAATAACCATAATAATGTTTTGGTATTTAACGATTCATCTTTTAGTTCTTATAATTCTACACATGAGAATCCAATCCGACCTGCCATGAATCTACAAAAGCATGACTTACCTTGCACATCTTTATGCTGGAATTATATGAAACAGGGGCAACTCGTGTCAGGCTCTCGAGACTCCACAATCTGCCATTGGGACATTGAACATTACAATGAAAGTAATCCCTCTGCTGCTTTAATGTCCCAGATATCTACACATGAACAGCCCATTAATGATGTTAAATATCACTTCAAACATGGGGATATTTTCGCCTCTGTTTCTAGCGATCAACATCTTCATCTTCATGACAGTAGACGGGCAGATTATTCAACAACCCCATTGAAAAGCATTCATGCACATTCATCAGACGTGAATGCAGTTGCCTTCAATCCTTTAAATGATTTCATTATGGCTACATGCTCAGCGGACAAAACGATTGCTCTTTGGGACCTCCGGAATCTGAACAACCGCTTGTATACACTTGAGGGACATGAGGATCATGTTTCCAATGTCAAGTTTTCTCCTCATGAGGAGCCCGTATTGGTTTCTACCTCTGTCGATAGAAGAACTTTACTTTGGGATCTCTCACGCATTGGTGAGGATCAATCCGCTGAAGAAGCTCAGGATGGACCGCCTGAACTGTTGTTCATGCATGGTGGGCATACTTCATGTACCATTGATATGGATTGGTGTCCTAATTACAACTGGACTTTGGCTACTGCTGCTGAAGACAATATTCTTCAGCTTTGGACACCCTCCCGCTCAATATGGGGAAATCAACATTTGGAAGAAGATGCACAAGCAGCTTGAACGACAAGGTACACTTCAAAGCTGATTTCAAAATATAATTAGAAGATTAAATAAATTATACCGGTTACGTATGAAATCTATCTCTCTAACTAAACCATCGTAAAGAGTATGCTTTCGTTAATTATAAGATGAAATAAAGAATGAAAAACGGCCCTGCACCTAGAAACACGATGATGAACCGATAAGACATAGGTAAGAAGACAATGTGTAACACTTTTGAAATCCAAAATTGCCCTGCTAAAAAGAATATAAAAAGGAAAATAATTGAGATAATTATTAAAGACGTAACGTAAGTCTCTATAAAGTCGTTAGTAAATTGCAAAGTTGAGTATTTTACTTACTGTTTTTCCATGTAGGCGTAAGGAACTCGGATTTCCGATTAATGACAAGATTTACTCCAATGTATTGCAGAAAAGTTAACAAAAAAGAGCAAGAAACTAAGATATTTTTGGTATCTGATTCTCCGGCCTGCCATGTTGGAAGAGTGGTTAAGTCAAACTTTACATAGAACAGATTCAGTAACCACTGAGACAATATGACTACCCCAGAAATTATACCTAAAAAATACAAACTTGATTTTTCGAATAAAGTTGTGGAAGGCACGTTGGGTGTAAGTATATCGCTTGATGTAAAATGGCTCATTGCAGCAGACAAGGGGAATACGACTGCAAAATCCATAAATAAAAACTGGGAGTCACTATAATTAAAATTTTTTAAGTATAAAAAAAAAGTTCCTGAAAACTGAATAATCGCACTCATTACCATGTATTGAAAACAACGATAGCTGGTAACAATAGAACACCTTCCTTCTAATATGATTGTTATTGTGTCAATGATAGACTTCTTCTGGCTAATAAATGAAGCAGCAGCACAAGCCTCCGTATCCGATAGAGATACACTCACATCGGACCGTTTTAGAGCCAAACAATCATTTGCTCCGTCACCACAGAATCCAACTGTATATCCGAGCATTTTACAAAGCTCAACGTATTTGAGTTTATCGGTTGGTGACATCCTTGCCAGAATTTTTGTCTTCTTTATAATACATTTCAGCTTCTCTTTATTAAGAGATTCTGTCAATCTTTGTAGAAAACACCCAGTAATCGCCATAGCTGCATTATCATCGCTTATTATAGAATCAAGAACCATAGGATTAGGATATCCAACGGGTAAATAGCAATCCTCCTTGACATTGTACAATTTGAACTTCACATCATCGTTGACTGAATGATCATAATTAAACTTTTCTTCATTATCCATAACATAAATAAGGGACGAGGAGCCAAAAACACCCGATTTTTTACCGACGTACAAGCTAGTATATAAACTATCACCAGAACATACGGCAATGTGAATGCTTGCTTTATTAAACACATTCATCACACTGTACGAGTCCCTTTTTATTTTGCTTTCGAAAACCAATAATCCTTCAAAATTTAAATTCTTTTCCACTGACTCACGAAGTATCTGTTGAACGTCTGTGTCGGTTCTCAGAGGTTTCCATGCACATGCTAATACCCTAAACCCTTTGGAGGATAATTCATCTAATACGTTGTAAAGATTTTCCGGAATCGTTTTTGGAGAACAAATGCTCAAGATTGATTCGACCGCACCTTTGGAAAACAACATTGGAGTCTTTTTATTTTCGCTAATAGCAATGACAGACATTCTCCTAATAACAGGATCAAATTCGAAGGATCTTGGTATAGTATAAATGGCGTCTTCACCTGCCAGTCCACTTGTTACAGCAAATAAAGCATTGTGCAATCCAGAGTTAAGTTCATAAGAATTTATAAAGCGTCCTTGAAAAAAGGCAAACAATGCCAACTCCAAAGGATCACCTACGATACTTCCGTTAATTAGTTGCAAGGATTGACAGCAAGTGCTTATATTTGAAATCATCGTTTGTGACGCAGAAAAATCGTTAGCACATCGAGCAATTTCTAAATTGTTATGTGCATTTTTTATATATGTGCAAGACAACTGAACATTTTCTTCGGTTATAGTACCTGTTTTATCAAAAACAAATATATCTGTATTTCCAGCGGTGGATATGCTAAAAGTATACTAATTAATTTCTGGAATTGTATATCATATAAACTTACCACTCTGGATTTGAAGTTAATATATATTTCTGAGAGAGTCTGTAAATAGCATTTGCGATTCCAATAGAAAGGGTAGCTGGTAATGCCGGGGGAATTAAAATGGTAACGACATCCAGGGATCGAAGAAGAATATGACTGAAAGAAGCGTGATGTTTGTATAGATACAGAGAAAGGAAAAGAACGAAAAAGAGAGAGAAGGTGATCATTAATTTCAGAAAAGACATCGAATCTTTATACAATTGTGAAACTCTCGTGTGGGGATAAAGTAAATCTCGAATTAATTGTCCCCTTTTGGACGAAAATCCCGTCCGAATAGCTATAACATAGCAAGGATTTTCCAGCGTGCTATTAATTTGTAGAAGTTTAGTACCAGCATGAAGTACATGGGGTGAGAACACGTTATACGCATTATTAAGAAAATATTCCAAGGATAAGTGTTTTAAAGCATGTTTGGTTGCAGGTAAGGATTCTCCAGTAAGCATGCTCTCGTCTACCATACAAGTACCAGAAAGTAGAATACCATCAACAGGACAAACTTTGCACTCATCGCTAGTTAGGCAAATTAGATCTCCACTTACTAATTCGTCTCCGTATATATTTTTCTTTTTATTATCTCGGATAACGGTTAATGTACCAGAGTCGCCAATGATGGAATGTATACGAGCGTCAGAACTTTTCGATTCTTTAATAGCAGAATATATGCTATACAGCGAAACTATAAGAATACAACAGGAATAAAAAATGAATTTATCACAAAGCCAAACTATCACGGAAAATAATTGGAATAAATAGAAAGGATGCAATACCTAGAGATGTATATTAGTATTTGAACACTAAACCGCTAACAAACAGATGGTGGTCATACCTCATAGCACAAAATGTTCACTGTCGTTTTTTCTTCTAGCTTCAATAAATTTGGTCCATATATTTGTCGAAGGTTGGAAACTGTTTGAGTATTCAGACCGCAATTGAAATAATTTGGTTGAGACGCGAATAATTGAAAAGCGTGTATTTCTGGTGAAAGCAAAACCCATTCGGACGTTACGACATTTAGATAAATATCTAAGCTTCTGTAGCTGAAGTACGGAATGGACTTAAAAATTGGTAATTGCGAGTTTGAGAGTGGTACAGGCTGTTGAAAAGACCGTTTACACACCCTTTCAAGGGAGCTATTCCCTTTCTGATCAATAATTTCCACATACTCTATATCGTCAATCCCACATGCCTGGCTTGTCCAGCTAACCCTATATTGAGGAAACCATAGGAGGAATAATCTAAATAATCCTAAAGAAAGTATCTCCAATATGGTTAATACAAGCGCCCTTTGATAATTTTCTTTATAAGGATGAAGAACAACGCTTTCTTCTTCTGATATAACTAATCTTTGGTTCAATAAGTAGGTATTCGCGTATTTTGAAAACTCATCTGATCCCAGGTTTTGCAATTGTATATCCATTTTCTACGGAAAAACCAGATCTAATAAAGTCGCTTTTAGGATTGACTACTTGAAAGAGAAACCCATCAGAAAATTACATCTAGTGGTGTTGAACTGCTAACAGTGGAATTGTTCGTGATTGAAAAAGAACGAGTAATAGAATTTTTTATATATTGAGGATAAATTTTTTTTGTATTATATACAAAGTATGCAAGGTCAGTACTGAAAAGATTACAATACCAACAGTATATGCGTAGTTATATCCATGTTTGGAAGAAGCACATTTGAGTGTATATGCCAGTACGTTCAGGTGCGTAATTCCACGTTACCGATCGTTATAGTACTTAGCGTTCTATAGCAGTAAGAAGAAATTCAGTGTATGCCGAAACATGCCTTCAGCCTAACTGGTTCAAAATTTAACCATATAGCCATATCCTCCATTGAGGAGTTTATAAAAAGAATAAGTTAGGGAAGATGTCTACCTCTAATCTTGCCTTTCAGAAGGCAAAGGCATGCACAGAAATTGTTGCAGAACTAATTGCCTCTGAAAACCAAAACAAAGTTATCAACCTGAATGCGTTGAAGATGAGAATTTCCAAAAAACACCAATTGCCAGAGTCGCCTAGACTAACTGATATTATTGCTGCGATTCCTCCGGATGCATATTTAAAAGATTCATTGATGAGAAAGCTACGGGCGAAACCGGTGCGAACAGCTTCCGGTATTGCAGTTGTGGCTGTAATGTGTAAGCCTCACAGATGCCCTCACATTGCAATGACGGGTAACGTATGTGTTTACTGTCCGGGAGGACCAGACTCTGATTTTGAGTACTCTACACAATCATATACTGGTTACGAACCGACTAGTATGCGAGCCATTCGTGCTCGTTATGACCCTTATGAACAAGCAAGAGGACGTGTAGAGCAACTTCGTTCTTTGGGTCACAATGTTGATAAGGTTGAGTACATTATCATGGGTGGTACATTTATGTCTTTACCTGAATCGTATCGCCATCATTTTATTGCCAATCTCCATAACGCTTTGTCGGGTGCCTCTACCGAGGATGTAGATGAAGCGGTCCGTTTTTCTGAGCAATCAGAAACTAAATGTGTAGGAATAACTATAGAGACCAGACCAGACTATTGTTTGGACCAACATCTTGATGAGATGCTCCGTTATGGTTGCACTCGTCTTGAGGTGGGTGTTCAAAGTGTGTATGAAGACGTTGCCAGAGACACAAACCGTGGTCATACGGTAAAGGCCGTATGCGAGACGTTTCAACAAGCAAAAGACGTTGGTTACAAAGTCGTGACTCACATGATGCCTGATTTGCCAAACGTAGGAATGGAACGAGACATTTTCCAATTTCAAGAATACTTTGAAAACCCCGCTTTTCGTACTGATGGACTGAAATTGTACCCCACTCTCGTGATTCGTGGTACCGGACTTTATGAGTTGTGGAAGACGGGTCGCTATAAAAACTATACCCCCAATGCTTTGGTAGATTTAATTGCAAGAATCCTAGCTCTTGTCCCCCCTTGGACAAGAATTTATCGTATCCAGCGAGATATCCCTATGCCTTTAGTTAGTTCTGGTGTTGAAACCGGTAACCTTCGAGAATTGGCATTGAATCGAATGAAAGATTTGGGTACCAAATGCCGAGACATCCGTGCACGTGAAGTAGGTATGCAGGAAGTTCATCACAAAATCCATCCTGAGCAAGTCGAGTTACTTCGTCGTGATTACACAGCCAACGGAGGATGGGAAACATTTTTGTCGTATGAAGATCCCAAGCAAGATATCTTGATTGGGTTATTGCGACTGCGAAAATGCTCTGAAGCAACCTATCGTCCAGAATTACAGCCCCAACAGACTTCGTTGGTACGTGAATTGCATGTTTACGGTAGTGCAGTTCCTCTTCACAGTCGTGATCCAAAGAAGTTTCAACACCAAGGATTTGGTACATTGTTGCTAGAAGAAGCCGAACGGATAGCCCGTGAAGAACATGGCAGTGAAAAACTAAGTGTAATTTCCGGTGTTGGTGTACGTAAATACTATCGCAAGCTGGGCTACGAGTCGGACGGACCCTACATGTCGAAATGGCTTTGAAGCGTTCGTTGTATATTTAATTGGAATGGGTTGATTTGGTAAACGAATTTAATTTTTTTGATAAGCTTTATACATAATACATCAATTATGTTAATTCTATTTTATGGTTGCTACAACTTGATTACAAGAGAAAGAGAGCAATTATAGAAATTGAAGTTTAGGCATAAATTTACAACTCTACAAGATAGATAGCCAGTATTTTTAGTCTTATTCGTAAAGAGAAAAAAAAATTCCCTTCACAAAAAACAACTAAAACATAAATGGATTCCACCATCATTCCTCGTTTCAATACAATTCAATATCTATTTGTCGTTCCAATTATATTTATGTGGTCGTACAAATGCGTTATTCATATTACGTGCTCGTTGAAATATCTTACAGTACTACCATGTATTTTCCAGAGACAGTATGGTGGTAACCACCAAAACTACAGAAATTTAACGATTTGCAAGAATCAGCAATTAGCTGTTCTAAGTTTAGCGAAATTGGTAGCTTTCAAATTATCCGCAGAATAATTTCAATTAAGAAAGTAAAAATTCGCTTTTCTTACATGGTGTGAAGTGAAGTTTTTATTTAGCATGGCATTTGTTGAGAAGGAGTATAGTAAGAGTGATACGGAAGAACTGTTAAAGAAATGGAAACGATTAAAAGAAACAGGCGCGACTGAACGCAATAATATCGCGTACGCTCAGATTTGCGATGAATTAAGGAACGTGCAAAAAAAAATTCAGACTAAAAGGAAGACAAAAGGTTTGTTGAAACAATATGCATGTTCTACCAACGAGGAAGTGGAAAAGAAAATTTTGAAGGAGATGGTGAAATCATATCGTCAGTTGTCTTTGAATTTACCTGCGGCAGGCAATGAAGTGTTTAGAGTATTAATGGACGAGGAAAGGAAAACAAAACAAGAAGACCGGAATGACTTGGAAATGTCGGAGGTGCAGACGGATATGTCACCAATACCTAAGAACGATTTTAGTTTTGTTGAACCAGAATACCTGCAACCATTATCCTATCGACATAGAATTCGGGCCCACAATCAAAAGTTGCAGGACATGGCTATCCATGTTCGATTGACAAATCGGATACATGAATTGGAAGGCATGTCTGCGGCAACTGAAGATATACCTACTTTACATCACTTTGACGGAGATCGAATTCCTCAGCACGTACACTCTACAAAACGAAATGCTTTGTTGGAACTGAAAATGCTCAGACTAGCAAAGCGACAAGAGGACTTGCATTCACAAATCCGGCACTGTAAACCATATATGCGTGTTCTTTTAAATACAGCAGATCGTGTTGCTTGCAAGCTTCCTAAGCCAGCACCCCAAGCTACACGTCTAACCGAGGCGTTAGAACGACAGCAACGTAGCGATCGGGAACGTCGACTAAAACAACGCCAATATGATTACCTGCAAAATATTTGTTCTCATGGACGAGAACTTGCTGCTCGCACGAAAAATGCCCAGGCTAGAGCTCAGAAATCGAATCGCGCTGTATTGGCATACCATTCTCATATTGAAAAGGAAGAGCAAAGACGTGCTGAACGCAATGCGAAGCAAAGATTGCAGGCTTTGCGAGAAGATGATGAGGAGGCCTACTTAAAATTAATTGACCAGGCTAAGGATACCAGAATTACTCATCTTCTTCGGCAGACCGATAGTTATTTGGATTCTTTGGCAAGCGCCGTCAAGGATCAGCAATCTCAGTCAGGTGGTGCTTATGATGAAGATTTTGATCGTTCTGTCGCTGGTGATAGTGAAAAGAAAGTAGATTATTATAACGTTGCTCACAATATTCAAGAAGTTATTGTTGATCAACCATCTATTCTGGTCGGTGGAAAACTGAAAGAGTATCAAATTCGCGGTCTTCAGTGGATGATATCCTTGTACAATAACCATTTGAACGGTATTTTGGCCGATGAAATGGGTCTTGGTAAAACTATTCAAACTATATCTTTGGTCACTCATTTGATTGAGAAGAAACGCCAGAATGGTCCTTTCCTGATTATCGTTCCTTTATCTACCTTAACAAATTGGGCTATGGAATTTGAACGTTGGGCTCCTTCAATCTCAAAAATTGTCTATAAAGGACCTCCTTTGGTCCGTAAGGCTTTACAGCCACAAGTCCGTCATGGGAATTTCCAAGTTTTATTAACCACTTTTGAATACATCATCAAAGATAGACCCATTCTTAGTCGTATAAAGTGGGTTTACATGATTATGGACGAAGGCCATCGATTAAAAAATACACAGTCCAAATTGACTAGTACATTAATGACCTATTATTCATCACGGTTCCGTCTAATTTTAACAGGGACTCCACTTCAAAATAATTTACCTGAGCTCTGGGCATTGCTTAATTTTGTACTCCCTAAGATTTTCAAGTCTGTCAAAAGTTTTGATGAGTGGTTTAATACTCCGTTTGCTAATACTGGAAATCAAGACAAGATCGAGTTAACAGAAGAAGAATCTTTATTGGTGATTAGACGTTTACACAAAGTATTGCGTCCATTTTTGCTTCGCCGATTAAAGAAGGACGTTGAGTCTGAGCTTCCGGATAAAGTTGAGAAGGTAATTCGCTGTCAAATGTCTGGATTGCAGCAGAAATTGTATCATCAAATGAAAAAGCATGGTATTCTGTTTGTTGAGGATGAAAACAAAGGCAGAGCAGGTATAAAGGGTCTTCAAAATACGGTGATGCAGTTAAAGAAAATCTGCAATCATCCTTACGTTTTTGAAGATGTCGAACGGTCGATTGATCCGACAGGTTTAAATTATGATATGTTGTGGAGAGTCTCTGGTAAATTTGAGCTATTAGATAGAGTGCTTCCTAAGTTGTTTCGTGCGGGCCATCGAGTCCTTATGTTCTTCCAAATGACCCAGATTATGAATATCATGGAAGACTATTTACATTACCGTCATTTTCGTTACCTGCGTTTGGACGGTTCAACTAAAGCGGATGACCGATCTAAGCTACTCGGTGTCTTCAATGATCCTACGGCGGATATTCAGATATTTTTGTTGAGTACTCGAGCTGGTGGTCTAGGATTGAATCTTCAGAGTGCTGATACAGTCGTTATTTTTGATTCTGACTGGAATCCTCATCAAGATTTACAAGCACAAGATCGTGCTCATCGTATTGGTCAAACTAAGGAAGTTAGAATTTACAGACTTATCACTGAAAAATCTGTAGAAGAGAATATTCTTTCTCGAGCTCAATACAAATTAGACATTGACGGAAAAGTTATTCAGGCTGGTAAATTTGACAACAAATCTACGCCAGAGGAAAGAGAAGCATTTTTGCGATCCTTATTAGAAAACGAAAACGGTGAGGAACATAATGATGAAAAGGGAGAATTGGACGACGATGAATTAAATGAATTACTTGCACGTAATGATCAGGAACTTGAGTTGTACAGAAAAATGACTCAAGAGGATGATGAAAATAGTCCTTACAGTAAAAGCAAAGGAAAAGAAAGACTTATTCAAGTGGAGGAGCTTCCGGAGTTCTATCAACAAGAACAGCCTGTTAAAGTTGAAGAAGCCCCACAAAATCTTGAAGATTTGGGACGCGGTGCTCGACGTCGTATTCCTGTGGTGTACGACGAAGCTGCTAGAGATGCTCAATGGCTAAGTGAGATGGAAATGGAACCGGAAGTTAAGCCAACTCGTGGTAGACCCAAGAGGAGCTCAAACGCAGTTGAAGAGCCTCCTCAGCTTGGAATCAATGGGAAACCAAAACGCAAGCGAGGTCCTGCACCTGATACTTTAACTTCTGAACATAGGTCTCTTCTTCGTCGTGTTTGTCTTGAGATTTATAATGCAGTTTATGAGTTGAAAGATGAGCATGGCAGACAGATAAATGCCATGTTTCTTGAGGTTCCCAGTAAGAAGCTTTATCCAGATTATTATTTAATAATCAAAGCACCTATTGCTCTTGATATCATACGAAAGCATATAAACGGAACTTATTATAAATCGTTAGATGCAATGATTTCAGACTTCATGACGATGTTTAATAATGCTCGTACGTATAATGAGGAAGGTTCTTTCGTGTATGAAGATGCCAATTACATGCAAGCTGCTATGGAAAAGAAGATTCAGGAATTCGAAGAGAATGGCACACTTACAACTTTACGTGGAATGGATTTAGAAGCAATTGCGCAGCAAGAAGAACGTATAGAAAATGAAGCGTAGGTTCACAAGTACTATTTCTTTCCTAACTGAAGCATCAGTTTTCGAGTTTCCTAGGAATGTTTCCTTCAGTTTTGATGTTCATAAAGTTTGTTATATTTGGGCTGTTTTTATGATCGCTCAATTTTTTGTACACTATAAAAACTAATTATTATAAATAGACTACTAATGTGCCTAAACCGCCAAAACCAGTAAATTGAATTTTTCAGTTTGCATATTTGTTATTGTTTACTTTCGATCGTAGTGAAGTCGTTGGTTAATGACATTGACTATTGTTTATGGGCCACACGGTCTGTTGACGCAGCAGAGTAGTGTAAACATATGAATATGAAAAAAACTTATTCCTCGTAAATACTGTAAATAACTGCGTTTTATATGTTTAAACTTATAAATAGAAAGAAGGGCGTTTCTCGCTCGCCTGAAGAATGGCTTAAATATGCTAATGCACGATTTAATGAATATAATGTTTTGCAGCCATGGGAAGACGCTCAGAAGAATGAAATGAATAAGAAAAAACCAATTGAAAATGAGGACAATACAGAAAAGCCGATTGAGGACAAATCAAGTTCGAAAAATGAGAAAGAAAATAAGTCTGATCCAAAGTCATTAGATCAAGAAGCAACTTGTGCAGAAAATTCATCTTCTACAGATTCCAATGATCATCAGGATCACAAAAAAGAAAAATCGTGCGAAGAAAAGCAGGAAAAATCTTTCCTTACTGGAATTAATCGAAACCTGGCTACATTCATCTTCAGCAGTTTATTCATGTTGTCAGTGATTACTGAGTAGATCTGATTTTAGTTTATTAACCATCATGTTTAGAAGTTCCGCAGATATGATTCAATGGAAACTAGTCGCTACGGCGTTCGTTCTCGGAATGATTTTTGCGAAATATGGATTCATCAACAATTAAGGTCAATCTCCAAAAAGATCAAATTGAAACAAGTTAGGAGGTCTAAAATCATCAAAAAGGAACACGAAGGGAGCTATAAAAGGATTCCATGAGACTGTCTGGTTAGTTTTTACCACCAAGTTATACGCAATAAGAAAGGCATGCCTGTTCTATAAAAAAATTATTAATAAAAAAAGGAAGTACAAGAGATGCTTTCGACTGCTTTGAGAGAACCATAGTGTAAGAGTCTCTATTTTCTATATTATACTAATTTGGTAGAATAGATTGCCTGCTTGAATGTAGCTTGGATTGGGGATTATGGTAGACATAGAGGAATCCAATGATTGTTAAATTACTGCATTTGGAATTCAAACACAGATGAGTTAAAACTCGACTTCTATATGGAATTATAATGAAACAGCTGTGCTCAAAACCTAAACAGACGAAAATAAAATAATTTCAAAAAATATTAAAAATAAAAAACATGTCTTTGATTTTTTTACCTGAAAGGATGATTTTTTATTTTCTTTGGTATTCAAACGAACTTTGCCTTTAACAAATGACATCTCCTTCATCAGCAAGCGTACGAAGAATCAACAAAGTATGTGTAAAGTTAATGAGAACTTTTGAATATATTTAGTTTTGAAATTTTTTTAAAATTGACACATTGTGATTTAGGAATTTGCAGATTTACAGGAAAACCCCATTCCCAATTTGCGCTGTTCTTTGGCAAACGATAATCTTTACCAGTGGAACTGTACTGTCGCAGGACCTCGTGATTCTGTGTACGCCGGAGGTACATTCCATTTTACTCTAGCATTTCGTCCTGATTACCCATTTCAACCTCCAACTGCTCAGTTTACCACCAGAATATATCATCCTAATGTAAGTACTTTTCATCTAGCTAATTTTCCTTATATGTCTTTGAAGTAGGCTTCAGTTTAACTTCACAACCGCACTTGTTGATGGGGTCTCATTCAAGGAGGAGTTTCAGTGTCAATCGATAGACACATTTTCTATTTATTAATTATACAAACGCTAACAAAGTATTTAGTTTGACTTAGAAGGAAACATCTGTTTGCCTATTCTAAGACCTCAAGCATTCAAACCTAGTGTGAAGCTAAGGAGTATTCTCGAACAAGTCATTCATCTTTTAGTTGAGCCCAACCCAGACGACCCATTAAGCCCTTCTATTGCTGAGCAATATAATAACGATCGTCCTGCATTTGAAAAGATTGCTCGAGACTATGTACAGCAGTTCGCCAAATCATGAAATGGAAGATGGGAGAGAAAATGAAGAAGAGGGTTTGGAAAACATTATTTTTCAATTCAAAAATTCTTCAGTAGATTTTCAGCCAATGGACGACCTTGTTATCATGGGTCTTGATACGCTTCATCCCATTGTCCGAATTGGGGGCATGTTTTTTCGAGGAACATGGTTCCATTGCATTGGTACGGACATTGTCGTTCCTGTAAGGAATGATGTTGAGTTATCAAATAAGGATATGCTCCTTTGTCAAAGAAGGCTTGTTTTGGAACAAATTCGCCTCATCCCAAAAAACCAATCAGAAAGCACAACACAAACTATGGACGTGGAAACCGATATGGAGATCGAAAGTGTAAAACAACCGATTCAACCGAATGGCGCTATAGATGACAATGTACAACCCGAAAGCAGCAGTGGTAAAAATGGGGAGCATGTCGAAGAAATGAGAAATGGTGATGCTGTACGTGACAACTAAACCAGGTACTGTAAAGTACTGTTATGACTAAAAATTTTTTTAAATGTTTTGTTTAAATAAGAAAGGAAGAAAAAAATCTATAGTTCTGAAAATTGCGACTGTAGAACATGTAACTCTAGCGAGTAGATTAACAAAAGGAGTTATTGTAATTGGGATCATATGAGAAACTAAAAGAAGGATACGAAATTTATCCTCCATTACTTTCTGGAGGAGAAGACGATGTGGCATGAGAAGCTGGGAAAGGTGCGACGGGTTGCCAAAGATAGTCTTTCAAGCTGACCTTGTATTCACCGATACTTGTTTGCCAGACTTCAACACCTTCTTCTTCAAGACGATCTTTCTGTCGTTGTTCACCGCTTGGTAGATCGCGTCTGGAAATACATCCACGGCTGTTGATAACACGGTGCCACGGGACGTGGGATTCAGGATGCAAGAACTTGAGAGCTTGTCCTACATGTCGAGAATACGTTGGAGCCTCAATAAACTTGGCAATTTGGCTATATGTAGAAACTCGTCCGTAAGGTATTTCACTCACTGTATCATACACACGAGTATAAAACTCATCCATGCGCATTTTTCTGGGGCTTTTTTTACGCTGAATGAGCAGAGGATCTGCTGTTAAATAACGATTAAATCCTTCTGAAACTTTTTAAAGCAGCAGGCCAAGTCTGTATGAATCGATATTATTATGTGAAGGCCTCTCTCTGTTAATTTTTTTGAGAACACTGCAATGCTGTCAATATCTGAAAATAGAAAACCTTAACCTTTAGGATATACTAAGATATAAAATACAAATCTTGAAAAATGGAGTATTGAATATTCCTGAAGCAGTGACAAATATATTCAACACACAAGCAAACTGAATTAGACATGTATTTTCAGCTAGAAGATGAATGCTGAAATCTTCTTTCAATATAAAAAAGAATAATATTCTTAGATTTTAGAGTATGTATACCAAACCAAATGAATTAGAATGAAAGTTACACCATCTTGGCGCTCTAGTAATGTCGACTGGAACTACAGATAGGTAATTCAACAGAAAAGCCATTTCCAGAACCTATAGCCTTTATGAATATCCAAAATAGTAGTGTAGCGATTCTTTTACAACACTTCATTGAATAGAATTGTGAGAATGACATTCACCATCTTAATAGGCTGAAAAAAATAAGAATTTGGTACACTGCGAGGAAACACGAATCGAACGCAATTTTTTTTTTCATAGAAGACAAAAAAACCTTCTTACAAGATTTCAATTCATTAAAGAAAATGCAAAAAATAGTTGATACCTATTTATTTACTTGTTATGTTTATTTATTAGTGAGTTACTGCGAAATACAAACCACCTCAGTATACATAACAGGAAAACTTTTACAGGGTAGGGCTGTGACTGTTTTATTATTACACACATCCCGTTGAACATTATTGCAAACTTTTTGTACCAACAGCCGCTGCTGCCAAATTCTGAGATTTCCGTTGGGTTCAGTCTTTCAACCAAAACAAACAGAAAACTACAAGATGTCTGCTCCAGGTGCTCCTCAAACCGCTCAAGCTGTTAGCCTCACCAAGAAGACTAAGAAGTCTGGTGATACCATCAACTCTAAGTTGGCTTTGACCATGAAGAGTGGTAAGTATGTCTTGGGTTACAAGTCTACCTTGAAGGCTCTTCGCTCTGGTAAGGCCAAGCTTATCCTCCTTGCCGGTAACACTCCTGCCCTTCGCAAGTCTGAATTGGAATACTATGCTATGCTTAGCAAGTGCTCTGTCCACCATTACAATGGCTCTAAGTAAGTAACAAGTGTGAGATTTTTACGAAGGTATATATGCTGGGATTTTCTGAACTATCTCAAACATACCGGATGAAACATGAAACATTATGAAACTTAAAGTTTCAGCATCATGTCCTTCGTAAATTGATCTCTAAGGAATTTTTGTCAATATCTATATTTCGACAAAGATCTTAAATGGGAGTCGAATTGTAACATGCTAACACTTTTCTAGCATTGATTTGGGTACTGCCGCTGGTCGTCTTTTCCGCGTTGGTGTCCTTGCAATCATTGACGCCGGTGACTCTGATATTCTTAATCAGTAAAATGCCACGGAGCTAATTTTCTGCTGTCATTCCATTTAAAAACTTACTGGTTAGAGGAAAAATTCTGAATAAGATATACTTTTGGTGTTCTTTATAGAATGTATATTCCAAAAGCTTATTTTGACATTTACATTTTTTTTTTTTGAGTTGTATGAATGTAATTTGGGATTTGTAAAGAGACAGTAAAGAATAGAAAATGTTATACACCAGAGCTAGAATGAGTTAGGTGGATCGAATTTTTTTCAAAATTTTGTCAATGGAATTTCGTTTCCGCTGCAAAGTTCAAGGTCGCTATTCGCAGTAAACAAACACACTTGTTGAAATATTCATTAGGTAATATTTCATATTAATTAATATTTAAGTCATGCAAATTATAAAGTAAATAGAAACATTATCAACCAAAACGTTCAGATAAACTGAAAACTAAATAATACCAAACACAACCCAAAAATATCGTATACTGATTACATTAAGTGATCCTTTGGCAAAACAGAATTATTGGAATCAGAAGAGAATAAGCCTGCTTTCTCTTCTGAGTCTATAGCTCCATTGGAATTGCGCTATTGGAATAGGACTCTTCTTCCGATTTCGTAGAATTGTTTAATAGATCAAACTCTGTACCAACTCTGAGTGCGTAAAGCCAGGGATCCATAAGTAAATCTGCTGCTGTAGCCCGTTTCTCCGGCTCTGTAGCGAAGCATCGCTTAAGAAACCTTTGTCCCATTGGTGACAGCTGATCATCTTGTGGTATGATCGGAGGATTCAAAGCCGATATGTAAAACATGAGCGAAAAGCGATTATCTAGTTTTGGCCAAGGAGGAAAACCGGTTGCCATTTCAACAATAACACAACCTAATGACCATATATCCATCGCACCCACTTCATCCGTACTCGTACCAAGTAACAGTTCGGGTGCCATGTACATAGGTGATCCAGTTAAAGTACTGTTCCTATGAAAGTTTGATGTTGTAGGATCTTCAGGAAACTCCTTTTCATATTCTTCTTTTTCTTGCAATGTCAACTGCTCATATAATTTGGATGCAGTCGGAACTGAAATCTTTGCTGATCCAAAATCAGTGAACTTCATAACACCATTGTCGTCGAAAAGAATGTTTTCAGGTTTGACATCTCGGTGAGAAATACCGCATGAATGCATGTAACTCAATCCTTCCAGTAATTGCAAGACATATACTTGAATAACCAGTTCATCCTCTATTCTTCCATAGCGCAAAAATTCAGCAAGAGTTGACCCTTGATATAGCTCCATGAATATGTTTATCTTTTCACGGTGAACCTCGATGCCGTAATAACATACAATGTTTGGATGATCAAGTAACTCCAGAATAATCATTTCACCTCTAATCCGTTTAATCAATGATCTTGAGATCCGCGGTTTATGAAGCGCAATTGTCTTAACTGCCATTAAGTCACCAGTATCTAAGTTTACAGCTCGATAGACAGTACCGAAGGAACCTCTTCCAATAATCTCGCCTTGTTGCCATCGAATAGTGATATTCGAATTCGCGGACGCAAGTTCCTTAAGTAGTCTGTTTTCTTCACTAGTATCGTCTAGAACGCGTCCAATCAGTTGTGATTGTGTAAGAAATTCCTTACGACGAACTTCAAGTTCGACAATGTGGCGCATCACCTCTTCTTTCACAAATTCACTGCACTCTTCATCATTGAAGTTCGTTTGTTTGGTACTGTGCTTAATCAACCGAGCAGGAATCTCTGTACCCTGGTTCTCCACAACATTATAAGAACCCATGACATCAAAATGCAAAAGTAAAAGAGCCATACACTTTCCGACTTTGTCTCTTAATTCTTCAAATGCTTTTCTTTCAATCATTAATATATTCGAACCGTAGGTCATAATCATAGCAAATTCTAACGCTGTTACCGTCCAACGGAATGTATTACGGTCAGTCGGGGAACAGTCATCGTAAATAAACCCAACCCAGCTTATAGCCAGCATAATCATTCTTCTTCTAATTGGTCCCAAGCTGGATGGATCCAAAATCGAAAGTCTCATTAAACGTTGGGCGAATTCAATAGCATATGAAAAAGAGTAGTGAATCAGATTTTGACAATTCCGACCATGAAAGTTAATCCGAATAAGATGAATGGCATCAAGTAAAGATAATGCTAGCTTAAGCGCATGCTTTTTTGTTCTTGTCATTTCCTTATTAACGAGAGAGGAGTTTGCTTTAGATGGGTTTTCTAAGTTGACAGTATCACCAACCAACTCTTCAAATATTTCTCGAGCCATAGATAGCTGTTCCCCAGTAACCGCAGTTACCAACCTCACACGATTAGGAGCTATAGCTATAGAAACTTCAGGAACATCAAGATTCATCACACGCCCCGTCCAATATATGGAGGTATTAGGAGAGATTACGATTACATATGGAATCAATCCTTCATATTGAAAGCGGTTTTGGTTAAAAGTCATAGAAAGAACCTCGCGTAGTACGTTCGGTGAATTCTCAAGTTGACCAGGGACAATGACATATGCACCCTCATGTTCGATACTTGCAGTGTATGTCAGTATGTGATTTGACTCACATAATCGCTGAACTAAAACCGACAATGCATCTTCCCGAATGATGTACTCACTCGAATTTTCCATACATGACTTTAAAGTTCTAGCAAAGCTCATCAACTTTCTGAAACGTATTCGAACACAATCAAGGGTCTTCATGTAAAAGGAAGTAATTATTGAAGGGCTTGTTAGATTAGGTTCTTCCAATTGATCGTTCAAGTATTGATTAATATTAACCAGTATATCGCTCACGAACCTAGTCAAATTCTTAGTCATTAGTTGATATCCGTTTTGAATAAAAGGACATATGCTCGATAAAAACTCCCATTCATCTTCCAAAACTTCCGTTTCTTTAAAATAATGTAAAGCACATCCATTTTTAACTTTCCGTTTCAGTAAATCAAAATATACCTTGAGCGATGTCACCAAAACATCATTTAATGTTTGACTTTCATCTGAAGTTAATTGATCATTGCAGATTTGATCAACAAGGATAGCATATTGCTGCATAATATCAACAGCTAAGCTCATTGCGCTTCGAAGGTCGTAAAGAAGGGAGTCTATAGTGAACGGTGACACATTCATAATACTTTCTGCATAGGACAAGCGCAAATTTAAGATTTCCTTTATTAACTTAGATGGAAATGATACCAAACGCATATACTCATCCACATAATGAGGAAGATTGCATTGCTTCAATTCTTCGCGATAAGTTACCAACGTACTGCAAATCTTTGTGAGGATAAGGTTCATATCTACCATGATCTTAACTTCGAAAGAACGAATTAATCCACATTCACGACACAGTCGTTCAACAAAAGGGCCATCCGAAATTTGAGTCGAATTGTTAGACAGGTTCGATTTTTTTCTAGTAATATCAAGATCGTCGTTTCCAACCCAGTTACGCAGAATGTTTATTTGAAGAAGTAATGCATGTATACTATTTGAGTACGCGGTAAGGACGTCCAGTTTATGTTGGAATGATTCGGACGCGTAAAGACTGTGATCCGAAAGAATAGCCCTTCGTGATGGATATAGCCTTTCGTATTTCTCTAGTTTATTTAATAATCGATCAACAGCCTCTAAGGGTGAACCTTGGTTATCCTCCTCCCAACGAAAATTCAGTATTTCCAGCAGTAAATCAATCATGCCCGCTCGCATGTATTTTAAATCTTCTTTCTGATAATCAATGGAGCGATGGGTAAGCCAGCAATAAATTTCTAACCACAAACTCTCAGAGTAATTACTATTAACGTCTTTTTGTGAAGAAGCAATTTTCCGAAGACGAAGTTTCTCGATTTTTACAATATCACTCGTGAGGACAGAATTTAACATATATTGCCATACAAAGCGTTCTTTATTCTTAGGATTAGTAGTCAAATCACTATAAATGAAGGAGGGGATTGAGAGAAATGATTGGCCCCAATGATTCGCTGATGTCTCAAACTCCTCATCCTCATCTTCGTCTTCAAAGGGATCTTCACTACTTGGCATATATAAACCAAGACTGTCACGTTGACTAAGAATACTATCGCGACGCCCTCTTGGCTCAGACTGTATTTGTGAATCAACGTCAGATATGTAAGGCTTAAGATAATCATCCTTCGGTTTTGGCGACGACAATGATTGTTCTACAGTTAAAGGAAGCGAAGGATACCCGTTAACTTTCAAACTCTCTAATGAGCCAAGATCCGCATTCTCAGCAATGGTAGGTGAGGCCGATCCAGGAGGTGTGACTAAAGTTTCATCCGTACGAAGCCCTCTAGCACGAAATAGACCTTTATTGAAGCTATGATGAAGCTGCAAAGGTGGACGGCTCATATGATTAGGAGTTTTTAGCAGAGGAGGTCCAGCTATGGTAGTATCGCCCGGACTTATAGCAACCGTAGGATCAATTTCATCCATGCTAACATGATCAGCAGATGAGACTTTTTGAAGCGAACTGTGGGCTTCCGGGTACTGCGGATAGTCGCGTAGATATGAGCTCGAAAAATATCCATCAGCTTCATTAGGCTTCTGTTCATTCGGTGTAAGCGACAGACCTTTGCGAGTCTCAGAATGTGAATATCGGTGGCCCGACCGGCTATGTCTCTGAGCTTTGATAGCTTCTTCATTCTGTGTTTGAGTAATCGACGAGCGACGACTTAAAGAATTTCTCTTCGCTTCACTAAAAATGGATGCCGAAAATTCTGAAAGATAAGTGAGGGATCGACGATGACTTTTTTCGAAAGAATCATCTGGACGATGTGATCCATCTGGAAGGGGATCCAAGGACTTTCTGCGGGAATTAACTGCATTCGCTCGTACTTCACGAGCATTCTGCATGTTATGCTTTGGATATGTTGATATAGTTGTTAAATAAATAAGGTAGAAGGCAATCCAAACTAATTGAAAAGTAAGGTGGGAGGATGTAAAGGAGACAGTCCTAGAAAAAAGATTAAAAAAATCAAAGAGATTCTTAAATTCTTCCTTTCAGATTATCTAAAAAGGAATTCGATAAAATCCTTGAAAAGTTACAGCCTGTCGAGGGTAAGGAGAACGGTATGCTATTTAATGACTATTAACTGATAATTAAATAGACATTCGTACTATGGTTTTTTTTGTTAACAAAAAAAAGCACGAATTTAAAGGTTCCTGTAATGAACGAACGATTTCAGGTTCAACTAAATATACACCTTGCAACGGGTGCTGACTGGTAATTAAGACAGATATTTTACTGCAATTAATTAAAAAGTCTTTATTTCTTGAATTGTTATAGCGTCTGGCTGTTTAAATATAGAATTTAATTAAACCCAGATATGTGCTGAACGTCGGTGCATATGGCAACAATTAGGAAGATGGGCTCCCTTAGGTGATCCAATACAAAGTATATTAAAAAGACAAGCTTAGTAGTCTATAAGAAGATTTATTCTAGAAAGATTAATAATTTGAAAACAATAAAAGAGAACGCGCTGAACAAGATATCGAACGAGTGTTTATTGATTGAAGTATTACAGTAAGTACTATACAAGAAACCAAACGTATATCCTTCCCTGAAATGTGTAATATTACACGAAGAATACAAAGAACAAGTTAAAGGTTTCGTCAAAGGAAAGTATGGACATGTACATTCACGTCCTTGAAAATCATTAAGGAGAATGAGGGACTGGAAAAGAAAACAGATTCAAACCAGTTGTGAATAAAGATAGCTTAATAGACAGTAATGTGCAAGAAGAAGAGAAGGTGCCAATGCCTTATGAATATAAGAGCAATTTCAACTGAGACTGCAAGTATTCAACATGCTGAATTAACTTTGGTAAAACGGATGCATCTAGCTCAACATAACTAGTATTTTCTATCGGAATATTTAGCTTCGAAAACAATCTTTGAGTTGTCTTGTCCGTAGCTAGCGAAATATCAGACTCGTGATGAGTCTGTAAGGGATCAGCTAGACTAATAATGGCTTCCGTATCTTCTAATATTGACGGCTCCATACTTAAAAAGTTGTGATGTTGTTTTGCTTTCTGAAACAAAAGCTCTAAGCCTGAAAATGATTAGCAAAAAAATGTTGAGGTTTTTCGTAAAAAAAGTACTGCTTTGGCCTATGGCCTAGCCTAAAGTTTACCATACCCTGCATATCATGTTTAAAATTTTTAATACTGCATAATTGTTCTTGCACTGCCACACCTGTTTTGTTAACGCTTTCAGGTATATTTAAGGCGAAGCTAGAATCAACTTGGAAATCTTCATCCCAGTCATTAGTCAAAGAGTCTGCGAACCGAAGAAGATCAGGACTTTTCCTATTATTGGCATCGCTCGGATTATTCCCTGAAAGGGATATTTGTTCCCAGTCCATGTCGTCTAATGGATTTCCTTTTTGTTCAGAGTCTCCTGGTTGCAATTCTTTCTCACCATTGTCAGTTATCTTTTCTTTGTTTGTAGTAGTGTCTTCAGAACCCATTGGAGTCAAATCAGACGGGACGACTACAGAAGAACGAGTCTTCTTCAAGTCTGAAATGGATTCGGGAAATAAAGATGTATGTTTCGCCGGATTTTCGGTAGAATTAGAAGAAGAATTCTTTGATTTCGTTTTAGACTTCCATGACCAAGCTTTCATCGACAAAGAATCGAACCTTCGATGACGAGCAGCTGGTTTCATCTTGCTCTCACCCGATTCCCTGTGCTGCATTTCATATAATGCAGGATTTTCAGTTGAGGTACTTTTTTCTGTTGTAAACATATTTGATGGTGACCTGAATGAAGAAATAATTCTTCTAGAAACCTGTCTAGAGACACTTCGAATTGACTCAAACGTTGACGGCCAGCGTCGACTAGTCTTTCTTTCCATATCCTCTTCTTCTACATCCTTTCTTATACCAGAAATATCCGTACGAGTTCTTGCATGTCCTCGAGGAGGCATTCTACGGTTTATCTCCGTACCGTAACTTTTTCTCGGCTTTGGAACCGTTTCCTCTGGAAGATCTCCATCTTTATTAGTCTTTTCAAAATTAAGATCGGATTTGTTCAACATTCGCGTTTAGAGAGTCTCTTCCTAGACCGTGGCTCTAAATTTGCAGACTCCTTTCTCATAAATTTTTCAAATGAATCTTTATTATGGATAAACAAAAAGCCAAAACGAAATACAACAAAGACTCAGATTTGTCTACAATTTAAATGTCTTTTCGTTATTTGTAAACAAACGCGCTCGTATTCTTTGGTGGAAGCTATATGTTGTTTCAGTAGTACTACACTATCGAGACTTTCCTAAAGTCATGTTTAGTATACTTATACTTAATGCACAAGTCAGATTAAAGAAAAGACAAAAAGCAACGAAGAAAAGTTGTAGAAAAGCAAAAAGTGAAAGCTCGTTTCGAAGACGATGAAACAAACCACGATCCGCAAAAATTTATTCAGGCTTCGCGTTGCTAAAACTATACACTACCGCTTCAGTAAAGAGAAACAAATACAATTGAATCTTGCGTTCAATGATACACTCTTCATACATCGTTGAATTATTATCTTTATACTGTCTATCCACAACGCGAGATTCCCTAAGATTTTTCTCTTTTTTTAGATTTTCAACCATATACAATCCTTTATCAAATCCTACAGAACCATTCTACAATGAAGACCACGAAGATCCAAACAAAAAAATTTATAATCAACCAATCCAGCCTTTTATTGTGCAACATAAGCAGAAATCCAGTGTGCTAGAAAAATCAAACAATCTTCTAAGCAAAAGACACTACAACTCGCCCTTGGGGATCAAGACCGTGATATTCCCAAGCGCACACAAATAAAAGAAGTATTAAGAACGTAAGGCAAAGAAAAAGAGAAAAATTAATAACGGTGTTTCCAACCTATCGAGTCGTAAGAATAGGAAGCAGACGAAGAAAATCGATGACATCTAGTGCACGGAAACTTTTTAAACATTTTTAGATTAAATCAGCAATGTTCATGGGCATCTCTTCAATTTGGGTGTTGTAGAATTGCTCAATTTCGCGCATCATACGAACATCTTCGCTGGTGACAAAGTTGATAGAAACACCCTTACGACCGAAACGACCACCACGACCAATACGGTGAATGTAGTTTTCACGGTTGGCAGGAAGATCGTAGTTAATGACCAAAGAGACTTGTTGGACATCGATACCACGAGCAAGCAAGTCAGTGGTGATAAGAATACGGGAAGAACCAGTACGGAATTCGTGCATCAAAGTGTCACGTTGAGATTGGTCCATATCACCGTGCATAGAGGAGACAGTGAAGTCACGCTCAGTGAGTTGCTCAGTAAGCCAGTCGACCTTTCTACGGGTGTTGCAGAAAATGACAGCTTGAGTAACAGTAACAGTTTCATAAAGATCGCAAAGAGTATCGAGCTTCCACTCTTCCTTCTCAACTGCGACGTAGAACTGTTTGATACCTTCCAAGGTAAGCTCATCCTTCTTGACAAGAATACGAATGGGGTCACGCATGAATTTGGTGGTGACCTCCAAAACATCTTGAGGCATGGTAGCTGAGAGCAAGACAACTTGAGCACTGGGAGGCAAAAGTTGGAAGATGTCATAGATTTGATCCTTGAAACCACGAGACAACATTTCATCAGCTTCGTCAAGGACGAACATTTGAACAGCGTCAGTGGGGAGAGCACGACGTTGGATCATGTCATGAACACGACCAGGAGTACCAACAACGACGTGAACACCAGCTTGCAAAGCGGCCATATCATCACGAACAAGGGTACCACCAATACAGGCGTGGCACTCAACGTTCATCAAGTCACCCAAAGCAACAACAACCTTTTGAATTTGTTGAGCAAGCTCACGAGTAGGAGCAAGAATAAGGGCTTGGCATTGTTTCAAGCTGGTGTCGATCTTTTGCAAGACAGAGATGGAGAAGGTGGCAGTCTTACCAGTACCGGATTGAGCTTGAGCGAGGACATCACGCTCACCCAAAATGGGCATGATGGCTCTCTGTTGAATAGCAGAGGGACGCTCAAAACCATAGGCATAGATACCACGGAGAAGCTCGGGCTTCAAGCTCATGTCATCGAAAGTATCGATAACTTCATCGTAATTGGTTTCAATAACCGAATCCTCCAGTTGGTCTACCATCTTAGTAAATTTACTTCACTTGGTGGTGTGTTCTTGTTAAAAAAGTTTTGTCCCCAATTTAAATAATGGAGTTAACACACAGTCACAAACTGAAATCTTCTACCGCAAATTTCAACTTTTGTCAACTTCACAAATACATAACTAGTTTTTTATAAAACTATTAAATACTTAATTAATTTTAATATGTATCTTTTGTTTTATGGATGGTGGTTTCCTTAAACGCACCTTAGGTGGCTTTAAACTTTTGTGGCGAGTCGTCATAAATATCTACTCGTTTAACGAGTAGTGTTAGCCACGTTTAAGCTTATTTAACGTGTCAATTTATATGCTCTTTAAATATATTAATGAATCGTACACTACTATCGTTCATAAACAAAGGTCTTAAGTAAATCATGCTGTGCTAATGACAATGTCCACTGGATAAAGTAGAACATTGCTAGAAATATGCAAATAATTTTTATTGAAAATAGAATGATACCAATACACAAACTAGTATGTGCAACTAAGTCAAAACGTGTGTCTAACGATTCCATCTTCTCAACACGATGTCCTTGTAAAAGAGTGATCTGTGAATGCAAATGGAAGTTGACATGTGTTGTAAATAATTAAGTGTTCAAAGAAAGAATATTAAAATGCAAATTCTGGAACGTTAAGATGCAACCAATAAGACAATAAAAAAACATTAAAAGGTATGACCAAACAATAGAAGAAGCCACCAGGACGGTCAACGAAGGAAATCACGAATGACAACATTGAACTATCATTTATGTATTTCGTTCCTCTTATTAAACATCAAAGAAGAGGTAAATATTACAAAGCAGGGCCAGCTGCATTACGAGTTGGAAGAATCAAAGAACGAACAACATCTGTGTCATCCGGATTAATCAGTGAACTTCCTTCGGTGCTATACAAGATTTCTCCACCTTCGCTGATCAGGCCCCGACCGTCTGTCAGAAGCTTGATATTATGTCCTTTAATTATCTGAACAAGCTCTGTTGTTTCGGCATGTCGAACTTCAATAAAATCTTGCTCAAAACCTAGTAGATAAGGATAACAAAGTGCAAAACTTGACGGTTGTCCTTCCCAATGAATCAACCAACCTTGGCGACTACGCCATCCATTCGTATTTACAAAGAATGCAAACTCGGAATAGCATAGTAAAAATTCACCCTTCAATCTAAACATTTCAATAGGACGTACATTCTCCTTCTTTTCCAAAAATCGAAATGAGGTGTCCGCTGGATTTAACAATGATTGAAACACTGCACTTTCGAGACTGACTATGTCGAACCCTTTCGTATTGCCAACGCAAAGCTTTGTCTTTAAAAAGTGAATAGAGAGTGCTTCCATTGGCATTTGCAATTCCTATTAATGTTAATACTTATCAATGAAGGACTTTCATAATTTACTTACAGTGAATATCTTTAGTGTCGTAGAGCCTCCAAACGGTTTTTTCAATGACTGAGACCGCTTACTCTTCGACGTATTACCGGCTTCAAAAATTCGGAGAGTTGTGCTTAACACCGTAGATTTTACTGCACATACAAGCACCCTTTGCAAACAAAATCCACTCTTCACAAAGCTCACATGGCCTGTGATACGACGAAGGCTCTTCACGCTGATTTGTTCTGCATTGGTAAGCAAATCAAGAGAACACTCATATAGCGTCCTATCAGCTACAATGAGCAGCAAGTTATGTTCTTCAATCAAATCAACTTGCGAGATGTTTGTTATCGGAATCTTCAATCGTGGTCCGAGACAAACACCATTACTACCTTTCCGTAACGACATATATATACCTCTATAAGTGCCAAAAACTATCTTCCGCCCAGCATCTGTTCTTGTTAGTGTTTGCCGATGTTGAAACAAAACATACCATAAGTGATTGCAGAAGTAATCTTGTTATTAAAAAAATAAGTTTCATTACAAAGACCGACTGTCTCAAAAATTAATCGTTTTGTAAACAATGTTTGCTGTTGGCGCTCTATATGCTGTTTCCATTGGTCACGCGCTATCAGGGTATTCAAGTAAAAGTCGATTTGAAAACCGCGGGAGCCAAGAAGCTGTAAATGTAGGCCATAAGATTTCATAGGTGAAGATGAAGAACCTTTCGCAATTAAAATGGGGTTAGTTAATATAGTAGAAGATGGACGACGAGAAACTGAACCACGAGATGAAGTATCGTCTATGCAAGAAATGACCAACAGTTCTAAAGGAAGTGGTCGCAGTTGCAACTTATGTTGCTGGCGTTTATACCCATGCTTCAATTTAGTCAATAATAGATAGTTATCCAGAAGGAACATATGTATGCCACCTTCCGTGTCATCATAGGCGTATCCACTAGCTTTTAGTTTGACGGTTCCCTTGAAAATAAGTAATCGAGATTCATCAAGTAAACCAAGGCGTTGTCTTTCAAAGTCACTGCATGAAAGCTGCTCATTAAGTTGGAGCAAAGCAAGACGATTCTCAGTTTTACCGGTTTCGTAGTTCAGCTTCGTTAGAAATTCCCGTAGCATTTCGATTACTTTTGGGATATTCTCTAAATCCGGGTTATCCTGTTCAGTGTACTTTAGAACTCCATTTAACAAAAGCGGATATCTCGCCAATCTTGTTACTGGCTTTGTTAGGTATCCATTAAGTTCTAACTTTCTTGACTCACGAAGCCTTTCAACTTCATGAGTGTACCTTGCGAAGGTGGGATTAGAGCCCTTTTCCCTCTCAAACTCAAATTTTGCAACAGTTTGATTAGCCCCATATCTAATAAAAGGTTCAAACTTGGGAACGTAATCCAAAAAGATGTCACCAACAGTATGAACAATCGGTTGCAAAGTCTGCACTCTATTGAGTGCATTGGAAAGTCTAGAATTTACAGCGTGCACCTGCATAATATTATGAAAAACTGTCTTAATGAACGGTTGTCGGAACTTTTCTGGAATTACATTAGAAGAAGATAGGGGTTTTATCCAGAAGTCTCTGATATACTCGATGTCTCGAACGAAGTCGCGCTCAGTATAAATAATCTCGAATATAACTTCCTGCCTTTTCCATTCACGGTTATCTATTTGTTCTACAATATGCTTAGGCACATTGTCAGCCCAAAGACGGTGTTCCTCCTCTTGCTTATCTAGCAGGTAAGAAGCGCCGGGTTTAAGAACAGGCTGTACCTTCATATGTAAACGGGTTTGCTGCTCTAAGCGACGTGGACAAGAAATGGAATAGCACAAGCGGTTTTTACTGCATGTTGGAGAGTAACAGTCAGTAAGGATTGTGAAGATTCCTTTCGGATCCTTTGCAGCTTCAAGCTCTTCATCGGACTCTACGCCTTTGGTCGAAGGATTCGTGGAATTCATGTAAGACGTATGGTTGTTATGTTGGACAGATGAAGATGGGGCGTAGGAAGCCTCAGAAACGATGGAATCGACAGAGTCAGAAGTCAAGGTTCTTTGTTTAGGATAGACAAAATGATTTTCGTAGGATGCGATGACTGGAGAAATTGATGCCATAGCCTCCGGAGGTGGAAGAGTTCTTCGAAACTGATAAACTTCTTTACGAGAATCACGCAAACGATGAGAGTAAGTAACGTCGTGAAATAACTTTTGGGAATCCAACGCTCGTCCCAAAAGTAAAGCCAAGTTTCTATCATTGGTTCGAATAATTTGCAATAACACGTCGACAGCTTCACAACCTAAGAATGCATCCTTGTACAGCAAACCATCCTTGACACGGTCCCCTACTACGAGACGCGTACGAAACTCGGCAGAAACTTCAGCTAAAAAAGCAGGATGAACTTGTGGCTGGCGAACGGAAGCAGAACCTGAATTTGTAGGGACAACAGAAGGCAAGCTAGATGCAGATCTGGAGCCTCCATGACGCCTTGACGACGAAGCAGGTGGACCTTCAGGATATTCAGCAACTGGCGTTATAAGGCTTGCACTACTCCCACGCATATGAGAGTAGCTGCTCCGACTAAGGGAATCATGTGGGGTAATAGTTAATTTGTAATATTGATCACTGACGGTAGATTTCCAGCTTGTATTATCTTTTCGGGATTTATGTGGCGTGGAACAAAAATCGTCTGCAGATGTAGAATGCACTTGATAAGGACTGCCCTCGGTAGAAGTAAGATCGCTGTTTGAGGAGGCATGTCGCTGACTTCTAAAATAGGGATAAGCGGGACTGGAATCAGGACGTTCAATATTTCCAGCCATATCAGCCAAAGAAACAGCAGACGAGGATGCGCTGGATGTATGACTCAACGAACTCGGGCCATTACTTGTCGAAGACTTTTGTAAAGGAGAAAACCCTCGAAATTTGATAGGCATCGAACGAAGGGATTCGCTACTTTCAGATTTTAAATTAGTCCTAAAACGTCCTCCATTTCCTAGCATTTTCTGTTATATTAAAAGAAATATTACGGATAACCAAGAGAAGCGAAACCGAAGGAATACGAGAACAAGCCAATGTCTGAAAGAGCACGAGAATTTCTCAAGCAAAGGAGGGATCAAAAAATCTAAAAGAAAGTAAAAAAAGACCGACTATGATAATAAATCATGTAACAATAATGAATTTAAAGCGAATAAGAACCAAACAAATTTCTAGAAATATTAACCATACTAACTTCGAAAGCGACGTTCAAGACGAGCTTACCTCCTTTCTACCATTTACTCCTTTATTAAGGAAAGAGAGATAAATCTGCAGGTTTTTCAACCACAATTGTATTCGTGTGTGTTGTGTTTTCGATAGGACCTACTGCGTATACACGTATGTTTTACGCTAGTGAAATAATTCCTCGTTGACTGATAACAAGCTGATCTGAATATCAACCTTACGAAGGAAGAACACCAAAAGAAAACTGGAAGAGTTTATTTGTTTAAAAGTATATTTTGTGTTTGTGTCTTTGTGTTTAATTTCTCTTCCTCTATAGTAGAAACTGGACTCGGTTATTGTAATTGATTTGATTGCAAAGACCGAAGAGAACTATTACAATTTGTAAAGGATTTAATTGCTTTTTTGTATTTGGGTTGAAATAATTCTATATACTTCTAGTAGAAGGACCCACCAAAATATGAAAACATGCCAAAATTTCGCATCAAAGATATATTAATTGCGGGAGCAACAATTTCCTTCATCTTTCTTCTGATTCAATACGGAGGTGGAATGGACGGTATGAAGGATTTGAGCGAACTTTCGATGCCTGAAGAGCAGCAAGATAGTATCATGCAAGGGGAACCGGAGGAAAAGCTTCAAAGTGGTTCAGAAAGTATAGACGAGAATGAGGAAATAGTAAATGAACAGGGTCAATACGAGATACGAAACCTTGCAGCGTATGGAAGTTTGGGTGAATTTGATGAGGTCCAAGAAGCAATGAAGATGAAACTATCTCAGGCGACTTATGAAGTGTCAAATCAAGAATGCAAGCAAATTCCAAAATTCATTTGGCAAACAGCTAAGAATCCAATTGAACGAGACGTTCTCCAATATACACGTTTTTGGGGCAGCAACCACCCCAGCTATATTCATAAAGTCTTAGATGATTCACAAAGTGAACGCCTTGTAATCAATGATTTTGGAGATCCTTCCATTTCGAAAATTTCTTCTGCCTATACAATGATGCCGTTTCCTGTCCTAAAGGCTGATTTCTTCCGTTATTTGGTTTTATTAGCCAGGGGAGGTGTCTACACAGACATTGATACGACTCCCATCAAACATATTAACAATTGGATTCCAGAAGAGTATCGCAATAAAGATGTGCGTCTTATTGTTGGAATTGAAGCAGACCCTGATCGTCCCGACTGGCATGATTACTATGCACGACGAGTGCAATTCTGCCAATGGACCATTGCAGCAGTTCCTGGGCATCCTGTGTTGTGGGAATTAGTCCACAAAATAACTCATGGCACATGGTTACTTCATGAGAAGGGAGAATTGCTAGAAGATACTGATGCTGTAATGGATTGGACAGGGCCTGGAATTTGGACAGATTCAGTGTTTGATTATTTGAATTGGAGATATGGTCCTTTTAGCTGGGAAAATGTGACGGGAATTGAAACCCCAATGCTTGTTGGCGATGTTCTCATTCTCCCTATAACTTCTTTCAGCCCTGGTGTTTATCATATGGGTTCTAAATCAGTGAATGATCCCACAGCCTATGTAAGGCATTACTTTAGTGGTTCTTGGAAGAAAGATTGAGCTACATACATTCGGTAACTTTTAGTGCTTTCCTTTGGCATGATACTACTACCTACACTACTCATGAGATGCCAAATATGCTTTTCAATTATTCTTTCTTCCTTTTCTTTTTTTCTTTTGTTATTATTTTTTTTTTAAAAAAAAAACTACTCCCAAGCATTGTTGCTATATCTGATAATGGAATAAACATCTGTTTCTTTAGACGATGATGGTAGCTAATCCTTATATCTTCTTTCGTTTATTTCTTCTTCAGCTAAAAGTTTTTATTACTGATGGCTTGCTAAAACCGTTTTGTTATGATTTTCTTTATAAAGCTTCTATTGTTTATTTATGCTTCGATTTGTTTACAAACAAACAAACAAACTACAGCTAATTCATCCTAGGTAACAAGTAAATAAATAATCATTTTTTGGACATGATGGTGTGAAAACTTATCAAAATGAATACATTTTTAATCTTTCAATTCAGAAAAATGTATTCTACTAACTGTTTACCTCGGTGTAGACATGCAGAGCCTTCGTCGTATCAGATCTTTGACGAATTAAATAGTGTCTCTAGGTTATATTTCTGCTTGTTTTTACTTATTTTCTTATTTAACTTGTTTTTCTTTCATCATATTTATACTTTTCAGATACTTAAGACAGCAATTTGAAAGATTGTTACCCGTAAATGGGTTTCTTATATAAGGCTTTGTTTACAGACGCGTTCCTGTCTAAAGCAAACTATCCTCTGGAAGAGGTAAAGGCGCCTTTCTTCCAGAATAGTACAAATTAGGATATTTGAGGAAGATAGAATTATAATATAAAGAACTTAATCTTAGTCAGAGATTCGTAACGTGGCCATTGAAGGTCAATTGGTATGCTGAATCTAATTTTTTAATCTTCCGAACAACTCAAACATGTCAACGGAGAACATGAAAAATCAAACAATGAATCATTCTATTGCCGAAATATCAATTGAACCAATGCGTTATGGAGTGAGCTTGAGCCCTTCCTATAACAGCAGATGGTCAGCACCATCTGACATTCTTTTTCAAAGATTTCATACCAGTCCAGATGTTCCTAAAAAAGCGGATGATATAATTCAATCCCTTACTTATTTAGATTCGAAACTTACGGAGCTTTCAAAATTGGTATTACCGATTCCGCTTCAAACGGGAAGTGCAATTGATTTGAACCAAATTCAAGTGCTTTTCAAAAATAATTGGGTGTTAAACGATCCCAAATATGCAAAATTTGAATCTTTTGTTAAGCATCTGAAACAAAGCCTGTTGGAGCTTCAAACTGAGAAGCAGGATATTTCAAGTCAGTCGCCTCGGGATGACCCATCAATGAGCAAGATATCTTATTCGTGCAATGAAAATAATCATGGAACAGATTCACTTTCATTAGAGCCTTCAGAAGGCCAACCGTCCGCAAGTATGAAAGTTGATGAGCTGGCTAAAGCAACTTACATGCTTAGCCAGATCATGTTAGAATACGGTCGTTTAAGTAACTGGAATCACTCGAGAGATGCAACGGTATTTGAGTTCGTATCGTGTTTTTCCAAAGAAATCGATAAATTTCGTAAATCTATTAATTATAGCATTATCCACACGAAAGAACAATATTTAACGCTGGAAGTCGAAAATACTCAAAGGAATAAAGAAATGAATATTATCAGAGAATCTCTAACTCAAACGGAAAAAGCTCTTATTTTTAAGGAAAAAAGATTAAAGGATCGTCAGATTGAGACGCGGGCTCTACAGCGAAAAATTGAGAGTTTGAGAAACCTAAATTGGGGACTTACCTCTAGGGTAAACCAGCTCACAAAAGAAATCGAAGAACACCAGCACTCCTCTGAAGCTGTTCTGAATAAGTATAATAGTTTAAAGCAAGAATCGGAAGACTGGTTAGCGAATAAGAAAAACGAAGACGCAAAACTTGCTGAGCTCAAAGCTTTGGTAAAAGGTTTAGAAGATGAAAGAGCCAGTAATTTGAAAAAAGAGGATGAGCTTAAAGAAACACTCACTAAACGCGAGAAAGATTTGGAACAGCTAAAAATCTCACTCAACAATGAAATGGATTCGAAAGCTTGTTTAGCTATGCAATTAGAGCAACTTCATTTACAAATTTCGCAACTAAACAAGGACATCAGAATAAAGGATAACGAACTTTCAGAAGTTAAAACGTCTCTTCGCGCAAATACGCTTTATATAGATGATGTCAAGGAAGAATTGAGCAAGCAGAAAGCTGATTACATTTTTCAAGTAAATGCATATAAACAAAGATATAATCTGTTACATGACAGCTTTCAAAAAGAAACTCAAGAGAAGTCGGATTTGGAATCTCAAAATCAATCTTTGCATAAAGAAATCAATCTTCTTCAAGCTGAAATTGAACATCGCGACTTTGAGTTCTCCGAACTCAATGACCAACTGAATCAAGATGAAACCCGAAGAAATGAAACCACTGAGAAATTAAACCGCTTATGCCGGGAGAAAACTGACTTGTTGTCAAAATTGCATGTTCAAAAACACGCTTATGAACTTCAAAAGGAAAAGTTTGAAAAGGCATTAAAAGAACTTCATGTCAAAACTCAAAATGAAACTGAATTCAGAAAAGATAAAAGCCGACTAGTATCAGAATTAGCATGGATTAAATCAGAAAAGGAAACGATGACTTGTGAAATTGCCGACGGTGCAAAGAAACAAACAGGGTTCGAGGCCCAAATTGGTGAACTAAAAGGTGAACTATCTAGACTACAGTCTAAGCATCAAGAAATTCTCTTGAAGTACAGTACAATACTGAATTCATCAGAAGCTTTGCAAAAACAAGTGAAGGACCAATCCGTGTTCCAAAGAGAAATTGAAAGCTTTAATCAACAGAAGGATACCCTGCAGAGATTTTTACTTTTTTCGGCTCAATGTTTTGAACTAGACATTACTGTAGATGTCAATGAGTTTTTCAGGGATCTTAAGTCTGGCATGAAGTGTTTTCAGTTGTTATATAATATGTATAAAAGGTTATGTAAACAATGTGATTTGCCTTTTATAATGAATACCAAGCAGCTAAACGAAAAAGAATTGACGAGAGACATCCGGATGTTGTCAGCAAAGGTTAGTACTTTACGCGAGTTGTATGTTCAAAAGTCCAAGGAAGTGAAGAAATATGATCTGGCGTTGAAGGCTTTTATTGATGAAAAAGCCTTATTAGCGAACACAGTTGCAACAAGCCTTGAGTCTCCATTGCGAGGAATGGAAAACAAAATGACGAATCACGAAAGCCGAGTAAGCCAGTTAATTAAAAGCTTTGATACACCTCGAAGCTCCCCCACCAAACAGTCGTCATTTGAATTGATGTTGAAATCTCCTCCATCATACGAAGAGTCAACAAAAGTTCAAGCCGAGCAGGTATCGAAGAATGATAGACAAGGAACTATTGCAATCAATCAGACACTATTAAGGGAAAACAAGCTTCTTAGAAACTTAGTGGATCGTCTCAATAAAGTTACTGGTAACACTTCATATACCAATACAGAAATGCATACAGGCGTGGAATGCTTAACATACAAATCACTAGAAGCAGCCTTTGAAACCCTTTCCGATAGTAAACGTACTCTTCTAGTCGACCTGGCAGAAACAAAGAACCAGTTGGAAGAAGTTGACAGAAAGTATCGAAATTTACGACTGGTACTTAATGAAGAACCTTCTTCCAATATGGACCACATACTAAATAATATTTCACCAGATAACGAGCATATTGACAGCGAAGTACTAGTTCGAAAGTGTCAGGAGCAGTTACTGGAAGAGCTACGCAACGTTCGTAACTTGGAGAAGTTGTTGGCGGAAGAAAGAATTAAGTCCAATGAACTTTCTTTACAGTTAGATAGACAGCATGAAGAGTTGCTGTTGTACAAGTGCAAAGGAAAGGTGGAGTGAGTCTTAAAAAAGAACTTCTATATTCCGGTTGAATATTTAGTTATGTCTCCCTATTCATTCATTGAAAATATTGATATAGTAAAATGTACACAACAAATGAATAATAAAGCGCTTAATTAGATTAATTTATTCAGTTCATCAACAGTTTTTTACAAACCCCTTTATTTACCTCTGTAATTCCTTATACATCACTAGATGATTTAACAGATCACATCTTCCATCGCTATCCTATAAGTAAGAACCCAAACAAAACAACTTACTTCTGACATTTGCACATCTCAAGATAGATTAATATAGATGAGTAAAACAGTAGATCTTAATGTTTTGCGTCAAAAAGCTTTAGAATCGGCAAGAAAACATTCCGAGGAGGAATCAGACAAAGAAGATGGAGAAATAAGTGAAGACACAACTGAGTCTTCTAACAATGGTATGTACTATATTTCAAGATTGGAAGGACTGTAGAAGGACTCAAACTATGAATGATGATATAATCTGTTTTAATGATTGTTATAGCAGTTCTATAATATTGCTAAGTATTTGCGTTCACTGTACTGTTCACTTCAAGTCCTAGAAAAGGTATTCAGTTGTTTAACCCATATAGATGCAATTCCTCCTGTAACACAACCTAATCCTTTCCCTTCACAACTTCCTGTAGACGGGTATGTTTGTACAACGAAGTGAAGATATAATAAAAGCAAAATATTTGATACCTTGAGGGTGAATCATTTGTTTGCTTTTAATTTGATTGGAAACCAATCGGATTTTAACGTATTAACAATTATAGCTTTACACCACCGAATACATTTCCATTTCCATTTGCACCTCCTTTTATGCTTCCTCCGGCATTTTTCCTTGGGCCGCAAACTACTCCTTTCGCAACTCCGAATGAGGTCCAAATTAAAGAAAGTCCTCGCTGGTCATCTAAGTCGAAAAATGAGAGTTCATTTGCTGGTAGTCGCAAATCTAATCTTAATAGAAACAGGACTCCTCGCATGGAGAAGTCAACAGAACCTCGCTCATCACCAAATCGAAAAGGCTCGAGCAAAGTGCTGTCTGAAAGATCTGATGAAAACAGAGTAAAGACATTCGAAGATGACAGTGGTATGTCCGACATTTTACCACCCTCTTCAAAACGAAATGAGGCGGAAAATGCTATTAATCAATTAGTTGGTTTTGGCGTTAAATATGATGATTTCATTGCTGAAGGTATTCATCCTTCTGTCGTGCGAAGTCTTTTTTCTAAGCTAGGCATCGAACTTCCCTCTATCACCGTGCCTTCCTCTACATCTCCATCTGAACAAACTACTAGACCTACCAGCACCAAGCAACCTCGAAAAATAGACTTACCTTCAGATGATTCGGCTATTCTTCCTGGTGATAGCGGGACTCCGACAGTTCTTCCTCAAAGAAAGCGGTTAAAATCCTTACCTCGTCCTCCCGTAGACGACTGGCTGAACTCCTCGAAACCCTTTGGTATTTCCAGTCCTTATATTGTAATTGAACTTGATTCTGAAGATGAAGTGACTTACGAAAATGATAGCTCCTCGACGTCTGAAATATCTATATCGACAGATCAAACAGCAAATTCGCGTTTTGAATCTCTTGCTTTATTGCGTAAAAAAGAGAATGAAATTCGAAAGATGACGGAGATGATTATGAAATTAGAATCTTCAAAGAAAGCTACAAAACCTGCAATTCCTAAAGAACCATCCCCTTTTGTCTCTACAAAAGAGAGTGATCAGAAAGAACAGTCTTCCAGATTAACGATGGAGTCCTCAAATAGTGAGCAGAGCAAACACAAGATTGCTCAGCCAACGTCAAAAGCCACACAGGATGCGCTGGAAGATGATGCAGGTTTGCAGGTTAACGACACAACAGAGGAGAATGTTCCTTGGCTAAGAAATGTCGATAACGGTGAGATTCCAACAAAATTACAATCGCAGTCTGAAGAGAATCAATCGCTAGTTACGCAAAAGGATGAATTGGCTAGGGTGAATAAACTTATTGAGGATGAAGAAAAGGAATTAAATAATTATAAAGCAATCATAAATTCTAAGAAAGAAGCTTTAACAAAGTTATATTTCAGAAAGAAAGAACTTCTTTCGAAGGTTGGCGTTGAACTCTCCACGTTGCTACGTTCTGAGTCAATTAAAGATAATACTGCAATGGACAAGGATAAGTCGCCGGAGGGCACTAACGTTAGTGAGAATGAATTAAATGAAAATGGTACTAAAGCAGAACATAAGGAAGCTCCTGTAATAGAAGCTACTCCAGTACCTCCCGTGAATTACATATCTCCTTTGTATAGATTTAAAGCTTTCCGATTTAACAGACAATTTTTGGAAAAAGTACCCAGTGGATTTCGGTCCGTGAAGTATAGTAATAAAGCGGACCCAACGAGGATAATGTGCAAATACGAGACTACAGGAGGAGTTTGCAATGATGAGCAGTGTGAAGGATTCCATTTCAGGGATTTAATTATGACGGGTTATGGTATTTATTGTACTGGACTAATTACTAACTCAACGTAGATAATGAGATTATAGACGATTTGGCAGAACATAACGTGGGCACAACCAATGAAGAGAAGGAATCCTTCAGCAAGGTTATTCGGGAGATTATCGCAAAAGAGAAGGAGAAAGATTCCGATTTTAGTACTATATGCCAAGCGATTGTTGATACGCATAGTAGGTGGAACGCAGAACGTTTAACAATTCCCATTGCCAAAGTTTCGATTTGAGTTTCTATTGTTTTGTCTTTCATTAAACACTTTTCAAATTGCACGATTGCTGAACACGTTCTGTGGATATCTGTTGTTACAAGTCTACCGGACGTGAACACTTAAAACCTTCCACATACTATGAAGATACATAATTATTTTAGTGTAATATTGTTTAATGTTTTAGAGTTAATTTTTGGTTAGTTGAAAAGAATCTTATATGAAGTCAAAGATGAATTAGTACTCTTTTTTTTTTTTCTTTTCAACTCGTTTGGATTTGAGAAGTCACATATATACTGGTAATAACATAAATATCTTAATTTATATTTATAGAAGACATAAAAATTGGTGTTCAAAACTCTATAACATCGTAAGTCTAAAAGCATATTTCCATTTCTAGTATATTTTCCAAAGAGAAATCCGAGAATCCTTGCTAGCTAAAGCAATGATATTGGAGTATGAACAAAAAGATACACAATTGATCATAGAAGAATGGTATTTTAGGACAGCCAATACAGAAAGGCTCTTACAGCTGTAAATCCGAGTACGACCATCCCAACCTGCAGTAGCAATAATTCGATTATCTCCACGAATTTGCAAGCATTGTTGCCCACAATGTTTGGAATGAAATACTCTTGGTTTATTGTTCGCAGCTCCATCTAAGGATGAAGGATGTTTTACTATCCGATCATCCGCACCGGACGAGTATAATTCATTCCCTGATTTATTGTAGTTAACAGACAATACCGGTTGAGAGTGTGATTTTTCAAAGTAAGTCATAACCCAAACGTCTCGAAAGTCAAGACACACATTTCTCACTTGGCTAAGTTTACACTGAAACTGTGCTACATGACCACTTTCATAGCCGACTGCCAAGAATAAAAACTCCTCAGAGGAAGCGAAAGAAGTGGTCATCAATGCGCCTGTCTTTTCATTATTTATGGTGGGTTTTATTTCATTTTGAAGTCTTGTACCGTGATCGCCTTGATTTGTGTTCTTCGATAGTAAACTTTCAGCTTCGTAAATATCAATACCATCAACATTGATAGTGTTTGAAACTGCAATAACTTTTGCATTTTTATCATATGAAAAAGAGCAAAAAGTTAATGCATTGATATAAATACTCGAACAAATAGTAACAGAGTCGTTGTTTATGTCCAAATTAGTCTGAGACAATCCATTTCCCCGAGATTGCATACTGCTCAATTCGGATAAAGCCAAAGAATATTTAATCTTTCCAAAGTCCATTTTCCAAACGGTTAAGCGACAATCTCGACTCTGTGTACACAGAGTGTCAGTATCGACAACTTCCATTCCTAAGATAGTTTTCGTATGAGCATACCAAGCCTGCAGAGGACGCATATCTAACAAAGACCAACAAATTACAAATCCATTTTCGTCCCCTGAAAAAAGATGGTTTTTCTCGTCGAAAGCGATTGCAGTGACATTGGATGAATGTCCACGTAAAACGTAGAACGGAGTTGGTACGACCATGAAAGCTTGTTTTTTTTTTTTGTTTTTAGTCTACCAAATTTTGATTTTAGTTAAAACTAAGCATCTCAAATTCGTAATAAAAAGTACTCTTTACTGCTTTGGTCTGTAGGAGTAAGAGTTCTATGTCTGGCTACCAAGTATTATTGAAATCATAGTGATACAGCTAAACAGAAAGATACTTTCCTACTTCTTTCGTTAGGAATAAACCAAACTATAAAATTTATTTCTTTTTCAGTTGCGTGTCGCTATTTACATATGCTACAATGTACTGTTTCTTTGAAAGCACCCTTTCATATTGTTTATATTTTTCATTTCGTCAATTCAAGAAGGTGGAAATGAACTCTTGCTTTCCCTTTGCTTATAAAAATAAAAAACGATAGCAAGTCTTCAGGTTTGATATGGGAATACTTTTTTTGAATAAAGCGTAAATTATTATGCCTTACATATGTTGACAAGTCTCACAAATACAATATGCTAAAATAACTTTCTTGTGATAATCGATTGTGCTCTAAAATTAAATATTCTCTATAAAAAACGTTGTTTCATAAACGAAGTTTCGATCATTTAGCTAGTTTTCGTAGAGATGAATGAGTAAATTCTAAAAGATCCTTAAAAACGATACAAACAGCTCATTTTGCTTAAATTCCAGTAAAATTTTTCATTTAGGAAAACCAATTTGATTCCGTGCATTAGACTTCTACTATCACTATAGAAGAATGCTTGTTTGAATTTTCTGTTTTTCCTTTAACCTCGTCCTTTGGGCTTCGTATTTGCTTCCTTGACATCTCAAATACTTGACGAATTTTAACGTTTGGGAATTTTCATTGTACTTTTTCTTCTTGTTTTATTTACCTTTTTTTACTATTTTGGATATCTATGGATAACGTTACTTGTAAAGTAACGTTGCCCTCGAACAAATTTAAATTGAAAAGAGGAATAAGAGGTACTCGATGTTGCGTGTGACAATCATGGCTTTCAACTTTATCTGTTTTAAAAAATGGAAAAGAAAGAAGCTGTATTGCTCTTGACTAACATTCATTTGAAGAAGACCAAAGAACAGAAGAACCTATGCGCTCATTATATCAATTACTAGGCACTACTTTTAAATTTCCTAAAAACAAAGGATAGGCAAACCGCTATACAAATTTTTTGTTGATTAAAACTACATTTGCTTGAAACAAACCGGACGGCCTGGATTTTTGTCCCATCTAGTGGAAAAATATACTTGTCGTTTTGGTTTCACGACTTAAAGGTAAAGTAGACCCTGCCGTAATAACTATTGTCATTTAAAAAGAAAAGTATATAAAGAAAACTTTTCATATTTCATAGGCTACACGTGGACAAGTTTCATCGTACAACTTCTCGTATATATTCCCTCTATTTAATATTCACCTTCGGTTATGGAAATTCAACGTTCAGTTCAAACAATCGATAGTAAATAGCTCGTTTATATGAACAGGAAATATTTAATACGCAAGGAGGAATCTTTGGCACTTTCAATAGTCATTTTATCAACCTGTCGAGTTTTACGATTCACTGATACACACACGAATTTTGAACCCTCTGACTACAAACTGATGGACTAAACATAAGAAAGCGATATTTTCATTCATAGCAGTCTATCCGATTATAACTGAAATAGGATGGATTACCTTTGGAGAACATATATTTCAAGTTTCGTAATTTGTTATCATTGTTCGAAACGAGTCTATTCGAACAATTAATTATTCGAAATGAAAGCAATTTCGTGAATAAAACTTCATTGGATGCACATAAATAGAGATTGAACATTATAAAGAAGATAATCATAAAACGAGCGATAAACTTATTCAGAGAAATTATTGAAAGCAAGAACATTAGGGGTTCCTTCCGGAATTCCTTCCAGTTTATCTGTCAAAGCATACTTGAGCATATATTTCTTGAGATCAGCGGGCTTGTTCGCCAAAGAGGGTTCAAGAGAAATGTAATATGCGGCCAATCCAGCAACATGGGGAGATGCCATGGAAGTACCAGAAAGGAGCATGGAAGCTTTGTCGGATCCAATCCAGTCAGAAAGAATAAGGGATCCAGGAGCAAAGATGTCGACACAAGACCCATGGTTGCTAAAAGAAGAAATACCATCAGTCCAGGTCATAGCACCAACAGTCATGGCACTGCTCACACGAGAAGGAGAAGTGTTGCAAGCATCTTCAGCATCATTACCAGCAGCAACGGCGAAAAAGAGTCCGCCCTTAATAGCAGCGCTGACGGCCAAATCCAAAGCTAAACTAGCATCACCACCCAAAGACATATTAGCAACAGAAGCAACAGAATCCTCGTCCTTCTTGGACTCCTTGAAAGCAAATTCAATACCCTTGATGATATCAGAAGTGGTACCAGTACCGTCAGCACGCATGACCTTGACGGCGACGATCTTGGAATTCTTAGCAACACCAAACGTTTTCCCGGCGATGGTACCGGCGACATGAGTTCCATGACCATGGTTATCAATGTCCTTTTCGCCATTAGGAATGGTGGCACCCCAAGAAGCTCGGCCTTCAAAATCTTGATGGTTAACGTTGACACCTGTGTCAATAACATAAGCGGTTACACCTTCGCCGGCAGTTTCGTTGTAATTATAGCGAGTAAAAGTTGACAAGCCCAAACGGTCACGGTGAGAAACTCGAGCAAGACCCCAAGGAGCAAAGCGTTGTTCGGCTGTGACGTGCATGACACGATCGGGCTCGACGATTGCAATGTCGGGATGCTTTTTAAGCTCATTTACAAGCCAAGGAGAGAAGCGGGCAGCATATCCCATAAAGGAATCGCCGATTTCGAAGGTATGCTTGAGCAAGAACGTAGAGACATCTTGCCAATCAAGAGAACGTTTGTGGTGTTGATGTTGAATCCACTCATGATGACTATTGATTTTAGCTTTGTCAACAGAGGGTTTGAACATAACGATATAATGGTCATTAGTTATTGAGGAGGAACCTTCCACATCTGTTTCGTAAGGCTTTTGTGAAGGATGATTCAAAGGAGGAGCGGCAATATCATCCCCGATTGGAACAGGGCCATGGACATTTGGAGAGAAGGAATTATCATCCAAAAAGAAGCGTAAAGGATTGAACGCAGTAGAAACACTACAGAGCTGAGCAGCAAAAACAAGCCCAGCGGCAAAGGAAACCTTCATGACAAAGCTGTTTAGGATTCTTCAAGGAATGTATCTACTGAATCGTTAGAATGAAAGAACAATCAATCTACACAATGAAAACAACAAGAGATCCAAACTCGATTGCAGTCCAATGGCTTTTTCAATTCCTTACGATGAAAATTTACAAAAGAATAAAGGTGGAAGGTCCTTCAAAATGGAGCAATTCGACTATTGTAGGACGAGTTGTGGTGGTAGTGATGTGTTTTGGTCAGGTTCAGAATTCCTCTTTGGAATACATTTATAGACTTCTAAGGAGGAATTGTTTTGAAGCAATCTTGACGTAGACAATTTTTCTCTTTCTCTTGTTCTATTGCTCTATATTTGAAGTCCTTTAAATCTTTATTCTTATTGTAGTTCGTTTTCTCTTCTCTTCTCTTCTCTTCGTTTGTTTATGTTTATCGTCTTTTTTTATTCATATGCAATCATTATGCCAATTTCTTTTAGAAAAAACAAATAAATAAACTATCATAAGCGATGTTCTATGGAAACAACGACAACACCGGGTTTTCTAAGCTTAGTACAGAACAATTCAATAAGTAATTAATTTACCAATCTATCAATAAAATCTAACTATGTTTTGCTTCAACCGTGGCAATCGTCAGTACATTTTTTCTTCGTAATTAAGGGTATATGTAAGGGACATTGACATACTAACGACATCGAAAATTTGTTCCTAAACAGAACCAACTGGTTGTCTTTGAGGAAGAAGTGAAGTTTTAAACTCAAAGTCTAAGGTACATTATAGGACAGTTATTTATATTTGTAAAGAATTTTTTTATTTTCATTTGGTTTCATCCTAAACTTGCATCATTTCTACTTTTTTTTCGTTTCTATTCCTACCAAGTATACCAGAACTAAGATACTTCTTCATTTTCGCTTATTGATTCCCTTTTTTCTATTAATTATTATTATTATTATTTTTGGTTTAAGAGTCTTTTGATTTATAGAACCAATTTTCAGTGCGTAATTGGTGATTCATTGGTTTTCTTCAAGTAATCTTTTTCTTTTTTTTTTTTTTTTGATATTGGTCTCCTTATGGCTGAACATAACAATTCTCCAGGTACTTATCCCAACAAGGGAGCAGCTACAGCGCTTGCTGTCATTGGCACAGTTTGCTGGTGTGTGCAACTGATTCCTCAAGCCATAAAGAATTATCGTTCCAAATCCACAGCTGGTCTCGATACTCTGTTCATTTTTAGCTGGGTGATTGCCTCAATCCCTCTTTCCGTTTATAACTTGGTCCAGGACCTCAACATTGCTCTTAAAATTCAGCCTGAACTCTTTCAATTGCTGTCTTTAGTAACCTTCTTCCAATGTCTCATCTACGGTGAAGGCTGGTCGGCTCGTAAATCTCTGTTCGTTGTGGGTGGTCTCGCTGCTCTCTCGGCTGGTTTGCAGGCTATGTGCATTCTTACCATTAAACTAGGCATTCGTCGCCATGTTGAATGGCCAGTCGAATTAATGGGTGTTTTAGCCACAATCCTTGTTAATATTGGCTTTCTTCCCCAATACATTCAAATTTTCCGCCAAAGGGCCGTCCGTGGTATTTCATATATTTTCTTGACTATCGATTCTGCCGGCGCTCTCTTGTCCTTCATATCACTACCCTTCGACCGATGGGATGTACTAGCTGCCATTGACTATGGTCTCGTCTTTGTATTAGAAATGGGTATTTTTGTATTGGTCCTTATTTTTAACGTCATCCTTGGCAAAAAGGATGAGACTTACGACGACAACGAAGAAAACGAAACTAGGGATGATGAAGAAACAGTGGAAGAGGAGAAGCCCAAGATTCTTGTTAGAAACCCTACTTCCAGATCAGACTACTCAGTTCATCCTCAAGAAAAATCAATTCACATCCCTTAATCCTACTACTGTCTTTATTTTCTTTAACTCTTGAATATGGAAAATCTCATCTTGGCCTGTTTTCTTTTGTTATTAGCTTTCATTCATGACTGGAATCGTGACACTGCTGAAATGTGCTAGTGTATGAGTTAGGATTCCCTTTACTTTTTATTTACTTTTAAAGTTTCATTTCGTTTTTATTTATAAATATTGAGTTTATTAGTATTTGGGTTTTTACAGCTATATCAATACAATCACTTATGGTGTATGTATATAGAAACGTAGTGTAAGTTTCTTATTATCAAAAGATGTGTATTTTGTTTTGTACAATCAAGCCTCGGAATTTTAGACTAGAGATTGTTTGAGTCGATTTTCAACCACAGACCAATTAATACTTTGGAACCATGTATCAATATACTGCTCGCGCTGAAAGAGACCAAAGTCTGTAAAATAAGCATGGTCCCAAAGACAAATGTTGATGATTGGGACATGAGAATAGTTTCGTGGTCTCGTACTGTGATCAGGTACAGAGGGAACGAGGTGAGGATCCTTCGATTGCGATCTACTCCACAAAAAAGGAGATCCTGCCTGGAATGTCCGCATCACTTGTAGTCTGTTGTAGTCATCGAGGACAACCCAAATCCACGCAGCACCAAATGTATTAGATGCGAGTTCCTTTATTTTCAATAGCAAGGCTTCTTTAGACTCAAAATTTTCACGTATAGCTTGCTGAATAATAGAATTATTTTCTAGTTGAACTTTGGGATCTGCTTTTGCTTTTTCAGCACTAACCAAGGACTCAAAAAAGAAATGATTGTTGTAGGCTTGACTTGCAAACTGGAATGTGGCTGCATGTTCTGGAAGCACAGCTGTTTGAAAGACAATATTAAAAATAGAATGGTCTTCCAGCTCGGTCCCTTTTACTCGATCATTCAAACTCTTAACGACATGTCCCTGGTGCTCATCCCAAGCTACCCTTATTCCATGTTCGCTAAACAGTGGAGTCAAGTTCCTTTCAGGTATCTCGGGCACTGTATGATAGCATTTAAGGTGTTTGTTCTGTAATCTGCTAGGTATGCTCTTCAAACACTGCGAAAAAAACGAATGTGTATTTGTGTAACGAACACCGCGAAATGCTGAAGGAATTCTCAAGAAATTCATCGAAATTTATATAAAGAATACAAATGCTACTTTAAGAAACTAATTAATGAGGATATTAGTCATTACTTTACCAAACCCCGAAGTTCAATGGTAACTGAAAACGCAAGCTTCTGGTCAGCGGTTCTCACCACGAAACGACGGTTCAGCATCCATAGAACGGATAGTTTTTATGACTATTTAGTTTATTTAAAATCACTTTTACTTCCGAATAAAATACTATTTTTTGTTTACGCTTCTAAAGAACAGTTTTATCCTAGTATGAAATACGCAAAAGTGCTCGTATACACAATGGTTTCATCTCCCACAAAGTCTTTTAAAGTCTCTTTTAAAAATACCTGAACAGCTTTCTAGTTACATGAGATAATCATTAATTCATATTAGAACACTATGCAAAAAGTAAACATCTATAGATCACAGGATAACTAAACAAGGTTTCGCTCACAAAATCATTATCAAAGAAACAAACAATGCAGCAATTATACTGTTTGTACTTGGCTTTGGTCCTGGTGCTTTTGAGGCTTGAGCACTCTCTGCATCTAAAGAAGTTGAAGAAAAAGACGTAGAGGGACCTGAAACTGGAGTAGCAAACGAAGTATCGATATCCTTAAAAAATCTGTCTTCAGTAGGAATGCTGGGAGAAGGACAGATGCCAAGCTCGTAAGTTTTATATTCCGGGTACAGAATCATAGGATCGCCGTTGTGGATTATAAAAACTTGACGATCGTCTTCCACGGGAACAGACTTGCAAGTAATAATATCAATCCATTTATGCTCGAGAGCAGAGACAGTATAGTGAAAGCGAATATAAAATGAGCCCAAATTGTTAAGTACCGTGATAACGTCTCCGCGCTGAAGCAACATTACTCTGCTATCAACAAGGCTAATATCGGATTGAGCAGACAAAAATGTTTCTCCATTGTCACTATTTAACATAGCATTACGAAAATTGTTGACAACGGAGGTAAAATAGTAATATGGATTTTTTTTAGGGAAGCCTTTTTCCCAAAAAACTGGCCGATTATAAGGCTCAGTAACGCCTCTCAGCGCAAGCTCTTGACCATAATACATGATAGGAATGCCATCGCCCATAAGAAGGAAGGCAATTGCGTTCTTAAGAGCAGCAGGATCACTAGAGACGGACGCCATTCTTGATAAGTCAGGACTCTCAACAGAATTTCCCAAAGATAGAGGGTCACGACAAAGACCGCGAATATCTGTCATTGCCTCAGATAAATCAACCATTCCATTGAGGTTGCTAGATAGAAAAGCCTTTCTGGCTGCATTCTGAACTGGATAATTCATCAATCCTTCAATCGAGTTTTGCCCATCGCAAATTTCAATTGCATCCTGCGAAAATGATTCTGCCATACAAAATACACCAGCTGCCTCACAAAACGTGGGTATAAAGTCTTTGGGATAGTCTTTTGCTGAAGCAATACGAATACCGTCGACCTTGAAGGCTTTCACAAATGAACGTATATATTCCTTTAAATTTTCTTTTAGGGAAATCAAGTCTATACTGTGGTCTGGAGGGTTGCATTGTTCGCAAGGAGCCCAGTCGTCCTCGTCATTTGTTTCTTCATCCTCGAGTACTAGACAAGTCTCATCGTCATAATCTTCTTCATCCAAAGAATCATATTCGTCGTCAGCAATTTCATCTATCCTTTGAAGATCCATATGATTAATTACTACATCAACCATCAAGTACATGCCACGCATATGAAGTGCATTAGAAAGCTCTCTTAACTCTTTTTCGGTACCAAAATGGGGATTGAGATGATATGAATATCCATAGTAGCTTTTACCTAGATTAGATTGCTCAGAATTCGCAACCTGCTCTACGACTGGAGAAATTAAAAGAGCAGTGAAGCCTAATTCCTGGATATAGTCAAGATGATCTTGAATTCCACTCCAATCTCCTCCACAGTACTCTTGCAAACGAATGTTGCAACGGGGGACCACGTTACTTGTAGCAAACCGATCGGTTAAAACAGAGTATATAGATTGCTTTTTCCAGTCTTCAGCACCCAGTGCAAGGACCGGGGACACAACACCCGACACGAGTCCGATTGACAATCCTAAATTCTTAAATGACAACTTCATCTTTGTCGAGTGACGTGGACCGGTGAAGATTGTAGTCTTCTGTTTTTTTTTATATGCCTTGCTTCCACTTGTAAACAAATACGACGGCGGATTTTTGCTTCCACTTGTGTAAACAAACAATTGCTTTTTGGAATACGGAATCAAAAAGAGTTAGTAGAATTCATGCTATAAGTATAAGACAACCTGGATCATTAAAAAAGCAATATTCATGTAATTATTGTCCATAATACGAAGTATATCGTATCAGTAAAATGGCACCTCTCTTTGAATAAGAGTCAGCAAACCAGCTCGACTTATACAGTAATTATAGTAGTAAAAATCAAGCTCAAAAAAAGATTTGAACTCTTCAAGTGTAAATATCTTTTCTTCTGTGGTCAGCGTTCTTTTTTATAATGACAAAAATAGAAGAAAGCGACGAGCACTTAAGAACAAAAAAGACAACATTCTATACTTTCTATAACCTATTTTTCCAAAAATGAAAAAGTACGTAAGTCTTGACATGTTTCTTCGACTTGAGTTCTTCGAGATTTCAACAATATCCTCTTACACTACGAACTGAGAGCCATGGAACGATTTGGCTTATCCAAGACTTAAGATTGATTTGATTGAATTAAGGCTTGTCATACAATAACTTTATTACATTTCATTTTTATCGACTTCCAAGCGATTCTTAGATATATTATATTTTCTCAATGACGGGAGCTTTTAGACCACGGGTCCCTTGGTAAGTCTTTCTCTAACCGTATTCTTCAACCAATTGCTAATAGATTTTAAGGATCGACTATCTTGGTCTGCTCACTGCATATATCGGCGTTTACGCCGAATTGATTTTTCGTGTATTTATTTACTTGATCCCAGATCGAATTCGAGAATGGGGACGAAGAAGAGTCATTCGTATTTACCATTATTACATTACCAAGAAAACTACCGATGGTATGACCGATGCCATCCAAAAGTGCAGAAATATATACGAGATTTGTGAAGCTTTTGGATACAAAGCAGAGGAACACTTGTTGCGAACTGAGGATAATTTCATTCTTTGTCTACATCGAATTACACACCCTTCCAAAAAAGAAACCAAAAAGCGAGGCGTCGTATACTGTCACCACGGACTCATGACAAACTCTGATCTTTGGGTGGCTGTCAACGAACCAGAGCGCAATCTTCCTTTTGTTTTAGTTGACAACGGCTATGATGTTTGGGTAAGTTGAAATTATTTGAAAGCATTCTGTGTATTTTAGAGTCACATATGTCTAACACCGTTTAGCTTGGTAATAACAGAGGAAATAAGTATAGTAGGAAACATGTGGTATACAAGCCTAAAGATGAAGAGTTTTGGAATTTTTCCTTAGATGATATGGCTATGTTCGATATCCCTAATACTGTCGATTATATACTTCATGAAACCGGAGAAAAGAAGCTTAGCTATATTGGATTTTCTCAAGGAACCGCTCAGGCATTCGCTTCATTGAGTTTAAACAACTCTTTGAATAACAAAGTGAATATCTTCATTGCCTTAGCCCCTGCCTTCACTCCTAAGGGATTCTCAAACCATCTGGTTGATTATTTAGTAAAAGCTAATCCAAAGATTATGTATAATCTCTTTGGTAGACGATCACTGCTTCCCTCTGTAACATTTTGGCAAAATATCTGTTGTATGTCGAAAGTATCTTTTCCCTTGTGTTTCTATTTCTAACATTATAGATCCTCCTATATTCGTTAAAATCGTTGACTTCTCTCTCAAATTGCTTTTCGATTGGGATTTAAAAAACATTTCAGCAAGTCAAAAACTATGTGGTTACGCTCATTTGTATTCGTTTTCCAGTGTTAAAAGTTGTGTTCACTGGCTTCAAATTATCAAAAATTGCACGTTTCAACTATACGACGATGATCTAGCAGTTATAACTGGCTATACAGCTCGCCACTACCAAGTTCCTTTGTTTCCTACAAGTAATATTAAGTGTCCAATTTTACTTATCTGGGGTGGAAAAGACACGCTCATTAATATGGAATACATGCGCACTGCTTTACCGCCTCAGGCGAAGGAAATAGAGGTATGTGTCACCTACTAACGATAAACGTTTGAACTAACAACTATAGATTAAACACTACGAACACTTGGACTTCCTTTGGGCTAATGATGTGAAGGAACAAGTGATTCCGAAAGTCCTTGAAGCACTCCCTAACTAGTCAGCATGTTTGATACTTGTGTTAGTGCAAAATATATTTATTTGTTTTCAATATTATCCTTCACCTATAGAACCTGCTATAAAAAATGATTTGTAATAATAAATCTCATGTAGTTCAAAATTATTTTGACCTTTAATTTTCATAGACTGCATATTGTACTCCTGCTTTGTCTTTTTGATAAGTTCTACTCCAAGACAAGATAAACCGTTTTCCGCTTTCACTTGGTTGAGTAAAAGCGATTTCTTTGTTGGATATTTTATAACCATAAATAAAATGAGAAGTCGCGCATTCTAAAAGTGCACGAGCAATTCCTTGTTTCCGGCGTGATGGAGTAACCCAGATCCTTGAAACTCCAAGAAGAAATCCAGCCTGTAATTTGTTTTCTTTTATATACACAGCGGAAGAGAAAAATGCTTTCTCATCCTCTTTCTCACTAATCACATATGCGGAATTTATACGCTCTGCTAACAAAAGCCCGACACACTTTTTTCCAGAAGTAAATAGGAAAATGGAATACTTATCAACACCGATAGTTTCCATAGGCTCGCCGGAAAGTTCTTCATTAACAAAGTTTAAAGCTTCCTCGGCTTTCTTTTGATCTAACAATGAACTTTCAGCTGTAATCATGTAGATTGAGTCGCCATTGACAGAATAGCTGAGTCGTTTTATAGGTTCTGTCTGCATACTTAAAGTGATACCACCAAGTGTACGAGAATGAAATCTTGAATGCAAATCCACGTCTTCTTCACTTGCTTTATTGTATTCCATTAGACATTCTGAACATGTAACAGTAGTTGACCCTAGGTCCAAATGCATCTGGGTAGCGCTTGAAGAACCGGAAAAGCCAACGGAATTATTCTTTTTATGCAAGGAAGATGTTGACGACGTACTTTGATTTGAAGTAAAAAAAGCGTCAAGAAAGGCCTTTTTTGGTGATGGGCTATCTATCGGCAAAGTAAAGTGTTTGTTACCAGTCCTGCGTCCGTACGTCCTGTTCTTCCCGGTGTTTATTGGTTTATCTGTATTAGAAGCATTAGACGGCTGCTGTTCAACTAACCTTTCTTTACGAGAAAGATTTATAGCAAAATGATAATCATCATGTTCACCCTTATTACTAAAAGGAATGATATGTCCGCATTCATCACATGTATATGACTGTTGAATAGTAGGACTTGGATTATCCGAAATATCTTTGAACATTCCAGAAATACTTCTTTTCTTCTTCGGTGACGCTTCTTGGTTGTCTTCAGACGGACATTGCTGTTGAGGTTTAGTGTTCTCATCCAACTGAAGCTTTGGATTATCATCCATAGTAGGTATCTGTTTCGGATGAATCCTGTTAGGACGTAGAAAAGACTCTATACCCCGTGAACTCTTGTCAATTTCTACTATGTTTTGGAAACTAACTGATAAATGGGAAATCGGATACACATCATACTCATCTTGAAGCTGTCGAAGAAGCTTCATGCAATGACTAGCAATATAATCCACTGTAATATCAGCATCTAGAGGGATTTGGGCCGATCTCGATTTACGAAGAGAACCGGTTAAAACATGCAGGCACAACGTTTTGGGCCTTCGGAGACCTTCTACTTCCATGAAACGGGAATGTAAGTCGGAGCCAAACACGCGAAACCAGTTGAGAACTGCATGTTCATCTTTTAGTTTATTCTGACCGAAGTTTTTTGCAGATAGCATGGATTTAATTTGTATCTGAGTTGTTATTTCTGTATCATCAAGACCATGGCACATATTCCAAACAAGCCTGCCATTCACTTGGCCAAGCTGTCGCATAACATTGTCAAGCTGCATGGACCACACATCAGAAATGGAGTCAGTACCAAGAATTCGAACCACTTCCTCTCCGAATTTTCCGCCCAACATCCTTATGTCGGTAATGCTTAGTGATCCAAGATATTCCTTTATGCCGCTGCGACATAAGGTTGCTTGCTTATTTGGTTTATTTCGAGAACTAACAAGCTTTGCAAGCATTGGGTTGAAAGAAATTCCAGCAGAACATGTATAGTGCAATGATTGAAATATGTCTTCTCGAATTGCTTTCACTACTTTCGCCGCATAATGGAGAAATATATCATCCCAGTCCTGTTCATATTCTTCACCAGTATTGCCTCCCTCCTTGTCAATTAATAATCCATTTTCATGTTTCCATAGAAGCACTGGAGCAGCTGGAAGGGATGTATCCAAATCGCCTGGCGGAGTTTTCAAGAAAGGGTACTCTTCTAAAACAAGCTTTTTTACTTCACCGGTAAGCTCTATGAAACATTCGTCAATACTAGCCTTCTTCACGATAGGCGCATGTTTTTTAATAATGTTCAAAATCTTGACACTCTCATGTCTGTACGGATCCAAGCAAGCTTTGAAATTACTTGGGTCAGGATTTTCATGGTATTTGGCTTCTGTATCACCGGCCTTCCAAGTTTTTACGTGTGCAACTTGAAGTTCGGGACACTTTTTTTTAGCTTCTGTAATGGTTTCATGTCTTGAAACGTTTGCGTCTCTAGCTGGATAGTTTACAGCTATAAGACCTTGCCATTGTTGCACAGCAAAAGGAGTAGATGGATTAACTCCTAGTCTCACTATTTCCACTTGGGCGTAAAATGCATCTTGATCAATGTGGGCTACGATCCTCAGCGGGCCAGTTCGAGACGTCGGCTTGTCACAATACTCCAAATCTCTCCAAGAAAACTTGCTTTTCCTACTTTCCATTCAGTTCATTACTTTTACTCTTTTATTTGCGTAAAAGAAAACAATCGTGCAATGTTTATGAACAGTGGAACAGTTTTCATTAAGATGTACAGTGGTGGTACTAAAAGACAAAACACCGAAAGCTATCTAAAACTTTGGATGAGTAGAGAGCTAATAGTGATGAATTTCTTTTTAACAATGAATCAATTTATGAATTTTTTTTTCAGTATAATTTGGCTTATTTTCAAGAGTCTAAGGTTTTCCTTTTTACTTTTTACCATGCATCATAATCTGTACGTAAATAGAAGTCATATAATTATAATTTTATCATGAATACATTATTTAAAATTTTTAAAAAAGCTTCAAAAAAGAGCTGAAACGTTTCACAAAGGAGAGAGTGCTCGATGTATGAAACCATATTATACTTCGTACATGTGAATTAATGGAACAACGACGCAGGAAGCTCTATCGCGAAATAGACGAAGCACGAGAAAATTCTTCTGTGTCGGGAATCGACATATTAACAATATCATTGTCAGAAAATTTCGTTTGGGTTTTGTAAGTTTCAAATTCTGCTTCTTCTGTACGCTTCTTTAGTACTTTATTCAGGTTCTCTTTGATTGGGCTATTGAAGATAACAATAGACAAAAGAGTATAAATGTGAATTAGAAAGCGTAATTTGCTCCAGACATAAAAGGATTCTTTCAATGTCAGCAAAAGAAATGAAACGATCAGATATGAGACAGAGAGGTTCGTTGCAACTATACCAACAATATCGTAAATACTTTTGAATGGACCAGGAGTTTTCATATCTGGTTGAAGGAAAAAGGGTCGGATAAATCTCCGGTGATACTTGGCAATTGTTTGAATGAATGCAGCTGAAACAAATGTCATGTAATAACCAGGAGAGACACCATGCCATAGAGCGCTGACTGTAAAGGTGCTCAATGTACTCTTGAAACCAGGACGTTTTCCTTTCTTGGCAACTCGAAGGTAGACATAATTTCGAAGCCACTTGTTGGTATTCATATTCCAAGCTTCCAAGGCGCCCTTAATGTTATAGGCAAATTCAAAACCAAAGGGGTCAATGTTTTTAACGCGATCCCAACGGGGACGCTTTAATTCATCTACGCCATTATAACCAATACCAGAAAGGATGCATGCACCATCAGAAAGTTCCCAAGCGCCATAAAATTTCATGCGCGCAATAAAAACTGTTAGTACGACGTGAGCATACTTTCTCAACAAGGAAAAGGAAGCAAAATCGCTGCTCAAAAGGAAGCTAAGGGGAAATAGGGAAGAACCGAATAGAAAGCCAAGCAGCCAAACAACTCCACGCCAACAGCGACCCAAAGCTGGCTTTAGACTATGGGGTGTAATTTGGGTCTCCATGGGGTCCCTCGGAGTATCAAACATGCTCAAAGTAATAAAATGCTCGTAATCAACATAATCGAAAGCAGGACCAACTAGGACAGAAGGAAAAAAGAATACATAGCCAAGAAAGAAAAAAAGGTTAGGTAGTTTCTTCAAGCGGCGTTGCTTTTGGTAGTCTGATAAGGTCTAAAATAGTTAGCGATCGTTTGCAGAAGGAAAACGAGAATTATTTTGGTTGCATACATTCTCTGCTTGACGGCCATCATACACGGACCATGCAAAGGCAGTCAGTTTCATACAAAGCACCATCTGGGATGCGGTAATGTCACCACGATCTGAAGGATAGACATAGCGAATCACATGACTATTTCAAGGTTAATTTTTTTATCAACGACAGAGTATAAGGGAAAACGTACTTGTAGAATGTATGACCGAGGATTACCACAAACACTATCCATGGCATATACGAAGTGCGAACCAATGCAGCAGTCAAGTAGGTAAACAAAGCATCAAATAAGAGGACATACGTACCGGTAGTCAAATGATGTATAGGAATCAAGTAGAAAAGACCAATGAGTATACAAAACGCATTACGCAGGAAAGGAGATTGAGGTAAGCGTTTGAGGATGCCCGAAAAAGGATAAGAAGACAATAAACAGAACGGGATTTTGATAACGTCTCCAGGGACGCCTAACACGGAGCTCAACCACTCAAAAGGAACATCCACCCATTCGAACATTTTGCTTCACGATGAGATGTGATGCTAAATTACAGAGTAGACACTGACAAATTCCTAGGAAGAGTCAAATAACAAGACAGCGGTTATATAGGCAAATCAATACGTTACTAAAGAAATCAAAAATGGAGCGAATTTCACAAAACAATCAATTTCTCGTTCGTTTCCTCCAAGCTTTGTGCGACCTATTACGCAATGTTTTGTTGCTTTTTTCAGAGAAGAGAAAAATAGCTCTGTATGAAAAAGGAAGGCTCTTTGTCCAAAAATCTTGATGCCGCTAGTATTTGGCTGGCATTTAGCAGATTTCCACTGGGATAAATGAGAAAACCGAATGATCTTACCTTCTGGTGTAATGGAAATTCCATTTCCTTAGAGGAACCATATTGCGAATGGTAACGATATCCTTGAACAGAATTGCAAACTGCAGTCGATTCTTTTAACACACGAAATTTTTCGTTATAGAGTAAATAAACAAAGGAAAAAAAAGCAAAAGATCATCATAGAAAAACAAACAAAACAAAATTAAATTAAATAAAAAATCGTAATGGAATAGGATACTTTCAAAGAATAGAATGGGTCCAATAATGCAAATATCTTGTTTTCTACAGCGTTTCAGACTCGTTTTTTTCCTTTTCTGGATGAGATTTGACAAAATCGATGGGTAAAAACCTATTTCTGGTTTATGCCAGGTGAATTCCTTTCATGTCTTTTCGATAAATAAATTTATAAAAAAAAAGTAATGATCATCATGAAGAGGGTCAAAATTGAAATAGAAAACTTGGCCTAGTTAGTCGTCAATGGGTATACTACAAAACGTCCTTCCTGGAGTTCAAAGAAGATTTGTGTTTTTATCAAGTTTCTTTTGGATACAACATTGTTGATCCAAAGAATTGCCAATTACAATAAAAATTCCTTTGTTTTTTTGGGATATCTCCAACTAGAACGTTGTCGGGTTGAGAAAAAAGAATCGTAGATTTTGAGAAACAAGCAGTAAGAAAGGAACAGTATGGCAGGTGATTCTCCTTTACCTTCACCTCAACAACAGCAAAAAGATCAAAAAAAGACTCCTTCGCCGCCTTCTTCGCAAGAATGGTCCATTCTAGAAGAAACGTTGCTTTTAAAGGCCATTTGCCAAGGATTAAGACCTGTGGGTAAGTAAAAAAGTTATTGATGGTTGAGTTTTTTTGGATACCGTTTATGTATTTTTTCTTTGAGAGAAATATCCAGGAAATAGCAGATGTTCATGGGAATCATCCAGTCAAGAAAACGAGAGGAATTCTTTTCCTTGAACGGTCGCTTGTCTAACACGATTCTTTAGGAACAGAAAAACATTTCCATATGATTGGAATGCTACGAATGATTCATGAAGGGTGTCAAACCTCGACTAAGCGTGTGCAAGATGTTTGGGATAAAGTAGGGACGCTGTATAATTTACAGGAATTTGAACGATTGGTAAGGAAACATGCGATTTTTTTGAATCTAAATTTATATTATTTCAACGATGATTAACCAACCTTTTTCATTAGGAAGCCGTTCCTTCACCGTCTGCCGGTGAAAAGCGGAAACGCGATGCAAAAATTGACGACGCAAAAGAAGATTTTCAAAATGATTTTGAAATTCCAAAATTTATATTAAATTCTACAAAAAACCCACCTGCCTCTTCGACATCTACTCCTAAGGCTAGTGGTGCTAACACAGGCGAGAAAAAGTTGACTCGATCGAGTATGGCCGCTTCTACGGCTCCTGATAAACAAGAGAGTAAGCAGGAACCTGTAGTAGAAGAACCCAATGTAAAAGATGAAAAAGATGAGGCTACCTTGGAAGAACCGCCGAGCAAGCAATTGCGTTCCTCTACCTCGAAACCAACAACACCCTTGAAAAATCATGATACTTCGTCTACAAAGGAAAAGCCAAAAACTCAAGAGAAAACAGACACCATGGGGAAGACACCGTCAGAAAAGTCTTCTACCAATACGCGAGCAGCTTCTCAAAAACAATCCGAAATAACGAATCCATCTCCACCAATTCGACGAAGCACACGAAGTCGAAGAACATAACAAGTTTAAGAAGACTTGTTGAAATTCAGCGCAACAAACAACTTGTCTTTTCTTTGAGAGAACACTTACTTTTCTACAATTCTTTCTCTTTCTTGTCTCCCTTCCTTCCTTTCACTCTCTCGTTCTTTCAATTTTTTTTTTTTTTTTTTTTTTATTTTTGAAACAACAACTACAAACATCTACTCAAAAATCCATTAACAACCATCAAATGCGCAACCTTTCTTAAATCTTGTGTTTCTCTTCTGTTTGCTTCCCTGTGTTTCTTTTCCTTTACTACCATTTTCAATTCGTTTCTACTTCTCCTTTGAACGTTTGTTTATTTATTGACGACTTTTGTTTACATTTCTCTATCTCTATCTCTCATTTCGTCAGCTATAATTCAGCCTGGTGGATATCTACGTGAGCTCCTCCAGACTCAGGAAATTTCAATTAGAGCACCGACGATAACACTCAATTCCTTTAATTCATGATGTTATATTACATGCTCCTTTTAGATAGCCAATTTCTATATATACTTGGAAATATACTACTAATCATGAAGAGTTTTCATCGTAAAGGCAATTCATATTTATCAAACTAACAACAGTAAGCAGTATATAAAGGAATACAGAATATGACAAAACAATAAGCAAAACATAGAAAGGCATACACAGAAACCATTCAGTATGTGCCCATAAACATGGTGGAATCATGAACAGAGAAAGGCATTCAATAAAAAAGGTGTGATAAACTCGAACAATCCCAATAAGGCTGCAATAGGAAACGAAGTATGGAATACAGGAGGATCCATCCTGTCCTAATGTTGAAAACCACCAGACGATAGATATGGTATACTCTTGAGGGTAATAGGAAAGGAACACAGAGAGTGAAAGAAATTTCATTTTCTAAATGGCTCCAAATTCGTCGGTTTTTAGACCCTTTTGCAATGATTCTCATATGCATGATTGCACAAGCTAAAGCTACAGCATAGCAATCATATTATCATTCTTGTTTGCACAAAACATAATATTTTTATGTTTCTTTTGAATCATTCATCATACAAAAGCCCTGTTCCCATGGTCCTCTTTCCTTCCTTTCTCTTTTCTGCGACGAGCACAAGAAACAGTTATACATATATATACACACGCACACACACCAAATTTAAAATGCCTTCTCTTTCGGTATTCAGGGTACTCCCAAGGAACGACAAAAAACAAAAACAAAAAGAAACCCCAAATTTTCCAATCATTCAAAACAGGAAAATACAATATTCGGATGAACCGAGTCAACCGATTCAAATTCTTTCTCTAATGAAACATAGAAGAATTTCATTTCTCCTAATCGTTTCCTTTTGCGTGTCATTCTTTCGGGATTTATTGATCGCATCCAAAACCAAGTTGGAAGCCATAAGGAAAAGAACATCTAATCGTTTTTTTACAAAGTTTTCGGAAAAATAGAGAAAGGATCACTTTCCATAACGGAACGGAAATTAAATAACAAAACAAAAAAAAAAAAACATTTAAAGGAAACGGACCACACATATATTCTATATTATACATATATGCATTTTCGGACTCATTGAATATGTTTTTTATTCTTTTTACACAAAAAGTGTCAAGGCGTACAATCAATCAAGTTTGCGTTTTAACACAATACATGATAAATGCTACTCCAAATACCTCTCTTTGAAGGTTCTTTTTGATACCCTCCTGGAGACTTCTCAAGATCTGAAGCTTGTCCAACAAAAGCGCTAATGCTCTCTTTGTCTTTTTGCTCAACCTCTGTTTCACTAGAATCAGCTCGGAAACTCTTCATACCTACAATATCGTAGCGTCCAGTCACTAGATCAATAATCTTCAATGGTGTATACTTTAGTCCAACAACAAAAGGACTGATAACTAAAACAACAATGAAGAATGAGGGACCCAGGAAGGACACGAAGAAATCATACGCATTGGGGGGATTATGTGAAACGGGAAAGATGGAAATGTAAACCAAAGTACATAATGCTAGGAAGTTGATCAACAGACCATAGCAACTCATGTAAAAACTACCCGAAAACCTATAAGGTAAAATGGTATCTGGAATGTTTTGAGCCTTCATAGCAAGTCTGAGGCGAATGTGTGACAAAAATGTAAGCCCCCAAATGCAAAAAGAACCACCACCGGATACAGAGGACACCCAGTCAAAAACAACACCTCCTTTAGGGGCAGCATTCGCATAACTGATGCATGCAAAAAGAAGGGAAATCAAATAACTGATGACAGGGCGACCCTTCTGATCCACTCTTGCAAGGAAGCGTGGTGCCCATCCTTGACGAACAAGGGCAATACCACTTCTTGAGGCAGCGAAAACGGCACTGTTACCGACGGATAAAATTGAAACAAGGATAATGGCGTTAAAGATATCCGGAAGCACTCTAATACCACCGTTTTGAATGGCAAGAATGAAAGGACTAGTATCGGTGAGTCCAGGATCGTTGTAGGGTACAACTAGGGTAATCAAGAAAATGGTGACAATGTAAAAGAAGAAAACACGATAAAAAACCTTCTTAACAGCACTAGGGATAGCCTGTTGAGGATGGGCAGTATTTCCGGCTGCTGTACCAATGTTCTCTGTACCTGCAAGGGAATAAGCGGAAGAAATGAAGACAGAGCAGAAACCTTTGAAGCCATTTCGAAAAGCTCCTGGGTGATGCCAGAATCTTGCACCGACATAACCACCACCGTTAGGAGCAGCACCGCAATTGATGATAATGGAAACGAAAAAGAAGATCACAATGGAAAGCACCTTTAGAAAAGAGCTAAAAAATTCAGTTTCACCATATCCACGAGCACCCATGGCATTGACAAGGACGACGTAGGCCAAGAAAACAGTAACCCACACTGCCGTATTTAAGTGCTGACTTTTCCAGAATCCAACAATTTCAGTAGCAGCAGAAACCTCACTAGGCAATGTAGTAAGCCAGATGGCATAATAAAGCCATGAACAAGCAAATCCAACGTTCTCACTTACAAATCGACCAGGATACATGGTGATACTAGGCTGACTGGGAAATACACAGCAAAGCTCACCGAGAGAGATAATTAATGGGAGAATCATAGACGTAAGGACGATAAAGTTAATTAAAAGACTACCGGGACCAGCATTCTTTAAAGATTTTCCTACAGCGACATACAGACCGGTACCGATACAAACACCGATGGCAATCATCTGTAAGTGACGAGGTTGCAAAAAATCTTCACTGTTTTTGACGTCTGAATTACCGGTATCTGGAGCAAGTTTATAAGAGCGGAAGAAATCTAGGAATTTTGTACCAAAAGAAGAAGACCTCGAGTATGATTCAATACTACCCTTGTCGTGCGACATTTGAGAGACCATGTCGAAGGCTGAGGGATTCTCCTTGAACATGTCGGTTTTGTCGTCACCATTTTCAGCAACAGCAGGGTGCTGGCGATGTTGAACGACGTGAGGATAGGGATTACTGGTTGAAGAGGGGTCCATTTTTTTTTTTAAATAAAGAGAAAAAGAAAAAGGACTGAAACACCAAAAAAACAAACAAAAACACTCAACACAAAAAGGGGAAAAACACAAAAAGTAAAAAACAAGCAGGTGTCGATCTAGTAAGGGAACTTAACACGAACCTAATTCTGGAAAAGAGAATCCGTCTGTTTAATAAGGGAAGAGGACTTTTAAATAAGTGGAAAAGGGTTGGAATTTAAAAGCAAGGTTGGGGGAAAAGGAAAGATGAACAAGAGAAAAGAATTAGAGAAATAACAACAAAAAAAAGAAAAAGAGAAAAAAGAAGATACAAAAAAAAATCTAAAAAGAAAAGCACGTTCTCAAGACAACAGGCAAGAGCAACAACAAGAAGCGAATTATGAAATTCGTTTCCACCCAAATGAATCTGAGTTGGTAAGCAAGCAAAAAAAAAATTTTTTAAGGATTCCTTTTGCTATTAATAAAGATCAAGAGAAGGGAAGAATTCAATCGTCCAGCAAATAGAAGAATCGAATTTTTATAAAGCAGTATTGAGGTGTTGAAACCAAATTACCGCAAGAAAAGAAGAAAATCTAAAAAATGTATCAATCCGGCCCTTGTTGAACCGTTTTCAACCTTTAGATTTCTTTATACTTGCAAATAGCCAATGAAATAGCTGTTTTTTGCAAATTCTACAATCGCACTCAAAGAAATAGGTAAGAGGAAGAAGATTCCTAATAATGGCCGTACAACTAACTAAAGCTTCAGCATGGAATAACGACCTCGTTAAACGATGTCAATGATGTCAAACAATTACCTCCTCGTTATATCACACCCTAAATATTGACTAAGACAGTCGGTAGAAAGGCAATAATCCTTCGGACGAAACGCACAGTAAGAAAATGGACGTGGCAAGAAAAGAAAAGAACCGACACGAACCAAAAAAAAGAAAGGTTCTAATTGATTTTAATTAAAATAAACGAAAAAAATAAACAAAAATGACTTTTGTAGTCGGAACCAAGAGAAATTGAGTAGAAAGCGAAGTTGTTGGGGGCTCCTCGAGTATATATAAAGCATGGACCCCACTTGGCTCTATGACCACCACTTCCGGTAGATACCCTTATCATCGTCGATATCTGTAGACCAAGTAGGAGAGATAAGGACCAGGAAGACCCAGATACGAATTGTCGGTTTACGTTAGTTAGATAGGGTGTAAACAAATGAAAATGTAAACAAACAAATGAAAACAGTAAATAAAAAAAGGAAACAATAAAAGATGAATACAAAACATATACTAAGTAGGTGGAAGTAGGTATAAAAGAAAGAATAATAATGAAAAGAAACACGTTTTTTATTGGTAAAGCCATTCTAGTATATCCTTTGATCCTTCGACACATGCCTAATATTGGTTTATAAGAGAAACTTGAACTTGGTTTATGAAATAGAGTATATTTAAAATAAAATAAAATAAAATAAAACCAAAAGAAAATCTTATTCTTATTCTTATTCTCGTCCTCGTTCGCACCAAGAATCCAACAATTCCATACTCTTACCGCTCAATATGCAAAGGAATGGAATTATCTCTTTCAATTTTATAGATTCCCCTTGTCCATCAACATGGCTGTTCCTCTTCCAACTTCATCTCTTTTCCCATAATCAACTGATTTGTATGATTTCCAGCTTGTCATGCTACTTTCTCCCATACTGCTGTGTCATACAATTTCATTTTTAGATTCTTTTCATAGCTTTATACTCTGTGAATTCAATTATTATTATTATTATTATCATCATCATCATGTCGAATCTCATCCAGCGGTTTCTAATTTCTATACAAGTCGTTCATTCATGTTTTGCATTCATCATCACTCATTACAACGATCCATGGAGCATCAACATGGCCTCGGCTGCCATATGATCCTTTCGTAACATACCCTTTGGCAAACGACGTAGTGGCACCGCATTTCCTTTTCGTAAAAGTGCCTCTGTCCCTATGCCACGCCAATCTTCTTCATCTGTACTCTCACCTCCCGCATCCAAAACTTGGTCTTCGTCCAACACGAATGGTGGCATCGCCGAATCATAGTCATGATCATCTTCATAAAACTCATTTTCCTCTTCCTCATCATCCTCTTCTTCATAGTATACTCCATTGTCATGATACTGCTCACGAAACAACGATGGAGTCTGCTCTCGCGGACTCAACAACCCACCTAAATGCGCCGTATAGCTTCCGGGTGTCTCCTCCAACGATGCGAAAAAACTCGAAAACGGCGTCTGCATCGATTGACTTCTCGTCTCCTTGCCGGTTTTCTTTGGTTGGACTGCCGTGCTTTTAGATGGTATGCTGGTGGTTTGCTTCACTGGAACATCCATATCAATATCAATTTCCATTTCGTCTTCTTCCTTAGCCACTCCTTCTTTCGCTAACGTGGTTTCCCACTTTGTTTTCGTCTGCGCGTGTGGCACCCTCTCGGTCGGAGACTGCAATATGCCCGTTTCTTTTTTCTGGTTCTTTTCAAAAAGGCTAACGTTGGGCACAGAAGATGACGAGGGCTTTTCAACAGATGCGGATCCAGATGTACCCGACGAAGTGCTATCGCGAAGGATCCAACGTCCCCATCCTACTTTGTCAAACATAATTCCCTTTTGCGATTCAAGGGCCTTTGTTAACGCCCGTCGCTGTTGTGTCGGACTCAACACGTTAAACATTGGATACGTTTCGATCAACACAGACATCAATTGCCGAATGGGTAGTGAACCATGCGTAGACAGGATTGTTGGTAAATACTGTGTCGAAAGGGTATCTACAACTGTAGAAGAATTACTGGCCGATGCAAATCCAGGCACACCTTTTGTCGCATCTGAAGAAACACTCCCACGTCGATCATCAAAATTCTCCCGTTCCGACAATGGAATCGCATAATTGTCTTTTTTCCCATCATCCAAGGAATGCGCCAATTGAGAAGAAGGAGTCGACTTTGAATGCCTTCGAAGTTCCTTTGTGTCATATTCTTGTCCTCGAACATCGGCACTGTTTTGACTTCTGCGAGACATCATCGCACTAATGCCACCAGTCGTAGTGGACTTTACACCTCCAAAATTCCTTTTAGAAAATGACGACCTTCTAGTACGAGTGTCATCAGTAAACGAAGGTGTTCCTCGTGTAGAGCGAAATCCCGATTCTTCACTATGCGACATTTTTGTAAATTCTCTTCCTCTTAACGGGGTATTATGAATATGTATGTATATATCTAAAATCAACCAGAGATTATATATAAACTAGTAATCCTAAAAAGGTAATGTGATTATAAAAAAGAGCGTATGGTTTTCAATAAACAGATAGTTGAAAACAACCACCTGTAATGCCTTTCAAACAACCAAAGAGGATGTCTGTTTTTAAAGCAAAAAGCTTAACGAAGATCAACTTCAATTGGAACAAGAAAAAGATGGGGGCACGTGAATGATATGGGCGAAAAAGCTCCTCCGCAATCTATGTGTATACGTACGAAGACAAAATTACCAAAACACCACGTTTTTAGTAGATAATTAATTTCTGCGGAGATTTCCGTTGCTTAGAGAAGAACAAACAAGAATTTTCTCCCCAAAAAAAATAAAAATAAAATAAAATAAATTTCTTTTCGAGAAAAACAACAGAGAAATGCCTTGCAGAATCAATCAATGACTATGCTAACTGAAATGGCAAATCTTCCAGGTTTCTTATAAGGTCGGTTGTTAAACAACAATAGCGAGGATTTCCAATTCTGTCAGATACACCTTCCAAATAAATATGAGCAAAGCAAAGCAAATCAAGTAAATATAAATAAAAAGATTTAGTATGTGACTTGCGATCGATAATCGTTCTTGCTTTTCTTATGGAATGCAACGGCAATTAACCCCACAGCTGAAGATCTGTTAAGTTCTGTGATCACAAAAGAACAAAAGAATTACAGGTGGAGAATCAAAGGTTGAACAAAGAGAAATCAATCTGAGAAATTCCTTATAGATCGGAATAGATCAATTCCCAATAGTCGATCTCTATGAAAAACCAAGTTTAAACCGCTTTTATATGTTTAAGAGTAAATGTCCCTCTCTACGTATTTCAAGGTAGTCGATTTCTTTCAATCTGTGGCAATATGAAAACGATTTTCCACGACGCGAAACCACAATGTTCAATGTTTGAATGATTTCAATTGAATATTTTGCTCAAACTACGACGCGAAGGAAAGAAAACTGGGCGTCAATAGAAAGTAGCGTTTTATCAACGAATAAGTTTATAAAAAAGTGAACACTGACAGTACCACTTTCACCAATATGCTGTTCTAATATCTTTTTATGTAGAGCGTTTGAAAAAATCCGTGGCTTTAAATGTAATACAGAAACACCCAGCAAGTTACTTTTAATCAACGGTTTGAATTGAAATTTCACAATAGCAATTATGCACGCATTCAAGTATTTCGATAAGAAAAGATACCAAGGTTAACCAATTCTTTATTAAATTTATATAATAAAAGCGCGTTTTTTTTAACTTCCAACTTTTACAAAGGTACAAACAGAAGATAAGTAAAATGTGGATGGTGTATCTTTATATATATAGTGGAAGATCTACGGATCTACAGCGATGAAAATGTAAACAAAGGATCTGCATGATTCATTACAACATAACCTGGTGAAAAAATAAATATGTTTATAGTACAAGAACCTTTTTATTGAAAAATTTATTTATTTTAAATTTTACTTATTGAAAGAGCTTTCTTGGCAAAAATTGTTTTCATGACACGATTTCCAATATAGCTTCATTAATTTCCTATGAACGTAAATGTATCTCAATAAACATAAGGGATAATGCGGTATTTCACGATTTGACAATACTTTTTCCAATCGTCTCCATATTTTTCATTGCATTTATGATCATCTCTTCCATATCTGTGTATCAAGAGCACTCCAAAGTAAGCAACGTAAAAGTATGGAATGGCTGATCCGAACCCTACAGGTAAACACCAAGCCCAAGCCATCAACCAATCTCCAAAGTAGTTCATATGGCGAGACTTTCCCCACCAGCCATCAATTAAAAGCCTGCTTCCACGTTTAGTTTGTATGAACTTCAAGTTCTTGACGCTAGGATGAGTAGGGTCGTTGCGAAACCTATTCTTCTGGCTATTAGATCCTCGGAAAATATAGTAACCTAACAGTTGGATTAATATTATTGCGGTTGTATAGCCAATTCCAAGGTCCACGGGACGAAAAGATAGATAACGGGCTTGGAGACTGTAGGTAAACGGTACCCAAACCAAATCACCAAAACTTAGCATATATCCAAAACCATCAGTGGTTACATCTATGGTAGTGAGGACAGCACTTTCACAAACGAGTGAATCCAAAACATACCATACATGGAAAATAAGTACCAGAACCATGCTATCGGTGATTCGTCCATTTAACATGACATATTGCCTGCATGCCAATGCAATATCAAGGAAAATCCAAAGAATCAAACCAGGTCTTAATTCACAAAAGACTTTAATATCGAACTTCCCTATGCGAGGATTCAATATGCGCCCGATAAACCAATCATACAATACATTTCCCGAATTACCTCCTTCTGCCAACTGCTTCTTGCCGATGAAACTAGAAATATAAACGTATACGGAAAGAAAAATGGAAACAACGTAGGCAGAGGTCATCAAAGGTAGAAATCGACTCCATACTAGTTCCATGCATTCAGGTCCTTTTATGTAAATAAACCCGCAGGTAATTCCTAAAACAAGACTACTAGTAGCGAATCCATTCATTTTGTATTCTAAACGAGTTCCTTTCTCATTTATAGGTAAACCCTTTACCCATTCTCCCGGCAAAACATGCCAGGCCAAGATTAAAGCTCCTAACCAGCACAGGTACAACTGGAACGAATACGCATCAATGAACGTGGTATTTTGAATCATTGAAATTATTTTTTGGGTATGTGCAGGACAGCCATTTTCATTACAACCAAAGTAAAGTCCAAAGACTACAGTCGTTGTCATCATAACTACTATTAGGGCGCCAATAGGCCCAAAAAACTCATATTGGAACTCTTTTGGTTTTCCCTTGTCGAAAACTACTTTTTTGCTCATAATTATGTACTTTTTTAGAAAGCCTGGTAAGGATGCATCAACGTATATACTTGGTGTTTGTCTTGGTAAAATCAGCCCACAAATTATATCTTCAATTTAGAATTCATAGATTATGTTAGACATGTAATATATTTAGATTTAATATAAGAAAACAAAAAAACAAAAGCAAAAACAAAAACAAAAACAAAAAACGAGCAAAAAACAAATGGTCACTAATTAAAGGAAATAAGCAGAACTAAGCATGCGTGTCTATCAGTTCTTTCTATATATTTTGTAGTCAAACAATCTTCCGTAAGTTTCTTTCAAAAGTCCATAACGGTTCTTTGTGACATGTATTGTCTTCAACACTTATTGGTTTTAAAAACATCAAACACTAATAATTTAATTCGGATGAGTTTTATTCCGGGAGGTTAAAATGGATGCAAATGATATTCAATGCCAAATAATGCCAAATATGAGAAAACTAAATAAAGTCCTTTTTTCATGAGAAAGCAACGTCTAATTAGCAATGGTTATTAACGCTTGCTTTGTCTCATGTTAGACGGATCTAACAACCTTTTGCCAGATTGATCAGCTCCTAGTGGATATGAAGGGTACGTGGTCGGGGGCATAGGTCCGCTGGGCATTCCATAATTCATAGGGGTATTTCTAGAAAGCATAGTATTGGAATCCGAGGATGCAGATGGCTGGGGTTGCGGATAATAAGCAGGAAGAGGATACGGATACATAGGATATGGTGGATAAGTCTGCGGTACCGTGCTTGGAGTATAAGAAGCTGGGTATGGCATAGAGTTATACGAATGATATTTTCCATAAATTTGTTCATGATGATAGGAATTAGGATCGTAATAACCTGGTTGTGGTAATAGAGGATAGTTACTTTGCGCTGGCAAAGGTACTCCCGTATACGACGGGTAGTTCTGATAAGGCGGATAAGAAGAATATAAAGATGGTTCACCGTTTACTAATGAATAAGCAGAAAATGGAGCATTCATTCCAATCTGAGAAAACCCTAATGGTGCGGGTATCGGCATCTCCTGAGGAATGTTTGTGGTACCCTTGGGCAATTCATTCGGGAATAAATTCTGAGGTGGGTAATTAGGATATTCCTTCCGTGGAAGATTCATATCATAGGCAAGTAGCATATTGCGAATTGCATCTAAAATGGTCGAAAAATAGGCCGATCCTTGATAAATCTCAGTCAACGTAGAGTACCCTTCGCGTGCCTTCCCAATAAAAGCGTTTGATCGAGCGGTGGTTTCTCTCGTTAAGCTTGCCGAATACACGAGTGTCATTGACGCATAGTAACCTGCGTATAAATTGAAAAACATTTTTGGCATACTTGGCAACCTAGATAGCCTTTTCAATAATTCCACAATACGCTCGGCTGACTGCACACATTTCAATGCAAAGCTGGAAGGCATTGTTGGTTTCGTCGTGGACTCCTCCAAAGGGTCCATAATGTTATGGACAAAAGGCCTGTAGAAAATAAGCTCAATTTGTCGAAACTTGAGCTCTAAACTTATAGCCTGGATCCATTTGGGAGAAAACTCAGGAACATCATCCGACTTCAAATAGTTGGGTAGATTTTTCCACCAATTCGTCAACCTATTCTCATGTTCTCTCACTGCGGTAAGAGAGACACGACAATTAGCATCATTACTCGACTTTATAGGGTAAACTTTTCGAACAAAATGGCTCAAAATCCTAGAAAGAGATATGTGTTGATTAAATATCTCTAAGCTACCACATTCGGAAGCTACCACGTTGGCAGGAATAGCTTCATTGTCTAAAACAAAGTCGTACGAGTTAGGAAGTCCTTGATCAATTTCATCATCTTCAATAGTAAGTGGGAGACCAATTATAGTACTTGTATAGCAAGACATTACATACACAGAATAAAACACTCGCTTTCGTAACCTGGTCTCAGGAGATGTAAGAACGTCGGAAAAGTCTCTATGAAGACCTAACTCATGACAACAAAACAACGCAATGTTCATAAAACTATAGGCTTGCGAAAGCCTTGAACTGAATAAGGCGAACAGCGCTACCGACACGAGAACCTGGATGACCTCTATATCATAACTATCTTCAAAATGAAAGGCGGCTCTTATATAGTAGTAGTATCTGTACGCTTTGTGATAAGGATAAACGGAAGCGTTCGTAGTCGATGACAAATATGTGTAACCAAGGCACAAAGTTGCAGCCAGCAGAAAATGAAAATTAGGATCTTTTTTTTCAGAGTGATAGTATATATGCAATCGTTCATAAAAGGTCGGAATATGATGAAAATGAACCAAAAAGTGATCATTTAAGAAAAAATTACCTGTAACAGATCGAGCTTCCTCATAAGAAGGAAACTGAATCTGTGGAATGAAATCCTTTTCGTTCTCTTCCGAGGGCGTTGGAGGGAGATACGGAAGCTTGAAAGGTTCACTACTAGGAGTGGTGTGAACGGGACCAGAAGAGGAAGAAGTAGAAGAAGTCCGAGCGATGTTTTTATGGATGTTTTGCATAAAAACAAAACCAGAAGAACTACCTCGATAATCTGCGTGTCCATTATCTCTTAAACTTAGTTGACCATATCGATCAAAAACACTATCAATTTCTTCGTATGAAGGACGCTTTGTAGGAGAGGCGTCTTTCTCGGCATGAACACTTTCCGGACCATAATCGAAGTTTTCATTCGGGATATTTAAGAAGGCCGGAAGTTTAACATCAGGAATGACCTGCTCGGCCATTTTTTTTAAATATTTGAGGCGGAACTCTAAAAACTGTATGTATTTTTCGGGAGAATGCAACAACCGTTTGAATGGTTGGCCATATGTGCATTCTAGAGAGTAAGAGGTCAACAAAACTCATCAATAAAGTTAAATTAGCATACCATAATTGTATGTTCTGCAATTGGAACATGGCTAATATCAAGATGTTGTTAGCACAGTTGAAGCTAGAACTTTAAAAAAATGAATGCTGATTTAAGGACTCAGACAAAAATGATATTACGCATATCCGAGAATAAGGAACAACTTTGCTGAGCATACGGAACAGAACATATTGAGAACCCTTCATATAGGACATATCATATCCTTACCTTTTGTTGATCGCATTTTATTTTCCTTCGATGGCATTCATCACAAGCTCTAGAGACACGTTGTCTTCGACGAGCATCACCAGAAGACATTAATTTGTAAAAATAATGGGTATCAAAAGCTTAATCCAAGGAGAACACAAATTATTGCTGCCACGTATCAAGAAGCTCACTCCAAAAGACACAAGACTATTATTGTTGTCAGACTTTTATTCGAAGGTACCTTGTTGTTCTAAAGAAGATTTAATAAGAGACTCGCGTCTAGTCGCCGCCAATAATGCGATACAAAGTCGGATTTCTAAACTGTCGCTACTTGACGAGTCTTGCAGCAAATAGGCAATGGAATCAATTAAACGATCGTTTAAGAGGAAATATTTGTATCGTGCAATGAAAATCCTTTTTACTCCATAAAGATGGTTTAACGAGGTACGATGCTTTGGGTTTAAACTCGTTATTAAATTCCTACCTCCACAGTCAGTAGTTTACCTAACGTCAGTTAACATACATAGGGTAAATAATGTAGTGTACACAGACATTAATCAATAGGCAATTGATTTTGAAAAGTTTAATAAAACATCAAATACCATCTTTGTAGCAACCGTAGGTTCCGATTTTAGTTAATTGTCTTTTAATTTCACAGTAAAAGCAGTTTAAAAACGAGTTTTGGTTTTTCAAATGAATACCCTTAAAAGTAAACAGATAGCAGAGGTTTTTATCAATAGAACAAGAATCTAACAAATGAATTGACTTTTTTAAAGACTATAACCATAAAAACTAAAGAATTCTCGGGGTAAACGCGACTAATGTTTGATGGCAGTGTTATAGGAGAAGTAGAGTGCATACTACGCGTTCAAGTCTTTACGAAATGGCTGAAGATCGATGGCAACGATTTTTACATGTTATACAAATAATGCAGACGTATTTAGAAGAAATTATTATAAAGATTTCATGTATTTAAAAATGGATAAAAACAGTTTACTACGGAATGTACTGCCATCGGCGGATAAACGAATGTTGACAACAACAAACAAGTGTAAATAAACATACACCAACAGCAAGATTGCTGTATTGTAGAAAATGGCCTCACACAAGTTGGAAAATGATTCAGGGAGTTACTCTGAAAATGAGGAAAACAAAGAAGAATTGGGATTGAAAAAACAGAAGAAAACAGAGCCTGAAGCGGACGTTCAACCAAATGGACGTCTCGAGTCGCGAATTTCTAAATTGACAGTCCCATCGCATGAAATGAGGATTGTTGAGGACTATTCAAACAAAAAAAATGCTGAACGGCATTCGGGTGAGATTCAGGCGTATGCCAAATTCGCAGGTAGCACATGGACATATTACGTTAAGAAAATTCGACTAATACTTGGACGTGAGCCTGCAAATCAATCCTTGAAAGGAAAAGAAGAAGACAATGAAGAGGTGGACATGAATTTCGGTCCTTCTAAAGTGGTTAGTCGCAAACATGCCGTCGTTGAGTACAACATGCAGGGCCAAACATGGAACTGCACGATTTATGGGAGGAACGGTGTTAAGGTAGATGGAAAGTTATATAAGCCTGGAGAGGTTGTTAGACTTTCAAGTGGGTATGTAATGTTTGAGGTTTGTTTATTTTGAGGCGGTAGCAAGATCGCACTTGGGATCATAGACTGTAGGATAGGAGAAGATACGATTTTCGATTAAAACCTTCGTTTTGTTGTGACTCTGACTTGCTTTACATATTATGTTTTGTCAGAATTAATGATTAACTGTTTACGCTCCTTGGATTCCGCTTACGATTCCCAGGTTTCTTCCACATGTCTCGAAATATTGAAAGCAATCTATAATCGTAATATGTTTAATACTAACCTAAATAGGTCCGTTCTTGATGTTGCAGGACTGCAGATGATGTTTGTTTTGCCAAACGCGTCTGAGCAAACTATTACAGAGGAAAAGGTTGGAGAAGAAATGGAAGAAGCTGAAAAATCAGAGGAATCATCGGTAACCATAGAAAACAACGTTTATGACAATAGAAAACCTCCCTATAGTTATTCAGTAATGATTGCTCAAGCCATTCTTTCCTCTCCCGATTGCATGATGACACTCTCCAATATTTACAACTGGATTTCGACTCATTATCCTTATTACAGAACTACAAAAAGTGGATGGCAAAACTCCATCCGACACAATCTGTCTCTAAACAAGGCTTTTAGAAAAGTTCCTCGGAAGTCCGGAGAACAGGGTAAGGGAATGAAATGGTCGATTGAACCTGAATTTCGGGAGGAGTTTATCGCGAAGACTAAAAAGACGCCTTACAAGAAAACACCTCCGCCATTTCTTTGCACACCTCCTTTTACTTTAAAGAGAGAAAACTCGGATCATGAACATACTTCCCCTCCTATACCTACTCCAGTTCGCAACCAGTCTCCTTCTACTCCCAAAAGAGACGGTTCTCCAATGACTGAAGAAACTCATTCGGAGTCCAAAGATAGGGAGGGCGGCTCTTACAAGACACCGACTAGAGCCGTACTGTCCGATATTATAGCTAGTCAAGATTATTCTCCCGATCCTAGTACAATTTCTCAGCCGAAGAATCCTGCTTCGGCTTCGCCCGCGACAAATGCGGCATATTCCACTTCCTCTCCCGCACCTTTTTGGAAGTACGTGGCTGTGCCTAATCCTCATGATTGGCCTCACGTTGGTTCTTACGATACGATATCCCCTTACAGAAATCCTTTAAACAACCATATGGTGTACTCTCAATTGCCCCAACCATCGCCTAGAAAAATTGATGAGCAAATGCACGATTTGCAAGGTGTAGATTTAGCAAACGGTTTTGAGGGAATTAGTTCATGGCGGGAGTCAATGGTCCAAAAATTACGCACTGCCAATTCTGGTACTTCAGCCCCCGCTTCTCCGTTAGGTACTTCCACATCTCAAGCAAATCCTCCACGACCTTGGGGCAGTGTCTCCGAGCCAATTCCTAATCGGTCTGCGGAGGTTGAAAATAAGCAGCAGTTAGAAACCTCCGTTGGTGCTGGCAAAGATAATGACCATGCGGTCCGTGCAATTTTAGATGCCAGTGTTTCTATGGAAAAGCAACCGACTGCCCAGCAACCGTCTGAATTTACCCAAACGGGTCAAGCACGTCAACCTGGTTTAGGAGCGACTGCACAAGCAAATATTGAGGAGCATCCATCGGCTCAGCATTATATACGTACACCAAATCCTGACGTTAGAAGCAATATTTAATGGGCTTTTTATATTGGCTGGTTTACGTGCTTCTATGAACGATGTCTTGTTGGAATCGTTCTGTCAGTAATGTCTGTACGTGTAGTGTTAATGCTTGATCGAGTCTGTGTCGATGTGAATTTCTTCTTTATTTGCTTTCACGTTCAATCTCGTGATCTTTTTGGGATGTTTTTCCACTTAATGTCATTGATGTTCATAAAATGTCTTAATAAAACAATAGTTTTGCTTTAGATGATAAGCTGATTTCCTTCAGTGTACTCTAATTATTTTCGTTATTATAAAATTGATTAATTACTTTATGGACAGAGCTTCGTGGATCGTTTCATACTTGTTGATACTTCCTGCTTAAGCCTCTGTAGGTTGAAGTGTCGGATAAAATGAGGAACTAACAAATAAATTCAAAGGATTGTATAGAAATTTACCTGATTTTTTTTTTTGTTTTTATACTAAGCTTCAAAAATAAACATTGCTCAATTCTACGCGGAAAAATATGCTAAGTATCGGAAAACGTAAAGAATTTGTTTTGTACTCTTCGTTCAAAAGAAAAAGCAGCGGTACGTATATCGTTTCCTTAAAAAAATATCAGTTGCATCCCTATATACGTTTTGATGTTTTGTCTTTTTATCAACCTCTTCCTCTCTTCAATCGTAGTTGACTGATTTTCAGAGCAATTGCAGAAATGATTCAACGATTAGCTAATAATAATTTCATTATTCTGTTTCTTTGTTTACATTGTTACATATTGTTACATACCTACCTCACTTTGCTAACAAACAGCACTCCAAGAGTTACCTAATACCATAACTCTACAGCTCTCAGGTATACACGAAAAGCAAGCGAGTTCGTTTAGTGAAGTATAATGACACTGCGGTAAGTGTCATTAAATTTGAAGTTTGGACCCAGTACAAGACAGTCATACCCTACCCTAAACAGAATATGTGACTGCTAAAGGATATACAGTTAGAAACATTGTACTGGGATTTTGACACAAACCCATACCATGTCTGCCGCCGCATTCACTATCTCCAAGAAGAGAAAAGTAAGTAACTTATGAAGATGTTATAAGAAAGAAGACGAGAAAGTAAAATGATGATTTCCTATCTGGCACCTCTTCTCCGATTGGAATGTCCACACAACATTTTAATGAAGTGATCCGAACGGACAAAAATCTGATTATTCCTAATAAACAATATACGAATCAATAACTTGTTTATGCATGTTAGATACTTTCTTGTTTCCTTTTTATGACATGGATTAGTTTTCCATAAGGATATTTAACTAACCATCGTAGTTCGTCGCTGACGGTGTTTTCTACGCCGAGTTGAACGAGTTCTTCACTCGTGAACTTTCCGAAGAGGGCTACTCTGGCTGTGAAGTCCGTGTCACTCCTGCCCGCTCGGAGATCATCGTCCGTGCCACTCACACCCAGGATGTTCTTGGAGAAAAGGGACGCAGAATCCGTGAACTTACCGCTTTAGTCCAAAAGCGTTTCAAGTTCGCTGAGAACACTGTTGAATTGTATGCCGAGAAGGTTCAAAACCGTGGTCTCTGTGCCGTCGCTCAATGCGAATCCCTTCGTTACAAGCTTTTGGCTGGTTTGGCTGTCCGTCGTGCCGCCTACGGTGTTCTCCGCTACGTTATGGAGGCTGGTGCTAAGGGTTGTGAAGTTGTCATCTCTGGTAAGCTTCGTGCTGCTCGTGCCAAGTCCATGAAGTTCGCCGATGGTTTCATGATTCACTCTGGTCAACCTGCCGTTGACTTCATTGACGCCGCCACTCGTCACGTTCTTCTTCGTCAAGGTGTTTTGGGTGTCAAGGTTAAGATTATGTTGCCTGAACCCAAGACCCGTACTAAGAAGACTCTTCCCGATGCTGTTGTCGTTTTGGACCCCAAGGAAGAGGAGCCCATCACCAAGCCTTACACTGTCATCAACCAAACCGCTGAAGCTGCCGCTTCTGCTGGTCAAGAAGTTGTTGCTGACCAAGAAGCTGCTGTCGCCTACTAAGATGTTCATGGGTTAGTGGCAGTTAATTCCATATAAAAATGAAATTGGTTTGATATTATGGATACGGAAATAAGTATTATTGTATGTATAGAGTATTAGTAAAAAGAAAGCAGTAGTATTCTGATCAACTGATATTTTTCTATAATATTGCAAAATCATGTTTGGAATTTTAGGGATGTTGATGTTCATAATATATAAGTAGTCTAGTTGGATTTTTGTGAACTCTTGAAGGAATGCATTCTCATTTTAACATACTATATAATATATAGATGATTAAGGTCACGTTCTTAGAGCATCATCATGCTTTAATTAGGACGAAGATGCTGGGCGTTCGTTTTCCAAGTATCGGATTTTATCGTTTAGTCGTTCATAAGCAGCATAAACCTAGAAATGATAAGTTATTATGCTTGCATATTTTAATAAAGATTTACTTACGTTTGCATAAAGCTTTTGGGCTTCGGCGTTGGTTTGTTGCATGTACTCATCAGAGTGTAACAATGACTTTGCAAATTGCTTTTTTGTTGCAGCGACATCAGACGGTGAGCATTGGCCAATTCCCATAGCAAGTTTGTTTAGATTCGAATTCTCCTCTAAAATAGGTAAGCAATAGGTTATTGAAATGAATTTCTACAAGTACACATACTCTGATACTCATTCTCATATTTTCTGATATATCGCAGACTACGATATATTTCTATGGGGACATCATCCGTGACTATAGTGTTGGTAAAAGAAATACATTGTCAAAAGCTGCTTTTCAAACAAAAACTTACATTCAACAAATTCACTGGCTATGTCAGCGTCAATCTCGTTCGTCTCTGGTATTGATTCTGAGGTGTCCATGGTAAAGAGCGTATATTTTACTTTATTTCCTTTTTCTTTACAAATAAAATATTGAAAATTATCAGTAACGAAATGAATCGTCTGTTGAACAGAAAATCGCAAGAAACCGAGCAAAAACGACGAAAAACCTCAGGAACGAGTCTCTAGAATCTCTTATTCATTAACAATAAAATTCTATAATAATAAAGATTAAGCTTATGGATGCTCTTTTGTTTTACAAAATTTCTATCATACTTGAATGTGGAAGTAGAAATAAATTACATTGTTACCTGTTTCGATATAGAATAATCATGAAGGTGTAGTTAGTTATGTTTGTTTACTGAGAATAAATAAATGCAAACGAATCCAAAAAGACAAGTTTTAAACTAAAAAAAGAATAGAATATACAATCAAAGAGTAAGACAACATTCAAGCTTATGCATCTGTTCTAGTTGTTGAATGTTGATAGAGCTATTTGTTTACGCTTAAGTAAACAAAAAAAAAGAGAAAAAAAAAAGGGCCAAGAATTCAATTCAGCCATCATTATCATGGAAAATCAGATGAATCTTTTCATTTAAACAACAAGAAAGACATTACTCTTTTACACAATTAGGGCTTTCTCTTTCTCTCTCTCTCTCAGTCATGAGGTTCAAGGAATAAAGACAAGTTACGATCAAACTATGGCCATACATTTTCTTTCCTATGTGAAATAATACTTGAAAAGAAGAGAGAAAATATATTCATATAAAAAACTTACACCAGAGGCTTTCAATGACTCGCAAAAAACCTTTCGCGTTTTCCATCTTAGTCCACCACCATAAACAAATGACTCTTTCGTAAACTAATCCAAAAATCCGCGAAATTCTACACGTTAGTGGAAAGACAAATCATTCTGAAAAAATAAACTACTTTTTCTTTTTAAAATCCATGTTTTTGTAACGGGAAATGCGCGTTTTATGTGTCGCTGAAAAAAACTCAATAGCTAAAAGCGTAGCAAGCATTCTAGGCGGGGGACAAGTGAAACGGGTTCGTAAATACGTTTGAATAATTACTGATATTTTTTTCTAGAGAGACACGAAAAGCAAATATATTAAAAACTATGATTTTACGTTTGACTTTGGAGGGTATATTGGATCGGCGCAAGTTACAATGACTTCCGTTTCAGGACATCTGACAGAAGCTTCCTTTCCTTCCGAGTATAACAGTTGGAGTTCGGTACCGCAGGACATCCTCTTCGATGCGCGAATTATAACATCCGTTTCCAAAGTAAGCCATTCACATCTGTTTTCTTTGAACGACACTAACTGTTATTAGAATGCGAATGTTCTTGCTGACAACATAAAAAAAGAAGCCAGAAATGCAACCTATTTATATATCTGGACTGACTGTGATCGCGAAGGAGAACATATAGGAATGGAAATCACAAACGTTGCGAGAACCAGTAACCCGCAAATCCGCGTCATTCGGGCCGATTTTAATAATTTAGAAAGAAGGTACGGTAATGACCATTTTAATCTCGGCTTACATGAATTGACACTATAACTTAGGCACATCATTCAAGCCTCAAAACGACCAAGAGAACTATCCAAAGATGCGGCAGATGCAGTGTCAGCAAGAATCGAGCTTGATTTTCGCTTAGGCGCTATTTTTACGCGTCTACAGACATTGCAATTACAACGTGCTTTTGAAATTCTTCAAAGCAAAGTTATTAGCTATGGACCGTGTCAATTTCCAACATTGGGATTCGTCGTCGATCGATGGCAAAGAGTGGAAGATTTTGTTCCTGAAAACTTTTGGTTCTTAAAATTGGTTGACAAACGAGAAAGGCAAACTGTAAACTTTACATGGAAGAGAAATCGTGTTTATGATAGATTAGCCGCTATATTGTTTTTAGAAAATTGCTTAGACGCAAAGGTTGCTAAAGTCGTGAAAGTCAATCAGAAGCCCGCTAGACGATATAAACCACTCCCGCTATCGACAGTGGAACTCACAAAGATGGGACCAAAATATCTTCGCCTTTCTTCGAAAAAAACTCTCGAGGTAATGCTCTTTTATTTTATTTTATTTTTTAATACATATATTAACATATGAAATAGTTGGCGGAGAGTCTTTATACAAATGGATTTGTCTCTTATCCACGTACTGAAACTGATCAATTTGATTCTGGCATGGATTTACATGGGATTATTGGAAAATTAACAGTCAGCGAAGACTGGGGGCCTTTTGCTCAAGGGTATGTGTGTTTATTCACGAAAGAGAAGCGAGCTAAACAAAAACAGTCTTCTAGATGGCAATTTCCGGATTCCTAGGAAAGGAAAACATAATGATCGAGCACATCCTCCTATTCATCCCATCAACTTTGTTCATCGTTCTGCATTACAAAGCCAAGATCATTGGAAAGTTTATGAACTCATCACCAGAAGGTTCTTAGCATGCTGTTCTGAAAACGCTATTGGAGCTGAGACAATTGTCGAGCTTCAAATGGGTGATGAAAGCTTTTCTCAGAAAGGCTTAGTTATTATAGAGCGGAATTACCTAGATGTTTATCCCTATGACAAATGGACTGGAACCGGACAGCTACCCGCCTACCAAGTCGGAGAAGAATTTGTGCCTAGTATGCTCAATATTACCGATAGTGTCACTACATCACCTTCGTATTTAACTGAACCAGAACTAATTGCATTAATGGATGCAAATGGCATTGGTACAGATGCTACCATGGCTGATCACATCGAAAAAGTTCAAGAACGGGAATATGTTATTAAACGGAAAAAACGTGGTGCAGCCACAGAATTTGTCCCCAGCTCTCTTGGGATTGCTTTAGCAAAAGGCTATGATGAAATTGGACTTGAATGGAGTTTGACCAAACCATTTTTAAGAAAAGAGATGGAAGTCCAACTAAAGAATATCGAAACTGGACATTTGGATCGAGATGCACTGGTACATATGACACTAACCCAGTTTCGCGACGTATTCCATTTGACCAAGCAAAGGTTTGATTGTTTAAAAAACGTAAGTAATCTTAGAGACTCCTTTTTTTATTTACTAATGATTTCATTTCATCCATATACTAACCAAAATAATTACAGAGCTGCCGATTATACCTTATTGAACTTAACGAAAGTTAATGTGTCTATCCAAAAGAATGACACTTGGTGTCATATATGAAACTTTCTCCAATACTCTTCATTACAGTACATATTTTTCGTGAAGGATATTGCGTTTCTGTTTATTCTTACAAGCGAAAATATCACACCTGAAAAAAGATGTCTGAGAAGCAGCAGTCCGTCACCGTTCACTATGGAAATCAAAGAATTCGCATGTCAGTTGACTTAAACGAAACTCTTGGAAGTTTCATTGAAGATTTAGTACAAAAAGCAGGGATTCATGAAAAGAAGATCAAGCTTTTCTACGCAGGAAAGCGATTGAAGGACAATAATACGTCACTGTCCAAGTTTGGTTTGAAGAACCATAGTAAGATATTGTGTATTAAGCCACAGAAGAAGCATCTTCCTGAACAAGAAACAGGAGAGAAGACTGCTCAAGCTGAAGAACAGAATCCCGCTTACTCACGCATATTGGGTGAAATCCAGGCCATTGACAACTATATCAACAAAGATCTTACACCTATATATAACACTTATGTTCACGAGAGTTTCGACGATAAGCAGAAAAAGACTAAGCAAAAGCTAATGGCTTATGAGCTTCTTCTGCAACAATTATTAAAATTGGATGGTGTCGACGTTATGGGAAGTGAAAAACTTCGCATGAACCGAAAGGCTCTTGTAGCGAAAATCCAAAAAATGCTTGATCATGTTGATGAAATAAGCAAGAAGCATTCCATTTAAGTTATAAACGAGTGCAATATGTCGTTCCGAGGGTTGATTTTCATTTTTCGATTCGTGTTTAAACAAACCTTTCCCATGCTTTATGTGTCTTTTGCTCATTCTTTTTCACTTTAAACCCCTTTCCTTATTACTTTTTGAAACGATGACATGAATTTATGATAATTCGGTGGATATACGAAAAACTACGACCCGGCCCAAACTTCACACGCTATTAATGCTTTCAAACAGTTAGATATACATAGAATGTTTCAAATAGAATATGCCAAAGTATTTGCGATTTTAAATAAAGATATTAAATCCAGTATTTGACTCTATGTTAAAAGTAATCATAACCTAAAAAAATATATATGTATGTATGTATATCTACAAAACCTGTTCTAAAAATGATTGACTCTAATTACGTCGTATTGTTCCCACCCAAAAAATTCACTTTTTGCTTTTTCTTTTCCGTTTAGCATGTAGCATCATGTGAAAAATTATGGAAGAATATCAAAAAAACCAGATCCTTCATATGCCAAAAGAGATTTACTAGCATCTAGCAATTTCGTACCAGCTATAGATGCTACTTGAACTAATGATATATATCGCTCAGTAGTTATGGCTCTTCCGGTAGAGGCATAACCACCTCCCATACTGATGGATCGAGTATAAGACGTACTGCCATCAGGTAAAACACCCACAGCATAGGTAGCCTGGGCAACATTGGCTTCATCCACCGTAGGATCTATGAGTATTATTTGGTCAACGCTGCTTACTGTGATGATAACAGATATATTTTCTAGACCTTGTAAAGGAACAGCATTATCCCATTCGGAATCGACATCATATTCTTCAGAAGGTTCAAACTTACTGCTCCCCAAAACCATTTCAGTAACGTTCGGAGTAGATATTTTAGGGATTCTAGTTGTTTGTAGAGCCAGCGAAGTAGCTAAACTCAACGCGGAAAGAATGTTTTCATTAGGAATAGTACAGAGCATCACAATTGCATCTACATGAATCTTCCAGGCTTTTGAAGGTGTAAATTTCAAATAGCCCACAGGGAGCGCGTCCAAAACATCCTGTAAGGCGCTTGTAAGAGACGATGGAAGGTGATCTGTTTCCCGATTCTGAGTCGTAACCGCTGGAGAACTAGTTATCCAAATTAGCATTTGATTCTGCATACAAAGAAATCATTTTTTTGTTCAGCTTCTAACAGTAAAGCAGTCTGTTTTCGTTCCTATTCATTACTCCTGTCGTTATTACTATCTGAAAACTTACACTTCAACAGAAGCCTCAAAGGCCCCTCCATGAATCGTTGCATCCGAAACATCTGCCTTAATTCCAACTAAAACCTCTACTGAAGATCCCCATTTTATACGAGCTGATCCATGAGCTCCGGGCAGAATGTTGACTTGTCCAGACAGAGCTCGTAGCTGGTCAATGGAACGACCATCATTCCGAATTGGTGGCTCAAATGCAGTCAGCGACTGACGCGTATAGGATAACTCTGGCAAGGACAATTGCATCGTTTTGGTAAATGACAACTTGGTTGATTCACTTGAGAGTTGCAAGAGCAAGAATACGGATCACCCTTCAACTATGGTAAAGTGATTTACGAACTCTGGTCCATTGCGGAATTTACCTTCTCTAAAAGTATAAGTCGAATGAAATGTAATTAGAAAAAAAAATCATAATATCAAATAGTATAAAACAGACTAAATAAAATAGATCAAATCAAGTAAAGTAGATGGTTGATTTACCTAAACGCATTACAGAAACCTTGTAAAAAGAGGGGCACATTCACAAAAGAAATGTCTTCAACTCAGCTGTACTACGCTGTATCCAGACAAATACTGAATTATAATAGAATTAGGCCCAAATTAAAAAACGAATGACATAAATAAGTTTATGGGCTTCCAGGCAAAGCTTCATAAGACGCCTCTTTCAGTCCAAATAACTGGAATTTACGACAAACATAAAGGCCAAATAATCCCGAAACCGTCAATCCAACAGGAAGAAGGCTTAAATACAGCCATTTACTATGTCTTGCGTGTCCTGGATCTGGCAGATGTTCTGAAGGATGAGTAGGTAAACGTTGAATGTCATTATCAAAGAATGCCGCCGCCAACGTCTTCATTTCGATCGGATGATCATAAGGAACCATATGACTTGCTTTTGCAATACGAGCAAACGTTAAGTTTCGAGCTTGAATATAACTTCCGGCTGGCTCATCAGTAGAGTCTCCGGTATACCAGCTGGACCAAGAAGCATTTCCAAAACCAACTTCGCCATTCCATTCCAAAGATTTAAGTAAATCTTCACCTGACAAATAATTGCAAAGAAAGTCATTTTCACCATAAAATAACATAATAGGAATCTTCGATGCCAAATCTTTGATGAGATTTGCAGATGAATCAATTCCTTCACGAGCATAGTTATTTGAAACGTCATTACTGCATTCTTTCCACTCCTTTACATAAGTAGTGTTTACATGTAATGCTTGCAATACCTCGGGCTTGCTCAAATAAGGAGTCAGGTTTTCAAGCTCTGCGGGCCAGTCCATGCCGCAAAGAGGGTAACTAGACTCCAGACTAATGTCATACATATTCATGCATGTGTTTCCCGGTTTGTCTGAAAGCATGAACATTATATCGTAAAGAAAATTCTCACATTTTTCAACATCGCCTGAGCCAGATTGCAATTGCTCAAGCGCCAACATACAATCCGCCCATGAATGATGAAGATATTGACCCTGTTCAGTATACAGGTCTAACTTCCCCTTTTCTACTAAATAATTCAAGTAGGTATTGTAATGTGAAATGGGTTGAATCCACCCATTTCCGATAGCTAGACCACCCAAACGAACTAAATCCTTTTCTATAAGTTTTGAGGCGACATATGGAATATACTGACCGGCGTACGATTCACCAGAAATATACCAAGTGTCGTTGGCCCGTTCAGGAAATTCAGCCAGGAACTTCTCAAAGAAAATAGAAAACTCTTCGGCCATCTCATGATTATCACTCATGTAGTCATCATCTAACGAATACGAAAATCCGGTGCCTTTTGGCTGATCGACAAACAAGATATTACCAAGTTCATCCCATCGTCCTTGATTTAAATGGAATGTACCATTGCCTCCCATACGTAAAGGCCCAACTTCCATTAAGGAACCATCTTCTGAAGAACAACCCGGACCACCGTTCAACCATATTATCTAAATAAAAAGTTAGTAATTTAAATATTCTTTAAATTAGCGAGTTCGCCGATGAAACATACAGTCCTGTTTGCAAAGCTAGCATTTGCCGATTCAAACATCCAGAAGAACAGATCCCCATTTAGTTGTTCGTCTTTTCCCAAATTACCAGAATACATTCTTTGCGTATAGTCATCAGGGATACCTGGTAGTGAATCCACAAGCCATGACTTTTGCTGTTCAACAGCTTCTGCCACAGTAAGTCCAAAGAGAGCAACTAACACGCTGACAGAAGCCCATATTTTACGAAAGGAGAACATTATGAAACGAATGTATAAAACGGCTCAATTGCTCCTCCAATTGAGGAACGACTGATATGGGTAAAGTACAACCTGCGATGCTTGCTAGAGAAGATGGTCCTTCAAGAACGTTAGAGCTCTGTAAATACGAAGAAGTAATAATTGGATATGGTAGAATAAAAGGAAAAGAAAAGAGTATTAAAGATAATTAAATCAAATTAAAATGATGTATTGAATCTAATATGAACGTCTAAAGCGAAACCTATCCAAAATGCCAACTTTCTGTTCTAACCCAGAATATGAATAAACAGAATGTTAAAAATAGTTCTATAAAAATCTAAAACAATACATATACTAACTTATTCAAAGTTTTGAGTGGCTGATGCGAACCTCTCAAGCTCACGCAAAGCAGCATGGGAAGCAATGCTTTCTTGAGCTAGTAATACACCTTCGTGTAAGGATCCCGCTAGTCCTGCGACATGCAATAGCATAGCTGTATTCATTAAAACATAATCCAACACGGGATGATTTTTAGGGAGCATATTGGATAACATTTTTTCAAGAAGCACAGCATTAGCAGAAGGAGTTCCGCTAGCAACACTAGATAAAGGATGACGAGGGAGATGAAACGATTCAGGAGTTAAAATCATTTGAGTAATTTGACCATCCTTGACTAACCAGGCGTGAGTAGGACCAGCAGGAGAAATTTCATCCAAACCTTCCTCACCACATACGACGAGAGAACGATCAGCACCGAGAAGCAAAAGAGCTTGAGCAAATATTGGTACAAGACTTGGATGACTTACACCGATGATACGAGCGTAAGTCGGCACGGGATTAAGCAAAGGACCGACTAGATTGAATATGGAAGGAACGCCAATCTCTTTACGGATTGGGGCGACTATCTTTAGCCTTGGATGGCATTGAGGAGCGAATAAAAATGAGAATTTTGATTCATCTGTGATGGAAATCAAGTTTTTTGCAGTGACATTGAGTAAATCACAACCAAACGACATAAGCAAGTCAGCAGACCCACTGGAAGAAGTAGAGGCCTTATTTCCGTGCTTGCAAACGTGAACTCCTGCACCAGCTGCTATAATACCGGAAGCAGTGCTTACATTAAACGTATTATGACCATCACCTCCTGTGCCAACTATATCAACGAATTTCGGTTGCATGGATGAAATACCTTCAACGGGAATCGAATACGATTGAATAACATTGACAGTTGACATCAAAACCTCCGGCCGCTGTTCAACCCTCGTTAAACGCATGGCAGTAAGAAAGGCACCAATTTGGACAGGGTTCGACTTCTCTTGCAGGATATCGTGAATAGCAAACTCAATTTCATTTACGGGAATCTCTTGGCCTACCCTGTCCATAAGTTGCATAGCTCTGCGAACGGCAGCACTTGATAAAGTCATTCTGAAAATTACCTTACCAAGAAAAGAATCACGAGTGCCAAAAAAATTTCAAAAAAAATGAAGAAAGTTATAATAAACTTAACAACAAGCAAGGAATGAGAAATGAAGGAAAACGGCACAGTAAAGGAATCCAAATGTTGAGAACAAATAAAACCTTAGTATATATGTATACTGTCAAAGCACACTTTAATTTTAGAAGCAAATATTAAATAGTGTCCTTGGAGCTAGTTTTTGAAAAAAAAAACAAGAGCGAAAAGTAATCCAAAACAAATCCAAACTAAAAAGATATAAGTATTCCTTTCCTCAAGTCCGAAGACCCTTAAAATGTGGCCTTTTTACAGAAAAGTAAAAAGAAAGTGAATAAGTCTAGTTATTAAGCAAAATTAGGCGTTTACTTGACCTTTGTGAAAAAGAACCCACAGTTGTTTTATTAGGAAAGGTCAACCAAAACTGAGCAAAAATGCTGTCTTACTAAAATCAAGGTCTATGGTATTTATCCATTAAACAAAAGAATAAATTTCATGAAATCCAGCAAATGGTTTTATTTTTTTTGCGAAATTTCGAAAAACTTGATTTACTTTGTAGTATGATAGAATAATATTTAACCCCGTAAAATGATATATTAAGAGGATACTTAAGAATTGGTAAGAGCAGTAATGAATGTTTAGATATTTAATTCCTTTTATTTTTTTTCTGTGTTTCTATAATTGAACTTCATTCTTATTCTATTATTTGGCTGTTGTGAAGTTTCAGGCATGCCATACCGTAAGTGAAGCGTACTACAACTTCAGATTAGCCTTGTGTTTTTTACCATTAGAAGGATTGAATCACACTCCAGTCCGTTGAATTACGGATTTCGTTCAATTCTTTGGAAGATTTTTATTAATTTTCTGTGTCCCTTCGTTTTATGATTTTTCGTTGTATCTAAACTGCCAAAAATCTCTTTCAGCCCGTCCATAGCCCTTTTCCTTCATACTCTATTACCACACTTGATGTTGCAAAACTTTGCATTCCAGGCTCTACGACGAGCAGGGCGGTTGAACTTTCGACGCATAGGTGCCGCAAATAGTCTTGGCTTTCGTTACAAGAGCGATACATCATCCTCCTTGAATTTGTTTACACCTGCATGGAAAGACCAAGCAGCTAATACAATTATCAAATTTGTTCCCCAGCAAATGGCATATGTCGTTGAGCGCATGGGTCGTTTTTCAAGGTAAGCAAAGGTAGGAATCCCCTCTGATCATCGCTAATGCCTTTTTCATAAATAGAATTTTGAATCCTGGTATTGCTTTCCTTATCCCTGTTGCCGATAAGATTTCTTACATTCACTCTTTAAAGGAGCGCGCTTTGGAAATACCTACCCAGTCTGCCATCACTTTGGATAATGTTTCTATAGGTCTAGATGGTATTTTGTATGTTCAAGTTTATGATCCTTTTAAAGCAAGCTATGGTGTTGAAGATGCAGATTATGCCATTTCACAATTAGCTCAGACAACAATGCGCAGTGAAATTGGACGGCTTACACTTGATCATGTTTTACGAGAACGACAGTCTCTGAATGAACATATATCAGATGCTATTAACAAAGCTTCTGAAAATTGGGGAATTCGTTGTTTGCGCCATGAAATTCGTGATATTCGTCCACCTGAAAGTGTAGTGATGTCTATGCATCAACAAGTATCGGCTGAACGCCAAAAACGCGCAGAGATTTTGGCTTCTGAAGGAAGAAGACAGTCTGCGATTAACGTTGCCGAGGGTGACAAACAAGCTGAAATTTTAGATTCTGAAGGCCAAAAGATTCGAATAATTAATGCCGCCTTGGCGGAAGCTCAAGCAATACGTGAAAGGTAATATATTAATTTTTTATTTCTGACAATATATTCTAACCTTATTTAAATAGAGCTTTTGCTACAGCAAAAGGAATTGATGTTTTATCAGATATGATTTCCCAAAAAGACCATGGAACCGATGCTGTTAACTTACACGTTGCTGAACAATACCTAAAGAATTTTGGGAAACTTGCAAAAACATCGAACACAATGATTCTTCCCGCGGCTGCTAATGACATTTCTTCTATGGTGGCTCAAGCGTTATCCATCTACAAGCAAGTGTCGAAATCTTCAGCACCTTCAGGTTCTTTGCAAAAAGATATTTCTTCCCTGAATTCGAATAGTGTAGAAACTGACAAGAAGCCCTAAGCTCCAAGATAACGATTTTCAATCATCTTTTACGAATCTAGATGGAAACGTAAAAATATAATTTACAATTAACATCACCTCCTCTTTATGTACTTCAGATTTTTCTTAAAATGAAATATTATGATAAAACTTGGAAATTAACTAAAACAACTGAATTAAATAAGGGCATATCATAGCCCTTTTACACGGGCATGTAAGACTAAATGAAAGAGAGTGAGAGGGAAAGCAAAAGACAAACAATCATAAAAGGGTGCAAACATGAACAAAAGTAAGACATAGATGTATATGTATATGTACATAGAAAAAAAAAAAGAAAAAGGTTTAAACAAACCAACCGAAGAGTCTAGAAATTAGAAGCATAAGTAATTTGTGGAATTCCTTCTTGCTTGACTTCAGTGTCATCTTGGAAATCTCCATTACTTTCTTGGTTGTTTCGTTTATTAGCCAAAAGACGAGGTCCCCAGATACGTGCTACCACCATGACGATGGCGAGGATAAATATACTTCCCACAATCACGCCAACTAGAATTCCAATAAGAGTACCGGCACTGCCATAGGGAGAATAAGATTGAGGAACCAGAGAGGCTAAACCACTCTGTGCGGGTATGGTAGAAGCCAAAGAAGTATATTGAAAAATAGTTGTCATGACCGTGGTAGGTTGAATGGTCACGTATTCGGTAATAAACCCATTCGTGGCATTTTTATTATGGATCGTGCGGGAGGAGGTCCCAGAGGCATCAGAAGTACTAATAATGTCGGATATCGAGGATGAAGTTTTACCGGAAGAAGACTTCTGATTGCTGGAACTCGAGGAACTACTAGAAGAATCCGAAACGCTTACAGAACCTGCTCTGCGAACTAACGTCGGGGAAAGAGTTGTGAATACATCCTGCTTACGTATTGGAGAGGATAACGAAAGTCTGGATGAGGCCTTCGCAGCAAGAAAGAACACTTTCAGATGAAAAATACACAGCAAGAAGACGAATGGAAAACGCATGCGCTTGAAATTATATAATATTTGGAAAACAGAAACAAAGTGTAATAGGGAACGTAATAAGAAACGCCTGGCCTATCCAGGTTTTAAAGGAGACTTTTGTTGCTTGGTTGAATAAACGGAATCAAATTTTTCAACGAGAAAACAAATTATTAACAAAACCAAACTCAAAGCTTGCCAGTTACGGCGAGGAACAGTTGTTTGGGATAATAAATTTCAAGAGAAAAATTGATAATTATAAGGAATCCGAGCAACTTTAGAAATAACTTTCAAAACTTCTTCTTGGAGCAGAATTCTTCTCTATGTGCTATTTTATGATATACAAACGAGTATCTGGAAGAGGATGTAATAGAAAACTGACGGAACGTACGTAAATCGGCTCCAATCTCAAGTTCTACTAGAAAATTTCTTCCATAACATTTCTCAGAACGCTCACAACTTTTAATCCAAAAAATTCAATTCAATTGCATGAAATTTTTACTACCAGATTGAAACAGCATATACGCTAAGGTCAACGTGGGAAAGTCCCTAAGTGATACCGACTCATTCAAGTTTACCGAAGTCACCGAAATTTCCGAACTTACCGACCAGTCATCTATCTGAATCAACGTAATTCGTAACTGTGTATAACCATCCACCTTTGGAATCCAATCTGCTTTCTGGAGAGAACAAAAACCGAACTATTTATAAAAATAGTTAATTGTAACCATTCTAAGTATGTTTAGAAGAATCTGAAGAAGACTGCAGTCTTTTTTCTACGGTAGCAGAAGGCTGGATATTCGAGATGTAGACGCTTTTGTATTTAAGCTCGATACAGCCTCAATAGGTCTTTCCGGATACACATAAGAAAGACTTATCGAATATTTATTTGCTAACATATTAGGTATCATCATTAATAATGAGTATCGACTGCAGTGGAGAATTGTACTTTTACCCTCCATTCACGACTATGTCGAAGGAGCTGATTTCGGTGTATAATCCTCATCCGGAACCTGTGATTTTCAAAGTGAAGACCACTGCTCCTAAGCAATATTGTGTGCGTCCCAACTCTGGAAAAATTGACGCAAAGTCGAGCGTTAATGTACAAGGTATGTGGTTTAACGGTTTTACATGGTATTTTCGGAGATGCTTGAAGATACATCGCCGTAGTCTGACTGTACTTTTTGCCCTCTTTATCTTTGAATGACAATGATCTAACCGATGTTATAGTCTTGCTTCAAGCCATGAAAGAGGATCCTCCTTCTGATTTCAAGTGCCGTGACAAGTTTTTAATCCAGAGCATGGCAATCGGTAACCAAAGCACCGAAGGTGTTGAAAACTACCAAGACTTTTGGGCTGAAATGGAAAAGCACGGCAACCCCGTCCATGACCGTAAAATTCGATGCGTCTACCAAGTCAATCAGTCCCGTGGACCTGCTTTTACCGAGAAGCAAAATGAAAACAATGCTGATGTCTCAAAAACTACTGACTCCCCTAATACTGCTGACATCGGTGCTGCAGGTATTGCTCCCACCGCTGCTGCCCTCTCTTTGAATGACACCAAAAATGATTTCAGCAATGAAAAGGTCGACCCTACTGTTGATGAGAGCTTGCGCTCTGCTGTTTCCGATACCGGAGTGAACCAGACTTTCGAGGCTAGTCCTGTCAATGATGTTGAACAAACTAGTGTTCCCTTGGACTCGGAAATAGACAACGGAGCCCAAACCAACTTAGATAACGCTGCTCCTGAGCCCATTCGTCGCAACATCTCTTCTACTCCACCCTCTAACCCTCCCCCTCCTGTTCCTACGAAGGAAATCAATCACTTTGTTCAACAAACAGTGGTTGCAGGTGATGAGGACATCCCTTCTACCGTCGGTGATGACTCCCGTGAATCTATCAATGTAGACCAAGGTGTCGTCGCTCCCTCACAAAAAGAGGACGTTGTTGCCAAGGATACTAAGCCTGCTTATTCTGCTGAGCCTTCCACTGTCGCTAATGCTGCTATGACCAACACTCCTGGTATCCCACCTAATGTCGTCGTCGTTCTTTGTCTCATTTTCTTCCTCATTGGTTATTTGTTCTTTTAAGAGACCGATAGCTAAAGTATGGACTATAATCCGATCATAATGCTGTTTTGATTGGAAGATATTATACTGTAAGACTCACTTTTTTTAATTAAAGTTACTATCGCTCTTTCGCCCGGCAAACAATGTACTATTCTTTGGTACATCTATTGTTAATACCTTTTACTTCGTGTCTTCTCTATAGAAATCTTTTTTGCTTGTCTATTACATAATACTAGTCTTTAACTAGAACCAAATAAACGAGTCTTATTATCATAGTAAGAAACACACGTGAAAAGGGACTAAACTAGCATTGATGATTAGATACTAATTGAATTCATATTTCATCTTAAACTGTTTATTATTTATCACTATTAAAATAAAAAAGGGACTTTTTACTGAAACATTTGCTCATTGGAAAAAGTTCGTAGATAGAAACGAAGCCAAAGAGAGGAGGATTAGGTATCATAAAGGAAATAGGATAGCTTTGCAATGCAACAGATCACTGAGAGGCTAGATGATTTTTATTTTTTTAACATTTCTATTTCGGAAAGTATAGGGCTGTTGTATCTCCGGAAAATATTTGCCTTGTAAGGATGGGTAGGACCATCATATATATGTAGTCGATTCATGCGCATGTCCCACAACCGATTTTTTGGAAGCATTCCTCCTACAGCCCGTCTCAAAAGTTCTCTATAACCTCTCTTTTTGACCATTTCCTCCATCGTCCATTCCTTTAACTTACCAGGTCGTCCTGAATGGGAGTAGTATTTATGCTGTTCAAGCTTTCGGCCAGAAATTCGAATGTTTTCACAATCTGTGACTACGACAACGTCTCCACAGTCAGCGGCAGGATGAAAAATTGGCTTGTGTTTGCCCATTAATGTAATAGCAATATTCGACGCGAGACGTCCTAATGGAATCCCTTTTGCAGAAACATGATGCCAAACCTTTGCATAGGCTAACGCCGTCTAAAAATGATTAGTAAATTTACTATACTGAGAAGATTATGGTCATACCTGTCCATTAAGTGTAGACATAGCAATTCCTTATTCCCTAGCTCAAAGAGTCAAAATTTTCCAAGAAAACTAATTTTTCGATTTAATAAAGTATATAAAAAATATACAATGGAAGAGCCCTATTAGTTTTGATATAAACCTCTTCAAGGTCGGTTTGTTCGTGGTAAACTATGTAGCAGCAAGTTACAACGCCGATGAGGGTCTACAGGAAGAGGTTAGAAGTCAAGACCAGAAAACGGTAAGAACAGGTTTTAAAACATTTTTAGAGACAAAACATTTGTTTTCTTTACTTTCTTTTTTGATTTTGCTTTTTTATATGGGAAAACTTGGTTGCTTGGTTCTTTACTTGTTTCAATAATTCAATATTACTAGAGTTATTGGATTAGCCATTCACGGGAGAATATAAACAGCTAGAAGAGAATCATAATAGAAGACGAAAAAATAATTGTTATTCATTTAGTTCAGACATCGTTAGTCTTTCAGGACCATATAGAAAGCTTCTACTATGCATAAAGGTACTAAGAGAAGAAATAGAAGAGTACAAGTACCGACTCATTTCGTGCAAAAGCAATGAACCATCTCTTTCACCAAACAATTCTCTAAATTCATGAAGTGTTTGTTCTCCCGAAAGGGATTGTCGCTTTAAAAGACCAATAATATACTCACGCAAAAACAATGTCTGCTCATAGCTCATATAATCAAAAGCCATCAATTCTGTTGTAAGAAAAGCATCTGCCCGTCTCTGTAAAGAAGGATCCGAACTAAACTGGCCAGGTGTGAATCCATGCGGATATCTAACATTTTCAGGATGAGATGTCATGCAGACACTAGGCCATCCTGCCTCGTAAATCCGTCGTCGAAGAGCAACAATGTTTCCAGCATTGTCAGAATCTCCTCCATAAATCGTTCCTTGGCTTGTTGAAGAAGAAGAAGCCTGTTTGATCTGCTGCTTGTTTGGACGAGACAAATAAGAGTGAGGGTACCACTTCTTCGACTTACCAGATCCAGTGAATCCATAATAAACACAGTCTACTGATTGCTTGCAAATTGGGCATGTCAATGACTTTTCTAACCATTGCCGAATACATTCATAATCAAACTGATCATGTTGACAAGGGGACAATTGAGCTCGACGACCGTCACGTTCCAAACAAATTACGCAGTGTCGGCGAAGACGCCCTACTCCATAATCTGACTTTTCTCGTCTTTTTTTTGTAAGCAATTTGTTTTTGACTCTATCCATGTGCTAGAATCAAACTTGGAATATCAACGATGAATCCATCAAGGCGTCTAGGATCCCATTAGGCTAAAAGCCAATCATAAATAAAATTTTCGCCAGAAATGATTCCAATAAAGAACAATTTACCAAATGAATTTATTACACCAAGATTCTGAGATATTGGCGAAAGACTGAAATAATTAATATATACCATACGAATACAGCTGTCTCGTTAACCATCGTTATGAACATTAGCAAACCTGAACACAAATAGAAAATATGATTCTTTACATTAAGAAAAGTAATTGGAATTTAATCGACTGAAGAGCATAGTAGAATCAAAAGGGAGAATATTTGAAAGTTTAGACATGTAAAGAAAGCACTTGGAACTGATGACATCCTAAAGCTTGTACGATGCTTGAAGCTTTCAAAGTGACGCAAGCAAACAAATTAAAAAATGAAATAAGTCCCGTTTAAAATGATTTTTGAGTTCATATTTACTATTTCCAAAACTATGGTAGCGAATAGGTAGTCGATTTTAGCATCAGAAAAAATAGCAATACATATTATCAACCATAGTCAGTCGCACCTAAGCAAAAACACTACTTCCCTCCGATCACCAAGTCAAGCGTCTGCGAGTCTCATATGCAAGCAACGCATTGCATTGAGTTTGGTCTTGATCGCCATGTTCTTTTGATTTAGATGATGGTAATGGATGCAGAAGAAGCCAAAGCAATAGTCATTCTTGATTCAATGATTCATTGAATTCAACATCATTAGCTCTATTTCATAAATTAAAAAGAACCATCAATAAATAAATAGTTCTAGAAGAATAAATAACAACAAACATGCGAATTTAGACAGAACCGACTTGAGAATAATAATCCAATCATCCCTCCAGGGCTTCAACGACAGCGGCCTATGATATATGTATATAAAAAAGCTCAATAAAGAATAAATATAACGGGAGCAAGTAGGAAATACATAAATAATGAAAGAAGATGAATCTTTTAAACAATGCATGAAACGACATAATATCATCACAAGAATGCTTCAGGTATGAGATTCGTCTTCGGTGCTTTCAACTCCCTAGACTGACCCAATTGCTGGTGTTAGCCTCCAGATTGTTCAGAATGTTCAGAAGAGGACGGCTGTTTGAAAGTACTATTGCTATGATCCTTAGACTGGTTTTCTGGCTGTGGTGGCATGGTGTTTAGTAGGATACAATCATCAGGAGAAAATTCGGTTGTTTCTTATGACATTCTGAAGCTCATAAGCATTCCTAATCCAAGATAAAACTTTGGTAATTCAAGAAACAATTATCGGCATCTCAAAACAAATTTGAGAAATTAAGAGAACGATGAGAATTCACCAACACCAAAAATACACAGTTAGCAAACTTTCCACATAAATATTCAACCATTTCGTTTGCCTGTACAAACATAGAGAAAGTCGCGAGAATGAGAAAACCCGCTTCAGCGACCTGAAAGCTTCCCCTAATAGATCCTGCCATCGATTCCCTTATAAAGGAGGCAAGATATTTGTAAGAAAACAAGAAATTTACTATGACCGAAAGAAAAAAGCAGCTCCTGGGCTGCCGAACTTCACTCTCCTGTCTGCGTTTTGCTACAGGGATTCTCCAAATTTCACCAACAGAAAACCAACGACAATTAAGGCGTTGGAATAGTTTGTAAATTTTAAAAATCTGCTAATCCGTGCAATAATTATGGACGCTTCCTGACGACTGCTTTGTGGATATGGTGGAACTGGATCAGATTGTAAATAGAAACAACCTTACTCCATGTCATGTAGATACAAATAGGTGTTTTCATTACATTCTGGTAAGCCACAGTCAAAAGTCGCGGGACTCAATTGAGTTTGGGAAACCTCTAGCTGTATTTCATCCTTCATTTTTATTCATTACTATTAAAAGAAATGAGACGATAAACGTTCCTCAACTACCTTTGTTTGGTAAGTGAAATTCCGCGAAAATTATCGAATTACGTGGTAAAAGGGTCAGAAGCTCTAATCCAACTGACGGTACGATTGAAAGAAAAACAGTTGAAACTCATCTCCAAGAAACCAAAAAAAAAGTCCACAATGGTAAAGACTAGAGGTTTGCAAAGGTGTAATTGTCATCGTCGTCTTTTATCTATTTACCGAAAGCTAGTAAGCGTACACTATTCTATACGTACACTAATGACCTTTCCAAAATCGTCTTCATCTATTTCTATCGCTAAATTATTAATGTATTCGAAGAATTAACAATTCATATACCATGTCTATATCATCCACACTGAAAATCATGGCTTTTTCTAGCACTGTTTCTTTGTTTACATTTTGTAATACGCGACTCGTTTGTGTTATATTGTTTTGCAGCCGTGTCAAATTACGCAGGTGAAACAGAGACAAATTGCATCTTAAAGGATAGCCGCAAATAGCTACTTTAAATGCAAATACCTTATTTTACACATATTTAATGTCTGCGGCCACAGCTAGGCGATAACAGCAGTTCCCGTCCGATCACTGCAGGAAGTGAAACCGTCTGAGGGTGTCGTTAGTACTATGGTTGGAGACAACATGGGAATCCGGGATGCTGTAGGCTTTTTACCGCTTCGTTTTTAATTCTTTTTCTTTGTATTTGTTTGTTGCTCTTTGTTAAAGCATATGGCTGGCATTTGGGTCGGCATGGTCCTTTGATGAAGGTAAGAATAGCAGTGGAAGTTGGAAATGCAATGATTACTCTTAAATTCAAGGAAAGAACTAAAGATCTTCCTAGACTTATGAAACGAATAACAAAGATCAGAAAATAGAGTATCAAACGAATAAATAAAAATAAGCAATTGAACCTAGCTATGTAAATACAATGACAATATCATCCAGTAATAAGCATCCTTACTTATCCAATGTTGAAGAGATCAAGTAAATCAAGAAAACGGACGCCATTCAGGAGTACTCGTCATGCAAGATGCAATCTTAAAATAAATATGCAGGGACGAAATAAACAAAACATAAACACAAACATACGCGAAAGCATGAAGGAGAACAATCGAAAAGATTGGGCAATATAAAAATTAACTTTACGTATCAATCAACTCTCACTGTTTTCCACATCCCTAGACTGACCAGGTTCCCGCCGTAACCCTGGAGATTGTTCAGAATGTTCAGAGGACGGTTGCTCCAAACTATTATCATTACAATCATTAAACTGATTTTCGGTCTCTGTCGATATGCCGTTTAATGGGATACAATTATCATCCGTCAAGTCGTTTCTTTCCGACAGCATCCTGAAGCCTAGAGCACTAATAATCTCAGTAAGAACTAGAGGAATCAGTATAACGATAAAATCCACCAACACTAAAAGCATTCCATTAGTAAACAACTTTAAATTACAAATCCACCAATTCACTTACATGAACAAACATATAGAAACATGTAGAAAGCCACGATGACAAGAACAGCTGCTACAGTAATCTGAAACCATAACCTTACAGATTCTTTCATTGATTCCCTTATAAAGGGGACAAGGTATTTGTAAGAAAACCAAAAGTCTACCATGACCGAAATAATAAAGCAGAAACTAAGCCGAGCAGTTTCATTTTCCTGTCTTCGTTGTGCTTCCGGGATTCTCACAATTTTTGCCGGCCAGAAAATTAACCATAATAATGCCGACAAGACATCACGTAAAAGAATAAAGAAACCGTTTCCTTGCGCCATGTGAATAGAAGCTTCTTGATGTCTTCTTCTTGAGTATGATGGAGCTGGATCTGGATCGGACTGTAAACATAAACAGCCTTTCTCCATATTGTCAACATGAGAATATGGGATTTCGCTGTATTTAGGTAAATCGCTCTCAGAATTTGTAGAACAGCTCAAACAAGCATCTTTTACTGGTTCGACAGTTTTTTGATGTCGTTCCTTTTCTTTTTGATCCATTTTTGTTGTAACATGGCTGTGACTCAAAGAGTTTCTTATTCACCTTTGCTTGATCACTAAGTTACTGCGAAAATTATCGATTACAAAATAAAAGGACCAAAAAGCGTGCAATTTCGAAAACAAAAAGATTCCATGTCAACTTGGTTTATAAATCAAAGTAGGAATGACAAAAAGAGGCTTGAAACCCAGAAAATAAGCCCGCAATGGCAAAGACTAGAGCTTTGCAGAGGTGAAGCTGTCATCCAACCCATTTGACATCTGGGTGATGCAGTTCCTTAAAGAGACTTATCGATAGCTAGTAAGCGCACGCTATTATATGTGTATATAATATGAATGAATGAATGAACTATCGGATATAGCTTTTGTTGGTTTCTATCGTATAAATAACATAAATTTAATAAAGACGAAAACAAAATTCACTTGTCCGTACAAATTTTGTTTACCATAGTTCGACGACGCATCTACAAACTTTCCATGTGTTTACGGATTTGAAAATAAAACTACGAAAATGGAGAGTGTTGTAGCTTTCTCCTAGAAATCATTCAGCCACAGTCATTAAACCTTTTAAATCAAAAATACGCATTTTCGATTCCTTTTTCACATCATTCAAAGCAAACAGCATGGTTGTTTTGCCAAATGTTCCTTTGTTTACTTTTTGTAATAAACAGTGACTCTTTTGGATTATACTATTACGAGTAATCGCAACGAGGGTTGTGACCAGTCGGTGACATAATGTCGCAGCTTTTATGAAACGAGACATGCGAAAGCCACTACCATGAGTTTTTAAATTTGTATCTTTGGTTTAAAAGGAAAAGAAAAGCTGGAAAAATTGTTTGCTTTTTGAAACAAGGTCCAATTCCTATTTTTGAAGACTCTGCACCAATTGGAACCAACTCTTAAGAAGTTTTCTTGGTGATTCTAGTGATTTTGATTAGATTGCAACTGCAGTTGTTAGTCTTGGATTTAATGTGATATTGCAAAAATGAAGAATAAATACACACCTGTTTCAGAGTCTGAAGAGTCTTTGAAAACGCTCACTGATGAAAAGGCAGACACCCGTTCTTCAGAGGGTACGCCTCCTCCGTATTCAGGTAAGATTCATTGAAATGGAAAGGTAATGGTGTTTGTTATTGAGAGTTCTTAGTGAGGAATCCTATTTTAAACTTGTCGACGATTGTCAATAAACAGGATGAATACCTTCATTCTCTCGTATACAACGAAAACTTCAGTTGCTAATACATTCATTAGCTTCAAACAAATTTATCGATTTAGAAATGGCTGACGGATCTGCTCAAAATTTCGCCCAAGAATCTGCTAATAATATTAGGTCTGACCCTTCGCCAAATAAACAGTGGTGGAAAACACCTGTCATAGGAACACTGACCATTATAACTATTATATATAATATTGTTTTTCTAGTCATAGTTTTTGGTTACAACGTTTCTCCGTATTCGAAAAGTTTTTATGGTCTTGCTGTCGTTTCTATTGGATTTATTAGTGTTTTATTCCTTGGTATGTCTACAATATCTTGTTCTGGACAGCTCGCTAATTTTTAGCAATTCTTTATATCTATCCCGAATGGTACAGGCAAGCTGGAAGAGCAACCAAAAAGGTTCTGAAGAAATCTGGAAGAGCAACAAAGAAGTGCATTAAGAAATTCACACCAGCTGTATGTAAAGCCCTAATTATACTGATAAGTTTGAATGGAGTCGGGGGTTATGTTTTGAAATTAGCAGGAGGCTTCGAATATATACATTCAACAGCTGTGTTAGTTGTTCTGGCCGTATTGAACATATGCTTGTTTGTTCTTCTCATTCGTAAGTTGCAATTTTCTATGAACCGTTCTAACTTCTTTAGGAAACCCAGACTTTGTTGAAGATCTTCACGATATGACTCGTCTAGTAAGTACATTTAGTATTCTTTACTAGGAATATTCATTAACCTTTCAGAACAACAGAATTAGAAGGCATGGTTCACCTCGTAACGAAGAAACCGAACTTCAACCTCTTGCTGAGCAAAGCTCTGAAGTTTGAATGTGAGTGTGAGTTTCACCGAACCTGCTTTCATTTTGTACTTCGCCTTCCACCCTTCCTTGGGATCATCCATGTCAATTGCAGTCCACCAAGATCCCTGTGTTTGCTGTCACAAAAGCTTGAATCTGATGAATCCAGAAGACTTTGATTGCTTTAGTAATTCACTCTTTTACGACTTTTCTAATTAGTTCACAGCACTGTTGTTTATGCATCTTTCATTTTCTTCGCAATCCGAATAGAACATCCTTTTTAATGATTATTTCATGATTTTGACAACGAATATTCCATGGCAATGAGCTATTTTTTAGTTCAACACCGAGTCGCGTAATTGATTATGTTTTAGAATTGGCAAGAATAAATGTGAGTTTCGACAGTTACTATTTTCATTCAGTATAGCAAGCACGAATCTTCAGATCTAAAGATCAGATGTAGCATAGCTCATTAAACTATCGTTCATTCAGAGAGTCAAATCAACGCACCATGAAATATTTCAAGAAGAACCCAATTTGTATAAACTACATTTTCAACCCATAAACCTAAACGCTCATTTTAACACTCATTCTGATGCTTTTTCAAACAATGTGAATCAAGAAAATAGAAAATGACAGCTTGTATTCAAATCTTATTCTTAAAATATGAAAGCATTCTCCATTCCGCCGTGGAAAACAGTCCAAATTTAGAGCCGAGTAGAGATGCTTTTAAACGACATCAAACGTAATAAAATACTGGACGAGTCCTTTATAATAGAAGTAGCTTGATAAACGACTACAAACGTCTACGGCCACACCTAGGCGAAAACACCAAACCAGTTCCCGCCCGATCACTGCAGGAAGTGAAACCGTCTGAGGGTGTCGTTAGTACTATGGTTGGAGACAACATGGGAATCCGGGATGCTGTAGGCTTTTTACCGCTTCGCTTTTATTTCTTGTATTCGTATGACATCGAGTTCGTTTATACATAGTTCACTACACAATGCTTGTACAAACCTGTGTACTGAACAATGCTACCCTATAAGTAACGATAAGCATCTGCATGTACATAAAATATCATGATTGGTAAGGATATATGGGACGATATCTAAATGGTCATAATTAAAATTATTAGAGATGTTTCCCCGAAGAATGCTTTCATGTGGATTACCAATCTCAACTGGCACGAACTTCTTTTCGTGATCATCAGGCATTATTGAGAAGGCGCGATCATCAAGAGAGTGGCTCACTCTTAAGACAGTATGAATAATCATATATGATGAATGGAATTTTTTATTGCTAAATAAATTACTCTTTTAGACTCGCCTAGCGAACCATTTTGATCAGGATGACCTGCTTCTCCTTTTAGCTACATTGAGGATAGTCACCTAGGCGTATATGAAATCGATTCTTATTTGAAATACTTTTAAAAATACTAAATTCTTATATTTCATATAAAGATTTATTAAAAATAGACATTTCTCTCGTTTTCTTGATGATTTAATGAACCCTTCAATGATATCGCAAGTGACATTATAAAGAGATGTAGACTTTTGAAATGTTCTTTGACCAAAATGCATAATCAATGAGCAATTTTTGTTAAAACCATTCTCGTAAGCTACCAAGGCTACCTGACATATAAGTTTCTTTGTATGTTTCAATGCATGACTTTTCTTTCATTGTCCATTCCTGTCCATGAGAATTTAGATATTTTTCTGAGATTCATTTTTATTTATATTCTTCTTATTCTGATTTTACAGTATTCAAGGATCTTGAAATCAATATTTCTATTGTTTACAGTGTGACGTTTGGACTTTGCCAAAGGAAATGTTGGCAACACATCCATGTTGGAAGTTGTTTTTGTTTGCAACTTTCAATATCTCCGGTTATTCCCACTTCATTTTTGATTTCGAATTTATTGCTTTTATCAAATACTAGATAAAAAATCTTGATACTTTCAGACTCAGCTACCTGAATATTAAAATTATTACTTTCATCTCCTTCAGGTTTCAGTTTTTAATCATACTATGTGCAATATACTTGTTCTTGGAAGCTTGAACATGGATTTGGTCATGCAAACCAAATTCTGCCCTGCAGGAGGCCAGACAATGCATGGTGAACCAGATGGATTTCATACTGGAGCTGGCGGTAAAGGTGCAAATCAAGCGGTAGCAGTAGCTCGGTTATCAAATCCTTCTGACACAAGAGTTTGCATGACTGGATGTGTCGGTGAGGATGTCTTTGGTCAGGATATGTTACGAGGCCTTAAGCAAGATAATGTCGACGTTGAGGCAGTTAAAGTCATTCCTAACAAGTCATCCGGCGTTGCAATGATTATTGTAGAATCTAATGGAGAAAACAGGATCTTACTGTCTGAGGGGGCAAATAGCTGCGTCAATGTTTCCTTTGTGGAGGAATTAGAAGAAAAAATTCAACATAGTGACCTGTTGATCTTACAACTTGAAATTCCACTTCCTTCTGTTCAAAAAGCAGTAGAGTTGGCTCACAAACATAAGGTTGATGTTTTGTTAAACCCAGCTCCTGCCATCTCTTTATCTGTTGAGCTTTTGCAACATGTTAGTTATTTGGTTCCCAACGAACATGAAGCAGCTGTCTTGTTAGGATGCCCAGATACTCCACCGACAGTACAAACCGCCGAAGAATATGCTGACAAACTTTTAGCTATGGGTATTCAAAAGGCGGTTATAATTACCCTAGGAAGTGAAGGTGCGTTTTACAAAACGAAGGCGGGAGATAGCGCCCATATTCCTGCCCAAAAGGTTCAACCCATAGATACTACTGCTGCTGGTGATACATTTATAGGCGCTTTTGCAACCTCAATCTCCCATAACAAACCTTTGAAGGAATCCCTTCAATTCGCAGCCCGAAGCAGTGCTATTACCGTACAAAGGAAGGGAGCGGCCAATTCTATTCCTACTTACACGGACATTCAAAATATTCTACCATAAATTTAAACTTTTGTTCTTATTTCTTTGACAGAGTAAGAACGTAAATGTCGCGTGCTTTTGGGCGTGTTACGATACTCATGCAACAATACAATAATGATTATCTTGTTTTCATTTTGTTCACTTTCTTAACATGTAGAAGCTACAATCATTACCTTAAACATATATTTTTCTTGCCAATTCTAAAGATATCGAGTCATCATCATAATTAAACAATTTGTTCCATCTCGGCAGCGTACTGCAAAAGCTGGCGAATACTCTGGATAGTATGTTTGTCAGCTGTAGGAGGAAGTTCTAATTGTTGATCTTCATCCAACATCATGGAATCTTCAGTATCAACAGTGTTGCTTTCGCTGGGGAAATGAAGCACGCCCTCTTTAATAATCCATCCCCGTTCTGCGGCTAGAGCTTCAGTCTCTTTGGTGTTTTCAAGGTACAACAAGCTTGTCGCATTCGAAAGAGGTATCGTGGTGTAAACTTTTTCAGCACAGGATGCAATTTCATTACGGACCATAGTTATGACGATCTTCATAAAATAACTGAATTCAGGAAATGCACAAGAACGGATCATCGATGCTACCTTATCAAAAGCTCCTTCCATTACATTTTGCTCCAACGACATGACCCAAACAACGTGTGCATCCTTCTCAAACAATGACTTCTCTGGTACAGATTCAAGGGCAGTATGAAATTCGGCAATGCGATTGTCCGAAAGTAAGTACAAAAGGTTAAGCGCCGTCACAATACCCATTCTTGGGGAAGGAGCAAGAGCCGGATCATGGTAGAAGGGAACGACCTGACTAGCGTAACGTGCAAACGCCTCAATATCTGATGTTTGAATCGATACTAGTACACCGTACTCAAATACATTTCCTATAATTTCGTTAATAATACTGCTTCCTTCCCATTCTAATCACATTCACATACTCGCAAAGATACTCTTCTCTCTATCGCTGGTTGGTAAAAACAAATTCTCTTTTGCTAATTCCAATTTCAAATTGATAAGCTCCTTCTTACAGCTTTGCCAGTCTTTTTTATCGTAAAATCCCGCCAAACGATCCAAATTCAACGCACTCATGGTTTTTGTAGAAGTAGGAATTAGCTAACAAGTTCTAGTGTTTTGCCAGATCTGTCTTATAGTGATGCACAAGGAAAAAGCAAATGTAACGCAATTTGTAATTTAGTGAACTACAATGACTCATTAAATTGCCTCTATGGTCTCGTTGTTTCTCTTTATACTAAAAATAAACCCACCAAAATGCAAGATGCTTGGGCAAAAAGAATCGTGGTCGGTAAGTCATTAACCGTTTATTACTTGCAAAGTGAATATGAGAAATGTCATAATTTGTATGGAAAAAGCTCAAAATCCAAGGACTTTAAATTTGCCAGTCATCTCTTTCTAGTGAAAGAGAATGATGTATTGGTCTTTGGATTGGAATGTGTAGTCTATAAAAAATTAAATAAAAGTATCATTTTCGTCGCTAAAGTGGATTCTACTGGATTAGGAACACATTCGGCTTCTTCAAGTGGTCTTGCAGCCTCTGCCATAGAAACAGTGATTAATACTCAATACAAAGAGGGTGCTGTGGAAGTCGAAGTGACCTTATTCGCTATTTCTCAAGGTCAATATCTATTTCCAGAATCCTCTGAAAACGGACACAAACGCGTTTTGTCGGATACCGGACTTTTACACTGGTGGGTCAAATGTCTAGAGACAATACGGAAAGACTATAGTCCACAAGAAAAACAAAATAAGGAGGAAACAGAAAAAATTTCGACAGAAAGGTCTTCTCCAAAAACAGAAAATCATTCGGCATTCATGTTCGTGCCTGGACTCCCGTCTCTTCGATCCTATCTCCCAAATAGCTTTTGGAAACAAGGAACGGCTATACAACATGGGAAAGCCATAGACATGATTCCGCGATACCCAGATGATCCCAAGGCCAGATACCTTTATGAACTCCAAGATCAGCGAAGCGAAATCAGTGTCGCCGAATTTTGGGATACCTTGTCGTTCCGCCAAGAATGTTGCTCAGGAAAATTGGTTGGTTTCTATACTTTAAATTTACCAAAATGTCCTGAACAAGCCGAACCCTTTGAAGAAAGGACTTCTGACTTTGGACTCGTTTTACCTCCTAAACTATATCGCATTATTTATGACTCTCTTTTGAAACATTCTTTTCGTTCTCCTTCGATTGCCTCTCAATCTACAAAAACCTTTTTTAATGAAACCATAGCAGCCATACAAAGGTTGGATGGCTTTACTAAGGAAAGAGTTTCTCAAAAAATCGACGGAATTGTCGAACCTACTCCTCTCAAAAAGCGAGAACGGGAACCATGTCAAACATTGAACGTATTACAACCTAGAAAAAAGAAAAAATAATATCTACATATGTGAATGGATTAAGGTGAAAGATTGAGATTGTCGTTGTCATAAATAAAAAGGAGGAAAGAAAAAACTCAAAACAAGAAAGCAAAACGATATAACAACCCGAAATCAAGACCAAAAACAAGGGGAAGAAAATTATCCAAACACATAATCTTCCCCATAATATACAACCATACATCTATGAATTTAGTACATCGGAATAGCTTATGACGCATTCTATAATCCATTCGAAATCAACGACAGGAACTGTCGTATCCAAATTTCCATATTCAGGATTAGAAACAATTATATCCCAATGAAAATTTATCTTCGTTAAGGAATTTCTATATTCCACTTCGGCTCCTAAAGCAAGCGCTTGAAACATATGAGCTAATACCCTCTGAGAATACTCATCATTAACAACACCATTTCTAGAAAAGTTAATGTTTGGTAATAAAAACAGTATTCTTTTACCAGATAAAGGGCCAATATTATTATGTAAGTGATCGCACAAAGTAGAATCTTGGTAAGGTCCTACTCGCTGTGATAAAATCGTATTTAGGCGTCTCGAGTAACCGGCTGCCAGTAAGAAGGGCGAAAAATCAACCATCTTCTGTTTTTGCACACAAATTGTTATAAACCTTGGATGTACACAGGGAAGGTTCAATGCTAGAGCCTCTAGATATTTTACTTTTCTAGAATGAGTGTCTGAAATTAGGAAAGCATACTTCCAAGACTGCGACCTTTTATGTGGTTTCAAAGGAAAAAATATTTTTCCTTTTCCATTGTAATAATTACAAAACAAAGCACTTAAGCCTTCTTCAAGTACAGCACCACCGTTCTGTTTTACCAGATTTATTAAAAGGGAGCGTTCATTATCATCAACCGTATTCAGTCCGGTAAACACAAAAACACAAGTATGAAATATTGAAGTGTTAGCACTTTGAGTGGATATCTGGTATGCTTTTTCATTATCATCACCAACGACGTAAGAACCCGAAAGGCGCTTTCTGGAATTCGAAGAAGGAGGTAAGGAATGAATATCTATTTCCGACTTTTGTTCAGGGACATGCTGAAAATCACGATCCTTAAATTTCCTGATTTGCGAAGGTATTAGGTAAATTGTGGACATCGGTACAGCAACATCACCGTTTTTATCTACCCTTAATAGTACCATGTCATTTCCAAAAATGTCTGTGCAAGTGACGGATATATTTTCAGTCGACGAACTATAGGTTCGTAAAACACTATGGTTTAATTTCAAAGCAGTGGACCGAACAACATCCCCTTTCTTCAGTTCAAACCGTTTTAACTGATTAATATTAACAGTGCTGGTAGTATAATCATCAAACTGTATCCTAAACTGAGGAATTCCAGAAGCTGATGACACTGTTTGAGAAAGAACAGTTGCGGGATAATAGAAAGCAGGATAACCCTTAAAGAAAGCCAGTACACGATTTTCAACTTTAAGGATATTGTTAATAGGTTTTTCTAAGTTAGGGAGAAGATATCTCAATTTTTCTGCATTGGACTTTTCATTTTCGTACTCTGGTTTCATCTCCAACTCGGGCGAATTAGCGATCTCTTTGTTCTTGCTATCATCAATTGTTTTTAAATTTGAATAGGAAGATACTTTATTGATTTTTCTGTAACGTTTATTAGGGATATTGAATTCAGTCTTAGGAGGTGAATGGTTAGGTAATTCTCTTTCAGCGTTATAATTAGTTTTCCTTTTTTCAGTGGTTGTAATTCCTTTATCCGTCGAGATTCGATTTGAAGTGGGAGTTTCGGATATGACATTCTTTGTATGCCGTACTCTTGATGTAGTTTCTCCATCGGTTTCATGATCACCTTCAGTTGGTACAAATTTTGCCGGAGGAGTTGATTCAATACCAGTAATTATAGGAAGTTGCTGTACCTTGACAGAATGTCGTGTAGGTGTTGATTCTATTTGAGCTGCATCAGCCTCACTCTCGAATGATCCAACAGGATAATCGTAGTATCTTCGTTCTTGAGTGACCGTGTCTGGAACTAAAACATCCTCAAGTATATTTCCTGTAGCCTGTTCATTTGAAGAATGGGGTGCAGGAGTATCTTTCAAAGTGGAAGTCATAGAACCAGGAAACGCAGATCCAGGTGGTGAGAGCAACTCAGGAGAATTAGGAAAACTCTGAGGAGATGCAATTTTGTTCTGTTGGCTAAGGACTCCTTGTTGGTTATAAAGCTGCTCCAACACACGATCGGCTCGATTTGGTGTGGAAGCTTTATGGGATCCATTAGAAGGGTTTTGAATAATAATCTCATCGTCAGAAGAATTAGAAGACGTCGATTCTTTATCTTCCGGTCCAACATCTTGCGTAGGGACCTCAAATAGCTGTGTCAAACTTAGACCATTGTTTTCATTGGTAGGTGTATCGTTATTTTCAGATGAATTCTTTATTCGCTCATTTTTATCTTCCAAGCTATTTTTTGATCGTTTAATATGGTTCAAATCATTACTGGAAGAAGAGAATCGCACTGGAGAATGGGCTACCGAACGTAAAGGGTATGCTTGCTGACTCGACGACTTGTGCTCCAAAAACTCTGAATTACTACTTTTTTGCATAAACAATCTTTACACATCAATCGATACTGATGGCTGTCAAAGAGAAAAAAAGCTTCAAGTTATACCTTCACGAAAAATTGAAAAGGAAAACACAAACAACTTGCGGTGACAGAGACAGGATTAGACGAGACTAGAAATGAAAAAAAAAGGAGGACTTCTAGAAATTTTTTTGTTTCAATTCGTGTCACTTGAATTCCATAAGCTAAGATGAAACTAACAGACTTGGAATAGCTAATTCAAACAAGGATTAACAGAGGGGAAAAATCAAGTATATAAGCTGAATTCTAATTCAAGTAATAAATAATTTATATATATATATATATATATATATTTTCAACGCAGAAGTTGATTAATGAACGCTCGTTTCTTCGACTTCAAAGCATGCGTGATAAATTTGCTAAAGACAGATAGCAAGTACTTGAACTTGAAGAAGTGGGAAGCATCAGAAATATGTATACGTTATAGAAATAAATCCTTTTCAAGAGGAAGAAAAAATGATAATAAGAAAGGTTGGTAACAGTTTACAAAATGTTTTATGCGTTTTGTAAATAACGTTTTTGCTAAGTATATAAATATGTTTGGTCTTATTGACAAGACAACCTAAGGTCGGATAGCACAGTTGGCTAGTGCGCATGACTGTTAATCATGAGGTCGAGGGTTCGAGTCCCTCTCTGACCGTTTTTACTTCATTAATTTTTACTATTTTTAGTTTTAGTAATAAGAACAATATTCTATTAATATTTTACTAAGAATGGAATAAATAAACAGTCTTTAGTGGCTTTTAGTTTACTAGTTTTTGATGAGTTCCATAGCAGCTTTGGTAAATTAAAAAATTCTACATATCCACATGCGTTCGCTTGGTCATGAACTATTATCTTATTTACGTACTCAACTTCTTCATTTTATCTTTTGTTCAACTCATATAGATTCGTTTCTTTTATACATCGCACGTAGCACGAATGAATTGCATCAATCGACTGTTTGTTTGCCGCGACTTATGCCAATCAAATCGATTTTATCCAAAGAAAACTTCCTATTTAGGAACTCGATGGGTATAATTATCTCCCATAGGAATGATTCTATTACTGTTCACGATCTTTATTTTCCTTGACTTGTCGTGCAATAGCCTTTAAGAATTGTAAAGCACCAACCTCGTTGGGGGAAGAGGATTCGTCAGGAGATAATCCTAGAGCGGAAATCACCTCAGAACCGTTGGGAGAGTTCAGAGTTTGACTCAACGATCTAACTGCCTGGGCATATTGAGGACTATTTAAAACTTCCATTACAGCTTCCGGAGTGGCAGGCGTGTCAGGAGGAAGAAAGGGCATCAACTGTTCAATTACTCCTTCCTGGCCTACTAATTCTCTAACATTGGAGGGCTTCAACACGTCGGTCAAGTCCACCGTACTAAGAGAACGCTGAGAAGAAATATTATTTAATAAGTTCCGAACCGTTTCCGAAGCAGAAGCTTCATCCAAATGTTCATCTTGAGTACCTGGAGCAGAAAGTTGTTCTTGATTGGCACTTTCAGTTTGTCCAACTGCGTCGACATCCATTGCGTCCGAAACCGTAGCTACATCTGACTGCACAGATTCTTGAAAGTCTTGACCATGAATCAAAGAATTTATCCGAGAAGCATTGGTATGATCATTCGAAGCATCTATGTCCTGCATCCAGTAGAACAAAGATAGCGAAGAAGATGGGTATTTTAACACGTAGCCTCTTCCATTCTGGCATTCTTCAATCTTTTCAAAGTTGCATTCTGATGGAAACACAACTATATCCTGTGTCATTCGTTAGCATGTATTGTTAATGTAACGCCACGCCCAGCTTTCTCTTTACATACGTCTTCTGGTGCATCCATTTCATTTCTCTTTCCCCATTGAAAATGTGTCAAACCATCTGCGTCTCTGCTCATAGAAATAAATCTACCCTTCGTTAGTTTTTTGTTCTTTCGTTCCATTCGCCTTTTCTTACCCTTTCGCAGGATCCGCTCGCAGCGTTTTTGTTCCTGGAACTCTACGAAGCTTCCCAGCTTTGAAAGTTATCAATGACATGCTGAAAAACCGTAGCAAGCTGCAACTATGTGAAAGACAGAATCTTTGATTTTCTATAGGAGGTTTTTACAAAGTCAAATAGTATGGTTTCACTAACTCGTCTTAAACTGATTTAGTACCTTCGTTGCGATGCCCTATAGTGTTCGTGTCTAATATTACAAGTTGAAAGTGAATGTATAAATTGGTTATGAGTCTATTTACTTTATAAATTATTCTTTCATCAATTCTTTAAAATTATTCTCTCTTTGTGACTGAATTGTCTTTCTCTTTTGAAGACATAAATTTGTATGCGTTGCTTGACTGAGCTGAGCGTCAATACATGATACTCTGCAGTTGTAGTAGTATTTTATTTAATCACCAGCTTTTCTTTTTCTATAGTTTTGTTCATAGTTCTTTTGTTTCGTTTTCTTTTTTGCTGCAGATTGGCCCTGCCATGCTACACGTAAATAGATACTTTTTGACACTTGGAAAAATCATGAACCAGCGTCTTGGGGACTGAACCTAAGAATAATTTAGTTTTAACTACAAATATATCTTTTCTCTTGAAATCTTTTGTAGAAGACACTATTTAGCTAATTGATTCTAATTCATTATTTGATCTAATAAACAACATATGTTAATGTTATATTGTTATTGATTTAAGAAAATATGGGAATATTAGTTTACATCCTGATCGATGATTATGAAAATATGCAAAAGTTGTTTTACCTTATGAATCATAAAGAGTATGATCTCCTTGAACAATGCTTGGTGCAATCTTCATCAGATTGTCGAATTCAATATGTTTAAATACATGAATTCCATGCATCACATAAGAGATTCATAAACCTTTCTCTACTACTATTTTACTGTCCATGCTCAATTCAACATAGACTACTACCACTATTCAGTATATGCGATTCACAACCTATATTCATTGTTTTCTATATTTCGTTTTAACTCTTTAGAACTTAATATAATGTAGTGTGGATCCATCAAGTTATTCTTTTGCCATTAAATATATAAGTAACCAAAGGCATCTGGTTCTTTTTCAGATTTGTACTTCTGTATCAATGCATGATTCCGGCGAAAAATGAATGACTCTTACAGTCTAGAATTTGATAAACATTGAGACCAGTAATACCAAACTAAGTTGTACCAGTGTGAAGGTGACTCTTGAAGATGCACTTTCTTCTTCCTCCTGTTCTTCCTTGTCTGGAAGGTTAGCCTTTGAACTGTTTGTAGTATTTGATGCTGGCTTAACCTTGGGACGCTTAGGAGCAGTATATTCATTTCCATCATGATGATGATAAGGAGACCACATATTTGTAGGTCCATCAATACCCAACGGTTCTCCAGCGCCCTCTTCCAAATAAATTTTAGCTTCTTTGGGCATAGGAGGCAAAACATCCCATGCTTGAAAATAGGTAGAGTTTCTAGGGCATTCACTTGGACTGGAATTCTCTCGGTAACCTCCATCTCCCTTTGGATTTGGTACCTTTTGAAATTGCTTCATCAATGTGACACAATTCTTAGATATCTTGCGGTTTTCATTATCGTCAATGATAACAAGACCATAGTTATTCGGTTCAGCGGAGTACTCGTATACCAATCCTCCAGAAAACGATTCAGTCATTTCAGGGGAATAGATGGCCTCAATTTCCGTAAATGGACGATTTGGTGTTTGATCTTCAAAGATTTCAACAGTGTTGCAACCAAACTCAGACAAAAATAGAGGAATGGAATAGTTGCTGAACTCTCTAATGCGATCAAAATATCCAGAAACGCTCATGCTGGAATGGCCACACCATTCATACATGTTAAAAGCGTAAAAATCTGCACGTTCTTCTTCATTTCCGCAGTTGAAGTAATGAGCCAACTCAAGTCTATTTTCAGCTATGTCCGCTGCAGAATAACCAACTGGGATTTGTCTACTAGCATGTTTCTTGATGTAAGCCTTGACATCTCTAGTTGTAGCTTTGACCCAAGTAATGGCTGTCGTTTCATGGTCATTTACGACTTCATTGCCAGAGAAGAAGCCAAGCACATTATCATAGTCTTTAAAAGCATCCACAGTAGAAAATACGTGTTGTAAATAAACTTTATTGTAAGATATGGCTGGATCAGCTCTTGAAATCGAATGGCGAAAAGTGTTAAGATCAAGAATGACATAGATTCCAGCTTCCTCGAAAGCCTTCATACAAGTATCATGATCAGCAGCATTATCCACTTGATATACTCTGATGGTGTTGACCCCCATTTTCTTAAAGATTTCGACATCTTTTAAGCACGAATTGGTAGCCAACGGGTCAACTAATGAAGAAGAACCACCAGGCTGATAGTCTACACCACGAAGATAGAATCTCTCACCACTCTCAGAGTCAAAGAATGCGTTTCCCTTGATAATAATAGGACTGGTTTTAGCAAGAGACCCAATGGCTCCGGATCCTAAAAGTAAAAGAGCATATACTAAACGACGACCGAGAATCATTGTAAAAATACTGCTTTCGTCTTGATAAGTATGTAGAATACAGTTGAGTAACTGAGTAAATATGCGTTAATGTTAAATATTATCATGAGCCATATCCTTTATATATTTACGAAATCATGGCCAGATGTAAACAAACAATGGTCGAAACCCTCAAACCTAAAAGACACACCCACACAAACAACCGAGTTCTAAACAAATAAAAACATTTGATTGGTTATAATAAATCTATGTTGTTATGACCATTAGGTCGATATTAACAATAACAAGGTGTCATTAAGAAATTCAATTTCTAGCACCCCAAACCCTTTCCTTATATTTATATTCACAAGCATAATTAATCCTTATTTTTAGCAGCCTCCTCTCCTCTCAAGGAAACGATGCGGTTCAAAACAAGTTCGTCCTGACCCTTACTAGTCTTGTCTAAACAAAAGTAGCCAACGCGCATAGCTTGGAAACGGACACTTTCAGGACTTCCAGCTTTATCTACTCCTGCAGATGAGTCAGTCTTTGGCCAAGGAGCAGACTTAATGAGATCGTAAATTCCGGTCTCAACCATAGAATTCTTCAAGACAATTTCACTTTCCGGATTTAATTGGTCAGCCAAATCATGGTCCTTCAAAGCGGCAGGATTATCGCACTTAAACAGATTGTTATAAAGACGGGTTTCCGACAAGCGGACGGGACTGCCGCTTGCACTATCTTCAGAAACCCATTGAACAAATGTTTTAGGTTTCATCGAAAGGCTTTGATCGTACTCAGCTATGATTTCTACCACCTTTCCACTATCGTCTTTAATAATCTTCTTAGCTACGACAGGGCAAGAAGCTCGGAAGAGACCGACAGGTTGATTTAATGTCAAACGGAAAAAGTCACTGGAGGCTTCTTCACGGAAATCCGAACGATCGATATAAACAGTCTTAGTCAAATACTGAGTTCGAGAACCCATGGAAGGATTCTTGGGGTTGAAGGGTATTTGAATCTCTTCTCTATAATCATCGGCAAGATTTTCAAGGGTAATCTTGACAGGATCGGGGAGAAACATAAGACGCGGGACGCTATTTTCAAGGAAAGAACGAACACAGTTTTCGAAACGAGCAACCTCAATATTACTAACGGCAGTCGTTACACCAACATCGCTAACAAATTCAAGAATAGCACCTGGGGGAACACCACGACGACGAAGAGCAACAAGGGTATACAAGCGAGGATCGTCCCAGCCGTGAACATAACCTTCATTAACGAGTTTCATAATCTTTCTTTTACTCATAAGGGTTCCCACGACATTCAAACGACCATATTCTCTCTGAGCAGGGCAATACACCTCGAGAGAGTTACAAAGCCACTCATAGCTAACTCTAGAAAGAATAAACTCAGTAGTACAAAGGGAGTGGGTAATGTTTTCAAATGAATCCACTAAACAATGAGTAAAGTCATAGGTAGGATAAATTTTCCATTTATCACCTGTACGAGGATGAGGAGTGTCGAGAACACGGTAGGCAATAAGATCCCACATTTGAGGATTGCCATCATCCAAATTTTGTTTCATTCGCAAAATTGCTTCTTTAGGTTTGTATTTTCCATCTCTCATATTACGAAACTCTGCCAGGGATTCCTCAATTGGACGATTACGGTGAACGCAAGCATATCTAGGGCCACGCTCTTCACCACCTCTTGCCTTTTTGATTTCAGCGTCGGTGCAGTGACAAATATAGCCTTTATCTTTCTTAATCAGCAACTCGGCAAGAGCATAGAGTTGATCGAAATAATCACTGGAATAAGTGATCTTGTAAGGAGAGAATCCAAGCCAGGAAATGATGTCCTTTATGCTTTCAAAGTATTTTGCCTCTTCAGCTTCGGGATTGGTGTCATCAAAACGTAAATAGCAGATACCTTTGTGATGGCGAGCAAAGCCGAAATTGACAGCAATAGCTTTTGAATGGCCGATATGAAGATATCCATTTGGTTCGGGGGGAAATCTAGTGACTACACCACCACCAGTTGCCTGTAAGTGTTCCTTCATGCGTTCAGGAATGAGCTGAGGATTTCCGCCAGGCTTGTGTAACTTTGCAAGAAAGCCTTCTTCAAACATATTGTAATTGCTCTTACTAGAGCTTGTTGTACCCTTCTTCTGTTCTTTGGTATCTGCCTTTCCTTTGTTTCCCTTGCCCTTCTTACCAGTTGGAGCGTCTCTTTCATCTTTTGGACCCAAAAGCTCCAAATACTTCTTGTCGAGTGTTTGCTTAACATCCAGTTGAGAAGCCCATTTCAAAATAGGATGCTGGCGCAAGGCGGATGAAGTTGCATTGAAAGAGGCATATCTTTGTTCAACGATCTTTTCTTCATTTTCTTTTATGTACTGACCAACCAACTCAGTAATTTGTTCTGGTGTACAGGTGACACCAACACCTAATTCCTTGTCGAATTCTTCTTCATTAATGGAATCTGTATTTTTACAATATCCGATAGCAGCATTTACTTGGAGAGTGCTCTTTATATCTCCCTTGACTATCTTGGAGCAAATATATGGTTCGTGTTTTTGCAACTTTGTGTCTTTTTGTTTCAATGATTCATTTGCCAAGGTCATTAACAAGTTACCAACGGAACGATCACATCCTGACTCCTTCAGTTTGGCCTCGTCAATTACTCTGTTCAAAGCAGAACTCAACTTTTTGTTTTTCAGCGTATCTTTGACACGAGTTTCATTCAACCCAATGCTCATAAACTTTCTATCCAACTCTTCCACGCTCACGTCCATAATGCTAGCACCTTATTGAAGAAATATAAACTTGTTTTCCCGGTGAAATCACCTCTTTATGCCGGTAAAGAAAGCAAGGAAAGTAGAAGGTAAAATCTTCGTTCTTAACTCTTTTGCCTTTAACGAAAGATGCGCTAAGTTTTATTCCAAAACCGAATATACATTTAGTGTGTGTTTGTGATAAACCTTATATATGTTTAGTGGATAATACAGAAAAACGTTAGTAAACAAGGAAGCCTTGAATTTTTGAAAATCCATAAATTAACAAAAAAAAGAAAAAAGAAAGAAGAAACACGAACTATCGAGTGATTAAATTCTTAATGCATTTTTGAATACTTATTGAAATAAGTCCAACTGAATGTAGACTTCTTTTGCTTTATTATTGACTCATCCTTGCTCATACTGTGAATATTATCATACATACAAAAGCTTGGCAGCAAGGATTCACTTTCATCTATTATGATTAAATATTGATCTATTTACCAATAACCATTTTGTAGCTCATGAGACGCTACATTCATTGAAAGGAAGTTAACTCCGTAAGTAAATAAAATAGGGAATTTGAAACATCTGAGATGTAGTACCACTAAATCCTTACAAAGAAGAAAAGGTTTTCGTCTTAAAAAAAAGGGTTTCCTTCCACCTAGTTGGCTAGCTAAGAAAACAACTTGCTTTTGCAAAGATATTAATTTATTGATATAATCCATATAATGCTGCGAGTCGATACCGATAAAACATATTAGATACTTACAGAGACTTACATTACTGAGCATTTCTAAACGAAAACTCCCCTTTCTTTGTTGCTTGTTCTTGTTAAAACAAAGATTTCTTCATCTATCCTTGTTTGTTTATTAACGAAAAATACCCTATTACCTTAAATATTCGCTTATGCATAGCTTAATGGCTAGAAATTGCTGTCTAACGGTACATTGTTAGTTGCCTTCAACAAATACGCGACTGACAAAAACATGCCAGCGGCTTCATTAATAACACGTCTACGAAAGAAATCTGGGAATCAGGTAAAAATTGATAGTATATTTTCTAAAAGAAAAGGTTCCTCTGGATCCATTAGCAAAAAGAACGAACCTTCCACGATTCCAAGTCGGCATGCTCCATTGAAGATTTTTTCGTTTCAAATTCCTCCTATACTTCCATTAAATGATTTCACAGTATGCAATTGCATTGTAGAATTGATTCAGCATATGTTTGAGGATGCTAATCTCACTCGAGAAAGCCAATTGATGATTGCAAACTGCCCAAGAGTGATTGTAGAAACACAACTTGCTGGAGTATATCATTCTGATTTTACCAATGTGTCAAGGGAATTAGAAAAGGAAATTCAAATTGGTAATGTACGTCGTTTATACCTACATCGTTCCGATAGTTTCTCAGGCGAATCTTGCCTGGTATTACGATCTGAGTTGAATGAAATATATCAGCTCTACTTGAACAAACACAAAGATAATAAAGAATTACAGCTTTTAATTACAAAATTGAGAGAATTTTTGTGCACACATGGATCTACCTCATACTCCTCCGAAGAACTAAACCTTTCCTTACAGGAGAGACGGACTTTGACGACTGCTGGATTCCTAACTCTGGATGGTACTGATTCCTATGGGATATCTCTTCCGAACTTAGGTGTTTTTACCCACATTTTGCATTCAAGTCGCAAAGATCTTATTCAGTTTTTTAAGAAGAAGCCGTTCTATGAATGTATTGAAGCTTCTTTGTTACAAAGAAACATTTCCGTAACTGCAAGGAGAAAACACGAAACTTTTTTTGGTTGGAAATTTCGGCTTTGCGATGCCATTGGTGCCGGATTGATTGACGCTTTTATGACTTCGTGTGGCAGAGCATATCGTCTTACCAGGAGAGGTTTGGAATATAAGTAATATGTCGTCCTTCTTTTTGTCAGTATCCCTTGTTTTTTCCTTTTACGTTCATTTCCCTTGGTTTGTCCTTCACTTTATTTATTCAGCTAATAATATTTTCGGATTGTGCCATATGCTGTATAACTATATTTGCTTCAATTATCATGTTCCTTCTTGCCAATCGCTTCAAAAATTTTGTTAGCTATCTCTTGATGAACATAAAAATACTTCTTTGGATGGTTTCTCGTTTCAATATTTGTAAATGGTCGGCTCGTAGCAGCATCTGGAGTTTGTAGATCTTCAACATTGTACTTAGATTCCTTCCTTCTTCCTAGTAAATTTAAAGTAGTGAAAGTAATAGAATTATCCTTTAGTACACCTTCCGTTACATAGGACTTTCCCGCCCAGTGGATCAATCCCGTAGAAATTGTTGAAGCAGCACAAGCTAAAAATTTAAATTAATGTATGAACGAATATTAACTCTTACCTGTCGAAATCATAATCAGCCGTGTTGCAAGCCCCATGCCTTCTGCGTCCAAAAGCAGCATCAACGGAGATATCATATAAGTTAGCCCTAAGGAACCAACAGAAAATTTTTTGATATTAGCTACTGCCGTTTTTAACGGTGCTTCATAATGATAACTTATTTTCGTAGGAGAAGTACTTAATTGTCGCACTGTAGCTTTTATGAGTCCCGGTCTGATCATTATTGTAATACAATGATAAATAAATCTTGTCTAAATTAATTAGGTATTTAAATTTAACAGCAAAAACCGTAGGTACTTTTGATTAAGGCCAGCTTGAAGACACGCAGGTGGTCAAGGACCTTCCGTTAGGTAGTACGGGCAATCACACTTTTTCTGACTCAAACTAATATTTTAATTTAAAAATTATTTATGAGTTTACTTTCGCAACATTAGTTAGATAAATTATTTAATTGTCTTACACCAAATTATCATTAGTTATTCATAACATCTAACATATGTTTCACTGTTGCTCATAAAAAACATTACGAGCAATTTCAAACGACTATACAATATATAAAAGTATTTATGCTTTACGCAAATTATGATTGGGTTTAGTTGCTGACGATAATTTAGACTTACTCCATAGGTATTGCCTTTGCCAGACTTTCCACGAAACAAGAGGCGGTATCCATGTCTTGTTTAGCTGTTTCAGCAATCAAAAGGATTTTCGCAATTCCAACATCAACCTTTTCTGTACCCGTGTAGCCTTGTAGTCTTTGTAAAATATCTGCACGGACATTCGTATCAGCAAAATAATCTATAGACTGTAATACACGATCTAATTCTTCAATATTTCCGACATTGGGCACAGCCAATTCAGCATCAAAAGATTTTGTCATGTCAATCCGAGAAAGCATTGTTCTCTCTGAACTGGTAGCAAGGATAAGCAAACGGTGGCCCTTAGGGGGTTGCTTTTTGAAAAGCACCATTAGAGTTTGAAGCAACGTGTTTGAAAATCGAGGACCAATGGGAACCCAATCAATAAGACGCTCTATCTCATCCACAACGATTACACTAAGAGGACTTCTGTAGCTATCCTCAAACACGCCGTTCACATAGGATACTCTAGCATTTTCACTCATGCCTACCATACTTTCGGCAGTCACTAGCTTAATAAACGGAAAATCGGATCCCAAAGCAATAGTTGCTGCCAATGCAGTTTTACCTGAAGCTATAGGTCCTGACAATAAAACACTCATTAAACGAGTGCGTTCGGAGTTTTTAACCTGCTGAACAAATAACTTGCCTTCCGTAAAGATTTCTTCAATATGCTTTGCATAATTAATAAGACCACCCTGTACACGACTCTCAAGTTCTTCTTCACTAACACCAAATGCGGGATGAACTTCATTAAGAGCATTCAAAAAATCGTTGCGATTAACTTTAATGTTTTCCAAATCTCCAGAAACAGCAGCAGTAGTACCTACTTTGATGTGACGATAGAATGCAAAACTCGAAGCGCTTTTAATTAGACCAGCAATTTCAGCACCAGAAAAGTTTTTAGTGAGACTTGCCAATTCCATCAAATCCACATCATCCTCCAAAATTCCGTTGGAAGCCATGCGTCCAGTATGAATCTTCAAAATTTGCAGACGTCCATGTTCATCAGGAAGCGAAATTTCAACATGAACTTCCAAACGGCCAGGACGAACGAGTGCTTCATCAATCATGTCTTTACGATTAGTCATACCAATCACGAGTATATTATTTAATTGATCAACACCGTCCATCTTCGCAAGTAACTGGTTAACTACCTGATCACCGACTCCAGTATCACCTCCAGAGCTGCCTCTCTTCTTACAAATGGCATCCAATTCATCAAAGATAATAATATGGAGTCCAGATTCCTCTCCACGCTCACGGTATTCACGTTCGGCATCGGCGAAAAGTTTACGGACATTTTCCTCACTTTGACCGACATACTTATTTAAAATTTCCGGACCATTTACAATTTTTGGTTCACGGGCATTAAGCATTTTACCAATTTGACGAGCAACCAATGTCTTACCCGTTCCAGGAGGGCCGTAAAGCAGAATACCCTTTACGTGACTGATACCTAATTTCTCAATCATACCTGGCGGAAAAAGGCGTAAAGCAAATGCACGACGGAAAATGGCACTAAATTCGGTATCAAGACCACCAATTCCCATGTCTTCAAATTTAAAACCAGGTTGTAAAATAGCATTTGTAGCTGGACGCTTCATACTAGCCTTAAGACGTACTGAACTGTTAGCACCTTTAGTGAAATGGATTTCTGTTTGGGCAGTTAAAATTCCCCGAGAATCAGGATCCGTTTTGGTATTGATCCCTTGATCTGGCGAATCCGAGAGTAAGAGATCAACACATGAAATGGAGCGAACAGTAGCCTTTATATTAAAGGACTTGAAATCAAAGACAATTTTTTGTCCGGGAGCGAACACCTGATTTTGATAGCTATTGGCGAACAGCTGAGACATCTCTTCCCCATCCAAAGCTTCGTTGGTTGTGCGATTACGATTTTGAAAATCAACTTCTAATTCTAGAGCACTCAAGTAAGGTGCTCCATTGGGTCCATAAGGGTCATAACTTGCAACGTTCACTTGTTGGTTGAGAGACCAAGAAGCCCATTCTCGATGAGGTTGTGAAGCTCCCAAGCATCCTTGTGGAAATCCAGGCACAGGCTTTGTACTGAAAACTCTCAAATTGTCAACAATGATGTACTGCTCACGAAAATCCATTGGTGAGACAATAATACAATTCGTCAATGCATCTTCTGTAGAAGTAGCTTTCACAATCCGAAAAGGTCCTGAAGGACGGCGTACATCTACGTTTGAAGGCATTGGTAACTTTTGTTCAAAAGGGTTAGATGATGATGAGTGAGTACTCTGCCGTGAATAACTGCCACTCAACGGTTTTCTAGTTGGTGGCTCTACCGGCGATTTATTTGACATAAAAGGAAGCTTCCACTTCGAATCCATGATATAACTTGATGAATGGCAGATTTCTCTACCTTGCTTTTATAGTCAGAACTTTGCTTTAGGAAGATCCAATATGGTGTTTACCATGTGTTACTTAGTCCTTCGTTCATTCCGGGTAGCGTATGATTTCGTTTCCTGTTACTCAACACACTATACTGATGAAAAACAAAGTAAAAGCTAATAAATGTGTAAAAATTCATATCCAAGTTGATTTATTTAAGTATAACATTTTTATTCTCAAAATCATTGAGTGCCACTTGCAAATATCATATAAAAGTGACCTTAAAACGATATTACAGTTTTGAATTGTATAATTATATTATACTAAGAAATATTAATATAGATAATTTCACAAAAAAACAAAATGTGCGTTTGCTTATACTATTAAATTTCCTCTGCTACGATGTCGTTTTACTATTCAGCATTTATAGTGAGATATATCCTCAGTCAATTTGACAGTATGGGTTTCAAGTGTTTGGTTAGGAAAATTGACTTGGAGACGACAGGCGATTTCACCCATTACTTAACTCTGTTTTAAAATTAACACCGGGAATCTTTTTGTATCAGTTTAATAGGTTTACATTGGATTGTGACTCCATTGCTTTGTCGAATATCCTCACTCTGGCTTGAGTTTGGCTTCGAATTCGTAGCACTAGCATGTTCTGCAATGATAAAAAATATCAAAACAATTAGCATTGATTCAACTCGATTTTGCTGAACCGTACAAAAATCTCACCTTATATGTGAAATGCGTATCAAAGCAAGAAAAGTCATGCTTTTACAGATTGTAGGATAGTAACTTCAATCGGGCGTCTATTACGTGCAAAAATATGCTTGCATCTTTAACCAGCGTTTTTAGACACTTTGAAAACGTGAACGAAATTGAATAAAATAGAACTTCGACTTCACTAGTCTAAGAAAAATTAAAGGTTGTGGTTTTACTTCATACGATATACAAAAAGCGTGCATACTCTTTGAGTATCACAATCATAAGCAAAATATCTTTTCTTCTTCTTTTAAACATAGCTATATCACTCAGGATTTAAATCTTTGATAGATTTTGCTATTAAGGATGCTGTCTGTCATAATAAAAGTTTCATGAACATTTACAAATATTCCTCCCACGGGAATACATTGTCAAGCCATCCATAGTAAAAAGAAATAAACAAGTATATAAACCTAAAAGAATATACATACCAAAGAGATCACGTCCGTCCACCTTCGGCACGATTAGATAAGGAAATTATGAATATACGATGCACATAAATAATTTTTTTTTTTTTTTTTTTTTTTTTTTTAAAAAAACATAGGGTCAAAAATCTGAAAGCAATTAGTCACCTCAACCAAATTGTAGTATATGACTTGAAAGGAATTCCTAACGATCCGCATTTGCTGTTAATCAACATCTGCGATTCCACAACTGGTTGTCTCAATTGAGCCTCTGGTAATATATTTTAGATACGACAGAAACCAAATGCTTTAAAGTTATTGGTTTTGATAAATATGTATCGAAACCGCATTCTTCACAATTTGCGGCTACATGCGACAAAGCATTTGCACTCAAAGCAACAATTGAGGTAGGCTCAAGTCCACCTTGTAGCTCATGTTTCCGTATTTCTATACACGCTTGGTAACCATCCATAACTGGCATTTGCAAGTCCATTAATATCAACCAATAGTAACCTATATCTTTTTGCTTCCACTCTTCTAAACACTCCAAACCATTCATAACAACATCATATTCAACTCCCATCTTTTCCAAAAAACGACTAATGACCTTTATATTAATAATATTGTCTTCTGCTAAAAGAACCCTGAAACCGGAATTCCTCATATCGTTTCGCAAATTCTCGGTTTCGGCTTTCTGTTGGCCAGCTAACCTTTCAGAGACTAGACTGCTTCGCCGTACATTTCCATCTATTTGAGGGCAATCTTTATAAAAAATGGGGAAAAGTTTTGAAGGCTTTAATAAGCGTAAAACAAAATGGATTCTCGATTGATCAATTTCATGCTTTGTAAATACTTCCGAAAGAGCCGCTTTTTGCTTTGTACTGACAATGACAATAAATTTTGTACTTTCGTAAGATGCACACTGTTGAAGAGAGCGAATAAAAGAGATATAGTCTTCGTTCCTAGATAGATTTAAGACTATATGACTCACATTAGACTGAATCGGTGTTTCCACCAATTGACTATACGCCTTTGTGGGATCCTTAAAGGATACAATATCTTTTAATGTTTTCTCATCCAATAAAGTCTGAACAAAATTCACCAATGCAGCAGCACTAAACTTTGTATATGAGACAACAATAACCAAAGCTTTATAATTTAAAAGCAAGCCCTCTGATTGAGAACGATAGAGCTTCCAAAACAATATATTGCTAGGGTCAAGAGATGTCGAGCAGCAGCAATAGTTTGAAGTAGGAGCATACGGATTACTATATCCGTTATAATTTGCACTGTTTATCTTCTCCGCATAGTTGTCATCTTTATTGTTTTTATTTGCATCTTCAGAGTGCGATATTACCTCAATATTTTGGAACTTTGATTTTACAAATCCATCGTCGCATGATTGCAGGTTTGAGTCACTTTTCCTCTCAGGCATTTCATAGGGATGAAAACATACTGGACAACATCCATCTGGCATATCATAATTAAGGTACTCTTTGTCCACTTTAAATTTGGCAGTCCATATAAAATGCGTTCCTACACCTTTGATACTTCTACACTTCATTTCCCCGCCATGTAGCTCAGCTAACTCACGAGAAATGACTAATCCTAAGCCAGAACCTTGTTTGCGAGCATCAGACGCTTCAATCTGAGAAAAGGGCTTGAATATGCGCGACTGATCTACGGAATCAAAACCTGGTCCAGTATCAATACATTCCCACTTCAGCACCACGGACTGCTCTGTATTTAACCATTTCAGCACGGAGCAGAGTGTAATTACCTCACCCGTATCGGTAAATTTAATAGCATTGCTGATTACATTTAAAGCAACCTGACGAATTCTGTTACGGTCCCCAAAAAGTACATCCGGTATATTATGGTCAACTATAAAGTTTAGTTCAATTCCTTTATAAAATGCTAATGTGCTTAATGTCTCATTAGCATCCTCCATCAAAGCACGTAACGAAAATCTTTCGCTAGATAACTTCACCATCCCTGCTCTAACTTTGCTCAGATCCAAGATCTCATTTATGACAGCCAGCAAAGATTCAGCTGACTGCTGAATGACACGAGCATAATCTGTTTGTTCTGAAGATAGTTCGGTTTCCAACAGAAAGCTAACCATTCCAGTAATACCGATAAGGGGAGTACGAATCTCGTGAGACATATTTGATAAGTACTGCATTTTATCCCGTACAATTCTATGAGCCTCCACATTCGCCTCTTTTAGTTTTTCTTCTAATACTTTATGATCATGAATATCGGTGCAAGTACCCAACCATAAGTTAGAGTTATAATCCGCAGAGTTGTTTACACAGACAGACTTCACCAAGTGCCATCGGTAACAGCCGTCAGTTGAACGAAATCGTATCTCAGCGACGTATGTGTTATCCACATCAGATCCATTGCCAGAATTAGGAAGTAAACATTTCGCTCGATCATCTGGATGAACTGCAGAAAGGTAACATAGACCTAAGCTATTTTCGAAGGACAATCCTGAATAGCTAAGCCATTGGGCATTAGCGTATATTATACCATTTTTAGTGCTAGCGGCGAACACAATCTGAGGAGAAGCTTCTGCCAATGATCGATAATTATTTTCATTAGCAGCAGCAGTCGACTGCCTCTGAACTTCCAATTCAGCAACTTTTTGCTCATGTACATCGGTCATTGTACCGAAAATATGTAATATCGAGCCACTGCAATCAAGCATCGGAACAGCTCTGAAAATAAAGAAACGGTATATACCATCAAAGCGTTGAAGCCGTATTTCTTTAGTAAAGACCTCAGCAGAAGATAAGAATTGTTTCCAACCCTTCATGAAACTCTTAAAATCATTTGAATGTATGCAGTTGAATTGCTTTTCTAATAGTTCATCTAAACTAAGACCGCAATATAATAACATTCGACCATTGGCCCAAGCAATGGTTCCATCTGAGGGATCCGCAATGAAGACATGAACGGGAATTGAGTCTATTATGCTTTTCAAAAGAGAAAACTGAGGCGAAGCGCTACTAGATTGAATTTGTTGTCGTTCGTTACCATCATTCGGCTTCAATAGAGTATCATCTGATTTTTCCGTCTTTAAGCATTCTTTCTTGGGAAACGTCTCTTTTGTTTTCTGGAATTTTTGATTAAAACCTCGTCTTTTTTTATATACTAATCTCTTCAACCTTTGCAAAGAGGTGTGTTTTCTTAATGACGAGCTATTAACAGCAATTTTTGAAGATAACTTCGTGTCTCTATCGTATATAAAATGAAAATTTGTTAGCTTATCTTCACTTAATTTCATATTTGTATTCTCGCGGCAATGTTGACAAGCGTCTGCATTCTCAGATTTATTAAAACGATCGCCATGTTTTGCTCCAGCTGTTGACTCTGCATGAGAATTTGGCTGAAAATTATCATGACTGTGAAAAGAAGGAAGGTTACTTGGGATCATAGTAGCTTGACAATTTGTGTAACCTGCGAAAAGGAAAGGAACCAAACGATTGACGCATGATATAAGGTTTTCAGGATAGGGAACCAGATTTGATTTGAAAGAAAGAATTGCTACAGGAAGTCGATTAACTGAAGAATTAGAATTCACACTTCCTGGGTATACGAGGGGAATATGAACTAAACTCAATGCGGTATCATGCTCGAATTGGAATTGGCGATTAAAATAGTCGTTAACTGTTTCATTATGGAGATCTTTAGCATCGCTAGAATTCTCATCCTTCTTCTCGTTAGAATCCAAAAAAGAAGCTTCTTGAAATCCCAGGAAAAAAGGGTTTCGATTAGACTCAGGTTGAACGGCGGGGCTACCCAAAGGGGATTTTGACCACGGCGACAACAAGCTTTGTTCAAACTCGTCGTACTGATCCTCATGAGCATTTTTCGAACTGAACCACTCCGACCAATAACCATAATTGTTTGTATCTCCATGTAAATTATTTTTAAATGAAAGCGAAAATGGAAATTTACCTGAAACGTTATCTTCTTTCTTTTTGGGATTATCGACACCACCTATAGCTTGAGGCTCACTAACTCCCTCTGTAGAAGAAGTACCAGTGGAAATTGGAGACGGTTGACTGAGAAATGGAAGTCGTCTAGTATATACTAAGGTTGTTTTTCGTTCCAGAACCGCTTGAACGGTATTATGATCTATCAAAGGGCTTTCCACTGGTGGTAATCGTTGGGAATTATAAATTGTGTCCCCGGTAGTGGTAGAAGGAAGTATCCTAGATGAATCAAACTGTTTTGAGTTTGATTTGTTGTCATTTTCAAAATTGTTGGTATCATTCTTTTTATTATATGCTATAGAACCTTGATACAAACACCTTAGCTTCCACGGAGTATTATAGGGATCTGAAACATCGCACGGTTCTATTAAAGATAATTCGAGTGCAGAATATTGTTGTGTAAAAATGTCGGTAATATTTCTCCAGAGGTGAGAAACTTCGGTAGTAGATACTAACAAAAACGCAGATTCAGTGAAATTAGGATACTGACTTTCAAGAGGATCCGAAGGCGCACGTGACCATTCGGAAAAGTAGTCAGCTTCGAATGGCTCATATAAAGAAGAATTTGTCGAATCTCGGCTACCAATATTTGCTGAAAGATTTTCTTTGCTACTAACAGAAGTTGATCCACCTAAACCTTTTATTGAATTGGCGGACGAATTGTTCTGTTCTAATGATCGTTGAGAAGGAAAACTATGCGCATTATTGGAGGCAATGCGCGTTTGGAAAAATAAATCTGGTTTATCTAGTGATTGTCTGTGTTGCATTGGAAGACGAGGGTAGTTTAAACTAGAAGAGATACCCTCAGTGGAACTGGATAAGTTCGAAAAAGGCAAAGGATGAAGGCCCTGCGAATTATTTGGAACAGAAGCCGATTCCCCTGATATAGAATCCGCTGGTGATTTATGAGATCCTCGAAAAGAGTTGACGATCTTTGAGGACTTGATAAATTGTTCATCCATAGCAGCTTTTAGCTTGTCTAAATGAGAAGGGATGACATTCTGTGATTCAGACTCTTTAGAAAATCCCATAACTAGTTAATCCAACGCCGGAATTTGCAATGAAATTTCCCCCAGCGGCAGACGAGTGTATTACAAGATTAAAGTCAACAAGATTCAATGCGATGATCGAAAACAAAGTGCGAATAAATCAAAATAAAACACAAATTAGTACACATCCAATAAATTTCAAATATAGAAACTAACCAACATGCACAAAAATCTTATGCTTTACTTAGTCTAGTTAAGCAGCGCGCCAAACAATCAATAGCCAACCGCCAGAGTTTTATGGATAACTTTCTAGCATTCAATTAATCCACTCTAACCGTGAAATGTGCAAAGGTCAAGTTCTAAATCTCCTGGGTTTTTCGAACCCCGTTACCTTTTAGTGAGGCTGAACGACGCCTAATTTTTTGAGGAGAACCCAGCGTCGATATGATATAGTACATACATCTGGTAAGATTGATATTGTCCAATAATGGAAAACCGCGTAAGTACTAATTAATAAGGCATCTTCGAATGTCAGAAAGAAATAGTAGAAAAGAAAAGAAAATTTTTATGACAACAGTTCGACAAAGTAGGATTGTGCCAGTAATAGATTGCCTGTCATTAAGGTAGAAAAAAACGCAGAGCTAGAGACCATAAGGTATATAGTCTTGGTCAAAATGTAGTTATAGAATTCGTAAGTAATGGAGGACTCTCGACTGGTGTTTCCTTTTTTTATTATTTTTTATAAACGAATAAGTAGAAAGAAGTAAACAGCAGCTTCTAGTGTCATTCTCGGTATTAGTGTCCTCCTTGAATCTTTTTTACGACAGTACCACTTCCTGGACGTTTATTAGCGGAAACAGCCTGAAGTAGCCGTTGTTGAACATACACCAAAGACGTTAATGATGTATCCATAGCGCTGAGCTTTTGTAAAAGTAGTTCACGTTCTTGGTTTACCTGGTCTTCGTCGTGTTTTACTACGCTGGACGGGGTTTCAACAGTCGAAGATGTTTGAGAAGTAGCACCCATATCCTCTTTCCTCCGATGATTTTGTACTAACTCGACGTATCGTTTATGAGCATCCCCCAAAGCATCCATAAGATATGAAAGCTGTTGGCGAGTAGAACTTAGTAAGCCATCCCGATCTTTGAGCTCGGTCTGTGCTCTCGCATACAATTGTTCAACGGCCTCCGCCTTGGAAGTGTCAAGAAGCTGTGACCCAACACGTGTCGAAGTGTTATCCATTCCAAAATCCATGTCACGAAACTTGTCTATTGACGTGCTTGCCAGTGAATGGTTTACAAACGTATGATCATGCATCGAATGATTCTCTTCTCCTTCCAAAAACAGATTTGAAGGGTCTTGTTTGCTAGAGAGTTTAAGCTTCTCGAAAAGATTACAATCACAATGAGATAATAACTCTTTGTAAAAGTGCAGTTTCCGCTTCATTTCATCCATCGAAAGCTCTGAATTAACGACCACCTTGTTTTTTATATTCTTCGCACGATTACCAAAGCGAAGCGTAGACAGCGTTTCGCTGGCATTGTAAATACTAGGAGAACAATTGATAATCAGTGTTGTTCGAGAGTTACCTCCCAAAGATTCTTTTAAGATTCTGGTCAGCTTAGAATCACGGTAAGGTATATGACCGTGTTTGTTTTCTGTTAGTGAATTGATAACCATTCCCAAAGTGGAAAGTGAACGGTTGATTTTTTTTGCCTCTTCGAGCGTTTGTCCTACGGCACCGCTTTTACCCACACTTTCGGAACCCGCAAGGTCTACCAGGAAAAGACGACCACGCCTTGTTTCTCCAGATGAGTTATTGGTTTGTACAACCTCTACAACGAATATCGAATGTGATCGAGAGCTAGTGGCATTCATGTTTGTACTAGCGACCGCTCGAGAATTCATCCCTTGATTCAAAATTTGAAATGCTTCTGCTTCACTCGATACATAGACAGTTTTTAGTCCCTCAACATAAACACCCTGAAGTTTGTTTTCATGGACGGTCAAATGATCATTGTCAGCTATCATGAGTTAGTATCTCGAAATCGAACACAAAAAGTAAATATGGCAAACCATACGAGAAAGTAGATCCCGGATTTTCTCCATATAAATTTCCATATAAGAAACCTTCACCTCGTATTCTGTTGTTGAAGGAGACGATCGGATTTTGTCGAAGATTCTATGAAGCATTCTCGGAGTCAAACCCGAATTCTCAGGATCTCCTTCCACACCCTAGTTATTTCGAGATCAGTACATTTCTTGCTTGGACATCCGTCATACCATCATCGTGTACGTTTTCCCAGATCCCGTCTGGCCATAGGCTAAAACGGTACCATTATATCCTTGGAATAGATCTATTCATTAGCAAATAAAATAAGATTATAAAGATTAATGAGGATTAACGGCGAGATTTTTTTCAAGCGTCTTCTGGATTTTCTTACCATCCACTGTAGGTTTGATAGAATATGAAAATAGATCTTCTTGAGTGCTATCGGCTCCGAAGACTCTGTCGTAAACAAAATTTCCTGTGTAGTCATTTGTCTAAACAGTGTTAGCAGAACCGCTTGAAGAGTGTGATACCAAAAGCCAAAAGATTCGGTAAACACATAACTACAAACATTTATATGCACAGTATTTTCATTTAAAGGTGATACAATTTCCTCAAATCCTAAAGATTGCTCAAACGAATTTGATGGACGAATTCTCGAAACAACTTTTACAGAAGTCATTCCATAAACAAATCAAATCTATCGGGTATGACAAAGTCGATTGCAACGATAAATTAAATAAAAGAATTGAAAATATAGAAACAAAGGAGTTCACTCGCTTTAAGGGAAATGAAAAAAAAAATTTGAATGATGAAGAGGAGAGAGTGTGTGTGTCTATTTTGACTTTTTGGATTAGCAAAAACCAACAGAAATATTCGAAATATTAATTAGCAATGGACAATAAAAGTGAGTGGAAAGAGAGGCATTGAAATTCCCTTACGTCCTCCCTGTCAAAATGTCAGTGTTGGTCAGTAGCAGTTGGTATTACAGAGCTATGTAGTCGAGTTTATTCAAGGTGCTTACCTGAAACGAAGATGCATAAAAAAGATTAAAAAGAAAAAGAGAAAGAGAAAGCCAACAAATATCATTCCAAGTTTGAAGGCGAATGCTATTGTTCCCTGCCAAAGTCAAGCACTCTGCATTCCAAAAAGAAGCGTGAAAACACGTTGTGATCCTGTAAACTTCAAACTACTCAAGAATAGATAACTTATAAACTGAAAAAATGTCCTTTTCCGAATTTGGAGTTTCTCCTGTTGGTTTGTTTACTATTGGAATATAGCGTATTTCGTTATTATCTTACTGTAGTTTGTAAGATGATATTTATTTACGTTCATTGAAATCCAGCAACTGAAGAATCGTCGTTTGCAAACGTCTTTCATATTGTTTTCTAATTAAAAAAATAAAGGAACTAGCTGCTTCCAGTTCTTTTGAATTTTCTCCATACCTATTCCATACGCATCTTACTTCATACCCCCACTTACTTCCTTAACCTACATAGAATCACCCCACCTAGGACATACATTGGAAATACAAAAAGTCTTCATCGTTTGATTTATTATCCCCCACGTTTACCTAGAATCACCCCCACCCTGCACCATATACAGACAGGATGGAATAAATACAAGAGAGAGCAGAATATCACTTAACGATTCCGCATGTCGTTTTTATTTGCGAAACGGCCTAAATCAAATCAGGATGTTGTTCGCAATCTTTGTGAGCTATTGCATCGCGTAGAGGGAATTCAGGATAAAAAAAAGGTACGTAAAGGGAGAGGAAAGATGACTTGAAGAATGGTTTTACTAATGTAAACAAATAGTTGTTTGAAGAAATTGCAAAGAACCTTCAAACCTTAAGGATTTCTCTTTGTGGTACTTCAGAAACGGAACCTCACGCAGACCAGGTTTCAGAATTGTCGTTGCAAATATATCAGTCGAACGTGCTTTTGCTTCTGGTGCGAAACTTGAGAAAGCTGGACTTTGAATCCCGCAAGGATACGGGATTAATCTTCAGTGCTATGCTTCGTAGACAAGTAGCTTCCCGATGTCCTACTGTCGACTATCTCATGGGGAATACCAGTATTTTCCCTGTCCTCATCTCCTACTACCAGTACACTGAGTCTGCCTTTACGGCTGGGACTATTCTACGTGAATGTGCCAGGCATGATATTTTGAATCAGGTGTTGCTAGAAACAAGTCAGTTTTGGTTATTCTTCGATTTAGTGCAAGCTCCTAGCTTCGATATTGCCAGTGACGCGTTTTCTACTTTCAAGGTGAGTTTTCAAACTTGTTTGGATTTTTTCACATACATTAGAAAAGATGCTTTCGTTTTGCTAATATCATCTCTTTTCTTCTACTTTGATTACTAACCTCTTGAATAGACACTATTGCTAACGCATAAACATCGTGTAGCAGATTTTATATTTAAGAATTTTGATCGATTTTTTTCAAACTTTACTGTCTTGTTGAATTCCGAAAACTATGTCACTAAGCGGCAATCGTTGAAATTGTTAGGAGAAATCTTACTGAATCGTGCTAACTACTCGGTCATGACAAGATATCTGGCTTCTGCAGAAAACTTAAAATTAATGATGATTCTGTTACGAGATAAAAGTAAAAATATTCAGTTTGAAGCGTTTCATGTCTTCAAGCTCTTTGTCGCCAACCCCGAAAAATCCCCAGAAGTAGTGGAAATTTTGCGACGAAACAAATCTAAATTACTCACTTATCTTTCTGTTTTTCATAATGACAGAAAGAATGATGAACAGTTTAACGACGAACGCGCATTTATATTAAAACAAATCGAACGTTTATGATACCACTATTTTTCTCTTTTTAACGTCGTCTTTCTCCCTCATGCGTTCTTTAATACTTCATTTTTGATTTATCTTTTATAACTTTCTACTTACCTTTTTCTTTTTTTTTTTTTTTTTTTTTTTCTTTTTTTTTTGTACCTGTCTTGTAAATTAGAATAGAAAAATTAGTCTTAATGTTACCCAACGATAATTACTTAGCTTATGTTTTGCATTTTATACAGGCTATTATTCATTAAATATAAAAAAATATACCCAAAAAGGTGTAATAAAAAAGTTTTACTTCCTAAATCTCAAACGAAAGTATCATTGTTTTCCAATGGAAGCGTAAAAGATAGGTTGAAGGTATGACTCCAAATCGATCACTGAATTTCATATTAAACGTCTAAAGCACGTTGATGTGCAATTACTGAGGTAAAGTAACGTTTACGGGCTTTTGTGAAAGTACTTCATATCTACCCCACTTCGGTTCGCTGAAAGGAACTGAAAGAGCTCTTCCCAAAAATGGAGTATTCTTTGTGTCAATAAAAGGAAACATAAACAAAACCTTCCAACCAGGTTCCTTTGAATAAACCAACTCATGTCCGGTTGGCTTTGAGTGAATAAATTCTGAATCTATTAAGAAGTCACATTCTTCCAAAGAGACATAACGTGTAGGTTCTTCATTATTCAAGTCATTCATATACATTGGCGTTTCAAAATATCCAGGGCGATTCCACCAGCTCGTAGTATTGTCTTCCTTAAACTCAGCGGGCAGAATTCCATCAAATTCACTCTTAACATACTTGAGACGAGCATGTTCGGGAAGGAAAAAGCTGGAAGGATATCTGTACCACTCTTTACCAACACAGATGTTCGTAATAGGGTTTTCCGATGCTTCCAAATAAGTAAGAGCAGGATATACGATCATCGGTGCATTGTAGTTTTGGACAGCCAAAATTCTGGCAATACTGATGAATCCCATTAGAGCGTAAATGATAAGAACGAGTATGCGTACGGGGAACGTAGAGCGTGCTCTACGAGTCACACTCGTATAAAGGTTCATGTTAATTTTAACAAACATATCCAAGCCGACGGCTCCAGCCAAGCAAAGTACAGGATAAATAGGATACATAAAACGCTCTTCCTTGTGAGGCTGCAAAAGGAAAATTAACAACCACAAATAGAAGGGAGATATGACAGACGAAAGGTCAAGAAAAGAGTCTAAATTAATCCAATTGGTAAGTGCCGCAATGAAAACAAAAGGACCGCATACTAAAGCAAACCAAAAGGCAATATTATGTTGTAGAGTTAAGTTTGCAAAGTAGTACCACCACGGCTCAGTACCATAAATTTCGGGACCACGACCGTCTTTAGCGAAAACATTATATTTGACGATGTTCCAAGCTACAAATTCGAGTTTTTGGTAAAAGAAAGAATCAACAGCAATACAAATTGCTGTTATCAAGAGGCAAACCAAACCAGCTTTCAGCCAGCGAGTAATTAAAGGTACAAATTGGCGTCTGATATCCATAAGCTCGAGAAGAACAAATGGGATTGACAAGGCAGCGGAAAATGGCCAGCCCAAAATTGCGCCAATTACGACGAACGAAAGTACTTTCACGGTGCGTCTGGTAGAAGGGAGGCTAAGCTGAGCGGACAAAGAAAGTGTGACCATATTCATGGCGAAGGATGATGGGAGAAAGCTAGTACTAGCAACCCATATACCAGAGCTGACAAAAAGAATGGACGTAAGATGAAGGGCCACAGCACGGTTGAAATTTCTCGCAACAGCCTGAACAAGGGTAGCCTCACAGAAAGCTGAAAAGCAGGCCATGACACCACGGACAAAATAGAAGACATGGAGGCGACTCAGTCCCATTGATTTAGCTACAGCTGCGGGAATAGCATGCAATAAAACATAAAACCAACTTCGAATGGAGTATTCAGGCGAGTACTCCCATGTTTGAAGACCATAGCCATATAAAAGATAGTGCAATGGTTCCCAATAGTTGTACACTTCGTCACAGTCATCAATCACGCGAAACGACGCGGATGTAAGACGTAAAACGAGCAAAATGCTAAATGTCCAGAGGAAAGAGACGGGCAATGACTTTTTATGTGGAGTCGACGGCATCCTTGAGAAGATTCGTAATTTTACAGAAAGACTATTTTAAATGAACAAAAAGGAGTAACTCCTTGAGAATGAAGACAAGCAGAAGAAACCGAGAGAAGGCAAAGATCGCGATCAGCTACTTGTTGGTTTTAACAGCTTCGACAAGGTTATAGTCGTTTTAAAACTTTATAGAGATCAAATAGATTTAAAAATTCATCAGATAACTGAGTTAAAATATCGATGAAAATGTTTTAACACTACTTTCCCAAAGGCGAGGATGGTAGTAGTTGGCCGATCGTAGTAAGCCTACAGTGGACTTGACATAGCCTATTGCAAACTTACGAAGCAACTTAATTTCAAAGTAAACTATATATATTTTTTTAAATGCAATACGGGACCTCGTGAATCTCTATACATCAGCTTTAGCCATACCTGCTTCCAAACGCAAACCGGAATTTTTCAATGCTTACAACTTTCACCCAGACAGATCCTTTTCCTTACTTGCTTAGTTGGATTGCACATGTCCTGTAAAATACAAAACTAAAACATAATTATTATTATTACTATTACTGCTTCAAATCATTAATGTACACGACCCAAATAGTCAGATTTGCGAGGCATCTTGTCCAATAAATACAAAAATATTAGGTCTTTCGACAGAAAAATGAGTAAACGAAGCTTTTAAAACTACCGTCTGTCACTTCTTTTTCGTCATGCTTCTCATTGCATTCCTTCAAGCACCTAAAAAAACACCAGTTCAAGACCACATTCCAATATGACACAGTTCATATATGGTAATCACAAATCACATCAAAAACGACACGACATGAAATTCATCTTCGCAACATCGCTTAAGCACGTTCACCACGAAGACGACGGGCCAATTGCATATCCTTGGGTTGAATGGTGACACGCTTACCGTGAATAGCACACAAGTTGGTGTCTTCGAAAAGGGAGACAAGGTAAGCTTCGACGGCTTCTTGAAGGGCACCGACAGCAGAGGATTGGAAACGCAAGTCAGTCTTGAAATCTTGGGCAATTTCACGAACCAAACGTTGGAAGGGAAGCTTACGAATCAACAATTCAGTAGACTTTTGGTAACGACGAATTTCACGAAGAGCGACGGTACCAGGACGATAACGATGAGGCTTCTTGACACCACCAGTAGCGGGAGCGGCCTTACGGGCGGCCTTGGAGGCAAGTTGCTTACGAGGAGCCTTACCACCAGTGGATTTACGTGCGGTTTGTTTGGTACGAGCCATTATAACTTAGTAAAAAATATTTCAAATAAAGGTGTTATTGATCTGGTAAATTCGAATATCCTAAAGTTGGAATGAATTCGAATTCCTTGGTGTTGGTTAATGGTAAGTTCTGATTCCCTCGACATATATAAGTACGCGTGGTCACGCATCTTCATCGCATTTGGGGTTAGGGTTTTTGATGAGGAAATGAAACATATATGGAACGTATCACCTTTTCAACAACCTGTCAAACACCAAACTTTTACACAGCAATTGCTTTGGAAATTATAATATCGGAATTGCTTACGCGTTTGTAAAGCAATTGCCTCTGTTCTATATCTTCCTTATTTTCAATTAAGGAATTGATCTGTACGTTCGTCGCGTAACTTGATTATATAAATTTTTCTCTTTTTTTCCATTCATTGAATCATGTCTGGCCGTGGTAAAGGTGGTAAAGGTTTAGGAAAGGGTGGTGCCAAGCGTCACCGTAAGATTCTGCGTGACAACATCCAAGGTATTACCAAGCCTGCAATTCGTCGTCTTGCTCGTCGTGGTGGTGTCAAGCGTATTTCTGCTTTAGTCTATGAAGAAACCCGTGCTGTCTTGAAGTTGTTTTTGGAAAGTGTCATTCGTGATGCAGTCACTTACACAGAACACGCCAAGCGTAAGACTGTCACTTCTTTGGACGTTGTGTACTCTTTGAAGCGCCAAGGCCGTACCATTTACGGTTTCGGTGGTTAAACAATATTCTTCATTTGTTTTGTTGATCGTCGTTCATGGACATTGCATTAATTTTTCTTTTTGTTTCACCTTCTTTCCTGTACACCACATTTTTCTTTCAAATTCGTTTTCATGTGCTTGTCTATTCGCAAAAAGCCTGAATGAAGCATGAATGCAATGATGAAAGGTTCCGATTCTAATCCGGTAATAATTTATTTTAAACAGTTAATATATACCTATCATTTTTCTTTTGTTTCTTGCATTCCATCTAGTCTGCGTTTGAATCTGTAGAAGTAGTAAGTAATATGTATATGCGAAGTGTATGTATATTCCTTCTCCAAGATGTATTGATATTGGATTGAAAGGGTAGTTGATGGAATATGTACGACAATATGTAAATTAAAAATTATCTTTACAAAACGCAGCTATACCATACCATACCTTCTAATTATTTGACGCCAAAAAAGTTTTATTCAAAGTAAGCTAACGTTGACTTATTTATTCAATCACCTTCTTATATACCGGCGAAAAAGGAGGATTCATACCAGTCCACATTTGAAAAGAGGCAAGTCCTTGACGCACCAAAACCTCTAAACCGCTAGAGCAGCGCCATCCATGTTCAGAAGCAACACCCATCAAAGGAGTGTGCAATGGCTTGTAAGCCATATCCAAAAATATGGACTGTCTATCTCCAGTGGCAATCAAAGCCTTCACCAAACGATCTACGCTTTCAGGGAGTGCCTTGTCCGCGGGAACGGTTGATATGGCTGAAGCAATTGAAACACCATTCAAGTCTTCGGATGTTACCTTATCGGCATCCAACACCTTAATATTGTACTCAGGAGGGAATACATTTTGAACGGCATATGAGTTAGCTAAAGTGCGGTTCACAAGGTAAATTTGTGAAACACCCAAACGATGAAGTGTGTAGATAGCAGCCCGACTTGTGCCACCTGCACCAATTACTAAAGCGCTGGATTCTGCCAAAGACATTCCATCTAAAGCAGCAGTAAAGGTATCATAAATACCACGCCAGTCGGTATTGTCACCTCGAAGGTGCAATTTTCCTTCCTTCATGGAAGGAATGACAGTATTCACAGCTCCAAAAAATCTTGCTTCGTGACTTAAATCATCCATATATTGCATGATAGGCAATTTGTAAGGAATGGTAACATTGGCTCCACCAAAGTCAGGGCTACGAAGTATACCTTCTACTTCCTCAACAGTATCAGTTTCGTAAGCTTCGTAAGAATGAGGTAGACCCAATAACTTGTACGCAGTATTGTGAAGTACTGGTGATCGCGAATGCGAAATCGGCTTACCAAAGACATAGAAATTCTTGGGAACAATCTCACCAATCAAAGCCAAAGCCTCATTCAACTGCTTTACACTCAATTGACCTGGCGCAGCTTTAGAAGGCAAATCAGGGTGAGTTACGGGCGTTAAGAACTTGTTGAACACTCTCGAAAGTTGTCCCTTGCCACCCATATTAATAGCAATTAAAGGAATTTTCATCGTACTGGTTACGGACTTGCGGAAATTCTCAAGTTCCAAGTTATCTTTAATATCCTTAGCAGTACCGACAAGCTTGATAATATCTGCAAAGGAAGATGCCAAGTCAATCATTTGCATCCATTCTTGAGGACTAGCCCAAGACCAAGTACCAGAAAGATCATGCCAAGACATTAACAACTTAGTATTTCTCTTGTGTTCAAAGATTTTCGTTATACTTTCAATACTCCATCCCAATTCGACATCAACATAATCGATACCGTAACGAATAGCAGATAAAATTAGCTCAAGAGCATCTGCCTCTTTGTCGTCAGGGAATAATCCGCCCTGCTTCTTCGTACGAACAGTAAAGATAATGGGTAAATGGGTGTGACATCGAAGCAAAGCAACCTGCTCTGCTACAAAATCTAACGTCGGAACACCGTTCTTACCTTTAGGATCCTTCAAGTGATCAACGCGAATTTCAACAGCATCACATCCCAAAGTCACATCATTTAATAGGGGAAGAGCTTGTTGGACGTCAGGGAAATTCAAAGTCAAGAATGCAGACCGCTTCTTCTCCTTAAGCTTTTGCAGAGATTGAGATTTACCCGTAATAACTTCCAAAAATCTAGACATTGAATATTCTATCTTTTCCTCTACTACTCTCTCATCCAAAACAGGGCTGATAAAATAGTGTGAGCGGCATTGACGATACCATTCATGGCGTCGTGCATACACATCCCGAATGTTTTCTTGATCTTTGTAAGCAGGACGACTGCTGTCCTTTGAAAGATAAGAAACTATGTGATCAATATTCCTATGAACATGTAAAACAATGCCCCCGCTCTTTACATAATTTTCAAGCAACTTGCGTGAGTCATTCATCTCAATTACACCACCTCCGCTAGCAGCAACAAATCCATAAGGACGTTCTTGGATGAATTCACGAAGTAATTTGTGTTCTTCAAGACGAAAAGCATCCCATCCAAGTTTGAATATTACCTGAGTGATGGGCATAGCCAAGCGATCCTCCAACCACTCATCCAAATCAATAAACTTCATATTAAGCTGCTTCGAAATTATTTTACCAATTGTTGTTTTACCAGCTCCACGCATACCGATTAATATAATTGAAGCATTCTTGCTCAAAGGATTCTGTTGCTCAACTTGTTCAACGGTAGAACCGTAAAGTGAAACCTTGAATGACTGTTTAAGGACGTCCCACCAATAGGGCCATGTTTTCTCGACGCATGCTTTATCAATAACAACAGTAGGTGAAGGTGTAAGGAGAGCCAACAAGCTAAAGGCCATAGCAACGCGATGGTCATCGTAAGTATAGACACCATCAGTAGGAGATTTCAACGTCTTGTAGTCTTGACCAAAAATATAAATACCGTCTTCTAATTCACCAGCACGGACACCGAATTTTGCCAACTCATGAACCATCGCAGCAATACGGTTACATTCCTTAACTCTTTGGTTGGCGATACCAGTGATACGAGTGATAGGGTCACCCTCAGCATTGGAAGATACTGCAGCCACAACAGAAGCAGTTAAAAAGGCATCCGTCATGGTTTCCATATCAATAGACTCGAGTGGCTTTAACTGACCCTTAGGGGGGCCTTGAACCGTCGTACTGTTAGCGGTCTGTTCAACTAAGCATCCCATAGGCTTTAGTACATCCCTAGCAAAACGAGAATCACCTTGCAGAGAAGCACTTCCAATATTAGGAACAGTACATTTTGTTCCAGTAATAGCAGCAATTGCTAAAGGATAAGTAGCAGAACTAGCATCACTTTCGATTTCGTACTTAGAAGGACTCTGGTACTTGGCACGAGGTATATGGTAAGTGTTTTCTTCCGATGACGACTTTTCGACAATAATACCAAAAGACGCCATCATGGCAATAGTCATGTCAATATAAAGTTGCGAAATTGGTTTACCGCCAACTAATTTAAGTGTAACAGGTTCGGATGCATAGGGAGCACACATAAGGATTGATGAAACGTACTGAGAAGAAACTGTGGCAGCAAGTTCAATAACACCACCCTTTAAACCGGTTGAAGAAGACGTAGAAAGGGGCAAAGAACCTTCCTTTTCTAGATACTCGACTGTACAACCGTTGTTTCGTAAGGCATCCACCAAGGGACCTATTGGACGAACCTTCATTCTATGGTTACCCGTAAGAACCACACCATGTTCCTTATCCTGAGTTGGGACTAGCGCAGAGACACCTGTTAAGAAGCGGGCAGCTGTTCCTGCATTACCCAAATAAAGAGCATCTTTAGGGGCACTCATTTTACCACCACTACCTTCAACAACAAGAGTTTCTCCATTATCCTCCCATGAAAACTTGGCTGCTCCAAGGGATTCTAAGGCAGACATCATAAACTGGGTATCATCAGAGTGTAGCATGTTGGTAAGACGGCATGTACCTTGTGATAAAGCAGCCAACACAAGAGCACGATTAGAAATAGACTTAGAACCAGGTGGAGTAATCACGACGTCTAAAGAATTTTCGGTAAAATTGTCGACCTTAACATCAGAAGAGAGAACAAAGCGGATATCATCGTCTGAAACTACGGTGGCATGCTTTTCATACGTCTCACCAATAGCCTTCAAGATAACAACACGCTTTTTGGTTCCTTGATTCTTTTTGTCAACGGCCATGGTCAAAATAAGATTCTCAACAGGACAAGTCTTAAAGCCGGCATATTTTTTTATTTTAGGGTCATTAACGCTAACAGGTAAGTTATAGGAAACAAGGCATTTGGCCAATCTTCCAACAGCATTGGGTTTTAAGATACCCAAGTGTCTTGCAAGTTCAACCTCTTTCATCATGCCAATTGCGACACATTCACCATGAAGGATTTGAGGGTACAAAATGGCTTCATAGGCATGTCCAATACTATGACCAAAGTTAAGCAAGTTACGAAGACCACCCTCACGTTCATCGAGAGTCACAACTTCACACTTTGTACGGATAGAAGAAAGAATAATCTTCTGAAGCAAATCTTTAATCTTGGAAAATTTATATTCACCGGAAACTGCTGGCTTGTGAATTTCTTCGATAAGAAGAGCAGAGTTGTTTTCCAACAATTGAAAGTCCTTTTCATTCCACATGGCCGCTGTTTTAATGATTTCTGCTAAACCATTGATGATTTGGCGAGGAGGCAAGGTATGCAATACAAGTAAATCCACATAAACTCTCAAAGGTTGCCAAAAAGCGCCAATTAAATTTTTACCAAGAGGAGCATCAATACCGGTTTTACCGCCAATAGAAGAATCTACCATGGCTAGCAAAGTTGTTGGCATTTGAACAAAACGAATACCACGCATAAAAGTGGCAGCAATGTAACCAACTAAGTCCCCAATAACACCACCGCCCATGGCAATTAATAGAGTATCTCTGGTACAAGATTGCGAAAGCATCCAGTCCTCGATCTCTGCTTTTGTCGCCCGACACTTGGATGATTCACCAGGAGGAATTATGTAGCTCAAAAATCTCGATTGAGCACCATTCTTTTTAATAGTATCTCTAAAAATACGCTCAAAAGGCTCCAAATGATGAGGTGCAATGTTAGAATCTGTAATTACGACATACGTTGAAGATTGAAATTCCTTCAAAATTTCTGTAGCAACGTATTCGTCTAAACCAAAACCAACCTTTACGGTCTCCTTGCCAAGAATAGGAACCGTAATCAAATCTGATTCACTTGACATATTGCAAGTAGAAAGCCTATACGGCAGAAATCTCACTCGACCCGTTCAAGAATGTGGTAGCGGTTTGGTGATACAATACGATACTTACACTTAAAGATACTGAACATATTTACAGTTTCGTTGCGCTTCGTAATTCCATGGAGAATAAAATAAGTACTAGTAAGCTATTGTAAAGATTGTTTGACTATGGATTTATTTGCAATTAATATTAAAAAGACACTCTAGATTATTGACATGCTCAGACATTGGCACAACATTGATAGAAACCTGTATGCATTCAACAGCAGAAATGAGCAGAAGATACAATAAGACGCTTTCAAACATACGATATCAACAATACAACAGTAATCAACTAATAGTGAAAAGAAACCAAGAATATGGTACACTGAATCGATACTATTGCGAAATTTTGACCGAAAAACCTTGCAATTGCCAGAGCCCACAAATAGATAGCACCTTTGAAACCTTTCGAATGAAAAAGAATGTATTTAAGGACGAATAAGTATGGGAAAAGGATAGGAAATACAAAAGGAAATCTAATTCATTATCAGATTTATCTTTACTCAGAATCAGAATAAAATTCATCAGACTCTGGATCAAGCATAGCAAGATCAAGTTGGTAACGCATGATGGCACCGATACCGCCGAAACCCTTAACGAACTGCATACCCTCTTGAGAACGGTCAGAAACGAATTCCAAGTTTGCACCATAATCCTTGTAGTGTTCGGCGAGCCATTCAGACAAGGCCATGGTATTCACCAATTCCATTTCAGCACCAGTTTCCTTGTCAAGTAAGTAAGAGTTCGTCTTATCACCTTCCTCTTGTTCTTTTGTCATATAATTAACAACGGTATTGCCCTCGGAATTTCTGAACTCATAGCGAGTCATGTCGAGGTCCGCATAGATGAGAAGCATTTCAACAGCACCTTCTTGTAAAGCATTCATAGTATCAACGACACCAAAACAATACTTGCCAGTGTCTAAACTGATTTCGTCAAAGAATTTTTGAATTATCTTCTTTTCTTGGACGAACTTAACGTTGGCTAGGGTATCAGCAGACAATTCAATGGCTTGGTTGAAACCAGCTTCACCACCGTAGGAAACGTCAACGGTTCTGATGATTTTGCTTTGAAGTCTTTGGTCAAACAAGTCACTTTGACCAAGTTCAGTCTTGAAGTCAGCTGAACCGGCAAGAATTAGACCGGCAACGTTTGCCTTGTCTTCTGTAATAAAGTGCTGAACAGCATTTTCAGCGACCTTACGAACATAGTTATGGCGCTTCTCTTCACGAAGACGGGCGAAACGAAGAGCTGATTGACCACCACGACCGTGCTTCTTTGGCAAATCAACGGTAAACTTTTGAAGAACTTCACGGGCACTACCAGAAACCATACCGTAAAGAGTTTGATGACCATCCATAACGATGAAACCAAAGCGTTGGTCAGTCTCCAACAATTCAGCAAGAGCTTCTGTATGGAACTTGTTGTCACACAAATATTGGGAGGTATTAATGGGCTTAAAGGGTTCAAAGTCAATGTTAAGCTTTCTGGTCTTGTTGCCTTCCATCATAACTTCACCACAATAGATAACCAAACCATTTGGAGGAACCTTATTATACAGCTTAAGACGCTCACGAGTTGAAGTAATGGCAGACAAAACTGAAAGTCTGTTTACACGAGACTTAATGTTTGAAGCGGTACCATATTCTTCGGCAAGCATGCTGCTAATTCGAGAAATTTGTTCACGAGGAGGAATAATCAACGTAATCATTGAAGTACCATTACCATGGCAATTGACCAACTGTTTTACCAAGCGGCGAATCTTCCAGATTTGAATTGCTGTCTCTGCTTGTTCACTCATTTTGCCTTGTATTTCAAGATTTTTTTTTAAATCTCCAACTTTCTCTATTTAAATAATACCAAAATTACCAAAGAACCCCAATTATTTAACTAAAAGACCAGGAAATCAAATTTTTGGCCTCAAGGCTGAAATGCTTGGTAGTCGGTAAGTTTCAAATTCTACCTGTTGAAGTGACCGCGCTCTGCGTGGGTGCCATCGCTCCACTTTGAAATTTGAATATAACGAACATCTAACGTAAAATTTTATGTGGCTGTAAATTTATTTTTTTGTCGCTCCTCAGAAAACAGTATATTTGATTGTGCATCTCGTTATTTTATATAATATTGCTTCTGCACCTGAACGTAATACTATGGATTTTCGAGGTTTCTTTAATTTGAATGGATAATACAGTTCTTTCGTAAATTTTTTGTAGACGCTGAAATAAATAAAATAGATTTCAAAAATTTAACAGGAATAATTATACGTCTGCTGAGGATAACTTCTGTTTTGACTGGAATTATGCAAGAAAGACTTGGTTAAATTTGTCAATCTCATCTGTTGGACGAAAAAACATTGTAATAGTTTTCATTGTTTAATAACCGATAATATGTGCTTATTAGGAAAAAATAGATTACTCAAATTAATAGGAACCGTCAATTGCTGGCGACTCGCCATTGATTAATTTCAAATTAAGGCATACATTTGCAGCCCATCACTCTACTGACTGATGAACTAAATTGTGGTTCGAACGGAGGTAAAGAAACAGAAATAAAAATAAGAGGAATCAGCGGACTGCTTCTTCCTTAGGCTCATTTCATTAAAACGAACAGAAAGAATACAAAGTTTGTTATATTGCATATTCACCTAATCACAAACATATAGACGGTCAATTTCGGTTTCCACAATCCATGGCTCAAAAGAAAATACATAGTACTACTACTACACATGAGCTGAGAGCAAGATTTTCTAAAAGCACGTCTACTTGTTTTGAACATAAATTTACATGCTAGACATAAACATTTTTGGAGTTATGCCTTGCTTAGTATAATCGGAAATAACCAAAATTATAGAATTCCGCATATAGATAAAGTTTTTAAAAAATCAAACAAAGTCTGTATGTTTTTAAGTTATTACTTCTAAAGAGGTTTGTTCGTTTAACACATGTGTGCTAAGGAAACAATAAAGTCATATATCCGAAGAATATAAAGGTAATAAAAATACAAGCAACTTTCGTTCCTATAAGAACGATCATTCTATATGGACAGTCAATAAAATACGTGTTTGTCTTGACGAAATAAAAAGACCATTCACGTGCCCGAACCGTAATTAGGACTTGCTCATACTGTCACGTACGCTTTGGGAACTAGCGCTAACGGGATTATTTGTCATGGGAAGTACGGTAGCACTTTCCTTCTTACGTTGTTGCTGAGCCTTAGCGATAGCATAGACGATACCGGAAATGAATCCCAATAAGATAGCGCTGACAGAGCCAAAAGTGACGGGAGCATTGAAGAACAGTAAACCAGCGATGGCCAAAGGTAGTTTATTGAGAGCACCAACCATACTGTAAGTAGTGGAAGAAGTGACACGAACACACCAAGCAGAAGTATAAGAGATACCGACAGAGGAGACACCACTAATAAGCATGGCTACAATTACATTGTACTTGGTGTCGGGAGGGAAGTTTTGAGCGATGTTGGTAGCACTCCAGTCTTCTGTAAAGAGGGTACAAACGATAAGAATTGGGATACTAAGAAGGTTGTTGTAGAACATAGTGTCAAAGTCGCGGAAGTTTGTGAGCTTAATGCGTTTACGCATAGTGAGGACAAAAGCGGCATTGGTAATGCAATTCATAAACATCCAAAAGTAACCAGAGTTCAAGGTAGTGTAGCCAGAAGAGCCAGCAGATTGAATATCGGCCCAAGCGGCGACAATAGAGGAAAGAACCATCAAACCGAAAGAGAACAAAGTGAGGGCAGAAACATGACCTCCAAACCAAAGTACTTCACCGTAAGCAATGACAATGATAGTCAAGTTTTTGAAAATAGTATAGACTGGGACGGATAAATATTGCAAAGCTTTTGACGAAGTGTAGATCATAAGAACAAGCATAAATGAGATGGGAAACCAAAGCTTTGCCTCACGCAAATCAAAGTCGCGGTAGCTAATTAATTTAAGATTCTTCAATACTCTAATTGTAAGGACGCAGAGAAGGGATTGTACAGTCAACAAAAGAAAGTTCATATTGTATCCAGGGCTAGACAACACATATTTGTTTGTCATGGTCATCAAAATAGATGCCATGCAATAAGAAGCCACTGGAAGTACTGGAGATTTGCTTATACGATTAGCAATGTTTCCATCCATTTTCTAGAGTTGTTATGCAACAGAATTGCTCCGATCAAGTATAACACTAGCGGTTCTGAGTTCAGTGTAGGATAAAATCTTAACCACCTAAAATGTGCCTCTCCCTTACTCAGTACGGATTTACTATGTCGTCATTGAGAGAAGATTTTAATTTGTACTAAAAAACTTATACAGGGCCAAATATGCTCCATTTTTAATATAGTATAATATAGTTAATTAAGTATATATAGTCATCTAGTTTCGAAATTTGCTAAGAAAATTACAGATATTGCTTATAAGTGATTCCTACATATATTAGAGAAACCTAGGCTGGTTTGTATTTTCTTTTTCTAATGTTATAGATTATTTAGGAATAAAAAATATTCTTTACTATTATGAATTTGATATAATCAATTGCATTAATATCATGAAATAGTTTTTTTTTTTTTTTTTTTTTTCATTTTATTGATTGTTTATGTTTGTAACTCATATTTGGATTTGTTACTTTTCGATGAAATAAGGTACTCCCATATTCAGTTTACCGAATAACAATTAGGCCGTGCTATCCAAGTGCTTGCTATGTCACTAGATTTTATCAGACCCTCCGTTTCGCACTATCCCATAACCTGTTTCATTATAGTGTAGGTGTTTCTTTTACCATTCCGTATGTTCAATGAAAGTGACTAATGTACTAATGCTTTAGATCTCAATTCTTTAGAATTGGTAATTTAATTCTTTCAAAGTTCGAGCGTTGGACGTAATAAACAGTGTTATATTACGAAAGTAAACATTCCAAGGATATTTATTGCTAGCTAAAGTGTGCTTTTGTTTTTCACTTTTATAATATAAAAAGAAACCAATTGAAAGAGCTTTGTCTTCAATTTCACGTTGTTTTGTGAGAGTTACTCCTCTATCAAATTACAAGATGTCTCGAAGAAGCTCTGTCACAATTGAACAAGCTATTAACCCAACTCTTTTGCGATCTCGTCATAAAGAAGTTTCTGAAAAAGATGAACGAAAGTTTGGCGGTGTCCAGACATACAGTACCGAAAACGGAATGTTGTTTCATGCTGGTAAACTTGTTATCATCATGTCTGGTTTACCGGCTAGAGGAAAGTCCAACATTGCCGTGTCTATAGATAGGTACCTAAAATGGCTTGGATTTAATTGTAGATTTTACAGTCTTGCAAAATATATGGATGAACGATCAAAGGAATTTGAAAACTCAGGCAATACTCGAGGTATGCGATTCTTATTCGGTCTTTTGATTCTTTTTTATAAACATCAAACTAACATTTTTATTTAAGAATCTATTGATGCATTTTTGAAACTTTACAGAGATAATACCATTGAGCTGTGTTTACGAGACCTGGAGAATTTTCTTTCAAGAGAAAAAGGACAAGTTGCTATTTATGATGCCACGAACGGAACGAAAGAAACAAGAAAAGCTTTGTACGATCGATTTAAAAGCTTCAGCTTTAATATTTTGTTTATTGAAAGCCTTTGTGACAAAGAAAACGTGATTCATGACAATATTCAAGAGGCTATCCAAGTTTCAAAGGAGGTATGACATTTAATAATACTTATAATATCGTTCTCGTTTAACAGAAATAGTTTGAACACTGGGACAAGAAAGAAGCAGAAGCAGAATACTGTCGACGTATCGATCTTTTAAAAATGCAATATGAACCAATTGATGAAAAAGAATATTCTTATGTGAAAATGATCAACTTTTCTGAGACGCTTATAACCAACCGGACAAATCAAGGATATTTATTGGTACGTGCTTCCGGTTTTACTCGTCCAACTCTACTAACTTTTCCTCTAGTCACGTATTCTATTTTTACTAATGAACATTACCCTTACGAGAAAACGTGTATTCTTGGTATCGAAAGCCTCAATGAGACCGCTTTTGCCCCAAGAAGTTGAAGATGATGGAGCAAACTCTAAGTTTATGGAATACCTTGTGAAACAGTTTCAAAAACTGTTTCCTTCAATTTCTTTTAAAAATCTTGTTGTGATGTCTAGCATGGAGGAATCCACATTAACCCCTTTTCAAAAGCTAGGCTCCCGAGCATTTTCACGCGCAAATCTCTCACCACTGATTATGGACTGGTTTGGAAATAATTTCGAAAAACTGCGTTCTACTTTTGGAAAAGACGAATATAATTTGTTTATGAGAGACCCATATAGATGCAGGGTAAAAGAAAGAGAATCATTTTACGACCTCGCCGTTCGTTTGGAACCATTGATTTTGGAAATTGCCAGAGAATCCCGCGACGTTGTTATCGTTGGATCGAAAAGTTTAGTCCGTGTACTTTATGGATACTATATGAATGTTCCAGCCGGTGTATGTATTGCTCAAACCACAGAAAAATTACCATGTTTGTTTCTAGTGCTAACCATGAATTATAGGACATACCTTTCCTTCCATTATTACCGACGGGAATTTTCGAATTTATTGACAACAGTATAGGCATGCAAGTTAATGAGTATGAGTTGGATGATAAAGAAGCTCACGATTACGATATTACGAATGAAGATTTGAGTGGTAAATTTACAACGCCTCCTGCAGTATAATGACTAAATACACTGCCGAATAGTATGGAATGATCTTCAAAATCATAGTTTCCGAACATGAAGTAAGATTATATATAAAACTAGAAATTAATACTACAAAAGAGCATCGTCAAGAGGGGGATCCCGTATGTTGTTTAACCAACCAATAACATAGCTTTTATCCAAAAGAAAACAGTAACTTAATATACATTCATAAAAACAGCGGCAGTGAATTTAAACACAAGTAGACATCATGCTGTTTAAAACGTTGAGCAATTGCTCGTTTTCACATGCAGCTGCAACACGCTCTTTATCGTTCAATTGCTTATTCACTTGCAATTCACTTGCGTGTGTTCCTTTCTTTACTTTTACGTCCACATGAAATCGAGGTGGAAGGCAGCGTTCCAAACGCACACGAATGCACAATCCGATCAACGTACACATAGAACAATGAGGGATAGTAGGTGTGATATAGACAACGACAAAAGAATTACCATGCGCGTTGTCTTGAACATCAATATCTTCCAATTTTACGACCGAAAGCTGAGCCAAAGTTAAAGGGTGCTCAGGATCATTGATTTTCGCCAACAAGTCAAAGATTTCCTGTGCATCAACTCCGTCACGAACCTTTTCAAGACTCTCTAGTTCGTCGCTTGTATCCCATAACCATTCTTCATTACCTTTTAAGAACAAATTCTCTTCTTCCTGTGCTCTTGAAGGAAGTTGGCTCAAAGCCTTCACCTCTGGATTTTCGTTTTGTAATGCAGCACTCATATGGAATCTTTTTAGCTTAACAAATGCTTAATTCACTACTAAAAACTAAAGTGCTGTTAACTTCAGCATACTTTCTACTACTTATATATGTGTTTTCCAAGTTTGCCATCTCTTTAAATTTCGTTAGAATGTTACAGTGATATATAACGTTAATACGTTATAAGCGTTAGCATCTCATTAATTCCTAATTTGGTAAGTTAAGAAATCGACATTTTTGTATTACGTTACGTTCTGTTGCATTAGTGAAAAATATATTAAACTACGTTATAATATATTACAACGAAAACTCAGGTTTGCTATTTCAATGAACTTGAAGTGGGCATAGGCGTCAATTCGTAAACATAAGAAACTACAACTGCAATTTGCTTTTAATGATTTGATTCTATGTTAGTAAAGTCATTTATGGCTATAAAACAGGAAAAAATAGCAATTTGAATTTTCATAACAAATTTGGGGACAACTTTCATTGAGTATTGAAGAACCGACTTTGGAGTATCGTTGAAAGAGTCTTAAATAGATCATTTTATTGTAAAAATATCCAATGGAAGAACTGAGCGCTTCGTCCGAAAAAACTACTGACTGGAAAGAGGTGTTTCGAACGCACAGTATTTCACAAACCATTCAATTGGAAAAGTTCGTACAACAGCAGGTAGAGGAGAAAGGAAGAGAGCTTCAGCAAAGTGTCTGTTTAAATTATCAAAGTTTTCTGAAAGCTGCTGATAATATCTCTCAAATTCAGTCCAGTTTGCTGGCTGTTGTAGAGAACATTCACCAACTTCAATCTCAAACGAGTGAACAAAAAGCAGAAAAAGCTGCCGATGTATTCTCCAAGTTTTCTTCCTTACGTTTGTCGGGTAATGAGAATGGCTTCAAGTCCTTTGTAAAAAGATTTTGCTATACAGCCCTTCCGTATACGTTTCAGTTGCTCAATAATGAAGAGTATCTACTTTCCATTCGTTTGTTCCTTTTTACTCGTGTTTTGTTTCAGCGGCTTCACAAAGATGATCGGGATTTGAAGGAATTTGTCCATAAGTATGATGCGTGCACTCATTATTATGAGGAACAGTTAAACCAACTGTCGAAGGAAGACTTGAAAAATCAAGATAAAATTATGGCTTCGCTTACTTTGCTTAAGCATATGACTTTAGAAGATTCTTTACGTGCATTTCTGGATGTTCGTTTTACGACTCTCATGTCCATGACAGACACTCTACAGTTTGGCTTGGAATTTGTTACTACCGGCGAACTTGTAAGAAAATGGTATCCACATCACATTAACCAAGTTATATCTTCAATTTCTGAGTTTGAATTTTTATCTAGCAAATCGCTTCGTAGCGACCTCTGCCTTACGGACGATATTTGTACTCGCTACTTGCTTTTGGAAGATTTGAATTATGTTCCTAAATGGGATGCTTCATTCGATGTTGATTTGGATGGAGTCTTAAGTGAATGGAGACATCGTGTGTACGCAGACATCAAGAATTTAAGGAAACCGTTTTTTGAAGAAGTACAAGATCTCGAGAAAGTAAAAGAAAAATATGGTGCCCTTTCTAATATTAATGCTACTTCTCAATCAGAAGATCTTCAAGACTTGTGGAATTCCCTCTTATACCCTCACTTTATAAATGCTCTCCAGGAAATAGTGGAAAATATCAAGCAGCATAGATTGAAAGTATTCGGTTTGATAGACACGCTTTTAGCAAGCTCAACCCAAGCTGAGTACGACATTTGGAACTTGTCAGGGGAGCCCAATTTATCATCGTTTCAGTCCTACTTTTTACAAGCCTGTGGAATGAAGGATGACACGAAAAATTTTTATCAAGAGCTTTTATCTTTCAAGGATCGCGTCAAACGAATAAGAGGTTTTTTGGAAACTTTTGACTCTTACGAAAACACACCTCTGCCTTTTAATACGGGAAGCCTCAAACAATCAGTAAATGAGAAACTAAATGAATTCTCAGAAGAAATATTGCAGAAACTTGATAAAGCGTCTGAGGAGATAACATCATCCGAGTCAACAGAGAATAAAGATGTCCTTTTGGCTAAAGCAATTAAACTCGTTAGGATTATTGGACTTTGCGAAGGGATTGTAAACTACGATTTGTTTATTAAATTTTCACAAAAAGTGACAGATGCATTGGCGAAGGAAATAGCAACGAAGTCTTTAGAGGGATATGCCATTGGTTTCGATAAAGAGTTAAGCACGGTTGACGATGAAAGTTTTGGAAAAACGTATTTTCCTTTACAGGCAACGTATACTGTTTTTATGAATGTTGTCGATAGATTGGAAATTATCGGAATTGATATAGCTAACGACACTCTAAAAGAGAAGTTAGTATCTGAATTGAGTTTCTCAATGCTAAACATTCTCAAAGAGATTTCTTCTACTTCCCTAAGTAATATTCAGAAGCAAAAACTGATATTTGATTATGAGTTATTGAAATCACTATATGAAAAATGTGGAAACGAAGTGAAATCAAAAGATTTGCCAGCTTTGACTATACACGAATCCGAAGAAGACAAGGAAGATACATCTTCCATTGAGGTAGGGACAATAAGCGATGAAGCGAAAAGTTATGTAATAAGAATCAGGTCATTCTTTACTATATTATTCCCTAGAGGAGTTTGAATTTTATTTTATTCTTTATATACGTTTATTTAATTAGAACTAATTTAATCTAACAAAGAATCATGTTTTAAACTTTCTTCTTCTATATTCTGAAGTCTTGGAGGACTGAAATCTTGAGGGGAGAGTACAATTCCTTCAAAATCTCTAGCAAGAATTTGTACGTCTTTTTCGAATTCAATGAGTTCCATTTGAAGTATCTCGTTGATAGTCTTTGGTGACTTATTTTCAGGCTTCTTCGGAAATTTCAACTCCACCGGGTTGAGATATGCATCAACAGCCAAGCAAAGGTGATTCTTTAGCGCTGTGTTTTGCAGTTCAAGACTTTTTATTCTGCTTTCGTACTCTGTTCTTAAGTCATCAATGATTGTCAGTAGCTTTTTGCTATGTTCTTCATGACGTCTCATTTGAACTCTGTCAGACTCCAAACTGGATACAATATTGTCAAACTCACTTTCATCAGAATCTCCATAAGTTCTCTTTGTATTTATCACGGAGATATTCTTGATCTTTCTGGCTGCTTCTGCATATCGTAGAGTAGAGAATGTTTCGTCAAAATCGCATGGCGACACGCATGCCAGCATAATAGTTCTGCAATTTCCCCCCAAAGCATTCTGGAGAAAACGAGTGAGAACCGAATCATTATAAGGAATTGTGAGATCGTGTTTCTTACTAGTAAGGGATGCAATTACTCGATTCAATACTGATAAAGAATTATCCTCACCAGCATATTCGCTCGTTATTTCATCTTCGGGCTTTCGGTGAGAGTTTCTGCTAAAGCTTGCTAGATCCAGAATTTCAAAGTAAGATTCTTTTTGCGAAGAAACCTGTTTGTCAGTTTTCGGAATTTTTTGGTGAATCTTGAAAATAATAGCAGTATGCCCATGAGTCTTTCCAAATCGGTCAGCTAAAGTTGCTTGTTTTGTCTATACAGAATTAGTCATTATTCGCTAAGCTGGCGCGAAAATGCATACCTTGGCTGCTAATCGTAGAAATGCGTCAATTTCTTGAGCATTTTCAACCTCAAACTGGGAAAACCCTTGAGAAAAGTAATGGGTAGGAGCATCAGCATGAATATCATTTTCTGTTGACTCCTTGGATTTTAATAAGTCGTATAATGTTTCATTTAGAATTTCTACCACCGAGATGGAAACCCGGACTGTGGCATTCGTTTCTTCTTGGGTTCTCTCGATTTCTTTAAAAAGGAAACATGAAAGCCTATAAACTAATCCACTGTAGCCACGAACACCAATGGTTGCAAACGTTTTACCACTCCCGCCTGGGCCATAAGTAAACAGACATGCATTATAGCCTTCCAGAGTTGAATGAATTAAATAAGGACCTATATTCTGAATCAAATCTTCCTCTTCTGATGCTTGGCCACTAGATCCAATTGCAGAAGGGAGAAAACACTTGTCGAAGTGAAATACTCGAGGTCCTCGCACTCTATGCCTATGTCTTGAGTTTGCTAAACCTTCTGGAGGTGGGTTAATAGTGATTTCATTTTGGTTCTCATCTATTGTAAGAAGATTAACGGCGTTTGTTGATATTTCTCGAAGAGATTTGGGACGAACCCGAACGATCGTTCGAACGTTCGCTGTGGACATACTGATGATGGTCCAAAATCAAATAGGCGATTCAAAAAAAAAAGAAGAAAAAATAGAGGAAAGGATAAATACGAGCGAAGAAGTACAAAATAGAGCAAAAGAGCGAAATAGATTACAAAATCTTAAAATGAACCAAAAAAAGAGCGACAGGTATGAGAAAAAGAAATTCCTAGGGAATCAAAATTAAGAAAATTAAATTAATTAAAAAGTAAAAGAACGACAACAACTACTTTTTCACCATTTGCTAATACAACCACAATAATACTTCCCTTGTGGATTCTACAGTACGGTGGTTACAGACAGCCATCATACTATCGTACTAGAGAAGTAACAGACTGGGTCACAAGTATGATAATTGATTTAGAAATGCATTGAGAAGGCGGATTTTATTGTACTTCTACATTCATTTTTTAAGTACATTTCAAGAAATTTTTAGCAGGCTCACTTTTCTGCTTGTTTTCTGGCGTTTCGAACCTTAGCTGCTCTTTGTTTGCATTAACGCAGGTAGTAAACAAACGAAAAACGGAGAAAGTGCGATCCATCTAGAAAATACGAGGAAAAACTTATAAAAAGCGCTTATATTTAAGAATTATTTCACCGAGGAATCAACACGAAGGGTCCTTAGAAAACTATTTTCTACCAAATCGTAATACAACGATTCGTCGGCGCACCCAAAAAAAAAAAAAAAAAAGATTAACTAATGAAAATAAAAGAGGAAAAATAATCTATTCTTCTTTGATTTATGCTTCACTAAGCTATACTTCTATATCTATCTCATCCTTGTCTCTTCACCCTCGAGTGAAACTTTTTGAGCAATCCGAGTTTAAATAAAATAAGCTTGGATACAAGGTTTCCTCCTCCGTGATATGATAGAAAGTTATTGTCCGAACCAGATAAAGGATGGGACTTGTTGTTCCGATTTTCGAGCAATTTCAATTTTGACAGGAACCAAAAAATGATGAATCGCTCTTAGTTTATGGAAACCTTTTTCCAGTTTTCGGGAGATGTTAGTCATAGCAAGACCCTCAAAACTGTTACGAAGAAAATCCAATTCATTTATTCTCTTTAAAATCCTCCTATGCCAACTACGGATGAATACTCAGTATCATTTAATGGACTCTGACTTACTCTACTCGATTAGCCTTACCTAGTACTTTACTGTTCAGTGCAAATCCCCCACTTAGTACTTTGGTGGTTCTGGACGAAGGCATATAATGTACTCTTACGCAGTGCAATTTGAAACTGTCGTTTTCGTTATAGTTTACTTGCATAGGACGTTACGAGACTGCAAATAAAGTTACCGAACTAATGACATCGTATGCTGACATTCGCTATCATTGAGAAAAAAACAAGTCAAAATGAGCTAAGATGAGCTTAAAGCAGTCGCCTAGCATAACGAGGTTGGTTTATTTCGTTTATGCACTACCCTTACCAATATTGAATAAAACCAGTGATTAGCAGCTACCTACAACCAGAATTGAAGCATATTAAAGAACAGCATTTTTTAGAGAAAACAGCGTATATTACTTCGAATGCAATAAAGGATCTAAAGATTAGAACATAGAATTGCATACTTTGATCTGGAAAGAACAATTGCTTCATTTAGAAATTGGCGACTTCAGTTTCGGCTATGGAAGAATCGGGACGACGACTCCAGCAACGCAGTGCTGAAGATAGAAGCTCAAATGATTCGCATCGACCGCGTAGGGGCAGTGTTTATCAAGACAATGTAGGCTCCTCGTCGAATCCTGGGACAAGCACTGGATCCAACAATGAAGGCACAGGATTGAAGATGGACAGCGCATCAAGTGTTGATCAAACCAATCCACAGGTTTCATCAAATAGAAAACGGATCCGTAGTAATGATGGCGATAGGTTTATTCCGACTCGGGGGTCTGGCTCTACTGAATTATGGTCGAACTTCTCCACCTTTGAGCCGCCGCAGACGCCCGGCAAGAATCGAGCATCTTTGGCAGACAGTAATTTTACAAATTTATTACATTCAGAGCTATTTGGAGATTTTGATTCTTCGCCTTCGTCTGTTCCAATGGTCAAGACTCCTAGTAGCGCATCAAATATGAATTCGTCTATGCCGAACTATGATACTGGTCCTCGAGGCGTAACTGTACAAACACCTCCATCCTCTACATTTTCCTCCTCTTCTTCTGCCTTACAAACGACTCCCATCACTCCGTCCAGAAAAGTATTTCAGTTCATGTCTCCGCGGGATCGGAATAATTCGCCGTATAAGAAAAAGTTGCTTTTTCAAGATGATCCCAACCGTACAAAATATTCTTTATCACCCGTTCGATCTTTGACCCGAGATTTCATTGCTGCTGGACAGCAAGAAAAACGAAAACTTCCAACTTTTCCTTACAAAGTGTTAGATGCTCCTAACCTCGCTGACGATTATTATCTAAATCTTCTTGACTGGGGCCAATGTAATATTTTAGCTATAGCTTTGGGTTCACGAGTGTACCTTTGGTCTCCTGTCACTAGTGAAGTAAAAGTCATGCACAATTTTTGGCCGTCCGATACAGTAACTTCTTTGAAGTGGGTCCAACGGGGAACGCACCTTGCCGTTGGTACTAATAATGGACTTGTAGAAATTTGGGACGCTGAAGCATGTAAGAAGGTTCGGACTATGGCAGGTCATAGTCTCCGCGTTGGTGCTCTTGCTTGGAATGATCATGTCCTTAGTAGTGGTGGACGTGATAATAGTATATTACACCGTGATGTTAGGGAATCCGAACATTACTTTCGAACACTTCGATCTCATCGTCAAGAGATTTGTAATTTGGATTGGAGCTCGTCGGACAATCAACTAGCTTCAGGTGGAAACGACAATGCCTTGTATGTCTGGGACAAATTTAGCGATGTTCCATTATATTCGTTTCATGATCATTCAGCCGCTGTTAGGGCTTTGAGTTGGAGTACTCATCAACGAGGAATTTTAGCCTCGGGTGGTGGTACTGCTGATCAGACCATTAAAATCTGGAATACTCATAGAGGTTCGCTGATACATGATATCAACACAGGATCTCAGGTTTGTAGTCTTCAGTGGTCAAAATTAACAAATGAAATTGTATCCACACACGGTTTCGTTGAAAACGAAATTGCTATATGGAACTACCCAAAAGTTTCGCGGGTTGGTACTTTAAAGGGACATACAAATCGTGTGTTATTCTTGTCTATGTCTCCAGACGGTGAAAATATTGTTACCGGTGCTGCTGATGAGACCTTGCGCTTTTGGAAACTGTTTGATTCAAAAGCGAACATGTCATACAGAGGCTCGCCTTTCGATCCTATCATGAAAATTCGTTAAAGCATGGAATACTCGCCCGTATAAATGAAGATGTATCGCAGGTCTTATCGTTTGGACAAACGTCAAGCGCTTGCTTTCATAGTAGCGGACCGTTTGTTTTGCTTTCTAATTCTTTATTCTCTAACATGCTTTATATCCATATTGATGACACGCTCTTTGACGGTTAATCTATAAAATTTAATCCTATCTACATCATCTAATCTATTTTATGCGATTGCCCTCTTTTCTCAAAAAGTTTTGTTTTAATCCTTGTCCGGTTTAGATCCTTTTTATTAATCCTCGTCTTTTACGGTTGCTTTATAGTCCTTTTGAGGTCTAAGCTTTTTTCCATTATGATGTTTTGAATATAGATTATGTTTCTCGTTTATATTCTATAATTTTGATGCTCTCTTTTGGACGATACAAGCCAATATGGATTATGGCCAATGTACGTCTTTTCTCTCTGTTTTTTTTAATAATGACCTTTGATTTTGAATATGTTCCATTAGTTTAGCGCTATAACTTTTGATTTAATGATAGCATTTTCAATTAATACTTGATTTACGATATGAAATTGATGATAATGAGTTTTGATAAGAAGTTTTATAGAGCATAGAGTAGTAAGAAACAAATAAAGTGAGCTTTTATTTAACTGAATGGTTAGATGCTACTACCTAGTTTATATTTACGAATTACATATTACTTTGAGCAAAGTGAGTGTGCAAATAGTAAAGATTCGTATATGAATGTTAGAACAAATTCATTATATTGAAAAAATCTTTTTTTATAATACAAATTATTGAAAAATTTATTAAGTTTAAAAGCCGCTCAAATTTCGGATCGAAGAGTAAAAGAAAGTAAGAACGAAAAAAGCAAAGTATGATACATTGACATGAAAACGATAAATGAAGAGCACAAGATAGAAGATTCGTTCAGAAAAACTACTTTAATGGCTCAGCATTACTTTCGGCGACGACTGCATCAACTTCGGTTGCAGTGACAGTAACCTTAGGAGGAATAATATGGTTATCACCGTTAGATTTTTTGACGGTAACGGTACCATCCTGACTGCCAAAGTAAGCAGCAGAAATCATATTGCAGAAAATGCCTACTTCTACAACACCAACCAAAAGCTTGATTTTTTCAAAAAGTCCCTCAGGGTCCTTGATTAAACCAAAATTGGCGTCGATAATGAAGTTGCCATTGTCAGTAACGACAGGACCGGCCTTACCAGGAGCACCCATACGCAACTTGGGGTCAAGGGCACCTAGGGCAACCAATTGAGGTAAGATAGAGGTATAAGCCATGGGCATAACTTCAATTGGAACTCCTTTCTTCCAAAACTCACCAAGCATATGGGAATTTTTCCGAGAATCGGCAACGATGACAAGGCGCTTTGCTAAGAATCCAATTAATTTTTCTTGAAACAAGCAAGCACCACCACCCTTGATACACTGCAAGCTATCGTCTACCTCATCGGCACCGTCGAAGCAAACATCCACATCAGGATAACAATCTGGGTCACCAAGACGAAGACCGCTAGTGACGATTAATTCTTTCGATTGAAATCCGGTAGGAAGAAAGACAACCTTTTCGACTCCAGGTTTGGTCAAAAGACGTTCAACAACGTAAATTACCGTACTACCACTGCCAATGCCAATTACCTTTGGGTGTTTGGGGTAATTTTCATCAACAGCCATATGGCAAGCCATACGCTTTGCCATTTCCACGGGCGAAAGCTCAATTCCATTTACCTTTGACTCCATGGTTACTAATTATCAGATGAGTTGAGGACAAATTCGGAAATCTAAAATATGCGATGGTCTCTGTTTCGTACGAAATGGGAATTCCTTAAATGGTTGAATATATGAACGGATATGTTCAACAATTCGTGTATAATGAAAAGAAGAATAAAAATCAATTTCGCTTAATTGAGGAAATGATAAGAGAGGAATCCAAATTAAGAAAAAATCGATTTCGAAATATTTTCCAAAACGTTGATTTGGTCTTCCAAATGTATGTAAATGAGAGAAAGGATGAATGCAACAGATATCTCTTTGCTTGCTTAATTTAAAAAAAGGTCTGGAAACCCTTCTGTGTGTAAAATACGTCCGACTTAGTAAGAAACGACGAAAAGACACCAGATCCGAGTGAACAGACAGAGAAGCCGCTTTTAAAAGTAAAGAGAAAAAATAAAAATATTACAAGAAATCAACACTCACTTTTCGTGCGTTTCTTGTAAATTCTCATTTAGGTTGCTGAATTGGAAAAAGGAATCGGTCTTTGAAATTCATTACCGAGTAAACACCGATTTTCGGAGAAGTAATTGACCGAATTCGGTCAATTTTCTTTCTATGCCTTGAGGGAGAATGGTACAGTTTCCCAGATTGTATGTAAACAATATGATATGTTAATAAATGGATTGTTTGAATATAAATGACAAGAGACTTGAAAACGAACCATGCTGTAGGGCGTTTTACAAGTAGCCAATAGTATGGTTTGTCGATCTGAAAATTTACATGAAGCTTTGGATGGGAATTATGTATATCAACCAGCAATTGAGCAAGTGCAAGTGTTCATGACAAATAATGAAATACAGCAAGATCTATTTCTTCAAATATAATCATAGCAAAAAAAGCTTTCACAGGAGTTCATACATAGTAAGAAGTCAACCCATCGTGAAATTCTTTACGTAGAAGAAGAGTATACAGGGCATGAAACTAAAGAGGCAAAATAATACGTTAGGTTTTTTATGGGTATTCATAGGCAAGAAGAAGCACTTTTTTTATTGTAACACAACTAGCATATGACTAGGTCTACTTAGAACTTGCCGAATTGCTTAGAGCCCTCAGTGTGCTTGACAACACGGAGAACGTTGAAGCGAACGGTCTTACTCAAGGGACGGCATTGACCAACAGTAACGACATCACCCTCGTTGATACGGAAAGCAGGAGAGACGTGGGCAGCAACGTTCTTGTGACGCTTCTCATAACGGTTGTACTTGGGGATGAAGTGCAAGTATTCACGACGAATGATGATGGTACGGTGCATCTTGGTAGAAACAACAGTACCAGTCAAGATACGGCCACGGATGGAAACTTCACCAACGAAGGGGCACTTCTTGTCAATGTATTGACCATAGATAGCCTCAGAAGGGGTCTTGAAACCCAAACCGACATCCTTGTACCAACGGCGACCGGCACCCTTCTTGGCGTTTTGGAAGATATGGGGTTGCTTTTGATAAGCACGCTCACTTTGAACGACAAGCTCGGTAGCCATTATTGTTAGTTTTCTGTGTTGGCAGTTGTCAAGGCACCCTTTTCCAAACAACTAGTCGGATCCAATGTTTCCATGTGTGACTGTTTTTCGTGTAGCCCTACCCTATTATACCTGCTTGTACCTTTGTATGTTTATATACATAAGTGTACCAAGGCATTTAATGTAATAAGTGTAAACAAGCAAAATGTGTATATAAACAAAAATAAATGAGCTTTCCGTCGTTTGTTTAATACGAGGATATAAATGTTCATTGAACTTTTTTTATTGAGTTGCTATTTAATGAAGGCAAGTAAAAGTTTACTGAATATGGTTTAAATGATGGAAATTTGAGCTTTACAAAGTATGTAGTAAGACATAGATTTCATTAGAGTCGTAATGATCAGTCATTCTAAATTTCTACTGTATAATGCCTTTGGAAATATTTGATTTTTCTTGCTGATGTAGACTACATATGTTAAATAATATCTTTGTTGAGGATCGTTAACACAAGTACATAGAAGAGCAGTACAATTTGAAATAAATAAAAAAAATTCGAAAGAATCCCTTTTCTTCTTTTTGTAAGGAAAGTAAGGAATCCTTTACTTGGTTGTACTGTTTGGCACTGTAAACAAAACATGTAACTTGTTGAAAGTAACGCTATATTTTCCTTGCAGAAAAAATCAAATAGTTCTTCCATACTTTCAGGGTTCATGTTAATAATATATGTATAATTTTTATTTTTTATTTTCTTTAAAATATGTTGTGTCGTTTTCTACTGCACGTCTGTGAAACATTACAAACATAAAAAGGCTCACAAATCGTAAATATAATATACCTCAGAAGCGAGCATGTAGCAAACCGTTTTTGCTTAGAGACCTTTTATTATTCGAAAATAAGAGAATAAAAAAAAGGAAAACGGAGATTTTTACACTTTTTCTTACGAAAACCGTATTTAGCTTGATTTACCTCTGCTAAGCGAATGTTTACCTTGTGTCATGGCCGCTTTAATTTACTCTACTTCCACCATTGCAAATATAGATGCCACGATTCATTTGAAAGGAAGGCTTTTTACTGAATTATATGATTTTGTAAACAAAAAATGTCTCGAAACTTAGAAAAAGAGCTATTTGTCTCGGGTACGACTGGTTCGAGCGTGCTTGAAACGACAGTTATGATATGCATCGGCCTTGCTTGTTGTGTGCTTTGGACATCCATGAAGGTACGGAAAATACTTCCTGCTAAAGGATTGGCGAGCTTTTTTTTTGAATTTTGCATCTTTCTACTCGTTCCTCTATTAGCTCTGCATTTATCGGGAAAGGTTCATCCTATATTATTGACTGTTGCTTTCCTAGCTCCTTCAGTGTTCCTTCATTTTTCCAGTCCAGTAAATTGGAACTATTTAAAAAGATTTCGCAATGGAAAGGGAAAGCAAACTGCTGAAAATGGTGAATTCGACCGTCGTATAGCTTCAGTGACGTTCTACCGTTCACAAATGATGCTTGCGACTATAACTTGTATCCTTGCAGTGGACTTTCCCTTTTTTCCAAGAAAGCACGCAAAGGTGGAAACTTGGGGAATCTCCCTCATGGATTTTGGTGTGGGCTCTTTTATGTTCTCCTCTGGTACTGTTGTTGGCCGAAAAAACGATATTCAAAGTCCTGGAGCATTTAAAAAAGTGCTTTTTAATGCGTTTGCTTTGTTTTTGCTAGGTATTGTTCGGATATTTTTGGTCAAGGGAATTGAATATCAAGAACATGTTACGGAATATGGCGTTCACTGGAATTTTTTCTTTACCCTAAGTTTTATGTCAGTTACAATATTTATACTTCGAAAATTACTTTCCAAGCTTTCTTACTTCTACCTTGCTACATCGGTGACGCTTATCCATCTTTTCTTGCTAACGTGTACGCCTTTCCAAAAATGGGTTTTACTAGCTCCGCGTACTAGCATTTTGTCTCAAAATAAAGAAGGAATTGCGTCTTTATTGGGTTACACATCAATCTTCTTGTACGGTATGCATACCGGAAGCATAATACTAGTCGACCGACCACGAATGTATACTCGTGCAGAGTCATGGAAACGATTCCAAAAGCTTATATTCCCGTTGCTTTCCTTAATGATCTTGTATTTTGTGTCTGGTTTCTGTACGAACGGAATTTCACGTAGACTTGCAAATACGCCTTATGTAACTCTAGTTGCTTTTGTAAACATGTTTTTCTTGTGCTTATACTTATTATATGACGCATACGTATTCCCACCTTCTTTTTCCTATTCAGAGCGTGTTCCTAGGATTCTAGAAAATGCAAACAATAACGGCCTGTTTGTCTTTCTTTTGGTAAGTTTACTTTTTTTCTTTTCTTTTCTTTTCCTGTCCTAATTCTTTTTCTTTTTTATATCTTTATTTTCTTTATTTTTTTTTGACTTCTAAACTGACTAACTGCTTTAGGGGAATCTTCTTACTGGTTTAGTAAATATTCTAATTGACACATTGCGCAGTAGCAATATCAAAGGATTGCTTATACTTACAGCTTACCTTCTCATAATTTGTTATGGAACTAGTAAACTCCAATCTTGGGGGATCCGCATTAGGATTTAGATATTATTATTCCATTTTTCATTCCGAATTGTGATTCGCTTTCTTTCTTTGTGTTGCATCTTTTTTACCTTTTTTTTGAGACGTCCTCAGTGATTTTTATATATCTTCTACAACGAGCATTGTTCCACTTCTCGATCATTTCCGCTTCGTAGTATGCTTTATTGTTTTGCATGCGCTTTTTGTATTTTTCGTATCAATGACTAGAACAGCAGATACAGACGATTTTTGAGTGTTGTAAAACATATGTTCTGTAATATTTCAACAAAAGTTTCATTATTACCATATAAATGATTCAACTTTCACTTTTAAGATACACAAACTTCATATAAACAAAAGATTCATGAATCATGTTCGTTTAGGATGATATCGTATTCTGGCCTTACTACCATAACAATATTTCAACTTTCATTCCTTCCAATCTCTGTCTGCGATTTTTCAATTGCTTACGCACTAAGAAGAAAACCTACTTTTTCTTATTTCTTCTAAAAACCATAGTCTGGAATAAAACGTCTATACTAAAGGAATTGCATCTGTCGGCGGGTTTTTCAACTAGATTCATTCTTTGGTATTCGGTATTTTGGGTAATCTATTTCGTTTTGTTTTCTGTTTTTTCCTTATTTATTTCAAAAAACATGAGTTTTTGAATTTAATTATATAAGAATCAGGTTAGTTTTGAATATTTTACCTATAGTTTGCATTTGCACTATAATATTATGGATAAAGAAAGCGAAGCTCAGGACGGAAGTAAAAGGGCTTATGCTTGCCCATATGACGAGTGTAACAAGTATTACTCAAGGCCTTCGCTGCTGGAACAGCATCTTCGTACACATTCAAATGAGGTATGTAACCAACAAATTGTTGAGTCTCGGAAGGAATGGTTTGATTTTAACTATATATTAGCGCCCATTCATATGTGAACATATAGGATGTGGAAAGTCTTTTCTTCGTAACTCTCATTTAAAAACTCACTTGCGGTCTCACACGAACATTAAGCCCTTTAGTTGTGGCTATGAGGGGTGTGCTTCTTCTTTCTATACGCTTCAACATCTTTTACGACATGAAGTTGTCCACAAGAAACCAAGACCATACGCTTGTACGTGGGCCGGTTGCATAGAACGGTTTGCAAAACATCAGCAGCTACGTTTGCACATAGCTAATGAACATACTCATTCATCACCTTTTCCTTGCACCGTTGCAGGATGTACCCAAGGATTCTCGACGAAGCAGAGACTGCAAAATCATATCGATCGCTTTCACGAAAAAATAGTGACTTACAAATGTCCTCACGAGTCTTGCCTTAACAATCTTGGTTTTGAGAAGTGGAGTCAGCTGCAAAGACACATCCGTGAAGCTCACGTACCTACTTGCTCCATTTGTGGAAAACGCTTTCGCAGTGCAGCTCATCTTCGACATCATGTTACTCTTCATATGACAACACTTGAAGAAAGGAAGAGTTTTAAATGTTTTTACGAAGGATGCTCGAAATCATTTACTAGAGGTTCTGCATTGAGAAAGCATGTACAAGTAACGCACGAAGGTGTATTACCTTTCTCTTGCCCTACTTGCGGAATGAAGTTTGGATACAAACATATGCTACAAAGGCATACTGAGAAAAGTGCGTGTCCTGAATTAAATGCTTCTCCAGAAGATGCAGCAAACATATCAAGATCAACGCTTGTTCCTGTCGGTGACGATGAAGAGAAAAAGTTGCCTCACAATACTGATATTGAGCAGGTTGTAAATCAAATTACGGGATACGGCTATGAAGATAATCGCTTCTTCCCTTGTACAATCCCTGGATGTCAATATCGATTCAAGAGACTTTACGATCTTCATAGACATGCTGTTTCATATCATGACTTGCCCACGGTTGAGGAAAGCACTCCTAGTGTAGAGGCCGTATCCTCCTACTCTATATCATGAGAGAAAAAAAAAAGAAGACACCAATTTTTATTAATTTATTAGCTATAGCTTTTAAAAATTTTAGTTAATTTTTTTTCAAAATAGAACAACGGATCTTGAACAAACGTTTCTTTCCAGGGTAATGTTCAAGGTAAAAACATAAAGGCTGCGTGAGCGAAGAGGGGGAAATATAGGTGCATAGCAAAAAAGATATTCATTAAACGTTAAAATAGGATCAAATGTTACCATAAATCAAAGTTCACGAAGAATTCTGTCGACAGTATTCCAGTATCTTAGTCGGCTGACATGTAATGCAGCCAACTCCCAGTCAGCATTCGACATTGCAGCATTTATTTTTTGTATTTCTTCACTCTTACGACTATTATTCTCACCCATAAGTTGCTCAATCTTCTCAGGAGAGTCTCTGCTAGATGAAATTTCCTCGTGAACATCCATGATTTGCATCAAGAATTCTGGATCTTTGTCAGATACATTTTCCGAATCCGTGGAAATTCCTTTTTGTTGCAAAATATACTCTGCCCTGCTTAACGGTACCATTAGGGTATTGTATGCCCTTGTAAGTTCAGCAGATTTCAATTGAGAGTCGTTAGGATCTACCCCTTTGGCGACATCTGGATGGTGAATCTTAATTTTCTTTAAATACGCAGATCGTAGAGCCCCAGTGTCTATTTCAAATGGATTCTTTTGCAATGTTGAAGGGTCGCAATCAAACATTTCGAAGTACGACTCTTTATCATTCTTGTTGGAAGTACTGTACAGTTCTTTGCGAGATCCTTGAAAGCCAAAAAAACTGCTCCTGACTGGAAAGTTTTTAATAATTTCACCTAAAACAGGTTTCTGTAAGCTTATTCGTATGGCGTTTTTAAAGCCTCTCGCTTGCTGTCTAAACATTGATTAAATCTAGTTTTAATATTCCAAAATTCAAATATTCCAAGAACAATTATATGTTGAAGTTATTTCTTGTCTTCGTAGTTGGTTTAGTTACAAGCGAGAGTGCTTTCTGCACTTCATCATCCTACACCAAATGCTGTAATATACGACTATTTTCAGTTACGAGTTAATATTTAATTCTGTCTTTAAGGAGTAGTAACTGGGAAAAAAAATTTAAAAAATTTTGGTTGCATATACTTCACTAAAAACACAAATCCTTTACAATTCTCTACGTCTTTTTGAAGACTTTATAAGGATTACGCTAAACATTCTTCTTTCTTGTACATTTTATTTTAGGTTATCTAGTTCTTTCTCAACTGGGATTTTGCTCCTTCCCTTCGGTACCTTCTGTACAAATTCGGTATCTTCGATTCATTTAGCAGCTGTGTTGCCTAAGTTTAATTCACGATGCCATTCGGTCAAGTAGTCGTAGGTCCACCTGGTTCTGGAAAATCAACCTATTGCTTTGGAATGCATCAGTTTTTATCTGCTATCGGTAGACAATGTATAATCGTAAACTTGGACCCAGCGAACGACTTTATGAGCTATCCTTGTGCGATTGATATCCGAAAAGTGATCGACATTGAAACCATTCAGAATGATTACGATTTAGGACCCAACGGCGCTCTCATTTTTGCAATGGAAACTATAGAATACCATGTGGACTGGCTATGCGAAGAGTTAGAAGCACATAAAGATACATATGTTATTATAGATTGTCCTGGACAGGTTGAATTATTTACTGACCATGATTCTCTTCAAAAAATTATTTCTACCTTATCAAAACGTATCGATTTCCGCCCTGTAGTGGTTCAGCTCGTTGACTCGTTTTGCTGTACTGATCCTGCTGCATACATTAGTGCTCTCTTGGTTTGCTTAAAGGGAATGCTTCAATTAGACTTGCCTCATATTAATGTTCTTTCTAAAGCTGATTTACTTTCGAGTTATGCAGCATTACCTATGAACTTGGATTTTTATACCAACGTGGAAGATCTTTCTTACCTTACTCCCATCCTTGACCGTGACCCCCGACTCATACGCTATAGTCAGCTAAATAAAACGATTTGTGAGTTGATTGAAGAATTTGGACTTGTATCTTTTGAGGTCCTTGCTGTTGAAAACAAGGTTAGCATGCTTCATTTGCTTCAAAAGATTGACCAAGCTGGGGGATATTCTTATGGGTCTACTGAAATTGGAGGCGATATAGTCTGGGCAAATGCTGTCAGACAGGGAGGTGATCCTCTGCAAGATGTCTCACCTCAAGAACGTTGGATAGACCGAAGAGAAGAATATGATAGATACGAACGTGAAATGGAAGAGAAATATTTGGAAGAAAGTCAAAAGGTAAATGAGGAAGAAGAGCCTTATTAAGTTATATGACCTTCGCATAGCGAATTTGTTCACAAGTTCAATGTCAAAATTGTTTGATACTACGATTCTATATGATAAACTATTTCGTACTTCTGTTTTTATAAATAAAATTGTGCTATAGGTTCCCGGATAAGTAATAAAGCATTTGATAGTTCATTATTTAAGATGAAACTCACAAAATCGACTATTATAGACAAAATTGATCAAACATTACAATTATATACTAACATTATACGTAACTAAACATCACAATCTAAACCCTAGTGTTCGGATTTTTTGGGAGTCTTTTTTTTTCTCTCCTTTTCTCCTTTGGTTTCTGTACCCTGCTTTTCGACGTTAGTTTTTCTCACTCGTCATACGAATTATAACTTACGGTTTTCTTTTTCTTCTCCTTTCGCTTAACCTTGATAGGAGCTATATGAGGATTTGAGGCTGTTTCTGGACGGTAATCATTATCGTTCAAGGTTGAAGAAGTTGGCTCCAATGAAATTAAAAGCTTTTCTTTCGGAATTTTAGATCCTTCGAGCTGATCTTCGTCTGAAAGCCGTACACCTTCAGGTATTTCATCCTGAGCAATTTCTACAGGTCCTTGAGTAGGCGAAGCAAGAACTTTTCTCCGTCGAGTTTTCTTGGTAACTAGAATTCGTCAGTGTTTTTTGTTTTAAGAACAGTAAGTATCTTACCTTTCTTTACTTTACTTCCTGAAAAGAGGGAATCATTTTCGGTAACTTCGTCAACATCATTTGCGCCGTTTTCTATAGCGGAGTCTTTCTCCTTAGATGGGCTTGAATTCAGATAAAATGGATTATCTAGGTCTCTGACGGACCCGGATTCTTTCGCTTGCGGCATATTCGGGATATTATCTTTTAAAAACTCATTGGTCTCCCTTGTGCGTACTATGTTATTGCTTTCGTCTATCATATTCTTTACCTTTTTAGGTGCTTCAATAATACCATTAATGGGAGTTTCTAGATTGAGACCTTCTGGAGGTAAAACTCGTTTCTGTGCTTTGCTAGCAACAGGGTTAAGGGGGTCAGTAAAAAACAAGTTAAAAACAGTGTTTTTTATAATATAAGGAGGTGCTTGCTGAAACTCAAGGATTTCAGAATAATCATCTGTATTGAGGACCTCTTGTATTTGAGCAAACATAATACTATATTCAACTGCTCTTAATTGTGCTTCCATGTCGAGAAATTGCACATAATTATCCATGAATTGTTGAATTCGTGTAACCCATAGTTTTACTAAACCCAACTTCTCTGCTCCCCAGGCAGCTTCCTCATTTATACACCATTGACAAAATAACTTAGGAACACACTGGATTAAGACTGCTTGTATGCTAGAAGGAAGGGAGGTTGAAGCTGGACGAACCAAAACGTCCAAAATATCAATGTAATCTTCTACGTATTCGGCATACTCACCTAAACACCAAAGAAGAGAAGGCAAAACTTCAGAAAAGCTTTCTTCGGACTTCCTTTCGGAAAAAATAGTGGAAGGATCGGAAATTATTTGGGAAAATAAATCAACAGCGAATGGTCTAAGAGCTTTTACGCGAACACAAAGATCAACTATTTGAGAGGATAGTATTTTTCCTACGTGAATTTGCGGTATCCGTGCAAGATCCACGTAAACGCTCAAAAGCCATTCAAAATCAGAAACAACTGCATACGTAGACTTGGAAGTCATTTCTATCAGTTTAAGTGCAGTTATATTTCGAGATTCTTCAACATAAATGTCATCGGATGAAGCAACCAATTGAAGCATGATTGTCTTCACAATGGAAACAATGTTTTCTGAGTTCACTATTTGACAAACAAGATCCAGTGCTCTCATTCTAAGCGAAATATCAGAGTCGATTAAGCACTGAAGGATTATATCTAGTTGTTGAGCAACAAGCTCTTCATGTGTAATAGAAAGTTTAGTAAATGAAAGTAAAGCGACGTATTTTAAGTTCTGATCCGTGTCCAGGAAAAATTCACGTAATTTTGTCGCACACAAGCAAGCAAGTTGATCAGAACGAGAATAATTTACCAACATATTCCCAGAGACGATGGTATTAATGCACTCATACAATAATGACATGGCATGAGTAGTCTCAATTATTTGTGTTAAAGCCGGGACGAGTTTTTTAACGAGTCTTGGTTCATAAGGAGTTAAAGAAGCAAACAACTTCACGAGTTTAATAAGCATCCAGTTGTTGGAGGAATTCGTTAGCAGATGAAACAAATCAGGAGCAAATTCCAGGTAATTTTTTGGTGTCCTCCGTGCCAACTCACAAATTACACTAACTGAAGCGTTCACAACGGAGGTGTCAGTATCATCTAATCGCTCACGAAGTTTTGGAACACAAATTGGAATTGCATCTGGATACTGCAAACACAGTCGATAAAGGACCATGATGGTACGTTTGCGTATATAGGGTACCGAATGGTTCAGCAGAATCAACACATCTTGATATAAGTCTCGTGCTAACCCGTATGTAGAAATATGAGATAATCCATTAATGGCTATAGTAATTTCAGGTACTTTTGAACTCATGATATCCTAGAAGAGATGTTAGCAAGATGGCACTTTTAGGTTTGTAGATGGAAATGCAGTCGCACCTTTTTTATCAAATTTGTTGTAAGCATAAGAACATCAGTTGTTGGCTTAAACGACTGGACTGCCGCCAAATATCCTCTTTGTTTCTGGGAAAGTTGCGATGAAGCCATCACTTCAATGATTTGGAAACTTGCCCAGCTAATATCAAAACCAAACATCTCCAACTATAATAGTCAGTACTGACACTCAGAAGTGACTCACGAACATATGCAAGTTTTAATGCAGCTTCTGCTTTTATTTCTGCATCCTGGCTGGATACTTCTTTTCGACATTCCAATAGGCAACCATTAATGTAGCTTTCTTCATCATCTTTATGAGACCTTATGCCCTTAATAAGGTCATTTAAGGACCTTTCAAAAACCATGATCCTTTACTACGACTGACAAACCCGTTGTTTACGGTAAGGAACGTATACAGCTAGCCAGTTTATGCCAGTGTCTTCTACCCAAAGATGTAGTGGTATTGGACATAAAATACTGTACGTTCGACTTCGTTATTTCACTGTTAAGTCTGATTTTCTCGAAGTTGATAATTGAATACGATTTATAAAAGTTGTTTTTTTTTTTATAAGAGGATAGGCTTCTTCCAGGAAGCTAGATTGACTATTCTGAACTGTTCTGAATGTTCAAAAGCCATTTATAATATTACCAAGGTCAGAAAGTATATATTATGAACGTAAGTAACAGTCATTATCCTTTATCAAATAATATCATATTACAAGAAGTATATGATACTCTGTTAAGAAAATCTGTAAAAAAAACCAAGAGTTCACTTACTTTTTAAGGGATCCAATATTTTAAATCTTGCACTTACATGTAGATTGTTAGTGATGCATCTAGAGCAACCAGAGGCAAACTATCAGTGAGAACCTCTACTGCATTGTTTGAATGACAGAAAACTAGACATGAAAATTGCTATTAAACATAGTTTTTTGAGACGAAAGTCAATTTCCCAATTTATTTTACAGATTAGAAGGTTCCAAAAGGTCATCGACATCTAAAAAATGTTCGTTGTGGATGATCTTATTATATTTTATACTGCGTAAATTTGTTTTTCAGAGTGCCAACCACTAATACACTCGTTTCTAACTTAAATGATGTTTTGAAGCCACACAATTCATATGCCTTTCTTGACTAGTAAATGAAAGGTCGTAGTTTACAAAATAAGAATAGGTAGTGAACACATGAACATCTTGTTTTGGGGTTATTAAAACAGTAAAAAACTATATATGAAAACTATTAATTAAGCAATTTCGTTGTATTTAAACAGACATATGGTCAATACAAAAGCCAAACATGCTTATTTCGTACCCCAAGTTTTATTATATATTATCGTATCGAGTTTGTAAATAAACATTAGAAAGTGACGTGAAAATAGTTAAATATATGAATGTAGGGAAATTGAAAAAGAAAAAAAAAAAGCTAGAATTACTAAATTTTAGTCTGTTATCTGACCATCTATTCATTTGGGTGTAGAACTACGTATAAATATATTCAGATATAGTCAAGCCATATAAATAACCTGAAGCATAACTAAATTCAAGTACTACTGGTAAATTTTAAGCAAATAATTTATGAATAAAATACAAAAAAATTCATTATTCCCCATCTTCTAGGTTTAACCTTTTCAGAGCAGTTTTCAGACATTCACGAATTTCTGAATCATCAACTACTTCTCCACCGTAAGAAGCATCTGTACTCCTTTGTATACTACCAAATAAAGGAACATCTAATCCTATTGTCCGAAGCTCTTTATGCTTTTGTATAGACATGTTCATGATGTGATCCTCCACAGTGTCTTCGACAATATAATAATACACATAAGTAGGTCGTGTTTGACCAATTCTATGCACCCTTGATATAGCCTGTAGTTCAATTCCACTATTTAAAAGTGGTTCGCCTATATTGGTTAGTTCATGGCCCTTATATATATTTTCTTTCAAAGGATTTTTAAACATACACATTATTACATGAGTAGCATTAGTAAGTGTTAAGCCAGCCCTGATAACTAGTTAAAATTGCATTTCTCGTTACAGAAGAGTACTTACGATTGAGACCTGGAATGTAACGTCAATACTTCTATATCTCGATCAGCTTTAAAATTCTTCAAGCAATTGTTTTTAGCTTTTCCGTCAAATCTTAAAAACGAAACATTGTTTGCCTCAAAGGATTTGTGCAGTACTTCCAAAACGTCTAACCATTGGGAAAATACCACTACTTTTGGATACAGCTCAATTTGTTTTAAATACTGGTAATAATTAGTTGTGACTTTGAACACAATGATACTTACAATCAAATGTCTAACGATTGCATCAATTTTTGACCCAAAAGAAACTTTCAATGGAATAGATACGATACGCTTTAATGTCTCTTCGTCCAACATTTCCATATCCTTTTCACTAGTAGGGAATCCTAAAACAAACTCTTGTCGTGTACGTATGTCAAAGCTTTCGCCAATGTAAAACGCACTATTTTTTGTTAATTTGGCTTTGCACATAGGGCAAGATGGGTGGTGTTTCATCCAAGCAACTAAGCAATCTCGACAATAAAAATGCCCTATTAAGGGAATTAGTATCAGCGGTACATAAAAATATCATAATACAAATACATACCACATGTTGTAATAAAGCCTTTTTTAATGACGTCTCGACAAATAACGCATTGCTGCTTCGAACTAGCACGGAGGACGACGTGCTCATACAAATTACAAAGATATCGATGTCTAGATTCAAAATGTCCGATCTTTCTTAAACCATTCTGCTTTTCTTTATTAAGCTCATTCAATAAAGCCAGATGAGCAGGAATATCAATTTTAAGGACCATCTCATCAACGCTCTCAAGTTCTGATTTTGATTCTTGCGTCTCCTCTTCCAGTGTCTTAGCACAGGCTTCCTTAGCGACCCGTACAGTAGATTCAAACAAATCCGTCTGTTCGTTTTCTATTTTAGAGACCTCCGACTGACTTATCTTAGGAGCTGCTGGTGGTATCAAAGAATCTGAAATTTCTTGCAAATGTTTATAGTAGTCAATTCTCATGTTGTAAGTTAATTGAATCAAGCTTAACTCTTTTTCCAATTTTCTGCACGTTTTGGATTGAGCTTTTGTAACTTCATTTACTTGTTCAAATAATTTTTGGGCAATCGTATATTCATTAGATGTGCTGGACTTACCCAATGCGTCAGCTAGTCTTGATAATATGTTTTGAACAGATCCAAGTTCCTCACTTTTTGGACGGGCTTCTTCTCTTTCTTCAAAAAACAGCATATATCCTTCATTGCGCTCCAATGCTTCTTTTTCACCTAGTTCTTCGGCATTCTCAATGTTTTCCAACAGTTTAATTTTTTGTAATTCTGTCTCATGAGAGACGAACGTATTCATCGTTCCATCAATGGCAGCCACCCGATCAGAAATCATTTGCCGGTACACATCGATACAAAATGAAATTTCCGATTGGGCATTCAAAGACTCTTCATATTCATCTCCTGTTGGATCAGATTCTTGGTCCAATAAAGGAAGCTTCATCAAATAAATTAGTCGCTCCCGAAATTTCACTAAAGATTCTGCTTGCAAATTCAACTGTTCACGTATCTGTTCATAGTCTTCAACTGCTATGTAACTCAAAATAGTTCCTCTTGATATTAATTTTGGCAACTTCGGTAGTACAACAAAATTCTTTTTGTTGAACTGCTTGCTAAACTCGCCAATATGTTTGCTTGTTTTTACAATTATATCATTCATCATTTTCCTTCGCAAATCTTGAGCGAGTATATAGTATTTTTTCTCTTGCTCTTCGTTTTTTAGGACGAAGTTAGTACTTGCAATAAAAAAGTAAATTTTATGGAGCAAAATTTGCCATGCTCGTAGATTGCCAGGATAGTTTAGACCAGCGTATAACAAATTAAGCTCTTTTTCTTCTGCGTTAGTTTCCAATCGATTGGTAGCACTTTCTAAGCCTACAAGTATTTCTTCCACAGTTGGTGAAATTTCGTTCCAAATGCTTAACGCTTTATTATAATCTTTAAGATGGTCAAAAATCCAACCTGTTGTTACTACATCAGAAAAAAATTGTCTTTTCGTCGATGAAAGTAATGAATTGTTTTGTTCCAGCATGAATATTAAAACATCATTTATGCTTTTCATAGGACCACCACCAAACGCAGATTTATTACCTGAGCCTACTTGAGGGTGACAGCAAGATTGCCTTAAGCGAATGAGCCAGCGTTTCATACTGTCTAATTGGGATAAGTCCAGATAATGGTCATCCAAATATTTTAATGATTTTGCTGCTTCGCTAAGGAGGTCTTGGTAATTAGTTTCTTCAACAACCGTGAGTCTAGTAGGCATATACATACGATGCTGTGTAGGTAGTTGAAGTTCGTGGGCGATATCTTCTTTACAGTTCCTGCAAGTCAATGGGGAAAATATACTACAGAATTCATGAACACGATTAAGTTCAATAATCTGATTCCATGTTTGCTTCCGATGTTGATAAATAGGCGAATATCGAAAAAGGAAAAGCAGTCCAAAGAGATCATCGACATCGTTTCGTACCGGTGTGCCACTTACCGCCCAGCAATTTACTCTTGGGATTCTATAAATCATTTGAGCAACATTGCTCTGCGAAGTCTCTACCATTTGGGCCTCATCCACACATATTCTCCACCAACAGATATCAATGAGCGGAGATTTAGGAGGAATATGCCGTTTTTCATGGCGAAGATTCCTTGAGAAAGATTCGGCATATAGCAATTCAAAACGCAAATCAGAATAAGATGTTACGACTATGTCAGCATCCAGAAATTGCTCTACAGGAATTGATCCAGACTTTCGTACGCCTTTATAATGAAATAATTTCAAGGAAGGTACGTGCAATTCAACTTCAGAAATCCACTGATCAATAATTGTTGATGGCGTAATAATAAGAGTAGCTCTAGATAAAATTACATCCTTCTTCAAAACGGGATCGTACTGAGTACCAAAAAGATTATCCTTAGATCGTTGATGAAAAAGTATAAGAGACAAAATTTCTAATGTTTTTCCCATACCCATTTCATCTGCAAGAACACCACCTTTTACTGATGCAGGGGCAAGTTGAAAAACGTTTTCCTTTGATAGTGTCACATAACCATACGTATGGTTGACAAATATTTTTCTTTCATCATGAGGAAGCTGGTATTCATGCCATAAAGGAGGCAGCGGACATGAGTTCCTTGGAAGATCCGTCTCTCGATGAATCATCCATTCTATGGAGCGTCTCTGAAATGGAAGAAGATCCGATAGTAAACGCTTATCACGACGGATGTCTCCGGTAGGTAAACTCTTAGCCAGCTCTCTAGCATTGTTGTAGAAAAGTCTCGTACTAATTCGAGGTTGATTTTCTGGTCCATCAAAAGGAGAAACAAAAGTTTGGTCGAGTAAAGCTGTGTATATAGAAGACGTACCGGAAGCCATGATAGCTTCTTCGGGCGCTATTATTGAATCCAAGATAAAAATCCCAAAATTGAGTTCAAGCGTTTCATTATTAAACGATATAAAGCATTGGAAATAGATTAAAAACTTTACTTTTTGAAAAGCTTCCCACAAGCGACTCCATAAACTCAAACGTGAAGTCATTGTAGATGACAGAGAGTTGGCATCTACATGATAGATAGCTTCAAGTTTATTTCTAACGTTTAATTTTTTAGTAGTGAATCCGTAGATCTTTAGAATACTTTCTGGCTCGAAAGACATTACCGTAGCTAAAGGATGTACTTCCAATTGTTTCAACTTTTCTTCAGAACCAAGCCATCCATCGGTACTTAATGAGAGTTTTTCACTGAACGCAGGATACGCATTTTCGAATTTGGGCTGCAAAAAAGATTGTTCCAATTTAGACTCAACTTCTTCCTTTACGGATTTTCGTCGTTTTGCTGGTCTCTCTTGCCTTTCGCTTTTACCTGTCATTTTCTGAGATCAATTCAAGAGTAATGAAGTTTACATTGGAAGAAGAGATAGCCATTCATTAATATTTTATGAAACTTCTGCCACTAGTGAAAAGTAAGTACTCGTAGGTTATTGACCCAGGTTATTGCACTATTCAGAACCTTGTATAATATTGCATTACCAGAAACTTGGTTATATTCTTTTTACTTATATTATCCAAGGGTTTATAATTCTAAACAGAAAAACAGAAAAAAGGTAAATTACCGGTTACTTACTCAATTCAGAATCTGTTAATTAAAGAGAAGATTATTTTTTTTTTTAATAAATAGAGAACTCGTCGAACCGTCTTAATACCATTAGAAAGTTGCTCAATTCAGTAATTTTGTTTCACAGTTTAGCATCACAAAGTAGTACTATGTTAGAATACTTGGGAAATTCTTCCTCTTGGTCAACTATATATACTCCGTTCTGTATTGACTGACGAAGAAAACGTTGAGAGTACCTTAATTATCTGCAGCTTTACAATAACGCTATGGACTTACTACTCAAAGAATAAACATTCATATAAAAATATAATTTCAAAAAAATTCAGCATGACAAGTGTCAATTCGTATTGGAGAGTCTCCAAAGTTGAAAGTGCTCATTAAAGTATGTCTCGAAATTTAAAGCAATGCATAAAAAAAATTAGGCATTGCTCATAAACAAAACAAATGTATGTCCTCTTAAAAAATTCGCTGAAGATGAACGTTAAATTGTGTTTGTTTCAAAAATTTCATATAGCTTTGTAATGTATTGTTGACCACCACTACTGCCAGGGTATCTATGTTCGTCCGGAGGTCTGAATATGCCCTTGCTTACTCCAAAATTAAAGAGGCGAGTATTTCAGGTGGATGTGTAGTACACATTTTCGTTGCATTAGATCCTGATGCATTATGCGCTTGCAAATTACTGTCTCGATTGCTGAAGGCTGATTTTATATCTCATAAAATTAGACCTGTTTCAGGATATCGTGATCTGGAAAATGCGAACGAAACTATTTTAGAGAAAAATGAAGATTTGAAATTTCTAATTCTACTCAATTGCGGTAATATGGTCGACTTGAATGGTTACCTAAAATCTGATGAAGACATATCTGTTTATGTGATTGATTCTCATCGTCCTTACAATTTAGATAATTTATACAGGGAGAATAGGATATACATATTTGACGATGGTGATATAGAGGAGGATATGGGCAAAATACACGATGCATGGTTTGCACTCGAATCTTTACCTTCCTCTGACGAGGAAAGTGATTCTTCAGAATCTGAAAATGCACCAGAGGATGATTCTAATGATGGACAAGATGAAGATGAATCGAACAATCCTTCTGAACTTCCTAAGCGGAGCAGAAGAAGGTATTCAGCAGAAACAGAACAGCGTCGAGTAATTCGAAAGGATATCATAAGAAAAAAGAAAGAATATCATTATGTACTAGCGGAATACTATGACACGGGGTCTTGGTTTGGAGAGTCAATTACAAATATGCTTTACTCACTGGGATCTATGCTTGGTCGAGAGGATAACGACATGCTTTGGTTGGCTATTATCGGTCTCACAAGTCTGGAAGTTCATTGCCGCTCTTCTAAAAAGTATTTTGATAGATCCTATAATCTCTTGAAGGACGAAGTGAACCGACTGAACCCTGTTCCGTTGGAACGAACAAATGTTGGACGACCACATGGTAAGACTCCTTATGACCAATCCATTCGTCTTGAAGATGAGTTTAGGTTTATGTTAATTAGACATTGGAGCTTGTACAATGCCATGTTGCACTCGGCATACGTAGGCTCGCGTTTGCACATATGGAGCGAAGAAGGACGGAAACGCTTGCATAAGCTCCTAGCCAAAATGGGTTTGAGCTTGGTAGAGTGTAAACAAACATATATTCATATGGATATGAACCTAAAAAAAACTTTAAAAAGTAGTCTTCAAAGATTTGCTCCTCTTTACGGACTCGACGATGTAATTTTTCACAGCTTTACCAGAACATACGGATTTAAGTGCACACTTAGTGCAAGCGATGTTGCTTATGCTATTAGTGCTTTGCTCGAAGTTGGAGGAGCCGGTACATTTCTTCAAGCAAAAAACGTTACTAAGGAACCTGATATGACGGAGGAGCAATACCTGCAAAAGTTTGAAGAAGAACAAAAGCAAGAATGGTTAAAAAATTTTTATGACGCTTATGATGCCCTTGATAATGTTAATGCTTTAGAGAAAGCCTTGAAATTGGCTATGGACATGCAGCGTTCTATAGTCCGTACTGGCATTGCTTTATTAGAAAAAAGAGCCATAAAGGCATTACGTTCTTTTCGCATTGGTTTGATTAGTGAAGGACCTGATATAAGGATTTTTCAGCATCCACTTGCTTTGACAAAACTAAGCCTTTGGGTCTCCGAGGCAATTAGAGTAAGATTACTGCTTGATTATTCTACTATAAACTGAGAAAAGCTAACATAAATTATAGGAACAAGAAAAAGAATTGGGGAAACTTAAACATTTGCCTCTTGTTTTAGCTGTCATGATTGAAGAAAAAAACAGCTACTTAATTGTAGGTACTTCTACTTCCGCCTTCACAAGTAATGATGATGAAGACGACGGACATGGGCACAATCGCTTTGGCGTAGCTTTCCAAGAAGTAGCAAATATGACTTCTGCTACGCTGCAAATGGATTGCTTTGAAGCCAGTGTCATTGAATGTAAAAAGGCTGATTTAGGCTTGTTTCTTGAAAGCCTGTCTCTGAAAACTTTACAATAGTATGGCAAACATCTTGAAGGTCTATAGTCATAGAAAGGCATATGTGATTTTACTATATATATAAAATATTTATTTACCGCACCAGCAAGTGTTAGGACGCTCAACTTGTATACATACATCTTTTAGATTCGGTAGAGCCGTTTTCAGTTTTTTATAAATGTCGTTTCTCGTAATATTCAAATCACCTTCTATACTGACTTGAAGATGTAAATTCCCATACAGCTCACCTTTTTCGTTTTTCCAAAATTTTGGATTAGACAGACTTATAATAGACCTCATAACACTGATGTCCGAAAGGCATTGTTTTAAGATATACTCTGACTCTGAATCCGTTACTGTAAGCAAATTTCTTGCCGAATTAATTATAAGAGGTATGACGGAAATAAAAATAAAAATAGCAGTTATCATGGAAGCCAAAGGATCAAAACCTGTCCAAGAAAACCATTTAATAAGCAATGTAGAAACAATAACAGCAACAGAACCCATAGCATCTGCTAATATATGGAGGAAAATTCCCTGCATATTGTTATTTTCAGAATGATGGTGATGATAATGATCATGACCATGGTGGTGGCTGTGAGATTGATGACCAACACGAGGCATAAAATCTTGCTTTTCTAAACCTGAGTGATGGGAGTGGTTGTGAGAATGTTCATGCCGGCAGTCATCTTGATAATCGTTTACAATAGAGTGCGTTTGCAGGTCATGATTGTGACTATTAAATTCCTCGTATATATTAACATCATTAGTGCTGTTTGGAAGAGCTAATTCCTGATGACCATGTGAACAACTTCCGTGACCATGCGCGTGTCCGTGATTGAAAGCCACGATACCCACTAAATTCACGACAAGACCAATGAAACTTACAGCTAACAGTTGATCAGTATTCATTTTTGGAGGATGGAACAGCCGATACGACGCTTCACATACAATGGAACATGATATCAAAATCAAAAAGATTCCATTTGTAAATCCAGAGAGAGCTTCAACCTTCGCAAAACCAAAAGGATATGCGTAATTCGAAGGAAGCTTCACTAAAACCGTTGCCACTAAGCCCACAAAAACTGCAATGCAGTCGAAAGCCATATGTATGGCATCAGATATCAATCCTAAAGAGTTCGTATAGAAACCATAGAAAACTTGTACCATCATATAAAAAAGATTCAACAGAAAAAAAAAGAATATGCTCCTCGATTCTTTATCAGCAAGTATACCATCAACCAGGAATACTTTATATGTACTAACAACTCGACTGTTGTCGGGAAGTTTCAAGGTATTAGTGAAGTCTGAGCCAACATAAAAAAATGAGAAAAATAACTGGTAAGTCCTTATAATTCCCTTCAAGAGACTATTAGAAACAAAATGATGAGCGATAACGGAACCTATTGCTAAGACTACGCGAACGTCTCTGAGGTCCAGGCTGTAATTAATTATATCCAAATCATTGTAATTTATGCAAAATATCGAAATTAACGACGATAAAGAGAAGCGAGTAACTGATACGTCGAGAAATCTCATTGGAATTAAGCCGAATTGACTAAAGAAGCATATTAACAGAGACAAAATAATCAACTTAACTTCCGCTTTCTCTTGCCTTTTAGAAGGATCTTGATAGAAGGCACGTAAGAGGATGGAACAAACTATACAAAGTATGCCGAACAAAGTTTTTATAACAGACGAATCTGGCTCAACAAAAAAACTTGAAAAAAGAACGATTATTAAGCATACTGATGGGATAATAAGATAATGTTTTAAAGAAGAGAAGGCTGCAATAGGGGTAGGGAATTGAGAGCGATGGTCAAATAACTTATAGGATAAAATGCATAAACACAGAGTTTCAAGAGACCCAAATTCTGAGGCACTAATTGTTAATAAGCTCATGGATATTGTTGTAATAAGCACATTTTGGATTCGGAACGGTTGATAACTGTAAGAGAATATACCCAAATATTGAGTTACAAAACTTATAAACAAAAACAAGCCAAACACCATATAGAAAGGTAATTGAATAGTAGCATCTTGGACCTTGAAGTTCAACAAAAAGAAATACAGTAATACAAAGGTAAACCCAAAAAGCTTCGACGACAGGAAAGAATGGTTGCTAATAAATTTCCGAAGATCATGCTTTTTAGCAAGTGTAGAAGCATCATGCTCTAACTTCTTGGAACTAATGCTCATGCTGTATTTAAGTACAATTAGCTACTAGTAAGCAAAAGCGATAATTTTGGCACTCCAGCAAAACTTTCCGTAGATACGTTTCTCAAAAATAATAAAAAATAAATAATAAATAATTAGCCAAACACGAAGCGAAGAATATTTAGGTCTTAGTCCCTTTTCCGTAAGAATCAATTGCTAGATGAGCTCATCAACTTAAATAGAAGGTTATTGAAAAGAATAAAATACTTAAAGACATCAATTTTGTAAAAAGGAAAGTGAATGAGAAGTAACAAAAGGGTTTCGTACAAAGCTACCCAGGTATTGGCATACAGACAGTTGAAAGTAGATCGGAAATGAACAATGTAAGTAGCTTGAAGTTAAGAAGACTATAATTTAAAAGAACAATGCCATGGTATTTTAGAATGGTTTCATGCTTTCTTTTTTAACTCTTTTTATTGGTGTCCTTTACAACATATTATTTAGGTACTTTTTTTATAAGGACTGCATAATTTTGGAAAATTTTGGGAAAATGGGTCGTAGGCAATATTCTGGTAAAAAAAAGGTAAATATAAGTTAAATTGATTAGAATATTATGGAAATGCTAATATGGGTCAGAGAAACGACGAGTTTATAGATTGGAATCAAGTACCACGAAGGTAAAATTGTTTGCGAATCTTGGCAATTGGAACTGACTGTATAATTTTGTAGAAATGAAGGTCTAGAAAAATACTACAAGCTCCAAGCGCTTATGTCAGACGATGAATTGGAGAGTTTGATGTCAAAACTTGCTGAACCTTTGCCGACTACGTTTCGTATTTCCTCTTGTAATCAGTATGTTTATATCTACCGCATATAACAAGTTTCTAATGCATTTATCATAGACATGCGACTCAGGTTCGGGATCATTTCATAAAGCATTACTATCCTTTAATTGAGAACGTGGAAGTTGAGGGTACAAAGGTTTCACCTCCTGTCATATTACCATGGTATCCTAATCAAATGGCTTTCATGTTGGATATTCCAAAGACTATTATTCGAAAGAGTCCTCCGTTAAAGCTACTTCAACAATTTTTAGTTTTAGAAACCGAAGCAGGTGATATCAGCAGACAAGAGGCTGTAAGTATGATTCCTCCTCTTTTCCTTCACGTGAAAAACCATCATAAAGTTCTTGATATGTGCGCTGCTCCTGGATCTAAAACTGCTCAGCTTCTAGAGGAGCTTCATACTCCTGCAGATGGCCAAGAGACATTTGAAAGTCTGCTTCCTTCTGGTATAGTGGTTGCAAATGACGCTGATAACAAACGAGCTCACATGCTTGTCCACCAGATTAAGAGATTGAATTCTCCAAATGTATTAATCGTCAATCACGATGCATCTTTCCTCCCTCATTTCCACGTAGAAGTAGATGGCCCAAATGGGAAAGAAAAATCCTACCTAAAATTTGATCGCATCTTAGCTGATGTTCCATGCTCCGGTGATGGCACATTTCGCAAAAACATCTCCCTCTGGAATGATTGGACATTGAAGACAGCTCTTGGTCTACATTCTACCCAAATAAAAATTTTGAAACGCGGTATTGATCTACTGGCTAGTTCTGGTCGTCTTGTCTACTCTACTTGTTCAATGAATCCAATTGAAAATGAAGCTGTCGTTGCAGCCGTTTTAAAATCAAGCAAGGGCTCGGTTAGATTGGTAGACGTAAGTAATGAAATACCTGAGCTGAAAAGAGGCCCTGGTGTGAAGCGTTGGACCGTTTGCGATAGTGAGTTGAACGCCTACCCTTCATTTGAATCCCTTCCTAAAGAACTTAACGGAAAAATGGCCAAGTCTCTTTGGCCACTACCTGAGGAAGAACTTACACAAATGGGAATTGAGAGATGCATGAGAGTATATCCTCATCATCAAAATACGGGTGGCTTTTTCGTTGCCGTATTCGAAAAATGTGACAACTCAGATGTCTCAATGAATAAAGACATCGCTGAGCAAGATAATTCGGACGATGTAGGTAAAAATGTCGATGTTGAGCAACCTATGCCAAAAAAGCAGAAATCATCCAATTTTGAAAAAAGATTAATGTCTGCCGAAAATCGGGCTCTAAAAGCTGGGAACAAATACCACGAACTAGATCCTTTCGTTTATATTAAAGAAAATGATGAAATGCTGAACAAAATCTATGAATCATTTAAAATGGATGAAAAAAATTTGAAGAAAGATTTGTTTTTTGTTCGGAATCTTGAGGGAACAATATCGCGTGCTGTGTACATTTCCAACAGTTTATTTAAAAATATAATTGAGTGTAATCGAAACAGAGTTAAATTCGTACATGGGGGTCTGAAAATTTTTGTTAAGCAAGATTTTGGAAGCTTATCTAAGGAAGTTGCTAAAGATGCCAACGTCTGTGTTTTCCGTGTTCAAAGTGATGGATCAAGACTCGCGAGCCACTGTATTAGCAAAGATTCTGTTTTAACTACCAATCTCTCAGATTTGATGATTTTCTTAGAACACGAAGCCGTTACTGTAGACAACTTTCCGGAAGACAGTATTTTCAGAAAGCATTTCGAAAAACTTCCCTTAGGAAATACCCTTCTTTACGTTGATCTCAAAAAGGAAAATAGCGTTATCAAAAAAGACGTGTATATTCCTCTCTGGAGAAGTGTTCGTATGTGTAATGTCATGATTTCGAACGCCGAAAAAAGGTATGTATTAATTTTTTTATTGTAGGATGTGGTAACTAACCCTTCTTCCTAGGACATTAAAACTACAGATTGAAGGACCCAGAATTGAAGATCAAGCTTAATCTATTGAAAAGATTACCTAAAATATGATTTAGAAATAAAAAAGTTCCTATGGATATGTAAAAAAGAAAGAGAATACTTTTTTCACATTAGCTTATGTTTTTGTGCCAAAAAGTTTTGTTCTTTTCTAAATTAATAGGTAGATCAAAATGAATGTAGTGCGAAGATATCCTTAAACAATTCCGTATAAAATAGAAAATTAGGCAGCTTCTTGTTCAACGACTGGGGTAGCTTCTGATTCGGGTTTGGGAGTGAAGCTAGCTTCAATTTTTTCGAGTTCCTTCTTAGCCTTCTCAATGCGTTCCTTAGTAGCAGAATCTTGCTTTCCTTTCAATTCAGCAATACGTGACTTGAGTTGTTCAATGGCAGACTCAACTTGAGTCTTGGTCAAAGGAGCTTCGACACCAACGAAGTCAAATTCCTTAATGGTTCCCAATGAAAGATTGAGTCTATCAGAATCTGCATGGTTGTTACTATTATTTTTGTTGGATTTCTTGGGCTTGGATTTCTTGAGACCGGAAAAGAGAGCATCATCGTCAGATTTGTCCTTCTTCAAAACAGTTCCCTCGGGAATAGGATCGACGTTACGAGGGGCAAGGGTACGAGGACGCATGTTATTGCCAGAAGTTTGCTTGGGACTTTCACCAGATGGTTGAGAAGATTCAACAGGAACATTGAACATCTTGAGCAAGTTTTCACAAGCAAGAATTTCCTCGGTGAATGCAGGGATACTAGCTTCTTCAAGTTTACGTTGAGCGACAACTTGCTTCTTTTCCTTCTCACGGGCTTCGCGTTCTAACCGAATTTGCTCCTGACGCTTAGCTCGTTGTTCACGCTCGTAGGTTCGGAAAGCACGTAATTGGGTATCAAATTCTTTTTGAATTCCTCTGCGTTGGTTGTACAACTCATCTAAAGTAGCTTTTTGGGCGTCACGTTCGCTAAACATTTTACGTTGGTCTTTATAGTAACTGTCTTGCTTTTGACGAACTTCGTCCAGTTGAGAGCGAATCTCAACAAACTTTTCACTCAACTTTTTAGACTCAGGATCATTAAGCTGGTTGCGAAGTTCGTTGAGCTCACTTTTCATGGTATCAACGGAAGCCTGAAGAGTGTTCAGTTCAGTGAAGCTTCTTCTAGTGCGATTGCATTGAGTGATTTCTCTAAGATACTTCTTTTCGTCAACAATCTTCAAAGTACCAGAATCAACGGCAGCTTGAAGTTGACGAACGTGACGATCAAGGTCAGCTTCCGACTTGTATGGAACAGTCTTTCTCAACCCGTTAAGATCACTTATCTAACTTAGGTTAGCATGTAGAACTACTATAAAGAGCATATAAGAAAAGCTATGAACAAACCTTCTTCTTTAGGGCCTCGTCTTGAGCCTTCACCTTGTTAATAAGGGCTTGCTTGGAAGTACGAATGGACGATTGAGCGTTGCGGATTTGATCTAATTCAGAACGAAGTTCCGCGTTCTTCTCTTGCAAGGAACCAGCACTGCGAACTGCTCCGAGCTTTTCCTTTTGTTCAGACTAAAAATACAACAAGTCAGCTTATGTTTGTCTAATACAACAAATAACCAACGCGACCGCTACTTTCAGAGTCAAATACATCCTGCAATCCTTCTTAACTGCAAAACGACGCGTAGTATATTATATATATCGCAAACTTGATAATATAACGGTTCCAGCGAATATAGGCAAATACTTACGAACTGCTTCTTAACCTCATTGATTTTAGCATCTAATTCATTTAATGCATTTTTATGAGATGTTTCATCAGGACGAACAGGTTTGTTTGATGACATTATTGCAATTCTTCAGGTTGTTTCCGTACCGTTGATGGATGGTGGTATAGTTCAAGTTCAATAATGTGACCAACCACACATACAAAAGCGGGAATGTGAATAAATCGGTGGGATTTCTATAAAGTAGTTTTAATCTTGTCAATCGTATAATTACTCATTATTCTTATCTCAATAAAATATACGTCTTTTGAGTGAAAAGAAAACTAGCTATCAATGCAAGGTGGGCATAAGTACATCGTTGCTGCTGTTAACTGAAGCATTGAATGCTGAATTTGTAAGATTAACTAAAGGAACTAACATAATTTTTGAGGTAAGAATTACTGGTACAGAGAAAAGTTCAGCTACAAGAAGAGCCGGTATTTGTGGTTTCACGCAATGAGGTTTTTAATCAATTAACGACTTCTTTATTGACTAGTTAGTAAAAATCATACTTAGACTGTTCAATACTTAGCTTATGGTTAGGATATTTAGACCTTGTCTATTGCTCGGCCCTATGTGGTCATCCATAAATAAACCAATCTATCCTACATTCTTTGAAATTTGTATGAGGTTTTCTTCTTTTTTATTACATTTTAGTTACATCTGGGAACTGCTTTTGACGGAAACATACGATCTGGTAGTCCACCGACTTCAAAACGCTTGGCATGAAAGAGCATCTTCATAAATTTTCATTCATGACACTCAAGTGAGTAGTATAAGTTAAACAGTAATAAAATCTATGAATTGATGGGGTATTCATGAGGCTCCTGGGTGAATTGTTATTCAGCTATAATACCATATCCATCAAGAAAGTACTACCTTCACATAGGGACCAGTATCTGTGTGCGTAAGCCTGAAAGCTAATACAAGCGTTAAAAGTTGAAGTAATAATTCTTCTAATAAAAATTTCTTTATTTAAAGCTGGCACCTGTTACTAGAGCATTGCTTTTTCACATGAACTCGATTAAAAAAGAATTATCAAATATTATAAGTAATGATCGCTTAAGAGAAATACTTTCTTCTTTGGAATACAATATAGGCTTTCCTGAAGCTGAAAATACTGCTTTATTACACACAATTGCAGTCAACATTATACCTACCTTTTGGGAAACTAAAGAGGGAAATCCTTCTATTCATGATTATCTGGTTAATTGCTTTGCAACCTTTCCAGGACTCAAGGTGCTTTGTGCTCGACTAGATGAATTCCTATATGATAGTCAACCAAACGCGGGTTTTATTGGTACATTGTATCTGGATGTTTTGGAAGCTTCATTCAGAAAATTGAATTTAAAGAAAAATCGAAACATTTTCATGACCTCGGAGCTACCTGAACCAAAAAAGCGCTCAGCATGGTCGAGCTTTACATTCTTCCTTGGAAATTTTGGAATCGTCAACTCGTCTGCAGCTTTTATCTCGAAATATAGTATTTCGAAAACATACAGCGTTTCATCTATGGCTAACTATTCTTTGATCCTGACTAAAAAGATAGCTAACCTATTAGAAAGTCAAAATAGCACGATCATCAGCGACTTTTCTGACTTGTACCATTATTTGTTACGTCCTGGTCAACAAGAAGCAGCGATATGTTCTTTAGTTCCTTGTTTACATAAATATTCACCTTCGTTTCAAAAATTATTTCGTTCATTGAACACTCTAGATCGCAATACCTTTTTAACATACTTGTTTTTGGAATTGGACAAAGAATATTCTTCATCCACTTATCAAGATCCTCAAATATCAGAGTTTATCCCAGGAGCTTTAGCCACATTGCTTCGACTTAATTTTCTGCCGAGTGATTTTTTACAATGGTTGGAGTTCAACTGGGAGATACCTCTAAGTCTTTGTTTAAAGCGTTCTGTAGCCCTAAGTTGCTCTGCTTCTTACCACAAAGAAGATCGTGTGAAGATGAAGCAGACTGTTCACGCGCTATTCTCTATTTGGTCAGCTTCACAATTCTTAAAAAGGTTTACAATAGTGTCTCAGGAGAATTTAACAATTTATCTAATTTTGCTATTTTCAAAACTCGAAAAAGAATTCCTTCATGAGTGCTCAAAGTCGTTCTTGTTCACTAACGGAATATCTAATAGACTTGAAAGCTTAGACGAAAGCATACGTTTGCAAGGCATGGTTTTAGCTGAAATAATTGCTAAATACTCTCTTGTATCAGAAAATAAATCGCTCAAATTTGACGTCCCTTTAATGGCTACATCAAAAGCAACCTACTTGAAAAGCTTAATAGGTTTAGTCGATCAATTTCAGTCACTGGATCTTCTATCTCAACCTACTGGCTCTGCGAGAAATGATAAGAAGCATGTTACAAATCATGAAACTGTTCAAGAGTCATCCTCCATTAGTGAAACACTGGAAGATAATAACGATCATGTCGATCAAACGTTAGATAATGATGATTTTCAACCGTATGATATTAATGATTCTGAGAGCGAAGATTCGGTCGACGATCCTACCCTTTCAAAAACGAAGGTAGATACACCAAAGTACATACAAAGTTTGTGTCGGTTATTACTAGATACTGAAAGTTATGATAAACAAAAGGTAGCCCTTGAGGCTGCCCCTGAGTTGATACAAAGGAAGTCGATGTTTGGAACAGAAGTTAAAGATCATGCTAAGTGGTTACTAGAAATTTTGGTTGGGCTTCAAGATCGATTTGATTTACCAAACTTTGATCGATTACAGCTTTCTTCGTTGTGCAATCTCCTTTCCGCCTGTCCGGAGATTTGCGGTCCGGAAATATGTACTATATTATTTATTGGTGATTTTTCTTTACGGCAAAAGACTTTGATATTATCAAGTATAGCTATGGCTGCGGTTTCTTTAGCTAATGATGAAACTAAATTCGAATTTCCCACAAAAAAATTACCTGACGCACTTCATAATCAATTTTTCTCTATTACACTTGATAGGTTGAGTTTTGATTTTGAAAAGAAACTTACGATGCCGATTATGGAAGAATACGAAGGTGAAATTAGGGGACCTAAGCCATTACAGACTAGAATTATTTCCAGACAAACGGAAATTGAGTCACGCAGGCGCTCTCCTAAGGCTAATAAACTGTCTAAAATAGTCGATAACTCCTTATTTTTGTTACTGACTAATGGCTTTATGATGGCAGTCAAGCGTTCCTCGTTTACTGATCCTTTGTTTTTGGTATACTATTTGAAAACTATGGGAATATTATTTTCACAAAGCTGTAACTCAAAGCTTGAAGGATTAAACCGAATGATAGATGAGTATATTACTGTCTTAACCGAAGTTTGTCGTCTCAAAGCCGAAAGCCCTGAAGTCAACGAATCACTTTTGTTTAATTTTTTGGCTATTTTGGAATTAACTCCTGGCTCTTTGTTAGCTTCACAGCACGGAAAGTCGCTATTGGGCTTCGAAGCGTATACACAATATTTGTTTAATTCCGCTGACAGTGGGGAGAAAGTAAAGTCAGTTGCCGCAATGGTGTTACTTGAATTTGAAAAAAGAATGAAAGATTACAGAAGTCTCGCACTAGAAAAGATACTTGACGATTCGTCTAATTTATCGTTAGGAAGATTTGGTTTAGCCGGAATTTAACTTATGTTCTCGTTAAGGATGTTTGAAAAAAAGGTTGATAACGCGTTATTGGACTCATGATTTTTTCCGACATTTAAATTTTCAGATATACTGCTTAATGAGATTCGGTCTTGGTTGGGATGATTTTGATTGCCAGGAAGTTGCTTTACAGCCCCTTCATGACCTTCGAAGCCATCCAATTTGTTCCGAAGTTCCTTTAGAAATTGCTGGTGTGATTTGCAAGGAAAGTCTAATTCATTATCCGGTATCTGTTGACTGTCTCCCTGATTATGGAAAATGCTTTCATAACAGGTTATTAAGTCATTCGTCTCAAAAACTTGATGAAGATTTTTTGTAGCCAAATCAACCACAATAGTGCAAAACTTAAGATTAACGTTTTGTATTTTTTGCATTGTGTCCCAACAAGGTGGAATTAAAAGTCTATCATTGTCAATCGTATTTGATGTTATAGTATGATGGTTTTCTTGTAATGAAATTGGATTATCATTTAGAAGATATAGATTTAGAAGGCTTTTGAAATTGTCCCATGAACACGGATTTGTCGAAAGGTACATTAAAGAGGACATGGGAATCAGGAGCAATAGGCTTCGAATAAATTGTTGTATGAAGTCTTTCATATCATCATTCATAGAAAAGGTTTTATTTTCATCGTCAATCTAGGAGATCAGTAACAAGTTATAAGATTCGTATGTACCTGGGGTAAGATGATCGTAAAATTGAAAAAAGGACTAAATTCATCGGAACCGACTGTGGAAAAAAAGTTATGATATTCATTCATAATGGTTTTCTCTGTTTTATTAATGTCTGAAGACTAGTAATTGCACATACGCTTGTCCCGTGTTACGAAAAATTCCTCGTGAAATTCGTTAGTAGAGTTTTGACAAACTCGCAAAACTTCCAAGAGATCTTTTGCAAAACCTTTTGGATTTTCAGAAAACACATAATTTACGTATATCACCCATAAAGCATCCAGTCCATGCAAACGTAACGACTGATGCACAAAGAACCGTAATAGTTGATCTGTTATACAGGAAGACTGCCATACGTGAATGATTTGGCTTCTTTCTGCTTGTGTAAGTAGGTAGTGTATTTGTTTACTGTATATACCTCCTATATCTGAATACAAAGTAAAGCACTCATAAGATATTTCATTGCAATCGACAATAGGAGACGAAGTGAACAGGGGCGATTGCTTCTCTCCTGATACTGAATGAACGTTGCATTTGGCTAAAAGATCTGAAAAACCAGAACACGTTCCTGTTTCCTTTAGTAATGATTCTTATTGAAGAATGATACGAAACAAACCTACCTATGAGTAGAATACTGGATTCTTTTTTAGTTCTACTTTGCGATGTATGATTGAATATTTTTTCTAAAAATGGATCCATTCTTCAGATTGAGAAAGAATGCATTCTGGGAGAGAAGCAGATGTCCGGGGAACAAAATACAATCACGAGAGAAGCCAAGAGAAATGCAGAATAAATTCTCGTAATCATATTTGTTTTGGCATTTAGTGTTCATAAGCATAGTCTTAGCGGAGCGTTTCTTTTTAGAAGCATGAATCAATGCTCACGATCGGTTTTCCGAACGAGCAACAATTTATGACAACCTACTAATATTCACTAGACATATTCATTCCTTTATTTATTTATTTTTTTTCATTTAGTGACTTTTTCGCATAACCTTTCTTCATGTCTTTCTTTTGGCTTGACAGGTTTGATGACCGGCGTCCACGGTTTTTCTAATTTCATTAAAAAATTTTATTTTTTAATGATATTAAATATTTAATTTGGATTACTGACTGCTTCAATATGGGCAAGCAAGAATCCAACCTTTCTTCTTTTAATCCTTAGAAGTTAACCTGAGCGTTACGCTGTTAGAAGCAGCATTCTCTTTTAATAGTTATTTAAATCATAAAAACAAAGTAGACTTCCGTTTCTTTTATCGTCGAGTTCATTGTAAATATCCTGCTTCCCTGTAATCAGAGGTATCCAAGGGCTTGATTTTTTGGTAAATTATAAGGAACAACTAAACAAGGAATTATGACAGAAAAAGGAACATAATCTTTTCTATTTTAGACAACTTCTCTGTTGTTTTATTTGGGGTACTGGCATTCATATCTTAGAACGAAGCAAGCGATGCTGATGCTATTTTATTGAAATCCTTTCTGTTTGATAATACCTATTTTATTACGTGTAGTTTCTGTAAATCTTAAGAACGTTCAAATACTAGTGGATCTAAAATACCATTACCAAACTCATCTGGCAAGCTCAATTCATTCCTTCTGGATCCACTTCCCACGTCAACCTTTAATAAACAAGTTCCCAGTACTTGGTTTGTTCTTTTTTATATGTAATAGAAAACGCACATTGGGATATATGCAATACGTATGGAATGGATAAACTAGTTTTCTCCTATTGTCCTTCGAGCAAAGTGAATGCTAAATTTCTAATTAAGCTATGCTTTTTCGAATGGAAGGATGCCTTAGACACGCATATGTGTACCTTTCAGCTGTTTTCAAATAGTGAACCACTTTCCTTAGTTCAACGGTTTTTTGTTTCCAAAACTCCAAATAAAAGTGTGCTTCCAACCGAGCTGCCAAGGTTTGCTAGAAATGATTGGGTTAATTTTGAAATTAGTGTAGCAGAGCTTCCTGCGAATTCATACTTTTTAATATCTATGTGGAAACCTTCTTTGCATGATGAAATTAAATATGAGTTTGTAGGGACCACCCGATACGCTTTATTCGATGAAAATAAGCTCTTAAGGCAGGGGCTTCAAAAAATACCAATATATACTCTGAACGACAAGAGTACGAAAGATAATGCGCTAACTTCTACAGAAAGCGGAAAGGTTCATGAAATTGAACGTTTGGATCAATTATTATTTAAACTTCAGCTAGGTGATATACCCTCAACTGCATGGTTAGACGAGCTTTCCTTGACAACATTAAAGGCTTATCGGTCTTCTTATATTCCTCTTGTTCGCACCCCATACCTATACGTAGAGTTCTTACAGTTTTCATTTCCTGTTTTGTATCAAAACCTTAACTATGAAAACATGTATACATCTGTCTTTTCCTCTTCATTTGATTTGGAATCGAATTTTGACAGTCCCGCTGAACTGAAACATCGCAGACTCGTTCGTTCACAGCGTAATGGTCCATTGGATAGGGACTTAAAACCAAATTCCAAAATCCGTAAAGAATTGGAGAATATCATGTCTTATCCTCCCAGTGATGACCTATCGTTGGAAGAAAAGGATCTTATATGGAAATTCCGATACTACTTAACTAGGAACAAAAAGGCTATGACAAAGTTTCTAAAGAGCGTTATGTGGTCTGATAATACAGAAGTTAATCAAGCTCTTAGTCTTCTGGATAGTTGGACTCAAATTGACATTGACGATGCTTTGGAATTACTGAGTCCCTCATTCAAAAATCCAACTGTGCGTGCATACGCTGTTTCCAGGTTGGAGACAGCTTCTAATGAGGAGCTTTCCCTTTATCTGCTTCAACTTGTGCAAGCTTTGCGATACGATATTTCAGCCGGTGCTAAGGAGAATCCCAAGCCAAGTCCTTTAGCTAGTTTTTTAGTCAGTCGTGCTGTTTCTTCGCCTAGTATCGGGAACGACTTGTACTGGTATCTCGTAGTCGAAATTCAAGACGAGCCCTCTAACAAGCTGTTTTCTTCGGTGATGTTTCTTCTTCAACAAGAACTTTCCAAATCAAGTGAAGGAAGGGCAATACGTGAGACTCTTGCAACACAGGCCAAATTTATTGAAAAGTTACTTCGGTTGAGTAAATCAGTCCAAGCATACCGAGGAACAAGAATAAAAAAGATCGAATACTTGAAATCTGTTCTAGTTGATCCCAAACATCACTTTATCAATTTCACGCCACTTCCACTACCTTTGGATCCCACTGTTAATATTATTGGGATTATTCCTGAAGCTTGCACCGTCTTTAAATCAACCATGCAACCTCTCCGCTTAATTTTTAGATGCGAAAATGACACTTCATACCCGATTATATTTAAGAATGGAGACGATTTGCGACAGGATCAGCTGGTAATTCAGATATTGACATTAATGGATCAATTGTTAAAAAAAGAAAAGTTAGACCTCCATCTGAAGCCATATAGGATTTTGGCTACGGGACCAACTCATGGAGCTGTGCAGTTTGTGCCATCAAAAACTTTGGCTAGTATACTTGCTGAATACAGAGGTAGTGTCTTAGCCTATTTACGGGAACACAATCCAGATAATGATAATAACACTAATACGTACGGTATTCATCCAAAGGCAATGGATAACTATATACGAAGTTGTGCAGGATATTGTGTAATTACTTATTTGTTGGGAGTTGGTGATCGTCATTTGGATAACTTGTTAATTACCGAAGATGGTCATTTCTTCCACGCAGACTTTGGATATATTTTGGGAAGAGACCCGAAACTTTTTTCGCCAGCTATGAAGCTCTCAAAAGAAATGGTCGAAGGTATGGGAGGCTACAATTCTCCTTTTTATCAACAATTCAAGTCGTATTGTTACACTACATTTACTGCGCTTCGAAAATCTTCCAACCTCATACTGAATCTTTTCTCGCTGATGGTAGATGCCAATATACCAGATATCAAGTTCGATAAGGACAAAGTAGTTTATAAAGTGAAGGAACGTTTTTGTTTACAAATGTCCGAGTCAGACGCAATCATGTATTTTGAACAGTTAATCACAGATTCCGTCAGTGCTTTATTTCCACAAATTATTGACCGTATGCATAACCTTGCTCAATACATGCGCTCTTAAACAAGAGCATGCCAAGCATTTCTATATAAACACGATTCCTGCTTATGTTTTTTCTTTTAATGCTATGTTTATGACCAGTACTAATTAAATAGTATATTTCAGTGTTATTCCTTCTTATTTTTAGCAAGAAATGTACTTTTTTTTTCTTACTTATTTTATATTTTATTCTTAACATATTCAGAACTGTTGTAACAAAAGATATATAACTAACTATTCTAAGTCAATGAAACACTATGATTACAGTGCAGTACAACATATGGAGTACAGGGATTGAGACAAGATCAGAGAAAGCAAACATTTATATATTTGATAATGCTGTGATCGAAAAAAAAAATTGATTGTAGCGCTAAAGCTGAGCTTCTTATAAGGGAAGGATTGCCTGCCATAGCTTGAGAAGTTCGACTTCTGGTCTAATCGAGCCAAGATTTTGTCAGATGAAAATTCTTTAAAGAACAAAGCAATTGTCTATTGATAGATACTTAGTTCTCTGCATTGACAGACTTTGTTTTACTGACCTTTATGCTCATAATAACATTATGGTTATGACATAATTCCAGCTGTATATAAGGATATCGAGGATATTGTTTGTATCGTTTATATGAGTCTCAAGAAACTTGACAGTTCAATTGTGTTCATATCCATTTGTCTTAAGAGAGGTCAATGTAAGTTGGGATGGTGAAAGTAAATAGCATATCATTAAACCAGGATGCATCATGTTTATCTGTTTCGCTCGACAATGGATACAAAATCTTTCAGTTGAATCCTCTAAAGCTCAGAGCTCAAAGAAGTACGGGGAATTCATTTTTCTACCATATACCTGGAATTTATTTCTGACAAGGTATAGAATTCAAGAATGAAGGATTTTCGATAGTGCAAATGCTTTATAAAAGCAATATTTTACTGTTGGTTGGAGGTGGGAACAATCCGAAATATCCACCAAACAAGGTAAGGTTTTCATTTTATGCTTTGTTTATAGTAAACTAATTTACCTGCTTCCTGTTAGCTTATTGTTTGGGATGATGTGAAGGAAAAACCTGTTCGCGAGCTTGAGTTACATTTTGAAATTAAGGGACTATCGTTCAATGGTGAACAGTATGTGCAGGATAAACTCCTCTTGACATGATAAACATATTAATGAACCTCAGTTTGGTTATCGCTACTACTTCAAAACTCTTTTTGTATCATTTTACCCATGCGATGAAATTAGTCAGGACTATAGACACTCAGAACCCCAAAGGTTTGTTCATCAGTTTTGAAAGATTTGCATATTAACCAATTCACTTAGGTTTATGTGCTATGGTGACCACAAAGGAAAAAACCGCGGTGGTTTTTCCGTCAAAAAAAATTGGACAGTTTCAGATTCTATTTTTGCTAAAAGACCTTATCAATACGAGTATTATTTCAGCACATGACAGCGAAATTTCCTGCTTAGGTATATCTCAATCGGGATCCAAAATTGCCTCTTCCTCTTCTTCCGGTACCCTTATAAGAGTATGGAATGCAGAAACAGGAGAAAAAGTATCCGAGTTTCGAAGGGGCTATCAATATGCGTCAATTAATCAATTGTCATTTTCTCCTGATGAATTACTTTTGGCTTGTGCCAGCACAAAAGAGACGCTACATGTATTCTCGTTGCATGGGAGTCCTAATACCAAGAGGAGCATAAAGCCTCCAAACCCCGATCCACAGGATGTACATGAATTACTGTCGCCCAGAAATGAATCTCGCCGACAGACCCATTGGAAAAGGAAAATGTTAAAGCTGATTGACAGTGGAAAACGTGCCCATTGGAGAATCCCATTGTATCAGTCGAGTCCCGTTCTTCTTCATTGGCTTGATGAGATGACTTTGATCATCTGCTATAGCGACGCTGCATATCAAAGACTACGTCTAACTATTCATGAAATAACGCAACCTGATGAACAGATTATGTCTCATGCTAATTATTGTTACGATTATGTCTTGGAAGCCGATGGTTCACTTTAACTTCTGCACGGTTTACCATATTTTTCTCATAATTTAAAACTGTTTTTGATTATTAGAGGATAAAAACAAAAGAAAAATGAAATGAAATAACTTAAACATTCTTCAATTGCCTCTCCTTATGGTAATGAGCACTTTATTGAACAATATCACTTTCTTTTGCATACAAAATTTGAAGAAATGTAAATTCTAATATTTAAATTCACTTAACTCTTTTGTACATATACGTTAAAGCGTACATAATATTCTAAAGGATTTAAACAAAACCATACTGCCGCAGGAAAAACTTCGACCTGTGCAAAGTCGCGTCTTATACCCAATTTTCCTTAATTTTCAAAATAAATAATGTCAAGTGCACCAGAGGTTGTGCAAAGACTAATAAAAATGATCATGCGGGCTTTCTACGAGACTCGGCATATCATTTTTATGGATGCAGTTTTGAGACACTCTGCGTATGTTTCATTTCACTTTTAGACAATCCTAACAACTTTAATAGTCTAACTGATGAGCAAACAGCTATATTGATGGGAATTCCCATCAAAGAATGCCGTTTCCTCGCGGGTAAACTTAGGGAAGATCGTTTATTGGCAATGTAAGGCAATCGTTTTTAGGCTTCTAACTGAGAATAGTCAGAGTAGGGCAGAAGTGAAAGAAGGACAACAAAGACAAATTCAGACTACATACTTTTATATTGATTATTGCTTCACGATCGATAGCATCAAGTGGCGTATGCATCAATTGGTGAAAACCGTGGAAGACAGGATGCGTAGTGTAAGTTGTGCCATTGGCCTTACTTTTTTTCATTGTTACTTTATGTTAAAATGAATTCTATGCCTTGTAACTACAAGGACAATGGTTTATTCCTTCGGGAACTGAAGTTCTCCTTTTGCTTTTAGTATATTAACCAGGATAGGATTTTGATTCAAAGGGTTATGTCTGTCCGTTTTGTCAGAAAAAGTATTCCAGCTTAGACGTGTTATCCTTGGTGACACCGGAAGGTACTTTCTTATGTAGTGATTGTGCTACAGAATTAAAGGATGATGAAGAAAGCGCAGAAATGATGTCTAGTCAAAAGCGTTTGGGACGTTTAATGGGTCAAGTCAGTAAAATTATCGAGGCTTTAAAACAAGTAGATGAGACAGTTGTGCCTCAAAACAACTTCCAAACTGCGCTTGAGAGAGCTGTTCCTATATCAATAGAGAATCAAACGAGTGCTTCTCAGAGCATTCCTAAATCCAGCGCTGATCTACGTAATGCTACTTCTTCTCCTTCGATTACTGTTGATTTCTCAACGGAGGCAGAGTCTGCAGAGGATGTTCGCGCCAAGAATATGGACAAACAAGCTGCTGCTTTACAAAATACTGTTCCTGAATGGCATGCAATGTCTACAATATCTGGTGGAATTACCAGAGTAGGTGCTAAAAACGTTAATTACAGCAACAATTCTTCAGAAGTAGTGGAAGAAAAGGATGACAAAAAGAAGGATTTCAGTACTGAAAAGTCTGCATTGGACGCTTACTATGCAAGTCTTCGTGCTAAGAAACAGAGCTCGGACACACAACAAGAACCAAGTGTTAATATTGTTGATGATGAAGATGAAGATGAGGAATTTGAGGATGTTCCAAACCTGCCATCTACTTCACCAACTAATCAAGTAAAAAGAAAACAAGATGATCTAAATGCTACCAACTCTGATGACTCTAAAAAAACAAAAACGGAAGATACCTCGGCTAATAATTATTCCTTACATACAGAAAATTTTGAACCGCTTAATTCAAATGATGATACAAAAGCAAAACATGTCATTATAAATGATATCAACGAAGAAAACGAGGATGATGATGAGGACGACGCAGACTTCGAAGATGTTTAGTCATTACTCATAAATCCCCAAAATATTCATAAATTCTCCAGTCTAAATATAAAAACCCACCTTTAATTGTTTCTGGCTATAGCACTCATTAGTGTCCGAATTCTAGTAACGATAACCGCAGCTTCCAGTGATGATAGAACCTCGAAATCGTATCTAGATGTGTTAGTATAGTTAGAACGTAATTGTTAAGTCTTACCTTTTTGTTTCTCTGTTTCTAGATATAATCAATTTAAAATTACAAGGCGATTTTTTCGATTGTTTGCAGATAATTATTGACCCAACATGAATGCTAGTTGTCTTGGGCGTTTCAAAAATGTTTCGAGATTCCGAAGGCATTATGTGTATATATTCGCCGTCAATAGCGAGTAATCGTTCGTGTCGTCCCATAAATGAGACAGGCTGACGTTTCCAAACAATAAATTCTTGATAAGTGTTACTAGACATAATGTCCGCAGCATTATATGCTGGTGGAAAGTATTCTTTTTTTGTAGAATTATAGGTAGACTCTTCTGGAGAGGGAGTACTTACCGGAAGACCAGGTCCCTTTTTATCCCTCATTTTCTTTTTCACCAACTCCAGAGTCGGAAAACCATCAATTGATTGAAAGGTTTTATCTAAAGGAAGAGTAACATTTGAATCGGCAATTCGCAGTGTGTACTTAAAACGTTCCAGTTGTTTCATCCAGCAAACTTGATTCAAGACCATAGCAAATCGTGTATTTTTTGAAACCTCAACCTTACAGAAGCGGGAACTTTCCCCGTAAGGATATAATCGGATTTGCACAGCATGCATGGAGTTAAATATGTCCTTATCACTTTCCCCAACTTTATGAGAGTTGTTTGAAGTAGAACTTAAATTACGTACGTGCAGATGTTCATCATCAGAAACAGGAGCCAACGTTTTCTTAGCCGAAACGAACGGAAATGCGCTTTGATTCTCTTTTATTTGAGCATTCGTAGCTTTTACCAAGGCAAATGCATCAAAGGAAAACTTTGCTAGGGGCCCAGTGCGATCCAAAGCAGGGAAATCATCATCCAGTTCTCCGTCATCTTCTACAATACGCAAGTTCCAATAATTTGGATTCTGCGCTTCGTCTTCTATTAATGGCATGATACTTTGACTTATATACTCAAAAAGAATATAGCCTATCGCCTCAAATACTAAGATACTTTGTCGCAACTCAACGTGCATTGGCTGGGAAGCATTTTCGCTGAAAGGACAGTATATTTTTAATCTTAATGGATTTGGTTCAGCACGCCCAGAAAACCCTGCAAAATTATCTGCTAAAGGATTTTGTTGAGTTGAAGAATTTGCGTTTTCAAAAAGCTTCCGCAAAGCAGATTCAGGCTGCTTTACAATACTCGGAACTTTTCTTAATGCATCATTATCGACCTGCTCTCGTGATTTTTCAAAAGATCCGAATTCAGTTTCCTCCTCCTCATTTTTAATTGGATTTTGGTAAGTATATATACCTATCTCTCCATCACTAATTTGTAAAGATTCATCTGAAGATGAATTCAGGACCCGCTCATATTCGGATGACAGGCTGCTGAACCGAGAAACTGCTTGATTATTATCCAATTTCGGTTTACAGTTCTTTTCGTGCGATAGCTGGCTTTCCATACCTTTTCTGGTATTTTTCTGTGCTTGGTTTAGATTATCTTCACTCTCTGAACGTGTATTCCTTCGCATTGGAACCTTGGTAAAGGAAAATAAACAAGGATTTTCGTGGCCAACCATATCCGAAAACCCTGAGAAATCTGAAACCGCATAATCTGAGTCTTCAAAATTCGAATTAATGTCGGGACCGTCTTTCAAGTTCCGACTCGCGTTTTCCCTGTTTCCTGAAGTTTTTTCCAAGGAAGCTGTAAACTCACTGGCAAGAATCGGAGGACTCTCTAACGGTAAGTCTCTGAATGAATAGCTTTTGCCTAGTAAATTCTGATACTTTCTCAATTGCGGGACTTTCGGTATATCCGCTGCAACTACTTTTTCATCCACCGGACTATGGGATGTTCGATAATATTGCATCCGTAGAAGGAAAATTAGAAGCCTAATAATAAACAATGTCAACATCTTTGGACCGTTATGAATATGGATAAGTCTGTACTACTTACTCCTTCTCTTGAGTTAATTCCATGTTCACGACGCTTTAGAGTTACAATTGTAATTGAAATTTAATTTTTCGAGGTTAAACATGCTTTAATTAGCAGGCCCTAAAACTAGAAAGTAGTGGGCTTTGGCTAAGATTTTGACTTAAGCATAGGTCCGTAATGCTTGCACCTGAGAAATAATACCGTCCCGAGATGTACTTTGTTAGCATTATATTTATTATTTCGAAGTGCTATACTACGATATGTAGAATTAAAATAATGCTATTAAATACTGTATTTCAAAAAGTAAACAAAGTAATGAATATGGTATTTTGTTAAAAAACGGAAAGTTGACTACTTGTAAATACAATTCAAACCACGTTTCATATATCTGTAGTAGTAATGTCTGACGGTACTGGGTAATCAATGCATAATCTTCCAATGGACTGAAAAAATTTAGCATCATTAAGGTAATTAAATTGTTAGACGTGTCATAATTTCATTATAGAATGGTTAGCAATTAACATAGGAAACTTGAAGCTATATCTAAATTTCTTTAATAGAGACTCTTCTAAAAAAAAATGCGAAAGGCAATCTGTTTGTATATGAGGTGAAATTACGTCTCTCTAATGAAGCAAACATAACAATAATATTCCTACATTTAATAGAATAGCTATAAGTCTATATATCTAATTCTAAAAGTCATATTATCTCATCGCTGTTGGAAAGAGAAGTAATAAAGAATGTAAATTTATGGTTAATTCATAACCAATTTCAATCACTATGATTGATGATGAACGACAGAGTACAAGCAACTAAGTGAAAAGAAAGTAATTGAAAGTGATGAATACAAAGCATAAGAATTACTCTGCATCTCTACTTTTTCGCTCGTATCTGATGCTTCTGCAAGAAACTTTGCATTGCTTACGCAGTGTCGAGTCACGCGGAAAGTAACAATCTCCTTCAATTTGCTTGTTTGTTTACATCCTTATAAACAAATCAACTTGTTAACAATATTATTTTTTTGCTAGTTTTAGGTGTGAACGAAGAATCTGTAACAATTATTATCTTTGTGACTTCGACGGGGTTGTTACAAGACTCATTTGTAAAAGAAACCCATCTACAAAATGTAACAGTTGACTCACTCATGGAATATAACGGTGCTCGAAAATCCATCGAAGACTACAAACTGATGAGATCCTTGGTTAGTTTTTACAGGTATTTCTTGGAAAGTAACGCATTTAAAATAAAACGTATGCAAATATATTTATTGATATTGTTGATATTTCTAAGACATCCGTCATCTTCAAATAATCTAATTAATAATATAAAAAAAAAAAACAAAACAAAACTAACGTTATGTACAAGCTGTTCGACTTTTTAACAAAAATTCCCATGATACTTTCTAAGGCCCGCAGTATGAAGTATTAACTTAGACAAAACGAGGACAACTGTAACAATTATATGCAAAAGTAGACAGCCGAGTCAGCAATGTGGATCAAAACGTAACGTAACATTAATATCAGCTCAAGCGCAATACACAATGCAATAAAAACTTCAACACAACAAAGAAAAAGTAAAACAAAGGTGATTCCAATATATGTAAAAAATGCTTAAATATCTAGTCCAAAAAATGCAATTATATTCTCAAACTTTCGCCCATTCCGCGTCAGCACATTCTCTAAACCGTTAAAGAAAGAAAAGCTTTCGTCCACTTCTTGCGAACGCGAGCACACTGGCCCAAATACTGGCGAAGTGTAGACATCCACTCTTCTTTCTCTTCAACTGTTTCAGCGTAGAAATCAATATAGTCCGAGTTTTTGAAAATAATTCTGAATCCGGTTTCGAAATATAAATATCCTTCCAATTCTTCCTCATCACTGTAGTGATTGTCATCAACAATATGGGTGGCTTCAGAAAGCTCAATTGTTGCACGACGTGTCTTCGTAAAAGGTTGAAAGGCCACAAGTTTCGATCCAATTAATTGGAAATAGCGACGACGCCAATAAGGACAGTCTCCTCCTTGCTGGCATAAGTAACCATCGCACAACAATGTGCGATCCCATTCTGCAAGTTTCAAATCTTCCATAGCGGCCTCTATCGAAGAAGGGAGTTCGCTAGGAGAAACGGGTAAAGTAGGTAGAGCAAAGACATGAACCATCATGTCACCTACCTTTCGCGAAGAAGGCTTCGCATCACGCACTGTAGGATCAACAATCCACTTATCGATGATTGGGACCATCATGGACTGGCACCTACCAAGAGCACTTCGACTAATTGAATCAACATCTAAAGAGAGTTCACCAAAAGTTCCATCTTTCAGAACATAACCGTGTAAAGCCTCTGAAACTGGATCCATAATAGCAGATTTGCGTCGGCTTGTCGAGAATACCTTTCCTAAACCGGAACGAGAACGCGTTTTAGGAGGTTCATATTTTGCTCTTAAATTCCAAACGATAAAAGGATCCGAAGATTCATCAAAAATGTATTCCTTCTCTATGCTTGTAGTAGTATGCAAAGGCTTCCAAGGAGCAGTACCTTTAATACCGCTAAGCTCGTATGTGAAGTTTGTAGTTACACCAGAGGCGAGAGGAATTGTCAAGTTTCGGATCCCTTCCAAACGAACGTAAAGTCGGCCTCTACCTTGCATATTTCGGGAAGATAAGGAGTATCGGCTGTAGACAGAATCATCTCTAGCAGGCATGAAACATGAATCCACAACACGTCTAGATGGAGGTAAAAATCCTTCATTGCTTGTTGCATGAACAACTTTAGAATTCTCTCTAAGCAAATATTTCCTAGTCAATGCATCAAAAGCCGACAACACGTTCGTAAATCTCGGATCGGGTAAAGACATGACTTTAGGAAGTAGGGCTAGGTGATTATCGTCATCCAAAGAAAACTCTTGAGAACGCATTGATGATTCCATGGATGATATTGGGTTCTCTTCTTCATCAATAGAATTCGACCGAAAAATATCAGTCCTGTTTTCTTGAGGGTTCGTTTCTTCGTCGGATACATGGGGCGTACGGACTTCTTGAAAAGAGTAGGAATCATCAGAAAATCCAAAAGAGGCAATACTGCTTACTGGATTTCCAGTTCCTACTATATCGCTGACGCTGCTGACAATACTGTTGGAAAAGCTTGAATCAGAAGGGGAGTGGGTATGTTGAATTGGGGACTCTAAATTGTAGTTCATCGGAGATTGCGATCGGGCATTATCGGATGTGGTATTAGAATTATCTCGTATTAATTCTTTTGAAGCATTAGTCGTGGTATTGCTCATTGAGCGTGCTGGATTTTTTTTGGGTATTATCAAACTGTCGAAGCTTTTATTAGAGTAAGGGCTTTTGCATTGCATTGAGATGTGCGATCTTTGAGTAGCAGACGAATGAGCCGAAGTCGTACTGGATTTGGAATTGCTCCGAGAGTGTGTATTAGAGAGAGTTTCAAGATTCTGAGAAATACTGAGACTGGGGAGTGAGTTGATGGAGGACCTGGGTGACTTTTCGTCCCCTCCAGACATATTCGAGATGTCATTGTCATTGAAGCTTGGGCTGAGACGGCCCTGATCGTAAGCAAAGCTGTCGTTTTCCTCTGCCTCGTCTGTATCGTCAACAGATGCAGAAATGGAAGAAACATTGCTTTGTTCCTTCCCAAAATCTCTCATCGTGTTTTTTCTTGACAGGGAAACCAGACTCGAGGCGTAGTCCGAGCCCTCGTAGTCGCTGCTAGGTATAGGAGACGGTATCCTAAGGGCTCTGTGAATATCAGCCAAATATGATTTGGCATGTTGGCTTTGTTCAACAGCACCTACACTCATCTTAATAAAGAATCAAAGGCTTTCAATACGGCACGCCCGGATAAGAAACTTAATGCAAGTATTATTTTCTTTTTTCTTTTGTTCGTCAATCAAAGAATAAGACGAAAGTTTTAAATGGTAACAAAAGATGGACAAAACGACGGCCTTTGATCCTTATTTTTTGAAATGTACAAAAAATATTCTTCGAATATAGAAAGGAAAGGAGGGAAGGGTCATTATAAAGAACGAAGGGGTATGTCACCAGGTGGCTGGTGAATCGATATTCGCTTTAGGTGGCTGGTCCTATCAATCAAACCAGTATCGTAGTATGAAAGGAAGTTAAAAAGGTCAGCATAACAAATGATACCAACGTAAACGGCTCGTAAACTATCCGTAATTCCTAAGAAACACTTTTTTTGTAAGGTGATTTCATGAATTATTGATCCTCGTACGCAAAACCGCAACCTGCGCATACGTATACCAATGTCTACAAAGTTAGTTACCCGAACAAAATTGAAAGTGATAAAAATAACATACCATTCTTGAATCACCACGACGGGAATGCATCTGGTAAAAAACGGCTTCCTGATGGTGACAACGAGGACATTCTTTTTCAGTCCGTGGAAGAGTGTAATCAGTAGCAGCATCTTGAGAGAAATGAAGACCTTCGCTTTATTATAATGTTAGTAATTCTGTAATTGTGTTCTGTATGTAAGAGCATGTACATACACATTCGATGTCATCAACTCATGTCGATAGACCTTGCTAGTGGCTGCAACCTTAAAAAACAGTTAGTTTCAAATACATATGTGTTACCATAAGACTTCAATCGACATAAAATCGACTCTTGTACTCCAACAAACAAGATATCAAGAAACTGCATATAATTGTACCAAGAAAAATGAATAACTTACCTCTGAATAGTCGCAATTTCTACATGCTAATCGAAGGATTCTTGTCACTTTATCTTCTCTTGGATATCTAACAATTTTTCTTGGTTAAATCTTGTTGCCAAATATTAACTTGGAATAACCGTACAGCATGTTATTACACTCAATACAATATTGAAAATTTGACATATTTTTAATAAGAAAATACAAAAGAAAGAAAAAAGTCCTATAACTCAAGCTTTTCGCAAACCAGACGTTGTGTGTCGTAGAGAGTGTGTCGAAAATGAATGCGTCAACTACCAACACTTCGTGATGACTTCTTTTCGATCCCTATAGGTTCAATGTTTCACATTTCACTCAAGAAATCTCTTTTTAAGTAAAAAAAATATATGTATAATGAGTATAAAACAACTCGTGCTTCTAAAACTTGAAATTTATCAATATATAATATTATCATATATTAATAGGATAACCACAGAAACTCAATAATTTAACGAATGTACAGTAGCATTCGATAAAGCACAATAGGAAACTCAACGAGTCACATTAATTGATGATATATCAAACAAATCAAAGATAAAATGTACTAGTCTCTTTCTACCGTTGCTGAGTTTATTAAGGGCAAACTAGTAGAAGAAGAATATAAAAGAAATTAATATGTCAGGATTTTGTGTGCTCGGATGCGGCACTATGGGCAAAGCCCTTTTGACCGGTATCTTCGACTCCATCAAAGAGCAAGATCAGCAAGTCTCTAAGAATGTATCGGTTCCCGATAGATTCTATGCTTGTGTAAAGTTTGCTCAAGAAGCCCGTGATATTGAAAAGCTGTTTGGTGAAACGGTTGGAATTTCCGTCACCGCTGAAGAAAATGTTCAAAAGGCGAAAGCAAGCGACGTTTTGTTGCTTAGTTGCAAGCCTCAAGGTGCTGAAGAGGTATTAAGTGCTCCAGGCATGAAGGAGGCATTAAAAGGAAAGTTGATCTTATCAATTTTGGCCGGTAAAACAATTGATTCCTTAAAGACTTTGTTGGACGACAGCACTCGTATTATTCGTATCATGCCCAACACCGCTAGTCGCATCCGTGAAAGTATGAGTGTGCTTTGTCCTGCTCCCAATGCTACGGAGGCAGATGTGGAATTTGCTGAATGGGTATTTAACGGAATTGGACGTACTATGAAGCTTCCTGAAAAACTCATTGATGCTGCTACTGCCATGTGTGGTAGTGGACCCGCCTTTGTTGCTACCATGATTGAAGCCATGACTGATGGTGGTGTTATGATGGGAATTCCCTTTGCACAGGCTCAGGAACTTGCCGCCCAAACCATGGTTGGTACCGGACAAATGGTTTTACAAGGTCAACACCCTGCAAAGATTCGTAACGACGTTTCTACTCCAGCTGGGTGTACGATTAGCGGATTGTTGGCATTGGAAGACGGAAAAATCCGTAGTACAATTGCTCGTGGTATTGAACAAGCCACTAAGACTGCCTCTGGTTTAGGAAAATAATCATTCTTGACTAAGCTTCGTTTCTTCCTCATCTTTTACCGTTCCTTGCCACTTGTCTATTATTTCTATATGCTAATACTAATGCACGTAAATTTTTTATAGTATAAATAAAGCATAGAAATACTATTTGTGCTTCCTTTGGTTGTAGTTGAATTGTAATTTCTTGTTGTTTCTTGTTTCATCCCCAAAAATAAACAAAGACCGTCGACGAAGACTGATAACTAATATTCACAACTTCCCTTCCATACGGCGGTAAACAGAAGTCTTTTTGCAATTAGGTAGTTTTAATTTTGTTTTACTCTTTGAACTTCTTTTTAATAAGAATAGGACTTTACTTGCTTTTTCCTGTCTTTCGCCAAGTAGTTCTCAATGGAAGCTTATATCAATGTGTACGATTTAATGCAGAGTTTTCCTCTTAGTAGGATAGCTTGGACATTGGGACTTGGTATCTATCATACTGGGTTTGTTTTAGGAGGAAGAGAGTATGCTTATGGTGCTCATGCAATTCCAAATGCTACTGGGGTTTTTATAACTTTGCCTAAACCTCCTTTGGAAGGCTGCCGATGGCGTTGTTCTATTCCTTTACCACCTTGCACACTTTCAAAGTCTGAGATAGACGAAATAATTACGCGCTTAAGCAAAGAATTTACAGGTACCTCCTATTCATTGCTGTCACAAAATTGCAACCATTTTACCGACGCTATTGCAAAGGCTCTAACTAATACAAGTATTCCTCCATTTTTAAACCGACTCTCGAAAGTTGGCCTCACTTTCCCTTCAATTACGAATGCGGTTTTGCAGTTAGATTTTTCGAAAACTCCAACTCAGAACGGCTTAGAGAGAACCAACTCATCAGATTCTGACGAAGAGATTTTAGTAGCTCCTTCCGCTAAACTACAGCAACTATCATTTCCTAAAATTCCTAAAGTTGTTGTTTCACCTCCGACTGTCAACACAGATAACTTGGTCTCAGAGTCACAGAAGTATTAACCACTTCTGTTTTGCCCAAACTTGTATACCATTGCAAATTCGGTTTTAACAACCCTATTACCATTCTAACTTTGATTAATTAACTTTTTGTTCCCTTTATTAATTTTTCCAAACATTCCTTGCTAATCTACGGGTTAGTCATTGCTAGAAGCATAGAGAAACACAAATCGCTTTCTACAATAACAATAATGGCTGACTCTGAATTACGACTTTTAAATGGGGCTGAATTCAAGCTCGCACTAGCCAAAAGCTCAGAATCATTCGAATCGTTAATTTCTGTATACCTGGCACCCATTCTTTTAAAGCTTGATTCACCTTATGAACCCGTCAGAAATAAAACTATAACAATTGCGAATCATGTTATGACACGAATTACAAGTGAAACGAATATACGATTACCTATGCTTGCTCTTGTTAAGCAGTACATTGAAGCAAATCAAGCTCTTCGAAAACGATTTCTCGTAGCTTTTATCAGTATAGGAAAAGCCAGATTGCCTCCTTCTCCTGACGTTGACTTATTGCAAGTATGCCTTAGTCATGTAAATAATCATCCAATTGTTCTATTAAACTTAACGATTCGCCTTTTAAATATGATACGCCCCGTTCCGTCGATAACATGTACTGAAGAAGTTTGCTTTATCATGTCTTGTTTTTTTCTAATCCAGTCCTCTCAGACCCTGTTTACTGAATTACAACATAGTCCAAAAACAGTAGAGTACCGGAAAGGAGTTTTGAACTGGTTAGAAAAAAGCGAATGGCCAAAAACGTGGAATTGGCTTGCCTATTTCTTCGCTTCTTCCGATACACACAAAGAAGTTGCTCAGCTGGCTGATGATTTGGTACGCAATACAAATGGATCTCCGGATATCGAAAATAAAAATCACGTAGAAATACTGTTGGACATTGTTTTAGATGATTTTTACGTGGAATACTTAAGTTTGAAGTTTTCTATCCCCGTTACATTGAGGAATAAAGCCTTGCAATATCTTTTACGGAGCAATATTGCCTGCACAAATCCAAAATCGATGAATTGCATCAAACTTATCCTTGAAGCTCCACCAACTTTGCAGTCCAAATTAATTCAATTCACTCGGTGGATATCAGCCAATGCAGATCCAAGTGTTCTAAGACCAAGAGCAGCTGGCATTCTGGACGACATTTTTAATATTCTTTCGAATTCGACGATTAGTAATGAACTTTTACGAGGATTTTTATATACTTCTATTGGATTATTAGCCAAGTCAAATTCTGACTTAGTTTCTACTTCACTACTTTCCACTTTACTGTCTGCGTTGCAGGTCGAATCCCCTGATGTACGTGTAGCTATAGATGAATCGTTATCAATAATCCTTCCTTTTTTCAAAAACTTTCATTCACCTTACGAGCTATTGCCTATAATTGAAAAGTACTTGATTACGACACCGAACTCACCTGCCGCATCTTCTTCTCTTCGCTATCTTTTAGTCGCGTTTCCGTTTGAATTTCTTCCTTCGAGGTTTTTATGTCTAAAAACTCAAGATCCTTCTGTTTTTCCTTCGTTGCTATCCGAGGAAGCAAAAAAGGGCCTTTTCTTATCTAGGTGGCTCCTTCATAATAACGTTTACTTAGACTACGCCATAGTAAAGGATCCCTCAACATCGTCTACTGTATATCCTAATACAGACGATGCTATTTTACATCTTATCGCCGAATACAATCCAGAAGCATTATGGAAAAGTTTTAGCGTAGAAGTTTGCTCATCGATGCTTGGTTTCATCAAAAGATGCATGGCTTATCAAATAACCAAAGATCTCAATATATGTGATGACAATGAGTTGTTTGATACATTGTTGAGATCTGATCTTAGTTTAAGAAAAGATTTTGCTCAGCTACTTTCGACTGTGAAGTACTTGCAACCCTTTTTGCGTTTTGTCTTTGAAGGCGTCTTACTGCATTCTCAGGAGGCTGTTCATGTATTTAATCAGCTTCTATTTTTTACATCACCGGATATCCTGATGGAGTTCTCAGAAGACGCTCTTATGAAGCAAACATTGGTTGCTCCTGCCCAGTTAAGAGATACAATGTCTCGAAGTTCAGGACTGCTTTTAAGTACGAAGGGATACAATCTTGTTTTCCAACAGCTTGAAACATTATTACGGGTAATTAAGATATCGAATACTCGAAATGATAGCTTTTCAAAAAATATAACCGCTCTTTTTATCATTGGTTATACAGTTTCATTTTCGGTGTTTAGGAATGGCAACAGAATTTTAAGTTCAGAGTACGCTTCTATACTGGGAGAATTCTTTAGCATTCTTTATGCCTATCTTCAGTCTGACGGATCTGGTGAAAAGCGGGCCGCACTATCTGTCTACCAATTTATATTTTTGAACATTCGCATTGAAGATTTAACCAAACAATATCTTCATTTAAAAGATGTTATTGAGACTATAGTGAATGTCGCAAAATCTGAAAAAGATACGACTCTCCGCATTCAGGCTATGATTACTTTATCACATGTCCCAATTTCTTTGAACGAACCTTTCGACCATGACTTAATCGAAATGATTCTTAATACTATATATCTGACTTATCATGATGATTCCCCTGATATACTGTTCGCAAGTGCAGAATCGATGGCTAATTTTGCAGGCGGTATGTGTTGCACATTTACAAAAACGAAATTACCTTTTCAAGAAGGTACTGAAAATGTAAATACCTTGTCTCCCTTGTATGCAATGGTTCTTTCAAAAATTGTTGGGGAATGGTCTAAATCTTCAAGACCGCTACTTCGTAAGGCCTCCTCTCTGTGGTTATATTACATAGTTAAGTTTTGTAAATGTCAGGCATACACCTTTGAGCGTTTTAACGACATATATCATACTTTCTTAACTTTTTTGGTTGACCTGGATGACTTTATCCAAGATACGGCTTCAAAAGGTTTGAAAGCAGCGTACGACCTCCTAGACGATGAAAAAAAGAAAAGCTTTACGACTAATCTGATCAGCACCATTACTGCTGACAGAGTAGATCCGACTACCAAGGCTCCTCTGGATGCCGATACTGCCTTATTTACCACCAATCAAGGCTCCATAACCACTTACAAAGATATATGTTCGTTGGCTTCTGAAAGTGGAAATCCAGATTTGGTTTACTCTTTTCTTAGTATTGCAAACACGAATTCTGTTTGGCAGAGTCGCAAGGGATTGGCAAGTGGACTTGGCTATATGAATATTAGCAATGACGAAAAGCGAAAGCTCTTTGCAGTTAAATCACAAACAGGATCTAGTTTACTTACAAAACTCTATTTATACCGACACGATCCAAATGTATCTGTTGCTAGAACAATGACAGAAATTTGGAATTCTTTAGTACCTTCTGATCTTGATCTAAAATCACATCGTCAGAATCTCATTTCGTCTTCTTTAAACAGTATGAGTGATTATTCTTGGAGGGTTCGTGAGTCTGGCGTTAACTCGCTTGTTGATTTATTGAGTAACGTGCCCGTTTTGGAATATATCGACCAACTACAAGAAATATGGAGAATGTCCTATAGGACTTTAGATGATATCAAAGAAAGCGTTAGAACGGCTTCGTTCACGTTGTGTAAACTATTGGCAAGAGCTGTCATCCAAACGATTGAAAATACTTCCCTCAATACGACTGATACTGGATTAAGTAGAAGTCGTAAAATAATGTCCATAGCCGTTCCTTTTCTATTAAAATGTTGCCATGAAGATGCAAAAGATATTCAGTCATTTTCATATTCCACCATAACTGAATTGGTGAAGTTCACAAACCCTGCACTAACTCCGTTTGTTCCTTCAATTATTGAGATAATGCTGGATTATTTGACCAAATATGAGTCGAACGCAGCATCCTTTTTAGAATTCCATGCCTCTACTTATAAGGTAAAAGCCGAGGACTTAGATTCCGCTCGGGTCTCAGCAGTGCAAAGTTCTTCGATGATGTCAAATATTGAAAAGTGTCTTTCAATTCTAAATGAAGAGTCGATGAAGGATTTGGTTCCTATATTGCAAAGAATGATAACTCGTACTACTGGCGTGCCAACGAAAATAGGTAGTGCCCAAATTTGCATGTTGCTAGTAATAAGACGCCAAGACTTTGTTGCCCCTTATGCTGCCAAGTTCAACCAAGCGTTAGTATCGTCTTTATTTAGCAAAAATGGTGCTGTTAATACCTCGTTTACTTCAGCATTGGGTTACACTTTACGAGTAACTCCTTTGAATCTTGCTGATGAAGTATGTCGGGAAGTATTAAACAAGTTTTATGAAGGAGACGAGTTTACCCAAACCGTATGTGCAAACTTTGTCCGAGCGCTTACAAGGTTCGCTCCAGATTTGCTGCATAACATTGGCTCAACACTTTTTCCTTTTATTTTTTTCGGTAAGCACTCGTCGTTTGCCCAGGTATCATCAATTTTGGAGAAGCTTTGGAATGACACATCGTCGGGTGGAAGTTCCGTTAATCTTTATAAAGATGAGATTCTTGAAATTATTAAATCAAATCTGGAAGCAACACAATGGGACTTGAGGCGACCAGCTGCTGCAACTTTGTTAAGTTTTGTTCACAGCAGCCGTCTTAACGATTCTGAAGAAGTTTATACACTCCTAGTAACTAAAATGAAAGAACGGAGCTGGCCAGGGAAAGAATATTTACTAGAAAGCTTAGTTCAGTTAGCTATAAAGTGCCCCGGATACATAAACGCGACCAAGCTGGATGAAGTTTTAGAGATATTACAACGAGAACTACGAAGAAGAAATACTTTCTATAAGTTGAAAGGAACCCGAATCTTAGGTGACTTCTTGAGCGATCCTTCTTATAGAGGTGTACAATTCTATGACTTCTGTATGGATGAATTTCAATTGTTTCTCGATGAATCATGGTTTCATGAAGAAGACTCTGAATTTTCGATAGAAGACAGGATTCAGTTGCAAATGAACGTTGTGTATGTTATGGCTAGCTCCTGTAGAAACGGAAATGATGGTCGTCTTGTCGAAAGCTTGGCAAAAACGTTGGATCAGAATTATCTTCATTGGAAGGTTAAGTTGGAAATACTTAAACAAGCTCAGAAAATGAAGTGTCTTTTGCAGGATCCTTTGGATGTCAAATTTTTAAACGTGCTGGCTCGTTGCTGCGAAGGAAACCCATCACCGAAAGCTAAAGATTTTGCTGAAAACGTTTTAGGCGTTGATAATCTAAAACTTCTGAAACTGTAATCCTTAGATCTGTTTTACTACTCTAACGTATTTTGATTGATGCCTACCGTCTCTTATAGAGCACCCTAGATTCTATTTTAATAATTATCTTATATCATTGGTATAAATGTCAATTATTTTATCGTAGATTCTGTCTTTTAACGAATGCATCACCGGCTTTAACAATAGTTGTAATCTCCTCTTCTCGATACTTATAAGATAGGTTCTGGATTATAGCAGGTATTTTGGAAAGACCAACAGCAAAACATTTATTCAGTTAACTGTTTATTTTTCTCAGCCTCAGCTTCCTTTTTCATTTTCTTGGCAAACTTGGCCTTGTCTTCATTCAACGAAGCGTAGAGCCAGAACTGCCACATAAGATCGCAGAAAGCAAAGGTAAAGGTAACATTATTACTGAGAACGTGATCCTTCTTTAAGTAAATGAATCCTGTGAAAATAAAGTCAAATATAGCACGGAAAGGGATCATAGCACTGAAGTACAATACATTATGTTGTAAATGAGCTACGGTGTGCATTAATGAAAGCACGAGAAAAAGAATACCTATAAATGATAAAGCTGGTTGGTTGTTTGCATCGCTCACTAAAGGCTTCTATGAATGTAGTTGTTAGCAATCGAAAAATAAGAGCGTATATACTGATGAGAACAGCAGTTAGCATACCAGATCCATCGAAGCTCCAATTAATGCTGAAAGACCACTTTCAATTACGAATTCAGGTTTCCATAGTATTGCAACCCCCAAGTATGCCAGCAAAGAACTGTAGAATAGGGCAACTGTGCCGAAACGAAAGAGCATCTTTCAAGTCAGTTGTAGAGGAATCTCGTAAATGCAAGAAAAAAAAAATATATGCTCAATGAAACACTTTGACAAGTTGTTCTAAGCAATATGGAATAGACGTTATAAAGAAGTTTACGTTCAGCTTCAAAGACAAAGTTTTGGTAATATAATATATTTATACTATATTAATCTTAAATAAATATCATATTAAGCAAAATGAAAGAATGCTTTTGCTAGATACAAAATTACTACTAGTTAAATTGTTTAATTTTGTTTTGTTGTTTTGGATAAATGACTAATAATAAAAGCAGTTTTACAATGCACTTGATCGTGCTGTATTGAGGAGCTTTTCTCTACACATCCGGCCCTTGACACCGGTTTACTATCATGTAATGTAAATTAGGATTGCAGATGAAAATTAGCATTTTAAACGGAAACACCATTACATTACATGATACACGAAAAGATAAAAGAAATGATAGAATAAATTCATACATAGACATGTAGCAAAACTGCTCATAAGGGAGAAATCTCTATGAAAGGTAATAGTAAGTAACCAAAGTGAAAACATGACCAGGCTTCATAATCCTCACACAGAAAAAGTGAAGGCTAAACAATAAAATAATGTTTTAATCTCTTTTAAGAGGAAGAATTCTAGTTTCCACACCGTCTTTTGTGATAATCTTAACTAATACAGAGTCGCCGACCTCAATGTGTCTCTCACCGGCACTAGTAAACGCATCGTGGACTAGCTTCATGGCTTGCTCTAATGTTAAAAGTCTGTGAGGTTTAGGTTCAGCGCCATTTGTACCAGGAATATATTGATTATGTAAATTTACTTGGTTGTCCAAAAACGGCGTAATGAAATTCGCCGCAGAACCTCCTGCACGACACCATTCTCGTTCGTATGATCCAACAGGATCAAAGGAATAGATTTCTCCAAGATTTTCTTTGTCCAATCCGGCTACAAGGGTGTAAACATAATAAGGAAAAAAGCGTTTGCCATACAATAAAGTACGAACCATTCGTGCACAGGATTGAGCGTTCATCTTTCTGTCATGATTGTCGTGATAAAGTTCAATGCGCTGTTGAATGCGTTTGACAAGGGCTAAAGCATCCGCCTCAAATCCAGATGCGCCAACTACTAAGTCATCTCCAACTTCGTGTACACGAGGCATAAAGCGGGTATTAATGTTATAACCATTAACATTTCTGGTATCACCTGCTAACAAAGAGAATCCTTCACCAGCAATAGCAATGGTTGTACCACCATTTTGCACATATGGATCAAACCCGTCAGACATATTTTTCTTCTTTGTAATGTAACCGTTTCCAGTAAAAGCTAATGTTAAATGACTTTTTTGTGTCTCTTTTTCAAATAAGAACCGCCTACTCTAGCGTTTCTTCACTAATTAATAAAGTTGCTTGGTTAAAGGTTGTATGGTAGTCAACAGCTACATGATACTACTTCATATACTGAGAATCCCATATACCATTAGGAAGGGTGATGCACATAATGAATCACCCGTTAGTAAAATTCGTATTATAGTGTTGTAATATTTCATATTTGTTTAGAATTTAAAAGAAATCATACAGGATTGGATTGTTTGAGTTACTACTACTGTGGATTCATTTCGTTAAGAGAATGTAACATATTTGTGTATAAAAGGAATACGATGTATTGTTTATTAAAACAGCTATTCATAAGTCATCGACAAGTCATCGTAGCAATTTTTTTTACTTAACATACGTATCTCTATAGACATTATAGAAATCATACTAACATAACAAACGCAGGAATCAGAAATATCAAGGTCTTCATAACGGCTTTTGCTTATTGCTCATTACTCACATAATGAGTTTAAAACATTGAAAAAACTGGGAACCCCATCAGTATAAGAATGTGCATCGGTATTTTCCAATCTCATAGAGACCGTAAACGAAAAGATTGGTAATCTATTTGCCCAAACAAAGGTACCTTCATCGGTACGGTTGTTTCCAGCTACCAAAACCAGGTCCAAATCTTCAGGATTATGTAGTATTTTGTTCAAGGTATAATTAGCTGCTGTTGCCTTTGAAATGTTCTTCGGTTCAATCAGAACATGTCCTTCCATAGGAATGGCCTTGCAAGTATTTCCAGTTTCATTAACACTACTACATAATTCAAGAGCATTTCTCATTCCATTCTCTTTGTTTTCCGCTTTGACATAATTAAATTCCATTGCATATCCATGGTCAATCAAACTGGAGCCCTGGTTTCTTTCAGCGTAATACTCAATAATATCGTGCATGGAATCGCGCCAAGTCATTTCATCCTTCTTAAACAGGCGAATCCAACCTTGTAAATTATCATCTCCTGCCGTGTGGGGCTTCACATAACATCCATTCTCGGCGATCAACCCCAATCCAGGAAGATTTACAAACAGGGAATCTAGTTCGTCTCGGTCTAAACAGCTACATATATAAATGACATTTTTTGGGTCATTCACCAACCGTGTTAAGATGTTGATTATATATCCATAATGGTAATCCATAAACTCGTGACGTCCTTCCCATGAGACAGCTTGTCCATCAAAGTTTAAAAACATAAGACGCTTTTTCGCACTAGCATAACGACTACCAACAAAGTTTAGGGTAAATTTCGGAATATGGGAAAGATCATGTCTTTGTTGAGATGTCCATGACTTTTTCAATCTATTTTCAAATTCGGCAGCCCATGTGGAAGCAGTGTGGTTACGAATAACATTGATGCAAAGATCGTAGCGTTTCTTTTTGCTTGCATCATCCATTTCTAGAGCCTTTCGCATTGCATGGCTCATTTCCAGAGTACTCCATGGGTTTACTATTAGTGCACCTTCACGGAAAAATGCAGAGCATCCAATAAATTCGCTAACAATTAAAGGAGACTTTTTCTCTTGCTGTGTAAGAATAAACTCATGACAAGTAAGACTCATTCCTTCACGCAACGAAGTGACAATGAAACCATCAGCTATAGATAATACAGCCAGGTACTGAGCGTAGGATAAATCTCTAGAGAGAAAAGTGACAGGAAGATGATCCAAAGAAAAATCACCAAAGGTTGAATTGATCCTGGTCACGATATCCGAAACTTCTACACCATACTGTCGAGCTTCGTCAGTAAACGCCGAAGTTTGTAGTAAGATGGTATTTTTTTGATAGGAAGGGTTATCATACAAAAATTGCTCAAAAGCCAAAAGCTTTTCTCGTATACCTCTGATAGGATCCAATTTATCACAACCTACAAAAACATTCAAGTTCTCATATCTCTTTTTGAGTACTTCAATCGTTTCGATTGTTTCTTCACTATCCAAATTGGCTTGGACTGACTCGGGATCGGCGCTAACGGGATGGGAGTAAACGTCAATATAGCGATCCTCTAGAAGGATACGACCAAACGTTGCTTCAGCATACAAAACGCGTGAGCAAGATTGAAGGAAATGACGCTTATATTCCTCTGTTTGGAAACCGATGAGATTGGCCCCGAGCATACCAAGCAACAGCTCATTTCTACGAGCAAAGCAGCGGAAGACTTCAGAAGAAGGAAAAGAAACGTGAACGAACAAACCAATCGCTGCATTAGGTAATTTTTTTCTTACCATTCCAGGTACAAGAAGAAGATGATAATCGTTGACCCAAATAGTATCTCCTGAACGGTAAGTTTCAATAATTTTGTCAGCGAAAGCTTGATTCACGCTCACATAAGCATCCCAATTGTTCTCCTCGTGGAAGAAAGAGAAAATTTCATTGTGTTGATAATGCAAAGAAGGCCATAAAATCTTTCGACAGTAGTGGTTATAATGGCCCTCAAATTCGGAATCGGATGTATATACAGCGAGAGATTGATGTTTTACTAACAAGGCCGCAGAAATGGCGTCCTTTGTTTTTTTGGAAAGGCTTTCCGTGGGCATACCCAAGAGACCAACCCATAATTGGTTGGTAATCTTTTTATCACGCACAGCGGCGCCCACGGCACTGAATAGACCATTGTTACCATTGATTCCACGCTCTACTGTCCAACGTGCAGACTCAAACAATGCAACATCCTTAATTAGTGAGTCACGGCGTTTCCTAATAAGATTTTTTTTTGCGCCTATACCGGGGGCACCGAATCGATCATCCGGTTGGGTGAAGGAGGGCGGTGAAGCGGCACGAGACCGGGGTTGGGTATAAACAGGGGAAGAACGACCAGAAGCAGGTAATGGTGTCTTAGTACCAATGTTTGAGGTTTTTGGGGTCTTTATACCACTACCGGTACCGGATCCAGTATTACCACCTCGTCGAACTGCGGCGGTACCAAAGTAATCGGAGGTATTTTCGGGTTGAGGGGTCAACACAGGAGTACCTGGGGAATTATCTTTTTGTGAAATCGCAAGATGGGAGAGTGCATTATCTATAAGAACGGAATTTCTCCTGTTTCTGGAAGCCTCGTATGAAGCAGGAAGATTTTCGGGACCTTTATTCTCAAGTTCATCTAAATGAAAGTTTATAGTGTAGGGAAGGAAGATCGAACAGACTAAATTTCTACCCATATTGAAAAAAATCGGAGATTGGTAGAAGGGTTGGGTTTGTAAGAAAACAAAGACAAAGAAAAGAAGAGAAAAACAAACGAAAAACGGAATAAATAAGTCGTGAAATCCTTTTTTAAAATCAGTAGCTAGACGAATGGCAAGCTAGATGATTTTTTCTTTAATTTTTGTTTTTTTTTTTTTTTTCGAACAACAGAAAATAAAAGTAAATAAAAAAATTAAACAAATAAAATAAAAAAGGCAATCAATAAACCTTTTTGAACTTTTTAAGAGAACACAAAAAATTTATACACGTAATGGATTAGCCAAAAAGTGGATCAGGGCGAATTGAGAATTCAAACAAGACGAATGACAGCAAGAAAAGCAATCAATTTTGCATGAAATTTGACGAAACACTTTTTTCTTAATTAAAAAAAAAGAGTATTTTCAAATTTCAACCTTCAATCTCACACTTCGAAGGGGTAATCCTAATCGTTTCTTTACGAAATCGATAATAAGCAATTCGTAACAACTAGTAATCGTTTCTAAACAGAGCTTGCAAGTCCAATTTCTATATTTTAAAGAAAAGAAAAACAAAACAAGCCGAAAAAAATACTAAGGAAAGAAAACGATGATTCAGTCGAAAGCGAAACGAATACGAGCACGGTAATCCAGAAGGGGATTAAATAATCGTAAAAGTACCTTTTTACAAATGAGAAATTTGCCCGCAAGAATAATTCGAAACTACGACGAATAGATGTTGGGAAATGGTAAGATTAGTATAGTGGGATACACAGGCAATATAAGGTAAGTCCATGGCGTCACCGGTTGTATAGGTACGTAAAATTGAAATACGACTGTTCTTTTTCTACCAAAGATTTAAGAACGATTCATTCATCTTCGATAAGAAAACAAGTTTCTTTTTTGTTTGCCATAAAAAAATCCAATGAATTTGGTGGTTAAACAAAATGTCGTGTCTCAATATGCTTTGTTGACAACACTTGGATGTAAACAAACCCATGGTTTTCAAATTTTGTCTGTAGCCACTACTACTGATGAGAACATGACGATTTGAATAGTGAAGTTGCATGAATTATGAAAAACCGTATAGCGAAAAGTAGCGGATGAAAAGAGACAAGAGAAAAGTGCGTTGGATGTCATGGTCTGTCTGACGCATGTTTTGTTGATGTAAATTGTGTATGTAAAACACAAGGTAGGTAGACAGAGTAAGAAAGAGTAAAGGAGAGCAGAGCAAAAAGAAAAGAAGAGAAGAGGAGAGAACAATAAAAAAAGAGATTCTCAAATGGAAAGAAAAAAAGAAAAAGGGAAGTAAAAGGGTTGAACGTTCGAACTGATCAATTTGAATTACCTGACACATATGCGTTCCTATATGTTTTTTCAAAGTTTGAGAAAGAAGAAATGTAGATTTTATTTTGTTGGAGAAAGAAACAAATCATTTAAAAAAAAAATAAAATAAAACAGAAAAAGGAAAAGATTCAAATAAACAAAAGAACTCGTCAAATAAAATCATAAAATGCGAATGCAAATCATAAGGAAAGATAAGAAGCATAGACAAAGAAAAGAAAAAAAATTAAAGAAAAAAAGAAAAATAAAAAAAGGAAAAGGAAAAAATAACAAAAGAAAAAAAGAAAAGAAAATCAACACACATGTCAATAGATAAAAAAGATAATTTTGAATTTATTTTGTTCCACGTCGTTCGTGTTCCTTTGCCAGCGTGTAAAGAGTTGTACCACCAAGAATGAGTACGACACCATAAATGCGATTTACGTAAAGAGTTTCACCTAAAAAGGCGACCGCGAAAAGTGTCTGGAGGACGCCGCGCGTAGCAACAGAAATCATATAAGAAACGGGTGAAGTGACCTTGATCTGGGTAAAGGTTGCAATGTTTAGGTAAAAATTTGAACAAGAAGACGCAAGAAGGATCATGGAAAATTTGGCTATCTGCGCTCCATTCACGGATCTAACAACGCTGTATAGTTCAAGAGAGGAAATGGAAAGAAAGAGACAAAAGCCAGACATATAAGTTGCAAAAATGTAAATCAAATCCAATGTGGGAAATTCATGAACATAATGCTTCACAGCAACCGATTCGATGGCCGTAGTGAACGAACTCCAAATTCCCAAGACGATCCCTATGACGGGAACGTGCTGCTCAAACTGAACGCCAAAAACAAACCCAAGCATTACTAAAAAGCATCCAATAAGAGGGAAAGCATGCGTTTTTTGATGAAGGAGTAAAAAGGAAAGCAAAATCGTAAAAGGTAAAAGTAATCCACGAGAAATTTGGTAAAACGAGACCGGCACAAACGAGAGACAATAGGTTTTACTTACGATACCCAGAATTTTTACGAAGATAAACTTTTTCAATTGCTTCACGGAAGAAAGAGGGAGCGTTTGGGAGGAACCGGAAGAAACCCACCAATAAGCCTTTACCATGACGGCCGTAAAGGCCATTTGGAGGGACAGCATTAATAAAGGAGCTCGTATTACATTAAGGGCTTGCTTATTCAAGACGGTGACGAGAATGGCGAAAAGAATTTGGGATGCGACGGCAAAGAAGATGTTCATACGGGAAGGTTGAGGGACGGATGGAAAAGAAGAAGTAGAAGCTGAGGTTGGAGTCTGCGCCTCGAGATCATTGGTTTTCAAGTCTTCCTCTTTCGGGGAAGAGATTTGAATTGTCGAAGTAGAGGATGTGTCTGGCAGGGAAGCCGTAGAGATGGAAAAGACATTCTTTTCGTCAACATCTTGGTCTCCAAGAGCGTCATATGAACCTTTATGTGGAAGAGCAGACATGGTTTCGAATTAGGACTGGGTGAAAAAGTCAAGTATAATGATCAATGATGCTTATTATAGTACAAGGAAAGGAAATTCGTTGAAAAAAAAAAAAAAACAACAAATTGCTGCTAATTGGTAAATAAAAAGAAAACGGAAACCTGTTTACGAATCGTTTTCAACCATCAAAAGGAATTTAATAGAAATCCGAACAAACCAAGAGATGGAAAAAAGAAATCGAGAATTATATAGGAAAGAAAAGGGAAAACGAGTCAAACTTCCAAGAACCAGCCCTCTCAAAACTTTGAACGTTGAATGGGTATGTCAAGATTACTACTGCGCATCCCAAAAATTACCTGATTCCCAGGAAGTATATAAGGTTATTACCCGTCCACATTACCTTATCGAGGTAATATTCTTTTTCTCTTTTCCCAAGACAAAATTCACCTGCCACCCCCACTCTGCACTACATGTTTGAAGCATCTTTGACTTGAAAAGACCACTCGCCCCCACGGCGTCTCCGCTGAGCCTCAAATGGGGGTAAAAAGTCTTTTGATACCTAGAGCAACAATTCTTTCAAAGAACCAGTTGTAAATATGAAAAAATGAGTTTTTTAAACATAAATATTTCTTTTTTTTTTGATATTTTTCCCTGAATTTGAAGTAATAAGCGGAAATCGACAGAAATATTCATCCTCGGATCTCCTGCCATCCTCCGCGCACCTCCAAACATGATGTCTTTGTTTACATATGATGTCACAACGAGAACTCATAAAGTGTCAAGCAACCTCGCGTTCCCGTGTCATTTCTTTTTTCAAAAATCCTTTGTCTTCTTTCTACAAGAAACAAACAAAGGGCTATAAAGCGCTGATTTCCAGTTGATTTCATCGGTTTTTAGCTCAAACTTGTTTCAACAATATTCTCTCTTTTCTGTTATATCAGATTCGGATTATAATCATTATTACTAGATCAATTTAGTCGCGTTTAAATACGTTAAACTATCATTAAGCCGGTGTTCTCAGGAGAAGTCGACTCTACCTGAACCATTCCTCCACAACTTCTTCTATAATAGAGCGCAAGCAATTGAGTAATCTTTTATTTGTTTATTTCCTCTATTCTGCGCTCATACATTTGATAATAAGGTCTTTCTTTTCTTTTTCTTTTTAGTTATTTATTTTTTTCTCATCTTTCAAAGGTTTGAAAGAAAAGATCTGGGTTGCATCTTTGGTCGCACGAATTCTGTAGCTTCTTTGGAGGATTTGGCATTTTTTTCGATATCTGTCGCGCGTCTTTGGGTCATTCTTTCTTTAGCTGGTTTTCCATCGTCTCAATTTCGATCCTCGCATTGCATCTGGGATTTTTTTTTTCCTCCTTCTTCCTTCCTTCCTTCCTTCCTTCCTTGTGGGCTTTCGTTGTGGACTAACTGAAACATAGAAATCTTGAGGAAACATTGTAAAGTCTTTCCAACATTAGTCTTTTCATAGCTAATCCGTTCACTTGTTTTTCTTGCGCCTCAATTGAGAAAAGCACGGAACTCGTCTGTTCTTCTTTTGCTTCGTTTTATCCACAAACCGCTCTTTTCATCCATTTTTATAATTCTTATTATTATATTCATTGGTTGCTTTCTACATGTTGGTATCATTGCCTTGTTGATTGCTAGTCAATACTTTCATTCTTATCCTTTCTATCTGCTTAAAATATTTGTACATAGCTTTCTTGTGCATGCTCTAATCTTGTCTCTTTTCTTTCTCTCTTTAGTTTTGCATTCATAATTAGCATTTTCTATGCTTGACTGTTTCCCGCTCGTTTCTTCTGCTGTTCAAGTCTCGTTGACTTTACTTGTTATATGATTGCTTTTAAATAATCTCTCTCCTACTTACCATTGATTTAAATCGATTTTTATTTTATTCATATATAATGATAAAACGGCCGCGGTTTTTTTCGTCTCCCCGAACTTTTGGGAATTGGACGTTTCGCGTCTTTCTTCTAAGTTTTCTTGTCGTTCTCTACTTTTTCCTTAGTTTCACCTTTCCTTCATCGTCGCTCTCCTTTACCTTTCCGATCGGCTCGAATACCATGTCTTCCGGGTCCCTCCGTCAACTCGAGAACATCCGAAAGGTGTTTTATTATACCATGGATCGCCAGCTTGCAGGCATTCGTGAAGTAGCCCTTGTTCATTTACCATGCGCTGCCGATTCTGAAAATTTTTTGTCTATCTTAGGGCAAAGACAATATTTAAAGGAGAGAAATGTCTCCATTCGTTTTGAATCCTGTTCTTCTACAAACAGACAACCGCCATCTAATGTCACTTTCCCCAAACTTCACCCTATGTATTCCGCTGTCCTTCAAGCCGCTACCATAAAAGGTGAACCTTTTAAACTACAAGACGTTGTCACTTCCTCCAACCCTTCCCTTAGTAGCATTCGTCATTATAAATTACGCTCTTTTCCCATCAATTTTCCTTTCTTCGTTGATGAAGAGATGCAACGTTCTCTAGATACTTTGCGTGGTCATCCAGATGTTTACTTGACCTCTTCTCGCGTAACTGAAGACTCTAGATACGCACGCTCTGGGGTTGGTACCTTTACATTTGCTCCTGACTCTTCCATCACATATTTTAATCAACTAAGTCATTTCTACCAACCCAAATCATTGAAAAACAACGTGAATCTTATTTTATCTAGGGATCATGAAGTGCCTATAGCAGGTCTAAAAGCCATCAAGTATCCTTGGGCAATTAATTTTTGGGGTACCGAACTGGATAATCAAATCACAAATGTCAACACCACACTTGTTAAGCAAGCAACCCAGTTGCTTGATTATGCACACTCTTTAATTACCAAGACCCCTTACTTTATAACGGATAAATTTCAATTACATCTGCTTGCCAGTTACGCGAATTTAAAACATGTGTACATCATCAATGATTATGAGTCTGAATACGGCAAGTATGAGCTCGATTGGTTACAAGGTCTTCATTCAAAAGGAAATTTAGCAGTTGCTAAGGATTTATATTCAGCAATGTTGATTGTGAATAGTTGGTTAGGTAACAACTAATTGAGAAGGATGCTTTGGCCATAGCTCAAAGTTCTAAATAATTAAGTTGTTGCTGGTTATCTAATGTAAAACATTCTTTACTGTAATGTTTGAATTCAGTCTTTATACAGACTAGTGTTTGATATATATGTACATATATCAAACAGAACAAAAACTTTCGTTCTTTTGCATTTTTCTTACTTCTTTCATCTTTTCTGTCAATTTTTTCTCGGTTCGTTTTTTTTTATCTATTTATTTCTTTTGCACTGATGATTTCTTTATTTTTATTTCTTTCTTATGATGTTTTAATGCATACATTACTAATCTTTTTCCCTAAAAAAAAGTAAAGTATATGGGCGTTGTTTAGTACTTTAATCTTTATTACAATTGTAAGTGATTGATTGAGTTGAATGTTTATAGTAGCATGCCGGATTGCTATCAAAGCAAACGTGTTTCTTAATCAACTCGATAGCAGTGTTCCCATCGTAAAAGTTTGTAATCATAATAGTAATTTGGTCATTAAATCTATATACGCCTCAATACTTGAAACTAAGGAAACGCTAGTGTCAGATCGATGAAAAATTACACAGGGGAAATAGAAAGTTGATATTTTAACGATCTTAGATCTTAGAGCAAAAGACAGATGCAACTACACATCATTCGTAAAAAAGAAAGGTAAAGACGTTTTGGACACAAGGTTTTTCTCTCAAGACAAAGAAAAAAGCAAAAAGATACATCAAAAGAATTCACATTTAGGTAGTACGAGGTCCCAGTTTGTCAAGAGCGCGGGCACCATACTCTTCCCATTCTTGTTTTGAAACCCACATATGATCATTCTGAGCCATAATATCAGCCAACACGGCACCACCAATAAACACGGCATGGCGACGGCGTGGAGCATCCTCAATTTTCACCTTAAAATTTGGCAAACGAGATGGATCACCATGAAGCACACGATCGAACCAGAGTTGCTTAATCTCTTTCTCCAAACGAGAAGGTAATCCAGCATACATACTACTACCACCTGAAAGAACAATAGCGCGGTATAGGTACTTGCGTACATCAACATCAGCAGCTTGAATTGTATCGAAGATAAATTCACTTAGACCGGGCTGTTCGCTACCAACAAGGTGAGGTTGAAATAAGCATTCGGGGCATTCAAAACGTTCTGAGCCAACTTTGATAACCCGTCCATCTGGCAAAGTATAGTTACGCATTAAAACAGTGGTCTCTTCACTGAGCTTATGATCAAGCTCGAGATCGTAACTAACATAACAAAGCTTTTCTTTCATCTCACGGACAGTTTCAAAATCAGCGGTACGATTAAAAGCATATCCTTTTCGTAAAAGCAAATTAATAAGGTATCGAGTAGCGTCTCTTCCTGCAACGTCTAAACGGCCCACAAGGTGATTCAAGACAACACTTTCGTAAACGGGAACAACATGTGTGACACCATCACCGGAATCAACAACCACACCGCTACTCAAACCCTGTGCGTAAAGGGACAATACAGCTTGAATGGCGACATAGACACCACCAAAGTTGTATCGCTCAAACATAGTTTCGCACATTTTTTCACGGTTCGCAACGGGATTCATTGGAGGTTCGGTTAACAAAATCTTTTGGCCATTTGTGTCAATTTTTAGCTTGTCATAAAATGTATAGTCCCATAAATTATTCATTTCTTCAAAATCGCGGATAATACCATTTTCCATGGGATACTTCACTTGCAAGAGTGATCTCACCGCCTCTGCCTCATCACCGACCATAACATCTTTGATTTGAATATCTCCTGTTTTCTCTTCAGCACGCAAAATTGGTCTACCTACAATTGAAGGAAATTGGTGACGCGGAAAGTTGTCTTTGGCGTACCCGACCTATATTGATTTTTGGTCAGCGCACGATATCCTTTAACTTTGGGAAATAAGTCTTACCTTGACAAATCCAGTACCATTATCTAATACAATGGGAGCAGATGCCATAATGAACGGCGAATCTATGAAAACACACTTGGTTTCTTGTTGGTAAAGGGTATGTATAATGCTACCTTTCAGTATCGTCACTCCATCCTCCACCAAATTGCGAGATAAAATGACTCTTTTCATATTATGTAGCACTACGCAATATTATTTATAAAAATTCAACGCACTTACGTAAGTAAATAATGAATGAAGATCAAATGTTTTAGAAATAACGTAATTGTTCCATTAAACTTTGAAAAAGGAAATAGCATAAGAACATGAAAAAAACTTTATCTGTTTCTAAAAAGAGTCATAAATGAGAGACGATTGTTTGTTGGAGGGCTTTCTTATCATTACACCTCGCTTTCTTCTGAAACAATATAAAGAAAACTCATAGTCAACTTTGGGAAAAGAAATAGTAAATAATATTTAACAGAAAATAATCAAAAGAGAAGATAAGGAACTTCCTTACATTCTTTAGAACCATTTTCTTTATAATATCATTCTAAATCGTAATAAAATTATTGTTACTTATCGCGTTACTCTATACAACAGATTGAAGCAGTAAAATGATGGTTTTATTCGGGATTAAAACAGGAATAAAAAGAAAATATATATAATAAAAATTACTTTAGAAAAGATTCAAGAATGGCTCGGCTCGGCTCAGCTCAGGTTTTATGAGGACAATGTTGATGCGCTGACTGTTTGAATATTATCAAACCAAAGTTCTCTCTTCCTTAAACTGGAAAGAAAAGCTGCAACCTTCCGGAACAGTTGTCACGAGCAGAAAAGAAATATAAAGAGTAACTATTGAAAACAAAAAGGAGAATTGACTTCTTGACTACGATTGTAGCTGAGTATATTGTACACACATAGCCAACAAACACTCACGCTGAATAGGACTGTAGTAAAGTAAAAATAAAAATAAATTAAATTAATTAAATTAATTGGTTCATAAGCCCGCGTATATTTTCCGTAACATGAAAGACACGTAAAACTTGAGCAATATCAATGCTACCAAGTAGATATGCAAGCCTGTTTTACAAAAGACATAGGAAAACAGAAAAAGAGTGTGTTGTTAAGGTATAAAAAAGAGAAAAACAAAATATCAAAGTAAATTAGGGCCATTTCTTGATCTCAGTCTCATCAACGCTGGAAAGCTCTTCAGTGGGAATGCGTTTAATGTCATAAGTACGATCCACACGAATGGAAACCTGTGTAGTATCTCCAGGAGACGTTGTGCTCTTTAAGCTTTGAAGCTTCAATGCGGTGCTTGATGCCCATAAACTAGAAAGTGGGAGCGAAACAATCAATAAACATTGGGTCATCGAACTAAAACCATCGTATGTGTGAATAAAGCTGTCAATAATAGTAAAGATAGCAGGTACAAATAAGCATTGACAGCTAATAATTAAAATACACTGCATAGGGCCAAAAGGAAATTGACCAATTTTCTTTCGAATCTGTATCGCATGGAATAATTTATAAGAAAAGACTGCACTATGGAACATGATGCTCACAGCAAAAAGAATCTTTCCAACAAAATAGACCCAATAATATCCAGAAATCTGGTGGTTGTTGTATGGAGTCAACCATAGAAGGTACTTGATTTCTTGGCACATGTCGGTAAACCAAAAAGCCACTACTATAAGAGACAAACCAGAGCTAATGCAAGTCACGATTCGTTGAGTTTTCCTGTCATGCGCACAGATGATGCGAACTTGCAAGAGCATGCTAACTTCCGCTGTAATGATAATAATCGTGCCGATAATCATAACTAGAATATCAAAGACATGAACATACTGACCGACAAGTTCAAATACGAATCCATACATGACTGCAAGGCTGTAACTCTCGCTGCACAGGTTCACAATCATTAAAATAGCGCGAATGCACATAGAAATGATACTAGCCGAGTTCACAATAAACACAGGTGTTTTTCTTTTCTCGGGAGATGACAAAAGAATACTCATAACCATTATCAACACTCCTAAAGCTAACTGAGCGGAAACTGTCATACCGGTTAAAATGCGGTTACGCTCAGCTTTATCAATAGTGGACAAAGGAACCTGGATGTATCCTTGTGTCGACAATATGGGTATACTTTGGTTTTGGACCTGAGTCCCATTCATGGTATAGTAGTTTTTCCACCAGGGTTCCCTCATGATGATTGACGAATTTCCTAACTTGTTGATCAAGAAAACTTGATAACTGTGTATCTAAAAATCAAAATAAATTCCCAACTGCCGAGTGTCAATTCACTCGAGACCCTACAGAATCAAAATTCCAAAAGTCACCAAAAGATTTCCAGCCAATATCAAAGCGTAAACAAGGTCAGATCCTTTAAGACAAAAAAAGGCTTCCAAAAAAGATTATGTAATGGAAAAAAACGAATATGGATTAGCCCTTATGGTTTCCTAAACAAGCGATAATATCCTTAAACAAACTATTCTATAGCAGGCAGCAGTAGTACTTGCAATGAAACTGCTTGAGTTATTTTGTATTTCTTCTTCCTTGAGAAGAAGTTCTGTCGGGCATGGTCATTTATACCTTTGCTTTACCTGTTCATTGTCTTGGGCTCCATTGTAAGAGGTATTGTCTTTCCCATTGTTCTACATACAATACCTCTTACAATAGGGATGGAGGATGTAAGGACTAAGAACATGATAATCTAAAAGAAATAGTTGCTAATTTACTAAAGTATGAAAAATATAGACATTTGGCTAGTGAGCAGGCTGAAAAAAGAGGCCATTTTTTTCAAAAGGCACAGCAGGCCTACGCTTCTGGCCATAAGGCAGAAGCACACGAGCTAAGCCAAAATGGAAAAGAATGTGGGAATAAAATGGAAGAATACAATCGTAAAGGTATGGAAGGGATTTGCTCTTAGTCTTTACTTCACACCTTGAAGTGATTACTGGTGAGGGTTTAGATCTTTAAAGACAAGCATGCCATATTTTCTGATATTCTTTTAAAAAAGATACTATTGAAGTGTAATATTCTTCATTTTTATTGATCTTCTTACTGAGATTATCAGCTTTCAAATGCTTGTTCAAAAATTGGATTTATATCACTAACGACAAAAGCTGCCTACGCAATTTATATGTACAAGAACTCTCAATGTCGACCAGATGAAATAGATTTACATGGTCTTTATGTGGACGAAGCTGTACAAGCCGTTCGACAAAGAATTCACAATTGTATTCAGAGGGGAGAGGGCCATTTGCATGTGTACGGAAGTTTTTGTAAGTATTGAGGGATTGTGTTACTAATTTTTTTCTTTAGGATTGTTGGCCAAGGCCATCATAGTGTGAATCATGTGGAAAAGTTAAAGCCAGCCGTAATGCAGATGCTCGATCAAAACAATTTCCGCTATTCTCACGAGCCAAATGAAGGTAGAATTTATGTCTCTCTTCCCCATTCTGGAGGTGCACCTCCTCAACCCGCATACGCATCTCCTTACCAGCAACATCATCAGCAACAAATGCCCCAGCAACAGCCTGCTGTTGTGCAAGGTATCGATCCCGAAACTGAAAAAGTCATTGAGGAAGTCGTTACTTGCTGTCTCCCTCGTCTTAAGAATCTCTGTGTAATCATGTAAACATGAAATATTAACACAGGCACTCTTGCATGCCTCAAACAGGAAGCATCCCATTCGCTATTCACAATTCGCTCTTTTTCATATCGAATCATTCTTATTCTCTTAATGTTGCTATAAATTGCACGATAAGATGAAGCATAATACGCAGGTTTTGTTTTCACTTCAAACTTATCATAAAGCTTGGTTCAAGAAGGGCAATAATGGTGTACACTTGATTTTGTTTTGTCCGTTATCTTTTTCTTACTTCATTTTTTTAATCTGTTGAAGTCTTAATTACTAAAGTTGGTGTAATTTCTTATTTGTACATTAGAGATTTTCAACCCTGTTCTACATAGATCTCCAGTTCCTTTCGTTTTATAATAATTTGCTTCTCTAGATTTTACTATTAAAATCTTGAATTTTATATTCAACATTTGTTACATAATACGACACTCGATAATCACTCTTGGTTGAACATAAATTTGTTAAGTAGAATGTAATATTACCTGCGTAAAGAATTTATTTTTCTATAAATGTGTTTTTAAGAATAGTTTTTCTAAAGGATTTCACGAATAAATACGTTGCTTTCATTCTAATGCTAACGTTTCTATACTGTTTGAGCGTTTAACCTAGAAACGAATGAGGACCATAATTAAAACTGGGTTTAACTATAGATGAATGGCTACCCTATAGAATATTTCCCATTAAAATTTCAAGAACAGAAATTCTTTGAATATATGGAATATCAATTTTAGCAACCCTCAATTTTTTGAAAAAGACTCCCAATTGCGAAAACACAGTCATGAAAGATGATATTCTGACGGCAGCAAGGTCCAAAGCCTTGAATGGATTACGATTTGTATTAGTTTTGGATGTATTGTCTTTTTTTTTGGGATCTATAGGAACCAGTAAATTGAAAGTTCTTCAACTTGCATATCCTAGTTCATGGTCTTTATCCCCGAAGCTTTGGACGCCAATAAGGTATGAATTAAATTTTTTAACACCAAGGATTTATATTTTTCTTACAATGAACTGTTTTGTTTCAAGCATTAACCGTTAGGATTGCTATTCTAATTTTCGACTGTTTGTTCACAGCCGGAATCGCCAATGAATATGATGATGTTTTGAAAGCAGTTTTCCTTCTGAGCAGTAGACTGTGCCTTTCAAGCTTTTTTGAGGCAGCCGGTACATTGTTTATGGTATGTCTCAGTTGCCTGTTTTGTACTGTATACTTATTTTACAACAGAAATTTCAAGGATCATGGATCTGTGCTCTGTTTTTCATTTTGTCTTTTTTAAATTCATTTTCGATGATCCGTTCCTTGCACAATATGAGAAATAGTTGGGATCTTCAAGTAATTGTTGGTCTCCCTACGAAAATCCACTTTGTTTATAGCCTTTTTCAAGCAATCCATTACCTTGAATTTTCTTCTTCTTTCTTGGTAGAACTACCTTTTACTTTTCACATCTTCTCGTGTTTCGTTCTTTTCGTATTCTTGGGCCAACTCATAGGTAGGAATCGTGATTTTTTCTTGGGATTCTGCTCCGCTGCTTTTGTCTTTTTATGCAATTCAAATTCTTTTATATTTAAACGGCCTTTACTATTTTACGCCAATATTATTCTAGGTTTATTACTTCTATTCGAGAGCATTATGTACACAATGATTGTAAGTATGAGAAATTGTTGAATCACTGGAAGCTAACATTAGCGGAAAGGAAAAAGATAAATTACGAGGAGTTTCAGAGTCAGAATATTTATATGATAGTGACTCTGAATAAATGGCGGGTTTCATAACATGAATAAATCTCCACCTACAGATGAAGCATATCGTCACGAATAAAAAACTGTTGTCTGGCAAGCAATTTTACCGCTTTCATCCACCCTTGAATAGAAACTGATTCTTGAACCAATGCGGAATTTAATGCTTGTATGCTATTGTTCAAAACTGCATCATTGGAGGTTAGTTTGTACCTTTTCCTATCAATTATTGAAGGTATCGTATAAAGCTCCTCAATCGGTAGGCTTTCAGCGGCTGTAGCTCTATGTAAATCTTCACGGAGCTTTCTCCTAGTTATTCCCAGTAAAAATCTTTTCTTGTCGATTTCTTTTGCTAATTCTTGAAGTGAATTCTTTTCGTTATCCAACAATTCTTTTTTTAACCGAAGACTTTGAAACGTCTTGATCTGCTGCAAAAGTTTTGAGTCGACCCGTTCTTTCCAACGATTTTTTATTTCATCCAAACGTTGGCGCTCTATTCTTCGTCTTTCACTTTCACCATCTTTGTAGTTTGCTGAAAAATTAATATCTTCGTCTAATAAATTCATTGTAGAATTGTTGGACGGAATAGTATTTCCGGTTGTTTGTGGGAATGACTCGCTTATATACGATTTGGATGGAATTGGAGTACCTGTTTGCTTTGGAGGTAATGCAGGTGGTTTCTGTATGTTTCTCATCCCCATAGATAATGGCGAAGATGGCTTTTCTGTTGGAATATCCGTCTGAGATGCATCTACGAAGGAACTTGCATAAGGAGTTGGATGTGGTGGCACACTAGGAGCGGAATGGATATCCTTCTTTTCTTGGATTGATAGTTTTTCTGTGGAAGGGACCTGAGATGTTATAGGATGCGAGGGTTTTGCAGGGATGGGAGGTTTGGATGAACCTAAAGACAAGGAGTGAAAGTTACTTGAGAGACTAGTGGGAGCCGTCGTTGGCGTTTTTGGTTTTGGTTTTGGAGGAGCTATCGGTATTTCTTGTTGATCTTTCTTAAGGAACGGTTGATTTGTGAGAATGTGAATAAGACGGGTCAAGTTAAAAACGGAAAGCTCGTTTTTCCAGAGATCTAACAATAGATTCTTGTATGAATGAAAATTTCCATTTCTGTCCTCAAGAAATACAGTAGGAGGTACTGTTGGATAAGAAATAGGTACTACAAGGCGGATCAAACGATAATCACTGTTGTTAAAGTTTGGCAGTGTGAATTCAAACAGAACATTCGGCGGTGGAATAGTATGTGAAATGGAATCATTTTCAAATTTAATAGAATGAATAATGAATGTAGTATCGCTTTGTCGATTTGCAAGTTGCGCAAATTCATCAGCTAACGTAGTGTTCCATATTTTTAGCTATTTTTCTTTGCAGTTAGTATAATTGGACTTTGGAATTGAAGTACCTTTTCAATTGTAGAAAGGAATGGTTTTGAGAGACGATTCATTTCGTTTTGGTCAAGAATGACGAACTTCCTCTAATGAATAGAAAGGATTATAAAGAATGCGAAACAAACCTTCCAAAATGGTCAGCTTTTTAACGAATTATGTAAAATGAAATAGTATGGTTAGATAGCTTATGTCGGTGGATAGTAAAAGATCAAATATAGGGATTTGGAAGCACGAACTAGGGTATGTTCATACTCTTATACGGTTGTCAGTATCAATAAGATATTGATCTTTTATTATTGATATTCATACATTTTTTCCAAAAATGTTTATAAGAAATTCCTATGAACAGTGATATGCATGGGCCATGTAGTTTCTTTTGGTTTTCACCTTGTTCGCAATGATGGAAAAAAAAAAAAAACAGAATTTACAGTTTACAATAAAATAAAGAAATCTATAATTGTGAATAGATATTCCATGGGAATTTATGACCTACTTCAATTCTTGTCTGGTGCCAAGCGTACCTTTTTACTTTCCCGATTTCCTGACAAGACCATTCAAGTGAAGAAGCCATATCAAACGATTTGGTTTTAATTCCAGTTTAATTGAAGTTGATAAGCGGTTTAAAGAACTACCATTTTATAGAACAGAAAGGATGGCGATCTGGAATGCAGCAGCTTTGATGGGTAAGGGAATAAGACTCAGGGAAAGGTTCCCCAGTATCTAACATATAAATACAGGACTTTTAGGTGTTGGCTTGGGAGCATATGGTTCTCATGGATTGCAAAAACGCGTTCAAGATCCTCACTTGTTGAAGGTAAGGTAACCCATTACTATAAAAATTAGAATTGAAGACGAGGAGACGCAATCGAAAGAAATAACAGGATTCAAGTTTTGTTTATCTAACAACTAGTCTTGGTCTACGGGTTCTACCTATCTGATGTTTCATGCCCTGGCTGTGATGGCGATTTCTCTCCATCCAAAGTATGGCAAATCGAAATGGTCCGCTCCTTTAATGATCGGTGGTAGTACACTATTCTCGGGAAGCATTTTCGCTCTTGTATTGCTACCAAAGACATCACCCTTCCGTAAATACTTGGGCCCGATAACACCTTTAGGAGGTCTTTTGATGATTGCTGGATGGTCCACTATGCTTCTTTAACCATACCTTGAATGAAACAAAACTACAGATATTTGTTTTGCAATAAATAACAGGTTGTGTTTGCATAGAAAGTTGTAACTCAAGCATTATGGTCATATTATTCAACGACGCTTGGCATGGGTCCTTATAAGAGATGTTAGTTTTAACACGTTATCGACTCAACAACGTTCAGCATGAAATGAAACAGAAAAGCTTACAAGAGAGATTTGATGAAAAGTAAAGCAAAAACACAACCACAAACCAAACTTGGGTGCACTATAAAACATGAAAAATAACGATTGATTAGGTATTAAACATAAAACGAAGCATGAAGTATAAAGAGGGAATTAGTTTTTCAATTGAATCAACTTTTTCTCTTGCAAATAAGCGACGATCTTTTCTACGGATTGTTCAGTGGACATGGTTCCGGAAGAGACAACGACTTCAGGTGCAACAGGAGCCTCATAGGGAGCAGAGATACCAGTGAATTCCTTAATTTCACCGGCACGAGCACGTTTGTAAAGACCCTTGGGATCACGTTGCTCGGCAATTTCAACAGGGCAATCAACAAAGACCTCAATAAAAGGTAAGCCATCTTTCTTGTGAGCTTCACGGGCTTGGTCACGGTCTTTGCAGTAAGGAGAGATGAAAGAAGTGATCGAAACGACGGAAGCATCAGCGAAGAGCTTAGCAACATGACCGATACGGCGGATATTTTCGTTACGATCCTTTTCGCTGAAACCAAGATCGCTGTTGAGACCAAAGCGTACGTTGTCACCGTCTAAACGATAAGCGGTAATGCCATTTTGCAAGAGGTATTGTTCCAATGCGCAAGCAATGGTGGATTTACCAGAGGCCGATAAACCAGTCAACCAGATGGTCATACCTGGATGGCCCAAAAAGTTGGTACGTTCGTCTCTAGTGACAGAACCGGGGTGAAAAGTAATGTTGGTAGCCATGTCTTGTATGCTGGGATAAATTCTATTAAAAAAAAATGAAAATGTTTAAATTTGTACTAACCAAGAAAGGAGAGGACAACGCCAAAATAAACAAAACAAATGAAAACTGGCGATTCTAGGATAACGAGAAAAGAAAAGTTTCACTGCTGTCAAAACAAAAAGGGAAATGCAAAAGTAAAGGTACTGCAAAAGGGAAAAGGTGAATAACAAAAGAACAGCAAAAGCCACGAAAAAGAGGAATCGTGCTTTTTTTATTTCCATCAAAATGTTCAATCGCAGACAGTCACATTGGATGTCGCAATAAAGCTGAGAATTACGCAAGTACGAGATCCGATCATTTAGTTCGCTTCAGTTGAGCTTATTTTGTTGGTTTTTGATGATGATCATGTAAATAAATAAATAAAGAGAGAAAACGGTAAGAAAAGCATAGAGCCATCTAAAGCAAAGTAATGCAATCCAAAGCAAAATAATATTAATCATTGGCAGAATATGATATCAAAAGGGATTTTTCTTTGTCTTTTTTTATGCGAAACCGATTACGACTCTTATTTTCGCATACGCTTTATTAAAAAAGGTCAGACCATGAAAAGTCACTAGGAGTTAACCTTGTATAGTGTTTCTATTAATAAAGTAGAAAAAAAAATAAAAAAAGAAAATAAAGGAGTAAACTAATTCCTTTTCAACTACCTAGAAAGCCATTTAAAAAAGAAAGATAAAATGAAAAACAAAGGGGCCAACCGGATTTGAACCAGTGACCTGGGGAGCTGCAATCCCTCACTCTACCACTGAGCTATGACCCCAAAGTTCGATAATGGATGCTACAAATATCTATATAAACGGTTCTATACTTAGAGGTGTGCTCTAGATCTAGCACTTTCTGAAAACAGTATTGGGTTCGTTTTAAAATTGGTCTTTTAACTTTTTGGTTAAAGCTAAGTAAAGTAGATATGTATTTGCCCCAATAAATACGAAAATGGTTCGTCTCTAGCTTCCTCTAGCTTTTCTCTCAACCAACACCTACCTATGCTATATTATGTTAAGATCCCTCTCTGTCACGATCGATTACTGTATTTCAGTGTAATACGGAGAGTGGCGTAAAAACACATTAACGTACTGTGTCAAAGTACGGTAAGGTTTGGAACGGCGTACCGCTGTAGATCAGTAAAGGGAACACCCTGGTTTGCAAGTCACATGTAGGTCCTTTTACGACGGCATAGCGAGCTACGGAAAAGGTGAAAATCTCGAATTTGCAAACCTGCGCTTCGCCAAATTCATTGTATCAAATTTTTGGATTTTTTTACTTCACAATGGCAAAGGAAAGAAAAGAACGTAAAAGCTCTGGTACTGCTGAAGATGAGTATGACTCTTATCTCCCTGCCCAAATGCCAATCGCCCAACCTTTGGCACCCAAGAAGCTCAATAAAAAAATGATGAAAACAGTGAAGAAGGCTTCCAAACAAAAACACATCCTTCGTGGTGTCAAGGAAGTTGTCAAGGCTGTTCGTAAGGGCGAAAAGGGCTTGGTTATCCTTGCTGGTGATATTTCTCCCTTGGATGTGATTTCCCATATTCCTGTCTTGTGCGAGGACAACGACGTTCCCTACGTCTATACCGTTTCAAAGGAGTTATTGGGAGATGCTTCCAACACCAAGAGACCCACCAGTTGTGTCATGGTTGTCCCTGGCGGAAAAAAGAAAGATATGTCCAAGGCCGAAGACTACAAGGAAGGTTACGACGAAATTTTGAAGGAAGTCCCTGCTTTGGGAGCTTAAATTTTCAATAGGAAAAAAATAATTCCTTAATAATCTCATCTTGTTGGAGAGAGTCGCGGATTGAATCAACATTGGGTTGGATTTCTTTATTTTTCTTTACTTTTGCTTTTCGAGGGATAAGGCATACTTTTCATTTGGTTTTCTCTGAAAAGTATCCTTTTTCGAAACATGCTTCTCGTTTTGTCTTTCCCGGAGTTCCATATTTGCGTTCTCTCTTTCGTTTCCTTGCACTTCCATTCATCTCCCACTTTCTTTTGTTGTGGATAGTTTAGCAACTTGAACAAATAAAACTATATATGGAAAATAATTGTTCTTGTATACTTATTCCCACAACTTTGTTTCGTTTTTTGGTGTTTCTCTTTTTCTTTTTTGGAAAGAAACTTGTTTTCGATGAACACTTTTGAATGCAAGTAGACGGGTGAAAAGGAAGAATAAAATAGGTTATTTATTTGCGTGAAAAGGCTTATGGACGGTGATCCCATCGAAATCATTCTTTACCAATCTGTTTAACAATATGAAACTTTAGTGTGTCATCCATATTTTCGTAGAGTACACTTGTAATGAGCAAACAACAACACAATCGTATGTAGGATATCTATCAAGTTTGATGCGAAAATACTTGTTGTTTTTGCTAAAATTTCCAAATGTAAACAAACCCAACATTGAGTAACTGCTATTCTGGAGCACAAGCCCTCTTTTTATGACAACAACTCTATATTTTTATTTAATTCTTAGATTGTCTTAATTGATTTCCAATTTCCTTTTTCATTTCTGTTTCAAAGGTTTGCTGCTCGTCTTGTGTCCTCTGGACTCAACCGACTTCCAAGTACGAAGTTGAAGCAAACACCAAAGTACCCATAGTTTGTTCACAAAACCAAAGCAATTCAATCCTATGGAGTACCGAGATGATGGGCTGGGTGAAATGATCGAGTTTTTGGAAGGTAAGCTTTGAAAATTTCTGCAAATTCTTGAAAGGTTGTCCTGGCTAACATCGACTGCGTAGACAAACTGTATTTTACATCTTTAGATGAACCACCAAACGAGATTTTATATCCTCATATGCAATTTTTCACAATTGATAATGAACTAGCTTACAATCCTTTCTATCATGATTTTGGACCATTAAATGTTAGCCATCTTATTCGATTTGCTGTCATCGTTCATGGAATTATGGCCAAGCATCGGCAAGCCAAGAAAAATAAAACAATTGTACTATATTCCTCGACGGATACCCGTTTACGAGCAAACGCTGCTTGCCTCTTGGCATGCTACATGGTTCTTGTCCAAAATTGGCCTCCTCATCTGGCTTTGGCTCCTTTGGCTCAAGCAGAACCACCCTTCCTTGGATTTCGAGATGCCGGTTACGCTGTGTCTGACTACTATATCACCATTCAAGATTGTGTCTACGGTTTATGGAGAGCTAGGGAAAGCGGTATCCTTAATATACGAAACATCGACGTCCACGAATATGAAACATATGAAAAAGTTGAAAATGGTGATTTTAATTGGATATCACCAAAGTTCATAGCATTCGCTAGTCCAGTTCAGGCTGGCTGGAACCATCCTAGCACGCGTCCTAAGAAGCTCCCTCAACCATTTCTGATTGTCTTAAACTATTTTAAAGCAAACAATATTAAACGTGTTGTCCGTCTAAATGGTCCTTTATACGATAAAGATACATTCGAGTCAGTTGGCATCCGTCACCAAGAAATGTACTTTGAAGATGGTACCGTCCCTGAACTTTCCTTGGTAAAGGAGTTTATTGATCTAGTGGAAGAGGTAGAAGACGATGGAGTAATCGCTGTACATTGCAAAGCTGGTCTTGGCCGTACCGGTTGCTTAATTGGAGCCTACCTGATCTATAAGCATAGCTTCACCGCTAACGAAGTAATCTCCTATATGAGAATAATGCGTCCTGGCATGGTTGTTGGTCCCCAACAACACTGGTTACATATTAACCAAGTTCAAATTCGCGCCTACTACTATGAGAAAGCCATGGCGAAAGCGATACAGCAAGCCCTTGCTGCTGAACCATTGGCAACACCTCCAAGACAACCCTTGCATGCATCCAATGGTGTTGCTCTGCAAAATCAAGTTAGCACTCCTTTGCCAGAACCTACACCAGGCCAACCGCGTAAGATTTCTGGCCATCATGGTATGCCTTCACCTCAACGATTACCAGCTACCTCCACTCGTCTGAACGAAAAATTACGAAGTGTATCTAAACATACTTCTAACGATGAAAATATAATGAATAAATACTCTGAAAAACCGGAAGATCACAGCCCGAATGGCGAAGACACGGACACCGAATCGGTAGGAACTCCTACAGAAAAGATATCTGTACCACGTATTCGAAGATCGTCTAGTCAAACTACCCCAGAATCTATAGCTCGCTCTCCTTCTTCGTCTTTCAGAAGCACTTCTTCACGGAGATCCAGCGGTCGTTGGAATGGTAGCTCTTCTCCTCTCAACAGTCATACAAAGAAAGCTACTCAGAGAAGTGCTAGTATGTCATCTATCAATAGCACGTCTAATGGTCGAATCACAAAAGCTCGCTCTCCCAAGTCTCGACTCTTTTCTTAAATTTATTCGCTATGATGCCCTTACCATAATAACCTTCTAATTTTGAAGAGCGGCGAATTCCACTGAAATGTTATTTTTAATTCACTTTCTTGTAATCCTTATTTATGCTTTACAAAATTTGAACGAGCTTCTCTCCTGTGTTCTTTGCATACTCGTGAACCTCTTGTCTCTGAAGGGAAGTGGCCTTCTACACTCCTTACTTCACCCCTCCACCATTCTTTTCTTTGCTAGGTTGCATCTTTCGTAAATCTTTTCCTTGGATTATTTGTAACTATAATTGCATTTAAAGTCACGTCAGAGTGTAAGCAATGTTGAATTGATGGTAATAACGAACTGGATTTGTTACCAATTCATAGGTCTATTTCACTTACATTTTTTTAACCTCTATTATTAAGACATTCAATTATATTACTATTCAGAACTAATTTAAGGTGAAAACTTAAAATAGTAATTGTATTCAAGTGACCAAATTGTGTATACCCATTTAAAATTGGAAGACCTGGTCTATTTATATAATTTTTGTTCATGTTCTCTCCCCTTGGCCACTTCAAGCAATTAGACTGCCCTTTTTTTCGTAAGGATCGTACATGCCCGGCGAAATACTGTATATTTAAGCATGAAAATGCCAGTGACAACAATGGCGGCTCTTTTCCACCGACAAGTGAAGAGAGCTCGAAGGACGCGCGGGATGAAGCTCGAGTAAGTCAAGTTTTTTCACTCTCATCTATATGTCCGACAGCTCAAATTCCATATATACCACCTTCTGATACGACTGCCAAAGATAATTCTGTCACTACTAAATCGGATCTACTCTCAAGCAATGTACCAAGTAAATCAGTTAGCGCGAAAAAATCTGAAAATCTGTATAATAGAGAAAAGGAACCTATGCAGTCCCCAGTATCTGGAAGCTCGAGACCCCAAAAACGAGCAAGAGAAGAGTTGCTAATCCCGACGAATGACAGCAATACCCAGAATCATGACTCCTCTGTTAATAGAGTGAAAGAAAGGAAAGTTGTCAATGAACCTATGGCCATATGTGAACCCGTGTACGATCCAAATGCTCCAGCTGGTCATGAACTTAGAAAACGAATGGTTCATATCTTTTACGATTGTTTTTTGAATATCGGATACGATTCTTTTGAAAGTAAACAAAAATCTCTAGAGGATGAAAGAAGTATATGCCTGTCTACCAATAGTAAGATGATATATAGCTCTTCTTGCAAAGCCAAAATCTTAGCCTTAAAGAAATCACCACCGAAAGGGATTTTGGAGAGAAAAGAAGATGTCACTAGTTTCATCCCAAAGTTAGCACATTCTAGAGAACAACTGGAATTATGGGGATATCATTTTGATCAAATAGTTCCATCGGTGCCCACCGATCCCTTACGAGAATGCGATCGCTGTGGAACTAAATTTGTGGATCTTACAGGCCCTTGTAAGCACCATTGGGGAAAGCTCTTTCGAGAAAAAGTTGGTGGAGAGAAAATCCGCTTATATACTTGTTGCGGAATGAAAGAAGGAGAAACGTCTGGATGTACAAGCGAAGAGTTTCATGTCTTCCGGTATCAACATTTACCTTACTTAGCAAGTGTTTCTCCCTTTGTTAGTTTGTCATCGGATTGTCCTGGGAAAGAGAGAGTGTACTGTGCATTAGATTGTGAGCTTTGCTATACGACATTGGGATTTGAGCTTGTTCACTTGACAGTGGTTGACAAAGAAGGGATATTATTTAATCAATTTATTCGACCTAAGGGCGAAGTTTTAAGTTTGAATACACGCTTTAGTGGAATAACAAGTAAAACACAACTCGAATCTGGAATAACCATGCCGGTAATGTATGAAAGGCTGAAACAACTGGGCATTACTAGAAACACAATCATAATTGGACATGGAATTGAAAACGATTTGAATGCTATGAGACTTCTACATGAAAGAGTGATAGATACTGCTATATTGTACAAGCATGAGCGAGGTCCTCCATTCCGGTATTCTTTGAAATACTTAACGAAGAGATATTTAGGAAAGGAGATTCAAACGGACACCCATCATAGTGAAGAGGATGCAATCGCTGCAATGGATTTGGTTATATATTGGATACAAAATGTGCAGTCTCGAGCATAGGTTAGATGAATGAAAGAGATTTTACTTAAAAGGAACAGACCTTAAGTTTTAAATTGAATAGAATTTCATTTTTTTACCATTAAGGTATTACTGCGATGATAGCAATCAGTTAAAAAAGTGAATGAATTCAGCTATGAAAAGACGAGAGGGGGAAGAGTAAAGAAGAGACAAAGAGAAAATGAAAGAATTGGAATTGTTTGCAAAATTCTTTCTTCCTAGAGAAGCTTCATTGTCATGGAAGCAATTACTCCTCTTGGACCAACTATGTGCCTATTAGTAACAGTTCATAACTACCAATGCATAAATTCCACAGATGGAAGATGGAAAAAGATGTATGTACTTACGTGTCGGCCCCATTTCGAGTTTAAAAATTCGTTGCGTTCCTTGCCCCAACAATAGATGTAATAAGCAATACCGAACGGAATAGCCACGTAGAGACTTTCACCAAGAACACGACGGAAAGTGTTTTGGAAAGAGGTCTTCAAGAATCCAGCCATAGGTCTTTGTTGAAAGGGGGACAAGGTATAGGTAATAATACCTTTTTGCTTAGGACCACCGCTAAGATTCAGTCAGTAAAACCAATCAAACGTTACTATTATAGTACTATGGAAGCTTTTTTAATTTCACTTCCAAGCACTCATGAAACATACAGGTGACCCCACCAGCCTCTAATCATTTAGTTAGTATTCAGCTCTAAAGGTACTAGGATTCAAAAGAAATGTACATAAAGCAAAGAACTATAAAAAGAAAGCAAAAAACTATGTAGATTTCACGTTTTCTAGACGTTGGAAGCCACTATGAGCGAGCATTTCCGTTCCCGTCCGGTTTCAACAAGAAAACCAAATCTTCGCTTTCTTTTAACATGCATTTACTTTATAAAAACTTACAAATAAGTTTTTCCACCAGGAGCACCACCCATTTTGTTAATCAAGTCAATTCGTAAAGTTTCGAAATCCGTAAAGATATATGGAAAAGGTAATTCACGGTGAACCCGGACGAGAGAAAGGCGACCTCAAGAGATGAAAATTATTTTATAAAGTAAATTCGTATACGATTTTAAATTTTAAATATAACTATTTCTTTTTTATTAATATGCAAGTTTCCAAAAGAAAGATTGACTTCCACTGGTACTTCCATACCTGAGGTATTCGTTAGTTAACCTCTGCCAAACATCAAATACTTGCAAAAGAGGGGAATTCGCAAAAAATGGCTTTAGCAATAGAAAGAATAGCAAAATATGCAATTCCAATTAGTATTGGATTTACCATGCTCCAGTCTTCCATTTATGATGTGCCTGGTGGAAAAAGAGCAGTATTGTTTGACCGACTTTCAGGTGTTCAAAAGCAGGTTGTTCAGGAAGGAACCCACTTTTTAATTCCTTGGGTTCAAAAGTCCATTGTGTATGATGTTCGAACACGTCCCAGGAACATTGCTACAACGACAGGTAGTAAAGACTTGCAGATGGTATCATTGACTCTTCGTGTGTTACATCGCCCTGAGATTGGAATGCTTCCTCAAATTTACCAAAACCTTGGTTTGGATTATGACGAACGTGTGCTTCCTTCAATTGGTAATGAAATTTTGAAATCTGTGGTTGCTCAATTTGATGCGGCCGAACTTATTACTCAACGTGAGGTTGTATCTGCTAAAATTCGTCAGGAACTTGTTCAAAGAGCCACTGAATTCGGTATTCGTTTGGAAGACGTTTCTATTACTCACATGACTTTCGGTAAAGAGTTTACTAAGGCTGTTGAACGAAAACAAATTGCTCAACAGGAAGCTGAAAGAGCCCGGTTTTTAGTCGAGCAAGCTGAGCAAGAGAAACAGGCCAATATCATTCGTGCCGAAGGTGAAGCTGAAGCAGCCGATTTTGTCTCGAAATCTCTTGATAAGGCTGGTAATGCTTTGATTCAAATCCGTAGCTTGGAAACGAGCAAACAAATTGCTTCAGCTCTTGCTGAGAAGGGTTCTCAAGTAACATATCTTCCTTTTGGCGGAAATGTTGGCGCATCTGGCAATGAGAAGTCAGGATCATCAAGTGGATTTCTTTTGAATTTGAATCCCTAAAATGGGGGACTTGGAAGCTATCTTTTTTTTTTTGATTTAAGATTTGCCGTACTTTTCAAGTAGCAAGCAAGTACGCAGTTTCTTATATAAGCGGTAGTCTACTGTTCCTTATTCTTTATGATCCATTTTTATGTGTTTAATATCATTAGGTCTTTGATGCATTCACCCGTATAGCTGTTTGCAAATAAAAATGCTAAATTGTTTTTTTGTTTTATCAACCTACTCGTGTCAAATATTCTTCATTTTGCTTTTAAGCAGGTGCATTTATAAGAGGAGTCGCATGGTAAAGCAACAAATATGTGGAAATTCAATTAATAAAATTACAGTGGAACACAATTCATAAAATAAATAGCAATATTCAAGTAGGAAAGGTATATTTTGTTTTTCAAAGTTGTATCATAACACTTGTTCAGTCGAACGGCACTCGACGCCAGCCGACTTTTGACGCAGCAATCGCACTAGGGACCTTAATTCCACAACAGTCTGCGTACGTTGAGTGGGTATGGCTGGCTTCAGCGTCCTCGCCTTCTTGAGGAGCCGCGGACATGGTAGGCGTTGCTGGAATTAGATGTCCAAATAAGTAATGTTGCATTATAGGAAGCTTGGAAAGAACTTCGGCTCGATACATTTTTATCATACCTTCATTTACTTTTGCCCATGTCTTTACGCTAGAAATATCATCAATCATAGGGGAATGAAATCGTAACGAAACGTCTGGCTTCAGTTCATTAATGAATCGAACATATCCCAAATACATGTAGTCGTCGCCGCACATTTCTAGAATTTCGTTGTCACGTACATGTTTCGGGCGCAAATACTTGTGATGTACCAACTGGGAAGATCCAAATAGAAAGGGAAGGAAGTGAAAATCGTCTAATCCCCACACGCCGTGCGAGCCGGCAGGCTCCAAGAAGTAGGTTGACTGGATCAATCTCATCAAATGAATATAGCGCACAAAAACCCGAAGAATGATAGCTGGATAATATTCTTTTGATATGATTTCTAATTTTCGCAAGGCAAGGAGCCAAGTCATAAAATTGAGTTCATGACCGCTGCCGTAATCAATTCTCTTTCTATTACCAAAGCTTTCATAAAAATACTTTCCTGCCTCTGCAATTGCATTTTCTTCCAGCCCAAACGCTGCGTGTAGCGTAGGAGTTTCGCATTCGACTTGATCGTAAAAGGACTCGAATGCTGGATTCCCAAATCGAGAGCCTTTGTTTTCAACAGGCGGGTTCAAATTTTGAATTTCTTCGACTCTTTTCAGTATCAGTAGAATGTACTCGATTGACGGACTCAGCTTTACCTCTGCTGAAATTGGCTTGTCTTGGACACTTTCATTGAGGTCGCAAATAAACGAATCGATTGAGCGATAGGCCTCTCCTTCACGAAATAGGTTTAAATCGTCGTCGTTTAAGATTCTTCGAACTGGAACAAAGCAGTGATTTTGCTCTTCCGCAGGTATCATTTCATTCAAGGTCTTCTGGTATATATTTCAAGAAAGGACCATAGTCTTTATTATATCGTTACAAAATATGATAATATGATATGATATACTAAAGTTGCTTGTTTTCCATTTAATTCACAAGCAGCCTTCTTGTTCTACTTGCTTTTAAAGAAATGAATTCAAAAGAAAATAATCTGCATAAAAGATATGCTAGTTCCCTTCGAGAGAACCAATGTTTGTATGATGGTGAGCATGTTGCAATCTTGCTATGGTCCATCATAAGGAATACTCGCTCTTCACTGATTATAGATTTCTTTTTGACTACAGATATGCCATTTCAAACGTGATTCGTAAGGACAAGTCCTAACTTTACCAAGTATTATCTCCGGCCGTAATTATAGAAGACAACATTGAGTCCTACCATATGCAGTAGCTATAAATATATCTGGTTCGGTTTGAACGCTGAAACCGCATTTGCTATTCTATGCTCAATGCTTCTTTTGTGAATTAATCTGGTTTGACACTGTCTGGTAATAAGTCAAGTAAAGAACTCTCTCACTTCTTACTTTTACTTTTAGATTAGGTTTTAAGAGAACACTATTTCAACTACCGTCAATAGAAAAAGATGTTACTAGAATTTATGGTTCCCCAACTTACATGCACTTTGATTAGCATCTTAGGCAAACCCGGATACAATGTAAGCATACTCCTAAACGATTGACTACTATCCCCCAAGAATTGTGCGAAAAAAAGGAGAATTAATGCAAAACCAAAGAAAGATCAAGAAGATTCAATAAATGGACTTGTAGTCACCTGCGTCCACCACAAGAAACTAGATAGGTTTCAATCCTTTGTATACACAATGATAATTGATCATTCATTCCACTCAAAACATATAATTATACGCATCTAAGTAATCTGCCATGACAACGTAAAAGAAGGTAAAAAAGAAACAGCATCTTTATTTACCCAAGCGTTTACGCAGTGCTCGTTGTTTTCTCATACGCTTTTTGTATTTATGTTTGTTCATCTTCAACTTTCTTTTCCTTTTCACGCTCGTCAAACTTATGGGGGTAGTGGATATTATAGTATCACAGAGTTGTTCCCATACTTGAGATGATATACGGACAGGAAGAGATTCTGTAACTTTACCAGACGGAGAGAGAGCTTGCGCATGGAGTACGCCATTTTCCAAAGACAAAACATACTCATTTGACTTTTGGGAATTGTTTCCCATCTGTTTGATGGCAAAAAGGTTTGATTCAGGCGCTGGTTCAGGCTTTGATACGTCGCTAGGAGCTAAAGGTCTATACCCAGCAAAAAAGTTGGCGCGAGCGATCTCTTCATCGAATGTTAGTAAAACTTTAATAACAAACCGAACAAAACATACGTCTATGAGAAACATGAGAAGTTGTCGGGACTGTAGGTAAATTATATTTGGGAGTAATGTTAGGCGAAGCAGATACATGCCAAATTGGAATCGGGCTTCTCATGGAAAGACTACTAATTCCTTTTATTAATGTTGAAAGAGGACTTCGTTTCAGCATATTGATTATTATATAAATTTGAGGAAATAACCTCAAGTTAGGAAGTTCTCAAAATTCAAAGGTGTGCCATATACTTGAGGTTTGGGAAGGGTAGTGCACAAAACTTGGAAAACGTAAACAAAAGACATAAAAATCATATTATACAATTTCGTAGAAAGGTAATTAAACCTTTTTCAGTTGGAGTAATCTAATATTTCTTTCTCTTTTGCGGTAACTCATCGGGATGTAGTCCACCTAAGCGTTGTAAAGTTTTTTGGACAAGGGGATTCTTTGGGTTACTCCAAGCAGACCCAGCTTTACTGGTGTCTTCATTTGCCAAATGAGTCCACCTTGTTTGTCCTGCCATACCAAACGCATTTCCACGGACTTGCATGGCTTTTGGTAAGGTTTCCTTGTGCTGGATTTCACCTTCGGCTGCTTCAGAATAATCTCGATTTCGAAGAATATCTTGGTCTTGATAAAAAGCACCTTTGTGATAAAACTTTTGCAAGAACTGAACTGGTTTCTTTTTCTTTTCTTGACGGCTCTCTTCAGCTTCTTGTCTGTCCAGCTTTTCTCTTTCTTCAGGATCCATTAATCGTCTCTCCTCTACCGACATTCGTTCCTTTTCAAGAGCCAAAAGATTTTCCTTGTCACGCTTCTTCCTCTGTAAACTTCTTACTTGCCAGGCTTCGTATTCGCCCTGTGGGTCTAATCCATCTGTGTCATCGACGTCTTTCAAAAGTTCGTTTGTATTTTCCGCTTCTTTTTGTTTCATTTCTCTCTGAATTGTCTCTTCTAATATCTTTTGGGATAGCTGCTTGCGATCCTGCTCAACATCTTTAGAGGTGTCGGTATTCGTTTGATTTTTCGCACTTTTACCAACAAATTTCGGTGCAGAAAGCAAAAGTTGTCTCCTACGCTCCATTTCATCTTCATCAGAATCCTCAGATCCAGAGCTAGTTTCCGACTCACTTTCTTCTTCTGCCTCGTTATCGTTGGACATTGTCGGCGACTGTTCTCCATCAGTTTCATATTCAGACGAGGATTCATTAACAGAATTAGACGTTCCAAATCCACGAGAAATATGTGGTCTCGGTAATACTTTCACAGGCTGTTTTACTGGTGGTTGGATATCCTTAGAGTCGTTGATTGCGAAAGACTCAGCAGAAGAAGCCGAAACTGCAGGGGGAGGAAGAGGCTCTTCTTCATATTCACTTGAAGAAGAGTCACTTGCACTTTCTTCTAAATTATCTTGTCTAGGTCGATACCTTCCAATGGGTTTTTTTGGAACTAGAGGAACAGGAGGCGCCATACCACCGAAAATAGTGAATTTCTACGTGATTTCAACAAAGCACAGACAAAATATAATACTAAATTATAAAGTAACTAGCTTTACAACGTACGTAGCCGAGATAAGATGAATTATACTAAATATTCTTTGAAGGCATTTTTCGTGTGTTTTGGTGTTGAAAATATCTCGCAACCTTATACAGATTAAGCATCGTCTTCATTTTTTTTCTGTAAACAGGAAACAAAAGCAAGAAAACAAAAAACGAAATAAAATAAAAATTTATTTAGATGATTCCTACGTTCAATTTTTTCTGCTTTTTAAGAAGAGCAAAAATCTAAGTAAACCAAACAGCTGTTTCGATACTGCAATAGGATTTTCTAATGGAAAGACGTATTTCTGCTACTCTTCTCTTCAAATTTGTCTTTTATTTCTTTTCTTCTCTTCTTTTTTGAGGGAAAAAGACTTTAGGTAGCCAAGTAATTTGGCTCATTTCTTTAAATGTTGTCAACTCTACAAATTCATAGTCATATAAATATGTTATAAATCTTTTACTACCATACAAATGGGGATGTGGTTTAGGGGTATAACGTTTCATTCGCATAATTCGCAACTTGAAAAGGTCCCGGGTTCGATTCCCGGCGTCTCCACTCTTTTTCGATCAAAGTTTTTTTTTATTCAAAGAATGGCATTATAGACAGGAGCAAGGCTTTTTATTTTGTTTGACGATTTAATAAAATGTTGAATTGATTATAGTGTAGTATATATTGGTATATCTGTCCAGAGTTACATGAGCAAGTAAATATATATAGATTGACAATAAACCGTTGAATTCTTTGAGGCTTTCTCAAGCATTAGAAGAATCAGGAAAAGAAGCATTTTGGTTCATGTATAGATGAGAAGGCAGATATTTAGACTCGACACATTGAAATGAGTCTAGTAAATGATGAATCAAAACTAGATTCATGTTAGGTGGAATCTGAATTACAGGTATAAGGTACTTACCAGAAAATGCGTCTTCATCTTGCAAAAATAAGCATTTTTTAATATGTTTGAATTGCTTCGAGCAAGCGCTCGAAGTCCAAAATCGGCCCGAAAGTTCTGATAATTGATTCCAATCAATATGTTCTTCTTTTTCTACACCCATTTCTTTAATCCTTACATTGTGTTAGAATAACCCTTTGAACGTTTATATTATCTTGTTTCACGATAGAAGCTGTCTTTCATTACCTTTGTATCATCCACATATTATCACCCGGGTAAAACAAAAGCTCGTCATTAGAAGTACTTTTGAGAAGGGAATAGAATCTCAATTTACAATGATGTCTATGTCTGTTTTTGAGCTTTTTCGCAATAAGTTCCCATTGTATCGACATTAGAGGACGTTCTTCTCTTTGTTCCCATACGAAATCTAAGAGTCTTTTTGACTCATCATTCGTCCAAGGAAAATGGCGAACACTTCCACACTGAATATAGTCTCGCCAATGATCTCGACATTGCATGGGACGTCGGTTGAGAATTTTACCAATTTTCGACCATAATTTACCATGAGTCTTTACAAGACTGTATTTGTTAGTATATTGAAGAAATTCTTTCTTCTAGTATAATGAATTACCTTTTCAGACGTTCGTCTTCCTCTATCGTCCAAGAGTTTCTATGTAAAAAAGGGTAATACTTTCGACGAACAAATGCTTGAACACTTCTTTTGTCTCGTTCAAGATCATCCACTGACCGTGAATTAATAAAAAACGAGTAAACATGATGATCAGCTCACCTACCTATTGTATTATACAGCTGGTCGATTTCCGTTGTATAATTGTTACCCCATATCAACTCACTAAGCTCATGTTTCGTAAGGTTTCTTTCCTGGTTCATAGTTAGAATATAGGAAGAATAGTAAATAAGTGCTGACACATTTACCTCTTGGAAACGAGTCATATGAGTCTCAACCGATTCTGCTTCTTTGACACCCCAAGTTCCAAATTTATTTGAATCCACATAGCCAAATTGTGAAAAACCAGGAACTTGAAAATATCCACGAAGATGACGATGTAGAGTCCTTCTGGTTATAGCTGGTATTTCGACTCCTGTAGATTTTAAGGTTGGTTAACTTGATCTCTATAGAATAAAGGAACATACGAAACTGAACAATTAGTTTCTGAAATACCTTTGGCACACGCCTTGATTTCCAAAGGGATTCTCTTGCATCCTCAAAGGTTATATTCGATGTTTCCATAGTATCCCGTATCAATTCAATAAGCAACCTCCAACACCTAGGGGTAAACTGTGCATTTTTACGCCCATAATTTGGTTGATAATGTTTGTTCGAGTCTGATTCATTAACAGCCGATAACGACTCTTCTGGCGATGCAGTACTGTTGTCTTCAGAAGAGGATTCTCTTTCATAATTTAAAGTAAGAGGCTCTGGTTCTGGTGAATATGACTCAAAATGTTCCCCGTCGGACAAATTGAACCCTCCATCTTCTGCAAAAGTCTCTTCTTCATCTATTAGAGAATCGTCCGGTATATCTTGCTCGCCATAAACATACATAAGCGCATTCACCTAGTTTCGTTATGTGATATATATCTTCATAAATAAAATTAAGCAAAATAAAACCGAAGAATAGCAAGTATGCTCCCTTATAAATACGATAAACCTTTGAGAAACCGGTAAACGGAAGTTTTCAATTTACCCGGTATTATAATAGGGAGATTACACAACTTCCACTTTTAAGCTGTTAAGCCATAAAATTGTGCTTTTCCAAGTGTTAATGTCCTTGAAGTGGTTACCGTTGAAACATTACCAAAATACAGCTCCAACAAATCAGCAAAAACCTTTCTTTTAAATTTTTAGACGAAGCACAGTATTTGCAAGCGTCTTAAAAGGCAATTAATGATTTTCTTTTTATAATCGAATTTTTTTATTTTATTTTTATAAAATTGTTTGTTTATATTTCGCTACGTTACGTATCACAAAGTATCGGCATGCACTATAAGCATAATTTAAGAGACGCGATACTCCGCGTAGCGATCTACGAAAGATCTCACTATATTATCAGACAAGCTTCCCCGTTCGGTTTAAGCATTTACCATTCACCCACTATCACAATTAACTACTCTGGTGGTAACCGCTGCAAACATTCGGCTCATAATATAAAAATAGAAGAGCTTTATAGAATAAAGTTACCGTTAATAAGAAGAAGTGTACGGTTCCTCTAGAAAAGGGTGATCTCTCAGAGTATCTAATTCACGACAGTAAATAAAAGGAAAGAATCAAGACATTATGAATACTGGTGAGTCCTATGATGGGAGAAATGCGTATGGAGCTTATAGTGGATATTCTGGAACTGGACCTGCAGTCTCACAACCTCCATATGTAGCTGGTATGACACAATCACCACCTGAAGGGATGGCAGCAATGCCTGCAGAGGGAATGGCAGGTATACCAGCAACTGGTGCTCCTCCTGCTGTACCTCCTGCGGGAGGATCTCATCGCTCTCGACGTCAATATCCCGCAGAAATATTCGAGCTTACGAATTCTCAAACTGTTCCCATGACACCTCCACCTGTCTCTGAGCCGTCATATGTAATGGCTCGTACTCCTACCTTGTCTCCTTATCCTGAAGTAACCCCAAATACATTGGCTACTCAGATGGGTAACGTAAACTTGGGTCCTGATCCAAACGCTAGTATGATGCCTGCTTCTGACCTGGTGTCCATTGATTTATATAATCAAACTCCAGACGTCTCAGAGCTATATGCTCCTCCACCTCCCATCAACTTGCCATTGACTTATTCGGCAACCCAAGCTGAAACATCCAACTGTCCTCCTAAATACATGCGCACATCTCTGAAGGCTATCCCCAATACGAATAGTCTTCTCAAAAAATCCAAACTTCCTTTTGCCATTGTTTTACGTCCCTATACCTCATTGCTTGAGGAAGACGATCCTGTCCCGGTAGTCAGTGATACTATTATTTCTAGATGCCGTAGATGCCGCATGTACATCAATCCTTTCAGTATTTTCATCGACAATGGTCATAGATACAGATGCAACTCTTGTGGTATTGTGAACGAAGTACCCCAATCTTATGACTGGGATAGCTTCAGGAATATTCAAAGAGATAGATGGCAGCGTCCTGAACTTAACTATGCTGTTGTTGACTTTTTGGCTCCACAAGAATATATGGTCCGTCCTCCTCAACCCCTCATTTATGTCTTTTTAATTGACGTCTCTTTTATTTCTATATCTTCTGGTATGGTAGCCACTGCTACTCGTACCATCCTTGAATCGTTAGATCGAATTCCCAACAAGGAAGGTCGTACACAGGTCGCCTTTATTGGTGTCGACAGTTCTCTTCATTTCTTTTCTATCGCACCGGGGGCTGAAGAAGCATCGCAGATGGTTGTTTCCGATCTTGAGGATCCCTTTTTACCTCGTAATCAAGACTTGCTTCTCAACTTACGCGAGTGCCGACAAGGAATTGAAAATCTTCTTAGCAAATTTAATACTATGTTTGCATCCACTCGTGATTCTAGCAATGCTCTCGGACCTGCCCTTAAAGCTGCTGAACAACTTATTGAGAATATTGGTGGTAAGATTAGCTGCTTTGTTTCTAGTCTTCCAAACGTAGGTTATGGTAAACTTAGTTTACGTGAGGATCCAAAAATTTTGGGAACCAATCGGGAATCTAATTTGCTTCATCACCAAGACACATTTTACAAGTCTTTCGCTGTTGAATGTTCTACAAACCAAATCTCAGTGGATATGTTCCTTTTCTCTTCTCAGTACCAGGATGTTGCTACGCTTAGCTGCTTGCCTCGTTACACGGCTGGTAAGACCCAATTTTATTACCGTTGGAATGCTGCTCGCAGTGAAGATGCTTTGAAATTCGCTTCCGAATTGAGTGATTACCTTAGCTCTGAAATAGCTTTGGAAGCTGTTATGCGTGTTCGTGGATCTAGTGGCATTCGTATGTCTTCTTTCTATGGTAACTTTTTCAATCGTTCTAGCGATCTCTGTGCATTCCCGAGTTTCCCTCGTGACCAGTGCTATGTTATTGAGGCCGTTATAGAAGACACAATTACAAGGCCTTTCGCATCCTTCCAAGCTGCTATTTTACATACAACCGCCAGTGGTGAGAGAAGGATTCGGGTTGTTACTTTATCATTACCAGTAACGAACAGCTTGACTGAGTTGTATGCTTCTGCTGATCAATCAGCAATAATGCATATCCTCACAATGAGAGCAACTGAGAAAGCATTATCATCCAATTTGAGTGATGCTCGCGACGGAATTACCAACAAGTTGGTTGAGATTCTTGAAGTTTACAAAAAGAATTTAGCTGGTCAAAACACCGGTGCTGCCCTTCCTCTGCAAATCAGTACAAACCTTAAGTTGTTGCCTTTGCTTTGCTTGGGTTTGATAAAACATACCGGTTTCCGAAAATCCAGTCATATTCCTTCGGACTTACGTTCGATCGCCTTATGTAATTTGAGCACTTTGCCTACATCTTTATTAACACGTTACGTTTATCCCACATTATATAGCCTTCATGATATGCCTTTAGAAGCAGGAACTGTAGGTGATGATGGTGTCATCCTGCCTCCTGCTTTAAATCTTACCTCAGCCATCATGCAATCCTTTGGGCTTTATTTACTGGATACTCACTTCCAGCAATTTTTATATATTGGTAAAGATGCGGTACCTCAGCTAGCTATGGACGCTTTTGGTGTATCTTCTATCGCAGATTTAAAGGCCGGAAGATTTAGCTTACCAATTTTGGACAATCCCCTTAACACAAGAATACATGCTATAATTAGTAAATTGCGCTCTTTGGACAAGGGTACAACTATACAACCTAGTTTATATCTTGTGCGCGGCGATGGTGATCCTCAGCTCCGTTCATGGTTCTTCTCTCATTTTGTGGAAGATAGAAGCGATGCTGCTCCTAGCTATCTACAATTTTTACAACTTTTGAAAGAAAAAGTTCGTGATTAAATGATTGAGCTTTGGTAATTTGATCTGATTTACGTACCCAATCTTCTGCTCCGAACTTTTTTGATATGAAGAATTTATAGTTAATACGCCCTTAAATTCCTTATTGATTATTCTATTAGTGTATTTATTCTCTACAACCTTGATTCCACGTACGCCGTGATTCTGTTTGTGAGAAATTACTATGGGGTTTTCCGAAGCGATTATCTGACAGGAAAAAGGTAAAATTTATAGTGATCAACTCTTTCGATATACTTTCAATTTTGTCTACTGAATTGCTTAACAAATCATTTTTTTGCATCGGTATCGAGAGTACGATGTGAAGCAACGGTCTATCTTTTAATGAATATTTGTTATATTGATTCATCAAGCTATATATAGCGCTGTCTACTTGTAATTTATTTATTCTTAAACTTTCTTCAATTTTGTTCAAAAAATTCTCTCATGATTTAATTTTCCTTTTCTGCTGACTGAATGTATAATGAAGAATGAAACCAGCTTAGCGATAAATCAAAATGTAGTGTCTAGTGCATATTAAGAGCTTAATTGAAGTGAGTGAAATTTTAGAAGAATATAATATATCCTCGTAAATAAACCTGTTTAATGTTGGTGGCCAGCTATTTTTTAAAACTTTTACTATGCATACGGTTGTTGTACAAAACAGAACACTAGGGAGCTAGAAATTTACCTTAACAAAAATAAATAATTACTTTATTAAAATAAAGTAGGCCGCCTTTTTTTTTTTTTCTTTTTTTTTTTTTCTGAATTCGTGTGCGTCTGGAGTGGACTATACTAACACAACTTGACCTTAGCAAACTTGTGTCTTTTCACGGAATTTTCATACAAGTGGAATTCCGGACTAAAACAAAGAAAAATGGGGATTCAGGGAAACGCAGCACCATCTCAGTATAAACAGAAATCAAGAAAGAACAAAAGTTCTTGGAGAAAGCATATTGACTTGGAAGACGTTGAGGGTGGCCTTCAAGTTGCCAGAGAAGAAGAAATTCGAGGGTAAGCTCTAAGATTAATTTATAAAATAGTTACTAACATAATTTAAGTGACGATGTGTCTAAAAAGTCCAATGACTCTCTGTTCGTAGTTGATACTTTTGGTGATGACCGCGTGGCCAAGAGAAGCAGAAAAAAGATCAAGCCCTTGAAAGTAGATGAAATTTTACAAAATAAGTCTGCCGTTCAAGGGCTACCGTCAAAGCCTAAGACCAGTGGTTATGGGTTAAACATGGACAATAAGGGCAAAGTTATGTCGAAGAACGAATTGAACCGCTTAAAGTCTTTGGTGCATAGAAATCCCTTGGGTCCTACTGCTTCGGCAGCAGCAGCTAGCTTGAAGACTCAGAAAGAGGAGCCTGCATACGATGTTTGGGAGAGCACAACGGAATCTACGATTCCTGTAAAGCGTCCTTCTACACTTTCTAAAGCACCTGAAAACCTTGCTGAAAACGTGGAACATGTTCCCAATGTTGAGGTTGCTGATCCAGGCATGTCTTATAATCCTGATGCTAGTGCATGGATGGGTCTCATTGATCGAAAGGGTTCAGATGAGATCAAAAAAGAGAAAGAACGCCTTCAAGAGATTGAACATCAAAGAATGATCAGCTCTAAAATAAACGATGATAAGGGTTTAGTTTCAGACGAGAATGAAGGTTCTGAGAATGAAGAAAGCACAGTGGATGCCGAAAACCAGATTGAGGGTTTGCATAACAAGACGAAACCTAAGCGTAAGACAAAATCTCAGCGAAACAAGGAACGTAAAAGAAAGGATGAAATTGCGAAATTAGAGGCTGCGAAGAAGCAAGAACAATTGCTTAAAATGATTGATAGAGCTCCAAATATCTCAAAGTCTTTGAACAATAACGAAGACGGGAATAAGTCGCTTGAGCCCTCAAATGATATGGATGTTCCCGAAATTCGTTTAAAGAAGAGGAAATTTGGCAAACACAAGTTACCTGAAAATCCTTTGGAATTGAAATTGGGTGATGAATTAACCAGCTCCCTAAGAGAATTAAAACCCGAGGGCAATTTATTCAAAGACAGGTTTCTCAGTCTTCAGCGCAGAGCTATCATCCCGCCATCATTGCCTACGAGTAAGCGTTCACGATATGGTACTAAATTGAAAGAGAAGTACAGCCACAAAGACTTCCACTTACAAAAGACTGGTATTTAATTTTCTTAACTTTGGATTTCGGGATCTATTTTTTGGGTCGGTAGCATAGCTATTTAATTATATGTTGGTTTAATAATGTTCGGCAAACTTATATTGATACAATACGTATAGACATGACATAGGTGAGAGAGCGAAAAAAAGATTCCACAGAGCAAAAAGAAAGTAAAACCTAATTAACATTACATAAATTAATCATCCATCTAAATAAATTACAAGCGAAACTTTTCCTTTTTTGGTTGAGTCTTTTGTCGCTTAGCAGCGACAATAGACGCCTGTTCCGATACCATATCAGAAAGATCATTTTGCCACTGAACATGCTGTCCGTCCTCTTCAGCGGGCCGTTTGGATGAAGACACAGGTTCATTAGTGGGAATTTGGTAACGATGGTCAGGTCCCATAAATCCTTCGACGTTTGTATGTTGTTCTGGAAGAACTTGGTAAAGTGGTCTAGAAGAATCATCTTCTTTTTTATTAAATTGTTTCCGTAACTCAAAGTTTTCAGCTTCAATGGGTCTTTGATCGAAATAAGAAATAGACTCGACACGTTCATCTTCCGGATGAGCGCCTGAGGAACGTGTATTGTACCCTGCTTCATTTGTATTTACAAAATCGTTATCAGGTCCCCTTTCTTCTTCGTCTTCTTCTTCTTCTTCCTCCACCACCTCCTCTTCTTCACTGGATTCTTCTTCCTCAAATTCCTCTAGTTCACCCCAGTGTTGAACCTCTTCGGGCGGTCCGGTATTTGCGGAGGCGCGTGGCTTGTTACTACCAAAAACATCACCATACAATGGACGGTTGTACTGGTCAACGGGAGGTTTGCCCCATCCGCCGGGATGATAACCCCATTGTGCTCCAACTGGGATGGGATAATTAACACCGGGAATCTTCAAGTCAGGATAACTCGGCGGTGGTCCAAACTTTTGCATAGCATAAATCCAAGGTGGAGGAGCGTTTACAGAAATGCCTAGTGCTTCTCGTAACTCGTCAGATATATCACCAGGTCTTTTCTCTTTGACATTTGCTTCTAATTCTTTTCCTTCGTAATAACACTCACCAAAGCCAGTCAAAACAGGTTTTGTTTGGTAACGAAAGAAAGCATCATGGAGTTTTTGGTAATCAATGTCGAGTTTCCCCATTTTTGGTTGAACACGCTCCCTCATTTTTTGACGCAGCGGCATATCGGCTTCATTTTCATGAACGGCGTTTCGCATTTGAACAATACCAGTAGCACGAATATACGAAGGCAACTCAAATAATTGTCGTTCAATGCCTCGTTGACCGCTAAGGTAATCTCGTTTCTGGTTCCAGTGACGAGGAACCGGTACAGTGTTTTGATACGCTTTAAGATGAGTAAGAAGCAAAGGATCTGGTGATGAAACATCCCACCAGTCTACCACATCTGGCTTTTCTGAAATCATTTTGAGGTGTGCCACAGTCATTCGTTTCATCTTTCGAAGCTTTTTGCGGCTTAGTTTCTCTTCTTCTCGTTTTTGCAACGCGTCCTCTTCTCCTTCGCTAAGGACCTCGTCATCAGAATACATTACTTGACCCTTGTCTGCAGCTGCTGAATCTGCCTCAGGTTCTGCAGCGGAAAAACGATTTAAAATATCTCTATATTGATCAAATAGCGGATCGGAATTGTCCATGTTGAGATAGTCCACTACGAGTAAAGGATCTGCCTCATTTGAAACTGCATTCTTCTTTGGGAGTTCATCCACTCTTTCCGCTGAAAGCGCAGCTTCATCTCCCTTATTGTCATCAATTTTCTGTAAATCATTGCCATTTCCATCCTTATTTTGATACTGTAATTGTTGCTGTTCACGTTGCTCTTTCTTTTTTTGTCGTCTTACTTGGTTACGGCTTTTTCTTTGCCTTTCCTTTGTTGTGTCTTTTGATATCGCATTTCCTTTCTCTATTTCTGGCTGAACACCAGCTGTTTCCGCCATTGGGTTCCTGTTAGATGGTGTTTTACTTTCTTGAAACTCTGCAGGTATGTTACTCTGAAAATCCATCCTAAACGAGTCGTGCATTACCCTTACCGCTGAGATGTCACGTTGGTGTTTTGACCTGAACAAGAACTTATCTATAGCAAAGTTAGTATAAACAAAGAAAGCAATGACAAGGTGTATTATTACAAATACTTTTTAGCTTTAATCACGTTGCATTACTGAAAAGACCCTGCTATTGCACTGAAAACTACTGAAAAACTCTATTTTCTCAGGATCCATGAAAACTTTTTGTTAAAAAAGGGTTCGTTAAAATTCTCGATGATTACATGATTATTTATAAAAATTACCGTTCAATTGGATGAATTTGACGCGTCAATTCATAAAAAAAGACTCACATTTGCCAGTCATGAGTTTGTTTACTACTGTAGCGGAGTGATGCTTTCACGAACTTCAGCCAATTTCGGTAAATGAAATGTTGGTATGTTTCCAAGGATTAGTAACTAAACAGATCCAGTAGTTATTTTCTTAAGTCCAAAGTCCTTCCATCGACTTTGATGAACTTTTTTGATCACTTGAAAGGCTGTTTACATATATTTTTTCTCATTTTCGGCTCTGGCGAAAGAAGACTTTGCTCGTATCTTTAAGGGAAAAGGCCAAGTCCATTGTGAATGAAATTGGAAAGGCGACGTTTAGAGAAAATGAAGGACAGAGGTTTTGGCTATCTGTTTGCTTAAGAGGTTGAAAACTATTCTATTCAATCCAAACAACGACATAATGGATCAACGACAGATCGAAATTTTTAGGGAAAGCCCTATTCCATTAGAAAGGGTTTCAAGTCCGTTGGAACACATTGAACAATATTCGCCGTCTCCTAACCGAAGTCATTCCGTAAATACAACCGTTCCGGCTTTGAAGAATGGACTCGAAAATGCTATGTGTGATAGAAAAAACATTCCTCAGGGGGGCTTGAAAAAGCGATCGAATTCTTTTTCTTCATATCTTGATGCTCACTCTAAATCGACTGTTCCGTACAATGAATCCTATAGAAGTACTGGGTTAAATTGGTTGTCTGTAAAATTGAATATTCTATTTCGGTCGCAGAGATTCTCTCGTAGGTCTTTTCAAAGATCTTTTAGTTCGTCTCATAGTTCGAAATTGGAGAACAATAATACCAATGGTTTATCTCCCTCCTCAGACATTTTTGATACGAAATACTTACTTGCGACAATAGTCCCGGAATCTATCCAAAATGGTTGTTTTCTTTTTCGTGTCACAAAAAAAAAAGTACGGCAACGGAAAGTATCATTAGATCCGTTTACAGGATACATGATTTTAGACAAAAACACTGGGAAACCTTACCGTAAACTATGTGTTGATGACATTAAAGAAATTCGTCAAGGAAGCGAATCCAGAAACTACAGAGAACAGTTCAAAGTTTCTTATGAGCATGAAAATAGATGGTTCACTATTGTCTATACGGCAGAAGACAAGATGAAAGCTTTGCATTTCATTTCTCCCACCATAGACGGTCTTAATCAATGGGTAATGGCTCTAGAAGGATTGAAAACGTATCGTTTAAATGAGTTTATTACAGGGTCTCGTTTTGTATCCAATCATAATATTCAAACGATCAAAGGAGATGAAAATGTAGGCCACCCTTGGGAGAAATTAGAGAACGATGAAACTGCGGAACTCACCTTTGAGGACATACAGTGTATGTGTCAAAAACTTCATCTCAACGCTTCTTACGAATATCTGGAGCAGACTTTTCGTAAGGCCGATACGCTCGGAACCGGAAAACTAAGTTTTGAAGGGTTTCAGCATTTTGTTAGTATGTTGAAGACAAGGCCAGAGGTGAGGCAAGTGTTTAATAAGTATACAAACCACTCGAAAGAGATGACGTTGAAACAATTTGTTACGTTTTTACGAGATTCCCAAAAATCTACTATAAATGATGATCAAGTTGAGCTTGTATATGGTTCGTTTTGCAAGTCTTATGACTCTCCGATGGATTTAATTGACTTTACATCTTACTTATTATCTCCTGCCAACGCCCCGTTAACGCCAGTGAATCAAGATATGAATCGCCCTTTGAATGAATATATCATTTCTTCTTCGCATAATACGTATTTGCTTGGGAAGCAATTTGCCGGAGAAAGCTCCATCGAGGGTTATATTCGTTCATTGCAGAGAGGGTGTAAATGTATTGAAATAGACTGTTGGGATGGTTCTGACGGGCCAGTGGTATGTCACGGAAGAACGTTTACATCGATGATTCGCTTCAATGATGTTATAGACGTTATAAAAAAGTATGCATTTGTCGTTTCTGCTTATCCTGTCATTATTTCTTTGGAAATCCATTGCTGTCCGGAACAGCAACGACAGATGGCCGATTATATGAAACAAACGTTTGGAAGTAATTTATTGACTGAACCACTGGGACCCTTTGAAACATCTTTACCGTCTCCTGAGCAATTACTATATAAAATATTAGTTAAAGTAAAGTGCCAAGCGACTGTTTCGGCCTCGAATTCCCTAGACTTTTTTCGAGGGAGTGTTGTTGATTCATCTACGGATACCACGGAGTCTTCTGAATTTGAAAATGGGGAGAGAAACTTAACGAATGAGCCAAAGAAACGGAATAAAAAATTAATTATACCCGAGCTTCAGCAAATAGCACCATATGTGCGTTCGCTGAAGTTTCGTAACTTTTCTTTGCCTGAATCGAAAACTTATAATCACACATTCTCATTTTCCGAGAGGACCATTAAAAGGCATGGAAAGACGATGTTTCCACGACTGAGCAAGCATAATATAAAATATTTATGTCGTGTATACCCAGGTCCATTACGACTTGGCAGTACCAACCTTAATCCTCAGTTCTATTGGCGCATGGGTGTACAGATGGTTGCCCTAAACTGGCAAACATATGATGTTGGTCTTCAAATAAATGATGCACTTTTCCAGGCCGATCCTCCAAGTGGTTATTTGCTGAAACCGATGTATCAACGAGTCACAGAAGAAAAATTGAAGCAAAATAAGGAATGTAATGATTGTCCTAAAAAAATGATACTGGATATTGAAATTATATCGGGACAACAATTACGTCGTGCAAAGGAGCTCTCAAACTCGGAAACGCTTTGTCCATTTGTAGAAGTACAAATACATTCCCTGGAGGAGACACCCTTTCGCTGGAATACGAGTGTGGTGGATCGCAATGGCTTTCGACCATTATGGCAAGAGAGTTTTCAATACAAAAGTGCTTCGGTAGATGATGTTTACTCAGTCATTCGTTTCTTGATTCATCATCGTGCAAGCTCTGGTAATGATACGGTAATTGCAGAATTTGGGTGTCCTTTATATAGATTAGAAAGTGGATATCGACATATTCCGCTGTACGACATGCAAGGTGAAAGTTTATTATTTTCGACACTATTTCTACGGATTGGGAAGGCTGAACTTTGATGAGCATCAATTGAATGGTTTTACAAAGGGTTATTTATGACAAATGTATATCACGATGGGACATAACGGGTTAAAAAACAAAAAAAGGTGCGCATTTTACAAGTGTAGTAATAAAAAAAAAGGGACAACGAGAAAATATGAAATGGTTTCCGAAAAGGAAGAAAAAGAACCTAGATGTTCACACTATTGACAAAATCGTCTAAACTTTTCTCAGCAGTATTGCTTCTTAATTGTTCGCGAAAAACATCCGGGCGAACTTTTTCCCAAAAAAATCTTTGCTGCAAAAACTCATTTTCAAAATTGGAAACGTTATTAGAGGTATCTTGCCATGATTTTTTTGCGGATTTTAATTGACTTGCCAAACTAGCATCAGGAAGCTTTATTAACGGAGTTTTTGGGTCATTATTCGCTCCATTATGCATTTCAGAGTCATTAAATCGATTCCCCGAATTAGATTTTAAGTGGTAATGATGATGATGGTTATCAAAGTCTCGAGAATTAGAAGGAAACCGTGATTCATAGCTAGCTCGTGACCTCGGTCTATTAGGATGATACGCCCGCGAACCATGTTCATGGGTAGGACCACCTTTATCGTTCATTGATCGGTGATAATAATGTTCATTTTTTTCATAACGGTAGTCATCCCGGTTACTCATTTTTGGAACGTTCGATTTCTCTAGTGACACTGAAAAGGGAGATCTGTAAAAGCCTTTATGTATAGACTTTCCTTTCCAGTAATTGCAAAAAACTAAAACAATTCTATCATGAAACGTACACAATCCCAAATGGCAATCCAAATAGAATTGATGGTGGAAATGTGGTCTTTGCTTGGATTAGAAAACGCGCTTCACGACGTTAATAAACACAGGTTGTGAAGACAAAATTTTTGTTTATCCATCTATTTCATGTCCTAGATGGATTTTTTTTCTTTAGATATTTAAAAATGAATTAGATTATGAAGAAGAAAATAGTAAATTGATTTGAAAAACTGCTTTTCAAATCTTTTCTCGATATTATTAGAAGACCTTCTTTACAGAATACCGATGCTCTGCATACGACGTTAACTGGTATATGGCTTTGTATCGTAATCACCTTAGTAAATAAACACAAAGGCATATAGCAAATTGTGAGTAATAGAATGGGTGTACTTTTCATTCGAATAGGTTATTAGGAGATTGATGAGTCGATTACAATGACTCGTTTCAAAAGAAAGATAGTATAGAATGAATGTTCGTGAAATCCACACACAAGCAGTTTCAACTGGAAAATTCTTCAAAACAGAAGAATACGCAAGATATAAACGACTATAGACTATGGTAAAATGTGCTCTTGTTAATATAACTCATTTATTGAAAAGGAATCTTTCAATTGGGATTCCTGCACAAGCGCAAGATTCATAAATTAGTATTTCACATATGAAAAAGAGTCGCATGAACACCATTCTTTCAGCATCAAGATTTAAAAAAGAGCCATAATTATGGATTTGTACGTTTCCATATGCAAAGCTCCGGGTAAGTTTCAGCGAGTTGTTTCATGTATCATCAAGTTTGTGTAACATCCTAGAAGAAGGACCTAACGAATACATGAAAAAGGAAATCTTTTAAGTATATCAATAAATCAACTTTATTTAGAGTGTTAAAATGATTAATATGTAATTTTGCATGTCCTTCCATACCATTTCAAAACCCTCCTACAATTGCGTTGCTTCCATAATTATACTGTACAATCAACACTTTTTAATGTTTTGAGGTTGCACTTTTAGACTCAGTTCGTCTTTCAATCATCTAAAATTTTTTTCTAATATCTAGTATATATAACTGATAAATTTGACAGTTCTCAAAAAGGCACCGATCGTGTAGTCTCGTAAATTCGACATGGATAACATCGAAGTCTCCAATCTGTCCTACACGTTTTCACCAGAATTCCCGTTGAGCCTCGATCATGTATCATTAAATCTTCCTCGAGGATCCAGGACATTACTTGTTGGTGCGAATGGGGCCGGTAAGTTAGTTTTTCCTCTGTTTTTGTTTTGAACGATTATCACTATTCTTTATTTTATTTTATTTTATTTTTATTTTTGGTTTTCCTTGTATACTAATATACGGCATATTTTGCTAAATAGGCAAATCAACTTTATTGCGTCTTTTAGCTGGAAAGTCTCTGGCAAAGGCCGGGAAGGTTTCAGTGTTTGGCAATGATCCTTTTCGAGAATCCAAAAGTACCGTAGTATATCTTGGAACAGGTACGATAGTTACATCGAGTCCAATCGGGCGTTACATAATGTCTTTTAGATGTTGTTTCCTATCCGAACGATGCACTAACCTTTCGTAGAATGGGTCAATAATCCAGTCGTTCACCGAGACATGAATGTTGCCCGACTTATTGCATCTGTCGGTGGTGACTTATTTCCTGAACGCCGCGATATGCTGATATCCATCTTAGACGTTGATCTTCGATGGAGAATGCATGCAGTTTCCGACGGTGAACGACGTCGTGTTCAGCTTTGCATGGGACTATTAAGACCATTTGATGTCCTCTTGTTGGATGAAGTTACTGTTGATCTCGACGTACTTGCTCGCTCTGATCTTTTATCATTTCTTTCTTCAGAAACTGAATCCAGGAATGCAACAATTGTTTATGCCACCCATATTTTTGATGGTTTAGCCAAGTGGCCTACACATTTGGTACACGTTTCTCAAGGAAAGATCGTCAATTCAGGTCCAGTAGCGAAGTTTCCTGAAATACAGTCTGTGAGTAATACAGGAAATAGCTCGTTGTTAGAGACTTGTTTGGCCTGGATAAAAGAGGATAAAAGGATCCGTGGATCTCGTGAAGATGAAAAGCGCAACACGTGGCAGGACGTACAAGATACTTTCAAAACTGGCACAGATGTTTTTACCGATTATTTCAAAATCTCCCGTGCAAGATGAATTACGCTATAATCTTTCAACTTATTCCAGTCTTATTGTTAAGTATCAGAGTGATCTCTCATATGGAATTCTTATTTAACAAATATCAAATGTAAATCTTAATCAGTACCATAAGTTTCTATAAAATTAATCTAAATAAGTCTATGTATTCTTTTTGGAGCCGTACCATCCATTATCATTAACATTCATTCATATCAGTCATTATACATATTAAGTTCATTTTAATTGTTTTAGCATATTCTGCGCTTTCAAAACAACTGTCTTTGGACGTTTCATATGTGGATCCATTGATCCACTTGATTCCTGGTTTGCTTTAGTTCGAGTGTGAGGAAAATCTAAAGCCAAAAGCTCATCCTCATAATCAACAAGGCGTGATACATCGCACTTTCCTGACTTTAACTTTTCCAAGAGATTATCCATAACAGCACTTTCCTCCTTAGTAGTTTCTTGTAAAGTGCTTTGCATCAACTCCTTTTTACCCGTAGCTTCTAAAGCCTTTAATCGTACATGAGCAATTCGTTCTTCTTCTTCAAATTTCAAGTTCGTCTGTTTTACTTTATTATATTCTTTCAGAAAATCATTTAGACTCTCAAAAAAGTAGCTTCCTGAGGCTAGGCTATCAGAGTTTTCACCAAACATGGTTAGCGTACACTCAAAAGCCTCCTTCATAGACATAAGATCTGATTTTAACTTTGCAGTTATAGCTTTCGCTGAAGGTATCCAGGGTGCTATTACTTCACGAATACGATCATTAGGATGCAGAACTGTTTGTTCAGATATTGTCCCATTCTCAGAAAAATCTTCTTCAACTTCGTTAACTAGCTGTTCGATGCTTAAACAGTCATGCTCTAGTTGCTCCAAATTAACTTTCACAACTTCCGGAACATTCGTCAAATCGCGTAGGAATTCTTCTAATTCGGGAAAACTCTTTCTAACAATACTTTCAAAAGTATGAAGTAAAGTCAGTCCATTCTCTTCGTTCTTAATCACGCTTAATCGCTGCAAACTGTCGATTTTGAATCCTTGCTTTTGTCTTGGAACGTCGTTCATATAGTTACCTAGAAGTAATATTAAGTTCAATAGGTATTTAAAGTTTGTACTTGTTTTGATATCGAGTAGAGTGCAATGAATTTTTCTTATTTGCTTTTGTAAATCCCGATGGCTCTGATCAAGGACAGTCATAACTTTCAGTGACTTCATTCTTTTTTCATAATAACCCTCGATATCAATAATCGTCAGCACATATACTTGTTCCCACTTTGTAAGTTCATGTAAATTCATATGATACGTGGGTTCACCATTATCCCAACTAGTACGGAAATTAGAAAGGTTCTTTTTCAACGAATCTTGACAGAATAGCTTTCTATCTACAAAGAAATCAATCAATTCCATTATGTCGGAATCGCAATAATAAAATTTGGAAGCAATTTCAAATGGAGATAAGTAAATGAATCTATGCAGTCGAATTCCAAAGTAGTGCTGCAAATCAGGAGGCATAAAACCGTCAGTGGAAGAGTTTTTTTTCTTAAACTTTTTGACTTCTCTCATAGCGAAGCAACTTTCAAGGTTACCCAGAATGCCATCGCAGTCTAACTTGATACTTAAAACAAATGGATCAGCTAAAGGTCTGTTCCATAAAGTACGCTCCACTGGTACTTCCAAATTTTTCCAGTGCAATTGTTTAAGGCGTTTGGAAGGGGAGTAATACAGCTTCCAATATGGCATTTCTTTTCCAGCCAGACTACTAGTCTCGACCATACCGTTAAAAATATCGTTAGTAGTGATATCTTTATAGCTGAACCCTTCAGGAACTTTCAAAGGATGATTAGTTGCATTCCTAGTATTACTGCTTTGTACTTGAGAGGCCTGCTGCATAGGTGGTAAAGGAGGTGCTGGTGGAGGAATAGGTGGAGCAGGAACTGATTCGACAATGTTCTGTTCTGGTTTGATCGATAAAGCCGTAGGTGCATTTTCATCTTTTAATTCTTCTTCAATTATTTGTTCGAACTCTCCAGACGATTTACTACCGTCTGGACTTCGACGAAAGTAAACTATAGGACTTAGACCATCCATTTTATCGCTCATACCACTACGACCCTCATTTATGTTCATATGAACGTCAAAAGATTGCGTAGATACGGCGGATACAGGTTCAGCTTTGAACGCGATAGAATTAGCTTTTGTTAAGTCTATACCTTTACCTGAACCCATACATTTGCTAGATCGGTTGCTTTGAAATGACCTTGTTTGTTTGGAAGTCGCCCGCAAAATAGGATTCAAGATACCGCAATAATTGGAGGGCTCCTTTTTTTGCTTTGCCAAGTTGTCGATCAGTCCAAGGTCTTTCTTATTTAGGCGATCTGTTTCCAAGGGATAATTGAGAGCTTCTTGTTCTTGTAACGGTTCAGATGTATTATTGAAACCTTCATACGTGGACTTAAATTTTTCAGCATTTCCTTCCATGGCCATTTCTTTTAATATGGAAACAACTTTGCTCTCCTTGCCATGAAGAAACGAGAACTTTTCAGGAAAGACAGTAATCAAGGAATTCGCTATAGAAGTTAGGTCTGCTTCATAAGCCTTTTTCAGATTATCATAGCTTTTTTCCATTTCCTGGAAACTTTTTCCAATGACGGAAGAAATTGCACCATGAGCAGGAGCATCCATAACATTCGGGGATGAAGCTTCACACCTAGAGGTCCGCGTATTTTTTAAATTTCGATCGGTCGCATCATTGTTATAAGAAAGCCTATCGGTACTCATTTCCTCATGTAGTTTATCTACTTGAGAAGCAAAAGTGCTTTCAAGAAATGGTTGAAGACTTAAAACGTAACAGTCCAGAAGTTTAATTATTCGGGAAGGAGCTTTGTTAGTTTTGACGAGTTTAAAAAAGTGTTTTAGAAATTGTTTAAGAAGACTATTCAGGTCATCATTGTCAAACAATTTAAGTACAGAAGAGCCCAGATCACGCTCATTTGATACATTTTTGAAATCAGTAAATGCGTTTTCAACAACATAGTAATACTTCTGTACCTGTTTCTCGATGTCCGGGTTTCTTAAAGTACTCATTTTTTTTAGTATACGTTGAAACCGAGAATCTTTAATAGTTTGATTGAATTGGTACAACGTCTCCCTCGTAGTGAAGTTTTCCAAAAAGGCATTGATGAGTAGCATTTGAGATACGCAATACTCAAGAACCATCTGGTTATACCGAACACCTTCTTCACGAGCGTCTTTTCCAGCGCCAACGAGACTTCCAAGTTTTCCTCTATTATCGATTGCAATTTCCCAATGATGCAGCCATAGCGGTAAAAGAATTATAGGATTTTTGTTCCTCGTTGATAGCAATTCAATGCCTCGTAAGACAATATTAATACCAACCGGATTATTCCAGTAGCAAAGAAAGGTTAATATTTCAGCGGACGTTTTCCGAACGGATAACTTCGACGTTAATAAACATTGCAGAACGGGTTGTATCATGTGTCCTTTGTCTATATAAAAAGAAATTCCTTCTTCATGATTCATTAAGCAACGGATACATTTTAGAACAGCCAACTCCAAGTTGGCGTCCAAAATTCTAGAGGATCGTAGATCGTGAAAGTCATCCAGAATCCTAAGTAAAAGATCCTGACCATCCATCATTAAAAAAGTACGTACCCAAGTGACAGACTCAGTGCGAAGAGCAACCACTAGGGATTCTACATGCTTACTTTTTGGCATTTTTTCTAAAAGCTTTTCAATGTAAGATGCGACTGCACATTTGGTCGCAGTCTCAGACTCGTTACATTTAATGGCGAGCACTTTATCTTTTTTAACAAGGTAATTGGTTATAAATGCCCATTTATTTTCCATGGACAGGGTTACCTTCGGGTCATAAAAGAAAGAGGAATAGGTTTCCTGATTTTCTTTCTTTAACGTAGTAACGACTTCTAAAAACAATTCATCAACCAAATTAGGATCATTAGGACACTTCTGGTGAATATCCACGGCATCAAGGAATTTTGAGTCGGTAATCGTACTCCTTTGAGGTTTTTCTGAGCCGTGAACAGAAGCAATGCTATTTTTATCCTCAATACTCAGAAAGGATGAAGTAAGTGACCAATTTGAATATATATCGTCAGCTTTCAACTTCCACTGTTTTGATTTTTTAGAACTGGTTGATTTGACATTACTGTCCTTTGGCGAAGTCGCAAATGTATCATTTGGCGGACCATCAGTGATTGAATGAATTGAACCTTCCTTAATTATGGGTTTAGATATTCGAATCTCATTATTCCCCATTATGTTTGTTTTATTATTCACGTTTTGATCGTCTTCTCTATGGTTTTAACTAAGTTGACATAGAACACGAATGTATTGATCAAAGAAGAAGTATCAAAAAAAGTGTTGGTAAAAGGTAAGGTCCTGAACTGCTTGTAACAATTTCTTTGTTTTTGGATAGTGATAAGAAACCCGGGATTCTTTGTACGTCAAATGCGAAACAAAGGAAGACAAAGAAAGCTTACACCGGGCATATGAATGGATAAAACAAACGTAAATGAGATGTGTTCAGTCTTTGAATGACTACAATAGGAAGTGTGTTGTAAACAATGAGTTTTCCAAGACGAAAGAAAATTTGAATTTCTGTTATTAAAAGCAAGAGATGTAGTTAGCAGACTAACTAATTTAGAGGAAAAATAATATGATTTAAGAGTTTAAAATTTAACACAATTTTCAAAAGAAAAGTCCCTTCTGCTCCTTCTGAGAGACCTCCTAAGACCGGTACAAAAGTAGAAGCATTTCAAGCGAAAAATGTCAAGGCAAAAATCCAATCAAGCAACTTGCAAGGGTTCAAAAGTGCGCTAGGCTTTCCAGACATAGCTGAAATAAGAATAAAAAGCATATAATCATAATATTAAAGAAATCTAAATGCGTTATTTCAAACTATTGTAAAATACCATCATAATCATAAGAGAATTAAATATTATCGTAAAATATCATTTGGAAGTAGCGCCCATCCTTATTTTCATAGCTTCCAGCTCTTCCTTTAAAGTTTTATTCTGTTGTTGAGCATCATCCAAAAGGGCCTCGTAGAGGTGAAGTTCATTGACCGCCATATTGCTAAAAATCGGTGTCTTCAGTATTTGAGCTACCGTAGGTCTTTTCGCTGGACTGCTTAGCATAGACAATATAAGACTTGCCTCCCCAGGCATTTGCTCAAGAAAATCTTCAGGGAGAATACCCTTTTTCAATTTGTTAATCAAAGAAACCCTTTCCATACGGGTCCCAAAAGGGTACAAAAGTTCAAAGAACAAAATTCCAAGAGCGTAAACATCAATTGCTGTACTATTTTTGATAGCCTGAGCTTTCATATGTCTCGACAACATCTCTGGCGCGGCGTACGTATGTGTTCCAGCGAAATAATATCCTCCATTTTCTTCAGAAGACTCTCCAACATCCGACTGCGAAAGCACCAAGCCAAAATCACCAATTTTTGGGACAAAAAATTTATTCTCAAGAGATTCGTTTGCAAGCTGAGACTTTCCAGTGAAACAGGGAAGACGAACCGAGCCTTGTTCAGATGAAGCGCTTGATGATAGGAAAATATTCCTTGGCTTCAAATCATGATGAACCAAATCCATAACGTTATGAAGATACATAACACCTTCCAGTATTCTAGAAAACAACAGAATATATCTATTACAAAGATTTTTTGGAAGCATACCACGAAAGTGTTTATTTCTCTTGTTAAGGTGGATTTCGAGTGTTTCTTCACACAAAGCCATTTGAATATAAAGACATATGGGCCTCTGATCAAAGCAAGGAACATCATGCGTCATTGAATCCTCATCTTTAGAGGACAGAGAGAATTTATCAAACCTGTCAGAACGGTTCTCTTTTCCATAATATAAAAAGTCGTCGCCGGTAAAGGGTTTCTCAAAAGAACGCCTTTTAGAATATTCTCGCTCAGTCTCTTTATAACCCGAAAACAAAGCCGCCAAACTGCAAGTAGATTGTTTCTTTGAATAAGATGGTTCGAAATTTGTTCCATAAGAATCTTCTTCAAAGACCACTTGGATGGAATTGGTACTTGAATAACCATTGTTTACAGAGTCGGTTTCTATATCAAACAACAGATTATCGGCTGCATTTGATTCAATGCTTTTTGAATTTAGTATGTCCTCTGAGCAAGTTGAATCAAATTCGGTAGGATCGTTATGATGATAAGGTTCAATTTCAACCCAGCTGGAATAGAACCGAATAACGTTCGGGTGATTAAGGCGAGCCAAAATTCGAGACTCACGAAACATATTTGACGAAGAAAGCGATCTTAATGTAAGGGGAATCTTTTTCAAAGCATAATCAACACCATCAAATTTGTTGCGCGCCTACAAACAATTAATATCACATAATGTATAAATTTCATACCTTGTATACGTAACCGTAACCACCTTTTCCAAGTAATTTAAGCTCTTCAAAATCAGAGGAATAACGAGATTTTTGAACATTGTAAAGCTTTTCGAAACTGGAGCTGTTTGGCGACAAATAATCTTCCAGCCCGGAGAAATTAAGAGGTGAATCCTTCAAGAAAGTACCATCTGAAACATCTGAGTTAGAGGATACATGATTGACAATATCGGTAAATGCATCCACAGAACCAGAAAAAGCAGCTGAATCAGATGGTTCATCACAAGTGGCATACGCAGTTTGACTTGATAATGCACTCATAAATGAAGCTGACTTATTCAGGGAAAGAAGCTCTTCTTCGTGAACATTGGACATATTGACATTGTGAGCTTGTGCTAAAAGCTCATGAATGGCTCCCGAATATGCTAGTCGAATTGCTTCATAATCCTTAGAATATTCATCATCAATTAACCCCGAATTGCGCAAAGAATAAGCGATATACAAAAACATATTCTGCGAGTTTTCCGGGTTCTTTTGCGACAATTCTATGTGAAATAGTTAGAATTTTTATCCAAAAAAAGATACACATACTGCAAATACTCTCAAGAAGGGAAAGAAGAAGTAATTTGCCTAGAAACATTCGTTAGTTAAAGGCTCAAATAACTTGACAATCTTCGAGTTTTCCAACACTTATTGTAACGTACAAGTAATCTTTGGGGCCTTTTGTTTGCTCAATTGAACAGACCCATTGCTTCCATATGTTGATAATGCTTGCCGATTATTATTCTTTCCGCAGGCAGAATTTTCATCATGGGCGTTTCTGGATGAACTAAGCATTGTAGAAATTGAATTCAGAAAAAAGCTATATTCCGATGAAGAATTAGGAGACGAAACGACTCATTAATAAAAACTAAAAGGACGAAAACCAATGCACATATCTCTTTTCCGGTCTATTTCTCGATTACAGTATTATTTTCCAATTTAAATTCCTTGTTTTAACGAAAGTTGTAGTTTAATTCTAAAAGCAAACGGTATGAATGACACCTCTGTATGTTCTTATGGTGAATCCTGAGGAAATGGAATTGAAATATTCTCTGCTGAACAGTAAGAATACAATTCCAACGGAACGAAGAAGAATAAGATAACTAAGACAAAAGATTGGTAATTTGTATAGTTTCAATTGTGGTGTTGAGAGCGTAACCCGATTACTGCTTATATTGCTCGGAGTATTATAGTAAACGTCTGTGATATTGTAGTATGATATTGTAGTATAATCGCGATTATAATATTAGTATCCAAATATTCAAAATAACGACGAAGTTGTAAAGAGAAAAATGTAAAGAGAGTTATAGTATGCTTATTATAAGCATACGAATGAATGATAGTAATGCTTGCTGGAGCACGAATTGAAGTGTAGACTATGTGCTTTATATACTTGGATTTCGAACGATACTGTAAACAAATCAAAGCTCGTGTTGCTAACTAAATAGTCTTTTTTCTTCTTAAAAAAAAAAGAAATTTAGATCAGGTGATGACTACGAGCACCCAATTGACGATTCAATGAACCTCACTATTTAATATGGTCTTATTCTTCTACCCAACAGAACGACACTGCGATTTTATTGCGGACACATCCTTACATAATAAATAGAATTCATGAATTCATGTAGTTAATCAACATAAGTACTGATATAATAGGTGAGCACAGCTGTGTGCTCATCTTCAGGATCTGTAATGTACACATATAATACAAGTGCATGCCCTTCGCAGAAGCCTAATTCGTTAGTGAAACCATATTGGCATATCTAGTGAGTTTCAGCCGAAGCGCATATATACTTACATGCTATAACCCTTCTAGCAACGGTGGAAATGCGAAGCATATTCACCAAGTCTTTCGCATCTAGTCGCATATGTACAAAATCTTTGGGATTTCGAGTTTGAGAGGGATGCCGGTTAATGTCGTCTACTTGTGAAGGATCGAGCTCTGGATTTTCAAGATCTTTCCACCTCGTGGTCACTTTTGCTGCGGGTGTCGATACTGAAAGCTGTAGTTCTCCAGACATGTTGGCTGAAATGATGACTCGATCTGACATATTTTTGTACTTATCGGCCACCTGTCGTAATATGTTTAAATTAGGGAAGAATATATGACAATCTGGTTCAGGAGCTGTTGGTTCTTTGATTGCAGACACATACGAATGCGACAGAACACGAATTGGGATGTTATGTGTCACGATATTCGATCCAAATGCACGTCCGCTCCAAGTTGTAGATAAAGATAGTAATGGTTGATTGTTTTTCTTAGAAAGCCTGATTGTAGAATCACTAGCATTTGCTGCTGAACGCAGAGCTTTATATAAGTTATCAACGGGTATCTCCAAGTTGATTACATTCTCGGCATTACTTTGAACAACGTATTCTTCAAATATAGTTTCCTGAATCAGTAAGTAAATCTCTTCGCCTTTATTCAAGACCACCTACCACTTCCAAAACTCTGTTCTAGTTAGCAAGCACATTTCAGGTGCAACGAAACGTACGCCCAAACCTGTGTCATTCGAAAATCAGGTATAATAATAAAATTTACTGTTTCTGGCATAAGCCGTAACCAACAAAATTTTCCAATTCTGTCCAATGCCTGCACCAAACCTGCCAAGTAAAGTAATTAGTATTCACAACTTTAGTTTGCTGTGTAAGCTTACGTGTAAGAGTATATAAATTACTAATTCTAGTTTTAAATCTCATTGCTCAAAAAAGAGAGCGCTTTGTGTTAATTTAGCATCTGCAACTGTAGAATTTAGTGTCGGTGCGACCTCAAATATTTATGGATTACTAGCGCGTCAATTTGGCAATACATCAAATAATGGTTTGGCTATACTACGATTTGTTGAGATTTTTCATAAAAAAAGGCGTACATAATTTATAAAAAATAAATTTTTCATGATAATGTTTCCACTATATCTTAAAGCGTACATTGACTAATTTACAAGTATAGCGAAAGATGAGAAAAGAAGATCAAGATCGTTAATAGCAAAAAGGAAGTAAAGAAACACAACTTTCATTAAATTTTCGTTCAATGCAAATGCTTAACTCTCAGGCTTAACTAGAGCAGGAGCATTGGATTTGACTCTTCGTAGGACCCGTGCTGTAACAATAAGTATCTTCAAAGTCCTTTGGAAATCCCCATGAGTCTTCAAAAGGAGAAGCAGTCATTTTTGAAACTTTATGAAACAAGTCATAGTCACCCTCATAAGCCTTCTTGTTGATTTCCTCGAGGATCCAGTTTCTCAACGTGAAATGAGGGTTTACAGACTTCATAGTATTTAGTCTCGTAGCCTTTGGAATCTCTGCGCATAGTTGATGGTACGAATCCAGCCATTCTTGGAACTTCCCGATGGCTTCATTACGAAAACGGGGATTCTTTTCGTTAAAACTACTGATGCAGAAATTAAACAATTGTTCCGCAGAAGAAGAACCTTCGGCTTCTTCAATATTTCTTGTCAAAAATGAAAAGAAGTTTGGGTAATCTAGATCATAATTTTCTAAAATTTCAAGAGCATCAATAACCTGTTTTCGAGCAGTGGCATCATCAGGTAGTCCCAAACGAGCTGTCATTAGTTGAAAGTAGTCTTCCCGGACAATTGATAAGAATTCTTTAGCAATGTTTTCAAATACTTGTAGAGTATAATCGTGAGCTTCCGAAAGTAATTCTGGAGTGCTGTGTAACTTTTCCATAAATTGTGGATCATCGACCTGACCTTTTGCACCGATGAATTCCAACAAAGCCGAAGCTAATTTAGCAAGATTCCAGATTATAACAGATGGTTGTCGCTCATATGAGTAGCGCAAAAAAAGATCATCATGATTGGGTGTAAATGATGGGTTGTAAGTATCCATAAAACTAAAAGGACCAAAGTCCATAGATAGCCCCAAAATACTTGTATTGTCCGTGTTTAAAACGCCATTCATAAACCCGTAAACTTGCCATTTTGCAACACATTTCGCATTTCGAAAAGCGACGTCACGTAACAACTGCTCATAACGGTTTCCGAGTCCTTGTCCTTGAAAATCTTTCGTGAGTACGTGGTCCAAGCAATAATCGGCCAGTTTTCGTATTGAATCTAGATTTCCATTGACTCCTGGCAGATCAAAAGTTCCAATACGGATCCAGGAGGGCGCCATACGACAGACGATTGCACAGGGTTCTATTGTTTCACGCATGGCGGCTACACCATCAAGAGTAGATATAGCGAGAGATCTCGTCGTAGGCACGTTCAGTGCATGTAAAGCTGTTTTCAGTTAACTCAACCCACTCAAATATATAGGAAACACAGACTCATCCACATACCTTCACAACACAAGTGTTCACGGATACTAGAGCGCACCACAGCCTTTCCATCAGCAAATCGAGAATAAGGGGTACGTCCTATTCCCTTTACTTGGATTTCATAACGTTCTTTGGTATCCGGATTAGTCAATTCACACAAGGAAACAACTCGACCATCACCCAACTGACCGGCCCAATCACCGCTAAAGAATAAAGGTTAGTACTTAATAAAAATTCACTACACCTTCAAACATACAATTGAAATCCTCCATAACATTGCGACCAAGGACAACACTTGTCAACGTCGATACTCTTGCCCACAACCAGCTTTTGAAAAGCTTCCGTTTGTGCTTCACTTTCATTTAACCCAAGCGACTTCATGGAAGAAGGGCTGTAGCCTAGTAATTTCGACTTTGCATCCATCGATGGTGTTACATATGTAAACAAAGCGCCGCCATTAACTTTTCGCGGCATATGTATCATTTCATCGCTCGCATTCTTCAAGGCATCAACCGTTGGAACAAGTGGATCGGGTGTCAAGTTCTCCGTAAAGGTGGAGCTTACTGGAAGGTCAGATAATTTTCGAGACATTGTTTGAATGGACCTTGTAAAAAACTTTCGCATGCCAACACTATATATAGAGCAACTTCAATGTAGTCTGCGTTGCTTAATTTTGTTCTTGTTTTTTTTTTTCTTCTTTTTTTCTTCTTTCAATACTTAGTATTTGGTAATTGCTTCTAAATTCCAGCAACCCTTTAGGATAGGAATCTATACAATGCAGGATTCAACAATTCTATTTCAAATCCTTAGAGGTAGACTCAAGTCCAACTAACTTAAATGAGCTAGTTCTCTGCCAAAGAAAAAACGGTAGGAGTAAATGACAAAAGAGGTTGGTAGTTCAATCAGCTCAAAATAAGTTCACTCATTGAACCAATGACAAAATACAAAGGACTATTATATATTACTCAACTTTACCAAACGGTATAAATGTAAAAAATTGCTGTTTCAAAGAAAAACAAAAGACAAAAGTTTTGCTTTTTTTACTATACGATTATGATTTACTTGTCAATTAATCTCAACGTAAGCATTGTATTTTTGCCATCTCTCACGTCTTCGTTTACTTCAAACTATGGTGTAAGTATTATGCGCGAAATAGTGATTTGCTGTCAATTTCGTTAAATGATTATGAGTGGTTTCTTCTAACTCTTTAGTACACAATGCATCGCCTGGATAATTGACTTACAAGATCAGTCTTCCAAAGGGAAAACGGTTTGGTTCGTCTTATTCTCATGTCATCACTTACTACTAATAAGTTTGTAAAGTATCATTTCTTCTTTCTTTTTCTTGAAAAGAAATTTTTGAATAGGAACTAACAAAAAATAAAACGCGTGCGAAAAGAATCAATCTTTGAAAGAACGCATAGGAGGATAGAAACAGCTTTAAAGGAGTTTCGATAAATGGCTAAACTTTCTTTTCATTACATTAATCGAGTACTAGTTACACAATATCCGGCTATTTCTTTCAAACTCAAACAGTAACGCGCAAGAAAACAGAAGAACAGCTTTCTGTCTCTAACGTCAATGGCATAATCTTAAAACAATGACAAGTACCTAGTAAACATCAGTTAGGGGAAATAAACCAGAATATCATTATAACAAGAAGCCACAGTAGAGACTTTTCCACAATAAAGGGAAAAAACACATGAAAGCCAGTCAAAAGAAAGGAACCAAGCTTGCGACGTCAACTAGTGAAATGATAAGGATTTCTACAGCGTAAAAGTCATTCAAGGAGCGTCAAAACTTTAGATGGCATATATAAACAAAATGGAAAAATACTCATGCAACTGAGGAAGTAGAAAAAAAGATAGCCAGAAAATGGATAAAGTAATCGCAAAACAAGATCACTTACGAGTAACCTTTTCCAAAACTGCTTCATGAGAAACCTCAGAGAAATCAGTGCCTTGAATATCAGTGGTGATACCAGTGAAGGCACGACGGAGGGTGTCCTTGGAGGAAGAATAGACCATCTTGGACTTGATGGGAGAGACATCAGGAGACCAACTGATGAAAACAATCTTGTTACGAAGACCTTCGCCCATATTGTACTCAAAGTCATAGACAGCATAGCGGCAGTCTTGTTCAGGTAATTCACCAAGGAAAGTGTCAAAATCCTTATCAGTGCTCTTTTTGTCGACAATAATTTCAGCTAAAAATAAGGTCAGTTAAAGGCGCTTAAACAATTATACGAAACAGTTGCAGTCCTCCATAGCTACGGAATTGCGGACGAAACCGTTTCCCACTGACAAGAAACGCATACTTGAAGACGCACGTACTACGGAATACAACTGTTTACTAAATACAACATACTCTTAGCATCGTTCATCTTAAAAACGATGTAACGAAGGTTTTTACCCAACTTCAGTTCTTGGAAAGCTTCCAAACATTCAGGAGCAACTTTAACACCCGAGAAAGACTGTTCATACGTTAAAATTCATATTTCATCGAATTTCAATATCCGTACCATCTTTATAATATAAATATATTTTTATTTCGTTGTTTAAAGTGGTTGGCACTGGTTGGGAGATGACTGCACTCTTGAATCTTTAGATACCCATTCCGGGTAAGGGTAATACATTCGTGAACTGTTGAGGTAAGCCACAACTGGAATACTCAAGAGTATTATAAATCCAGTCTAGTATTATCCAAACGAGTATTTCATCATTATTATAAATACAAAAGGAATGAAACATGGAAATCAATATGGAAAAGGTTTTATAGGTTGTAAGACAAACCGGTTCCTAAACTTGATGAGCAATGGAAAATCGAAAAAGTTATTTGGCACAAATCTGTTACAATTCATGGTGGTTTGCTACTTCAAAAAGAACAAAATGGTTTTCTATGATAATTGTTCATAATCGATTTCTTTAAACTTTTACAACAACTCTATCATTTATATCATAAAACACAGTGCTTCATGAAGAGTGATGCAACAAGTTTACGGCACTGCACGCGTAAAAACGAGTAGTCGGTAGGTCATTATAAGCAGCAGAATGCGGAAACATGAAACCAAAAATCAAGCGTAACTACTTTTTCCTTAAAACACATACTAGACGAGAATTAGCAAATATGAAGTCAAAAAGAAGCACTAAAATTACATACAGGAATGAAAAGATAAGGGCAAATACGGCAGTATTCATTAAAGTCAGCACCGTACTTGGCTTTGCACTTTTCGATATCACGGGTAACCCGATGAATCAAAACGATGATAAAGAAACAAGGATAAAAGTAAGGAAGGGGAGAACTAAACCCGGTAATCAAAGCCCAAGAAAGAGATTGGAAAAAGTCAACAGTGTAATGAATTTTACGAGCATAACGATACCATCCAGAGGTTAATAGAGTACCACCATTCGCACAACGGATGAAAGTGGGGTTTTTTATTGTTTGCCAAGGGAGTTGTGGAAACGACTTGCGGGTAGTTGTCAAACCGTAAATTTGGTTACGGAAACGGTTCTTTTGACTATTGCAACTGTCAAAGACGTAGTAGCAGCAAATCAATAAAGCATAGACGAAGAAATTGTATGAGAAAGACCATTCATATTGCTTAGGATCACGGGCAGACAAAAAGAGAGCACAGTGACTATAAGTAAAGGGAACACCTGCAAAAACGTGAATTAGTAAAAGAAAGAAACAATTGTAGGAAATACTTACCAGCCATATTCCAGAAAATGAGCATAAAACCAAATTTTTCATAGGCCATATCCCAAGTAGGAACGATAAGTTCTTCACCCTTGGCGCAAGCATTTGCATACAAGTAGTGGGCAAAACAAACAAAAAGGACTTGGGGACTAACGTAGCCGTAATTTTCATATTGACGAACAGCGGTAGCAACGGAAAGGAAGAAAAGGATGAACCAAGGAATACGAACCTCGAAAAACATCTTCAAGTCCAAGAGCTTACCAATACGAGGGTTAAGACTAGCACCCATAAAATAGTCATAAATGAGGTTTCCAGACAAGGCATGAGGTCTGTCAAAAAGCTTATCACCAAACAAAATAGAGCCGACGTAGAGGACAAAGGTGATAATAAAGGAGCTGATGATGGCAACACTCATAAGAGGTCCGAACTGGTCCAAGATGGTGGTGATACGAAAGACGTTGGAAAGATGAAGGACAGCCAAGATGATAATGGAAGTATAGAAAGACCATACAGCATTACATAAATAAGGGAGAGAATTGTTGTTTCTATGCTTCAGAGGAAGACCACGGGTACGAATTCCTGGAAGTGTCACGTAAAAGATGCCTTCGGTAATGACATACGTCCAAAAAATAGCGATGGCATATTTGCTAGGATAGGCACCATCAGCAATATAGCCGCCAAAAGTGCGGAAAAATTCGCAAATCCCGCTAAGCGTGTAAGAAGTAGGTTGAAGAAATTGACCATCGTTGTATCTTGCACTAGCCCATAAATAGTACATAACAAAAGGAAAGCCAACCATCATGGCCGTAACACCTTTAGCACCTCCAAATTCGCGATGGGCACGTTCATTGGAAACAGTGTTTTGTTTCATCTTGAAATAACTGATGCGGCTTAACCCCCGGAGGTAGAATTCGAGCAAGAAAGAGAAATAGCTACTACGACTATATAACGGAGGGCGTCACGAAAAATTAAATAAGAGACAATGAAAGAAAAATGCAAAAAAAGCAAAAGTTATGGTACAATATTCACAGCAGGGTGTACAGACAACCTGTGATGAGACCTTGTATTGGGTTCTTGTTTGTTCTTACCATTGTGGACCTATTTCATATACGGATGCACAAAGTCATTCACCGCGTTACAATTTTATGCGATAAATACAAGACAGTAGCCACGTTGGACTTTCTAAACAAACAAACAGAGCAAAACCATATCAATATCGATATTAAAGTCAGCTGTATAGGGAAAGAACTGGAATGGAAAAGATCCAAACAAAGAATATGTAGAGTTTGACGTTTTCTTTTTCATTTTCATTTTGTCATATCTATTGTTGAGTTCTTAGTTCCTGTTCCTATTCATACCCTCCTTTTCATTTTCCTATGTTATACAATAAAGCCAAACCTGCTGATTTCCTGTTTCATTTCTTTTTGCTGGTTTTGCCTAATACTAATATCATCTTCCTATAGAATATAAATATGCATCCTGGCGTGGATTGCTATGCTAGCATGAGTGATTAGCATTTCTTTCTCATAAAAAAAACCCCCAACAACATCGTTGGGACCTTTTGAGAGAATCCCTAGTCATGTAAAAGTACACTGACATATTTTGTTGAACGTATCATATGGTCAAGTCAGTATGAGAATCGGAAACGGGAATCGGAATGCAACTTCTGAAATTCCGAAGTTGTTTGCCAAAAAAGCCAATGGGACTAAATAGCTGGAAACAGTAAAGAACCATGAAGGGCTATGGACCTTGAGTATGTCTTTTCCGATGAGTTTCCTTCGCGGATGAACTAGACGCACTAATTGGACGAATGAGCTTTCCATCAGCATCGGCAAGGCAGGAATTAAAGAGGCAATACTAGACAATACCAGACAAGGCAAGACAAAAGGCACAAGACAGTTTATAAAAGATAGATCATGAAGATTTTGACAATGGTCAGCTGTCTACTGGATGGATCCCTTGGCTTCACTGGTCTTACTTGATAGAATATATGATTGAATGTAGGTTCAAACAATGCTTCATGACAAGAATAGTAAAACCACGATCCATGAATTTGATAGACTTCTACCACTGATCCATCCATTGTAATGCATCGCATAGATTTGCATTAGACTAGCCGTTTCATAAGTATTTTTCCATTCCTTTTCTTTCCTTTTGCTTTCATTATGTTGAATCCATTCAAGCTTCCATCTTTTCAAGAAATCCATGCTACCAACCATATCTCGGGTTTCTTCTAGTATCCTTTCTTGTTTCTTGTTTTTATCCTACGGATAATTCCATATTGTACGCTTTTTTTTTTTTTTTTTTTTTTTTTTTCTCTTTCATCTTTCATATCACACTCCATAGAGATAAATCATGCAACACAGCACTACGAACAAGGACTTTCCCTTGATTCGTCTCACTACAAAATGGTTTAATTTCAATATCATTTCAATTTCAATTTTTTTTGTCATTATTTTTTTATTTTTTTTGTAAATTATTCAATTTTATTTTCTTTTTTTCTGGATTGGAATTTCCATAACTTTCATGGTGTAGGTGTATGGTGTTGTTTGCATGTTGTTACTACAGTAAGGAGTAGGAAGTGACGACTTACTAAATTTGCGAAGGAAAATTGACCTTGGTTACTTCTACCTTTTACCGTATTCTTTTTGTTTTCAGTACTTGGGCAGAAAAATAGTACTATACAGGATTAAAGAATTGCCATTGAAAGAATTCTTTTGTTCCTCGTTTATTTTTTGTAGCAAACAAAAAAAAAGAAACGAACACAACGTAGAACCACTCTCTTTCGCAGTAAAAACGAAAGCTGCACTCTGTGCTCTTTCATCATGAACGACCAGGACGTGTTTAAGATTTTACAGAAGAACTTGAACTTGAGTACCTCAAACATTTCGTCGTCATCATCTCAAAATGACTTGCCTGCCTCTGGTCCGTCCAGGGTAATTCATACCTCTTCTAGCTCCCCTCCTTCTTATGGAGCAAATTTTGTTTCCTCTGATGAATCCTCCAACGCCAATTCCAATTCTATGCCCAACGTCCTTGGTGGACAGCAACAGGAGCAAGAAGATCAGAGACCGAAATTACTAAACCTCTTCAATTTCGGAGCTGATAGTTTCCAGCCTCAAACTTCATCTTCTCCTTCTACATCTTCCCAAAATTTGCCAACATCGCGGAATGCCGATGCTCTTCTTCAGGCTTTACGTGAAGGCGACCATAGGAAGAAAGAAATTGCCAGACCTGCTCAAGCTAAAGCAGGTTCTGTCTCTCATACTCCTAGCGACACACCCTTTGATATTCAACGTTCATTTTTCGGCAAACCTTCAAGTCCCCCTCATAAGCCGGAAACTGCCTTGTCTGCTTCGGATTTGGAACGCATGTTGCTCTCTTCCGGAGATGGTAACTCCAATTCTAGAAGAACTAATTTGCCTGGCCCCTCTCTTCAACCTGGTGAAGTTTTCAACTCCCAACCTAGTACAGCAACCACCATTATGAGCGGTACCGCTCCCTCGGAGTCACTGGAACAAAAGGATCCAAGTAATTCATCTTCCATCCTTTCTTCTGGTGTGGGTTCATCTTTCAGAGTAGAGAGAGATAGTAGCACTTCTACACCCGCCTCTGTGATCACGAGCGGTGAAAGCGATGCTGTCTTTCGCATCGATAACCCCGGTTCCGGCGATTTTGTTTGGGAAACCACTATCAATCCTGATGTCTTTCAAACCACTCCTTTTCCTACGGATAGCCGTTTCGACATTGCTATGGTGGAACGTGATTTGGACGCTCAAGACAATCAACTCATACATACTAACAAAGACTACATTGCTTACTCGTTAACCGACGAACCTATGGTCCGTGTTATAGAAATTTCTACTGGAAGATCTTTCTTGTTGCACAATACTTCCTCCCATAAATTTGTTTCGGTAGTCTGGGGCGATGATCCAATTATCAGCAATCGCTTGATGGTCATTGATACCACCGGACAAGTTATCATCTATTCCATCGACATGGAAACTGCTTCTTCTAAAATTATTTTCCAGCTTTCCGGTGCTCAATCGCTGTCTGATCCCATCAAGTCTAGATTTCACTGGTACCCCAATTCATCTCGATTTTTTGCCGTTGCTTTAAGTAAACATATTATTTTCTTTGACTTGGATCTCTGTCACAACATTCCCTTGCCAATCTCCAGATCCATTAGCGTTATTCAACAATTACCCTGCTTTTTGATCGATACAGGTATTAGTGCTAAAGAATACGACTTCTCTGCTGATGGTACCGTTTTCGCCACGGTGGACAAAGACGCTCTAATAAAGGTATATCCGACTCCTTGTACATTTCCCTCTACTACTGAGGATCGACCAAAGCCATCGGAAATTACTCCTATTGCTACCTTTACGACCAGAACAGAACGTGGAAATTCGAAGGTGTTGGAAAAGCCAATTAATTTACGATTCATCTCCACTCCTGGCACTAATAACAGTCGTTATTTGATTGTGGTCTATGTATTGAATCAACTCATAACTGTCTTTGACACCTACTCAAAGAAGGTTGTACAGAAATTTCGGTTCAGCAGCTCTTCCAATCCTGTGACTACTACTTCCTTTTCACAATTGTCAGTTGATCATGACCGTAAAACGCTATTGGTTGGTAATCCACCTTCCAACACAATATTTTTCTTCCTTTTCTGTAAGGAAGAGTCAGCTTCGGATGTTAAGAATTTTGCATCTACGTATGACTTGGTTGTGTCATCTATCAATAGCAACGAATCGGTGAAAGCAGATGCGAAGTTTTCGTACGTAGCTGCCAAAAGGTTTAATGACGCCTCGTGTGTCAGTTTCACATGTTGTAAGTTACTTAATGATCCTCAAAAGTACTGCATTGTCGTTAGTACCACTAAAGGATACGAGTATTATGTTTTACCACTATTCAAAGTTGAAAGAAATGTTGAGCGTTTGGCTTCACTAGAAAGTAAAAAGAACTGGGAAGCGGATGTTGGTGGGGTGGTTACCGGAGAACGACCTTCAATATCCCCATCTCAATCTGCGTCAGGTGTAAGCACACCCAGATCTCAAACATCTGTTTTTTCTAAAAGGAGAAAAGACAAAGGTGAAAGACATGAAGCGAAGCATAAGAGTGTGCCTTCCCAATGTGGGTCTTCTTTGTCGTCTAGTGGAGCAGCTGATGCTTCTATGGTTGAGAACATTGTTTCCACTGCACTCACTACCCTAGACAAAAACGTCCAAAAGAATTGTAAGTTTTGGTTATTTGGTAACTCCATTTTTTAAATTTGCTAACCATTTTATAGACGAAGGACTGAAACAGTTGATTTTGAATTACAAAGCAAACCAGGAAAAGCATTTTAATGCTGTGTTATCTGCTGTTTCCAGTACTCTTACCGAAAATACTGGGAAAATATTGGAATCTGTTGTAGACCAAGCAATTAAGAATGCCGTTACGGACGAAATCCACGATTTTGTTGAAAAAGCCATGAAGGATCATTTTAGTATCTTGCAAACTTCATTAGAAACAAAAATAAAAAATTATGATGAGAGTATGCGTTCGGATTACGGACAACACACAAATACCTTGTCAGATATTCTGGATCTTACAAATAATGTGATTAAGTCACAGAACGAATCTGATAAACAATTTAACGAGCTAACCAGCCATGTCAAGAATTTGGAAGGCTGTGTGAATTCTTTAATGGCTAAGATTGAAGTTTTGGAAATGAGAGATGTTAATGAAAGAAAAGATCAGGATTTAACAGAAGAGACAAGGCCGGATGGTAATGAAGAAGTACCTCCTTCGACTGACTTAGCAAAGGAAACAACTCAGTCCGAAATTTCTGATGCTGAAATTGGTGCCGTTCCACCTGAAAACAAAGAGGAAGTGGCAGAAAGCACAAAAATTCCAGAGTTGGTCGAGCAAGGGTCAGTCCGTGAAGCATTGTCAGAGGTATGTATTTAGGTATTGTCGCTCTATAATTTTTCTAACATCAATTACAGTGGTGCACATCTCCCTCGTTTGAAAACTTCAAAGTGATCTGCACATTGCCGATTGAGTCCATACTTGAGAACTGCGGTAGTCTCCTTTTACTAACATTTGCTTATCATATCGCACTTTATGACGTCTATGATGATGAACTTTTGTCTAAACGTTTGGAGTTTATTGCTAAAATCTGCCTTAGCATTGATGTGCATGATTCTAAGATTGAGACCGTGATCCATCCTGTGCTTACACTTGCGAAGGAGTCTTTAATTAAGCAGTCTAGTAATTTCTCACCTGTCTTTCAGAGGCGACTTGGCATTGTTCTACGTGCCGTTGATGGAAAAATTTCGGAGGTCAACCCTTCCGTATAATAAGGAAGTTAGAGGTTCAAATTAATAATACCTTTTTAATTAATTGCTGAGTTTCGGTGGAAAATGACCAGAATAATTAACTGGATAGTTGTTTTTGAAGTTGTCAAAAGAAAGCTACCATTGACTAGGTTTATGATTACCATGTGATGACTATCTTCGATGTTTGTTCTTTCAATTAATTGTTTAACTTTTTTGTATGTCTTCAAACTATGTGGTATGAGGGAAATTTGGTAAATGATAATCTGGATTTTGTGTTCAACTTGCTATAGTATATCTCTTTCTAGAAAACAAGAGGATACATTACTGTTTGGATTGATCGGTTCTTTATCCTTAATTATTTAATTTTCTAAATGCTAGGCTACTTGATCTTTTTTGTTCTTGAAGATTTCTTTCTTCATGCTAAAGCATCAATTTGTATAATGCAGCATTTGAATTCTTTGCATATTTTTCATAATGATAATATCCACACTCAATGAATTTGCCATTTAATAATTTCTAAATCGTAATTCAAACTGTGTATTTTCTTCAATGATGTCTTCCTAACCTCTTCCAAACAGACATCCTAAAAGCCAATGCAATTATACGGGAAAATGACTGCGGCAACTAAAAGCAGAGCATTAGAGTTTTTAAAATTTGTAAATTCAAGTCCAACTCCTTATCATGTAACGAAAAACTTGGCCGAATACTATAACTCTCATGGGTTTCAATACCTCAGTGAGAAACAAGAGCTTTCTCCCTCCCTTTTAAAGAACGGGAAGTCTTACTACGTAGTTCGTAATCAATCTAGTATTGTTGCGTTTAGTATTGGTGGAAAATGGAAACCAGGTACGATAATAGAAACATTATTGCGTTGAAATTTCATTAACCCTTTAGGTAATGGTTTCTCTATAATCGCTACTCATACAGATTCACCTACTTTGCGCTTGAAACCTAAGTCTAAAAAATCTGCGAATGGATACATGCAAATAGGCGTGGAACAGTATGGTGGTGGTATTTGGCATAGTTGGTTCGACCGAGACCTTTCTTTGGCTGGTCGTGTATTGGTACAAGAGGATGATGGTCGTGTTGTACAACGTAACGTGCATATTGATCGCCCCCTTGTCCGAATCCCAACATTGGCTATTCATTTGGACCGAAGTGCAAACGCATCCTTTTCGTTCAACATGGAAACCGAATTTGCTCCCCTTCTAGGTCTTGAACAAGAGTTATCGAAAGAGGAAGTGTCTGAAGACAATGAAGCTCACCATCCGGCTTTACTTTCACTCATCGCTAGTGAGCTTGGTTCGGATGTATCACCGAAAAGCATTGTCGATTTCGAATTAATATTGGGTGATTATGAAAAAGCTCGTCTTGGAGGTATCCACGAAGAATTTGTCTTCTCTCCACGTTTGGACAACCAGGGTATGACATTTAGTGCTTCTCGTTCCTTGATCAATTCTCTTTCAGAAAACTCGTTAGAAGATGATCCCTGTATTCGTGTAGTTGCTTCGTTTGACCATGAGGAGATTGGTTCTGTTTCCGCCCAAGGTGCCGAAAGTAATTTTCTTCTATCTGTGCTAGAACGCTTATCCGGAAGCATGGAAAGCTACTATAGTTCTATGAGATCCAGCTTTCTTATTTCTGCAGATATGGCTCATGCTATTCATCCCAATTATTCTTCCAAATATGAGTCTACCAATTATGCCGAGCTCAACAAAGGAACAGTGCTCAAGATAAACGCTAACCAGAGATATATGACTAATGCTCATGGTATGGCAATTATTAAAAGAGCTTCTCAATTGTCAAAGGCTCCTATTCAGGTATTCGTAGTTCGAAATGATTCCCCATGCGGTAGCACAATTGGTCCCAAGTTGGCCGCAATGACTGGTATTCCCACACTGGATCTTGGTAACCCAATGCTCTCTATGCATTCTTGCAGAGAGATGTGTGGAACGAAAGACTTTGAATACTCAGTTCAACTATTATCTGCTTTCTTCCAAAATTTCTCGGACATGGAGAAACACATTGTTATTGACAATTAAAGATGATATCTTAGAAAATAGATAATATTACAACCTTGGATAAGCTATCTAGCTTTCTTCTTGATTAATTCTATTAGTTCTTCATACTGAACAACGGTTGCTGCAATAGAATCAATATAATCTTTTAAGTCTTAGAGAGAAAGATTGAAACAACCTTAACTAAAACTATGGAAATGAAATCAATGAAGCGTCCTCGGAACAAATTATCTACTCCCTATACAATTCACATCTTGAAGTAATTGTAAAAAGAAAACAGTCAACTTAGTTTGATGTTTAACTCAAATTTTTTCTGCAGTCATTTAATAGCTCCATTACTTTAGGTGGCACTGCTACATCCACAGCTACTTCTCAGTCACCAATTCCAAGCTAAAGAAACCTACGTTTTAATGAATTTCAACAAACTGTACCAAATAACAAGTACAAAATTAAAGTAGACTCTAAATATATTTGCCTGTTTAGAATTTGAAATGTCTGGACTAGAGCAATTGGACATTCCAGAAATGACAGACGTTGAAGATGACACAGTCGACATTCGAATTGATAAATCAAGGGTCGCACTCTTATTTTCTAAAAGCAAAGTATGTATCCATCCAACGACAAAAATTAAAGACAATATCTCTGGATACTTATCTCTATCGAAAACAAAAACAAATTCCGGAACTCCATTAACCGGTAACGACATCTTGCTTTCTTGGGTTCCAGATTCGTTTTTAAAATCAAGACCAAGAGATTTAAATGTATTCCGAACGGCTGAAGCGTCTACTGAAAGCGATCTTAAGCAACTGGTAGAGATTCCCGATCATTTGGATTATTCGTTTTCAATTCGTTTAAACAGTATTTATTCTATACTATTTCGTCCTCCTAAGTATGGTTGGAATTATGGAAGCATTGTCATCAATTTGCGAAACAGTGGTGAAAGTTTACCACCTTTGTTCTTCCACGATGATGAGTGTTCCAGCACGATTGAGTATAGTCGACGTATCGCTAAAGATCACTTTGATCCCTTTGATGAAAATGGTAACATCTTTTGGGGAGGTACACATCTCATTATGCACTTGAAAAAATACATCAACCTGGAACACTCAACACATGAACCACAGTTATACCTTGTGAACCCCAGTCCGGAAGACACACTTGCATTTCAATCTCATGATTTAAGTCATGTAGATTCGCCAACAAAACAAGGTTTCAGTGACCCCGTTCCTTCTCCGAAAAAGTCACAATCCTATTTAAATCCCTTTCGTCGTGCTTTCCAAGATCTCTCATTTACTGTTTTAGAACGTTTCAGTCGAGTCACGAATTATGGTAAGTCTGAGGTGGATAAATTAATGGACCATAAAGTAACAAAATCATTGCTCCCGCATTTTCCACGAGAGGTACAGGTTCTATTTGAATCCAAGCGTCTCCAAAATTTAACTGAGGAATATGATCCTGCTCGCATCTTTCTTGCCAAGTGGGCAGCTGGGGTTGTCGAGAATTCTGATACAAACATTACTAACGCTACCTCTGATGCTGGTTTGCTGTCTGAGCAACAGCAGGAAGAGGATTCCTCCTTGGGTCCTTTCGAACTAGTGTATTTTGATGAACGTGTTAAACGAGGTGAGCCGCTCAGTGTAGACCAATGGAAGAGTTCGTTTAACAGCGAGGGAAGATTAATGGTGAATATCGATTACCTACTTGGTATTATTTTTCATGGAGGCATGGTTCCTTCACTGAGGAAGGAAGTATGGCCTTTTCTACTCGATATTTACCCATGGGATTCTACTGAACAAGAACGGAAAGCTCTCTATCTTAGTCTTCAAGATGAATACATCAGATTGAAAAGACGATGGTATGATGATATACCCCGACAATTCAATGATCGATCATTCATAGAACAAAAGAATAGAATTGAAAAAGATGTTCATCGAACTGACAGACAACACGAGTATTTTCAAGAAGAAGACTTACCTCATCCTGATCCTCAGTCAACCTTTACAGGTACTAATTTACATATGGAAATGATGAAAGACATGCTCCTAACTTATAACGAATATGATACGGAACTGGGCTATGTGCAGGGAATGTCAGATCTACTATCCCCAATTTATGTTACATTCAGCGATAATGCCTTGGCGTTTTGGGGGATGGTCGGAATGATGAAGCGTCTTCACCATAATTTTCTGCGAGACCAATCTGGTATGCAACGCCAGCTAGAAACTCTACGACAATTGATTCAGCTAATGGATAAAGAATTATTTATTCACTTGGAAAAGACAGATTCATCAAATCTCTTTTGTTTTTTTCGTATGCTATTAATATATTACAAACGCGAATTTGACTGGGAAATACTTTTGAAACTTTGGGACGTTCTTTTCACGAATTATCTTTCTTATGATTACCATATATTTATTGCTTATGCCATTGCTGAACGGCATCGCGAAGTTTTGTTAAACCAAACGCACGCATTTGATGAAGTACTGAAATATTTCAATGAGCTTTCAGGACGTATTGCTTTAGAGCCGACACTTATTTGTGCTGTACATTGTTTTTACCAATTCAAACAAACGGTATCTTTGATAGACCGCAAAAGACAAGAACAAAATGAAAACAATGAAGAAGCATCAAAATCGCTTCCTGTCATAACCCCTTATTTAAGAAGCCTTTTAAGCAAAAAGCCTCCACACTATGGAGGAACGAATAATTGAATGAATCATTACTGTTGGGTTATGCTCTTAATTTGTGACAATATTGGATTATATCTGATTTCTATTAAACTAAAGACTCAATCATCCATAGTTAATAATTTAATACTTACGTTTCGGATTTGACCGAGAACTGAATTTTTTCGCCGGAGACCTTTTTTTCTGAAACGCTTTTAATTTCTCCTTTTGTTCTTTTTCTTTTAAAATTTTCATCCGTGTTCTCCTTTTCTTGCTCGGTCTCCACCGTGATTTCTTTTTACCATCATCGACTTTAATATTAATTACCTTTTGAGACTTTTGACATGCAGGCTAAAATAAGTAATTGTTTAGTATCAACTTGAACTTTTCAACGTAGTGCTTTTCAATTCAACAACGAATGTTTGAAGTATTTACTTACCCATGGTTCGTCTTTAGCCTTCATGAGTTGTTCAAATGTAAAAACACTGGCACGTAGATGAGCTTGTCGTTCGGGCGTGTCTCTAATTTAAATATTAGTACAATAAAATAAAACATATATACGATTAATAATCACATACTGCAATACATAATATTCGACTGGTCTACCCTGGTTGACAATGACTTCTTGGTCGTTTAAAGAAATGGTATTAATATCGGAAAACAGATTGAAAGCAACGTTTTCGTCCTCATTTTCGGACTTTTCCTCAGAGAAATCATTGCTCTCAGCGGTTTCAGGAACAGCAGGTGGGCTATTCTCTGTGACCAGTTGTTCAGTAACAAAATCAAAAGCGCTTGAAAGCCTTTGCGACAGCAACTTTTCAGCATCCACGGATACCTGTTCTACTTCAGGCTCTTTTTCTTGCACTTGCAAATCTTTTCGCGAAACTCTGGAGATAGTTAGAGCGTTAATTTTCTATAAAACCGTGTTCTTTCTTACTTTACTTGCTCCATAGCAAAAGAAAAAAATAAGAATAAAAGTACTCGCAATATGGAAGAAGTGTAAAGGTCTGACAACACTACTTGGGCTTTTACCAAGCTGGTTTGAAACCAAAAAAGGATTCCACCAAAGAATAAAAAAGAAAACTAAAAAAAAATAGATGGATAGAATTCAGTTTCAATGAATTTCAGAAAAGAAAAAATTTTGGTGGTAGTGTTCTTCTCATACTCCCTAATTTAAGCTTACTGTTAAACGAAAGAACTCTTGTCAAGAGGTATTTGTGTTGATATTGGAAACATAGAAAGTAATGCTTGCCCAAAAGACTGCTGTAAATGCTTCATAATCATCATTCCATTCATTATATTGTGGTCATTCCTAATTCCAAATACTTGAAAGGTCGTTTAACGTAAAAGGTGAAGCAAGTCAACAAGTAGTATGATTTAGTCTGAACATTTGCATGAATGACTGCCAGATATTTCCTTCTAAAAAACCAGTGGCATTACTTCCATTAAAGATACTAAACTTCTGTTCAATTTTTCGAGAAAACGGGTTCATTTCAATTATCATCAATTTATCATGGCAAAGAAAGAAGTGGAATTTTTTTATCCAAAAATAAACATATAGTAATCATTTTAATGTTATCATATATTGAGTTAGAACAATCACTCACGGTCATAACAATGATAGATATTAGTCAAATAACAAAGACTCATCCTCTGGATCTACGTAAGGAAGTTCCAAGTCAGAAGCAGAAGACTTTGAGACGTAGCGAAATCTCTGAAGCACTCGCACAGCTTCATGGTACACTAAACCAGTAGAAAATCCGGAAATAACATTAAAAGCAGTGGATTCTTTTAAGTGCTCCATCATCTTTGGTTGAACATAGACCTTATAAAAGCGGAAAAATTGGGAGATTACTTGAACGTTGAGCTGGCCTCCGGCTTTGACAAAATAATACATGCGTTCCATAGGAAGACTGACGTCGGCTATGCTTGCAATAATTAGCTTGGCTGCAGCTGGAACTTCCCATAATCCCTTGATAAACCAAAGAGGTATAAACATGCTCATAAAAATCATCTTCCCAACACTCATAATGATATCCTCTGCCTTTGGTATCTGTAATAAAATCTCTTTAGTTAAGGAGGTAGACTCTGGGCAGATATCCCAAATTTGAATAATGTCTATGCACAGGCGGCTAATCGCTAGTTTCTCAATAGCCAGTGACGAAAACGGGATGGCGAGTGGGGAAGTAGCTGCAGAAGTAGCTATTTTCAATTGCAGGATTCCTCTTAGGATGCCTGAATGAAATTTGCAATGAGGATCCTTCTGCTGGGCGGCCACAAACGTAAGATACGACTCATCTTGATTGAGTGCAAGACACGTTGAATGCACCACTTCATTTTTATAGGAAACGCTCGAAAGTTTACACACAAGTAAGAACTTTTTCTTTTTTAAAAGGAGGGTTTTATCTTCCTCGTTTCCATCAGCGACGTCTGGGGTAATCTTTAAGACGTCTCTTTTACGGTAACAGCTGTGGAGATCTTCTACAAAACCCTTCAAACCATATAGAATGCTCACGATAGGTATCTGGCACCCTTGGAAGTACCTTAGCAAATGGATATCATCAAAGGTAATCGTGTTGAGGTCGGCCACCCACCATATGCAGTGAAGTCCATTTAAACCTGAGTCCTCCTGTTGTTGTTTTATCCACGAAAGTATGGGTAAGCAGTTTGATGGACGCAGATTCGCGCATGTTGCAACAAAATGGAAATTTTCTTCACTTGACAAGCTTTCTCCAAATTCAAACTTTTCAACAGTCTTTAAATGATTGACCCCAAAAACTGATTTTATGATACGGCTGATTTTCTTATAGTCTCCAAAAATGACGACCCGAAAAGAGGATTTCGAAGCTCTAGACAATCTTTGCTCTTCTATAGATACATTTTTTACTTTTTCATTTGAATCTTCCTCATTTGTTACTGTTTTTTTCATCTAGTCTTAAACCAGTATATTGAAGATACGTTCTTCCTTAACTAGTAGAAGTTGTATGCAGTAAATAGAGTGTCAGCATAAAACGATGGCATTAGGGCATTGTCTCAAGCTTTCTGCTAAAGCTGAGCAGCATAGTACAAAATCCAAATAAATAGAAAAAACAAAACAAAACAAAAACACACAGGCCTCCGTCTTTGCATCCTATCCATGTAGTTTCAATGAAAAAGAACACGATACAATTGACAAACGCACATCCAACAAGACTTTTACAACTGGTAATAGTACTTTAAAGAAGAGGAATATAACGAATGTATTAAACTAAACTAAAGAAATCAAGAAAACTGAAATCTACTTAGGCAAAAGTACACACCCTTTATGACCGAGTTGCTACAATTAGAAATGTGCAGAGAATTCATAGAAAAGCTTTCAATGGAAATTGCAGTGCTTTCTAACGATATTGAATATGTAAAAAAGGTGTAAAAGAAAAGAAAAGAAAAAAGAAAAGGAAAGGTACAAAGTGAAACACACCAAGGAGCCGACATGTATACAGAGGGAATGAACACGAAAACAAAGATACGAGGAAAAAATTTATAGTGAATCAGACCAAGGGGGCGGATAAAAAGAAAACATTTGCAGAAAGCATACCAAAACCGAAAGAAATAACGGCCAAAAGAATATTAATAAGTGTTGCATCATGACAAACCAAATTCATTATAGAAAAACAGAAACCATAGCGAGAAAGCTAATGGATGCACGGTCGTGCGAATATTTAAGTGGCCTTTTTGGTGCGTTCACTGGCAATCTTGCGAGCCTTGTAGTTGTGGAAGTTCTTGTCCGTATGAAGGACGGAATCCCACCAGCGGAAGGAGCTAGAGTAGTTGTCCTTGAAAGCCATGTGGTGGTAGTCGTGGTGTTCAGCACCGGCCCAAATGGGCATAATCTTGTTCAAAGACCAAGGGAAGTCGTAACCAGAATGAGAATCAACAGCCTGGAAAAGACGGAGCATAATCCAAATATACATAGTAATCAAGTGCAAGTCGTGAGTGAAATAGCACCACATGAGAGGAACAAAGACTGTACCGGCACCGAGTAAAACAATTTCGAGGGGATGAGCGTATTCAGCAGAAAGACCAAAGGGAGCACTATAGCGATGGTGAACCTTATGAATGATACGGTAGAAAATACCATAGTGGAAAAGGCGATGAGCCCAGTAATGCCAAGTATCCTCAAGGAAGAAGAAAATAGCGAGTTGCCAAGCAATCTTCGTAATGGAAGGGAAGGGAACAGAAGTGGAAAGACCAAAGGTGGCACACATGGGATCAAAAAGCCAAATTTGAGGAAGTTCAACGGTAAAGTGGGACAAGAGAACCAAACGAGTACACTCCCATTGTTCAGCAAGAGAAGGAACCTTCTTGGGTTGAATCTTCCAGCGACGGAAATAAGGGAGAGCATCGATAATCATCCAAGGGATACAGCGACCAAAGTAGAGCACTTCGTGAAGAATAAAAGACATTAAACCAGTTGCGACCACATCGTTATTAAACCACTTGTAGTAAGACAGCCAAAGTTGTTCAAACATGTTCAAATCAGGATGCGCCAATTGAATTTGTTGACGAACAGCTTGAAAGCCGCCCCCAATAATAGCTTGTGTAGTACTGTTCATTTTTAAATTTACAATTCCTAAACAGTTATTACTACCGCAAAAACGATCGCAGGTAAAAAGACGCTTCTAGTCAAAATAGCCGCTTTTAACAGCAAAAAATACTCTTTCGCGTGTTTTTTTTATTAAATGACTAGGGAAAAACAAGATTCTAACGACCACGAACCCTATGTCAATGTTTGTTGACGGCAGGAATAAATGCAAAGATCCTTTGCAAAGGACAGACGGTGTATGTATATATAAAGTAGTAAACAGAAGGGACGTAAAAATGGTCTGAGGCCTCACGCCATTTTAATCGGTACAACCAAATATTGAAACCTCTTTTAGAAAGAATAAATAATAAAGGTTTATGTATTTTTAATGCCTACAATTCATTATATGCTAGTTGAAAACTCGATCCATTTCTCTTGGCTTTGTTTGGAGTTTCGTCTCCATACCTCCAATAATGGTGCAATGTGATAGTGGCGGGAGTTCTCAGCAAAACATAAAGCCTCGTAAAGTATCGTTAGTTTATATAGCATTTTTTGTCGAGCTATTGGTATTAAACTTAACGCTTTCTACTGTACTCATCTTACAAATTTATCCATTTTCCAAGGTAGTATGTACCATAACGCAAACCCATTTTACATCGTATAGTGTAGAGTACAATCTTAGATACTGATGGAGGACAATGAATTGGTATCTCCTTTCTACTATGGAATATACGAAATAATATTGTAGGGATTTATAACAACTTGCCGAAAAGAAAAGAAAAGACAAGATGACTGAGAAAGAAACAGGGAAAGTTTCTTGTTACCATGTGCAATGAAACGACTACACATCCATTTCCTCCCTCCCTTCCAATGGCTAGGTGTAGTAGCTGAATGCTTTATGGGAATTCCTGGATGAAAGTGCTTTGTCGGCTTTTCTCAAGGGTACATGAATGTGAAAAAGGAAAAAGGAGAAAGGAAAATAAAAATAAAACAAAAGGAAAACAAAAGAAAAACAAAAGAAAAACGAAAAAAACTAAGCACTCAGAGTAAAGGAAACAAAAAAGAGGTGATATTTTTCGCAAGGTGTTCATGATTCGATGTCTGCAGGTACTAGAGACTTGTTTAGTGTATTACAATGGGCCATCGATTTTCGTCTAGAATGATTTCTAAACAACGAGGATTTAAATGGACCTTATTAGATAGTGTACCAAGATAAAGGATGTATTGTGGCATATAGTTGTTGACAAAGATTCTGACTTCCTCATCCGACATACCCGTATGAATGAGGGTTTTCAAGGTGTGTTCTTGTTGGAGACGCCATTCATAAACATATTTGATTTCCTGAGCTTCCAATTGAACAAGAGAATCGATTTTTTTGAAAATGGATTCATAGTTTTTCAGCTGTTCATTGACCCACAGAAGGCTGTCTTCCAAACATTGCCATTTTGTGGAACGAGCCCGCACAGATAACATACAAGGGTCCATAGCTTCAAATCCAACCATCCAGCCCTCAAAAATTACCAAATCCACTTCTTTCGGCGAAACCACTTGCCATTGCGACTTATCCGCGCGGTCCCCGTAACCGTTGAACTTGGATTTGTCGTACGCTGGAATTTCTATGGCAGTGTCTGTAGGATTGTGAAATGCACTCAAAACAGAATCTAGAAATTCCACATCATGCGTGCCTGCAAGCCCACGATGTTGAATTAACGGATTGTTTGGATGCAATTTCGCTATATTCACTTGTTCTTCATGGGTTAAATAAAAATCGTCCAGTGAAATATTAACAACCGCTTTTTCTTTGCTTCGTTCCATTGCCTCTTTTAACGTCAATGCCAACGTACTCTTTCCCGACCCTTGGGGTCCGGAAATCCCAAGAATGAAGGGCCGTCCTTCTGGCTTTGGCTGCTTTTCATAAAATTGCACAACTTTTTGCAAAATAATGTCTAGAGAAGTCATTGTTTCCCTATCATCAAACTCCTGCACTATATATCCAATACTTTCGCTCTTATTGAGGCACCAATAAAAAGAAATCAATAAAAGCAATACTAAAAACTACAATAGCAAAACAATTCTTCAAGTTCCAATATATCCTGTTTTTTTTCAATTTACTTGAATAATAAATAAAATAAAAGAATGTGAAAACAAAGAAGACGTTACACTCAAAAGACCAGAAAATTTATTCCTCGTATAGGACTGTATTAATGACGTTACAAAAACCCGTTTACCGCGTTTTCGCAGCGTCTCCCTAAACAGTAAACAAATCGTAAACCAAACTTTTCTTTAGGTAAGGAAAAGCATTTCAATAATATGTACATTAAAAATTATTATCGACCTCCTGCTATGATGGCTCTCGTACATTTTCGCTTTCTTTTTTTTTAGTCCTAAAATAGGTTTTCACCGGCGACCACATTTCTAATATATATTGACTTCACATAACTCACTTTACAACACAGGCTTCGTGGTGTAGTGGTAGCATACTTCGTTTGGGTCGAAGTGGTCAGGGGTTCGAGCCCCCTCGAAGCCCAAAATTTTTACTTTTTCATTTTCCTATGTGTTTGAAAAATATACTGCTCAAATAAACCTTTTAAATTGTTTGTCTCTTGTTATTTTCACGTTCATACAAATTTGCTTGAATGAAAAGAAACCAATTTGCACTTTCGATCTTACCTACTCTTGTTCGTCCTACAAACGTTCCTTCCCATATTTCTCCAAATGGATTATTGTTTCAGCTACACAGCAATAAGATACAATGCTTATTACAAAGTGATTCTGATAAACCATTATAAGTAGTAATAATTATTGAAATGATTAATCAAGAACGAAGGTGGCCTACTAGTTGAAAGCAGGTACGACGATACAACTATCATGAAAAAGCATCAAAAGCACAATACCGAAACTAACCTAAAGAAGTACAAGGAAATAAAAATAAATGCAAAACAAAGAAATAAAGAGTAAAGTGCCTCATCAACCTCGAGATGGAGTCATAAACACAAAGGTTGAATTTGTGTCTACCTGATTGCCAAGTTCTTAAAAATTAGATTTTTTTGCAACTGTCAAACATGATCAGGATTTTGTTAAGTACATGCCAATCAAAAAATGGGTATTATTGATAACTCGCTTCTCATAGTTACGACTTCCCGAGCCGATAAACATTTTTTCTAACTTTTAAAATTAACGGGGAGAAAAATTAGGCAAAACACAACAGATGGGACAAATGTCTAGTTGAAATATGTTCAGCAAATTCTTTAGTACTCAAGCTTGTGGGGTTGTTCCCAAGGCTTGGATTGGTCAGTAAAGTGTCCATAAGAAGCTGTGGAAAGATAGAAAGGGGTTTGCAAGCGGAGGCTCTTCACCAAAACACCGGGACGAAGGTCAAAGTTCTTGCGAATAATTTCAACAAGCTCGGCAGAGGTCTTGGATGAAGTTTCATAAGTGTTCACAAAGATGGAAAGGGGTTCTGCAACACCAATAGCATAGGATAATTGGACCAAGCAACGACGAGCTAAGCCAGCAGCAACCAAAGACTTGGCAATCCAGCGGGCAGCATAAGCAGCTGAACGATCAACCTTGGAGTAATCCTTACCAGAGAAAGCACCACCACCGTGGGCACCCCAACCACCATAGGTATCGACAATAATCTTTCTACCAGTAAGACCAGCATCACCTTGAGGACCACCGACAACGAAGCGGCCAGAGGGTTGAATGTGATAGACAGTTTGAGCGTCCAACAAATGGTTAGGAACAGTGGTCTTGACAATCTTGTTCAAGATCTCAGAACGCAAATCCTCGGTAGAGATATCTTCAGCATGCTGAGCAGAAACAACAATGGTATCAACACGTTTGGGAATAACAGCGCCCTTGTTTTCTTCGTACTCAATGGTAACTTGGGTCTTTGTATCAGGACGCAACCAAGGGAGGGTGCCATCACGGCGAGCCTTGGACATGGCGGCATTGAGGCGATGAGCAAGGAGAATGGTTAAGGGAAGCAATTCAGGAGTCTCGTCAGAGGCATAACCAAACATAATACCTTGGTCACCTGCACCAAGTTCTTCTAAAGCCTTCTCGTAGTGAAGACCTTGAGCGATATCAGGAGATTGTTGTTCAATGGCAACAAGAACGTTGCAAGTCTTGTGATCAAAACCCTTCTCAGAGCTGTCGTAACCAATGGTCTTGATGGTATTACGAATGATTTTTTGGTAGTCAACTTGGGAACGGGTGGTAATTTCACCAAAAACCATAATCATACCAGTCTTGGCAGCAGTTTCACAAGCAACCTTGGAAAGAGGGTCATCCTTCAAACAAGCATCCAAGATGGCATCAGAAATTTGGTCACAAATTTTGTCAGGGTGACCTTCACCAACGGATTCAGAGGTAAATAAGAAGGTTTGAGCCATATTAACGAAAAATAAAAGATTAATAAAGACACGTCTAAACGTTAGGGGGAATACCTTGAGGTATAGATTTTATTAAACAAAACAAACAGGAGAAAAGAAGGAATACCACCCAAAGTCCTTGCTACACGAGTTTCTTATAACTTGCTAAAGGTATCTCAATTTTATATAGATATAAGATAGCGGTGCACTTGTGACTGCTATCAGAAATTCGCCATTTTAATCTTTGTTTTGACAATTCAGTTATCGAGCACTAGGCTCACGTTAATATCTGATACGAAGGAACAAAAGATAGTCTTGTCTTTGATTATGTGGTCGAACGTACTTGCGTTAGTAAATAAATAAAAGTAAGAGAACATATATTTTGTTGAAATAAAAGGACTCTTCTTTCTTTCTTTTTTTTTATTAAAGGAGTTGTTTTACTTTTACTTTTACTTAAATAATTCATGTAACAGAGTGTAGAGTGAGACCATTCCCTAGATTACAATCTTTCTTTTTAATGAGTATGAGAAATTCAAATCAATTTTCTGTAAAAACCATATGTTCCCATGAAACTGAAAAGAAATATAAATTAAGAATTGCTTTCACTTATTTTATTACTTGTTGATGAACACAATACTATTGCTCTTATTAAATTATTACATTAATATTCGCAAATCGTCAATAAAGTGATCAAGCTTTTTAATATTTCTACAGAAAATAGCAGAGTAAATGAAGTACAAATTACAAATTATATATTCATTTCATTTTTATGCTGCTTCAAGTAATGATGCTAATGGCAATATCATGTCACACTTGAGTTTTACTCTTAGAAAATGAGTGGAATAGTTGAAAGAGGAAGAATGAAATAAAGAGATTTACAATTTTTATTTATCTATTTTTTCTTTCTTTCTTTCTTTCAATGTCGTCTTTAGGAGACATTTCTGGTGGTATACCAAGAAAGCCTTGTAGAAAACTCTGGATAACTTGTCGAAGGATACTGTTAAATTAGCTTCTTCAGTTTCCTTTGTTTCAAACTGTAGGATTTATAATTTAATACTCAGGTATGAACTCGAACTTCTCATGATCGTTTTAGCAAATCGAATTGTTTACAATGGTGCCTATTACAAAAGCTGACATACACCGTTAGTGATACGGCTCTGTTCTCTGGATTTACTAATTGAATTGTTACGAACAATATTTTTAAATCAATTGATGTTCACAAGATCCTTTTTGCTACTCTACGAGAAGGACGATAATTCTCGTTTGGCTAAGCATAGCTCAGACTTGAACTTGATATTCATATCTGTATCTTTTCTGCTTATTTTACATAAAATAACTATAATTCTTATTTAATTCGATTAATCTACAAGCACTGATTATCTGTTACAGAAAAAAATTTTTATATGACAAAATCAAGGTCTTCATTCAGAAATGAAATTTTGGTTTGATTATACTTGTTATTTTTTTCTTACTTTTCTTTTCATATATATAAATATATATTTTAATCGTTTGTTTCATTCTGCTCTTTGGCGCAAGCTACTACCTTCTGTCCTTATTAGCCAATACCACCTTTTTCTTTTACCAACCACGCACTACTCACCACGATGAGCAGCAATAGTCTGACAAGAATCGCCATTGTCAACGAAGATAAGTGCAGACCAAAGGTATGTTATAAAAAAGAATTGTAATAAAATTTGAGAGTGGTTTGTTTTTATTCGGTTTCGCGGTTGTTTGCCGCCTCTTTAAAGAATGCCTTGTTAAGAGGAATCTTTACAAGCTGCATACATAGGAATCTTTAGATGAAAAGTTGTGTTTTATCTTAAGGTTGTGTCTTGTCCCGTTGGAGTGACCTTCTTTGATTCCACTTGAATTTACATTTTGCCTTTCAACTCACAGATCCGTTTCATAATCTCAAATTTTGCCCTTTATTACATTTGAATTTCATAAATAATTTTATTAACTCAATCTCTTTTAGAAATGCCGTCAAGAGTGCCGTAGATCTTGCCCTGTAGTGCGTACCGGAAAATTGTGTATTGAAGTGGCACCCAACAGTCGAATCGCCTATATTAGTGAAACATTATGTATTGGTTGCGGTATTTGCGTCAAGAAATGTCCATTTGGCGCTATTAATATCATTAATTTGCCTACCAACCTTGAGCAAGAAGTTACTCATCGTTATGCCGCAAACACTTTCAAACTCCATCGTTTGCCTACTCCTCGACCTGGTCAAGTTTTGGGTTTGGTTGGTACTAACGGTATCGGTAAATCAACCGCTCTGAAGATTATGTCTGGTAAACTTAAACCCAACTTGGGCAGATACGATAATCCTCCTGACTGGGCTGAAATCGTCAGATACTTCCGTGGTAGTGAGCTTCAAAATTTCTTTACTAAAGTCATTGAAGACAACATCAAGGCTTTAATTAAGCCTCAATACGTTGACCATATTCCTCGCGCTATTAAAACTGGTGACAAACGTGTCAGCGCACTTTTGAAATCCCGTGCTAACAATGACAACTACGAAGAAGTCATTGAACATATGGACTTGAAGCATCTTCAAGAACGTGAAATCCAACACCTTTCAGGTGGTGAGCTCCAGCGTTTCGCTATTGCCGCTGTAGCCACTCAAAATGCAGATGTATACATGTTTGACGAACCCTCATCTTATTTGGATATTAAACAGCGTCTTAAGGCTGGCCGGGTCATTCGTAGTTTATTAGGCACCACCAACTATGTTATTGTTGTTGAACACGATTTGTCCGTTTTGGATTACCTCTCTGATTTTGTTTGCGTACTTTACGGTGTTGCTTCAGTTTATGGTGTTGTTACATTGCCTTACTCGGTTCGTGAAGGTATTAACATTTTCTTGGACGGCCACATTCCCACAGAAAATTTGCGTTTCCGTAATGAAGCATTGACTTTCCGCTTGGCCGATGCTGCCGATGAAGCTGCTATTGAAAGAACTGCCGAATACAACTATCCTGATCATGTCATTCAACAAGGTGATTTCAAACTTTCTATTGGTGCTGGTGGTTTCTCAGATGCTGAAATTGTTGTCTTGCTTGGTGAAAATGGTACTGGTAAGACTACCTTCATCAAATATATGGCCAAGACTTCCGAACTCAAGGTCAGTATGAAGCCACAAACCATCGCACCCAAGTTCCAAGGTACAGTTCGACAATTATTCTTCAAGAAGATCCGTTCTGCATTCTTAAATGCCAAATTCCAAACTGAAGTTTGTAGGCCTCTTAATATTGACAGCATTATCGATCAAGAAGTTCTCAACTTGTCTGGTGGTGAATTGCAACGTGTTGCTATTTGCTTGGCTTTGGGTATGCCCGCTGATGTTTATTTGATTGACGAACCCTCTGCCTATTTGGATTCTGAACAACGTATCATTGCCTCTAAGGTTATCAAGAGATTCATTGTCAACTCTCGTAAGACTGCCTTCATCGTTGAACACGATTTTATCATGGCTACTTACTTGGCTGATCGTGTTGTCCTTTTCGAAGGCCAACCCTCTAAGCTTGCTCGCTGTAACCCTCCACAATCTCTTCTCACTGGTATGAACTCCTTCTTGAGAAACTTAGATGTTACCTTCCGTCGTGATCCCAACACACTTCGTCCTCGTATCAATAAATATGAAAGTCAAATGGATAAGGAGCAAAAGGCTGGTGGTAACTACTTCTTCCTGGAAAATTAATGGGTTTTTTGGAAAAAAAAGGGAAAGAGTATTTGTTAGTCGTTAAAGTTAAAAATAACATGAAGTTTTGATTTATAAACCATGAAATGGATGAAGGCGTGTGTCCATTAAGTTGAGACTGTAATACCTTTTGAAATCTGTAATTTGTGATTAAAACACGGTTTCATGAATATAAGGATAATCGTGAAACTTGATTATGATCGTTTTCTTCATCTTTATGAAATTGGCCATTGAACAATGGTTGAAATCAGCTCTTCACAATCTGTTGCCGAAAGTAAACTAGGCATGCAAATATAAAAAGAAAGATCTACTTACATATGGAATGAATCCACTTATCCAAGGAAAGCTTCACCTCGCTTATTAGTTAATACATTCTTTTGTTTACTCATCCATTTTAGTATAAGGAGCTTGTGTGAAGGCACGTTATCTGAAGTCGAAGAGAACTATGGTCAGACAGATTCGCCTTCTCCCAAACACAATCGCCATTATTCGCCCGCTTTTTGTAGCGACTCTTGCTTAAAAGGTCATATAAAGGCGTATTGTTGTCCATTGGACTCGATACAAAAATGAACTCTGAGGAAGAGATTTGCCGGGTTTGTCGGTGTGAAGGAACCGAAGATTCACCATTATTCCATCCTTGGTATGTGGAAAGGCAGCAAGCGTTCATAAGCTAATTTTCTTAGTAAATGCACAGGAAGTATTCGTTATGTTCATCAAGAATGGTATGTTATAGATTTGGTGTGAGGTGGATTCGCTTGCTAACAGTTAATTATAGTTTGGTAGAATGGTTAGCTCATAGTAAAAAGAAGCATTGTGAGCTGTGCAAATCACAATTCAGATTTACGAAAAGTATGTGTTTTTGATTGGATCCGTGAATCATCTTTTTCAAGTTACTAATGCTGCTAGTTTATTCGGATACCATGCCCCAATCTATTCCCTTTTTTGTACTTTGTAAAAAGGTTATTGTGACTATGCAGAAGAAGCTTTTTTTTATTTCTAGGGTTTTACTGGCATTGTTTTGTTGGACTGTATTACTTCCTTTAATACTACAATATGTATGGAGTTTAAATTTGAAGTTAGGAGATGCTTATACCTTTGCTTCTGCAAATACAACTTCAATTCGGGACAAAAACACGCCTGGCTACTTTGAATCTATATCTGCTATCACATCTGTACCTCGTTTAAATATGTTGATCGCGAGCACAGCTCAAGGACAAGTTTTAACTTTCTCCGTGACATTTGTTTTGATTACTGCATTTCTTGTTCGTGAATGGGTTTTACAGAATGCAGTCCACGTGGTTGATGAACTTCAGGGACAACAATTTAATGACCTTGATGAAAATAACCAAGCTGCTGCCCGAAATATGCGAGAGGTACAAGAAGCTCGTCAGAGGCTTGCTGTTGTAATGGATCATTTGCGTGAACGTCAACTCCAACGCAACGAAGAACTTCAGCGTAATGGTAGAATTGAAGAACTGGATCGTGCTCGCCGTCGCTTTGCCTTGCTTGAGAATAATATTCGAGATGCTGCAAATACTATGGTGAATGTTCCCGATGGAAATGGAGATGATGATCTCCCAGAAGGTGATCGATTTCCAAGAGTGAATCCGTTCGCACCTCAGAGGCCCCAAAATGGAATTGATAGTATGGGGTATAATCGCATACAGCCTATTCCCGGATCTGGTCCTCGCTCTCAAGCATCTTCTATGAATTTAAATGAAGCAAATAACGATAATTTGAATGTGGCTGCTGATGATTCTGCAACGAGCTCTCCCGCCTTATCAGATTCTGGAAATGAAGATAATCATTCGCCAGAGCTTCCCGAGAGCATCCGTGAGGTTCAACCGGAGCCAGCAAATGTTGACGATAATCACGACATCGGGGCCGAAGCTGTGAGGAATGCTGTTTTAGAAGCCCAAAACCAGGCTGTGGCTGATGAAGACGTTAATGCTGCTGCCCGAGCTGCTCAGATCGCTCATGCTGATGATGCTGACGACTTCGATGGAATCTTTGAATTTCTTGGCCTCCGTGGTCCAGTCTTAGGATTTTTACAGAATTGTTTTGTGATCGCTTTTGTTGTATCCATTTTTTTGACCATTGTTATTGGTGTACCATATATGACTGGAAGAGTATTTGTTGAATGGACTCTATTCTTTGTTCAACGACCCACTGTCATCTTAAAGTTTTGCTGGGTTATTTTGGGAACTATCTCAGACTGGACACTAGGAGGTCTTTTCAACTTGTCTAAGATATTACTCAGACTTCCTGGTATATCTTCGGTTGGAAAGTCTTTTGGTATTTCAAGCTTTTTCGATATGTCATATGACCAAGTAATCCAAAATTGCACAACATTCTTTCATGATAAGTTCTACTCTTCTTTGAGTAATTTTAACGGTATACTTACGTTCCACTTGGATACAGTGCAAAAGAAGTTTATCGAAACGTTTTCTTTATTCCCTGTCTTCCGGGTTTCTCATATGTTTGCCAAATTGTTGAAAAGCTTTGTCCAGAATTACTCCACACGACCTGTTGACCGTGTCTTTACATTAATGGTTGGATATAGCTTATTTTCATCCCTTGGAGTATCGTATCTGAATAGAAAACAATTTCTATTTAAGGATCCACAAATTAGAAATGTTGAACTTGCGTTTCGTGAGGGTCTACGCCAATGCGGTTCTATAGTGAAGTTTACTATTATATTTTCCATAGAATTAGTTGTGTTCCCTATATTCTGTGGTATTTTGTTAAGTCTTTGCGTGATTGGAACCTTTAAAAATATGACTTTTGAAACTCTATGTAGTGTTATGTCGGACCATCCATTCCCTGGAACTTTTTTTGCTTGGTTTATTGGTATAACGTTTATGTTTGAGTTTGCCGTATTTATATCTATGATTCGAAAAATTGTTCGTCCTGGTGTTTTATTTTTCTTGAGAGACCCTAACGATCCTCAATTTCACCCCATTCGGGAAATATTGGAAAAACCGATGCTTCTTCAGTTAAAGAAGATTGGGTTTAGTGCAATCCTCTACTTCAGTTTCATACTGGGATGTGTTGGTAGTGTCATCCATATTTTGAAAATGACCGGTATGGTGTTTCCCTTGAGATTTACCACCAAGCCAGTTGTTTTTGAAGCGCCAATTGATTTGCTGGCTTTACAAGCATTGATACATGTTAGTATAAAGCTTTTTAAACCAATGGATCTGATGCGTTTTGTATGGCGTTCCCTGATAAGCTTCCTGTGTCGAGGTTTACGATTATCGTCGTATGTAATGGGCGAACGTTATAAGGATGAAGAGGGATATCATCCATCAAAGAACTTATCATTTATTCGAAGATTGTTTAGTAAACCACCATCAGTTGGTATTGAAACCGATCCTGAAGATGAAAAGGTGAACGAGAAGGATTCTGAGGATGTGCTAGTATTTGATGGATGTTTTTTAAGATGTCCTTCAAAGGATGTCGTTCCTGTCCATTCAGGTGCTATGTTGATACCCATAACAAAGGATGGTTACCGATTACCTGAGAAGAAAGAAAAAATTGAAGACAATCCTGATTATACGACTGCCTATGCTCCTCCCTATTTCTATAAGCGTTTGATTGCCTTGCTTTTCTTCTGTTGGTTAGTGTCTGTTATAACAACCGTATCTTTGGTATTTTTCCCCTTGTCTATCGGACGTGTTTTATTTAAAGCATTGTTTCCCTCTACTTTTGAGCATGACTTTTATACATATATCATTGGTTTCTGCGCTTTAGTTTTCCCCATGTATTCGGTTTACTACGTAACTAAGCATACGGATTCAATACAGCGAGTCAGTGAATACGCAAAGTTAGAAACTCTTAGACGTTTTTTGACAAAATACGTTAAGTGGGGAACGTTATATCTTTTTACTATCGTTGTTCTTCCCATTTTGACCGGTGTAGTGTGGGAATTATATGTCTTTATTCCGTTTAGAATGCTTTTTAGTAAAGGATCTTTGACAGTGGATGCACTTCAAAGCTGGATTATCGGCGTGTTTGTGGTCCGTATCTTGTATTACTTTGCATCCTCCAATGAAGACCGAGCTTTAACTAGAGCGTTAAGAGAGGCTCGACGTGATCCAAACGATCCCCAGATTCGAGAATTGATGACTAAATACGTATTACCGTTCACATCTGGCTTGATACTGGCGATTACTTTCCCAAGTTTGCTTACTTACTTGACCTATCCTTTCTTGTCTTCAGTCCTACCTATGTTCTCGAAAACAGAGTTTTATCGCATGATGCATCCTACATTTTTAGGATTTGCTGTTTTAGCGGTAATTTGTCGTCGTTTGTCAGAATTGAGCAGCAAGTGGTCCCAAGGCATCCGGGACGAAATGTATATGGTAGGAACAAGACTGCATAATTATGATGACCACGAGTCTTCAAGGGCGACTGTTTCAGAGCATTAAAAAACATAAAATAAAAAAAAAATGGACGATTTCTAGTGCTTCAGTCTCTATAATTCTACAAGAAACATATATAGGGAATATGGAAACAAGGAATCAGATGTTTGAAAATGTACATTAATATTTGGTATTATGATAGTTTTATAAAAGGTCCTTTGTCAACTATAGAAAGTGAATTATAATTTTCATTCGCATTTTTTATAATTTGCTGCAAGTTATTTTCTTTAATCTTGCGTATATAGAACGAATTTATTTCTTTGAATATTGCGAAGATATTAATACTTTTGTTCTTTGTCTTTGTTTTTACTATTTACAATTTAAGTCAGTGAAGCATCATGATAAGCTAACCAACAGTACCGTAGCTAAAATTCCAGTTTACGAATTTCTTTCTGGTTGTATTGATTGCTAATATATATAGAAAAACAGGAGATGATCGCCTTTGAGGATACAGTAGGATACCATGGGCGCACATTGCTTCAAAGCCGCTCCTAATGGAATAGAGTCAAGCGTAGAGACGCATCAAGAGAAGAAAATAACTACATTGGAGAAGCAATCTATTAATATAGTTACAAGTTCTGTTAAATATTCTTTCTATAACTACTTGTTCTGTAAGAACTAACGAACATCAGCATATGCTTCACCAGAAGTATGTACTACGATTGTTTCCTCGATAGTAACTCAATAATATAATTTTTCGAGCTATGTCTTGTCTCGCTGTAAATATAGTTTTAATCTAAAAAGGTCTCTTTGAAATGTCAAGATAAACAAATTTTATGTTCTACTCTTTTAAAAGATGGAATGGTGAACATTATTAACCTGAGCTAAGTTCCATTTCCACACTTAGCATTGCCAGACTTCCAGTTGACGCGCAAGTAATGATATCTACTTTTAATGATCTATAACATATTCAATATACTCTTGACGAAAGCTATAATTATTAAATAAGCTGTTTTATAGAATATGCAAGGACCAGAAGGTACACAACTGTTTTCAGCGTTTCCTCCACCGCCATTATATTACAAGCTGTTTACTAAGGAAAATCTTGAAAAGGTAAAAAATAGGTTTACAAAAAAGGAAAAAGAGACGCCTTCCGAAAACGGAGATGAGACATTAGAAGAAGATCAAAAACTGGCAGAGGTATTCAGGGTACCTACGTGTCCTACTTCTGGAACTTATTTGATGTTTGGAGATACTTGGAGGGTACGTGAAATATCAATTCTCTGATTGTTTATGTGGTAACTAACTTATGAATAAAATAGCTCGAAAATGTCATACCGTCTTTGCAGGATTTTGGAATTACTCAATTGTATAAAGGATTACAGGATGAAGAAGATAAAATAGAAACAGTCGAATATAATCCAAAAACTGGAGTTGTATATGGTTATGGCCATGTCGGGCTCAATGCGTTTGGAGATAGTACCTCTCAATCCAAAGATGGTGAAACAAGTCATGCCAACGAAGGTGAAAACTCCTTACAAAAACAAGAAAAAAACGAAGAAAAAGACAAAGAAATGGAAAGTGCTGATCGCCAGGAACCTACTGCTCTTGAGAAGAATGATGAATCTTTGACTAAGTCCGAAGAAATTTCCAAGCCTGACGATACAACTATTATTCCTCGAAGAGCTTACGAACTTCATCTACTGTCCACTTCCTTAATGCTCAACTTTTTAGAACTATTAGGCATCATGAGCAAAGCACCAGAGCAATTTCCAGAAAAAGTCGAAAATATAAGAGTTATTTTGCTTAATATGCATCACTTAATCAATGAGTATCGGCCTCATCAATCACGAGAGTCTTTACTTATGTTATTAGAGAAGCAACTCGAACATGAAGAATCTCAGTTACGATCGTTAAATGAGCATAATGCGCAGATTGAACATGCTCTGAAAAGACTTCAATCTTTGGATTTAGATGAAGAAGGAAAACAAAAGTTCATTGCATCTGTTATATCCTCTACTAGTCAAAACGATTATGGCTCTAATAGTAACGACACGAAGGCAACAGGCACTTCTTCAGAACCGAATGAAGTAGACACTATAAAAAACGCCAAAATAGAAGCAGCACTGCGCGATTTACAGAGTATTCTTGAGACTTAACATTGCGTTAGTGGAAAATTGCTTCGTCCATGAAAGCAATTCATACTACGCTACACTAGAATTGCATAGATGTAATAAAATTAAACTATCTTGAGAAGTAAATTAGTATTATGTAGTCCAAAAAAGAGACAAATTAGCGACATCTTTGTTTCGCTTACACAGCAAGGTCTACCTTTTCTTCAGTAATCATATGCTGTAAGGGTTCAAGAGCTTTAGCTACGTGCTTATTAATGAAAGATTCAGTTTGTTCAGGAGCACGTCCAACAAAGGTAGAAGCATCCAATAAAGAATCCAATTCATTATGAATTGGCTCAAAGTAAGCGGTATTCTTGATCCGTTCAATCAGATCATTATCACCACCTTCTTCCTTAACGACGCGGCCTGCTTGATGAGAGAGTACACGAATTTGCTCATGACATTCATGACGGCTGGCGCCGTGCTTTGTCATGGCCATGATAATATTTTCAGTAGCCATAAAGGGAAGCTCGGCCTTGACATGCTTTTCAATAACCTTAGGATAAATTACCATGCCAGAAATAACGTTCAAAAGAATTTTCATGACACTATCGGTAAACAAGAAAGCCTCAGGGATCAATGAGCGACGGTTGGAGCTATCGTCCAAGGTACGCTCGAACCATTGTACGGAAAAAGTATTAAGGGCATTAGGAATAAGATTTATAATGTAACGAGCTTGGGAGCAAATACGTTCACAACGCATAGGATTTCTTTTGTAGGCCATGGCAGAGCTACCAATTTGACCAGCTTCAAAGGGTTCCTCCACCTCCTTCAAATTGGCAAGAAGGCGAATATCAGTAGCTATTTTATGAGCAGTAGTAGCAAAAGAAGCCAAAGGTTGAAGCACATCAATGTCAATTTTGCGATCATATGTTTGACCAGTTACGGGGTAAACAGTATCGAAGCCGCTGAGCTTGGCAACGAGTTCATCAAGTTCTTCTACCTTGTCATGGTCACCGTCAAAGAGGGCCAAGAACGAAGCTTGAGTACCAGTTGTACCTTTAACGCCCCGGAAGCCAATGTCATTTCTAGCGCGAACGAAGTTACGCAAATCCCAAAGCAATTCTTGGATCCAAAGAGTAGCACGCTTACCGACTGTAGTGAGTTGAGCAGGTTGGTAATGAGTAAAGCCAAGAGTAGGAACATCTTTATAACGCATGCTCCATTGGCTAAGGCGGTGGATGACATTTACTAATTTGGGAATCAAGATATCCATACCATCACGTAAGAAAATTAAGTCGGCATTGTCAGTGACAAAACAACTTGTAGCACCCAAATGAATAATACCAGCTGCAGCTGGAGCAGCCAAACCATAAGTGTAAATATGGGCCATAACATCGTGTCTCTGACGCTTCTCTTCTTTAGCGGCAGTTTCAAATTCAGGAGCCGTAATTTGAACATGGTCCTTCAATTGTTGGATAGCTTCATCGGTAATTTGATTCAAACCGAGCTTCTGTTCAGCTATAGCAAGATTCAACCAGAGCTGTCTCCAAGTATTGATACGCTTCTCCCGAGAGAACAAGTGAGACATCTCACGAGAAGCATATCTAGATGTTAAAGGAGTTGTGTAAGTGCTATATTCCTCCATTGTTTTTCCTTTTTTTAGACGGACACGAGACTTCGTACTTGAGGAAGCGTGAAAGAGCGATCTACTACCTTATAAGAGAGTGAAAATTTTGATATCGCTGATTCTTTCATGATAACGGAGTGAAAATATGTTATTCAAAATGCTTTAGTAAAAGATATAAACAAAAGCAGTAAAAACTTATTATTTTACGTGGAGAATTTTCATACTATAAACTCTTCTTCCCAGATCAATTGAAGGAAATATAAAATGATTTTGAAACCGTTATATTCATTTATTTAGTACAATGAAGAGTATTATTTTAAATTGGCAATAATGCTGCTGTAAAGGTCACATCTCATCCTCTAAACAAAATTCATTGTTGCGATGGTAATCCGTTCGACCTATTATTCATACACGTTCCTTCCTCTTTACGTCTGTATACTTAGTGTAAATAGAAATAAAAAAGAGTTAACCAATATCAAAAAAATTTATTAACGGCGTAGCAGTACTTACAGGAATCTTCTAACAAACAAAAATAACGAAACATCACCGTAAACATAAACGGCGAACTATCAGCTAAGATAGATGAATAATAAATAGTATGGGTTGAATGCATTATTTTAGAGAAATTAAAAAAAAAAAGGAATTAGTCATTCAAGTCAAGACAACGGCAACCTTGTTTGTTGCCCGCTCAAAAGAACAAAAAAACAAAAAATAAAACAAAATGACCTGTATTAGTAGCAAATTATTTTTCATACTCAATAGTAGACCGAGGAAAAATGCTAAGTGAAAGATGTCCCAAAAATTTACCGAGGCGTAATAGAAAAAAGCAGAGTAAAAATAAAGTCAGAAGTTTTGATCGCTAAGCAATTGTACAAGCGCTTCCAATTCGATACCACCAACTATTCTGAAGCTGTGTTAGCCAGATTAACACAAGAACGAGTCGATCAGTGGGGTTGTCAACCTGAAGGATTCTTGTCTTTTCCAATTCAGAGATAGGAAGAAGATTCGTTATTTTATATGAAAGATCGGAAATGGAATTCCTTGCCTCGGCTTTTATATCTATCAAAGGCACTACCCAGTGTACATAGGTACGTCTTGCATCCATGTAGAAATCATCAACCCTATTTACCAGCTCTTCATTGCTTAGGTGTCCATACATCAATAGATATTCTGGTTCTGGAAATTGTAAAGGGGTAGCTCGGAGAGGCGTGTCAAAATGCTTCTCTATTTTTACTCTAGGAAATAAACCATCGGCACGGAAATCGATGATGCGTACGGAATACGAGCCACGAGTCTCCACTAAGTTTCGGCCATCAATTAAGGGTTCCACTTGCATGATTTCAAGAATAGTTCCATATTCCGAACAAAAGAGCCGTTGACCTCGAGCGTTCCTTAACTCACGATGCTCATTGCGTCCATCATTATGAGGCCGTAAAGGCATTGCCATACAAAACCGTTTCGATGATTCTAAGCATTTCTTTATCATGATGTGATAGCGAAGCTCAAAAATATGAAGAAACGTAGGCATACGCGGATAGGCAACCATACATATAAACAGAGGGAGCCAACTTTCTTGCTCCTTTTCCTCTTCCCAACTATTTTGCCTTTCTAACCAATGAATGGGATAGTAATCTTGAAGAAAAGCACGTATACAACGACTTTTCGCATGCTCCAAAACCACGGGAGAAGGGAGTAAAGAGCGACAAGTAGGGCATTGAGGAGACTGAGTCTGCGCTTGCATCAAGCAGGGACCACAAAATGTATGACCACATGGGGTCACGACTGGGTCGTATAGCATACCAAAACAAATTTGGCATTCCAATTCTTTTGCCAAAGCCTCTTGTATATTTAGCTTTGTATCATTTTCTCGAATGTCTGGTAAACTAAGATCAGAACGATTCGTTGGGAAGTCTTGCATAGCTTCTTCTTCTATGCTGATACCGGATGTTACCGTTTTCGACGACACATTCTTGGATGCATAAAATTCCGCTGCCTCTAATCTATGATCAGAGCATAGTGAATTATTCAAAGAAGTTGTCTGCATTTGCCCAAGTTTCTCCTGCGTAGACTGAATCCAGTCAATCACTTTTGCCAAGGTAACATCTTTAGTCTCCGTTTCGACAGAATAATGAGGCCGTACATGTTTATAGACACAGGCTTTAGAAGGAGAAAGCGAATTAACATCGTTCTCACCACTGTACGTATATAATCCGCGAAAACAATCTCTACAAACAGTTCCTCCACAAGGAAGAGTAATAGGCCAGCTGGGCAAGGAATTACAACCTGGACAGAGAAAATATATAGAAATTTTTTTTAATACTGCCTTCGAATCCTCTTTTCTCATTGCTTTTATAGGTATTGATTCTAATTCACTGCCAAAGTCTTTAAAAATCTCAGCAAACGCATTGATCCATAAAGCAAACTAAATTGCAAATCAAACACTATAATTCTAGCAGAATAGAATTGTAGATATCAAGTAAGCTCCAATTCCTCAATTTGGTCAAAGGTTCATGGAATCGCTAAATTCGTTGATGACATAGGTTCATCACAAGATATAGAAATACCACTATAAGTGAAAGTAAAGGCAGCAAGCTTAACCTATTCACCATAAAAATAAACAATGGCTTTCTTCTTTTTTAATAAATCAGTCTTAAAAATAAAGAAAAAAAAAGGCGACACAGAATCTATAGGCTAATGTGGATTTTCAGCTAGTCATAGAAAGAAAATGGAGATACGTTACTACTTTTTTTGCATACTCCATTTTTGTAATTTTTGTTCCATCTTACTACTATTAAACGGCGTTCCAGCAGCATAATTTAATTGTCTGGATACACAAATCCAAAATCCAACAATGGGTCTAAAGAATCGAGGTTTCTTACATTATAAATGATAGATTGAACTATAAATAATAATTAATAGAGAGTACTAAGAAAAACATGAGGAATTCATTGAAAAATAATCGAGTAAGTGTAAGTGAACTAGCATGCAGTAAAACATAAACATTATAACCGGTTTAACTAAAAGTGTAAGAAACAAAGTGTAAAAAGAAATCATAAATATAAGCATGTATAAAAAAAACTGAAAATGTTTACAGAATTCACTCAACGAAATTTTCAAATACGTGGGTGAAAAGCTCAATTTGTCAGTTAAAGAAAACATCAAAAGCTAGAACCTGCCAGTATATTTTTCCATGCACGTATGTTTCTATCCGCCCATTCTATATGGCGATCTGCAATCTTATTACAAACCTTTGACATATCCTCTTCGTGAATTCTTTTGTAGCGCTCATACTCTGATCCAATGGAAGTAGTTACATATTCGAGATCTTCGCTGGTAAGTGCCTCCATTTTCTCCAAATGGTGGACACTCTCTATTGTCCTTCCCATAGTATTATGACGGTTTGCTTCAACATTATTATCTGCTAGCCCATTAAAGGCAAACCGAATTTGATCAAACATATCGCGGAGTTTACGCGGCACTAAAACCGTGGAGACAGATGTATCAAAAGAAGCAGTATCACTATGTTGTTGATGAGTATTCGCCAACTCTCTTGCGTACTCTTGGATGCGTTCAGAGTTGATCTGTTCGTTCACGTTAGGTTCATTTCCTAACGTACCAGTAAGGTTTCCATGAAAGTCTGAGTGTAACGCATCGTTTCTTCCGTTTAAATTTTCTTGTTGCTGCCCAGGACCATATATCGATTGCGAAGCGGATTTTGAAGCTTCTAACAGATTACGTGTTTCGTCATCCAAGACTTCATCGTTTCCTTGGATGGCTGATTGCAATCGGTTTGCCTGTTGCTCACGTCTCTCTAGTTGCTGAAGAAGTGCTTTCTTCCGTTGTAACAGATCTTTGACGACTATATTTTGAATATATTTCATTCGACGAAATATTATGATATGACGCATACTTTTGGCAGATTTGGAAACTTCAGAAAGAGGTTCTATGGCATCTACCACCAATCCATGTATAAAATCTATTCCTGACAAACAAGTCTGATCATTGGCTTGCCCAACCCTTTCTAAAGCAGTCATCAACTGAGCGGATTCCGATAAAGAGAGTGCATTAAAAGTCGCCCCTAAATTAGAACAAGCCAAGGACATTTGAGAAATTGAGAAAACACATCTATTAAATCGAGAAATGTGCTCCTGTAAGTTCAAAGAGTAAATTCTCAAAGAGTTCTCTTGAGATAAATAATTTTGGCTTACTTCATCATAAGATTCAACGGGAAGAGACATTTTGGAAGGTACCGGAAGTTTTGAATATAATTCAGCGTAATCATTCGCAGCTGGATTTTCTGGGCGTACTTTTAATGAATCCTTGGGAAGCAGGCTTACGGGAGCCGAATGTAAAACATCGTTCCACGATACATGTCGACTTAAGAATTTGAAGAATATGTCGGATTTTCCAAGAATTGGGTGTAATGCAACTCTTCTCAAAAAGGATTGAAGTAGTCGTTTCCGCTCTTCAAGTAATCGAGTCGTCCGTTGTGATTTAGTCATATTAAATACATAATCCATTATTTTATGTTTATCTGGTAATACAGGAACTAGGCATGTAGGATATAGTCTTTCAAGTTGCACTCGTAAAGATGCAAATTCAGAATATCGTCTCTGCACTTCGGAATTCTGCTCTGTTAGCGTGTTTCACATTATAGACTAGTATTCCACTCTCAAGCAGAAGGTAAGAAGAATCACTTACATTAACCTTAATATTATAAACAACATGATTTCCGCGTTCTGCTTTTACTGCACCCGTTATAAAAATGGCATTCGGAAGATCGTCCTCTTCAATATTGGAATCTTTCCAGAACGCTACTTTCCTTCCTTTCTCCTCTGAATTAGCGTTTAGATTCCAATCTACATTTCCGTAATTTTCGTTTTGATCCTTCTGTGTTCCAGGCGCCAATTGCTCTTCTGAATGTTTACTGGATTTCGATAAACGATTTGGGCTTTGGTCCCCGAATGGATTATTATCCTCGAAAAAATCCATTCAAATTAAGTTCTTCGTTGAAATCCTTATAATATCAGGCTTTATAAACGTTTATATAGGAAGATTCTTTTGTGGTTACGGTTAGAGGTATATGCTAATTACGACTTACGCTTAAAGTAACGCACTGATATATTTGAAGTACAGAAATACAGAAGCAAACTTTCTAAGGGTTTGATGTAAATAAAATAAACATTTTGTACTCATCCAAATGATTTATTACTCTATGTTCTTAAGTAGCCGCAGAGGTTACTCAGTCGATCAGAGACGTCTACTAACTCATATTCACTAAATTATTTTATTATTTAAATTACTATGAATGGATTTTGAAAAATCAACTAACAAATGCTTAAGAAAACGTATCTTCAATGTTCAATTATGACATTGCTCGCCTATAATAAATTATATATCATGAATATTCATATCAGGAATCTTTGTAGAAATTACATATTTAAGGTCTGACGCCAAACAAACGGAGCTTGTAAAAAATATAATGTCTAGAATTAAACATAAATGCCCTTGTTAGCGGACGATACCAAGTAATCCTCATATTCGGTAGTATTCATTTCAGAATGTTTCTCCAATATTTCGTGTACAAATGCACCTGCCTTAAAGCCACGATCTGGATCACCATATATGGGAGCATCAGTCAATTTAGAGGTGACTTGGTCTAATGAGATTCCTAAATACTTTTCTAAGTATTTTCCAACCTCAATATTTTCTATATTTCCCTTTAAGTCACGAGCTGCATCTCCAGTTCCATACACATTCACATCTACCGCCGTGTGACCATGTGTAGTATATCCAATCTGTGCCTGTTCGCTAATGATAAGACTCATGCGATTGATTAATTCGAAGACATTCGATTTCGCAGCATAGAGGCTGTTCACCATTTTACGGGTGGGTTTCTTGATGCCCAAAGCTGGGAAAATGTAATTCTCAATATAGGAATGAAGTCCGGACTCTTCGTGGACCATTATCGATTTTGCAAGGTATTCAAATGAATGACTGGCCCGTTCAAGGACTTCTGGCTTCCATAGATACTCTGGATACTCCGGAGTAACTTGGCGACCGACAGTAAGTCCACCAGTTTCATGGTCAGAAGTAGATATTAAAACTCCTCCAGTTCTTTCTATAAATTCAGCAGCTTTTTGGAAAGCACGGTTGTATTCTAACACATCGTGGACGTGGGCTACAGGATCATTGTTGTGAGAAGCCATATCAATACGGCTACCTTCAATGAGCAAAAAGAATCCCTTGTCAGTAGATTGAGAAGCTTTGTAGAGCGTATCAAGAGCAGATTCAACCATTTCAGTAAGAGAAGGCTGGCTCTTGGGGTCTCTATCTATATTATAATCCATGTGATGACCGGAAAACAAGCCTAACAAAGGAAGTTGTTGCTTCTTTGCATCGTCGAAATCCGCCCTGTCCAAAAGTACGTGGAAGTTTTGTTGAGCTTTAGCATACTCTAAAAGGTCCAAATCATCAGCACGGCAAGATTGATAACTTGAATTGGGAAGAAATGAGCATAGTCCTCCACCAAACATTAAATCCGTAGTACGTCCCAAGGGACCCATACCCACTTGATACTCGGCAATTAAACTCTGCATAAAGCGATTGGCAACATGAGAAGAGAACGAAGCAGGCGTAGCATCCGTAATTCTACTAGTGACGACCATACCAGTCAAGTATCCAGATTCTTTCGCAGCTTCTAATATAGTTCCACATGCTTTACCACCATCTAAAACACCCACCGCTCCGTTATAGCTTTTGGCAGCACAAGAAAAGGCAGTAGCACCGGCAGCACTGTCTGTAATGAGACTAGAACTAGAGCGTGTTCTAGAGCTTCCAATTAAGTGTTTATCGAGTGGAAGTATATAGTCCTTTTCGCCGGTAATATACTCAGCAAACGATCGACTCATGGATAAAGAAGCAGGTCCCATTCCTAAATCGTCAATAAATGATCTTCATTTAAAATTGAAAGGGACTAAAAGAAATACTGTCTAAAGGTAGAAACTTACCATCTGAAACCATCATCACGGCGTACTTTGGTTTGGGCCCTACTCTCTTTTTGGCCAGAAACGGTAAAAAGAAGAAAAATCCAATGGCCATAAAAGTGACGGAAAGAAGGATGTAATGCACCTTTCTCAATCTCCATGAGACGCGGTTTGGCTGATCGTTTACATCTTGCTCGTGCACTGGCAGCAAAGGATCATGCTCGTTCGCCATTGAATAGATATGTTATAAAGCGTTCAGTCAAAAAAAAAGAACGCGAATTTAAGTAAATCTGGAAAGACTTGTTGAGAAGGTATGTCAAGAGGGATTCTATGTTTTCACCTGCGAAGTCAACATGGACGTCATCGTACTATAATCTATGATAAAGACAGGTCGTGAAACAAAGAACATAGAAATGCGACAAAGGTTGAATTAGAAAAACTTGGATCGTAAGTATTTTTAGAAAATATTGTTAATTAAATCTTTTGTTTGTTCGTTATGCAGAAACATATTGTTTACGACTTTTGTTACTTAATAAGGTGACAACGTGCAAACAAAAATGAAAAAAATAAAAAAAAAACTACGAGGAAAGCAATTCATGTGTCAATTATGCTACGACAATAGGACTTGGATTACATTCATCGCACGGTTAACATTACCCTCCTGTTCATCAAGGATGCTGTATAGTCTAAAATGTAAGGATATCTATTAGAACACACAAGGCTTCCCACTGAAATAAATAATCTAAAGTATTAGCTATCACTATCCTCTATATCTTTAAATATATAGGCTTCGGAACAGAATAAAAAAGAAAGTCTCAACTTAAGAGATAATGATGCTTAAATGTGTAACCAAAACTAGCTAAATATAGAATAAGAAGGACCAACAACACCTGAGAAGCAAGGACAATTAAAGGATGCACGGTTCACATGCCACTTAGCAATCCATTCGCATAAGCCATAGGGCGAATGTTGGGATGAGGAACGGCTTCGAATTGATGGAAATCAAGTTCCATATCTTTCTTAACTTTAATGACAGCTCCCTTATTACCTGTAGAATCACAATAGTTAGGAGCACTAAAAACAGTGATACAGTAACCGTCATGTTCAACTTCATAACCTTGGTCCCGGACTTCGTGAGACCGGATAATGGCACGCAACCCATTTGCTTCACAGAATTTCTTAGATACATCTGGACCAAATTGTAAACCAACACCACGCTTAGAGACACCACGACCTGGTTGAGTTTGGGGATCAGTCCAGAGCATCTCCATCATAAGTCCGGACTGACCTGGTTGTTTCGTGCTGAAACGATCAATCTTACGAAGCTGATCCAAAGTAACATTATCGTTAGAAAACAAGCCGCCATGTAATACCAAATAAGTGTCAGCAATCAATGTACCCAGTGGTAGCGCAGTGAAAGTTTCTGAAAAAATGTTGAAGGTTCTTTCGTTATACTTAGCTTTGCATTCTCCTTCAAAACCATAAACTTTATTCATGTCATCAGTTTCATGGTTTCCTCGGTTTAAGAAAATGGAATCGGGGTATAACAGTTTAAATGCATATAAGGTAAATGCAACTTCAGTAGACCAAGAACCTCTGTCAACGAAATCGCCATTAAAAAGATACTTATTAGTATGGCTTGGATAACCATGTAATTTGAAGATGTTTAAAAGATCGTAAAACTGACCGTGTGTATCACCACAAACGACCAAAGTTTCGTCGTCCTTCAAACGAACATCAACCAAGGAAGGAACTTTCTCATAATGTTCCTTAATATCTCTTAAAATACTATAGGCATATTTGAGAGGTAACTTTTTTCCGTTTTGGAAACGCTCCAACATATTGAAAACGAATTCTTCAGTCATTTGGGCTTTGAGTTCGACACCATCATAATCGGCAGAAACATCCATATCGTCAATATTTACATTTTCTAAAGCAGATGGAGGATCGCTTACTTGAATGGCCTCTTGGAATCGGATTTTTTTCAACAGTCCTTCACATTCGCGGAGTTTTGAGCGGGCAGTAACATCGTTTGGGGCCTTATTAACAGCCATTTTATAATCTTTCACGGCATCCTTAGGCTGGAAAAGGGATATGTGAGCAGCGGCTCTTCTGTAATACGCTTTTGCGAAATTTGGATCTATCTCGATGGCTTTACTAGCATCATTAATAGCGAGTCCAAAGTCTTCCAGCTTCAAGTAGGCAAGTGAACGATTTGAATAAAGGATAGCATTCTGGGAGTCAAGTTTGATTGCCTCAGAATAGAGCTCTACAGCTTTAGAAATGTTTCCTTCTTTAAGAGCACTATTAGCCTCATTTTTTAAAGTTAATGCATCTTTAGCCATTGTAAAGTTTTAGGAAATAAATTCAGCAAATATGGTTTTACTCGAATTCTTTTTTTACGACAGAAGGGAGAGGAGTAGCAAAAGTTGCAAGTGTTAGTTTTGAGAAGGATGGAACAATGTGGATGTATACATGTTCGATTCGCGTAAATACTTTTTTTCTTGACCTTTGTTTAAATTTTTATTCACCTTTTATTTTTGATTAGAATTGTTTTTATTTCTTACAGTAAAATTATAGTCCATACGGCTGGTTACTTTTTCGTTCTAAATTTACAAAAATTAGCCAGAATTGTTGGTAGGTAAAACGGCAGGATGGTAATAAAAATCATTAGCGTTCTACTGAGATACAATTAAAAAGAAAAAAAAAAATACAAGCGTGTAAGAATATTATATATATATATGTCAGCAACATGTGCAAGGGCGTATCGAATGATTATTGAGAAATTCTACAAACAGTCGAAAGACAACAACAGGTAATAATTAAAGATCATATGCTCTTTTTTTTTTTTACAGCACATGTTGGCATAGGAAAAAGTCATGAGACGAGAGTTTGTGGAGCAGACAGAGATCGAATTGCCGGAAAAGTTGGATAGAGTGTTGCAGAAAGGCAATTGTTCACGGGATAGGAAAGAAAAGAAATGAGAGATGCATTAAAAACATTAGGTACTTTTTTCAGTATCCATCCATTGGAGAGTACGCTTAATTCCTTCCTCTAAATCGTAAATAGGACGATAGTTTAAAAGTTCACGAGCCTTTGTGATGTCGAAGTAACGGTTTGCACAGCTGAATTGAACACGGAAACGAGTGAAACCTGGTTCCTTACCAAGGAAATAGCAAGCCCACTCAGCAGCAGTGGCCAAGGCTATACCCAAAGATCGGGGGAACACAATAGTGTACGGAGGGACATGACCAGCATTAGCCCAGATGGCACGAATAAAATCCCAAAAGTAGATAGCTTGTCCATTAGTGATGAAGAACACTTGACCAGCGGCGGTAGAATTGTGTAAAAGAAGGTTATCCGCGGCCAATAAATGAGCATGAGCAGCATTTTCAATATAAGTAAAGTCAAAAAGATTCAAATTTTGACCGAGCTGAAACTTTGTCTGGCCATTTCGTAACACGGAGAGCATACCGGGAACGAGTTGACGGTCGCCTGGGCCGAAGAGGCCAGCAACACGAAGAGAACAGGTTCTTAGCGAGGGAGAGTTGTTTTCAAGGACAATAGTTTCGGCAAGTGCCTTTGACTCGTTGTATGCATCCATGTGCACCTTGGGGTAAGGGCATTCTTCGTTCACATTAATCAAGTCAGCACCATTGAAGACTACACCGGCAGAGCTTGTATATACTAGAGCATTGACGTTGTGTTTCTTACAGGCGCGGATGATGTTTTCTGTTCCACTTACGTTTATTTGAAAGTAAATATCGCGAGCCAAGTTGTGTACAGGAGATGCGGTGTGGATGACAGTTTGGGGCTGGAAGGAAGAAAACACACGATCTAAATCTTCGTTTTTCGTCAAATCACCATTGTACATGGTGAATCGATGGCCCAGTTCTTGAAGCAGCTTTTCATTGTCGAAAAGATCAAACGCAGCAATTCGGGGTTCTTCACGCTTGCATAATTGCCGAATAATGTGGCCTCCGAGGAACCCGCTTCCAATTACTAAAACAGAATGCATAAACGCTTGATTGAGAAGGAAATTCAATGGATGAAAAGACAAGCCAGATCCTGTCGTAGGAGAGAACTCCCAATACAACAGACGATTCTTCATGTAACTTGTACGGTACACCTCTGTAGAGTGCAGTATACAAGCCCATCAAGGTAAAAAGCCAATTCAAGAGTGAATTGCTTGTTTCCTATTCTATCTTACATTTAAAAAAAAATAAATAAATATCAAAAGCTGTGCAAATCGTTCGCTTTCAAATGCATTTCCCCTTTTCCAACCGTTTTTCTTTTCTACATTAGGATTCGTTGCTATTTCGTTAATGCAGGATCATAACCCTCGCAACGGTATACACCGAACTACTTTTTAGGTTCGTTAGTATACAATTTCACAATACACTACATTTCACTAAAACAGTTAACTCATCTACGTTGAATTACTATATTTACACCAAAACACCAGGGTTCGACTCCCAGCTGATAAATCTATATTACTAAACACATCAGCTCTGTAATTTCTCTGCTTTATGTTGATTTTTTCTGGTTCATTCTTCTTTTTATTTCTTTTTTTTTATTTGATTTTTCATTTATTCAAACCTTTCCTTTAATCGATATTTATTTTCGTTCTTAGTCATCGTGGTTTGTAGACTCTTCGTTCCATCCACGTTCATTCCCTTTTCATTAGCAATAGAAGTGCGTTTCAAAAACGGTTTTTTGATACTATTACTTTTTTTCTTTCACATTTCTGTTTTTCGTATGCGTTTATTTAATTCCCAACTCCCTTTGTCAGCAACCACATTCTCGCCTAGTACTGGACTTTATCGACGACTTGGTCTTTATAAAACTCCAGGCGTCTCGAACACCGTACATTATTCATCAAGACTAAGCGTTTCTAATACTGGAAACTTATATATTGCAGTGAATTATTCGCATTCTACATTCAAAAAACAAAAACCGTACTTGAATAAAAACAAGTTTTTTGATATAACGCCATTTGCTTCCAGTGGTAGTATTATTTCGAACGATACTAAAGTCATCTTACCACAAACATTTTCACAACTACAAAATCGTTGGATTTCTACATCTCCTTTAACTTCTACAACAAGTATGTATTATTCTATGAAGAGGAATATGCTTGAGAAAAGAAGAAAAAAACGTGTCGGATTTGATCAAGAATCCAAGCTACACTGTAGAACAAAGAAATTTTTTTGATCTATCGACGAAATTCCAGTGTTTGCTGTTTTCTCTTTCCTTTTCTTTCATATTTTCTAGATTCTCTTTTTATATGTGTGTGCTGTACTAACCCAGTTCTTAGTGTCTCATTCTAAAGTTGTTATTATCGGATCCGGTCCTGCCGGCCATACTGCCGCTATCTATTTGGCCCGTGGTGAATTAAGCCCTGTCATGTACGAGGGTATGCTTGCTAATGGTATTGCCGCTGGTGGTCAATTAACCACTACAACCGATGTCGAAAACTTTCCCGGATTCCCTGACGGTGTCAACGGTACTGAGTTGACTGACAAGTTCCGTGCCCAATCCGAACGTTTCGGTACTACCATCGTCAGTGAAACCGTTTCAAAATTGGATCTTTCCTCTCGTCCCTTCAAGTTTTGGTTAGAAGGTGCTGAAGATGGTGCTCCCCTTACCGCTGACTGTGTCATTTTGGCTACTGGTGCTTCTGCCCGTCGTCTTCACATCCCCGGTGAAGAAAAGTATTGGCAAGCTGGTATCTCTGCTTGTGCTGTCTGTGATGGTGCCGTCCCTATCTACCGTAACAAGCCTCTTGCTGTCGTCGGTGGTGGTGATTCTGCTGCTGAAGAAGCCCAATTCTTGACCAAGTACGGCAGTAAGGTCTACGTTTTGGTCCGTCGTGATAAGCTTCGTGCTTCTCCCATCATGGCTAACCGTTTGCTTTCCAACCCCAAGGTTGAAGTTCTCTGGAACACCGTTGCCGAAGAGGCTCAAGGTGATGGTAAGCTCTTAAACAATCTTCGTGTAAAGAACACCGTTACTGGTGATTCTTCTGATCTTCAGGTCAACGGTTTGTTCTACGCTATTGGTCACATTCCTGCTACCGATCTTGTTAAGGGACAAGTTGAATTGGATGCTGAAGGCTACTTGCAAACTATTAACGGTACTCCTCACACCTCCATCCCAGGATTCTTTGCCGCTGGTGATGTTCAAGACAAGGTTTATCGCCAAGCCATCACTTCCGCCGGAAGCGGTTGCCAAGCTGCCCTCCTTGCTATGCACTACATCGAAGAGTTGGAAGATCAAAAGTCCAACTAAATGTCCAGCTTATGATTCCACCGTCTATACTCTACCATCAATACAATACCTCTACTTTTTATCTTTTTGAATTTGTTCGTCCTATATCTATGAACGAGAACATTTCATTTTCATAGACTACCGAGTTGCTCTTTCCTTGCTAAGAGCTAGATTTTGTTTAATTGGTTATACTACTAAATAATACTAGATATATTCAATTCATTTATGTTAACTCTTTATTTTTTTTACCTTTTGTGTCTTTTTATCCATTGTACACTTGAAACCAAAACATGTTTTCACATATTATTAATATCTAATCCATAAGATAAGTAAAGTCAAACACCCATGTTAACCAAAACCCCAAAAATATTATTATGATTAGTAGCTTTCCTAGATTTTCCTTTTCTTTTTTTATTTTAAACAGCTGAATCAAAATGTTGCAAACGATTGTGGAGTTTACCCATTTTGTCATTATATGCTTTGTCCTTGGAACGTTGTTCCTTTTGTTTTTCACGAGCAATGTATCTTGCATCCTTACGAAGTGTACGAATGGCACCCTTTTTGGCATCCCGATGTTGAGCACGAAGCTTGTTGTGTTCAGCTCTTTCAGGGTCAATGTCATAAGAAGTTTTATCGATAGAGTAGCCTTCTTCAAATTTAGGTAAGTGACTAGCAATACCCACAGGTCTGTGTGCTTGTAGAGCCAGAGGCTTGCGCGTTCTCTTAGCAGATTCAAGCAAGGTGGTCAAATCTCCGATAGTCTGCTTCAACTTGTCTGACAAAGTTTTATGAAGAAGCTCTTTCTTCGATTCATAGACTTGCAATAGATCAAAAATTGGCTCATATATCTCCAAAAATGCGCTTTCCTTAGCGTATAGATTTTGCGCAACATTTACAAGATTAAGCGTAACCATAATTATCGATGACTGAAGGTTTGAAACAGGAACAGACCCTAAGTCAAGAAGACGAAGCTTTTCAGGCTCGTCCAAAGATATATCTTGAATACCAAAGGCTTTATGCTTTTCATGAAGGCTATCAGGAATAGTGAAGCTTCCAGGTATACTCTTCATTGCATTAGGAGAAAGCACATACAAAACTTGACCAAGGAGAACTATGACTTCAGGTATATAACGATGACTCAAACGTTGATACTTCAAGAGAAGGTTCGCCAAGTACAATTTATTACAAAGATCAGGAAGTGTACTCCATGGCGATTGAGTCAACGCTTCACACATCGTAAGAACCATTGGGTTTAGTACAATGTGCTTTCTATCGGAAGTAGGGAATACGGAACAGGCTAGATTGAAGAGCGTGAGATCTTGGGCATCGGGAAACTTGATATTAGTGTTTCCAAAGCTGTTTAATAACCGATTGCGCATTCCTTCCAATACAGAAATAAAAGAAGCACTAATTGTTACGGGAAATTGGCGTCCCAAAGATACCAAATGCTCTGTGAGTTTCTCAAGTATTTCCATTGAAACTTCCGATTTCTTTGATAAATAAAGAATATGCTGCAAAAGTACCACAGTAAAGTTCTCTAAACGAGCTTTATTTTCGGGGTGTAGTTTGACGTGATAAAGCGTACGAATGCGTATGACAACAGTAACTTGATCTTCGAAGCTTAAACCTTGGATCATTCCCAGAAATTCTTTATGCGAAGTAGGGCAGGAATAGGTATAAGCGAGTGACGCTTGCTTAGCGGGTTTACCATCTGAGATGTTTCCACCTGAAAGCTTCTTTTCTTTTTTCACATCATTCTTCGCAGCGGGTTTCGTATCTTCCACAATACCTTCCCATTCTTCTTCGTCCTCTTCCTCTTCCCCTTCAGAAGAGTTCACCGATTCTTCATCTTCCAGAGTGAGACCTTCACCAAAACCAAAAACATTATCGGTAGCTTTCGTGCTTGCGTCCTCAGTTACTTCTGTTTCAGGATAGTCAATCTCGTCATCTTGCATCCGGGCAAGACGTTGGTCTTCAAGCTCACGCAAACGGTCTGCTTCGATTTGAGCAAGTTCTTCCTCAGTCTTTGTTCTTTCTGAAGGGCGAGCTCGCCTATCAAATACCATTTCTCTGACGAACTCATCATATCGAGAGTCAGCATCTGAAGGGCGTAAAACTTGATTTTTTGCAGCTTGTTTACGTCTTGCCTCCTTTCTGAAATCTGAAAGTGCGCTTTGCAAGTCATCCATGCCCTCATCTAATTTCTCACGTTCATCTTCGTATTCGTCTTTCTCTGCTTGGCGTTCTGCCTTATGAGTTTTAGACTTTGCAATAATCTCAGACATGACTTCATGCTTGGACTTCTTTTGCTTTGGCTCGCCTTCTTCCTCTTCCTCTTGAGGTTCGTCCTCTCCGAAACCACCAAAGTGCATCCGACGAACAACTTCATTGTTGAGGCCTTCGTCCTCTTCGGCATTCAAGGCTAAATCGGGTTCGTCAAAATCATCCAATTCTGAAATTGGTCTTTTTCCGTGAGTTAAGACGTCGTTTTCGGAATCTAAATTATACATATCTTTCTTGCTACGACGTTGCTGTTCACGGCTAAAACGTTCGAGCATTTTGTCCTCAAGCGATAAATGAGGATTATTTTCACCGAAACGGCGATCAATGACACCACCAACGTGGTTCTTCTTTTTGAGTTTTTCACCTATTGTATTTTTACGAATTTCTTCTCCTACACTGCGGCTAACACCGGGAGTGCCTTCAGTACCTTTGATGCGTCTACCGCCTACATCGAATTTTTTTCTGGTAAATTGTCGATCAAACAAATTGAACTGCATGCAAGTTAGTATAAAAAATACTCCTCAATTTATCATAAAACATACATCTGATTGAATTTTGTCTACTTTTGTCTGTCGTTCTTCTCGAGAATCAACACCTTTTGATTTTCCCTTTTTACGACCAGGTTTCGCACTAACCAAATTCGCCTGTCGGATAGACGACTTTAGATTTTTCAATTGTGATCCATTTTTCCCCATTACCGCAAAAATCGACGAAATTTGAAAGTTGGTGGAGGGATTGAAGTTTGCTCAGGTATTCTTACAACCACCCAATTGAATATGAAGAAAGTCTGTTATATGGATTCTTAAACAATTAAGACGAAAGGAAACAAACATATTATTGTTATTACTTCAATTTTTTAATTCAAAAATAGCCATCTCTTCGCGTTCATCTGCTAAAACTTCATAAACAAACATACGATGGTTTCCTGAATCTTATGGAAATATGTAATATGGTTAAAAGCATTTCTTCTAAACTACAATTATTATATTTAACAATAAGAGAAATGGGATGAATTAGGATTTGGAATTCAATTCAGTAATTCTCAATTTCTCTAAATGGGATACCACAGCTAACTATTCAAACAAGAAAGTCGTGGTTTTCTTAAAACTTTTGTAAGTTACACGATATATCTCTTGTGATTTATACTATGGAGTTCAAAGGCTTATGTTATATACCCTCGTTTAAACTCGTCGAACGTATTTCTTTTATACAATACTTCGACTGTGAACATTAATACCTTATTTAATACTAATGTCTTTAGAATAACATATCAGCACACTTAAAGCTATGGCCTCTGTTCTGCAAGCGTTAATCATACGCAGGGTATGAGTACCACTAGAAGCGTCCTTGTCATTTTACTTTTAGTACTTTCTAGTGATTTTTAATGAATTTTTAATGAATATATAGATGGAAAAAGCTGTCCTAAAGTTTGATCTATTGAGTTAAATTGCTGAATAAAGTAGCTTGAATGAAGTTTGTTCACATATCCTATATGAAAGCTAAAGTCCTCTTAGAGATTCCATTTTTAAAACTAATATTATGAATAAAATCATAAAAAAGAATGAACCTGAAGTTTCTTTAACTTCGATTCTATGAAATTACACGAGATCTACTTCTTCATGCGATTTATGGAAAATGCATTAAGAATCAGCTTGTACGGTGGAGAAATATTTTTTTTTTAGTTATAATCAGCAATCAATCAGTTACTTATTGTTTCATTCATACTCATAGATGTTTAGAATACCGGTTTGTAGTTTCTGTACACCCCTTAAACATCTAGGACTATCGACATCCTACGACTACCAACATCTTACAAGAAGTATCGACGAACATTGAGAAGTGTTCTGCATTAAAAAAGAACTTGTATATATAAGGCATCTTCTTGTTCTTTAAGCCTTGTTGAAAGCAAAAGAGATAGTATTGTATTGAAGGCATTAGCGAAGTTGCGAGAGCGAAGCCGTTCCTAAATCGATCAATAGTCCTAAAGAAGCTGTAGAGATTAAGCAGTTAAAAAATTAGGATAATAGATTTTGTGTTTAGGAACGTTTTGGACATTATGTCCCAAAGGGACGCCGATAAATTTGAGGTACTAATTTCCAACAGTGGAACAGTATCAACAAAACCAAGAAGACTTCCTACAAAGCAACCCCAAGATCGTAATGCAGCATTTGGAAGGAGTTCTTCAAAAGTTCGAAACAGTGTAGTACCTGAACATAATCCGTTTGCACCTGGTTTGTCGAGACGACACACCTCAGCAGAATCTAGAAAACCAATACCGAAACCAGCGAGTATACCAGCAAGAATACCTTCCGATTCAAGTGAACAGCTAAGTCTAAAACGTTCAGAAACGCTCAGTCCTCCACGTCACGTAAGAAAACAATCTACTAGAGCATGTGGAGCATGTAACCAAACCATTGCTAGTCAGTATGTCCGGGCTCTTGGAAATGTCTTTCATTTAGAGTGTTTTAAATGTTACGACTGTGGTACTATGGTTGCATGTAAGTTCTTTCCTATCAATGCGCCGAGTCCTTCAGGCCAAGTTCCGTTGTGCGAAACAGACTACTTCCGACGATTAGACCTTTTGTGTGCAAATTGTGGGATGGCTCTTCGAGGATATTATATTACAGCACTTAACAAAAAGTATCACATAGAACATTTTACCTGTACTTTGTGTATCACTATATTCGGCCCTAATGACTCTTACTATGAACACGAAGGCGAAGTTTACTGTCATTATCATTACTCCACTCTTTTTGCTGCTCATTGTTACGGATGTGACGGACCCATTTTGAAGCAATTCGTTGAAATCTATAGAAATGGTGCTTTCCAAAATTGGCATGTTCCTTGTCACATGATCTACAAATTTTGGAATGTCAAACTTTCTCAAAAGAGTTTTGAATCCAAAAGTTCTGATACTCATTTATCTCATACACAACTGCGGAAGCGCGAGAAAAATTTAGAACAAAAAATATTTCATATTTGGCATGCTCTTTCCTGTTTTGAGGAATACACCGCTTCTTGTATCAGTGACATGTTGCTAAATGTGTCGAATGGAGCTTTCAAGCAAAGTGTTTTATGTGCTCAAAAATTCATTCGTTATATAGAAATCCTTTTTAAGGGGATTGATTCATTGGAAACCACCCTTGCTACTTATCATGCCAAAAGTATGCCTTATATTCGAGAAGCCAAGTTGTTATGTAAAAAGTTGGTCTCTATATTTGCCTTGTTGGCTAAATGTCATAATTGTGATATCCGAGATGTTTCGGTAGTGCAGGACTTCCTTTCTCTTTTTACTGGTCTTGCACATTATTTGAAACTTTTGATTAGAATATCCTTAACTGGTGGGTTACGTTTGGAACAAGAACACTCTTGTAAGCATGCCCTTCCAGAGTTTTTGTTAATCATGGAGGAGTCAAAGTTCGTCGACAAGGGGAACTATGACGAATCTAGCATTGACATGTTTTTGCATCTGGCTAACGCAAATTCTGATCTTTGTTACGTTTGTCATACTGCTCTTGAGGAAGATTGCATTCTTGTCGACGACAAGCACTTCCATATTGGCTGTCTGTCATGTGCTAAATGTGGGTACACCAATCGTGAAAATTACGATTGGGCTCGATGGAATTCGGGATTGGACCAAGTTGAATGTTATCTTTGCTATACTGATTCCAGTGCACCAAATTCTTATGAAGAGCAACCCGTATTTCAATATATCAGTCGCCTGTCCCAGTATACATACTTGCTTCAGGTAGCACTGATCCGCCTATATGCAATACTCAAAATTTATAATGCCCAAGTACCCGATGCTCCTCCGATTGTAAATGATAGATTGCCATCCTCTCGTCTTGCTTCTGAGAAAAACCTTACAAACACGGAAGCAGATAATTTCAAAAAGTATGCTAATACTTTGAATGATTTGCGTCGACTGAAATCTTCTCGTAGTCTTAAAGGCATATCTGACGATGCGAGAGCTGTGTTTAAATCAGGTGAATCTGATTATCATGCTAGTAGTGAAGATCCTCTAGTCTATTACGAAAGTAAACCGAATCCAACCGGTGATTCTGGGAGACCTACAAATGATGGTGCTGACATTAGGAATCACGCCAATTTAGATGGAGGGATGGATGCATTTGATGAAAACCGAGCATTCACTCTGGATGATATCCCCAAGGTCATCGCTGAACAAAGAAACCGTGAGCATCGGCCAAATGCATTTAGGCATATGCCAAGTTATACTGATTCTTCTATCAGAAAAAATACTCGCTACAATACCGGTAGTAGTGGTCAACAAACCATTAAAACACCTTCCGTAGAAACCCCAGCTAGGTATTTGTCAGAACTCAATAGCCTGGAGCAATTATTCGTTCGTCATGTTACTGTCTTAATTTTATATCCACTAGTTAGGGATTATTATTCGTTAGAGGATCTAATGGAAATGAGTGATTTACGAAAGGGTGGTTTCTGGGAGAAGTTTGGCAAAGCCTTTAAAGGAAAAGATAATGACAAGAAGAGCATAAAGAAGAAGGGAACATTTGGTGTTCCGTTGGAAGTGTTGGTTGAACGAAGAAACACTTATTTTGGAGACCATAGAAGTAAACAGACTCCAACCTTTATTGATAATACAATCGCTGCTATGAAAAAGAAAGATATGTCTGTTGTGGGCGTTTTTAGAAAGAACGGTAATATTCGCCGATTGAAAGAGCTCTCAGATCTGCTAGACATATCGCCAGAAAGCATCAATTATGAACAGGAATCCCCAATTCAACTCGCTGCATTACTAAAGAAATTTTTAAGAGAGCTTCCTGATCCCTTGCTTACTTTTAAATTATTTGGATTATTCATCACGTCGTCAAAACTGGAATCCGAAGAGGAGCGTCTCCGAGTTTTGCATCTGACGATATGTCTATTACCGAAGGGACATCGCGATACAATGGAGGTTATATTTGGATTTTTGTTCTGGGTTGCATCATTTTCCCACATCGATGATGAAGTGGGAAGTAAAATGGATATACACAATCTTGCTACAGTCATTACTCCAAATATACTCTATTCAAAAAGTAACGATCCAGTCGATGAAAGTTTTCTTGCTATTGAAGCTGTTCATTCACTGATCGAGAATTTTGAAAAGTTCTGTGAGGTTCCAACAGAAATTAGTATACTATTGGACGATCCGGCTTTATTCTATAACAATGCTGCGTGGACGTCTAAAGAGTTAGCAAAACGGTGTGAAGATATACTTACACAAATGAGCGTGAGTGACCAAATATCTCCAAAACAGGTTCCATCTACGAAGCATAGGAAGCAACCTATACGTAAAGTTACTACTAGTTTAACATCTGAGTTTCCTTCAGGACCTGAAGTAGCCGAATCGACGACTGCTTCATCTGCTACTACAGATAGGAATGATTTACTTGAGCGTAGTATTGCTCAGAATCCAGGTCTGAAACCTCAGCAGGCCATCATAAAAGGAACCTGATCGTTTTCGGTTTCGCATGAAAAGTTTCATACTCCTTCTTTTGTTATTTTATTATTTAAATTTCTCGATCTGCATATATTAAGTAACATCATTACAATCAATCTGGCATTGATTGAGGGTGTTGACTGAAATATTATAATGGGATGACGGTATTTGGTTCTTAATCGTTCTTTATCTAATGAAGAGAATCTTAGCTTAAATTATTTTTTAGGTCAAAGTAACTTTCATTTAGTGTTTTGCGTAATGAATGAACATTCTTCTGATTTCAGTTATTCTATATAGATGTTGTAAAAGCTGATAGTAGTCAAAGGAGCAAATCAAAAAGGAATAACGAAGAAGCTAAGCGCGCTTTTTCATTCCCAAATCTGTTGATAATTTGCTGGAAATGTAAAGTAGTCGAGACAGTGTCCATAAGTATATAATGAGAAAACCAGCAAAAGAGAGAATAACATTTAACACTACCCATAAATCCGGGTACCTTGAAGGGGGTGCCACAAATATATCGAGAGCAAACAATATAACCATGGCTAAGTAAAATGACTGTTTTAGTTAGTAAATTGAAATATATGCAGAGTATTTTCATACAATTTGTAAATAACGGAAAATGATATTCTTGGAGAATACGAACATATGGCCAATCCAATTCCACATAAATAAAACAGTAAAAAATTGCAACCCAAGGTTATCTTTTTTCAAAAGAGGCCACAAGCTAAAAAATACAAATGATTAGTAAATATTCAAAGTTTCTTTCATACCTGAACATGCCAACGTTATTTGCTAAAGCTATCCAAGATTTCGTAGTTGAATGACCGTGACAAAGTATAACTGAAGTTAAAAGAAGAGGAATCAGTACAGACTTTTCGTGGACTTGAAAAGAAAATAAAAAGAATCCCCAAGCAGCGTTTGCAAAGCCAAGAGCCAACAATCTTTTCCGGGGATACAAGAAAAGAACACTACAAGACGGAAGAATCGAGATTAGGGTAAACAACAAAGATAAAGATTGTAGTTGTTTCATAGTAAAGTACTCTTTTACTTTAAATAAAGTATTAACAGCACACCAGAAATTGGCGACCTTGTCTTCGAACAAACCCCTCGCAAAAGGAAACATACGGTGGACAACTTGAGGTAATTGGACTTTGAAATCGATATAAATCCAAGGAGAAAATACTATACAGAAAGTAGTTATGACAGTGATTCCCAAACCAAGCAGTCTAGAGAACTGAAAATGGGGTTTGAAACAAACACCAAGTAAATAAGCAAAGATGGAAGGTGCAAAGTATAAAGTCATTTGTTTAAAAGAAAGAGCCAAACAAAAAAGGAAGGTAGCAATAACATACTGGTTTTTTAATAGATTTGCAATTGCGTACATGACCAAACCAAGCATGACACAGTTATACTGGAAATGACCATGGTCGATAAGTAGTAATGCTGGCTGAAAGAGAACCATTACTAGTAATGCGTTACGTTCCACGAAGTCAGGGACACGTCTGGACCACCACTTTGAATAGAATATTAAGGGCGGTACCAGAATGAGGAGATGAGAAAGAATGACGGTAGCTCTCATATACAGCTTCAAGTCAAGACTCTCAAATCCTCTGGAAGAAATATGAGCAAACCATTTAGGATCAAAGAAATAGTGACCAATAAACCCAAATAATAAAGATACATAGGCAGTCAAAGGAGGATAATCCAATCCCCACCATTCCAAATCTTCAAAGTACCATTTGGAAACTGGAGAATGCAGGGTCAACTCCATCCAATGCCGTTGAGCTTCAAAGTCTCCATACATAGGAGGAGAGTTTCGACCGGAATAAGAACCGATTGAGATTAGCCATTGCATGAAAACAAGAGACATCAACAGACAAGGAAAGAAAAGAAACTTGGAAGAATACGACTGAAAGCGAGAGACAAACTGCTGTACAGGAATCCCATTCTCAAATTTCGAAACCATTTCTGTGCAGCCTTAAATTCTATAAATTACGAGTATTATCTCACTTCATGCATTAATAAAGAGCCTTACAACTCTAAGAAATTACGGGCTACTTTGACCTTAAGCTGCTTCTCAAAAAAAATGTGATTTTTCTATTTCTTCAAAAACGTTTTGGTTGTTGTTGGTAATGGATTACCTTCAGATGCGAGAATCATAAGTGTTCATTTTCATTTGATACAATGTACAAAGCTTTTAATATTATTACGAAAAGAAAAAGAAAAGAAATTTTGATACCCAAAACAAGAAGAGCTTTTGTTTGTCACGAAATCTTTAAGGGTACGTTCATTCTTCTCGTTGATATTCAGGCTATCGTTATTTGGAATTCTTAAGACCCATTTTTTTTATCATTTATTTTATCGATTTACTCGTTTTTCTTGCTACGTGATAATCATTTCTAGATTGTATTGCAAGTTCCAGACAAAGCTTGGATTAGGAATGAGAAAATTGAAGCAACAGATCAACGTATGAAAGCAAAAATGAATTAGTTATATGCTAAGAGATGTAATACTTTACCTCATATCATCAATTATTTTCTAGGATATGGAGATTTTTTTTCTAAATGGTCTTTCAGTCATTGTACTTCTGACATATGAGTTCTTTACCCTATTGTAGGATCACTAGCAAAAATCTGGTTGACAATTTGAGTCTATTTTAATATCTAAAAAATCGCTGCTTTTATAATAAATCTACAAGGGAATCTCGAGCATCACAAAGGTAAATACGAAGCTTACTGAAGTGACTCTAAGTATTGAATTCCTACTCATCAGCATACTCAGTGTTGCGTAGGTAAATTCGAAGCCTTTTCTCTTTATTTTATCGGAGTCCTTTTTTCGACTGGTATTAATTTGACTATTTCAATGAACTTTTTTTCCGCAGTTACCGAGACTTGCATTCCAAGTTGAAAATGGGTACTTACCTTTTGTCTGTTTAATAGTTTCCAACATATTTAAATTTTAAAACTCATAGGAATGAGTTCATATGGATCCAGGTGAGTGAGTACTATGGACCGTATACATTGTTTGGCGAAAAGTCGAATGCAAAGTCGCGATCATAAAGGATTTCCACAGTATCTACTTCGTCTTTCGGCATTTAAAAAAAAAAAGAAACAAATTTGAAATTTCGTATAACTTCCCTTAGTATGGCTAAGCATCCATATGAACATCTACTTGAATTTGTTTATTTACGAGTAAACAATGTTTACAGTCCTGGAAGCTATTTCGCATTCGTAAACATTCGGTAAGAAATCCCTAAAATTGTTTAATCTTAAACGACTTACTTGCCCGCCTCCTTTAGGGAGATAGCCACCCCTAGGGGGGGGGGGGGGGGCACAGTCAACAAAGCCACTATATCCCTGTCCCTAGGGGCTATTACAATTGAATTGTGGAGTAGGCTAAGCTGGAGAAAGCGGGGAAGGCTTAACAATATTTTTTATTGGTTAAAATCTGCTTCGTGAGAGAATATCCTCCAATAGAATTTGTGGCTTTTTTTGTAAACAAATAACTTAAGCAAAAATAAATGGGGAAGTCTTGAGCCTTCTCACGTTTGTATTGGTTGTTCCTAATTTGCGTTTTTGTTTACTACCTCTTCTTTTTGAAATGCGGAGAAATTGTGGAGAAATTTCGGTCTGGATGAGTCTGTTTTTTTCGTTTACGTCGCAGACGAAGAAAAATGCGACATTGTGAACGCATAAACGAAACTTTAAACAAGTAAACAAACAAAGAAAAAGGATGCTTGCTTTTAGTTTGGAATTACAAACCGGTGACTCATTTTGTTTTTTCCATAGCATATATACCCGGGTTTTCTAATACTTTTCTACCATCTTCAGACCATTGATCTTTAGTTTACCAAGCTTTCCATTTTTATATTTTGACCAACGCAATTTCCCCTTCGCTACTATTTTATTATTATAAAAAAATCTTTCCTTTTCTACTACTTTGTCCTATAACACAAGGAAATTATCTTTCGTTTCTTATTTTGTTAATTCTTTGATTTTCTAAGACTATTCAACAACTTTTTACTTGTGTCAATTTTTTTGCTCTTTTCAATATGCAACAATCTTCTCAAGCACTTTCTTCCTCCATGAAGTTTTGGAAGGACCATCCTATGAATGGCCATATCTTTTCTCCAATGACTTATCGCAATCCTCTCATGCCTTCTGTCCCTACAAACATTCCAATGGGAGCTATGCAAACTCGAATGAATCCCGGAATCGCCAACAATGGTGAGTTTCCTTACGCTTTAACATTGGCATCCCTTTACCAAAATGGAACTGCTGAGCAAGCTAATATTTTAGCTAATTTCCGCATGGGCAACATTACTCAACGACAACCTTATCCTCGACCTCTCACTGATACGAACAAAACTAAAGAAGATGATTTCGGAAACTTCCAAGTCCTACCTTATGGTTACTGGGACTACCGTGCTGTCCTTCTTCACAATATGCCTGCTTGTTACAATATTTCCGAATTTATAAACCTTGGACGCTTTGGTACTCTAGAACGTATTGTTCCACTTTACGAAAGAAACCAACTATTTGTTACTTTTCTTTCTGCCGCTGATGCCTTTGACTTTTATAATACCGTTCGCTATACCGATTTTGTTTTCATGAACCAACGACTCATTGTCTCCACCATTGACTTTATGCCATTAGAACAATCTATTATGGAAGCATGCCGTCAAGGATTTACCAGCAGAAATGTTCAAATCACTGGCTTTCCTTCTGATTTTGATGAAGCAGCTTTATTTCAATATGTATGTTCTCTCGGTAAAGCTGAGCTTATTTCGGTTTCCAGGAATACCAATTCTATTTATGTCCATTATTTGAGTATTACAGACGCTCTTCACTGCATTGATTCTCTTTTATCCCATCCGTACTACAGAATTCTGAACTCCTGTTGTTATTATGAACGCTGCGATCGTTACTATCCTTTTGATTTCCAAGTCGAAAAAACAGTTCCTAGTTCAAATTTCGTGAAATCAAAAGGTGTTTCAACTAAGAATGTACTGAAAGAATCTTCTATCCAAAGCCGTTCGAACCACTGTCTTAACAAGTCTACTGTGAAGAATCCTTTTACCCACCATGAACACAAATCCAATCCAATTAACCCTTCTTCCTGGAATAAAAATGTTTTTTCAGAAAAGGAAACTGCCCTTACCTCTAATAAACAGCGCGTACAGCCTGATAGAACTACCAAAACAAATTCTACTGCTATAACCGAATCTCAACAAATCCAACCAGAAATAAACGAATCTTTCCCTGACTCTAATATTTCCCATAAAAACGACTCTACAACTATCCCTTCAAATCAGAGTCCCATATCAGTTGTCAACGATCATTCTAAGAATAATGCCTTACAAAATGTTACGAATCCCTCTTGCATTGCTTCTGATTTACGCAATTCGGCTGTTGTTGAATCCACTGAAAAATCCGTCAGCTCTACAAGTTCTTCATATGGTAACGAAAGTAAATCTCAATCCCTTCATGTTCGTGTAGAAAGCGAGATTTCAACCGATAAAATTGCTTTCTCTACTTTGAACACTACAAATGTTACAATTTACGACACAGCGAATGAGGAATTTTCTGGGAATCTAAATGTGGATATAAACATGGATAATGTTACCAAAGAAAAAGATAAAACTGAAATAAGCAAAGAAGATAAGAAAGATTTATTTAGCGCAACATCAGATTCCAATTCCTCTTCTGAGAAAATTCTCTCCTCAAATGAGAATTATACCGATTCCAAAAAAGAAGCAGAGAAAGATTTTCCAAGCTTTTCTTCCTCTATGGATGATAAATACACAGAAAAAGAATCACACGCAGAAAACAGTATTATAGCACATACTCCTACCTCATTTGAATCCTCCTTCGATACAGATTCTCCTCCTCCTCTTCGCACTGAGCATACTAGTGAAGATTCCATTTATGATTTAAGAACTATTCCAAAGCTAACAATAGAGCTGTCCTCTTCAAGAAGCTCCTCCGTCCTGACATCTCCTACGCTTGTTGGTTCACCTCTTGATACTCATATAAAATCTTTATCTGACTTTTCCGAATTTGCCTTGGATAGCACATCCAAACCTTATACCAATCAGCATCTTGCTATTGATCTTGACCCTTGTTATAAAAACCGAACTCTTTTCTTAAGCAAGATTCATAAAGCGGCGAAACAACCTGAAATTAGCAGACTGTTTCAAATGTTCCCTATTGAAGAAGTTCGTCATTTTCCAAAGAAAAGGATGTGCTTTGTAACTTTTCTTGAGTCTTATGACGCAAAGATTTTCCTGGAAGCTCATCAAAAACAGCCAGTTTACTTACATGGTCGACCAGTAAGACTCGAATGGGCTAAGTCTGATAATCCTTTCACTGATGATCTTCTATATGCAATCTCTAATGGAGCTAGTAGAAGTATTACTTTTATGATGAATCATTCGTCATTTACGCGAAGCGAACTTGTCTCCGTTTTCAAAAAATATGGTGACATTGAAAGCTTTCTTTTCACCAAGAAAAGTAATTCTGGTTCCGTTACATACAGCAGTATCTATGGTGCAATAAAGGCTATGGAAAGCTTGCAATCTCATTCAACCTTTCAAACTGCTACCATTGAATTTGCTCAAAACGATCGACATGACTTACTGAATAGTCCTTATAACCAACATTTTCCCCTTCCGCAAGAAAAAATTAGTCTCTCTAAAGAATTATTATCTTTCTCTACGATCCAAAAACTTTCCTCTTGTTTTCCAACTCATGATTCTAATTATACTTTACGATCAAAAAACATCGACACTCAGCCAACAACCCATGCTATCATTTCCGCTAACGGATAATTCATCTTTATATTTTGTTGAAAGTGAACCTGAATTTAGGCTTCCTATTGTCTAACATTGTCTATTCTCTATATTTATATATCCATAAGATTCTTACTGAAATAAAAACAATTTGAATTGAATTATTTGCAGTTGAGCTTGTAAACTAATTTGTCAATTAATTGAGCGTACAAAATTGTTTTCGCTTTTCGTGTATACAAGAAACAAATAAATAACCACACATTATTGCAACTTGGTTTTTAGATAAGTGAAAATAAAGGTACATGCTACTTGATGCTGTAGTCTACAGAAGATGATAAAAATACTTTTGTTTACATTAACAAATACACCAGAAAAACCATCTCTTTCAATATCAGGATAGTCTAAGTAAAAGAAACTTGTAAATGAAATGTGCTTGTCTATTTGAACGTGAATCCACGGTAAACAATTGTAAAAATTAATTTTCATGAGAATTAATTCAGTTACGTACAATGTTGCAGCGTAAAACACTGTCTTTTTGATTTTCAAATATTTATAGTATATTTGGAGAATGAAAAATAAAAATGACAATCTTACATTTTGCTTAAAGCCTATAAATCAAGTCTAACCTCTATTTTTAAATGTCATCAGTCTGCACTATGGAAGTAAGTACAGGTATTACTACATGAAAATATAAATATAGATATAGATATATATCTATATTTTGATTTATAATTTGAACCATCTTAAAAAGAATAAAATTGTACTGGAATTGTAAAGGCAACCAGTATGTATAGTCATTCAAATATTCAAAGGTTTGGTTAGCTACCACTAACGAATTCTTTATCCTAGTACTTGGATGCCGGCAACTACTCAGGATGAACCATTGGTAAAGTATGCTTTATATAAATTTAAAAAAGTAAGCAAAAAATGAGTAAGGAGAGCTCTTTTTAACTGATAGACTTACTTAATTGTTGGGGAAAATGCTACAGCGTCGTCCTTTCGTGTACTAAAGATTAATCCATCGGAAAATGAGACAAACATATCAATTGAAAATATAAATGGTACTTTTGACAAAAAAGGACTCTCAGAATTCTTTAGGACCGAAGAAGGTAACGGCTCAGAAGGGAAAATAACATTCATCCTCAATGCGTATGCTATATTGGGCTTGACTCGCTTTACCTCGAGCTACTATTTATATTTATGTATTGCCAGGAAAACAGTTGCTGTAATCGGTGGACATAGTATATATCATGTGGACAATACACGATTCATTGAGCTATATCCAAACAGACGCAATCAGAGCTATATTGAACGGAAGTATGTTCGTTTTTTTGTGGTAAATAAACTCTAACATGGTTTTCTAGATGTCTTTCGAGTATTGAAAAAGTGGATCTTGCGAGAACATTTTACTATAGCTACAGTTACGACCTTTCACAAACACTACAATATAGTTTTACTCATCCTATCCCAAAACACCAAGTACGTGACATGTTTGTTTGGAATTGGTCAATGCTTCAGCCTATTTTGGATACCGTAGGCATTGACTCCCCTTGGTGTATCCCGTTAATTCACGGTTTCGTTGATCAAGCTAGTAAGTTTTTGACATATTTCTATTCTGACAAATATTTAAGAGCTTTCTGTTTATGGGAAACCGATAATCGTGACTCTAATCGCTCGCAGGTCCCGCCATTTTGCAGGTGCTCGTTTCTTAAGGCGAGGAATAAGGGATGATGGCTATGTGGCAAACGAGGTTGAAACGGAACAAATTGTTTTTGATGGATCTGTATCTTCCTTTCCAGTGTCATCTAGTGCCCCAGGCATACCTTGCTATACTAGCTATGTACAGCATAGAGGTAGTATTCCACTACGATGGTCGCAAGAGTTTAGCAATATCACACCAAAACCACCAATTGGAATTACTGTAAATGATCCTTTCTATTCGGCAGCGGCTCTTCACTTTGACCGTCTTTTCGGTCATTATGGGGCCCCTTGTATTGTCCTTAACCTCGTAAAATCCAACGAAAAGGTTAAAAGAGAGTCCCTTTTACTAAATGAATTTGAATGGGCTATTAATTATCTCAATCAGTTTCTCGATCCTTCAAAGAAAATACAGTACATTGGGTGGGACATGTCTGCAGCTTCTAAAAGGCAAGTATACCTTATTCATATATGGTTAATTAGGACTAACTTTTTCTTTAGAAAAACTCCTGTAACTAAGACTTTAGAAACAATGGCTTACGATATTATCAATAAAACGGGACTATTCTGTACTTCCAGTCGTTTTTTCCAAGGAGCATTCCAGCAAGGCATATTGAGAACGAACTGCGTAGATTGCTTGGACCGCACTAATGCAGCACAGTTTGTTTTTGGAAAATGTGCATTGGCATATCAGCTACAATATCTTGGTGTCTTGGATACACCTGAACTCGTTTACGAATCTGATGCTGTGCGTCTGCTTGCAGAAATGTATCATGGACATGGAGATACAATTGCACTACAATATGGAGGATCGCTGTTAGTAAATACATTGGATACTTACAGAAAAAACAATCAGTGGTCTAGCACATCGAGAGACCTTATTGAAAGTGTCAAACGATTTTATAGTAATTCTTTCGTTGATTATCAAAGACAGGATGCCATTGATCTCTTTTTAGGAAATTTCACCGTTGTGGATAAAGATGTTATTTTTGGAAAAACAAGGATAAGTAATTTTACTGAGAAATTTAAGAATGGGTTATTGGTCAGACGAGATTATCGATATTGGTGGACTCCGCTTTATTTAAATTCCTCTTTAAGACTCAAAAGCTTTTACAGTGATAATGTTCAGCGTAAGCGACCAGAGTTACCGGCATATTATTTCGAGGAGCTGTATACCTGCAATCGATTGTCATTCCTATCAGACGCTTTACTTCAGAATATGATATCGACATTGAATTTTGCTCCACTGAGCTTATTGCCACTTTTGCGAAAATCTCTGTTGCCTGTTTCCTATTCTGGAATCGGGATTGAGTCACCATCGTTTAATCCCTTTATCCCTCGGACGGATCAAAAGCTTGATTTTAAATATGAAAAACCATCTTCTGATTCGAACGAGGATGAAGAAGGTGAAAAATTCAAAAGGGTTTCTTTATACAAATGGTTATTTAATAGTGAAGACAAATTGCAGGAACATAAGACAAAGCAACAAGCAGAACTCCCATCTGTACATAAAGATTCAAAAATAATGAACAAAGATGTCAAACAGCTTGATTTTAAAATACCTAGCGCTGATGTGAATGTCTACAAGAAGCACTTTCAGTTTGGAAGTATAGTAACACAACCCGTTGAAAAATATCAGACTATGAACGCTCAAGATCGAACTGCTTATATGAATTACACTAATGTTTTAGAAAATGTTAAAGAAGTGAAAGAGAAAGATTTTACGATTTATCAAGACTTCATTAATTCAGCCCATTCAGAAGATGATGAAAATACGCTTTCAAAAGGCGACTACACTGAACAAATTGCGTTCTACAGTGCCTGGATTGCTGACTATAAAGCAGCTTAACCATAGCCGAAATGCTTTAATGAACTTTTGTTAATGATATGACGTGTTGTGATAATTTTTATTTCTCGTCCTTTTTATACTTATCCGTTACGAACTTTATATAATCTTCTTTTTTTCTGTCAGGAAATTCCAGCTTCCATTCCGTAGACTCTTCCAGCATTTCTTTTAAGTGGGGACCGGGCTTGATATTTAATAGTGAACTTAGTTCTTTTCCCTGTGTAGTAGTTAGTAAATTAGCTTCTTTCATTAAAAGTCATACGTTTAAAACAGGCTGCATGCTGTAAGCTTCAGCCAAGTCATAATTCTCAATATTTTTGATGAGAGAAGTAAAGTAAGGAAGAAGCTTCTCGACTTTTTGGTCTACTTCTTCAGTAAAAGAGCCTTTTTTGAGCAAATTCATAAAAAAGGCCCAATTGACGATATCTTTCCAGTATTGTCCTAATTCACGTACAAGTTTACCATATTCCAATCTAGATAACTCAACTTTGGAGGACAAGGCGTTTACTCTTTGCATGACGACAGGATAATATGTATATAAACCTTCTATTTGTGTTATGACAGGTTTGCTGTACTTGAGACTGTCCCTCACGAGAATAGGAACTAATGACCTTTCCTTTGATTTCTCAACATATGTCCAGTTATGCCAAGGAAGCACGGCCACAGCAACCCAAAAAATGTATTTTGCTGAATTCGAAAGATTTTTAAAGGAAGGTACCTCATTACACAAATGGTCAAATAGGTCAATGGCTTTTGGTATAAGGCTGAGAGAGTCCAAATTTTTTGAAACAATATTATCATAGTGTCCTAAAAGTGGTCCAAATATAGGAGCGAACAAACCGGAGTTATGAATGATACGGAATGCACGACTTGTATCACAATCTAAAAGAGTACTGTTAGTATGAAAAGTCTTTATCTAGAAAACTTACGGGATAGTATTTTATCGATTTCCACACCAATACGTTCACGACTAATACTGGAACGTAGTCGATCATGTAAGATATGATTTTTTAAAGCGGAAAAGGTGTCTGGATGAATTTCAAAATTGAACTTTGAAGCGAACCGGATACAGCGAACGGCTCTCAAAGGATCATCAGAAAAAGTCTCATCAGCAGGGAGTGGTGTACGTATAACCTTGCTTTCCAAATCCGATAAACCATTTTCAGTGTAATCTTCCACTTGTTTCGTACGTAAGTTGTAAAATAATGCATTTATTGTAGCATCACGTCGTAACGCATCTTCCAGTGGTGTTCCGAATATCGAGTTATCCAAGTGTAAATGTGAATTAGAGAAGGTATGAGGTCGTAAATTTACAAAGTCAATGTCCTTGCCGAGAATCTTGGCGGTCGCGGTCTCCAGATGCTTCGACTTTTCCGGATTGGCATCAATTTTGACGATCCGAGTTTTATATTCCGGATGATTGCTTTGCATATATGCTTGTAAGTGCTTAGCAAAATCATATCCTGGCATACAATCCACTGCTACGTCAATGTCATGGCTTTCAATTCCAAGAAGCTTATCGCGCACCCACCCCCCTGCAAACCGAAGTTCTGGTTGCTGTTCTGATCCTTGTCCTATGGTATTTGACACTTCTAAAAAGAGATCTGTAAGCTGTTGTTCACTTTTATTAAGCGTTATAGAATTTGCCTTTGTAGTCATGCTCAAGAATCTTTGGTTCCTTGAAAATTGTTTATTATACGAAAAAGCAGTTTGATAAAAATACCGATTAGTTATTTGACGACAAAAATGAAACCTCAAGGTCATTCACTAACTCTACTGCCAACGTTTTTCAAGAATAAAACAGGCTCATAGAACAGAAAAAATGAGTTCTCTATATTCCCAACAAAAAGAAAGATAAATAGAAAAAATAAAAACCAGAAAAAAGAGTTTTATATATACAAAGTAAGTAACCAATTTTAAACAGCAAAGGACCAGAAGTTATGCATATGACGAGAAAGACGCTGGGAATCACTATACCTTGGATGATTTGTTTGTAAACAATAGAGGAAAAGAATTTTTTTTTTTTTTTTTTTAAATCTCTCCTTGTTAAAAAGCTTTTTAAACAAAAAAAATATTGATCAAAATGATATAAAAAAATGTAAACTCCCCAAAATATGAATTTTTTTCTCGTTCGTTTACTAAATTTTAGTATCCATTTGAGAAAATATCTTTTAGCTGTAGGAAGCACACTGTATTCAAGTAGTAAATTTATATTCTATATATATATATATATATATGTAGGTATCTACTGATAATAAGACGACGAGCAATTTGGTGGTAATTAAAATTGTCTCGAAAGGAGAAGTAGATCGTGTTCTGGTCAACGAAACTTGTTCATTAAAGAAAAGAAAGCAAAATCACAATTCGAATCAGATTTGTATCTTTTTCATTTTTCTTTATTGTTTTCTTCCAACTGTAGGATTTTCTGTTTCATTTTTATATGTTTGTTTACGCGTTTTCTGTGTTTACTTATTTCGGAATTCTCTTCGGCGTCTTCATTCTTCTACAAGCCCCCACTCCCCCACTTAGTACATTTTGAATGTTTGTAGAACGAATGATCCTATTCTAACCCCCACATTTATATCCCACATGGTAGTCGTCCATTCATTTTACGAGTTGCATTAGGAGACGCTAAGTAGCAGTCAGAAGTAGATGCTAAAAGAGTTTACAAACCCCAAAAGAAGGTGTCCTTTTACCATTATCTACTTGAAGGGGATCAATGCCTAGAAATCACAGTGGAAGGAGTAGAGAGGCTCGTCAGCTAAAACGACAAAAGGAAGAAGAGGAAATCCAAGAGCTAAATGCTCAAATAAATGAGTTTCCTGGAAATGCAACGCATTTTTTCGATTTACCAATTACACAACCGACGAAAAGCGCTTTAAAAAATGCTCATTTCACTACTTTGACAGATATTCAGCGACAGGCAATTCCTGAAGCATTGAAAGGTAGAGATATTTTAGGTGCGGCCAGGACCGGTAGTGGTAAAACATTGGCGTTTCTTGTTCCTTTGATCGAAAACCTGTACCGTCGTAAATGGACCCAGTATGATGGTTTAGGTGCGCTGATTATATCTCCCACTCGAGAGTTGGCCATTCAGACCTTTGAAACTTTGGTCAAAGTAGGCCGTCTTCATTCCTTTTCCGCTGGTTTAATCATTGGCGGTAATAATTACAAAGAGGAGCGGGAACGTCTTTCTCGTATGAATATCCTTGTTTGTACCCCAGGAAGACTTCTGCAACACATTGACCAAGCAATTAATTTCGATACCTCCAATTTACAAATGGTTATTTTAGACGAAGCCGACAGAATTCTCGATATGGGATTCAAGTCTACTTTGGATGCAATTGTTGCTAGCTTACCGAAAGAGCGTCAGACGATGTTGTTTTCGGCAACTCAGACTAAATCCGTTCGTGACTTGGCTCGTTTGTCTTTGCAGAACCCTGAATACATTGCCGTCCACGAAAATGAGAGCAGCAGTACTCCCGAAAGCTTAAATCAGTTTTACCTGGTCTGTCCTTTAACTGAGAAGCTTGACATTCTATTTGGTTTTATTCGTACTCATTTGAAAAATAAGTCTATCGTCTTTCTTTCGTCCTGTAAACAGGTGCGATTTGTCTTTGAAACATTCCGTCGATTACGTCCAGGTGTTCCTTTGATGCACCTGCATGGCAAGCAGAAACAGGCTTCGCGTACTGAGATTACTGCAAAGTTTACTGCTTCTCAGAATGCCATTTTGTTTTGTACCGACATCGTTGCAAGAGGACTTGATTTTCCTGCTGTTGATTGGGTCGTCCAGTTGGATACTCCTGAAGATGTTGATACTTATATTCATCGAGTGGGTCGTACAGCCCGCTTTCAGAGGGGTGGTAATGCATTATTGTTGCTACTTCCTTCTGAAGAAGCTTTCCTTAAGCGATTGGAGTCTAAAAAGATATCCGTAGAGCGTATAAACATTAAAGAAGGAAAGAAGACAAGCATCCGCAATCAACTTCAAAATCTTTGCTTCAAGGAAAATGACATCAAATATCTTGGACAAAAGAGTTTTATTTCTTATCTACGTTCTGTATATTTGCAGAAGGATAAGGAAGTTTTCCAATTTGATAAGCTCCCATTTGAGGCGTATGCAGACTCTCTTGGTCTTCCAGGTACTCCTAAAATCAAATTCGGTGCTTCCCGAAAAGAAAGGGCCGGATCTGTTGAAGACAACAAGACGAAATTAACTTCTACATCTCCTTCGGAGGCATCATCTGAAAGTGAGTCCGAAGACGCCAACCAACCTAAAAGCGTCCGTACTAAGTATGATCGTGTTTTTGAAAGGAAGAATCAAGATATTTTGGCTCCTCATAGACAAAAGCTTGTAGAACGTGATGAAGGCGATGATGAAGACGAAGACTTCTTACAGGTGAAACGAGCCGATCATGATTTACCAGACGAGCATACTGAGGCTGAAGAAAATAAGCTGATTATTAATTCAAAACGTAAAGAAAGACTAGCTGCATCTAAGAAAGCTTTATTAAAGTATAAAAAGGGACCGGATAAGATATTCTTTGACGAGGAAGGAAATGCTGTTCCGTTTTATGCTGTCAATACTGAGGAAACTTTCCGTAAATCTGGTGACCCTTCACTCTTGATTCAAGCTCACTTAGCAGCTGAAAGGGATGCATTAGAAAAAGCCGATGCAAAAGACAAAGAAACTGTAAAGGAGAAACGTCGTGAAAAGAAAAGAAGACGTCAAGAATTAGAGCGTCGTGCTGAAGAAGGCGACTTCTCTTCCGGTGACGAAAATGAAGCTGTAGTCCAAGTTGCGAATGAAGACGCCGATGAAACCATTGGTGAAAAGAGACCAAAGAAATGGTTTGAGGACAGCGATCACGATGAAGAGCCAAATAATGTCATTGAAGTTGAGCAGCCCACATCGCTTGAAGACCAAGAGGCATTGGCTCTTCGACTTATGGGATCTGCTTAAAAGTAAATTTTTAAAAAAAAGACTCAATGAGTTTATTTTTTCTGTAAATTATGAATTGGTTATTCTGGGAGTTTATCATAAAAAATAAAACAGTAATTACGAAGAGAAACTGAATGTTTATTTGGTTTACAATAATTTTGGACATACACTGGTATAAAGGGTTATAGATAAATAAATATATAAATATATATATTAATGAAATAATTTTATGTCTAAAAATGGTAGCTTATGGGATTAAGGAAGTAAACTGGTTTGTTTTATTGTCAAATAATTCAGATATTTCATGTTTTCAGGGCTTTATGTCTTTAAGTAAGTTTGATAGATCTTTCACCACCTCTTTGGAATCTATAAGATGAACGTTCGGTTTCAGTGTACCCTCTATACCAAGCCATACTGGAGGAATGTTATCAGGTAAACCTTTGGCGAAATCTTCACACGAGGCAAAAGTGTATTCAGAAGGAGGGTTCAACAAATAATTTGAAGATAAGGAAAGATTCAGTACCCTACCTTCTTTTAGTTGTTTTATAAAATATAGGAGTATGTTGCTCAGGAAAGATATGTCATTACGGCTTGACAACTTTGGAGCATAAGCGACATTTAATACCAGCTCCTGGAACATATCCCAAGGGAACTTTTGAATATCATTTTCTTTCTTTTGGCTTGATACCAGTCTAGCACATGCCGACAGAGCATTCATCGCGGTGAATAGATCAATGTCGTTCAAGTCTGCACGTTTCTCCCGATTAACTTCAACAATACAGAATCTCTCGAAAATCATTGTGTGGATCCAGGCTATGAGGAAGCGCATAATATCATATTCTTGTGGTATGCCTAATTCACTCATAAAAACGGATCTTAAGTTTCTCATCAATGTTTCCTTGAAACTTGCTTTCACGTCGAAATATAGGTAGCGAAAATTAGGTGATAGCCAAATAGGAAACTCAAATGAGATATCCGAAGTACACACCATTCTAAATTCAGGATGCAAATCTCCTTTAAGCTTAGATGAAATATTTTCTAACCAGCTTTGAGAGAGATGAATATTTTCTAAGAAAACCCAACAAGGTTCATGTTCTGCTTTGATCAAGGTGGTGTCGGCAAGCTCTTCAGAATCTAATGAACCCATTGGTATGGTGATACATCTGACCTGTCTTTCGGCCAAACACTGTTCCAAATATTGTTTTACATCTATTCCACTTAATGGAATAAGAATCAATGGCATGTCGCAGCCAATACCTTCGGATATAATGGTATCTAACTTTGTTGGTATATTCAAGACATTAACACCCAAAACAGATTCTGAAAACCATTCTATGAATGAATTATAATTCGTTTCATATATATCAGAGTTTTCTAACTGTTTGTAGAAAGTTCGCACAGTATTCAACATCTCTGGCTCACAAGCAAACGATTTTCGAAAGTGAAACCTATCCATAATAGCGGAAGGGTCTACACCAATGGCTTTCCAAATTGGCCTACATTCTTCGTGGAAAAGGCAAGTCGATATTAACAGGGCGAATAATGATCGGTCTTCCGGAAGAAGTGATAAGCAACAAACCTCGGTTATTACCTTCATGGTAAGACTGAACAAGTTTTTGGGTCTCAATGTGTTTTTGTTTAATGAATTCACTTGAAGAAGTAGTTGACTGTATAATGAAGCAAAAAACTTCATTGACGTGTCGTATCGAGAATTCTTTTTACTCATCATCTTAAAGACGAATATCAGAAAAGTAAATAAGTCGATGTTTCCACTGAAATGGGAACTTACGTCTAAAATACTTGTTTCTAAAGATATCCGTTGTTGATCCAATTTCTCCTTTTCCGCAATTGAAGCTCGTAGAGAGTTAAGAATAAGTACAACATCATCATTTGCTAAAATGTCAATGTTCTGACTTGATAAAATCGTTAGAAGATTTTTTTGTTGGGTGAATAATTCTGACTTTATTTGTAATAACCGTTCCCTAGTATAGTTTTTGTTTTGAATTAAATCACCGTTCTCAATTGTAATAAGAGAATTTAAGAGGTCTCTACTTAAACCCGATGAGGTAGGAGTATAATTGATGATAGTCGTAAAACTGCTTATCTTATAAGACATGAATGAATCATTAAATGTGTTAGAATGAATAATTATTTTGAGAGGAACGGAAACTTCAAACACATCCTTTGAAACTTTCACTGACACTTTCCCTGATCCTGAATAAAGTACTGGGGATAATAGCATATCCAACAAAGGACACCAATTTTCGACATCCTTTATTAATATAGGCTTACCTAATTTTAGCGCTGCTTTCAATTGACTTTTAAACGTTTTGCTTATTAAGCTTAAACAAATAGTGGAATTTCCGAAAAGAACTTTTAGAGGTTCAGACGCATAAAGAGATGGGTCAATTACTAATGCTGGCCTCACACATTCGTTCGTTATTGCCATATTTGTCATGGAATAATCGTCTGTATAAGGAAGTTTTGTCTCGTTTAACATATCATTGTTGAATTCCTGTAAGAAGTGTCCAATGTTTTGATTGCTACTAATATAACCTTCTTGAATCAAAATGGAAGACACCTGTTGGACGACGGTCTCACGCTCAACAGGATCCAATAAACCAGCATAATTTATTATAAAAGCAACCAGGACACTACGGCCATTCAAATTAGATAACGCTTCATCGAAGGAATTCATAAAATTTTCCCAGTAGTCCTTTTCTGAGGCCATATCGTCGATAATTTTTAAACTTCTCTTAAGTTTGTCTTGGATGTTAGCAAGCTCAATCTTTAACGTGTGTACTTCAGTTATCAATGTAGCATAATCTTCTTGCATTCCCATTAACTCTTTATCCAATCCTTCAGAAATCGACTTCACTTCCGAAAGTTTACGCTGCATATCTTCTCCTTTTGCTTTTAATTGGGAGACACTATCATTCAACGGACTTATTTTTTGTAAAACTTTCGAATAGTTACAGTGAGATCTTATCCAGAGAAACAAAGGACCGCAAGCTTTACTAGCCCTATTAACAACCTCATATTTGAAGGTTGAGTTACGAAAATATTCAGTTTCCAAACGCTTCCTGAGAGTAGGATTTAGTTGCTTCTCCGAATCAAATGTTAAAACATTGGTAATGAAATCCTCGCGTTTTAACAGAGACTGTACAGATTTCCAGGAAGTAATTTTATGGCCAAGTAACTTACACACGGCCTCCATCGTTAACTTGACAACATCAGGAGGACGAGAAAGACTTCTCAATTCCGATAGATGGCTCTTCTTGATATTGCTAACAGAAGCCTTAGCTTCCTCAATGGCCGGTTTTACTATTGAAAGTTCTTTCAGAACTAGTGAAGTTTTAGATTCGATTTCCTCATTTTGTCCTCTCAAATTGCGTTCTAAGTCCAAAACTTCCTTTTGTCTTATTTCAACTTCTTGTTTGGCATTCATTAAATTGTGTAGCCTCGAGTTTGCATGCTTTGTTTTGTCATTAAGCACAGATTCTTGCTCATATAACATATTCTTTAAGACATGAATTTGTTGTTCCGTTTGCTTCAGCTTCTTTAGTCCATTATCGACATGGTCCTTCTCATTATACAGTCGGCTGCGAAGTTTTCTGATGACTTTGACAAATAATACGACAAAATCCGATAAAAAATTTGGACTCATACTCAAATTGTTTTTCCTTTTTCTAAAATAAGCAGCCATATATGAGTGCAAATCGAACAATACTTTCACTAAGTTTGGAAGATGCTTTTCCAGCAGACACCTTTCATCCAACTCGTCATTAAAGTCAGGAATTTTAGAAAGCTCATTTTTAAAGAGTTCATGAACGGTCAACTCATCAGGAGGTTGAAAATAAATGGTAGTACATCTGTTTATTAGGGCAGGTGATAGAATATTTAAGCCTTTATAACTCGACGTATACACAATAAAAAAAACATGAAGGTTTTGACCTATTAAAGTCTGTACCATCTCAACAACCTCACTGTCCAGCTTACATAAATGGCGGAGCATTATGCTCTTCTTTAAATTTTCCCACTCTTCATCTGAAAACAGGCAACTAATATCAGATCCAGTAAGTAAGTTATTCATAACCTCGAATACATCGGAATTAACGCACTGAAAGTGATCGATGGCAAGACAAAGTTTTACACTATCAGTAACCACAAGGTTAATTATGGTTTTTAATTCTTCCAATAAGTCTGAAAACTCTGGCTGTAAACAAGGATTGAAGTCTAGCAGTTTATAGCCGAGCTTCCAGCTTACAAATTCTAAGACGCTTCTCTGATTCGAACCATATTCTCCATAAATCACTGCATGGCTATTGGTATGTGCGAAAACGCGGCCAATTCGGATAGCATCTAGACATCCTTTTTCTGTAAGAAAAAACATTGAGTTTGGGTACACAATCCTAAAACTTTCGATACATCCTTGCAGATGCGACCTCAAAGTGTTTAAGGAAACTATGCTATACCGTTCAGAAAATAAATTGCAAGTATAGTATTCAATTAACCCATTGAGATATAATCCGTCATATTCCGAAAATAGTGATTCCTGTAAGATAGACTCACCAAGTCGAAAGTCTTTATGATTTAATCTATCTAGGAAAACACGGCAAGCTTCATGGTACCATATTTGAAGTAATTGTTGGAAAGTAATTCGATTCAATGATTTAGTCACATTCAGCAAGCAATTGAACCATTTCGTTAGTTCTCTTGGCGTATAGGTGTGAATAATATATTCCTTCGAAGAAAAAGTCCGCTTAATATTATCATACACATTCACACTGCAATTTAGAAATCCTTTGATTACTGGACCGGAATGACTGCGATCCACGAAGTTCAGAATCTTATCACATATGGGTTTGTAAATCTTAGTGAGTGAATCAAATCCTGGGTATCCGTACTGTATAATTACTGACTTTCGGAGTATGCGTGATGACAAAGAAGACCTTCCATGGTCAGTAGGGGGGTTACAAGCCCCAAAAATAAGAATCCTTTTCATATTTATCCATTTCTTTAATTTCGGATGCCAGAAACCTTTATGGTGCAAAACGCATCTGAGAAAGCATAAAGCATCATTTCCATTATTTCGGCTTGGTTTAGGTAAGTTGATTTCGTCAAAGAATACAGCTAGTGTTTTTTTGTTTTTCGGGGTAACGTAGGACGCGTTAGCCCGTATGCTATATACTGTATTTCTTTCTAAAAAGCGAATTATAGCATAAGCTGAGGTAGACGCTGAAAAGTTCATCACAGCGACATCAATATCATCATTACCGTTTAGAAAATGAAGGACTGTCATACTCTTACCCGAACCCGGAGGCCCACAGAAAATCAAGCAACTGTTCATATACAAGAGATTATTGATTAACTTTTCGTAGCGGATAACTTCCGTAGTCCTTATCACTTCTCCTAAACCAGGAGCATCTTTGTCGTTCGCAAGGATATCTTTGATACCCACCCAGTTTTGGGTGTCAGTGTCAACGTCCAAATCCAAAATAAAATCAGTTTTATTAGAAATACCGGTCCCTAAATCAAATTTTTTTTTAATCCAATTCGTAAACTTGAATTGAGAATCTAAATCAGAATCACCGATACATGCCCAAGCTATAGAAAGTAAGAATTTCTTTTTCAAATAAGCAGCCAAGTTAGCTTTGCCGGGGAAGCAACCAAGTTCAAGAAGCCCGAAAGAATCCACGATCTCTTTCTTAAAATTCAGAAAAAGAGTTTCTTTAAATCGTGATCTTTCTAATTCCATTACATGGAACAAAGTACTGGCGAACTCGAAAATTGCATCTATAGGTAACTCAAACATAACCTCAGTAACCACTTCGCATATCATTTTTCTTCTTTCTGAATTTTCTTTCATGGTAAAAGTTTCCTTCAACAATGACTCAGTATAAGTGTTGTAAGCTATAGGTTCTTCATCCATATATACAATACCACATCTACTAATGGTTGCCATCGTTGCTGACTGGATGTTGTCAACTTCAAAGAGAATTTTAACGTTAACCGAAAGAGGAATTCTTTCGCCATTCGGTAATGTTAAAAAGCGATTATCATCCAACAAGCTGTTCATAGTTTCAACCCAATCAGGCGTTATATCATCATCAAAAATAATCCAGTATCGAGTACTAGAACCTATAGCTGAACGTAGTATCTTTGTAAATATACCATCTGTCCATTCATGAGTTGTCAAATCTAAGGTCCCGAAAAGAGAATCCTTGTCAATAGATTTGGGAGAAATCACATAGTGCTCAGTTTTAATCAATAGTCTACTTAAAGCATTCAAAAGATTTTTCCAAACAAGTGTTTTACCTGAACCACTTGAACCATATATAATGATTCCATTGTAAACTTCGGAAAGCTGATGAAGTTGAATTACTTTCTGAGTGAGATAAGTAAGATCACTAGTCAAATTTGAATCTTTCAAAGCCACCTCAAGTGATGCATTGACAGTGTTTAACTCAGTACCTTCTGTCAATATACTTTTGAAGTACTTTCTTCTCAATCCATCGAAAGCCTTTACGTCTTTAACGTTGAGCCTTGGTAAAATGACAGTCTGAATTGCTCGATAAATAAATCCAAGATCACCACAGCTTTCGTTTTCCAATAAATTAGTATTACCAAAATTACATGACACTTTAATGATGGCACGTATAGTTCGAAGTCCGAAATCGTAATACGGCACTTGGGAGAATTGCTTAGCACAGTCTTTGAAGAAAGAAGTTAGAACATTTGCAAGATCGGATGAGTTATTAAAGCCGTTGCTGTAAAGCAGTACTTGACAAATTTGGAAAGCATCAGGAGTTTCCATCCAAACAGTACGAAAAAGACGCTTCAAGTTGCACGGTAACTCTGAACGACCTTGATAGCTAGGATTCAACGTAATGAAGATACAAAAGCTTCGGTCAGCTTTGATAAATTGATTATTGATTGGTATTAAAGGTTTAGAACTCCTCTTACAATTCGTCTGTATTAGTTGAATATCCTGAGACACAGTACTCAAAGTCCCAGGGTTCAATCGGTTGAATTCATCAAAACAAGCATAGACACCCAGCTGGCATAAACCAATTAGTATTCTTCGAATTACCTTATAATTAAACGATTCGTCACAATTGAACACAAACACATATCTTCCCAGATAAGCACCAAGCGCCTTCACTGTTTCCGTTTTCCCTGTTCCTGCAGGCCCCGATGGTGCACCTCCGAAACCCAACTGAATAGCATGTATTAATGTTGAAAAAGTTTCTCTTGTTAGTTCGGTATAAACAAAAGGGCTTTCAATTTGAACATAATGAAATGCATAGGGACAACTAACCGAAAACATCTCCACATTAATAGAAGGCTTACCATGTTCGTCAACATTATAAGAACATTTGATTTCGCGGAACCAATAATAATCATTAAAATTATTGTCAACAAGCGCTTTTACTAGGGATCTATAATGAAGTTTTTCATTGATGAACAATAAAGCTTTCTTTCGAATAATTGCATTTTCTTCATTCATCGCGTATTTACTTAACCATTCAATCCCCTGTTTTAAGGAAGCGTCAAAGCAAGTAAGGTCCTTCTTCTGAATCCCTTTTTTTAAAGCATAACTAGCGTAACAACGAAAGCAAAGTAGTAAAATTTGACTGGGGAATGACTTCAACCACTCAGGAAACCAAAGATTCAAATCAGCAATATCAAAAGACTCATCAAAAACAGAATATGCTATACCAAAAGTTTTTAATAAAATATTTTTGATATCTTCTTCAATAAAGCTGATCCACTCAAAGCACCCGGATTCTTGTTTTATTTTAACTGGTGAAGAAAGCACTAGGCTTAAATACTCATCCGTAATTAGTTTTTCAATTGCACCATCTCCTTGGTTAATGATGAGTCCATTCATACCAGGGAACAACGTACCAATATACTTATCCAAAGTAGCTTTATGGTTTATATGACAAACAAGTTCCAATAAATCTTCATCACCTAAGAAAAATAAACGGGGGAACTTTAATCTTTCACTTTCAAAATAATCCACCAACATTCTTTTAATATCAATTAACGAAAGAAGCAAAGTATCAGCAAATGCTTTTGGTGACTGAAGCTTATAAAATTCTTTAACTCCCTTTGAGGAAAGAAGTAAGTTTATACCTTGAGTATAAGACTTCGTTGCGCTAAAATAAGCAACAGTAGCTTGGGGTAATAAAGACTGGAATACTTCGTTTGTCGAAAAAACCCCATCCAAATACGTCCAATGTTGCTGGATCTCCATCCAAACATTAAGAAAATCAAGGAAATCACTTAGTTTTCCGATTAATTCATCAGCAGAGTATTTCACCTGATTATAGTTTTCAAATAGTTTAACAGTGTTCAACTGATCAATCCATTCTTCGCAATCGGAAATTAGTTTATTGCAATCTTTCAAAAGGTATGTTCTGTTATCGTAAAGGACGAATTGAAATTCATAACTTTCAGAGTTAAGGCAGACTGTTTGTAATGTATTCCTAATAGTAGCTTCTTCATCAGCTTCTTTAATTATATCTTTGACCAAGGATTGATGTGAGTCAAACTTGAATCCCAATACATCTTCTAAAGTCCAATTCTCAGATGAGCTACTTTGCAGGATTCCCATAGCTGATAATAATTTCTGCCAATGCTCATTCCCAAAATTATTGCTTTTCAATTCACTTAGCAAAGGCATAGCACCTAAAATATCAACTATTCTTGAAGTAAGTTTAGTATAAGGTGCTAAAGATTTCATATTCGATGGACATTGATCCAGTTCTTTCGCATGCTCAGTTAACTCATTCACTAAAGCCTCGCAATTTAAAAGCAACCAAGGGGTTTTCTCGTATTTGCGCAAAACCTTCACATTTTTTGAAATGGTCGTTAACAGTTCTTTATATGAGAAAATTTCGTTAAAACATTTAGAAGTGTCACTAAATTCAGACGTAGGAATGCCCAGCAAACATTCCAATTGACATTGCTCGCCCAGAAGTTCTCTTAAAGAATTCAAATCCTCTGAATAGTTTTTCAGAACAGTTGAAAACTTCTCCAGATCATGCTCATGAAGACGAGTTTTCTCCAGGTCCCAGTTTGAAAAGAACATAGCCAATTTAAGCCTTAAGTCACCACATGAATTTTTAGCAAACTCTATTAACTTGCTTCTATAAGTGGTGTAATAGTTATCTACATCATTCAATGCAATAAAATAAGGATCTGCTTCATGTAACAGCAATTTATAAGGAATCCAGCCATTAGTAAGGTGATAGTTCGTGTCTTTAAAAATATTTTCAGTCGACCTCAGTAGTTCTAGCAACGTTAACGCAGTTTCCCTGAACTCCAAAGAAATTTTCAAGTTTGCTATAGACTCATTTGCTTCTTTAACTAATTCCCAGTCGCTAAGTTTGATGTTACGCAACACATTTGAATAATGAGATAGATCTTTTCGGAGATCGTGCGCGGAATCAACCAATTCCTGTGAAAGTAGTTCGAAGTAGAACCCTATCCACTTCGAAAGGGAATAAGTAGTGCGACTTCTAAATGGCACAAGATCTACCTTGAAAATCCCAAATCTAACCTCATCATCGACTTCACTGAGTGTTGCTTTTGTGTATGCAAGATATTGAACGAGTTGTAGTAAATCTTTCTGTTGTAAAGAGACGGTTGAGAATTTATCCAATAACCGAGTATCAAAAACACTATATCGTTCGAATGGAGTGACATAACTTTTTATATCAGCCAGTGCATTTGAACATACAGTCAGCAAATTCACTACCTCAACATCCACAGCCTTTGGAGTATTTACAAAAGTAACAGATTTTGATTCAGACAGACCTCCGTTGGTAGGGTAACCTCTCAAATAAATAGCAGGTAGGTTTTTGACTGATGAGAATAGGTAATTTACCACTTGAAATATCGATGTTAACATATCCTGAATAGAAGGCTCAAGGGAAATAACACCGTTTTTGAATGACAAAGAAATCGGCTGCATTATCAGACTTTTATCTAACAATATTTTAATTGAAAGATTTGCAGAAATAAAGCTCGTGATATAGTTACCATCGGTTGTTTTTAGTAATAAACAAAGGTTTTCAAATATTCTCTTTAATTTGGTAACCAAAATATTATGAATCCTTTCGTTAATGATTACCACAACCTTATGAAGGTTAGAATATCCATCAACATATAAACGGTCAACTATTACTTGAATTTCTTTTAATAAGCCTAAGAAACCTTCGTACACATAGTCATCATTTTCGAGCTTAATCAACTTGCTGTCTATTTCGGAACAAGTACGCATGACTGATTCATATTTAGTGCAGTATATGTTTATTAAGGAGTTCAATTGATAAATAAATGCATGTGGACCAAAAATATCCGTTGTATTGTTTCCAAAACCTTTTTCACTTTGTCGAGTCTGATCATTTAAGAAGTCTTCCCACGTTAAAAACAAATTTTCAGATATATGACACTGAATTTTGTTTTCTACCTCTGCAAGCAGGTATTTTTGTGCTGCTGAAGTTTCAACAACCTTAGCTGACTGATTATAGAGTTTAGTTGAGCTCGAGAGATTAGCAGCAATAGACTGCAGTTTTTGGGAATTAGATATTATTTTTGAAAACCGTTCTGGAATTTCATATCCCATTGATGAAAGAGTCCTGAACTCCTTTATTAACATCATTAACTGCGAGTCCAAAGTTACCGAAATCTCTAAACAATTCATCTCAGTGATAGGAACAATTTTGAAGATATGAGTAGTAAAATCAAATACATCCAATGACAAGCTGCTTAACCAACTTTTATAAATAACTAAGGGGTCCAGCCTCTTCTGTAGCGATTGAGCTTCTGATTTTAATCTGGTTCCTTCATTGTACGTTGTCAAATCATCACCCAGAATTACATCTAACTGTGAACAGTATTTTTGTAATCTTCGAGTGACTTGGCTAGACCACATGATAGCGCCTGAAACAGGAGGAATATCGCGAAGTTGGTGCATAGCAAAAAGTTCCAAGTCAGAAGTAATGTCGGTAAAACGAGACTTCAGGGTAATCACTTCATCATTTACACCGTTGATAAGTTGCAAATGATATTCGCGAACTGCATTTTTTATTTTGGGACGCATTAGTAAAGAATTATACTTCAAAAACATTGAAATCAAACGCGTAGTATTTTCACACGACTCAAATTTTTCCTTTATGAAAGATATGAACGAGTTGTCAAATTTAGATAGTATGTCATTAAATTTTGACTCGTATAAATTCCAGTTTCTTCTTCCGTCTTCAGTGATGTCTAAAACATTAACATTTTGAAATAAATCTAAAGATGAAGAGAAGTTAAAGTCATCAACAGTTTTGAGAAGCTCTATATCATTCTGATCAGTGGATGAAAGAGATGAAAGCGTAACGGTTAAATTTTCATAAGTTTGTCTTAAAAGGAGCATGGACAGTAGTCTCTTCATGAAAAGCTTTGGCTTTTCGTTTAAATAAATTGTTTCGTAAGCTTCTTTTCGCTTAGAAAGAGTATGTTTAACTAAGAGTAAGAACTCCTTGTTACTGGAGTCCCACGTCGTCAAGGCATTTAAAGCAATAGATAAATTATGTTGAAAATCCGCAAAAGACATAGCCAACAAATAATCTGAGCCCAGTATTTCCGTAAGCTTCGAAAGAAAGTCATCAGCAAGGCAGTTAAGAAAAGTGATAGTGCGTGACAAAGGATAAGAAGAAGTTTTCCATCGTTTCATGAAATACGTATGTACTAATGTTATGGCTTCATGCAGCGAATCTAAAGAAGATGCGCCTTGAATTGAAGACAAAGGAATATCTACCAAAAAGCTAGCAACCCTATTTGCTATGTCCGATTGTGTACGTAAATTAGTGTTGTTCAAAAAAGAAGCAGTTGTATGAAACCGCTTAGCAAAATTCAACACTTCTAAGGTGTATTTAACCGGTAAACTCGTTAATTGTTTATATACTTCGTTATATGATAGACACAAGGAATGCCAAAACCTAATTTCCTGAGAGGCTGACCCTTGTTCTTTTGTTTGAGAAGTTTCCACAAGTTTGTTAATGCTATTAATCCAAGAATGTACAGTTACGTTTAGGGAATTCAGAAATTTTGGGTTTGAGAGAGTATCGGAAGATATGCACTGGACAGAGAGCTCCGTATTTCCGACCTGGGACTGGAGGATAACTTCCTTTATTACCGGGTGTATGTATAATATAACATGGGGAACTGAGCGATCTGTTTGAAGATTGGCCAGGGAGAGCTCAAGTTCAGTAAAAACTTTCTTCGTGTTGCTTAGTTGTAAATAGTAGTTTGGTAAAGTAGTTGTTGACTTTTCAGGTGTCTCTTTTGCAGAATTAACAAAAAATGGTTCTAAGACGTATTTCACGTAGCTATGAACGGTGTTTATGGAGGAGTTATAAGAGTTGTCATTATGGCGAGAGGATAAGGGCAAGTTAGCAAAGACCAGTTGCTTTTGTAATTGAGCAGTGACATCCACATATTTTGTTTGCTTTAAAAATACGAGAACAACGTCAGATTCTGACTTCACCGTATAATTATAATCAATATGAAAGGCCCAGTTGTCCACTTTAAGGTCAGGCAGATCAACTTGTGAGGTCGATGTGTTTAACACGCCAAATAAGTACAGATACATTTGCTCTGAATCTTGAAGAAAACAAGCAAAAGCATCCGTAAACTCCCAACATTTCGAAATCTCCGAACATGTTAATTCTTCATCTATTGAACATGTAATACTAATAGCTTGCTTCAAATAATTGAGTATATTATGGGCACCAGTTTTCCTAGTAGTTATGTCAAGGTTTGAGTTAGTAATGGACGTTCGTTCTAAAGGAATTGTCATAACAAAAATGAAAATACTAAAATTTTCAACAAAATGAAAGAGAATTAAAGGTATGCAAATAAAAACACCATTACTGAAAAAGAGCCACTTCACAAAACCGGAACGGATGGACAAAGAAACCAAAGACAAAGAAAGTCTAAACCAATGAATGTAACAACAATATAAGACGAAAGTCATTCATAATTCATACTTTTTTAAATAATGCTTGTTTCAAAGAAACAGTACAGTAAAGAAGGCAACAGATTGAAAGTATTAGCACTCAGGAACTATTTACATGGCATCGCACTTCCAATAGCAAACTCTGTTCAATTCCTTTTTCATCACAAGAACTAGCATCCTTTCCTTTCATGCTTCGTTTCACGTATACCATAAAAATTGTTTCTATAATATCGTTTGAAGGCGAAAATTAGACACAACAGCCTATAGTTCAACAGTTACAATAAAAAAGCTTTAAATTGAGCTTGCAGTAGTGTCCTCTACATGCTAATTTCAAAAAAACTGACAAATCCGAAAGGTCTAGAATTCACAATATTCTTGTTTTTACTAAAAATTATTCTCGTTTCATCTGTCCATCTGTCACAAAATGGCGTGTTTTTTTTATTTTTTTTTACTTCGATTCATTGGAAGAAAAGAGGTTAGGTAAGGATATATATTCTCAAGTCACTGTAGGATGGTACTTTGTCTTTCCAACTCGACCTAACAGAAGTGCTTGGTTGGATAAAAACTTCCAAAAATCATAAAAATTTTATATTAAATTTTAAAAAATTAAATATCTTTACTTAGGAATTAGATTCGTGTATTTCTTTCAATTCAAAATAGAGAATTGAAAATTTTTTGGAAGAAGCGCTTCTTTATTATTTATTTGAGGTTTTTAGGTTGGTTATAGACTGGATTTATATTCATATCTTACATATCTTTTTTTTTTCTTTTTTTTTCTTGTGAAGTTTTATACAATGGCAACTGAAGCAGCAGATCAAAGAGTGATCGATGAGCTGGAACGTGTACTCGTCAACAAGGATGGTAAAAGCGAGTTACCTTTCCGCTATCGTGCTTTGTTCAGCTTGAATCATTTATCTCAGAAAGGAGACAAACGCGCTATTGATGCAATTTATAACGCTTTCGGTGATGAGTCTGAATTGCTGAAACATGAAATGGCTTACGTTTTGGGACAGTCCGGTTTAGAATACGCCATAGATCCTTTGACAAAAATTGTCGAGGATCCTGGCCAGCAAGTTATGGTTCGTCATGAAGCTGCTGAAGCATTGGGTGCTCTTGGCTTTACTAAGAGTTTACCGGTTTTGGAAAAATACTATAAAAACGATCCTTTGGCACCTATTCGCGAAACTTGTGAGTTGGCTATTGCTCGCATTCAGTGGAAGAATGGTCTTGACAAGAACAACGAAAAGATTTCACCAAGTGTTTACGATAACATCGTAGATCCTGCTCCTCCAATGCCTGACACTGTTAAGGATGTGAATAAGGAAATAGAAAAGTTGAAATTAGAGTTGGTTGACCAAAGTCTCCCTTTGTTTCATCGTTACCGTGCCATGTTTCGTTTACGTAACATTGGTACCAAGGAAGCCATCGCTGCTTTAGTTGAAGGTTTTGAAGATCCTTCTGCTTTGTTTCGTCATGAGATTGCTTTCGTTTTCGGTCAAATGGTGGATCCTCATTCTGTTCCAGCTCTTATTGAAGTGTTGGAAAACACTCAAGAAGTGGACATGGTACGACACGAGGCTGCCGAGGCATTGGGTGGCATTGCTACCGAAGAATGTCTTCCTGTATTAGAAAAGTATTCGAAGGACAGTGTTCCTGTTGTCGCTGAATCCTGCGCTGTCGCCCTTGATATGATAAAGCATGAACAATCGGGTGAATTGGAATATGCTTACATTCCTAAAGTTTCTTCTTAAGATTTATTTCTTTGATTTCCAAAGAAAATTTTTTCAACTTGACAGGATAGGCTTCAAGACGATATTTGATTTGACCTACACTTGTGGTAGTCTTCTTTAGAGTTTTCCTTTTTTCGCTATACTTAATTTAATTTTTTGGTAAAGAAATAAAAAACTAACTATTTGAGTTGTATATCCTTCTATAGTAGTGTTTCATGAATTGCTCTAAATAGTTTAATTTAGAGTAATTCTCGGCCTTCTGCAAGAAGTAGAGAATGATAATGTAACTATAAAGCAATTGTTCAGTTATTTATTTCAATATTTTGCTATAACATATATTTTGCATAAGTCCGTATATCTTGGTGACCTTACTTACGAGCTAGAAAACACTTGGAAAACTCTTACTTCCTTGAGAACGAACCTGATCGTATTCCGTTTTTCAATTCATTAAAAATAAATTAATGAAATAAAAGGAAAGGAAGGATCTTTCCACGGGATCAGAAAAAACTAAAGGGACTTGGAGGTCTTGAATGCTTACTCGCTCTGAGCAAGCTAGTCTTTCGCTTTTCTCATGTCTAGGCAAGCTTTTAACCGTGTTTTCAAACCTCTCGTTCAGTATGTACCTCGAAATTTACAAGGAAAGTATACAAACCGATTGCCTTTAAGCAACTTGGCTAAGTTAAAGATCAGTCCTGAAGAAATGCAAATTATTAGGTCCACACGGAAGCTAGCGAGATCTAATTATATGACTTTTTATTGTATTCCAAGGGTTTGGTTATTTTCGTTCATTGAAGATCTAAATTCAAAACCGTTTCGGTATCCTACCCTGCATTATAGCACTAGCCCTATTCGTCTGTCCATTAGAGCTGGGAAAAAAGGAGTCCACAAAAGCGCTGTTATCCGTTCACAGAGTACACGACGGCTGAGGCAAGCTTTTATTGATGTTTTGGATGCTTTACATCACAGCGGACATCGTTGTCTTCCAGATGAACCCGTGGATGTAATTGTCGATACTTATAATGGTGGTACAAAAGATATATCTTATGAAAATCTGTTTTATGATGTACAACGCTCTTGGTTAACATGCCTCAATACCTATCATTGTCAGAAGCCTCCGAACATTGAAGCCCTTTATCATGATTGTGCGAACGTTGTAACGTTCGGTTTTGACAATATTTTTCTCTATAGAAAATGATTTATAGTATAAATAAAGATTAATTCGAAGTACATATACGCATATCGTTTGTCGAGATAATTAGACCCTGATGAATTTCATCAAATTTTTAATGTTCTTTAAAACCGTACTAATATTAACGCTTATAAACTACATAGGTTTATCATAATAGGAAGAAAGCCCTACAGCGTTATACATGTCCTTCTTCAATATTATATGATTCTTAAGAAAGAAAAAGCACAAAACAATTTTTGAAAAAATCCAAAAGAAAACTTAATAATATCACTAATATAATGTTTATGAACTGTTTCAAAACATTAAACAATACCTTCCTTAGGTTAAGGCCCAGCCGGTTGCAGTCTTTTCCTCACCACCAGCATCGGTTTTTTAGCAAAATGTCGACAGAGCTGAAATTTGCTTCTAAGTATTTAAATATTGCCGTTCAAGATAATGAACAAGCTCCTGTAAATGCTTTGTTTAAAGCTGCGTCTGAGAAAAAGCCAGAGTTGTTAGGATCTGGCGATTTTGAAAAAGCCCAAATTTTCGAATGGACAACCAAGGCTTTTTCATCAGTTAATTCTCAAGAACTTGTGGAGACTCTCAATGAATCTTTAGTAAATACTACTTTTATTACTCAAGATGCTGGTATCACACTCGCCGACCTTACTATGTACGTCCGTCTTCATTCCGTTATTTCTGGTCTATCTGCCAAGGAGGGTTATAAGTTAAATAACGTCGTCCGTTGGTTTGACTTCATTCAACACCAAGAGGATGTTATGGAAACTGCTAAGAGTATCGGTTTGGAGCTGGTCGCTGTGGACTTGAATGCCCCTAAGATTCAACGCCCTACTGTCGCTAAGAAGGACAAGAAAGAGGCCAAGGGTGAAGACAAGCAAAACAAGAAGGGAGAAAAGACAGCTCAAAAGTTATCTAGTGCTGAGATCGAGGCTGCTAAGAAGGAAAAACAAAAGAAAAAAGAAAAGACTGACAAGAAGGAGAAGAAGGATAAGCCTCCTAAGGAAGCTCCAAAGGTTGAGGCCCCTGTTCCTTCAATGATTGATCTTCGTGTCGGCTTCATTGAAAAGGCCGTCAAGCATCCTAATGCTGATAGCTTGTACGTTTCCACTATTCATTGTGGTGACGCTGAAGGCCCCCGTACCGTTTGCAGTGGTTTGGTTAAATATATTCCTTTGGAACAAATGCAACAACGTAAGGTTGTTGTAGTTGCCAATTTGAAGCCTGTTAATATGCGCAGTGTCAAATCCCAAGCTATGGTCCTCTGTGCTTCTTCACCTGATCATTCCGTCGTTGAGTTTGTGCTTCCCCCTGAAGGCGCTGAGGCTGGTGACCGTCTAGCTTTTGAAGGCTTTGACAACGCCGAACCTGAATCTCAGTTGAACCCCAAGCGTAAAGTCTGGGAAACTATTCAACCTGGCTTTTCTAGTGGTGAAGATCTAACTTGTACATTTAAGGATGATCAGGGACTTCACAGATTATTCGTTAAGGGTAAAAAGGAGCTTGGTTTCTGTAAAGCTCAAACTGTCGTTAACGGTACTTTGAGTTAAAGAAATTTTTTAGATTGTTTTGAAAGGATCTAGATCATTTGGTAATAAATATTTTGGCTTCACCTTCATTATTTTCAACTGTAAGAGTCTGTAAGACACAGTGTAGATTTTTATGGAGCTTTTTTGTATGGCTGCTATTGAAAAGAGCACTTATATTTTTAAATTAAAAATTTAATATAGAATTTGAAGTTATTCTCGCTTCATTCTAAAAGCTTCTTAAGAATATTCTCTAGTAGGCCTCTATCTGTTTACGTACAGCAAATCCATTTTAGACTGGTAAGGGACTCCATAATTCATCCACAACTATAACCAAATTACAAAAAACGGTTTGTCGTTTCTTCCAAAATTTTTAGTTTTATAAAAAATGATTTCGTTTGGTTCTTTCTCGTATATCGCAAGTTTATTGTATGTTGATTGATATTTCCAACTTTTTTTTGCTAACATGGGTTAGGCTCAATGGTGCGAACATGTTGATGCAAATATATTTCATAATTATGTTCAGTGTAAGTTTCTTATAGTTTTTCAATGTTATTTCGGTCATTTATTGACTTCTCTAAGGATTTGGAAATGGACTATATAAACCCAATTGACCTGTGTAACAAACTAAATCAATATATTATTCCCGAGATTTTAACACATACTGCCATGACGCTCCTCTTGTTACTGGCAGGGAAATGGATCTTGGTGCTCTTGAACATTCCGCTTGTTGTCTTTCATGTGAATCAAATCATTCATAAAACCCATGTTTTGGATGCCACTGAAATATTCCGTCAATTGGGCCGTCATAAAAGGGTTACTTTCACAAAGGCTCTTTTTGCTTTGGTCATGTTTTTTACTTTGCTTTACTGGTACGTGTAGAATTATGGGATGGACACTAAACATTAATGTATCTCAACACCCTGGATTTATTACTAACGTTGTTTTAGCATGGTAACTTCTCTTGTACAAGAGCAATAAAACATCTACAAACGCAAAAGAAGGAAAGGAAGAAAACGGTTTGATGCTTATTTAATAATCTCGGGTTTCTCGATGATTTTGCAACATGTATTATAATTGCAAGGATTTTCGGGTTCATAGACCTTTTAGTAGACTAATTATACCTTTACAATATAATTTGGTGAGACTTGATTCAGTCACTTATGAAGTATAAGATTGTAAGTTTTCCTGTAACTCCAGTATATCATCTTGGTCTAATTCTGGAATCTGTCGAGTGTTCATATACTTTCCAATTGATTGTAAGTGTGAACTTACCTTCTCGTTTGAAGAAGCTGAAATAACAGTTGTATCAATAATGGACAACTCATCTGGTGTAGTGTCTAGTGTCGGGAAGCCAAAATCGTTTATATTGATTATATCTTGGGTTAGTTCTGAAGACATCTTGTCTAATACTGCTTGTTGATTATTTGGGCCTCGCATGATCGTGCGTATCTTCGAAGAATTTGAAAGATCTACAGGCGTCTCATTAACGAATGAAACATTTTGATTTATTTGCCATTCATTTTTTTCATGAGATTTTGCTTTTAAATCGAGGGCAAGAATAGAACGGCCAGTGCTTGATTTAAAATAATATTCTACATCACTCATATGCATGTATGAAGCTCCGTTCAACCGTGTTGGCAATGTCAAAGATTCAAATGCCATGTTTGCAATCGAGCTAGCAAACCAGTAATCATGAGCTGAATTGAGACTTAATGGTGTATAAAGAGAAAGCACATCTTTAAGACTCGCTAGTGTTAGCGACTCATTTGCGTACATCTGTTTTTGCATATGATTCGGTAAAGGATTAACAGATGATCCCTCTGTATTTTTTACACCAAAAATCCATGTTGGTAAACCGGCATCCTGTAGTTCGTCTTCAATATATTGTAAATAACTTGTCATAAACCCGGACCAGCCAGTATTAACATCAACGACAAACTGGAATCCCTGTAATCCATCACATTCTTCAATAAGAGGGCGTAAAGTGTCGTCCCAAACATTTTGCTCATTATTATGCAAACGGAAGGCTTCCGCTCCGAGCTCAAATGATGACCCTTCAGAATTCAAGTCAGGATTATTTATAGGATGCAAAAACTTAGGATCAAATAATAACCTGTTAAAATCTGACCAATGCTTTATGGTGCCGTTTTGTATATTGGGTATGGAAGGCATTTCTTCAAGGTTCCTCAACTCATGAGGATCTTGAGAATTTAGCCATTCATCTTGTTTCCATAAGGCACTCTGATAAGGATGGATGTCAAGGGGTGCTTTATGTATTTTCTCAACTGAACCAGAAAACGAAGGAGTCGCTATATCCGACTCTCTCTCTTCGGCTAACCAAGGCTTTCGTACGAAACCAAACTCATCAGTGAAATCGTAGACGCATTCCCTTGGGACAGTTGCCAAGTGCTCACGATTGTGTTTTGTCAGCTGACGAAAGTTTGTATTTACAGAGACTTTCGAACTCTCTTTTTCGTCGTAAACAAAATAGGCTTCTTGTGTGTTCCAAAAATGTGTAAGTAAGAAATTACTCTTACTTCCAAAACTTAAGCTCAATATCTCGCGCATGTTTTATGCAAAAAGTTATAACTTCAGCTACTGCAAAGCAACTATCAACTTTTCTAGACAACTTTTAGCCTTTATTTATACAATTCTTATTTTGCTATTACCGAAGCTCGGTCCATAAAAGTCACATATAATTTTCCTCTATTACGAACTGGCTATAGGTTCACCACCAAGAAAGTAATAACTTATGAGGAATGAATAATTAAAAGAATTTGGTAATAAGAAAAGCAAATCCTTTACCTACATCAAATTCTAAGAATACTACTTTATTTTTGTTTAGTTAAGTCTCAAGATTTTGTGGAGTATACCACTTTTACTTGGCCACATAATTTGTATCGCGTAATGTGCATTTAATGCTTCATTTTCTATTTCATTCAGGTTCATCCTCTGGTATTAATTCTTCCTCAAAGGAGTCCTATGAACTTCTACATGGGTTAGAAAAACCCAGCCCGGAAATCAAAGATTTATCGTTTCGGTTTGTACTTGTACAAGATATTGGTGATAGGAAGAAAACAATACTATTTGATTCTAAATATTCTGACTATGAAGGCCACGAAACTCAGCTTAGGGATTCATCTCATGCGCCTTTGACCGACTTGATGTTCGGGGCTATTCCAATGTCTCAAAAAAATACCGTTACAAAATTACATGTTCTACAGTCTCCATCTTCTTCTTCTAAAGAATACATGTTGACTCAACTCTTTCAGATAAACTTGTGTGGACCGGTTGAAACTCCAGGGAATGATATAGGTGGAGAGGAAAATAGTTTCGACGAGCAAGGAGTAAACAAACATAAGTACCATGGTTTGGGTGCTTCTAATATTAAAAGCGAAAACTCAACGCAATGTGATGGTGAGACCGCGAGGCCTAGGTCGGATGACCAAATAGACGAAAGTCGTTCTGTACAATCAGAAAAGGACGAGAAGGGTACAAGAAAGGAATCTAAACTTTCACCGAAAAGAAAGAATAATGTAGCATCTACTTCTTCATCTTCGTTACTGCACGATCAAATGGAGAAGCTTTTAAGCATTCGGCCTTCTGTTAAAGAAAGACCTCGACCCTCACGTTTAACCTCCTATAGTCCTAGATCAAGCTCGCCTATTAGCGTTTCCCATTCGAGCGCTTCTGTTCCAGACACACTATCTAATAACAATCCTTTTTTAGGGACAAGGAAATTAAATGGTGCATCTTATCCTGTCAATAAAGAAACGGGTAATTTAATGGAGAATATGCGCCGTCGTCGAAAAAACAGGCCGCCTCCTATCAATCTTTCTACATCTAGTTTAAATGGAGCCGGCGGTACGTTATCACCATTCCTATTTACAGAAACTCGAACTCGGCCTTCAACGTACGCATTAGCCTTAATCATAACTGTGCCAATAACATATGAAATCACAGTTCATCCTCTTACTTTCTACTGGTCCTTATTTTCTAATGCCACAAAGTCTCTAAAAACCGATATAGACAATCATATTCGGGAGCTTCTATGCGTCTCGCTGTCCAATTCTTCGAACTGTAATGAAAACGCAATTCCTCTTATACAATCTACTTCTTCAAAAGTTGGTTTTGGTTCTTATTCACTTCAAAAAGATGCATTTACTATCACAAAAATTCAACAGTGTTTGCGAATTCTGAGAACTGGTATATCTGCACCATTGATACAACCTTCAGTATTCTCGAGTGATACTTGGATGGAGAATATTAAGATACTAGAGGGTTCTTGCAGAAATGAAAAACAAAAAATGTAAGTGCTTTAGTTTCTGGATTGAATTACTAACTTCTATACTTAGGTTCATTTCTGCATTACTTACCCTTGCTATGAAGATGAGCCGATTAAAGAAAACGGAGAAAACTCCATGCAAAATTATGATTCAGTCTTCCCGTGCTCCGATTGCTCGACGCTTTTTGTACATTCTAGCTCCCCTGCTACGTCCATCATTAGTTACTTCATCTACTGATATTTTGGATCCAAATTCACTTTTCCCTTCTTCAGGAATGCTCTCGTCACAAAGCATGCCGTTTACTCCAATTTATACTTCAAATAATACTGGAGATATCCTATCGTTAAATGTGCCTAATTCATCTCAAGCAATTGACATTCGATCTAGCAAATCATCAAACCATAGCACTAGTCACAAGTCGTCCTTACGCAACTATTTGGGTAGCTCTTGGAGGTTTAAATTTATGCGTAGTAGTTATCAGAGTTCTCCAACAGGGCCGGAGAGTTCAGGCGGAGTTTCGAGCTCTAGTTCAAGACAACGGCAACAGCAGCACTCCTTTGGAAGTTTTTCTCCATATTCTTCTGACTTCACTTTTGGTTCAGATTGTTATGGGGGTCTTGAATATATGGATAGCGTCAATGCCAATAAAGAAGCCCTGAAAGGATTGCCCAAAAGCAGACTAGTACCTAACGGAATGCTTCAGGTTGACCTACCCATGATCGACTCCAATTGTGATTCCACAAGAACACGCTTACCGAAATTGGGGCCCTCAGTATCACAGGCTGGGTTTTTGACTTATTTGCATCCTTGTTTTGATTTGCAAGCGGCGCCGCTGGACGCATACATCATTCCTAACAGGGAAGAGTTTTTCGCGAGTACTCTGACGAGTATGTTGGAAACTAATATGACGCCTAAAAAGGAGAATGATACCAGTTTATATTCAAGAATTGCTGTCGCGAACATTGACGAGTGTAATATACAATGTTATGAGCTCTGTGAATTTCCTGTTATGGATGACTGTTCTCCCCAAAACGCTGAAAGTTTTGCTCCAAAACTAAACTGCAATATATTCCGTGAAACAATCATGACTTCGTTCGATGTCAATCAGGGTTGCTTTTATTCTCTCAAACGTTCTTACGGTTTGTACGACTACGGTTATGTGGATGATGATTTTGTTAATATAGCCTTAGCTGGTAAATTAGAGAGTGTATTTGATTATATTAATAAGGAAGATGTTTAATGTTTATGATATTTCTTTAGTGGGACGTTTACTCCATTATAATGTATACACACTTTACATCATGTTCATTCCCTGATTCATCAATTCCATATTCAAGTGTTCATATAAAGGTGGGTCTTTAAGTATATTAAAGACACGTACCCAAACCGTACTGTTTATATATTCACTTGATCCGTCAGGGTATTGTTGAATATATAGTTATTTGTAAGCTCGGACGACATGACACTTTATTAGCTAAACAAATATAAGTTATTAACAAAGATCTAATATAAATGTACTACTCTTGCAGAATATATGGTTCTCTGAAAATAAGTTACAATGAGAATTCAGACGTATAAGCGAAAGCTTACAACTTGCGTAAGATATCCTTTACCAACAACTACGACTTGATATCCTAATTCCTGCATTATAGAAAATTTTAAAGGAGTTGTCTATTGAATATAGAAAAAAATAAAACGTAAGATGTCTTATAAACCAGCAGTCCCTGTTCCGGTGGAAGAGCAACCCATTTTGGAGAAACTCATTGGAATTCGTCAGAGGTTAGCTGTTTTGAAGCGGGATCGAACTCGATACATTGACAAAAATGATGTTTTTAATTTATACAATCAATTAGTGGAACAATGTAAGTTACTAGAAGCTGGGGGAATTCAAACAGACGGGTCGTGAGAAGTCATTGTGTACAGGTCATTAACAATTTTAGTGGAATTAATAGACAAGAGAAGGACGTCAGACAAAATTCGTAATATAGTCGATACTCAATTAGAGGACTGCCTGCATTTATTGTCGCTGTTCTATCTGGCAATTGGTCGGAACAATGATCTACCTGCATTCTTTGTGCAGCTAGGCACCGTAAGACGTTTGTTAGAATATAGTTTGGAAGGTGCTTGTTATACTCAAAATGATCTGAAGCCTTTGAAAGAGCGGCTTGAACGAATTCGGACTGCTATTTTGGAAGGTGCTCAGAAAGAAGAAGCTTCGCCTGTTGTGGTAAAATACCTAAAAAATAAGCTTGAACAATGTGACAAGAATTACAGCGAAGCTCAAAGCAACATTTCGAAGATTGCACCAGAACTTACAGCAGTTCAGACTCGGCTTGTGTCTATCCGTCGTCAAATTGATGGTTTCGCTGTGCGACCAACGAATGATGGAGATTTCATTGATCATTTGATGAAACAATTGAAGGAGATTGAAGAAATGAGAGACTCTGATGGAAAATTTGTTGACGATCAAGGCCAACCACTACAAGGACAAGAATTATGCAATGGGATTTTAGAAGAATGCTTTAGCTTTTTGGAAGATGCAAAATCAAAGCAAGGACTTTCAGACGAGATGAAAAGCAGTCCGAGATTTCAACAAATCTATTGTCGCCTTGATGAACTATTAAATAAATTAAAACATCTTACGTTAACACACCGATGGACGCTAAGAGAAACCGAGTATGTAAATTTATTTATTCTCTATGAAATTTATCTAACAATATGTTTAGTTTGTATGTTTATAGAGCTTCGTTGGCGGAAATTGATTCTATGCGAAGTGACGGCCAGTTCCTGGATGAAAATGGAAATGCACCCGCTGGTCAAAGAGTATGTTAAAAAATATATATTTTTTTATATATTATTAACACGATTTTAGATTTTGCTTTACTTATTAAGACGATGCTATGCCTATATATACCAACTGTTGTCTGCCAGTGAACCCGTTTCTGAGGAATTGATGACTGTTCACAACCAATTACGTACTGTGAAGCGTTGCTTACAAGAGGTACAAAGGAGTGGAGGAATTTACTCGGAAAGAGATCTGTATCCGTATCAGATGAAATTAGCTTCACTTGAGAAGCTTCGGGTGAATGGATACTTTTTGGCGTCAGATAATTCAATTCCAGAGGGTCAGGAATTAGTCAATTCTTTGTTAACCCAATGCCATCAACTTATTGAAGAAATCCGTGATGAAAAGCACCAGCATGACATTGAAGAAGATGAGGCAATTACCAGAACCAGTGAAAGCAGTTAGTATGGAGGCTTTATAATGATGCATTAGAATAATCTTTTCTTGTTTTTAGGGTTCTCTTTTGAAATGCGAGAGCTGAAAAAGAATACTTCAAAGTTATAATAGCTCATACTTTTTTTTATTTTCTTATATAAAAAATTTATTTATTTGGATGATCAACCGATTATAGAAAGTTACTAACAGTCTTAGTCGTCTGAGGAATTCAATATATTGTATTACTTCAAAAAAAATTCCTTTGTATATCTGCTTACGTCTGAAGTATATGATGCAGCAACCATTAGTAGAAACAGTCGCAAGGTGATACCCAAAGCTGTTATAGATTAAATTAAGTCTTTAGGCAATATCGAGTCTTCGGCATGGTCGCTTTTTTATATTACAGCTAGGATTATATAGGACGATGTTGCAGGAGAAAAGAATTGTCGCGAAGTACACTAACGAAAGGAGCGCACTTCCTGAAACGTTAGGTATTACAAATTGCATGTAGACAGTCGAAAAATGTTTACAACAGTGATATCTCTTGACTGTTTACAATAAGAAGCAAACGTCTGACAGATACAATGGACCCGCCGTTTCCATGACAGTCTTTTGCCAAATAGTACACAATGTCGAAAGAATACTTTTTTGATTTAATCGTTGTAATTCAATGAGGTTTAACGATGATTAGTTGTTCATTTCGCTTTAGTCGGTTTTCATGCGTCTGCCGTGAAAGAACTTACCTACTTTCCGTTCTTGGCTGTTTGGGAGATCATCGTTGGAAAAATATTATCTTTATGACTCTTTATCTCTCTTTTGTTACGGTATTTTTAACAAGGCATGCTTTTTGACAAAAATTGACCATTCCTATAAAATAGTCCGCAACAGCAAAAACAGCAACATTACTGAATTCGAAAAGTCTAAAAGCATTAGGTATCTGATGCTCTAAAAGATAGTAAAAATGAAAATCATCAAAAGCTCTTTCTGACGACTTTTTCGTTTCTTCCCCCATTGTTGATTTTAACTTTTCTAGTTCTCGGATTGTCTTCAATACCTCTCGTGTTTATCGATTGGAACAAGATGATGTCCTTCATATAAGGCAAGCCGATTTATCATTCATCAAACTTCCGTGACTCTATGGGAACCTTTAATAAAATCAACGAAATCACTGCGCAAAGCAGAACGGTAACCGACTCGCAAACATTGCTCATTAAATGTGGAAAAAGATAGGAACTTTATTATCCCCTCCAAACAGACTATTCATCTTTTTAAACACCAGCTTTCGTTGTAACCTAGTTGGATATTCACCCGAAAGCGACCATTATTAACGATATGGTAGTATTTCACAATGTATTTTCAGAGTTATTCACATATAGATGTATAAATACCGGAAATACCTGGACGTTCAAGAAATTGGTTATTTAAAACTATAATAATTATCGTCCTTTATGATTTTCGCAATCTTAGTGTTATTATTCCTTTGCTGAACCAGAAGCTCTCTAATTCACATGAAAGCAAAGTATGAAGTTCTATGTATGAACTGGTATTTAGTTAAGTGTTTTTGTAAAGGCAAGTATAATTTCGTAACTGTTTATAGTTGCGCAACGAAGGTGGGGAATATAGGACGCGTATGAATAGGACCTTCCGGGGGTTTCAGAACTTTCCCTTTACATCACACCAGAAACCACCAAAGGTTCCGTCTTTCACAAGAAGTAAGTATATTTGAATTTAATTAATCAGAAGAAAGAATAAAAATTGCATTTATTTAATTGTTAGTTGGTAAACAGGATGTACTGACCTTCGTTTAGCAAATACTTGATTTATAATGGCTCCTCCCGCGTACGCCGCTATCGACAAGCTCTGCAGCGATTTGTTGCAACGTGACTTTCCTATTGGAGCTACTCTCTTGAACGTTCGTACTACCGCTCCTAACGGTGTTGTCTTCAACGTCTCCGGTAACCAAGATGCCAAGGGCATCATCGCAGGCAAGTTGGAAACCAACTTCGCTGACAAGGCTAATGGCTTGACCATGTCTCAAGGTTGGACTACTGCCAACGTTTTAGAATCCAAGATTGGCCTTACCAACCAATTTGCTCAAGGTCTTCATGTCAATGTCAACACTACCTTCAGCCCTGCTACTGCCGACAAGACTGCTATTCTCAATTTGGAACACGAACACCCTTTGATCCGCAGTCATGCTGTCGTCAATGCTTTGGAACGCAAGTTCGTTGGTGATTTCACCGTTGGCCATGAAGGTTTCCTTGCTGGTGCTGAATTTGGTTATGATGTTCAAAAGGGAAGCGTTTCCAAGTATGCTGCTACTATTGGATACCAAGCTTCTCCTTTCTTGTTAGCTTTGAAGGCTTCCAACAACCTTAGCGCTTTCCGTGCTAGCTACTACCACCGTGTTAGTTCTCAAGCTGAAGCTGGTGGTAACGTCACTTGGGATGCCTCTTCTACTGCCAATGCCGTCACTTTAGAACTTGCCTCTAAGTACCAATTGGACAAGGATACTTTCGTCAAGAGCAAAATTAACAACGCCGGTATTGCTACTATGTCTTACTTCCAAAACATTCGCCAGGGTGTTACCGTTGGTCTTGGTCTTCAACTTGATACCCAACGCTTGGGTCAACCCGCTCACAAGGCTGGTCTTTCTCTTGCTTTCAATGCTTAATCCTAGTACTCATTACCAATCCAGTCTCCTACGATCTTTATGTGAAATACTTAACATTCCTTTTCAGATTAAAAACTGTTTGTTTTCAATGTAACTTGAAGAATGTTTTCACGAGATGGTCGTATTTTCATTTTCTATTTGAATTTCTTTCTTTACTCCCTTCTCTTATAAAATAGTAGGATAATTTGTATAAATTTCCCAATTTTTTCCAGTCTATCGATTTCGTTTCATAATGAGCGAACATATATAATAACGTAAATAAGTTCTTGTATGAGCCATCTACATCTACAGAGAAAATTGATACATTATCTTTTAAGCCTGTGGTTTGTCTTTAACATTTTTCGCTGCAAATGAACTCAGGCGTAGAAGGATATTACCATTGATACGTAAAAACAATTATGTGCAAAGATAATATTCCTAAACAACCCATTTACCTGATTATAAATAAAAAAAGGACATGTATATAGACAAAGAAACGACGACATCAACGACGCTCAACAAGTGATGAATTATAGAACAAGACCATCATCTTCGAAGACGCCATAATCGTCATCATTTATCTTCTTCTCTTTTCTCTTCCTCTTCTTGTTAGACTCATTCTTTTTGGATATCTAAAAAAGCTATTAGTTATTTTGTTCCTTTCTCAGTCGCATCCAAAGAAAAAGGGACTTACCATATCATGGACAGCTTTTTCGGCATCTTCAACTCGCATAGTTCTCTTTAAGTATTTGGAAACTTCTGCCTCTTTTTCTTCTTTCCTCCGTTTTTCTTCCAAAGCAATTTTTTTGGGTTCAAAAGCACGTTCCTTCTTTGCAAGTCGTTTCTGTTGGAAATATCCCTCTGTCTGTGATTTAGGATCTTTTTGAGATTGAATTAGCTTTTCTAAAGCGGATTGGGCTCTTGTTTTCGACATTGTTGGGTCGGAAGAAAAGGTAATGGTAGACTATAGTTTAGATCTGGTAGGAAACGATGGCAGCTTTCAAGAAGTCGAAACAAAATTAAAGTAACTTGAAAATTGAAAGGAGGAAGAAATTAAAGAAAAAGAGAAAAAAGAAACCTTTGGAAAAGAAGGAAGATATATAATAACAAAAGAATAGAGAAAGGAGTAAAGGAACTCCACGGTTTGGAATCAACAAGAGAGTGAAAATACTGATAAGTAGGTCGTTTTCCAAAAGTAATAAAAATGAAAAGTTCATCGTAATTATTCAAATTAAGGGGGGAGGGCATAATGATAATCATAAAAAGGTCATGAGTGTTAGATCTGTTTAATTAAAGAATGAAGGCATTAAGTACACTGCTCATAAGAGGGGATGATTGTTTAACAATAGAGATAATTTAAACAAAGTGATTTGGTTTCAAAGTTTGTTTTTTTAAGTGTTGAGGTTGAGACTTCTTGCTTCGAAAACGGCGTTTAAGATACACTTCACAGCGAGCAGGATTTTTTTTCATGGAATGTTGGTTATAATAGATTTCAGATTGAATCTTTTTTTGTCTCCAACAAGAGACTAATTGTACCATGGCCTGTACTGCTAGACAATCTCTTTCGTCCAAATCCGGGTGAAGTTGAAAAGCAAGTTTCATGTACGTTTGAGGGACGAAGCTTTGCATGATAGTAACAAATTTTATTAAAAAAGAGATATTTCCTTTGGATTTCTCAATAGCTGAAGAGATGGGAGAAGAATGGTTTTGTTTACATCCATTGCCAGGTATAAACAAACGAAATCACAGTGCATATAAGAAAAGAGCATACATTGAAGACAGCCTTATTGATTCTTTTTTAGAACTTTATGTTCTGTTTATGTATTATTTCCTGGCTTTATGCTGACTTTGCTTTTTTTGCTGTTTTTGTTTATAGGGTCTGACTGTAAACAAACGTCAGGACGCGAAATGCGACGTCCATGTCTTTACTAAATGACAATGCAGTTCCCATTTAAGTGAAAGAAGAAACTTATTTTTCCTTTTAATGTAATATTACTACCAAGTTTATATCATCTCGTCGCATAGGCGTTTTCGACAAAATTGACTCGGGATCTCTTGCAAAGCATGCTCAAGGTGCAATGAAACAAAGTGCTTAGATTCAGTATTATAAAGCAGGATTTAACTACCATAAAAAAAGAATATAAATCAATCATTATGCGTATTGTCTATTGTTAATTAATAAATTGAATGGCTCACCATGATTTGCAAGATAGATTATAGATGGCTTTTCGTTTACTACTCATTAAAGAAATCATATTGTTTACTTTTTCTAATCAATCCAGACTTGCCAAAATTCAAATAGAATAGTTTGCTACTACGAGTTTATAAACCCAAGAAACCTTTATAGGTATATAGATATACGCACAAACATAAGCCATAGGACAAAAGTAGCATAATATTGCTCTTTAAACTTAATGTTCCCATGCTAATTGTTTATGCTCGTCTTAAAACAGCCAGATTGGTTTCTTTAAAGGTTCCGTCTGTGACATGTATGAAATTAATTAGATTCTCTCTCTTCGTAATATTCCAAACATAAACATAAATTTTAAACGGAAATGGTTGCTTTTCAGCCACAGAATAAGCCAGTGTAATATTTTTAAGTAGTAGTCTCATAAATTCACTTAGCTGATATAAGAGTTACCGAAATCCATCGCTCGGTGAAAGTCTGTTCTTTCCAGTTGTGATTCCCTTAATTTATTGTTTATACCGCTAATACGGTATTCGTTCAGAGAAACTTTCTATGCTACCATGAAATCCTTGATACCAAGGAGACATGTCTAGCAAAGGTCCATTGATCAAAAGACCTTTCACGTTTGCTACGATAGCCCGAGGGTTCAAATTCGGAATTCAGACAGAGAACTATTCCCGGATCCTCCTGCGCTGTTTACAATTACCATCGGTAACATTTGAACGTAATGATCCGACTCACTCAATTCATTAGTAGACCTCCGGTAATTGATTAAAGAATCGTCTTGTGCTCGGAAAGAAATCCTCTAGAGGCAATAGAAAAGTCCAGATTAATTAATCTAAATCTGCATCGCATAGTGCATATTTGCCTCCTGGAAAGCGAATTTCAATATCTAAAACAGCTAACAAAATATTGATACTGTTGCCTTCAACAAAACGTTGACCGATGCCTATAATTGGAAACAAGGAAGGTTTATAACAATGCCCTTTTAAGCCATTCCGTAAGTTACATAGCTCCAATGTAATCTACTTTTGGGGGAGTAGTCGTATTTCTTCTTTAAACAGCAACGAAATCTTTCGTTGATCGGGATTAAAACCGTCTACAATGGAGCGAATGAAGCGAAAGTTATCCCTTTTATCTAAATAAATGAGCGATGGAATCGTCAAATACAACTGAAAATGATGATGAACAATGTACTTCCCTTTTCTTGATCAGTGTCCTACTGAACTTACGAATATCATTGAGATAAAAATTCGGTTTTACGTAAATAATGAACAAACCGCGACTAAATATTAAGGAGAACTGGGAAGAACGATGTAAATCGTAGTCCTATTTATCATTTCATTCTTGAATTGCTGTTCTTCAGTTGTTCCTGGGATAGTGAAATTATATACACAGGACAGTATTGAACGTTTATCCAAAATGCCTTGTCAACAGTAGTTGTACAAAATAGTAAAAACCTACAGCATCCCGGATTCCCATGTTGTCTCCAACCATAGTACTAACGAGACCCTCAGACGCTTAACTGCAGTGATCGGACGGGAACTGGTGTTTTCGCCTAGGTGTGGCCGTAGACATTCGAAATGTGTAACTAAAGGTATTTGTATTTGTAGTGGGTATTCATCATCTTAGATTTTACAAAGTTGATAGAGGATGGTTTTGATACTTAAAAGATTAAAGCACACTGTTTTTCTCTTTTCTAGCTATTCACATTGTGCTAAATTGTCGCTGAGGTATGAGACCGAATGTCTGAACTTATAGCAGTTGACGAAGCTGTAGTTTGAGAAGTAAATTATTAAACTACATTAGTTGAAACGGCTAATCTGAATATGTCCAGCTTTGAATTAGAAATCGGTTGATTATTTTGCAAGATTATCGCCATAACAATTAAATAATCATTAAAAAGGTTGCTTTAACAAGGATGTTCGTCAGAAAGAAAACGAACGATTCATAAATAACACTATTGCGAGACGAATTCTTAGATTCATAAAAGAGTGAACGTGAAAAGCAATCCAACCTGCCGAATGAAGCTGTGCTTACTTTTGTGGACAAGAATGCAGAAACTCGAGGGATTGCAATTGATATGAATGCTTCCAAGGAAAATGTGATTCATAGGAGGGATGGAAAAGATTCGTTAAAACTCAAACTTCAGCGCTTTGCCCAGCAAAAGGTTGAAGCTCGATTTCCTCGTTACGAGGTGCTTCATTTTCTGGATCTGTCGGTCCTAATTAGGTTAGTCAGATGCTAAGAAAAGAAAAAAGTTATAATAAAGAGTACATACGAACATAATTCGCAGCATTTCTTATGCCGTTTCCCATGCCGTTTCCCATGCCATTTCCTAAATCAGCAATGAATATTCGAAGTTGTCGCGTATCCGTCGTACCTAGAACAGTTAGAATATTTCGCAGGTTATAAGACATACTCCAAAATAAAACAAACACGGCAACGTTAACAATGCAAACAAAATAGAAAAACCCTTTGTCCATCTTTTCAAATCCTATTACCTTCTTTACAAAATAATACACGGAATAACAAGGGACATTCAGAGAGGCCGTACATAATACTGCGGCACACATGTTGGACAGCACTCTACCAATTTGCTTGAACCATTCTTTAGGAATTTGAGAAATTGCTAATAGTTAGTAAAAATAAAACATAGCGCTAACTTACAATAGAGAAATACTACAATGGACGCTGGACAGGTAACCGAAAGTCCCCAAAAGGTTTCCGTCCTCACAGGAATCTTGAAATAAAAAAACACCACGAGAAAAATAGAATAAGTTACAACATACACAAGAGACGCAAAAAAAAAGAAGATATTCGCTGAAACCCACTTTGAATATGTCGAATTCGACCCAGTAATGTTAGTGGACTCTTGGGCAGAATGCTGAGTGGATCCATCAGCCATTTCTAAATCAATAAATTTGTTCGGAGCTAATGAATGTATTAGTGATGAATGCTTTTGTTGCTTGAGAAAGGATGGAGCGTTTGTCGGGTTTGTTTACAAGGAATTGCAGACATTTATGGATATTGAAGCAATCGACATTCGTTTGTTCCTTTCTATTTCAACAAACCTTACCTGAGTACGGAGGAGGCGTACCAGTACCATCTAAAGATCTAGCGTCTGACTTTTCATCATTGAGCGTTTTAAAAGACTCGTCAGAGTCTGAAACAGGGCTGTATTTATTCTTCATTTTTGCAATGGCAAACCAAAAACCAAAAGAACACCAATACTTATAGCTAGTTCGAAATTAACTAGAATTACCAAGAAAAGTCTGTAGAAATCGGTTCCACCTTTCAGAGATTAAAAAAAAAAAGGAATTGTTCCTTATTTCTAAAGAAAATCAATGTTTTGAATAAACTCTGTCTAAAACCAAAGATAGTACCGAAAAAAAATCTTGGTAATGGCTTTTCGCATGTTTCAGTTTCGTAAAACAGCGACATTATGTCACCGACTGGTCACATCCTCGCTACGATTATTCGAGTTTCGTTATATACCGTACTTTTTCGAAATACTATAATTCAAACGAGCCTTTATTATAAAAAGTAAACAAAGAATCTTCCAACAAAAATATACGAATTGTATACTTTAAACAATATATAAATGAAATAGGAATTAAATATAAATTTATTGAAAGACGCACTGACTTGGCTTTATGAATTTGAGGGAAAAATTCAGCAATAAGAGTTTGAGACTCTACATTCTCGTATTTACTTTCAGCATTCGTAAACATTTATTCTTTTGAAACAACGTGCTCTTAAAGATTCTCGAAGAAATCTGTCTATATAGGCGTTTTAAACACAGTGGAAGTTGATGTAGATGGAAAGAAAATCCTTGGGAACTGGTGTTTTCTCCTAGGTGTGGCCGCAGACAACCATAATGATAACTAAAGTTATGTATTGATGAAGGATAATGGATTGACAAAAAAAGCCTTGTACGGCATTAAAAGGAAATCCTTTAAATCGTCAAAAAAATAACTAAAAAAGAAGTTGTCTTTGTTTTTTTAATAATTAAAAACTTACTTAAACATGGTTTGATGAACCTTGAAACGAAGTTTCATACAACAAGTTCTGATCGACTCACAGAAAAGGTGCTTACAAATTGTAATTAAGAGACCAGCATTTATTTTCTCACTTTATAAACATTATTAATTTATTAAACTATTTCGTTCATTCATCAATTCAGAACCAGTTTGAAACGAAGATATGTGTATTGCTGTCGGCGCGTCTAGCTTAACTAGAAAGCAATTAACGAACATATTTTATGGCTCCCTATCGTGAATAACAAAAAGGAGCAATTTGACTAGACAGAAAACGGGAGCTTATTTTGTTTTAAAGACTGAAAACGTTTCTAGTTGTATATTTTATAATAAATAAAACGTTTCTTTTCTTTTTCTTGTTTTTTTTATGCTCATGAAGTAGAGTGCAAAGTAACCCAGTAAGCATAACTATTTCAGTTTCCTCCACCCGATGCTACACCACCAAAAGCGGTTAAGACGTTATAACGAAATCGTTATTTGGACGTTCCTACTGCTTACCCATATATAAAAAGGATTCCAAAAAAAAAAAAAGAAAAAGAAACCGGGATTCTTCTTCCTTGGTGTTTTTATTTATTTATGTCTGTTTCATCTGATACATCGGGATCAGTCCCTGGTTCACCAATTGAATTAGAACCCGAGCCAGAAACGATTTGTCGTTGGCAAGGATGCGATCAAGACTTATATACGCTTGACAATTTAGTCCATCATATTCACAATGGTAAGGAGATTTAGGAGTTGCTTGGTGTGGAAACCAAAGCTCTGGGGTCAGGAACTTTTGTCCACTAACTTTTAAACATATTAGGTCATATTGGGAATCGTCGACCAAAATATACTTGTGAATGGGATGATTGTCCTAGAAAAGGACTAGTGCAGACATCAAGGTTCGCGTTGATAGCTCACTTACGATCGCATACGGGAGAAAAGCCATTTATTTGCTCCATTCCCGAGTGTGATCGTTCTTTTACGCGATCGGATGCTTTAGCAAAGCATATGCGAACTGTTCATGAAGCTGATACACTGCGTCCATCGGATCCAATACCAAAAGCGCACCCCATGCATCCTCAAAATGTTGCCAATGCCATGGTACAAAGTGCAAGAGAGGCTAGAGCACAGCAGCAGCAACAACAAGGTACAGGGATCCCAAACGAATATATGGAAAACTGGTTGGATGCCGCTACTATGCCAAAGAGTCCACATGATATGTATCACTTACAAAAGCTCAAACTCCAGTGGGTGAAGGAGGAACGTTTAATGTTGATGAAGCATTTAGAGAATCTAAATATTAAGTCAGAACAAGCTCGCAATGAAAAAGAAAAGGCGCTTGATAAACTAGTACAATACGTGGATCCTTCTATCCGCAGGTAATAGAAATTGTGCTGTAGAAAGAAGAAAGAAGAAAAAAAAAAGAAAAAGAAAAAGAACGAAAAGGGACAGGACAAACCGAAAGTTGCTGGTTCCTTTGAATTAATAGAAATCGTTAGACATCTTTTGCACGAGCGATACATCTACTGAACTGTCCGTATGTTTTTTTCTTCTTCTTTTTGAACAATTTCTAATAAAGGTCCTGGCTCCCTATCACACTTGATGAAGAACATGCCAGTTCTCCAGGAAGGGATTTCATATTCATGTATAGACGAATAGTATATTTGTTCCACCCAATTTGACTCTTGCTCCATCTGAATTCATGTTTTGGTGCTTATAAAACATAAAGGTTCTTTGAAATCTTGCAATCAAGTGAAAATAAAAAGGAACAACTTGTATCAATCATTTCCTTTACTGTACGAAAAACGCATCTGTCTTAACAATAGTACCATGCCACCGCTTGAAGAATGACTATTATAACAACTATTTTAGAATGAAAAAAAAAAAAGCATACTTATTTCTATATAGTCTATGAAAGGAAACATGTAGCTATAGTACTTTGTCTTGCAAGAAAAAAAAAAAAAAAAAAGTCTTGGACATCATCACCTTGTATTTCGAGCTTTTCTTGTTCTTTTATTCATTACACAACAACAAAATTGAAATATTCTCAGCATGATTTATGACTTTCTAGCCCGTTTTCTTTTCACCATCATTTCTTTTAAAATTGTAAATATAAACAAACCAAATAAACAAAAGAAAACAAAAAAAAAATAAACTAAAATTATCTCTTATCACCTTATCAATCTCTTTCCGTCTTATGTTATCAGCGACTTTTCCTTTCCATCTTTACCCCTCAGCTATGTACCACGTAAAGTGACGGATATATAATGGCCATACCTCCTAATATGAAGTTACCGTTTTCCTACTAAGAAACGGTCGCATAACTCACTAGACTTTTTATTTGCATAGAAAAAATGGCTTTAGTCACGGAAAAAGGTGTTAATGTTTCAGATGAAGGGTAAGAGCATGCTTTGAAAAGATCGTACTGTTTACACAGAATTACTGTTGTTCTTGGAAGCCAATGGGGTGATGAAGGTAAAGGCAAGCTTGTCGATATTCTCTGCGACAGCGTAGACGTCTGTGCTCGTTGCCAGGTATGTGTGCTTTTTGTTTGAAGGCGAAGGAAGCAGGGGATACAGAAGAAGAAAAAGGAAGCCATTTCAGCCCGTACGGGTCCTAAATGGCTGGACAGAAGGTGTATGCCGAGTTCACTGAATAGCAGTATCATGTCGCTTGGTGTCGTGCCGTGTCATGTCACATGCAACAGGGAAATGTGTATGTTTGTCTCCTTTGGATGGATGCTTTAGCGGGAGAACATTTGCCGGTAGAACAGTTGAAGTCTCATTTGTTTTAGTTTTCGTTTTCGCTGCCTTCAAGGATTGTATGGCTGCATTTGTCTCTTTTCGAGAGGAATTCCATGCATGACCCAGTGGATTTATAATCTAGAGCTAGAGCACATGGAACCAGCCGTGCTTCCTTTATTTTTCTATTTGTTGACCTACCCTTCTATCTCTCATAGAACATTCGTTCCAAGCTAACTTTTACTTTCAGGGCGGTAACAATGCCGGTCATACCATCAAAGTCAACGACAAAACTTATGACTTCCATATTCTTCCTTCTGGACTTGTCAACCCCAAATGTGTAAACTTAATTGGCACTGGTGTCGTCGTATATCTACCTGCCTTCTTTAGCGAACTGGAAAACTTATCGAGTAAGGGTCTCGATTGCTCGAATCGTATCTTTATTTCTGATCGCGCTCAACTTGTTTTTGACTTCCATCAACGTGCAGATGTCTTGAACGAAGCCGAATTAGGGAAGCAAAGTATCGGTACCACTGGAAAAGGTATCGGTCCTTCTTATTCCACAAAGGCTTCTCGTAGTGGTATCCGTGTTCACCACTTGTATCGTTGGGACGAGTTTGAAGCTCGTTACCGCAAAAACGTCTCTGATTTGCAGAAACGATATGGTGCGTTCGAGTATGATGTTGAAGCAGAGTTAGTCAGATATAAGGATTTGGCTGAAAAGCTTAAGCCTTACGTAGTTGACTCTGTCGTCTTTATGCACGATGCTTTGAAGCAAAAGAAACGAATCTTGGTTGAAGGTGCCAACGCCTTGATGCTTGACTTGGATTTCGGTACTTATCCATTCGTAACTAGCTCCAACACTACCATTGGTGGTGTCTGCACTGGTCTTGGTGTCCCTCCACAACGCATCGCTAGCTCCATCGGTGTAACGAAAGCCTATACCACCCGTGTTGGTGCTGGTTCTTTCCCCACTGAGCAGCTAAACGAAATCGGAGAGCATTTGCAAACTGTTGGCCGTGAATATGGTGTTACCACCGGTCGTAAGCGTCGCTGCGGTTGGTTAGATTTGGTAGTTGTCAAGTATTCGTCCATGATCAACGGCTACACCTCTTTGAATTTGACAAAACTCGATATCTTGGATGCTTTCCCCGAAGTCAAGGTTGCTGTTGCCTACATTATTGACGGAAAACGTTATGAAACATTCCCTGCCGACTTGAGTTCTCTTGAGAATGCTGAAATTGTTTATGAGACTTTACCTGGTTGGCAAACATCTACAGTTGGTATTACCCGTTGGGAGCAAATGCCTGAAAATGCAAAGAAATACATTCAATTCATTGAAGATTTTGTTGGCGTTCCTATCGGCTTTATTGGCGTTGGCCCTGGTAGAAACGAAATGCTCATCAAAGAGTAAATTTTGGATCCATTTACATCTGCATCCGTTTTCTCATATGACTAGACGTTTTGGTACCGATTGAGAAATCAATCGTGCATGGATGCTTGCAATATCTGGTTTACCACAGAAATGAACAATCGGATTTTCACCGGTTAGAAAAACAAGGATTTCATTGTAAAATTTTGGAAACTAAATGCCACTAATGAAATTATGATAATTCAATTTTTCACTATACTTGCTTGGTATCTTTCATGTATATTTCGAAAAGTATGGATTTTCTTTCTTTCTTTTCTTTTCCTGTTTACCAGGACCTAGTAACAGATTCAAACTTTTTTTATTGTTTGTTTGTCTACAACTTGGTGAAATTTATCTTAATGAATATTCGGGCATAGACAGGCAGATAGATTTGTATTGTAATGACAAAAGTTTGGAAGCAGAATAAACTAGCCAGACCATCCATTAGACATAGCATAGCATAACATAGCAAACTAGTATATTAGATTTGTAATTTTTGGAAATTTGTGTTTACTTTCTTTTGCGAATATAAACGCACTGTAGTACATACAAAGATATATAAAGAGTTACTCATATTTTTAATAGTAAGAAGTACTTTTTTAAAACGATAGCATCTCAATTTAAGACAGTTAACTCCTCTTTCAGAAAATATTATTTCCGTAAATTAATCCTAGAATGATTGTGTTCAAATAAAGAGAGGAGGAGGCTAAAGAAACATAATACTAATTAAAAACAGTCAATGTCATAAGCATAATGAAGCAGAAGGTACTTCAATCAAGGATATCAGTATCAAGATAAACAATACGACTGGTCTTGAAACCGTTAAAACAACTAGCGGCAGCTACGGTATAGGCACCAGCGTTGTCGAAATAAATCCAGTCACCAACATTTAGTTCATAGGGTAAGCGCGCGTCAGAAGCAATAGCATCCAACGAATCACATGTAGGTCCCCATATGGAGCAATGGTGGTTACCAGTGCTCAAATGAGTATTGTAAAGATATTGACTTCCTTTTTTTAGTACTCTAGCAACGGGATGCTGGTGATCAAACAAGATGCAATTCAAGCTTCCATAAACACCATCGTTGACATAATACATAACCTTTTCTTCATCAGCGAGTTTACGCTTAGCAATCACATTCACGGCCAACGTAAAGGCGTTAGCAACAAAAAATCGACCGGGTTCAGAGATGATTCGAACGGATGGTTCAAAGTAGGTATCTAAAGCGGGTCGCACTAAATCGGCAACTGCGTCAAAGGTTTCGCTGGAAAAGCCACCGCCAATATCGAGGAGATCAAAGTTAAAGCCTCGATCGAGACCTTGATCGAAAACAAATCGCGACCGGCGAATGGCGTCCAAGAACGCCGATGAGTCATAGCTACCGGAGCCTACATGAAAACTGACACCTACAACATTCAAATCCAACGACTTGGCCAAATCAAGTAGAGAACCAGTGTCCTCCAGAGAAGCACCAAATTTCAAACTTAAGCGGCAAAGACTTCCTGAATCATCAGTAGAAATACGAAGCAATAAACGAGCATTTGGATGATGCTGTTTAACCTTGTAAAGTTCATCGGCGTTGTCAAAAGTCATCAAATCAATGCCCTTTGAAGCCGAGTAACGTATGTAAGTAATCGCTTTACAAGGATTAGCATATACGATTTTTTCCGAAGGAACGCCCATGTTTAATACTTGCTCGATTTCCCCCTTGGAAGCGCAGTCAAAGCCAGTACCGAACTTATTCAATAACGCTAACACGTGAGGATCAGGATTACACTTCACAGCGTAAAATGGTTGAACTCTCGGAAGCTTTGTGTGCCAACGAACGAGTTGACGGTAAACGGCATGCAAGTCTGCTACAAAAAAAGCATCAGCATCAAGAGGTTCTCCCTGAGCATGAGATGTCTGCTCAAGTTCAGTGATCATCCGTTTGAACGCCTCATCAACCGCCTGACGAGAATGGTCAGACGAAGACCACGTTGACACAGAATTGATTGCATTAACGTGGCCAAGTAATTCCGTCGTACGCAACGACTCACTAGTGAAAAGGTTCTTCTCAGTAATAGCAGGCATGCTGGATCACTACTGTTTATATGTATTCACTTGAACAAAGAATAACGTTCCGTTTCTTGATATGCACAGATAGCAAATGCTCTATTTTTTCAAGTAGAACACCTTTTTATCCTTAGAATTGAGAAACCTTTAGGTACCGAGTTTCAAAAACCTTTGTGAACCAAATCAAATCAATTTTTTCAGGCTACAAATTTTTACTTCGCCTAAATACCTTGATCTGTAATCGGATAACGCAGACGTGAAATGAAAAATACTTTTGGTGAATGCGTATTCAAATAACTTTGATTTATCCGCTTAGCTGGCCCCAATTCTCCTTTTTTTATTTATTTCAGCCTAGCTCAATTGGTAAAGGGTAGCTTCTATAAGCAACCTATTGTCGTTTAGGTCAGGGTTGAGCGACTGATAAAAATATATTTACCGATAGGATTATAAATATTAAATTTGATAGGTGTATATAATATCATATTATATGATCTTAAGGTATCATTATATGTTGTATATATCATCGAAAGACATGGTTTTGTACGATTTTATTCTGTGAGTGCTGCTATTTTCAACATAAGTCTTGTTTTCTTTTATTTAATTTGTACATTATATTAGGAGTGGTTTTTTTTTTCTAGAACATTCATCAAATAAATAAACTGTCAGAAGAGAGTTTTTTTATTTTCGTGAAGTATGTTGCGACAAGTCCGGAAATATTTTCGTTGGTTTCGTTAAAGGTTTCAAAATTTACTAAACAAATCGTTTGAATTCTCTGTACAAAGTTTCTCTTAAAAAGATACAAGACAAAGACAAAAGAAAAAAAATAAAATCTCTATATTGCGTAGTTGGAAGGCTTGTTATATTGCCAAGTATGTAGTGAAGGACTTTTCGATTTTCAATAGTTACTCAGTTAATGAAGGCCATATATTAAGGAATTCATACATATTTCACTGAAGAGAAGAACACGTTGCTTATTCAGTAGAGCAGATAGCAAGACATGCGTACTGGCAAAAAAGGTAAAAATCAAGGGGATAAGCGAACCAGTTGGTAGTCGCTATCCAAATTTTCCCTGCGGAATGAAAAGCGATCATGTAGACGATATTGCCCACCTTGCCAAAACTCGATTTCTAAAGGTACAATGCGAATACCGCCCCAAAACTTGGGAGCAGGTACTAAAACGGATTCGTCTTCGCCAAACTTTTCTTTGTATGATTGAACACGTTCTTCTAACTCTTTACGATCCTGGATCACAGTGCTCTGGGGAGAAGCCCATGCTCCAATTCGAGATACGCGAGGTCGAGTTTGGAAGTACTCCTCTGTTTCTTCACGAGTAAGATGTTCGACAATTCCCTCGATCCGCACTTGTCGTTGCAAAGACTCCCACCAAAATGATAAGGAGGCATAGGGGTTTGTTTCCCAGTCTTGTGCCTTCTTTGAAGTTTCAAGGTTGGTAAAAATAATGAATCCTCTATGGTCCAATTCTTTCAACAATACCAAACGGGAAGATACTCTTCCGGAAGGAAGGCGTGCCGAAGATAAAGTAGTGCTTTCTGGTGATTGAATAGCAGAGTCTTTGCTAGCTTCTTGGAACCAGTCATTAAACAGGAGTAACGGATCCTTACCCTCCAAGTCCTCTTTATGAAGACTTGCTTTAGTGTATTGGTAGCGATTTGGCGCAAAAATTAGCTTTTCTTTTGTAGGATCTGTAGCTGACATTTTGTTTGAACAGTTCGTGACAAAGTGTCGAATGCTGGGTAAACCGAGTCGCATCATCGTATGTAACCTTGTAGTCCACTGAACATTTAGAGAAGTATATGGAAGAAAAGTTGATGCAACAAATGTTCGTTTTCAAAAAAGAAGCTTATTCTTTTTCTTTTCTTTTGTTTCTTCTTAGCTGCGAAAACGTACTTGCTGCCTCACAAAAATAGAGAAAAAAAATAGAAACCTTTACATCATAATGCAGTTTTTGAGTATACATTACTTTAGAAATATAATTATTTATTTTTATTCACATACGTTAGTTGGTTCACCTGCTGATGTCCCTATTTAAAACACAAACGAAGAAACTTGGGATTTTCGCAAGGAAAAAAGGATCAAAATCCCGTTAAAACAAACTATTTTTCCATAGAATAAATAAACAAAGACTTGCTCTATTTTCTGAATATAAATCGATATCCATCTACTTAGTTTTAGCCCGTAAGAAAAGCAAATGGTGAATCGTTTTTTCATTGACAGGATCTATGAGAATGAAATGAAGTCTTCATTAGATATCTAATTAAATAACTATGCTCATAATAGAAAGCAAGATTTTGAGCGGCTGTACATGTATGAAAGCCTTATGGGAGTATATTCATATCATCCACGAACTTCCTTTGGAGCATACGCCTCAACAAGGACGTTGTATACATTAAGCAACCACATTCGATTATGAAAAATAGAAAATAGAAAATGTCAATTCTTGAGCTATCCTACCTTTTTCGTTGCCTGACACGACTCCAATATTAATGAGTTGTATATTTACTTCTACAAGTAACAATCTCTTAATGTTTTTGTTATAACTATATATTAGTGGTAATATTACTAATATTGGGGGTTTCTTGTACTTTCAATGTCGCATTTTTTCTGCATTCATTTTTCTTGGGTTTAAGCCTTAAATAAGAAAATTATTCTCTTCTATTAGCTTTTATTTAGTAAATAACATCATCCGAAACCACTCTAAAGCTTTTTCAATAAACAATTCGTACAGCAGCTGTCTGAGTAAAATGATATTCATGGTAGTAGCGATGATGTAGGTTTGTAGCTTTAACCTGCTTTTGAATACAATTCTCCTAGTTGGTAGAAATTTACACTCATAAAAGAACAAGAAAGGTATCACTTCATCGAAGGCATCAATGGTTTCGAAAGTATTAAAGAAGCCCCCACCGACCTATCCAAACTCGTCTTCCTTACAGTTAAAGGGACCATTAGCACTCATTGCTCTGACTGCCAAGAAAATATCCTTTGTAAAAACAAAAGAAAAATTAGATTTCAAGTATTTTAGTTTAAAAGTCAAGTTATAGTCCTCTTGTTTGAGAGGAATTAAACTAGCTGTTCACACTCCTTGACATCCATGTTACTTACAATTCTCATGGTATTAGTCTAACAAGGATCCATCCAATAATCACTACAAAATCTCATACAACCTCGCCGTAACGATATCGAGTTGTTAGGACTCGACTCTTACGAAATATACATACAGGGGGCGGCCTTCATATTATAAAAAGCATTAGAAAATGCCGCCAGTGAGAAGGCAGGCAATTACCATTGCAGAAAAAAAGGCCATACGAAATTTTTACAGTGGATTTGAGAGTAAACCGGGACAAAAAGCAATAAAAGAATGGTTCGAAGATAAGTTTCAAAAAAACATCTCACAAGCTACAATATCGACGGTACTGTCATCGAAATATGATTACTTGGATCATAATGAGATTGTCAATGAAGGAGCAGTTAAGTTGCGGCCAGCAAAATATCCAGTGTTAGAGAATGCGTTAGCTGAATGGCGGCTACGAATGGAAAAACAAAATGTGTCTGTCAGCAGTGAATCTATACGGCATGCAGCGATGGAACTTTGGAAGAAAATACCAATCTATCAAAATCAACCACCTCCTGCTTTTAGTAATGGCTGGCTAGAAAAGTTCAAAAAGCGACATTCCTTCCTAAGTCAAAAAGAAATTTACACCACTACTTCTTCGCAGTTATCACCGCAAGAAGGACCGCCTCCAATTCATTTTCAGCAAATATCCCACAATCCTTTAGACTCTACTGAATCCTCTCATATACAAAATCCTCTCTCTCTACCCAATCCCCCCCCTATTCTTGATGACGCTGGATCTCAACCGGTCAGCGATGTAGTACGCATTCACGAGCTGAAAAACCGTTATGCAGTTCGCGACATCTACAACATGGATGAAATATCCTTCTTTTGGAAACTCACACCTAAACGCAATATTGGGAAAAATAATGTCGCAGGTGTTGAACGAAACAAAGCTTTTGTTACTGTAACGATTTGCTGTAATGCGGATGGAACTGAGCGTTTACCTTTATGGATCATTGGATATTCCAAAAACCCAAGAGCTTTCAAAAATGCCAAAGTTCCTCCTCATAATCTAAACATAATATGGAGACATAATGGTATAGCCACCATGAACGTCCCAATTATGGAAGAATGGCTTCGATGGTTTGATTCTCAAATGGAAGGTAGAAGTGTACTGTTATTACTGGATTCTTCTAGCGTCCATCAGTTAAGTATAGAAAACATTCGAAAATCCAATTTTCCTCTAAATAATGTATTAGTCGTTCTATTGCCTCCGAATATGACAAGCATATCGAATCCTTGCGAGCAAGGTATCAACAAGACTTTTAAGGCTCATTACCGTCGGTCTTGGATTTACGACATTCTTCTGAAAACGGAAAAAGACATTAATCCTTTGCATTCTATAAACATATTACAAGCTGTTCGCTGGATGGTCGACATATGGGATTATCAAATAGAACCTGCTACTATTGCAGGATATTTTCGTCGCTCAGGTGTGCTGGGTCCGTTATTAGAGGCTGAACCAGAACCTTCTGAAACTTCACGGATAGTTTCTCAATTGCAGCAGACTGTTTCTAGATTTGATCCCCAAAAATCTGCTGACATTGAAAATTTTATCGATCCTCCTGAAGAACTAAGAGAAAACCGAGACGGGCAGTTGGTCAACCAGATTGCAGCTCAATTTCTTCCTGATCGAGACTACGAAACCGACGAAGACGAAATTATCGAGCCAGCCGTTTCACTTAAAGACGCATCAAAAGCATTAGATGTGATTTTGAAGTTTGAACAGCAACAAGATTTTGGTGATCTGAATTTTATAAGAACACTAAATCTGTACAAAAAGTCCCATAATATAAAACTCGAACAGTCCTCAAAAATGGAATTCATTAACACCCTTTTCTAATAATCATTCCGTTTAGTCTTTCTTTAATCCTATGTTGTTCATATATTCTTAAACATACTTGTATGACTAATTTCTCGTCTTCGATTTTACAAATCTCCTATGCATGGATTTCGTATAATGTAAATAGAAGGGAAAGTTGATATGCCTATTTTTTTTTTCATATCTAAAAATCTATAAAGTCTAAAAGTCTAAAAGGGAGTCTAAGTGTGAATAATTAAATAGATAAACAGAGCTTTCGCGTGCTTAAACAATAAAGAGTATACATCAACAAAACAAAAAGAAAGAAAAAAACCAATGATAAATAACAATCCCGGATATCAGAATTAAAAATGTCTATGCCATCTGACTGCATGGCGTCAAATCTCTCTCACTTGAGACGGATTGCAAATAAGGCTTGTAGCTATTTGTTCTTCGCTTAGGTTTCTGTAACATATAATTGTTCACAAGAGAGGAAATTCTATTTACAACAGGAGCTGGATAACGCTTACGCTTTAGCTGCTCAACAATTTCAACAGCTTCTTCTGCGTTGTTTACGCTCAGATATGCACGAACCATATTCTCATAGGTACTAGGTTCTTTACCCGACATGCCATCACAGTCCAAAAGATCAAAATAGTATCTGGCTTTACTAATCATGCCTACTTTCGTAAAACCCTTAATCAGAGCATTTACAATGTAAGCATTCAAAGAAACACCATATTTTTTCATGTCGGAAACGATCTGAACTCTTTCAATGATACGATCATTCGCAATTAAAGATTCTATTTGAGACTGGAAAAGGTTGGCATCCAAACGAATCTCCCCAGCTTCGTGTTTTGCAAGCGCAATAAGATAGCACTTGTTAGCAGCTTGAACATCAGACATCACAATACCAAGTATATGGATGTAGGCTGCATAGTGCATTGGAAGAACCTTTACACCAGTTTGCTCCATAAGCTCTAATATAGCTTCAACTGATGTTACATCAACAGGTTCAAGCATACCATATGCATCCATGAGCAATTTGTATGTATGAGGGGAAGGCTGTATTTCAGTTGAGCACAATCGATTGTAATAGTATAATGCCTTCTCTCTGTTATACATAGTTTGTACTTCAAACTGGATCATGGTATTATAAGGTGCTACACGAGGTTGATAGTTGGACTGGTTTTCCATTTCACAGAACAACTTTTCGGCTAAAGCTTCATCACCTATTCGACAAGCAGCATTTATGACTGTTCCGTAAGTTACGCTAGTAGGAAGAAGTCCAAATTCTTTCATTTCTTGGAAAAGCTTCCAGCATTCGGTGGTACGGCGAGCACGACCTAGTTTGGATAAAACAGCATTGTAAAGAAAAACAGAAGGCTTTACGTTATGACGTTTAGTTTCCTCAAAAATCTTCAAAGCGGTTGTAGCATCATCGGTATCTCCACGTTTCGTGGAGTTGTTGATCAGATGTGCAAAAGTAGATGCTCGAGGAATATAACCTATGGATTTCATTTGGTCACAGTACAAAGTTGAACCCTTAAAGTCACGGGAAAAAGAGGATGATAACACCATTGAGTCCAATACTAAAGCCATGAACCAATTGGCCTTCTCGGAAGATGAAGCACGTATCTTTCGATAAAACAATTTTGCATGTTCGAATACGCGATGAACAGCTCCGAATTGCTTGTGTTTACTCAAGGCTGAAATCAAAGAGGGATAAGCTTCAGGGTGTAAAAATTTGTCATTTTCAATTAGTTTTCCAAATTGGAAAAACAACAAGTTGGCATCAATCCGTTCGGATGCAGTACCCGATATCATCTTTGACACATTGGAATTGACTTCATGATCAATGAAGTGGAAGTGATCAAAGAAATAGCAAACTTGGGAAATGTCTGCCAAAATTTTTCGACCTTTATTATCGGTGGAAAACCCGATGACGGCTTCAGAGACGATATTATCACGTACGAGCTCAACCAAGCGCTCATCATCTCTCAAATAAGAGAAAGATCGAAGCAAGATATGAACATTCTTGAATGTGGCAGGATATTTTTTACCGGAGAATACTCGTAATAAATCCTTCAAGTCACGCTTGCTAGAAAGAGATCCTTCAGTTTGGACGACATTAAAAGCTGCATACTCAAGAAGATATCCAAATGCCCGAGGTGAAAATGAGTTTAGATCCAGGGTAGACTTGTTGATGCTCTGCACTGCTGTATGAAGTAAAGGAGCAATAAACTCAACCTGAGGAAAATTAACTTGACTTTCCAAGATATATAGCAATTGAAGCAAAACCTCAGAATCATTTTGAAGTGACTTTGGTAAAACATCCCAAAAACCATTCAAGATTGACAATTGTAAAGCTGCTGTATTCACAGAAGGAATGTTACTAGGAGTCGCGGCTCTTGGTTCTACATGCTTTTTAAGTAAGCGTAAAGCAAGACTAACATGTCCATTATCAATAAATGCTTTGTAAATAGTAGAAAAGTTGAAATTTGTATATAACGAAACCGAATTGATTACAGGGTAGACATGTAATCTCAAAATTTCAATATTATTGGTGGAAACCAATAATTGCAGATATTGCAGAAGTACCTTGTGTTCTTCCATAAATGCAGCAAGCGTAAATTTTCGAACAAAAGCTATTGAAAACTCTACATCCTTTGCTTTACAAGCCGCTTCCAAGATGGAAGAAAGGATGGAAGAATCCTTCTGATAGGTATCGATTTTAACCAAGGCTAAATCAAGCCAGTAGGCAGCCTCTTTATAATCACCTAATTGCGATAGTCTGTTAAGAAAACAATTGACAACAGTGCAAGGGATTGTTTGTTCATGAGCCGTATATTTAAAGAAAGACTCCATGAGTTGAATTGCTTGGCCTGAGTGATTTGTCTCGAAATACGACTCCATAAGGGCTTCCCAGGAATCGACATTCGTATTATCCGAATTACTAGTGGGATCAGACAACTTGTAAGTCTGTAAAAGCTGGAAGCAAACTTCTAGCCTCTTTGCTTTTCCGAATGCACGGATGAGAGCTGGAAGTAATTTTGGATGGCTGTCAGCTTGAATGGACTCGAAAGGAATGTTTTCGAGTAAAGATTTCAACTGGCTAGAAGTTCCGTAACGAGCAATGGAGTCAATGAAATAGGCATAGAAAGAACTGGAGTAAGAGATGCCGTGGTTTATCAAGCTCGAAGTGTACATGAAAACAGCAGTCTGTAAGGGCATCTCAGAGCGTAAGTCCGACAGCTCAGTTTGTAAATCTTTAACGATATGAGGTTGGGCCAAAGAGGTACGACTAACGAGAAACTTGGTTCGATCTTCGATGACTTTTGCACGTCGACACAAAGCAGTGATAACCGTTTCGAAAGTTTTAGCGTCAGGAACAAAAAAGCAATTCAGCATGTCTACATAAACTCGAACAACTTTTTGCATATTCTTCGAGGAAGTAATATAATAATCATTATTAGCCATGCATTCAAGGATAGTATTGTATGCATGTAGGTTGAGAACCCCAGGTGAATCACAAGCAATCTTGTAAAGTTCAAAGGTGTGTATAGAGAGATCACTGTGAGCGAGACGCTGCAAGAAAGAAACGAAATTTTCTGAAGACGAAAAGGAGCTGGGAGGTAGAGAAACAAAGGAAGACTCTAAAGAAGGAGGGCAGGATTGATCTAAAGAAGGACTAGTCAGGGCAGACGGCGTCTCTAGAGAAAGAGGGGAGGTAGATGAAGAAAGTTCATTAGGGGTATTGAATAATTCCTCAGGCGTTAGAGGTTCAGATGCATTAGGAAGCGAAGTGGGAAGAAGAGAAAGGTGAGAAATACCATTGGCATCAAAATATTTAGAATGGTTTTGAGAAGATATAGTCTGTTTTGGATCAGAGAGAGGAGGATCACGGATGCTAATTGGGAATCCACGTTCAAAGGACAACATATCTTCCTCGGAAACGTAATAGTATTCAGGAAGGTTTTGTTTAGAAGAGGAAGAGGTAGAAAGATTTGCTTGAGCTTGCTGCTGTTGGATCCAATTTGTCATATTAGATAATTTTAATGGAGGACGATGAACAGCAACATTTTTGCCCAAGGTTTGTCGAGCAATATTTTGTAAAAACCAAGCCTTTGTATACACCATATTGACAAACAACGAAAGAGAAGGGTAGTTGTTGTTACAAACCAAACGAAACAAAGAAGAACAGAGATAAAAATACAACAAAAAAGGAAATGGAAACTGAACAGAGTAAAAAGGAAGAAAATAAAACAAAAACACTGAGAAAGGATTCAAGAGACAAGAAATCCAGAAAACCAAAACAGGGTCAAAGAATCACCAAAAAAAAAGGAAAACAAGAATAAGTGAGAAGAGAGAAAGGGTAGAAGAATAGGAATAGAATAAGAAAAGAAAAAGGACAACAAACAAAATAAATAAGCTATATCAAAAGAGGAGCAAAGCAATCTATCCAAGGAAAACGACGAAATGGCAATAGAGAACGAACGATTGCAAACAGGATAGAAGGCAAGACAAGAAGTATGTAAATTGTATTCGTAAAACAAACTCGTCCAGTAGCCTGAGAAGATGGAATAGCTAAACAAGAGAATCGAAAAAATAGAAGGGAACCTTTTTCGAAGCTTTTAAGAGCAAAGCAAAAAGAAAAAGGAATAAAGAAGAATGTAAAAGAAAAACAAAAAACAGGAAAAGATCAACGACTCCTAGTTATTCTATTCGAAAGAGAAGGGAATAGGAAGGTTTAAGAAAACAACAACGACAACACCGAACACAATAGAAAGACAAAAACGACAGTGTTGAAGTGAATTTAAAGGAAAAAGAAAAGTAAAACAAAACAAAACAAAACAAAAGAATGAAACTGAAAATCAAACCACCCAAAGATAAATCAAACGATCAAAACAAAGCCGATGGAATTACAATTCAATCAAATCAACAACGATGAACAATCGGTCCAAACGTTTGTCAGCGCAATAAAGAGGCAACAATAAAAAAAAAAAAGAAGGTAAAAAAAATATCAAAATCAAAAGGAAGAAAAGAGCAATGTCTTTCTATAGGAAATCCACCAAAACAAAAAAGGGAAATCAGATCAAATATCTAATAAAATCGCTTTAATCCTTTATTTACAAGTTATGCGTAGAAAATAGAGAATAGGAAAAGCAACGAAAGGAAATGTGATATTTATAATTGTGTACGTGTATATTGACAACACAAAACAAACCAAAGCAAGTCTAAAAATCTTTCAAAAATCGAATTTGAAAATGACTTTTCAGATTTCTTGCTTTTTTTTTTCTCTTTGAGAAAACAAACAAAACAAAAAACAAAAGAATTCCTTTTTTCTTTTGTTTATTTTGATTGTTGTAATAAATGCGAATGAAATTTCGTGAAGAAAAAGGTCTAAAGTTACGAGAAATGCTTCTCGAATCAAAGTGAGCTGTGAACTCAATGGTGGTCAGTGTGTGGTGGAAGGAGCGTTCGAATTGGTCGTTGATATAAATTAAAAACCCGAGTCTTCTCCAGGGATGATGAGCTTTTTTTTTTACCGAACATATGACATGATCGAAAAATATGACATCATTCTATTCGGTAGATCTGAAGTGTTGTATGTTAGCACGGGATAGAGGGAGGTAAAGCGTAGTAATAAAGATTTGACTTATTATATAAACGAGTGATGTGTTGTTATATTTGGTTGAAGGTTGAGGCGAGAAGGAGAGGAAAGAGGAGGAAGAAGGAGAATATTTTTTTCTTTTAAAATTTGAAATTCTCTTCCCAAAAATTCTATTATCAATACCTAACGTTAGGACTTTTCATCGTTTTCTGAAACAATAACGTACTAAGTAAGGATCCTTGAATGATATTTCAAGAGTCAGTTCAAGGGAGAGTAGAGAACAGTGCTTTTTTTTTTATTTTTTTAATTATATTTATTTTAAATTTGTTTGTTCTTTCAACCTTTTGAACGGTTGATTCCCTTCGATCAGATCGGTTGTCTGTTTGTTTGTACCGTACTGAATTCATCATCATATTACGAAATTTTCTTCCAGGGAATGTTTGACGATATCCTTGTATGAAACCCCCGTTAATACGATGAAAACAAAGAATTTGGTTTGTTTACACATTTTTAGCTCTTGAATACCAAGGATAGATAGATTTGCCCGATGGAAATAGAAAACAGAATATAAAAGAAAAACTAAAAAAAAAATTAATTTGATAGGAATTATAGCAAAGGAACGAAGCCTTTATAAGAGTTTGTTCACTGGCTTCTTCATCGAGAACAACAGGAAAAAAAACCAATCGCCAAGTCCCAAAAGACGTGATTTCTAAATAAAAAAAAAGAAAATAAATTTATTTTTATTAAGTTTGTTTTATTTCATTATTTATTTTTCTTTACGCTCTCTCCTTTGCTTTTCTTCCATTCCAACTCTTCTTTGTTTATTTACTACTACTCTTTTTATGCTTCCTGGAATGGCTTTGTTAAGAATATCCCCCACATAGTACCAGAACCCACATATATAAAATCAACAAACGTAAATATTCCTTACACAAAGTTGTTCTTTGCCCTTGGCAGATTTATTTGTCAATTCGTTGCAAATGATCGCTTTTTGGAGTCTTTTTCTATTCTTTTCGGTCTCTTTGGCCAATTCCTTCGATTTCGCTTGGAAGGTATGTTTGTTTTTCTTCCCAACTCTTCTTCATCCATCAATCTCCAAAGTTCCTTTGTCTCCGATTAGAGTTGTTGTTGTTGTTTTCTTCAATATTATATACTAATCTTTTTTTTTTCTCTTTTTAGTCATGTCCCAATTTCAAAGACTTTTCTACTAGAAAACACTTTCCCCTTGCCGGTTCCCTAAAGCTTCCTTTCCAGCGTCCTGTACAAGCCTGCCGCACATTTCATTCCAAGGAAGTTGAACAAACCATCGACGATGTAAAGAGTCGTCTTGCTGATGAGGATCTCGCTCGTCTCTTTGAAAATTGCATGCCAAACACCCTGGACACCACCATTCGTTGGCATGAAGACCATCCAGATCACCCACAAACATTAGTCATTACCGGTGACATTCCTGCTGAATGGATCCGTGATTCCGCAAATCAACTTGCCCCTTACCTTCCACTCGTAAAGTCCGACCGTCCTCTTTCCAGCCTTATATTGGGTGCCATTCAAACACAAGCTGAAATGCTCATCCAGTTTCCCTACTGTAATGCCTTTCAGCCTCCCAAACAAAGTCATATCGGTGGAAACGACAATGGTCAAAGCGACCGCGTCACTCCAGCATACGATCCCCAGGTGGTGTTTGAATGTAAGTACGAACTTGATTCCCTTGCTGCATTCCTTAAACTTTCTTATAATTATTGGTTCTATAGCAAGGACTCTTCTATCTTCTCACCGAAATGGGTCTCTACCGTACAGGTAATTTTCCGGGTGTTGGAAGAACAATCCACCTCTACCTTTGATCCAGATACCGGATTTCCCAAAAATCCCGTCTACACATTCCTTCGTCAAACTGATTCCGGAACCGAAACTCTTGGTCTTTCTGGCCGCGGTTTTCCTCTCAACAAAAATTCTTCTCTCATTCGAACTGCTTTTCGTCCTTCAGATGATACAAGCATCCTTCAATATCTTATACCTGCGAACGCCATGATGGTTGTGGAGCTTTCCCATCTTCACGAGATGCTGCAAGTTGCTGGCCACGCCGATTTAGCGAAAATTGCCATGTCTTGGGCAAACAAAATCTCAAACGGAATCCGCGAACATGGTATTGTTGATCATCCCAAATTTGGAAAAGTATATGCTTACGAAGTTGATGGTTACGGAAGTGCTATTTTCATGGATGATGCCAACATCCCTTCTTTACTTTCTTTGCCTTATCTCGGTTATGTCGAGCGCGACGATCCCATTTACTTGAATACAAGGAAGATGGTCTTGAGTCCAGAGGGTAATCCATATTACCTAAAAGGTACTGTCATTGCCGGCATCGGCGGTCCCCATATTGGTTTACGCAACGTCTGGCCTATGAGCCTTATTGTCCAAGCTCTCACATCTGATGACGATAATGAAATTCTCTCTTTATTACAAACAATTAAGCGTTCTACTAATAACCTTGGTTTAATGCACGAGTCTGTCGATGTCACTTCTTTTGCGCGTTATACAAGATCCTGGTTTTCTTGGGCAAATTCTCTATACTCTGAACTTATTATAGATTTACTAGAGAGAAAGCCTCATTTACTGGAGAAAAAACACTAATTAATGAACAAAACTCGTATACATGTTTTTTTTTACCATGCTTAATCTAAAGGTAGTTTGCTATGAAGATAATTGATTTACGTTTATTTTTTACAAAGACAACAATAATGATCATACTGAGTTCTTTTCATTTTATTTTTTTTGATACTTTAGTTCCTCAGATTGATTGAAAGCGATGTGTCTGTAGTTAATGACACAGAACTATCCTCTTCTCCATTACAATTAAATGGAAGAAAACAAGTGAATTAGTTAAAATAAATGCTATAATTAATCATTCTCGCTGGCCGCAAAAACATATATCTTCAACTGCCCATCATGCCATTCGTTATTATTCGTACATTCTACATCCCAACAATGCAAAATTCTAAATAAGTATTTACAATGAACCACATATAACGGAAGATTAGATTCTTTTTCTACGCGTACTCCATTTGCTTCTGTTTTATGAGACTGTCTATTAAGTGCACCCAGAACCAAAATAAATTCCCGTTAGAGACATATCCTAAAAAATGAAGAAACCCATTATCCATATTGAAAATAAAACTGAAGGTAAAACAGAAGATAATGTTTCCCTAATGCCTTGCTTTATTGATTTTGATGGCCCAGCTCCAGTTTCTGAGTTTTTTCACGACAAAATTTCGAAAAAGGATGATTCCACGAATACTGACTTGGTATATTTTCGAGGTAGAGAGCTAAATGGAAAAACACTAAAACTGCCAGATGGTTATATGGGTGAATGTGTCCATCTTCCATTACCGGGAAGCGTAGATCAATCTCTCACTGGTAATGGACAAGACAACATTGAGGATGAAGCAAGTGTTTCTGAAGAGCATTGTCAAACATCATCAACATTTTCTCAATTCAGAATTTGGGACCGCGATGTATCTACATCAATCGAACAAAACCAATGGTACAAAGGTATCGTTGAGTGGACTCAGTTTGCATCCAAAGTAAGTTATTTTTATTTTTACTATGTTAAAAAGCTAACCGTTCTCCTCAGATTGCTTATACGGAATAAAAACCTAGGAATATACCAGTTTTCAAGGATCCCAAACACATTTCCTTCCTCCTCTCTTTTTCATTTCACATCTCTTTATAAATAAATTTGTTTTCTTTCTTTTAAAATCTTTATTTAAGCTATTTAGACTTTTACTTATAACCAAGACTTTAATAAATTCACTTTTATTAGCATATGCTTATATGCTAATATGCTTATAGTATGTTGGTATAGTAATTTTGAATATGCTTTTACGACTTATCTTTGTGGTAAACAATTGTTGTTCCAACAGGTCACACACGTCCATTTTACTTTCATTTAACCAAACGTTTTCAATATTAGTATTGTCAGCAAACAAAACTACGTGAAATCAATACCCTACGCTTCATGTTAGATCGATATCCTTTTTAACTTTGAATCTCTGATTTGAAAACATTTTGTCCTTCTTTTGTTCGTATTGTCTCTTCACTAGGAAAATATTCTTTTGTCATTCTTTCTTTTTGTCGCTCTTTTTTGCCTTTTTGTTTCTTTTTTTGTATTTGAATCCTTCTTTTTATTTTTTTTTGTTAGTTTTTCCCTTCAAACTTCTGTCATTGTTTATGGTTTAGGGACTTTGTCAATTTCCTTTGTAGAGGTAAAGTACATATTATTATCATTTTCTTTCTTTTTTGAATGTTCCCTGAAAATTCCCCTGAAGATGGTGTGTCTTTGATTCGTAAGAAGAGCAGTTTTTGGAAAAGACTGAGTCAAGACTTTGGACCTGAAAAGCCAAGGAGATCAAGACATGTGCCAAGTTATTCAATTTCCGACTTTCCCAGCGATTTACACCCAACACGAGTTGCTCCAGAGCCTCCTAAAGGAAGGTTTACCCAATATGCCCGTCGGTTCAGTAATCGTGTAAAAAACCTATTTTCCAAAAAAAATCCACCCTCCGGACATTCAAGTCCTTCTTCTAATACTTTTTTTCAAAACAATAATCATCATCGACTTCCTGTACAAACAGAGATTGTACCATCGCCAACTGATTTGGATTGGAATTACCAAGTTCATACATCTAATAGACCGACTATGGAGAGAACATATACAAGGGGGCATTTTCCAAGAAAGAAGTCCTTTCATATTGGTCGTTCTCGTTCTTTGAACATTCGACCTGATTCTACCTCTATTTCTTTCCCGCTACATCTGTATAAAGAAGAGAGCAATCCGAGGTCAGCTCTACCGAGCCGGACTTCAGCAAGTTCCACCTTTTCCTCCATGCCTAGTGCGTCCTTGGACAATGAGTCACTTCAATTTCCTCCAATAGAGTATCTACACACATTACCCAATCGAAAAACGGAGGGCTACGTGTCTATTTTAAATCGAAGAAGTGTTCCTACTTCCCCTGCGTCTTTAAATTTTGGTGAATGGGACACAACTCCTCTTGCTAACATTCAGGAAAGGTCTACAGACTGATGCCTCAAAGGTAGCCTGAGTGTTGGTTTGACTTGGGTATTCTAAACGAAATTGACCGTTCTATTGTTTCTATAATCTTTAACATAAAAATTCAAAATCTATTCATAAAGTTGGATATGAACCTAAGCTTTCTCTTTGGACTTAAATTTTGTTGGGTAGTATACATTGGACCGATTCCTTGTTACGATACCCGTGTCAGCGCATAGAATATGGTGTACTATTATTTTTATTCTTAAGAGAAACGTGATACTTTCATTTTATTCTGAGTATTACATTGTGTTTTACTGATAATATGAGATATTTATGAACAGGTTTTCATTAATTGCCGTTGAATGTGAGATCTGCAGGTTTCTAATATTACCGTTCTAAATTGCGAAGTTACCTTTTAAGAGGCAGTATGAATGATTGCACATATATGAGCTGAAATGAACCCTACGTGGTTTTTCATAAGATTGAAAATTCATTCATAAGTTTTGGATATCTCGCTGCTAATGTTTATTGAAAGACCTTACAGGAAGCTGTAAGGTTTCTATTGTTTTATTTATGCCCCGTCAGAAAAATTACTGGAAATAGTTATTTAATTTCCAAGGAAATATTCTTGCACTAAACACCTGGTTTCATTTTGCGGGTAGCAAAATAGTTTTACGGTAGCCAGGATCAATAGAATTCCAAAGCGCTTGGTTACAATTCCCTTCTATACCATGAGAATGGAGGAATAATCATGGATAGACGTTCTTGAATCGTCAAAATGTACATAATGGTTCCTAAAAACACTCCTTTACTAATTGTCGGCGGACTCTTTTAATTTTAATAATTTTCGTCGACCTGATTAATGGTTACGCTTTTCTTTGCAGCTAAAAGTAATTCTACGTCTAATCTCTGCAATGAATTGGCATCAATCATTTAATCTTATATTTTTATAGACGGCTATTTTTTTTTAGAAAAATCAGCTTTAATTCATTTTATTAACACTCGTATGCTTGTTAACTCAGATGTCAATCCATCTAAAATTCATAATAACACTGTAGTTCAGTTAATTCATACAAATCGTAAGAAACGTTAATCATTAAGGATTTATAGCAAATTGAGGAACACGGATAGACTGCTTTTCTGCTTGCTTTCTACACCAGCTCTCAAAATTGACCAAGGCGAGCAGCCGAGATTCGTTTGGCAAGCCCTGGGATTTGAGCATCGCCAAGTTTGCCAAATTGGCTACACGTTCACGCTGAGAAGGGTCTAGCGCGTTCTTTAACGCTGGAGTATAAGAACTAGGCGAAAAACAAAGCAAAGACATGGTTATCTCTAATGAACTGAGGAATGCAGGATTTAAAGGAGCAATTGGAGCCAAGTTTTCAGTAGCAAAAGCCAAGCACTTCTCGATCGTATCATCTGAAGCATCATCTCGACTCATTGCCTCGCGAATAAGTTCAATCAATTTTAGGCGCAAAAGCTCAAAAAGAAGCTCAGTATTCTTGTCCAAAATCTTAAAGTATTAGTTAGGAGAAAATTACTCGTAAGCGGTGGCATACCTCTGGATCTAACTCATTAAGTTGGTACATTGCCGAATTGATGGATCCTTGTCGGATTAATTCACACACTTCCATACGTTCTCGAATACTTCCTGGAATAAAGTAATCTTCAATTCCGGCCTCGGATGCAAAAGTACGAGCACCCTGTTCATTTCCCTGAATAATCAAATAGTCTAGCACCAACAAGTTAATGTCCCTAAAGTAAAAGAAAATGTTAGAACTCTCTAAGCATGAATAACTTACGACGTGTTTAGTCGAATGTTACGACAACGGGCTTCCCATGCTTCAGAGTTTGGTAAAGAGCCATCGCTCATGAAAATATCAGCTGAAGATGACCCAGATTCTCCCATTGTTGAGTATATCTTTCTAGATATCAATAGTCACTCACTTAACACTATTGTAGAATGTCGAGTATTCTGTGATTTCGAGATCGATTGATGGAAATACAGTAATAAGCCTGAAGTAGGTGGTCAACTCCAAGTTTTCTTTTGTATCTGTAATTTCCAAGAATCACTAAAAATATAAAATAATTTAATTCTTTAGTACCTTGCTTTTCTTCTTTTGTCTCACAACCAGGCACAACTCAGTAGTGTAATCTCTTCACAAAAGGATTATGTATTTCGTTGGAAATAGTGTATAAGAAACGAAAAGCAAGAGATAGGTGATTAGGCTGCGAATTGCTTCTGTTGAGGATTTTTTTTGCTTTTTGTTTTTTCTTTTTTTTCTTCTTGAAGTAGATAATCCTTATTTTACAGAGCTCAAAAGGATTGTAATCTCGTTGAAACGAATATCTGTCGTAAATTTTGAGGCTCCATAACAAAACCACCAAAAGCAAGAAAATATTCAAATATGAACGGAATTGGTTTCATTACCTTGGGATTTTAATTTTGTAAATAATCATAACTGTATTTTAATAATAAATAGGTAACGAATTCTTTACTACTTGGACTTTATTTGGATAAACATAGACCGTGTTTAAACCTTTTTGCAAACCGATTAGACCTAGATCATTTATTATCAAAAAATGTCTAATGAAGAATCATTCAGTGAAGACGAAGAAGACTGGCTTGATTTAGACTTGGGACAGCCAGCAGCAATAAAGAGCAAGACCTTATTTGAAGAGCAACCTCTTGACCTGAATACTGAACAAAATGTATATTTAGACGAAACTATAGCACAACAGAAAAAATCATTGAAAAAACCTGCCTTAAGGATTACAGCAGCCGACCGAAAAATCCGTCTGCAAATTCATCAGATGCACCTACTCTGTCTTACATATCATCTGTGCATCCGAAATTTATGGTGTAATGATGAAGCACTTAAAAACCTCTCGAGGATTGTACCGCCAGGTATAAAGGCGTCTCTACATTGCTCGTCCCAGAAATCTCAAATGATCCGAAATAAAAGCTTTCAACAGGCTTTAGTTGCATTATGTGAAGTTTGGAAGCGTCATTTCAAAATTACCAGGAGTGGGCTTAGAAAACCTTGGTACGGAGCTTTACAAAATGATACGCTGAGTTATGAACCAGTATCAAAAGAAGACTTTTTGAAAGCCGCAAAGGCCCTTGAAGGTGATCGCGATACAGGTTCCCAGTTATTTGTCTCTCTTCTTCGGAGTCTAGACGTTCCAACACGTTTGGTTTTTTCTTTACAGACTCTTAGTTTCCGCTTTGTTGGTGCGTCCGCGGAAGGACGAAGTCCACAAATTAGTACTGATTCTCCTCCTCAGGATAGTTTGGAATACCTATTTTCTCCCAGTGATTCTTCTTCTGATTCAACGGCTTCAAAACGTAGAAGAACGTTGAAGCCAGGTTTTTCATCTTCTTCTCCTGTTCATGCTTCACCAGTTCTTGAGAAACCGCAATTCATTGATTCCCCAAAGCCTGTATTTTGGGCCGAAGTATTTAACACCTCGATGCAGAAATGGGTTTGCATTGATCCTTTTGGTGATGCCTCTTCCGTGGGTAAACCAAGCCGCTTCGAACCATCTTCATCTGATACATTAAATCAAATGACTTATGTATTTGCTGTCGAATCCAGTGGATATATGAAAGATGTTACAAGACGATATACCTCGCGGTATTATCGGATCATGAGGAATCGACTTGAGATGTTTCCTTTTGGTAGCGATTGGTTAAATCTCTTTTTATCCAAATTAAAAAGACCCCAGGATATATATAGGGATAGTGATGCTATAGAAGATGCAGAATTATTGAGATTAGAACAAGCAGAAGGAATTCCCAAAAACATTCAAGACCTTAAGGATCATCCAATATTCGCGATTGAAAGACATTTACGAAAAAATGAGGTTATTGACCCAAAGAAATCATGTGGAAGATTATCCACTAAAAAGGGAGTAGAGTTAGTTTATCCCAGAAAATATGTTAAACTGGTTTTTTCTGCTGACCGTTGGTATCGCAAAGGGCGTGTCGTAAAACCAGGAATCCAGCCATTGAAGTACGCTAAAGATAAAGCGAAAGGGACCATTCCTTTGTATGGCGAAGAACAAACTGATCTTTATATCCCTAAGCCAGTTGTCGCCAATGTCGTTCCAAAAAATGCTTATGGAAACATAGATTTGTATACGTCGAACATGCTTCCTTATGGTGCTTATCATTGTACCCATGCTTTTGCTGAGAAGTCAGCTAAATTATTAGAGATGGATTACGCTCGTGCTGTAACGAGCTTTGATTTCCATAAGCGTATATCTCGGCCTCATTACGACGGTATTGTTGTTTCTAAGAAGTATAAAGAAGCCTTACTTCAGGTCGCGAGCGGTTTAGAATGGACGCAAGAAGAAGAAACCCACAAGCAAAATTTCAAAATGGGAGTTCAACTGTGGAAACGTATAATATCCGGTTTACGAATACGACAGAGAATCATGGAAGAATACAGTTAAGTTGATCAATTGTATATTAGGCATATTTTATAGAGAATTGCCATAGGAATTTGTAATGATTATTAGAGTTAATAAATAATATGAGTTTTAGTGTTTTTTCTAGTTTTTTAACTTACTATACATAAAGGGTTATATACATTTTATGTCAACTATCTGTCTTTCAGAATGTGCTAGTCAAAATAAATATGAAAATTAACAAAAATAAGCAATTAGGCACTCAGTCCAGCCTAGACATGAAAGAAGTCTCCAGCATGCTGCAATTAAATGCTCGATCAGTTTTGTAGGCCAACTCGGGCAACAAACCAGCAGCTCGAGACTTCTTATAACTCCATTGCGTGGCATCCTCTGTATCCCAATTCCAATAAAACCAGCCCCAAGTCTTGTCAAAAGTTTCAATTTGTGCAGAAGCAAAGTTGTAAAGAACTTTACGATACTCTGCTGTGTAGCTACCAGGGTCAGCATTTGCAGTAGAACAAGTGCAATCTTTTCGAGAAGGACAGCATTCAACATTTCCGTTAGGTGAAAATGTTCCATCCCATCTGGCGCCTTCACCCACGTTATTTAGAAATTCTGCACAATCAGTGTCAGCCAAACTCCATTCGCCAACAATTGTTGGAAGCTTTGCCTTCTGTTCCACTTCCTCTTTCCATGAATTACAAACAATGTTGAATTTATCTTCATAAGGTAAGGCTATCAGAAAGTCATTGAATATAGTGTATCTATGTGCATCAATGAGCACGTTTGGAAAGTGAAAAGGGTCATACTCTTTGTCCCAGTCTCCTGGTCCTCGGAAACCGTCGCTTATTGATATTATAGCACCTGGAATAGCAGATCTGACAATTTTGTATGCCTTTTTATGCCAACTATTTATTAGCTGAGGATCAATAAGAAAAGAGTTGGGTTCATTTAATAGTCCATAAATAGTAACAACATTTTTGTATCTCTCCTGGGAAAAAAAAGTGGATAGTTGTTCATGAATTTTTAAAGTACGATCAGCGTTTTCATTTCCTTCGGGTCCAACAAGCCAATTAAGCTGATTCAAGTAACCACCGTGATTCCAAGAATTCTGGTTCCCTGGTGCTGCATGAAGATCCAAGTTGACACGTAATCCCTGGGAACGAGCCCATTCAATGGCTCGCAACAAATAACGCCAACCGATACCGGAAACATTGGTTGCGTTTAAATCCTTGTGCAAAATCCAGTAGGGAAAAGTAATTCGTACATGATCTAGTCCCGCTTCACGAACTTCCTCAAACGTCCTTTTCGTTACAAAAGTACTGTAGTGTTCTTCTATTATTCTTGATGCATTTTCTTGAAGATAGTTATGTAAACTCAACTCGTCGTGTAATAAATATTGACTTCCATTATTGATTCTAAAATAAGAAGGAGTGATGAATGGCTCTATAGAAAGCCAACCTCCGAGATTAACGCCACGTATTGGGACTTCTCCATAAGGAAAAGGTTTATTTAAAGGAGGAACTGAAGGATTTGCTTGAACCGTATCATCATAAGCATCACAAAGCCCCATAATACTAAGGTTTCCAACCATTACGTCCGTAAACGTAGTATTAAAGTCCGTTTTGTCTAACCAAGTTGCAGGATCTAACAACGTACGCCTTGCGTATTCCGGAATCGGGACAATCTTGTCAACTGTGTCAATTGGATTATAATTTTCATTGTTTGCAACTGAAATGGGTGACGAAACATTCTTTTTTAAAGCCAAGTGTTCACCTTGAAGCCTAGCAGTCGGGATAATAAAGCAGAAGATTATAGGCAAGAAGACTACCAGACAAACAGTAACTGACAAAAAGCAGACCATGGTCGCAATTATAATGATAGTCTTTCTTGAATAATATTTACTTGGTCGGAGTACACCGAAATCATTATCTGGATTCTTAAGAGATTCAACCGATTCGGTATTCATTACATCGTCCATAGTAAACAAAAAGAATGGAAGAAACGAATAAAAGAAGGACAGTGAATAAACGAATGTAATAAATTCCCAAAAAAAGAAAAAAATAAAGACAAATAAACCGGTATTTATTTTTAGACCTCCATAATTTAGGAAATAATTTAGTCATAAGCAGTCCAAACATTCAAGTCGGTGAATCTATCAGAATGACGTTACCAAAAATAGGCAAAACCTTCAAACGAAGAAAGAGCAAAAAAAAAACCATTGAATGTACTACATCAGTAGATTGTACTACCGCCTGCACCATACCAATCATGTTAGTTCGTACTCGCTAGCAACTAAACGTTCCTTTTGATAGGCTTTAATTTTTCGTTCAACGTTAATTCTTTCTTGTAAAATTTTTTCTTCTTGTAACTTTTTTGAATTTTCAAAAGAATTGACTTCGTCGGCGAAAGTTTCGTAGAGTGTATCAATCTCCTCATGAACATCCTGATAGCTATTTAAAGCAATCCTTAGCTTATTTGAAGCTTCAATATATTTCTTATGAAGTTTTTCGTAGACATCAATTGGTATCATAAGACTTGTCGGTTCGTCTTTATTAGCTGTTTCATCATTATAATCTTCATTCTGCTTTCCATAGTCATACTGTCTAGTAGTAAGAGACCCTGTCCCAGAGATAGTGTTTTCTTTCTTGCTAGTAGGAATGCCGGTATTTAAAGTCTTGTTTCTTTGAAGACCCGGACTTTCAGTATTCCAGGAAAATTCTGATCCTGTTTGCTTGGCTCTATGCGTAGCCATATTGTTACTATACTCTGTTTTTATATCTTCTTGTCCCGTATATGGACTGATTTTTTGTATCCCTTCATCATTCAAAGTCTGTCTTTGATTACTATTTGGTTGCGGAAGAGGATGAAGCACCCGGGGAGAAGGAGGTCGGATTTGGAATATCCTTTGTGCGTTCAATGATACATATTCAACTAGATAATACATTTCATTAACTTGATCTTTCGGTAAGATCACCGCAGCAATAGAAGCAAAAAACTGAACGCGTTCATTATATCCTCCACGTAGTTTAGATAAGACAATCTGTACGATAGAAAAGAATACTGAGAGCATTTTTATTTTAATTTTGGGAAGAGCAAGAAAATTACTTTTGACTTGCTGAAAGAAAAATTCGTTTTTAACAGAAAGGTCATCAGAAGCGAGTCTTCGAAGAGTAAAACAGAATTGTCTGTCAAGTACATGACCAGCCTTTTCATATATCTTGTATTTCACGTAAAATAAAAAGGAACCAAACAGTATTTTGGAAGGCACACTTTCCAACGATATCGGTCGGTAGGGACTGTCAGCAATTAAAAAGCTCAGCTTAATCATTTCTAGTTCTTCAGCCTTCGTAAAACTATGCAGGACGCTTTCTATACCAGACTTGATATAAAATGCTGCTTCGTAACGCTTTAATCCAAATACAAGGTCGTCAAGGATAACATCTTCATCATTATTACTGTTAATAAATTTAGGATTAGATGGGGGTCTAGGTAAAGGTTTCTCCATGAAGAACGATTAATTAGATAACCGACGCGACTGTTGAATGATTTAGGTGTTAAGACTTTTATGATAATTCCGTATCACCTTTCCAAATAAAAAACAAACTAAAATGATTTTCAGATCACTAGAAATATTAGTAGAGCTCGAATCCCTTTTAAAATATTGAAGTACCAAACATTGACTTGTAACTGCTAACAACTGGGTGGTGTTGACAAGGGAAATCCAAGAATACGAAAAATGAATGGAACAGAAAAATTATTTAGTCGGATAGTACATTCTTTGTAAACGACTTTGTGTTTTAAATTTCCTTTTTGATTAAATTTATTTAGTTAAATCCTTCTACTAAACCTAGGTAGCGAGAAAATCCAAAACATAGCAAAAAGCAGAACTCAAATATCTATACAGGATATTACTTAGCACTTCCCATATGCTAATTAGGAAGATGACCAATGTTTCAATACAAGTTTCTGATGGTAATGTCAAGAAAAGAAAGTGTCCATGGGGAATAAAATACAGAGATTGAGATATCCTCTTCTCTAAGAGACGTGCTTTTCATGAATAAGATTGAAGACAGTGTCATAAAATCCTAGGAAAATAGCACCTCCACCGCTGAGCCAAAGTACACGAGGAACAATGCCTGAAAAGAGGGCACGACCTCCTTCTAATTGAATGATATTTTTTACTGTAGATACATAAGACGTTCTCTGTTTGGGTTAGAAGAAATAGAACAATAAATAGAGTTCGAAGCATATCGTTACCTTTTGTGAAAGCATAATTCTTGTTTTTATAACGTCAAGAGGAGTAGTAAGTGCAGCAGCAATACCACCGGCAAGGGACCCAGATAATGCTGCCTCGTGAGCCATATTCTTCTCTCGATTGTTGGAAGTCCTCCATGTCTTCTTGAGATATTCCCACAAAGGAAATTGTATTAGAGTGAATGGGATTTCTCTCATAATAGTGATTCCATAACCAGAATATAAACTTCTCAAGGATTGCTCAGACTTCCATATCGTTTGAAGAACATTTCTGGAGGAAAGTGTTCCACCAGAAGCCTGGGCTCTTTGCTTAATTACCTCTGTAGGAACTCGTACCAAGCAAGCAGCAATTTCACCCATTGATCCAGAAGTCATATGGATCACGGGTTCAGACAATGCAAGACCTGAATGGTGGAGCTTGGTTTTCATAGTTTCATAAGTTGTAAAAAACAAAGAAGCTGAAAGAGTTGTTAATAACTGTTCATCCTTAAAAAATCTTCGTTTTGAATATTTAAGACAAATAATACGAAGGAGCTTGAGCTCTTTGAATTCTATTACCTCCAGGAGCGCTACCAACCAAGATGCTACCAAGGCCTCTATACACGCCTTGAAATCCACCGTTTGCAAGAAACCCACCCTTTGCTTGCAAGCGAGTTTTTAAAGTATCAACTGGAAATAGCGATAAGTCGACGGCCAATCCTGCACATATGCCAGACTACGAATTTGTAAATAACAAGCCTCAATTCGAAAAAACCTTTAATCAACCATAACTTACGCCTAATGCTTCAAAAAATGACATGATATCTATATCCTTGTTTATTATAAATAATGAATGCTTTGGTTGTAGGTAGAAAAGTTTTAGATGAAGCCAAGGATGATATGCAATCGACCAGTTGATCTAAAGACTGTTCAAGTTCGCTTTAAGAACTCGTTCATACTTGCAAAATGATTTTTCGTTGATTTTCTAAAGAATAAGGCTCTAATTAAAACAATTAGAAACGGACTGGTTTTCATGTTTCCGTATTCCTTGGAAGTTAATGCAATTGACTAATTACCAAAAAGGAGAAGTCTTGGATTTAGCAATCGATAAAATAATTCCTTAGTTTTAAAAATTTTTTCAGGATCTTCGAAAAGTCTTTTCTGATTATTTGCACACAGTCTATTATTCCCGGTTGATATGCAACACATTCACGGTGAATGAGCTTTATTATATGATTTGTACTTTTTCAATAGATGGGATGTAAGAAAAGGAAAGATATTTATAAATTTGAATCCTTTAAGGCTTTTTACAGCGTTTCTATTCCCAATTGATGCTTTAATATTGGTCGTCATCATCAAAAGTTTTATAGATGTATCATAGTTCAATAAGCTTGCTAGTCATTGCTTTCTTGGTTTTGTTTTTTAAATGAATGGATGCATCCGTTTTAATTTGTTAATTGGTGTTTTATGTACTTGTGAATTCGTCATCTAAGACTTGAAAATTCTTGTTTTCGAATGTGCTTCCCAAAGATTCATGGTCACCCCAGTACGGTTTTGTGCTAATCAAAAGCAAACCGTTTACTTTAGGTCTTTCATTGATCCACTGTCTTGTCGTAGTTGATAGTCCTTGGAAACATAATAGGAATCCTCTATTCAAGTCGACTTCTAATCGTTCTGGAATTGACATGAATAAAAAGAATAGTACATCTTTGATAATTGTTGGTGATTAATCGAGCTGACTTTATCGAACAATGTATTAAACTTACAAAAAAAATAGGAAGTTACCCCTGGTCAGCACTTAATCATTACTGAAGAAATTGTCATTTAATAAGAAACGTTTGTCTAAATTCTAGTAGACTGTTAATCGAGTTTGCTAAAAACTTTGTCATCAACCAAAAAAGCTCAACTTCGAGAAAAGAAGTGAATAGAAACTCCATGATTGCCTAATTATCCACTGTTAAATCGGATGGTTTCTTTAGAATAGACTATATAAGTAATAAAAAAAGAAAAAAGAAAAAGATCGTTTCAAATTTTGAGTCCAAAAGGGATAGAGCTTTGACAGCGTTATACTCAGCTTTGTATAATAGTTTCATTAAATTCTAGAAGCAGCTTTGGAGCTGAATCATGTGTTTCTCATGCGTAATCCCAAAACATTCTCCCAATTGATTTTCTGGCGTGTAATAGGAAGTTGTCGGCGAAGTTCTTTGAACTTTTTATCATTCAAAGAAGAAAGTTCCACATTAAAAGAGCGTTGATTTGCGTTTTCTGCTTCTACTAAAGCATCTGAAAGTTTTCCTGTATCATCAATGCTCACATCAATAGGACGCTCGGCATCTAACCAGACATTACCATCTTCATAGTAATGTACCCTAATGAAGGAAGTTCCGGATAACTTCTTCTTCTCGGCATTATACTTGCAGACGCACCTCCAACGACCGTTGTAATAATTTTGAGGATTATACTTGACCGACACGAGCATAATGCTGTACTCAGGGACCTTCTCATCATTCTGTAGAATTCCAATTGACACATCAGACAAATAATGATCCAAAGTAACCTTCTGGATTTGTTTAACAATATCCTCTGATATAGTAGGTTTGTCATTGTAATCCTCAACATCAATTGCTTCCTAAAGAACATTGTTAGCAATAATATTCTTGTACGGTGGTCCCATCCTACCATTGTTTCGAAATTCACTGCGAAGGACTTTTTCAATCGTTGATCATAATAGCGACTATCATCCAATTTGCTTTCAGAGGAAAGGACCGCTCTTTCATTTTCGAACATTGTTACGGGTGAGTTTGAATCTTCATGATGCAATTGAAGTTGTTTTTGTATGCGTTGCTCGTCGGTCAACCCAAGTGCTCGAATATCTATCATTTCAATGTGAGTTCATGCCGTTTCAGCGGTTATAACAAAAGAATACCTTCTATCACCTGATTAACTTCACCAGGTGGTGATTGTCTAATAAAGTTATATATATATTCTCCGTCCATTTATATTGACTTGCACTTTTGGGTGGTAGAGGGCAATTGCTAGAAGAAAGACATAGGCTGCTAAGGATAATATACGAAGCCGAAATGAGCTTTTTTTACTTGAAAAAATTAGAAAGCAATAAAATAAATAAAAGAATAGAAGAAAATAAATTTACTAAATTTCGAGGACGGTTTCATTGTTGTACCCGTCTCCCAAGCTAACCTATACGTTCTTCGGGAACTAGCTACGTTCATAACCATCAGCCAAAATGTTGAAACCATCATTTAATCAGATAAACAGTTTAGTATCTAGGAATTTTTTGCATTTAAAAGGATTTGTTGGCTTACGCTTCATTACTACGAAAGGTGATTTAAAGCGAGTCGATCGTGAAGGCGAAACAGAAGAATCATTACGAGCAAGACTAAAGTACCAATCGAGGAAAAGAGGAATTTTGGAGACTGATCTTCTTCTCTCAAATTTTGCTAAAACAAGGCTAGATAAGTATGGCGTTTCTGATCTCCAGGAATACGACCGTCTCCTTGATGAACCCGATTGGGATATGTAAGTGCTAGTGCTAATTACTTTTGATTATTGATTGCTAATTGTTGTTTAAATTAGTTTGTACTGGTCTTCCGGTGAACGTGTAGTACCTGAGCAATGGAGAGACAGTAAAGTACTGAAGGAACTAAGCGTTTATTGTCGCAGCCAAAGAGATCATACATTACGAATGCCCGATTTGTTTTAAAAATAAATGTTCATTTCATTAAAGAATACCTCTAGGGAAGCATCTAGTACCAATATACCATTTTTTGACCTCAGATCTTCTTTTTTTTTTTTTTTGGTTTCCAGATTGTACCATAATATAAATTATACCTTAATCCTCAAAAAAAATAAAATAACAAAGAAACAGAAATTACCATGCGGCGCTTTCACGTAAATTTTGAATTTCCTTGACTTCCTTCGGTGCATCTTTGGTTAGTACTATAGGCTCTTGTTCTCCCACTAGGATACTATCTTCAATGCGAATAGCAATTCCCTGCGCCCATTTTGGCCAACGGTTATTGACAGGAACATAAATTCCAGGCTCAATGGTCACCTGACGATGTTAGAAAAAAGAATGAAAGCTAATTAGGTCCGCACATACGATCTGGTTTTTCTTCAAAGGTGAAAAACTGTTGTTTGAAAAGCAATCGTGAATTTCTAAGCCAATTTCATGACCAATGGAATGCGGATATAAAACGTCCTCAATTTCCTGAATTCCGTTAGCTTTTTTCTAGAAAGAACTTTTAATTTTGTTATATTACCGATTTGGAACCGTATATGCCAATTTGCTTTAACTCCTCTTTCAACAAGACAGCACTTTCGTAGTGGATTCTCGCCAAGCTCAATCCTGAACTGCTAGTACACAAATCTATGCACTTCTTTTGTACGTTCAAAACAGCTTGGTAAAGATCTCGTTGGGCTGGAGTAAACCCTCTTCCAGTCGGCCAAGTTCGAGAGATATCCGTAACATATCCTCCGTATTCCTGAAAAGTTAGAATATCTAACATGTACAAAGATACATACACCACCAGCATCTACTAGCACCATATCATTTTGTTGGAAAGCATCATCGTTTGATGTATAGTGAATACAGAGTCCATTCTGTGCTGGGTTAGAATATGTAGGGATATAATGGGAAAATGAAATAAATCTACTAATATGGTCCATAAAAGCAGAGTTAGAAAGAAAACTTACTCTTCCGCCGGCAATAACAGGCACATAAGCCGATCGTTGGCAACCGCCCATTTTGAATCTATATTCGAGCTCAGCAGCAAGTTGATTTTCTTCATAAAAGTCTTTCGCCATAACTTCCTTGTATGCATCTCCGCTTATATTTGCTGCGTGTTGCAAACATGCTATCTCACTTTCACTTTTAATTGTTCTCAACGGATGCAGAAGCTCATTAGCTGATCTAAACGGTTTTTTTTCCTGCAATTCCCGAATTTTATCGCGAACAACGTCTGGAGAAGAAGCTACGGGATCTTTATAAGGATAACCTCTTTGTGTATTGTAGAATACCCGTTTGCATCTGTTACCAAATTCTTCAATCACAAACGGAGCTTCCCAATTTTCTTGGATCTACAAAAGTTCGGTTAATATCGGCTTTTTCAAAAAAATAAAAATAAAAAATAAAAAAAATTCTACATACATTTTCAATATGGAACAAAATCTTTCCATTTTCAATGCCTGTGCGAAAGCCCTCCCATTTTTCCGCATATGAAGTTTTAGGTGGAAGGAAAAAAGCAAGCTTATAATTTTCAAACATATCTTTTTCTTTGACTATTAAAAATTAATAAAAACGAAGCTATCCTTGTTCCTGCGTACGTATAAGAAGGATAGAATCAGGTTCCAAGCAACCTTTGAGATGTTAGCAAACTAAAACCAATTGAGAGGGCTTTACCGGTTAGATAGTAGCTAAAGCATTGTTAACATATATGTCAATAAAAGGATAGCTTACAAGTTTGGGTCTTGGTGATATTCATAGCTAAACGATGAATGTTTATTAGTATATGCACAATCCCAATCATGATATGAAGACATACAAGGCTGCACCGCACATATACCTAAAAAAGTTAATTTAAATCGTTCACATAAAGAGTTAGTATTTCTTCTTACTTCACTGCAGCAGAAGTGGTAATCAATAAATCTCCTTCTTGCATAAGCGCAGCCACATTATCCCTTCTCGCTCTGTATTCATCTGCGTTTACTTTAGGTGTAACTAAACAGGTATTAGCGGCTTGAAATCAATTATCAACTCAGCACATACGTTCTCCTGGTCGTAATATATGCGGCCGTGTAAATGAGGTTGGCTGACCAAAGGTTTTGCTACTTTTGGTACGTACATTGGGTTGCAATGAATGCACTAATTCTTTGTTTCCAAATAATTTTCTAAATCCATGACTTAGATACCGTAACGATAGCATTTTTATGAGGCATTAAATATTTGCAGGTTGGAACTGGCAAAGAGAGTGTATGTGTATAAATACTAGAGTAAGTACCAACTACTTCTATAAACTTTAAATTTTTATTAACTTTATTCCGTATATACCTTATTTTTTTTATGACAAACTCAAAAACTAATACAACCCTCTAACTGACAGAATTGTGACATCAAAGAACCCGTAAAAAACAAGTTCTATTTCTAGTTTAAAACCCATACATCTTTAATTCACGGGCTAATACTAAATCAGAAGAAGTCTCATACTTGTTCTTTGAATCAAAAAAAGGGACGATCGCAGTATGAACTACAGACTTGAATAATCTTTCAACTAACCCAGACAGTTCGTCACCAGTTTGTCTAAAGTCTGGATACTATTATTATTTAGATTAGTAAACTTATTGAATCGATAAATTGTTTGATTTCCTTACAGCATTCACTTCAAGTAAGTGCACTTGATCAGCTTCGTCGACCATGAAGTCAACACCAAAAATTTCAAAGGAATTGTTTAAAGGCTAGATGTTGGTGTTAGTAAGTCATAGGCGTAATTTTTAGTAGATAGATATACCTGAAAATGAATTCGTTGTGTAGTTGCAGCAGCTTCAAAAACATCTCCCAGAGTTTGTACAAGAGAATCAAAAATTTTCTCCTTATTCTTAATAGAACTATTCCAAAATGCTTGTACCGAAGCCTCTCTTGGAGCTTCTCCTTGGATACATGTGTTGCTCAATTGACTATACAGGTTGATTTCACTTCCGACATGAGGAGACTTGTATTCGTCTCTGGCAAGCAAACACAACATTTCTTTGAACAAATACACCGATAAGCCACCTACGGCTAAAACATATGCTCGGATATGGAATTTCCTATTATTTAGCAATAAAGGATTAGCAATGTATTTTTGGACCAGGAAATGGCGAATCTGATGAATAACAATTTTGTTTTCTGGATTGCGATCATTAACCGTGCATGTATCTGCATTTTCTACCTCGTTTTCACAAGATGACTTGTTAAGCTCTTCATCTTCATCACTTAAGGCTTCGTCAAACGAATCAAATATAGCTTGTAGTTCCTCAATTGTAGAGAAAATACGAATCCCTTGTGCACCATCGCACATGCTTGGTTTCAGTATATACCATTTTCTTTGCTGGGGCTCTAACGCTTCATTATTTTCAAGCTCCTGTCGAAGCTCATACGACTCCATAAGCGAATCGTCTAAAAATTCTGCATAATCTAGCTCTAAAGAGAATGCTTCAGGGACAGCAGTTTTCAGAATTGAATTCGGATTCTTCGCTAGATAATATACCACAGTGTTCCATAAATATTCTTTACGTATGAGTGCTTTTCGTATAACATATGAACATGCCATTGTCCCAGCATCACTGTAAAGCTTGTCAAAGTCTATGTCTTCATATTGCGCCCAGAATAACTTAGCATCAGCTTTTGAATCAACAAATTTTAACGGAATTCCGCTCTCTACTAATGCATTCTTAATTTTCGGCTCTACATATGGGTCCCTGTAGTTGACATACACCGGAATAGTGTCTTCTGATCCAGACATCGAGTGGTACTTGTAACGAAGGATTTGATGAAGAAATTTGCAACGGAGGAAAGAAATGAAGACGAAGCCAAGGAAAATTTGTTTATTATTTATCTTTTTCTTGGGAATTAGGAAAAGCAGATTAAAATCTTTTTGGTTGAAACACAACAGTACACGTTGACATATTTAGGGGACTCATTATTAAAAAGTTTAAGGACTATAAAAACCTGTCATTGTCTATACTAGTCTAGTAAATATTCAAAAACAAAAAAAAAAAAAAAAAAAAAAAAAAAAGGGTATTCAAATCTATAAATATGAAAACAAGCATTTAGTAATTCTATCAACTGAGAAAGTATCATAAAAAACAATAATCGTTAAGGAAAACAACTAACTACAAACGAGTAGCTCATAGTTAACATAAGGGTCTTTGCCAAACTCGGATTCTCCCGTTCAAAGAGCAAGTAATCATGCAATCAGATTGAAAAACAATGGATGTTACAGGTGCCCTGTCAACAGCGTAAGAGGTAATCGGGGATATAATTGGAATCAAAGATCGAGAAACTGTTGGGTGGATCGTTATGTCATTTTGCATAAAACCTTTGTAGCCCGATTGAACATTTAAATCTCCAACATCATCCAAGTCATTCATACTCGGTTTAGATGGTTCAACGTGGTTGTTCACGTAGTTGAGGGCAGACTTTGGACGATGAAGTGCACTTACTAGAAAATCCCATAAAAGCAATTGGCAATCAAGACCAACACTGGCGATACGGTAACTATCATCCTTGCAACGCCATCGGTCAAAAGTAATACCCAAGACCCAAGACTTGTGTCCCTGACAGCGAGCAACAAGTTTTCTTTGGGGAAACGAATAAACCGACAGCATATCATCTTTTCCACCAGTGGCAATAAACTTTCCATCTGGTGACCAAGCTATACACGATAAGCCGCCAAAATAACTATGAAAAACGTCAAGCATTCCTAGTTCCTCGTACAGCAGAAGCTTCAAAGTTCCACGTTCAGAAACAACCGCCAAATGTTGTTGGTCAGGAGAAATTGAAAAAGCATTAATAGGGGAATTTGATAAGGCAATACAGGCAATGGGATTTGAAGGTTTTCTATCATCAGGAGAAGGAAAGTCTTTGAGCACGGTAAAAGTACCACGCGAACTTAAATATAATGATTTCAAATTCTTTTCCGGAATGGAAGCGTAAAGCTGTTTCTCTTGTTGATTTTTGTCATAGTAAATCATCCATCCATTCTGAAATGACACCAAAAATACATTCTCTTGATTAGGAAGCCACTGAATATTACTTACTGGGCTATTATTAAAAGATCCACCTTTGTTGAATCGAAGATACTTGTAACTGATGGGATCATACCACATAACATCACCTGTATCAAAGCCGATGATGATCTCTAAAAATTTGGAACTTTTCGTGTACTCATTTATGTGGTGACACACCGGACGAGACCTATGAAAGTCTATGCGAAGCAAAGTAGAATGAGTACCGCTGTTACTTAAATCGAGCCAGTAGAAAGACTCTTCATGGTTGGCAAAAGCATATGTTTTTTCTAGAGAAGAAGAATTGGAGAAAGAACGAAGAATATTTTCATAAAAGGTAATGGAAGAAATGAAACATTTTGGATTGAAAGTAGAACTTCCTGGACGAGATGATGGTCGGTATAGCTTAAAGTTACTGGAAGAGGAGTGGGTGTAAGACTTTCGCTTCGAGCTTTTGTAGTTTTCTAATATATTTGGGACTTCCCGCCCCTCTTCGGTATAGTGTACACCAGGCACTTTTCGAAGTTCTTCCATGTACTCTTTCCCTAAGGCAGCTTCTGAAAAAGGAAAGCACACGGTTTGAAGGTGAACTGGAACAGGACTTTTTATGGGAGTGTTTGGATCAAGAGGAGACCCCGAAACATGATACTTTTGCGTCGAGATCGACAATTGAACCTCATCTTTCAAAACATATTCTCCTTCGCGAACAGGAATAAATAAGACTGGGCGAGTGATGTTAGAGGACATGGCAGCAGGAAATTGATAACGGCGAGTCTTTGTTAATTTTTCAATCTAATAAGTTATTATATTCGAATCATATATATTATGATAGTTTTGCATTCGTCCCTTTTGAGATGTTTATAAAATGGTATATGATAAAACCAATTGGGAAGTTTGACAAAAAAATAAAACCGATAAAGAACCAAGAAGAGGAATATAAAACTTACAAAAGAGAACAGAAGGTATAGAAATCCTAAATCACAAAGATGGCTTCTCGTCTGTAAAGAAGGCACAGCTCCAACAATCCTTCATAGAAGCACTACCTGGACAGAATTGTTAGTACTGCTTCGATCCCAACTACTAGAAATACCAATTTAGTACTCCGTAATGTTCACTTGTTACAAGGTATTGTCCGCGTTGAATGACAATGAAGCAATTATTTCGGACAGGAAATAGTGAGCTGTAAAGTTTGGTAGAAACAAAATAAGGATGTTGTAAAACAACAGTAATAAACAAAAATTCGAAAGATACAGTTTAAAAGTTTTTTTCATTCATTATGCTATGTCTAGACATTTGAAATTATTTGTTTTATTAATATATGTTTATATATCTGTGAAATGGGAAGTTCTACCCAAAAGGAATGTTCGTATTTGGAGAATAGGTTGACGAACATAGATTATAAAGCAAGCTTTAGATTTGGAGAAACATGCTTCATAATTAGGTTTTAATAGTTCCTCTAAAAAATATTGCTTGTCTTCAATGTTCAACACTCTTTTTGTATTGTCGAATACGAATCATTAAACGTTGAACAAGTCAGACAACCTTTCTGGATTTAGTTTCTCTTATAGATATATTTAATTGATTAACTTCTTTTTGAAATTGTACCCCAGAATAACAGACCTTGTTCTTTGCATTTCATACCAGTTTACTTACCCTTTTCTCCTCCTTGTAATATCACTTCCTATATTTTTCGGAGTCGAAGTGTTTGCACTTTTGTTGGAAAACAAAGATCTAATTATTAACTATATTTATAACTTTTTTACTAGATACCAGAATTGTAGAAGATGTCGGGATCATCAAAAGAAATAGTGGAAATTCGTCCCGCAGCTACTGAAGAAGACTGGAAAACTGTGAAAGCCATTGCAGTTAGTGGTATCACTGGACAGTCTAAGAATTTATCTCAGCAAATATTTTGGCATCCTGTCTACCTGATTGCTTTTGGATTAGTCTTCATGGGAGTATTTCGCATGGCCAATATGGCAGAGGGAAACACATTCTTGAGAACAGTCTTGTTAGGAGTCTTTGTAAGTGCTTTTTTCTTAACGATTATGGAAATTCCGTGTCGAAACCTATTTTCTTCTATTGCTGATGAAATGACTGAAGATACCGGTAACTTACGCGATGAAAATCTTAAGCATTTCTACTTGGCCTATATTAACAAAGATCGTTTGATTGGAATTATTGGTATCCTTCCTCCCAATGCAGTGGGTGCTTACAATAATACTCCTACCGTCGTTCATTGGAATGTAATTCCCAAATTTTACAAATTTGCTTATGATTTACTCGATGTGGCTCTAAACAAAGCAAAGACAATGAAACAAAACAAGGTTTCAGCTGAAGTGTTTACTACTGATAAATGGATTCTAGCAAGTCTCAAGTCTGATGGCTTTGAACCTGTTGTAGACGAGGCATTTGACTATCTCTCCTTTTTTGGTTTGCGACATGTTATATTACAAACCAGTCTAAAGGATAGACCTAAAGGTGATAGAAAATCGAGAAACTGAAGAAAAGTTTACCCTCGTTGTTCTAATTTATGAGTAAAACCGCCATTTAGAGTCGAAGAAATCTAAAGAATCAAATGACATGGAATAGGAGGCATAATGAATTCTTGAGGTTAAATTCTTTAAAAGGTTTTCTTTTCTCGTTTGTAATGACTGCCAGAAATTTATGACGACAGTAACCAGCAAGGATTCTGTGAATAACATTTTATTGAAGATTCCTCAACATAACCCTGTTTATTCTATAAAAGCTGTTTATTTGTTTTTTTCATCTTCATTTACTTACGTTCTGTGCAAAGAAAATTATCAACTTCGCACTTCATATCGATAGCCATTTTTGTCAAATTGCAATGCACAAATCGTGTATTATGCTGCAGTAACAGTTCGTTTTTTTCTTGATCATTCAATTAAATGGAAAACTGCAAAGCTGCTATAGGATTAAACCATCAACTTAATCCCTGTTGTGTATGTAGTATTTTCACGTATGTACTACTTCAGTCATACTTATAATTGATGGCAATTCCCTATCGCCATCTTCTTATGTAAGTTCAGTTATTTTACAGCTTTAACATATTAGATATTTACTGTAATATATAAAACAATTAATATCATTTTGATGTTCGGCGAATGCTTTTGTCATTATAATGTGATGGTGTATTTCTTCGAGACAAGAAATCTTCATTGCTCCCGCTACAAACAACTGGTATCTTTACAAAAAAAAAACCCCGGTTGATTTTTTTGTTTCATAACATTTAATCGACGACTTGATATTGAATTACCACATATACATGGTCTCACAGCTTGACTTTACCACCCAAGCCGACCTTCTTTCTCTTTACAAACCTGCGTCTGACCCTTTTTCTTTCACGAACTTGAGTGACTCGACCAAAAAGCATTATCTAAGTGGACTAGAGACTAGTATAAAAAAGACAAAGATTAGGATATTAAGTGATGTCGAAAAAATGAGTGTCTCTATGTTGCCTTCACAGTCAATCCATACCCAAGATTTGATGTCCTCTGGATTGAATTACAACAATAAAGTTGATTCTGGGAGATCCGGAAACTACTTTTACTCGAAGTCACGTAATCAATTACAGAATTTAAGTCCTTTGAGACCAACCTACGGGAAGAAAATGTCTAAACACTCAGAGTCTCAAGGTTTGTCATCTGCGTCGAAAGGCTATTTAAAAGACTTTGCTTTGAAAAGCTCCCTAGAAGTCCCCTCGTTAATAATGCATAGCACTCCAAGTGAAAATAAGTTATCGGGAGCTCGTTTTGCGAATACGGTGTATAGTTCTAATACGTCTAATGGACAAGGGAATTCTAGTGAAATTAATTCTAGAAACAATAGGGATTTATCCGGAACATCTCGCGACTACGACGACCAGAGTGACGGTAACTATTATGAAGAAAGCGGAGCCCCGTATGAGAATAGCAATGAAGATGATTACGATTATGATGAAAACAGCGACTCTAGCACTAATGACACTAATAATAATGATGACAATTATGATGATCAAGAAAGCAATAATGATAATGGTGACGAAGGGCACGATGATAGCGACGAAGATGAGGAAGACGATGAAGACAAAGAAGAAGAAGAAGAAGAAGAAGAAGAGAAGGATGAGGATGACTATAGCTTCAGAAATGTCGCCTTTCGGAGTTCAGATGACATCTTTCGTCGCCGCTCTGGAAGAAACTTTCGTGATGAGATTGGTGACAACTTTGATGAGCAATCTTTATTTAGTGAACTCAACCGGCTTCAGAGAAGTGATCGTTTTCGCCGTTTAGCATCAAGTGTCCTTTCTTCAGGTAATCTGGAGAATGCAGATGATGATGATCTCGGGGCTAGCGATTTTCCCTTTAACCCTCTTCGCCCTTCGGTTTTCGCTCCTTCTGGCCAATTCTCGCGTCTATTAAGAGGGATTAAAGATTTTAGCGACCCAACCATCCAGTTACTTTCTCTTCAAGAACTTTCTGAAACTCTCGCGATGAGTACAGAAGATATGTTAATAGGAGTTTTTTCCCCGGACGCGTTCATTGCGGCCTTTTCAGATATTCTTTCCTCTGAAATTTTAATTGGGGAAACTGCAATTCAATTAATGCTGACTTGTGCCACTTGCATATCTAACATGATGGAAGCTCTTCCAATTTCAATGGTTAAAGTTGCCCACAGTCCCATTGTCCGTATCCTATGCGAAAGGATGTTTGACATGCAATACATAGATATAGCTGAACAAGCTTTGGGAATTTTTGAAAAGCTGTCTGTTGACTTTGGGAATTGTATTTTACAACACCGTGGTATGCTGGCTGCTCTGCAATATTTTGATTTTTTTTATACGAACGTTCAAAGAACGGCTATTTCACTTTCTGCCAATTGTTGTAAGCATATCGATGAATTTAATGTCGAATTTGCCGAAGAAATTATCCCATTATTATCCAATACTTTACAGTCTTCTGATCCGGTCGTCGTAATGAAGGGTTTTGAGTGTCTGGAAAGCATTATTGAATCATTAAATTTCTCTCCAAACATAATTAAATCACTCATAAATGAAGACTTAATTAGCATTGTCACAAAAGCTTTGAACGCTAGCACTATGCAGAAGAAGGCCACTGATCTTCAAGTTCAACTTTTTCACATAATTGCATCGTTATGTAAGTCTTCTAGTTCTTTTATACTACCTGTTTTGAATCAAGGACTTCCAGAAATAATGTATGAATTGTTGTGTGGGATTCCACCTCCAGAGACCTCACATCATTCAAGCATGGTAGCAATGCAAAGTCTATATCACTGTCCGAACAACCTCATTACTGCTTTATTACGAACTATAATCTCGTTTATACCTAAAGCCCCCTTTGCCGGACAAGAAGATTTGATATCACGAATTCATCGAATGGATAGTATACTACTGCCGATTGTACTTGACATTTATTCGACTGTTCCTACTCATGAAGTGAAGCTGCTAGCAGTATCTACGGCACTTATGATGCTAAGGTCAATCAGCGGCGAAGATCTCAGATGTCTAGTAAGAAGTTTACCTTTATCATCCTTTATTGCATCTATTTTAAGTGCTAGGAAGGCCGACAATCATTCAAAGCAGAACGCCTTGGAAATGGCAATTTACCTCCATGAAGCCCTACCTGATATTTACCATTCTCTGTTTATAAGGGAAGGCGTTGTGCAAGAAGTTGGATACATAAATCGTTCCATCAATTCGGATTTAAAGAAGCTTAAACTCAGTATTTCCTTCTCGCAGTCCAAGTCAACTCATCGACACGAAGAATTGAAAAAACTTTCATCCATTAAGGCTTTATCGAAGAGTTTCTTAGGCCATTACGAGATCGAAAGCTTAGAAAACCCAGTGCTTCATGATTTAGTAGATCTGTCAAAGCGCTTAGCTAATGACGTTTACGTCGGAAGCTCTTGTGAAGAACTTGCTGTGGTTTTCCAAAAAACCTCCAACATTACTAGTTTCGAATTGTTACACTCGGGTCTAATCCGTAGTTTGCTTTTATCCTTGCGGAAGTCCGATAATAACACATTAAGGTACTTTTTGTTGTCAATGAACAAAAGTAAAGAAACGGAGGTTTTAGAATATGAAGGAAGTCCGCTTATGTCGTTCATATTTTGTTTACAGGAGCTTTTGTCGAGAATTGAAAATTTTCAATTAACACTTTTACCTTCTCTTTCAGATAATTCTTTGGAACACGTTTCGTCAAAGCAATTCAAAGTTCGATTAATTGCTCTTCCCGGATCCAATATACAACCTCCTTTCCGTTCATTAATTGTATCAATAAACGGGTTAGCTACCATTCGGGTACTAGATAATTATTTATATAGTCGAGTGCTACATCGTGGTGAAAATGAGCGCCGACGGTTATCATTTCCAGAAGCTGATTCGTTGCAGGAGTCAGGAGACTCAACAAGACATGAATCTTTTGAAAATTCAATGGATTTATCGCAGAATGAAAACACTTCTGCTGGCTCAGGTTCTGTAAATGAAGCTGACTCTTCTGTATCGGGTGAACTGGGTTCTAGACATTTTGCATTTTGCCTTGGAAAAAAACTTTTAACGCCAGAAACTACTATATTTAAAGCATTATTTCATTTTATTGAAACCTCGGATGAGCATACTATTGATGATATATGGAAAACAACGATCCCTCTATATTATGGTGAACCCTCTTCTTACAAGGAAGATAATGAGGCTCAAAAGTCTGTGGACGAATCGGAAGAAATTCCCAACAAAATTAAAGAGATACTAGAAATTTTACGTGTGTTATACTATGGTGTTCGTGATTTACATACTATATTTCCTGAAAAGCATATTCGCGGAAGCCTTGAAAACGTACTTATGGACTTCAGTAACTGGAAATTGAGTGCTAAACTAAACCGTCAATTGGAAGAGCAGCCTATAATTGTGCATGGTTGTATACCTTCGTGGTGTATCTCTTTAACTTCTGAATATCCTTTTTTAATACCCTTTGAATCACGCTATCAACTTTTGCAATCAACGTCCCTGGGTTTAGCAAGGTCCGTGTCGTTTATTTTATCAAGAAATTCCAATTTGCCCAAGAATGAAGGTTCGTCTATACTCCAATACGTTAGTTTACGCCGTCAGAAAATCAGAATACCAAGAAAAGATATGTTTAATTATGCTTTACAGGTTCTATCTAGTTATGGTTCTTCTGATAAGGTATTAGAAATAGAATATGAAGACGAGGTTGGTTCTGGGCTAGGTCCAACATTGGAATTTTATACTACTGTTTCTAGAGAGTTTACGAACACTGCTTTGGACATTTGGAGAAATGAGCAAGGTGATTCACAATATGTTTTCCATGCATCTGGTTTATTCCCTTCGCCTATATCAATGGCTGAAGGAAGCGATGAAAGTAAAAGAAAACTTTCTCTATTTTCAGCATTAGGAAAATTTGTTGCACGTTCAATTTATGACTCAAGAATCGTTAGTTTGCAGTGTAATCCTCTATTTTTCGCAAGAGCTATTCCGTTGACTATTTCCTCAGTTGCAAAGGTAGATAAAGGTCTGGCGAATTCTCTGCGTTACTTGGAATCCCTAATTTCCGGGGAGGATGGTCACATTAATGACATAGACATAGAAAGCTTGGGTCTTGATTTTACGCTTCCAGGGTATTCTTCTATAGAGCTAATACCCAACGGAAGTACTGTCTCTGTCAACAAGAGTAATCTGAAAGATTACATCGAACACATAATTGACTTCACCGTTGGTAAGGGGGTTAGGCGACAGATTGAGTGCTTTCAAGAAGGATTTTCAAGTGTCTTTGCTTACTCTTCACTTAAAGTATTAACGGAATATGAACTTTCATCCCTATTTGGGACGATTGATGAAGACTGGAGTTATGAAACACTTCTTAAATTTGTTGTTGCCGATCACGGATATACTATTGAAAGCGCACCTATTCAAAGACTTTTACAATTGATGAGTAGTATGAATTTCCGAGAGCAAAGAGATTTTCTTCAGTTTATAACTGGTAGTCGAAAATTACCAATAGGTGGTTTTGCCGGTATGAATCCACCATTCACAATCGTGAGACGTTTGAATGAACCACCCTATAAACCTGACGATTATTTACCAACTGTTATGACTTGCGTAAATTATTTGAAATTACCTGAATATTCTTCTGTGGACGTTTTGGCTAGTCGTCTGTCAAAAGCCATTTTAGAGGGTCAAGGTAGCTTTCATCTGTCGTAATTATTGCGCTTGTGAAGTGAGCAAATAATTTTTTATTTTTTTTTTAAAAAAAAAAAAATAAATATAAAATAATGACATGAAATGAAATGCATCTATCATCATACTATAGCAGTTCATCGCAAATATTATTCATTTACTAAATAACTACTACATCTTTACAATGTTATGTAACAACAAATGCGAATAAATTTCTTAATATCATTAAGTATGCCAAATATATTAGCCGTAGAATAAACAAATAGAAGTTTGCAACATAACGAAGAGAATCATGCAAATTGTACTCTATAAAATATACAGTACGCAAGAAAAAAATTGAACTGACTGAATGCATTATACAGAGCAAAAATGTATAAATGACTGAAAACCAACAAAATTGACGCTCTTTCAAAACTAACCGGACTTAAGACCATTTTTAGAATTTTGGTGAACAGGGAGTTTTTTCCTGTTTACAGATCGCCTTCTTTGGTCTCCAAAATGGTAACTCAGATTCTCCAACTCATTTTTCACATTTTCAGCTGAAAACTCAGAACGCCTGGGACCGGTTGATCTGGAATTATTCTGAATCCTGTTACGAGATGCGCTGATTCGAGAGATTAAATCCAAGTAAGAATACATAAAATTACTTAGTAACACTTGTTGAACCAGAGGACGTTGGGCATTTGACAATTTAATATGTGACAACCGGTATATAGCTCTTTCTGTACATATAGGGAATCGAGACCAATAATAATCTTTATCCGGTATAAAATCATCGGTTTTTTCGGACGTCTCGGTTTTAGGAATGTTTACGGTAGTATTGGGTAAGGTGCTTGGGGGTTTGTGTTCGCTGAAGCGCTCCTCCCTTGGTATAGATGGACGACGAGAAATTGATGGAATGTTCGCAGCAGGTTTTCCACTACCGACTTCTGATGACTTCTTTTTCGAACTGAAGAGTGACCCAAAGATGCTATCCTTACCAGTCGAAGACTGAGAAGTCAATTGTTCATCGCCTTTCTTTTTTGCTTTATCTTTCTTGTTGTCCTTTTCGTGATCATTTGAAGTAAATAAACGGCCCCAAGATTTTTTTGATTTCTTAGTTTCAGGTGAAGAAGGTGGTTTGTGGTGCGTAGAGGTGGATTGCTTAGGCTCGGGTTCACTTTTGTTCTTTTCCGCAGACACCGGAGGCTTTTCAAGCTCAGTGTGATACTCTTCAATCTTTTCCTTCTTAAGTTTAGAATCCGTTTGGGCAATTTCTCCTAATTTAGATTCAGGAGACGTATGCAAGGACGGTGAAGTTAAATCGTCTGGCTTTATCTCTTCATCCTTTACTTTTTCAGTCTGGGATACGATTCCGCTTTGCTGAAGCTGACTAGGTTCAGAAGGCCGATTAGCTGATGAAATTTTATCTTGAGTTTCTTCACTTAAGTCATCCATTTTATGTTGGGTCTTGCTATCGGGCAACTTTTCATCTATACCAATATTTGTCGTCGAATCAACCATATTCCTGTCATTATCATGCTGTTTTACCTCAGCATTATCTGGTAAAGGTTCCGATAAAGGCGGCGAAGATGGAGCCTTTGCCTTTTGCTCATCTCGGCGAGACATAGAAGTGGAGGGTTTGAGAACACTAAGAGAACGGGATAGACCGTCTTTATTCATGGAAAATGGGGACCTATTACCTAACAAAGTGGAAGCTTTTCCACGATTGATAGTTTTTATTGAAGCACCAGAACGGCGGATAGTAGTACGAGAAGAACGCTGTAAAAATTGGTTCGGTGACACCAAGATTGGGCTATCTTCAGGAGGTTCCGACCTCATGCTATCAACAAGACTTTCCATTTTCTTTGGGTTTCTAGCTAAAGACTCCAGATGTTCCAAGTCTTGTAAGCGCAGCGACTTGCCTCGTTGTATGTTCTTCTTTTCGATAATTGGACTACCATCCTGATAATTCTGAGCAGCATCGTCAGCTTTGACCTGGCGAGATAACAATGATCTCCTTCTTCGCAAAGAGCGTATATGCTGCAAAGGAGTAGCATTGGTATCCATTTGTTTGGGGTGTTTTAAGTTTTTGACTTGCAAGTCTAGAAAGTCCTTCCAACCATTAGGGTTAACTTCTGGGTGCAAATCAGCAGGGACCCAGAATAAAGTAGATGCATCTGACTCTGATTCCGGAGGAGACATCATGACAGACCAATCTGTATGAAGATCGGGATCGTCTGTACCCTGCATGGATAATCGACGAAGGTACGTAAGGGCTTCTCGCTCTTTATCCAAATCTTCTTGAGACATGCCCTCTCCGAGAGCATCCGGTTGAATGCCATTATCTTCATCAAAAGTTTCGTTTGTAGCAAAACTTCTATTTAGGTCGGTTGCACCATTTTGGGAAGAAACCTCAGGAAAGAAATTAGTGCTTACATCTTGGTTGTCATCAACCGTAGAAGTATGCTCACCATATAATTGTTCAGGCGTTGTTTGTGAAGTATTTACTACATCTCCATGAGATGCAATAAAATCTCCTTTTTTATTAGAAATTTCATCGTTGTCTACAAACTCTGGATTTCTTTGGTTAAATTCATCAACATTGGCGTAAGCACCTTCGTAATCAAGGCTTGGCATGTTTGTAACAAAAAGAGAATAAATAGGTTAATGCTGGGAAAATAAGAAAAGAAAGAAAAGAATAGAAAGATAGAAGAAAGAACTTAGCCACTAGCGTGGCCTATGTATAATAAATAAAAGTTTTGGATTATGCAACAGGGAGAATCCAAATCAGGAAAATTAACGGTTAGCTAAATACGAAGCAATCGAGGGTATTAGCTTGTAAAATACTGAAGAAATCGTATCGTTCAACTTCAAAATAAGCTTGCTCTTTGAATCAGATGTGATATCTCTTTTTTTTTTGGGGGGAATTCAAGGAATGACGCTCAGATCAATGCAAATTTTTAGCTAATAGAGAGTGATCAACAAAAATCCTATTCACGTTGAACAGGTAATCCTAGAAAGACGGAATATTTTCCTATGATGAATATTGAAAAGCCTTCGGCCACATGTATAGAAGACTGCAAAGGCGGAACCAAAGAAGATGCAAATAATTAAAACATACAAATGCAAGGATGATACTTAATCAAGACAAAGAACACAAAGAGAACGGATTCGTTTGCTGAAGGAATGCTATTATTGCAAACTGAGCAAAAGCGATCAAAGAACGGTTGAGTACCAAAGTCAAGGATTTTAGGTGCAAACGAAAGAAATAACAGATACAATGCTTTACTGAAGCCTTTTATGAAGCAATGCTATCAAGAATAAACAATGCTTGTAAACAAATACCAAAGACGTCAAAACTTCGAAGAAATTCGTATACTTCAAAAAAAATCCCAAAATGTTTTAGGAAATTCGAAAGGTGATGCAGCTTGCGTTAAGTATGACTCAAAAATCAAGTGTTAAAGCGACAGACCTGATGAATCAAGATTCCTGAACTGAATTGGTGAGACTTCTTGTTTCCGAAATCCTATGTCTTCCATGAAATAAGGATGCGCACGAATGTGGATGACATTTTTTAAATCTCCAACGAGACTTCACTAATATGTAAACAAACCTAAATGTATAAAAATGTTAAATTAATTGCCTTTGCACGTAGAAGAGATAGTAAGTATAGGAGAAGTAACTATTTTCGTAAGTATTTATATCAATTTGGTATCCTTCTCAATAAATCATTGTGTTTTAATTTGTTTGATGACCTAGGGTTTGGACACCTTCACAAACCAGTAAATCAAGAAATATGGCATTTTATCTTTTGAAGAATTTACAGAATCAAATAATTGGAAGCAACAATGTTGTATTTATCATCATGAAATTAATGCATGAATTTGTATATCTTTTACATTACATGCACGTAACCCATTCCATCGAACAAAGTTGCAGGTTTGTCATATATAGAAGAGATATCCAAACCAGAGTACAATAGTTCTTTTATGTTTTTTTATTCTTTCTTTTATTTTCGCTTCAATCGAAAATAGATATGGTTCCCATTTTTAACTTGTACCTGAATTTCTCGCTTTGTTTACATACCATGACGTGAAAGAGAAACACGCTTCTGAAGTAACAACGACAGGTAACACAATGTTATAATCGCAAGAGAATAACCATGGACGGGGATTACTTGTAAAAAGCCATATCCATGAATGAAAAAACTGCTTCACCGAATAAAGATGCGGTTCCTCAAACGGACGCTTACATGGGTCTGTGCAATTCGCTCACATACCGATTTGAAGGATGGAGGCATCTTGTAGAAAATCTTATATCTTTCTTTAAACAGCTTGAATCTTTGTCGAAATCCACATCAAAAGAATACTTAAAATTGAGTAAAACAATAACGCATCCCTCCAAAGATGTGAACATATTTGATGAACACGGAGTGCAGGATGTGTTTGCGGCCTTGCGAGACCAAACTGCTGCTATATCGACAGATAACGAGCAATTATCTATTCAGCTTCCCGGAGCTATTATTAAGGTCTTAGAATTACTTCGTGATGACTTGAAAGAGCACTGTAAAAAAATCAATGCTGATGGTACCAAGGGTGTAAAGGGCGTAGAAAAGCAACGTTCAGAATCGCAGAAGCTTCTTGTACAACTAGACCGTGCTTTATTACCTTGGGGAAGTGATAACCCGGCTTCTATAAATGTAAAAAATGATCCTTTTATTGTTGATCGCCTTGTCCTTAACTCCCTAGCTCGTCAAGTCGCCGAAGAGAACAATCACGTTCAATCAGTGGCCCAAATTCAAGAACTTTCTTTTCGATTTGAGCAAAATACTATTTCAAAAATCAAGGATATAATACGCCAGTTTGAAGTACTCATGAACCAAACCTTTACCAAATCCATAAATCATGTGCGTGAAGTTTTACAAGTATCCGAAGCACAAACTTTAACCGCTGAATGGTCTTCATATGCCAAACGGGAACCTGATTTTATCAAGGGTTCTGTAACACCTCGAATATATACCGAATTACCGTATCCCGGTAAGAATAAACCACCTACCGTTCCAATTATTGCTGGTTATTTAATTCGAAAGACCACAATCATGAAGAAAAAGCAAAGAGGATTTTATGCTTTTACTCGTTCTGGTTATCTTTACGAATTCAAGTCCTCAGATCCTCAAGTCGATCCTGAACCGGAGTTCGCCTTATACATACCCGATTCCTTAATTGGTCGTCCCTCGGACAAAAAGGCAAAGTTTAAGATTACTGGAAAAGATGCGACGAACAAAGTATTCGGATCTCGCTCAGACTACTCTTTCCGCGCCAGTAATCAGGTTGAATTGATGAAGTGGTGGGAAGCCCTAAATACCTATATTTCCGGATACCATCAACCCGCGTTTACACAAGAAAACATGCGTCCTCCAGCAGAGGCTGTCTCTGAGAGTGATGATGATGATGATGATTTTCAACCTACAGCCGAGGCTCGCAGAAATACCGTCCGTAATACACCGACTGCTGCTTCCCGCATCAACTCTCAAGAAACCCGGCCTCAAACTCAATCTTCAGATAAAGTTCCCTCATACAATGACAGCCAAGCAGATCCTCCCGTTAATGATTTTATTTTTCAGTCTGATTTGAGTGGACATAATGCTTGGAATGTGTAATCTAGAGGAATTACATCGATGTACATACATTTTTTATTTAAGAATGAGCGTTCTTCGGAGTGTGAATGTTTATCTATTAAATTCATGGTTATATTGGCCTGTAATATATTATGCTTGTCAATTTACGAATTATCTTGAAATGTGAATTGTCATTCAGGTTTTATCTCGTCCGATTACTGATTAATTCTTTTTTAACTTGCTATTGGCAATATTCCATAGTTGCTATCGTTTCCCATGTTCTTAATTATTCTTTATACCCAAGAAAGCTGTCAAAATAGATTCTAATTACCCAGGTTACCACATCATATACAGAATAAACTCACATGTATGTTATTCACTAAAGCTCATTCCATTTTGTAAGAGTTTCCTACATGAATTTAGGGCTAAAAGTTGTTTACCTTTATTGAAGTTTAATGAACTACGTAAAAAACTTCCACCTACAATTTTAAAGGAACTATACTTTGGATGGAATTTGTATTCTATTGAGGTTTGATATGCGTTTAGGTGAAGCAAAATGGTGAAAGATGAAATTAATGGAATGGCAAATGGGGAAAAAATGTATCAGGAGCAAGATATTGTATACAAATCAAAGGTGTACGCTTTCAAAGATGGAGAGTATCGAAAGGCGGAAATCTTGATGATTCAGAAAAAGGCCAGTGGCACTTTCTATTATGTACATTACGACGATTATAACAAACGGTTGGATGAATGGATTACTATCGAAAATATTGATTTAAAAAGAGGAATCGAGTACCCACCTCCGGAAAAGCCAAAAAAAGCTCACGGAAAAGGGAAATCAGCAGAATCAAAATACCCAAAGAATGATCGAAGGAAATCTTTTACTAAACCTTCTAAAACCGAACCGAGTACACCTTCAGCTAAAGTTGAACCCTCTACCCCTTCTATCGAGAGTGATCATGGATCAAATGCGGGCAATGAAAGCCTCCCTTTGTTAGATGAAGATGAAAAACAAAAAGTTCCAGTATCCAAAGAAGAGGAAGTAGAGCGACTCCGTTTTAGTGGATCTATGGTTCAAAATCCCCATGAGATCGCTCGTATTCGAAATATCAACAAGATTCAGCTTGGTGATCATGAAATTGAGCCTTGGTATTTTTCTCCTTATCCAAAGGAGTTTTCTGAAGTAGACGTTGTTTACATATGTTCTTTTTGTTTTTGCTATTATGGATCCGAACGCCAATTTAAGCGCCATCGTGAGAAATGTAGCTTGCAACATCCTCCTGGAAATGAAATATACAGAGACGACTACATCTCGTTTTTCGAAATTGATGGTCGTAAACAGAAGACTTGGTGCAGGAATGTCTGTCTTCTATCAAAATTATTTTTAGACCATAAAATGCTTTATTATGATGTGGATCCATTTTTATTTTATGCAATGTGCCGACGAGATGAATATGGTTGCCATCTAGTTGGCTACTTTTCAAAGGAAAAAGAATCAGCTGAAAATTACAATCTTGCATGTATTTTAACCTTGCCCCAATATCAGCAACACGGTTACGGTAAACTGTTAATTCAATTCTCGTATGAATTGTCCAAAAAAGAACACAAGCATGGTTCACCAGAAAAGCCTCTTTCTGATTTGGGGTTAATTAGTTATCGAGCTTATTGGGCAGAACAAATTATAACCCTTGTCTGCAGTATGCGAAATGAAACCACCATAGATGAACTTGCAAACAAGACGGCTATGACTACAAATGATGTTCTGCATACACTTCAAGCCCTTGATATGCTGAAGTACTATAAGGGACAATTTATCGTCTGTATCACTGAGGGTATTGAGCAACAATATGAAAGAATAAAGTCAAAGAAACGAAGAAGGATTGAGCCAGAATTGCTTTCTGAGTGGCAGCCTCCAGTATTTCATCCTTCTCAGTTACGTTTTCGTTGGTAAATATTTTTAATTAGATTGTGGATTGCTGGCCAATTCCATACGATATGATAATCTTTGTTTGAGAGAGTAGAAGTTGTATAATAACGAACTATTGTGTAACAGAAGCTTGCTTAATGAATCAATTATCGATTACAATATATATTAGGCATAGAAAATTCATTCCTATAAGTAGGGCAATGATCTTCGGTATTCAGCATATGTCTATTAATAACCCAAAAAGTAATTCAATTATCCTTCGTACAGACTATTATCTTTTGCCAGGTCGGTTTCCTATCCATTTTTTGAATACTAATTACAAAAAGATGATATCTTGATCGAAGTCTATTTCTCTATGCCTGCTGGATGTTTACCAAACCTTTAGCTAGCAATCCTTCTGTGAGCTTTTTAAGTACCAAAGCAGCTTCTGGTAATATTATATTTGGGTAACGAAGACTGACCCAAAGATATACCACGATCATTTTATGAAATTTTTCTAAATCAACTAACTCTTCATTAGTGTTCGGTACTCCTTTGTCAATAATATCAAGAGGCAGGTAAGGATGATCATATACTTGCATTCGCCTACCGGTCGCAATGTGCTTTCCAAGTACTTGCACAAATTCGGGGGCATTTGGAAGCTGTCTACCAATGGGTATTCCTAGCAGAGAAATTTTATCTTCTACGGTCAGGTCTCGCACAGTTTCAAGTAAATCCAAAGTGAAAAAGTTCACATCAAAATTTGACGGAGAATAAAGTCCATGGACTTTAAAAAGTTTTGAATAGCGTTCCAAAATCATGCGAACCGGGACATCACTTGGGAAAAGGGTGCAGAATTTTTGGAAAACATAGTCAGGGGGCTTAATGCAAGCTCGAGTTAAATTTTTTATCGGAACTTTCATTGCAAATTTCAATGCTTCATAATCTTCTTTGTACAATGTCGTGACCACACCCGGTGATTGTTCTGAGTCGGACGCCTGATGTCGACCGGCTCTTCCGGCTATTTGTTTCACTTGGGAAGCAGGAATATCAATGATCTCTTTACCGCTAAATTTTTTAAGTGTGTGAAAAATGATCCTTTTCACTGTTAAATTCAATCCCATTCCGATAGCGTCTGATGCTAACAGGATTTTTTCTTCATGACTATCAGAATTGAATAAGCTAGCTTGTTGATTGCGGACTTCAGGAGGCAATGAGCCATATATCACAGCTGTTCGTTTCCCCATTTTTTCTTCAACCTTTTTTTTCAAAGCAAAAATATCTTTACGTGAGAAAGCTACCAAACAGTCACCTTCGCGTAACTTCAATTTACCCCTCAAACTTCTATTCGCAACTTTAAGGGGATTAAGTCGATTATAATGATGAACAGTAAAATCATCGCCAGTCGACTCCGAAATAGCCTTGACTAAATTTACAGCACTTTCCTCTCCACATAAGTGAATTTCTTTAGCATTAAGTCCTAGTAAACACTCTGTCCAAGCGAAACCTCTATCCGGATCAGCTATCATTTGTATTTCGTCGACAACTGCAACGTCAAAGGAGGTTTCAGACCTACACATTTCAACCGTACAGGATACAACTTGTGGAATAACATGGGGTTTTCTGATCTCTTCTCCTGTAATCAAGTTGCATTTAATACCATCGGCGTTTAGCCGATTAAAAACTTCGTGAGCTAAAAGGCGTAATGGACCAGCATATATACCTTTTTCGCTCTGTTTCAGACGCTGTAAAGCATGATATGTTTTCCCGCTATTTGTGGGACCTACGTGCATAATAATGTGTCGTTTCTGGCTTCGTGCAGCTGGGTACAGCTCTCCCGGGTTTCTAATATTAGTTAGCTGTCTTTGTAGTTCCACATTAGTATTTTCTAAAATATCTCTAAACCTTGCATATGCAAAGAAGCTATCTGCAATGATTCGCTGAAGGTGGATTAAATAAGAGGTGTAGTTTTTCTGATGCAAAGGCCTCCTCAAGTATTCACGATCACTATAGTAAATATCAGAAGTTATTTCGTTTCTAGAGGAAATCAAGGACTTCAATGCCCTTTTTTTTAATTCATAGTAGGTTATTTCTTGGTCCGTCCTCGCGTTTCGACAACGCTCTAAAAATATCGGCAGATATCCAGTTGGGTATTCAATATTTTGCTTTGCAAAATAAGTCTCCATACCGCTCAACGCTGATCTCCATAGTATAGTCCCTGGTGAGTCACGCGGTAAGAATTTTTTATGCACACTTATCGGAATAGTACTGTACAGCCGTTTAAACGAATAGCAAGATCCAATATGAAGTTTACTGATGAAGAATGAAAGCTTCATTTCGAAACAATGAATCCAAAACCCAGGAAAAGAGTCAATCAACGAGTGAATTGGGTTCAAAAAAGGGATTTTATCAAAAAAATATCATAAATTAGGGTAGTCCTCAAAGATTTCTAAAATCCGCGAATATCTAACGCTTGGTATATAAATTCTTACAAAATCTTTCCAATAACGTAGCAATTAATCCATAAAAACACCTCTATTATTATTTTATCATGAATTTAGTTTGTAAAATTCGGAATTTAACGCCAGTTAAACAGCGTCTGCACCTACAAAGGCTGAATAAAAAACAAATGTTAGTGTTTACGATACACCAGGAGTTTAACGCATGTTACCAAATATCAGTAAATAGAGTACCGTAACGTAGCACAACCCACCATACTAGAGTCCAGTATGGAAACAGCGACGCACTCTTGTTATTAACCAAGCATAGCTTATACTCAACTAAACTTCTTCAAATTGTCTTTTATAGAATTTACTCAAGATGGTGTTGGAGGCTAATATGTTGTTGTACGTAGAAATAGGAAATTTCTGAGTCTAACGAGTTTAGAATTGACAACTCTGAATGGATGATTAATGGAGACTATATACCCAATAGATTTGACGCTCAAAAAGACACTGTACATTTGATATTTAATCAAAAAATCAATGACAATCCAGAAACTATGTGCGGTTTGATGACGATGGGTGACAATAAGTAAGGATTTTCAGAGGCTGGTTATGTGTGTGTTTATTAACAGTGTTGTGTTCTTTAGTCCTCAGGTGTTGAGTACGTTGACAAGAGATTATGGAAAATTTTTATCAGCAATGCATGACTTACCTGTTCGTGGTGACTCGAAATTTGGAGATGCGATTCAAATTGCTCAACTTGCCCTGAAGCATCGAGAAAACAAGACTCAAAGACCTAGAATTGTTGCATTCGTTGGATCCCCTATCGTTGAAGATGAAAAGAACTTGATTCGCTTGGCGAAGAGAATGAAGAAAAATAATATAGCTATTGATATTATCCATATCGGAGAACTCGAAAGCGAAGGTGCATTACAGCGTTTTATTGAAGCTGCAAATTCGAATGATAATTGGTATGACAAAAAAAGTATCGATTTTATTCTAACATGTCTTTAGCCATCTTGTAACTGTCCCCCCAAGCTCGCAACTTCTTTCAGACTTGGTGAACCAATCTCCAATTGGACAAGGGGTTCCTGCTTCTCAAGGACAATTCGAATATGGTGTTGATCCTAATCTTGACCCCGAATTAGCTTTGGCTTTAGAGCTTTCCATGGCCGAAGAACGGGCTCGTCAAGAAGTTGCTGCCCAAAAGCCTGCTGAGCCATCTGAGCCAACCGAAGAACAAAGCGATAAAAAAATGCAAGAATAATTTTTATTTGTTTGCATGTCTTTGGTTGAATGCTAATTATTACTTACGACATATCCGAAAATACACACCAATCGGTACGGTGGAATCAATTTTGTTTATACATGAAAGTGAATTATCCATGTGCAAATTAGAAAACGTGTTAGAACTCGATGTTCTTGAATGAATACTTGTTTATGAAATTTGATACTTACTATTATGTCTCTGACTATTTTCTGTGTTACAACTAAATTTTTATTTTCAACAGATAAAGATATATATTTAATTTCCACTTTCCATAAATGCCATGAAACCCAAAACCTTGTATGATATAGATTATTTATGGACGTTATACAATACAGACTAAAGCTAGTATATACGATCGATCAATCCATCAAACAAATCCAAAATTCTTTCTATTTTATGGTGAAGAACGATAAACCATTCCGAGTACTTTCGACAGAGTTAATTAGTTTCACATTTTCTGCGTCTGTCCACTGTACGGATAGCTCATCCCATTTTTTTGTCTGATACTCTTTTCGAAATGTCTGGCGAACACCATTCAACCTGGACATCTCTATGGGATTTCCAGTTCCAGTGTAAATCATAAATAGCGTACCGCTCGGGAGAGAATCGTATAAAAGTCGGATTCTTCTATTCAGATGAGCCAATGCTTGGGAATAATCTATTTTATCGTTGTCTTGCTCCCCAGCACTTGTATCCGAATCCGTGCCGTTGCTTTGTTTTTGGTTTGCTCTATTAACATTCCATTCGGCCACTTGTTCGACTTCCCTTAGTCGAGCCCAAACAAAATTATGCATATCGGATAAAGTAACAACAGCACTAATAATCTCATCATCATTTGAACATGATACGTTTTTGTGAGCTGCTTTTCCAATGCAAGCTTCTGGATTTCCATAATCAGCGACTGCACCAATTAAGGGTGTTGGCTGTTGTCGCGAAAGACGATGGAAAATTGATTCAAAATCTTGGTTAAATAAACCAAAGCTAGGACCATTTTTAACCTTAAGTTTTAATAGTTCGACACAAGTAGCGGCATCTTCTGCCGAATCGTGACCTAAAGCTCCGCCCTTCTGGATTTCCTTATGCAACCATTTGGAGGCTAACCATTTAAGGGCTGGTTTTGAAGGAGGACCACGTGTGTGATTATAAATATTGGCTGTATCTATAATATGAGGATGAACAAACCGAAGACAATTCAGATCCGAATTGAGACTGTGTCCTAGGAGAACCACGTTATTATCAATTGTGTCCAGAAAATATGCATGTACATCTGCTAGCCTAGTGGTGACTGGAGCTAACTTTTCCTCAGTAATACCAGAAAATTGAGTTACATAATTAGTAACTGGGAAATCTGGCTTGACAAGCTCATCATACAAGACTTCATTTTTCATATCAACGATGGTGACACGAGCAATTTCTGACCCATTTTCAGTCTTTACCATCTCACAATCCATAGCTAGTATTTTTGGATCCTGTGGACGTTGATGGAAATCAGCTTTAGAAGCTGCCCAACCTTCAGGAAGTTCAACGGATTCAGATTCAAGTTTGATCGTTGGGTGTAACGGATACTCATCTTCTACGAAAGATTCGTAGGACATGAGGTAATCCTCTGGTTTACTAGACTTTGACATGGCCTTCATTTCTCGATCTCTCCTCTTTTTTTGTTCATTGCTTAAAACCGATTGTAAAAAAGCATTTACTGGAGAGAAGACACGATAGCGATCACCAGGAGATCGGGTGGGCCATGCGAGTTTAAAAATGTCATCAAACTCTGACAGTTCGCTAGGTGTGTTATCCTTTAAGGTTGATGGTAATAAAAACGAATGTTTATCACCCTTTACAGGTTTGAATCCAAATTGCGAAGGCTCTAAACCTGGTACCAGCAGAACCACTGCACGCCTAATATGCTGTTTGTTTCGTACCAAAACCCAGGACGGCGCTTGTCCGTCAGCAAGACACCAAAATAAAAGCTCTTGTAAATCTGCAATTTTTATAGGCTTCTGTAAATTGTTCTCTGTAGACTGCAATCTGGGATAGTTTTCATCATTAAGAGGTTGCTTCGACTTCTTCAACTTTTTCTTTTTCTTTTTCTTCTTTTCACTGTCGTCTTTTTCATCCGGCGACTCTTTCCCTGATTTTGAGGAATCGCTTGAAGAAGAGCCAGTCTCAGCTTTTCGCTTCAACTTTTTTCGTTTTTTTTCTATCTGATGCTTTTCTAACTTAGCATCCTTTAGCTCTTCCTTCTTCATCCCATTTTGAACGGCCGCCATAATTTGGATTCCACTACAATTTGGTTTGTCTGAAGAAAGTGTTTTGATATATTGAAGACGTACTTGTTATAATAATTTCCCAATTTCCAAAACAATTTTCTAACATTAGCTTATATTTTGTTACGTATGTAATACATTTGTTTTTAGAAGAGAAATAAAAACGGATTTCATATCTATATATTTTAGTAAAAGCTATAGGGACGTAAACTTGTCATTCAAATCTCTATAAAACAATTTTAGGTTTGTACAATATGCAGAAAGCGTTTTAATCAAAATTTTTTTAACCATTATCCCAATTAAGTATATCATTCCATATTCCCTTATTTTCTAATGTCATAATCATCCACGGTATCCGTAACTGTTGCGATTACGGGGCTTTTCTAATAAGATCCTTTCTGTGCTTGTAAGTTTTGATCCACTTTGTTTATAATATCAATTATAATTTCAGACGCTGGAGATTCGGGGCATTCATCAACAAAACTTTTACCAAAGTCACAAGAACGAGCAATAGCAGGATCCAGAGGCACACGTCCTAAAAACGGAATATTCATTTCCTGTGCCAATGCTTCACCCCCTCCGGTATTTACAGTAAATATATTAGTTTTATTTCGACAAGAAGGGCATACAAATCCACTCATGTTCTCGACAACACCTAAAACGGGAATTGAAGCCTTTCTACAGAAATCGATTTCTTTACGAACATCTTGTAAGGCCACTTCTTGAGGGGTCGTAACGACAATGGCGCCGTCAATTCCAGCATTCTTAAAGAATTGGACCAAGGACAAGTGCTCGTCGCTGGTTCCTGGAGGTGTGTCAACAATAAGAAAGTCCAAATTCTCCCAGTTGACATCTTTAATAAACTGTTTGATTAATCCATTCTTTTTCGGTCCTCTCCAAATTACTGATGAATCATCACTGGGCAACAAGAAACCGATAGACATAACCGCTAAATTAGGACACACATAAATTGGAGACCAACCCTCACTGGACTGATGAGCTTCTTCTTTTTCAACACCCATAATCCGGGGAATCGATGGTCCACAAATATCGACATCCATTAAGCCAATTTGTTTGTCTTCTTCTAAAGATAGTGCCCATGCCAATTGAGAGGAAAACGTAGATTTTCCTACACCGCCTTTTCCAGAAAGAACGAGAACTTTGTTTTTAATCTTACTCAATCGTTCTGTCACCAACGGTAAGTCTGGATCCTCTCCTCGAGGAGCAGAGGCACAAATTGCTTGATTTGGGCATCCTGCACAAGCTGATGCTGCTCCTGCACTTTCAGACGACGGTCCGGGACAGTGCTCTGGCGCATCAATGGGCTTTGTTTCTTGAATTTGCATGAATATACGCGGTTTTCTTTCTCTTAATTAATCAAAACGATCACTTCCTCACTCACTGGGACAAAACAAGCACAATTGTTTCTAAAAGCCAAAATAGTTTTCAACAAAAGACTGAAGATCTGATTCTTAAGATTTTTTTTTTGTTTTTTTTGTCTTGCGTTTAATACCTTCAGGGATTACGATGCCTCTAAATATATATATATATATGTACAGAGAGATGCTTTGTAAGCTTAGCTGAAGATTCAGTATTATAGTAATATAACAAGGTGGCAATGGATAGCGATACTTATCACACGATACTATACTCATTGCCGTAATTAAGTACCATATCACTAACCATATTTACGGATTGCAGTGTAGCAGCAACTTGAATTATATAGTACATGTAATAAAGTCAATGAAGACGCCTGCCTAAATCAGTGAGTTTGTTCTATATATTCTACAATTGTATTGATTCTAAAAGACAATTCTTGTTAAAATATGCGTAGCTATAATCTACCATTTCTCATACTTTTCATATTCCTAAAAATTTTATTCTCTTCCAACGCTTTTATCCTTTAATAAATTTACAAAACGAGTTCAAGAAGATGAAATTTCAGAAGCAGGTGCGGTAGGCTCCTCAAAAGTTTCAGGAGGAACAGAGTACAAACGCAAAATGGGTCTGTTGGGATCTTTGACGAGAGCATATTTGCCATCAGGCATCTTTAAACAGATATCAGCGATAGTACGTACAATACCCCATCCATTGCTCAAGCTCATGTTCATTTGATTGGCCAAATCAGCAGGCTTGTAAGCAACAACACCAAGGATACCATGATGTTGAGCATCGCGGATATTCGAACGGCTAACAAAACCAATCTTCATGGTATCAACGCCAGCTAAAAGAGCTTCAGTCGTCCAGCGAGCAAGCTTGCAGCTGTTATTCTTCATCTCAGTAGCAAAAACAGCACCACGTTGGCTTTCAAGCTTAGAGCGCCAGTCTACAGAGCCAGCTACATTGGTGAACTTGGGGTCATACTCATTCAAAGCTTTAATGGAAACATATTGGACGTCATTAGAGGGGGTCTTCATGTAACCATCAACTTCGGCACGAACCATCAAATTCACTGGCTTTTCGTCCGAGTCAAGAGACAAGTTAACCTTACGGTAAACATAACCATGTGCAGCCAAAGGATCATTCTCTTCCTTGGGGTTGTAGAAGGGATTAGGATGACTCAAGTCATGCTTTTCTTCATCAGCTTCACGAACAGCTTGGACAGAGAAGTTTTGGTTGATGTAAGTGGCTTCTACAGACAAGGCACCAGGGGAGTTAACTCCTTCACGATCATCATTGTCCATAGGGGAATCGTAAGCATTTTCATTTACGGTAAGATAATCAAAAGGACCACCTTCGCGCTTATCGAAGAAAAGCTTGCCGCTTTGACGAGTAATAACGATATCCCAGGGGTAAACGGAACGAGTAGAACACATCAACAAAGACAAGATACTATCAGTAATAAAGATGTTGGCTTCACTAGAAACAGCGAGCTTTTGAATAACAGGATCTTCAGTAGTGGTAGTGTTGTAATGAACGCGATCCAAAGCTTGTAAAGGTTTCTCAGATTTGACGTGCACTTTGTCGAAAGTCTTGTCATAAGGATAGACATAACCGTAAGTGTCGACAGTCTCAGGAGCGGCAGCGGCCAAATTGAGCTTGGATAAATGGCTAAACTCAACTTCCTCGAGTAGCTCCCATTCATTGCCAACAGCAACACTAGCATTACGGATGCGTTGATGCTTGTCATAATCTTTCCAGCCAAAACGACGGCCTCTGGCACCACCACCGCCGCCGGAAGCTCGACTCATAACAGTTTCGCTGCCACCACGGCCAGCACCTCCACCGAAACGTCCACCGCGTCCAGCTCCACCGCGTTGGGTATTTTGACCGCGACCACGTACCTTCAATAAAGTTCCACCGTTACGGGCAGATGTACGAACGCGGTTCACAGAACCACGATCAATAACAGAGAACGAAGATTCATCCTCGGAGTGTTGATAAGCAAAGACAGAAGCGGCACCATGACCATATGTTTGATATTGATCACGAAATCTATTAACAAAAGCACCTTGACGGCCTCTCTGTTCGCGGCCATCCTTAGGTTGCTCAACAGACCAGTCAGCAATTTTACCTAGACGGTCACCTTTGCTGAAAGGAGCATAAGGGACATCGTCATTGAACTGCTCAGTCTCATGAGGCCCCCATGCTGATTTTACGGGTGGTAAGTCAGGCAATTTAAATCCAGTTGCCATTTGGGAGTGGTGAAGTTTTAGTTGGCCGTTGGAATATAACACACTTCAACGAATGCTCAATGTTCATAGAAGATATCGCAATAAGGAGGTAAATTACTACAATATCCAAAATATGAGAAAACCAAATAAATCATCAAAATGAATGAAGAGAAGCAAGTAAGCATCATAGAAAACCTTCTTTTATACAAGTGATTTAGAAATGTGAGTCGATTTATGCATACCAAGTTATTTTACAAACATGACAATAGATGTATGGAATACTACTTAATCAACGATGGATAAATCTAGAGAATGAGACATGGAAGCACCAAAGGCAAAATAAACGAAGATGCTTTCTCACAATTTTTTAAATCTAATGTGCAATAAATAGCTAGTGATCGATGAATGATAAAACCAGTCAAACCAAAACTATCTGCACAAGCTCAATCTAAAAGCAAGAATGGTCTACTACAATTGGAGAAACGTACGAAAAGTAAATAAAAAGATGTTTCATTTCTAATAACAATGATAAACTATTAGGTATTATGTCAAGTCTTTCTGCATTTGAAGACAGGATAATACCCTAGGTCATCATCATCTTTAACACAACGAATATAATAAAGCAATTTAGACTTTCCACTAGTAATTGAACACATATTCTAGAATGATATTTAGCTCATATATGTTATATATATTTTAGAAAACACAAAACATATGGGTACATTTCCAGAACCCAAAACTTCCCTACATATAACTTTTTCAGAAGAATATTAGTCTAGCAAATTGTAAATAGCTGTAAAATAGATAGAAATCGAATTAGGGATGCAAAGAAGAGATTTTAAAAGAATGACTCAAGAAAACAAATGCATAGATCGGTTAAAAAAAGAATGAAAGTAATTTTGAAAAACCAGATCGCCTTCCCTGTATGGACTGGTACTGTTTCATTTCCTCCTTGCAATTTCTGCCATAATTACAACCAGCCAAGTTAACCAAGAAGTCCCTCTGCTTATGACTGTAGAAAAATCGAGGATTGCTACTGTCGGCTTCACAAGCGCCTTTAGTATAAGCATTTAAAGTCCGCAAAGGAACAAAGGCAATTCCACTACGTAACCAAGCATTATGCTCGTAAAAATATTCAAGCACGTTCTGTTCGTCATGTGGCCATTCAGTATGTTTTTGTCCATAAACTACAGGATCCCATAGGAAGTCTATAAGTCGCTTCGACCATTCGCTGCGACGGATAATAAAAGAGCCAAGGCTAAAGCCATTGCAATCCTGTCCCATGATAAGACTAATATCATCGGAATAATCCTCAAAAGGGATTTGCTTGTAACTACGAGGGTTGAACTCCATGGGATCAGTAATGTTGCGAACGGCTATCTTTGGAAGACGATTAATAATATGATTCTCAATAGAGTACTGAGGCTCCATAATATAGGTAGTTAAATCTAACCACCAAAACCATTCAGCGTTAGGATACTTTTCCATGGCTTCAGATATATAGTCTGCTTTTTCCCAAGATTCTCGCCATTCATGAGCATAGCGTCGCTTCATCCCTTCGCTCTTAAAAATTAAGTCATATCCATGGCGTTTCGCATAATCTTCTTTATTTCTCTTGGAAATCTTTTCTAAATCCCATTCATCAGCCCTTTTCACATCCATAACACCACCACCGTCATTAACAGCGACTATCATCACCACTTTACTGTGGTGAGGCTGTGAATTTAAATGGTGCTTGAACAAAAACCCAAGGCATAGCACGAGAATAACGAAAAATGCTACTTTCTGCAGAAACGATCTTTTCGTATATATTTTAGAACCAGAATCTAGTAAGTTCGAGGTGCCTGGTTTAGGATAAGGAAATGATTTAAACTTTGCCAGGGCTTCCGACTTTTTCTTTGGATTCCACATTTTCCTGAATATTTCGACGGTTTTTGTAATTTACAAACTTTCCGGAAAGAATTCGGGCAAATCTCAATGGATTGCCGCAAACGTTTTAGGATTCCTTCAAAAGTGTGGAGTTTTTTGGGATTTGACAGAGGTGAAGTGCATGCACGTAGAACAAAGGTAAGGCTGGTGTAAGTATTGTTCCACCGTGGAGGTAGATATAAATAATTATGAGAGAAAATAATGATGCTTTATCTTTAATTGTATTTTTATTTAATTATTTCTTTAGTGAGTTCGACATGGGCACTTTGGCTTTCGTAGCGGCAGCACAGAAAAAAAAATATATATGTACATATATAGAAAAGATAGAAATCTACGATAAAAAGAAAATGTAGAGAAATCAACAAATTAATGGATCTTTTAATGTATCGAATGCTTCGACTATTCAATTAGGTCGGCATAAGCTGTCAAAGGTGTCCGTACATCATGCCGAAAGCATAATCTTTTCCGAAGACACCTTTCATAAAATAAAATAAAAGATAATTTATCAAAAGTTAACTAGAATACGAAAATTAAAGTCTATATTCCCTACAAACATGTTTAGTTTCTAAAACGTGTTTTAACACGCAAGGGGACGTTAATTCCTTTTAGTATAGTTTTAACAGAGTATGTAAGATTATTAACGCATCAGGAAACCTCATTATGTAGTGATAAGGGTATCAGAAAGTCGCCTTATTCCTAAGATCTATACGAGTTTGACGCCCGTTGAGCGTGAATTTCCAGAGAACCATATTATGACTTCGCTCTTTGATCTAAATGCAGCAGCGGCTGTCAAGTAAGCATTAAATAAATACAAATGTCAGCTAATTAATTTAGGGACTATTCTGTCAAGCCTAAGCTATCGTACAGCACTGTGAGTGCAATTACTGGCCCTTTGGTGATCCTTGAGTAAGTCAATTGGACAGAGAAACAGCAGTGAAATACCTAGAAAGAATACTAACCATATTTCAGTAATATCCGAAGCCCAAAATATAATGAAATTGTGAACCTGAATTTGGCGGTATGAACTCATTGAAGAACTCAACTTGCTTAGGAGAAATAAGCATGTTTGAAGATAGTTTGTGAACTAATTTGATTATCTAACCTTTCGTGTTTCAGGATGGATCTGTTCGATCTGGTCAGGTTTTGGAAGTTGCTGGTTCTAAAGCCATTGTGCAAGTTTTCGAAGGTACATCTGGAGTTGATGTCCGTAAAACTAGCATAGACTTTTCGAGACATTCTATGCGAATTCCTGTTTCTGAAGATATGCTTGGACGGGTTTTCAACGGTTCTGGTGTCCCCATCGATAAGGGTCCCAGCTTGTTGGCTGAAGACTATTTAGATATCAATGGATCACCTATCAATCCATATGCTCGTATTTATCCAGAAGAAATGATTCAAACCGGTATTTCCTCCATTGATGGTATGAATAGTATAGCTCGTGGTCAGAAAATTCCTATTTTTTCTTCTGCCGGTCTTCCTCACAATGAAATTGCTGCACAAATTTGTCGTCAAGCTGATTTGGTCAAAAAGCCTACTAAAGATGTTCATGATGGTCATGAAGAGAACTTCTCTATTGTTTTCGCTGCTATGGGTGTGAATTTGGAAACAGCACGTTTTTTCCAGCGTGATTTTGAAGAGAACGGTTCTCTTGAACGTGTAACTCTCTTCCTCAATTTGGCTAATGATCCTACCATTGAGCGAATCATTACTCCACGATTAGCTCTTACTGCTTCTGAGTTTTTGGCTTACCAGACCGAAAAACACGTTCTTACCATTCTAACAGATATGACTTCCTATGCCGATGCACTGCGAGAGGTCTCCGCCGCTCGTGAAGAAGTTCCCGGTCGTCGTGGTTATCCTGGTTACATGTATACAGATTTGTCTACTATTTATGAGCGTGCTGGTCGTGTTGAGGGTCGAAACGGTTCTATAACTCAAATTCCCATTTTAACTATGCCTAATGATGGTATGTTCATTTTCATTTTCCTTTTTTTTTTTTTTGTTTTATTTTTAAATCTTGTGCTAACGTTTATTTTAGATATTACTCACCCAATTCCAGACTTGACCGGTTATATTACGGAGGGTCAAATTTTTGTAGACCGACAACTTCAGAATAATGGTATTTATCCTCCTATCAATGTTTTGCCTTCACTTTCGAGATTGATGAAATCTGCTATTGGTGAAGGAATGACTCGCAATGATCATGGCGACGTTTCCAACCAACTTTATGCGATGTATGCTGTTGGTCGTGATGCTGCTTCTATGAAATCTGTGGTTGGTGAAGAGGCGTTATCTCAAGAAGATCGTTTGGCTCTAGAGTTTTTAGGTAAATTTGAGAAAACCTTCATTCAGCAGGGTGCTTATGAAAATCGCTCCATTACTGAAACTTTAGACTTGGCTTGGTCTCTTCTTCGCATCTTCCCTCGTGAAATGCTCACACGTGTTCCAAAGAAGATCTTGGATCAGTACTACACAAGATCATCTAAAGACGTGCTTGACAGCTCTGAAGATTCTTAACTGATTATCCCGTAGCTTTAATCTTTTAATTTTGTTGATCATTGAAGGATTTGCTTCAAATAATGCTGTTTATAAATAAATTACTTTCCTCAGTTCAATAAATGGAAGCTTAAGTGTAACAAAGAAGGTATGCTATATTAAGTAATAAGAAATTTAAGCTATGAATTAACACTACCAACCGCGAACCTTTTGTACTTAGAAAACTTCATTCATATGTAAGTTTTTGAAATAACAAGATCAAGCAGTAAACACATTTTTAAAACGATTGAATAATTAATATTTCTTCTTTTTCTTCTTTTCTTTTTTTTTTTTTTTTTTTTTAAAGAGAGCTAATGTTCATGAAGCGTGGTTGAACATTATTCCATCGTCTAATCGGGTTCGTATCAGATAGTTGTATACAGTAGTCATAGCAAAATGCTGCTTGTTTTTCATCACCCAATTGTTGATACAGTTCAGCACTATAAAACCATGCTTCAGGTAAATCCCAGCCATATTGCAATGTGGTTTCTGAAATTAAAGAGTCCGCACGGTCTCGAGAATTGCGTGTCTCATCCTTAGAAGTCAACAATATCTTGACTAGAGTCGTGGCTATAATAGGATCATGCGGATCTAAATACATAGCTAATTCAATCTGCTCCATTGCTTCTTTTTCCCTATTTTGTGCTAAAAGTGATAACCCGTAAACAAGATGTAATCCTGGAGAGTCAGCATTAAGCTTCTTTGCTTCTAGTAGGGCTCCGCGAGCTTGATCGTATTGTTTAGATTTAACAAAAAGGTTGGCTGCCGTAAGCCATAATTTTTGATTGAATGCAGAGATAATACTAGAACGTCGTCGATGTAATATTTCTCTGTAATCACCTCTACTGTCATTCGTTCCAAATCGTTCAGCATCTGAATCATGTTTCTTGAGGGATGAATTTTTCGAAAGAGTAAGTAAGCTTCCTTTTTCTGATTCTGCATCTTCCGCTGCTAACCGGCCACTAGATGGAATTCCAGTGTGTGACTTTCGAGTGACACTTTCATACTCATTTAGATCAAACAAAGTAACAAAAAAAGTAAAAAGCTCTTCTTGAAGATCAATAGCAGCTTTGACTCCGGAAGACGCTTCATATAGTGCAACCTTGGTAATCATTAGTTCAACAAGAGCGCAACGATTCATAAAACTGATTTCGGATGGATTCGCTAACGTATAGCTTCCATCAAAAGAATTCTTTTTTATGTTCCAAGATTCTAAAACGCTATCCGCAATTTTTAGAGCAGAATCGTATTGTTCGGAACATGACAGCAGTAATATTAAGAGATGCCAAGCCGATATACTATAGTTAGGGGATATCTTTAGAAGGTATCTAACAGTTTCAATAGCTGATACAATTTCCCGCTTTTCTGCAAGTTGCATAGCTAAATGATAAAGGGCAGTTTCATTATCCGGTTCAATTTCAAGAATCTTTTTATAGCAGAAAATACTTTCTTCATGCTTTTCTTTCCTAGTATTGGGATCATTCGTACTGTAATAGAGGAAGGAGTTGGCGACTCCTTTAGCGTGAAGAACTAAAGTAAACGTAGGTGAATTTTCTAAGAATTCATTATCGGCACTTAGCTTCATAATAAAATCCAAAGTTTCGATAACATTTTGTGGAGAATTTAAATATTGTGAATAAACAGAAATCATCAAGGAAGCAACATGTATGATCTTTTCAACAGGATCAATAAATATTGGCTTTAAGTCTGATAGTAGACTCTTATTAGCAGCTTTCTGCCGAGAGTAACGTTCTTGTGCTTTTATACACAAAAACTTATATAATTGAAATGCTTGATGAGCTTCCTCGTACTCTTCTATATGAGTCAACAAAATCACCAACGACCGAAAAATTTGTTGACAATGAAACGATTTCTCTGTCAACATATAAAATATATTTATCAGGTTGACGGCTTGCATATATAGTTGTCCCGTACTCACCCAAATGGACATCGTTGATTCTACGTACTCGACAATTAAAAAGTTTTGATCACCCGCTCTGGGAAACGACGTATACTCAATTAAATGCTTAGCATAATCCTGTGAGAACGTCAGATCCTGAAGATGTAACCTTTGGATTTGGCTTTTCTGAAAAATAGGTGAATCAATCTTGTTTTCTTCAAATAATGTGTGAGAAAACTTTGAAATTTGTCTAAAAAACACAATATGTGTCAATGGATCGATCATTGCGTGAGAGGAAAAGTAATCTGAACACACACACAAAATTGAAGCTCTATCTAGTTGACTGGCACTGAATTGTTAGTGATTCGGTATATAGCAATTCTCTTACCTAGAAATAGATGAAATTTGTGCATAAATAGCATAGCAAAGTTCACACCATTTGGCCCATTCAAATGAGACGATATTTTTGTCACTGGCTCGTTGGATCATACCAATACCAGATCTAATGTATTGAAAAGAAATTTCGTAGTTAGATATGAAAGCATGAGCCAACGCTGAAAGGACAGTTGCTTGTAGTATACTGATTCCAATAATGCCTGGTGATAGATTCAATCCATCTGGAGACCAATCAAGGTTCACAGCATCTTGAAAACTGTGTCTTGAAATGTACAATAGTAATCGAACAGGAATTTCTTGAAGTTTATCTTCATCGGAAGCTCGTTGTGTACCTAACTGATTTAATTGTTGCAAAAGAGGATCTGTGAGCTCATTAGGAAGAAGCGGTATGAAAATTGAGCAGTTTTCAACGGAAGATAAATCAATGTTTGCCATTCGCTTTTCTTGTTCATCTTGTAAAGCTAAATGAAGTACAGCTTCAATTTTAGCTAATTCACAAATATCTAACACCAAGTTATTAGATGGACGAGTACGTATTTAACTTACACGACTTAGAGGGATTATGCTTATTTAATTTTCGAGCTGCCTCCGGTATAGCTTGCCAGTCTCCATTGCATCTATGTTCTTCAAATTTTATTTCGTATGTTTTTGCTTTTGCCTGGACAAAGTTAGAAACAATTTTTAAATATTAATAAAGCAGGAACTTACCGACAGCATCTATTTATGTGTATAAAGAAGGCTCGTTCAGTAGACGAATGGGATGTGTGTTTAGACGTTGCAATTCACGACGGTATCTTAGCAAATGAGCCAAAATGCTTCTCACAGAATAAGAGCAGTAGAAAAGCTTAATTAGAGATCAAAAGAAAAAATATGCTGAAAACTCTGAGAATTGAAGTTACACGGGCTAGTTGTAGGTTTAGCCTGATGATTAGTGATGTTGTCTGCGAAAGCGAAGAAAGAAGCTAAGTAAATGAAAAGCTACAGAAAGCAAGCCTTTTTGGAGTAAACCATAAAAAATAAAACGAGTACTTTAAAAGAAATTTTAAAGATTAATTGAACTTGATGGTAGCCTTGTTTGCCCGAGCGATTGATTCTATACCTCCAACTGCTTGCGGTCGTATCTTTCGGATTATTGAAAAATCTAGTACGCAAAATCAACTTACTACGGTTGATTAAGAGTGGAATTGGTCGAGTTAAAATGTGTTGCTTTGTTTTAACAAGAATAGTGAAAGCTTTTTGGTTTGATTGTAAAAATAACTCTTGATTATAATGTCTTAAATAGTATGCGTTTCATTTAATTCACGAAGCATGCACTGAAAGCCCAGTCTATGACCTTGAACTAACAGTGACCCTCTACTTCATGTTCGTAGGTTACATAATTTTCTGAGAATAAATTGAAAGTAAGATGCTAGGCATTACGAATATCCTTGATTGTGGGTGGATGAATTGAATATAAACGCTTTTCGGCTGAGTCTCTGGTTGAATCTTTTTATATGGCGTGTATAGTTGCTTAATCTGCAACAACATTATAGGATATGATCAGTATGCTCAAACCCAAAACATTCTCCGACATAAGCTAATCGTTTAAGAACGTTCATTGATGGTAAACATTTAATACGGTCTGATAGTATACGGAGGTTTGAGCTGGTTCTTTGACCATATAGACATTGATTGTTTCTGCACGCAGGTGTTTCTTATCGTTTAATGTTACTGTTATTATAACTTTCATCGGATTTTCTAAAACCTCATTCCTAAAGGACTTGGATCTTAGTGTTCAGTCTTACCGCTCTTATGAACTTGGTATACTGTGCATGAACGGACGAGAATAAAGGCTCTAGTTGTTGTAAAGTAAAAAAATATATGGTTTCCGCTCAAAAGCATATTTTGCAAATATGGATAGCAACCAACGGTGCTAATCCAAGTCTTTTCCTGTCTCAATTCGGTTCTCTTAAAGAAATGGATGTTCTTTACTTCAATATTCACTTACCTTACATCGCTGACTACATGACCCGTAATTCAGTTTTTCCTTTATACTATTATGTTGATGGGATCGTAACATTATATTAAAAACAAAGCGCGTCAAAAAAAACTAAACAAAAGCCTGCATTACACTATTTTCATTAAGTCTTTATACAGCATTACCAGCTGGCGTGCTACCGGAATCATTTTGCAAAAGTGGAGCGCTTTCGCCCGTTAAAGAAGCACGTCTTTGTCTGTAAGGAAGGAAGAACAGAAGAACAGCAAAGAGAATCATTAATCCACAAATGATGAAAGCAAAAATGTGTTGGAGGGCAAAGAGGTGGATAAACAGCTGGCCGACACCAATGGCGCCAAATAAGTAAGCGCTAATGAGGGAGAGAGCCCAATCATGAAAGCCCAAAATGGGTGCTAAATACAAAATTGCTACAAACCAAATGAAAACGTTTGAAAAGACACGGCATCCAATGCTTCGGCAATGGACTGCAGCCGAAAAAGCATAGACGACAAACCAAAGCGCCTTTCCAAAGACAAGTTTCGAAGGAAATTTCATAGTAAGCATTTCGATGACGCCATTTCTTAATCGAAGGGATTGGCTATACATGGTGAAGGCCGTGGAAAACAAAAACAGTGAAAGCAATGCTGTCCAGTATAACTTCTCGCGCACAAACAGAATTATGGTTAAGACAAAGAGGATGTTGTACCAAATAGACGAATGAATAATAGAAAAGGTAAAATCATTCACCTGGTCGCCTAGCAGCAACAGAGGAATGTTCATGCTGAGGAAGGACAGGTATTCAATACCAATGTAGATACTCAGCATGAGTTTATTCGCGAAAAAGGGAGTTGCATTGTGATTATAAACCCATGGAAGAGATGGGCTAGAAAATATGTGAGCTAGTAATGCAGAAAAGCTGATGCCCAACGACAAAACGCTTCCAAGAATATATTTGGTTTCACGAGTGATTTGCATTATGAGGACAAGATCTTGAAATTACAAAAGCAGAAGAAAATCAAGGTATTAAACATTAACAAATCGATATGTGAAACTGAAAACAGACGATCACCGAAGAACTCGTTTAATATGTGATACCTATTTCTAACAATTCGGTGTCCCTTAAAAAAAATAAATAATGATTAAATGAAGAAAGCAAAATAAAACCGTTAAGTATAAATTCGCTTCAACCAAAGTAAGAAAATCCTAGTTACAGGCCTTTATGGATAATAAATTCAATTCTCGATATTTTGCTAAATTCCTAAAGCAGGAGAAAGTAATATGCTCAAGGATTCTCTGGAACCCTAGGCCAAGGGCGTATATTTATATCATACATGTAAGCGTCAATGCTTCATTATGAGAAATTCGCCCGGTTTCCCTTATAACCTTACTTTGGTGACTTCGTAAATCTTACGCAAGACATTATTTCATAGTAGTACTTTCTAACCATTCATAGTGCTTGGATTATATACATAATGAAGAATAATACTATGAAAGTTCATTATAATACGTTAAAATTCAGTATCTGTTATACAGAAGTATAATAAGGTACGTTATTTGGTAGTTTGAAGAAACGACAGTGCAAAGACAACCCTTGCTGGAAGCAGAAATTCCATTCAACGTTGCATTTGCTTCTTTGAAGGGATTGTACATTTAAAAGCGCTTCGAATGCAATGGAGGGGTTTACTATAGATGCGCATGCCTCCAGAATCATTGAAGTGCCATTATTAGGTCAAGAAGATCAGACTGTAGAAATCGACTGTGCAAGTTTACCAGAAGATGCCACCGAACTGGTAGAAATTCTAACGAATGAACAAGCCGAGCGGGATTTATGGACCAAATTTGCTCGTGAATACCATATACGTAGTCTTTCCAGCCAAGCATTGTTCATCCTGACTTCTGCGTTGAATGTTTTGAAGGATACCGACAGTCAGTGTTTAATAAACGCCAATATTTGCTCTATTTATTTGCATTTGACGAGACATGCGATTTGGAAGCAGGACAACGTTGCTCGTGACCAACACTTGCAGAATGTGCGGACGTATCTGGAAGCCGCCAATCGTCTGAACCCCAAGTTAGAGGCTAATGTTTTGCTCCATGGAATATATCGCATCTTATTAAATCCACTTGATAAAGATTCTCTAGAAAACTCTCTTCGCTGTTTTGATTTTGTATTGCAAAGATCCGAAGCTAATGTCTTTGCACTGATTGGAAAAGCGCGTATTTTGTACTCTAGAGGAAATTTCCGAGGAGCATTGAAACTCTATCAACGTGCACTTGTCAGCAATCCGCAAATTCAACCCGATCCCCGAATTGGCATTGGTCTGTGTTTCTGGAATTTGAATATGAAGGATGACGCCCTCGCTGCTTGGGTTCGAGCAAAGGAACTAGATCAAAATAACCATTTTGTGAACACTTATTTAGGCTTATACTACTATGACCTTGCTTTTGAAAATGTCAATTCTGAAAACTTCTTACGATATTACGGGGAGGCTCTGCGATATACCCAAGCTGCTTTCAAAGCTATGCCGAGCGATCCTGTCTCTTCTTGCATCCTGGCTAGTTATGTCTATTCAAAGCGTAGTCTCGATGGCTGTATCAAACTCGCTAACACTGTTGTACAAAGTTCTTTCTCTCCTTCCCTCGTTGCAGATGGCTATTTTTGGATGGGAAGAGCTTATCATCAAATGCAGAATTATGAAAAAGCTATGACATGCTATCAAAGAGCTCGTTCCGTTGAGGATCGCCATCTCTTGTCCTTCCTAGGAATAGGTCAGATTCAGATTCTTCAAAATGATTTGACCAGTGCGAAGTTGACTTTTGAACGTATTACTGAGCAGCACCCCAAATGTGCAGAGGCCCTTATCATTTTAGGATGCCTTTATGCCTCAGAGGCAAAATCCGATTTTACGAAACCTCGGATGCTCTTAGATCGTGCGTTTAACTTGATCGGATCCTCAAAGATACCCAGAGTTGTTGATTCCGATTTGTATATTACGCAAGCTAGGCTATGGGAAAAAGAAGATACGAAGAAAAGTTTGAGCTTTCTGCAACGAGCCCAAGACTTTTTGAAGAGTGCTCATATTTCTATCCACCCTGAGCTGCTTAATAACATTGGAGTTCTGAACTACCATCTTGGGAATTTCCAGGAAGCCAAGGATTATTTCTCAGCTGCTAGAAAGGAGGATCAGGATGTTGATCCCGAAATCTTACTTGTGCTTGATTTTAACCTTGCCCGTTGCGAAGAAGAGCTTGGCAATATTGATTTATCCATGGAATTATACACTAAGATTTTAGATCTTCAGCCTTCTTTTGCTGATGCTCGTGTGCGCCTTTGTTTGTTACAACTAGCTAATCCTCAGGAGGAAACCTTTAAATCCATTCGACAGCTAATGACCACCGATGCTGACAACTTGGAAGTACGAGCGTTCTTTGGTTGGTACCTCAGTAAACAAAAGCGCCGTCCTGCTGAGGATCCTGAAGTTCGTCATTGTTCACAAACTCTACGACATTGGCACGATGATATTTATTCTCTTGTTCAGCTTGGTAATGCTTACATGCGTCAAGCAAGAGAAATTCGTGTTCAGAACGACAAAGACCATAGTAAGCGTCAGAAGCTTTATATTAAAGCTGTCCAGTCTTATGATCAAGCTATTAAGTTTGATCCCAAAAATGCTCATGCTGCTCAAGGAATTGCCGTTACCTTTGCTCATAGTAGACAATTTTCTAAAGCTTTACTCATTCTAGGAAAAATACGTGAATCTATAAAGGATGTTACTACTTTAATCAATATCGGTAATTGTTTGGCCGAATTGAAGCAGTTCAGCCGTGCAACTGAGATTTTCGAAACTGTTATTTCGATGACTGGTGAAGATGATGTTTACGGAATTCTAAATTGTCTTGGTCGTGTCTGGCTACAGCGAGGTCGTGAAGAAAAACGGATAGATTTCTTAAAAGAGTCATTGAAGTATTCACGAATGGCTTTAGAAAAGAATCAAGAAAACACGAGCTTACAATTCAATGTCGCATTTGTTCAGTTTCAACTCTCCGAACTCATATACACTCAACCTGAAAATGCACGAACTGTAGAAGATTTGAAGTTCGCTATTCAGGAACTGGACGATTCCGTAAAAACCTTCAGTTCATTGGTAACATCCAAACATCCTCCTTATCCACCCACAGATATTGAGCAGCGTGTGAAGATGGCCACGAATACCACTAGAAAGAGATTGGAACGTGCTTTGCAACAACAGTCTGAATATGAAGCCTCGGTTGCTGTCAAGCTCGGTGAGGCCAAGCTTAATCGCGAGAAAGAAAAAGCCAGAAGATTGGCAGAAGAAGAAGCTTCACGCAAAGCGCAAGAGGATCGCGAACGTGAGCTCGAGGAAGAGCGAAAACGTATGCAAGAAGAGGTGTTGCAGTGGAGAAAGAATCAAGAGAAAGAAATAGAGGAAGAACTTAGCGTTGCTTCTGACGCCGAAGATAAGTCTTCTGGTAGGAAAAGAAAAGGCGAAAGAAGGAAACGTAAATCCAGCTCTAAAGCTGGTAAAGGTACTAATGTTGCGAACGAAGACGACACTGACGATGATGATGATGATGAGATTCCTCTATCAGACGCTAGGAATAAACTCACTAAAAAGCGTCGTAAAAACAAACGTGTAATATCAGAAGATTACGCCTTTGACGAATCTGACAACGATCAGCAACCTGCTGAATCTACCGAAGGTCAAGGTGAGAATCTTAATCCATCTTCTCCTGTAAATGAATCCACTAATGGCAATCAAAAAAACGAAAATGATTTAGATAATAAAAACGAAGGAGGCCTTGATAATCTTTTCTCTGACGAAGAAAATGAGCCTTCCCCTTCTTCGTAAGTCGATCCTTAATCTCCCTCCTTGCCGCTAAAAAAGACTGCAATGTTTTGTAGTAATACGTCTGTTTCTTTTTTGAATTCGTTAATACCTGACTCTGATAGACAAAGATTAATACCTAATAGTATGATCGTGATTGTGAAACAAATTAAATCTTTAGAGTAAATAAGCATTTGTAAACTCAAAATAGATGAAAATCAAATAAATAATTATTCATGTTCATATTTGAATTTGAATTTGTATATTATATAATATAATATAATATAATATAATATAATATAATATTAGTATTCTTCAGAATTTCTTAATGACGGTATTACATTAACGCGCGAGACGCGAACAATCGTTAGCGCTTCTTCTGCATCAATTTACTTCGAATATGTGTTAATTCCTCAAATATGAGTTATGTAAGTGTTGGAGATTTAGTTTTAGTACACGAAGAGCCAGGAATTGTTCGCTTTACGGGGAGTACCAAGTTCGCGTCTGGAATCTGGCTCGGCGTGGAAATGATTGACAAAATTGGAAGACATGATGGATCAGTTCAAGGGAAACGTTATTTTACGTGTGAAGAAGGAAAAGGATTATTTATAAGAGCGTGTTCAAGTAGTGTTAGAAAAAAAACAGGGAAAACTCGAGTAATATCTGATGGGAAAAAAGCTAAATCTTTGGAAAAGGGTACTCCAACAAAATCTTCACATAATGCCAAGGAAAGTCGATTTATAAAAAGTAGCTTACAAGGAAAAGATGTTAAAAAACAACCCTTTCCAAGCCTGACTGTGTCCACACCTACGAAAACTGATGGCTCAAACATATCAACACCTTTTCTTGATCTCACAGATGATTCTGAAACCACATTAATTTCAATTGGAAGCGATTCATTAGACAATACTCCGATAAACGAAAATTTTGAAAGTGATAAAAGTGCATCCATTGATTTTCCCAATTATCACAAATCAACTCCTCATTTGTTAAGAGAAAAGAGCACGATAACTGAGAGCAATATAAAGTTTCAATTAAAACTTGAAATAGAAACATTGCGCAAAGAATTGAATGAAGCTGATAATAGTTTACATTATTACAAAGCGTCCTACAATAAGGCTAATGAGCAAATCAAAGAAAGGGATATAAAGTTAGAAGAACTTCATAGGGAGCAAGAAATGAACTCGGCATGGAAAAAAATACGTCCGAAACTTCAAAAAAAGATGCTTTCTATGCAAGAAGAAATTGAAAAATTAAAGCAACAACTTAAAAGTTTTAAAATTCAAAGTCAAGGAATTGCAACTGTGTCTAATGATTCTGAAAGTACTAATGCATATGAGCTTCTTAAAGAGAAGCTGATTACAGAAAAGCCTACGGATACTTCAGCAAAGTGTGAAAACGGAGAGCAAATCCAAACTAATGAAGATTACATATGTTTAATTGAAGAATTAAGAAAGGAAAATATTGAGCTGAAAACGCAACTTGAAGATCTTCAACTTTTAAAAGAACTATCTGATGAAATAGAACGGGATCAATTTGAGAAAATAACCTCTTTGGAGAAAGAAAACCAACAAAAAGGCGATCTTCTTGCAATGCTCGAGAATGCTTTTTCTCAAGAGGTGGAAAATCTTCGTGGACAAAAACAGCTAACCGGGCTAGCAAATCGTGAAAGGTAAGCCAAAACAAACTGTTGTATAATATTTCTCACATAATAGATTTTGTTCAAGTGAATCTGAAACAAGTGAAACTATTGGACTTGCACTGGGAGATGTTCATAATCTAGTAGACGCGATACGAGAATGTTACGGGATCGCATTCAACAATTTACAAAAATTTTATCTAGACGAAGAATCTAGCGATATCCTTGAAGTTTCGTTTAAGATTTCTTATATCCAGAATATCTCTTTGTGTTTAAGTGAAAGTATGTACGGTAAAATTAATCGCACTGAAGGTAGTTGTCGACAAGTTCTCCCAGGGTTTATCGAGCAATGGTACTATACTATTTCAGTTGCCCAATGGAGCGAATGGTTAATTGGATTTACTTGTGAGAATGGAGTGAAAGCCTTACTTTCTGATGCACTTTTGAAAGATACCATAATTAGCATTTTCTGTTTACTTGATGTCTATGCGAAGAATCCTGGTGAGTCTACACTAGAAAATCTTCAAAAAAGTTGGAAACAAGTTGACAATTGGGTGAAGACCCGAACTGATGCGGATCACCTTGACCCTTATAATGAGTATAACCGTTGTAAAGAGTTGTTAGATTCCATCTTAATTGTTGATATGTTTATTTCAAAAGCCGATCTGTGTCAGAATGATGATGTGAATCGCGTACCAACTGAAATGACCGAGATAGGAGATATGAGCGAAGACATACGGCTATTTTTACGACAAAAAAACAAGGCTAGAAAGGTTTTTTTTCCAAAGGAGAAAATAATATCCATGGATTTTTCGTCCTTGGCAGAAGAACTTTTCTTGAAACCTCAATGTCAAGAGTCGGATACCCAGTATACTTCTTCGCAAATTATAGATAATTGGTTGAAAAATTTTCAAGAAATTAAAAGAAGCTTTCGCGAATTTCAATTTTGCATGTCTGAAAAGGATGAAGCAGTTTTTGTTGCTACTGACCTCCATTGCTTTTGGGACATTGTTATGAAGTCTATGCCTTCTATGGAATATGTGAAAGAAAATGCCTCACTTAAGCTAGTATGTTCGGAGAAGAATGAGCTTATTAATCACTTAAAAATTCAGATTGAAAGATTGGATAAGCAGGTATTACAGAAGGAAGATTTAAAGGAAAAGATTCACCAGTATGAACTTGTGGAAAAGGAACTTCGCGAAGAGTTATCTAGAGCAAAAAGTGATGAGAAAGACGCACATGACGTTGATGTCCTTATGAAGATGGAGCTTGAAAAGAAGCAATTAAAAGATATGTTTAAACAAAATGAACTGGTCATTCACGTGAAATTTCAAGAAATAGTCAGAAAATTAAAACAAGATTTAAACGAAGCTAGGAAGGAGATACTGAATGTTAACTTGAACCAAGAGGAAGACTATGAATGGTTATTTATGCCTTTAAGCCATGAAAAGTTTGTTGCGAGGGATGACTATGCTAGGATTCCACAGCAATTAAATGCTTTTGCGTCTCAAATGAAACCCATTTCGTTGAATCGTTACTCCCAATCAAAAGGAAAGTAAAAAATACAGAATACAAAAAAAAAAAAAAAAAAAAAAAAAAAGGTAAAGAATTGACTAGAAGGTGTTAATCATAAGCTGAGTACTTATTTGTTACAGGTTAATATTGTTATTTTTATAACATGACTTATTTAAGATGTATTGGGAGAAGTAAAGGTATTGAGAGAAATAAAGAGAATTCAATAATTTTCAAGAGCAAAAGTAATCTTGTTGAAACTTCTTAATTATTATTACATGACCAACATATTAAGATGAATTTAAATGCAAATACTTTGGGAGGAAGAGTTTGATTGTTATGGTTTTGTTTTTCTTTTTCTATAGAATCTGTTTTTAATCCTTGAAGCAGCAATTCACATTACATTGAAAAGCTTGCGGAATTCTTAAACGGTACATAATTCAGTTGCATCCAATATAGGTTCTTTTGTTTTGTAAAGCAAGCAGATCAATATTTCTTAGTACCTCATCCACACACACACACACACACTATATATCTCTCTCTCTCTCTCGCTTGTTACTCGTGAGGTACATATATTGAATATCATAATACAAAAGAATATTTTATTATAAAAAGTAAACAAAGAAATCTGTCTCAAAATCATCGCGTCTGATGATACAAACAAAACTAGACAATTGAGAAAGAATGCTACTGGAAAACGGTTAAGAAAGGATTTGCTTTTCTTTTTGGTGAATTAGACAGCATCGAACAAACAAAAGTATTGCTTGACGATTTCTTTGTCTTGTGGGTTTACATGTACAAGTGGGGCATATATAAAATAAAGAAACGTGCTTTTCATAGTAAAAGCTGTTTATCTCTTTCTTTAACAAACAACAACTTTTATTTTGTTTAATTATGTTTGGGGAAGAGTTTTTTCAAAGAATTTGTAAAAGTTGAAACTGTATGGAAAGTCTAACATACAGTGGAATGGTACAGGAATGAATGAAAGTCATCCGTGAAACGATTTTATCAACGACTTTGTTTCAATGAAGATCAAATGTCGCATTTTTTGTTTGAAAAAAAAAATGAAATAAAATAAAAATGTAATGGAAACTTCTAGGTACAACAACATCCTTCTTCCCTTCCAAGTGAAAACTCTTATCGTTTCAAAAAACTCCCCCACTTGAGCCTATCCCACTTGTTTTTGTTCTATACTAAATCATTCCTAGCCCCCACTTAGGCATCAACAGCTTTCTGTACTACAGACTGGTGATTCCCCCACCAGAGCAAGTTTGCTTGTCTTTATCGCGGGGAGTCTGTCGATACCCGGACGGACTTCCGGAGATATTGGGGATCATTCGGGTCCGGTCACCATGGAAAACTTCACCGAAAATGGTAAACCGCGGAAACGTTTTTTCCGAAAAAGAGGAGACCTTGATGTCAATATGACCGAAAAGTCCGTGATATTACCGGATTACAACTCCGACGAAAAAAAAAAAACAAACAAACAAACAAAACAACAATAGCAAGGAGCCGGCCGGAGGAAAGAAAACAGGGCAATAGAAATGTCAATTAAGAATGACTCAGTACAGAAAAGAAAAGAACAAAAGTGAAAGAGCTTTTGTCTCTTAGGAAATCATAAAAAAAAAAAAAACAAAACAAAAACACAAAATCCATCCCAATCCTCCTCATATTCCTACATATTTTGTTTCCCAACGCTTGCCTCATTTCAACTTGACAACATCAAGTTTTATCGGCGTTTCAAGGGGAATGTTGGCAAATTCATCTGACAACATAATGAATCATTATAGAGTTGTTGCTGTTGTTGTTGACATAAGCAACACTATTGATATTTGCAAAAGAATGGAAATAAAAACAAAAATTGACACGTTTTCAACGAGAGAAAAAGTTTTTAAAAAAGTTGCATTAACTTCCATTCAATTCAATTAAATTGGTTGCCTCTTTTCCTTCCTCAAATTTGTTTACATTTCTTGGGTCGCTACTTTTGTCATGAGAGAAAAGTTAATTGCTCGGTTGTAAAACAAGTGACATCGAGGACAATATCCGCTCAGTATGGTTGCACAAACATATTGTTTACACCTATAGTAACTTGAGAAAACGATGGATCACGAGGTGAAGACGTTTCAAAGAGGGGAAAGCTTACGACGATGAATTGAAATTTGTCATTCGATGATTCCGGAAAAGTTTCCGATCATTGTGGTGGGCTTAGTCGGGTTTTGAATCTTTTTCTCCCTTTTTTTTTGGTATAAATAGGGACCGAAATTCCCTGTATTTCAAACCATTCCAATCATTGATTCATCATCATCTTTTCTAGTTGTTTGAAATTTCATTCAGATTTTTCTCTTCTTGATCAATCTTTTTCTGCTCTAAAGTTCTACTATTGAACTTTTTCATTTCTCTTTTTCTCATTTTATTTTCATTTTCCCCTTTGCATCTATTTCCCTTTTTCTACCTTCATCTTTGGCTTCAATTGTCTTAACGCATACCCATTGTTTACGATCCATTTTAACATTTTTTTGAATTGCATATTTTCATTTCTCTTTTTTTTTGCATCTCTTTAACATTCATCACAACTTTATAAAAAATTGTCCCCTTTTTTTTATTTTATTTTAGTTTCTTATTTTTCATCATGAAGTTATTCTCTTTCGGTTATTCTACTTATGCCCTGCTCTCTCTCTTGGCTTGTGGGCCAATTTCCTCTCTTGCTGCTCCTTTATTTAAGCGTTCTGGAATTCAAGACAATCAACCATTTTCTGTAATGACCCTCCGATCAGGCGATTTATATGTCCATTTCCATTCCTTGTATGTTGGCGAATCCGGTAACGTTTACCTTGATCCCTATGACCATGTAAACAAGTCTGCCGTGTTTAGTGTGTCGAATGGCCGTCTTGTCCATAATAACGATTATGCTCATTTCGGCGATAACAATGCTTTGGTCTTTACATCGAAAGAAGACGGTTCTGCCCAAGGATTCTCTTTTGGTGAAGAGGTTGCTGGTGGTTATCTTCTCAATTACGACAATGATAGTCTTGTTGCTTGCCCCGTCAAAGATACTTCATATGTTTATTCAGTCTACTCTGCGAAAGGCAATGGTGATAGCAAGTGTGTTGGCTTTGGATCTCTTGCTTTAGCAGGATCTCCTTCTTCTTCCTCTTCTAGTGCTAGTAGTGCTAGTGCTACTGCCGCTCCCACTTCTTCGGGCTCTTCCAATGCTAATGCACAAGAGATGGTTACTGCCGGAAGCGCTGATGGAAAATCTTCCAACAAAGGACCTGCTCCAATCTTCCCCAACGGCATTCGTCTCACCAACACTTCCTCTCCAGACTCCAATTCTGGAAACGTTTACTCTCCTGTTGTTTATCAAAAGGGAAATGACCATGTCAACACCATTTTTACCTTTGACGTCCCTCAGGTTACCGACAAGGATTGCCAACTTCATTTCCATATCGATAAAAATGGTTTTCCCATTCACGTGGATGGTTCAAATGGCGTTGGTGAGTTTGTTCTTTACAACCTCTCTTCTCCTGCTAATGACGGTACTACTTGGGCTAATACCCCTAACCGCATTGCTGAAATTGGCCGCTTCAACTGCTCTTCCGACGGTTGCAGCTACACCACCGACATCACTTGCCCTGGTTCTTATAAGACTGTCTCTTATGAGTTGTCCGCCCTCACTGACAAGTCTTACCTCGAATACTTTGAGGAAATCAACCCTGTTGAAGGCCTCCAATTGACGGTTTAAGCAAATTTGCTTTTCAATTTACCAATAATTGAATATATTCTATTATTTTCACTCTTGTTTTTTTTTCCTTGCTTGTATGTATTTGTATTTGTATCTGTATATCTTTGTTTCTACAATAAACGCGTGTTGAATCATATCACTTATAGACTGTATCTGTTATACGATATTACTAATAATTTAATACGATAATACCGTTGTATTATATCGTATCAAGTTATAAAAGAGGAAAAAATTTCGACTTTTGTAGTTGTTAATAACGAAACTTCAGAATCAAGATGAGTAATAGTCTTGCTAATTATAAAAAAATATATCAACATTGCTCGAGTTAAAAGTTCACATTTTCCAATCTGACTGGTGGTCTAACTAAATGTAGCATACACTGGATCTTCAGTAAATCAAACCGCCGGCAGCTCTTACGGTTCTTTAAGTAGAATAAAAGCATTCAAGCTCTACATACAAATGTCCTTTAACGATATATTGTTACAACTGGGAATTTATCCTCACAAAGAGTGAGATTTCAACGGTGAACAAAATTTTACCCTTCCATCTGCAGGTAGAAATTTGTTTTTATTAAAACCACATATCTTAAAGGATGGCGGTAAATTCAAGAGCAGCGGATGGTGAAATTTCACTCCGAGGATTGTTAGCTCAAATGCAAGTTCTATCCGTTCAAGTGAATGCGATTAATCAAGAAAGGAATTTCGAAAGATGATTTAAAGGATAATTGACGAAGAGTATATCTCAGAAAAACCGATGGATGTTATTCTTCTAGTCTGCCAGACATACGGACAAGAAGTCGCCAAGTTAAACTTAGATGAATATAACAAGAAAAAGCCAAATATCTATGATGCGAAGAAACACGAAGCAAAATACTGGAAAAGAAGACTATGGGCTACCTTTGGTTCAATACCCTCAGTGTTTCCAACCGACCGTGAAAAGATTACCTATGTATATCACAGAACTCAAGGATATCATCAAAAACAAATTAAAGAGATTGTGGAAGAGCCAGTTAAGAATAGGACGTTTGATTACATGTTTTTACAAGTTATCGAAAATGACCCAAACAATTTCTAGCTAGAAATTTCTTTATGAAGTATTACATCAAGCATGGGACTTCGATGTTGACATTCCAAAATCCCGAAATCCGTTCTTTAATCTAGATCAAGATACACAACTCAAAATAATTGTCTTTTTGGGTTTTACACCTCCACAAAGGGAACTGCTTCTTGAAAACAACTACGAAAAAGGAGATATAGAGAGAGTGAAAAAAGTAACTAAAAATTAACTGTGATACACAAAACCAAAATCGACAAAGTAAGCCCGTCAAAAGACCTCGAAACCGACCAGAAGTTCAAGAGCAAAAAATATTACTATCAGCAAAACTATGATGAAACCGAAATAAGATGAATGATCAAAAGATGGCACCAATACTAAAAGAAATAGAACTCTCTCTATAAATCGAATATATTTAAAGGAACTAAGATCGCTTTAAAAGATGAAAACTTATCCATACTATAACCCTCATAGATACGAGAACCCAAATATCAATACTAAGAAAATATTTGCAAATAAAAGAAATATCGAATGAAAATTTAAGGGTACAGTACAAGACGACCTCAAAATTAAGGGGAATTTCACGCTAACGCTTATAATCAAAAATGCCCAAAGACAGTCATAATTACCCCGATGTCTTAAAAAAAAAAAAAAAAAAAAAAACTCATCAGATGGGGGGGCCTGTTAAAGAAACTAGGAAACTTGAAGTTTTGATATGGTCACAATGCAGTAACAGTCGTAAATTATAATCAAGGGAACTACCAAAACAAGGTCTCTAATAATCAAATCTGCATGAGAATCTATTTACAGAAGCTACGAATATTCTGCTACCTCAAAACTCTAGTAAAAGATCTGTCTTATACAGGACTTGCTAAGATTACACACGGAAGCTAAAACGTTATGCTCAAAAGGAAATGACAACAATGAAAGTAATTTTGAAAGATTTATTATATCAAGGAAAATTTCTGAAAGATCGTCAAATTTTAAGTGTGCTCCTTTTATTATTCCAAAAAAGGGAATACACGTATACCAAATTATCATAAACGATAAACAATGAAATGCAATAACGAAGAGGAAATGTTTAAATTCAGCATGTGTTATAAATCGGTAAAGCAGAGACAAGATTTCAGTACAATCGATATGAAAGCATACCGTTTGCTAAGAGTTCGTAAATTACTAAAGACGATTTAAGCCAAATCTTTCAATATTGGCAGGTTCTTCATTCGGTTTAACAAAAACAAAGAAGTTTAATTATAAATGAACTAATTGTCTACAAGAAGCTTTGTAAATGTCAAAGAGAACGAGAGAATGTTTTTCTACTCAGACATTTCAATACAACAAGAGAAACAAATAGAGTGGAAGATTTAACCGGTCCAGCTAAATATAGTCTATATTGGTTTTTTAGTGAATCAGATTCCTGATAAAAATTTCTATTCATTCAATAAGAATAAAAGCTTCCAATTCTACGTACAAATTCATCAAAACGTACACTCTTTTTTCCACTGATTTGTTTATTTTCATAAAGAGTGAGATATCAAGGGTGACAAAAATATTACTTGCCTACTCCTTAAGCTTATATTGGTCACCTATCCAGGAAATGAGTAGCAACAGAGTATGGCACTGTTGTTTTAGGATTGGCAAGTTTCATTATTCGCGATCGAAACAAACTCTCGGTGAGTGGAATGGTTTCATAATTTTTATCTTCTTTTAAACGAATCTTTACAATGTCAGCTGCCTTGACAGCAGCGAGTAAGCTGGATTCCATACTACATTTGAATTTTCAAAAACTATCACAAGAGTACCCTCCTCTACAGTCGTTGTACGTGTTTCTTTCCTTTTCTTATAAGCTCATGGAACTAACTCGACATATCAAGTTTACAAGAAGGACATATTGATTTTTGGAATGAAGATGCAGTTTTGTACGTTACATTCACATACATTGAGGATCTTCTAATAAATTCTAATCTTCAAAGAACATTAACTAAAGCAATTTTGAAAGTCTACTTTGCATTAGAATTATGTCTGCCTAAGAACCGATTGTGCCCCATGGTATAGTGAATTGTTCCTGAAAAGATTGAAAACTAACGTTTAGGTACCTAATCGGTAAGCTTTTCTTCCCTTTTTTTTCTTTTTGTTAATATTTTTCTCTAATAAACTGCAGTGTTTTATATCTAGACTACGTTCAAAAGCTCTTGCAAAGTACGATGGATGACTTTGACAATGAAAAAGTGACAGGCCTGGACATTGGAACAGGCGCTTCTTGTATCTACCCACTACTTGGATGTAGATTATTCTCATTTAGCTTCTTAGGAACAGGTTTGTTTTTCATTCTGCTTGTAACAGACTTGGGATGATACTAAACGTTAGAAATTGATTCGTCTTCTTATGATGCTGCTTGCTCGAACGTTTCCGACAATCATTTGGAAGATAAAATTAGGCTTGAAAATCGTTGTAAGACAGATGCTCTTCTTTCTAGCTGTCCTACCGGCCAAGAGTTTACCTTTGTTATGTGCAATCCTCCGTTCTATGGTAGCGACGAAGAGCTTATAAACTATAAAGACAGTCTTCCTAATTCTGTTTGCACTGGAAATGAAAATGAGATGATTACTGAAGGAGGTGAGGTTGAGTTTGCTAGAAGAATTCTTCGAGAAAGTAAATATAGACGTGAGATACTATGGTTTACTTGCTTGCTTGGGAAAAAATCAAGCTTAGCAGATTTAATTCACGATTTGCGAGATGAAAAGGTTAGTTAAATGTTTCATAAATAAATAAAAATAAAAAAAAAAAAGAAGGAAACCCTGACTAACCTTACTTAATTTAGATTGATAATTACGGGATTTATGAAATTTATGCTGGAAAAACAAAACGTTGGATCCTAAGTTGGTCTTTTTCGAATCGAAGACCACCAAACGTAAGAATAAATATTTCTGGTTTGTGTTTATAACTAACAGAGTCAGCATTTGATACGCCCAAAGTTTTTTTCAATCCCTAAACTGCTACCTAGAAAAACACTGTATGAATGGAATGTGACCATGGATAAGCAGACTTTTTTTGACGTGCTGAATGGATTTTTAGATAATATGAACGTGCAGTACAGTTACCTGAATTATGAAAAAATAGTTGTTTTTTCTAATGGTATTTCCTGGTCCCGTAAAGCCAGACGAACTGGTAAGCATCAAAATCCTTCTCAGACTAGCATCAAAGACGGTTTTAGGTGTACCATCAGCTATGACAATTTTAAAGGCCAATCGTGTTGGAAAGAAGGAAATGATTATTTGGTATATGAGAGTTTTTGTTCTACGCTTCATCGAAAGTATAAAGAGAGCTACCCATCTTGAGAACTGTCACCTTCCTTCATTCGTTTGCATGAACACATTTTGTTTAAGTTTTTAAGTTTAATATACAAAATATAAAAAGTGTATGGTACTTAATATAGTACGCTTGAAACAGCTGTCAAAAGTCATAGACTAATTGCACCCTTTCAAAAAAGAAGAAATTGAAAGAACGGAAAAAAAATGAAAATGAAAATAAATCTAAGTATAAATTATTATAAACTTTCGTAGCTTTTTTATATCTCAAAACTAAGTGACATGTGAGCATACAGGATTAACATCTGTGTTGAGTCCTGTATGGTAGCTTTTGCTGGATACGAACCTACAACACCTGTACATAATTTCAAGATGAAATTGGTTCGGTATGTGAAAATATCAAGTTTTATAACTAACGTATTAGGTTTTTAATGAAATTAACAAATGAGACGGTCTCCATTGAGCTGAAAAATGGTATGTACACGACTTATCCCAAAAAGTGAGGGTGTGGACTAAGACTAATCGAAACAGGAACCATCCTTAACGGAACAATTACTGCTGTAGATATGCAAATGAACACTCACTTAAAAACTGTCAAAATGACCGTGAAAGGACGTGAACCGGTTCCTTTGGAGACTCTGTCCATTCGTGGTAATAACATTCGTTACTACATTCTCCCAGATTCTTTACCCTTGGATACCCTCTTAATTGATGATAGTACAAAGCCAAAACAAAAGAAAAAGGAGGCCGATCGTGGCCGTGGACGAGGACGTGGTCGCGGCCGTGGTCGCGGCAGAGGCCGGGGTGCTGCTCGCGGATTCTAAGATTATCGTAAAGTAAACGTTTGATCTTTAGTGTTACTTTCTGTTCATTTATTTTCATTTGGCTGTGCTTACTACAGTGCAGGACTTTGTGCAATGTTCATGACTAAGTTCTCTTACCTTGATAATACAAGTTACAAATTGTGGTTCCATCATTGGTTTTTTGATTAAATAAACAATAAAAAAGAGAAAAAAGAGAATGGAATAGCAATGGTTTTACGGTGGGCATCAACCTTCCAGATTGCTTAATGCAATTTGTATATAGAATTTCCAGACGTATTTCATAAGTATACGAAATCTCTTTTTATTATATTTCAAACTTAGGTTATTAAGAAAGGAACAGGACATAAAAACAAAAAGGATAACAAAGTTTGACGTAGAACCAAAAAAAAAAGGTAAATTAATCCTAGTGTGATTTGTTCTCACACGGACACAAGTCATTTTACATATTAGACTTAAAGCTTCTCAACAAGTTCGGGAACAGCTTCATACAAATCCGCAACCAAGCCTACATCAGAATGTTGGAAAATGGGAGAATTTTCATCACGGTTGATGGAGGCAATGACTTTGCTGTCTTTAATACCTGCAGTATGTTGAATGGCACCGTCGACACCAACAGCGATATACAATTTAGGTGCAATAATTTTACCAGTCTGTCCAATCTGCAAGGAGTTGTCAGCATAGCCAGTATCAACTGCAACACGAGTGGCACCGATAGCAGCGCCTAGTTTATCAGCAAGGGGAGTCAAGGTCTTTTCAAAAGTAGCCTTGTCTTTTAGGGGACGACCACCAGCGACAACGCGTTCAGCAGAACTAAGATCAGGACGTTCACTTTTAATAATATTTTCGCTCACCCAAGATTGTAGAGCAGCAGGCTTGGGGTCCACGCCTGCGGTAACAGGAGCTGATCCATTGTCAATTGCGGGAGCGGGATCAAAAGCAGATGCACGCACCGTAACGAGCTTAACAGGGTCCTCGGTTTTAACGTGAACATTTACATTACCAGCATAAGTAGGGCGAACAAATGTCTTTTCATCTACAACGCGAATTACATCGCTAACTTGCATTACATCCAACATTGCAGCTATCCTTGGCATGACTCCTTTTCCAAGGGTACTGTGTGCACTAAAGATATGAGAGGCATCAAACTTTTTAGCATTTTCGTACAAGATCTTAGCGATCTGATCGGGCAAATAACGATCATAGGCATTATTTTCGACATGAATTACCTGCTTCAAGCCATCCACTGTCTTGGATGCTTGTTGGGCGATTTGAGATGCATTTGGTCCCACAACAAAAGCAAAAACGTCTCCTCCGGTACGTTTTGCGGCTTCGATTGCTGAGAGAGAAGCTGGTTTGGACTTTCCATCCTGATGTTCCAGAAGAGCAAGAACGTTGAAATATCGTTCGTTTGTTTTATTGATAAAGGAACGAGATGCAATAAATGATCTTGAGATGGACCTATATGCGATTCCGATCATTATATTTGCTTTTGGTGGTGTGTGTGTGTAAGAAAACAACAGTTGCTCAGTCTTGAACAGAGTAGCAATCCGTGCGGCCTCCAAAGAACACAAAGTAGGCCAGATTTAATCTACTATTTATAAAATTGTAGTAAAAAATAAAAAGGAAAGAAAACATAAGAAACAATTTCTTACACACAACTTGGTTACGAATGTGGCCATTGGGATTTTCGCGTTTTGAAGTTCTCTCAACATCATGATGGGAGTTTTTTAAGGACATATATATCATTAATTCCCTTCCAATGGTTTATTCATTAAATATGTTTTCCTATCAAAAGAGCATGCTCTGAATCCAATGTCTAGCCTGAACTATTATATTCAAAGTATCAATGGGAATAAGCATCGGGGTTTTCTTTCTTTTTTTTTTTTTTTTTTGAGCTACTTTTTTTTTCTTCTCGTACTGGTTTGTTTTCACTCATAATAAGAATAATTAAGAAAAGAAAAATTCATTGATTCACCCAAATCAGTCTACGAAGAATTTATCAATAGAAATTCACATGTTTATTTACCTGTTTGTTTACATTTTTGAGAGACTCTTTACCTGCGTTAAAAGGACAAAGGAAATACTCTTGGAAGCACTACGAACCGTACTTTTTTATTTTTAGAAACTTGTTTCTTTTACGTTCATCAAATTTATTTTTTTGTTTTCTACACCGTTAACGTCGTTGAGATTGAAAGAAAGGCCCTAGGAAACTGCTTCTAGCAGAAAAGCGCCATTCAACTCATGATTGTATGGCAATAACTTGTTTAATTACCTTGCGACTGTTGCTGGTTGTATTCTTTTGATTATTCATCCAGACCTTGCGGAGCTAATTGCTTCTCATTTTCGTCTGCGTTCTGTTTCAAATGGACCCATTTTCCAGTCAAGGTCCTCCAAAAAGTTATTGTTCCTTTGGGAACGTTTTTCAACGGCTTTCCATGGCCCACTCTACAAAACCAACCATCCGAAAGGCGTTTGTCCTACCTCATTCATCTGAAGCTATTGATTTCTGGAATTATCGTGATATTATAGCTGGCGATGAAGCTGAGCAAGAACGACAAGAACGAGCCAACCGTATCGCTATGACAAGAATTGCAGCAAGCAAAAGCTCTGCACCAGAGTATCACCAAGCTATTCTCCGAAATCTTACCAGCCACGTACAAAAACTAGATCAATTGTCAGAATGGTAAGCCTCATTCACTGTTCCACCGTCCGTTCGTCCAACTCGAAAAAAAGATTGACAAACTAACGGAAATTATCATGTCACTTTTTGTTTTGCATTAGCAGCATTAGACTAGTCTCGAAGAAAAAGAAAAGTTATCAATTCTCATCCATGTTTTGGTTATTCAAAGGCGTTAGGCTTATACATATCTATGCTTGTATGGAGTTTGTACATTAAATGCAATCCAAACTTACTTTCTCTAATAATATCTTGTTTGATGAATTCATTTTTATTGCTTCCAATGACAGTTTCCAAACAATCAATTCGAGCGTTTCTATAACTCTATGGAATAAATCTACTCAATTCGCAGTAAAAGCGAGCAACCATTGTATGAGAGATGGAAAATTATGACTTTTCACAAATCGTGTCGATGAATTCTGCCAACTTAACATCCTTTTCCGTTAAGGACTTGGTCATGTGCGTGGTCAATGTAATGTCGACTTTATTGTAAACATTACTCCACTCTGGATGATGGTTCATTTGTTGAGCCCTCAATGCCACACAGGTCATGAACCCAAAAGCCTCAATGAAATTCTTAAATTGAAATGTCCTCTGGAGTTTCGTGCTGTCCCCCAATAAATTCCAAGAGTTTGTAGGCTTGGATACGAGAGCAGAAATGCGCGAAGGCAAACTCATCATGAAAGTTCCTCTAAAGACGAAACAACAAATTGAAAGATTTGCTGTTTTTGTTTTTATGGACTGCAAGAAATGTGCAGACGACAAACAAAATCAAGCAATATCCTTCTTGTATTAAATATTCGCGACCCATATGACGACACCTTCTCGCTCTCCTACCCTATATCCAGAGAGCAGTACTACCACCGAAAATACAAGGCTTTTTATTTTATGAAAGCATACTGCTACTTTAAAACCCGTTCTTTCCAAGGTTTTATTGACTTTTTCTTTTCTTTCTTTCTTTTTTTTTTTTTTTTTTTTCGTCGGGTGATTTTTTCTGGTACAGGTAAACTTGCTCACACAGATCAACCACATCAAACAACGTTGAAGCTATACCACACTCGTTTCGTTTCTTACTAGGCTTTCGACATTTAGTGATTCTCGTCCCATTTCCTTCCTTCAGTTTCAGGTGAAAAACATGTACCTCTACAGTTACACATCAATGCAATCTTCCACACACAAAAAAGTATAAAAACCAAAAATTCAGTATGGGCAAAAATCAAGAAATTCGAAAGGATTGCAATCACTCATCATCTTCACTTACCACATTCAATAACCATTCCTTCCGAATTCTTGCGATTCCCCAAATTACCCTTATCTATGAAAATATCTAGCAAGCAAATCTACTAATTGAATCCTTCTCCGTGCAAATGGCCATTACTTACACGGACGACGGACCCAACATAGAAGTGCACATGGAATAATGATTTTAAAGAGTGGTATATGAAAAAAAAAAAAAAAAGGTCATAAACCTAGGCAAAGACGTTCTGTTCTACCAATGTACGATCCTTAAAATTAGTAAACCATGGAAAGGTTTCCTACTACAGACAGACAAAAAAAAAGCTACAATTGCGCAACCCTAACCAGCTGGAGATTCTTTCAAAAAGAATCAGTTCGTGTGGTGCGAGCAACTCTCTTTATATATACATGCACGGAATCGAATCTGCGAATCATTTGAATATCATGCATATACAAATGACCCCGCACGGTAAAGCCTTCAAAGTGAGGAGAAATGTCAAGCTTCTCTTCAGTTGCTTATTTTTGTTTACCAAACGTACATGAAAGTCTGTTAAAGTTTCAAGGAGTGGCTTCTATTTAGGTTAGGACCCCCACATCGCTTAGGAAAGACGAGACAGATCTGAAGCCACCCACCCACACTTTCTGATGTTAGATACATCATCAACGGTGAGGAGAAACGGCAAGCAAAAGAAACGGGTCAGAAATGGGCAAAAAGGATTCTAAAAGAAACAGGGATTTCCTTTCCGAAGGCATTGACTTCCATAAGAGAAATATGAAAATGTAAAATAAAGCAACATGTCTTTCAAGATGAATGGGCATCTGCAAACTAAGGTTATCCTCCCTTCAGCTTTACGAATTCAAAGATTGTGCTATCACCTTCGAACTTGTTCGATCATGCTTCTGATAAGGACCATGTAATGCAAGGTTTGGGTTTTTTGAAAAGTGAGGAGATACGAATGATACTTACAGCAAAGTTTAAGGAGTCTGTGTTGGTTAGTCCAGTGAAACTGATCATGTTACCATTATGAAATGTAACTCGTTTCTATGATTGGTTCGCTTTTTTTAAATGTTGGAAAGCCTAAGCTTGATTTTCCTTTGTTGTCCCTTCATTTACCATCTATGAACTCAATGAGCAACATAATCTGTAAATTAGAATGCATCTAGACACAACTTTCGCAACTACTGATAACCGCTTTCTTTACGTATTTAAGCTTCGTTTCCTTGCACACTTTGTTCTTATGCACAGTTGAGCAAAGGCTCTTTATCTCTTTTGCTTTCATCACTTTTGTTTACATTGTTTGCCCGACTTTGTTATCCCCGACGTCCCGTTTCTCCATCTTTTTCTTTGTTTATAGAGGAAGTCTGCTTCCATCTAGTCCATTGGTCCGAGAGTTCTTTGTTTAAGTTTCTTTGTCTTTGGGTTATTCCGTTTCCCTTAAATACCATCGATAGCCGCTACTTTAGCTTCACTTCAGTCTTCTTCATCCATCAAGACTCGCTTCCACTCCTTTTAGTCTTGAGGATACTGAATTTTGTTTGTTATTTTGTTTTCTTCTTATTCATTTTTTATTATTTTTTTTAGTGTTTATTATTTTTTATTATTTCTTTTTTCTTTTCCAACGTTGAAATAGGTTCTTTTCCATCCTCTCCTTGTATTTATGGAACGTTCTTAAAAGACCTCTCTTTTCTTTCATTTCTCTTACCTCACCTTCGCTCTTTTCTTCATTTAATTCATAAAAAAAAAAACCAATTCGTTCTTTTCCTTGTTGAAAAATTCCTTTTCACTTCCTTTCCTAAAGAGTTGCTCTTGTCAAGGAATTCTGTTTAAATCTTTTCTCAATTCTTCCTTTTCTTTACCTTGTGTCTGTGCGTTATCGTCTCCCCTCCTTTCTGCATCTTCCCCGCTTTCTGTGATAGAATTGATTCATTAGGTTCAGTTTGTTTACCTTTGTTTTGGTTATTGTTCTCTAACATTGTTACCTGCTTTTGTTTGTTTACTCAGTCTTAATTTGCCCCAAAACTTGTACTGTTTCTTGGGTGTTTTCCTAATCTCACTCCGTCTTTTATATAAATATTGAGCACTCCCCTCACTGAGTGTGGTGATTTTTACCTTCCAACCTCTTTTTTCCTAGATCCATTGGGGTCGTCTTTTTTGCTTTTTTACCTTTTCCTTTATCTTAGCCAATTTGACTTTTCTTACCTTTGATCCTTTTTTAATTTTTTTTATTTCAAGCAGTATTTTGATTGTTTGATTGTTTCCTTGGTCCTATACTATATTTGATTCCTACTTACTTACTTACTTACTTACTTACCTACCAGTTGTTTGTTTTGTCATCCTGGTTTCCATACCCGTTTGGAGTTTGCTTTTCTGATTCTTTTGTTATTTTTGATAAAGTTCGCCCTTTTGAGCTATCTTCTGTTGGTATTTCCGAAAAGTTACTGTTTCTTGTAATTCATCCCTCTTCATTTTTATCTCGCTTTTTGATTCAAGAATTGCTGCTTGATAAATTTTTTTATATTTAAGTCCCTATTCTTTTCTCTTTCTTTTTTTTTTTTTTTTTTTTATTTTCTAGACCCTTTATACTTTCAATCTCTCTTAAATCATTCAACTACTTTTTAATGATGGCATCAGGATCCTCGGTTTCATTAGCATCCCATTCCTCTTCGGAATCTACTTTCCAAATTGATATAGACAAGACTCTTCATGCTCTTCCTTCCAGTCTTCTCGATTCTCCTCTATTATCAAACTGCGGCGACTCTTATAACCAAAAGTCTGGTCTGCTGTTGAATAATATGCATCAAAATAAAGGTCTGGCGCTGTCGAATAACAATTCCAAAGAAGTCTCAGTTGCCGACCGAAAGATGGAGTCTATTCCCGGGCTCACTTATACCCAGAATGATGAAAACGCATTTCAATATACTTCCATCGGCTTAAACTCGACTGATCCTGCCAAGTTTGCCGACCGAAAGATCCCTTCCAAAGGAGAAGCGTTTGGCGAAAGACAGCCATTAGGCTCTTGGCAAACTAATATAGCTCTTTCGGAATCACCTCCTCAACCCCCTACTTACAGTGATTATTCTGCACCTAATGTTACCAATGCTTCATTTTCTAGTAACCAGCATCCAACTTCTCTTTACCGCTCTGCGTCGTATCCCGGCCCTTCTGATGATTTGGATATGTTATCTTCAGCATCAAGATATCTCTTTATCTCAAACTTGCCCCGGATTGTTCCTTATGCCACTTTGCTAGAGCTTTTTTCTCGGTTTGGTGATGTGAAGGGCTTGGACACTTCGGCTTTATCAACTGATGGTATTTGCATTGTTGCTTTTTTTGATGTTCGTCAAGCTATCCAAACAGCCAAAATTCTTCGAACGCAACGTTTCTTTAATGACCGTTTACTGAACTTTCAGATTTGCCAGCGCTCTAGTATTCAACGTATGATCAACCAAGGCGCTCCAATTCAGTTTCTTGATGACAATGAAGGTCAATTACTGTTTACCATGCAAGGGCAAGTAGCTCTCTCTATTCAGCAATTACAGTCCATCTTACAAACATTTGGACCGTTACTTTGTCTGAAGCCTCTTAGAGGTCAAAACCCCTCCCAAATTCTCTGTGAATTTTATGATACACGTGATGCATCTTTTGCTCTGGACGAGTTAGATGGTAGAATTATTCATAATTGCTGTCTTCAGGTTTCTTACTACGATGCCATGGTAGACTCGGTTAGTTCGTCTTCTGTATCCAGTCACTCTGTCAATAAGAGCATTGGTTCAGCACAAAACACAAATGACTGGATGTATCCTTTTAACAACAATGGACAGGAAGCTACTCCTTTGTTAAAAAGAACATCGTCAAACTTGGGATCTCAGTACTCTACCTTATCCAATTCATTGAGATCAGTTCCTTTAGGACGAACAGAATCTTCGCCAGCTTGGGGCACCGGTGGTCACTATGACCTTTTGTCTACTAGTCCAACTGTTTCCATTAACAATAGTAGAAGACCAATGAGTGCATCTCGTTATAGCATGGATGTTTCCCCAATTGCTCCTCCAACTTCAGGTCGTGGAAAACAAAGAGCCGTTGATCTCTTAAATGGGTATTCGGGACAGTGGAATCCATTTACATCTTCTTCTTTAAAGGGAGTGGATTCCCCTTCAAACGCTGTCGGCATGAGACGAAGCTTAACAGTAGACGCTAATGCTTCACGTGCTAATCCCGCAAACTTGAGCTTCGCTTCGTTGACGCTTCATGATTCACGAGCTGATCCCGCAAGTTTCTGTCCTCCGCAATTTTATGGGGCGGAAAATAATTTTCAGGGACTTTCTGCTGTTCCTGAAAGACCTTTGTCTATGGATAGAAATTCGGTTGATTATGCACGTGTTGCAGCTGGACTTGATCATCGTACGACTGTGATGATCAAAAATATACCAAACAAGTTCACGCAACAGATGCTTCGTGAGTACATTGACCTTACTAATCAGGGAACCTATGACTTTCTGTATCTTCGCATAGACTTTGTAAATAAGTGCAATGTTGGATATGCATTCATAAATTTCATTGAGCCTGAAGCTATTGTCACGTTTGGAAAAGCAAGAGTAGGTACTCAATGGAATGTTTTCCACTCTGAAAAGATTTGTGATATTAGCTATGCAAATATTCAGGGTAAAGAAAGGCTTATTGAGAAATTCCGCAATTCATGCGTTATGGATGAAAATCCCGCCTATCGTCCGAAAATTTTTGTTAGTCATGGTCCTAACAGGGGAATGGAAGAACCCTTCCCTGCTCCAAACAATGCTCGTCGTAAGCTGAGATCTATCGCCAGTGCCCAGCAAATAGGTCTCTTCCCTCCCACAGCTAGTAAATGCTAGTTTTTTTCTTTATTGTTTGGATTTACTTTTTTGTATGTTTATAAACATCTATGATCCTGTATGCTTTATTACGGAAATTTGTATGATTAATGATTTGCTTGATTTAATGATTTATGTGTTTTGATGTGGTATGATTAATTGCGACAAGTGAGATTTAAGAATCCAATATACGATGATGGAGATGAAAAAGATTAAGATTGTTATTGAATTCAAACTTACTGGTTTCTGCTACAACGACAAATAACTAGTGTCCAGTGAAAATGGATTTTAATTAACGCGAACAGAAACTTTTTAGAGAAAATATAATTAGACTTACTTATATACGTTAATATTAATATAATTCGAAATCATTTAAGTACGTTTCATACTGACCTTTATAATGGTGGTTAGGTACCATTCGTGGTGTGTATATATATATTTACTTTAGTAAAGTTTATCATAAACGAATGGTGTAGTCAGTACTGCACTCTGGAGAGACGAATGTGGAAACGTAAGGGTAAGGCCTTATTTTAATAAGGGCTTCCGTTAACGAGAATATAACCCAAGACGTAAACCTCGTATGAACAGATATACCAAAGTAAACGAAAAAAGAAAGTCATGAGTAGAACTTTGCGCATTGACAAATATTGCAAGAGATTTTTACGAAGAATTAAATAAATATAATCTTGTAAGTCATCAAATTAGGAAATATGTTAGGACGACTGAAGGATCAGTTTAATATGACCTTAGCACAAGGTCAGGAAGAAGCCAAAAATCGTCGGCGACAACTTCAGGAGATGCATAATCAGAACTCTGGATCTAAGGAAAGCTCTTTAGGAAAAGATGATTCAGAGGAACTAGCTCTCCTTCAAATTGAGTTAGCGGAACTTCGAGAAACCATTGACAGGTTCCAGACAGCTTTACAGGAAAAAACTCCTTTGTCAAGCATTACTGATATAGATGGTTTCTTAGAATACCTGGATAATTTGGAGCAACGATACGAAATTTCAATCCGTGAAGTGAAAAGACTGTCAAATGAGCTTCAAGAAGCAGATGCCTTGTTTAAAGCATCCAAGAAAGAATTTGAAGAGAAATTTAAAGAATTAGAGGAAAAATTTTCCTCAGAAGTAGCTCGTTTGTCTAGTGAAAATCAGATAAGATCAGACGACAGAACTATATCAAACATAGAGGAATATATTTCTCTTGTACCATCTACTCCTACTGTAGAGTCAAAAACTGAAAGTCTTTGTCCTGAGATTACTACGACATCAAATAAATCTTCATCGAAGAAGAAGAAACGTAAAAACAAAAAGAACCAAGCGGAAAAACACGTTGGGCAAAATATTGAACCAACTCAAGAAGGCTCTTCTATTTTGGAGCCCAGCACTGAAAATACTTCTGAGAAAGTCAAAGAAAATGTTCAAAAGAAGTTATCTGCCTTTGAAACCTCCCTTCAGTTATCCTATAATTCAACACCTTCTGCAGCTTTACCGACTATGACAGAATCAGAAAAAACCTTCTTGCACTTGCCATATGTCCCGTTTGAAGAAGCTTTGGAATTAAAATTAGAGCCGTTCCGGAGGGAGCTGGAAACTGCCGAGCAAAACCTCAAGAAAGAATCTGCTAATTTTGATAAACAAGATCAGATCCACAAGGATAATATATTAAAGTTGAATTTGTCTATAGATTCTTTACAGAAAAAACTTGAAGAATCTCACCAAAATCTTGTTTGGGCTGAAACTTCTTGCGAATCTCTGCGGGAAGAAAAGCAAACACTTACGGAAAGACTTGCCAATAGCGAGGATGGGAAAATAAAACTCAATGAGTCTTTCTCAAGGGTTCAAAGGAGTTTGGATTTGTCTCAGGAAAATCTCCGTCGTACGTCTGAAGAACTGGAAAAGGCGAATGGAACTATAGAGAAAATGGATAGAGAGGTGGATATGTTGAAAAGGGAAATAGAAAAAAATAAAACTAGGACTGGTGAATTGAATAAAAAACTTGTCTTTGCCACAGAACAATCAAATGAATTCTCAAGACAAGTGTACGAAACGAAGGAGGCAATCCAAACTAAACAGCAAGAATTTGAGGAAGTATACAAGCTTCTTATGGACCAAACAAAGGATTGCCAAAAGTTGAGAAGTCTTGTTGACCAGTTAGAAATTGATCGTATCGACTCACAGAAAGCTGCCGAGGTTCGTTTACACGAGTTGCATGAACATTATAATACAGTTCTACATGAGAAAGATTCAGCTTTGTCTGAACTTGAAAAAGAAAAACAAATTGCTTTCTCGGAACTTGAACATCTCAAATCAAAAGACGAAGAGCTTACACGGCAAAATCAAGAATTACTAAACGGAGTTCAAAGTGTACAGACTGATAAAGTGGATTCTAATAATCATGAGAACGAAGAAACTTTGAAAACCTTGGAAGCGGAAAAGAAAAGCTTGGCTATTGCTTTGGATGAATCCACCGCCCGGTACGAACATTTACAAAAGTCATTTAAGGTGGTGTTTGGTCAGCATCGGAGAAAGCAAAGTCAAGGATCACTTTCCGACCGTAATTCAGGTGCTTCTTTTTCCCGTACTAGTGTTGATCAACAAAACCACAATTCAATGATCGACAAAGAATATACCCGTAACATTCTTTTTCAGTTTCTCGAGCAACGTGAAAGGAGGGCAGATATTGTAAACTTACTTTCAATTTTGCTTGAATTGTCTACGGAGCAAAAAGAACAACTCTTGTCAATAAAGTATTGAATTGTTCATAATTTTCAGATAGTCCTCTGGAACTGTATTTTATATTGCCCAAATAGTATATTTATGATTCTTCTTATCTATTAAATTCTAACTTACTAATTTGAATTAATAAAATAATCAAAAAGTATGGAATGTCTTCAAATGCTTTATGATCATCTCTCAAAGTCACATACTAAACACGCTTTGCCATAAATAGAACAATGAAAATAGTTCAATTTTAAATTTTATTCTAAGCTTACATATACAAAAAAAAAATAAAAAATAAAAAATAGGAAACATTAACTTGTAATGGTCATAGCATATCATAGAATGGAAGCGCTTGGTAACGAAACCACAACTTTCCAAGTTATAGCCGACAGGCAAACAAGGTCTGTTTGAATGAAGCTTATGTAATATCATTTCTTTTATTGATATAATTAATTTTTAATGTATTTCCTTCATGGGATTCCCCAAAAATTAACAATAGATTCGCATGCAATTGAGGTTCGACGCATTCCTAATGTTCCTTTCTTTGCCGTACTATCTGAAACCGAAATCCTAATTTATCAACTTCATCCTTTAGCATTAATTTCAAAAATCAACAAATCTGAGGACCTCTATCTTCGTCATGGAAAAAATAAAAAGATCGCTATTAGTTCAGAGTATGGAATCATTGCAGTAGCAACTGAAAATAACTTCATCACTGTTTTTAATTTCCATTTGGATGCTTCCAAACCTGTACTAGTCCCTGACCCATATACTGAACGCTATGATGATGGTCCTGGTGAAATAATGGGTCCCATTACTTGTTCAATTCAGTACAAGTTGGCTATTCGTTATGAAGGAGGCGTTAATTCTCTTGAAGTTCATGGTGATTCCATTGTTTATTCTGCTTCAACGGCGCCAATCATTCAACTTTCTACTCTAGAAACTACGGATCCGAAACGTTTGTGGAAAGTCTCTACCAAGCAATATGATTTACGGGAAGTAACGTGGTTTTTAGATCGTAATTCTTTGATAAAGAAGTTGCACTTTAATAGGCGGATTGACACTTTCTTTTGGATGTCTTCAGATGGGCGTGTATACGCCAATATTGGCGTTTCTGCTAATACTAATACTAAAAGTCTATATGGTATATGTATTCATGATTTGAAAGAAGACCATGACGATATCAAGAAAGCGGCTACTGCTTTATCGACTAACGCTCGATTTTCTTTGCTATATGTGGGAACATGTGATGGTACTCTTTACGCTTACGAAATACAAGACTTTGGAAGGAAATATGTCTGCAGCCATCAAAGAAAACCTCCTTCCAATCTTGGGTCTGTAACTCACATCTCAGCTACTGGTGATGGCTTTCAGGTAATGGTAGGTTACGATACGGCTTGGATAAGCTACTCACCTTACTTACACCCATGCTCATCTAGTGATGATTCTGAATTTTTTAAATACGGTTTTAATGATGGCTTTTGGGAAAGAGACGGTTCTGCATTTTTCGGCTTAAAAAATCTTCCGATGAAACAACAGAAAACGATCTCGGTCGAAACAAAGAAAAGTCTTCACTCTATGTTAGATACTGATTATTCTTCTGCAATGGAATCACCCAAAGAACGTTCATGTGTATATATACTTCCTTTCCTGAAAAGCACTATTACCAATAGTGCATATGGTACAACCAATATAACTGGTGTACAATCTACTGATAGACTATTCATTTCAAAAGCATATTCTAACTCTAATAACTTGGAAGCAAATTTTGGGAATTCTTCTTGGCTCCAAGTAGAATATCCTCAAACTTATATTTCTGCTGAATGGCCTATCCGATACACTGCCATTAGCAAAGATGGTGAATATATCGCTATAGCCGGGTCTCACGGATTCGCAGTTTATAATTTTCAAAATAGAATTTGGAATGTTTTCGATAATGGATCTTTGGAGCAAGCTATAACTATCTCCTGCCCAATGTTATGGCACGATAGGTATCTTGTAACAGGACTTTTATACGAATCAAGCTCTGAACTCCACGTGTATAATGTAGAGAAGAAGTTAGACGATGCCATTGTTGATAAGTTTGTTTTTGCGTCTACCATTGTCACGATATCTATATGCGGCGACTCACATTTACTTGTTTACACGGCTGATAATTTTTTGCATCATATATACATGGAACATATTGAGGATTCTAACCCATCTTTATTTTTGAGCCACGTGAACAGTGTGAGTTTTGTACAGGTCTTCACAACCCCGTCTAGAGTACGTACTATTACTTTACTTACATTACGACCGATGTCACATTCGGATCCATCCCAATTACTTTCTAATGCAATTTTGCTTGTTTTAATTAACGGCAAGCTTATTACCTTGGACCCTGTAAAAACTGATTCATCCTATCTGAGCTACCGATGCTGCATAATATCTGAAGATGTTGAATTTTTTATGATTAATCAGGATTTGGAAAGTCCAGCTCTATATCATTCAATGTGGATTATGACTGGAAAAGGGTTCAGGTTGTCAATGGCTTTTGGTGAAGCACTGTCAAAAATATTGTATGATGATACTAACACCCAGAAAAGTGATGTTCCTCTGGGGGATTCAAGAGAAATAGATAATTTTAAGCTATATAATCCAAGACAACTTGGCATTATGGATGACTTACGATCTCCAAGTTTTATCGTAAAGACTCCGGATAGCTTTTTGACGACAAACACTTACATCGCGAAGCTGGCAAAATCTATTAATATGCTAGACTTGTTTCAGAAGCACAGTATATCCCTAAATAATCCTGGAACACTCTTATCTGTTATTGTAAAGGGTGGACTGTTTATCAGTGCTTCAACCTTAGAACACAAGAACGCTGCCAATAGTATGGAGTATTCTCATATCCAAATTGAAGTCTTTCCTTTTCTTCCCGACTTACTAAAATCTCTTCTCTTATTAAATGATATCGATTATGCTGTTTTCCTAGTGCGTGCGTATGCTTCATTACGTTACATCGATTTTGTGCTGGAAAGACTCCTTTCAATGGCTGTAGAGTGTTCTGATTCTGATCAAGCATTGTTAACGAATGTCGTTATCTTGTTTAGTAAGATTAAAGACTTGAACGTTTACAAGTACGTTCTAGGATGCCTTAGAAAAGTAGAAACCCATTATTGGCCGAACATTTTCAACCACTTTGGTGACCCGCAATATTTGATGAATCAATGTTTAGGAAACGACGATATAAAAAGTGCTGCTAGATGTATTATCATTTGGCAAGTACATCATGGATCTGCTAGTTGTGCTGATGTTTTCCTTGAAGTTTTGAAATTGAGTTTTGTAAAAGAAAATTGGGAGGTGTGCATGGAGTTGTGCCATTACCTTGCCAGTCTTGATCCTACAAAACAACTACTTATATCTGCCTTAAGAAGTGCTAAGATTCCATGTGAGCAACCACGAATGGATAAAACGAATAAAAAATTTCATGAATTGATGATAGATATTGATGACTCTTAATATTGTTGATAAGGTTTTGCCCTTTACGGAAGTAGGGTTTAGACATTTAAGAAGCTAAAGTAATGTTTATAAATCTGTTAAATAATTTTTTTTTTATTTTTCTTGTCCAAAATCAAAATCGTGCAAAGAAATTTATTAACCATCAAAAGATACAACAAATTGTCTCTTTACTTCTTCCGTACATATCACGCTCGACGCGTAGTTGAGTATAGAGAATTAAAACACCATGCGTGAGGGGTTTCTAGTTTAACATTTTTCAATAATTAGAAACAATAAAGGAGAGTATATACAAACAGCAGCTATAGCTTAGGTAACAGCATTCTCTTCCTTAGAATCGGCACTATCTCCTTGAAGGCGTTTCTTCTGCTTTTCTTTGTAGTTATCTTGTTTTCGATATATTCCAGAGTAAGAATGCACTTTAAATCCGAAGATGCGAGGGATATATCTTTCATGTGACTTTGGGACGACCAATTCAGGATATACTTGGAACAACATGTGAGGGAAAGAAGTACCAAAGTACGCACCATCAATAGAAGCGTGACGCTGAGACTTTGGAGTGTACACATCTTCACATCGAGCACAGTAAAGCTTCACAGACTTCGTATGAGGTATGTCAGAGAGACCTACTGGTAGCATTGGCTGACCGTTGCACAACACACGCGGGCAATGACCGAAATCACATTTTTTGTATTTTTCAAGCTATTAATTTGTTAGTTACTGAACTCAACGAGTAAATTATATCAGTCTCCTTGAAAAAATAAGAGGCAAAACCGCCCGACGGCTTTATTTGAGTAGCCAACTTACCATTTTGTACAATCCTTGAGCTGTTAAAATATAACGGGCATGTATAAGACCATATAGATGGCGGGCACTAGCCTCTACTTCATCCTGGATTTCTTCAGACAAATCAGGATCCAAAACGTCCAAAATTAAATCTATAGCATGAGAGTATTGAGGAACCTCCTGGCTCAAACCAGTCAAATTAAATCGGTCTTGAATATAATCTTCATCTACTTCGCAAAAAAACTCATTGCCCTTAAGCCCCAAAAACCAGTCAACCCAATATTGTGATTCGTCAGACTCACTAGGAACTAGATTAGTATAAATTCCTTTCTCCAAAGTCTTTCATTTCCTCTTCCTTCTTCTTTTTTTGCTTGCTGACTTACCTTTCAGAGGAATATAGCTGCATAATGTCTGCAATTAGATATAACTCATTCAAAAATTCAGCAAACTCCGACTAAGAATCTTAAAATGTTTCTCTTTAAGTAGAAGAAATTTTTTTTACAAAAAAAAACGAGATATTAAAGGATTATTAAAAGGTTATTCAGTAGCTGGTCAACTCAAGTTCGCCAAAACAGTTGAGACTGACATTATGCGGTAGATCTCGTTAGGGTATTTGCCTGTAGTTGCTCAATTATAATAGCATATGCTTATATAGATTATACATTGGAAATAATAAGAATATGCTTTTAGTTAAAAATTATACGCTACAGCAGTGGATCAGAATAATGGAAATACAGAACAGATTGTAATGGAACAAAGGGAAGATTCAAAAGAGATAGGAATATATATTTAGTCAGAACGTCTATCGTCAAAGTTTCTAGCATAAAATGAAATAACATCTAAAGAAAAAAGTCTCCGAAGGCTGCATATCAATTTATGCTTCACACTTCTTTACTTGGTTTTCGCATCTTCTTTACCGTAGTCATTAATTTCAGTCATGGCTGCTTCCATTTTTTCTTGTGTTTCACGTAACAAAGAATTCACATCTTCAGATGTTTTCCCAGCTGTAGGTATGGGATCCAAAATCTTTACAAGTGCTTCACCCTTATTAAAAACCTTAGTGGGAGGATGGAAAATATGGGAATAGTTTTGAACAGCTATAGGAATAATAGGAGCTTGGGCTTGAACAGCCAAATGGAAAGCACCCTTTTTAAGTGGTAATAGTAATGGCTCCTTTGCATAAGTACGAGTTCCTTCGGCAAAAACCCAAATGTCAAGCTTTTCGGCTTTCATGCGCTGAGCAGCTCTTGAAAAAAGAGCAATAGCATCTTCACGTCTGGCACGGTCAACAAACACGGCATCTGCAAGCAGCATGAACCATCCTAGTAAAGGAATGTACTTTAAGGACTTCTTTGAAATAATTGAGAATTTGGGTTGAAAAACTTTTCCAGCAAGCAAAAGATCTAGTTCACTTAATGGTGTTAGTTATCTGGTAGCAAGGGCTTCCTATGAATTTGTACTTACGATTGGTGATTAACAACCAAAACAGCTGGCTTGTTCTTTCTTAAAATCTCCTCATTTTCAACCCTGAAACGGACGTCTAATACTGGGCTCGTGATGTGATAGTAGGCCTTCGCAGTGAGATATTGTCCTAAAACTGGTTGTCCACATAAACGGCAAATGGCAGAAGCAACGACACCATAAGCAGCACTAATAGCTAAAAAAGTGAAGGTTGCAAAATAGCGGAAGTAGTATCGGAAAGGCTCTGGCAGATTAACAACCTTGTTAAGTCCGCATAGTCCACCATAAACCGAAACCGTAGCTAATATGGAACTTTTAAAGAATCCCATAATTCCTTTTTCTTTTCCTTTTCGAGGTAGTAAAGACTAAAATAATATGTTTTTGGTAAAGACGTTAAAAATATAATCCGTGGTTTGAGAGTGGAACTATGAATGATTACTACTTGTTGTAACCCATTTACGATAATACTAATATTTGATACAATTATCATATAACATTATGGATTCATAATTTGTGATGAACAAGGAAATTGGTAGAAAAAGAATAAATACAAGAGAAAGAGTATAGTTTAGAAGAAAAGGTTGGTTTTAAATATTATATAGAGGAATAACCTTCTAATTCAAATAGATTGAAGATTAAACTGATCTAGCTAGAAAAGTTGTACATTTTTAGTGACCTGATCCGAGAAGCTATTACTGTCTTTTCCAAGTAGCATGAAAACGTCTAGTTTATTAGACAATTCAGTATAATTGGAATTACGTTTCTCGCTGAATTTACTCTCATAACAAATGAGATGTCGACTGTGCAGCCTAGTTTATGAGTATGATTACTGACTGCGGTTGTATAAATTAAACTCAACGATAGTGTTGAAAAGGCAGAATACGGCACTTGTTAATATAAGTTATAAATAAAAATAAATTATAGTTCTTTTTCTATCCTAATAATAGCTTATACCTGTCGAATCATTATAAACCATAATTTATATAGTTGAGAGTTGTCATAAAAGGGTTTCCCCTAATTGTCGTAATTCTTGTAAATTTCACCAGTTTCGGTGAGTAAGTTTTCTTCTAGAATATCCAAATTTTCAATGGATTCTTTTATAATGTGATTGGCTTTTCCATCCAAATTCCATGCAATTGTCAAATGCCGCATCGCCATATTCTTTTGTCCCCTTTGCTTGTAGATTTTTCCTAGCATAAAATGAACGTTGGCTTCGTCTGGTGCTATAGACTTTAGTCGTTCCAACTCAATCAATGCTCTATCATAATTGTGCAATAAAATCAAAACTTTTGCTTTTTTGAACCGCGCAAGCGAGGATTTATCGTCTAGCTCACAGGCCTTGCAGTAAAATTCTAACGCTTTTTCAAAATCTTTACATCTTTCGAAAATCATACCAATGCAACTTATTAAAACGCTGTTGTTGGGGTTAATCTCGGCAGCACGTTGAAAGTGAAAATCAGCTTGATCATTCCTTCCGGTTTTCAGATAGACCATACCCAAGCCATACCAAGCATTATAGTGTCGGGCATTGATACGTATCGCTTTCCTAAACGATGTTTTCGACTTTTCATATTCCTCATTAGCGGAATGTTCGTGACCCTGAAGCGTGTATGCATATTCAAAGGTAGGATCCAACTGTAATCCTCTATTTATACATTTAAGTGCCTGTGAGTGTTCTCTTTGTAAAGAGAAACAATTCGCTAAAATGCACCACGCTTCTGGAGAATATGGATTAGTCTCCAACATTTCATGAGCTAAATATGATAAAGGAACAGCCTTTTGTAAATGCCAAAGCGCAGTTGAATATATTTCCATATCCGTTACTTGCGAGGGGCGAAGATCACGAAGCTTCTGAAAAACATCTTCGGCTTTTTCGTAATTAACCATCTCAAAATATGTTACACCTATTTTTGAAAGCACAAATGGTGTCGTCCTATGCTCCCTCGGTAAGCTTAAAAAATAAGACAATGCATCCTTTAATTGAAAGCAGGCTAAAAAGTAGCAACCTTTTGCAAAGATCTTTAATAATTCTAACAAATTAAGATCTTCGTCCTTGTAGCTCAAAGGTAATTCTCCCTCATTTTTTTTGTTGCTAGCTTCACGTAATTTTGCTGCAAAGCGCGCACCGGTTTTGTACGTCGATAACTTTGCGCTGGCGACCTCATTTTTGGAAAGAATGTCTTTTCGTACAGAAGATGAACTAGTAAATGGCTTGGAAGTATCTTGGTATGAAGAAAAAGTTGGGTTTGGTTTGGTTTCCTCTTTTAATCCTTCGTCTTCGGCATCATTATTGTTAGGGCCAACTCGGTCGAACCAATTCGTGAATGCCGACATAGAAGAGCTGGAGGAAGGATTGACTGGAAATTCGGACGTTGCTTGCTTTGTTAACGATGGGAAAGGCTTTTTTCCGCGTTTTAAAGAATAGGTATCAGAACCCACCAAAGGAGAATTAAACTGAAATTTTTCTGGAAGTTTTGGGGCATTTAAATATGGAGGTAAGATAAAAATGTTATCCACGTCAAGAGGGACTCCTATTCAAAGTTAGCAGCAAATCTTCGAGCGAATTTTGAGTACCAAAAGCGATTTCGTCAGCGCGGTAACAATAAACTTTTGTAACACATACCGATTGCAATTAGATTTTGAAAGCAAGTAAAATTGTATGGATTAATTGAAATGGATTCCACGAAGCATTCTGTTGCTTTTTTTATATAACCTGCTTTTTTGTACATAAGGCCCAATACATCAAGCATGCTCGAGGCATCCGGGCGACCCCGATTAGCATTGCTGTCATTTACTGAAGAATTAGCTCCAAAGCCTTAAATCAAAAACATACGGTTTGGTATTAAAGATTTCCATTGAGGGCGACAAGTTTCTATGGAAGTGATGCCCTGTTTATAACGGCCTAAAATTAAACATACTTTTGCATAAACAAATACGCAAGGAATATGCTTAATGTTACGGTTCAAAAGATCAAAAGCAATGTTGTAATCAAGGTTGAGAAGATGTGAATACGCCAAGAGGTATAAACTTTCGCCTGAATCTTCCACTGCATGCAATCTTTCAGCGTAAAAGATGGCATTTTTGTACTGCTGATTATCAATAGAATACCATACAAGGCATTTTAATCGGTCTAACATGTCAATTCAATATTTCAATTGTTTGTTGAAGTAGAACCGTGTCAACATCAACAAGCTGGATTATAGCGAGGCTCAACGAGTATATACACAATGTTTGGAAGGCAAGATTAGATGATGACTGCAGCATTAAACAAACAAATAAAGTGCTTGTTTACTTTTGTAGAATAGCATAAAAAAGATAATCTCAAAAAGTAATTCTAAAACGAATACGGTAGCAAAAATGACATACCTAAATAAAAACGAAACGTCCTCTATAGCGTCTGACAGGAATGCAAAACTAAGATTTTCAAGTAATGTAATTCAATTTCTCAATAATTTTCTGTTGAAGAAGAGTTTCGGTAAGACCTGACACTTCTATCCAACCGGAGTCCAAAACTTCTAAGTCAATTGAATAAGCAATTGCAATGAAGAAAACAGATTCACTAATGATTTTTTTCTGCAATTCTATTTGAAATTTCTTATTAGCATAGGAAGCGGTTCCGGCACGAAATACACGTAAATTGCTTCCGTATAAGAAATCCTGGAAAACGGGAATATGTACTTCAACAAGGGCAGGGTTACCATGTAATCCCAACCCAAGCGACTTCAAAACGGCCTCTTTGCAAGACCAAAACAGAAAGAATGCGATGAGACGATCGTCGCATGAGAAAATCAAATTCCATTGTTCTCGATTGAATACAAATTCAAAATCTTCCATCCAATTGGATTCCTCACTGAGGCTTTTACACTCGACAACATCTACACCAATGTTACGAGGACTATGAGCTGAAAATGGACTATTCTTTGAGATCCAAGTACCCACGAATACTACAATACCGCCATAATGAGATACATTAAAATCAAAAACGGTGTTTTCGGAGATTTCTTTTAAGTAAAATGGACGCCCGCTTTCGGCTACACTTATCTGTACAGAGTCTGGGTTTGTACGAAAGAGTGTAGCAAGTACCTGTCGCTTCACGAGCATAGAAGCCATCGCCATGTTTGCATCTTTGGCAAAATAGTATCGTTTTACTTTCACTTTTTCTTCTGGAAGTAATAATTGCAGCTCGGGGGAAGACTAATACCACAGGTACCCGTTAGCATGTGTGAAAAGTGTGGAAAATTATGCATACATTTACCTGCTCGGGCCAAGACCGCGTGTCAACTAAAATTTTAAGGACACTTGAAGCCATTTAATACGGTATGGTTTCAAATAGCTATATATTTCTCTGTTTCGCTAGCCAACAAATGTTCCAAAAAAAATTAAAGAAAGCAATAGGTATGACAACTCCTGCGAAAAGTCAAAAGATGTAAAAAAAGCCTGAGATACTAGAGATTAGCAACTTCATCACGTTTCATGTCTTTTTGTATAGAAGAGAAGGACTTCTATACTCAAACGTCAATTCATGAGAGACTTAAATATGCGGTTCATTCACCGAAACCGACTCCAACACTGATGAAGTGACCCATAAAAATTACCTCTTTCTACAACGAATATTTTTAAAATCAAGACTAACTTATCAATCACTAAGACATTAAAAGTAATAGGTATTTCTTTGGTGGTGTCGTATACAATGATGTATAGCGATGTCGTTAATCGTTCTCTTTGCCATCAGGACGGGCTTGCCTTAGTGCCGCCATCTTGAAATTTCCAGTTAACCACCACCAACCCACCCAACTACTTCAGTTGAAAATTTGTATCCAGTCTTCTGGAGGGTAGTTTTATTTTTTTCAACGGAATTTGGAATATAGGTTTATTTATTGTATTCCGTTCCCTTAGAATCTCTAATTAGTAATTTTTCTTTCGAGATAAAATAGAACGAAAGAAAGATTCGGTTGTTCCATAAAAACAAACGAAGTACTAATTGAAAGATTTCGTTACTTGGTGGTCTCTTTCAGTTTATTTATTTTCTTTGACGTAAAAACTAGAGAGAATGTCTTCTAAGCCGCCATCTAATACTCAAAAGTTTAGTTATGCACGTGCGTTGGCTGCTAGTCAGTCTATGAAAAATGCAAACGTAAAACCACAAAACGCAACTTCTGAGAAGCCTGCTTCTAAGCCTGCTGCTGCATCCGCTAACACTGCTAAGTCTTCCACTGCTGGCTCGGCTACTACTGATACTCATAATGCAACTGGCACTACAGATGCATCGGATGTCCCTCAAAAGCCTACTGTTACTTCTGAAAACAAAGCAGATGTAAAGGATGCGAAGGATCAGGATAAAAAGGTTTCAAGTAAACCTGCGAACAAGGAGAAACCCTTGGAAACCGCTTCAAACGCTGAAAACCCCGTCTCTGCGAATGTTTCTTCAGAAAGCAAGCAAACTCACAACGCTGGTCAAAAAACACAGCAATCCGAAGGGGCTGCTAAGACTGCCGAAAAGACAGCATCAATTAACTCAGATGAACATGGTGCTAAGCAAGAGCAAACAAAGGATGCTATTGAAAGTACACCTTCTCATCAAAATCAAACACAAAACTCTTTCCCTACCGTTCCAATTCAATTTGGATCTATCACAAGAAATGCTCCTATTGCTACTAAACAGCACGTGAAGGCTAGTGTTCCTTCCAACCAACCAAAAAACAGTGTTCCTCCTAGGAATAATTTATCTAATTCGATCGGACATCCCGGATCTAGTCCCGTCTCTAAAGGTTCCCGTGCTGCTGCCCCATCCTCTAATAATTCCAGTTCTAATGATTCTGCTGCCTCAGCCAAATCTAATAACTCAAATGTAGCTCCTGAGTCTGCTGATCCTCATGGTCCAAATCCTGTATCAAGCACACCTTCATTAAACGGTTCTGGTAAACCCCACCGCCAAAACCGTCATTATGAACGCTATGGAAACTCTTATCCTTCATACAATAAATATTCCCCTCACTATCAGCATGGCTATACTTATAAAAATAATGGTCGTAATGATTCTCAACGCTACAACAGAGGAAATGGCAGAAGACAATACAACAATGGTCATTCCGGTTACCCTCCTTTCGTATCCAATGGCCGGAACTCTGCTCAAAATCCACGGAATACTCCTCAAGGTATGGGCTCACCAGCTAATCCTGTCCAGATGCCTGTATCAATACAACCTCCCTATGGCCAAGTGTATGGACAAGCACCATATATTGTTGATCCTAACATGATGCAATTCGGCGCAATGTTACAACCAGGCTATGTTCCTCAGTATTATCCTGTATATCCTCAAACGCCATATACACCACCAACGTTCCCAAATATGTCCCGTAGCACTTCTCAGGTATCAGAACCAGTTATGGATTCACCAAACTCTTCTACTCCCATAAGCTCTAGATCTGGTAATTTTACTCCTATTGTCAAACAACAGAAAAAGAGCAGTGCTTTGAAAATTGTCAACCCTGCTACCAATACTGAAGTGGTTGTTCCTCAAAAGAATAAATCCCAGCCTAAATCGGGAGAATCTAGCCCACGGTTAGACAGTGCTGTTACTCCTCATTTAACGGAAGAAGAGGTTTCCAAGCGAAAGGATGCCGTTAAACAAGCTGTTCAACAGCGTATTCAAGAAAAGGCTGAAGAAGAGGCTAGGAGACACGCTGAAGAACAAGCTAAACGTGAGGCTGAAGAAAAGGCTAAGCGTGAAGCTGAAGAAAAGGCCAAGCGTGAAGCTGAAGAAAAGGCCAAGCGTGAAGCTGAAGAACAAGCTAAGCGGGAGGCTGAAGAACAAGCTAAGCGCGAAGCTGAAGAAAAGGCTAAGCGCGAAGCTGAAGAAAAGGTGAAACGTGAAGCTGAAGAGAAGGCTAAGCGGGAGGCTGAAGAAAAGGCTAAGCGGGAGGCTGAAGAACAAGCTAAGCGTGAAGCTGAAGAAAAGGCTAAGCGTGAGTCTGAAGAACAAGCCAAGCGTGAAGCTGAAGAGAAGGCTAAGCAGGAGGCTGAAGAGAAGACCAAACATGAAGCTGAAGAGAGAGCTAGAAAGGAAATTGAAGAAAAGGCTAAGGTTGAGGTTGAGGCCGAAGGTAACTCCAAATCAGAGGAATTGCCTAAGAGTGATGACCAAAAGGAAATTAAGCCCAAGTCTGAAAATATTAAGACGTCTTCTGAATCTTCCCTTGCAGAATCTCGTAATTTCACACCCAAGCGGGAAGTATTGTCTGGTGTCGAAAGCCTTAAATCCCAACCAAAGCCTTCTGCTTCTCTCGACTCTTTACTGCAAGCCAGTATTATTTCAGACATTTCCAAGATTGTCTACCCTTCTTCTATTAAGCGACCTGCAACCGAAGGTGAAATTAAAGATGGTAAGCTTCTTTACGATATCCCTTTCCTTATGCAATTCCAAACTTATTATACTGATAAGCCTGCTTATGGTTGGGACGAGAAAATGAAGGGAACTGTTGCCTCTGCTTTCAGTGATAAGAGTTCCCGTGGTGGTTATGGTTCCAGTCGTCAAAGTTCTCGCTCTGGCTCTACTAGAGACTCGCATGCCGGTTCAGGTTTTGGTGGTCACTCTGATAGAAAATCGATGTCACGCCTTGGTGTTGATCGTGGCTTCGGTGATTCAGGTGGAGGATTCCGTTCTGGTAGTAATTACAAGAGTGCCCCTAGCCGTGGCATGAGTCACCATGGTCACGGTGGATCTCACAGAGGTTCCCAACGTGGATCCCGACGCGGTGGTGGCGGTGGTGAACGCGAAAAGCCTGACCCTTCTACTTTAACTATTCCAGCTGAGCAAGTACAACCATTACAGTTGTCAGCTAACCGTTGGCAACCTAAGAAGCTTGCTGAAAAACCTGAAGTCAAGGATAACCAAGAAGATCTTCTTCCTCTTGATGTCATTCAACGTAAGGTTAAGGGTTCTTTGAACAAGATGACCTTGGAGAAGTTCGAAAAGATTTCGGACCAAATTTTAGAGATGGCCATGCAATCGCGTAGAGAGACTGATGGTCGCACTTTGAGATTAGTTATTCAGCTCACGTTTGAAAAGGCTACCGATGAACCAAACTTCTCTAACATGTATGCTCGATTTGCTCGGAAGATGATGGACAGTATAGATGACTCTATTAGAGACGAAAACGTATTAGACAAGAATGGTCAACCTGTTAGAGGTGGTTTGTTATTTAGAAAATATTTGTTAAGTCGCTGTCAGGAAGACTTCGAACGTGGTTGGAAAGCCAATCTTCCAGCTGGAGGTGCTGGAGAGGCTGAGATTATGTCTGATGAGTATTATGTTGCTGCTGCCATCAAGCGTCGTGGTCTTGGTCTTGTAAGATTTATTGGTGAGTTGTTTAAGCTTAGCATGCTTTCCGAAAAGATTATGCACGAATGTATAAAACGTCTTTTGGGTAATGTTACAGATCCTGAAGAAGAAGAAATTGAGAGTTTGTGTAAATTATTGATGACAGTCGGTGTGAATATTGATGCAACTGAAAAGGGTCATGCTGCTATGGATGTATACGTTCTTCGTATGGAAACTATCACCAAAATACCTAACTTACCTTCCCGTATTAAATTTATGCTTTTGGATGTTATTGATTCAAGAAGAGCTGGTTGGAATATTAAGAAGGAAATTGAAAAAGGACCAAAAACTATTCAAGAAATTCATGAGGAGGCTGAGCGTAAAAAGGCTCTGTCTGAAGCTCAAAGACCTGCCCGTATGCATCGCGATATGAACCGTGGCGACTCTAGAACGGGCGGTAGAGGCAGTAACCCTCCCTTTGGATCCAATGACTGGTCTAATAATAAAGATGGGTATGCCAGGTTAGGTCAAGGTATTCGTGGTTTGAAATCTGGTACTCAAGGATCACATGGTCCTACGAGTTTGAGCTCGATGTTGCGTGGAGGAAATGTTAGCCGAAGCCCCTCTAGACAAAGTAGCACTCCGCGAAGAGAACCTGCTAGACAAGCTCCTGCGAATCAACCACTAACGTCGGCAAATTCCTTTGAACTTTTGGAAGAACAAGATCATGACAATGATGGATCATCAAACCATAAAGATCCTACTTCTACTTCGAAAACTAACCCTTAATTGACAGACTGAATATGTTTTTGCACAGTTGAATTAAGTTCTAGCTATTTTGGGTTGTTTTTGAAATTTTGGACCTATAAAGGGATCCATCATTTGTCAGGGTTTATGGAAAAATGGATTTACATCTAAGGTTAATATATATGCTATATCATCTTAATAGATAAAAAGCTTAATGACCTTTGGCTACTGTAACTAGAATACCGTGTAAAGGGAATTATCGTAGAAATGGAAGGTGTGCTTGTTGATCGTTGTAAGTCATCTTTGTCTTAATAGGACCTATGGGTAAAATCAAGAAACCAAATTTATTTATTATAAAAGTTATTTACGTGAATCCAGTGTAGTTAATGAAACTCATCCATGCAAAAACACATTCTCGAGGTTATTTATGACAAATCAAGACATTAGCTGAAGGGAAACATAGAAAGGTTTACCCTACTTTTAAAGTGTACATTCATAATGAAAAACGAGAAGTGTATTTTTGTCATTCTCGTAATCGTACTTCCTTACAAATGGAAGTTCTAGATTGATAGGAGAAATAACTTTCTTGCAAACATGACAAGGTTTTGAATAAAGGTTGGAATAATCAAGAAGTAGAGGCTAACATTCGTTAGTAAGGATCAGATTGTTCTGTAAAGAGACATACAAGAAGATGAAACAAGGGCATTTCGAGGTCATTATACCGATTAATAGAGAACATTATCGGTTGAAATTTACCAAATATACAAGAAGCCTTATAATCACCATTGGATTGTAAGCGAACGTGAAACTTTAGTCCAATGGAAATTTCCAGCATAAAAGAGTCTGTTTTTAAATCAGAGATAGATGAATTCGTGGAAGAAATACTGCTTTTAAAATTATTGAGTACATCTTCCAACTTCTCAGGGACTTTGGAATTTTGACGAGTCTCCTCTTGTTTTTTGTCTTCTACGCTTTCTATTTCTTCTGTAGTCCCTAAGGTTTTGTTACTGTCACGCTGTTGCGGAGGATAAGTTGGCATTAGCGGTCCCTGATTATTTGCATAAGATTCGGTGACATATTGAAATAGTGCTATTATGTTAATTAGAAAGACTGTAACAGAAAGTAAAATCTCATACACTGATGATACGCCAAATCGTTCTTAAGTCCTTCAACACTGGCAATAGCTTCTTGAGCTTTATGCTGGAATTTTTGACCTACATACTAGTTAACATCCCAACGGTTCAGGAGAACATGAAGAAGAACGAGGTTAACAACACCTGTCCGAACATCTTGTTCCTGGTAAATACTTACTCGTGCCTATTTCTGGACGTAGTAATTTCAGTAAGGCTGGACAAGTAGTCCGTAACTCTGCTAGCTTTAAGAGTCGTTAGTAAGCTCATGGTATTTATCACGGGCTTCTTTTACCTTCAGGTAAAGTTGGTTAACTGTATCCAACTTGTCTAGTAGAGCCTGCTTCTGTTTTTCGTGCTCCATGTAACCTGCTACCTTATTTTTTAAATAATATTCTTAACTAACAAGGCATGTGGAAAATTTAATTTATTGAAGATTCAATAACAAAAAGGTTTTGGAGTTTATAAAGTGGAGTTTTATTCTTCGCGGACACTACATGTAAGCAGTGGTGTTTTCATCTCTCTTCAACAGTCAAGGTCGTACACAGAGACCAACTTACAAACTTACGAATATTCCTGCCTTTTTGTGATCTTAATTTCTTTCTAATCTATTTTTTTTTCGAAGAAAGTTGAATAATAAGGCTACATTATCATGAGCACTGAGTCAAGCCAAGAATCAGCTTCACCTAGAAATGTGTCTCCTATTGACAGAGAGAGTATTCAGTCAGCGAGAGAGACATTGAGAAGTCTTTCTGAAATTGTATGTTTTTAAATTTAATAAGATACGAATATGTGCGAGTCGAAGCTAATACTCCTTTAGTTGACAGAAAACAGCACTCTCCCAGTCGGAATTTCAAGCATACGAGTGGCAGGAGCATACAATACTCGCGCAGGTTTTCTTCAGAAGGCATTACAATCATGTGTTGATCCATCTGCGAAAACCATAAAGAGTCGGCCACTATTGGATACGCTCAACAATATTCAAGAAACAACGGGGAAGCTAATGGCTTTTGGTATTTATGAAAGTGCCAATATTAAAATTGATCGTGCTTCGTCTGCTGTTTCCGGGGAAAACGATTTGGACGTCATTATTCAAGTGAAAGAAAAGCCTCGACTATTCTTTGAGACAGGAACTGATGTAGGTAATGTTGAAGGGAATGTCCATGCAAACGTTTTGGCTAGAAATTTGTTTGGCGGTGCAGAGTTTCTTTCTGGAAATGTCTCATACGGTACTAGAAACCGTGCTACAATGTCAGCTAAGTTTGAAACTCCCGTAAATGCAAGCCCAGCTACTCGCTTACGTGTTCTCGGTTATAGCAACGTTCGTGATAATAAAGCCATCTCAAGTCATGAATTGATTACCAGAGGTTTGTCAGTAAGTTTACAGCATCAAGATCGTTTTCATGGTCTACATGAGCTTTCCCAAAATTTCTTTTGGAGACAAGTTACTCGTTTGAGTGAATTTGCTTCTCCTAGTATACGGTTACAAGCCGGTGATACCATTAAACAATCCCTTGCCTATTCTTATGTTATGGATACACGGGACCATCCAACCCTTCCGTCAAGAGGTAACTATGTCCGCGCTTTGATGGAACTCGCTGGACTAGGACCAGTTACTGGAGATGCAAGATTTCTTAAATCTGAACTTTGGCATCAGTATGCTGTTTCCTTAAACCGTGCACAATCTGTTACTCTTGCTGTTTCTAGTCGCTTGGGTGCTATCAAACCATTAGATGAATCACCCATTCTTTTATGTGATCGTTTCACATTGGGCGGATCTACTAGTCTGAGAGGGTTTTCTGAAGACCGCCTGGGACCAAAGGATGGTAAAGATTCCCTCGGTGGTTCCGCCTATTTGGCCCTCTCTACAAGTTTGTTATTTCCTTTGCCTAAATTGGATGCTTCCAAACCTTTCCGAATGCAGGTTTTCGCTAATGCTGGTGGTTTAACTAACTTAGATGCTCGAAACCCGTTGAACACATACAAATCGATTATGATGCGTCCTTGCGTATCAACAGGTTTGGGCCTTGTTTATGCATCCCCCGCTGCTCGTTTTGAATTGAACTTCACAATCCCCATTGCGGTCACTGGTGGTGATGTAGGTCGTAAAGGTCTTCAACTAGGAGCCGGCATCGAGTTTATGTAATCTAATATGTTTGATAACCGAGTGGAAGCAAACATTGTCTTATAACAAATTCAGAAAAGAAACTGTACTTGATCTTTTTTTCTTTTGAAGAATGCATGAGAAATTGACGAAGAGTGCATGAGTCACTGTCGTGTTTACCAAATGAGAGAAATATCGATATTCAAATAACCAACTTGATACATGCCTTTTATAATTATTCATACATGCTGCTATGAGGCATAATAAAATGGAATAATACAAATGCAACAGTGAACTGCAATTTCTTCTTATGTCGTTGGTTTTTAAATATAATTATCTCTTTGAATGCTATTCTAAATTTATTGATCTTTCCCCCCTTTTTAATAACTCCTCCCTTCTCTTTAATTCGCAGGTACTGATCTCTATGAGTTGTCTTAGTCTTTTGAGAATCTACCATTCTGCACAAATAGAAAACAAACCATGAAGCAAATTGTTTCTTTGTAAGTTTGTTACATCCTAATTCTTATTAATATTGGCTTTACATCCTTACTTATAAGCATAAGAGATTATGGGAAAACAATGCTATGGAAAGTAGCTTAAGTGTAAAGTTGGTAATGAAGAAGGATGATGATGGTGATGGTGATCTGAATATATACTTACTACTATCGTATGATACAAGTACGAACTTTACAGACGTGTAGAAATGGAGAAAAAAAAAAGAAAAAAGAAATCATTATCGTACTCATTGCATTAATAGTCATACAGGAAGAAAAAAGCTAGTGACAAGCGAACACGCATTAATCCAAGACACGAGAGATGTTACGTTCCTTGTACGTAGCAGTCTTTTGTGTGTGATCATTCTGAATTTCGTAGCGGGTTTCTTCACCACCAGCGTCATCCTTGACACTTAGGATGGTACCAGTAGAAGTACTAGTTCCGCTAGCACCACCAATCTAAATCGAAATTATGTTAGATTTATAATGTATTAAAAGCATTCACCGGCTATAGTACAATGACAGCTTTCATGTTTTACATGAACGAAGCAGGCATCGTATCGTCTTAAGTGAACATTGTGATGATCACATTTACTTACAGGATGGTATTCAACTTTGTTTCCCTTTTGATATTTGGTCATGTTTGATAATTTGGAATCGTAGACTCAATAATCAGATACCGAACAGGCCGTTCGTCCAGCCTTTTTATATTTTAATCGTGGCAAGTACATCACTTGTGCGATTTATTGCATAAACATACTATTATTCTTTTGTGACGAAAGTGTAAGTGCTCATTCCTCCAACGTAATCTCAATATTCGTAAAGACGGAAATGAAATTATAGACCTAGCTTGCGAAAGAATGATATTATAAGATTCACTCATACTATCCCAGCATGTCAATTTGATCCTTGGCAGTAGCCCTTCTAGGTTTACTTTTAGATATCTTACTTTGGAAGTATGTAGAAAATAAAGTAGAATCTGAATACTGGTATCATTAAAGTACACCTATTGAAAACAAGAGATGAAATAAACCAGACTAGGAGGAACGTTGAGAAAAAGAATTATTGCAAGAAGTATTTATAAACAAAACAATGCATGTCTGATGGAGGTTTACTATAAAAAATAAAATAAAATAAAATAGAATAGAATAGAATAGAATAAAAACAAAAAAAATAGTGAAACTACTTCTAAATAGCTAAGAATCCAAGAAATTTAGATTTCATTTCATTGCCAACTAATCCGGTCTTTCTGTTGAGTTTTTCAGAACGTTCAGCGTTTCAATGGATGGAATTTTGAAGTCAGAAAGTATAAAAACGATTATTAGTTAAAATCCGTAAATACAGAAAGACTCTCTTTTACTTGTTCTTCAACTGTAGCACTTGAAAATTCCATTCTTATTTTTTAGGGTATACACACCTTTTGCTAAACGGAACGCAACACCGTTTAAATTGGTGAGCATTCAGAAATTTTGGAAGCGTTGGTAGAATCCTTTTTATTTCTAATTTCTTTTTTCCACAATTTGCTCTTCATTATACATTTCACTTCTCATTACCGGTATTCTGTTTACTAAGGCTAGGCAACGAGACTTTGGGGTGGCCTTTCGAGACGAACCTGCCAAGAGCCAAATTTTCAAGAACGCATCATGCTTCGTCGTACGGCAAGAGAAAGACGCCAGTTTATTTATAAAAGAAATAAAGATCTTCAAGAGGCTAAGCTGAATGAAAAAAGACGCGCATTGAGACATGCCTTAGAAAACAATAAGGATCTCAACAAGGATCTTCAAGAAGACACTCAATTGCAAAAAGATTACCAATACGATGAAAGCAAAGCAGCTCAGGATGCTGATTTAGAAATTGATGATGAATATTACAGTCTGGGTGAACGAGAACCCAGGGTTTTGGTTACAACAAGTCGTGACCCGTCGTCGCGTCTGGCCCAATTCGCCAAAGAAATGCGTCTGTTGATTCCAAATTCATTCCGTTTAAATCGTGGTAATATTGTCGTGGGAAGTTTAGTAGAGGCTGCTCGTGCCAACGATATAACTGACATCGTCCTTTTGCATGAACATCGAGGTATCCCAGATAGTATGGTCATCTCCCATCTTCCTTATGGTCCTACTGTTTCTTTCTCTCTTCATAATGTTGTTCTTCGTCACGACATTCCCAATACGGGTACTATGTCCGAAGCTTATCCTCATCTCATCCTAGAAAACCTCACCTCAAAGCTGGGCGAACGTGTGAAGAAGGTGTTGTCAGCTTTATTTCCTCCCGATCCTAAAGAATCTTCACCAAGAGTCGTAACTTTTGCCAATTCAGACGATTATATAAGTTTCCGCCATCACTTGTACGCGAAGACCGGCCCGAAACAAGTGATCCTTTCAGAGGCAGGTCCCCGTTTTGAAATGCGCTTGTACGAAGTTCGACTAGGTACTTTGGATATGCTCGACGCCGACGTTGAGTGGAGACTCAAGCCTTATCAGCGCCACAAGCGTCAAGTTTTAGCCGAGTAAGAGCATATGTGTATTTTCAACGTGGTACGCTTAGGAGTATAGTTTTTGGTTTTATTGGGTATTTGGGTTTTATTGATATCAAAGTCATTGAATTAATTATAATTTTACTTGTATAATGCGTGTAGAAAAGCCGTATGATTGGATTTTCCGTTCGTGTTTAACTACAGGTCTTTGATAGACCATGAATTTCTTCACCTTCCCTTCCATCCTTCGATTATATAATGGATGTTTCTGTTTCATAACTAAAACTTAAACATTGCCCCGTATCTTGTAAAATGCAAAATCCTTGTCATGTTATTTTTGCTCCTGAGAAGTAGAGGCTTTTGAATGTAGTGTGTATTCTTAGTTTATAGGTACTCTAAAATTAATGGCTCAATGGATATAAAAGAAGACAGCAGTAAATTTTAGCCGCTTTAAAGCTATCCACGATTATTTTTTGCCTTTCTTTGAAGCTCCCTTTTTCTTATACTGCTTTTCTATTTCATCAATCTGGGTATCAGCTGCTTTAATTAACTTCTCTGCATACTCCGGGTCCTGAATTTCCTTTCGTGAAGGTTCTATCATGGTGCATTCGTTAACGAGCAAATACTCGGTAGTGGCACCAAATTCAGGACTACAAATCGCATGGAAAAAGGATTGCGCACCCTTCAGAGTGCCCTTTATAATCAGCCACCAAAATGGCCAAAGAAGCAAGTACAAAAGTAATCCCCAAACACGACCTAAAGTAATAAATCTTCGAAATCCGGGAGTACGAACTACGCCTGGATTCACCATTACGGTATGAATATTACAAGGCATATTGTCAGGGCGTTCGTGATTTTGCGCCTTTTTCTGAAAGTCGTAAAGATATGTCATTAAGGCGAGCTTAGCATTTCCTACGACTTTCCAGGGACTTGAACGAGGGTATGGATGATTATCTAGAGCTAGATCATCAAATTTAATGTCACCCAAAACATAGGATGAACAGGTCGCGGCGATAATACGTACGTCTCTGTGGCCGGGTTGACCATATAAGACAGGACGCATAATTCGCATCAATTGGTAAGGACCTAGAAAGTTGGTTGCCCACTGTAATTCGACACCCTCCGCAGTGACTTGGCGATCCACATATGGAGGCAGCGACAAGCCTGAGCATAGAATAATCATGTCCAGTCTTCGAATAGGGGAAGCGTCAATCCACTTCGTAGCGAATTTTCTGACGGAAAGCATGGAACTTAAATCACATACCTCCGAATAAATAAATTGATTGTTTGAACGCTCTCGTAGATCCATAATAAAATCTACTGTAAATTGATCGGGCTCTGACCGAAGCAAAATAACAACATGAGCTCCTAGTAAAGCAAGTTTCTCTACAACCCGTTTTCCTATTCCGGAAGTTCCACCTGTAACAATTACAACCATTCCATTCATCTTTCTCTCCCAAGTCGTAGAACGACCCATGGTCCAAAATTTGAAGCCACCTATTGCAGCCAAGGTAAATAAAACCTTTAAATAAGTTTTCCAGTACAAAACTACATGATCGTAATTGAATTGTACGACATGGGCTACAAAAGGGATAGGCATTTCTAATGAATGGGAGGTTTGTAGAAGGAAGATTGGTCAGCTCCCTCTGCTGGTTCAAACATTTACACTATAGAAAGCCATCAATTTTATCAAGTATATTCAAAACATATATTGTTTGATATATAAACTTTTGTCTACGTATCCTGTCAGGCCGGAGTAATGTCTCTTCTGAGACATTACTGACCGAAGTAAAAGGATCGATGGCGGTCTTTTTCCTTTTAGAAATTGGTAATTGTATTTTGTTTTATTTTATTTTACTAAGTCTTTTTACTATCTTCTTTTGGCTAGCCTAGTCTTTACATGCTACAATTTTTATTACACATAATCCAAACGATCATAAAGTGTGAGGACGCGCATCACTAGCGTCTAACATTTTATTGTTTCAATGAACTTTCAAGTTCATCTTAAAGAATACATTGTTTAGGTTAATCTAATATACAGTACCGTCTGCATTGCACAATATGTATTCCAAGTAGAAAGTTCTCTAACCGAATCTCGCGACCTCTTAAAAATGCTTTTTTTAGAATTTTTAATAATTTTATTAATAAGATACTCATTTAAGTCTCTTTGAAACCACAAAAATTACATTTACTAAAAACACGGTTTGTTTACTAACATAGCTTTAGACATATCTCAGTATTCGTTTTACGGAGAATATGTCCGAATAGTAGATGCATGCATTTAATACATGTTTCCAAAACCGACAGAACTACCCTATTCCCCAGGAAAGCGACTATTTACTCAACCTGAGGGCTTTGCTAGAACCATCAACATTTATTGAATCATCCTTAAATAGCTGTTTATAGGTTTTGGTTTTCTATTTTGAAACGGTTTATTGGTAATTCTCATATTTTAATTGTCATATCTGCTGCTTGAACTATATTCAACGGAACCTTTGTTAGTCTATACCTTGTGATTAAAGAGGCTTCTTCTCATCTTTATCTTTTCTTTTTTTTTAATTTCTTTCCTAGTACACTAGTCAATTGTTTTTTTAACTATGTCAAGGTGGTGGAACTCCAATTCGGAATTCGCGGTAGAAGTAGAAAAAGCCACTTCAGAAACGCTTCCGACTGGAGCAGAAGAAATTGCGTTGAATTTGGATATTTCTGATAAAATCAGAAGCAAATCAATTGATGCCAAATCGGCTATGCGAATTCTTAAATCGCGAATTGATCATTCCAACCCAAACGTTCAGCTGCTGGCACTAAAGCTTTGTGATACGTGTTTGAAAAATGGTGGCTCTTCTTTTGTAAATGAAATTGCTTCTAGAGAATTCATGGATAATTTGGTGTCTATCCTTCGTTCCCCTTCCGGAGTCGATGAAGAAGTTGAACGGGCCATTCTTTACTATATACAGTCTTGGGCACTTGCGGTCCCTGAGAAAAATTATAGTATGCGATACATTGTGGATGTATATGAGCGTTTACAGGAAGATAAATATGTGTTTCCCGAACCACCGCAAGTCATTTCCAGTAGTTTTCTTGATACGTCCACTCCACCCGAATGGACCGATAGTCAAGTATGTTTACGATGCCGTACTGCTTTTACCTTTACGAATAGAAAACACCACTGCCGAAACTGTGGTGGTATTTATTGTAATCAATGTTCTTCAAAAACAATGGTCTTACCCCAACTTGGCATAAATGTTCCTGTTCGGGTTTGCGAATCTTGCTATTCTTTAAAGAATAGGCCTAATCGACAGGCTAAGTCTTCAAAAGAAGTAGGCGCAAATGTCGGCCGCGAAGGTGTGTTTCATAAGCCAAAGAAGCCTCATCCCAAGACCCAATCATTCTCACCAAATAAAGAAGATGAAGACTTGAAAAGAGCTATTCAGCTTTCTTTAAAGGAATCAGAAGCAAATCTAGGAAAGTCTTACCCCTCTGAAACCAGACCCCCGAAAACAGATTCCTATGCGCATGGTCCTCCAGAAGATGAGGATGAAGAATTAAAACAAGCAATAGAAATAAGTCTTCAGGAAGCTAAAAGCAACAGTATTTCAAATAAACAAGAAGAAACCGTTGTTCCTTCACAACAAACCAGTCAACCATACAGTTATCCAACTATACCTTCCCACACGGTTTCTACTGCTCTACACAACTCCCCGTTTGCTTCCACAAACAAACCTCCCGAATTTTCTGCAATGATATCTAATGCCGATGCTGATAATATTACTCTTTATGCTTCACTGGTAGAAAAATTGAAAAAGTCTCCTCCTGGTTCCATTTTTACTGAATATCAATTACAAGAGTTGCATGAGAATATGGGTTTTATGAGAGCAAAGATGATGAGGTCTTTGGGAGAAACTATTAGCAAATACAACAAGCTATTACAAGCGTTTCAGAAGCTTCAAACTTGCATGCGTTTGAATGACGCTCTTCTCGACCAAAGACTTTCATCTGCTTACCGCCATCATCCTTCTGATCCATCCTTTAAACTTCCCCAAAGCGTACAAATTTCTGCTGGAAATGAGGTTCCTTTCGATGCTGAACAGTCGATACCTCGTCCTCTTCCTCAAAACCTTTCGGTACAGAAAACAGCTACTAATGAAGAAGCACCAAAGGATATATCAAATGAAACAACAGCGTCTGTTCGGTCAAGTGAACCGATCTCTAGCTACTATAATATAGATGCTGATGTTCCGGCAGAGTCTATGGAGAACATGAAAATACACGAACTAAAGCATGAGGAAACCAAAGAAACTTTCGCAGATGAAAACATTGATGATGCTATTAACTATTATAATATTGAACCAGTTGATTCTTTTAAGGATGACATTTCTTCCCACCATCAAAAGCTAGATAATGGCAAAATTTCTGACGGGAAGAACCACAATGATAATGGATTAGAAGTTCAAGAAGCCAGCTTGATTGAACTGTAGAATATGTGGTACAAGACAGCCACTTGCTACATGCTATGCCTCATTACGAGATTATTTTTAATGAATGACGAATTTAGTACAACAATATAAATTTTTGATAATCAGTAACTATTATTTCCAAAGATTCCATCCGATTAATTATGGACATTATTATGCCATTCACGAAAGCAAAGGTCCAGATAGCTGTATAGCTAAATTCATAAACACACCTTTCTCCATCTCCATAAAACGAGCCTAGCGTTTTAGTGAAGCTATTATAGTAAAGATATCTTTATACCTTTCAAAGGATTCTTAGGCGCTACTTGGGATTCCAGCAGCAGTAGGGGTTTGTAGTTCGGCATCTTCTTTAAGATGAAGCTTTATAGTAGCGGGATTGAAAGGAGTAAATTTAAGCAAACACATATCTTGAGGGAAGGTAGTAGCAAAGATCATTTGGGTGTCAGAATCAACGGTGCGCTTGTGTGACCAATCAAGCATTAAGCTAGCCTTACCGACACAAGCAATTAGATGATTAACGGCATAACGTTGACCTAAACAGACATGTGGGCCATTACCAAACACCATCCAGTTTTTAGGGTTTTGCTGGGCAAGTCCGTTGGGTTCCCAGCGCTCTGGTTTGAAAGATTCGGGATCAGGGTAAACTTTGGGATCATGCAAAGCACCATATAAAGTGGGAATAACCATGGAATCTTTAGGAACAGTGTACTCGGGACTAATAGGGAAAGATTTCTTGACACGATAAGGAACCATCAATACAGGAGGACGAAGACGTAAACATTCAGTAACTACCATACGGGTGTAGGTCATTTTCTCAAGCAATTCTAAACTGATAGGTACATTGGGGTCGCCATCACGAATACGGAACTGTTCTTCGCGAACCTTTTGCAAAATTTCAGGGTAATCAGCCAAGTATTGAAAAAGCCATGTCATAGCACTGGAAGTAGCATCTTGTGAAGCAAATAAGAAAGATAAGAAAGTAAGAGAAATCTCTTCGTCAGAAAAATCACGAATTAAAACACTGGGTTTCTCGGATCCATCTAAACCCTTACTGTTGTTGTACTTGCGAGTTTCAATCATCTCACGAATCCATTCTTCCATCATGCACGTAGGAGCATTACCGGCTTCCATACTTTTACGAGAGGCATCGGCAGCTTTCATAAAATATTGCATAACAATCTTACGAGAACGAATTCCATACCAAACCTTTGTGAAAGGCAAAACAAGTGGAAAGTTGACGAGTTCCATAGCAGCGGTAATATTCCAATATTCTTCAGCAATGTGCTTGATGGCATCATCAGAGATGTAATGACCACAGAAAGTACGACAAGAGGTAGCAACATTAATATCACGAAAAGGAATCATAAATTCGGTATACTTGCCTTGGCTATGGTCTAAAAACTCTTTAAAGTATTTGTTGTAAACTTCCTCTTGAGCGGGCAAATAAACACCAAGTGCCCGGGTAGTAAACAAACCATTCAAACCTTTACGGTATTCAACATGATCACGACCATCCAAAAAGACCCAATTAGTGTGTTTCAAGATCTTCTTACCTGCATCGACGACGCAAGGTTGGACGTAACTAGGGGAATTTAAAATTTTTCTGGCCAAGTCACGCTCCGAAGCAATAACGACGAATTTATGAAAAACAGAAACACATGAAAGTGGACCGGAATCCCATTTGGTCTTGTATTTTTCAAAGGTGGGTTTCATGCTGTCCAGGAAGGAACCCATGAAGGGAATCTTGATGAGAGGGCCTGGAAGATTCCCTTTACGTAACTGGTAAGCAACTAGAAATTGTTAGTACATGAAATGGACTATAGAGACAAAAAAGATGAAAAAGACAGATAGGAATCCGATCTTTGGAAGGTATGGATCCTGCGAGAAAAGAACAAAAGAAATAAAGAAAGAAGAAGTATTTTTATCGATCTGCAAGGACCATCAACCGATGCATATAAAAGGTACCTGTTAAGGTAAAGGTCATTAGGAACCTCCAAATCCGCCGTCTCGTGGTGATGAAAACATCAATCTTGACAATGGTCGTTTCTTTCTTGAATAACTACTTCGTCCAGGGTGGTTTCGGATTACAATTACAAGAACCTCATTCTTCCCTGCTCAACATTCCTCCAGAAATCGAAAACGTCCATTTTAAGCAAAGCATTTCTCCTAGTCTTGTAGTCTTCTTATCTAGTCTTTTAATTGAGACCATGAGTACTTACTTTGATCATATGCTATGCATACAAGAAGAAGAGCAAAGCAAACAGTCCATCTTGTATATTCCACTTCATAGCCCATTAAACGGACAACATTTTGTGAACCCGAAAGAAAACTTTCAGTTTGATTCATTTTTGTTCCAACAGGAATGCAAAAACTTGGTTTCGACTTGTTCGGTGTTGCTGGTTAAAACCAAGTAAGAAAACAGTCGCGTCGCGTCGGTTATATAAAGTACCGAAACCCTTAGCTGACAGATCTTTACCTTACGCGGTGGAGAATCAAAAATCAAACTCGTACGATCACGGCTTTGTTTCATGATTTATGAATTTTTTTTTTGGATGAAAAAACGTAAATGAACACAACAATAATATAATTAAAAATGTCAAGATTTAATAACTAGTCGCCATTTTCGCTTTGTAAATAGACATAATATACTAGTTTTACCATTTGACTTGTCAACTAATGAAAACTCTTGAAAAAAGCAAAGTAATTTAAGCTTCGCTAGAATAATAACCACCTCCATTGCATGTGCGAAGTAGAAATGACAAATATTTTGTACAAAATGATTTCATTTCTATGTAAATAATGATTGTAATCGTAGTTTATGAAAGCAGTTTGCAGACATGGTCACTGAAACGAAATGTACAAGAAGGAAGGGCAAACTACTCGAGCCGGTGGTTGGTTCATACGATGGTGATGAAACTTACAAGGGTCTCACGACATGAAAAGTAGGGAGATCAATCAAACTAGAAGATCAAAAAGAAAGGATACTTCATTACATAAAACATAAGCAAAGGTTAGAAGGTTCTCATAAGTCGTGGCAACTAGCTGGGAAGTAGGTCATGCTATAGTAAGCCTTGATAGAATCCATATAGACAGACACATGAGCATAGAGAAATAAGGACTTGAATGTTGAGTAATTATGGAAGGAAGGATTATCATAAACGGGATTTCAACATGGTGGAAATCACGAAGTGGAATCAGTGCCCAAGCTCATACAATTTCTTCCTCTTCACTTGCCATACAAACATGCCATACAAACATATGAAAAATGACAGCAAAACAGAAGAAAACTGGCTTAATAACTTAAAACAAAGTGCCTTCAATAGTCAATAAGCTTTAAAAGAGAAGATATATACGTCGTATCATATAATTTCTCGGAACTTGGAAAAACAAACACTTTAGTGGGTAGAGTTTACACTCGAAGAGAAGCAGACTGACAAGCGGATGACGAAAGAGGAGGTGATTCAGTAGAGGAGGAGGTTTCAGACAAGCCAATGTTCATGTTTTCATCTGGCTGACCAAAAGAAGACGCCCACCATTTGAGATCTGTTGCATTAGGAAGTAAAACATCATCATAATATTCATAATCTAAATTTGTGAATTCCTTTTTTCGAGACATAAAATAGTCCCAAATAGAACGAGTTTGCTTAGAAACAGCAGCTTGTTTACGTTCGCGTTGTGAGTTGTACAAAAACGACCCATATTGACATGAATACAAGTGATACAACAGCCGACGCAAAAATCGCTCGTTGAATTCAAAATACTTCGGGAATTGTCTCATAATTTGCCATACACAGTCCAAGAATTGATGAAAAACAGGAGAGCTCATCTTCTCCGAATGATCAACTGCGAATCCACTAAGAGCAGACCGAAATGTACAGAATGTATACTGAAGTGTAGAAGATGCTACAGAACTACTCGTTTGTTGTTCTTCTGGTGAAGAATTATCTGTAGAAAAAATCCTTTTTCCCGGTAAATGACAGCATCGCTCGGCAAATCTATGTCCAAAGGCTAACCAGTCTTTTTCGATAAGCATCATAAATCCTTCTATGGTTCGATAGTGCGGGTCAAGACATAGTTGTGGAAGAGCACACAACTGAGATGTTCGGTCCCAGCCATCTGAGCAATGGACCAGTACGTGAGCGTGCTGAAAGTGAACTGTTTGAATAATTAAAACGGCACCCTGTAATATGTTCGTCAAGTGCTTTAGCCAGTTCGACTTGTTTAGTTGCTCAACCGAAGGGGATGCTGCACTTATATCTGTATTCCGAAGAGCATTCACGATTTTACTTAAAGATTCACGCATAACATGAATATTATCTATGCCTAAATATATTTTTTTGGCAAATCGGTAATGATCCATATTTTCACTTCCTGCCCCTACTGCTATATTTGCCATTGCGTTCGTAGATGGTCTAGCATCAACAATCAGATTTTCTTTTCCTGGTATAATTGATGTAGCGAATATAGCTTCCACAATTTTCTCATCTTGTGCGCTCCGGTTCTGCCGAAGCCCTACCAGAGGTTGCGATGCTCGAGTAATAGAGAACTAAATTTACATGTCAGCATATATTAAGTAATCTTTTCTTATAAAAGTCAAGCTTACAGAGTTTTTATGAAGGTAAGTTAACGTAGGAAACCTATTTTTCGATCGGTACTTGCAACCGTAATGAATAACGCTGTCGGATACGTTCGTCGGGACAGCTAATATTTGAGGATATGATTGGCATTCCAAATAATTTTCATTGATCTTCGTAAGTCTCCAGTTCGTACCAGCACCTTCAGCACTGTTTGAATTACCAACACCCATACGGCGATATTCATTCTCGAGGAGAAATAGGTCCCATCCTGACTTAACTTTTCCTTCTTCTCCTGTGGGCATGTAATGATACGCATATAAACGGTTGACAGAAGTTACTGATGTCAATTCTCGTAAAGTATCGTAAACATCCATGGCGTCTTTCGAGCTCTGAAACTTCAGGCAGTAAAATACGAAATCCCTGCATTGTACTCGGATACAGTATGTTCTTTCATTAAGACACAAACGAACAAAATTAATCATGGAGTAAGCTGTCCATATTTCTCTCTTCCCTTCTATATCAGAGAAAATTGAATGATAAGCGGTTAAATGCAGTGTTCCATTAATCTCATTGCCTTTATTCAAAAACTTCACATTTTCAACCTAGAACTCATTAGTTACACAAAAAATGGATTCTAAATGACTATTAAGGCATAAATTACCTTTGCAACTTTAATATTTTCCATTACACACGGCAACCTAGGTTTTTCTTCAATTCGCTGAATTGAAGCGTAAACAATAAAAAGAGGGCCCTGTTTTTATAAACGTAATGGGTAAAGATCGATTTATGAAATAATGCTCGCAAGTATGGTTTACAAAGACACTAACTGCTCAAGTGGTAAACGGCTGAAGTCAAGCAATGTTGGTAGTATAATGAGAAGCAAATTAAACGCCCTAGTCTTAAAGTATTTACTTTACAAAATAACAAGTATATTAAATTTAATTTAGTTGAATATATATTTTACATATATATATCCTAAAATCTACGCTACTTAACGTCTCGAGCTTTCTTTTGTAATTTTACTAACATGGCGTTGAAACAGTCAATTATAAATAAAAACGTAAAGTAACATTTTTCTGTAATTCATTAAGTTACCCATATAAAATCCTTTTTTTTTTTTACTTTATGGGTGGTTCTGAAGATAATTGAGTATCTAAATTGAGTAGCCTTGTTGCAAGATTATCTTCACCAAAAAACAAAGTGCGATTTTGCCATTCTGATTCACAAGATGAACAATACTTCTCAATTTGAGACGGATATAACCCTAGGACTTTAGCTTTCTGGCAAGTCAGAAGTTCGTGTTGAACGTGTTCGTATATTGCATCCTGGTGTACAAGGTAATCAAAATAATTCAAAGATGCTAGCTTCATCATAACGTATTTCCTTTTTTCTGCAATATAGTTTCTTTTTTCCATCCAGTGGGTTTTAGCCTGTGAAGGATAGCTAATAAACGATCGTATACTACATTAGTTAGCGATGACAAATGAAAGAAGTACTTACCATTCCCCGTTTTCAGTTAAATTTGGATGTCTGTATGTGGGAAGACCAACCAATAAGTCATCTACATCTTTCATATGAACATATCGAGCAGAAGTTTCTAATTGTTTGAAATCATCGAACACTTGGTTAAGAAACTGTTGATCTTGTCTTTCTTTCCAAAAGTTTTCCCCAAAGTTATATGTCAATATAAGGTTTGAAGTCAGCGATAAAGCCAATAAAGTCATTACAAAAGAGTGTGAAAAAGTATAACGCACGAAAATGCTCAGTATAGCCCATGGTAAAACAGCAAGGTCCATAGCAAGTCCACCCAAGAATAACCATATATGACTACGTATTAAATAAAACATGGAAGGGCTGCTCAGCTGTGAAACATATGGAAGTTTTCTTTGAAAAACAACAGACTCAGAGTAATCACCAACCTTACCATATTGATTGACGATGGTTAATATAGGAAGATTTTTGGCTGCCAAAACGGCTTTATCGAGATAAAGAGCTTCTAAATCCATGTATTTAAGAGCAATGTCTCTAGCCACTGCTTCTAAAACTTTGGAGACACCAAATGGTTTCTTTATCCATTCAATGCCAATCGAAAGAAGAAGCCGACTTTTATTTTTTCTCAGATGAGATATTGAAGTTCTAATTACCAATCTGAAAGATTCCTTATAGGGAATAGCCCAAGGGTGATGATACCATGATAGTATATATAAATTGTACTCATTACGCTTATCTTGGGATTGACGGTCCTGATAATGCTGTGAATGAAACACGCCCTTCGAGTCTCGATAATGAAGTTTGTAATTTATATAACGATAAATTTTCCCTGTATTTTCATCCTGTATCCATGGAAGAAGTTCAATGTCTTCAATACCATGAAGCTTATAAAGCCTAAGCAAGAAGTTGCTTTTATCTCCGAAAACAATATGAAACAACGCTTTAGAAGAAACATCGTACACGTTATCCAGAATTATATCATCCATATGATCAGACCGAGCTACTTGAACCGTTTCCTTCGGAAGTCTAGCAATATTGAGTCTTCTCATTTGCTCAATTACATGGTCATCTTCTTTATAAACAGTTTCGGATGGCGTTGAAAGCGTTTTACTTCTTCCTCGAACATGAGTCTGGGGACGAGAGATTGCGTCGAAATCTGGTATGGCAGATTGATCTACGTTTGGTTTCTCAAAAGCATAATTTTTCTGAACTTCACGAATTCGAGACAGTAATTTAACACTGTTCATGGGATCGTCCGCAACGTAATTATATATTAAAATGTTTAAACGATCGTGTAATAGTTTTGAAGAATCAAGGTATAACCGGAATCTAAGAGTTCCGTATTTCGTCACGCTCAAATAAAAGTAATCACATTTGCTGCTTGTAAAGTATTTAACATTTGAGATTTTTGAGATGGGGATATGTTCGATAAGCACTAATCCACTAATTCTATAGTAAATGAATACGCCGCGCATAGTGCAATACATTCTTCCAGGCATCCTAATCTGACCTTCACGCTTACTTACAACGCGACTAACAAATAGAACCGCGGAAGTTGCCAACTCACCAAAAATTCCCTTAAATTCTGCATTTCTTAATTTCAACTCAGCCGGGAAGGATTCTAAATTTACCTCCCTCGATATTCTTTGATAAGTAAGACCAAATTCTGGACCCAAATGCCAGTTCCGTTGTTCTAAAACATGACCATAGTTCACAGATCCCCAAAAATTAGCCATAAGCGCGGACGGTGAGTTACCCGAGAAGTATCCTTCGTGATCTAAGAAACTGGTAATTGTATCAGAAGTAAGATTTGTCATTACGGGAGCTGCTACTATACTCCAAGGTGCGAGGAGATCTGATCGATTATGGGAGGCTGTATTGTGAATTATTTTTTGTGCTGAAGGCACACTAGGCAGACTTCTTGAACGCATAATGGTTGAAATTTCGTAATTACCTTGTCCACAAAGAAGCCTTTCAGAATGGGCACGTGAGGATTTACCGTTTTTGGGATTAGACTGATTACGACGACGACCATTGACGGGAGCTAGTGATCTTGCTGAGAAAGAAGGAAGTGTGGGAGATAAAATTAAATCCGCAGAAATTTTGCCATTTAAGCAGTGTGCGCGTGCATTATGAAAAACCTTTTCCCATTTTATCATATCCAATTGAGTCTCAGCTTGCAAAATAAACAAGGAAGATTTTGTTTTTATTTGAAAACAAAATCTTCGATGGCCGTTGACCAACGGGCTAAACTTGCAAAGCAAGACACCAATACGTTCGCTTTCAAAAACGCCGCCATTTGCATCATCAGTAAGATATCCAAAATAGCCATTGTCAATAAAAAACCAAAATTTCTTCCAGACTGCTTTATTTTCTGGTTTATTAGAACTAACATTTCGAAGGAGCCATCCTTGTAGTCTCGTAGCCGTCGTATTGAACGTGTTTTTCGTGTCGATACGATAACTTTCAAGATTTGAAGGTGGCTGGATACGCTTTAAAATTTCCCTTTCCATACGGTTATATACATTCGTAATCAGTGTCTTGAGAGCGGGTTGAGATTCATTGAGCTTTGATCCATAAGACAACAGACGCACAATTTGATCATGGGCACTCGCGTTTGATTCATGCAGCTGACTGCTAAGTCGAAAAGTTTCGACGGAAAACCGACCCACACTCTCTAGGGCGATACTATCCAAGGAAGAGTGGAAAGAGCCCAATTGTACGACATACTGCAAAGCGGTAGTAAAATAGGTACTACGAGCATCACAAAGAGATTTCGCCTCATCACGCATTTGAGCAAGATCCTTCATTTGACTCGAAGAAGCATATCTTAACATCTCAGCATCATAATGCTCTCGTTCAGTGCGATAACGCTCATCAAGTTGAAGCAATGGTCGTAACTTGGAATCATGGAATAATTCCATGGGATTAACAACATACTTGCGTATGTTTCTTGCTTGCTCCATCTGGATTAAGAAGGTAGAGCGAAATATTTCTTGACCATTTAAAAGAGCTGTCGTTGCATAGTCAGGATCTATAGGTCAGTATATGAACAAAAGGCATATATATTTTTAAGGATTTACAAACACGTACCAAAAAATCCGCAAGAAATGACGGAAGGCATTGACTGAAACGAAATGGTTGCAACAACTGGCTCAATGGCTAAATTTTGTTAGTATACATACGAGTGTAACTAACTCTTTTCCACCATTCAGAGCAGCATAAAGACTTTAGCTTGGTGAATGTAACAGTTGGCAAAAAGCCCCAAGACAAAAGTTAGCCGTCCTATCCAAGATAATGGAAAATTTCACTATTAAAAACTTACCCTCTATTGCCTGTGTATATTTCAGGCACGAGCGTAAAAATTCCTCAGACCATTGGCTATATGCTCGAAGTTGGTTGCCCAAGAAGTGAATACTAGCACGGAAGGATGGAGAATCAATACTACATTCATTGAGGAGAACTGGGATAAAATGGTCCTTCTTTTGAGACAATAAATCCGAAGACATGTTTAAGGCATTCCTTAGTTTTTAAGAGAAGCACTATTGAAGGATCCACTATCTTGAATATATTCAAAAATTCATGTAGATACCTTCTCTATAAAATTTGTAATGAAATGGATACAATATACGGCTGCTCACAAACAGTGCGTTTCTAGCACAGACGCGTTTGTTGAGGTTTTGCTGTTATCCTTACAGAACCATGACGTTAAGGCACGCCGACAATATCCTATACAGATGCGCACTAAACAGCTCGTAAGTAAACAAACTAAAATAAAAACAAATAAAGTAATCACTGCTGTACTTAAACATATATAGTGAAAGAATTTGATCCAAATATTTTCATGTACGGATTTCTAATTATCAAAATATATCTAAAGAGATTGTTAAAAAAAAGCAATATTCAACGGATGTGAAGAGAAAAGTTCCATGATCTGTTACTTCCCAAGTCAAAAAAAAATTCATGTTCAGAAACCAAATATGAGCTGAACATTAAAATCTTGATTTGATAGAATTGATAGTAGAAAGCATGTTTTTTATTTCATGCTCCAGAATTCAAGCGTTCTAAATATTTTCTTGTGCGCATTGGTTACTTGTTTACTCTCATCATTTGGGAATGCAGAATCTCTTTCTGTGATTTCTATACTACAAAATACAAAATAGAAAATAATTTCAATTAACGAAAAAGCGTCTGGGTGTTGTCATTCAAAAAGATAATCGTCTATGCTTCCAGACATAGAATTAATCAGACTTTCATGCCAATGCTAGATTAAACACTATGATAATAGAGATAATTTTGTTTCTGTATCAATTTTTTTTAACAAAATAAAAGCAAAAGTCCGAAAATTTATTGTGCTTAGAATTCAGATGTGATGCTCAATGTAGAATATAAGGAATTGTCCAACTTGCAAATAAAATATTGCTCAATGAATTATCTAGCATTAATATTTTATTTAAATAATATAATCTTCATTTAAAAAACACTTTTTTCTAGCTATAGCTCTCATTATTATTTATGGGTACTTAAAATTAGTGAGTTAATCGCATTAAGACCCCACATTTCGTTAGGGGGTACTCGCTTAACAACCAAGCGAGAAGTAAGTAACGATGAAAAGGAACAATGCATCGAATATGCATTCCACGAATCTTGGCTTCTAAATAGAGCCACTTTTCTAGGAAAGACGATTTTGTGAATCTTCGGGAAAGGAATCTTATTTCGTTGGTTAATATCTTTTGCATTTATTTTGAGCTTTTGTTAAAAATCACTTCACGTTTTTTGAGCTGTTTCTGAAGATACATCAAAATTGTATTCATAGAAACAGAATAGAGGATATGAATCCGGAACGTGAACTCTATTAATTCAAATCTCTGATAATTTCATTATCCCTATGGAAGAAGTCTGGTCCTTACTTTCACTCTTTGAATTATTTATAAGGAATTGAATTGCTCGTTCAATAGCAGAGCATACGGTTGGTTTCGTCTTATTAACGGTTACCACATTTTCTTTGGTTTGACGTTTTTTTATTTCGTTTAGACCGGCGATAGTCTTGGTACCTAAAAGTCTCACTTTTCGTCTTTCCTTTTCTTGCTTACTTTCTCATTCACCGCTACATTCTTTACAAGAAGTCGTCCATTTTTATCTGTTCAGTCCCTTTCTTCTTTATTTCAGACTACTTTGCTATACTCTCATTTTCTTTTTCTTTTTTTGTAGAATCTCTTTGACCGTTATTACGACCTTTTGCCTTCATCTGTTGTTTCTTTTGTCCATTGGTTTTTATATCTAAGTCGCTTCTTCCTTTTGTATACTAGCCTGTTTTATTCCCTCTATTCCTTTTTCTCATTGTATATTATCTTTGTTTATAATCCGGTTCTCTGTCCTGGATTGAGATTTTTGCCGTTGTTTTTTTTTTTTATTTTTTATTTTTTTTCTCTATATCTCTTTCATTGATCTTTCTATGTCCTCTTGATATCCACGATGACTGTCCGATTTTCTCTAGGTAGGAACTCTTTGGATTCAACTGTTAAGGATAAAGAACAAACAGTCGAGAATAGAAGTAAAAGTGCTAATATTTCTCGCTCTTCCTCCATTCGAACATCTGACTCAGACCATCGTACAAAGTCGAGGAAAAAGCGTTCACCAGATCGTTCCAAAAAGTCGAAAAAAAAACCTGACACCCCAGTCTCTTCTCCTTCGGATACCCCATCTTCTTTTTTTAAGAGAAAAGGACTTTTTTATCCTAAATCTCGTGCTAAGCATTCTTCCTACATAAACCAAGACTCTTCCTCAGAAAACACTGAAGGAAGTCTGTCTCAGGATTTTCCTGTGGATAACCAGGAGCATCAAGCTATATCTCCTACGAAAAACAGAGAACATCACGTTCCAAAGATTGCTACTGATGTCTCTTTAGAATCTCCAGTTACTAAATCCCCTCTGACCGCATATTTTCGTCCCCGCACATCTCGTAGCTTCTTTCGCTTTCCAATGTTTACAAGAAGATCCTGGAATTACGACCAACCAACTGAGAATGGTAGCCATTCGCTTGGTGATACTTCATACTTGCAAAAAGAGGAGGAACCGAAGTTTAGCAAAAATGGGGATACTTCATTAAACGATACTTTTGAGCATCCAACGAAATCTTTGAATGATTCTGGTTCCTCTTCAGAACATGAAAACCCTCTATTCTTGTCACCAGTTGGTGCACGACCGGGTACAGAACGATCTTTGTCTTCCAATTGTCTTGAACGTAGTACTTCAAGGAATACCTCTGAACTTGGTTCTAAGAATATTCAAGATGATACATCCTCGTCTATGCATTCAGTTTCCTTGCCTAAGTCACCTTCGGAAGAAGGAAGTCCTGTTAATTCTCCGGATACCTTACGAAAAACTACCAGAGCGAGACCTAGAAGTTCTACTATTCCGTCTCAACGTACTATTGAAAAATATCGAGAGAGTCGATCAAGCCTTTTCAGTTTTCGGACCCTTAAAAGGGACGGAGACGAAAGCCTTGCTCACGTGCTTGAGCATTCTACCCTTTTCTCCGATTTAAAACCAAACCCTAATAAATTTTTGTCCTCTGTACCTAGCTTGGAAGACTCCGACACAGCTCAGAGTTATCTTAGCAAGCTCCGAGCAACTGTGCCGTATAGTTGTATGATACCTGTGCTGGCTGAAAGAGAAAACGAAGTTTTGTCTGAGGCACTTCATTTATGTTTGTGTGGTATGGATTTTTCTTGCAGACCTCTTGACTTTTGTTTGCGTTTGTTCTTACTTAAGTCTCATTTACCCAAAGAGACGCAACAGATTGACCGAGTAATTACTGCTTTCTCAAAACGTTATTACGAATGCAATACTGACATGTTCAGCTCTGAAGATCAGTGTTACATTTTGGTATTTTCGTTAATAATGCTTCATACGGATGTGTTCAATGTCAATAATAAACATAAAATGACTAAACAGGAGTTCATTAATATTTGCAAAATTGATGATTTAGCACCTGAAGTTTTTGAATACTATTACGATAACATTACTTACACACCATTTGTTAACTTGGACGATGAGCTTTTTCTTCTCGAGAAGGAAAAAACAGAAAAGTTTTACTCTCCTTCTCGTAAACGATTGGGTTTGTCTCCTTACACATTTACTTTGGAGAGTCAGCTGAATACTCTGCGAAATGAAACTCCAATTTCATTTAACGATAAATATGTGACACCTGGCATGGAGGATTCAAAGTCTTTGGCCGGGATCCAGAAAAGAATTTCAAAATCTGCTATCTTACAATTGGTGTCTCACCGATCACACCCAATGGCGTTTTCCAATCACTTTATAGGACTCCCGGACAATTCAGATCCCGGTTTGGTTGACTTCAGTATAAGTATGTTGGGAATCTTACCACGTTCTGAGAAGAAGAGGAGAGTATCAGGACACTCATCATTTAAAGAGCACTTGATTCTCTTGACTGCATCAAGAATTCTCTTCTTTCGTAATTCGACTTGGGCTCGAGATTTGATTTCTCAGCAAGAGAATTATGAACGTGCGATATCTAAAACGAAAAGCTCCAGTAATATGACATTAACAAGTAATGTAACGACTCCAACCATGAACGACTTTAGTGGGACGGACTCTTCCCCTAATTCCCCTGATGAACCCGCGCTTGTGTTTTCACCACCCATTGAACAACTTTCACCAGAAACTACTCACTCACTTGTCAATGCTTTTGCTTACTGCGATCGAGAATGTATCAGTAATCCACCTTATATGTTTCACATTCTTTTTCGAGACGGTTCTGTAGAAACATTAACAACGACTACTGAGGAGTGCATGGTAGAATGGATTTCGAGGATTAACTACATAGCAACACTTCGTACAGCTGGTTTGCGCATGCCTTTTTCCGATTCTTACCTTCCTCGTAGAGATTTCTCATGTTATCCAAAAGATATGGAGCAGGAATTGGCGGCTATTGAAGTTCAACTGAAGCAAGATTTGGAAGTTGCTCGTAAACGCACCATCAAAACTCGCACTGACCAGCTAAAGGGAGAATATGATCAACTTTCAACAAAGCTTTTGGTTTTGCAAAGAAACGCCAAAAATTTATCCATATGTGCTCCAATGCAACCAAAAACACGTGCTGTCATTTTGCAAGCATATAAAAAATTAGAAACACAGATTCAATCATTATACTTGGATATGCAAAAGGTTAGGACGCAGCTAAGAATCTTGGAATTTGAATATCAAATTGATCAATCATGTCCTCACAGGAAGACCTGCTCTCCTCGAAAGGATTACCATAGTACAAACTTACGAGACAGAGGTAGTGTCACTGAGGACGAGGGTTCTTTTGTTTCAGTTTTTTCTAGTAGTCCTACGCCATCTGATCCCAGGGAATTGGAATGGGAAGATAAATATAAAAATAAGGATTTGAATAGCCCTGCTGAAGAAGTTAAGGAGAAAGATACGTTGGATGATCGAAAGCTGTACCCGAATACAAACAGTCCCAGAAAGATAAATGCTTTGAAATTGAAAATTAGCAATTCGCAAAATGATTTAGACGATACGGCTAGTCTAGGTTCTGTCACTACATGTTTTGATTATTGGCAGCCTTTTGATGAAGGATCTGGATTTTTTTCGCCTTATCCAAGTTCTGGAGAACAAGAAGCGGTTCAGCACGATTTGGAAGAGAGTTTCTACGATCCAATGACGGATTTATCGAGATGAAGCTTGAGACGTACTGCGAAAGACGATTTCAAAGCTTTTAAAATTTCCTTTATTTTTTTGCTTAGTCAGTTGTTTTTATGATAATGCTAATGAGCAAAGTTTATGAGAAAAGGCACACGGAGACTGATACGCTTATATCTGATGGTTTTGCTCATTGAAACACATATTTATTCAATTAGATATCACCTATAAAATATAAACCCAAAAATTTCTTGTAAATAAGATCTTTCATGTAAATTATGCAACAGTCTAGTTTGCAAAAGCGTAAAAAAGAATGTGAATTGAATGATGTATCAGTACATCGGCCCCGGCATTTCTTTACCTGCCATTTTGTATCTATATTGTGTTAGCAAATCAAATTAATTCAGACTTTTAGTACATACTTTTTCCTTTCATAAAACCAATCCGTCCGACTGGTACCAAGATTAATTACCCTTGGACATCCATCACGATCGTACTCCATGCGCGTACATTCAGCACAATAATAGCAATCAGAGACACCGGGTGCACCACATATAATGCAACGATCTTGAGCACTACCAAAGGCGCACTCGTCGCAAATACGGACTAGCGTGGTTGGTCGGACATGTGAGTCGCAAATTGGGCATTTATCATCACAACGCTCACAAACTAAATGGAAAAGTTAGAATCGATCATTGAACATCTTCATCTTGTAATATAGACGCGTTTTTACACATACGCTTTCCTACAGTGATTCCAGGTTGTCGACGACATAAAATTAAATCAGAATGGTCTAAAGAGATGTTAATTGAACGAAACAAGCTATCTTTTCTTACGTTTTGACATAATTCTTAGTGTATTTGAATGCAGGTCTTTTCTAAATCTTCGCGATGGCAAATATACCATCTGTCAGGTAATTAACGTATAATACCGAAACGCTCTGCACCTTGAAAGAGTTCATTGAAGATACTTATTTGCAATTCCATTCAAATACCATAGTAAACACATCAGAACCAAAGCATTAGTTTCAAGCAATTCACTAAATATATAATCACCATAATAGTAGAGCTAGTAGGGTAGTTACGAAACTGCCTTTTATAAGAGTGTCATATGAGTACCACCATATCGCTAAAATATAAGAATAACGAAGCGAATATAAGCGCACACTAATAAACAAACACCATGCATGCTGTTGTATTACACATGTATTTCCATAAGTTTCCTTCCTTAGTGTAGAGTAAACAAAGGTATACAATAGCACTTTTAAATGCGTATAAGCAAAACCAACTGATGTAGGTACCCGTGAGAGTAATTTGCCCGTATGCGTTCTAGATGAGCATATCGAGTTTTTTCTTTTTCTTTTTTTTCTGTTTTATTCCTGAGTTAGCATACTCTTGTTGCTACAAAGTTACATTAACATTTCAACTGTTTGTTAACTTTCATGAAGATTATTGTTTGCAAAAGTACTGCCAACTATGCGACAACATGTTCATCCTCCGCTCCATGGCTATATGAAAGACTATATAATTTGTATTTATAATTTTTGGAAACGAAAAAAGTCGTTTTATTGTTTGTTTATTCGGTGCTACTATTGTTTTGTTTACTACTCAGTATTCTCTTTGGATTTCTTAATATAATATTTTACTATGGACATCCATTATAGGAAGTCAATGGATTTTTTGCCTTTACTACAATATCACCACAGACTTCGTACTAAAAATTATGTCAAGGGAAGCAAAGGCAATTCGGCGACAGGGTCTTACACAGGACGAAAAGAAAGCATTCCGCGATTACTATTTTAGTCTCACAGAGAAGCCGACGCAAAAAGATCTTATTGACTGGTTTAAAGAGCATTTTGGTCGAACACTTGCTCAGTCAACAGTCTCAACGATTTTATCTCCTAAACATGCATATCTAGACAGTCAAGATTTTATTAGAGGAGATCTGAAGCGGAATCGTACACCGAAATATCCGGCGTTAGAGTCAGCGTTGTTCGAATGGCAACAGCAAGAGGAAAAGCGATCTGGCACCGTAAGTTGCGACCAGTTACGTTTGGCCGCTTTGGATATTTGGAAAACTATTCCAGAATATCAAAATATTCCAACTCCTTCGTTCAGTAATGGCTGGCTAGAGAAGTTTAAGAGGAGACACCCGCTATCAGAGTTATATAAGGAACCTGATCCATTAATGGCCGATGTAATTAATACTAGAAAAATTCCAATCCAAGAAGTCACCAAGCATTATGCTCCAAGTGATATTTTTGTGATGGACGAGGGCAGTCTTTTTTGGAAGCTCACTCCTCAAAAGTCGATCTCTATCGAAAACGTTCTAGGAATCCAGCGTTACCGGGCTAGATTTACAATAACATTATGCTGTAATGCAGATGCTTCAGAACGTTTACCCCTTTGGGTTGTTGGCTACTCGAAACGTCCAAAAGCATTTCGATCGAAAAACGTTTATCCGGAGGCTATGAATGTACAATGGCGCTCTAATGGTACGGCTTGGGTTACTAATTCTCTTATGGAGGAATGGTTACGCTGGTTTGATGAAAAAATGAAAGGTCGTAAAGTCTTACTTTTACTTGACAGTCTTTCTCCTCATGAATGCGCCTTGGAAGCTATTAGAAATTCAAATAATAATCTAAAGCATGTAAAAGTTGCATTCTTAACATCAGAATCCAGAAATATCACTCATCCGTTTGACTGTGGTATAATGGAGACATTCAAAACGCACTATCGGTTGCGATGGGCAAGATACATGTACACCGAAATGCAATCCCAAAAAGATCCTTTAAAAACGGTTAACGTTTATAAAGCTCTTCAGTGGATTACAGAATCTTGGCACGTTGACATATCGAACGAAGATATTATTACCTGTTTCCAGCGTTCAGGTGTCTTTGCAGATGACGGAAAGCCAAAACGAGTCATTCCCTACAGTCTTATTGCTGAAATTGAAACTATTTTACCAAGAATCTGTCCTCCACCGATGTGCTCAATCGAGGAATTTTTAATGCCGGCTGAGGAAGAGGTTGTCGACAGCAAAGAAGACGTTGTTAACCAGGTGGCCTCGCAATTTTTACCCGAAAGAGATCAAGAAACAGATGAGGAAGATGAACGAGGTTTTTACGTACCTCCTAATGAGGCTTTGTCTGCTTTAAATACCTTTTTGCAGTATTACTATCAACAACCCATTGAGGACGGAAGTGTCATTCCTACGCTCCTTCGTTTTAGAAGACAATTACGCGGTTTAGCTAATCATATTCAAACATCTTAGATGCGGTATAGGTTCGGTTTTCTCATCTTATGGTTACTCCTGTGAGTTTCCGTTTATGATTCATGTGTGTTAGTTTAACGAATATATAAAGGTTGTATGGTTTAATAAAAAAAAGTATCATCTATTATTAATGCTTTTCAAAGTAGTTTCTTTCGTATAGTCTTTGACAAAAAAGGTTGGCTTCTGTAATTGTTAGGCGCTTAGGATTTCAAGTAAAGAAATGAGGATAATTAAATATCTGTATCATAATGGAGAAATGAAAATCCTAAACTATTTCTGTAAGAATAGAGCCAGATAAATTCCAAATTAGTTGCATTTCCCTATTATGAAGTACTCTTCATGCGATCCTTTTTGTACTATAATATGTTTACCACACATGTTGATAGATTATTTGTCTTTATAAAATTATGCAATCCTAGAAATACCTATGTTCATTTGATTGAGATTATATCAACGATAGATAAATAAAACGTCGCCCAACTTCGATATCATTTCGTTGATGAGCTTTGGAGATTTTTTAAAATTAATACACAGCTCATCAAAATGATGTGTCCCATCAAGCATGTTAAGTAGCCTCTCTTCTTCGAACGTTAGTTTCGCTTGAGTATTCTTACGTTCAATGTAAGGATACTTATGGACACGATATATGAGCCCCTTGATCGTACCAAAAGAGATTAGTCTTCGTACATCCAATCCACGAAAAACTTCTCGATTCTCGTTCATCCAGTCTTTCACACGAAGACCTTGTCGAAGAGAACAGTATAGCCTGAATATTTTAGCAAAGGTTACGTTTTTTGAAGAAGTGCCTTGAAATGAAACATACGAAACACATTCTTCTTGAAAAACAGGATCTTGTAATAAATCCGCTGCATTGGTAGTCATGGCATATATATTATGAAACTGAAAAATGTCAGCGATGATAAGACACCCGTAGTAGAGAAAGTGCTCCATGCATTTTAGACAACTATCGTAATCAACATTGGCTAATTCCGCAATTCTTTGTACTGAATTAATCCCGTTTATGTACGGATATACTCTCTGCACAGTCATATCCCAATTTTTATCCATAAGCAAATCTAATTGAGCAGTCAGTATCGGAACATGAAACCCCTTTACAGCTGGTGGTGAAGGGAAGCTAGGAAATAATTTGATATTTATAGAATTTTGATCATCCAACTGAATCATGCATTCACAAAAATTGTTCATGTCTTCGAGAATTTCCTCAATAACACTGAATATGACTGAACGCTTTTTTATATCAGAAATATAACGGCTCTGTTTTTCTAAAACCTCCAAGTTACGTGCAAGTCGCTTCACTAGCGGTATGTAGCATGCTGAGTCTTCTTCTTCATGAAAGACCATACACATGTTAAATATGAGTGTGTTTCTTTCATAATTACTTCCAAAAATTGAAATAGGATGTCCAATAATTTGGTAATGGTTTGTACAAACCGTAATTGTCTTATTACAAAGTTCTCGTTTTGGAATGACATAGTCAGATATATTTTCAAACGGAATTAATAGACTTTTTCCACCATCTTGGTAAGAGACAGAGCCAGTAGGAGCTTCGCAGGCGACAATGGGTCCTTGAAGAGGATCAAAGATCGCAAAAAAAATTGCAAGTAATCGTGGAGGAAAGCGATCGGCCTGATCAAACCAACCTTCCTCAGAATACTCCATAATGGAATAGGTTGTTGTAGGAAAAAAACAAATTTTAGTTCTAAGCTGTTAAAGATACTGTTTTTATTGCATGGGCAGTAATATAAGTACAGTCCTAGCTGATATGGGATAGGTATGAGTTATGAAGAAACAGAATGATGTTTTTGTATATCATCTCGAAACTCTCGACTCATCTGAATTAGTTTTTCTTTTATGTATTTTGAAGGTATTTAAACCAAATAGGTCTCATTATGCTCCTATTAGATGTATACTGACAGAAGCTTCGAATAAAGGACGCACTGTACATTAAACAAGATGAATAAATATGAAGTAGAACTGAATTTTTGAAAGTTGCGCTTCAGCTAGTCTAAATGCGAACTAGATAACTCACAAGACTACAATAACAAGAAATACCACCCAAAACAGCAAATTGTAGCTGTCATTGATCCCTCTGCATCCAGCAACAATCTTGCGGCTAAGATATTGAAAAGAAAGGAATTCTTTTGGATTTAATCAAACACCAAAGCTAGATGGTAACCTTTACAGACTTCTTATTAAGCCCGCATGCCGTGCATAATGCAGGGCAGCAATTCTTTTACAGAAACATTCTTATATTAAGTTATCTTTGTTTTTCATATTGAAAATCCTTTGAATTGTACAATAATTGGAGATATTAATATTCAATACAATTCTCTTGTCAATTTATGTTTACTACCACAGTTCGTTCGGTAACGCTATCTACAAAACTAAAGATTTGTATGACGAGGCGCGAAATTTCTTCGGATAGGACTTGGCGTTTCCAAATACCTTGCAATAGAATTCTCAGTTGTTTGAGATGTTAAATAATAAAATTAAGCATTGCTAAGGATGTGTGATGAAAGTCTTATCCTTCTTCTCTAGTCCAAGGGCTTTTTTTAAGTCACTTTCTCGAGTGTCATTTTCATTTCTCTTGATTGTACTATTCGAGGCCATCATCATTATATCCTTTGAATCCTACGTTTTCGGTCACTTTTATGATTTTCCTGATTTAAAATCCATATATTCTAACTCGCTCTCTGTAAGCTTGACATTGCTACTGCTTTCCACGGTATTTTTGGTATACATGACATTAGAAGCCCTAAAGACAAAAAATACTGTTCAGGTAAGATTTAAAACACCGATTCTAAAAACCAGGGGCTTTTTTTTGGGAAGCATTTGTGCATTACAATGAATAGTGAATTTAGTTCGCTGAACAATTAACTGACAAACGTAGGTTGCGGCTTTATGTTGTTTCCATATTGACCTTTTTTTACTTTCGATTATTCAAATTAGCCAGATATACCACATCTACAGATTTGCACTGAGTAAAAATCATGGTGGAAAGGCAGATCCCATGAAGTTCTACATGAGTGCGTTTGTTAACCATTACACAAAACTCCATCACCTTTTAAAACTCCCTTCCGAAGTAAAACCCTTTTTTGGCTCTCTTCCTGCTATTATCTCCGCGTGCGGTATTGTTTTAAGCTATCTTGCCTATAAGATAAATCGAGAAAATGGTTGGATTATATACCAAAAGATCGGACCGGACTCTCGTATGCGGCGATGCTATTTGATGCATCGGATTTTCATAACGTTGATTAAATTTGACTTTTATTATTGTGAGTGATCATATACATCTATGCAATACTAACCACTGTTGATAGTGATAGGAACGTCTATTCAATATGCCATGGTAATTTCAGAGATTAATACTTGCGAGCTTATTTTGACCATCCTTGTTATTCCTCTTACAATTATCGTCTTAATTGTGGCTTTATATGGCGTTACCCATGAATCACGAGCTCTTATGTATTTCTGTGAATTTATGTTCTTATTGAACATTGCATATATTCTCTTCAAAATAATTCGAATGTATTTACCTGCTCAAATACAAAGGTACACAATTTCTAGTCGAGAAATTGTCACTACGTTTTCTGTGTTAAGTTTAATCTTGTTGTTTTCAACCATTATTGCTGGTTTCTCTTGTTGTAATAACTTTTATAAGGGACTAAGAAACTATTGTATGCTTAATTTTTTAACTGAGCTTTTATTAACTTCTTGTATAGTGATATATCTGCAGAACAAGAGAAAGCAAGAGGCGAGTTCCGCATATTCCCCTAATTCTCGAATGACGCTTGATGATTAACCCGTAATAGGTAATTTATTTTTTTATTTTTTATTTCTTTCGACATTGCCATACTTCTTCTTTTAAAAACTCATTTATTAGCATTCGTTATTGTTTCTTTTTGTGATTTCTATTTATTCGTTGCTCTTATTCCATTCGTTTTATTCATATATGTTTCCGCCTTTGCAAGGCGCTTTTATTTTGATTTACTTTTTTATTTTATTTTACTTTGCTTATTTCATAATTTATTCTATATTATAATTATTTTTTAGAAATGGAGAATTTTGTTCCAAATCTATACGTCTAATGAGTTCAGATTCAACGGAATAGTAAATGGTTTATTCGCAGATGACGATGACCCATTGTAAAATAGTTTGACAGGTACTGCGGAATCCACCTCTTCCTTGTTTTCGTTCTTCTCGTCGTGTATGTCAAATTCGTATTCTGGCTCATCGTATTCAATGTTTTCTTCAAGTTCTTGAAAATCCGGAGCAAATGCACTCCAGCTCTCTTTTTGCTCAACTGACCACATGTAAATAGCTCCTGTATCCAAGCCAACGGCCACTATACAAGGCAACACTGGATGCCAATCTACGTCCACAAGCTCTTCTTTTGGACCTTCCAATATTTTGACAAGCGAACCCATACCTCGTTCCCATACATAAATGGCATGCGCCATCTGATAAGTAGTAGCCAAAACATATTCTCCGCTAGGACTAAATCCGCAGGAGTTCCACTGTAATCGATTTACCACATCTTGAAACTTATGCTCAACTTCAAAATTTTCCAAATCTTGTATATTTATCGTACGTATGACCCGATCTGTTGAGTTCATAATTAGGTATCTTTTACAAAAGCTCAGCCGAAGTTGTTTAATATTTTGCGATGTTATTCGATTCGAACTTTTTATACGGATGGGATTAATTTCAATAACGTGTAGCCATCCTTTCGATGTACCGGATATTATATAATTTCCAGAAGGATGGAATATACAGACAAGGGTTACATGTTTTGAGTTCCCTCTTTTATCTGTCACAGAATTAGGTCCTTCAGTATTCGAAGGAAGAGGAGTAAAATGAGGGATGCCCTCTTTAACCTCAACAAGACAAGGCGAATCATCTAAAATAGAAGCAACGAACATATTCAGATTAGAAGGATGTAATTCAGCTACCCAAACCGGCGCCGACATTCTTAGCACATACTTGACAGACCCATCAAGTAAATCCCAAAGTATACACTTCCAATCCCTAGCAGCAGACAACAAATATCTTCCGCATTCTGACCAACAAACAGATTGTACTGCTCTGGTATGACCTGTGAGGATCCGCGCTACTGAAGATGTTGATATATCCCAGATCACGACCACTCCATTTACAAGCCCTGCAGCCAAAACATTTCCAATTTTGTTAAATCTGACACTCGTAGCATGTCCATACCGAAGGTTCCCAGTCAACGTTTCGGGGTAATCAGGAATCGAGAAAGGATCAACTAATTCCAAATTCATAAGTTCTAAAAATTGCAGAGACGTAAATGAGAATATTTATTTTTTAAAAAATTGTATTCCAAAATATAACTTCTACTACGTTACCGAGTTTAAACCTTTGTTACTGAAACAAAAAGTAAAAAAATCCACGAAAACAGAAATCGTTTAATATATCGACGTGTCCTTTTTTTTCTACATTTAGTTGATTCTAATGAGAAGACTCAAAAAATAGTACCAAGGTCAACGAGAAATTTGTAAAAAAAACCAGTCTTTCTTTACTGAAAAAGGAAGCGTCGTGTGTAAATAGAAATTGAGATGAAGTCTATTCTGTCATCAGATTCAACGCAGATTCCTTTTTTAATTATTTCAATTAAATAGACAGTATTAAATATATATGGTTAAATCCAAATGTCTGTTTTCCATCTGTATGTCCAATATGGGGAATTTGGGATAAATCAAAAAAAGCAACTTCCTGCAGAACATCTTTGTATTGCTATATAATAAATAATTCAAATACGTAAAAGATAACAGAAGAAAAAGAGATTTATACCATTTTACACTTGGTGTGGTACCTGCTTTAACTGACCAACGAATCTTACTTCAACTATCGAAGTTAGGAAATGAATAGATTTTTAAAAGCCTTCAGTTATTCATGAAAGTTTGTTGCTAATATCTATAAGAAGAACAATTAATTGCGTATAACAGGTAACTATTCACCAGGAAGACTGTTTTAACTATTTCAGTAAAGTTTCTTCACGGTGGTCAAGTTTTTCAAAATGACAAGTCTCTCCTTTTTATCTACTCTTTCTGGAATTGCAGAAAATGCTAAACAAATTGCTAAAAACTCCAATATTAATTTTGAAGACCATGATCTGTCTCACACAGATTTGGTACGCCTCTTGGAATCAAACTCGGATACAGGGAAACTGGAAGCCCTGCACTACATTATCGTGCAAATGATGCATGGAGAAGATGTCTCTATTTATTTTCCAGACGTTGTTAAACTAGTAGTTTCTGAAAATCCAGAAATACGAAGACTTGTGCATATATACCTCACACACTATGCTGAGTTCAATCCAGATTTGGCCTTGCTTTGCGTAAATACCATTCAAAAAACACTTTACGACAAGAATCCTCTGATTCGGGCTGCTGCTATTCGTGCTATGAGTAGCATTCGAGTGCCTGCTATAAATGGAATAGTACTGTTAGGAATTCAACAATCAATGAATGATTCTTCTCCATTGGTTCGCCAGAGAGCCGCTCTTGCGATTTTGAAATGTCACTCTCTCGATCCTTCCTACTACGACCAATTAGTAGAATGTATTCGTCTACTATTGCTGGATAGTCATCCACTGGTTGTGCCTGCTGCATTGGCAGCATTTGAAGAGGTATGCCCTGAAAATTTTATTATATTCCATCCTGCCTTTCGGAGAATTTGTACCCTCTTTAGTAAATTTAATGACTGGGATAAAACTGTGGCATTGAAAAGCATGATTCGTTATGCTAGACTAAATCTACCGAAACCCGAGTTGACAAATACAGTTCATAAGGATTTAAAGCTTTTTTTGGAGTCTGTCGATTATTGTTTTTATTCATTATTACCTAGCACTGTTTTGGCTGGCTGTTGCGCATATTACTACTTGGCTCCAACGAATGAATTGCATAAAATTGTTCAGCCCCTACTCCAACTTCTCACTGAAAAACCAACCGTTCGACTTAATACTCTATTATACATCAGACATATAACTTTTTCGAGACCGGTAAGCTTTTAAGCATATATGAACTTAGTGACTAACTGACTTATAGGAACTCTTCAAAAATGATATTAAATCATTCTTTTTGTTTGGATCCGACGATGTGAAGACTTCTATAGTAAAACTCGAAGTCATATCACATTTATTGGATCCTGAAAATGCAAACTACGTTTTCCCTGAACTTTGTCACTACGTGTTCAACCATTCCAATTCGAGGGTCGCATCTACTGCTGTTAGAACTATAGGAAAATTTGCAAAAAACACGTGTTCTATGACTTCATTATGTTTGAGTTCTTTATTAAGAATGCTTGAATCGGGGAACGATTTCATCGTTACCGAAGCAGCCTCTTCGTTACGAATTCTCATTCATAATGATCCTCAGGAGATATATTTGATTTATTTGGCTTCAATGTATGAAAAGTTTCATGTCCCCGTAGCAAAAGCGGCAACCTTGTGGCTTATTTCGGAACACATACAGCAAATGATGCACGTTGCTCCCGATTTGCTTCGCATTGCTGTAAAGACTTTTGCCGACGAGGAATTGGAAGTAAAATATCAAATTTTGGATTTGGCGGTTAAGCTATATGTTGCAAACTCAACATACGAGCAAAACGAATCAGTTCTTGAAAAACCAAATCCTGTCAATTTATTATATAAGTATGTTCTGTCTATTGTTCATTTTGACATGAGCTATGACCTAAGGGATCGTGCTCGATACTACAAATCGCTTACTAGTGCACCCTTTACCGACTTTACTCGTAAGATTCTTCTATCAAAAAAACAATTGATAGATACTTCAGAAGATAACAGACGAGATTATTGTTTGGGTACAACCAGTGTTTGCTTGGATGCTCATGTTCAGGGTTATGCACCTGTTCCGGAATGGGCCGACGTATCTGCTATACCAAATGATGATGTTCGTGAGACTAATCTGAACATCGAAGCAACTACTAGTGCTGGACCGTCCTCTTACCAAAATACGGATAATGTTAAATCTCTTTCTTCTGAGGCGTTCACCGGTGGAAACTCGAATTTGACGTCTACTATCAAACCAAGATTCGTTGGTCAGCAATCCTTGGAAGAATTTTACCAAAGTGATGATAGCAGCAGTTCCGAAGAGTATGAAGACGACTCGACTGCTGAGGAAGTTACTGATGATTCTGAAGAGGAAGAAAATGAAGATGTCAATAATGGTAGTAGCGATGATGATGATAATAATGACCGGGTTGATGTTCATGAGGGTGAAAATGAAGAATCACTAAGACAAGAAGAAATAAATAGTAATACTGAAGGGTACTCCACTAAAGAAGATGCGAGCACAGAAAGCAGTGTTCTATCTACTGTAAGTGTCATAAAACAACCGATTATTCCTGCAGAGCAGAATCTTTGGCGTTCCTAATAATTTTATGCCGATATATCAAAAAATCAAAAGCGAATCTTTTATTATTACTATCTTAGGCATAGACGTTAATGAACTAGACAGAAAAAGAGTTGGGAAATATCATAATCCTAAACTGTTTGGAGAATGAAAGAATTCACTACCAAGAAGCTTTTCTAAAAAATTGTTAGAATACACAGATAATTCGTATATTACATAAAGCAGAAACATACCGTACGCCGGGTAACTGATTTGCTCTAGCTTTGATACGAAAGGCAAACTAGACGTTTCATGTTAGTACATCAAGCGAAAGCATACTATTTAACATTTACATACTCTTGCAAGTCGGAATGCGCGAAAAACACCACGGCCTCTACCAGTAGCAACGCAACGGTTTTTTATTTTAGTAGGATGTGAGTTTTCTGGAAGGGATTCGATTCTGTTCTTAGCTTCTAAGCGAACGCGTAAAGGCAACTCAGGATTTCTGTAGATATATAAATTGCTTTGGCGCTCCACTTCATGTTTTGCGAAAAGATTTCTGCAAAGAAAGTCTCGGTACGCCTTATGTTTTAAACGACCAACGAATTGCATTTTCTCGATGAAATGCAAAGAGAATAAATCTAAGAGGTACGGAAAAGGCGAGTAATTAACGCCAGGGAAAAGGAGGTGGAATGTATCTTCAGAGGTTCATTATGCCCAAAACAATATAAGACTAGTTAGGGCTACAGTAATATTTTCTAAAAATATGCTTACAGAGTAATTGTACAACACTTATCATTACATGTTTTTTGGATATAATCATTATGAAGAGAGGGAAAAAAGAGAAAAAGAAGGCACTTTTAATACTTCAAATATTGTAGTATCCTCAACACTTTGAGGATTAAGAAAATCGTATTGAGGTACCTCGATGCGACTAACCTACAATAATTACAATCATAGTATCAAAGTATCACAACAAATACTCTGTACTGTCACGTTGTATCCATCCAAATTAGATAGAACAGCAAGTGTGTGTCAGCACTCACAAGACGTATCGTAGGCAGATGTTTAGACATATTTGGGGCATCTGTTTATCGAGTAATGATATATCATAGTCCCCTTTTACCAAGCTTGACGCAGTAATATCTTTGAAAAACGCAGAAAGAAAGAAAAAAAAGTATTATAAAGAGTTACGTTTCAAAAAATTCTATTTCTTCCAAATTTATATTCTGTTTTCTGAGTGAAAACAGTTATTTCAATATAATCAAACTTGAGAGAGGCTTCCAAATAGTTGAATTGAAAAATCGTTACTAGTAAATCCAAGTTCCATAAATTGAGTTGAAACTTCATTAAAAGCGTTAAGCAGTTCTCTTAGGCATAGCAAAGTCGTTTTCTAGAGCATAAATGTAAACACTACCGTTGGCTTCATCTTGGGCACAGGTAGCCACAGCAAGTAAGGATCCATCAAAGTTAAATGAAATGCTAGAGACGCTCGTCTTTGACGGATAAAGTACACGAAGCCGTTTACGTACTTGGATATCCCAAAAAGCCACAGACCCATCGCCGCCTGCTGTAGCGAGAGTGTGATGAATAGGGTGAAAAGTAAGAGCATTCACGGGATAAACAATATCATATTGTTGTTGAATTTGACGGTGACATTTAAAAGTAAAGTTTTTTATCTGCCATTCTGGACTCGGATTAAGATATTCAATTGATGTGCGTCCTTCTATACTTGAAGACACAAACCCTTCGCCACCAATACAGCAGACGTCTCTAGTCATATACTTGAAAGTCGAAGGTCTTCTTTGAAAAGGGAGCTTCAAATTGCGGATATCGTATACCAAATTTTCTCTTTCCGTGCATCCAAGGACAAGAATATTTGCAGCAGAACTAGCAGCTAGAATCTTTTTTTCAATACGCTTTTTATCTATGGCCCTTTTTTGCCGTGAATCCCAGAACTGAAAAGATTGATCCCAAGAACCTGTCACGAGGCACTCTAAAGTTCATTATATAATTAGCATATCAAAGGAAAAAATACATTTCGTGTATTCTCTTACCAATATCAGGAATAGTAGCCGTACAAGAGACTCCCTTCTCGTGTTTGCCAATGACTAAATGAGTGCCAGACGAAATGTCTATTAAATTTACCGATCCATCAAGGCTTCCAGCAAAAGCCGTCGTCGCATTCAAATATCTACTGGTTAGGATTGGGCTGGAAAGAGAATAACTTTGTAAACAACGCTGTTCTTCTGCCGTCTCTACTAGTTTCAGGCCATTATCCCAAGAGCCTATAAGCAAGTGATCCTTCTCTACAGGTGAAAAATTTACACTCGATATCCCATCTTTAAAGTCATTTAGCCGTGTCAGTATAGACGGCATACCCAAATGCGTCTCTTGTAGGTCTTGGTTACTCGGGGAGAAATTGTGGTGAATCCATGTCGATTGAAAAGTAATGGCAGGTTAAATGAATATGTGTTTACAATACATTATAGACTTATTACTGTCTTCTTACTATTACTTCCTTCATCAAATGTTATCTTCTTCTCTACTGAGAATAAGATGGATAAAACTTGAATAATGGATATACAAGAATTCTTATTATATCAAAAAACAACTAAACCCGGAAAAACGAGGATCAGTAGTAATTTAAAACAAAAATAGTAATAAATTAAATTAAGAAAAAACCTGATCCGCCTTGGATTTTTGTTGACACTATACAAACATAAAAGAAGGAATTCGTAAACTATGATGACGAGGCCCAATTGTATAGTCAGTCATCCGTACTGAAACCACCTAACAAAATTTTTCGCAAGACAAAAGGACAAAACAAAAATAATCCAAAAAATTTTTTTATCAAACAGAAACGTAGAGGGCCCTCAACAGTATACCCAGGAATTTTAATAACCAACCTTGAATTCACCGGGTTTAGCAACGACATCAGGCTCCAATTTTTGACGCTCAACGGTTCGTTTTAATGCATGCTTCAATCTATCAACAGCATCGGCAGTAATTTGAATGTGGAAAACGACACGAGGACCCATTAAAACAATACCGGCCTTCTTGGCTTCGTCAACTAAAATAGCCACATTCACGTTGGCAAGGATAGCGATGCTGGTTTCAGGAGTGACTTCAAACTCAACACCCAAGGACTCAGCATACTCGGTGAATTCTCTGCAGTAGCGATGGACACGAGAGAGCAAGGGGAAGTTTTGTTTGATAGAGAGCAAACCAGCAGCGGCCAACATACCAGATTGACGCAAACCACCACCATAGGCCTTACGGAACCACTTGGCCTTGTTCATGACATCCTTAGGACCAACAATTACACTACCGATGGGAGCACCAAGACCCTTGCTCAAGCAGAGACTTACGGTGTCGAAATAAGAACAGTATTCTTCAATGGAAACACCGGTGGCTGCTGAGGCATCCCACAAACGAGCACCATCACAATGGAGGGGGATCTTGTAGGCTTTAGCAAGAGCGGAAATACGAGCAATTTCTTCGATAGGAATAACAGAACCCTTGATTGTGTTTTCTAAACAAATCAAGCTGGTAGGAGCAAAGTGAATATCGTCTCCAACAATCAACTTGCTCTCGACTTCTTCGGCGGTGATGTATTTTCCGTTCTTGGGAGCTACAGGACGTACAATGGATTGAGTGAAAAGTCCAATAGCACCAGCCTCCCAGTTGTAAATATGAGCACGGTCATCACAAACGATACTGTGAGGAGGTTGATGAAGATGAGCACGGATACACAATTGGTTTCCTTGAGTACCTGAGGTGACAAACAAACCTGCCTCTTTTCCGCTCAACTTGGCGACATATTCTTCTAATTTTTTAGTGTCTTCATCTTCTTCATACACAGCATCACCATCGGTAGCTTCGAACATGACTTGACGCATCTCGTCCGAAGGAACTGTAAAGGTATCACTGCGGAAATCGTTCCAAGGACGATATTTCTTTTCGGTCTGTCCATTCGTCGTAACGGAAGCAGTCTTAGGAGGGACGGTTGTTGCGTTGGTAGTTCCGTTCATCTTGTTTTTCTTTTTTTCCTTGTAATCGAAAGAGTAGAAAACTGTTCCTTTTGTCTATAAAAAAAAATTAAAAAATCTTTTTAAAATAAATCACTTAAAAGACTAAACAAGACTGTTGAAGCCAGATTAATGCGTCTTCCTAGAAATCCGTTCAATTGAAAAGTTTGCGGTTGAAGCAACTTTTACGTTCTAGGCAAGTTGGTTGTTATTCGGTTCGGGTAGAAAGTTCGAACCAAAGGCAATTTTTCGTAGATCTGATAATAGGATACCGAGTTCAAATTTTTTAAAAGTTCTAAAAAACTGAATTAGGAATTACACTGAGTAATCGCAATTCAAGATTTTAACAAATATATAGTCCACCAAATTATATAATCCAATGAACTTGTACTGTTTGGTAGTGGTATGTTCTTTGAGAGTTCTTTTCCGCATATTTCTACAATATTTTCATTACTAATATAACTGAATTCCGATTATCAATTATATTCTTATGGAGGTTTCTGTTCCCTGATTTTCTTAAAGAAAAAAACAAAGTCAGTAAGTATTCGAAGAGAAGCTTCTAGCCTGAATCACTATAACGCGCTTCTTGCCGGAAAAAAAAGAGGGAAAAAAATAGAGTACAATACCGAAGACTGATATCGTGATCAACGGGAAGCAGAGGTAACAGATATTACTCTGAAAAATATACTTGAACAAACCAGGGTTTTGTATTGTATATAGAAAGAGAGAAAGGATTACTGTAAATAAAAATTTTAAATAAAAAAAAGGAACAATACGAGATTTCGTTCTTCGCTTCTTAATCACTGTTGAACATCTCATATAGATCTTTTGCATTCATAAAGACATGTCTAGGGGTCATAGCTCAGTGGTAGAGTGAGGGATTGCAGCTCCCCAGGTCACTGGTTCAAATCCGGTTGGCCCCTATTTCTTTCTCATTTTTTTTCTTTAGTCTTGTTGAAGGCAGTCAGTTTCCTCAATGAAACTAGAAAGAACTGTTTTATAAATAAAAGAAATTGCCTTACCGCAATGATTCATTCCAGAAATGTCATAAAGGATTCCTTCTTAACCCGAGTTTTCTCTGGTCGCAGCCTTTGACGAACGGTCATTGATATGGAAAATGGAACCTATGATTTGATGGAGAGCGAGACCGACCGCATCTTCATTCTATTATTACTAAGCCCTTAAACAAAAGTTCTTCTATGCTTCTGTTTTGGATTCTCATTTTATTTGTTATTGCAAAGCTTAACGATGCAGTGTAGTATGGTATATAATTTAACAGAATTGGGAAATGTCGTTATTCCAATGCTTACCAAACAAACCAACCACCAAGGCCGATCGACGTCCTTTTGACACAAGTAGTGAATTGAGCGAGCATTTCAGCTCAGGAAAGCATTGATACGGTGTTCTTTTATGTCTATATTTATTTATTTTTAATAGGGTCTCTTATAGTCTAGTTGTGAAGCATTTGTGTTTAGGCTGACATTGTTGAATCTATATAAAACTTAACGCTTCAAAATGGCCTCGGAAACCTTCCCAGCTCCGTTCGTCGTAGAACAGATGCATCCCATCATTGTGCCTTCATATGCAGGATGGTTTGATATGTCCAAGATTCATGACATTGAACGAAAATCGAATCCAGAGTTTTTTAATGGAAAATCCCCTTTAAAGTCTCCAACTGTATACAAAGATTACAGAGATTTCATGATAAACTCTTATCGTTTGGAACCTACTGAATACTTAACTGTTACTGCTTGTCGCCGAAACTTAGTGGGTGACGTATGTGCTATTATTCGTGTACACGCATTTTTAGAACAATGGGGTCTTATTAATTACCAGGTGGATCCAGAAACAAGACCTCCCTTTCGGCTTCCTCCAGTGTCTGGACATGTACAAGCAATCAACAACACACCCATCTTGACTCAGGAAATACTTTCGCAACATAGAACGACCAAGCGCGATAACGAAAAGCCTTTACCCAAGTTTTTAAAAGTGGAAGAGCGTTTGTATGATCCAAAAGAAGAAAAACTTAAAGTACGAGATGATACTCTAGAGAAAGATCCAGAATCCTCTTTGCTTCTTCACAAGACTTGCTACTCTTGCGGTGTTAATTGCTCTCAAGCATGGTACCATAATCTCAAAAATAAAGAATACACCGTCTGTCCTCATTGTTACCATCAAGGCCGTTTCGCAAACACATATACTTCTTCTGACTTTTTATTTATGGAAGGGGTTACCTTTGCTCATGATCGTGATGCTCCATGGACCGAGCAGGAAACACTCTTATTGCTAGAAGGAATCGAAGAATATGACGATGATTGGAATCAAATCTCTCTCCATGTTGGTACACGTACAAAAGAACAGTGTTTAGTACACTTCTTACAACTCCCAATTGAAGACCCCTATAGAAAGGTTCAACAGGACGACTATGGCCCTTTTCAAAAAGGATTCTTACCATTCAGAGAAACCGAAAATCCCGTGTTGAGTACCTTGACCTTTTTAGCCTCTATCGTCCAACAACAGACCAAATCAAATACCATAGAAAACACAACCGAGAAACATGAATCCGAAACTTCTGAAAAGAAAGATGAGAACTTAGATTCTTCTTCATCAAATGCTTTGGAGATTGCTGCACATGCCGCGATCAACGCTGCAGCTGAGAAATCAAGAATCATATCTACTTGTGAACGTCGACATCTACGTCGTCTAGTTTTTCTTCTAATTCAGTCTCAGCTTGAGAAAGTTGAAATAAAAATGAAGGTTTTAGAAGAACTGGAAAAATTCTGTTCTTTGGAACTTTCTGAATTGGATGTCCGTGCTAAGAAACTTATCCTTGAACGTCTTTCTACTAAAAAAATGCTATTGGAGGTCGATTCTAAATTAAAGAATGCCCTGAGTCTTGGTGGAGAAGAAGGCTTAAAGGTTTTAGACGACATAATAAATACGGAACATGCAGAAGTACCGCTTACGTTTGAATTGCCAGAGACAGGGAAGATCTCTCCTCTAAGTGCTGAAAATTTTGAAAAATATCACGTCATTTCTTTGTAGTTATATTATTATGTTGTTTAATTAATTAAAGCTTTAGTGGGAACATAACTGCGCCTGGCCATCGTTTGCTTTTCTTAGTAGGGAAGTAGGGGTAATAAGAATTCATACTCGTTCAAATGGTTTTCGTAATTATACACTACAACCATGCATTAAACTATTCTTTGGCCATTCATACCCACACGATTCCCAACTCGTTTTGTTCGCGTTTCTATATGCAATAGGATGGTTCGCAATATACTCGGTTGTAGGATACCCAGGTGGATCACATCCAATATGCATGCTTTCATCTTCAGGATCCTGATATATACGGATGTAATCAATCGACATAGTAGCTGGAAAATGTAAATCTCGAAAATAGTAATAAGCCCAGTTGTTTGAGATACCCAGGTTGAATACGATGGACATGGGTTCCTCGCTTATCTGTCGGGCCCCAACGTTACCATTAGGGCCAACAGCTGCTCCAAGCATTGTCCAAGTGTGATTCGGACCTACAAACCACGATACATATCCGTCAATTTCACCCGGCTTATAGTCGAAGCCGTAAGTTTGGAAAGCCTTACGCTCATACCAACTATTATTCAAAATAGTTATTCCGGATATTGCTTGCTGAAACGGACCTCCCACATAAGAATTCATGTGGGTTACGCTTTGATTGTGAATGACCAAATAATCATAATTTGGAAGATAAAACATATCAAATGGAGCAAATTGACTAGATTGGGAAGCACTCCCGATGTCAAACTCATCATTTGGGTTAAGCTTTTCAGTAGATCCTTCAAGCGCATCGATCTCTGGTGCGCCACGGCCTATACCAGGACTAGGATGATCTTCATCAACACATGTACAGCTAGACAGTTTTTGTCCCGGTAAATATGATATGCCATCCCATGAGGACTGATTTGGTGTTATTCCCGCGTCACACTGGGAATAAGAATAAGGCCATACTCCATCTGTTGTGGCCATATAACCGGGACGAGCAAGGTTACCAATCGTCCATAGACCAGGCCACAAACCAGCACGCTCACCGGAACCTCCAAGCGAAGCAGATATCTCTATGATGCCGCCTTTCCAACAAAGCTTATTCCACGACTGGAGCATACCGGACCTAAAATTCAAATTGTGATTTGCAAAAGAATCTATTCTAATATCCAATGTACCGTTGGCTGTAGTTATTGCATCTGGATCGTACCATTCCAAGTCATTAGTGGCTGCATAGTGTAAATCGGCCGCCTCCCAGAATTGGTCATCTCCAGGATAAAAACTCCTACCCGGCGTATTAAATTCATCAGAAAACATGAGCTTATATGTTTTTCCATTTACACCAACTTTGGTTAGAGCGGATTCAGGAGTATCTGGATCCACCAAATCAGTTCGAGGAAAACGCAAAAGACCAAATACATGATCAGTAATTTGTTCAGCCATGGCTGGATTATTTTCCTTTTTAGGAGAAACATTTCCGGTGTAGGTCAGAGCTGGGAAAATTATAAAAAGCAAAAAGAAACCAAGTAATAAAAGAATCAGCGATGCAATATCGCCCCATCGAGACCAGCTAAAAGACTTTTTATCTTGATAAACACTGAGGACAGAAGAGTTTGGGTTGTGAAGATCGTCATCTTCCTCTTTGCAATGATAAATCCAATTAACATCTAAGTACCCTAGTAAGGACGGGTTAATGATACTATGGGCATATTCAGAACCTTTAAAACCTTCTCTGCTACTCGCAGAGGAATTAATGCCATTATTCACATTTGAAAAGAAGGAGGGATACCTGCTCAATTCCTGTTGGTGAAGAAGGGAGTGTGAAAGAGCTTCGTTAGTTATAGGCGGTTCTTCAGAATGAAGATAGCTATTTACATTGGGAAGAGAGCAATTTTTCGAAGTAGTAGAAGTACTTTCTGAGATATTGAATGACGAAGACCCAGAATCCGAAGAAGAATTATTAGAATGATTTAACCAAATGGGACTGATGTATACACTCTCAGGTTCTTTTGGTAGCTTCGCCTGATCGGAGCTCATTATAAAAGAATGATCAAAATAATAAAGAAAGAAAAGATAGTACTATATAGTCAACGAAAGATAAGTATGCAAGCTGGCGGTCCAACTAACTACGAGAAAAGAAGAACACAGTCTTTAGCTATCGAAAAAAATAATAATTCTTGAATTGAACAATACCATATAAAGAGTTATTTCCGTATATTGAAAAACACGCAATTCTTCCCCCAGCTCCGTGAAGCAAACGAGGTAATGGTAGATGAAGCATTATAATGTTCATGGGGATCTTTCATAATCTCGAGACTATTTTTTACTCATTCACGTGTAATAAGTTGAGCGACGGTCAGAAACATACCAAGGGCATTGCATTCGAATTAGGTCATTTTCGGTCTTTTGTCAGTCATTACCGTATCATCACTAAAAGCTCATGCATTCAAGCAAGTTAATGATTTTTAGAAGAATTACACTCTTGCTTAAAAGCTCTTTCGTATCGATCACTAAATTCTTGGTGGCCCACGGCCTCATTTAATTTGTGGTGGTCACCATTCAAATAGGAACGATAAGCCAATTCAAGTTTTTCATTACTCTGAATTTTAAGATCTTTTGATTGAAGTAGACGGGTAATTTGTGAAGTCCCCATCAAAGCTCTAAAGTTGCAATATGCTCGGTAGCATAAATAAAAACCTGGTACATTTGGAATGATGGGAATTAGGATAAATGGAATAGTTAGAGGAAGCCCTATAATGTTAGCAATGAAATTCTTTCGGTGTAGTTGTTTCATTTCTTGTAGTCGAATGAGCTCTTGGAGTATTTCGCTAGGCTCTAAGGAATCCGGTCGCTCTATAACAATCGTAGAATAAAATTCCTTGTCGTTGAGTTTTTTAGCCGTTGATACTGATCTTAAAAAGCTTTCCTCATGAGGTACACGGTGTAATACACTGTTTCCAAACGAAACTGTCTTTTGTTTTATGAAGCTTTTCGACTTGCTCCACGCATCCCAAGTATTGTAGATACGATTTAGTATTCTATCATGGACTGTAACTTTTTTCAAAAGTAATTCTGATGGATAACAGTGTAGGAAAACCCTTTGCTTGGGTAAGGGAAGTGCAATAATCCTCATCAATGCTTGTTGTCTTTTTTTGAGTAAATTAACAAATTCGTTTCTCTGTATATAAAAGTACTATTTTCAAACGAAGTATCTTTGTGCTTGGTAATATCGTTTTACTATCTGAAAGATTGAAGAGGAGGGTATGGTCAATGTTCTATAATTCCATGTCATCATATCAAAGACAATAAGACATTAAGAGACGCCAGTGCAAGATAAACCGTCGCTCTATAAAAACAAAATTGCTCTTAACAATAAATTGTATTTATAAAAAACTTGTTTTTTGAATGGTTTTCTTCAAGATACCCGTTATAAAATTCGGAATCATTTCGTGGAATTACAGTCTTATACAGAACAGTAAATAGAAAAAAAGTGTTTAAAAAAAATACTCATCAACCAAGTATAAGCATGTAAGTATAGTATATTGAATTGTTTGGTTTCAGCAAATATAGAAGGTGTTAGAATTCATAATTTCAGTTGTTGAATTTTTTTTATTAGATTCGACTAAGGAACAGAGAGAACACTCGGGCGTAATCATTCATTTTACAAGGCGAATAACTCGTAAAAAAGGAATGGTGAAGGAATTTCTCATATATTGTGATAATATGGAGATGCCAAACTGCTATTACGAGGAATTATAAGACATTAGTAGGCATTATTAGCAAAAAAATTAACCTTTTCTAAAGGAAGAAAAAAAAAAGACGACAGAAACACTTTGGCCCAATAAGTAGTCTTTATCCATTTCGTTTCTCCTGCTTCATAATTTAAGACCATAAAACTGTTGAGGAGAAAGCTAAGGAAAAATGAAAAAAAAAGCAAGTGATAGACATACATATACGCATGTACATTTTCATTAAAAAAGCAAATAAGAGGAAGAAACCAAAATCTATGTGGATAAAGACTGGGAGAAAGAAAACATAAGTTTAAGCGAATGCAATTTTGTTTGAATAATATAGAGTTCAATTCGATAAATTCGATTCACGAGATCTTCAGTCTCAAGGCGTTTTGCAAGCTATTTACATCCAACAAATACAATAGACCAAGATTATGTCCATGCACGGAATCAATCCGTACGACCAAACGCTTGCAAAGAATTCAATGGACCGATTTAAATAAAGAAGTAAGTAAAAACAAAAATAGGTCTCTTTTTTTAGACAAAAATAAGAAAAAAATTACACATAATGTGGTTGTGTGATAATGAATTCGAGGAACGAGTGTGCACGAAAATAAGGAAGAAGGATAGAAAAAAGGAAAAGGAAAAACAATTAAAACATTCCGACTTCTTTTAAGCTATGCTGTAAAATTGTTTCTTTTACAGCGGCAAATACAACCTTTATATTCGATGTGTCGACAGCAGTAGTTATATGAGGGTAAATATTATGCCTTTGTCGATTGACACTAGGATTTACAAACATCCAAAGAATAAACTTTGTGATGTTTTTCACATTGTTCTTTCCAGAGAATTGAGGGAAATGATCGGTGAATGGTACATGTTCCAACTTTTTTCGAAACAAATCAAACTTGTTTAAAAATAGAATAATGGAAGACTCAACAAACCATTGACTATTGATAATGGAATCAAAAAGAGCAACACTTTCAAGTAATCGATTCCGATTGGCGACGTTTCGTTCAAAAAGCTTTTTGTCGAAATCATTGAGGGAAACACAAAAAATAATAGAATTGACATTTTCGAAACAGTAAATCCATTTCCTACGTTCAGTCCGTTGTCCACCAACATCAAACATACGGATTTGTAAATGGTCTAAGGAAAAGGAAATTTCAGATATTCCCATGGTGGAATTTCTGGAGTGCAAGATGTCATCAATGGACGGAACATAGTCTGGACTACAAATGGCAGTTGCCCGCTGAAAGAAGTAAGGAGCAGAATCAATAAGAAGGGAATCGTTTCGATACATGCATCTTCGAATATTGCTGACGGTCCAGAGGTCGAAAATGGCTTTCCCAAACATTGTCGAGACAAGTTCACCCGGATTGGGAATAAAACGTTCAATGATTTCACAATTGTGAATGTTTAACGGGTCTAAGGGAACGTCTTCGTTCCCAACAAACTTGATGAGCATTTTTGCCGAATCCAATAAATTCCGACGGATAACAGGAATAAACGACATGATTTCTTCCTGGCTAAAGCCATTTGTGTTTAAAATTTTAATTTGTTTACTAATAGTACTTTTTCCACTATCAGAAGCACCTATTTTGGTTAGTAACAGATTCATACGATCAAAAAAGAAAACACACACAACTACTCGCCCGGGCCAATGGAAAGAAGGATGAAGAGGGTGAAATACAACAAGCAAACCAAAAATAAAGATGAAACAAGTCTCAGAATTCAATCTATCGCCAAAAGAGGTATAGAAAAGGATCGCTTGGTGTTTTATTGTTTGCATTTCATTCCCACTACAACCTGTAAGCACCAAGGGGAGAGTAGACGAGTTTATTTCAAGTAGTTGAAAGACTAATTGAAACGGAGATGGAGAGCATTGTTTTTTGTGAAAACTTACCTAATAACAAAATTTTGTATGTTTTGGAATTCTTTTTCTGCTGGGCCTCGATTTGTTTTTCAATCTTTTGACTGATTTTTCGTGAATCTCCGTCCTTAGACAGAGCACCGATCATAACCATATTGATCGACTTTGATTTGATTTTGAATATAAAATGTAATAATCAAATCAAGAATAGGAGGGAAGAGAAGAGAAAAGAAAAGAAAAGAAGAGAAGGGAGAGGAAAGGATAAACCGAGGTTCCAATTTTTTTTCTTGATACTTGAACTTTGAACCTTACAGCGATTCAAATGCAAACGGAAATAGTGTACAGGTAAAAAAGGAAAACACACACGCAGACAGACAGTGTGTGAGTGAGAGATTAATAAATAGAGAGAGAGAGAGAGAGAGAGAGAGAGAGAGAGAAATAGAAATAGAAATAGAAATAGAGAGAGACAGGCAGGGAGAAAAATAGAGAAATAAAGTGCAATTCCTTGAAAAGTCGTAGTTTTTTGTTTAGGTGTATTTAGAAACGATATCACTCACAGAGACACACAATGATACATACGTCTCGTCGCGACTCGTCTCTTTCAATTGTTTGTTATTCGTTCCTTCGCTCGTCTGACAAGTCCAGTAGAAAAATCAGCTTTTCGCTAGAGAATTGAATCCACTAAACAACTGATGTAGGCAAAAAAGAAGAAGGAAAAAAGAAAAAAATAAAAAAGAGTACAAAGAACAATAAATAAAAAAGAAAAAGAAGAAGAAAAAAAAAAGTTTAGGAAAAAGGAAAAAAGTTCCTGGCCAAACCCACTTCTATAGAAACCTTCAAGGAACCCAGATATATACTTTTGCGGCTACTATTATTAATTACCCTTGTTCTTGCTAATATTGCTGTTGATATTGCTTTCGTAGCGTTTCTTTTCGTTGTTATTGAAAAGAAACAAGAGACAAGCAAAATTACTTTCTCCTGGAGAGGAAATGTCAGTAAATCGGCAATTCAGCCTTTGGCTTTATGAACGTGCGAAAACGACGAGAAATCACAAGAAAAAAAATAACAGTTCAACGCAAACGCGCAACAAAAATTGTGGATCTAATGATAAAAACAAAAACAAAAATAAAGAAGAAGAAAAAGAAAATAGAAAAAAAAAGAAGACAAGCAAACAGGTATGAAATGGAAAGGCGAAAAAAGCGGTAATGCTCTGCTAGTTTATTTATACTCCTTACGTCATAACTTTTTCATTGCCGGAAAATTTTTAAAAGAGGGGTTCATGGGAAGAGGGGTATTTTTCCAACAGAGGAAGGGTAAGGCACCCAATAATAGAAAAAAGGTTCGTTTGTTTTGGGTTTTGGTTCGGTCCGGAACGTTGGCAATTGATGAGTAAACGAGGAAGAATCGAAAAGTGGAAGCAAAAAGGCCGCGTGGAGGTCATCAGCCGAGTAACAAGTCTCTTGAGTAGGAGTGGGGCAAGGAAGTCTCGTAGAACGGCAAAGAAGGATTGAGTGGGGGTCTGAAGAGAGGAAGGTGGAATGGGATGGTACTACATGGGGGAAAAGGATGTATCGTAAGTCGATATTGGATATTATGGGGGTAGAAGGTTGAAGTGGGGGAAAGCAAGAGAAAGTAAGAGGGGAGATAGAAGCATAGCTTAGCACAGTATAGTGTAGCATAGCAAAGGGAATGATTCAATTCGTAAAAGAAAATGAAATAAACAAAGCAAATAAAAGAAAAGAAAAATACAAAAAAAATAATAACAAATAAATAAACATATAAACAAATAAACAAATAAAGGAAATAAAAAATAAAAAATAAAAAAGTTCTAGACTTGTATGTTTATCTAGCTCGATTGGAGCAGGCGTTGTTGAATGGAAGAGGCGTTCTATACATGGAGCCGTCTCTGTATCTACTATTACCACTACCCATCATGATAGCCTGAAAAGGGTATGGAGACGAGACGAACTACCGAAAAGTAAACAAACAAAAAAGTAAATAATTACCACCAAAACAAACAAATTGAATGAAATCAAGATAGCTGATAAAACAAAAGTAATGAATACATAAAAGAAGATTTAGTAAATCGTACAATAATAATAAACGTTCAGAGGATCTGGTTTACATCAGCAAAACCATAATACAGTATTAGAAGCAACGCTGGATGCTTTCCACCCTTGTTTGACTCACAGTCTGTACACATATAGGACAGCGGCAGCTGTTTGTTTGTTAGTGAATTATTCAAGTAAAACAACAACTCTTGTCTTACCAAACAAGAAAAGCATTAAAAATATAGCAAAAAAAACTATAAATGCCATAATATCACTTGCACAAAGTTGAAACATGTTATAATAGTTTAGAGTAAGAGAACCCATAAATATTATGGTAAATCCTAAGAATATAAAAAGCAAAGCATACATCCACAGAAGGATCGTACGTTCATCGCTACTCACCGGCCGTTTCGCTGGTTTCTCTTGGGGACTTTCATTTTTTCTCTGGCCATTCTCTAAATCAACAAATTTTTGCGAATCTAATGTACGTGTTAGAACTGCTCTTTCTATTTGTATGCGAAGGGAGAGAGGTGTTGGTTTGCTGAGAATTGCTGATAATTTAGAGCAAAACAAAACAATTGACATCCATCTCTACTTTTATAACTTTTCTAACCTTCGTATGGAGGGACTATGGAGTTTGGGGAAGGCTGATTCTGTGACTTTTCATCAATGAGCACTTGGGAAGAGACCTCAGAAGTCGAAGTAGGCGTATAATTATTCTTCATCTTTACAATGGTAATCAGAGAAAAAAAAAAGTAGTGTAAAAGGAATATTATCCTACTACATATAATGAATAGAATTTTTCCATGACAGCTACATTTCATATCTTTTTCATAAAGCAGTAACATTACGTCAGCTATATGTTAGCACCCTTGCTATTATTAATTTTATTACACTTATATTGGCTTTAAGAAACTATGAGGCCAATTAATATAATGTTACAGATTTTTTAAATAATAAGTAAACAAAGAGCACAGCTTGCAAAATTGGATGTCAAAAAAAAAAAAAAAAAAAGAAAAAAGACAGAAGCTACAGCATACAATATATATATATATACACATATACAATTCTTACTCCCAAGATCCCATACTTCAATTAATGGTTTAGTTTGTCGCATCCTTCACAGATTTAGGCAGCATTTTCTTACACACGATAATAAAATATTAATAAAGTAAATATCTTTTTCTTTTTTCTTAGCCTGTTCTACTTTCCTTCTTTCATCAGTTACTTTAACGAGAATGGGTATATGTTGGAACCTCTTCAAACCTAGAATGTCATCTTCATAAGGTACTTGCTTCATATTTGCCTCTCTGGTTTTCTGATCTTTTATTTTCTTTTTTTCTAAGTAATAAATAATCATTTTTGAACTACTTTGCGGATTTCTGTTCATGGGTTTCATCTTTGGCACTCTTCACTACAAAATTTCTTTCTCAACGTAAAGAGGGAAACAGCAATTTTTGGAGTATCTTCTAACCTCCGATATTCATATCATGGATGATTACATTACGACATCTATCGTTTATTGCATGGTCACCGTGGATTTGTAAGTTTCAATGAGTGCTCCATTTTCTCTTCAATCATTTTTCTTTTCTTCTTTTTTTCTAACTATAACAATGAAAAAGTCATCATATACGCGGCCCTGAAATTGAACATGTATTTCCACAGTCAATAGAATTACCAAAGGAATGGTCTATACTGCCCTTTTTATGCTTACCTGATGGTGCTCACATGGTACGTTTTATCTCAATATCCTTCTCATCGTTCTTATGTTTTCGTATCACTTGATTTCTTTCTAACCCTCCGACGCGCTATAGCAAGAAAAAGATTTTGTATATTTCACTTTGCCATACCCTAATCCACAGCACTCAACAGCCTTCGGACTCGCCTGCAGTCGCCAGCTGAGCATCAATCATGTAAAAAACCTTCCTTCGGATGTAACTCGCCCCAGCATTCAAAAGGCCGTTGTGCTCATTTGTTCCACACCTCAATTTGGTCACATCAAAGACAATTTGGAAATTGTTACTGATGCCTACTTTTCCCAAAATGATTTTTCTAATTTGAGCATCCTTCATGTATGAAATTATTTATGTGTTTCTAAATTATTGTTGATTTCTAACGACGTCGTGTGTAGGATTTTTACGAAAGCTTAGTTAATAAAGGTCCTCAGCTACAGGTATCGCTAGGAGTTAACAGTAAAGACGTTTTTTTGTGTTGGAAGCAAAATACTCTCGTGTTGTTAAAACTTGTCCTATTGGGTAAAAAAGTCCTTGTCTATGATCGAGTTGCTGAACGCTTGGGAAATTTACAGTACTCGCTCTTATCATTAATCCCAAATATGCTTTTGAGTCTCCATGACTCTGCTGATCCGTCATCAAACTATCTTCAGTCGACTTTATCTAAACCATCTTCTTTGAAAACAAGTGACAGAGATTCATTAATGGCGTATATTGGTTTTCCGTTATTGCTTTTTGGCGAAAAGAGTATGTTTTCCCCTTATATACCACTACAACAGGTTCACATTTTGGAGTCGTGTTCTACGCGAAGCTGGCTTGCTGGATCGACAAACACTCTCATTATGTTAAATCAAAACAAAATGGCTGACGTTGTAGTCCGGGCTGACACGGAAGAAATTTTTTATAAAGATAACTCACTTAGGTCCCTCGTCAATCTCACAAGAGCTGACAAAAGGTGGATGGACGACGTCCTATCGGTAATTTCTGCTCATGAAGAGAAATCTCTGCCAGAATACGAAGGAAACAATGAATGGCTACGGGCCCAATTTGAAGCATACATATTTGGATTTTTATCAACCATTAAGTATTACTCTTTCCTCAATTCTAGAGATGAAAATGAATTGCAAAAGTACAATTCACTACCATCTACAGACTGTATATCCGACTATGGTCAGACGTTTCTGGATGAATGGATGAAAACTGCGACATATGCCGCGTGGAATCCTATTGCTGATGATGATATGTTTGATGTTGTATTGGCCCAGCATCCATCCTGTCAGACTCGTCCACAGAAACTTTCAACAAGGCTGTCTGGTTTTCTGTCATCTATTCGCAACTCACAATTATACAAGACTTCCGTAGAACCATCCGCTATGCAGACGTCTTCCCACTCTCATCCAAATAATGAAAAATGAACGATGACCGGCTCTTTATATTGTATACTACCATCGTTAGTAGTGTTACTAACTTAATGTTAAAAGTTCGAATTAGAATAGCCTTTTTGAAATTGAATTTAATGTGTTTTCCTAATTACAATGAAATAGACTACTTGTACGACTACAATGGCTAAACTTTTTATCACTCAAAATTATAGATCTTATTTTTCAATCAACCTTAAAGGCTGTGAGTTTTTTAAAAATCAAACTATTTTGATTTTTATCATTACATAAATAATCATGTAGGATGTCATCTTCCATTAATATCATTAACACGTTTTATAGTCATCAGTTGGTATCAGTCATAAAAGGGCTTTTACAAGCGGCTTCCGCCTGACTTCATGGTTTCTCCCTTTTGGACGAGTTCATCATCACGAGTCATTTTACCAAACATCTTCTCGACGCCTCCCTTCATTCTTGAGGCGAAAGAAGCGTGGTGTTGAACATCGTTGCCCAAATCCTGAGCTTGAGACTTACCACCTTGAGCGGCACTCTTTCCGCCTTGGGTGGTGTTGCCAGCCTGGTCTAACTTTTGACCTCCACTTTGACTCAAGTTTTGACCGGCGTTATCAGCACCTCCCGCTCTGCTGGAGGTGGAGGTAGGGTCTGTGGTGTATTTACCAGCGTTGTAGCCTTCACCCTTGGAACCGCCAGCGGATTGATCGGCTTTAGAGCCATATTGTCCCTCTTCACCCAAGTTGTCAGCATTGCTCTGGTAACCTTGAGATCCACCTTCAGATCCGAGGTAGCTATCATCACCACCGGTAGTATTGTAGTTTCCTTGGCTAGCTCCAGTAGTGGGTTGATCAGATGCGTTGTATGTGTTTGCACCTCTGCCACCACCATAATCACCACCAGTGCCGTAGTCGTCGCCAGTGCTCCGCCAGTGGATCCATAAGAATCATCGCCGGCACCATAGTCGCCAGCACCGCCGTAGCTACCGCCTTTGGAACCGCCAGTGGATCCGTAAGTATCGGCACCGGAGCCGTAACCACCACCAGAAGTGCTGTAGTTACCACCTCTGTAATCACCGGTAGAGCCATAAGAATCACCACCAGTGCCGTAGTCGTCGCCAGTGCTGTAGGCACCGACTGTGGAACCAGTGTTTCCATAAGAACCAACACCGCCTCCACGTCCGTAGCTTTCACCGTAGTCATCGGTTCCTTGACCAGAGCCGTATTGAGTGTTCTGGGCGTAACCTTGACCGGAGCCACCATAATCGGCCTTACTTCCACTACCTAAGTCAGAGTCGTATCCTTGACTCTTACCGTATCCTTCACTTTTGCCGTATCTTTGTCCGGAACCAGAACCAGAACCGGCATTGGCTCTTTGTGAAGAGTATCCACGGCCAGTGTCTGCTGTCTGTCCGCTATAAGGATCACCTTGAGAAGGGTGAGAATATTCGGGAGCAGCGTTGTGATCGGCATTACTGTATCCGCGTTCTTCATTTCCATAGCGGCTATCAAAGTTTCCACCAGTTCGGTTTTGCTCAGTATTACTGAAATTTTGATCTTCGTTATGAACAGAGCCTGGGCTCGACATGTATTTCTTAGCCTTTGAGGCCAAATCTGTAGATTTTCCTGCGAAAGAACTCATACTAAATAATTCTTCAATTTATCGTTGATTCTACGAAGCAACTGAAAGCCCATATATCTCTTTTGGATACGAACCATGACGAACCTATTCCATCAACCACCAATGCTTAATTGTGTATTATTTCAATTGCCACTTCAATAGAGTGATATGAAATACGTTCCTTACTTACGTTCGTCTCTTGAGCCATTGCATTCTCTATTGTTTCTCAAACGTCTTATTGTAACACGGTATGATATTTACACCATGTTATACGTCATATAAACGAATTCTTGGAAATCCGTCCCAGGTATTGAATACATCATTCTAGTTTTAGGCTCAGATCTAGCGAACTTTTTAGAACGCTACGAAAATTTTGCAGAAGAATCACTGAACAATCATATTCGTCAGTCAACAGCAGTAGAAAGCACACGGTCTCTTTGATAATTTGTTTATTCTTTGGTTCTTTTGGTTTACGGTTGTTCTCCAAAACGAAATATCTGAAATCAAAGAGTCTACTTGGCGCAAAAAAAAAAAAAAAAAAAAAGAAAAAGAGAGGGTAAATAGAAGAATAAAAGATTGAGCTTTTCCCTTGTACATTGCTGTAGTATTTTCAACGACTTGGTTTATTACCAACAGACAGGTTTATTCTTGTAAATTTTGGTTTCCAACCCATAGAAGCAATTGAGAGAAGGTGTTGATTCATCTGAGTGTGCAAAAATTGTTCCAGGTACCATGCACGGGTTAGGTTCTATTGATTATATGGAAGAATGTCCATACGGAACCTTTTTAGAAAAATACCTAAAACCATGTCATCCTGTATTAATTGGAAAAAAATTGACTGAGAATTGGGAATCTCGGAAAACGTGGGTTCGCCAGTTTGAAAAGAATGGCGACGACTCGAAAGACGTTCGCAAAGACAGCCAGTGCCCAACGGGGCTTGAATTTCTTCGATCCAAAGCTGCTTCACACAACGACCTTTTGCCGGATAATCTATGGGACGCTTTGGTTGAAGCCAGTAAACAATATTATGACAGTGAAGAGGAAGCTTACAAGGATTTGTTGCTTTCACCAAATTATGAACACCTAAAACAAGTTTACGGAAACATCGAGGTCCCTTTGGCGTATTGTTCCCAAAAAGACAAGTATGGAAGTCAAAAACGTGAAAATGTTCAACTTAGAACGGCACTGCAAAAACTTGAAGAAGAAGAAATCATGTTGCGATCCATACGCTTACCAGAATCCGTTGGCTCATACAATTTAATACGAATGTATCCTAAAGACATGCATTTATTTCGGGATTCCCCTGTCAGTATACCATACGAAACGCCGGATTTGTTTGTGGATGATTGGCTCAACGCGTATACGATGAATCAAGAAAATGATGACTTTCGGTTTTCTTACATCGGTAGTCATTTATCGACGACACCATTGCATAAAGATGTATATGAAAGCCATTCTGTGTCAGTGAACTTGTGTGGTGTGAAATGTTGGATTTTCATTCCTCCATCCGACGCAGAGTTTATCCATAAACAATTTGAAGATGAAGGCTTGCCCTCTTGGATTACCCATAGTCTTTTTCTTGAAAATGATAATTTTAAAAAGATCCATGGGAATGTTCGAATTTTGTTTCAGTTTCCGGGTCAAACGGTCTTTGTCCCTAGTGGATGGTACCATCAAGTTTTGAACATCGGTACAACTTTATCCATCAACCATAATTGGTGCAATTCTTCCTGTATTCTACCAATGCACTTTGCTCTCCAACAACAGTACGAGGCAACGTCTGAGTCACTTCAAGATTTGCTGGAGGATGGCATCGTTTCGAAAGAAAGATTCTCGGAAGTTGTAACAGAGGTTGTAGAAGCTAACTATGGATGGAGTTGGGAGCGGTTTTGGTCGATGATCTCCTTTCAATTACAACGAAGATTAGCTATGAGTTCTCTTCATGCAACCACTTCAGATTCCTCAAAATCAATTCCTCCTCTTCCAATATGCGTTCCTCCTTGGCCTTGGGAAAAAAGCGTTTTGACAGACTTGTTTAGAAATGCCAAAGGCAATGATGAAGAAATTTCAGTTTCAGCCAAGCTTTTTGCTCTTCTGGAAGAGATCCAATGATTCTCTCCTCAATTTCTTCAAACGAACTTTGCATGCAAATGTGCTTCCCTTCAAGCACTCCATAAGCAAAACTTCTTTTGACATGGTCCTGTTTTTTCATTTATATAGAATTCATATTCCTTTTTGTTGTACCTTATAAATTAATGCATCCTGGATAGGCTTCTCTTTTCATTTTACTCAATTAAGGAAAAACTAGATTGATTCATCACGTACTTAATTATTTGATGAAAATATAAAATTTCGTAGATAATTAACGCCTTTCAATTCTTATTTCCTTCTATGTGTGCGTTCACGATGTATGACTTCAGATCATCTACATAGTGAACTTGACTCTATTCATCACTTCTTTATACTCACTTGATTCAAGACATAGAAATTCACTTAAAATGGCCAATTCCTTTACATTAGAATTGACAGTAGGACATAAATATGCTGCAGAAGTTGTCAAAGGTAGTTTATTCGAACGGAGTTTCTTCTTTAGTTAGAGAAGTACATGCTAACGCTTGTTCCCTTAGGAGTTTTGGGTACCATTCTTTTTCATAGACAATTTCACACAGTTATTTCAAAAACAGTAGACATCTTAGAAGTTACTGTCCCTACACTAGGAAACGCCGAGTTGGACGAGACTCTTACTAGCAAGGCTGCAGAATTTGTGGATGGACTCCCAAACCAACACGGTGCCTCTTCACAAATGATGGTTCTTTTTTATGAAAGACTACCAAAGAAGTCGTGGTTTGGAACGGGTACGGTAAATCCATGGGAACAATGGCTCGTCAATGTTGTAATCACTGAATCGAAAGACTCTTATCATGCGTCTTCAACCTCTTTAGAATGTGCAACTGAACAAATTGTTCAGGCTGTCAACTTACGCAGTCTATCCTACCTTCCTCCAGTCGTTGCAGACTCTGGAAACTATCCATACGATATTGTCATCCCAACATCTACTGAAGGATGGGGATCTTTATTGAAACGAATGATTATTGAAAATATCAGCGGTGGTGATTGATTATCCTTCGAAATTGCCCATACATTCTCATTTTATACCACCATTACAAACGACTTGTTCACAAATAACCATCCCTTCTACTCTACTTGCTTGATTATGATTATGATTTTTCTTTTTCTAATTCTTTAATTTCTGCGACGTATTTCATGTTTCCCTATTGTTTTGGAACGAATATCGATATTCTGAAAACCATAACTATTCAGCGACGTTTTTATGATAATAATTTACTAATACTATTACTCTTTCTTCAATTTTTTTCTTTGTTTCTTCCTTTCTTCTTCTTCTAATCTTTAGTAAGCAATCCTTTTTTGACCCAGCCTTGTACAGTCTTACTCTGTCGATGAACCTTTACTGCACTCAGGACGCCAGCGCATGCGGTAACTAGATATTTATTTTTCTCTGTTATTAATTCTCTATTAATGGATGCTAATTTTAAATAAGAAAAGTGGGATAAACTTTTTATAATGGGCTATTCTCTACACGATATTCAGCAACAATTCACCAGCATGAATATCCCAGATGTTTCCTTGGCTTCCGGCGATGTATATTATTTCTCAACAATTAAAAATATTGACTATGGATGGGGATGTGGTTGGCGAAATATTCAAATGTTGTTCTCTTGGTTACAAACATCATATAGTAAATGGTTTGAAAGTCATCATTATAAATATGATCTTCCAGATTTAAGAAAGCACTTATTAAACGCTTGGAAACAGGGAATTGATGTTGATGGATGTGAGCAAATTGGAACACGGTTGGAAGGAACATGGATTGGCGCCACTGAAGCTTACACATTGATGACGGGTCTCATGCTGAATGTTGGCCTCGTGGACTTTGATTTTCATAATCGATCCTCAGCCGTGGAAGCACTATTCTTGTTCTTTAAGGATCATTTTAGTGATTCATCAAAGAGTAAATGCCATATATCGCCATGCTATCTGCAATTTCAAGGACATTCTATCACCGTCATTGGCTATTGTTCTTCACTGAAGAGCTTAGTTGTTTTTGATCCCGATGCTCATCAGTCTAATAAAAAAAATACTTCAGGATTCCAACAAGATACCATGAAACGAATGCTGGTGAATAAAAGGTTCTTTCGCGATCTTCAGTATCAAGTACTTTACATGAAGGAAGACTTGTTTTTGGAAAATATTCAGGAACGGAAGCAAATTCGATCGACGAGGATTTCTGACTACTAATATATGGAGTCTTTGAAGAAACTCCATTAAACGGAACAGACAAACCGTTAGAGAGAAAACTCAATTTGATTTCTTTGGAGTCCTCTCTTAAACGATAAGATTTCTATACATGCTTCTCAAACACGCTTATGCATTAAAGCGTCTGTTATTGTGCAGTCTTCTGCATTGTTTATGCAATTGGTAAACAATGCATTACCAACTGGTTCTTTATGACTTTGAAGATGAACTTTTCTGTTTACAAGGTAAATTTTGTACCACTTGATTTCTTCTTTTTTAGCTTTTAGTTCTATTATTTATGTAACTTCTCATTCAATTTATGGATTTCTTTACAAATTTCTAACGGAGAACTCGGTATATTGTGGTTCGCAGTATTCCGAGTTCACCGAAAGTTGTTAACAATAAGTCTAGCCATGCAATAGTAAACAACCAGCTCTTTGCCATGTCCCTCTTTTCATCATTTGTATTTTTATTATTCCTAGTATTTTATAGTGGAAATGCACTTGCATATTCTCAGTCTTTAGATCGTATTCAGGTTTTAACGTTTTCGACGCCTGACCCTGAAGACTCAAAATCAAAAAGTACCAAAAATCCCAAGCTGATATGTTCAGGAGCAGCTTGTGAAGATTATGAGACCAAATACGCTATCTGCCAGCATAATCAACTCAACGTCTCTCCGCTGGATATAAAATGGTCTTGCTCATGGCCTTATATGTCGGATCGTGTGCATGTCGTCGACTATGGCGTACATTGTAAAGTCTACTATGCTCATGCAAATGAACCAATTATTCAAAGCTGCTCCTTGGATTATCGTTTAGAGTATTCCACTTCTGGATTGCTACTTCACCAACCGTGGAAACTCTTTTCTTGGAGACCATTTTCGGCAGGATTGATCCTCTTTTGTGCAGGCGTATATTTAATGAGTGCTTGTATGCGTATTCTTGGTTATTTGGGCTCTCCAAGGACTCGTTTCCATGACTCTACTCGGTGGAACGAGCAAAAATACTTGGAACAAGCCATTGCTGCTGCAGACGACAACTTTCCTGGTCGGAGCTTTTTCAATAACAGTATAAAGCAAAGAGTTCCTATGGCTATAGTTGAAGATCTTGCATAATGATCGTAGTCTCTTCATATTTTATTCTACACGGCATCCTTAACTGTTTAGCATATTACCTCTACCGCTGATATCTCCTATTCGATGTGGAAAAGGGTTCAACAATGATTCTCCTATAATATTATTTATCCATTTGCATGTTTTATCATCCCCTTTCCGCTATCCTCATTGCTGGTTGCATGCATATATTCACTCGCCTAAATTCTTGTCAGTTAATTCGGAGTTTCCTATGGCATTTTATTTACTATCTCTCTTTGCTTCATATAGAAAACACCTTCCTCTCCTACATCATTCTGCTGCATAAAAAAGTAAGTTTACAGTCGAGAATTCTCTAACACAACCGTTGATGAGAAGAGGGTCAGATATTACCTTCAACTTAGAGTACTGCATATCATAAATTTGTACTTTCGTATAAATAATAAACAACAGGCATTTTTAGAATATCACTATATCTATAAGACAGCTATCCCCTAGCAAACGTACTATTACATTTTTTTCTCCTTTGAAGACAAGCCAAACCTCACACTGAAATACCTACTGACTCACTAAACTTTATTACGCAATACGCAGAATCTTTACTTTGAGAAAGGATTTGAAGAACGATCAAATGTTTGTTTACAGCTGGAGACGCGTTTTGCAAAGGGGAACATATTAGAAGGCTAGCTTTTGAATGGCTGGAGTATTTCTATGAGTAATAGGTGTATTTAAGGTACTCACTTTTCGTTTTTTCAAAGAACCATACAATTGTCGCAAATGCAGACTGAGTCAAATACAACTCGTTTAGAAGGAGTTTCATTCTTGGAAAACCAAGCTGATGAAAAGCACTTTCATTGGAAGAAAAATTCTCGATTTTTGTATAATCTCCTGGTCACAAGAACTCTACTATGGCCTTCTTTGAGCATTGAATGGCTTTCAGTAGTGGAAAAATCAAACGAGAAACCTATAGATAAATATCGTTTACTTTTAGGTACACATGCTGCAGAAGGATTTCCAAATTACTTGCAATTGGCAGACATTGATTTGCCAAACGCAGAGCAGACGAGTTTAGATCCTGTAAAACATTACAATGAAGATTTGGGAGAATTAGGTGGATACAGTCCACAACACCCGTGTCGATTTCAGTTGATACAAAGGATTATGCATAATGGAGATATTAATCGTGCAAGGCATATGCCGCAGAACCCTAATATCATTGCTACTTTCAGCTCGTCCGGCGAGGTATATGTATTTGATCGAACAAAGTACACGTCCATGCCAGCTGAAGAGTTTATCCCAAATGTTCACTTGCAGGGGCATGAAGCAGAGGGATTCGGTTTATCTTGGAACCGTCGACGCAATGGTAAGCTTTTATCGGCGGGGAATGATTCCAAAATTCTAGAGTGGGATTTGCAAGCTTTTTCGCAAAGTTCCAATGTATTATTCCCTGTAACATCTTATCATAATAATTCCATCGCTGTAAACGATGTGGAATACAATCCCTCTCATGAGAACTTGTACATAGCCGCGAGTGACGATGGAAATGTTCTTGTCTGTGATAATCGGACTCCCTCAATTGTTTTTCAATCTGCACAAGTACCATCATCCGTTTATTCCGTCCGTCATAATCCTCACATAGCATCACTCTTTGCACTTGGAACGGAGAATACCTTACAGTTGCGCGACTACAGAAAACTTAATGTTCCTTTACTGGATACTGAGTCTATATTTACAAAGAATGATTTCACCTCGTCCGTAGAAGCAAGTGCATTTGGAGCTACTAGTATGTCGTGGAGTTGGTCGTCTCCTAGCATTTTGGTGAGTGCATGTGAGAAGCTTTGTTTTGTATGGAATTTTGAATCCGAGAATCCTCTAAAGTTTCTTCACGGTGGACATCGGGGGCTTGTGAATGAGGTGGATTTTTGTCCCTTTGATTCCAACTGCGTTGCATCTGTTGCTGATGATAATGAGCTGCATATTTGGAAACCAAGCGTTTCAATTTAATACAACCCTTTTTTTTTATTTTCAGTCTGAATCTTGGTCTTTCACTTTTTGAAGGCTGACTCATTTCTCAGAACGATTACCAATTTCAATAATGAAGGCTGACTATGGAAGGAATAAAACTAATGAAAAGGCTACCATAATAGTCTTACAGATAAATTGGTTACAATGCATTCAATATATGGTAATAAAACAAATGAGAATGGACAAATTTGTTATTGAAGACGAAAGGAATTACGGCAAAGAAAGCAGGTCATTGTTAAAGAAAAGAGAGACAAGTATCCAACTAGCGGAGTATAATTCTCTTCACGTTTAAGATTACTTGTGGTCTTTAATGTATTTCCTAATAAAATTGGATTAGTATACTGGCCCACTTTGGTTCTTTGCACATACAAAATAAAGGCTTCTTCCTCTTTGTTGGAAGCGTTCAAAGGAGGCATTTCACCTTCCTTCAAAGACTTTTGTCTCTTAAAGAGCTTGCTATAAACCCAGGGACCCACGAAGACAGATCCCAAGACAGTAAGACTAAGCTACAACAATCCCGTTAGCCGCTATAAAACCGTGAAGAAAACGAACCTGGTAGCTTTGGAATTGACGACCGGCAATAGTATAGACAGACATGGCAGCTTTACTAGTTAGATTTTAAAATCTGGGAATAGAGGGGAGAGGAGAAAGATACATTTTAGAAGGACTAGAGTAAGCCTTTGTTGATGGCATAGAGTGCTGAAGAAGTATGTTAAATGATATACCGAAGTTGTGTGAGTTGTGCAAAAGTAAATATTGTGGAAATAATCGTAATGCATTAGTAAACAAAAATGAAATAATTATTTAGTAAAGTAATAAAATTCTTACATTGTCTATTGAAGCTTAAGAAGAAGGGAGGTTGTTTCGTTTTTGTTCATAAGGGCACAATCAGATAACGTACGTCTTTGTATTATATATCATACACGTTGAGCATAAATGAAAATTCAGTGAAATAGAAGTCGTATAAAATGTAAGGGTTTATAAAAGGTGCGACAAGACTTGTCCTGATATAAGGAAAAGTATCATGGTCGTCAATGCACGGGCTTTGATGGTTTCAACAAACAATTCTTCTTCCATTTTTAAAACCGTGCGACGAGGAAGGTATTGGAATTGGGTCTTAAGGTTCCGTCTTGATACCTTTGAAGACTTTTGTTTCGATCCATAAAATACAAGGAGTTTACAAAGCTTCTTCTTTTCCTCAGGATATCCCACCTTTTTTATTTTAAGTTGGTGTTTTTTCGATTCTTGATGTAAACGTTTAAAGGAGTTGGTTTGACTTGGATGCATTCTTTCTGACTTGTATTATAACGTTTAAGTTATTTTGATTCTACTGTAAATGTTCGTGAATCCTTTTTACGCGTATATGCTTCCAGTGCTTTTAAGCTTGCGCGGTGCTTTCAGGTTAAATTGTTATTCAATTTCAATTTTAAAGGGTAGCTCTTGCTGAATTGTTAGCTCAATAAAAAATATAATAAATTAGAAAGTAAAGCTTGGGTATTGTGGAGATGTTTAAAAGCGTTTTGCCTGTTTCCTGTACATACCTCTACTCTAGCCTTTGTTCTCTTTACTATAATGCTTATATGATATGAATGACAATATTGGTGAAGAACAGCAGCTACAAAATACTTCTTTTATTTGTATTTTAATATGCTGAAGATATTAAAGACTTTCTTTTTTTTGTTTATTCAATTCAACTGCTTTTCCTTGATTTTATAAGACATCGATTCGCTTATAATCAAGCTTTCCATAAGCGAATATGGGAGATCGTAAAAAACAACAGAAAGAAAACATAAGAACTCTTGAAACGGCCGTCGTGAAGCGATTATTGAATTTTTCGTATTAAGAAGAGCGAATAAAGGATAGAACAGAGACCTATACAGTCTGAAATCGAATTCGCAACTTCAGTACTCCTTCCAGCTCTGTATTCCTTTTCCTTCACAGTCTTCTAAACAGAACAAACTCTCTGAAAACAGCATTGTTTTCTTTTGTCTATGATGATTCGGCCTTACTGGCCTTTGTATTTTTTACTTTTCTCGATTTTTCTTCCTTGCTACCTTGCAGTCTTGAGAGATGAAGCTGGTGTCTATGACTATCATATTCCACTTTTAGGCCGTTTAAAGGATATAAAACTCGATAAAGAAAGTGATTCTTTTCTTGTATTAAGTGAGCGTGGACTATTATCACGTATCGATGCTACCAATGGTGATATTGTCTGGCGCCAAGCCGTCGATGAACAAACAGAATTGATTTTCCGCGAGTCAAAACCCCGTTACACCCTTACGTTAGGAAGTGATCACTTGAATGTATGGAATACCAACAACGGAGTGCTGGAAACGAAGTTGGACATTTCCGCTGCTAAAGGTGGTAGTCTATATGAAACGAATGAAGGTTATGTTTATTTCGATCCTGAATCCAATAGCCTCGAAAAGATTTCACTTCAAGAAGATAATGCTACGATAAGTCTGGTTTCCTTTGACTTTCCTGTTGCAGCAATGCTCACAGATTCCGAAAAAAACTATGCCTTGAAAAGAGACCAGTCTAGTTATAAACTGATCCAACTTAACGATCATTGGAAGTCTGTAGAAGAGAAGATCGTTCCTATTTCTGCTAATTCGGAAGTTTTAGATGCAAAAAATGACCTCATTTTGTTTAGGTATCAGGATGCCGTACATGCGATTCGTCTGTCCCATCCTGAGAGGTCTCACTTATTATTCACGGAGTCTTCTTTAGTAAATTGGAAACAGATTTCCCAAGACGTTCCCGGATACTCATTTACCGTCTGTTCCGATTCTTCTCTTGTTACATGTGTCTTCACATTTCAGGGAGAGGAATTTGCTTTGGTTGATGAATTTATTCACGAAACCTCAATCTCCGTTGCTCATGGTTTTCATGTTGATGAAGGCCGTTTTCTACGTACTACAGCCACTCCTCAAACAATAGACTTTGACTCTCAAGAAATCCTTGAAATTCAAAATTCGTTTTCTCGTTCTTTACACTTATTTAAGTTGCTTCAATCTCAAGATAACATCTACCTTATCGTTGTATTAGAAGATGGGACAATCTTTTGTTATTCTAACAACATTCTTTTATGGAAACGTGAAGAAGCACTAGCGTATGCTGCGGATGCTATATCCTTACCTGTCATTGCTGAATCTTTGGAATCTACTCCGGTCGCTGACCAAAAAAAGGAGAATGTAATACCCTTTTTGCACTACTTGAAGAATTTTAAGCAACTCTTTAATATTAAACAGTTGCTTCCTCGACATCATTCTCTGGACGATGCCTTTATGACAAGCTTTTTGTTACCCACGTATACCGGGAGTTTGTACTGTCTTTCTTCTGATGTAAGCAGGAAAGACCGCGTTGTATGGAAGAAGGATTTCTCAAGAGAAGCTAAAGATGTAAAATCTTGGTTGCTGAAGTCTGCATCCAATCATCAAGAGGCCTCTCTGATAGCACTTGTGTACATTTTTGATGATGGCTATACTTTTAGAATCCTGAGGTCAAATGATGCCTCGGTGATATACGAGAAAACCGAGACTCAAACCCCAGATGACTTCTATTTCCTCGATAATTCAAAGGACCACTATGAGAACGTAATATTCGCTCTTCATAAAGACACTGTTTCTCCTCTAGGGGACGAAATTGCGTTTGGTCAATTCCTTCAAAAGAATCCTTCTGCTATTTTTAGTAGACTTAGAGATAATACTCTACAAGGATTCCGTATCCTTGAAGATTATAAAATTATTATAGAATGGGAATTGTCTTTTAAGAACGATGAAAGGTTGCTTGACACAATTCAACGAAATTCACATGAAACTCTTGCTTCGATCGGCCGTGTTATGGCCGATCGAAACGTTATGTATAAGTATTTGAACCCGAATTTAATGGCAATCTTGACGAGTAAACAGGATATGTTAATCGTCTACATCATTGATACAGTCACTGGAGCTATCCTTCATCGGAACAGTCATTCCGAAGTATACGATTTTGAGAATATAAGTGCAGTGCTTTCCGAAAACTGGCTTGTATATTCCTATTGGAATGCAGTTCCTTCAATTTCTACCAAGATTGTGTCGGTGGAATTGTTTGAGGGAGATAAACCGAACGTGAAGCATAACATCGACGTCGTGGAGAATGGGAATAATAACTATATTCCAGCCGCTTTCACCAAATCCTTTAACATCGATCGTTTGATAAATGCAATGGCGGTGACGACAACAAATCAAGGTATAACATCAAGAGACATATTGGTCTCTTTATCTTCAAATCAGTTGGGGATGATTCCTCAAAGTATTCTGTCTCCATTGAGACCAGTTCAAAAGCAGAACGAAAAGCCACAGCCGTCTTCTTTCGTACCATATGAACCAGTAATGACAATTTTTGACGATCGTATTCTTTCGTATGACCAACGATTATATGGTATCAAAAAAATGATTTCTGAACCTTCTACATTCGAAAGCACTACCCTTGTTTTAGCTTTTGGTTTAGATGTTTTTTTCACGAGAACAGCACCGAGTATGCCATTTGATATGCTCAGTTCTTATTTCGATAAGAAGCAATTGGTACTAACCACCCTCGGAATATTGTTTACCGTTTTGATAACCAGACCTATGGTCAAGAGAAAGCAACTTAATGCGAAATGGTATACTTAAAACATAAATGAAATCAATAAAAGGTAGTACTAAACATAACACAAATCTAGGCTGTAGGGAGTTTTATATTAATGTATAAAATCTAATGATAGACTTGTGTGACCTTAAATTACTAATATCTTTAAACCAAAATAATGTTATTGAACTACCTAAATCCAGATTCCAACCAAAATAACTCATGTATGTAAGCTTTTTATTTTTCACAGTCAAACACCAATAGTTCTGTATCGTCAGAGCCACTAATAACCCGTTTACCATCAGCGGTAACTGACATACACAGAATCGGTTCTTGATGTCCGGTGTATTCACCTAAGAGTTGACCAGAACGGACATCCCATTTACGAATGATACAGTCTGCACAGGCAGTAAGCAAATAAGGGGAGTTTGGAAGGAAAGCGCAGTCAATAACAGGTTGGCCGTGATACAGACTTCTTCTAAATTTCAAAGATGAAGAATCGTAGAGAGCAACTGTTCCATCAACGCTAGCACAAGCACATATAGGTAAAGTGGGACATAGGGAAATAGACTCCACACTTTCATGTTGTGTTTCCAAGGAAGCCAATATGTAGTTATTGTTGATATTTACAACCTTCACTTTACCGGAAGAGCCACCAAGGAATAAAACATTACCATCACTGTTACTATCGAAGCTTGTCCATCCTGCGGAGGTCTCTTCGTTACCCGGATCAAATCTATGGTCATCACCTGTCATTCGGCATTCGGAGTCACCAGTAGCTGGATTCCAGACGATTAAAGTACCCATGTCATCAACTGTAGCCAAGCGCTTACCAACGCCAGGAGGAATAAATTTGCCAGCGTTTGTTGGTGCAGTATGACCATAGAAAACTTGGACAACCTTACCAGAAGGCATACTCAACATCCAGACACTACCGTCGTTACATCCAGCAGCAAGGAATAAGCCCTTAGGATGCCAATTTAACCATACAATTTCATCAGTTGTTTCAGTAGCGGTGATGAACTCAACACCGGACTCAGTTTTCCAAACTCGAATTTGATTATCCATACCTCCAGTAGCAACATAATTGCCGTCAAAACTCCAACCAACAGAAACAACAGAATCCTTATGGCCAGTAAGCTGGCAAACCTGCTCGCCGGTGGTGATGTCCCAAATATAGGCCAAATCATCACCGCCACCAGAAACACAAAGGTTGCTTTTCACGGGATTCATAGAAACACAAAATACTGAATCTTTATGCTCGAAAAACCCTTGAACAGAAAGATCCATCACTGATTGTATTTCACCGGCACCTTGATCTTGATCCAATTCTTCATTTTCCTCGAAATCTTGTTCCATTTCATTCTCATCTTGATTTACAACTTCTTCTACTTCATTCTCTTGTAAATAGACTTCTTGGTTTTCTTCTTCTGCCATGATTTAAAACTTTTAGGTGTTTGGGAAAACGTTTGCTGAATTCAGGTTATTTAGTAGAACTTGAATTTTCAGATTCTGCTTACAAAGACATATGGTAGCAAACCGAAGTTCTGCTTCTTATGGTTTAAAAAATTAAATTTTTTATTCTTTTTATTCTCATACCGTATTTATTTATATGAACATTCTCAATAATGTTGGTTGCATGAAACAAATCTACAAGATTGTAGCACAATCACTATGTTTTTTTTCTTCTGCTTTATATATGTGTTTATATTTTTTATGTAAAATAGTATAAACTGAAAAACTGGGTTATTCTGAGCGTTCTTGTTAATTAAGCTTTTAATACCAAGAAAAGTCAATTGAACCTGGGTATATATGAGTAATAGTGTTTTATTAAATTTAATTTTCGTTTGTTGTTTGTTTTTGCTATGTTTATCCCAAAATCCTGAATCTAACATATGTAAACAAACCAGCTATTTATACAGGCATGGCATAAACACTTTTCTCTGGAGCAACTACCTTTAAGAATGAGGCACCATAAAATGTTGTTAAAGACTTTCAAAGTGCTTTCATTACTTTTAGGGGTAATCCCCATCCATGCTTTAGACAAACACGGATGGAGAAAGCAGTCGATTTATTCATTGCTAACAGATCGGTTTGCAACCACCGAGTCTGTGGATTGCAATCCCGAGGATCGTAGCTATTGCGGTGGAAACTGGAGGGGAATCATCAATAAACTTGATTACATTCAGAATCTGGGATTCACAGCTATTTGGATTTCACCCGTTATTAAGAATATTGAAGGCAGAACTAAGTATGGTGAAGCTTATCACGGATATTGGCCGCAGGATCTTCTTACTTTGAACCATCACTTTGGTACTGAAGAGGATTTGATCGATCTAGCAGATGCTTTACATGAACGAGGAATGTATCTAATGGTAGATACAGTGGTAAACCATGTCGCTGCCCCCGATACAAGAAACATCGACTTTTCAATGTATAGTCCTTTTAATAAAGAAGAGCACTATCATCCCATGTGTCCAATTATCCAAAGTGATCCTTTATCTTTGGAACAATGCTGGATCGGCACAGAAGATGTGACCTTACCTGACGTGGATACAGAGAATCCGTTCATTATTGAAACATTGTACAATTTCATTCACGACCACGTTAAAAAATTCAAAATTGATGGGTTACGTATTGACGCTGCAAAGCACGTTCGTCAAACATTCTGGCCGGGATTTTGCGAAGCAGCAGGTGTTTACTGTCAAGGAGAAGAGTGGACTGGGGAAGCAGCAGCTTTTTGTGAATGGCAAGGTTTTATGGACGGTTTACACAACTTTCCTGTACAAGGTGTAGCTTCGGAAGCCGTAATTCCAGTCAATGATAGGGCTTTAAGAAAAACTGCAATAGCGATGAACCTTGTAGCACACCATTGTATCGACAGCACTCTTTTAGGTCTTTTCCTCGAATCTCAAGATGCACCCAGATTGGCAGCTCTCAACAATGACTTTAATGTACTAAAAAATGCCATGACACTAAATCTCATGTCGGATGGTATTCCGATTGTATTTTACGGGCAAGAACAAATGCTAGATGGATCTCACGATCCCATCAATCGTCCAGCGATGTGGATTACTGGATACCATACCGAAGGCCCTCTGTACAAGTACACAGCGAAAGTGAATAAAATTCGCAGAGATTTAATCAATTCTGAAGACGGCGAGGACTGGATTCGTACCCGTACACATGCCATTCCTGTGGGTGATAACCTTATGCTAATGTACAAAGGGCCAGTCATTACCTTCATTACGAATTATGGATCTGTTAACAAGGAATATATTCTCAAAATGCCTGCATCCGAACCTATGGTTGATTTGCTGACATGTACTCTAATTGAAGTTGAGAATGAAATTCTCAAAACGACCATTCAACGGGGTGAACCCAAGATTTTGTATCCCTATAAATTAACCATGCGCGACGGCTTCTGTGCCGATGAACTGTCGTTACAAGACGAAATTCCACGCGTTTTCATGGGCCATAATGAAATAAATGGACCAGACAGAAAATAAGCTACGCATGGAAGGTTTTTTTTCTTCGTATGCTTACGAAATATAAGCGGCAAAATCTCCAAACTCTCGGCATCTCATGGATTAGTTCTTAATACATATACTGCTAATGTATTTTTCTTTTTTTTTTCCAATGGTTTTTATTAGGTAAATAAACGTTGACTCGAAGCAAAATTTTATTTCATTCACAAATTTTATAGCTCATCATTTCATACCAGATTACCATTTATGATCTTAAGCCTTGGATAGTACAAACAATTGTACGAGAGTGAGGTGATCTGCGGAATTCCGCAAGTTGAATATCTTGCCAAGTGCCCAAGTTGAGTTGTCCATTAGAAATAGGAATGGTAAGGCTGGGTCCAATTAAACTAGACTTCGCATGGGCAGGCATGTCGTCCAAACCCTCAGCGTTGTGACGGTAACTATGAGACTCAGGAACGACCTTGTCCATAATATCTCTCAAATCCTCACGAGTATCTGAGTCCCAGTTCTCGTTAATAGTGAGGGCAGCAGATGTATGCTGAATAAACAAGTTCAAAGTTCCCATTGAGAAATTCTTGATTTCGGGCAGCTTACTGGTGAGTTCACTGGTGACTATGTAAAAGCCTTTTGTACGTCTCTAAAAGTCGGTCAGAGCAGAAAAAAATATTTTGCTTACACTAAGGGTAATAGAGCGTTGAACAATATCCATTTTAGTCATTTCGTTTGTACTTTTTGGAGAAGTACACGCGCAGGCTCTACTAATAAATTCGATCGAGAAAAAAATCTGACGTCAATTATTTCTGTATATGATATTAGTACGATGATTATTTATTTACACTTTTTATTTACTGATAAATAACTTTTTTTTTTCTTAAAAGCAGAATAGGGAATGATTTGATAGAAAGTAAGCATTCTAAGCGTTTTGTAAATCATAAGAACATTCTTTTACTCTGATCAGTTGATTCAGTAGATATCTTTTTTTTTTTTCATTCCTTCATTCATATCAACTTGATTACAATAAACAGCAGATGAAACTACCCAAAAGTGCGAATAAAAAATTCACATTATTTAGACTTACAGACAATGTATATGAAACATTGTTTCTTACAATTCCAAGCTGTTTTCGATGAGAAAAATGAATTCTTTCTAAGATTAAAAAACCTCCGTCAGGGGGAATCGAACCCCCGCCGCATCGGTGAGAGCGATGAATCCTAGCCACTGGACCATGACGGATCTACTTAACGAAAGAAGTATGAAGAGCTATCTAATTGAATTAGCCGATGTATTTGATGGAAAAAGGCGGTAAATAGGAATAAGAAATATTAGAAAAATAGTTACTCCATTGAATAGCTTTTATAGATTAAACTGTAGCATGTATTACAAAGAAATTAAAACCTAAAGGATATTGAGAAGTGGGTCCAAACAAATAAGGAAAACAACTAGAAAGCCAATATGACATGGCATATACAGACTCAAGAAACTCTTGAACGATATAGGAGAAAAGGATGGAAATCAAAGATATATTAAAACGAGAGAAAGGGAAAAATTATTGAAAAGTTTCATATAAATAGCCATAGATTAACTCCTTCTTGGTACGTAGAAAGACTTTTCTAGTCGTAGATTTTTAGTAAAGTCATTCATAGTACGCTTTTTCCAACCAGGTAACCGAATTACCAAACAGGTAATATCATCTACAGAGCCGACATTTTGGGCATATCTAATAATGTTATTTGCAGCATCCTGAGGAGATTCGGATAATTTGATGATATCGACTACTTCATCATCAGATACCACTTGGGTAACCCCATCGGAAAGTAAAGTCAAAAAAGACCAGTCATCTTTTAGAGAATGTATGGATGTGAGCTGTGGTTCAGCGACGACACCGAGCTTCTTTAATTTTAGACCATCACCAAAACTTCGAGTGTTTGCAACCCAGGCATATCGCTTTTCACCAAAAGAGTCACTGGAAAATCCGACATTGTAATGACGGAGTCTCTGCGATTCTTCAAAGTCAGCGGGATTATGCTGAAACGTTAAGCGATGTGCTCGCCCAGTACGGGAATCACATAGAATAGCTCGTGTATCACCGACATGAGCAAGTTGAATCGTATAGCTATCGCTTTCCCAATACGACTTGTTATTTTTTGAAGTAAGAACGACTACCGTTCCTACGGCACCGGGAACAGCACGATCAGGAGAGAGCTTGGCATGCTCCTTTAAATAAATTAAATCAGCTTCTAAAAAGGAATAATAAAGTCTAGCCCTCCAAATCATATCCTCGTCGCGAGACTTTAAGACAGATGCCAGAGAAAAAGGTGGTTCCAAAGAGGACATGTAGCCGCCCAAGGAGCGGGCTTCCTGAAGCAGTTCTTCAGCGCGTGAAAAATCTTGTTTTTCTATTATATGTCCTAAGCGATTACTCAAAAACTCACTGCATTCAACACCGCCGTGACCATCAAAGATTCCATAAACAAAAGGACTATCAAAGTTTGGAAAAGAGCCAAACAGTCCCGACCCCTTGCTGAAATTAGTTTCTGAGGAATTCTTGGAACCCAAAGACTGTACCGGAGCGTCTTCGTCGTTCAAGTAAATAGGGGCCTTAAGCTTGTCCAGGTAGCCAAACGACAGGCGATCCTGATTTTCAAGAGAATCACCTCGAGCAGAACAAAGACCTAAGCTTTGAGGAGCCTTTGTCATGGAGACCCGAAGGTAGGGTCCAGAAGCAGGAGTGTAGTATTGTTTTAGATTTCTGGTTGTACATTTCCCAAAACCACGCGGTGCCTTGAATGGAAAGCTTGGGTGCAAGCAAGCTGACCGTTGCAGAAACCGATTTGCATTCAGGAAGCTCGCCATGTGAGGGGTCTGTAAAATTTGTGTATCAGATCGCTGAATAGATAGAAACCGAGTAGAAGAATGCGTGTATCAACGAAGAAGTTGTTTTTTGAAAATGAAAGCGAGATCAACTTTTATGGCATGCAGTCAGATAATAATAGTCTAGGTAAAAAGCGTAGGAGAAACGACACACCGTGTCTGCCAAAGAAAGAGAGCAGCAAATAGGGATCCTTTTCTTTCAGAAGGATCCCGCAAGATAAAGAAGAATATTCAAGCTGTAAGTATTTACAAATCGAGAACGAATCCTCAATTATTAATGATTTACTTGAAATTGCAAGACTTGTTTATAAGAAAAAGTACTGAACCAAGGTAAGGAATTGTACAGAATAGCGATAAACACTAAATTGCCTTAAGCTTCCTACAGTACATGAACGAAGGTTAGTACATTAACGAATGTTCACACAATTCACTATACCATAAAACAAAAGGTAGCGTAGCACCGACGCAGGTTTACCGCAGTACGAAAACAATAGCAAAGCAAGAATAACAAACGCAATAAACAACAGTAAAACCATCCACCGATATGTAACGAAGATTCTAGTAAACAAATATTAAGAAACACATAGATAATAAAGGCGACTAACTATGTTGGATTTACCAAATGGTTTACGCAATGCCATTGAAATTTTTCGAGTCAATGGCAGACGCAAGGCAATGGAAAAGATGATTCTCGACGCACTGAATTAGTCTGATCACTTTGAAGGAATGTTATGAGCGATATGGATAACTCTTCCGTTTAATGATTCAATTCCGAGCACTGACCTGATCCTTGAGCCTCCGGGCGCAATCTTAGCGAATTGGCGATAAAATTGCGACTTTACTTCGTCACCACAAAGAACATTGTGAGTTAAGCGATGACTCGATAATATACTATCATTGGAATAATTCGTTAATTGAAATAGCTTGTTTACTATTATCTCTTGATAATGACATCTTAAAAGCGATAGGAAGAGCTGTGATTTGTCAGAAATCAATTAAAGTGCAGGTGACATAAAGATAGATCAGCCTTCAAGGAAAGTACAATGGGGAGCATAAACGAAAAGGCAAAAGGCAAAAGGAATACAATGGCAGGAAAGACAAGCGATTGGTAAACAAAAGCTATATTTTATACGGTATATTAGATTCATCAATTGAATTATACAATTGTAAATTGCATATATCATGTATTGAAAGTGTATGTTGTCGCACTACATGCGCAAGATAATTCATGCATGATGGATGAGGGTTAGGGTATGAAGATAAAGTCTACTATATATAATGGACGAAATCGCCTACAGTACATACCATTAGCCATCGCTGCCCAGTTTTTAAAGAAAGATCAAAGACTAAAGAAGAATTGCATATTGAAGTTCTTCTTGTACTTGCTTTGATCTTGACAATCCAATTCACAACATTATCTTTTCATTTGCTTTAATTTTATAATACTTACGTGCTTGCACTTGCATTTGCACTGCACACCTAGATAACACTTTTGTACCCAACTCGAAATTTTCTGCGAGAAAAAAAAGTTTAATCCTTTGTTTTTCTCTGTCTTTTGTCATATCCTGCTAGCGAAATTCGTTTTATAGATTTCTTTCTCTCTTGAAGTTTTAGAGCATTCTTTCTAATATGAAGATCTTTGGTTCAGGATTTTTCTCTGCTCTTGCAGGGCTCAGTTTGATGGCTTCTTCTGCTATGGCTGCTCCCGTAATCCACTCGAATGATTTAGAGAATATTCATGCTGGTATTCGTCCCGAAGTTGCAGACTTCATTAAAAGTGATAGCAACATCGTTCACGAAAAAGCCAAGCCCAAGCAGCATGCTCCCACCGCTCACAATGGAGCCAATTCTGCTCCTCTTTTGTCTGCCACCAATGCCAACACTGCTGGTTTGGAGTCTCATTACATTATCATTTTGGACTCTTCTATCAGTGAACAAGAATTGCACGAACATACTTCTTGGGTGGAAGGTGTCCACCAAGAGAATGTCATGCAAGCAAACTCCTACTATGGTCCCGAAGACAGCAACTACATGTTTGGTTTGAAGCACGTCTACGACTTTGGCGAAAGTGCTTTCAAGGGTTACGCTGGTCAATTCAGCGCTGATGTCGTTGAACAAATCCGTCTTCATCCTCATGTTATTGCAGTTGAACGCGACCAAGTTGTAAACATCAAGGACAAGGTCACTCAATCCGGTGCTCCTTGGGGTCTTTCCCGCGTTTCCCACCGTGCCCACTTGACTTCTGAGACCAACGGCAAGTATGTCTACGACAGCTCTGCTGGTGAAGGTGTCACTGCTTATGTTGTTGACACCGGTGTCAATGTTCACCATGTCGAATTTGAAGGCCGTGCTAAGTGGGGTAAGACCATCCCTGCTCACGATGCTGATGAAGATGGCAATGGTCACGGTACTCATGTTGCTGGTACTATTGCTAGCCGTGCTTATGGTGTAGCTAAGAAGGCCAAGATTATCGCAGTGAAGGTTCTCCGTTCCAACGGTTCCGGTAGTATGTCTGATGTTATTTCTGGTGTCGAGTGGACCGTCAAGGATCACCTTGCTCAATCCAAGAGTGGCAAGAAGACTGCCGTTGCTAACATGTCTCTTGGTGGTGGCAGCAGCTTCGTTTTGGACTTTGCTGTCGACTCTGCCGTCAAGAAGGGTATCTTGTATGCCGTTGCTGCTGGTAACGAATACGATGATGCTTGCTATTCTTCTCCCGCTGCTTCCAAATTGGCCATCACCGTTGCTGCTTCCAACGTCAATGACCAACTTGCTTACTTCTCCAACTATGGTAAGTGTGTTGACATTATCGCTCCTGGTGTCAACATTTTGTCTACTTGGATTGGTTCCAACAACCACAACACCAACACTATCTCTGGTACTTCCATGGCCACTCCCCACGTTGCTGGTTTGGCTGCTTACTACCTTGGATTACACCCCGATGCTAGCTCCACTGATGTTAAGAGTGCTCTTATAAAGGAATCTACTAAGAATGCCATTAACCTTTTCGGTGACCAAGACACTCCAAACCTCCTTGGTTACAACGGTGCTTAAATTGTGAGCATTCAATTTTTAATGAACTAACATTATTGCTTATGAATTAAATGAGCCTGTTGGAATGTAACGGTTATGTTTTTGTGATTAATCGTTCACTAACGATGGTAACTAATGTATCTATATTATAACACACACACGCACACACACTTTTTTTTATGATCTATAAATTGTTATGAATATTTTTATTGACATAATGTGAATAATGATAATGCTCATAACGTATGCTTAGAGTTTATTTTAATTTTAAAATCAACAATACAATTCGTTTATAATTTTTTATAATCCTTGTTGTATGTGATATGGCATGCTAATATTGCGGATATATATCGTTAAGAGTCATTTGGAAAATAGTAAGTAGTAAGCAAATAGCAAGCAAAAGAACGATGATTCCTTTGTAATAACAAACAATGTTTGTTCAAGTAAGATAAAGAAGCATCATCAAAAATGTAAAAAGTTCGATCAACGTAGAAATATATATATATATATATATATGTACAAAAAAATCCAAGTATCACCATTTGATAGCAGTAAGTGATATTAGTAAAAATACAAACTATATAAACAACTTACTTAGCTTATTAGCACTTGTAAAATTTGGTCATCAGAGAAATAATACTAAATAAAAAAGATTGATAGAAACAAGAAAAGAAAGCAAGCTTAAATGCACAAAAAATTAATGCAAAGACGGTGATTTTGTACTAGAACGCATGGACAATCGACTGTCTAAACGCCTAGCTCGTTGACCTTCAAGTATGAGTCGATATTTTTCTAAATCTCGTTCTAGATTCCCAAGGTTCTCTCGCTCTTCTTGAACCTCGTGCTCTGCTCTTTGCAAAGCTAACTTATAATGTGTTTCGGAAGCTTTTGTATCTTCTAGTTGGCTATTCAAAAGGCTATTCCGATCTTCCAGACGAGAAATGGATGCTGAGAGATTATGCTTTTCTTCATCATATTTTTGAAGACGAGCTTCTAGATGACGAATATTTCGATCTCGAAGCCTGCACTCATCAAGTCCCTTTATACGTTCATTATCCGCATCCGCAACAGAGCTCTCCAATTCTGCTATTTGTTTTTGAAGCATCCGAACATCTTTTGATGAACTTATTGGGTAGCTCTTAGCATCCAAATCAAATAGTCGAAGTTCTAATTCTTTCTTTTCGTTTTCTAAAACTCCAATTTGCCGATGTAAATTTAGATTTTCTTCACGGTGTAGATTACTATCTTTTTGCGTTTCAGAGGCAAAGAACTCCATTTGCTTCATTCTGTCCACAAGCGACGTTAACATTTCATCTTTTCGATCCATGCTCGCTCGTAAATCAGCTATTTCTCTCTCAGTATCAGCTAAGTCTGGTGAGTATTCAGACGATTTGCTATTGTTCAGTTGACTTGTCAACTCCTGTACGTTCTGTTCGAGAGTACGTTTTTCATTAAGCAAACTATTTTGTTCAGAACGAAGATGCTCATTCATTTCTCGGATTTCTTGCAGTTGCGACGTCAAATTAAGCAATTGTGATTGTACGGTTCGATGTGCCACTGAAGTATTGTTCTTTGCCTTATACATTGATTGAATTTCGGATTGCAAACGTGAAGTTTCTTTCACTAGACCTGTTTTTTCCAGAATTAGTTCATCAACCCTCGTTCTTAACTCTCCGACTTCTAAATGAACATGTCGATTATCTTGCCGTATTCGTAAGTTTTTCTCTCGTTCTTCTTCTAGTTGTACCTTAAATCCATTAAGCTCCTTTTGGTAACGCTGGAATAATAATTCATCTTTTCGTTCACGTTCCTCCAGATCTTGAACACGTACTGTATTAAATTCGTCAATTTGTTTCATCAATTTTTCTCTATGTTGCTTCAATTCTGATAAATCATTATTTTTTTCATGATATAGGCTTTCAAACTCTTTTTGCTTAGCATTTGACTCCAGTAGCGCCGTTTCCATCTTCTTATGAGTGTCCAATAGTTCAGTTATATATGTTTCTCTTTCGTTTAATCTGTTGGAAAGGGTTGTCTTAGCACGTTGTAGTTTGTGAATTGACGATTCGGAATTTTCATGGCGTAACTGATATTCACCAAGACGACTCCTATATTTAGAAAGAGCGCTTTCCAGCTTCCTCATCCGTAAAAGATTAACTTCTTCTAATTTCTGTTCATCAAGGCCATCTGGACTGTCAAACCCAAGTTCCTCTGTTTCATCGTTCATCATAAAGGAAGGCTTAGCCGGCATAGAGAAATTACGTAGCAAATGATCTCTTTCTTTAGTAGTCTCTTTGAGAGCTGAATCAGCCGAATGCAGCTTGTCTTCAGTAATATTGAGCAGTTTCAATAATGTCTCTTTGGATTGGCGTAGCTGATCAAAATGCCTTCTCAAATCACCTTGCAATCGAGCAGGAACTTCATTTAATAACTGTTCTTGCTCATCAGGGAAACTTTCAGTGCTTACATTCGCCGTCGCCGCAGCTTTCAATGCTCGATTTTCTTCTAGCAACGACTGCATTGCAGCAGTAACACCACTGTCAACAGAACTAGAATCCAAAATTCCACTTCGTTTTGCTTCTTCTAAATTAAAGTTGAGTTTCATAATTTCTGAGCGAAGATTGGTGGATTTTTGATTGCCATCCTCTTTACTAGGTTCAAATAATAAGGGAGTATTATTTTGATCAAAATTTCTTATAAGCGCCTCCATTTTTCCAGAACGCTTACTAGGAGAACCTTGGAGCATTTTAGTAAAGTTAGTGGAATCAAAATTATCAGTCTTAGAAGGCGATAACGGAAGTTCGAAATCTTTTCTCATTGATGATTTTCTCTTTATTGAATCTAAATGAGAAAACATCAAATTACGTTGAGGAGAACTTAAGTCAAACTCTGAGATTTGTTGCTGTAATGTATTAAGAAGCATCTCCAGATGGTACTTCTCAAAAGTTGAAGAGTTCATTGCTGAGGTAAGTAGATCAGTAATCTTCCGAAGGCTTTCATTTCCTGTACCCTTCGGAGGTTCGTTTTCTTTTGAAATTCCATGGTCATAATGTTCCTTTTCATGATTAACGAATGTTTCAAGCTTTGTCTTTAATTGTTCAACCCTTTTTCGCTCTTTATGTAATTGGGAGAATAACTCTGAAACTTTACATTCATAACGCGTTTTCACACTTTGTAAATCAATAAAGTCTGTTGCATTTTTTTCCAAAACATCATTAGTCTTTTGAAGATTCGCGTTCGCAGTATTCGCTTCAATAATCTCCCTATCCTGTTCTTGCAATTGATATTTCAAAGCTTCAACAATATCCGAGAGCTCATTATTTCTTGAACGCAGCTTATCTTCGGTAACCATGCTCTGCTCAAGTAGCTGAGTAACATCCTTTATCCTATCTGACAGTTGTGTTGCTTCTTTAGAATGTAAAGCCTTTAATTCTTGAACATCTTTTAATATCGAAAGAGTTGTCGAAGAAGACGAAAATGTATTTTCTTGACTATCAAGGGATAGTGCCTCCTCCTCAACAAGAATTTCTGATGAAGCACGCTTTTTTAAAGAATTAGCAAGTTGGTCTCTATATTCAGCAAGTTCCTTTTGAAACATCAAGATCTCAGATTCTTTCTTATTCAACTCGCTTTCAGTCCTAGAATAATTAGATACCAAATCAGCAATTTGAGATTCATATGTATTGCATTGACTTTTAAGATTGGAGTTTTCCGATTTTAAGTCATCCATTGCTGCGTTAAAAGAATTTTCTTTCCAAAGAATGTCTTCCTCTAGCTTGTTTTTGGTTTGTTTTAGTCCATCAGCTTTAGTTTGTACTTCTTCTATAGTTTTCCTTTGAGAATCTAACAATTGTGCATAGTGCTCATAATCTGCTTGTAAATTAATGTGAGATGATTCAAATTCTTTAAATTTTCTTTTCGTCTCTTCCTCTTCTGTAACAGCAAGATCTAACTTTTCTTGCAAAGTGGATATCGATTCTTGAAGATGATTCGTTAAAGACCTGTATTTTTCTAGCTGTTCCTCAGTCTCCTTCTTTTCATTGTACAATGCGGAATATTTTTCCTGGCTCAAGCGTAATTGCTCTACCAAATCCGAAACACGCTCGTTAATAACTTCAATTCTGGAATTGGCTCGCTCAACTAGAATCTCTTTCTCTTTTGAAATTAACTGTTCTTCACTCAATTCCTTCGAAATCTTCGAAATTCGCTGACGATTAGCCTCTAGTTCAACAGAAACAGACTCTGCTTTTTCCAATTGGACCTTAAGGTTATTGATGAGCGTATCCTTACGGCGTAGATATTCATCCGTTTGAGTTGTCCCCAGTAAAGGTTTTAAGTTTAAGAATAGATGCCACCAAGGCTGTTTCCTTAAGACTTTCAGTTGTCTTAAGTTATGCTGCAAAACTATAGCAGCGTCCTGACGATGATTTAACCGATAAAGACGCCGACGAACAAGAGATCCCCTTATTACAGAAGAAAACGCTTTAAAAATGTCTCGCAGTATCGCATTTCTTCGATCTTCCAGAAAACCAAGCACATTAGCCTTGAAAAAAACTTTCGTTTCGCCCAGTCTATATACGCTTGTAGACAAATCCAAATCTTTTATTATAGCAACCGTAGCCTCCTTCGCTTCTGTATAACCCTTTGCTAGTGTTTTAGATAGGATTCCGTATCTAGATCGAAACTCAGTGTACAACAACTTGTTAGGGAACCCTGTCTGGGCAATGCGAATTCCTTCCAAAACACCGTTACATCTTAGCTGGTGTAAAACTAGTGCTTTCTCAATATTCTTGGGCTTCTTTATGCTATTAGGGATAATACAGCGGACGAAATGAGGTTGAGTAGCTTCTAATTGCTTCATCAGAGTATTAAGTTGTCGTCTGTGTCTTTGGGAAACGGTACGGAAAATACCCTTTTTTTCATACTGGTCACCATTTAAAGTATTCCCTGAAGAATAATCAGCGAATAGGGAAGATACATGCATATTTGATGATTGAGATATCAGATTCGCGAGATTTGAATTGAGAGGATCTTTATTCTTTTCCAACCAGCCTTCTGTAGAATAAACTACGTTACCAGCATAATGTCGCAACAAAAATCCTTCAGATGAGAACCTTTTGGGACGATAAATGTTAGTTTTTCCTTTCAACAACAAATGTAGTTTTTCAGTAAAGGTGACGTCCGTGGTCATTGGCATAACACAATCTTCGTCTAAGCAAGAAAGGATACCAATCGGTTCAGACTTCTCAATTATATCTATAGTTGGTTGTAAGTCATTTCCATAATCAACAAAATTCCACTCAATTTTTTCCTGTGAATATTCCTCTTGTTCAAGGACAAACATGTAGTGATTAAAAAATTGCTGAAGTTTCTCGTTTGTGTAATTAATGCACAGTTGTTCAAAACTATTATGCGCGAATATTTCAAATCCTGCAATATCTAGGACGCCTATAAAGCAATTATTATCATTCTGAGTCTGGTACATTGTTCGGTTTAGCTTGTCGACTAAAAATGCAAAATTCCTTTCATACAAACTCTTTGCAAGTGATTGAAGAGTATGAAGAACCTGCTCCTTTGTACGTGCATTAACAATCCATTCCCTTCCCGCCTTTGTTTTTGGATGCAATACTGCATTTATAAAAGATTCAGCTGGTATACCTAACAAATGGCATAGTTGGTCAATGTGTGTCAATGACGGGAACCGTGCTTGGCCAGCACGATCAGAAGCAACCTCTATATTTCCCAGATGTAAAACAGCAGCAATTGCAATAAAAAGCTGCTTTGTGTCTTTAGAACTAAATCCAAGTGTAGTAAGGCCGGCACAAAGTTGTTGAAATTCAAGCGCATCGTCTACCCCTGAGATAAACTTCGCGCAATTTCTCAGATAAGTGTATTTGTCAACGGAACGTTCAAGAAATAATTCTCTTAGTAAATCACCATCACTACCACGCAACAACTGATAAAATATATGGTAATTCCGTTCATTAGGAGATGGATTTGTAACACGCGATTTCTCAAGTAGATACCAGTCGAGATTTGCACCAACAATGCTGCCATCAATGGAAAATTCAATGCGAATAAACTTTCCAAAGCGAGAAGAGTTATTGTTTCTTACTGTTTGGGCATTACCAAAGGCTTCCAGAACGGGATTGGTGTCTAGAATTTTGTTTTCCAGAAGTTGTGAATCGTTGGTAGATGTACCAGTAATTGCCGTAAGATATTGGATAACTTTCTTTGTGGTTTCGGTCTTACCTGCACCTGATTCACCAGTCACCAAAATTGATTGATCTTGCTCTCTCTCCAGTAAATTCCTGTAAGCAATATCTGCCACACGAAAGATATGAGGTTTGACTTCAGGTAATTGTTTAGCATGATACTTTTTTACCATATCATCGCCGTAAATTGGTAATGACCTATATGGATTCACCGCTACTAAAAAGAGACCGGAGTAGGTGTAGATTAAGTCTCGTTCGTACCTTTGAATTAGATTGTGAATAACTGAAGGTTCATTAAGACATGTCAATTCGGCCATATCGTTTACCATATCAAACTTTGGAGGATTAACTTCACCCGTAGAACCAGAATCCACAATTCGTTCGGTCCCATCTTTCTCTAATCGAACTCTGTATTGGGAACCTGAATTTAATTTTTCTTCGATCCATGCCTTCAAGTAAACTTCCTCTGGATCAGATATCCAAACCCAGCTTCGTTCGTCAAATGACGCCTTTTTTGCGGCGTTCTCGACTGTCTTTTCACTCACAATGTTTTCCATAGAATGCTTTGCATAGCCGGAATCATCTCTTGAATAATACGACATGAAATTAGAGGGATTCAAACATTGGCAATATTACACTGCACAACTTCGGTGCGCGTTCAGAAGTAAATATTTATAACGTTACCATGACAACCAATCTACACGTATGTACTGTAAATAAAAGGAATGTGAATAGAAGAGATAAATAAAATAGAACAATTCATTAAACAATAAACGAGAGTAAAAGTACATAACAGATTTTTTTTTTCATCGTCAATACATTTTGAATGACGAGAATAACAGGAATTAATGAAAGATTAAACATGTCTCTAGTCCAACCCATAAATAATTTACAAACAGAGTAGTAACAGGAACGAAGAGTAATGAATGTCCCACGCACAAAAAACAAATAAAGAAGAAAAGAAATCCTATATGCAGTTCTCGAAGCATCTATTTCTGCTAGAATCCTGAGTTTGTATTTTAGAATTCGCTACCAACGCAGAAATTGGAGGATTCTCACCTTCCTGAACGAAAAAATCCGGCTTTTCTAGGTAGTCATGGATTTCAGCATGCTTAAAATCAGCAAAAAGCTTCGCGACTTTCACACCATCCTTGGACAAAATATCCAAATTAACATCCAACCATCTGCGCAAAGCTTCAACCTGTATTGTACCAAGAGCTTCTCTTGAAATTCGGAGACTTGACATTTCAGATTCTGGCTCCATTGGACGCACTTTTCCATCACAAGAGATTCGAAGACGAACCATCTCGTTTAACGGATGAGAAAGTTCTCCTGTAATATGCTTGTTACGAGAAATAAAGCTGTTGTCTTCCTGCTTTAAACACCAATAAGAAAAATTGGCCATACGTCGGGCCATAATATGGGCTTCACTGACAAAAGGTAAAGCTGTTACAACATGACAGCAAGAATCGTATAGTTCTAACTGGACCTTTGTCTTTTCTCCATTATACACATCATTCGCCATTTTGTGTGCAAGATAAATAACTTCATCTCTAAGTCTTTCGGAAGCACCTCCCAAGACCAACGTTGGAGGAAGACCACCCAAGTTTTCCGTAAACAAAGGACTAATTACAGGATGGGTTAACAGATGGTTGGGAGCGTAAAATTGAATTTGGAACGGAAATGTATAGAAGAACTTCGAATCTAAACGATCCTGTGGATTTCTAAAGGATATTCGCCCGTTTTCCTTGCCAAATTTCCGGAACGCTGGCAAACTAGACTTTATTTTATCCATTTGATGTTGCATTCTTTCAGATATCATAGTGGTCAATTCTTCCTTTGTGAGATTCTTCATTGACGAAGTTGTACTAGCAAATAATGAATCCGCGTTTGCAACCGGCCAGCATCTGCTTGCACGATGATGAAATCCCTCGGGGGGTATATAATCAGTAGAAGAATCATCAAGTATTGAAGGAAGGCTGTGTGTTAAGTCAACCCATGGAGAATTCAAGACGGTGCCAGCAGGTAAAGGGATGTTACAATCTCGCATTAAAACCAATAGGGAAATAAGAAGACTGGCACCAGAGGAATCTCCAATAAATATAATGTTTTTCGGGTCATGATTTCGTATTAGGTATAAATAACTGGATAAGATGTCGTGTAAAGAGCAAGGAGCTGGGAACTGAGGCGCTAGACGTATTTCCGGAGCAAAAGTTCTCACTCCGAGAGCTGAAGTATGCTTTTGTATGTGATAAGCATTTGTTCGTACCGTGCTCAAGTAATGGGCACCACCGTGTACGTAAAAAATCACTTTTTCATTTTTAGGCAGGTGTTGCGCTGTTCGTCTTCTTTTAAACCACCATGATTTCAACGGGCTGTTACGATATAGCCACCAGCGAGAGCCTCCAAACGATTTTATTCCTTCGTTCCCTAAATATTTTCTGATATATCCAGCAGATTCATCTTCTGCCTGTACGTCTATTTGTACAGATCGGATTTTGTAATTGAGCTCATCGGCCATATTGGAGGAACAGAGATTTTGTACAGTTTCTACCGGGTAATTCCGAGAATCAATTAAAAATTCTCTAATAATAGATGTGGATAAACCCAGCATGAAAGTTTTCTTTCGACCATGTCTTAAGAACCGAAAACAATATTGAAAAGCTTTCAGTATCCCATCATTCAGGGACTTAAAAGCAAGCTGTTCCTTCTTGAACATTATTATTCATCGAAGATTGCTGATCAAAAAAAAATAGATAGGTCAATTCAAGCTAGAAAACCTTTAAGCATGAATGACAACTTGAACCAACAAAAGATATAGCTTGCTCTTACTGAAAGTAATAGATCTTTTGTAATTTTTCCCGTTAACAATATATATCTAAAATAATTCTTCGATAAGCTAAAATATGAGTATACCGCCAAAGGAGGTAATCTTGGGTAAAGTTGGGTAAAAACATCGATGTAAGTCAGTAAACACAGAGATGAAATAACTTGAACTCAACAAACAGTTTCGATTCTGGCTAATTCGTTTTGCTTTTCTATAGTTAAAAGTAATTTTTCGGCTACAATTTATCTTCTGTGATATAAGCTAAGTATATGTTATTTGATTCCATATAACAAGCAATCGGCTTTAACTCCTAGCAACCTAAAAATGAAAGAAAAAAAAAAAGATCGAGGAAGAAACAAGATGTTGATGTCTCCATAATTAGTTTAATTTATAGATTCATATTCAAAAAGAAGGTAAACGCACAGCTTAGTATATTAATCTGGTGAATAAAACAATGCAAAAACAAAATGAATAACCGTTTTGATCCCAATTAAAATGAAATTATACTACGTAAAAAAGCCTCCAAGTCATTAAAAAGCCCGGCTCACAAGCTCAGGAGTTTAAATCCCGCCTGAGAAGCCAAAGTAGTTCCTAAACCGGGAGCGATTCGACATTCAAAAGGAATAAAGGGATATTCTTCTCCGTCAAGGACAAAATAATGATGGCATCCAGTGTCTATGGGTGTAAAACGGAACGAACGGACCTTGTAATAAGATAAAAATTGGGAATCAAAGTGCCCACCAGTTTCGATATTCATAAACATGCTCAGCAGAGGCTTACGGAAAGGACTTGAGCGAACAATAACGATGTCGATTAATCCATCATCAATGTCGCATACAGGAAATGCCCGCATATCAGCAGCGACATACGGTAGAAGGCCAGCATAAAAAACCGAAAGGTCTTGAATGTCAAGAGTGACGCGGGATACATTTTGTTCATTATACATGGGAACATTCACTATACGGTCTGTTCTACCACCGTTTCTATTGACAGTAGCATGTTGTAAACGTTGAAGGTAAGTGTTGCGTATTTCATTTCGGTCGGACGAGACAACCTCCATCTCTACCTTGCATTTCCAACTAGGCTTTTGAAACAATCGAATAAGAAATCCAAGAATTGTTCGATTCTCACCCATAAACCGCAGGTTGTCTGTTCCTACATCACTATCGGCTATAATACCGTAGTTTGCAGAAAGAAATGAATACGATATGTCTCCCTTTTGATCGAAAGTCATCAAGTCAAACGACTTTTTAACACCCTTTACTATTTCAAGGGCCACTAAAGCTGGGTGTGTTTCCTGAGTGGCATTATAACTAAAAGCATTACCCGTTCCACCAGGAATCATACAGAGAGGAGTTTCAAATGCAGCATTATTGTCCTTTCTATCACCTAGACCGTTTAAGCATTCATGAAAGAGTCCATCACCACCAACACAGATAATGGCATCCAAGCTGTTCAGGTCGATATTGGCAATAATGCTTCTAGCATGATTCTTGTATTCTGTGAAAACAATTCGACATTCTAAATGAGCCGTTTGAAATATAGGAGATGCAATCTGTTGCCAAATTTTACTTGCCTTCCCTTGTCCGCCGAATGGATTGACGAGAACAAAAAACCGTTTAAAGCCATGTGTACCTACAATGTGTTAGCCAAATGTCGTTTACGATGAAGTATTGAATCGATTCAAAATCATTTCTTTTAATTATCTTACCGGTATAAGCTCTTTCCGTTAAGTATCGCTCAAATTCATATGCATTGCTCAAAGAACATACAGTACAATGAGCGCATTTCTTGCTAGTTGGTGAAAGATAATGAAGGATTGCAGCTTGAGGATCAGCAATGTCCACTCTCAAAAGGTATTTCAACGGCAGCAGTAAATCAGGTTTGAGCTCTATAATGTTTCACATTAGTCAAGCTCGTTACAATACTTATGCATAACCATATAATTAATTAAAATTAATTCAATTTGCATAAATAAAATTTTTTTTCATACCTTTCAGTGAGCAGCAACTCCTTAAATCAGTAGGAAGTACAACACATGCCTTATCAACATATAGTATCCGTTCTTCTTCATCTAATCTGATGGAATTTACCCTTTTGCCAAATTCCATAGTTATCCAAACGATTGTTTGACAATTATGAGCGTAAAAGAAGGAAAGGAGTGAAGGAATGGGCTTGTTTTTGGAAGGTTATTCCAAAAAGAAAATAAAGCGGATCAAGATGTGTTCGTTTATAATATCAAATAATGTTCAAATAAACAAAGAAGTAACACATATATAATTTTAATTAGGTTCTTTTTTATAAAAGAAAATATATGAATATACTGTTAATGTTTTTCTGAAAAAAAAACATTTGAATATGAACCTTTCGTTTAGATAATTTAATAATTCAGTTCGGTTCAAAATTCAATGGTCGAAGTCACAGGAGACCAATTATTAACATTACAACTAAAAAAAGAATTTTATTTTACTAACAGTAAGTTTCTTGACTTAAACTTTGAATCATTGCAAGTAGCTCCTCTCTATGTTGTTTATTTCTTGCTTTGACTGACAGTGGTGCTTTTGTATAACCAGCAGACTTAGCTACAAGATCAAGTTTTTCCACCTTCTTTTGTAATTCCATTATTTTTCTTTCCAATTTTGGGAGATTTCGATGCATCATTTTGTCTGGTAACATTAGCATAGTGTCAGTAGAAACCATGAACTGAACAAATGTAGTCGTAGAATTTCCTAAATCATTGTTTAATTGCATCTATAAGTTAGATATCTGTCCTCAGGAGAAAAAGATCAAGATCACGTACCTTAATTTGATATCCCGTCAATAATGCGATCATTTCGCAGAACTTGTCCAAACTCCCTTTGCGTGTAATTATATACACAGGTAATTCAGGGGCTTTCGATAACTGCCTATTTATTTTTAAGCTTCTTAAATAATAAATAATTTTCATCGTCTCTTTAACAACATCATTAGCGTGAGCTACCTCTTCAGAAGTTAGTTTTCCTTCGTCCACGAAAGGATAGTCAATGTTATGCAATGGCCCTTTAGGTACATAATTCAGATGTTCCCACAGTACCTATATATTCATTAGTAAGTGCTAGTAAATACTCGCATACGTCTGTTAAGCATGGTATTACTGGATGAGCCAACCGCAAAAACACATTCATGATATCGCGGAAATGTTGCAAAACTAAATCTCGACCTTCAGGATGTTTTAAAATAAGACGTGTAACATCAACATATTCAACTGACAAATCGGTCAGTAGAAATTTTTCTAAAGTCTCTGAAACCTTAAATAGAGAACGATTCTCAAAGTTTTCCCGACAGCTTTTAACAGTTAGATGTAGTCGATAATCAAAAGCGTCTTTAATTATCTGGAATCTCTCGGATACTTCAATCGGAGCATCATTATTAATCAAAGAAGAGTCATATTGACTGAAATACCGCATTAAGTTCCAAATTTTAGATAAAAATTTGTAAGAATTGGAAAAGCTTTCCATGTCTAATAAAATTCTTTGATTATGATGCAAAGAAAGACAAAGACCGAAACGCAAAGCATCTAAACCCTGGGCACGGATACCATTTGGAAAAGACTTTTTCAAATGAGCCAAGGATTTCCCCATCTCTGACTTTGAAAAGCTTCCTTCTAAAAGCTTTTCTTCAAGCTTCTCAAAGGAAACACCGTATATTATATCCATGGGGTCAATGACATTTCCTAAAGATTTTGACATCTTTCTCCCTTCAGAGTCCCGGATGAGAGGATGCAAGATAACTTCTCGGAAGGGAAGAACGTTTGTAAAATAAGAACACATCAAAGCCATTCTTGCAATCCAAAAAAATATAATATCTTTACCGCTTTCTATGAATGGCAAGGCGGAAACATTCTTCTCACAAGGCCATCCAAATGATGACAACGGAAGTAAAGAAGAAGAGAACCAAGTATCCAGGACATCAGAGTCTTGCTCTACAGAAGCTCCATTGGACTTCCGAACAGCTTCTTCTTGGGATTCAGCCGCTACCCATTTTTCTCCGTCAGAGGTTTCATATTTCCAAACGGGAATTCGGTGACCCCATTGGATTTGACGAGAAAGACACCAATCTTGCATATTTTCCAGCCATCGATACCAATCATCTTTGGTCGAGGAAGGGAAAAACTTTAGATCTTGTTCTTTAGTCAAATTTAAAACTCGTTCTCGAAGAGAATCTACGGACAAATACCACTGAGGAACCATAATAGGTTCAATAACATCTCCTGTTCGTGAACAGACAGATAAAACATAAGAGTGAGGAATTTCTTTAACTAAAGCTTTAGTGTCTCTTAACATTTGGACTACTTTAGGGCGCGCACATAAACGATCCATTCCATCTAGTTCATTGGAGCAATTGACTAATCGGCCTTTAGGGTCTAAAATAGTAGCCATCGGTATGTTGTGTCTTTTTGCTATATCATAATCAACGGAGCTGTGACTTGGAGTAATCTTTAAAGCGCCTGTATAAAAATTTGGATCGACGGCATCATCTTCCACGATAGGAAGAACAAGGTCAGGACGAAGTGGATGTCGTACAAATTTTCCAATAAATTGTTGATATCTTGGGTCATGTGGATTAACAGCAATCGCACGGTCCCCGAAAACTGTTTCGGGGCGAGTTGTCGAAACAATGATGGACTTGTTGCACGAGTCAACTAAGGGATAAGCAATCTGATACATATATCCAAAATCAACAGCAACTCCATTAATCAATTTAGTTACAGGATCGGAAATCAATTGTGATTCCACTTCCATTTCTGAAATAGCACTTGCCAATTTAGGACACCAATTAACAAAGCGATTAGCTCGATATATGTAACCGGAATCAAATAACTCTATGAACGCTTTAGAAACAGAACTGGTTCTTTTTTGATCTAATGTGTAAAATTCATTTTTCCAATCAAATAAAGCACCAAATGCTTCAAGCTGTTTTCGAATTCTACATTGATACTGTTGCTCCCAATCTCGAACTTGAAGCATGAATTCCGATTCAGTAAGGTTAGATTTTTTAATTCCTTTTTTATTCAAATATTTTTCCACTGCAGACTGAGTTGCAATTCCAGCATGATCGGTGCCTGGGCGAAAAGAGACTTTGTAGCCATTCATGGAATAATATCTTGCTAGAGCATCTTGAATGGTAATGGTGAGCGCGTGTCCAATATGTAACTTTCCCGTGATGTTCGGTGGTGGAAGAAGGATAGGAAATAGGGGAGCATCGCTGTTTATGTTGAGTTTGGAACGGGAATGCTCAACGCGAGAAACATTCTGCTGTAGCTCATGCCATGCAGTTTCAATGTGGATCTAAAAAAAAGAATTTCGTTAGAAAAGGATCTTGAAAATTGCCTTATGAAACGTACAGGTTGGAACGAAGCTTGGGTGTTGAAGCAGCGACAAAATGAATACGGCTTCCCTAAACCGGCGACTCTAGGTTGAATGTATAACAGGGAATAGAAACGCATGCAAACAAACAGGGGATATACGATGAGAATTGCAAGAAATAAAAGAGAGAAAAGATTAAAAAAGCAAACAAAATCCAAGTCGATAAGGTCAACCAAGACTAGTGGATATCAATACTTTAAGCTTAGATAATAAAGGGCTTTTCAAGAGTGTACAACAAGATTCTAGGTAATAGATCCATAAAACAAGAAAGAGAATTTAATCGTGCTTTTTGAAGAAGAGTATCTCAGTAAATAAACCCATAAAAGCGAAAACAATCGCTTTCAATGAGGAGGGAGCTGGACGAGTACAATGCTTTTAAACAGATGAGACAATTTAGCAAAACGAATTCAGGAACGTAGTAAACAGTATTTCAGAAATCCAGCAATCTAAGTAAACAGTGGTTAAAGGTAGTCAAAAATATCAAAAAAGACAGTAGTAATAACTTTTAAAAAACAGGATCCGCTATTCTATTTGACAAAAAACTAAGGTCCTTCTTTCGGGAAAAGAAAAAAAAAATGGGTTTTCTCTCAATGTCGCAGTGTCATCCTTGTGCAGGGGCCATGCTCTAAACAACGAGTTAGTATGACTCGAACCTTGGTCGTCTGGGGTGTACTTACAATCTTCTCTGTATCGTTTCAATTTGACCAAAGTGATCCGAAGATCACCTGTTTAATTAAATTACTATATTTATATTGTAAAAACACAAACTTGGTTAAAAGTACCAAAGACCAATAAATCTTTTATTATTTACAAGACAAAGAGGAAATTATGTAGAAAACATATTAGCATTCTAGAAGTTTTTCATTTTAATATTTTATAAAAGAAAAAGGGTCTGCGCACTACAGAAAGATTTACAACAAAGGGAATCCTTAACAATATAGAAATTACTTCAGTACTTATCAAACATGATGAACAAGGACTAGAAAAGTAATAATCTTATATAATGACTTTTTTTATATACTCTATTCAATAGGAGAGTCAGACTCTTGAACCTCTCCTCGCTCGGGAGGTGATCTTTCTCGGTCATGAAATGAAGGACGACGAGAACGATAATATCTTTCATCTCTTGTGTATGATCGGCTTTTTGGTGAAGGAGATCGAGAAATGGAACGTGAATGAGCATGGCGACGAGAGCGATAATATCTTTCATCTCTTGTGTCTGATCGGCTTTTTGGTGAAGGAGATCGAGAAATGGAACGTGAATGAGCATGGCGACGAGGCCGATACGACGAGTAGCTATCATATTCCTTCCTTCTTGAGCGCTCTGAATAACGAGGATTTCGTTCATGTTCATAGTCCCTTTCCACGTCTTCCGAGTATCGGTCTCTTCCACGATAGTACGAATCTCTATGTCTTCGATTGTGAGATCTTCCTGTAGACATAGGACTAATATCTCTTCTACTTTCTAGTCTACCCGTATAAGTTTGATTCTTCCTTTCGTTTCCAAAATAATCATCTCGGCTACGTGAACCTGAAGGCTTATCCTCATCGTGCATCAGAGACTCGAAGTTGTTTTTCTCATGATACCGGTCCTCTTGTTCAGCTTCTTTCCATAATTTTTCACGATATTCTTGTACTAATGGCTCGATCGTTTCTTCCCTCTTTTCTCCCTCTTCCTCTTCTTCTGTCTTTTCTCTCTCTCTTACCTCTTCCTCCGGATACCGAGCTTGTTGGGACTCCGTATGTGCTAGCAACTCTTCTCGAAACAACAACACCTTCGATTCAATTTGCCGCCGACGCTCATGTTTACTAATTTCTGGATTGATTTTTCGTTTCGTTAACGATTTTTCATCAAATTCGTGCATCTTTTTGGTTCCAGTATCATTATATCGCTTTACGTGGGATAAATTACGCATCACATAGCCATTTGTCCCAGACCCACGGGGAGTTTGCAATCCAATTCCATTGTATGACTAAGTATTAGTTAGTGCTTTGCTTCTTTCCCCATTTGGGTGCTTTTCCAACAACCTCCGTTTTTCTCACTTACCATTTTAGGCTGCTTCTAAAATCGTTCGATACAAGTGTATCCTTCCTTAACTTAACCAGGGAATCCTATAAGCAATTCTTTTTATTCGCAAGTACAAAGACTTCAAGTTCTTCAAAACGTGGATTTTGAAGTGCAACCTTTTACGACAGAGTCAAAATTCTTTGTGATATATAATTCCTAGGAAACGTTCTCCCTTTGACAAAGCTATTCTTTATGAATTATTAATAAAAACTTGTCTTCGTTCGCTAATCTTTCCCTTGGTTTACACTCTTAGTTTTATTCCGACTTAACTTGAATTTCTTTGAGGCCCTTCTTGGTACTTGATGAACATGAACATTTATGTACAACGAGATGATGGTAAGTTTTGTAAAAGAACTTTCAGAGCTATGGAAACAATTCTTTGTCTTTCCGTAACTTCGTTACCGGATCTCACTACAATACGCAAGACTATGTTTAACATCGTTATTCCCTTTTCCAGTATAATATATATAATATATGTTTGCAGGAAAAGGAAGAGCGTGTGGATCGTAGAGGAGAAATGTGAATGTTCATTCTTTTCTTTTATTTTTTATCTTTACTAACTAGTCCTAGTTACTCTGGCTGAAATCCATCGGTTTCTTGTCTATATTGAAACCAATGACACTGTGGAGCACTCACCCGGAGAAGAAAATGCAAAGAATGGAAACCTTCAGCCAACATCTTCATCTCTTTTAGGTCTTCGTAGTGGCACGTCGGACCCCGACTCGAACAAGAAACCCGACAAAGAGAATAAGCCTTCCATTTCAAGCTCCGTTCATTCTTCCTTAAAGTCTTCTTCCCTAGCCCCGGAACGATATTCTGCTTTACCAAGTACCGCTCATCAATTATCTAGTGGATCCGAAGACGGGAATCGTACAACCCAGCCTAGTGATCTGTCACCATCAAAGATTGCAACCAATACCAAAAGCATGCAACAAAGCACTCCTATATCCGAAAATGAAATACCATACTCCGTTCGTAGCTCTTCTACCACTGATCATACAGTTCCTCTGAGCCGATCCCCCGCTTCAGTTATCTGGGTACGTGTTAAAAATAAAGAACCTCGATTTCGAAAAGCTTCATACCTCCAAGGTCCTTTTAGTTTATGTGTAAGTGTATGGAATGACTCATTTTGTTCTGAAGAAAATTCTCTTTTAAGCTTTGAACCGCAGGTACAACCATCCTCTAGTTTCTGGGTCTGTATTCCTTATGCGTGCTACTCCAATAAAAACCCGATACACATTGAAGTTGCTAGTCAGGCCATTTTTAGAGATTGCCGTGTTAGTTTTGAATTAGCCATTGCATCCACACAGCAATCCATTCGTGCTATGTCGGCTGCCGATGTGGATACCTTGCATGCGTTCCCATCGCTTCATATTGAACACACCAGTCCTTCTGGTTTATGGAAAATACCTCCCGTTTCTTTTCACGCAGAAAAGTCGCATTTGGTAGTCTTAACTCACGGAATGCACTCTAACATTGGTGCCGACATGGAATATTTGAAAGAGCAGATTATAAAAGCCGCTGAGGAGAAGGGTGAACTTGTAGTCGTACGAGGATACAGAGGGAATTACTGTCAAACAGAGAAAGGTATCCGATGGCTTGGGAAAAGACTCGCTGAATGGCTCCTCGAAATACTTGGTTGGGGAACAAATTCTTTTCCTAGGTATTCTCATATTTCTTTTATCGGGCATTCCTTGGGAGGTCTAGTTCAAACGTATGCAGCAGGATATGTACATGCTAAAACAAAGGGTCGCTTTTTCCAAGCCGTTCATCCTGTTCATTTCGTCACGTTAGCCACTCCTTGGCTCGGAGTTGCAGCTGAACATCCATTTTACGTTGGAAAGGCATTATCTTATGGCATCATTGGTCGTACTGGCCAGGATCTAGCTTTAATGTCTGGGGCTCATCCCATTGAGCGAAGACCATTTTTAGTCGTGATGTCTGATCCCGCTTCTCCTTTTCACCAGGCACTCTCGCTGTTTGAACATCGAACACTTTTTGCCAATACTACAAATGACTACATTGTTCCATATGGTACCAGTGCTATGAAACCTAATTCCTTGGGTCAATTGGATGAAGCTATAGAAAATCGAAAGAACACGTTGTCTGGTTGGTCGCATGATCATCTGGATATCCCTTCTGCCAACAAACCTGCGGGCGCTATGCAGTATCCTAACACTACTTCTGAAGGACATCACCATTCTGGAGATATCCCTGCTTCCGAAGATTCGTCGAAAACAAAGAGCTCTTCATTTTCAAATGCTTTTAAAGCATTAGCAGGACTATTTAGTACACCCTCGTCCCAACATTCCCTCCCTAATGATGCAGCTAATGAATTATCAGCTGTTCAGAATTCAAAAAGCTCAAAGGTAGAAAATAAGCCAGCAGAAGATACGAATGATTTAACCCCGGCTTATTCATATCCTACAAAAAAATCTAAATCCACGAGTACTTTATCAGGAATAGCTAACCGTTTAATTAATACTGTTACGAATTTGCTTATTCCTGCTGTTCCCTCTTCCTTGTATTTTTTAAAGTTCAAGTCTTTAAACGCTATAGTTTCCGATGAAACATGCGAAGCTATGAGCGTTGACAGCCCCGATATTGACCCATGCTTAACGAATGATTGTAATCCATCAAAAATGGCAGAAAATTTCTTACACAATGAAAAGATTATATCTTCTAATTGGCATCGACAACCATGGAGAAAGGTATCCGTCCATTTAGATGGTGATGCTCACAATAGTCTTTTTGTTCGACGGCGATTTCCTAACGCTTACGGTTGGACATCCGTTGGGCACCTAATGGATATTTTATTTCAAAAAAACAATTTGGAAACATATAGCGACAGCATTCAATTCGATGAATTGACAACAGCTGCCTGGTTACCAGAAATTTATGAAGAACATGAGATAATTTAATACATTTATTTATTTTAATTCTACTATGCTTAGAATGCTAATTTGTTTACCGACCAAATTTGCTTAATATGTGTAACGGGTATTAAATTACATTGACTAAACGATATATGCTCTAAATGCAATATAAAATGGCAAAAAAGAAAGTGTCTAGATTCAAGGTAGATAAAGTTTTTTCAAGTACATGGGTATATATCATCGTAGGTAAACTACTTTTGAGCAATAGCAACACTAACGCTTTGGACATCATCATGAGAAATGCTGACAGAGACACTCTTAACACCAGCAGCACTAGCGGCCTCTGCTGCTTCACCATGTAATACAACCTCAGGAGCTCCAGTCGAGGAAACGACAATTTCAATTTCCTTCAATGCACAACCAGCACCCTTGCTAACGACGCCAAGAGACTTGAAAACAGCCTCTTTAGCAGACCAACGACCGGCGAAGCTAGATTGAGGACTAGCTGCAGCCTCACAGTACGAACGCTCGGCATCAGTGAAATTTCTTTCGAGGAAAGTTTCATTTTCCACGTTTATCGATGAAATAAGCTCTACATCAACACCAACGTTCTGGTTTGACTTCGTCATGTTACTAGCCAAAGATTCAATAGCCTTGGTAGTTTCATTGGATTTGGAAATTTCAGCCTCAACCGGAAGGGAAGTAGGGAAAGTATATGATCCGTCCTTACCCTTGACAACACGAGCAAGAGGGTTAAGATATACATCATGTTCTTGGTCAGCGGTATAAGGAGGGGCAGTCTTGGCACGAACAAGGTTATTATAAACCAAAGCGTCGTGAGTATAACGATAAGAAGCCTTGTAACGGTCCAAAGTTTTAGCAACATAACTCTCATAAGTTGACTTATCTAAAGTGGCGTAAAGATAATCAGGGTGAATTGCAATAACCTGACCACCCACTTGCCCGAAACCGAAAGCGCAAACGGAAGCAGCCTTAATACCGTCCGTTTGAATACCCTCACTAGGGAACATAACACGATCGAACTTAGACAAGTATTGATCAATGTTATCAGCGTTACGATTACCAGGAACATAGCCACTGTTAAGAATTTGCAAGACACCATTAAGCATCCAAGCGCCAGCACCACCCTTGCTATGACCAGTAAGGTATTTTTGGAAGACACCATAGACGGCATTACCCTTTGAGCGACCAAGGTGGGTTAATTGACTGTTAATAACATCACATTCATTCTTCTCGTTGGCAACAGTAGAAGTACCATGGAATGAAGCGACACCCAAATCATCAATAGTAAGACCCCAAACAGCCAAAGCACCGCGAAGAGGAGCAATAGTAGGATCACGCTTGTAAAATTCATTGCCAAAAGTATTAAGAGCTTCCTTCTCTTGACGAGCGACTTCTTCCTTGATAACATTAATGCGCTCTGTACGATAAACGTCGACTTCCAGTTCAGGATCTTGAACCTTCATGGCTTCAAGTTCCTCATCCAGATAAAGATATTCGCGCTCAGCCCAATCACCAATTTGTTGACGACGACGCTGGAGTTGACGAGAACGGAATTTAATGTCAAGGAGAGGCAAAGGAACCTTAGAAGCAACCTCACGAGCACCGGTCAAGATACCCTTACCAGGAGCAGGAATTGAGCGACCTTGCTTGTCCATTGCAGTATTAACAAGACCAACGATACCATGAATAGGAACACCCATTTCGATAGCGAGTTTAGCTTGCATGATAATTTGGATACCAGCACCCTGAGATTCCATGAAACCATTACGGGTAGTGGTGGCAGGTCTAGACATTTCTTGAGGTGTACGTCCGCGCTTAGTTTCTTCAGCGGCATTAACAGTTGCACCCATATTAGCAAATTCATATGATCCTTCTTCAGAGAAGTCATCAAAACCACCGCTGATACAGATACGAGCCTTACCGGAAGTAATCAAATCGACAGCTGCATCAACGGATTCAACAGCGGTGGCACAAGCACCAACGGGAGTTTTAATAGGGCCAGAGGCAGAAAGCAAAAGCATGTTGATCCAAGCGTTAGCAGTGTTGATGAAAGATTCTTGCAAAATGTCCTTCTGAACTGGCTTATCGGTCCAACGATCCTTATACATACCACGTAAAGCAGACATACCACCAATACCTGAGCCAATGGTGTTACCAAGCTCGGAGACATGAATGTATTTATAACATTCATAAGGATCGGTAATACCGGAAGAAATAAGAGCTTCAACGGTAGAAACCAAAACGTACAAAGTGGTAGGGTCAACTTGGGAGATAATGTCGTCAGGAATACCGAAACGCTTAGGATCCCAACCTAATGGAATTTGACCAGCTACAAATCTATCAAAACGAAGAGCCTTAGGTACCAACATAGTAGTACCGCGCTTGAAACGGACAGACCAGTCACTGGAGTCAGGAATCTCAAAAATTTCGACGTTGTCGTTGTGACGAAGTTTGAATTCATGAGCAGCTTCCTTAGATGCCTCAAAAGGTTCAAGGTCGTGATCAATGACCACTTCCTGGAGCAATTCCTTTTTATCAGGGTTGTATCCTCTGAAGAGTTCAGGCTCAATAATACGGATACCGCAATGCTCCAAGATGTACTTTTCGTACTTGCCTTTAACGTCTTTATCATCAACAGGCTCGCCAGTCTTGGAATCAATCCAGCCAGAATAAGGTTTACCATTCTTACCAACACCGTTGAAATTCTTGATGAGACCCATAATCCAAGCGATTTCTATGCAACCTTCCAAAGAAAATTCACCATAACATTCCATATCCCATCTAGTACGAGAGTTACCCCATGGTCCAACCTCAGAGAAACCGGTTACAACGGCAACATTTTCTAAATCAACCATATTACGAAGATCAGAAAGATGAGAAAGAGCTTCATATGATTTAAGCTTGGGAAATTCAAACTTGAGGTTAGCTCTGGGCTGAACAGTAGTCTTCTGGTAAATTCTGTCAGAACCAGGACCGTTAGTAATCTTATGGTCGAAAGCAGCCTCAGCAGCCACAGCGCGACGGACTTCAGCCGTTTCCAAAAGCTCCCCACGTAGGCGAGTACTAAGGTCCTTAAGATCAGGAAGAAGCTCAAGACCACCGTTAAGGTTGGCATAAACAGGTTCGGTTTGGCAAAGATCGACAATCTTCTGGGACATCAAACCCAAAATGTTGAAGGCCATCTCAGTTTGAGAGAAGGTACGAACACCGTACTTTTCAATACCTTGAGAAACAATGTTGTTAGGTGCCATCAAACCAGTACCACGAGTCCAGCCAATGACAGCACCACAAATGGTCAAGTAGTTAGCCCAAGACTCAGAATACCAACGGTTGAAAAGAGTTTCCAAGCCAAGCTTAGATTCGGAATAAAGACCGTCATTACCAAATGTACCATGATTAGGAGAAAGAGGAAGGATAACTTGGGCAGGACGAGTGTCCATACCGCGAACTTCCTTTTGTTGTTTGACAGCACCCAATAATCTAAGGATATTAGTAAGCATGATACGGTGAGAGAATTCAGAGCGAGAGTCGATGTTGTCAATTTCGCGACCATTTTCGGGAACAGCAGCAAAAGGAACAATGAAGTCTAAATTCCATCCGAGACCATTCTTTTCATCGTAGATATAATCGACAAGAGCCTCAACATCTTGTTTTGAAGCTTGGTTGAATGGAACGACAATTAAAGCAGAACCGCGACTTCCATGACGAGTAAACATGGATTGATAAAACTCAGTAACCTTGCGAGAAAAGCGAGAAGTGGTAACAACTACCTTAGCACCACCTGCAATAAGACCTTCAACGAGTTGAGCACCAATAGAACCAGCTCCAGCTCCGGTGACAAGAGCATACTTTCCTTGGTAAGTGATACCATTTCTGGCACCATTTTCCAAGACGTCTAAATAAACAGAGGTTAAACTCTTACTGAATTCAAAGGCATCGCTAGATTTTCTCTTGAGATGCAAGAATGGAATAGTTTCCTTTACAGGAGTAGCTTCGTCGGAAGAAGGCAATGGAAGGTTAAGTGCATGAAGAACTTGTCCATAAAGTTGCTTAATTTGCAACTTGGAAGAACGGGACATCTTGTTTTGGTCCTTAATAATGCGGTAGATGTGAGCCAAGTCATTTTGAACCTTAGCGGTATTCTTAGATTCAGCTGGAAGCTTTCCACCCTTGGCCATCTCGGTTACATAGTGGGTAAGCTTACGAACACCAGCTCTGGGTATTTCTTCGTAGTTCAAATTACCACGTTCATCAATAGTAGTTGAGGGTGCCGTAGGGTGATCAACATTCTTATAAACAGGTGGAGACTCTAGTACACCTTTGCAATTGTCAATAAGTTGTTGACCCAAAGTCTTGGCAAGCTGATAAGTCTCGCCATTTTGAGTGGGACAATGATCGATATGGTATTGCATAAATTCAAGTAAAAGGGGATTAGAACGATTCATTATAGATATACAACGAGCGACAATTTCGGTATCAACATGCTTAAGACGACCAAAAATAATATCGAAAAACATTTTAAGAGCATCCTGACGAGCCCAGTTCCAGTCAGAATCGTAAACACGAGCCTTTAAGGAAGAGAAAATGGGAGCAATACCAGAAGCATAAAACTCACCGTGCTCAAGGTTCCAGAGATCCAATTGTGCACGTAAAGCGTCAGAAACAGCTCTCTCGGCAACATTAGCTTTATCGCCGGCACGCAAATCCTTGTTAAGATAGCGAGCAAATAATTCCAATTGTTGGGTGACAAGCATAGTATTTCCCTTCGTAAGCTTCTTGAAAGTTTCTTCATCAATAACGGCTGATGAACCACCAGATGAAGAACCTTGAGTGCTTGGGGCAGAGAGTGTAACACCAGCACGAGAAGCGTATTTTTGAGACACAGAGTCAAGCCAGGCTTTGGCATCTGCCTCTGATGGGAGACGAGAAGCAGGTTCCATTGTCAAACCTAACAAAAGAACTGACTCAGTACGTCCAGTGCCAAGACCAAAACGAGAACTCAAGTAACCGCGAACGGCAGAATTGTTGAAGCCACCGGGCATCTTGGATGAAACCATACGAGAAATCAAGGAGTTTGATTGCTTTCCAAGAGAGCCGCTGAAAGTCATTTGTAAGACACCAGCAAGCTCGTCCAAAGGAACTTCTTCTGGCTTTTCTGGTGTAGCACCAAACTCTTTTTGCAAATCACCTAAGATTTCGTTTTGGAGAGTAGACTTACCGCCAACCAAATCTTTGATAGATTTTTGCAAAGATATTTCTTCAATGCTCTTCTTGAGCTTTTGTGCAACAAGAGAATGGAGAACTTCGACAGCCTTCGGGGGTTCATCAGGCAATTCGACTGCTGGGCCAGAAGCAGCGGCAGGAGCAGGTGCGGGAGCAGGTGCAGCTGCTGGGGCGGCGGCTGGGGCAGGAGCAGCCGCTGGAGCGGCTCCAGTTTCGGCAGGCTTAGCAGGAGCAGGCTCATCGGGCATCTCATCTTCGAAATTGTAGTAAATTTCGCGACCGTCCTTTGCATAACACAAGACTTCACGATTGATACTTAAAGCAGCATCCATATTTTCATATTTCAACTTCAACGTGCGTCTAGCCATACCGGAAAGGGTAGGGCTGGGGCCAATTTCGACCAAACGCTCTGCTGATACGGGAGGGGAGAGGATAACATCTTGAGTCTCAATCCATCGCACAGGAGATGCAAATTGGTAAGCCAGAAGCTCCAGCAATAATGTGTGAGCAAGCTCTTGCTCAACTTCAGGTCTCATTCTAAATTAAAAGTGTTGTTCTAGGAAGGAATAGGGGCAACCGGAAATTGGTTGTTGGTACTGGAGAAATCCAAGTTCAGCACGCGTCCGCGTGGGAATTATAAGGCATCGAGTAACATTCCAGGTAACAATATCGCAAATAAAAGATTTAAGACGATCATGATTGAGATCCGTAAATAAAAAAATTACAAAAAGAATGGTTATTTTTTAGTATATTAGGGATTGAATAGACTATGTGAATTGCTTATTTATTTATTCGACATGGAGCCTCATAAAGAAGCTCACTTTTGTAAGCTTAGGTCTGATTTTTTTCTTGAAATGGGTGGCCAAAACATCTAATTCATTGACTTTCTAATATCTAAAAAGTATTTTCAATAGCATGCTTTGTTTTATAAATAGTCCACTCATCTCTATGTTTGGCACTATTTCATTGAAGCATCTAGAAACGATGCTTATATGATCATAATATATTAACTTTAAAACGATGAGACACAAGGAAAAAGGCATATCCTTAGTAGGTGGCGACAGTCTTACAGTAGACCGAAAATATAAACGACGAAAAGAAAAAAAAAACTCAAGTAGTAATTACCGTGTGGGTGTAGCATCAATTTGAAGAAGCTTAGGTAAACAAAGTCGAATTTTGTTTCTATATAGAGCAGGATTCGATTTCTGAAGTGGATTGCCTTCAAAGTAGACGGTCTCAAGTTTCTCTAATCCACCGAGTTCGTCCTCAATTTCCTGGAACGAATCAAACTCATTGTTACTTGCCCAGAATTCTTGCAAATTTTTCAATCCTTTCAAATGAGAAAGATGCTTAATATAGTTATTAGAGACATCAAGCACTTCTAAGTTTTCCAGAGCTTCAATGCCTTCAAAAGATGTAAGACCGTTGTGTGAAATGTACAACTCACGAAGACAATGAGATAAACAATTTAAATTCTCAAACCTGGTGATTCTATTGGCCTGAATTGATAAAAGAGAAAGTCGCTGAAGGTTTTCCAGGTTTTCCAACTTGGTAATCTTATTTTTACCAAGCCAAAGCTTTTCTATGTTTGTTAACGTGTCTAAGTTTTCAATATTACGAATGTTATTTCCACCCAATTCCAGATTCTCGAGCTTAGTTAATCCCTCCAAGTTTTCGATTTTGCGAATTCGGTTCTGAACGAAATATAAATTTTCTAGCTCTTTCAAATGGTTTACATTTTCAATTTTTTTTATATTATTGAATGACAAATCGAGATTCTTTAGGTGAACTTGCTCGTCCAAGTTTTCAATGTGACGAAGCAGATTGTCGTATAAATCTAATTCCGTAAGAGTCTTTGGTAAACATTCAATTTTCCTTATTTGGTTTTGTCTGAGACATAGACTGTCAAGTTGATGGAATCTTTCGAGTCCTAAGGCTTTAATACTGGTGATTCTCGATTGCACCAAATCAATCACCTACTCAGTTTGGTCGTTAGTAGTCGGAAGTAATAATATAAAAAGAAAAAAAAATACCAAATGGTCATACCTCTATATCATCAGGAAAGTCCTCAAGCAAATCTTCGTCAGCGTCTATCTGCTGAACGTTGAGATCATCATGAATGAGTTGGTCGTTTCCTGAATATGAATTGACATCCATTTTACGAAATACAATTCAAGAGAAATGTAGGATTAGCACTTTCAATATAGTTCTGAACAATTAAAGGCTAGGTTCCTTGAAAAATAAGTGTATCCTTTGGAATATTGACACTTAACGATATCGAAAGTACTTCATTATCCATCCTTTCGCGAATAGTGTCAACTATTTTGATTGTCATGAACTGTTAATTCAGAGATGGAAAAAGAAAATCTACTTGTTTATTTATACTACAAGTTCTATACAAAGGAAAATGCTACATTTTCTTTAGTTAACAGCTGCTGATCGTACAACTAAACATTGAGAGAAGATGTAGTGTGGTTTATTGTTGATAGAATAACGGGATAACCATTATCTCATTGAAATAAAAATAAGGAAAATCTATAATCGTAGCAAAAGAAATGATAGACTAGAAATAGGACATCAAAAGGGAAAAGACAACTAGATCGCTTCGGTTCATCAAGAACTCCCCAGGTTTCACAAGGCTCAAATATAAACGAAGCGTAACCGTTGTTTCTGTACGCAAAGTTTCACATCAATATTGGCTAAAGAGCAATATAAACTTTGGATATATATGAACCTTCAAGACTTTACCTGTCTATGGCTTTTCAATATGAAGAAGTGTTCATTTATCGAGGAATATGAGCAAAAGAACCTTCCGTATCCTTTGCTTCCCATATGAGCTTATCAACGTCAAAGTTACCATGAAATTGCCAACCGTTCTCGTCAATATGGTATAGATTTAAGCTACCACCAGAATAAGCGTCTCTGTGGGTGGCTGCAACAATGGATCGGCGACCAAGGTTCAGAGCATCTTCTTTTGATAAATTCCAATCATAGCCGGAATCAAGAACACCATAAGCAAAGGTAGAACCAGAACCAACAGAAAATACATCTCCCTTAAGACGAGTACCATCACTATCAATGTAATACAATGCTGTACCGCCTTTTCCGGTTCCAGCAAGCATTGTACCCATACTGAGTCCATAACCCTTGTATGAATACATGATGTTGGCCAAGATCTTACTGGCAGCGGAGACGGAAATCAATTCCTTGTTACGGAGTTGGTGGAGACGGCACTCCATACCTAGGACGGTTTGCCAAAACTGACAATCAGCAGCACCACCAGCTAGTGTGCCTAAAAGATATGGATTGATTTCAATAACTTTCTTCACGGTTTGTGAGGCGACCAAAGGACCAGCTGATGCACGGGAATCAACACATACCACAATACCGTGTTGGTAACGAAATGCAAGTGTGGTAGTACCGTGATTCATTTTGATTAAGCAGCTGCGGTTTTGAGTTTCATCAGTTAAACTTCGTAAGTACATAGAAGCTTCAGGAACTGGAACGATGTTAAAATTGTTTTGAAATCTTTCATCCTTTACACATTGGTCCTCATCATTGGAAGCTTTTTCCGTATATTTTGTTAAAATTGAATTCATTTTGTCGACAAGTCAGCCGTTCGCCGTACACTTTGTTATTACGAAACAAGTATGTAGTAGTATAGGCTCTGGTATGGATTGTACACCAAACACTTTCGATACCTACCAGAATAAGGAGTTGTGCTATTCTTCCTTATGAGTCCACAAACTTTCGTTGCAGTTTCCTATATTAATTTTGTTAGACAGAGTTGCGCAACCGAAGAGAGAAATAAATTAAAACCAACTTCCAACTTATGATCATACGGAAACAAGTTGCGTAAAATTCTACGTTTCTAGTTAGAGACCGGTAGAACTAAAGAAAAGCTTGCTTGCGTTAAGACGAAAGAGATTGCTGAATACGGTTTCCGAATCGTGAAAAGGAGAGATATTAGCCGGAAAAGTGACTAAACAGGACGACAACGAGATAGAGAGGATGAAGAGTGCAGCAATTATTGGAGGTACCTCGCATCCAGAACTGTTGCGATTGATTTCGCAACGGTTAGGGATTAAACCCTGTGAGGTGTCGTTGAAACGATTTTCGAATGGTGAAACGAGCGTTGAGATTCATGACTCTGTGCGTGACAAAGATGTTTTCGTTCTTCAAAGTGGTAGCTCTACTGTGAATGACAGTTTGATGGAGTTGCTCATTATAATCAGTGCTTGCAAAGGTGGTTCTGCTAGGAGAATCACAGCTGTCATGCCTTATTTTCCTTATTCCAAGCAGTCAAAAATGAGAAAATATCGTGATGCAATCACCGCCCGAATGGTTGCGAACCTATTGACCGTAGCTGGAGTTGATCATATTATCACTTTAGACTTACATGCATCTCAAATGCAAGGATTTTTCACTCGTCCAGTTGATAACTTGTACGCCGAGCCGAACATTGCCGAATGGATCCGCAGAAATGTTGAGGACTGGCAGGAAGCAGTTGTGGTATCGAAAAGCCCTGGTGGTGCCAAGCGGGTGACCAGTATGGCCGATACGCTAGGCTTAGAATTTGCTTTGTGCAACACGGACAGAAGTAGACGCTCTCATTTCCCCCGTAGTATGGATGAATCTATCATGGAAGAAGAGCATGTTTCTAATAAGCAGTCGGATCATCCACGGATTCACACATCCAAGTACTTATTAGGACATATCGTAGATGACGAGGAAGTTGTCGGTACTCCCGCTAGTAATGTCTCTGAGGATTGTCAATTGGAAAACACTTACTCTCAGGGTGGATGTCCCAGTGATGATGAGGAAGAGGAGAAGATAATGTCAGCTTCTATCTTTACCGAGCGTATGATTACCTTGGTTGGTGATGTTCGCGGTAAAACCACTTTATTGATGGACGATATGATTGAAAACCCTACCACCTTTATCATTGCTGCAGAACATTTGGTAAAACGCTGCGGAGCAAAACGTGTTATCGTAATGGGTTCGCATGGCATTTTCCAAAACAACTGTCTCAGAGACTTAGAAAATTGCAACTATATTGAGCAAATTGTCGTGACAAACACTTATCCCATTAAGCCACAAGCATTAGCACAAAGCACTAAGCTTGCTTTGATTGACATCAGTGGTGTTTTAGCTGAAGCCATTCGCCGTACACATAATGGTGAAAGCATAAGCTTTCTATTTAAAAAAGCCCATTAAGACAACTCCCCTTCTAGAGCTGTAGCCATATAATAAGTTACCTCTTTTTTGCACATATGCCGATACCGAAATGGTTTCTAATGTATGCAATGAAGTTTTTTCTTTGGATAATATAAATATGATTTTTTGTAAAATTACATCTGCAAACCACTTGAGTAGCAATAAACTATTACCCAAAGGGAAGTGCTACTACACCTAAAGTAGTAGCCCCTTAAAACTCGAATGCATACTGAAAGATATCACGGTTCACTCAAAAGCTCAAAATTATCTATTACGGTAGCCAGAACTTTCAATTGCAGAAAGTTGTTACCATACGACTGTCGGTTCAATTCCATGATTTAGAGCTAATAAATTCTCAGGCAAAGATCAATGTACAACAAACCTCATACTTCAGGCAAAATATGTCCGTTGTTTTAATTACTGATTTTTTTGATAATCGTATATATACCTTATACAAATTAAGCTGTCGACATCTGCTCCCGTGGCCAAGCTGGTTAAGGCCTCATGCTTATATGATACTCCTCCGTGGAGGTGTGTTACGTGAAAATCGCGAGTTCGATCCTCGCCGGGAGCAGCTTTTTTTATTTATGAACTTGGGAATTTACGTGCGACTTTGGAACGCTATACGCTTTCTAATACGACAATCTTAGTTGTTTAACGCTACTTACAGGTTGTTGCGTGCAATGAACAATCGAAATTGACATTCTATGTTAAAAAACATGTGGACACAACCTTTAGTAATTTAACGTTTGGAAATGCGTTTTATATGTAAGTTATAGTCAAAAATACAGCTACCTCAGTACAAGTATATTTGCAAAAAAAAAGAAGAAGCCTTTACGACTTCCTCTAATTGATTCATCCCCCCTGGTATTGGAAAAACGTAAAGTATAAGTCTAGTCAAAGGTCATTTTACAAAATACATCATCTTCCATCAACTACTCATTCTGTCATCATACGACTGTGGATTAAAAGGACATTGACTCAAACGGGAGGTCAGTGCAAAAGCGAGCTTAGTAACCAACACCGACAAGATAGTCAGCAAGAGCTTCTGTAGAAATATACTGTTAGTATCACATTTAGACGCCATATTTGTGCTTTATGTCTAGAAGGCCACAGAGAAATACGTACCTGTAATCTTGGCTGCCTCACCGGGCAAAGTAGTTTCAGGGTAGTGAGCTACTAATATACAAAGTTTAGTAGCAACACAGATAATACCAGACTTTTGAAGTTTTCCGTAAATGGATCGACCCTCAGCACGAATGGTAATATACTTTTGACCAGACAAGTGGATACCAGTACCAAACATACTGGGAGGATCTTGGAATCCAGCAGCGAGACCCTGAATCTCAGAACCAGAAAGGTTAAAACCAGAGGAAGCAGCCCAAACGCTATCACCGGCTCTAGAAACGATGGCTGCTTGGTCAATTTTGCCAGTACCAAGCAAGGAAGTATCAACGTAAGCTATCCTCAGTTAGTAATTCTCTTTTATTTTATTATTTTGCACTCAATACCTTGCCAAGACATCCTGAATCAGTTTATAAACTCTTGATTCGTAGTAGGAAAAGGGTAGATTCACAGTCCGTATCCCGTAAAGTCATATCTCTTTGGGATTTCGTTTACCGACCCTTAAAGTATCCTAAAAGATTATAACACATTTCGTTATTATGCGTTATGTTATATGTGAATAAATAAAGATAGTATAGTGTGAATAAATGACTTCTATTGTTCTTTATGTTGTGTCTATTATACAACTAAATATCTCAGTTGTAGATGACAGGATTCGATGTCCGCTTGCTGCCAGTCTTTCCTGCTACTATAGTTCATCACTTATCTTGATGGACACATACACCATACCATACCGTTTACAGAAATGACTATGAAAATAGTATGATGGTAGAAACATACAATTTACAAAACGAAACTATGTTGTTCTCCTCAGAGTACCATTAACACGTTACAGATGTCCATTCATCTATAAAGTATCTAAAAGAAATCGACTAAAAAATATCCATAAGAAACGACAAATACTTAGATCATTTTATTGAGATTATATTGCCTGAAAACATTCCACCAATGCACTTCAACTTAATTCATGTCCTGACGACCCCGATTGTCGGAACGATCATTGCGTCGTTTCACTGATCCAGTTTTTTCGCGACGTCTGTTATCTTGAGGATTAGTATGTTGAGTTTTTTGCTCAAAGAGCTTTTCGTTTGCTTCATGTAATTGTGAAGTCTTTTCGCTAAGCGAGATTGCCATATTCTCTAGTTTGTTAATCTCAACCCGCTCAAAAATTACAGCACGGTGAACTTGGTCAAGAGCGGCATGAATCTCCCGCTTAGAAAGCAAACGAGAAACGATAACAGTAACACGTTGCAAAGGAAGGTCGGATGTCTCCGCTAAAGAATCAAGCGATACTGAGTCATAGAATGCAGCATATGATAACAAGTAAGTACGCAAACCCTCTTCACGGATCTTATCACTGAGAATAGACTTGATCTTCTCAGTGTCTGGCATCAAGTTCCAAATCTTAATAGCATGAATTAATTCTTCACTCTTGCGCCACTCACCTTCTGCCAAAGCCTTTGAAGCTTGCATAATGAATTCACGGGTATTTTCAGGTGGTCCGATAAAGAGCTGTCTATCCGTATACTCTAACATACGTCTAAAGGGGCGGCTGATAACGCGCTTACGAGCATCAGAAGCAGATGAAGAAGCAGCGGCCATGACAGGAATTTCCATAAACATAGAACAGGTGAGGTAAACACACTCGAGAAGCTCCAAGTTAATATGCATATGGAAAGGAAGGACAAGCTGCTTGTCCAAGCGTTCTTGATCAGGGTTGAATTGTCCAAATCTAGCAGCTTGAATACCTTGTCCAAGAAGTTCCTTAATACGGCCGGTAGTAGAAATATCTTGAAGAGCATACTGGGCTTCTTGGATCATACCATTACGGAAAGCACACAAGCCAATTTGAACCATTGTGCGGTTATGCAAAATTTGTGTAGCAATGTCAGCAGCGTGAATGCTGTCTTGCAAATGAGACATAAGTAACATGTCACGAGACTTATAAAAGCGGTTCTGCAAAGCTTCATGGTAAATATGACAGAGCATAGCGCAAGTTCGAAGTAAACTGATACCGTGATTATAAAGGTAGACACAAAGAGCGTTAATTAGTTTATCAGGAGTATCAGTAGTAGCTCTAGGGGTAACAACAAGATCGAACTCAGAAGGAAGAGAGTGCAAGGCTGCTTCCTCGTTGGCACGAATAACTTGTTCAGGCTTGTAGTAGACACGCTCAAGACGACGCATGATTAAGCGAGATGTGTTCTCCACGACACCGATACGCTCTAAGTAAGCTTGACTTCGTACAAGCAATGTATATAAAGCGGTTTCATCCTTGAGACGTTCAATGTATTCTGGTGCGTGGGGATCAATCATCTGGAGAGAGCGAGTAAATTCGTCGTCCAAGCGTTCCAAGAAAGAAACAACACTTCCTTGAACTTGAACAACGCCATTGTTGTTGGCACTAGCGGCCACAGCTTCTTCTTCGTCTTCAAATTCATCTTCAACTTGTTCAACGATAACAATCTTTCGATTAGCATCCAAAATATCCAAAATACTATGAAGTTCTTTCAGAGCACCATTCCACTGTTCAAGTGGCATATATTGGCCAGATCCAGTGTTAACATCAAAACGAGCAGCTAAAAGAGCGACCTTAACACGAAGTCGTTGATAATCTGTAACAGCAATAGATGATAACTTTTCGAGGAATCGAATCTGCTCAGCACGATCGGTGCTCTTCTTACCACGAGCCTCAAAAATAGCCCGAAGGTGCTTGAAGATGTCGGAAGGAGAGATTTCTTCGGTCTTAGGCTCACCAGTGCTTGGGGCGACAATACCCCGGGTAGCAACACCTCCAACGATAATTTCGTCTTGACCAGCCTTTCCGGCTGCCTTAGGTACATCAGCAACTTCGGCAGTGGGCTTCATGAAAGCTTCAGGATCTTTACGGAAACGTTCGATCTCTGAAGTAAATTGACGGCTGATTTTACGAACACGCTGCTTGAGGGCATTGAGAGCACGACCGTTAGCAGCATCAAGGCTCTTGATGAAAGCCTTGTCGGCAGACTCAACTCTTTGGTCAAGGTTCGACAAAAATTCGATATAAGCAGGAGGACGACGGCCAGCTTCGGATGATTTTTGAGCAACCTTATTTAAGTGGTCAAATTCATTAGAAACAACAATCCATTTGTTTCCAGACATGGCGTCTTTCATGTTATCAATGCAAGCGTAAAATTCGTCCAAGCGCTTATCCTTAGCACTCTTGACAACACGACGACCCTCCTCTTCATCACTGCTCTCTTCGCTACTTTCACCACGAAGGAAACGAGAAGCAGCAGGTTTGGCTTCTTCAGGCTTCTTCAAGAAAGAGCTAGGGCCAGCTAATTCTGACGTCTCGGATTCTGACTCGGCCTCAGATTCTGATTGACTTTCGGATTCTGATTCTGATTCATTTTCAGAATCGGACTCGGATTCTGAAACTTCGCTGTCATCCTCGCTGTCGCTTTCGGATTCTTCCGATTCATCAGAAGTCTCAGAGTCTGATTCTGACTCTGACTCTGACTCCGACGCGGACTCTTCAGAAGAAGAGACTGGCTTTTTCGAAACGCTAGGCTTCTTTGCGGGTGCTTTTTGATCTTCACTTTCTGAAGATTCAGACTCTGATTCTGATTCGCTTTCCGAAGACTCTGATGCGGAGCTTGATGAGCTTTCCTCCTCACTCGATTCTTCCTCAGAAGAAGAAGACTCTTCAGCCTTCGTCTTTGAAGCAACTATACGGTTGCCTTCAGAGGAGTCCACGGATTCTGCATCACTGTCGTTTGAGCCTCCCTTGAAGAATCTCGACATGTTGGTGGTTGGCAAGTTTTTTTGGCACAGCAGTCAAAGGAAGGGTGAGGACCTGCTCAATGAAAAAATATGTTCAGTCCAATATAGCATACACGGGCGTAGTGGGCTATCTTTTAAATACCGATGGAATATAGTACATTCTTAGTAAATAAATACCCATGATTTTTTTTTCTTTAGCTAATCAACTGTAGGTAAACGATATATCTTTGCTCTTAGTGTGTTGAAGTATTACTTATTTAATAATGATTTATTAAAATTTTTCTTTGCTTATTGATATTACTCATTTGGGATCCGAATTATAAACTGTACTTCAAGAACATTTTTCTACGCATTAAAATGATTTCCCTTAATCGATTACACGCAGGGATTCTACAATGAGCATGAATTACTACTTTTCATTATTGCGATAATCCTTACTCAACTGAACATTTAATTTCAATTGGAAATACTCAACGCACTCAAGATACGAAAAACGTAGCTGATTCATATTGAAGATTAAATTTTTTAGAAAATATTTTGTTTTTTAAATTCCTTTTTCTTTGCTCTTCGTAATTTATTTACATTTTATTATTGTTGCTTTCTTGTTTACTAGAGAATTTCTGATAACCTGTGGTAAAGGACGGTCCGTTCACCAACCCTCTACCACTATTCACAGAATGGATCGTATTGCTGACAAAAAGAACATTGTAAAGAAGGGTAAGCTTTATTTATTAACTCTTTGACTTCTTTCTATTTTGGTAACTTATTTACTAACACTCTGTAGTTGTTAACAAGGAAAACTCTTCCATCTTCATCAGCCTTGGCGTTTTTATTGCTTCCGTCGCCATTATCAAGTCCCGTGTTGGTAATTTCCTTGTTCCTCAGCTTTGAAATGCTTGCTGTAGTTTTCTTTTGCCAACAGGTACTTAACTTTGTCTTCAGGAAGACATCAGTCTTTCGGAAAGAAGTCGGTATTAAATACGTCTGAATTAAAAGATGAAATAAATTTTTGATTTATAAAACTAAGATCTATTATTTTTACGCTTTGCGTGTCTGCGTCGATGAAAATTTAACTAACTGTCTCTCATAAAAAGATAGTATAGTTGTACTTGAGTTCCATGCCGTAATTTCATTTTCGATATGAAGCCGTACCCATTTGAATCGGAGTGTAGCCTGATGTCAACACATCGATCATTGTACTTTCTTTTTTGGAATCATTGTAGCCATCGGACATGACAATGAAATGCATGATCCAGTAGGGTAGCTGAACGAACACACTATCCTACTATGTATAGCCATGTTAGTGTTTTAAAGTTACAATTTAAGAGTGTACTACTGTTCTGAGCCAAAGCAAGTCGACGTATTAGAGAACCATGTTTTCTATCAGTATTTAAGAAAGCGCCAAAGCCTTCTACGAGGATTGTGATTTGTATACTACCTTCTATTCATTCTCTTTTATTAATATCTTATATAAAACTCGCCCAGAGATCATTCTCTCCCGGAATTGTCATAGAACAGTAATATCATATGCGGGTATTATATTAACGAGGAATCCACAAGTAATGAGGCAGACTCCCGCAGCTTAGTAGTGTCAACCTGTCGTCATTGCCTGATTAACTCAATCAATTATCCTTTTACCAACTACATTATTAAACGAGCAGCTCGTTGAACTAACAGCACTTTAGAAGGGATTGGATTGAATTGTTCTTTTTGTCATAAAACTATCTTTGATAGTACTGTCGCAGTTCTCGAAGTCAAATACTTGTCGAGAGTTGATTCATACGATAAACATATCTTTTTTCTTCCTGAAGTTACTCTCCTGGACTGGATTACAGGAAAAAGGTTTGCATTTTTTCGAAAACGTATTCGTGTTCGAACCAACGACGGATTGTGAAATACGCTTTTGATTCACACGCTCTCTGAAAACTCGATTCCACCAGTCACCTTCCAAAGTGTGATATTGCTTTATAAGGTATTTTTCGAAGCTTCCTAATTCTTTGAATAGTATTTTTCATTCCACTGCTCATTCGTTTGTCGACATTTTCAGGTCGTAAACAAGTTCATATTCGTGTTCTCGCATCCATTTCGTAACTTCAGATATTATTTTGGCTTATCGAGTTGTGAAAATATTTATTACTTGAAGAAGGACGACGTTTCATTCAATCTTGGAAAGTTCGCTTCTAAAGATTACATCGATCGAATTCGAAACGCTCACTCCCCTCCTTTTCTCATAATCTTGTTGGTATCATAATATACAAGATATAAATTTATAAAATAAAAAGCTATTGTAGTCGGTTTCTTTTATTTCAAAATCGGTACCATGGACTCCAACTCTCCAATCTTGCCTTTATCAAACAACAATTCAGGAAACAGAACATACTCAAGGCCTCCTCAAACTAGTCATGCTCGTCATGTCTCTTCGTCTGGAGCCAATACTGCATTTACAACTCCCAAACCGCCTATGTCAAAAAATTACAGTTATCGAAGAGCTTCTCCCAATGGAAGTTTTATCAGTGTAAGTGTAATGTCATTTCATTTCGTTTATTAACGTGTTATTTAGCCATTAGAAGCTGTCAGTGTAAAACTTGCAAATACGTATGCTATTTGTAACCCTAAGTTTCAATTCTCTTCGGAACAAAATCCTCGGAGACCTCTTACAAAGCCAAGTGAAGGTCTCCACAATCATGGCTATGATAACGCTAATCACGATTATGTCCTATATGTCAATGATTTACTTGGCACAGATGAAGGTCGAAAATACTTGATTCTCGATACTTTAGGCCATGGTACGTTCGGCCAAGTTGCAAAATGCCAAGACTTAAAAACACAAAGGATTGTAGCCATCAAAGTAATAAAAAACAAGCCAGCATTCTACAATCAATGCGTTATGGAAGTTTCTATACTAGAATTTCTCAATAACCGCTATGACCCAGACGATAAACGACATTTGATTCGTTTATATGATCAATTCATGCATAAAAATCATTTATGTTTGGTTTTTGAGCTCTTGAGTATCAATCTTTACGAATTAATCAAGCAAAATCAATTTCGCGGCCTGCACCTTAGTCTTGTACGTTCGTTTGCCATTCAGTTGCTTTCATGTGCATCTCTACTAAAACAAGCACGTATCATTCATTGTGATATGAAACCAGAAAATATCCTATTACAAGACTTATCGTCTCCGAATGTCAAAGTGATCGACTTTGGCAGTGCCTGTCACGAACGACAGACTGTGTATACATATATTCAATCTCGGTTTTACCGAAGCCCAGAAGTCGTTTTAGGTCTTCATTACAATTGTGGCATTGACATGTGGTCTATTGGCTGTATTCTCGCTGAGTTGTTTTTAGGTCTTCCTTTGTTCCCTGGTAATTCCGAGTATAACCAAATTTGTCGTATCGTAGACATGTTGGGAAATCCTCCAGCCTGGATGATTGAAATGGGAAAGAATGCAAAAAAGTATTTCAATATTTCAATCGTTAACGGAAGAAAAATCTATGAGCTCAAATCAATTGAGCAGTTTTCCATAGAAAACAACAAGGTGGAACAACCAGGGAAACAGTATTTCGGTGAAAAAGCATTAGATGCTATTATAATGAATTATCCACGCCGCAAGACCACACCTAAGCATACTCCCGAGGAACATGAGGAAAGATTATGCTTTATTGATTTTGTTAAACAATTTTTAGAGCTTAATCCTTTGAAGCGTTGGAGTCCAGATCAGGCAAAATTGCATCCGTTCATTACAGGTGCTTCGTTCAGTCAATACTATATGAACAAGCAAAAGCCACCATTTGTTACGCCTCGCACAAGAAACCGTTCACATACAATCGGAAATCAAGCGATGGTTCCTCCTTCGCTACAGCGTGCTAGTACCTATGTTACGAATGAACCGGAAGAATTTGTGCAAACGAGACCATTGCCACAATACTATCCCCCTGCTGAAGCCTATACGAGTAATGACAACGATGAGACGGATGAATTTTTTTAAATACTTATTTGTTGCTGGTTACTTATGTTTTTTAGAGTCAAAACTATGTTTTCAAAAGATTATGTTCGCGGATTCCATTGTTTATGCTAAGATTAGTTTTTTCTTTTTTTTTCATTTATGAGATCTAAATATGGTATTAATAACTTTTGGAATAGAAATAATTTAAACCTCATTTTATGCATACATTTGTAGTGTAACTGTTTAGTGATACATATGAACTCCCTTCTTGCGTGAAGTTTCACCCTCAACTGTGTATCTGCTCGAAATTTCAACATTCACTCAATGAGCAAAAACGCATTAAAAACAGGAAGCTTGGCGCATGTAAATGTTGAAGAGGATGATCCAGCAAGTAGTTCAGAGGAATTGATGTCAGAAGAAGAGTTTGATGGCATGGAACAAAGTGAACCAGAGGCGACCTCAGATTTGGAAGAAGAATCGGCTCAAACCCGTAAGATTACAATAATTGATGAATTTTGCTAATTTATAATCAGAAATATCAGAAATACCATTCGATACTCTTTTAAACGCTCAAGAGCAATTAAAGGCAGAGCAGAAGAAAGCTGAAAAGAAAGCATCTTCAGCGAATAAGAAGAAATCGGAGAAGAAAGATGACCATAAACATGCTGAAAGGAAAAAACATGCACCGATGGAAGTATCTAGCAAGAAACCAGTTACTCGGTTTCGAGAAGTTGTGAGTGTTCCTAAGAAGTTCACAAGAGATCCTCGATTCGATTCCCTATCCGGAAATTTAAATAAAGAAAAGGTTAAAAATAATTACTCATTTGTTTTTGACTATCGGAAGAAGGAAATTGAACTCCTTCGCGAAGAACTAAAGAAATGCAAAGATCCAGAACGCGCAGAAACTATTAAGGCTACATTAAAATCTCTCCTATCGAAGATGGAAAGACATATTGAAGAAGAGAGAAAGGGGCGAGTGTTACGTGAGCAACGCGCCGCCGAAAAAGAGCAGGTTAAGGAAGGAAAGAAGCCATTCTATATGAAGAAGAGCGACCAAAAGAAGTTAATTCAATTGGACAAGTACAAATCTATGGAAGGGACGAAAAAGTTGGATCGTTATTTGGAGAACAAAATGCGAAGACGCGCTCAAAAGGAAAAGAAGCGACTACCTCGTGCACGTTCGGCTCCATCTTCTTGATTTTAAGGTGTCAGTGTTAGAGAAATCTTTTAATTTTGTTAATACGGGTTTTTATAGGATTTATTATTGATTATTTATAAGAATTTGACAAGTGGGTTATCATTGAAATACAAACACAATGTTGAATGTAGATAGAAAAGTTGGATATAGTAATTAAAGCAAGAAAATTTCCAAAAAAGAATTTGAAGAGGTAAAACATTCATGAAATTCATGGTGAATATTATTTTAGTAAGACATAAGTTGAACATTATCGTGCAAGTTTGCCAATTAATATAACAATTAAAACAACTATAATTAAGATTAGAAAACACATGAAACGTAGTCGTCCTGTATTCCTCTGATGCCCTTCAGCTTTTGTTAACTCTTTTTCGGCTGACTTTGCATGAACTTGTGTTTGCTCAACATTAAAGTCGATGCGATCCACCAGAGCACCCTGCTCAATTACTAATCCCTGTAAATCCTGAAACATCTGCGCTAACTCAAGGATACCTTCGGCAATTTTTGCAACAGCCCGCTCGTGTTGAACAGCCCGCTCGTCTTCGCCTTCCTCTTCCATAAGAGCAGCCTGCTGAATCGTCGACTGAGATATGGCAACATCGGAAACAGTGTCCTCTAATTTGGCATCCGAAGAGGAAAAATCAGAGTTCAAGCCACGTAATTCTAAAAATATTAGTACTGATGATATGTCTAATGTAATGCTTACTTTTCAAATAGTTTGACTGTTTTTTTCGAAAATGGGAACTTTCGGTTTGGATACGGCCTGCCAAATTCGCGAGAAGATTTTGGGCAACCAAAGCTTCTGAGCCTTCAAGAGTGCTGGTTTGGCGTTTTGTATTTTGCAAAATTCGGTGGCATCTTTGAAAGTCATTCGTTATGTCAATCGTTAGGCGTTGAATCTCGTTTTCCTGTTCTGTTTTATCAGAAAAGCTTGGGAGAACATGCTTCGCATACTGCTTGTTTAGTAATTGGATATTTCTATGAGTGTTCTGAAGTAAGGAATCTATATCTTGTTCAATAGTAGCCCATTTAGGAGCCAACATGTCCATCTCTATGACCACGTTATCGTCCACATCCTTATGAATAAGGCTCTGTCGTTCTTCCTTTGGCTCCCATTTTAAGGATTCTAATCTTTGACCATGGTGAGCATACGACTGTCGGAAAGTTATATATAATCCAGTTCGATCTCGATAAGCCATAATGTTGTAAAGCAAATCCTTCTGTTCTGATTTAATCAAATGCAAAAAGATGGATTAACTAACTCCTGAACGTTTCTATCCAATGTCAGATTTGCTGCATTCAAACGATCGTCCTGAGAAGTACGTGCAACCACGTATTTAAAGAATCAACGGACCAAGACCAGTCCTTTCAATTTATCAAAAAAGAATTATATATACAATTAATTAAATATTAAGTAGCAATTGATTTTGACAAAAGTAAGATACTAGGAAAGAGCCTAGATATGGTGAGGTTCTTCTCTTACTGACATAATGGAATGCACGGTATCAGTAAACGGTAAACATTCAATTGGAATTCCTTTTTAACAACTGAAGTATTTTTTTTATCGACATTTTATAATTTTCAGAGAAAAGGAAATAAAAGAGTAAATAAATTAATAAAAAAATTGACTAGAAACTACGGCGAATTCTGTTTAAAAATTAATCCTCTGAACTTTATCATGGATTGAAAAACTGTGCAAGAAAACCATAATTTCTCTGTACCATTAGAGGGTTCCTCACCTTCTCTATATAAAAAAAACACTTTATAGAAGAGAAATATTCGATTTTCTTCTAGGGAACAACGAATTTAAGTTTTGTATCTTTTTCTTGATGAATGTTTACTAAAGAATTCTAACGTCTCATTATAGCGTTTATCGATATAGTACAGTCATCGTTTTTATATCGTATTCGGCATAAGATACTGCAAGAAATCATCGCAATCCTTGAATATACGGTAACTGAATTTCTCCATCAGCACGATTAGGTAAAAACGCGAATTTCTATTCTTTACCCGCTGAAACTTTCACATAGGATCTCATGGAAGGATCACCGAAAAACGACATTTATTTTTGCCTGATGCGAGTGTTTTGTTCGCAAACACTACGTGCAGCTGGCCTTGATCGTACAAAATTGTCGCTGTTGGATTCATTTACAGATATAATGATCCGTTACATCCAACTGCTGTCAGAAACTACAATGGCAGAAGCAGAATTGAGTAGGAAAAAAGACTGCGACTTACAAGACTTTCGACTGGCCCTTGAAGAAGTGGGTTTGCTCGATGGTACAGAAGAGGATGTGAAAGAGTTCATTGAATGGTACCATGGACCTCAAATGGACGAACTTCGACGTGTAGCAGGATTCCAACCAGCCTCAGAAACACAGACGAAGCCAAAGGATTGGCTGACGAATCTTGTACAGAAACAAGTACGGGTTAGTGGCCCTGAGCGGTTTCAAGATACGATGTTCTCCTCTGCAGTTCAAAATAATCCTTCTTATCCCACATAATGGAATCGAACTTTTTTAAATGACTTTATTTTTTATCTTAGACCGCTTGGTTCGTTTCCTCTGATAATTCATACGCCAGACAATTTTTATCGAACCCAATTCCTTTCTATTCATATGTTTGACAGTGTACGAGAAAGTATGAATTTATTATTGGCGCTGAAAAGTTAGATTTTGGAAGCAAATGTCAACGAATAGGAAAGTGCGGGCTGGTTTTCAACATACGGATTTTCTTTCCATGAATATACTCGGATTATAACTGCATGAACAGTTTATTCTTATTTATTTAAGCAAATTTTTCAATTATTATCCCGGAATGCTTGTCTATATATAAATCATAAACTGAAGGATTGCCTTCACGCAACGCGCTTAGAAAAGATATAAATGGTGTCTGGTATTCAAGTCGTTGCTTTGTTATTGTGATTATTTTATCGTTGCTGATGAATCATAAAAAGGAAATGTGAGACTTTAACAAAAGAATGTGCTGTGAGTCTCAAAAAATTTGTTCACGTTTCATGTACCAAATCTTTACTCAGGCTTCAAGGAGTATTGACTAGAAAAGAGATCCTGTTTATCCCTAAAATCGTTCACAAATGAGTAATGGTTTCTTCTGACAAGCTCATCTCCTTATTCTTGTGAATTCGGACCTTTGTCTTTTATATTGTACTTTGCCTTATATAAGTTGTCCATTATAACAATTTAAGACTCTTAGTCAAAGACGAATTTCTTATAAATGTCTGTTTTTACCCAGACAATATTTCCCAAAAAGTAGGCTATAGTAAGCAGTGCAACAAGAAATTCTAAATAAATGCAAATACGTAGGGTAGCCCTATCTGGAGAACTAAGAATTGTAAAGAAGACTCCTACACGATAAATTAACTGAACAATTAGTAAAAATCCATTCACGTTTTCTAACGATTTGAATTTTTCAGAAGCTTCTAAATACATATTTCTTTTTTTCTCTTGCACCTCTTGAGCTGTCTGTTCTTCTGCAAGACGCTTATGCAACTCTTTCGTTTTCAAGCCTAAATCCATTATGAACAATGCGCTGGTTTTTTTAAACTAGGAAAAAAAGATCTTATGTAAACATAAGATTGTTCGTGACTCCTCAATTCATATACAAATGGGAAAAACCAACTGGGATGGACTAGAAGAAAGGTAGGTCATACTCAAGCAGTTAGGAAGTACTCGCTTTCCTATAGAAACGGCATTATTACAATGGCGGCAAGTACGAGGAAATCTCCGTATGATTTTGGCAGAATCTTTCTTTTAAAACGTAGTAAAAAAGCAATTAACGTTTGTTATATCGGAATTGGTCTCACGTTTCTCTTTTTGTATCTCTTGTATTCCATTTCCACCAACGGGGCCTCCACGCCTTCTTTCATAGTTTGGTCTATTTATTGCGCTCTCATATTTTGTGTACACCTTGCTCTTGTTTACTATCTGCATTTCAATTCCATACCTGCCGAAGAAATCCCTTCAGTTGAAGAATATCAAATCATTGACACCTATGCGTCTGGTGTTAGTACTCCTCCAGTATGCGCTCCTCCTTTGTATGCAAGTTATTCTAAGAATCCCTATTCTTAATTACTTTTTGGTACATTGGTTGCCATGTTGTCCTTTGAACTTGAAAGTCATAGCTATACCTGAGAACCTTTTAGTGTTCGACTACTAATATGAGCATCCTTATTCAGAAACTTTGAAAATACTACTTATCAATCCTCTTAGTTAACTATACTTACGGCTCCAAGCCGAAAGGAGGGGGGGATCATAATCTCAAGTATCGTACAGGTAAGAGGACTCTTTGATTTGGATTTTTTTTTTTTTTTTTTTTGAAGATATTATTTTGAACAGCGAGAAAACATCGCTAAACGATAGGACCGAAAGAATCTCAGTGAATGGAGATTCAAATCTGTTAAAGCCTACTCTGGATGTATTAAACGTTGGTTTATATACGCTTTTACACTAAAAGGAAACTCCAATGGAATATTTTACGGCGGTCGAATTTGTCGTGTATACCACTCATTCTTAAGCAAGTTTCTACTTCGTACAGTTTGACTGGTTATGTTTTCAAGACACAAAATTATTCAATACCAACCTCGCTTCCGAAGTAATTTGTTGTCGAATTCGTACTCCGTACAATACAACACGTTCATGAATGAGATGCCTTCATGAACATACTAAAGCGTGTCGAAGCTACCTGTAGATTTTTGTAATCTCAGTTCCTTTTGTATTTAAAGACGAGTACTTATGGGATATCCTTCGTTTTTCCTTAAAAAGTATATAATAGCATTTGTTTACATTTTTTTTTCAGAGGTTACATTGTTCCTTTCGTAACCAAAACAGATACACTGGCGGAAGAACTTAGTCACTACTTTATGGGTTTAGTAGGTCTATAATATCAGAATGACCGGTGGAAAATTATTTTTTCTTTCTTCTATAACATTGCTTCTGGTTGCATCCTGGATACAATGTGCTTCGGCAAGCAGTGGTGATTTACATCCGCACTACAGGACTTGCCTTAACAATTGTATTACTATTGATTGTAATCAAAATCCTTCTCAAAATGGGATGCTTCCGTGGTATTTAAGATTATTTTTTTGGGATTGCGGTAGCGATTGCCGCTACGAATGCCAAATTGATGCTGAACACTATTTTGCTGTGAACGGAATTCCTTCTCAGCAATACTTTGGAAAATGGTACTTTATAAGAATTTTTGGTATTCAGGAATTCTTTAGCGTCTTATTCTCCTTGTTTAATTTAATCGTTCACTATAACGGTTATCAGCGTATGCGCCGTTGCATTCCCGATTCACACCATAGTAAGTCATTGTGTCTAAAATGGGCCCTTATTGGCATGAATGCATGGGTATGGAGTAGTGTTTTCCACACTCGTGACACTCCTTTCACCGAGAAGTTGGACTATTTTTCAGCCGGCGCTTTTGTTCTATTCGGCTTGTATACTTCGCTTGTTCTGATGTTCAAATTAGATCTCAAACGAGGAGGTAGAATAGCAACAACAATACTTGGAGCCCTCTTCTTGATTGCGTTTATTGCACACGTCAGTTATCTATCCTTTTATACTTTTGATTATGGTTACAACATGAAGGCGAACCTTTCTGTAGGTCTGCTTTCAAATATCCTTTGGTATTACTATTCTTGGTCACATAGAAATATTGGTCTTTCTTGGACAAAGGTACCTGCTTTATCTGTAACGGCCCTAATGCTCTCTGCTTCCTTGGAACTTTTTGATTTCAGTCCTATTGCAAACCTAGTTGATGCTCACGCACTTTGGCATCTAGCTACAGTACCTATTACTTATTATATTTATGGTTTTGTAATTAAAAGTTCGCTTTATGACCTCAATGGTACTTCTCCAAAGGTCAAATCCATGTATGGCAAAGACTAATTCTTTTCGTTTTTTTCATTTTTCATTAACTATATACCCTTCAACAATGTATATTTAAGTTTTACTCGTTTCTAGACATAAGTTCAATACTATTTAAAGTTGTTTTCATCATTGAATGCTATGTACATATATTACTTGCAAACTACTATAAGAAGCGACCTTTGCGATCTATGTTCAATTTAATATCACCATTCACGAATGTACCTGACTATTGTGCAATCTAATTCTATTATTAACATAACCATAATAAAATACCCAAGAAAGTTAGTATTTTAAACCTGTCTTTCTTTTTCTTTTTTTTTTTTTTTTATAGAACCAAAACCTTTTTATACAGTCCTTATGTCTTTTAATTAGGAGACTTGCTCTTCACGATCAAGATCATCATGCTTGCGTTTTGTACGAAGCTTACCCTTTGATCTTCTCCTGTCCTGGATCTCTTTCATTTGAATTGCAGCTTCTCGCTGTGCTTCATCCACCCGCTCCGACAACAAGAATACTGCATCCTTCTGATGTTCATATTCTTGCATCTTTTTACCAATAGCAGCCTCAATACGAAGGAATGGCTCCAAATCATATTGAGTTACAAGGGCAACTGATTTACCAGCACGTCCGGCACGAGCTGTACGACCAACTCGATGAACATATGCTTTGGAGTCGGTGGGAATATCATAATTTACAACGACATCAACAAGCGGAATATCCAAACCACGAGCAGCAACATCTGTAGCAACCATAATTGACCTAGTACCAGACTTGAACTTATTGAGTGCACCAAGACGATTACTTTGCGTCAGTTGACCGTGGAGAGGGATTGCGCTAAATCCAAGCGACCGCAATAAAATTGCCAATCGTTGAGTATCATGTACCGTACGTGCAAATATAATGACGGTGTTGCCAGCAAGTTCATTAATCAAATAAACAAGATAAGTGTCCTTGTGCTTAAAAGGGAAAAACAAGTAACGTTGAATCAAAGTATCTACAGTGGAGAATTTGGAAGAAACGGCAACACGCACGGGATTATGGAGGGAAGCACGTTGAAGCTTCTCAACCTTGCTGGTCATGGTAGCCGAGAAAAGCAAAGTACGTCTTTCTTTAGGAATGACCTTTAAAATTCTGTCAATGATGGGACCAAAATCCATATCCAAAAGACGATCAGCTTCATCCATAATGAGGTATTTTAAGTTTCGAAGACTAAATCCTTTCGTATTTTCCAAATGGTCCATCAAACGACCAGGTGTACAGACAAGGATATGTGGTTTTTTAGACAAAGCAACTGCTTGTGTAACCATGTCCATACCACCTACAATAACAACACTTCGAACTCCAATGGCACCTCCCAATGCTTCAAATTGTTCAGAAATTTGATAAGCAAGCTCTCGAGTAGGTGCAAGTACAACAGCATAATAAGGGCTAGGATTGTCCCACAATTCCTGAATTACAGGGAGAGCAAAAGCGGCAGTTTTACCACTTCCTGTTTGAGCAAGACCAATCACATCTCGTTTGGACAAAGCAGTGGGAATAGCCTCACGTTGAATGGGAGTGGGATCTTTGTAGCCCAACTTCTCGCAAGCATCGCACAACTCTTCTATAACGCCCTGCGTATGTGTTAGAAAAAAATCTAATCATAACTTCGTAAGCCTTACCAAATCTCTAAAAGTTTTGGGAGTTTCATCCTTTTCATTTTCGTTCTCAGGAGAAGAATTCGAACCAGAAGAGGACACATTTTCAACTTCTTCCTTAAAATCTTCGTTTTTAACACCTTTTCCATTCACGCTTTTCTTTTGCTTCTTCACGTCGGTCGTCATTTTCTTTCTTTTTTTTTATTAACAAATAAAAAAAGAAAAGATTTCTTTACTAAACGGAAGCGATAAGAATTGAGCTGTACAGAAATTTCTTTACCACTTTGGGAATTGCTAAAGTTGAAATTAGTAGCCTTTCAATTTAAGAGATAATTTTAAATTCCTTTATCATGTTTTACTGAGCAGTAGTGCCAACAAACGTTAATACAACGAGTTGTTCATATCAGTATCGTTAAAAAACAAACTCCGTGAAAATAATAGTTAAAAGAGAGAAAGAATTGTGTTACCAATTTTAAATATACGTCTGTTTCATTAAATCCGAGTAGAGGCAACACTGATTGTATGCGGTTTATCATGATTCCTTGTAATAAGGACATAGGGCTCTTTCGAAGTGGTTTTCATATATCCAATCGCCTTGAATTGTTAATAATGCTGCAATAGAAGCTATACGGCTACCACATACCATAGCTGGTGAGGAATTTGCAAAGCCATATGTCAACCGTGAGCGTTGGGATTCAGGAGACGTTTCCATTTTTGCAAATATCAATCCCAGTGAAAGATTAGGAATATACTTTGACATTGGATGATCCCAAAAGCCCCGGATAAGCCGTTCCAGGTCTTGAATTTCATTCTCTGTATGCAACATTACATTCGAACATCTGAATGCAAGATTCGTGTTTGAAATGTGTTCACCTGTTCCGGTCATGCATGTTGCAAAGGTGGAGACACCATTTTCATTCATTTCTCTTTCCAACCAGAATCCATGGCCAGGAATAGCAGATGACCCAATCCTTCCCGAGGATTTTAATAATATACCACCGCTGCTACAGCATACGCAGAATTCACCAGAAGGATCGATACATATAGCACCCACTGTATCTTGAGATAATGGTACACTTCCATCTTCTTCAATAAGTTGCTTCCATTTTTCATACTGCTTGCGGGAACCATCAGTTATCAACTCTTCATTGGGATTTTTGGAGATACCTTCTTCCTTCAAGAATTCAGCAACTCCATGACTCACAATCATTGCTGGAGGTATTCGACCATGACTTCTAGGAAGCTTTCGTTTATTTAAAATCCTCAAGCAAATTTCAGATGGATATTTGTAGTCTCTGCATGCACCTATGCTTGCCGTCATTCCTGTTTGAGACTCCATTAAACCAGCCTCACACTCTACTTCTCCGTTGACAGTCAAATTGGATCCAGTACCGGCATTACAAATTGGGCTGTCTTCGAGCACCTTTACAGCAGCTACTGCCGCTGCAATTGAATCAGAAGTCTTGGCAAGTTCAATTTTTGCTTTTGTACACGCCCTTTTTGAAAATTAGTATCTAAATTAAAGAAGAATATTCATACTTAGCGCACGCATCCTTTGCTAAATGTTCCCTTCGTTTAGAATATAAGCCAGCTCCAGCATGGACAATCACGAAGCCAGAATTCATATTGTTATTTACTTTGCATTATTTTGAAAAGGGTATTCCCTATTACGTTCCAGTGATTCTTAAATAGCTCTAAGATGAACGATGGTAGTGCAAGTGGTATGAGTTATTCAGTAATTTTGCCTATGCTACTAGAAGACATGTATTAGGTTGTAAACATTTAGTAAAATGTTCATAGGAAACAAGGAGGAAATGAATATTAAGTCATTTATAAAGAATGGGGTTGAAAACTGTCATTACACCAATGTTATAAAGGATACAAATTAAACCAAACGCGATTAATCTTATAAGAAGGTGTTCAAAATTTATATATTTATGTGAGCTACTCAGGTCTTAAAGTACAAGGTACCGTAGTTAATCTCAAAATAACAACAAGTGTAAAAACGACAAAAAAATATGTCATTCCAAAAGGGAATTACATGCATACAAAAATATTTATTACGTGAATCTATCATAGTGCGACAGAGACTAGTTTCGTTCCAAGAAAGGTATACAAAAAGGTATTTACGTATCATTTTGATGCATGGCCCATTCATAAACAGACCAGGTAATTGTCGAAGAAACAGATTTTCGTAGAACTCGAAGGGCAAGTCCATCTAAGAAACCGTAAATGCCCTCGTTTATATATACACGTTTTGCACAATAAAGGAAGTTTTTATAGAGTTCGGGTTGTAACTGAACACGGGTTTTAAGCATATCAAAAGGATTTGTAATTGTTGTAGCTATAATCCCTGAAACCATTCCGGAGGCGATATTAACTGAATTGTTGTAAGGGTTATGAAGAACATCACCAGGAAGGGTTTCGTGAAAATGTCCAAGAAGATTGTGAATCGTTTCTTTAGATAATTCGTAAAAATAAACATAAAGTCCAGCATGAGGTGCGTCTCGAATGGCCGTTACACCAAAGCCATGAAAAAAACCAGGGATTCCTTCTTTTTTCCAAATGCTTTTTATAGAAGATCCAATAGTGGTATAGGAATAATAGTTGCTCTGAAAAAAGTTAGATATGTGAAAAGAAAGCAAATAACCTTCATTTGACTTACTTCGTAGCGGACTTTAATGACAGTTACCGGCATAAAGGCGAATCCCACAATCGCTCGAGATAATCCGCCTGTCCAAAAATTTTGTGTATTCTTGAAGCTGGACGAATTGCTCTGAGGGTTATACCGTCGCATCCAGTTGAGAACATAGAAGTAGCATGACGATCCAGTCGTCGATCGGAGGATGGAAGGAAGCGTTCCTTTCCATAGGGACGTGATTCCTCCTTCTTTTCGAACTACATTTTGAATGATTTGTGGCAGAGGCAAATGTTGACTTTGTTGCAATCTCGTTTTTAATAGATCCAAAGGTTGTAGAGCAGCACTTGACAGAAATCCTCCTAAAGCACCTGCTTTTAAATGGCTTACTTTTTTCTGTTTAGGCTCCACTGCGCTGGCTGATTGAGACATATGTTCAATTATTACAATGCCAAATATTTGTTTAACAGCAAGCTGCTTTGGTCATAAATTAATGATATAATTGTTATAAGAACAATGAAAATTTTGTAATCAATAAACAAATATCAAAAGCAAGTTTTTTCGACGCACCGATTTATTCTCTTCATATGGGTACCTGGGACGCTTCCCATTCCCTTTCGAGTGTTAGTTCATGAAATTTTGTATCGAAATTAACAGTGATTTCCAGTAATAAGTTTCGAGAATGGAAATAAAAACCGTTTAGCTTATTTTTCCTTTCCTTCCATGCTTTTTGCAGCTGCTTATACCAAATTTTTATGCTTTTCCATGACCGTGTTAGAAATCCCCTTTGTTAAGATTTCATGAATATCCTTTTTTGCTTTAAACATAATAATTAGCTAAATGTCAGTATTTGAAAGCTTCTAATCTTACACATCATGTACTTTGCTTTTTTTGTTTATTAACGCAATACAGTGAACTAAATAACGAGGTGGCTTGCAGTGCTCTTTTCGTTTTGCTTATTTGCGTGCAGATACGTGACAAAGATTGTTCCAGTCTATAAACAAACCAAAGTTGGGATAACCCATCTAAATGCTGATTCAGCATGGATCCTTCGAATACTGTGGAGCAAATTAGTACCGGTTCGATGGGCGAAAAGTATCTTGGATTTAAAAGCCAAGGATTTTATAGTCAATTGTTTGGAAAGGGAAGCTTGCGATACCAATTGCGAGAGTTTCTCTTACCCTACGTTCGCAGTGAAAGTGTATATTTGCATAGAATCCAGGTATGTACTTAAATTGGAAATAAATGTTTTCAAGAACTGTTTCTTTCCTTTTCACCAACATGTTGCGAGGCAGTGTACTAACATATTTATGTAGTCATGTTTACGAAGAACTTGGCTTGACAAGTACTTTTGTTACAGCGCTACCCTTGGAACTCATATATTCTTTATGCTTGCATTGCCAATCTTCTTCTGGTCCGGGTGTATCAACTTTACACTAGACATTACACAGCTGTTTGCAGCCGGTGTTTACTTCAGTGGCATTTTAAAAGACTTTCTTTGCTTACCGCGACCCATGTCGCCACCCCTAATCCGACTGACACTGTCGTCTGATGCCGAATTTGAATATGGATTTCCAAGTACACATACAACCAATGCAGTCTCCACAGGATCATATTCAATTTTCATGCTAATTAGCATGAAAGAATCCATTTCTCCTACCTGCTTTTACGCACTTTTGTCTCTCAGCCTTCTTTACATTTTTTCAATTCCCTTGGGTCGATTGTACTGTGGCATGCATGGATTTATGGACGTAACTGTTGGTTCTTTGATCGGAATCTGTCTATCATGTATACAATGGAAATATGCGGATATTTTCCATTCCGTAAACACTAGCTCGTCCGTGCATGTACCCATAACCATCGTTGCGCTTTCGCTATACCTTATATGGCTACATCCCTTACCTGCTGAAAATTGTATATGCATTGATGATAGTATCTCTTTTGTGGCTGTAATTATGGGAATTGATTTAGGGACATGGCTTTCGTCTCCGGAGTCTATAAATTATTTAATTAAAAATATAGATGCAACTTTCCTTTTGCATTTCATGCTTCGAATCGTTTTTGGTATGTCTCCTATTTCTGTTTACTATCTATTGTTATTACCTTTGCTAACCTTATTAGGTGTTACGATGATTTTTTTCTGGAGGTCGTTCGCTAAACAAGCGGCGTTGTCGCTCTTACCATCAATCTATAAGATGTTTAGAGATGACCAACCAAATGATCCGTCTGCGCCAAAAGGGATCTGTGCGGCTTGTGGTTCGGATTACCAAGTAGGTACCACTAAGACACCTTTGGGTAATGTGTCTGGACACGAGTTATGTTCTAAAACTGTTTGCTTTGACTATGAGACAGTTGCACGAATCGTTATTTATGCAGGAATTGGATTTCTTTCTACTTACTTTGCTCCAATTTTATTTCGCTGGTGGAAAATCTGATTCAATTCTTTTTAATGTGTTCTATTCTCGACTTATCTTTTGTTATATTGTTATCCATCTCCTACAGAGAGCGAGCTTAATTGTTTTGCTTATATTGACTCAGTGGAAGATATAAACCGCATTACTTTGTTTTTCTAGTTTTTATTTTCTTTTGAGACTACAAAAGGCCATCCTTATTTGCTACTCACATCCGGTTTCTTTTACGACTTGTTATTATGATTTTTTCGTTGCGTACTTCCTTGTGGGTTTTTGGTTTCGTCGTTGGTTTAGTTTCTAAATGTATAGGATTATTGTTTTTGAATAGCCTTCTTTTTGTTAATTTAATTCTTTTCAACTTCACGTATTTTAGCGAAAATACTTTTGCTGCCTAAAGGGCCATTGATATTCAAAGCCTAAATATCAAGGTAATTTTATTAAAGAAAATAATATGTTTGTTGAAGTTTAAACCTTTCTATTATAACAAAATAACTTGAGCTGTAAATTTGCTAAATAGTTTTAAAGGATAATTCCGTCCCGGCTACCACTTCTTGAATGTTCCTCTCACAGTTCTAAAGAATACTTCTTGTATTATCACGACCAGACACCAATTATATTTTGTTATACACAAATATTCGTATATTTATGTTTTAAAAGGTTCAGGATTCTATCGTTTGCCTAAAATAGGCGTTAATCATGACTACCTTTATTCGATCTTGGAAACGAGTGACTCTGTTTCAAAAATATGAATTACCCCAAACACTTAGTAGAACAAACGTCTCTGTAGCGTCTTTCGGGAATCAAATATTAGCCTGCAACACTTCGGGAAGGGTAACCTTATACAATTCTTCCTTTGAGGTAAAGCAAGTAATCAATCTGGAACATGAAATAGCTATCCAGCAAATACTTTGGATTGACAATGACCGATTTCTTTTATTTTACAATTTTGGTGAACAGGATGGTCCAAGCTTTTTAGTCATTTACGCTTTTTCATGCTTACAAGATGATATTTCCTCAGAAAAGAAGTTTTCGCTTGTATCATCCAACAAATTTATAGTTGATGAACAACCACATCCAATAGTGGCTGTCTCTGAATCATTAACGGATAAATATTTAGCTTGTGGATTTGGAGGACACGTCTTAACATTTTATGGAACACCTTTTCGTGAAAGAGGACTCCGTATTGCTTTTGACTTCAAGCTATCTGAACCTGTAACTAGCTTGGCGTTTCATAAATCAGAGGATTTAATCCTTTACGTATCCACAACTAACAAAACTTATTCAATTAAAGGAAAGAACTTAACAACTTTGGATACATTGGGCACATCCATCAATTGTTCTTCAGGATATAATGAACAAAATATCTCTACTCTTACGACTACTTCGCCTTCGTTCATCTGTTCTCGGTCTGATGGTCTTACATTTTATTTTCCCTCGCAGGACAAAGTTTGTTTTACATTTCCAGGTGAAAAGCATTTTTTGGCAACTCAAGGTCCAATATTAGCTTTACTTTATTCACCAGCGATAACAGATCCATCTGTAAGCGGCTTACCTAATTCGAGAAAGAGCTTGTCTTCTTCTAACTCTATTTCAGGACTAGAAGGGGACCGTTTGGCAACATCAGTTTCTCGATTACTTCTAATAGATTTACCAAGGAAATTAATTGTTTGGGAAGGTTTTTTGAAGGATCCTTCTGCCCAAATTTTATCCATAGACGAAGGTTTCTTAATATTGACTTCAGTCAATTCTTTACTGAAATTAAAAAGAATTGACCTTAATGATGAAATTTCCATGCTTAGTAAAAAAACGATGTTTGATTTGGCCATTTCCCTTTCTCAAGAGAAGAACATGGATTCATCCTTTCTTCAAAGCCTGATGATAGAATACGCACGCTTTTTATTTCGTAAGGGGGATTACTCTTTATCAATGGATTGGTACATAAAAGCGATTAGATCAGTTAATATACCAGTCGTTTGCCTAGACTTTCTCAAAGCAGAGCGTCTTGATCAGCTAGTAAGATTTATTGAAGCACTTATGCGAAACGATTTGGCAAATTCTGATCTTAAATTACTTCTACTTTCGTGCTATGTTGAAACAAAAAACTTGAAGGGGATTAATAAACTTATCAAGATAGGTGGGTTTACATTTAATCAGGCGTTTGATATTTGTCATCGATCTGGTTTTCTTGAAGAAGCTAAGCACCTTGGTTCTCGATTTAACAATCATGAGCGAGTCATCGACGTCCTTTTAGAGGAAAAGAAATATTCGGAAATTTTGGATTATATGTACGAAATTGCTCCCATTAGGTTACTGCCGTTATTGCTTCGTTTCGGTCGAGTGTTGCTTTCAAATTTACCCAAGGAAACAACTGATCTGTTTATATCATTTTATTCTAATAATCATAAATCCAAGCAAAGCACTCAAACAAAATCCCAAACAAAACATGAGAAATCATTGCGACAAGCTTACCTTTCTCTTCTTCCTTATGCTAATGCTACTCCATTTGGTATATCATCTATATCCGCCGACCAAAGTTCGGAAAGAACCGAAGAAAAAGGGGACAATGAAGAATCTCAAGCGGACGAGTCATACGTTGCTCCAAATCCTCAGACATGTTTTCACATTTTTTTAAATCATAATTCTGAGTTAATACGGTTTTTAGAAGCCGTTTTGCCATATGTTTCTGAAGAATATAAAACACATATAAATACCTGTCTTTTCGAAGCTTACATTCGAGAATCCCATTTTTTACAAGATGAAAATGCTCAAGGAGTTTGGAAAGAAAAGGCTAACTTGCTATTAAAAGATTCAGAAAAGCATTTGGATCTGAATGCTACTTTCCTAATTTCACAGATTCTGGAATTCGATGACGGAGTTAGATTTGTACAGGGAAAGTCTGGTCAAACACTAGATATTTTTCGGTCATTTTGTAAACATGACGATGTTGGCCGTGCAATGGAAATGGTTCATGCTCACGGAGAAGATCAAAGTGAGTTATATATTATGATGCTTAACTATTTCGCCTCAACAAGTCATTTAGAGCCTTGGGCGAAAGAAGTAAAGGAGGTTACAGAATATATTATCAACCATCAACTAATTTCACCTACTCAGCTTGCAGAAATTCTAGGTAAATCAGACGCCATTACTCTGGGCATGATTGAAGAAGCCATAGAAAATGCGACAAACAGGTATGAAAGCCAGATTTCTGAAAAAGAGAAAGGCATCGAAATGGGTAAATCCGAGATCTTAGAATTAAACAAGGAACTTTCCGATCTACGAACGACTGCGTTTGTTGTTCAGGAGTCTAAATGTTCTGCCTGCAATACTGATTTGGAATTGCCAATGGTACATTTTCGATGTAGACATTCCTACCATTTACGATGTATAGAAGATGAATGTATACGCTGTCAATGGTTGTGATTTTATAGAAACGATAAACTTTTTACGAACACTTAAAAAATATTTATTTTATTTATGATCGAGACCACCGATCCAAAACTATGTCATGTTTAACTTGTAGCGGAAAGATAGGATGGAATTATATGAAATTCACTATGAAGTCGTTTTTGTGTAAAATAAATATGAAGCGGAACCAAACAATATAAAGATTATTAGTAGAAAGTTATATTTTCTAACCCAATAAAAGAGCACGAAGTTGATGAATTCAAAGCGATCATTAATGCCTTGAAAGACGAACCAAAAACATAATTGAGCATAATATCGTTCCTCCGGCTAAGGCGAACTCAGTCATAAGCATAGAAAGTTGTTTATGGGTAACTTGTACGACATCAGAAGGAGAAAATATATAGCGTACGATAGCTTTGATGGAATCAGTAAAGGATTTGAAAGACGAAAAATCCAAGGATGGTATTCTTTGAAGAGATTGAAACAAAAGTGAAGAATTTGACGAAGGTTCCTGCGAATGGGAGCCTGTCTTAGAAGAATTCTCTAAATTCAGCGAACCATATTTGGCGACATCCTCGGATATTTTCTCTTCCAAGTCAGATAATTTTTGAATTTGTAATTCCATTTTATCTTTATTTTCCTTCTCAACAAATTCCATGGACTCCTGAACCCAACGTCTCCGTCTCTTTGGTTCCAGTATAAGTTGGACAACAATGAACAATAGAACGTTAATACCCATAAGTCCCCATGTACCCCAAGTACTTGTTTGTCGAATTTTATCACTCCATACTTGTTCTTCATGATACCGAGATAGGATAGATTGCACAAGACCATTCTGTGCATCCTCAATTTTTTCCTCCGTAGATTTGACATTTTCTTGAAGAAGGCTCTCATTTTCCTTATTGGAATAGTCTTCTCTATATAATTTAGTAAACCTTTCAAGATCCGTCGAAGACCAGCTGCTCCGTCTTTGAAGCAATTCATTCACTTCTCGTTGACTGGATGACCTCCTTTCGACAGCCTCTAGGTATGCTCTACGGGCATCGTTCGCTACCTTACGAAGATCCTTTAGTTGCTGTTCTCGTAAAACAACAGTTTTCTTTAAAGATTCAATGGTTGTGTAACCTGTAAACTCATTTAATCTTCGACTAGCTTGTAGCATAGCTTCTCGAAATGAAAATGCTTCCCTTCCGGAACTAGTAGGTGACAGTTTGAAAGAAAACTGCCTAAAAGCATTTGTTACACCATTCCAGTTCACTTTCATAATGTATCTAATTTACTTGAACGTTCGAATGAACGAGTTCTATATGGCTTCGTTTCGTAGTCGCTAAACGAAGTAGTTAAAATTATCAGATCAAGTGGGTATAGAATAGGTAAGTGTTTTGATGCTGTTTGAAGGTTTTTGCTTTAGTTGATGCTTATTATCAGAAAAATATCGTTGAAACAGCTCTAAAATTATTATGCGATAAGTATAGTACTTAAGCAAACATGACCAAACTTTCGTTGTTTATTCTGTTGAGATCAACGGGTAATTTAAAGATTTTAATTTACACATAGCTTTCGTTTCGTATACGAAAGCTTCCGAATTCCCTATTTCATTGTGTAATCTGTTAGTATAACTCTAGCATGTTTTCTTTTTGCCTGTTAGATCTTTTGTTGCCGACTTCTTCGTTTACCTGAGATTACTTAACGCTAGAACACTTATAGCTGCAGAAAACAAAGCCGTTATTTCTTTCGAAAAGATATATTTAGGAATAGGTGAGAATGATATATCGACAATAATTGCTTGGCGTTCAATCTCTTTTGACAGCATGAGAGGAAAGCTTTCTCTAAATTTAAAACATTACAAGGAAACTGTAGCAATTAAACAGGTAAGCGGAGTATTTTCTTATACAATTTATGCATACGAAGGATAATAAAAGAAAAAAGAAGGGAAATTACTTAACCTGTTGAATCTGTACGCCTATGTCTACAACCAATGTAACGATATGACTCCTTTCCCTTTTCATCCAGAGATTAAACCCATAAAGTTTTAGTTCGATTTCTTCATATTTAACAATTCCAAAACCAAAGAATTTCTTATTGATCCTGTTTGATCTTTTAGAGGTTATGCAACATTTCGGCTGAGTTGTATAAATAGTAATCTACAACATTACAAAACAAAACAAAATAAATGAAAGAAAATAAAAGAAAATAGGGAAAGGTATTCAAGATTTTCTAAATCCGTCCTCTCTCGTTATAGAATCGAATATCCAGCTTACGAAATTCCATTGTCAAACACTTTATAGCGGTCGTGGTTGTCTCTTCTGACATACCATATTCCAAACAAAGAAAAGATCTTACAAAACAGTTTCAAGACAAAATTCTTTACTTAATATTATGCCTGCGAATAAACAGTTATATGTCTTCAGCGACTTTGACGGTATGAAAACAGATATACTAAGAACGATTCTTAAATCAGATGTTGAGAAGCTCACACCTAACATTTAGGTACCATCACTCAACAAGATTCAAATGATTATTTGACTGGTAAGTAGTCTAAAATTGGAAAGAAATAAAAGGCTTTTCCTTGTAGGCATATCTGTTCTATACACGTGCACATGTAAAGTCCACGGTTTGACATGTCTAAAACAAGAGAGCCTTCTTTGTGACAAAGAAGTTTTAGTGCTATTTTAGAAGATAGAAGCTAATTGTTTTCATTAGATAACTATGGTATGGGTCAAGCTATGCGTGTTCAGTTGAACCAAGAAATCATCCAAGGAAAACTCAGCTTTCGGTATGTGACAATGGATTCATATTACATATGTTAACCAATTCTTAGTGATGGATTTGCTCAAATGCTCAACAGTGTACCCTTGAAGTATGAAGAAGCTCTTGAAACTCTAAAGAAGAACGTTGCCATTGATCCCGACTTTTCTTCTTTCTATGAATGGTGTAAAAAAGAAGGTGTACGTTTGGTCATTCTCTCTAGTGGAATGGAACCCTTCATTCGCAGTCTTTTAGAACAATATTTGGGCAAGGAAGAAGCCACCAAAATTGAAATTGTCTCCAATGACATCAATGTTCATGAAGATGGCACTTGGAATATAGTATATCATGACGATACCCATTTCGGTCACGACAAGAGCCTTACCATACGCCCCTATGCTCAACTACCTGAAGAAAAGCGACCTCATATGGTCTACTGTGGAGATGGTGTATCTGATTTAAGTGCCGCCAAAGAAACTGAGCATTTATATGCAAAGAAGGGTCGTGATTTGATTACCTACTGCAAGAGGGAGAACGTTTCCTATACCGAATTTGAGACGTTCGCTGAGATTCACAAAGCTCTTATTGAGTTCAAGTCCGAAAACGTTGATAAAGCCTAATCGTTCCGTTTTAAACGCTCATTTTATACAATTCACTGATACCCAAATGAAATTGTTTAGCTTAACGTAGTTTTACTCATTAGGCTGAGATGTAACCACTTAAAAAACTCAAGAATCTTGAAATAAGGCAGCATAGCTACCTGCTGAGTATTTTATCGAAAACCAAAGACGATAACTTCATAACAGAAACTCTATAAAATATATATATGAAATTCTGTTCATTTACTACTTCCACCTACAAGCCTTGCTATTTAAGTCCCGTATTTTAGACGAATTAGTGATGTTTTGCTTTCCTATTTACTTACTGAATTTGAAACCATCCCACTAATGGAAATTGGGTTATATTTCCAAAGCTTTTTTATTATTAATAATTATTTTTCTTTCTTTTCTTTTCTTTTATTCTTTATTTTATTTTAATTTTTTTCTTTTCTATTATTTCAATACCTTCTTGCCGTCAACAACAGTTGTGTATGAATACGTTTCTTACCATTAAGAATCATTCTTCCGTTACTCAGCAAGTGGTCACTTGACTCTTTTCCTTTACCAAAAACTAGCTGAAGAGTAGTCAGCTTTTTAAAAGAAAACAGAGGAGCTCTCTTTTATATATCTTTTGATCAAAAGGTATACATCTTCCGTCTCTTTTTGTTTGGGAACGTTCAGACGTAGTTTCAAGAGAGGTTGATACTAGTGGTCTGCTCCCAAAAAAAAGAAACAATCTCAATAGCAACGATATAGTTCAATTAAATAAAACCACTATAGTTCTTGATACGTTCGACTTCTTTACTTATTTTTGGATCTATTCAGCAACAGCGTTTGATTTGCATTAACGATTGATTTAACGATGTCAGAATTAACCGGTTCCAGAGCTGATATAGACCGCTGGATTGAGCAGCTGTCGAAATGTGAGCCTCTTTCTGAAGATGATATTTATCAAATGTGTGAATTGGCCAAAGGTGTCTTAGCTAATGAGTCGAATGTGCAAAGTGTACGATGCCCTGTAACTGTATGTGGTGATATCCATGGACAATTTCATGATCTACAAGAGCTGTTTAATATTGGAGGACATTCTCCTGATACAAACTATTTATTTATGGGTGACTATGTGGATAGGGGATACCACAGTGTAGAAACCGTCTCATTGCTCGTAGCGCTCAAAATACGATTTCCTCACCGCATTACCATTCTTCGTGGTAACCATGAGTCTCGGCAAATTACTCAAGTTTATGGATTTTATGATGAATGTCTTCGCAAATATGGCAATGCCAATATATGGCAATGCTTTACTGATCTCTTTGATTATTTGCCTTTAACAGCCTTAATAGAAGACAAAATTTTCTGCATGCATGGAGGTTTATCTCCTAGCATTGATACCTTAGATCATATCCGAATCCTTGACCGTATCCAAGAAATACCACACGAGGGCCCCATATGTGATCTTTTATGGTCAGATCCGGAGGATCGTCCCGGATGGGGAATTTCACCTCGCGGTGCTGGCTACACGTTTGGACCAGATATCGCCGAAACATTCAATCACAACAATGGCTTGGACTTGATTGCCAGAGCTCATCAATTAGTAATGGAGGGCTACAATTGGACAAATAGCCATAATGTAGTAACGATTTTCTCGGCACCCAACTATTGCTATCGTTGTGGAAATCAAGCAGCTATCATGGGGATCGACGACCATATAAATTATGCCTTCATCCAATATGAAACGGCTCCTAGAAAAGAAGAATTGAGAGTTACAAGAAGGACACCAGATTACTTTTTATAATTCTTTTATTCTTACTCTTACCCCTACCCCTATGACCTTATGATAGTGTTTGGCAACTCGTTGTTAATTTATTCAATTGTTCTTCTTCATGCTTTATTTAATAAACAAAGCTTCCAACCGACAGTGTATACTAGGAAACTAGTACACGTAATTCTTATAATCTGTGATATTATTTGCCTAGTCTTATAATTGAGACACATCATGTAATATAGTCTAAAAGGAAGTTTGCAGATAAAAAGCCAATTTTACAGTTCTAAAAAAAGATTGAACGAACCTCTGATTTCGATGTGTTGTATATTTCCCGACTCCTTGCAACAGCTACATAATCATCGTGACATTTAAGACATGTCTAAATAAGACAAGGAGAGATAAACATTAGTATCATGACAATTCATTATTCATATAAAAAATCCGCTTGTAAAGAATATTTAGTTCATTACCAATAAGCGCTCCGTAAACCGTAATAATTTATTCATCAAGTCTAAATAATAGTTAGCAAATATTTACAATACTTCCTTCAACTAACATGTACTTTTCCAGCATGGCACAGTTTCCACCATGTTTAAAATCAACCACAAAGCGATAGTATTGTCCACTGTAAGAGATTACCTGTACGTGAGGTTTTGACGAACAAAAGACAATCTTTCCGGAAAATGACGACTCCGGTATCTTTGCTGTAGCAAACTCCTTTACAGCTTCCAGTGGTTTAGTGACATTGGACTTCAGAAATTTCGACCAGTTGGATGAGCTACTCACTGAAGAATCAGGAGAATGATTAGTTTCGGAAATGCTTTGTTTTGACAATTTAAAGATGTGAATAGTCCCATTTTCGGAGGCACAAGCCAAAAATGGTTCTTTTGGATGAAAAGCAATCGAAACTACAGATGCAGGCAAATAGCCACGTCTCAATTCCAAAATCTTTTCCCCTGTTGATGTTGACATAATGCGTATGACAGTACCTTTCGAGGATGCTGTGGCTATTACATGTCCATCTGGGTGGAATTCAATACATCGTACCGGACTTGAATGGCAGTATAGCAGTGTAATGGGCATCGCCGTCTCCAATGAAGTCAAGTATACATGCCCTGGAACTTGCGGTGAATTGTAAGCAATAAACGATTCATTCGAAGAGAACGCAATTTTGTTTGAAGAAATTGTTGCCAAAGTGTTAATCAAATTTAGATTCTTTAGAGCGTAAACATAGATGGTTCCCTTAATGACTACAACCAAACGAGTAATAGTGAGATGTGCATTCAGTACCGGAGTAGGATAGAACATGTTACAAAGATCAACATTTTTCTAAGATCATTTATGTTAATAAAATATATTTCTGAGTGAACGAACCTTTATATCAACGAGCTTAAGTAATCGAGTAGATGCAGGCGACACCTGAACAAGCGCAACAAGCGAAGATTGATTAAGCATTTCGCATAGAGCAACACCGTATGTTTCTAATAGACATTATCATCAACCCTAAAACTGCTGTCTTGCGGCCGTAATCTTACCTTTCGAGAAGCGTAAAGTGAATGGATCGCATTGATAAATTTGAAGTCCCGTTTCTGTCCCAACTGAGAGGAAACTAAATGAATGATTTGTCAATGATAAATCTTCGACGAGGTACTCACCGTTGATCCTGGTTCCATGAACAATGTAATACGATGGGGGCCATAATATCGACAAATTAAGTTATTTCTTGTAAAATTTATGGAATTAAAAGGATTTGAAAACTCAGGAATACTTTTTATGTGTAACACCATTAAGCACCCGGATTTGCTTCATAGGATTGTATATCTTCCTAAGTTAAATTCAATGCAGTGAGAAATCCGGTGAATGGTTTCAATGTACTTAGTATTAATAAAAGATTAATTGGTCACAATTTCTGTTGTTTTTCGTATATGGTAATCGAATTGACAAGAGCAGTTTTTGAGAGAACCGTCGGTGTTTCACTATGAACAACTACGTTTGATGAAGCTAAGGGTTTGGTAAGAGCCTCTGGAAGAAAAACGAATAAATAATTATCCAAAAAATACAGGCATATATAATTAATTTTATCAAGATCAATGGATCCCATAGAGTGGGAACGGGAATTCGAAAAAATTATTGTTTTTCGAAATACAGTTTTGGAAGGTAAACATAGCCAGATTGAGGTACCAAAAGAAGCTAAGTTGAATTTCTTAAAGGAGAAGCTTTCGGCCTCTATAAAAAATGGAAGTAAAAAGAGGGAACACTCGCAAAGCGTTACATTACAAGAGGATACCAGCTTGGATGTGAAGGATGCAGAACCAAAGGTTAATAAAACCTCTAATTCAAAGAGATCAATAAGCGAGACTCCATTAATAGAGGAATTAAATCCTGTCTCTAGCGAGTTTACAAATATTCCTGGATTGGGATTATCTCGAGTACAAAAAAGTGAGGGATCATTGGAGACATTGAATCGAGAACACGTAGATTTAAGCAAAGAAGAGAAGCATGGTAAGGACGATAATATAGAAAAAGGACATATGGAAGAATCACCTCTTTTACCTTCGAGATTACCCGATCTTTCCAATATGCCGTGTCAAGAATCAGCTTCAGACGAAACAGGGAAGCCTGAGAAAATTGAGCAGCAAAGGGAATCTTCTAAAATTCAATCATTTGTTAGTAAAAGTCTTGAACAAATAGACGTGCAGTCTGTTAAGCAGGCTTCCTCTCACAAAGACTCGCAATCTGCTTCTGACATACCGTCCCCTCCTATGTCCGCGTTTGCACCTTCTAGAGTCTCTGCTCCATCACCTCCACGTGTTCCTAGCTTCTCTGTTCCAAGCTTAAAACATATTCACTCACCGGTGAATGACTTGTCTTCTACAAATGCAGAAAAAGTTCCAACACATCTTAAATTTCCTTCGCCACCTCCATCAGCAGCTATTCAGCAACCATCAAAAAATGTTTATTCTTCATCTTTAAAGGATGAATCTGCAAACGTTACCGTCAAAGACGAGGAGTTATCACCTCGACCCCCTTCTTCGGAGACACTACCTAGTTCGTCAAAACCTTTGGAGCTTGAACAAGCATATAGTTCGAATCGGGTACCTTATGAAATGAATCATTCACATACAACTATACGGCGTATTCCGGATTTACCTTCCAACGAAGTGTATTCCGTTCCCGCTGATGCTGGGTTGTCTCGACCTATCTATAATTCTGAGGTTACCGGTGTTCGTTATTATCCTTACGAAATGAATATGACAAGGATGCATTCTCCTTATCCTGCAACTTTTGAATCTATGAGTGTTCCTCCTGGAAGTTCGGGGCCTCCTCCACAGTTTGCATCCTACAATAGGGATGCATCCTATTTTCCACAGCATTATCATCCTGCAGAATATTCATCGAAGGAAATGCAAAACATTAAAGCAGCACCACTTTATGGCGATTTTGAAAGTTATAACGATCAAAATAACTCTTCATCCTCTTATTCTCCATATTATCATCATCGTATGAGAAGTACCAATGCTTTTCCTCAGATACAGGGGCCACCTTATGTTTCTGGTTACTACAATCCAACAGCTGTGGACTACAGGAGTAAAACTCCAAACCCTGCGCTTCATACTTATCCCATGAACAACCGTAGTTACATTAACTATCATCAGAGTGGGAGCTACAACTACTGAATAGCTTTTTTTGAGATTTTTTATTTTTTTTGGATTATAGTGGTTCCGACTTTCAGTTTTGGAAAACTAGAATTTTGCATATATATAACAGAGTTATACTGTTTTAGAAGCTTATTTATTAATCTTATGATAGTTTAATTGTTATTTTCTTCAGAGTACAACGATGAACGAAGTATTAGAGTTTCCTACTAACAAAACAATATATGTAGAGCCAGATTATCACAATGCTCGTTTTTTTATCTCACCAAATATCTGAATAGTACTTGCTTGTGTGTAACTATCGATTCTGTGAACTAGAATCCAAAGGCTACACGAGATCGTCGCCAACCAAGAGCCAAGACTATCCTCTGTAAAGTAACCCATTGTATATGGGCTTGATTACTGTAAGCTTTCTACATTATCATTATAATGCATACTAAATACTAAATGGAATAGAGAATTCAAAACCTTGAAAGGTCTGGAATATGGGTGTTAAGAAATAGTCTAAAGAATACCGTCCGAGATATCCAGAAACAAAAGAATATCCCATTGAATAAAAAACAAGAAAAATTGAATTCACTTGGACAACGATATGTTGTGAAAGGACACAAGCCACGGCCAAACGCAGCTTTGTTTCTGTCTAGCAGATGGGATGAAACAGCAAAGGCATTAGAAGAGTCATTACGCGCAAACCAAATCAATGAATCAACGTCTATTGTTTTAATTGATCAGCCGTATATGATTACAGAAAAAGTGATTCGGATTCTAACCCAAAGAGGGTTTACAAGAGTTTCTTTATATGAATTGACTACGAAACGTTTTGGTTTACAGCATAAAGGTGGGAAAATTTATCTTTCAAAGGTCCCTTTCCCTTTTAGATATGATTTGTTAACGAAACAAGAAGAGGAATTTGATCCTATGAATCAAGACTTCTACAAGACGACAGATTTAGTCAGTTTCATTTTCAATTCAGAGAAAGTGAAGAAACATTATATACCCTACAAAGATCTACTTGTTTATAAGCTGCTAGATTTAGCGACATTGCCTTTTATTGCAGCTCTTGAAACACTATATTCTTGTCGGGGGAATCCTACCAGCAATCAGGTCCAGTTTGAGTATGGGAAGAAATATCTCTCGGAGAATATGGAGATTATTAATAAGCTTCCTATATCAAGGTATGTAAGCTTTACCCGGTTTAACACTCCAAGGTTTTATCGTGTAGGATGTCACACAAAGTCAATCTTCCGTAACGTTCCGTTAAATCAACTATTGAAAAAAAACGAACTTTTAACAATGCTCGATTTCTTAATATCAAAGGGGAATGAATTACAACTACCTACTACCTATAATTCTTTTTTTCGTGATACTTTAAAGTATTCTGATGAATTGTGACAAACTGAGAAACCATCAGACCCCTCTGAAAATACATGAATTGAGGTTGACAATGCGTCTACGAAAAAATGTTAAAACACTGGAAAAGTACAATACTTCTATGAAAAATCAGAAAAAATACTTTATTAGTTTGGGTAATTAATACTAATGTGCAACAATTCAATACCCGCAATTCATCAGTTTTTGAGTTTTAACTATTTAATTAATCACAGAGGACTACTAAATAAAGAACAAAAACTATATTAATTCCTGGTTTAATGAGAGAGTTATTGTTTTTTATTGTTATACGTAGAACTTTCGACATTAGATGTACCAGATGTATCCACCTATGCTAAAATCTCAGTATCTTCCTACTAGCGGCCATTCGTCCTCATCCGTGAAGAGTAGCTGAAAAATACCAAGAAAAATTCTTTAAATAGTCAATTGTTTATTTCTTTTTGTTTTCTTTGAGGTTGATCAATCTGAAAGGTAAATTGACAATTTTATACGTACGGCCTGCAAGAGGGGGTACTTCCTTCATAAAAATCGTAAATATATATCCTTTAATGAGTTGTTTAATAAACATTTAATAAATTGGAATGGACGCGAATCGAAGAGTGCGGTTTAACACTGAAAGAAGGCACTTCTTAAATACTAGCCAAACGCCGTATGCTAGCCCGACTTCCTATCAACGACCGCCTCCCTCCTTCTCAATAGAAGAAGGAGACGAAGAATCTGATGAGGATGATGGACCCCAATTTCTCAACGTCCATAGAGCTCCTTCACCCGCTGTTATTCATAGACAGACGGGGTCTGCTGGTTCTGCGGAAAACGGAAACTTGAATATTCCTTCATTACCAAGTCCTGTTGCCTCTAGGCCTGTTTCTGATAACAATAGCATTGATGAACGTTACGCCTCAAGTATTCGAACCCAGAATAGTCCAAATCATTCACTTACTAATTTAACTAAAAGGCCTACTTTGGATCGAAGTCATTCTGCTCCTATGATTGGGATAAGTCACATGGGAAACAATTCTGCTCCAGATTTGACTTCTACTGCCCCTAAAATGCCGCCATCTGTAAATGAAGCTTATAAGCTTGTTGCAGCTCATACCTCGGCAAAACTGGAACACATGAGATTGAGTGCAATGAAAAACACAGGAGAAAATGCTGATGAAGAGATTGAAAAAGATCCTTTTGAGGATGAATTAGACCTTTTAAATCACCCTAAGAATTACAAGGCTGGTGTTCTTTCTAGCTTGCTAAAGCTATATACAAATGCTGACACGGTTACGTCGAGTAGAATATCTTTAAAACAGCCAAATGCTTCTAAAATACAAAAACAATCACAATTATCTTCAAGTCATTCCCTTACAGATCTTATGCGTGCATCAAATCAGACGTTTATGGGTCCAGCAGTGGGATTTCAATCTCGTGATGATTTATCGGATCTTCCCAGATTAGCGAATCAGAAACACAAGAAGTTTCACTTTCCACATCATTCAAAGAAGCCTTCGTCTTTAAATGAAAAATACAAGATTACCGTTCACTTGGCAGATGTATTACAAAGGCAAAAATACATTTTAAAGCTTTGCCGGGCTCTCATGACTCATGGTGCGCCAAGTCATCGGTTGGAGGAACACATGTCTTCTACTGCAAAAGTTTTGGAGATCGAGGGACAGTTTTTATATGTTCCCGGTTGTATGATAATATCATTTGGAGATACAAACACCCATACTTCTGATATGCATATTGTTCGTGTTAATCAGACGGTCGACTTGGGGAAATTGAAGTTAGTTCACGATGTTTATAAAGCGGTTATTCACGACCTGATGAGTGTTGAGGAAGCCATCAATGGACTCGACACTATCTTGAAATCACCCCCTTATTTTAAGACTTGGATATTAGTCGTAACCTATGGTTTTGCAAGTGCTTTTATTCTGCCAATTGCATTCTCCGGTGGTTGGATTGATCTCCCAATCTCTTTTTTTTTGGGTTTGATTATCGGAACTCTTCAACTACTCGTCGCTCCAAGGTCACCCTTGTACAACAGTCTCCTGGAAGTCACTGGTTCAATTTTAACGTCCTTTTTGAGTCGAGCATTCGGAAGTATATTTCGCGATCATGCAAGTAAGTCGAATCCTATATTCTGTTTCGCGGCTTTAGCGGAAGGTGCGATCGTGCTAATTCTTCCTGGTTATATCGTCCTGTGCGGATCTCTTGAATTACAAAGTAAAAACATTGTCGCAGGAAGTGTTCGAATGTTTTATGCCATTATTTATTCCCTATTCCTGAGTTTTGGTATCGCTATAGGTGCGGCCCTGTATGGATGGATGGATCATCATGCAACTTCGGAATATACTTGCAGTGTTGATCGGTATATTGACGATAAATGGAGAATTTTGTTTGTTCCTCTTTTCACTGTTTGCTTGTTAATTGTAAACCAGGCACGACCATCACAATGGCCAGTGTCTTTGTTCATATCTTGTGTTGGTTACGTTGTTAATTATTTCACGACTCAAAAACATTTTAAGAACACGGCGGCCATAGGAAACGCTATAGCAGCTTTTGTTATTGGTTGTCTTGGAAATCTATACTCTCGTTTAGGGCAGGGTGTAGCATTTGCTGCCGTTTTGCCAGCCATCTTCGTGCAAGTACCTTCTGGTTTGGCTGCCCAAGGTGGTGTTAAGTTTGGAATCGATTTGGCTACCCAAATTAGTAACCAAAGCAACTCAACCGCTACCGATGAGTCTTCTTTTAATAGTAGTTCTCTCTCATTTGGTATAAACATGGTGCAGATAGCTATCGGCATTTCTGTTGGTTTATTTGCCTCTGCTTTGGTCATTTATCCTTTTGGAAAACGTCGTTCAGGTTTGTTCAGTTTTTAAAGAACAATTTTTTGTATGCATATCCTTTCTTATTTACATTCCCATATCTTGAAGAAGTGTTTTATTGTTAGATATGATTTTGTTGCTATGATTATGATTTCTTAAGGATTCTCACTTGAAAGATAAAAGTTCGGTGTTGGAGTTTTTTATTGTTATTATTTATTTATATGGTAATGCCTTTTAAACCATGTTGAATTATCGTTATGCATTTATACCTGGTTTATTAATTTATAATATTGTTAGTACTCCTGGAGTTGTATTCACTAGCCCGATTATTTATTTTTAATTCATAATAAAAAAGTAGACTAGCTCATTTACGTTGCTGAAAGATTAGTAGTAGGCACTACTAAAAATGGCATATAAATATATCAGAAAGTCAAGTAATCGAGAAAATATACTTATGAGTTATAGTAGTTCACGCAACCATACCTCCATTACTTGGATCAAGAGTGTATTCAAGTTTACTAAGTATCTTTGATACTGACAAAATGCTCATAAGCTACTGCTTATTTTCACGAACATGAAAACTATAAGACAAGATTTAATAACTCGTTCATAAAATAAGTTAGGAAAGAAACGTATAACAGCTTTTAGCTAAAGGCACAGGTCTCATTTAAAGCTTACTCTCTTCATTACGCCTGTTCTTGAATTTTTTTTTTTTTTTACTAAGATTGTCATATTAATTAGATAAATTACTGTAAGAAATTATTTTTTTTTCTTTTATATACATCATGTCACTTGATCAAGATATACATTGTTATTGCTTTCACTTTAAGGTAAACTGTGGTTCAAATATAATATCTGGTCAGAGCACACCATGGAAGAAGAAGAAGAAATAGGTCCTAGATGGTACAGACTTCTTGCAAAGTCTCAGAAAACCTATTTGTTACTGTATTTAATCACGAATGCCAACTTATCGGAGGCTAAATTTGTATATGGAACTTTGTCATTGACATTGGAAAACTGGCTGTCTCTACTAGTTAAGTTCTTACCAGAAACAACCGAACCCGACGTCTATATCCCTTACATAGATGTTGAGAATGATCAAGGAGAGATTTGTAACACGCTGGATGTGGCTTCCACTGTGAAACTTCCTTCAGACAAGCTATGCCAATATCGTTTGAGACAGATGGGACTTTGGGAAAGCAGTCTCCCTTCAATCCAAAACGTTCCTCAGTTCTATTCAATATTTTCTAGGAAGATAGTTGAAGAAACAAATCAGGTGCAGTTGGCTTATCTATTAATGAAAAGCTCGCAAGCGCCTTCTGAAATCAGAGAATGGAGCAGCGGACGGTTTGAAGTATTTCACCGACTTTCTCAATTTACTTCCGTACCAGTTGATTTGGATGAAATGGAGAAAGCTTCTATTCGTGATGTAATTTCTCTTTCTTTCCCTATTTTAAGTGTTGAAAACTGTGTTGCGATATTGAGCGAAGTCATTTTTCCTTTTATTCTATCTACAGAGTCAGAATCTGAGGGTTCACAGAACAGTTGGTCGTACGTATGGGAGAAATTACTTCAGTTAGTCAAAACGGATGGTTTAGAGATATTACATGAACTAATTATTCATTGGATTATTGAAGATACGAAGCTTCAATTAATGTTCATGAAAGTCGCTTTATCGTCTCTTTATATTTGCAACGAAACAACATCGACTTCTTTGTCATTGGGAAAACGAATCCTTGCAAGTATTCAGGAAAAATTGAGACTCACCACTACCCCTTATGATAATCTTCTGAAAGTACCAGTGGAGAATTCTATAGAATTTTTTTTATCCAATGATAATAATCTTACGAATCCAACAAGCGAGTCCGTTACGTTGTTGAGTCGTATTTTAGATGCCATTCCAATACTTGAAACCGCTAACGTCTTTCCCGTTCCAAATGTGCGAGCTTGTTTGAACATATCTAACTCAGATACGGCAGCACAGGAATCATTCCTCCAAAAGTATATTTCTAGTTCTCTCGGTGAATTGAAATCTACGGACTACAATGATTGGAATAATGTTTTCTCTTTCACACTCTCCTGGAAGAGTCAAAGTCTATTTTTTAATAAAATAGAATCAAACGATATTTCCCTCATATTTTTGAAACTGTTGCTATCAACATCAAATTTCAATGTTTTAGAAAACATGAAGGATCGATTAGCATTGCCTGGTATACATCCGGATATACTTCAAGATTGTATGGAATCTAACTTTTATAAAAATTTCCGAGCGGCTTCTAGTATGAACAAAAGTCGTGGAAAATTAAATACTGCATATAAAGTTCTGAATGTTTTTAGTGAATGCATCAGTCTTACTCCAACTCGTCGTCGCCTGAATTCTCTAATTAATACTGTGGATTTAATTAAGCAATATCATTTTCTAATAGAAAAGGGAAAACCGCTATCGCCTACGCAAATAGAGGAAAATCTAAATCCTGATAAATTGCTAGACTTCATTATAACACAAGATGACCGTTCATATCAACAAGTCGATGATTTGATGGCCCTTGTGATTGAAACTTATAAAGCCTGCGGAAAATTCGAATACACGAATGCTATTACCCAACTTCACCAAATTACAGAGCAAGTTGTGAATCGGTGTGTAGATGCCGCATTGTTGAAAAGCGATTTAATTATGGCAAAGCAATTGGTTGAAGACAGACTTGTTACGCTAGCCGAATCTAGTGTTGGTATGCGGAAAACGATATACAAAACTTGTTTCAGAATTGGAAAAACACCCTTAAACGACCATCTTTCACGTGAAATAAGACTGGAAATGCTGCAACTTGCTATTGCTAATGCTCCTAAAGAAGAACTAAATGACGTCGTAAATTACTGGACAGAATTTGAGTCAAACAAAGAAAGAAATGAAACTGAAAGCGACCTGGATGTTGATGCTTTCCCAGAACTTAACGAATCTATCAATTACGAAGAATTACAAGAAAATGAAGATGAATATGACTTTGACAAGGAATGGTCTCTCGCTGCAGCCGAAGTAGATTCACCCGAAAAAGGCGATACCGATGTAAATTATAATGAATCTGGTCCTACAACCCGTTCCTCTCGAGAGTTGTCACATAACGAAGAAGAAGATATAGCCAAGAAGGTTACTGAAACATTCACCAGTGGTTTAGGATGGGTCTTAGGTGTTCCTCAAAATTGAATATTATATGCATGTGAGCAACTACTACCATCATGGTTTGTACTCTACGTAAAAGTTATAATTAACGATAATATAATTTATCAAAAACGATTCTTTTCCATAATTATTGAAGATGAAAGATAGAAAAGTAGATTGTATATTAAATCGGATGGCGTAAAAGTAAAATAATTAGCGAAGGAGACGAGCTAATAATCGATATTAATTCACAAGATAAAATAATTAATTATTCCTAAAATGTTAGTTTAAAAATGACTATTTTCTTAATTAAAAACATACCAAACTTCAGTCATTAACCTTTGAACGGTATTGAGAGCTTCAAACCGAACTTCTGGATCAGGATGGCTCATAAGTTCCATAATACGTTGCTTCATGCCATACTTTACCAAAACGCTTTTACCTTTCGGGTAATATGTTATGTATGCACCCAAATCATGGCATGTAACAGCTAACGAAGTAGAGTTGTCGTTGTTTTGTAAGTTTTGAAATAACTTCTTAAGCAGGGCGTAGTTATCAGAATTGAGTTTTGTAACATTCTCCATCCAAAATTGTTCTGAGCGATGAGAAGGGGACCATTGTAGATGGCCGCTATTAACTTCGGATTTGTAAAAATCGAAGGTGGATAAGTGTTCGGAGCTTACTTCCAGAGTAGAAAGGATATAGTCCATATAACCAAGGATTTCTTCGTCGGCCCACTTTCTTCGCTGAAGGACTTTAACAACTTTATCAACATTTTCAATGAGCATAGTGAATATATTTTCATTAGGAGCTTTTTGCAAAAGATTGGAAAATATTGCAAGAATCAAACGGTAAACTTTGATTTTTGTATCTGATCTTGCGATCTGGACCATTACCTTGACCAAATCAATGGGTTGGTTAATTTCTTTAGAAATTGGGCTCTCAAAGGTAAGTAACCAAAAGCAGAAAAGGGAATAATACTGCACTTGGGAATCAGAAGCAGTTCTAAGTAGCTCAGCTAAACGAGAAGGACAAGAACCTTCTGCCCATACTGCATAACGATGAGCTTTTAGGCTCAATATAGCAGCAAGACACTGAGCGGCAAATAAACATAAATTGTTGTCCGAGCTTTTCATAAGTTTGCTTAAGTATTCTAAAAACACAGTGAACATCTTGGGGCAACTGCAGGCTACATATAAGTTTGATAAAGCAAACACACGAGCGAATAATAACTTTTCATCATCAGCAAGGTTGTTGAAGTAACTGAAAAGTAAGTTAGTACGTGTAAAACTCAATAAGAAAATGTAAGTTTAATTCTATGTTGTACTATCACATACGTATCATTTTCTTTGAGGAATTTGAAGAATAACGGAATAAAAAATAAAGAAAAGTCCTTGGAATCTAAGTTGGACAAGTTAGCACTATCGTCTTTTACGGCAAGCATACTTAATAAAGCGTCCGCAGCCTTCACAAAAGCATAGTGTAAAATACCAGGGTTCGTTGTAATCGAAAACAACTTCAAAAACAAATTCGTATACAATTTTACATCCTTTATAGTCGTTAGTTACGGATCCGAAAACAACAATAAAGATCAACGATCAGAATCCACAATGAGAGAAGACTTACAGATTCGACAATCATTTTGAAGACATCTATTGGTTTTCCAACGATGCTAGAAATTAACTCGTATTCATCCTCGGTCAAGACGCCCGACCTTTGAAAACCGTGCCAAGGAATTGCTGCACTGCGAGCATTGTCTACGATACTGTCAACTTTGAAATTATCCAATGCGGCCGGAGCAGGAGAGGCAACACTCTAAATTAATAATTATGTTAGTATAAGAATCTTCAACTAGGAAGGGCAAAGCTGATTCCAAAATACCTACTTCAAAGTTAATGTCATCAGAAGCCATTCTACTTTAGATTTCTTGGTTCTTTCCGTAAAGGGTCTTTAAAAAAAAATATATATATATATAATACGAATTATTAGAAGAGAAATATGTTATGCTTAACGTCTGCTCTTCAACCACAGAGTTATATGTGTGTTTTATAACTGTACGAAAGATATAGGCCTAAAGGAGGAATTTCCTCCACAAAAGATTATATAGACGGACATGCTAGTTTTTACATAATCTTTCTAGTAAACTTACAATTGATGTTTAAATAATATTTTTGACATGTAAAAGTATAAAATAAAATATTTTGATAAAAATGACGGACTCTCAAGCATAATCCAAGACTGGAAAGTTGAGTACTGTATGCAAGCAAAGAAATTTCATTATGCGCATTGATATACATTTCCTTTTGAAATTCAGATATTTTTTGCTTTTAGGAGAACTATGCATATAAGACATCGGTTCGATTGAGTACAATGTTGATTCCATCTTTTGACCCAAGAATTATGAAACGAGTTTTAATATAACTAACGTTGAACAAAAGATTTAAAATGGTGTCGCAAAAACCTCGTTTCAACTCAAGTATTTATTTAAGGTGTGTGTTTGTTCAGCACTTCTAAAACATTGCTTTAAAGGTATCGTATACAATGATACCATGAAGCAAGCAATTCGTGAAATTATATTCAGCCCTTTATGGTCGTTGTTTTTTGGTATATGTCATGTTTTATACAATATTCTTGCAATTGCTGTCGCATTGGTAGGTTGAAGACATACGTAGGTAAATAAACAGAATGACCAAAATGGTCTACTTAGAAGTTTCAAATTGGCAACCTGTAGGTAAGATAAATTTGGTAATTACCAATTGCTAGTGAATGCAGCTTCTTTTAGGCTGTAAGCTTAAGATTGATTCCTCCTTTGTACAAAAGATTGCCTATACTCTGGTAATTCATGCATCCCAGTTTTAATCGATTGGGAAAAACTAAGTATTTGTTCAGTATTTTCCAACGGGGATCCTATTTCTCTCGTAGTAAAGGTGAAGTACGTATAATAACAAACAATGCAGAAACTCGAGGGATATCAACAAGGACTAGAAACTCTGAAGATCTTCTTTCGGGCAAAAAAGCACAACTATACAAAGTTGTCTAAAATGAACTGAGAAACATTGGTTGCTTTCGTTCTGTATCTAATAATCCATGATTGTAGTTCAAGTTTGATGGAGTAAGAAACGATTCAATGAAAGTTTCATCTGCTCAGATAATTAGTAAAGTGAATAGAAACCAGGAGCCTCCTTTTAAACGATTGCCTTTTCATTTATTATAGAAAATTAAACATGAAAATAAAAATGAGCAACATTGAGCTAATCTAAAACAAAAGAAACCAAAGAAAAACAGAAATCATTGTATCCGCACATTTAGTGATTCCTGCTTATTAGGTTAAACTGTCAAGAAAGCAGCTTTGGGTTTTTACGTAAAGATTCTCAAGAAACAAACTCGCCGACCATTTTGTTTCAGTTTTCAATTGTATTTTTATTTATTGAAATCACTGGAAATACTTCCAACAGTGAACTGAACCATATTCATGCGTATGGAACAAAGCTTTGGGGTTTAAAATGTTACAATTTCAACTAGAGACTTGGGTGCTTTTATTTCAAATCGAGTTGGCTTTATATTATGTAAGTACAACGATCAGTGTACTTATTGTACCAAACATATCAAAGTGGGAATGGTTGACAAATTACAGCGGTCATGGAGATATTAAAGGTAATGACAGGCATCGGCTTCTTTCAAGGCTACAGGTTCCTAAACACTGGTTCTGGCACTTCTATGCATTTGGATTTCTACTGATCGTGTCCTATGTGTACTTTTTGCTTTCGACTTTGCGGCAGAACCCAGTGGTACAAACGGCAAAGACGGAATTACTGTATAGTAGAAAATTACAAGTGTCGTTGGTGCTTTATGGGACTCATATGCTACGTCGGTTGTATGAAAGCATTCGCTTTCGTAATACAGGATCCAAAATGCAAATAACACATTATTTGTTGGGATACTTTTTCTATTCACATACCTTTCTAGCTATTGTAATCGCATGCCTAGGAAACTATGAACAATATATGAGCTGGAGACAAGGAATGGGTTTAACGTTGTACGTTTTTGGGAGCGTGTGGCAGAATGCGAGCCATGAACATTTAATTGCGCAAAAAAAGCAACGTTCCTATCTTCCCCTCCAAAAAAGTGGATTTCGTTGGATTGCAGGAGCTCATTACTTTGGAGAAGTCATTATATATACAGGGTTCTTATGCATCATCAACCACTGGATCCTGTGGCTTGTTTATGGATGGATTTTGGTCAGCATGACGAATATCGCAACATCTTACTCTAAAACATTCCAAAAAGCGAAAACTACTGAGAGCCGGCCACAGTGGATCCTTTTCCCATTCCTTTATTGAATGAATTCACAAGATACGTAAACAAAGTCATTACCAAACAACAAAAAAAGGGGAAAGCAAGGAACTGCATCATGGAAGAGAGCTCTCAATCGTGACTTTTGTGAGAGCAAGAGATTAAGGAAATATTGTTTTGAGTAGATAAATATGAGAAACGTTCAAGGCAAAACGTCTCCAAAATTAAAATGGATAGAAGGAGTCAAAGAAGTATAAGGAAAGAAAAGGCAGAAAGAAAGAGAAAGTACAGAATGAAAGAGCGTTTGAAGGAGGAACGAAACCGGAAGGACAATTCCTCTAACAAGCACAATAACGGTGAGATTGGATTTCTTATATTCTGCTTGATGGTTGAGAATCAAATCGTGAAGGGAAAAAAGACGTAAACCAAACAAAGCAGGGCAAAGAGAGTAGCTTCTTAGGCGTGAAATCCTTGGCTTGGAATCATCAGCCATTATTTCTCCGAACGCGAAAGGTAATGGTACAGGATGATTAATAACATCATGGAGACACCAAAAGTACTTACAATATTTTGAAGTTGTGTATCAGACATGTTCATGATAAAAACCGTTGAAACTGCCTTTTGTTTATAGAGTTGCAAAGGAAAGGAGACAGTGGTTGAATCGGAGACGCTTACATGTTCTTGGTGGTACAGATGTGGTATACTGTGTTTTGTAACGTTATAGCACGATTCCGCACTCCAAAGAGTTGGACGAAGAAACTATTCTGTTTCTTTTAGTTGTTTGCATCTGTAAGGAAGAAATGAAAAAAAAAAAGAGGAAAAATCCCAACAAAAGAGATGAAAAAAAAAAAAAACACGACGCTTTGAATGGCCCTTTTTCTTTCCTCATCTGGTGTGCTTGTATGAAAATCATACTATACAATTACGATATCCTATTATCGTATCATGATTTTATGATAATGTAACAACGCCAAAGAAAAAGTCGATTCATGATTTGTAAGGACTAAAGGAAATGACAAGGATGATACCAAACAACTTATTTAGCGTGTATATGGTTCTTAAATTCGGAAAAAATGGAGAAAGAAGCGATAAACTTTGTTCAGATCTGATTCAAACCGAACAGTCTCGTTTCACATCCATTCTTTTTCACCCAAGCAAAAGAAGTTTCTTCTATAAAGCTCATGCCATTTTCTATTCGTTCGTATTGCCTTCTTACCTTCTCTATCCTTCGAGAATCCTGTTTGTTTACATTTTTGCCAGCTCATTACAAATATCGCTTATATAATCTTAGCGTGATGTAGTGTACTACGGTCTACTAGGGTCGAAGACGCAATTCAGACTACTATTCTGGAAAAGTATTTGAAAGCAAAACGTCATCCCAACAAGGATGAGGCTCTGGACCGCCTTAACAACATAAGCGATGTCGCGTAAGCAGCGTGCGGAATTCCAAGTATAAATAGGGCTTTTGCTACTAACCAAGAACCATCAATCATTCCAAGAAGCATAAAGAGATTCAAATAGGAATTTTCTTTATAAAAAGTTTAATCGCTGATATTTGATTTGATTTATTTACATATTCTAAAAAGTATACAAGATGGTGAACCAAGTTTCCAAGACTGAAGATTTCAAGGCCGTTATTGCCCAAAACAAGCTTGTCGTTGTCGACTTCTTTGCTACCTGGTGCGGTCCTTGCAAGGCTATTTCTCCTAAGGTCGACCAATTTTCCAAGACCTACAGTGACGCCGAATTCATCAAGGTCGATGTTGATGAATTGAGCGAAATCGCTGCTGAAGCCGGTGTTCATGCCATGCCCTCCTTCTTCCTCTACAAGAACGGCCAAAAGATTGCCGAAGTCGTTGGTGCCAACCCTGCCAAGCTCGAGGCTGCTATCAAGGAAAACCTCTAAATGTAAAATGAGCTGCATCGTTTTCTGCTCTTGAACTGCGTTTATGTTGTGAAAGCATGGTCTTTCTCTTTAGGAACTCGTTTTTTTTTGTTAAATATTTGAATGAATGAATTAGAATCTATTCACTATTACTTTTTTAGCGACAATACTTGTCATCGCAAAGTCAAGCAAGTAGGTAATTTTGTAATCCTTCATCGTAGTCGTTTATGATACTTTTCTGCTTAGAAATGTAGAAAACTATTGTGAATCCAATTCATCTTTTTGCATTGGTAAAGAAACTGGTTATTTTGCTTTGCATTAGCCCGATATGCCTCAAGATTCTTAGATTCTCTCGCAATCGCAGGTCTTGCTTCTCTACTTCATCATGACTGTATGAACATCTTAAAAACTACCAACTGCGTGTTTTTGGATTCTTTTTTGATCATCTCATGAATAGTTTCTTTTTTATTGAAATTTCATTGTTGTTTCTTTAGCCCGTTTCAAGTTTTCACTGTGATTTTTGCTTTTTCGCTATTTGGAGTTTGTTTACGTCTCTTGAGTCCTTTGAATTCACTTGGTTGTTCTTTTTCTATTTTTGGTCTAATATATAATTTATAAGAATACTAATTTTTTGAAACGAATACTGTTTCGGTTCCGGGTTTTATTTATTTCCATAATAAACAGCACGTTTCGTTCTCCTTGTCTTACCATGCTGCTTCCCTCGCCTATTCGATCAGGCCCAAACAGGTTTGATCCTCTTCTCTTGATTTTTCGTTTTCTTTCCTCACGATGGTTTCATCCCACCCGTATCCTGTGGCTCGAAGTCCCTTTTGTCATGTTTATTATTTCCAAAGTCCCCTACACAGAAATCGACTGGATTGCTTACATGGAACAGATTGATAGCTTTCTTTCAGGCGAGAGAGATTATCGGTCCTTAGTCGGTTCTACCGGTCCTCTCGTTTATCCAGGCGGTCATGTATTGCTGTACACACTGCTATACTTTCTGACAAATCACGGTTCGAATATTGTCAAAGCCCAGTATATTTTTGCTTTTGTGTACCTATGTTCGAGTTTTGTCGTTGGGTGGATCTTCAAGACCGTTCATGTCCCTCTATATCTGTATGGGCTGCTAGTCTTGTCCAAACGTCTCCACAGCATTTTCATCCTGAGACTCTTCAACGATAGTTTTAATAGCTTGTTTGCTTCCCTGTTTCTATTGTCTGCTTGTAAGAGAAGATGGACACTTTCTACTATCTTCTTGAGTATTGCTTCTTCCATCAAAATGTCATCACTCCTTTTCCTTCCTGCTTATTTAGTTATCCTTCTACAATCAGCAGGCCCCAAAAAAACCTGGGTGAATATTTTTTCCTTTGCCTTTGTGCAGTTGCTTTTCTCATTTCCGTTTTCTAGCTTTATTTGGAGTTATTGGACTCAAGCTTTCGATTTCGGTAGGGTTTTTGATTACAAGTGGACGGTTAATTGGCGCTTTCTTCCGAAATTCATTTTTTACTCTCCGATTTTCTCTCTCATAGTCCTCTTTGTGCACGCTTCTCTTTTGGTCGTGTTTGCTGTCAGGAGATGGAACTACCCATCGAAAGCTTCTCCTTTACAAATGGTCCGGTCCATGCTGACCCTTCAGCCGCTCCCTTCGGTAGCTCCTATCTCCGTTGATTTCATATTAACCAGCCTGACTACGAGTAACCTTATTGGCATCCTTTGTGCTCGCTCACTCCATTACCAATTCTACGCATGGTTTGCTTGGTATGTACCTTACATGCTTTACCAAGCCAACTTTTCCATGCCCTCAACCATATTATTATGTGGACTTCAAGAATATTCCTGGAACGTCTTTCCAAGCACGACGATCTCCTCCATGATTACTGTGTTCATTCCTGCTCTTACTCTATACAGATTAATGACTATGAACCCTAGACGACCGTAAATCTGATTTCGTGATTCGATTAAAAAAAAAATGAAAAGGAAATGAAATGAAATGGAAATTGTTTTATAATTACTACTGGACCATGACTACCCGACATAGTTCTCACCTTTCTCACAATCAAGGAAAATCTCTAAAAAGTTATTCAATTAATTTATTGATTAATTCAATCTAAAATTTACACAAATTTAAACAAAGAAAAAGCATCGTCATAACTTTTGAATTTTCTCGTCAAAGATATTTCTCAGGGGATTGACAGATTGTTAAATTCATTTGTTTAATCATTCGATGATCCTCTTTGTCCACAGTACACTGACTGGTAATAAATCTCTATAATGTACGCCGTCTCTCATACAATACACCACTAAACATTTAATACCATTCAAAGCACTGCTTCAAACTGCTAGTAAGTATAAAGAAACATCCAAGTTATTTTTGGTAATATATGTTTCATTGGTAAAACAAGTCACAGTCATTACGCTGCATTACACTAAAAAGGATATTGAGTTTCACAAAACATCGTTATATGAGTATAAACAAAACAAAGAAAAACAAATGATTTTGGACGCCGTTTTCTAAACGCAGCTTACATTGTTTTCTCTGTCAAATTGAAAATTCCATAATGTAATTATTAAAGTAGACACAACCAGTTTGCTACTAGTTTAAATTCTTTTTTGCAAGGCTTTCGCATGCTGTTATGACATATGTAGAAACAAGACTCGAAACTAGAGATTTTAAAACTCTGCATATTTTACCTTTATTGAATTAAGAGTAATCAGGACGTTGGCAGTATTGCAGGATGCTTGTGACTTCCCAGCAGTATCACAAATCAGCTTGGGAAGACATTGCCTGTTCGTGCATGAGATTCAAAGCAACATACCATTGAAAAAGACAATTTCATGTAAAAGCTTATTAAGTTCTAATTATGTAGAAAATTGACTTAGTTCATTATTGATTGCATTCTAACTAGTTAAATACGAATGTAGATCCTTCATTTCATAAAAGTGTTACTCTTGGGATCCCAAGGAGTTTTCTAATTCTTGGATGACCTTGGGAAAATTCGTATGAATGTCGCAGTACTCTGCATGCCATCCTATATTTCTAGCAGCTTCAACATCCTTTATTAAATCATCTCCAAAGTGAAGACATTCCTTTGAAGCTGGACATACACCAGTCAATTCACCGGTCTTATTGCGAACATATTCAAATATGCCTTTCTCGGGTTTCTGATATCCAATGTCGTAGGAAAAGGCATAAACGTCAATAAAATCAGCAACTCCACAGCTTCTGAGCACTGAGTAAATGCGGTCGTCCGTGTTTGAAATAATTCCAATAGAATACTCTTTTTTATGAGCATTACTTCTCAGAAATCCCTCAAAGAGTGGGTGAATATGATACGCTGATTTTGTAGAGTAATGATTCCATAAATCCTCGGCCATTTTGTTTGGAATTGGACAAGGAAATGACTTTTCAATAATCTAAATACGTGTGTAAGCTCTTTCTAATTCAAAAAAAAATGCGACGTTGATTGTTTCCCCGTTTGTTTAATTAAGAAATACCTCAAACCATCGTTCACGAGGACTTCGATCACTTTTCAATCCACTGCTCTTCGGTGTTTTACTTAATTCTTTAAGAGCTCAAACCTGTTTAGTCAATTGCTATATTAAATACAGTCTTAACATACCACGATCACTGTTCTTCTTTATTTCTGCTAGAGTTGCTGATATTCCATATTTCTGGGCTGTTTCGTAATAAACAAACGGTACAGGTTTTGCTAATTGTAATAATGTACCAAATGCATCAAATGTAATTAATCTCAGCTTCTTCATGTTTAATTCGTATTCAAGTTTTCAATTCGGATACGTGGACTTGAGGATGGATGGTTGGTTCCTACGCGTATTAGACTAGACTGTCTTTACACTTTTACTCACCATTGTAATCTATCAATTCTATAATATTTTTGGAAATTTGCTAACAAATTCATATGAAAAATTAACTAATAAGCTAGCATAGAATTGAGATTCCAATATAAACATTCATCAGTTATGTCTTCATCATAAGCATCATACTAGATATTTTCATTTCCGAGGAGACATTAAGGTTGAATCGTATAACGAGTGTGTTTTATTTTTTAGTTCAATCCATAAACATTAGTTTCTTAAGACAATTCTTTCAAAGTCTTTCATCAACGGCATCCACATAATGCCAAACAGTACCCATAGGTAGCTTGAGCCATTTGTCAATTGTTCCATCGGCAACATGATCTTCAATGGATGTTATTCTTCCAACCAACCATTCACGAGACTCAATCTTTGAGTTGTTTTGAATATTCAAATAGTAATGTGGAGCATTAACATTAAACGCAGCCCAAATACGGTGGCCCTGCATACGACGACGGGTTGGTAAAAACAAAGCCAGTGTTCCTTGCTTGAAGTTTCGCAAAGATACTTTTGTTTGAGATTCTAATATAGCTTTCAAAGCTTTATCACGGCTAGACTGAAATTCCCGCTTCCAGCGAAGCTCGTTATTATGAGCTTCACTGAGAACGTTTACCACATAGTCATGAAATGAGTCAATATCTAAAGATCCCATCCTACTCATGAAATCCTGGAAGGCTTGATCAACATCATCACTGTTCATCCAATACAAGTATTGCAAATCCTTTGAACAAAACTGCAATTGACGTTCTGAACCATTATAGAAACCATCACGATCCATTTCCTGGCCAGGTTGTTCAATACACTCTTGCAAAACAGTCCTAAGTTCATGACAACGGAACACTAAAGTAAAAAGCTTTTGTGTTAAAAGCTTGCATTGCTCCATTCTAGAATCAGCGACTTCTTCTAATTTTTTTTGTTTTTCAGTCGCTAAATCCCTTTCTTCTAATAGTTGCTTTACTACTTGCGAGTCCTTAGCCATTTCTGAATACTCTTCCTGGTGTTTTAGAATGCTTATCTCATTTTTAAATACATTGCAAATCTCCTGTAGCTTCGAAACCTTGTTCTCAAAATGTGAGCAGACTGACATTAAGTTTTGCTTTTCATCAACGTCATGAGATAGCTTTACGAGTTCATTTTCGTTTTGCGATGCATCAGTTTTTGAAAAAACATCTGTACGAGAAGGTTTATCATTATATTTGGTTAAGATGTCATCATTTTCTGTTTCCAATAAGCGAATGCGTTCGTCTTTAGAATGGATTTCTGTAGAAAGGTCATCATTTCTCTTCAGTGCTTCATTCAATTCATGACGAAGTTGTTCTATTTCCGTCTGGTATTTGGTTGCAAGGCCCTCTGAAAATGAATTTTTACGCTGAGAAAATTTTCTAAGAATGCTTATAGGAATTATAGTAGGAGAAGTCCTGTAGAATGGTTGCGATCCATCATCCATTAACTCTGTTCGAGTTGCGTTCGACTGGGCTGTGACATTCGCGGCGTTTATTGGAGAATTTCTCTGCTGTAACAGTATAGTTTCCAGATTGTTACAACGGTTTTGATAGATGGCTAATCGTTCTTGAAGTGTCGTAATCTCTTGATTATTACTAGGTACTGCATCACCTTGAAGAGGATTAGGAAATCCAAGCGACTCTGAAAGACGATTGCTAAGAATATGCAAAAAATTTTGATATTTGGGTTCGGCTCGAAGACTGATTAGGAAGGAAGATAATTCGCTTCGTGTAATTGTAGGAAGATACCTTAACTGGTCATAATTAAATAACAAATTAGAGAACTGACTCAGCCAGGCTTTTCGGGTATTCGACTCTTTCTCCTGATCTATGGGAAGGGTGCTGCCGTGGTTTGCATTATAAGACGCTTGCCATTCCGTTCTTCGTAGAGCCTCCATTAAAATGTCAGCAAAAAGAGAATAAATATTATGACACTGTGAAATAATTAATTTACTTTTATCCAGTTCCTCGGCGACATGTCGTAGATATTCGTATAAAGTGTCATACTTGGAAGAAACTTTAAAAAAAGTAAGCCAAAAAGATTTTAACGTGATCAAAGATGATTTTCTAGACTCAAAAAGAGAGCACGCGAAATCATGTAAGTCATTTATCAGAGCCGACAGCTTTTGTACATGGTGAATATGAGCTTGAAGTCTGCTATCTAAAGAGATGGGGGTTTTTACCAGCTCTGAACAGTGTTCTATCAAATCTTTTAAATCTGAATTAATTCTTTCAGATAAACTACTTATTTCCTGAAATAAGGAATCAGCTTCTTCCATGGAAGGATGCTCATTAAAAGGGAAAACGCCAATGCTATTTGTTGCTTGTATACATTGTTGAACACGTTTCTGAGCTTCAAAATATCGAGAAGAAATTGACGATAACCAAGGATCTAATTTTGACCAGTTGGCGGATAAAAGCTTGTGAGTATTAACGGGCAAAGAACCAACCGGCATAGCCAAGAAGTCGCGGAGTAGGTCATTTATAGAGACCTTTTCTAATCGCTCGTAAAAGACGACCAATAACTCTTTCATACCAGCTTGACGTCTTTGCAAGTAATTCATTGCTACACTAGGAGCACTCAGACTAGTGCTCATCTGACTATGATGAACGGTTAATTCCTCGTATAAGTTATTCGATATATGGGTAAAATCAACAATTTGTTGACGACGTTCGTAAAATTTTTCTTTCCATGCAAAAGAAAAAAACTTTTCTTTTTCATCCTCATACTTAGGTAAGCTGTCAACAAAATCAGTCTTCTCAAGATTAGGAAGAGAGGGGGCATCCTCTTGAAGACTAAACTTGAGCAAGTGTTCGTCAAGAACGTAAATAACCACATTGCTTTCATCATTCAATAATGTCTCATTCAATGACATTCCGTTTGGAAGCAGCAATTTCGCATCATCACTTAAATCGATATCAAGCTTTATAATCCAAGCAACTAAGTCCTGGGGAGTCCAATGGACATTCTCAATTGTCCAACTCTTTCCAGAAAAAGAATCATTTAATCTAAAACGCATAATTCACTCTTTTTGCTCTTTCACCCTCATCCATTCAATTCCACCGCTTACTTTCCACAATGACAGTTGCTTCCCCTAACTTGTAACTAATTTTTATGTTCAATTCTGATTCAGGATAAATGCGAAATTCGAGCCAGTTTATTTACCGGTGGACGTATGCAAAGGTTAAGTTTATTTCGTAGTACAAACAATGCCCCTGCCTTATATGAAAACAGGGAACTAAGTATTATATTTCGAATTTTTTTGAAAAAAATGCAAATATATATATTTGTTTCTTTTTAAGTCGTAGTAATTAAAAAATATATGAATTATGTTTTGCCGGTGTTGTCGGTAAGCACAAGGCTGAATGAGGTAAAACGGCTTAACCGTTATGTTCCCTTCAAGTACCATATACCCACTTTTCGTCTCATCTACTTTGAATTTTGGTATGCTAATTAATAGAAAATAATCAATCATTCTTTTTCATCATTCATTTATACCTTACGATCTCTCTTGAAGCATTGTATACATATCTAATTGTTCCAAACTTTGGAATTACATTAGCATTGCTTGGTATTGTTCAAGCTGTTTACTCTTATTCTCCGTTTCTAATTATTTGTTTGTTCCATTTCGCTTCTTGCATTTGCATACGTTCTTTGAAAAAAATCCATTTCGTCGTTCAGGACTAACGATTTTATATTTATTTAATTTTCTCATGATTTTGGAGTCTTTTCTTTAATACCTTCATACTCCTTCTTTTAGATTATCTTTGGCGTTCTTTTTTAATTCTTTCTCATGGTAGATATAAGCAGCCGCTATGAACTCTTAATGTCGGTAATGGGCCCTCCGAACAGCAAACCATCACAGACAGATTCTCAAAAATCGCCAGCAGAAATTCACCCTGTCGTGATCACACCATCTAGTTCGTTTGAATGTATCCAGTCCATAAAGCCCAACCTCTCTTTGCCTTATCAAGCCACTTCTGCTTCTAATGATTTCACGAATAGTACAATACCACCCATTTCTGACTCTTCTTGTGAAGCTTCCAGTGAATTATCACCGTTGTCGTCGTATTCATCGTCTCGTTCTCCCTCGCCTAGTTCTGGTGAATCATTAGCAAGTCATTCCTCAAGGACATCGAAGACCTTTGAAAAAAGTATTCCGTATAAGGTGAATGGGTCCACTGAAAAATCTCCGCTGGTTGAGCAATTCATAGCATTTGTTAGCTGTAAAGATGCTCAAAGGGGAACAATTTTAAGTGAATTTCTCATTTCATATTTGAATGGCTTATCTGTGCGATGTCTAACGGATGTGGAGTTGGATAAGACGCGCCACATCCTCTACAATTGGTGGTCTTTCCTTATTCGATTGTTGGAAACAACTCAAGTTGCAATATCTGAAAGACTCGTTTATATCAAGTCGATAGTCATCATTGCTGAGCATTCCTGTTGGAAAGGGATCGAAAATTCCGAGTTACTAAATATGGAGTATCAATTAATTTTGTTCGATACCCTTTCTTTTGTATTACATCTTCTTTCGCAGAAGGTGTTACCACACACATTGGTAAACTTCTGTGCTAAAATATTGGTTCTTTCTTTTTTTAAACTGGAAAACTTTGCAACTCATTTTCTCATTGCACTCGAAATAGATAAAAAATTTATTAAATACTTTTCATCTAAGCTTAAGAGAAATGAAAAAGACCTTCCCGAAAAATACATGTCTCCTTTCTTTCCTAAGCATTTACATTCTATAATGTCTTCGATTAATTTAAAGAAACTGGATATGGTGTTTACTATTGGTTACGGACGACAGCCGATTGAATTTGCTGAAAATTGGATCCATCGCTTTCAATTACCAAAAGGTGGATTATTTTTTGAGTTTCTCGCAGAATATCATTCATATTTAGCACAAAGCTTATCGTTCGAACTTCCTTCTGACGTGATTTATTATTCTCCTGGATACGTTCATTTGCATGCGTATCTTCTTCAAATCTGTCTAAATACCGTAAACTTGTCAGAGCGAAAATGTCCTACCACTGGTGCATTTCTCGAATTTCCTATATCAAAAAATAATGAAATTAATCTATCGTCTGAAGTACTCGCGATCAAACCCGCTGTTACTACTACTACAATTGCGATGTTACAACAACTGACAGATCATGTGAGAGGTTTCTTTGTAGCGGTGGAAGATTGCAGACAGCAACAGTTAAGACTATTAGATGTTTTAGAGTATATACTCCAAGGGATTGGACAGTTCATTCGCGTTTATGAATTTCAGGCATCCTTTATGTATTGTTCTCTTTCGGAAAGCTGGTTTGAGATTTTTTTTGATTATTCACATCGTCCTAGAGTTTCTTTTTGGGTAGAAGCAATGAAAAAATTAGTAGGCACATCAAATCACATGGCGATAGTGAGGAGCATAACATTTATCTACACGATATGGCCTTACTTGGATCTTGAAGCTAAAGAAATGATAAGCCTTCGTTGGTTGTTAGTTCAAAAAACGTTTGAATACCTCTTCTTGCACCATTTTTCCCTTGTACGTGCTTATTTCCATCGTCTTTTGTGTTGGAGACTACTAAAGGTTGATGACGAGAGCGAAACTAAACTTAAAGCGGAAATTGTACTGTGCTTAAAAAGATTGCTTAAACATTGCTATTCCGGGCACAAGTGCTATGCTCAAAGTTGTTTGAGTGCTTCAAAGTCCATTCCAACAGTGAAGCCTGCTGCACCTCTTCCAATGCGACGCTTGGTAATTGTCGGTAATTTTGAACCCTCTTCAGATAATTATGATGATAGTGCTGAATTTGAAATTCCAGGTGATCAAACTGAAGAGAGCATTATGGGCAATATATACACTGACGTTGTAACAATTTCGAACACTGTCTCGAGTGGCTTAAAAAAGGTTTTTGGTTCGTTTGTGAATAATGTGTCTGGATATCGTTCAGACGATGAGTTTTCGAAGCAGACTCCAACGCCAAACAACTATTTATTCAAGCAAGTATTACAAAGCGGGAAAAGACAAAAGCCTCGCCATCGGTTTGCATTTAAAACCTCTCCTCCCTATTCAAATGGATCAACAGAAAATGGAGAAAGCTATACAACAATTTTAGAACATTCATCCCATGGAGTACTACCAACTCAATCGAAGATTTTATTGTACAACAGCAATAATGCTTCTGCTCATTTCGCTAAAGCTCCGTTACGTGATACTTCTAATAGTAGGTTGGTGTACGCTAGTCAAGCTTTAGTTGAATGGGCACTAGTGGTTCAGGAATTCAATACTTTTTTTTCGAATCGGAAAGACATTGAAGAAACGGATATTATAGCCCCTTTACTTACAGTCCGTATTCCCAAACTTCATAACCCTGCACAGTTTTAATGAAAATAGGATATCTATATCTATAATTTTTTTTATATAATGATTTAATAATTGTTATACCTTTTGATTACATTCATCAAAAATTTCGCAGTTTTGGTTCGGTATCTTATGATAGCTGGAATGCATACCATATATCAATCAGTCAAATTACACTACAACAGTTAGTGGTTTATTTATTTCGTAAAGATTATTTAGTCGCTGATAAATAAATATTATCATTTACTTTGGCATTATTTAGGTACATTCTTTTCTAGTCTTCAGGATGGTGGTTTCCTTATGATCATTCAAAAGCTGATTTATTATACTAGCTCATTGCATTAAAAAGAAAAATAAAAAACATTAACTATTCTTCATGCCTATATATTCATCTGTACAAAGCAGCATACGTTTATTTCATGGATATAAAATAAAAATTCATGAAAAAATTTGGTCACAGCCAGGCTCGAACTGGCGACATTCGACTTATTAGATCGACATGATAACCAACTACATCATGCGACCACTTGTTGAGTGATGTTATAAACAAGTCAATATAAGGTGTTTTATTAATAGCATAAAGTAATGAAATGATCATTTCGATCGACAACTTTATAATTCTAAAATGTGCTAATGAATGAACAGGAAATCAAAAATATGGAGGATAGGGAGTTTACAGTGGAAAACCTTCTAGAATGGAATCATGTGGTAAAACAAAGGTAAGATATCTGAATTTTAAGGAATTGATGTAGATATCCATGAGGTTGAAAGGAAGACACTAGTCAACTTGGTATTTTAAAAGCACCGATCTTGTTCTATAGTTTCATTGATATACTTTAATCTGCAAATCTAATACTTATAGGATGGTAGCAGAGCAGGATTATGCAGGAAAATTGGCACGACTAACAAAATCTCTAAAAGGAAACCACAGTGGTTCTTCTTTGAAAGATTTTTACAAAAAAGTTAGTAGCGAGATAATGAATTCCAATAAAGAGCATCTAGAAGCGTACCGCTATTTCCAGCTTCAGGTCTTTGAGCCATTACAGGAACACGTCAATCGTGCAGCGAAACGGTCCCCAACATCTATCTTATCCATTGTATGAAATTTAATACTTTTAAAGCTAATTTATAGGAAGCTACTGAGGTACTCATGGCCAGCATGGAGAATTTCATACTCTACACTAATCCAGAATTTAGCCAACAGCCTGCACAATCATCATCGTCCTCATTTTCTAATGCCTCTGTACATCCTTCTGAACCTATACTCGACACGCAAAGGTCTATTTCTCCCACTTACATAGAGTATGCTGAGCTGGAAAATCGAACATCACGACTAAGCGAGGCATTAACGATGTTGCGCCTGAATCCTCTAATCTCAAGTGATTTAAAATTAAACAGTGTTATAAAAGAGCCCTACACTTCAAGTAAGGGTGAAGAGGTACCTTTCCCGTTAAGTAATGCCCAACTAGAACACTCGAAAGACACAATCAGAAAGGATCCACGAGATTTTCGAGTTACCAAACAAAATAATTATGTCTTACCTTCTTCTTATTCCCATCAAAAAGAAGGGATGGATTCTTCGCAAGCAATTACGTCCAATGGCTGGGAATCACCTCTGACATCTCCGCATACCTCTCCTCTTAATAATATCCAACCCGAAAATTTGCAAAAGAAATCTTCAAATAAAGATCAAACATTTTCTACAGTTCATTCATCAAATAGTGTACAATCAGGGAATGACAGCCTTGAGAAATACTTTTCGACGCATCCATTGATAACACCAGACGGATTTCCTATTTTTGGCTATGGTATGTCTGTCTTTTTTAAACTACATATTAATTTTTTAGTACGTGCATTGTATAACTATAGGGCTCTACTTTCCTCAGAAATCAGTATGCAATCAGGCGATATATTAATTGTTCTAAATCGGCAAAAGGACGGCTGGTGGAAAGGCCGTGTTGTTAAACCCAAAGTCGGAAACGTTGGGCTGTTTCCTTCTAATTACATTCAAGAATTAGATCCTACTTAGCAATGAATAAAAACCCCATTATACTACAAGGAATGTCGGTGTTGCCAAGCAGACATCTTTAAATAACATTAAGTAAATTATTTATATTTAACTATAAGGAATAAACAATAAAAAAATATATCATAACATATCTTTCATGAAAAGGAAAATAACGAGTAAAATCAAGGATAAAAGAATATCTAGTACAAACATAAAGATTGATAAAATATAACAGATAAAGCGAATTTGTAAAGTCATAAAATAAATTTATGAACCATTTCAAGATTTGGAAAAGGTTAGGCTTTTTCCTGATCGTCTTCCTTAGACCAAGCACGTTCCTGGCGAATTCGTCGCAGATGCTCTAAACTTTCTTTAATGTTAAATCCATCTTTCAGCAAAATACTGATTTCTTCAATTGTATAATCCGCAAATTCTGGATAGCAAAAATATGACATTACAAAGCCGCCAAAACAAAGGCCGCCATATAAAGCGAATGTACCTGTAGGAGTAATTTCGGACATCAAGGTCAAGAATGTAGAGCCAATAGCTAGATTACTAGCCCAATTTACAGCAGTAGCCATACCTGTACCTAAACCACGAACAGTCATTGGAAATAATTCCGATTGTTGCCAAGGAAGATTACCAAGACCAGATGCATACGATGCAACATAAACAATCATAGAAATTAAAACAACAATAGCCCATGGGTTCCCCTGTCCTGCCTTGACGTTTCCATTTTCGTCTCTGGGTAGAAAATGAAAAGCAACAGCACACACGATGAGTGCACCAATCATACCCCAAAGAGTAACTAACAATAATATACGACGACCAAAGCGATCAATCACCGTGAAAGCAACAATGGTAAAGACAAAATTTGTTCCAGCAATAATAAGACCAGTTGCAGTTGGATTATCAAACCCAACATTTTGAAAAATAGTACTTGAAAAGTACATGAGAGAGTTGAAACCGGAAAGCTGTTGTAATGATTGTAGTCCGCAAGCAAGGATAAGGGCTCGAAAATTAGAAGGTACAAAATAGAGTTCCTTTAAAGTTTTTAAGATTTTTTGGAACCTAGTACCAGTAAAAGGATCACGAACACCCTCCTGAATAAGATGAAGTTTGGTTTGAATCTCATACGGATGAGCAGTTGGATAGATACTTGCTAAGGTCTCATAAGCTTTTTTAGCTTTATCTTTTTTAATTAAAAGACGGGGGGATTCTGGAAGCCATACTAATATAAGTAATTGAATAAAAGCTGGGACAATGGCAAGGCCAACCATATACCGCCAACCGTTTTTAACGTGTTCAAAAGCAGTATCGATACCGTAAGCTACAACCTGTCCTAGAGTAATTAAGAACACATAGACAATCACAAGGCGGCCACGAATTTTAGAAGGTGCTAATTCACTAAGATACAGAGGTACAATAAGAGAAGCTAAGCCAACACCAATACCTATGACAAAACGACCACCGATCATATGCCATAAGCTATGAGCAGTAACCTGTACGATAGAGCCAACAATGACGATGATACTAGCTATAGCAATGACTGGCCTTCTACCTAGAAAGTCAGCAAGCGCACCGGCTACAATGCCACCTATGAGAGCGCCTAACGACGTTGATGATGTGATATATTCTTTATCCCCATCAGTCAAGCTTTTCCCTAAACTATTTCCCATAACAACGAGAGCACCAGAAATAACACCCGTGTCATAACCGAAGAGGAGCCCTCCAATTCCTGCAGCAGCTGCAAGGACCCAGATTCGCTTACTTACAGGTTGACATTCCACTGTATCATTAAAACCATGATGACCGGATAAGGAAAGCTCGGGGTTGATGGCTCCCTGATCCACATTTGCAATTTCAAACGATTTTTTTGAGGATTTCTCAGCTGCGTCAAGTTCCAACGGAGTTTCGAAGGGGTTCTCAGGCCTTAGCTGATTATTATTCGACAACCGCTCTTCATCCACGAAACTTGCAGATTTCACACGTCCTAAATCCATTTAGGAATATAATAAAAATAAATAAATAAAAAAGAAGAAATCAGAAAGACTATTACAAGTATAATTCTCTGTTTTGAAGAAATATAATAGAAATATAAAGAAAAGTCGGTGGCAGTGGTATTGAACAGATGTAAACAAACCTCAATTTCAACCACAAATATGCCTTGTTCCTAGGGCAGAATTTAGCAATTAAGATATGGATGTTGTTTCTTTGGAAATGCTGAAATAGTTACTATTAAAACGAAAGCAAATAATCGTGAACAAACAAAGCACAACCACGGCACTGATAAAACACAATACGAAACGGATGGTAACACAAGTAATTGTAAAAAAAGAAAAGATATATAGGATCTTTAATTGAATAAGGGGGAGGATGCGAATTTCGTAAATTGATAAGGAGAAAAACAGAAACACAAATGAAAATAAAACACAGAACAGGAATAATCAAAGTAATCAGTAACCACTCAATATATGAATTATATATCGACAATAGGAGCACAAACACACATACAAAGGAACGTTTTCTTTCACTTCAGATGGGTATTTTTTGGTTCAAGCGTATCAGACTACCAACTAGGCTCGTAACGTATAAAAATTCAATTTAAAGATTCTTCATACGTGATTAGGCTAATTCTCAATTTATTCCTTCTCTCGATTGCCCTTCAATGAGAATTGGTCTTTTTTTAAGAAGTGAAGAGGAATTAGGGACCCGGCCCGCGCGTCTAGGAAAGAGTAGAATCATCAAAAAGCGTTACTTGTTGATGTTACTTTATATCGTTTGATATCGTATTATGAAATAAATTTCATGCTAAAAAAACAAAAAGAAAAAGCAAGCAGTGGGGATAAAATAAGAATTATATTTCCCTTTTTATTTTCTTTCAATGCATTTCATTTAATTCGCTCAAGTAATTCGGGAAGCGATACCTGAAGCCTTTATTTTTATGGTAGAAAGTAAACATGGGTTGGGTCATACATACTAAATGAATTAACAAGTTGTTCTAATCAATTCACGGACATTCAATGAATTTATTTGAACTCCAATATCTCTAACAATTATCATAAATGTGTTTCTAGAATCGACGCCGTGTACACCTAAACGACAACAAAATAAAATATATGTTATTTACTTCGTTTGCTGAAAGTTGGTTATGTTAACTATGAAAGATCAACCAGATTCCCATGATTCATAGTTGCCGAACAGTGTTATTGCACGTATATTCAATTACTACAAGTCACTGTTGATACAAAAAATTGGTAAGCATTAAATGATGGACTGTTCTTCAAAATTTTGAACCGAAAAAATCTTATCATCTCTTATATATGCTTTATTCTTTATTTATCAAATTTTTTTTAAACCCTTGTTTTGCTCTATTTATTTACTAAAGTACTCACACGTATCGTAACGTAACTGCGTTATCATTCGTTATAACAAAGAGAGGCAGCTAAGACCAAGCCATTTATAGCCTAGCTTCCAACCATTCCTTCTCCGTTTTACGAACGCGTAAACGTCTCCGGATTCTTCATAAAACTTCATCCTTCCATTAGTCTTCAAGGAGACAATATTTATAGAAACTTACAAGAAAAAAAATGTCTTTTGACCGAAAGGATATCGGAATCAAGGGTCTTTTCCTCTATACCCCTAATCAAGTAAGTACTATCTTTTTTCAATTCAAAGAACATGCGACACAAGAAGAAAACACTGAATATAAAGTGCTCACGTGGAATTATGCGTGTTGTGTTTTTGTATTATTTTTCTTTTGATTCCTTTGATTTATTCTCTTCGCTCTCATTTAGCATTCGTTACTAACCTTTCGCGAGTAGTATGTTGGACAATCTGCATTAGAAGAACATGATGGCGTTTCTGCCGGAAAGTATACCATTGGATTGGGATTGAACAAAATGGCTTTTGTTGATGATCGCGAAGATATTTATTCTTTCGCCCTCACCGCTCTTTCCCAACTCATTCAAAAATACCAAATTGATGTTAACAATATTGGCCGTTTAGAAGTTGGTACCGAAACCCTCATTGACAAGTCCAAGTCTGTCAAGAGTGTTTTGATGCAACTCATGGGTGAAAATAGCAATGTCGAAGGTATCGACTGCGTAAATGCCTGTTATGGTGGTGTAAATGCTCTTTTCAACACCGTCGATTGGATTGAGTCTTCAGCTTGGGATGGAAGAGATGCTATCGTAGTTGCTGGTGATATTGCTTTGTATGACAAGGGTAATGCCAGACCTACTGGTGGTGCTGGATGTGTTGCTCTCTTGGTTGGTCCCAATGCTCCTATCGTTTTAGAGCCAGGCTTGCGCGGTACTCACATGGAACACGCTTATGACTTTTACAAGCCTGATTTGACCAGCGAATACCCTTACGTCGATGGCCATTTCTCTCTTGAATGCTATGTTAGAGCTTTAGACAAAGCGTATGCCGCATATAACGTTCGCGATGCTGCCAAGAATGGAAAGTCTGAGGGACTAGGCATTGACCGTTTTGATTACTGCGTCTTCCATGCCCCCACTTGCAAGCAAGTCCAAAAAGCTTACGCTCGCCTTCTCTACACTGACTATGCTGATCAATCCGGTCTTGCTGAATTTGACAGCGTCCGTGAGCTCCTTAATACATTACCTGCCGCCAAGACTCTTACCGATAAGACTCTTGAGAAAACCCTAATGGCTATTACTAAAGAACGTTATAATCAACGTGTTCATCCCAGTATTTATGCTCCAACTAATTGTGGTAACATGTACACCGCCAGTGTGTTTTCTTGCCTTACCTCCCTCCTTTCACGTGTTCCTGCCGCTGAACTACAAGGTAAGCGTGTTGGCGCTTATTCTTATGGTTCTGGTTTAGCCTCTTCTTTCTTTTCTTTAATCATCAAAGGTGATGTTTCCGACATTGCCCACAAGGCTAACTTTGTTAACGATGTTGAAAGCCGTCATTCTATGACCCCTGTCGAGTACGAAAATGCCATTGAACTTCGTCACGAGGCACATTTGAAAAAGAACTTCACTCCCAAGGGCAATATCGATCGTCTTCGTTCTGGTACTTACTACCTCACTGGCATTGATGACATGTTCCGTCGCAGTTATGAAGTTAAACAGTAAACTTATCAATTATACTTTAGATAATCTGTTTCGTGAATAGACTAAGCATTTCCTCATATTCGCCTGTATGTACTTTCTATGTAATCGTTGTTGTAAAAACAGCAAGCAGCAAAATTACTTCCAAATTAATAAGTAAACTGCAAATGTTAAGGATTCTTTGTATAAAGTGTATATAGACTTTTGAGAGTACAGCGTTGCTGAAAGCTGCAGTCTTGTACCCATTTCACTACCACATAGAGTAACAACATTCTTTATTTACGTCGTAAACGCAAGCGACTACGATCACTTTGCCTATTTAATAAACTATTGTAGATGTTGAATAGGTTCTTTAATTGTTTTGTTAAACTGGAGACTGTATGAAGACTAATCGTACAGTGGTAGTTTCAGAATATGAGAACCTCAACCATGCGTTGGAAAGATAAACAACGGGATACCATTCAAGCTCTAAACTATTTATGTCGTGTAACAGAAGCTAAAAATTGGATTGAAGAATGCCTAGATGCCGATTTGGGACCCATTTCTAATTTCGAACAGTCTTTGCGAAACGGCGTCGTACTGGCAAAGTTGGTTTTACGGTTTCAACCGTTTAGACGCTTCCGAGTGTTTGAATCTGATGAGCTACAGTTTCGTCACTCAGACAACATCAATAAATTTCTTGGTTTCATAGCCGACATAAACCTTCCTGAGATATTTCATTTTGAGCTCACTGATATTTATGAAGGAAAGAATCTACCGAAGGTTATATATTGTATTCATGCTCTTTCATTCTTTTTATCAATGCAAAACTTAGCTCCTCCCTTGGTACGGATAAACGAGGATTTGAACTTCGCCGATGATGATGTTGCCCAGATTGTCCGAAGACTGCAACAATCAAATGCAACGCTACCAAACTTCACTGCTTTGAATAGTGATTTTATGCTACGTGCTAGTCCTTCGCTCTCCCCTTCCCACCACGCTACTAGCTCTCCCAAGCATGCACGTACTCGGTCTCAAGACTTATCCGACTCAGGATCTGCCTTTTCTTCCCCTTTAACATCTCCATATAAGCTAAAGGAAGAAGAGGCACGAAGTCCGATTTCCTCACCTTCTTCTCATAGAAGAACTAAATCCTCTCTCCCTTCATTAAACAGCTTTCAGTCAAACGCTTCTCCTTCATCTTTTCCAAAACTTAACGGATTTGAAGATCCATTTTTTCAACCGCCGCCACCTTCGTCTTTACGTGATTCTCCAAGTCCTTCTTTTTTTACGACATTTTCTCCTACTCGACGACGAGAAGTTCTTTTCTCACATTACAATCCTTACCACCAAATAGAACGTACACCCATTCCAGATCATGTTTTAAATGGCGTTCAAGCTTGCTGCCGTGGTGTGATAGCAAGAGTCAAGCTTGTAGACGTATTGCAATCCTTAGCAGAACAAAGCACTCATGTTGAAACTTTTCAGGCTATGGTAAGAGGATATTTATCTCGGTCAACGTACAAGATTAATGAGAGTGCGTATGAGGAAATGGTTAGGTGGACCCTAATGCTATACCGACTATTCAAACCGGAAACTATGCCGGGATGCAATATGCCAGTACTTCGAAATGAAAGTTTGCTTTCAGTCCCAAAACTACAAGCTGTTATTCGTGCAGGGTTTTACCGGAGAAGCCATTCTTCTATCTTGGAAAGTTTAAAGGATAATACCGCTTCCTTTACTTTAATTCAATCAAGTGCCCATGGTTACTTGACCCGCCATAATATTGTCAATATGCTAGACGATCTTTATCATTACATACCTTCATTTATTCAATTCCAAAGCCTTTTGCGTGGTGCTTTGTTTCGCAATCGTTCAAATCGCATTTCAAGAGAACTGAATTCATTCCCTGCTTCGTTCCATGCTATATGTAGAGGGTTTTCCACAAGAAGGAAGTTTCATAACTTAAGGTCTTCTTTATATTCCCACTCTTCTTCTTTTACCATTTTGTCAACTTTATCGAGAGGATACTTACTGCGCAATATTTATAAAACACGCTTGAAGCAATTACAATGCTTATCAACTTCATTAGTTCCGTTACAATCACTTTGTCGAGGCTTGTTGTCACAACGGTCACAGTTGACCTTACTAGAGGAGCTATATTCTCGTTCAGCTTCTTTTACTACATTGCAATCTTACATTCGAGGAATCCTAACAAGGATTTCTGTTGCAAAACTAAACATATATCTTGTCAAACATTCTAGGGATATCCTTTCCATACAATCTGCTGTAAGGGCTGTTTTACTTCGAGACGATGTGAACTTCATTGAGATCCAGTTAGAATCTTGCCAAGACGAGATCTTAGCTTTACAGTCCACCATTAGAGGCTGCTTGGCAAGAAGTAACTTTACGAGGAAATTACAAAGCTTTCATCAGAAAATGGAAAATCCGATAATGGCGAAATCTGTCTATCGTGGTCGTCAGGAGGGTCTTGCATATCGTGAACTAGCTACCGCTAGGAATCCCCCCGTTATGACGGTGAAAAACTTCGTTCATTTACTGGATGACAACAATTTTGACTTTGAAGAAGATATCTGCATTGAAAATATGCGCAAAGAAATTGTGAAATTCGTCCGCGAAAATGAAACAATTGAAGAACACATTAGTGAATTAGATGTCAAGATTGCACTTTTAGTAAAGAACAAAATCAGTCTTGACGATGTTTTAAAGCACCACAATAAGTATAAACCAGGAAAACAGGTATCTGACTACATTGCTAATTCCCGTTCTATGAAAACACTTAACAATTCCAGCAGACGTTACCTTGATCTGGTCCAATGCTTTTTTTACGTGTTGCAAACTAACGAAATCTATATCACAAATTATTTACATCTTATAAAGAGAAGTAATCCTGATTTCGCGCAATTGAGGCATATTACGTATTTAATTTTACAGATCTTTGGTTACGCATCAAACAGACGCGAGGAAGTCTTGTTTTTAAGATTGATGACAAACGTATTAAACATGGAAGTTAGTCAAGCTGAAACTAACGAAGACCTTCTAAACAACGAGTCTATATGGAAAGTTTTGCTGATGGGCCTGTTGGGAAATATTAGGGATGCCAAGCTCTGGAAATCAATGCTCAGCCGCATGCATAAAATATTAGTCTACGATGAAAGAATGGATTTCGAAATAAATCCTGTAGCATTGCTGAAACAATTTGAACCAAATCGCAGGGATCTTTCAGAAAACCCCAAGGTTGCTTTAAATGTCGCTATGCAACACTCTCCAACTAGGAACCTTTATGTGGGTCGATTGCGAGAACTAAGGAAATTATGTCAGTCATTTATAGTCGCATTATCTAGGAACATCGAAAGCTTTCCTTATTCACTTTGCTACGTTGCCTCTCAGCTGAAGTTATCTTTAGAATCGAATTTTCCTTCAGCTAGCAAGGAATGGGTCTTTGGTATTATAGGACGCTTCGTTTTCGATAATTACATCAAGCCTCTGTTAATTTCACCGGATAATTATAAATTGGTGGAAGGCCATATAAACGCTCTACAAAGAAAAAATCTCAATTGCTTCTCAGATATTCTATCGGAAATATTCAGTGTAGAACCTCGTGACTCACGACAACTAGGCTTCTTAAGACCTTTATCAGAGTTTATTGAAGTATCAAAACAAGATATTGTAATCTTTCTGGAGCATTTAACTGATGTCGTTGATCCAGAAACTTATTTCGAATTTGATGGGTTTGAAGATATTGTAAGCACCAGACGACCCGTTATTTATATGAAACGAGACGACATCCTTAATATATATACACAAATATCACGCGCTTCAGATTTGATTGCTACTGATTCACCAAATGATCCGCTACGAGCCGTGATAAATGAGATGGGATCGACATCACCAAAAGATTATGAATTTTTGGAGAGTGAAACTGATGTTAAATTAGAGTTAAGTCCGCGCTTTTGCACCGTAGAGGACCCTGTTGCTGAAGAAAGATCACTAATAGTGCAAACCAAGCGTTATATATTCTTTATTATTAGAGTGCAAAACGGATCTAGCCTAATGGATATTTTAGTGAAGCCTGTCACCGATGAAAATGAGGAAACTTGGCGTGAACTTTTGGCCGTAGAAGCGGAAAGAAACCAAAAGTTCGAAGCGTTTGACGATACACTATCTTCTATTTCTTTTGCCGAATTGAAATACTTGGCATTAACTAATGTCTTAGAATTAGAGAATCTCGGGTTTGCAAGTCGATCTAATAATTATCAAGACATTGTTAACTCCATTGCTCTCGATATCCGTAATAAATCAAAGCGTCGACTTCAACGGCAACGTGAACTAGATTTTGGTCGTCAAAGCTTGCTGAGCTTGAAGGATAAACGGGCTTTTCTGGATTCACAACTGAAAAGTTATAACGAATATATCGAGCAAGCTATGGAAACTCTTCAATCCAAGAAAGGAAAGAAAAAACTTATACCTTTCTCAAAACAGTATTTTCACATGCGTGAATTGAGAAAATCTGGTAAAGTTCCTCGATTCGGATCATTCAAGTATACTGCCACGAAACTCTATGACCGAGGTATTCTAGTTTCTATGTCTCACTTGCCTCACTATGATAAATTGTATATCACTATATCTGCGGACGAAGTTGGAAAATTCACTTTGGAAGCTAGTAGCAATGCGGTCAAAGTTACCAGCCCTAGATGTGATCTTCAACTGGATGATCTTCTTTCAGCTCAATATAATAAAGTACTTACTATAGACGTTTTGGAAGGAAGGCTAAAGTTCAACACGAATATGTTCTTGCATCTGATTTTTTCTCGGTTTTACTCTTGATGTTTACACGAAAGATCTTAATAGTATCGACGCATATAATTATCGGACTTTTGGTAGATGCTCCTAAAATTATCTACTCAAATTTTGAAGCATACAGAAATTTCATGGCTTATTTATGGTTCAACTTATACTTCTCATGTATATACAAACATACGTACTCACTCTTTTATTTACAATAGCATCTAAGTTTTTATAAGATTCAATATAATACAAATTGACTTTCTAGTTTCATCGCAGTGTTAAAATTTCTACTATTTCCGTTCTTGAAAATGATAATTATACAGTATTAAATTATCGTTGTACGCATTTGTACAAGCTCATCGATAACGAGCCTTAAAAATCTGAAATGCTCGTTAACAGTTTACGATAACGTGCTACGGTATCGCACACAAAACACAAAACACTCCACCATAAATTACTTTACTGCCACTAAAAAGTTGACATTAACCTGCATAGATGGCGTCGTTACCACCGGGGAATCCACCTCCTCCGCCTGGATTTGAGCCTCCAAATCAACCTCCACCACCCCCTCCTGGGTATGCTAAGAAGAAAAAACCAAAAGCACCAGTTCCTGGCGGTAATTTGGAAAAGCACTTGAGTGAGCGTAACCGAAAATGGCACGCTTCCCAAAAAAGTAAGTTTGGACCTAAAAGGAAGCAAGGTTTTGTTCAAACGGAGAAAGCTGATCTTCCTCCCGAACACTTACGCAAAATTATGAAGGAGCGCGGCGACATGGCATCTAAAAAGTTTCGTGCCGATAAGCGTTCCTATTTGGGTGCACTTAAGTATTTACCTCATGCTGTTTTAAAATTGCTTGAAAATATGCCAATGCCATGGGAAGAGTACAGAGAAGTACGTGTTCTGTACCATGTTACAGGTGCTATTACTTTCGTGAATGAGAGCCCCCGTGTAATTGAGCCTCATTATATAGCACAATGGGGATCCATGTGGGTTATGATGAGACGAGAAAAGCGTGATAGAAAAAATTTTAAACGTTTACGATTTCCTCCATTTGATGATGAGGAACCCCCATTTTCAATTGATCAGCTACTAGATTTAGAGCCCTTAGAGGGCGTGCGTATGGACCTAGATGAAGAAGAAGATGCACCTGTCTATGATTGGTTTTATGATACCCGTGCTCTTGAGGATACTCCTCACATCAATGGTCCTACTTATAGAAAATGGCATCTAAATCTTCCGCAAATGGCGAATCTACATCGTCTATCGTATCAGCTTTTAAGCGATTTAAGAGATGATAATTATTTTTACTTGTTTAATGATCAAAGCTTCTTTACTGCGAAAGCTTTGAATGTGGCGATACCTGGTGGACCCAAGTTTGAACCATTATACAAAGATGAAGCCCCTGAAACCGAGGACTGGAATGAATTTAATGATATTTATAAACTTATTATTAGACAGCCGATTCGAACAGAATACAGAATTGCTTATCCTTTTTTGTATAACTCTAGAGCCAGAAGCGTCGTACTGAGTGAATATCATCAGCCTACAAATGTATTCATTCCACCGGAAGACCCAGATTTGCCCGCCTTTTTCTGGGATCCATTAATTAATCCTATAACTTCACGCCAGTTACGATCTCAGGAACTTCCGATTTCACATGAGGATGAAACACTTAATAACGAGGACGAATTTGAGGTTCCTTTCGATCCATTCTTCGTTGATGAAGACTTGGAGTTTGAGCATACTGCTAATGCGTTGACGTTGTGGTGGGCTCCTTATCCCTTTAACAAACGTTCTGGTATCACCAAGCGAGCACAAGATGTGCCCTTGGTAAAGCAATGGTACTTGGAACATTGTCCACCTAACCAGCCGGTTAAAGTTCGTGTATCATACCAGAAGCTGTTAAAGTCACATGTAATGAATAAGCTTCATACACCTCATCCAAAATCGCATACAAACAGGAATTTGTTTAGACAGTTAAAGAACACCAAATTTTTTCAGAGTACAACCATTGACTGGGTTGAAGCTGGTCTTCAAGTTTGTCGTCAAGGTTATAACATGCTTCAATTATTAATCCACCGCAAGGGTCTTACTTACTTGCATCTGGATTATAACTGTAATCTAAAACCAACTAAAACTCTCACAACCAAGGAAAGAAAGAAGTCGAGATTTGGTAATGCTTTTCATTTGATGCGAGAAATTCTCCGACTTACGAAATTGATCGTGGACTCTCATGTCCAGTATCGTTTAGGAAATATTGATGCTTACCAGTTAGCCGATGGTTTGCATTATACCTTTAACCATATTGGTCAACTAACAGGCATGTATCGTTATAAGTATCGCTTAATGAGACAAATCCGAGCTTGTAAGGATTTGAAGCATTTAATTTATTATCGTTTTAACACTGGACCTGTTGGTAAAGGACCCGGTTGCGGATTTTGGGCTCCAAGTTGGCGTGTTTGGCTTTTCTTTTTGAGAGGTATCGTTCCTTTATTAGAGCGTTGGTTGGGTAATTTGCTTGCTAGACAATTTGAGGGTCGTCATGCCACTGGTGTTGCTAAACAGATTACGAAGCAACGTGTTGATTCTCATCAAGATTTGGAATTGAGAGCAGCTGTCATGAACGATATTCTTGATATGATTCCTGAAGGTATTCGCCAAGGCAAAAGCAAGACTATTCTACAACACTTGAGTGAAGCTTGGAGATGTTGGAAAGCTAATATTCCTTGGAAGGTTCCAGGATTACCGGCTCCTATAGAAAATATGATCCTTCGTTATGTGAAATCGAAGGCTGATTGGTGGACTTCAGTCGCTCACTTTAATCGGGAACGTATTCGTCGTGGCGCAACTGTTGACAAGACAGTAGCGAAGAAGAATTTGGGAAGACTAACTAGATTATGGCTGAAGGCAGAGCAAGAACGACAGCACAATTACCTGAAAGACGGACCTTATGTTACAGCTGATGAAGCCGTCGCTATATATACCACTGTCGTTCATTGGTTAGAAAGCCGCCGTTTTCAGCCAATTCCCTTTCCCCCGTTGTCTTACAAACATGATACTAAACTTCTAGTTTTAGCACTGGAAAGATTAAAGGAGGCATATTCCGTTAAAGGCCGCTTAAATCAGTCTCAAAGAGAAGAATTGGCATTAGTTGAACAAGCTTATGACAACCCTCATGAGATGTTATCCCAAATTAAGAGACGTTTACTTACGATGCGGACTTTTAAGGAGGTTGGCATTGAATTCATGGATATGTACTCCCATCTAATTCCAGTATATTCTGTTGATCCAATGGAAAAGATTTGCGATGCCTATTTAGACCAATACCTATGGTTTGAGGCAGACCGCCGTCATTTGTTCCCTTCTTGGATTAAACCTGGTGATTCTGAACCTCCCCCGCTTCTCGTATATAAGTGGTGCCAGGGAATTAATAATTTAACTGATGTTTGGGAAACCCAAAATGGTGAATGTAATGTATTGATGGAGTCAAGTTTATCGAAATCGTTTGAAAAAGTTGATTTAACACTTTTAAATCGACTTTTGTCATTGCTTATGGACACTAATCTTGCATCTTACGCGAGCGCTAAAAACAATGTCGTGTTGTCTTACAAGGATATGTCTCACACGAATTCTTATGGATTAGTTCGCGGTCTTCAATTTTCAAGTTTCATCTGGCAATTCTATGGACTAGTATTGGACTTGCTCATTCTGGGTCTTCAGAGAGCTACTGAGATTGCTGGCCCCCCTGAATCACCCAATGATTTTTTGCACTTCAAAGATCAGGCTACAGAGTGTAAACACCCAATTCGTCTATATACAAGATATATTGATCGTATTTACATAATGTTCAGGTTCAGTGCGGATGAAGCTCGTGAATTAATCCAACGCTTTTTGAATGAGAATCCAGATCCTACAAATAGCAATATTGTCAACTATTCAAAAGGAAAGAAGAATTGTTGGCCAAGGGATGCCCGTATGCGTCTGATGAAGCACGATGTTAATTTAGGCCGTGCAGTCTTCTGGGAAATACGTAATCGTTTGCCCCGTTCGTTGACCACTCTGGATTGGGAGGACACATTTCCTAGTGTTTACAGCAAAGACAATCCCAATTTGTTGTTTGCTATGGCTGGATTTGAACTTCGAATCCTTCCTAAAGTCAGACAAAATGAAGAATTTACTTTACGAGATGGTGTTTGGAACTTGACGAATAACTTAACCAAAGAAAGAACAGCGCAAGCATTTATTCGTGTCACTGACGAAGACATTAAAAAGTTTAGCAACCGTATTCGTCAAATCCTCATGTCTTCTGGTTCAACCACATTTACGAAGATTGCTAACAAGTGGAATACAGCATTAATTGCTTTAATGACTTACTATCGTGAAGCTGCCATTTCGACTCCGGAATTGTTGGACGTGCTTGTGAAATGCGAATCTAAAGTTCAAACTCGAGTAAAAATCTCTCTCAATTCTAAGATGCCTAGCCGGTTTCCACCAGCTGTATTCTATTCACCCAAAGAACTTGGTGGCTTAGGTATGCTTTCAATGGGTCACGTGTTAATTCCGCAATCCGATTTACGCTGGTCTAAACAAACCGATACTGGCATTACTCATTTCCGAAGTGGTATGACAACAAATGGCGAGCATTTAATTCCCAATTTATATCGCTATATTCAGCCTTGGGAGTCTGAATTTGTGGATTCTCAGCGTGTTTGGGCCGAGTATGCAATGAAAAGACAAGAAGCCTTACAACAAAATCGAAGGTTGACATTAGAAGATTTGGAGGATTCATGGGACCGCGGTATTCCAAGAATCAATACATTGTTCCAAAAAGATAGACACACTCTTGCATATGACAAGGGTTGGCGTATCCGAACCGAGTTTAAACAATATCAGTTGCTTAAAAACAACCCCTTTTGGTGGACTAGCCAAAGACATGACGGAAAGCTATGGCAGTTAAACAACTATCGTGTCGATGTCATACAAGCCCTTGGTGGTGTTGAAGGCATTTTAGAACATACAATGTTCAAAGCAACTGGGTTCCCTTCATGGGAGGGTCTGTTTTGGGAAAAAGCATCTGGCTTCGAAGAATCAATGAAGTTTAAGAAGCTTACAAATGCCCAACGTTCAGGTTTAAATCAAATTCCCAATCGAAGATTCACTTTATGGTGGAGTCCAACAATTAACCGGGCCAACGTGTATGTAGGTTTTCAGGTTCAGTTGGATTTGACGGGTATTATGATGCACGGAAAGATTCCTACTTTGAAGATTTCTCTTATTCAAATCTTCCGATCTCATCTTTGGCAAAAAATTCACGAATCAGTCGTTTGGGATCTTTGTCAAGTATTTGACCAGGAGTTAGAGTCTTTGCAGATAGAAACTGTTCAGAAGGAAACCATTCACCCAAGAAAGAGTTATAAGATGAATAGCTCTTGTGCTGATATATTATTGTTTGCTGCATATAAGTGGAATGTTTCACGTCCATCTCTTCTTAATGATAATCGTGATGTTCTTGACAATACGACAACTAATAAATATTGGGTGGATGTTCAACTTCGTTTTGGTGATTATGATTCCCACGATATTGAAAGATACACTCGTGCGAAGTTCTTGGATTATAGTACGGATTCTCAAAGTATTTATCCGTCACCAACAGGTGTTTTGATCGGTATCGATTTGTGTTATAATATGCATAGTGCTTATGGTAATTGGATCCCAGGAATGAAACCCTTGATCCAACAGAGTATGAACAAAATCATGAAGGCAAATCCTGCCCTTTATGTTTTACGTGAACGTATCCGAAAAGGTTTACAGCTCTATGCTTCCGAGCCACAGGAACAATATCTCTCTTCTTCAAATTACGCTGATTTATTTAGCAATCAGATACAACTCTTTGTTGATGACACTAACGTCTACCGTGTAACAATCCATAAGACTTTTGAAGGTAACTTAACCACTAAACCCATTAATGGTGCTATATTTATTTTCAACCCAAGGACTGGTCAATTATTTTTGAAAGTTATTCATACATCTGTTTGGGCAGGTCAGAAACGTCTTGGTCAACTGGCGAAGTGGAAGACTGCTGAGGAAGTCGCAGCTTTAATTCGTTCATTACCTGTTGAGGAACAACCTAAGCAGATTATTGTCACACGTAAGGGTATGCTTGATCCCTTGGAGGTTCACCTTCTTGATTTCCCGAATATTACAATCAAGGGAAGCGAACTTCAACTTCCTTTCCAAGCTATCATAAAATTGGAAAGAATAAACGATTTAATTCTTCGAGCCACTGAGCCACAAATGGTACTCTTCAATTTATACGATGATTGGCTTCAATCAGTATCATCTTACACTGCATTTTCTCGTCTTATATTGATATTACGTGCTTTAAATGTTAATCTTGAGAAGACCAAACTTATTCTTCGTCCGGACAAGTCAATTATTACGCAAGCTAACCACATTTGGCCCAGCTTGGATGATCAGCAATGGTTAGATGTCGAACCCCAGCTTCGTGATCTAATTTTAGCAGATTATGCCAAGAAGAACAACGTAAACGTTGCTAGTTTAACAAACTCTGAAGTGCGCGATATTATCTTAGGTATGGCAATTTCAGCACCCTCTTTACAGCGTCAACAGATTGCTGAGATTGAAAAACAAGGTCGTGACAATGATCAGGTTACAGCAGTAACGACTAAAACCACTAATATACATGGTGATGAAATGGTTGTTACAACGACATCAGCGTACGAAAATGAAAAGTTTTCTAGTAAAACAGAATGGAGAAACCGTGCCATTTCTTCTACTAACCTTCATCTTCGAACGAAGAATGTCTATGTTAACTCTGATAACATAAGTGAAATTGTACCTTATACTTACGTCTTACCGCAAAATCTGCTTAGAAAATTTGTGATGATATCAGACCTTCGTACACAAGTTGCTGGTATGTTATACGGAAAAAGCCCTTCTGATAATCCCCAGATTAAGGAGATTCATTGTATTGCTATGGTCCCTCAGCTGGGTAGCCTCAAGAATGTTCAAATTCCATCTAAGCTCCCCGAAGATATGCAACTTCCTATTTTGGATGATTTAGAACCTTTGGGATGGGTCCATACTCAAAGCTCCGAGTTACCTTATCTATCTTCTGCCGACGTTACTACGCATGCCAAATTAAGTTCCCAACATAAGGAATGGGCAGGAAAATCGATTGCATTAACAGTCAGTTATGTGCCGGGCTCAATCTCTCTGGCAGCGTATGGTGTTACTGATGAAGGAATCAATTGGGGCAGTAACAATATGGATATGAACAGTGATGAGGCTGTAGGATTCAACCCTGAGATGGGTCAAAAGTGTCAACTTTTGCTGTCTGACAGGATTCAAGGGTTCTTTTTAACTCCTGAGGAGGATGTTTGGAACTACAATTTCAATGGTGCAAGCTTTAGTAGTAATATGTCATACGGCATGAAATTGGATGTTCCGCTCTCATTTTTTGCTTTGGAGCACAGACCTACGCATGTTATCAGTTATACTGAAATGGAAGGTAATGATCAGTTCGAAGAAGACATGCCTGATGCGTTTGCTTAAAAAGAATAGAAAAGCCATACCTTTATGGTGCACATTGTAAATTAGGGATTCTCTGAGTTTTATCGAGGGTAATGAAAAACGAAAAGTTACTATTCTTGGGATAAACTACAACTTTTGATAATGTATAAAATATTTAGGTGATTAGTTTTATGATTTTAGAAATATTATCTACGTTTTGTTTATAACAATGATTTGCTTTGTTTATAATACACGAGTATCCAAAAAAAGGTAGTGAATTGTTCATTATTATCCTAAGCATGTTACTCCACAACCAGGGACAGGACATAGTTGGCCTTCTTCTGCCGTATCATGAAAGAACCAATCCCTCAAACAACTTTCATGGCCCAAATGTCCACAACCATAACATGAAGTGACAATACCATTTAAAGGTAACTCACAAAAACAGCATCTCTCAAGCTTTGAATAAACGTTCACATGATCAAGAGAGATATTTTTCGTAAGAGGCGTTGAACTTGACCTGTAACCAAACGACAAATCGCGATTTGCTGAATATTTATATTTTACAACCTGTGAGGAATGTTTAACGACGTATGACGCTTCACAAAACAATCCCATACGCCGCAAAAGGCCCACATAGCTGTCTATCAAATCATCCAGTTGAGGATGGGGAATGTTGATAGGTAATGAGGAAAACAATAAATAAATTGAAGCACCAGTTTGTACATCTGTTTCATCAATGCATTGTAAAATAGAAGATGTCACCACGTCTATCAATTCTGTAGGAGGTGGTTCTTCGGCACCAAAGGAAATTTGATTATTGAAGTAAGAAGTACGTCTAGACAGACTTCCCACGCTTGCAGTAGGATCACGGGATTTGTTCGACGCGGATGTTATAGAGTCTTGCCGCATAGAATTAGGCACGTCGTACTGCGAATGAGCAGAAACGTTGGAAGCGATCGAACCGAAATGTAAGGAGGAGATACTATTCCTACCTCCTTGGAAAGACGGAACACCATCTTTACGAGAATCCATGGATGCGCCGTGTTCTGTTTTTTGATTTAAGCTTTTTGAAACAGCTTTATCCAGGTTATCCTCGTAATCTACAGAAAGTATTGATGAGCTGAGAGACGAACTGGATAGTAATGATTCAAAGTAATCATCAGAGAGTGCATCAGATTTAATTGAAGACTGCTTACTATTTTCTGATGTGTTTTTTTGTGAACCAGACTGTGAACTTCCTTCTAAGAACGAACATTCATAGTCGTCCATCAATAAGAACTGCTCTTTATGACTTGGGCTAAGAGAGGAAAAAAACAAGAAATCCCACATCGCTTGAGCTTCGTAAGCGCCGAAATGGGAAGCCAGTTTGGCATTTTGGCGGCAAGCAGTACTGATTTCGCCAGCAAGCTGATAAGACTTTGCAAGCTCAACAAAATTATGACAAATATCGGGAAATAAAGAAGTGGTGCTCAATTGGATATTATCTTTAAGAGAAAAAGATTCCGGAAGATTATTGGAATTCTGTTTCGACAAGTTCAATTCCTGCTTTGCATGCAGTGCGGTCCTTAGAGAGCTTATATTACTTTCACGGGAAGGAGTTCGATGAACCTGGGGACGAGAATCGGCAGTCTTTTTGTTATTTGAAGAGATAGCAATCCAACCATTAGTAGACCACGACACAGCGGAGGAAGGCATTAAATCTATGTAACTTATAGCATCATTTGGACGAGACTGGGAAAGAACCCCATCACGACTGGACGATAAAAGAACATTTGGAGAAATCCATTGTAAGGCGGTTACGTTATTTTCATGATGGGTGAGGCTACGATGGGGAACATAGGGCCGAGGAACGTCCCAGAGGTTTATAGTATCATCACCCAAGAGGGAGGAGCTGGCCAGTCTACGGGTAGCATTATTATCCTCGGAGGGTTCCCAACGCACAAGATTCACAGGGGCGATTGTATTAATAGTAGAGACCGCTTTACGTTGATTGTTGTTGATATCCCAAATACGGATTGATTTATCCCGTCCACAAGAAGCGAGTAGAGAGCCATTCGGTGTATAATCTATACACAATGCAACTCCATTATGAGCAGAAAGCTTTAGAGAGGGACTTTTACTGTAACGTAAATCCCATTTTTGGACAGTACCATTATCGTAGGCAACGACGAATTCATTAATTCCAGAGGGAGAGAATGCGACATCTCTGGCAGCTTCTGAATTTCCACGAAAATTTTGGGAAGAGTGAGGTTCACGAAAGTCCCACAACTTTGTTAGGCCGTCCTGCGACGCTGTTAAAATGTATGAAGAATGGAATTTGGAGACGTCGATACTATGAATGGCTCTTGAGTGTTCAGTAAATTTAGAAATAATTTGAGAAGAATCAATATCCCAAACATTTAAGTCACCTAAAGGGGAGCAAGTAAATAGATAATTTTCGGAAAAGGTGTTTCCCCATTTGACATCATTACAGGAGATGTTCTTTTCGTGGATATTTCCAGAAGAAAAGTTTTTAATTCGAATAGGGGCTCTAGTGGGATTTGGATTGAGAGCGAGAATTTCCAAGAGTTCGCGGCCAGCGATTGCGAATTTGGTAAAGTCAGGACTAGTGGATAGTGAATTGACGCTTCCTTGAGTTTGAAGAGCCCAATCCTGGTAGTCGAAAAGGGGTTTCTGTGTCCTAGACGAATACGTCGCAGCGACCTTGGAATAAGTGATTGCAGGTTTGGAGGAAAACGAACTTTTCGACATGGAAGCAATTCTTGAACGTTTAAATATAGAAAATTAGAAGTTTTGACATAAAGCAAAGAAATATGGGAAAATATCCGCTCGTGCACCAGAATAAAAAAGTGAACCGAAAATTGGTTGACTTTTTTTTTTTTTTTTCTTTACGTCTAAATGTACGTAAAACGAATAATTTAAATAAAGTAAAACAAAAACAAAAACGAAAAGAAATTCGACGAAACAAAAGATATGATAGAAAGAGGAACCTTTTTAATTCTCGTCAAAGGAAATCAATGTACATAAATCAATTCCGAGAAATCATAGCGTGCAGAATTGTGATTACTTTTAATAGGCGCTAAACAAGCAAAGTAAAGGAAATGCTCACAAGATTGCTACGGGAATGCTCACACAGTCAAAGGAGGAAGGATGACACAACAGACGAGAGGATGAGAATGAAACAAGGAAACTGGGATTTGGTCTGGTTCAACGGAAACCAATACAAAAGGAGAGGAATGTTTGAGTTGAAATGGAAGATGAATTCTCTTTGTACAGCTCGTCGTTTCCAAAAGATGATGGTCTACATTTGTTCTTAGGGTAGCGGTGTTGCTTTTCTATAAAGACGGTATGGAAGGACACCGCGGTTGGTCGTAACACGGTATTGAGGGGAAGGTATGAAAAGAAGAAAGAAAGAAAGAAGAAAACGAGCAGCTGGTATGATTAGAAAAGAGACGTTTAGAAGACGGTTTGTTATGTAAAAGGAATACGAACCATCCTTGGATTTTTCTGTGCTCTTCTTGCAAAGTAGTTTAGAGAGGATATACCTTTACACATATCAAGAAAGTCCCGGGTAGCTCAATCGGTTTAGAGCGTCTGACTCTTAAGAAGATCATCAGAAGGTTGCGAGTTCGAGTCTCGCCTTGGGAGTTGTTTTTATTTTTGCTGTTTGGTGACCGAGTACGGTGGTTTCTTTTTTCTTTTTTTTTATTTTTATTTATTTTTTTTGTGTTTATAGAATTTATGATTGGAATGGAATCTTTTGTTTCATGAATGTTTGAATGCTGTGCTTTACGAATGCGCAGGATATTTCGTTGGAAAGGGTTTTTGCTCACATATGATAAACTTGGGTTTCACATACCAAAAAGAAAAGAGTCTTCGTGACACATAGAAAAGGGATTGTCAGTAAATAAAACAGAATATCAAAAAAATAATAAAAAAACAAATCTTTACAAGACAAAAGATTGGAACGTGGAAAGCGATTGCGAACAGACTTGCGACGAAACGACGAAAACAAAAACGCATAAAGAAATATCGGAAATGTCGAAAGAATTAGAACAGGAAGCTCGTGCATGGATTGAGCAAACGTTAAACATTACGTTGAATGCAAAGGAAGAGCTATTAGAAGAATTACGGTCAGGAGTGTTGCTATGTCAAATTTGCAAGCAAGTACTAGGGGGAAACATTCGTTATAAAGAATCCAATATGCCATTTGTTCAAATGGAAAACATTTCAACGTTTATAAACTTTGCTCAGCAAGTGGTTGGAGTGCCATCGCAAGATATGTTTCAAACAGCAGATCTGTTTGAACGTCGAAACGATGAACAAGTGTTACGGGCGATTCATTCGTTTTCTCGATATGCGGCAAAGAAGTATCCAAACAAAGTACATGGATTAGGACCAAAGCTGGCAGACAAGAAACCTCGTACATTTTCACCGCAGCAGCAACGAGTTCTGCGAGAAGGAACGCATAGTCTTCAGTATGGAAGTTATGATGGACCTACTCAGGGAAGTGAAAAGATTACATTTTCTTCTAGAAGAGATCCTACGGGAAACATTTACTAAAGCATGAATGTAGAATAGAGATTATGAAGAGTAATGAAATGGTATTAAAGAAAAGCAACAAGCAAGAGAGGAATGGACTAGATTATTTTATTTTTTTTTATTTTTTTTTTATTTTTATTTTCATATTAATTCTGATTTTAAAATAATTTTATAAAAACTAACAAACAAATGCATATCAACCCCCATTGGAACATATATCTATAGTAGGAAGCGTGCCCCCATAGTCCTTTGTGGGGGCATGGTTCTGTGGGAACAGGTCCTAATGGGGGTACAAAATGGGGGTACAAAAACTTGCAAGTTGGATTGACTTGTTTTTCGAAATGTCCCCACAAAGGACTTTGATATTTGCTGTGGGGGTCTTGTTTCACCTAGGTTGGTAGGAGAATGGAGAGAGTCGGCAAAGACGAGAGAGAGAGAGAGAGAGAGAGACGAATTTCATAAAAGTTTCATTTCAATTTCAACTTTAGTTGTAAAGAGCGACGCAAGCTAGCGACCCAACTTTCCCAACTTTCAACCAGCACAACTCCAAGGCTCACAGAGCTGTTTTCCTGCTTCGTTCTCTTCATCAGGCCTATACTTTACCATGCTGAAAACAACCACCTCGGTTCCTAAATACCTTAAAGTTGCTGAACTTGTCATTGGAGAAGGAATGCGGAGAAAACATTCATTTGACACAAATGATTGGTAACTTGGTTTCACGAGGGAATCACATGAAGGAAAACCTCGGTAAATAAAAGAATGTGGTTGAAACGCTTTTTTTTTCTTCATCATCTTCATCATTATTTTTTTCATTTCTTCTTATTTCTTTAGTCATTTTCATCTCTCTCCTTCCCTACGTCCCGTCCCTTTCTTTGTTCAACCCACACTCCACTTTTCGTCTCCGTCTCTTGTCTCGAATCTCACACCCACGTTTTCTTTCTTTCTTGTTCGTCATTTGTCATTGATAAACTCTGTCTTTGTCCCACTTGATCTTTTTCTTTTTGATTGGTTGGTTTCTTTTATCCCGATACATTCTTCCGACTCATTTACCAATCATCGTTTTCTATCTTACGTTTATCCCTTGATAAATTTCATCACTTTTTATCATTCTTTTTGACTGGCTTTTAGATCCGGTCCCGCAAGAATTGATCCTTTTCACCCTTGCGTCATGTTTTTCCGGTGTTGTTGTTGTTTGTTGTTACTTTGGTTGAATTTGCGATTTTAAAAAATTCGTCGATTCTTTTTTTTTTTTGTAGTTTTCTCGTTTTGTTGAGGATTTCTTTTCTTTTCTTTTTTTATAAATAATTCACGTTTTTTATTTTCTTTTTCATTCTCATTTTCTCACTTTCCTTCCCCCTTGAAACAGTGTCATTTGTCTTTTGGCGTCGTTTTCATCTTTTTCCCCTGTCATTCAGCCGCCGTCGCAATAAACAAAGAAAACCAAACCAGACACATCTTAATTCAATTTGATTCAATTTGATTCAATTCAAATGAAATCCATTGTAAAAAATAAAATAAAATAAATCAAACAAAATCCAATCAAATAATTCTTCTTTTTTCTTCAAGTCTTTTTTCAACTCTTTCAACTAGTATTCGTCTTTGTAGTTTCCTTTCAAAACAAAGACCCGCGAAAAAGGGATCGTGAAAAAAAAAAAAAAAAAAACTCCATTCTTACATTGTTACACTGCTACGCTGCGCGAATTTGTTCTTCCGATCCCGGTCGCTGCTGCAAGTGTTGTTCGATACTACACAACCGTTTTCTTTCTTTATTACATCAACCAGAGTCATATAAAAAGGCAACGATCGAAACATATGAAACTTGCTTCCCTCAAACAACGACATCCCATCATAACATCGTCACTCCAAGAATTACAGCCAACAGTGTTGCCATTGTCTGTACTTGGAATTTTTTCGTATTCTTTTTATTCATTAATTTTTTTTTATTGTCTTTTGTGATTTTTGTTTCTGTTTTTAACGAAACTTAATCCATTTATCTCACATCCCACTTTTTTGTGAGGATTCTCTGTTTTCTCCGTATACATTACAAAAATATTTTCCATCTTCGGATTTCTTACTTTTACCACATTCACTTTTTTTGGTAGAAAAAATTTTCTCCTTTTTTTGGTAAGTTTTTTTGGTTTGCTTTGGTTTGGTTTTGTAAAAGAAAAAAGAATAAAAAGAGTTTGAAAGCGAAAAGTGAAAAGTGAAAAGTGCAAAGGATACGAAAGGAGAGGAGAGGAAAGAACAAAAAAAAACAAAAACAAAAGAAAAAGAAAAGAAAAGAAACCTAAAAGTTGAAATAAATCCTGACATTTCTTTTTCTTTTTCTTTTTCTTTTCTCTAACATTTCCTTTCTTTTGCTTTCGTTTCCTTTTTACTTTTCTACCTCTTGAATCTCTTTCTTCTCTTACATTCCTTTCTCTCTTTTCCCTCTTTTCCCTCTTTTCCCTCTTATCCTCTCTAACCCTCTTGTTTAGTTTACATTACATCTTTCATCATGGAAGCGAATCTCGAACAAGCCGTCAAAAAGCTCATCAGCGACTTTGAATGTCCCACTGATGCTTTAAAGAATGCCATGGAGGATTTCGACGAACTTCGCAAGAAGGGTCTTGAAAAGGACGACGAAATGCTTGCTATGGCCCCTGCCTACATCAGCAGTGTCCCCACCGGTGAAGAAAAGGGTGACTTCTTGGCCCTTGACTTGGGTGGTACCAACTTGCGTGTCTGTTGGGTCCGTCTTCTCGGTGAAGGCAAGTACGATATGAAGCAAAGCAAGTCCACTTTACCTAGAGAAATTGTCCGTAACGAATCCGCTCAACCTTTGGTTGATTTCATCTGCGATCACATCGAACTTTTCATCACCGAAAACTTCCCTGAAAAGATCGGTGTTTCCGAAGAAGAATACCTTCCCATGGGTTTCACCTTCTCTTACCCCATGAGTCAACGTTCCATCGTTGATACTACCCTTATTCGCTGGACCAAGGGCTTCAACATCCCCGAAGCCATTGGCCTCGACTTTGGTTCCACCTTGACCCAAGGCATGAAGGACCGTAAGCTTCCCGTCGTCATCGAAGCCGTCATCAACGATACCGTTGGTACCCTTGTCACCCGTGCTTATACCTCCAACGCCTACAACACCATCATGGGTGTTATCTTCGGTACTGGTTCCAACGGTGCTTACGTCGAAAACGCTGCCGAAATCCCCAAGCTCACCAACGCCGGCAACAAAGAAAAGATGCTCATCAACATCGAATGGGGTGCCAGTAACTTCAAGAGCCTTCCTGCTACCCGTTACGACTTGCTCCTCGATCACGACACTCCTAACCCTGGTCGTCAAATGTTTGAAAAGCGTGTTTCTGGTATGTATTTGGGTGAACTCTTCCGTCGTGCCTTGTTCCACTTGATCAAGGTTTACAACTTTAACAACGGTATCATCCCTCCCTCCGTCACCGACTCTTGGTCCCTTGAAACCTCCGTGCTTTCTCGCATTGTCATCAACCGTTCTGCTGAAAACGTCAAGGAAGTCCTTCGTCCTTACGGTATCCGCTTCCGTGACGACAACGAGGCTTTGCTTATTTATGATGCTGCTTACTGCATCGGCCGTCGTTCTGCCCGTATCTCTGCCGTCCCTATTGCTTCCCTTTACCTCTCTACTGGCCATGCTGGTAAGAAGGCTGACATTGGTGTTGACGGCTCTTTGGTTGAGCACTACCCCAACTTTGTCAATATGCTCCGTGATGCTTTGAAGGATCTTCTTGGTGAGGATGAGAAGAACATTACCATTGGTATCGCTAAGGATGGTAGTGGTATCGGTGCTGCTCTTTGTGCTTTACAGGCTGTTAAGGAAAAGTAAATTAACTGTGATCTATGTGTTGTTGAGTCTTAAGGTAAAAGAATTTATGTTGTTTAATTTCATTTCTTTACAATTTTTAACGAAAACATGGGCGGTCCAATGTCCACTTTTCGTTTTGTACTAGATATTATGGCAGGTAAATCAGTAATAGAGTAGAAAATATTCAGTAGAAAAATAATAATACAAGAAATAAAAAAATACATATAAATACTTTGAATACATTGTTGTAATATGGTTCTTCTCAAAAAAAATAGATATAATTAAGAAAACAAATAAAGGGGGCAAGAGTTTTCAGTCTCCGTACTTGCAACATATCTACAGTAATCTTTCCGTTAAAAATTAATTAATAAAAAGAGTATAACAACGAACGAAAGGGATTTGACACGCTTCCATCATAGCAAACATTGAACCACATTCACCAAGTTGTGTTTAGTTCACTGTGGGCCAAGCAAACAAAAGACACTTTTCTCTATTCTTGTTAACATCACAAAAATATATTAACCCCCTTTCTCTTTTGAGATTAACTTTTTTGCATCTACAGACCACTATTCGTATTGTACGCTTAAGTAGTTTTTGGTTTTTTCACTCCGTATTTACTCCTGGAAGAAACACGTCCTACAACACCAGCAATGTCGTACACGCCTCGGATAATGTGATACTGGACACCAGGACAATCTTGCGCTCTACCTCCTCGAACTAGCACGACAGCATGCTCTTGAGCATTGTGACCAATTCCTGGGATATAGGCTGTAACAAAACGGCCAGAAGAGAGACGAACTCTTGCAACTTTACGAACAGCAGAGTTTGGCTTCTTTGGCTTTACTGTAAACACACGCGTACACACGCCGCGTCTGAAGGGTCCACCTTCAAGTGATAATGACTGCTGTTGCTTCGCGTTTGAAGCATTCTTGTTCTTCTTTTTCATAGACTGGTTTAGGGTACGCATTAAAATGGACGAATTTTGAAAAGAACGAACATTTGGAATACTCAATGCACTCGGTATGCTGGGTATTCTATTGAAAATTCTGGGTATTTGTCTCGCATTAAAAATAGGCAGCAGAGACCTCTGAAAGAACAGCATTACTGGAAAAAAAGAAGAGAGATACAAAAAATAAATAGTCAAAAGGTCTCTTAAACTACGGTTAAAGAAACACTTAAATGAGAAGGCGGCACGTAGTAAGAATATGGCAAGGTCCGCTTCCATTCATGAGGTAACAGGACCAGTTGTTACTCACAACTTGAAAAAAGAATGTTAAGTTGATTTTTTTTATGGTTAATTGGAAGTATACGTTTTTTTATATATATTTAAAGTATATAATAATTATAATAGTGAAAATTAAAAAAAAAAAAAGTTTACCCAGTATACAAGCATATCAAAAGACTTACTTTTCAAGTACTTCAAAGGCAATTGTAAATGCTTCTTGGATAAAAGGGGAGTAAGAAGTCGCAGATTTCGTTCAATAAATAATTCATTCTTTTTATTGCTTTGGTCTCGAGTTATGTCCTTTCTCTGTCTCTGGTCCTTGGGCCGCCCTATAAGGCACTGTACTCACTCAAAGACCTGTCTAACCCTGTCACACTAACTCGATCTTTTTTTATTAACCATTGCTTCCTTTTTGGACCTTTTCTATTCAGGTTTATTGTATTCATTCGTTCAGAAAATCTCTAAAAGAACCTGATCCAGCATGAAGTCGACTTTATGCCGTTTGGCAAAAGCTACAAAAGCGAGTAAGAAAACCGGCCCCGGTGTTCGTGATGAGTCTGTGCAGCTTTTGAGAAGTACATTGTATGAAACTCCTTATAAAACCACTTTACACATGGACAAGGAATCGTGGAAAAAGCATGAAATTATCAATAGAGCCTGGGGCATACATCAGAGTAGGAAGCAAAAAGAAATCAAAAATTTATATGACAAGCAATTTCAAGCTATGCAAGAAGCCTGCGAAGAGCTTCGCTTAACCAGCGAAAATTTGTTTAATGCCGCTATGACCGGATCAAAGAGTCGGAGATTCCCTATTCAGACACGGATACCCACAGAAACTCCTCCAAGAGCTGTGAATTAATTTTTGGTTTAGCATGTGTTTCATGTTTTACAATTTTTGCAACAGAGGTGCACAACTTTAGAGCGAGTGTGAATTGGTACAATAAATTCATGGGCCTTTTCTCTTTGCTAAACATTTAATTACAGGAAAGCGTCATAGAAATGTGTTTAAAATAAAGCCATAATATTATTAAGTAAAAGTTTTTCCCCTCATACACCCTGTTTTGATATCCAAAAGTAAAAAGTAAACTCCAGTTCCTTCTTCTATTCCAATCGAAGACTTTTAATTAATTAACACTGTACCAAACAAACCTTGCTTCGCAAACCGAACCAATTAAAAGATGAAAATATAATACATATTCGTAGATACATCGCCAATTTTCCTAAAGCCAGAATCTACGTCTATCAGATTCTTCTCCGGCATTGCTTTCAAAGAAGACTTCGCCTTTCTTATTATCCCAAACTCCTCTTTGAACCATTCTTAAGCGCATAGTAAAACGTGGTCCTAATTCCTGCAAACCTGTACCAATGCCATCTGGTCGATTAGATCTTTCTCGGAAATCGTAACGGTGACGACGGAAGAAAAGAAAATCACGTTGGCAGTGAATAGTTACAACTTGTCGACCCTGAATCTGGGGTTGCTGGATAAATAAAGACTGGAAAGCGCGAGCTACTGTTAAACCCAATCGAGTACTGAAGTTGTTAATAATAAGTTCTGGAATGTGACCACTCGAACGACCATGGTTGGAAATCTCCTGTGCTGACTGAATACTGGAAAGAGTAAAGTAAAAAGAGGGTCCACTTGGCAAATGAATTAAAGTGAGAGCGTTAGTCTGTTTGCGATCTTCATTCAAGACAATCAAATCAGTATAACCACGTTTAGTAGCCGCTTCAGCAATTTCATGGATTTCAATATTTCCAGTTCGTTTACGGAATTCTGCATTGGGAAAGCAGTCCAATAATTCAGAAGCAAAGTCATAGCATTTTCGTGAAGCACGTTTGCTTGTAGTTACCAATAATTTGGGGAATCTTCTCTCCTCATTAAAATAGGCAGCAAATTCATCGTCTTGGATTTCGGCCTGTACCTCTTCATCTGGTTCATCTTGCAAAACCGTCTGATCGTAAACTCGCTTGGATTCAATGGTTTCTGGTACATTTTCAGCAAGACGGGCAGCTTTCTTTTCTGGCTCCTTTTCTTCTTCTTTGGCCCTATCCTTTCGCTTTTCCAATTTTTCTTTCTTTCTTCTTTGTAGTTCTTTCAAATATAATTGCTGACGAACAATTTTATTCTTGATTGGTCCCATTTTTCTGTTTTTTTGATAACAATACCCAGTCTAAATGTCTTTCGGAAAGCCACAAGGAAGTGCTAAGAGCTCAAGCACCTATGCAATTTTTTTTATATCAAAAATATAATATTAACTAAGATAGACCAGGGATTTGGCTCTATAAATCAAAAGTAGATGAAACTGAAAAAAGCAGAGGATTTGTTGGTGTCAAGACAAGCACAATAGTGAGACCGTATGTACGCCCTAACTGGCATAACGAAAGAGTAAAATTTCGTTAATTGCCAAGAATAGATAAATGGAGGTATAGCAAAAGGGATAGCTATTTTTGGTAGAAAATTGAGGTATTATGTACTTCACTGATTTTTTGAAGCATTTTTATTTTATTGATTTCGAATCTTAAAATCATGAACATAGGTTTTGTTTCTTCTTCCCTTCTTCTCTAAAGCGTGGAATAGTAGCATACAGATGAAAAGGACAAATTTAAACAATTGTAATAAAAATGTAAGACTGTTTATTTTTTGAACCAAAAGATCTAATAAATTAACAATTTCTAAATTAAGAAATGTAAGAATCCCAAAATCCATTCTCAGAACATTGACATTCGACAAGCGGATCAACGCAAGCAGGCAATGCAAGTCAACTTTCTATAGCAACATACTTTAAGTAGTAACAAGTTTTATGCCCTTGACTCGTTCATATCCAAAAGTTGAACCATACCACGGCCCTTTGTTTCATTACGAATAAACTCGTCTAGCGTTTTGTAATTTCCAGGAAGGACGAGAGCAACACACTCATACTCATCATCCATATTTTCTTCTTCAACCTCATCTGCTAAAGAACGAATTTTTTCACGCAAAGGCTTCCCTTGCTTGATATCGATTACAATGCGGATACGCATGCGAGCACGCACAATTGGAATTTCTCCTTTCTCCTGAAGTTTACGAATTGCTTCCAATGCTTGAGACTTGGCGCTCTTGCTAGAAACGGAAAATCCACAATCTGAAATAGCCTTCTCAATAATTGAAGCAGGATATGGACGACGGGTATTAGGGTCAACACACATGAGGGTAACATGAGAAACGATGTCACGAAAAGTAGAAGACATCTGGTGGTTTCTTTCCTTTTCACCGACTTGAAAATCACCCTTTTGTAAAATTTCCAAGATGATAGCGTCTACATCATCTGTACCAAAAGCAGTTTTTAAATCGTTCTTACTAGCCACATGACCTTTAGAAACATTGCTGAATACACTACGGATTTGTAAAACTTCGTCGAGATCAGTTTCACTACAGGTTGGTTAGCAAAGATTTGTAGAAACACAAAACGGCAATTGGAGGTTCTAATTCCACTGAAATAACTACAACTTATTCTAATCTACATCAATGGAATCATGTTTCCTCCAATCTTTTCTCGTACATTTTGTTTCTCCATTCTGTTACTTTGTTTTTGTAGCAAGCAATTTCAAAACGCTTTCCTCCCTTTTTGTATTTGACAACAGACACATTTGTCAATCGAATCTGTCCAACGGGTTGATTAATTGCTCCCATCTTGCTAGGAGAAAGTGGTTTGTTTTAGTCAAAATATTGAAGTTGCTTCATAAACAATTAGAGAAGCACAAGATCGATCACTAATGTACATTAACGATGTCTGACTTTTTATTTTTTAGTAAACAAAGGGATTCACATTATTTTTTACTTTTTTAACTAATTATCAAATGAACATAATACACATCAACTAAAAATAGAAAAAGTTTATAGATATGAAGTACACTTATGCTCAGACTTCAGAAGTTAAAATCAAGCTGGTTCCAGTATATTAAATCTTGTTTCACATTAGGCTGTGATAATAAGTACCGTTCAAAAAACAAAGCAAAGAGTCAGATACAGTAGTAAAAAAAAATTATTTAAGTTATTGATACCTATAAAGCTTGATTTAGTAGCTGTCAATTACAGCTTTCTTGTATTGTTTACAAAGTCCACTTTATACTAAAAATACTCCAACTTCCTTATAACAATACATACTGTTATATAAATTTAAATAGTTTTATACTGAAGGATTTTTCCGTATTCAATTTCTACTCACTATAATCCCACAACACTTGTTGCGTTCGCCATCATTAAATTCCGCATATCCTACTAGGAGCAAGTTGGTAGGAATGCAGCATTAAATCTGCATGTTCCTGGATTTTACATGAATTAACATTTTCTTGTTCAAAATAGTGAATTTTTTTGTGTCTACATTCGGTTACATAGGAGTCAAATTCTTTCTTTAAATAAATTCGGTTGCTTTATTGGTAAATTTTGTTAAAACTTTTGAATCCCCATCTCGACAAGATACAGGTACAAAATGAAAGATTTGCGGACTGTGTTTCCAAAATATTATGGAGGTGGGAAAAGTCTTTTGAGATCCAAACGCAGTTTGCCGGTTCACATGCGAACACGGCTTTACGATCATATAAGAACCAAGGAGTACGATAGAGATCCCACTGAAGCGCAATTAGAATTACCGGTTGTACCTCCTTCTTTAAGAATACCTTACTGGAATGTTTTCAAAGGTGACTACGTCCACGTTCATAGCGGGCCTAACAAAGGAAAATGGGGCCGTGTATTGGAAACAAACAAATACACAAACGGCATTACCATCGAAGGCGTAAACGTGAAATCCGTAAAAATACCCAAGTATCTTTTAAGAAGCCCTCCGGAAGATGGCAAGGACCCCGTTGTGGATCTTGCCCACGAAATTCCGGTTTCGCAAATTCAGTTGCTGGCAAATGCTAAGTATACCGACGGAAAACGTGTTCTTGTACCCGTGGAAGCCATTTCTAAATCCAATTCTCCAAAAGGTCGAAAACTAATTGCTCCTAATTACGAAGGAATTAACAACCAAGACGTTCATCTTCCATTCCCAAAGGATGATAAGCCTCAACGTGCCGAAGGTAGTATGGACACAAAGGAGTCTACTGTTGCTAAAGTCACATGGAGCCCTAGCTTGACTGAGGCTCCCTTACCTCCTTTTGCTGTAGGTGATCTACGTGTCAATTGGTCTCGTCGCTTGGAGCGTGCTTGGGCATACAACAAAAATAAGAAAGATATTTTTGAAATTGCTAAAAACCTGGTTCGTGCCGAAAATGCAGCTGAAGCTTATGTTAAACAATACCCCAGCCATGTCACACAGAAAAAACCCAGCTCATGAATTCACCTTTAATAATAATTCTTGCAACCTTCTTTCATAACCCAAAAATCTATTCAACCAACTATATTTTCATTGCTTTACCTAACAAATATTTTTATCTCTTTAATTTCAGCTCTATCTTTACTAATTGAAGCCCAGTATTTTTTTGATTACTCAATACTAATTACCAGAGTAACAAGGATTACCCAAATACCGATCACAAGAAGTAGTCAAGTAGATTAAAATATAATATTCATAAAAGGAAACGAATTATGCATCGTAAAAGATCGTATTTATCGTTTAGCTAAATCATCCAATCTTGCTTGCAGGTTATCTTCAGACTTAAGCTCTGGCATACTTCCCACTTGCGTTGAGGCATCTGGGAGACCTTGAGATAAATCTACCCCTATTTCATCCAAGACTTTATTTACAAGCTCATCAGCCTCTTCTTCATCATCATCTTCCAGGGCGTCATCCATACTTTCGTCTATCATTTCTTGGCGTTGCTCCATCATGTCGTTTTCTCTTTCAAATTGCTGAGCAATACGAGACATTGCTGGTAAGTTCATGCTCCTATTCATACCACCGAGCAACTAAAGTTGACTATATTAGCTTTGTCCAAGATTATTAGAAAGCCAATTGCTTGACTCGTCAAAGAATACTTACCCGAGTAGCTCCTCGCATACTTTGCATCATTTGTTCGCTTGTTCTCGTTGTCTATTGAAATTTCGTTAATAAATGATTCTTTGATTTTCATAGTTCCTCGTCACCAATTGCAAGGCCTTCCATAGGCAGCTTACCTGAAGACGAAGAGATATAGCCTGTAATTGAGTCTTTGCGTTCGTCATCTTTTTCCTGCTATTCCTTAAACGCATCATATCTCGAGCTTGGATTCTAGCGGCACCCGTATTTCCTGCTTTTGCACTTGATTTAATCTCTTGAACCAAAGATTTCTCTCGTTGATCCAATTTGACCTTTTCACGATCTAATTCTCGCTCAGCTCTTCCAAGAGATCTTTGATGAGCCCGCAACTGTTCCTGGGGTGATTTCTGGCTTCCAAACAGCCATGATGTGAGTCCCATGTTTGTTTCGTACTGGGATGCTTATTTAGATGTAGAAGACACCTCAAAAGTTCTACTTAGACAAAGATCTTTTTTAGTAATTAGATGAGTAATTCAAAAAAAAGGACAGCCTGGCTCTCTTAAATGAATGGTACATGTATTGCATAATACCTGTGAATGTGGAAGTCAACACTAACAAGAGATTCCAAGATATTTGTTTATTTCAGACATAATCGAATTTATATTCACTTATTAATTGTACTTGTGAATTTAACTAAAATGAATGCATATTTGTGTCCTAGAATTTGCTACAATCCTGCTTTTTTAAAGAGGAAAATTAGTAGATATAGAAGACCTGGTAGTCTTCGTAATTAAAGTACTAAATGGAGAGAAAATTTAAGGAAATAGAATTAAGGTAAACACATATAACGGCATCATATTGTAGCCATTCTAAGCAGGATATGAGACTAAGGAACTAAGTGTTTACGAATGAGACATAGAATGATCGGTTCATGTATAAGATATGTAAAGGTAAATAATAAGTAAATAGGACCTATTCTTATTAATCTATCATATTCTCAATTTAAAGGCCAGTCTTTTACCTACAGGAACCAGTACTTTACCATTGAAACGCCATAACCTAAGAGTTATTGTCATAAGAAGTTCGTCGAGTGAAGAGACTAAAGTAATTAAGAGAACTAGATTTACCTGAACATATTTGTGCAGTGACCTTCATCATAAAAATCGGAGACAGTTATAGTGACTCAGTTGCCATCATCTTTGTTAGAATTTAATCATATTCCTCGTGAGAGTTGTTTGCAATACAAAAGAATTATAAAATTTTGCTTGAAGTCCAAAATTTCAAAATGGTTGGAAAACCAAACCAGACAGACATTCAAGACTTCACCAAAAGCGAAGCTCAGACCCGTACTAACGAAATGGATTTAAAAGGGCTAATACACGACAAAGATTACATAGCAGATGTTGATAAAAAGCGGGCAAAAGAGAACGAACCCGAGGCAACAGAGAGTGACAAGAAAAAGCCAAAAACCGTTGCGGTTGCCAAACCAGAATTAAATATCCTAAATAAATCTGTTCTACATGACACGACACGAACAGTTTCAAACTTTTTACTTCATTACTTGACTAATGAACCCGTAGAAAACATTGAGGTAAGTAAAGTCTGAAATGGTTTCTCAGATGCCGTATGCTTTGGATGCAGCTGAATTGTTCTCTAATCCTTTAAATTTAGATTGAGGCAAAACTTGGTACATTAGTAGACCTTGACTCACAAAATCGGTTTGAGTTTCCGGTCTTAAGTGAAACCGTATTAAATCCTGAATTCAATCTTCGTACTCGGTTTCAAAGTGATATGCCAGCTTCAGAGCACAAACACTTTAATGAATTTTTGAACAATGCATTTAGAGAATCACAAAGACCGGGTCGTGTTCCAATTGTCTATAAGCACGTAAAGCAGGTGGACTTGTTTTATGACTCGAAGAATCATGGCCATGATAGAGTCCGTGTAACTCGAGACCAGAAAGATAATCGAGTCCTGGCTTGTGTAATGAAACGTCGAATTGCTGACTTATATTTATACTGCCCTAATGATGCATTTGATGTCCGAATTTCCATTAGTGATGAAATTCCCGTTTCTATGCCTCCCCAAGATACTCCCCCTTTGTTAACTAGAATCAAGGACCGTGTTGGCTATCAACACCAAGATGTTAAGATTGATCTTACTATGACAATTCAAAATGATCCAAGATATGAATCTACAAAACGCCATGAGTTAGAAGTTGAATTTAATAATACCGCTGGTTTACGTGAACGAGCTATGCGTGCTAAAGAAGGCGCCGAGCCATCTTGGGATAGGAGGGTTCAGTTGTTCTTAGACAATATTCGTATTCTTCGCCGTGAGAACTCATAAAACTACATCTAGCCTTAAAAGATCTTTTTATAATACTTTAAGTCGTTCCATTCCTTTTGATTTGTTTTACGAATGATATGCTCGTTGTTTCCTTTGGTTAATACTTCAAAAATTGATTCTTGTTACATGTCAAATTCTGCGGTACCTTTGAGAAACGTGGCAGAAATACAATTCTCTAGTTCATTTCCAGTATACCTGGATATTTTCCTGACGAGCTTAATTTATTCCCGCGTTGCATGGAGTCGTACAAGGTATTCAGCTGTTTAGCATCTGGAGTATAAATTAAGAAACGTGATTTAATTATAATGATGGATAGTACTCTCATCGAATTTTAATAGAAATTGAAGTAAATGATTACAGCAACAATCATGTCAAAAAAAAAAAAGAAAAAAACTCGAGACTTAGGGTCTGAAATTGTAAATTACTTAGAAGGGAATCAGTTTTATTATACATAGACATAACGGAATGGAATCATCAAAGAAAGTTAAACAAAAATGCACGAATCCTAAAAAATCCTAAAAATTATATATCAGTACCCAATTTTTTAAGCACCAGTGCTTCCGAAACCACCAGAGCCACGAACAGTAGCCTCCAAGTTTTCAACCTCCAATACAGGAGGAGTTACAATTCTCTCTAAGATAATTTGTGCAACACGGTCACCGATTTTGACTGGGAAATCTGAGTTTCCATGGTTGAAGAGCAAAACGCGAACGTGTCCACGATAGTCAGCGTCGATAACACCGGCACCAACATCAATAAAGTGCTTGGCAGCTAATCCGCTTCGTGGAGCAATACGTCCGTAAGTGTCTTGTGGGACGGCAATAGACAAATCTGTGTCTACCAAAGCTTTTCCATTAGCTGGAATTGTGCATTCGGCTGATGCATACAAGTCATAGCCAGCGGCCAGAGCAGAACCTTTGGTAGGTATCGTAGCTTTATCAGAAAGTTTTTGAACAAGGAAACTCATTCTTAATGCTGTTGATTATTTAATGGAGATGAATATTTGCAAGATCCAACTATCTTAGCCATCATTTATATCTTAATTTAGATCGCGACGCGAAAATGAAGTCACGACGCGACGCGATTGTTGACACATGCATCAACGAATTAATGGGAATCAAAGTGAAATCTCTTAACACGGTTTCTGTTGTTTGGTTTACCTAGAAACGTAGTATTGTAGATGGAAAAGCATATTCGAACTTGAAAACTTGGATTAGCGTTGAGTTCGTCTACTAGAAATCTAGACACTTATTAATCACGAAAAGAATTGCAATTATCATTGAAATTTACCAATTAAAACTATCAATAGAGAAAGAATATCTGTACAAAAAATTAGTAGGAAAGATGCTGGAATAGTAGCAAAATATTTATCATAGCCATTAAACTTTCCAATTATTTCGTGAAGGAACAATGATCATAACAAGAGTGAAGAGTAGCATACCTTCATAGGTATAGAGGGTTTTGCGTAAATTTTAGTAAATATATTTCCAACCGTGCTAGAAAACACTAAAAACTTATTTCAATTCTATAATGAGAAGGGTTTCTTTTGAGGAGAAAATAGGGAAGACAACTTATGAAACACAGAATTATTATCATTCCTTCCCGATGAATGAGCAAGTTGTGCATTACTTGATGCACAGCGCTGGGTAAACGCCTGAGACGAATAAAGCGGAACAGAAGCTGAACGACCATCTGCAGTGTTAAATCGACGCCTGCCACGCGTCGACAGTGAATTTGGTCTTTTAGATGAGTTATAAACTGGTGTAGTATTTGGATCATCCGAAGCCGGCACAAAATCGATAGATGAATCAGGAGTGGAAATTGGGCTAGGTGTTTCATAGCCAGTATTTCCGCCGCATAAAGAGATGTTTGGAAAAATACGGGTATAGCCATATCGATGATAAGGAATATATTCTTCCTGCTCTAAAGGTGAGACGGAAACCACCCGAACACCCATCGGGTCGAACGTCAAATTAAGATCCAAATCATAGTTCGGAGTGAGTTTTTTATACGTAACATTTGACTCATCCTCAGCGTGCATAAGGTCACGAAGCTTCTGCTGCTCTGCCTTTTCTTGATAAAAGCTATAAAAAGGATTAAAGTGAGCAGTTTCATTGACTTTGTTCACGTTGCCTTCAACAGAAAATTCATTCTTTCCATTCTCATCTGGGATGTTTTCTTGACTCGTTGTTCCATTCAATTTTTTTAATAGGCTTTTATCGTGAATAAGATCATATAAACTTAGATACTTATTTTTATCAAAAAGTTTTTTTTTGCGTATATCGTCTTGAAGGCAATTTGACAAAGCATGATATACTTTTTTCTCATCATTCTCCTCGTGCATTTGTAACTTTATAACTATGCTTTTGGAAGATGATTTCTTCCATAAAAGGCACATACAGTCAACCACTAAAGGGTCAACATCCAGAATTGAATAAGGTAATGAGGATTTAGGTAGTAGTGTTTCGTTGGATTGCTCTAAATTCGAGAGGATATAAGGATGGTTGAGTATTTCGGGTATTGTGATACGGTTTGAAGGATTTACGTTCAACATCTTATGCAATAAGTCTTGAGCTGCTGTAGAACATGAACATGGCAAGTCATACGCTCCGTTCAATATCTTGTCATAGACAACGCCTGTAGAGGTACCCCCAAATGGTAGTTTGTTGGAAAGCAAGGCGTAGAAAATTACACCACAAGACCATATATCGGCGGGAGCTCCTTGGTAAGGCGTATGGGAGACAACTTCTGGAGCTAAATAATGCAGAGATCCACAAAAGTTCGTAAGGAAAGAATTATCGGGTTCAACTGTAGCCATTCCAAAATCGGCAATTTTAATAACACGCTCATATGGGTTGATAAGGATGTTCTCTAACTTCAAGTCACGATGTCGAAATCGAAATTGATGGCAGTGAGAAAGAGCATCTAAAAGTTGTACCATATAATGAGCTACATCCTTCTCTGATAAGGCACCATGTTTGCGAACGTAATCGAACAGCTCCCCACCAGGAACATACTCTAAAGCTAGATACATGTTTTGATGGTCAGTCCAAACATCATACAACTGTAGAATATTGGGATGGTGCAAAAGACGCATCATCAAAATTTCCATTCCTACTGATACATTCTTAATAGGAAGAATTTTGACTGCTGCCAATTCTCCAGACTTTACGTGTTTGGCTAGGCGAACACAGCTGGTTGAACCTGTTCCCAAAGTTTTACCCAAACGCCATAAACCAATCGTGTTTTTATGTCGTTTAACCATTCAGCAAAAAAAGATTGAAATAAACAGGGGGACAAAAAAAAATGTCAATGGTAACAAAATCGTCAAAAAATCAAATATGGATTGAACTGAGAAAGTGGTAAGATTTCCCTAGTTCACGAAACTGAATAGAATACAATGAAACTTGCAAAACATAAAGCATAAATAGAACTTGGCTCAATAAGGACGTCAAGTTAGCGGATATTAAAAATAACTTAAGTGATCAAGAAAGTATGTATCAATCAAAATAGCATCAAAAAAGCGTCAAAAGAAAAGGAAAAGTGATGTATAAAGTAACGAAATTAAAGAAAGACAAAGGGAAAGGGAATATGTGTAAGATGTTTAGTATAAAGAAGGGGCGTAAAAAATAAAAAAGAAAGATTATAAATAAGTCATAAAGGGGAAGTAATGATTAAATCAAGTAAAATAATACCTTTAGATTACCGAAAAGACCTGAGAACTCAAATACCCAAAAGATAAATAACAGAAATGAAATAGAGAAACACACGAAACGTAAATATGCAATCGTATACCTTAAACAAAAGATGGATTAGTATGTGCTAATAAGTCATAAATGTGAATGACAAGACAGATTAAGAGTTTTCTGCTTGGGGGTCCGACTTGGAGGACGGAAAATATGGTCAATTAGAAATTTCTAGTAAATATGCAAAAGTTTAAGACAGATTAACAGGTTTTCAGGAAACTTTGGCCGTTTATATTTGACAAAGGACAAAGTAGTGAAAGCGCTACGGCCTTATGAGCTTTTTCAATGGGAAGGGTAGGGCATTTTTCTTCGGAAATTTCACAGAAAGGAAGTCTTTTTGAAGTGAAATGGAGTGAAAAATACAACATATTGAGTGTAATTAGCGAAACAGTATATCATTCATGTATAACGATGTCTTCTCTTATTAAAAATCGGTCAAAAGCAACTATAATGACCCTAGATGAACTCTCCTGTAACACAAGGAAAGGGATTACTTTTACGAAATTATGAAAATTATCTTCTCTTTCTAAAGCATAAATGCTTTCGGATGAAAAGTAAGTTGTTTGTTTCTTGCTACTGTCGTCAATTACTCTCAGTGATAGGAAGGAACAATTTAGAATGAATTAGTAACAATTATGTGAATGCCGAGACATATATAAATTCGGGAAGTACTTCTCAATGTCCCTGAATCTATCTTCTAACTCTTCTATTTAATCGTACTTCGTTCAATCATAGTTTACTCCTATACCTGAGAAGATTTAAATTCTTCGTTCAAATAGAGTGCTGCTGACAACTTCTGAAGAAAACACTCTGTTCTACAAACATAAGTAGTTCATTAAAACAATCCTCTTCCGAGCAGATCGGATATCTCGAGAGTTTTCTTTCAAGAGCCGTCGAAAAACAATCACAAATCGCTAATTTAATATATACTAAAAGCACCTATAAAATCTTCTCATGGGAACTTACAATTTTGTAAATTCTATAACTACGACAAGGAGCTCAGTTCACCTGTTCTGTTTTGTTTACAAAATTGTAAACAATCAATTTGACATGTTGTTACCCTCGGCAGGTAACATAAATTAACGGAGTCTTGTTTACTCGGTAAATGGGATAAGGATCGAATGTGAAGACAAATTTTGATGTTTAATGGCAGAACCTGGCGTCTTCCAACTACAATTTGAAAATTAACGGTAGGATGACCAGATACTCTACAAAACGGAAGCATCGTAATAATGGTAATCACCGTCTATACCGAACTCGTGTGTACGGAAGGTAAGTGTTTTATTTGTCGAAGCGTTGTCAATTCGCGTACACGTTTTGAGTGATGAACAATGTATTAACGATAATGATATAGAGATTTAGACCAAATTCATCAAGATTTGATAGAACCAGAAAAATATCAAAAGCTACCTTTAGATCCTGACCTACCTGGTTTGGGACAAAACTACTGCGTTGAATGTGCTCGTCACTTTGCCACTGATGAAGCATTGCGTCTTCACAAACGTAGCAAAGTTCATAGACGTCGTTTGAAAGACTTGAAGGAGCCCGCATATTCACAAGAAGAAGCAGAAGCTGCTGTGAATATCGCTCATCCCAAACCAGGTACTTCTTCCGATGTGAATCAAAATCAGGAACCCCAAGCAATCATGGCGGATTAGTGGATTGTAGCATTGGGCTACTTTTTTAATTACAAGCTGCCTATAAGTTAGACTTCTCAATGAGAGAAGTTCAATGTCCGTTTGCTGTTGGTTCTTATATCCATCGGTTTCATATCGTTTAGCATTTCTCGTATTGTGGAAGTGTTTCTTAAATTGAGTCATGTTTTCGGTATCGGTTCCCTATTTAAAACTTTTTTCTTTTTAGGTTTTTGGATTTTGGTACATATTTGGGTCTAATTTAGTAATGAATTCTTCTTGGCATATCCTTTAATTTCAGAATATTTACTGTAAATATCTTAAGTTAATGAGTATTAAGAATTTGTATACAATATGGGGATTTAATGTGTGACATGAGAATTAAATATTATATTAGAAGAAACATAGACGAAAAGCAATTTGAGAAAACTCATACCATAACAAAAGGAAAGAATACAAAGAAAGAAAGAAGATAAAATAAGCATTGGCTTTTCAATTCTAACGAAGGTCCACTGTTTCCACGCTGGAATCAATTTCTCTGATATGCCCGTTTTGGTTTATTTTTGTGTAAACTTGTCCTTCGTGCATGTGAAATAAACCCGGTGTTCGACAGTGTACGACCTTTTCAAGTCCCTTTGGATCAAGTAAACGGAAAATACCGGAACTAAAAAGTAATTTCGTTAGTTTCTAGTGATTAGGTAGAAAGAGTTAAAATAAATTTACTTACTCTGGCGTCTTGGAAGGAGACATAACAATGGCGATAGCTTCAGGGAGCATCAACTGGTAAGAGCAATGGGTATGTAAATCAACACTACTCATGAAGCATGTCTGCGTAGGATGCGTATGGATCCAACCTAACGTAAGAAGGTCGTGTTTATCCTGATAATCAAATAATGCTGTTTCGTCCGTCGTACCACATGTATCTGTTGTAGCTTCCTGAGAAGGAATGACGAGCTGTGTAATAAAAAATGCATTCTGCCTCAGCTTTCCACATAAAATACCACATGTTTCTAATCGCTTTTTGGTATTCGGTTCAGCAATTCGAAGGAACTTTGATTTTAGAGACTTCGGCAGATAAACTGTTCGCAAGGGCTTCCCTCCTTCCGTATAAGCACGAATTTTGAAAGATCCCTGAGGCTTTTTGGGATCTGAAGCTTGAGTTATGTGGGCCTTTTGGTTACCCAAAGATATTTCAGGAGTTAGGGATTGAGGAATAGAAGTATGATTCAACGGTTTGGAAGGACTAATCAAAGGTTGAGAATCGGGTACTGGAGCGGAATAAGTAGAATCCAAAGATGATTGAAGAGAAGAATAATCAAAAATTGGTCTGGAGGAAGAAGATGAAACACTAGATAGTAATTCATTGGATGCATCTCGTGGAAGAATTTGTAGCTCAGAGAGCGCCAACTGTTCTAACTGTGGTTCAGAAATCGGCGATGGTTGTCGTTCTAATTGAGGTGATGGTCTCATTTGTTTGGTTTTAACTGACGCCTGCCTCTTTTTATGTTCTTCATATTGTTTTTCTACCAAAGGTTTCAAAAGCTCAATTTCTTGTAAGACATCATTCTTAACAATCTAAGATAATAATAATTAGTTCCTTGCAAACGTTCTGAATGCTCAATGAAGCAAACAATTGGAAGACACAAACCTGAAAGTATTCGAACAGCTGTTTTCGGTACCCTTGGGACTCAGGATGTTGTTGACATTTTAGAAATAGTTCACTATAGCGTATCAAGAGGAATATTCCGTTGGAATAATCTTTTTCTAGTACGTAGACATGAGCCTAAATCCACCCAAGAGTCTGTTAGCATTTCAGTACAGAAAGAGAGCAAATAAGTAATTGTAGTGTTTTAATGGATAAAAATACCTGTTTTAAGATAGTCTGTGAGGTTCTTAGCCAATTTTTCAATGGGAGGTTCGCATTGAAGGAGAAATTGCTAGCACGAAAAGCAAGATCGGAGTAGGACAAAGGCGTCTCAGATTGTTGAACAACACTCATAAATAAGACCAACGTTATGATACTCACAGTCGCTTCTCAAATATGATGTTTTCTGGTGGTGCCAAAGGTAGAAATGTGAGTTTCCTAGACAAATAAGCAATTTCGTTACGAAAAGGAATTATGTGGAGGATCTGCGTGATCTACATGCGTATGGGTGTTACGTTTTGCAATGATTAACGAAATACTCTGAAGCTCACTAAAGGAAAAGAAAGCTAGATGAATTCTTGTGAATAAAGAAAGCTATTGTAAAGGTAAACAATCTGTATACGAGCATCATGATGGATTTTGATTTTGCGAGTAATACTCCTGTGTAGAAGAAATCCACTACTTGCAGGAAGTTCGTGCCCACATAATGGGATTGGAAGTAAACGTTTCCAACCTAAGGTAGACACGCTTCTTGATACCAAGTAAGTAAAAATAAGATGAACTGCCAACTTACAACTGAGAGATAGGAGGATATATGATATCGCGTTGCATCCCATTTCTTTACACGCCAACATTAAAGGAACTGGATTATTCTTGGTCAAAACCAGATGAATAATAGCAAATGGAAAAATATAGATAGATACAAAACAAAACAATATCCACTGGCCACCATATGAAACTTATTACTGTTAGGGCTTTTCATGACAATTATATTTAATAAATAACAGTCAACGTTATCGATAGACCAGGTATGCAATAAAATAAAGGAAGTAAGAAAATTATCAGGTTCGTTGAGAATACCCTATCCTAACTTTATGCAGTAGATGCTGAAGGTGCTTTCTTTTTCTTCTTGTTTTTCTTTCGGTCACGTTTCTTCAGCCCAATCATTCCGCCTTTGCAGACCTCAGCATATTTTCCAAAGAAATCCGTGAAGTTCTCAGCATTTACAACTGTCGATATTTTCCAGTTTGCTCCATTTTTGGCTCTTAGTAAAACTGACGGTTTCGCGTTTTGTTCATCATCAAAAACTGGGTCTAGGAAAGTCAATTAGCATAGTTTCTATTAGATTGTACCTTTGCTTTTTCAAGCACTTACTTTTCTTTTGAGACAAATACAAGGAGCTAGCCCCTTTGCCTTGCAACTGCCGTAAATGCTCTGCTAATTGAGCCAAGTACTATAAGACGTAAAACATTAATTTCAAACACTTGAATGAAATAATAACTTACTTGCTCGTTACTTAAAAGCATAGCAGATATAAAAAGAAGCTAGAATTCATACTCGTCTTGATTATTCTACGTACAGCTTGAGCAAGCTTTTGCAACTCACTAATGGATATACCGCAATGTAACCGGGTATAGGTAAGATACAACAGCGAAATGTTGCGACACATTAGAATTACAAACTTGTTACTCAAAATAGAAGTTGAAAGTTATAAAGTGATAGCTATAGAAGAAAAATCAAGCCCTCTACAAGCTGTTGAGCTTGAAAAATCAAGTTAATAATGACAATAGATGATTTTTTTTCAATTAATAGGATTGAATTTGCAGTAGTAGAAGAATTCCTCGACAGAGCGAAAGAAGTAAACAAAATACATCAACTCCAGTGATCGTGGAAGCATTGCTGAAACTGTTTTCGTTTGGTATTTAACATGTACTCTACGGGTCTGAAGCACCTTTATCTCTCCTCTGTCGTCGGGCTGAGTTTACTCACTAATGATTAACCTTAGAAATAATCTACTATCCGTAAAAGTACAGCTTTGGGCGAACCGTCATTCCATTAAAAGAAAGAGGAATTTAATTTTCATAAGTAACTATAAAAACGCTGTTTAAATCGTCGTTTTATTAGTACTGTTCGACTGCATTATGAAGTGAGAAAGAAAATCTTAAAACTATACTTATACATAAGCAAAAACCTTTCGTCCTTCGAAACTACAATTACTGGTTAATTGAATGAAAAATAATAATGTATACAAAATCCTGAATGCTTTCTAATAATAATTATATAATGATGCCTATAAGAAAGAATCTCTAATCGATTTAACATATATTGAAGATGAATTGTTCAGGACTAAAACATTTTAGACGTTCTTCCGTAAAATCTGTTTAATTTAATGTAATACCAATATGTGTGAAGGCTTAATAAATTCTCAATTAGTCAAGGAAATCTTCATTACTTCATCCAGAGTACGCTTTCCGCAGGAAAGCCATCGTCGAGTTACAAAGGCATAGCTATAAGAAAACTAAAAATTGTGGGTCATTAAAAAATCATTATCCATGAATAAGTTATCGTTCAGCATTAGAAGCAATCATCAAAGTTGTCGTCCATCACAAAGTCATCATGAGAATCGAAAACTTTCGGTTCAACGTCGAAATATTGTACAATATCTGCAATTTTTTTCTGATGTTGTTCAAATTCTTCAGCTTCATCGGAATTTCTAAGTAGAAACCCGAAAACCATGCACGGATCCAGTTCCTGAAGAGAGATGCGTCGTAAACTTGCCGTATGAAACGTATCCTCAGAGGCGGGTTGAGTTGTTGTATGAGCAGAAAATGTGCAATGAGGATCAAGATAAAAGAGCTGATGGTTTTGTCGAGCGTAAAAATAATGCGCAGATCTAGGTCGACCACCAGTTATACCAACGAAAGAAGGGATTTCGAAAACGCGTAGAATTTGCTCATAATAAATTTCATTAACAGCATCAATTCCCAATCTAGTAGGAATTAAAAGTAAGATAGGAAATGGTTTCTGAAAGAGTTGGTCTCGGTAAACACTTGTACCATGCTTGGCTACGTAAACATTTAGGTCAAGGCCGTCGTATTGTTCGCAAAGCCTTCTGTATACCAGTTAGTTTAAATTTCTCTAAATATTTCTCCATGTGAAAGGATTTAAACCGCAATGTGACGTGACTGTACACAAAGTAGCAGCAACAATCAAAGAAACCATAGAAACCTCCCATCTTTGGAAGATTTATCAACAAAATATTAACTTACGAAACACATGCACTAGAAGCACTTGGACCGAACCATTGCCCAGGGGGAATGTCACAGGCTTGTTTTCCAACAGACACAAATTGATGAATTGAGAAAGGGGCAGCTGGTTCGTCAGCAAACAAATTCACAATACTAAAAAAAGGCTTTTCCGGATATAATTTTCGAATAGTATTAGCTAGTAATGTTTGAGTAGATCGAATCATGCATCCCCATCCAGCATCAGAAGCCAAGTTTTCTAAACCTTCAATTCCTGATCGATAAGTAATTGTAATCAGCGAAAACGAGTCTAATAAAAATTCCTCCGGCCATCGACTATCTTCACTTTTGTAAGAATGTCCTAGAAACCATATGAATGTTCCTGGAGGTTCCGTATTTGAGGGTGCAAAATGTAAATATCGCTCTATAAAGCGTGCCATAAGCTCCATGTCCTTCCTTCTTTCTCAATTGAATTTTGATGATATATTTATTAGTAATGAAGGACGTCTTGGATCTCAATGGCTTGTAAAAGGCATTGGCCCATTCCCAGTATTCACTATCGCAAAGGCTTACTTCGTATTTTCCTGTTCACACGAGTGGAGACATGAATATTCCAAAGTACGTTGTAGAGCGGTACATTTTTTGCACCATCGTTCCGATTCATTAAATGTCATGTAAACAAATATTCGTCAAATTTCTAAAGAAACTCTTGAAACGAGAAAAGACAGCAGTATCGATATATATTTGCATTAAATTAACTAGATATCATCTTAGCTATATATAAGAGGTTTGTATATTACGCAGGAGACTATTAAGGAGATACAATTCACACCTACAACTTAATATAGACAACTGTCCAGAAATCTCCGCTAAAACTTCTTGATCCCTTGTAATTCTAAGGATAAGTGTGCATGAAAATTAGTTTTTGGCTTGTAAAACCTACCGTGGATATTTTGGCCGATTTCACTTTTTACTATTCGCGTTCTTTCTCAAGCATCCAAGTCCTTCTGGTTCACCGTCAATGCTCTCCTGTCCATTTGATTGTGAATCTCAAGGGTATCACCCTATAGAATTAATTCATCACCTGGAAACGGTTCATGAAATTCCCTTGTCTCCTTTAAGTCCGAATGCTTTTTTATGCGCTCCTGAAATCCTCCACCATTTAAAAACCGATAGAGCTTTAACATATCATCCAAAAGAACTCCTTGAAATATCACAAGCGGACGCCTTAAAACGAGTCCTAAAGGACCAACAAATTGAAAGAGCAGTTGGAAAAGAAAAACAATTTCAGTGCCTTTTTTGCGATCCAAAGTATTTATTCACACGTGACGAGTGGTTTAAACATAGTTTCGACGTTCATGAACTCAACATTGGATTATCGGATAATGTTGTTTATTTTGACTTGTTTCTAAGCAAGATGAAAAAAGTACTACAGAGGTATGTTACAAATTATATTTTTTCTTTACTATTAACTTTACTAATTCACTCAGATTTTTCTGTCTTTTCTGTTCCTCAAGTTTTACAAACGCTGACACTCTTTATGACCACATGTACAAAAAGCGACATTTCAGACTAAATTCAAAGTCTTCCAAATATGATGAACATTACATAGTAAACTATGCTTCTATTATAAAGCCTTTTGCTTCTTGTAGTGCCAATGGACCCCTGGCAGATGAGAACGATTCAGAAACTGTTTCTGAGTAAGTCCCTATCAACCAAGATGTGCTAAAGATATTTTTCTAACTTTTTAATAGTATAAATGACGAAGACGCAGAACCACTTATCGCTAAATGTGTGTTCTGTGAAGAACGATTAGAACCTGAGGAATGCATTCGACATTGCAAAACAATCCATAACTGGGACCTTCCCTCCATTCAGAAGCTGTACAATTTGGACATTTATGATACAATTCGCTTTATTAACTATGCTAGAATCACCCAGTCAAAAGAAATCCCTAATAAAAGTGATCCTCTGTGGACTGAATCGAAATGGCTCATTCCAGTCTTGGAAGATGATGCACTACTAATCTTTCTTGATGATGCTGCAGACGATACATTTTGATTTTCTATAAAAAAAGTAGACTACATTATCTTCCCCTATGCCTGTTCCATATCCCTAAGTACCTTTCTTATTCCTTCTTTGATACGTACAAGGCCGTGCATATAAATACAACTCGTCCAGAGATAATGGGTAAACAATAAAACTACTCGAAGCTGTACTTCTTGGAGTGGTTCTAACACCCTTAAGAGACTATGTTACGTGCTTCAAATTTTGCAAACTCAAGCTTTCTTTGGACCTGTACTTACTATTAGACGAACATATATACGGGTCTTTGAAGAAGTTTGAATATTTATATTATCTATTCGATAATGTTTGTGTATGTAAGGTAATAACTTAGATGATGTCGTCCAGCGTTACGATGTACATTAAGAAACCAAGACTATTCAAAATTATTTTTAATGAATGCTTAAAGATCTGTGACATATATGTTGCAGTACCTCGAAGTACCTATGATTCAGCTTTTTCGCTTTGATATGCGACAAGTATTACATCCTTTTCGGTCAAAAATCAGTTAAGTTTCTCTCATTTTGGTTAATTTATCTTCAGAGAGTAACTGTTTTAAAGTATCGAGCGTAAGAATGTATGTATTGAGTAAAGTGTTTAATCATCACTACGTCTGGTTCCTTACATGTTCCCACCTTGGTAAACTAACAGTGAAGTGAATTAACGTTGTTTTACTTATTCACGAGAATAAAAGTTACTTTCTTTTATTATTTACGTTCTCTTTCTATTGTCATTTATAATAAATAAGCTTTTGGAGCAAATTGATTCAAATGGCAATTCAGCTTGGAAATAAGGTCGCAGGAGGCTTCCAACAGTTTGTGGATCTATTATTAACAAAGACGCCTCTATTTACTGTTGTAGTTGCACTCATTACATTCGTCTGTGGCATTTTAAACATCTTTCTACCTGTTACTTCCTTCTTTGGCTTAAGCGTAACCAATATTACTCTGTTTAGATGTACGTGAAGTTTTACTCCTTTTCATAGTACTTACACTTCTGTAGTTCATACATTGAACACTTATCCATTAGTTCATCATGGATTCTTGACATTCCTTTTCGGTCTCGCCGGTATATTCTTCTTAATGCCCCGTTTTGAAAGACGGTACGGTACTTTATGTACTATTGCTATGTTTTTTGGTTTTTTGGAAGCTATTCCCGGAATCGCCTTTTTAATTGCTTGTTATGTTTCTAAGTCAGATACCGTCTTTGTTGGAATTAGGTATGGTTTAAAGTGAGTTATACCAACAGTGGTATAATCTTTGGAATCAATAATGAAATTGGCTAACTTTTGTATTAGTGGGTGGACGTTCTCTTTATTGACAATGTACTTGATGAATCTTTTCTATGACCTTCATCCCAAGGTGTAAGTATAATAAACGTTTTTTTTTATTGTTTTATTAAAAACGCTAACTTAATTAATTTTAGGTTGGCACTTCCACAACTGGTTCGTATGGTCCTGGCTATCGCCGCTCCTATGTTGATACTTCCTTTTGACTTTTCCGAGAGTGTTGTTTTACATATAACTGCTGTTATTCTTTCTATAATCTTTTCTTTGGCTTATATTGATATTTTAGTACCTCGTGCAGGATTCCTTGTTTGGGTGGAGACTAAACTCTCTCGTGTCGTTGATGCTATCCCTAACTACATTTCTGTCACAGAGGCTGCTTATTATCAAGGAGATGCCTTACCTCTACATGACTTGGGTAGTAACAGTGCAGGAATTGTTTAATTAAGTTTTAAAATAGGCCCCCTTTTTTTTTCTCAGTATTGTTAGTATGGCTTTTAATCTTTCGTCTGCAATGTTACTGAATACATTTTAAGTAGATCTTATCAAGATATTTTAATCATCTGAACTTGAAAGCTGTCAGGCTTTGTTTACGAACTATTCTTTTGACCTTAGTGCTTTGAATAAAAATTGCTGATTTCGTTCACCTGATCCTTCTTTTGTATTTCGAATGAAATTTTTTAAAATGAATAAACTGAACCGTCTTCTAATCGAATAAACTCATCATTTCAGGGAATTTAGTCGTATATATTTATATCACCTTAAGCATATCCAATCTGTGCTTAATATGATTATTATATTAGATTATTTTGCTATAGTGACTAGCTTCAACAGTGCAACACCATTAAGTCACGAATGCAACAATAATATAAATATACTTAAAACACTGTATATTTACTCATCGTATGAGGTGAATAATTTTAAATTAAATACCAAAAATAAGTCAATACCTATGTCGGAACGACTGACGCCGATTCGTCTACCCAATACTCTCAATTATCCAATTGAAATAGCAAAATGTCTAGTGCCAGCAGGTACTTATGTGAAGAGACATACTCCACTTCTTCTGTACCGATTCTTTACAAAGGTGAAGCAAGATCGGGATGACGGCACCGAAGAGTATGTGGATCGTGAATTTATTGAGCAGTTTGAATGTCCAGTGGAAGGAGAATTAGTTCAGTGGGAAGTAAAAAATGATGAACAACTTGACAGTAATTTGTATGAAAACTTCTTTGATTTGATATTTCTAACACTGTTCTTCACAAAGAAAAGTAATAGCCAAGTTACATGAGCCTTGTACTCATGAAGTCCACTACGGAGGGTTGTGTGCTATTTGTGGAGAAAATATTACTAGGTATTTCCATGCTTGTTTACATCAATGAAGAGGAGAGAATACTAACAGTCAATAGTCAAGATTACATGGGATACTCTGATATGGCAAGAGCGAATATCAGTATGACCCACGACACCGGTGGTTTGACTGTAAGCTTGGATGTAAGTTTTTATTTTCCTTCCTTAAAAGAGAACTCGCCATTAACCCCTTTAACTGTAGGAGGCCAATCGTATAGAAGAACAAAATGTGATCCGGTTGCGAAACGAACGAAGACTTTCTCTTATTGTTGATTTAGATCAAACCATTATACATGCAACAGTGGATCCAACTGTTGGAGAATGGATGTCTGACCCTTCAAATGCAAACTATCATCTGCTGAAGGACGTTCGATCATTCTATCTACAGGAAGGATTTAGAACTTATTCTTCTCGTTATTACATAAAGTTACGTCCTGGTTTGCAAGAATTTTTGGCACGAATTAGTAATATGTATGAATTGCACATATATACTATGGGTACGAAAGCATACGCCAAAGAAATAGCGAAGCTCATTGATCCTGAAGGAAAAATATTTCAGGACCGTGTGCTGTCTCGAGATGATAGCGGAAGCTTAACCCAGAAAAGTCTCCAGCGACTGTTTCCTTGTGATACTAGCATGGTCGTCATAATCGATGATCGTGGTGACATATGGGATTGGAATCCGAATCTCATCAAGGTCGTACCTTTTGAATTTTTTGTTGGAATAGGAGATATTAACAGTAACTTTCTTGCTAAGCCCACACCTCTTCCTGAACAAGAAAGTACTTCACCTATCGAAACTCCACATGAACAGGAGGAAAGTGTAGACGTGAATACCAATCAGGATGCTGTCTTGCCTGATTCTTCTTCGTCACAAAGCACTTCTACAATTCCAGAACGTACTCTTTTAAAAGAGACTTTTCTTCAAGACAAGCAAGCTTTGGAGGAACAAAACAAAGAGAGGTTTACTGCCTTGCAATTACAAAAATCAGAACGTCCTTTGGCGAAGCAACAAAATGCATTACGTGATGAGGATGAACATCAACATTCTTTACTACATGAAGGCGACAAAGAATTGTTGCATTTAGAAAGAATTTTAACAAGGATTCATCAAGCCTATTACGACGAAGAATCAAGAAACGAAAACCAGAAGAACAAAGTACATGCTAATGTGGAACGAATTATTCCTTCTATGAAATCGAAAGTTTTGAAAGGCTGTAGGATCCTATTTAGTGGAGTTATCCCACTAGGGATAGATGTTTTCAGTAGCGATATCGCAAAATGGGCAATGTCTTTTGGAGCACAGATTGTCTTAGACTTTGATCAATCTCCAACACATTTGATTGCTGCAAAGGTATGCTATTTATTTATTTATTTTTTTCTTTCTTTAGAGATTCATTTTGACTGACTTTTCAGATACGTACTGAGAAAGTGAAAACTGCAATAAATATGGGAAGCGTTCGAGTTGTTAAACTAAATTGGCTCACTGACTCAATTTCGGCATGGGAACGCCTTTCAGAGTCGAACTATTTGTTGTACCCTAGTTATGATCTTCCAGACAGGGCACTATCTGATCACTACTACTCTTCGGATTCAAATGACGAACAGAGAACTTACGAAATAAATGAACGTGAGCTAGACGATATTGATTGGAACGAAGCTGATCGTGATGTTGAAGATGCGTTAGGAGATTTGAGCGATGGCGATGATAATGAAGAGTAAGCTTTCAGATGAGCAAATGTTTTCGTTACTAACTAACTGTATAAGAAATTCTTTAGAAACTGTTGAGACATCATCACCAGTGGAGACCGAATTAGATTCAAAAAAACGAAAAAGCAACGATGAAGTTACTTCCAAACCCGACGATGAGAAACGCAAAAAACTCAATGATCCAAAGAGCGTGGAAGAAATCTCAAATAAACAACAGAAAAGTAGTAACGGAAATGAATCTGAGGGATTGGAAGATCTTGCTGAGTTGATGGAAGAAGAACTCTCCAAGTAAAAAAAAAAAAGAAAAAGGTAAAAAACTCATCAGGGTTTTCTTTTCACTTCTTTTCTTATTTCCTAATTCAGCAAATTACTTCGAAAACTTTGCTCATGTGAACATAGCATGCATGCAATATTGAAGCAGAAAAATAAAAGGCATTGGCATCTTCCATTATAAATGATAAATTGATATGTGCATTTAAGTATAGTAATCTTTTAGGAAAAGCCTGTAGTCTCACTCATAATGCTATCGACATGTGCATATTGCCTGATCATTAACTTTGCAAAATAACTGTAGATAAAGCATTTCTTACGAGAATTCGGTTCTTTTGTCTGCTACATTTAGTTCTGTACCAACTACTACTTATTAGTGCTACTTTACATTTGCAACTTGAGAAATCGCATAAATAACGGATTACATTAATCAGCCAATTCTTAAAAGAACATCAATCAATTAAAAACAATTCATTGACGATGAAAAATTTTTGTATTCAAGTACGTTTATAGTACTTAAGCAGAAGAAGGGTTCATTCTTCTCTTGCCACCAGCCATGTTGGTAACATTGACGAAGCGACGAACGTATAAGAGACGCTTGTAAGCACGTCCCTTGGGTTGCTTAGGCTTTTCTTGCTTCTCAACCTTGGGGGTTTGAGATTTCACCTGTAAACGTGTTAACTCATTGCAAACGCGATTCATTTAAAACAAGCATATAAAAATGCATGCATTCAATTTTCAATTATTCACTTACCTTACCGGCACGAGCTAAAGATCCGTGAACTTTACCCATGTTGTCTGTAGTTGTTAGATGAAAATGAAAGAAACCTGCAAACATGAGTTCACTATAAAGCAGTCACACTAACTTCGCTTCCGCCCGAAGTTTGTTTCGATGGCTAATAATATTTGCTACCTCGGCGAATCGTTACCTGAAAAAATTCCTCTCTTCTTCATAATTTGAAAATGCCTTCGTTTGACCTGTCTTTAGGAAATTTTCTCCAAACGATCTTATACAGTGCTGTTGTTTTGCGAGGTTCCGTTTTACTTGCATGGGTAAGGAACGTATACAATAATGGAAGAAAGAACGCATTCTCGCACTTGTCTTCTCACCAATATTCCATATAGCTTTAGTATACAATTAAGTAGTCTAGTTCATATACATAAGAAGATCTTGCAAGTTACCATGAAAAACATCAGTCATGTCATTTGAGAATAGAATAGAATAGAATAGAGTATAAATCTACGAAATAAAATATAATGATTAATAAGGAAAAGAACGAAATAAGAAATCGAAGACTATTTACAAGAGTCTGGATGCCACGTCAAGCGGTCACCCATCACTTAGACCAGAAAGGGCGGCCTTAAAGCAAAAAATATAAAAGAAAAAAGATATAGCGAAAGAAAGATCCGTTCGCCAACGGATCAATGCAATCAAATAAGTATCCATAATATTTACGTTATAAACGAGAGATAAAATTTGCATTAGATAATAGAGCATATACAAACTTTTGTTTTTCCAGCATTCATTCATGCTAGACGGTAGACTGTGGATAAAGAGATAAAAGAACTGAACTGACCCGATTTTTATGCATATTTCCGTTTCAAGCGGAATTATTATTTGCAATTTCAAAACCCTGAGAATTCACACTCAGACGATACATATCCCATAACTTCTTTTATCCAGATTTAGCTTAAGCAACAACATATTTTGCAAGATTTGTATGAACGCAAGTCACATCTAGTCAGTAGTATTCTTACTAGGGTTGATAATAACTTGACGTATCGTAGGTTGCATTAATCGGAAGAACTTCTTGGAGTTAGCAAATTTGAATGTGTAACCCAATTTATGATCAAGCACGAGTGGTACCACAATCATTGCAACAAAAGTTAAAAGGAGAAGCGTAAACAAAAGTGAATAGCGATAAAATGTTCTTCTACGAAGTTGGTTTTGTTTACGAGTGTAGATAGGAGGACGGATTTGACGACTTGGTTGAAGCCAGAACAATAATACAGAGTGAGGAATGTCCACGAAAGGAATTATGAGTACAGGGACCATGCAGAACAAGATGCAGTGTGCCAACATAAAGTCCATAGCAAACAGATTTAGTTCGATGATCTTACAGAAGAACTCTCGCACAAACTGGATAGGTTTCATGGGAATATCCCTGCTGATCCATTTTCCATCCCACCAGCTAAAGTTAGTCTCACCACCGGACACTTCACGTGGAAGAAGGAATACAACTACCAACTTGAAAAGGAATCGGTGGATCGAAATAATAACGATACATCCTAAGATAGTCTTAGAAAGTGACCATGCTTCCAAGAACCATAAAGCTTCAAAGGTAAACACCAACCCAACGACACAAACACCGTGCGAGATAGCAGCCATGAAACCACCAAACTGCTTGCAGCATTTGTTCATCAAGGGGCCGAGGCAACATGACACAAGTAATGATATAAATAACATAGCAATACTAATAGCTATAGGCAATGCTGCCATAATCCAAATACGAACAAAGCCGTTAACTGAGCGAGAAGCATCCTCCAATCCAGGTTGGGAGTTCATAAAAGTATAAGCAGTGATAGTGAAAAAGCAAACAAAGGCGGGCACAAAAATCTCAGTGAACAATAGGTTTGTTATTCTGGCGCGAGGAGTGTCCATTGCGAGTTTGTTAGATGGTGACCCCTTTTGCTTCTTCTGTACACCAGTAATTCTCGTACGAGCCAATCTGCAGAAGCCGATCCAGGAATGAGCATGTCCCTTGCTATTACCACGAGACAACCAACGAAGGAATTCGCGATAATCAACAAAGAAGTCAACGAACGAGAATTGGTGAGGATTGTAAAGGAATGGACATATAACTAGAGCAAACATTGTACACCAAAAGTAGACATAATGAGTACTCCACACAGTCATCGTACCAAAAAACAACATCAACAATAGACGAGCACCCAGGTAAATAGAAGAACCAGTATACCTGGAGTACAAAACTGAGAAAGGCACACGAGTAGTAGCTAATCCACGTCCAGTAGCAATGTAGCGAGCACCACCAAAAGTCAAATTAGTAATAATAGACTGCGAATAATTTTGAGTAACAAACACCTCAAACATGGGAGAAAACGAGATAATTTGTTTACACAAACGAGAGATGGCACGAAGGGCTCCCTTTTCTAAAAGATCATGTACAATCAAAGGCAAAAACGAAATGAAGAAAACAACAAAAATAGAAATAATACATCTTCGAATCCAATCCAAGACTGGTTTTAACATATAACAACCACTTGGATACAATCCTTGATTGACAGCTCCGCTCGCTTGATACTCGCAAATTGGAACAGTACGGTACATAGCACCTAAGTTAACAAACACAATCATCAATAACTGCATTGATAACATAATGAAGACATTATTAAGATGAAAACCAGCATGTGCATAATAAAATGAAAGCATTCTGAAAAACGGTAATTGAGTTCCCAAGTAGAAGTACTCACGCGATAACGATTGTTCGCCCATACCGGTACCAATCTTGGTAGTAAAGTTAAGAATAGTACCAAAACCGAGATCACGACCCTTACCACATTGGAAGTAGTCGCAGTGTTTAATTCGTCCACCACGCTGCATAGCATTCATACCAGCATAAATATCCTCATTGACGTGCAAACCCTTCTGACCTTTAGAAACACCACCACGAGTGGTCATAAAGATTGTATTTAAAAAGTCAGGATGACCGTAGTGCAATTTACCGCCGATTAAGGCTAAAGACCGGGAAAATAGAGTACCAAAAGTTTGCTCCTTACCAGCAGCAACATCACCCAAAATACCGCTGTTCTCTGAAAATACGTATTCTCGAGAGCCAACCATAGCCACAGGCCAGTTAGCCTTCTCGGAGGCAGCGTAGGGATTGGTAGTAACTGCATCCATCTCTTCAAATTCGCTGAGGACACTGCGGATTTTTAAGCATTCTTCAATATAGTTGTCCTGGTTAGCATCAATGACTTGAAGATATTCACCTCGAACAAATGGAAGAGCCATATTTTGATTATCAGCTTTACCGTCTCCCAAAATGGGGTTACCAGATAGACGAATACGGTATTTTGGCAAACGGCGACCATTTTCCAGAGGACAGAAACCGTTGATAAGAGTAGCGTAAACCTTTGGCTCTTCACCATCCTCAGCGGGATCTTCATCCAAATATGCAATTTGCAATTCAGGATGAGCTCTCAAAAGAAATTCAGTATTCTCATATTCATCGCGAGTAAACTTCGAATAACGTTGCATGGACAAACAAAGACGGAACTTACGATAAGCCATCTGCTCCAATTCATGCTCGAGTCTTTCAAAGTTTCCATTGCATTCCTCCAATAATGCAGGGTGTTCGACGCGATAAAGCAATTTCAAAGCACGAGAATAATTCATCATACCACTAGCGGTACGATACAAAGTCTGACTGCGAAGAGAAGCCCAAATTCTAGTACGCAAAGTATATTCAGGAGCGTTTGACTTAAAACCGATGCAGTAGAAAGGAAGATCTTCTTTGAGAAAATTGCTTTTCTTCTTCGATCCGTCAAGGCTAGATTCATGCTTGCTATCCATGGGATTAGGTTCACCAGCCATCAACTTTGTATCTTGAACAAAACAATTCCAATCGTTAGGATAAAGTTGTTTTAAGTACTCCAATAGAGTAATTCTGGACATGGGATCTTGTTCGCGAATAATTTCGCGAAGACTGAGAAGAATCTTCTCACTATAGTGAGGGATTAGCACAGTGAAAGAAGGCATTTTAGGAACTGGCATAGCCTCAGGCAGATTCGCAGAAAGCGACTGTGAAAAAAAAGAGATTCTTCTTTCAGCCTCCGAAGTGGCCAGAAAGTACTTATTCTTTATCGACTTTCCTTTAGCTGATTCCATGAAAAAATGTGGAGACTGGAAGGTTTGTTTTCCAAAATACTCAGATCCAACCTGTTCGTACAACAAACCTCTAAGGTGCTCCAATGAAAGTAGGTGTTCACGGTACATCGAAATCATAATACTGTTCCAGATTTGACCAACGTAAATCTTAGGCTTGAATTCAGTAGACAACGACTTAGAAGACAATAAGTTGAAGTAGATACGTCTAGGCAGATTAGAGTAAATTACACGCCAAGGAGTCCAGATGGCAGAACCAATTGAGAAGGAATATCCAATGCTGAAAATTGTACTAATAAGCATATACCATAGATAAGTATCAAGGAAGAATAAAACCAAGTCGGTGAGATAAACAAGCGACAATAAAAATTTGGGTTGGTACTTACACAGACTTGAGCCAATCAGATAATCATAGCAATCATAGGGTTTCATTCTTTGAAGAAATCGGATAGGATCACGAACCGAAAGAGTAAGAAAGTAGTAAGACTCAACAAACTTTGCAACAAAAACCGTTACCCATAAGCACACAGACAAAAGGAAACGGCGCCACGGCAAAGTTACAATATTGTTGGTAAAATATTTACTAGCAAGGTACTTTCTAGAGCCTCCGCGGTTAAATCTTGGACCTAACAATCCAGATAAAGGTACAAAGGTCTGATAGGCAACACAAGCAACAGAGAAAAAGAAATGAACATAACCAACAATTTCACGACTTTTGTAATGTTGTTGCCTGTCGTTGGAAAATCCAAAAATGAAAACGGCAGGAATAATATTCAAAGCAAGCAAGACAGCTACAAATGCTAATCTTGGCAAGACCGCTTGGGCACCAGGAGATCTTCTAGGAACGAAATAACCTTCGAGCAAAAGTGCCAAAAAGTTGATGAAGGAGGCAACAGCACCTGCAAGAGCAGGTGCACACCATTGGGCGGCACGAGCAGGTTGGGTATTTTCTAAGTAGTGGAAGTTTCGAGTGTAAATAGTGGGAGAGTTATGAACAGTAAAGTACCAAAAGACGCAGAAATGCAAAATCCAAATACGGTTGAAGTTGGTTATAAAATGTAACCAAGTACGAGATTCTCTAAAGGATTTGTAACAAACGCGACTCCATTGGACTTGATCAAGCAAGTGAATCCTGGCAGCGGGAAGAGCCTTCATGATTCCTGAACCGTCAAGAAGCTTGATGCGCTTTATGCCACTAGAATGCCAAAACATTTGATTGACATCGTCATAACCAATGATTTCAGCATGATCCTTTTCTTTCCGAACGTACTTTTGGTTGCGAATTTCGTATTGTTGATCATGCAGCAAATTATATAAAGGAGTAATGCAATGATCAAGGTAATAATCTTTAGGCGCAGGATCTTTTTGCTCTTTGTATTGAGGAGAAATCAGGTAATCATAGGCTAATTTATAAATAAAGCACAGACACTCAGGCATAAAACGAACATTGTTGGCTTCACCCCAGCACAAAAGATAAAGAGCCAATTGTTCTATACGCTCATAATTGGACAGTTCATCCATACGAGAAATCCAAAGAGCATTTACACCAGAGAGATCTGAGGCGGGCGTTTGATTAGAAGGATCACGAGAAATGAACGAAGGCACACCAGAGGCAAAATCGAATTGATCCATTCTGGAAGCAAAGTACCATTTCTTGAAATTAGCATGAGGTCCGCCAATGTAATCAGCATGCAAGGATAGTAATGCATCTTGAGGAGCCATACGGGAGGATCGAGAATCAAGCATGACCATAAGATAGTCAAACATATTTCTCATATTGTCCCATTGGAAACCAAACTTCATGGCAAGCTCGATGAAGATATTCTCAATGTCGAGGGCAAGGATGGGAGCCTTATTCTCGGCAGTCCAAGAAGCATACAAAGCATCGTAATCTATTGCTTCGTCGGTGGAAGCAATGCTTTCACCTTCGACAATGTATTCATGGCCAAATTCGTCGACCATAATAGAATCATGACGCTTAGCCAAGGGATGTCCCCGGTTGTAGGGAAACATAAAAGAACTGCCGGCGGAGACATTAGACTCGTCTTGGGAGACGAACTCTTCAGAGCTGGGTCTCTCTGGAGAATTATAGGCAACATCCTCATTGGGAACTTCTTCGAGGATATCAGAATAGGCATCATCCTGTTCATGCTCATTGATAAACGGATTGATGTTGGGCGATAGTGTATGGCGACCGCCGTAATAAGCCTCTGAACCATAATTGGAGTTGATAGGAGTTTCCTCGCTTGCTCCATGAAGAGAAGAAGCGGAAGAATCCTCGGATCTTTGATATGGGTACATTAGGAAGAGCTAATCAAAGGATTATTAGATAGAAAAAAGCGTAAAGAAAGTAAAAAAGCAAAGATTAAGTAAGAGAGAGAGAGAGAGAGAGAATAATACAATAGAGAAATGTTTACAAATTGAGACAAACTCGTCTTTGAGTTGTTACAAAATGTCGCGGAAAGAGAATCCTAGATGTGAGGAAAGAACTTAACCATAGATCGAAAGACTGGTAATAAGAACTAAGAAGAGCAAAAATCAACAAAGCCTCAACGGTTGTATAAACAAAAGTGTTGAAAGCAAAGGAAATGCAAAATTAAAAAGTCAAGAAACTATGGGCACAACTGAAACCGAAAAATAAACAAGATACGGTTAATTTTTTTTTTCAGAATACAATGCAAAAAACGAAAGGAACGATAGGAAAATCAAAGAATGAGAAATTGTGGTAAAAGAGTGAAGCAATTAAAAAAAAGAAAAAGCTGATTACAAAAAAGGGGGAATATAGAAAACAAAATATAAAGAACCGAAAGAGACGAACGGATCAAACAACGCAAAGCGAGAAATGGAAAAAATTCTACAAGATGCGTTTTAATGAAAAAGAGAGAGTCGCACGTCCTTGTACTTGTTTCAATCCTTTTATTTTATTTTTCTAAGTTATAAAATAAAAAAGCCGAAACAATAGGAGACGAAAAGACAGGTAAACAAACAAGAAAAGGAAATATTAGTTTGTTGAACGAGTCAGTTCAAAGAGAGAAGAAGAGTTCAGTTCGGCAAAAACGGGAGAGCGAAAGGGTAGGTAAGTAAGAAAGAAAGAAAGAAAAGATGATGTGTATCAACTTTTTATTTTTTTTACCTTAAAAAAAACGAAAATAAAAAAAAAAAAAAAAAGAAAAATGCAAGCAAGCCAGCAAAGCTTTTGAAATCTGTGTTTCTTTTAAATTGTCTTTTTAAAGAAAGAGAGAATCAAAAGAAAAACACAAAAAGACAAACGCCGCCGTTCACTTTGGGTATGAGTAGATAATTAGTATGGATTAGTGTTTTTGTACTAATCCTTCACAAATCCAAACGTGAAATATCTTCCGAAGTATTCAGGCGAGCGTTTCCTTGCTATTATTTTGTTGTAGTAAGAAATGTGCAAAGGTGTGTTTCGCTCTTGGTAAACTAAGGAATCACTATAAAATATAAATAGCCAAACTACGATGTTTTCCGGAAAAGCACGTTTGAAGGAGATACCGGCTATAAAAAATACATGAATGAATAGAAAAAAAATTAAAAATATATAAACTGTTTTAAAAAAAAGAGATTTTTGTATTTTTCTTGCTCTCCATGAATGATCTCAGAGGGCTTAGAGTGTGAGGGGAGAGGGGTTGCAGGAGCGGGACCCTTCTCGTTAATTCGTGGGTGAGAAAGGGTAAGACAAACAAAGTCCCATAGTGGAATTGTCGAAGAAGTCGCTTTAGAGATAATGAGTCGCAGCAACTATTTGTTGACAGATTGAGAAGAGTACCGACGATGAAGATGAGTTGTGATTTATAGAAAGAAAAGAAAAAAGAAGCACCGACGGTTTCTACGATTTTTACAAAATTTGTTGTGTCGTTCTGTGTCGTTTCACGTCGCTTTCTGCTGATTTTTGTTGTTGATTTTTTGTGCGGCTTCTTTGCGACTTGTAATGCAATGCAACTATGTACCAGCAAGTTTTCTTTTTCTCTTTCCTTTTGTGAACTGCAACAATGCACATCAATGATTTGCAAAACACCAAAAAAAAAAAAAAGGACAAAGATTAGGTTAGCAAGCTGGACATTTTAACCCACTCGAATTCGTTCTAGTCAATTACAATCCTGGTATAGTGAACCTCTAAATCCAGTAAGCTTCTCTCTACAGAGTCTTTTGTTTTGATTCGAGGTCCGGCCACTGCCAACCAAGCCATCATTATCATATCACCTCTTTCAACATCAATAGAGAGAGTGTGTGTGTGTGTGTGTGTATGTGCGAGGGAGGCAGCGCAGGTGTAGACAGCAATGTTGTAAGAGGTCGATTATTCTTTTCGAAAGAAGAATGCTTTTAGAAGGGACTGTAATATGGATTATAATCGGGATTGTAATAGAGATTATAATCGGGATTATAAAAAAGGGTCCTTTTTCTTCCTCGGGTGTTGTAAAGTTTAGTGTAGTGTAGCTGCTATAGATTAAGACAAAGAATTCACATATTTTCGTTTGTTGGAGGTTTTGTTTTTTGAATTGTTGTTACGAGAGACCAGATATAGAAAAAGTAAAAGAAAAAGCAAATCAAATCAAATCAAATCAAAAGTAGAATAAAAATAAACATAAAAAAAAATTTGGTTCTTTTATTTTCGCTTTTGGTTATATGCTTGAATGCTATTCTGTAACTATTGCTCGAGTAAAAAACGAGTTTATCGGATAGAAAATAGAAAATAGAAAAAAAAGAAACAAGAATTGAAAAAGAAAAAGAAAGAAGAAATTCTTTTTCCTTGTTTTATCAATAGTTTTTTTCAACGATTCTTGTCTCTTTTTTTTTTCTATTTTTTTTTTCTTTCCAAAAAACAACGTTTCTCTTCTCTTCTCTTCTCTTCTCGTCTCGTCTCGTCTCGTCTCGTCTCGTCTTGAATTCCTCTTTGTTATTTTCTCTACTGCTAGTCTCTCCCTCTCTTCCTCTCTGTAAAAAGCTTACTCTATTCTTCTTTTAGCGCTTCTACTAGCCCCATCAGCTCCACCTTACCCTTCCGTCCAGTTCGATTCAATCCCCAAAATACTACTACCAAGGAAGACTACCGGTGCTGGGTGCCACACTGAAAACGACAGACGACAGACGACAGACGACGGATACTACGGGAGCCGCGCTGGTGCTTTATATCTACAACAACATCATCTCAGTCTGACTGACCCTCTCTTTCTTCAATCTCCCAATTCCCCTCCCCACCCCTCTCTTGGCTGGCCGATGGAAAAAAATTTAAGGTTCGACTCGACGGTGGCTGCTTTTCCTCTCTGGGCTTGTCACCGGAAGGAGGAAGAGGCTCATATGACAATGACAATTATGATGTGCTGAGCCTCTCTCTATGTCTCTGTATTTTGCATGCTGTCTAAAAGGGTTTTTCATGAATTGCTATAGCAACCAACCAACCAACATAGCCAAGCCATGTCTGTCTGTCTATCTGCTTCATGTAAACAAACGACAACACTCAAAACAAAGAAGAATGGGGGAGCTTTTTCAAGAAAAAATGAAAAGCATCAGTTCATTTTATTTACATGTATTTATTTTTGGATTTTTGGAATGGGTTTCCCCTTGTTTGAACGAATCTACTGTTTTGCTTTTTGCTTTTTTTTTTCTTCTTCTTATGATGGATTGAATTGAATTTCTCTTCATTTTCATCTCATCCCATACATTATTTATTTACGAAACGTAACGTTTCCATCCGTTATTTGGTTACCACAACAACGGGCCGCCCCCAACGGATGTCAAACATATATATATATTTGTCAGACCCCTTCGGAAACGGGTAGAACCATTCTTATTTTCTCATCCAGAGAATATATATATATATTCTATATATATTCATTCAACGCGTAGGTCGCGTTCTACACGAACACATTCACACATACTAATATATATATATATATATATATATATATTTGGGAATTTAAAAAAATATTCTAGAATAGAATACCCACTTTCTTTCTTTTGAAACGGGTTCTTTTGCATTAAGAAATTTTTAACAAATTTCTTTTTTCCTTTCTTTTTTTATTATTTTTGTCTTTCATTCTTAGCATTTTCACTCTCTACCAAACGTTCATTTTTGAACCGGTTCATTCTTTTTCGAAATGAAACTTTCTCTTTTATCTTTGGCTGCCGCTGGCTTAGTCAGTTTGGGCAACTTGGTTCAAGCTAGTGTTCCTCCCGTGCACGTCGACGGTCGCTATTTCTGGAACAAGAACGGTACCCGTTTCTTCATCAAGGGTATCGCTTACCAACCCGACTCTAACGGTGATGAAAAATACGTCGATCCTCTCGCCGATAAGAGTACTTGCGAACGTGATGTCAAGTACTTGAAAGAACTCTCTGTCAACACCATCCGTGTTTACAGTGTCAACTCCTCTTCCAACCATGATGATTGCATGAAGATTTTCGATGACAATGGAATCTACGTACTTTCCGATTTGTCTAGTCCTGACGTTTCCATCAATGGTAAAGATCCCTCTTGGTCTGTTGACTTGTTCAAGCACTACACCGATGTTGTCGACTCTTTGGCCCCTTACAACAATGTCCTCGGTTTCATCGCTGGTAATGAGGTTGTTCAAAACGTAAACAACACCGATGCCGCTGCTTTCGTCAAGGCTGCCGTCCGTGATGTTAAGCAATACATTGTCAACTCTGGTCACCGTCAAATTCCCGTCGGTTACTCCACCAATGATGAACAAGAAACTCGTGTCCCCATGTCTCACTACTTTGACTGCGGTGACAAGGCTGACATTGTTGATTTCTACGGTATTAACATTTACGAATGGTGTGGTGATAGCAGCATTCACAGCTCTGGCTATGATGAGAGAACCAAGGAATTCCAAAACTACACTGTTCCCGTCTTCTTCAGTGAATTCGGTTGCATCCAAGTTCGTCCTCGTAAGTTTACCGAAGTTAAGGCTTTGTTCAGTGATGAAATGACTGATGTCTGGTCTGGTGGTGTCGCTTACGAATACTTCCAAGCTGCCAACAAGTATGGTGTTGTTAGTGTCAGTGGTGACTCCGTCAGCACTCTTACTGACTTCCCTCATCTTTCTTCTATGTATGCCTCTGTTCAACCCTCTCCTACTCAATCTTCTTCCATGTCTCTCACTTCTTCCGGCCAATCCTGCGCTGCTACCCAAAAGGCTTGGAAGGCTGCTACTGACTTGCCTCCTACTCCTTCTGAGGATGTTTGTGAGTGCATGGACAAGACTAGACAATGTGTTGTCGCTGACGGCGTTGACTCTTCCGACTATGGTGATCTTTTCAGCTACGTCTGCACAAAGATCGATTGCGATGCTATCAGTGCTAACGGTACCGCCCCCGGTAAGTATGGTTCTTTCAGCTACTGCGATTCTAAGCAAAAGTTGAACTACGTTTTGGATGCTTACTACCAACAAAAGGGTGGCTGTGACTTCAAGGGCTCTGCCAGTTCTGTTTCTGCCGCTTCTGCTACTGGTGCTTGCAAGTCTTACCTTTCTGCTGCTGGTTCTTCTGGTACCAAGCCTATCTCTGTTACCCCCGATGCCAATGCTGTTTCCAAGGGTAACGGCACTGACAACATGTCCAGTACCTATGGTGGTGGTGGCTCTAATGGCAAGAACGGTACCACATCTGGTCACCAAAAGAGTGCTGCCAGCACTTCTATCAACACCAACGCTCTCGTTGCCTTGGTCTCCATGGTTGTCGGTGGTGTTGCCGTTTTGTGCATTTAAATGTAAACAGGGATCTTTCTGATTGCATTTTTGTATCATTGTGTTGCATCTGATGCATCTTTTGTACGTTTATTACATCTTTTTTTATATCTTGTTTGTTTTCGATGATATGTACGTTCCCTCAAATACCTTTATATCTCATTATTTCTCTTTTTTTTCTTTAGATATTTCAATAAATTATATTTTGTGGTTGTATACTTTACAGTGCTTGTAAATAATTAGTAGTGAAGAAGTCATATTATTATCGTGGTGATTGTAAATTTCATGAGGCTCTCATAGGATATGTCGATCCTTCATCTGGCGTAGTAGTATAGAGTATTGAGGACAAGATTGAGGTGATTCTTTGCTCTCACTTCCGTTTTGTAAATACCATGAATTGCAGCATCTCAATAGAGAGTCAATGTATGCTTCACATTTATTCTGATTATACTGGTTTCTTTGTATGCAACTTTGTAAGCTGCAGGCTTCTTTTTGACAAGACGCATCCATCCTGATGAGAAGTGTACTTGTATGGTGAATACCGTCCGGATGAAAAAGGAATGCCCGATGAAAGCGTACTCAAAAAGTACTTTTATCCATCTTTACTTTCGCTAACAAGAACATTGGTTTATACATTTCAAAATTTATGAGAGCAAAATAAAAATTACAGTTGTTGATGACAAGTGCTTATAAATAAAAGCAAGATAATTGAATATTATCGACCTAACATGAAATTTACCGAAGTTCTTTAAGAGTTTCTAATATCTTTTGATACGATTCAGTTTCAGACCATGAATCTTTGCCTGTTCCCAGTAAGGAACGTAAGATGCTTCGAGATTTAAATTTCCAATCCTTCGCAACTACACCACCCATTCTTCCAGGTTTTTCGCCAAGATTCTCATACGCCTCCACTAGTTCTAACGCGTCTGCAACCGTTCTGTTCCAAGTAGCCTCATCCGTTGTGATATTGGGACTCGATATCAAGATTCTATAAGACTTTATAGTAGCATCTAAAGACTCTGCATATTTTCTCTTCCAAAGGTTATAACGAGCTATAATTTTCCAAAGTCGAGTGTCATTCGTAATTAAAGGAATAATGATCCTTACCAATTCGTTCAACATCTTTGCAATACCAGCTGAATCATCATCACAAGTTTGCATCACATGACTGACAACTAAATCTAAACACTGAACATCTACTGCTTTCTCCCCTGCAGCTTTGCTTTTGATTTCTATAATTCGGCGAAGAGCACGAATAACCTCTGTCCACTGGTTCACATCAACAGAAATTAACATATAATTTTCCCAAACGCGCCAACTGTCGTACATGTACTTTAGACCTTGTTGGATAGTATGCCAGGCCTCTTTCTTGGAATGAGTGTCTGCCTTCAGCATTGCACTTGCTAAATTATTCCAGCTTTCGCCATCTTCCGGACTGATTGACAAACAACGTGTGAAAGCTTCCATGGCAGCATCATAATTCTTCACGCCCAATGCAGCACATCCATAGGTAAACCAAGTGGGATGTGACAACGGATTGATACGAAGAGATTTATAAAAAGCATCCATAGCTTTCATCATCTCACCTTGCTTGAAATAATAGCGTCCCAACGATCGCTGAGCAGGAGCGTAACGCTCACCAGAAAGTTCCCAGGCATCCATGTAATGCTTAGGTTCATTTTGGATATCTCCAAGCATAGTACGCAATAAATGTTCCTTTGGATCGATACTTAGTTGCCTTTCGATAACTTGTACAGCTAAATCACTACGATCGAGAGAACACTGACAGACGACGACACGATCCCACATCTGCAAACGTTCATAGATTTCCAGTGCAGATTTAGTAGCACCCACGGAAACGAAGCGTTCAGCAAGTTCAGCTTCTAATTGCCAACGAGAAGGTAAACGTAAACTATAGAAATAGGCTAAACGTTCTTGCAAAGAAGCAGTTTCTCCCTCCTCTTTTGGTTTTGGCAAAAATGATCCGGTATTGGTTTGTTGGTCTACGTCGTCGGTAGAAGCGCCAGAGCTAAGTTCATCATTGAGTTGGTCGAACAAAGCTTGCATCTGTAAAACACTTCTTTCGACAGTTCTACTTTTAAAGCCTTCAAGTCGAGCACGGACTAATAGACCCATGGTATACACTGACCAGTTGATTGGGTGAACTAACACTCGTTCAGCATAGGGAGACATTTCCTCGCGGGTTAAACCATCATCGGGATTGTTGTTTTTTATAATATGACAAAAAGCTAACAAAAGAGAAGCATCCAGAGGGTGCAATTCCGAGGGATGATTTGGATCCTCCGTTGCCAGTAGAGGATTCACGTTTTCTTTAACTCCCAAACTCATTGAATCCTCTTTGAAACTAACTCTTTCCAAAAGGGTGTCATCATTCAAATTAAATGTCTTAGGCTGTGTTTTGGATTGTTCAGAAAGCGGCGTTCCTGAATTACGATCGCGAGACTTTGCCAAAACAACCAATTGTGAGGTGTCAAATGTTTGAAATTTAGTCCTTCGGCCAGCGGCACCCGTAAGTTCAAAATTGAAGCCCATGATACTACCAGAATCTTTTAATAACTGCAAAGCTGCAGCATCTCTGTCGTAGTAGGATTGAATCAATCCAAGCTCCATTGCAAAACGACCTTGTGTATCTTGGTCTTGTGTTTGAATATAGCCATTTAGTAGCTGCGCATTTTCTGTAATTCGGTTAAATAGAACAGAAACATGACTTCTGAGTAGCTGCTGGTGGAGAAAGTCCAAACGAATGCGATGCCAGATATGGGCGGGCTTGGAGCTTTGAGCATATTCAAACAAAGTTTGTGCAAGTAATATGAATAAAAGTTTGGGTGTTAAATGATAAGGGCGTTCACCTTCTTCCGTTAAAGCCTCCAAGATAGACGCATGAAGTTTCTCGTGGTTACGAAGACTTGGGGGAAGCCAATGAACTGGATCAATAGGAAGGAACGGGCCAGTATAATTTGTCTGAATAAAATATTCCAATAGTTGAATAGCTGTATCTCCAAAGTCTTCTTTTGAAATGTCCTTGCTGAATGCATCGGATTCCCAATACTGACAGAGAAACTTGGGAATATTGAGTGTGTCCTCTAAAACATTGTTGAAATTGTCGAGAGATTGTAAATGCGATCCAAATAGAACTGCTTTATCGGCGATAGGTGCCATTGTGTAAATCAAAAAAAAATTTTGTGCGAAATCCGTTTAAAATCCAAAAACCAAACCCCGAAATAACCAGTAAAATGTAAAAAAATACTTTAGAAAAAAATTGCCAAGCTTTCCAGTGACCCACTTGTCCGTGAATAATAATGTATGGAAAGGCCAAGAATATGTAGGCAACTCTACTCGAAGAATTTAGTAAGCAAAAAATTACAGTATTTTCCCTTTTACATTCAAGAAGAATGGTTTTACTTTTTTTAATTAACAAATTCAATCAAATAAGTAAACCAAATTAATATAGCTAATTACAGCTTCAGAGTCGGTCTGAAAGCATCTCTTGCTTGAAACATCACGTCTTTAGTTACGCTTGGACAAAATACAATTCAATGAAATAATACATACACTGGCTGTGCGAGACAATTCAAGGAAAAAAAAAAAAAAAGAAATATTTATTCGTTATATAAATCTCATTTAAGCGGTACCGGAAAGACCAGAGAGACCGCCCTTCTTATACAAGGTTTGGAAATCAGAGTTACCACCAACGTGCTTTTGGTGGATGAAGACACTGGGAACAGTACGTTGGCCAGTCTTTTTCAAGAGGTAAGCTATAAAATTGCTTGTTAGTAGCTGGTGCTTATAACCACATGGTGATCGGTGGAAACTCGAGTACTACTCGATTCATCAAAGTAGTTTTGCCATACCTTGAATTTCATCGCCATTATCTAAAGGAAATGTTAGTAGATGTCCTTAAATAATTGCTAATCGTCAAAACTTTTGACAAGCGTTTCAAACGTACCCAAAGTGTCTAATTGAATAATCTTGGCCTTGATCTTCTCATCAGCAATCACCTTCTCGGTGGCATGGCAGTAAGGGCTACAAATCCGTGTAAGTATTTGAACTTGGAAATCAAATCGTGTCACTATTCCAGAAAGACGAGAGCAATTCTACGCTATATATTCTCGCCATAGAAAGGAAAAAATAAGAATAAAAGGTACATCCTCAAAAATACAAAGAGAAACTCCGTCCGGAAGGGCACCAGAAGTGAAGGACACCAGAAGTATAAGCACTTACCAATAGGTCTTGGCAAAGACAACAACGTCGTTGTTAGCGATGGTAGTATCAACCTAGAAAGAAGTATGAGTAAATAAATAACCAAACCCTATTGATTCAAACTTACAAATTGTTCGACAGACATTTTATACAGATATGTGGTGATGGGAAAATACACGCTAGCTTACTTCTTATATATTGTTGTGCTTACGTCAGGTAGTGTTACTTGAGAGATTCAACGGTTTGTTTACACACTGAAAAATAAAAAAATTAAAAATTAAAAAAAGATTGAAACTCGTTGAAACAGATTTCGCAATTAAATAAAAAAAATTACTTTTTAAACCCACTTGACCAAGAAAAAAAAACATATAAGCTTCTTTTGAAAAAATCGTCCAAGATGATTCCATAAACACAAATCTCTTATGAATATTACTAATTACGGATTCCAATGACACAGCCGTTCGTAGGATTATAAATCATAGTACTAGACACAAAGAGAAAAGAAATATTTATAAATTCCTCATACCTTTCACACTTGAGCAAGCTTACAACAATTTCGCTGAGACATACTAATTTCGAAGATTTGTTTGTGCAATATATTATCTTATAGGATACTTTGTAGTATTATAGTTGTTAGTGAAATTTCGAAAAAGAAATATATACTAGACTTGTATGCAAGATTCACCTCCTATAATTTTCTCTCCCGTATTTATTTGGTGTTTATTTCTGCTATTTTGTGTCTTTAAAGGGCCAAAAAGTAGTTGAATTATCTCCAAGTACTACATCTTCTTCAGAAAAGAATTTCGTTTTCCACTTTTCCTTTTTTTTTTTCTGTTGGTATTTAAATTGAGTTTCAAAAGAAAGAATATAAAAAATAAATTCTAATGAATAAACAAAGTTGCGTCGTTTGCGTGGAAGGTCCAGCAAAATACAAGTGCCCAAAATGCTCTGCTCATTAGTAAGTAACTTGGATAGACATATCAGCTAGATGCTTTTCTTTTTCTTCTATTTTTATTTTGATATTGATTACTAACAAAGATTTTCTAGTTGTTCGCTTGCTTGTTACAAGCAACATCAGCAACAATGTTCAGCTACTTCGGACGGTAACTCTGATACCGGTAAAGAGAGTAAAAAGCAATATAGCATTCTTCCCCCAAAGCCATCTCCTAATGTTTTATTCGTTAATGGAAAATATCCCACCATCGCAGAAGAAGCTCTTCCAACCAAATCCCAAATTGATCAAGCTGTTGATGATCCCAAGGTGCATAAAATGCTCCAAGAAAATCCTGAAATAGCGGTTTCAATGAGAAGACTCGTCGAACTTCAAAAGACGGAAACAGGTCCTGTCCCTCTACGGACATTGGACGCTATCCAACAAAACCGACTTCATAATCCAGACTTTGAACAGCTTGCTTCCTATATTCTTGACAAATACTATCACCAGGAGGAAAATACTGGTTAACACCTTTCCCTAAATGTTATACAAGAGCTTTTTGGTTGGTTTTAAACGGGACATCATAATCTGTATATTGTAGATTAACAAGGAAAAAAGACAACATGGAATTGAATTGTATAATAGTGTTTAATATCTACTTCTAATATTCGTTCGTAATAGCTTTCTTTCATTTATTCGATCTATCTTTAACCCATTACTTTTGTAATATAGAGAGAGGAATCCGTTATTATGGCGACATAGTTACCACTTTTATGCCAAGCCATGTCTACAATCAAGCCATCTAACTGTAGCGGATTAGAGCTAGAACCCTTTTCTGCAACGTTTATTAGTTGGATGGTTCCTGGACATTCAGAACTGGCAGTCAAAAAATAGTCCACGTATCGTGGATGGGGAGAAGCTCCACAAACGGTAGGAAATAAAGAAACACCTTGATAATCGGGTAAAAGCGTACGGGGTTGGGGGTATCCTTCATCCTCTTCCATATCATAATTTCCTTGTGCTTTGGCAAACAGGTCCCAGCGCAACCAAGCACCACTTCTACATACAGCTAGGATACTGCTGCCACCGGAACCGACCCAATGGGCGTTTGCTAAAGTTGACGCTAACGCGGCATTTCGATAGCTATGAACAACTTGGGAAACATTCAACGTATACAGCCATGGTGTGGTTGATGTGAGTTGATCTGAAACGTCTGGATCCATCATTTCGTCAGCATAGTCAGGAGGGTTCGTCCAATCGAAGACTCGTATATTTCCAGACTTTTCGCCAACGAGCAAATGATTGGGATTTGAAGGGTGAAATTCAACACTAACACCAGGAGAAGAAAGAGGATAACCGGCAAGAATAGGGCCATTGTCAGTAAGTCGCCAGATGATTAATGTGTTGTCATCACCAACGGAGGCAATCACTTGCTCTGCAAGTTTATTATCTGCAGAGTATACATCAACAATGCTAATGGCATTTACGAAACTGTGATGCCCAGATTTCCCTCCCAAAACATGCTGAGTTATTATTGAGTCGTTACGAGCAACGACTAGACGTACTGTGTTATCCTGGCATACACATGCAAAACATAATGTGTACTCGGTTTTCTCCGTGTTTTCCGACAGCTCTTCCTTCTCATTATCCTGATGCGGCTTTACTTCTTTGTCATTTTCTGTAAATGTGCAATTCGCGGAGAATGCCAGCTTCAAAACAGGCAAGCCTATATGTATAGTATAAAGTCTGACCAGATCTTTTGTCGACAGTTCCCCGTTTGAGTGTTCCCTAGCCTTATAAATGGTTATACCAGTATCATGCCCTTGAAGTATGTTAGTCTCGTTAAACGTAAAAGAAAAGAAAAAAACCCTATGAAGAAGATTCGATTGCTAAAAAATTAAAAGTAGCATTCATATGAAATTTGTAAACCAAAGGCTCCGCTATCCCATGAACTACTCACCTATAGCTAGCAAATTGGAGCAACTGGATGAAGCAGGACACCAAGTTGCAGTAAAAGGACGATTTCCCAAAGTGAGCCTAGAAAAACAAAATGTCAATACCCTAGATCCTCGAAATCCCAACATACTCTAAAGAGTTTGACGAAAACGCCATCCTAAAAATAAAAGACAACAAGCACAAGCGTTGGAAAAAGTAAGCGGGTCTCAAAAGTTTTCAAAGGTGCTTGGTATTTCGCACTCCAAAGTAATAAAAGAAAAGAAACGTCAATAATAATAAACCAAAGAATTATTGACAAAAATACCAATGTTCCTACTTCCGTCAAATTTCCCTAACGCGTAGTTTACAGTTTCCTACTTTTACTTACCTTCCCTTCTTCCTATGGTTCATTTATATGTTTCTTCATCATTCTACTCAATACAATCAAATGTTCAAATTACACACAATAATACATTCTATTGCTTTAAAAATATCCAACTTCAATATGATCTAAACAGTAAACATTCATTTGAGCAAACTAACTAACAGAAAAATCTATTTATCTAGAATTATCCCACCGATTTATTACGGACCGAAAGGAAAGCTGTTCCGTTCCGCATGAAGTACCACAGTGGTTTTTTTCTTTCCAACACGTTCCCCAAGCCAGTTACATAGAACTGTGAGACTGGCTTGTGAATAGTGTGGATAAACGAATGTGGTGTTTCTGAAAAAAATACTTGCCCTTATATAGTATCTCATCAAAATCGCAGTCACGAGCTACGGTCGTTATCGTTAATAAATAATTGGATAAGGAAAGACAAAAATGCATGTATATTTTGGATATGCCTCGTTGTATGTATATGACACCAAAAAAAGTAGATAATTTCCTTAGTAAATTTAGTAAATGAACCTACTGTGCTTGAGACGAAGTCAAAGTAAAGTGCCTGAAGCAAGTGCTCTAAGAATCAGATACAGAATTTTTACGTCCGCATCCAACTGTCTACATTTGTCTTTTAATAGGGTCTAAAGCTCTTGCTCTACTAGTACAGATGTCATACTAGTTGATAGTAAGTGAATTGGAACAAAGCACAGCGCATAACTATTTTTTTTATCATGTATTATTCGTATCAGTCATAATCATTAAGAGAATCATTAAAGAGAATCCGCTTTGTATCTTGTTATTCCTTTTTAATTCCCTTTTTTCCTTTTTCTTTTAGCGTTCCATCACGCCGAGCATCGCCTAACACATCAGAGCTTCTTTCGTCAAACTCTTCTTTCAATTTTTGAGTAGCGCTCTTAGTCTTTTCTTCATAATTCGTGTCTTTTACACCCTGAGCTGTTCTTTTGACGGATTCTGCAGTTTCGTTCTTCAGCTGTTCGGCAGGCTTTTCATTTACTTCTTGCGAGATTTCTTCACCTTTCTTGCCCAATGCCTTCTTGAGTTTTTCAAGTTTTTGCGGACTTTGTTCTAGCGTTTCCTTAATGTACTGACGGATCGTCGTGTTTCTAGGTGCCGTTGCACTCCAAGACCATGCGAATCTTGTTGCTCGAAATGCCATTTTCCTAGGTCTTATAAATGTTTGTGTAGTTAAAGCTTTAATACTCGTCTTTGAGCTATTTTATAAAAGAATGCTTCAATGGTTTTACTGCCATGTCTATATATACTGATGAACAGCTGCATTACATCAATGCTGCATCATGAATTAACAACGAGCCATATACTTAGTTGGATGAGTTAAAAACCAGTTTAATGTTATTTACCGATGTTAGTTTAACATTTCATATTTACGTGGTTGTTTACTTTCTATTTATCTCAGCTGTGAAGCGAATATTTAGGAGTTGAGGTTGGCGAGCCTGCATTGTTTGTTTACGAATATGAAAACAACATGGGTATTTCTTTCATACCTCTGCCACTTGTATCGCAAAGGGATTGCAAGGAGTGAAAGCAGAATTGTGAATGACTGACTTTAAGGGAAATTCTTTTAATCATAGCTCACATAGTCTACTTGGTCAAGATTTTCCCGTCTCAGCTTCGCAGCCAAATCTTTCATCTTCACAGTCTACTTTTGATCCATATTTAGAAAAATCAGAAAATTTTGAAGCTTCTATAAGAAGCTCTCATGATTCTGCTATTCCAGTCGAAGATGAATCTACAATTTCTGTTTCTCATCTTTCAAATCGGAAAAGGTCGGGCTCGACTGATAGGCCCCCGGATCCCGAACTTGCATCCTGTGCGAATACAAAGGAGATTTCGATCTCTGGACAGGCTACTTTACCAGATGAAACGCCATCTCGTCGTATTTACGTGAATCATATTCCAGATGAGCATGCAAATCTTCCAAAGCAGACGTTTCCTAGTAATAAAATACGGACAACCATGTACACTCCTTTGAATTTTGTTCCAAAGAACCTTTATAATCAGTTCAAGAATGTCGCAAACGTCTTTTTTCTCTTTCTAATTCTTCTTCAGGTAAATTAATCAAAAAAAAATATTTTCTTTTTCCTTTTTATTAACTAATTTCAAATTATAGTGTATTCCTACATTTGCTGCAAGACATCCTGCTTTGCCATTCATCCCGTTGTCCATTATTCTATTGAGTACTGCAATTAAAGATGGTTTCGAGGACTACAGAAGGTCAATTCTAGACAACAAATTCAACCATACTATCACATTTAAGTTGACTGGATGGAAAAATGTGAATTCCTCAATGGAGCATGTTGGGCCCTGGAGACGCTTCAAAAAGTTCGTTTCACATACTCTTCACCACAATATCAAATCATTCGGAAACGCTTCCCAGTGCCCATCTTATGCTCCTTCCATATTTTACTCGAGAAGAAATAGTCGTGATTCTTATTCGTCGAATTTCTCTCTCATGACGGCCCGAGAGGGCATTGAGGTTCTTGGCATGGGAAACGCATCACATTCTCAAAATTTTTCTGTTGTCCCAAAAGAACCTCTTCAGTCTTCCGATGCTCATTTTGAACCGGTCTACCGAAAGAAAATTCAAGTAGGTGATATCGTTCGTGTTCGTGCTAATGAAGCCATTCCTGCCGACTTGTTAATCCTATCGACGGAAAACAAAGAAGGTGTTTGTTATGTCGAGACGAAGAACCTTGATGGGGAAACAAATTTAAAGGACAAGTATTCTCTGTATTCCACTAAAGAATGTCGATCCGAACTTGAGTGCTCCTCTGCATCTTTTTGGATTCAATCCGAAGAGCCACATTCAGATTTGTATAATTTGGTTGGTGTCCTAAAAACTAAGGTTTCCGATAATTCAAATCAAAATACCGAGGGTACTTCTGCTATAAAGCAGGAGCCATTCAACATGTCTAATATAGCTCTTTGCGGTTGTACTTTACGAAACTCAAAGTGGATTATAGGACTAGCTTTATATACAGGCTCTGAAACCCGTATCCAAATGAATCGAGGGGTTACTCCGTCAAAACGAAGTCGAATCACAAGGGAACTCAATTGGACTGTACGTATATATCAACGCTTAATTTTATGCTAATTTATTAGATCGCTCTGAATTTTTTACTTCTTTTTTTGATGTGTATCATATCTGGCATTTTAAGGATGGTATATTCAGCTCGCCAGAATTCTGCGAAGGTCTACGAGTTCTATGAATTATCAAGAGCTACAGCTTCGGTACCTGTTCAGGGAATTGTAAGCATTTTCACCTGCTTAATTCTTTTTCAAAACCTGGTACCCATCTCATTATACATCACAATCGACATAGTTCGTACAATGCAATCCTTTTTTATTCATAGTGATATTGAAATGTATGACGAAAACCTTGATTATCCTTGTTCTCCGAAATCTTGGAACATTTCTGATGATTTGGGCCAAATTGAGTATGTCTTTTCCGACAAGACAGGAACCCTGACTCAAAATGTTATGAATTTTAGAAGGACTACCATAAATGGTGAAGTCTATGGAGAAGCTTATACTGATGCCACACGCGGTTTTGACAAAGCTGCTGGTCGTGCAGATTCCAAACGGCTACATCAGATTGAAGAGGATAGGAATGAAATGATCAAGCTAAGCAAATACGGGAATCCGAAGACATCTTCGTTTGTTTCAAGTGCACTTGTCAAGGAATTGCAATCACCAACTGAACAGTCAGAATATTGTAAAAAGTTTTTGACCGTACTGAGTCTCTGTCACTCTGTTGTTACAGACGGAAATGGTGAATCTTTGGTATATAATTCTCAATCTCCAGACGAAGAGGCTTTGGTGAAAGGTGCTTGCAATTTAGGATTTGTTCTCAAAAGTACGAAAAACAAGCGCTATATTGTTGAAGTACTTGGAAAACGCAACCGATTCCAAGTTTTAGATATTATTCCATTTACATCAGCAAGGAAACGAATGAGTATAATTATCCGGGATAGAAATAACGAAATATATCTCTACTGCAAAGGAGCTGATAGCGTAATACTCAACAAGTTGGCAGAAAATAATTCAAGCGAACTAATCGAGAAAACAACGCAAGACCTTTCACTCTTCGCTGCAGAAGGATTTCGAACGCTGTGTATCGCTGAAAGAAAACTGGAGAAAAATGAATATCTAGAATGGAAAGTTAAGTTTAACGAGGCCAATTCAGCTTTACATAATCGAAATGAAAAAATTGACCAAGTCTCAAATTTAATTGAAAGGGATCTATCTTTACTGGGAGGAACTGCTATTGAAGACAAACTTCAGGAGGGTGTGCCTGAAACCATAGATTTGCTTTCAAAAGCAGGGATTAAGTTATGGGTTTTGACTGGCGATAAGGTTGAAACTGCTACTAACATTGGGTATTCTTGCAACTTGTTGGAAAGCGGTATGTCAATTATCCGTATTGATTCTACTTTCTCTGAACCAGAAGAAATAAAAGATTTTATCCAGAAGAATCTGTCTACAGAATTTGGATTGGAAGGAAGCGAAGAGGAATTCAAAACACTGATGCAAAATCATGACCCTCCTTCAACTCATTATGCTGTTGTCATAGACGGAAGTGTTTTAAGCATGGTACTGGAAAGTGAGTTTGCTTATTTATTTGTCATGCTGTGTAAAAACTGCAGAACAGTTTTGTGCTGTAGGGTTAGCCCTTCACAAAAAGCGGCTGTCGTATCCTTAGTCAAGAGGTCGTTAGATGTCACTACACTTGCGATTGGTGATGGCGCCAATGATGTTTCAATGATTCAGCAAGCGGATATTGGGGTAGGAATAGCTGGTCTTGAAGGTCAAGCAGCGGCGATGTCTTCGGACTATGCCGTGGGTCAATTCCGCTTTCTGTCTCGCTTGCTTTTGATACACGGACGCTGGAACTACAAAAGGACTTCCCAAATGATTTCAAACTTCTTTTATAAGAATGTTATATGGACATTTACTTTATTTTGGTATCAACTTTTTAATGAGTTTGATGGCAATTACATTTTCGATTACACCTACGTAATGTTATTCAACTTGTTATTCACTTCTTTTCCCGTTATTGTGAGTGGTTGCTTTGATAAAGACGTGGATGCTGAAGCATCTCTCAAGTATCCTCATTTATACAAGTCGGGTATTTTGCGACAAGAATGGAACAAAAGGAGATTTTGGTAAGTCGCAATTGCCAAATTCATTTCAATAAATTAACAATGTATAGGTTGTCTGTTTTGGATGGAGTTTATCAATCAATGGTCTGCTTTGGGGTGGCCCTTTTCGTGTTTTACGCTGGCAGGTTTGTAAGCCCTACAGGCCATCAGACTGAGTCAATTGAAGATATTGGCTTATTCATATCGTCACCTGTGATATTTGTAATCAACACGTTTATCCTCATAAATCAAGAAAGTTTAGATCTTATTTCTGTGGGTACGTGGTTGTTCAGCTTAATCATATTTTGGTTTTGGACTGGAGTTTATTCGGAATGCCTAGGTTCAAACGCTTTTCATAAATCAACTTTTCGAGTGGGTAAAACATTCACATTCTGGGTAGTAAATTTACTAACCATTGTGGTATCTTTGTTTCCTCGTTTGTCTACTATCCTAGCACAAAAGTTGTTTTATCCGAGGGAAATCGACTTGCTGAAAGTGAAATTGAAACGAGAAGAAAGTCTTCAGACAGAAGATCAGGCTTCTACGGTCGAAAATTCAACAGCACCACCTTCTTTAGCTTCTTCGGTGAGAGATGATCCTTCGAATCTTTCTTATGAGCGTTCCAGATTTTCACTATCCCTACCATCCTCGCATTCTGTAGCTTCCACAAAGCGTCCGCAAACGGTAGCTTAATAATGTAGAAGCATTCAGATACAGCTTGGAGGTTTTTGTATATAGACAAATTATTATTATTTAGTAAATAATGATTTTAACTTTCACTTCTAAAGCCCGGTCTATTATATATCTTCAGCTATTCCATTCCTTTTTCATGTATTCTTGTTAATTTGACTAGAAAATTGAGACTGCAAACCAGAATAGCAATTTTTTCTTTTCCTTCTTTCTTTTTTTGTTTACTTTCGTATAAGGTGGTCGTTTGCGCTATATATTTGTAACGACAACTATCGTTTTACCTTAAAAACATTACGAACACCCACCATACACCAGTAAACGGTATGTTCTCTGAATGCATTTGCATCGTAGTGGAATAGTAGGTTTGTAGCTATACACCCCATCACTACAACATACCCTAGAAGTAATAATTTCAGCATTGCACTTTATAAGACGCTTTCAATGCCTCAGTTATCTTCCGTAACACAAGAGGATAAATCCATTATCCGGAAATATATTCCGAAAAGCACGAACAAAATCCTTGCCGCTGGCATCGCAAAGTTATATGTCGCATATCCCGACCCAAACCGATGGTCGTATACTGGACTATGTGGAGCAGCTGTCTTATGCTATGATACGACACTAAAATGTTGTTGGTTAAAGCTTGTTGACGTTGTGGTAAGTCGTTGTATTTTGCCGTATGAGAAGATAGTTAACATTAAATTTAGGGAAATGGCGGTGTTTTGTGGGATCAAGAATTGTATGAAAACTTTGAATATTTCCAAGATCGCACATTCTTCTATTCTTTTGAAATTGATCAATGTTTTGCAGCGCTCAGTTTCTCTGACGAAAGCGAAGGATCGAAGTTTTATCGCAAAGTAGTTGAAAAAGGTTGCCATCCAGAATCTATAGAAAATTCCGTTCTCTCTTTTCTTACACGTAAGGGATCCAAACGATCCCCCGGAAGTAGACAAACCTCAAATTCTTACACCACACCTTCTTATCCGACAGGAGAACCTGGTCCTATAAAGGGAAATTCGCAAAACCTAGACCTCGATCCCAGCCTTATCCAATCTCTTGTGAAGATGGGCATTTCAGAAGACCAAATTATGCAGAACGCCGATTTCGTCAAATCCTATCTACACAGTAACGTTCCCGAACCTTCACATACATCAACCTCACCATCTGCACCTGCCGTTCCTCCTTCTCTCCCTCCTTCATTACCTAGTCACAACGGATCGCCTTTGTCTGCTCCTTCTGTACCTAATCATGCTCTTAACGGGACAGCATCAACTTCTTCTCATTTACCTCCACCTCCACCTCCCCCACCATCTTCGACATTGAAAAAATCATCTATACCTCCACCACCTCCTCCGAAGTCTAGCTCATCTGCCCTCGCTGCAAACAAGAAGCGAGCACCTCCTCCACCTCCATCCCGTAGGAACAGGGTCAAATCACCGTTATCAAGTGCCGGGTCTCCAGGTTCTGCCTCACTAAATCTTCCTCCACCTCCACCACCTCCTAAGAATACGACTCCTGCTCCTCGTGCATTCAATGCACCTCCACCACCCCCTCCCCGATCGTCTACAGCTCGGATCACACCTCCGTCTTCCTCACAAGCTCCTCCGATCCCGGACCGCTCTGTCCCAAGTTTTTCTCCACATGAACACGCTACTACGATTAGTACGCAACCTTCTCCAGCCTTGCCTGCTACATCACCTCCTCCGTTACCGACTGGTGCTTCACCTCCTCCACCACCACCTCCTGCTCCCATGCCAGCAATTTCTTCTCCAGTTCCACCTCCTGCGCCAGCGCCAGTTCCCCCCATGCCTTCTACGAGCGGTGATTCGGGAGATTCATTAGCTTCACCTCCAAGTGGTAGAGCTGATTTGATGGCAAGTATCCGTGCTAGTGGAGGTGTGGATATGTTGAAAAGTAGAGTAAGTTTTTCAGTACTATTCCAAACCTTACTACTGCTAACCTTTTCTCTAGAAATCTACCGCTTCTCCTAGTGTTAGTTCTGCACGAGGTTCCAATCCTCCACCGGAAACTCCTTCTAGTAACAATCTAATGGATGCACTTGCCAGTGCATTGAACAACCGTAAAACGAAGGTTTCCCAAAGTGGTATGTCTAGATTTGTGAAGCCCTCATATTCTGGTTTCGTTAATTTGTTTACTAACAATTTTCTACAGATGATGAAGATCAAGACGACGATGAGTGGGATTAAAAAGAGTAACGAAAACTTTTTCACGAATACCTTGGAAAAAGAATTTTTGTACGTGACATGTTCATCTAAAAAATTCTCAAAGTACTATGTTTTTACTTTGCCCGCTGACTATTTTTCCTTGGACATCTTGTACATCATTTGGTATTGTAAGAATGTGAGTCGTTCTTTTGATAAAATATATGTATTATGCTGTTTTGTTATGACTTTTAAATTTTTAAGTGTATAAAGCTTATTCTACGAATACTTGTATTTTTCAATTTGCAGAATCATTCATTATTCAGTACAACCCCATTAGTATTGGAAATAGCAGATTGTACTGATGTCGTTAAATTGTCTAATTAGTGAATGTTCGTTTACAAAAGTCTGGTAAGAGAGAACAGGAACAGGCCTTGAGCAGTCACAAAATTTCGGTAGCACAACATTTGACCCATAATGGAAATGTCCTTCCACAACCAAATACTCAAGTTTTGGTCAAATAGATAAAAATGGATCCCTCAAAGTTGGCTAAGTTGCAAGCTGGTGCTCGTATTGGTATGTAATCATGATAGGCTCTCACCTAGCAACATATGGGTGCACACAAACACGAAATAAATATTTTGCATAGATATTTATCGTGGAAGGTACACCATAGAGCTAAGTTTGAGGTTCTATGTTGATAGAGGAACAATATAATTTTGGAGAACCCGAACTTTGATTAACAAATTACAATTAGGTGGTAAGGGTACCCCTCGTCGTAAGGTCAAAAAGCCTGCCAAGTCTTCTGCCGGTGCTGGCGATGACAAGAAGGTTCAAGGTGCTTTACAGAAATTGAACATGCAAACTCTTCCTGGTATCCAAGAAGTTAATATGTTCAAGGAAGATGGTGGTGTCATCAACTTCCGTTCTCCCGCTGTTCAAGCTTCTCTTCCCAACGAGACTGTCGCTGTTTATGGTAGACCCGAAGAGAAGTCTTTGACCGACATCCTCCCTGGCATCTTGAACAACCTTGGTCCCGAGTCTCTTACTGCTCTCCGCCAAATGGCTGAGCAACTCAAGGTTAGCGAAGGCAACGAAAAGGGTGCTGCCGGTGAGTCTGGCGACAACGCTGACATTCCCGACCTTGTTGAAAAATTTGACGAACAAGACTAAATTACCAACGAAAATAATTCATGTTGATTGCGTTAATTGTACGTTGTATACGAAAATTGTTCGTAGAGTAAGGAATCTAGTTATGACCGTAAATACTGATACGGGAAGAGATTGCGATCCAACAGTATTGTAGTAGTCCATTGGATAATTTGATAAAAAAACACCTTGAGTTGACCTACCGTTCCTACAGGAACTGTGTGGACTATTTATGGCTCGTATTTAATGAGAAATCGATGTATTAGTTTATCTCTTTGGTCTTCATATATTCCATGGACTATAAAAAGTCGTCGACGGCCACACCTAGGCGAAAACACCAGTTCCCGTCCGATCACTGCAGTTAAGCGTCTGAGGGTCTCGTTAGTACTATGGTTGGAGACAACATGGGAATCCGGGATGCTGTAGGCTTTTTCTTTAACTCTTTTTGTTTTTATTTTCTCAACTTTCCATGTCTAATTTCCTTTCTTAGAAGAGTTTATAGCTACTTGTTTTTTTTTTTTTTTGAAAAATAACAGAAGATCCAATTTCCTCGACTTTACTCGGCTTTGTTACTTCACAAGTCACACTTCATGGACAATGGTAAACGTGCATTCAGTGGCTACATTTATTGTTACTATCGTGGCTAACATTGTATACTTGGATTATTTTTGTTTTTTTTTAGTCTTCCTTATTTATTAGACTATTTTCATTGTCCGCTAGTATGGTTATTTCGTATCATCCAGCTTAGATATCAGCTTCAGGTTTAAAGAGGATTCTGGAATAGGAATATACTTGTTTAAATAAAAAAAGATAGTTACCAAATAAACCACAGTGGGTAATTATTCAATTAGAGCCTTGTCTTGTTTGCAGTACGAGACATACGTGCTTCTAACCAAGTCTTTACATTGAATAGTAAAATAAAAAATAATATTTTATATCTACTTAAAAATGAAAAAATATTTGAATTGTAAGCCAAAAAATGATCATAAATAATGTTTGTTGAGCTCAGCAACAGCAAGCACACGACTTCAAAGAAAATGACCACAAATCAAATTCAATGCAAAATAGCTTCATAAAAAAATTTTTTTCTATCTAAAAAAAGAATGAATGCACTTTTCTGCCCAGCTAAATAATTTTCGTTCCCTTTTTTCTGCAGACAACTGCTCCTATTGGAACCCCCACGTAACAAATTGCCCCAAACCCCCACAACACGTTAGCACTCGTTATTTATTTAATTTGTGGATACTTACGTTCTTTTTCCTAGAACCTTTTACCTTACAACATATTTCTCTGTTGGTTAAGTTACCCGAGATTTCTTCTACGTGAAAGAATCTTTTAAAGGAATAGGAATAAAAAATGAATTCAGAAGCAAGCGTATTTAGTAATATGGAGTGGTAAGTTGATGATGAGTGGTTTAATGATTTTCATTTTGTGAAGAAAAAAAAGTATATTCCGAACAAGAGGAGCAATGAAACAAAAAGATTTTGTAATTGTGCTTTCTCCTGGATTATTTAGAAACCATGCGAAGGACTTTCTTAATAATGAACTGACATCCTATGATGATCATGGATGCTAACTTTCTATTTTCTAGGAGCCAATTGGCGAATCCATTGAATAAAAAAGAAAGCCAACCTTCTTTATCGTCTACCAACAATATGTATCCTCAGTTATCTTCTTTTATGAATCCGACTGGCGCTAGTGGTGCAGGATCTCCCGCGAATTTGCAAGCAGATCCGACGACTGCTACAGCTTCAGATCCTCATAAAAAACTCTCTTTAAAATCAGGTAACTTTTGGGATTCGTACGGTGTGGCTTCATCTACTCCTCCTGTGCCTTCGTTTTCGTCAAATACGGCCAACCCCGCAACGTCTGGTAATACCTCTTCCCTGAATACGAATAATTTGAGTGAAAAGGGTACTGTTTCTTCTATACCTACGACAGCTTCCAATACATTCAATATCGACCCTAGCCCTCCCTATCCGAATGCGACTTCGATTGGAGGAAATCCCTTGGGGTCTGTGGATTCAAATTCAGGATTCTTTCCTTCCAAAAGCTTTACATCTCCTTTTCCAAGTGCACTTGCAACTGAAGGTATGTCACCTAAGTTTTTGAAGGATCGCTTCCCGTCTTCAAACACCGTGGCTGGAGCAGCTTCACCTAAAGTAAGTAGTCCTTTCACTGCTTATAAGAGAACTTCTTTGAATGCTAGCCCTTCCTCTACCTCTATACCTCAGTCTCGTTCTATCGGATCTAGTATTAATAATCCTTCCGGTTATGGCTGGCTTCCTCAACAATCCAGTTCGCTGCCGACATCGTATCCAGTAAATCCTCCACACGATGTTGATCCTGCGTTAGCCCAATTTACTGGTCATGCTTATGATTCTCCAAACGTTTCTCGGTATGAACAATTTAGTGGTGCCCCTCAGCCTGATGCCTTACCCGAAGGCATAAATTCGCCTATGCATCGTGGCTCCACCAGACTTTCAAACTCGCCTGCTTATTCCGTTGGTGGGGGTATTCCAGCGCGAGACACTGATTCTCCTCTGAACATTTTGGTAGATAAAGCTAAAGCTAAGATATCCATGAATGAAAATGGAGCTTCCAGCAGTTCTGTTCGTGAACAATCCACCCCTGGTGAGGCAGCATCCAGTTATTTTCCGCCTGAGAAATTTCCACAGCATTTGGCGTCTTTAATTCCACCTGCTGTTTTGCGCTGGCTTTATAAGGACCCTCAAAATAATATACAAGGTCCCTTTAGCGGTGTCGATATGCATCAGTGGTATCGTGCTGGTTATTTTCCGCTGAGCCTTCCTGTCAAGCGTCTTGAAGAAGAGGAATATTATTCTTTAGCTTTTTTCATTCGTCAAGTCGGAAATCAATTCGAACCTTTCTTGATACCGTTGTCTCCGGTTTCAGTGCAAAACAATCAAAATCCCTCTTGGAATGCTCAAGGTACTGATTTGCCTTCAAGCACATATATTCCCAATAATGATAGTGAAGCTTTAGAAGCCAGAGATATAAAACGTCCGGGATCTCTGCAATCTCAACGTGAAGATGATAATGATGCAAGCAGAAAAGCATCTGTTCAATCACAATCACTGGAGAAATCGTTAATGGAAAATATCGTGAGCCAACCTGATGAGAATGTTTACAAGGAAGACAAGCATACTAGTTTCTCTCCCTCTGATATTACGAACAAGGACGAAAAGGATGCTACTGCGGTTAGTCAGAATAAAGAAAAGGTATATGAACCAACACAACGGAATGCTGTTGATTCTAATTTGTCCAAGAATTTGAAGTCGTTAGAGCTTAAAGAAAAGCAATCTAAGGAAGAAACGAAGCCTAAAGTTGAGCCTATTGAATCTACGGCTGGGAATTCTGATGAGCATCAATCTATTCCATCAGTTAATAAACCTGCATCTGCTGCTACTGAAACGGGAGCTACTGCACCTCGACCTTCCCCTTGGAAGTCACTGCCCACCAAACGTATGCCATCTCTTGATGAAACCATTCACAAGGAGATGGAGAACGCAATAAATGGTGATATGCCAGACCACAATGAGAAGACTAATCAGAAGCCCGCAAACAATCAACCCAGTCAACCCAGTATACCCGCGGAGGCTGGATCTCCTTGGGGTAAGGTCAATGATGTTGCTACATCCATTTCTCAAGAAATTCAGCGTATGGAAAAGCAAAACGAAAGCTTAAAGAGTAAGGCTGCAGTAGCTTCTCAAGTACAATCCCAAAATCAAGCTCAGGCTCAGGCTCAAGCTGCAGCTAAACCGGCACCTCAGACATTGGCATCTACATCTGTATGGGGCTCTGGATCTACTAACACCCCTAACGCTTGGTCAAAGCATGCTGCCTTGAAGTCACCAATGTTGAAGAAAAATATTCAACAAGCGGAAGTTCATACCAAGCAACAACCCCTAGCGAGTTCAGCAACGAATGCGGCTACCGTTGCTAGTGCCGCGAGTACCCGAAATGTCACTCCTGCTGCCAAAGTTATTAAGCCTGCAACTTATGCTCCCGCGGTATCAGCACCTAATGAGGAGAATAAGAAACTGAGTGCATTTTTGGAAACTACCCTAGAAACTGAGGATAGCTGGTCAGTTGTAGGACCAGGTGGTAAAGTGGTCAATCAACAACCCACTAGTACAAGCACAACCAATCGTTCACCAACTTCCAAGCCTGCTGCGGTAGCTAATCCCGTAAATTCACAGCCTAGCCCATCCAAGTTACAGCAGGTTATTACTTCATCTGGTCTCTCCCCTGAATTTCTTTCGTGGTGTAAAAACTCATTGAAAGGTTTAAATGAAGGCGTCAACTATGAAGAATTTCTCAATATGTTGTTGTCGTTCCCTGTTGAGTCTAACAATGAGGTTGCTGAGATTATTTCCGATTCCATTTATGCCAACAGTACTACCATGGACGGTCGTAGATTTGCTGGCGAATTTATGCGACGTCGTATGGCAGATATTTCTGGTAAAGATGAAAGTTTAAATGGAACTATTACCAAAGGTCAGGAAAACGGTAGCTCTGGAGCTTGGAGCAGTGTTGCTCGTACTAAGCCAAAGCAAGGGGCTGAATGGAACTCTGCTTTCAAGGTTGTCACTGGTAAGAAAAATAAGAAGCGTACTTAAATTTGGTGATTGACGAAACTTTGGATCGCCTACTGTATTATACGTATAGATAATATTAGTAATTACTTTTAATTGAGTATTTTAAAAAATGTGTTTCATCGATAAGTCTATTGACAGATTAAATGAATGTCTAAACAATAAATAGTCTAAATAAATGCCGGAATAATTTAAGGTCTTCAGAGGAAGATGCGATTTGGAAAGCGTAAAACTTTTGCACCTTCTATAAAGCTTCTATAGGATATTCTATAAGGTACAAGATTGTAGGCAGAAGAGAGTGTGAGTTAGAAAAGAATTTAACTTTACCGGAAGCTGTCATTATGCCACTGTCCATAACAATTTTGGTAACTGCAAAAAGATGATGGGTTAAGTCAATTGAAGTACATCTTTTGATATGGCGAACAAAAGTGTCGTAAATGCAAGGAGAGCTTGAACTCCTCATCCACAGATTGCAATCCTCGGCACGAATAGAGATACTTAAGTTCGATAAATTGGGCTTATTTATTGACCAAGTGAATTCAATTGGCATGGAAAGAACAGTATTTTTTACATACAATTCCCAGGAATTAAAAATCTTCAACAATGTCTCAGAAGTGAGTTTTCGGGGGATGATTTGAACATCGAATTGGACTTTTAGAAAATCTTCGATGCGATGCCATAGCTTTCCATCCATTCGAACTAACAGTAAAGGGAACTGAGTGAATTCACTCGTATTTATCGAGCTGACATTTTCACTATCTGATTCTTTTAATGGACCAAAGAAAAAAGCCTGCCCAAGCCGTTTAACTTCACTTGTGCCGTTAGTTGTAGAGTAAGTGATTGATAATTTTAAAACACGTGAAATATCCACTCGCTCAAGTTCTAAGAACAATGCACTCTCTATATTTAACTTTCTGGCACTAACATCCATAAGAGAGTTATCACCCCGGGTAGAACCGTATTTGAGGTACCTTTGTAATTTCTTACTCAATTCAGACAGATCTATTGAGTCGAATTTGAACAAAGGAGACATTTGATATGCCGTATAAGACGTATTAAAGAACTGATGATCTTGAAGACTCATCTGTAATCAATCAACGTTGATTCCATTCAAATTTCATAAACTTTATGATATGGTCGGTCTTATTCATTTATTTTGTAAATCTTCATTAATAAAAAAAAGGAAAGAAGCCAGTATTCATTCAACTACAATGCCAAGAGACTGCTTTTCAACTGTAACTACTTCAAAAGCATTGCAGGTTAGTATGTAGGAAGACTATACAATGTCTTTCGATAACAAATAATTCTTGTTCCGTTATTGGAATTTATTTTTAAGAATAAAAAAAACAAAAAAAACAAAAAAATTAAAAATTAAAGAAGACAAAGCATAACCCACAAAAGTAAAGGTCACCTAAGGTTACTAAGAGAAGCTAAAGGATTAATACAAACCTCAGTATTGAAGAAGGTGGTTGTACAATGTGAATAAACAAAAAAATTGAATATGTCTAAAAGGCATAGATTAAGGGGTTATGTAAATTCTATATAACAGTTAGATTGAATTATTGGAAAGCGCTTTGATAAATAGCAAAGACTGTTAGGTGTGGGTTTGATTGAAAAAGCTAGTAGTAATAAGTAAAGAATGGTACAATTACAGAAGATAAAGCATATATCTTGCCAATTTAAAACCTTTGCAAAGTAGGAAAAAAAAATTAATAGGGAGAAAAACTTTGGTAAGTGGAAAACATAAAATGAATGAAGAAGTCATGAAGTAGAAAAGCAAAGGCAACTCATTTGAAAAACTTTCTCTTAAATTTTTCGTGATCACTGGATTTCGACTGCGTGAGACGGTTTTTACGATCCATTAAGTCTACCTTTTGTTTTTCCAAAGCCGCTTTCATGTCACGGTGACGAACACGTAACTCCTTTTCAGATTGGTTCAAACGATCTTCCTTCTCTTTCACCTTTTGTGAGAAGATCACCTTCATTTCGGCCTCCATCTTCATTAGTTTTTCATCATGAAGAGCTCGTTCTTCTTCTAATTTGGCAGCAGGACTAGGTAGTCAGTTAGTACTTGTAATTTCGTAAACAAAAAAAAAAATTTAATAGGATGATTGAACCACCGAATACGAAGGTATACATACTTTACTTCACGGAAAACAGAATGATCTTGAGAAATTCCACTTTTAATGAGACGATCAGTTCGGTACGCTTCATAAAGGTCATTGGTGCGATCCTTTAATTCCTCCAAGTGCGTACGAATAAGCATCTCTCTAAGTTTTGGGAAATCAGAGTGGTCCTCATTATCTATTTCTACTATACCCCATGGATACTTTCTAGCACGAACTCTGCGACCATCGTTGTTGACAACAAAAGAGTTTGAGGCGATAATAGCAAAAGGAATACGACTCATTATCTCTGCGTTTTCTGCCACAGACTCGGGATCATCCATGGGATATGTAGAAGGGACAAATATACGAATATTATGTTGCTGAATATCTCGTAAAACCTAATAATCAGTCAGTTTATGCGAAACTTTCATATGATAAACCAAAATTGATCTTACTATTTCCTTTGATAAGTTTATTTCCTCATCGGTAAGGGTATCGGCTTTAGCAATCACGGGAATAATGTTCACTTTCTCATGAAGAGCTAACAAAACCTGAAGCTCCATGACGCTCATAGCATGGCCAGTGGGCTGGATGAAGAATATACAAGCATGAATTCGTGGATCCTTAATAGAAGATTTGGGTAATCGCTTTTCAAAGTCAAGGTATTCGTTGTATCGGCCCTCAATATCGTTTACTATAGGTTCCCAACAGTTAGTGTTGTCGACGAAATCACCAAAACCGGGAGTGTCAATCACGGACATATGTAGATTAATTCCATTTTCCATTATATGTACAGTATCGTTTACAATCTCAACAGTAGATTCAGGTAGTATTCCTTGCTCGCTTGAAAGAGGTTGTGAGCCCAATTTATGGACATCTCTATTAAGTAGGGTATTCACGAGCGTCGACTTTCCGCTACCGCTTTCTCCCAAAACCATTAGGTTAAAAACAAAGCCCTGGCGAACGCATCGGCGGTGCCATTGGTTTGGCAAAGTAGAAAATCCTACATAGCCATTCAGCTTGCGTTGAATAATGCTAACACGATGCTAAAAAAAATATGTCAGTATATCTAAAAAGCATTATTCATACATCAGATGTTGGCTGAGCAACAGAAGCCTCTTGCTCGTTGTGTGAAGAGGGAATTTCACGTTCAGAAGATTCGACATCACCATCATTTTGAACCCCATTATCATTCGCAGCATACGAATCCGATTCAGATTTAGATGTTAAAGAGCGATTTAAATCTTCTTGCACTGTTTCCTGAACAAAATCCGGTAATATTGTAGAAGCCATAATTTACGCGTGACCCTACCGTGTTGATGGTTCTGGGAAGAAGGCAGGTTGAGTCGCGAGTAGGACACAATCTTTAACTTTTTTGAAATGAAACTAGAAAATATAGTAAATGATTTAGGCTTATTTTGAAAATTAAATCAAAAAGAATAAGTTACACCATTAATAAAACTAGAGAATTTTCAGTAATCGAACATGACTATTATTACAAAGAAAAGCCGGCGCATTCATTCACCGTGTACGCGAAAGAAACTTTCTTAAGTAACTTCATATTTAGATATTTTTCTCCTATAAGAACGAGCTTTAGTTCTTCCAGTTGCGGATTCTAACGCCTTTCTGGCAGTAGCCTGAATCTGACGGAAGAAAGTACAAAGGAGATTCTGATTCCTCCACTGTCTTTTTTCTTTTTGAATTTCTACTTCATTTTGATATTTGCTTCTTCTGAATGATGATTCAGCATTGTCATCGAGATTTCCCCCTCAGATCGAAAGGGCCTGGTCTCGCAGTAGTTGCAGTAACACGGCACCAATTGCTACTAATTAACGGTGAAAAGTAAGGTACTTGATTCTTTGACAAAAGCTGTCATCCTTCTTAGAAGACATTAGCCCTGGTTTATTCATCTCATCTCGAATGCAAGCCACCTCTTTTTATGAAATTCGTAAATAGAAGCTTTTTGAAGTATAATTAGATAATACTTTCTGATTCTCTCCCTCTAGGTATCTCACAAAACCCAACCCGACACAGGTTTATTTACACAGACTTTGTTTGTTTACTAAGATAATGTAAGCGACTGCGTAGACATATTAACCGCAGTCGAAGGCTATGTTTACGAAACATTTACGCATTTTTCGGTAATGCTTTATACTGTGAAGGCATCTTGCGGGGCGGTGTCGAACGGCTCAACGCTCAACTACGATTCTACGTAACCAGAACCAGTACTTTTTTGCCGTTCACAAGTGAAGGCTGGTTGAAAGGTTCCTAGCATCACTTATTCCTGTGCTAAGACTTTACTGAAAGCATAAAAGAAGTAAATAAAGTAGGTATCTAAAGCCTTCTTGGACTGCTTTTGTCAATTGTCTGTTTTGAAGTCAAAGAAGCTTGTAAAATTCAGCAAAGGGTAAATCAATAGTGTTTTGTCACAAAGGTTACTTTATCTCGCTGATATTTCAGTTTACTTTGCTTACTTTTTCGTCTGTTTTAACCATTTTCCGGTAATTGTCGAACCTCTTATAAGGAACTGAAGCACATCAAATTTGAATTAATAGGTACTATACTTGGTTATAGAGCTGATCCGTCATTATGCGTGCATATAACAAATCTAGGATTGTTGGACAACTCTTGTTTGTCGCATTGGGAATTGCGTTTATTTATTATTTGTTTACTCCGTCCTTACATCAAACCAATGTCGTTAAACCTCAAATTCCAAAGGTGGACACTGAATCAATCGTCGTTTACGACATGAATGAAATTTCTGCGAGTGCAGATGCTGTGAGAAAGAAGGAAGAAGTCCTTATATTGACCCCAATTGCTCGCTTTTATCCAGAATACTGGAAAAATCTATTGAAGCTTACGTACCCTCGAAATTTGATTACTCTTGGATTTATCATACCTTCCACAAAAGATGGTACCAAAGTTCATCGTGAGTTGAGAGCTGCTGTTCAAGCTGTCCAAAAGGGTCCTAAGCATCAACGCTTTGCCGATGTTAAAATCATGATTCAAGATACTGGCTTGTCCTCTGGACAATCAGAAAAGCAGCGTCACAGTCTTGAAGTACAAAAGGAGCGTCGTTCTAAAATTGCTGCCTCTAGAAATACGCTTTTGTTCTCGACTTTAGGACCTAAGACTTCTTGGGTATTGTGGTTGGATTCGGATATTGTGGAAACTCCGCAAAGGCTGATTGAGGATATGACTTCTTTCGATAAAGATGTGCTTGTAGCCAATTGTTATAAACGTCATAACGGCAATTTAATTCCCTATGATTTTAATAGCTGGGTAGACTCCGATCATGCTCGTAATCTGGCTAAAGGAATGGGTAAAGATGATATTTTGTTGGAAGGATATGCAGAACTTGCAACATACCGTTTGTTAATGGCCCATACTTACGATAACGGTGACCCAAGAACGCTGATGGAGTTGAATGGTGTAGGCACTACTGCTTTGATGGTAAAGGCTAATGTCCATAGAGATGGTGCTGTATTTCCAACTTTTCCGTTTTATCATCTGATTGAAAGTGAAGGATTTGCAAAGATGGCATCACGTTTAGGTTATAAAGTTTATGGTTTGCCAAATTACTTGGTCTTCCATTATGATGAGTAAACGGGCTAATTTTGTCCTTATGAATTCTTAATGAATTTAATTTTTCCTTTGAGTTTCACTACGCTAAAATGAAGGACACCTGTGAAAACTGCTATTTACTTATATTTCGTCCTCCATATAGAGAACGGATGTACAGGTCGCTTCACTACCGTTCTTTTTACTTTTTTTTTGGTAAACGTTTGTATTATATATGGATCTACGCGATTTAATTAGAACGTTGTGTGTTTCTGGTAATATTATGGCTTTTGCATATGACAAATCGTTATGCTGGTGATTTTGTACCTGAATTCATACTATGATATTCTTTCTTTTCCTTTGTGATTTACTTACGTCTGTAATTAATTAATTACTCTTTTCCTGCTGCTTAGATTGCAATCATCCCCTGGATACTACTCTGTTTCTATTATACATGAATGTTTACTTGTTTCATTCATAATTGTGCTTGTTTGTTTACATGGAAAAAACTTATGATTACTACTAGCCTTTCTGTACATGTCAGTCATATTGACTGTTCTTTCAGAATGGCCTTGTAAGTCTCTTAATAGATAAATATATAGAAGTCAATTTACATGGATATAGTGCTCTTTTTCCTCATGTCCTACCTTCCAGTCTTCCGTGTGTATTTTTTGTTTAAGAACTCTACTCAAATCAATAAGACAGCCATACCCATATATACCGTATTGTAGAGCAATTCCTTGTAATATTGTTTACCGTACTAGTCGTTATTTCTGACAGTTTGGAGTGCCTGAACATCTACGAAAAAAAAACCCATCTGCAGCGAAACTTCGTTTTTATTTCCAATTGTACATTTGAAGTTCGTCCGTGACGATTTTATCAGGATCACCAAAATTTTAAGTGGGATTGGAGGATATCTTGTAAACTAAACGGGTTTCTTCTCATTTCGGAAGTAAATTAGAAAAATGGCGATTGCAGCGGCCAAACCCAAGCAGGGAAAGAAATTTACCTTTAATGATGAAGGTGAAGCTGTCATAGACTCTAAACCAGCAGGAGTTAGATTTGATCCTGGTATTCCTTGGTATAATATCCAGTTACCGCAACTTCAACCTACCAAGAAACCAGTTTCCTCTGACAAGGCCAATGAATTAGAACAACGAGGAATATTTCTTTTGCAACAAGATGCTGAACGTTTTTCAAATTCTTTGGAGACGGGAAGCACCGACAAACGAATGATGCAAACCTTGATTAGCTCAGGTACTACGAGCGATCGTATTTCTGCCTTAACGCTTTTGGTCCAAGAATCTCCAATTCATGCAGCCAAACCATTGGAAAGTTTATTGGCACTCTGTGCAAAAAAATCACGTAATGAAAATACCCAAAGTGTCAGCACTCTGAAGGACCTCTTTTTGGGAGGTTTATTACCAGACAGAAAGTTACAGTATATGAAACAACAGCCCTGTCTAGGATCCCAGGGTGTCACTGATGAACATTTAATGGTGTGGGCTTTTGAGAGCTATTTAAAGTCGTTTTATTTCAAATACATTCAACATGTGGAAGTGCTTTCCTTTGATCCGCTGATGTTTGTGAAAAGTCAAATGCTTTCTACCATGTTTGATTTATTAAAAGGAAAGCCCGAACAGGAACAAAATTTGTTGCGCTTGCTTGTGAATAAGCTTGGTGACAAGGACAACAAAATAGCATCTAAGGCATCCTATTTAATTCTTCAATTGGAAGCAAGTCATCCAGCCATGAAGTTTATCGTTACAAAAGAGTTGGAAAGATTTGCTTTTGCCCCTACCACTTCGCGAACTAGCCATTATTATACAATGATTACACTCAACCAAACCGTTTTGACTCATAAACAAACAGATGTCGCAAACTTATTGATCGAAATCTATTTTGTCTTTTTCACAAAGCTTTTATTCGCTTTTGAAAAAGAAGAAAATGCAAATAAGGAAGATGAAAAGAAAGAGCTTCATGATGCCAAAGATAACAAAAAGAGTCAAAAACGGAAAAAGGATGCCGATATCCGTAAAGAGGCACAAGAGAATTCCAATTCTCGCTTGGTTTCTGCCATTCTTACTGGTGTTAATCGAGCTTACCCTTTTGCGGAAATTAACAGTGAAAGTTTCGATAAGCATATGAACACCCTCTTTACAATTACTCATACTGCTTCTTTCAACACTGCCATCCAGGTACTTATGTTAATTTTCCAAGCTTCCTCTACCCGGGACTCCGTTCCCGATCGCTTTTACAAAAGTTTGTATGAATCTTTGTTAGATCCACGGCTTCCTACTTCTTCCAAGCATTCCCTTTACTTGAACTTGTTATATAAATCTTTAATTGTTGACAATAATATTGCTCGTGTACGTGCGTTCATTAAGCGAATGGTTCAGATTGCCGCTTGGCAATCCCCCTCTCTTGTTACTGGGTTTTTCCATGTTATTCAACAATTAGAGGATTCTAATCCGTCACTCCGTGTAATGTTTGACAAGCCAGAAATGCACGAGTTTGACGACGATGAAGAAGAAGTGTTTAGAGATGTTGAGGAAGAAGAAGAGAACGAAACTTCTGACAATGAAAAGAATACAGAGGAGCAAGACACTAAACAAGAAAACAAAGAAAGTCACGGTGCTTTTGCCAAGCCCGACCTTTCAAACGCTTACGATGGACGGAAAAGAGATCCCCAGTATAGTAATGCCGATCGCAGTTGTATTTGGGAAATATACCCATTTTTGAGTCATTTCCATCCTACCGTATCTATGCTGGCAAAGCAGTTGGTACAAGGGAAAAAAATTGAAGGCAAGCCAGATCTTTCCCTTCATACCTTGAGCCACTTTCTCGATAAGTTTGCATATCGTAATCCTAAAAAATCTGCTGCTGCTAAAGGTTACTCTATTATGCAACCCCTTGCTGGCAGCGTCTCCAAAGGTATTGTTTCTACCGGTACCGGTCAAGGTAACGTGCCTATGAATTCGGAACAATTTATTGAAAAACAGGAAAGCGAAATTCCCGTGGATGAACTGTTCTTCCATCGCTTCTTTAATGATAAATATATTAAAGGAAAGCAATCTAATAAGAAGAAGGTTAGCGTAAATGAAGAAGGTGAGATGGACGAAGACGAGGTATGGAAAGCACTTGTGGATTCCAAGCCGAACTTGGAAATGGACGAAGAAGAAAGTGATTTCGATGAAGAGGCTATGGATGAGGCAATGGCGGACTTTTCTGATGGAGAAGAGGTTGAACAACCAAAGGAGCCTTCAGAAGAAGCCGAAGAGAGCGCTGAAGAAGAGGAAGACGAAGGCCAAATGTTCTCAGACGAAGAAACTGAACCTCGCCAGAATGCTGCTGATGCACCTAATACAGAAGAGGGTGGATCTGAAGATGAAATGCAATTGTTGGAAGACGAAGAAGATTTACTTCCATTTGAAGATGGTGAAGATGAAGAATCTGAAGGGGAAGAAGAGCGACGCGAAAAGGAAGAGAAATCTTCCAAAAAGAATAAGCGAAGAAAGACTCTTAAAGATTTGCCTGTTTTCGCTGATGCAGATTCTTATGCTCATTTGTTGGAAGGTAATTAAATGTTTGGGTGATTCTTTTTCACCTATCCTCATAAAAGGAAGCAACTGAACGCTGCTTCCAAGAAAAAATGTTTGAACTAAGGAAATTGGGATTTTATAGATACATTAAAATGGTATTTTGTTTAATATAGGATATTTTATTTACCTAATAAATGTGGGATTTTTGGTTGACGAAATTGTTAATGTATTCATTTTGTCTGGAGTAGAGTGAAGACAGAGATCCGAAAGACACTATGTCTTCTAAAACTATTAAAAGTAAATAATGCGTTAATAGATATCAATAATTGTTGCCTCGTTTGCTCTTACAAGTCTATTTGTTTTTGTGTTACTGAATTTTGGTGCAGTAAGTAGAGAAGAATTTATTTCTTATAATAATGACGTTATAAATAACAAATAAATAATTCAATTGCTATCTTTGATAACGCATCATTAGATCTCACAATATGCTTATGTACATAATCGCCTCTAATACTTACACCTTTCCCAAATCACGCATAACAATTCCAATTCAAATCCTTTCAGAAGATTTTGTTACGAGAAGAATGAGCTAATAGTTAGTTGTACAATATTTAATTCTTTAATACCAATCGTATACACACTACTTACTGCTGGATTGTATTCATGGAAACCAAATTGATATGCCCAGACCCACAACACACCTTCCCCCAATGTATTCAGCTCCTGATGGACATAATGGTGCTTCCCCGATTGATAGTTCTAAAGACAATTCCTCTATAGGGGGGAAAAGTGCGAAAATTGGGCAAGTGATTCACGTATGTGTTTATGAGTTTATGCTTCGAGAGGAATAATGATGAGTGAGGGATTACAAGTGTACTAACTGGCTTTAGCATTGCTTTTACAAGACAGGATTAGTAATATTGGAATCACGACTTAATATAGCTGGGAGCAACTCATCTCGAGAAGGAACCAAAAGGAATAAATGGGTAGGTCCTTAATGAATAAATGATAAGAGATTGCGAGAGGTAATTTATATACGGATTTTTAAATGTATTGTGGAAAGGGAAATAGAAAGCTTACAATTGGAAATTGTACTTCTGTTTTTCTATCCTGTTTAGCAAAACAAGTTATCTTCTGCATCTATGTCAATCTCACATTTCCTTCTTTTTTCTATATTGTTATGCTAACGTCTTATTAAGTTTAATTTAGAGGTTAATGAAACAGATGTGTATGCAGACCAGTTCAAATTATGGAAGTCGATTGATATGACTGTGGAGCGAAAGATTCCTCCGATGGTATTACATACATACTTGGATATGTCGGACTTGTCTAGGAATCAAAAACTATCTTTGTTTGATGGAAAACAGCATCATGTCATCGATTTAAAGCGTTCTAATGCTTCAAAAATTGTCCTAGAACGTTGGGTTATATCGTTAGATGGCGGGAGTTCTTCGACTTCCGTTGAAATGGCTGTATTATACAAAAAACTAGTTGTCCTCTTCCGTTCTTTATATACCTATACTCATATAATGCCTTTATGGAAGCTTAAAAGTCGTATTAATAGACTTCGAGCTCACAATGCTTCTTTAAAAGTCGGGTGTACTCTTTCATCAGATAACTTGCTTCACGATGATTTTATTCCTATTAATGCAGTCCTTTCCCCTACTTTAGGAAACAGCATTGCTGCTTATTCGTTCAGTCCTGTAAACACTCCTATGGGAAATTTTCGTATCTCAGTACAATATCGGAAAGACTGCAACTTTCAGTTCCATGATCCTGATGCTATGCTATCCAATCAACTTCTTTCTGCTGATTCGCCCAACACTGAGTATCGTATTGATAGAAATCAGTCGGCTACAGATGGTGGAAATCATTATTTGCATCCTCACGCGTCTTCGTTAGTTCGGCGACAATCAAACTTGAATGATCCGAATTTACTTTTGGAATCTGAGATTCAACAGCTTGCTAGTGTTGAGTCAATAACTGCTCATGCTGCCCCCCTTGTTTCTATACATCCTTTTAAATCCCCTTCGCTTTCTGCCTCTCCGGGATCTAATTTGGATACAATGTCCATATCCCCAAAAGTTGCAGTTAATCGATATATCCATCGTGGACCTTCCTGCTCTTCATTAAACAGGGTTTCCGTTATTTCAGAAAGTTTAAGTAAATCCCGGCCGAAAATGCCTACTCTTCCTAGTTCTGGGAGTACCGGTCTAAGTGGCAACGATATTCATAATCACCCGATGCTTCGGCGCTTCAGCAGTAGTTTTGTTCCAAAGGAGCGAAGAGGAAGCACCAGTTCGAGAGCTCGACTGCAGTTGGCTGCTAATCAGCCTATTCGTAGTGTTCAAAGGCACGATAGCTACGAAAATACTGGTGTAGATCGAAGCGGCCAAGTCGCTGATGAGACTGAATATGCACCACGAGATGATTTGAGCGGATTCATACAGCTATTAGATAATCATGCTCAACATCTGCAACACTACGGAGAAAGTAAGTCAGAATCTTCTTCTTTAGGAAAGCCGGAAGATCCGATTCTGAATGAATCTTCCCATATAGGACCACGTAATATCTCCGAAAGTAGTAACGACCTTTTCGGGTTCGGATCTTTTACACCAAATCGGAATACTGCGATTACACACGAAAAAGCCTCGGCTCCAAGAGAAGATTTAGCGAATTCAAATCCCCATATATTGCATGACCATACTTTAAGTGCCTTATGCTCAAGACTCTCTTTCTCTGAAAAGCCAGCCGATTCAATTAGCTTGTCCCCATTGTCTCCTGCATGTGTGCCTCAAGAGCCTACCAGAGGGAATGCTCCAGCTTCGCTTCCGATTTCTTTTAATAAATGCCAGAAAAATCCGGTAGCGCCTGCTACTTATCCGATAGTCGAAAAGCGAGAGACAAATAGAAGTACTTCTTCTTTGGTTCCTCCGCGTTTCGAATATAAGACAAGTCTGTCAAAATCTCTGGACCACTCTCTGACGTCTGCAAGCTATCAAGCTACGAAGACTCCCGCACCTTCGTTTGTGCTTGACTCAAATCTTTCTCAGCAGTATCCGAACCAACATTATGATTCCATGGCTGAAGATCATCATTGTCTTGCCCCTTCCACTCCTGCTTTTGAATATTTTAATGAACATAATGCGAATTATGATGATGACCTACTCTTTGCGATGACCGACATGGCTTTAGAAACGCACCCTACAACTTCGGTACGGATCAAAAGATAATAAAGGAATAATGAAGTGATTTTTAAGGCCATAGCGTCTCGTTACATGGATTTTATTAATTTTGAATATCCTTGTTTTACGTTTTCCTCAAATTAGAGCTTTTTGAGAGAGTAATTAATGAAGTAAAATTTTAGAAATAAACATACGCCTCGTAACGTTCAATACTTTGCACTATAATGCTCTAATAAAAATATGATTTATGGTTCGCGTTAGTTAGGCTTACAAAGGTTTATGAATATTATGTATTGAAATTATTTGGATATCATATGAAATAGCCATCAAAACCATATATATACATCCTAATTGAACCCCAAGGATGCTTTTTTTTATATAATCACCGATTGTAATGTTTTATGCATCACATCAACAAAACCAAAAGCAGTGTTTCTATACATTCAGTCAAAAACAATTTTCTTTCCTTGAAATGGACCTGCTGGCTGCAATTTTTGTTTTTTCCTAGCTTCCCACGATGGATGAAGTTTTTCTGCTTGCGAAGTTTTAGAATCCTGTTGCGCCATAGCAGCTTTTCGTGCACGCTTAGCTTCACGCTCCTCGAACTTACGTTGACGTTCCTCTCTTTCTAATTGTTCTTGTTCTCTCTTTTTAACAACGTGGTTAGCTGTTTTTCCAAACTTTTTCTCCCATATAGCTTGCCTAGCACGCTGTCCACGACGATTCTTTCTTTTGGGGCGATCCATTTCGTCCATTTCTTTCTGAACAAATTCATCGTCCTCACCTAACGGGTCAAGGAAGCCAGCAGCAAGCTCTGGAAGATTAGAAGTAGATGATTTCGTAGCCGGAATGGTGAACATTTCATCTTCTTCATCGTTCTCGTTCTCGTTCGTAGCTGCCTCTCTTCGGGAATCAACATCAACACCCTCCTCTGGTGAGATGTCACGATTCTCAAGTTTGACATTATCTTCATGAGATTGATCAATAGAAGAATTGATTTCTGAAGAACTATTAGATTCAGTAGTCACTTCATGCTGAGGTTTAGTTTGTTGAAGTGCTTTAATTTCAGTCTCTGACTTGTCAGAGTTCAACGACGGATTTTGACGAAGACGATCAGGATGTAATTCAGGTTCGGCCTTTGATGATAAACTTTGATCTCTAGGTTGGGTATCCGCCTCCGGATTATTCATCACGATGCATTTATCAAGAAGACGACAGGTAGCGTTGACGGATTCCGTGACAGGATTTGAATTCAGTAAGCGTGCAATAACATTCTTCTCCTCGTCATTAGTAATATCTGAAGGAAACTCCACCACTTTATGCTCGTCAAGCAAACTTCGATATTCTTTGTTACGTAGGACTTTACGGTAGAAGCAAAATTCTGTAAGTTTAGAAAAATCATACTTTTTCGAAAAGTCGAGCTCTTTCTCATATCTAGCAACTTTATCATTCTCTTGCTGCTCTCTAGCACTTTTAATTCTTCGAGCAAGTTTTTGACGCTCAAACCCAACAGCTTTCTTCAGAGCATGAGTTAACTGTTTCTTAAAGTGATGTGAACGTTTCTGTAAATCTTCTGGGCTCAAACGAGGTTTTGAACTCCTTGGTTTGGACGTTTTGTTCGCTTTATGCTTCATGAAGAGAAATGATGTTGAACAAGGGTTTTACGTGTAATTAGAACTTACTTTTTTAAATAAAGATAAAAATTATAATGACTCCTTTGTACGCTTTTGCTTTATTTATATGATTTCCAAAAAGTTTTCGAATTTTGAAGGTAATAAGGAGAAGACAAAAAATCGTTAGTAAACAATTAAGCCAATGCTATTTTTTTTCCCTTTAAATTCTTTGGTAAGGATTCTCTTTCTATTATTTCAAATAGAAGTTCAAACAAATTGTTAGAGAAACCTCGAAAAATTGAAATTGGCCGGGTACATAATAACAGATACAAAGTTAATTTCTATTACCTTCGTGGTCAATAATAGTCTTTAAGAATGAAATAAAGAAAAGAAAAGAACAAAAGGGATAGCAAACAAGTTTCGGAAACATTATAAGGGTTACGAAAATGTTTTATTTCTTATGCTACAATGTGCAGCATAAGAAAAGCAAGATTGGTACCATCTTCATCCTTCAGTACAACCCTTCCATGTGTAATGCGGTTGTCGTTAAAAAAAAGAAATAAGTTTATGATACCAGTAGGTCTTATTAGGCAGTAAAAGTGAGATCCGTGCAATTGCAACACCGATATGCTCTACTGTCTCTGAATAATATGTAAAAGTAAAGCAAGTACTTAGAGGTAGATTGGAAAACATCAGAATCGTTCCTTTGCCTTTCTTGAGACTATAAGTGTTTCTTCTTATGCTCTTAGAAAGGAAGACTGTTTGAATCTTCATAAGTTAGTCTCGAAAGATGGACTGAAATGTTTTAAGCAAATTGAGCATCATATATCAACATCGAAATCACATAGCCTTCAAGTATGAATTATCGTGGATTCATTTAGAATATCAAGCTCATACCAACAGAAGATGAGACTGTTCCACGAAGCCTTTTACTTAAAATAAGTATTGATGGATCGATAATAATACTAATAATATTTTCAATTCTTCTTAATGAGTGTTCCTCAAAGGTACTAGCTGTTTTAATCTCTGTTTCAATCATCTTTATGTTCTGCTCAACAATATGCAAACCATAATACAAATTCCATTACAAAATTAACATCAATGATAATCGCAATATATTCTTGGTCGATTTGTTCAGTAGATCTTGAATCTAACTGCTTCTCGAAATTTGAAATTTCTATGCGTCTTGTTCCCGAAGACACCGTGGTGTCTCCTGTACTGCAGTCATTAAATGAAAAAGCCTGAGGGTACTATTTCAGGGTTACTAAAATAGAAAGTCTACTGTTATAATTATAATTCCCTATGCGTATTGATAAATCTGGGTTTCAGCATATTTCGTTTCTCACTTCAAGATTTCCAAAGGTTGATTATCTTCGTCTTGGTGAATGTCAACATCGATTTGTTCAAAAATGGTTAGATTTTAAAGCGGAAAAGCTTCAATTTCCTCCACGACCTACCATCCTTACAGCTCAAGTTTGTCCAGTCTATACTATGGGTAGAAGAGATACAAAAACCGGTACAGACGACACCATTGATGGAGTCAAAGTCATCAAAGCACTAAGAGGAGGTCAAACTACATATCATGGTCCTGGCCAGTTACTTGTATATCCAATTTTAGATCTGAACGCATTACACTTGAATCCACGAAAATATGTTTCTAAACTCGAAGAAGCGATTATTCAGACCTGTAGACACTTTGGAATGAAGACGGCACACACGAATGAACACACTGGAGTTTGGTTAACAGATGACGAAAAGATTGCAGCTATTGGGATTCATTTACGAAGGAATATTACAAGCCATGGATTAGCTCTTAATGTGTCTACTGATTTGGAAAAGTTTAAAAAGATTGTTGCTTGCGGGTTAAAAGACAAAACAACTACAAGCTTTCAAGCACAAGGAGTTCATGTTGGACTGAAGGAAGTAGAGCAAGTACTTGTTCAGCATGTGATAAACGCTTTATTGACATGAAGAAAAAAAAAACATACATAATCAAATTTTATTTTTTTGTAGACGACTTTATGCTGTCGTGCCTTTCCGGCTCTCATGATATCCAAATTTCTCTCCCTTTGCTCAGTTTAGATGAATTGCTGAAAAGGGAAGAGATTACCGAAGTGAAAATGTTGGACAACCGGGTATTTACTGAGGACCTCTACATCGTACATTTTTAACAATCCCTAATTTAATTGGTTAAAAGTCTGCTTTGAATAGACAAGAGAAGTCACTCACCTGATTTACTTTAGACCAAGAAGGAACAGCCGTGATATCGTAAAGGATGGGGGAATGCTCATAGAAAGGGCCTTTTTTCATAATGTTGATAAAATCGATTGCACTAAAATACAAATTCGACTTTGATAGTTCCTTTGTAAGTTTTTTATCCAGAATTGCATTCGGTCGTAAATTTAATGTATTACCGCCTGGAGCAGCCAGTTGTGAAGATCCAAAAATATATGGAATAAAAAAGTGGTCGTCGAGACCCCAAACGCCGTGGGATCCTGCTGGTTCAAGACGATATTTCATAATTATGTTACGACAAACTTCCAAATATTTGTGCGTTACATACAAGCCTACGGCTGCACAATCTTCGTATGTCAAAAGGTTAAGTAAATCAAGTCCTTTCAAAAACCCCAAAAAATTCAACTCATGTCCGGTTCCAAAATCAATTCTTTGTGCATTTCCGAAAGAACCAAGAAAATAATCCAACAACTCTATTTGGGCGGAACCTAAGGAAGCAGGAACAATTGTATCCAAGATAGTTGGTGCCCTATTTACTAATTTAGCATGCCATCTCCGGAATGCTGGATTTCCAAAACGATGTCTTCCGGGTTCTAGAGGGATAGAGTCAGTAATTTCCTGAACTTGCTCTAAAACATCAAGAACGTTCGCAACTCTGCTAGAATATTGGACGTGATAATCCTGTATGCCTGTAGAAGCAGCGTTTAATGCTTGAATGTAGCTCACAAGCCGAACATACGCCTTGGACAATCGAAATGGCTGCATATCCTTTGCCTCTTCAATTAGTTTCTCAGGTCGCTTAAAATCGCTATGTTCATTAAAGGTCTCATTATCTATGTCTCGTAATTTTTCTACTGGAAGCTCTTTCATCTTTTTAGGTACTTTTATCTAAATATGTATGTAGTAATGCAAATAGTTCCTTTAAAAGTGGTATATCCGTGATCCAATATATAAGACCAATAAATAAATTAATATATGCGCATATAATAAGCGTAAAACGCAAAAATTGAGGTATCGTAGAAAATTAAAGGAAATCTCTTAGTTCGTAAATGGTCTGTTCTCGTTAGTGACATGAGCTCTTACCATGCTCTCAACAAATATGCAATGGGAGTCCATTTCACGTTCAAAACACCTTAAATGTTTTTATTAATTTTTACAATACGATAGGCTTAAAATGAAAAGCATAGCGTGCATGCTCATACGGTATAAGGCGTAAGTCTGCCCACCGCCAGATAGACGGGGTTTTGTTCATTATGATTATCATAAATAAGTGCTATAATCTATATGTATATCTATTTACTTAGTTTTACTAGTATTCAAGCTTTTTCAAGCACAGAATACACGAATGACACTTTGCTTACTACTGAAGTCCCTTAGAGAACCTTAGTAAACATAATCAATCGTGTACGTTTCAGTGAAATTGACATGGATGATTGTATTTGCATATTTCTATAGAAAATTAACAATTTGTTCTTATTTTAGAGTAATATCTAAAGAACATTTTGTGCAAAAAATAGGACATTCACCTGAAATGCTAAAACCAATGTACAATACGCGAAAATTCCTGCTTGTCTAGTATTAGAAGAAGCTTGGATACATTATACACGATTCTACCGCAATCGTTGTAAAATTTAATCATTTTTCTTCTATGTTAAAAGAAAAAAAGGAAACTACTTTCAGTGTACTACCAAGTGCCAAAATTCACTTAAACCAATTTTTGGCAGAACCATAAATCATTCCCCCTCACTATATAAATTAACGATGATACGTTTAATATCTCTAAACCGAATGTTCAAAGAATATTTGGAGACTTTTACTTGAAGCGTTCAGTTTTCGGAAAAGTATATAATGGGAAAAAGCAGTAAAGACAAGGTAAGAAAAGGTTAGATGAAAGCGATTTAAAAGAGTACGAAGACTTTTGTAGGATACAGGCAATACAAAGGAGAATAGTCGCATGAAGGCATTATGCGTCGTCGGCGGCAGAATTTAGAGGTCTTGGAAATGATTTTGTTGCATTTTATTGATAGATTTGTTTCTTTCCTTTTAAATTTCTTTCTTTTAAGCGGGTTCATACCATGAGGCTGTAGCTAACGAGAATTTTTCAGCGAGATGCGTATTACCGATTAGCAAAGGAGCAAGGATGGAGGGCACGATCAGCATTCAAATTAATGCAATTAGATGAACAGTTTCACTTGTTTGAAGGTGCAAAACGCGTCGTAGATTTGTGTGCTGCACCAGGATCATGGTCGCAAGTCTTGTCACGTAGATTAATGTAAGTCTCCGGTGTCATATATTTGTTTATATGTCTTTTTTTTAGTTACTTGAATCTGACAAACATTATCTAGAGAAAATACTGACTCTACATCCAGCAATGAGGAACGCCCAAGAATTGTCGCTGTGGATCTTCAGCCAATGGCTCCGATAGAAGGCGTTAGCACATTGCAGTTAGACATCACCCATCCAAGAACATTATCTACTATTTTATCTCACTTTGGAAACGAACCAGCAGATTTGGTTGTCAGTGACGGTATGTATCCACTGTAGTTATTTTGTTTCTCAAAGATAATACTAACATATATGTTCGTTTTAGGTGCTCCCGATGTTACTGGTTTGCATGATTTGGATGAGTATATCCAAGCACAGATTTTATTGGCGGCGTTTAATATGGCTGTATGCATCTTGAAACCTGGTGGAAAGTTTGTCGCAAAAATATTCCGTGGAAGAGATGTATCTTTACTTTATTCACAACTTCGACTGATGTTTCGAAAGGTTACATGTGCAAAACCTAGAAGTTCCCGTGCGAGTTCCTTGGAATCTTTCGTTGTTTGTGAAGACTTTTGTCCTCCTCCTAACTTCCAACCGGAACTTTCAAAACCTCTTTGTATAGTAGATCCAAACTGTACCCATGAAATCGCTCCTTTCATTGCTTGCGGTGATTTGGATAGCTATGATGCCGATGCTACATATCCCATTGATTCTACATCAAAAACAACGCCATTAGAAGTTGTGCAACCTCCTACAGCACCACCTTATAAACGTGCTATGGAATTAAAGCATCAGGGATTGCTATAAGTTGAAAGGTGGATTCTCCTTTTTCTTCATTTCTTGTTTTAAGGTTTATTGGCTTGTATATTAATTACTTTTGTTTGATCATTACATGTGGGCTCAGAGCACTCATCTAGGAGATAATGTGAATGATCAGTCTGCTTGAGACTTTGCTTTTGTCACCCTAATGCGTATGCATGCTGTGGTTTTTTGGGAAATGGTATACAAAAAAAGCTTCATTTAATAAATTAATTATTTTGGTTTTTTTTTCTTACACTTGAATACCGCTCTTTCCTTTAAAGTGCGGTATGTAGTCTTTCTGCATAAAGCAGGCGGATACATACAGCGTAATGTTTCAGTCAACTTATTTACAGAGGAAGCTAGAAACCATTCATTTCATTTAAATAATATTCATTGTTCGTATCACTTATTATAAAAATCGTTTAGTCCTGTCTTTTTCAAACACCAAATATTAGTAAGGATTACGCAGTTCTTGCCGTCGTCTCTCAACCATTTTCATGCGGTACCCAGTGTGCGGCTTTATATAAAATAATAGTTGTATACTATATTTCGATTGCTTTTTATGACTTATTAAGTGTTACCAAACTGGACGTAGTGCTAAATTCTAGTTTCATTACCAAGGTTGAGCCTTATATTTTACGGAAGGTAATTCACTCTCAGTTCCCGGGTATTTGAATTTTTGTAAATTATTGTTGAATTCTTTTTTTCGTTTTATTTTACTGGGAATATTTAGATTCAACGATTTTCGCTCTAGTTTTGCTTGTTCCAAAGTAGAAGATTTCATTATATAAAAGCTATCTGGAAGATCGTTGCTTTTTCCCCTTTATTTTACATATCGAGTAGTATAACTATTGAGACTATGCCTCCTATAACAGCAGAAGAATCCGAAAAAGGTTCCGAAAACGTCGGGTTTGATCCTTCTTCTACATTATTAGGTAGATTCCTTATATTCCTAGTTGTAGCCTTATGCTTCTCGTTCATTATTTTGATGTTATTTCGACAACGAAGAAATGCCTTGCAAGTTTTGCAAGAGCAACAAGAACTTATGTCGAGACAACGGAGAGGCCGCATTGAAGCTACTGATGCGGCCTTACAGAGACGACGAAACAAGGAGCCTTTGCCTACATATGAACCTCCAGAAATACCTAGTTTTGATGATATTGAAGACTATCCTGTCTCAAATACTCCTCCACCGCCTGCTACTTTTAATGAACTTGGAGAATTCGTCGAGCAAAATGCCGGTAGCACTGCTGATTTCTCTGAGAGACCACCTTCTTACGAAAACATATCCATTGCCCAGGATAAAACGAGTCCCAACTAAATCCTTGGCCTTTTTCCTTTTGTTCCTGTATTTTTGTTTTTCCTTACTTCTACATGTCGTTTTTATGTTACACTGCAATAATCAATGCATTAGGTTTGGCTTACGCGTTAAATTTTTATATATACATGTTATTGAAATAACTTGAAAAGAATCATACGTATCTTGTGAATGTTCATGTAAGCATTAAACTTTCCATGCTTCTTTGTTTAATTAGTCATTGACCTCAGAATTCTTTTAGTGCAAAAAAAATCATAGTTGTAAACTTCATTATAGAGAATTGCCAAAGATTTGATATCTACGAGCGATGGAGGCACCGTACTCTTCATAATCCGCCTTGGTATGGCAATAAGCTCCAAACTCCGGCTAATTTTGTTAGTAATTTTCCAAAAAAATAGAAAGAAAAGACAAAGAACATACAGTTTGAGCAAGTAAGCTTCCGCCGAACCATACAGCATTGCGCTGTCGCTTGTGAGTAATTACATTAACGTCCACACCACCACTCTTGGCACCGGAAAGCATTTCACTGCGATGTATGCGTTCATCAACAATATGCTTGATGTCTCTTTGAAGGCGATGTCCAAAATTTTTAAACAGTGTACTACCACCGGATAAAACAATGTTTTTGTATAAACCTTTACGAACGTCAATAGGTGAGCTCTGAACAACGTTATCAACAAGTTCAGGTAAAGGAGTTATAAAGTCAGAGGAAGCAATCTCAGGGTTGAAAAAGATTTCAGGAGCAAGGAAACGCTCAAAACCAACATCCACGGCCGTAGTACGACCTCCCATAGTTTCGGCTGTGTACTTTAGATAGCGATCGGGTTCTTGATCGAAACGTGCAAACTCTTTGACGATATCAGGGCAAACGTAGGCATACTCTTCTTTGATACGTTCAGCAGTTTTCAAACTGGAATCATTTTCATTACGATCACGGAGTAAAGATTGAACGAAATAAGTGATGTCACGACCAGCAACAGGCATAGTCTTAATAGAGGAACCAATAACATAACCTTCAGCCTATACAGTGTTAACTTTTTAAGAAATAGAGACATCAAACAGAAGAGAACTTACCACCGGTATAATATGAGTAACACCATCACCAGAGTCAACGACAGTGCCTGTTAAAGAGCGTTCAGTGACTTTCGAAGAGGTCCAAGAAGCAGCCAAAGCGAGAACTGCTTGGACAGCAATATAAAGACCAGCACAGTTAAAGGATTCAAACATAATTTCAGCAGTATTCTCCCGATTTTCAGGCGGGTTCAGAGGGGGTTCAGTCAAAAGAAAGTAATGATCCTCAGGCTCGCAACGAAGATACTTAAAGAGAGATTGTTGCCAAAAACGTTCCATGTGATCCCAATTCTCGATTTGACCATGACGAATTGGATAATCTAACGAATAACCAGCAGATGCCTTGCTAAGAGCATCATTACCAATATAGAAGTCTAGGTCCTCCGTTCCGCGCTTACCTGAAAGATGACCACTTCCTTTTGGTGCCAAGTATGAAGGTTTTGAGGGGACCGCCGGTCTTGGACCACCTGCTGATCGTGTTGCAATGACTGTAGGAAAAACATACGAAGGAGCATCGTTTCCGGCATAACTGAGAACAAGTATAATTAGCAAACATTTATTTTCACAAGTAAACAAATTGATTTGTTTTTAAATCTTTTATCCTAATTTCATCCATACCCTAGCTTGCTATAGCCGGTACCACTAGATATTGCATTAGTACTGAAATATATTCCACAATTATTTCCAGCAAACATACTTGTCCATAATAATAGGCACATTAGAGGACGTGAATCTAAAGATTTAGTAACAAAATGGAGTTGGTTCCTGTTCTATTCAATACAAGCATCTCGCGGCTGCGTAGTGAATTACGTAGCCGAACGGAGAATAGTGTATTATTGCGCGATATTTCTTCGACTGATATATTTAGTTAACATATAATGTTGCACATCACTAAACATGATCCCAGAGTTGATTCATTTACTAAGGAAATGTCTTTTTGTTATTCTATTTTGGTAGAAATGGACCATCCTTAAGCCGTTCTTCACGAATCGTTAATGAAAGCTCTTAAAAACAAGGAAAACAGTTTTCTTCTAAAGGTTTTCTTGATAGATTTTATCTGTGGAGGGCATGAAAACATTATAGAAAATGAAGCCGCGATATTCGAAATAACAATGAAAGACTTCTCTAAAAAGCTATATAGATATCTAGTAGTCAGTAAAAAGAGATGTTACTATTTGTCATAATCCTTATACGGTATACCTAATATCATCATACAATAATAGTATTAAATCCTCGAATACCTTAGTATAAAAGGTGAAACCCGACGATGCGTATCAATATACATGTCAAAATAGAAACAATTGTCAATTAACCTTGAAAAGATATGTATACATCCAGTTGAAAGCTCAAAAGCTCAAATCTTCAGTGGAAGATTCGACTGATCTAGCTAAATACAGTCTACTTGAATCAGATTCCTGAAGAACTATTTATATCCATTCAAATAGTATAGTAGCATCCAATTCTAAGTACAGTTCCTTGTAACTTATCATTCTTTCCACTGATTTGTTTATTCTCCTAACCAGAGAATACATCTGTGACATTTACAATACTTGTATTGTTACTGAACAATTCGACAGATTATTTAGTTCTTCGTTGGAAATCCAAAGACTTCTCCATCATCGTAATAATTTTTTATTAATTAAATGCAAAAACTAGATAGCAAAAAATTGGTCGTAAAACATGATTGGTAAGGTCAGCAGTTATAACATTGTAATTATATTTCATCCTTCATTAATTAAGATAAAGCACAATTACAATCGCAGTCAGGAACTGGGCAAACGCTGTGCCTCATAAACCATTCTGAAGCATGTGCAGCATGTGTGCCATGATAACATCGAAGACAAAATGAGAACCAACGTCCATAATTTCTTTTTCGTTCTCTGTCTTTTGGGTTTTGACTGGTAATATTATTAACATTATTTTGTGGGACATTTTGATCACTCAAAGACAATCCACAGACAGAACACTTTGGGAAAGGTTGACGGCAATGTGGACAGGTATGGCCGGATTGCTTTTGACTTGCAAGCTTTCTAGTTTTCGTAAGCGTAGAAGCGACAGTTTGATCAGACTTAGGATAATCTTCGTTTAGGCTTAAAAGAGACTTTTTGCAGTAATTGCAACTGATATAAAGTGATGGTTTCGGTGATGTCTGCATTACATGACCGTTTTTATCACGAGAGAGTTCACTTCTTCCTAAATCAAACTTGACTCGTTCGCGGTAGAGTCTCCACCGATTAAATAATTCCCTGTAACTATCAATCCAACCATCTGCTCTCCAATCGGTAAACTTCTTCGGTACAACATAAGACACTAATAAAGCTGCCGTTTGAACATCATTCGAATGGTTGACAAAATTTTGTAATAACTCAATACCTAAAGGTGTTAACCCTGTCAATATCAGTCCTTCCGGATCCCCTGACTGAACCGTAGTACGGCACAGATCTTCCAAGTAATTACTCAAATCTTCATCCGGCAAAAATCTGAGAGCTATCCCTAGTCTATCTCTAAGAGAAAGAGACACTTCATCAAGCACGTCTCTCCAATCGGAATTGCTAACATATGCAAAGATAGCACGAAGATATGGGTCTTCCAGTTCTGTACTTAAATTACGAGACATTTCCTTCCAAAGCGAATCGCTTCCGAGTTGATTTAAGCCCTGCGAAGTAATGTACCCCGCTACAGCCGTGGAAATAGTTTTTTCTAATTCATTTCCCATAGCCAATATTCGAACCACGTTTTCAATTTTTCCATGAAAGAGAGCTAAACCAGCAGCTTTTACATGCTCATTTCTACCAATCAAGGAATCTATTTCTTGATGCAAATTTATTTTTGTATATCCAAGCCCGCAAGCCAATAGAACCAGTTGTCGTAAGGGCCGTTTCGTAGGTATGGGTGTTAATATGTCCAAATCAAAATTTGAAATAATAGTTTCAGCGGCTGTTAAAAACTTCTTTTCAAAAAGTCTACTGTGTTTCGCGTCAAAAACGTCAGCAATATTGGTTAATTCTGTGTCCATAAACCAAATGCCAAGAGCTCCTTGATATGTTAAATCAATATCGTTCCAGCAATTATAACGTCCATCGCTGTATAAAGAGTGGGACAGTTCAACCCATTTCCAGACATCTTTTAAATAAAAATCGGAAACAATATCGTAATTTTTTGAACAGTCGAAACGATAACCCTGTTGCGTTCTCTCTAGCATAATAGTTGATATATCAGTCCTTAGAACTCTATAAGGAGGTAGCAGATCATCGCTTTGAGATGACTCTTCAGATATTATTGATATTTTTTCCAAACTGTTTTCTATATTTGTAGACGAATAAGAACTCGTTTCAGAAAACTCAATATCTTCTTTATGATCTTCCCCAATTTCAGCCGACTGAACGTCTGAATAGGGAGTATCTAATGGATAAAGTTTTTCTTTGTATGATGAGATTAGCTCGTTTTTTGCACTAAATGATGTAGGAAGAACTTCGTTATGTAGGGAGAAAAGTTTTGGCGAAGAATCAACAACAGCGAGTATTTGAGGGGAACTAGACGAGGATGAATTATAGTAGTCAAACCCTGAACATGTTGTACTATCTTTCATGTTGATAAACTTCTCAAAAGTAAGTAATAAAGAGCTTTCTAATTCAGGTTCATCACTATTTGAGTCATCTTGAACACGGCAAGGAGATAGTTGCCGTACAGAAATTGAATTATTAGAGAGACAAGAGATCTGACCACACTTTTCATTAGAAAATCTTGTTTGAAAGTAAGAATTCTTGTTTTTTTCACCTGGATTCGGGTTCAGCTCCATTATCAGAGGATTAGCACCAGGAACCAGAAATCGGCGATCATAAACAGCAATATATCCATCATAAGAATTGGCAGCAAAATAATTTCCTGAGACTGCATCTATCGTAATATTATTGAAGCATGGAGTTTCAATTGAGGATTCAGCTTCTAATTGTTTGCGAGTATCCACAATATAAATCGAACGAGTACTTGAACCCGCGAATAGCAAAGAAGGATTCTTATCAAAACAAACGGAAACAATCCCTTCCATGGGAAACCCTTGAAGACCGGGTTGCTGGTTTGGATTATGTAGTAAACTTCGTACATCCCAAATTTTTAACGATAAATCATTTTTGGATTTTGCGTAGGAAGCCGCAAGGCTCCCGGAATCGGAAAATGATAAGCTTTTACAGGCTCTCGGATACTTTGGGGTGACTACGGCAGAGAATTCTGGATATTTTTCAGAGAGTAATGATAAATTACCAGTCGAGGAGCCAGCGCCCAATATCTCACTGCTTCCTGGAAATGAATCCAAACATTTAATCCCCTTTTGCGACTTCCAAAAAGAATGTGTTTTCCAACGTAGTTTAGGAGTCGTTTTCAGCGAAACGTATCGAATTTCATCGGCCTCTTCATTAACCCAAAAATAAAACCCATTTTTCTTTTTACTTCTTTGTAACATTATTGATAGGACTTTTCTGTCTCTAAAAGATCCACTTACAAGCTTTGACTTTCTTGATATTTCTTTGTCTCTTTATAGTGCCATTTGTGATGAAGGATGTAATGTGCTCACAACAAATGAATAATTAATTCCACTACTTGTGATCAAAACTTTTTATATTTATGTTGTTTGTTGCATAATTTAATTTTGTAAATATATAAATGGCCTCGTATACAAGTTGAATGTTGAAATTAGGGAAAAGGTCCAAGAGTTTTCTACGGAAGTTTGCATCAAACGCTAAGCTCCATCAACCGACTTCACTTTTAATTCAAATTAAGGATAAATACAAAAATATTAAAACAAAGTGGGACTGTAAAGCCTGTTTCTTCTCACAGTGTACATTATACGATATTGGGATTTTAGTGCGATATCATACTATACGTAATATCACACCAAAGTACTGAACGCCATCTTATTGCTTTCTTTTCAAAGGAATATCAAAAAAATGCTTCTAGTTTTGAAGGATTTGAAATCCGAAAGTTCAAGCGAAGTCGGGAAGGTCCCAATTGTGGTTGACAACTCTGATAGCACTCCACTGTAAACAAAGAAAAAGACAAGGTACGAGTACACGCCCAATTCGTACTTTACACTTCTAGAAACCTCTGAATAATACTACTCCTTTTTCGCTTCCTTCTTGGCAGTTCTTACATTCCAATGTCTCTTACTCTGTAAACATTACAAGTGACAACGTTACCCGGAGATGAAAATAGCAGTGAAAACTAGTTATTACAGGACTTCTTGATTTTCCAAAACGAGTCAAAAGGGAGTAGAGCTTATACAAGAAGCGAATAAGTATGGGAAAAATCAAGGGACCAGGGCTTGCTATTGTAAAGAAAAAAATTCGTGATAATGAACGTTTGCTGAAGAAGGTAAGAACCAAACTTTTCTTATACAATGATTGCTTGGGCCATTTCAAGAACCATTTATGAGGGTGTTGACTTTGTATATATAAATGTTGATGCTAATGATAATTTCGACAGGAAAATTTACCTGCGAATGTTCGAGTAGAGCATGAACGTGCCTTGGCTGCTTTGCAAGATCAGCTTCAGGGTGTTCAATTGGAACATAAAAAGATAAAGTATTACGAAAGATATAAGAAAATACGATTTTTCGGTACGTGAAAAGGTGATAATAGCTGCTATATTGACACTTATCCAAGAACGCAAAAAGGCTGAAAGACATATAAAACAATTGGAAAAGCGTTTACTAGATCCCTCCATCGATGTTTCTGAAAAAGAAAAGATGAAGGAACAATTACACAAATATAAAGTTGATCTTTTGTATATCAAGGTAAGACAGCCGTCAATACAAAGGAGTTTTATTGACTGATGCTAATCATGGAATTATTAGGCATATCCACCTCTCGTCAAATATGTTTCCTTATACGCTGAAGGAACTGCTGATTCTACTGAAGAGACAAGGAAGAAAATTTGGCGTGAAATGGAAGAGCGTCTCTTGTCTGGTAAAACGCAAAATCTTGGGCCTTCTGGTTCCAACAACATACCCGTACAAAAGAAACACGCAGCTCAGGAAGAGTTAGAAGATGAATTTTTTGAAAAATAGAAAATTTCTCTCTTATCGGAAGAAATTGGTGAAAGGTTTTGGTCATATTGCGATTATTTTAGGTTATCATTAGGGCTAGTCGGATTCATGCATGCAAATTTTAATACCGTTATACTTTTTTTTGTCTTTGATGATAAGTTAATGACATTCATTCTGTTTGCTGAGCAATGTAGCTTCCATCTACCTGAAGAAAATAGCATAACATACTTCTTCTTCGACAACAAGGTGAAACATTCTCTCAGAAACCTCCACCAAAACAAAAAAAATTTTAATTTAAAGCATTTTTAAACTTCTTGAATTTCTTTCATGTTCTCTTGTTCTTTTGGCACTTCCAATTCTCTTTAATATAGTCAATTCGTTTGCATTATATTTATTTTACTGTAGAATATTGGTCGCCTGCTATTACAATGAGCTGCAGTTGTCGCATAAAGCATATAAAGTACGGTAAGCTTACATGAGTGTTGCTAAAGAATATATCTTTTCAGAAAAAAGTAATACATGAAAAGGTTTTTTTACAATAACAAAAATAGATCTTTTAAATTCAATTTTCTGGTTACGACTTCTTGTCATCCTACCAATTTTCTTTCATCGCGAGCTAACGCAGTTGCGGACTTACCCTTTACACTTCACCCAATTTTGACGGCTTAATCCTGTGTCAAAATGGCTGAAGGCACTGGCCAGAGGCCGTTAACGCCTTTGTCACAAGCATTTTTATCAACTAATACCCTCTCCCCTGCTTCTTCTCCTTTGGGCTTTCATTCCGATCTGTCCTCGCTTCGCAAAAAGAGAGGAAATTTGTTTCCTAAATTGGATGAGTTAAATGGTAACCCAGAGGAAGAACAACGAGGAGTGAACATGGCTACGAATCCTAACTATTTTGATTTACGTTGGGGTCAAGATCGCTCAGGATTTCCCGGATCCACTGTAAGCACCCCAGGAATTGGTGGACCAGTGCCATATTCTCATATGGGTGCCGAAGACTTTATACCGGAGGGTGCTTCCACTGCTTTACCCAGCTCTTTACAACAAATGCTGGATCCTGAGACAAGTGGAAATTCTAATAATTCCTTGAAAACACGTCGTACCAGACTTCAAGCAGCTTGGAAGGAAGCAAGCAATTCTGCAGGCCTCACACTACATTCAGCAACTCCCTACGATGTGTTGAACAATGGGGGCCCTGCTACTACTTCTGTTCTGTCCTCCACTACCCACCCATTGGAGGGAATGCTTTCTTATGATGATAATGCTAATTCTCTTGCCTCTTCTGCTGCGAATGCTTCGGGTACGAATATTTCCAAAAATATGGGCAACTCCCAAATCTTACCTCCCGCCCAAGAAACCGAAGAAGAAACTATCCCCACTGCTATCGTTATTAAAAATATCCCTTTTTCTCTCAAAAAGGAGGTTTTGTTTAGGGTATTTACAGCATTGGATATTCCTCGTCCATACGCTTTTAACTATCATTTTGATAATGGAGTCTTTCGCGGACTTGCTTTTGCAAATTTCCACACTCCAGAGGAAGCAAAGACTGTAGTTCAGGTTCTAAATGGTTATGAAATTACTGGACGACGTCTTCGTGTTGAATGGAAACGTCAACTTCCTCCTGCCGAGCGCGAGCGCGTCGAACGTGGTAAGCAAGAAAAACGAGCTGTAGAAGAACGTAAGCAACAGTTGAAGCTCCCATTTTCTGTAGTCAATCTAGGCGTTGGTGTCGATTTTGATTTGAACGATCCCGCCGTCTTGAATGTTTACTCACACATTCTTCTATTTTATCATCGCACGGATAATCCCGGTGACCTTGTGTTTGACTCCACCACGAGCCACGAGGAGCGTCGTGTAGCCGCTCTATTGGCTTCTCGCATGAATCTGAACTATTCCGTAACTGGTGATGCTGATTCAAAGCAAGTTGTAATTACCTCTGGTAATCATCAAGTCTCTGGAATCCATTCATCCAGTGCCAATCAATCTCCGGCAATGTCCAATGCTCATATCCCTAATGATTTACAATCATCGTCCTCGGGAATGAATGATATGTCTAATATGGGGTCTTCAGCAACACTACAAAACCCACTCGCGTCTTCTGGCATTTTTGAAAATAATCCTTTTTCTGGATCTACGCTGTCTTCCAATTTTTCCAGTCTAAGAAGACCAGCCCCTTCATTGCACCTTGCGGATAGCATACGGTCATTGCGTGGAATATCTTCAGATGCCAAGTCATTTTCTGACATTCGCAGTATGCCTGCTACACCTTTGGAGCTCTCTTCTCAATTTTCAAGCATGAATGTATCTTCCCCGTTGGAACGAGGTTTAGGAACTTCTTCTGGTGCGTTAAACGGAAATTCTGATTATTTTAGCAACCCTCAGCCATCTTCAGCCGGTGTAGTTGGATCAAAGCCTCAACCAAAAAATGAACATTAAAGCTTTTCCATCAGTCATCTATGAGTGAATTCACGATGTGTGATAAAATTATTGCATCTCAATTTAATGTCTTTTTAAGAGATTAAGTATAGCAAACTCGATGTCTAATGACTTGATTTTACGATATGAGTCACAAAATAAAAAAAAAATTCATGCCTTTTTACTTATGAATTATATGGGAAATTTATGTATTTAAAAGCGAACTTTGGATTTGCTTTGTCTGTACTCGTGAATGATACTGACGGAAAGATAATTCTTTCATTGATTTTTGACGAATTTTTTGAATGTCCGGATTGGATATAATAACGGCTTGTTTGCTCTAATTCCCGTTTCTTTGCTTGTACAATTTGCAGAAATGTGAAAGCTGAAAATTAGTGATTTCTTGGTTCTAATTGCTTTTTTGTTATGCTACGTTTTACTGTTTTTCGCGCGCAAGGCGTTGTCTTGCTTATACATATGCTTCGAGATCATTATCGACGAAGGAAAATTGTTTATGTAGGTCTTGTTAGGATTATTTTCCATTTAATGAAGCATAGAATATATAGTATAAAAAAATGGTGTCTAATTGACCGAAGTACATAGTCTTCTACTATGGACTGATATGTTGAAGAAAATTTAGGTATATTTCTGGGGTACATAGGTTCGTGAGATGATGCTTTTTTGTTTGAAAAAAAATATTGAGGCTTTTGTTTTGCCATAAATGGTTGTCAATTTTTTATTTTTAGATATTCCGCAAGAAAAACTACAATATGAACGATATTTTCTGGACGAAATGGATAATGTTGAAGAAGTATGTAGAAGGTTTCCTATTGCTCTTGTCAGAGACTAAAGTGTTTGTATTGAGAGAAACAGGTACTACATCTTGTTGAATGAAGGAAAAGGAAAGTCACTAACACTGCTGAATCATTCGTGTCTTCTATAATGTCCCCTTCCATGGTGTTGGTTTCATTGGTTTCGTCCAAGTTCACCATCAGTGACTGACCGTTCCTAATTATGCAAATAGCGTTGGTAGAGGAAGGAATCCTGTTGTAATGGCATTCGGATTCTTCCTTTACTTAGCTAAAGGGAGAGACGCCAGAAATAATGTTGCAAGGTACCAGGAATCATTAATTCCCAAGCGTAAAGTGTCTGAAAATCTCTACCTACATATTTACACCAGAAAGACAAAAACAAATAATTTTCTTTACTCACTTAAACAAACGCAATAAGAATCTATTAGTAAACAAATTCAAATTGTTTCTGCCCTGTATTATTTATTATTGTAGCAGTTATTTTTCATCGGAATATTCACATACGGATTTTTACCACGCTATGCTAAATGGATGGGAAATTCTTTCCGGAATTCAGCGTTAATTGATTGGTTCAATGTTGCACCTACGGATCTCCACCTTGATCAGCAGTACTTTCTAGAATATACAGCAGTCATGCTATATAAAGACCGATCAAGTACAACTTGCTGTAAACACATACCCAGGAATATTGCTTTGCAGCAACAATAAATTTTTTTAAGTGTCAGTCTGTAAGGGACTTTGACAGTACATAATATACTTCAGTTTGGAATCGACTGCTTTTAAAGCAAGTTTCCTGTTAAATTCGTTTGTTTAATTATACCGAAAATTTGCATTTTTAGCATTTTTGCCCTCTCCGTTTTTATTAATATCTTTTGATTTCAATTCCCTGTTCTCTTCTAGTTTTGTTTAGCCATGGTTAATTTCCTTGCTTCTAATTTGATGCGCCTTCCTTTGCGCGTCGCTGGACGCCGTGTTCCTGGTCGCTTTGCCGTTTCTCAAACCCGCTCTTATGCTAAGGATTTGAAATTTGGTGTTGATGCTCGTGCTTCTCTCCTTTCTGGTGTTGACACCTTGGCTAGCGCTGTTTCCGTTACTTTGGGACCTAAAGGCCGTAATGTCTTAATTGATCAAGCCTTTGGTTCTCCTAAGATCACTAAAGACGGTGTTACTGTCGCTAGAAGTGTTAGTTTGAAGGATAAGTTTGAAAACCTTGGTGCCCGTTTGGTTCAAGATGTTGCTAGCAAGACCAATGAAGTTGCCGGTGACGGTACCACTACTGCCACTGTTTTGGCTCGTGCTATTTTTTCTGAAACTGTCCGTAACGTTGCTGCTGGCTGCAACCCTATGGATCTCCGTCGTGGTATCCAACTCGCCGTTGAGAACGTGGTTGAGTTCCTTCAAGCCAACAAGCGTGACATCACCACTGCTGAGGAAATTTCTCAAGTTGCTACCATTTCCGCTAACGGTGACAAGCACATTGGTGAATTGCTCTCCAAGGCTATGGAACGTGTCGGCAAGGAGGGTGTCATTACAGTCAAGGAAGGCCGTACCATTTCCGACGAGCTTGAAGTCACTGAAGGTATGAAGTTTGATCGCGGCTACATTTCTCCTTACTTTATGACTGATGTTAAGTCTCAAAAGGTTGAATTTGAGAACCCCTTGCTTCTTTTGTCTGAGAAGAAGATCTCTGCCGTTCAAGACGTTTTACCCGCACTTGAACTTGCTGCTCAACAACGTCGCCCTCTTGTTATCATTGCTGAGGATGTCGATGGTGAAGCCCTCGCTGCTTGCATCTTGAACAAGCTTCGTGGTCAACTTCAAGTTGTCGCTGTTAAGGCCCCTGGCTTTGGTGACAACCGTCGTAACATGCTCGGTGATTTGGCTGTTTTAACCGATAGCGCTGTTTTCAATGATGAAATTGATGTTTCCATTGAGAAGAGTCAACCTCATCACTTTGGTAGCTGCGGCTCCATCACCGTCACTAAGGAAGATACCATCATTATGAAGGGGGCTGGTGATCACATCAACGTTAACGAGCGTTGCGAACAAATTCGTAGCGTCTTGGCTGATCCTAGCCTCAGCGAGTACGAGAAGGAAAAGCTCCAAGAACGTTTGGCTAAATTGAGCGGAGGTATTGCTGTCATCAAGGTTGGTGGTTCTTCTGAAGTTGAAGTCAGCGAAAAGAAGGATCGTATTGTCGATGCTTTGAACGCTGTTAAGGCTGCTGTTTCCGAGGGTGTTCTCCCCGGTGCTGGTACTTCTTTCGTCAAGGCCAGTCTTCGTTTAAGTGAGATCCCCACTGCCAACTTTGATCAAAAATTGGGTGTGGAAATTGTCCGTAAGGCTATTACCAGACCTGCTCAAACCATCCTTGAAAATGCCGGATTGGAGGGCAATTTAATTGTCGGAAAACTCAAAGAATCCTACGGTAAGGATTTCAACATTGGTTATGACATTGCTAAGGATCGCTATATTGATTTGAATGAAATCGGTGTTCTTGATCCTTTGAAGGTTGTCCGCACTGGTTTGGTTGATGCTAGCGGTGTGGCTTCCTTGATGGGTACTACTGAGTGTGCCGTCGTTGATGCCCCTGAGGAATCCAAGCCCGCTATGGGTGGTGGCCCTGGTGCCATGGGTGGTATGCCAGGAATGATGTAAAGCTCTTAGTGAAGGAATTCATGTTTGCATCTTCGCCTTAATATATTTCTTCGTTCCAAAAAAAAAATTGATTTAACTAATCTCGTCCGCATATAATAATTAATTTTGGACAATCTGATGATAAAGTTTACTAAACGACTCAACGATTTATGTTTTGAGAAAAGTCTCATTGAATAATGAAGCCGAGTACGTATGTTACTTTTTGGGAGTTTTGTTTCTAATCTTGAGGAGTGATATAAGCTTTTTGTTTTGTGAGGAATGTTATTTTGTTATTCAACTCGAAGTAATCAAAGCGTTTCTCATCGATTCACAAAAGATTTATAGGCTCTTACTCTGTAATATATGATTCTTTCTTTGATAAATGTATTCTATAATGAATCAGTTCGACTTTTTAAGCAGACGTGGTTAATACTTGCGAGAACTTGTTATTTGGAAACGAAGGAGAATGCCAAGTCTTATTATTTTTTGGACAATCCTAGAAATATGCTGACCATTCTAATACGTTATACACCGTACCTGAAAGTGATGAAAAATAAACGGATGATTACATATCCGAGAGCGCAAAAACCCATGTGGATATTGCCGTTGCCTTCCTTCTGATTCAGGTATTATGTATATACGTATATAGAATGTTTAGACTTAGGACTAGGATGAACAAGCCATTTATAGCAAGACTTGCTGTTCTTACTATTCGTTTTCTGACTCAATGTTTGAGTTTTCCCAAGTGCATCTAGTAGGATTTCTCGGTGCTGTGAGTATCTATTGTAATGAGTAATCTTGTAAGTGATTGTAGGAAGACACTGTACCACTTGTTCAATGTCTTTAACTAAGGAGATTGAATATTTTGTGGATATACATAGCAAGCCTATTATTATGATGCTTGTTGTCTTGTAATTTTGTCTTACATGCTTACTATATGTGTATAATGTGGGTGATAAAGAATAGTCGCGTTTCTTCATGGTGTTGTTTATTTCAAACTAAGTTGGATGTTTTGGCGTCCTTTCGTCGAGGGAGGAAATGTAAGTGGATAGTACAGGGTTGTGAAAGACATTGAGACCGATGGATAGTATGAGTTCCATTTTATATCTTGTGTGGATTCTTTTTTTTTAAAAAAAAGTTGAATGTTACATTTCAAATACTTTGGACACTACTACATAATAACTACGGGGTTTTTGAGTAGTAACTTTTGGGAATAAAAATGTTTTATATGAAAAATATTCCTAAACTCGTTTTGCGCTCGTAAATCCAGTTTAACCTGATTTAAACATTGTACATGATCAGAAGCTTTACAAAGCTTCTAAAAACAGTCATTTAATACAGGAATTCTTAATCTTCATTCAAGATATAATTGTTAAAAAATAAAAATGATACATCTTCGATATATAGAAGGGCTTCCCTTCGGCAAACTTGTTCAAGTAGATTTTTATCAGACCCACAAACTAAGCCAGGCTCATTTAAGATCGTATGTTCAAAATTTATATGAATTAAGAAAATTAATAAGTACAAAGAAGCCAACTGCTTTTCTGTTATACGTTGTTATACTCGTAATATACACCTTTAGACCATTGAGCTCGGTGGTAAGTACTAGAGCACAATTCGAAAGACATAATTACCATAAGTTTTTTTCTTTTAGCCGAGGAAAAAAAAAGATAATCATCCCTTCGTGAACTGATAATACTTTCTTTTCGTTACACTTAACCTATGATTATCTTGGTTCCTCCTTTACGTCTGAGGCGGCTGGCTCCTCGTCCATCCTAGAGTCTTCTGGCACATCCTGTGTACTTTCCAAAGTCTTTGACTCGTTGCTAGAAATCCAATTTGGCTGAGTAAGGCAAAACTTCTCAGGAGGTAACCTCAGTCCATAAGATGGCTGAATCTGGGGCAACGGCTTTCTATTCCGTTCGGTAGCTAGTTCTAACAAAAATTCTTTGGGAGGGGGGCCCGTGAAGGAATGATTGACTTGCGAAGCAACCGCTAGACGAACGTCTTCGACGGAAATGGGAACACCGCTTCCACGAGAATGCTCCGCATAAACCTGAGAGTCTTGGACCAATTGTTGAGTATAGCGATGGGCAAATGTTAGTAATTGTAAGGGAACAGTTTGTGAATAGGCTGGAACTCCCAAGGAACTCATAATTAAATGAATGAGTCGCGCATCCTTAGGACCTTTTACAGGTTCATCTGTCACGGGCGGAGAGCTCATAGCTGTATCTCAAATGACTTGAAGCTCAGAACAAAGCCTTTCCTAGACCAGCCGTATTTCTGAGACTAAGTGTTTTGTTTTCGTGAATAACTGCCGTTAGTTAGGGGGAAATTGCGTATTTCAATGAACTCTATAAAACTGATAAAGCGAGTGTTAACGAGACAAAGACTCGCTTTTTTTGATGCTATATTGGTTTGTGGAAAAGAAACAAAGAATAGTAAGAACGTAGTGATACAAGCTGCTAACTGTTTACAAATCAACTATAACTATCTCTATTCAACCATCATAGAACTTAAGTTGTTGGAACTGAGGATAGAGTGATGAGAAATAACATATTTGAATACATTATGTAACAAGACACTACAGGTAAAACAGCAAAAAAGTAGTTAGGTTTCAAGGAGTAAGTTGAATGAAAGACCAAATGTACAAAATTTTATTTTTCTCCATCCATCAGGGAGTAGAATAGAAATCCGTAGAGCGGTTCAATGCAACGTTGAATAAAAACGGGAAAAGTGATATGTAAATACCGAAGTATGAAAGGGAAATAGGGAGAAAATATGGGATTAAATAATCCAAACCTAATTAACTAATCGCAGAAACCAAAAAAAAAATCCAAAAGACAATAACCTCGGCTCATGTATGATCATGATCGTCTAAGGTCAAAGTGAATACAATAAATCACGTCGTAAAGAAGGTATAAACAACTTTCAAAACAAGAGGGAAAGAAGAAGGGAAAAGGAAAAAAAACAAGGATATTTTAGAGACAACAGTAATACGATGAAAAAACCAGACGAAGTCTGTCTTGCTGGGTCCGGACAATGGGGTCGATTACTGAAGGCGACGATTTACGTTTAGGTAACCTTTTCCAAGACAAGACATTTCGATGTGTCCAGTTTCAAATTCTTTAAAGCGGTATTCTCTACCAAAGAACGCCTTCACATCACGAAGAAATGTCACTAATTGTGAAGTGATGTTTAATTGTCCAATGACAATGGAATTTACATCTTCGGAAGACAGAAGCATACCAGTAAGAATGGATGGTTGAGTGTAACGATCAAGGCAACCCCCTGACTCAATCGATTCTAACAACTTTTGAGCACATAAAGTACCAACATCTTCAGGTGTTTGACCAGCTTCGCCGCATTGCTGAGCAGCATATGAGCAGCCTTTGTTTGTTTCTGCCACGAGGGTTATTGCAAATCCTGGACTATTACCGCATTCGTCTCCACGGCGTACATCTGTGTAAATGAAAATATCTGGCAAGAAAGGATTCAAAGTGCCACGAGCACTTTCTACCAATCGGTTAGCAAGTACGGGAGCAACACGCGTGGAGGAGGCAATGCCACGAATTCGAAACACGCGTCCTGGTTCAGAAACTCGAATTGGAGGTAATGATACTTTTGTGATAGGGCACAAAAAGTTAACTTCACCACCACCATTTGGAGAAGCACCACGCTTTAAAATTCGCAATTCCATCTCGTCTCCAACTTGGAAACGCTTTTGTAAGAAGGGAAGCACACTTGTACGAAGCACATCAACGCCTGGATCTTCATTGTTTGATGTAACGCCCGTTAGAGTTAACGACGTTGGTGTTTTCGCGAAAAGACATAACAATAGGAGTGGTTCCAAGAAATAACCAATCGCTCTTGATTCAGGACAAGCATGTTCTACACGCCCACCAACTATGTTGCCAGGACGGTATATGAAGGAAGTACCTGTGTAAGAGATTTCGATAACAGATCCATTTGTCACCTTTTCGAGAAGCCTGAGAAATGAAATCTGGTAGTCCTTTAAACCTGGATCTGCTTCATTTGGATATATTCCTTCTACTCGTATCGGTGTTCCTGAAAGAGTTGCAAGGGCCAGTCGATGAGTCAAATATTCACATCCCTTGAATCTTTTTAATTGTGTTCCAGACATCTCAGCTTTATATGTTTATGTAACGTGCAAAGTCTCGAAATAAATAGAAAAGCAATTTTCGAGACTTTGAATTGTCAATTCCTTCGTTCGAAATTTTGTTCTTGCCAAGTATCAACTGTTGTCTCCATAGCCCAGAGAACTTTGTGACCTAGGACGTTGTCATGGCGACGCAAAATGTAAACAAACTGGGTATTTCAATAATAAAACAAAAGGTTCCGATCTTGCAAAATGCAAATGTAAATTAACGTTTCATACGTCTCAAATCTATTTAAATACAAAAACTTTGTTTGAATGCATTGGGCTGACAGGTGGATTTGCTTGTTTGCAACCACAAGCCATTCCTTGGAACTTCAAGAACCTAGTTTGCAGTCCTCTTTTTTATTTAAAGGAAAAACATTTACTTCATATATATCTATATATACTTACTATTTTACTCCGGCTTTTCTTCTAATTGCTAAAGTCCTTTTTTTTTTAACTTTGTTTGTTTACTTGCCCCCACACAAATTACTCATGAACAATGTGGAGGAAAGCTAGAGGATCAGTAAGTGTTTATTTGGAAACCCATGAAATAGAGAATATTGAAAGTAATTTTTCTTTTGTAGCGTGTAATTGCAATTCCTCAAACATTGAAATAACAAAACATCTTTTGATTTTCTTTCATTCTTACGCTCATACAGACTCTAAAGTCTCTGAAGAACTGCATCTTGCAAAGCTCCATTGAATAGTAGCTATATGCTTCTTTATTAGCATCAAGGTCATGTAAATCATGGAGCGAGAAAAAATTTTATTGAAAGATTACCTTTTCTCATATTACGCTAAAAAGAATAAAAAAAAAAGAAAAAATCCATTCCAGCTTATAGACGTAAACAAAGGCATACACATATTTACATGCGGAACATCATCTTATGCTACAGGTGCGGCGTTAGAACGAGAGTTGGAATCGTTTGCGTATTGTGGATATTGGTTTCGTCGGAAACGGTTAAATGAACCTCCACGGCCGCGACCACCACCACGGTAAAAGCCACGACCACGGCCACGTTGGTTATTGCCATAGGGAGGACGGTTATTGAAAGAGCGCTTTTGGTATCCACGGTTAAATGGTTCTTGGGGATTCTCGTTAGCAGGTTGGTACCAGTCAGGTGACATGGAGTCCATGGCTTGCTGCATTTGTTGTTGCTCAAAAGCTTGGAAATTAGTAGGATAAATAGTAGAGGGATCAGCAACACCATTACTGGTTTCAACATTTTCAACAGGCACATGGACTTCTCCATCAGCAGGGACAGAAGTTTCATTAGACGTTGCAGGTTCTTGGAAATGTTGTCCTTCAATTTCACTTTCATTCAAAAATTGAATTCCACGGTTCAAAGGTCGGGTGGTTTGATGGGCGTGTTCGTCCAACGAAGCTGAGGTTTCTTCACCTTCATTGTTGACAACATTGTTAGACTTGGAGGTAGCCTGCTCTTCAGTTTCATCATTTTCATCGTGTTTTTGAACAGCAGGAGTGTTAAAAAATTCGTCGCTTTTTTCAGAAATTAGCTTGTAAGAGACTTCGGTTTCATCGATATGCTCCTCTGATGACGAGTTCAGACTAGCAACAGCTTTCACCGACTTTTCTGAACCTTCATAAACGTTAATAAGTAACTTTTCAACAGCCGTATTAAATGCTTGATCCTCGGAAGGATTAACGCAATTATAGCTGGCGAAACGAAGGAATCGGACAAGAACAGATACTTGCTTTTCGGCACTCTTGTAGCCTTCTTGGTACTTGGCCTCTAGTTGTTTTTGCTCTTTTTCTCTTTGCACAGAGGCTTCGTAACGCTTCTTCTTCTCATCACGAGAACGAGAAGAGTTTATCTGACCCAAAAGTTCTTCTAGCTCATGCAAAGTTGTCAATACAGCGTCCTTACTACGGATAGCATTTTTTTGGTCGCTGTTCAAAGATTCCGGATCTTTGGAAGCCTGCTCCTCAAGTTTTATTATTTTTTGCTATAACTCATGTTAGAAAACCCCACCATTTTAAATAACCTTTTTCTATACCTTCTTCTTGGAGAAGTTTCGAATTCTCTTGCTCAGGTGTTCTACAATTACGCCTCCGATTTCTCCTTCTGGTGAGCTAGATAGTTCATTTTCAGTCTTTGAAACTGTTTTTTGGTTTGCCATTTCGTTTTGAATGCGTGTTTTGACGTTCGTACTATTTGGTTCTTGACACCTTTTGATTGATCATTCACACTACAGTAAAGCGTTCCTCACGCTGAAACAACGCCGACAACGCCGTATAGCGCTGGAAATTGGCATTTTTCTTGTTACCGTTTTTCCCTTTAAAAATATTAAAAGTTTTTAATTCAATTTCATTACTAGTTTTTGTTCATTTGGCAAAATTTAAGAACAAGACAGCTAGTCCAAACCAGGTCGCGTTTAGGAAATTATTATTTTTTTTTGTTATCCTATTGGAAAATTAATATTTGTTTTTAAAGAAAATTCAACATGAAATTCTTCTCTCCTACAACGATCAGTACTTCGAATCTTATGACCCGGTTTCTGCCTTTCTGCCATTCAACTTTGCGGTTCAGTACATCCAGTTTTAACCCATCATATGTTGGTAAACAATCAATTGTACTCCCTAAGGATGTGCAAATCCAGCTAAGAAAGCAAGTACTAGAGGTTTCCGGACCCAATGGTCAATTGCAGCAAAACTTTCCCAAATATCTCCGTTTAAAGCAAGAAAATGACTCTATTAGAATTGAAATTGCTTCCAAATCTAAGGATGAGTTATCAAAAAAGCAGTTGGCTATGTGGGGAACAACCCGTGCTTTGCTTGGAAACAATGTGAAAGGTGTAACTGAGCCCTGGCAATCTCTAGTAAAGCTTGTCGGTGTTGGTTATCGAGCTTCTATTGAAGGAAATAATATACTCTTGAAGGTAGGATATGCAAATGCTGTCTCAGTTCAAATACCACCAGAAGTTCAAGTCGAAAATCCTTCTCCCACTAGTTTGGTATTAAGCGGCATCGATAAACAAAAAGTAACGCAACTTGCCGCTAAAATTCGATCTTTCAAGAAACCCGAACCATACAAAGGAAAGGGTATTTATGTTGATGGTGAGAGTATCCAACTCAAGAATAAACGAAACATTTCATAAGCATGAGCTGCAGAGTTATTTTTACGGGAAATCTTTTATCTACTTTACATCACCAAAAAAAATTTAGATTAAAATCGTCGTCTTGAAAGTGCCCGTGCTTTATTTTACGTTTCGTAATTTCCGTCACCTTCATTTTACTTATGTCTCAAGCTTTTTCCCCTTTCAATATTCATTTTTACTTTTTTATTTACATTATAGCATACAATTGAATATCGAAGTGTTAATATTTTTATCAAGTAAACTTCATTCTTATATTATTTTACAACCATTATTAGCATTGACAATCTAGCTCTGTCTCAATGTTGAACAGACTCAGAAGATACGCCATTATTGCGAGAATTCCAACGTTTCATCAAGAGTTCCTGCAATCCTTTGCCTTGAGGTCGAGGGTGTTCTTTCTCAAATAAATAATACCCGTAAATACCTATCGCCATCCCAAACAAAGGGTCCATCAGTCTAAATAAAACCATTTTTGTTAGCATTCTGTTTCTTCCGTTTGTCTTCCTTCATACTTCGAAATCAGATAAGTTTGCGACATTTTCGTAGTATAACTCCCACCTCTTTTTTTTCGGTCAAATTCTATTAATAATTATTTTCAATTTCTTTAATGTGATAATTTAGACGTCTGTTATAGTTGTATTTTAACAACTTGTCAATTGAAGCTTTATATAGGTTGAGAATGCGGTTGAGGTATTCAACTGCTTCGTCAGTTCCCCATAATAATTGAAACCTCAAAATATAGAAATAGAAAGATTTAAGCAAGTAGTTAAAAAAAATTCAATAAAACGGTTCGAAGGTAAAAAAGTCGATGTTAAATTCAAGTAACCAACTTCAGCCAAAATAAGTTATTTTACTATAAACAAAGTCTAACGAGAATCACACTTGAATGAGAGTAACCATTTTCATATTTCGGTAGTACAGACTCTTTACTCGTTTTTCATACCTTTCGTTACCACTACTCCTTTAACTTGACTTCAAGGAACCTTCCCTCCCACAGCCAAAGCTCACTTATCCTGAACTTTTGACATACATATAATACATGTAGTGATATTAAGAAAAATAACTTTTGGCAATCACTTATTCTGTCATGTCCGGATATAAAAAAGATACTAATTTTGGTCAACACAAAGTATCTGAGTTTGGGATTTCAAAAAATCCAAACGACGAATCTTCAAACAAGTTTTCAAGGACTATGTCAGCTACACTCCGTTCAAATCCTACGGAAAGCGATTTATTGCTTAATATGTTAAGACCAGATGTCGCAGAGAACAAAAAGCAACATGACGGTTTGCCAGATTGTAATCCTAGTCCCATTGCAAATGGCGCTAAAAAATCAGAAGGCAGTCCACATGCTACCCCCAGACAGCCATTTTTCAACAGCTTTAACCCCTTTGACTTCTTAGAAGCAACTAGTCCTTTATTGCAGCGTCCATCGTCTAGTTTAAATCCGGAAACAACTAAAAAGAGGGATGTTTCAACTCCCGTGAAAATTAATAAACAGCAAGATGCTTACCCGTTGACAATTGGGAAAGGTGACGTCTTTCAGAAGGAACAGAAATTTAAGTCGAAATCCCCATCTCCTCTTCGTCCTTTTACTAGTCCTACAAAAGAAGAAGGTAGCGGTTTGGAAGAAAGTCAATTATCTCAACTTTTAGATGATGATAATGGCGTTCCTCATGAGGTATACAGTATCGATCCACCTTTGGGTCGTTCGTTCACTATTCCACCATCTTGCATATCGTCTCCATTATTGGTTGAGTCTTTTCAAAGATTAGCAAAGCTGAATCTTCCGTACAATTACTTCTATGAGCCTTTAGCTTTAGCTGATAAAAAAAATCAATACGCGGCTTACGTCAATCAAAATCTCAATCAAGTTTGCGTGTCAAATGTCGATACCATGCAACGTTGTATTTTGGACTGCGAAAACCAAGTCGTTTACCTGGGATTTGGGGAAGATTCATTCGCTAACGTATACTTGCTTGCTACGAATTGCGAAGGTAAAGCTTCTGTATGGAAGATAAGTGATGGAGCCAATAATCTCAGTACTTCCTTGGTTTTAAGCATCAAGCATTCCTTATTACGGGATTGCACATGGGTATCTGGAGACTCTAATCTTGTTGGTGTTTTGGTGAAAAACAAGTATTATGTAATACAAGTTTCACTAAACCAGAAGAGCGTGAAAATTGGTCCGAGTGAGCTTTTTGAGAATTCTCTTTTAATGGTGGAAGCTCCTTCTACTATCAACTCTTGTTCGCTGTCAAAGGATAAAACAGTGTTAGCTTTATTGGTGGACTCTAAAGTATACCTATACCAAGTGACCTTGTCAGCTAATACAAATACCGAAAAACAACATCTTTCTACGCCTTTTGCTTTTATAGATTTACATCTACCTTCGCCTGCTAATTCAGTCTTCTGTTTGTCTACAAGCAAGAAGGACGGAACATTTTTGGATAGGATTTTGTGTGTAACTTATAACCAAAGTTCTACTTTATTCCTGTTTGATTTTGGCTGTCGTCAGGTCACACAAGAAATAAATTTAAAGAATAAAAATCGAAAGTTTTCTCCACACTTATTGGGAGTTACCAATAAGCAGGACTTGATATCGTCCATTTCAGCCGACTATTTGGACATTTTCTCTTATTGTGCTTCTTCGTTTTCTCCTGACCTAAATAACGCAAGTACGTTTTCTTTTATAATGTCAGTTGTAAACAGGGAAATTTTTGGTGAGTCAGGTTATATCGGTACTGTAATGTCTAAAACAATATTGGATGATGGAATTTTGTTCTCGAATATGATCTCAGAAAATGATAGCGAACTTAATTTACTGTTGGCATTAACTAGTGGATATTATTTATTGAATATGGATGCGGATTGCTTTAGTAGAGAAGGGAAATCGTTGGATTACCCGACACCTGAGCAATCTATTATAGCATCTGCCCACTTAGAAAAAGTTGACAAAGGCATGAACGTTGCACCCGCTATAAGAGAATTCAAGCTTCCATCAAATATAAAAGAAACAGAAAGTAATGTATTTGAATATGCTTCAAGTGTCCTGGGTCCCTCTTCGTCGGAGCACTTGGAAACTATCGTCGAGACAGTCCTCCCTCAAGAGGATGAAGTGTCTAGTTTCGTCAATATGCTGTTAAAGAAAAGGGTTAATGAAATACTTAAACAGGAATTACCAAATCAAATTGATTCGATAATTAAGCCGCTGATTGGTTTACATCTTAATGCAACTCTCGACACTAAAATAAAAGAGACCGCTGAGGAATGTTCCAAGGAGCCATTAGAATTTTATGACTCTAGTGCTATACATGAAGAGGGGGATTCGTTGAAAAAATTATTAGAAAAGATCAGGGTACATAACCAAGAAAAGGCCACGGCAATGTCAGATCTCGCTAAGCGTGTAAGTGCTACCACGACGCTCTTGGAGAAGAAGATAAATGGTGATGATGGTTCTTACTCTATGGTCTCTAACAATCTTTCGCATCATCTTGATAATCTTTCAAAAATGATTGAGGCTACGAAAAATGAAGAGGCTTTGATCTATTTCACAGAATATCCAAACGTCCATATGTTTCGAATGCTAAAAAAAATACCTGACTATGCCTTAGATGAATGCTCATTTATTCACTTACTAACGTTCATCTACACGTTATCAACCTTTATTTTTACTGACGATGATCTCAAAAAACTATGCATACAATTGATGTCAAGGGCAATTTCTCGTTTGCGTGCTATGAAAGCACCAAGTCTAATTGAAAAAGACAATTTTTCGCCTGAAGTTTTCCCTGCTGTTGTCGATATTACACTAAAGAATGTCGAAACAATTTTAGTCAATCAGGTGGTACCTAGTTATGAGGCCAAGTACGAGTTCTTGAAAACATCTCTTAAATCTTTAAACAAAGAATTGAGAACTTCTTATGGTCTCTAAGTCAAAGTGTCATTACCTTACTGGAGCTCTTGAGCATTGGTATACCTTTTGCTATTTGTCTTATTTTCTATGTTTATTGTCAAAATCAAGAATTTAATAAAAGCACATACTAAAAGACTTGAAGAAAATCGCTCTTAAGGATACTGAATCGGAAGGAAGTACTTTATATTTGGATCCAACGTTGACTATGTTCTACATTCAGATGTGAATTACATATATACCAGTTTTCTTTTGTTTATCCTTTTTATACAAAAACAATTAGATTATTAGGAATTTATCAAAATTTGTTTAGCATCTTAAGAAAAGGGAAATGAACTTTTGGCAAAAGAACAGATAATTTACGAACGAAAGTTTGCTGTAACTGACATTGAGAATGAATGGTACTCCGCTGGAAATTCCTGGCTTTTACTATGATTCAACTCGCAATAGATACTTTCGAATCGCTTCACAAGGAATATCTACTCCATCTGCAACTGAATATACAAGGGAACATTTAAATCAAGATAATAATCGAAAAAGAAGTAACTCTAAGGCCGAAGAGCAGATTACAACCAAAAAGCATCATCGTAACTTATTGCCTAGTTTAAATAAGTACTTATTCGGCCGTCAATTAGCAGGCACCTATGGGAATTTCTTGAATGCAGGTCTTTTAGGTCAACGAGGTCGAAAAATAACTTTTTCCCCTTCTTTACAGGGGATCAGTCTACAGAAAGTTCATTGGGTTCCGGGATTAAACAAATATATATTTTCGTCCAGCAGGGGCGACTTGTTTGTTTCATCTCTCAACTCAGATAATGATTTATATTTGCATGATGCAGAATTCTCAACGAATAATGGAATGGTGACACAAAGTATTAATGTCGCTCGTCTTGGCTTGTCGCCCTCTTCTATAACATCTCTTTCTTCAAATTTTGGAACACGCCTATTTTGGACTACCCTTAGCTCACAGTCGACTGAAAGTAAAGCTCATATGTGTAGTTATAATATCTCCCAAGAGTCCCCAGAGAATTATACTCAATCATCGCTACGATCAATGAAAACTCCCCACTGCTCTGAGTTTATCAATGGAATTGGATTTGCAGTGGGTGGCTCAAATAAAGTCACCTTGTTAAATGAGGAAGGTGTTTTCTTGAGAAACCTACATTCCAAGGGTGACGTGTTTACTTTAACTGCAGTTGATCAAAATATCTTGGCTGCCGGATGCAGAAATAAATCTGTTTTATTGTATGATTTAAGAGCCCCTAGCAAAAACATATGTCGATTTGCTCACGATGCGAGTGTATGTTCAACAGCCCTTGTCGATTCGGCTGAACCGAAACTTTTAGTAAGTGGATTAGTCTCTACGATTTCTTTGTACGATTTACGCTTTGTAAGGCATACCTCAAAGGTAAACCATTTAATGTCTTATGCTGGACATTCCAACTTGATAGAACGTAACTTAGCATTTATGTGTAATGAAAAAGGTACTCTTTTTGGAGCAGCAGGTGATGATTCACATGTTCGATTCTGGAATATAGATTCTTCTGAGATATTGGCAGACTTTCAACCAGATACCACTGCAACGAATACGTTACAACCGGATGGAACTTGGATAAAATCAAAAGACACAGAAGGCTGGCTACTACTTGTTAATGATCGTGTACACTTTTATGAATCATGAACACCAAAAAAATAGTGAGAAATGTATTATTAATAAAATCAACGTTAAAAGCTAAAGAAAGTGAAAACATCATAACATGAACATGAACTTCGTAAGTAAATTTAAAAAGAGAAACAGAAAGTCCGTTAAAACAGCATGGCTAATTTCCATACCTTTTAACAGATAATGCAGCTTTTTAATTGCTGTTCATCCTGCTTCTTCTTTGGTGTCTTATTGTTTCTGGGGCGATGCGCTGTTTGTGAATAGCCTGTATTTTGCCCACTACGACTCTGTCGCTGTTGTCCTTGAGCTAACCTTCTGGCGTAATGTTCATCCTCTTTAACGCGACGCTCATGCTCTTCTTTTCTCTGGTTAAGAATGAGGGCAGCCGGTATAAAATTTGCTGAACAAAGTTCTCCGGTTCCAGTTTCCACTACTTGGTCATCAAACGTTTCCCATACAACATCTTCTCCAGTTCTGGCATATCCACTGTCAGTGACGAGCGTGAAGAGACTTAGTGATTCCGGATTAGAATACAAAGTACTGAAATGACACGACCGAAACAATACTACTATTTCCCCGGGATGAATTAATTCGAGTATTTTTCGCAGACCAGATGAAGTGAGAAACTGCATGGTAAACCTGTCTTCCATAATTGCATCGACAAACGTAGCTTCAAAAGGTTAGTAAATGATAGAACGAAAAGAAGGGACTCACTGTTTTCCAGAAAGCTTGTCTGCTCAGAAGTCAACTTCTCTGGCATTTCCAGTAAAGAACGTCTCTCTGCAAAAGTATCTGCAATCTTCTCATAATACTCTAGTTCTTGCAAACACTTGAGAGACGATGGGTCATCTGGCATGATTTCACTAGAGAATAACCAGCCATGGACTAATGGGATGCCGAATACTTTGAAAATTTCATCACCATAATCAAATTTTTGAATGTCTAGAATAGAAGGATTTAACTGTTGACCAAAATGCATAGTAGAAAGTCGACCATGAAGTTCATCATAGTCTTCACAAAGAGCGTATCTTTTGGCAAATTGAATAAGATAATCATTTACTTCTTCTGAAGCAATGTGTCTTTTGTTTGGAAGAGAGAACGATCTTTCATTATTAGATTTTAAGACCAACGAGTTTACGATTGCAATAATAGGACAAGGGCCATTTTCTGTAAACAATTAGAAGTACTTCTTAAAAAAAAATAAAAAATAATGCATCTTTGTTACATGCCTTACGTCGTACTGGTTGAACGACTAACTAAAGCAGATTGACAAAAGCAACTTACCTGTTTGGCAAAGAATCAATCGTTTACTATACTTTCTAGAGGAGGGTTCAAGATACGATATAATTCTTGATCTATAGGAATTGTGAGAATGTTCATACATATTACATAGGAGTATGTCGTAGTGAGTTGTTCACACAAGGTAAAGATATATATCTCAAGGGCCAATTTCTTGGTCCTCAAATACGGAAGTGGTAGTTTGTTCTTCAATATTTGGATTCGATTTCTAATGTTAAGGACAAAGCAACTCCTGCGGTAGAGTTAAAAGGTCAATTGGCAACGCAAGAGAAATTCAGAAAGTTATCTTTGTTCGTTATATTTTGCTATACCAGTGTTAGTTATAATAAAATAAATCAAATCTTTTCTTCTATAAATTCTTGTTGTCTCTTATCAATGTCTGTATAACATTGCACTCTGCTCAAGCATTTTTGAGGTATGGGACTTCAGATTTTAATAGCTGGGCTTTATTGGAATCACCGAGAAAACAGAGATTGATTGAAAAATATGTAACGTTGATTTAAAATACGACATATGTAGTTTGAGCTCGAACAACCCTAGCCGTCTACTTTACTACTATATTCATTGATAAAAAGTATTTACTAAGTCTATGGGCTTTCTTAATCGATTTTCAAAGAATATTAAAAATTTCATTCATAGACATAGACAGCTTAATACTAGTTTTCTTTAATGGCTTTAAGAAGGTTGGACTGTATTTCTATACAGCGTTGAAGTTCAGATTCCAAAACCGATAACTCATTATGAAATACTTTTATAGCAATAAAAGAATGACTTTCATGTTCGAAGGATGAATTATCAAGCAGAAATTTATAATCGGATGCCGATAAACCTCCATTCCCATACTGACTTTTGCGTATTTCATATATTGAATGGAGTGTTTTAAGAACATCCGCATAAAGAGCTATCAATTCCTGCTCTAGTTTTGGTTCCTTAGCACTCATGTTTCGGATGTGCAAATTCCATAGACTTCTTTCAAATTTCGAAAAAGGAAAGTGACTAGTAGTGATCGTTCTGCTTTTCATATAAGAGTTGTATACGAGGAAGCAAACGAATGAGAAAGTTGCAAAACTCGGTCCATATTTTTTAAATATACACAAGCTCTTGTGATGGCGAGAGAGTATATTTCGTGAGGAATTTGATGATTCCCTCAAGATCAATTTACAATATTCATCATGTGAATCATGAAGCGACTTCAAATCAAAATACTGCTTCCATTGACGGAAGGGTTCCTTGAATAAGCTCCGCAGCGTCCTTTCCAAATCTACTTGCCAAATTTCACAAGTGGGATCTAAAAAGCCATATTGGATGAGAAGTTCATCGGCACAAAAAGACCCAAAGCAATTAAAAATCTCATACCCTTGTTGAATTACTGCGTTCAGCAAGAAATTGCAACGAGAGTAATCCGTAGGCTCATCATCACCTGGTGAATCCCCTGTAAAGTTGGAACACTGAAGAAAAGCGACTTCTGGATTTGACTGATGATTAAATATATCAACGAAAGGAACAAGCGATAGTTGATGATAATCATCAATATAAAAGCATCTGCTTTGAGTGAGAATGCATGTTTGCAAATATTTGAGCCAGCTCGGACATGATATGGGAAGTGATTTAAACTTCTTGAAAAAAGGTAAAACTAGCTCCTTGTATTGATCGTAGTATATTTTTAATACATTGTTACTATTTTCATATACAGTAGTCCCCTTCAATCGATTTCGATCATCGTCCCATAGCAAAATGGAATCGGGAATAACTACTTCATCAAGAGTATCCAAGTAAGGTTTCCAAAAACTATTTTCGCCTAGAGATTTTTCTAATAAAAGTGCCAGTGTAAGCCGGACATTGGCTAAATGGTCAGATTGGGTAGCATAACTATGGGTTTTTGTTTTTCCTGACACTCCAGCATCATAACAAAGTGTGGAAAGCAAAGGCGAGAAATACGAGTTTTTAGGACTCAAAACGAAGCTTTTATCAAATGAGGCTAGCACCTCCGGGGGAGAAATGGTTTGTGAAGAGACAATCCCTCGTCCAGCAACGGCATTCTTGGTAATTTGGATTTTTGATGAGATATAAAAATCATTTTGTGCTAACCAAATGAGAAACTTATCATAGGCCTCATCGTTATCCTTTTTCATAGCTTTCCTATTATATTATTCTCTCGGTTGCAGAAGCCTGAAACCGCTCAAATGCCAACCATAATAATCAAAGAATGTCTAAAACATCCAATACAAAAATATGTAGAGGAAGAAACGATTTGTTATTCTCCGTTCTTACTATCCTATATTTGTAGACGCGCGCACTTTAATGATTAATACATGTTCAAAATATGTCAGATAAAAAGAAGTAACCATTATTCGTGAGTTGGAGTATAGAGATGAAAGTATTCTTATAAAGGAACTTAGGCCATTTAAGAATAGCATAGAACCGTTCATGTACAGGAGAGGAAGGAGTTTAATAGAAGTAATTTATAACGTTGCATTCTTTGCATTTATTTCATATTGCATATAATATCAGTTTAAGAGTAACTCAGATTTCAACATTAGTGTATTTGTAAGAAATAATGCATGGAGACAACCATTACATGATTAATAGTCATAATGGATTGATAGTTTCAGGTTTTGTAAACACAATCATGCTTCACTAGAAGGTGGTTCACCTTCTAGGCTAGCTTTCTCGAGCTTTTTCTTAAGTCGAACATTTTCAACCGAAGCGTTTTCGTAAGCTTGTTGGTCAGAAGATAATGCTGTCTCAATTATATTATCATATTCTTGTTTGAGTTCATTTCTGCTCATTTTGTTACAAAGCACTTTTTCAATACATCCTAATAGCTTGTAGAAGATACTCGTGTATCTCTGATCTCTCTCCCACCTTTCTTTAAGTAATTTTAGTACGTTTGCTTCCATTTGACTGTTATATTCTTCCTGTTCTGCTGCCATGAGTGTTAGCTTTTCATATGAAACGAGCAACTGTTCAAAACGGCGGAAAATATTCTCTTCATCTCCTATTGATGATTCTGAACTTATAACATTCATTATCGAGTTTAAATTAGATCTAACAAAGCAATTTTTACGAGGTTAGGAACTTATGTTGTACGGAAGAAGTTAGAATATGTGTAGACAAGAAACAATTAACATGGGTCGAAAACATTGTATATTGTTATATTCATATTCTCCTAGTGTTTTTCATTAATCATATGTTAGAAGGTATTTATCTATAAAAACTATAGAATCATCAAAAAAATTATAAAACTTTAGATCATAATAGTATTAACAACAAAAAGTAGAGTTTATATCAAGCTTTAGAAAGGTTCAACGTCTTTTAAGCGCAAACGATGAGATTCAACATAAGCCCTGTTGACTTCTTGTATACACCTGTCCTTCTTTTTATCATCGACTGGAAGAGGGAGACGTAAAGTTGACATATCATACATTGAGCATACGAATTCATCTTCGGAGAATCTCACATTCTTAACCTTTCTAACTGAAGTAACTGTTTCAACTTCGTTGTTTGAGGTAGTAATAATGAAATGCTTCGTGCTGATGAACAGTATTCTTTCATCCTTAAGCTCGGCATGGTAAAGATATTTTTCATTCGAATAGATGCCATTCGCTAGCATAGCCAGTAAATACATTCCAAGGGATTCGTAAACTCTGTATGGCTGGATCAAACCACCAAAACCAACAAACCGAGGAATGCGAGCTTTGTCAATTTCGGGATTTGCTCGAACATCTGTTGAATTTCGTATGCCTTCTGACACGTTAGTGGTCATATCCAAGAAACCTATAGCAGGTTTGGTTGCCAGACCTAAAACACCCTTGCCAAATCCTTTCAAGAATTTGCCAGGACTATCAGATTTTCGATCAGTAAATGGCCGACGAAGACCTTCAAAACCACTCGTCATGCTATCATAAAAGGTATTCGCACCGACTGTTACACCAAAAGCTGCTTTCTTTGGTCGGTTTCTTGATCGAAAACGACGTCTTGACATCTTATACTTCGGATCCATTGTCATTGTAGACAATCCCTTCGAAAACGTACTAGTAAGTTTAGATACACTATCAGAAACGCCAAATATGGTTTTCCTCATAAAGCTGGAGGTACCGCGAGCAAGCGAATCCCCGATCGATTGAGTATCTTGAAGTAAAAATCCTTGATATGGTTCATAAAACATATCAAAAACACCAGAGGCAAAGTTATTGAACAGCCCAACGGGGTTTCCTAAGAAGTCTGCACGACCAGCAATCATATACATTTGGTATCCAATTTGTTGCTTATAATGAGTGATGATTTTGGAGACTAGCTCAGATACAGTTCCCCTAGCGTTTTCTAATAAAACGGAATTCAACTGAACAGGTGCATCATGGATATTGCCCAAGGTATTCATGAGAAGTCCTGTCATGAAGTCCAAGGTGGAATTAGGAGTCCTCACCTTTATGATTTGATTTTCAATGTCTCCTGAAGCTTCAAATGTCAGGTTAAAGATTGTGGGTTGCAAATGTAGAGCTTCAAAGAAGACATCATTTTGATAGACATCCACATCAAAATTAGGAAGTTCAAATTTGTCATTGAATGAATCTTCATTCAAACTTTTAGTACTTTGAGAGACGTCAAGAGAAGGATATATAAGTCGTAATAACATATACACAAGGCGATCATCCAGTTCAAGAGATAATTCTTGCAAAAGAACGGAAGCATATTTAACATATAGCAAGCCATAATCATAATTTTTCAATGAAGAGATACGGAATTGCAACACTTCTGGGTTTTCTTCTTTTACTTCCTCAGTGATCACTGATGGAAATAACGCGATTGGATGCAGAGAATCCAACAATTGATTATCAATCTGGAACCAACCTAATGAAACAGAGAGTGAATGTAAATCCGCACTTTCATCAAAATTTATCAGTAGGTTTCGTAGTGTAGCATAAGCAAACTCTTCACACTGACCATTAATTAAAGATAATCCAACACCACTCAGGTCCATAGCAAATTTAAATTCTGTTTCATTCTTATCTTCTTCTTTAGTCTGGCCTTTGCGATGCGGTAACTGTGGAGGAGAATCTGCGTCTACTTCTTTAAAAGTAAGTATGCTTGTGAGACCAGTAATAGATATTTCGGGTATCAATCGGCTGTTAGTATTCAACTCTTGAGGAAACCACGGACTAAGCTCTCCGACTGACGATATATCCAGATCATGTACTGCATTTCCTGCTATAACTTCAAGTCTTTTATCTTTAAGAGAAGGGAAGTCCCAACAATAATCAGCCTCTTCTCCGGCCTGTAAAACATATTTACTCTTCTTGAAATGTTGAGTGTACATCGATTCAGAACTTAAAGGATCCGGCTTCTTCTGTTGGTATAAAATGTCCATAGAGGAAGTATTTTTCAGTTTAAACGGCCAAGCAACAGTCTCTAAATCAAAGACTATAAAAAATGATGCATCTTTCAGAGATACTGAAATACGTAACAAAACCGGCAATACGTTACCATTTTCGTTTTGTTCATATACTTTTATGTGCGTTATACCAAGATTATTCATATAGAAAGCAGAGGACCAAGAATTATTCGTACCTGGAAATGCTGCAATGGTGGTAATATCTTCAGAGTTCACGAATAAGCAGACGGGGTATAATGCTTTAGGCTTTAAATTCCAAACATGGGAGCTACCGAATTGTCTCAGGCACAAGGGTCTATCCATGTTATTTCTGAACACATATCTGGGAGTAAAAGTTACCGTTTTAGATAAACAAAACTTTCCGGTGCATTCTCCAATTGATACTCCTAATATGTATGCTTTTCGATCATCCTTTGTTTCAACTTGAACTTCACTAGATGACCCTATAGTATCAAGACTAAGTGGTTGGAACAATCGAGAGTCCCTCATCCTTAAAACAGCACGGTTTTTTCGGTTTTCTTGCTTAAACGAAAAAAAATAAGGAGATATATCGCTGGTATAACCACCTCCACGTATGATATTGCTCACTGAATAGTCGTTATCATCTGAAAGCTGCATGTCGATGTCCGTTCGATTATATACTAAGTATGGTGAATAAATTTTTACGTCAGAAACGTAGTCTGTTCCTGGTAATTTGTCATATTGAAGGTTTAATTTGACTATTTCCTTCTTATTTGAACAGGATAGCATCATTGTCGATTGTATAGACTCCCAAGCACCAATTGGCGAAAAAATTATCGGCAATTCGAGTGAATGAAGGTCAATTTCCGGAATACTTATGCCTAACAAAAGAAGGCTCTTTGAATCCATGTGCAGGATTGGAAGGGAATCACCAGGTTTAAGGGAACAACGCCAATCGTTACGAGTGTTTTTTTCTAAAATGCGCACTTTAACTTCATATGGAAGGAAATTATGTACCTGCAAAGGAGGAAGGATATTTAATTGCATAAAAGGATAAGCATCAGCCATAGAACCTTCCATTAGATTTCTTGAGAAAACCAGAAAGGTATGCTCCCAATTTGTTTTACTGGATTTACACGATAAGTATTGCAATGGTGACTTCAGTAATGATTTCCAGTATACACTCTGATTAGACCAAAAGAAACCTAACTTTGAGACCGGGCGAACCCTCAAAGGATACAATGCTGCAAGATCAAGAGGGATGTAACCAGTTTCTTGCGGTTCAATTCTAACAACTGAAGACTGACGATGACCCGCTCGGTCGTTGCATACAAACTCGATGGCTTCTTTAGTTCTGTTAACAAGTGAATATGGGGATGAAAGGATAATCCTCTTTACATTAGTTTCTAGCAAAACCACGGTTACCAAAAGGAAATTAGGGCGTTCAGCTCTGGGCTTTAATTCATATAAGAAAGAGCCTTCACGATGAACGGATATATGATCAACGGGGAACCATATCTCATCAAATGAAACCCGTATCTTTGTCGACATATCTTCTTCCTTATTTATCAAACCTGCTGTCAAAGCCTCCTTATCTTCAAACCGGCAAAGCTTGGATTTTCCTGACTCAAGCTTAAAGTGTTCGTCTCCGTGTGATCCTTTATGTCCATAATGCACTGATAGCGAGTAGCCAGTCTCATTCAGTACTTCATATGGATAACCTTCAGGGCGCTTTTCGTTTTCCACGGTTCGATTATTCAAGTAATAATTAATAATCCTATGAAAGTCCATTATCATCATCGGCGTCAAGGTAAACTGTCCACTTTCCTTGGATACAAGTCTAATTTCTTTTGTTCCACTTTTTTGAAAAGCAGACAAACCTAGAGACCAAGGCTCTAACAGTGGTTCCCAATGTGATTTCGCAAAATTAAAAGCATTACATTGAACCTTGAAAGTGGATGAGGCAGAGAAATTGGAGCTCCAGTCCTTCGCATTCACAATAAACCCATCAACCACAATGTCGACAACAGGTAAGGAATGGGCATCACTAATCAATGCCAATTGAATTCCAGCACTGTTTATAGTCAATTCCTCAGTCGTTAAAGATGCATTTCCTAAAGTATTTAATATATCAGTCGCTGTTTTTTCTGCTTTTTGCTGCATAGCCATTAGGGATTCATGCGTTGGTTTCTCTTGCGAAATGAAGTCAGATAAATCACTTGCCTCTAATGTGGTGTTGCTCGAATCCTGTTTATACTTAGAAATGACCTGGGTAGAAGATTTAATTATACTTCTCATCAAAAGCAAATCATATATCGAAATACGAAATATTAACGGATCGATGTCCAAACAAGCACTAGAGGAATTTTGACCAGAGGAATTTTGCACTAATCCAAATCCAAAACTGAAATTTTCAAGTATTTGAACACCACCGTGTATTTTATCCATTTGAGACACAAATAAACCCATGTCTTGTATAGTTAATGAATACGACATTTGTCTCGCTAAACTGACATGCCCTATTCTTGCAATCAAACACTGGGAGTTTGAATTGGAAGCATCTGCAACGAAGACCAGGGAAGTCTGTGTAACGTCAAATCTAAGTGAATACGAAATGGATTTTTCGTTTTCATGGACTTCTTTATTAGACCCTTCGTCGACCAACACATCTTCATTATTCTCAGATGTCATTCCAACTAAATCGTGACCCCCGAAGCAATAAAAAATTGAAAGAAGATGATCTAACGAGAGAACATAAAGAGACTGGTATAAATCACCTTCCAAAAGGATATTGCTGCTGTTAGGTTTCCAAGTAAGTGTAAAACAAAATTGAGCTTCATTTTCCTGAGAAGGCATTATAAGACTGGAAAAGTGTTCAGACTTTTGTATTCGAACATCTTCGACAGCGAAAGACTCCATAGTGAGCTTTGCGAAAACGCCGCTTTCAAAGTGATAACTAGAAGTCATCTTCGTGGCGTTCAAAACGAATCTAGAAAGTGGTTTTTGCGAATCACTTGCAGTGTCAAAATTTCCGTCAAACAAATTCAGGCTGACCCTTGGAAGATGTAAATTAAGATTTAGACTGGAACTGGTATTCTGACTAAAGTGAGAGATAGCTTTGTTGATTACTTCAATATTATAAAGTTCATCAGAGAGAACAGAAAACACAGATCCCGCATCCAAATTTGAAGAGAATGCGTCTTTTATACTCAATGCTTTTGGTGCCTCATATGCCAGTTGAAGGAAAGTATAGTACTGAGCCTGCGAAAGCTGGAAAGAAAAATCGCTTGTCTCACCGTCAATTCGTATGTCATAATTAGTTAAATTTCCAACTATCTCTTGTAGAACCGATATTTTTAACCCTACGTTAAGATTTTTTAACACATCAAGCTCGATATCTCCTTTTTCTGATGAAACGGCACAAAAGAATGTCTTTATCGTTGTTTCTGATGACAACAGTTCAATCGACAGATTTGGTAACCAGGATATAGTTCTCGTAGAAAATCTGCCGGGTAATACGTCAACGTTGGCTTGTAAGCCATTATTCAAGCTAAGAGGAATGCGGAATATGGGGTTTGAGATACTTATGCTTATATCGAAATTGGTACCCTGTTCGGCTTGGAGCGATCCGGTTTCAGCCAAGTATTTTGCAGATTCAACCACAGTTTTCATTTGTATAAAATCAGAAAAGAAATTTAATATATCGACAATTGGCTGCCGACGACATATCATTAAGAAAGACCCCATTTTTATGTTTAGTTTTGCTTCAGGATAACTATCCTTGTTTTCAGCTTGCTGCATCTTGTAGTGTAGATCTAAAAACTGATCGTTTCTTGAATCGAAAAATGAAACAGTTTCATTATTGTTTTCATTCCAGGCACGAATATCAAGCTTCTCTATGCGAGATTGCAATTCCCAATTATTGATAGCCGTATCGAAATTTGAATGGAAATTGAATATATTAAGGCATATAGGATGTTGCTCATAAGATTCAAATAGTTCTAATCCGAGATTATGTACAGTAAATGTCACATTAGTCTTACCGGACACTTCAGAAGATGTTTCTTTCTTGGCCACGGTATCCGCATTATTGTTGCTCATACCGAAAGATGACGAAAAGTCTAACAAAGATAGTATTGGATACTTGGCAAGAGAAAAGTTGCCATTAGAGCAGATAAAATTTATGTCCGTACTGTTGTTAAGTTTTGAGGAAGGATCCGACTTAAGGACATATTCAATGACTAATGGATATTTGTTTTTTGTGATATTGTCGTTAGACGAATTGCAGTCAAATATTCGATGACCAGAAACATCGGAGTTACTCGTAGTTAAATCATTCACTTTCACGCAAGTGAGAGATAACTCTGCTTTTTGTTCAGTATCGTATTGATTGTAAGATACGTTTAGCTGACCCAGTTCCAGAGATACCATAGGAGACCGCTGAGAATGACCGCTTTCTCTCATAAGAACGATATTCATTCCTTTTAACGACATATCAAATTCACAGAAATGCTTCAAATCCGGTGGGGCATCCTCCTCCTTAACTTCAAAATTGTAATTGCTATCCTGTGAGATAAATGATTTTGATGATTGGAGAGAACCTTGATCAGAAGAAGATGCATATGACTCATTACTTAGAAAAGTAGATTTGAGATTATTCAAGATGGAATATTGAGCATCGGAGATTTTAAATAACAAATCAGACATTTCACCAGAAACTCGAATTTTCGGAAAGTTAGGAGAAGGAACACTTTGTATAGACACATTCAAGTTGATTGAAGATTCCTTCAACAACTGATACTTTTCATTCATCTCTAGTCTGTCGTCATGGATACAAGAGAGTGGTCCTAAAGAAATTTCTGCTGACTCCAGGGTAAGCACATAATCATCATATATGAGACTTTGGATTTCTTCTTCTTTTGTTTTTTGTCCTTCTTTATTATGGTCTGAGGAACTTGTTTTAACAGAGATGAGACCCGAGTCAATCACAAGAGATTCCGTATTTTGGTTTTCAACATTCTCAGGTAAAATTATTAATGGTGCTTGAAGCTGAACATCAAGAATAAGTTTTCGTTTTTCGTTAATATAGTTTCGTAAATTATGAATCGTTTGGGAAGTCAAATCTGTAACAGCGCTATTTGCAAAGCGGAGTAATTGAGCTCCCCCTTCATTAGTAAATAAGGAGTCATCAAAGAGCTTTTTGACTTTAATAAGGCAAGGCTGATCATGGAAGAATTCCAATGTACGGAGATTAAGTTTCAAAATGTCACGATCATCATCATTAGAAAATCGGTTTTCGAACGTCATGTGAAACAACGGAGAAGACGCTTCTGCATCAAGAGAAGAGGATTTACTCCTTGTATACAGAAGAGAGCGCTTATCATTAAAAAGCCTGAGAGAACCCAATACGAGATCTAACTTGTGGCTTTGATTAGTGCCCAGAAGATTCAGAGTAAACTCAGAAAGCTCCAAAGAGATGAGATTACACTTTTCTGAAGTGCTTTTCAAAGAAAACCTTCCGGAGGGAACGTTGAATGTAACATCAAATAAAGCAGCGTTGGGAGGAGTTTCAGTAAAACTAGAAGGACTCAGCATATTCTCATTTAATCCAATTGCGTTAATGACCCTTTGCTTTTGGTCATCGGTTATCTCACCAGCTTCGTCAGAGGCACCCTTAAAACTATTCCACATCCATGAAGTCCAGCCTTGTTGTTTCTGACCTTTCGGCTCGATCCCTTCATTTTTTATTTCTTTGTACGCAAGAGAACGAAATAATTTTAATTGACTGACACTGAAACTAAGCTCCAAATTATCCAACTGACTTGTTTCTTCAGGGGACAAATTCGTTGCGAGAAATTTCTGCCGGTATAAATGAATGTATGCTTTTCTTCTTTCGCAAAAACCTTTGATTGCTGGCCATGACTTGATGTAATTTTTTTCACGAATGTCGTTTAATATGTTTTTGAAAACAAACGGAAGGTAGTCTGAGGATTTGCTAATAGCAGCATCTCCTATCACATTTCTACGAAAATTTGTTTTGGATATTATCTTGTTAAATTCGTTATTTAACGAAATCCCTCTTGCAAGGTGGTCATCACTAACTGTTAAGTCGAACCCCTCGAAAGATAGATCAGTAACAAATCGTGGTTTTTCTGGCGTAGTGGTCTTGTTGATCGTCACCTTGGCAGAGCCCATAATAGGGGAAATTAAAAATTCTTTTTCTCTTTGGTCAAAATTGGTAAGTAAAACATGAAACAACCCTATCATATCATTTAAGTCATTGGAAGAAATACACTCAGAAGTTTCGTCGGAGTAGACAGCAAGTTTTTTCAGTGAACATAATTTATGGATCGTTTTCGATTCGGTCTCTATAAACATTGGCTTCCACATATCGTTGCAAGATGAAATAGAGAATTCGGACAGTAGTAAGCCGAAGGAATATCCGCTATCATGATTTTCGTTTGAATGCTCAAAGCGAATGTGAATATCTTGAATATTGATTTGTATGTTATCAATCATCCGAGTGACTAGAGATTCAGTAAAGGTTTGCGCATTAGGGTCATCATTAGCTTCAGCCGTTCCAACTTGTGCTGCTTCCCATAGCTCCATTTCTCGGCGTTTTGCTTCCAGTTGTTGAGATAAATCTTCTGTTTTACTTATCTAGCAAAGGTCAGTAAAAATTAGTTCAAAAACAAGAATTTCTACAATTATCCAAAACCGATCTCTAGTAAAAACTAATAAAGGATCATCTGCTTATACCGGGAGATATACTTACAGTAGGAGACTCATCCATAGCTGCTAGAGCACGGATCCCTTCAATATAGATTTCCACAGGCTTATTTCTAAGACTGGACCAAGGGATCTTTAGTTTTAAGCTTTCAAGTAAGCCATACTGAACAGAAATGGGAAGTTCCAGTTTCTTCAAAGCCTAGAATCACCATTGTTAGAATCGCTCAAGAGTAATTAAATTATATAAAGTAGCTTCCAATCGTAACACTTACATCTCGTTTTAACTGTAGATTTTGCAAAGTAACATCACCATTCCAAACACCGACTTTCAGTTGCGTCGCATCAAAATTTTCAATGTACTCTCCCAACAGTCTATTGAGAAAGTCTTAAGGTATAATTGTTAGTAATGAAACCATGATACATAAAATCCATGTCAGGCAATACATACTCGCTAGCAATCCTTCCAACATGGTGAAAGGAGGTTTAAATAATTGAAAAATAAATTAAATAAATATAGAGAAATACTTGACTACAGTATAGCAAAAAATTCCACTTGATTCCTGTATTGGTTGGTCTGCTTGGTAATGACGTTCTTTCTAAATAGCATACACCTCTAGATGTTAACACTACTTTCCACCAGGTGACACAGTATAGCTAAGTTAACAACGAAAATAATACTTTACAAATGGAAGAATAAAAAAAACAAAATCGTTTTGAATCACCTATAATCTTTAATTTATCTATCCTGCTCCAAGACCTTGTTCAACCACAAGCTCATTATAGCGACCACGCTTGCTCACAAGTTCATTATGAGTGCCAGCCTCGGCAATTACACCTCCATCAAATACGAAAATACAGTCAGCGTGCTGAATAGACGATAAGCGATGAGCAATGGCTACTGTAGTACGTCCCTCAGAAGCTTTGTTTAAAGCTTCTTGTACTACTTTCTCACTATTACTGTCCAAAGCGCTGGTAGCTTCATCTAACAGTAAGATTTTTGGATTTCGAATCAAGGCACGAGCAATAGCAATTCTTTGTTTTTGTCCACCGGATAAAGAAGACCCTTTCTGTCCAGAAAGCGTTTCATAACCATTAGGCAAACCCATGATAAAGTCATGGATATTTGCCATCTTACAGCATTCAATGATCTCTTCATCTGTAACATCTCTCGAAGCACCGAGGACAATATTCTCTCGAATAGTTCCCTGGTATAAAGTTGGCTCTTGCGATACCAAAGCTATCTGCTTACGATAATCATTAACGTTGTAGTCACGGACATCAACACCTCCCACTATTACAGATCCGCTTTCGCAGTCATAAAAGCGTTCGATTAAGCCAATTGTTGTAGATTTACCGCACCCTGAAGCACCTACAAATGCCACAAATTGACCAGGTTTAACCGTCAAGTTGAGACCACGCAATACCTGGATGTTCTTCCTAGTAGGGTAACGGAATTTAACATCATTAAACACAATGGAGGAATCCTCCAAAGATTCAATTTTCCTTCCTTCTTTAGACCAGGTATCGATTTTTGGTCTACTCTCACACAAATGCTTAATTGATCCAGCGCTTGATTTAGCTTTCGTAACGTCAGCTGCATAGCCCAAAAACTGTCCAGCTTGCTGAATACCGAAAACGATAGAAATAAAGCAGGTATAAAATTGGACTAAACTATATTCACCTGTTTTCATCAATGTAGCACCATACCAAAATGTGAGTGCATTGACTAAAAAGGTAACCGCTTGTGATGCAGAAAATAACAAACCAGATATCAAAGAAGCTATGGCTGTTTCTCTTCCGGGTTTAATCAACGATGCACTATAACTTTCATACACCTTCGATTCTCTCGTGAGACTTGCAACTGTTTTGATGGCGGACGTAGATTCACAAGCGAACGCCGCTGACGCTTTGTATGAATTAGACAAGTTATCCTGAATCCGATCCAATGCAGCAACCCGATAATAACCAGCACAAATGATGAGGGGGGAAGTCGATAACGTAACTAAAGCCAGTTTCCATCCAGTGGCCAGTGAAAGAATTGATACAGAAACTACGTTTGTAAGAATCTGCACAAATGTTCCAAGTGTAGAGCCTGACAGGCCTTCAAGGTTCTGAATAGAAGTTGAAAGTGAAGTAGTCAAAGCACCAACAGTATTCTCAGTACGGTCAAAGAATTCGACATCTTGACGAAGTAAGGTACGGAAGAGATGCCAGCGAATACGTTGTAAAAGAGACTGCAGTACATAAGACATGGAAAATTCACTTATTGAATAACCGAAGAATTCTGCAATAGCAAGAATTAGCCAGTAAATACCAAATATACTGATCTTATGAAAGTAATCCGGCGAATTCAGATTCGTAAAAATATTCAAGAACCTGGCATACACTACTGCTTGCACGGGGTATGCTGCACCACAGACCATGGATGCCACGATACCGATTAGAAGACACATAGCTTCTAAAGCACCATCAACGAAGGAATGGATAAAAATCAATGCTTTCCAAGAGCTGATCTCAGTTGAGTTACTCTCAAGGCTTGAAGAAACATCAAGGTCAACACTTGGAGTCTCCGCGTCTATATTGTCCATAGTTTTATTTGGCAAATCAGGAACAGGATCAAATGGTAAGTGACCAAGCGGAGCAGCGCGAAGTGAGATTGCATCTTTATCTTTTTCATGAAGAGCGGAAAACGAATTACCAAACGAAGAACTATCATCTTCATTTTGCGTAACAATTTTAACAGCTTCATCAACTTGCTCGTCTCCTGACTCATCGACAACATTATCGTTATTCGTTTCAGCAAGTTGCTGTACTTCAACCAATTTGGCATAGGCACCATTTAACGATAATAGGTCAGAGTGGGTTCCCTGTTCAACAATCTTTCCAGCGTTGACTACTACAATGTTATCGGCATTGCGAATTGTTGATAAACGATGAGCGATAACAATGGTTGTACGAGATCTGGAAGCATTATCTAAAGCCTTTTGAACAATAACCTCGCTCTTCGAGTCTAAAGCACTTGTTGCTTCATCCAGGAGTAGAATTTTAGGATCGCTAATAATGGCTCTAGCTATCGCAATTCTTTGTTTTTGACCACCCGACATCAAAAAGCCACGCTGGCCAACATTAGTATTAAATTGTTCGGTCAAAGACATAATAAAATCATAAGCATTTGCAGTCTTAGCAGCATCGTAAACTTTTTCTCGTAATTCATCTTCGGTAAGTGCTGATTGCATCTCATCTGTTAATCCATAAGCAATGTTATCAAAAACGGTAGCTCCAAAAAGAACAGGCTCCTGTTGCACTAGGGAGATATGACCACGTAAAGAAGCAATGTTCAAATCACGGAGATCTTCACCATCCAACATAACTTGTCCTGCAATAGGATCATAAAATCGCTCTACGAGACCTACTATAGTAGACTTTCCACTACCACTTGCACCAACAAGAGCAGTAATTTTACCGGCAGGACATAGCAAAGAAAAATTTTCTAGAACCACAACTTCGGGTCTGGTAGGATATACAAACTTTATGTTTTTCAATTCAATTTCTCCATCAACATGTTGAATGATTTTACCAGCGGGCGAAAATGCATCAATTGGACTTTGTCGGTCAATTGTGTCAAAGATCTTTTTGGCAGCTGATGAACAATTCACAAAAGCTGGCATTTTTGGAGATATATTTGCCAAACTGTAAGAGGCAATTAAAACAGCAAAGAAACAGCTGATCATTTTATCGACAGTCAGTTCACCAGCATGCAAAAGACGACCACCTTCCCAAAAAGCAAGGCCATAAGCACCATAAGCTACAAAAAACATCCATCCAACCATGATGCCCATAACAATAGATTTTTTGATGCCATTCTGTCTGGCAGGGATTAAAAACTTTGTAAATGTATCGGCCAACAGATCCTGAGTACCGAAAGCAAACGCATTACGTACGTTGGATAAAACCTCTTCGACAAAAGTACTAGAGCTGGTCAACTGGGCTATTTGGGCTTTTGTGTACTTTTTAATAAACTTAACACCGCAAGCAATACCACCTAAAATGGCCAAAAGCATGGAACTAATAATGAGGGTGAACTTCCAATGACGAATGAATGCAATAACAAAACCCGACAGAAATGTGGCAAGAGCAAAAAGCACCAATCCAACCTTCTCACCCATACCATCTTGAATGTAGTTTGTATCGCCCGTGATACGCGTAGTAATTTCACCTGCACCGAGACGATCAAAGTAACCAACGTTTTGACTCAATACCGCATGCAGATATTGTTGACGAATTCGACGCGAAATCCGTTCACCGGAGACAATAAACGTTACTGTATAAACATAAGAGCACCCAAAAATACCGACAGCGATATAAATGAAATATAATACAAAATGGTTGACATCGTGTTGAAACGTCGCAGCACCGCGGCCACTTGCAAGATCGGTAAATGCTTTGGCTAATTTACCAGCGACAAGAGACATTAGAGGCATACCAAGACCAGCGCCGATAGCGGTGATACAGCCAGCTGTCTGAAGCATATAGTCCCATTTATCACCGCATGTGAAAATTCGCATATATCCTGCCAATTTAGCTTCGGTATCATTTACTTGACGATACAAGATTTCACGCTCCTCTGGGGTATACTGCTCGAAAGGATCTTTCACGACGTCGACGACTTTTTCTGCATCCTCAACGCTACCTGTTGACAATTTGTCAACAACCACGCTTTCACGATCTTTGTCGGTATTAATTTTGTTCGATTCTGAGCTTCTTGGAAGAGACATCTTGAACAAATATGAATCTGAAATAAAAATTAAGAAAACGGTAATAAAGGCCTATTAGGAAAAATAAAAGAATAAAACAACGAAAATTAAAATGAAAATAAAAAGAAATAGAAAATGTATTCTGAAAAATCCCAAGAATACCACAATTGAAGAAACCTAATCCAATTGACGTATTCGAATCAATTCGATTCCTCGTTGAAGAAAAAGAGAATTAAAATAATAATAAAAATTAATTCCAGAAAGGTCTAATACCCAAAGATTTACCAATTGAAATTTTGATAAAACTTATTTGCCAATGTCGCTAAAAACGCAGCGCGACAATTACAGAATCACAACAGACACCGATGATTCTTTTAAAAAAGGAGTTCCTTCTTCAGATCCTAGATCCTTTTTAAATAGGATTTATTTTGTTTTTCTAGTTTGTCCTTTTCAATCGCAAAAGAACCGAATCAACACTAATTTGAATGTTTGTAAATACTAATATATATGGGCGCATAAATAAGCATGTATTAAATGCTGAATCCCCGATTCCCATGGAGTTAACTAAGTCCGAGGTTGTGACTAGCTTAGCTAAGAACTCTGATAGAGAAATCGGAAATTCCGAGGCTTAAACTCCGAGCTTCGGTGTTCGCATATAGTTTGATTGTGGCACGGCCACAATCAAACTTAGCGATATCATAAGAGAGGCAAAAGCAGTATCTTAATGATCTGATACGACTCGATAGTAAACAAAGATAATGTAAACAAAACGAAAACAACCCAGTTGAAAAAGAAAGGAAGAAAAAAAAAATAGAGTTTCCATTGTTTAGCTTTTTTTGTTATAGAAATGATCAGACCTTTTTCTTTTCTCTCTTTGCTTGGCTTTACCACTTATTTTATTTTCCCTAAATTCGCAGCTCTCTGAATACGGGCGTGTCGGAGTGGAAAACAATCAGGTATAGCAAATGGGATTCACGAATAAATAAGTTTTTTTAATGATACTTTTCAAATACCATGATTCCAAAATCAAAGATTCTCAGCATGAAGTTTATGAAACCATTTCATGACAGAAGAGACATCATGTACTTGTCGTTGATCGCTCAGTCAAGACTTTAAAAAATTCAAGTAGAAAGATATTTTCCTGTTCAACTTGATTACTGACGAGCTAAAATCCAAAAGTTAGTAAAAAATTTGGAACAGAAGGATAACTTGCATACCTTTGAGTATAGATTCCGTCTCTTTTTTGCAGAGGACGGTACATGGGAAACAGAAGCAGCTTGACGCTTCGCAGGTCCACTTGAAGCTGCAGGTTGAGAGTTATCTTTAACTTCTTCTTTTTCTTTGCTATCATTTACGCTTTTCTCCTAAACCAGGTTAGTTTGGGGGGGGGAATGCCAAGTCGTCTCGCAGTCTAGTCGTACCTTTTTTAACATCATATTTTTCTCCGTAGGCCAGTTTCTTTTCCGTTCTTGGATCCAACTATCAATTTCTTCTGGTGTATTCAAGGAGATGTTTCTCTTCCGTAAATACTCAATACCGTCCACTACATTGTCTCCAGCCCCATGCTGTCCACGAGGACCACCTCCCCGAAAATTGCGTCCTCCTCGAGCTCTTCTCGAGGATCCCCTGTTTGCAGAAGGATGGTTTCTCTTTTGTGTATGGTTCATTCCGTTATCAACAGTATTGTCAGACGAATCTAGGGAATTCCTAACAGATCCAGATCCAGTTACAGTTCCAGGTGGTGGTGGTGGTTTATCATAAATGAATTCTTTTTGCTGTCCTTCCATGACGGTGTTTTCTTTTTCTAAGTTGCTTCTTGTAGCCTTTTTGATTTTACAAGAGAAAAACAGTACAGATCCTATTCAACACCGAAATTCACTAAATTACAAAAGTAATAGAATTAGAATTATGTACGAAAGATAAGTCCGAGTTAAATGGAACGCGGAGGCACCTAATTCTTTTGTCCTTGATGTAAATCGGGAACAAAGACGTATAACGATCGTTCAAAGGATTCACTTTTCGAATTTTTATAAAACTTTCTGTTTCGTATGGCCGCTAATCAATCGCGATATAATTTCACGACTTTTGGCAAGTTTCTGAGTTTGTAGGCAAACGATGAAGTCTTTCCTATGAAACTAAATCTCACCCGAAGAAATATCAACTACAAGTCTAAAAACATATCGAGGTATTCTTTTGACGGGATAACATGTTTTTTCATTGAGTTTTTTTTTTTATATTGTAGTAAACTAAAAGGTCTTTCGTCTCGATTTTCAGTAGAAACGTAATGAGTTTATGAGGTTTTTATTTCATCCGCGTATACGAATTTTAAAAACACTCTATTTGTCCTTTTATTTTTTTTTGTTCTTTAGCACTCCATTGTTTACCAAAATCGTAGTTGCTTTAATGTAGACTAAGTAAGAAGCACAAATTTGAAACCAAAAATGTACCAAAATCCAATTACAGTCTGCAACTCCTTTCCGATTCTTATTTTGGTGCATACTTGAATCCATATCCTTCTATTTTTATTTGAAACAATTTGGCTTCAAAGAAATACTCAAACTGATTCAAAGAGTATGTATTTATTTCGCGTAAGGGAGCGTCTTGGTAAATAACAGCGCATCTCATCGAAACAAATGGTACTTCAATTACAAGGAAAGAAAGAAGATAAACGGGCAACAACCAGGGTTTCGTGCCATCTATCAGCCAAGGGTACAAAAGAGAAGCGAGCTTTTCCACACTTGACTCAATGTCTACTTTGTAATTTAGACAGTTGTTTTATTTAGTTATAGGTCTGCGAAAATTTGTTTCGTATGACGGCGAAACTTGATCTCTAATAGAAGAAGCTTGTGGAGGTCTAAATGCTTCAATTGCAGTTATAGTACAAAACTGATGACATGGGTTCGTGGGTTTTAGTTTAGAAAAATCGCAGATTAGTGCTTCAGTTTTCTAATTGGAAATGTAGGCATTCTAACTATGCCATGAATTCGAGTTTAAGAAATGGGCTAAATTAAGAGATTCTAAAGATTTAAAAGTTTCCTATGTCGTAATAAATAAAAATATTATCGAATATCATACATTGAGACTTGTTAGCTTAAGATACAATGTCGCGCAGACCCAAACTTAGATTGGAACATTTGAAAATTGTATTGCCAATAAGCAAAACATTGCTAACGAAAGGCTTACATTTTCACATGTTCCTGGTAAGTAAAGAGCATCCACAACCATTTGCAGAACATTCAGATTTTCTATTCTCGTTGTTTGTGCCTTTAAAAGTAGAAATATCAAAGACAATCATATAACACTGAATAGCGGAGTCACTTACCCATAGACTAAAAACTATGGGGGGGGGGGGGGGGGGGTGCTATAAAACATTCAAGAGAAAATGTTAAAGAATAGTGAAATAGACAACTCAAATGAGCAATAGATATCACTATAGAAATCATTAGCTACAATTTTTCCAATTGCTACAGCAACAAAATATACTAATAGCCTACGCTAGCTAGGTAGTAATTTTCACTAGCTGAGAGTAGAGTAAGTAGATCCAAACACGAGTTAAGATTAATAAGAGATCTGTATAATTTAATTGAGTAAAGTCATCCGAAAATACGATTCAAGCACAAAAAGACCCGTATCATCACAAATTCTGTGATAAAAAAATAATCAGCAGAAGAACCATGTTTGTTAACCATCTCTAAATAATTACTTGTGATATAGCGATTGGTGTTGGAATCGGATTAGAGACTATTGTCATTCTTGGTATTATCTGGTCCGTGGTATAGTATATCATATCTTTGTATGGCCTTTTTTAATGCTATTTTGAGTTAGTAATCGACGTTTCAAACTCATATTATTTCGCTTGAGTTTGCAAAGCGAGGAAAAGTCTTTATACATCAATCTCCTTCATAGCAGCGAGTACCGATGAAATCTTTCGATAATAAAATCAATAAAATAAAAAGAAAAATAAATAAAATCTGAAAATAGAAGTCTGAGCGGCATCGAATGTACTTACTGAATGCACGTTTACCATTGTCCATGAAGTGTGACTTGTGAAGTAACAAAGCCGAGTAAAGTCGAGGAAATTGGATCTTCTGTTATTTTTCAAAAAAAAAAAAAAACAAGTAGCTATAAACTCTTCTAAGAAAGGAAATTAGACATGGAAAGTTGAGAAAAAAAGACCAAAAAGAGAAGAAGAAAAAGCCTACAGCATCCCGGATTCCCATGTTGTCTCCAACCATAGTACTAACGAGACCCTCAGACGCTTAACTGCAGTGATCGGACGGGAACTGGTGTTTTCGCCTAGGTGTGGCCGTAGACGCTTTGTATTCAGTAAGTATTGATTTATACAATTCACTTTGAATTTAATAAATACCAAGTAAGCATTAGTGAGCATACAAAAGCAGCTTTTAAGCTGATACTGTACAACAAATTTTGGATGGGAGATCAAAAAACCAAGTAATATAAATTACCACATGTGCGAAGTTCCAATAGATGAATTTATGTATAATAACCTATAGTTAACAGCAAGTACTTACCAGATCTTTCAGCTTGCAGTCCGGATGCCTTGATTGTTTCAGTAAAATGGGTGTAATTTTATCTCCATCCCTTCTCAAAGCCCGAGACAGTAAAGCTAAAGCATACACGGTGTAGCGCTTAAATAAGTTTTCTGAATATAAACGAAAGAACCAAATTAGGAAAAGCTGCTACGCTTTATTAATGGTGAAATGAAGTATTTTTATCATTTTATTATGACATTAGTTTCTTATAAAAGGACCGAAATAGATTTGAAGATTACCAATGATAAAATTAAATATTAAGATTCAAAAATTCATTCACATTCAGTGACTCCTTAGACAACTTAACATTCATATTGCTGTAAGGTTACCGTGATCAATTCCAAGCTTTTCTGCGGAATGATCGTTGACTGTATTATTTTAAACGAAGGATTCCCAATTGCCGGATCAGACATTAGGTCAATAATATTTGGCATTCTAGAAAAGCCATATTTTGTTTTGGCATAATCATGAAATCCATAAAACTATATGCAAAGCATCTGAAGAAAGCGAAACCTCTATTCACAACAAAATGGTAGTGATTCTAAGATGTTTAGACCAACCCAGGACTAAAACCTTTAGAAGATGAAGCTAATTGAAACTGTAAATAGACCTAAGACCAGGAGGGTAAAATTTGTGATTGCAACACACAAGTTTACTTGGGGTACATTTTTTGATTGGGGTCCATTGACTAGCAAGTATACACCACTGATAAAGGTTTTTGTTCATGAACGAATCAATATCTTAAAAAAAATCCTAATTCAAAATTTTCTTTGATATCGTTGAAATTATACAACCAGAAATAATTTCTACGAGCAAAATTGAAAGCTTCAACTCATAATCTTTTGATATCTTCAAGTAATTTTCAGCATCTAGAGAATATGCGCTGTTATACTTCTTTACTCCGTGATGGCATATTAAATCCAAGAGCATACTAATAGCAGAATTAGCTGTAACATAAACTTCATTTGAAGGCTAGTCCCTGATCATCACGGATCCCAATTATACTAGTTAACGATGGTTGAAATGTGAATATGCATGTTAAGGAATCAAGCCTTTAAAGAGTTCTGCTCAAGTATGCAAACTTTCATTTCTGTTGTTGAAGCAGTCAAAATAGAGCATTTATTTACGTGAAAATAAGCGGTAAGAAAATTCAGGTTTCCTTTATTACGACTCCAAAATCTTTGAAAATTGCCCCTAACAGAATAGGGTAAATGAGATCAATACTTCTAGGAAAGCGCTGGACATTATCCGTTTCAGCGATTAATTTGGTGGTTATTTAAAAGTCTCCTTTCACTTGCATTGCATTTGAATTAATGAAATCAAAGTATTTTGTACAAAATTAAATGCATATAGCAAAGTAAGAGAGGTAGTAAAAATTGTCAATAGAAGAATCATCTCAGATGCACCCAGTTGATCGTACACTCCTAAAGTATTTCCATCATTTTCTTTGAAGAAATATGTGGTGTTACATCAAAGGAATCAATAGATAAATCACCGAACATCCTAGCTACTTCGCTAGGAGGCGAAAAATTATACAGAGCATCAGTAGTATCGGAGCATTGGAATGCCTGCGGCATAATAATTCTATTAAAAAATTAGATGCAGTTGTGCGTTCTTTCATTTGTTCGACAAAACCTCGAATTCACAATAACCAAGTTTTCCATTTGGTAAGGAAGCAAATAATTTCTCGTCAGATCTCCCGTCTTCAGCATTGGGATAATTTCCAGATATTCGATCTAACATGTTGAACTCGCTCTGTATAATTCAAGTCGGGATTGCTTTCTCAGTGTTCTCAAAAGTTCAAGAATCAGGTTGTCCTCCTATAGTACAACTTGTGCAAGGTGCATCCTTTTGGATTTTTGAAAGTTCCTGATAAATAATGACAAATGAAAATAAATTTCATCGTTCATGTGATACTCATTCCTTTATATTGAGGTATGTATTGACAGTAATCCCACTAATAGACTTGAAAGCACAGTATACGATATCACTAGCAGTGAACCTGAGCATTACCAGTGTTCAATCGGACTTAAACCAGATTGAAAAAGCACAGAGATTTTGATTTATTATGTATATTCTCTGCTAAAGTTGATTCTTCTAAATCATGTAACAGGTTATCCGTAAGATGATATATCACCACCCAGATCACTTAAGGTATAGTAAATTTGCAATGCGTAAGCAAATCTACCTTAAACCATAACAGTACTTTGAAGTTGAAGTCAGTCAATTACGAAGGAGTTGGATATATAATAAAGAATGAAATTTAAGTTTTCATATATATCGGAATTTACAAAGAATAAGTAAATTGAAGCACTCAATTCAAGTACGGGTTGACCATATCGTGCAGTTAAAGGAGGCTCTTGCGAGGCTTCAAATTTACACCTTAGATTTTTGCTTTAAACAAAAAGAAAAGTATGCATTGTTCCAATCTCCATCAGAGCTTCACAGCTTCTTCCCCAGACATGACTCCATGTACGGTGCCATGCTATATGGACTATCAAATCCAGAGCGTACCATTCGATATGTCAATGATGGACGAGGATGCTATGAAACCTGAATGTGATCAAGACGATGACATGGATCCTGTTCCAACTACTGAGAATCCTTTGCCATCGGCAAGCGTATCTACTCCAGAAAGGAATGCTTCTCTGTTATTAAAGTCCACGAACTGGAGTATTCACAGTGATACTCCAGGTAATTATAATCCTAGATTTTTAAAAGAAATGTATTCAGTCTCCCCGACTCGGAGAAGCTTAAAATCCTTATCGCCAGGCCTTCGAAGAAAATCACTTCTTCCTAAACCAAAAATGTTTCAGCGTGTCGCGAATGCACTTTATGAAGAGGCTTCACCATGGGAAATCGAATTGCGGAGTGAGTCAAAATTTGCTAGGATGACATCGGGAAACATACGTAGCTCGAATTCGAATTTTCATAATCCTGTTTACCCATCAGCTTTTCTTCATTCAAAAGAAAGGACTCAAGAATCTCTAGCTAATATTCGGAGAGAAAAAGAATCTCCAGCAACTCCTCCCGTAAATACAGAATCGCGAGTTCCTGCTATTTCAATGGAAAAATCACATACGCTCTCTTCGCCAACAATAATTCAGACACCGAAAAAGAAGTCCTTGTACAGCATGACAACGAACGGGCTAAATTTTCAATCACCGAAAAATGTATATTCTTCACCACAGCTCAAAGAAAAAGAGATTGGTATTCATTCTAGAAAACGGTTGCGTTGGAGTGAAGAATTTACAGATTTGCCCAAAAGAAGAGCTGTTTCTCCTTTTTTATATAAATTTGATACGGCAAAGTTTTCTCCTGTACACTCAGTAAAGATTCGCTCTTTGCAAGTGAGAGGTACGTAATCCCAAGGACTGTGTATTTTGGGAAAAAAATTGCAAAGAAATCTTTTGATACTCTTTTTTTTCTTTATTTTTACCTTTTTGTCGTATATTATGCCTCAAAAAACACTAACATTTAGACACTCATGAAGTTCTTCGGAACTTGAAATTATATTAGGCGAAAGCTTACATTGGTGTCCGCCAAATTTATTTGTATAATATTTACTTATTTCTAAAATGTTTTAATTTCTGCGTTTGTCCTTAATCCTTGTCCTATGGTCCATTCTTTGTTTATTTAATAATATTCTGCCGTTGTTCACGGTGGTCTCCTCGCGTACAGCTCGTGGGCGTTGTGAATACCTCGTCGTCGTTTATCTATATGTTTATGGTTTTCTAATCCTATTCTATTCTATTCCATTTTCTTTCATTGTTTCTTGTGTTTCCTTTTATCAATATGTCAAAAAAAAAAAAAAAAAAAAATAGTATCATACACAAAATAGGACGAATGGTAGTTTGTTCATTGAATATATAAGCTTATATTTAAGTATTCTGTTAATTTTTAATTTATTTTCGATTAAATATTTAAACTATTAGCTAACAAATGTAACATGTTGTATCCTTAAGTCGATGTCTAGTTACACTGCTGCACAAAACCAACATTCATAAAAAATGTCAGAGGCAGAGACACCAAAAATCACGAGTTTTTTGTATTGCGATGTCTGCACTTTACCAGTAGAAGTATGTTTGGATAAATAAAAATTGGCGTATTTAACTAACAGTGAAAGTACTGTGAATTTAGTGGAACTCTGAAGAAATGCAAAGCATGGCTCAAATCTGCTCATGAAGACGTTTACCTCAAGTTGTACTCGGATTCTGAATTAGCCTCCGAAACAAATAAAAACTTAAACGTTACTGAAGAACCCACTGAAGGAGAACAGCCTACGAAGTTGACAAAGGAAGAACGCAGATTCGAGAGAGAAGAAGCAAAGAGAATGTCTTCCAAAGTTTATATCAAAACCATTGAGAGAACCAAGAGGAAGAGAGTTACCACTGTTCAAGGACTTGATGCATTCAACATTGAAACCAAAAAGGCTGCAAAGATGCTCGCCAATAAATTCGCGACAGGTGCCAGTGTCACCAAAACCGCCGATAAAAAGGATGAAATTGTTATTCAAGGTGATTTGGGATATGATATTTTCGATTATATTGCTGAGAAGTTTAAAGAGATCCCTGAAGACAACATTGTTGTTGTCGAAGATACCAAATCTAAAAGAAAGTAAACTTGTGGATTATTGAAACTTGATAATCAGAATAAGAAGCTATAAACGGCGTGCTACAACCTAGCACATACTCACACCCTTCAAAATATTGTCGTTTGATGTTTACTTTTCACCTCTGGAATCTCCTTAATTCAAACATGGTAAGTGGGTTCAGTATGCTAAGAATATCCGGTGCTCAATTTTCTCATTTCAGTTATCAGAATTTAGAATTCTTTGGAGTATAAATAGACAGAGCTCGCTATACAGCAGAATAGAGTACTCCATATTCCTGTTGGATTCCCTTAATGCAATATATATATGGTTGTTATCTTTCGATTGATATTTAACTCTATTTATTTTCAAAGCAATTCATATCTTTACGTCTGTCTAATGTACGCTAGATATCTTCAAGTTAATATATTTGAAATGGAAACACCGTCAGATCCGCAGCTCGTAGATCTCGACGGGACTAAGGACCGTAGCTGAATTTGATACTACTTTTTATTTTCCATATTGTATATATTATTCTTTATTTTCCTTATTCTGCATTTCATCAAAGTACATTCATCATTCTTATAGCAGTTCACTCTATTACGAATGCTAGTGAACTCCTTAATTCAGGCCAGAAAGCTAAGATGTAAGCTAACTGCTACCAAGTTTTCAAGAATGTATATAAGGACTAGAATGCCTCATATTGGGAGTAATATACTTCCAATACTGAGTTGCATACTAGTGGTGTCTTTATTGTTCTCAAAAATCGCGGCTGCACCTGCCGCCGAGGTTACAGAGACTATCTTTGATGCCAATGTGAAAGATTTCATGACATTTGAGGATTCTAGCGTATGTTTTTTCATTTTTAAGGAATTGAACTAATACTTGTATTTAGAATGTCTTATTCCTTGATCCAGATAATGGTGATCTTTATTTATCAAAGGACAACGGCGAGAATTGGCAAAACGGTGATGTTCCTGACCAAAATTGTCATATTAAATCTCTTTTTCAACATACGTATGCAAGCTCGCGTGTTTTTGCATTGACAGACTGTAACTATGTCTATTACAGTTATGACAATGGCGATTCTTGGAATTACTTTCTATTAGAGCATCAAGTAAATCCATCCCAAATTCCTTTCCATTTTCATGCGACCAATCCAGATTATGTGATCTTTAATAATATGTACTGTTCTTCCTCGAACAGTTGGGTTGGAAGAGTTTGTCGACCCGACATATACTATACCAATGATGGTTTTAATTCGGGAGCAAATCCAGCACCGGTGGGCATTTCATACTGTATCTTTTCACTTTCTACAGAATTGATGGAAGTGGCTTCCAATGACCAGATAATATGTATATCAGAAAACCCACAGAAAGCATCCCGCCCTCCCTTTAATAAACGTTTAATCTCTACTGATGACTGGTTTAATTCCTTAGTACCTATCCGACTACACCATTTACTTGGTTCTGACGGCGTATATGGAGTGCTTACTACCGGTTCTTTCATAATCACTGCATTATTGGACGCAGCCACCGGTAAACTCTTCGTATATGTATCTCAAGACGGAATCAACTGGCAAGAAACTCTGAAGTTTCACAAAGGATTTGAATTTGATGCTTTTACTATTCTACCCTCAACTGATTATGCCTTAGTTGTGGACAACTTAGACTCTCATCCTAATAATCCAACAGGTGTTTTGTATACTCTTGATTTTGATTCAAGTACTTTTGTTCTTCGGATGTCCGGTACGAACAGATATCTTGATGGTTACGTTGACTTTACTCAAGTGAACAGTGTTGACGGGCTGATGTTTGTGAATGCGGTGGACAATCTGAAAGAGGTAGACTCAAATCCAATGGCGGAGAAACTACTGAATACATATGTAACTTATAATGGTGGTAAATCATGGTCAACTTTGAATGCTCCTTCAGACGTTTGTGACGAAGGTGAAGATGATGAGACTTGTTCGTTAAACCTGTATATGGATCCTCGCTCTTCCCATAAAATGAAGTTTTCTCCTTTTGCTCCTGGAGTGTTGTTGGCTTTAGGTTCTGCATCACCGCATTTATCTTATAAGGAAGAAATGTCCTTATTTGTGTCTGAAGACGCTGGTCGTACCTGGGCTTTAAGCCGACCTGGTTTCCAGTTCTTTGCAATGTCTGGGTTTGGTTCTGTTTTTTTCGCTTGTGATGACGAAGTAACTAATCAAGTATTTTATTCCCTTAATCGTGGACGAACCTGGATAACATTAAGTTTGGATAGACCCATTACACCCCTTCGAGTCTACGCTTCAGCAGACCCTTATTCCGATATCTTTTACCTGATATCTGAAGCAGAAAACGATGGCTCAAAGCGTCTAGTTTACTCATTCAATTTTGGAAAATTTTCAAAAGAATGTCGCTACAGTTCCCAGGAATCAGGAAAGAATGATTTTGAAGTATGGTACACAAACTATGAAAACGGGAAACCTGTCTGTTCCGAAATGGGAAGAATCGAATCGTTTTGGAGAAAGAAGCCTGATGTAATTTGTTCAGCACCACGATCATTGAAAGAAGTCCATCATTCCACTAAAGATTGCGAATGTGTGGAATCTAGTTATGAATGTAATACACAGTTCTCTTCCAATGAAGATGGCACGTGTGAATTGCTACCTTTTGTTGGTAGCGTAATATGTGCTGCTGAAGATGTAGAAAGCTTTGAAAAATATCCTTATCGACGTATCCCCGGTAATACGTGCACGCCGAAGAAAAAAGATAATTTTGAGAAGCCTCAAAGCTTCAGTTGTGATGACTTCAATGCACCTGGGCGTGAACTCACCGCTAGTATTCAGGATTTCCCGGAAGAGCTAATTGATATAATTTACCTCGAAGGAACAGTTCCTGAAGAAAAAACTTTTTTAATTGGCTTCTCTAAAAGTGCTTATATTTATATTAGTTCTGATAGCGGGAAAACATGGAATAAATTTACTAAAGAGAAATTTATTGCAATTTATCCTGATTCCTATCAAAAGAATACGGTCTATTTAATCAATCATAGAAATGAGGTCTATTTCACGAATAATAGAGGAAGAAGCTTCTATAAGTTTAAAGCTCCTGCTTCTGCAAATCATAATGGAAAATTAACATTGATGTCCCATCCAACCCGTCCTTCGTGGTTGATGTTTACTGGTGAGTCTGGTTGTGAGAATGGACCTTACTCTGAGACATGCCATGATGTTGTCTTCTATTCTTTGGACTATGGTGATAACTGGACTCAGTTGTCTGACGAATATGAATACTGCTCTTGGATAAGGGGTGAAAATCTTTTAGTAGATGATTCTTTAATTTTTTGTCTTAAGACAAGTGAGGATGATATATTTCAAAAAAATCTCTATGCGTCTACTGATTTCTTTGAAAGCATCGAATATGAAATAATGAATAACGTTGTTGGCTTTATGATTGAAGACAAATATGTTGTATTAGCCGTTCAGGATAATGAAGGAAGCTCTTTATCTCTTCAAGTTTCTATAGATGGATTAGATTTCGCATCCTGCGATTTTCCTGGTTACTTGAACGTTAATCCAAAACAGTCATATACCATCTTGGACTCCACCACTCATTCTTTGTTCATTCATGTTACTACTTCTGCCCGATTAGGATCCGAGTGGGGTGATGTTCTTAAGTCCAATTCAAACGGGACATATTTTATGACTTCTTTAGAGAACGTAAATCGAGATTCCACCGGTTATGTCGATTTCGAACGTGTGGAAGGCATTCTTGGTGTTGCATTGGCAAATATAGTAAGTAATATTCATGAGCTGGGTGATGGAGGAGATAAAAAGCTTCATTCGTTGATAACTTTCAACGATGGCTTAGACTGGAAGCGTTTGGTTTTGGTTGATGGAGAAAAGATTTCACCGAAGTGTGGTAAAAGCTGTCATCTTAATCTTCATGGATATACGGAACGGAATCAATTTTCAGACCCGACCTCCTCAAGTGCAGCCGTTGGTATTATGATAGGTGTCGGTAGTTTTTCACCTTACTTACTTCCTTATGAGGAATCTCAAACCTTCATTTCAAGAGACGCAGGAGTCTCATGGTATCGCATATTTGATTCTCCTTACCTCTGGGCTTTCCTAGACAGTGGGTCATTAATCGTAGCTGTAAAGAGTATGACTCCGACAAATGTGATTCAGTACTCCATCGACGAAGGAAGAACTTGGAAAGAATTTGTATTCTCAGATGAAGAGGAGGTGGTGGTGGATCTAAGCACCAGACCTTCCGGTATAGGACATGAAATCCTCTTGCTTACATCAGATGAGGATAATTCCCCTACTTCCTCAGTCTACATAGACTTCGATCCTTTATACCGGAGGATCTGTGGTTTTGACCTTGAGGATCTAGATTCCGGAAAGGGCGATTTCGTTAAATGGATTCCTACAGATTTAGAAGGAAAACAAATGTGTTTGCTTGGCAGAGTATCTTCCTACTATAGAAAAAATCCTGAGAAGAAGTGTAAAATTGGTTCTTCCCTTTCAATCAAGGAGGAAGTAGTAAGCCGTTGTCAGTGTACTAGAATGGACTTCGAATGCGATTATAATTTCCGTCGGATGAAGGAAGGTACTTGCGTTTTAGTTCATGGCCTACAACCGCCAAACACCGAAAGTGAACAATGTGCAGCTGATGATGCTGTTCAGTGGAAAGAATCTACAGGGTATAAACGCACTCCAATGACTTTTTGCGAAGGTGGACTGCCGCTTGATTCTGGAAAAACACATGCTTGTCCCGGTAAAGAAAAAGAATATGAGAAGTTACATCCGAAACCCGGGAATTGGAGCATCATTTTATCGGTTTCCGTTTCAGTAATTTTGGCTGTCATTTTTGGTTATATATTTTATCGGTACTCCCAGCAGTATCTTAAAGGAGCGATTCGACTTGGCGTTGACTCTGAAGGTGAAAGTCCCATCAACAAAAGCATAACTTTCACGAAGGGAATTTTTGCTTCTATTCCTATCTTTTTTTATGCCCTTTATGAAAGTATACGCTCCATCTTTGTTAGATCGGCATCATCAGCTCCTGATTATGAAAATGCTGCCTTCTTAGAAAATTATGAAATTGATGACGAAGGCGACGACAACTTTTAAATTAATGTCATGTTGTACATCTTAGTTCACCGGCATAATATACGGGGAATATTTTATTTGTACTGAATTAAATAAAGATCTTTTCTTATGTGTTAAACTTAAAATTAAATTCAATATTTACTTGTAGTATTAGAACTTGGTAAATTTGTTTTCATTCAACTAAAATCTATTGGCTGGTTTTCATAAAGAATAATGCAACAAGACATATGGAATCATCTAGGAACTCATGTTCATATAATCGGCCGTACTGCTAAACTTTTGGTTACCTTTAACAACCTTTTGTACAGAATCGAGGAAATCTTTTTCTGTGGCTACCCTTCTCCTAGCACGGATAGCAAACATTCCTGCTTCGGTACAGACAGACCGTAATTCGGCACCAGTTTGTGAGGGACAGAGACGTGCAATTAATTCCCATCGGATATCTTTATCAATTGCCATACTATTCTAGGTTAGTATAATGTTGATTTTCATGCGTTTTGCGGAACATACCTTTTAGCGTGAATACGTAAGATATTTGCTCTACCTTCCAAATCGGGTAAACCAAACTCGACTTTACGATCAATACGTCCAGGACGCATCAATGCTTCATCTAAAGTGTTTGGACGATTCGTAGCAAAAAGAACCTTGATATTACCACGAGGATCAAACCCATCAAGTTGGGTAATTAATTCTAACATGGTTCTTTGGACTTCATTATCACCTCCAGCACCATCGTCAAAACGAGCACCACCAATAGCATCAATTTCATCAAAAAAGATAATACAGGCTTTTTTCGTCCGGGCCATCTCGAAAAGCTCACGAACCATACGGGCACCCTCACCGACGTACTTCTGGACTAATTCTGAACCAATAACACGAATAAAAGTAGCATCAGTCCGATTAGCTACGGCACGAGCACACAGGGTTTTACCAGTACCAGGGGGGCCATAAAGCATGACACCCTTTGGAGGGTCAATACCCAATTTTATGAAACGCTCGGGCTAATAACAAGTTAGCTTAAGTCTTAAGACATGACAACAATAGCAGTTTGCTGCGTAACATACAGAAAGTAAAGGAAGCTCTACAACTTCACGCAAACGCTCAATTTGCTCTTTACAGCCACCAACATCACCGTATGTGATATCTGGCTTCTCCTCGACTTGCATCATTGTAACAGAAGGATCAATTTTTGGAGGGAGTGGTAGCTGAATGGAATATTTGCTTCGATCACAACCTACTCGCATTCCTTCTTCGATATCAGTAGGGCTAACTCGTTCTCCTAAACTAACGACAAACTTAGCAATTTGCTTTAGGTTAATTACATAACCATTTTTTTCGACAGATTGTTCATTTTCAATAATTTTTGTACATCTAGCTACTTGCAAAGGTTGTTCTTCACTCATTCTTTGGCGATCGGCGGCAACGTCCCAGAAGGAAAGGGGGGCTAAACCAGTGTCTGATTCTTTGATGCCTGCAAAATGTTAGAGTAAATTCTTTGAAAAGAACAATATCCAAGCTTTCTAATATGAACTCGCATTTCAATTTCATAAAGCTTTAGTAATAGGACATTTTCTCATATGTTAACCATTCAACATACCAACAGTATCATTAATTCTCTTCAAAACAGCCTCTGTATCTTCTTTAATAGTCGTTAAATCTTGGGCATACGGACCAGTGGCCTATTGTTGTCTGTTAGTCACAAGCAAGAAAGTCAATGTAGAACAACATACGTAGCTCTTGAGTAACTCAATGTCTCCTTCATCTAAAGGAGGTGGATTTTTCTCATCTTTCTCCTCTGCATTAACCTGCTTTGGATACTTTTCCCAGTCTTCTTTAGGTGGCATTGTAGTTGGTGAAGGATGGAATTCGTTCGACATACCTCAGCAACGCCGGTAGAGATACAAATTGCGTAGTACGGTTAGATGCGGTAAATGAGAATTATTAATTCATTCTGGTTAGGAAGAACAGTGAAATGTTAGAAAGAAAATATAGTAAAAAAAGAACTACGTTCTATAAAAACGAAATTTTACAATTCAAAAGACGATATTTATTTTCTTTTTCTGTATTGCACGCAGGAGCTTCCAGAGACAGGGTTACTCTAGGTACGAGGACTATGGAGGGAAAGAAACACACATATCCATTCCTTTACATTTCGTAAGATTATGAGAGATTCAAAACATGATTCAATCATGTTTGTCAAAAACATAAACATGAACATGAAAGGACGGAGAACAAGACACACTGGGTCAACCACAGACACTATACTACGCTCAGATGTGGGGAGAATTACGAAAAGAAAGACATTAGGAAAAAATCCCAAAAACAAAAAGCGCTTTAAACAAGTTGCTTAAAGATTTGGGGATCAGCACAATCACGAGCACAGTGGTAAAGGTGGAAGAATTCTTCTAAACAGTCTTCAGACTTGTCACCGTTTTCCAATTTTTCAGTTACACGAGCAGTACATTCGTCAAAATGGTGCTTGGCTTCATGGCATTGGGGAGCCTCTTTGCATTCTTTTAAATATGTTAGTATGAAAGGAACGATGGGGAATTTTCAATTTAATCACCAATATTTCATGTAGGTGGATCTCGGCGAATACTCATACCTTCAATCTTGGTATCCAAGGGATCAACAAGTTCTTCTTCTTCTTCTTCTTCTTCTTCTTCTTCTTCTTGTCCTTCCTCGGGTTGTTCTTGTTCTTGCTCACCCTCTTCAGGCTGAGGTTGACTGGTCTCGGCAGTTTCTTGAGGGGCTTCCTCGGAAGGCTTTTGTTCCTCTTGGGGAGTTTCTAATTCCATCCTGTTAGTTTTCTGTCAATTGGAAACAAGACATCACCCACCTTTAGGTTCCTCTTTTTGATCATCATCAGAGGAGGCAACCTTTTCCTTGGATTCATCAACACTGGTCAGTTGTTCTATTAAGAGGTCGTTAGTAATGCATGTCTATTTGGATAAGCGGCCAAGGAGCTCGGAAAAAGAATAGAAAAAAAAATAAGAACCCCCAGAAAAAGAAAACTTTCTCCACAGAAATGAAAGCAAACCAACAATTGACTTTGAATATGAATTGGTACATCATCATCATTCAATTCCGATAAACCAACCGGTGCACATACCTTGATCCTTGAGCTTCAAGTTTTCTTCCCGAGCAACTGTAGACTTGGTGGTTTCCATAGGAGAATCTTCGGGGTTCTGGGTATCGGGATCTTTCTTAGAAGGGACTTGTTCATTGAATTCTTTACGATTAGGAATGTCCGAAGCTTCCGCTTCCGCTGCAATCGGAGTGAAGAGGGAGGAACTGAAGATATTTTTCAAAAAAGACATGTTGCTCAAGAATCTAATACTATATTAATACATAAATTCACTATTTCTTTGCTTCTTATCCTTACAAAATGAAGTGGCTGCTGCAAACAAGAGATGGGTAGTTGGCAGGAGTCTATTAACAAGAGCACAAGTGACGAAGTGACTCTGTATGCTGCTACTGGGTACAATTCCCAAGTTTAACATAGGCTACAGCAATTTCATTGTGAATGCTTCATAACTCAATTTCTTTTAAAATTTAGTTTTTTCTAAACAAATTTCTCATTTTCCACTGTATTTTTTCCTCCTCACCATTTATATTCAGGATACCGCAATGGTTCTCTATCGTTATTTTTTGTTCATACTGCAACAGGTTGCTGTATGTTACATTGCGTACTGTGTTGGAATTCGTATATGTAAACAAACAAAAGATTATTATTCAAAAAAAAGAAGACAAGACATCAATTAACCCGAATTTCATTGTTTTCATTCTGTAAAACATTGCATGTTGATTTCCCTTCTTTTTTTTTTTTTATCCATCATGAAAGGATTCAGATATCTACGAAAGTAACCGATTCAAAGCTAAAGCAAATATTAATGCCAATTTGCGCTCTAAAATAAAGAAGGAGATACGAATATAAATAAGGACACTGGAATGATGGGATTCCTCTTGCCAAAACTCATGTCTCATCTACTAAACTTTTATTGCTGAATGGATACACATTAGAACTAAGGAATCCGCTTCATGTAAACGAATCAAGCCAAAACGATTTTATTTTCTTTTTTATTTTTATTCTCTTTTCATAGCATATTTATAAAGAATAATATATACTTTCTTTTTCTCCTTTATCCTTCTTTCCTAATGAAAACAATACCACGCTAGCTATCACTATTCTATACCATTTCTTTGTTCTAACATTAGTACTACCCAGGCTTCCTCTATTTCTTTCTAGGGCACCTCTGTCAAACCGCGAAAGGAGCTTTCGTTATCCTTATAAATGCTCTGTATTTGTCATTAACAAATTTTGCAAGACCGATTTACTTTATTTCAGCCGCTAGTGCCTTTGTCTCTCCCGCGACTCATTCATCATAGGCAATGAGACCAACAATTAGTGAAAAGTCGGGAAAGAAAAATCAAAAGTCATCCAAGAAAAACGGATCGACTAGTAGACCTTCTTCTCCTCCTGAGACTTCTCCCACTCATTCTTCTGCTTTGTCTGAAAAAGAAGTATCATCGAGTAAACCGCAAACCGTTCCATCTGCTGGCCCTGATGCTTCTTCCAATAATACATTTCAATTTAAACTGGCTCAGTATTTGATTGTTATCGTTTCCTTTTTGACTAGATTTTGGAAACTTCACGTCCCTAATGAAGTTGTTTTTGATGAAGTCCACTTTGGCAAGTTTGCAAGCTACTATATACAAGGAAAGTATTTTTTTGATCTTCATCCCCCCTTCGCCAAGCTTCTCCTTGCCTTTGTAGCATGGCTTGCTGGTTACGATGGTCATTATCTTTTTGACAACATCGGCGATAACTATAAGGATTATGGTGTTCCTTATGTGGCTATTCGTGCTTGGCCAGCTCTATTAAGCTCTCTGGTTCCTCCTCTCGTCTTTTTGACAATGAAGGAATCTGGCTATGAGCTTTGGGCTTGCTTGGTCTCTGCTTGTTTGGTTCTTTTTGATAATGCTCATGTAGCAGAAGGCCGTTTAATTCTTTTGGATGCCACCTTGGTTTTTTCCATGGTGGCTGCCGTATACTGCTACGTTCGGTTTTTCAAGCTTCGTCATTCTCCCTTCTCCCGAGGTTGGTGGAGCTGGCTTTTCCTTACAGGTGTATGCCTTTCTTGTACTATAAGTACAAAATACGTTGGTTTGTTTACCTTTTGTTCCATTGGCTTAAGTGTGTGCTTGGAGTTGTGGTATCTTTGGGATATTAAAACCGGTCTTCCCATACAACGATTCGCTAGTCATTTCTTAGCACGCTTCTTTTGCTTAATTGTTTTTCCTTTCGCTCTTTATCTCTTTTGGTTCTTTTTGCATTTTCGACTATTGACAACAAGTGGTCCTGGCGACTCTTTCATGTCTTTACAGTTTCAAGAAACCCTTGATGAAAACCCAATTTCAGCTAATGCCACCGGTGTTAATTATTACGACGTTGTTACAATTAAGCATATGGGAACAAATGCTTTCCTTCATTCCCATCTTGACAAATACCCTATTCCTTATGATGATGGCCGTATTTCTTCCGGCGGTCAGCAGGTCACTGGTTACCCCTTCGAGGATGACAATAATTACTGGATGATTTTGCCTCACGATCATTATGATGATCCAAAATATAAACCAAATATGCCTGTAAAGAATACTGACTATATCAAGTTGCACCATGTAGGTACGAATACAGACTTGATTACCCATGATGTAGCTTCTCCTTATAATCCAACGAATGAGGAGTTTACCACCGTTTCTGTAGATGAATCCGCAGCAGAAAAACACGAACTTACTTTGTTTCAACTTGTGATTAGTGATGAAGATTCTCATGATCGACAAGTTTTTACCAAGGCTATGAGCTTCAAGCTAATTCATAAGCTTACAAATGTAGCTATGTGGTCTGATCCTAAACCGCTTCCTGATTGGGGATTTAACCAACAAGAAATTAACGGTGCTAAAAACATCTTGTCTGGTCCAATTTTTTGGATGTTCGATGATATCCTTGGTTTACCGGAAGAAAGAGTTAATAAGGAAGTACGCGTACCTAAGAAGCTATCTTTCTTCAAAAAGTATATAGAACTTCAACTTGTCATGTTTCGTCAAAACAATCTGTTAACAGAATCTCATCCTTATAGCTCTACTCCTTCAGATTGGTTCACACTCCATCATGGCATCGCCTTCTGGGCAAAAAACGAAGAGAATAAACAAATTTACCTTCTTGGAAACCCTATTGGTTGGTGGTTAATCGGTGGTATTGTTATAACTACTACTGTAGTTGCAAGTGTCGAGATGTTGTTACACCAACGAGGAATAGTTACGTTGCTTCCCAGCGTCCGTAATCATTTCTATCGCTCGATTATGTTTTTTTACGCCACATATATGTTCCATTACATACCATTTTATCTTATGGGTCGCCAGTTGTTTTTGCATCACTACTTACCCGCGCAGGTTGCAGGTGCTATGTTATGTGGTGCTTTTATTCAATTAGCTTGCATAAAATCTTTCAAGCTGCCAGTTTCACCTGGAGTTAAGCAGCCAACAGATGTTGACAGTAATGGTTATGCTAAGTCTATCCGGAGAAAAGGTTATATTTGTCATGCTCTCTTATCCCTTGCTTTAACTGCCGTTCTTGGTTATTGTTTTGTTTTCTTTGCTCCTATGACTTATGGTGATGTTAGTTTGAGTGTCCCTGAATGGCTTCGTCGTAAATGGCTTGAAAGCTGGGTTTTCCAGTACCAAAAATAAATGGCCATTTAAATGAGAATACTGCTTGTTATAATCTCCGATTTCATTCTGACTGGCAGTATTTTTCGCAACCTTAAAAACTTTATCGTTCGTTTTTTGAGGGCTTTAACAAAGCTTTATTCAATATTGGGATTGAAATCCCAAAATTCCCTATAATACAAACTAGATTTGTCTGCATGCCTACCATAGAACTTCTACTCTAATGAATACTTTTTTTAGAAATTCTTGACAATCGAATGTTTGGATGGTTATAAAAGTCATTTACAAATAAATGTATACTATAATAATTAAATAGTTTAATCGAAAATTGATTAAATTCGTCTTCAACTACTTATACTTGAAGAACTACCTTTCAAGATCTATCAATGAATTAGAGTACCAAATTTAATAAAAAGCTTCAACATATAATGCGATGACTAACTATGAAATTACACAAAATTCACTACAGGATGGAATTACTGGGTGCACGATTAGAAGGCTTCAAATGCTTCCTCTGATTGTACCTACGATATCAATACTTCCATTTCGTTCAGACATCAAAATCCATCTCCTTTTCGAAAACAGCACAAAAACAGCGACAGAAGAATTGCAACTGAATTTCTTTTTTTTAAAGCTTATATTGATAATTGTTGTATGTTTGAAGTGAAAAAGAAGAATCCCTATTTCTTGGACTATTGTCATTTTTGCCAACTATACTTTCATTATAGTCGTGTATAACGCCTCGGAATCGCTATAGAAAAAAACTTTTTGGAATGTATATTAGAAACTGAATGTCTTACTTCGTCGTTTATTATTTTTGAAACACTTAATTCTCTCTATATAATATGGTGAAAACTGCATCTTTAAGTTTAATGAGTAATTTAATAATGAAAGGTGAATCCGCCTCTTCAGACAAGAGTTCTAAAGCCCTTAATGATGAAGTACATAATCCACTATCTTTTTCCTCTACAGAAGAAGACGACAAAATCTTCGAATTCGATGATCCAACTACTAATCTAGCCACTTTGCAAGAGAATGAAAAAAGCGGAAGCATAATACCATCTAGTTTTGATAGGAAAGAGTCTACTGAATCAAGTGACTCCGATGCACTTGGGCACGAGGAGAATCCGAGAAATAAGAATGAAACAGAGCAGTCTGAGCCTGCATTGAAACCGAACTCACCATCCTTGCCTCTGTCAAACTATGAAGAGTCTGGGTCTGAAGGCTCTGATGGATCTGGCGAAGAAGAATATATAGTAGAGGCAGTATTAGACGCTAGACTAAAGGAGGTTCGTTGCATTTATTAGAGTCACAAGCTAACTAAGGTATAGAATGGAACTGGATATCAATATTATTTAAAATGGGAAGGATACGATGATCCAGAAGACAATACCTGGAACGAAGAAGAGGACTGCGTCGGATGTCAGGAGTTAGTAAACGAGTTTTGGAGGAAAAAGGGTGGGAAGCCTCCTATTAATATGTTAAGGACTAAGAGAAGAAAAGCACGTTCTACGAGTCAATCACGAAAATTATTAGAAAAGAAAACCGATGATGATTTGAAACCCCCAATCTCTACATTTTCTCGTAAACGGCGAAAATCCGCTACGAAGTCGAAAAACCTTGAAGAAAATTCGGACGTTGATCCATCATTGTCTCCTCTATTACGCTCAGAATCTTCTGCCATTGACTCATTTCTTGCTTTACGAAAAACCAATGCTTTTAAACCTCCTTTTCACATGGAGAGTTGGGAAGATCTGGTAGACAGGGTAGAGACTGTACAAAAGTTAAAAAGCGGAAAGATTATCGTGCAACTTCAGTGGAAAGATGGACAAAAATCTGCTCATGACAATGTTATTATTCATCAAAAATGTCCCCTTCACATTATCCGATTTTATGAAGACCATTTGAATTTCGAGGAAGAATAATAGGAACGATACCGGCGTTATAAGTTTCATATAATTTATATTTAACATCCATCTTCCCGAAGATCGATGACATGAACTACCAAAGTAACCGGATGCCCAAGACAAAATTAATTTGAAACGATTGTGCAATGAAATATCTTTTGAGATTAATTCCATTAATATTTACTACTGTACTCTACTGTACTGGGTTACATTACCGTATACGGTATACTGGGGTATAGTGAATTATAGAAAGTTTCGAGCAGTCACAAAATTTACGGTACGCCAAAGGTGAAATTTCAGTTCCTCTACCACAACCAAGGTCGACAGAATGGCTGCCCTTAAGATTGTCAAGAAGCACACCAAGCCTTTCAGACGCCATCAGTCTGACCGTTTCCACCGTGTCGGTGAGTCATGGAGAAAGCCCAGAGGTATTGACAACTGTGTCCGTCGCCGCTTCAAGGGTGTTATTCGTATGCCCAAGATTGGTTACGGTAACAACAAGAAGACTAGATACTGCATGCCCAACGGTTTGAAGGCCTTCCTTGTCCGCAACGTTGCTGACGTTGAACTTTTATTGATGCACAACAAGACCTACGCTGCTGAGATTGCTTCCAATGTCTCTGCTCGTAAGCGTGTTGAGATCGTTGAGAAGGCTCGTGCTTTGGGTGTCAAGGTTACCAACGCTGGTGCCAAGGTTCGCTCCCAAGAGTAAACCAGGGAAACATTACGGTTTAATCGAGTTTTGTATACATGATCCTGATATCAAAAAGGAGAATTTAATTAGTTTTATTTTCTGAAGAATTTTGCATATGTGTTATTTTCGTAAAATTCAATAGAGCTAGTAGTTTTGTGCAAAACATTTTTATGAGCTACATCAAAAGTTTCCAAATCTCCTACATACAATGAACCCAAATAAACATCTTAATTATTCAAATAGTAAGTTCACCATATCAGTTAACCAGTATACCCAAAGTTTTATTATATTTCTCAGATAGTATCCTCTATATTCCATGCATAATGTATATCATTCTAAAATAAAATGCCCAATTGGAGCGAGCTCTACTTTAGGCTTATACCAAATGCGATTCCGAAAAGTTTGCAGATTAGAAGATTTCGATTCCTCAGGCTCGACTATGGAGTTAAGCCGGGATGTTAGCTGGGCCAAATCTTCTTGCATCTGATCCACAGTCGTTTCTGTAATGATGTTTTCCTCCCCCAAAAATCCAACAGTCTTCACATCACCCCGATATTGACATAAAGCTGCGTATTTTTCTTCAAGTTCCTTATCCAAAGGTGATAATTCATCAACAACAGCTCGAGTAAAAGGGTCACTTCGTTGGATACACAATTCCAGTATTGAAGCTAATTCCGTCTGTGTAATTGATACACTGTTCGCCCAAGGCTCCGATTTGTATGCTGCCTTTGTCAGATAAATGTACCACTTAGTTAAGTACATGTACGCAGAATTTCTTTCCTTGATATCTTCGTTACTTTCATTCATGAAAAGTGTGGATTCCTGATAACTTAAACTAGCATCGTTGATTTCGGAAAACAAACGGGCTTGTAAAGCAGGAAGGAACAAGGAGTGTTTGGAAGCGATAGTTTGTAATAGAGGTAACCATAAATTAATCGCTTTAGGAAAATGATTACTCGAAGCCGCCTTGGAAGGAACTAAAAACTTTTTTTCTAAGAAACAAGAGACGACAATCTCTAAGTTTGTGGTTTCGAGTGCAAAACTCAAATCCTGCTCATCGCTTACGAAGGAAGCAAGAATATATGGTAATCGAGAAGAGCTAATAGAAACGATTTCAGAACAAATATCGTTAAATTCACGAACATAATAATGTTCTGATGTTAATTGATTCACATTTACAGAAACATTCACTTTCCTCCAGGATCTCCATTTCTTCAAAAGTTCTCTTACGCGCTTTTGAATATCAGCCTTGTGTGTCTCATTAACCTCCATCGTATCATCAACTATCCCCGAGTTTGCATTTGCTGCACGAATCCAATAATGATCGTAAAGCCAAGCCAAAGCTCTGTATGCGGTTTGTCGTAGTACTGGTAAAGATGGAAGTTCTTCGTGAGTAATTGCATGACGAATTTCAACAAAGGAAGTTGGTAAATCAATTGACTTTGCTAATATAGCCATTGGTACCGCATACTGCGATTGTTGAATAGGATCTAAAAGACCACTGACAAATCTTGAGATAGATAAAGACAAACTGAGTTTCTGTGAAGGATCTCCGTTTAAAAGAGACAAAACCAATTGTGCAGTTGCTTCTACAGAATGAGGAATCCGTCCTCGTGTTGACCATGACTGAACAATTTCAATACCTCGAAATAACGCGCTTGGATCTGGAATTTCTTCTTGTCCTTCATTATAAAAGCAAGACATTAAGAATAAAAACTCTTCTTTTGATCTCCAGGGTACTAATTTAAGATCCATGGCGTACAATCATTGCTTGAGGTTGGATTGGCAGTTGCTAAGTTCTTGGTCAACTGTGAAAAATCTAAGTGATAATTACAAACATAAATGAGTTTACTTTCTTCATAAAAATCTTAAAATTCAATAGACCTACGAATTATATTAAGTAAAGTATGCTTAAAATTTTCACTACCATTCAAACAATCAGTTGACGAATTCTGAGAACTCTCTTTACTTGTAGTAATATAGAAAGCATGTAAAGGATAAGTCTAATTTTCCTCGCTGAAGTTTCTTTGGGTAAAATATACAGTTTTCAAAAAGAGCGGATCTATGGAAACATCAATAAGTAACTATTTGTGCGGATCTTTCATATCTGGGCATTAAAGCATTGTCTCAAAGGAAAATTAAAAATTTTGTCTACATCACTTATCTTTCAATGCTTTTAAGTATAGCACAGGACTCACGGGCTAAAAGCATTTAAGGAAAAAATTTAAAGGGTATTATCGACACAGTTCGCAAAACTTAAAATTATTCTTTGATTTCCAAGTCATCAAGAGCTTCAGCAATACGTTCCTTGTGCTTCGAAACCAAATCAGATTTCCACTCTGGCAATAGAGTCTGAACTTCTTGAGGTTTAAAAGTACTTGCGAACAGGTTTGCTTCGGCATACCTCTGATTGGAGCGTAAAACATCCAGGCATTCTTTTGGCTGATTGGTAAGCCATGAACAAATAAAACTAGTGTTGCTGATTCCTGATTCACTTGTGAGCTTTGAAAGTTTTTTAAGCCCTTCTTGGTTATTACTGGAAGTATATAACAATAAAAGAGATCCATAATCCTCGGCTTTTTCAAAACATTCCTGAGCAAGTACAAAATCCCATGCATTCAATGCTGCATCTCCAAGTGCACGCCATTTCAACGAATCGTTGAATGACCTGGCGAGTTCAGCGGCAATGTCCAATCGCTTGGCTTCTATAGCAAGTTCAAACCTTTGGACATTATCGGAAGAAAGCTCCAAGGCGGCCTCCTTATAGCCTTGTTTGGCCAAAAAGTCTGAAAGACGCTCACGGTCGGCTTCGGGAATGTTTTCAAGCATATTACGAGCATTTTCCAAATCTCCTGCTAATACAAGTGACTGATATTGAACAGTAGCAAGGTTGAAGGAGTAACTGACGACGTTCATATCACGATCCGTCAAGTAAATACGAGCATCACGAGCGACATAGCCCAGTAAATAAAAGTTATGCTCAACGTTTGCAATTTTATAGGTTTGGTCACCAACCAAATAGTTCAAACGAGCATTATTGGTGGTATAAATGAAAGTGTCATTGATCCATTCACCATTGACAACACTGTCTGAGGCATCAGCAAGAGCTTCGAAAGAATCAGCTACACCCTCTTCTTCATCAGCAATATTGTTAGCAACAGCATCATAGAAAACTTCAGATTTGAAGTTTAGAAGATACATTTCGTTAGCACAAGCCAATATGACATAACGATGTTCAGGATCCCAATAAACATTGCGAGGCTTCACGTCAATCTTTCTTGCTAAAGCGTGAGTTTCCCAATCATAAAAGCAAATAAAATCGGAACCGGCAACACCTAACAAAAAGCCACCAAAAATGGTGTCACATGGGTAAGACAAATCTAAGACAGAGCTGCGTTTGGAATTTTTATAAATTTCAACAGAGCGATCAGAAACACGAGTGGCATAAACGTTAGAATCATGACCCCAAGCAAAATCCAACGCTTTTCCATAAGCTTTATTACGCCAAGCTAGGGCAGTATAAATAATATATTCACCATTTCCACAAACGGAGACGAAACGGCCGTTCGGAGAATGCTTGAGGGTTGCAGGATATAGTTCGGTAGTACCAAGTTCTTTGACGGAGAGAGCCACAGATGAACCGTCACTTAATTCAACTTGTTCTTTTACTGGTCGAATCATAGCAGACATAACTTCGTTATAATCACACCAAACAATCTTACCGGAGGTGTCCATTGTGACAGAAGGCTCGTCACGTCCCAAAGAGAAAGTAATAATTCCATTATCAAAACCGATCGAAATCAAGCCGTTTTCCTTATGTTGTGTGATACACCAGGCACGGTCTAAAGAGAAATTATAGGATTTAATAAGAGAATAAGAAAGAGTATGCCAAATTTTAACAGTACCATCTTCACTTCCTGAAATAATGAGAGGGAACTTGGGATGGAAAGTAGCAAAAGATACATTGTTTGTATGTCCCTCGAGAACACGTACGCAAGCCTTGGTCTGGTAATCCCATATCTTAATCAGCTTATCGTCTCCCGAAGTGACCAAATATGGTTTATCACCAGCAGGGTAATAGCTTACATGGTTGACACCACGGTCGTGTGCTTGTAAGGTGAAATTGGCGACAGGAGAGCCAAAGTTCCAAACTTTTACAGTTCCATCAAGACTACATGAGGCAAAGGTGTTTGTGTCTTTAGGATTGATGGCAAGACTCAAGACATAGCGAGCATGACCTTCGAAAGTTTGAACGCATTTCCAATTATTCTCCCAATTGAAAGCCCTTATTGTTGTATCATCAGAGCAACTAAGAACAAACGGTTGAGTAGGATGGACAGCGAGAGCTCGAATGTAATCAGGATGAGCCTCAAACTGAGTCACCTTTTCGCCAGTATTGTAATTATAGACACGAAGCTGAAAGTCATCGCTACCGCAAACGAACCAGTTTTTTCTAGCTATAAACAAGCATGCACGAATTGGAACATCATTAATTTCTAAACTTCGAACGAGTGACTGAGTTGCATAATTCCAAATGGCAACTTGTCCGTTGTAATGCGAAGCCAAGACCCAAGGCTCCGTGGGATGAAAGTCAATCGCTTTCACACGTTCTGTGTGGGAAAGTAATTTTCTCTATAACCATTGTGTTAATATCTTTGTTTCTTTCTTTGCTTTCTTTCATCCAAGAAAAAGTCATTAAACCGTACCTGAAAGTCCAAGCGCATTTTGATTCCCACAAGACCTCCAACTCCCACACTTTAAAAACAAACAAAAAAATTCAAAAGCAAACAAAGAAAAACGTAGCTAAAATGAACGAGTATTCCTTTGAGTACTAGTTGGTGTTGTTGACAAGACGGTCATCCCAGTACGCACATATGGTAAACGGGAAGGGTAGTGCATGAGGATAATCCACTATACGACCCTATCCTACAAAAGGGAGTGTATTCTGTTGCGCAAAATAAAGATGAGAACATTGGTAAACAAAAAGCAGGCAATGAACTTGCAACTTGTTTAGCTCGTTTGTCCTCAAACGAAAAAGCAATATACTAATTGCTCTGAAATTGTCAAGGAAATTTCATTCCAGCCAGGTCAGAAAAAAACCGTCAACAAGAAAATAAAAACTTTGCTCCAGCAGTGACTCGAACACTGGGCCTCTTGCTTACTAGGCAAGCGCTCTACCACTGAGCTACAAGAGCTAACTGATGTTGGATGCTACGCAAAGATATAGACGTTCTTTAGTTTAAACCGTAACTTCTATGCACATGAAAACACTATAAAAGAAGCTGATATGGCTACTAATTTTAATAAAAAAAAAATTGAATTATTGATTCTAGTACAATTCGCTATTGGTTTATTTTTAATGTAGTTTCTTTTAGTGTACAAGTAACAAGTAGTCTCGGTTACGAAAGGTTAAGAAATGCTTATTAAGTAGAGACACACACTTGGAGGAACTTGCCCACGACCGCCCAGCGCGAAATTGGGAAATTTCATGCATTTATACTATTCGTGAGTTGTTTCGTGCGAAAATTATTAGAATACCGGTTGATTTAGAAGGTCTGAAAATTTTTGGGGTACAGAAGAATGGCGGAGAAGGTTCAGTACTACTTGGAACGCAGTGTTCCTGAATTGGAAGACTTGTTGGAAAAGAAAATTTTCAACCAAGAAGAAATTAATAGCATTGTAAAGTCCAGAAGAGAATACGAAGGAAAGCTTTCAAGACGGCAAGTGAAATTAACAGACTTTTTGAGTTACATTCAGTATGAAATGACTCTGGAGGCACTCCGGAAAAAGCGTCATAAACGATTACAGATTAAGGGAAAAACGACTGTCAGTGATTATGCAGGTGTTCGGAAGGTCTTGTATTTGTTTTTGAGAGCAACCAACAAATTTTTCGGTGATTCTACCTTATGGTTGGATTATATCCAATACGCAAAGTCTATTCATGCGTCCCATATCGTTGGTAAAATTTGCGCTGCAGCTATACAAAAGCATCCAAACAACATTCATTTATGGCTCGTAGCATGTGACAACGAGTTTACTGAAAATGCAAACATGCCAGCTGCCCGCTCGTTGATGCATAGAGCATTAAGATTAAACAAGGAGAGCTCCGTTCTTTGGGCCTCTTATTTCCGTCTTGAATTGGCATATATGGTGAAGTTGCATTATCGTACTGAAATTCTCTTGGCTGCTAATACAGAAAAAGAAAAGGCAACCTCATCGACACCTTCCGGTGATACTTTGGATAGCGATCATATACAGCTTCCTTCTATATCCATGGAAGAATATTTGGCAAATGAAAATGACACGGCCAGCGGTGTTAATGAAAAGGTGACTTCGGCGATGAATGCCGAAGTTTCTACGAACGACGCTGAGCAAGTGGAAAAGTACGCCAATGTTCTTTACACGATATATTCTACTGCTTTAGAAAGCCTTTCTAAACGAGAAAGTGCTGAATTTCTCGTCGCTGTTCTTGACTTTTTATTCGAATGCGCTAGCGTTCCTGTAGCAAGATATCTGTTATCTGAAAAAATGCCCGAAATTCTTGAAAATGCCCTTAAAGATCTCAAGGCCGAAGGAGGGGCTGCCTATGGCGCCCTAGTACATCGCTGGAGTGTATACTCAATTTTCTGTAAATTCCATGGAATTTTCCCAGACCGTGCATCGTTATTACCTTCTATGGGTGTTTTTGCTTCTTCGGCTCCTAATCTTGATCTTATTTCTCGAGTGGTTCAGGACTCTGAATTTATCCATGACTTAGAATTGTCAATTCAAAAGTATCAAGCCGTCGTTTCCGATTTGGCCCTTTCTTCAAGCTCAAGACAAGAGTTCTACAAGTTATACATCCAAACTACTTATGAAATCTCTTCACTTTCTGTCACCGAAAGCTCCGTTAGTCTTGCATTAAATATGTTAACAAACAATGCGTTTGAAAAGTTGAAGGAGCAACCACTTTTCAAGTTTGATGATAATCTACAAAGACTTTATGAAGAAATTCAAATCCGAAATGGTGCTTTGGCGGAAATTGCAGCTTAAAAAGGGTTATTTCTTACGTAACATAAAATGGGGTTTTTTGGTTCACTGTCTGGCGAGTTGAATAGTACTAGGCATACACTGTTCATCTCAAAAAGTATAGGTTCTGGTTTGGTTAAGAATATTAATATTAATTTAATGTATCAAATATTAGATTCGTTTCTAGTAGTGGACTGTAAGATTGGTAGGCTGTGCCTTGCATGCAGCATTGAAAATGTTTGTACCGTTATTTGTTGAATTAAACCGAACGGGAGAATTAAGATAAGCAGACAGCTCACACATACCATCTGAGGAATGAGAAGGACCATAACCACAGTCAGTCAAAGGAAATACTTGCTGGTTAACCAGATGTCGAACGTAATATTTCTGATCTTGACATTGGAAAAGCTCAGTAATTAAATTTCCAGCAAAAGGAACGAATGAAGAGGTTTTAGCAGAATAAGTATAGGGATTTTTGGTAGCCGGTAGAGGAGTTTCGGGTGTGATGTCAGGGAAGAAACCAAGGGCAGCTTCAACGGCAAAGATATGAGTGTCATGGGTAAAGGCAAAAAATGTTTTTTGATTGTTTGTTTCATTATTAACAGAACGAAGAGATTCAGCTAGATTATTAACATAAGCACCACCCACTATAGATGACCATTTAGAGGCAGGTCCGCCATGAAAGGAGAATTTCAGGTCATAATCGTATTCAAAATTGATTATCTCAGAAGACGTGAAAAGCGAACAAAAATCACTTCCATCCTTTAGAGCGACTTCAAAGGCACATAAGTAGAAAAAGCTTCGAACATCATCGTTTGTAAGACTGTAATTTAAAAAATAAGGATTAAGACGGGTTCTAATGGGAGCTAAAAAGATCTTTTCCCATTGGGAACGAATATGTTTGGTTTTTTCATGATCGATACGCTTTTCATTAAATACAGGACAAGCCTTGAAATCAGACAAAGTGGCAGATCCAGCTGACTCGTCTTCTGGGACGTAAATGAAATTCGATTTGTTTTTCATTTCTTCTCCAAACATACCATAACTATACCAAGTGGCAGACTCTACGACGCGGTTTTGAGCAGCCGTGTTAATTTCGTAAACATCGCTATCAAACAATGTGCTATATCTAGATAAAATTTCACGACCCATTTCAAACAATTCTAAACGGCCACTGCTGGACAGTTTATCGGCGTTATTGGTATCGATGACTGGGATCCAAGACTTGATAAATTGAAAGGGGTTACCAGGAACTGTATAGTTTATTGGGAGAGATCCATTGAGAAGACGGTCTTGAACCTGAGAAAGGTAACCAGCATTAGTGACACTGTCGCCCGCAGTTGGATTTCGTGAACCATGGCGTTGCAAAACATGAAGTTGACGAATTTCACAAGATTCCGGAAATCTTGAACTTAATCCACCAAGATATGGCTCATGGTAGATACTTAGACTGCCCATATGTTCTTGAATATTAAATGTATCTTTGAAAGATTCGAAATCCGTAACACTAGCCGACGCAAGGCCTGCCATGAGAGCGAAGAGCCATAGGGAAAAGTTATATAGCTTCATACTGATGAAATTCGACCAAAATAAAACAAACTAAAGATTGACGATAGAAGCAATTAGATAAAACTCAAAAAGTCGCGACAAACGGTCAATGTCCAACGGCAGTAAAACAGAACTCTCACGGACTAAAGGAAGGAAAAGAAATAAGAGAATTATATATTCTATACTCTCACTCGTACTTGTAAATTATGGTAGACTTTCGTCTCTAAAAGAGAAAGTCTATGGCGTACTATATAAACAAGCCCAGTAAAAGCGAGTTGGTGACTTATTATATTTGCTATGTAGTGGGTAAAAATATTCTTAGCGGGTATTGTTGGAAGACAATCGATAAACTAAAGGAAGAAAACCTGAAATAATTTCATCGTAAAAAGAATTCAAAATTCTATCTCAAAGAAGAGAAATTGCGGGTTTCCTAGTAGTGTTCTGCAGTAACTTTGGTTTGTTTTTAAGAGTTATTCATATCAGCTTGCACGAAACTTTTAGGAACAAGAAACTTTTGATGATAATAATAATTTATTCATCTTAAGAACAAAGCAAAGTAGAAAACTCTAGTCGTTTTGATTACTCCCCAAACCTTACATTTTCTCTTTAATTAACCTTTCAATTTTTGCTATTACCGCCATCCATTCAAGCCAACGGACCATTGCTGTTTTAGTTTTTTAGTATTTCATGTTAGTATTTCAGTAAATATTTGAACAGCAGACGAATTGATTCTCAATCTATTTTTCGACTTCTTGGTTTCATATTGTAAGAGATTCTTTCGTTGTGCGTATTCGCTACTCTTCAAACAATCATTACTTACTTCAAAAGAAAAATAAGGTAATTTTTTCTATACAAGTCTAATTGATTTCTTAATCGTTTACTTTGTTGTTTCAGCGTTTCTACTTTTTTGTTTATTTACTATTTAATGTCGTTACTTCTATCCTAGTACTAGGTAACATATTCATACAACTAAGAACTCTGAGAAAACCAAAACTCGAAAATAAAGGATGGATGAAGCTTATGCAGATAGTTTAAGCACAGATTTTCGATGGCTAGGACACTCTCATTTTGATAGTCATCCCTCTGCAGGTGATAGCATTCAATTAGATTCTAATGAAGATGGTAAGTACTACTTTGTAAAGGACGTGTTCCCATTTGAGCTGTCTTGTTGAGTTTTTAATCATTGATTATAAAATTTCAATAATAATTTTAAGCTTGAGAAAGCATCTTTCATCATAAATGTTGCTTTTTACTGACATTACTTCTTGTAGATTTCGATCCTTCTCGTGTTGATCGAATTGGTAGAATTGCGGAGCTACTAGATGGCTTAGAAGAAGAACAGATTCATGAACTTGTTTCCGGAATTAATGATACTGCCATCCAGGATAAGGCATCTGCCAACCCAGATCAAGGCAACACCATCAACTATCCTAGTTCACCCACAAAAGTAAACGAACAAAAGTCTCTTCGAAGTGTATCAAATTCTCAACCACCAGTCGAAATTTTCTCGAATCCTTCCTTCCCTCCTCCTCATCACCCTGTAACATTTACAAGTACCCCATACAAACATGTGCCAGCTGTCTCAGATACAGAGCCATACAATTCTCAGCGATTTTTTGATTATAGGAATGCAAATGAAAACGAAAACCAGAATCAAAAGCAATTCTCGTTTCCCTCTTCCCATTCAACTGCGATTTCTCAGACAACTCAACCGTGTACCGTTCCTTCTAACCCCACTGCTCCATCAACTCAAAATTTTGAAGCATCTAACGCTAATAATCAACGCCCTTATCAGTCCGGTACCAGTGATGAAGCAAACCAACGTTCGCAACAAGGTTCCTTGCATGAGCAGAATGCGTACTCTCCACTTTATTCAAATTACCCAAAGACTCATGCACAGCATCTTGGAGTTCCTATAAATCGCGGAAATGTATATGTGGAGTCAGTTCATGATCGCCAAGAGCCTACAGCCACCTGTCCTCCGACGTCTTCCACTTGTGTTTCTACAATAAGCCAACCCCAACCGGTTGTAAGTAGTAAGCTTGATCCTCCTGTTTCTCAACCCGCAAATTTACATCTTCACCCGTCCCCTCCAGCACCCCCTGCTGCCGCTCCTCCACCTTCAACACTAGAAGTTTTACCACCCGCACTAAATGAGGTATTGGAAAAAATGAATACTACTATACAGTCTCTTACAAACCAATGCCAACAACGAGATAAGCAGATTGATTTACTAAACAAACAACTGTTGTTTAATAATCAACAAACTGCAGCTACCGTGATGCCTGCTATCATATCAGACGCCCCTGGAGCGCCTAATCAAAGGAATATGGCTGACTCTCCGAACTATTACCCTCGTAAACCGCCTGCGCCAAAACAAACTCGTTCTGTAACTGTCGGCAACGATACTCCCTTCCCACATACAAAGCCCCAAGGCACTGTATCGAATGAAGTTCGGGTACAATTAACGACACTGGATGCTATTCTATTACAATTTGACCATCTGAGGAAAGAGTTATCTCAAGCTCGTCATGAAATACAAATTTTAAAACAAGATGCGAGTCAGGCGAAGGGGATATCAGATGAAAAATCCAACCATAGCACTGTTAATAATTCAAGAGAGCAGACTTCTTGTGCCAACCGTCCGGAACATAACGACCTGTGTTCGCACCGAGATAATCCAAAGTCCTCCATATTGCAGCCTATAGAGGTACCAAACGGTACTCTTAACAAAAATGTACCATCTAATGTAAAATCTAAGAAACCCAAAGACGTTAGTCCCCAGCCTATTGCGCATACTTCAAAGGCATTGTCGCCGCAAGACATGCCTGATTCCAAATTTAATCTGCCAAAAGAAAATCAACTATATTACCGGCTGGGGCTACATTTGATTGATCGTCAATGTAGCATTGAGACAGCGAATATGCTTAAATCAGTGTTGATACAGCTAGACATGCCCTACACTATATTTCCTATGGCTATTGGACAAGTACGAAGGCAATTGCAACAAGGTAGACGCTTGTATCAATGGATACATGTTGTTCATTACTTGTTATTTCATGAAAAGATGGAAGAAGGTCTGGTTTCGAAACAATGTTTGTCTAATTTACTTAAAAAGCTACAGGAAAAAATACGCCCGCATCGAAAGTAAACTATTTACCCATGATAGGAATTTACAATTATTTTGATGGATAAGGATGAATGACCAAAGAAATGTATTATTAATATAAATTCGGAGCATCAATGGAATAAAACGTACTTCGGGAAGACTGAACTAGACTAGTAGGTAAAAAGTAAAGCTGTTGCATTAAATGAAGGGTAAAGCTATTGTAAAAGGGGTTTTTTTTCTGATAGTAAGTAGAATGCGGAATCCTATTTTTCAACGTGTTCATTCTGATGAATCAACTGGTTTACCAAATGTTCATCACAAAATTTTAGAGCCTCTTGTCCTCCTTTTTGTAAATAAATAGCTGCAACTAGACTGAAAATTGTAGTGCTCAGAACTCTATCTAGAGGTGGCTTTTCATTAGTCTTCCCATTAAGCAGAGGAAGCATGCAGCGAACCGCCGATTCAGGTTCCCAATCTTTTGTAGCCAAAGTGATTCTCCGTGGAGAGCGGAATTTTGTTATATCTGAGTATTTTGGAACATTGCTTACATTTCCATTCTTTAAAAAGTGATTCATCAAAGATACGTCAACGACCGCGACTCCAAGTGAAACAAGAGGTTCATTATAAGCAACACTTCCTTGTTTGTAAGATTTGTGAGTGAATATTTGCTCTTTCAATTCTCGGGTTGGAATGTAGTTCTTACTTCCAAATACACGGTTGAAGAATGAATCAACGTCTTGAGCCGAAGAGCTTAATTCGCAAGTATGGCCATTCTCCTTTGGATAGATGTTCATAACATTTCGGGAAAAAATACTACTTAAACTTTGAGGACGAACCACACTCCATTTTGGTATAAATCCCGATCTCAAAATGCCTCTAGAAAACATGAATGTATGATTTAACAAATATTCCAAAGTAGCCTTTTTCCTTTAACAATACACGTCCAAAACTAATTCTTTTGAAAAGAAAAATTACTATAAAAGAGATTGTTGAAGAAAGCACTCAAAAGAAAATGTTTCTTTCCCTTGGGTATTAAGGGTGTGGTCAAGACAAAAGCATTCATACATAAGGTCCCATACAATTCAAGCCAAGTTCTGCAATTTCGCTAAATTGATTGAATTAATATATTAACATCTAATAAAAACAAATAATTAGTTTCATTACATGTGACAAGGCCCTATTTTGAATTTCAACTTACATTTTTTACTAGTTTAAAAAAACTGTATGAGAACCAAGAACTCATTGCTCGCGATCAGTTTATTTAATTTCTAATTTGTTTAGAAAAATTTTGTTGTTTTCTAAAATTGATTTGTCTAGTCTAATAACCTGAATTAATGGAATGCACGGATCAACAAAGATGAATCAGGATGATTTTCGAAAGCTATTAGCTACCCCCAGAAGCGAAACCTCAGAGTTAGATAAAATACCAAAGAGATCTCAAGGTCTTTCATTTGGCAGGCGACATCCAAGATTGCCTACATCATTACCTCCTAGATCAATCATTAAAAGACATCCGAATCCAAAACCTAACTTCAATAAGCCTTCTTCTTCGTTAACAGAAGCAGGAAACTTTGATACCGATGAACCTGAAACGCTCTCTGAAAGCGATCGTCTCGTGCAAGATTTACGTAGTAAGCTTCACCATGGTGAAATTACAGGAGATGAATTTTCAAGAAGAACACAAGAATTAGGTGGGGATTTGTCTACTACTCACCTTGTTCGAGGTTTAGATCGCAAACTTCTACAAAAAGCAAAATCTCAACATATCGAGCCTGATATTCCTCAATTTACGGAAAAAACCTCGGAGGAATCCAAACCAGTGGAAAATGAAGAACAGGATGATAATCTTCTTGAAGAATTGGCTGAGAGAACAACGAACACAAGTCCAAAACCTTCTGAAGATGCCTTGGTAAGCTCGGCAAGTACATATATACCAAGATATCCTAATGGGCAACCTAAATACCGAAGGGCCATCGAAGAAGGAAAAAAAGTGAAATACGAACTTGATGAGGACGGGAATGTTTTAAAGCGACTGGTGAAAAAAGATAAAAAGAAAGTTCCATTAGAGCGAACGACGGCTCACAACGATAATGAAGCACCACCTCTTGATGTAAAAAAACAGAGAGAGGTGGTTCCTTTACCAAAGGTTGATACAGATGCTGATATATTTGAAGAAGCTGGAGATGACTATGACCCATTCCACGACGATGACGATAATGATAATTCTGAGCCCAAGCGTATTAAACTAGAAGTCGGGGATAAAGAATCGAAAGGTAATGAATCCAATATATTTGTCGGTAATCTCTTTGCAGATGCAAAAGATACAGTTCAGGATGGTCCTAAAGATTTTCGACGACAAATCCAGCATTTGGCAAGTTTACAGAGTCGAAGAGAAATTGAAGATTTGAAGAAACATGAAAGCAAAAAGAAAGTGGATGCTGGTTTTGGTTTGACATTAGCAAATGACGATACTTTGGACATCTCTGATGGGGTCGAATCTGAAGATGATGAAGATGGAGGGAAAAAGCGAAAAAATCGAAAGTAAACATTTTGAGGGAAGCATTTTAGTTACTATGTTAAATGAAAAGTTGCATTACGAATAAAAATCAACAAGGTTAATTTCAAGAATTATGCTTTATTAATATTCTGCAATTGGCAATAAAATAAACACCAAGCACCAAAATCCAAAAAAAAAACTTGTAAACCTAATGAAGAGATTCTTTGAGAGTCTTAATTTGCTCCAGTACACAAGACTTAGCAGTACCGCCAATAGCGCATCGTTTTTCAACGCTCTCCTCGTAATTGAATACTTTCGCAACATCATCCTCATAAAGGGGATTTAAAGACTTAAAGTCATCAACGGAAAGCTTGTCGATTGTGGTGTTTCTCTCTTCAGCCATACGAACAGCAGAACCGGAGATATGATGGGTTTGACGAAATGGAACACCCTTACGAACTAAATATTCGGCCAAATCTGTAGCCAACATATCAGCTGTTAAGCTCTTAGCGATTTTTTCAGGATTAACAGTCAAGGTTGAAAGGACACCAGTAAGAATTTGAACTGAATCAGAAACAGTTTTGACGGAATCAAATAGAGCTTCCTTGTCTTCTTGTAAATCCTTATTGTATGTCGATGGAATGCCCTTTACGGACATCATGAAACCAACCATGTCACCAAAGACACGGCCAGATTTACCACGGAGCAATTCTAGGGAATCTGGATTTTTCTTCTGAGGCATAATGCTACTACCTGTAGAGTATGCATCGGAAAGTGTCACAAAACTGAATTCAGAGCTAGAGTAGATGATAAGGTCCTCAGCCAAACGAGAAATATGGGTCATAACCATACTAGACCAATACATAAATTCAATAACAAAGTCACGGTCGGCAACAGCGTTCATAGAGTTCATGATAATACCGTCAAAACCGAGCTCCTTACAGAGGAATTCTCGGTCTACAGCAAATGGATTACCAGCCAAAGCACCAGCCCCCAACGGAAGTTGGTTGACACGGGTGTACAGCTGGTTTAAACGGTTCAAATCAGAGAGGAGAGAGAATGCATGAGACATCAAGAAGTGAGACCAGCGGATGGGTTGGGCACGTTGTAAATGGGTATATCCAGGCATAACGATATCGATGTCGGCTTCAGCACGAGAAGCGAATACTTTTAATAGATCAATGAGAAAAGCTTTAACAACTTTAATCTGCTCACGAAGCCAAAGACGCATATCCGTAGCGACTTGATCGTTTCTACTTCTTCCAGTATGCAACTTTCCGGCGATTCCTGTACCAATAATTTCACCAAGTCGGCGCTCATTAGCTGTATGAATGTCTTCGTCAGAAGGATGAAGAATAAACTTGTCCGCTTTCCACTCTTCGCGAACGCTTTCTAATCCTTCCAAAAGCTTTTCAAGCTCAACTTTGTTGACGATTCCACGTTGCTCCAGAGCTTTTGCATAAGCTTTCGAGCCATCCACGTCTGCATTGAACATGCGCTTGTCATAATGTATAGATTCATTATAGGCAGTCATCAAAGGATCTGTAGTGCCAGTAAATCTTCCACCCCATAGTTTTTGAGAAGCCATCTTAAAATTATTTCTTAGTTGCACAAATGAAAACGGTAAATCAATTAAACTAAGCTAAGGACCAAAAAATTCAATTCTCTAAAAATTTTCAAGTTGTTTGCTATAGACAGATTGAAACCTGATTCAGAGTCCCAGTACTACTTTTAGATTCCATACAGATAGATAGTTTCATAGATCAGTAGAATCATTATAGGGAGCAGATGAAATATTTTTTCTCTTTTTATAAAAAAAAATCACTAAATCTTATATCCAGAGAGTTTTATCGCCAAACTTGCTTTGGATGTCTATTAGAAGACAAGAGCTAATTTGAATGAAATAGCGTTTCTCTTTTATGCCTTCCTTTTTCTCATTTTCCTTGCAATCATTTTTTAATTTATTGATTTTATTATTTTCCTGATATTAGTACTCTTTCAAGTATCTTTGGTACTGTCGTTGTCAAGTGATATCCTTTTCCTTCTACATGCCTTATTACATTTCACAAAGAATAATTCCAAAAAAATGAAATAAAACTTTACTATAATAGAATTCTGTAGTTGCACTCAGTTGGCTTTTACTATACAGTCTTCTTTGTAACAATGGCCGTAGAAACTATGATACAAATGGTTATGTAGAAAACAGAGGATAATCGATTTGGAAATATTCATTATTACTAGCTCAAATAAAAGATACTTAGTTGGATTCGGCTCGATGTAAATAATTTAGATAGACTTCATCATGTCGATGCACCATACTCGACCGTTTGGTAATGAAAAGAAACAACCTGTTTAAATAAAGAATTATGAAAAATTTGAAATACTTTATAACGTACATATTTGAGAACAACAGATTGCATTTCTATTTAGATGCCACCTGTCGAATTCTTCGTTAATCTATACATCATCCAGTACTGGCTTTACCAACTTACCCAAAGCAACCTCCTCTCAACGAAAAGCGATTTGATTTTTTGTAAAATGCCACCAAAAGTATCTCCTAATAAGCCATTAGGCGAACGCCTTCTTCCTCTTGTCAAAGTAAGTTTGTAATTTAGCTTGAATGTGTATACCCTTGTCACGAATGGGAGTAGGGATAACAGAGACTTGTCTTTTCCTGTAGGATGAAAGTATTATTAAATTTCAACAAGAATTTACAATCGTATCCCAAACGGCTCTTAAAGGATCTTTGTCATCCGCGATTCTCGACATCCGTTGTATCCAATTGTTACAACATCATTCAAGTGTTCTTTCTAAGATGTATTATTCAAGGACTTGTTGGCTAACCAGTTTATTTTTAGAATACTCAATTTTTTTGGTTTTTGGGTCAGTTTGCTGTCGTGCTGTTTAGCGCTATTTATACCTTGCAAGTGGTTCCTTTCCGTCAAGGTTCATCATGCATATTCAAGACCGGTATTGCAGGAGCCGTCTTGGCATATTCCATTGTCCTTTACAAGGTTTATGGCTCTAGCATCCTATCTCGTTCCTCTTGGAATACCCCGTTTTTACGCCGTATAATGACTGATGATAATGTCTTATATTTTGTTTTGGCTTTATCTTTGTTGTTGAACCGTCCTGTCTTGTTTGCCCTTACACCTTATGCTATTTATGCTACGTTCCATATCTCTACCTACATGCGTAGCAACCTCTTGCCAGCTATTTCTCCCTCCGTCACAAGCGGTACTGAACCAAAGAATTATGTTTATAAAGTATCTCAACTCCTTAACAAGTACACTCGTACTCAATTTCAACCAGCCATGAAGCTTGTTGCCAACATTGAAGCATTCCTCTTATTCCGTTACTTCTTTGGTTTCTTCTTGCGCTTGAACACCTTCTCTCAATTTATCTTCTATGCCTTCTTCCTTCGTATGCGTTACAACAGCAGCCATTTCACTCGTGCTTCCTTCCGAGATATTGGTCTTCGTATGGACCGTGTTGTCGCCGACCACCGCGTTCCTCCTCAAGCAAGAAACGCTTGGGCCCAACTTAAGCACTACCTCTCTAAATTCGGCAATGTACCCCTTACTCAATCTCCCGCTTCCGGTGCTCGCCCTACCTCTGCATCCACTTAAGTGAATTTTTTTTTCAGTTAAAAATATCTTTACCCTATTCAAGCTGTTACTGGTTCCCTTTGGCTTTCCAATTGCTTATTTCCACAGGGAGTTATCGGGCTTTTTTTAATCGATAAACTTGTATTATGTCGTGTTTAGGACGAGCAAAAGTTTATAATCTGTACTAAGACTTTTATTGAATCCAAAACCTACCCTATACCTTTTTAATAAGTAATTGTTTATGAATAGTAGTTTCCCTACCAAATAACGTTCTTCCCTAGTAAAAGGTTTTGCACTAACAGCAATCGCGTACATGTATTGAAAACGCTCTAGAGGTGCTCTAGAGGTGGACTGAGAATTCAGCGTCGTTGGGTTTAGATGTCTACTATATCTACGCTTTTTCTTTGATTCTCATATTCAGTACACTCATTAATTAAGGTATGAAACAAAAGTGGACCACCAGAAATATGAATAGCTGATAGAGGAAAAATAACAATATTACTCTTTCTGTGATTTAATTTCTTTATTCATACTTAGTTATGCAATTCTTTTGCTTTAGTTCATTGTTTACTATTTCATCACCAAGTAGCTGAAATTTCGATTGCTACTTCTTATTTCGGGGAACTTCGGTGATTTGAGAAGTTTCGGTAAATAGTTCTCCGAAGCCTTAAAAGAAGCACTGTTTACAATTTACCTGTTTCGGCATGAATCAAACGAGGATAGAGTTTCTCAATTAGGGCATAGAAATATGTTTGATCAGTGGGATTTTTTACATTCAGAGAATGAAGGGTTAGTCAACTTTTCGCAGGTAAGGTAAAAGTAGCATTTATCGATATTAACGTGTACGGGAAAGCCATTGAACGCGTTTGAATCCTCAAAACCCATGGCAAATGATCAGCCTCCCGTAAAGAATTTGGGATCTCCGATATTTGATTCCCCTACTTCACTTAGGCGATGTAACTCTTTGAAATTGCTAAGTCCAAAGTGTGAACAAGGTGCTGAGGTAGCACTAGAGGATACACAAAAAAAAATGGATTGGATAGAACAAGATTTCGAAAGCGAACTTTTAAAACGAGCAGATATCCGCATTCGTGAGCTCCAGGCCTATTCAGCATTCGCGGATGGACTTTCACAGAAGACAGATGAAATCAAGCAATCTTTGTCATCTATAAAGACTAGTTTTTTGGTATCAGAGTCAAAGTTAAATGAGTTTTCTGAGACGTGCAACGCACTCGGAACTGAAGAGGTATGGATCATCAAATCGAATATCTCAACTTTACTTTTCTGTTAACACATATGATATAGGAAGCATTTTCTAGACTTGCTAATGATATTGGTGAAGGATTATCTTATTTTGCACCACTAAAAGAACTGATTCGTGTTTTTCGTCACCCGCCGTCAGACTTGGTATCAAGAAGTTCCTTTCGAAATTATATTTTGCAAATAAACAGATGCATCGACTTCTTGGAAAAAAACGTATGCTTTAATACTCTTTTCCATAATCGTTACTAATTTCTATAGACGGATTTTCAAGAGAGCGAATTTTATTTATCTCAATATAAACGACTTTTAACTCAAGGATTTACTATGTTTAAAAATCACTTTTTCCGTCTTATTAAGTTAGCATCTGAACAAGTTGCGCAGAGCGCAAAGACCATGGTAATGGATTTTGAGAGTCAAATTGTGATTACTAACTAACTATCTAGCAAATAGACAAACAACTTGAAAGCTCTATTTTCTATTCTCGTTTTAGTGCAATTGCTCTTCAAATTCGACCGCTGCTCATAGAATTTAAGAAGAGTATTTCCGAAGATACGTTTAATTTTACTGCGTTTTATGATTTTTATTTGCAAACCCGTATGCGCTTGCTTCAGCCTGTTCTTAGCAGTCAGATAAGGAGTTTTTTCTTAGAAAAGTCCATTACTTCGTTCGTAAGTACCTGAAAGTTTGAGTTTTGTGTTAACTAAATAACAGATTCAAAAATCTTTAGCTATCCTACAACTTACTTTCTTTGATGAAAGCAGGCTGTTTAATGAATTCTTTGATGAAACAAATGAAAAATTTACAGAATACTGGCAAAACTTATGTGAGACTTTTTACGAAGGTTCCAGATCGATGATTCTACGTGAGAAGAATTTGACAGATCTGTGTGAAGTCTGTTCCTACATACGGTCTTTCCAAAATTCGATAGCAGAAGGAGATAGGGAAGAAATAGGAAAAGAGCTTGCGACGCATCTTACTCCAGTAGTATTTGAACTTCAGAACCGAGTGATATTTTTGGTACAAGCAACTATTGATTCAGAAATCCAAAATTACACGCCGGCTGACGACGATCTCTTCCCCGATATGAACAAAGGAACTGAACTATTCAATTTGCAGAATTTGGGTTTAAATGACGTCGAAGAAAAAGTAAACGCAAATGTACCAGAACGGCTTGCAATGGCACAAGGATGGTATCCAGTCGTTCAAAAGTCCTTGATAATTCTCTCAAAAATATATCGTCTTCTTGATGTAAGATATATGGCCCTTTTGTGAATCTTATTAAGCTAATCTAATCATCTAGTCGAATGTCTTTGACGATATTGCTCTCGAAATCATACATGCTACTATTGGATCATTAATGGAAGCTTACGAGTACTTTAGCAGTAAGAACGATCCACAAATTGCCAGACTTTTTTTTATAAAAAACCTTTTGGTTCTGAAAGAGCAATTAAGTTCATTTGAAATTCAATACGCTCATATTCAGGCAGGTGTGGACTTTAAAAAGATCTGGGATCGCGTACGTGAATGGCGTTCTAACCTAAGAGGCATTCTTCAACTGGCGTATGAAACATTCCCTAAATTTATAAACAATATGGTGGATAGCAGACAAGAGCTGAACGAATACTTGCGATTTGCAGTAAATGGGTATGTTGAGACGGCGGCTGGGTCGTTCACAAGTGCTTTGAAAGCACATGACCCAAACAGTGCGAATGAATTCAAACATCGACTGGATAAGGTAGAGAGTTTACATGAGCAAATTTCCTCTTACCTAACGGAATCTTGGATCGAAGGACTACTTCTGCAAGCAGTATATGAGGAAACTGCCAAATACTTCCGAGATTACTACAATACACTATCCGCTGAAGATATTCAGGCTTTGGAAACTACAGAGTTAAACCATGAGACTAACCAAAACGTGTCGAAAAGCCTGGAAGACTACCTAGATTACATTGCTGTACCTTTTCAACGCTGTAACGAATCTTTACCTAACGACAAGGCATCAATCTAAACCTATCCTAATTGCCTAATGAAAATAGTACTTTAGAAAATGAAATGTCTCACTACCTTCTTTTTGATGTTTTAAATCGTACATTATGTTTCTACCGAACTTTTATATTTATCATACTCATTCATCTATTGATTGTCCATGCATTCTGTTTTCCTGACTTGTCCCAACAATCCACACGAACAATCAAACAATTACTGTGCAGCTCACTAAGCGATATCATCATATTCAAGTTCCTCGTCTAACTTGACTTTTACCATCAACAAACATGTCTACACCATTTGAGAAAGCCGCTGCTGAAATTAAAGAACTTAAGCAAACTCCCAACAGTGATGAGCTTTTGAAGGTAAGGACGATGTTTTAAGAAATAGCAAGACTAACACCCTTTTAGCTCTATGGTTTGTTCAAGCAAGCTACCGTTGGAGACAACAACACTGAAAAGCCCGGTCTTTTGGATATGAAGGGTAAATACAAGTGGAATGCTTGGGAAGAGTTGAAGGGCAAGTCGAAGGAAGATGCCACAAACGAATATGTGGCTTTCGCCGAAGAACTCAAGGGTAAATACGGCTTGAAATAGATGTTGCATTACGATAAAATCTGTAATATCCTCATTAATTCCCTGTGTGCTCTCTTTTTAACATTGCACACCACTTCCTTTCTTAGATTACTACGAGTGTAATGTACCAGGTTATGAATGAACTTATTCAACTAGAGTATAAAAGCTTGCTATTAGTGACTACATGCGTAGTTTTCAAGTTGACATATCGACTAGTCTCACTACAAAAATGGGAAAGAGTTTAGCTACTTTCAGCTCTTAGGAATAAGTAAAAACAAAAAAGAGGAACGATAAACACTATTCATTTTCAAACACGTAAAAAAAAGCAATCACATTCAAGTACGAAGCTCGAAGAGCAAAGCACTTTTAGATTGTTAGCATATTCAAGGGTTGCTCATATCGACTACACAACGGATACACTTGCCCTCGTGCATGTGGTCAAAGGCGTTGTTAATAGTGTGCAAGTTTTCAGAGTGAGTGATATATTCATCAACCTTGAAATGACCTTGAAGGTAGTCGTCCACAAAGTTGGGAAGCTCAGTGCGGCCTTTGACACCACCAAAAGCAGAGCCCAGAATTTGACGACCGGTAACAACCAAGAAAGGTCGGAAAGCCAAGGTCTTACCGGCAGCAGCCACACCAATAACGCAGAGCTTACCCCATCCTTTGTGGCAGAATTGTAGGGCTTGAAGCATAACATTAACGTTGCCAGTGCAATCAAAAGCATAGTCAACACCACCGTCAGTCAACTCTGTAATATGTTGGACGATGTCGTCAACCTTGGTAGGATTAATAAATTCAGTAGCGCCAAATTTTTTGGCGAAAGCTTCCTTTTCAGAATTGATGTCAATGGCGATGATACGGGAGGCTCCTGAAGCAACGGCACCTTGCATGGCAGCAAGACCAACACATCCGGCTCCGATAACAGCAACAGTCGAGCCTGCCTCAACCTTGGCAGAGTGAGTAACGGCTCCGAAACCAGTTGTGACACCACAACCCAAAAGACAAACGCTACGAAGAGGAGCAGAGTGGGAAATGGCAGCGAGAGAGATGTCGGCAACAACGGTGTATTGGCTAAAGCTTGAGCAACCCATATAATGAAGAAGGGGCTTGCCATCAATGGAGAAACGAGAAGTACCGTCGGGCAATAAACCACGACCTTGGGTTTCACGGATTTTGGAGCAAAGGTTAGTTTTACCGCTACGGCAGAACTTGCATTCTTTACACTCGGGAGTGTAAAGAAGAATGACATGATCACCAGGACGAACATTGGTAACGCCTTCGCCAATGCTCTCAACGACACCAGCACCTTCGTGACCCAAGACGACAGGGAACGCACCTTCAGGGTCTACACCAGAAAGGGTATAAGCATCAGTGTGACAAACAGCCGTCCAGTTAACTTGAACACGAACTTCATGAGACTTTGGAGGAGCTACTTGAATACTAAATAAGCAGCTCGCCTAATTCTTCTCATCCAAACTCAGCGGGTGAGAAGTAGCAAGCCAATGTTAGTAATCATGACGCCAAAAAAAAAAAGGAAACCTCAAGCAAAGAAAAAACAATAAACTGAGAGAATCCAAATAAAGAATGAATAGTTACTTACTTTTCTATAGACAAGGGTTCTCCAGCCTTCCAAGCAACTGCGGCCTACACATATGGATTAGCACAAGTACATGAAATGAGGGAAGCTTCAACGATGAAAGAACCGACCCAAGGGAAAGTGGTATAAGTACTCTAATATTCATGAATCATTTGTGGATCCACACTACATTCACGAATCCATTGTTTTTCGCTATTTCCTTCCAAACGTCTTTTTACTTACCTTGCAAGTGATAGATTTTCCTTCAGAAGACATATTTAACCTAACGTATCAAAAGAAAAAGGTATTCTACAACTGGAATAGCAATGGACAATCAGGTTTGAATTTTGCTGAGTCTAAATATGATGACTGTGGAAAATGCTTACTTCAAGGGTAGCAGACGATCTACCGATCTACCGATACGAAAAAAATTATTTTCGGCTTCCAGCCTTTCTGCTTATTACTAATCTAATACGCTTATTCATTTATTCTTATGATTTCGATTTGCAAACTTTTAAGACTCAAAAAGAAGCAGCAAAAGGAAAGTCCTTGGTTTATTTCCTCTTACGCGTTAGGTGACATGGATATGCGCGTAGATCCAAACATACGTCTCTTTTCTTCTTGATCTACAGCCTAGTTTTAGTATTATTATTATTAAATCACAAGCACATGTCTTCTTCTTTTTAATCAAAATATAAATTATATGGTAAGCTAGTGTTTTTTCTATTCAAAACCTCTAAATTCTCGAATATCGTACTAGGATCATTAAAACGAGGATTGTCAAGAAGAACCTTACGGATATCTGAAAATGAAAAGCAAAGTTGTCAGGGAAAAGTATATAAAATAAATCTTTACTACTTTTATTGAAAATAGTTAGGTTCTTTTCTACTTTGCTTTGAATTTTGTCAATCGAATTATTTGTTGTTTACGGCATTTTAACGAACTCGCTATAAAAGTCAGCAACTTACAACAAGAAACGTTATAAAGAAAGTGAAGTATGTTGAAGTGTCGTATATGGTGGGAGAGTTGATTTGTAGAATCTGTCAAGACGCGCTTTTGACCGTACACTTTTGGCGTAAACAGAATTCGTTTGCTTTTTGTATATCTTGTCTTTCATTTATATATACTATAATCGAAAAGCAGTGCTTTTTTCTCTAGGGTTAAGAGACAGTAATTTTGGTTTGTTAATAAGGCTTTTCGCAATTTTGGTCGACGGTCTATCATGGGAAACGGTCTAGTCAAGGGCTTTTCAAAGCCTTTTCAACGTATTTTTGTCAATAAAGAGATGCGAATTTTGATGCTCGGTTTAGACGCTGCTGGTAAAACAAGTATGTTTTCAATCAAGAGTTCTTTGCACAAGACAGGAGGGATTTCATTTTCTTTCTTTTTAACTAGTTCTAATTCTAACACGTTTGTAGCAATCCTTTATAAATTAAAACTCAATCAGAGCGTCGTGACTATACCCACCGTAGGTTTTAATGTTGAAACAGTCACCTACAAAAACATCAGGTTCAATGTATGGGATGTAGGTGGTCAAGACAAAATCCGTCCCCTTTGGCGACATTACTTTACCGGTACAAAAGGTCTCATCTTCGTGGTGGATGCTGCAGATAGCAATCGTTTAGCAGAAGCTCGTCAAGAGTTGCACAGAATCATTTCTGATCGTGAAATGCGAGATGCTCTTTTGTTGGTTTTTGCAAATAAACAGGATTTGGGAAATGGTATGTATTCATGAAAGCACAATACACGGAATGAAATTGTTTGTTTCCATTCTGGCCCATCCCTACTAGCTACTAACACAGTGTTTAGCCCTTTCACCCCTTCAAATTACTGAGATTCTTCAGCTCGACAAGTTGAAAGACCGACTTTGGAATGTTCAGCCAACTTGTGCTTTAACAGGAGATGGCTTATTAGAAGGATTAGCTTGGCTAAGCCAAAATGCAAAAATCAAGTAATGAATAACCCTTTCGGGAAGTACACTTTTAAATTATCTTCAATCGTTTCCCTTTATATCCCTTTTTGGCTAATTCATAAACCTGCTTCGTTGTCTCGTTTCGAATTTATGAATCCCGCTTTTTTGAATCCATTCTTTTTCACCGCAAGCCATATGATATCCGTTCGCTAGGACAACTTTCTTTATCGGTTGCTTTCTAATTTATTTTTTCCGTTTCCTTTTAGTACTTTATGTGATCGTTCTTGTTCTTTGCTATTTAAGATCAATTTCGGTTACCCTTACTATATACCTCTGTCCATAGTTTTGTGTATATAATTTGCTCTTAGTAGCTATTGAAATTAATTCCCTATTTCATTTCTTTTGGTGCTTACTACAATTTACTTTGGTATTATATTACCCTCTATTTTTTTCCGTTGCATATAAGTATAGACATACCAAACATTATATTTAATGACCTTTATATTTTCCAAAAAAAAATTAAACAAACTTTTCATAATAGAGACAATCTATAGCCCGGGAAACATAAAATTCTAACACTTTTTGGCATTTTGAATAAACCTTTTGATTTTTTCGTCATCTTGGATACCTTCCGTTTCCACCCCGCTGGATACATCGACGATTGCAGCATGTGATGTGCATATAGCCTCTTGGACATTATCAGGAGTCAATCCACCAGCTAAAACATAAGGAATTTTTATCTGAGCAGCTGCTTTCCAGTCTACAGTTTTGCCTAATCCTCCAGATTGACCTCCTACAAATGCATCAACGAGAGGAAGAACGTGATAGTTTGGTGAAGACAGTTCTGACGCATTAGGAGAGAATACTTTAAATACAGGCTTTTGTAACTCCTCGGCCCATTGTAATGGCTCTTGCCCGTGCAACTGAACAATATCCAAATCGACAGCTGACAGTACCTCCTTAATATACTCTAAAGGTTGATTTTTAAATACACCAACAACCAAAGGATGGCGAGAATTAGCAATTTTTTGAAATTGGTATCCAAACCAATCTTTTTGTTTATCACATGGGCTACCCATATCTCGGTAATGGCGAACGTTGGAATGGGCCAACTCAACAATGTCTTTAGCAACTTGAAGGTCCACCCTCCGTTTACTTTTGTCAGCAAAAATGAGACCTATTAAATCGCCTCCTGATTCTATAATCGTTTTAGCTGCTGGAACAGTGCGAGTACCACATACCTTTACAAGGGGCTTAGAAGAGCCATCTGAACCCTCTTTTTTGGAAGCACCATGAAGAAGCTCCTGTGCAAAGGCAGCAGGATCAGAAGCACGCATCAACGACTCGCCGACGAGGACGGCAGAGACGCCTTGCTTTGTATATAATTCAACATCGGATCTGGAGCTGATACCGCTAAGAGCAGCCAAAACAACGTCCTTAGGAACCATATCAACCAACTTGGAGGTATTCGATAAGTCTACCTCGAAATTATGTAAATTACGATTGTTAACACCAATCACCTTGGCACCTAACTTAATAGCAATTTCCATTTCACTGGCGCAGTTAACTTCAACTAAAGGCTCCATGTCTAAAGATTTTGCAAACTTATAGAGCGATTCTAATTGTTCGTAGGACAGCATGGCAACAATAAGCAAGACTGAATCAGCACCATTCAAGCGAGCTTCCATGATTTGGTAGGGATCGATGATAAAGTCTTTGCGGAGGATTGCAGGACGATCAGCGACCTGATCTACAGCACGGCGTGCAAGCTGCAAATCGTCCAAGGAACCCTTAAACCACTTAGGTTCAGTGAGGACAGAGATAACAGAAGCACCAGCGTTGGCATAAATCAAAGCCTGTTGAGCGGCATTGGCATAAGGATCGATATCACCCTTGGAAGGAGATGCACGCTTGACCTCGGCCATAAGGGCTGGTGTCGACTTTTTGAGGCGGTCGTAAAAATTAACCACGGGATAGGTAAGATTCATCTTTAAATATGTTTGTAAATCATTTACACTGTGTCCCTTTTCACATTTGCTTTTGGCAACGTCGATGAGGCGTTGAGCGTGAATCTTGTTGAGGATGGATAGCTTGGGGACGTTCTCGGGGGCAGCAGCAGAAGAAAAAGAGACAGTGTTGGATCGTTCCTTCATGGCTTTATTGAAAGAATCGTTCTTTGTGGGCATGATGACATTGTTTTCTTCCCAAGTGCCAGCAGTTAGGTTTAAGAAGTTTTGAAGATACTCTTTACCGTATTCGCTGAGAATACTCTCTGGATGGTACTGGACCCCCTCGATGGCAAACTTTTTATGACGAGCACCCATGATAATGCCATTTTCAGTCCAGCAGGTCACTTCCAAGTCAGCGGGAAGCGACTTGATGGTTCCAGCCAAAGAATGATAACGAGTAACGGAGATGCCTTGAGGGATTCCTTGGAACAAACCTAAACCATCATGATAAACTTTGGAGACTTTACCGTGAATGATTTCGCCAGCAGATTCAACGTTACCGCCCATGCTTTCGAAAAGACATTGCAAACCCATGCAGACACCGAAAATGGGAATTTTACCGGCAAAGCGAGAAATGGCTTCATTGCAAATACCACCATCATGAGCAGGATGACCAGGGCCTGGTGATAAGATGAGCTTTAAGGGCTTGAGTTGCTCGAGTTCGTCTACGGTGAGTTCATCATTGCGAATGACCAAAATTGGGTACCTCTTTTCGAGGTTTGAAAGATACTGAACAATGTTCCAAGTAAAGCTATCGTAATTATCAATCATTACGATGGGACGCTCTGGTTCGCCTTCCAAAACAATCTTGGTTTCGGAAGGCTCTTGCGTAGGGACCTCATGTTGAGTCATATTTCTATGCAGAATGCGTTTCAAATAAGAAGAATCACCACAAAGGCGAAAAACAAGGCAATTGCAAAAGAAAGAAAGAAAGTAGGCAAAGAAGAGCTTTTTGGTGAGTAGAAAAAGTTCACCCAGAGGGTGGTGGATAAAGATAACGCACTCGAACGTGAAAAGATGAAATATCGTTTGGGGAACAATGTAAGTTAATTAAGACTTAGAAAAAATTGAAGGCACTTGTAGTAAATCGAAGAAGAAAAGGCGTGAATGATGATTGACGATAGGATAGGATAGGATAGGATAGGACGGAAAAGAATGAAGAAAAATAAAAAGAAAAGAAACTATGGAATAGAATGCGTAGAGTGGAGAGTGTGTAACGTGAATTACGAGATGAGAAAGATACGTATGGTTTTAGCTTAGTAACATATGTATGGAATAAATATGGATTACGAAAAAGTAGAGACGGAAAGACAAATGCGAAATGTAATTCTAAGAGATAAGACAAATGCTTTGATGTATGCAGAAAACCTATGGAAATGAATCCAATGTCGAGTCGAACGAGACCAACCGGACGAGAACCGTGAAGGAGGATGGTCATGGGGCATAAACATGATAAAGGATACAAGAGAATAAAGGAAATGGTTTTTTTTTATATTAGCGAAAAGAGAAAAAGGGAGAATTGAAAAAGAGGGAATGTCGATGATGAAAAGAGGGAATTTCTTTTTATTCATATTCATAATTCAATTGAAAGTCAAACTCAATCAAATTCACATTTGAATGTTCATATCATAGTTTAATAGGCAATAGCGATGGTGTCGATGCCGACACAACTGGTACCGTTCTGGACTTGGCCATAGTATACTTGGAAAATTTGTTGGTCGCTTGGAACAGGGCAAGCGACGGGAGTGCTGCCGTTCAATTGCAACTGGTAGCCAATGTTGGTGGGTGCATTAGCATCGAAGCCAGTAACAGCAGGACCAGAAGACTTGAAAACAAGAGCACCACCTTGTTCAATGGAAGCAAGGTCGTTGTTGTGGTACAATTGATTATTCTTCATATGGAACTTTGCAGCGCCATCAGCATTGTCGTACTGACTCAAAAAGACATGACCTGATTGACCAACGTAGAACTCACGTTGGTGGACATTGATGTTTCCAGAGTGAAGAGTGAGGATACCAAAGTTTTGTTCAGGAGACATGGCTTGCTTTGTTATAGGAGTAGCCAACGTGTAAGAGGCTCCAAGAAGAGTAAGGAAGACGGAAGACAAGGAAAACTTCATTTTTTTTTAGAAGAATAAAACTAAATAGAGAATAGAGAATAAAAGGATAGAAAAGAAATCCAATCTAGGAGGTTTCAATACAGATGAAATCTGACAATTACGTATTGAATCAATGGAATTCAATACTTGAACAAAGGAATCTCATAGGAGTTAAATAGCAATTCAATGCTGGTTATCAATCGTCATACCAATCACTACGCCTTTTTACGAGCAAACCTTCATTTCCCTCCTTCAAGAAACGAAGCAACCAGCGTAATGAACAAACGCAAGGTTCTCTGACAAAGCCATCATAAGAAACAACTTGGATTCTAAAGTCAGAAACATACATCTTTACGGTAAAAATGACTTCATTGTCTCGTGAATTAAATTCCATCGATTGTCCTTATTTACAAGATTCTTCATAGCTGTAACCAGCGACGAGCTTTTCATCTCCGAAGACCTTCTGATCGACCCAACAAGCGTACTTTTTGAAAAGGTTCTAAAATATGCCATTGGCGTTTTTCTTTTTGTTTTTCTTTCATCCGAAATGCACCAACAACGTGAGCTAGATGGGGCTCATTATTTTTCACTTTTTACAACGGGCATGATGTGTAGTGACAAAATATACGTTACCGTCGCTCGTACAAGAGATGGCTAGCACGTCTCGTGCGAGTGTGGATTCATGTTGAAACGAAGAAATTTTTAAAAAGCCGTGAGGCGTAGTGGAGAGAGAAGAATAGAAGGAATTTGTTGGAAGGTTAGCATCGTGCAAGTAAACAAAACACGGTCTCTCGTCCTTACTGGGTTACCTCATTCTACCTCTTTAGACCGCCTGTGGATACCACTTGGTGGCTGGAAAGGATTATACAAAGAAAAGAATTAGTATAATATCCATGGTGGTTGTCTCGGTAGTAGTGATTCTATCAGACTAGGATGGGGATTGGGATTGGAAGGGGAGGTGGAGGTGAAACTGGAGTTGGAACTGCAATTCTTAGTGGGATTAGGACTTGGGTTCTTGGATGGTTTATTATGGTCGTCAAGACGTTTTAACACGACTCTTCAACTATTGATGCTACCACGAGAAGGGCCAAGTCTGAGAGATGAGATTGGGACGTTTGAGGACTTTTCTACAGCATCTATGAATTGTACTTGTGTTTTCATATGCGATTAAATAGGCAGGAAAGTTTTTGTTTGGTAGGTCGAACCAGTCGTTTGAGCGTACTGTTTGTTTTCATAAAGGGTTATATGATTTTATTTTCTTTTTCTGAAAAGATTTTTTTCTTTTCTTTTCATTTCTAATGAAAAATGTGCATGCAAAACAACCTTTTTTTTTTTGTTTTCATTTCCGAAACATGCAGTCGAACATAAAAAAAGATCCCTTGGAACTTTTGCTTTCTCTTCTGACGAAAAACTACAAACTAGGAACCATGAATGATTCTCCCCGTCTTCTCTTCCCATATACATACCATGGATGATGAACATCTGCTAGTTACTGTTACCTCAGAAGTGACGGTGCAAGGAAATGGGTATTATGATTTGATTCCATCAAATGTTTAGTAAAGAACCGCCTACAACATTTCAACACTGACAGTTTTTTAAACTATCGGGCAAGATGAGAGTTGTTTTGAGGATAGGACAGGAGACCTTTAACCGTTCGTATGGCGCCTCGAATCTGTTGAAAAATTCTTTCAAGGTTGTCTGTTGAATGGAAAGAATACGGCTATGTGTAATATTGAATTAGATGAATGGGCAGGTACTCGCTAGCGAGTCTTTAGCTGAACATTGTCATCAACCGAGTTGTGTTTTAGTTCTTTTCTTTTTTTCTATGAGATACTTTAGAAACTCTAGATTTTGCCCTTCTTTGGATTATTGCGAAAGATTTTTATGCAGCGCAGGTACGCAGTTCATCCTCCTGCTAGACAATTGATCCTTTCTAAGCAATTCTTACTCATGACTAAGACTAACGACTTGATAAAGCTAGTCTTGACGGTTACTGCTCTCTAAAATTGCTGTATTTTCACATCTGCTTCATCCTTCGCACGCCCTTTGAGAACGGCTATTATGCATCTTCATTTTCACTTTTATTTATACTACATTTCTTATTTGTTTTCTCGCTCTCTTTTCATCCCAGCAACATTCACTGGCCGATAGCAAATTTGTTGCTGCAAGGAGATTACATCTGGCATAACTTCCTCAATGGGCACACAATTCATTATCAAAGAAACCTAAAAAAACGACAAATTTAATGAAACCTTGGATAATACTTATAAAGAAGACATATCCTAGAAGACTCGATTGCATCAGTCAAACTCGATAGTCGTTGTGATAGCCAAGAATTACAAGTAATTCATAAAGTTATGAAAAGGTTATGTACTTATTGTTGGATTATATTTTAATTAAAGAATGCAAGGAGTCTCTCTTGACGTACTTTATCGTAAAGAAAAGAGTAAATTCATAATATTCATAAACATATCAATCGTGTCCAAATCTCAGGTACTTGACTTCTCCTTCCTATCCATCCTCCTGCATAGGTATCATTCTTTGTCTGAAACTTTCTCGATTGGAAACTTGAACAGTACCACAGCCGCCGTAATCGGAATTCCGTCACGAATCAGGATTACAACCATCATAGTACATTATAATATTCCACCAAGTACTTCTTTAAATATGCCATCTTTCTTTCGTTCAAATCATCGATGTCTGAAATGACCTCTTAATTCATACAGCTCAGGCTAAAGTCTATACCGTCGTACAATGCAATTGCTTCAGTATCTTTGGTAGATCCATTGGTCGTCTTGAAATAATTTTTCTGTATTCTTGAGATTAAATCAGATTGACCTTCTAGTCTTTCTATGAGGCTATTCTGTGTTTGCATCAACTCTTCTCTGAGACTGTTCTGTCCTTGCTCAAGTTTATGAACCCTTTCGCTAAGTGTTTCAAGTGTCTGCTTCAATTCAAACATATGGTCTTGTGAAAGAGACTCTCCTTGGAATTTAGATGCAAGTGCTTTGAGAAGGTTGGCCAGTCTCTGTTCGAATAAAGCAAATTGATCTTTTGGAATTGCCTCCTCAAACTGATTCGTATATCTTCGTAAAGACGCATAAGAATCATCACCAGGAGGAGGAATTCCAAATGGGTTTGCAAATAAATCTTGGTTCATATTTCAAAAGGTCCTAATCACTGACTGAGAATTGAAGATAGGATAGACAACTTTGACAAGTTTCTAAGAAACACTAAATAATTTCAAAGTTTTATCTTCAAGCGAATGTCTCTGGTTAAGTTGCAATTCTTTTGCCAAACAATAAACAAGCCATTCTTCTATTTCCTTACGTCATGCTAAGAAGATATTCGCTACATGGTACACATTACAGAAAGTAAACAATCCAAAATAGGTAGATGCCCTTGGAACGTCGACAAAGAATACTATTATTTAAAAGGAATTGAATTTTTAAAAATGATAGTCCTTTAGGTGAATGCATGTTCATCTTGGATCCTTGCTTTCCCTTTACCTATGAATCAACTTATGGATAGTGATTGTACCAGTTTTTATCATAAGGTCAGAGAGGAATTATTTCAAGTAAAATAAAAAGAAAAAAAAGCAAGAAGCCTTCAACATCTCGGATTTTAATGTTGTCTTTGATCACAGTACCAAACTGACGAGATTCTCAGATGCTTTACTGCCATGATACATGCTAAGTGGTATTTTCATTTAGATACCGTTGAAAACAATTAACTCTTAGCTTTAATTTCTCTATATGACTGCTTAATTGTCAGCTGCCCAGTTGATAAAGCGCACATGCTTTGGGTTTTGCATAAATGTTTAAACGCTGCAACTTATAAATTCCAAAAAGCAGCTATTCTCAATTTTTAAAGGTATATTAAGCCACGCTTATTTTCGGAATCGATGCTATATTTAATGGTCATCTTCAATTGCAATTAGGAAAGAAATGTCTATGCCAGATTCACGCTTTTGTGGGAGGAGTAGAGGTGTAAGAATGAATTAATACAACTACTACATTGCTGATTGAAACAAATATATTGTCTATAAGAGAAACCCATCGCACTTTGCACATTCGTGATATTGAAGATGAAAGACCTTACTGGCAACTTTTCAAGCTTGGACTTGTTCTTACCTGGCGTTACCCAATTCAGTGATAACGGCTTCCTTATTATATAAATTCAATGGATTAATTATTTCTAAAAAGTTTTGTGATTACTAACGTTTTATGGATCATTTTAGAAAGTGATGGACAATGGACGTTTCAAAGGAGAAATAACTTATCGTAAAAAAGTTAGCAACTTTTGTATTAACTTTCATTTCTTTTTGGACAATACTTCAAAACTATGATGGCTATAATTCCAAATTAGCTCTTACGATGTAAAAACCAACGATGAATTCTACCCTTTTCATAATCATTCACAGCTTTATAAGAAATAATAAAAAGGCAGTAATCAGAAGATTAGAATAATAAAGCTTCTCATTGAGCATAAGCACAAGATATTGCTGGATGGCTTTCTCTTGTGTGTTCCTATCTTGAAAGACACAACGTAATAAATAGAGCTCTTCTAATATTCATCATCAAAAAGGTGAATCTATTAATCTGATTGTACCAGAAGAACATGGAAGGATAACGTATTCTTCATTATCAAGAATAAGGAAAGTTCATCAAAATTATAATTGCAAGCAATTCTTTATGCAGTAAAAGATTTCTTTAAAAGTATTCCCTGGTAGGGATTCAAATGAACGACATTTTCCTTAATTTCTAGATCCTCATAATTATTCAAAAGCACATTGAATCCTCCGATTTGTAGAGGACATTCATAGTGAACACTATTCTCGGTAAAATTTAATATAACCAACAATTCTGTTGATTTCGATTCACGCACAAACGCTACAATGGAAGGATCTTCTTCGGAAAGTAGTTCAAAGGATCCATATACAACAGCATCCTTCATGGATTTCCTATACCCAAGAGACGCTGACCAAAATGAATAGACACTATTGGGATTTCCTACTTGACTGGAAGCGTTCCATTCAGTATAATCTTCCGTCACTCTCATCCAAGGTTTGACGTCTTTCGGACAAAATCCACCGTTGGGAGATCCATCCCAATGCATGGGGGTACGGCCATTATCACGAGCTCTCATATTAACAATGTCCATGGTTTTCTGGATTTCTTCTGGTGTAGGGTTGCCGCTCATAAAAAGCTTCCAAAAATTCTGTGTTTCTATGTCTACATATTCAGAAACGGGCCAATCTCTGGGAATATTGGCTAAGGCTAACTCCTGACCTTGGTACACAAAAGGGGTACCACCTTGGAAGACAATGAAGAGGGCCATAAGTTTGGAACTTTGGGCTCTATAAGCAGGCGAATCCGACAAGTAGCGAGAGACGGTTCGTGGCTGATCATGATTTTCGATAAAGCTAGCATTCCAGCCTCCGCCTTTTAAGTACACTGACTGCCATTTCTTGACAGACTTCTTCAGGTCCGAAAGCTTCCATGTACCTTCAACGTACTTGTGCTTTCCTGGAACTAAATCCAGACTAACCAAATCAAACTGAAAAATCATGGTGAGTTCACGGCGATCAGCTCCAACAACACGAAGAACTTCTTCCGTGTCTTCCACATGAGGCATTTCACCTACAGAAAAAGCGTTATATTCGTGAAGAATTTCTCCAAGTTCTTTTAAATATTCATGAATTCGAGGACCGTTAGCATAGTATTTATATCCCATTTGATAATCGTAGCGATCATCCGTTATAGGCGCATCCGGGAATTCTTGGTTCTTGCTGATCATGTTAATGACATCTAAACGGAAACCATCGACTCCACGTTCTAGCCAAAACCGAACAATATCATAAACAGCCTTACGTAGTTCTGGACTCTCCCAATTAATATCGGGTTGTTCGGGTGCCCAAAGATGCAAGTAGTATTCTTCTGTGGCTTCATCCCATTCCCAAGCAGAAGTATCGAAGTAACTTCTCCAATTGTTTGGAGGTAAGCGCTTGCCGTCCTTATTATACTTTGCAGGTCTCCAAATATACCAATCTCGTTTGGGGTTTGTTTTAGAGGAGCGGGATTCTTTAAACCAATCGTGCTGATCCGAAGTGTGGTTTAGAACCAAATCCATAACAAGCTTCATACCACGCTTATGAAGTTCCTTTGCTAGGACGATTGTATCCTCTAAAGACCCATATCGGGCGTCAATTTCTTTGTAGTTTGACACATCGTAGCCCATATCCTTAAGAGGTGAAGGATATATTGGCGACAACCAAATAGATTCAACATTTAATTCTTTTAAATAATCCAATTTAGACAATATACCCTGAAGGTCACCGAAGCCATCGCCATTTGCGTCTTTAAAAGATGCTGGATATATTTGGTACACCGAGGTTTCTCTCCACCAGGCTGGTTGAATCTTCTCGCTAGGCACAATTTTCATTTCAAAACTTCTCTAGTAGTATGTTAAAAGTTGAGGAGGGATGGGGGAGAATTTCGAACTGTGAATAGCAAGGTAGGGAGAACGTCAGCAATCTCGCAATTTTGTAGTTCGTTTCAATTGTTGTTATTTAATTGATATGATTATCAGTCAATAGTTCAAAGCACATTTAAAGTGAGTTATTAGATAGAATGGATTCAGACAACTTGTTTTTCATGGTCATTACGAATTCACACCATAAGGAGCCCTTTGAGAACAAGGTATCCATCATTTAATTATTAAATTCTCTAATTAATAATTCTATTGATAAATCCATTTGTACATATCGATCAAACTAGCTGTGCTACATTCTGTATTTCCTCCAGAAGGACAGTTTGAAGGTATTTCAGTGTCACAAAAACAGAAGAAAACATTGCAATTTTTCAGCAATTTTCAGTTACAGAAATCGATTACTACATAGTGCAGTTACTTTGTATTAATGTGTGTTGACAGTTTTATTTACTTCATTCTGAAAGTTTCAAACCAGAAGAGTTACCAAAAGCAAATTAAAATCAACTTTTAGAAGCCAAGAAAAGCGTATATTGTTTACATATATATCTATCTACTTATGCATGTGAATTGATTTCCCAAAGGACTTGAATTTGACACATAATATAACAAACGTCATTTTTGATGTGTCATAATATGTATACAATAATACTATCGTTGTATCAGATATCTTATTACAAAAGGTAAGAAGTAGACGTTACATACAGACGTTCACAATAGAAACGTATAAATAAATAGACATCTAAAAATGAGAAATGTATGATTTTATTGAATTTGGAAAGATATATGTACCTCTAGTTGAAAGCTTAGAAGCTAAAATCTTCATGGTGGAAGATTCGACTGATCTAGCCAAGTACGCTTTAAGTAGGTTATTAAGTGAACCATATCCCTAAATACTATTCATATCCATTCAATCACTTTAGTATAGAAGTATCCAACTCGAAGTACAGTTTCTTTTAAACTGAACGTTCTTTTTCCACTGAATCGTTTATTGTCATAACGAGTGAAATTATTACTATGACATCACCACTAATAGTAATATTTTATAATTTTACTTTAGCAAACTTCACTGCAATGCAGAAAAAATCCTTAACGTACATAAGCAACCTTGCTATTTTGCGCAATTTAGTTATCGATAGAGTACTGTAGTAAAATGAAAGCAGGTTGTTACTTTCACGCTGTTACTTTGTAATTATGCATATAAACAAGATGGAAAATTCGCGTTGTCCATTTCAGCTATTTTCCAACTCTTTTTTCTTTCGTTTCTTTTATCCTGACTTTATCTTCTTTAATATCAAATAGATAATGTATTTGACACGTGAAGGGTTGCCTGAAGGATGGGTTGCACAATGGGATTCTCAGTACAAGTGCTATTTCTACGTGAATGAAAGGTCCCCAAATCCTACACCTCAATGGGAAAGTCCCGTTCCAGGACTGAACCTTCCTCCTCCTTCTTCCGCTTCTACTTCTGCTCCTGCTCCAAATGAAACCGCCGGTGGGGAGCGTGGAATATTTGACAAACTTCGACCAAGTCACCACAGTCAGCAATCAAATATTCAAACTAATAATCAGCACACCTCTTCTGGGATGTTTTCAAATCCTCTGGTTGACAAGGTGGGCGGTTTCCTCGCGGGTGGTTTGGCTGCTCAGGCAATAGAAAGTGTTATAAAACACCATCATCATAAAGACCACCACCCTCAACAAAGTGCGTATCCTACCACCGTTGGTGCTGGTGCTGGAAGTGAAGCAAATGCTTTCTCCGGTATGGAACGACCCACTAACACATTCTATGAGAGACCAGCTACCAACTTTGAAGGGCCTACTGGTTATGAGGGAGGATTTGAAGGTGAGGGTCGTCATGAACGTCACGAACATCATAAACATCATAAGCACGAATATGAAAACTATAATAATCCCGAAAATTTGGGGGGATTTGGAAATTTCAATGGAAACGAAGGCCCAAATAATTTTCAAGAAGAATTCAATGGTCGTGGACACCATAAACATCACGGTGAGTTTGGCGCTTCTGAAGGTTTGGGTGGGTATGATCGACCTGATAGATTCAATAACTTCGGAACCGATGCGGGACGTTTCGATGGTCCTGGAAGATTCAACGATAATGAAAACGAAATGAGACGATATGGCGATTCTGGGAACTTTAATGGTTATGGAAACGACATAAACCGTTTCGATGGTCGCGGTCGGTTCAACCGTTACGGAAATGATATGGAGCACCCCGTCGGATTCTCTGGCTATGGAAATGGTATGGAAAATCCAGATGGCTTTGATGGTTATGGAAATGATATGGGACGTTTCGAAGGTGCCGGTAGGTTCAATCAGTATGCTAATGATATGGAACGTCCTAGCGGCTTTAATGGCTACGGAAGCGATATGGGACGTTTTGAAGGTGCAGGTGAATTCGGAGGAGGTCGTCAATACGACTGGTGAGCTTTTTCGAACACTACTTCATGTATTCCTCGTCTTTAGAGCAAAGGCAGATCTAAATTATACCCCGCAGAATTCAAATCATGGAAGAGTATTTTCATGTTTTATGGAAGTCAGTATTTTTATTGTCGAATAAGGCAAATTGGCGTCAGTGCTTGTAGAATCCTTTTCATGAAAGACACAGATTAATACTTTCGGGAAATCTCATCAGATCATGGTATGACTCTGGCTGAGCTTCATAATGGTCGATTGAGGTTATGACTAAACTCTTTTTGAGATTTTTCTGCTCAATGATGTTTTGGTTTCGGTCCCGTCTGTGATCACGTATTGTGTTTTCTTTTGGTGGATTAAGCGACACCGACTCATACAAATCGTACATACTGTAACAGTAATCTTTCAAAAGATTACTCACACTCATATTTTAACTGCGTTACATTTGCATTTAGAAATAGTTCTTTCAGTGAATACTTTATAGACAAATTTTCTTATTGCTCTCATTCACCAAACGCTTGTAATATCAGACAGAATTCTACCAAAATTAAAAGTGAATTTAGATGAAAGTGTTTATCTAACTACTTGTTGGAATTGTGATTTCGTTCGTTACTGTTTCTAAATAGAAATACTTGATATGTGTATTCATTTATCCTGTACAAACAGAAGGCTAATGATTACACAAGTAATGTAGAAATACGCCCTTTCTCTCGCAGAGATTCCTATTTAACACTTTAGGGACCAAATTCAACTGTTTTATGATACCGTGAATGACTCATTACATAATATTTCATAATATTGAAAGAGCCGGTAAATTATACAACAGTATAAACAAGTGAAATATACAAATAATTGCTTGTTAACATCAAGAATTTGTTTCTTAAACCGGTTTATGGGTATGCAAGAGGGTTCGGCTATTACAAAGGCCTGATCAATTGAAAAGCCGGTTACCAGACCGACATATCAGCCTGAAATATTTTTCATTGATGATTGCTTTGGAAACAATGTTTCTTTGAATTTTTTGATGTTAAAAATGAAATTAAAGCTTCAATATTTGGACACTCATTTCAGTGCAGAATTTGGATGATAGGTGATCAATCTTTTTGCAACTTACAGTAATATATTGGATAATATTGTAAGTTCCTACGATGAGAGACTCGACTGGCAAGCACCTCTATGTGGTTCAGATAGTTCTTTTCCATTCAACAATGCTAATCAGAATTGTATACTCCTGGAATTTGTTATTTTTTTTTACTTGTTTATGTTGTGATTCCAGAAGCTAATTCAAGATGAGCATACACCACGTTGTTGTTATAACTGAGATCCTTCAGGCACTAATTGCTGGACGAACTATTACATATTTTGTTCGCAAATTTTTTTTTCCGCTTCTTAAGAGTGAACTCACTTAGGGGATTTTCAGTTTTCTATAGTAGGCCGCAAAGAATGAGGAATTCTTCTGATTATTCAGTCCTTCAAAAGAATATTGTCTTCTCTAGTTCTTGTTACAAGTAAGAAGAGGGTTGGACTCATTCGTTTTCTAAATTTAATCCTTTTTTTTTTCTTTACATCAATGTATATCCATCTCCTGCACGTTGGGATTTGAGGTCTCCTATTTCTCCCGTAACCTTTTCTACGGATGATGAATGCAGTGAACCAAAGTCTACTTTATATCATCCTTTCAGTTATCTTGGAAAGAACGGAGGATTCACTCTCCTTTGACCCTCTGAAGAAAGAGGATTCATCTCCTCTATAGTGCAAGTTTTGGAAGATTGTGTTTCAGCGTACAGGTATATAAGAGCTTGTTTCCTAGATCAAGTACCAAGGACTATAACATTGACCTTTTGCATGGGAATAAATGGCTTTTGCTTAGGACAGTTAGGCTACGGTAGACTTAGGAAGAATAGAGAAATCGTTCAGCAACGTTGATTTCGGCAATACTAATACCACTGACATTTTGTGATATCTGTTTTTTTTATATGTTGGTATTCTTTGTTTTATAATATGGATGAGCTTTTGACATCACATGTCAAATGCCCTATATTTTCACATCATCCTTTTGGTTTTTTTTATGTGCAACTGGAATGCACTCATGATACACACATGCGGATAATTACTTTTGCAATCCTTCCTTGAAAGGAATATTTGATTTCCCTAAAAGTAAGCATTTAAACTAGATTCTGCAAAACATTTGGGAAAGTCTTGACCGTTCTTTTTACTTGGCTTTACGCTTCTACGGACAGCAATTACCAGAAGCCGCATCTATGAAAATCAAATTCATACTTTCGTACGTTTTCTGCGAAAGAATACTTTCAGTTCTTTTTACATATATATGTATTGACTAGAGGCTACAAAACTCCCGATCGAATCCGTTTTATTATTTCACATTATGCTCTGGTTTTTTCATTCTTAAATTTGTTTTCTTTAGGAGTGTGTAGTCAAATGATATAGTATGCTGGCTCGGTTCTGAAACTACCTTCTTTTTATGTAGTTTTACGTTATCCGAATTAATGAAAGCTCAGGTTGACAAAAAAAAATATTTTTGGCTGAATTTCTATTGTTGTAAAAAACCTGTCGGATGTTTATTTGCTTTTCTTACACCTTCCGTCTCAATTGACAATTACTGGTAGAGCATTATTCAGTTAAGTAATAGAGACAAGGAATTTTCTGCAAGCAAGATTTTCAAGTCTATTGAGATTAGTTTAACATATGTTAATCTTGCTTGCTATAAAAGTTATCATAACTATACACACTCGATGGATTCCTTCATTGGCAACCAAAGTTAATCATACTTTGTTTTCCAACTCAAAAAAATATTTAAAAAAAATAACTTCAAAAATAGTGCTTGGAAACTAAATTTAGACCTGTTTAAGTAATTGCTCTGCGTCTCCAAAATCATCAAATGAGTTCTACTCATTCTATTGTTTATAATTCGTTACTTCTGAGGTAACGCGCTATTACTTTGAAATATGGTGAAAACCCCAAGTGTACAAGTATGCCAGATGGCGAGTGAAAAGGAAATTTATATAAAGATTTAGTTTAATTATTATCAATAGAAAAAAGTCTATTATTTTCCGATTGTTCATCGCAGGGTTCCTTCTTGGTTTGTGCAACCATCCACTAAGGATGTCTAATAAACGATTGCATTCATATTTAAAAAAAGATACTTTCTTTCTTTCCTTTCAAAAAAAGTTGAGAATTCTTTGTATCCTATTTTAATTGATAGCAAAGATGTTGGCTACGGACGGAACAGTGGTGAAGCTAAGCGTATATATATCCTCGTAGGTTTCACCACTTGAGTATTCTACGTATTTACTAAAAAGAAATTAACATTTTATCTTTTATACATAGAAAAATTTGGACCATTCTGCTCCTATAGTAACATTCGACAAGATGCAATTTATAGAGGGAGCCTACTTAAAAAGAATATATAACTATTCATTGAGTAATGCTCTGAGGTAGTAGCACAAAGGAAAGCATTTTTTTCTCCTTTATAAGCTTTACGCCGATCCAAATACTTTTTTCCCATAATTTTTTTTCGTTAAATGGTTATGTAAACAAACAAATGATCGTTTTTCATTCTTAAATTCTATAAATTGTTACAGCATAGCACCGTAGAACTTTTTTTTTTAGTCAACAAAACTCCAAAAATTTGACACCAAACTATTCAAAACCAGTTTTAGCTTCCTCTCACAAAATCTTTTTAAAATATATATACATATATATATGTAAATATATAATAAAAGATTGAATACCGTAATTGCCACGGTCGGTCTTCTAGCTAAAGCCTTGTATACGATGTTCATACCCGAGTGTTTAGTCGGATCCGGGTTTTCTTGGTGACGTCAAGATAAGTACGGTATTTAGGTAAACAAGTGAAACCTCTCTTTTGCCAAACTCAACATTGCAGGGTTTGTTGTGCAAAATCTCAATTGAGTGATTTTTGAAGTGAAATCGCATAGGAAAACATTTGCGTTTTCATACTATAGAAAAACTATACCGATTTGAAAGAGTTCCTACGCTTCAAAGAATAATAGAACGGAAGAGTACGTTAGTAAGTATATATGCAGACGATTTGAAGAAAAAATAGTTAAAAAAACGGTTTAATAGGGCTTTTTTATCTCTATTGTCGAGAAAACTATAAAAGGATAGAAACTTGATCTCCTTACACATCTTTCTAAATGAGCGTATTTGAGTAACACTACTACTTTTTTACATTTACATTTTTGACTTTTTTTTTGGATTTTGAACATTACTATTTCTTGCGTATTTAATCTACAACCCAATCGAAAGTTGTAAACAAAAAGTTATCTGGATTTCATCGTGTCTTTCATAAATCAAAAATACCTCTTTTTTTTAGGCAATTTGATAGGTTAACAACATGTTTAATATCGGTAAACGCTTTCGTCTCCCCTCTTTGTACAAAAGCGACGCTGAAGAGAAGGTCCAATTCGATAAGAATGAATATGTCTCGGGATTGCGAACACTTATGCATGGTTTTGACTTGATGTTAAATGACGACGTAACAGGAACGAAAGAAGTGTTCAATAACGACACAGTTGAAAGCTGCATTGGTAAAGCCGGTAACGCTTTCTATCATGCGATTCTAGGACTTGAACCGACTGCTATTGAAGAGGCATGGAATTGTCTAATTTTAGCAGAACAACAAGCTGATGAACGACGAAAATTTATGGAAAACCATAACTTCCGTTTAGGAAGTTACCCAAATGGGTATGAGTACCAACTATGTGTTTGTGATCTTTCTCTTATGCAATCGATTTTGGGCTTCGTTGCTGGATCTTTACTTGATAATGTAAAGTCTGCGTATCGCCTTCGTAAAACATTTCTTTCGTTTACAAAAATGATGGAGCATGTTCGGGAGATTCAGCAAAAGAAGGAAACCGGAGAACTTCAAGTAAACGATCCAAATGCTCAATTCGTAGATGAGTTTATTGAGTCTGGTGTAAGTACTGGATATGGTGTATTAACATTCTTGATTTCACTGTTATCTCCTTCCATCTTGAGAGTGCTCTCGTTTTTTTCCATGCACGGCAATCGCAAAGATGCTGTACAGCTGATGTGGAAAGCCACCGCCTATCCCAATATGCAGGGAGCCATTGCATTGTTGTGTCTTTATGCCTTTAATGCCATGGTCCAGAGTTCTGCAAGTATTGTACCATTGGACTATGCTAATGAATTGAGCCGATGTCAAGATGGAATCAATAGTGTACGCCAAAGGTATTCCAACGGAGCAATTTGGGCCGTTATGCAGGGAAAACTCTACTATTTGAGAGGAGATTCCGAAAAAGCACTAGAGTTGGAAAAGACTCGTATTGATACTAGTATGGAACAAATCATTGCCATGAAAGGATTTGATACTGCTATGCTTTATGTCGGTATCCGAAAATTCAAAGAAGCTGCTCAAGCCATTCTAGATTTAGAAGACTTAAATTCTTGGTCACACTCATTTTATCGGTTTTTTGCTGGTTGTTGTATGTTACAGCATTCCAGAGAATTAAAGAACAATGGAGGCAATAAAGAAGAGTCGGAGATATACTCAGCGAAAGCATCTGAGTATTTGAAGCAATCACCGACGTTGGTTCAAAAGAAGAAGAAGAGGGTGCTACCCGTAGAGATGTACTTGGTTCGCAAAGTTCAAAAATGGGAAGATAGAGCAGCTAAACTAAAGGTTGATTTGGTTGATGCCATGGACATCCCTCCATATATAGAGTTGATCTACATTTTCGTAACTTGGTGTTTGAATAATCCAAAGCATGTACTCATACTTCGTTCTGAGCTTGAGCAGTGTCAGTGTACTGAAGACGATGATGTTGCACTTCGAGAATTTCTGCTGGCAGTTGTTGAAAGACATTTGAAGGATTTTGAATCATCAAGGGCTCGGTTGATCCGCGTTATGAATATGAACAAAGATTATCTTTCACAAACTAATCGTGATTTTTGGGTTCTTCCCAGTGCTCATTATGAAATGGCAGCACTAGAATGGGACATGAAGGCTTTGGAAGCTGAGCGAGAGGTAACCCAGCAACTGAAAAAGGCTCAAGAATATCATAATTACGATTTGGAAGGAAGATTATCCATGTTAACGCAAGCCGCACTTCAGACAGTACAGTCTGAAAAGTCGTAGAGGAATGAAAAATGATGTGCAGAGGGAATACAGCCATTTACTGCACATGTATCGAGAAAATCATCTGATGAATTCATGTTATCCATTTCAATTCTATTTTTATCTTACAATGTGAGGTAACGCAAATTGTCATGGTTTATATAAGTTTAGTTTTCATTTTGGTTATTTGATTTAATTGATTATTTATTGTTGTATTTCGTTTTCAAGTATCTTTTCCTTTGTATACCATGCGACTAATGATCACACCCATACTTCTTCCAAAAACCAAACAAACTAAGGATACATACAATATGAACTTTTCATTTATTGCTTCTGAGCTTGCTAGCCTTAGAAAAAAAACAAATTGAGATTTTTCATGACTTTTTTGAATATCGTATTAAACGCAGATTGTTAAGGTAGAGTGTAACAGTTCGTTATTTAGGAAACTCGGAGTTTGCAGGGAAGAAGCAGGTTAGGGTTAGTCTGTGTTGCTGTGACTGGTTTTTCTTTTACACAAATTTGGCAACTGGCTTTTGCGACATTCATCCTCCACCACCTCAACACTCGTAGGAAGAAGTCATCATGGTTGTAAGTTGCTTTGCTGGATGATGCCAGTAGGCTAACTTATACGTAGAAAAAAGCAGCAAAGGTTAGCAACAAGTACGTTATCGACGCTACTGCTGCCGTCAATGACAAGATCTTTGATATCTCCGCTTTCGAAAAGTACTTGATCGACCGCATCAAGGTTGATGGCAAGACTGGTAACTTGGGCTCTTCCGTCGTTGTTTCTCGTGAAGGCTCCAGCAAGGTTGCTGTCATTGCTCACATTGACTTCTCTGGACGTTACTTGAAGTACTTGACCAAGAAGTTCTTGAAGAAGCACTCTGTAAGTTTTACTAATTTTTAGTTTAAATTTAGTCAAACATGTAGCTAATACGTTTATAGCTCCGTGATTGGCTTCGTGTCGTTTCCACCAAGAAGGGTGTCTACGAGTTGCGTTACTACAACGTCGTTGTTGGCAACGACGAAGAGGAGCAGCAATAAATTCAGAGCTAGAGATGGCTTGTTTATTTCATACAAACAAAAAATGGAATAGCAATTCCTGGGCTTAACCGGTTAATGAGTGACTTTTGTAAATTAATGAAGCACAGCTTTGTATCTTTCATTTCATGTAAGTAGCAATTAGTAGCTGTATCTGAAGTATGCTTTAATGAAACTGGAAGTCAGAAAGAAAGAGAAAGATGCATAGCTGAAGAAAGTAGACGGAGGATACGACGATAACGAGAAGTAGAATAATATTTCTATAACAGAAGAACGAATCTAAATCATAAGAGCTGTGGGATATGCATGAATATGAGGAAATGAATAATAAAACGGACAATATAGAGAAAGCGATTTGTCTTTTAGGACTGTGTAGTGACCAAAAAGTTGTTCATAATAGTTAGGAGGCCTACCCAAAGGTATGATTTTCTACAATTCGTCTCATAGTAATACTGAAACGTTGATTCCTTGGCGTCCATGTCTGGTTCGAGGCTGTTGCATTATCTTGTGAAGACGATGAAATCCAATCTCCTCCTCGAAATGGTATTTCATGGAGCCATTCGTATCTAGCTGGCCCACGCATGACAACCAGGCTTCCTTTCTGTAGCCGTACATCGCATTTGAGTTTTTTAGAAGGTAATTTAAACACCATAGTCATGTCTGAAAGGAAAGAATAGATAGCCACACCATCCGCAAACATATCCAAATCTTTGTGTGGAATGATTCCGTCTCCTGGATTATAAACTTGGATGATGGAAGCTTCAGCAGGTTGATTCTTCCAAACGTCCGACAAAAATTCGGATGGTAAGTAATTGTTTAAGCGCTGGATTGGCTCTGGGAAAGGAACGTATAGGTGCAATTGTCTTCCAGAGTTGGTACCTGAAAATAAGCCTTTAGGTAAGACATTTGTAATTTGGTTTTGAAGGTCTAATGGAAGCCGATTGGGGTAGTATGACAAACCTGTAATGGATTCTAGAGGAACTTGGGTCCATGAACTGACATCTTGGTCTACGGACTCTTGATCAGCTTCCTGTAAAGCTTGATCGAACTCGTTTTCTTCGCATGAGTCATCAAAGAGTTCGTCTGTCATATTGCAAGCGCAAAATTATAAAAAAAATCTTTTGAAAAAAGACTCTGTACCTGATTTCAACGATATTTACTTTTTAAGAAAATTCTTATAAGAAATATTTGGTTTTTGAAGAAATGATGTGATAATGAAGCCGTCTATTCTTTGAAGGAGTTATGCTCGAAAAGATGAAAAAAAAAGTACGCATCTCTACAACAGAGGATGATTTCTCTCTCCTACTATTGATTTCTTTGCAATAAGGACAAATTTAGTTTAAATCAATCAGCTAGCAAGTCTATGAATTTCGTGTGTTGCGTTTTGTTTTGGAAAATAATTTGGGTGAATTCAAGTTTCGATACTTTAAGAGCTTGTTGTGCTAATCATTAAAGCATTAATAAATAAAGGATTTCATTTTCTTTTCATCTTACTTGTAAAGGATCAATCTTTGGTGATGTGAGACAGTAGCTGATCATGCCGAAGTTAGCAAACTTGCAAGTGGAACCAAACAGCTACACCTAGATTTACATCTTTGGGTGTTTGTCTGGGAAATGCTAAAGATCTCTCTATTTAGAGTATATTTGTAAACGACTCTGCTGGCTATTATTTACCTCTGCAGAAAGGAAACCTGTCCCTTTGTCAAAGGAAAAACGAAATCAAAATAAGAGCAACGGTATATAAATCAGAGAAGTATTTCTTTCCTTTATTTATTTATTTATTTTTTTTCTTTTTGCTTCAGGCTTTTTCCACTGCAAAATTATCAAACGCAATATATATCTACTGATCATATATGAAACCACACCATTTTTGAGAAAAGATCAACGAGAATTTTTCTACTTTTCTATCCGTATATATAGGTTTTAACTTCCATTTTTCAAGGGTAAACAATTTTGGAGGCTTGGAGTCTGTTACATATTAATATTACCAGAATCTTCCTGCCATAAACAAAACACTATATAAGACATTCTCAGACAGGAATGAGATATTAATCCATAAGGGATTTCTAATTGATTTAAGAAATAAAAATAAAAGTCGTTTACAAAATGATTTGGTTCTGGTTAACATTGGCAGTCATAATTGTGGGCATTGCTACTGTAGTAGACTTTTCTACTGAAAGTAAAAGCGAGCTGCTTAAAGAACGGGTTTTATTCATATTTGCACATCCAGACGATGAAAGCATGTTCTTCGGACCTACTTTGGAATATCTTAGCAAACATCGAAATGTGCAAGTGCATCTCTTATGCTTGTCCAACGGTAATTCGCCAGACTCTTTTTAGCAAAACCAAATTCTGACCATACATTTTAGGAAATGCTGACGGCCTTGGAAATCTTCGACAAACGGAACTTGTTAATGCAGCTTCGCAATTTCAAATTCCAAAAAGCAACATTAAGATTCTATCTGACAAACGACTACGGGACGGCATGTACGAACGCTGGGATCCCATTGTAATTGGCAAACATGTTTACGACTACATGATAGATAAAAATATCAGGTTGGTATGTTCGTCGCTGATTTATCTCTTGGGCAATTCCAATTTATTAACCTGTTCCTAATAGGCTATTACGTTTGACAAAGATGGCATTTCAGGTCATCCAAATCACAAAGCCTGCTTTTACGGCGCTCTGTAAGTAAAGACAAAAAGAACAGTTCATCATTTTCATTTATTCGCTAACCTAGCATCAGAAATGCTTCCAAAATGATCGTGGATATGCAGCTCTTCACTTTAAAGTCGGTGGGATTTTTGAAAAAATATCTCTATTGGCTCGATTGTTGTCGAATGGTCATTGCTAAGCTTCTCTTTAGCAAACAAAAGTACATTACTATTGAAGCTCAAAGGCAATCCATACGGACCATCCGCAATGCCATGATTGAAGGCCACCGTAGTCAAATGGTATGGTTTCGCTATGGATGGATATACCTGTCCCGTTACATGTTCCTGAACACCCTTGAACAGGTTCTCTCATGAGCAGCATAAAAAGGAAAAGTTAACATCCAAATGACTTACAAGGCCATTGCAAAACGCGAGCGCGACAAAAAATACCTATGAATTGGTTTGTCAATAACTATCTCCTAATACTAGCAACTATATTAATGAATGATACGTATAATAACTTTTACAACCACTGGAACGATTATGTATGCTTCAATGAATTTATTCTATCTCGCCTCTCTCTTTAATAATCTATTTATCTTCGTTCTATTCTATGACACTCAATGTCTAAACATTTTAGCACAAAAAAGTTTATTCACTGCCTACTCAGATACCGTTGTAGTCTTTAAATTGTGCCTTCATCGAAAAATCTCCAGCAACGAAATCAATCATCAGCGTAGTCAATGAAAAAATATCCTTTTCGCACCATGTCTGCAAATTTCGAATTCCATCAGCTCATTTCTTCCTCAACAAGAAGCATCTCATCCTGGTAGAAAAGTGCTCAAGGAATCAAAACCGACTTGGATTTCCAACACATACTTGGAAATGAGTAGTTTCTCTACCATAACCAAAGCATTTATGAAAAAAATTTTAATGGTCACACATGTAGGGTAGGGTTGTCCTTTCACACGTACAGCGTAGTTAACGACGACCAAATCGACAGAAAAGTGTAAACAAAACAGCAATTGCCATGTCAAAATCCAAAGTAGGAGAGGATGTTTACAAAAGGGTAGAAAAAGTGGTATGCATCCAACGAACAATGACTGCTTCAACGAAAACTAATGAAGGTAGAATGCCGAACTATTCGTATTAACCTATGGCTCTATCGTCGCTCAGATGTGCCGAGACATGAGCTACGAACAAGTAAATGAGGAATTAGAAAAAATGTAAGAATCTCTTTCTATTACGCGTGCCAAGACTAACATTGCTGACAAGGGGGTACAACATTGGAATTCGGCTCATTGAGGATTTCCTGGCTAGAACGGAATGGCAACGATGTGTAGACCTTCGGGAGACTGCCGACACGATAGCTAAGGTGGGATTTAAAATGTTCTTGAACGTGACGCCCGTGATAAGCGACTGGTCGGAAGAGGATAAGACGTTCACGCTCACTCTAGATGACAATCCATTAGCAGAGTTTGTAGAGTTACCTGTTGAAGCTCGCTCCAAATTATGGTACTCTAATATCTTGTGTGGAGTTCTTCGTGGTACTCTAGAAATGGTAAGGGAACATAAGAAGGTCTCTGTCGATGAGAGGTGGCAGACATCTTGTTATCATTTATTCTGATTCTAGTTTATACATTTGTTTTAGAAAGCTAACAGGAAAAAGGTACAAATGGACGTTGACGCATATTTTGTTCATGATATTTTACGAGGAGACGAGCACACGAATCTAAAGGTTCATCTGAAACAGATTTTGAAGGAAGAAATTCCTGCTGGAGATGATTAATCTATCATGGAATGTTTTATTTGTTGACGATTTATGAACAATTGCTTCTTGGGTGGTACATTCTTTCGGTTTCCAGTATACGAAGTTGTTCTCTCCCTATTTTTAATAATCACGACTCTCATCCTCCTTTCCCTTTATTGTCGTTCTATTATTGGTCGTGCATAGTTGTATACCTAGCAGCATATGACCAAAATGTGATCTTGAACACAAATACGATATCCAAACCCAAATAAATCTTGCTTACGACAGATTGTTCTTGACAATGTTTGGTGCTGATATTCACCCTTGTAAACCTAGTACATTTATTTGTTGATTTTTCTAAGATCTCAACACATATATCCGGAAAAAATGACCTCAAACATATATCTATAACGTTTTCTACGATCAACCATGATCCGAATATCGACTCCTTTAAGAGTTCCTATACCCAAGTATATCTTCCTTCGTTTCCAATACATACTTCAAACAAAAAATCAAACACCATCCATCAACTTATTCATCCTCTTGTATTTCGTTTTTTACTTACTTTCTTTGAATTTAAGGGCTTAGTGAACAATGGTCGAATACGGTAATGGATTTACCGCACTCCTGGAAACATTAGTGAACGCACTCACATTGAAAGTTAATCTGTAGAAACCACCCTTTCTTTCCAACACGGTTTCTTAAAGAAATCATGAATTTTGCATCCATTTTTCACCGCCCAAGTTTATACTTTCGCCCAATACAATTGCGTGGGTATGCACAAACTGCTACTGCAGTCTCTAAACGAATTATACAAGATTCACCAGAAGCATCACATGCAAGACGCCATTTGCACCCAAGGACGGGTGTGATTTTACTTAAGAAAGGAATGACTAGTGCATGGGACAATGAAACGGGAAAGTGGATCCCTTTGACAATTTTACAATTTGATCGAGTCCAAGCTATAGGAAATCGCACAAAGGAAAAGAATGGTTATTATGCTGTTCAAATGGGCGCTGGTATAAGAAAGCCTCACGCTCTTTCAAAAGCTGACCAGGGACAATTCTTCGCTAGTGGTGTTTTTCCCAAGATGCACATCAAAGAATTTCAAGTTCGTGATGAATCAGGACTGATTCCTTCTGGCACCGTAATTAACGCGGATTATTTTCAACCAAAACAACATGTTGACATTAAGGGAGTTACAAAAGGTAAAGGGTTTGCTGGTGTCATGAAACGATGGGGATTTGCAGGAGGAAACGCTTCTCACGGTGCTTCCTTGTCTCATCGTACTCCCGGCTCAACAGGCCAAAACACCACTCCTGGACGTGTTCTTCCAGGCCGTAAAATGGCAGGTCGTATGGGTCATAAAAGCTCAACAATCGAACATGCTTTGATCTGGGATGTAGATCTTGATCTCAATTGCATTCTAGTTAGAGGTGCTGTTCCTGGACCTAACAAGAGTCCTGTCTATGTTTACGATACGCGCAAAAATTAAACTGTTGTTTCTCAAAAAGTGATATTTATCTTCGTATTTTGTTAATATTTTTGTCCTTCAAAATCCATCGGAAACAACTCTAACTTTGAATGTCGGTCTAATTTTTCATTCTTTCTCTTATCCCCTAGCTCATTTTCCAGATACCGCCTTTCTAATTTCAATAATCTTTTCTTTTTGTTCCTGAGGTAATACGCTAATTTGTTCATCCGTTAAAGCCATTAGCTGTGCTATTAAAGCGGCTTTAGTAGCTTCTTCATCATGTGTAGCAGTAGCGGTACTCTGACTTGTAGCGTTTGATACCGGAATAGAAGGGCTTCGTGCAGTTACTGCAGGAGCTGAAGTAGACATGTGTCGTATACCATTACCAACTACAGTAGGAGGATGTGCAGCGGTATTGGCTGGAAAAGCATACCCACGCATCGGAGACAAGGGGACAGATGCTGGCGTAGAGCCTCTAGAGTTCACAGCTGGTACAGGTGGCACCCCAACGTATGGGCTAGGTTGTTTAACATATGGTCCCATATGTGAAGAATAAGGTCTTGCGAAAGGTTCTGACGAACGTGGAGGCATTGAACCATATGGAGAGCCAGATGCAGGAGCAACTAGAGGACTGTCAAAATTGCGAGCGGCCATATCTGTAGGAGGCGGATTAGCGCTAGTAGGAGGTACTAGCAAATCGCCTATGGATGATTCAGGAATGTATTGTTTCATAACCATAGATTGAAACACAGCATAACTAAGCTGGGGATTAGCAGCAAGCAACTGTTCCGCTTGAGCAGGCGCTTCCAAACATAAAGCTTTGACAGCAGACAACATATAATCTAATTCATTAGGTGCTAATTGTGTTAATGTGCGATATATGTCTTCGTTACCAAACGCTCCGGTAGACTGAGATGGAGTTCCTCGATAGTAATTTGGAGCTGGTGGGTAAGGAGAATAACCATAGTTGGGATTAGCCGGTGGGTATGAACTATAAGAGGGATTATAACCGTAGCTAGGCATAGAATAAGGTTGTGAATATTGTCCATACGACGGAGGTGCGACCAATTTGTCTAAACGGCGAATTTGGTCTGCTGTGGGAAAGTCAACTCGTAATCGTCTCGTGCCTGCATCATAATTGTTTAGATTCCGCACTGCAGATGCTGCAGTAGCTGTGTCATGATATTCGCAAAAACCATAGCCTTTAGGCTGTCCAGATTCTGGGTCAATGATAAGATGAAAAGACTTTACAGGGCCACTTTGTCTAAATATATCAGTGACCTGTTCTTCAGCCATTTCATAAGGAATATTACCCACTAAAGATTCGAAAAAAGTTAGTTAAATTAAAAGAAACAGAAAAAACATACCGTAAACCACGCATGATGGATTCATGGTAATAAGTGGTAGAGCGTAAGGATTCTGTCAGTGTCCAAGAGGAAGCGTGAATGCATACTGCCACCGTAACTTAGAATGAGAATGTTTTCGAAAAGTAAATAATTGTGATGTTGGAATAAAATAATTAATCAAGAACACTTTGATTAGGAAATGACCTCGCAATTAGCAAACAATGAAATTCTTCTTCTTCATTACTAGAGAAACACAAAAGAAATACTCCTTTAAACATTGCCTAGAAATACTTACTTTATTATTTTGATGGATGCGTGTTTTATATCCCTTTCATAATTTGATTTGACTAGAAGATGGCAGATGCTCTAGCATGGAAACCTACGTTGTCTAACCTACGCATTCATATATAATCAAAATATATCGAATAGCTTAATGGAATCATTAGTCGTCTACTTTAACTCAGACTACAATTTAAAAGGATGATTGGACTTACTAAATCTTCTCCCTACATTATAGATGAAGGTAAATCAAATCGAATTTTTTTAGAGAAAGAAGCTAGACTGGTATTGGGAAGCACAACGTTTAGTCGAACAAACCGAAACCCATGTCTTCGTCAGATTCTTCTTCGGCCTTAGCCTCTTCCTTCTTCTCCTCAGCAGGAGCTTCACCAGCAGCAGGGGCAGCGGCAGCAACGGGAGCAGCACCGGCACCGGAACCAATGTTCAAGAGAAGTTCCTTAAGGTCCTTGCCTTCAAGAGCCTTAGCAAAAATGGAAGCCCAGATGGGTTCAACTTCGACATTGGCAGCCTTGGTCAAAGACAAGAGCTTGTCAGACTAATAATTCACAATTAGTATATTTCTGAATAAGCTATAACATATATAGAAGCATATAATAGAGCAGAAGCTACTTTAACGGAAATAAAGCTTCAATCTTCCACACTCACGTATACTTGCTAAATACATATCAAAAAGATACTTACAGTAATTTCAATACCCTCGTCAGCCAAAATGAGAGCTGAATAACTAGTAGCAAGTTCAGAGGCAGACATTTTGACCAGTGCTGTTCTCTTGTGTATGTGCAACGCGTGCGTTTTGTTCCGATCTAGTGTTTAGTTTCGACTCGTGTGACTATCTTAGTCCATACCCTACCCTAACTTCTTGATAAATGATAATTACCGAAGCTCCTAATAATTTGTTAATGAATAAACGCGTCGACGCGTATTATTATTATTATATCCACAGGATTTTTCTTGCCTTGAACCAATACCCTAAAGACGGGTTTCTTTGAAAGAATTTCTGGCACAAGTGCCTTATTCCAACATTCTTTTGCTTAATTTTTTCTTTAGTATTGTTTGAACGAGTCGAATTAACGAAATACTTATAGAATGGGTGATACAGAGGTAGAAGTACGTCTTAATGAGCCAAATGATGCGAACGTAGCCAATGCTGGCGCTCCTGCTAATGGGGGTGCTGACTACAATTACGATGTCAATGTTGAGGCAGAAGAAGAAGGAGTAGCAGGACCTATGCCTCTTCAAATGCTAGAAGGAAACGGTATCACATCTACTGATATAAAAAAAATCCATGAAGCAGGCTACTATACAGTAGAATCGATTGCTTATACCCCTAAGCGGCAATTGCTTTTGATTAAGGGTATTTCTGAAGCCAAGGCCGATAAACTCCTAGGTGAAGCTAGTAAACTCGTCCCCATGGGCTTTACAACAGCTACGGAATATCATATTCGAAGAAGTGAGTTAATTACTATAACAACAGGATCTAAACAGTTGGACACCTTATTACAAGGTGGTGTCGAAACAGGTAGCATCACTGAATTGTTTGGTGAGTTTCGTACTGGTAAAAGTCAAATTTGCCATACTTTAGCCGTTACTTGTCAATTGCCAATTGATATGGGTGGTGGAGAAGGAAAATGTTTGTATATCGACACGGAAGGCACATTTCGTCCTGTTCGTCTTTTGGCCGTCGCTGATCGTTATGGATTGAACGGCGAAGAAGTTTTAGACAATGTTGCTTATGCTCGTGCATACAATGCTGATCACCAGCTTGAATTACTGCAACAAGCAGCCAATATGATGTCTGAATCACGATTTTCGATGCTCGTCGTGGATAGTTGTACCGCTTTATATCGTACGGATTTCTCTGGTCGGGGTGAATTATCTGCTCGTCAAATGCACCTTGCTCGTTTTATGCGTACACTTCAACGACTAGCGGATGAATTCGGAATTGCTGTTGTGATTACCAACCAAGTAGTTGCTCAAGTCGACGGCATCTCTTTCAACCCTGATCCCAAAAAGCCTATTGGTGGCAATATCCTTGCACACTCGAGTACCACTCGACTTTCCTTGCGGAAAGGACGTGGAGAACAAAGAATTTGTAAGATTTATGACAGTCCATGTCTTCCTGAAAGTGAAGCCATATTTGCCATCAATGCAGACGGTGTTGGCGATCCAAAAGAAATTCTTGCTCCCATCTAAGTGATAAATTCCCTATTAGATTACTCTATTTTCCAAAAACGTTTCTGCCTATATTGATTATTACAGCAGTGAAGGGCCGGCTAGAAATTGCCATTTTTAGAACCTCTTCTGTTATGGATCCCATTTAGGGCATCATTTGTCAACTTTTATCTGGTATACGTTATGAACGTAGTCACTTTGCATGGTATTTTTTAATTGTTTGTACCTATATAAGATGAAAGAAACCACGGTTAGGGTCTATGCTCGTTTCCTATTTATGTCATTATGCTAATCCCTATTTTTACCATGAATTCCCACTTATGGTTCTATTATTTAATTTATTTACAAAAAAAAATTGGTAATGGAGGATATTTATGCAATCGGTCATTCTTTTCCGAGATGCACGTCTCATCAAAAGTTGTTGAGCTACGGATCTTTTTCAGCATCATCCATATATTCATCTAATGTTTGAGAAGCTTCCTGGCTTCCTGTTTGCTCTGTATTAGCAATATGGTACAGGTTGACTAGAATCTTTGAATAGTTAGAAGCATGATATTCATTGTCTCTCTTTTTTTCTTAATCTGACGTTTTCAATGAAATGATAGTAAAGAAAGAAAATAATATAACATAAGTAGAATTAACTATAGCAATTCAGCAACGGTTAAAGAGAATTATTTTTATAGTAAAGATAATGATGTATGATGGGTCAGTGTCTTAAAACCAATATCCCACTACAGCTAAACTCTTGTACCTGTGAAGAAAGCCTCTCATAACTCAATTAAAGAATGACGGATTTGGATAGGCCTAATGTAGAAATTGAACAAGATGAAGCGGAAAATTTGCTTCGTATGGATCCAGTTCAATCGAGTTTCGACGTTGAGACAAGACCAGTTGAACCTGATACCTTTGCCGGTGAATCAGTCGTTGAAACTAGATTTACGGGGGGAGATACATTAGATGAACCCATTAGAGTTACTTTACTTAATGAATTTCGAGCAATTGGCAAAAAACTGGTTTACATACTGTATCCCAAAAATGCCGAAGTATTGAGGGACTGGGATTTATGGGGACCTTTAATATTCTCTCTGGTCATTTCTATATGTCTTGCTCTTCCTGCTTCTAAATCGGATAGGGAATCTATTTTCACGGTGGTCTTTGCTCTCATTTGGTTTGGCGAGGCTATCTGTTCTTTGAACATCAAACTCTTAGGTGCTAACATTAGTATTTTCCAGTCTATCTGTATCCTTGGCTACTCTTCATTTCCGCTCGTAATTTCTTCAGTCGTTTGTTCTTTTCTTGATCAGCTTTATATTCGTATACCTGTTATCGTAGCCATGTATGCATGGGCTACTTTCGCGTCTCTAGGAGTGCTACAAAATTCTAACCTCGTCAACAAGAAATTCTTAGCCGCGTATCCACTCTTTTTATTTTACTTTTCTTTGTCTTGGATCATTTTTCTATAAACTTAGATATGTCTGTTCTTCTTTCCTTTTATTGCTCCACTTTTAATTAATGAGTTTTATACGATGAGATGCATTATAATAAAAATATATTCATCATGCTATATAACGTGTGCGCATTATAGTCTTTGATTAATTTAATGATTCCGTACCCGCAATGCATACTCTTGTTGAGCATAGGCATTAATGTGTGAAATGAGACTCACTTCCCGTTCCAAAACTTTTAAACGATGAGGAGCGTTTTCGGACTCCTGCTTCCAAAGCATCTCATAACAAGAAAGATTTCGTTTTTCCGTCTCCAAAGCTTGGTGTGCATGTGATATTTTAGAGAGTAAAAAGCTAGATCTCTCCAACAACTTTTGTAAACGTTCTCCTACCAAACTTTCTAATCTATTGCAAGAAATAGCATCTTGTGCAAGACTTCTATGGACTATCGATGTATAGATTTTTTCAGCACTTTGGACATCTTCGTCATCTTCTTCATATACTATTAATCCTGGCAACAAATTAGATGTGTTATGTATAGAGTCGTAAGCTTCCAGAAATTCTTTATCAAACCGATTTTTATCTGTTTTGTCCTGCGAGGATCCAAGTTCTTGCAAGACCATCGCCTTGCACTTGTCCAACTCATCGTTAGAGATCTCTGCAACCTTGCTAACTTTTTCTTTCATTTTCATACTGCTGGTAGGATGGCTGATACCGTCAGATGCAACTAGTGCATATAATTCTTGGAACACAAGGCTTTCCGCAGAAGAGCCGCTCTTACATGCCTTTTTCCAAGAAGACGGTTGAATAATGTTGGGTCTAGGAAGGCCCTTCTGTATCACTTGCGATTGGCGCTCTTGCGCTAATCGTTCCATATGTGCTAAGTGTTCCTGAATACGACGTTCACGATCAGCAGCATCTTCTTCCATTCTTTCTTCTGATAACTCTTCTGTTTCATTAGCAAATCGAGGTTCCATTAGTTCATAATCATCTTTAGGCTTTGGCAGTTTGGCAAACAGACTCATTAATTCCTTCGCCTTTAATTTTTTAGCTTTCGAGTCAGCAATAGCCTGCGCATTTTGATTAGCTCTATTAATCGCAAACGTATCACGTGGTGTACGATAAGGAGTGGCCTGGCTGCTAGGTAATCCATCGCCATTTGTACTGACAGCAGAGCGCACCGGTTTAGCACCAGAAAATCCAGTCCCTCCAGAATCTAATGGAGTATTTTCTTCTCCCAAAAGTGATGACTGTTCTCGATTTTTTAACAATTGGTTCCTCGCTTCAATCAGAAGTGCATCTTCTTTGCCTTCTAAAGCACCGCTACGAGGAGTACGCAGTTGCGTGGATCGCTCGAGTTGAGAGTAGTTACCTACCAATCCAGTACTGTGGCCTGCAGCTGGTGTCGTATCGGTCATGGAACGAGCGCGGTCACCAGCTAATCCTAGTTTGACGACCTTATCCAGCTCATCCTCATTAACCTGTGGTGCTGGTAAATTTAATTTCCTTCTTTTACTCATTTGCTCAGCTTCAGCTAAACGTCTCATTTTCTCATCATGAGCATCATTATTGGGTCGTTTTACCTTTTCAACAGGCTTTGGTCGCTCAAAATGTCCGCGATCATTTAGAGTTTCTTTACTCTTCAAACCACGTTCCACAAGTTTATGATTCTCATTTTGCTTATCTCGTAAATTCTTACGGTCTTCTTCAGAAGTATCGTAGAAACCAATGGCAGGCTTTTTCTCAAATGGAATTGAAGCATTGTAATCCATTTCATTCTTCCTCCTTCGGTTAAGCTTTATGCTATAAAAAAAAAGGTTAGTTTCATTATTTCCAACATTAATTAATAATCTCTTACTTTACACCAGCAGCCTTTAACTCACGGCGCTTTTGTAATTGAGAAAGTCGTTTCGTAAGTTCCAATTGTTTTTCACGGTCCTTACGCTTAGCCTTTTTTCCTTGTGTATTTGCAAGACGAGCTCGAGCTTCACTCAGCATTTCCTTTTCATCTTCATCCATATCAATTGCATCTGGTAGGGCTGGAAGGGTTTCTAAGTTGGGCTCCGCGTCTCCAAAGCGAAGCCGGGAATTTGGATCATTGACGGGAGGAGCAGCTTCCGCACCCTCTCCAGTGGTAAGACCAAGTTCTTCATTTTCCCGAGCTTCCAAATCGTCTAAAAGTTTCTGATACCTTTCTAGGCACTGAGTAGCAGTACGGCCTACAATGGGAGCGATCGTCCGCCATTGCGTTGGCAACAGCTTGGCTAAATGCAATAGTTTTTCATCTTCTTCACGGCTCCATTCTGTCTAAACCATTCGGATGTTAACGACTTTCGGTTGAAACGTTCAATCCCTGCCATCTTCGATTTCTTTTACAATTCTGAAGGAAGAGGCAGAGACAGAAAATTCTTCGAAAAACAACTTACCTTTTTAATGCTAGGATCAATCCACTCGTACCAGCGAGCCTTACATTGTTTAGGAGTCTTGCGAACCAGTAAAGAACTAATTCGAGCCCACTGGTTTTTTCCATATTTACTGACGGCAGCCTAAAGTTGTTAATATGATTATAGGAAACAAAAGTAAAGAAATAAATTTCATACCTTTAAAATCTCATCCTGTTCACCAATTCGTTAGTATAACCTTCAGTGAATAAAAGCAGTAATTCTATATACCTCTGTATTCTTCCAGGCACCTGACGCGTTAGCAAAAAAGAAACAAAAAAACAAAATTCATCAATAAAGTTATCTACCTCCTTTAAACATTCTGAATGTTTATCCAAATGAGCAAGATGCAAAATTGAAAACGAGGTGTCGTAGTTGAATCAAACAATCCAAGCGTTTCCAGTATAAATAAAACACCGTCAATCTCTTTAAAAAATTAAAAAAACGGGAATTTATGTTCGTTACTACAAGCTAAAAAGGGTCTACTCTTATTGCAACTGTTAAAAATGTGTCGTCCAACTTCTCTGACCTCTCTTCCCATGTTTACAGAAAGTGTATTCAATTGTGTTATATTGTATTAGATCATAATTTACGCTTTGTTATAATTGTTACTGCATTGCGCTCGTTAACGCCTTTCTAAAAATGTTGATATCATAGTTCGGTTCTTATTTTTTGAAATTAGATATTCGTTACAAAAGCATAAAAGAAGTAATCTTGGGTTATATTGACCTAGTAAAACCATTTAAAATTGTATTTTTTGTGTAAGCTCTCTTGTTTAAGCTCATGTGTATAAACTCTTCAATCAAAGCGAGTGGTAATCTCCAGGAAAGGCCTCTCCCTAGTCGCTGTTTCTTCTTGCTTCTTGATGTGTCCCTTTTCATACTAATTGTTTAATCAATTGTGAAAATTAAATCTCCTAATTTACTAGCATAGAGATATACTTGCATTTTATTTGATCGAACTGTATGATTCTCAAAAATACTTTATAGTCATGTTTTATCACAAGTAAAGCAAGCAAAAACTAAATATCACAACTGATTAATTCTTTTTGCTTCTAATTGCAATGGTGGATATGCTCAATTGTTTACTTACTTCATTAATCATTTACGAACTTGCCATCTACCACCATTATATTTCATACAACCCATTGAGGAATTTTTAAAGGGTATCTTTTCAAGAGATCTATTTGAATATAAACAGAATATTAATAGAAAACTTGATCAGTAGATAGCTGTTAAAGAATTTGTCTTCCGGCTTAGAATAAACGTTCCGACACTCATATCTAATACGGTTCTTCGTCTACATAAACGACAGATTTTCTTGCTTTTTCTCTTTATTTGTATTTAGGAAAAAGCTGTAGAGTTAGAAGGAATTTCTTTTTCTTATTTTCTCTACTCCAAATTACGTATTCTACGTTGCTCGATTCTCCTGTTTTCAGATTTCCTTTTCGTTTCCTGCCAAAATGAAGTTGTTTGGTGCTATTTTTCTAGTTAGCTTTTTCCCTTATTTCATTACAGCCAGTTCTTGGTTTTCCTCATCAAAGTTTAATCCAGTCGATGAGGATTTGACCGTTAAAGGAAACAAGATTCCTGGAGCTAATCCCGCTAGCTATTGCTCGGATTGGGACCGTGGAAACGACCATGTTACAATTGACTACATTAATCTTCTTCCAAATCCTCCTAAAGCCGGTAAAAACCTTACAATCCAGGGCCAAGTGGACGTTGGCACGACGGTCCTCAATGGAAGCTATGTTGAAATCGTCGTCAAATATGGATTTGTCCCTATTGTAAGAGAGCGTCTGGATATTTGTGAACAAGCGTATGAATTGGCGGCTGTTGAATGCCCAGTAGAAGCTGGTGTCATTAAGAAAGAAGCCACTATTCCATTACCTTGGGCTATTCCTCCAGGACGTTATTATGTTGTTGCCAAGGCTTACAATGCTAACGATGAACAACTTACCTGTGTTTCAGCTACAGTTTCCTTCAGTCATTTCGGCTTCCAGTTGATTGATCAGGACTAGGTTTCGGGCATTTCAAAGGGTTTCCAATATTTATGACTTTAAACCTTTCAAAACTTATAATGTTTGATGCTTTGATGTATCCGTTCCGTTCTTCATTACGTTTGCTTATTTTTATGGTTATATATATATTCTATTTGCGCACAACTTACTTCAATACTACTTTCAGTATTTAATGAATTCTCTTTTTCTTGATATGATTGTAATGTCTTGTAATTCACGCTAAATTTTAGTAAGTTGGCGTACGATGAAAATCGTCTATACATCTTCGATTATAACAGGAAAAAAACACGATATCGATAAATGAACACAGCTGTAATATTTAAATTTACGTAATAGAAAAAGAATCTTATTTTTCTGTCAAATTATTTCTTGGCTTTTTCATAAGCATATAAATAAGTGTTAACTTCAAGGTTGTTTATATAAATGTTTTAGAAAACCCAAAAATGGAGTGTAAGTGAGTATAGTAATCACACAAAACATAACCGGATAAAGACTAGTAAAAAAGATAGTAATCTGTCAGTTTAAATAGACTTTTTTTTTTTTCGAAACTATGGGAAGGAGTAAATTATTGGCGAGCATTCGCGACAGTAGGACCCTCCTTATTTCTCTCATTTTCTGTAGCGTGTCGATTTGCTGATGCAAGGTTGAGTCCCTGCTCAGGGAGATCCTTGGGAATGCCAAACCTTTCGGGTTCTACGGCGATTGCTCTGGTCTCAGATGGTTTCTTTGCATCCTCATCCTTCCCTGGGTACATAAGGTCATTAACAAGGAAAGCACGAGTCATCATGTACATTAGGATGATCCATACGATACACAGGGCAACGGCAATAATGTGACCAAACAATGTAAATGCTTTGGAATCAATTTCTTCACCAATTCGGAATGTCAAGATAACAAAACCGACGTTTGAGAAAATCAGAGCAAACCAAGTGTTACTGAATTTCATCGGAGCATGACTAAAGATACCAGCGACCAAAGTAACCAAGCAAAGACACCAGACCCAAGCACCGAGGCCCCAGACGAAAATGGCTAAAAAGGTACTAATAAACACCAAATCATCTGATGAATTCGCACCTATGAAAATGTTTGGACGAGTAGCAATGGCACCACGGGCCATGTTGATTAAGGCTAAGCCTGTGAAACCAGGAGGACCTGTAAGAATAAACATGGCCGGTCTTTCGGTCGCGGCTGGAAAGCCAATTGTGAAAAACCGAAGCAGCATGGCAGAGAAAATCATGAGATATACCCAGAAACCGAGACCTTGAAACATGATACCGAAAATGACCATGTTTTTCAGTTGAGGAGACGGCTGGGTTGCAAGAACAGCACCAGCAACAACACCGCCAATCATGCATGGGAAAATAGGCAAAACCCATGCAGGGGCAGCAGTTTCCAAGGTGTATACATGATCCCGAAACACGGTATAATAAGCAAATAAACCGTATAAAAAGGTAACGGCGATATAAATATAATACAAAATACGAATCACCCATACCATCCATTCTCCTGTGGATGGTTTAGCATAGACGGCAAGCATGTCAATACAATTTGAAAACGATAACAGACACGTAGATATAAAGAACTTTTCCTGGAAATGTCTCCAGGAAGCCATAAAAGTATCACGGTATACGAGAAAGCGAGTAATCATTAGGCAACAAAACAGAGTCAAGAGAACGAGATCTAAGATATAAACGATTTTACCAATAGTGTTTAGTCCATAGAATCGGAAAGGGAGCGTACCAATAATGAGGCCAATACCACCAGTACCCATTGTTATAGCAAACCAACTCCAAGTGAAATGGCGTACACGTTGAATAAAAGGGACATGAGGACTTTTTACTCGCCAGTCCAAAAGCTCATGGTAGCGATTCGTAAGGATTTCGGCGACTTTACCCATATTGAAACCAGATCTACAAAGAGTTAGTCGAAACAAAGAACTTCACATACATCCCTCTCGAGCCTTTAATTCAAACGAATCGAAATGACCGTTCTGAGGAACGTAAGACACAAGAAGGAAAGAAAACACAAAAAAAAAAAAAAAAAAAAAAATAAGACAACTTGTTTTAGGAAGGGATCGGGAATAATATTACAAGACTTTCATTCAATAAATGAACCAACTCCTTCCAAGAATTTATTCTACCCAAGTATTTCCTTAAAAGGATTTCCTCTATTTTTTTTTTTCACATGTCTTGTAACATCATCTTGACTTCATACGTTTATTCTTACGCACTCCTCTACTTACCGAAAGTCACCAATGAACGATAAATGGAATAACGCAAATCACCGCAGTTGACCACTTTTTCGCTAAAGTTCGCTAAAAACCCTTAGACTGAGTTCAATTTGCGATTATTTTTTCATATAAGACTGAAGAGCCCAAGGACCTGAAAATCCAAAAGAATCGATTTGTGTTGGATAATTTCAATTGATTTTCCAAAAAATTCGGTATTTTTATGGGTATCACTCAATTTGTCTTTTTGCGTCGTCGGTGCAAGACAATTTTGTTCCAACTGAGATTGTGCAAAAGTTATATGAGTTGGTTTATTTGCATCGTTCGCGATCGTTGCAATTTGTTATGTTACATAAGGAATTACGTAAAAAAGAGATCATTAGTAAATAAATCAGCAGAGCAGTTTTAAAAATGTAAATAAACAAAGAAATAAAGAGAAAGAAAGAAAAAAAAATAAAAGAAAATAATATGCAAGAGAACAGTTATTGAATGATTCTTTTCTATTAAGTCAAATTTCAAAAAGGATTCTTGAAAGTTTGACGATGACATGAATTTGCAGAGTGCTCTATGAATATGACGCTTTCAAACAAATTGCTCAACTATCGATAGATCCTTTATATAAAGCGTCAACCTGTAAAAATGAAAAGAAAAGAAAAAGAAACAAAACAAGGAAACCTTTTAAATAGCCTTTCTTGAAAGGAAGAAAAAAAGTTCAAAAAAAGAACTCCCAAGGCGAGACTCGAACTCGCAACCTTCTGATGACCTTTTTAAGAGTCAGACGCTCTAAACCGATTGAGCTACCCGGGACTTGTATATTTCCTTTGCTGTTTAAACCGTTTTGTAACGTTTTGTTTTATTTATGAACAACATTGAATCACTTTGCTTGTTTTTTCTTTTGTTTTTGAAATAACAAGGTAAAGAAAAGTAATTTATAAAAATAGAAAATAAAACATGTGTAATGTCTCAAAACAACGAAATTCTGTTTGCTAACGGTTTCCTGTAGAAAAGAGCAAAGTTTACCATTGCGTACTTCAGGAACAAGAGTTTTTTCTTTTTTTTTTTTTTTTTTTTTTTGTATCTCTAACGTTTTATATTTTATTTTCAATTGTTCACTTTTTCTTTTTAAATCCATTTTCTCTTGTCTTACTGAAATAAAAAGAAAAAAGTCTGCGTGCGAAATTGGCCCTTCTCTCCTACAGGTTAGGCTTTCATTCCTTTCCTTTCCCCTTTCATTTTAGGTACTTGTTTTACGTTTCCTTTTTTTTTGGTATTTTTGAACTGTAAAGCAGTTTCTTTCTTTTCTTCATAACATTTTTGACGGAAAGCGAATTACGTCCACCCAGAAAACAAAATTATGAACCAGCTGGCTTCTTCGGCTACCAATAGCCCGGATACGGCCAATGGTCTCCAAAGTATCTTATCCGGGAATTCTTTTTTCAGCGCAGGAATAGGTTTAATGGGTTTCGGAGCTGGTTTGGCCATCTTACGGCGTGGTGTCGTATCTGGCGCAGGTCTCATCAAACGTCGAATGCTGGTTTCTGTGGAAATCCCAAGTAAAGAAAAAAGTTATAATGCATTTCTTCATTGGATGGGGACAGTCCCGAAACGATACTCCAACCAGCTAGCCGTTGAAGCAAGAGGAAGTGCCAAAAGTATTTTCCATCCTCCCACCCGTTCCTCCAACCAACCCAGCCCCAGTAGTCTCTTCCAACTCGTCCCCGGACCAGGAAAGCACTTTATTAAATACAAGAAATGCTGGATTCAGGTCGAGCGCCAACGAAGCAGCCGCCTACAAGACTTGACAACCGGCACTCCATGGGAAACCATCACACTTACGACGTTGTCCAGGGATCGTGGAATTTTCTCTGATATGCTTCTTGAAGCTCAGAAATTCATGCATACTGCTCAGAAAAACAAGACCACAATATACACTGCATGGGCTACTGACTGGAAGCCGTTTGGATCACCAAGATCGAAGCGTCTTTTATCTAGTGTTGTTTTGGAAAAAGATGTAAAAAATTTAATTACTGAAGATGTTCGAGACTTTTTGGGTAACTATCAATGGTATGCTGACCGAGGAATCCCCTACCGCCGTGGATACCTTTTATATGGTCCTCCAGGAAGCGGAAAAACCTCTTTCCTCTATGCCTTGGCCGGTGAACTGGATTATGATATCTGTGTCTTAAACCTTGCTGAAAGAGGCTTGAGTGACGACAGACTAAATCACTTACTCTCTAATGTTCCTCCAAAGTCAATTGTCCTCCTAGAGGATGTCGATTCTGCTTTCCAAGGAAGGGATCGTTCCGGTGAAATTGGGTTCCGTGCCAATGTCACATTTAGTGGTCTTTTGAATGCAGTTGACGGTGTAACTTCTGCAGATGAACGTATCATATTTATGACAACAAATCATCCAGAAATACTCGATCCTGCTTTGATTCGTCCTGGCCGTGTCGATATCAAGGCATATTTGGGCAATGCCACTCCTCAGCAGGTACACGATATGTTCCGTAGATTCTATGGAAGAGATGATCCCATACTATCTTCTGAACTAAGTAAGATTGTGTGTGAGAAGAATACGAGTATGGCATCTCTCCAAGGTTTATTTGTTATGAACAAAACATCGCCAGAAGCCGCATTGGAACTTGCAAAAGAGCTTCCTCAGCTTCCTAAAAGCACTCCCTTTGCATTTAATTTACAGAAAAAACCTCTTTCTGTCTAATTTTGAAAAGCATGGTCGTTTATAATGTCGTTTGCAATCATTTTCTTAATCAGATACCCTTGAAGCAGTCGACTGTTTGTTAAGAAATGTCATTGTCTACAGGCTTAATACCTTATATAAATCTATTTTATATGTTGTATGGATAATGAGTAATCACAAAGCTATACTCTCCATTCTTGAACTACACTTTAGATACGTGAAAAAATGAAGCTTTATTAAAAATTCATAGTTTCTGCTTAATACATTTTATTGAATTTCTATGCATTTCCATCCTGTTTATTAATTGAAATGGATTTAAGACTAGAAGGAATTTCAGGTGTCATAGTTCGAGTAACTCCATTTTATCCGCATTCAACAATCTCTTCAAATGGTGAAATATTTATTACTAGACATTGAAGGAACAGTTGGAAGTATTTCTTTTGTTAAAGATGACTTGGTAAATGACGATTAAAGTACATGAAAAGCATAGTTGACTAACTGAATGGTTGATGTAGTTTAGCTATGCAGAGAAGCATTACAAGGAATACGTAGAACAGCATTACGAAGAAGATCAAAACTTACATGCTTTAGGTGATTCGCCAGAGTCTACCTTGAGCGCAATCCGGAAGCTGCATGCAGAAGGAAGCAAGGACCGCCATTTCAAACACGTTCAAGGCAGTATCTGGAAAGATGGTTATAAAAGAAATGAGCTTGTTTCTCATTTGTTTCCAGATGTCATTCCTTTTATTGAGCGTGCCTTGCAAATCGGAAGCAAAGTTTACATTTATTCTAGTGGAAGTGTTCCTGCACAGAAATTGTATTTCAGCCATACGGAATCTGGGGATATCTTGCCTTTCCTTTCCGGTTTCTTTGATACAACTACCGGAATAAAGACCGAAAGCGATAGCTATAAGAAGATTATTGGAGATTCGGATGCTCGCGAATGGCTGTTCCTGAGTGACAATATTAATGGTATCATAATTATTTTTTAATGACTTTTTACGAAAAGAGGCTAATCTGTATAGAGCTAAAGGCTGCCCAACGAATTGGCATTCATGTCGGCTTAGTTGTTCGACCAGGAAATGAGACTGTTTCAGAGACTGAAGGAATCCCTGTTTATCATTCGTTTGACTGTTTATTCACGGAATGATCTTCTAAATTATTGTCGTCGGAGATTTTCCTCGTCTGGTAACGAACTAAGCAGAATCTGAAATGTCTTATAACGAATGTATCAAACATAGCTACTCGGAGTGTAGATAATAAAGATAAGAAAATGGTTTTCAAGCTTCTGACTACAAGCGAAAAATAACACTTCCCAATCAAAACATTTTTGCCCTTTTTGAAAGCATGTCGTGCATATAGCTACATACCTGATTCCTAATGAAATGAACTAATCACAGGAAAAAAAAAGAAGAGTACGATAATCATAAACTGCCAACCACTATGGATGCGTTTCCCAAAGCTTTTCCTTGTAGCAATTCAATTCCAAGAAACCCTTCTTAAAGAGAAATTGAATGAAACCACCATCAAAACCTCCTGATTCATTGCAGTATTCAAGATATAGAGCTATGGGAAATTGAAATACTCGTATAATCATCTCATTCCTTAATCATTGTTTTCGAGTAAGAAACAATTGTAGTACATATTTACTATGATATACTCACCTCCAGCTCTCAAGCTGCTACGTTTCTCCAGGAAGAGTTCTCGTTGCAAATCTATAATTTACCAGTAAAATTTTTATTTAATAGAATTTACTAGACTGTTTATTATTCTCACAACTCAAAAATGTCCGTTATCCGTTCTTGTTTGGAGTCAGTCCGTTCGCAAGTTCAGCAATGTGCAAACGGAAGAAATGTAAGTGTATAAACATGAAATTTGCTTCAAATATTGTTCTTAAATATCATTCTGTAAAAAGAAATCCCATGGCGGATGCTTGAGGCGGGAATATATTGTGTCTTTCGGATACATGAAAACGAGTGTGAAAGGTCACTATTCTAAGTTTTGTAAAGTTGAGACGTTAAAGGAAATAGAATATGGATATTGGATGAATCCGGGATGAAGCCTCGTTTTATATATTTACGTACCTGTCATTTTCTATATATGCTTTTTATGAACGATATAATGGTTTTTGACAACAAAAGGTTTACTTTAATGAGTCCCGAATGAATATACATGACTGCAAGTTCTTTTATGCGACATTTACTATTTCCTTTTTGCTTCTCTGCTATAGCATTCAGATCATTTTATGCTTGAAGTGATTAAGAAAACTTGATCGGAGAATTTTTTGTTTCTTTTTGTTATTATTCCTAACTTTGAGACTAACTAAGCGATAGATCAATCTTGTAGCTGTTAGCAAGTTCCATCCTGTAGAACAATTGATGGAAGCTTATGAAGCAGGACAGCGACATTTTGGCGAAAACTATATGCAAGAATTCTTAGTCAAGGCAGAATTGGTAAGATAGAAAAGCATCCAATTGGAGTTGAAGCTTTACTTTGTATGGATCCATGACTAACGTTCGCTTGACAGATGCCAAAAGATATACAATGGCATTTCATAGGCAATATGCAAAGTCAAAAATGCAAGAAGATTGCCTCTGTAAAAAATCTTTATGCGATTGAAACGATTGATAATGAGAAAAAGGCTCGTTTAGTTAACCAAGCCCGTGAAGCTATTCAAACACCCTTACGGGTCTATGTTCAAATAAACACTAGTGGCGAACCAAACAAAGCTGGCGTGATGCCTTCTGAGGCTTTGGATTTGTGTAAAGTTGTTCAAAGTTTGGAATATCTTCGTCTTCAAGGTTTAATGACAATTGGTTCAATTTCCCATTCACAGTTACAGGATCAGAATCCAGATTTTCAGTTGTTGTCGGATCTTCGCCTCAAGCTTCAAGCGGAACTCAATTCTCCTCTTGAACTATCAATGGGCATGAGTTCGGATTTCCCGTTGGCCATTAAATATGGTAGCGACTCGGTTCGTGTGGGAAGCTCAATCTTTGGCAGCAGACCAGAAGAAAAGCCTAAATCTGTTGTATCTTCAAATTAATATTAATTATATATAAAGGAATGGCTATTTATGCTTTTTGGAAAAATGCATTCTCACTTTGTAAGCTACAAACTTGTGTAAATTTGCACTATAGATACCTTGCTCATACTAAAGAAATGAAGCAAACACACCAATTTCACATGGCGTACTTATTTAGGTTTTTCATGTTAATCAAAAATTTTCTAAAAATGACTGTTTGCCCATTTGTAATTTCATTACTTTTTTAAACAACAATTCCCTTCTTCTGTTTTTGATCTCAAATTTGTACTTTTATTCAATGAATTCGTGAAGCTATAGTATATATACTTATTATCTTTTCTTTTTCTGTTTCTAGTGATTTCACAGTTAGAACCCTTGGAAACCTCCCAATAGCACAAAAACATCCACAATGTCAAGCATGGAGGAAGATCAGTTTAGCGAAGATTCTTCAATAGATGAAAGCCAAAAAATTGAACAAATATTGGAGATTGAGTCGAAAATTCCAGATATCCTTTCCTACGCTAGCAATTGCATCGATTCGATTGAAACAAAAGAATCCATTGAAGAATTTAACAATAATGCAAGGTCTTTCTTTCAAACATTGGAATACGTGTCTACGGGTCTTAGAAAACAAGTACTAGATCTAGAAAAAGCAGAGGTTCCATTGGTATCGCTTCAGCCAAGAAAGCATTATGTGACCGAACCTCTTACTGGTATTGTTTTTGATGAAGCAAATCGATTGTTATGAGCGTATGTATATGAAAAACAGATTTATTAAATGGTACGAGAAATCGTTAATCAAATTTTGGATTCATGGCAGGCAGGAAGGTACTTGTTTCCTAATAATTTAAATTTAACATTAGGCATTTTTTATATTCTTAGGTTGGATAAAATAACGAAAATATTTATGCTCGAACGAAGAAACCAAAAAATGCAAAAATAGTCATGGGAACTTATAGGTCGTTTCATGGAGAAAATTAAAAAGATCGATTGCAAAGAAAGTCGTTAACAATGAATTCCTACTACTGTAATGGCTCTGCGCTTTCACAAAGTCGATTTAGCTGAATATAAGCGTCCGTACCATATCCTTCCATAGACACAAGCTTCAAGTCGCCTCCGAAGTAACGAGTATATAGACGAGCGAGCGGTAGGCCAAAACCAAATCCCTGTAAAAGCATAGTTAGTAAAGTCATTTTTAAGTAGATAACATCAGTGAACATACGGCCATAGGCGGAAGAGAAGAAGCAGCCGTCATTGTATCATTGTAATCATCACTTAGCGTTTCATGAGCTGTTGTATACATGTACGACCACACCACTGAAGAGTCCTTTCTAGTAAAACCACCTCCGCGATCCGAAATGCGAATAGTGATGTCTTCTTCGCCTTTGACAACCAACACTTTGACTGGGGGATACGAATCTGCATCGACTCCGTAATATTCAACAGTTGCTCGCAGACTATTTTTTAAGATCTCAAAAATGGCATGGTTTAAGTGAGATTCTGCATACATCATATGCAAAGAAGGGTCGCAGATGATTTCCACGGGTGGTGCTTCAAACAAACAATAGGAGAGTCGACAAATAAACTTTGCACTTTCTGTGGCATCTTCAATAATACGAAGAATATTAGCCTGAGTACTGATGATACCCACACGGTTTTCTCTTGGAGGTTCGGTTACCAACGCGATGTATTGACCTATGAGCATTCGAATGCCAATTCGAGACATGTAGAATCGATCTAAAAAAACCTGAATGCTATGATCAATCTGTTTAGTTTTACGGCGGTACTCTTGAATATCAAGGGCAAGCTCGGAGGCAACATTATCATGGCGAGTTCGAATGGTATCTAGCAAACGACTAAAAGAAATATTGAATTTGTGCAATGACTCAGGCCATTCATATTCCTCACCTGTACAAGGTTTGGAAAAATCAATATTGAAATATCTTCCTCTCGACGAATCTAAATGAGTGTCCAAAAGAGAAGGATTATGCTGCACGAAATTGTGAAAAAAACTGGCCCTCCATTTGGGAGCTTTTGGATACCGTTTGTGTTTGGGAAGACATTTTGGTAATTCAATTCCCTTTAAATCAATAATTTCCTGCGAAAATTAGCAAAATAGAAATGAACCTGATGCTGTACCTCCATAGATCTTGCATAAGCAGCTCTCACTGCTGAAATTCGTTTCATCCCACCGAGCAACGGCGGCAGGTTTTGTAAATCTTGTATGCGATGGGCAAGCCGAATTGGGAGTTCATCACGCAAAAACAAACCAGAGCGAAATAGTCTACCAGGATTTCGATCCTGACCTATACGGAGGAACATAGCCCCCGTTCATGTTAGTAACGAACGTAACAATTCTTCCCACGGCAAGTACATTGCAAGCGCAAGCTGCATCAATTTTATATGCAGTTGAATAGAGGCAAGCTTGTGCTCAGTGCAATTAGAACATACCAAAGTAAACAAGCTGCTTTAGAGAAAGACCGGTTTGGGGATATTGGGCCAATAAGTTCACCTTTTCTTGTAAAGATTTTCCTACAACAGACATAATTGCTTAATTTTTTTACAAATGTTCACAGTTTTAAATTCGGTTGGGTTCGATTCAACTGCAATTTCCTTTTTAACGAATGTAAACAATGGGTCCTCATTGGGACATAGAGAACCAAAATCCACAAATTTCAGCAAATTAGTTTGCTTTCTGAAAAGGTCCTCAGAATAAACAGAACAATGTCTTCTCCTCTTTAGAAAGTATTATGCTTGGCAAATGTCAGAATCCAAAGGTTCATCCAAAAAGTCCCCAATTACGGACTTGTTTAGTTCGCTCGCTATCGTTAGTAAATAATTAAGAAAATAGCAGAACAAGAGATTCATTAGTGGAATACAAGAGAGCATTCAAAGTAGCCTTTAATATCTTCTATTCTAGAAAGAAAAACTGCTTCTTGTTTCACGGGGTTTTTTCATTGAGTATACGATTTTTGATTATACCACTTTCGAGTAGTTTGAAACAAGTTGCCTACATTTGTCGTGAACGCTCGCTGGCTTCAATTCGAAAAAGATATAGTGGGCTAGTAAATTTGCAAGGATTATTTCTAACTATCTGTTCCTGTTTCTATAACCACTTAAACCCCATCCTCCTCAGCAACGAAAAAAGTCACCTAGAATCCTCATGACCTAAGAAACCATTCTCATTTAGTGCTGATTCTTTTCTTTTCAAAAAAAATTCTATTGTATTTCGAAATCTGTTCAATTCCTATCTACTGTAATCGGTGGCTGGCCAACTTCTCGTATATTCAATTGTTTAAGACAATGGGATCCTTTTCTCAAAAAGAATGGAAAGAAGATGGATAAAGTCGGGGCTCGGATAGATCGGCATTTTAAGAAAAAGGTATAAATAAAGGTCCTTGGAAGCATTCTACTCCATATTAAATTGAATTTGGCTAATCATTACTCCATTGCTTTCCTTCAGTATTTCTTCCCGATTCTTCAACATGGACGCTATGAACAACACAATTTCCTCTTCTACTTCTTCTTCTCTAGTAAACAATGCTCCTTCCAAGCCCACTGTCACTAGCAGCAATGCTTCTTGGTACCAACCCAAACCTCCTGCAATGTGGTATGTAGAATCCCTCCATTGGACTTCTTGGAAGCATTGGAAAAACCATATACTAACATGTTTATTAGTGTCATCGCCTAATTTCCATTGATTTTTTCTTTTTGATCAGAGCAGCTATATCCTACTGAAACGCCGTTTTAGTATTTTTGTCCCAATTTTTGAACTGCCTTTAATGAACACTTAATTCAAGGTTGAGCATTTTTATATCTATTAATAAGAATTTTTGAGCTGCCTATATGATTTCAATCGTAGCAAGAAAATGGTAATTCCTGTTCGTATATATTTAGTTTACAAAAAACTTGAAAAGGCCAAGCCGGTTACCATTCCATTCTTGAAAAAAAATACACCGTACTTCTAACATTAAGAATCCAAAAACCCAAAGCTAAAGCCAGGTAGTATGTAAACAATGGAAACCTTGACGAAGTTCCACAATACTGACTACTCACTAAAACTTTACGACTCTTAAAAAATGTTCATACACAAACACCAAATATTAATTGATTGACAAACTATTTTAAGCGATATCCTTCTTGAGGGTACCCATGAATTGCTTGGCCTCGGCAGGGGTTTGGAAACGTCCATGACCGAACTTGGAGGCAGTGTCGATCCATTTGAGGTTGACAGCCTCCAAAGCCTTACGAGAAGTGTGGGTGATGAGAGACTTACGGATGGTCATGATACGCTTAACGGGACCGGGAGTAGCACCGTTCAACATGATGTAGTCGTTGTCGACAGCACCATAGCGAACGAATCCACCCATAGGAGTAATACGCTTCTCAGTGGCATCAAAGTCAGTAGAAGCGTTCTTGCTGTCTTCACCAGAACCAACACGGTAGATCTTGGAGTTCAATTGGGTACGGTGCATGTAACCGGCGTTACCAGCACGGGGAACAGTCCATTGGACGTTGGCAGGGTGCCAAGCACCGATACAAGCAACCTTACGAAGACCACGGTGAGTCTTACGAGGAAGGTGCTTAGTACCCCAACGACCAGTGGTACCTTCAGCACCCTTACCGCGAGTGACAGCAATGACATCGACCATTTCGTTTTGTTCGAAGGTGGACTTAACGTCGACAGTCTTTTCAAAGTGTTCACGGGCCCATTCAACCTTGTCAGCAACGGAACCACCGTTGATTTGAATTTCCATAAGGTGGGCCTTCTTTTGAGCAAGAGGGGTCTTACGGATTTGAGTGTGAGCAAGAACACGAACAACGGAGCAGTACTTCTTGATACGCTCGAGCTCACGAGAAAGAGATTGGGTGTTCTCAGAGTACTTCTTGGCGTACTTAGTGAAAGCCTTCTTCTTGCTCTTGAACCAGTTCTTGTAGAAGCGGCGCTTGACTTCTTCAGACAAGTGCTCAGCCCAGACAGTGGTGAGAGAGCGGAGACCACGGGGAGTCTCGACATAACCAACGACACCAACAACCACCATGGGAGGAGTCTCGATAACAGTAACAGCCTCAAGAATCTCACGCTTGTGCATCTTGGAGCCAGGACGGTCAAGATCACGAACAATGTGAGTCATACCGGCCTTGTAACCAAGGAAAGCAGTCAAGTGAACAGGCTTGGAGGAGTCATCCTTGGGGAAAGCCTTCACCTTACCGCGAACACGGGAGGCACGCTTACGGGGCAAAAAGCCAAGGGAACCGAGACGAGGGTGCTCGTATTTACAATGAGACATGGTGGTACCTTGGTGAGGATATTCTGTAAAGGACACCGAGACAGCAATAAGAAATTTGTGGACACAAATTTGTGACTGGCTTTTGTAACGTATCGGAACATACTGAGATATTCAGTCAAATACCGAGACATAACACAGCGTTTTATCCAAATTATGCAGTTTTTTTATAAGAATTCTACATGCTCTTTTGAATGTTCATAGTTTGCTTGAAGACAGGAAACAAAAAATTAGCAAAATTAATTACTAGTGATGAATGCAATAAATATGTTGTTACTTTATGCCAGGCCAGTACTCCTACGGCTTTGTGGTTTGGTAAGTATACATACCGGTTATGACCCAAATAGAAAGCGAAGAGAACGGATTTCCATCAAAAATATTTTCTATTAATTTTAATTAAACTATATATTCCTTTACCCAAAAAACCGTATTAAACCCAACCGAAATGTACCCGGAAATAAATCATCTTTGCCGGCCTATGAATAAGCAATTCAAGTCCATGGTAGTTCTAAAACAAAGACCAATCATTCAAGATAATATGATTAGCAATTGTAGGTATCTTTTCTTAGTATCGTTTTGGCTTTTTCTGTTTTTTGCCGCGGTTTTTCGAGAATGTCTTCCTAGCTTGCTGTGATTTCTTCGAAGAATTACTTGCTTCAGCATCTTCCATATCCTCATCAAAGTCATCGCGTACACGTTTGTTGCTAAACTTAACTTTATTGTTTAATCCTCGTTGGAAACTAGCTTCACCAGAAACTGCTTCCATATATTGTCGATTAACTTCGGCATGCTCTTTTGCACCAATGAGCCCCTCGTCACCATCTGATTCCGATTCAGACTCATCAAACAACAAAAGACCTTCTTCATTTGATTTGAATGAAGAGCTAGGAGCCACTTGTTTACGTCTACTCTGTCGCGAGGGATCAGTGGAAGATATTTTAGAAATAGCTTCAATATCCAGCAAATCCAACGGTTCATCTTCACCATCTTCTTTGACATATGATTTCTCCAATCTTGTGCTGTTTGCATCTTCCATGGTTTCGTCCATATACTCCTCTTCTTCCTCACTGTCTGTGTCATAAACAGCCTGCTCATAAGCGGAAGCGAAATTCTTACGGGGCACGGCTGGCTTGAGATTGTTTTCATTCTTTTGGCCACGTTTACGCAATTTTCGCTCTTGTGTTTTACGAATGTTTGTAATTAGCTTCTTGTCAGCAACCGGCACATATGGCTCCACGGTTGCAACACCAAATTTTCGCACCATCTTCTCTAGAATATGCTTAACCTTGGCACGGAAATGACCCTTGCTTTCGTGGGACCAGGATAGAAGATTAGGGACGAGATCGGGGAGAAGTGGTTTTACGAAATCTGAAGGCAAGGTGGAGCTAGCAATCTTGGTAAAGTCAATAGCTGCTTTAGCGATTTCTCTATTTGCAGATTTCATGAATAAATTCATAGTATTCATCAATTCAAGCAAAAATTGTTGCGTAAGATACTCCTTGTATTCAAGAACCACACTCGAAATTGCAATAATAGCAGCGCTAATCATATGAGTAGATGAACCTGCTAAACCGGCACTAATAACTGAAAGAAACTTTTCTACTCTAATTGGAATAGAATCGCCAAATAAATTAGATTGCACCGCAGAAGCAGCAATTGTCATCAAGAGCTGGAAAGCAGCAGAACGAGCTCTTTCGTTAACTTCTTTGGTTGCAATAATTGCTTCCGGTAGCACCTTAGGAATAACACTATTAAGCTCGTCAGATTGAATCTTGAAGAGTTCTGTTAAACAGACCAGGCGATCCTTACGAGTTGAAGAAATGACACGACTAGATACACTAAACAACAACTCGAAGACTTTTACCATATTCAGATTTGCGTATCCTCTTCCAAATTCTGTACGCAACATAGCAGACAACAATTTATAGCCTTTCTTTTGAATTGCCGCATCCCGATGATTTAAGAACTCCTGGACGTAATTAAACAATGCTGGACAATACTCTTGATTCAAAAAAGAAGATAAAACAACAAGCAAATCCATCAAAGAATAAGCCATTGGCGTTGCAGTACTATCACCAGCAATCTTATAGGAGCCAGCTAATTCATCTAAACTGTTGGGAAGAAGATCAGTAATCTTCCTGTAAATAGAAGAAACTGTATCTGGTGGAGAAATAGAGAGCCACGTTTGGATACACTTTAGAATAGGGTAACGGAATTGAGAAGCAGTAGACGAGAAGACATTCAACAAGACAGAAAGAAAGTTGGAAGCAATATTACCCAAAAATTGCAAGTTGCTTATAGCTTCTTGAGCCTCTAACGGAACAGGAACACCATCCTCAAGAGGAACATTATTCGCGACTTTATGGTTGGTTTCAACTAACAATGTTAAACTATTGCAAATTGTCGAGCGAAGACTAACTTGCTCGTATAAGACATTCACGAGAACACCAGCGAAGTCATTGGTGAATGCTAATTGTAAATCGACTGGAAGATAGCAATAACCAGGTAATAACGCCCATATCTGATCAACAAGTGTTTGGTACAACTTAGCGGGAACACTATCAAGATCCTCCATATCTAATACCTTTTGGTAAAGGGTTCCACTAAGGGGAATGAAGTAGTTGGTAAAATGAGAAAGGTTTGTAAACATAATGTTATCTCGCAAAACCGGAAGAAGCCAAGCACGACCAACAGCATTGGCTGTTTGCATCTCCAAGTTCAAAGGAATTACGTTCAGAACAGCTTCTGGTCCAAGCACGCGAATAAAAGTACCTATAACCTCATCTGCTAAAACCTTTCCATCAAATGTTTCAGCACCACGTAGATAATCAATAAGTCTCAAAGCAGAAATTAAAACAGGATCACTTTGCTTTCCGATGGTTTCACACAATCGAGAGATGATTTGAAAACACTCGGGATACGCAAAGCGATAATGAACACTCTTGAGAGCTTCACATAGATGATTACAAAGTTGAGATGCAATAGAAAGAGATCCTGGTGAATCGTCTAAGCAAGATACTATGGTGGATAATGTATTAGCTGCCTCTAAGCGTACTTCGACGGAATCCGACTCAAGTAAAGTAAATACGCGGGAGAATCTAGTTACACAATCCGACACAGCTTCAGGCTTGGAAAGACTATTTAAAGAAGCAACAGCACTGTTCATTGCCTTCAACCATGGGACCAAAAGCTGAGAATCATATTCGGAAGGTTGAAGCTTTTGTAGAGTGCTAAGAGCTAATCGAAGTCCCTCAAAGTTTGTAGTATCCGAGAACTTCTTGCACAACCCTTCATATATCTGAAACACCAGGTAAATCGATTGTGTGCTTCGTTGTTCAACGATTTGAGTGCAAACATTGCACAATCTGGTAAGTTGTGCCGATGGCCAAGGGGCAGACAAACAAATAGTGCGAACAAGTAAAAGACCATGATTCAAGCGTTGAATCTCTGCAGGAGTTTTTGACTTTCTAGCAACAGAGAGAGTTTCCAATAAACGCAATGATTCACCAGTCACGTACTTCATAGCCGGATGCTCAAAAACAGGGCCTGGAGGTGGTGATTTTAAAACCTTTGCAAGGACTTGTAATGCACGAGATCTAGGCTTTTCAGAAGTCGACAATGCAAAAAAGAGAAGGATGTAAGTTGCAGTTTTACAAGAATCGCCCTTAACCCAAGAGCTGTAATCCTGAGTAATTAAAAGTCGCTCAATGACATTTAGATAGTGAACAAAAAAGACCTTGTTAGGTTCTTCTCTGTTCACAATAGGAACGAGAACCGACATAATTTGGGGTAATTTTGCCTGTAAAACATTAGGAGCAACATGTTTGACAATGACTTCCAGTAATTGGAATGACTGAACCCGCATTCCTTTATTTAAATCATTAATTTCCTTAATAAGAGACAATAATGCAACCAAATACGCGGTAGGTGAGGCATCTGTTTTCTGTTCTTTCAATGAACTTTCAATTGCGCTCACAAGGATGTCAAACTCATTGATATTCCCTTTAGAGGGAAGAGTTCGAAATTTGAGAAGATCATTCTCTAAAGATCCATGAACCTGATTCATTGAGGATAGAATCCCTAGGAAATGCCTGGGTTTTGTGCTGAAGGTAAATTGAAACTTGCCTTTTCCTGAGAGACCATACTTTACTGAAGTACGTGCAGGAACTACAATTTCTCAGATAAGACACTATACCACTTTGCGGTAAACGAAGAAAATAATTTGATAATTGACACTTAATTATTTAAATTAAATAACATTATTGAAATGGTTTCAATTATACTAAGTATTTTGTAAGAAAAGTGAAATAGTTTAGAAAAAAGTGACTAAAAATTTTTTCAGACAATTGGAGAGCGAAGCTTACCTTATGCTGAACCAAGGAGTCTGATTTCATTTCCTGAAGCAGTAAACGATTATTAAACCTTAACTTCCCAGAAAAACATTTATCAAATTTGTTTCAAGCCTCATTTCTTAGTTCTTGCGAAAGAAACAGTGGACCTTGTAACTTGAAAAGTATCGTGCTACTTTGAATGAACACAAGCAAATAAAAAAAAAGGTAAAATAATAATCATAATCATTCATAAACTATATTTTTTAGTCTTGTACACTGGCAATTCATTTTCCTTTCGTGGTCCCGACTATTCTCGTAGAAAGATAGGTATAACTAAAAAGTAGGATGTCCAACAATGAAAATAAGCGGTTTTGTTTGTTATTTCAGGTTACGCCAGTGGAGTTCATTCTGCAATTAAGGTCAGTACAGGTATGGCTCTCTATTTGTGTACTGTTGTAGGTGTTTTGACAAGTTTATGATGTCTTTCCGAAAACGCATGGAAAACACATCAGTGAATTGCGCTTGAGTAAACGACACTAGTTGTGGGCTTGATACTCTCTTCAATGGTATTATGATCTGAAGAATGAGTATAAACTAGGATTCTATAATTAGATGTCCTATTAGTCGAAGCTCGTTCTGTGAATGTGAAATCGGTTCAGCAAACACGACTTATAGAATGGGTTGCCAAAAAAGGATTTCATGTAACTTTCTCTTTCAATACTTTCTTCAAAGCGGTGTGAAAAAAGGTACTTAGACCAAACAGTAAGTGTCCTGCCTTGTATTGAATTTTCTTTGGGCAGATTAGAGAAAATCCTTCGGCTTTTTGTCAAAAATTCTAAACGTGCCAAATGTATGTACAGAAAATTGTCTCTTATAACGAATAAGTATATAAAAGTCCTAGCACGAATAAACTCCTATGAGTTTCCAAATATAAAGATTTTTTTACGTGTACTGGATCTCAATACTTTCAAAGTATCTCTTAGTAGAGCTAGTTTGTGTATGAGATAGTGCTTTATATTAACGCGAGATAGACCTACTTCTGTTCTTTTAGATCGTGAACCATCCTGACTAATCGTTTTTGATATACTTAACAGAAGATTGCATGCCAAAAATCACGAGTCGAAAGTAAAATGTTTCACGTAGATAAAAGACAACGTAAAAAGAAAAAAAAAGTCAGAAAAGGAAAACAAACCAATAAAAACGCTTTCAAGCACATATCATGGTAGCAGCAAATTATGGTTCAATTTTGAATCAAAAAACTATCCATAGATGCTCATTCAAGAGAAAATAAACAGCTTTATCTTTCAAAAAATTGTTTTGCAAATAGGATGCTTCTCGTGCAACCTAGACTCGAAAAGAAAGCACCGAAAAATGAAGGAAGAAAATTGGCTGAACAATTGGGGAAACGAAAGAAAAGAGACCGAAATAGAATACCATTCTCGTAAATAGTGCACTTAAAAAATTGAAATGTTCCTTTGTACTATAATATCCAATTCCAAATTCTTTAGATGATTCATTCTTAGTTTAAGAAAGCTTTATCAATGTCAGCATTCTCAGGAATTTTATAAAAAAATATTCTTTAATCATTCTCTTTCACTTTTTCAAAAAGTTTGGTTATTTATGTGCGTTCCTACATTTTGACATGTCTGCCCTTCGAGGCCTGCTTTTTACCAACAACACCCAGAATGGTTCAAATCAGCGAGGTGAAAGGAAATGGCCGTGAAAACCGAATTACTACACATTCCCACATTAAAGGGTTAGGATTAAAAGAAGATGGTACTTGCGAAGGCATTGGTGGTGGATTTATTGGGCAAGACAATGCTCGTGAGGTAGGTTTGCAATTTTGACATTCAGTCTTTTCGTATTCCTATACTAACATTTTGATAGGCTTGTGGTGTCATTATAGACTTAATTAAATCAAAGAAATTTGGCGGACGGGGTGTTTTGTTTGCTGGTGGTGCTGGTACCGGTAAAACTGCTTTGGGGTTGGCCATTGCTCAGGAATTGGGACCCAAAGTTCCTTTCTGCCCGATGGTAGGAAGTGAAGTGTATTCCAGTGAAATAAAAAAAACTGAGGCTCTTATGGAAAACTTTCGTCGTGCCATTGGACTCCGTGTGAAGGAGACCAAGGAAGTGTATGAAGGTGAAGTTACCGAATTAGTTCCAGAAGAAGCCGAGAATCCTCTGGGTGGTTACGGAAAGACTATTTCTCATGTTATACTCGGACTTAAAACTCATCGTGGTACTAAGCAACTCAAGCTTGACCCTAGTATTTATGAATCTCTGCAAAAGGAGCAGGTTTCCACAGGAGATGTGATTTATATTGAGGCTAATACAGGAGCCGTCAAACGCGTTGGTCGAAGTGATGCATATGCTACCGAATACGATTTGGAAGCTGAAGAATACGTTCCCATGCCCAAGGGCGAAGTCCACAAGCGTAAAGAAATTGTCCAAGATGTTACATTGCACGATTTGGATGTTGCTAATGCTCGCCCTCAAGGTGGTCAGGACATTATGTCCATGATGGGACAACTCATGAAGCCCAAAAAGACTGAAATCACCGACAAGCTTCGTTCTGAAATCAACAAGGTGGTCAATAGATACATCGAGCAAGGAATCGCAGAGTTGATTCCTGGTGTTTTATTTATCGACGAAGTTCATATGTTAGATATCGAGTGCTTTACTTACCTCAATCAAGCGCTAGAAAGCACTATTTCTCCGATCGTCATTTTTGCATCTAACCGAGGCATGTGTACTATCCGCGGTACTGAAGACATTCAAGCTCCCCACGGAATCCCTACGGATTTACTAGACCGTTTGTTAATTGTTCGTACTTTACCCTACACGGAAGAGCAGATTCGCTCCATTTTGGAAATCCGTGGTAAGGTGGAAAATATAAAACTCAGTGCTGCTTGCCTTGACAAGTTGGCGAAGGAAGGAGTTAAGTCTAGTTTGCGCTATGTTATTCAATTGCTGACGCCGGCCAGCATTATTGCAAATCTGCATAGTAGCGAAGAGATTGGTGTAGAACATATTGATGAGTGTTATGACTTGTTTTTGGATGCTCGTCGGTCAGCTCGTGTTTCTCAAACATCTAGTGGATTCCTTCAGTAAACCACATCTTCAGATAAAGAAAGGAAAAACTCGGATGATCAGGAATTCAATGAGCATGAGCATAATTCCTCCTTTTTGCAACGTTGAGTAGATTATGAAGATTATACATTTTAAATATGTGTATAAAGATAAAAATAATAAAACAATGGCCAGGTAGGGATCTTATTTTATTAAAGAAGCAAACTAAGTTATTGCTACTGCCGTATTGACTGGAAGAATGGGGTATGTTTCGAGAAAATCGTAGTAATCAGAAATAAAACGCTTTCTTTTCGCTGCAATCCTACAGTATCTATAGCGTGTATATGTATGTCTCTTTCTCTCTTTCTTTTTCGTTCTGGTGTTTCAAATGTTTTAAAATTGTTGTTGTATGATTTTATTTTTGATTATTTTGACTGTCCATTGTATTCTCATAGCTTTAATTTATTTTCACTAGTTTCACTACATCAATACTAGCAATTCCCAATTTCTGCTGAAATAATGTAAAATATAATGAGAGCAAATAAATAACTTTGAGCTTTTCCTCTTAGATATTATCGTCTTATTCGCTGATGTTGTTAGTAAAGCATTTGCGTTAGTGCTAATCTCCACTTGCTCTGTCAAAGATTATTGCTTGTAATGACATGCACAAAAGAATGATTTCACTCACACCAAAGTTCTGGAGTTTTAGAAGAAATAATTAAGTTTCTCTTATATGTAGTTGACGATTTTACCTTTTGGCCACAAGACATGGTGATGACGATAGATCTTTGGGAGACAAACTATTTATATTGTCTTGAACCGAAGTTTGGAGTCAACAACTTAACGATTATTATTCACAATGAGCATGATGAACAAAATTATGAAACCTTACAATGCGTTTAAAAAGATGCCTATGGAATTGAAACCTCTGGGTAAGCAAGTCAGTGGCTCCCGGTGGCCTTAAAAGCAGAAAATTGGACTAACAAAGCTTTTCTATCATTTAGCTATCTTAATTGGAACGGCAGGTTGTACAGCTATATTCACGATGGGTTATAAGCTGACTGCTGATCCAGAGGTAAGATAAAAGAACCATAACTAAAGAAACCGAAACGACAAATGAACGAGTAATACTAAGACATGCTTTCACTAGATACGCCGGCGACCTTCTTGGACAATTCAAGAACAACAGCAACGGGATACAGTATCTGGAAATCGCCAACTTGCGGCATGAGAGGAAGCAAGTAATCCGATGTTTTCCAAATCCGGTACGAATTTTGTATTTTCTACCTTTGATATGATTTATGTAATGACGAATACCATATAATACTTGATGATTTTCATTTAGTACTTCGTAGCAATTGTACCCGTTTTTTATATCTTTGTGCCAAAGTAGATATCGCCAAAATCACCCAATCCGGGGGTAATGTAACTAAAACAATCAAAGTTAGCAAAAAATTATCATACATTATACAAATGTATATAGCTCAAAAGCTTATAGATTGTAAAACAACCTAGTCTAGTTCTTACCCTTTGTCGTCGAGACCTTCGTCGATAACGGCTGTGACTATTCGGATGTTTGGGAAACGTTGGTGCACATTGTTTAAGCCTTCAGGAGAAGCAATGACATTAAGGAAGATGATCTGTTCCTGCTTACAGCCCATGCTGATCAAAACGTCCATAGCACACATGGCAGAACCGCCGGTAGCGAGCATGGGATCTAATAGCAAGACATATCGGTCGGCAATGTCATCCGGTAGCTTTTTGAAATGAAGGACGGGTTCTTGAGACTCTTCGTCTCGCTGGATCAAAATCTTACCAATGCGCACTGATCGGCAACAATCCCGTAAACCTTGTTCCATACTTTCACCGGCTCTCATAATGCTAACACCGCAGATCCTTCCATCAAAAACGACTCCATCAAACTTGACGTTTTGTGCAGTCGTTACTTGTGCCGGTGAAACTGGAAGATGGTTCAATCCTTCTTCGACAATTAAACGAATGATTCTGTTTGCATAAAATATAAACTCTGACTACTCATCTCGTTAGATAATTAATATTCCTCTTCAATCGGACAGCTGAATTTCGACACAGAAAACACAAATAGAAGCGTCGAAGAAACTGTTGCTTGTTTTTTCAATCGCTTGTGACACCATTTCGTTCAAGGAATACTTTTTCTTCACCTATATGTACAGATGTTGTCTGGTACACCTCCCTTTACGTATCGTCTACTGCGTAACTTCTGCTAAAAGTAGTTGCGAGTGTGAAATTCAGCGTCGATAATCAATACTTACACGGGGCTTTGTGCGATCACGAATGATCGTAAATAAACCTTTTAACTGATTTGTTTGATTTAACACATATACATTCTCGTGGTTTTTCGATAGTGACATATTGGGTTTTGGTAGAATTGATGTTTCCCATAGAAAACGAACTTGAAAACAACACGGTGAATTTCGTTATACCATGTAAACGCGCATAGCGTATGAAAGGTTAATGCAGTATGTCATTTATCATAAAAACTCGATTCCTTATTCAAGTCTAGGCAACTCTGGGAGTCCCAGCGAGTAATATACAAAGATGCTTAAGGAAAATCATATAAATAATAATATTCAAGGAAAGAAAGAAAGGTGTCATAGGTCCAAAAAAAAGCAAAATTCGGTAATATTAGAACATAAGCAGAATTCACTGTGTAGCAAAACTTTTAGAAGATACAATTCTCTTCACAGAACCTCCGAAGAAATACCTTTCTTCAAGGTCAGCATATTTTTCCTTTCGAACATCCTTAATAGCCCTCATCACCGGAGTAGTTGCCCTCATGTTCTGCAGGTGCTTGAGCAGAATCAGCATTTCCACTTTTATCATCTTGACCTTGATGAGCTACAGTATCACAAGCATCAATCCAATCACTATACACATCAATAGGTGCCGAAAGAGCTAAAGCCAAACGTTAGCACATTTCTTTCAGTTTCTTCACAATCCATCACTATCATCCATAAGATCGTGCACCTTCCGTTTCATTTATGTCCGAATTTATCTATACTCAATACTTCTCATTTCCCATAAATTACAAATCAGAACTCATGAAACTTCTGGAGCTAGATTATGTGATTCACATAACTTACCTGTAATTATGCATTGATGACTTTGACCGCAAATCTTACAATGCAGGTTACCGACACCAGATTGTTTATCTCTAGTTCACACAATTAGTCTCATTCCTTTCCTTTTAATTCATGCTTTTTCATACAATGTGCAACTAACGCTTTTTTCGTGGTTACAAAATAGACACGTAAACTTCAGTCTGTTAGCGAATGGAGTCTTATTTTTTTGTAAAGGAGGTTTCTTACAGTCGTTTCTAAGGGGGCAGCCCTTCTCGTGGGGCGAACTCTTTTGCTTGCCTTTCTTTTTCCCATATTTAATTTACCGCGTGTTTGTTTACGGTGGAAGTTTCATTAGCCTTGGCATCCTTTTCGTGTTTGCAAAGGGAAGGGTAGTGCAAATGATGAGAAAATACTGAGATCGCAGGAAACAGCTTTGTCTGAGGATTGGTGCATTATAACTAAAATTTTTCAGTTACATTTCATGCCTTAATTACCTGCTCAATTCCAAATTTCATCTGAAACGGTTTTAATTACAAACCTGGCGTCTTACAGAAACAATTTGAATCCATCTACCATGTACTAGCGAACAATTCCAAGTTTTATTAGGACATTTTTTTCCTCTCTTTTGTCTACTTGTATTCATATTCGTAGTCTTTCACATTCTTTCCTTAGCTACTCCCATCAGTAATTCCATATAACCGACATACATTCATAATTATATTCGCCTGAACATCATGTAGCATAAAGAGAAATCCAGAGTAATAAAAAATATACTATTAACATAAACCATTACTAGCCTTAGGCTCGAGACCCTGCTGCGTTACATTTTAATACGATAATTCACTGGAACATTTTAGAGAAAGCCTTTTGTTGACGCTTCTTGTAATCTTGCTTTTGTTGACGAACTTCAGCAAGTTTCTTTGCAACGCCAGCATCATTTCCGGCTTTTCCTAAAAATTCTTCTGCTTCATTAAAGTTCTTCAAGATGCCATGAGCACTACCAAGACGGTAGTAAGCTTTTTGCTTTTCCAATTCAGTAGCACCGTCGGCATTCACAACAATATCGGAATTGCGAATAGCCTCTTTGGCGTTATTTTGCTTCAAAGCAATAAGAGCAATATTGAGATAAAGACTGTATTTCAAACTGAAATATTCTTGCCAAAACTTGTCAGGCTGCTGAGTGTCATCATTACGAACGGGATGCTCAGCAAGATAACGTAAAGCCTTTTGCCATTTGGCAACAGCCAAGTCAAGATTCTGTTGTGCAAATTGGGTATTACCAATTTTCTTTAAATCACCAGCAATCTTGAATACAGCAGTCTCAGACTTGTCACCCTCATAGTCATCTGGGTACTCTTCAAGAGCATCGCCGGTTGCATCAGGCTGAGGGGGTTCAATTTGCTCTTCACTGCAAGTGCCACACTCTTCGATGACAACTGGGACAACTGGGTCATCGCTAGAAGTTTCCAAGTTTTCAATAGCACGAACAGTAGACTTTCCACCAACAACTCGACCAAAGACTACGTGCTTACCGTCCAAATGAGGAGTACGAACGGTAGTAATGAAAAATTGAGAGCCATTGGTGTTTGGTCCGGCATTGGCCATTGACAACAAGAAAGGCTTATCGTGCTTTAATTCAAAGTTTTCGTCTTCGAATTTTTCACCATAAATGCTTTCTCCGCCAGTTCCATTACCACGCGTAAAGTCACCACCTTGAAGCATAAATTGCTTGATGACACGGTGGAAACGGGATCCCTTATAAGTAAGTTTACGGCCATCTCTTTCAAATCCATCACAAAGTGAAGCAAAGTTTTTAACGGTCTTTGGGACAACGTTTTCGAACAACTCGAAATAAACTGTTGGTTGGACCTTCTTGTCAATGCTGATCTTAAAGTAGGCAAAGGTGCTCATTTTCGATAAACAAACTCAACTGTTTCCTTTCTATTCTCTTGCAAAATTATTCGTTTGTAGAATGTCTTGTGTTGTATAAAGATTGGATTTATCAAATTCAGAGTTAATGCTCACTTGGTATAGCAATTAGAATGATGATAAATCAATAAAAACAAAAATTTAGTTACCTAAAGCAAGGTTGTTTGGTCAACGAAATATATACAATAGCTGGTTTAGAAGTAAAATCTTCTAAGAAGCTTCTAGAAGTACAAAGAGTAGTAAGTAAGGTGTGTGCCGAAATTGTGCTTTGTTAGGCAGATCGGCTCAGAAACTACTGATTTTTTAGATATAATTAATTTGATGTTTTCTTCATCATAAATTGGTAAAATACCTGTGTATGTCAGTATTTGTTGAAAATGTAATTCCTAGCGAGCATCAAAACACCGGTAGAAAACGAGAGTTTCTCGTCCTATTTATTAATCAAAAACTTACCGATTTATCAATTGAAACGTTGCTACTCTGTCGCAGACGACTCTTTCCCTCTTTCTGCTTGTTTAGTAGTTTCTGTTTTCGAGTCCAATCCCCACCATAACATTTAGCTGTAACATTTTTCCGTAAAGCCGCAATGTTTTGTCGAGCTAGTACTTTGCTTTCTACGACAGCTTGAATGGCTACCTCGTACAATTGTTTTGGTAATAGTTCGCGTAATCTGTTGATCCATTCACGTCCTCGGTTCAGGGCCAAGGAACGATGAACAACAGTACATAGCGCATCTACCGACTGACCATTAACATGAACGGATAATTTCACAATGTCTGTTGGAGCATATCCAGCATCTTCGTAGTCCAAAGTAGCATAACCACTGGTTTGACCCTTTAATCTTCCAAAAAAATCTTCCACCAAATGTGCCAGAGGGATGTGATACTTCAGCATGCATCTAGTTTCTGAAAGAAAGGTACAATCTTCTTGAATACCTCGACAGGACTCACACAACTTGATAACGTCTCCTAAGTATTCGGAGGGAATAATAATGGTGGCTTCGACTATAGGTTCAAAAAACTCTTGATGTCTCATCCTTCGGGAGGGAAACACATTTGGATTAGATATGATTTCCTCTTTGCCATCCTGATCACGAATAAGATAAGGTACTGTTGGAGAGGTAATTACGAGCTTCCGATCGTACTCATCTTGAAGTCTCTCGACAAACACTGAGAGATGCAAAGTCCCCAAAAATCCTAATCTCCATCCCATGCCCAAAGCAGAGGACGTTTCTTTTTCCACGTGAATAGAGCGATCATTCAAAGTCAACTGCTCTATACAGTCATTTAAGCGTTCAAAATCAGAAGAGTCTGTAGGAAAGGCTCCCACGAAAACCATGGGTTTGGGTACCGAGAAGCCAGGTAAAGGCTCGACAGATTGTCCTACAGTAGTAAAGGTATCTCCAATAATAGCCTCATCTATATTTTTCATGTTTGATACGACATATCCGACTTGTCCTGCCCGCAGCTCGGCTGTTTCTGTCATATCAGGATACATAATTCCGACTTGTTGAACTTCATACTTTCTTCCTGTATTGACACTCATTAGTTTTTGTCCTTTTTTTAGGGTACCGTCCATAAGCCTAACTAGAGAAATTACTCCCTGGTAATTATTGTACCAACAGTCAATCAAAAGACTTCGTAGGGGTTTCGATTCATCGCCTTCTGGAGGAGGAAAGCGATGAACAATCTCTGGTAAAATTTTTTCAACATTTGTTCCTGACTTTGAAGATATAAATAACGTATCTGATACATCCAATTCAAACGTCTGTTCAATTTGATTCAATGTCTTCTCAACGTCTGCCGTTGGTAAGTCAACTTTATTAAGAACTGGAAGAACGACAAGGTTTTGAGCAAAAGCCATATAAAAATTAGAAAGCTGTAGTCATTATGTTAGTAATAGAGTCACTGATGTTCATGTAAGCCTAATACAAATGATCAGAAAAGTATATCTGCTCAAAAGTATCTACTAATGGACGTACCGTTTGAGCCTGTATTCCTTGAGATGCGTCCACAAGCAAGATACATCCTTCGCAAGCAGCTAGACTATGCATTACTTCTTCACGGAAGTCAACGTGACCCGGCGTATCGATCAGGTTAAGCAAGTAAGGCTTATTCTGATAATGGTATATCATACTACAAGTTTGAGCCTTTACTGTAATTCCTCTCCTCCTTTCAACAGCTAGCTTATCCAAGAATTGGTTCTTGGCATTGTTCTTATCAATAACGCCGGTGAGTTTTAAAAGACAATCGCTTAAAGTCGATTTTCCATGATCGATATGTGCAATAACAGCCCAATTTCTAATTTGTTCTCTGGGAATGCTATCTAAAACAGACAAGGCTGCTTTACTGTCCCTTGGTTTCTCTGGTTTACCAAATACGGGAGCGCCGGACAACGACCGTTTACTTGGAGTAAATAAAAGAGAAATAGGTCTTATAAAGCTCCTCTTTGGAAGAAATTGAAAACGAGGGATCATCTATCCATAGACCGTTGGGTATATACACTATCAAAGAGGTTTCAGGTCTGAATTTGGGACTGGATATATCTGACAGTCCTTGAAGAACCAAATGTGAAGCTTGGAGAAGGTAAATTGTTAAAAGGTGAGATGTACAAATAATACAGTTTTATTTATGTTTGGATCAAGTTATCAATGGAATTCGCAAGGAGAATGGCAATACCAAAATTGAATTCATACAAACAGCGATAGTCATTGTTGAAGAAAACATATCATATTGGCTAACTTCTTTCTTACTTAGAAGATACTGAATCCTATGACAGGCTTGTTTACATGTCCAATGAACAAGTGAACTAAGCTTGACGCTCCTACGGAGAACAATCTTCCATTGCATAACCTATTAAGAAGCTCACTCGTATAAAACCGAACAATAATTCCTTACAAATATGCTTTTACTATCTCTTGCTTGGCAGTGCGCATCATATTTCTGAACGAACAGACGTAGAAGTGGTATTCACAAAATGACTAGCAGAGTACCGAAGAAATATAAGTTTTTTTCGTTTTCTTTTTCAAATAAAGATGTCATGAATAGGAAACTTGAAACATATGGAAGCCGATGTATGTCTTTGTGGGTTTACAACCTTTGCGAACAAATTGAAACCATGAGCAGTTAAAATGGATTATGAAAGCTCCATGATAGATCTGTAATTGCTTAGTCTAGTCTTATTTCCAAACTTGCTTGCTTAATTCCAGCACTTTCGGGTCTTATTACCCTATTGTCAGTAGAAAGTTGTAAACTTCAGTTGGAGCTTGCTTATTAAGTTATTTTTTTTTATTAATTCCTTATTTAATTGATTTAAATTCCTTCTTTATTAATTCACTAGCTAAATTGTTTACGGTATGTTACTTGATGTTATGTTACTTGATGAAGACTATGGTTTTTTGACAATGAACCTGAGGTCGTTAGCAAAAGCGTTCCGCTCACCAACAAAAGTAGCATTTTCAACTCAAGCCTATCGACAAGGTCTACTTGGTATTTTGTCGCGTATTTTTTGTTGATATTGACAATATGTCTGCGCGAAAATTACAAGGTACGAAGCTAAGAAGCGTCCGCTGTCTGCTGTGATGGAATACTGACAAATTGCTGTAGTGGAAATTGAAAAAACGTTTAAAAAAGTGACAGATGGGGTAATTTGCAAATGCAACAGGTGTAGAATTGATATTAACCGGAAAAGATTGTCATTTTCGACGAAGTTTACGAAAAGCTGAATGTCAGCACCAGTGCCTCTCAGAAAGAAAAACTAGAAGGCGATTTGAAAACACAAATAAAAAAGTTACAGCGTTTGCGTGATCAAATCAAGACATGGGCCAGCAGTAATGATATTAAAGACAAGAAAGCTTTAATAGAAAATCGCCGACTGATCGAAGCGGTACGTTTTCCATGACCTTTTCTTTTTCTTCCCTGTGGGAAAATTCGAGTCTAGCGACTGGAGAGGTTATTATGGTTCAGTATACTAATTCATGAACGTGTAGAAAATGGAGGAATTTAAAGCTGTGGAACGAGAAATGAAAATTAAGGCGTTCAGTAAAGAAGGACTGAGTATCGCCCTAAAGATGGATCCAAGAGAAAAGGAAAAGCATGACACGATTCAGTGGATTTCGAGTGCTGTCGAAGAATTAGAGCGCCAAGTCGAACTGTTAGAAGCAGAAACTGAGAGCTTGCGTGCCACTTTCAAGCGAGGGAAACGTGATATTTCTAAGCAAACTCATCTTTCTGAACTGGAGTCACGCATTGAAACTCACAAGTGGCACCAAGAGAGATTGGAGCTAATTATGCGACGCTTGGAAAACTCTCAGATATCTTCAGATGCTATAAACAATATTCAAGACGATATTATGTATTATGTCGAATCCAGTCAAGATGCCGATTTTGCTGAAGACATGAACATTTATGATGACCTCGATCTTGATGATTCTTCAGGAATATTCGATGCCGAAAGATCTGCAGACTCTTCTTCCGCAGCCTCTGATTCCTCTTCTCAAAAAGACGATGAAAACGTACCGGTCGTAGATTCTCCACCCTCAGTCGAAGCAGCGTTAAAAGACGTTCCGTCATCCCCAACCTTCATGACTTCGGCACCCCAAGCACATGAAGAAGAATCGAAAGCCGCAGAAGTTTCGTCGCCTCCCCCGAAAGAGAATTCGCAAAATGAGATTGATGGTCCTAGTCGGCCACAATTGCCCAATAGTACACCATCTTTTGCAAAAGCCGCTGCTGTAGCTGCTCCCGGTAATTCCGCCAATTCTGTTACTTCAGCTCCGATAATACAAAATAAGCAACCTGGGTCTCCCCGTGTTTCAAATGCTTCTGCTCCTAAAGAAAAGAAATATGCGTTTGCTGCCGCCGCTGCTGCTGCTGCTGCCACTCAATCAAAAGAGCCTACCAGTAATCGGACAGATCTCCCTGCTTCTCCGAAAGTGGGATCTGGCAGCACCCAATCCAAATCAGATACTACAGGTCCCTCTATGTCGCCAAAGTCTCAAGAACCAAAAACAGATGCTCTTCCTGAAGTTTCCGAGCATATTTCTGAAACAAATCATGATAATATCACAACAGAAGAGAAATTTCCCTCATCTCCTCCAGAGTATATCCAAGATTTGGTAGGAGCACTCAATGCTTCAAAAATTCGACTTCAATATCCCATAAATAAAGAAAAGCTGACTGAGGCTCTCAATATTAGCTGTGTGTACGTACCTGATGCAGTCGATGCCGCAAAACCAAAATTTTATGTACCTAAAGATCCTTATCCAGTACCCCATTATTACCCGCAGCAGCCTCTTCCCTTGTTTGATTCTCCAGAAATGACTGAAGTTGTTGATCCAGATACATTGTTTTACATGTTTTATTATTTGCCTGGCACATATCAACAGTATCTCGCTGGTCGGGAACTTAAGAAACAAAGTTGGCGTTTCCACAAAAAGTACACAACTTGGTTTCAAAGACATGAGGAGCCCAAAATGATCACAGACGAATATGAAAGTGGAACTTATAGGTACTTTGATTTTGAGGGCGATTGGGTGCAAAGAAAGAAGGCCGACTTTCGTTTCATGTATGAGTATCTCGAAGACGATGAGGATTGGAGCCGGTGAACGTATTTATTCTCAATTGTTACGACCGTAAATAAATTCTTTGGGCATAATCATGTTGTTTACAGTTTCTGGTGATTCACGTATCGCGAACCGAATTCGTTAATTATGAGTAATATAGCAATACAGTCTAGTTACTTTTTGGTAATTCTGGATACATTTTAATTGTAATTAATTTCCTCTACTTCTTCTTTTCACAGCAATTGACTTTCATAAAAAAATTAAATTCATTAAATTGGAAATAAAAGTACAACTAATTTTACAGAGTTCATGTTTCTAGTGATATGTTAGAAAAGATCTGAAATAAAAAAAAGAAAAACAAAATGATGCATAGAAAGAAATCAGGAACACCATGCGTATATTGGCGTTCTGCAAATGTATCATCAATTCCTTCTTTTCTCGTTGAAAAGAAAAGCAAGATGAGACGGGTGCCAGCATATTGCTCATCATATTTCGATGCATCACATCGAGTAAAGTGAGACTTACCATTTTGTTAAATTATTTCCAAGCCTTCTAGAAAATGTGTCATACAATAATGACCCGTACGCGATCTGTGCTTGACTTTTGTCAAGCCACGCAAGGGTAAAGTGAGTATGATTATCATCTTTTTATGCACTGCATGAAGGAAACAAGTCCATAATCCGGAACAGTTTCTGATTAATAGTGCAAATATGGTTTTAAGTATATAAAATATAGAAAAATCCAAACGTTTCACATTCCTCCTGAGCTGTGTAGGACATAGCTACCTTACACGAAACATAAAAATAAAAAGGTCATTCATTTTTTATTCATAAATCGTAAGCAAATAATAAATATCCATAGTAAATACGAAAAGATTTGTGGATCACATTGGTAACTGGTATGCTTACGTCTGTAATTCTGCTCTACTTATAGTCTCGAAAAAGACAGTCACATGTGTCATTTTTGGATTTCTGTAAAATGCATTATGAAGTTTAAGGTCGTACGTTGGTAAACAAATTAGAGTAATCCATAGCATTCTGAATAGGTTTCTTCAAGATTTTGCAGTAATTCTTCCTTTTGTTCTTCATCTAACTGATCTGCTGGTTCCATGTGATTGATGGAAACAAGCCATTGGACTAACTTGCTTCTACCGGACACTGGCTTATTGAGCAATTCTGAAAGGTCATCCATGCAAATGATTAACTCTGAAAGAAGCGGGTGTAACTGATCTTTGAAGACGAAGTTCAATCGAATTGCATCCATAGTGGTTATGAAGTTTTGTACAAGTTCGGCTATGGACTTTGCCGTAGAAGCAGGAGGTGTTGTTGTAGGTGCAGAAATGATGGTAGTGTTCCGATTATGGAAAGATTCATTGGAATGTAATTTTGATTCTCTACTTTCAGAAAGATCATTTGGAACTTTGGATGAACCCTCCACAGTTGGATTATTCTGTGAATGCTCTTTAATGCGCTTCATGGCTCGAGGACATTGTAATTGATACTTCGAAGAGAATTCTTCCAGGGAGCCAAAATGTTTAAGCAAAGTTTCGTCCTTTAAGCAAGAATCCCATTGTTGAAGAAGTAGCTTGGAAGTAGACTCAAATGCATCCGGTGTGATGGCATCCTTCGTAAACACTATTTCCAGATTCTCTAGAGTGATAATAATACTGTAAAGGGAAGCAAGATCTTCTCGAATTGGTTGGTCCACATAGTCTATTTTAGAAGTGTCATTTTGGTTGTCATCTAAAAGACCAATGTCATAGTAGTCAGCCATTGCAGAGAGCTATTTAAAGACTCTTCTTTATAGCGAAGTGGAAGGCTGAATTTCAGACTAACCTGGTATTCAAAAAATTTCTAAAGAAACAGGAAATATGGTGTTTTAAGAGGTCGGCGAGGAGAGTTGGTGAAGTGAACATTCTAACCGGTATCCGAATTGGTGAAGATGACAGATTCTCAATTCATTTTAATACACTACGTTTGTTTCTCCTACTATTATTTGAGGAACGTTGTTCAGTATAGTACTATCACGTATCCATTCTACTCTATAGACTACCACTGAAAGTTAGCGTTTATGCAGCCTGTTTCTATTACACATCATTATACTTTAGTTCTTTATCTCGCTTTAGCATGGTTTATTTCCCTTGAAAACGCGAAAACAAAAGTTTGGCAATGTTGCTGAATTGACAATGAGGAAGTATCAATCCATTTTCCTGTAATATCCTGCTATGCCGTGTCACTTCATTTTTTAATTTTTATTATTTTTACGTCTTTGAAGAGCCTTTTTTAACAATTCGGAACCACTTTTATTTTATTTTATTTTTTATTTTTCAATTTATTTGTTGTTTTGTAAATAAAAAATACGGTGCTTCCTTCTAGTACATATACTCGAATAACGCTAGATAGTGCACATATGCTATTTTCCAACTAGTTAACACTGACGTTTGGAATGATCTTGCCAAAGCCATACACCAATTTTGTCTAAATCTCTGTGAATCCGTACTGTTTTCTTTAATATGAATCAAAATAGCAAAGCCTTTGAAAATGCCCGCCGTCCTTTTCGTACCAAGAATCTCTTTACAGCATTGGGATTAGGTGGACTCGCTCTTGGCACATTCGCATACTCCATCTATAAAGTGCATCAAGACACACTTGAAGACGTTGTAATGACTCCAGAAATACGCGAAAAAATTGAGCGCGAACGCAAGCAACATCAAGAACTGCACCAGCAGAGTTCAATGAAAAATCCTCCAACTTAAGGTAACGCTGTTACTCTGGAGAACGGTCGCATAGTTCGTGGACCGTGACACTGATGAGCTCTATTTTTTGAAAATTCACTGAAAAGATCGAAAATACGTTTATAACTTCAAATATATAAAAAAATACGAAAAAAAATCGTCCTTTTTTGACCAAACACTCCTTATTTCTTCAGCGGTTTAACAATGACGACACCTCGGTTAATGCCGTTGAATATATACTTCTCTTCTATCAATAATGCTGTTTCACGATCAAATAGCATGGTATTGGCCAAGTTTCTGTCTATTCCTTGGGGAAAAGAACTTGGCGACATCCTAAACTTCGACATTCCCGGAACATATTCTTCCGATGACATATTAGGACTTACAGTACAGCGATCCATTATTCTTCGGAATTGGAGCGACTCTGTTTTGCTTCATTTAAAAGTTTTACTTGCATTATGCCGTGATCGGGACCCCGTCGCTGCATTTCGTCTTCAAGTAGATCTTGCGCAAAACATATTTCGTGAGTTTTCTGCAGGAAATTGCACTGGCGTCCATTTACCAGTGCTTTTCATAGTCTGCAAAGACTTGCGTTTTCTTGCTATCCATGCTCAGAATACTATGTTTGTTCGTAATCAACAATTACAACTCATATCCAATGATCCTGAACAGGAAAACTCACACCTCGAACTAGCTACACGACTTCTTAACAGGGCTTTTACAATATGCATCAATGATCGAGCTCCGTTAGCTATTTCACGAAAATGGGGTGCTTACTACGTTATGGGTTTATTATTTAAGCTATATTTACGCTTGGATTGTGTTCATCTGACAAACAATGTCTTGCGAGCCATGAAAGTCGTCGAGCTGCCAGACATTTCCCTATTCCCAAAGTCCCATATTGTCATCTTTCGTTATTACCTGGGTATCGTCGCCTTTCTAAATCAAAGCTATAAGAACGCATCTGCAGAACTGGAAACCGCGTTTTCCTTATGTCATAAGCAATATAACCGTAATTTGGAATTAATTCTTTCCTATTGGATCCCCACTCGAATCTTAGTCTACCATCAACTTCCTAGTCCTACATTCTTGTCTAAATACCCTTACTTAAAAAATATATACGTTCCGTTATGTCACGCCATTAAAAAAGGAAATCTTGGGGCTTTTGGTCAATGTTTAAAGAAAAATGAATCTTTGTTAGCCAAAACAAAGACGTACTTGACCTTGGAAGGGACCAGGAATTTATGCTTGCGAAATTTATTTAGGAAAACATGGATCATTCTTGAAAAATCAACTCGGCTTCCCACGTCCGTCTTTCAAACAGCCCTTAAAGTGGCTGGATCCGATTTCGATTTACTACATGTTGAGGCTATCTTGGCAAACATGATCAGTAAAGGCTATATGCGTGGCTATCTCTCTCGCGACCGTATGACTGTCGTTTTGTCTGCAAAAGATCCATTCCCCAAAAGAACTCCACTGTAATTTCCTTCCTTTGACTATGACTTAATGACTGTATAACTCTTAGACAATTGAATGTATTAAGCTTTTGAATTCCATCTAGAAATGATTATTATATTGTATTTTTATTAGTATACTTAACTTCCAAATTCCGTAATACTTATTAACCTAATGATTTTGTACCCAACCCTTTTTCCATTTAGTATCTCTAAACGGGTAAAGAATATTATCTTTTTGCTTTTCAAAGTTATTTCCTCCGCCATAGACGTTGGCTCTATAATTATTTCACAGACTTGCCAATAGGTGTGCTTCGCCAGTCAAGATCCCGCTCAAAAGCAATTACCTGTGAATGGTCTTTCTGAGTAAATTCAATATTTAATCGCTTCTGTTGAATAAACGAATACGTATCCTCTAACTTCTGCAAGAACTGAGATATACTATTTTCAGAAGTATAACGAGAAACAAAAATTCGTAACTGACTAATAACTGGAACAGCTAGTTCAGGGAATGCGATAGAATTGGAAAAAGTTGCAAAATACTCCGTCATCATTGACAGGTATGTTTTCCTAAGATTCTTACGATAGGTTTGGGAGGCTAGACATTCCTTGGGGATATGTAATGTCGTTAAAACGTCAAAGTTATAAGTTGAATCCTCCTCACGAGTTAAGTTACGGCTCTTTTTTAAAAAGAAGGGTGCCATTTCAACGAACTGTGAAGACAACGGGATATAGAGATGAGTGCTTCTACATATCCGAACTAGTGAAGAAAGAAGGCGCAACCGTAAAGGATAATATTGTTCTGTTGGAATAAGTCTCGTCGTATCCAAAATAAGATTAATCAGCTGGGGAGAAATCTCTTTGCAAATAATTTGAAGATCTTCCCATAAAAGACAAATTACCTCGGACCAAAACTGCAGAGACAAACTGAACTGCCAATTATAAATTAATTTATGAGCATCTACGCTATCGGCCTGTTTTAAACAGTTCTGCAAATGAACGTTGAGTTGCTGTGTGTAGCTTAGGAATATTTTTTTGCAAGTGTCAGGGCTCAAGGATAGTAGTTCAATCAAAAATAATTGCATCTCCTCAATGGTATCCAAACTTTCACTCTGACTCGGTGACGATTTGAAGAATGATAACAAGTGAACATAGAAGTGTTGGAATGTTGCCACTATTAATGAAGGACTAGCTTTACAGACATTATTTATAATCGTTTGAATTTGTTCACGAGAATCTGGATAAGAAATGAATATCTGACAAGTCTTTGCAATAAAATTAGGTGGAAAAGACGAAAAATTTTTGATATGTGAGACAACTTCCCCAACAGACGATAGAATCTGTATATTGCCCCTAGAAGATATAACCTCATCTAACAGGGAACTGGCAAAACTCTTCCGACAATCCTGTAAAAAGATAGAACGCTGGTCAAAATCCATCTTTGTCAGCTTCTCATTCAATTCTTGAGGTACATGCGATATTAAAGAATCAGGTTGTGAAGTACCAGACAACTTTTGACACAGTGCTATGGCAGCTTCAAGTTGTTTTATTGAGTACCCTGAAAACTGGTCTTCAGACGTCTTTTCTTTACCGTTGCCTATATGCGCGTGCTCTTGCTTTTTCACTAGATTCTCATTCTTACGCGAGGCAGCCTTCGAGGGATCTAACTTAGCGTAAAGCTCAGACACATCTTCCCTTTGAAACTGTCTGTTTGGATCATCGAAGGTTCGCTTTCCATCTTCAGTCGGTAGAGATTTCTTCGTTTTTGATTCATGACTTCTCTTTGCTTTCGCCAATTGTCTTCTTCGCTGAAGAGTATCCTTTAAATGATTTTTGTTAAACTTCTTCGTAGCTTTGCTAGCTTTCCCCATTTTGTACAAAGTTTTAAGTCCAAATCAACGTTTGGAACAAATGCGTAGTGAAAAAGTTGCACAAGTTGGTTTCCTCCAATTCTCAAACCAGGTAGCAAGAAAGGTAACATTTGAGCTATTAATTTTTTATGAAGTATGAGTTGAATTTTTCTCATAAAAATAAGTTGATATTAAATGTATTTACATAGGAATTAAATTTTTTGTTTGCATGATACTAATCATTTATAACACTAAGACTTCAGGGAGATCAACCGAAAAGTAAAAACACTCAATATGCACCAAAGAGTCATTATCGTAACCGTAAAAAAGAGAGACATCTTAAATAAATCTGATGAAGGAATATCAATGACAAGATCATTCTAAACGGGATGTAAGAAATCCGATTTATAGACAATTCATCCAAAAATCGTTTGGCAATATGAGCATCTCGTTCTCGTCCTTTGCCGAATTCGTGCATATAGGCCATATTCCAAAGGGCCATTCCAGTGGCACCTCCCTTTTCGGAAGCAATTTCGTAGTGTCTATACGCTTTCTCATAATCCTTATGTACACCAACGCCATAATAATAATAATCTCCAACTTTCAAAATTGCATCCACATCTCCTTGTGCAGCTGCTCGTGCATAAAATTCAAAAGCAAATTCATCTGACAGAATTTCATCTTGTGTGCGTTCAGGATAAAGATATCTCGTCAGTGAATCAACAAGATATTTGTTACCATCCACAAAGTATGCTGCATTGATCTCTGCAATTGAGTAACCTAACTGAGCAGAGTATAAATAATATATAAGGCTGTTTTCCCAACAATAATGATCCACCTCTCTAACTGCTAAACTCATCGTGGAGGACTTGGAACGAACTGTTTCCACAAACTCTTTATACAGCAGCGCAGCTTTCCGCTTAGACACGGAAGTTCCAATCCCATGTAAATAACAATCAGCTAATAGCTTTGATGCTAATAATACTTTTTCCTCATTTGCTAAAGTTAGGTATTGAAAAGTGTTGTCGTAATCCTCTTCTTCCAAGGATAATATCCCAAGGAAAGTGAGTGCATAACCATTTTTCATATTCGCCGCTTCCTTTATATAACTAAGACCCTTTTGAAGATCCGTTTTATTATCCAAGAGCCCATGATAAAATATATATCCCATTCCGTATAATGAGTTTGAGTCGTTATGAAGGATTCCGCGATTGAACCAACGCGAGGCATTTTCCAAGCTTCTTTTCTTTGACTCTCCAAATAATTGTATAAGACCTATATAACCTGCCGATTTTGAAAGCAAATCATCAATTTTCTCGGATGTTATGTGAATGGAGCTCTCATTCAAGAAAGATAAATCACGGTATACCTTAGCAAATATTGCTTCAGCTACCGTATGGTTTCGCCTAAATGAATGCATCCCATGGAGACGTAGCTTTGCTGCTTCAAAAAGGGTTCCAAGATCCCGTTCCTCGGGAGGATTATAAATTTCTTTAAGATAATGTCGTATGGAAATAAAGGCTCGACTAGCTGGTGAAAGAGAATAAGCTGATGCAGGCCCATAAACGCCCGATCCATCTTCGCCGGCAGTATTGTAATTAAGAATTTCTGGCCAAAGATATTGTGAAGCTGCTAACAGAAATTTCGGACCTTCTTTAGTAAGATCATCAGCAATAATTTTGTAATGCTGTGCTGCTAATGAATCAGATTTTACAGTATGCATACCGATGAGATGATGATACGCAAGAAAATGATGAGCGTCAATAGATCCCTGCTTTGCAGCTGCCTCCCAGTACATACGGGCCAAAGCTGGGTCATAAGGAGCAGTGTTGTAATAGCTCACCGAATGGTAAAATCCAAGTATTAAGTTACCCATAATGCTTCCATTCATTTTAAGTAATTGGTCGTAATAATTAAAAGCCATTCTAAAGTCTGGTTCAAAACCATAGAGGCCAAAAAAGAGTGTATTACCGAGCAAAAGGATGGCATCTGTATTATTTTCCCGTGCTGCAGATTTTAACAGACTCGCGGCATGCAGTTTTTCTTCAGTTGAAGTAAAGTCATCTTGTAATTTCTTTTTCGCTTTTTCATAACGATCTTCAACAGGAAAATTGAAGTCCTCGCTGAATGGAGCATCCTGGCTTGAAAGTCCAGTAGGGTCTACGAAGAAAAGGTCTGGTTCGCCAAAAGCGTCACTTGAATAAGAAAAAATTAATATGACTGATACAAATAGCGAAACCAAAGTCGTTGAAGCAATCATTTTGAACGACCCAAATGGATAACTGGAATTACGACGTCAGTGAATTCAGCAATCAAGAAACAAAAGAATAAAGTAAATGACTAAAGACAGGTAAAAGTAGTAAGAAATAGCAATTGTTGTTAAACGTGAAGTATGCAAGAAAACTCGATAAGGACGGTCGTACCAATCACCAAAGCGTGTCTACAGAATAGACTTTTAATTAAGCTTCCAAATTTTTCGTATCTTCAATTAGGCTATAAGATACGTGAATATAAGAAGTCGCGAAAAGGAAGACAATTATGAATACTGCGTTTTGTTTGATAGATCAGTTACTGGGTCATACCTATTCCAAAAGATATTTCAATATTTGTAAATAAAAAGAATTATTTTTAAACAAGAAAATCCGCTGTTCTAACGGAACATTCAGCATACGTGATATACGTCCCTACAATATAGTAGCTTTCTAGTGGGAGGTTTCACGTAATTTAAGTCAACCAGGTCAAAATTTGCCTAAATTGTAAAGGTTCTTTCAATTCGCAATGGAATCGAATAAAAAAAATGCTGCACCTAATTCACAGGGAAATGAAGAATCTCCTGCTAATTCAAAACCCAGCTTAAAGGATGCAGCTAAAGACCTAAAACCTCAAACAATTCATGGTCCTGGAGGAGTGCCTCTTAGGTAAATGAATTATTGCTAAGATGATTTACTAACTACTGATATGTAGCAATCCACCAAGACCTTTTTCTCATGGCGGAAGTGCTAATAGCCACTTTATGAAACTTCCTGAACATATTGACATTGTAAAGCCAAAAGAGGAGAATAAACACTGATAGCAAATATGTTTACGTTACAAGCGAGCAATATACGAATGGTAATGTTGAATAAAGGAGTTACTTTGCTAGTAACGGAAAGCGAATATGAGAATGGGCAAACTACGATTCTGTGAATGAGAATCCTGCGTACCTAATCAGTTGGTGAATATTATCCACCTATTCTACGAGTTTTGATGAACTAATTATATGACGAAATAAGATTTTGTACATCGCAAGTAGCGGTTGTTGAATTTTTTTACAATTCTTGCAGCCAGTTTGGTTGTTTGTTAGAAAAGTGATTAAATTCATTATGTAATCATCAATATTCATAACAGTAATAGCCGTAAAAGTCGTCCAGGCGCAATATATAAGTAGAATCAGCAATAGCAGACAAATTTACTCGTATGTACGTAGGATAATAAACTAAACCATACAACACGAAATACAAAAGTGAAAGAAAATGAGAGAGTTATTCATAAACAACAACGAGAACGAGTTTGTCTTTCAAGTCTTACTAGATCATCCCAATTTGTTATAGAAGCCCACCAGTTTGTAACACTCGTATTATGTGAAGGTTGTGATGCGTTCAAATCTCCGTATTGTATTCCTAGAGATTGGTCTTGGGGATCAATTTCTCCAAGTTCGATTCGCGTTAATATGGTAGATACCACTGACAAGAAACAGTCATCTACTTGACTACCAGAGAAGGCACTCGTTTCATGAGCGCTAGCAATTTGCTTGGCGGAACAGAACTCGGCGGCTTCTTCTGTACTTACTTTCCGTTGTTCGTTTAAATCGCACTTATTCCCAGCTAGAACGACGCACAAAGAAGATGGTGCCATGGCTCGTATATCTGACACCCAAGAGGACAGTTCACAGAATGATTCCTTGTTTGTAATATCATAAACGAGTACTGCTGCAGCTGCTCCCCGATAATAATTTCGTGCTACGCTTCGAAACTTTTCTTGCCCGGCAGTATCCCATAGTTGAAGTTTGATCCTTTTTTGTTGGTTTCCCATACCAACAATCACTATTCTACTAGCAAAGTCAATTCCTACTGTATGTTGGATTTCATCATTCCCTAACAGGGTTAGTATTGCTATTGCTCTTGGTCAGACTTCAAATTATACATTGCCCTTTGACAAATCTTTCTAAAAGACAGGATTTGCCAGTTCCTGAAGGTCCTGCCAATACAACTTTTACCAAATAATCATAGGACTCTTTATCCATGAGAAGAGATGCAGATGGGGGAAGAGTCAATCGTAACTTTGGCTTTTTCGTAAAGACAATATCTAGTTCTGATGACTCGTGAATTTCTGCATAATAAGATCTGATAATATTCCCAAACTATGTCTATATAAATAATAATGCTAAACAACAAAATATAAAGCACAGTATAAATTTACACATCGATTAGCTGATTATGAAACTATATAATAGACCTAAGGCTCTTTTACGACTGGAAACATAGTATACATGATTTGGAAACGGATTACAAATAAATTGCATCCTGCTAAATATGTACTGAAGTTACCAAATAACCAAAAATCAATCCAATTGGATTACCCAAACATTCTATATGCGAATTATAAGACTAAAATAAAATAAACATGAAAAATCCAACTTCCGGAAACGTCCAAATTTAATCCTGCGATTAAACAGCAACAGCTCTCGGTTTTCCATGTACCCATGAAAAACAGTTCTCATAGCTCAAAGAAACTGCATCGAAAATAAGATAAGCCATAAGCAAAGACATTTATCATAGCCTCTGATTCAAGTTATGACTATATTCTCACATATCCAAAAAAAATTCTCATTTTCCTTGGTATAATCGTTTTATTTAATATGTGGAATTTACATATTCTTTTGCTTCGAAAGAGCTACAAAATCATTAGCAACCACAAAGCTAACAACAATTATTTTTAACTTACGATTGTAACAAAGTAATTTTTCAATCAAATCGACGTGAGTAAGAATCATACGTCTACAGCAGTAGCGCTGCAAGCCCAACTTGTCCAAGGCTTCACCTTCAGTATTGTCCTCCTGAAGAAGGGTAAGATAGCTGTCCCATTTATCGCCAATAACCTAAATTTGTTAGTATTTAAATTCATGATTCGCTTTGGAATAGCATATGTTAGCATGGAAGTTCGTTCCGTTCAGAAGCGACCGTTATACAAGCCAGCACCTCTTTCTTAGAAAGTGCTACTAGAATTTGCATAATTCCAGTTATACATGCCCACAACCTAAGTACAGATATCCATCAGTCTGCCGGAACGACCATCTATTGAATACCAATACCAACTTATCGGAAATTTTCAGATAGGCTTACTATCATATATTTTCGTCAAAAAAATTTTTAACGTCTTAATTTTTCCCTCATACAATAGAAATATAATTCCCTCGACTGATGAACGCATTCAAGAGCTAGAAGACACTTCTGTAAAGAGTTTACTTAAATTCAATGCTTTTGAACCGAAAACGTTTATTTCCATCCAACAATAGCGTACTTACCTTTCCACAAGAAAAACAACGAATTGGAATAATCATTTTCCTTTTTGCTATATGTCCCGTCCCCTCTTGGTGTTTGTTGGTGGAGAGTTGAAAAACCCTCGCAGCACACTCTTCCTCCACCAAGAAAATACGGTGTGAGCAGTCGATTCATTACTATACTGAACCTATCCTTACCCAACCACCATTGCTTTATTTACCTTGTATATTTAAATCTTTTCTTAATTCCCAAGGAAAGAGACAATGGAAGAGGTGAAAAGAGCCGAAAAAGATACTTCTGCGGGTCGTAAAGAGGTAAAAGACCCTTGGACGAAACATGCCTATTTAGGAGGGCATATGGTCTCTCAGCTGCCTGCAATATATTCAAATGATAACAAGTAAGTACTTGAAAGATGGGGCATAAAGAATGCAGGTAATGAGGCAATTGGATTTGGAAGCAAAACTTTTACGCCTTTCATTATTTTCTTCAGGGCACGATATTTTACACTGTAATTGCAGCAGAATATGCGAATGTAAAAGGTTTATCAAAGTACAAATGGAGTTTCGTTTTATTTATGTACAGTTTTCGAGAAATTAGATGATGTCCTATGCCTCTTAACTTTCTAATTTAATTCATTTTTCTCATCTTTTTCTGCAATTACTAACCAAAACCAGGTTTTTGTTTATTACTTATGACACTTTTGTTGGCATATTTTCGTTAATAACTGGTGAATGCGTCAATCGAATTTTTTTCACGACACAAAATAACGATTCAACTCCGGTTGCTGTTTTGTTGTCTCCTAAAAATGGGTTTGAACTTTATCTTGTGTTCCGATCCGGATTTGTGTCTGTTCATGATTGGGCTACTACAGAACTTCTCCGTACTATGGAAATATCAACCCGTGTACATGCAGCCACGTTTTCTGGTAATACTCTTTTTGCTGTTACCGATGCTCAACCATCAAAATCTGGCCCTTCCAACGAGCGTTTCATTCTCTACGCCCTTTTACCCTCCGTGTCTGAAACTTCGTCGAGCTTAAACCCTACCTTTATCTTCAAATTCAATGACTTTGTCGCTCTTTCGAGCAGTCAAACGTCTTCCAATTGTCCTACCGTGGGTGTTTTGACCAATGACAAGGTTATGTTTGCTGTTAATGTTCCCAAGAAAAAGAAGCTTCAATCTCGTTGGGATGTCCACGAATATAAATTTAATCAACCTCAAGCGCTTACTCACATCGCTGTCCATGAGACTAAGGTAGCCGTGGCTGATAGTGAAGGCCGTATACACACCTTTTCCGATTTCACTAGTAGCCGAGTTTCCGGCCCTCGAATTATGCACTGGCATGCAAATGCTCTTGGAGGTTTGACATGGGCTTTAGATGGCGAGTATTTGGTTTCTGGTGGTCAAGAAGGCGTTTTGGTCTTGTGGACTTTGGAAACTTCACACCGTCAATTCTTGCCTCGTTTGGGTTCTTCTATACATTCCATCTCTGTCTCCAACAGTTCTGACTCTTATGCTCTGCATCTTGGAGATAACTCCTTGACCGTAATCAAAGCTGTTGACTTGACAGAACAGATCCATGTTCGTGGTATCAATCATATAATTCCTAGTTTATCCAACAAAGAAAAGTCTGAGGATGATAAGAAAGCAGCTTCTGATGTCTTTAACATTTCTACGATTAATAATCAAGGTGAAATGTTGCTTCTTTCTTCATCTTGTTTCAACGGTCATTTTGTAGCTTTACAGCAATATGACTTGAAGGCAGATGCTTGTGTCCGCAATTTTGAGGTTGCTCGTTACTCGTATGGTTCTGTTTCTAAAACAGCATCCTCTAATAATGAAACTGGTTACGTTTCCTCTGTAGCAGTTGCCAGTTCCAGTGATAATTCATATATCGCCACCCTAGATTGCTGGACAACTAATACGCTTGATCAACAGCAGAGGAAGATAAAACAGACAGCTTTGAAGTTTTGGCAATTTGATACTGTTGCTAAAACTTGGAAGTTGATGACTCGTATCGATCAGCCTCATGACAACAACCAGGGGGTTCTAGGTCTTATAGGCATGACAACTGGTAACAAATTTGTCACGTTGGGAACGGACGCGACGTTGCGTGTTTGGACTTTGATTTCTCGAACTTGGATTTGCTCGGCAGTTCGTCGTTTTGCTAACATAATAGGCCAATCTGGTTCTTCGTTTTCTCATGCTCTTGCAGGTTCATTGGACGGGTCTATTATAGCATTCGGTTTTGACGCTTGTGTACACTTGGTCCACAGCGAGACCCTTGAAACCATTTTCACCATTGAAGTTCCCCACGGTGGTCCTACTGAAAATATCAAGTTCCTTGGAGAGGAGTACTTGGTGATTGTTTCTCAACGTCGTCTCATGGTTTGGAACGTGGTTTCTATGACAGCCCAGTGGACACTCACTGGTAAATTTACCGGACTTTTGGCCACAAGTCAAAAGGGACAAGAATTTGCTGTAGTGGATACCAATTCCTCGTATTCTCGTTTGTTGATTTTTGCTAGTGATTATCCAAACTTACTTTCCTTGCATATATATAAGAATTCCCCACTGGCCTTACATTTTGCTCATGGTGCTTTTCTCCTCCTTGATGATAAATCTGCTTTGCATGCCTATGGTGGCACATTGACTAGTAAGGTTCCTGTTTCTAAGTCACCTGTAATCGAACCAACGAGATCCTTGTTAGGTGACTTTAGGTACGGTGTTTCAGCCGTCGTCAAGTCGAATAAGAATACGGCCAATGTTGAACCCATTTATAAGCGTCTCACTGCTAGTATGATTCACAATTTGTTCAATCTGCCTTCCACGTCTTCTGTAGATATGGAGAAAATGTACGACGACTTTTCACAATTGGCAGTAGGCGAACCTCTTGGTTCTCTAGGCAGTAAGGTTGCATCGATGTCTTCAAATTAAAAAGGGAAGAAGAAGATAATAATACAAAGGAAACTGGCTTAATGTTGATAAACGTATGAATGTGATGTGCCGTACTATTGAAAACTGGATATCTTTTTAAAATATGTGTCTTTTCATATATAAATAGGATAACTTGTACAACAACGACGTGTCAGAAACTTACTGGAGAAAAACTAGTTCTATTTTTTTCTTTTACGTCAATTGCTGTACACTATCCTACCAATGTGTTTAAACACGGGGTTCTCTTGGTTATGGATATTGGTTTTATAGGTTTTTTGTTTAACTATATATAGATTTGTGATAATAAGAAAATTTAGTAATTATGGATTACGGATAAGAGATCCAAAAGAAAGAATACTATTTTTGCACTACAGAATACAAGGATACTACCATACTTATGTTGTTTGTTTAACAATCTTTTTATTTTCATTTTCAATTTTCATCTGAAATTACCATAAATGTAATCTAAGATTTTGGAACTGCCTCACCCTTCCTGGTGTTTAGTACAGTAATAGCTAACACTCTTCGTCGACTTGCGAAAAACGATTCAGTACGAAACAACAACAGTACTTCTTTAGTCCATAATATATAATTAATATGCCTACGGATCTTTGGTAAGTTTAAAATGTTCAATGAAACCTGATAACTAACGGATATAGCCCTGTGTATGTCGGAATTTGATAGCGAGAGATTTCTGACCTTTTAGCTATGCTCCCTTCTTTGGTGTAATGGGATGCACCGCTGCAATTGTGTTTGCTAGTTTTGGTGCTGCTTATGGTACAGCCAAGGCCGGTGTTGGTATCAGTGCCATGGGTGTTTTGCGCCCTGACCTTATTGTGTAAGTTCTTATCGTGAAAGGTGCTTGTAAAGACACAGAACCGATGCCATTCACAGAAACTTATGCAGATTATTTTTCTGTTGGCAATTCACTAGTAGCTAATACTGCTGTAACTATATGATGATAGTTTGTCTCTTTTCAATGTCAAGGACGCTGTCGATGGTTTTTAGTTACTAATAAGTTTTTTTATGGAATGTCTAACATCCTTTAGTAAAAATACTATTCCCGTCGTCATGGCTGGTATTATTGCCATTTATGGTTTGGTCGTCTCTGTCTTAATCTCCGGTAATCTCAAGCAAACTCTTAGTCTTTACAGCGGTTTTATTCAACTCGGTGCTGGCCTTTCCGTAGGTCTGGCCGGTTTGGCTGCTGGTTTTGCTATCGGTATTGTTGGTGATGCTGGTGTTCGAGGTACTGCCCAGCAACCTCGTCTTTTTGTGGCTATGATTTTGATTCTCATTTTCGCTGAAGTTTTGGGACTTTACGGTCTTATCGTTGCTTTATTGTTGAATACTCGTGCTACTGATAATGTGACAGTATGTATAAAGGGGTTGTTTTTAGACTCCTACATTTTCTAATACGTAAATGGTGAATTTACTAACTTTCTTTTAGTGTTATTAGGGTGATTCATTATTTATCTGGAGTCAAGTTCTTTTGCTATATGATTTTATAAATGTTCAGCTTGATATTCCTTTCCACTTGAATAGATTCGCCCACTTTTTTATGTGCCCCTTTACAACACTTAGTAATCGCCCTTAACTATAGATAATTTGAGACATAATCCTTGATTCTTCCACGTCCAGACGAGCATAATATTTGCCATATGAGAAAGTGTTGCATTTACCCTCAAGTATCTAAGTCTACAAAGGTTTAAACAAAGTAAATTGGAATAGACGCCATGGGCATAGTAACTTAATATCATTTTAAATTTTTTACGATAAATCAGAATTCCTGTGATTATTGCACTTCGCGTTCGATGGTTCTTCAGCTCCGTAGTTTATTAAACCCTCTCGTACTACTTACTAGCTTCGACCAACTTGTAGTTCAATTCTTTTCCCTTTTCTATATGTTATTATCTGAGATCTGTTCAAATTAGAACACTTATAATCTAAAAATATAATGCTTTTCATAACATGCCCTCCGCGTATTTGGCTACCTTATATATATATTTCCATGATAATAGACTTTGATAGAGACAAAGGGGAGAACTTGCCAGGTAGATTACTAAACTTGAGCAAATAAAAGAATATTTTTCATCCGCTGCTTCTCCTGCGAAACTGAGTTTTTATTTGAGATACCAACATGCTGAACGCGACAATGTACAATACATTTATAGCAAATTAGGGGGTTAAAAAGAACTTTTATTGCCAAAAACATAGAAAATTATTAAAACAGTATTACTTTCTATTATTTTACATGCTCAATGAGAAACTTCCTCCTCGAAATGTGATTCATACATAACTGGCTCCTGGTCTTTAGTCTCGGTTGCCCAAAAACTTGCACGGAACTGACCGAATCTTGTCTTTTCTAAAATATAGACGATACATCCACAAACAATGGAAAGACCGATGAGTCCCATGCAAACTTCATTACTTTTGTGGTACGTGGTATCTGCAGGCCAACCTGAGTAAAGTGCGTAAGTTGTCACAACAGAACCCAAATTTCCTACACCGCTTACAAGAGCTAAGCTTGCAGCAACGCCAACATCTCCATATGAAACAACCATTACCTCGGAGCACCAAGCCATACATATAGGAACCGTAGGTCCCAAACCAAAACCAATCATCAACAAACCACCGTAGCGTGACCAGGCTGTGTGAGCGTATGTCGCAACACAAAGACCGGCTATAATTATAAGGCAGTTCGAAATAAGAAATGTGAGTCTGTAACGGAAACGATCATAAAGAGGCATAACTAGTATAATACCCAAAGCATCACAAACCCAGATGGGAGCATTTAAAAGAGAAATAGTAGTACTCGAAAACTTGGGATTAATTTGTTCTATAATCAAAGTGCAGTATCCAAAAATACCATTACCGACGCCAACAACACCAAAGTAAATCAAAACAAAAGGCCATACGCGAAGGTCCAAGCAGCATTTTAACAAATCCACCCAAGTCCATTGTTTACCCAAGTTCATACCTGACATGTAACGGCGATGCAGATGTTTTTCATTCTGATTAAACAATTGCATGCGGGTTGGAGACATGTTCTTCATCCATTCAGGAAGAGGAATATAAGATAAAATGTCTCTTCTGTTTTTTTGATAGCTATCGACCGCAGGAAGCCACCAAGGAATAGTTAGAGCTTGAGCAACAGAAACAACGCCCCAAACCAAAAACATCCATTGATAACCGTAAAGTCCACGAGTATTATCCATTTTTTGGAATCCAGCAGAAACCAAACTTACAACAGCAGCACCGATTTGGGCAGCAGTATAATACCATCCAATTCGTTTTCCCAGGTGCTGGCCCTGGTACCAACGGCTTATGTAATAAGCTAAGCCTGGCCATAAGCCAGACTCTGCGACACCCAAGAAAAATCGTAGAGCAACATATGCTTTTGCATTACCATGTTTAGTTCCCAAGACTGTATGACACAAACCAACGATACCAATGGTTAACTGAATACGAGCAACCCAAACAGAGGGTTCAACGAAAACCATCATCAAGTTGGAAGGAACCTCAAAAATTACATATCCAACATAAAAAAGAGCGAGACCTAAAGACAGAAGATGGGGAGTATAACCGGGTAATGTTTGAATGAGGCTATGGCCTTGTTTCGTATTCATAGTGAAAGAAAGCGAGACGGAAAATCGTAAGCAACAAGCTAAAAAGTAAAGAATCCAAAGACAAGGTATAATTCGGATATCACTTTTTAGGCGTAGTCTGCTTAGCCGTTTCTGTTCTTCAAGACTGAATTCCTCTTCCCCTGAAGGAGAAGAGCTTGGAATTTGACCACTGACTTCCAAATCGTTGTTACCAGAAGATTCAAATTGCTTAACAAAAGCATCTTGTTTATCATCTTTCTCCTGGTAATGGTCATGAGGAAACGAAACACTTTCCATGTTTAAAGTAATTATATGCTAAAGCCTTCACAAATAGAAAATAGAAAATATCAGAAAAAAAAGAAAAAGTCCAAAAACAAAGTCGGAGAGCTATATAGGCTATATCAACGATCCCAGCACTTCTATCACTAACGATGATAGCTTCTTGATTTAAATAGAAAGGAGATTAAAAGATTTGGAATAGAAAAGAGAGCAATCACCTGCGCAATGTATATCCAAGAAAGCTCTGACAGGTTCAAAGCTTCTATACCATATAGCAAGAGCTTGGTAGTCAGAAGAAAAAGTTTGGAAAACGATCAAACTGAACTTGATGTTGTTTAGTTATTTTTTATATCTTTTTCGTGAGAATCTGTTTGATGATCGATTCAAGAATAATATTGATTTGTAGGGAAGAAAGCCTGAGAAATAAATATTACCCACTAATATCGTATCTGATCATCGAAAATCAAGATGTAAAATATTTTCCAATTCCAGTTTATCATGAAAAAAAAAAAAAAAGAACATGTAATGATTTTATTGAAAATTGAATTTTATTCTTTTTATTGTTTTATTTAACTTTACCGTCGTAATTACATGAAACCAGGGAATCATCATGAGAATCTTTGTGAATTCTGTGGCATAGGGAAGGTCTTCAGACAAGGAAAGAAGGATTGTTATCAAAGAGGGAATGCGGTGTAAGGATACAGTTCTTTCTGCTGCAAGTTGGTACTGTGCTTTACTGCCGGTTCCATGAGTAAGAAACACTTAAATGAAAGAAACGCAAAAGCAGTCCATTGCTTCGAAGAAAAGAATGTTCAAATAAATAAGAAACAACAGATGTTTTCCTTTATGAAGGCGATCCCAATAGGATCAAGAGGAAGATAGGGATGCAGGGTTTTTTTGAAGAGTTTTCTTTTTAGGGCTTACAATGGGCGATTTCAAAAAAGAGAAAGTAATAGAAAAGAAACATATAAAGACTAGAAGGTTGTCCCGTACACAAAGGTGGACGCCTTGATTTTCTTAATATACCTTTTTTTCTCTTGTTCGTCTTCGTTATCCTCTTGCTTTTTACCAAATAAATGGTTCACGATATTCATTCCAATTTACAATTAAATATTTCGAACGTTCAATTGAAACGAAAGCCTCAAGGGCTTCGTCGGATCGGCTTAAATCAACATAACTTGGTTTCCCAAATAAATAGAATTTTTAAGTCTTATAAAGATGGATATACTTATTTAAACAAATAAGGAATGTCATATTTAGTTTTAGTTTAGCCCAATTTACTTGTCATCAATATAACATTGGTTGCAATTTGAATGTTCAATTCATATATCATCTAGGAAATTCAATTTTGAATAGTACTCCCTTAAATGTTTTAAAATTAAAAATATTTATTCCCATGTTCTATTCATGTTATTCAAGTACTTGTATATCCTTCTTTAGAAAGTGTGTACTTCTCTTCCTAGGAAGATGCACCTACCCAAACTGGACCATTTTCACAATCACAAAATCTCTAGTTTCGAGAACGACTTAACAATTAAATTTACTGGTATTTTATAATTCCTAACTCCTTTTTTTGTTTCAATGTATTATTATTAGCTTCAAGACAAATCACCTACAGCTAAATCCTTCTTTTGTTGAATTCGTTTAGGAAGCTAGTCAACAGTAAGAACGGGAAAACACATGTCTGTTCACTTTCTTGGTACTTTGTAATCTTTATTTTTGGACTCTTTTTTTATTATAATAACTAATTGTTACAACATTTAATCTCATCTGGTAGTAGGGATTCTCTTTTTCTCTTCTCAAGGAAACTAACTTCCCCATATGCCCTTCATAGCTTGTACTTGGTCGGACGGAGACCCTCGAACCTTGCCTAGTAATTCCAGTAGGACCCGTTATACTCCCTCGATTAGGCCTCTCGCTCATGATCATCCAAGACATCTTGCATTCCGAAAAACATGTGGAAACTTCCTAGCTCAACATATTTTCGGAGGTTCTGGCTCAACCCAGAAAGTACTTCATGATCTTCACCAACAATCGACTCGTGCTCCTAAACTACTTCCCAGCACACTGCCCAATACTTCGTTTACTGTTATTAACCCTATATCTACTTCATCTCAACTAAATACGAAACCAATGGTTTCTTCTCATCGGTCAAGGCCGCCTTCCAGAACAGTGTCGACTGATGAGCCCAAGGAAAATGCTCCCTCCAGATACACTTCCCGCTTAATGACGATCGAAAGTTTTGAGAATTATGTATTGGAGGCCTTGCCAAAACATTATGAAATATATCTACGTGATGGTTCTGGATCTAAGCGTGGTGAGTATTGGGTGTATGGACATCCTGGTGGTCGCCCTTTTCGATCCGTAAGCGACTTCCAGTATCACCTCTACTGGTTAGTTTCTGATTTATCAAGGAATGCAACGAATTGTTGTTGCTCACTATGTGCCAATGGTTCGATCAAACTACGAAGAAATATTCAAAAGGAATTGGAAAGGAATTTTCATGAGTGTAAAGATGATACATTTACTTGGCCATCTTCATTTAGACTCGGGGAAGTGGTATGGATTGATATAAATTTTGAAATTATTCCTGCAATTATTGTCGCTAGGAATTTGATTAATCATAATAATAATAATAACAATGATTCTTCAAATCCGCTTTTGGATGCCTACATCGAGCCGTATCAGTATCACTGCAAGGAACTAGGAAATTCGAGATTTTTCTTCGACATGGCTGCTGCCGATATTGAACCATGGGTACAAAGATCCGCAGATTTGAGTCACCCAGGCCACAGACTTGCTAATGACATCGCTCACACTTGGTGTCTTTATGGAAAATTTCAACCTATAGAAAGCAACAATGTTGAACATCTTGTCTTTAAAGATGAAAATCATTCTATTCCAATGACCGTCCTTCCTATAATCGAAGATGGACAGGAGAATTTAAACGATCACTTTCTGGGTGTTTTCTATGGAGCTGAAAAATTGTGGGTTAATGACCTTTGCATTTTGCATAACGCTTCTCTTCCCTCTCAATTTACAGGTACCTGTTTTATGTCTATCTCCGACATTTTTGTAAATATTGATGATACCGTCTGTATTCAAGGATCATTCTGGAAACAGAAAGATGCCACAGCCCAAACATTTCATCAATTTCGTGATCGTAATAAGTTGTCTCGTCGCATACAGATGGCAGAAGACATAACACGAACTGAATATACCCTTATGCATAGTGATTCTTCAGAATTTGTATGCCAGCTTGCAGATATAGCAGGCAGGTGGTATGAACCTTGGTCATTAAAAGGAAAATATCATTTTTCAACAGATCAGAAAAGACGGGTGTCATCGAGACTGGATGCAGTGGGAAATGAGAATTGGGTTGATGATGATTTTTACGAGCTTTTACTTTCAGAAATTGATCTAGTTTCACCTGTTGTTATGTGAGTTTTTTTTTCCGCTGTATATTTCCTTTTTCTCGTCCTTTCTTTACCCTGTTTATACAAGATACACCACACCGTATATGTTTACTTTTTGGAAGTCATTTTCTTTTCGTTTTTTGTTTTTTTAGGGATGGTCTAAATAAAGACATATGAAGGTTTTATATAGATTTGTATCAAAAGTGTATATCTTTTACTATCGTTCAAAATAAAGATTATGGGGAATAAATGACGACTGGTTTTAGGTAAGCATGTCCGAGTCAAGAGAGTCAGATTTAAAGTACTGAAACAACATTAAATTCTTCTTTCATTTCTTCCACGGGGGCCACCGAACTTAATGGCAGATTTGTCCATGATTTTGACAATTTTATCTCGAATTATTGAACCTTCCTGGCCTAGTAAACAATTCTGAACAGCCTCACGAGCTTGACTAAATCCTCGAAAAACAACATATAAGTTCTCAATACTTAGATTTTTCAGACGAATTTGCTCGAGGACCCTTGAGGTTACAGTATAAGCAGTATCATATCCGCGTCTCTTTCCTTTTCGAAATCCGCACGATCCAGCAGATGCTTTGAAGATAATTTTTTTATCGGGGTTGCACAGGGTGACATGAGTGTTATTCTTTAAACATTTGGCATGCAAATAGTAAGGTCTAGGAAGAAATTCGGAACCTGCCACATATGCAGGTTCCTTGTTCTTCAGCACAGGTTTTTCTGGATTAGATAAAACTGACTTCTGTAATACCTCAGTTAAATTGATTTTACCGTCGTTCCTGAGATGAGAATGGGTACCAAAACGACGCAGCCCAAGGCGCGTCAATCCCAACATTTTTCACTAGATATATATTTATAAACCTTTACAGCTCAATAATTGATGTGTTAATTCTCTGGCTGTACCAAATTTATAAATTTTCCTTTGTTTCACAGTTTTGTGTTTTCTTACTAAATTCAAACTACAGGTACACTTTGTGGTGGAAGTATTCAGTCCAAGGTAACACATATTCGATACTTACATTTCAACATCTCAACGTTGAAGTCTAAATCAAACAAACGAATTCATAAAAATATTCAAATTACTTATTCTTAGTTGTTCAACTCTTATCAAACTCATTTGAAGAAGGTAAAATTCGAGCACATGCCTTATTAACCCTGAACTTCCGAACAAGTTTACGAAACGTAAATAAGCCCACTCAACCTGCATAAAGGCAACAACATGAAGTCGAAAGAAACACTGAAATTGACGTTCATTGCTTTATTCTCCTTTCTTTTTCAATATTATCTCTCACGTTCGAGCGTTTCAGAAGCATTGTCAAAAAGAATTGAAATTGCAACTCCTATATCTAACTTTCTGCGAGTACAAGAAGGGCTTTTTCTATATCGCCGTGGACTTGATCCATACGAAGGAGGGATTTATTTTCAGTCCCCATTACTTTTGTTTCTCCATTTCACCTTTGAATTATTAGGGGGAGTCGATGCAATACGCATGCTTTATTCCTTCTTAACTGTAGCTAATGGTTGGTTTGTTTACAGTATTTCAAAGAAGTTTCAAGAGAATAGGAAACGTAGAGAACTTTATGCTGGAACTTCTTCTTTGTGGATTTATATCATGTAAGGCTTCCGTCAATGCTTCAAAGCTATTTATGTCTTCAGGACTTTTATTTCTTTTTATCTGTCCTGTTAATATACCTCAATTTCCTTAATGCACTAACCACAGTGATAGTTACCTGCTGAATCCACTTACGTTTCTTCCGACGATAGCTTGTTCAAGCGATGTTGTTTTGAATTTTTTTACGCTTACTTTTGTTTACTTTGCGATTCAAGGTTATCAAGTGGGATACGCTTGCACTACTGCCTTAAGTCTATTTATTAATCCGAGTACAATTTCTCTTGTTTTACCCAGCTACTATATCTTGAGGCGAAGCAACCAAAATGTCCATCTTTCCAAGACGCTTATTATTTTCTTATTTTACATGTCTTGTCTGGTATTTGGCTCAGCAATTCTCTTAAACTCATATAATTTTTTGATGGCTCCACTTCATGTGTATAGGAACGCTCATGACCTCTCTCCTAACATCGGACTTTGGTGGTATTTTTTTACTGAGGTTTTTGAAGAATTCCGATTGTTTTTCTTATTTGTTTTTTCTGTAGCTCCCGTCATGTTCATCATCCCAATTACCATTCGTTTGCGGAAGCTACCTTTAATTGCGACTGTCCTAATGATGGGAATACACGGCATATTCAAAATTTATCCTTCCATTGCCGATTATTCATTGTTTGTATCTCTCCTTCCTATCTTTGGAAAAGTTCAGGAAAATATGAAATACAGTCTTTTAGCAAATAATGTAATAGTTTTTGCTTTCGTTTTAGGGACAACGTTCTACCATTCCTGGATCACTCTTGGTTGTGGGAATGCAAACTTTTTTTATGCTAGCAATCTGATTCTAGCAATAGGAATCTCCCTCAAAGCGATGGATTTCTTGAGAGCAGTACTGATGATTGAGTGGAAAAGTGAGCATCCGGAAAAGAGAGATGAGTCTTTAGTACAAGTTCCTTAATTACTATATTTTAATTAACTGGGAATTCTCTATAGTAATTACCTACTCTTGTTGTCTATGCTAGTCGCCGCAATTGACATTTTTTTTTTGAAAATGGGATTATAATAAATTCCAAAGTTAATATAGTTAACGAAAAATTCTAATTATAGCTCAATCTGGGGAATTTGTTTCGTTACTAACTGTTTTCAATTTGATTCTGGACTTGCACCCTTTTCCACCACCTCCCAGTTGACGGTGGTTACTGAAGTCCTTGAGCGTATTGATGTTTAGCTCAAAAAAGTACCTAAACTCTTTCGGTTGGCAAGAGGGGAATGCCTTAAAAGAAGGTGGTCTCCTCAAACCAGTTCTGACGTCTAGAAAATATGATACTCGTGGTGTACGTGTTTGAAAAATTTACAAATGGAGAAAGACACTTCATATTTTTGGAAAATTACAAAAAGAACTATTCTAATGAATACTTTAGTTGGGTACAAAGCATGATTATGCTGATCAATGGTGGGATAATGTGTTTTCTTCACAGTTGAACTCTATCCAAGTAAACACTGGAGATGGCAATGTATGATTTGAATAATGATATTTGTTTTACTAATATATTAATAACAGGTTAAGTTGGAAACGCAAGGGACATCTACGAAGCTTGCAATGGCAAAATATCACAGTAAATATTCAGCCTTGTCGACTGTATTTCGATACGCAGGATGTCTTTCTGGAACAATTGAAGAACAAAAAGAGAAAGAAAATATGAAGAATGATGCCAATGCTGTGGCTGAAAAGCCGAAGAAAGTTAAGCACTCTACAAAAAAGTCTTCTCGGAAAGCGAAATCTGAATCTGATCGGCATAAATCTAAAGACAAGAAGCATAAAAGGAAGAGAAAAGATTTGGACGAATCGACATCATCAAAAAAGCGTAAGAAGGAAAAATCATCTCATTCAAAGTCCGATAGAAAAAAAGAAAAAAAGTCGTCTAGAAAGTCGAAAGGAAAAGATTCAGAAACTTTCAAGAAAAGGAAAATTAAAAGCGCTTAGTGTATGGGATTAATAGAAGCTGGCTTAGATAATAACAGACAGTGGATCTTTTAGATCATAATCTCCATCAGTTCCAATACTATACCATCCTGCTGGGATTAATCATTTTGATGTTTGGATCCTACCTAAGTCTTTTATTACTACGTTTCAATATTCAGGACAATGAATAATTCCTCTTCTCATTCCCTTTTTGTCTTACCTGAAAAATGCTTGATGCTTGATTTTTTTGGTTGATTCTTTTCTTTCCTTAAAATAGCATATCACAAAAAAACAGTATGTGTTTACACTGGGCATACGTTTTGCTTGAATTGCTAAAGGGAATTATGTACATTTTTAATGTAGGTTAATAGAACGGATTCTTTGGGTTTTCATTTAATATTCTATTTCACTATAAAATAATTGTTAGCAGTACTTAAAATAAGCGTTAATTACAACTAAATTCTTCGTTTGCCTTAATAATTACCAAGATTGAATTCACCTTCTCAATTGAAGTAATCAACTATTAAAATATTATTTCTTTAAAATAAAAAATGAAAAAGCAGCGAAATATAAGTCTATATACAAGGTTAAGTGTATTTTGGAAGATGTAACGTTTAAAGACCTGAACATAGCCAATATTTAATGATGGAGGAATTGTTCAGTAAACAGAGAGAAGAGTATAAACAGCTTCAAACTTCTATTGCAACTCTCAGGAGGCAAGCTAAAGAGGGAAATAAAAAGCAAAAGAAGCAAGTTCAACAAAAAATTGCCGACATGGAAGCCGATCTGTCTCAGAGACACGCTCATGAAAGAATGGATCTTGAACGAACGGAGGAGCCACAAGAAGGAAATGATCAAGATGATCTTGTTACTACATTACTAAAACAAATGGAATCAACAAGTTTAGACAAGCCCAAGAAGTCACCTGAAAATCTAAAGGACGAACCAGCAGAACAGCCCAAGGAAACTAAGAAGCCAAGAAATCGACAAAAAGAACGTCTTGTATGTTTAAGGAAAGTTTTACTTGTGCCAGAATTACTAACGTTTATTAGGAACGTAGGAAGGCAGAATTACAGCAATTGAGTGCACAAGCAGAAAAAGAACATGCAGGCACAGTTGATAAACAAAAAGTTGAAAAAGATAAGCTTTCAAAAATCCTTTCGGATTCAGGGTTGGTTGCCGTTGATATCACTCCGGATGGCCATTGTCTATTCGCATCCATTTCTCATCAACTCAACTATCATTTTAATATTAAGTTAAATTATCAACAGCTCCGTGATCATGCTGCAAACTATATTCATAAGCATGGAGATGAATATTCAGGTTTCTTACTTGATGAAGACACAGGGGAAGTAATGTCAGTGGAACAATACTGCAATGAAATACGGAGAACCGGAAAATGGGGAGGTGATATTGAAATTCAAGCTCTTGCTAATGACCTTCAAGTTCCTATCCACGTATACAATACGGATGGGCCTGTTATAAAATTTGAGCCTCAAGAAGCGAAGCATACAACGCCCGTGTGTATCGCATACTATCAACACTTATACGGATTAGGTGCTCACTATAATAGCTTGGTGTACAATAGTAAATAAAGCAAAAAAGAATCTGTCCTTTGGACAGGCGTAAAATGCTGAATGCTAGTTTTATGAAAGTTTTGTATTGCTAGCGCTAGATAATCACATTTTATTTTATTTTATTTTTTCTGGAAAACCATGCAGTGACGTTCACTGTAGAACAAATTCATAATAACAGATGCTTGGGTCATTGACGAAGAAAGAAATTGATAATAACATTACTCTTCCGATTACGGTTCCTATGAATAGGGAGGAAGCGGCTCCTCAGAATGCCTCTGGGGCTTTGAATTCGATTGGCCTTGTGATGGATCCGAGCCGCCAGATTCATAGCACGGCTGTTGTATCGTTGTTGCAGGATGGGGATATTGTATGCCAGGATTCCCTTGTAATCTCGAACCCTGCAGACGAGGTTCGTCTTTAATTTTCGTTTCAATCAAGTGCTTGTTAGTACGTTCCCACCATCCACAAACGGAGCATCGTAAAGCCTAAGACTACGTCAGCTTGCAAAAGGCATCAAGTTTAAATTTCAGACGTATCAAACTTACTTTCGTGGTATAGACAGGGAGGATAGGCAAAATGATAAGGGATAGTGTTTTCCAATGTCGACAAACACGAACTATGAATTCGATCAATTAGCAATGCTTTCCTAAAAGGCTACGCTGATATAAGGAAGCAAGAAAGTGACCTTTGGGGTATCGTACCTGATTTATTGAAACTAGAAATGGTCAGTAACTCTATTATTCAAGAATCTTAGCACTCTTGTTTCCTATAAATAATGCCAAAGGATGAGATTTTTAGAGAGGTAATGGTCTTGTTCCTTTTGTTTAAGTTTCAAGACTATTGTTAACATACCATCTTGGACAAGTCAGTAAAAGTTTTGCATATTTACTCTTATTATGCCAAAAATCCTGGAGTCCAAGAGGAAGAAAGAAAAAGAAGAACATAATATATTTCTATGTTTTCTTTAGATTAATGTAAAAGCAATTGGTTAAAGAAAGAAGCATTTCCCTAGGAACGTAAGCATTGTCATTATGAACAAATATTTCCCTAAAGAGGAGTAAGGCTTGGGTCCTAAGTTGAATGTAGCTCTGTATACTTATATTATAATTGATTATTATATTGTAGTAATTTAAGAAGATATAAATGTAGAAGGCTTGCTATTTATACCTGTGGTTCTATAGGATTCAAATTGTCTTTATCATAAACAACAAATAAAAACATAAATAATTATTCGTATATATTGCCTTAATCAGTTATGAAGAAAGGTAAAGATGGGTTTCTTGGCTTCACCTGAAGACGAATTTTACTGAGATATTCGGCTTGTTTGCTTTGTCGCAAATTTTCAAAAGTTCAATGTATCCAAAATAGTCAAGTAAGGCTGCAAAGGCAAGGTTTCAGAAGCTCTTGGAATTCAGCAAAAGTTATCCCATTTACAAAAGCGCTGATGGATTGGATTCTATTGACCAAATCACACCAAAGAAAAATAAAAGATTATTTTTTTTACAAGAATATAGAAATTATGCTAATACTACGGTCTTTGCTTATTTTTTTTCCCGTTTATTATCCTGCTTCTTATGGGTTTTCCCTACTGAAATTGACCTTTCGAATAGCGAGTGACGCGCAAGGAGTCACTAAATAGGGAAAACACTACCACCATAGAAGACCTACGAGAGTAAAAAGAACTTGGGATTTTGTTAATTTTGGTTGAAGTTCGTGAAGAAAATGCTTTTATTTTAAACAGTATCTACATATCTTTCTCTTTACTGTTACTCGGTTATTTACTTTTAGTACTGCATAACGAAAAGGAAGACAAACCGTGCTTACAAGTGTTTTCCAATACTTCACTTAGAAAAAGCTTGTTTTCTCGCTTCTTTTGGTTCTCTTTGTGAAATAGATTTTGTATGCTTTCTTTCTTTTTCAGTTGGTGTGGACGTTAGGATTATACGATCATATTAGGAATTCATTACAAACAGGATGAATCCGAACCATCTCTCGGAGAAAGAGGAAGAAAAAAATACCATGATGGATATCGACAAGCCTACTAGTACTAGCCTTGGGGAAGAAAGCAAAGAAACGATTATGACTAAACATGTCGAATCATCCTCGGCCACGAAAGAGGATGATGATGGAAATCCTCGAAAACGCCGGCATTTGCTTCCATCTGACTTGAAAGTAGATTTTGATGTGAGCCAGCTTCAAATTCTTGAAAAGCCTGCAGCTTTAGAAGAAAAGCGAGGAATCATAAAGTTTCGTGTGGTAGCAAATGACGATAATCCTGAAAGCTTTATAATGTTGACAGGTTTAAAAAATATTTTCATGAAACAACTACCAAAAATGCCAAAAGAATATATTACCAGACTTATTTACGACAGAAATCACTTATCCATGACCATTGTGAAAGATAATTTGCACGTTGTGGGTGGCATCACTTACCGTCCTTTTGAACAACGTGAATTCGCCGAAATTGTTTTTTGTGCTATTGCTTCTACTGAGCAAGTACGGGGTTATGGTTCCCATTTAATGAACCATCTTAAAGACTATGTTCGTGGAACTTCCAAAATCCAGCATTTCCTCACGTATGCCGATAATTATGCCATAGGTTACTTTAAAAAGCAAGGGTTTACACAGGAAATTAATTTGCCCAAAGAAATCTGGATGGGTTACATAAAAGATTACGAAGGCGGTACGTTGATGCAGTGTACCATGCTCCCAAAAATCAAATATTTGGAAGCGAGTGTCATTTTATCCATCCAAAAGGCCGCTGTAATCTCGAAAATAAATAAACTTACTCGTTCCAACATCGTATATCCCGGACTAGACATTTTCAAGAATGGACCAGCACATATTGAACCAAACCAAGTTCCAGGTTTAATGGAAGTTGGATGGTGTAAAGAAATGGAGGAGCTGGCAAAAAAGCCAAAACCTAAGCCGTTCTTCGCTGTGTTGGAAATGCTCTTCACTGAAATGCAAAATCATCCTTCCTCTTGGCCGTTTGCTCAACCAGTGAACAGGGAGGATGTTCCAGATTATTACGAAGTCATCGAGCATCCTGTGGATTTATCAACCATGGAATATCGGCTTCGTAACAATCAATATGAGTCTGTAGAAGAATTCATCCGTGATGCAAAATTAATTTTCAATAATTGCAGACAATATAATGATCCAAGCACAACATACTACAAGAATGCTGACCGTCTTGAGAGGTTCTTCCAAAAACAACTGATGGAAACGGAGTACTCTCATTTGGCTGAATAAAATTCTATCCTTTCATCTTTTTGAGGTCAGTAGGTCAATCCATTATATATACTATTCTTTCCTATTATGCCGATAATCTAATAAAGTTTTTATACATTCATTAACGTATATCTTTTGTTGATCCTAGCTATATCGCATTTCAGTTTTCAGGAAATGCGTCTAATAAAGCTGCAATCATGGGTTTTTCTTCAATTCTGTATGCACCATCACTTTCTTCGTTTTGATTCGCAGGGTCTTCTAGGCTATCATAATAAGAGCGTAACTTTTCTTTTAAATCATTCATAGAGTAATTGGCTTCCTTTAATAGCAATCTAATTGTCTCTAACATAGAATCGTCTTCAACAGATAGCCACCCCAAAATAACAATCACCGACTGAAATGCAAATAACCCATGATCTATTTGAACCAAAAACCACCGAGTGGATTTTTCTTCTTCAGTTTCACTTGTTTGATCTGAATCTCTTTCTTTACTAACTTTTTCCAACTGAGCGTTCAGTTTACAGAATATTGCAAAACATTTTCTCGTTTTTTCGTAATTGCTTTCAGAAAACTTTCTGAAAAATCGCATTCTTTCAATCGTATCTGCTGGTAATGACCGAAATAAGGAGCAAAAGATGGCTAATATATGGTCTATTGTTTCTGAACTTTGACTTTTCATAAAAGTAGAGAAAATGTATTTTAATCCTCCTGCTTCAACAAAGCGTTGACAATACGGCATCGAAATGGGTCCAAACAGCAAGTAATCTATAACTTTAAATGAAGAATCTCTACTTTTCCCTTTGTTCTTCATATTTAGAATTAAAAGCTCAATTCCTTCTTCCTTCATGAATGACTCTTTGCCGTAAACTTCCTGTGTAAGACTAGATAGGCAATCAAAAACGTTTTCCATGGTCTCTTCTTCTAACCCTTGGGAAGGGTCGCGTAAACGATAGGGACTAACTTTTCGAAGTAGTAAATCTGTACCATTTGATTCACAAACACTTTTGCGGGCCTCTTGTGAGTGGCTAAGGAAGATAGCCAAAAGTTCTACTGAATATTGTAAATTTGGTGATATGTAAGTTTCAGAAACAGAAATCCGCTGAAGTAACCATTGTAGCAAATCGGTTTTTCGAGCTACCGTCGAGCATACTTCACTGTCTATCGAAATAAGGTTCTCAAAAAGCGATAGAATGGAGTATACACCATGTTTGTCTGCTTCGTTTTTTTCATCGAGTCTCTTTAGTCCACTGACGAGCACTTGCAGAAATCCGGTTTCTATTGAAGCTTTAAAAAGAGAACTTAAAGCGTCATCATCAATATCTTCGTTTGTTAACTCAAGAAACAAATCTACTACTGTAATCATTATATCTGCATTTTCGTGAGTTAAAAGTTCCAAGAATGTCGTGACGCATCCTAATTTTATGAACAGAGGAAATAAGCTTGGATATTCAGATATGATGTTAAATGAGCGAATCTCTTCGTCTAAGTCCGCTTCTGACTCAATGAATTTTTCAGGGGATTCCGGATACTTTGAACGAAGTTCTTGGTTTTGGTTCAAAACTTTTTCCAGTTTCACAACCTTTTTTTTGAGTTCATTAGGAGTTAATGCGACAGAAGGCTCTGTTCCTTCATTCTGGTCCAAAAATTGTAAACTTTCCTTTTCTCTTTCACTTAATCCGCTTCCGAAAAAGCGACCGCCCTCTTCATCAAACTCCTCTTCGTCCTCCATAATCTGATATTCTGGCTCATCCACTCGGCGCTTGCCTATTGACCTCTCAGTTGAATCATTATCATCAAGCGTTCTCTTTTTAGTAGGTTCATTGGCATTTTTAAATATAGAATCCACGTTCATTCTTTTCCTTTTCTTAACACAAAGTATGCGAAAGTCGCAATGTTCAATACTTAATGTACGTTTTAGCTTGAAAAAACCTGTCAGTTCTTGAAGAACAGCACTCCTGACTGGCGAGTATAATAGACAACTGGTTAATGTTTAAGATGGGAAGAGCTGCAAGGACCAAAATATAATAAAACATTAAACATGAACAAAGAAAGGTGTTATGTTATGTTTTGGAAAAATAAAGTAAACACTGTCTTTTTTTAAAGAATTCATGCTCACAGTAACTAGTTGCAAGATCAATGAAAAAAGTAGTGTGGTGAAGACTCAAAAAACTCGACTGTGAATAACTTCAGCATTTTTTAATTTCTTAATTGATAAATGAAATCACTTAAACTAAATCTTTGTACCGAAAGCTTCAAGTATATCATACTCTCAAGTTGCTGAGAATTGAGTCGGTTACGTCTCCAAAGAACATGACCTGTTTACTGTATAAATTAAAGCAATAAACAATAAATTTCATACTTTAGTTAAGATGGACACTGGAAAGCCTTGACGAAACATATTGGGACTTTTACAAAGCTGCTCCATGGGTTTGACAGGTATTTTGGATTGTTTGAAGCCTAACAGCTTTTAAAGATAATAAAATTCATATAAAGCAAAGTCAATTACCTCCCATTGTGAGTAATGAATATGGTCATTTCAACATACGTTACTAGTCGAAAGCAAATGAAATCTCAATGTCTCGACGAAAGATTGGCACATCCAAGAAGAATATAAAATCTTAAAATAAGTTCATCGTCATAACCTGTGAGTCTGCCAGAGCTTTGCCCAATGTAATAGGTTTATGAACATTGGTGTGCTTAAATTCAAGCATTCTCATCTAAAGTGGATTATCCCTTTTCAGTATCATAATATAAAACAGAAACAATAAAAAGAGGATATACGAGCATGACAACGTTTACTTTTGCACCTGCCATAACCTCGTTGGGAATGCAATATGTAACTTAACGCCCATACTCCATCAACCCGTTGAAACAAAAGAAAATATTTCTATTTCTATTTCTATTGCTTTACTGATACACGATTTCCCATAAGTTTTTCAAGTAAAGGTCTTCGATACAGATTCTGATGAGAACTTATAAAAGAGTCTTCATCAGTGTAAATTTTTAATTTTTCAAATATTGCTCCATTCCTTGTAATTACACGCGTGATAGAAATACTTTAGAAATTATATTTTTAACGACTTAATTATTAAAGGCGATACACCTCTTTTGTTTACCATTCTAATGTTCCAAGCAGAAACAGTCTACGTTAAGCATATCCATTCGACTTTAAAATGTGTTGATTTTGCGAAAGAATGTACAGTAGAAATCACTAGCCGTGGAATACGTTTTGGAGTGGATGAATCTCAATCGTTGCAAGGTATTGTTTATCACAGAATGTTGAGAGTATTACAGATCAGCAAATGTTTTCGATTTTATAAATCTATTATTAATAAGTAATAGCACATGTATTCATTGACAGAGGTTTATTTCAAAAGTATAATTATGAGGACGATGAAGAAAACAGCAACTACCTTTTCAAGACCAGACTAGCGCCGTTGTTACAATGCTTATCGATATATACAGATGGAAAAGACAAACAAATTGCCAATCCGTGGGATCAACAGCCTTCTACAAATACTATGCATAAACGAGGTGTAGTATGCAAGATACACTTTGAAGGAATTGGTTACCCGTTTGAATGGGAGTATGTTTTAGAAGAATTTTTTTTTTAATCATTGTATTTTTTGTGCTAACACTACTATGCAGGGTTGAAGAAATGGCAGGATATTCTACGATATGTGAATTATCAACATTAGAATATGAAGAAAACATCGATGTTAGCAGGTTAGCTACTACCTTGAATACAAAAGTTATTATGAGAAGTGGTTGGTTATACGACGCACTTTTAGAGTTAGACAATAACTTGAGTGAATCGCTTATGATTGAAACTTCTTCCCAAAAGTCGACATTTCTTCTACGATGCGTAGGCGGGATGTCTACAACGGAGATGGAATATCCAAATGAAAAGAATGTTTTAGAATCTTTCGAAACGAACTCAGAGTATACGTATACCTACCGTTTTGCTCTTATTCGTCAAGCGATTAAAGCCTTGCAGGCAGGTACTAAAGTGAGCTTACGCATAGATGAAAATGGAACACTGAATATTCAGTTAATGCTCGTAGGTCAAGATGGTTTGTGTACTTTTGTTGACTTTCGAATTGCACCATTGGATTTGATGATTGAAGACGAAGAAGATGATGAGGGAGTTTTGGCAGAGAATGGCTACACGGAAGATAATGACCAAGAGAATTACAATACAGAGGAGGAAGATGATTGACATTTTACCGAAAACTTGTATAAATTGATAAATAAAGGATAAAGGCCAATCGTTGAATGATAATGATAATAATAATAATAAGCAATTTTAGAAAAGAACACTATTTCAATTTTTTTAATTGATCAAAAAAATTGGCTAAAAAGGAGTTTCCTCGCCTTTAGCGTTCCACTTGACAACATGGTCTAAACGTTGATCACTGATGCGGGCACTTTGCAATTTCACTTTAACAACTCGAAAACCTTCACTTTCAACGTATTGTTTGGTGCTTCCTTGGTCATTGGTATGAATGTGCTTGTTACGGAAGAACATTTCTTCTTCGCTACCACGAGGCAAAATGGTAGCCAAACCGTTCAAGCTCACAGAAGTGGTAGAGCATTGAGCTTGATTCATTTTGTACAGTAGACTGCAAAGAGAAGAAGCATCTTGGTCTGCTTCTTGTCTGTTCGTAGTCCAATCATGAACTAGCAACGATACTCGAGGATTCTTATTTTGCAAGTTAGTAAGCGTTTGGATTCTAAAATTTTCACAAAGCCTTTCCTTACCGAACTAATATTAAAAGTCTTTTTGCTGTTTTCACCAGTAGTGAGAATTATACAGTCGTCAGCTTCATATGGTAGGGCTTGTCCTAATAAAATGTTATACGTTAGTATACCACAAAAACACCCTTGAATCCTTCACCTACCAGCAGGCACATAAGTAAAAGTCATCTGTTGTTTATAGTTAATAACCAATTATTCAATCAATCATTCACAGGTAGTACTATGAACAATTTACTGCGTAGCTATGAGTTTTGTAGTGAAACTCACAGAATTGCGACTTACTAAAGATGAATGGGGCTGATCTTGAAAGCATGTTGCCAATTGAATATACTTAGAGGAACCCAAACAACGCTTAACTTGTACTGGGAGTTGATCATGGTCGATACTTGTTGAAGACATTTTTATCGGATACAAAATATTCAAGAAAAAGAAAAATAAGTTCCTATTGAAAATAAACAATGAAAAATCTTTGGGAAAGAAAAAAAAACGCTTTGCGAATTTAGTTGAGTGGATATTTCAAGACGATAAAATTCGTATTTGCTAGTACTGACTCATCTTACGATGAGGTAAGTCAACACCATAATTACTAATTAAAATTCATGAGCCTTATAAGTGCTTTACAAAACTAACTCAAGCATTTTTACAGTCAATATCAAGTACTTGATTTCAGTAATGTACAATTAGTTCTTATAAACAATAATGGATACAGGACGACGATACAGGATTACAAGTTCTTTACAAAAAACAACCTTTCTTGGTTCAAACAATGTTATTTTCTCATCTGTAATAAAGGACAGGGGGGTCATTAAATATTCGTTGCGTTTCAATTTACCTTTTGTGTATTAAAAGAAGATCAAAATGATCATAAACCATGTAACATAAGAATGAAATAGACAAATTTGAAATAAAAAACCGTCCGTTGACAAATGTAGTACTTGTTTTAAGTATAAAATCTTAATTTACAAGTTTCCAATTACCAAGAGTCAATTTTCATTGTTCCCTTCTCCACCAAGTTTTGATGCATCTTAAACACGCTTGAAAGGATATGAGGTTCGTGGCCGACACCTTTAGCCAAGCAAACCTTCTCAGCAAAGTCAAAGTAGTCGTTCAAAATAGGCTTGTAATCAGGATGAGCACACTTGTTGATAATTACACGAGCACGTTCACGAGGAGACAAACCACGTACATCTGCCAAGCCCTGCTCGGTCACAATGATATCTAGATCGTGCTCAGTTTGATCCACGTGAGTAGCCATAGGGACAATACAAGAAACACCAGTAGGATCCTTCTTGGAAGGACGAGTAGAGGGAGTGTGCATGATACTGTACTTGGCATTACGAAGGAAATCAGCCGATCCACCTAAACCGTTCAACATTCTGCTGCCCAAAACATTTGTGCTGTTAGCATGAGCATACATGTCAATTTCAACAGGGGTATTCATTGCAATGCAGCCAAGACGACGGATAATTTCTGGGTGGTTGGAAATGACTTGGGGGCGGAGCAAGATTCTATCCTTGTAGTAATCCCAGTTTGCATAAAACTTTTCAAATCCTTGAGGTGAAAAGCGAGTGGAGGTGGCAGCGGCAAAGCGAAGTTTATCAGTGTCAAATAAGGGCAAGAAAGTGTCTTGTAAGACTTCCGTCCAAACTTCCAAATCTTTAAAAGGGGAATCTGCTAAACCACCAATAATAGCATTTGCAATATTACCAATACCAGATTGGATGGGATGTAAATGTTGAGGCATACGACCAAAGTCCACTTCGTGTTTAAAGAAATCCACCAAATGACCACCGATGGCACGCGAGGTGGCATCTTCAGGAGAATTAGGGCCGGTAATATCACCATAGGTTGCTTCAACAACACCAATTACCTTGGAAGGGTCGACTTTAATGTAGGGTTTACCAATGCGATCATCCACTCGGTTGATCGCCAACGGAGTACGGTGAGGAGGGTTTGGAATGTCAACGATGTCGTGAAGGCCCTCAAAAGAGGGAACGGCGGTGTTAACTTCGATAATAACCTTTTCAGCCATTTGAACCAATTCTGGGGTAGCACCGACAGATGCACCGGGAACGATACCACCATCTTCGGTAATTGCAGTAGCTTCGACAATGGCTACATCCAGAGAGTTCCTATCACGGTTGCGAGTGTAATAGCCATACAGCAAGTCTTGGGGAAACATGGAAAGATGTTTGTCGAAAAAGTTAATACGACCTTCGTTGATACCCTTGGAAATGGGCTTGCCGACTTGATGAGGACAACGGCGTTCAATCATATCAAGTTCAGCCCATTTGCCTTCAGTATCGGCACCGCCGGAAGCGCCTACGAAGAGCTTGAAACGCATTTTTCCTTGCAAGTCCTTGGCCGCGACATGCTTGGCCAAAGCTTGAGGGATCATCTTGGGATAACCGACACCGGTAAAACCAGACCAACCGATATAGTCACCATTTTTGAAGTGGGGAATGAGAGAAGCTGGGTCGGAGACCACCTTTTTGGCGAATGCTGGGTTGCGGATACGAGAAGCTAATAGAGACGGCATGGACTAGAAAGAAGAAGAAAAAAAAAAGCTAAAGAAAAAGTGAGTGGGGAGTGAGTGATTGAAAATGAGTTTCTCAAGAGAAGAGAAGACGAAAAAATAAAATAAAAATAAAAAAAGGGATAAAGAACGAAAGAAATTCAACAAACTTGTCGTAAAAAGTTATCAACAAGTCAATGAAATTACAAATGGGTCGACGTGTTTCGTTACGTAATGCGAAATTCTCTTTTCTTTTGAATCAAAAAGAATACCACCTACTGTTGAGACCAAAAAAGGAAAGGTAGAAATCAATAAAAACTAGTGTTAAAAAGGAGAGTTATATGGAAAGTAGTTTAGATCCAAATATCTCGTTTTTAACCTTTGGAAGCAAGTTTTAGCAGGATCAAATGAATCCAAAATCGAAAGCAACTAGAGCTTGGAAAGTTCAAGAGTCAAGAAATTTACAAACTCGTTTTTGTTTCTGATATCAAGTATATACAAACAAAACGCAATGACTGATCCACGAATACGTTTGCTTGGGTCTTATGAATTGTTGGTGTTTATGAATGATGGTGAAGAATAAGTTCGCTTGTGAGTCGTCAAGGCCGGTAATATATAGTTTTCGTAAACGGATCCCATAGCCGATTTAAGGTTATAAGCAAATCAAATGGCTTTACCAATGGAACGTATAAGTAACACTCGGGTTTCGTAAAGGGTAACAATAACATGCCGGAAAATGAAGCATTATGAAGCGTTGCGTTGTATGGGATAGAGAGGAAGAATTAGTTGCGTAGACAAACAATGGAATGTAAACAAAGAACAGACAATGTTTTAGAAAGGCAAGGGAGGGAAAAAAATATAAAATAAAATAAAGTGAAAGAAAAGAAAAGAAAAGAAAAGTTTTACATATATATTTAATTCCATAATGAATCAGTAGACCTCGAGCCTTTTGGAAGGACTAGTTCAATTCTCGAAAGCTACTTATTCGTGATATGGGAATTACAGTCTTCATTTTTTATTTGGATTTGTTGGTGTATAATGCTTTGCTAAAACAAAGAAAAAGAAAAAGTAATGCTAATTCTATATCTCGTACCCCATACATACTACCGCTTATAGACAATGATTCCTCTTGTAACTACTCTCCATTCCTCAACAAATAAATACAATTCTATTAACCAATCGACAAGAAAACGCTATAAAATCATAGTATAGAATCTATAAAGAAAAGTAACCGAAGCAGGACGGCCATAATTAAAACCATAAACAAGCAAACCATAGATATATATTAAAAGATCGAAACAATACGAAAAGAAAGTAAAGCCATAGGAAAAGAACGAGGAATAACAGTTTAGAATTATGGTTCCAGTATACAACAAGTACTGCGATATCGGGTGGTTTTCGTTTCTTTTTTTTTTTTTTTTTTTTCTTTTTCTTTTTCTTTTTCTTTTTCTCTTTTTTTTGTTTACTTTAGAAAACCAACCTGTCTATGAAATTTAGCGTATGCAAACCAAACAACAACGACAATAATGACAAAGACTATAACGTAAAAAAGACACAAAATAAAACAACCAAATAAAGGAAAAACAAAAGCAAAAAAGAGTGGGCACAATTTAATCGTCAATGGGTCTACGAGACCTTGGAAGATTCAATGCAGTTTTCGACTCTTCCTTTTTCTTTTGATCCAAATAGTTTACTAAATACATTGATAAGCATTCATTCATCCAACCTCTTTTCACTTACAGTATTCACGAAGTCCGTGACCAAAGTTAACCATGCATGTGATTCCTATCCCAAACGTACTTAAGACATGAATCACGGTAATCAGCGTTACAGGTAGCGACGAATAAGCACTAAAATCCACAATCCAAAAATTTGTGTTATTGTAAACAACTACCATGTAGTACAAGTAGTATGCCGACCCTGCAAGCATCATTATCTCCACGTATGCCATCAACACATAACTTTCTCTACGCACTGCATACAGCGATACGGACAAAACAAATAGGGTGTAGGGAATTAATAATAGCATAAGGACAATCCGAGTTTTTTGGTAATGGCCGCCCCGCGGATGCTTGTTCAGCATTGCTATTTGAATCGTTGAACAAATACCTTCACGCATTGATGTTAACAAGAATTGTTTTGTGCTTCAACGCTCTCAAAGTAACTTACAAAAATAAAGATCCAGTTTCACCAAGGCAACAAAAATCTCGTATATGAGATATCGTCGTCTCATGTGAAGATCTGGCCCGTGTCGTTGATACATAACCCATCCATACGCTTTGTTCATACGGTAGACTAAAAAACAAAGGATGATACCAATCAAACCTATAACAACAGGCAAAGCGACGTAAAAAGCTTCTAGATTGTAAAACGTAAATGTTGCATTTTTAAATACAGCCTTGTATTTGCTAAACGAGGTATACAGGTTGATTTGATGGAAAGGAGGAAAACTAGAATTATTAAAAGTCCAATCCGTATAGCGTAAACAGACTCCTATCTGAATATATTGAATGATGGAATAAATAAAGAACGAAACATGAAATAGTAAAACAGCACTGGTCTAATAAGTCAATTAGCGACGATAGTTGAGAAACGTGTGACATACAGCAACAACGTTTTTTTGTAAGACAGCTTCCCAACCGGCATACAGTAAATACAGCGATCCCAAGAGAATCACAACAAGCATTGACGTTACAGCTTCAAAAACGACTTCAATCCTCTCAGCCATATGAAGGTACTGACCAATAGTATAAGAAGAAAAGCATATGTTAACCACAGCTTCCATTGTGATCAACAAAAGAAACCATAACGACGACTTTGTCAGAGACCGAAGGAAGTACTTCAACCGACCAAGTGATTGGATTATCTTCATATTATTATCTTACTGTTCGTAAAAGATCGAATAGCATACAAAAGAATGACTTTTTCTATTCATTTAGAGCAACACTGAGCTAAGACATGTGGGTTAGTGGTAGAGTAGCATATTCTCAAACGAACCCACTTTTTTACCAATGTAGTTTGCTAAACAACATAAGTTTCCAGTTCATCTTGATTTCTTTATTGTTTTATTTTCGAAAATTACCCTTAGATAAGGTTAAAATACAGGTTGTACTATGGTTATATTTGTATAGTATAAATGATCTTAAAAGTAAGTTTAATATAATACTTCCATTAACTTGTTCCTTGCATTTCGAAGATTCGTATCCAAGTATATGGATAGATTCATCAAAACATGAAATATTTTTGAGACAAAGGAAGTGTATCAACAGGGTCACATTCCATTATGGTATCGTCTGCAGTTACTGTGTAGGATTCCGGATCTACACTCATCTTGGGCATGTAATCATTCAAAAGCATATCCTTTTTCCCAATATTCCTTGTTCCTTTCACGGCTTCCACCCGTTTACGAAGTTGATATTTGCTCATGACACCATTTGACACAGCGTAATTTGAGGCGAATGCAATACTTCGTTCAGGAGCTTTTGCGCCAAACATTTCCCAGGAAAGAATAGGAGAAACAGTCGGGATTGATCCATTGGGATCTCCCATCATCGCCATTGCAATCATACCTCCTTTGAGCACCGTAGAAGGTCTGGCACCAAAGTCTGCAAAGTCCCATAATACCAAATCGGCGAATTTTCCAACCTCTACAGATCCAACGATATGTGAAATTCCATGACTAACAGCAGGATTAATTGTATACTTGGCAACATAACGTTTGACACGAAAGTTGTCTGCCCCCGTCCCATCATCTTCGGGCAAGCATCCACGTTGTAATTTATTTTTATGGGCAGTTTTCCAGGTTCTCGATATAACTTCACCGCAGCGACCCATGGCTTGAGAATCAGAACTAATCATACTGATAGCACCCAAATCTTGCAAGACATCCTCAGCTGCAATCGTCTCGGCGCGGATACGAGACTCAGCGAATGCGACATCTTCAGGAACGTTTCTTGACAGATGATGACAAACCATTAACATATCAAGTTCCTCGTCTAAAGTATTCTTAGTATAAGGGCGCGTGGGATTTGTACTTGAAGGTAAAATATTGGGATTTTGCACAAGAGAAATAATATCCGGAGCATGTCCGCCTCCTGCTCCTTCAACGTGATAAGTGTGTATGGTGCGATCCTTGAATGCCTTAAAAGTTCCCTCAACGAAGGAAGATTCATTTAGTGTATCCGTGTGAATTAAGCATTGAACATCAAATTCGTCACAAACTGTCAAACAAGAATCTATTGCAGCGGGAGTGGAGCCCCAATCTTCGTGAAGCTTCATACCACTACAGCCAGCTTCAATTTGAGAACGAAGAGAAGAATACCCACTATCGTTTCCTTTCCCTGTAAGACCAATATTCATCGGATAAGAATCCGTAGCTCTAAACATGGATTTCACAAGGTCTGCATTGGGAGTGCAAGTTGTAGCATTACTTCCCGTGCTAGGACCAGTTCCACCACCATACATAGTTGTAATTCCTGATGCTAAAGCTTCTTCGATTTGCTGAGGACAAATAAAATGAACGTGACTATCCATACCTCCGAACGTAACGATTTTATTCTCAGCAGAAATAACATCCGTAGAAGATCCCACGATCATGTTATCTGCAATGTTGTCCATAGTATCTGGGTTACCAGATTTACCAATACCTGCAATGAAGCCATTTTTGATACCAATATCAGCTTTGTAGATCCCCGTATAATCGACAATTAAGGCATTGGTAATGACCACATCAAGGCAATCATTCATCGATCTTCCAGTCGCTTGTCCGGTTCCATCACGGATGACTTTTCCACCACCGAAGACAGCTTCGTTGCCGTACTCTGTCAAGTCCTTTTCGACTCTGATGACCAAAGAAGTATCACCTAAACGAACCTTGTCGTTGGTTGTGGGCCCGTACATGGTTGCATACATTTTACGGGGAATCCGGTACGGTTGAATATGTTCAATGTTGCTATGACTTGGTACTTCAGGTTTATGCATAAAGCCTTGGCTGGCCAATTTCTTGAGAATTTCAGGAATTCGTGATTGATGAAATGGTCCCTTAGAAAGTGAATTGCCTCCCTGGATGACTTGTTTACCGCCAATGGGAATCAAATGAACCGCTTTTGTCACTCCTGGTTCAAAACGAACGGCAGTCCCGGAAGGAATATCCAATCTTTTGCCATAAGCCTTTGCACGGTCGAAACATAGCTTTTCGTTCGTTTCAAGAAAATGATAATGAGAACCAACTTGAATGGGACGATCACCGTAGTTCGTTACTTGCAGAGATATACGAGGCAAGTTAGGCAACAGTTCTATTTCTCCTTCCTCTACTTCCACGTAGCCAGGAGCATTTTCGGGTGCATACAGACTTTCATCTAAGTAAGGAAACAGTTCTGGAGCTGGAATAGGAAGAAAACTACCATATAAAGCAGTTTCCAGATTACCATCAGGAGTACATATAGGGTCATGAATAGTTACCAAGTAAGTTCCATCAGGAAATGTAGCTTCAACCATCAATTCTTTTAATAAATGGGTTACTTCTGGTTGAACATGGCGTTTTCCTAGCATGTTCTTACCAAGACTCATGAGTTCGGCAACAGAATGTGTGCCATCGCGAACATATTCCTGAATTTGAGAAGCAATTAACGAAGTTGCTTCTAATTTATTCAGTTTGACACCACGGCAAAGTCGTTTTTGAGCTAAAGAACCCAACTGATGAAGGAGTAATTTGTGTAATTCTCTTGGTTGCATTCTATGGTAACGACTCGATGAATAGCATGAAATTTCACAAAAGTGGAAGAATGAAAAAGAAAAAGAAACCTGTAGACAGTTTATAAACAAATCCTAATCAGAGAATGGAAGGACTATGCACCAAGGCTTATCTCGTATATCAGAAAATCAAAATAAGGGTATAAGGTAAGAGCTTACCGAGAAGTAGACTATCCGAGTAGAATGGATCTTAGAAGTCAGTACAGGATACGCATGAAAAGTATCATCGATGTAAGTTTTTTATGAGAAATTCATCCTTTTTCTTTTGTTGATATTTATTATCGAATTTAATTTCTCGAAGGTTGTTCACCAAAAGGTGAATAGATGGTTGAGAACGCGAAAAAGCAAATACTGAATTATGTTAATGAAATGTTTAGTTTAAATTGGTGGCTCCAGCAATGGAATTCTCGAAGAATAGTCAATTAGGATATTGGAGGTTGAAATTCAGGAAAGGTTCACACAAAAATGTGTTTCATATCTACAAGTTGCGTACTTAAAACACAATTACTTCAAGCGGAATGAGGAAACATTGAAAAAAGGAGTTTCTTTGGTGCAGGATCTATCACAATAAAAAACATTTTGAAAAATAAAGGGGGTGTGTTAATGCATAAAATTGTACTTAGCCTTCCATGGGACTACCATCTGCTCTTGCTCGTTTGTCTGAAACATGTTGGTCAATGCCATCATTGCTAGATAGTTGGCTTGTACGTTTTGAGGACTTGGTCAATAGTGGCTTGACATCAGAATTAGAAAAGGCTTTTGAGCAGCGCTGAACAAACTTTGAGAGTGTGTCCTTCATTTCTTGGATTCTGGCATCATTCATATTTCGCTCCATGGCCCATGAGACATGAAGGGTGCGAGACTGAGAATTTAGTTTTCCGACCAGGATTTGTTTAATCATTGCTTGAATTAAGTACTGTTCTAGTATAATATCCTTTTCAGTAGGAGGAAGTGAATCATTTAATTTTAATTGCTTCCACAGATCGTCGTAAGAAATGCTAGAACCCGTGTGTCGTACGGCAGCATCTACTAGTGACAAGAGTCGCAACTTGTCTAATCGCTCCTGGCTCCAATCGGCTGAACTGTCTTGAACTGATCCTTGGTAAAATGCGTTCAATAGCTGATATACTGTTGGGGAGACACTGCCTTGAGACGCTTGACATTCCTGCCATAGGGACCCAAACGAGAACGTATTGGGATCATCAATAGCAGCTAGAACTTTTTCATCCATATTATAATTTAGATTAACAAATCTTCAAATACTTATGTAGATTCTTTGTCGCGTGTATAATGAGCATACACAATGTTGGCCGTATCAAAAACTTTTTTTTTGAGAATTAATGCGAATTCATAAATTCTATTTAATTAAATCGAGCAAATAGACGAGCTAAATGAAATTAAAATATACTAAAGCCCTTACGTAAACCCGAATTGCTTCAAACAAACATTTAAAATAGATACTATAGTATGTCAGAACAGAAAAAGAAACCAATCCCCAAATCAATAATTAAAAAGATCAGTATATTCAAATTGAATTCTTCGAGCCGACCAAAATCGAAACGAATTTTTTCTCAGGTTTTGTTTGTTGAGAACTTTGGTACTCACGAAGGGTACCCACACCTCAAAATGTGTCCGCTCCTTCCTACGAAATAGTTATGGTATGAGAATCGTACTTTCTACCAATATCTTTTCTGAGAGAGAAGCACGATGCAATATGTAGGAAGGGCGTTTGATTCTGTAACAAAGACATGGAATTCTATCAATCCCGTAAGTACAATAATTAAATGGACATATTTGCCTGTGATTATTTCATCATGAATTTGAAGCTGACCCAAACAAACATTAGTCTACGCTATCGGGAGCCATTGATTTAATTGTAGTAGAACAGGAGGATGGAACTCTTGCATGCTCGCCTTTTCACGTTCGATTTGGAAAATTTAGCTTACTGTTGCCTTCTGACAAAAAGGTTGAGTTTTCAGTAAATGGTCAATTGACCGATTTTAATATGAAATTGGGAGATGGTGGAGAGGCTTTTTTTGTTTTTGCTACTGAAAATGCTGTACCTAAAGAATTACAAACCTCGCCCATTGCTTCTCCTACCGCCTCTCCAAGACAAGGTCCTCTCATTGTATGTGAAATGAAGCAAAAAAAATCATTATGATGGTAATGTCTATACAAGCGTTATTCCTTAATCTCTAAAAAATTGCTTCAGTTGCTATCGTCAATGATTTTGCTATAGAAAACTACAACAAATAGAAAGAGGTCTTAAGAAGCTAACTTGTTATTAGAATATCCACGAGCCTCATGATTTGCAATTGGAAAGCTCTGCACAAAGTGATTATCCGAACTCAACTGACATGTTTCTTGGCGAACCAAACCAAGTCTTTTCCTCTACTCGAGAGTCCTATCGCCGCTCTAATTCTGACGCAAGTAAGTTTTTTTAACATATTTTTCTCCAAAACCATTACTAACAGAATTTCTTTAGGCGAACGGGTTCCATTCCCTCCATTTGTCCACAGGCGACATTCTAGTATGGGTGATGTCGACAATGTGGAGACAGAACCGTACAGTCGATTAGAAGGAACAGCATTGGTGGACTTAAAGCTCTTACAAAAGGCAAAAGAATTGGGAAAGCGTCTTTCTGGTAAAGAACTTCCGGCACATATTGATGACAATGGAGATGTCATGTTGGATATGACAGGTTACAAAGCTTCAGCTGCAAATTATAATATTGCCGAGCTTGCTCGTGAGACGTTTAAGGATGAGTTTCCTTTAATAGAAAAATTGTTTCGCGAAGACGAAGAGGGAAACCTCTGGTTCCATGCCTCGGAAGATGCTAAAAAGTTTGCAGAAGTTTATGGTCATAGCCCACCAGGAAGCCCTATGAAAACGCCTTCTTCTCCAAAATCCGACTCTGCCCTAATGAATGATAACAGGGAAGATGTACGGCCATCTTCCTCGTTGTCAGATCGGTCTTTGTCTCCCTTTCCTAGTAATACTTCCTATCATTACGCAAAAACCTTACGACTTACTTCTGACCAGCTCCGTTCTTTGAATCTAAAATCCGGAAAAAATGACTTATCATTCAGTGTCAATGGAGGTAAAGCTACGTGCACTGCCAACCTATTTTTTTGGCGTTACAGTGATCCTGTTGTTATATCAGATATCGACGGTACCATTACCAAATCTGATGCACTTGGTCATATGTTTACGTTGATCGGAAAGGATTGGACCCATGCAGGAGTCGCCAAGTTATATACGGACATCACAAACAATGGATATAAGATCATGTATTTAACCAGCCGCTCCGTAGGTCAAGCAGATTCAACTAGACATTACCTACAGAATATCGAACAAAATGGTGTTTGTTTGCCCGACGGACCCGTTATTCTTTCTCCAGATCGAACAATGGCAGCTTTACATAGAGAAGTCATTCTTCGTAAACCAGAAGTATTTAAAATGGCGTGTTTACGCGATCTTTGTAACTTGTTTGCATTACCTGCACCGAGGACTCCTTTCTATGCTGGATTTGGGAATCGTATCACTGATGCTATTTCCTATAACCACGTTCGTGTACCGCCTACTAGGATATTTACTATCAATTCTTCTGGTGAAGTACATATTGAACTACTACAACGGAGTGGATATCGAAGTACTTATGTTTATATGAATGATTTAGTCGATTACTTTTTCCCACCAGTTGAGATTTCAACAAAAGAGGATTTATCAAATTTTACTGATGTCAACTTTTGGAGGTCACCTCTGCCAGAGTTGAGTGATGAAGAAGATGAGCCAAAAAAGAAATCTCCTAAACCTTCCAAAGTTACTGAGTTAGTTGAGAAAGCTCCGCCAGTAAATGACAATGATAGTGACCAAATCAATATGTTCAACGATGAAGAAAAAGATGATATTTCAAGTCCTCTCATGCGAACCTTACAAAGTATAAATTTGGATGACGATCTTAATTGGGAACACCAATTTCTGGATGAAAATGATGCAAAGTATGATGATAACTACATGAGAGCCTTTTAATGAATCAGATTCCAGTTAATGACCCAGAATATGAGACTTACGATTCTAAAGATACAATATAATCGACTGAGCTAATAGAATAGAATAGTTTGGACTTTAAATACTTTTTATTTTTTTGTTTTGTATGTAACACGACAATGGTAAATGGCAAGATCCGTATTGCGAGAAAAAACATAGTTTATCCAATTGATTTAATGTACACATAGAAAACTAATTATTAAAGGATACAGAAATAGTAGAGAGTAAATACTATGAACCATTCTGACTAGGAGATTCAATACTAGAGTAGAGTACTTAAGATATTGAAACTATTAGCATAAAGTGGGGGAGTATGAATTGTCACGGAATAAAAAGCTAACTGATTAATAGATAGTTTACAATGGAGGAGCATCTGGTTGAGCATTTCTTTTCTGTCGACTCTTCTTAAAGTTGTCAGTCTTCTCAATTGATTCAGCAAACTTTTTCTGTTTAGTCTGCAAAATCTCATCTCGTCTGCGTTCTGCAATTCTACCTTTGGGAAACAAAACACCTTTCAAAATGTGCCTGGAAGAATCTTTATTCCATGTCATTTCCTGAGGAAGTAAGTGCTCCAACTTATGGTACTTGGCTTCCTTAAAGATATCAGCTTGACGTCTATTAGAGTAATGTGGGTCTCTTAAAACTCCATTTATAGGATTTCGTGTAGGTAAAAATGGATTTATTCTATCAGACTTTGTTGACCAAGTTTGGGCGTTTTCTGGAGGAAATTTTTGTAAGAACTTTTTTAAAGGAAGAGAAATTGAATTCCAAACTTCTTTGCTAATGACCGACATGGTCTATTTGATAGGTGAAGGGAGATGGTAGAAACCTGTCGGCAAGCTTGAGCTTTCAGGACCTCAGGGTTTGAGGCTACACCAAACTTAAAGAGCTTAGGCTAAGAGTGATAAAACAAAAGTTTGCAAAGAAACTAATATCAGTTTTTTGGAAATTATTTTCTGCAAACGACACTTTTGACCTAAAATGTTCGTTAATCTTGCTCCAAACAAGGATTTTGAACCCACTTAAACGAAATGTTAACATAAACAAGACTAAATCTTGTAAATAATTTTAGTTTCAGGTTAGAACTTATAGAAAAAACAAGCTTCAAAATTTAGGTATCATCAAAAAGGTCATTAGGAGGTAATAATTCTTTCAGCCCAGCTAACAAAACATAAGACGATGCAAAATTAGAACCAGAATTGTTCGCCTCATGAGTATGTATCTCTTCTTGCTGAATTAGGTTCCTGAGCTTTCGAACGCCTGAATTTGCAATCTTCGATATACGTAGATCATATGAATGAAGACACGGAAAGAAAATTTCTGTAAAAGAAAAGAAACATTCACTATAAAGGAGCCTTGTTTCGAAATCTGCACTCTTACAATTAAGAAAGCACGTTTCCAATTGTGATACGACTTGATGCACAAGCTGTTCCAGTAAGTTAGGAGCCGCGGTAGACAGTTTCAAAAATATTGATTGTTCCAAAAATTTATAAAAGTCCAAAAACTTCGCTCTTGGCGAAACAGGGTAACCCGTTGCAGCGTTTGTTTGCATAATCCGATGCGTATCGACAATTAAATGCAAAACAAACTCTGCCAACTCGGCCAAGCGTATCGCAATTTGAATCATCCGCAAGTCTTTTTTTAACAGGATCAGAATGTCCTCAAAGAGACTTTTAATTTTGGCAAAAAACTCGTCTGGATAATCTTTGGTAGACGAAATCCGCGGATCTGCTGAGCACTTTAGAAACCGAAATATTCCATCAAAAACGTAATTAAATGTTTTCAAAGAAACACCGTCTGAGCTTGCCCGTTTTTCTTGAAGACACTCATAAATATTTGAAAGCAGGTACAAGTCTGCATAATGCGTTAGTAATTAATTCGATTAGGAATTGTAGTAAAAAAAATAAATTTATTTAAAAAAGTAATAGATTCAAAGAAAACCTTCGTGCAAATGCCAAATTCTAAACATTTGTATACACATACCGATATCGTTTATTTCCTTCTTCAGTACTTTGCTAGGAAGATTCAATGTCTCAAAAACAAAAGAAGTTTTTAATTGTAACTTGGTTTTCTCTTGATTTAGTAGTTTCTCAGCAAATAACCTCGCTTTCAATTCATGATTCTTCTCATCTTGCAATTGCTTCCTCAATCTTTTGACATAGGCGTCTATTCTTTCTTCTTTTGGTTTATTCTTTACAATACTCCATGCAATAGCCAATTTAGTTTCATCTCCTTCTAAAACATTGTCCATCTTGTGAATTGGAAGTTTGTTTACGCGTTGACTATAAACGCGTAAGACGACAGCATTTGTATTATTTAGTGTAACGTAACAAAACCTCGTTAAGATTTCTTTGTTTACATTCTGAAGTAACCTTCATCGTTCACCAATATACTTCACCTATACTGTTTGGTAATCTTCTTGAAACTATTTTTCTATTACATTTGCTTCCAATAATTTTGTTTCACTTCTGTAAGTATACTCTTCAACGAAAGGGCTGAAGGAAAACTTGACTTTTCCTCTGAACATTATATATAGTCTTACTTAGTAAGACACTAGAGAATTTGTACTATTTATATTATTGTACTTTCTATTTCTGTCTTTATAAGGAAGATTCGCGTCAGAAATCCTAACCATTTTCATATAGTAAATCGATTCTTCATCGAAAAAGTGTAGAACAAAATAGCGAGGATTTCTTTTGACGCATATTTTTGGAGATACATTTTTGAAAACTATTGATAGTCATGTGGGATGGGTTTACCAATTCGTTTTGGAGTAGAGATTATATCACCGGTGTTAAAAGTGCTCAGGAGTTAATTAATCAAGGCATTGAGCAAAACAAAAGCTGTAAGGGATTAAATTGTAAATAAGGTCTATTAACTATATCTTAGTGCTGTTCTTATTGCAAGCAAAGTCTAAGGCACTGATTGCATGCTCTGACATTTTGGTAAAAGCATGTCTTAAACACGACAAACAATACCCGTTTAGTCATGAGACAAACATTCTATTGACTAATGCAGCCATTCACGAACTGAGAGAAGATTATTTTTGCGTATGTTTTTGATGTTGCTTGTAAATAATTAACATATTTGTATAGGAAGCAAGCTTACAGAAAAAATGGAGCGAACAGTTAGAAGCTCTAGTAATTAATCCCTTCGAGAAATGGAACAAGTCGTATACGAAACGGGTTGGTTCCCTATCTGCTTCTATTCAAGTCAAAATTGATAACTATAACTCACGTTTGATACATGTCCAACGATTGAAATCTTCCATACTGAACCCAAAACAACGTGGACATAGAAAATCGAGCTCGTTGGGATCTATCAATACGTCAACTAGAAACAGCAACTCAAAGATTGAATCCGACATACCCTATATTCTAGCTGGTAAAAACTATTCAAACGATGAGTTTTCTAAGCTTTTATTAAGCTTGAAAGATTCAATTAACAAGGTGAACCATAACAGCCCCGCCGAACCTGTAGCGCATGGAGCAAACTTTCAAAAAGCATTGTCATATACACTTCCAGGACTAGACAAGCCACAGCTCGAACAAGTTACTGAAGATTTAGCGTCTCTAGACATTCTTGACGTGCAAGAACGATTAGACAAATCAACTAACGTACGGGATTTGAATATTCACTTGACACAGAAAGCTTCAGACCTCATCAAGACCATTCAGGTAGATTCTTTGGATAGCTCTGCTTATTTAACTGTTCCAAGTGAACAAAAAAATTACTCTATTCCGAGTGTTCTTGATAAATATTATTTGGCGTTCAGTAATTTGGAACAATCAAGACTAGAGTTAGAGCAACACTTGGTATGTCCCTCTAAATATGTGGCTCGTTATGCTTACTATTCAGTTTACATATTATAAAGCGCTTGAAAATTGCGAGATTGACAGACTTTCTGCGATCAAAACCATTTTCACCGACAATTCCCAGTGTTTCTCAGGATTTATATCTGGTTTGGAAAGTGTTGTCTCAAATCAAATTAAAACAACACGTTCTTTGGATAAATTACAAGATCTTTCTAATCAAATAAAGCGCTATTACACTGGTTACTTTACATCTATTTCTAATGCTGATCTCTTTTTACAAAATGGTAAAGCTCATTTTTACTTGTTTTTGATTCTAACTTCTAGCTTCTGAATTTCCTGGCAAATCAAATTCTTCTATTGATACGCAGGTCTCTACAATAGTGCCAGAAGTTTTAACCTATTTAATAGATGGTAAGAGAATGGCTAGTGCACTCGTTTACTAACAAATCGAAGGTTATTCTTATATCAAAGACTTTGATGGTATGCATTATCATGAAGGTTTTTAGTACTAATAAAATAGCTCTATACACGGTTTGGACGAAAGAGGTACCGCTAAGGAATGCCTACGAATTGAAGTCAATATTGCTCAATGCAACCACCGATCTTGTTCCAGTATTGGAAAAATATCCTTTGCATATTATTGCTTTTTCATTAAAACTATGTTTACTGGAAATGTCCGATTCTCTTATCCGTTCCAGTTTTTATGACTATTTCAATGCTCTTTATTTAACTTACACGGAAGACAAAGATATAGAACATCGCGTTTACTCTATTCGCCAATGTTTACTGCACCTCCATAGTACTCCACTAAGAACGCTGGAAGACATTATATCTCACTTTCATTTTTTCGCTGATTCTGCTCAGTTCTCTAAAGATCATCTATACAAAATTGCCAAAATAATCTCTCCATGTAAGTTATATTTGATGAATCTGAATCTAATGCTTTTAGGTATATTAAGGCCTCCCAAAAATGTGAACCAAATTTCAATTGAGGATACGCATCCCATTTCATTAGTTGTAGATTTAATACAAGAGTTCAGGCAATTATTCGGGAACCTTGAACGTTCTGTTACACCTCCCATAGAAATGGAACGAGCACTGACTCCTATTAATACCTCTCCGACTAAACTAAAATCTTCTAGGTCTTCATCGCCCATAAAAATGCCTTCACCAACAAAGCTTTTTCGTCCATTTTCTTAAAGGAAAATCCAGTCATACTTTCGATGCGTTAAATTACGTTTCTGCGAGACACGGTTTTCCGTCTGCCTGACTCACCGATCTTACGACTGGTATCAGTAAAATCTTCTTCTTCACTAAAATCCTCTTCTTCCGTTGCATAGCGAACAGCATCACTAACAATGTTTCCTACTTTGTTGAACAGGTTACTACCCTTATTTTTTAGAGATAACCATCCTCCCTCTGAATCTTGATGATTTGGTGTCTTCGGTTGAGCAAATATAGTTCGAACATTCTTATTTATCTAGTTATTTGTTAGCCGTCAATTTTAAGCTGTTTGGATACTGAATCTTACCTTAAAAAATGGATTTGGAGGAGTTTCATCCAAGGAACTTCGAAAATTGGGGAAAAAGGATTTAGAGTCGCTCGATGGTTCTTCTTGATCTTTACTAGGCAATTTAACATTTTGAGAACTGCTGTTTTTGACGCTGTTGTAGGTTGCTCGCATTCGATTTTTCACTGAGCTAGCCAAATAATTTGTATTGAAAGGTTTTCTGGAAATATAAGACATATCACTTCCCACGGTTTTGTTTTTCCTTAATGACTCCAATTCAAAAGTCACTTTCAATAGTGTCGACATATCCGCAGAAAATTGAGATTGAAGTAGCTTTATTGAATCCGCAAAGCTATACGTAAGAAGAAACTCTCGTAACTCAATTAAAATAGCACAACAAAAGTCTATTGCAAAGTCGAATGCACCGTTGAAGCCATCTTCATTTTTGCCTAATAAACGTGCTCGCGTCTGATCAGCAATAATAGAGTCCCACAGCCGTATTACATCCGGCAATGGAAATTCTTGAGTGAAAAGACAAGTATACCATCGAAAAGAATAGTAAGTGGGATTAATTTCTTTCTTTTGCTGTACGAATAAACTTGTTAACCTTTATGCACATGATTGCTTCTCTTGTTTTTTCTTTTTATAAACTAACATACCATACACTCCCATAATTCAAAATCGTATTGTCGTAAACGGTCTGTGAAATTTGACATTAGAAAGTAAATACCATGACCGGAGTCATGATCCAAAGTTTTCTCGTAAAGATCGCGAACATGAACCATCATCTTTGTGAATAAAAAAAATGAGTCACACTCGCAATAGAATCGATTTTCATAAGTAGGGTCTGTTGCTAATACATAATATAAAGGAGCGAGCAGTTCGTTCATGCCTTGGACATACCCAATTCCGGGATTTAGTTTAGCATAAATAAATAAAATTCGTTCAGTAGCTTCACGATGGATACCCAACTCATCCTCAGTGGTTTCTTGAGATGTATTTTCTAGGCTTTTTCTCGGTTTATTGGATAAAATACTAGAGGAAGTAGGAGACTCATCGTCCAGTTGATAAATCCTGGATTGTAAAGAGCGATGTGAGTCCTCAAGAAAATGAGAAAATTCTTCTTTATTTCGAAAAGAAATGTCCTGAATTGAGGACTCGCTATGATTAGAAGGTGGGGTGGTTACAGAGTCCTCAATTTGATCTTCTGCGGCAGAGGAAACAGAAAAACTCACGGCATCATCTGATTTTCCTTGAAAAAAAGAAAGAGCTGGTAAAGTTCTTCGGATGTCTTTGTCAATCTGTTCCAATGTATGATTATCTTCAAAATACTGCTTCCATTTTGAATCTTTATTCGTGTTTAAAGGCTAAAAACATCAGTTAAAAATACATCGAACGTTTAGTTGAGTAGCTTACATGATCTTCAGCTTCGATTATTTCAGCATCCTCTTGTAAACTGAGTTTTTTCCACGGGTCAATGAGAAGTTCCTGAATGAATGACTATGATAATGATTAGAGAAATAAGGTAAAGAATAATGAAGGAGAAATACAAATCTCTCATACCGTATATGTTTCTCTATGACTGCGCAAGACTTCTTTCCACTGAGACTTGTCAGTCGGCAAGTATTCTAACATCAGCATCCAAGCCTTCGACCTTATAGAATGCTCATCTGGAACTCCTATTATATGTTAAGAAAATCTGTTTTGGCTTTGACAAGTTTGACATACCTTGAAGACATAATCCGCACAGACCAGGAAGAGATACAGGATTTGGTGAGTTTAATATAGTAGTGAATCTTTTTAAACTATAGTAACATTAGCTAGGAAATGTCATCAATTGAAAGCATTGTAAATACCGCTCCTTGTAGTCCATTCTTAACAATGGTATGTTTAGATCAGTTCAACATATAAAAGATCCAATACCTATTTTTTCTATAGTTTTTTATGTTAGGCTTATTTTAAAACTCACTCTTGCACTAATTAAGAACGTTCGTTCAATTCAAAGTAAGTAAACAGAAGTGAGCATAATATTGCAAAGCCTGAAACAGTCAGCTATACACAAGTTGACACATCTGAATTGATTAATGAGAAAAAGTTACAGAAATTAATTTAATTCTTGCTATATATAGTTACATAAAAGAAGAAGCTGTATCCTTCACAACAATACAAGTGTCCTTACTATCATTGATAGAATGAAATTGACAACAAAATTAAATCCACACGGCAAGGAATGACGACTAAAGTAAGGTCGCTGGAACCATTGATGTATACATTGCTGTGGTAGATTTGTTCTATGAAAAATATCCAAAATGAATAACTAACGTTCAATTTAAGAACTTTATAAACTAGTATTAAGGGTAATCATCACTTACTATTTTATATCATGTAGGAAAAACCACCCTTAGACATTAAGTGTAGTTTCTAACTGTTCATTATAGCGATAACCGGCAACGGGAAACTTGTGCAAGGTAGCATAAATTTCCTTTACTTGGGCTGCAGATAATGGCTTAGAAACGGCCTTCAAATTCTGTTCAAGACGACCTACATGTGTAGCTCCTGGAATGGGAATTACCTTGCCTTCACCCACGGCAATCAGGAAACTGATAGCCATCTCGGGGAGTGTTTGGTTATAAGATTTTGCCTGGGCTTCGAGAGCTTGAATGCAATTGAGGTTCTTTTCAAATACTTCCGGTTGGAACCGATCCAAGTAGTTAAGAAAGGGAAAGGCGTTTGTAAAACGTTGCAAGTCCTCTGCCTTTTTGACAGTTCCCGTAAGTAAACCGCGGGCGATGGGGCTATAGGCAATAACAGGAATATCCAGATTCTTGCAAGTAGACAAAACACCGTTTTCTTCGATGTCACGAGACAACAAAGAGTATTCAGCTTCGACGGCCGCTATGGGCAGAACACTGTGAGCACGACGAATGGTATCGGCAGATGCTTCACTTAAGCCAACGCAACCAATCTTTCCTGCATCCACAAACTTTTTAAGAATCTTCATTTGTTCCTCGATAGGCACACTGGAATCAACACGAGCACATTCGAACAAATCAAGCTTTTTGGTACCGTCAAGATGTTTCAATACATTGTTGACACTCTTGCTAATGCTCTCTTCGTCACCACGTGGGGCGAAGGTCTCATCAATACCACCCTTGATCGACAAAAACACCTTGTTGGCATTTTCCGGTCTCTTTTTAAAGTAGCGAGCCAACAGCATCAAATTTGCTGTAGGAGGATCCATTCCGTAGAATTCACCACCGTTCCAAAATGTGACTCCATGCTCTACTGCATAGTCCATTACTTCAAATGCTTGTTCATCAGGAGTCTGCTCGGTTCTCCAAGTAAAACCCATCAATCCAAACCCCATAGGGCCAACAGGAAATCCATTTATAGATGGCATATTTTAAAAGTTAACTCAGGTAAAATATATAGAGTAAAAGATTTAACTAACAAACAACAAAAATATGATTTTAAAAAACCAGGATTTTGCCGAAACTTATCTTAATCTTAACCCGACAAAATTTGCAAAGCTTACGGAAACAAACGGCCTTTTTCTTTCTATAAGTAAAAAGTAGCTAGCTAGCTGACTCATCCAAATAGTGATGCAACTCGAATTCTTTGGAAAAAAAAAAGACTCATGTGGTTGGCGATTTTTACGTACCCGCCAGTAGTAGTGAAAGAGCCACGTCATTGACAGATATTGTTGGTTCAAGCTCCATAGACTAGTAAGAAGAAATTCCGTAAGTAAAAAACGCAAATATACCAAATATAAAGAATGTGTCAAAAGACAATTAAACAAACGATGCAAATCTTAGAAAGTGATTAAAGACAACAATGCAACACTTTTGAACGCCTTATAATAGAAGTAGGGAAGCACAAAAGAATTAAAGACAAAAAAGGAAGGATTTCAAAAGTCTATTTTGTTCCGAGAGTTTCTATAATTTGAGCCAGCTCTTCACTCATTTGAATAACTGCTTGTCGTTCATCTCTTTCAATTTTCAGCTGTTCTTGCAAGGCTTGAATTTGAGTTGTTAAGACATTCATGTTGTCAGTTTGTTCGGATTGTTTTTGAGTAAAACTACGATCATTAGAGGCCATATCAGCCTTAAAGTTTTCCAAGAAGACAGACATTTCTTGACGTTCTTGAATAGCTCTTTCTAATTGTTTTCGAAGGGTATCATTGTCCTCTTGTAGAGTCTTCTTTTCCAATTCCCACGTGGGATCACCAACATTAGAATTAGCGGCAGCAGCTGTAACTTGTTGTTGTAGTTCTTGAATAGTAAAATCATATTTCTTCGAATAATTCACTTTGAAAGCAGAAATCTTTTGGGCATGTTTAGCTGAATACTGAGCATGAAGATCCTCGGCGACTTTTTCCATTCGTTCCTGAAGCAACTTGTCAACATCTTCCTGAGTGTATGTTTGTCTTCTAGCAGAAGAGGACGATGAAATACTAGAGACGGATGTTTTATCTTCTTCCTGTGCTTCAATCAGCTTCTGGCTAGTACCTTTAGCAGACGAAGCGATAGCATATTCGTTTTGTAGGAGTTGATATTGCTCATTCATAGCTATTAGTTGACCAGAAAGGTACGATAAAGATGTATGAAGAGAATTAATTTCATGCTGACTGCCATTAAGCTTTGCTTTGTAGCTTTCTACTTCGGCCTCCAGTGCTGCTTGCTGCTTCTGTGAAGCATTGAGGGTAATTTCTGGTGGTAAATCAGAGGAGCTTGTAACCGGGGGAATGGGTATTTCAGTCGACGAAGGTGCTGGTGCTAAACGAGATACGGGTTGGGCAACCTGCAATGAGGAACCATCCGGATTGTTCTTTTGTAAACTGGTGGAAGTTGTGTAAGAAGAAGAAGGGTCATCAACTTGATCTTGAGAATTTGTATTTGGAGGGCGAAAAGAAAAGGATGATGTCGATGAGGGTAGATAGGATGCGGGAGCGGGCTGACGGAATGCCTGTGCGGATGTATTAGGTGCTTTGTTCAAACTGACACCCGCCGACGTGACAGGAGCTTTCGGAGTGACGACAGACTCTGCATTTCGTTTCCGATGCTTAAATTCCGGAGTCCTATGCTGAAAAATTTGAGGAGGATGCATACGCATTTGTCTGGGTGTACTACCGTAGGGTGGCGCCGAAGTATTCGAAGCCATAGGAGCATCATAAGATGGCCGATGCATTTCTAACGAGTGTAGACGGTCATTTACACGCTTATTTAAGGATTCTTTGAATTGATACTGAGTATTGGCAGGTCGCGCACTTAACTTGGGATATAATTTAGGAGCTGGCATCGTATCTTCAGTTCCTCGATAAGAACTAGGATCTCGCTGTCCATATGCATTGCTGTCCTTTGACATAAAGCCTTGAGGAATCGACGAATCCTCTTGAATACTATTCATATTACTCATTCCAGACTCAGAAAAAGGATCAATAAAAGAATTAAATAAAAGAAAGCTAGTTTTTTAAACAAATATCCAAAGTCTACGAGAATGCACGCGATGAATGATTAAGAAATGCTCTAAAAGAAAGGAAACTTGAACACCCTAAAAGTCGAATGATAAACTCATATATATCATAAAAAAGGATTCAAAGAAAACTTTCGCTTTCATATAATGCGATCGTAATGTCTAAAATCCTTGTTTTTCTTGGTAATGTTACAATCCTTCTTATGTGTAAATAGAACCTGGTATTTCGTTATAGTACGTAAACCTCAGAAAGAAAAGTCACCGAATGTCGGTGAGTTCTCCGAAAAAAAATAATACTGTTACTACAACAAAAGTCGAGCAGGTCGACTTCTATATCATGATAGCCAACACCTAATATGAAGAAAAATGAAAGGGCAAATGTAAGAAATTAAAATTACAGAATAACGTGATCTAATTAGAACTTCTGAACAGTTATCGGCCTCTTATAATGATCTAATTGCGAACATCACCAATCCCCGAACTACTATTATTGGGACATATCGCATTGAGAGTGTTGTTGGTGAAGGTTGGTACAAATTTTTATTTACATGTTTGCTTTCAGGGCTAAATTGCTTACACAGCCATGATTAGGGAGTTTTGGAAAAGTGTACCTTGCAGTTCATCTCCTTACAAACACAAAGGTATGTAGTATCTTCCCAAAAGTGAAAGCACTCTGTATCAAGGAAACTGTAATGGAATTCTGAATGAGAAGCTACAAGTTTTGCGTCGTTGTTTTCTGAGCGGAAGCAGTATGTTTGGTAAGAAACAAGAAATTAACTAGTTGGTGAAGGTAGTTTTAAAATCATCTTGTCGTAAACAGGCTGTTATTCTAGCTCGAGAAATTCATCATCACCGTCGGTTATTGCATCCCAACATCACTCGCCTTTATGAAGTGATATGTGCGGAAGATCGAATCTACCTAGCAATGGAGTATTGCCCGAATGGTGAATTGTATGATTATGTCTCTCGCCAAGTGGTGTTGACTGAAAAGATGACTTGTAAGCTGCTTTGGCAACTGTGTTGCGCTATAAAATATCTACACAGCCAGGGCTGCGTTCATCGCGACTTAAAACTTGAAAACATTTTCCTAGACAAAAATTTTGATATTAAAATTGGTGATTTTGGATTTTCAAGGGACACAGACTGTTCACGCCGAACGTTTATGAGTACACGATGCGGTACTGTCGCCTACAGTGCTCCAGAGATTGTGCTCGGTCAGAAATATATAGGTGAATGCGCAGATATCTGGTCTCTCGGCGTTATCATGTATGCAATGATGGTCGGTCGTTTGCCATTCGATGAAGATGACACCAGCCTAACCGAGCATAAAATAATTAATGAACAGCCCTTTATACCAGAAACAATTTCCCCTAATGCAAGAGACCTACTCATTCGCTTATTATGCAAAGATTACCGTTTCCGACCTTCCATCGATCAGATCATCTCCCATCCTTTTTTTCGGGATAATAATTGTCATGTCTCATCAATAAAGGATGTTAAAATATCTACTAAAGCAGAAGATAAAGTTCGTAGAAGGTTGGAATTAGTTGGCGTCGATATCGATCAACTGAACTTGAGTATTTCTGAAAAACGTTGTGATCTTTTATATGGGTGGTGGCTATTACTACTTGAAAAGGAAACCAAAAAGGAGAATAAGAAGATTCATTTATTTTATTTGCAGCATTCCAAAGGAAACTCGCCTTCCTTTCATATCCAACCATCTTCCCCATCATTAAAAACCGCCGAGGTATCTGTAACCTCTAATCAAAGCAATGATAGTAATCCTTCTCGGTCGCACCTAGGACATGGCACTGGGAATTTACTTTCTACATTTAAAAGTTGGTTGCTTGATTCAAAATCTAAACATCCCTCTCGAACGACTTCCCCAAGTTTTGATACTGCTTCAACATCTTCAAAACGGTCAAAGGGAAGTAAAATTTTCAGAAACAAAAATTCCTTCGATAGTAATTCTAGCAGAAATGGGAGCTATCATAAGCTGTTTTTAAACTCAGTGTCTTCGACGGAGGCAATAGCGGTTCCTCGAGATGATACAACTGTTCAGCAGTCTGGTCATTTTAAAGACACTCAATATGGAAGATCCAAGTTGGACGATAAAAAGCATAGCATTTCTGTTTCTCCCACGTTTAAAAAGAACTCTATTGATAACTCTCTGTCACCCGCTTTGGTATCCGAAGACTCTTCTATACCTATGACTCTTACAAATAATGTACATAGTAACCGTCTCCCCAGTTATCGCGCATGCAACTCATCCCAACTATCTTCCGTAAATTCTTCTAAATCCTCTCTGACGCGATCATGTTCAAATATATCTTCAACGTCTTCGGCTTCGTTAGTATCCATAGTTTCTTCTCGTCCGTCAACAGGTTCTGGCTCCCGGCCTACACCGCATCATCAACCTATAGATCGTTTACATAAAAGCTTTCAATTTTCCGGGGGGGATTCTAGTAACACACGGGTTAATGCTACTGCCATCTTTACGGTTGGAGCGGCTCGACGTATAGCTCCAACCTCATCGTCGTTAATGTATAATAACCAAAATTTTGTGCAGGAGGAAGATGAGCCTGAGGAAAGTTTTACATCCGATTCTTCAAGGCATTTTTCCGACGTTTATTAGAATAAATGTAATGACTTATTTATTAGGAATTGTTACTGTTAATTTTCGTGTTATATCAATTTTGTATTAATCCAAGAAATGTATCTATTTGTAACTAAATAACGGAAGTCCTTTAACTCATAGAAATTCACCGGTTCCCAAAAATTTTTCAGATTCTCAAAATCCTAATTGTCCCATTTTAAACCTATTTATATTAAAAACAAAGTCAGATTTTACTGGCTTTTGTCGAAGGATGAAGATTGGTTGATTTGAAGCTGCTTGTCGGTACCACCAGTAACTATACCGATAGACTTGTTCCAGTCAACTGAGAAAAGTTTGTCCCATTGGGAACCTCCCTTAACAGTTCTTGGCAATGTATAAATACTGCCAGAGGTAGCACGTACATCCCAAACGCGGCATGAATTATCGTGTGAGACGGATGCGAACATATATGGATTTTCAGGACTGGCACATAAATCAGAAACCAAGTTTTTATGTCCAGACAAAGTCATAGAAGTTATTTTATCACTTGTAACACGAGGATCATGAAGTGTGATAGACCGACCAGTTGAACCACAGGCAAGAAGGTGAAGATCGTTTAACTTCTCGATACAAAGAAGGGGGTTCTTTGTGATTCTTGAGGCGACAGTCTGTCCAGTGATAAGATCCCACGTTTTGATAGTGTGATCAAGACTGACTGAATAAGCAGCAGAAGGATCCTGAGCAAAAATTACATTCGTCACACTATCGCTATGTCCTTCACATAAGAACAAAGGAGCACGAGCACCGTTACGAGGAACGAATTCATCATTTTTACGACGACGTTTAGAAGAAGTTGCACTAGAAGGCTCCAATGTTGTTTCTGGTGATCTTTCAAAGTCCCATACACCGACTGTCTTATCAGCTGAAGCAGATAAAAATATGTTGGTTTCAGGTAAAGCACGGACAGATTCTATGAGACCCTTATGGCCGGTAAAAGCGGTACTCAAGTTTGCCATAAATTTCTCATCCTCAGTCTTAGAAAGGTCATCTTCAATCTCCCAAAAGTGAATCTTCTGGTCAAGAGATGATGTTAAAAAGTTTGTGTTTGGATTTTTCCATGTAACATTCTTTAAGGATGAACCTAAGGCAGTAGTTTGCAATTTAACTTGACCGCTCTTGTCCCAGACACGAGCAATACCATCGTAAGAAGAGGTCAAGATATAGTCAGAGGAAAGTTGAACGCCAGAAATCCAATCGTCATGGGGAAAAGAAGCAAGGTATTGAGGAGGAAGTGTCGATTCTATGTACTCAAGATCCAAAGTGGACTCGGTGGATAGACCATTTTGAACAATGTAATCGTCTAATGAGGTTCGTAGAAGGTTACCTTGAATCAAGAAATCAAAAGGAGTAGGTTTATCTATGAAGTTAGCATATAAAACGAAAAGGAAATAATGAAGAAACAAGATAAGACAGAAAAACTGTGAAAGAGAAAGCAGTATGCAAATGAGCTTTTTGAATGGGCACACAAGTTTTTGCTATTAAATCTTCCAAAAAAATTTGAAATAAAAATAAAAACAAAAAAAAGTATGAATCGCATATTGTTAGAAAAGCGTTGCGACTTTTCAAAGCTTTCAATCGATTTAGAGCAATAGCCAACGACTTGTGCAATCCTCCATAGATTAAAAAAGCACATAAATTATATGCTTTCTATCTTTCTATGTTTTAAAAAACAAAGCCTTCAAGGAAAAGTTCATACCTGATTTTAAAAGATGGTTGACAATTTGTGACAATCCATAACGCTTCAAAGAAGTGGGAATCAGAATTGGTGTATCACCAACAGTTAATTCCGGATTTCTTGTCGTAAAGCGAACCTGCACTTGTCCCGTAGGGTTCGTTTTGGTGTCCATTGGGGTTGGTAGAAGTTGGATGCAAAGAGCAGTAGAGGAAGTAGTAAAACGATTGATGTACCTCAATTGGGTAAATACGACTGCAATAAAACATTTTAATAGAGTCACTAAGAAGAAAAATAATCAACTTTTAATACAGATAGGACATGTGGATAGAGAACTACCTTTTTTCGTTCTCAGAGATCGACACTCAACTATAGCATCTTTCTACTTTAAACATCATATATTTAAATTAAATTCGTCTTTCTTTTATAAATTGATGTCAGAAATGAAGCTTAGCCAGAGTTCTACTTAAAACGCCTTATGCAAAAAAATTTTGTCAGCATAAAAATACTGATTCTTTGTTTTACACCTTCTTCAGATAGAATAAATATCCCTTACATTCTTTGCTTATGTCGTAGCAAAAATCCCTTCTACCTAAAAATACAATTTGCCTGGTCATTTTCACTTGTTCACTACCACATTCAGGTCAAATTAAGGATCTGAAGAAGTCCTGGAAAGTCCACTTGAAATTGATAGAATTTAAAAAAAAGAAGGGACTTCCATTTGATTTGGGCTTTGTAAGACAGAGAAACGTTTTCTAATTGTTCAATTGCGACTTTATCACAACACGTTTACAACCTTGGCAATCTGGGATTCCGTACATTCTGACTACTAAACTCTTCTATTTTTTAAGGACTATCTCTCTTTTTCATATAGAGTGAGTGGACACCTTGTAAAGTAGTGGATTCAAAAATTGTTCGTTTAGTTGGTTCTTTGTTAGATTCTCGTATACTACAATGGGATTGGCAGGAAATAAAGTAAAACAACAAATTGGAGCTGATCCAAGAAATTCCAGGTGGGCTAAAAATAAGGATCGTAAAGGATTCAAACTTCTTGCTTCCTACGGTTGGCAAGATGGAAATGGTCTTGGCCAACAACAGCACGGCCGGGTTCACAACATCAAAGTGGCTTTGAAGGACGATACACTTGGTATAGGTGCTAAACCTTCCAACGATACTGAATGGAGTGGGTTAGGTGAATTCAATGCTATTTTCGGAAGGCTGAACGGTGATGAAAATGCTTACGGAATGTCAGCCGAAAAAGCAAAGCATCGTAAGCAATTGGATCAACGAAAGGATGCTGAGTCCAAGAATCTTCGATCTCTCGAACTGGCACGTCGTTTTGTCTTGGGTGGAACATTTACAAGTGAGTTTTCAGATTGGATGAAGAAAGCGGCCGAAGACGAAAACAGAATTGCGGAAGATAGTTCAGACAATGAGAACGCAGACTCCTCTGAGAAAGAAACCAAGAAAAAGAAAAAAGAAAAGAAGTCCAAGCACTCGTCGTCGTCATCTTCAAAAAAGAAGGAGGAGAAAACTAAGCGTTCGAAGAAGGACAAGAAAGACTCTAAGGAGAAAAAGAAAGAGAAAAAGGAATCCTCCAAGAAGAAATCTTTGTCAACTTCTGATAAAAAAGATAAAAAAGAAAAAGAGGAGAAGAAACTTAAGCGTAAGAGAAAAAACGTGTCGTCTTCTGCCTCTTCGGAGTCAGACGACGAAGATGCGGATACCAAGAGCTCTCATCGCAAGAAACCCACGAACGTGCATTTTCACACCCGAAGAAAGTTTCTTGCTCAAAAGCGTGCTGCAATTAGTGATCCTACAGCACTACGCGAAATTTTGGGAATTAAGGGTTAATCAGTTTTGGATGCAGTCTTTTGTTCGGTATATGTACGGTCTTTAATATTGTATTAATATGATAAATGGTTTTTATTTTCAAAATTATTATTTTCATTTTGCAAGTATAGAATATCAGTATAAAAAGGAGGAGCAATATTGAACTGAACCCGGCAGAAGGCCGTACATAAATAAAACATTCACAAAGGAGCTTAATATTATTCATATTTAGATTCATATTATACACTACCTTAACTATTGTCTCGAAGCATAGTATCACATTGAAACCACTGCTCTCACCTTTCTACCTGTTCAGAAATCCTCTTTATTACTACTTTCCTTCAAGACAATCCAAATACCACAAATACCACAACCACATACTTGAAATGACTTTTTTTGAAAATTACTTACACAACTATTTCATGGCTGCATACGTACAAATTTTCGAAGCTATATACTTTACAGTACTACGTGAAAGCACACCATTTAATCATAAATGTATAGCCAATTTCAATATTAAAAAACTACCTAAATTTCCTAAAGCATGTTAGATGTTTAATTCCTCTCAATAGAAAAAAAAGAAAGATCATAAAGATGCTCAGATATATATCTACTATCTTTTCCCGAATTTTTTTCAACAGTATTTTTCTGTTGTCCCTATCGAGTGATCATCACTGCATACATATATAACCTTTCTTTCAATAAAGAAACTTACCATAACATCAAATCGATTATACAATCATTCTACTCTCATCCTCGAATCCTGTTTCCTTTTTGAGGTTGGTAAAAGTTAAAATGCAAGTCGCGGTTTGGCCCTTATATAGTCTCCATAGGAATAGTCGTAAGAAAACATACTTTCAATCTCCTTAATTCTTTAAAATTAATATTTTACATATAGATTGGTGTAAAAACATATACATCACAACATGCAAATTGTTTGACCTCATCCTAGTACTCTACCTACATCCTAAAGAAACAACCAGCAGCCAACTTCTCAAGCTTTTCTTCTTCGGGGCTTGAAAACCATGGATATTGATGGTGCTTCTTTTTCCTCCTCAAAAAATGGACTATATGAGCCGTTAACAAGAGGATTTGCTGCAATCGAAGCAGCAACAGAACGGGATACCAAATTGCCAGAACTTGGCGACATCATTGGTCGTATGGAAAGCACATTTACAGCTTTATTTAAAGATTATTGACCTTTTTTTATAGATGTTCATTCTCCAGAATATGTAAGCCAGCCGTTGAACGGCTGGAAACCGTTTTATTTACGTTCTGTGATAAACATTCCCGATCGAATTTTTGAGCAATATAACCGTAAGTCTTATTTATATAACTTAATTTTGTCTCTTTCTAACCTTTCGTATAGGGACTGAATGCTTTACCCAGATGGGTTTGTTCTCAGAAATACAACGTGCATGGATTACAGTGGACAATCGTCTTTTTCTTTGGGACTACTTATCTGGCCAGAACTTTCAGGCATATGAAGATCTTTCGCATACGATTGTCAGTGTAAAACTTGTTCAACCAAAGAAAAACGTGTTTGTGGAGGTAGTGCAATGTCTGCTGGTAATTGCTACCACTCAAGAAATCTTATTACTTGGTGTTTCAATTGATAAAACTACAGGAGAACTCACATTTTATTCCACTGGAATGCAAATTGCAATTCCTGGCTTGAATGTAAACAACATTGTTTCTTCTAAGGATGGCCGAATTTTCTTTTCAGGCAATAGAGATCCTAACCTGTACGAATTTTATTACCAGTCAGACGAAGGTTGGTTTTCTCGCAAATGCAACAAAGTGAATCTTACCGGATCTGCTATCGACAACTTTGTACCCTCATTCTTCTCATATGGGGTTCATGGAGATGGTGTTAAACAGATTGCTGTTGATGATTCACGAAATTTACTATATGTCTTGCGTGAAAGTTCATCTGTCACTTGTTATGAAATATCTAACTCCAATATTCACCGCTGTGTCTCTTATTCATTTAATTCCATGATTTCCCAAGCACAGATGTTAAATGCTTCTTCTATCCTGCTTGACCCAAGGAGTACTAAGCTTGTATCAATAGTTCCTATTCCAGCTTACGAGTCTCAGCAAATTTACTGTGTTGCTATTACTTCAACTGGTTGCCGGTTTTACATGAGGGGCGGTCGTAATGCTACTTCCTATTTTGAGACCTCCGACGGTTCTTTTTCTACCAATCCCCCTAGTACTTTGCAAGTTACTCACATTCGTTTTCCTCCTTCTTTTCAGAATAACGACTATCAGCCTAAGCGTCAGTTTTCCGGATCTTCCTTTTTCCCTCAAGGTCAATCCGTCCCCCAACAGCAAGCTCAAGATCTGTCTGCTCAGACAAAGAGGGAATTTATGGACTGTTCTTCCTTGAGTACAATTTTTACTTTTGATTTATTTTTTGCTATAAGTTCTTCTGATGCTAATGCAGGTGATACACTGTGCTGTACTGCTCCTGAAGTGGGCAGAATTGCCAATGCCTGGCAAAGTGGTTCCCAGCCTTCATTAGTTGAATCCGCTATGTACCTTCCAATTAAGGGATTTGTGCAGGACGTTAAATGCCTTCAAAATTCTGAAGAACGTAATGAACTTGTTTCTCAGTTCAACACTCCTCCCCCAAGCTTTGCTGTTCTTACAAATACAGGAGTCTATATTATTGTTCATCGTCGTCCAGTTGATATACTTGCTTCTGCTATTCGCATGGGACCTTCTTCTTCTTCTGGAATTGATGGACAAGTGCAAATGTTTTTCGAGAGTGTTGGACGTGCTGAGGGTTGTGCTACTTGTTTGGGTATCATAAGTGGTCGCCTCGATCAAAATGACTTTAGTGCCAGCAGCGGTAACTTTGCCGGTCCTACCACCAAGCTTACTCAAGCTGATCTTTTGGAAATCGCTAAAAAGTATTACATTGAGTTTGGTGGAAAAGCTTTTATCGACCAATCTCGCTATAACAACCAATACGATGCTTCTTCCTTTGAGCTTGTACGTCTGTCGGGCTGTCATGACGGACTCGCTTCTTCCATTTCACGTTTATTACGGGCTGTTTGGAAAAAACCGATTATGATAACTGTGCCCAATTCAAAAAAGCGAGTAGAGTTTGCACCTTCTTTTAAAGCTGATGAGTTGTTAAAGATTCAATCTGGCTTACTATTTCTATCGAGCTTTTTAGAAAGTAACAAGAGCTTTATTGAAGGATTGAATGGCTCTGATTCTTTAGTTGGTTCTTCTAATATGGGAGAAGAAATTGCCGTACAAGCTGAGCATAGAGCTTTATCCGCATTGATGTTCGTCCTTCAGCAGATGATTGAAGGAATTTCCTTTCTTTTGTTTCTCAATGAAAGCGACGTTTCTGATTTTAATACTATCACTTCCTCCATATCTCCGGAATCTCAAAACTTATGCTCAAGATTAACTTTCGGTGAATTCTTCACCTCTAAAAATGGTAGAGAGGTGACGAAGGAACTTGTCAATGCCTTGGTCAACAAGCATCTCCGAGCCGGTGGTAATATCGACTTGGTGAGCCAATTACTACGAAGGAGATGCGGTAGCTTTTGTAGTGCAGACGATGTCCTCGTATTTAAGGCCGTGGAATCTTTGAAAAAAGCTAAAGAAACGGTTGATTTAGAAGACCGCCAATCATTAGTTGAGCTTTCTTACAATCTTTTCAAAAAATCGGCTCATGTTTTTACACCTGAAGATCTTCGCTTGGCAGTCGAAGAATACAAATCTTTAAATTCTTATGTATCTGCGGTAAATTTAGCACTTCATGTGGCTAGTGCTCGTGATGATAAGGATCAAGCTCTTTCTTATCTTATTGACGGTATGTTACAAAATGATACCCGTGCAGACGTCTTTGCGAACCGTTCTAAATGCTATCAATATGTGTTCCAAATACTTGATGAACTGGAATCTAAATCATCCGAAGAGTCTAATCAGACAAAAGCTTCTGTGTATAATGCTTTACAGCAATCAAAGGATGAGTTATTTCATTACTGTTTCTACGATTGGTATGCAAGCAAAGGTTTTGCAGACCGATTAATAGAGATTGATTCACCTTATATTCAAAATTACTTGGAAAGGAACAGCACAAAAGACGTACAAATTGCCGTTTTACTCTGGCAATTTTATGCTAAAAGAGAAATGTACTATTATGCAGCTATTGTTCTGTTTGATTTGGCCACGAGCAATCTTTCTTTAAATCTTGAACAAAGAATTGAATATTTGACTCGTGCTAAAGGCTTTGGCAGCTGTCATATTCCCAATCTCTTGCGCCAAAAAATGAATAAGGTGATGCTCAGTGTATGTGAACAGCTGGAAGTTGCGAGTATTCAAGATGACCTTTTGGTAACTATTCTTAATGATGTAAAAATTCCAGCTTCAAAACAGCAGGAACTTTCCAAGAAATTAAATGTTGAAATTCTATCGCTCACAGAATTGTTTAATAATTTTGCTGATCCTTTGGGATATGGTGAGATTTGCTTGTCCATTTTCCAAAGTGCTGACTATCACGGTCTTGATGAAATCATTGGTTGTTGGGAGTCTATTGTTAAAACGACGCATGAGAATGCCGTAACTTCACCTATTGGATCGTCTCCTGTTGATTCTGTTGCTTCTACTTTAAAAAACCTCACACTTCGTTTTTCTCAATTTGAGAATGTCTTTCCCGTGGAGAAAATCGTTGCTCTCGCTGAAAATTATAGTTTTGAACAACAAAGTGAGTCTGTTTCTACAGGCTGGGTTGTCGATGTCTTCTTAAGTGCTGGTATCTCTCATGAATTGATATTTATTATTTTGAATCAGCTCTATGACCGTAGAGAGAAGCCTTGGCATGGAAAAGACAGATTACTATATCTTGTTAAAGAAATTTCTCACTTATTGAAGTTATGGTACGATGTTAGTCTTAAGGCCGGTATCGCTCAAGCATTCAAGCCAAATTTTGATGCTCCTTTTGTTCTTGAGGCAATTGAAAAATATAAGGCTGTCCTAACTGACCCTAAATCTATGACCTGTAAGGAAGAATTACAATCTTTGGAGTTAGCAATCCGCCGCACCTACTAAACGAATAGTTTTTGACCTCTCAGTGTTAGCTAAGAGTTCTTATTTCATATTCAAAATAGTTAGTTTATTTACGATATTTTAGGGTATAACTTAATAGAAAACGTGTTTAGGGTTTACAGAGGTTTGAAAGAGGTACAAATCGTAATGACTGTGTGTATTTAAATAACCCAAAATGTAATAATTATTTTTACCAACAAACTATTTTAACACCTGCATACTGTTAGCTAACAATTGAAAAGAAAATGAACCACTTACATTCTGTAAAATAAATTTTCAGAAACGGTTTCCCGGTCTCCATCCTTAGGTTCAAAAGCGTAAGAGATACCAATATCGAGCTCACGGTGATTTCCTTCAGCAGGCTTGCAAGTGATGTTACCACGAATATATTCTCCAGTCTAAAAGATTAAATGTTAGAAATTATCTCTAAACAGATAAGGCTGGGTAGGCATACCTTAACAGTTAAGTCTTTATGAGTATAGAAGACAACCTGTTTCCAATGAGTGTAACGGGAGAAAGGACCAGTACTGAAAGACAAAGGTTTGTGGCAGGCAGAAAATTCTACGTCGAACCAAGCTAAAAAGGCATGAACATAATCATTACGAGCAGCGGCAATTTCAAAGGAGGAGGAAAAAGCAAGTTCTTCTTTTTTGACCGTGGTAAGATCAATATTAAGAATTTCACAGGAGTTTGTGTTCACAGCAATTCGATCAACATTATCAACTAGAGGTTCTTTCCATACATCACGTTTAATGGGGGAAAAATCAAATCCATAAACATCATCCCAGACTGTTTGGTTAATCATTAAAACAAGCAATAAAACATACATCCAATCTTTTCATCTTTGTACTCTGCATCTTCAATAGCGGCGATCATAAGCTTGGCACGGTCGGGAAACATAAGTCCACCGGGAGCAAGATAACGGTCTCTAGCCAACAAAACAGTGTCGAGCATACTTTCGTAAAGTAAGAAATAACCCATCCATTCCGAAACAATAATATCGACCTTCTCGACGGGTAACTGGATATCTTCCATCTTGCCCTTCATAAGAGTAATGCGATCACTAAGCTTGTTGACGTGAACAATTTCTTTAGCTTTGTGTATGATTTCACTCATATCAATCTAAATGTTAACAATTTCACTATATACGCATCCTTACGCCATAAACATGTTTTGCACCGGCTCTAGCACAGAACATGGATAAGATGCCTGTTCCGCATCCCACCTAAAATGCGTTAATTTATGTATACTCAAACGGTAACAAACTTCATACGTCGAGGACAACTTTGTCACGGAACAAGTGAGGATTTTGCATAATAGCATCACGGTACGAGAGTGTACGAACATCGTCCTTGAGCATCTCTTCATGAATTCCCCAATGAGAATAACTAATTGTTTAGTATACAAAACTTAATCATCGAAGATAAAGAACACGACAGTGTGAAAAAAGTTCACCTCATTATAAACAAAAAGTAAACCATTGAGTTCGCCTTAGGTGTAGCTTACCTATCAAAGTAATCTAAAACGGTTAGTAAATATATTTAATAAAATTTGTTGAAAGGAGCTGCAAACTGCTTTTCTACCAAGGTAACTAGACAACCATTAGTAGAATGAGGAAACATCCACTTAGCATTTCAAATACAGATAATCAGGTTTATTTTATCTTCTTAGATGAAGCAAGGGTTCCCTTTACAGTAACAATGGCCGTAATGCTGTTAGAACGGAAGTCAGCAATGAAAAGCTGAATTCTGCAATTTACGCAAAGGTTTGCAAACCCATTTCTGATTTTTTTACATACAATCCTAATATTCTGTTAGTTTCCATCCGTAATTACACAGAACGCGTTCAGATGATACAATTCCTGCTAAACAATTATACTTACTTTGGCAGTTAGGTCATTCTGCTGGTCTTGAGCATTTGCTTGACTCATTATGAATCAATAGTTATGATAGAAATTTTTTTTGTAACAAAAAAAAAGAACAATTTAGACAAATCCGTTTTCTACCGTTCAAAGGCTCCTGGTAAATTGCCAGCAGAAGGGACCCAGCTTAACATTGTTACCTTGGGTATGTTACTTTAAAGAGATGAATCGTAATTGCCTATTCAATCGAAAACCAGTCCTTACCCTACCCTATAACGAAAAACCGTCACAACGTATGGAAACAAACGTTTGGGAGCTGTGCAAAGAAACTTGTGCACAAAACCTCTCACAATGGCCAACACTAAGAAGAGCGCAATCAACCAAGTTGTCACTCGTGACTACACCATTCATATGCACAAGAGACTCTATGGTGTCTCTTTCAAGAAGCGTGCTCCTCGTGCCATCAAGGAGATTGTTGCATTCGCTCAAAAGCATATGGTATGTTGAACCCATAAGGGAAAAAGACGGATTATAGGCATGAAAAGCATGCCGATTTTTATGACACATTGTTTTGCTTATAAGTCTGTTTTCTTCCTTTAAAAAAGTATTCAAAATTTTGGTCACTAACAATTCATTAGCAAACTAAGGATGTGCGTGTTGACCCCTCTTTGAACAAGGAGGTTTGGAAGCAAGGCATCAAGAGTGTCCCTCGCCGTCTCCGTCTCCGTCTCTCTCGTAAGCGTAGTGACGAGGACGACAAGGCTCTTTACACCCTTGTTCAGGCCGTTGACGTTGCCAACCCCAAGATGGAGACCACCACTGTTGAGGAATAAAATGTGTGCGTTAAATAGCGCGGTTTTTGATTATTTGTTCATTTCCATTTGGTTGAGCTAAATAGCGGATTTCGTTAACTAATTCTGTTTGTAAAAGTAATAGTAGTTGTTCTCTTGTAAACAAAAGATCTTGTATTAGAAAAGATAGAGCAGATCCAAAGTAAGTAAATTTGAAGGTTCCTACACGGGTATTGAAGTTGCTGCATACAAGTTGAAGTTCGTACAGCTGGGAGATGAATTATGGAGTGTCATGTAAGTAAAACTACTTGTTTTACGTTCCTGATGTATATAGAGCTTTTTATAAATGATTAATACATGTTGTAGCCATCAGGAGGTCGCTAAAAATAGATTTCAAAAGTTTTGGTATCGATTGTCCCTTATAGCAATGTGCAGCTATTATTTTCATTGATATGCAATATACAATGAATTTAACGGCTTTTTTTTCAAAGAATGTATTGTTTTTAGACGAAAACTAGATTTCCCTAACCCTTTCTCTGGATGCTATGAGTCACTTCTACAAGGCGACTTCCATCGTCATCCAAACCTCGACGTTCTCGTTTTTGAAGTGTTCGATCTTTTAAACTGTATATATTCAGATTTTCGTATACGCTTTATCTATGCAGAGAAGAACATTCTCGTTTTATCCTGAGAAATAAGGTACCATGGAAGCAAAACAGGAAGTGGAGCAATCGCAGCCCATAGTAGAGCAGGAGTCTGGTGGAAAAGAGGCTTTATGCCAAAAGACATGGTCCTTCCGTCACCCGTGGGCTTCACTAGCGATAACTGTCGGTTTATTGGTTCTCTCATGGTACGTGAATGGTTCAATCAGAATTTCGTCTAAAACGGGATAACAGCTAATCGTTATAGGTATGCATCTTCTTTGCTTTTGTCTATGATGAATAAATGGGTATTCTCCAAGGATAAATTAGATTTTCAATTTCCGTTGATCCTGAGTAGCATTCACATGCTCATCCAGTTTTCATTGTCTAAATTGACGCTGTTGGCACTTCCACAGTATCAACCCAAACAACAAACTAAAACTAGCTGGAAAGAATACTTTTTTCGAGCTGGCGTTTGTGCCCTTGTTACAAGTATGGACATTGGACTAGGCAACATCTCGTTAGAAACAATTACATTGTCCTTCTATACTATGTGCCGTTCTTCCATTCTAGTGTTTGTATTTGTCTTTTCGGTCCTATTTCGCATTGAGCGGTTTGACTGGATCCTTTTATGCATTACATTTATCATCACTGGCGGTGTTATCCTCATGGTAGCAACCGAAACGGAATTTGTTTTCTCAGGCTTTCTTTTTGTGATGGCTTCATCAATTATGTCCGGCCTTCGATGGGCGTTAACGCAGAAGCTTTTACTTGACCATCCAATGACTTCCAATCCGTTTACGTCTCTCAGTGCTCTCACCCCACTTAACTTTTGTATTTTATTTATAGCAGGCTTAATTTTAGAAGGCCCAAAAGAGTTTATAACTTCTGGCATTTGGAAGCAGCAGGGTCCCTTTATGTCTATCGTTTTAATTGTTCCCGGCACACTTGCGTTTTTGATGATCGCTTCAGAGTTTGGTCTCATCAAAAAAACCAGTGTTGTTACTCTTAGTGTCTGTGGCATACTAAAGGAAATTATCACCATCGTTGTGTCCACACTCTTTTATCATGATATTTTATTGCCCATTAATGTCATTGGATTAGTTATTACGCTGATTGGTATTGCAGTCTATAACTACTATCGAATCGCTTTTACAAAGAGTCCTGTTCCGGAGCAGGAAAGCGAATATATAGCTCTTCACGAGCGTGTATAATGTGTAGAATACTATGAGTTTATTTATGTTGTACGTTTTGAGGTCTCTTTCGTTTTTTATTGCTTTTATACTATTAATTCTTCTCCGCCCTTAATGTTCCACATTTTTTAGGTTTTTCAATTTTTTGCGTGGATGCTAATTATTTCTTATTAATACAATAAATGTTTTATTTAGCTTTTTTTCGATAATGCCTTGTATGAGAAACAACACCCCCTCCAAATATAAATATATACAGCTTTTATGAGGATGTAATAAAGAGTTTTGTTTTAAATGCTTACTAAATAATTTGTAGTTTTATTTAAATTTGGACTCGGGCACTGTTAAAATTATTGAGTTCTTGGAAACAAATAATAGTTGGTTATTACCCTTTCAATAGTTTTCGGATTAGGAGTCTTTTAGAACCAAGGTTTTTTTTTTACTTTCTTTTGTTTTTGAAACATAAAGTGTACAATTTTATGGGATCAAAGAATCTATTGAAACTTAGTAAACTAATATTTGCTTTGTCATTATCATGGTTTTACAACATACGAATAGTCAAAAAATTAAATAAGAATTAAAAATAAACCCCTTTAAAATACGAAAAATGCCTTGCTTACAACGAATTTCGATTTTCAAACGTAAACGTAACTAAACAAACAAACTAATTCAAAGTAACTAGATGAAAGCAAGGATGATTTTTTTTGAACAGTATCAGTATAAAAGCTTGAACAACAAGATCGAAAGATTAAGGTGTAAAACATAGCTGTTATCTTTATTGAAGTTTCTAGTGCCATCGAAATTAATATGATTAATGTATTGAAGTTTACGAGTTATACCTTTTTGTATATAAGTCTGTGATTATTCTAATAATAAGAAGAAAAAAAACAAAAAATTTAAAATATAAAAGACAACTTATAAAGGTCTTCTTGATCCTCTTCATGATTTGAAAGCCCATTTTATGGTTTGTTTATGACCGGGTTTATTTACTAACGCACTCTTTCGACTTCAGTAATTGCAATTTCATTTTGCAACCCAAATAAAGCAATTTCACTGAGAATGGAGAATGAAAGAATTAATTAAGAAAAAATGATTTATTGTTTTATAGAATTATCTAATTGTCAAACAATAACGAATGGAACAGAACAAACATTTCGTCTGAATGGTAATAACTATGACTTGATACGTTACGCTATTGAAAAGAACGCTATATGAAATACAGTAATTAAAGGTACTATCGCTATTCGCCAACTTCTACCAACCTTTACTTTCATAGAAGTGGTTTTTGGTTTGCTAAATAATCATTTTTCAAACCTCAATTCAGTGTATTATTCTTATTTTTTTGTCTATTGTCTTGTTTTTTTTTCAAGGTTACAGAGAATTCATTTTCCTTGTGTTTCTTCGACTTGCTATTATAAATTATTCCACTCCGATTATAAGAGAATATATACTGCTATTTTTCTAACCTTTATATTGACCCTGCTTTTTGCTGAATATGTCACGCGTTAAGACAACCGTTGTAAGAAAGTCAGGCGGACAGGTTTGGGAAGATCCTACGTTACTCGAATGGGATCCAAACCATTTTCGCCTTTTCGTAGGAAATTTAGGAAACGACGTTACAGATGATGTTTTGAGGAATGCATTCCTTGAATACCCTTCACTAGTGAAAACAAAAGTTGTCCGCGATCGAGAAGGCAAAACGCGTGGCTTTGGCTTCGTTTCTTTTCGGGAACCAGATCATTTTCTACGAGCTTGGAGAGAGAAGAATGGAAAGTACATTGGGAGTCGTCCCGTCAAATTAAGGTATGAAGTGTTGAAAAGGCAGTATGAAAGTATTCAAGTAACCTGAAGGAAAAGCAAAACTACTTGTGCAATCTTTCTATGTTACATTTTACTAACATTACATTACTTATAGTCGTGCAAACTCTGATGTTACGCCAGCAGATATTAGTGACAAAACTTTAGATTCAAAGGTTCGTAATTCGCTGTATTCCAGGACTAAATACCATGGGAATCGGGTCATCAAAAAGAAAAAAGAAAAACGTTCATCAAAATCATCAAATCAGGCAGCAGCAGCAGCAGAACTCATGGCTTCTTCCGCAGCTCCAATCACACAGACTGGTTCCTCTGCTACTAGCCTTCGTCAAAATGCACATCCCTCTTCAAGGATGGATCACTACTCCAAATGAACCCAATTCTATACATTCATTTATTCTCGGTTAGCTGCATAAACAATTTGCTTCTCGGGCATGGTGAGAGCTTGGTATACGGTGTCATATGTTTCCTTAGTAGTAACTTGCTCCAACAACTTCAAGGCCCAAAGAAGAGCGGTACCAGGGCCCATGGAAGTAATTAAATTATTTTCAACAACAACTGGTTGTGGGATATAGCGGAAACCAGCTTCTTCCAAGTCCTTACGAACGGAAGGATGGCCAGTGATTTCAGTAGCAGATAGACCGGTCGTCTTGGCAGTCAAAGTACCGGCACAAATCATACCAATGACCTTACCAGCCTTCTTCCAATAGGAACTAACGACCTTCTTTACAAATTCGTCAGTGGAAAGGGTATTTGCACCCTTTACACCACCGGGAACGATGACAACGTCGTAATGAGAAGCGAATTCTTCAACGCTCTTGAACTCCTTCAAAGAGCGCTTGGCATAGAGTTGAACGCCACGAGACATTGTGACGAGCTTCTCTGGGTTTTCACCTACATAGACACTGTCAATAGGAATTTGAGCTCTGGTAAAAACACCCCATGGAGCTGAAAATTCAATTTCGTCGTTTCCGTCAGCAACAAAAAGACAAACGTTCACCATTTTTTATTATGTTTTACTTTATTACTGTAATTTCCGTTTTTAGAGGTACGGTGTTGTTGGTAAATTCTTGTGCTCGGTTTCTTACGGTTTATATAGTTATATGCTATGTTCTGTTCTCATCCTCAAGTCATCTGCCTAAACGTCAAGATGCTGTTACACTGTATCTTGAAAAAGCTTCGACTATTTTCGATATATATCATTTTAACGAATTATTTTCGTACATAGAAATCGTAACTCTACAGGTAACAAAGTCTATAGTTGGTGTTTGTTTCCATGATTTATTTGCAGCTATTGTTTGAGCTAATGATAGGAAAAAAAAGAGAAGAAATGAATTCTGCTGTATCCTTTCATTCATTAGTGAGATTCGGACATTGGCCGATTGCTGCGTAGAATTCTTTTGTTTGGTGGATGCCAGATAATTTGCTGAAAATGTATAGACTGTTTGATCAATATATGAGAATTCTTTTTCAATTATTCAAGTATTTGTGAGAAACAGGCATTTTTATCCTCTAAAAAACGTCGATTCCCTTGAATAACGATGTCCCGTTTGTATGATGCTTAATAAGATTTTCTAAAGAATAGTATGATCAATGAATTCATGCACGAGTTGATCACTTCACCCTTGCCATACTCAAGAAAGCAACTTCTGTGGGCGTTTTATCTTCTTCTTCTTCTTCTTTCAAGCTAGTAGACGAGTTTCAAAAAAAATATTTCTTCGAAAACTCATCATGGTGCAAGTATGTGCATGGCCGGTGAAATGTGTGTCATCCTCTAACTTGGTGGGCTTCTAGGTAGAATTCTTAGTAAAAGATTGCACAGCAGAAGCAAGAAATGCTATTCAAGAAGAATGCAAGAATTTGCAAATTGACGATTATAAATGGGATGACTCCATCGGTCAATTGATTGTGAAGAGTTCACGTAAGGATGGATTCCGAATCTTATGCAGGTTCTAACTTTGCTCTTTTGTAGTCCCTCCTTCAGAAATTCTTCATCACTTAGAAAATGCTACTTCCAAACCTATTTTAGTTCGCGGTGCTAGTTCTCAGGAAGAGTCAGGAGTCAGTATTCTCTATGACAATACAGAAGATCTTTCAGCAGTTCCAAAAGTTCATGGATTATGCAGATTCATCCCAACTGACAACCGAGTGTACCTGGACTTGATTGGAACCCAATTGGAACCCAATACCGAATATGTCGCTGAAGTAGCCGTATCAGGAGACATCTCTCGTGGACTAAAATCTGTAGGCGGAACCTTTGCATCCCTTGCATCTATGTCTTCAAACGATACTGGAAAAATTGTTTTTGCTCAAGAAGTCAATGGTACCCTGCAGGATTGGATTGGTCATGCGTTCGTACTCAAAGCGTCTAATGATTCTTCCAATGGTGTCTTAGGTATTATTTCCCGTAGCGCTGGTGTTGGTCAAAACACAAAAATTATTTGCGCCTGCTCCGGAAAGAGTTTGTGGGAGGAGCATGCTGAAAATAATACCTCTTCATCAGAAGCGTCTTGCTGCAAAAAGGAAGCTCCTAAAAAGAAATGTTGCTGCTAAAGCGTTAAATTATTTTTTGATTTGCTACTAATAAAAGTTTTATACCCTACCAACGGATTGTTTGAACGAGTGATAATGGAACATACTGGGTAACAACTAGTTTTTCTCTTTTCTGAGTGGAAATGTTACTAAGTTAAACTTCTCATCGTTGTTTATGAATGATACTCCTATTTGCTTTTAAAAAATTCAACATAAAAATAATCGGCTTTATATTATCAGACTATGAAAGAACAAAGGGTATTCATATAGCGAATGGATGGATTATGTCTAGTAAATGCGTAAAATTCAAGAAAGGAGTGTCAACCCGAAACAGTATAGCGAACGCTTCATGAAATAAAGACTATCCCGTACAACCCTAACTCATACTTTCATTTAAACACGGCAAGATATCATAACTCATTAGAAACTGGCAATTGTTCAAAAGCAAAGACAAAGACCGTTTCCGTGGATGCCTTTATCAAATGTATAGCATAATGCCTTTCCAACATTTTACTTATTCAATATGGAAATCCAGGTTCCAAGAAACATCCCCAAGACTGTATTAAGACATGAGTTATTGAGTGTAAGAGGAAACAAAAACAATTCAGGTCATAATGATGTTGACCTATGTTTTGAATTTTGAAAGAGAACCGTAACGCTTTTAAAAGCACCCATTCTAACGGGAACCAAAACGTCTCTTACCAATATCAAAGGGCACATAACGGTATTTCAACATGTGTTGAATTTGTCTACGGAAGCAAAAGAATGATAAAACGAAATAGTAAACGACAAGGACTGGCCAAAAGACAGGAATGTCAAAGACTCGCAACATACTAGCTACCAAGGCCATAATCGTAGCACGAGTACTAGAGTACCAAAAATTGAATTCTGGCAAACGACGAATAAATGGTCGGAATTCATCATCTTTGGTCGTAGGTAAAACGCCTTCTTCCGTCTCTTCATCTCGCATGGCTTGCTCCAGGCTGGGATCAAATTTGGGTGATAAGAAAAGCAAGAATAAGTTCAACAAATATATACCCAGTGTGTAGCATACAATATACCAACCACGAACTATCAAAATACGAATAACGAACAAAGATAAGAGTCCAGCGAAAGACATCCATCTTTGATTTGTAAATGGAATCGTGCGATCCACCCAGAATTGGTATTGCTAATTCAAAAGTTAGTGTTACTGTTTCAGACACTTCATCAGCAGAACTTACCCTTCCTAATGCGCTCCTTCTTTCTTGTACATTTTCGAATGCGTTTTGTATTGATTCCATATCGAAAGTTTATATGCAGACACTTTTTCCTGCTGTTTGTTGCAGATAGGTTTGTTTTGGTGAATCCCAACTGGGTTGTAGGATAGAGAACAGTTACACGTCTTTATGTGCATCACTAGACTACGGTATCTTTTATAACGTAGTGTATATATCCATGGTAATAAACAAACAAACAAAATAAGAGCAATTAAGAAGATTGTCGACGTCTATAACCTTCAAATACATCAAAGTCGGAAATCATTACTGTAAGCGTCATCTAGTTTTCCTTTTTGTACTAAGTCTTGCAGTCATATATTATATTTACTTTTAAAAAGTTCTACATAATGAAGTCTGTATCAAAAAAAAAATAAACAAAAGGAGAACAAGGAAATACGATAATTATGCTAAACAATGAGCTATGACAAGAAAGGTACATTTTATAAAAGGAAAGCAAGAAATGTACATACTCTAGACACAAAAGGCTCGAGCAGAATAACTTAGAATGCAAAACTGCAAGGCTATCATTTTTTCTCTAGTAAGAGCCAAAAATGTATAAACTTTCTTGGTATGCATCTATAATCACCAGCGAAGTATAATTTAATTCAGGTACCATGACCATAAATGACGCTAAGCAAAAAGAACGAACCAAGTAAAAATAAACTAAGAATAAATCCTTCATAGTAAATATAAAAGTTTCTTTTTCATAGGAAAACTATGTATATATATATATAAATACAATATAAATTCAGGTACATATGCGTATACAACGAGAGAACTAGAAAGGACGCGATTTAAGATTTTAGAATACCCGCTCTAGATACTCATTCCATAATTGCTCGCAACGATTTTCAACCCAACAACCGGCCAAATGAATCACCAAATGACCGGGCTTCCAACCCATTTCTTCCCATCCGACAGGATACGAATTTATCATGGTCTGAGGGAGAACTCCGATTATAGCAGCAATTTCAGGATGATACCGAATAAAATAACCAAGAAGAGCCTGTTCATGATCTGCTACCCTGTTATCACGGAACGCTTTGTCGTGCCAAAGGTCTAAGAAAAGAGCCATCATCGGCGATCTTCGTACAAAAAAGCTTCCAGCATTCAAGCCTTCAAAATCTTGGGAAATTAAAAGACCCAACGTATTAACCAATTCTAACGAGTATTCTTTCGGAGTCTTCCTTGTGAAATCTTTGCTGAATGGAGAACGTAACGGTGTATCTTTAAGCAAAACATCCTGTAACCTCTGTGGAGAAAGAATATACTCCTGTAAAGAGAGAGAAGTGTTGAGAATTAGTGCGTCTTGATCAAGCCACCATATCCACTTTGCCTGTGGATGCTTATTCATAGTTTGCAAAATTGCTGGCATCTTAGCCCATACGGGAGGAAGGTCCATTTGGGATACATTAACATATTCAAACACATAGTTATGAGCTTGGGCGTAATGAACTCGATTCTCAATGCATTGCTCAAACATATGAGGGATTTTTCCACCAGAGGATTTTCCATCGCTTGCCAAGAGAATTACAATTTCATGTGACTTTGGTTCTTGTGTGTCAAAGGGACGATACTCGGCTTTATGATAAGTTTTGCTCTCTCCAATCAAGTCTTCATCCAAGGGTACAACATAGTCTTTGTAGGAAGTACTAGAAGGCTGACTAAAATAATTTTGCAGTTGATTCAATCCGTCGGAAGTAGTAAATCGATTACTGAAAATAGAAAAATAAAAGACAAATGCCAACAAGACCACGAACACAAGAAAGCAGATTCTGGATAACCGCCACTGAATTTGAGCCATTTTGTAGTTTATCTCTTTAATAAAGTTGAATCCGCACAAACCAAAAACACGGATTTGCCTGAAGGGGGAGAAATTTATCAAAAGGCTTCACAAAACAAGGGAACGCAATTTTTTTTTTTTTTTTTAAGTTAAGGATAACGACAATTCTAAAACAAAAGAACTCAAAAAAAGCCTTCGAAACGAAGAGCAGATAAAAAAGTAGGGTGCGCTTTACGGGCTGAATGTATTGTAAGTCTCTTCCAAGCAATTGGAACAAACTATGATTACCGTAAACAATTCAGCAATAAAGCTTCAATAAATTAGTTATAAGAACTAAATAGCAGAAATTAAAGGAAGTTAATGATAATTCGAAGTCAGAAATTTACAACTTCGTTTTGAGCACATGAACAAGTCGAGCAGAAATGATGAAGAAATGACTTGTCTTACAGTCACAATCCTGCTATTGGAAAACCAAGCAAGTACGTAGAATAATGTAGTGAGATATCTACAAGACGAACAGAACGGTACGTATGAATCTGTTATAGAATATGCTGTTTGTCGTAAGTGAAGTTGTAGAGTCTGAATTTGACAACATTAATTCCTGCAGATCCAAGCTTTCATAATGGGATTATTACTGTATTATACACAATTAAAGAAATGTTTAAACTCCATTTGTCGTTGAGTTTAGATTTTTTTACGAAGCGATTAAAGATTAGAAAAACCATACATATCTCATAAGGGAATCGCGCATTTCAAACGAGTGAATCTCCTGAGTGACTGGTGCCTACATGTTGAACCACAAGCGCTACAAATATGAACCTCTCAGACACTTTTCTATGACTAGCATGACCGTTGCAGGTGTTCCTTTCATGGGGAGTTGAATGCCTAACCACAGTCCTTCCTGAGACTTGAAGTGCTTTTCTTTTACTAGATGATATACAACAACTAATTATAACTTATGATAGAAAGTTCTATTCATTAGTGGACCAGAAGTTGAGGTTTTGAAAGCAACTTGCATACTCTTTTCCGAAATACTGGAAGTGGCCATTACCAGTGCTAGAGCCTTTTTATTCTTATAACATCTAATTATTCCAGGAAAATTAACGTCTTCAGAAACGTCCGACTTTGGATTTCTGAAATGTCCCCGTATAGTGCATTCTCTTCTATGACAAAAATAGATGGTAAAATGTATAAAGGGATATATAAAAGTTCGTTCTATATCTCATTTTTAGAGAATTGAGCTGTAGAGAGAATAAATAATCGCTGCCTTTGGCTTAAGAGACTCTTTAAGTATGCAATTATCTTTCATAAAATTCAAGAAGCAGTGAACGAGAACAGAGATACGAAAGCTAAATCCAAAACTGAATAAAGGATTTATTTTAATACGTAAAATTCCCCCAAATAGCTACGATCCTACCTTTTCATTGCGTAGCACACCAACTAATGTACCAAACTGTCAAAGGTTTGACATTAATTATTTCCAAAGTCCTGAATAGTCTACGGTGTCAGTCTATTTAAGAAGATCTGGTTTTCGACGTTTCATCAGTCATGCAGACAATAACCGACAACCGCTCGTTTCTTGGAAAAGATATCAGACAGATTCTTTGAAACCATCGATTGCTTTTAACATATTTTCCATTTATATTCAAAAAAGATGTCATTCATCTCCTTTTCTTGACCCATTGGTCTCTTGTTTGTACAAATGTTTGAAACTCCATTGCATCTTCTTCGTAAGAAGTCGCATTGGTATCAGCCTAAACAGTCTTCAATTTCAAACAGGTTTGTTTTCTTTCCCTCCTTGAGCATTTTTTCAATAACTGTCTTTCTAGCCCTTCGTTTACTTGTCTCGAAGAATTTACAGATCATCCTCCACACCACCACAACAATAGCCAAGAGCTTTATTTGCAAAAGGCCAAGAAGATGTCTCGCTTTTCAATTGAAGGAAGAACTTTAAAACTTGATAAAATTACTAAGGAAGACGAAGAAAACGTCTTCTCTGCTTTTATCAAGGATGATGATATAAAAGAAATTGTACTTTCAGGAAACACGATCGGACCTGAGGCAGCTAAATGGTTGGCCGAAATTATTGTAAAAAAGAAGAACTTAGAAGTTGCAGAATTCAGCGATATCTTCACGGGTCGTGTGAAAGACGAAATTCCTGAAGCCCTTCGTTGCCTTTTACAAGCACTTCTTCAGTGTCCTAAGGTGAACACTGTCCGCTTGAGCGACAATGCATTTGGTCCTACTGCCCAAGAGCCCCTAATCCATTTTATTTCCAACCACAAACCTTTAGAGCATCTTTATTTACATAACAACGGCTTAGGTCCTGAAGCCGGTTCGAAAATTGCTCGCGCTTTACAAGCATTAGCTGATGTCAAGAAGCAAACCCAAGCTGCCCCTCTTAAATCAGTTATTTGCGGTCGTAATCGCCTTGAAAATGGTAGCATGAAGGATTGGGCTGCCGCTGTTCGTGCTCACAGCGGCCTTCATACTGTTAAGATGGTTCAAAACGGAATTCGCCCTGAAGGTATTGAGCAATTGTTAGTTGAAGGACTTGCGTATTGCTCCGAACTTCGTATCCTTGACCTGCAAGACAATACCTTCACTCACCAAGGATCTAGTGCCTTAGCTCTTAGCCTTAGCAAATGGCCTCAACTTCGCGAACTAGGTCTTAATGATTGCTTGCTCTCCAACCACGGAGCCATTGCAATTGTGGATTCTTTGTCAAATCAAGAAACCATTTCATTGCAAACTTTACGCTTACAGTACAATGAAATCGAAGTAGACTCCGTCCGTGCACTAAAGTCCGTTATTGAGGAGAAAATTCCAGACATCTATTTCTTAGAACTTAACGGTAATCGCTTTTCTGAAGAAGATGATGTTGTCGATGAACTTCGTGAATTATTTAGTAGTCGTGGCCGTGGTGAACTCGATGAGCTGGACGACATGGAAGAATTGACAGACGAGGAAGACGATGAGGAGGAAGAGGAAGAAGAAGAAGAAGAAGAAAAAGCTCAGGATACTACGGATGATGACAATCTTGCAGAAAAGCTATCTAAAGCTCATATCTAATATTGGAAGAAGCTTTTTCTTTAAAATTTTGACGCCGATATGCTGTAAATGGGAACATTCATTTAGTAGAATGATGTTAATGGAGGGTGAAGACATCTTTCAAGTGCCGCAAGAACTATTATTGTACTTTTATCACCATCATTAAAGCTTCCTGTAACACATCTCTTAGTCTCATATGTATCTTTAAGCTGTTAATTTTGACTAATGGAATGGGAATCTTGGATCAATACTATAAAATATGTAGAAGTAAGATTGTAAAAAATAATAGCTCTTACTGCTGAACGTAATCATTTAAGAATCTATAGTTATTAATCACATACTATGACGACCATACGGCTTCTTCACCGGCATAGAAATTTAATTCTTTGAAAAAAATATGCATTTCCTGCTGAAAACTTTTTACTATTCAATTTTCCGGCTTTCGCAAATTCTTCGTGCTCTTCGCTTCTGAATTGCTGTCTTACACCAAAGCACCCTTCGATGTCTCTATGGGTAAACCGGGAAAAAACACGGTTTATAATTCTGTAAACCGATTGCCAAATCCATATGAAAAGCTCCCAATTAATTTGATTTATGATTTTGCTCTGCCTTTACCAGAACCTCTGCCTGACTCTGTACGAATGTAAGGCAGGCAACTACAGATAATTCTAACGTTTTATAGGATTTACTCCATAGTATTCAGGATTTTTCTGCTGAATATATGATGGCGACAGGGAAGGAATCCCTCGAATCAATGGATGAAACGGCACTTTTAGGACTTGGTTTTCTGTTTACTGAATGGATGAACGGTATGGTGTCTGAATGTCTTGAAGAATTCGAAGAAAAATAGAATTTGGAGAAGCTCCTCAAGGCTTTAGACACTTGTATTACGCTTAGTGAATTGTGATTTTGAGAGAACCATCAAATGTATTGGATTTGGCAACTGATGGCTCTAAAACAACAAACGGTAAGCTATTCAAAACTTCATGTTGCATTGGATATGCTTACCATTTAGTTATGTCCATTTGCCAAGATCAGTATTCCTTTCGATTTTAAACCATAATATTAATAAACTAGCTTGAACATTTTCAAGAGACATTATTACTATTTACTTGGAATTTACTATTCACTGCTTATTGTTCTCGTTTCTAAATAAAAGCGCATTAATAAAAAATATCAGGGGGTTTTAAAGGCCAAAAATGTGTTAGATTAAATATATTATTATCGAAAAAAAAAACTATAAACATGAAAAAAATTTTTACGAGATAATAAAGAGCGTAACAGAGAAAGAGATCACACGACTGGGATTTCTTGAGTAGGCATTGGAACCGGATTTATATTGAAAAACGAACAGATCCATACCCATATTACAGAACATAAGACAAATGCAAGTAAAAGGAAAAACATTGTGAATGCCAGCATCTCTCTATAAGATGTTTCCAAAACGAATGGTACAGAAGGGGTAAAAGACGGAATAGTGATAGGTCTTGAGGTGGTAGATGTAGCGGTAGGAGAAACCGTGAGAGAAGTAAAGGAAGTTGATAATGGTAGAGGCGAGGTGTTCGTTGCATTAGGGTGTTTCTCTGTAAACGTTCCAAGTGCGCCTTCTGAGGGAAGACTTAGCGTGTCATACGGGATGGGTACAGTCAAAGATGGATCTTGAGATTCACCCCAAAATGCCAATTGCCAATAATTAAAACGTCCAGAACAACCGTTGCTATGATCACGGACGATGAGCTTCCAACTACCTATAATGGATTCTGACCAATGCTGAACGGTCATAAACGTCCACTCAGGAAACCCTTCATTATTCTGATCGTAAGGACGAAGAGTAGCCAGCATGGACCGGATACCAGCAGGACTTTCTAGTTCAATTGTCATCGCACCCCTGCAGGTGAATGGAATTGAAACTTTAACAGTTATTTGCTCTAGACTCTTAAAATTGCTTTTTTCTACCATTTCCTCAGTCACCGCTAACTCACTAATCAACTCACTGTCGGATAAGTTTTCAGCTTTATTAATGGGTCTATTGACCATAATAAATGGACTTATAACCCAAGTTTGAGGATTTACGAGTTGCCATTCCCTTGTAATGTCAATAAATCGTTTTGCATCGAGCTTTCCAAAACCAAAACGATGTGAAAATTGAAATCCAGCAGGGGTCTTCGTCCATTCAAGATCAGGAGAGACGTCAAACGGGACAGCTGAATGTACAGTAATATGCTGTATATCTCTCCAAGTCAAATCTGGTCGAATTGATAACGCCAAAGCATAGACTGCAGAAGCAAGAGGAGCAGCCGCAGACGTTCCACCATGACTTTTTGTACAAGTCCCTTCCGGATTTGTCGTTGCTATTGACCGGCGAGAGCCACTGCTATATGCAGATATAAGTTGGGCAGCACATATTTCGCTGTAAAAGGGAACTTGATGATCCATGTCAACAGCACCGACGGTGATACTGAATATACTATTTGTATATCCATCAAAATTGCAGTTATCCCGATAATGCCCACCGTTTCCGGAAGCGAAGACAAATACGGAGCCCAAGCCATTCCTTCCATTAATAACACCATTTATAAGCGCCCGTCTCGTAGCCAAACGAGGTGCTTCCATGGCTCTACCATCATCTGCAGGACCCCATGAACACGAATATATATGATTCGTTTGAAAACCGTAATTTAGAGCTTCTGACTCTACCACATCATTAATGGGGGCCGACAGAATGCGCAACCCAGCTACTTTAGCTTTTGGTGCAATTCCAACACCGCAAACATCATTCCAAGCACCTGCAACTTCTCCTGCACATCGCGTACCATGCAGGTCATCAGATAACTTTGGTAATGGATCAGCCATATTATCGTTAAAATCCCAAGAGCCAAGGGAAGAGTAAGCTGCTTGAAGATCTGGGTGACGAAAATCTATACCATCATCAACGAAAGCAACCGTTACATTTTCTCCTAAAATACCAGCGTCCCATACTTCTTGCAGGTTCAGATCATGACCAGGCACTTCATAGTTAAGTATGTGCCATTGATCCGAAAGAAGCGGATCAATTAAATGGAAATGATCGCGAAATTCCTCCAGTAATTTTATAGCGTCTACAGACTCTTCACGTTTGTATCGCCATCTTGGGATTTGTTCCTCGAAATTCAATATGCCAAGCTCGGCATTTCTTTTTTGCAACGTATTTCTACTAGAATTACTTGATTGTATGGCAAATAGGTAATGATTTTTTAGATTTCGCATAGGACGAACATAAGTAGCACCAATTGCATCAGCTGTTAGATATGGATCAGATTTAGGATCCAAATGGACCATAAATTCATTATTTTTATCTACTTTGGTACATAAAACCAAAGAGAATTGCCATATAAAGAAAAGCAATGGCCCATACAACAAAGCAAGGAGCATGGTGCTGGGGCGGAGAGCTTTTGGAGGCATCTACGTGTGTCAACTCTCGTGTGTCTGAAAAGTACTGACAAGCAAAGCAATATATTTTAATTAGAAAAATAAAAGAATCTTCATCTTCTAGAGTATATATAACTATTTACAATAGATTGGCTTTGTTTATAGTCAGAAGTAAATTCCAACAAAACAGAACTGTGTGTAACCAGTTCTTGCAGAAAAGTGATAGTTTATTTCATGTATGTTATTCAATTGCTAGGACAATTGGTGATTTCTTCCATAGCTAAGCTTTTTCTGTATTTACTTGATGTTCAGGGAATTATTTGTAAATTTACTGCTATTAGAGTAATCGAACCAAAATAAAAAGTATTATGCTAGACTAGAAACAAACTTTACTATATGTGAAGGTAAGAAGGGACATGTTGTCGAGTTTTCATGCTTTGAAACGAAAACCATGGCATAAGGCAATTCATAGGAAGACATGAATATATCGAAGACAAAAATTATTAAAGGAAAAGTAAATGGGGTTTTTTTGTTTATCTTTAGTCTTTTGTACAGCTTCATTCAGGCAGAGGGGATAGCAAATATTAGGACCCAAAAGTAAAGATCTAATAAGGGAATGAAAAATGTATCAATTATTTTGTTCTTTCAAGTCGGATGTTTCTAGTTTGGGATGGGATACGGACTCGTATCCCATCCAAATCTTTGCGTAAAATAACTTGACATCCAAGCCGACTGGTTTCTTCCAGACCAAATGCAAGATCCAGCATATCTTCTTCGTCTTCTTCGGGTGCTTCCAAAAGCTCATAATGTTCAGGATCAACTACGACATGACAAGTGGAGCACGCAACGGATCCTTCACAAGCACCCTCCAAATCAATATTGTTACTGTGTGCCAAGTCCAATATGCTATCACCTTCATTTCCTTCAATAAGGACTTCACGTCCTTCAGGCGTCACAAAATAAACTTTAATTCCCGTACCGGGAGCGGGCTTTTGAGAGGCTGAATGACGAAGTACAGGAAAAGAGTGGAACGTTCTCTTTTGATTCAAAGCATTTGTAACTGGTTTCGTGGAAGAAGGAGATGAAGAAACCGGATTTGCCCAGCTTCGAACATTACGAAATGCAAATTCTGGGTATAAACGCTGAACCATCGATAAAGCAGCAGTCAGTGCAACGAGACTACCAGCTTGATGCAAAACAGCCAAAGGAACCGGAACAACATGGATAAGTGTTAAAATTCCCAAACCAGCCTGAGCAGTTAACGCACCCGTAGCGATTGAAACACTGGTACTAATCTTCTTTGGTAGAGTTCGCTTCTTCAATTGAACATACAAAAAGATACCACAGGCGGTTAAAAAAGTAGTAACAGCTAACGCACGATGCTGCAATTGAACAAGACTAGGATTATCCAACATATTACGCCAGTACAAATCCGAGTGATCATCCTTACGAGAATAGCGTACATCAAATAGCTCTTCTTTGGGTGGAGCTAAACGACCTTCACCCATAGCGGGGAAAGTACAATAAATCATACCAGCATCTAAACCAGCTACGAGAGCTCCAGACAATAAAGTAGTGAGAATAAGACCAACAAGGGAAGAAGCACCCAATCTTAATCCTTTCATGGATTTTACACTAGTCACCATATTATTAATAGATGAAAATGTTCCATTTTTCAAAGATTTCAAAAAGGCGTGACGCTGTAGAATGCCGTGGCCTGTCCAAACCAATCCAATGTAAAGAGCTACCGCAGCTGCTAGGTGAGTAGCCAAGCGGTAATGACTGACACGTGGATGAGAGCCATCTTCTAGCAATTGTTTGCTTAATCCACTCTTTACCATCCACCAGCCAATGACACCTTGTAAAGCAACCAAACCGGTTAATCCAAGGAGTCGTCTTTTTAACCACGGAGAAGATTTTCCTCTAGCCAACATATAGAAAGAAGGAACTGCTATCAGTAATCCTATACCTCGTCCTAACACTCTATGAAACCATTCCCAAAAGAAGATGTGCTTGAACTCATCCACTGTCATACGGCTATTCAACTTTTGAAACTCTGGTGACTGTTTGTAAAGCTCAAACTCCTGATCCCATTGTTCGGATGTTAAAGGTGGAATAACTCCACTTACTGGTTTCCATTCAGTAATACTCAATCCAGATTCTGTAAGACGAGTTATGCCACCAACAACAACAATAGCAAGTACTAATGCTGAAGATCCAAGAAGCCAAAAAGCAACCTTTTTACTAGGAATATTGTCGGTCTTGACGAATTTCTTACTCGTTTCTAAGTGAGCGTCCGTTGCTATAAACCGACCTTTGTTTAAGGAACCGAAACATGATGGTCTGGGAAACGTAAAATCAAAAGGAACTCTTTTTTGGGATAAGGAGGATTTTCCGAAGTACGTGCGATTCAATACTGACTTTTGTAGTAAAAAGGATGAGCGACAAAACACTCCAGTAGAAAGCCTTTTTCCTGCCAATTGAAGCGCGTTTCGGCTTATAGGAGGCCTTGAAAACCACAAAGGATTCATTTAAGCTTGATTTAATCCTTACTACGTGGGTATTTTTCGACTTTGCGCTGAGTATTTGGTGTAGCTTGGTGTGATCTGACAACCAGACCACTAGAGGATTTATATGGGAACTGGTAATCTGTACCGCTTATACACTAAACCTTTGATGTTTTATTTCTCTCTCAAATCAAATAATGCTATTTTTATATTTTTACTTCTAATCTAGGGTATTCAGCTACTGTTATTGCTTCACATGAACATTGTCATTACTGAGTACTACAACCATAAAATTTGGGATAAAAAATATTAATAAACTAGAATAACGTATTAACTAAACTATACTATACAAGGAAAACAAGCTACGCGGAGCTCTTTCAAACATAGCCCCGACCGTGATTAGATGGGAGAAGTTTGAGCGTTCCAACATTCGCGTGTTTATAGCAACGACAAGCTTATGCATCAAGCACAAATATATACAAAAACAAAGGAATCATGAAACAAATGAATTGATAGTCTCGTGAACGATAAAAGAAATTCCATCAATCAATAAAAAAAATCGCCATAACAAAAATACCACAAAAAAAAAGAACAACAAACCAAGCATTAATCCGCACCATATTAAATTATCTTTATTGCATTAAACCTTTAATCAATAAACACTGGGATCGTCAGGCTCATTACGAAGTTGAGGCCGCTGTGTTCAAACTAGGAGCTGAGGGAACCCGCCTCTCAGCAGTATTAATTCCACCACTAGAATCTGGTTGCTTGCTTTTCAAAGCTTCTTGGCGACGTTGCCGATATTCAGAAAGAGAAAGTTTTTTCGGCCCAGGCGAAGGTGCAGGGCCAGGCGGAGGTGCTGGTGGTGCCGAAGATGGTGGCCCTGGTATTTTCTCTAGTCCATCATTACTACTGATATTCGTCCGCCTGTCAATATCCTTGCCTAATGCCACATCATGCTCACTCTCCATATTATTATGTTTTCGCGACAAACTTTTAGAGAAAGAAGGCGTAGTACTCTTGCCTGATGAATTAGACTGAGGCATTTCAATTGAATTATTATGCGGTATATCTCCCTTAACGATAGTTGATTTATCCAAAAGTGTATCGGGTTCGATATTGCCCCTTTGAGGGGAGCAGTTTACTCGAGTGTTAACTGCAAGTTTAGTTGATTCGGGCGTATTAGAGACAACAAGATTTTCTTCTGAGTTGACGTTGCCTGTGAAACTCAATTCTGATGACTTCACTGATTCGCCTGCAACATGATTATATGTTACCGAATCTGAGGGATTACAAGTCCTTTCACTGTTCGGACTTACTGATAACAAACTCAAATCACCTGTCCCAGTCGACTTTCTTGAATATCTGACAGATGAACTCCTTGGCGGTGACTTATTATGGATTCCGCTCCTTCTACGTTTTGTCTGCGGTTTATATTCCGTAGTCATTTTCCTTCTGTTATTGTTGACAGTCATATCCATGTCCATTTCAATTTCATCCTCTTTGCTAGACAGCAAAGTATTTTCTAACGGATTTCTGCGTTCAGGATCTATGGAAGAATCGTCATACATATCATAAGTATTGGTACCATGAGGAGGAGTCAAGGGTGTAATATCTGCGCTCTCTTGTATATGACTAGATACATGTACCTCCATATCCTTTCTAGATCCATCACTTTTAGGAGACATATCATAAGCTTTAGGTGTATGAGATGTTGACGGTGACGGCGGTGTGGGAGAAACAGCCTTTTTCTCTGCGACTTCCATATTAAAAGCAGGTAGCTTCGACACGTTATTATGTTCAGCTACCATTTTCAAATTCTCCTTTGTCACAGCTTTCTCATCTACCTCGTTCGTAATCGTCGGAGAAACATCATAGTCCTGTTTACCTCCAACTGATTCCTTTAACTGTACTGAATGAGTTTTCAAAGATTGGTACTTTGCAAGCCACGTTTGCTTTAAAGATTTCACACTTTGATTTTTAACATCTTTGATATCTTCGTCTAGTGAATTCGACAAAGGATTTTCGTGAGACACATTACAGAAGGATGTCGTATTCGAAATAGGGGAACGAGTCTTTTTACTAGACCCGTAACGCTGGGGAAACTTTATAAACCTGATAATTTTGGAAAATAAGCAGTTGCGTTTATCGGCAAAAACACAATCGGCATTGGAGGTTATTGAAGAAAGGATAAACGATAGACGTTCACGCTCATCGCTTGTAAATGAAGGAATGGTGTCATCGTTTGCAAAGCATTGAAACGGATGAGCTGCGTCAAAAGTCCAATCAACAGTAAGCTCAGACTCAGACTCAATGGGCTTAACTGGCACTAAATAAAAGCTAGGTGCAAAAGCATCCGCTTCATTCTGATAGCTAATAACAGTGCAATTTGGTTGACAGCTTCTTCTAACAAATCGACTTTTAGAACCAGCCACGCGGGCATCAATTACTAAGTCAGATTTTTCGTCAAAATAAACATGAGGCTTCGGTACACCCAGTAGTGGATACTGGTTTTTGAGATCTCTTTTATACTCACGCTGAGTGAAGATCCTCCCTATAATCTCGGTGACAGGCTGATCAGGAACTAACTGCCTTGAAGTAAACAAACCAAAACGACTAGAGCAAAATGATTTTGGTTGTACGGAAGCCACATAGCAAGGATCGTCAATGTGCTCGCCAGTGACATTTGGCGTATCCAAACCAGATAAAGATTGTGCATACTCTAAAGCCTCAACAGAGTATGTATTGGATTGTAAGGGCACATATTCTAAATGAGGAGAATACGGAATAGACGACGCATGAGCCGCGTTTGTATTTTGCATTTCAGGTAAAGGAGGCGATATATTACTCGTCCGCTTTCTTCGGCCATTAGTATTTGGAGCAGTATGATTGTTCGGGGCAGGGGGAGCCGATATAAATCCACTCGAAGTGTTGGAGGAGTTATGACTAACTTGATGGGGCAACGATGTACTAGATGATGATGCATGACGAGAATTTGAATGGCTACGAGCTTTCGTAGTATGAGGACGACGACGAGGTACAGCTTTCAAAAGGGTTTCTTGGTTAATTCGTTCAAGTTGTACCTGATGAGCCCTGTCAGTATCGACTGCACGAGGCTGACATTGTTCGCAAAGGTAGTTTTCAGGAACATTTTCCGAGCTAATTTCGAAACAAACAGCGTGTTGCCAAACTTCGCAATTTTCACATTGGATTGTAAAGCCATCATCATCGTCAAATGGACATACACATCGAATTTTCCACATACTAATAGCAAACTCGCGCTGACTTCACAGAATCTTGCAACACCTTAACAATAATACTTGTACACCAACAAAGCACCAACTAGTATTGATTTTCACAATACCTACATGAAAGACTCTTAATTCCTTTTCATATAATGTCGAATCGCCGTACAAAATCGTACAGCAGTACTTAATCGTAGTTTTTAAAGTTATGCACTTAAAAAAAGGCCAATTTTCAAATATCTCTTCAATTAACTTCTTTTCATGCACGTTTTGGTGGTTGTCGCAGTTTCCATTCAGCTTCCCGATATTGACCAATTCCAAGATTAGCGAACTGCCTTCCATCTCCATATTCCAATTACGTACTCTAACAAAGATGTATTATACGAGACTTTTTCTCAAGGATACCATGGAAAGAAGGAAGGACTGAAAAAAAGAAACTGAAAATGTTTGAATGAAACAAGGTAATTATAAAATAGTTTTTCACTTTAACATCACATAGTACCGGAATTAATTCACTAAGCAGACCAGCTGCTTCTCTATAGGAAAAAGGGCAAAGGAAGAAACCTAAGCTACATCTAAATGTGGCAGGTTGATTTAACGACGTTGCTGTAGCACTTAAACAAACAAACAAACAAAAACAGATTCAAATTGATTTATTAAATAAAAAAAAAACCTTTATAAACATCTAGTAGGATTCAGTTAATGCAATGGTAAATAATGTTAAATATAATACATACTTTACTGTTCTTACCTTCCACTTTTCATCTACAATGCTGAACTACAAATCAAGAAACACAAAATTAAAACCAATTCCATTAAACCAACCATAATAGTTTTTCAAAAAAAGTCCTAGACCCAAAAGGTACAATGAAACAAAGCAGTAGACGTATTGTCTTTAAACATACATGTTCTACAATAAAGTATCAAAGAAAAGACACAGAAATGAACGTATACAAAACGACACCAATCGTTTTCGCAACAATGCAGCCTGATAACTTTTCCAATGGAAAAGTAATATAGCCGATGCATAAATCAATACAAGCTCGACACGCTGCTTTAATCCATGTCCATTGCGCCTTCGCCGCGTGACTTTTTGTTTTTGCGTTTCTTGGTAGCTGCAACGGGAACCTTGACTGCCTCGGCGGGTTCCTCGTCCATAGCATATTCTTCGTCGGAAACAACTTGTGCTTCTTGAGGTTCGCCTGATTGTTCTTCCACAGTCTCCTTCTCGGCAAATTGAGGAACGTTCTGGCCGATCAACTTTCGAGCTTCGGCCAATTGTTGAGACTTCTTTCCAGACAATCTCTTCTTGAAGAACATGCGTTCTCTCTTGGCGTGAATATCAGCAGAGCGCTTCATGGCTGTCAAAGTAGTAGCCACAACGTTTCTGTCGTAACGCACAGGAACATTTCTACGAGCAGCTGATACAGCCAATGCCTTGTCATAAACCATTTCTTTACCATGTGCTTTACGATAAGACTTAGTCCAAGCAACCTATCCACGTTAGTAAAATTCTTATTCGGAGAGAAGCCAGCACTTGAAGGGTAGAAAAACTGAGAAAACTCGGACATATTGCCAGTTGCCAAAGCTTCTTTTCTTGAGTTAAATGCCTCTAAAATCTACGCATTGACTGTTGTTTTTTAAATCAAGTTCTCCCATTTTTTCTTTCCTCTGTAAATACTCATGCTTAAGTATACTTACCTTACGAGGATTGCGCTTCATCTTAAAGTTCTTATGGCACTTGCTACGGCAAAAACGAAAGACTTTTGAATCATTTCGAACAAACATAATTCCATGTCCAGGATAAACTGGACCGGAACAAAAGTAACAAGTAAACACCCTAATGATTGTTAGTAATCGTTTAACTCTTATTCTTTTGGTACAAACCTCATATTCCCCCTTAAGAATTACTTGTCTTTTGGGTAGGTAATCTGGCAAAGCGCAGGTAAAATTCTCTGTTTCTTTCTCAAACATATCTTCTTCCTCCTTCTATTTCACTATATTGTGAATTTTTATGTAACGCACTTCGCTAAAGTACGCAATCCAAAGTACTAACTTTTGATGCAAATAATCTATAAGAAATAAGAATGCGATTGTGATATAAACTACCATTAAACAAATGTTTGTAAGTAAATATAAATAAGAAAAGGCTTTATTCCTGTTTCTTTTATTTGAACCCAGGGAAGTTTACGTTACCATTTGAAGAGAGCAACAACAGCAATTAACAAAACCAAAGTTTGGATGCGGCAAGGGATCTGTATTAATCGCAAAATAATTAAACAAGCGCGATAATGTCATCTTGTTGGATCCGAAAAAGCAAAATTATAAATATTATCTTCTATAGGACAAAAAAAAAAGAGCCAGCTCAGTTTTTGAATTTGTCTCATTCGTATATCCTGTTCTTCTTTGAACAAGCCATGGACATCAACGAAACAGAATAATTTAAATCAGATCATGGAAACGAACGTTGGACGAGCATGTAAAAAAGTAAGATGCAAAGTAGATACTCATATAAGTACACAACTGAACTATGTCGTACTTTAAGGATCAATATGCTCCATGAAAAAATCGTCATTCGTACGGTTAATATCTTGGTTATGATAATCAGCGTGGAATGAAGAAGCTGAAGAAGTCGGGGATTCTGGCTCTGAATTATAAGCATCATCCATTGCACTGCTATCAACATAAGTAAAACCTTTAAACCCATTTTGAACAGTCGAAGAGAGGGGAGCAGACGTAGACATGTCACCGACAGCGACAAAATCCGCCGGGACTTCTTTGTTGGTAAACTCGACGTCAAAATTTGAGACATCAAATTCTCCTTCAACGATAGGTTTAAATGGTGGACTAAGTTTCTTTGCATTAAGTTTTTCCCAGTCTATGTCGTCAAAAAATGCATGTCTTTTCACTTCTTCAGCGTCCCCATTAGCCCCAAGTCTGTTCTTAGAATTACGGTTAAGTAACAGTTTTATCAAATCTCTTGCTTCAGCCGAAAGCAACCCACGAGGAAAGCGAACTTTTCCAAAAACAATATTCTTGTACAATTGTTGAGTGTTTTCAGCATAAAAAGGGCTCCACCCGCATGTCATTTCATAAAGCAAAACGCCCAAAGACCAGAAATCTACCATCATATCATAACCTCCTTCGTCTAAGATTACCTCAGGTGCCAGATAATCCGTAGTACCGCAAAAGGTTCTCGTGGTGGATCCCACAGTTAGATTCGCTTTCGACAAGCCGAAATCACAAAGTGCTATATGTCCCTGAACATCCAAAAGAATGTTTTCAGGTTTAAGGTCTCTGTAAACTATACCACGTTTGTGAAGTGCTTGTAATGCTAACAACAGTTCAGCAATGTAAAATTTCGCACGAGCTTCAGGAAACCGAATGGATTTTTGAAGATGCCAGAACAGCTCTCCACCAGCCATGTAGTCAGTCACAAGATAGAGATCTTTAGGTGTTTGAAAGGAAAATCGAAGCGCAACAATAAATGGAGAATCTGCAGCTGCTGTTTGGACAAGGATATCTCGTTCACCTATAGTATGTGCAACTTCTTTACGGCGAACAATTACCTTCTTTGACAAAATTTTCATGGCATATATGCGACGAGTGTCTTTTTTTCTTACTAAATAAACCTGCCCGAATGTTCCTTTTCCAATTAGCTTAAGCGGTTCAAAATCCTCGGGCGCATATGACTTTTTTATTAGTGGCTGAAATACGGAACTTAGCTCCAAACGCAAGTCAACTAATTGAGCATAAGCAGGAGAGACCTCTACGGGGCTATTAAATTGCTCGTATTGATTGTAATTATAACATGGATGGATCACAGTCTGTCCAACGAAGCAATTTCCGCGCGAATGATCGTAAATATTTAATTCCACAGGTAATCTGTTTGCAACATCAAAAACTACGTGGGAAGGTGCTGATGGGTTAGGAGTAGAGGACGTGGGGCAATAGCTCATGGTTGAAGTGTTATAGGTGAAATTGCTTAGCATAGAAGAAGCTCGGCTTGCAGCTGCTGAAGAGTCACGAGAAGGGATCGATATCGCAGTATCCCGCGTGGAAGATTTCCATTTCAACGGGGGAGATACATACTCTGACGTCCCAAATTGAATAACAAGGAACAATTGCTTAAAAGAAGTGCATTCCATTGCCATGGCAGCATCTGTGTGATTTCCTTCCAATTTCAATGAATCGATGTTTAACTTTAAATAGCCAGAAGGTTCGTGATCTACTTCAGGAAGAATGTCAGAACTAATACGATGAGGGTAATTTGATGCACCCCTCTGAACTGCAGAGGATTCGCCTGACATCAAGACATCTTCGTTTGCATTTGGACTAGCGGAAGTCATTTCCATATCTCTTATTGCACCCCTTGTATGTATTTCTTTCTTCGCTGTTACATTTTCTTCTAGTGAATGATTCGTTTTCACAGTCAGGGGACTACGACCACTTTCAGAGTTTGACAGGCCCCCATTTTGGTTGGGAGAACTTTTCTTGGATAGTCCAAACCAACTTTTTGTCCATCCTTTCATGGTGAGTCCTATTTCATTCAAAGCAGGTTATAAAGGGAAGATAATCTCGAAAAGGAATAACTTAGATATAATCAGCAACAAGATAAGTTTAAAAACAAAAAAAAGCTTCTTTAATTCGATACTAAGTTGAATGCAATCGTAGACGACTTCAGTTTTGGTATGAAAATAGTATACTTGTGAAAAACAGCCAAAGTATAGAGAACAAAGATATTGCCAATAGTTTAAAACAAACCTATTACTTGAAATATTATAGTAAAAAGAAAAGCTTTGCTTAACACTTCATGAAATACAATGTGCAAACTGTGGGCAATGGCTCAAGCCTTTTTCATCAAAAGTTTTTTCACTTAATTCCAGGCCGTTCTGACTGAATTGAGTTTTTTGGTGTTTGTTTCTCAATTATAAAATCTTTCTTCCATAAAAGCAAGGTTTTTCGAAAAAAAGAATGCCACTGGATATAATTTTTGATATGTATGTGTGATTGAACATCGCTAGACTGAAGGATCCCATATAATGAATTTCAGCGACGAGACTGTCAATATTTGTACGAACTGTAAATTTTTCCTTAAACGTAAAAAAAAAAAGAAAAAAAGAATAATTTTTACTTAAAGAATGTTGCTAAGAGATTTTTTGAAAAAGGCTATGTAAGTTATGAATCTCATGAGTAGCTTGCATGTTTTAGAGTAGGCGAGGGGTCGGTAAGAAAAGAAGTTGCTAGATTTCCGATCTCACTTTATTCAAGGCAGCTATATGTCTATTATACATCTCACAAAGTACGTAGTATTCATCACAGTGTAGTCATATTTATTTCTTAATTTCTTAAGAAACCTTCATTTATGAACGCTTCACAAAATTTTGTAAGGAGCTTTTCAACAAGCAGGAAACGAATGCAAAATGAAAAGAATGTAGGGTTTTATTAGAATATTCCATTAGTAATGCTTTGAAATAGATCATAAAGTCTCGTCCATACACTGCAGTTGGCTTTTTGAATTAGTAAATCCACAAAATCATCACATTCCTTTTCACTAAGCTGCAAGTGGAATCGTTGTAAAAGCTGTGCACTAGTATTCTCCTTTCCTCGAAAACATGGCATCGAAGAGTTATTCTGCATGACTTCTACTAATAGTATAATTTGGTCAGCACGCTTACGTACAGACTTAAATGCTTTCTTCATCAAAGAACGAAATTCATCAAAACGATTATCCAAAATTTCCAAATAATCGGCGGTCAATTTGAATGGTGCACTCTCGAACCCAACGTTACCAGGCGTATTCGTCAATAAAAACCCAAAATCGATATGTACAAGGTGACCGTCACTATCAATCAAAATATTTCCGTTGTGTCTGTCCTTTAACTGTAATAAATATGATATGATGCTGTAGGCGACTAATGATTGTATAAAATTTGTTTGAGCTTGATAATAGCGGTCACTGTTGGGAGGACCAAATCGCTTTACAAAATAGTCTTTTAAAGTAGCCACCCCTTTACCGGAAACTTTTCCTTCGCTCATTTCGGCTTCTTGCATTTCTCGCGTCAAGTTCTTTTTTATAGAATGCACGCTAATTGCATTTGTGATGGTTTCAATTAGACCGCTGCTATCACCAGTGACCAAGATTTTCATTCTGCGAAGCCAAACTTTATCTTTGCTTTCTTGCCAAACCCTACGAAACGCATGAATTAATTGACATGCAAACGTTTCTTGACGCAGATCGGCACCAGTTTTAACGATAACACTAACCAGATCCCAGTTGGGCAAATGTCCATACGGAGAAAATTTACGGATCCTTTCTTTCTTGCTATACCAATCTTCTTGGAAGGTTGCAGCACTCGGATCGTCCCTGTCACCTTTCCTATCATGGTGTTGATCATCCTTATTTGAATGTAAATCCTCAGCACAGGAGATATCGACCGAGACTGGATATGTCGATGGTTCATTGAGTCTTTCCTCTTCCAAATGTTGCATATCCAATATGATACTGGCTTTGATTCTTTCCGTCTCAGCTTTTGGTCTCTTACTACCCTCAATGTCTAGTTGGCTAAGCATAGTTGCAGCTGCCCTCATTCTGGTAGTTATTTCCGAAGCATAAGCCTTATTTCGCTTGGTCGAAAAGTGCTCTCCAGAATCAGAGCGTCGACCGGGTACTAACAAAACATCTGTGCCTTTGTGTATCATAGAAGCCTGAGAAGAGGAATCCTGGATATTGGAAGAAGATTTACTTGCAAAATTAATAGGTGAGATTAGCTTATTAACTAACGGTGACATGCTTAAATCGCCAGCCTCACTTTCAGATTCGGAGCCCTCCGCATTCAAATTATCATGGTAAGCCGAGGTTGAATTCACGTCTGTCAAATCAAACCATCGTCGCTTGACATTTTTGTGTGACGAAAGTTTCTGAACTTTACCAATATTACTTTTTGAATTTGGTTCAAAGTTAAGTTCGCCGGACAGTACTTCAACATAAATTAGATACGGTACACGTTCAGCAGAATTAAGGATCGTGGCTTCTTTGGGGTCAATTCGGACTATTTTGTGACTGACTTCATTGTAGTAGGGCCGCATGATTGGAATGTTGACGTCGGCAGGTAGACTATTGTTGAGCAAAGCGAGCTCGGCTCGAAGTGATGAAAGTCGGGCTTGTCGTGGAACTATAATAAGTCGGATAGAGATATCTTGCAAAGCAAATAAAAACTGAATCTCCTGCTGAAAATAATTAGAACGTAACAATCTACGCTGTTCATCAATGGAAAGAGCGCCAGAGCTTTGATGCGAATGAGTACGGGCTAGGGGAGATACTGTAGGAAAAAGATGTCCAGAGTTTTGTCCATCCATAGAGGGTGCTTTTGAGTTTTGAATGATATCAAAGGAATATCGACTTTCGGCTGATAAACGATGTAAAACATCCGTATCTGACTCTTCGGAATCTTGCCGTGGTGCCTTGCGACCTTGAGCTATTGCTATGGGCCCTACTTTTTTTAGAAGTTCAGGGACAAGGACTCCACCAAGCATGATTCCAGAAAGTATCAATGCCGGTGAAACATTTTCTGAAATCTTTTGTTGTGATTGAAAGGAAGATGTCATAAAAACCAAAACTTGTATACGATTGTATAGGCGTTTGCATATTTTGAAAGACGTCGAACGTGGTAATAAACTTAAATCTACCATATGAGCCTGTAGGTACCAAAATGTTATAAGTGCACACTGCGTGTTTCTTTCGCATTCATGTATAATGAAATCCTCTAATGCAACGCTTTCTGCATCCTTATTAAGAACAAGATGACTAGAATTGAGTTAGTACGGGATACAAAGAAACTATAAATTTCAAGAAGGAAAGAGTGCTTCATAGACAAAGTCAATTTTTGTTGCCATTTTTTTATTTTCTTTTCTTTTTGGACCTTGAGATTCTTGCAAACTTTCACTGTCTCTCAAGCAGATATACATACATAAGCTGAGGGATAAAAAACTCAATTTCCTCATACGAAAATCTTGAAATTGTTAGATTAGAATTTCTTTAGTACTCTTCCCACGTACGATGCAAGTTTCTCACAGAGAAAATGATGGATACCAATATTATTGGGATACCGTGAAAGATATGCTACACATAGCTGACTTGTAAAGTGTGCGGATTCAAAGAATCTTAATAATAACTCCTGGAAAAAATAATGGTTAGCTTCACTCTAATCTTTACTCAATCTTACATTTCCCGAATTCGTAGATGGCATTCTGTGGATTTAGAAAGCTTCATGAACATCATCCACAGTACGGTACAGACTTTCCTAATTATACTTAATAACTATGCTCATTCAAATTTTCCTTCCAAAACAACGGTCTAACGAAACCGCCCTGTCCTTGCTCTTAGTTGTTGTAGAATAACTCCTCGCGGTCTCAACTGTGTACATCGGGAAGGGAGAGACAGTTCGCCGGTATGTAAACAAAAGAACTCTATAACCGTGGAAGTTTACCTTTGTTTTTTTTTTCTAAAAAAAATAGAAAGAAAAATGATTAACAATGTTTTCAAATTATAAAAACAAGGAGAAAATTGACTTACAGCTTATCCAAAAATACTTTTACTTTTGAACATAAAAAATTTGTATTCAACGATCAGATAAATTTCAAGCGTGCGACAGTGAAACATCCCAAAAACTAAAATCTATCTTGACACTTGTGAGAAATTACGATAATGTAAAATTTAAATTGAGGTTTCAGCAGTTTGGTTCAAAATCAACCCGCGATGGTTAAATTCACAAATCTGAATAAAAAAAGATGTAGTCGTGCAGCAAATGCTAAACTGAGGAAGAAGAGCTTCATATATTTTCATAACCGAAACTTTTATCAATAAAATCGAGCTTTCAACCTCCTGTCCTGTTGAATATATGCACAGTAGGTAAATGTATAGCATAGACTAAAAGAGTGCGAACATCTAAGGGCTTCAATCTCAAGTGGAGGAAATATGTGATATATTCCCGAATGAAGCAAAACGGCTTTGTAATGAGTATTAAAAGACAGCTTATCGGGTATAACAAAAAGTCAAAGAGCAAGAAGTTCTCTAAATTACAAAACAGAATACCGAAGCTAGGAAATGATGATTCATTTCTGGATATAAAAAGACTAATTATCCTTTTTGGGAAAATAATTAAACAAGATTAAAAATTGTATCGTGAGCCAAACTTTTGAAGAAAGTCCGTAAATTTTTCAGCTCCCTGCTGAAAGGCGTCTCTCAAAGCTTCAACGTCCTCAGAGGCGGTTTCTGCAAGGTTTCGAAAATAGTCATCGGATTTCGGGGCTTTTTCAAATTCTTCTTCTTCATCATCTTCTTGGCCAAAGTATGACTTTGAAGAAATGGAAGTGGCACCACGGAACGAAGCCAATCGTTCTTGAGCCTCCGCAGCGGCTTCGGCATTATATGATCCACGTCCAAAGTACTGATCAGATGAAATAGCCTTTTGGCCTGAAAATTTATCACGCGCAAAGGTGGGAGCATTTAACTCCTTCTTCTTGATTTCACGAGACTTCGCAGCTGCTTTTACTCGAGCATTGGAAGCAGCTGCAAATTGACCAAATCCTAAGCGGGAAAAGCTTGAATCTAAATCGGACATAATTTCCTTAGGCTTTTCATTCTTTGTGGTTTTAGGTTGAACAACAGTCTCCTTCTTTACTTCGTGAACCTTTTCGCTTTCATCTGGCGCGGAAGATGTCTCAGAGACTACTGAGCTTGGAGAAGGCCCAACAGTCGTTTGTTGCGCAGCTGTATTTTTACCATTTGCTTTATCAGAACTGCCAGACAAAATCGATTTTTCAAATTCGTCAAAATCAATATCTGCATTTACCTTCTTGATACCTAATTGAGGCCTTGCAGAACGAGTCGTAGACGAAGAACTTGTTTTCGACATAACGGGACGTGTGGTGCGCATAGGTTTAGAGGTAGAAGAGGAAGTCCTTGATGGCTTCGGTTTTAAATCCGCATTTTGAACAGTCGTATTTGAAGAAGAGAGTGAAGAAACAGAAGATGGAATGGAAGAATCCACCAAAAGATCTTCTTTACTAATATGATCTGAAGAAGCAGGAGTTACATCGTTCCGCATGGGTGAAGACAAGGATGCAGCAGGATCCGGCGATGACACTTCAGAATCAACTTTTTTGACAGAAGGCTTATCCCATGCAGAAAAGAAATCGTCCTCGTCATCTTCATTTTTTCCAGAAGAACCATTGGTTTCGGAGGCACCGCCAATGGAACTCATGTCAACGATATTTGGATTTAATTCTTCATCTTCAGCAGCGAGACGTTCTAACTCTTTCCGGTATGATTTGGCAGTCTTTGAAGAGTATTTAATCATTGAATCTTTGGAATTTAGAAGAGAAACACCGCCATGACGCTTAAAGAAACTGCGTGCGTTCTCGTTGCCACCTACACGCATAACTCGAAGCTGTGCATATGTCCAGGAATCTAATACTGTTGATCTATATACTGTTAGCAACTACGTTTAACTATCGGCACGGGTAAAATGCCCAATATGACCTTATAGATGCTCATACCTTACAAACGAGATATGCACGCCCATATTTCTATGTGATGCACTACAATCAAGACATAAGTAAACACCAAATGTTGTAGAACTCCATGTCGGATTCTTTGCTCCACAATCAAAGCAAACCTATCTCGTTAGCAACTACATTCAATATACAGCAAGAAAAAGCAGTTTCGTACTTTATTATCTCTTTGAGAGCGTAATGTCGTTAAAATCTTTTGAGATTCTTCCTTCGTAGCAGTCATTTTCTATTCTCACCTGGAGTGCCGCTGGAGGTGAATGGATACTTTGAAAGGCGTTAGCGATCGTACTTAAGCGTTCCAGGTTAGATCCGGTTATCTTGTATCTAGTCGTGTCTGAAAAATAATCTAAGTAAGAGACGATTTAATAATGTTGACTTGGTTTTGCAATGGTTTGGTTTCGCTCCGCCTCCAAATCGTATCTGTAAACAATGGTGTCTTGAAAAACAAGATATATGCATAAATAAAATTATGAATGCCAGATTGCTTCTTTTCTTTTTAATTCTCCTTTATCTTATTAACCTGCTATTCTTTTGTTTTGTTTCAAACATAGAACCTGTTAGTTCGCTGGGAGCATCTCTGTAGACAGTCAGGCAATTGATTTGCTTTTAACAAAACAGTAAATAGGACGACAATGACGGACAATGGCATAGATGGTAAGAGAAAGTGAAAATAACTATACTAACAAAAAAAAAAAAGATGAAATTGTTGAATCACTCAACAAAGTATTGGGAATTGTGGTAAACGCTCGAAAAGCGGTCAGCACCATAGACAAGTTGAATTTGCCCGTTGAACTCGATAATAGTCCGCTTTCTATGCTCGATTCTATAGGAGAGATGATTCATCAATATACAACAAAGCTCTCGATTGCAGCGAGACCCCCGATCACCAAAGATGCGTTGGAAAAATACTCAAATGATATGTCTAACATGGTTTCTCCTTTAATTGCTACTCTTCAGATATATACTGTTGATAAATATGGAAAAATTATTTATGACCGTCTAAAAATGCATGTAGAACGAATTTTACTGGGAATAGAATGCTTGCTGAGAAGTGTTTCACCGAAACCTTTGGCACACGTTACAGAGGCTTGGAAAACTCGGGGGCGTTTAGTTACTACTGGAATGTTGTGGGAATCATGCGAAAAGCTCCAAAAACTAGGAAGAGAAGGTGCCTTGGGTTATGTACTTGAGGAATGGGAAAACTTTGTATCAATGTTGGAAGACGCCGTGAGTGACATGGAGGACTGGAAAGCAGGAGAAAGTTCCAATTGGGATAACTTTGATAGCGAGGATGAAGATGAAGAAGAGGAAAAAGAAAACACAACTTCTGAAGTACGGACTCAAGAACAAGCTGAATCAGCAAAACAATTGTTAAGACAGTTAAATGCATGCAAAATCTTGTTTCTCTCTATAAAGAAGCACAGGCTACCGAAAACGGCTTCTTTCCATTACTTGGACGATTTGTACGAGAAAATGAAGCGCACTTCAGAAGCAATAGACGAAGTGGTCGGGCAATTTCAAGAAGACTTTGATAATACCAAAGATGAGTTAGACTTATTTGCTTTTTGTGGAAAAGAACTTGCTCAGACTTGTATTACCGAATTCGAATCTGATTCTTTCACTGCGTGGTATACAAAATGGTTAGAAAACTGGGACCAATCTTGGAAATAGTGGGGTTTTCTTATATCTTGTTTTGATTAATTAATTCATTTGGTTACAACTATTCTTTTTTTTTTGGTAAAACGTCTTCCTTCCCCTTTTTTCGTTTCACCTCTGGTTTATATCTAAAATTTGTATTAAATATATAGTTGAGAGAGTAAATTATACTATTCAGGTATTGATGTTCATAGCCGGGAACAACTTCTTGTATAGCTGAAAGGACCAACTCAATAAGAAACCACAGTAGACAAACTAAATTGAATTTTTTAAGCGTAATTCTCTTCTATACGGTAATTAATAACCTTGCTATCACAATACGTCTTTTCCTAAATATATCGATTTTGGTTCATGCTGGATGCCTCTCACTCAACGCACCAACATCCCAATTCAGTCAATGTAAAAGAATTTGGGAAATTGGACTCTTTTTTGAGACCAAGCATTTGTAAATAAAGTAATACATATTATTTTATATGGGTTCAACTACTCCAGAGGCAATTGGCTCTACAAGGTTGTCACAGAATACCTCCGACCGTCCTTCGGAGCCATTACCAGTAGCTGAGTCTTACGAGCACGGAAAAGATGAGGAATCAGAAACGAACACTTCTGTAACACAATCTCCTACGAATTCCGAACGACTAACGTATGTGTTAGATGATAATGCCGATACGAAAGCTCTGCAGTCGTTATACATTGAGAACGTGTACGGAGGAGAGCCAACAAGTGTTTATAGAAAGGTTAAAGATTACAATTTTTATGAAAAAAATGAGGAAAAATTTCATGAGCACAAACACGTATTTGTAAACGTCTTACGCAGTCGACGAAAAGCACTTGATGAAAAAGTTAAGCACCTCAGAGGTACATGGAATCAGTTAGCAAATAGATGGGAAGAAAATATGCTTCGTATTGATCGCTTTACAGAGCTTGATAAAATGAAAGGCTCTAAGAGAATGGAACCTTCTGTGAAGAGGAGTACTCGTAAGGTCATGAGTAATTTCACTGCAGGAGACATCGTTCACTCCGAAGAAGAATTTCTTGCAATCCTCGCTCGTTTGGAACAACAAGAAAAAGAGGCCGAAAATACTGCTAAGAATTCCGGGCTAGCTCATATTCCAAACATGGTTTTAAGTGAAGACGATGTGAAGTCAGCGTTTTTTAACGACCAAAGTAGACTCGTCAAAAATCCCTTGGATTATTATCACTTCAACTCTCCTGCTGACATTTGGACAGAAGAGCAGCATTCTATATTTGTACAGCAACTATTGCTTCATGGAAAGAGGTTTGGAAAAATAGCAGAGGTCGTTCCTGGTAAAAGTGTAAAAGAATGCGTTTTACATTATTATTTAACAAAGAAGAAAAACAATTATCGTGAGATGGCTGCTAGTAAAACGAAAACACGTGGCCGTCGTCGTAGGAAAATGTCACCAGGTCAGCGAGGCATTAAGAAAAAATCGAAGGGCTCTGCACTTATGGTAGATATTGAAGCAGCGGATGAGACAAAAAACAAAGAAGAAACAACACCATCCTTGAATGAAGAAAGTAGTGCGACGGATCATGCCGTCGGCGGAAAAGAAGAACCTACAAGCAAGCCTGATAGTCCGAAGAAGCTTGACGTCCCTAAAACGGAATTAGACAGTGGAGAAAAACTTGAAGATTTTGGAGGTAAAAATAATTCATCGGTAGAGAAGGTTGCAAATAACAAAGGGGTGATGTCTGATACTCAAGAGAAGGATGCATCAGTTAAAAAAGAAACCGAGCAGCATACATCTATGGAAGATGTACATAATATAGGAAGACAGAGTATATCAACAGATTTACAATCTATACAGTTGAAAGACTCTTCCCCTTTGAAAACACCTTCTCCTACACGTACTCTACGTACTCCGATAGAAGAACGTAAAAATAGTTTTTCTAGCAGAAAAGAAAAAGACGCTGCCTCTGCATTAGCAAACCTATCTTCTGTGGGTCGGTCGTTTCCTTCTGCAGGTTCATCAGCAGTAGTGGCCGAGAAACAACTTACGGGTTGGGATGAAAAAGAGGAGGCTCTTATTTTGTCTTTAGCCCATGGAATGAATTCAGTAAAACAACAAACCACACCCAGAAGAGCATCATCAGGCTCAAGAGGTGCTTTTAATAATCTGGATTTTTTGTCCCCACAACTAGCTTCACCTTCTAAGAGAAGAGCGAGTGAATGTATCACACCTTCAATTTCTAAAATTCTCGATCCACTCGTGAGCACCGAGCGCCCTCTTCAGTACCACACTGAATCCAATCTCATTTTCCCAGGTCGATTTCAGATTCAAAAACTCCATGAACGGGATGTTCATTCATCATCTTCACGGCCGCCTCATCACTCGTTTGCATCTATTCATACATTGGCAGCTTTGGGTGAGGAATTTGAAGAAGAGCAGACTGATGAGGAAAAGGAAGATTCATTTTCTGATAAAGAAATGACTACCTAAGAGGTTCATGGGTACAGTGTAAAATGTTTATTTTTTATGGTTTACTTTTGCTTTTTCGCAGTTTGTTTGGTTTAATGAGATGTAATGCAAGTGATCAAGGTACTATATTGTCGATACTTATACTAAACATCTCGTCTCTTTCTAATGTACAATACGTTATTATTTATTTATAATGGTTTCCTACTAATATGACTATAATAGCTAGTGCCTTTTATATAGAATTTTGTTGTTTTGTCGTTTAGTTAATAACGAAAAACGAGAGTATGGTGTACATCGCTGTGTTGCGTAAGATCCAGTAGCATCATTTATTATCCTCGGTATTGTTATAATACGGCACAGGATACTTATTGATTAAAAAGTTTTTCTCTTCAACTGCCAACAACTGAAAAAGTGGTTCTAAGCTAAGCTTGCTTTGAAGTAGCAAATTGTCAAGTGTTATATATAAAGAAGGTTTTCATTAAAGACAGTTAGATATTCCGGTCAGAGAATAAACAACGCTGGATCCAATTTGGATACTCTGCAAAAACTTGAAATAGTGTCCTTGGCAAACTTGCGGATAGGATTCTCATGATTCAGTCTGCATCCTCGGTTAATAGCAACAGTAATAATGGAGCGAATCAGGTGGTGGATATGAGTACTTCTCCCGGTGCTGAAACTCCTATAGCGAATGGTACTACATTAACTTCCTTGGGTCCTGGTTCGAATTCTGGGTCGCAAACGAGGAAGATTACTCAATTCAGCAATAAACTTTATAATATGGTAAACGATTCCTCGACAGACTCTCTTATCCGTTGGAGCGAGCGTGGTGATTCATTTTTCGTCATCGGCCATGAGGATTTTGCAAAACTTGTACTTCCTCGATATTTTAAGCACAATAACTTTTCAAGTTTTGTACGACAGCTAAACAGTAAGTATATTTGGAAATGTTGACAAGCTGTTGGATTTGCCATTGCACCATCACAGGGTATATACACAAGACATTTTGTCCCAGACTTTTTGGAATGAGATATTCTTGATCTCTCGTTTGTTACCCAAAAGGCTTGGCTGTACGGCTTGTTGAGATTCTTGCGTGTGATACTTACTAACTTTGTAGTGTATGGTTTTCATAAAGTCCCACATATCCAACAGGGTGTTTTGCAATCGGATAGCCCCAACGAGCTGCTTGAGTTTGCGAATCCCAATTTTCAACGTGACCAACCAGAACTACTTTGTTACGTTACAAGAAAAAAGGGTGGCTCGCAAGCTTCTGACGATGCTGCTAACTCACTCGATATGTCAACAATCACAATGGAGTTGCAGAACATCCGTAGCCAACAAATGAGTCTTTCAAGCGAGTTAAACCGAATTCAAGTTGATAATGCCGCTCTTTGGCAAGAGAACATCGAAACCCGAGAGAGGCAACGTCGACACCAGGAAACTATAGACAAAATTCTTAGATTTCTTGCTAGTGTATATTTGGATGGTAAACAGAAGCCAGCAAGCAAAGTCATGCCCAAGAGTCGCAGACTTTTGCTGGAAGCCAAATACCCCAATTCGTCAGACCCGAATGTTAACGCCAACCGAACTTCTCCTTTTGATACATCTTCCAATACGATGCCTACTAATGCAGGGTTCGCTCCTTCCAACGGAAACCAGGAAAGCGATACCGATTTGCGTTTCCGATCTATGTCTGCTGGTCCTGCCTCGTCGAGCAATATTTCTAAAGCCAAATCTGACACTGCATCTCCCAAAAACGTTGACGCTCATGATTTTATGAATGAGTTAAATTCACAAAGGAAGAATTCCGTGGAGTCTCTCGCGAATCCAGTAGATTCCAGTATCTCTCCAAATGGGTCTCCATCCACTGAATTGCCCACTAACTCTAATCAAGATGATGGTTTAGAGTCAAAATTATCCAATACGGGTGATATTATTAATATGCTTGACGATGCCGGAACTGTGGACAATGAAAACATGAACAGGTTGTCACCTTTGCTGTTTGATTATCAAGATTCGGGGTATCCGACGAATATGGATCCTCATGAGCAAAATCACATACCAGCTTACGGTACCCAAACTGATAGCTACCCTTCTACTGAGAGTGCTATTACTAATAGGTCAGCTTTGAATCCTTATTCATATAACGACTACTTGTCCAACATGAACCCCTCTTATATGTCTTACCCAAACAAGGAACAGCTTACTAGTTTCTATCCAGGTTTTGCTTCTGATCAAAAACGAATCGCAAATGTAAATGATGGGATTGCAAAGCAAGATCAAAACATCCAAGCTTTGGCTGATATACTAGGGATCCCTCTTTCTGATGTGAAAGGCGACTCTAACGGAAATCCGGCCTTTGCTTCTTCTTCATTAAACAACAATTATAATTTACCTCTTTCTTCTGATCTAGAGAGCGTGCTGAATGTTGCTCCTAGTGAAGAATCTTTTTCGGAATCAAATCCTGTTTTTGATGAGTTTACGAACATTTCTAATTTGACTTCTCCAGAAGCTTCTACAAGTCAAGGTTTTGATCCAAACAGTATGACATTGCCTGGGATGCAGAATTCTCATTTGAATACGCCTTCTCAAGTTCGTAAAAAAAGAAAGTCCAGTGTCGGTGTATAAAGGGTTTTCTAAAAGGGGATCTGTGGCTCTCTTTTGTGAGCACTTTTGTAATTTATATTGAAAACATGGGTTTTTAATAATGAGTCATTGTTGTTGGTTTTGCTTTATGATTCTTTTTATGAAGAAGTGATGGTATCTTGTTAAGTTGTTTTTTATTTTTCTTTATCAACTAATAGTATCTTGGTTTAGAGTGTATTAATGTTATGAATATGTTCATGAAGTGATATACCGTTTGGTTTTTTATATGTAGGCTTATGAAGGTATATGCTCAGCGTAAATAGACATTCGTACGAGTGAGTGTAACTATTGTTCATGCGTCTTAATTCGAGTACAATTATAGGATACAAAGAAAAGAAACATAAATTTGAATTAGGTATCAAGCTTATAATACAAAGACAAACGTTTATTGGATCTAATCGACAGATATAAAAAATAGAAAAATTAGATATTAAATCCTTTGACCGTAAATAATAGGCCAATCGTTTCGACAGAGGGCGTTCTTAAATAGTTTAAGGAATGTGCAGCTCATCAGCTATTGTAATGCAAAACAGGGATTAACTGAAGTGTAGCGTGATTAAAGAACGATATCCTATGGGTTATAAGAGAACGAATGAATGAAGGGTTAAACGAAGGAAATTAGAGGATGAATTAATATTCGTCTTCAGCTTCGTACATTTCATTATCAATAGAGTCCTGACCGACTTCTTGGTAATCTCTTTCCAAGGCAGCTAAATCTTCTCTTGCTTCAGAAAACTCACCTTCTTCCATACCTTCACCGACATACCAGTGAACGAAAGCACGCTTGCTATACATGAGATCAAACTTATGATCCAAACGAGACCATGCTTCAGCAATAGAAGTGGTATTCGAGAGCATACAAACTGCGCGGTCTACCTTAGCAATACCACTATCGGGAATATGTTGAGGAGGTTGGCTACATATACCGATCTTGAAACCGGTTGGGCACCAATCGACAAATTGAATGGTACGCTTGGCCTTAATGGTGGTAACAGCGGCTTGAACATCGCGAGGAATGACATCGCCACGGTAAAGCAAGCAAGTAGCCATGTATCTGCCAGAACGAGGGTCACACTTAACCATTTGATTATAGGGTTCAAAGCACTGATTCGTAATCTCTTGAACACTGTTGGCTTCATGGAAAGCTTTCGATTTACTAACAATGGGGGAATAAGTTACAAGAGGAAAGTGAATTCTTGGGTAAGGAACAAGGTTAGTTTGAAACTCGTTTAGATCTACGTTTAGACTTCCTGCGAAGCGAAGAGAAGCAGTGATTGAAGAAACCACTTGAGCGATCAGGCGGTTCAAGTTTTCATAGGTAGGACGTTCGATATCGAGGTTACGACGGCAAATGTCATAGCAGGCTTCATTGTCGACCATGAAAGTACAATCAGAGTTATCCAAGGTAGCGTGAGTCGTAAGAACAGAGTTATAGGGTTCCACAACAGAAGTACTGACTTGAGGAGCAGGATAGACAGAAAATTGAAGGTTAGACTTCTTAGCAAATTCCATGTTGAGACGTTCTAAAAGTAAAGCACCCAGACCAGAACCAGTACCACCACCAAAAGAATGGAAGACAAGGAAACCTTGTAACCCAGAGCAATTATCGGCCATGCGACGGATTCTCTCGAGTGTATCTTCAATCATTTCCTTTCCAACCGTGTAGTGACCACGAGCATAGTTGTTCGAGGCATCTTCTTTACCACTAACCATTTGCTCTGGATGAAAAAGATCGCGATAGGTACCAGTGCGCACTTGGTCGATAACGTTGGGCTCTAAATCTACATAGATGCTTCTAGGAACATACTTTCCTTGTCCGGTTTCTGAGAAAAAAGTAGCGAAGCCATCATCGCGGTAGCTGGTACCGTAAGGTGTCTGATTTGTCTTATCCAAAGGATAACCATCAGGTCCAATGCCATGTTCCAAACAATAGAGCTCCCAGCATGCTAAAAACTGTCAGTAACCCTTCTTGACCATTATTCTTCAGAAATAGTTCTCACAGGCGACATAGTTACTATTTCCTTATTTTATCACCATACCATTACCGATTTGCACACCGGCCTGCCCAACATGAACGGAAATTACTTCTCTCATAATGAATTTTTAAAAGAAGGAAAAATGCCTTAATTGTAAGCAAAAGATGGTCTAAACAGGTTGCTCGTAAAGGCAGAATGCCTCGTCGACGGAGGATTATATTAATAAAGGTGATTTACTGCAATATTTTATTTGACTTTGCGTGCTATAGCATACTACACTAAGATGTAAACAAAAGAGAAGTAGAAATATGTATATATAAATAAAAAAATAAAAATTACAAAAGAAATTGATTTAAATTGAATCATTCTTGGTTTGAATGATATGTACAAGAACAGCTAGCTTCAGTATCCTTACCTTCATAGAGCACTTCCGATTTAAAGCAAAAGGTTGAAATTAAAAAAGAATCGAAAAAAAGTAACAATAATAGTTCGAAAGGAAATTACTTACTTCTAAAAGTTAGTTGGTTTTTGATCGAGTAGAGAAACAATTTCGGGACCAATTTATAAACGTCGCTTTCTTCCCATAAACTAAGCATTCTTTATTCTTATAGATATATCGGTGACAAATACCTCTGTTAAAAAAATACACATTTTTACTCATTCCGATTAATATTTCATTGAATATGGGTCGCTCTTGTAACAGTATTCGAAAGGATTTGGCAGATTGTTTGTTACATTCAGACTGTATGTTCATTCATGGCAAATCTGCTAGAGAATGCATGAGAAACAAAGAGCAACTCCCCGTCGAATGTAGGAATTTGATGACTTCGTTCGGGGAGTGTAAACGACAAATGGTAAGTTAAGTGTGAAGCAGCTTCTTCAAAACCATTTAGTTATTAACTCATCTTCCCTTTTTATAGTTGGATATGACTAAACGATATAGAATTGCTCCTGAACAGGATGAATCTTCTAAACCTTCACCAGAAAACTAAATAAAGTCACATTGAATACGACCGCCGGTAGACTTTCTACGAACTGTACCCTTGCCTTCTCTTATATATAAAAAAAAGGGGGAAACTGTTGCAACTATTCTATTTTATTCGAAAGCTTTAGGCATTTCTATTTTTTTCTTACTGATATATTTTTGGGATAACAATTCATTAAAATAAGAACAAACTAAAAGATATGCATTAATTTTAAACTAGTATTAGTAAACAGGTAAAGAGATTAATATACGACAAATGTAACTATTCAAAAGGTTTAGTATTCTGAGAGAATCTAAACTTGTTCATCCTTATGCTCTTTCGCGGGAACCTTTTCCGTTTTTTGGTCAATGGAATTGCTCTTCACAAAGAATACTGCGAGGGTACCAATAGCCATAGCAATAGTAGCAAAAATCCAAATAGTTCGAAAGGCAGATGCAAACGTTTCTTCAATATGACCCTGTTCATCGGCTGGACGTTGCTGAATTTGTTGGTACGAGAGAGTAGCAATCGAACTATCGTGAAAGACACCTGTCACTCTTTGACTGAAAATTACCTCGCCTATAGTTATACCAATAGCACCTCCCATGTTTCGTATAAACATTAAGGTGGCAGTAGCCATGGACATTAACGAAGGGGGAAAAGCTGCCTGCATAGCAATCATGGGAGGCAAGAATAGAAACCCAGAGCCAAACATATAGATAGTGGTAAGGCCCATGGATTTGGAGAAGGAAGTATAAGCACCCAAAGAAATCAAACTTCCCATTCCGGCAGTGCATGCAATAGCTCCAATATAGAGTAATGGCTTGTAGCGACCCAATTTTTTCAGAACTATGCCAACTGAAATGGTAAGACAGCACAAAACACATCCACCAGGCAAGAAATGCACACCAGCCATAATGGGATCATCGCCTCGAATTCGTTGGAAGTACTGAGGAATATAATAAGAAAATAAATAATAATTAAGGAAATGCACGAAGGAACAAACGAGTAAACTAAGACTGTTTATGTTTAGGAAAAATGTTGAAGGCAACACAGCATTTCTTTTGGTATTAAAATCATATATGAAAGCAGTAGCCACCAAAACTGCACCAATAACAATGTAAGGCAAAACACCAGGACGAGACCAACGACCAGACGAAGCTCCTAAAGAGATACCTAACAAAAAAAGTACGACACCCGTAATAATGGTAATAAGACCAAAAAAATCAAACGTTTTGGAAAACTTACGGAAGGTTTGTCCCTGAACAGGTAATACCCTCAAGAAGAGAATAAGAGAAGATATGGCTATGCCACCTACTGGAAGGTTGATGAAAAAAATCCATCGCCAAGTGGTCCTCTGACATATTACACCACCTAAAATTGGGCCAAGGACGAGAGCCATGCCCCAAGCTGAAGCAACCAAACCAGTATATATAGGTCGCGTTTTAAGGGGGGTGATATCAGAAATGATAATGTTCACCAAAGATGTAATCCCGCCTCCTCCAAGGCCTTGTATGGCTCTGCAAACAATCAACATAATCATGTTTTGGCTAGCACCACTGAGAGCACTACCCAGCATGAAAAAGAAAACGGAAGCATAAAGCATGGGCTTTCTTCCTATGATATTAGAGAGAACACCAACGGCGGGAAGGATTGCATTTGTGGCCAGGGAATAGGAAGTACCGATCCAAAATGAACGAGAGGCATCATGAAAATGCTCCGAAATTGTAGGAAGGGCAACCGTGACAATAGTATTGTCTAGAGCAGCCAAAAAAAGTGTCAGGACGAGAGAGCTGGAACAACAATAAACATATTATTTTCGGGGATTACATGGACATCTTCATCTTTTTTTTCTTTCTCACTTGTATCGTCTCTTACTTGAACATTTGGACCACCTTTTTCATCAATCTCCTTCGAATAGTCAGACATATCAGAAGTATTCGGTGACAAGACGGCAGAGGAAGTCTTGTCTATCGAAGGAAAATGATTCCTTGGTATGTAATCTGTAGTATTTGAATCCGTAGAAACAGCGCTCGTTAAAGGTTTCTCGTTACTGGCAGAAGCATCTTCTTCGTAATGATCCCATGTATTAGTGGAAGGAATTGAATTATGCATCGTAGAAAAATACTAGAAATAAAATAAATTTCAATGAGAAGGGAGAGGTACTTATATTAATTCCAAAAAAAAAAAACACTGGTGACGAAACTACGGGTGAAATTGGTCAACTTATGGGTAGCAAAATTGCGAAATTAAATGAACGAATTGCAAGTTATTCACTCCCAAGGTAGTTAAAAGAATCGGTGAAATCCAAAAAGGTATATTTGACAAACAAGCAAGACCTGGTGATTCGTAAAGGAGTCTGTCTATTCAGTCCAAAGCGTAAAAACTATAGGAGTTTTTTCTATTAATATAAGTCGAGTTGCTTATATTCTTGTTTTAAGCCCTAGAAATAGACACAATGAGAATTGGCAAGTTGCTTTATCTTACAAGAAGCTCCTTTAGTATACAATGCAGCTACAACCCGATAATAAGGACGTAGTAGAAAGCACTGAACGAGTCTATTTCTTCCGAATTTCAATAAAGTAGGCTTTGTTTTTTAAAAAAGCAATGAGAAAGGTAGCGTATACACGAAGGGAGCAAATTTCTATGAAATGAATGAAGCGATTTTCTTGGCTGTCAGATATAAGTTTTTTAGTGAAGCAAAATGCCTTTATTTTTATGATTCTTTCGCCACTTGTATTTTCTTACCTTTTGACCCTAAGGTAAACAGAACAAGTAGAACCCGAGGGCAAAAAATTGCTTTCTGGGATTTCCAGTTATTGGTTTAAATTATCATATTATGTAAATTTTTACATCGTACTACATTTTATCAAACCCTTTAGCATGCTATTCATACCCAATAATACGATTTCCATCCTGGATGGAGAGATCACAAGGAAAAGAGTGTTCCACGGATCGAGGATTTACAATGCCTGTGAAAGTTTCTGTGATGATAAACGTAAAAAGAAAATTTTCGACAGAAACTTCCTGAACTCTAGTACCTGTTACAAACATTATTGGTATCCTCCAGTATCACATCATACTTTTTCCATAAAATTATCTGTACATATAATATTACTATATGGCTTTGCTTTTAACATGTATTAAATTTTGTAACATCGCGTAATAATTTGTAACGCATTTAGTCGTACTGCGGTATGAGACTTAATGGGTTTCTACGTATGTTCTTATTCACAGTCACCAATTGGCTTGTGACTTAACTGCGTTTTCTACCTGAAAACAGCAAAATCTCTGTGTCCCATTGAACTGAGTATTCTGTGAAACTACTGCGAAGAGAAATTAGTAGGAGTTGTTTCTAAATTTGTTCAAGGACTCGAGAGGGTATTTTATCTGCTGTGCGAAACGGACGAGCTTTGTAAAATGTCAAATGAAACATTTCCTTGGAAAGTTAGGACGAATGATTCGCATTCACTTACTAATAGTCCTGTTCCAAGAAAACCTAATCATGAAGCAATTTCTAGACTTCATTCACCATTGAATTCCCCTAAACTACAGCCGATCGGATCTCCTCAGACCCTGCGCAGAGTCACGTCTGCTAATGGATCAAATACATCCATGTATCCAAAGTGGTCTGGCGGTCTATCACTTTCTAGTAGTCGTGCTGCATCCCCAGCTCCTTCAGTGTCTGATCCCTATGGTAGCCTTGCTTTTGGCGGTGGTGTCCTAGGTGGCTCGGATGTCACAAGCAGGGGGAATTTTCCAAATCTTGCTTCGGAAACAAGCCCACAGGTTTCTACTCCCTCTCTTGTTTCTAGAAATGCCGCATTTATGGGAGATCCTTTTGCTCAAGCTGTCCATAATGCCACTAATAACATGGTTCCTTCCTTTCCGGAACCTTTACCATCTTCCGATGCTAATCCCTCAGAAGATGTTGAGGCCAATTCTTCTAAAAGTAACCCATCCTCCTCTTCGCAAAATCGTTCATTAATGACTCCCTCGAACCAGGCTCCTAATTCTGCTTCTGTAGAACCCGGCGAGGACACCATTCCAACAGCTATTGTTGTAAAAAACATCCCCTTTTCCTTAGAGAAGGACACTTTACTTGAAGCGTTCAAGCAACTAGGAATTCCGCGTCCCTACGCTTTTAACTATCACTATGACAATGGTATCTTCCGCGGCTTAGCTTTTGCAAACTTCTACCTCCCCGAAGAAGCTCAAGCAGTTGTCCAGGCTCTAAATGGCTATGAAATCAACAGTCGTCGTTTGCGAGTTGAATGGAAGCGCCAGTTACCTGCCGCTGAGCGTGAAAAGGCCGAAAAAGCCAAAAAGCGCCAGGCAGAGGAACGTCGTAGGAAGCATCAATACAAAACGTTTGAAGTAAGCTTCAAAGATCAGGGTTTGGATCTCAACAACACTACAACCCTAGAAATATACAGTCGCCTTTTACTTTTTGCCAATCATTGTCTACCTGGTAATGAACTTGTTTTTGAAGCTCCTTCAAAGGATCACACCATCTCGAATGCTGTGCGAGCGTTTGCGTTACATTTTGACTTGGATTACTATGTTCAACCAAGTGCCGAGACGATAAAGTTGACCGTAACACAACCAGCGAAAAAGCCTTCTGCTGTAAGTCACTCTCAACCTTCTTCACCGGGCTTCCGCCGTGCTTTGCATGCTCCTATGGCATCGCGATTCTTGCAGGAACATGCACTAAACGGAATAAGAAGTGCTCCAATCACTCCTCCACCCAGTTTTACCTCGCTAGTAAACCCTGTACGATCCGTTGATGACAAGATTTATGGTAATGATTCTCCTTTACGACAGACATCTACGTTAAATACTCCTTTGCATCCGCGAAACGAGTCTCACTCAATCCTAAAGTCACCTTTTGGATTTCCCAATAATTGAGTAATTTACGTTTCATAAGATCTCCTTTTTGCGGTATTGCTAAAACGCTTTGTCACGATTTACCTACTGCCTTATCAATATTCGATATTTTATGCTTTTGATAATTAAACGATTTTGGCTTGGTTTTGAGTCCCTTTTTACTGATTTATTTGGATGAATTTACTTTCAGTGTATATGAAATATAATACTTTTGTGAAAAAGGCACGCTTCTTTATGTTTTATCTGTCTTTTTACTTTCTATGCAACTTGTCATCGATTTTCTCTTAGAAACACGCGTACTTTGCTGCGCTCGTTTTGTTTACCATTGTTCTAAAAGTTTTGATTTCCAGTAATTTTAACAATGTCTTTGGGTCTTTGAGTGCTACTTTGGACCTTTTATTACATTCAATGTAATACGCTTTTCTTGTTATAATGAAAGAATGAATTATGATGTTACGAAATGTTTTCCACTATAATTCATCAATTGTGAAGCTTATTTTAAAGATTTTTATGATAATTTATGTTTTAATTAAATCTATCAGCTCTTGTATTTTTTATATTACCAAAACATAAAAGCTTTTTCGCTCATGTAAAAGTAATATATCAAAAAATGCTCTAAAATTCGTTCCACTTTTGTAAATGGATTACTGTAAATCATGTTGTATCCCTGGGCTTCGTTATGTTTTGCCAAAAACATATATTTAGTGTCATTACAATACTTCATAAGATCCAAATTTGAAGGGAACAGAGATTCATTTGCTTTTCGTTGATTTTTGATAAACTAGCCTTGTAGTTGAACTTCCTTAACAACAAAAGCTGTTTACTTGTGTTTTCTGTTGGAAAAAAAGGATTTGTTTGCCAAAAATGGTAAGTGCAACGTGAGCAAGACATGGAAATTTAACCATTGGGAGTAGTTTGGTGGAGGATTTTTTTCAGAAGATTATAATGGGCTTTCTATGATGTCTCATTTACGCTCAGCGTTTGAAGACCCTAACCAAAAATTCGATGCTCATTATCGATGCTACCCTGCCAGTATGATGCCTGGAGAAAAAGGAGTTAATGTAAATTATGGTGGAAAAGGTACGTGATATTTTTGACATGACGAAGGGCATCATTCAGATGCTGCATATAATAGTGCATCTTTGGAATGTGCTTACTCCTTAAGAAATGCATGTTGCTAACTGTCTAGTGATTCTTCCTCCCTCTGCTTTGGAAAAATTGTGTATGTAATTCGCATACAACGGCTTAGAAAATTGGTTTCTCTAACATTGTTTTAGCTCGGTTGAACGTTAGCTATCCAATGCTATTTGAATTTGAAAACGCTGCTGCCGAAAAGAGGACTCATGGTGGTGTGCTAGAATTTATTGCAGAAGAAGGAAGAGTGTATTTTCCTTATTGGGTAAGTTATCGATGGATCGTTCGTGCTAATATCCTTTTTATAGATGATGAGTACATTGGATTTGGAACCAGGAGACATTGTGCATGTTATTAACACGGACATTTCTCAAGGCAGCTTTGTAAAACTACAACCTCAGAGTGTCAACTTTTTGGATATAAGTGATCATCGAGCAGTATTGGAAAGCGCACTGCGAAACTTTAGTACGCTTACAAGAAATGATATCTTTGAAATCCTGTATAATGGCGAAATTTTTCGAATTAAAGTCATTGATGTCCAGCCAGACGATTCTCGTGGTGTAGTCTCGGTGATTGAAACAGACTTGGTTGTCGACTTTGAGACGCCAGTTGGGTATGAAGAGCATTTACAAGAGAAGGAGAAAGAACGTGTCGCATCCATTAAGGGGACAATGGTTAATAGGATAAAGTACAAAGATCTTGTTAAGCAGGGTCAAGCTTCTACTATGATGGGAACGGGTTCCAAGTTGAATGGCAAGCAGGTAAAGGAACAAGATCCTTCTGAAATTGACAATCTAAACAATCTGGAAGAACAAGAATGCCCTGCTCCTTTGAATTTACCGATTGGCACCTACTTTTTTGGATACCCCTACAAACCACCTGCTGGAAGCGAAGAAGATGTTCCTGAAAAACAACCTCATACCTTCCACGGTGCAGGTACCTCTCTTCGTGCATCCCGTAATGTTGAAAAAGGTCGAGGAAAGAAAACATCTTCTGGTTTGAAAAATGATCCCATTAATGTCGACGCTTAATGACCCTAGTTTTCAATGATTGTAATTGGTACTTTTCATGAAAATTTATGATCTTTGCATGTCTTTCTCTAAATCATTTTGGTGCAGTTTACTTAAAATGCCCTAGATGTCCCTCGAATGTTTTCATACTAGGGAACAGTTCCATGAATAATAGAAGAAATCTCCTATAATAAATACAAGTTTAAGTCAGAATCTACCATATATCTTTTGATTTTTTCAAGTGATTAGTATTTAAAAAATGATAAACATAGATGGTATTCGTTCTGCTCTGCTAAATAAATTAGGAATACCGTTCATGTCTAACTGCCAAGGAACACATGACTGATCAACTCGAAACGAAAACGGAATGGACTAACGTCCACTATAAGTAGGTCTTTTTTCTTCTTTCTTCTTTTCATTTTAGCGACATTACATGTAATGTCCTTAACTTACTGTAGTGTGACCTAACCTATGTTGGAGTGACTGCTTTTTGGATGAATTAGTTGTGTAACACAACACACGAATAAACTCTACAGCTTCCAAATGTCTGTTGCATCCAAGGTATGAAAGAAAAGTCGGTAATGGTTGATCATGAGGAATTCCGAGAATGTTTACGCGGTGGTTTTAATCAGATTTGTTGCTGGTTTACGAAAAGATAAGAAACATATCTGGTTTCTGCCGAAGTAGACTGAGTTACTGTTTAAACGTAATGGTTGGAAATCCAAGTAATTCGTAGATTAAATGTGAATTTATTTAGGAAATGACGCTAAAGTCAGGATTGCTGATTAGCAAAAGAAATTGAAATAGACCATTACCGAACAACTATAAGAATATTATTTGGACAGTAATGTATTAACCAATCTTATAGAACCTCTTTGACCTCCTCGGAGAGGAGACTCCCGCAGCAAACGCTGACAAGAAACCCAGCAACCGTGAGAAGAAGGAATCTTCTTCTCCTATGCCTCGTGAATTGGTTGCTCAAAACAATTCCTCCAAGAAGCGTGATCCTAACCAACCTACCCCTCGTGAACGTACCGTTGCTAAGAAGGCCGATCAACCTCGTAGACCCCGTCGTCAACCTCAAGGTAATGAAGCTTTCATCCGTGAAGGTAGAGAGGCTCGTTCTAACAACTTGAGCCACCCTGTGGACTCTGCTGGTGCTCCTACTGCTCGTCGTCCTCGTCGTGGCCGTGAGAACGACCGCCGTAGCCAAACCGGTGTTGTTGATACCACCAAGCAAGTCAACCGTGGTTGGGGTGATGCTATTCAATCCGAACAAACCGCTGATGTTGCTGAAGATGAGGGTAACACCCCCTCTGGTGCTAACACCCCCGTTCTTAACGAGGAAGAGTCTGTCAAGACCCTTGATGAATTCCTTGCTAGCCGCAAGTCTACTGCCAAGCCCGTTGGCCGTAAGGTTGAGAGTATTGACAACGCTAAGCCCCTTGAAAAGGGTGAGCCTGAAGACCTTTTTGCCTCTGTTAAGAAGAACACTTCTAAGAAGAACAACACCGCCAAGGAATCTAAGCCCAAGAAGGTTGTCCTTGACATTGAGCAAACCTTCACTACTCGTCCCGCTCGTGGTGGTGGTAATGCTCGTGGTGGCCGTGGTGGTTCTCGTCGCGGTAACAACTCTGCCCCCAGAAACCAAACTTCCGCTCAAGCTCAAGCTCCTCCTACCCTTTCTGAAACCGACTTCCCTGCTCTTGCTTAAATGATTTGAGCCGGTATGAGAGCAGCACCGTTGCAACATGGAGCGTTTTATTGGTCTTGGATGATTTTTGTTGTCAAGCGCATTCAGAAAGGTTAATGTATCTTACAACCCTTTTTTTGTCTTTTCATTTGAGTACATATCACTGGTTTTGTAGACTCGGCAATGGTTTTCGTTTTGTACCTTCATGTTGATTATAAAATATGCACGGAAATTTTTTGTTGTGTGTCTTTTTTCTGCTGAATGAATAGACAAGGTCTTGACCATGTCTAAAATAGTTGAAGTATAAGTGTCAAAAAAGTTTTTACTACATCCTACAAAGTTTCTGTTGTATTGAATGTAGTAATTTTAGTAGATAAGTAGTGCGTAACATGGAGTTTTTTATTCACGTATTCACGCAAGATTTTAAAATAGATTACATACCTAAATTAACTAGGTGTTGTAGCGCAAGTAAAGAGCCTGGGAAATAAAAAACCACAGATGAAATGAATGCTGTGTTTTCAATAGACTTAGAAAAAAATAAGTAAAAGAGAATAACCGTTGGTTTAAGAAAAATTGATTTGATGATATGATGTCTTGTGTTCACATTCTTTTGAGACTAGTCATTTCCATCAAGGAAAGCAAGCATCAGATTTTTATTACGACGAATTTTTTTAATGTAATTCCTAAAAAGGTCAAATTGTTTGTCTACATACATTCATTTCAATGTCCTGATTTTTATTTATCAACGTAATCCTTCTTTTGTTTACTAAGGAACAATTGACATAAATCCATCGTTATAATGTAAATAAATGACTGAAAAAAAAGAACTAAATTTGAATTTAGAGATACAAAAACATTTTAAGCCGTGTACATGGTACAAACAAAGAGATGTCAATTTTTCGTTTGCAACTAATAGAAACGATGGCTGTTGTCAGTTATGAAAGACTAAAGTGCTTGAATTTCTTCTTGTTGCGTAAAGAAGATGTCAGAATGTTCGATGAAAACATGTATTGTAAAATCTGAAGTAAGAAAACAGATAGATGGTAAAAGTCTTTAAAGGAATGCATCATCTTTGAAACATCATTATTCTATGTGGTGATGTTTGTGGAGCATACAGATCGAGACACTTCAGTAAAAAACAGAACATATGCTCATGAAGATCAAATTTACATCAATTAACTTGCTAACATGCATGATTGGGACCATAAATATAGGATCAAAGTTGGGTTAGATACCTTGAGGTATAGTCGATAATTTGATTCCAAATAAACATCAGCGAAATCTTCGTACCTTTTTTCCATCTCATATTTATTCCTAGTAGTCTGACGAGAACTTGAAATCTATCAACAATTTTGTAGACTCAAAGTCTGACCTTTGTTAACTCAACACTTAAAAAAAATAAAACGAAAAGAAACAAAAGCGTCTTATCGTTCATGCGATAATTTAGTAAACCCCACATTGGAATTATAATCCAAATAAATGAAACCAATTAATTAAATTCCATCCAAAAGTAGGCATCAATTCATTCAAAGAAGATGCAGTAAGCTATTGCATTGCGTTCATAGGTTCATTTGTTTTGTGTCACATACTTGGCTATGTACAAGATTGAGAAGATATAGTAAAAGAAAATGCTCTTTGACTAAGATGTTTAAAAAACGAATGAGAATATTAACTCAAAATGCGATTTACCAGTATAAGTGACTTTAGACACTCAATGGTAAATTCCATACGACATTTCAAATTCCTATAATTCTTTGTCAAACCTATTGAAACACTTACTTTAAATTGTACTTTGTTTATCTATTTCTCATTAAATACCGTCAAGCATCTACCGGTTTCGTGGAAAATTGGTAGTACATAACGAACTAAAATTGCGCTTTATTTCCAATCCTTGAGATCGAATAATTCTTTTATTTTTTATAGAAGCTTAGAATACGTACATAAAGCTCTTTTCCGTAAGGATTATTCTTTTTCGAATACGACCAGCTGTTAAACGAGTTCTTCGTCTCCATCGCACCTTGGAATTTGATCTAACATTCCATTCATAGCCGAAATGGATCGAACAAGTATCTCAATTAGTATTTTGTCTTGTCTCTGATCTGTTATGATTTGACAAACGCGCTCTTGTATTTATTGTTTATTTATTTTTTCATACTTGGTGGTTTGTTTATGCTTCAAAAAACGCGCGCGATGCGTACTGTTACTCGTGCCTGGGTAACAACTACGAGTCGCCTCGCGCACACGAAACGCCAAATCTTCAGTAGCGCGCTGCTTGAAGCGCGACGCGTTGCGTCTTCGTATATATACTGAACATCGTCAACGCTGTATCTTGGGCGAATTTTGTTGAAACAGCATTGTGTGCACTTCTCGTAAAATATATACTTGGGATTTTCTTATTTATTGAAATTGTCTTTGTTTGACCTGATAAGGAGGGATTGAACCAGAATGGACTCATTTTTGAAGCCTTCAACGCCCAAGCACAGGCATCCAGATGGGGAAACCCGAACTGCTTTAGGAGAAATCAATGCTCAAGAAGAAGATATGGAGGCAAATCTTCCTGTCACACCTTTACAAACAGCTCCAGGCAAGGAAAACGCGGCTCCAGGATCAGTTTCTTTCAATTCTATTCGACCTCATAAGGACATATTGCCGTTAGGAGAGCACAAATCTCCTTTGAGTGAACGGTGTGCACTCAAAGACCATGAAAGTAAAGAAACGAAATCTGTTCCTTGCAAAAAACGTCCTTTGTTTGACCAAGAAGCAGATACGGCCGCAGATGTTGAAACAGAAGAAAACGTAGCCGAATCTACTGAATGTCCCACAAGATCCCATGATATAAAAACCTGTGCTGAAAATCTTCGATTGCGCTTGCAATTGGCCATGTACAAAGTTGAAGTCAACCAACTATATTCCCCTTTGCGTGATTTACCTATCGTTGTAAAAACCAAGCTCCATCATTTACCCAACACACCTTGTATCACCTCCGTCTGGAAACAGAAAACGGTTCCTTTTAATCCTGTACCTTCCCCTCAGTTCTGTGAAGATAGCTTTTGTACGGATGACTCGCCTACCAAGATAACACACTCTAATCCCAGGAACACTCAAACGCGCAATCTCTTTACTCCTCAATCATCTGGCCTGGATGATCTTGTTGCTAATAATCAAACTCCATCTCCTTTGAAAATCCCTCATCACCCTATTTCGAAATCATCTTCATCTCATTCCCTTTGGGCTCGCCATGGCAAATTGACCAGAAGCGTGTCCCTTCTTAATGATCGCACACCCAAACGAATTCGTCCCCGGTCTCTTTCTAAAAGCTATTCCACTCCGTTAAAGGCTTACAAAGTTCCTGGGAAGTCGCCAGCTAGCAACTCCTTTACAGGACCTCCTACACCAATCTCTATCACAAACACGCCCGAAAATTCATCCGAAAATACATCTTACAAAAATCAAAGCATTTACAATAGCACACCTGTCCAAATGCATGCTCCAAAAAGACGTTTATCTGATTTTGGAATGCTAAGGTAAATATACACATAAGAAATGCTTCCTAATTTCACAACGTATGTCATTTTCTCTTTGTGTTGTTCCCCTTACCTCGACTTTAGTTTCCGTACGTGTTTTCTATTTACTACGTTATCCATATTTTAATTATTTTTTTGGTCCATATATACATATATTTATATATATTATGTTCACGTTCTTTTCACAATCTTTGATTGTACTGCTTGATTTCTAATTTACAGCTGTTGTTCACTTTCATCAAGAATAAAAATTTAAACTGAACATTTTGCTTCTTTTATATCTAGTTTGTCAGTAATGAACACTATGACATCCAGTCAAAGTCATCCCCTCCATTGCAAATCCAAGGCTTCAAAACATTCCGAACCAATATCTTAGCTCCTTCTCGATCAGTATTTGCTTGTTTCCAACTCTCATAATTACTTAGCTCCGAATTAACTTGCTCAACATTTTGAAAAGTGCGCATCATAGCCTTTTTGGAAATTATTGTTTGCGAGCGCTCAGTATCCTTTGCCTTTTTACCAGCTAAAATACCATTATGGATAACCTGAGTCGAGTTCATTTGATCTCCGAGCCATATTAGAACGCTTGTACTAGTTGCGGTACGCATACCTGGTTTAACCATTTTCGAGAATGGGTATCGTAGTTTCGTTGTTAATACTTGAAAAGGATGAAATTTATAATCTCCAGAGGCTTGATTTATGAGTCCCATACATCGACCGGAGGGCCCGAACGCTCTTTTCATTGAAGTCTGGATAACCACGTTTTCCGGAAGCACCAAGGAAGTTATGTATATTGGCTCAATAAGCAAACTTGTTTGTGCATTCAAAATGGATAAAAACTGTTTGGATGAAAGCTTGTCTGAACAGCTTTTACTCCAACTGAAAGGAGAATCAGCACGGCCGGGTTTAGTTCGCACAATACCCACTTGGCCAAAGTCTGCCCGGCCACGCATGGGCTGATCTGCTAACGATTTCAGGTTCCAAGGTTCGCTGTTTTCTAGGCTGTTTGCTAATAGCTCCATACTTGCATCACCACACGGACATTCTGAAACATATAGATGAAGTTTCAAATTTCGACGTAAACAAAACTTTCCCCCGTCTTTCTTTTCAAGGAGCCATGCTTTACTCGGTTCATCGTTGTATAATCTACAATGTTCTAATAAAACTCTTTGATTAATAAAACATTAGTAACATATTCTAATGAAAGCTTGTTCATACCGATTAAAGCACCGTAAAGCCAATACCTCAGCGTGACAGTCATGTAAAATGCTACCAAATTGATTTGTCTCGATTTTTGAGATTGGTGTACTGATGCAGTTTGTAGTTAGTGAGTGTTTCTCATAATTTTGAAGTTCTCGAAAAACTTTCAGAGATTAGATATACCATTTGACGCCGGTTCTAGGATAATGTTAGTTTGAATTTGAATTTATATATCACATACGATAAATTAATACAGGTGAATTTTCTTGCATTCATATCTTCTAGGACAACACCAGCCAAGGTAGTCCATTCATGAACTCCATTTGCCCTTACAATAGGTTTTCCATGAGCTGGAAGACGTTCATAAGCTTCCAAAACACATTGAGCGATTGTGTCTGGCGTTTCATCTTGTACCAACCCTGCAGGAATCCATTTGGAGTTCATTATATTTTATTTCAACAAAAAAGGAATATTTAAAAAAATGAAAAATAATAAAAATCAACTTATTGTAAATTAGTGGACTTAGTCATATGCAGCCGAATACGCTTTCGAGCCAGAGCCAGCTGAGTATTCTATAGCAATAAAGATTAAAATATAAAAGAAGAAATGCAAAGTTTATAAAAAATCAAAGGAAGTTGTGTTTCTTTGGGAAGCTTCAAAACATTTCTCTTATGTTGGTGAACCAGGTCGACGAAGATACTCTGCCAACCGCCAAAATCATAAAATGTCGCTTTTTGGTCAAGCTACTACACCAACTGTTTCTTCTGCAACAGGTGACCTTAAATCAGATGTTGAGGTATGCTAAAATTTAAAGTAGAATCAAAAATCACTGACAAATAAAGGTTCCACAACCTCCAGAAGATTCAATTTCAGACTTGGCATTCTCACCTCAGGCAGATTATTTGGCTGCTTCCTCTTGGTATGTTTAAAAATTATAAGATACATAACAGTGTTCTGTTTGTCCTGTAGCCTAATGAAGAGTTGAGCATGGAAGTACAATTATTGTCGTGACCATATACTGTGCATGATCGTGTACAAATAAAACACAAGGATTTCTAGGATTTCTAATGCATTTGCATCCTAGCAATTGATGATTTTATTTACACCATGTTTGGAAGGTTTTCTATGCTTTCACTCAATTATCGGACGTATACAATGCTTTGAACTAGAACTCTATTTTAACACATAATAGGGATAGCAAGGTTCGTATTTATGAAGTTCAATCGACTGGTCAATCAGTAGGTAAAGCCTTATATGACCATCAAGGTCCTGTTTTGAGTGTTCATTGGTCGCGTGATGGAACGAAACTTGCTTCTGGAAGTACCGATAAATCAGCAAAAGTCTTCGATATTCAAACAGGACAGAACCAACAGGTTGCTGCTCATGACGATACTATCCGATGCGTCCGTTTCGTTGAGAACATCGGTAGTACCCCTATTTTAGCTACAGGTTCCTGGGACAAAACTTTAAAGTACTGGGATCTTCGTCAGCCAGCTCCTATTGCTACCGTTAATCTTCCTGAACGAGTTTATACCATGGATTCTGTTCATCCTTTGCTTGTTATCGGTACTGCTGAGCGAAACGTTTGTGTCGTGAATCTCTCTGAACCTACAAAGATATTTAAAGTAGCTATGAGTCCTTTGAAATTTCAAACTCGAAGTATCGCATGTTTTGCCAAAGCCGACGGTTATGCAATAGGTAGTGTTGAAGGAAGGTGTGCAATTCAAAACCTGGATGAAAAGATTCAAAAAGAAAACTTTAGTTTTAGATGCCACCGCACACAGGGAACGGGAACATCCGATGTTTACAGTGTGAATTCTATAGCCTTCCATCCCCAATACGGAACATTTTCTACAGCTGGATCAGACGGTACCTTTAGCTATTGGGACAAGGACAGTCATCAACGTTTAAAGAGTTATCCCAACGTCGGAGGTCCGATTGCTTGTACGGCCTTTAATCGTACTGGTGATATATTTGCTTATGCTGTTAGCTACGATTGGAGCAAGGGCCATTCATTCCATACCCCTCAACATCCTAACAAAATCATGTTACATCCTGTTCCTCCTGAAGAAATGAAACCACGTCCTAAAAGAAGGTAATTAATGGTTCCTATTTTATGCATCATGCAAATCAAAATTATAATTCAAATTTCGGCTTTACTTTTGACTGATCTGTTAGGTATACAGTAAGTCATCGCGAAACCACTTAAGGTTATAAAGAAGAACAAAAAAGATCACATCATTATTTGTATAACTAAATCTTGATGGCTGCTGCGGGTCAACCTCAAAGCAGTATAAAGACAAGTTTCATGTTTAGTAATTTGACCTTGGAAACTGCGCAGTCTATATACACAATTTTGGCGATGTGATGTGATCCTTGATGGTTTACAAATACATATTCACGTTCATTACATTTGAAGACGCATAACTTAGAAAGGGGCGACTACTTGATTTATTTTACGACGAGAATATATTATAGAATAGATTGCAATAAGTGAGTCATAATTAAATGGTTATTAGCAGGAGTAATAAATTTTAAACCACTTATTATGGTTTAGATTGTAAGTCTGGGGAGGTGGATGAAATATCAATTACAGGATCTGTATTTTTTGATCGGAATACTTCAGAACGTTGTGAGGCTTTTTCAAACCAATCGTTTAAGACAGCTTGATCAAGTTCATGACCGAGCTCAAGATCTGATTTTGTGAAGACAGCACCCAATGCTTGTGCTTGATCGTGAGCTATACGTTGTTGAATCTCTTGTTTGGCTCTCAACTTGTAAAATTCTTGCCTAGCTTCATCGTAAGCACTTTGCACATCCATTTTTTTATATTGCGTTAACCACATAGTTCGTTGGACGACGTTTTCACCCGAAAGCGCTTTTCTGGGTTGATCTGGTTGACTCCAATCACAATAAAGATGATCATTACCATCATTTTCAGCAATAATTTGAGGTCTAGCTAGTTCCCATGGGTGGTCTTGGTAAAATTTCTTACGAAGTCTGTCTTCAGGCCAGTGAATGGACTGTGGGTGATGCATTTCCTTATTGCCATTTTTTCCTTTTCGAGCTTTCGACGAGTAGAGCGGAGTAATTCGTTTCAAATACTGACTAACAGGGGGATATTTAGCAACGGCGCTGTACCAAGAAGGCATTCCCACCCATGGTTTTTTTGCTTGTGCTGCAAACTTGCGGAGAATGGAATTTGCTTGATGCTTTGACATGCTGCCAGTAGGAAGAAAGGAGAGTGCGAATAAATTCTTGGATATAAGATATTAAAGAAAAAAAAAAGCAGATGCTCGAACACCTATATCAACAATAAGGATCCGTTTTTAAGCAAAAGACATGAATAAATCTTTTGTAGAGATATTGAGATGAATAGAACCAAAAGATACAGGAAATTATAAAGCAAGCAAAAAAATTATAAGAAGGACGTTAAGAAAACAAATGTCTTCCTCCTCATATACAGGTTGTGTTTTCTTATGAATGTGAAGTTGAAGGGTAGTGAAGTGACGATGTTACTCGGTTTTGCTTCGAAATAAAACAAAGACCAATTGGTTACTATAAAGAGCAAAAATCATTTTTTTATATGTACAAACTTTATCTTGTTGCATTGGAAATTGCATTGAATCCAATTTTTAAATTTTAATTAATTTATCCAATCGCGAGATGCTGCTATTTCAAATTGGTTCTTTCCTCGTCACTTTCTCTTTGGTTTAATCTTGGAAATTGACAGTCTAAAATAAAATTGAAATAAACTGGTTAGGGAAAACCATATCTCGGACATATTGCTGCACAGCATGAAAAGCTGCGATGCTGAAGAATTTTTTATAAACAACTCACTAATGAATGTGAATTGTTGCTTTATGCAAAGCAGTACCAAGCTCAAATAAATAACAATAACAGAAACAATAAAAACAAAGTGCAAAGTAATATAGGGCTCTTCAAAGTATCACCATCAACGTTTTGCTAGGACATGAGAGCACCAGCAATCGCCGACTCGCCCATACTTTCAACTCCTTAGACTTAATAATTCTTATTTTCAGTGATTAGTTGTGTAAAAAGATGATATTATACCAAAGACGAAGGTCGAAAGACTTATCATTTCGACTGAATTTGATTCCGAATTTAACACCTTTTACCAGAGTCACGACGCTTCCAAAAAAAAGCAAAAAATAATGCAAATTTTGATCTTCCTAGTTATAAAAAATAACGAAAATATTTCTGAATGTTGTCTTTTTGCTAGTGAAAGGTATAAACAAATGAAAAAACAATGTTACCTGCACAGGAAAGCACAGGTGTCTGATGGAGCCATCCTTTCCTAACACCAGAAACCAGAGTCCTTTTTAAAAGTCATTAATCCCTTGTTTAATATACTTTTTTGGGGGACAGTACTGGATTAATGACATGAATGAGATAAATTGTCAATTTTTTACAGTGGAATTTGAATGTTCGTGTCATTAATACTCATGAGAAAAAAGCAAAGCGCTTTCGGCGGATTTTGACATTGATATTCATAAGTTATAAAATCATATACCCCTCTCTTAAATTTTATTAGTCGTGTTTTAGCTTCACAAGTCAGACTTCTGCTATAGGAACACACATTTCATAAAGCTCCCCATTTCTGGGGATAGTGATATACTGGGTTCCTGAAAAAAGAAATGCAAAGATACCAAACATCCTTACTTTCTGCATGGTTTCGGCATGTACGTTCCCAGCAAGCTGTATCAGTTTCTTGGAGATACCACCTTAACAGCAAGTATTGGCATAGCGCACCTTTCCCATTTTCTAATAATGATATGCATCCCAATTTTTTGTTGACAAAGACACCTGAGCCGCTTGCTGATGCACAGTCTACGATTGTTAGACCTGCAACATATATTGAACCAAGCGGACTTGCTCATTTTCTTTCAAAATATCCTTTTTTCCAAAATACAGATCCCGAAGATGTGTCTGAACTCGTACAGAAAATGGAAATTTTAAGTCATTATATATTAGATACCCCATCTCTGCGGCAGTTTTCCAAGGACGAAAAGAAAGAATTTCAACAATGGGTTTATAACTACATGACCAACTTGATAACCAAATCATCAAAATTGAGCTTTAGTGCTTACCAGCGTCTTAGTCCTTTGGCCTTAACTTATGTTACCGGTTTGTGGGCAAAAATAGCTAGGGAAAAGAACTTATATGAATTCCTCCACATGATTTTACTTCGTTTTTTAGAGAGATTCTCTGCCTTGGATCTGACACACACAGCTTCTATGTATTCTATTATGAAAAACAGTTGTTGGAGTGACTCGTCGTTATCAAATATGTTAAAATTACAATACTTCAAGTCGTTGTTGCTTTATCATTTGCAGCACCGGAACATACCAATGCCGCAAGAGACGTTATACACTCTTAAAAAAGCCATATTTTCAAAGAAACAGAATTCAGCAAACATGGTCCCTATCTCGTTTCCCCGTGATTTACAATTGAACCATGTATTTGATTTTCTTACTCAACTAGCCGCCTCTAACAATGAAACCTTCTGGGCAAACCAGTTACACAGATTATGGATCGACGCTGGCGTGGGTCCATTACCAAAGCACTCTTTTATTTCTTTTCTCCAGTTATATTCAAGACACGGACTTTTAACAAAGATGCAAAACCTACTTAATGTCCGTGACCATACTCAGTACCTCCATGACCATCGCGTTTTGTCAGCTTTTAACAACTGCTTTGCTAGATCTGTTGATCCGCTCTTCATCCATGTCACAATAAACTCTTGGAGTAGCCATTTTGCAAAACGTTATGAGATGTACTTACCATATATATACAAGTTTTGCATGCATTCTTTCCTAAAACAAAAAGAATTTCAGAAAGCAGTTATGTTTTTTACAAAAATCCCCCAGAAGTATCTGATGGAAGCTATAGTAGCTCAGCTATTGAAAGCACTAACTGGTGCTCGCCAATTTCATGATGTGCTGTCCATCTTTCATACGTATTATTCTGGTGATACGTTATTCTTACTAAAAAACAAGAAATTATTAAAAATGGCTTGCAAACCTCCAAGGTATATATTTGATATTCGGCCAAAGTCCTTACATGCTTCTCCCACGGCTAGCACCGCGTTGGCAGTAGCCATTTGTTACGTGCTGAATAATGCAACGGAAGTTTACAATGTATTGAGGGAAGCTTTATCGTATTCAGAGAAAAGGGTGCCGTTCCATTATAAATCTTACCACGTGCTGTTTAATGGTGTGCTAAAATTGCCATATACGAGTCATGAATTGATAATTCAATCCTTTTCATTGTTGAAACTAAGAAGAAGATCGTATTTGGAAGAGAGAACTGAATTTTATAGTGTTCTGCTTTCTTACTTCGTTACTAAAGGTGATTTCCCTCACGCGCTTCAAGTTATGCATATTCTGTCACGGAACAAAAATGGGTTAAGTATACACACATGGAATTGGTGGCTCTTGTCTTTGGTACGATCCAAGCTCTATGATCGAGTAGTTCGTGCGTGCTGTGAGTTTCAAAGTTCTAAGGTTCATTCAAACGAGCGAACTAACGAAATCATGTCAATGTTGCCCAGTGTTTACCAATCTAAGTTGAAAGAACTGAAGTTGAAGGGATAGGATACCTTTATATATATATATGTTTTTTTTTTGGAAAATGCTTTGCAAAAGAAATTAGAAGTCACCGAAGAGATCCTCTAGTGAAGTATGTTTGTTGTTTGAATGCATGGCTATTGGATAAGAATTGTGCATTTAAAATTATGTGTTTTCTTTATCTTTTTTTTTTTTTTTAAAAAAAAAGGGTTTGTTCACTTAGTTACGCTGGATTCATCTACGTTCTTTACCTTGTAACACCTTTTATTTTACGTTTTTGTTATGTACAACTGTTCGTTTATGCCATCACCTATCTACTTAATAAAACGGCTTTTCTCAAAAAATTCTTATAACACTTAAATAAACAGGGAAGTAAGTGACTGGATATAAAAGCCATTTACCAATGTTTTTACCAACCGTTTAATAGACGCATTTTAACAACATTTTAACTATACTCCATAATATGATATCCTGTATTTCTAAATTTTCAATTTTCATGAACAATAATTTGACTGCAGCTCCCATGAAAATAGATCAAAAAGTTATAGAACATGGAAAAGAGCAATTAAAATTAAGTGAAGATTATGATTCTGCGCGAGCCGACGACATAGAACAGTCTAGTTTTAGAAAACTAAGGAAGCATTCAAATACGGTGACATTTGCTGAATCTCTGAAAAAGTTTCGATATTCTACTAGAAGCAGCAAAGTTGAAGGACTAAAACAAGAAGAAAATGAGGGTGACGATTACAATGACGATCTCTTGAATGGTGAAAAGAATGGTTTGCGAGTATCTATTTCTCAAACTAAAAGAAAGCGCGCACGAAATGCTACAGAGGTAGACAAGGATTATAATAAAAAGGGAATCAACAGAAGAAATACAAGAAAGGATCAAAAGGACGCGTTGTCCCAGGAATTGCCAGGTGTTCCCGATCATATACGTGAAAATCCTTACGCTATCCTAGTTGGCCTGAATCCTGGGTTAACTTCTTCGTTACGGGGACATGCATATGCCTCACCGAGCAATTCCTTTTGGAGGATGATGAACAAGAGCGGTATATTGGAGAAAGGGGTTGAATTCACATATGAGAACGATCAAGACCTTCCAGCCCATGGTTTAGGAATAACAAACATTTGTGCTCGGCCATCGGCTAGCGGTGCAGACTTAAGCAAGGAAGAATTCCGTGAGGGTGCTTTCATATTGGAGGAGAAAGTTCGTAGATATCGTCCAAGAGTTGGCCTCTTTATATCCGGGAAAGGAATTTGGGAGGAAATGTACAAGGCTACCACTGGGAACAAGCGGCTCCCAAAAGAGTTTCAGTTTGGCTGGCAAGATGATACTTTTGGGGGCTCTCGAGTGTTCGTCGCTATAAGCTCAAGTGGGCGAGCTGCTGGATACACTAGTGCTCGGAAGCAAGAACTTTGGAATGAATTTGCTAAAGAGGTGAACATGGCGCGTGAGTTTGATAGAAAGATACGGGAGAGTCCCAAATCATGAAAAGTCTCTCTTAGTTGGACGTTGGACACTTTTGTCATAGTAAATGAATGCCATGGTGAAGCTACGACTTTGGAATTACATACTCTTACCAAGGGACTGATTATTTTTTGAACCAATTGCTATATTCTCAACTTTCTCTACTTTTTCTACCAGATGTCTTTAAAAGCCATTAGAGAAGTGGCACATTTCATAATGAATCTTACGCTCTCTATTTATTACTTGATTTTTTTAATTATATTTTTGTTAATTTATTTTATGTTTTATATTGTTCTCATTAATTCTTACTTGATTTTTTTGCCAGTAGTTAGTTCCTACTTCACTTACTAAAGGATATGTCATGCTGACTAACGGTGTTATATAAACGAAGCTGACAGCATAATATTCTCCCAAAGCCAGTATCTTTGTGTTTTCTATATAAGTTCTCCTTTCCTATAATATACCAGTTATTTTGTAATTAAGACAACAGAAGTTACAAAACTTTTTTTTTACAACAATTCTTTTCTTTAATAATTGAAACCATGGAGTCAATCGACAAGACAGCAACTAAAGCCGCTTGGGTTTACAACACTAACGGACCATATCGAAACGTGCTCAAGCTTGACAAGGAGTTCCCAAGTGAAACCAGCGAAGATTTTAAGCCTGATGACATTCTGGTGGATGTGGTAGCTATGAGCATCAATCCTGTTGATTACAAGCTGATGCAAACGTATAAGTTTATAGGAAAGCTCGGTTTTAAGTATCCTGTCATTCCCGGTCTTGACTTTGCTGGAAAGATCGTGGCCACAGGTCCTGACGTTAGGGGTTTGAAGGTAGGTGATCATGTTTGGGGAAAACAGGCCGTACATCGTTATAGGCAACAAGGAGGAACCTTGGCAACTCGTATCCTTACTGATACCAAATGCGTATACCCTCTTCCCGAATCCGTTAGCTTCAACGATGCCGCTGCTTTCGGCGTTGCCGGTCTCACTGCTTGGGAGGGTTTGGTAGAGCATATGAAAATTAAACCAGGCCAAAAGGTAGTTATTGTCGGAGCCAGTGGTGGTGTTGGAACATTTGCCATTCAGATTGCAAAGGCTCTCGGGGCTGAGGTAACCAGCATCAGTTCGACGCAAAATCTCCAGTTATGCAAATCCTTAGGAGCTTTCCATACCATTGATTACAAATCCGAAGACGTTGTTGCTAAATTAGCAGAAACTGGTCCTTACGATTTTGTTTTTGACCTGATTAATGACAATGGTCTTTACCGTGCTTCCTCTAAATTTATGAAACTTGGAGGATCTTTCTACGGTATTGCAAGTGACATATCTTTGTCATACATTGGCAGTGTCATGTCCCGCAAATTGCGACCTAAAATCTTGGGAGGCAGCTCTCATCCTTACCAAGATTTCATGCTCGCGTCTGCACCAAAAACTATCAAGGAGTTCTCGGAATTTGCTGTCGCTAACGGGATTAATACTGTTATTGATAGCGTTTATGACTTTGACCGTGCTCTTGATGCGTTTGATCGTTTGGCTTCTCATCGCTCTAAGGGCAATGTTGTCATAAAGATGGATTAAATGTATACAAATGCCGTCTTAATTATATATGAATGGATTGATAATTCCGTTTATAGTGTATGAGGACATATTTTCAGGTTTCTATTATAATATAACATACGGCTTTTCTTTATGATGTTTTTTACGTTTGAATGCCGAAGAATGACGATAATTTTTACTGAATGTTTAGAGGATTAATGATATATTGCTAAGTTGATAATCATGCCTTCTGTAGTTTGTTCATTTTGAAAAGATTTTTTAAGAGTTTAAGCTATAAGCGTAAGAGGTTGGTTATACATATCTCGATACAGCTTTTAAAATGAGAGTATCTATGCTATATTTCTAGTCGATAGCAAGACATTTTTCGTCGTTTACCAGAAAAACGTATTAATCTTTAGTTTTTTTATTAAAAATTGGAGTGAACCAAAGATCATATTGTATTCAAACTTGTTACGATAATGAATAAGTGCGCCTGCTTATGACAGCTCAGTTTTCCAAGCTTTTCAATTGCAAGCTGCGAATAAAGTACTTTTGCAATATGGATTTAGTAAAATATTTCATTGCATGTTGAGTTCGATACCATCTAAACTACTGAAAAAAAAATAGTAATGATATATCCCAGGGATTTGATTCACTACGCAAATTTGTTTGAAGAATTTACTTGATTAGATCAGTCAAATACTTCGATTTGAAGATTTTCCAAGTTATTTTTTTACCAAATTTGTAATTAATAACAAATCCTTTATTTAAACTATACTCTGTCTTCTGTCAACCCTGTCATTTAACTTGTTTGTCTATTCATTACATTACTGATTGCTTTTTGTTATATGATAATCGTATTAAATACATAAGTAATATCGTAAAAGCAATATGAAATATCTCAAGTACTGTCTTGTTGTCTGTAAGATGAATACATACTTGAGCGTTCAACTGGATACGATACGATTATCATATTATCACGGCAAATAGTAAGTAAGTAGACGTAAACAAAACCAAGAAACTACTAGAATCAATTCAATACACAAAGTGCTTATTATATAATAGCAAATCATAATTTGATATTACTATAATGGATTGCTGCTATTACGAAGGATATTAATTTTGTTTGTCGAATGAATATTCCTTTCTACGACGATAGACAGTTTAAGAAAAATAAACAAAATAACTGCTTGGATCCTATGGACGAATTGCTGCACGAATCCATCTCTAAAGTATGTATCCTCCTATATGATTATATGCCGACCAAATTATATCATATTTGACATATTGCACAAGGTAAAATTAGCTCCGTAAGCGACGGCATCCTTAACTTATGCAGTCAAACAGACACAAAAACTACAACCTCTTTATGATTTTTCTTTATTTTCTTGGTTAGTGTTTGTGGTTTATTTACGCTCAACAGGTATTCTCATCATATGAAATATATATTCTAAGCGCCCGGGTATAATATAAACAAAAATACGTGTAATGATGCGACTCATTGACGTCAAGCATATATCAGTATGAGTTCATAATATCTGCAGCATGAAAGATTTAAATGAACATTCATGTCTCACTGTAAAGGCAATTCTAAATAGAAAATAGAATACCAATCAATATGTATCCAAGTAAGTTACGGACAGCTCTTATTTCCTTAATAGTTAACTAACCATGAATCCAGTGTCCTTAGCTAGTGAACGATATGGAAATACCCTTACAAGAAAAGCTTGGGTCTACAGTAGCCCAGGAGAACCACAGAATGTTCTTAGGCTTGTCAATGGATTTCCTGGTTTTAGAATTGAACAGTTAAAGCCAGGAGATGTTATCGTCGATATCGAAGCTGTGAGCATTAACCCAGTTGATTATAAACTCATGCGAACCTACCAATTGGTTCATAAGGCAATGCAAAAGCCACCTGTGATTCCTGGATTCGATTTTGCCGGAAAGGTAGTCAGTACGGGCCCGAGCGTTACTGGCTTGAAAGCAGGCGACCGTGTTTGGGGTAAACAGTCTTTATCTCTCCAAAAAAATCGAGGAGGGACCCTTACGAATCAAATCTGTTCGAATGTTAAATGTCTGCATATCATACCTGATTCCATCAACTTCAATGATGCCGCTGCTTTTGGCACTGCCGGTGTAACTGCTTGGGAGGGTTTGGTAGAGCATATGAAAATTAAACCAGGCCAAAAGGTAGTTATTGTCGGAGCCAGTGGTGGTGTCGGAACATTTGCCATTCAAATTGCAAAGGCTCTCGGTGCAGAAGTAACCAGCATCAGTTCAACGAAAAATATTCAGTTATGCAAGTCCTTAGGAGCTTTCCATACCATTGATTACAAATCCGAAGACGTTGTTGCTAAATTAGCAGAAACTGGTCCTTACGATTTTGTTTTTGACCTGATTAATGACAATGGTCTTTACCGTGCTTCCTCTAAATTTATGAAACGTGAAGGATCTTTTTTCGGTATTGCAAGTGACATATCTTTGTCATACATTGGCAGTGTCATGTCCCGCAAAATGAGACCTAAAATCTTCGGTGGCAGCTCAAACGCTTACCATGATTTTCTCGAGCAAGCGACGCCGGAAGCTATTAAAAACTTTTCTAACTTTGTTGCTAAGAATAAAGTAGAAACTGTTATTGATAGCGTTTACAATTTCGACCATGCCCTTGATGCCTTTGAGCGTGTTGCTAGTCACCGATCCCAAGGAAACGTTATTGTTACAGTCAATTAACGCTTTTCTTACTTGTATATATTTTTTACTTTCTTTATTACCAACGTTATGCAAAAGCTTATGCCTTGTTTATGAACTTTTTGACTACGATATATTTCTGTGTGGACGAGAAAACAGGACCGATGAAAGCGGTTAGAAGTATACTGAATTTCCTATAATTAACGTTTTGCATCGGTCCTCTTATGTTCATGAGATGTATGATTTGCAAAATACTTCCTTTGACTGTTTCAACAAAATTATATGTATATGTATATATATATATACATATATATATTTATTCATATTTATATTTATATATTGAATTCATGTTCATAAAAAATTCCATTCAGATTAATAAAAATGGCATGTGAAATTTGGTAGATATAAACTTCAAGGAAAGTGCGTAGTGACAGTAACGAAGGTATTTGCAATACAGTAGATCCAAACTTAATGATAATTAACACTTTAAGATTGAGAAGCAGAATTTTCGGTAGAAGGAGGTGTTGAAACACTTGTGTTTGCCATTGCTGCAGTAGAGGCGGCAATCTTTTCTTCCAAAGCTCTCAGCGCTTCTTCGCGTGCAAGTAATTGACGTCGTTTCTCTTCAATTTCGCGTTGCACAGACAACTCAATTGCCCGTAATCTATCTTCTCGTAAAACTTGGTCTTGTTGATTACCTGAACTAAGATCATTATAGGAACTATCCATTGCCAAATGCGAAGCAGACAACTTTTCGGTACGATATGACTCGTACAACTGATTGTTCGTTATCGATTGCAAGTCCTCTAAATGAGTTGAAAAAATGGCAGAACGCAAAGCTAAGAAGTCTGAATGAGATGGATTATCCACATCGACAACACCCCAAGGGTAGACACGTCCACGAATTGTATTTCCACCAATTTCGACTAAACGATCGGAGCTAACTATTGCAAATGGCATTTTGGAGCGCAAACTCTTGCTCAAAGAAACCAATGCTTCTTCATCTTCTTCCTCATCATAAGGAAAATTATACACGGGAATATGATAATATGCAATATCGTCAAGGATCATTTTCTTGGTTTCTTTAAGCTCCTCAGCTGTCAAAGAATCTGCCTTTGCAATCACAGGAATCACGTTAACCCGAGGCGCAAGTCGCTTCATCAATTCAATATCTAATTCTCTAAGGCCATGACCTGTGGGTGAAATGAAATATATGAGAGCATGAACGCGCTAAAGCTGGTTAGTCTGATAAAATATTAATTAGACATACTTCATCACTAAACTTAGCGTTCCGCTTAATTCGTGTTTCTTCTTCCAAGACATTGTCATATTGACTTTCAAGATATTGAAGAATTATATCAAAATTATTTTCATTATCGATGGCTTCATTAAAATGAGGAGTGTCCAGAACTGTCAAGCTGATTCTAAAGCCGTCCTCCAATACAATATCTAGAAATTGTCAATAACCAAATTCACAAAAAGATGGGATATTCATAAAGCAGCAGGTCTTGGAAGCAATGATAGTTGCGACGAATATTTTAATAATAAGTTTAGCTCATCGCTTTCCTTTATGAATTAAATATCTTACGCGTTCCGTTTCTGTACTTATTATAAAGTCTCTATCCAAAAGCTGCTTTCGCTTTTAACCTTACCAGTCTGATAGGGAACGATCTCTACTGGAGACATTGAAGCCGCCATTGAAGGATCGAAATGGGTATTGTCCTTTTTAATCAATGGTTTTTCACATAAAGTGTTCACAAAAGCCGATCTTCCCAGACCGGCATCTCCAACAACGAGCAAATTAAAGGGAACTCCTTTCTTGGATGTTTTCTTAGCCGTACGCATTTTCTTACCAAATATATACGACGATTCTTGAAAAACCAGTGTTTGTGAAAGAACAAAACGCGTCCCATTCTCATGGTGCTTTGCACCATGAGAAGGTAACGAATTCGAACAACTTGTGAAATCAGTATTATGAGATACGTTAATCAACAAACGAGAGTGCATTATTACAAAAAAGCAAGCATTTGAATGTTTATTCCAATAACCATTTATTATATATACAAGTATCTAAACTGTATGTAAATTATACAAACGCAGAATATGCGAAACGATAAAGGAAAGCAAAAACAAATGCCTGAAAGTATCTCTGTATGAATGAAAACCGGAAGTGAACACCGGAAGCTTTTCGTAAACGCCATCAATGCATTCTCGATTCAATAATCCATCAAAAGACAAGACAAGGTAAAACATTCTGTTGAAAAAAATCAAGTAAATTCAAAAAAGATGAAAAAGATGGAATCATCAAACAGATTATGCATATAAGATTCTATCGCATTTCAAGATAATAGCCTTCTTAAAATTGGAAACTGCTAAATCCAGGGTAGCCTCCAGAGCTAAATCCTTGAGAATAGAAGCCGCCGCCAGGGAAGCCTCCACCGCCGAAACCTCCACCACCGTGGAAACCACCGCCAGGGAAACCGCCTCCGCCTTGATAAGCACGAAGAATGTCAAAAGGATCCATACCAGCACTTTCGGCGCCCATACCACCTTCTAAATCAGCACCAGAGTCATAACGACGTCTGCTTTCGGGATCAGATAAAATACCGTAAGCTTCACCAACTTCTTTAAATTTGGCTTCAGCCTTCTCATCACCAGCATTCTTATCAGGATGATAGACGAGCGCCATTTTCCGATAAGCTTTCTTGATTTCAGTATCTGTAGCCTCCTTAGACACACCTAAGATCTTATAGTGGTCTTTACGTTGTGACTTTTTCAATTCCAATTGCAGGCGGCGTAACTCTTGGCGCAGAGAGGAATCACCTGCATCTAAGTCAATTGCACTTTGAATATCACGTACAGCATCCTCCCACTGTTCCAAAGCCTCGTGAGCTTTAGCACGAGTCTTAAGACCCTTAACGTAACCAGAATCAATTTGAATAGCATTATCACTGTCCTTAAGAGCCTCTTCTGGCTTCTTCAGCTTCAAAAGTACCGTGGCACGGTTCATGTATAATTTGGCATTTGTAAACTTATTGTCCGCGTCAATATCAAGGGCTTTAGAATACAATTCGTAAGCTAAATCAAGTTTGCCTTGCTTGAATGCATCATTGCCTTGGGCCTTGGTATTTTCTAGTGAACGAACGCGTTTGAAAAATATCTTAGCCGAAGCACAATCAGGATCTAACTTCAAGGCTTCTTGGAAGTGAGTAACTGCCTTTGCATTTTCTCCTGAGTAGTAAAGAACTTGACCACGTAAAACTAGAGCCTCTACGTTTCTAGGGTTTTCACGAAGAAAGCCTAAAGCAATCTTTTGAGCCTGGCTTAAATCATTTTGACATATATAAACGCGGGCTTTTAAGTATGACCATACAGCAGGGGGCTTAGCGGCACTGTCAAGACGACGATGCAAGCGGTCTAAGGCATTAAGTGCTAAACCGCCTTGCTTGTTTTTCAGATAAACCTCGGCTTCATTAAGCACAGATAATCCTTCCAAAGCTTGGCGAATACGAGCTTGCGTTTTAGGAACATTACTATTATAACGATCGGACTGCTTTGCATCACTTAATGCCAATTCGAATTCTCCCATGAGCATGTAAGTTGCTGCTCTATTTGAATAGTAGACAGCCTTGGCGGTACCTGATCCAAGCTCAATAGCAGAGGTGTAAGCCTTGATAGCTTCACTGAAATTCTTCTTTCGATAAAAGTCATTTCCCAATGCCTTTTGTTCTTCTGCGATTTGCTCCGCAGTTGCTTTATCACTCACTGATGGTTCAACATGCTTGCTTTCCACTTCCGTCATTGTGCTACTACAAATAAAACCAAACGACCGTCAGTGTAATACTCTAAAAAAAAAAAAAAAATTAGCTGAATAGTACCACCTGTTTGATTTCGCCAAAGCAGGTGAAATTGTCAAATATCGTTGTGTAGTTCACAACTTTGCCATTTGTCAAATTTTCCAATTTGTGGAATACCGCAGTACAAGATATTTACGTAAAAAAACTTACAATCATTAAATTGGACATTTTTTATTTAATACTAAAGCTCCTAGGGCGAACTTCTTTAAGAATGAGTTCTATTTTATAAGTTTTTGCATTTAACAGTCGAGACGTTTCAAAGTAAATTTTCGCATTCAGAAACTAATTGAAATAAATAATATTTGAAAGACCATTTTATCGAGCTTTCTTTTTTTGATCAAATCAAACAATATCAATTGTTTTATTTATTTGATTCATGAGGGCGAACCTTCGTAAGCTCTTCGTACTGAATTGGGGCGAGATCTGAAGTTATCCTAGACAGAGTATCATTAGTTCTGGGTAAGACGGATTCCGATATGTCAGTTTGTAATTGTGTGATATACCTATTATAACGATCTGCCTCATCCTCTAAAATTGAATGAAAACGTAAGGCTTGTAAAGACGATAATGCTAAATCGGTTTGTTCTTTTGCAATAAGCCTTCGTACAACTCCCTCCATTTCAGAAAGAGCATCTTCCAGCCCAAATGGATTTTTTAGTATTTCCGTAAATGTTCCCACAGGGTCCTTTTCACTTACATGCAACACTAACGCTTTCTCTTCCTGTTCATCAATACCAGCATTTAATAATTCATCAATCTCTTGCTCAGATATAGGGGCGCCGCTATCCAATGCGGTTTCCTGAGATGCATACTTGGGTTCCGATGGCTGTACAACAGACAATGTTTCTGAAATGATATCCAAGTCCTTAGCACATTTGTCAAGCATCTTTGCCGGAGGAGTAGTATAACGTAATAAGTATTCCGGTGGAGATGGTAATTTTTCGTTTGGAGACTCAGCGAAATGAGCAATTACTTGTAAAAGGCGGTGAGGAACAGCACTGTACGTATTTTCTGGTTCAAACTTTGGTTGAAAAGGGCATTCAGAAGAGTCCAAATCCATATTATCAACGTAGTGATCCATAGCTTCATCGAGACGTTGCTTCTCTTGAGGGTCAGACAATTCTTCAAGGTCTGGAAATTGATATGGTCGTACATCTTCTGCGAAGGGCAACTGAACATCTACTAGATAGTGTTTTTTCGATTCAACAAAAGGCATCAAAACAAGTAAAGTTGGCGGACCTCTTTCTTTTGAGACATATCTTGCCAGCGCATATCTATGCTCGCGTTCTAAAGATTGTACGAAAGAGGAGAATTTTTGTTTATTTGTCTCATCTCCCCTAGGAATTACAATATTTGATTCACTAATGGTATAATAGCATGGAAGGCTTGTTTTTGGGATAAAACCCATAACTTCGTAGCCCGCTTTTGTGTCCAATGCTAAAATATCTTCGTCAGAGCGACTTATAGGTACAATGGTACGTCCGTAGCTGTATCCACTTTCCAAGTCTTTTCTATCCACTTCAAAAACTTCATTTGTCTGAGAATCTCGGACGACATATGAGCGTACTGTTGATATAGCATTCGATTCCCATGGCTTTTCCTGCGAAGATGGAAATTGCTCTGTATGTTCATCCTCAGTATTGGAACCAGCATTAAAAGCAGTTGAAGTAGGAGGTTTTGTCACACGTATCCTGGGATATCGTTCTACATGAATGGTTACAGAGCTTTCATTTATGTCATCACTGCCGATAGTTAAGGATCCTTTAAATACGGATACAGGACGAACTCGATGTACCAAAGGATCTCCTATGTGTTTTTCTGCCTCTTGAAAAGTGATGATGGTTCCATTACAGCTTTCAACAAACTGCCTCAGTTGTAGTTCGTTCTCCTTCTTCTCTGGATCTTTGGAATCCTCATAAGTTTGAGTTTTCGGATCGTCAAAATCAATTCCTATTAAACTTAAGTGTACATCATGCTGTACCATTTGCTCAGATATTCCCAGAAAATCGCTAAAGTCGAAAATCCCTCGTGCGCCTGTAAGCACGATCATGTTTTTCCTCCATTTATTTTTTTTGCAAAATCGAGCGATGATATCAAAAGAAACAACAATTGCAGATATTAAGTCACCCTGCATTGTTCTGTTCGGTACGAGCCTGCTTTTTACGGCTTGTAGTTTTGTGAACAATGACCTTGACAATAGTTAATTTGACAATTCATACAAAGGGGTACAAAAGTTGAGAAAACATACGTCTGAATTGGATAAATGACATTAATATTCCAGTAAGCTTCTTGCTCTGCCAAGTCATTTTTCGTTTCTGAAACCTGCATTAGATTCGACTTATTCATTTTTTAAAGATTAATCATTTACCATCACATTTAAATGTCACAATTCCAACTACATCGGTTTTTCTATTAAGCAAAAGCTAATCCGAGTTAGAAATCAAGCATCAGGATGCCTACTTGCCTTGCGCGAAATTTGGTCTTGAAAATACGACAAAGCCAACTCTAAGTCTGTGCGTTGTCTGCCATGATGGCAGTCGCCCATATCAGCGCCTAAATCAATGACAAAAACTGTACATTCCTTCTCGCTCATAAAAATGGTGCTTGAAGTGTTGAATTGGAATTGATGACAAGGATGTCATCCTACCAACCAAATCTAGAAAAAGATTCCACTACAGCATGGGAGCCAAAAGAAAAAAGTAAAAGAATGTTGTCGAGGGTTTCAAAAGGAAGAGGTAATCTAGTGTTTTATTCGTGTTAAAAGGGTTCTTGTAAGCTGCTACTGAAAGGTCATTTCATAACCTATCAAGGTCATGTAAGAAGGAAGAGAGGAATCTTAATATTATGTTACTATAGTTAATATTTTAGTCTAGGAATCCGGGCTTGACTTTACAGGGTTCGTTACTGGTTATATCAGTTTTATAGGGATGTCAGGCTTCAACAGTACCAAGGATGATATCTTTGCGTTGTTTACGAATTAATGTCAATAATTTGGTTCTGTTAAAGCATGCTTGCGACCCTCTAAATATGGGCCAAGCGAAGGTTTTGAGAGGTAATTATTAGTGCTTACATCTTATTATATATTTTTAAAAAGTATATATACTTCTATTCAATGATCAACGAAACATACAAGTGAATTATGCTGAGCATTAGGGCGATACCTTGATGTACTACTAAAACTACATTGTTGAGAAATTGCAACAACTCTCTTAAACAAGAAGTTATTTAGAAATGAAGTAGAAGTTGGATAAACTTATACTTAAAAGAGCTCTATCGGTTCATGGTATCTTCTATTTTGTACTATAGAAATCAGACTGGTTTGAAAACACTCACCACCATAATTTCTGCTAAATAATTATGGGAATAGCATGATTTAGGAAAAAGATTTTTGTTTTTTTCTTTTTATGAATTTTTGATTAATTGAGTAATAAATTAAACTGACAATGGTACGTTTGACGCCAAGTATAGTTGCAATCTTCTTGATTGAAAAAACAAGCTCTGGATCAAATTTTGTTTTTCAATGGCCACCACAGCCTCAGGTCCATTTTCAAGATTCGCCGAAGTCCTCTGAAGACGCTGGCATTGCCATGGATATATTGGAGATCGAGGAGGATGACGACGGTCCAGAATTTAACGGCGCTGCAGATGAAAATTATGTACTTGGATATGAAAAAGGGTTTTTAGCAAATATGCTTTCTCCACGCCCCGAGCTATGTAATCAAAAATTTGAAATGTGGGTGGATGGTCTTACATTCTTAGGTTGCCCTGTTCATGTTGGACCTTCTGGTGAATGGGTTAAACGAAAGAATCCTTCCAAAAACATTGAGGTTTCTTCAATGACAGATCCATCTGCAATAAAGGAGGATTCAACTAGCTATACTTCAGCTAATACAGCCGATACAAAGCCGAACCAGTACAAGTCAAACTCTTCTATGTCTCTCTTTCACGTTGTGTTTGTTTTAAATATTCCTACAGCATCAGTTTACCGACCAACAATTAACACACTATATGAATGTATCGTGATCAAATTGGTCACAGGTTTAAAATACGAGCAAGCTAAACGAAACTATGTGGAGAATGAATGCAAGAATATAATCAAAATGAATGAAAGGAATATAAATAATAAGATTAGCTTTGACGATTTCTGCCGTGAGATTCCTGCGCATTCAAACCTTGCATCGGTTTTGGTGACTACGTATGAAGCTTTAATTCATCTTCATACTGCTTATTTGGAGATCAATCAATCTATTAACATTACATTGCTTTGGCCGATGACCGTTTCTGTTTCAAGTTTGGATAAATTAGAGTTGCAAGAACGTTCCTCTACAATTTTAGCATCTCAAACCATATTTAATGAGGAAGAGCCATCTTTAATAGAGCCATTCGTAGCACCTTACTGGTCATTACTTCTTTTGCAAGATCTCGAATCTATTATGAAGCGCCTTCCTCTTTCACGCAACTCCTTATTAGCTTCATTTATAACAGAAGCAAGACCTACATCCACGTAAGATATATGTGTTTTTTCTATTTCTGACAATCTAGATTTACTGATATCGCTAATTCTTTGGGTATCTCTTTATCAGAATGTTTTCTTTTAGCGAAACATCTAATACATTGGAGAAAAGCTATAGCTATCCCTCCGCTTCTAATACGAAATACTTATGTTACGTCTCCAACGGCTGATCTTTCCAAGCTTAAGTCAGATGCCAGTCTTTTTAAAAGAACATTTCCAAGTCTCCCTTCCCTTCCTACATTTTTGGCCATTTTATCATTTAAACCTCGATCGTTTGGTTCTATTATTCCTTCCAAGGATCATGAATCAACGTACATGGAAATGCTAGCTTGGTTGTGTCGACGCAACTGGGTTTATGAGCAAAATAGTTATATATATGTGTGCGTAACTCCCCAAATTAAGGAAAAAGTTAAAGGAGACATTGAATCGGAAAGTACAGAAGGCCAGGATCCGCAACTGTTAGAACAGCTTAGACATGATGATGGAAGAGAGTCCCTTATTATTGATCCCCATTCGGCTTCTTTACTTGAACAAAAATGGATTCAAGCTATAGCATATGAGAAAAATCCCGAACTAGCCTCCTTGTTTCTTTCCGTTGTCAAGTATTTTAACGGAAGATATGCCCTTCAGACGATTTGGATTGCTGAAGGCTTGCCTCGTAAATCCATGCGAAATGTATTAAACGAGTATCAGCATTACCTTATTCGTTGGTATTCTTGGTAATTAATAGTGTAGCATTCTACACACGCTTCAACTTTTCATAATTTATAAATAAATATACATTTAAATGCTAAAAATATAAGTATGACTGATTCTCATAAGTAAACAAAAAATATTAATAAATACTAGAAAGCCCCCTCGCGGTATGCCAAGATTCCCACATTTTCGTCAAGGATTTCTAAATCTTCCTCGTAAAACCATTTGGGCATTAAGTATGTCCGAAATGGAATTAATAAAAGAATTACTATTGGGAATCCAATCGACGCTTTGTCAACCTGTGTAATCGCGAACGTTGCTCCGAAACCCAATAGTTGAAGACAGGTATACAACCAAACTGCTCTACGAGATCGACAGTGATTTAGAACGTGACCCTGTGACAAGACTTTTCGATCCGCAAACATCCAGAAAATATTTCGCGTTATGTTATTGCCAGCAATAGCAGAAAAGCCCATAACCTAGATGCAATTAGTATAATGATTTTGATTTAAAAAAAATATAAAAAACGAACCCAAAATAAACCTGCTAAGACACACTGGGGAATTTGATGCAGAACTACCAATAGCGGTCCAGTCATAGTTCCCAGCGTCATCAATCCTTGTAAAAAATTGCTCACTCTTTGCTCGATAACTCGCTCAATAACTACTTTTACTTTATAATCCTGCTTTTCTTCATCGTCTTCCTCAACTTTTGTTACACAAAGAGTAGCAGTATGCATAGGTGCTTGAGGGATAAGACCATTTGGTGCAGGTATTCCCAGGATTCCACTAACGAAAGTGGTTATTCCCAATAAAAAGAAATCCCAATGAAATCCGGAAGGCTTTTTAAGAGGAAACGAAGGATCTTGGGCCATTAAGGACTAACAAAATGTTAATGAAACTGAAACTTGTCCTTATTCGTACCGAAACATTATGATCGAAATAAAATAATATCGTTAATACAACAGCAAAAGGTATAGCCAAGAAAACGTCTCCTACCGATATTTTCCAAAACTTGATAAACCAACTCCGGTCTTGCGTGGGCAGAAAAGCTTTCGAGGTTGGCAACTTTGACAAGTCTATTTGACGCATTTTCCCTATATGCTGAAAACCGCTAAAGAAAATAATTGAAGCTACTAAGCCATAATCAAGTAAGAAAACTCGGATTTTATGGTTAAACAGAGAGGAGCTGCCAATACTGTTACAAATCCAACCGATAACCATAAACAATAAAGCAATAGTTATTGCAAGAAAAGTGTTGGCTAGGCCATGTTGAAGCTGATTAGTTAAAACTTGAACTCCCTTTTCCAAATAAATAAATGCCACATATAGTCCAAAAATTTCACAACTAAATTTCGTGCTTCAGTGAATTAGTCTTAATATCTTGGTGGATAAATCACATACATGAATTTAACAAAGTGTACAAGATTTGAGAGAGCTATAATCCAATGGAAAACTGCAGACCATAAGCAGATCCAACAAAGGAAAGGAAAATATGGTGTATTTCTGTCATGAAAAATGTTGTAAATCGTGTAATTAAATACAGTAATCGGACCGGTAACGCCAACAATACATAAAGGCTGTGAAGATAATAGCGAAAAAACAACTGACCCAAGAACACTTGCTAACAAGACTTCATTGACACCAAAGCTATTGTCTGTCTTTGAAAACATGTCTAAAGCAAAAGCTAATTCGGGCAGCAAACTAAATATTAGCAATTATTGTCCAAGAGAATTTCAATTGTAAAAACCGTTTAAGGTGACTTAGAAAAATTGTCCATTACATACTTTGCAAAATAAATATTCAAGCATGCTGGCAGTATTCGATAGTGCCAAGCATCTCGCCAGTCTGACTTATAAAAGGGTATGCGTTGACGGATATCCGTATATATGGAATTACCAAGCTTAAAATCAAGCTTTTCGAGTCTCTTTCTATGTTTTAATGACCCCATTGAACCTTCAAGTAGCATACATTTGCCAAAGTTGATCGTCTCCCGTTGAGATTTATGAAGTAACGTAATGTTACCTAGTATTATGAAGAATATTTCACAAGTTGCGTCAATCACTTTTTTGTGAAATTGCAATATTTGTGAGTTTTACTTGGGCTTATGGCTCCATTTTATTTTATTTTAACTTATGAAAAAGGAAATATTCCTTGTAAGCAAGTGTACTTGAAAAACACTTCAGGTAAAAGGTTTGTAACTTTATACGCGATGAACTGTAGGTCGTTTCATCAATATGGTAAAAATCACTCAAATCACTACCTTTATGATATTCCCTATCTAGAAAAACAAAGTATAACTTATGTTGACAGAAATATTATTTATTAGATCCTTTAGAATAGCAAAACCATGTAATCCCTTTTTAGCCTTAAAATAGATAGACAATCAGGCACCATTATCCGTGTACCCCAAAATTTCCTTCTAAAATTTCCTTTTTTTTACCTTTTGATCGCTCTTATTTTTTTTTCTTTTATTTCTGTTGTCATCAACATCCAAGCGACCACTGGCCATGAGTTGCTTTTCTTTTTGTTTTTGTCTACGCTCGCCAAAACCGCGATCAATCATCTCCAGAGAGGCTTGACGCTTAGCGTCAGTCACTTCCTTCAAACGTTCCAAAACCTTGCTCTCAGAGGCATGTTCATACTCGGACATTGTAGATCCAACGCGATCTTCAATTGCATGAACCAACTCAACATCGTGTTCTGTAACAACAGATATAGCTTGACCAGATCTTCCAGCACGAGCTGTACGACCAACACGGTGAATATAATCATCAGGGTCGCGAGGTAAATCGAAATTAATAATTAATTGCACAGATGGGATATCTAGACCTCTACTGGCAACGTCTGTAGCGACCAGGATTCGTGCAGCCTCGGCGCGAAATCTTCCTAAAGAATTGATACGTTCACGTTGAGCCATTTGGGAATGTAATTCCGTACTTCGAAATTCTAATAAACGAAGCATTGAATAAATAAGCTCAGCGGTGTGCGTGCGATTGACGAATATAATTACAGATTTCTCAGCATTTTCTGGAATAGAAAGCAAGTGTATTAAATACGCTTCACGAACATGTGACGCGACAAAAACATAATTTTGCTGCAGCGTGGACGGAACCGAAATTTTATCAGACTCAACTTCATATAGCCAAAGTGGAGGCTTATTGCCCTTTGTTGGCTTCTCTTTTAGTTGTCGAATTGCGTCTGTGATAGTAGCCGTGAATAGAAGAGTTTGTCGATTTTCTGAGGGTGGAAGATTTGAGAAGCAATCTCCTAAATCGTCGGCAAATGTAGAAGAAAGCAATCGATCAGCTTCATCCATAACAAGGAATTTCACTTTTTGCAAACCAGCCGTAGTTTCAGGACCGTTGCTTCGAATTAAATCGGCTAAACGGCCGGGAGTTGCGACTACTACATGTGGTCTACGTGATAAAGCAATTGCCTGAGCTACCATATCCATTCCACCTACGATAAGGGTATGCTTTAAGTTCATGTTTGATCCGAGTGCAGCAAACTGTTCATCAATTTGAATAGCCAATTCTCTATCGACAAAAGTTAGTATGCGAGGAAAGTTTCTAGTAGAACCAAAAAATTACCTTGTGGGAGTCAAAACAACAGCATAAATACCGGATGGATCCTTCGACCAACTCTCGAGAATTGGAAGAGCAAACGCAGCTGTTTTACCGGAACCAGTTTTAGCACCACCGATACAATCATGACCTAATAATCAAGTTAGTCAAAAGTATAGCAGAAAAAAGAAAAACCCTTACCTTTTAAAATTTGAGGAATAACTCCTTTTTGAACATCTGTAGGTTTATATATAGCCAAAGCCTGTAACGTGTCAATTAGCCAAGGAGATATCCCTAAATCAGCAAATGTAACATCCTGGTTTTCAGACATGTCAAATTCACTCAATATGAGTATTGTTTAGTGCCACTGAGATGGATTTCTTCCTAGATATTTGTTTTTGTTATTCAACGCGAATTTTCAGTTTCTACCATGAATTGCATCGTTCAAGAATGATATACCCAAATACCGACATTTAACGAAACGTACCGATGTGTTTCTACAAGAAGCTAGTCTGCTACATAACATTAATAAATGGAAAATGTATTCGAAGAAATTGCAAGATTGTAATTGTTTCTGAAAAGTAAATTTTAAAAGAAATATGTCAATGTTTACGCGTTCAATTCTTTCTTTCCGTTATGTCTAATAGGTTTTTAAAGTAGCATTGCGATGGCCTTTCACGATTTCGTCTTCCTACTTCTTTAACAATCTTTTTATTTATTTAAGTTTTTTCTTTCTTGAACTTGACGTTTTATATTCCTTTCATTCCATTAGCTATAAGACGTTATGAGGACACGCGTGTTGTGTGAATTTAATATACATGCTTCGCGCTTTACTCTCCGAAACGTATACTCGACCACTACTTTCATACTTCGGTCGTAAATGCCACTCGATAGAAGGATTATTCCTTATTTTTTCATACATTTTTTTTGAATTTATAATTTTTGCCGATCCTTGAATTGGTAATGTGTTCTCTATGCGTCAAAAACCTTTATTGAATTTGGACACAAGTGATGGGTTCTCTGAAGAACGGATCAGTCAACCTGAAAAGCGAAGACAGGAAGAAATTTTAGAAATAACTGATTTAGTTTTTTCTCCAAGTGAAAAGCAATCGGACCTGATTGCCGACAAGCAAAACCAGTTAAAAAGTAATACGATCCGTTCATTAGAAGACATAGATGATGAACAACTTGAGGATCTTGTAACAAACGGAGGGATCCTGTACATGAACAGTTTAGGTGATGGTGTTAGCGGATCTGTTCGAAAATGCAAAGTTCGTGGAACAGATCTTACTTTTGCATTAAAGGTACGCCAAATTGTTTTTAAGCATTTTTTTATTTATACGTTTTATTAAAACATTTCTCTAGACAGTTTTCAGTGCACCGAATACAAGTGTACAACGCCAGCTCCTCCGCGAGTTGAAGATTAATAGAAGCTGTGCTTCTCCTCATATTGTAAAATACTATGGTGCTTGCTATGATATTGCAGAGTGTCAGTTGAATATTGCTATGGAGCATTGTGGGGCTGGTTCTTTAGACGCTGTTTATAAACGTGTAAGCTCCAAAGGAGGCCGTACAGGTGAACGGCCTTTGGGTAAGATTGCTCATGGTGTGCTTAGTGGCTTAAGCTATTTACATGATCGAAAAATTATTCACCGAGATATTAAACCTTCCAACATTCTCATAACTACAAAGGGCCAGGTAAAGCTATGTGATTTTGGCGTATCCGGTGAACTTGTAAATTCGTTAGCCGGAACCTTCACAGGTACATCTTATTATATGGCGCCTGAACGCATATCTGGTTCTGCATATACTATTTCTTCTGATATCTGGTCCCTCGGGTTAACGCTCATGGAGGTTGCACTGAATCGATTCCCATTTCCGCCAGAAGAAAGTCCACCTTTAATGCCGATTGAACTCTTGTCATACATTATTAATATGCCACCGCCTGCTTTACCTGAAGAATCAGGAATCACATGGTCAAAGGCTTTTCGCCATTTCCTTTGTGTTTGGTAAGACAAACCAACGGATCACTTTTATTTTGCTCTGCTAACTCTCTATATAGTCTTATAAAGGATAAGGATGAACGCCCTGGGCCTCAAAAGATGCTTCGTCATCCATGGGTGAAAGCTTTTGAACGTATAGATGTGAATATGGAGGAATTTTTGCGTCAAGTGTGGTTGGATTAATGACTTGAATAACCCCTTTCTATAATTCATAGTCCTTCCGAAAATACATTTTGTCAGGTCATTTTTTGCGAAAAGGTTACTAAAAATTTACCTTTCGAAGTGCTCTTTTTCCTTGGTTGGAACCCATTCCTTTCGTTTTCTATTGCATAGTTTATGAATAACTACTCAAGGTTTCATCAATGCTCTTTTTTCAGACTGCTTATTTTTATTTTACGCTGATTACCCCATAATTTTTTATTTCGACGATTTCCTTCAACCTCATAGAGCCATGAATTTAATAGTAATAAAATCCACCGTTCTTAAAATGTTCATATATTGAAATTATCTACTAGAACATACTAGATAAACAAAACAGATAATAACGCGAATGCCTATATAAAATAAAATTTTATAATACAGCAATCCTTCTTGTTTCAATATGAATGCTGCTATGAACTGGTAAAAATTACTGCAATTGGACCGAACGTTCTCTAGGATTCGTAAAAAAAAAACTCAAGTAGACTACATTTACAGAAAAATATTAACATGTTATGTTGTTGTAATCGTTTTGTTGGTACACCTTCACTTTGCTGATTTTACTAACTCCCAACAACATTTGCCTAGACAAGAAGTACGCAATTCATTCATTTTAATTGAAGAATAGACCAATCTCTATAACAAAAGAAATCAATTCCTTTCGTTTTTTCTAAAAAAAGGAAAACAATGGCTGAAAACAACGTTTCCAAATATTGGAATGAAAGAGTGTACTTTTGGGGTCTAAGACGCCGAGACATTTTCCTATTTGAAATTTATGCTACGACAATTCTTCTAGGAACTATTTATGGTGGATTCCTTGATAGATCCAAGATCACTAATTATTTTGGCAATTCAAAAAACTTGATTAACATTTTGTTTGTGAAGAAAGGATGGTTTTGGACTACCATCGCATACTTCTCGCACGTATGGTGTCAAAAAAACAAGCAGCTCGGACCCAAGCTTATTACTCGTTATGCACTAGCTACGCTTTGGTGGTTTCTTGTTACACAATGGTTTGTTGGACCAAGTCTCATAGATCGGGCTTTTGCCTTAACGGGGGGAACCTGTGTAGACTTCGATGTTGCAAGTATAACGTTTCATCCAAAAACCGCTGTTCATTGTAAGAGCGCAAAGGGTTTTTGGACCGGAGGCCACGACTTGTCTGGTCATGTATTCTTGTTGACTCATTCTAGTCTATTTATGCTTGCTGAAAGCTTTGACAATTTCATCTCTCATGGGTTTAAGTCTACCTCCACCAAAATTTTGACGGGATTACTATGCCTATGGTGGTGGATGCTGTTCGTTACAACAGCTTATTACCATACTACACTTGAAAAGTTCACTGGATTCTTTTCAGGAATTTTGGAATGGGCTGTCGTTTATGTTTTGTCGGCGAAAGTTCCTTTTATTTCATCAATTTTAGGATCTCCTGAAGACGCATGAAAGGAATAGCCTTTAGCTGTCCAATTTCACCGTTTATTCCTTACTTAATTTTTGAAACCTTTTATGATTTTGCCTTCGTCTCTGAAGATTATGAATACTAAACTCTTTCTTTCCTAAGATACCATGCCATGTTAGGTGTAATCTTCCCTTTTACTATATATCTATTTCAACGGAAATAACAAATGCTCTTCTTTTTGAATTTTCGATGACCGCTTAAATGGAATAAAAATTTTGATTTTTCAGCAACATCCTTGGTTCAATCATTCTGAACCAAAAGTTAAATACATGCCTTTGAGGATTACCTAACAGTATTACATATGCGGGTACAGCTTAAAAAATATTATTTATTATAATTTCAGCATTAATGCATACATTACAAGAAAGGGAGTACTTCTTTCGAAACTTATGTAACGACAAAATGCGTTTTTTAAAGCTTTATTTAAGAGTATAAAAAAAAACACAAAAACGAAAAAATAAACAAATAAATTCAGTGCATAAAAAGAAACTGAAAGATTGGATAACGGAGACAAGCTGTATCTATATATGCATTTTAACACTCAAGTCTTCTACTGACCACCATCTTGCTCCTTCCTTTCACAATAGCTAATATTACAATTATAAGGCAGGATTAACAAATAATCCTGATTTATAAATTATACTTGTTAACATTCTAAATATTTAATCAGCTTGCTCACCTAATTTACGGGATAACCGGTGCTATAAAATAGTTGGTGAACAGGTACGAGATTTAGTCTAACCTTTTTATATACGCTTCAACACTTATATAATATATATATAAAGGGTTTACTGGATCTCAACTACTAAAAGCTTTGTTTGTATTCGATTACTAATACAAAGTAAAGTGGATAGTGTTCAAGACCAGTTCTTGATTACATACTCCTCATCTCATCAGGATTTTATTAAACATTTCAGACTCTTTATAATACATAGTTGATTGTCTTTCTTTAAGGCATATTTCGAAAGTATTTTAGTGGTTTCATTTTCACCTTTTAAGGGTATGATCTCTAAAACACTACGCGCAGTCAAAGCGCAGCAATCAAAGCTATTCTCTTCGAGGGTATTAAGTTCGAAATTCTATAGTCATAGACATTTTTCAGTTATCCCAGATATCCGCCAATGTTTATCTAGAAATGCGAACGGTATTCATCCGAAGAACGGCTCGAAATCTTATGTACCCAAACTAGCTTCACGGGATTTTCATCAAAGCTCTCGCCTTTCTCAAAATAATTCATCAAAACCGGATCCCAATTCAAAGGATAAGGGAGAAGACAAGAAAAACGATGATAAGAAGAAAAATGATTGGGGTGGTGATGGAAACAAAAAAGTATTTGAAGTAGCTTTGAACGGAAATACCATACTTGGAAGTATTTTAGTGACATACATCTTATACAATGTTTTATCGCCTGGCGCAAATATGCAAGAAATTACTTGGCAAGATTTCCGTCAACAGTTTTTGGATAAAGGTCTTGTTGAACGTTTAATAGTTGTCAACCAAAACCGCGTCCGCGTGATTTTACGTGGCGGCATGCCTAACGCATCTGGCCAGTACTACTTTTCAATTGGATCGGTTGAGTCTTTTGATAGGAAACTAGAGGCTGCGCAAAAGGAACTTGGAATTCCTTCTTCAGAATATGTTCCTGTAGCTTATCACGATGAAGTTTCCTTGCTTGGTACTTTGCTATCATTTGCCCCTACTTTATTGATTATAGGAAGTGTCATTTACTTGTCTCGTCGTGCTTCTGGTGCCGCTGGCGGAGGCCAAGGCGGAATTTTTGGAATCGGAAAAAGTCGAGCAAAAATGTTCAACCATGAAACGGACATTAAAACCAAGTTCGCTGATGTCGCCGGTGTTGATGAGGCAAAAGAAGAAATTATGGAATTTGTGAAGTTTTTGAAAGATCCTGCATTTTACGAACGATTAGGTGCGAAGATTCCTCGTGGTGCTATTCTTTCTGGTCCTCCCGGTACAGGTAAAACCTTACTCGCCAAAGCTACTGCTGGAGAGGCCAATGTTCCTTTTCTAAGCGTTTCTGGTTCCGAATTCTTAGAAATGTTTGTTGGTGTTGGTCCATCGCGTGTACGTGATCTCTTTGCGACTGCAAGAAAGAATGCACCTTGTATTATTTTTGTGGATGAGATAGATGCTATCGGTAAATCAAGAGGACGCGGAGGCCAATTTGGATCAAATGATGAACGTGAAAGTACACTAAACCAGCTTTTGGTGGAAATGGATGGTTTCACTCCCAGTGAACATATTGTTGTCTTTGCAGGTACAAATCGTCCCGATGTCTTGGATCCTGCTTTGCTACGACCTGGTCGTTTCGATCGTCAAGTTCATATTGATCGACCCGATATCGGTGGACGTGAACAAATATTTAAAGTACATTTACAACGTATCAAAGCCTTTGATGATCGCAACATAGTCGCTAAGCGTTTATCTGTGCTTACTTCCGGATTTACTGGTGCTGATATAATGAACGTTTGCAATGAAGGTGCTTTGATTGCTGCTCGTGGCGGTAGTGACAGTGTTCAAATGGTCCATTTTGAGCAAGCAATTGAGCGTGTTACCGCTGGTTTGGAGAAGAAGAGCCGAGTCTTGAGTCCTGAGGAGAAAAATACTGTTGCTCATCATGAAGCTGGTCATGCTGTTGCTGGTTGGTTCATGGAATATGTTGATCCTTTATTGAAGGTATCTATTATTCCAAGAGCTCAAGCTTTGGGTTATGCTAGCTATTTACCAAAAGACCAATACCTTATGAGTAAAGGTCAAATATTAGATCAGATGGGGATGGCGCTTGCAGGCAGAGTTTCGGAAGAAGTATTTTTTGGAACAGACAAGATTACTTCCGGAGCATCCGATGATTTCCAAAAGGTGACTCGAATGGCTCAAGCGTATGTTACTCAATTTGGTATGTCTCCTTCTGTAGGTACTATTTCTTATCCTATGGATTCTCGTGAAAGTGTTCAAAAACCATTTTCGGAAGCCACTGCTCAAATAATCGATGAAGAAATAAGAAAACTTGTCAAATTTGCGTACGAGCGTACTAGGAACTTGCTCATAGAACACAAAGAAGGATTAGAAAACATTGCCAAACGTTTGCTCGAGAAGGAAGTTATTACATACAGTGAAGTTGAAGGAATTCTCGGTCCTAGGCCTTATGCCCATCGCCATATGGATATTTCAGGAATCATGCGTCAGTATGGAAACAATACTTCATCTGATCAGCAACCCTCCCCTTCTGCGGGTCCTTCAACCAACTAATGTATATTTTGAAGAAAATGTTATGGAAAAATTATGAATGATTAGAATAGCATTACATTCAGTTAATGAAGATTCATTAAGTTAAAATAGCATATCAAGTTCCTGCGTAACTGAGCTGATACATGGAAAGATGTTTAAACGTTCTGATCGAGAGTGGAAGTAAAAATAAAACAACAATGGGTTTAATTGATCGATTCATTCTTATTCAATGAATCAGCGTAGATATAAACAAAAATAATGAATAATGAACACCTTTGTATAAGACAGTAAGCCATGCCATGACCACACAGGTATTCCTCCTCAGCCAGCGTCAGTGACATGAAAAGGTTATCCACAACCGAACATTTTAGAATGGATTTGATTGTTGCTACAATTCTTCTAAGTTTATTTATTCATTTCTTTGACAAGTATTTTAAGGAAAAAACCATAAATGGGGTAATTACAGAGACCACGAAAGAGATGAGAAGCAACTAACGAAAGGACAGATTTATCAAGTTTATTTAGCTTGTAGTAAAAATGAAGAGTTAAAGAAAAACAAAGATATTTTCAGAGAACTCTTAGCTTTGAAGAAAGAGTTAAATCGCACAAGCAGTCAAGATGAATTTGCCAAATGGGCTCGTTTGAACAGAAAATACGAAAAGCTAAATCAAGAGTGGGAAGCACAATCCAACGTTGTCCAAAAGTTTCAAGAAACATTTAAAAAGTTTGTTAGTATCGTTCTCTGGATACTGACTAGAGGATTCCGATTCTACATTCAATACAAGAAATCTAAAGCACCTGTTTTTTTCTTACCAGCGTTTTTACTTCCTTCTTGGGCTTTATGGTTTTTATCTCTTCCACGATCTAAATATGGTAAGCTTGTGAGACAGAAGTCGTAAATCCAATCTCATTTACTAACATCTTTCTTATAGGTTCAGTCAGCTTGACGGTATGGAACTATGCAGTTGGAAAGACGATCTCTGCTTTTCTCTAATACATTAATTCTACCAATGGTTTCGATTTTACCACATATCACTCATATTTCTGAGACAACACATGGCAGTCGTCGCAGTTATTGAAGGTTTCCAGTATTTTTATTCTCGGCAAGTCATGTCTATAAACCTAATGTTGGAAAATAATCCGTTTTCATTCCAGATGAATGAATTATTCTGTGTAACTCAAATTTACGAATGAATCATATCTTATATTAACATTTATGCCATGTTAGAATGCTTTTGTAGATTCACCAGAGCAGCACAAAATACACATATACTTTCTCTTTTCAATTCTTAAGTTCAGGTCTTTAATTTACTTTTGATTCAACCTCTCATCAAAGAATTCCTAACTGTACTTCCTTCCTTTTGTACTAAACCCTTAGGTACACTAGCAAGTTGGTAGCAAACCCCCACATGGTATTGTTTGTGGAGTAATTTTTGGATTCAGTAAGTGTATCTATTTAGACCCCCATCTCTTTTAAGGGCTCAGTGGGGGCATTAAATGATTAAGATCTTCGTCATTCTCGATTCAATGTACTTGCCCATGGTTGATCTTCACTACTCGCTTAAGAGATCGACATAAAAAAATGCAATGCGCTTTAGGTATTTCTTGATACATGTAATTCATACCTTTTCATGACTTATAATTGAAAAAAGTAACTGGATTACATTAGATTTAATATCTTATTAGCTGTTCTCTTTGTTGCACTCTAACCTTTTGCTCTGTCCATATAAGTGATACTTGTTTCCTGTGGTACGTGTTCAGCGACCAACACTAAAGTCAGGTCTTACCAAGTGTCATTCCTTTTAAAGATCAACTGCATTTTCTCCAGGAAATGTCTTTCAATACGTTGCTACCAATTGTTATGCTGGCGTCCGGTGTCGCCAATACCATTTTGTCCAAGTACGAAGCAGCACTAGATTTTAGAAGGAAGAATTCAATAATGAAGACTCATTTGCTAACCATTGGGAATTTTTTAGATATCAGGATACTATTGCAGAGGATGCTGGGCCAGTAAAAAGTATGGCTATCTTTCAGAGCCTAAACATCTTTTTAGGTGAAGCTTGTTTATGGTTTTATGTGTTTTATCGACGCTACTCTAGAAGATCAGATTATGAATCATTGGAAAAGTTAACTCTCAAGGAAAAGGCCGCTTTAGCATTGCCAGCTATTATGGATATTTCCGGCTCCACCTTGATGAATGTCGGATTATTGTTTACAAGTGCTAGTATTTATCAAATGACAAGAGGATCCCTGATCTTGTTTGTTGCTTTATTTTCAATCACATTTTTGAAAAGCTACATTGGGCGCCATCAGTGGCTTTCTTTGACTTTTGTGGTGCTCGGTGTGGCATTAGTTGGTTATTCTGGTTTCACAGCAAATGTTGGATCAAATCCTACGTTAGGTATTTCTGCAGTACTTATTGGTCAAGGGTTTTTGGCTGTGCAATTTACTCTTGAAGAATACATCTTGTCTTATATCCATGTTGATCCTCCCGAATTGGTTGCATATGAAGGTACTTACGGTGTCATTTTTGTTCTCCTCGGTATGGGCCTTTCTTATTATTTTGTTGGTTCCACTGAGGCTGGAAGGTATGGTTGGTTTGATTACTCTCACGTTTTCTCCCGACTAAACGAACTTCCTATTCTTTACTTCATCTCCTTCGTTATTTTAATCTCCATTGCGTATGTATTCTAACTTTTTTGTTTTGACTTTCGTTTTGTTTCTTGAATTTTGGCTAACTTCATAGCTTTTTTAACGTAAGTGGTCTCTCCATCACTCACATATATTCGGCTACTACACGTTCTCTTTTAGACATTGCTCGAACGTTCGGTATCTGGGTTATTGCGTTACTCTTTGGAATGGAATCATTTCATCTGCTACAATTTACCGGATTCGTTTTGCTCATCTATGGAATTGCAACTTACCATTCCATAATAAAGCTTCCTCTCGCTGAAATTTGATTATATTGTTCGCTTTCCTTTTATTTTAGATATAATTACTCCTTACTGCTATGCAAACTAATAAATTAATTCGTACTTTTTTAGACAAACATTAATATTTCATTAGGTAACGTCCATCCCAAAAAAAAAAATAAAAATAAAAAAGAAACCAAACTTCTATCCCAGCAAAAGATATTTTTCATCTATACTAATAATCACCGAGTCTTCTTTCTCACTTTTGTGGCACGTGACTCCTCTTCGTCAGATCTTTGGATATCACGTTTGAAGTCATTGTCATTTTTCTCGTATTCTTCAGAGCTTTCTTCATCAATATTAAATAAATCTTTCGCATTCATACGAGCATCTGAAACATTCGACAAGCCTTCGTTGTGGTTAGTATTTTGAAGGTCGTTTAGACCCTTTTTCTTTATTAAGTCATCCGTCTCCTGTTCAACCTCATCTGAATCAGATTCATCTTCCACAAATTGTAAATCAACATTTTCAGTAGGAAGACGATCAACATCGATACTAGAAAGTTGTTCAACATCAACCATCGGTTCTAATGCGATAGGATGCTCATTAAAGCAATTCAGCATATGAACTCTATGTTTACGAACACCTTCATCCACAGAGATGATGCTGCCCAAAATACTAGGGAAATCACTTATTCTACGTGATCCCTCTCGTTCGATTCTAGAAGCAAGGGCAAACAATTCATTTGTTAATAAGTCAAATCCATTACCCAGGGTGGCTTTAACGCGAAGTAGACCACGACTAGATTTTGATACATCATTACTAAATTCAACAGGATCCATAATAGATAACAGGTACGGTTGATTTGGTCTTAACCATCCTTGTTTTTTCTTTGAAAAATAGAAACCACCATTATGAACGGCGATACCAACTGCATCGTAGTGAAAACGCTTGCCATAGAGTTCCAAAAGTTCTAAAAGCAAAACGCCGTAATTATCTTCTTCACGAATTGAACCAGTACTTAATCTCGGATGAAGTTGAAGAAAAGAGACCACCAAACAAACAATAGCGTAACTACTAAGACCACCCAAAAACACCTCATTTAGAGCTCGCATGTTTAGGTAGTGTTTAATGATAATTACAAGAGGACGAAGAGCAGGATATTTCTTCAAAAAGCCGTTCACAACCAGACATGTTTTAAGACCTCCGGCTTGGTTGAAAGATACATCGACATGAATCTTCGTTATTGGATCCACAAATTTGATGATAGGCACATTAGCAGTAGTGATAACTTGGATATCAGTGGCTACTTTAGATTTCCTTAGGTGATGTGCCAAAACAAACATATCCTTTTTGCTTCCACGGTAATGACTGTCTGAAGACATTATTACCATATCCAAATCAGAGGTAGGAAGATAGAGTCGGGTCTCGAAACTACCAAATACATATACCGAAACGTCTGGCCACTTCTTTACAACGGCATTATTAATGCGTGAAATTAAAGATTTTCGAACAGCATGCTCTTCAGGCGTCGGCGTTATATAGTCGACAAATTGAGTGATATCCTGATGCAAGAGTCGAGACACTTCAATATCTGCTTTGTATGGTCTATGCCAAGGGCAAGAACTAGGATCAATTTCGTATGCCATACGCTTTCTTTTCCTACTTGATTGTTCATTTTGTTTGTTGGCCTCGTGAAAAAATCGACCGTTGTTTTGCATAAATCCAGGAATATTGTTGGGCCCTGAATCATTGGTTTCGTCTTTGGAAGTGTCATTTACGTCTTCATCACTATTCCAATCGAAACCTATATAATCTGCATTTTCATCCACAGCATTCTTTGGTTCAGGTTTCGGCTTCTCACTTTTATCATCCAATTTTTTTAAACCTACTAAAATAGAGGGTGCACCTTTCTTGATTGCTTCTTCCGGAAGATCTAACTTTTCTAGGGTTTCCAAAGGATCGACTCGTCCTGACTGATTCAATGACGGCTTTGAGGGATTATCTATATCATTTTTTTGTTGTGAGTATTGGGTGCCATCACTTTCTTTTCTGTTTTCCCCCTGCTCCTGCTCCAAAAGACTAAAGTTATTGTTCACTTCCAATTCGTCAGGGTATTTCGATTTCCTTTTTCCATCATTCTTCTTAAATCTGCGATTCCTATCATCCTTTTTGAATATTCTTCTAGGTAAAGGTTCACGCTCATCAAATTTTGATTTCTTTTTTATCTTATTAGCTTTGTTTGCTTTGGAGAATGTACTTTTTTTAGCCATTTCCCAAGCCAAAGGGAATTATCTCCAACAAATATCAATGTAGAAATGGTCCCTTATTTATATAAATCCACAAATTTGAGAGTCAATCCTTAGACAATGACCACATACAAGTCCAGAAAATTTTGTGGTGATTTTGTTGCACAATTCTCAGATTCCTATTACAGCAACTTCTCTATGTCACGTTAATGCGCGTTAAACAATAAAATAGAAAAGTAGTAAAAGTATAAATTATTAGCTCTGTAAAAATAAAAGGATTCTTATACATTTGTTTCTGGACGAGTTAGGTACTAAATTGACGGAAGAAACGTTTGAAGTTGTATAATTATTAGTAATCGCGTAGCAGTTTCTCTGAAAACTGTCATCAAAAAAAAAATAAAAAATAAAAAAAAGTCTAATAACAGAAATAGAAATAGAAAATTTTTAACGATAGGATTGTGAATAAGGATCCTGATGACGAGATCCTAATCCCGGGATAAACGGGCCAGTTGATGGGGAATGATTTCCATAATTTTGAGTAGGTGCATGTGTCATGCCAGGAATTTGTGGATTCGCTGAAGATGCGGCAGCTGCTACTGAAGGTGCAAATCCTGGTGCATTCCCCAAACCAGGTAAGGAAGGCATAGAAGGATAAGTCTTGTTCGCATTCGACAAGTTTTCCACCGGTGAAGTTTCATCAGGTTCATACGCATCTTCTTCTTCCGCTACAGCACGTCTTTGTCCAATAACAGCTTCAGATTGTTCTTCACCCAAATGATGGCGGTCCAAGAAGGATTCTTCATCCTCTGGACGAGACCTTGACCAAAATCTAGTAGTTTTGTCGTTGGAGCCAGTGCAAAGTAAATGGCCTAGTGGATGATATTGCATACTCCATATACCGAGCTCATGAGCATAAGGAATTTCAGCAATAGGATATAATAAATGAGAAGAAGATGAAAGGGTGGTGTTGGGATGTTTTTCGTGGTGTTTCTGCTGGGAATACACGGGTGGCTCGTCTAAACTGTAATGATTGACGCTTCCATCAGAGCCACCAGTTGTAAGTAAGTTGCCATGAATAGGGTGCCATGTAACACAATTAATATCTTTCTCATGGCCTCTCAAAACTCGGATATCTTTCATGACTCGTAAATCAAAAATCCGGCAAGTACTATCTCTTGAAACAGTAGCGAGATAATTATTTCCAAATCCTTTTTGGAAACTTGCCTGCATAATCGTATTTTTATGTCCATGTAATGTAGCAAGACAGGAGGCAGTACGAGGATCCCAAAACTTCACTAAGTTGTCTTTAGATCCAGAAGCTAAAAGGCCCTTGGAAGGGTGCCAATCCACCGTTTTGACATCCCAACCATGTCCTGTGAGCTTTTGCTCTTCAACGCTCATTTGGAAATTCCATATTTTCAGAGAACCGTCGTCACTAGCAGTAACAAATTTACTATCATTCGGCGAGAAAGCCACATCTCGAATTTCCATTTCATGAGCTTGAAGAATTTTTACATTATTCAAATTTGGTTCGAAATACTTGATAATACCACCTCCGTCACCGGAAATGAGCCAGCGGCCATCTGAGCTCCATTCGGCGCATCGAACAGCATAATCGTGACTCTGGTTAATAAGTTCAAAATTAAATGTCAGACCATTCCACAGGGTAAATTCTCCTGTAGAAGAACCCGTTAAAAGTCTTCTGCCATCTGGTGTCCACCGCACAACGTTAATAACATGTCGTGCCTTATTTGCAGACGTGTGAATATACTTAGTACATAAAGAATTAGCGTAGTTATATTTATATTCGCACGGAGGATATAAATTTAGAATGTGATTGGGATTGGGCCTAGGAACATGAACGTGATACATATTGCTTCGAAGATGCCGATTCAAAACATACTGGGAAAGATTGGAGCCATAGTCAACGGTTCTTCTCGTCATAGGCTTTTGAATAATTCTAGCATTTTCGGCGCGCTCCATCCTTACTGTAAAAACCAAACGTTTATATTGGAACCCTTAAAAATGAGAAATTTACAAAGGAGAGAAACTTCTTTTCCTTCGTATAATAATGCAAGATGGTATTAACTATTAATCTGAATGAATTCAAAGAAAGTCCGAATTACACGCTCTACCTCTATGTTGGAAGTGGTGCTGCGTATGCGATAAATGAAGGATGCCTTTCAATTAATGTAGGAGACAAGTGAATGAAAGATGTAGTCTTTTTTTACTACTTTTTTTTAGAATAAGAACTGAAATATTTAATGACTGGAAAGAATCAGGTAGAACCTCAAGTCGTAATTTCGTCCTCAAAGTTGCAACCAAGAAATGAGTTTGGATGTTATTATTGTATTCTTTTCATTTCTTATTCTGTAGCTCTTATTTCCCACAAAAAAAAAAAAAAAAAAAAAAAAAAAAGCCCCTTTTTACTCGTCAAATGTTCAAAATTTCAAGAATTCCCATAAAGGGCAAGAGATATTCCATTATAAATAATTTTATGTATATACTATTTTAACACTAGAATTAGTTTTATTAAGGATTGAATTCAGATTGACCTTTTTTATTTTCATCCAACGCTTTTTTTGTCTCACAAAGAAATTCAATAATTCAGTTTCGTAAACAAGCAACGGAATGACAGTTTTAAAACGAAATTATTCATTTGAAAACTCTGAAATTTTATAAAAACGAATTGCATCAACTCTGCATTATCGAGACAAATTGATTTTTATTTTTTAGTTTTTACTCAAGGATGTTTGTTTACCAGTTAATGACATAAAAGGTAGCACGTTAAACACAATGAAAATATAAGTACTACTTACGATAATACGCTATCCATGCATCATGTAATATAATTATAGCCTGTGTTCTCAGAAAGCAGTTACCAGAGAGCATTGTACAGAACAGACTTCGATTTTGGAAACGATAATGTCGAATAAACAAAGGCCTACCCTGCCTCCGAAGAGGACAATTAATACAAAGCTATCAACGCCGGTCCACATCGCTCCTCCGGTAAGTCCAGAGTACTCTCGTTTGACGCCGCAACGGCATAGTCCTCCTGGATTTGGAAATCATCGAATATCATCGGCCCAGGAACTATTTAAGAGAAAAAAGAATGCACAAAAAATAGACCATCCATTGGGTTGGTTACTCAAGAATCGTCATGTGAATGCAAATTCTCATATTCCTCAACGGACGACAAAGACATCGCAAAAGCTTGTGCTTTTACCAGAAGATCATGCTGTTAATTCTTTCGAAGAAGATCCTAGTGTTTATGAAGATGTAGTACCGTTAAGTTCTTATAACATGATTAAGTCAGAAAACCTTTCGAAGGACAAAAGAGAGGAATTAGGATTTCCAAGAGCTACAGCTTATTCTATATGTGACGCCTTTCAAATACCAAAAGTTAAACATTTTTTGAGAACATATCACAAGGTTAGGCCGAGAAAGTACGATGAGACCTTGTATGCCGTTTACCATTTACCATTAGTGTATGGTAGATCTGAATCCTGTCGCATCGCTAGTGGCCCTCCACCACCAATAGAACAAGAAGATTCTCCTTCTACATCCTCTGATCAATTACAACAACTAAATGAGGAATCCACATCCACCACCTCTCCGTCCGCAAGTTCAATCGCTCAAATGTACCGCATTTCAGAAAGTACGTTTAATTCTATGTTAACCCGCTAACTTATTCTTAGTTTTTGTTTTCTCTTATGGTGTTATAGTGTTTTGGAATTTTTCACTAGGGCAAGAGAAAGATATTCTAGCAGATTTAACTTTTGCAGGAGGAGAGAACTCATTGATGATTAAGCCTTTAGCTGAGGAGGAATGTGAAGTTGAAGACCTACATTTTCATTACGCCCCTCATACCAAACGACCTCGCATTTATAACGATATGATTCATATTCCTTCCGCTGATATAAAAATGAAGCTTGTTATGTCTCATGCTCTTGCACAGTCCGTCAAGCTTTCCAGATTTGAACTCCGGACGGATGTGACAATGAATTCAGCGCTAATATTCCCTAAAAAGCTAGCTTTATACGGACACTTGGGCCTCTCTAGAGCGGAAGTTATTCGAATGAGCGGACATTTATTTCAATTGCGTGTAGACGTAAATCTGATTAGTAATGTATTAGATACGCCAGAATTTTTATGGGATTCTGAACCTTTGCTACTTCCTTTATACACAGCATTTCGAGAATACTTAGAAATCGGGCCTAGGACGAATGTGTTGAACAAACGTTGTAAGGTTATATTTGACATGCTCGATATCTTTGGGAAATCGAGTGCCGATAAGAAAATGAATTCCATTACATGGATTATCATTATTCTAATTACTTTGTTCATGATTGTTTTTATGGTATGTTTGTTTGACAATGATACACTACTAACATTCGCAGTTTGAGGTTATTCTTCGTTTAAAGTTAGCAAAAAGCTAAACTTGTTAATAATTAGTTATTTTAATTTCAGGATGGTATTGAGTTTTTGTTCGGTCTTTAGGTTTCTTACGAATAGAATAAATGTTCCCATTTTTCTCTTCTGTTATGACTAAAAAGTGGTAGAGAAAATTCATCCCTATCATTATAGATTTCTCTAAAATAAATATATTAATAGTGGTAGTACTCAAGGACGTTATGCTCAACAAAATCAGGCTGCAAGTTAAAGACCTTCAATGCCTGCCTTTCAAGATCCAAGTAGTAAGTGTCGGACATTTGCAAAAAACTTTTCTGGCTTGCGGTTATGAATTGAAAAAACTCATTTTTATTTGGTAATTCAGTAAACCGTTCAAGAGCAATCTTCATTTGTTTCTCATAATCCTCTGGTACATTGAACTTATTTGAAAGCGATAAATGACTTAAAATAGAAGAAACATCTCTATGCTCTTGAATAAGCTCTAAAGCACGTACTGGTCCTATTTTAGGAATTCGAGTAGAAAAATCAGTTCCACACATAAGACAGTATATCTGGAATTGTCTATAAGAAATGTTTAGGCTATCGCAAATCCGCATTGGATTTACATAGGTAAGAAAATGGTAAAACAACTGTGAATTATCTAAAAAATCTGATACCATGGGAGCACCTAATGCCAATGTATCCGTATCCTGAGTAGCAACAACGGTTGCCAAATTCTTCTTATATATGGCAGACGCAAACGCTTCAGCTTCAACTGCAATGGGGGCATAAGTCACAGGAATATTCAAAATTTTTAGCAATTCAATCAACTCCTCAAAATGCTGTTTGGTTGGTGAGTAAAGACGACGCTCATATTTTATCAGTTCCTCCTGTACTTTTAGTCTACAACTTCGTAAGGTCTCCAAGTCAAGCTTTCCAAGTAGATAAAGAACACATAATTTTAGGTCTCGGAAATCAGAGCGTGGCTTTAGTGTTTTAAGGTACTCGTTTACATCAGAAAAAGAGCCCAAATCACTCAGTAAACCTATCAACTGATTATAGAGTTCCTCAACTTTTTCTAACTTTTTCTGTTTCAGTTTCTTGTCTATGGAATTTGGTGAAGGGACTCGAACGTCCGGTGATTTTGATGCGGATTCTAAATCCTCTGGGTTAACAGGTGTGGGAAGTTTTGTATTTTCCAAATCAACATCTTCAAGCAAATTTTCGAGTGAATAAAGAACTTCATCAAGATCAAAATCAGGAACATTAAATTGTTTTGTCTCGCTTAGCAAAACCGATTCAAAAGTCTTCTGAAGAGATACACGTTTGGATATATCATTACGGTCCCTTATAACATTTTCTTTTAATAATTTTCTTTTTTCATGTTCTTCTGCTTTGTGTTCGTTTGGAATTGGATTATCAAAAACAACGATTGGCATTATTTTTTGTCTGCGACAATACCTAGCAAGCTTGAACGCCCATTTGAAATGATTAAAGCTATAGTTTAAAGCGGTGTACTGAGAGCGAAAGTTCCGTATAAGCAGTAATGTTCCATCTATGGCGACCACTGGAAATAAGCTGGAAAATGAGCTTGCTGCAATTGATTGAATACTTTCAGGAGCAACTCTCCGAAGCATCGGTAGCAAACCTTGAACACCCATTACAATTCACATTAGAAAGACGAATTTAGGCCAAAGCTAACTGGCAACATCACGCATTACCAAGCTTGCTTTTTCTAAATTACAAATCGGTCATGCTCTGTCAGTTACTTGAAGATGAAGTAACGAGTTGAGATTCGAAGATTTCATAACAGTAATGCTTTCTTTATTATACATTGTTTTATTGTCATTTTTATTTTTTGTTACGAATGTCTTCTATAAGATATTCTCTAGGAGCAATACGGTGTACCCAAAAGTGATATTTCTATAATATGCTTATAGACGAATAGCAATCGAAACACAATTTTAACTTGTATAAACTTATTACTTTATTTATTGATATCTATTTAAATCCAAAATCCATGACGGTAGCCGTCAATTTGCTACAAAATATGGTCTAAAGTATTCTAAATTACTAATGTACAGGAGTTCTTGAAGAGCGCAAGTTCAACAACAGTTAGGGTAAAGGACAGGAAGATGGGTCTTTATCCTTTACTTTCAAGGCCCAAGCCGGATAATCCGTTTTATAAGACCATTCCTCGCTCTCATAACGTAAAGCATGCAACCAAATCCCAAGTTCCTCTGGACTTGGGTCGGTATACAAGGGCGAACCACATACTTCACAATGCTCACCTGTCAAGAGTTCACCAATTCGTTTATCTCTACGAGCTTTTGCTTCTGCTTGTGTTTCGTTGGTATACCATTCATATTGTAGTAGAGGAGAAGCAGTTTCAGTTTTGCCAATTTCAGAAAGACGCATAATTACGGAAGCATTATCTCCTTCTCCATTTTTTCCAAGGGAGGAGCCCCAGACTCGTTTATTTGCGTATATAGGGTCATTTGCAATCGGGTGACCCAGGTATTGCAAATGAACACGCAGTTGATGCGTTCTTCCGGTGAGAGGCTTACAATGAACAAGAGAAGTATTACCATCAAATGCGATTCTACGAAACACAGTGACAGCTTCTTTACCGTCTGGATGAACTCGGTTAAGTCCAAGGGTAGGGGCAACAGTCAGAAGACGGGCGTCACAAGTAATTTCTTTGTCGGCGGGGAATTCACCAACGACCCTAGCAATATACTCTTTTTTCAAAGACTTACTTATCATGTAAACACGCATCTCTTCAGCTGCCTTTGGGGTTTTTGAGAAAAACATTAGTCCAGACGTCAAGCGGTCGAGTCGGTTGCAAGGGTAAAGAAAGGGACATTTATTTTCCTTCATCAGAATGTGAAGAACAGTATTGTGGTTGTAACGTCCAGTGGGATGGACTGGAACACCTGCAGGCTTGTCTATTACAACAAATTTTTCATCTTCATGAACAATAGCAACTGGTTGATCAGAAACAGGAGGCTCATGGCGGTGAGCGTGATGGGAGACTATATAGCCGTTGTTGATGATGGTATCCACGTTTCCAACTTTATGATTGACATTCACTTGACCACCACGAATGGCCTTTTCGTAATATCCTGGCTCACGATCTCGGAATTCTGTGTTAAAAATCTCCAAAAGCGTTTTTCCATACCAGCGAAGTTTTGCAAAAGTTATGTATTCGTAAAAATACGGCGGAACGCGTCTTAAGCCATCGCCATGGTAGACATATTCACAATTCTCCAAGGGATCCCTTTTTGGACGCTTGTACATACCTTTCTGCCGTAAAGTACTGAGAAGTCTGATTCCCCGAATAGTGGTGGAGGTCAACTGCTGCATAGGAGGCAATCTTCTTGAACAAGGACATTTTATTTTACACGGTAAAAAGCAATTCCTATCAAAAACAACGTTAAGAAGAAGGAAACATTTGAATAAATTTCAAATTCTTTTACAATCAATCCGCTGATGAACAAAATTTTGGGATCCTACCTCTTCCTTCTCTTTTTATCGTAATATTTTACTACGGTATCGTACTACGATATTCATGGTAAAAAACAAATTTTATTTATTCATGAATTGTATTTAGCAGATGTACTTTATGAATTTTATCTTTCCATTTAAATTATCAAATATCAAATTCGTATCTCTTCTTGAACGTCTGCTGACTTTCAAGGAAAGGATACTGGTCGAGCCATTCAAGAGAGCAGCGATGCAATTCTGCAGCCGTCGTAGGGTTGAATGCCACTAGATTGAGGATACTCTTTTTCAAAATAAGTCATTGAAAGGTTATCCGACTATCTGATGAAAGGACTTGAGTTCAGAAATGAAAGTAGGAATTTTATCGTCTTGCCATTGTCCAAATCATAACCGCAACGACATTAGCAATGCGAGAAATAGCTTTAAATTTTTCAATTAAATTTACTAGTTTATTATACAATCTTCTATGTTCTTCATACTGGATCATACTGTTTATTTGCATAAATAAATTCCATGTAATATTATTATAAGTCATTTGTCATATAATATGATTTTACCAAACCGATGGTCTAAGTCTGCGCCTCTGGTAATAGTGGCATAGTGGCTGTTTGAATACAACTTTCGTTTGGTTTGCCGTTTTTTGTCTCTAAATTAACATATTATTGTTCAAAAGTAAAAAATTATGGGAAAGTCTCAGTCGAAACTGTCACAAGATCAACTTCAAGAATTGGTTCGCTCTACAAGGTGTACGTTGGAAATACAGGAGTTCCAAAGTTCAAATTCTAACTATTGTAGTTGACAAAAAGGAGCTACAGCAATGGTATAAAGGTATGCTTCTTCAGCCGAGTTAAAGCCAGGCAATGCTTGCTAAAAAGCACTTTCTGCTGTTGCAGACAAAGGACTAACATTTGCTTTAGGATTCTTTAAAGACTGTCCTTCTGGTAATTTGAATAAAGAAGAATTTCAGAAAATCTATAAGCTCTTTTTTCCTTTCGGTGATCCCTCTGCATTTGCAGAATATGTCTTTAATGTCTTTGATACAGACAAGAATGGAACGATTGACTTTAAGGAGTTTATCTGTGCCTTAAGTGTCACATCTAGAGGTACACTCGATGACAAGTTAGTATGGGCATTCCAGTTATACGACCTGGACAACAATGGCTTGATTTCATACAACGAAATGCTTCAAATTGTCGACGCTATCTACAAAATGGTAGGAAGCATGGTGAAACTTCCTGAAGACGAAGATACTCCTGAGAAGGTACGATTTCATGATGAAACTACAAATGTCAAAGACTAACCAGTTCTGTAGCGCGTGAACAAGATTTTTAGCATGATGGACAAGAATAAAGATGGTCAACTAAATTTGGAAGAATTCCGTGAAGGTTCAAAGAAAGATCCAACAATAGTCTCTGCTCTTTCCTTGTACGATGGGTTGGTCTAAATAAATGAGGATATTCATGGATTAATATTTTTGCCAACCATGGTGTTAAAACGTAGAAAACATTTATCCTTTACAGTGAAGTTTACTATTCTTCATTAGTATGCTTCAACATTTTCTTTTACTTTCGTTGATACCGATATTTTTTACGTCAAATTTTTCAAACTTCAGTTTTAAGTTGATTAGGTTTATTCTCTTTTTTTTTACCGTTTCATATTAGTTAGAATAGGTATGAATTATGTTTCTCAGCTCTTAGTTTAATTGCAAATTATACTCTAGTGAGAATCGACTCGCTGCATTAAAACTGTAAAACGTTGGTTTCTATAAAGGAGATTGCAATGTAATGGGAATTGAATCTTTTGAGAATCGTTTATGTTTCTTCAACCATTACTTCAAAGCACAGTTTAAAATCTCACAAAGCTAAAGTATGCGATCAATTTTAATATTTCAAAGCGATAAAGTGTTTTAGAGTGCTAATCCATGTAGATTAAAAAGCTTCGTTCTAGCTATATAGCTAAAATGAGTAAATAAGTATTACTGAATGTATGGTTATATAGTTAGATAATAATGATTTTTTAGTCATAAGGCTTTTATACTAAAAAGCATAAACTGGTTTGGGGATTATTTGTTGTTGTGATCATATATTAGCGCTTCTAAATTCAACTCTACTATTGTGCCTTTACTTCAATGGTTCGTGCAAACCTCGAACTAGTCAAGGTATGTACCATCTTATTGTTGTAATCCATTTACTAACTATTATTCAACTAGTTTACTTTATATTGTGCGCTTCCATTGGGGGCAATGTACTATATTGGACACCCTAGCTATTACGAGAAAAACATCGAGCGTGTATGAAGAGATTTATGTAAATAAGTAGCTAATGTCTATAGGCAAACTTTTGGAAAAACGATGACAGAACAATTCCCACTGAAAGAGAAGAAATCCACGACGAACTCGAAAAACTCCGTGAACAAAGACGAATGCGTAAAGTCGAAGAAATCCTTAAACAAGATAAAACATAAACTTTTTTCCATAAACTCAAGGAAAACTTGCGTTCTGTTGTTTTTCCTGAGTACAGTTTCTTATCTAGGGATTGCCTTCTTAACTTCTTTTTTTTCAGTTTTTGATCACACAGCAAATCTCTACTTAAGTCAAAATGATTCCCAAATAAGAAATAATCTGTTAGGAGGATTTTTTAAGGCTTGGATCCGCTGGGATGCAATTTATTTCGTGGATATGGCATTGCAAAATCGACTATTCGAACAAGAGTGGGCATTTTCAGATTTTTGGAGCGCCTTAATACGATTTGTTTGCTTTGGCTCGAAGGATGTAGTTGTACTAGGATTAGCTGCGTGCTGCTTAGCTATCGTCTTACATGCCGTTGCGGCAGCGGCTTTTTATTGTACTACGAAGGTGATATTCTTGGATAAACAAATTTCAGTACTCTCAATCATTTTCTACCTATTATCTCCCGCTGGAATTTTTATGTCAGTTGGTTATACGGAATCAGCTTTTGCTGCATGCAGTTTTCTTGGACTCTTGTGTTTTGTACGAAAGAGGCAGACGTTAGCTATGCTGTTTTGGTCGATTTCTACATTTTTCCGAAGCAACGGTATTTTCTGGTCATTTCTATTTGTTATTCCCACAGTTGAAAGCCTTTATTCTTTTGCGAGACAGGAGGTTGGATTTACTAAATTTTTCAGAACTGCCTTCATAAACGGTTGTAGATGTATTGAAATTGTTATTCCTTTCTTTTATGGCCAGTTTCAAGCTTATAAGGTATTTTGTCCTCATGCTTCCTGGTGTCTGTCGTATCTACCATTCATATATCCTGCAGTTCAAAAGAAGTATTGGAATATTGGTTTTCTCAGTTACTGGACACCAAACAATATACCCAATTTTCTTCTAGCTTGTATCACAATTGTTCCTCTTGTCTTTTCCTTATGGTATTCAACGTCATTCATAAGAACGGATGCAACCATACGATATCTCTTTATTCTCAGTCTTTTCTATCTATATCTTGGAATCTTTCAAATGCATACTCAAGTAATAAACAGACTTTCGTCAGCTTTTCCGCTTCTATACTGGTCTTTAGCACATGCCTGGTCACGAAGCTCATCCCTGCATATTCGAAAATTCACAGAAGCTATTCTCTTCTCATGGGTTCTTTATAGTCTCATACAAGCAGGTTTGTATGGTTCATTTTTACCTCCTGCTTAGTTCTTTTCGTAATGAAATTATTAATAGAAGATTTATTGACATGAATATAGCACTTATTCAAACATATTGCTTTGCACCTCTCATCAATTATATAAAGTTGACTAAAATAAAAGCTACTAATATTATATAAACGAACGTTGCAGTTCGTTGTTGTACTTTAACGAGGAAAAATCTGATCCCTTATTTTGGGGATTCGTCTCAAAATTTGGACTCACAAGAACTCTGATTTTGCCTATTTCTTTTCAATTCTTCGAAACAGCCAGAAAAGAAAGCGTTCATTTACATTAAGTTGGTTTAAATGGATGTTATAAACAAAAGTCTGGTTTCTGCGCTGGAAAGTCTGCCGAAAGACTTAAAACCTACATCTGAAGGCGTTTCGTTGGTGTCTTTAAAAACGCAGTTACTTATTTCCTATGTTCAAAAACTTGCATTTTTAATTTTGGTAAAGTTAGAAGGAAAAAGTTACTTGGAGTTTCAGAATGTCGTAGAGAAGCTCGTTCGTTTGCGACTGGAAATCGAAAAAATCCGACCTTTGGAAAATCGCATTCAGTATTCGCTAGATAAACTCTTGCGCGCTGCTGAACGTAAAGAAGAATTGGAATCTTTAAGCACTTCTGGTATGGATGGTGGCATTAATCAAGAAGACACTGATAGTCTTAAGCTCCATTATAAGCCAAATCTTGTTGGACTTGAGAGTGATGAAGAGGAATCACCTGCTGCTAAAGGAAAACATAAAAAGAGCAACAAAAAGGATGTCTCCTCAGAGGAAGTTTCATCCGAGAGCGAGGAGGATGAATCCAAGACTGATGGTGTTTATCGCCCACCTAGAATTCGTGCTGTAACAATGGATGACGAGAAAAAACCAAGACGTAGACCTAATCAACTCGTGGATGAATTTGTTTCGTCTGATTTGTCATCTCTGCCTCAGAGTATGCCAAGCATTGGCTCTAACTTGGAACGAGGTGGCCGAGTTATTCATGCGGATGAAAGACAATTGGAGAAGATGCGCGAACGTGCTGAATATGAAGAAAGTAATTACACACGTCTTCCAAAATTGTCCAAGAAAGAACTCAAAAATGTCAAGAAGCCTAAGAAACCCGGTTTTGGTGGTGAAGATTGGTCTTTATTGGATCGTAGCTTTAACAGTGATGCTTTTGCCTCTCGCAAACTCGATCTCTCATCTCGTGCTAATAAGCGTGGTGCATCGGACGCTTCTGAAGGTGCATCAGGTAGCGGTCAAAATAGAATGGGTGATGCTTATCGTAAGCGTAGAAAGGCTTTGAAACGTAGATAATTGGATGAGTTCTGTTAATTTTGGGATAATCGGACGAGGAATTAAAGGAAAATAATATGAAAGGTTTTGGTATAGAACTGGTTGCTTAACTTTTTACTTTGTTAAATGAATAACTGAGCTTTGGATATCTTGTACAATAATAATTATGTGAAACTTTCGTATTCATGGATGAAAGTGTACTCAGTGTGTAGCTATGCATAAACCAACTACAAACTAACAAACCTTGGTGTGAATTCCTCAGACAAAATAAATTTACCTCTAAATAATATAATACATTCAGATATATGGTAATAATTTAGCAGCGGATTTCCAAAATTATGAGGTAAAATAATCTAATACAAGGAAACAAGGACAAAGTCTTTAAAAATCATTTCTAGGATAGAGGGAATGCATCAACGGAGAACGAACACCGCAGTTAGCTCTCCCAGGAATCTTCTACGGTTTTCCGAACGCGACGTATGTACTCTTTCTTATTTTCTCGATGAAGCTGCGCTGCTTCAGCATTCGCCGGGGAAGCGTTATTCGGATCATTCAGTAGACTAAATTTGGTTAATTCACTGCTACATGGTAAAACTGAAAAGAAAAATACCTTTGAATAGACGTCAGAATGGCCGCCACATCATACGTCGGAGACCATCGATTTTGTAGGATATCCAGGCAAAGCTCACCGTTCGCATACACATTCGGATGAAACTACAAACACAAAGTTAGTCTACAAACTCAGAGGTAGTAAGCTTTCGTAATAAACTCAGCATGATCGTACCATTGTGGAAACAAACTTTACTAAAGGCGGCTTATTCGGATATTGTTCGTCAAAAGACAAAACCAATTTAAAAGTTCCGTCTTCAAAGGGAGTATCTGCTGGACCGATAATTACAGCATTCCTGAACCGAATGTTAGTAAAACGTCTATGTACAAGAGAACCTAACCAAAAACCACCAACTCATACAAATGACTGTGAATAAATAATCCATAAAACACAGACATACCCGAGTGTGCTTTTTGCTTTTGATCCCGAAGGGTACTTACCAAAGCATAACGTTGTCAGATACGGGAGATGCAGAAACACCTGCGGGAGGATCTTGCTGCATTCTCTTTAAATTGTAGAGTTAGTAATTTTTGCTCTAATTATTTTTATAAAGTTTGCCTTACCTTGAAGTCTCTCATGAGACGTCTTCTGGCTGTAGTAGACATTTCTAACGACAATAAGAAAAAATTCCTCTAACGAAATGAAATAAAAATACTTTATGAACAAGAGAATGTACTAATGAACCAACTAAAATGGATGGATATCTTTAAAATGTTGTTGGAAAAGGCAAGAAAATGAACATGTACGAACATTCTTATTGTATATAATTAAAGATAACAAAGCGCACGGCAACAGAGATTTTTGTATGCTACAACACACTAGGTATCGTTATTTGATTAATGAGCTGAAGTAGTAAAGACATTTGGAGAATGTAAGTCAAAAAAAGAAAAGGGGCATTGAAGCCGTTTGCTAGAATCGATTTTTGAAAGTTATCCATACTATTCATGGTATTCCTGAATCTGGTTCTTGGATTCTCGACTGGTGAGTGAGAAAACAGATGATCAAAGTGATCTAATGTAAGCAATCTTTCATTTGCCTGTGTAAAGCTAAAATAGTAAATCCAGTATATTAACAAGAAGAGAGTGAGTGATTTATGATATTCTAAGAAACATTTAGTTAGGATCATTTGTTTTTATAGCTTATACCGGGTAACGCATTATTTTGAATAAGGTTGTATTTCTTCGGTTGAACAATCCAACACTTCAAAACAAGAAAAACCACATGACTATTTTCGATGGGAAGTATATCGAGTTTGAAGTGAAGAGAATTGAACGTCTTGTTATGGAAGAGAAGTTCCGATTTAAAATGTGCATAACAAAAGTTTTACCACTTTTCCTGAAACGAAAGATCATTGGGGAATTACTGAGTCTTAGGAGATTGGGGTGTGTTTAAAAAATACTAAAGCAGTTAGAATCAATGATGTTTTTAACGTAAAAAAGCACTTACGGGAAGATAGGTAGAAACTAAAGCGGCAAGACCCATACTAATATCGTTAGAAGTGAGTTTGTAGAAGAATTTCTGTTGTCAAACATACAAAGCCATAGACATGGGAGAAGAATTTGGCGAAGAGGTAGAATTGAGCAAATTTGATGCAGCTAGAATAAAAGCAGACCAAGCAATAAACCTTGAAGAAGAATTAGTTGCTGTTATGGTTATATAACTCATTTTTATTTTGAAGTTCATACTTGATTCTTAGAAACAAAGCAGCCATACAAACGAAAGTGCTAACTGTGGTAATTCCTACTATAAACGATTAAATGTAAGTAAAAGAAAATAACGAAATAAAGAATAATATATATATCCAAATCAGAGCAACAAAAAGCGTTTAGTTGCCTTTGTAATTTTGGATATGCGAGGTTGTGTTGCTGTCGTACCATCATCTTGAGATCGTGGAATAGCTTTGTATGGAACCACCAAATCAGCTCTTTTTGGATCAACAGGTGCCATTTTTACTTGGTTTATTTGTCTCAACACGAATCTAGGAAGTACTGCTTGTTGCGTGTTCAGGGTCTTATCAATGAGAATGTTACTTGTATGTACACTATCGTTACCTCCTATTAATAATAATACTTGTATGTGATGAATGAAATATGCCCCTTTTACTTGTAAAAGTATTCTGTATTGCAAATGGAATCACTTTAAAGTAAGCAGAGACCGAATTTCAGAAGCAGCTAAACATACAGCAGTGTTCAGTTGCAGTGCCAGACTTTAAACGTAAATAGGACTCAAAAGACATTAGGGAGAGGTTTAAATAGAAAAAATATATTTATTTGAGAGACATAAAAGACGCGAAATTGTCTGTCATGTGGAGCGCTGAAGAAAAGATTACGGGTATCCAAAATCCAGGATCAAGGAAAGCTGAAACGGTACATTTACACAAGGACTCTAACCCATGTCAAGCAATTGTTCTTCAGAGTCATCTTTTTTTACCAATCCTTTAGCTCACTCATCTCACAACGAAATGATAGCTATGTATGATAAAAGTTGAGTATTTCTTTGATCAAGTGAAACGTAAACATGCATTCTTCCAATTGACAGACAGTAGTCATTCATATGTTGTCTTTCTACCTTGCTAACAATCCTAAACAAAAATTTAGGCTTCGACCAACTATGATCTTTGGCAAAAAAAAAAGAAAGAAAGCGAAATTGATTGCCTTTTTCAATTTTGTGTCTCGGTAATGCTTACATGTCTGTGCGATGGGGGAGCAATCAGTTTCAACCATTTCATTAATCTTAAAATAATCTTAAAAGAAAAAAAATAACAAAAGTGAACTTGTAAATCCAAGTAATTTCCTTTTTCCTTGAAGAATTGTCGCTCTCGCTTTTGGCGATGTAAACAAACAAGTTTTTAAATTTTAAGCATCGCTTAAGTAAGGGGTATTTCTCTAAGGATCATTTGTAAAAAACACATTTTATATCCAGAATCGCGCTTTCTCTAATGTTTATAGAGTTTTTTTTTTTCAGGAAAATATCAGTTTATACAATGTTTCAACAAGAAGTACTGATCCTTAAGAATCTCCCTTTTCCGATCGTCCTTTTCAAACCCATTCCTTGTTTGACGTAAACGAAATGATGCGACTGTGCGAAGACAGTAAAACAATGTATCAAACAGCCAAGAAAAAGACACTTAAGTATGAAATTTCATCTTTCTTTTTCTTTTCATTATTGAAGAATCCTGCTATAATCACTTTTCTTTTTCTTTTTTCACTAGAGTTTTCCAGTCAACTATATTACGTTAGGATGCGTTAACTAGTATTATGAGAAATTAGGTTGCTCATTATCCTTGATTGACTATAGACTACGTTACTACTTCCAACGACGACGCAGTTAGACGGATTGAAACACCGTTTATTTCATTTCACATCCTTTACTATTGCTTTTGTTTATTTACTTGTTAATATTGACCTTTGGCGTCAATCATGGTTTCCGTGGACAGAAACAAAAATGTGCAGGAGGTTTTGGATGCTTTGAAGTCAGAATATGATTTGCTTAATAAAAATTCGTCAAGTACAGAAAGTCATGCTGATAATTATGAAACTTCAAGTATGTTTAAGCAATTGATTGTTTTCTTTACCGTGGGATTATTCTCTTCCTTTTCGTGTCCGTAATGGATGAAAATTAAGAGAAACGAATTACGTTTCTCCTAAATAGTACACTAACTTTTACCATAGTGATTTTATCTCAAATACAAGACATCGAGGATTTTCGTAAGACTTTAGATGACATGATTGAAAAACAGAAAGCCATACGCGAAACGTAAGTACCCTCTCCATCAGTGGGACTTGTCTCTTTGCGCACATTATCGCTCGTTTTATAGCGTCTAGAGTCTTTGATGAATAGTTTCATTTCACGGTATAGATCATAGATCATGTGAATACTGTTCTCAGTCCCGTTTAACTTTTCCCGTCCTTTATTAACCTTTGCAGATATGAAAAAGAGGTAAATGCAATCAAACATGAACTCGATGCTTTAGGTGTTGATGCTTTTAACTCTACAAAACCGTCATTTAACGAGCGTGTTAATAAAGATGCCAAATCTTCTCAACCCCCTACTACTTCGAAACCACACAATACCGTTGATGCTAATAAAATTCCCTCTATACAACCTTATCCTTCTACCCAGCAACCTGGCTTTCTTCTTGATCCGGCTCATGAATCTTCTTCCAATGTCCCCGTCGCAGCGGCAACGGTCGGTGAGCATACGAATATGACTCACCCTGGACAACAAGCGCTCCTGGGTAGTAATGTAACGAATGCTTCTGAACCGTCGGTTTACGTTTCTCCTATTTCCTATACCGACAACCCCGTTCCTCCTCATACAGTAGTCGCTGGAAACACCCATATGAGTGGTTTACCTGGCTACTATGTCACAAATCCCGAGCAACAAAAACAACAGGCTTTTCCAATTCAGACACAAGACGTTCAAAATCCAACAAATAACATAGCTCAATATACAGGCAAGCCAGCATATCAAGAACATGAGCCCCATATTAAAGAAGTAAATCAAGCTTCTGCTTATACGCACAAAAAGTCACAATCCCCCAGTTGGTACGTCACTTATAATCCAAGCTGTCGAAGATTATTCAACATAAATCTTGTCCATACTCTAGAGCATCCTAGTGTTGTTTGTTGCACTAAGTTTAGTCATAATGGTAAATTTTTAGCTACTGGTTGTAACCGTGCTACCAATATATTCGATGTTCACACCGGTCAGAAGCTTTTCACTCTCAACGAGGATTCTCCAGATCAATCTCGTGATTTGTACGTCCGTACTATTGCATTTAGTCCTGATGGAAAATACTTAGTTACTGGTACCGAGGATCGCCAGATTAAGCTATGGGATCTTGCTACCCAAAAGGTTCGTTTCCTTTTCTCCGGTCATGAACAGGATATTTACTCTCTCGATTTCAGCCACAATGGTCGTTTCATCGTTTCTGGAAGCGGTGATCATACAGCAAGGTTATGGGATGTGGAGACTGGACAATGTATTCTGAAGCTGGAGATTGAAAATGGTGTAACAGCGATCGCCATTTCCCCGAATGACCAGTACATTGCGGTCGGCAGTTTGGACCAAATTATCCGGGTTTGGTCCGTTTCTGGAACTCTAGTTGAGAGACTTGAAGGTCATAAGGAAAGTGTTTACTCCATCGCATTTTCTCCAGACAGTAAAATTTTGGTTAGTGGAAGCCTTGATAAGACAATCAAGGTCTGGGAATTACAGTTCCCCCAGTCCGTTGGTCTTTCTGCTATAAAGCCCGACGGTGTTTGTAAAGCTACTTACCATGGTCATTCTGATTTCGTTCTTTCTGTTGCTGTTTCGCCAGACAATCGTTGGGCCCTTAGCGGTTCAAAAGATAGAAGCATACAGTTCTGGGATTTACAGACTGGACAATCTTACTTAACATGCCAAGGTCACAAGAATTCTGTTATATCTGTTAGCTTTAGTCCAGATGGCAAACAGTTTGCTTCTGGAAGTGGTGATTTACGAGCCCGCATTTGGTCAATTGTACCCGCTAGTCCATGAAATCTGCATGCCTAAAACATCCCTTATTGATCTCTTGTTTCTCAAAGGTAAATGAAAGCTCTACTTCGTCCTTTTTATGATGAAGGCAATAAAAGGCTACGGCTAATTACTTACGATAACATGTCAACTGTTTTGGATGGAAATCCTTTGTTTTTCAAGAACAGTTCTGTATATTACTATTTTGTAACTAGTTAGCTAGCAATGTATATAATTTTTGGTTTTAAAATGCTTATGGAAATTTTAAGTGGGACTATTTGAAGCCTTTTGTAAAGCATAATAGCGTAACTTCAAAACATTTTGTATTCTTCATTTGGTCAAGTAGTCTTAATTATCCACCTAATTGGAAAAGTATTAGTTATCGATTCTAGGAAACTGGTTCAAATTTAAATATTAAGACATAAATCTTCTTTATGGAATAAAAGATTTTAAAAAAGATAGGAAATAAAAAATAAAAGAAAATAAATTCATATCTCAAATCTATCAGTATATATGAATACTTGCTAACTTCTACGATGCTAAACCTATACGCAAGGAAATTTTGGAAATAGTATAATTTTCTGGAGGAATGAGGTTTAAGAAGTGTATAGAACGGAGGTTTTAATGTCTTTATTACTTGAGTCTAATTATTTTGTGAATATTTGTTTGAGTATCTGAATTATTGAGAGATTATTCATTTGTCTGTCATATAATGAGACACACGATGAGTTCCGAAGATGTTGATATAAATTTGCAGAGTATTTCAAAAGAATTATCACGGGAGAAGAGGTATAAACGTATTAAAAGACTTATCTACGATGAACAATTTTGCAAGCACGTACCCATCGAGAAATTAGTCAATTGTACCAGTGACACCCTGGAATTAAAAGCCGGAGATGAATTGAAAAACTTAGCTATTCATATTTGGATCCGAGCGACGGAGTACCAGAGAGATATAAGTAATCGAGAACGTGAACTATTATTCCATAAAATATCCAAACTATCAAATGTGGAAGATTATCCTAAGGGATTAGAAGCACTAATCACGACTACTTCGCAAGGTGAAAAAATTGAAAGTTACTCTAATGATATATTGAAACTCTTGTCAGAATGGATAACTACTATATTTGAAAGACTTGATGCTTTGCGTTCCAACAATCGAAACTCTTTCAGAACAAGCCATCAACTGAAAAGTTTTACTCATTGCTTTCATCAGACGATGATACTTTTAACTAATATGATTCGAGTGAAGTTTCACGTTTTTGATGAAATGGCTATTTCCAGTATGTTAGCTAATTGCATTTGGATATGTAAGAATACAACTGATGTACAAGATATAGAACTTGTTTTCTCACTATTGAACTCTCTGATTAGCCGTGGGTCAGTGTCCTCTTCTGTGTTATTTTCCGTAATTGAAATGCTATGTCGAGCGAAGTTTGGTTTAGCTGCCAGTTCAGAGTCTGCTCAGCAAATCATTGATAAGCTTTTAAAATCTACAAAGAAATACGAGACTGTTTCTTCTCTGAGAAAAGTATTAGAAAGTCCAAGCGAGACTTCGCTTATTGCTCAAATGGGGGCAGTTAGAGTTTTATGCAATATTATAATTGATCCTCCTAGATTTGTTTACTGTACTCGGGGAATGCTATTGGAATTTATGCTTCAGGCGTTAAACCAAAGGTCCAGCAGATTAGCTCTGGAGATGTCTCGCTCCTTATATAATGCTCTGGAACATCGTTCATTTGTTGAGCTACTTTATATTGATGAATGGATAAGTTTACTTGATATTTTCATTAAAATATCTTCGGCTTTACCGAAATCATCCAACTATAAAAAAGAGACCTGGAAACACAGTGAACCAAATATCCTTGAATCAGTTAAGACCTATCAAATCCGGAATATTTACCTGTTAGAAGATTTCTTTCAGGAATTTACAAGCATTGTTTTATTAGATAAATTTTTTGATCTCTTGAAGGTGAATTCTTTTTATCTGTCGAATGACCTTTGCAAAAAAATGCTTTTAGTTCTCGATGAAAGAGCTCAGATGCCCCACTTAAGTAGTTGGTTTAGCGATCAAAAACTACTTGTCGATATTTACATGAATTTTAACATTTCCTTCGAAATGCGTCTTTCGCTTATGCCTTCTTTTCGTAAATTCTTACGTTCGTCTCCTAGTCAGCACCGATCTTCTGTTTTTAGAACAATTCTTTTTCCATTACTCTATTCTTTGAAAAGTTATAATTCGAAGTTATTAACTGAAAACGTGTTCAGGCTGGTATGTGACTTATCCGGTGTATATCCACCAGACGTATTTTACGAAGTAAATGCTATATTAAAAAATTTTGCACATAATAATGAAATGGGTGAGGTTCAACTTGCTTCAATCCAAGCTATATCAAGTATGGCATTCTATTATGTTATGTTACCTGAATTTAAATCGATTTTATATGAAGAATTGGTTTTAATTATAAAGAACTTGAAAATCCGACGTCCTTATCGGGTTGCACCGTTAAAGATGTTTTTACAATTGCGGATTAATTCGAATGGTTATTGTTTTTTGAATGTTTCACCGACTTCGCAGGTACTTTTATCAAAATACGAAAACCAATGGTATAATCCTTTTATATCTGACGAGGCATTAAAATGCCGTGATAATAAAGTAAGATTTAGGGACCTGTCATTCGCTGCTGTATTTCAACGGTTTCCGTTGAAAGCTAACATGGATTCAAAATTGTCAAAAGGGCTAATCAATATTCCAATTGAAGAATGGGTTTCAGCTATAATGCATATAATTCTACATGAAAACGATACAGATATCGTGGAGTATGTTTTAATTAATTTTACTAATCAGCTGAGAAGTTCATCAATGTTTTTTACTTGTCCCAACGCGTTAAAAAAAATTTTACAATTCATGTTAGACGTGACGACAGGTAAATATGCTTCAACCTTTAATTCCCTTTCTGGAAGTAGAAAAGAAAGATTTTTGGTTCTCTTTTCAAAGGTTCTATCTGTTTTAATGGTCTATAAAGATGCATTTCCGCAAAATTGTCATGAACAATTCTTTCGGTTACTAAACTATTTCCTAGAGAAAGGTGAGAGTACCACGGAATCCTGCATTGACATTTTAATCATTAATTGCTATGCGATGCATTCTTTTTCAGTTTCCTATATGCCCAAGTTTTTCTCTTTAATTATGTCGTCAAATATTAGTGAACGAAGCCTCGTAAACTTTTTGCGTCTACTTCACGTAGTGAGCAATAACCCTGTACTCACTGATGGATTAGACGTCGAAACGATTCAAAAGATTTGTCTCTTTTGTTTAAGCATTATTCGTTCGCGAACTGACGAGCTGGATAAAAAGAAAGGGTTGGTTAATCCAAATGCAAAAGTTTTTAGTCTCTACTTGATTACTTTTTCTTATTATATTATCTCAAACATATTTTTGTCGTGCCCGTTATCAGAGAGGCCACACTTGGTTTCATTTTTGCTAGGTGAATTTTTAAGTAGCAGAAAGCCTGTTCAATTTGAAGGATATGAAAAGGTTTTCTATGAACTATTGCTTCGGTTCACTTATTCTGATGAAAGGTTGGAAAATTATAATAAAGACAACAAGTTTTTATTTGATAAGTATTCTAAAACGTGGATTTACAGAGGTTGTGTGATAACTATAAATGCTCAGTACGAAATAGGAGATTTTGAAATGACAATTCGAAGAATGTCTGGTACGACAATATATCGGTTACATGCGAATACAGCTGATTATGATATAATGAAGCATGGAATCAAAGAGAATGTTGTGAGCAGTGAAATAAGACAAATGCACCTTCTGGAGCAGTCTACAAGTCATATTTTTATGGAAACAATTTTAGCTCCATTGGATAACGAGGAGGAAGAACCCGTCCTGGTTCAACCGAGCGAATATGCAGCGGATCTAATACGATGTCTCGATGCTACTCATATACGACCTATAATTAATATAGCTGTTGTCCTTCAAACAGACGAGTATAATGGCGATATAAATACAACCGTTGGATGGCAATTGTTTAACCGACTGCTGGAAAGCTTCGGAGTTGAAAAAAAATTGAAGACTGGAGAGACTGTTTATGTTTGGACGAGCAAGACAATAGAAATTGTCTTCCGGCATATAAAGGATCCGGAAAGAGATACAGAGAAAGTCCTTTTTAGTGGCATGGTTTTGATTGCTTCGGATGATTTAGTGGAATCTTCAATGACCGACTGGGAGTCTTTTAATGTCCCTGTGATAATCAAGTTATCACTTGATTCACATTTGGACGCTTTAAAAATGTTTGACACGTTATTTCACACACGATTAGAGATTATCACTACAGACGTAGATATATCTCATCAGGGATATTGGAAATTAGACCAAACTGTTGCTGTTTCATCTGTACCACCTTTGCTTCATTCCTTCCTAGCGGATATAGGATTGTACCAGCAATTGTTTGAAAACTTTGCTTATATACATCCTTGGCTTTTGCGCCAACAGTTTGTTGATGAGCTAAATACTATCAATCAAAAGCAAGCTTTATCGAATCCTCCCCGAAGAGATTTAAAAAACAAGACATACGATTTTACGATTTCCCTTTGATGTTTTCTTTTCGGTTTAGACGTCTTCTTTTTAAAAACAGAAAAAAAAAACTAAGTCCATTCTGATCTTTATCGACCACATAATGACACAGATACCTAATGAAACGTGAGGTTTTTCTTGTATATAAATCAAAACTTATTAAAGCACTCATGTTGCGTATAGGCTCATATGCACTTTTTTTAAACTCTTTCAGAAAAAATATAATACAACTTTCCTTATAAAAGGTCCCTTTGATTTCATTTGAATAATGCAACGTAAATGAAACATATATGTATTATCAATAAACCTAACTAAGTGGTCTAAGACTTGCATCTGCAAAGTTTCTTCCTGAGAAACAGCTTCATGAATAAATATAATTAGTAAATATTCCTTTTGATTTCAGCCCATATTTCAAAACATTAACGAACATAACTACACATTGTAAAAATGGTATCAATTTAGAGACTTGAGATTTAATGAGATGCAAAGATAAAGCCCAAAAACACTTAACGAAATGGAGAAGTATAGTTATCAATACGCGTAAATCGTATTAAGCTTTTATCTACATCCTCACTATACTGAGTGGGGGTGTTGCATGATACCTTTCTTATGATGCCGAATTCCACATAGATCGACTTAGCATTAACCAACTACTTGCTTAACTAGTATTGGTTAGGACTTCTTTTACGAACAAAATCACTTATAGAATATGCATATTACCAAGTTTTTTGCGGCTTTTCTTGCCCTCGCTGGTGGATTCTACACCAGTTCAGCAGACGTTCCTAAAGTAAATAAAGCAGGATTGCAGGAATTACTGAATGCTGATAATTTGTTCATGACTAAATTTTATGCTCCTTGGTGTGGCCATTGTAACGCATTGGCCCCCGAGTACGAGTTAGCTGCCGAAGAATTAGAGAAAGACAATATTTCTATGGTTGAAGTTGACTGTACAGAGGAGACTGATCTTTGTAACGAATACAACATCCGTGGTTATCCTACTCTCACTGTATTCAAAAACGGAGACGTTAGCAGTCAGTATTCTGGTCCTCGTCGCCACGATGCTCTTGTTAAATACATGAAGAAGCAACTACAACCCGTTGTCCAGAGCGTCAGCAAGGACAATATTGACACTTTTACTGAATCCAGTGAAGACTTAGCTGTGGTTGGATTTTTTGATGACGAAAAACTTAACGCTACTTACACTGATGTCGCTGAAAGCCTAAAGGATGCTTTTGCTTTCGCTTCATCCTCTGATAAGGACTTTGCCAAATCTTTAGGTGTTCCTTTCCCCGGACTTGTCGCTTTCACTAAGGATCCTGCCCAAGATTCCAACAAGATAGTTTACAAGGGCCAATGGCAAAAGGGAGACATCGGAGACTTTTTGGGCTTCTCTAGCATTCCTTTATTAGACGAATTAAACCAAATGACTTTTATGAGATATCACAGCAGTGGATTACCCTTGGGTATTATTTTCTACAACAGTACTGAATCTCGTGATGAGTTATACAACGTGTTTCAACCTCTTGCTAAGCAATATCAAGACACTGTCCGTTTTGCCTTCTTAGATGCCTTGCGTTATGGTGCCGTTGCTAAGCAAATGAATGTCGAGTCTAACTGGCCTGCTTTTGTTATTACTCATTTGGATAAATTCCTGAAGTTCCCTTACCCTAACTCCGACTTGACTAGCAAAAATATGGCTAAGTTTGTCAAGGAATATACCGACGGAAAACTTCAACCTAAAATTAAGAGTCAGCCTGTCCCAGAATCTCAGGGCGATTTGACTGTGGTAGTCGCCGATAACTACAATCAAGTAGTTTTAGACTCCACTAAGGATGTTCTCGTTGAGTTTTATGCTCCCTGGTGCGGACATTGTAAGAATCTCGCCCCTACTTATGAATCTCTGGCTGAAAAGTATGCCGATAACAAAAATGTGGTAGTAGCTAAGGTGGACGCCACCGAAAATGATCTTGACGTTTCTATTTCTGGCTTCCCTACTATTATGCTCTTTAAGGCTAATGATAAGGAAAATCCTCTTTTCTACGAAGGTGACCGTAGCTTAGAGGATATGTCATCTTTTATTGAAAAGCATTCTTCTTTTAAGTCTACTTCTGAGGATGAAACTGAAGATGCCAGCGAAACGAAACAAACTGAAGAGGACACTTCTAAGGAAAGTGAAAAGGAAGAGGAGGCATACAATGAATTGTAAGAGATCCCGACTTTTTTATTATCGTCCTTTTTAGCTATCTACTGTATGTAACTAATGGATAACAGCATCATAATGTTTATAATAAAGTTGTTTCTTAATTCAAGTAGTTTTGGGATGTAACTTAAGTAGTCGAAGGTCAGAGGACATATAGGTTATGTGATTACAGCAGTTAGCTGGACAAATAATAATGGGAAATGAACTTCTTAGTATATAATTTAGAGTTGATATTTGTTGACGCCTTTTTATTAATATAAAGATTATTTAAGGATAGCATTAATGAAAGACTTTTACTTAAAATAGTAGCGATTTGACGTTTTAAATTGTCAGCGGGAGACTCAAAAATTAGTTATTTAAATCTAATAGTTTTCGTTACTTAGTGAATAAGGGAAAAAACCGAATAGCAAAAAACAGAATAACCTTACACCCAAAATTATTAGGTAAATATCCTGAATATTCACCGTTATAATGCAGTAAATAAGTAAAAGAAATCAATAATCGCGCATTAATTCAACCTGCATCAAGAAAAAAGGAAAGTTGTAAGAAGGGATCATTATAACGGGAGAGAAAAAATAAGGGTGTCCCGAGGGTACTGTACTTACAAAACCAAAAGTAATGCGGAAAACATGATCATAAAACCAGGAGATATAACACGAGAGGGGAATATAAGAAGCGGCTATTTTAAACAAAAGAGCCTTCAGGATCTAAGAGATCGATGTTTGCGCTTGTTACTTTCCCATCCAGAACCATTTCCGAAAGAACCTTTCCCGTACCAGGTCCCAAGGTAATACCCCAACAACCATGAGCAGCCGCTACGTAAATGGATGAACCAATTTTTCCAATTACGGGAGCACCTGTTGCATTTGAAATAGGCAAATAACAAGCTTGGCGCACTTTCACCTTAGAATCACGAATGACAGGATGGAAATGGTCGGCACATTCCTTGATAGCCTGACATCTTCCCTGATCCACCTTTGTTTCCGAAGACAATTCGGGCAACGGTTCGTCATCAAACTCACCGCAGACATACAACTCATCTTCACGAGCGTAAAATTCAGGGGCGCCAACAGTTCCATCGGCATAAACAATTTCAGAAAAAACAGCGTTACCGTTTAGTCGCATAGGAAGATCGACAGTGATACTGTGGATGCGAGCACCGCAAATGCGTAAGTTAGGAATCAGATGTGGAGTCCAAGGACCGGCCGCAACGATGACATGAGATGCTTCCATTGAATGGATAGTATGAAGTTCTTCAACAGAAGTAATCTCTTCTTCTTCATCCGGCGCATAATCTTCACCGATTAAGCGATACTCGACCTCGTTTTCATCGACGCTAATGACATGACCTTTCACGAGGTTAACATTAGCCACTTTGCTAGCCTCTTCAAAGATAGAATGACAGAATTTATATGGGTGTACTTGTGCTGAATTTTTTTTATTACCAAGACGAGTTACCTTTTCCACAATAGAAGGTTCAATCCACTCAATTTCAGGCGACAACTTGTCAGGATGAGTGCATTTCTCGTCTGCCTTAATAGACCAAGTATCTAGAGCACGATAACCCCACTTTTTATGGCCGTCAAGCTCATCAGCAAGCTGTTTGTGAAGATTGTAAGAGAGAGCAGCTAATGAGCTAGTAGAAGGACCATGCCATTCTAATGAAAGAAAACCAGAAGCCTTGCCAGAGGCTGCCGACGCAATCCCAGAACTTTCAAACAGAGTGATGGTATCGCGTTCTCTGTTGAAATTCGGATGATTCACAAGAAAATATAAGCAACTAGTGCCTGTAACACCACCTAATTAAGGAAGTTAATAAAAGTACACAGTCGTTATATAAAAAAGGGGTAAATTTTGCAGAAGTATTACAAAGAAACACTAGATACAATGATTACACAAGTTGTATCCATCAAGCTTGGAGAAAAGCGTCTACGGAATTGCTTCATATACTCTTGGAACTTCGCCAACGCAACCTTGGTTGCGTTATTTCACTTCGATCTAGGAAGCATAGGCCTTATGACTATGTACCTCAAGCAACCTCGTTTTATAACCTTCTGTCCCCTCATCCTTTTTGACTTACCTCCGACAATGACGATATTTCGAGATTCCTCCATTGTATAGCAACGATTCCTGCTTGACTAGAGAAGTAGTAAATAAGAACACCGAAACAATCCCTGGATGCAAAAATTACTCAAAGAAAAGGGTAGCGTCCGTTAAAAATGAATTTTTAATGCTTTTGGTAGTGGTGGTAGTTACTACTCCTCGAGAGCTCAATTGTCAAATGAGGATTTAGTATTGGTGAATCATAAGTCATGTATTGGCGAATTACATATGCATATAATTATATTATACTATAGAGATTTCATATATTAATAGTTTAGAAATAGCAAGTTTTCATAATTCTATAGAATTGGAATAATTGTTTAATTCTTTCTGATTCTTCTTCTGTAGAAATCTCACTGAAGTTCTAACGGGGATGTGTGACATAGGCAACGCAGGATATACGATTGCTGAAAAATGTGTTAAGCTTTGAGGGATTGAAATCATGTATGTTATAGTGACAGGTCGAACAAAATACAATGCAATATGACTGTTTAGTTCGTCGAAAACTTCTATGGTTATTCATTGTAATTGAAGGTGTTTAATAAATAGTAGCCAATACAAGTTCGATTTGAGAGTCGATTATGCATTACTTTCAAACAAGAATAGTGTTTATTTATACATATGCTTTCTATGCAAAAAAATAATAGTTATACAAAGTAAAAGAATGTCTGAAGGAATTGACTGAAATATCCAGAGCTAAAACTTGTAGCTTTTCATTAAATTTATTCCATGTTAAAGACACGGATAAGCAAAGAAAAACGCTGCAATAATCATTACCTGTGTTCTTCGTTTAATTATTCCAGACTTCCAGATACTAACATGATCTCATGTACACAGATAATAAGACCAAAAGAAATAAAAAGGTATACACATATTGTGCTTATTAACCGATATGCAAAAAATTAAGGGGAATCCTTTAAAAGAACAAAAATAGATATCAAAAAAAAAAAAAAAAATTATACAAAATTTACATCCACCATTACTAATTGGTGAGTCATTTCAAAGGAAATGTTGCCGTTTTACTTTACGACATCAAGATTTTCCTTAGAAGCCAGTCTGCCAGACAAAAGACCCGCCAACATTTCTTGAGCTCGCTTCGACCTATTTGGTCTAGGGGTAACCGGAACAGAAGAAAGAGGTGATATAGATGAAAGTTCAGGCCTTGGACTTTCCGTATCTTGAAACCGTTTTGGATTCTGAGCCGGTTCTGACTTTATTGCCTCTATTCTCTTCGCATAACTAGACTTGCTAGGCGCCTCCAACTCTAACTCGCTTATATACGTTTGATTTGAGCTTTTATGGGCCAATGGAGTGTTCAATTGATCTAATACTCGGCGACGAGCACTTCCACGACTACTGCCTTGCCGCAACATGGTGTTGATATCTGGTGTTCCACTTCTACTTTTCTCTGGAGTATTAAACGAAGTTGTACCATATTCCGTAAAGCTGTTCTGGCGCTTTGGGATGACAGGGGCTGTTTCACTATTGTCTGAACTTTCAGATAACTTCCTTATAAAGCGAGATTGGCCAATGTTTTTCATATTTTCGAGAGAATTCTTTACAGAACGTTTATTCTCATTAGCCGTCTTCTGTTTTTCGATGGAATCTTCTTTTGTCCACTTATTTTCCATTAAGGGATTGCTGGATTTGGTATGAACATCATTGTCCTTATTAACGTCCACAAATTTTTTACTTGATTTTCTTCTCCGGTTTGCATTATTCTTATCTGTTCTTGTAGCAGGCATGGACTTCTTTGAAGTTGTTCCCTTTCTAGTTTGTGCCTGAATAAGGTTCTCTTTATTTGAGTGTTGTTCACCTATAGCAGTTGTATCGGAAACAATCCTTCTAGAGCTCTTTTTCTTATAGTGATGTTTGGATTGCTTATTCTGGCCTTGAGATTTGATTCTCCGATCCTTCTGCATGGTCTTTCCCCAGGTTTTCGGAAGTCGAGGTGATGCAGAATTTGATTCAACTTTCTGTAAACCTCTTTTGGGAACAGAAAGCTGATCTTTAACGGCATTTTTCATATTAGAGCTTTCGACATTTTCCGTATTATCATTTGTAGGTAGACGACGACGAAGCCGATTATGTCCATCGAGCTTGATATCTCGTAATTTATTTAAGAAATTGTCCATTTCACGATTCTCACTAGTATCTTTCTCTGAAATAGCAAGCTCCAGCACCTTTGATTTGCCCTTCTTGACATAAACCTTCTCTTTCTGAGAAATTTCCTCCTCTGTCTTTAGATTCTCTGCCTTGGCTCTTTTGTATTCACTAATAAAAGAGCTGATTTTTTTGAAAAAGACATTACGTGCATTCGGGTCACTGGGTTGTTCCCCGAAATATCTCATGGCATTATTTAACGTCGTGTTCATTGTTCTCAAATGCTCCTTCAGAAAATCCATCTTTTTCACGCCTTCATTAAGCCAAGGAATGATTACTGTTAAGATTTTGTCGTCAGGATGGAAGGATGTAGGGTCGGAAAGGACACCAGAGTCGCAGTCAAGTCGCACATTCTGACACCCTCGTATGAGTTCCGTACATTCTTGTTCGATTGTTTCAATGTTGAGTTTTGAGGCTTCTATCACAACAGAAAGCTGCGTGAGGAATGCTTCTGTAGATGGAAAATTTTTGCGAACAATCATTTCAAGCACATGTAATAAACTCTGGGTATTCGACGAATTTTTTATCAACGGAAGCCGTTGAAGTGAATTAAGCGAAAATCCGCGTGCTTGACGAATATAATCATTCATGAAATTACCAAGACATAAGATAAGGTGCATTAGGTCCTTGAATGTCTCATTATCACGAAGAACTAATGCAGCTCTTCCTATCAATTTTGCTTGACGAACAAGCGTTTCATAGTTAGTATCAATGGTATATTTGATTTTAAGAGCATTTATCCGTCGTCCCCAGTAATTTTGAAGGTCTACAATGAGGCGCAAATACAAATAATCCCAACGGCTTAACTCAGACGGATCTTTTTCAGCATTTACTGATTCACCTCCATTTGTCCAATCGATACGGTATGGTTCAAGATCAGCCTTCAGCTTAACCTGGTTCAGAATTTTTTCGCTACCCAAAAATTCGGTAGCTTCACTAATGCTTTCATCACAGTGTAACACCATTCGAATAATTTCATCCGGATTTTTATGTGCTAATTTATGAAAATGAATTCCAAAAAGCTTTTGAAGGTCGCTAGACATATATTCCGTTCTTTGTGCCCCTTTCTTCTGTAAAGGCTTTGCCTCTTTCATTGCAAAGTTTTCTTCGATTTGCTCAAAGGTACCGGAATCCTTGAGCTTTTCGAATAGGGAACTAGATTGTTGAGAAGTGACTGACCAAAAAGTGTACTCCAAACCCGAATCCAGTCTTTCCCAATGCATCTGTTTCAAACGACGTTTGGGTCGTTCCATGTTATTAGGTTCATTAAAACCAGAAACTTCATTGTGTTCCTGCGTGTTAAAAAATTTAGCACCTGAACAGCTTAACATTGGAGGCGGTGGAGGAGGCGGGGGAGGTAATCCAGGAGCAGGAGGTACCGTCTTTTGATTTGTTTCCGCTGTAGACAATGGTAAAGGTGATAAAAATGTATCCGTGGATGTTTTCACAGGCAAAGGCGGTGGAGGTGGTGGTGCAGGCAAAACAGGTTTCCTCTTTGGAGATTTTGGTGACCTAATCTCTTCAGTAAATTCTTTTTGCTTTTTAGCTTCTGCATGTTCATTATAGGAATCAAGTAGAGTTGAATCACTATCTAGAGACGTTTCAGGCTTTGTAGTGGAAAGTTCTTTAGAGTTCTCATGTTTCGTCTCAACGGCATCTAATAACGGAATTTTTGATTCTTCCGTTTGTATATTTTCATTATTTTCATGGACAAGGAAGCGAGAAAAGCTCTCAGATGCCGAGCGCCTATTAGTCATTGACTTAATGCGTGGTACTTTAGCACGAGGAAAAGGGCGAACGAAATCTTTGTCAGGAATTTGCAATATTGAAGAACCAGTAGACTGATTTTCAGCACTCAAATTATTCATTTTCTCACGCAAATTTTTCAGCTTCTCACTAATACCATCCGAGGACCAAAAAACAGATTCCGCTGTGATTTCTTTCTTTCGAAGTTCTAATTTATCATCAAGGTATTCAACGATTTTGTTTCTTCCTAAACCAGAACGAATATTGTTTGATTCATGATTTATTAAGAGGTAAAGCTCTCGAAGCTCTAGCTCACTTCGTTGAATTTGGGCAAGATGAGACTTCTGCATATCCTCAACTTCTTTTCTCAAAGTTTCGTTCGTCCTTTTTTGGGATAGAATAACATCATTTTGATCATTCAGCTCACTTTTCAGTTTCTCTATCAAATCTTCGGCACCCAAATTAACCTGTGCTGCCATCGCATCTCTCTCAATCACCATTTTCTCTGCCATGGAACGAGAAGCTTTCGCCTCCTGAAGAGCATTTCGAGCCGTTTCATCAGAATATAGCCTGTTCGTAAGAGAACTTATTGCTACCTGCAAACTTTCTTCAAAAGTGTTTTCAGATATTTTAGAGTTCAGTAAAAATTTCTGCAAGAGTGAGTTAAAAACCTTTACAAGCTTTAGCTTCTCTTTTTCGTTAGCTTTTGTGAGTAGAACAGATTGAATAGTTGATTCCAATAATGTGCCGAGTTCATTACTAGCTACTTCGTTCAAGTTACTAAGGATTGAGGATTCATGCGATATAAAAGAATCGCCATCTTCTAATGGGGTTAGTAACTCAGTTCTCCTTTCCTCCTCAGTTTCATATATGTTAAGTTGACGCTCGAGTTGTTTGTCGGGGAAATTCCGCAAGTGCTGAATTACTTCATGAATGCCTGAGTCTTGAAGGCATTCAAGGACATTAAAGTCGGAAGACAAATCTTCATAAACAGAAACATAATGATTGATAAAATCCATCGTCGATGTACAGTACTCTAAGAATGCTATATTCGAAGGAGAGCTCAACGTCGCTAATTTAGAAGGAGATGAGGGAGGTGTACGAGAAATTTCCTTTTCGATGATGGTATTCTTGAAAGTTGTTATAAAGCCGTAGCACAAAGGAGGACTTCCTAAACCAGGAGGATTTAAGCTTTTCAGTGCATTTTCAATCGTAGTAATTACAGACGTCTCCTTTAAATCACAAGCCCACGATAAAATGTCAGCCGTAACTTTTCTAGGAAGTAAGTTCGTCGAACCCAAGGCCTGAGTAACAGAAGAAAAGATGTAGGAATCTGAGGTTGCGAGAGTAGCTCGTTTCTTCATCAACTGAAATACACAACGCAGCAACTCAGACTGTTGGGATTGTACGACAGTGGATGAATTAAAGTATGTAAGAAGATTATGAATAGCACGAAGACCCTGTAGTTCCAGAAATGAAGACACCCACCTATTTGACTGAGTTATCAACAAAGAAGAAAGCGTAATTAATTGTAGATTACTTATTGTTTTATTCCATAATTGAAGAACAAACCATGAAACAGGACGATGTACAGCAGCTAGTTCGGGGATTTGAAAAGCGGGGTCATCAAATCCAGAGAAGCTTGCTCTTATAAAATTCCACTTCTCATCTGGAGTACAGGTCTGTAGTAATGTAATGGCATGATCATCGAAATCGAACATAGGGTGCCTTAAAAAATCATTGAATAAGTGCAAGAGTTGTTCTAAAGACGGAGGACGAGTACTAGGTATTTCAAATTGAATCGAGGTCGTTGAATTTGGGCTACCTGACCGAGCACTACGCAAACGATATACTTGCCCACTAGTATCGTTAGAATACTTAGGGGAAAGTTCATTTGTTATTTCAGGCACTTCAACAACAGGAGGTAGTGAGTAATTCTTCCTTCTTTTGGGTTTTGCTGAGTCGACATGCGTTGGAGGAGTAGGTAAAGATTCGTAGGAATGTTGAATAGGAGGAAGTTGTTGAGGTGTTGGAAGATCTTTGGAATTAATAGGTTGGCGAGGACCACGTAAGCTTTTTGTGGATACCGGGATATTCAAAGATGGAGATGAAGCATCCACAGGAAGTGGAGCTTTCCGGTCGGGGATAGAGGGGAGACGGGCAGAGTCAACCGGTGTTTTAAAAAGAAGAGGAGAAGTCTGTACATCAGGAAGGTCAGAGAAGACAGGTTTTTCATCCAATTTATTAACTTGTTTATCAGATGTCGAAGAGGAAATTAACGACTCATCTTGAAGAATAGAAAAGGGAGAGTGTAAATGGGGTAAATGATTTAAGTTAGGAAGGTTCCCTTCTTCTTTTATTGGCAACTCATGGGACGAGGCAGATGAATTCGGGCGGGATGCAGAATTTAGGAGCCGTGGAGTTGACACGCTTGGAGAAGGTAAATTATGGGCCGGAGGAATTGGAGTAGATGTTGGGGCTCTAGGACCAATCGTCCTTCTCGAAGAGGGTGTAGGAGTCGAAGGTAAAGACGGTAACGACATATGGGGAGGATATCCCTTTGACGAGTTCGACATCTCTATTTACTCAAGGATTGCAGCATTGTAAACTGTCTATGTGCTTACTTTCATGAAATGAAAAGAACAGCGTCCTTTATTTTAATTAAATTTTTTAATATAACGATAAACGAACGATTTGGGGCGAAACAAGGAGTTCACTGAAAGTATAGAGAATGGGTGGAAGACAGACTTAGTTCTCTCATCTAAGGATAGATGAATATACTTTGGAAGACAAGAAAGTAGTAAGACTAAGAAATCCTGAATAAAGTGAACCTGTTATAAAAATAAATTAAATTTACGTTGCTACATTGTATAAGAGAGAGTCGCGTAATATTTCTAAAATTCGACGGTTTTATAATGAGATAAATTACTAGCTTATTTTTAGTGAATCAACATTTACTATTTCAATCTTGATGTATCTATAAATCATTAATATAAATCATTGAACAAAGAGAAAAAAGTCATGGATGAACATTAAAAGACAATCAGGACCCCGTAACACAAGATGAAGTACGAGGTTAAGAAATATATTGTAGACATTCTCAAATCATATCGTCATAAAAAGCAACGTCCATAAGGATTACTCGAAATTGGGTCTCTTAAACCAGTACCAGTACAAAAAGCCAGTAAAGCGTATGCCAACATCGTATCGAGCCATTAAGACAGGCCACTGATACCAAAAAATAGATTTCACATTCTTCTTTTGCGATAATATTCACGGTAAAGTCAAATTTTTGACCTTTTTCACAAAAACAAACCTATAGCTTTTTCCTAGATTCAAGCTTGGATCTCAAGAGGCCACTAGCCGCACTCGATGAAGCTGCACTTGTGCCAGTTTGTGACCTTTGCAGACTTCCAACTCCTTCAAATAGATCATCGAACGTACTATGCGAATGTTGCATAGGAGGTTTCCGTGTGCTCGTTGATGGAGTGGGAACAGAAGGCGAAGAAGACAGTCGAGATACGGGTTTTGGAGAATAATAAGAATGTCCGTTGGATGCGGCAGGCCCTTCTGTGTCGCTATTTGCTGCTTGTACTATAGGGGTATTGGTTCCACTTGGAGGCTGCCATCCTGGTGGGCGAAGCCATTCCGGTAAATTTCCAGTCTTTTCAAGGTAGTACTTTCTCATTACTCTCGCTACATGAGTATCTTCTATAGAATTATCACTTTCTGGGTCGCGAATGCGGTTAATTTTAGATGAAATTGAAAGTTTACTCCACATCTCCAAAATAGAAAAAATATAGCAGTTTTAATTAAACAAATCCTTCAAATGAAATCGTTTAAAACATTGACTCACGTTTCACTGTCAAAGTAGCTCTAGCATCATTTCCTTCCCTTGACTCAGCGAACGGTAGAAGTTGCTGCTGGAAAGTCATAATATTACTACGTAAGGAAACTAATATAACAATAAAGAAAAAACATATTACTACATTTTGAAATTGTATACGATTATTAAATACAATTAAAAAGAAAAGATAATAAAGTCCGTGATTGTGTTCAAGAAGCTTAGTACTTTACTCATACGACCCCAACTAGCAATTAGTCCAGCTTGACGAGCTACCTATTCCTACTTTTTGTCCTTGATTTTGCTCGATACTTCACCTACCGAAATCCATTCTATTTCCTCTTTTATTCCATTGAAATAAAAACTATAATTCGATTACTGCTTGGGGAAAGGATTGTTCCTCTAGTCATATATTACTACGATATTACTAATATTATACAGTGAAACTCTTTAATACAAACACTGTAAATTGTGGTTGCATAGAACCTAGAGGGAACCTTCAACTTCTTCCATTCACAAGCAGTTTCTTTCAAGGTTGTGATGAAGTTTTCATGGCTCTTATTTGTTATAGGCTTTCTTTCATTTGCATGGCCTGTAGTTTCTGCACCGATATTGGCTATTGACTATGGTACTGAATGGACCAAAGCAGCTTTAATTAAAGCTGGTATACCGCTGGAGCTCGTGTTAACTAGAGATACTCGCCGTAAAGAACAAAGTGCGGTTGGTTTTAAAGGTGATGAAAGACTGTTTGGCGTTGACGCTGCCAATTTGGCAACTCGTTTACCTTCTCACTCTATTCGGAACGTAAAGGAATTATTGGATGCTTCAGGACTCAAGTCAAGTTTGGTTCAAAAATATATTCAAAATAACCCTGCTTTACAGCTTCAGGAAAATGATGAGTCAATTTCTGGAGTATCTTTTGTCGTTTCGGGTTCAGACTCTTATACCTTAGAGGAAATTATCGCAATGACTATGGAACATTATATTAATTTGGCTGAGGAAATGGCTCAAGAGCCCGTTAATGACTTGGTTCTGACTGTTCCCCCACATTTTAATGAATTTCAGAGGTCCATTTTACTTGGCGCTGCACGTATTTTAAACAAAGACGTCTTGGCTTTAATCGATGATGGTTTATCAGTAGCGCTCGAGTATTCTCTTTCTCGATCCTTCTCTGAAGAACCTGTTCATCATATTATTTATGATGCTGGATCCGGCTCAATTTCTGCGACATTGGTTGCTATTGACGCTGTCCCTAGGGGAACCTCAGGAAAAGGTAAAAACATTACACGGATCCGATCATTGGCTAGCTCCACAACTTTGGATATAAATGGTAATGAGCTCAATCGAAAAATCGTGAACTTTATGAAAGATGCATTCCAACAAAAACACAATATCGACTTGTCTCACAATGGTCGAGCTCTTGCCCGGCTAGAAAAAGAGGCTTTGCGAGTCAAGCATGTCTTATCTGCAAATTCTGAAGCTTATGCTTCAATAGAAGAACTAGCTGAAGGGATTGATTTTCGCCTGAAAATTACTCGCTCTCTCTTTGAATCTTTATGTGAAGACTTAGCTATGTCTTCTGTTTTGCCAATTAAGGAAGCTCTTTCCAAGGGCAATGTATCACTTGAAGCCTTGGATTCCGTTATTCTTCATGGAGGAACTTCACGTGTACCTTTTATTCAATCTGCTATACATGATTATGTCAAAGGTGATAAAATTTCCAAGAATGTGAATGCAGATGAGGCCTCTGTGAAAGGCGCTGCCTTTTATGGTGCTAGCTTGACTAGCAGTTTCCGTGTGAAACCTGTTATCGTTCAAGGAGCTGTGTATAATCCCTACTCACTTATTTTAACGAATATGCATCACTTAGTAGCATTGCCTGAATCTACTCCTTTAGGATCTTCTCATGCTGTTGCTATAAATACAACCGAGTTAGGAGCACATCCTTCCTTACCTGTTTCTAATAAAGGTACTCTTATCGGAGAAATCAGTATCAACAACTTAAGTGAAGCACTGAAAGAAACTGATTCTTGCTCAGAAAGACAAGTTTTGTTTGATTTCTCTACTGATTCGTTAAAGGGAACGTTTATACCGGTTCGTTCATTTGTTGCATGCGAGCAGAAGTCGGCTTCAGCAGCTGGCATCGGAGGAAAAGTTAAAAGTCTCTTCAGTAATACTCAATCTGGAAAATTAAATGAGGAATCGTTAGAGCTTCAAGGTCTTAATTTCACTTATAAACGCTATAGAGAACTGTCTGATGAGTCTCTTCAATCATTTTCGGACAGACTTGCGCTTCGTTCTTTGAAGGATAAAGAAAAGGCTTTACATGAGAGTGCCCTAAATGAGTATGAAAGCTTACTCTATAGCGCTCAGGGATTATCCGATGATGATGAAACTTTAGCCTTTGCTAATTCAGAGGAGTCAAAAACGTTGAAACAAGTAGCTGTCGAAGATATTGACTGGTTACTTCAAGATGGTCCTACAGCCGAAACTAAACTCGTTGTGGCCAAGCAAAAGAAACTTGCTGATATAATTAAATCCATATCGTATCGCCAAGATGAGAGCCAGAAATTTAATTCCAGCCTTGAAAATCTTAATTCGACGGTTAGTAGGGCAGAATCTCTTTTGACTAGCTTCGATGTCCCTTCTTATCCGTTAACGGACTACGATGAAAAAGATGTGAAGAGAGTAACTTCACTTCGTAACGCATCTTACAAAAAGTTAAGTGAAGAGTATGAAACCGTAAATGCTTGGCTTAATAATAGCTTGGAAAAACATAATTCAAGAGCCCAATACGAAGATCCTGTTATGGTTACTTCAGAAATGGACTCTAAAACTAAAAAGCTTCAAAACCTTTTATATGAATATCTTCGACGTTCACTTCAACATCCAAAGTTGAAGCCTAAAAGTAAAGCAGCCTCCTCTTCCTCGGAGAAAGCTGATCAAGAGACGGCAGAGTCCTCTGAGGGTTATACTAAGAGTTATTCAGAACCTACTTCTACACAGGCTTCTGAATCTACGTTTGGTACATCTACTTCTTCAATTGTCAATGATGATGATTTTGAAGATGAACTTTAACCTTGTTTTATTTATAGAGATACAGTAAAACTGAGATGATCCGTTTACTACGGGAATTCAGTTTAACTGGATAATGATCATATGAAAGTTAGATTATAGATGACTTTGATTGTCATTAATGAATTGTTACTTAATAGCCAAGTATATTGTAAGGATAGTTTGAATATAAGACCGTTAGATAAAACAGATTTATTGTGCCTTCAGGGCGATGTCTTGTGCTGTTTTATAACCATTTAAGATGCAATCTCCAATGCTAACTCCGTTATACCAGCTTCCGGTAAGATGAAGTCGCCCCCGGAGATTGTCGTCAACCCATGACTGAAGATTATCCAACTGGTGTTGGTGGCCTACCTTGTACTGGGGAATACAGTTCCGTTGTAAAGTTGCATTGGCGACGTCCGGGGATGTGTATATGCCTAATGATTGCTTTATAGCCTCTGTTGCATAACTGACGGCTTTTTCAGGTGTGGTTGGGATCGATTTAGGATCTTTAGCATAATTATGTCCTCCCATCATAACCGTAAGTTTCGCCCCTTGTTCAGGATTACTTTGCTCACTATCAAAAACAACACCCAAAATATGGTTTGGGTTGTTTGGTAAATGAAGAGGCGTTAGATAGCCGAATCCTTTATAACTTAATACAGAGGCGTCCTGATAAAACAAGTTTACAACATAAACACTAGTCGTTGGAGTGTTCATCGCAGGACAAGGCAATAACTCTGATAACGAATCTGACGACATAGCAAAAACGGAGTAATCATACTGACAATTATTAACTTCAATTTTATCCTTAGAAGCTGACAATGCTAGCCTTGTAACTGGTTGGTTGAAACGAACTTTCACATTTGAAGAGGCACTGAAATCTGCATTCAAGTGAGAGATTATGCTTTCAATTCCACCTTCAAGCGATACCATCGGAGAAGATCGTAGTGACTTGAACAATTCGTTGGTATGTTCATTCTTTAGTAAAGAAGTCTTCAGTAGTTTTTGTTTTTCATTCAACATTTCTCCCCGAATTGAAGCTAAAACAATCCCTAATATAACGCTTCTATATTTCCTTTCAATATCTGCTAAAAACCCAAACATAGTAGATTGCATAGAAAGAGAATATAAATTGCCGGCATATATGCCATTGATTAATGAACTTATTAATCGATGAGTAAACATTTTTCCAAATCGGCGTTCCATAAAAGATCCTATACTTTCATCTTCATTTCCAACTTTCTTTTTTTGAAACAGATCTCGCAAAAGTGCATATGGTACTGCTCGAAAAGCAGGTTGCACTACAGATTTGAGAGCCTGAAATCCACTGGATGGAACAACATTTAATCTGTCTGGATAATATATATATTTATTTTTTGCACTTGAAGAATCTTTCAAAATTGGCTTAATACTTTTTTCCATCTTCAGTTGTTTCAATAAATCCACAGTTGCCAATCCAGCCAAACCAGAAGGACGTAGAGTCCTCGGTCCTTGTTCGAATAATACATTTCCCGTAGGAGAAGTTGCTGTTGGTATATTCACAGACTGCAGCCAACCTCCCAATCTTGAGTCTCGCTCGTATAAATCAATTTGACATGTTGGAATTAACCTCGATAAATAAAATGCAGTACTCAATCCAGCAATTCCACCTCCACAAATTGCGACTTTCATATTTATAAGTTGGTAGAATTTGTGATGTTCATAAGGAAATAAAACAGGTGCTCAAATCTGGAGATCAGGTGTTTTTCCCTTTGAAGACTTAAGAGACCTGTCACTTATCACTTATTTTTCGTACATACAAAGAATTCCAAACCACTAAGTGTTTGCAATGTTAATAATGTTAATTGATGATGGCTATTGACAAACTAAGGAAATGTTTATGCCAAGACGCTAGGTAACCGTTGAGTGTTATACAGTATAGAGACTGTACAGTAAAGTGTATGGCTAATAGGTGATTTCCTACCGTAAAAATATAAAAAGAATTTCTATACATTAAGTCGTTTAATGACTGAAGGTTTCTTTTAAATTTAATAATTGAGAAACGATATGTAACGATTTCTTTATTATAAAAAGGAATCACATATAAGTGAATTTATATTTACAGGTCAAAGCTTCTGCTTTATGATTGTTTGTGGTTTTATACTATTTTATTAATTCTTGGAAAGAGTTGACTTTGAAGAAGTAATTTGATCATATTAGATGCTCTTGTGAAATTTACTCTTTCTTCCTCTAGGTTGAACTTATATATGAATGTCTTTAGCTCTCATACTTTGAAGGGTTATTGGATATATAAACATTACTATAGTATGTTGCATATAAATGCTATACAAATGTCTGCTTAATTAATTTTTGCACAAACACAAAGGCCTAAGCTTCAACTCATTGAACGCCTTTTTTATTAGGGTGGAGTGAATTATAACTAAAACCAAAGAGCGGCATTAAAGGACTAAACACCAAATTAGAAAAAGAATTACATAAGATGACCACGGTTTTTGTATGAAGCTTGCGATACTCTCATAAAATTCAACCCCGGGTGCATTGCAAGCAATTACACCGGTAGCATTGCTGATATAACCGTATGACTCTTCTAAGCCGAAACCAGGACTAGGACAAGAAAATCCCATATCCACAGGACAACTAGAAGCTAATGAGTAACACAGATGAGCGCATGGAAGGACCTCTTTGTATGGACCGGGCCGAACGACTTCGTCTATTAATGGATATCTTGAGTTATTGTTCCTATAGACAAGAAAAGTACTGTTATCCGTTATATCTGCACAACGGGGAATGACGGCGGCACATAACCAATTCTTATAACTCTGCAGGCAATCACTGCAATTACGCAAGAGAGAATAAATGGAAAGTGCAGTTGCATTGCAAGGGTACTGATCCAACGTATACGTGAAGTTTTGGTAATAGCCAAATGCTTGCTGGTTGTACCAAGAGGCTAATGATGAAGCTGAATAGGCCGCAGCGTTCCCTGGGACAGAATAAGCCACTTCAGAACAAAACTCCAAATCATATATCAACTGACATGTTGTTCCCACCTTTGTCGTGAATGTTATAGGGGGATAGGTCATACCCCCGGATGCGTCGATATTGGGCTTGACTATATATGCAGTATACGAAGTATTCGGTGATAATCCTTTTAAATAAAACTGTTCTTTGGCAAAAGGTCCTAAACCACGTACCGTCATCGACAAATCAGCATTGTTAATATTAAGCGTAGAAGGATTTCCTCGGTAAGCACAGAAAGATCTCGATAGCTGTCCGATTTGTTTATTAAATGTAGAGTCCGTTGGATTGACATAAATTTGGTAATTTGGAATTACGGACGTGTCATTTGTCGTAAGATTACCGGTAATTAATAAAGCTGCTTGAAAATCTGTATCTTGAGCAAAAAGAAACTTCGTTGCATTATACTGGGTAAAAGTAAAATTATTTCCTGCAGATAGTTCGTATTGCGTTTGATACGCACTGTTGGAAGTCTTATCCTGATTACTGCCGATGTAACTTTGGCTATATTGAGAGTCACTGCTGGAAACCGCAATAAACATTGGAGAATACCCAGTCACCGACAAGGAAGCCAATCCTAGATCCACTGAAGAATAAGAGTAATTTCCTAAAGCAAGCGAATTGTCGAACGAATAGTTGGAGGCATAAAGGAATAAGTTGCTAGAACCTTCAAATGTAGAACATGTTGATAATGTCAAGTTTATGGTCTTGGCTTGTTCCTCTGGCCAAGAGAGGTTGTAATAAACTACAGTTTGGTCTTCTATGTTTCCTACAGCCGTACCATTGAGAGCCAAAGGATTGTAAGTAATAGCTGCAATTTTAGTCGCTAAAATAAAGACAAGCGCAGGGAAAAAGAAAAGGGTACTAGAAATAATTATCATAAATAAAGAACAAAACAATCTAAATTAAATTTCGAAAACCCTGAGTAGCAAATGAGGGTTTCTGGTAAACGGGCACAAAAAGCAAAGAAGTATAAGAAATACTCTCTAAAATTAAGCTTGTAAATTAAATATATTTAAACTTTCATATACAATCATAAAACTTAATGATTACGGGGTTTGACAACGTCAGCAGAAATAAAAGGGATTAAGGTCTTAGGTGAACATGCTCGTCGAAGGAAGGAGTGGTTTAAAAGTTCAGCGGCAGTTGCTCTAAACACTGTGTCGGTATTCAAACATGAGTTTAAGAAGGATAGTAATTCTTTAGATACAAGTTCAGGTTTTTTAAGAGAAGGAGTTCCTGTTTTTGCAATCATGTACAATGCTTTCATAGGGTCTTCTCCAAGGTAAGGAGGTTCGTTTTCAAGCATTTCAATAATCATTATTCCGAGACTCCAAATGTCAACCTTTGTTCCATATTTTTGTTGTTTAATTATTTCAGGAGCCATCCAGTACGGAGTTCCGACCATAGTTACACGTTTATGAGAACGATCCATAAGTCGTGCACAGAAGCCAAAGTCCGTAATTTTTATTTGCCCTTCTTTATTTATCAGTACATTGTCGCTTTTGATATCCCTATGGATCACGTTACGTGCATGCAAATGTTGAATGCCCTTACACGTTTCTAGGCATATTCGAGCAACTTGCTCTTCGTTAAGTTTGTGACGTTGAATAATATCTGTTAAGGAACCAGCATCCATGTACTCCATAACAACCCATAGATGCCTTTCTTTGATGAGAAAGGCATCAAGGAAGCTTACTATGTTTGGATGAAACGATTCGCGCATGACAGTAATCTCATTCAAGAGAAGTTCTTTCCGACTCTGACTATGGAAGTCAATACTTTTAATGGCTACTAGTCCATTTTTGTAAAATTGATGGTCTGCCTTCACCTTGGCCAGATACACGGATCCGGAAGCACCCTGACCAAGTTTGTGCTTTACGGAAAATAGAGTACTAGGGTCCTTAGAGATAATGGAACTTTTTAATATCTCCATTACTTGTTTCTCTGTTAGTTTTACATTAGAGGTTTCATCATTTTTGTTGTGGACGGAAGGAGTCGATTGTTGTTTTTCGCAGAATGAGGAATCCATGAGACTTAAGTCATCAAAAGATCTACTGTGAGAAGTTTCTGAAGATCTTTTATTTATTTTTTTGTCATTCTGAAGAGCTAATGTTAATTGATCTTCATCGACATCATATGAAGAGCTTGTAGTTGTACAATCAGAATCGTGAATGGATGCCTCATTAGACATAGCTGAAGGGGAAAACACGGGTGGACTATATCTGATAATAGAAGCTTTCAGTTTTATCTGACTCCCAAACTTAATATAGTCTCTTTGATGGCAGAATTCTTCGCTAGAATGGTTCGATGCCTGGATGGTTGATTTGGGCTTCTCAAGAATATCCTTAGCATATACCGAGCCATTGTTGAGTAGGATAGACCATTCTTTTGGAAGACCAACATATTTACCATTGCTGTCAATTCCTACGTGTATTTCATGTTTAGGATCCATGGGTCCTGAAACTTTGTTGGATAAAATTCTAGCTGAAATGGAATCCATCCATTCGTAGCAATCCATATTGTTGGAAACTGAAATCTCAAGAGCTTGTGATGTAGACTGATAGATTTTTAGTTTTAATCGAAAACAAAACGTCCGAGATTTAGATCGCTCCACTTTCTCGATATCCTTCAAGAGAATTGTTAACTGCGCTGAATCTGATTTATTGCTTTTGTAGATTGAAATCGAATTATGGGAAAGAGTAAGCCACTTCTTCGTCCATGGAAGATACTTTGTTTTTTCTTCCTTTAACATTACCCATCCTTCCCGGACTACTCCTTTTGCCGAATGCTTTAAATCGGCGAGAGAAGGTATCTCTACTACTTCACCACGAACAGTGATCAACATATTCTTCTATGTTTTAAAAATAATCCAGTACTAGCTATATTTCAACTGTTCAGCTAACCTGTTTTTATTCATCTCTGTGAATCAGAAATCAAGAACTCTTGATTTTTCAGAGAACAAAGAAACGCGTAAACAAAGGAAGTTAATTAAATAATTCAACCGGTGACGTGTTTAGTAGTGTAAACAAATAATCCTACCACCGAGAAGTTCAGAAAATTTTGAATTGGTAGCTACGTGTATAAATATATATGTTTACTTATTTATGTATGAATACATAGTTTAGAGGCCCCTCCCCCAAAAAAAAAATAGAAAAGACATACGTTGACGACTCATTCAAAACATCCAATTCTTTCACACTTATTGATCGCGTTTATGGATTTCTTTGCAAACAAATGGTCTTTATTCAAATATTTGTTGAGAAAATTGTCTTGTCAATCCATCAAAAAAAGGGTCTGCTAGTTGCTTTTCTAACTTTTTGTTTAACACTAATCACTATCCAAAATCCTTGTTGGTTGACAAATATACGCCATACAAAAAAATAAGGAACTAAACATTGATGGCAATGATTTTATTTTATTTTTTTTTTCTTTTTTACCTTCTTTCTATAGGTAAACTTCTTACTATATTATTATATATTATTTTCATTTCATCCATATAACATTTGTTTATTTGTTTATTTACAATCCAACACTCGTGACGCATCCGAATGTTCTTGTGAGGGAACTCAAAAGAACAATGAATCCCAGATTTATCCATCTACCAACCACACCCTCTTTTAATTAACGGTCAGTTTCATTCATAAAATGAGCCAAGAACAAACTTTCATTGCTATTAAACCCGACGCTGTTCAACGTGGACTTATTGGTCCTATTATTACCAGATTTGAACGTCGAGGATACAAGCTTCGTGCTATCAAATTGCTTGTCCCTGATCGTACTCTCCTTGAGAAGCATTATGAAGAACACAAAGGAAAACCTTTTTTCGAAAAGCTCGTCGGATTCATGGGATCCGGTCCTGTTTGTGCCATGGTCTGGGAAGGTAAAGATGTAGTCAAGACTGGTCGTGCTATGCTTGGTGCAACTAATCCTTTGGCCTCTGCTCCCGGAACCATTCGTGGTGACTATGGTATTGATCTTGGAAGAAATGTCTGCCATGGCTCAGATTCCGTTGATAGTGCAAAGCATGAAATCAGCCTTTGGTTCCAACCTGCCGAAATTCAACAATACGACCGTGCCATTGAAGGTTGGATTTATGAATAAAGTAATGTTCTTGTCTTCCATGCTCAGTCTACTTCTTACGATTCTACTAATAAAGCTAGACCATGAGACCATAAATACACTAGTTATCGTTCATTTCAATTTTTCCCAATAAGATTGTTATGAAATTTAAGTGAATAGTAGTTCAAATCCTCTTTCCATACAAAATTCTGCTTTCAAACTTCAGGGATTATCAGTAAAAGTAATTCTGAAAAACGCCTTCTGCAACAATAAGCAGCAGGGTCAACTGGTCGATCTGGATGTAATAGAAGCCTTGATAGTTTTACAAAAATATTACATAGCTCATCTGTTTCTTGGCCCACCTCGTTCGACTGAAACACTGAGCCTGATTTCGTCGAGAACCTTCTTTCCATAACACTTGCAAACACGTCTTTTTTACAAGTTGATTCTTCGATTTGTAAAATCTCCAGTACATCTTCGGTAAATACATCCTGAAGAAATTGTTCTACAGTTCCATCAATATCTATATTATCACGGACCGGCATTATTTCTTTCTTAAAAAAGCTCGAGTTAGTATTCACATTAATTGCATCGACGAGCAATGTTTGCATCTCATTATGCAAAGATATAATATAGTTTAGACATGTCTGTATCAACACATAATGACCATATGCTACTTTCCATTGCGGTTTTTTTTGTTTAAGAAGTAGCGAACACTTAGCAGATTCAAGGTTATGAATCAAAGAACTTAGCCCTAAAAGGGGAGCATTCTTTTGTGAGCTTTTGTTTTCAATTCCCCAAAATGAGATATTTAATTTTTTTGTCTGAAAACATATTTCTAATTGCACTAATACTTCTGCAAAAGACAAAGCATTTTCATATATGAAAGAACTCTCTATATGTTTTAAAAAATTCTCGTAATCTTTCTCAAAATCCGGCTGCTTCATCAACGAAATAATTTGCTTCATATATCGGGGAACTTTCTCAACGTGCAGACGATTTGCAAATTGATATAACCATCGAAAAACGGCCACGCATGAAGATTTAAATAAGTAATTATATGCATCCGTCTCATGTTTCTGTTGCTTCAAAACGTCAAGCTTTTCCATAACATCCCAAACGGTAGTTGAAGCGTTTATAATCTCTAAGTAGTTTTTCAAACAAAAAATAATAGGGGATAAATCCATATACGCTTGAAATAAAGTCGACTTAGTTGAAACACAGTATATTTCATACTCCAACCCATGCAAACGCTTTTGCAACTCTGCTAAACAAGTTTCCAAAGGCTCCTTTAGATAGGGCAAAATAATCTCTTTTCTTACAATTTCAGAGGGCTGATGTAAATTCACATGACCTACATTCGCTTCTGCTAAATCTTTTAGAAGATTTCGATAATTGGTTAAACAAGAGCCATGGCTTGCAAAAACATCTAGGACACTGTACACTGATTTCTGAGTAAGTGAATTCACTTTAGGTAGTATCTGATGTCTGACCTCTATGGTTCCATCATCGCAAATTTGAAAGAAAGAACTAGGGAGGCCGTGTAGCATATAAATAACGTCCTTCATAAACCATCTTTCGGAGATATTCTTTCCCTCTAAATCACTACTCCCGTCGAAAAACATGAATGGCTTCACCCTTCTAAAACTTGCAATGGCTTCTTTTCTGTCATAGGGTATAGAAGGGTGATTTAAGGATTGTAGATTCCTTGCATAAGGATCATCTGCGTAAGTATTGTCTATCTTTTGGCCTTCATCTCTAGCTGGCGTAGAGCAGTGAGTATCGCCAATCGTTGAATCATCCAACTCTTCTTCTTCACTGGTTATTTCCATCCAATCTGGTTCTTCCCAATGATCTCCACCAAGTGAAGATAATTCTTCATTTAATAGACGCGACTCAGTTTCGGCATGCAAGTCTTCCCCCTCATTTGTGGGTTCTGAGTTGGGTATTTCCAGAGGATTTCTTGAAAGTTCTAGTAACACCGTTAAGAATTGAGAATATAAAAATTCTTCCTTCAGGCTAATAGTGTTTCGTTCGAGATTTTTACATGCGTTGACGAGAGGCACTTCCAAATCCTCACGACCCAGGATGGACATCTTCTCAGAAACCCTGAAAATTTGGTTATTATTGAAGAATAGAAAAATAAAGCATCTTACCTATAAAGTCTTTCCATCACTTCACTAAACACCAAAGTACGACTCGGCGTACTATGAATGATTTCTTGGCATCTCTTGAGCCATTTTTGATCAGGTGCATTACTTGTCCTTTTTAAGTTTTTCCAAAGAGATTCCAAAGTGTCAATATTCTTCTTGGTAACCATCAACTCCTATACCATAGAATTTGCTTCACGCTTAAATAAATACCACCAATTGATTACTTTCCTTTCGATATCATGAGAATTATTTGAAGTATATTGTATAAATTATAGATCAATTGGTTACTATTGAATTTAACAACCAATTTTTACAGTCGACTCATGCGTGGTAGACAAACCACTCTTCAAAGCTTGCAGGGTCGATATTTGGAGTTCAATATACGGAAAAGCGTTCATGTGAAAAAATGCGAAAACTACTACTAAAAGCTTAAAAGGGCTTACTAATAGGAGAAAAGCTATAGAAGGAATAAGTTTCAAAATAAGAAAGTGTTATTATAGTATTAACTTTTAGAAAATTCCTAGATTGGAATGATAATATGTACAATATGAAGCAAACAGACCAAACTTCCAGTCTTGAAAAACAACTATCCAGCACTTGTTGGCATACGGGTTATTAGACATATGAAACAAATCCACTAAATAGTACTTCATTAGAGGAGACTACACCAAATAAGTTAGGTAGGAAATAACCAAATTAAAATAACGGCGTTGATAAAAGGAAAGCAATTACAGCGTAGACTCAAGCCTTGTACGAATGTTAACATAAGTACTAGAATCGTTAAACGCAAGTTTTCAAAAAGTCCGATATTTTTCTTTTTTGGTTTAAACAAGAGAGTGAGTTGTTCTTCAGAAAGCTCAATACCCTTTCCTCTTATTATTCTTCCTTGGTATTTTTTGCTCAAGCATCACGAAAATAAGTTTGTCCTTTATAAAACGCATACTAAGACCGAAAGATTAAGGCAAGAATCGGTCTGGTATGACTCAGGACATGTAGATGATATGAAAACAGAAAGGAATCAATCGATTATGTTGTGAATTACTTGTTCCTTCTTAAGCCTGGAGAGATGGGGCCCAAATTGTTAACAAAGGTACTACAGCTGGATTCGGTTAAAGTAGCATTGTTTTTAGATAAAACCTTCAGATGAAGATTATCTGAAGCGCTATAGGAAGTACTTTGTTTTGCCTTCTTAGAAGCAGCATTCTTTTTGTAAGTGTTGCGATAAAAGACAACAAATAAAACGAGGTAAGACGAAATAGTAACAAGACCACACAAAGCAGCGAAGGGATCACCAGAGCAATGGCCCATACAATACTTGTAATTTTTCGAACGGTATAAAAGTTCAGTTCCAAAAACAAAATAAATAAATCCTAGGTCGGCAAAAAACTGAATAATCTGAAAACGGGTAACCCACTTTTTCCAAGGCACTCGAATGCCTCTAGCAACAAGGTAATAATAATAATACATAACCACGTGAACCAAAAGATTAATTTCAATTATAAGCCAGGAGATGGAAGTTCTTCCCACAATTTGAGAGTAAACCAAAAAGGCGGTGGCTCCATGATGGTAATAGTGAAGAAATTGAAGTGGCTTCTTTCGTAAGACTAAGAACAAAGTATCGGCAAGTTCAAGCTAGCAGAAAGGTTAGAACAAGGAAGCAAGGAAGAAAGCAACCGATAGATGAAAAGACATACAAATTTTGAAATATAAGCACAATAGTAAAGAAAAAGAAGTGGTTGTGACCAAGCTTTTTCGTTACATATGGAAAAGAAAAATCCGTGCTTATATATCATCGGAGCAACTTGTTCAAAGATCAGCAACGCAAGGATTCCCGAGGAAACGGAAAACACAAGGTTATAATACTGAAAAGTCTTCTTTAAACGAATTGGAGAACGATACTTCATGAGTCTACTTCCCACAAAGATAGACACATAGTATCCCGTAATGATCAAAGCGACAGTAGAAAAGGAAGAAAAGTGAGTCTTTCCTACGACGAAAGAAAAAGAAGAAATACTCTTTCCAAAAACGGCTTCCGAAAAAGCATTTAGCCAATTCCTATTACTGTTAGTAGATGATTATTAAAGAAAACGACAAATGTCGATGTATGTCATATTCGAAAGCAAGAGAGGCAGAATCCGTTTCTTGAAACTCTTTTACGTTTCTAATTTAAAAATAATAAAAAAAAAAAACAAATAAGAAATGGAAGATTTAACAAAGTCCAAAGGTATGCTTGATGTCGCAGCCAATTCAGAAATCATTTCTTGCTTTTCATACTTCTTCCTGCTATTCATATTCTTCCCACCCAACAGCAGCAAAAACACAGCATAAGCGATTGTTCTTTAAAATCCTTATATGTATATAAGGACAAAAAAGGATAGTTCGTTATGTAGAAAACGGTAACATTTGTAAAAATGCGCTGTTTTGCATTTACGCATTCAACCATATTAGCTTATACCAGATTGCGAAATCGGGAATGTCTACCTAAATCAATAATGAAGTACGTATGAAGCAAACGAAGGATGCGCCAAGGAGGAAGAAACGAGAAAATCAAGGAGATCGAGGCGAGGCAAGAAGAAGAAGAAGAAAAGAAAGTGCTGAAAACAAAGAAACCAATTTCAGATGGGAAGAAAAGGTAAACTAGACAAGTTTGGGATGAGAAACGTCATCCGAAGTAGCAAATACCTGCATATGTGTATAGCAAAAAAAAGGGTTTTAAAGGAAGAACGGAGCATGTTGAAAGCTAAAAGAGTAGGAAAAAAGACGAATAAGAGTAAAACAAGAAAGAAAAAAAGAGCCAAACAATAGACAACCCTCTTGACAAAGTAAACTTACCATAGTGGATATTGAAATTGACTAAATAATACAAAAGGCATATTGTAGAAGCTTTTGTTAGAAGCCAATGAATCGTTCTCTACGGCAAACATTTGGTTATGGGAAAGAGTACGAGAAGAAGGCATGATGGGAAGGAAGGAAAGTTGCACCAAGTGAGATAGATTCGGCCAAACCATAATATATAGGGGACGTAATGGGGTTGAGTCCAGGGTGTTGTGGGAATAGTGATAAACAAACAAACAGTGTAATAAAAAATAGTGAAACTTTGAAAACAAGTTATTCCTAAACAAAAACAAAAACAAAAACAAAATCTGGAAGAAACAAAAAACAAAGTTCTTTGCCTTTGAAAACAGAAAAATTTAATGATTTAGAGTCAAAACAAAAGCCAGAGACAAGAGAAAATGGAAATCAATTTTGATCTTCTATTTAGCAACTGGGAAAAGAAAATGGAACTGTTGGTACCATTAGAGTCGCTATGTAGTCAATAGATCTTGAGAAGAAGAAAAGAAAAAAATTAAAAACGGTACAAACAACACTGCTATTTTGTTTAATTCTTCGGTTTCTTTTTCTTTGTTTCTAATAAAAAAAAAAAATCAACTCTTTACCGTGATTATTAAATACCATCAGAACATACAAAATATCAACCGATCCTGCTACTCAAAAGTCACGTCATAAACAAGTACATGGAAAAAGAAAATAGAGGAATTGAGTGTTGAAAAGAAAAGAAAGAATAGTAAAAATAAAATAAAATGAAATGAAATGAAATCTCGTTTAAATATCTTTGGTTTCGTGGAAAACCGTCAAAATAATATTCATTACATGTTTAAGAAATCCTTTTTTTCGTTTTTTCCTACAAAAAAAAGGATTGACTAGACGATAAAAGATGAAAAAACAAGAAAAATACGAATCATTTCTCTATTATTTCACTTTTTCAATTCGATTTCTTACAGGAATCCTATCCAAACCCATTCTATCCATCAACTGTATGGATTTCATATCGGCTGCCTTTTTTCTTCCTTTTAGGAACGCTTTCCAAAAGAAATCTTTCTACAACGGATTTGTTCTTTTAAAATAGCTCTACAGAAACTAATTTCCATTTTTACATTTGATTTTATTCAATTATTGAATTTGTTTTGTTTTTATTGCCTATTTATTTACTTATTTTATTAAAGTACATATCATACTAGATAGAGTCCATGCAATTCAATTCATCTTGGTCCATCATTGTTCTTGTTCTTGTTCTTATTCTCTTTCTTTTCTACCCGAATTGCACCCCCACCGCCCCCACTTCGTCTCGATAGACCCATTAACCGATTGTTTGCATTGTCCCTGTCTGCTACGTTGGTTCCTTTTTTAGACTTGTGTTGATCCCAGGTAAATAAATATTCATTTTCACATCCTATCATTCTATCATTCGTTAAAAATCGTAATAAGTCAGGCTTTGTGCTTATGCATATGCTAATAACAAAAAGTCTTTGTCATTTTTTTCAATCGTATCGCAAACTCATTTTTTCTTTCCATGCTTTCGAATATAATCTTCTTCTTCCCGATCAAAATTTTTGTCGGATGGCATAAGTACCTATAATTTCATATCGTTTAGCAATCATTAACCCCCATCTCCAAGTGTATACCGAAAATAAACGGCATCCACATAAAACATTTGAATCTTTACTTACTGCTCGGTCCAGAACACTCGGCAATCCTAAGTTCTCAGGTTAGCCATGCTAAATTCTCACACTTGCCAAATTTCGGCTTTCAGGCCTCTTACCTCGATGCCTTCCACGAATCTGTTTCCTCGTTAGTAAATGCTGCTGTTCATCATCTCATACCTCTAATGCTATCATTATAAGTTTACTGATTTTTCGAAATTGAGCTGATAGAGACGGCGAACTATTATATCCTTTTCATCCTTGTTAACAATCATCCTCGAACCCTTTTTTTTTTTTTTTTTTTTTTTCTTACCAAGACTGAGCCCAACTGTGCCATAACCAGAAACGACTTCAAAAAAAATTGAAAACAGAGTAAATTGCTAACTTTGGTTAGACACCTTAATAGAAACATAACTTTGTTCCTTACTGGTTCATCCGCTCTTTCCAATCTGGGTCCTTCCAAAATCGTAATGAGAAAAAATCCGAAAAACATGTACCATAAATCATGACTTAATTGACGCTGGATATGATCTGCTAAAAAGTTTCTCCCTGATTTAGGCTTCGCCGGCTTACTTTGCTTTTGCTTGGTTTCTTTACCAGAACCGTCGGATTCGTCATCACTAGTGTCGTCTATAGGCGGCGCATAAATTCCCAAAGAACGTTCCTCATAAACATTTGTTCTATTTATCAATTAGCAAAAGTTTCAATCCAATCTTAATATATGCACTTACTGTCGAATACTCATAGCAATCTTTTTTCCCCTAGTGTTAGCGCATTTATCTCTTTAACAACCTAGACTTTCCATACCGGCTAAACAAGGTTAGTAAATAAAAAAAAAAAAAAAAAAATTCAATAAATCATACATATGCTGAAATGTACATCATAAACATATAGCTTACGATTACCGCTGGAGCGATATTTCCAATATCAATGACCGTAAAACCAGCCGCCCTGGTAGATGCGTTTTGAAATATACCATTCATAATCCTGTATCCAACTGGGATCTGTTTCACATAATGATTGCTCAAGTTTAGCACCATGAAAAAGAAAAAGGAAAGTAAATTTAAACCGAGTAAGTTTGCTGTTAAATACCACGTAGTTTTGGATGGAAACAATAATGTAAAACTCCTTCGTGGATGTTCAAGTAGAAAAATTAAAGATTGTTGAAAATGCGGTGTATAAAACTTGCTAAACCATAGAGAGCACCAAATCATCAGCCTCAAAGCAATTGGAAAAAATGTATTTCCCGTAAGGATCAAAATAGTCCCCATGACTTGTGGGAATATTGCTTTTTGAAATTGATTTAACGAGTCATCATGCAAAGCAAACCCAATATTGTTGAATAAAGAAGCAGATGTAAATGCGGCCCACCAACCACGATTAATTCCCGCACTTGTACATGCCCTACCGGAAACCTTTGCAGTATAGATGAAAATAAGGAATCCAACTAAACCCAAAATATGCCATAATATAAAATAAATCGTCAACAAAAAGAGCAATAATTTCAGAGACTGGTATTCAATACGGGCAAGTTCTTCTCGTTCCTCGGCTGACAGAGCGTAAAATGCAGAATTTCTACCAATAGTGGGTTGGTACGAAAGAAACGGCAACGTAGCTGACGTGTTTGTCGAACGAAAGGTCTTAGTATTTTTAAGCCTGTCAGGCAAGGCGGATGTAAATGTCTTTCGGAATTGAGGAGGAAGAAAAGAAACCGAGTGTCTCTTATCTGAGTTACGATTCGACAAAGAAAACGTCGAGCCTCGATTGGTTCTACCAAAAGACATAGGAGATTTGGTAGAGCTAGTATCATTGTTAAAACCTAATTTGTTAATACGCAAAAAAAAACATATTGAACATACCAGCCGTATGTACTGGTTTTCGTTCGTGATCAGGAGCGGGTGGTATTGCAATTGTAATTCTCGGACTTGATGCACCTTCGCGATTAGAAACTTCTTGTTGTCCTGTACTACCAGAAGTCGAAACTTGATCTAAATTATCAGGAGCAGGGGGGCTCTCATGCTGTTGCTGTTCGTTAGGAGAAGAGGGTGGCTCATTATCGGTACGGATAATATTGTACTCTGAAGGATACGCGCCAGCTCCGTGCGAAGAAGAGGAAGAACTAGCCATGGTGTTCCTTGGGGTCGAAAAGTCCGTACGGTTAGAAGAGCCCGAATTACCGTGTTCATTAACTTGGGTAGAGGAGTCAGGATCATTCGATTCATTTGAAGGTCTGGATGATACGTTGTCCGTACCCGCTGCTTCATCTTGAGGAAAATTCACATAGTCATTATTTTTTGGGGCATAAGCATTTTCAGTAGACGTATCGGGGTTTTCTCTACGATCAAAGGGTGAAGGAGGATTCATATCATCCAATTCTCGGGATGAGTACTCAATTGGACTAGATTGCTCTTCTCTATTTCCTTCAAAGTTTGATGAAACAGATGGAGTAGCGGAATAATCACTGCTCCTTACAGCGTACTCATTTTGGCTAGAACGAATATCTCCATTATGAACTGACTGCCCTGAAGAATAAGCATTCCTCACAGGTGGGTCTTGCTTTTCTAAGTCAACCGACTTTCTAGGAAATCTAAAGAAAGGAATATTCGGAATCGTAGATGGTCTTTGTATCGTGCTAAGTGAACGGCGGAAGCGTGAAAAACCTCTTTTAGGCTGTGTCATTTCCTCAGACTCATCATTATCTTTCGGAGGAGCAACGGGACGACGTAAGCGATTACCTTGATCCAGTAACACTTGGATTTTTCGACCACCTACCCTACTAGGTTCGGGCTCATCTTTCGGGCGAATAGTATTGTAGGTGTAAGTCATCGTCAAACGATTGCCTCTTAACACTTTGTCATAGCGCTTATTGTAATAGTACAACTTTATGATTGTAAGTCCAAGATTGACAGCCAGAGGTGTGCTTAGTACGGAGAATATTAACAAGGTGAGCTGTAAATAGGAATGTTAGTATTGACAAACCACATAGAAAATTTTTATGTTCGTTAATCCATACCTGCTGGTATACGGAAATATCCGAGATATTCACTGTAGGAATACCTGATTGTGTAACGGCTCCACTAGCAAGAAAGAGTGCATCAATGTAAGGTAAGCGACCGCTAGCGTACAAAATGATCGAATTTAGAATTACCATGCCAAGGATATAGGCATCTGCGTACCTGGTCAGCTTTCTATCCTAAGTTACATATGCACATACAATGGTATTCAAGAAACTGAAACCGTTTATACACAAAGGTTCTGCAAGACTTCAAGAACTTGATTAGCCTGTTATCCTTTATCATTGACATCTCATTTCTTTTTGAATATTCCGTATTTTTAACCACAATACACCCGTAAGTTGTTAAAAGCAAAGCAGCTAATATCTTCTTTCTCAATAGTGTATGAAAAACAATGACAAGTTAAGGATCTCAATTTAGTGAAGTAGAACGACGTCGGTATACGACACCAGACCTGAAACAACAAACCTCGATTTACTGAGTTGATTTTAAACCCTTTTTTCAGAGTTACTGTCACATAATCTGTTCATAAGCGCTACTTAAAGATTTAAATACTCCTTATGGGACAGACTTAATTATGGGGGAAGATTTTAGGAATACTCTGGAAGACTCATTTGAGTCACTGAAAAATGACAACGTTGGTATGTATCATACTCATGTATGGTGAGAAGGAATTGCCTCATAAGATGGTTGCAAAGAAGAAATACTAACGTGTGTTTGAAGATATAAGCAAGAAAAACGAGATCCTTGCTTCTTTCAATAAAGAGTTTCCTTTCTCTAGTGTCCAAAATTTAGGCACGATATTCTCATCATGGATACCATTTTTGTTAGAGTTTGTACAGTCTTTTGAAGTTTCGTTCGATTCCGAGTCTACGAAAAATGAGATAAAGAGAAATACTCTAAGTGTATTGCAGCAATGCACCCACAAAGACGAATTCCAACCATATGCCGAACTTTGTGTTACCCGATTGATTTGGTTTATACGATCAGAGAACGATGAGATTGCTATTTTCTGTTTAAAGATTATCATGGATGTTTTCAAGTCTTTTAAAGGTTCTATCCATAGTTGTTCTCAAAGTTTTTTCGATCTAGTCGTTTCATTAGTCCGTAAACTCCCCTCCACAATTCCTTTTTGCTTTCCCAAAAGCAGTACAATGTCTTCATCCGTTGATGAACATTCTCTCTTATTTACTTCTGCTCCAGGTAGCTACTTGTACAAAGAGACACTTAACTTACACCAAGAAGTGAATCATCAGTCTATCGGAGAGCGTAATCTTCAGCCAGCACTTCAGAGCTTTCGTGTATTTATTGAGTGTCCTGTTGTAATTGTGCTTATTCTTCAAGTCCTCCGACAATCTGCCACCTCAAATGTACAATTACTCCTTCCTTTCCTTCTGGACATTCTTCAAATTGATGTGCCAATAATCGATGACTTATCAATTAGGGTCGAGCAGGACAGTGGTTTTGATTTTCTTAGAGCCGTAAAAAATAAGAGCACTTATAGGTCCGTCTTCATGGCTCAAGTAAAAACGCTTTCATTCGTCGCTTATATATTGAGGACCTTTCCAGAGACGTTTACCAACAAGGAGGTAATTCCATTAATTGTCGTCACCCTTCTCCGGAGATGTCCACATGACATGTGTTTTGCTCGGAAAGAGTTGCTTGTTGCTAGTCGACATATACTTTCAACAAATTTACGAAGATTATTTATTTCAGTCTTAGATTCCTTACTTGACCCGAATATACTCCTTGGAAAAGGTGTTGCTGCAAGGGAATTATTACGACCGCTTGCTTATAGCACTCTAGCCGACTTACTCCATCACATACGCAACGATATCAGTAGCGAACAAATTCGAAAAGCCATTACTATCTATTCGCACAATTTACATGATCCTAGTTTAAGTATAGGCTTACAAACTATGGGGGCTCGACTTGTTCTAAATATGATCGATCGCATCATAAGCCTTCCCAATCCCACAGACTCAATTTCACTTCTTTTCTTTATATTTGACGCATTTATAGAAAAATTTCATGAACTTAACTATAAGTTGCAAGGCAGGTTTCAACAACAAAACGAAAAGGCTGTGCGGCGGAAAGATGGCTCAGCAAAATTTCACATGGATGAGCAATTACCATCTATTATATCTATGGAAAAAGATGGTTCTTTTCTATTTAAAAATCTAATGCTTGGATTACGTGCCCTTATGTATGGGCTGCGCATGTGCAAGACTCGTAGCTTCGAAGCTTCAAATCTACACCTTAATAACATAGAGAAGCTGACCACTATTCAGGAGACTCATATCTTTAAGAAACTTTTTGTTGAGGTCGCAAAAGGTCTTTCTTTTTTTCGACCCGACGAAGTTTATTGGGAGATGTATTATGCCGGTAACGAAGACAACCTTGATAAGCCGTTAACATCCACGCTCCCAAAGAATAAAGATGAGAAAGATTGTTTGGAAGTATTTGCAACAATATTCATTCATCTTGATCCTCCTTTATTCATTGAAATATTTGAATCGAATTTACCCATGTTCTTTGAACAGCTAAAATTAAACCTTACCTTATTTCACATACCTCAGTTTCTTCTTTCAAACGAAAGTACATCCCCTAGATTTCTCAACGTTTTACTTCGCTTTCTACTTTCAAAGTTGGAAGAACTAGGTTCTGCCGACGAAAGACATGGCTCTGTTATACTACGGCTTTTTCGGTTATCCTTTGTTACCGTTTCTTTATTTGCTTCAAAAAACGAACCAGTTTTACGACCTTATGTTTCTGAAATAGTTATAAAATGCATGAAATTTGCTCCAAACTCTAAGATTCCCTTAAACTACTATCTGCTCCTACGCGCTCTATTCAGAGGTATTGGCGGAGGTCGATTTGATAGCTTATACAAAGAGATTATGCCACTCTTGCATGCCTTGCTGGAAGCCTTTAACTCCTTATTGGCTTCAGCTAAATCGCAGAAGGAAAGAGATTTATTCACCGAACTCTGTTTGACTGTTCCTGTTCGTCTTAGCCTTCTTCTACCATACTTGAGTTACTTAATGAAGCCATTGGTTAACTCTTTGAAAAGCGGTCAAGAACTCGTAAATCAAGGTTTACGGACATTCGAACTGTTCTTAGATAATCTAACACCTGACTTTTTGGACCCAATTATGGCACCCGTTATTGATGAACTTATGGATGCTTTATGGAGCCATCTTCAACCTTTACCATATAGTCATCAATATAGTCACAATGCTCTCAAAATTCTCGGCAAATTAGGCGGAAGGAACCGTAAGCTTCTAAAAAAAATCCAAAAAATGAAAGTCACATCATCCTCTTTCAGAGATTTTACTATGCTAGTGGATATTAAAGGAACTGACCGGACGCAACTTTTACACTATCTGAATTATGTGGATCCCGCGGTCAATATTCTAACTAGACAAAATCTTGATCTTGAAATTAAACGTCAATCTTTTAATTATTTGACTACAATTACGAAAATCTTTTTTCAGCAAACAAGTGATATAGATAATATAAGCTCACGAATTAAAGCCAGTGCTCAGCAGCTACTAAGATCAAATATTCCTTTTAAACGGCCTTATTCATTTGCTACTAATCGAGGAACAAGTCGCGATTTTATCTGCAAAATTGATGATGACTCAGTTGAAAATACCGTGCTATTTCATGCTACTTATGGCTTGTTTATAGCTACCTCAATCGAAGGCTTAACTGATACCGCATTAAGAAGTTTAAAAGCGCTCGCAGCAAATATTCTTGTTTATGACCTGCTTTACGCTATTGATTTATGCAAAGATGGCAATGACGAACTACCCTTATATTCTCATAAGGAACCCGTTTTGAGCTCTTACTATTTTTCTCATTGCTTAGCGAAAGTAATGTGCGAAGACGATGAAAGGATTAGAAACTCAGTAAGCCATGTTTTGAACTTCATGTTTGAATTTGCTTCACTACTCTTTGCTGATTCACAGCATTCTTACATTTTACCCATTTTTGAGGTTTTGCTTTCTGATTTTAGACATAATTGTTATGATTGTCAATGGCATCATAAGTTTGGTGGTTGTCTTGGTCTCAAATATCTAATAGAACAGAAATGCTCGTCTGTATGGTTGTTTGACAGACAAGCTGATATTTTAAGTGCATTATTTTTCACGCTCAAGGATACTACACCTGAAGTACCTTCTATCTGTAAAACTACGGTTATGGATGTATTGAAATGCCTGTTTGAAAAAATTTACACTACTGAGGATATAAAAATTGCTCCTGGGGTTTTAGGCCACTTAGTATTGGAACTTTCGAATCACAACTCAGTAGTGCGCAATTCGACCCGAGAATTGTTGTCCCTTCTTTCCTCGCTGTCTAAAATCTCCATTTCAGAACTCGTCTCCCCATACAAGGAAAGGCTGTTGGGTCCGATTTTTGCTAAGCCGTTACGTGCCCTTCCGTTCCATATACAAATTGGTCATATAGATGCTGTCTATTATTTCATAAGTTTAGAGGGTCACTTATTATCTCTAAACGAAGAAGTAATGCGATTAATTCACGAAACTATTGCTCTTGCTGGTGCAGATGACGATGCGTTAATAGGTCACAACAAAGCCTCACATTTTAAGAATGCGGCATTCCTTGTTAGATTAAGAGTTGTTTGTATTAACCTTCTAGTTTCTATAATCAGTAAATTTGATTTAACACAAGGTCAACACGTTCACTTACGGGGAAAAATAATTTCAGTGTTCTTCAAGTCACTCTACGTTAAATCTAACGAAGTTATAGAAGCAGCATTCACAGGGCTACAACATGCTCTAAAAGATGACCAGAAGCTCCCAAAGGAGTTATTACAGACTGGGTTACGTCCAATACTATTTAATATATCTGATCACAAACGACTCACCGTTGCTGGCTTGGAAGGACTAGCTAGGTTACTTTCTCTTCTAACCAACTATTTTAAGGTAGAGATTGGAAGAAAACTGTTGGATCATTTAATTGCACTACGAGACACTGTAAATTTACGTGAGATATCGAAGATGCCTTTAGCTTCTCAAACTGAAATGAGGATTATCCAGGCTCTTATTAACATCTTTCACCTACTTCCCAATAATGCAAATCAATATATGCAAGATTTATTACAATGTGTATTAGATATTGAAATGAAGCTCAATCGTACTTGCCCTAATTACTTCGGTATTCCATTATTGAAGTACGTCAATCGTTATCCACGTGACGCTTGGGAGTTTTTCTATGCCAGGATTGATGATTCTGTGTGTAATAATTTTCTAATCGAGTTGCTTCGATTAGAGGAGTCTGAGAGTTTTCTGCTAGTAGTGAAAGAGAATTGGAGCGTTTTTCGTTCAATTCTAACTACAGAAGTACCTACTTCTAGCAATACGAGATATTCTTTCGCGCTGGAAGTTTCTTGCGAAATATTCAATAGAGACCCCTCATTCTTTAAAGAAAAAAATTCATTCTTTAAAGGACTTACAAATGCTGTTGAAATAATCGGCGATTTAATAAATAATGGTGGAACTATCTCTTTTATCACATCCTGGGAAAGAGTCTTAATCCAACTATGCGAGTTTTTGTTGAAGATATACGATCATTGTATAAAAGAATTCGATTCTGGTTTGGATTTACTGGGAGCTTTTCAAAGTACTGAATATTATTTATCCAACACTCTCATGATTACTTTAACAAAGCATCTTCAGAATAGCCTTTCAGATAATTTTGAGATGAAGTTGCGAAGTCTACTATTTAACTTCCTCAGCGTGAATAGCTCGTTGCAGCTAAAAAACACGCTTCTTAATGATGTTTTGTTGCAATATTTTCATCAACACAAAGGAGATAACGAATCGTGTCAAGCTTGGTTTCACTCGCTTTATAAACTTTATCTCAAAGGTATTTTCACGAAAATTGGGACTTCTTACGACGACGGAGTCAGCATGGGAACTTTACAGATCATCCTATTCTTTTTAAAGAATGATTATAAAGTTTTAGAGAACTATAGACAAGAATTAGTTTCTCTATGTTGTGCTTTAGCAAATTCTGAAGACCTTATCATAAAACAATTATCGCTTTATTCCCTGTCTATTTTTAGTTCTGTGTTTTCATTCGCGGATAACATACCTAGCTTGGTTTATAAAGCATTACTTAAAAGTCCTCCAGTAGAGGTCAGACATACCGTAAAAGTTTCCTTTGATTATATATTTTCTTCAATGTCTTCGTCAAGTGAGTTATCAAATCGTATGGTGGAGCTTCCTTTGCAAATGATGAAAAGTCAAAGCCAGAATATTTCGCAGCTACTAAATGTACTTGACTTCTTAAGCTCACACGTCTCCTATTTTTATTCATATAGGTCGAAGTATGTTTCTACCATAATTGATTCTCTATATAAGCTGGGAGGAATTCCGAATCCGAATTTGGAAATTCGTTCACTATCATTGAACCTTGTTAAGATGCTAGTATCATGGGATCAAACGGAGAGAACTGAACAGAAAACAGAACTTTTTACAAATAATCAAAAACGTGCTATATTGAGTTTTTTGTTTCGATTTATTTGTTTGTATTCTGAGTTGTATACCGAAGGCTTATGTCAGGAAGCCACCCTTGTGCTTGAACGTCTTTTTTCTTCCAAAGAATGGTCTAATCTTGGGATGAAACTTACCTTCTTTACAAAAAGCATAGCTCATTTTGACTCAACTGAGTCAAACTCTATAATGTATGCTAATTCCTTAAAGACATTATCTGTGGTGATAAAGACTGCGGATGATACGTGGATCCTGGAAAACTTCAGTGACCTGAAGCTTCTAATGGTGCAATCATTACAGAATGAAAACTCCATAGTTCAGCCATCATTAAGTAATTTTGTTTCTTCTGTTCTTTCGCTACCAATTGTACGTCCTTCCTTAATAAATGTACCAGGAATTTCAGAAATTTGGAGCACTATTAGTGAATGGACTGAAAGACGTTTACTTGCCGGTTCGCAACTTGACGTAGCTTTATCTTGTTTGAGATGCTGTCTTACAGGAAAAAAGGCCTCTGCAAATTTGCTTGCCGCTTTTATGCGTTCTTTTCATAAGGTAACGAAGGAGGTGCTTTCGTTGGGAGCACAAGAAATATTAGCAACGTCTATGAATATGCCACGAGAATCTTTAAAAGATGAAGCAAATTCTATCCTTTTATCGATGATTGACTTAGGTTGTTCGCGCATAAGTGATTTAGAAGACCAACGAAGATGGTTTCTCAGTGCGTTGGTTCAAATTGTTGAAAAATCGACGAATGAACAGATATGTTCGTCAATATTCCGTGCAGTTTGTAGTTGGGTTACCAACTTCGAGAATTCAGTTCCTACTTTAAAGGAAAAAGCTGCATTATTATTGAAAATGGTCTCATTTGAAAACAGATTTACGAGTGTAAATAATTCAACCCTTTTTTCGGACTATCTTTATTTCATTCATGATGTTTTTCAAATGAAGGAATATGAAGGAAGTGAGCTGCTTTATCGACTTGATGCAGTGTACTTATTGGGTACCAGAAGTTCCGATCCTAAAATTCGGGATTTGTTTATAAGTACTTTAAGTACGAATCTGCCTAAGGATGTATGTTCACGATTCTGTAAACTTCTCGGAGAGCATCACTGGGACTCTCTCTCTAATACGTACTGGATACCTCAACTGAATTCTTTCCTAATTGATTGCTTCGAATTCGATAGAATTTGCATTTTTTTCAATAAGCCTAAAAGATTCCCGAAGCTTTCTTTGTATTTGCCTTCGGAGTCTGCAAAAGCAGAACTTCATTCCGAAGATGATAAACTTAAATCTGCGCTCGTCACTTATCAAGTGCTTTCCGATGGTATAAGCAATATTAAGCTTTCAGACATTATGATTCCAGTATCGAAGATGCAAACTGTAGATTCCAAAATGGCTGGCGTCCTCTGGGAGGATTTATTTAATGCTTCGTTTTCCAGCTTTACATCTGAGCAAGTTGCTTTGGCTTCTAAAGCTGTGATCTCGATTCTTTCAAAAGAATATCATATAAGGTTACTTGGAAAGACTCCCAATGTTTTGGAAACATTCTTGAATGCTATATTGCTTTCTGATAAATTTATTGCTCTGCCACCTCAGTTATTATCCTTTTTAAGCAAAAACTTTGGCTTGCACCATCAATGCATTCTTCTTTTGGAAAATGCACTTCGCAATACTCTTGGTTTTAGGGATGACGAGTTAGTAGTTTATAGAAATTCCTGCTTAGACGCTCTAAGTGAGATTTACTATGGTTTAGATGAGCATGACTTATATATTGGCTTATGGAAACGACGTTCTCGCTTCCTGCAGACCGAAATTGCTGCGTCTTACGAACAGTGCTACAAATGGGATAAAGCACAAATGGTATATGAACAAGCACAAATAAACACTTGTGCTGGTGCCATACCCTATTCTCCTCAAGAAAACGGGTTTTGGCATGATCATTGGATTAAATCTGCTCAAAAGCTGAATCAGTGGGATGTCCTTTTGGATCTATCAAAACAAGAAGGATGTGATGAATTATATGTAGAAAGTGCTTGGAGGATTCTGGATTGGAAAACCGATCGTGATAAAATTGAAAAACAGGTCAAAAGTCTTTCACCGTTAGTGAGCCTAAGGCGACATACGTCTGATGCTCTTCTCTTTTTAACAAGCGGAGACTTGAAAACGAACTCTGTGAATGAATTTACAAAGATCATTCACGAAAGTATGCAATTCTCTTTACGCCGTTGGCAGCAATTACCCAAGCGCATTTTTCAGTCTCATGCTCCTTTACTACATCATTTCCAGGAGCTTGCCGAAATGCAGGAGGCCTATAATATATATGTACAGCTTGAGAGTACTACTGCTGAGAATTTAGATAGCAAACTTCAAGAGATAAAGGTTATTTTGCAAAGTTGGAGGGAGCGCTTACCTAATATATGGGATGATATTGACTGTTGGAGTGATCTAGTTTCTTGGAGAAAAATTGTTTTCAAGGACATTAATAATGTTTTCTTGCCTTTAGCTTCAGCTCTTCAGCAGGCACCGAACGGCACTTCGAACGGTAACTCGACATCTTATCTTTACCGAGGTTATCATGAATTGGCATGGATAATAAATCGATTCGCACATGTTGCTCGAGTACAACACTTACCTGAAGTTTGTATTAGTCAACTTACTAAAATCTATACATTACCAAACATAGAAATACAAGAGGCTTTCCTGAAATTACGGGAACAAGCAAAATGTCATTATGAGTACCCTTCCGAAATGCATTTGGGTTTAGAAGTTATTAATAACACTAACCTTATGTACTTCCGTAACCCTCAGAAGGCTGAATTTTTTACGTTGAAAGGAATGTTTCAAAATAGCCTTGGAGAATATGAAGAGGCAAATCAAGCATTTGCAACAGCAGTTCAGATTGATCTATCGCTTGGAAAGGCTTGGGCTGAATGGGGTTTGTATCATGATAACCTTTTCAGTGCTACACCCCAGGATCCTTGGCACGCTTGTAATGCCGTTAGCTGCTATCTTCAGGCTGCATCATTATATCCAAGTTCAAAAGCTAAAAAGTATCTAAGTCGACTTCTTTGGTTGCTTTCTACCGACGTCAAAGGTGGCATATCTGCTGTAATCAACTCATTTAAATCAGAAATTCCTGCATGGAATTGGATTTCTTTTATTCCTCAGTTATTGGCTTCTTTGTCACGTAGCGAGGCAGCTCATGCTAGAGCAATTCTAATAGTAATTGCAAGAACATACCCCCAGGCACTTCACTTTCAGCTTCGTACAGCTTACGAGGATTATACTTTTGCGAACAAACAGCAAGTAGCAGCATCAACAGGTGCTGTTTCTACCTCAAACGGCTCTACTGAAAGCTCTGCAATAGAAAAAGCCAAGGACGTCAATAGCGGTACATCTTTTTCAAGCTCACCAAGCTTGACTCCTGGAAATGAGGGATCTATGAGCAGTGAAATGAACGGAAAACATAGTCACTCAGGTGCCCGTCTACCATTTCAAATTACTGGAGATATAATGGCTATTCTGAAAACTGCATATCCTTTATTGGCTTTGACAATGGAAACTATGGTGGATCAGATCCAGTCTCGTCTTAAATCTTTTCCGGACGAAGATGCTTATAGACTAATAGTCGCTTTGTTGAATGACGGTTTACAGTATATTACAAGACTTGGCGTCGTGACAAAGAGTACTCCTCAACTACCAATGACGAAAGCTAATATTCAACGGTTTGCGGAAAATGTTTTGCCAACATCTGTTCGAGAAGCTTTCTTTAAAGATTTTGTTGAGCAAGATTTAACATTGTTGGCTTATGTGGATAAGTTGCGTGTTTGGAAGAAGAGATTTATAGAAATTTTAGATCAACGTCCTAAGTATCTTCATTTGGAGCAATGTAGCCTTTACTTGAGTGAATTTCAGCATCAAAAGTTTGATGAGGTGGAGATACCAGGTCAATATCTTCTAGATCGTGACAACAATAATGATTTTGTCCGACTAGAGAGGTTCGTTCCGAATGTGGATCTTATAAGAGGACATAATATTTGCTACAAACGACTTACGATGAGGGGTTATGATGGCATTCTATATCCTTTTGCTTTACAGTATCCTGCTACTCGTCATAGTAGACGGGAGGAACGTATGCACCAACTTCTGCGTTCTATCAATTCGATTTTGGAAAGAAAAATTGAAGTTCAACGTCGAAATATTACCTTCAACGTACCTATTTCAATCCCATTGTCTTCGCATATGCGCATCTTGAGTGATGATGCCGCGAATGTGACAGTCCAGCAAATTAATGACCGATATTGTGAAGAGCATGGAATGGCATCCGATCATCCTATCCGTTTCTTTTTTGATAAGCTACAGTCTAACTTGATTCAATTAAAACACGGAAACAAAATGCACTTTGAGGATTCTTCCTTGGAGGAAAAGAAAAAGGTTTATCGTCGACGTGCTCTAGCTTTAAGGATGCAAATTTTAGACACGATTAAAGATTCTCTTATACCCGAGACGATCTACTATGGTTTTTTCAGTAAGGTCTACAATAATTATTCGGATTTTTGGTTCTTTAAACGTGCATTTACTGTACAATATGCTTACTTTCTGATGACTACCTATATGTTTAATATCGGAAGCCGATTTCCTCATAAGGTTAATATCAATCGTAGCTCAGGAAGCATAAGTTCCGCGGATCTTTTACCTTTGATGACTTCGAATCAGCCTACGTTTAACAATCCTGAAGCAGTACCTTTCCGTTTGACTCCCCCTATTCAATATTTAATTGGCGATATTGGGGTAGAAGGTTTACTTGTTGGTGTTCTCATTAGCTTCGCACAAAGCTTCTTAAGCTCCGATGCTGATATTAGACAACATCTCAGTTTGTATATCCGTGATGAAGTTTTGTGGTGGCACAAGCAACAAAAGAGATCTTTACCACAGGGTTTACAACTATTTGAGATGGTGAGACTTAATGTCGAATTATTATCCAGAAGGGCGACTGTCATAAGTCAAAACGTCCCTGATAACCTGCCAATAACACAGACACTGATTGATTTAATATCGCAAGCTACAAATCCTAAGCAGCTTGCTCAGATGGACCAGCTCTGGCAGGCGTGGTTATAAAAATAATTTTTGAGTTAATAAGACTTCATGTCTAAAAAGGGATTTAATTAAAAGCAGAAATATGAAAAATGAGTATATAACGACATTTAATGAAAATTACAGGTGTTCATCGGTTAATAGTATTAATTAAGCCTTTGGGGTTTTTTTTCTTTTTCTTTTTCTCCTTTTTTTTTATCAAAAAAAAAGAAAACTATATGCTTCTATTCTTGTCCAAAAACAACCAATTATTATGACGACTGTAAAGAATCCTATCCGTATATCTCCTGTTTTCATTCTAATGTTTGTAATTGAGGAAACAAATATATCCAAACCAATAGGTATTTATTTATACCATGTCGCCAATGTTCATGGGCATCTCATCAATAACAGTAGAGTAGTATTGTTCAATATCCCGAAGTATTCGAACGTCTTCATTTGTGACAAAATTTATAGCAACACCTTTGCGGCCAAATCTGCCACTACGACCGATTCTATGAATGTAATTCTCACGATTTGTAGGAAGATCGTAGTTTATTACAAGAGATACTTGTTGTACATCGATTCCTCGAGCCCAAATATCCGTGCACAGCAAAACTCGACTATTTCCCTGTCGGAAGTCTTGCATAATAGTATCCCGTTCCTTTTGTGGCATTTCACCATGCATACTGGCAACAGTGAAATTTGCTTCTCGCATTTTTTCAGCAAGCCAATCTACCTTTCTTCTAGAGTTACAGAAAATGACAGCTTGTGTAATTGTAAGTGTGTCATACAAATCACAAAGGGTGTCAAATTTCCATTCTTCTTTTTCGACGGCGATGAAGTATTGTTTTAACCCCTCTAGAGTAAGCTCATCTCTTTTTACGAGAATGCGAACAGGATCTGAGGTAAATTTGCTTGTCATTTCCAGAACGTCCTGTGGTAGAGTAGCACTTACTACAACAACTTGAGTACCAGGAGGAAGGTAACGATAAATGTCATAAATTTGCTCTTTAAATCCTTGATTCAAAAGCTCATCGGCCTCATCCAGAATTAGCATTTTTACATTTCGAGTTCGAAGGTTTCTTCTACGAATCATATCTGTCACGCGGCCGGGTGTTCCTGATACAACATGTTGACCGTAATCTAATTTTTTTATATCGTTGCCTACAGAAGTTCCGCCGATGCAGGCATGACATTGAACATTCATATGATCACCTAAAGCGAGAACGACGTTCTGAATTTGAACGGCCAATTCTCGGGTTGGTGAAAGAATTAGAGCTTGGGTATCTCGCACAGAAAGGTCAATGGACTGAAGAATACCTATGGAAAACGTAGCCGTTTTACCAGTACCAGACTGTGCTTGGGCAATTACATCTCGTCCTTTACATATTTGTGTAATTGCACGACTTTGAACAGCGCTAGGAACTTCATACCCATAAGCATATATCCCACGTAGTAAATCCTCTGGTAAAAGTGTTAGTATATCAAGTCAAAAAAAATTGATTCTAGTTCTTTTATTTATATAAACGTGAATCGCCGAGTTTCATACGAACCTTTGAGATTCATCTCTTCAACTAGACAAATTGCATTAGCGATATATGGTCTTTTTTTTTTTTAATTTATATTTACTTACAAGAAGAAGCTGCTTTCAGATCTTCTGAAGTCGTAAATTCAATATCATCCATGATTTCCTCCGCCATGTTGAGTATAATGGTTTTTTCAGGAACGACTGTGTATGTTCTCTTCAGGTCGAACGTCGCAGGTTTTCCAAGTATTTTACATAATGGATCTATTTTAGGTTTTCAATGAATTTAAAAAGAGAAAAAAGAAATCAATAGGTTTTATATATGACAAGAACTTTGTATATTCGATGGAACCGCCCAACAAGTTTACAGTCTTGAGTCATAAGAAATTGTTGACTCTAAGTTCTTCATCAATCTAATAGAAGTGAATTATTTTATTTCACTTTATTTTCATAACGTATGAGAATCCTGTTTTATAAACAAGTGTATATGTCTGCCATTCGGAAGTGCAAATGTTCGTATCGCCAGTGATTTTCTCATAAAATAAACAGTTTATGGATGACTAGTTGATCTATAATACCTCTAGAGTACCGTGAATCTGTTCATAAGTGGTTGTTTGTAAAAAACTTTGGACCCAAGTGGAAAAGAATGCGTCGATCTTTAGTAAGTGCTAATGTTCTTTTTCATGGACCGTTTTAACATTACATGGAAGAATTTTGATTTTTTAAGTCTACCTAGCGGATCTATCGGGTCAGGATTTGAAAACGAAAAAACGCTTTCGTCAAATGGACAAGAGAAATCAGTGGTTCTGTCTGTGATAGAGGATTCATAAGTTTGAAAATCAGATATTCAAACCTTTTTTTTTTTAAGGAATTGAAATTTTATGTCGACAGAAAAATAAAGCTAATGGAAAATCTATGAATGCGAATTTAGTTGGGAGATTCGTATCATCCGTCCTTATATTTTTGCATTCCTCCATCGATCATAGTTCAAGATGACCATAGGAATGGGATTAAATGTTGCTTAATTTATTAGTCCATAATTTGACATATTTTCGCGCTGCTAAACAAGGACTGGTAAATTAAAACAATGATTCATTTCAATGAGGTTCGAATTGCGCCGATGAAACTGTTGCAATAGAAATGGAAACTATTTTTTTTCTTTTTTTGGTTTTTTTATTTTTGTCTTTTTTTGTCGGCAATCGAAAATGATTTTGAGTCAGTTTTGTCTTTTTCTTGGGGATATCACTGTATGTCTTGGAACCGAATATCATTAGAGACTTTTGCATAATCCATCGAAAATGGATTTATTTATTTATTTATTTATTTTTTACAAGCTGTGTGTAGCCGTGTATTCTCAATGCTTTCTCCGACAGGTACGAGATTCCGGTAGATTCTGTGTCTAACGAATTGGAGGTTCAAAAGTCAAATTTACTACCATGTTGTCAATGACAAAAGTAGAATACAAGCGTTTCATCGTTTTCTGATCTATTTCCTCATTTTCTTTTCATTACGGATACTTTGAGATCTTGAATGAGGAAATTTTCTGGTCTCATCCTTGGATACAAAACCGAATAAAAGAAGGAGATTGTTTTCATTTTACCTTCCAACCTGGTGTAATGTTGGAATGTGAATTAACCAACCATCCATACTTGAGAAGAATTTGGAAAACAAATTGGAATCAAGTCGTACTTGATTCACTCCTACTTTCCCAAAAAAAGTTGTATGAGCAAAGAGTATAGATAATTTCTTTTTCTTTTTTTTTTTACTAGCGATCCCACTGCTTGTACTTCTCGTAACATGTCTTTCACAATGTATATCATTTTAATGAAAGAACATCCTCTATAAACCGATTATATATCAACACGCTAGTATAATCAACGAAACCTCCTTTAATGGAGCAGAGGAAATATTGTATTATACTAAGCATATGATAATATAATATAAGTATGTGATACGATTATATAGGTTACATACTGCAACTTAATTATCTTTCCTTATATCTTTTACGTATTGCAATTACTTACGTTAATTGGGAATAAAGAGTAAAGATAATTAGTACTGTATTGTTTGTAATCAAACAATAATCCTAAAATAGAAACAAAAAAGAATTCTTCCGTTCTTTAACAAACAACTATTACTTCAACCTCGTGCATACTTTGTATTGTCGAATAGTAAGAAAATACAAATAAAAACGGCGCGAAAGTGAATCTTTTTATTTGTGTTAGATTCCTCATAGCGTATTGCGTTTGACCTCCAACGTCCTAACGATTACAAACAAAAACAACATTCTCTCTCATCCCAGAGTGAGAATCGAATCGAAGGATTATCTTACAGTGAATTGTGAGTGGGATCTAAAGCTTACCTAGGTTACACATCCGTTACGAAGACAGGCCTTGCTAGCTTTCAAATTGGGAATCCTGCGTAGCTTTTCAATTAATCCCTGTTATTGTTTGGATCCTCACTTCTACATTTGGTTAAAGAAGGTTGCTTGTCGCTTTTCCTTTCAGTCTTTTCTTCTTCGTAACCGGTTTTTCATCCTTCCTGTAATATCTGCTCATCTTCAACACGGTCGAAATCTCAAGTTTGTTTTGTTTAATTAAGCCTTACATTTTTGTAGCTTATTACATTCTTTTTGATATCTCCGTTTTCCAAATTACAGGGTTTTCGGTTTTATTTCTTTATTTGCTTGTTTCAATCTGTGTTTAGTTAGCGGAACAACTATTTCGTTTTCTTTATTCCTGTTTTATCGGTTCGTTTTTTTTGTTCTTTTGTATAAACAACCTTGTTTCTTTACGGATTCTTTATATTGCATTTTTCTTTCAATTCGTTTCATTGCCTTACCAGTTTGGTTTTATTTTATTGCTCACAACATGGAAACGTCAATTAAGGATGGTGTGCCAAAAATATCCACCACCAGCATGCTCGAAAAACCGACTCCCGGTCCTACTCCACAACAAACACCAGCAAATACCCGTCCATCAACCCCAGCAAACAAGCCCGATTTAAAGAGCCAGAAGAGTGAGCAAAGTCAAAGTTCTGGAGAATACAGTCCTGATGAAGACTGGCTGGGTGATCATGCTGCCCGTGAACACGAAGCTCGTATACGCCGTCCTAGTGTAACTCGCGCTTGGGTTCCACAAAATACGGGTGGTCCTTCTATTCAACAAGATCGTCGTGACGTTGCTCCTTTTGGCGAAGTTATAGATTTAGAGGAAGTCCCCCGTGGTATCACTCGTCAAGCTCGTAATTTAGACAACTATTCATTCCCTTGTCATCGTTTTCGAGAAAACTTGATCGATGAAAGTAAGATCCCTCTCGTTCTGGTTGCATGTGGATCCTATTCTCCCATCACCTACCTCCATTTACGTATGTTTGAAATGGCAACGGATACCATTCATGAACAAACTAACATGGAATTGATTGCTGGTTATTTCTCTCCAGTCAATGATGATTACAAAAAAGAAGGTTTGGCACCTTCACATCATCGAGTCCGCATGTGTGAATTGGCTTGCGAGCGTACATCCAGCTGGTTGATGGTCGATGCATGGGAAAGTCTTCAGAAAAAGTATACACGAACTGCAGAAGTCTTGGACCATTTTGACGAAGAGATTAACAAGAAGCGCGGTGGCATTCGCTTATCCGATGGATCTCGTCGTCCTTGTAAGATCATGCTTTTGGCCGGTGGTGATTTGATTGCTAGTATGGGAGAACCTGGTGTTTGGTCGGAATCGGATTTGCATCATATACTTGGCAATTTTGGTTGTGTTATTGTCGAGCGGACCGGAAGTGACGTTTGGGCCTTTCTACTTGCTCATGATCTTTTGTTTGCGTACCGTGGAAATGTTTTGGTTATCAAACAATTAATTTATAATGATATATCCTCGACAAAAGTTCGATTATTTATTCGAAGGGGAATGTCGATCCGCTATCTTCTACCAAATTCTGTTATTCAGTACATCGAACGACATTCTCTTTACCGCGACGCTGAGCCCGTAAAGGCTATATTTTACCAATCTCCGTTTGTTCGAATAGAAACTTGAATTGGTTCCGCAGACATCTCTCACAAATGACAATGAATTTGGATCTGTGGTTTTCTGGGCTCACGACCACGCTTCCTGCATGGTAGGTTTTCTTTTTACAGTATGCGTAGTAGCTAGCGTTCTAGTTTGTATTTTTTTTTTGTTTTTTTTTTTTCAATATCAGATAGGGGGAAGGTTAAATAAACGATTTATCCTCCTCATTTCTCGCCTCGCTTTAAACTAGAGTAAGTAAATATTGTAAGTATGGCCAATTTTCTTCAGACAAGCTTCATAGGTATCGTAAATAGAAAGAAAATACTTTCGTTCCGCCGGAGTAGAGAGGTGCACCAACCGTCTCCCCTGTTTTCTTCGAAACATTTGGATATGGAATCTGTTTTTCATAAGTTTGTGCTGCAGAGTTCCTCTCATGGAAGCTGTTTGTAAAAACATTACTGTATTAAGGACTCGCTCTTGAGAAAAGTAAGAAGGACTATGCGTTCGAAATGCATCTCGTAAGAGATCTCGATAGACGAATCTATGACCAGGAAACTTTGTAGAAATTGCGACGGCCATTCCAGCTCTCCATAGCGAACGAAACGCCGATGACAATTCCTTGTGCATTACGTCCAACTTCGCAATAGTGTTTAGTTATAGAGTATAGAAAAATAAAGAATATACATTCCTCTTCAAAAGGAAATATCTTGTAAGTGAAGAAAAAAGCTCTTCTTCTTGGGGCGCAAGTAGGCGATCCTGCAGCAGTTACCTCTTTGACTATAATATGCGTTCAGGTCCATTCTTGTACAAGGAGGGACTGAGCAAAATATTTAACACTTTCTAATTTTATTTACACAAATGTTCATTCCTGTAAGACTATTCTTCTCTTTTATAATTATTATTATTATTGTTAATGAATTTTTTTTTTCGTTCAATCATTCTCGTAAAAATCTATTCTTTGACCATCCAGTATAGAGCAGTCTACCGTAGTAATATCATATAAAGTGTATTTTACTATAATTCTGTTGGTGAGCAAGGAAAAAGGATTGCAGCACCTTCTCATATAGAAAATTTAAGAGATAAATTCTCTGTTTTATTTTTTGTTTGTTCATTCCTATACATTTGTACAATCTATTTTAGCTTACTCTTTGTTTTCTATTCCAGCTTAAAGAAAACAACGATGTGGAACGAAATATTCAACAAAATAACAGTAAAATGCTAAACGCAAATACGACGAACGGAGGAAGAAAAGTAAAAAGAAGAATAGCACCTTACGTTCGATTTCCACATTTGTCTTTACCGCAGTCCATCAAACCATCCAAGCAGTCACAAAGTTTGGCTGCTACAAGTAGCAATACTCTTGTTACTTGAAGGTTTGTCTGTTTACAAACATTATTTGCGAAATATAATGGCTGGTTTTGAAAGATTTGTCCAAGTTGGACGTGTTGTTTTGTTAAAAAATGGACCTCAAAAAGGAACATTGGCTGCCATTGTTGATATCGTCGACCACAAGAGGGTACGTTGTGACATATATCGAAAGGGGAGCGAGTACTAACATTTATTTACAGGTGATCGTTGACTGTGCTAACCAAGAATTTCCTCGTCAAATCGTTCGCCTTGGTCAAGTTACCCTCACATCAATTGTTATGGATGTTCCTCGAGGTGCTACTACTGGAATTGTTGCCAAGAAATGGCAAGCACAAAACATTTCTGAGAAGTGGGCTGCTACCGCTTGGGCCAAGAAATTGGAGACTGTAAAGACTCGTAGCCAACTTGGTGACTTTGAGCGTTTCGCCGTCTTGCGTTACAAAAAGCAACGTCGTAATCAGGTTCAGCGTGCTCTCGTTAGTGCTTAAACTAATGTCTTTCATATGATACAAAACGAGACTGACTTTCTGGTGCAGCACTTTTACATCTGCATAACGAAAAAGGTAATAGGGCCGTAGTAGTCATGGATCAACGGGTAGGTAAATAAATAAATAAAAAATGGGTACATTGAATATGTGTACATCTTATTATATCAAGAACCCACAATCCTATTAAGAATGGTTTCCATCATTTGATTTCTTTATAGAACAGCATGCTCCCTCCATTTCATAAATTGTACTACCAAATACTTCCCCATTACAGTCACTTATTTATATTCTGGAAGTTCATAATCTTCGACAAGTCAGATTTCGTTCTAGTCTGTTGGTAGACGGTTTCCTTAAATAAGATTAAAAACAAAAAATTTATTCAAGCAATCAGAAAATTCATTACAAAGGAACTGTAGTATTGTTAACTCGAGTTTAACAAAAACTCTTTTCTAAATATACGCATATCCACGTTGCGTGGACAGCCCGAACTAGCTATGTGTTTAACATAGTTCTTCGTGTTATCTTCTTTTCCCTTCCATTTCCGTATATAACTTACCGAGTGTTTGTTCTACTATTTAATCTGAAAGAACAGTCACGCTCTCCAACACTTTGTTACACGAAATTGTTTACGGTTCCTTCGCAAAACCATGACTCAAAAGAGAAGAAATTGCGGACGTAACAAGCACGGCCGTGGCCACGTCAAGTTTGTTCGCTGCATTAACTGCAGCCGTGCCGTCCCTAAGGACAAGGCTATCAAGCGCTGGACTATCCGTAAGTAAAATTTACATGTAACTTGTTACTCGGTTCATCCAGGGATTTCTCTTAGAGAATCCAAAATCCTTGATTTTGGGCTATATGCAAGTTCTTCATGAAATAGTTACAACTAAAAGAGTAAAACTAACATTGAATTAGGTAACATGGTTGAAACTGCCGCCATCCGTGATATGTCTGAGGCTTCTGTTTACAGCGAGTACACCATTCCCAAGTTGTACGTCAAGTTGCAATACTGTGTCTCTTGCGCTATTCACTCCCGTGTTGTTCGTGTTCGCTCTCGTGACGGCCGTCGTATCCGCACTCCTCCTCCTCGTGTGCGTTACAACCGTGACGGTAAGAGAGTCAACCCTGCTGCCCTTGCCAAGACTGTCCTCTAAAGTGGTTATGATAGATTAAATATGGAAGGGAATGAAATTATAACTTGGTATACGTCAGTTGTCTATCAGTTTGTATACGATTGACCACCAGTAGTGAATAGAGCCTAAACAGGTCTGTATGCAAGGTAAGTTTAAAGCCCATCAAAACTGTAGATATGATGCAAGTTCTTGGTATATGGTACTTTGAATTATAACATAGTATTATATAAGGGAATGAAGTCTAGGATCTATATAGTAAGAAATAGCACATTATCCAAAATATGCTCAAGTAAATTCATTGCGCGCTTCGAAGCAACCATTTTAGATCGTAAAGAGGTAATGTATAATATCTTCTTCACAAAAAGAAATAGTAAATATATAATAATCAAAACTGTTCATTTCCTGTTTAAATGTTTGAATCTTAAATTTTGCGTATTTCCTTCGATGTCTTTAAATGGCATAATGACATGTAACCAGACGTTACTCTATTAGTAAGTAAACAGATAAATTTTGGCCTTTACCAATCACTACTATAAGTTGATTCTCATGGGTAAGTAGATACAAACCACTATAACAAAGACAATTCGTTTCGTTTGTGCTAATGTGTTATGATAGATCAGGTACGGCATGTAATTTTAGTATTGTCAGGAAAAGGAGGAGTTGGGAAATCTTCTGTAACAACTCAGTTGGCTCTCTCCCTTCATGATTCAAAGGTTCACTCGCGGCCGTTAAAAATCGGTATTTTGGATATAGATCTTACCGGGCCATCGATACCCAGAATGTTTGGAAAAGATGTTGAGCAAAGTCGCATTCGTCAATCCAGTGCCGGTTGGATTCCTGTATATACTGATGAAACAAAGGAAATAGGACTGATGTCTCTTGGATTCTTGCTGCCTTCCAAGAAAGACAGTGTTGTCTGGCGTGGTCCAAAAAAGGCAGCTATGATCCGTCAATTTGTTAGCGATGTACATTGGGGAGAATTAGACTATTTAATCATTGACACTCCTCCCGGTACTGGTGACGAACATTTGACCATTGTGGAATCCTTGTTGGCGGAAACATCGGACGTGCGAAATGGTCCAATTGATGGTGCAGTTATGGTTACTACACCTCAAGCTCTTGCTACGTTGGACGTACAAAAAGAAATTGATTTTTGTAAAAAGGCTAGTATACGGATTTTAGGAATTGTGGAGAACATGAGTGGTTTCATATGTCCTCATTGTGCTGATTGTACAAACATTTTTTCGAGTGGTGGCGGGCAAACGCTTGCAGAAAAATACAAAATACCTTTTCTTGGATCCGTTCCAATTGACCCCAAGTTTGGTGAGATGATTGAAAATCAAAACTCTTCTACGAATCTGTCCAAACTATATCCTGAAACAGAAATGTCAAAGGTATTTTTTCCTATTGTGCAAAATTTTTTCCATCAAATTTACAACAACCGTTCTTTGGAGTTAGTTGCTGGGCTCAGTGGTCATGATGGAAGGGTATGGAGTGTAGCCTCCCACCCAGTGTTGCCTCTTTTCGCTAGCGGATCACAGGATAAAACTGTTCGTATCTATAATAGTGATACTCTTCAACTTGTACATGTTATAGACGGTTTTCATTCTCGTAGTGTCCGGCGGGTTGCCTGGCGCCCTGTTGATCGACCTATACTTGCAGTTGCTTCTTTTGATGGTACAATAAGTATTAATGAGAAAATTGATGATGATTGGGAATGCACAGCGGCTCTTGAAGGACATGAAAACGAAGTAAAATGTATTGCTTGGTCACCTGGTGGAAATTATCTTGCTACCTGCTCGCGTGATAAGTCGGTTTGGATTTGGGAAACTACTGAAGATGACGAGTTTGACTGTATGGCTGTGCTTCAGGAACATACACAAGATGTCAAGGTTGTAGCTTGGCATCCCTCTGAGGATCTTCTTGTCAGTGGAAGTTATGATGATACAATTTGCTTTTGGAGAGATGATGGTGATGATTGGGCTTTGACATGTCAATTGCAAGGCCACCAAAGCACCGTTTGGGCTCTTGCTTTTTCTCCCAGTGGATCAACCTTGGTTTCTGCAGACAATGAGGGCAACATAATGCTATGGACCAAAACCTTTAGCAATGAATCTGAAGCTATTAATAATTCTACTAATATCCTTCGACCATCTTTGCAGGAGGAATGGGTAAGAAAAGCAACGTTGCCTCATGTGCATCAAGGTGCAGTGTACTCACTTTCCTGGCTAAATGATAAAGTATTAGCATCTGCTGGTAGTGATGGAAAGATTGTTGTTTATGAAAGTGAGCAACATGATGATAACATTTGGAGGGTTTCCATTGAAAAAGAAAATGCACATGATGTTTATGAGATTAATTCTATAGCCTGGTTAGGAAACGATAAACTTGTTTCGGGTGGTGATGATGGTGAAAGCCGCATATGGCATTTAGATTAGAACAAAAAAAGTTATAAGAGTTTATTTTGGTTAATGAATGAAATACTTGGACAAAAAAGTATTTATTTTCAATTCGTTGCAGTATATATTTTTAGATTGGATATTTAACGTATAACTTCTTCGGAACAAGCATAAAATAACCAAGGGACGAAAATTCTTAAGGATAATGGAAAGAAAGTAACTAAGGTCGACGTTGAATTTAAGAAATCGATGCTCATCAAAAACTAAGATTAGAGTGTAAATTAAGTAGATATTAATAAGAATAAACATCGACTTTTTTCGATAGGGATCAACAAAACGAGTTTTTTTTGTTCACGATTAATCAAAAAGGAGATGAGTATAATACAAGGATTGGAAGAGTCCATTATAAATAATAATGCTCTATTGTTGCTTCAAAGAATCTTCACTATCGCTACTGCGATGGTGTTCCGCCAAGATTGGTCCAGCCCCATTCTTAAGCAAAGATAATGCGACCTGGGTACCCAAGTCCTCAGCATCTTCAACGGAATTAATGACGCGATTACCTGAGGCAAAGGCAGACCGGCGGCCATCAGCGGAGACAACAATACCATCTAAAGAGACTTGAAAAGAGGAGCTGGAAACTGCCAAAGAGTCAGACTGGACGCCGATTGGGATAGCACAGCCGCCATCCAAGCGCTTCATTAAAGCGCGCTCCGCAACACAGCAATAGGTGGTTTCTGTATCTTGAAGAGGTTTCAAAAGCTCGATCATTTCTTTATCATCTTTACGAACCTCAATAGCGAGAGCACCTTGACCAACTGCATAATAGTTGAAAGGAGCTGTTAGCATTTGGGAGACACGATCTTTTAACCCGAGACGGAAAAGTCCCGCGGCGGCCAACACAAGACAAGAGAAAGGAGAATCTGGGTCATCAAGTTTGGACAAACGAGTCCCAACATTTCCTCGAATATCTACGAAACGAAGGTGGGGGAAATGGCGCGCCAAAAGAGCACGTCGGCGAATACTGCTAGTTCCGACAACGCTTCCAGAAGGAAGGTTAGCAACGGACTTGTAGGGAGATCCTTTTGGAAAGACAATGGCATCTAGGGGACAGTTGCGACGTGGAATACAAGCGATGGTCATACCCTCAGGCATTTCAACAGGTAAATCCTTAAGAGAGTGAACAAGCATGCGACATTGATTGACGATGAGTAAAGCTTCAAGCTCCCGAGTCCATAAAGACTTTGCAACCTGATGTTTAAATTCAAACAAAGCTTTGGAAAGGATTTCATCACCGATAGTGTCGCGGCTTATGATGGGGAAATCATATTCGGGGTAGTTTTCCTTCAACTGCTTATGAACAATTTCAGACTGAATGACAGCGAGTTTGGACTTACGAGTACCAATGGGAAAGGACGTACTAATAGGCATGGTTTGCGACAGATCAATTGGGAAGGAAAAAAAAAAAAAAAGGGATAGTGTCCTCAAACAAGATGACAGATATACAAAAAACAGAAAGTTTTATCAGTGATGAAAAACTAATGGATCACGAATGTGTCAACAATTAACCTGCATTCAATAAGCAAAGAAAAGAAAACGAAACGAAAGCAAATCGACTGAGGATTAGAAGTAATCCAAGTTTGCTAAACCGACCGTCCCAACAAGTACACAAAAGTTTTAGAAACCAAAAGGCAAACAAAAAAAACGCGAAAATGAAGGTGAAATGTGTTGGAGAGTAGGTAAATCCCCGGAACCGCCCAGTCCTCTATAAGCAGAGGTGGAAAGAAGGAATGACAAAGATTCGTCCCTGTGGACCAATCCGAGGTCCTAGAATTCCGACCTGACTGAGAATAATGATGTTGTTAAATTTCAGAAGAGCGTACAGTGTGTTTTACCGCAGTTCGCTGATAAACAAATAGAAGGAGTTTTGTGGAGATTTCATTTATATCGTACTATTGTATAAGCACTATTTTTGTAACGAAAATTAAATTATTGTTAGTACGATAAGGAGAAATGACGTGAAAGACTCGGCTCATCACTGTTATTCCTTACACGCGTTTTCGCTCCATGACTCATGCATGTTACTTTCTGATCGCAACATAGTTAACCACAGCCAAACACTTTTTTAATTTGATTCTCTCTTTTTATTGAAATTGAGAGTTTTCAGGTGAAAATTGTGTTTAATTTTTTTTATAATTGCTATACATTTCATATCGGCAAATATAATACAAGCCGAATTGAGTCGATAACCAAGTTTTACGGCCGGTGAATTTGGCCGAATTCCTTCTTATCCGGTTTCCCAGTTTGTCAAAGATTGATATCTTTATTAAACATATAGTTTTTTATTTGAAATCTTAAGCGCTTAACATATTTTTTGAAGAAATCAAGGTTTGTTATTATTCTTGTATATAATTCCTCTTTCTGAAAATCGGGTTGTTTAATTCTTTCCTTTCTTTGCTTCCTTCGTCTTTACGTTTGTTATTTGAATCCATTATTTCATATTGATATTTAAATTGTTCTTTCTTTTCCCGGAATTTCTATTCTTCGGTTGCTTGCATGTCGGAGCTTTCCACTAAAAGCAGTAGGCTCAAAAACTGGGTCCCTAGTCTCAAGGGAACTCGTTTGAAGCTTTATAGACTAGCTAGTCGTCTCAATATCCCTTTGGCAGATGCCGCCAAGGTCGAATTGGAACAGCATGATAATAACAATTTGGAGTCGTGGACTGCTCTCCAGCGACTTCCTAGATCACTTTATTTTAATCTAGCTTTACCTGAATCTGAACTCGATGACACTGGTGAAGCCAAACGTTTTTATCCAAGGAACAAAATCCGTACAGCCAAGTACACTCCCCTAAATTTCTTGCCAAAGAATATTTTCTTGCAGTTCCAAAATGTTGCAAATCTTTTTTTCTTGTTCCTTGTCATTCTTCAGGTATGTTTCTTTTATTAGAATTTCTAAAACCGATTGCTGACCTGTAATTTTAGTGCATTAAACTATTTGGCAATCAAGTTAACCCTGGTTTGGCTGCAGTACCATTGATTGTTGTTGTTGGTATTACTGCGGTTAAAGATGCTATTGAAGATTTCCGCCGTACAATGCTGGACATTAATTTGAACAATACACCAACTCTCCGTTTGAGCAATTACAATAATCCAAATATCAGGACGGAATATGTTAGTTACGTTCGTAGATTCAAAAAACGTGTATCTGCTTTGTTTCGTGTATTTCTCATGAAGAAGAATCGAAAGAAAGAACAGAATACTGCCCCTGATACAGTTCCTCTTGAAGATCTTTCATCCCAGCGTAGGCCAAGTTACGATTCTATATTCCGCGAGTCCATTGATATGGCGGACCCTTTTGATGAGTCGAAAGGCAAAGATGAATACGGTGTTTCAGATGGAAAAACTACTGTCCATCAACAGCGAGCAATGGACGTTATAGATTATCAAGCTGTTGGCTCTGGTCAATGCCAATTCAAGAAAGTCTTTTGGAAGGATATACGAGTTGGTGATTTCGTTAAAGTATCAGAAAATGAAGAAATTCCAGCCGATATTGTTATTCTTAATACTTCCGATCCGGAAGGCATTTGTTACATCGAAACCAAGAACTTGGACGGTGAAACAAACCTGAAAATTCGACATGCTTTGACCGCAGGTAAAAATGTGGTTGATGAAATGTCTTGTGAACGATCTCGTTTTTGGGTTGAAAGCGAACCTCCCAATGCAAACCTTTATGAATACAACGGAGCTTGTAAGTGTTATGGGCACACCGAAACTGGCATGCTCGATGAATCACAAGTTCACTCAGAACCTGTAAGTTTGGATAACCTGCTTTTGAGAGGTTGTGCTCTCCGGAATACAAAGTGGGTTATTGGTGTAGTCGTCTTTACTGGTGACGACACGAAGATCATGTTGAATTCTGGGGCTCCCCCTTTGAAGCGAAGCCGTATCACCAGGAATCTAAATTGGAACGTTTATTTGAACTTCATTATTCTTTTTGCAATGTGTCTCGTATGTGGTATCGTCGAGGGTATTGCTTGGCGTGGACACTCACGTTCATCTTATTACTTTGAATGGGGTTCCATTGGTGGATCCGCTGCCAAAAATGGTATCGTTACTTTCTTTACTGGTGTCGTCTTGTTCCAAAACTTGGTTCCGATTTCTCTATATATATCTATTGAAATTGTGAAAACAATTCAGGCAATTTTCATATATTTCGACAAAGACATGTACTATAAAAAGCTCAAATATCCATGTACTCCTAAATCATGGAACATTTCAGATGACTTGGGACAAGTTGAATATATTTTCTCTGATAAGACTGGAACACTCACCCAGAACGTTATGGAGTTTAAGAAGTGTTCTATTAATGGTGTTCCTTATGGAGAAGCGTTTACGGAAGCAATGGCAGGTATCGCTCGTCGAGAAGGAAAAGATTCGGAACAACTTTCAGTGGAAAAGCGGAGCTTCATTGACCGTGATAGAATGCAAATGATTGCTCAAATGAGGAATACATCCGACAACAAATACTTGGTGGATGAAAACCTTACATTTGTTTCATCTCAATTCGTGCATGATTTAAATGGAAAAGCTGGTGAAGAACAGTCAATGGCTTGTTATGAGTTTTTCCTTGCTCTTGCTTTATGCCATAGCGTTGTAGCTGATAGAGTTGGTGACCGTATTGTCTACAAGGCTCAATCTCCCGACGAGGCTGCACTCGTTGGTACCGCTCGCGATGTTGGATTTGTTTTTCTCGATCAACGTAGGGATGTCATGGTTACCCGTGCCCTTGGAGAAACACATAGATTTAAGTTATTGGATAGCATTGATTTTACATCTGCCAGAAAAAGAATGAGTGTTGTTATTAGAGGTCCAGACAATCGTTACGTACTCATTTGTAAAGGTGCAGATAGCGTTATTTATGACAGATTAGACCCAGGTGAGCAACCAAGTCTTCAAAAAGTTACCGCCGAACAGCTGAAAACCTTTGCTCTTGAAGGTCTCCGAACTTTATGTATAGCTAAACGTGAACTTACTGAGGAGGAATACTTCGAATGGAAAGAAAAGTATACTGCTGCTTCTTCTGCCATTGAGAATAGAGAAGAAAGAATTGCTGAAGTTGCCGACTTGATTGAATCACGGCTTACCTTGATTGGTGGCACCGCTATTGAAGATCGTTTGCAAGATGGTGTTCCCGACGCGATTGCGCTTTTAGGAAGTGCTGGGATTAAACTTTGGGTGCTAACCGGAGACAAAATGGAAACCGCGATTAACATCGGTTTTTCTTGTAATCTTTTAGATGCTAGTATGGAACTGATTAAATTTGATGTTGACCAAGAAACATCCACGCCAGAACTTGAGGTAATCTTAGCAGATTATCTTTACCGATACTTCGGCTTATCGGGTTCTAATGAAGAACTAGAAGCAGCAAAGCAGGATCATGATGTACCGGCCGGATCTCATGCCTTGATTATTGATGGCGGTGTTTTGAAACGCGTCCTGGAAGGATCCATGAGAACTAAATTTTTATTACTCTGTAAGCAATGCAAAGCCGTACTGTGTTGTCGTGTCAGCCCTGCCCAGAAAGCTGAAGTAGTACATCTTGTTAGAGATAGCTTGGATGTAATGACATTAGCTATCGGCGATGGTGCTAATGATGTGGCTATGATACAAAAAGCCGATATTGGTATTGGTATCGTCGGTGAAGAAGGAAGGGCAGCTGCTATGTCTGCTGACTATGCAATAGCACAATTTAGATACTTGAGCAAGCTGGTTCTTGTTCATGGACGTTGGGATTATAACCGTATAGCACAAATGGTCAACAATTTCTTCTATAAAAGTGTCGTTTGGACGTTCACTCTCTTTTGGTTTCAAATCTATAACAACTTCGATGCAAATTATTTGTTTGATTATACGTACATTATGCTTTTTAACCTAATCTTTTCTTCTTTACCCGTCATCGTAATGGGTGTCTACGATCAAGATGTTAATGCGGAGGTATCATTAAAGATACCTCAACTATACAAGAGGGGTATTTTACAATTAAATTCAGCTCGTAGAATATTCATTGGATATATGATTGATGGGTTTTATCAATCAGTTATTTGTTTCTTCTTTTCCTTCCTCGTTATAAATAACGTGACAGTAGCAGCTCAAAACGGACGCGATACCATGGGAATGCAGGACCTTGGTGTCTATGTAGCGGCTCCTACCATTATGGTTGTTGATTCATATGTTCTTTTGAATCAAGCCAACTGGGACGTGTTCTCAGTTGGTATATGGGCTTTGAGTTGCATAACGTTTTGGTTCTGGACTGGCGTTTACTCTCAAAGCTGGTACTCCATTGAATTCTATAAGTCTGCTTCTCGTATATTTCGAACTCCCAACTTCTGGGCAGTCCTTTTTGGTACTATAGCCAGTTGTTTGTTTCCGAAATTCCTTTTCATGACAGTTCAGAAACTGTTTTGGCCGTATGATACTGATATTATTCGAGAAAGCTATCGCACTAGGCGCTTACAGAATTTCGATGAAGAAGAAGGTGTTGTTGAGAGTCCCGAAGCTTCTACAGACTGGGCTTCTTCTACATTGCAAGTTCCATTCAATATGTCAACATCAAGTTTTGCGACAATGCAAAAGAAGGACAAGGATCATGTACGTATGGATACGCATTCCTTGTCGCTCACTCCAAGTATCCCCAATACTTTTGGTCGGTCTTACTCCCCAAGCTTCATGGATGGTTCACCTGTTTTCACCGATGAACTGTTGAACCGACCACCTGAGTTTCATCCTACAAGAGGATCTGTATCTTCATCGGAGCAACCACTCCGACCTAGGTAGATTGGACCCACATGTAAGTACGGGATGTATTATTAAGAATGACAGTGAAATCACATTGGCGTAGCCGACGTGTTCAACTGTTGATAGAACTTGGCTATTATGACATTGAATTGTTACATTAATGAGAATGATATGAGTGTTAATTTTTCTTAGAGAAAAAGTTGTTTTATATTTATATAAAATCTTCTTATCAAAAGCCTGTTAAATGTGCTTTAAATATTATAAAACAGATCGGTCAAGTAGTATGATGAGTGTTATTATATTGTTCTACTGAGAAAAACATTTAAAGCGACAATACTTTATATGATCAAATGAATATTGTCTTCTGTTTCTGACCTTTCTCTTCTGTGGTTAAGGTGCGGTTTCTGCTAAGATAGATATTAGGGGTACTGGACTTCTACCATAAACAAACTACATGTATCTACCGATCGCTCTTTGCAAATAGATACCCTACTCATCTTTTGATTCATTAACTGAATAAATACTAACTTTGATTTCAAATTATATAATGGGGCAAAAAGATACGTTTGACCTTGATTTGAACTCGAAAATTAGTTCGTCTGCAAATGAAAAGTTTGATGCCTATTTGAAGCGACATGGACTTATAGAACCTAATCAATTTCAACCGCGTCGACTTAACGATGCACTTGAGGATCGTATGGGAGAACTGAAGCTTACAAGCAGTCCTGTCGCAAAGGAAAACTATGTGGATAAAAGTCCTCAGAAATCACCGAGCAAGATTCCAATAGCTTCTCCAAATCCCGTTGCAGTTGAGCGATCGAAAGAGCGATTGCATGGTAGTTCAAGATTATTTGATTCGATTAATCAAGCACCAGGTTGGAATATGGGGACTATGAACCTTTCGATGGAGGAATTGGAGAAAATATCAAGACCAAAAGTCAAAAGGATGGCGACTATATGTCAAATGTTTTTTCTTGATAATTATTTTGAACAGTTGCATTATTTACATTCTAGAAAGCAAAGATTGCACCTTTTTGAGCAACAACTTGCAAAGGAACCCACTAATGTACGAAATGAATTAGAAAAGCGTTACAACGGTCGTGAACGTGTATATCTACGAAAACGTCGTACTCGTATAAGTCATGGTGATTTTCAAACGATTACCCAAGTGGGTCAAGGTGGTTACGGATCGGTTTGGTTAGCAAGGAAGAGAGATACGAAGGAAATTGTTGCTTTAAAAATAATGAACAAATCGGTTTTGCTGAAAATGGATGAAATTCGTCATGTACTTACGGAAAGAGATATTCTTACAAGTGCAAACTCAGAGTGGCTAGTAAGGTTATTATATGCTTTTCAAGATTTATCGAATATATATTTGGCTATGGAGTTCGTACCAGGAGGTGATTTTAGAACATTGTTGAGTAACAGCGGGGTTTTAAGAGATCATCATGCTAAGTTTTATGCTACGGAGATGTTTTTGGCAATTGATGCATTGCATAAACTAGGATATATCCATCGAGATCTAAAACCCGAAAACTTTTTAGTTGGCGCTTCTGGACATATCAAACTTACTGACTTTGGACTTAGTTCCGGTATAATCAGTAAGCAAAAGATTGAAAGCATGAAGATACGACTTCAGGATGTGAACAACGTAGCAGTTCCTGAAAGAAGTATGCGTGAGCGTCGTCAAGTGTTCCGCTCACTTTTGGCTCAGGATCCTGTGTATGCTCATTCGGTGGTCGGATCGCCTGACTACATGGCACCAGAAGTTTTGCGAGGGGAAAACTATGATTACTCGGTGGACTATTGGTCGCTTGGGTGTATTTTGTATGAATGCCTCTCTGGGTTTCCTCCGTTTTCGGGTTCAAATGTCAATGAAACATGGTCCAATTTAAAGAATTGGAAAAAATGTTTTCAACGCCCACATTATGATGATCCCCGAGATTTAGAATTTAACTGGAAAGACGAAGCTTGGGACTTCGTTACTCATTGCATCACTAGCCCTGCCTATCGTTACCGTTCTTTGAATCAGGTAAAACAACATCCATATTTTGCTCAAATTAAGTGGGAGAACGTGCGTGAATCATATCGACCTCCATTTATTCCTGATTTGAACTCGGAGATTGACGCTGGGTACTTTGACGACTTTACGAACGAAAATGATATGTCCAAATATAAAGAAGTTCATGACAAACAAGCGGCAATTGCTCGTATGTCAAATACATTTAATAAACCCAAACGAAATGCTTTTATTGGGTTTACCTTCAAACATCAGAAAAACAACCATCCCATTCCTTCTGCCGGTGTCCCTTCTTTGTCGGGTTCTGCTTTTGGAACACTTTTGTAAATTACCTTTGAAGTGTCATTAATTTGGAGAAGGCATATTCTGGGAACATAAATTTATAAAGCGATGATTTGCTTGAATTATTAATGGAGCCGGATTTTATGAGTGTTATGCCCGTATTTAAAATGATGTGACGATTTATCTTGGAAGTTTTGGAACCCACTTTGCGATATCATGTTTGGATACATGATTGCATATGGTTTGTTTTGAACATCAACTTTTTTATTGCATGTGAATCAAACAAATTCAATTACACGTTTTGCTTTTATTCACTTTTGAAATTTATTTTTTAATACATATATACATATAACTTGAATTAATCCTAGGAAAACAGAAGAAAATGAAAATGCAAACACACGAAAATGAAATAAAATATTTTGAAGATTTTCAAAAGTGAATTGATCGTTGTTTATATATTAATGAGTATTTTATTTATAAAGAAAGTATGGAACTCTTCAAATAATGAAAAAGACAAAATCGTTTTCAATGCCTATACTGGTGTGGAGCATCAAAAAGCTGAGTTTGTTGAAGAGGACCAGCACAACAGTGCGTTTTTTAAAATTCTGTGCAGAGTGAAGAATATCCCACAAACTACTATTCATACACAGAAGAAAACAAAACAAAAGAAATATTAAATCTTCCAAACTGCATGAAATACTTCTAGATACAATTCCTTGGTACTTTTCGTTTTCAGCGGCGCAGCGTATCACTATTCGCCAGCCCTCTTGGATTGGGATTTGATTGGTTTGTTTCCAACTAGTAAGTACAGCTATTATACTGTTCACTTCAATTGCTATTTACCAACTTGTATTATATCCTGTATGCAAGGCTTCCTAAATTCAAGGAACCAGCCAAATCATGAAAAGCGGGCTGAAGGACCGCGACCCGGTGCAAGAGCAGAGGGATTGCCTACTATGTTTCGGGCAAAAGGCAATGCCAGCTCAGCTGGATCGTCGCTATTGTTTCGTCCGACATCAAGATATCCTACCTTGAACAAGGATCCAACGCCGCCGATAGAGAACAATGTAGCCAAACGGTTCGATGTGACAAGAGGTGTTTCCCCAAACCAGAAAAAGGCAGTGAAACGAACGTTAGTAAATCCTGCGCAAGCAGCGGGATCTGGTGAAGCATTGAAGAGCAATGAAGAGGAACCTAAGGTTTCGTCTAAAGGCAAAACGAGAGTAACAGATCCTGAAGTTACTGCAATTCCCCAGGTACAAGTTAATAATAGGGTGGCCTTTCAGAATTCAGAAACTTCTTCTCCTAGTAAAATTAAGACCAACACGAACTTGGAGACTGCAAGACAAGATGTCCCAATGAAGATCATACGACCTGCTCCCAAAATAGTAAAACCAAGATTCAATCCTCAAGATTCTCAAGAGCCTAAAACGAAGGAGAAGTTTATGCCTCCTCCCCGAGTCAATTCCATTTCTCGACCCACACGTCGAGTGAGTTACATACCTTATGGTGGTTTTGACAGTTTTTTGGACAATTATTATGATGATGATCAAACAATTTCCAGAGATGATATTTTAGAAGAGAATGAAATCTCCGAAGGACATTCGGAGCCGGATGAAGATTCAAATTTAGATGCCGCTTCGTATACTCCGTCTAACGCATCTTCTGATGCAGAACCCAATGTTCAATCCTTCGCTGAGCTATCTCAATTTAGAAGTCTGCCAAATGAAGCTTCGAAATCTCATGAGCCAGGCTTAAGCGATGAAAAGCCCGAGTCGAGTTCTAAGCTCATGAAATCTCAGAATTTACATAATAAAAACAAGAAAGCACCATTTCCTCAACCTCGCTACCCCAGTACCCAAAGCACTATGGTACCCTTCACCTCTGAACCGATCCGTTCTATGCCTCCAAGTCTTTCGAATGAGCAGCAAGATGTATCACGACGAGGCCCCGTTCGTCTTAAACAAAACCCTTCTCCTATAAAATCAAGCGCTCCCAATACATCAAGTTCAGAAATTCGAAATAATCCACCTTCTCCCGTTCCCACTGCTCGAGCGGAAAGCGTGCCTGTCGGCAATTCCAGGATGACTTCTCAAGGTCCACTAAATAGAATTGGCGTGAATGATAACAATTCCAATCCAACGGTCAATACAAAAGAAATGGAAGATATCTTTAGTGGGATGTCTATCAACAATTCGTCTTCTCCTGCTGTCTTAGAAATGGATAGTTCCGAAGTAGACAATGATGCTATACCTTGTCATCCTGATGATAAGCTTTTAATTCCTCCTCCGAAAAACGTTTCACACGCTGATGTGATGGTAGCGGAGCAGAATTTTCGGAAAGCTAGAGTTGCAAATCCGATAGAAGAAGTTGAATTAGCAAAGTTATACTTGGATGCTCTTGAAACATTAGAAAATAAATCCTCTTCGGTGCCTGATCCAGCTACTTATAATACAAGGATGTCGGTCTATCGGAGGAGAGCAATTGAAATATTAAAGAAACATGCGTTTCCTAATAAGACCCAAGATTCAGTTGCTGAAGCTCTCTTTTTGATTGGTCAGTTTTACAGTCAGGGTGTGTTGGGATTCCCGCGTGATGCACAAAAAGCGTTTGAGCTTTATGGCCTATCTTCAAAGAAAGGCCATTCGCTTGGTACCTATCGAGCTGCCGTATGCCTTCAAACAGGTATCGGTGTGAGACCAGACGCTCGCAAGAGTGTGCTTTTATATAAAAAAGCAGCCGAAATGGATATTGTCGAGGCGATGTTTCGAATGGGATTGATTTACTTGAACGGTTTGTTAAATCAAAAAATAGATGTACCTCTTGGTTTACAATATTTAGAACGCGCTTGTGAAACAAGAAGACCCGAAGCAGTGCGTGCAATGTACGAATTAGCCAAGATTTACGAACAGACCAAACGCTTTAATGTTTCGGTATCTTCAGAAAGAAAGTTTGAACTTTACAAGCTATCTGCTTCCTATGGCTTGGCTGCAGCTCAATGCAAATTGGGAGAATGCTTTGAGCATGGATTGTTGGATTGTGTTCCTGAACCAAGGCGGAGTATTTTTTGGTATACGAGAGCTGCCGAACAAGATTACGGTGAAGCAGAGTTAGGTTTATCTGGATGGTACTTGACGGGAGCAGAAGATATCCTACCTAAAAATAATGAAGAAGCGCTCCTTTGGGCGCATAAAGCTGCTGTTAAAGGTCTTGCTCAAGCCCAGTTTGCAGTGGGTTTTATGATGGAACATGGCATTGGCATCACTGCTGATCCTGCCGCTGCTCATAATTGGTATATAAGAGCCGCAAAGCAAGGATTTGTGAAGGCTCAGAAACGCTTAGAAGAACAATCGCTGTCTACTAAAAAATCACAGCCAAAGAAAAGTAGCAAAAAGCAAGACGAACAATGTATCGTAATGTGAATGGTTTTGCCGCACACACTTGCTTATTAGCTTGAATCTTGCATGTTAACAATACCAAAGGATGGTATTCTTGTTCGCGTCTGCTTATGTAAATTATTTTTAATCTTCATTTTTTCGATTTTTTTTTTAATTCTTCACTTTCGTTCCCAGGTTCATCCTCCATTATTGTCTTACCCCGGTGGACTAATTGATCTTTCTCATTTGAAAATTATGTTTTTGTTTTAACAGCATTTAATGACCTTTTTTGCTCATTGTTTTATATACAGTATGTACTTATTTGACAGTTTTAGAATAGATTTCAGAATAAGATGAAAACCCTAAAACCATTATATGCAACTCCAGAGAAACAAATTACAATTGAATTAGTATTGCAAATACAAATTATTGGTAATTCTTTTTATTGAATTCATTATAAATACCGGTGAGAATCAAAGAATCTTTGGTCGTTCGGTTTCTTAAAATAAAAGCATAGAAAGAACAAAGTATACTGAAATCTATACTAAGTCATTATCTCGTTTCGACTAACAAAAGTAGCGTTCAAACATCAACAGGAGAGGAGTAGCATACTCTTCCATGCAAAATACTTCATATTGAATCAGTCATTCAATTTGAGTATCATGATGCAAGTAATGGAAGAGATTAAGAATAAAGGATGGACTTAAAATAAGAAAAGAAAAACGAAAGCGTACTCGTAGGGAGTTAAATGCATAAATAGATGCACAATGAAATCAGAACGAGAAAAATAGATATGACAAACTTGATTGAAAGGATAGCAAAAAGAGAAATCAAAAGCAACAGGTTTCAATGCGGCTCTCTTGATTCCTTTTTAAAACTCGCCACATACAAGTTTTCTTCAACAATAAAAGGACAAAGTTTTTAATAAGCAATGCAATTTCTGTACCGCGAACGGTTGAAAGAAAAAGGGTAGGTCTTGCATTCAAAAGAAATATTCCGAAGTAAGAGAAACCAGCAGAAAGCCTCAAACAAGAGTTAACCAGGCAACATTAAATCCATTGCGAGATAAAACACATATGCGTAAAATGTCATGATCAAAGAAATACGGAATATGACCTTCCTAGAACCCTTGACTATGGTAAGTTTTACTCAAGTAAAACTTATCAAGCGAGATTTTGCTTTTGTTTCTCTGTTTCAGAATTTGCTTTGATGCGCTTTTGTTGATAGTTATACACGTAAATCCGCGATAATTGAACACCGCCGACAACAGCCAAAAAGAAGTTGACAGTAGCGTTAAAATAATTTTTAGGACGGATAACCAAAGACCACCGAGTCCAGATTGCACCAGTCGCGGCCAAAGCACCGTACTGGCGAGTAGAAAGGTATTGAGGTGCGCGGGTATAGTCACTGATACCTGACAATACCAGAGTCCATTTCATAGCAGGAGCCCAAAAATGGACTGTTTTAGGGCCAGCTGGATGATTCCAAAACCTCGAAAATTTTGCACGAAACATTATATACCGGTAAAAGAAAACTCAAACTTTAGAGAAACAATGGCGGAAGAGAAAAGCTTTGTGGGTTTTCTAACCTAACCTTTCAATAGACGATTGAGAAAAAGCAAAGTCACAAGGAAAAGTCTGTAATTATTATCAAGTTTCACGTATTCGAGGACGAGATGTACAGAATAGAGCGTGACAACTAAAAAAATAAGGTATGCTAGGATTTACGAGCAGGCTTTTAGTCGTAAAGAGCAAAAAAAAATATTTTTAAATTGAAAATATTCTGGGAGAGGAAAGGTGAAATTTTTGTGGTTAAAATATTTTCCAAGTCGTGTGAAATCTCCAACTTAGATGAGAATAATGATGACACAGCACTGCTGATCTTCCACAATATAAGAAATGAAAACCTCAAATGTAGGCGGAGGATTGGTTAACGCAATGAAAAGAAAGGCTTGGATGATTTTGTATGTAACGAAAGCCGGCGAATCAAACAAAAGATGCAATTTTTAGGTCGTCGATGATACGTTCACTAATCGTTCCAATGTAACCCTCTTTTTAAACGAGCTCCAATATTACGTACTGTATAAAGCTGGTTAAGCTTGTAAACTCTTGCGATCTCCAACAACGAAGTCGAAAAATATGTAAACTTTGACTTTTAACGAGTTTAGTTATCCACGTAACTATTTCGTAAGAAAAATAAAAAAAAAAGAAAATAATGTTAATTCCATAAACAAATGTTACTAACCATTCAAATGGAATGTTAGTAATTGTTTTTAATTAATATTCACTTGAATATAATGGAAGGATGTTAAAATAAAATAAAATAAAACAGGGTTGGAAAGAAGAAGAAGGCAAAAAAGATATTGAGTTAGATCGGTTTATTTATATGGAACCCGTAGTGTCAAGACAAAAAATAAAAAATATGAGTAGAAAAGAACCAGTATCTCGCCCTAAATATCGTCGAATGATAGAAAAACGCGTCGATTGGTAAAAAGAGCAAAGGCTGGCTTACACTCTTCTGGCAACAAACAGCTAATTAGAAAACTGTTTAATTTTTTTTGTTTTCTTTTTTATTACGCGTATAATTCCGGAATTAGCATTTCTAATTCTGGTAGTAGGTAAACGGAAGGAAGGTGGAGCGAGAGAAGGTTATTTAAACAAAGTGCATTCAATGAAATGCAGGCTCCCAGAAACAAGCGATCCAAAAAATTGTTTCTGATATAAGAACAGTAATAGAAAAGAAACATATCCTATGGAATTTCAATGAGAAGGCAGTTGAAATTCAAAAAGTACATACTAAAGAGGTAGTGAATACGCTATTAAGTATCATGCTCGAATATGTTACTTATGTAAATAAACATGCAAATGATGAAAAGAAAAATAAAAAAAAAAGAGATTTAAAAGCAATGAGTATTTTAGATCTTCTTTGAATTTAAATATAGTAAACTTCCAAAGCATGTTTATTCCGTAAGGATGACTTTGAATGTTGTTTTTGAATAGACAAGGGTGTTCAATTTACTGAAAAAGAGCTTGCAGCTGCTTGAAAAATGAAGAAAAACCGAAGAATACCAAAAAAATTTTTTAACTCTTTTTTTTTTGTTTTTTTTTTAAAAAAAAAAAGTAGTTACTCTGTCGACCGTACTGCACCTGTTTTGTTGTTTAAGCACTTAACAATGTACTGTAGAAGGATGTGAAACTTGTAGAGGAATTAAGATACTTTTTGAAGTTAATATTGTAAAGTTTTATTCTTTTTTTATTTTTATTTATTATTTTTTATTTTATGGCTGAGTGGGTTGATCGATTGTTGCTTACCTACTTTTGATGGAATTTCTGCTGCTACCGTCGTACATTCTTTTCGCTATTGACATATCTGGTTCAATTGCGGTTTGCTAAACCCATGTACCCGGTTTTCGGTATTAATTTCTTGTTTTCATATTAATAAAAACCTTTTCTGAGAGTTTAGAACACTTTTCTACTCTGTTTATCAGGTTCTGTTCGTTTATTCCCGCGTCAGTTAATTCCACATTCATTCCCTACTTTTTATATCTTGATTCGTTATCATACACAAGAGAGATAGAATAATGGCTTTCCGGTCTCCTCTTCGCCGATTTGACTTCTTTCAAAAGACCGTAGAAGACGCTCGTATCAAAACTGCCAGTGGTGGTCTTATTACGCTGCTATCCTCAGGTATCATTCTTATTGTCATCCTTTTAGAATGGATTCAGTACCGTAAGGTGGTCGTTGTTCCAGAAATTGTCGTAAATCCGTCGCACGGTGAACGTATGGAAATCAACTTCAACGTCACATTTCCAAAGATTCCTTGCCAGCTTTTGGGCGTGGATGTTTTAGATATTAGCGGAGAATTCCAACAAGATGTCCAACATTCGGTCTCTAAAACCAGGTTGTCTCCTGACGGAGAAGTTATTTCTGTAGACGATTTGCAGCCGAATAGTCCGGAGAACGAAGATGATCCTCTAAATAGTACTCCAGAAGAACAAAAATGTGGTGATTGTTACGGAGCTGCCGCTTTTTCCTCTTCTGAAACTCCTGGGTGTTGTAATACGTGTAACGCTGTACGCGAAGCATATGGTCGAGCTAATTGGGCTATTGGTGATGTTGATGCATTCAAACAATGCCAAGAAGAGAATTACAAAGAAAATTACGAATCTCAAAAAGTAGAGGGCTGTAATCTGGCAGGTCAATTATTCGTAAACCGTATGGCCGGTAACTTTCACATTGCCCCTGGTCGTTCGTCCCAAAAAGGTATGCATCATGTACACGATACGAATGACTTCTCCCGAGAAAAGGACTTGCATGATATGAGCCATATAATTCATGAATTAAGCTTTGGCCCTCCTCTTGATCCTTCTATCGCTACAAAAAATCCTTTAGACAATATGGTAAAAAAAATCAACAGCCCTGACTACAGATACGAGTATTTTATTAAATGCGTGTCTCATCAGTTTGTCTTTTTAAAATCAAATATGGAAACCATTGATACAAATCGCTACGCCGTGACAGAGCATGAACGACCAATTCATGGCGGCCGAGAAGAGAAGGTTCCCTCTCACATTAATGTAAGAGGTGGCGTTCCTGGTGTTTGGTTCCACATCGATATTAGTCCAATGCGAGTTATTCACCGTCAGTTCCGAGGAAATACCCTAGGCGGATTTCTGACAAATGTTCTCTCTCTTTTAGGTGGATGTGTTACTTTAGCAACCTTTATTGACCGTGGTTACTATGAATCCAAAAAGATGAAAAAAACATGAGTGATTCGTACTTACAAACCGAAAGCTGGGACCGAAAAGAGTTCCTCAATGTAGAAATTTAAAGGACTTAATATGTCTCGAACGCTATTGTTTATTTTCCCCTTGGGAAGAGGAATCAATGTCTTCTGCATATTACATGCTATTTTAAAATTCTCCTTTATTCCTCCCATAGAGATTTACTTACATACTCACTAACTAGGAAGCACTTGGTGAGATGCTGTAAATAGAAATTTAAACGACATATACATGTCTCTAGACATTCTATCATGAGTATGAGTTGAATGAAATATAAATTATGAAACCGTATAATCTCGTAAGAGTAGGGAATTCATTGAGGTTTTTCATCTTCCATGTATTCAGCTTGAACGAAAAGATCTCAACTATATTCTAATTAAATACACTACATTTTACTTAAGAACGATCAACCTCCTGTTCAGTAATCAATCTTTTCTCTTGTTTTTCAGGACTAAACGATTTGTGAACCGCGCATTTACAGTAGTGCATTAAAACTCCCTAATACCTGTTAATATAACAACCTTCGTAATATTTAAGCTTATATTATTATAGCTTTCTTTTGTATGTTAAACAACACCTCAAAGGAATTCTCCTTCCGAGTACACTGACCTTTTTGCTCAGCGTTAAAGCAGTCATAACAAAAGTGCTTAAAAAACCAATTGTTTGAAAAAAAAGTAAAGATTGTAGTAAGGAAGTGACTCTGGGTTGACTGATCATCTTTGGAATCATCCCATTCTTCTGTGGTTTTCTCTTCTTTTTGTTTCACGTAGCGACTGATTCAATATAAATTGCAGAACCTTTCCTCTGGTGAACAAAGAAACTATATTTAATATTGGAACGATTGATTTGAATATCTTTATTCTTATTCTGAAACTTTCCGGATGTATCGTTTTTATTGAACAATTTGAATCTGTCGTGTCATTGCTATTGTCAAACAAGTGCTATAATTTATTCTTATTTCCATTCTTTTAAAAAATCTCTTTAATCATCTAATTTATATATAGATTATATTGTCTTATTTGTGAACTTATAATGGAGTCAGGAAAAAAGCCATGCATCAGTATTCTTTGCATTGGGAACCCAGCTATTACTACTTTGCTAGGCTGGAGACTTCAACAAAGTACATCGGCTACTTGTCAGGAAACGATTTTATTCTTTAATATCCCTGATGCTCCTATTTCTCCACTTACGATTCATTCTAAGCCCTTTGGTGTCCGAAAATATCGACCAACATTTTCTGCGAACAAAATCATTGATCTTGCAAATGAAGGTAAAGTTTTCGATTACATCCTTGTTTCTATCAAGCCTTGCCCTCATTCGTTTAATCTGCCGTCGGTCATTGAGCCGGTGGTCACAAAAGGACATACTTGTATTGTCTACAACACCACTGGATCAATTGGGATCGAGGAAACTTTCTTTAACCACTTTCCAGAAAATCCTGTTTATCCCTTTTCATTTCACTCAGGAATTGTCCAAAGAGATGTCAATGAATTTCATCACGGAGAAAACACCCCTCTATACTTAGGAAAATACGGAAATTCTAGAGATAATGATAAATTAGAACTTCTCTCTAGCATTTTGAGTAGTGGTGGAGTTATGTGCGAGATAGTGGATTCACTTATTCTATTTCAATTAGATGACTTAGCTTTCCCTATTTCCCTGTTTCCCTTGACCGTCTTAATGCAAAATCCGAACGCAGCTAAACTTTTGCAGCAACAGGAGGTTCTTAGCCTCCACAAATGGATTTTACTAGAGTTAGATTCCATTGCTAACGTTTTTGATGGATCTATTGACATCAAAAGGGTTTCAAAGCAGCGGGAGTCGTTCCTAGGATATGCGTCAGCAAACCCCATGTACAAGGAATATATACAGCATAAACCCATGGAATATGTATCAAGCTTGCGGTACTTGGTTCAGTTAGCTGCTAATCATGATATTAAAGTCCCTTATATGCATACCTTAAGCATTTTACTTTCGAATATTCAGCCTCCAGCATTACTAGCAAATCATCGTGTTCCTTCTGATTTGCCAACTCGGCCTACCACAGTCCCTTTGAAAAATAAGGGAACTAACAGTTTGAGGCATCCCCAGCCAATTACGATGTCTGCAGACAGGCTCAATTCGATGCCTACCCCACGCTCATCGACGGCAACGTTTACGGAAGCTCAGAAGGGTCATATTGGTGCAGTTCCACCATCACCGGCGAACACCTTGAAGGCACGTGCAATGTCTTCAGACAACATGGATATGCTTTCACTTACAAATCGCCGTTCCCGTCGTTCCCTTCACTCTTCGTCACTTGTCCAAATTCAGCAATCTTTAAAGAAGTCGTTTGATGGATTGGGAAACTCTTATGACCATCGATTTTCTCGTAAGGTCTTACCAAACCAAAGTCCTGGTAACCATAAGACACGCATAATGGGTGAAGGTAAAGAAGCACTATCCCAGACTCCTTCATCGTCTGGATCTCCTAGAGCAGGCTATTATAATGATACAGAGCCATCAACACCATCGGCAACTTACGGAGCAGGCATGTCTCGACCGAACTCAAATTCTGCAAACTCGCAACATGAAGATGTGGAAGGTGAATCTGACTATTTTACCATTATGAATCATCCTAAGAACGAGACTAATTCTCGAAAAAAATCTATGCAGTCGGAAACCTCTATGATGACAGTAATACCTTCTGCAGTGCGTCGTTTTCCGTTGACTCGAAAGAGTACTCATGTAAAATCCTAAGGGATTCTATACATAGTTCGAAATTAACCATGATCTTTGCGGCTTTCTTTTTTTTTCTTTCTTTTTTTCGATTTCTTCTCTTTCTTTTGTATGACGATTTTGCAAAAAATTCACGCTTTTATGCCAACAAATAAAGGAAAATGTGACATTTATTTAAAAACCAACTCAATGAAGGTGTATGCTGCTTATCCTTTAATGTGTTAATCATTAATCTGGCATTATTATCTCGATCCTGATTTTATGCCAATTGAAACGTTTACCGAATTATATTCTCTCATTCTTTCTTTTTTCATTTATGCATTACATTAGATTTACTACTTTATGTAGGCTTCCTTAAAATACTAAAAAGCGCATTTATTTCTTCTTAATGATATAATTCTCCTTGCTTAGCTTTTCTTTACAGTCTTCAAACGATTGTTCTCTTGCTCAGTACGGTTATTTAAATTAATAATTGATAAATATAGAATTCTCATCTGTTGCTTTTTTATTTTTTACATGAGAAGAGCTCTCGAAGTTACATGAATTGACCTTCCTTTGTTGTATACTACATTTGCGTTTTCCTCCAAGATTCCACATATATTTCCTCTTGATTTTCGTACATGCTTTGATTTTATATATCCATTTTTATTGAAAACACAACGACAACGAAATAGCTCTTGCTGAGAGAGAGCCTATAGAAACAATTCCTCAATATTTGTTTATATAACGTAGAAGCTCTTTTCATTATGTAAAAGAAAGATAAAGAGTTAGTTCATTCGGTTTCAGAAACCCTAAATTACAATAGCGTTGCGCCGTCCGATATAAGGGGCTAGTAGCGCTTACGTTTTATATGACTAAAAATTGCTGCAGTGTCGCTTTCTACCTTTAACTACATTCACTCAGTCGGACAATACTGGTTTTGTTAATTGGAGAGCGATATATAATCACTTTATAAAGTATTCTTCTAAAACAAGTAAAAATAGTTTCAGTAGACGCGCTGAAAGAATTGATAGAACAACGAAGTTCACCCAGGTATAGACAAACCGTGAAAGTCACTAGATAGACGATAATGGCCGAATTTATTCGTACACAGATTTTTGGTACATGTTTTGAAATCACTACGCGTTACAGCGATCTGCAGCCGATTGGCATGGGTGCCTTCGGATTAGTTTGTTCAGCAAAGGATCAGCTTACGGGAATGAATGTCGCCGTGAAGAAGATCATGAAGCCGTTCAGTACACCAGTTTTAGCTAAAAGAACATATCGAGAACTAAAGCTTTTGAAACACCTTCGTCATGAAAATGTCATTAGTTTAAGTGATATTTTCATTTCTCCGTTTGAGGACATATATTTTATTACAGAATTACTGGGTACAGATCTTCACCGATTGCTGACTTCGAGACCGTTAGAAACGCAATTTATTCAGTATTTCCTATACCAAATTCTACGAGGACTGAAATTCGTACATTCGGCAGGTGTAATCCATAGGGATTTGAAGCCTAGTAATATTTTGATTAATGAAAACTGCGATCTAAAAATTTGCGACTTCGGCCTTGCCCGTATACAAGATCCTCAAATGACTGGTTATGTTTCTACTCGGTATTACCGTGCTCCAGAGATTATGCTTACGTGGCAAAAATACAACGTTGAAGTAGATATTTGGAGTGCTGGATGTATTTTCGCAGAGATGATAGAAGGAAAACCTTTGTTCCCTGGCCGCGATCATGTTAACCAATTTTCCATTATCACTGAACTCTTAGGCACTCCACCTATGGAAGTTATCGAGACCATTTGTAGCAAGAATACTTTACGCTTTGTCCAGTCTCTCCCTAAAAAAGAAAAGGTTCCCTTTGCAGAAAAATTTAAGAATGCCGACCCTGCTGCCGTGGACTTATTAGAAAAGATGCTTGTCTTTGACCCCCGTAAGCGTATAAGTGCGGCTGATGCTTTAGCCCACGAATATCTCGCTCCTTACCATGATCCTACGGATGAACCCGTCGCAGATGAAATTTTCGATTGGTCTTTCCAAGACAGCGATTTACCTGTTGAGACCTGGAAGGTAATGATGTATTCCGAAGTGTTATCATTTCATAATCTCGATAATGACCAACAAGCATGAAGTCGTGCTTGATGGTTTAGGGTTTCCTTGAGCTATTAATCGGTTATTTAGTTTCGGAATGTATACTTCGGCTGATTCATTCTCAAATTTACCCTCCGTGTTTCTTAGGATATCGCGTGTATTATCTTGCTGATTGGTACGTTTGGATCACGTTCATCGCTTTTATTCTGTTTTAAAAAGGCTACTTTTTATTTATCTCTTATCATGTGTATGTAGTTTTTATATATGCCTTTTCATGGAGTTGTCAATGACAAACCGTCATTAAGAAAAGGTTCATTTATGATTTATCCTTGCGATAGTCCTTTGTTCTTAAAAGGAATGTATCAAGTGGTAGTTTTATGGATTAGAGGATTTATAGATCTTTGCATTATAGTTCTTCGAACTCCTACAATGGCAAAGTGTTGTTAAGTCGGGTTTGCGAATAAAATTAATGGTATTTAATACTAGTAAACATTCGTTGTTTGATCTGACTGTATGTTTTCATGTATATTACTTGTAATTAATAGTCTGGAGATACATTTTCTAATGTCAACACTTGGTTTTTGTGCCACTAGAACACAGACTAAAATACAATACAAAAATAAACAATTCATTAAACTGAAACGAATGGTTCATAAATTAGGACGCGAAAGCTCTAAACATGAAATAATCATTATAAAACTGCATAAAACGAAGAAAGCGTATAAAGAACTCATAACTTTTACGACAATTCATAGACAGAATAACCTAGGGAAGGAATTAGGCAACTGTAATTTTAAACGAAGGTGCCGCGAAACTCATGGATTAATGGAAATCGTGAAGATAAAAAAAAAGAACATGACATAGCGGGATTGTAAGTTCTTAAAAACAAAGGATCTGGAGAAACACAGAAGAAGACTATATTGTTGGTTCTTTTTCTTCAACTATGGAATCCAAAAGTTCCTTTGAATCATGGATATCACGAATAACATGGGAACCTGCCTGAGGTTCAGGTAAAGGTTCATCGTTTTCAACCAATTGGATGGTATATTTCCAACCGAAATCCCTTGCCCCAACTATATTTCCGTAAGAATCATCAAAAAAGATACAGTTTTCCTTCTTAGTGACGCCTGCATCCTCCATAACACGCGCATACATTTCGGGCATGGGTTTGGCAACTAAATCTTTGGCATCATAGTCACAATAAGTAACTCCGTGAAAGCAGTCGGCAATCCCTAAAAGAGCCAATACACGGGTGGCATGTACTACGTAGGCGTTGGTAAATATCCAGAGTTTGTATTTTTGACGAAGCTCAAGCAGCATGTCGCGTAAGCGATCATCTCGTTTGATTACCTTTTCGAGAGGAAGTGATTGATCCACGCGTTTGTCATAGTCGACAGCGTCGATTTGATGATGAAGGACAAGACCACGAATAGCAATACCGTAATGACGATAATAGATTTCCCGCAAACGTTCTGCCTCATCCTGAGGAACGCCTAACTTGTCTGAAAAGTAGGCGGTGATCCGAGAAGCCATCATATCATGAATGGCGTATGATTTAGGATATAAGCAGTTATCCAAGTCGAAAAAGACGACTTTCTTTTCGAAAGTCATCGTGGTGCGCAAAGAAAACAGAACCTTAGAAGCAAATAAAAAGAAATATGTTTTGTACTTGAATAAAACAAGATAATCCCTAGAAACAACTAACGAGGAGCGTTCAGGAAACAATCACGTTGATATCAAGGTATATACAAAAATTTTTTTTATGCACTAATAGTAACAAGATCTAATAGTCCAAATGAATAAAAGAAAGAAGCAGTTTTCTTTTTCTACGAAATCACAAAAGTTAAATCAAGAATGAATTAATGGACGCAGGTAAGTAATCCTGAGTCAAGAAATAACACAAGGTGATGACTATACACGTCGAACAAAAAGGAAATCGGGGGAATGAAATCAAACAAATTTAATGCTGAAAAAATAAAAGCTAAATTCCTCTAATCTCAAAATAAACCCGCAAAACAATCGTACAACAGAATCTACCTTTGGTGTTGGTAGAATTGAAGTGTCATAGTTGCGTCTCAATTTATACTGAAGTCATTCGCCGATATATACTCTTCTGCAACTATTTCAAAATAACGAGGTCAAACGAGATAGCTATCTTTCGGGGAATTTGTTCAAAGACAGTGTTGGATGAAAAAGAAAGAAACGAAGGTGGAGAGGTCAACAGAGTAATAGAAGTTATTCGATACGAATTCTCGCATTTGCATGTTTCAGAGGAGATCGAAGTGTTCTTCTTAGAGTCCACGGCATATGGTAAGATCACTTTCCAAGGAAGGATGACGAGGAGATTGGAGACCGTAATTTCGCCAAACGAGTTTTGAGGAATAAAGCTCGAAATTACGGATCCATCGAAAAGAACAGACTATATAGAGATCTATACTAAGCCAGAAGCTAGTCTAGCCTGGTAAAAATGCAAAGAAAGTCCTTCTTGGGTTGATACGAAAAGTCGGTAGATGTCTTTTATGAATGTACGTAACGAAAACAGAGCTCAATTAAAGAATTCAAAGTCAAAATCAAAAAGAAATAGAAAAAGGTCAAACGTCCTTGTTTTACTTCGTGTTGTCTTGTCTTGGATGGGTACAAGTCGAGGTGAAATCCCTTTAAAATAAGTAGGTTGAATTAGGTATAGTATAATAAAAGAGGCTTGATTAAAAAGTTGGTAGCAAAGATTCGTATTACCAGTGGATTTGCCTGTCTTACTCAACGTCGAACATAATGACGACTGAGAGTTCGGTGTGCAGTTTCCAAAGCCTTTCCTTTTAAGGAATTCCTTCTATAAAAAGCAAAAGCAGAAATTTGTCACTCATTTCCTTTCATCTCGTTTTTTTTTTTTTTTTTTTTTTTTTTTGCTTTTGTCTTTTTTCTCTGGTGGAACAGAGACTTGCCCTTAAATCTTCGTTGCTAGAACGTTCAGAAGACGTTGACTTAGCAAACATTCTTCGTTGTGAATCTGTATTTAATTTCCCAAGCTTTTCTAACCTTTTTAACTTTGTAGTTTTCGTTTTCTTTGTTGGATTCGCCATTTCACAACAAACTAGCTACTTCTTGATAATTACGATTCTTCAGTTTTCTGTTCTTCTTTTGAGTTTGTTTCTAGAAAACTCTTGTCAGATTTTTTCATTTTCTTCATTTTAATGATAGTCTTTACAACAACTTCTAGGACGGTCGAAGAATTGCGGGAATTCATACATTCGTTTTCCAGCCCAAGCTCAACGAAGGTAATCAAGGGACTGGGGAAAGTATTAGCTTTTTATAACGATTCCTCAGCAGAGCGGTTGGCTCTTCATACTCTTCAATACACCACCTTGCCATCGGGTACCCCAATTGACTGTCACTATGTACCGGACGTATCGGCAAAGGATCCTTCCCTCATGCAAAGCTCCAGTTTGAAAGTACCAAAATCTGAGAAAAATTGGCTTATCAGTCCTCCTGGATCTCCTCCGTTGGGATGGACACCTATACAGGAAGAATCCCCAAACTCCGATTACCTTGCCCACGACCTTCAACTTCGACTTGACCAACTTGGAAACAGCATTATTGAGAATGCCGATACAGGTCCCCGTATTGTTATATCTGATGCAGACTCTTCTCGTTCCTCCCCCCAGGCTAATTGAATCTCGTTTCATCATTGCCCAAAAAATTAATTATTTATTATCATCACTCCCCGTGTCCCACTCTTTGTTGTACAACACATGTTCTATCCATGAATGAATCAGTTGTCTTTTTCTGCTTGGATTACACTGTTTCTTTCTGTCTCTCGAGCCCTTTTAACGCGACGCACATTGGAAAATCGCTACAAATCTAACGGTTTTTTTTTTTTTTTTTTTTTTTTTTCAGGATTTCTTTCTCTTTTAAATTATAAAAAAGGAAAAGGATCAAAAGAATACAAGGTAAGAAAATCATTTTCGTATGAGAAAGTATAGATTATATTAAATGCCTTCTATGAAAACCTGCATTTCCTATCCCCTTTCATTATCTTCATGAAAAGCCATTAATACCCATATATAAAAATTCATGTAATCTATGGAAACATAAGTATCCGGCTTTGCTACATCCACCTGCTGTTTAGACAGCATGCCAATAAAATATTATAAACATATATGTGTATGTCTTCGTAAATAAACGCAAAGAACACTGAACGCATGCTGATATAAATATTCATAAGCGGAAGTATAGGAATAGAAATGGCTTCATCTCTTTTACAACCCTGTTTATTATTTAATGAACGAATGGTAAAAATAATGAAACACCAAGAAATGATGCGCAGTACAAAAAATGGACAACTAAAATTTCTTCAATTATAATGAAAATAAAAACGTAAAATAAAGAGAATTGAAATTGAGGCATGCTCGGAAAAAGGTAGTAAAAGTCATACGTGGAAAAAAGTAAAAGAAGGAATTAAAAAACACATGGGAGTTCGATGGAGATAATAAAAGTAAATCTAACTCCCATAACTTCTCCTGTTTGTTTAAACAAAGCAGATTTACATTGAAGCAAATGGAGTCCAAAGGTTGTTCCAAACAAGCATAAGGATTCTAAGAAGACCGTTACAAATGATGATTAAAGAGAGAATAAACATATAAAAAGGAGGATATATCCCATAAAACAAGCATCAATGGCTAAACAATAGGCCAATCCGTTACCATAACATAAATTAGCCAAAGAACAAAAATTATCGGCATTGGTTAATCCCATTAAAGTAAAAACCAGATTGTTTCACTGAGAGAAATATTTCACCCTAAGTTAGAAACAATGCAGTCGTGATGAAAACAAACACTTTAAATGTAATTGTTCTCACTCAACATCTTTAATGATAGAACTTTGTTCCAAAGCAGATAGAATATCTTTTCGGTTTGCCAAAGCCTTTCTCGCTTCTGCGTAGGACATCCACATTCTGTGCCGCTTTCCCATTTCAGGATAATAGTCTTCTAGTCGTTCCACAACAACCTCAAAGTACTCACATTCTGCTCGGGGAGGAATCATTAACTTCTCAATGGAGGTAATTTCTTGTTCTGCTTGAGTGGCCAATGTTGTACTGGAAGTTTCATTGTCGGTCTGTCGCTGCCGAGCATTCACAATTTGTTGTTCCAAATACTTCTTCCGTCGATCGACTGTATCCGTTGGTCGATCATCCTTAAAACAACCTAACGACCGCGTAATCTTTCCAATTAGCCCTCCTTCCTCCCATCCTTCGCGTAAAGCTGCTTGTTGAACTGACTCGTCTGCTTCCCAACCACCTTTTGGTACAACCCAGCACGGTAACTTCTTCGCAGATGAGACCATTAATACCTTTTGTTTATCCGCCGAAAGCGCTATAACACCAGCAGCGAGCCTCGCCCCTGTAAGCGGGTTGAACCGATTTTTGCTTCTACCTTCACGCGAAGTCATCGAACGGTTCACTGCCGTATGTAAATGATCCGGCTCCATTAACATCTTCTATTCAATTCAGATTCTTATGAAAAGATTCAATTCCATACAAAAGTCGGTAAAATCTGAAAAGGCCAATCAAATTTTTTTTTTTGCTGTCAAAAAAAATTCGAGAAAAAAAACCAAGAATACCCTAGGGACCCAGAGTTAAATCCCAATGTTCCCAACAGAACAAATAACTTTGTTATTTAACAAAGTTAGAGGTAATCTCCTCTAAATGTCAGAAAGACTACGAAACGCGATATGTGGCACTCGACAAATTCCAGCGCTCGTGTGGACAAGCATTTTGGAATACCGAGTCCTAACGACAGATAAGCCTGTGTTGTTATTCAAGTAAAGATTTATTATATTATTTAAAACGATAAATGCCTTTTTGATAGAAATACTGGAAAATAAACAGGGTAAAATAAAATATACCTGTTTATGCTAAATATGATTTAAATTTCAAAATTGATTATATATTTTCAGCTGAAGCTAATATATAAGGATCCGACGAAGAGAGATGCTAAATTATGTCTTAATAAATCGTATGGAGCAGAAAATCCCAGAGAATCGATGAATTTAATCATCGAAATTTGGCCTTCATTTACAAATGGATTAATTGTGAAGAGATGGTTTCCGAAAAATTGACACTCTCCTATTCGATGAGACAAAAGAAGTAAAATGAACGATTGCATAAGGTACCAACAATGAAGAATTAAATGTGACTTATAGGAAGATACTAGCTTTCATCTCCTCATCTCCTCTAAAAAGAAAGATTGGAAAGAAGGGAAGAGCTTAGAAGGAACAATATTTAGATTTAATACCAATATTACATCTCGTCATGTTTCAATCCATGGTCCTGTTTTCTAAGTATGCTTGGCTAGATGCCTTTGATCATGCATTCCCTAAAAATAAAACATAAAAAGTCACCTCTTTGTTCCTATGGAGCTCTCAAGTGGTGTTGAGAATTTTGGATCTATGTTCGGCTTTTAAGAACACCCGCCGTTGTTTTGAGCAGTGGATTCAGCTTCTTCAAAAAATAGTGATCAACCTTGTGGAAGGAAAAACAGCAATTATTCATTTCCATAATGACAGTCGCATCTTTGAAAAAACACATTTCCTTAGAGTTTAACAGCTGCGAAGGAAGAGGAAACTTGGACCAAAAAACTCTACGGAGAGAAAGTAAATTCATTTCAAGGAATGGATAATAAGTAAGAACAGATCCATTCATTTGGACGTCCTAAAGCGTTCGACTGATGGGCTTTTGAGTTGTATCACACGAAAATAGAACGATGTCTGAAAGATTTACTTACCTTATTACCTTTATGAAGATTTCAAACCTAATCTGTCAAGAGATCGAATGTCTGACGGATTCTACTAAAGTATGTAACGAGTACTTCTCCAGGATCAATTCAAAAACAGCGATTCATTTTTACAAAAACAACAAGGTCTATTTTTCTTCATAAATGAATTACTATTTCTTCTTCATTTTCGTCAATAGCAAAACGATTAAGCAAATATTTTCGTAGATACGTGATGGCTTTCTCTGTGTTTACTTGGTGAATTTGGTGTAAGACAGTAAGTATGGTCCACATAACTTGCTACCTTCTCCTTTGATACATTATTGGTGATTGAAAGCCAATTTTTAGCATTTACAGTGTTTATCACATTTCGTTCATGATAAGTTACAAATCTGCTGGCTTATAGCACACTGTCTTTTCGACAAAATTTTAGGATACCATTACTTAACTATTAGAAGACGAACGCTTATAATTGATTCCAATTCATATCACTCATTAATAAAAGAGGAACTTAATTCGAGAAAGTCAAGCGTCAATTGTTCAGTACTTTCTTGAGAGAATTCCTAACCTCTTTGGTAACAAGTCAGCTCTCAAAAGGCCTTTTAAAAGGTTTATTATAATCAAATAAAAAAAAAATGAGCCGATGGATTCGACGTCCTCTTCCACGTCCAGCTGATGAGGAAGAAATGGCAGGTCTCACAACAGAACCACCGAGTCATGGTAGTATACTGACGATTCCGACTCTTAACTATCAAAATTCAGATGGATCTAGTTTTCAGGTGTCTGAAACGGACGAAGATGAGAAAGAGTTCAGGCATCTTGTTCCTTCTTCAGAAGCTCACTCCATAGATGATTTTATTATTGATGACTATATCAGAGGAGAAGAAGAAGAAGATGCATCTGCGCCTTTTGAAGGGTATACCGCGCAACCAAATCCGATTAGTTCGTATGATCGGAATACGGCGAGTCAAAGTGCTCAGCAACAATCAAATCATGGCTCTCGCTTAAGAAGGAAAAAGACAATTCAAAGAGTTGAACTCTTTCGAGGTAATTTGGTCTTGGATTGTCCTGTTCCCAAGAAGCTCATTGCTAGTCTACCTCAACAGCAAGATCGGGAATTTTCTTACATTCGTTACAGTGCTGCAACTTGTGAGCCTCAAGATTTTGTCAAAAATTTATTTACGTTGCGACAACCATTATTCGCGCAGCCTAGAAAGACGGAAATTTGCATAGCCATTACTATCTACAATGAAGACGAAATCTTATTTGCACGCACGATGCATAGCATTATGAAGAACATTTCCTATCTTTGTTCAAAAAGGAGCTCTCCTGTATGGGGAGTAGATGCTTGGAAAAAGGTGGTTGTATGTATAATTGCCGATGGCCGAACCAAAATACATCCAAAGACTCTAGCATACTTGGCATCCATCGGTGTTTATCAAGACGGAATTGCTAAAAACAAAGTCAATGAAAAGGAAGTTACCTCCCACATATACGAGTATACCACTCAATTATCCATCGATCCTAATCTGAAGTTCAAGGGCTCTGAAAAAGGTATAGTACCAGTTCAAATGATTTTCTGCTTAAAAGAACAAAATAAGAAAAAAATTAATTCACATCGATGGTTTTTTCAAGCTCTTTGTCCTGTCCTCCAACCAACCGTTTGCATTTTGCTAGATGCCGGCACACGGCCAGGAGATCAGTCGATATACCATCTTTGGAAATCATTTGATATAAACCAAAGAGTTGCTGGTGCATGCGGTGAAGTCGTAGTAATGAAGGGAAAATATGGATCTGGCTTGTTTAATCCGTTAGTTGCCATCCAAAACTTTGAGTACAAAATGAGTAATCTACTCGATAAGCCTCTGGAAAGTATATTTGGCTTTATTTCTGTACTACCAGGAGCCTTTAGTGCTTACCGGTATGAAGCTCTTCTGAACGATGATAACGGCAATGGCCCATTAGAAAGTTATTTTCGAGGAGAGTTACAAGATGGTGAATGCTCTGGGATCTTTGAAGCAAACATGTATTTAGCAGAAGACCGTGTGCTTTGTTTTGAATTAGTATCCAAGCATAATCAAGCTTGGACATTGCATTATGTGAAATCTGCATATGCCGACACAGATGTCCCCGATCGTGTACCCGAATTTCTGTTACAAAGGAGACGTTGGTTGAATGGAAGCTTTTTCGCTGCTATTCATTCCATTGTACATTATTATCGGATTTTTCAGAGCACTCACACTTTTGGTCGGAAAGTTTTATTGATAGTTGAGTTTCTCTATCTTTTTCTACATATGTTGTATTCATGGTTCAATGTTGGTAATTTCTTTATCATCTTCTATGTCTTAACGTCCAGTGTGGCTCCAAAAGAAGCAAAGTTTCCCCCAGGTGCTGTACTTGCAAAAATAGTAAACTGGATTTATGGCGCTTTATTGATCCCTTGTTTTATCTTGGCGCTAGGAAATCGCCCACATGGCTCTAAGATCTTTTATACTACAATGATAGTTTTGTATGCTATGTTGATGTGTTATTTATTGTTCTGTTCTGCCTGGATATCATATCGTGGGATTGTTCATGCGATGGAGGTTGCAAAAGACCAAGATTCTTCCGTTGGATATGCTTTAGCCAACAACTCGATATTTATTAACATAGTGGTGTCATTATGTACTACCTATGGAATGTATGCGCTTGTTTCTTTAATTTCATGCGATCCTTGGCATATGCTGACATCGTTTTTTCAATACTTGCTTCTGTCACCTATATACACCAATCTATTGAGCGTTTATGCATTTTGTAATACGCATGATGTATCTTGGGGTACTAAAGGAGACCATACCGTTTCCAATGACTTGGGTACAGCCAAAAAAGATCATAGAGGATCTGTGGTTGAGATTGCCATTCCAACAAATGAGTCTGACATAGATGAGAATTACGAAAAGGCTGTTCGTTTACTAGCAAGTCCAATTGACGAAACTATTTTGTCTAAAGATGGCTCAATAAAAACGCAGGATTTTTTTAAAAACTTTAGAACCGTCGTGGTATTGGCTTGGATTTTTTCCAACCTTGCCCTAGTTGCTGTCGTAATAAACTTGAATCAGACAAGTGGGATTTCGATTACTGAGAATAAAACAAGTTATTATTTAGTGTTTCTGTAAGTGATTTTTCTTTGGCTAGCGTTACTAACAAATTATTAGTTTCTGGAGCATTCTTGCATTTTCAGCTGTCCGTTTTATTGGATGTATTGTGTATTTATTTTTACGAATTGTTACAGGGGAATAACTTCTTATAGTAAAGAAGTTGTCCATGTCTTCCTTTATTGCAAAATCGTATAATGGGTTGAATCTCAGCCCAAGTTATTGTATAATAATAATAATTTTATGTTTTATAATGTATTTACCACTTTCATTTGTCTTCTCTTCTCATTTATCCATTTCTTTAGTTAAAGCTCTCGAAAAACAGCATACTCTGTAAATACTGGGATTTAAAGTTATATTTACCGTATTTTATTAGCATAAGCGAAGTTTATTTGTATCCCCCAAATTTGTAAATAAGCCGCCATAAACGAATCAGTTATTTACATCTGATTTCTTTTACCAGCCATCTTTCCCTTGTTGAGTCAGACATAGGGATTTGAACCTATCCTTAGCCATAAACCGGCAAAGTCCAGCTTAGCAAAACAACTTTCTAATTCAATGCAAAGAAGTTTCATTGTATCCTCTCCAGGAAAGACGATCCTGTTTGGCGAACATGCTGTTGTTTACGGTGCTGTAAGTTGATTTAATACGAATAGCTATGATATACGATACTGAGCAAGGAACTTGGGGATTTTTGTCATTTTTTATGTGAATGAATTTAATTAGTAACGATTAAAATGTATTTTTATTCATTCTATTGCAGTTTGCCGAATTTGGGACATTATCAGCATTATTTGCGAAGAGCTTAAGCAAAACATTTGTCGGTCTCTCTTTAGACTACCTTTTTTGTGTGCGATCGGCTTCGAATTGGCTCCTCAAGCTTGAAAAACAATATCTTCATGTTTACAAAAGTTCTTGGTCTCAGCTAGCTATATTAACTTGGGCATTGGAGATTTACTAACAGTTCTTTTAGACAGCACTTGCGGCTTCAATTTCCTTGCGTACGTATTGTAGAATAGAGCCAAATGAGAAACCCGAAATTACTGTAAAGATGCAAGATATCGAGACTAATCACTCTTTTCCGCTTGAATCTTTACCTTGGGACATTGTTCCCCCAAAAGATGTACTTCACCCTCCAAATACTCTCAATAACGAAATCGTAACAGCATTAGAAAAGCTGTTGATCAACGAAAAAAACAATGTTCTTAATTATTTATCCATGCTTTGCATTATATACCTGTATTTGCAGATTGGATCTCCTAATCAGGGTTGTATTATAACAATCAACTCAGAAGTACCCTTGGGTGCTGGTTTGGGAAGCAGTGCGACCGTCTCAGTTGGTGTCGCAACTTGTCTGCTTTTATTTTTCGGTTTTATTCAACCACCCAAAGAAGGTGAAGATTATAGTCGACATGAAAGCCTTACTCTTATAGAAAACTGGTCCTTTATTGGCGAATGCTGCATTCAAGGAAGTCCTAGTGGAATTGATAATGCGGCCGCTACCCATGGGGGTTTAATAGCTTTTCGAAAGTCCACTGCAAAAACAACTGTCATGAAGCAGTTTTTAACGCTTGAGAACCCTCTCTCTGTTTTGATCACTGATACAAAGCAGCCTAAAAGCACTAAAGAATTGATTCAAAAAGTTTGTCGGCTTCGAGAGGGCTCTCCTCTTATAGTTGATTCTATTTTTCAAACCATTGATGGAATATCACGTTCCGCGATTCAAGCCCTCGAAAGCGAGACAGACGTACGTAGGCTACGAGAAATCCTTGGTCAACTTATTTTCATTAACCAGAAAATGCTTGAAGCCTTAAATGTTTCACATATTACAATTGACCGAGTTATTGATGCTACAAAAGCCATAGGCCCGACGAAATTAACGGGCGCTGGAGGTGGTGGATGTACCATTACCCTAAGGAACAATGACTGTTCAAACGAAATGTTCGAAAATGCTATTACCAAATTAAATAGCTTTAAGAACTCAGTTTATGACAGTCTGCTAGGCGGCCCGGGTGTGGCTGTCGTGTGCAATTCAGCCCCAGATTTCGACGCGTTTGTCAGTCTCCTGGAAAATAAAAATTACAATTTACTTAATAATTTGAAACAAACTTATTTTTAAAGTTTATATTGTACCTTTTATTTGTGACTACTTTCGTCCCTATATAACCATTTGAAACCACTGGTTCTCCTTCCAGCCGAATATACTTTACTTTCATACCCTCTTTGTTATATACCCTTCTATAGTCTTTCTTTTGAAGGCGAAACCCCTTTCCATTCTTTTACTTTAAAAAAAAAATCAAATTGACGCGTTTGTTGTCCTACTTTCTTTAATTTTGCTTTTGTAACAAGATGCGCGTGTTTTTAACTCACCTTCTTTTTCTGGCTCTGTTGGGTATTTCTTTGGCCCTTCCTTATGCACCTTTAAATCATCGCCATCATAGACGCGATGGAATCGATGTTACCACTACTTTCGAAACAGTTGTCAAGAAGGTTTATGTTACTGTAAACGCTAATGGCAGCTATCCCGTTACATCTTCTCAAACTTCTCCTTCTTCCGCTACCATCTCTAAGGACGTCGCTACCACTCCTGTCTTGAAGTCTAATACCACCGGACCTGCATTGTGGAATAACGATACCATTCCTGCCACTTCTACGTCTGCTGCCCCTAATGGTGCTATGGACAAAATTCACTCTACTCCTGTTAGTTCTTTTTCTGCAACCTCCAAGGCTGCTCCTGTTTCTTCTTCTGCTGCTTCCTCTTCTTCCGAGGTTAACAGTGCTACCCCTTCTTCTGCTACCTCTGAAGCTGTTCCCTCTTCTTCAACGGCTGCTTCCTCTTCTGCCGAAGCTAAAAGTGCTACCTCTTCTTCTGTAGCCTCTAGAGCCACTCCTGCAGTCAGCAGCTCTGCTGCTCCTGCTCCTTCATCTAGCAGCCTCACTCCTGTTATTTCCCGCGGTGCTCCCCTTCCTTCTAACAGCATCAATGTCCCTGCTGGTAATGCAGCACTTACCAATGCCATCAGCTCTAGCTCCTCTTCTTCTAGCTCTAAATCTGCTTCAGCCACACCTTCCGGTCAAAAGTCTTCTAAGCGTGGATTAGCATGGATTGGTAGTACTTCTCCCTCGGTTGCTGATAAATTCAAGGGTTTCGCCAACTGGTATTATAACTGGGGTTCTGAACCTTCCAACTTGGATTCTTCTTTCGAGTTTATCCAAAGCCAACATTCTGCTGATGGTATCCAAAGTGCATCTTCTACCTATAAGAATGGTGCTACCGTGTTCGGCTTTAACGAACCCGATCTTTCGAACATGGACGCTGGCCAGGCCGCTGCTTTATACAAGCAATATTTGACTCCCCTTCGTCGAAATGGTAACATTAAGTCTCTCGGCTCTCCTGCTATTAGCAATGTTGGTGTAGACTGGCTTAGTAAGTTTATGGGCTCTTGCTCTGATTGCAACATTGATTTCATCGTTGCTCACTGGTACGGTACCGGTGCCGACCAACTCAAGGGTTTGGTGAATGCTTTGTCCTCTACCTATAACATGCCCATTTGGATCACTGAGTTTGCTTGTACGAACTGGGATGTTTCTAAGTTACCTAGCTTGTCTGATGTCTACCGTGTCTTCGAGGAGAGTATTGAGTTTTTGGAAAACAACGATGCTGTCGAGCGTTATGCTTGGTTTGCTCCTGCCGCCAATCTCGGAGCTTCTGTAGGTGAGAACAACGCTTTAGTCACCGCTGCCGGTGAACTTAGTGGTCTTGGTTCCAAATACATCAGCATTTAAGCTGCAAGCAACTATCATTTCTTTATATTTAAGTACTAAAGGTTTATTTACTTTACATTTATCTTTGATTTTTAAGCCTTGCATGCGCTCCTTTATATTTTTAAATGCTTTTTGACTTTCTTTGCTATATTTTTTCGTTCGCAATCTTTCAAACGCTTTTCTGACTTTCGTTATTGATTTTTTGATATCTTTTTCTTTCGTTTCTTTCCTTTCCTTCGTTTGCTTTCTTTACTTTCTTTAAACTTCAACAACGACGAGAAAATATATTTATGATTCCGAAATTATACGTTTTAACTTTGTCTATGTCTTTTTTATACGAAATAAACAAAAAAAATGTGTAAAACACGAAGCGTGATTGAACTGAAGTACGTCCATTTCTATTCCTTCTTTTATTTATACCAACTATTGGAGGTGTTGTCTATTCGATTCATGGTTTGTGATTCTATCGGATTTTGTTCTACACAAAGTTAGTTACTATTAAACCCTAAATAAAGCTGAGTTAAATCAAATTGAACAGTTGCAATATCTCACAAGTTAAAAATTTGCTTATTAATTTACCAAGTAATGAATTATTTCTTATTTCCTAAGACTGCGACGCGATGTACTGCAGGGAAGTGTTTAAAAAAAGTAGCTGCTTACTTTTATTGAAAGTGAGCTTGTCAAATGGGTCAAGCAAAACCTACTACATTGAACTATTCAGTGTGTTATTTACGGAAAATAAGCGTTTTATAATTGATGGTGTACAGAACGGCATGGACAAGTCAATGATGCGTCAATTAATTTTGCTAAAAATAAAAACAAAAATCCCAAGTAACCAATACCAAAATCAAACTCTTAACCCAAGTGTAATACTACCGCGTTTCCCTTACTCAGGCGCTTCTATACCTTGTTCAGAAAACTTCTGAAGCCAGCATACTTCTTCAGCGATGCCCTTATTTGCTAAATCACAAGATTCAGAGCATGTGTAAATAGCAAGAACACCCCAGTCAAGCGCATTTTCCGAAGAGTGATCGATATTCAATTCAGTTAGTAAAGTAGAAAGGATTTGTGTTTCTAGAATCCGCTTTGCGCCGCAAGAACAGTTGGGAACATTGGTAGGGATTCCATCCTTATTACACCATAGAGGCTCGGATGAATCAGAATGATAATAGCGTAGTATTTGATCTGGGGCTCTGGAAATACGCTTCTGAAATTTGAGAAAGGAGGTATCACCAGTAGGTTTTGTATAAGGCTCGTTTGTTGGATTTTCGGTTTCCACTGTGAGATTCTCAAGAACTTTTGGTTCGATTTCCGATGCTTCGTTAGATGGTTCAGAATCCACCTCTATTTCACGTGGATCACAAAGCTTTGATTTCGCATTGTCATCTAATGTAAGATCAAGATTTTCAAATTCAGATTCTGAAGCCTGACCTCTGAATACACGAATCCTATGTAAATTATTGGTTAGTAGCTGTCATGAATAATGATGTGAACCGTTCAAATGGCTAGTAATAGCAAATGCTTCAGTTTTGTCTGATTGTAATCATCATCACTTGATTCAATCAGAGACCATACTGTAGAATAAATTATCTTTACACTCATTTCAAATTCTTTTCGTATGTAGCAGTAAGTACTTACCCGTTCGTCCATCCTTCCTCTAGAGCTTTATCCTCATTGCTTGCGAAGACATAAATGATCCGGTGAAATGAACCATCATTGTTCTTCGGAGCGTACATTTGTAACAAAAGGTCCATATTAGAACCACATTTTTCCTTTAAAGAAGTTACATCTTTCGACCGGAGTAGTAAAGGAGGTCCCCCAATGCGACTACATTCCACGTCAAGCAAATCACTTTGGTTGAGACTACCTTCTGCCAAAAAACCTAGATCTATGTCTTCCATTTTTTTAAATTTAGTTCACAAAGTACATCAATTATGCGAGCAATGAAAGACGCTCGCTTGGTGTTTGGTTAGGTGTAAGGACTATTACGGACTGTTTAGAAGAAATTTGATGAAACGACCAGAAAAAAAAATGGTGGATTCTGAATACACGCTTTTGCGTAGAAAAAGATGAAAAAACAAAAATTCGATAGATCTTATTAAATTTTTGTTCGCTACACAATAACATTAGCGTTTACAAAAGAGACTCCTGGAAAACCGTAATTTCAGAAGACATTTAATATCACAAAACTAACAAAAAAAAAAAAAAAAAAAAAAAAAAAAAATGCTCCGAAATTCGCGAAGGACTCTTAGCGTATTTGATAACTAGAAGTTCCATCCATGCCTTCCAGCATTTCCAAAATTTGACAGTCAAATATACCATTCCAAGATAAAACTCGATCGTGATGCCAGGAACAATTTTCAGATAGGTCAAAAAACTTTACAGTCTCATCACTACCTGCTACGACAATATTGTTACCAGGAACCTGCTTCTTTCGTGCATCATCATATGTGCAAGTCAATACAGAATGCACACATCGAGTATCGGAGACGGACGGTAAAACAGATACGAGACATTTCAATTGAGGCCAACTATAAATAGCAAACCGGTGCTGAACAGTATCGATAGAATAGCCGAAAGTTACAGAAAACTCTTTATAACTTGGAGACCAATGAATCGAAGTAATCTGCGCACCACAGTACAGCTCAGATATTTTCTTCCCACTGTTGCAGTTATAAAAACGAATATGTTTATCGTGTGAGCCGGCTCCCGTAGCCAGTAAAGATTTTTGCCAGGGGCAGAAAGATATCGCCTTGACTGCAGCATCGTGCTGCCAAGTAAAAACGGGTTTTTCCCAGTTAGAAGAATCAAAAAGGCACACTTTATTATCATTTCCTCCCGTAGCAAATTGTGAGCCATCGTAATTCCAAGCTATACCGCAAACCTGCTCTTCATGAGCAGTGGAAATAGTTCCCGCTTTGGTAGCCTTAACCTTGGAATCCAACCAGAATATGTCGTAGATTACGATTTCACCATCACCCTTTCCAATGAGAATACGCTTCATATCTGCGGAAGGTTTCCATGCCATGCAACCGACGTCGCCAGGATGGTAAATGGTGATTCTGGGCCGAATCTCCCCTCTTCCCCAAAATTGGATGGTACCATCAATTCTTCCGACGGCAAGGATAGTACCGTCGTATGAATAGGCAAGACTACTGACATCGTACATGCTGGTTTCCAAAACACCAACAGGTCCTGATCCTTCAGTCCATAAATATACATTCTCGGCAAGTCCAATAGCAAGTTCTCCTAGTGGAGACCACGCAAGTAATGTTGTATAAAAGTCGTCTCGCAACTCGGGAGCGTCGAGAATCCGGAACGGAAGGATTTGACTTGAAGAATGTTTTTTCCGACGAGCGTTGGTCTGTGGCTCCAAGGTAACTGGAACAAGGTTGGAACGAGAAGATGTCTCTGGAGAGAATTGAAATACGTGACTTGCCTTGTCAATTTCCAAGACATGTTCTAGCAAACGATCATAGTTGTAACATGGATCCTTTTCCAAACCATTGTTAGAGTCTTCCCTATTTTTGTGTTTTTTTTGTAGGTAAGGAGTTTCTAATGGATTCTGCCTATACAATAAAAGAGCATCATGACTCGAAGACAAAGGAAGAAACCTATCCAAGTTTGTCCTCGACGTTGAACCATTCCTTCTTCCACCAGGACGACGATTTGGTAACCGATTATTCCTCGAAAGATGGTTTGGAGAGTTTAATAACGGCCCTGGAGGTGAGGAAGCTGCAGATACAATTGATCGCTCCGGAGCTGCATTTCCATAAAGTGTTGATAGAGAATGCATTCCTAAAAAGCGATGTTTTAAAACTAATTGAAACTGCAGCAATTGTTTTATATCCTCACAAATGCCTCGCTTGCGGACGGTACGATCATTTCGAGAAGTTTGGTATACTACTGACTAATGTAAACAAATCAACAATGTCGGCCAACCATAATAAAAAGCAACACAAGGAAAGTAGATGCCGGTTAATAAGATCCTTTTTTACAGTTAATTCATATGATTTCTTATTTTGAATTCTGCTCTTTAGCTTAAGAATTTTCTGTGAGGTATGGAGACCCAAGAAAAGGCGAAAAGCAATTCAAACCCCAAACTAGTGATGATTAGCACACTTATTTTCATTCCTTCGAAGCCAAATTCCATGTTAAATGGCATCTGAAGTGGTTATTAATTCAGAAAATAAAGAAGTCTCAATCCATAGCTGAATCCTCAACTGAAAGGTCTCGTTTTTGGATTTTATTACGGTTGTAAATGTGGATACAATCAAATAATGTATATAAAAGAAACATATATAATATTTTTTCTGTATGAACAGTAAGTTACGAAGAAAGCGCTTAGGAATCTCATTGAGTGGTGATTTTGAATGTCTGTTAAGCAGTTACAAGACCGACTCTAGAATAGGTTTCACTACGAATAGACATCATTTAAATTGTGTTCATTCAAAAAATGGTTGTAAAAAGTGCTCAAATTGAGGTAGCCATTCAACAATAATTTTACACACACTGAGGGTTTCTTCATGTTGTACCATTCAGCATTGCAAAAATTATAGAAACACTTTCATCATAGTTTGTTTGAGATTTACTGAAGTATATATCTATAAATGAGACTAAGTGATCAAACAAATAGAAATAGATAGTTATATTAATAACAAATTGGACCATACCAACCTTGATATACCAAATTTAGAAGCAAATCAACCAAATCGCATTTCAGCTTTCTCTGGTACATTTACTGTTTGACATTAATAGAATAGAACCATAAGACTAGAAGAATAAAATGAGAGGGGAGTAAGGAATGAAAACAAAGGTGACGAATTAAGAAACGAGGTTTACATACGGATTTTTTCCACGTAAGTTTTTACCAAAAAAATAAAAAAAGAAAGGGATTGGAATCATCCCCAGCGCAATAAAACCCACTAGAGTACCACCCCAGTGAACGCCCAACTTCTTAAACATAATACGAGCAAACAATGGAAAAGTACCACCGCAGATTGATCTTGTAAATGTGTTTGCCGCAATCGCCGATGCAGCAAACTTTGTGAATGTATCCACAAGGTAATTTAAACAACCTTGAAATATAATTAAAAAGCCAATACCTATCATTGCTATGCCAATAAACGGAGCAATCCAGTGAATATTGGTATCAGATGTCCAAGCAAAGACAAAAATCCCTGCTGGCATGAGCCAGCCGAGAATCATCATTAAGGGTAGTCTTTGTTCGGGGAGAGGATCACCCTTATTTGTCAAAAGCAGCTTTGCATATTTTCTGTTCCAGAGCATATTACAAATTCCGCCGATTATTACGCCTAAAAAGATTGCAATCATGGGGAGAGTACTGACTGTTCCCTGCCAATTCCTTGACAAGTAGAACGTGTACGGAATAGTAGTTAACACTATGTAAAGTATACCATACACGTAACTAGCGAACAGAGCTATGAAGAAAACAATTGGGGTTGCTAACATAGCAAAAGGACGCAAAAGATGGAATGTTATAAATTCTTTTGCATCAAGCTTATATTTATCGTGGGCAGCATGCAAACCCCAGTTTTTCGTTGAAAGTCGTAAATTTCGAGCTCTCTTAGCTAAGATCACTGGGCCGTAAGTTTCATCAACCACTATTAAATCAACAAGCAAAATGAAAGACTGAACAATCACCATAAACCACAATGGCCATCTCCATGCTGTGTCAGATCCTCTCGTAAGCAAGCTACTAATGATAGGACCAAAATCAGCACCAGTGAAAACAAAAAAAGAATAAAAAACCAAAGCAGTGGCTCGTTGTGCTGGATTCCAAAGATCGGCCAAGACGCCGCCTGTAGAAACGATAGGTGCACCAGCAAATAAACCAGAAAAAAATCGAGTGCACATAATGGCTGCAACGTTATCGGCACTCGCCGTTCCTGCGGTAAGTAACATGGATATGAAGAAGGGTAAAAAGACTCCAATTTTTCTTCCGTTCATTTCTGAAAAAGGTGCAAACACCATTGGACCAAAAGCAATTCCTAGAACATATAAAGATGTAGTTAAAATGGCAGTCTCTTGACCAATGGGTATGCATTTGTCAATTGCTCAGTGGTAGGCGACATCGTTGTACTATTAAACTGGGCCGCAAGCGTTGTCATCCCGTACAATGCAGTATGTACGAGCTTTTTCGAAACTGGCCAGTTCATCGCTCGCGCAGGATCATCCTTCTCAAAGTCAATCAAAAAGATTTCATCTGGATATGTATAGTTATTCTGAAGTGTCTCTGTTTTCCTATTTATCGTACTATTACCTTCTCCATCGAAAGTATTAGGATCCTCAGGACATGACTTTGTTTCAGACATGTTCTAATTTCACGACAAGCTGATAATGATAGCTTTTCTTCTTTTTTTATGTTTTAATATTAATCACCGTCTATAATTAATTGCTACTCTTATCCATCCCAATTTTTCCTTAGACAATATTATTGTTGATCTCGGCGGTAGTAAACAGAAGAATACTTCTATTAAGCTAAATTTAATTAAGGTGTTAAATTGAGCGACACTTTAAAGTTGTTATCAACGCAGTCATTGATGCATCTCAATGTGTGACTGCTTTTTTAGTGTACAGGAAACTGGGCAAAGAGTGAGAAAACCTGCCGGGAACCTCAACGCAAAATGAAGTTGAACATTTCTTATCCAGCAAATGGTACTCAAAAGCTGATTGAAATTGACGATGATCGTCGTCTCCGCGTCTTCATGGACAAGAGAATGGGCCAAGAAGTTCCCGCAGACTCTGTAGGCCCTGAATTCGCAGGCTATGTTTTCAAGATCACCGGTGGTAATGACAAGCAAGGTTTCCCCATGTTCCAAGGTGTCTTGCTTCCTCACCGTGTTCGTCTTTTGCTTCGTGCCGGTCACCCTTGCTACCGCCCTCGTCGTGATGGTGAGCGCAAGCGTAAGTCCGTCCGTGGTTGCATCGTCAACCAAGATATGGCTGTCCTCGCCGTCGCCATTGTCAAGCAAGGTGAGCAAGACATTCCTGGCTTAACTGATGTTACCGTCCCCAAGCGTCTTGGACCTAAGCGTGCTTCTAAGATCCGCCGCTTCTTCAACTTGACCAAGGAAGACGATGTTCGCCAATTCGTTATTCGTCGTGAGGTTCAGCCCAAGAAGGAGGGCAAGAAGCCTTACACCAAGGCTCCCAAGATCCAACGCCTTGTTACTCCCAGAACTCTTCAACACAAGCGTCATCGCTTTGCTCTCAAGCGCAGACAAGCTGAAAACAACCGTGAGGCTGCTGCTGAGTTTGCTCAGTTGATGGCTAAGCGTGTTGCTGAACAAAAGCAAAAGAAGGATGTTGTTAAAGCTCGCCGTGCCTCTTCTTTAAAAAAGTAAGGCCGACATATCCATAAAGTAACTAGGTCATCTATATAATAATGTTTTCATTTGGATTTTGATTGGGACCTGGAGGTGTTTTGTACTGTTTGTCAATTATACTTTTTTAAAAAAAAAAAGAAAAAGGTGAAACCGTAGAACGATAGACATCTTTATGTTGAAGCAGTCAGTATTAAAGACAGTTTTCATTGAAACCTTCCAAACGTAAGCCAACGGTGATGACTGATGTTAAAAGAAATTGAAGTGAAAAATGTTGCGTATTACTTTTTAGGTATGCTTAAACTACACATAAACATTCATGAGTTTCGCTACTAAGCGGCCCTCCTTGAAATTGCCGCTAGTCTTTGAAATTACTGAATTTGGGTCAACTCAGTGTTGCTTTTCTTTACTAAAAGTAATATGTGAAAAACAAGGATAATATCTACATTGTACATGTAGGTTTAAAGGGACTTTTAAAAGCCAAGATACTAAAATAAAAGACAAATAATGCCAATTCCTAAAATTTGCCTGATGGAGTCATAGTTTTTTTCAGACAACTAAAATGTTTTACCAAACGAGTTCATTGAGAAACATGTATGAACAATAACGATCTTATTTAGATTATCACCGTTGTACATCAAACTGCTAATCTCGCTTTCAATAATCGCAACTTTTCACTCGACATAAACAAAAAAATTTCATGTTACTAGAGTGTCAAAGGTAACAGGTGCAAACACACACGGGGATTATATTGCTATCTCGCAGAAAGGCAATCGTGATGTTTTTTATTGATTTATATATATTACCTGATGCCTAAATCCGCCGTAAAACTAAATCAGGATCAATTGGTTCATGCTTCAATTTACACTCTGAATAAGTGACATTCGCATCAATACTAAGATTGTCATTCGAGGTCTCTTATACGCTAATTCGGACGATAAGCAGCTTGGAATTGCATATTTTATTTTTGATTTCTAAGTCCTTGGTTTCGCGTCCACTTGCGAAACGGTTTGCTTCATTGACATGGTGTTCGCTTCATCTAAAAGGACCATTTCCTTGCATGGACTCATCAAGAGCATTCATAAAAACCGTTTATATTCTTTAAACAAGAGAAACGTTCACCTGACTTATTCCAATAGGACTTCTCAAAAGAATTTTGTACCGCCGTTGGATACATTTAGTCGTCGTCATATCGGTCCTTCCAAAGATGAACAAGAGTATCAGCTTTCTACGCTTGGTTACAAAGATTTCGAGTCATTTTTGAATGACGTTATTCCACAAAATGTTCGCGCTAAAGAGAATAACAAAAAGCATTTTCCTTCATTCGATTTTGATACTCATAAGCCTCATACAGCCCCTAATTATTCAGAAAGTGAATTTGGCGAACTGGCGGAAAATGTAGCGAACAAGAATAAGTTGGTGAAAACCCTTATTGGTATGGGCTATTACAATGTCAAGATTCCTCCTGTCATCATTAGGAATGTCTTTGAAAACCCGGAATGGTACACTCAATATACCCCATACCAAGCAGAAATTTCTCAAGGACGTCTGGAGTCTATGATGAATTATCAAACAATGATTACCGACTTAACTGGCCTGAGCATCAGTAATGCTAGTCTTCTAGATGAAGCCACTGCGGCAAGTGAAGCCATGGTTATGATTATGGCCAATGATCGTAAAAAACGTAAAACTTTTTTGGTTGATTCTAACATCTACCCTAACACATTATCTGTTCTCCGTACAAGAGCACGCGGTTTTAATATCGATGTAAAGGTAGTCGATATCTCCTCGGAAATTATTACTGCAAATGAGAAAGATAGTTTTGGTATTCTCGTGCAATATCCTGCTGCTGATGGTTCTATATTTGATTATTCTGAACTCGCATCAGCTGCTCACGCTTCAAATATGCATGTGGTCGCTGCCACTGATTTGCTTGCACTTACTCTTATGAAGACACCCGGTGAATGGGGTGCTGATGTTGCAGTCGGCTCCACTCAGCGTTTTGGCTTACCAATGGGGTTTGGCGGTCCTCATGCTGGATTTTTTGCTTGTAATGATGAATTTAAGAGAAAATTACCTGGTCGTCTCGTGGGCCTCAGTAAAGATCGCCTCGGAAACCCCGCTTATAGATTGGCGTTGCAAACTAGAGAACAACATATTCGTCGTGAAAAGGCCACTAGCAACATTTGTACTGCTCAAGCTCTTTTGGCTAATATGTCCGCATTTTATGCAATTTATCACGGACCTGAGGGCTTGAAGCATATCGCTAGTCGGATTTACTCTCTTACAAATATTTTAAAGCGAGCTTTGGAAAGTGCCGGTTACGATATTTCAAATAAGAATCATTTTTTCGACACCTTGACTATCAATGTTCAGTGCGCTGACTCCATATTACAAAGAGCGTTAGCCTATGGCTACAATTTACGCAAAGTCAGCGATGGTGTTGTTTCCTTGTCTATGGACGAGAGTATAACCAACGAAGACTTGAGCCATTTGTTTAGCATATTCGAAATTCCTTCAACTCCAGAGACTTTCATAGAAAACCTAAGCGATGGTAAGTCTATAAGCTCTGTTGAACAGTTGCCTGTGTCTGCTTTCCCTAAAGAGTTACGACGTCAAACTCCATATTTACAGCACGTCGTGTTCAATAGATATCACTCTGAGACAGAATTGATGCGCTATATTCGTTACCTTCAGTCTAAAGATCTTTCTTTAGCTCATGCTATGATTCCTCTTGGTTCCTGCACAATGAAGTTGAACGCAGTATCAGAGATGAATCCCGTGTCAAATCCGAAATTTGCCAATATTCACCCTTATGCTCCCGAAGACCAAGTACATGGCTATAAATATTTAATCAATGATTTGGGATTGATGCTGAAAAATCTTACTGGATTCGATGCTGCTAGTTTTCAACCTAATTCTGGAGCTTCTGGTGAGTATGCAGGACTAAGTGTTATCCGTGCCTACCAGAAATCTATAGGTGAGGGACATAGAAACATCTGTCTAATTCCTGTTTCTGCACATGGAACCAACCCAGCTTCTGCCGCTATGGCTGGATTGAAAGTTGTTCCTGTGAAATGTTTAAACAACGGTAACTTAGATTTTGAGGACTTAAAAGCTAAGGCTGAGAAGCATTCTAACCATTTGGCTGCTTTTATGGTTACTTACCCTAGCACATTTGGTATTTTCGAACACGGAGTAAAGGAGACCTTAAATGTTATTCATCAAAACGGAGGCCAAGTTTACTTTGATGGTGCTAATATGAATGCAATGGTTGGACTATGTAAAGCTGGAGATTTAGGCGCTGATGTATGCCATTTCAATCTTCATAAGACCTTTTGCATACCACATGGCGGTGGAGGTCCTGGTGTCGGTCCTATTTGCGTTAAAAGTCATTTAGCTGACTTCTTGCCTTCTAACCCAGTTATTCATTGCGGTGGTCAAAAGTCTATTGGTTCGGTTAGTTCTTCTCCTTATGGTTCTGCTAGCATATTGCCTGTTTCTTGGGCTTATATGAGAATGATGGGCCTTGATGGGCTACGTGATGCTTCAAAGGCAGCTTTATTAAATGCAAATTATATGGCTGCGCGTCTGGCTCCTTATTATAAGCTTGTATATACCAACGACAAAGGCCGCTGCGCTCATGAATTCATTTTAGATGCTCGTGAGTTCAAAGTTAGTGCCGGAATCGAGGCTACTGACATTGCTAAACGGTTACAAGATTACAGTTTCCATGCACCGACATTGTCATGGCCTATAACTAATACTCTAATGGTGGAGCCCACAGAGTCTGAAAGCATGTATGAAATGGATCGTTTCTGTGACGCCTTAATATCTATTCGCCAAGAAATCCGTGAAATTGAGGAGGGTAAACAGCCTAAAGGTAATAATTTACTAACTAATGCACCACATCCTCAAAGAGACTTGGTTAGGGAAGAATGGGATCGGCCTTATTCGCGTGAACGTGCAGTGTATCCTGTACCTATACTTAGTGAACGAAAATTTTGGCCAACGGTGGCTCGTTTAGACGATGCTTACGGTGACAAAAACTTGTTTTGTACGTGTGCTCCTATGCAGTAAGTCATAACCGAATGACTCTTCTTTTCCGCTTCAATCCCCCGTCCCTTCATTCCTCAATTATCTACCTTTATAGAAGCAATGGTGCGATGGTTCATAAAAGACTTTGCATTACGCTATTAGGAATATCGGTCCTCTTGTTTAAAAAGTTTCATGTTCAACTAGGAACAATTTATTTAATGAAGAAAAAAGGAACTGATTTTCAACAATCAGAATGCGATAATAATACTCTCATATAATTAATAGAAAGAATAATATTAGTGATACCAACACATTTAATGTTGCTTTAGTTAGAGCTGGCATTTGGAAGCAAAGACTGAAGGCTGGACTAGGAATAAATTGACATATAAACGTTACAGTGTTAATAATGAAAAATGGTTATGAAAATAATGGGTCTTTTTTTTTCTCGTACAAGCATGAAGAACTTAAGAAAAACGGGAATATTGTTATTGTACTGACATGTATTCTGAAACAAAGATAATTATTATAAAAGAATTGTCGTGATAGAAATAAAATAGAAACTCTTGTGGGATTTAATACAAACGTTCAAAACGCTTATTGTAGTAGCAAGGTAATGAGCATGGTAAAACACCTACTCCTAAAGCTTCAGTAGAAGTATTGAAAAAACGAGATGATAGTTCATCAACAGTTGCCAATGTCCGTAAACTTGGCTTCATTTGATTTTTTATTAATTGAAATGGTTCATCTGGCGAGACGTTTGTCTGAACAACAAGAAACGGCGGTTTCAAATGATGAGCGAATGGAAAAGGGCCATAATTTTCTCGAAAACATTGGTTTTCAAGTAGGTAGAAAACTTTCTGAAAGGTAAATTTGGACTGCAGTTATTAGAATTGAAAGGAAGAGGGTTGAATGTGATCGGTACATCGGTCAGGCTTCACTCCTTTTAATGGAGATTGGACACTCTAATAAAACAAATTTCTTATTTATTCTTCATAAGTGCTAACTAGTTTGGGATTGTTTTGGGTTTGCCCTCTTCAGCAGCAATAGAGGCAGTGCTTTCTTGCTGCTAATTAAACGAGGACAGACTCTAACATCCTATATTTTAGGCTATTATTGACTAGGAATAGGATTACCGAGAGCATAGACGTTATGCGATTCCTATGTCGAGAATTATGGCCCATTGTGTTTCGTAAACAGTTGGATAATTTAAAGACGAATCGGAAGGTATCCACTTCGTATTGTCATAATTTAAGCTATATTCTAACTGTGAATTAGGGAACTTTTGTGGTTACGGACAACTACTTTTTTTGGTTTTCCAAAATGACAGCTGCCACTGGAACAGAAATGAAAGAATATACGACTCCTGTAAGCTCTTTCAATCTAATCTTTAGTTATTGAATACAAAGAAGCTAATTATAATGTGCAGTACCTCTATTTCCCTAGCGGATTCATTCGAGGAGTTATGCATGCTTTTGGGTATCCAGTACAAGTGATTGCTCAATGTCCGAATCTCCCTATGTGCATCTTTCAAGTTCGTTTTCCCCAGCCTTCGAATATCCCAACTGGTGAAAATGCTCCGTCCAACCCGGCGTCAGAATCAGTGCAAAATATTCCCCAACAGAATACCGATCTTTCAAGAACTAGTGATCGCTCTCTATCGTCAACTACTCTGGGTGTTAGTAACACACCATCCCCATTGAATCCCACAAATTCATCTCATCCTGAAAATAGCTGAATATGGTTAACAGTCTTTATGAGCGGAAATTACTCTGTGTAGCATTTCATTTTAATCCATACGTTACCTACTACTAAGATCTTTTCCTTCTAGTCTGATTGATTGCAATACTAACGATTATCATGAGATATATTCTTTTTATTCAGTTGCTTCGCGATTTATGAAAATGACATTTTTATTCATTAGCATCCAAAACTTTGTCTACTTCCTGGTTGATTCAAGACTGACTAGTTAGCTCAACAAATGAAACAATCGTCAACAAACACCATGTCTAACAAAAAAATCATGAAATGTCGGTAAGAGATGAAACCCTTTACTATATTGTTTTATGGACAATATTACACCGCTCGAATTCATGTCGTTTTCATAGTTAACAACTTACCTCTTAATGATGTGAAAGTTGCAGTCCAAGAATCTTTCCACACAATTCTGCAAGCATTGCTCTTCGCTCTTGTCAAACTTATTTCCGATAGTGCCGACACATTTAGGCCAGCAAGTAGCAGTGAACTGATGAATTGCTAACATTATTAGTTACCGATCGAGAAACTTTTATAGTCCATGTTTCTTACCTTGCTGCAACTTCACCTTTTGCTGTTCAGTTTCAATAAATTTGGAGAGTTCAAGCTGTTGAGTTTCGCTCAAATCAGCAATAGGATTTTTAGATGGATCGGCCATTATTAAATTTACCAAAATTAAAAAATAAAAAAATTCTGGAGGATGATGGGTCTTCTCAGGTTCTTCATTGGTCTCATTGTGCTAATGGGTATGTTACTTAGAGACAACAGGTTACAATCTGTCAAAAATACTGAAAAACAGAAGTCCAAATCCTCCTTGAGAGAAACGCTGTTAGAAACAGTAATAAATAAAATAAAATGAAAAGAGAAATCGATACTTGATATTCTTCCCAAGAAGTTAAACTTGGAAATGTGTTGTTTGAATTTTGGCAATATAAACAATAGAGTGAGGGTAATGTACAACCGGTTAAATGTATAAATACAAAAAAATATTAAGTAAAAGATCTTGGGAGTTTATTAGTCAAAATTTTAAAAGGAGCTTTCTCATAGCCTTGCTCAAAGGGTCTTTTAGCCTACCAACCATAGCGGAGATTATCTAACTATTTAAGCCCTATCCGAATCGTTTTTGAGCTATAAACTAAGATACCAACGCAGTTCAATCTAACTCCCATTGGCGTACTTTGTTTGATACAAAACCGAATAATGATCTAAAATTATAACACTTCGGATAACCGATTTGATTAGGAGATTTTCAACTTGTATATGTACAATGTATGAATTGATAGGACAAGCTACGGTTTTGTCGATGTGTATAGCTTCGTATAGTATTGAAAGTTCAACTTCGCGAAACACCTAAACATGATCTACTTGTCTTAACTTACATATAACATCTGTATAAATATCGGATAGAAAAGATCATTTGGAAGTATTTACCACAAGAAGTGAAGCTTTCATGAATGTCAAATGAAAGCTCTACCTGAAATAGGAAACTATACTCAAGTGCAAGCAATGAATTTGATCACACCAAAACAATCTTTGAGTACAGTGAGAAGATGAGTATACCAATTCTATCTGAATAAGATGCTTTTACATCTTATTCCTAATCAACAGAGAGTATTTTGTACTTTGCTTCACAACTTACGCAAGATTTGAAGCGCAATAACTTCGGTATCGAAAATGTAAAGAAAGAATGACCTAAAAAAGCCAGTTTAATCAGTTTGGACCATGTGCAGTAACAATTACAATTCGAATTGCGCGTTGATCATACCTGCATTACCATAAACACATATGGAATAGCCGGAAATATGCTGCTACAGGTGTCAACAAAGACAGCTTTATCAGCAGACTAGGAAGAATAAGCAATGAAAACAATCAATATTCTTAAACAGAAGGATTTTGATCGATTGATGCTTAAACGATATGCCTTAGGGTCATATGAAAGAGGAGACAAAAGTAAAAGAACGATAGCATAACCAGCTATTAATTAAAAATCATTGGGATATTGGTTCATAAATTATAAATTTGGTTTATCTGATAAAGAATTCCAAATATAAAAGTGAGCTTTTCGTAAGTAAGCCTTTGGCAATTTTGAGTAGTTTTCTAGAGTTCTCCGACTCTCCAGCGATGCCAGATTACCACGTTTTTTCATTAAAAAGCATTTTTATTCAATTTGACCCTCCAATCTCTCGTCCACTCAATCGTATATATTTTATCCAAGGACAGATGACTCAGAACAATGGCAGTGGGCAAAAATATTGAAAGAAACATTTGGCAGTAAGCAATTAAAAAATGCAATTCACTGATCAGGATTTCAGATATTGTTACTTGCCCGGTAACCGAATCATCCTAATGAGATGATCGAAAACATTTCCTATATAGATTCATCATACAGAAAATCCAACGTAACAAACCTCACTGCTTTGTTTACTCGTATAGCTAATATCTATTAAATTGTATCTTTAATCGTAATTTAAATTAACATCTTTGACATGGTTACCATAAAGCATGCCTCATATGCAGAGATCGGCGACTGAGAAAGTGATGAGCAACCATTGTTTAGTGAGAGATCATCTTCATATGTAGGGTACAGTACTCTGCAGATTATAGGGGTTCCTTTTAAGCTAACAATACTAGCAGAGTCTGAAGCAAAAACTTGGTGAGCCCGTACAATATCGTCCAAGAAACCTGGTATAAGAGTTTAGGGGAAAATACACTCCAAATAAACAAATGATATCGAAAGAAATAACAAGAAAGAGATAAAATAAATAAAGCAAAGCTTGAAAAGAAAAAACTTGGGCGAACCCATTTTTTTATGGAATCCTTAGGTTGGTGAAAGCTCCACCATAATGGTCCTGAAAAGGTAGAACAAAACAGTAAAATTCCTACAGAATAAATACTGTAAGATCTTATCCCTGTATACGCTTGTGATAAATCAATTGATGCCAGAGAATTTGAATTACCCTGAGAGAAAAAAGCCACTGGCTCCATAAGAAAGTATAATAAATAAGCGTAGTTACCTTCTTTTGGGAATGTTCTTTGTAATACGTCGTAAATTATGTAAAGGCCCATGTTCTCTATCCTTGTCAAAAGCAAAAGAAACAGTGACAACTGGCAGCGAATATTCTTGAAATGCGGTGACGCTAATGCACCAGCAATTAAAGTGCACCAAACTACTTGTACAATCGATATTCGATCAATTGAATTTGTTGAGTATACTAAAGGAATTTGAATGGAACCATCTGACAAAATTTTGTATGTTGCAATCAAAAATGAAGAAAGAAATGAGAACGGAGAAGGTGAACGGAAAGAGGGTATAAAGCTGGAACCAATACATAGTACAGCTTTAAGAAAAGGATTTGGAGATATAAAATCATCGACCAAATCACGAAGACCGGCATGCTTTTGACCTGTTTGATTCCATCTAATGATAATGCCGAGCAAGCACAATTGGTAACCAGTAGTTAATAGTGAGGCCTCATTAAGTACTTGGAAAAATATTAAAGAAAGACATGAAAAATACCAGAGGACGTGTTCTTCTTCAATGAAGCTGCTTGAAAACATGTAAACGATTGTCAAAACGACGAAAGGAGTAAAGTGCAATATGTCAATAACAGAGTACTCCATAACGGTAAAAAAGAAATTAAATATTGTGCATAATCCTAATATCGTAATTCCAAAAGCCATTTTCCTTAACGAGTAATCAGACGATTTGACAACGAGTTCTTGCTGAATTCGTTGCAAAGCTTCCATTATTTCATTATTAGTTAATTTTTTGTATTCAATTACAGCTTCGAGAGTTTTTTCAGGAGAGTGCTTGAGTGATAGCAATTGGTATAGGTTGCTCAATAAAGCATTCTTTGCTTCATCATTTGACTCCCAAAGCTGAATAGCAGGAGAGACAATACGTCCAACACTACTTTTCGGTATTGGAATACCTGAAAGTAAGCATAATGTAGGAACGATATCAACTTGCTCAACCATAGGCATGAGTTGGTATGGATTTTCCGGAGACGGTTCGTGAACGTACTTCTTTTTAGAGACGTTTAAAGAGGGGAATAACATAGAAAGGGCTGCAGTTGTTTCACCTACTGAAGAGCCTCCATGATTTCCTAACTCATTCATGCCATGATCACCGACCAAAAAAATCATAGAATGACTGTTGGTAAGCTTATCGTATTTCTCTAGGTAATGGTATAGAGAAGCAACAATATCATCCATCTCCTTTAGCTTGGTAATCATTAAGGGACTAGATGGGCCCTGGAAATGACCAATATGATCTACACCAAGATAGTGAAGAATTAATGTGTCCCACGAAAGTGTATCAAATGAAGAAGGAAGCAAATGGTCGAAATGTCTAGTAACATTATTATCAACCTCTGTATAATCAGCAACATAAAAGCTAGTAGTTCCTTCATAGTCAGTAAAAGCTTTCGGAAAAAGCTTAAGCCATGTATCGTCTCCATAGAATGCAATCTTTTTGTCGTGAGTTTTCAGTTGGTGCAGCCAGCTATCTTGGCCGGTTAGACTTGAGGTGGCTTCGGATTCCGCTATATTAAGCAAAACATCCAAAAACCCTGGAACAGTTCCTGTCGTAAGTGCCTTCAATCTAGGCATCGTTACTGTAGGGGATCTAGCGTACGATGAAAAGCCTAACCCATGGGTGGTATTAAAGATAATGGATTGCAGAAACGGCATGTGAGAAGATCCAGAAAAGGGAAAATCGGAGCGGAATGCATCAACAACTATAAAAACAACACGATCGATCACAGCAGCAGGTGTGTACGGGTTGCCTTCAGCAATTCCTGTTGAATCATTTTTGTGAGGGAAAAACCCAATTAGGAATATGATGATACCGAGCAATTGTAAAACAAAATTGACGAGATATAGAATTTTCATTTTAAATGAGTCCAAAAAGCGCTTAAATGAAAATAAAAGTTATAGTTATAGGAACGGTCATAGGTAGAAAAAGAACTGTTGGTCTTGTTTACACTATTCACATCTGGGTAAATTCTTGATTCATCCAGTCAAAAAAAGTGAAACTTTTTTTTTATTGAATTTTACTATCGAAGATCGCAAGCAAATTTAAGAACAGCAATTATAACTTCCGCTTCCTACTGTGCTGTAGACAGACTTGCTAGTGGTAGTCTTCAAAAAAGCAATGTAAACAGAGGAACATAAAATCAAAAGCTAGGAAACTCTCGGAACGTATGTATAATTTATTTAAAAATATATATATATATATATATAGTACATTTTCCATTCCTTAAAAATTTCGTAAAACGAGTTTTTATCTGTTCATCATGTACCTACAACACTCTGGCGAAGATTTTGTCAGCCTTTAAGAGATCTGTACATAAATCTATTTAAAAAAACCAATTATAATTACTGAGTTGAATTTAAAAAGACGATAGAAAACCAGGTAGAAGAAGAATTATTCTCGTACTTTCTATATGTTTATACTATGACTTGATACCTTCGCACCAATATGTCTGTGATGAAGATAAAGGAAATGTACATTGTCGTTCACTTTTGTAAATTCTTTTTAAATTGTTGGTACTATTGTAGAAATTGAGAAGGCTTGATAATTTAAGAGATTAAAGAAATAACTTCGCATAGACCTTTTTTATTTATGTTTATTTTCATCACCTTACAAAACACATTACCTGGTAAGAAGCAAAATATTTTATTGATACAATTTTAATTTATATTTTTTTTTTCGAAAGTTTATTTATTTATTTTACATTTTTTTGTTTACATTTTTTATTACGAAGTGTTTTGGGGTGTGACATTTCTTGTGTTGCCAAAAAAGCAGTCACACCAGTGCTTCTTGTCAGGACAGAAGGAGCATAGTTCTTTCTAACACCAAAACGCAATGGCAGTTGGTAAAAATAAAAGACTTTCGAAAGGAAAGAAGGGAATTAAAAAGCGTGCCGTTGATCCTTTTGCCCGTAAGGATTGGTACGAAATCAAGGCTCCTGCCTTCTTCGAAGTCAAGAACGTCGGTAAGACCCTTGTCAACCGTACTGCCGGTTTGAAGAATGCCAACGATGCCTTAAAGGGACGTTGTATGGAGGTCTCCCTTGCTGACCTTCAAAAGGATGAGGAACACTCTTTCCGTAAGGTTAGACTTCGCGTTGAAGATGTGCAAGGCAAGAACTGCCTTACCAGCTTCAACGGTCTCAGCTTGACTTCCGACAAGTTGCGCTCTCTTGTCCGTAAGTGGCAAACCACTATTGAAGCCGACCAAACTGTTAAGACTACTGATGGCTACCTTTGCCGTGTCTTCGTTATCGGTTTCACTAGCCGCCGCGCCAACCAAGTCAAGAAGGCTACTTATGCTCAATCCTCTCAAATCCGTGCTATCCGTCAAAAGATGTTCCAGGTCATCCAAAACCAAACTGCTTCTTGCTCTTTGAAGGAGCTTGTTCAAAAGTTGATGCCTGAAGTCATTGGCCGTGCCATCGAGAAGGCTACTCACGGAATCTACCCCTTGCAAAACGTCCTCGTCCGCAAGGTCAAGATCTTGAAGTCTCCCAGACACGATGCTCAAAGACTACTTGAACAACACGGTGAGTCTCAAGACGTTGGTACCAAGGTCGTCAGTGATGTTGCTCCTTTGGAGTCTGTTTAAAGTTCTTAATAAAAAAGTGTGATCTTTTGGTTGTATACGTGCTTGTCGTGTAACCCGCGTAAGGGTGTAGTGAGCTATAATGATTTTAGCGTAAAAACAAGAAAGCTTTATTAGGTTTTATTTGATTTAACTAAACATCATAGCAAGTAGTCTTGATCGTTGGCTTTTGTAATAGCAACGTTATATAGGTGAGTAATTTTCTTAGTCAAGCGCTTCCAGGTAATCAACTTTTTGGCGGATATTTAAAATAGTTGATATCCAATTCCAAGATTTTAATAAATTGTAACCAGGCTAAAAGTAGATGAATTCCTTCATGTGGATCGGTTTTAAGACCGTCCTGATTTGATTGAAAATTTGAAATCAATGCAACAAAAGATTCACTGTTTAATATTAGCCAATTCGTAAAATCTTGACTTATTTAGTGAGTCTTTGTTAGAGTATCCAATATGGGGGAAGCAAACAGAAGTTGCCTTTTAACAAACATAGCACCGCTGGACTAATTAATCGGTCTTGTTTAGGTAGTCAATCAAATCTATTAATTATATTCATTGGAAGTCGATGTGCTAAAAAATTTACACACTCTCGTTGCTTCTCATTTTTCTAATGATTCATATACTGCACGACCATAATAACCTATACAACAATCGGTGCGATCGTTTCTGCTTTTAATTGCTATTCAATTTCTTTTTTTTTTTACCTTTGGTTGTTTATAATAAATTCTTGTTTTCATTGAATAGCAACTAAATTTATATTGATTCTTGCTGGGTTTTCTTTGTTTTAAAGCGGTGAAAACTATGAAACGAAGTCCCGGCGGAAATAATGGCCTAATAAGTGAAACAAAAGATGAACAAGAATCTCCCCCTCGTTTCTTCTTTGAAGAAGAAGGAGAACCTCCAGCTTCTTTCGTAGGAACAATGGGTAATCCTGAGGATACGCAGGAATCGGTTAATAAAGACGATGTGGAAGTAAAATCTCCTAATCCCTTTGAGTCAAGTATATGGTCAATATTGGGTGAAGAAGTTGTATCTAAAAGTACAATGAAAGATCTTTACGAAGCCTCTAATGGAGATGTAGAAACCGCTATAAACGTTTTCTACGATAATTCCTTAAATGGAACTTTAACTGAAAATGTTGGAACATCTCCTGCGTTGCAAAGTTCTGAACAGAATGAGTCCGCTAGGAGACTAAAAGAGAACGAGACTCCGACGTCTGAGATGGATGACTTTCCTATTTTAACTACGCAGTCTAAACATAATAATACTTCACGACCCTCACCTAGGAATGCTTCTCTTACATCCTTTTCATTTTTAACTAAATCTAATCGAGTTCGCAAATACATTGGCTGCTTTGGTGTCGAAGCGTATTCAGTTGTATCCGGATCTAATATTTTACAAGCTGGTGAACGTGTGTATCTTGAACGGCAAAAAGCTCCTACGAAAACTCAATATCGGAGTTCGAGAAAGCGTTCAAAGACTAACAATTCATCAGGTTCAACATATACCAACTCTATACGATTCTTTAATGCTGATCACAAAGAGATTGGAAAGCTTCCTTCAGAGAATGCTCAGGTGTTATGTACTTTGATGTCTCAAAAGCTGTGGTCTTTCGAAGCGAGTTGTATTTATGCTGATGATTTCCTACATTTAGGAAGCAATGTTACACTTCAGATTTATTGTTTTCTTGATATTTCTCACACATCGTTAAACCAATCTCCGTTTTCGGCGAAAACTGGTTTCATTGAAGATGACCCAGCTGCTTTTATAGATACCCAAAACAAAAGAGACCATTTACTTCGTTTACTTAGTTGGATAGCATTAGAGCCTTATACTGAGAATTCTGCTGCAGGATCAAACGTGAAAATAAACGATCTTTTGTTATCCTCATCATCCTTAGCAAATACGGCGGTTTCTGAAAACTCCACTTCTGATGTTGCTGAAGATGATGATATTGTTAGTGAACAGTTAAGTACCCTATACGATCGGACTCGCTTAAACGAAGCAAATCTCCCTTCTCATCCTATTCCTGAAGGATTCAATCTAGATTTACGAGAATACCAAAAACAGGCACTTTATTGGATGTGTCAAAGAGAAAAGGGTGATGCTGAATCAGAAACATCTTCAAACCTGCATCCACTATGGAGTCAATTTTTGTTTCCTACGGACCCTGGGTTGTCTCCCGAAGATTATAATTTTACTAGGGACGAACAACCCCATCGTTTTTTCGTAAATCTCTATACTGGTGATATTACGTTAGTTTTTCCTTCAATGACCCCTTATCATCGTGGTGGAATTTTAGCTGACGAAATGGGTCTGGGAAAAACTATTGAAATGCTTGCCTTAGTTCATGCTAGGAGAAGTTCCGATATTGTTGAGAAACCAGTAGAAAATTATCCTTTCTCTAATAATCTTCCTAAAGCAGCGAAGACGACTCTGGTAGTGGCACCCATGTCTTTGTTGGATCAGTGGCAATCCGAGGCAGTGAAAGTTTCTGGTGCTAACTCATTCAAAATATTGGTATATTATGGTTCAGATACTTCCATAAATTTGCAAAGTCTTGCTGCTACCAAAAGCGCTCCCGATTTGGTTATTACTAGCTATGGCGTTTTACTTTCAGAGTCTTCCAACACGTCTGATACGTGTGGGTTGTTTTCTGTTCACTGGCACCGGGTAATTCTGGACGAAGGTCATTCAATTAAAAATCCGAGCAGTAAAACTGCCAAAGCATGTTATGCAATATCAGCTCAGAATCGATGGGTAATTACGGGAACGCCAATCGTTAACAAATTGGATGATCTGTACAGTATAATCAAATTTTTACAGATAGAACCATGGTGCAATTATAATTATTGGCGTACATTCGTTAGTGTACCATATGAGGCAAAGGACATACTAAAAGCCTTGAATGTGGTGCAATCTATCCTTGAACCACTCGTTTTACGAAGAACAAAAGAAACGAAAGACATCAGTGGAAATCCTATAGTTTCCTTGCCCGATCGCACAATTGATACCATATATTTGGATTTCTCAGAAGCAGAACGGCGAATATATGATTCCTTATATGTGAAAGCGAAAAGCAGGGTTCATGAAAGTATTGCTACAGGGACGTTGTTTAAGAATTATACCGCGATTTTAGGTTTACTATTGCGACTTCGACAAGCTTGTTGTCATCCTTTACTTTTGCCCAAAGCGGTTGAAAAAAAAGACAACGAAGTAGAACAAGATATTAACTCAAATGAATTGCATGAATTAGTTTGGATGTTTGCATCGAAGAAAACATCGGTCCCGGATTATATTAGAGAAATACCTGACATGGATAGTTTAAATACTCTCGCTCCAGAATGCCCAATTTGTTGTTCTGAACCCATTCAAAACCCTGTGGTATTAAAATGCAAACATGTCTGTTGTCGGGGTTGCTTAAAGGATCACATAGAATACCAGAAAAAGAGGGATATATCTCCTCCACTTTGTCATACTTGCCGTCAGCCTTTTGAAGCAGACGATGTGTATGAGCCACGAGAAATCTCATCTACAGGTCTTACGCTGAAGGATAAAAGTTTACAGTGGAATCATTGGAACCGATATCAGTCCATCAAAGTATTAGTACTTTTGGAGTACATTCAAAAAGTACTGAACAATCCTTCCTCCGATAAGATTGTCATTTTTTCGCAGTTTACTGGGTTTTTGGATTACATAGGGGAAATTTTCAATACACTGCGAATAAAACACTCTCGATTCGACGGCAGAATGTCTCAGGAACAAAGGTCTATGTCATTAGAACAATTTCGTAATGATCCAGAAATCAATGTTCTCAACATATCGCTCAAAGCTGGTGGGCTTGGTTTGAACTTGACTTGTGCAAACCATGTATTGATGATGGATCCTTGGTGGAGCTGGTCAGTGGAATCTCAGGCCATTGACCGTGTTTATCGTTTGGGACAAGAAAAGCAGGTTGTTGTAACTCGTTTTATCGTTCGAGACAGCGTGGAGGAAAGAATGTTGAAGGTTCAAGAACGCAAAAAATTTATTGCGGGAACGCTTGGGATGTCCAAGGAAGAACAACAAGTTCAATCTTTGGAAGACATACAGACTTTGTTTGCGTAAGCAAAGGCTTGAAGGTTGTATATTATTTATTCGTACTATATAAAAAGTTTTTGGGAAATCAAGGTTTACCACAAGATGGAACTTTGGTAGAAGATACAGGCTTTCTTTATACTATTTATGTATTTATAGACCTGTGATAAGTCAATGTTTAGCAAAATGGGTATAGAGGACAGTAATATAATGGCTTTATTAAACGAAAAAGCATGGTAAGAGTGTTTAGTTTATTCATAAACAGACAAGTTCATTTCAGGATCATCTTTGTATGTTGGGATATGATTTTTTAAATGTTTTTCTTTGTAGCCATATCCTGAATTGTTATAACTGCTGAAGCAATAGGCAAGGATTTGAAAAAATAGAGTACCGACGATACATTTTAGGACCTCACGTGAAGTATTATAGAATGGGGCATAATGAACATAAATAACGATACTCACAAATATAGAAAGAAAAACGAGAGAAACGAATCTTTTAGCTTTTGTATATTGATCACCGTGAGAGTAAGCATGTTTACAATGCATTCGGTAAACCACAGCCATTCGGATAGTCAGAAGGAAAGGTATATAATATAAGTTAAACAATTTCCAAGCAAATTGTAATACTGATGCGATAGCAGAATCTTTGAAGTCAAGAACAGGAAACATCAAAGGAGCAAAGAAGATAAACAATGATTGTATCCAGTTTAAAAAAAGGATCAAGAAAACCAATTTTTTTGAGCTAGGTCGGAGATAGCCCATTCCTAACGTTAAAGCCAAGACAAGCGAATTAAACAACGGACGTTCAAATGCATCCCCAAAAAGGGAAGAAAAAATTGGGAGGAGAACAGAAATATCACGGTTGGAAAGGATCTCATCCGAGTAAAATGTCCGTTTTATAGGATGATTGACGAGAAACGCAGAATACCAAACAAGTAGAAGGAATTGAGTAAACGAAAGACTTTTAGGTCTCCAAAGACATCGAAGAAGCCAATACAACCCAATGAGGCTAGTAACAACTGATAAACCAACAAAAACAGTATGTTCGGATTTGGTGAATAGTTCATCATAAGAATTATAATCAAAACGAATTATCGGCAACGGGTTGCAATCAGTTGGCTCAATTTGTTGATAGCCAAAAAAAAAGACTGTGCAGGGCTTTGTGATGTTTCTCTTGAAATGGTTTGGACCTACTATGGCTTTGAGATCATAATTATTGATGAAACCGTGATCCAAAAATCCCTGGGTTACTGAATTTTTAAGGGTATTATAATCGTCGTTTCCATCGATACTATGTTTTAAACCCTGAAATAAATCTTGAAGCTTAAGGATACTGTAGTGAACGGTTCCGTTGGAGTTTGATTTTTGGATAATATCTGCGTAAGCTGGTTCATGGTCAGGATCGTTGTTAGGTATGATATACTCTAAAGAAAAGAACGCCTGATGAGTCTTATTGACCGGTAAGAAAACCATCTTGTCTTCGAATCGTACAGGAGATTGGTTGGAATTAGAAGGACATTTTGACTTGTCATCGATGAAAGCATTTAAATTCTGATCTGGTACAGAGGCAACGCATGCTCCTGCAAATAGCAGGATACTCAAACCGCAAGACAGCAGCATGATGGAATGATGCTGAGGACGTTGAGCGACAGAAAAGAAAGACAAACCGAAAAAAAGAAAAAGAAAAGTAGGAGTAGAATTACTTTTCCATGAAAAATCCTTTGTATTACTACGCGTCTGGTCTATTCAAGTATAGCAGCTTAAGCTTTTAATAGATTTATAGATATATAGATATATATATCTATATATGTATCCACCTACATGGTGACGAAAGTAAGGTGCAGAGAAGCGAAATCGGAGAGGATTTGAGAGAACAAACCGAAAATGACGTGGTACATGGTTTATTTACATTGGAAATTTTTATAAACAAAAATAAAAAATTACATGTTTATATTCATTTCCATGCATCACCATCATTCTTCTTGTTTGTTATAATTATCATTCTTATTTTTATTATAACAAGGATGTTGACAAGACAAAGTGAAACAAATGGAGGATATAGATGAGTTTCATTTCTATAAAAAAGCTTTTTAACGATAGAATCAGAGAGATCAAAAAAAAAAGGGAAATAGAAAAGATTCTTTGACAGTAAGGATCATGGTACCAAAAAAGAAAAAGTAGTAAAAGAAAGACGATATAAAGAGAGTAAAGAGAGAAAGGGTTTGTAAAACGAGTGTAAGGAGTGTATTAAAGAAAATTTGCGGCTGGTTTCTATGATGAGATTAATTTTTGTTTTTGTTTTCTTTTTCTTTCTTTCTTTTTTTTTGCTTGTTCAACTTTTCAACAACCACTTGCACGATCACTGACACAAACCTTGATTTCATAACTGTAATCATATACAGTACCGCTACCCACGGAACCATCATTGTTTCTGTCGAAACAATTCCAAAAGATCATCCAACCGTCATTCTTGGGACCCCATCCAGGAATCTGGAGATTAGCACCAGTTCCACTTTTAGCAGTCAAAAAGCAACTACCATAAGCATTCATGGTAGAGTCATGACTTGGGAGTATAATGGTGCCGGAAGTAGCACCAGAAATGGCTTGACCACAATCTCTACGGACAGCGGCATGGCTACCGTAACAACCACCAACGTTGCGAACGCTTCCCCAAGGGTCATTAAAACGCTTGGTCTTGTGAGTGGAGGAGTTGAGTCGGTCGATAGAGGCATCTAAAGTATCACGAAAACGTTGATGGTGAGTAGGGTTCGGTTCGGCCATCAGAGTCTCGATACGATTATGTTTTTGATCAATCAACTTTTTCAAGCATTGTAAAGATTCAATTTGTTCTTCATCGGTTTCCCGACCGATCATATCGATAATGGAGTTGTAGTTCAAATTAGCAACTCCTCCATCTGGGCTAACCATATTGGCAGCGGCCACGGCATCTAAATACTTGCCTTCTTGAATCGCTTTTTGAACATAGCCCCAATCACGAGAAAAGACACCCTCTAGTCCGTATTGAATGTCATAGACGACATTGTTCACTGGTAGTCCATATGGTGTACAATCACCAAAGGTCATATTCATGACCATGGGCGCTTGTCTACTAATATTTGTATTGGCATTCGTATAAGTTAAGGTTTGAGCATGAGCTACGGAAGAGACACCTAAAAAAGCGGTGGCTAAAGATATCAGCCAAGAAGATGCTATCATTTTGTCAACAAGATTCAATGTCGAAATCAACAAGGTCTACGACAGGACGACAGCACTTAATTAAAGGAGGGGAAGGCCTGATTATATGCAAACCTTAGTTTGAACAGGTTTGGCACTCTTTGCTCCAAACCCTCTTCTTATATAAGGTTTCTATGGCTCTCCAATTTGATGCCCATGTGATTATCTCAATATACTATCAAACATAAGGCAACCGATAGGCAATCCGACAATGATAAGAATTAGGATACGGAAACCAAATAGGACAAATCATGATTTCCCCGCTTTCGGATATTAATTTTTTATTTATCCTCGAACCAAAAAAAGAGGAGATCTCCCTCTACCCCAACAAAACCCGTTCGTAGTTTGAATGAACGAACCTTTTTTTTAATGTCTCGCCATGGCCGTTTTGCTATTGGATTTATGAGTCAGATGACTGGAACGAAAGGTTACGCCGAACATCCTTATTGATTCATATGGTGTCATAAACAAGGTATGATTCAAATATTTCTGGAACCTTGTTTTAATTGGTTTTACCCATGGTGGTCATTCTCCGGATATTATATAAAGAGCCGCACAAGGACGTATGCAAAAACAACATTCCGTCATTTGTTTTTATTTTTTTATTCTTACATTCGGTAATGTGAAACTCGGAGGGAAAGCGTAAAGACTTTTTTTTTTTTTTTGTCTTGGTAAAATGAATTGAATGAATTGAATGTATGGAATGTGGAATATGAATGAAATGAAATGATTTGATTTGATTTGATTTGATTTTTTTTAGTGAATGTGATTCTATTGCAAGATGTGGAAAGAAAAGTTTGAAAGTGATTGGTAAAAGCGTTTACCTCTCAATAAGTTTCTTTTTCTTGGAGTAATTGAATTCAACCAGAGAGAGCGAAAAGACAGAGACTCGAAAGAGTCTGCAACTAAAAAAAAAAAAAATATCGTCTTAAACAACGTATGAATATAATATTATAAGAATAAAAGAATACATTCCTGCTTTTCCTTCTATGTGCGTGTACGTGGTGGTGGAATTCACAAGTAAAAACGAACGAAGCGAATCTTTCAACAACAGACTGGTATTTTCTGTTGCAGACTCTTTCGAGTCTCTTTCTTTCTCTCTGTCTCGGTCTGTCTCTTTGTTTTCAATTTTGGTGTCGTATTTTTCTTTTCTTCCTCCTTTAAATTTAAAATAAACAAAAAAATTGATTTTTCAAGTTTCAAGTTTTAATTGTTATCTGTTGCCATTCATTTCACTTTGTTACTACCTCTTCTCATCATGGTTCCTCTCCACCGCTTCAAGTCTCTCCTTTTAGCAGTACTACTCATTTTTGGTATATTCACCTTCTATCCCAGTCGTCTCTCTCCCGATGGTGCGATACACACTGCAACATCCACCACCGTACATGCATCCAAAGAGCTTCATGGCGATCCAAAAAAGTACACATTTCTAGCATTACTCACTCCTTCCTCCTCTGACGATGATCCATATTTTAATGCCACTAGGGTCCTTGTTCATCGTTTAAAGTATCACCCCGTTACGAAAAGCAAGTATCCGATCCACATTATGGTTCTCCGTGGTACTGACGAATGGAAAATTCGCCGTTTAGAGGCTGATGGCGCTTCCATCCTTCTCGTCGACCCCATTTCTCCTTCTGACATGGTGCTCGACCTTGATTCCATGGCCAACGACATTACCGACCGTTTCCAACACATGTTTACAAAGCTTCGTATTTTCCAGCAAACTCAGTTCGATAAACTATGCGTCGTTGATAGCGATATTTTGCCTCTAAAAAACATCGACGATATATTCGATACTCCTTTTCAAGGCAAACCACCCAACCCCATCCCATCCGATCAGCATCGTTACAGAAATCCAAACGATGGAATGTCTCACTTTTTTTTGGAAGATTTTCAAGACTACAATGCAACCATCGATGATTTCTATCCTTATCTTTTGGCTGCCACTTACGATAGAGGAGAACATCATCTCATTCCGCCCGAACCAACTGGATATTTTAATGCTGGATTAATGCTCATCCGACCTAGTCTTTTTCACTTTGAGCGTCTCTTGAAAATTGGCGCTTATCCCTATAAATACGATCACGCTCGTATGATGGAACAAAGCTTACTGAATGTTGCTTTCGGGGAACATGGTTGGTTTCCATGGACCCCTGTTGATCCTTTTTATAACGGAGTCTGGTGTTCTCCTCCAGAATATCGTCATTTGAAAACTGCTCACGGTAAATTTTGGCAATTTGATAGTACTGAATTTGCTTCCATCTACTTTGCTGAATGGTATCGCGCATACGGTGAAATGCTTGCCTTTCATCAATATCAAATTCGGTAACGTTTTCTAATTAGTTATCCCATCTTAGCTTGTCCTTCCTTTCCCTTCGTTTGTTTGTTTGTTCGCTTACTCGTTTTTCCCAACATGGATCCCCACCCAAGTTTGTTAGATCTATCTACTTGTTAATCTTTATAGAATGTTTTATGATTCTTTCAACTTTTACACATAAAAAAAGAATGCATGGCACTTATCTTGTAACTTTCAACTTGTCCACAATTTTTTTTGTTTTTCTTTTGGAGTTTGTCTTTAATTTCCCTTTTTCCGAATTACATTACGTATATGCTGCATCTCCACCTTTCAGTAAACAAAAATTATAAACGAGCGCGAAAGCTATAGCGAATGTGACCGATTCACAAAAAGTCCGTCGTGTGTCCATTCAAGTTTTGTTACAGACAGGTTCTTGTGAATTACTTGTTGACGGTACTTTAGAGAATAATTGGATCCTCCTTTCTAGTCCTGAATCCCATAATGTTGTTTTTCCTTTTTGAAATGATTGTCATTCATTTTGCTTCTTCGTAAAAGAGCTTTCTGTCTGGCTTTGTGTATCAAATACGAATTGATCTTTCTTAATATACACATCTATCTATTCATCCTTTGCATCTTTTGTTTTACTTAACTCGAGACCATCCAAGTTTTTATTCTACAAATTACAAGCTGATACAATACCTCTGCTAGCGGTGTAGAGTCTAATAGTGTATTGCCTTTTCCTACAATATACAATCATGGCTGACCCATCAAATGCCGCCAGTTTTTACATTCATCAGGTACAAGAATTCCTTTTGTACTAAGCACGTACGTTGGAAACTTGCGGCGAGAGGATATTGTGTTACTTCTCCCAACATGAATTCCTTCATTAAAAGCTAAACTTTTTTTGGCATATCCATTTCAATTCCATAAAGCGTTTTATCAAATATGTCTTTGTACCACTAATGAGCTTATTTTTATGACAAACTTTACACTCCAAGGCCACAACCAAAAGAATTTCTCTTATAGCCTCTCAGCTAGGAAATAATAGCATTCTCTTTTCGTTTTCATTTTCGTTTTGCTTCTTTTCTCTTCTGTTCTTAAATTTTCGAATTCTACGATTCCAAGTATTTTCGCACAGTAGTACCTTACCCGAAAATATTTCTTTTCCATACCAATTTAGGTTATTCTTCAAAAAAATCCTCTGTAGTGAACGTTTTCATTTTCCTTTTTGTAGAAAAAAGAGAAAAAAATTTGTTTACAATCAAGTTTCAAAGTTAGTGCCTATAATTTGTATTTCTTAGGAGGATTCATTAATCATGCTGACGAAACCGGTCACCACTTCTGTTCTTCGTCAATGGAAGCTTGCTAAAGAAAAATTTGCATGTATAACTGCCTACGATGCCAGTTTCTCGAGGTTGTTTGAGGAACAGGGAATGCCTGTTATGTTGGTTGGAGATTCGCTAGGAATGGCTGCTCAAGGGCATACATCGACTATACCCGTTAGTATTTCTGACATTGCATACCACACTAGAAGCGTCCGACGTGGCGCACCCAACAGTCTAATCATGGCTGACATGCCATTCATGAGTTACAGCAACACGGATGATGCATGCAAAAACGCGGCTTCTCTCATGCGATCTGGAGCTAATATAGTTAAAGTGGAAGGAAGCGGAAGCTGGGTTTACGAAACGATCCGGAAGTTGACGCAAAGATCAGTTCCGGTTTCTGGACACATTGGAATGACTCCTCAAGCCGTGAATATTTACGGAGGTTTCAAGGTACAAGGAAGGAATGAAACAGCCGCTAGTAAAATATTGGAAGCTGCGAAACAATTAGAGGAAGCTGGAGCCCAATCCATGGTGCTCGAATGCATTCCTGAGGCATTAGGACAAAAAATTTCAGAATCTGTTTCCATCCCGACTATTGGAATTGGTGCCGGTAAATATACTGATGGTCAAATTCTTGTCATGCATGATGCACTGGGCATTTCTAGTGGAAGAGTTCCACGATTTGCAAAAAACTTCCTGAGCGGAGCCGGCGACATACGAGCTGCCGTCCGACTATACATGCAAGAAGTTAAAGAAGGGCTTTATCCAGCAAAAGAACACACCTATTGATATAGAATTAAAAGTTAAAGAATGATTATCGAAGGAAAAAAAGTTTTGGTACGGGAACAAGTCCGATTATGGCGACAACAAGGAGAAAAGATCGCGTTTGTTCCCACAATGGGCAATTTGCATGAGGGTCACTTAACATTAGTAAAAAAGGCAAAGGAATATGGAACAAAAGTTGTGGTTAGCATTTTCGTCAATCCTATGCAATTCAATAACCAAAACGACTTGAATGCTTATCCTCAGACTTTGGAAGAGGACAATGAAAAGCTAAAGGGATTAAACGTCGATTTAGTTTTTACACCAACAGTACAAGAATTATACCCGACTGGTTCTACAGGGATCACCTTCGTGGAGACTCCAAAGTTATCTGAAATGCTGGAGGGTGCTAGTCGACCAGGACATTTTCGTGGTGTGACTACGGTTGTAAGCAAATTATTTCACATAGTAGAACCGGATGTAGCATGTTTTGGCGAAAAAGATTTCCAGCAATTGGCGATTCTACGGAAAATGGTACATGATTTGGATTTTGGCATTGAGATCATCGGCGTTCCGACAGTTCGTAACGAAAATGGTTTGGCTTTGAGTTCTCGAAATGGATATTTGACGCAAGAACAACTCGAGGTTGCCCCTAATCTGTATGAAGTATTATTTGGAGTGGTGAGGAAAATAGACCAAGGTCATCGAGACTTTGCTACCTTGCTTCAAGTGTGCGATAGTGAATTGCGCAAATTTGGGTTTATTCCTGATCAAATTGAGATTCGTGATGCAGATACTCTCGAATCTTGCAACCACGATACCAAGCGTATGGTTTTACTCGCTGCAGCTTGGCTGGGCAAGGCAAGATTAATCGATAATATCCAAATCAACACCCAATATGATATCCCAAGCCAATAAATAGTGAACGAAAATGAATGTTGATGAGATGCATTAGAGTGAATGAAGAAGAAAATACGACGAGTGAAATTTACTCAATATCAAGATCTTTAACGGAGCATAAAATAATGAAAAAAAAAAAAAAATTACAGGATTCTATAATTTATTCATTACGCTAGGGAAAGAAAATGAATGAAAAATGATTTGTTATAATCAGTGTAGTCAGAAACACAAATGCTATGAAATCCATGATCACTATGAACGATTTTCAGTAAGTGTTTATAGGAAAGGAAAGGAAAAAAAAAAAAAAAAAAAAAAAAGACACAAACACAAACACAAACACTAAACGTGCAAGTATGAGAATGACTAGAATGTTTTTTACTTTTCAATGCTTTACATCTCTTTCGGGTTTGTTTTCTCCTTCCAACTTCTAATGTGGACCATTTATTACAATATTATATAATATTAAATTATATAATCATATTATACAATCATGGGAATTTTCAAAAGGCGACATAGCATCATTCAGTGAAAGGGAACCTTCTTTGAAATTATCAGTCGGGGGATCTAAGTGACGATCATTGCAGATCTATGATCCACAATGAAAATTTTATATCTGGGAAGAGAAAAAAATGGATTTACGTTGGAAAAAAGCGTCTTTACGCTTTTTGCTTTGGGCTAACATGAATAAAAAAGAAAAGAAATAAACTGCGTCCTTCTTTGTCTATAAACTTTGATATTTATGGGTTTCTACCATATACAATACAAATGATCTACAAAAATCTCTTTACGTCAATCTCTGATTTGGACTATGATTGGACCGTACTTTGAGAACCGAGAAAATTTTAACTTTCGCAGATCATTCTCCACCTGAATCTTAAGGTAAATCATGGAGATGAATGGTTTATATTTGTTCTCACTAACCCACCAATATCTTTAGCCATATACATTTCACCTGGAAAACTCGCTCTGTCCTTGTATATCTGATTGGTTCTTTTGATATTTGGAACTTCCATTCAGAAACAAGTTTGATTTTTTAAAAAAGAAATCGCAAAAAGAAACAAAAGTGCAAGCTTTTTTTGGTGCGTTTTTCATAAGTTTTGTTGATTGCTGTTCGTCTACGAGATTTATAGCTTGAAAGAAAACAAAAACTTGAGATTTCAGACTTTGTTCGAAAAAGAAACTCAAAAGAAACTCGAGATTTTGAAGACTTAGGTCCTACTTATTGATCATGCTTATTCGTCCTTGGATTTCTCGTGTGCAGCCCTCTTTGAAAAGCAGCGTTCGCTCCATTCACTCTATTTCCTCGGCGAGACCTTTTTCTAGAGCTTTGTCTTGGAAAGCATGTCGCTCTCAAACGAAAAACTCATTTACCAAGGTTTTGGCCTGCAACTCCTTTTCCACCAGTACTCCCGGCAGATCTTCTCCTGTTAGTGCTTTTTACGTTCCTTCCTTCAACTTGTTTGGAAAAGGTAGTCTTGTCGAGGGTGCGAATCAAATCAAATTGAGCGGCTACAAGAAAATTCTTATTGTAACTGACCCTGGTATCATTAAAATTGGTCTTTGCGATAGAGTCAAAACACTGTTGGAAGAACGTGGATCTACTGTCCACATTTACAATGGTGTGCAACCCAACCCAACAGTAACCAATGTTACGGATGGATTAAAGCTCATTAAGGAATTCGGCTGTGATTCTATTGTTTCTATCGGTGGCGGTTCCGCTCACGACTGTGCCAAAGGAATTGCTTTGCTTGCTACAAACGGCGGTAAAATTGCAGACTATGAAGGCGTTGATAAATCATTGAAGCCTCAATTACCCTTGGTTTCCATCAACACCACGGCCGGAACCGCTAGTGAAATGACTCGCTTTGCTATTATCACCGAAGAAACTCGACACATAAAAATGGCAATCATTGACAAGCATACAATGCCTATTCTCTCCATCAATGATCCTGAAACCATGTACGGACTTCCCCCTGCTTTAACCGCCGCTACCGGCATGGATGCTTTGACCCACGCTGTTGAGGCATATGTCTCAACTGCTGCAAACCCAATTACCGATGCTTGTGCCCTCAAGTGTGTAGAACTCGTTGGCCAGTATCTTAAGCGCGCCGTCGACAATGGCAGAGACGAAAAAGCTCGTAAACAGATGGCTTATGCACAATTCTTAGGTGGTATGGCTTTTAACAATGCTTCTTTGGGTTATGTTCACGCCATGGCTCATCAACTGGGTGGATTCTATAATATTCCCCACGGTATCTGCAATGCCGTTTTGCTTCCCCACGTTCAGTTGTTTAACTCCAAGGATGCCCGAGCCGCTTCTCGTTTGGGTGATGTTGCACTTCAACTCGGCTGCAAAGAACATACAGCCCAAGCTGCTATCAAGAAGATTCGGGATTTGAATGAGCAATTGGGCATCAAGCCCTATCTCAAGTCTTTGGGCGTCTTTGAAAAAGACTTTGAATTACTTTCTAAAAATGCTATGAATGATGCTTGTGGTGCTACTAACCCCATTCAACCTACTCTGGATGAAGTCAAGTCCATCTTTGCTGCTGCCTACTAGACAAAACCTCCTTTCATTTTTAGACCCAGGATTTTCCTTTTTCTCTCATTCATTCGCCGTTTGCGTTGTTTTTAAGGCATCCAACTCTCTCTTGCTCTTTTTATCCTCTCTCTTTGTAGATATGTCAAACCAGTTGTCCCTTTAATTTTTTCAACCTTACAGTGTATATACTGTTTTTCAATATTTCCCACAATTAGCGATAATACTTTTATTCCACTTTATCTACTCATTGTTTTTATTCCTGTGCATTCTCTAGTATTCGATCGTTTTTTCTTTTGAGAAATTGCCAATTTCTAGCAACATCCAAAACTAAGCAATCTAATTTTATTTTATTTTTTTGTTAAGAAAAAATTAAACATGTAAACAAGTAAATAAACACATCAAAGTATTCGCCAAAGTAATATTTGCCAAGAGCTGCTGAATAAGCAACTGCTGAATAAGCAACTTAACAAAGCTGTCATCTCATCTAGTTATAAGACAACCGCGTTCCAGAATACCCTTATTATAGCTCTCCACTGTAATTTTACAAATCAGTAGTTTGCTTTAAATAGAAAAATGGGTTTAAAAATTTTGCTTGTTAACGGTGCTCACCCTTTTGGCCACAGCCAAGGTAAATTGAACGAAACTTTACAAAATGTGGCCAAGGAGACTTTGACGGATTTAGGACATACTGTTCATGAGACAGTTGTTACAAACGGCTATGTTATTGAAGAGGAGATTGAAAAAATTGTTTCCTCAGACGTCGTCATCTATCAATTCCCAGGCTGGTGGATGGGTCTTCCCTGGCCATTGAAGAAATACATTGACGAAGTATTTACTATAGGATACGGAAAGTTATTCGCAAGCGACGGCCGTTCTCATACCAATCCAACTAAGAACTATGGTAAAGGTGGTCTTTTGCATGGTAAATCTTACATGCTTTCCACAACCTGGAATGCTCCCTGTGAGGCTTTCAACGAATTCGGAAACTTCTTTGATGGCCGTGGTATCGACAATGTTTTGTTCCCTGTTCATAAGGCTCACGAGTTTTTGGCAATGACTGCATTGCCTTCATTCATGGCAAACGATGTCCTTAAAAACCCTCAGGTGGATACTGATATCTCTGCTTACAAGCTCCATTTACAAAAAGTTTTGCCCGGCAAGTAGACAGAATGATTGAGGTATACATCTTCAAATGGTTATCGTTACTGGGGTATATAGAAATGGTCCTTCTTTTTTTGGTTTTCTAGACAGTCTTTATCAAGTCAATTCTGTTGTCTATAACCGGTTAACAAAAAGCAAAGAATATAAAAGGCACCCAATAAAATTAATTCTTAATGTGACATGCATATGCATATGCCGAATTCTCACTTCTTAGGTTTTTGCATGAGTTAGATATTCTTGGCTAAAAGGATAGTCGATGTAGCCTACTGGGCTTTTGGGCGTGTAGAAATAAGAGCGCTTGTAAGGATTTAGAGGTAAATTATGTTCAACACGATATACCAAATCCGGGTTTGCAAGATACTGTCTGCCAAAGGCTACTAATGTATCTCGCTCGTTTGCAGCTTCCACAGCCGCCTGGGGTGTATATCCACCGGCGGTAATGAACGGTCCTTTCCAATATTGTTGTAGGTAGTATGTATTTACTTCGGACTTTATCCTCATATGACCACTCCAATATTGTCGCGGTTCAATTGCATGAATATAGGCTAACTTTGGAAACCGCTTAGAAATCTCCTTTAGCAAATATGTATGGGTTTCTTTGCTGTCGATTTGCTCTGCCCAAGCCGAATACGGTGCAATCCTGTATCCAACTCTTTCTTGTCCAATTTCTTGAGTAACTGCCTCTAAAACTTCCAGGGCAAACCGACAACGATTCTCAAGCGATCCTCGATACTCTGGATCACATTCATTACCAAAACCACCTAGAACGAATCGGTCCAACAAAAACCCATTGGCTTGATGAAGTTCCACCCCGTCTGCCTTTGCGACGTTCGTAGCCAAAAAAGCTGCATTTACGAAGTCATCAATATACTCTTGTATATCTTTTTTGCTGACGTACTTTTTCTGGTAAATGTTTATTCCTTGAACGGTATCGAAGGACTCGACACCGGCAGGTAAGCCAAGTGGATCCATAGGGCAATCGTTGTATGCAATCTCCTTTAATTTTTTTACGTCTTCTCTATATTCATTCTTAATTTCCCCGGGTAAGGGCCATAGCTGCATAAACAGATAAGATTTGTTTCGATGGATAGCGCGTGTAACTGGAGTCCAAGCCCTCGCATGTTCTTCTGTGAAGCATCTTGGGTTATTTGGGTACCCGCCAGATTTTTCTCCTACAAATGTTGCGTCTGAAATTATCAGTGATCCTGGAATACATGACCTTTGAGCATAATATTCGGTCATCAATTCGGTAACGAACCCATCGTCAGTCGCTCTCAATCTAGTCATCGGAGCATGTACAATTCTGTGCCTTAAAATCATGTTCCCCACCTGGATTGCTTCGAACAATTTGCTTTTCGACATTTTACTATAAACCAACAAGACTTTGAACTCCGCCAAATCCGCTGTAAACTTATGTTTAGACGATGGTAGAATGATTACTGTAGATATTCATATCAAAAGTACTTATGGCGAAACTTGACTAATATATGTGGCGGCTGCATACCGTATAAAACTAGTGTTCAATGGAGAATTCGTCGTTCGTCGATTTGAATCCTATTGCAAAAGAATTTTCATCTAAAGTTTTCTAATCTTCCTATCGCATTGTCTTTTTTGAAATACCAAGTGTTAGAAATCCAATTGAAAATCACAGTCTTTGATGAGCATACAAGAAGACATTATAGAGATTGAGAAAGGGCCATAAGACAATCATTTCTTTTTCTACGAGTTCTATGAAGAAATAAACCTCTGTAGTAAATTTTGAATTCACAATTCACTAAAGTTGCTTTCCTATAATTCTTTACGACAGTAAAAATAAATAAATAGCTAGGTAGTGACGTTTTCATTACATGATATTTTCTTAGATGTTAACCATACAAGTATATTTATTTATTTATTTCTTTTGTTTTTTTTGCTTGTAAAAGACCAAGTTAATTCAATAGAAGCTTTTTCATTTTATTTTCCTTATTCATTTTTATAGTAAAAAATATAATTTTTCCTCCCTCTCTTGTTAGAACTCAAGACTGGTTTTTGAAAACAATTTCATTATCATGAAAAATGAGTAGAAGTAAAAAAACAAAACGACAAAGATTTTCACTGCAACCATAAACGTCAAAAACAATATACTATAAACATTCAATGTCAATTGAAAACTGACTTTTCATCTTTGTATTCTGAACCTTGTATGTTAATGCTTGAAGAAAAGCTTCTAAATCAAAATACCGTTCACGGTCAATTGAAAATAGACATATAGGAACTGAATCAGCTAGTTAACTCATCTTTCCAAGACTGCTACTGAAAGCAATTACTGAGCGTGTTTCAAAAATTTTTACTTTTTTCGGTCAGTTCTATAATCCTCCCTTCTACCGATTACCCTTTATTACAAGATGAGAGAGGAAGAGTCTTGCTTTCATACATTACGAAAATTCAAAACACTCTACATTCTTTGCCCAACCAAGGTTAATAGCTTAGTGAAATAGAATTCGTATTATCCAAAATCGTTAACAAATAATATATATGTAGTTACGGACAAGAGACGAGCATATCATGTATTTCCTGCCTCGTAACGAGCAATTACTTTTTATAAATAGCGAAAACAAAGCTCGATCGTAGACAATTTCATAAAACGCTTAAAAATTTCCGACTTACTCAACGGCTTGAAGCTTGAATTCCTTGCCTACCTGTTTCAAACGGTATTCACGGAACTCACAATTGTTGAAAGTCATTTCTGGAGGTAAAAAGTTAACGTCAACACCTGGAGACATTTTATCTAATAAAAAGCGAATAAAAGCGCTATGGGTCACAACAGCAATCTTTTTGTGGGGAAGAGTAGACAAGTATTCCAAAGCAGATTTGGATCTGACGATGCTGATCTCGATATCTTCAGAGTAGATATCTCTCTTTTCTGGATAAATTCCATCAGAACAGGCCTTCAGATCATACTGAGGGTACGTGCGAGAGAGTTCTAGGACCTCCAAGCCGATATCACAAGGTAAACTGCCCACCTCTTCAAACAAAGGGTTGATATAAACAGGGATTTCTTCTGCGTTTTGATTTTTGAGATAATCCTTTAAACCAAGTTCCATAGTTTGCAGGGTACGGCGCATTGGAGAACAAACGATGGCATCAATTGGAACGTTTTGGTCAGCGAGCTGCTTGGATAGCCTTTTCGATTGTTCTATTCCCAAGTCTGTTAAAACAGGATCACGAATTGAATGATCTTCATTGGGACCTACATTATGAAGTGCTTGTCCATGGCGGATTAAATAAACAGTCTGTTCTCGTGTTGACTGTGCGTTTGAGGTAGACATGTTCAATGAGGTATTATGAAGAGTGGAAAGTTCAAAGCAGTCTGAGTATGTGAATTAACCACCTCACCACTTACCAAACTACTTCATTCCTGAACCGAATTCGCTAAACCACTGTAAAAAAAAAAAAAAAAAAAAAAAAAAAAAAATTATCATATTTTCGAACTTTGCTAATGTAATGGTGACACAAGTCAGAGTGGTATGAAAGAAAACTCACTAAGAACACCCAAGGATAGGAAAGCAAAAAGAAGACAGTGAGATGTAGAGTATTAAGAGGATCCTGTGACCTACAATTTGAACTTTCAAGATATAAAGCTAGTGTGTTTAGCAAATGAACGATTGACATTGAACACAAGTCGAAACATGTATTCTAGTGAATCATTTTCTTCATAATTCGTTACGAGTAAAGGATTATTTGTATTTGTTTAGTTTTTTTTTATTGAAAAGGGAACATGTTTAAGAGAATCAGAGAATTAGAAAAAGAAAGGTACTCCAGGAAAGAGATGAAAACGCATATATATTCCATATTCAAAACATAAGCACTATCCAAGACAAGTTGCATGCATAATAATTAATTATAGTGTTATTAAATAGTAGTTTGGAGAGGTACTCTTAGAACCCGCGTCGCACATCTGTGATAAACATAAAACCAGGTTTATGAGAATAAACCGGTTCTGGCAATTTAGACATCATCACAACATTTTGGGGTGTAACTCCACACCCCCAAAAGACAGGAACTTCATCTTCTTCAAATAGAACTGGAAACCCATAGTCAGGTTGCATGACATTTTTGATGCCAAGTTGTTTTGCACCATCCCAGCCCCAAGCAATTGGCTCACCATGGCAGTCGGTATATGCGGCAGTAATACGACGTACTAGGGGAATATCTTTTTCCTTATAGGGACGCATAGAAACAACAAAGGTACCAGAAAATACTCCAGATGGACAAAGAAGAAGATTTGTATTGAACATAGGAGGAGGATTTCCGCTAGGAAGATGACGAGGGACTAAATTAGCAGCGACAAGAGCCGCTTCAAAGGAAAATGAACAGCCTATTAAAAACCCCACATACGAGCTACTCCATTGATTTGAGATGGTTGTCAGTTCTTTGGTGAACTTGCCGTTGATATATTCACAGTAAAAAGGAATGTTGGTAGCTAAATTAGCATTGGTAGCTAGAGATGACGGAAAAACCTGGGAAGGATCACCAACAGCTGTTTCTCCAAGCAACGGACATGGAACGGGATTTCGAAGACACAAATTACGAAAGTCATCAGCATATTTAACCGGCAAGACTAGTAAATTTGCCTGAACATAACCATCTGCCCAGCCAGTTGTGGACGTTGTGAATTGACGTTTTCGAATCAATTGTCGAATATCATCGGGAGAAAATTTAGAACGACTCTTATAATTGGAAGCGTTTGTTGTGTCGTAACTTTGCTCTTCCTTTGGTATGATATTCAAACCTTTTTGAACTGTAGAGATGTCCAAAACGTTGTTCATATTGTAATTGAAATGATTTTGCTCAAGAGAGACTACTAGGATTCAGAAGAAGCTCGTCTTTACAAGCTGTTTTTCTCGTTTAATATCGTTACAGGAATCAAAACAAGAAGATTCTCTTTTTTAACAATATATTACGATTTCCAAAAAAATTGTCGAGATCCCAATTTATCGCTACTATTTTTCAGACCTTTATAATGCGTTTCTTAGTACACCGTCGCACACTATGCTGTTTAGCTCAAATTGCCTTCCTCCACAAACAAAACCAAAGCAGCCTTGCTTTAGAGAATATGCTCTTTTTCTGTTTTTATTCTTCCTTTAAAATGAGAGATTTCTTCCATGACGGAGCTTGTTATAACAAAGATCAATTTAAATCTGACTATCGTTGTTACTTTCGAAGTAACTGATAGTTGCTCACCACTTGTCAGATATGGAGCTCCTTATCGATGAAATATAGAGCAGTGGAAAACGCGTCAGGTAGCTTGGTATCTGGTGTGAGCCATCGTATTCTATGAGGAGCTCATGATGATTCATAATGAAAAGTTGGAGCATCTTGGAGATGCGACTAATGTTATAAACGTCTAAAGGAAACTTTGGTTCAATTCATAAAAATTGAAGTTTTGTTTTATTAAAGAAAGTAGGCTTTGAACCTTCTTAAGGAAATCTAAATTGTTTTTTCCTCGTTTTACAAATATCTTGCTTGGTTCGTGTACCTTGGAAACTGTAATAAATTGAACTTGACTGATCGATTGTTTGACTCAAAAAAGGAAAAGTAATTGTTTAAAAACTGTGCTTGGAAAAAAAAAAATGACAGATCCTGAGTCTGTAATGTCTTCTTACCCAAAGTCCATAACAACATCGACTCAAGATGATATGGATAGTATGGAGAAAAAGCAGAATGTACAGCAAAACATCGAAAGCTTTGAGCCTGGAGAGGTAGAAAATTTTATTGACAAGAATATCGAAAAGGGTGCACTAAAAAAAATGGACCTTGTTATTTCACCCATCATTGGTTTTTTGTATTTAATGGCCTTTCTGGACCGCTCCAACATTGGTAATGCCTCTGTCGCTGGTATGAGCGAATCTTTAAAACTATATAATGAACGGCTAAATGTTGCCATCAGTATCTTTTATGTCCTGTATATTCTTGTTGAAACACCCAGCGTCATTTTAGTAAAGCATGTGCGGCCTTCTCGAATGCTGGCCTTCATTTCCTTAGCATGGAGTGTTGTGGTCCTATGCTCTGGCTTTGTTTCTAGTTATGGTGGTCTCATTGTCACCCGTCTTATTCTCGGTATGTTGGAGGGCTGCTTGTTTCCTGCCCTAAATCTTTACTTGACTACTATCTATACGAGAGAAGAACAGTGCCAACGTCTGTCGTATTTGTTTTGCGCATCTGGTTTAGCTGGTGCCTTTGGTGGCCTCTTTGCTTATGCTCTCGAACAGGTCCGTGCTGGAAACAAAGCTGGATGGCAGTGGATTTACATTGTAGAAGGATTAATTTCTTTTATAGGAGTTCCGCTTTCTCTATTTTTACTACCTGACAATATAGAGAAATCCTGGTTCCTGAACAAGCAAGAAAGACGAGTTGCCCGTCTTCGTAACGAAGCAAATTTAAGATATCTCGGTGAACAAGAATTTGAATGGAAAGAAATTCATAAAGCGTTTAAAGATCCCAAGGTTTATGTTTCTGCTGTTAGTCAGTTTTGCGCAGATATGGTTTTATATGGCTTTTCCTCCTTCTTACCAACCATTGTAAAAGGTTTGGGGTACACGGGTCTTCAGTCAAATTACATGACAATCCCTGTTTATATTGCAGGTGTTCTTGCTTTCCTTGTCGCTGCTTATGCATCTGATCGTACAAAACTTCGTTCACCCTTTTTAATCAGTGCTTCCCTTATATTAGCGATCGGCTACATTATTCTCATAGCAAGTAATTCAAACGCGGCAAAATTCACAGCTTGTTTTATCGTAGCCATCGGTTGCTATATCGGTCCAGGAATGAATTTGGGTTGGCTCAATAACAACGTCGCTGGACATTACAAACGAGCGACTGCTATAGGAATTCAACAAACCATAGCTAATAGCTCCGGTATCGTTGCTGGTCAAATTTATCGATCCACGAGTGCTCCTAGATATATCCTGGGTCATTCTTTTACACTCGGTTGCGTTGTGGTCGGCTTAATCAGCTACATTGTTTTATTTTTTTCCTTAAGACATTCTAATAGAAAGCGTGATGAACGCTGCGCCCGTGGTGAATTTGATCCCACTTTGACCGGTGATTATGCCGATGACTTCCGTTACTTTTTATAAACTATGGCTGTCCATTTTTCATGCACATATCCCTGTTTGTTGTTACGAGTCGTTTCTGTTTACTTTATCTTATTCCTGTGTCATGACTTCAAGGTTCATTCTTGGCCTTTTTCCCTTTTGTACATTAAATTAATCATATATCAATGTCATCTAATAACGAATATAGTTTTTCTTTTACGCAGAAATGTGTTTTCCGATAATTTATTGAATTAAGTCTATAATTATGCGAGTAGAGTCAGTCATTTCAAATACAATTACAATGGTAACAAATTAGTCGGGGAGGATAAAATAATAAAACGAAGAAATAAACAAGTAGTATACAAAAATCGAAAAAGGATGCCCTTACGACACATGAAACGTTTCTGAGAGTAATGCACCAGCTCCCCATCCTCCTTCGACATCTAAAATCTTCACGAGGAGTGCAGCTAGTTTCATGATATCATGAAATGTATCCAGAGGTACCTGGCGACCGCTAAAGCGCAGAGCTATTTCATTGCGCAAGAAGGCTGTATTTGTATGATTACGAAGACATTCGGTTCGACAGTCTTTCAATAGGTACAGGCCTTGAAGAAGTAACCGAAAGATAGCAAAGTGAACAATTGGTATATCAAAGTTGGAATTTTGTAAGATAACTAATCCATGATCAAATGTCCAAAGAATACCTTCTAACGCGAGATTTGTAGTGTAAAAATCAGGAAAAGAAGAAAAGTGGACACTGTCGTCTTTTAATGATGCCTGAAAAAAGTGAACTGGGGTTTTTAAATCGTAGAAGGACTTTGACAATTTCAACAAGGGATCATGAAGATGTAAGTAGGTTCTTATTAAATTCCATAAACTCGTAAATAGAAATAGAAACTTTTCGTTCTTACTTGAGTACTCCATACTCATGCGTAAGTGTTGAAGCATAACTTCGTAGACTTGTTTGGAAGATTTTGAAGCATCAACAATGCATTCCTTTTTTGCATCGTTACGGATGAGTTCATATATCGCGCAAAGAAGAGCAAGACCTGTGATTCTTGTTTCCTTGAAAACAATGGGTCCATTGGAGAGCTTGCCTAAGCAAGACTGGAAGGAAGGCGGAGTTTGTTTCCACTGTTCTTCTTCTTCCAGGGAAGTAGCAGAGTCCCAAAAGAATTCATCAAACGGAAGGGGCATTTGAAGTTCTTGAAAAGAGAGGGAAGGGTTCCGATTGAAAAAGGCAGCCAGTAGATATTCCAAGATATATGTAGAAAAGACGATACGTTTTCTAGACTCGTACTCTATGAAAGACGATATAGAAGAGACTTTTGGAATGGGAGGAAGAGCGGTCCAACCTTGTGTTCGAAAATCGTGGATCAAATCTCGAAGTAAGGATTGACCAATGCTAGCAAACGAGGAAGTCTTTTCAAAGAGAGAGGAAATACAAAACAAAAAGCGAGTTTGGATGACCCAGAGAGTTGCATTCTTTTCAGCGTCATTTTGGATGTAAATTTGTAGCAGATGAAAGCCACTGTCCCAAAACAAAAGGCCCAAGGTAGCGTCACTTTCAATGCCGGTAGAGTAACAGCCGATCAGACTAATAGAGCGAATAAAAGAAGCAGCGACTCCCTCAATACGAAATGATGGACGGTGTAAAATGGGGAGAATGGGATGAAACCATTCAAAATAACCTTCGACGTAGTGGTCAAGGAAGTCTGAGGGGATGAAGGGCAGAACAGTGAAATACGGCCGTAGATTGGGATGATACGTTTTGGGAAGATCCACTGCATCAAATGAAGGGAGGACGATTTTCATATTTTCGGAATGTTGGTCACTGGTTTTAGTAGGAAGTGCTTCATGCGTAACTTGGGGAGTAGGTTTTGGAAGAACGTCGGAATGGTGTCGTTGTATGTGTCGTTTAAGAAGATCTGTTCGTTTACAAGCTTGATGGCAATATTTACAATAAATATTTTTTGTATCATCATGCGAAAGTTTATGTCGAGTCAGATTTTCAAGGCGAGTGAAACGCTTTCCACACGTTTCGCAAATGAATGGCCGTTTCTGTAAGCCATCTAAGTCTTGGCTGCTTTTTCGCTTGACACCTGCTCCATCATTAGGATCGACGCATTGAGTAGAGGAGGAGGAGGCGGAAGAAGATGAGGGCATTCTACGAAGCCCGAAGCTAGATTACAAAGAGAAAAAGTAAATTCCAAAGTAAGAAGCAAAAGAAGAAGAAACGATAATCGTCTCAATAGCGTACAAAAGGAAACCTAGAAACAACCAAAAAAGCTAATAGTCCAGACATATACGACAAAAATCAAGATGGCAATGCCGTTTTCGTACAAGATCAAAGATGCTGCTTATTGTATAAATACAAATAATCAAGTAAGAGCATTCCGGAAACAAATAATTTGGACTTTTTTTAAACTTTGTTCGGTTTACATGTAAAGAAATTCAAGATAAGCTAATTGCCAAACTAAAAGCAAACTCATCTTTTGATTCGTAACAGTTTGAAGATTATGTTTGTGCGATCTTCGATACACATCATTGATTTGATACTACAAATCTCGATAAGCAAGATCAAACTGTGGATGGGAAACTCTTCGGGCGTAAGAAAGAATCAGAAAGATAAGTTGTTGAAACCATGAGAATCTTGAACGTCAGGTCAAGTGGGAACACACAGAGAGAGAGAGACCTTGCTACGAAGAGTTCGTTTCTAAAAAGACATCGCCGCGCTTCAAACAAATAGAAGCATAAGCTTGGAATAGAATTCGAACTAGTCTATTGTTTTCTCTTTACTGCTTTTTCTTTTTCAATTCATTTCGTTTCTTTTCTCAATGTCGATGCCAAAGTTCCTACAAATCGGTTCCTCTTTAAGATAATGTCTTTCACAGTCCTTCTCAATAGCATAATTCTAACGAGGTCCAGCCATTCTCATATATGTGAATCTGAACCAAAAGGAAGGTCCACATAGCAAGAGTTGGCTAGGTGAAAAATGGCCTGTAACAAAGGAAAAAGAAGTGTTGAGTAGACACGACATGTGAATGAAATGGAAAACAATAAAAATTTTTGGTTTAATTTTAGTTTCATTTCATTTCATTTTGTCTTGTCTTGTCTTGTCTTGATGCTTCTTGTTCATCACTAAAGAATCCTTTGTTCAGTGTTGATGTTGCAATGGATGGGTTTCCAACCACCAAAAAGATCCGATCTTATCTGTAAACATAAAGAAAAAGAAAACATCATGGTAAATATTTCGACCTCTTGGCCAAAGGTCTATCTGTCTCTCCGAAAAGCCGTCGGATCCCAAAATTGTTCATGACGACGACGATAATGATAACAATGATGAATAAAAAAAAAAAAATAAAAAAAAAAAAAAAAAAAAAAAAAAAAAAAAGACCACTTGACTTGGGAAAAAAAATTTACTTTCTTACGATAACTGCAGTAGTTTGAACGTCACGATCTTTCTTGAGAGGATTGTACGAATTGTACGGTATCTTCCATTTCATTTCTTGTTCTAATTCCTATTCATAAACGACTTTTTCACAGTTGTCTTTTTTTTTTTGGTCAGTTTATTTTCTATGGCTCAAGCTTCCTTTCATATTGATCATGACCTCCGTCAAGAGCTCATGGATCACTTGGTCAATGTTTTGCATCAACGCTGTAAAGAAATTCCTGCATCCCAATTGTATGTTTTAGCCGTCAGTTTTGATCGATTCGCCCAAATTAAATCGACAACATTACATACATATGTACAACAATACCAAGAAAAATTCACTAGGTATCATTCCGCTCTTCCACTAAAGGCTCTATCATACATATACTCTTCAGTTTCTCATAATCCTCCCTATGAATCTGTGCATTCCTCATTAACAGACTCTTTTGGTATAAATCAATCTGTTTCCACTCCTCCGCCTTCTTCTTCTTCTTCTTCCTCTTCCTCTTCTTCGTCTACACCAAATAACCTTGACTTTCAAACCCCCTCCTCTTTTGAACATGCTCAAGCTCAATCCAAATCAGGTCCGTTTGTTTCTCAGCCGCTTTCGAAACTTTCTTCCCCTATTCAAGACTCTTCGAAAGAGTTTGACTTCACGCATCCCTCCCTGCAGGTCCATTCTTCCTCTCTCCCCACGCATTTATCAAATTCATATCCTCGAGATCCTTCTCACGAAATCAACAGCCGCTCTTTTTTTGAAAATGAATTTTCTAATGTCCCTTATACCACCGAAGATAAAGATCATCACCTTTTTTTTCTCAGCGATAACGATCTAACCTTTCCAAATGAGTCCCTTTATTTTCCTCTTCCTTCAATGCAAAACGAAGAAAATTCAGGCGCCTTTTTTCCCACTCCTTAACATTTGTTCCCCATCTTTTGAGAATCTTCTGGTCTATCGGCCCTTACTCTCGATTACTACTACTTCAGTCTCTTGTTTTCTGTTATGTTATCATGTCTTTTCGTTCTCTTGGCGATTTTGTTTGTATATTTACCTCCCAATATCTACCAGTGCTCTTTGTTTATGAATCTTTATTTTTAATACTTAATTTTGCTCTGATGCTCCCATTTGTGTTTTGTTTCCATGTTCTCTTCTAATAATTCGATTTCTCACCATTCCTACTACCTTAGTAATCAAATCAAGCTTTTTACAAATTGCTTATTGTACCTCTGAACATGTATTTCTCTTTCCCGTACACGTGATATCATATTCGTAACTTATGCTAACTTTTGTAACTGTACATTCTAACTTATACTTGTACATATACAAACAAGTCATATCTATTCTATTCTTGTTTCCTTTCTTCTCCAGCCAGCTTAACTAATTTGTGTGCTGTATAAAGTGTCGTTGAGATAGACTTCCGTTCGCCCGAAAGGCAAAACTATCCACATCTTTTTTTGATTCCACATTTTCAATCCTTTCGTTCACTGGTCCGTATCCTCCACCGCCAGGTGTATGGATTTCAATGTGATCACCGGCACCTATGTGACATGTGTTCCTTCCGCCCAAGTTGATTCTTCGTATCTTGCAATTGCCTTCTTCATCTGTCGAACGTTTAACCCAAATATTCTTTCCACATTTGGCATCTTCACCTCCTTTCATACCGTAAGGATGATATGCTCGACGCTCAGATAAGATTGACAATGTAACTGGAATGCGGAATTCGATGTCTCGGATGACACCATCACCTCCTCTGTATTTTCCTTTACCTCCAGAATCTTTGCGGATGCTGAATTCTTTAAGGATGACAGGATACCGACGCTCAAAGACTTCTAAATCAGTGATTCTGGTATTGGTCATATGAGTATGAACACCAGAAGTACCATCCATCCCGTCACATGCACCAGATCCACCGCATATAGTTTCATAGTATCCAAATCCAGGAATAATTTCCCCTGTCTCATGGTTCCTACCACCAATACCGAATGTCAAATTATTTGTATCTCCTTGGCTAGCGGCGCAAGCTTGGAAAGCCTTTAAAATTGTATCCGTAATTCTCTGAGAGGTAAGAACGTTACCGCCAACCACAGCTGCCGATTCAGAAGGCTTAAGGAAACAATTGTCAGGAATCCGCACTTTGATTGGTAACAAGCAACCTTGGTTTAGAGGAATATTTTCGGATACTAGTACTCGTAAACAATAAATGATAGCACTGTAAGTAACTGCTTCAGGAGCATTCGTATTACCATAGACTTCTTCAGTCGTGCCATCAAAGTCAAAGATAGCATCTCCCGTTTTATCATCTATTGTGATTCGCAAAGAAATTCGAGAACCGTCATCCATAAAATCTTCAGCAACGAGGTCCTGTCCGAATGTTTTCCGTACTCCAATTAAAAGCTTACGTACAGAAATTTCTGCATTATTCTGGATTGCCTTCATGTAACGTAAGACAGAATTCTTACCATATTCTTTAATGAGATTAGTGATGAGATTAATTCCTTTCTGATTCGAAGCAACTTGGGCTTTCAAATCATTCAAATTATCACGTAGACAACGTGTGCCAGAACCACCTTCCACTTTTCCAGGATCATGATAAAGTAAATCAATCATTTTTTCTTCTTGAAAAACACCATTGATAACCAACTTCTCACTCTTTATACTGGCCCCTTCTTCTGATAGTTCCTTACTAGTTGAAGGCATACTACCAGGCAATATACCGCCAATGTCGGCATGATGGGCCCGAGAAGCGACATAGAAGATAATCTCACCATCTTCGAAATAAGGAGTTATAGTAGTTATATCTGGCAAATGAGTTCCACCAAAGCTGGGATGATTAGTGACCAAGACATCACCAGGATTTAATGATCCTTTGTTTATCATTGCTTGTTTACGAACGCAAGTGGACATAGATCCTAGATGGACTGGCATATGTGGGGCGTTTGCAACCAAATCTCCGTTAGCGTCGAACAAAGCACAAGAATAATCAAGCCGTTCTTTCACGTTAGTTGAAACACTTGTTTTTTGAAGAGCACGACCCATTTGTTCAGCAACAGCCATGAAGCGAGAGCCTAAAACGGAAAGATACACAGGGTCAATGTCTTCCGTTTTAGCAAGTGAATCGTCGGAGATAGATCCCTTCGATACAATATCTATCACCACATGAGAATTAAGAATGCGAGCAATGGATCCAGGAGGAATCACAATAGTCTGCGTCTTGTCTACGATGATTGAGGGTCCTGCAATCTTAACACCGCTTGACAAGTTCTCCAATAAGAAAATGGGGCAATCCATACGTTTTCCATCGAAGAATACCTTTTTAATTCCAGACGATACAGATCCTTCAACTTCTACGAATTTCATATCCTTTAACTGGGCATCAACACTGGGTTCTTTATGATCGAAGCTTTTACCAGAAGCGCGAACGCGAATATCATCAATGATTATATCTTTATCAAAAAGAAATCCAAACTCTTGTTGATGTCTTTCTAGAAAAGCTTCTTTAAAGTCCCAAGAATTGTTTGGCTTGCTAATCATTAATGGGCTATCTGTTCCTTGGTAACGAAGATTTAAGAAAAGTTCATAGGATATATTTTCATTGGCAAATCCTTGTTCATTCAAACTTTTTTGTGCACTTCCCATAATTCTTCTAAACCGTTCTTCAATTTCAGGGATTATTTCAGAAGTAAGAGAAAAAGAAGCTGGTTCTTGAGCCTCCGAAACAACATCTGCCAAAGCCATTCCGTATGCTGAGAGAATAGAACTGTACTTATGCACAAGAACTTGAGAAATACCCAAAGATTGAGCGATAGCAACACAATGCTGGCCGCCAGCACCACCAAAAGATGTTAAACGGTGAATTGAAATGTCATGTCCTTTAGCTTCGGTCAATGCACGAATTGGCCGAGCCATTGTTTCGTTAGCAATTTTGATAAATCCATAAGCAACTTCATCAGCACTCATCCTTTGAGATTCTGAGATGCCAGAATTGATTTCTTCAGTTAATTCTTCAAACTTTTTACGAGTGGCTTCAACATCAAGAGGTTGATCCTCGGTAGGTCCAAAAATTTTGGGAAAGTATTCAGGAAGGAGCCTTCCTAAAAGTAGATTGGCATCCGTAACTGTCAAATAGCCACCCTTTCTATAGCAAACAGGACCAGGATGCGCTCCAGCACTCTCAGGACCAACTACGAATAATCCGTTTTTCCAAAACAATCTAGAGCCACCACCAGCAGCAACAGTGTTGATATCTAGTTGAGGAGATTGAATAGTAACGCCAGCCGTAGTAGTTTCAAAGACATGTTCATACGCGCCGCCGTAACGAGATACATCAGTAGAGGTACCACCCATATCAAATCCGATGACTGGAATATTTGTATTTTCATCATATGAAGTAAGAGCAAATCCAACGACACCGCCAGCGGGGCCAGATAATATAGCTCGAAGACCAGAAAATTTATTTACATCGGCTAGGCCACCGTCACTTTGCATAAACTCGCAGCGGACACCTTCTGGGTGGCCTTGGGTTTTGAGCCCGTGTAAGAAGCCTGACTGAAATCCGGACAAGTAACGACGGACGACTGGTGACAGGTAAGCATCTGCAGTTGCAGAAGTAGCTCGAGGAACATATTTGATCATAGGCATTAGTTCTGCAGACAAACTGATATGAGAAAAACCATATTCTTTCGCTAGTTTACCTACGGCAATCTCATGATCTGGATAGGTGAAACTGTGTGCTAAACAAACAGCAATGCTAGTGAATCCTTCATCTCTTAACTTTTGTAAGTCTTTCCGTACTGATTCTTCGTCAAGTTTCTTTAGAATACGGACGGCTTCTCCAGATCGGCCAAGCACCAGACTTGGATTATTACCATCGATTTTTGTTTTGCAACCAGATGGGTCCTCTACGAAATCTTCCAAAGTTACACGTTCATCGATTTCAACCACTTTAGAGTATAAGACATCAGGTCTACGAATAGCCAATTCAAAAATATTAGGGCGGGATTGATTACCAATAACAAGACCATCCTTAAAACCTTTAGTAGTAATAAATGCACATCGTTCTCCTTTACGTTCCAACAACGCATTCGTAGCAACCGTAGTACCGCAGCGAAGATGACTGATGCAACTAGTGTCTAACTTCTCATTCCTTGGAATACGTTTACCATGGTAAATCTCTAAAACACGTCGCACAGCTTCAATAGAAGCATCCTTATAGTTGTTTGGATCTTCAGAAAGTAGTTTGGTAACAATTGGTTCCCGGGAATTATCTGTTACAGTTGCGATTACATCTGTAAACGTACCCCCGCGGTCAATATGGATTTTTAAACTCATTTTAATTCTATTGCAACCAAAATGGCAATCAAAAAATTAACAAGAAAATTATTTTGGATAAATAAACAAACAGTTTTCAAATAGTATGCCTATAGTATAAATTATGCTAGGTATATATAGAAGGTGAAGCATGCAAGATATTGGAGGAGCATCTCCGATGTCCGCTACATGATGTTAGATAACGGAGGAGCCATTTAGGAGCTCCTTAACCGGAGGATTCTCTGCATCAAAAACTTATCTCTAGTTTCACATCGCTTTAGACAAGAGAGTATCAAACAGCTAACAACTATCCATTTCTATTGATGCAGTGTTAAAAAGGTTCAACAGATAATAAGCCTTTGACGTTGAGGAAACCGCATTATTACACCTGTTTTCTTTTCTTGTTTTTCAGATTCTTTGACGATTGTAATATCAAAAATTAAAATAAATTATCAGTGTATTTTAGTATGAAACTCTCTACTTTCAAAAATGCATGAATCACTACTACTTTTATTGTTACTTGGTTGACATATGTAACCTTTTGCGTAACATGTTACTTACATGTAAATAAAAACATTTGAATGCACTTTCGTTTTTATGAGGAAGGTTAGTGGAAGTAGACAGCTATCAACAATCATTTAGCGCTTTAAAAAAGATGATCAAAGAATCTTTATCCCACCTAGAACCCAATATTTCTAAGAATCAGATAAACTTATTATTGCCGTCTTCTAACGTCTTTATGTCCCTAATCTTGGATATAAAGCTTTGAACTGAGACATTTAGTACAATGGTTTCCTTACTTACAGGTCCACCTATTTAGCGATTTTATAGATACTGCATATTCTAATTCACATGAAATGGAAATTCTAACGAGTTCGCAAAACTACAACGCTAACTACCTTGTTTCACGAAAATTGACATTACCAGAGATGATATAAATATCTATTTGAATGAAACATGAATTATAGAACAAAAGCACAAAAAAATTGAACAAACTACTGACCACTTTAACCTAGCGGTTATTCCTTTTTATTATAAATTACAATCTTTTAATAACCCTATAGAAGCAGCGCCCATTAACAACTTAAAAACCAATATTTTAAATCATTTGCTTCAATAAGCTGTTAATGTGTTCATCACGTTTACCAGCGTCACCTCCTTCAATGAAGTGAGTGAACTTACGTTCTCTAAAACCACCCAAAGGAGAGGAGAGCTTAAAAGGCCAAATGAAGTTGGAAGCTTGCTTAAAGTTAGGTCCAACAGTGTAGATTTCATGGATCAAGTCTTCAATAGACAAGATGGAATACTTGCCCAAGTGGGCTTCAATAATGGAGTTGTCGGAAAGAGCAATACGTTGCTTGTTGACCTTACCAAATCCGCGCTTGTAGATCAATTCACGAACAGCCTTACGGTTGGGAACACCATAGGTAACATAAGGTTCAACAACTTGGAGCATTTCCTTGGTGGCCTTGTTAAACTTGATGAAAACACCATTGTTGATTTGCAAAAGACGCAAGAGCTGCATGATCTTACGGGCCTTGGGGGGAATGTTGTTGATACCACGGATACGGACAACGAAGATCAACTTGGGCTCTTCAGCAACGTAGAAGTTGCCCTCGGCACGGGCCTTACGAGCGAGATCTATTTGTTCACGCTCAGCAGCACGGTATTCAGCCTCATATGCTTCAGCACGCTTAGCGATAAGTTCACGCTTCTTTTGAGTAGCCTATTATGGTCAGCATACTGAATCTGTAATTGTGGATATTTAAAAACCGACGTTAATGATAGCTAGATCCTCGAAAGGCACAAATATTGATGAAACACAACTTAAACGGAACAACATCAGGAGAACTTCCACTCCGAAAAAGCCTTCAACCATCTGTTCTAGCTAATTTTGCATATACTTACGTTTTTCTTCTCAGCAGCAGCAGCAACGCGCTGTTCACGAGCTTGCTCCTGAGTCTTGGTCTTCTTACGAAGAGACTCAGGTACAAAAATAGAGGCTACAGAAGGGACGGTCGAGGAGGCAACCATTGTCGGCAAGGTGGAATATGACAGAACTTTGATTTCGTACTACATACAAACCGTGACTGTTTTCGAAAGCCCTACCCTACATAGCGAAAATGGCAGTTATACCTACCTTTAGGAACCCTAACGAGGTACAATATAGACGCGACCTTATTGTTTACATCCACGAGCGTATCTCGGCGCGTTCAATCAGTCAGAAATAGGAATCAAGGCAGACGTTAAATAGCAAAATTTTTTATTGTTGGAAAGCATTTATAATTTAGAAACTAAAAGGGAAGACCATGCGAAAGAGAAATGCAGCAGTAAAACCGGCCTCAAAATTTGCTGAACTTCGTGCCTTACGTGAAGCTGGAAAAACTAGAGCGACCGTTTATGAGGATAAAGAAGAGGATGATTTATATGATAAAGTTTCGGAAGAAGAATACCTGAAGGTTGTTCGACAGCGTTTGGATCAAGATGACTTTGTGGTAGACGATAACGGCGCTGGTTATGTTGACAATGGTTACGATGAATGGGACCGAGGTTATAGTGATGATGAGGAAACTGAAGAAACAGGGTCAAAGAAACCAAGAAAAAAAAGTAAGTTACCGTGTATCGGAATCCAGTGCTTATATAGCATGGACAATTTTTTTCCTCTATATTAATCCAATTCACGAATTGAGTGTACTAACGTATGATAAGAAACTAAGCATGCTTTAGCAGACAACAATAGTCAGCCTATAAGTTCATTCTTTAAAGCCAAGCCTATTCAGCCAAGTAGTCATAGTTCAAAGCATGAATCTAATAACGATGATGATTTCATGGCTCAAATTTTGGGCTCGGTCGACCAGGAAATAAGTAGCGCTCCGTCTACTAAAAGTAAACTTTCAAAGGGTAAAGCCGAGGCTCCTATGGCCGACGCAAAAAAACCGTCTACAAACCTTTTTTCAAACCCGAATATTATACAAACGCCTTCAACATCTATAACCGAAAATGATTCTGTTCCTTCTTTACCAACTCAACGACCTCAAGCTCCAGAAGCAGATGCGGAAGTACCGAGTTCTCCAGTTCTAGCTGATGATAAAGAAAACTTTAGTGACGATGTCGAAATGGAACCAGTGCTTCCTGAAAAGCCAGAAGATTCGAATCAAATGGAAGAAGAGGACCTTTCAGTCCCAGATGAAATTACAGCTACTACCCCCTATAATCCAATTAAGGAACCAGTCCTTCCAGCTGTTCCTAATCTTCCATCTTCTTTTGCACCGCCCTTGTCATCCGAGTTGGACACCTCAGCTTTTACAGAGCTTAACTCCCAATTACGCAATCTCGAAGTTCCCAATCCTCCGGCTGTCAACAAAAGCCATCGTGTTTCTCCTAATGATATCGTTGAAGATGATGGATCTTTAAACTTTTTCTGGTTGGACTATACAGAAGTTTTTGGTAGTCTCTGTCTTTTTGGAAAGGTTTATGATAAGAAGTCCCAAAGCTTCGTTTCTACATTCCTTAAAATTGACGGTATAATGCGTTCTTTGTTCTTTTTACCTACTGCTTCAAATGATCAATCTTCGTCTTCTTCAGACCAACAGAAAAAAGTATATGATGAAGTTGCTGGATTTCTATCTAAATTAGGTGTGAAGGAATGGAAATCGAAAGTTAGCAAATACAAATATGCATTTGAGTTAGATGATGTCCCAAAGGAAGCCGATTATTTGGAAGTCCTATATTCCTATAGTTACCCTCAATTTCCATCTGATTTAAAAGGCGCTACATTTTCTCACGTGTTTGGTACGAATACATCGCTGTTCGAACAATTCGTACTCACTAGAAGAGTCATGGGGCCTTGTTGGCTAAACATTCAAAACCCAAACTCTGATTCTGTACGGAATGCAAGCTGGTGTCGTGTTGAAGTCAGCTGTCCTTCTGCTCATGGTATCTCAGTGACAAACGAGTCAAAACTACCTCAGACGCCTCCTTTGACTGTGATGAGTCTCGCTTTCCGCACTCTTATAAATTCCGCGTCAAACAAACAAGAGATGGTTATGATTAGTGCTAGAGTTTATGAAAATGTTCAGATTGATCGGGGACTTTCAGCTAACGATATGCCATCTTTTACATTTACCATTATTCGACCTTTAAAACAAATTTTTCCTAATGGTTTCGAAAGTCTCGCTCGTAACCACAAACCCCCAATCTATTGCGAAAGATCCGAGATCTCTTTATTGAATTCATTCTTGAGTAAGGTACAGGATTTTGATCCGGATGTTTATGTTAGTCATGACTTTGAAACTATGTATTCAGTGCTACTCTCAAGGTTGAAAGACCGTAAGATTCATAACTGGCATAGCATCGGGCGTCTTCGTCGAGGCGATTGGCCGCGCTCTTATAACAGGAGTAGTCTACAATTTGTGGAAAGGCAGATAGCATGTGGAAGATTAATCAGTGATCTTTCAAATGACTTTGGAAGATCTATGATAAAAGTCCAATCTTGGAGCTTGTCCGAAATTGTTCAAAAAGAACTTAACATAAGAAGACAGGATATCAATCAAGAAAAGGCTTTGCAGTCTTGGACCGATACGGCTCGTGGATTGCTCGATTATGTTACGCATTGTGAAATTGATACTTATTTTATCGCTGCTGTTGGTTTCCAGGTACAGATGTTGCAACTGTCAAAGAACCTGACTAATATCGCCGGTAACTCGTGGGCTAGGACATTAGCCGGTACTAGAGCTGAAAGAAACGAATTCATTCTTTTGCATGAATTTAAGAAAAATGGTTATATTGTTCCGGATAAACAGTATAATACCAAACGGAACGTTGATATCCTTGATTTGGAAGATTCGGAATTTCAAGAAGAAACGCCTGGAAAGAAAAAAGATAAGTACAAAGGTGGTTTGGTTTTTGAACCTCAGAAAGGATTATATGATACTTGTATATTAGTTATGGATTTTAATAGTTTGTACCCTAGTATTATTCAGGAGTACAATATTTGCTTTACTACTGTCCAACGTTCTTCTTCTACTAAAGATGGCGAAGACCATATCCCTAATGTTCCTACTGCTTCAAGCGAGCAGGGAATTTTTCCTCGTCTAATCGCTAACTTGGTTGATCGTCGTAGACTAATAAAAGGCCTGTTAAAAGACAAATCGGCTACACCAACTCAATTACTACAATGGGATATTCAGCAGCAAGCTCTTAAGCTGACCGCGAATTCAATGTATGGGTGTTTAGGTTACACCAAATCTCGTTTTTATGCCCGGCCTCTAGCTGTTTTAATTACTTATAAAGGTAGAGAAGCTTTAATGAATACTAGAGAACTTGCTGACGCTATGGGATTACAAGTTATTTACGGTGATACAGATTCCGTAATGCTTAATACAAACGTTACTGATAAGCAGCAAGCTCTTGTAATTGGCAATGAGTTTAAAGAAAAGGTGAATGAAAGGTACAGGAAATTAGAGATCGACATTGACAATGTCTATCAACGTATGTTACTACATGCAAAGAAAAAATATGCAGCTTTGCAAGTGGACGATCAAGGAAATTCTGTGTTAGACGTAAAGGGTCTTGATATGAAGCGTCGAGAATACTGTATACTCGCGAAAGAAGCTAGCAAATACTGCTTAGACCAGATTTTATCTGGTGAGCGTTCAGAGACAGTTGTCAGTAATATACACAATTACCTTTCTGAATTTGCTGATCAAATGAAAAATGGGAAATTTACGGCAAATAAATTTATTATCTTTAACCGTCTCGGTAAAAATCCCGAGGATTATCCAAATGGCAAAACGATGCCATTCGTGCAGGTAGCTTTGAAGAAAAAAGCAAAAGGAGAAAATGTACGTGTTGGTGATGTGATTCCTTTTATCATTACAGGCTCGGACTCGGAGGGCCATCCTGCCGACCGTGCTTACGGTCCGCAGGATGTTATGAATTCAAATAACAATCTGACTGTTGATTATAATTATTATCTAACACATCAAATTCTCCCTCCAGTCGAGAGAGTTATAGCTCCGATAGAAGGTACCAATCGTGCTCGTTTAGCAGAATGTTTAGGATTGGATCCTAAAAAGTACTACACTTATGAAGCATCGGAGTCATCCGCTTTCGAAAGATACGAAAGCACTTTGTCGGATGATCAAAGATTTACGAATGTTTCACCTATGGTTCTAAGATGTCCCAGTTGTTTTGCAGTCTCGTTTACAATGCCTAGTGTTAAATCAATCCAAGAAACATTATATGTCAATACAGTTGAATGCGACTGCGGTTTTGAGTACCCTACATTTACAATCGTTTTACAATTTACTTCTCAAATTCGGTATTTTATAAATCTGTATTATGAGGGTGTTTTAGTGTGTGACGACTCTTCGTGTGGGAATCGAACTAGACAAATGAATGTTTACGGGAAACGGTGTTGCAATGGCAATTGTCGGGGAAGTATGGCTTTCGAATACAATGATAAGATGCTTTACAATCAGATTAAATTCATATTGAAAGCTGTACAAAATACGAATGGCGCAACACGCAACGGTATTCTGCGATGCAATGCTCTGAGCAACGGTTTGTCTAAATTTATGAACAATAATGCTCGTGAATTTGTGGATATGGCAAGTATTTTTAATGCTTAAACCAGTAATGAAGCTTCATAATGTTTTTGTTCTACTATCATCGTTTATTTTCTATTACCCTCGTTTCAGTCCATATGGTGTCTTTTTTTAATTTACATTAATTATAGAATATAGCAGAGAAATAAACATATGTTATGAATTTATCTATATGTATAAAACTCCAGATTGTTATTTTATTATTGGTAGATTTACATAACAGTGATCTTACTTAACCCGAATTAAGCGAATTCGCTTATATACGCTTTAATTTTGTATTATGTCTACCCTACCCTAGTGTTTTGTGACTGTCCGCAAGTATACTTGTCGAGGAAAAGCACTCAAACAAACTTGCGGAGTGCCTAACAGATCTTGGAACGGCAACAACAGAAAAATGGCTACTAACGTTGGGCCTCAAATTCGCTCTGGTGAGCTCGTGTTTGGTGTTGCACATATCTTTGCTTCTTTCAATGATACCTTCGTCCATATCACTGATTTGACCGGTAAGGAAACTATTACTCGTGTCACTGGTGGTATGAAGGTCAAGACTGACCGTGACGAGTCTTCTCCTTATGCTGCTATGTTAGCTGCCCAAGACGCTGCTGTCAAGTGTAAGGAAGTTGGTATCACCGCTCTTCACATCAAGATCCGTGCTACCGGTGGTACTGCTACTAAGACTCCTGGTCCTGGTGCTCAAGCCGCTTTGCGTGCTTTAGCCCGCGCCGGTATGCGCATTGGTCGTATTGAGGACGTTACTCCCGTCCCTACCGACTCTACTCGCAGAAAGGGTGGTCGCCGTGGTCGCAGACTGTGAGCACTTTCGTCCCTTCTTTGTCATGCTATTTTGTATGGCTGGTTTGGACAGAGTCCTCGACGTCTATTTGGTTTTCTTATGTAGAAACATAAAAACATTATTTGATTCATATATAACAATGTTGTAAAGAGTAAGTAAAGTCTAGAGAGAAAAAAGGTAATTATAACACAACAAAACGAAGTCCCGTTCTGATTTAGTTACTATCATTATCAAAATCATCTACTACAAATTGACCAATTTCATGTACTTCTTGGTCGTAATCAATAGCAGCATTATGGTCATCCAAAATCGTATCTTCTCGGAATTCCTGTATGTGAAGTACGTCCGAAACGGTATTCACCAGTTGATTTAAAGCATTGTTGACTTGAATGGGAAAGTTACCGTCTGACTTACGTTCCAATAGGTTTTCCAGCAAGGACTGCATAAAGTTTTTTTCAGAAAGAGTTGAAGTTTCAATGTCACGCTCATGTAGTGTTTCAATTTGCACACAAAATAAACCTAAATAATTTAATTAGTAGGCTTTTCGGAGTAGCCATACATACCAAGAAATGTAGAGTAGTAGTCTGGTTCCAATTCAGCCAACGTATAAGACTGCAACAGTACCTCCAGAAGTTTTTTCCAATGCGATAATGCTGCGTAATGAGAGACGAAAGCGTATGCAAGGTACGCAAACGAGTATTCAGCTAACGCCGAATCGAGTTCACCATGCCAAGCTGATTGTACAAGACGTCTATACATAAAACTTTTGTCAATGGCTTGTAAAGACCTTTCAGAACCTACAGAAGTCGGAGACCAGCTTTTTTTAACATCAAAGTTCGTGAATTGTAACACAGTTTCTTTCTCTGAGGGCTGAAAAAGTTGCAATTCATTCGGCTTCAGGTCTGTATTAGCATAGGTGGAAGTATCTACTAAAAATATTGGGCCCTCGGTTTGAAATATCCTTTGCAAATCCTTTTTCTGGATAAATTTCACCAAATCATTCCATTTTTCAGCAGAGGTATAATTATAAAACTTGTCGTCGTAGACACAGTCGACTTCTTCAAGTAATGCATTTTCTGACCATGTGTCGTATCTAAGTGTATAAGCGCAGGGTTTTGAGATGTAAAAGAATGCCCCAGAAACTAAACCTACACCATTTGAAGGTGTCCAGGTGATAAGATGAAGTCCAAAAACAAGATTTTTTACTCCATGTAGACGCTTTGAAGGGTAAAAGCATCCGTCAATGCCGATATGATATGTATCTGGCCAATTCACAAATTCAATACTCATGTGCTTAAACCAAGAGAATCTTTCATGTGTCCCACCCTTCCTTGGTGGTGAGAATCAACGAACTAAGTAGTAGTACCTTATGTAGTCATTCAGACTATTTTCACTGCGACTCGCTAAAGTACACAAAAACCATGAGAAAACAACATCAAGGTAAGAGTGAAAAGGAAGCGAAAGAAATTGACAGGTCTGATTTTCTCCTTTCTCTCATTTGAATTGATGAAATGGTAATTGAGGTAATGAATTTTGCATCCTTGAAAACGCCTATCTAACAAAGTCAGAATGCAGCCGCTTTTTCATCAAGCGCTTATTTAAGGAAACGAAAGCAGGCTGAGAAACAGGTTGTTGATGATATCGAAAAAGATGCAAGTCATTATAGAAAGAAAAATATCAACTCTTCTTCTTCGCTAGAAATTGACATCCCAACATCACACTCAGACTCGGGAATTAAGGACCATAAGGGTACTAGTGAGCTCAGAAAGACGAATCCAATTGTTACAGACGAACGATTGAACCAAACTTCAGAAGAAAAACTCGAATGGCTAGAAAAAGTACAGGGAATGCTGGAGTCTCATATGGCATTGAATGCTAATAAAGGCTATAATCCTCTGGAAGCCTCCAGGACTATTCGAAAAATAAATCAGATTAAGGAGACAACTCATACAGTAATAGATATAGCTAGAGATTCTTTCATGAATTCTTCGTCTCTTTTCGATAAGGATCAAATTTACGATTTAGAGTCTGCCTATTGGAACCTGAAAACAAGATATACTGAAGCAGCATCTTCCCTTGCTGAGAAAGATAATCGCCATCAGTCAGAGATACATTCACTCTTGGAAAGTTCGGAAAAAGATAAAGAATTATGTTAGTAGTATAATCAATTTGTGAGAGATTTTCTGACCATTTTTAGTGAACACGCTTAAAGCTGAAATTTCAGAAAAAGACACTGTTAGTGAATCACGACTGAACGCTCTTCGGGGACTGTTAAATGAAAAGGATATTGAATTAGCTAAACTTCAAGGAGAACTTGACAATATAAAGCATCATGAAGAAAAGAACCGAAAAAAATTGGAGCGTGAGTTGCAGCGGCAGATTGTTCATGTACGTGAGCAAATTATAAACATCACTGCAGAGTACAAAAATTCTTTTGAGGAGTTACAGAAAAGTTTCTCTAAAAGGATTTTTGATTTAAAAAAGGCTTACGAGACACAGCTTCAGGAAAAGGTGGTCTACTTTCAGAAGAGGATAGACGAGGGGAAATTACAAGAAAACAATAGCAAAGAATATCATGAATTATTGCTTTCTGAAAAAAACAGGGAATTTGAACGGTATCAACAGAAAATGGAAGCAAAGATATCTACTATGAAAGGAAAGCTTGATGAAATTCAAGTGGAATTGGACCGAGCAAACAGAAAATTATACGAAAGAGAAAAAGAACATACGATGGCTTTAAATAAAATTGATGAGCTCAATACACTTTTGAAAGAAAATCAACAGATGGTAAGCGACAAAGGTCATACTTTTTCCGAATTTGAATATAAGGTATACGAATTAACAAAATCGAATGAATCATTATCTCAAAAATTATTTGCTGAGGAGACTCTTAGGCGGCAATTACACAATACTATACAAGAATTAAAAGGAAATATTCGCGTCTTTTGTAGAATCCGGCCCTTCTTACCTCGTGAACAACAACAGTTGGAAGAACTTGAGTCGATCTTTCATTATCCAGATAGTCATTCTTTAGAACCACGGGAATTATTGCTTAAAGGACCTACTGTGGAGTCCTCTCTCGGTCATGTACATGATAAGAACTACTTCTTTTCTTTCGACCGGGTATTCTCTCCGGAAGCTACGAATGAAGCCGTATTTCAAGAAATCACACATTTAGTCCAAAGTGCTATTGATGGGTACAATGTGAGTATTTTTGCTTATGGACAAACTGGATCTGGAAAATCCTATACCATGTTGTCAAATGACGGTATGGTAACACGAGCTGTAAAGCAGATCTTTGAGTACGTCGAACTACTGAAGGAAAAGGGATGGAATTATAAGTTACAGGGACAATTTTTAGAGATTTATAATGAAAGGATTTATGATTTATTGGACAAACAAGGCTTGATGCAACAGCAAAAGCATGACATCCATCATGATGAAAGAGAGCGACGCACAATTGTGGATAATGTAAGAGTGATAGATTTTGAGAATGAAGAGATGGTCTATAAAATGCTTGGAAAAGCAGCAGAAAATCGATTTATCGCAGCTACGAAAGCTAATGAACGTTCCTCGCGTTCTCATACTGTATTCACATTATATATTGATGGATGGAATGAAAGCATGAAGCAGATTTGCAGAGGAACGCTAAATTTAGTTGACTTGGCAGGATCCGAACGTCTGAGTTTTAGCCAGGCGGAAGGAGAACGTTTACGAGAGACCCAAGCTATTAATAAAAGTTTGAGTTGTTTAGGAGATGTTATCCATGCACTTGGTGTTGCAACTTACGTTTCTGGTAAAGGGAATAACCATATACCTTATAGAAATTCTAAGGTAGGTGTAATGATTGCGAGTATTGTGATTGATACTAACTGTCTGATAGCTTACTTACTTATTGAGATATGCTTTGGGAGAAAATGCAAAAACACTTATGTTCGTTAATGTTTCACCGCTAAAGTCTCAAATAATGGATACCCTGAATAGTTTACGGTTTGCGAAGAAGGTGAATGATACAAGAATAGGACCCATGATGAAGAATCGTGAGTCGATGTCCTTCGGTACATAATGTCAATAATATTTATACTATTTGCTTTAATATGTTAAGAGGAAGCATTTGCTTTGGATGCGGCTTCGGTTTGAGCTTGAACGATAGCAGACTTGAGTTTGGCAAATTCCACCTTTGAACCTTCTATTTGATTTTCCACACGAGCACTAAAATTGTTAGCTTGAATGAACTTCTTTTTTCCTTACGTCTCCTTAAAACGAGGAGCAGATGTAAAGGAAAACAAAAAGCATACATTTCTTTTTTAATGAAGTCGAGTCTTGTCTGAACATTCGTCTTTGCTTCCTCTTGGGTTTGCTTAACAAGAGTGGGCCCGATTTGCTTGTAAATATTGGAGTCGCCATCGATTCTTTCTAATTCCTACTAAGGTTAGCTGATTGAATTTCGTTTTTCGTTTGATGCTTTAGCTGTTTCCAGTTTTAGATCAAAAAAAAACATACATTATAAACTGTGGTATTTTCTTGTAATTGAGCTTCGAGCTTTTTTATCGAATCAACAAATCCTGTCAATTCTAATGAAAATGTGAGTCAATGTTCTTGCGTTCAAACCATACCGCTTTGTTTTTCTTGATAATTCCTAGCTAAATCTTCCATATTTTAGGTTTTGTTGAGCAGGTTCCTCTTCCAAAAATTGAATACAAGAATTGGTTTGAGGTCCTATACCTATGTACAATTCTTAGCTTCGGTGAATATGCTATTAACGAGGTTTTTTCTTCTTATGGTTATTTTGAACAAGTTCGTAGAAGCATCCTTCAGGAGAAAATTCGCAGATTGAAGAGTAAATTAATAACATAAAATAAAAAAATTATTCATTTTAAAAGAAAGGAAACCATATGAATCTGGTGCTTACAGGGTAGTCAGTATCTGCATTCTACATCTATTACTTGGTCGATATCAATAGGTAAGCTAATGTTACGAAAAGAATGTTGCAGTAAATCTCATAGTTATTTGATATTTGAATTTGTAAATGCTATTTGAAGAATCTGATAGTTTTTGCATTCGATCATAAAAAAGTTACCTAGTATCCTTATTTACTGTAGCCAAACCCATCTACGTTCAATATAATAAGCTATGACCATTTGTATGATTAGTAGATACATCTACTTAACAAATCTATACGTATTTAAAAAAAGCATACATCGTAAATTTTGCTTCATTCTACAAAACCTGCGTTCAGTTAACTATTGCTAAAACCATTACTATTTTGATAAAAAATTGGCTATAAATAAGTTTCATAGACCCAATTGGACAGAGCGGCCTCGTGGCCTAGAAGTAAGGCGTTGGTTTCCGGTTGCGGATCCGCCAAAGATCGCGAGTGCAAATCTCGCCGTGGTCGTTTTTTTTTTAAATGTTCGTTTTTAACTATTTTTTTTTTTAAATTTGTATATTATTTACTATAAATAAACAAAAAATATTTTTTATTTAGAGCTCCGCTTAAATTATTCATAGCGAATATTCCCGATTTTATAAAACATGTATAGCATGAAGAAATCGAAACTAAACCTACTTCAAATATCCCATGGACTATAAATCATATTTTATTAGATAATACTTGTCTACAGTCATATTAAGGCGAAAACTCCGATTCCCGTCCGATCACTGCAGATAAGTTGAAGAAGCAGTTCAATGAATAACATGCAAAAAAAAAAAAATAAAAAGCATAGCCCGAGCTAGAGAATAACCAGAATACTGGACCCAGCATAACAATGATTTCCTTTCCATCTACATCAACTTCCACTGCGTTTAAAGCCCCTAGATAGACAGATTTCTTCAAGGATTTTTTAATGAAGTTTTTTTTTATTCCTATTTCTTGTATATATCATTTAAAGTATACAATCTGTATTTTTTTATAAAAGGTTTTTGTTTACTTTTTGTAATACGCTCCTCGATCGGATTATACTATCACGAAAAAGTATAGTATATAACGAAACTCGAATAATTGTAACGAGGATATGACCAGTCGGTGACATAATGTCGCTGCTTTATGAAATTGTAACATGCGAAAAGCCATTACCATGAGTTTTTCAACTACGCTTCATCTTTTAAGCGGAGCTTTTTGTTGAAAGTTGCTTATATTTAACGTTTTAAAAGAAAGGAATTATTTCTTTTGTTGACAGATCCGTGAACGGTAGAACCAGTTCCTACGGAATTATTTGGTAAATCTAGCTGGTATCGTTTTGGATGTATATATCTGCATTATTTTGTGTTTCTAGCTGCCATTGTAAAAATGAAGAATAATTACGCTCCAGTTTCAGATTCTGATGACTCTTTCAAAGTGCTCAATGATGAAAAGTCAGATGCTAGATCTTTAGATGGTACTGGTACGCCTCCTCCATACTCAGGTAAGATTTGTTGAAATAGAAAGGAACAAAAGAATGTCAGTTGTATCAATTTGTATAATTCCAGCGACTCAAGACTTGCGCTGTAAACAAACTCGACAAACGCTCCATCCTTTCTCAAACAACAAGAGCATTCATCACTAATACATTCATTAGCTCCGAAAAAATTTATTGATTTAGAAATGGCTGATGGATCCACTCAGCATTCTGCCCAAGAGTCCACTAACATTACTGGGTCGAATTCGACATATTCAAAGTGGGTTTCAGCGAATATCTTCTTTTTTTTGCGTCTCTTGAGTACATTGGGGCTTATGGTATTCTTCTCGTAATGTTCTTTTATTTCAAGGTTCCTGTGAGGACACAAGACTTTTGGGGACTTTTTGGCGGATTTATTGGAGCGATATCACTATTTCTCTATTGTAAGTTAGTGCTATCTTTTATTTTACTAACTATTAGCAATGTCTCAATTTCCTAAAGAATGGTTCAAGCAAACTGGTAGAGTGCTGTCCTATTTGTTCACGCAAATTGGTAGAGTGCTGTCCAACCTGTGTGTCGCAGTAATATGTACGGCTTCTCTGGATGTCACTTGTTATTCCGTGTATTATTTTGTAAAGAAGATAATAGAATTTGAAAAGATGAACGATATTGCTTTCTATGGTATCTGCATTGTTAACGTTGCCGTGTTTGTTTTAATTTGGAGTATGTCTTACAACCTGCGAAATATTCTAACTGTTCTAGGTACGACGGATACGCGACAACTTCGAACATTCATTGCTGATTTAGGAAACGGCATGGGAAGCATAGGAAACGACATGCTAAACAGCATAAAAAATGCTGCGAATTATGTTCGTATGTATTGTTTATTATAAATTTCATTTTTTTTCTTTTCTTAACACCTGATTAACCTAATTAGGACCGACAGATCCAGAAAATTAAGCACCTCGTAACGAAGAAATTGAGCTTCAACCTTTTGCTGGGCAAAGCGCTGAAGTTTGAGTTTTAACGAATCTTCTCCATCCCTTCTATAAATCACATTTTCTTTCGAAGAATCCATATCAATTGCAATCCCTCGAGTTTCTGTATTCTTGTCCACAAAAGTAAGCACAGCTTCATTCGGCAGGTTGGATTGCTTTTCACGTTCATTCTTTTATGTATTTAAGAATTCGTCTCGCAAGAGTGTTATTTATAAATCGTTCGTTTTCTTTGTGATGAACATCCTTGTTAATGCAACCTTTTTAATGATTATTTAGTTGTTATGACGATAATTTTGCAAAATAATCAACTAGTTTCTAATTCAAAGCTGGACGTATTCAGATTGGCCGTTTCAACTAATGTAGTTTAATAATTTACTTCTCAAACTACAGCTTCGTCAACTGCTATAAATTCAGACATTCAGTCTCATACCTCAATGACAATCTAGCACAATGTGAATAGCTAGAAAAGAGAAAATCAGTATCAAAAACCATCCTCTATAAATTTTGTAAAATATGAGATGATGAATATCCAATACATATACTTTTCATTACATTGACAATTGTCTACGGCCACACCTAGGCGAAAACACCAGTTCCCGTCCGATCACTGCAGTTAAGCGTCTGAGGGTCTCGTTAGTACTATGGTTGGAGACAACATGGGAATCCGGGATGCTGTAGGCTTTTTCCTCATTTTATTCTTTTTGTTTTTTTTTACCTCTTTTAGCATAACGTATGCATGCATCGTGTTGCATTTGGTTTTCCTTTTGATCGCCATGGAAGTAGAAAAAAATCCTTAATACACAAAAAGGAACAGCGACACGTAGCAGAGACACAACGGGGATCAACAAGATGGTGCTATAAAATGGAATTGTTGTTTACAATCAAGTAAACAATGAATATTTCGAAAAAATAAAGAAGCAATAGGTTGAAAGACTATGAGTTACGTATTAACAGGTCATTTGAAGTTTTTTAATAAAGGAATCAATCATTCTTTACATACAATTCACCTCTTCAATATTGGCGATGTCACTTCTCAACCCATCTATTCTTTCTTGTGCTGCTATAGTCTCTCTAAAGCATGAGAAGTATCATACTTCATATTAACAAAAGATGAAGCGAAATATATACATAAATGAAAAATATACATATTTTTATAAAATCAGGCTGTATTTTCTTCTGGTTAATATTCAACTAGTGGTGCCTCTGGGTTACTAAGACTTCAGAAGAACAAACGTGAACTTAACCGGAACACAAATGTCAACACTTGAAGAATTAGACGCGTTGAATGGTTCGCAGCAACCAGAGTCCAGCCATGATGATTTTATGGATGGAATTGAGCAAGAAATTTTAAATGCCAACTCTGAAGAGCTGAATAGTCGGACAAGACTGTTAGAAAATGACATTAAGGTAAGTGTATGAAGGACGAAATGAATTGTGAAGGAAGAGTTAGAATCTTCTTAACATTCAATTATATGAAACAGGTGTCGAAGTGTTGATGTACTTCATGGGAGCTTCGAACAAAAATGTCCCTTTCTTGACATATATGGCAAGTTGAAGAAGAAAGCTAACCTCGTAATAGGTTATGAAATCCGAGTTTCAAAGACTAACTCACGAAAAAAGCACGATGGTTGAAAAAACCAAAGAAAACCAAGAAAAGGTTGCGAATAACAAGATGCTTCCGTACTTGGTTGGTAACGTAGTAGAGATTTTGGACATGCCTTCTGAAGAAGAAGATGCCCAAGAATCAGTAAACCAAAACTCAGAGGCTCGCGTTGGCAAGTCAGCAGTCATCAAGACATCGACACGTCAAACAATCTTCCTTCCCTTGATCGGTTTAGTGGAACCCGAGGAACTTCATCCTGGTGACTTGATCGGTGTAAATAAGGATTCCTACTTAATTATAGATAAGTTACCCTCGGAGTATGATAGTCGTGTCAAGGCTATGGAAGTTGACGAAAGACCTACTGAACGTTACTCCGATATCGGTGGTTTATCAAAACAGATTGAAGAGTTATTTGAAGCAATCGTTTTACCGATGCAACAATTTGACAAGTTTCAAAATTTGGGTATTAAACCTCCCAAGGGTTGTTTGATGTATGGTCCTCCAGGTACAGGAAAAACTTTGCTCGCCCGTGCTTGTGCCGCTCAGTCTAATGCGACCTTCTTGAAGTTGGCTGCTCCACAGCTTGTCCAGATGTTTATTGGTGATGGTGCAAAGTTAGTTCGTGATGCATTCGCTTTGGCAAAAGAAAAAAGTCCAGCTATTATATTTATTGATGAATTAGATGCTATTGGTACCAAGCGTTTTGATTCCGAAAAAGCAGGTGATCGTGAAGTTCAAAGAACCATGTTGGAGCTTTTGAACCAACTTGATGGTTTTAGTAGCGATGACCGTGTTAAAGTAGTCGCTGCTACCAACCGCGTTGATACCTTAGATCCTGCTTTGTTGCGATCTGGTCGTTTGGATCGTAAGCTCGAATTTCCACTTCCAAACGAAGAAGCCCGTGTTGGTATTTTGCGTATCCATTCTCGTAAAATGGCAATTGCTGATGACATTAATTGGGAAGAATTGGCTAGAAGTACTGACGAATACAACGGTGCTATGTTGAAGAGTGTCTGCGTAGAAGCTGGCATGATTGCTCTTAGACAAGGAGACACCAAAATTACTCATGAACATTTCATGGATGGTATTTTGGAAGTGCAGATGCGTAAGTCAAAGACTTTACAATACTTTGCATAAATATTCCATCTTCGTTTTTATGAGCTCCTTGTAATCTTGTCAATTTTTTTTTTCTATGATTTCTATGCCCTAAAAATTCTAAAGCATCTTCTGATGCCTTCTCTCTTCACGGTAGTCTGACTTGTAATGAATAGTAAAGTACTGTTATATTGGTCTATAAAACAAATTTTGATATCGCGTGTTATAAATAGATGTTGAACTTTACTATGAAGGTTCGTCTTTATCCTTTACTTGTTTTGAAGCTCTCCAGGTTACAGCATTTCATGATCTCATGATCCTTAATAGTAGTCAGGACTAAGGATTCTTTCATTTAATTTGCGTATATGAGCCTTTCATATTCAAATCATCTATGGGAATTTTGAAATCAGCTAAACTATAGTTGCCTTTTCGACGAAAGCTGTTTTAGCTAGGATGTGAAATGGAGAAACTTGCTGAGGCATTATTGGGTTTATAGCTTGGTTGTATGAAACTTTTCATCATGCCATTATCACGATCAAAACATTAAGTTTTCTTAGGCCCTATTTTCTATTTTCTTGACACTATGCAAAACAATTGTATGATGGGCTGAACCCAGCTTTTGATAGGAAGCCGTATACAAGTTACACTTGCTTCATTAGTAAGAGTAGTCACCAAACGACATAGAACCATTTGTAATGGAAAGATGGGAACATTGAAAGGGATTATATGTGAGTCTATTATGAATTCACGATTTTAGCTAAGACAGTTGTTTACATCCAAGTAATTTAAATATGAATTCGATAAAATTAGTTCCATAAGTTTTAATTCATGGAAAATACAAGAAAAATTCTAATAATTGTGTAATTACCTTTTTTATTTTTTGGGAAATAAGTCAATTACATTTCATTTGACCATAAAAAGAAGTTGTCTAGAGCAACACCTAATTGTTTGAGATTATTTACATTTATTTGCCAGTATTTCCAGCGCTAGAGACAAGATTCGAAATAGAGAAGAGGCGCTTTCATTCTTAGCTTTGTGTTATTGACATACTACTCGTAAATTTATATTTCAACAATGTCTTGTGAAGCAAAATCCGAAATCCCCTTTCCAGCTACTCAGTCTTCAAATTCAAAGAATCAATGGGTACATAAGCACGTCAAAACATCCTTATGCCTTTTGTCTATGTCTCTGTTTTTTGTTCTTCTTAAAGGACCAGAATATTTTGTTCCTTCTGCTCTCTGGACTTCAGAGCGAAAAGCGCACTTTGTTCTAACTCATTTCCCTCTAATCGATGGTCATAATGATTTTCCTACATTTATTCGTGAAAAATATGATAATAAATTGGCCGACAGAGACCTTCACCATGCCACTGGTCATACGGATATTCAGCGCCTAAGAACCGGCCATATGGGAGGACAATTTTGGTCTGGCTTTGTTGAATGTCCTCCACTAGTTTCAGATAGCAATCTTGCATGGAACAGATCTGGTGAACATGAAGCTGTACAACAAACCTTGCAACAACTTGATATAATCAAGCGTATGATAGAAAAATATCCTCAAGATTTTTCTTTGACTACCAAACACGACCAAGTAAAGTATAACTTCTTACAGAAGCGCATTTCTAGTATGATTGGTATAGAAGGTCTGCACCAAATTGCTGGTAGTCCATCTATTTTACGACGCTACTATGAAATGGGTGTGCGCTATGCCACGCTTGCTCACAATTGCGACAATGTTTTTGCTGATGCTGCTGTTGGCGGTAAACAAGTCAATGGCGGATTGTCAGAAGCGGGACGAGCTTTGATTCGTGAAATGAATCGCCTTGGTATGATTGTTGATTTGTCCCATGTGACGCCTGAAGTTATGCATCAAACTTTAGACATTTCTGTTGCACCAGCTTTTTTCTCTCACAGCTCTGCCAAAGCTGTTCACAATCGTAAGCCACTTAGTTCCAGCCTATGATACTGTATTTATTTGCTAACTACAACTTTAGATCCAAGAAATGTTCCGGACGACGTCCTTTTAAGAGTCAAGGAAAGTGATGGAGTCGTAATGGTCAACTTTTATCCAAACTTCATTAGTCCAACACCTGGGAATACTACTTTGGAGACTGTCGTTGAGCATATTCAACATATAGCTAAAGTGACAGGCTCCTATCGTCATATCGGACTCGGTGCCGACTTTGATGGCATTGAATCCGTTCCAAGAGGTCTCGAAGATGTTTCCAAGTACCCTGCTTTGTTTACAAGGTTAGCTGATTTAGGGCTTTCTATCAAAGATCTTATAAACATCGCCGGAGGTAATATCTTGCGCGTTTGGAAAGCCACCGAAGAGGCATCTCACAAAGTACAGGAACCACTACTTGAATGGGAAGACGAACTTGGCAAATGATTTATGTAATGATCTCTCTTATGCTACCTAATATCAATAGTCCTTTATGAATGATAATTTCTGAAACGATCACATTGCTACGATTTTGGTGAATACTCGCCATTTTCAACAGTTAATATAAATATAATTATGTAAAACGATAAATACAAAACAGAATTTCACCATTACCAATTATACTAAGCTAATAATATTTTGTAGTGATGAAATGTCTGAACCTCCAATCCCTTACGGATTCTTGTTAAACTTCATATAGCAAGAAAGGTGCATGCTAGCGAAAAGAATCTATGGGAAGGTTTATCGGGTTAATAAATAAGAAGGTAGGTTGAAAAATAAAAGCAAAGTTCCCTTTATGGGTCTTTTTTTTTTTTTCTTTTTTTTCTTCAAATTAACCTCTTTGATATCCACTTCCAATTGAACCACGACGATAAGATGAATATGATTTTCTGCGACCGTTTGGATGGGGAGTAGGTAAATCCAAAAATCGGATATTTGGTTTATTTTGCTGGGAATCGTCTTCATCTACTTCTTCGTCGTCATTTTCTTCATTGTTAATAGTTAATTCAGATCTGTCTGGAGATTGTTCAATGGGTGAACGAGCGGATAAGGGATACGGGCTAAGTCTCTCAGTAGGATGATCAGGTTCAATATCACTAGGTGAATGAGTTCGTTCACCAAGAATTCCTGTTGGATCTATGCCAGGACGTTCCTCCACTTCATCTTCACTATCTCCCATATTTCCTAACACTTCTTCACGACGTTGTCTCTCAACGCTATTCTCGCGTGAATAAGCATCAGACCTACTCATTTCTCTTCGCGGAACATTATTCTCAATAGAAGCTTCCTCTTGTCCGAGATCCCTTTCGTCGCTATCTGGCGCATGATAATTACGTTCAAACGCTTCGTGAATATTTTTAAAAAATCGACGAAATTTAGATTGCGGCTTACTGTCGTTAGAAGCTTCCTCCTCCTGTGCACTCTCTTTTTCTTCATCTGGTGATCTTTCAGCATGATCAGCACCTGATCGTGAACGTGATATAATATTTCCTTGAGAGTCCTCCTGGACAAGATCATCTCCCATCATGTAACTTTCGTTGCCTGGATTTACCTCTTCCTCTCTGTCCTCTTCGTTCGAAATACGGCGCTCTCCATCATAATCTTTAATAGCAGGGACAGGTTCTTCGTTTTGTTCATCGCGGTCTTCAGGATGAGATTCTACATGTTGAGGCCGAACATGTGCAGGGCGAGGAGCTGAAATTGAGGATGATGCATCAACCGACTCTTCATCTTCTTGGATATTGACAGGGTGTCGCCGCCTAATAGAGGAAACCACAGAAGGGGCTGCGCCAGAGCGTACACTGGTTCCTCGCTTTAGAGGTAAACTTTGACCTTGATGAACTCTTGGAAGATTGAAAGCAAAGTGCGAGTCTCTTGTTTTGGTCAAGGTAAGAGCAATAGTGTTTATGCGCTTTCCGAGCATAAAGAAAGCAATACTACTACCATGGACGATAATTGAGCTTAGGACTAGGAAGCAAACAACAGGCCACATTACAGTAATAATATAGTAGTTAGGATCACTCTCAGTTGGAAGCTCAGAAGTAGGTATAGTCTCATCATGTTCAAGCTCGGCTCTAGCCAATAGACAAGTATAAATAGCACCAACTCCGATAGGACCAAAGTGTCCAGCAAACAAAGCTTCTCTCCAGTTAATTATGTCAGGTATCAACTTTTTAAAGGCAAGGACAGCTGGAATTCTCCTAGCAATTAAAACGCATATGGCTAAAACTACGAGACGCCAAACACTAAGATCTAATTCCGGCATGTGAAATTGCTCCCAAGGCATGATAGCGCCAATATAAACAAAGAATGAAAGATTAAGAAGCAAGTCAATGACGTTTGAAACATGAGACTCCTCGGTTTTTTTCGAAAACCATTTATCCCAAGAAAAAGCAGCACCAGCACAGAAAGAAACAAGGAGATCGTCAACGCCTATAATTGTTCCGATACCACTGCAGAACACAGCCAAAACAAAATAAAAGACAAGAAAACTTTCACGATCCATCAAACCTCTACGTTCTGAGAATTTAATAGCTTTGCGAGCTACTACGCCAATTACGGCTCCAAGAAAGCAACCAAAAACGCACTCATAAAGAATAATTAATAGTACCCAATCGCGTCCAGCATGTCTAGCTGGTTTATCGATAATTAGGTAGAGACCGAGATAGAGAAAAGGAATAGCCATGCCATCATTACAACCAGACTCGGCCAAAAGCATATTTCGTAAATGACCAGGAACGCGACGAGCAAATTTACCTCTGCCAACAATCGAGGATGCTAAAACAGGATCTGTAGCGGTAATACATGCCGCTATTGTGAGAGCTTCAAGAAAACTTAGACGTGGAATTAAAGCAAACATAAAGCCACAGCAGACCAACCAGCCAAATACCATAACAGGAAGCAACATGATTACCATGCTACGCCAATGCCTCAGCATGTAAGCTCTCGGAAGTTCAACTCCTGCAGCAAATACTTGAACAATTAATAAAATACGAGCAAGTTCTAAAGTTATATAATCAGAGTTTCCCCAGCTGGTGGGTACAAAAATTTTTGCAGCATGCGGACCAAAAATCAACCCGCAAATAGTTGCAATCGCTAAAGAGGTTAGTAACCAGTTGGACTACAAACAAAAGACAAGTAGGATTAGACAATCAAAGATTACCAGAATAGCAAACACCGGCAGCAATGGCCTCGTCTAATCACCAAGAACTTACTAGCTTCACCCATGTAAAATTTTTCTTTTATGATCAAAGAGCAAAGCATAAAAAGAGAAGTAAAACCTCCCAAGATAGCATATGCTAAATGCGGCTTGCTGATTTCCAGTTGACTCCATGCCATTTTATAAATTTTAAACCTGCAATAAAGAAATCAAAGTAATTAAAAAAGGGGATATTATGGTAAAGAATGATATGGAATCCGAGATTAGGATTGTTTTGATTCCTAAGCCAGGTGTTTAGAATTATTTATGCGTAAATATATGCCAAGATCAAAAAAAACAACCGGATTAAAAACTAATACCAATAATGTTTATCAATTCTATCAGTTTTATATTCTTTTTGAAAAAAAGAAACTAAGCACTTTTATGAAACCAAGAAGGTAGTGGGAACGATTGTTTTCATTTTCATACTTTTTCTGTTGACTATTATAATTTTAAATTCGCTTGTATAATAACCTAATTTATTTATAAGTATAAGAAATCCGAGCAATCTTGCTTTATGCTAACACAAAGTAAGAGTTCCAAGCAGTTCTTAACAGCGATTTACCAAAAGAAAAAGAAGAAAAAATTGTTTTGGAAAGTTTACTTTTTTTAATAAAGGGTCATTTTGAAGAATAGACGATTTCTCGTTCTTCATCTCATATAAACGGCATAAAACCGTTACAATATAGCCTTATACATGTGTTCATAGGCATTAACTTTTTCATTCGTTTTTCATAATTGTTTTTGGTTTTTTAAAGCTTTCTGAGGAAATTAGGTGTGCAGGATCCTTTTTTTCCTTCATTTTCAAGCTTACACTTGTTTTTTATTATATACAATACATTTCAATCACTCGGGGTTTATTTCTCATCCCCGTATTACTTTACTTTATTGCTGAAGAAAGAACAAAGGTGTACGCTATTCTCTTGAATTACCATTTCATTTTGTGGATTAAATATCTGTTGACGTTTATTCACAGAGGATAATATTCGTGGTTCATTCGTTGCTCCGTTTTAATAAGAATAAGAGTTAATTATTATGCCTACAGAGGCCAAGAAGATTATCATTAAAGGGTTTGACCCTCTAAAATCAAAACAGCGCCAAGAAAAGTATTATAATGTTATGATCCAACAACTTGATATTGCTCTGCAGGTCATTATGGCCGGCTTGGGCTTGAAGACAGGCTATCAAGAGCTATATTCTGGCGTTGAAAACTTAGCTAAAGCCAATCAGGCTTACCGATGCTTTACTTTACTACAGAACCACTTTACGTCCGGTATACATTTACTAAGAGATGCTTGCTTGACTTCCATTTCTCAAAACATGGACCAAGTCAATGCGTGCTCCATCGTGGTTCGGCAATGGAAGCAATGGATGGAGCGTGTAGAAACTGTTCAAAACGTCTTTTATTACATGGACAAGACGTTTCTTGCAAAATCCCCAGAGTTTCCCACAATAGAAGAATACGCTCTTTCTCTATTTCGCGAGGAGCTTTTGGATACGAAAACCATTCAAGTCCCCTTTTTGAATGACCTTTTGAAGCTTTTCGAAGGGATTCATTCTGGATTACAAATCGATCATGCTTGTCTACAAGAAGCGATGTCTATTCTTCATCGCGTCAAATACTACGGTGCCGTATTTATGCCGATGTATCTTGTTTTTTTGGATCAATTCTTCCAACGACAATCCGAGGAGCGGATAAATACGGTTTCTGTTAATGAGTACTTGCTGTATACTCAGCAATGTCTAGAGTATGAAATGCTGGTCATGAATGAATTTGATTTAAATCGACATCAAAAGGAGATTCTTCAGACACTACAAAATCGGTTGATTCGTAGTCGTTTACCCGTTTTGGTGAATGGTATTCAAAAATTTGTTAATGATCGTGATTTAGATTCCTGCAAACGTTTGTATTCACTGTTGCATCTGACTATGGAAACATCTCAGTTAGTTGAGCCATGGTCTAACTGCCTTACAGACATTGGGTTTGAACTTGTGAACGATGAACAGAACGAAGAGATGTTAGTACCAAATATGATATCATTGCATACTTTCTTACAGTCGGTCATAGAGCAGGGGTTTTCGAACGATGAAGCACTTTCGTATTCCATGCGGAAATCATGGGAAACGTTTATCAATGGTGCACCAGGAAAACGTAAAGAAACGCCTGCAAAGGCCATCGCCAAATATATTGATTATTTGCTTCGGCATGGGGAGCAAGTAACGAACGGCACTCCTTTACAGCAAATTTTCGAAACATTACTGGATATCTTTCGGTATGTAGCAAGTAAAGATGTTTTTGAAGCATTTTACAAACGGGATATTGCGAAGCGCTTATTGCTGAATAAATCGGCTAGTTCGCAAAATGAGCGGATGTTGTTGGAGATGCTAAAGAAGACGTGTGGAAGTCAGTTTACGCATGCGTTAGAAGGGATGTTTAAGGATATAAATTTATCGAAAGAGTTTTCGAGTTCATTTCAACAATCCAAGTTGTCCAAAAATCTTCATCGGGATTTGTATGTGAATGTGTTGTCACAGGCGTATTGGCCTGCGTACCCGGAAGGGCATGTACGGTTGCCGGAGGACATGCAGGAAGATTTACAGCAATTTGAAAAATTTTATCTAGCAAAACAAACGAGCAAACGGATTCGTTGGCTTCCATCGCTTGGACATTGTTTGGTGAAAGCGCGATTTCCTCTGGGAAATAAAGAGCTTAGCATATCACTGTTTCAAGCATGTGTATTGTTGGAATTTAATAAATGCGCGCCTGGAGAAGGGCTCACATACCGGGATTTACAAAAAACGACAGAATTGACGGATGCAGATTTGACGAGGACTTTGCAATCATTGAGTTGCGTTCGTGTAAGACCACTGGTGATGGTGCCCAAGGGAAAAGTGCCTAAACCGGATACGATGTTTTATGTGAATGAGAAATTTACGGACAAATTGTACAGAATCAAGATTAATCAGATTTATTTGAAAGATGAGCGGCAAGAAAGTGAAGAAGTACAAGAACAAGTGTTGCAGGACAGGCAATTTGAGCTGCAAGCCGCAGTCGTGCGGATTATGAAACAGAATGAAAGAGTGAGTCATGATGAGCTCGTACAAAAAACGATAGAAGTTTGCAAGAATCGGGGTATTCCGGAAATATCAGATATCAAGTCGACGATAGAGAAATTACTCAACAAGGAATACCTAGAACGACAAGATGGCGAATATGTGTATGTACCATAGGGAAAGAGAGTGAGAGAGAGAAGCAAGACTTTTAATTACTTTGTGTTATGAAAACTGATAATGTATGGATCCTGATGGTTTCCTTTCTCTCTTTTTTTTTTTTTTTTTGTGTGTTATTATATTTAATTCTGTTTTCTATTTCTATTTCTATTTCTATTTCTATTTTTCTCTTTCTTTTGTTGTCTTTTTTACTTTTGTTTATAAAAGTGACGAGTTACTTTGGAGACGAGATTGGGGATCCCAAGTCGCGCAGGCAAGTCTTGTCTTGTCTGGGTAAGCCTTGCATCAAGCAAAGGATGCAAGTGTGACTAGAAGAATGAGACTTTTATTCATTTATGTATGTACGATTCTATGAATTCATTCAATAATTCAATAATTTTAAAAGTTTATAATCTTATAAATCGAATTGAGAAAGGAAATTCATACTACGGAATAGATTTCCATAAAAGAAAGGTATTCCATAACGAACAAGACATATATACATAAGAATATACCTTACACGTACCTCTCTCTATACATACCTACAACTAACTACTAGTTACTTACTACACACAAACACCCCACATGCTCAAAGAGCAAACCAACCCCCACATAAACCAACCCACTGAGTCGTCAATAGTCAGTCTCGTTTATACGACATCTTCCTTTCTTCTTCTAGTGAACGTACCACCCCCACTCTGTCCCAATCTCAATCCCCCACCTACTTGTTCTCCATGGCCACACCAGTCGCACTCTCAACTTGATCATGGCCGCACATGCCTACAAGCTGCTCGTACGAGATGCCAAGCAACTGATTCGCTTAGATGGAATAACATTCTTTAACGTTTCATGATGACGTGATTTTTTTTATCAGCGAACTGCTTATGCTTAAGCTTAAATGGATGTAGGCAACGTCATATCGTTCGCTCTACGCAACAAAGGACGAATCGGCCGTTCTCTGGACCGAGCAAGCACTCTCGGAAAAAATGTTTCAAGACGCGATAGAAGCTAAATCCAGAACACCCACAAACCCAATCCCAGCAATTTGACGAAAAATGCAAAACCGGACACAAAGAGCTAAAGGAAAAGTGAACCCGTTAAAGAAACAAAAAAAACCAAAACCAAACCAAACTAAAAAGACAATTTAAAAACAATTCTATTCTTTGCAACTATCCAATGCTACCCCTAAATTTCAAATCCTTTTTTTTTTTGTTTTTTATCCATAAATCATCCGATCTGGATTTGTTTACATAAACATTGTCGCTGTCTGAAATGCGCAGTTTGTCCCTCTCGTAATCCTTTCGCTTATTGGTCGTCTCCTCATTTTGATACCCCAACAAAAACGCTTCAAAAGGCGACTACGGCGAACCACCGGAAATACAAAATCTTACTTTTTTAGCAGTCATCCTGTTCTTCTTTTCCAGTGGTCTAGAGTTACAAGGGTATCATCTCTCTCTCTCTCTCTCTTTAGTCGGCCTAGTAGTTTTTTCCCTTCTTTTTTTTCGCTCTGCGGTATTGGAAGTTTTCTGCTCTTTGAATTCCTTTCCTCTTCCAAACACTTTTCTACATATATATCACAGACGCAGACACAGACAGACACAGAGAAGAGACTGTGTTCACTGTTCTTCTGCTACTGTTATTATTCTTATTATAATTATTATTTCATTTTTCTTATTACATATCTTTACGAATATTCACATTCTTTCTTTTGAATCCTTCTTTCCCTTTTTCTGTTTGTTTGCTTGTTTGCTTGTTTGCAAGACGAAAATAAAGACACAAACAAGTCACTTGTAGAGATCAAAAAAAAAAAGAATCATTTTTATTTTTATCTTTTTTTTTTTGGGCTCTAGAAATCATATTTGAGAAACTGTTCCTATAGTTGTTTCTTTTTTTTTTTTTTTAAAAAAAAATTGGTTTCTTTTTCTTTATTCTTGTTCCTCTTTTCTTTTTACTATTACTACTATTGTTAGTAGTATTATCAGATTTGATTTCAAGAGTGTGATTTCACTCTTTCCTGTTCTCTCTTTCCCCCCCCCCTTCCTTTATTCTAATTTAATTTTAGTTTAATACCGTTCTGGTAAAAAAGGAAATTCGGTTTGGTTTTTTCTTTTCTATTTTTGTTTTCAATTTCGGTTTTGTTTTTGTGTGTTTTTCTTTTTCTTTTTTTTTTTTTATATTTTTCTTTTTTAGTTTTGGAAAAGAAATCTCTTGTTTTTTATTAAAAAAGGTCCTTTTATATATATCTACTTATATATATAAAATTAATCTTGAACAACAAAACGAAAAGAATCGTTGTTTACTCCCCCCCCCCTTCTCTATTTCTAACTCTCTCTCTTTTTTCTACGATTGAAATAAGGTCTCTCACTAGTCACAATGACTTTTGCGAAATTATTCTCCCAATCTTTAAATAGACGTGTCGCTGGATTCCGTTCCCCCTTCGTCAATTCCTCCTCCCCATCGGCTTTGGCTCCCAAGACACGCTTCTTCAACACTTCTCGTCCTAGAGCAAATGCTTCTTCCTCTTCCCCCTCCTCCTCTTCGAAGCCTTCTCCTTCCTCAGGCAAAAGTGTGTGGAAGATTACAAAGCGTGTTGGTTTAGGTTTCATTGCCGCTAGCGTCCTTTACTATGGTCTTTCCGTCTACAGATTCCGCCATCCTGATGAAAAACAACCTCTTCCTGACCCTACAAAGAAAACTCTTGTCATTTTAGGTGCCGGTTGGGGTGCCACCTCTATCCTCCGAACTATCGATAGCTCTCTCTACAATGTTGTCGTCGTCTCTCCTAGAAACTATTTCCTCTTCACCTCTCTTTTGCCTTCTACTGCCACCGGTTCCGTTCATAGCCGTAGCATCGTTCAACCCATTCGCTATCTCCTTCGCCACAAGTCTCACTTTGTCAAATTTTATGAGGCAGAGTGCACCGACGTCGATAAGGATGGCAAGACTGTCGAAATCCGCAGACAAACTTCTGATGGTCAGGAATTGGTCGAGAAGATTAACTACGACTACTTGGTTTGCTCCGTCGGTGCCGAAACTCAAACCTTCGGCATCCCCGGTATCGAAGAGCATGGTTGCTTTTTGAAAGAAATGTGGGATTCCCAAAAAATCCGTACACGTATCATGAAGTGTCTCGAACAGGCTCAGTTTAAAGACCTTGATCCTGAAACTCGTCGCCGCTACGTTCACTTCGTCGTCGTCGGTGGTGGTCCCACCGGTATGGAATTCGCTGGTGAAATGGCCGATTTCATCAAGGATGACCTTAAATCTTGGTTCCCTGAACTTGCCAACGACTTCTCTGTAACCCTTATCGAAGCTTTGCCTTCCGTTCTTCCCATGTTCAGCAGCAAATTGCGTGAATATACCAAGTCTCTTTTCGCTAGAACCAACATCAACATCAGAACAAACACTGCCCTCAAGGAAGTCACCGCTGATAGCATCATCGTCGAAGTTAAGGATCCAGAAGGCAATAAGGTTGAAGAGTCTATTCCTTTCGGACTCTTGGTTTGGGCCGGTGGTAACCGACCTAGACCTCTCATAAACAAAATCATCCATTCTTTGGAAGAGCAAACCAACCGTCGTGGTTTGATTGTTGATGATTATATGCAAGTCAAGGGTATGCAAGACGTCTTTGCCCTTGGCGACTGCACCTCTACTGCCTATGCCCCTACTGCTCAAGTTGCATCTCAACAAGGTGCTTTCCTTGGTCAATTGTTCAACAAACTTGGTTCTCTTGACTTTGAAAAGCCTCGTGTCGACAGATATATCGCTGTTGGTGAAGAATTAGACTCCGCTGCTCTCATTTCTCTTGCTAATGAGAAGCATGCTTCTACTAAGGTTTTCCGTCCCTTTAAGTACTCTCACCAAGGCTCTCTTGCCTATATTGGCCATGAAAAGGCAATCGCTGATTTGAATGTCCCTTTCCTTGACAAGCAAATTCATGCCAGTGGTTACCTTGCCTTCTTTTTCTGGCGCTCCGCCTATCTTTCCGAATTGTATTCCCTTCGTAACCGTACCAACGTTATGTTGGATTGGATCCGTACTTCCCTCTTTGGCCGTGATATTTCTTCCATTTAAATAACCCCCACTTTCAAGATATGTAGATCTATTAAAATGCTATTTTTAATCATCCTTACATAGGAACGTATATTTGATTTTAAATACGCAAGCAACAGTCTGGTTCAAGTCTCGTTTTATTATTTACATACAAGTTTCTTTTTTGTTTGTATATTTTTATAGCTATTAACTTTTCAATATATTGGATTAAGCATACAGATTTTCGAAATCACGACTTAAGGATTGCCATATATTTAATCCTTCCTCCTCGTACCTGATGCGCTGCTTGCAATAATCAATGTAAGGATTTCCAAGGATTGACAGGTAATTTTGCAGATACTCTATTTCTTCATTTAAATACTGGTCAATTTGGAATCTTTGCCAAAGAGTATCAGCATACAACTGTTTCTTCTAAAAATCATGTTAATTTCACTTCCACCTAGGGATTTATTTTCTTCTTTTTCCTTTATACCTTGAGCAAGTTAGTTTCAATTCGGTTTTCGGTGTTGAGAATAGTAGAATTTCTTCCGTTCGTTGAATCTTGTATCGTAGCTTCTCTTAATAAATTCTCGTCATTAGATATTAAATATTTAATTTTTGTTAAATCAGTATTAAATGGTATAGCCATTCTTTCAATCAATTGCTAATTGTTAATACTCATATAGAATAGCTAAAGCATACCCTCAATGATATAAGCATCTTTGTTTCCCTGGTTAGATTTGTAATTAAGGAATTCTTAAAGGTGAAACTTTGCTGATGCTGTAACGTATCAACATTATAGGCATGCCTACTAACCAAAGTCATGGTATTACTTTCTCTTTTGGCAAATTCCGAATTAAATACTCGTTGGTAAATGCCACTGTCAAGCAAGCAACTATACTGGTTAGTTAAATAAATACTGACAATCATTACTCACTTAAAAGAATTTTGTAGGCGATTCACATCATCGTGAAGATGGTCCATCGTATAAATAGCTTTCTCAAATATTTTAATAATATTCACCTGGTTATTAATTGCTACTCCGCAAGCTGTTGCAGCCTTCAAAAGCCGCTCTTTGCATGATTCTGATACATCTGGTACAGAGTCCATTGGATTTTGATGACAAGAAGCGATGCTTTCCTTTATATAAGAAAGGTTTTCCTTTCTCCAAGATTTAAAAACCTGAAATAATTAGCATATGATACATTAAAAATTAAAGAAATAGGACAAAACACATACATTAGGCTCTTTAAAAAATACTTGAATAACTTCGTCCTGCGAAAAGATTGGATGATAAGCAACATCATTTACAAAATCATAAAGACCCTGTCTTCTGTATTCTAAAAACGTATTTCTACTGGATGCTGTTCGCTTGGCAACTATATTGGTTAGGAGTGTAATCTGGAAGTCGTATTGACTTACAATGGAATTTCTTCGAAGCTAGAAAATGGTTAATTATTGAAATGAATTAATATCGCCATCATTTACTTACGTAGTAGGGGTACTCTTCTCCAAGGATACTTTTCAACCAAATAAGAATGAAGCCTAAGAGTAATTAGTACGCTATGGGGGGATCAAACAATCACAAGAATGTAGCAGACATACCAATAGAAATCACTGTATCTCCGTAGAACTTCTCGAGTATTGCGTGAATCTGATATTATATAATTGTTGTGACGATAAAAGAAAGGACCACTAGGTTCAAGGTCAATATCAACGTTCAGTTCCTTTCTATTAGGAAGTGGAGTCGAGTTTGTATATCGCTGGCTGAAGCTTGTCTGGCTATTCTTGGGTGAATCAATTAAAGATTGAGGAAAGGAATCTAATGAAGAGCTTCGACGGGGCTGGGACAAATATATAGGAGAATTTGTCGTACCAACATTATCATAAGTGATCTTTTTGGGAGGACGCGATGCATGTTCACCGGTCTTCTTCTTAGAGGAAGAGGAAGAGGAAGAGGGAGAACGAGAATCACGGTAATTTGATTTCAAAGAAGAAGTTGAAGGCCTGTATAAATCTCCATAATTATATGAAGCCTCATTTCTTCCTGGTGGTGAAGGAGTAGTAGGAAAATTAGGAAAAGGAGGTGAGTTTTGCAATTGAGAGTTTGAAGAGAGGAGGAGTGGGCTTGGGATAGTCTTTGTCTTTTTGGAACTTATCGTGGATGGTTGAGAAAATAAGGGAGCTTCATTTTCATTGTGAAGAAGAGAGGGGTTTATATCACATCTTTGGAGGATTGGCAAAACTGGGAGAGTAAGTCAGTATTTCGAATAACGCGAAGTTGAGCTTAAAAAAAATCAACTTACCATTTCTTTGTTTTTGGATTTGTTCCAGTGTGGTGGGGACTCCAAGCTGGTAGAAAGCGACAAGTGCTAAAAGGGAGTAAAACTGTCTTTGTTGTAAGGGTTCATTCGTACACTCAATCAATTCTAAGAATTCAGCAATTATATGATCTGGAATTTCAAAAATTTTCGAGTACAGAGACGCGTCGGGGTCAAGAAATTGATCAAGCTTTTGAAATTCTTCCCAGTATTGTTTATATTGGGAGGGAATAGATGAGTTTCCTGAAGCTTGTTAGACAAACGTTTACAAAAGCAGATCTTAATGTTTACCTAGAGCAGCCTCGTAAGTCAATGGTTTAATTGGAGATCCCCAAGTGCTTGATGAAGCCCATGGATCTGGTTCCATAAAGACATTATCAGTCATAGCATTAAATAATAAACTGAATAAGATTGTAGGTTTCGCTTTATTAATTAATGTATCTTCTGTCGCTATCGTAAACCAAAGTATTAAAGTTATATAAAGAACCGTTGGAATCAATCAATTTTTTGCGAGGAATCTTCTATTAATAAATAAATATAGTAAATTATAAGAAAAGCTTCCTATACCTGAAAAAGGTCAAACAATTGGGGAATTGACGTGGTTTTCTAAAAGTACCTAAGGAGGATTCTGGTGGAAGTAAGTAACAAAAGTAACAGCATTATGTAAATAAACAAAAAATCAATATAAGAGAAGTTGGTAAAATAGAAAGTCGTAATATGTATTTTGATCACGGTCAATTATAAGAGAAACTTGAAAAGTATTTACTAAACTGAAGTCGTTTGTTACTATCAAAAGTCTTTCCCATTCAGGTTCACTAATTTTTGTGACTCTAACGATGATAATTTGTGATGATTTCAAATAATCAGGCTTTTCTAGTTGAATTATTACAGCGTAATGCACAAACAACGAAGGTCACCGTTTCGTTGGAACATTTTGTTCATTTGTTTTTCCTTGGTTCTGTCATGAAAGAAATGGGAAATATCCTTGATCAATGTGGATGTAATCGTTTACAAAGGAAAGTACAGAAAGCTTTCTCTATTCTACTGGACGGGATGTATTCATAAAATTTTTTTTAATACTTTTTTAATTATGGGTATTGTTTTTAAAGGACATTTGCTACCAGAAATAGAGTTTCTGCTCAATCGTGCTGTCACTATGTATACTAAGAAGTACAATCATTGTTGACAACTCATTAATTTCCTTAAGATAATAATAAACTTTCTAGTCCATTGTACATAAATAAACACAATAAGTTTCAGTTCCGTAGGTCAATGTCAAGCGATATGCAATTCACTTGTCATTCCTCGCCGAATGTCCTTGGATCCGTAATCGATCGAGCGTCTTCTTTCATGGTAATTAACAAAAAGAATCAAATTAGAAAACGATTATACAACAATAGAGCTGAAAAACTTCGATAGGTTTTTTTTTGAAATGGTTGGCTCACTATTGTTTTCCTTTCTTCTGGGTGTCTAGCGGCAGCACAATGCTGGTGTGATAGCCAATTTCAACTCATTCTTGTTAATTTTATTGGGTTTTTACTTTAATTTCAGGAAAATTATCAATTAATAGAAGGAACTTGATTCAGTGTCGTTTACTACGCGTAAAAAGGAATCGAGTCGCTTTTATAGTGATCTTCTAAAAAGGGCGCGATTTTCGCGCGTCATGCAGAATCCACAAGACTTTGATTTAATTTTTGATTCTTATGATTTTGGAAAGGAAGGAAAAGTACGTGAATCTATGCGTCTAGGTCACCATAATTGTCCTCATTGAAACAATGTCATAGAAACATGCTGACCAAATTTAGATCAGCCTAACTAAATTGCTATCAGTAATAGGTGACCTCGAGCTTTTACGTTCAAGTTCTGCTCCCCCTTTACTCAACGAATTTCAAAGGCGTGCTACTTCAGAGTTCGTACAAAAAAATCCAACTCTTTCCATTAACAAGGATAACCTACGAGAGTTACTAATCAAGTTGGTACAATTCAGTAAAAGTGAAAATGCTAGCTCTGTAGAAAATCCCGTTGAACAGTTTTTTTTTCCTTTGGTGCAGCAGTCGCAAGCATTATCATCACCTTCTCAAGAACATGCCGTGGAAGATTCTTCTTTCGACTCCATAGAAAGTCCTTCTAAAATTCAAGCTCAAAAACTTCTTTTGCCGAATAATTCCAATAAACTGGAGATGAAATCTCCAAATATTTTGAGCACTCCTTTTGCTCACTCAACCCCAATTACATGGTATGTTATAGATGATAATCATTTATTTCAACTAATTCTTAAAGGAACCCTTTACCTTCTGCTGCTGACAGAGTAGCAAATCAATTTAGCAGCTATAATATAGAAAACAATTCGATCAAAAGTTTAAATATGCGACTGAGAGAACTCCAAGATTCTCTTGACCAAGCAAGGGACCAGGCAAGAAACAAGTCCAGAATTGTTGATTTGTTGAATGGAAAGATTGACGAATTGACTCACTACCTGGGTTCTCTTGAAGCTCAACACAGGGAAATGAACCTAACACAAGAGGCTCAGAATTTGCAAATCAGAAAACTCAAGAGTAAAAATGAATCCCTTGGTGCTGAAAACGAAAATTTCCAATCGGAGCTTATAGCGAAATCAAATGAAATTGTACAGGGGAAGAAGCAACTTTCTATATTAGAAAACAAGTGTGCTGCAATTATGGAAGAGTTGGAAAAGAAATCGTCAAGTTTTAATGATCTATATAAAGCTGCCTCGAAATCATTGTTAAATGAAGAAGTTCTATCTAATTTAAAATTGGAGAACCATAAACTCCGAACCCATAGTCAACAGCTAGAGGACGAGCTAGAGGAGTTTCGAAAAGAAAAACAAAACCATGTAGAAGAAATTAATTTACGCCATCCTTCGCCCTTACCTTCTCAAAAACTCACTAATTCTACTTTTTCGCCCTTTTTGTCGATACCATTCTCTCCCGCTCACATAATTAGCGAGGAAATCAATAGGTCTACCTCAACCATTAATTCCCAAGCAAATCAAAAAGATGATATAGGAACAGATCTTCTAGATCTGGAGAATGCTCTTTCACAGGAGCGTTTACGAAACAAAGAATTAACCTCAGGATTTACTATACTTTCCGAAGAAATTGGAATCCAGAAATGGATTATACAAAGCTTATCCAGTATGTCACCTCTTTTACACGATTTTAAAAATCGTTATGAGATTTCCATGCCTGGAATCGATGACCCGGATTCGACTGCGTTATACTCGACCGTGGAGTCCAGCAGAGAAGAGAATTTTCAAAGTGAAAATGAAGTTACATCAGGATCTCCCTTTACAAGTCAAGTATTTTCCATCAACAAACATCAAAGTACCTCCCCGAACACCGCTTTCTCTGAAAACGTGAACAAACGTCTAGCAAGTTTCATACAATTCAAATGCCGACCTATACTTGTTCAATTCTTCATCTCCTTTAAATACACAATTCGAGATCTATTGTATATTGTATTAGCAGCTTTATTTCAGCAACTTATGAGGTTTTTATTGTCGTTCTTTGAGGAACTAATTCAAACATCAAATAATGAAAGCAATCTAGCTCAACCTTCATGATGAGTTTACAATAAATGAAGGCTATTATGATAACGAAGGCGCCTGCCAATCTTTTTCTCTTTTTCTTTCTTTCTTTTTTTTTTTTTTTTTGTTTTTAGGAATAAGCTACTAAAGAGCATTAAGTGGACTATATTCTAACCAATGCTATAATTTTTCTTTTCAAATTGTCAAAGTTCGTCAATCATAATCATAATCATAATATTCGCGGTAATCATTGGAGGTATTCGGTCGTGATATTTATTATAGTTCATTTAGGCTTGTATGTTTCCTTTTCAGTTAATAAAGAGTTTGTAATTATCCAGCAATTTTGTTTCGAGACTTTGATGTGGTTGAAACGATAAAATAAGTAATAAAGGTTGTACCTATCCCAGTAAACCAAAAGAGGGTTGTAAAAACAAAAAAGGCGGTCACTCTATGCGTGTACATGAACCAGCTAGATTTACGATATTAGCAAAAGATTATAATAAACACTTCAACATACCGCATGCCGTGTAGTTTGGATGCAAAAGCTAGAGTCGCTTCATAAAACTCAATATCCTTGGAATAGATACGGATAGTCGCACTCTTAGGAGTATCAGCTACATAAAAACGCGAGGACAGTGTGTTGATTGCACTGCGATGGTTTCCAAACATTTCAGATTCCAATAGCTTTACGCTTACAGTCTCGCGTTCATCTAAAATCCCAGTCAAATAAAAAGGAAAGCAGAGAATTAGCTTTAGGTATTCTTGTATAGTTGAATAATATGGAAATAGGACCGTTCTTGAAACAGATTTCAATGTCGTTTGCTCAGTTCTTCCATGAAAGTCAACCGAAATCATAAAATTGCCAATGTCTCTATTACGTTGAGAACGAGGAATAGTTAATTGAAGGATCGATGTTCCAGGAAGCCTAGGATCTATGCTAAAGTGATCCATGTTCACTTTGGCATAAGGATAGTTAGACCCAGTTCTAAGCAAGTTAACGAATAAGTACTATTTATGAAACGAATATGTTTAAAACATACGTGTAGTTAAAATGAACAGGATATTGCACCACAGCATGAGGAATAACCGTGTCGTAGAAGATTATATAGCTAACGAGACTAGGAATTGAAAACAATACAATTATTAGAAAGCATATAAATAATTTTAGTCCACCTATGAAAGGCCATATCCAAGCCTTCATTTTTTACTATATACAAACTTCATTTGGGCGAAAATAGGTGTAAAGTACGATACCTGACTTTCGGTTCTCCCGCGCGACCATACCGCGGCTAGACTCACCGACAAACGAAAGCGAATATTTGTGTCAAAATCAAAAAAGACGTAAAAATCCGTTTAATCCATTTTTTATCCTTTACAAACCTAAGAACCGTTGTTTACTCTTGGAAAAAAATTGATATTTAAACGGTTCTCCTGTATGTATCACAGTTCAAGGTTAATGGCAACATATCACTTTAATATCGAACAATACATTCGTTTATGTACCAATTAATTTCATAAAGCTGGTTTTCAATTTTGGTCTTTCGCCTTCATATTCAATGCTCAATTTTGCCATAATCTTTGAAGTACTAAAGGAAGATATTAACCATCACATGTTGTATCTAGGAAACACGTAATTATAGTTATTATTATTATTATTTTTTTTTTGTTCATTCTTATTTTTTTGGACTTTTTTTAGAGCTAATTTATTCCTTGATGGAGACAGTTCCCGATTTTCTACAGAAAATTAAACAACAATACTTGCAGCAAGTCAGCCCGAACCATTTTCAATGGGTTACTTCTGATAATGAATGGTCAATTTTAGTAGAGCCTTTTGCACAGGCGTATCTGTGTGAGTTTCTGCGTCCGTCTATTTATACAAAACTTCTTTTAAAGTCTTATTTTCGGCTTCTCGATAAATACAATCAGGACCATGCAGAACCCGTTGAGACACTGTTTTACATATATATAGAATCACTCTCTAGCAGAGAAATTCCTCCTGTACAATATACACTATGTGATTACTCTGTTCGAGTGTACGAGTCTCAAAATGTTTTGCTACGAGAAGGGACCACAGGTGCGCGTACTTGGGAAGCTGGGATGGCTCTTGCAGAACTGCTATACCATAATCCTATAAACCCTGGAACCCGTGTTGTAGAACTAGGTGCTGGTACTGGCTTGGTCAGTATTTTATGCTCTAAAATGGGGGCTTCCGTGTTAGCCACCGACGGGGATAACAACGTATGTCAGGGTATTAAAAGAAATGCTCATCTAAATGGCTGTGATATTCCTGTCCAACGTTTACTTTGGGGTGTTGATCCTCCCGTTTACGCTGACCTAGTCCTTGCATCAGACGTCGTATGTTGTTTATATTTATTTGTAATAAGTACTAACTGGTTTGATGCCATGAAAGGATTTATATTTACCAAAAAAGCTTTCTTGTGTGAGCTGTTTCTTATTTGGTAAATATGATTTTTCTTTCAGCGCGTCGAAGTGTATAGACATATGAGGGAGACTTACGATGTTTAGCAACTACGATGAATGACCTTATTACAGTTAATCCTTGTTGTAAGATCCTTTTAGCAGCAACATTGCGAAGACAGGAGACAATTGACAACTTTTTACGGCTACTCCCGAATTTCCATGTAAGAGTTTTAACAAACAAAAAATACGCGAAGCTCCTATATTATGATAGTCCTCCTGTTGTTTTCTATGAGATATTTCGGTAAAACCGATGGTTTTCTTATTTTTTTTTCTAGTTATTCTTGGTTTTTGGATATTAGGGTGGAATAAATTATGCAAATAAATATGAATTTCTACGGAATAGCTGTAACAGTTTTTAACGACTTAACGACTCTTTTATCTTTGTGGATTCTATACATTTCATTATAGTCTTTAATACGACATTTTTGATAGTAAGTTTGCACTGAGCAAATTCTTGAGGAAGCTTATTACTTCACTTTTTTAGTTTAACATGACAATAAAGCAATTTTGTATACAAACTTTTAATTCATTCTTCATCCATTTGAAATTGAGTCTCTTCGTCCAACACTGAATCATACAGAAGCTGTTGTTCGGGACCTTGAAGTGGCACTTTCGAGTTCAGGTCCTCTTGATGTTTTTTTCCATTCAAGTTAAGTTTTGCTTCAAATGACTCAGATATAGCGGATAAACTGGATTGAGTTGCTTTTGCGTGATTAAGATTCAATGAATCCTGCGATATTTTTGAGATTGCGGCTGGTGACAACTTAGTAGACGTATTGTTTCCTTCTTTATTTCTCTCAAAAAATGCATAATATCTGCTTGATGTTGGTGTTCCATTCACTGATCCGAATGGCGTAGCATTTGCGCTATTCAAGCCAGATGATGTTTTTGAAATAAATCGATTTGTAGATGAAGAGTTAGGGAAATCATCACTGTGACTCATTTTTCGTTCGAGCTCCGCTGGAGTTAAAAGTTCTTGTAAGCTATTAGGAATAAAATCCTCTTCATTAGCGAATTCGTCAGCGCCATCAGTGCTAAGTAACTCGTCTTGAGATGTCCCTACAGAAGAACCATACAGCGATGCTGAAGTAAAAAAGCCTTGGGGTGTATTCAACTTACTAGCTTGACCCTTATCTGCATTTTTAGAGAGATAAGAATGTAAATTTGAAGGACTTGCTCCAAGAGTAGACATCAAATTAGGCACACTTCGACGACTAGGGAATGCATGTGTATTATCAAATGAGGCAGAGGAGGAATGAAGCACAGTATTACTTCCCAAATTCTTTAAGCCACCTGCTCCCGGCACGGACCCAGGTGGAGGACTTTTTGCGAACCGTCCAAGTCCAGTGTAACTGCCAGAGGAGACCCTAGGAAGGACTGAAGAGCTTTGCGAGCGATCTAAGGAAGGTGACTTAAAGCCAAGGGATAAATTATCTTGAGGTAGTAACTTCAGGTTACGCATACCTGTGCTCAAAGAATTCACAGGCAAATAAAACATTTGATGATTTTCAGGTGTTAAAGGAGGAGAAGATAGCATTCCAGTAATGGAAGAAAAAGATGAAGAACCTTCCAATAAAGGAGGTTTTATAGAGGGATTAGAAATAGTCCTTTTTGCTGCAGGTAAGATGGAGGCATTCATAGACATATTATAAGCATTAGGCGATGAATTTTGACTTTGATTAACATTATTTTTTGGAGGGGCGAGAGAAATACTTTCTTGGTCTAGTATATTATTTTTTGGCGGGATTGCTGCCTTTTCATTAGATTTTAGAGGTAGCTTATGCATAGCGCTTTCACTAGCAGGAGCCACGTGCGTTGGATTATAAGAATCAATTCCATAATCTGATTTATTTTCCGGTAAGTTCTGAGCTTCCAATCCTGAGTCAGCTAGCTCTTTCGGTAACTGCGGACCTACCATTGCAGGAGCAACTTGATCGGTATGATTTATAGGACCGCCAAGTGTAGTTGAAGTTAATGCACGTGTTTTTACGCGCTTTCCATCTGAAAGGACGTGTTCTAATGCACATTTGGTGCCGAATTTGCAATTCCCCTTTTGAAAATATTTACAGACAGTTTTTTCTAACGCACATTCCAAGTCGTGACTAAAAATACAATCTTTTCCACTAGTACAGGTTCCTTGGCGAAAAAACTTACAAGGAACATGCTGTAAGCCTAATATTATGATTAGCAGCTAAACAGAAATGTCACCACACAAACTCACTCTTCGTGGCAGGTCTTGTTAAAGGAGTAGCTTCGGAATTGAATTCACTCAAGTGATATTTCTTCATATCTTCTGCGTTTTTGAAAGCATGCTTCTTTGTCATCTTGTTTCTGAGCGATTGGTTTCCAATCACCGCAAATCAACCGTTTTTAAAAACGCAGTTTAAACCGCATCCAAATGCCCTTGGATTACTCCAAAAATAGTTTGCTTTTCGCGAAAACCGAATTTTATGGCTGTTGGAGGTTAAAGCTTGTTATGGTAACTTAGGCCACGTCGAACCGGCCTTTAGGGTAAACACTGATATGAAAGATCGCCGAGATATTTCTTACTTTATGTAGTTGGAAAAAGAAAGAGCTAATTCTTTCACATAATGGTAATTTTAGGTGCGTTATTATTCATTATTTTATTATTCTAGTGACAACTAATCATTGAAAACATTGTACGGATAGGAGTATTTGGAACTTTCATTTGAAGATCGTTATATATAAGTAGTACTTACTTACACTTGTGCTAATCATTAACAATTTGTTTTAGATTGTTATTCAAACAAATAGTATGGCATCTTGAGTAGCATTGAATTATCGTAGCATTTATTCGTTACTAGTACTTTCATACGTATAGCAACTAAAAATAAACAAAATGGATGAATATAAAAGCAGAAATTTTATCCATCGCATCATATCACATTAGATCACTACCAAAGAAGCTTTGGTGTTTCATCATATCTAATTGCTTAAACAATGTACAAATAAATTTTCGTACTTATGTCTTGTTTAAAGCAAGTTATTTTCCTTTTCCATTATTAACCAAAGAGATTAGCCAACCCAGTATCCTCATCTTTCGATAGAATATCACCCTTATTTGTATCATCCTGTAGACTGACACTTTTTTCAAACCGCTTCAACATTTCTTTAGCACTTACATCAAGTACAGCCGAATTTAAAGCTCTTCTATCGGTTCTCGGAACAATTCTCCCGGAATTAAATAATCTCATGAGTAATGCCTTTTGAATTTTAAGTGTTGAGGCCTCTCGAAATCTATTCGCAAATGTACTTAGCAAATTTTCTTGTGTTGCCAAAGCTGGAATACTTGCTAATACTCTAAAGGAGGAGTCCGTGATTCCCTGAGAGTAAGAAAGGATTATGCAAGCCAACCGGGCAAAATCAGATTGCATTTGCTCAAAGTAAGAATCATTAATGGCCATTATGACAGTTTGGAACACTTGTTGACATACAAACTCTCGCACTATTGAATGCGTACGCTCAGAAACCAGTAAAGGTGTAATAGCTATAAATGCGTTCACGACAATTGTTACAGTCCTTGAATCATGAACAGCTAGCAAATGGCAAAGTGTGCTTAAAAGTGGTTCACAGATAATCGCATTGTCTAAAACATAATCAGATAGTTTGGAAGAACCATTGGCCGATGATTCTTTTTCAACAAAGTCCGAGGAAATCGTGGAACGGGATTGTGTAGGAGTAATTTGTAAAAACGTTTCTGTAATTAATTTTGATGTAGCATAAGTAAGATGGCGAAGCAAAGATTCTTCAATCATTTCTTCTGAAAGGTCGTCGGCTTCCTCAGTATCCTCTTCAACAAGGAGGCCTCTCTCAGTTATGCTTCGCCATTCTTTCACTAACTTTCGATCCAATTCAGAAAGTAGGGCAGGAAGAAGTGGTAATAAACATTCATCACGGAGTGCAGGAGGACAATGTAAACAGTACGGTTTTATAATCACGTTGACAACGGATGTCCATTGGTGAAGACTCAAGCCAGAAGCATGATTAAAAAATGAGGTAAGGAAGGAGGTTGACAAAGCAGGAATTGCAAAAAATGGTTCACCAAGTCTCATAAAGGAAGCAATTGCTCCGTAACAGTACTCTCTCAATCGGCGCAAAAAGTGTCCAAACGAATGAATCAACTTGTTAGCAGAGACATCCATTTTGTATGATTCTTCCAAAAATTGATTTTTCGAAATTTGGCTAACACCGTGAAGCCAGAAGCGTTCAACGATACTCTTTTGAAGAATTGCGGAATTATGTGTACCTAAAGAGGAGATGAAAGAGGGATCGTAACAACAATGTAATTGCTCAATTAATTTCAGTAGTCCAGGAACAATGTTTGGTAAAATCACCGACCATAAAGTCTTGTGTTCATCAAATTCTGATGGATGTATCCGTCTATTACTGTAAGTAGCTTCACAGAATCGACCTAAACATTTTATAGGCCACAGCCATTTTCGATTGTCTTCTAAGTCAGTTTGAAAAGAGCACGCATCAGTATCCAATTCATATTTTGTATAGTCGGCATTATAGGGATACTTTGCAAACAGATAATCAGCCATCTGGGGCAGCTTTACGTGATTTAAGAATTCCATGGGGGAATTGACTGGAGGTTGAGCATCGAGCCAGGTGGAAACAACAGGACCGACCAGCTTTTCGAAATATTCATTCTTAAGAGTATGATTGATATCGGAAAATTGAGAAATCACAAACAAAAATGTTTTCAACATCACAATCTCTGAACCACTGAGAGTAGTATACGTGCCAAGCTGGTCAATAGTGCTCTGTAGCTGATCAAAAATATTCATCAAAGGGTTCGGCATTAATTCTCCAAGTCTGACTAACTCAAAACAGCATCTGCTCCGCATTTCGTTGACTTTCTGAAGATCAGAAAAAGCATATAAGGATGGCGAGTTATTGTAAGTAACCGCGGAAATAATTTTCTCCAAAACAACTCCAAGCAGTGTAGTATTTTCACGAGCTAGTATTGATGTGAATAAAACCAAGACACTGATAAGTCGTGTTATAAGCATAGGATCCTTAAATTCAACTTCAACTAATTGTTTGCACCACAAAAACAAGCTTTGTAAAATAAGTTCATAGGTTGCATTATCGGTCACATTTTCATTCCAACGGGTGATTCCATGAAGCGATGCTTCTATCGTCGAAAATCCCATGTCCATAATCAAATAAACAGGAGTCGTTTTTGATGAAAAAGATGATTGCGATTGAATCTGGCCAATATTATTTACCAAGATATTTTGAAAATTATTTTGCACCCAACTCAAAGATTCCAAGGGCTTTATAGAAACGGTAAGACGAACGATATCAAACATAAATCTTCGATAGTTTCCACAGAAAGAGTGGACAGCAGCAACTCCTTCAACATCTTCAGCGAGAAAAACAGCTATAGAAGAATCGGGAATCATGTCAACTACGGCATCTTCAAAACGAAGCAATCGTTCTGATGCAACGTTGAGTAGTTGAGGGTAAACTCCCTGAAATTTTTCGTGTTTAGATATCAAGGGATCCCGCAAAGCTAAAACCCAAAAGTGTTGAGAAATGGCACTAATTAATAAACTAGGATGCTTCATAATTTCAAGGATCAAGGCGGAATAAGTATCTAGGCAGTTTATGTTGATAGCTTTTCTTCGACTGGAATCCAAATAATTGTACTGTCCAAGAGCAACAATAGTTTCCGCAAGTTTTTTTAGTAAAATGTAATCACCAGAAGAAGAAGATAAATCATCAATTTTTATTGACTGGGAAATGTTTGAATACACTTGATGAAGTGTATAAAGGCCTTCAGATGATAGCATTTCTTCGACAGTAGCCCAAAGGGGGTCGTCTATTTCCATGCTTCTGGTGACGCAAATGTATATGCAGTCGATCGCATGAGTTTTCAATTGAATTGGTCCATTCACTAATATGTTGCAAATACGTGCCACGATATTAGCTTCAATGATTGAATCCGTAGCTACCCAAGAAAGACAGCTCTTGAAGCATTTCAGACTTTCTAGTGCATCTGATTCGCTTTCGAGCATTGCTGACCAACGGTTAAGCCATCCTTCGTTATTCTCGGGTATAGATACGGAATAAGGAAGACCTGATGGGTACAGTTTGTGAAGAGACTGAGATGAGGACAAAATACTGATTAAGGCATTAAACAAAATGTGAGAGCGAAGGGAAGCGACAGGATCATCGTACTGATATAAGTCCTCCATGATACCGCGTAAAATAAAAGAGGACAGTTGACGATGCTCCACATTCATGTTCCAAAGCGACTGCAGAAATAAATCAAACTGCTCTCTCCAAATATGGCTGTACCAATCTCGCTTTACAATTTCTATAAAGACAGAAGCTAATTTGCTCCGAACATAGTAAACAGAGAGCGCATCCAGATTTTGCAAAGAGAAGGTACAGAGGAAAGAGATTAGAGAAAGTTTCGTTTGATCATCATAATTTTTCCAGTTTCCATGAATGCTTGCTTCAAAAAGACTTAACGCAAAATGCCTAACAACATGAATATCGATTTTAAATCCTCTAGCTTTTAAAACTTCATCATTCAAATTTAGTAACTGAAATGCTGAAGAGCTATTATCGAAAGACTCTTTCAGATTATCTAAGAGCTATACCAGTGTTAGTAACCCCAAAAGCTACAATTGATCAACCTGAGTTTCCAACTTACCGCTTGGGCATCATATCGAGTTTCTCGACTAGATTCAGCAGCGTGAACAACATTCAATGCTTCCAAAACTCTTTGTAGGTTGCTTTCGTCCATCAAAATTATGTTACGAAACCAACGATTCGTTCAGCCACGTTTGTTTACTATGTCTTAGTTGTAAAAGCAGCTTTCTTTTGACCGAAGGATAAAAGCTATACTTTTTATCGTTACAAATAATCTCAAAAATATCTATGTTTCACTCTAATTTTGTATCAACAGGTACTGATCCTTTTCTTCACCGTGTCTGGGGGATTCCAAGTAAGCGTAGTTAGTCTGTTCAGCAAGCGTATCTAATCAAATTGTGCAATGCAACAAAATTTCCGAAATCACTTAGTGACATTAAACGACATTCGTTAATTTCGTATAAGAAAATACTCGCTTACTATAATCATAACCACCAAACTCTTCCTTTACTTACAACACTTAAGGCTCTTGTACCGTATTGTGGCTACGAGAGAAGAGTCAATTTTCTATATTCACAGGTTGTTTTCGTGCCTTTCTAGCTAAAAATTTCTTAAAAAATTTCTTTTTTTCTATAGAAACGCGTTTAAGGTTTTCGATCTATTAAGATATATTTTTGGCTCAATTTATATTGTACTTGTTTATTCTGTATACCTTTAGAAACAGGAATTACAGGACCAGGGATAATCTGAATTGGAATTTATAAATTGAAATTGCTTTGATTTGGATTGCTACAAAAATTCTGAACGAAGAAGAAATAAATTTGGAATAGTGAAAAGCATTCTTTGAAACATTATGTCTGATGCATATGAAGAAGAGCAAGAATTTTTCGAAGAAGAGGAAGATTTTGACGAAGAAGCCTTTGAAGGCACAGATTTAGAGGAAGAGTTCGACGCAGATAATGTTGCTATCGATGACTATGGGTTTACGGTGGAAAAAAAGAGACGGAAGGCATACGACGTAGACTATAAGGTGGCTAGTCCTACTGATCTTCAGTCCTGGCAAAATGAAAAAATAGAACAATTGACGTCTATTATTGGTTTAACAAGAGAGCAAGCATTGGGTTTATATCGCTATTTCAAATGGAATCGAGAAAAATTACTAGAAATGTACGTTGATGACCCTGAGAAAACCCTTCATAAAGCTGGTGTTGTGCAGAGTGATGAGAAAAAACATGAAGTTGTACAAAAAGAGGGTACGTGTTCAATTTGTTTCGATGATGGTAAACTTCCTTTTTTCAGTGCAGATTGCGACCACGACTTTTGTTTGTCTTGTTATCAGCATTATCTCGTTTCAAGGATTCAAGAAGGAGAAACCATGATTCAATGCCCTGAAGAAGGGTGCAGCCAGATTATTTCACAACAATCAATTCTGAAGCTTTTGGATGAAAAATCACGCATTCAATATTGTAGATTGCTGGATCGCTCTTTTGTTGACGATAATGATTTGTTTCGTTGGTGTCCAGCACCCGATTGTCCTTATGCCATCGAGTGTCATGTTGCGCAAAGCAGTTTAAATACGGTTGTGCCGACAGTAACGTGCCTTTGCGGAAAACAATTTTGCTTTGGTTGCGGTCGGGATAATCATCAACCTGCAATATGCCCACTTGTCAAGGTATGGTTACAGAAATGCGAGGACGATTCTGAGACTGCCAATTGGATTCACGCCAACACGAAGGAATGTCCAAAATGCTCAACCACAATAGAAAAAAATGGTGGATGTAACCATATGACATGCAAGAAATGCAAATATGAATATTGTTGGGTATGTTTGGGTCCATGGAGTGAACACGGTACAAATTGGTATTCATGCAACCGCTACGAGGAAAAAAGTGGGTCAAATGCTAGAGACGCGCAAACTCGTTCTCGGGCATTCCTTGAAAGATATTTGCATTATTATAATCGATTTGCAAATCACGAACAGTCTGCTAAACTTGATCATCAGTTATATGACCAAACCTATCACCGCATGACTCAGATGCAGGTGGACTCAAATTTATCATGGGTAGAAGTACAATTTTTAAAGAATGCTGTGGATACCTTGTTTGAATGTCGACAGACCTTGAAGTGGACGTACGCCTTTGCATATTATCTTGTGAGAAACAATCAAACCGAAATTTTCGAAGACAATCAGCGTGACTTAGAGCTTGCTGTAGAAAACTTGAGTGAGCTATGTGAGAGTCCTGCTTTTGATAAGACACTGCAATCCTATAAGCAAAAGGTTTTGGACCGAACGGTGTATGTACGAAGTCGCCGAGATGTATTGTTGGACGATACGGCAAGAGGACTGGCAGAAGGCCGATGGGAATACGTTGTGGACTTCTAATGTATTACCGTAGTAACAAAAAAAAATAAGAAAGAATAATCCCTCTTTTGTAGTTGTTAATGTTTCTCAATATAATGTCATCCTTTTGTTTATGATTCCCTTTCTCACTTATTTTTTGGCGCAGATAACTTCATTATCATTGTATCCATTCATAAACTGTGTTTTCCAGGAACTATTTCTTTACAATTTTCAAAGAATAACGGATTTCTATTTGTTTACCATTTACGTCACATGGAAATTCGTCACCATGTATCGTTATTATTTCAGTGAAAAAAAAAAAAAAAAGAAATGCTTGTGTCAAAATATACAAAAGAGGATACTGGATAAGGTAAAGGCACCTATTTCCTTTATTTTAAATTTGGTTCATCATTAATAGAAACGGTTAGTTGTCTTTAAGATGTACGACGGTTGATGTTTCACTTCTTTTCTGGGGGTAGTCTAATTATAGTTTACAGACCCAATCCATCTGTATAATATTCAGTTAAATATATAGTAAAGACGGTAAGCGTTTGTACTTTTTTATAAATAAAGATTCCTATCATCGGACAGAGGAAGGTTCTGCATTGTTCTTCGAGTATCTATTGTCTCGAATAGTGTTTTCCATTTCATTCCCATATCGTATTAATATTGTATCTGAATATAATATTTATTTTGCATATGATTTTCCAATACGTTGAAACTAATAAATAAAAAAGAAAAGAAAAGAAAAAAACAAAACAAAACAAAAACTTTAATAAACTTGATTGAAAGGGTTAGCGTAATTGATGTTTGTTCCCCTCTACAGCGTATAGCATCATACCCCTCTTACGCATTTTCTGGAAACTGAGCTGCATATAATAAGCACTGACAACACTTACCATTTACAAACTCCCATACATATAAACGATTTATACTCTGAAGGGACATAAAAGAACTATAACCTGATAAAGAATTCTACGATACTTTTTATTTATAAACCGGCAAGAATTCAATAATGTCAAATTTAGAGGCAGCAGTAAAATCTTCTGTAGAAGATACAAATTCCGAAACCCGCCGTTTAGTAGTCGTTTCTAACCGTTTACCAATTACTATTAAGCGTAAAGACAATGGTACTTATGACTTTAGCATGTCTTCTGGTGGCTTGGTCAGTGCCTTGAGTGGTCTGAAAAAATTAATGACATTTCAATGGTTAGGATGGTGTGGTATGTTTTTGAGAATAATTCAGAAAGATTCAATTGTTTGAGGAAATGTTATTGAAATGCTGGTATTCATTAAATGGAGACGTTTGTCTCGTTGAAATGATTGCTGTTTCTTTCCATTCAGAACATTTCCCTTTCTCTAAATTCTATCAACTATTTACGCAAACAAAAGCTAACAATTCTCGTATAGGACAAGAAATTCCCGAGGAAGAAAAGCCTATGATTGTTGAGCGACTACAAAATGAGTACAGTGCCATTCCCGTTTTCTTAGATGATGAGCTAGCAGATCGTCATTATAATGGATTCAGTAATAGTATTTTATGGCCCTTATTCCATTACCACCCCGGTGAAATTAGTTTTGACGAGGAAAACTGGGAAGCATATAAAAAAGCTAATATGGCGTTTGCCGAGGCCATTGTTGAGAGCTTACGCGATGGTGATCTGATCTGGGTTCAAGATTATCACCTTATGATGCTACCTCAGTTACTCCGTGAATTGATTGGAAATAAGTTGAAAAACATCAAAATTGGTTGGTTCCTCCATACTCCATTCCCAAGTAGTGAAATTTATCGTGTTTTACCCGTCCGCAATGAAATCCTAGAAGGGGTTTTGAATTGCGATTTGGTCGGATTCCATACCTACGATTACGCTCGCCACTTTCTTTCTGCTTGTTCTCGAATCCTTGGTCTTAGTACGTTGCCAAACGGCGTTGAATACAATGGTCAAATGGTAAGTGTCGGAACTTTCCCCATTGGAATTGATCCAGAGAAATTCGCAGACGCTTTACGATCCGATGCTGTTCAGGAACGGATTACTACGGTGGAGCGCCGGTTACAAGGCGTTAAAGTTATTGTTGGCGTTGACCGCCTTGATTACATCAAAGGTGTTCCTCAAAAATTCCATGCTTTTGAAGTTTTCTTAGAACAATACCCCGAATGGGTAGGTAAAGTCGTGTTGGTTCAGGTTGCAGTTCCATCACGTCAGGATGTGGAAGAATATCAAAACTTACGAGCTGTTGTCAATGAACTTGTTGGACGTATTAATGGCCGCTTTGGAACCATAGAATATACCCCAATTCACTTTTTGCATAAGAGTGTTCGATTCGAGGAATTGGCTGCCTTGTACAACATTTCGGATGTATGTTTAATTACCTCTACCCGTGATGGTATGAATTTGGTATCATACGAATATATCTGCACTCAGCAGCAACGTCATGGTGCCTTAATTCTCAGTGAGTTTGCTGGTGCAGCTCAGTCTCTGAATGGCAGTATCGTGATCAACCCTTGGAATACGGAGGAATTAGCGAATGCCATTCATGAAGCATTAACCTTGCCAGATAACCAGAGAGAAGCAAATCAACAGAAGCTGTATCGATACGTCAGTAAATACACTAGTCAATTCTGGGGTCAAAGCTTCGTTGGAGAACTACAACGCATCCAACATTACAGCCATCCCAAGAGACCTACTCCTGTGTTGAAGACGAAATCTGCTCAGATCTTGTCTATGTCTAACGATTAGATTGGCAGAAATCCGGACATAAACGAAATTAATAATGACTGGATTCGTTGTTTGCCCAGATGTCGACTATTCTTTTACAGTATACGTGATACTCCAGTATGAAAGCTTATAGTCGATATTAACGTTATCTCGAAATTTTCTAATCATTTTCCCCAGTCAAATTTCTAAACTTGTCAACATTCCCTTTTCTTTCTTGTGTTTATGGTTATCAAGATGGGTATCTATATATATATATGATTTTTGCCGATTGATAAATTCTTGCGAGTAGAATGATTTTATGTTTTAACTTATTTTATGCAAAAAGTTAATGAAGAAATATTATGAAAATGAATACTCTTTATTTCAATTCATTAGTATACTAAGGATTTACAGCAAATTCTCGATAGATATAAACATAGCTTTTTCTGCAAGGTTTTCAATAAAGCACACATTGAATTTTCAAACGTTGTATTTATTTATTTATGTTTCTTGTCATTTTGGGTAATTTTGACATTGCTGATATTTGCATTTCCCATATATGTTTACATTATGAGAAAGGATTTTGCCCTCTGCGTCATTGTGTGATCATATACTAGGATTAGTTTTGGATTTTCAAATCGACTAGAAACTTCATAAGAGCACCCTCTCAGGTACATTTTGAACTATCTAATTGAAGCATTTTTCCTACTTTTGCTATAACTTTTTAAATTTGACTAGGATTGAAAATCCGTGGTTTCACTTGAGAGTAATATTTCCACATATACTTCATTTTGTACAAATCGTTTGAATTATAAAATAATCCATCCTTTTGACATTCAGAACAGATTCTTTACCGTTTCAGATTTCGATTAACCGTCTATTGTCAATTTAAATTGTTTTAATCGATATTGGGTTTTGCCTGAGAGTAAGAGAGAATGCTAAAAAAATGAGCTTAGAACAATGTTACAATGGAACTCAAACATTCGCAAAGGTAGCATTGCATAAGCAAAAGTCTTCAGATTATGTAGACGCCATTGTTATGTTTGAGAAAGCCAAACAAAATATACTCGACAATCCCAGTTTTCAATTTTGCAAAGATACTATCGACGATCTGAATCCAGAAGAACGACAGTACACAGAGGCCCTTGTTTGCATGTTGGAGCAGATTTCTACTCAAGTTGACCAACTAAGAAATGAAGTTGTACTACAAGAAGCTGCCTTTCAACAACTTAAAAGTCACCAGCCCGCCAACTATACAGCATATAAAGAAGAAGAAGGAGCGACGAAGCATCTTTCCAGAGGAAGTCGGGAGAGACAACGTTCGGCCACAGGGACCATGCAGAGCAATGCTAGTTCCTCTAGCCAAGTTACCCCAGTTGGCCCAACATGCCGTACATCATTGCGCCCAGCTATAGTGGATACAGAAGGAAATAGCCCACCGAAGCCCTCAAAATCTTCCAAGATTAAAAACGTCATTTTTGGAAATAAATTTCTTTCATCGCCCAAACCCTCCAAACCCATCAACCCTCCATCGGAAGAGTCACGCCTGAAGAATGCAAATAAAGCCGCATTACTTGCTTGGGGATTACTTTCTCCTACAAAAAAAGCAGATCATCCGCTGCCGGCTTCTTATATTGCTTCCAGTGCTGCATATAAGCCCCATAATCATCAGACTGATGGTTATACTTATCCTAAAACCCGATCGTTTGAAAGTTCTCGTCACCACCATCAGTCTTCCTACCTTCCTCCCGCCTCCTCATCTATTAATACAAAACAAAAAACTAGTTTGCCAAAGCCTAATTCATCAGAGACTACAGAATCAATTGCGATTCCAAAGAGGTATCATGGATCTCCTTCTCCTTCAGGATCTAGCTCAAAACTACCTGTTCAACCTTCCTCTTCTAGCTCTGCTATAAATATGCCGACAAAAACGGAACCTAATTCACTTGAAATCCCTGAATTTCAGCCATCGTCTTCTTCTCCTTCTTTTTTGCATCCGGCTAACTTTAATAATCCGTTTTTAAGACACCTGCTATCTCCCTCAGAGCTCTCACTTTCATCTGTCAATGACAGCATATCTTCCCAAAGCGTCAAAGATGGATGGGATGTTTCTTCTTCTACAGAAAAAGTTGCAAATACAAATATGGGTCCTTTTCCAGAAACAAATACTTTAAGAAGCAGAGAAGAGCAAGTACTTCATGAGTGTCCGGAAATTGAAGAGGAACTAGGAAGAAACATCCTAAGAGAAATTGTAGTAAAAGGCGATGAAGTACTTTGGGATGATATTGCCGGTTTAAATGCAGCAAAGGAGTCTTTGAAAGAGGCAGTTGTATACCCCTTTTTGCGACCAGATTTATTTCAGGGTCTTCGTGAACCGGCACGTGGTATGCTTCTTTTTGGTCCCCCAGGGACAGGGAAGACGATGTTGGCTCGTGCGGTTGCTACCGAATCGAAATCTACCTTTTTTTCGATATCGGCGTCAAGTTTGACATCCAAATTTTTGGGAGAATCAGAAAAACTGGTTCGAGCACTTTTTACGTTAGCGAAAAAATTATCTCCCAGTATTATTTTTGTGGATGAAATTGATTCGTTATTATCGGCCAGGAGTGCTGACGGAAATGAGCATGAGAGCTCAAGACGAATCAAAACAGAATTCTTAATTCAGTGGTCTTCGCTTGCCAGAGCTGCTGCTTCCAGAGAATCGGCCGACCAACCCAGAGTTTTAGTCCTCGCGGCTACAAATTTACCATGGTCAATTGATGAGGCTGCTCGCAGAAGATTTGTTCGCCGAACCTACATCCCTTTACCTGACGACATGGGTCGACGAGTTCATATTAAGAACCTTTTGCAACACCAAAAGCATTGCCTAACCGATGAAGACATAGAAGAAGTTATAAAAGCTACCAAGTTCTATTCTGGATCAGATTTAACAGCATTAGCCAAAGACGCTGCTATGGGTCCACTACGAGCGTTGGGAGAGTCCCTGTTATTTACTAAGATGGAATTAATTCGGCCAATGAACCTTCAAGATTTCCAACAAAGTCTAAAAGTCATAAGGCCTAGTGTGAACTTGGATGGATTGGAGCGATATGACCGGTGGAATACAGAATTTGGGCAGCAAGCATAATATTGAGAAGAGATGTCAGGACGTCTAGTAATGCTGCTCCTATTAATAACAAGAATATCATTCGCCCAATAGTTTTATGTTTCATGAAACCTGATATTTATGAATGAGTCGGAAATCTGGGAAGGACTAAATTGATTGTCTTAGTAGGCGAGTTTACCCTTGGCTTAAAGTTATATCAAAATATAGTCTTTTGACTTCATTATGTACATTTATGAGTTACTTTTATTTTTTTTTTGCTTGGAGAAATGACTGTGTTTTCTTATGTGTCTATAATTAAAAGATGACGACAGCTTGGATGTGTGTTGGCGATAATTCTTGATATTTTCATCTATGATTTTGTCAAGATGAAAGGATACGATTGTTACACTTGCTATTTATTTATATATATGGTTTTCTTTGCTAGTTTTCCAAACGTCTATATTAAGTGTGCAGATCATATTAAAGTCGCTTTTACGTTCGATGCTACTATGATCCATACATCCTTAATATGATAATTGTTACCGTATACTTCAGCTAGTAGATCGTTGCAGCGAATATATTGAACGAATATAAGCTTATAGAACCGATTTGTAATAATATAGTGAGTAAACTAGACGTTTTGTATGCAGATTCAACTACAGAGGTGAAAAAAACATTATTACTGCCTATATATTTCGCGACTTTGGTATATGAACAAGCTATTTGAGTTGCTAGATAGCACAATTGTATTCGAGTTCAAAGTTCGGTATGCCTATTATCCTTCTGGCATCGGTTATGTGGTCAGACGTTAGTGATTAGTTATTTAATGTTTGACAAAATCCATGTGCGCATCTATGATAATGACGAAAATAATATTATTACTATTTATTATTATTATCATATTTGTTAACACGGTAGAAGGGCAGCGCATTCCATAAATCTGAATAAGGTATTATTTGGTAATGTGATAAGTATGGAGATGGTTCGTATGAACTAGGTATTATGCCTTTCACCACCAAATAAGTGATGCCTGGGCAAATGGAATGGGTAATGACTATTTAAAATTTAGGAAAAGAAGCTAACGGATTAGAATGGAACAAAACCTGGCAATGCGGATTTGTCGAATCCATTATATGTCCAGAATCAGACATTACCGGCTACGTACCGCGAAAGATCGATGTCACCAAGAAGATACGAAGATGTCAGCCGGATGAGAAAACGAGAAAGCTATCATGATGAAGAATATCCGTTAAAAGATCCTCATTTAATTTCTGGGAAGCAAAATAGTCAACAGGAACGCCGTGTATACGTAGGAAACCTTTCTTACCAAGTCCGATGGTATGAATTGAAAGATTTTATGAAGCAAGCTGGTCACGTACTATATGCAGAGATCTTAAATTTACCAAATGGTTTATCCAAGGTATGTCAAAATTATAGTATGATCAATGACGGTACTGTTCTTTATGACTGTGTTGTGGTCTCAGTGCAATATCATCAATTTGTAGAGAGCTAACAAGTGTAGGGCTGTGGCATCATAGAATATTCGACTAATGAAGAAGCAAAAAGAGCGGTTGAAACTCTTAGCAACCAAAAGTTTATGAGCCGCCTCATTTACGTTCGAGAAGTACGTGGTTCAAAGGTTCAGGTCTTTAAGATTGTTGACCCGCATTTACGAATTTACTTTGATGATTAGTATTTGCTAACTCGTATTAGGATCGTGAGCAAGAACCCAAATTTGGCTCTCAACCGTTTTCTCATGGGCACTTTGTGGATCGTGGAAATGACGCCGGGCGGCAGTTGTTTGTAGGAAATGTACGTTGGTATATTTCCTTTTATAGTTTTGCTAATAATGTATAGCTTCCTTATTCTGTCCGTTGGCAGGATTTGAAAGACTTGTTTCGGCAGGCTGGAACTGTTGTTCGTGCCGACGTGCAAATGAATCAGGAAGGTCGATCCCGTGGCATAGGAATTGTCCTTATGAACTCAGCTAACGATGCTAATCACGCTATTGAAAAATTAAACAACACTTCTTACATGGGTCGCACACTTGAAGTTCGTTTAGATCGGTTTGCAAAAAATAAAAACAATTCATACCGCGTACATAGCTTTGGCATTCCCAGTTATTCTCACGATGCTTCTTCTATGATGAATAATTCGATGTACATGCCTACGATGGTTGGTATGCCACCAGCAGTAGACGAGCTGGTGGATAATGCTTTTTCATACGGCCCTCCATCAAACCGCATCTATGTTGGAAATGTATGCTCTTTTTTTATGTATTGAACGAAAATGCTAACCCATTTAGTTGCCATGGGCCACCAATAACCAAGAGTTGTTTGATCTTTTCCGTCGCACTGGCAACGTCGTTCAAGCAAAAATTGCTTATGAATCGAATGGCTATTCCAGAGGATATGGGGTCGTAGAATACGCAAAAGAACATGAAGCTGCTGATGCCATTAAAAATTTCAGTGGTTGCCAATATGGTGGAAGACACCTGCAAGTTTCGTATGTTCAGTATGGTCAGCCGGCCAACACTGTACTACCAAGTATGATCCCTACCATGACGACGGCTCCAGTAACTTATCCTTCTCCTATTATCCCCATTTCTACATCGAATTCTCCTATGACTTCACAGTCGTTTGCCAGTCCAATGCTCAGTTACATGCCCATCCCTGTAACTACTCCTACTTTACAGCCAAACGTCTCTACACCGCCAATTGTTGATAACATGGTAAACACCCAGCAAGCTACATCGTCTAACGAACCGACAAAGAAATTTGACCTTGTTTCTTCGCCCCCCACGAACGGAGACTTCTGATTGTGTTTCACCAAGTTGTAAGTGCTCCTCATTTGATTATCCGTAAAAAAATCGATAGGTCTTGTCGAGAACGACGTTCAAGCCATAAGTTTTCACGATAATGTTTTGCTACTAATACTGGTATATTGAATGATCTTGTTTTGGTTACCACCTAATGTTAGTTTGTTAGCGACAGAGCTCCCAAGGTAATCATTTCCTTATATAAGTTCTAGGACCTGTACATAACAATGCTCTGATTTCTTTTTGTTATTATAGCTTTCTAAAAAAAAATACCATACTTTATGTGTTTTGTCTCGTAATTCTGTTACCGTTCTTAAGGCACATTGGATCCTCGTTTTTTGCTTATTTCCTTCGTTTGTCATCATCTTTTTTGTTCATTATTATACTGATGTTAATTATTATTTCTTCAATGCTTTTGCTGCTACAAATCAAACTATACAGAGGAATGCAAACGCTATTAATATAATTTAATTTAAATTTCTGTATAATTATGTTCTTCCTTATATCATCTTATCATAATCAGTAGGTGATGCAGTAAGCCAGTTCCTTAGTTCGTATCTTCCAATTCCACAAATATAAGTTCTTTCTTTTTGTTCTTCAAGATCTTTGCTATTGTTGCATTATATTGCATTCCCTGTTGAAAACAAAAGTTGAATATATTTGAATAGAACTGAATCGCAGATATGCAAGGTCTTAAAATAAGGAAAAGTCCAAACAGGTTAATACAGGATTTAGATATCTTTGACGGTTCTTCAAAGGATTGGTATAATCCTTGGAGCCCGCATAATGCTAAATATCATTGGCAATTGCATTTTTCCTCTGTAGATTCTGTTGAACAGAATCCATATGACTTCTGGTGCGTGTGCCAGAAAACCCGAAAACATATGCATGTACAAATACAGAAGGATAGCGATTATCCTCACATAATGGAACCTGGGGTAGAGTTTACCCCGCCAGAGCAAATAGTCGCATATTGTTCGATGAAAGGACCAGAGCAGTTCAACGAACATCTAGAGAAGAACATTCACCATTCATCAGACCTATCTAGCATGCGATGGAAGTCTGAAGATGGAAAGATAAGTGTCAATATTGAATGGAAGAACAGCTATTTGGATGCTTCATGTGTCAAAGACATTATAGACTCTCGTCGACCTTCATTTGCTTCTTTACTTTCAAAAAAGCCTGCGTCCGATCAAGAAGAATCACGATCTTCGCCTTCTCTCTACTCAACTTTTTCTTCGTTGGAGTTATTCCTTCGCAATGTTTTATTTAATAATGATCATCGCTCTATAAGTGCGGCTCCGGATGGCACGTTTGAGAAACATGTTGGTAGAGGACCTCAAATTCAAAAGCTTATGAGCATTTTATCCTTTCATTTTAATTCTGATAACACAAATTATGTTCCAAGCATAGCAAACGAACCTCTAACTATTGAGCAAAAAACAAATTTAACTTTGGCTCGCAATGAGCTTATTATATTGGCAAATAACTACAGGGATAAATCGCGAGATCCTCTTGTCCCCAGTCCAACTGCAACCCCAATGTTAGCGCGTCCTTATTTATTGTCAGCTTTAAATGTTCCTACTTATAATAGTGTTGCACCTATGTACACTTCTATCTTTCATCAGAACAATGCTTCTTTGCCCGATGATCCGGCTTTCATTGCTCTTGGAGTTACGAATGATTATCCTGATAATCTAGTTTGTTTATTCTATAACAAACAAAAAGAAAACGACCCGGATAATGCAAGAATTTACGTAGATGCTTTTGCACATATTTATAACCTTAGGAAAACTCCTTTGTTGAAAGAACAACTTCAGCTTGATAAAAAAATTGGTCTCGTCTCCAGTGATGCTATACAATTTGCTTATACTTCTCTATCGCTAGAAACAGAAGTTTCTGTTTTAGCACAAAATTTTAAATATACGGATAAGCACATATTAGATACTTTCCTGAACGTCGTACAAAAACAACCCGAAACCATAAGAGTCCAACGCGAAAATCTGGAAACGGTGGCTTGTGCTAGGCAAAGCAAAGGAATTTTGGAATATCTTCGTTCTACATATAGAATATTCTACGATGTTCAAGAAGCTTATAGTTGGCTTGGTATTAGTCCAGATACTGAGGATGGTATGATAGCTTCTGTTGCTTTGGTCAAATCTGAAGATGATTCTTCAAAGACATTGGAAGCAATCAAGTGTATTGCAGAGGAAAGAAATAGCTCCGTTTTGTATGAGTTCTTGGCATCTTTAAACCCTTCTTATATCCCTCAAGCTCCTGATACTTTTATGACCACTGATGACGCTTATGAAACACTTGCAGTTCAGGACCGTGATGTTTCAGATGATATGTTAATCAATGTTTATACATTTGCAGTTGAGGATCAGCCAGAGAGATCTGATCGCTTGAAGTCAGCATTAAAATGCATTGGCGAATCTAGAAATTCAAAGCTGATAATGCATTTCTTGGAAAATGGCAACCTTGATCTTCCTGAGGAACCACCTAATTTAAATGTTCCTGTAGGATTGGAAAACACTGGGAATTTTTGCTATTTGAATTCTTTGCTCCAATATTACTTTATCATTAAGCCTCTTCGTGACGCGGTCTTGGGAATTAACTATAATAAAGATGTTTCCATGATAAAAAGCAAAGAAGCTGTGAAAAAGGTTGGTGGTCGTAGCGTAAATCGTATTGAATTTTTGCGTGCTCTGCAGTTTACCTATGAACTTCGTTCTCTTTTTCAACAGCTTATAACCACCAAACATTCATCTATTCTTCCATCATCAAAATTGGCGTATTTAGCTTTAATCCCGTTAACTATGGAACAGGTTAAATCGACATCTTCTTCCGTGATTCACCCGATGGAACTAAGCAATATTTCTACGGAAAGTCATCAACAGGACCAACAAGCAAGCGCTCCTATAGACGCCAGTCACTCTACTTCTACATCTGATTTAATCAACTTGGCTCCTTCAGAGAAAGATGAAGGAGCGGAAATGCCGTACTTTGATATATCAGAAGAAGAGGTTAATTCATCTTTGGATCTCGGACGTCAGCAGGATGTTGCTGAATGTATCGATCACGTTCTATTTCAAATTGAGGTTTCTTTAGGCCCAACGAAGAACAACGAGGGATCAAGTAGTTCAGATGAAGATTTAATTCGACGATTATTTTATGGCAAAACCAAGCAGACGTTACATGATGATAGTCAAGGAACTAGATCAAGTGAGGAATTATATTCGCATTTGATTGTAGACTTGTATAAAGAGCGACAAACCTTATATGATGTACTGGATGGTGTCTTTGAGACTGTAACGCTTGACTTAGGTAATGAAACTACCAAACGCTCTTTGTGTATCAAAGAGCTTCCGATGATTTTGCAACTTCAAATTCAAAGGGTTCAGTTTGATCGTTCTACAGGTCAACCCTTTAAGTCTAATGCTTATGTTGAATTTGGAAAAGAGTTGCATATGGATCGCTATGTGGAAGATGTAAACGGAGAAATGGCTCCTTTGTTGGATAAATATTGGAGTATGAAGCAAAAAATTGGTGAATTGCAACAACGACGAAAATATTTGATGACTACGAATTCACAGTTATTATCCTCAGTAGAAACACTGGCGACACTTTCAACTTGGGCGGATTATCAAAAAAATTCTCGCTTGCCTATAAGCAAGAAGTTGCCGCAGCTTCTTCACGAGGAGACCGAAAAAATCAGCATGGAGCTTGAAAGGTTGGCACAGGAAGAAAGACAGACGCAAAAAGAGAGAATGCATTTGTTTGATAATCATATTAACCATAGTTATGACCTTTTAGCAATTTTCATTCATCGTGGACAGGCAACGTTTGGACATTATTGGACATATATGCGTGATCTAAAGACCGATGTTTTTCGAAAGTATAATGATGAATACGTTACAGAGGTTGACGAGAGTGAGGTTTTTGCGGACACAACAGGAAATACTGCCAATCCTTATATGTTAACGGTAAGTGAAAAGTTAAGGACTTTAAGAGTATAAGCTAATTTAAATCTAGTACGTAAGGAAAGACTGCAGACATATAATTGAGTGTCTCTCTCGGAATCCTGAATTTCTTAAATGAAAATTCAAATAAAGTGAGCGTATATTTCAAATTTTGGTGTTAGAAGTCAGAAATCTTTAAGTATATTAATGACGGGTTTATATGCTATGTTTTACTAATGAAAAATCATTATATAAGTGAATCTTACTTTAGACAATTACTTCTCAATATAGTCATTTCTTATATGGCTCAATCGTTGTTCCTCAGTAGACCTTATGGATGTATTTATTTTGGTGAGTCTGATAAATTAAATAAAAAAAGGAAACATACATATTACACGAGGGATTAAACAATTCCATGATTACCCCTTTCAGGTATCGGTATTGATAAAGTCGTAAAAAAACCATAGAAAACAACCTCAAGAACAACGAAACAACAATCATAACTAAATTAAGATATAGAGAGGAATAGGAAGAGTAAAAGAAAAGAAAAAAAAGAGAAGATGCAAAACAATAAATGCAAGTAAGACTTGCGAATGAGTTCGGAAATCATTAAACAATAGCTTCAGGAGCCACATTTTCTGGGTTCGTCTGTTGGATAGCATTCTTTGTCCGGCGGATGCGAATAAAATTAACAGTGTCAACTAAGAAAAAGCACCAACCGGTTATTAAAAGAATACAACCTATTAATTTTTGGTGAGGTAATTCATCAGAATCATCCGAAACATCACTACCATCATTTGGTAGCATTCCACTTTCGACTACCATATTATATCCTCTTTGTAAAAGGGTCAAGCTCAACCCAATTTGTGATCCATAACGACCGGAATGGGTTGCAGACAAAACGTATGTGACAAGAAAACCTACAAAGGGAAAAACAAAGGAAACTAGGGCACTCCAAAAAAAAGCAATCGGTGAACCGACTGTCATGCCGTCAATATAAATTTCGTTGCTTCCAAAGCTTGGAACTACCATCGTGGTATCCCAGTATGGCGGCGCAATATCAGCTGCAACTTCTTCATACGTCTAAAAAGTAGTCAGTACATCTGTCCCTATGTTCATCAATAGTATTTTGAATTGCATATAACAATATGAACATGATCAGCTTGTCCTGCAAAGTTGAAGGACAACTTACTTACCGGTGGTTCTTCGTTTTCCTTCTCAGGATCAGCACTTGGTTTTGCAGATAAGTTGGAAAAGACACTGTCGACATAGTGGGTTCTGGGTTGACGGGAAGCTGAACTTGAAGCAGCCTGTGGTGAATGTGAGGATCTTCCATCTGAGGATATATTTTCAAGAGGCACATTGTTGTCTGATTCTACCGTATCTGGTTCGGTGTCTGTAGACTGTCGTGAATTTTGATATAGAGGAGCTCGTTCGTCTGATTCAATGTCATCCTCTGGTGGATGAAAAGCTGCAGAAAGAACATTTCTACCGGAAGATCTATGTTGAGGGGAATTGATTTCCACTGTTTCTATGTTTGGCTGTATGAAAAAGTCAGTTAATATATCATTTTCACAAAACCATTAGTTCCTATACCTGTACTTCGTCCGCCATGGATCTTTGAATATCAATTATGTTATACAGTTACGATGCAAATTTTAAAATATAGGTTGATAGGCAGCAATTCTTCCTGCCAGTAAACTGGAAACTTCTGAAATGGTTAAAGAAATGTCACAAGCACCTTAGAAATTATTTGGTAATCGCTCAAGTAACGAGTGCTTTCTGATGCCATATAATAATATTGAGGTTTTGAGCAGATAATGTCACCTAGAAGAAAAAATTTTGCTTTAAAGATGGCTTGTACGTTCAATGTCTGTTCAGTATAGTCATATTTCCACTGAATTGTTCGACAATAAATTCAAGACATACTATTTTGAACCCATCAATGAAATCCATTTTATTTTTTTGCGAAATATCTTTGATGATTTTACACTTTTTTCACTTTGCATTACTTTGTGTCTTGTTTATTTTCCATCATAATCCAAGGCCTTTAGCCTCATAATAGTTCATAATATACTAATCTTTTTCTAACAATAATGTGTTTTTAAAACAAAGCATTCTTTGTGGCTACTATGAGACTAGAAAATGCTGTATGTTACTTCCTGGTCTTTCGTTTATTTACTCGATACATTCGTGATTATAAACAAAGAGTAAAAAATTGAGGTAGCTGTATCCTGTTTTGAAAAATAAATAAATAAATAAATGAAATGAAATGGAACTAATGATATACAAAGTCGAAAGGATGGATGTTTGTTGAACATTTTTTTTGGTTCACTTTCTACGAAGAGAGGAAGAGGGAAATCTTTAGGAAGCTGGTCGCGAGATAAATGATTGAATAGAATGCAGTTGAAAAGAAAGAATAATAAAAAAAATCTCTGGTAGTATTTCAGTTCATGAGATTTACTTGTTACGATGGATATTTTACCGGAAAAGTAGAGGAGAGAGAGAGAAAGGAATCATTGATACATACTTTATGAAGAACACCATCTGGTTGATAATAAGGGTCATAATTCTATTTGAAAATTCGGAGACGGTTCAGGTCGAGCCCAAGAGAAGTCCAAAATGGGATGTGCACCAGGATTCTTAAAGATAATATGTTTACAATCCTCTATAACAGGCGAAGTTTGGCACTGTAATTCGATAGAGAGATGATTGGATTCATGTAGACGAAACTAGTTTTGTTAGATAAACAATATAGTAATGAAGAGGAGAGTAATTAGTGAAACTCCCAAAAAAAGAACCTTACTTGGTGACAAGAAGCATATAGCCGTGACTTCTCGAGATGAGATATATGGAGGGAACCTTGAATGCTTTGAAAATGAAAAGTACAATCATCTGATTCATTGATGTGAACAGTGGAGCAGCATGGAATATTCACCGTGCATCCTCGTAAGCCTTGTATAATTAATTTAATCGGTCTTTGCTCTTGGTTATCAATTATGTTACCATCTATGCTTTCGTCGCATAAGTTCGATAAGAAAAGGGTCTCATTCTCGAATCGTTTGACCTTTGTATCTTCACGTATTTGCTTGTGGGTATACGATTTTGTTTGTTGCAGCACGTGGTTGGATCGATGGAAACGAAAAGGAAGACGAGGTAGGATTTCAGAACGTATCTGATGTAAACGTACGATCAAGTCAGAAAGTTGATCCATTAACTTCATCCTATCATAGGGTGCCAACTGCTCTTGGTTCTCATTGAGCATGCTAGTCATCCTTGAAACATCTTCGGATCGATTCTCAAACCATTTTGCTTTTTCTGTCCGAGAAGTATCTGCTTTTGGCTTGTCTTGGTATATTTTTTGCAAGAACTCTACATTACTCTTTAGTTAGTATTTCACGAAATCTGCCGATGTTAATGTTGACCCAAGCATTACCTTTTCGCAAAAGCACAATCCTTTCTTCCATGATATTTACTTGAAAGAAAAAAGGATCAATTTAAATTTCATAAGCAAAAGAGAATATTTGTTCACTAATGTTGTTTTAAGTAACTGAAAGCATTCACGAAAACGAATTTGGCTTAGTACAATCAATGAAAAAAAAAAAAAAAAAAAAAAAGGTCAAAAAGATTATAATATGAAATTTTCCTATTAAATGGAAAATGTTTGGAAACCAAAATTAGCTAGTGAATCGTCGGTTTCAAATTCGTTCTAACGGCGGCGTAGACGATATGAATAAAAGAAATGGTTTGATCTCTATGGCTCCAGAAATCCTGAAATTGCATTCTTTTCCATTTGTACTGTACGTCTATTAAAAGTTAGCATATTAAAAACAAAAGAAATGTCATGTTAGTGGCATGGTGTTCATGTCCTTTAATGTGCTTTTATATACCTTGCATTCAGGTATTGTATGAGAAATCAGATACCATACTTACTTCGTAGGTTTTAACAAAACAATTCATGTACTTATATATGTTCATTAATTTGGACAGCACACGTCTTCTGCCACCGGAGCAGGAGCATACATTTCGAGTAATCTGTTGGAACGAAACATTAAGCATTGCTAGCAAAGAATCTCTTCAATATGGAATGAAAAGAAAAAAAAATAAATAAAGGAACGAATTCTCCTAATTGATACATTCCTTTATCGTTTCTTACATTTCTTTTGCTTACTTTAATAAATCTGATATAGTTAAAACCACATAAAGTTATCGGTCCGATCTATGATCTATGACTTGAGAATATTCGATTACTTGGCAAGTTTGAACTCGCAAAAAAAAAAAAAAAAGAAAGAAAAATTATATTCTTTACTACCCTCTTCCTGTATTACAAGCTAGGCCCTCTAACTGTAAAATAATTTAAAAAATAGAAGGATTGGTGATCACTCCAAAGGGTACATCAAGCAAGCAACTGAAAAGTCCAATTACAAAAGAAAATGGAAAATTTACAAGCCAAAGATGGAGTTCTGTTGAGTCAACGGCGGCATACGGCTAGCTCAGGACCAACGAGACGAGCATCTGCTTTCAGTCGTACTGAAGATATGGAACCTGTTGGTGAAAGTATCGAGTTGAGACCACTTTCTAGCAAGCAAAAGCAATTGCAGGCTGAGGATAATTTAACCACGGTAGAAGCTGGAATGCATTATTTTGAGGAAGACCAGGACATGCTTCCTCCCAAGCGCTCAATTGCTTTTATATTGATCAACAATATGATGTGTGAAATGTCCGCAACTACAGCCTTGCCAATTTCAGCCGCGTATACACAATACCTTGGTGGGACAGACGCATTTTCTGGTCTTGTAATTGGTATCCCAACCCTTGTTTCTCTAGCGTTCATGTACCCAATGCTTCTTTTCGCAAATCCAAAGTCAGCACATGGGTATACACTCTATTTCCGACCCTTATTTACCTCTTGTTTTGCACATATTATTGGACATTTGTTGTACAGTCTTGCATATCGTGCTCATTGGATCTATTTAATTTTGATTGGACGTATGTTTAACGGAATTGGGTTTACAATGTTTTTGTATCACAAAAAGTATCTGGCTGATAAATACTTTGTTGGAAGGAATCGATCAACGTTTCTGTCAACCTTGAATATCCTTGCTCAAACTTTAGGTTTCATGTCAGGTGCATTTCTAGGAGGTGTCTTAGCTAAAGCATCTCAAAATAGCCGGAACTCTTACTGGAATGAATACACTGCTGGATCTTGGTTTATGTTGATTGCATGGGGTGTCTACATGATATTTCTAAAAGTACTTTTTAAAGAGGTCCTACCAGATGATAACAGGGATGTTTCACACAGAGCAGAAGCAAGCCAGGCTCAATCAATTCGCTTGTCGTTTTTACAAAAGTGTTTTATAATCTTTCTGTTTTTAGCTGCTTTTACTTGTTACTTTTCCATCATGGGATACCAAACAAGTATTCCTATTTACGCAAGCAGAGCGTATAATTACAATCCCTTTCAAACTGGTAATTTCTTAGCACTTTCCTCCCTCGTCATAACTCCTTTTATTCTGTTTAGCACGCTCTTATCCAAATGGCTTGAAGATCGTCAAATTATGCTACTTGGTGTTTTATTAGGAGCTCTAGCTCTTGTCATACATTTAATTTTAGATGCTGTACACAAACTCCCCGTTCAGCCATACTTCGTTTTATATTCCCTAATGACCTTTGGTTACGGAGTTGGTGCTGCTCCATTCATGTCTCTTTCCTCCAAGCAGCTTCATCCCAAATTTCAAATCTTGGTGAGCATCGTTGTTCAAGTTGGTGTCTCTTTGGCTGATACTGTAGGCGCTATTACCGGAGGTGCCATCTACAATATAACTACAGTCGGTTTTATCGCAATGAATCTTGGTTTGGCTGTGTTGGTGCTTATTGTATTGCTATGTCTGTGGAACTCAATTAAAGAGAAAACAACCTAAAACCACCATCTTCTTTTCTAAATCCATTCACCCTCTCCATACTATACTTACATATGTATATATATATATATATATATTCCCTACTCGTTTTTGGTAACGCTTTTTTTTTTAAATCGTTTGCAACTGATTTCGCTAGAACTCATCATAGTTCAATATTGGTGTCAAAAGAATGCACCCAAACTGTTATAATTAGGTAGAAATTTCTTTAAAATAAATAACTTTAATTAATTCTTATAATTAAAATAAATCCAGGTTTTAACTGACTTTCTATATCGTAAACTCTTATAAGAAATACCCTTCCATCGCATACTTTGGATTGTTTGTTTATATTTTCAAGTAACATGTTACTCGATAAGGTAGGAAATTTTTCTTCTTTTAAGAGTAAGGACATCGTCGCTTATCAGTTTTCGTAAAGCGAATTACGGGTATGGATGGGCCTTATCAAGATGAGTCCTAATCACCTTATCCCGAGTCTCACTAACTTGACCTCTTCCAACAACTTCGACACCTGTTTTTAAAAGGTGGATTAAAGCAGCATCCCAAATGCCTTCTGACGATATTCCATTCCCTGTAACTTTTACCGCTGGTGCTATTGCTGGTATTTCTGAGGTATGTAGTTTTCGATGAAGGCACAATAGCAAAAAGATTGTATTATAGTGCTTAAACAGAAAATCGCAGTATAACGAAATAGAAAGTCGGACGTACTGAGAAATATGAAATAAAGATTTTCTGTTTCATTGGAAACATTTGGGTGAATTGAACTATATCGATATCACATCTTCGTTTCTTCTTCTGCCATCGATTTAAGGAGCCTCTATACTGTAGTGTCTCCGTATTATGTGCTTTCGTGGTGTCTAAAAGGTTTGCTCTAACGTTGTTAGGTACTCTCTTTATATCCCTTGGATGTGGTGAAAACACGTATGCAGTTGACTGTCGGAAAATCCGAATACAATGGAACTTTCGACTGCTTAAAGAAGATCGTCCAAAGGGAAGGCGCTTCTCGTCTTTACCGTGGTATCCTACCTCCTGTTATGATGGAGGCTCCTAAGCGTGCTTTAAAATTCGCTTCTAACGATGCGTACGGAAAATATTGGCGTAACTTATTTGGAAAAAAGGAATCTACACCCGCTCTTTCCTTACTTACTGGTTCATGTGCTGGTTTCACTGAATCCTTTGTTGTTGTACCCTTCGAGTTGATGAAAATCCGACTTCAAGACGTCAATAACGCTTCCAAGTACAATGGAACTTTTGATTGCCTCTCCAAGGTGATAAAACATGAAGGTATTTTTGCCCTTTATAATGGTTTCGAGGCAACTATGTGGCGTCACGTGGTTTGGAATGCTGGTTATTTTGGTCTTATTCAAAAGGTTCGCGGTTCTCTTCAACCCGCCACGAGCAAAACCGGTGAAATGTGCAATAACCTTATTGCTGGTACTATAGGTGGTATATTTGGTACTTTCTTGAGTACCCCATTCGATGTCGTCAAATCTCGTGTACAAACTGCTCCTCGTATTGTCGGTCAAGTCCCCAAGTACAATTGGGCTTATCCTGCTCTTTTTACCATTGCTAAGGAAGAAGGCTTTACTGCTCTTTACAAGGGCTTTGTCCCCAAGGTCCTCCGTTTGGGCCCTGGTGGTGGTATTCTTTTGGTCGTTTTCAACTCCGTCGTTGGTGTATACCAAAAGTATATTGCTTAAAAATATAATGGAAGGATTTATAATCGTTATCCTCTCATATCTATTTTTTGTTGTCTTGGAACCTTTTGTTGACTAACGGTTTATTTTTGTTTCGTTTCATCCCCTTTCTTTTTATCCCTTATGTATCCAAAAAAAAAGTTTCTGGGCTTTGTTTTTATTTGCCTTATTCAAAAAAATAGAAACAATAACTTTTTGTTATGCTAATCCAAAACTCTTTTTTATTTATGAAAAAAGAGACATCCAAAATAATCACCCATATATTATAGATTAGACACTTGATGCATGCAACTATTAATTCATTAATTCCCCTGTCATTTTTAACTACTTTTTGGTAAACTAAAGCATACGCTTACTCAAACAAGTTTTCTTGATGATCACATAACTATGAAAAGTTGGCAAGTACAATAGGTAATTTCACTTTGGTTTTCTTCTCGTGAAGATCGATAACATGCTTCTTTTTACTCTGCGAATGAACGCTTTTTTCTCTGAATAAAAAATCATAAATTTACAGTCAACAAATGTTTATAGACGCATTACACAATCTTACTTCACCACTTTCTTCCAAGCAAAACGTAGACTGTATTATGACTAAATAATGATCCTCCATACCATAGTGTATGTGTTTTTTAACGGTTGCTCTTAGCAACACGTTCAAGTTCGTCCTTCTTCTTAATGGCATAAGAGTTGGAAGAACCCTTGGCAGCGTTGATGATTTCTTCAGCCAAGCATTCAGAGATAGACTTGACGTTACGGAAAGCAGCCTCACGAGCACCGATGGTGATCAAAGCGATGGCTTGGTTGACACGGCGAAGAGGAGAAACATCAACGGCTTGACGACGGACAGTACCAGCGCTACCGATACGGGTGGAGTCTTCACGAGGACCACAAGCGGCAACGGCGTCGACCAAAACTTGAAGAGGGTTTTGGTCAGTCAAGAGAGAGATGATCTCAAAAGCGTGCTTAACAATACGGGTAGCCAAAAGCTTCTTACCGTTGTTACGGCCGTTCATCATCAAGCTGTTGGCCAAACGTTCGACGATGAAGCAACGAGCCTTACGGAAACGCTTGGTTTGGAAACGACCAGCGGTGTGAGGAAGAGGTTGACCATTGCCAACAGTGATATAATCACTAAAAACAATAATTAGTTTTCTACTCTATTTCCTGGAGAACTTATAGAGAAAATGAACTCATCTGAAGACATCGGAATGGAGGATAACATTCTGAATCCACTTCCAAGATGCCATTCTCCATATAAAAAAAGCACTTACACCAAGGAAATATCCTTGACTTCAACACCCTCAAAAGGGAACTTGTTGAACAACTTGATATGTCCTGTTTCGTCTAAGGAAACATCTTGGGGAATGATGGAAGCCGCCATTGCTGTATTGTTAGTAGCAAAAGAACAGTGGTAAAGTTTCTCCTTGTTGCTTGTGACGGTCTATTGAACCCCTAGGGTAGGGTTTGTAAGACGGCTTGTGTATTCGGGTAACAACGCTACTTCTATCTCTTATTGTAAACATTCGCTGTAAATATAGAATATATTCGATTCATCTTTCATTAGTAAAAGTCGCTTTTAATAGTTTATTATTTTTAATTTTTTAAATTAATAGTTAAAATTATGAAGAAAGCATACTCTCAAAACGAACGCTAGAGATAAATGAAATCGCTCAAACAAAATTACGCGTCTCAGTTGCATTGAGTACCAAGAATGTAGTTTTAAATTGTGAGAAAAGTTTCTTTAAGCAAATAGCCCACTCATTCATTTCGTTATTCATAAACCAGTCTTATTATTAGAACAGATTATCTTCATCACTATTACCCTTGGAATACGTCTGTCAGCAGTAGAACAATCCCACAGCCAAAGAATTTCTTATTTTTCGACAAATACCTTCGATCTATAATATACAGAAGGTTCTTGCTATAGCAGGGAAATGATCAATTTCGTTTAACAGTATATATATTTTATATTTACCTGTTCTATCAAGCATCGGGCATATGATGCAGTGGTAGCATGCTCGCTTTGCATGCGAGTTGGCCTGGGTTCAATCCCCAGTGTGTCCATTATTTTTTTCCTTTTATTCTATGTAACAATTTTGTCTAATGAGACATATTTTTGCTATTCTGGATTTATCTTTATAAAATTCTTCAAGAAATGTAGCCGATTTATAGCTATTACCAAGAATACCTAAATGAATTTATTTTGAGCCGGGCTACTTTAATGATTTGAAGGATGCTAAGGTGTAAGTAATGAACAAAACACCGATATTATTCAACACAAAATTGATTTTTTTTTTATTTCAGTTTAGAATAACCTAAATGGTCCTTTTTCTCATGGTAATTGATTTTAGCTATTTGTTTTGTTTGTTTATTAAAGAGAAAATGGGAGCTACGGTATACAGAATACCAATACGTAATGATACTATGTAATAATACATTCAGAGGATCAACGAGCCATTAGATAATGAATCCCTGGGTAAGAGGTCGTCACCCAAAGTCAACGTCGACGTATATCTTTAACCAAGATTCAGTCCTTCTTTCAATTAAAGCTGTACAACCTCTCGATTTGTCATAATGGCAAATTTACCGATAATAGGTATTTACAAGGTTTTGTACAGTTATGAACCAGAACCAATCGATCCAAATGAACAAATTCCAGAAACAGAACGAGAATTGTTCATCGCGGAGGACGAAATTGTTTGTCTTCTGCAGAAAGGCGAGGATGATTGGTATCTAGTCAAACGAAATATTAATAGTCCTGACAAAGATGAAGAAACGGGTATTGTTCCTTCGAACTATATTGCAGAGGTACGGTCAATCTTCTTGCTCAAGACAACAAGGTATTAACCAAATTTAGGATGAGCCTTCAGCAAGGATGAAAAGTCTCTACGATTACGAAAAGCAATCGATAGATGAGGTTTCGTTTCCAGCCGATCAGGTGTTGGATGCTTATGGAAGCACTAATGAGGATTGGGTTTTAACAAGATACAATCAGCAATATGGACTTGCCCCGAGAAATTATCTTGAACCCATGGATGCAGCTGCCTCTACGTCGGTACCGAATGCTCCTGCTGCACCAGCGGCACCTTCTGGAGTAGAGTCTGAACCACAACCTGCAGCTTCTCAGCAAGCACAACCACCACCACCACCACCACCAATACCTCCTCTTCAGTCACCTACATCTGTTTCCTCACCTCCTCCACCTCCTCCAGTCCCTCCATTACCTCAAGACTACGCAACCCCACCAACTAACGTGGCTCCTGCTGAAGAAGAAGATTTGTCCGATGCTGACGAACCTGATGACTATTATACTTCAGACAGAGAGCGAGAAGTTCCTCCTACATATACTCAACCGCAAACCGACACCTTACCACCACCACCACCACCACCTGCACCCGCCGTACCTCCTGTTGCGAAATCTGTTTCTTCACCACCACCACCCCCTTTGCCTCCCGTGCAGCCTCCAAGACCTAGTGTAAGCAATGTCACGGCTACTCCTACTCCAAGACAATCCAATATCTATTCTGAGGCACCTTCCTCTCCCACGTCTCCATCAGATGCTTACGGAGATCCTGGCCGACATATTAAACTTCAGTCTGGAAGGACTCAAGAAGAAAGTAGTGTGGATGAACCTCCAACCTTTGATGATCCTGCCTATAGGAAATGGGAGGTTCGTGAAGTCGTTGGAAAGAAGAAGAAGCGGACTGGAATTCTTGCTATTAATAATAAATCCGTTGTTCTTACCTTCACAAAGAGCATGGAAAATGCGGAAATCTTTTCAGTTACAGACCTGATAAATTATTCTGCTGAAAGAAAGCACGTCTTTGTCGAATATAAACGAGATGAGGGGATTAGTTCCTTACATTTGCATGCTAATAGTAATGGGAATGCAGATAGCATTATTCGTACATTAGGCGATGTTGCTGGATCTGCCAGAGCAGCTGGTCTTCGGGAAATTGCTGAAGCTAGTGGCAAACCTATGCCCAATTTGCCATCTGATTCTGCCTTGTACAAGTTGAACGAGGCTTCTGAAAAATCCGGAGCTAGTGGTGGAAGAGCCGGAGTATATGAACCTTCCACTGTATACAACAGTGGTAAAGCACCTGTTGACGAAGGAACATCGAATGCTCCTTCTCCTGGCGAAAAGATGGGTACCATCGTTTATGGATTTGAAGCAGAAGCACCTGATGAGTTGACTGTCAGTGCAAATGATAGAGTTGTTATTGTAAATGATACCGCTAGTAGCGATTGGTGGAAATGTCGTTTAAATGGCAAAGAGGGTGTCGTTCCAGCTAGTTTTATCAAGCCAGATGCTTCCGAGCATGAGAAAACTGCTTCGAAACCTTCTCATGGAAGCTTGTCGAGAAAATCTTCTCGACACGAGCAGAAAGAGGAACCAAAGCACGAAAAGAAGGATGGTCGTAGAAGATCTCGTAGCCATTCCGTGGTCAAGCCCGATGAGACCAAACTTCGCACTTGGACCGATAGGACCGGTGCTTTTAAAGTTGATGCTGAGTTTTTGGGTTTCAGTGATGATAAAATTCACTTGCATAAATCGAACGGCGTTAAGATTTCCGTACCAAGTACGAAAATGTCGTACAAAGACCTTGATTTTGTGGAACTTATGACTGGTAAAAAGGTCTATTCTAGGTCTGAACGACGCAAGGAAACGCATAAGGAACCCCGTAATAAACATGTTGAAGAACATGATGCGGATATCCCTCCACCTCAACCAGCTCGTCCTCAAAGCAGACCAACTTTAGCTCCCCCTATAGGCACTGAAGCTAAAGATAAAATAGATGTAATCGAGGAAAGACCTAAAATTACATACGACTGGTTTGATTTCTTCCTTCGTTGTGGTGTTGATTTCACTGTCTGTAATCGCTATACCCGTAATTTTAACAATGAGCATTTGGATGAGTCATCCATTCCTTCATTAACACCCGAGATGCTGCGAACATTAGGCCTTAAAGAAGGTGATGTGATTCGTGTGATGAAGCATGTAAACGAAGTTAATGGGGTATCTTCTAGCCCTGCTGTTTTGAGACCTTCAGTTACAGAACAGAAATCTGTGCCTCCTTCTCCATCTACACCTGAAGCGCAAGCTCCAGAACCCACACCCCAGCCTGCTGCCCCAATGAATCAACAGTTCGAAGACGATGCATGGTCAAATAAACCAATTAAAGAACCCACTATAAGGTCGTCCTCAGTTCCTCAACATAAAACCGAACTGGAATCGGATATGCAAAAAATGGATTTGTCCGAAAAAGAGAAAACTCCTGAACCTGCTCCTCGACCTTCATCTGTTCCAGCTCCAACTGTTTCCGACAAAAAGGTTGAAGATAGGGAAAAATCATCTCAACCATCTTTAGCACCACAGCCTACTGGTATTACTATTCAAAATGCTTATTTTACAGCTCCTCCTCCTGCTTATTCAGATCCTTTTCAATCCCCTCTGTACGTCCAACCAACAGGGTTTCAACCACCTGCTAGTGCTTTACCTGCTCAACCTACCGGTTTCCAAGCTCAAATGCCGCCCTTATCGGTGCAGCAAACTGGAATTCAACAACCGATGAATTATATAGCTTCTCAACCTACTGGTCTTAAGACCCAACCAACCGGTTTCTCCGCTCAGCCCACTGGGATGCAATATCAACCAACTGGTATGAATAGTCAGATGACCGGTATTGGGATGCAGCCAACGGGAATGCAGTATCAACAAACTGGAACTATGCCTCAGCAGTTTAAACCCACAATGCCTCAAAGCACTGGTCAACAACATGACATGTCTAACATGCAAGGCCAGAGGATGGATCTAGCCTCTCAACCTACCGGTCTACAAAGTCAGTATACTGGTTATCAGCAACCTTTCACTCCCACTCCTATGCAACCGAGCTATGGGTATAATATGCAACCTAACGTTAATGACCAGTCAATGTATTATAATGTTGCGCCCACTCCATTTGCATATGAGCAACAAAATATGTATGCACCTATGGATCAACAAGCTTATTATGGAACGGACATGCAAGGTCAAATGGGAATGCAACATCCTTATATGCAAAACTACTATGATCCTTCACAACAAATGGCCTATGGTTATGATACCAACGGGTATGATGCATATGGTGCTGCATATGGATATGGTCAGCCTTATGGGGGTATGCCGAATCAGATTTCAAATGATCCGGTTTCTAATCCAGGTTTATATATGCCTTCGGGCTACGAAAATATGCAACAGCCTTCTGATTACTATCAACCTTCTTTTACTACAGTCGACCATAACGAAAATCCCAATGCCAGAAAAGCGAGCATAGCTCAAGCTACGCCAGATAATCCATTTGGATTTTGATGTTCTTTTTTTGATGAAAATATTATCATTTCTTCATTTGTCGTACATATACGTAATGCCTAGTGCTTTCTCAAATTTTTCTTTTTGTTTGCAAGATAAAATATAAATTAGTATATTTATGTATTTAGTCTTACATTTTATAAATATGTCTTTTTAACTGAAGCTTCTCAAAATAGCTGTCTACAGTTTACCCTTGTTGCAACATTGATTTATTCATTTAATCAATATAAAGTACAGTATGCATTTTTTTTTTCCAAATTCCCAGGTTGCTCATAACGCAGAATACGCTAATAAAGTTAGGAAAAGCAAGTTAATGTTTGTGATTCAACCGTTACGTTTTCTGGATTAAATTCGCTAATCCGAATCAAGACATATTTCCTACTATTAACATACCAAGTAAAGCTTTTGAATCGGTGAATAATAATGTCAATGGTAGGCGGTTAATTTATACAGAATACTTATTAACTTGTGAAGCTTAGTACAAGCTATAGGTTTTATGCGGCATATCATTCAAATGTCGTTAATGTTCGAATTCACCAAGGTACAAAATAGGTTTACAGTCAATTCTGGTTCTAACTCTAACTCAGTATGTATACCGATACTTTTATGCACGGCTTTGATCTTATTATCCAATTTTGATGTGACGTTGCTTAATTCTTCTTTTCATGTGAACTTGGGTGTTTTAGTTGCTGCTATGTATCAAGGATTCTACTTATGTATTGATTTTATAGATGGATTACTGTATGCTCCTTCTCTCTATTTGTATTCAATTCTGTTACCGAAAGTGCTGTTTCAGCGTTGGTCTCAATCCACAGTCAATTCGACTGCTATCTTCTTGCATGTTGTTAGTTGGATCATGCAATTTATTGGTCATGGATTCTTTGAAAAGAAGAGACCTGCGCTTCTTGATAATCTTGTGCAGTCCATTTTTTTCGCACCCTTGTTTGCGTTTTTGGAAACGAGTCCTCTCTTCGGATATCATCCCGCGGTTACAAAGAACATCCGTGTTGCTACTAAGATTCAACAAAAAGAAGAGATTCATGGATCTAGTGGGAGCATTAAATCAGAGTGCTTGTTTGATGAATCGCTTCTGGAATCTCCTGCAGCTGAAGTGTTAAACGGTCGCACAGATATTACAGTCCGCCCTTTGTATCTCAGTGACATAAACAACGGTAAGGATTCGCTTTGTTTCTTTTATATACTTACTTTTTCTTTATAGAGTATTTGGATCTCCTTGATGTCTTGGTTACTGCTACTGTTCGTCCAAGCTTGGCTTCTTATCAAAAACGCTTTTTGGAATTACGAAAAGATACTCCTAATACTTATTATACTATAGTCGTTGAAGATAAAGAAACCCATAAAATAGTAAGAAAATGTTTGGCTTTCGATGAATATGTACTGACTCCATCTAGGTTGGAACAGCCACTCTGTTTGTGGAAAGGAAGCTCATACGTGGCAACGGAGATTGTGCACACGTAGAAGACGTTGTCGTTCATCCCGACTTCCAAAATCGCTCCATCGGCAAGCTTTTAATTCAAACCCTCACGAAGTTGGCATTCAGTATGAACTGCTACAAGCTAATTCTTGATTGCTCCGAGAGTAATGTTAAATTTTATGAAAAATGTGGTCTCAATCGCGCAGGTGCCGAGATGAAGATTTATAATGACACCATAAGAAAGGACATCTGATGATTATACTGTGCAGAAGCTCTTTGATGAGTCGAGTGATGGAGTGACGGTTTAAGACTACTCTAAAATATTATATAATTCAAAATTGATCATCATTTCACTATAAGTTAAAAGGTTTCACAGATAGGAATTATTGTAAGCGATCACTAGGTCAAGCAGCGTCTAGTCTGTGAGACGGTTGAGTAAGTAATCTATTTCTACCTTTTTAGTCATGGGAATCACGTATTCCTGAATATTGGTTAGTAAAAGGAACACAGGAAAAGACTACATACCTTGTATATGGAGACGACAGTATCAGCATTAATTTTATCGGTTGGCTTGGTAGGGTCTGCCGAATCACGACCATAAGTTAAAGCCTTATAATGAAGACGTTTTAAAACTCGTTCTTCTTGAACGGGGTCCACAATTTCGTTTACAATTCCTTCTGAATCACGAGCTTCAATCAGTTGTTTGTATTTCTCAGGATTAGCCAAGAATTTCGCTTCAGCAACAAACTTTCCATAGTGGATTCTTCTAGATAGGGATTGAAGGCATCGGATATCACTCACTGCTGTACTGCCATAATTGTCAGAGTCATTGCCTTTGGCGCAAATCTTTGGCAAGATTTCCTGCACATAGTAATCAAAGATTTCAGCATTTACATTCACATTGTTCTTATGTAGTGGAAATGCTCTCTTAAAACCGGGTAGGACGGGTTCAGGTAGATCAGATGTAAAAGGGTATTCTTCAGGACTGGCATAACGTCTTACAAGCGAATAGAGCTTTTCTTCTTCGTGTAAAAGAAATTCTAAGAAGCTTTTATCGGTGTGCTGCAAGTTCAAGCAACCTTCACTTCCTTTCTTGTAAACTTTCTCATTTACAGGAAACTGAGCACGCTCCAAAAAATCAAAAACTATAGTGTCTTCCTGACGGATTAATGCAGATCGGATATTTTCAAGCTTCAGCTTATCGTTTACCACACTCATTTCTAATCGATGTCTTTGTATGAAGCAAGTGCGTTTTTTTCAAAAGAAAGGACCCAGGACTACTTCAAATAATTTAGTTATTAGTAAAGAATTTTTACTTTTAAAGCCTTACTTTTATTGATATAACTTTTATTTTTGTTATATTATGATTCCAGGAAAGAGATGTTGGCAGGAAAGCTACTTATGTCAAAATTTGCAGGAAATAAATCTTTGTTCGTATAATTGTAAATTACATAATGAGAAGTACGATTCTATTTTATTAAGACTTTAATTCAAATAAGCTTGATTAGAAATTATAATCTTACACACTAAAATTGAGCTCAAAATTCAGTGTGATATTCTATGCATTATTGTGATTGCTCAATAGTAACTTTGTTTCGAAGTACAAGTGAAATTTTCTGCGCTTATGTTTTCACTTACGTGGAATGTTGAATCCCGATACATGAAGGACAAGGGATAGAAGGTTATAATCGAAAGTCTTTGCTTTTAGTCCTTCGAGAATCCAGAATTAGAGTGATATAAAATCTGCAGCTCACATGGGAATTAATCGATCGTTCCAAGGAGCATCTAACCCATCCTCACCTGGGTTCTTAATAGTAAAAGGCCTTTTGTCGTTTGTTCTCCATCCTTTGTATCTGATTCCTACAAGTTCTATTGGAATGCAATCAAGTGAAGGGATGTTTAAATCACCGGAGTAAATAATCCATTTTTCGTTTTCTTTGCAAGATGTGAAATGCAACGATTTTGAATAGAAAAGCATGTAGGGACTTTCTGGTTCCCTTCTTTCTTCTACCATCTCAATAAAAAAAGGAGATCCTGCTTCACGTTTTAATACTAAAGGGTTAAGTGGGTGATATATTAAAGCTTTCCGGTCTTTTGTATGCAATGTTAGATCGTCCTCGTACTCAATTCGCAGTAAATTCGTTCCTGAATACTCTCCGATGTACAAATGGGTACCATCATGATGAACCATGAAACCTATGTTCCTTGTTAATTCAAGTCTCGAATGCTGATCTATCACTTACCCTTAGTTTGAGGATCATAATTAACAGGAACATGAGCTTTAAATGACCAATATTTTGTATGCAATGTTTGTAACACAATTGATTCAGGGGGATTAATCGTGCGCTTTATTACTGAGCTGGATACAAACTTTTTTCCTGGAATTTGTAAGGCCAATAGTGCAACAATGAACCCCAAGATACGCATTTTTTTTCTTACAATACTGGTTCAATGTACTTGTTTGTTAAACAAATATAATCATCAAAGCCTTGAAGGGGTCCTAAAATCAACAAACGATAGTTCGTAGGAATGTAAACAAATGTACTCCACACAAAGCATGCTCACTTTAAAATCGTTAAAAAGAATCTAAATAAGATTTTAAATATTACTATCTAAACATATATATATATATATATTTATTTCGAATTGCATATAAAGTACCTAAATCACAAAAACCTTTATTAACCCCGTCTGAATAATTTTTAGTGAAGATCGAATTTCACTATCGTTTTCCTTTTAAACCTTAGCCTTCTTGGTATTATTTCGCTTCCAAGCATCGGCACGCTCCTTACGCTTCTTGCTGGGTTTCTTCTTCTTTGCTAGAGGATTTTCGCCAGGTTTGGCGTGATGGCCTTCTAAAGACAGATTCTCTTCAACTAAAGCGTTTCCTGCCTTCCCTATTAACTTCCGAGCTCTACCCTGCAAAGTACGACCCTTCTGGTTATTGGTTTTGGTTTTTGCAACCCGAGTAGGAGCACTAGGCTTAATAGATTTGGCTCTTGAAATACGTAAAGTTCTTCCTTCAGGCATTTGTTTTTCGTTCAACAACAGAGCTTTATCAACTGAAAGAGGTTCCTTAAATTGAATATAAGCAAATCCTTTTCCTAAATTTGTCTTGGGATCACGAATAATACGTACATACTCAATTTCGCCGCTCTGTCCGAAATAGCGCCATAATGGCTCTTCCTCTGCCTCAAAAGCCAAATTACCAACAAAAATGCAGCGTTTTACATCTCTAGCCATAGGATGGCTTACACTGTCAACACGAAGATGGCGATCCATAAAAAGGGTTGCATTTAATGATAATGCATTTCTTGCCGATGAAGCTTCATCATAAACTACATAAGCATTAACTGTATCGCGCTCAGCATGGAGTTTCTTCTCAAGAAAAGCAACCTTTCTAGGTAAAAATTCAGAAAAGGCCAAACTGCGGAACCTGATCGATTTGATCTGACCGAATTGACGGAAGTGCTTAGCGAAAGACTTGTATTCGTGCTATCATGTTGTTAGAAATAAAACCTTTCTCTATACTTGATTCATACCTTGTCTAACACAATTTTAGAGGGCAAGTTATTTACAAAAATAGTTTTTTCGGACTTTTGGAGCTCTTGCTGAATCTTCACCTCTTGTTGATGTTTCAAAGCCCTTTGTTCCAACCTTTCCTGTTCTGATTGTTTTTTCTGTTTCTCGGAACCTTGTTCTTTATCTTCATCAGATTGTTCCTTTTCGTCGGCACTATCTGCATCCTTTTCGATCGCTTCCTCTTCTTTTAGTTTATCAAAATAATCGGCTTCAAGATTTTCACTTTCCAAACCAGATTTTTTCTTCTTTCTGGATTGGCTCTTCTTCTCTTTTACATTGTTCTTTTCAACTTCAATCTCGGTTTCTTGTTCAGCATTCTCATCTACAGATTCATTTGTGCTTGGTAACGAAACCTTGGAGGGTTCTTTGGGAGCAGGACGCGAGAGCGGTTTCTACAAAGCTGTTAGTAGAGTTTAATAAAAATTTCCATACAGATTGCTTAAATAGATTGTCTAACGATGAATCTATATTCGCTGTACCGACGAATTTTTCTGCAAAACCAGCAGACGTGCCCTTCGATGAGTCTTCGCTCATTTTGATATATTTAATTTGGAAAACGAATTTCAACTCAAGAAGAATAGTTGTTTACTCAATAAACGACAATAATTCTGCTTTAGTGAAAAAGTTTCGAAAGTAGCAGTAAAAAAATTTAGGTGTGCTAAAGGAAGGTGGTTTAGGAAAGGCAAAATCACATGGTAATGTTTTCTACCCTAATTTTTGAAAAATCTAAAAGTAAATGCGAATATACAATGAGTATTATAAAAAATCTAGATGAGTTCTCTATCACACAATCAATAGCCGTGTACTATTTGGGAAAACGTATATATTGAATTAAAAGCAAATTATTAATTTATCTCCATTTTTGGAACATTAAAAATCAAAGGAAACTTGTTTTTGTTCACTCTGCCGCCGATTGCAAAAAGGTGAAAGGAGTAAAAGCGTAGCCTTCACCTTCAAAGTGTTTTGACATACCTTCCACCCAGTGTAGACGAAGACTGTGAAGCATGGCACTAGTACCTTCCATAGCCACCAAAACAAGGCATGTAACTATAAACCAAAATGCAAAGAGAATTACAATAAAGATGGAGCCTACAACTCCGGTCATTTGAAAAGCGTTAGCTAAAGTCATATTCCACAGAACAGTTGAAAGCTGGTTATGAGCAAGTGATAAAGCCCACAGACGAAGGTAACTGGCGGTATGGGAAATACAACCCAAGCAGAATTCAATGGTGTGGATGACCTGATGAATGACGATCTCACCAAAATCAAATCCTTCCTCTTGGGGTTCCTCGTTCTCAGTATTCAGCAAGGCTTCTTCGTCAATATTTTGTGGGTCATTTACTGATTGATAGCGGACATCCTGCTGGCTATGTTCTCGCCATAGGAAGTAAGGTTTGACACATAAGAGCCATGGAATGCAAATTAAAGAAGCAAGTACAAGAAGAATTTGTAATTGTTTCTGACCTCTAAAGAGAGGTTCTTCGATTTTTCCAGGTGATAAAAACATGAGGATAAGCATATTCAGTAAGCTAGGAGGCTGCCAATCATTGCCTTTCCAATCAACACTCCATTTATATATAATTGTGATGACAAGATATCCAAAAATTGCTTCCAAAAATATAAGAGATGGAAGGAAAACGGCATATATATCCAGTTTGCGTTTGAAAAATCGATAATTCGACAATGAAAGAAAAAGGCAATAAGTCATATGGATAACACCAATAACAACAGAAACTTTCATTTTATAAGAATTCATAAACAGAAGATTATTGTCTGCACTATGCCAAGCAGGATCAATACCTATGGGATATGTGCCGGTTTGAATAGCTCTGGCATTGGTATCTTCACTCTTTACAGGCCATGCCCAACGGGAAGTGAAGAGAGACATTGGCTTACTGAATAGATCGTTATAAATGAAACCGACATACATAGAGAATAGACCCATCAAAAGTACCATATAACGGCCATAAAAAATCATACCTAATATTTCATCCATATCCTTCTTGGTTGCCAATTTTTTTTCGTGCATTATAAACATTAAAGCCACGGCAGCCATTATTGCTCCATGACCTAAGTCACCAAACATGATAGCAAATAAGAAAGGAAATGTGACGATAGCAACTATTCCATGATTTACCTCGCGATAAGTAGCCACACCATATGAATCAATAAGTGATTGAAAAGCTTCAGTGAATTTATTGACTCGGAAATAGGTAGGGGGTGTCTCCTTAGTGCGGATGATATTTAAAATAGATGGTGCTTGAGAATCCACCAAATCGGACACATCACGGAGTGTCTTTTGCACCAAAGGAAGGTTAGCTGTCGGGCACCATCCTTCGGCGATTAGACATTTATGGTTTTGATCATAACTAAATAAATTCATAGCCTGGTAAACAGCTTTATCTTTATGCAGAATTGATTCCCAGGAAGAGATATGCTCTGCAATGAAAGCAAGCTCTGTATATAGAGCAGATCGGGTGTTTTCCAAAACGGCGAAAATGTCACTAATATTTCCGTTTACTTGCTGAACTTGTCCTGTGCGGATGGAAGAATCTTCGTCAACGGAGAACAGAGTAGCGCCTAAGCTTTCTGAAATTCTACGTATTCTCGAAAGGATTTGAGTACCGTGGGCAAAAACTAAAAACACTGTTTTTTCTTCGACATCTTCATTTTCACGAATGACAGATTCATCGGCACGTGTTTGATAGATATATAGGTTTCCACGTAGAGTACGCCATAGAATTCGTTCTAAAAACTGAAACTTTACAGATGGGATAATACCGGTAACAAAATCGAGTGAAATAGAAGTCCTTGCATTAGTATCTTCGCTGTTAAAAGATCCTGTAGTGCCAAGTTCTAAAGCGTTTTCAATAAGAGGTGCAGTAGCATCGTCTTCTCCGGCTAAAACGGATCCGTTGTCAGTATTGATATCAAAATGATTATGGGCATTAGTGCTTTTTGCAAAAAACGCATCAACTTTAGACAAGACATTCGAATATTCCAGTTGTTGAAGATAGTTTGCATTTAGACTGCGACTTGACTCCACTAGCTGTCGAACGCGAACTTCCAATCGAGATATCTTGTCAATTATGTCCTCGATTGTAATCGTCTCTAGAGTAATCTCATAGTTTGTCGTATGATAATGATCTGGAATTTCGATGCTGTTTAGAGCTATTTCTGAATGAAGATAACGTAGTTGACGTTCAGCTTCATCTAAAAGTCGAATCTCTCGAACAAAAGACCTATGGAATGCGACAACATCTCTATTTAGCTATTTCATTGTTAGAGGATTTATTTTCCATGAATGCTTACATCTTTAAAATGAATAGTTGACAATTCCCCCAATGCCAACATTACAGGCCTGACGGACTCTGTTGGCAGGTATAACTGCACCAAAGAGACGTCCTCCGATCCTAAATACGATTGTTAGTCTTAAACACTGGCTGCAGAAGCTATATTCCACTTACTATACAGTGAGTGTGACATGTCGAGGATGAGTGTGCTTAGGCTGGGAATGCCTGACGAGTATAACAAAAAACGACTAAACCCTCCTAAAGGAAAACTGGAATATTCCATAATTTATAAATTAAAATTGAATTGTATACTTAAAATTTCAATTGAAGAGAATTCAAAATCAAATATATCCAGTTCTAGTCATTGTAGTAACATATACAGAAAACCACTGGATTTTTTTGCTTGGGCTAATAGTAATAAATAGTTAATCTAAATTAAATTTACAAGAAATTCGTGAATCTAACGCTCGTATCAACTTAAAAGAAATCGTACAAAGATAGTAAACAAAAGGACAATGTAGCAGATGAAAAAAGCGTTGGCAATAATAGAGCTTGTTAAGCTCATTTCTTTATCCTTCCTCCATTGTGAGTGATTTTTTTTTTCGGTTGCGCGTCTAACTGAGATCCTTATGTTTATGTTCACTGGAATTTTTTCCTTTTACTTCTTCATTTATTGTAGCACGAAAGCAAAAGCAACGATTATATTAATATTGGGGATTTGAGAATAATGTATAGACTACAAGCAATGACTTCCTATATTGACTTGCCCATATATCATCTTCCTATAACAAAAACAATGCAGTGAGAGATTGCATTAGTAAATTTCCCACTCAGTTATTCTTAAAAATAGTAAATTTTAACTAAGAAATTCATAAATTGCCTGAACAAATTACTACTAATATATATAATATATATTTTTATTTTTGTTTGCTTTGTTTACTAAATGTTACTTCAATGCACAATCAAGGTAACAAACGAGCATTTGTTTTAGCAGTAAAAACGACTCGAAGTACGAAACCTTCGAATGTTGTGAATGCTGTGTGATCGAATATGGTTTTAACCCCAAACAGTTCATATGTGCTAAATCATTCCATTTTGCAAAGTAGTAAAGAGCCGGTGTATGATGGCGGGGAATTTGATGAATCCCATAATGTACGATTAATCAGAAAGACGTTAAGGCATTTTTAACTAATGGTATACTTAGAGGTATTTACTTTTAAAAGCAAAGAAAGAGGCATTAGAAAGAAAAGTTCACTATCAAACGACATACGCCAAAGCCTTGGATATATTAGGTGACAGGAGAAAGGAAATAAATGATATCGAAGGTTTGCTTGTAGATTTCGAAGATTCCAAAAAAGTTTTAGAAGAAACACAAGAGAAATGGCAGGTTGCTGAAATAAATCGGTTGTCGAAACTCGTGAGTACACTTACGCAAGGGGCATTGACTGTAGAACAGGAAAGCAGAAAGTCATCCATTCCGACTGAAATACAAACCATTCTACAAAATTCCGTAGAAGAAATACATTTGCAATTGGAAAGACTTGGTTTATTAGAGGATCCAAGCCCTTCTTCAGATATGTCTATATCCTCCATCATTGAAACTCTTCACCGAATTAGCAAATCACTCGATGCGATACCATCAAATTTGAAGTTTAATGAGATTCATAGACCATCACGTATCTCTAACACCTCTTTGGATAAAGAGGTGTTGGCGAACATACTCTTGGATTGGCAAAAATTGAGTGCCGAGCAAAATACATATTTGCGAGTCATTAGCAATTCCGGAAACATCCCTCCTGACTGTTTGCTTCAACTACGACAATACTTTTTTCGCAGCGAGTTGCTTTCTGAGAAACTATCTAATATCTATTCTCTTGAAGGTGAGGCAGACAATAATCTTTTATAAGATAAGCAACTTTCTCCGATTCCAAATGTCCGTTCTCATTTATTCGTTTGCTCTTGATTTACTTCCCTGAAAGCTGGGTTGTACTTGAATCTTTTCGCTCCTGAGCGCAAAAGCGCTCCATTCTTTATTTTTTTATCTCTTGGCTTGTTGTTATAATTATTATTAAAACTTTTTGGGTGTTTAGTGGTTTATAAATTTGCTTCATTTCAAATAAAACTTCGATTTTGACATTCAAGATTTTGCTGTAGTACTGACAGGTAAAAAATATTATCTCATCCTTATGTTTAGAAAGCATGAATATTTCTCCTTCGTTTTCAAAATTAATGCAAATATCAATATCAATTTTTCATATTTCAATTTGTTTATTTCTGATGGAACAGTAGGCTACGCAAAAACATTTTTCGCAATTTAGCGATACCTAAAGCACTAGCCCTACCACCTAAACAATGTACCAAGGAATCCCAATTTTCACTACGATTGTTGTATATTACTGAAATTTTTGAGAATAAAGGATTTTGCGCCTAGAAAATAGCGCAGGATTGTCTTTTGTGTGTATGATTCTAGGTTAATCGTGTTCTACTCAGTTTTTGAGTTTGCTGCTTAACCCAAGCGTTATACTATATGAGAGCGGTTGACTCCGTCCTTCAATTCGGAGAAGGATAAAAATTGATCTCTATTTTGCTTTAAGTAGACGAAAGTTTTGAATGATAACTTGGAAGAATGCCAATCCGTCAGGCAAGAAAAGGTATATAATAAGTCATCTGCAGTGTAAGCTGCAAATGCAAGGAGACATAATTACATACATTTGTTTGAAGTTCCTTTTAAAACTAACAGCAACTAGTTTCTTCCAAGTCACTTCCCACATATGTAAACTCTAGTACTACTAGCTTGGCCAACAAAGATGAAACCAACATATCTGAGTATATGAAGCTTCGTTTGCTTCAGCCACCATCGAAAGTTTTATATTCTCTAGAAAATACTGTATCTTTATATAGGCGTTGCGAAAATATACGGAAACGCTTACTGATGATACCAAACCTCAAATATATTCTGGATTATATACATTCAATCGCGGAAGTTACTCCTTTCAAAGTTTTGCATATTGATGGGATCTCTTACGATGACCCTGTAACTGAAATATGGCTGTTTTGCCGTTTTGGCTATCCTCTTTGCGCTTTATATAATTTGGTTTCTCCTGACCAACCCATAAATGTGAATTCCTCTGTTACTTTGGAAAACAGAAATGCCTGTAAAGCAGAACTTTACAGATTTTTGTTAATGTGCAAAAAGAATCTTAGGTTCGGGGATAATGTTCTCTTTTCTATCTCTGAGATTTTCAGTGATTCTACGTCCTCATTAATTAAAGCATTGAAAACTGTTGAAACTTTGCTTGACAAATACGAAAATTCGCCGGCTGGTCATCAATTGAAAGTAGTCAAAGAATCCTCGCCAGGTATGCTTCATTTTCTTATAGAAACTGGTCAAAGAGTTCTTGCAGAAATCTATGAGACAGAATTAAAATATATCCAAGACCTGGAGTACTTGTCTGATTTTATGACTACTTTACAGCAACGTAAAATATTATCTCTGGAAACGGTACTTAAAATATTTACGAATCTAAACGAAATACTTGATTTTCAAAGGAGATTTTTAGTTGGACTAGAAATGAATTTGTCTCTACCACCTCACGACCAACGTATAGGTGCTTTATTCCTTGCTTTGGAGGAGCGTTTTTCAGTCTACCAAGTATTTTGCCTGAATTATCCAACCGCCCAACAGCTGATCATTGATAATCAAGGACAGCTTACTGAGTTAGGCTATCTTTTGGAGCCTTGTTACGAGTTTCCTGCGTTGCTAATCAAACCCATTCAACGAATCTGTAAATATCCGCTCCTTTTATCTCAATTAATTAAAAACACTCCTCATGATTATCCTTATAATGAAGAGTTAAGACAAGGAATGGCATGCGTTGTTCGTATAGCTAACAAAGTGAACGAAACCAGACGTATTCATGAAAATAAGTCTGCGCTAAATGAGCTCGAACAACGTGTTATTGATTGGAAAGGCTATTCTTTATCATTTTTTGGACAGCTTTTGCTTTGGGATGTTGTTAACGTCTCTAAAGCCGATATTGAACGAGAGTACTATGTCTATCTTTTTGAAAAAATACTTTTGTGTTGCAAAGAATTATCCCCTCTAAAAAAGCAAGCACGCAGTATTAGCATAAATAAAAAGCCCAAGAGGATGGATACTCTTCAACTGAAAGGAAGAATTTTGGTTTCCAATATTACTGCCGTTGTGCCAAATACTAGTGCCGACCCATATGCTCTTCATGTATTTTGGAGAGGTGACCCGCATAATGAGTCATTTGTTTTAAAATTAAGAAATGAAGAGACTCATAGGCTGTGGCTTTCAACTTTAAGAAGACTGATAAAGAAAAAAGAGAATCCGCCCAAAGATGTTCGAAATGCATCATCTTCATCTCTTGGCTATCATAGCTCGGATGGTATTAATCCTTTAAAGGCTGGTAGCCCTTTGAAACCCTATTTGATGCGGACACATTCGCTTGACGATGCTTTTAACCAAACGTTAAGCTTCTCAGACCCGATATCTAATCCTACTCCATTTTCTAAAAACGGGATTTCTCAAGATCATAGAACTAGCCCTGATAAGTTTGACTATCCTGATTTACGCCTGAATGGTGTAGATTTGACCAGGTCCATTTCAAGAAACTCACAAGGAGCGACAGAATTTATTGGTAACGATTCATCATCCGTTGTATCTAATCCGTCGGGAGCGAGCCAAACTTCTCATCTAAGCCAGGTGAATTCCCTTTTAAGTGATTATAATTATAGCCGCTCGAATATTTCCAGACAGCATTCACAAATTGAGGATTCCGAATCTGGAATGTTGGAAGATTTGCCTGATTTTTCTAAAACTCGAGAAAGTGATAATTCCAGTAATCGACTATCTTATAGTGATGGATACAATCCTCAAAGGAGTGAATCTATGACTTCAGATGCACCCGCTGTGGAACGAAGTGATTCTGTCATGATCCGTTCGCAGCTTCATGATGTTAGCTTCGCCCTGGTTGTTTCACGAAATATTAGTTACGGCGAATTGTTGAGCAAAGTAGAACATAAGATAAGATTATGTGGATTTACGAAGGATAATGATTCATTAAGGGTTCGGTTAAAGTATATAGATGAAGATGGTGACTTTATTACGATTACTTCCGATGAGGATGTTCTAATGGCGTTTGAGACATGTACTTATGAAATTTTAGATCCTAAACATAACAGGGGCATGGACAGTACAACCTTGCACGTTGTTTATTACTAAGCTTTGCTAATGACTAGATTGCATATCATTGATATTATTTATATAGAAGAATTTAGCATACAATACAATAAAAGTTTCAAAGTATTTTGGGTGAAACTATCAGTGAAAATAAGAAGCATTCGGTTTTACGCTTGTATACATAAAAGGGTAGATTAAAAAAAAAAGACTAAACACGAATAGGAGCATTACCACGGTTGACTAAACACATTTTGTGCAAATGATCCCTCTTCTTAAAACAGGTACTGGTGGTATCAAGAATAGCAAGGATTTCTCTTGCAAGTCTTTCTGAGAGACGTTTTGAATTATGCGACTTAGATGAATCCAAAAGCCATTTGATGGCTATTCTTCTTCTTTGCTTCTCTTTCAAGGGAATAGGAAATTCAACGCCCTTGTTGAATCGTTTGGCTGTAATCTAGTTGTGTGTCAATAAGCGGAATAAAACAAAAAAAGAAACACGCATCGTGATTTCTCAGTACGACTTACCAATTTCATAATGGGTGAGATATCAGCCAATGCTTGCCTCAGCAAAGTCACCGGGTTCTTTCCTTTTTCCTTTTGGATTATGGTCAGGGCAGTAGCTACAATTTTTTCTGCCTTGGTTTTTTTTCCGTCCCGCATAATCATATTAACTAGATGTTGCACAGCTGGGTCTACTTGAAAAGGTCGATTAATAATTTCGTCCACTGACTTTGGCGAGTTTGACCAGACATTCTCCAAAAAATTTTCTTCAATTTTTTCTTCTTTAGGCTCTGTTATTGAAGTATCGTTCGTCTTGGTTGATTCACCAACCGCTTCCTGTAATTGAGCAAGGAGATTTTCTAAACCAGGACTGTTCCATTCTTCGCCATTTACTGCAGAAGATGTGTCCTTATTTCTTTGAAAACTTAAGTTTTGGAATGACCGTAAATGATCACAAACCCTGGATTTTGAATATGTAGTTGACTTCGTTCTTAAACCTTGAAATAAAGGGAGTTTGACAGCCTTCAATACATTCACTCTAACATTAAACATTTTTTTTATTATCCTCTTAAAGACCCACTTTAAATAAGTACTTCCTTTTCTTTACCGAAGAAAGAACCAGGTCTCTTTACATGTGAGTTGGGTGTTCAAGTTCTAACAAATTATTTCCACCAGATATATAATACTAAGCTAACAATTGCAATATAAAGGAGGGAAATCACGATTGCAAATATGATTTATTTGAATTCAATTTTAAATAATTTACATAATGTAAATTCAGAAAACTCTTCAATGGATGATTCGTGACTTCTGTATCGTTTGTTTTACATGCTATGATTTATAACAACGAAAACACATTTTAAAGCTTAAATCAAATTTTAATTTATAATATCTATTTTCAAAAATGAGGTTCAAACATTTCATTAAGTAATAGTCAGTCGTAAAACGGGCATGATGATCAAAAGTGAAGAGATATTTACAGAGAACACGGGCTTCAACTTGAAGAAACCATAGTTGACCTTTTTTGATATTCCTGCAATGCGACATCTATTGATGAAAGGATCGACGAAACCAACTGAATTGTTTTCATTAGCGGCTGTAAGACATTGGGACAAATTATACCATACCTGATAAATATATGTTGGATCAACATTTCGCTTTTTTGCCTGAGAAACAATGGCATCTACACGGACTTTAGAATTTAATAATGCTTGTTGTAAAGGGGCCATGACTTTTTTATCAGAATAGTTTGGACTAAACAAGGCACTCCAAAACTGATGTAGAAATTCAACGCTAACAGTATGACACATTGATACCTCTTCTCTTATATCTTTCGGGACATTCATATCTGTACCATGAGTCTCAAACTCATGCTTTTCTCTCATAGCATGCGTGAGCTGTTGAGCAGCTTCTGCCAAAGCATTTACGTCGCGATCAGTATTATCCAATTCCACAGATTCCTCCTGGTAAAGGCCTTGTAATACTTCAAGAGAAGGAAGAGGTTCCTCCGTCGATTGCTTTGAGGAAGGGGCAAAATTTTTTTCTAAGAATTGATCCTGTTCTTGGATATTTAGAATAACTTTAGGATCTTTGGGATCTTCTTCTAGATCATGGAAACCAGACTCTTGCAAGTATTGATGTTCAGTTTCTGTTTTTAAACGCTTCGAACTGCTAATGCAGAGTTAGAATTGCCTTTCTACCGTTTCCTTACCCAAGGCTTTTTTCCAAAAGTCTTTCCGACAATTGGTTTATATTTTTCATAAAAGGAATGGCTTCCTTGTCTATACGCATGGTAACATCTGGTCGTAACTCGGCGAGTACACTCGCATTTTGTATGTTTCCTTCAATATCCAGTACATGAGAAGGAGGAGGTTCGTCCTTCCTAGTTGGATTTTCTAAACCAGGCGTCAGTACGATAAAAAATTAAAAATTTATGATTAAAATACCCTCATCAACATCTAAATACTGATCCATAATGTCATCATAAGGATCCATAGGTGTAATCCGGTCTCCACGAAATTTTTTACATAGTTTCGATAGAAAAAATCTACTCCAAAACTCTCCTTCAGCTAATGGAGGGACATGCTTGTCATAAACTTTTCGAAGTTGTGGATGCTGTTCAAACATATCATGAATCTGCTGGCGGGTCAATGAGACTTTCATTTGATTATCCACTGTTTTTGGTTTTATTGAAGATAAAACATTGTAGGGGCCCTTTTGTTGTGATCTTTCCACGGCATGAGCGCGTAACAAATGCAATCGAGTAGACCAAAATTGCTCGTTACTCAAGTGGCCTTTCATAACAGCTTCTTTAAATGTATGAAACATCTCACCGTTATTAGTTAAAAGTGATTCTTGGAGATCAATATCCTCCATCAGGTTCTTCTCATTCAAGGATTCCACTCCAAATGATTTTGCTTCCGAGACTGTATTGTCCCGTTGCCTTGTAATCGCTTTCTGAAGTTCAGCTGTAATCATTTCACAGTTTTGACGAGCATTATTTAAGCCTGTGAAACTAAAAACCAAGGGCGTAGGCTCTTCACCTTTATTCATAATAATAAAAACACGAACCATTATCTTTGCAGATGATGCCGGCGTCATTTGCAAATCTTTGTATTTGTAAGCATTTAAGGCAGTAAACTACAATTATTCTTACTCGCTATTGCATCAAAAGAAATATCCATTGTTGGATTCGTCTTTCCTTCGGCTATCCATTTCAACCTAGTATCCACCGATAAAACACCTATTTATTAGCTTAATTAAGTAAACTTGGTTTTTACCTAATTTCTTTTTGAAATAAGCAAATGTCTCCACGCGATCCCCCATTTTCAAAAATGGTAGTAGAGAATGGAGATTTGGCGGCTTGCTATGCTTTACTGACCAAATGAGGGTTGATTTATCAAACAGAAATGGATGCTTTTGGAAATTCTTTTCAGTTTTAAGAAAACTGGTTTTCTGTTATCTTAGTACGTCGGCAGTTATATCTCACTTTATAAATTTCCTATTAGTCGTATTGTATTTTACTATTACTGAAATGCAAAGGTCCTTACAACTAATAAAAAATCGTTAATAAATTAATATGTTATAACAAAGCTAAAGATTGTCATCAGACAAGAGAAAACAGACACAATGCCAATCCTATTATCAAACACAAAAATAAAATAAGAAAGTAGCATAACAGAACGGTGCTCTAGAAAAAGCTATACTTCAACTATCCACAAGGTTATAGAGGATTGTTTTGAAGAGAAGGAAAGAAAGGGAGACAGAGGACGCCTGAGTGAGCAACTTCATGCAAAACAAAAAAAAAAAAAAACACAAACGTACAAGTCCCCGCTTGTCACAGTTTAATATCTACTTTAAGGAAACTCAGTTAAACCTGCTACTGTTGAAGCATCCGATTGCTGATCCGAAAAGTTAGGAGAATGGACAAGGGAATCAACAGCATCCGGTTTGCTTTTCTTTTCATTTGTCTCTCTAGAACTGGCATCTTTCCCTTGTCTCCGTTTCGATGATCTAGTAGGCACTCGCTTTTCCTGGCGGGATTCCGAAGGCTCTGGAGCAGCAACATATGGAATAAAAAAATGAGGATAGACCATTTCCATTGCCTGAAAGCAAGCCTGCAACCTCAAAAGGTTTTGTTTGGATATGGCCTCTGTATGCATAGATATATGAGCTTTCTTACGGAGAAAAATTGAATTCTTATCCACAAGTTCGACAATCTTCTGAATCATAGAAGATCTTTCATTTGGGGTAGCATTGGAATTCATGATCTTGTCAACGGAAGCATCCAAGGTCATTTGCATTTCTAACAGAGTAATTAGCACATGTGTTTAGAGTGATACATCGGCTATCTATCACAATTTACTACATACCCTTTATTTTTCCTTCTAAGCAATGGATCTTACTAAAATCCGAAGACAAATCACTCGGAGTTGCATCCAGCACTAAGATAAAAGTGAGAAAATAGAACAGAAATAAATGTTTATACCATCGGCTAGTTCTAGTAGCAGATTCATGCCAACTTCTTGTGTATTTTCTTCCGGCATTCGCTATAGCTTGTATTGCCCCTATCAGAATTATAAAAACATCAAGATCTTTCTTTTTATATGTTTATAAGTTTCATAAATAACAGAATACCCGAAAAAAGCTTCTACGGAGTCCTAGAGTCCCTTTGTTTTTTTCCCTTGTAAAGTCGTTTTGAGTCGTTAAAATCTGCTAGTAATCAATCTTTGCAGCAATAAATCCTACTATATTATATACAATGAGCTAACTCGACTACCCTTTCACAGCTTGCGAAGCGAGCGTTTGTAAAAGTGAAGTACGTATGGAGTGTGCTGTTTCGAAGTTTGACATGCTTGATGTGGATTTGGTACCACTTTTTTTTTTTTTTTATTTATTTCACTAATTAATTGTATTTAAAAGTTTGACTAACCTGGCCTATATGTCTCCAGTCTTCGAAACATAAGTCTTTGGATGACAATTTATTCAGTTAAGGGAAGTTCACAGATTGAGATTTAAAAAAATTATAGCGATATAGATGTTGTTTTATTAGCTATTTAGATCTTTACTGAGACCTTCAGGTTTTAACAAGGTTTTTACTCTTACTCTGTGTCTATGGAAGCTCACCGAGTGTCTTTCTTTACCTTTAACCTTTTCTAGAAGTATTAGTGATTATATCCAGGACATGGAAAGATTTTACTAACTAGGTCAGCACACTTGTAACGGTAAATATTGGTTTCCATGCCTTTGGTCGATTGTAGATAATGAACTTATATACGTGCTTTCTTCTCTATTAACTATTTCTTGGGCTTTTTTCTCCACAAAATTCCACTCCAGTGGATGTTTTTATTCCTTACTTGATCGCGTACGTTGACTTTCATTTCGCCATCTACTTTTATATAAACTGTTAATGCATGTATTATTACATCAAAATCGACTGTGAAAGCCCGGTTCAAGATATTTTCTCATTAAAAACAAAATTTAAATCCAAAAAACATACCAAGTGGTCTCTAAAAAAACACGCAGACTTTCGCTTGGAAGAAATATCAGTTATTTCTATGGATTACCAGCAAGCTCATGTCCCAAAGGTAGAAGAAATAAGTCTGGGGCATGGGATTATTCATCTTTATAGAGAAATTCCAGATATGTCTAGTGAATTCCGTGCACCTGGACTTCTTCTTGCTATCTTAGCTATCCCCTTGTATATGTCCCCTTCAGACATATTAGGATTCTTAGGAGAAAGGAATTGTAGTTCCATAAGTCAGATTCGCTTACTGAGGACGAAAGTACCTAATCGGATTCTTGCTCTATTGAAATTCATCGACCAGGCCAGCGTAATTCGTTTTTTCTCAGAATACAACGGGAAACCATTTAGTCAAATAGAACCTGAGACTTGTCATGTCGTTCATATCGATGGTATCCAAGTGGACAATCCTTCCAGTTCCTCTACCCCTTTACTGAATAGTACTTCAAAGACATCGGGTTTCTCACGAACCTTGGCACCGCCAACACCTTCTCTTGTGGAGTTGCCTATGTGTGTGGTATGTCTAGAAAGAATGGATTCATCCGTCACTGGGTTGATTACGATTGCTTGTCAGCATACCTTTCATTGCCAATGTTTACAAAAGTGGGGGAATTCTTCTTGTCCTGTTTGTAGGTACACCCAGAAAGAAGACACACATCGTTATTCTGGGAAATGTTCATCCTGTTCTTGTGTAGAAGATTTGTGGATGTGTCTTATCTGTGGTACTGTTGGCTGCGGCAGATATCATGACGCTCACGCAAAGCAACATTATGTTGAAACCAATCATTGCTATGCTATGAATTTGGAAAGCCAACGTGTATGGGATTATGCTGGTGATCGCTATGTTCACCGCTTACTACAATCTGAACTGGATGGTAAAGTGGTTGAACTCTCTAATGAGAAATCGACAGATGGAAATTCTGCTTTTGATCAATCGAACTTAAAAGTCCGTGAGAAAATGGGGCTCGAATATACTCAAATCTTAACTTCACAGCTGGAATCTCAGCGTATATTTTATGAGTCACAATTATCTTCGATGACTGAAAAGCTTAATCGTGCAAATGAAGATATTACATTAAAGTCCAAGATAGCCACCGCTTCTTCGAACGCTAATAATGAACTGCGTTCACGGATAGACATTGCGGAAAGCAATTTGAAAAAGAAAAATGACAAGATACAAAAACTATCTACAGAAGTCATGCAATGGAAGCGTGATTACAGCGAAGAAAAAAGTATAAACGAGAATCTATTAGTACGAATTCAGTCTCTAGAAACTAGACATAACAAGAAAAATGAAGAAATCGTCAGCATGCAACAGCAAATTAATGATTTATCCGAACAATTGAGGGATGTAATGTTTACAATATCTGCGTCACAAGAGCTCCAAAAAGTTAGCGATCCTGAAGACATTAAGAACGCGACTGTCGTTGTTCCAAATGCAACAACTACAAGTTCATCATCATCGAAAACAAGAAAAAAGAAAAAGAAAAAGCCTATGGCCTCAATATCAACGAATTCATCCTAGAGAGATCTCGTTTCACGTCTTCTACATTGGAATCTTACCTATTTCTAGAAGTTCTTAGTAGGCTTCTTGTATATTACTAGAATGTTTATGTATACTAACGATTCATACTAGCCTGAAAATTTGAGTGAAGCTTAATCTTCCTATTACTCCTAATGCTAAACTCTGTAGCCAAATGATATTTTCTTTTAGTTTAATTTGAGGGCTTTGGAACAAGTGCAAACATTTTTACGGGGTAAAGCTCGTCAGGAAATCCATGTTGTAAAGACTCTGCAATGATCACTAAATTAGCCATTTGAAATATCTTTCGAAATGAGTCATCAGTGCGAGTGACACTGCTATCTTCTTTATCGAAACTTTCAGTAAAAGAGGAAACATTTTCCTAAAGTTACAAAAGATTAGACTCCTATATGAAAGATTAAAAAGCTATTACCTTAATACAAATAACTCCGTTTTCGCTTAAAGCTTCTGAACAACGAATTAAGTAAGCTACCAAATCATCATTGGTAAGATGGGACAGGCACCATTGGTTCCATATTAATCCTGAGCTCATTGTCAGTAGTGCATTCATTAAAAAGCGAAGAACTAAAACTCCTCAAATCTGGAAGTCCTGCTTCAACTACAGTTTCCTATTTATAAGTTTTTTTAATTGGCTTACCATAACGATTTTTCTCTGGAGTCCAATTCTGCAGACCGGTGCAGATGAATGAGCAGGGCTTATCCTGCAAATGAACTTTTGCCTGTGACACAAATTTTTCGACCGGTTCAACAATGTCTACATGTGAGGCAACTTTTAGCAATACGAATTCTGTTACTCTGCCTATTCCAGCTCCGCAATCTGCAGCTACTAAAGCATCGATTTTTTTGAGGCGGTAATCCAAACGACGCAAAAAGGTACGGGAGGCGATCGCATCGACTTGAGGAATCTTGTGGCGTTAGCTCTAATTATGAATTTTGTAATAGTATGGAATAACAAACAAGATGTATTCCAAATAACCGGTAGTAAGTTCCTGAACAAAGGTTGTTCTCTAGTTCACGTACACGTCCAGTTCCTAACCCTCCTAGCATTCCATTCACAGAAGGTTCAATTCCATTCCAATATCTAAAATTTTAGTACAAATTTCAAGGGCTTTCCATACTCAATAGCATCGCTATAAAATTTGGTGGGGTTCATTCTTTCTAGCCAAAACCATGCAGACTGAACAACAAAAAGAGCCACAGACCGCATCAAATGCGGTCGAAAACCAGGAAGTTGCCTTAAAAACGGTTTTTGACGATAAATTAAATTTTAATTTAAAACATCCATTGTCAAGACCTTGGACTTTATGGTTTTTGATGCCTCCTACCCCTGGTCTTGAATGGAATGAACTTCAAAAGAACATTATTACCTTTAACAGCGTGGAAGAGTTTTGGGGGTAAGTAAAAAAAAGAAAAAAAGGAAAAGAAATTGTAGAAGAGTGCTAATAACCTTGCTTCTGTAGAATTCACAACAACATCAATGCTGCTTCCAGCTTGCCCATAAAGTCTGACTACTCCTTTTTCCGTGAGGGTGTGCGTCCTGAATGGGAAGATATTCACAATAAAAACGGTGGTAAATGGGCTTTCCAAAATAAGGGTCGTGGAGGAAACGCTTTAGACGAGATGTGGCTTACTACAGTAAGTTATAAATAAAAAGAGGATAGTTTAGGATAGGACTGATACTATCTCTCTTATTCAACCTTTCGCATTGAAAAATTCTCAAGAAGGATTAGAATTTCTCGTGGATAGGTTGGAGATGAAAGTTCATCCTTATTTTGTATCCTTTTGCTTCTTAGAGGTTATTAATGCTAACGCTTTGAAATAGGTACTTTCTGCTATTGGTGAAACTTTGGATCCTACTGGTGAGGAAGTAATGGGTGTTGTTATCAACATGAGGAAGGGCTTCTATCGTTTGGCTGTCTGGACGAAGACTTGCACCAACCGTGAGGTTCTTTTGGATATTGGTAACCGTTTCAAGCAAATCTTAAATTTGCCCCGTACTGAGACCATTGAGTTCAGTGCTCATGAAGACTCTTCCAAGTCCGGTAGTACTCGTGCTAAGACCCGTATGAGTGTTTAAACGACAAATACTCTATTTTATTCTTTATATGTGTATGGATTCACACGTGTTTCCGGGTGAAAAAAGCAATCGGTTGGTTCTTTTGAATGGATACTACTATACTCTTTATTGTATAGTAATTTATATAGTCTTTATTTGCTATGCAGATGTAATAAAATTGCTATAGAAACAATAAACAATTAAAGTTGGCTTCACTATGTTCATGCACAGTGTCGACACTACAGAAGAAAGTAGTTATATTCAACAAGTCCAACGCTCATTTATACACTAAAGTCGTATAGTTTGTTTTATGCATTCAGATGGTACTTGGTGTTTCAAATGAAATCCAAAGGGACGGACAATAACGATCGTAGTGAAGTCCTTAAACAGCTTCAATTCTGTTGTTAGAAACGTCCTTAAGGAGGGTTCTATAAGTTTATTTTATTTTATTTTGGTTTTATTTTGATACTGAATTTATTTTCCTTTTTCTTTACATGAACTGCATATTGCCTTGAATTTCAGAAGACAATGTTACCTGTTCTTGGCTTTAAAGAGTTAACTGTGAAGTTACCTTTTTCATATACATCAAAAAGCAAAACAAATGACTGATACGCGCGTCCTGTTTTAAATAAACTAGCCTGGTTTTTTAAGCTAAAATTACATATTATTTCAATTCTAGTTCATCGTTTCTGGTCGTCATTTTCCTACTAATCCGCGTTTACTAGACGGAAAGAACGGAATGTTTACATGAATCGATGGAATAGCGAGTGCACTATTGTGCATTATTCTTTATAACGAAATATAATACGACTATGTAAACTTCTTTAGCAAAGGAGCATTACGGAAGAATTCAAAGTTTGTTGAATACGCTGAGGGCAAAGATAGAAATTCCTTGGAAACGGTGACTTAGAATTTGCCCTCTACCATGAACGCACCAACATTTACAGGTATGCCTTCGAGCATGCTCACAGTTAAGATGATTTGCTCTGAGTGTCGAGAAGATCCTCCTAACCTCGTGGAGGAATTTTCGAGTGGTGATACCGTTTGTGGAAGCTGCGGGTGTGTTCATTTACAGGGGATTTGGCAGTGGTGCGAATGAAATGAAAGCTATTTGAATGAAAGAAATAGAGAGTTCTTTCTTTGTCATTCGTATAGTTGTCGAATTCTTTTTTCTTTATTAGTTAGTTTTTGAGAATGGTGGTTACTAACAGGAATGTGCAGATTGGTTTTGGGCGATCGAATAATCGATACTCGAAGCGAATGGCGTACATTTTCGAATTCAGATGAAGCCGGTGGAGATCCCAGCCGTGTTGGTAAAGTTGCAAACCCTCTTTTAAATGGTTCTCAATTGGATACCGCCATTTCGTCGGCTGACGGAGCTGGAGCAATGCTAGCCAAGGCTCAGGGACGGTCTGTTCAAGTTCGTGGTGAAAAGAACCTTTTGACAGCTTATAAGGAAATTGGTGCAATGTGCGATGCGATTAGTTTACCCAAGGTAATTGCAGATACCGCAAAGCAGTTATACAAAAGAGTAGACGACCACAAAGCTTTGAAGGGTAAATCTTCGCAGTCAATCATAGCTGCCTGTATTTATATAGCTTGTCGTCAGGGTAAGGTTCCTAGAACTTTTATGGAGATTTGTACTTTGACCAATGTCCCTAAAAAAGAGATTGGACGCGTTTATAAGACATTACAACGTATGCTCACTGAAGGTGGTGCTCTCCATAATTCCGTCGATGCCTTGAAAGGTCAAGAATATATCCAAAGCAGCTCTACATCGGCTGAGGATCTCATGGTTCGATTCTGTAACCGTTTATTGCTTCCTATGGTCGTGCAGTCTGCCGCTGCTGAGCTGGCTCGTAGAGCCGGCCAGGAGGGTACACTTGCAGGACGCTCACCAATTTCGATCGCTGCCAGCGGAATATACATGATTTCTGCATTGATGGGGTATCCTAAGACACCGAAAGAAATTTCGGAGGTTACGGGTGTTAGTGATTCTACCATTCGTATCGCTTACAAGCTTTTGCATGCAGAGCGCCAAAAGCTTATAGATCCTAAGTGGGTTGCAAAAAATAGCACGATGGATGCAATGCTGCCAAAACCGTAAGTTGGATTGGTGGTAAAAAGGGGTTTTGGTTTGTGTAAGATCTTGAAAACGAAATGACGAAGCACACTTATGATATAGATGATTTAAAAAAATTTGAACGAATATTATAATAATTTATATGGTTTCTTTATTTGATTGTGTTCTTGTGAAAGCCTTCTTAAAATTATTATGATGTCGAGTTACAAAAGAATGGTGAAGAGAAGTTAAACATTATGCGAGAACAATTAGTGATTACCTGATACAAAGTGACAATCAATTCGAATTGATAGTTTGGTTGAGAATAGGCAATGAAAAAGAATAGCTATTATTCATAAAGTTGGAATAACCATGTTGACAATGATGTTGCATCTAGTGCATTATTAAATCACGTGTTTGGTATAGTAACTATATTACGCCGAAAGTAGAATGGTGTACTAAGAATTTTATTCTACTTTCGTATATAACATCAGAGAGAGGGGGGAATATGTACTGATTCATCCGAGTGAAGAGTAAAAGAAAGCGAGCCCATTAAGTGGCAGGACATTCAAGAACGCAATGACTCAATTTATTGTTTTGTCTTGTTCAATTCCTCCACAAGAAGGCTACCAAGGGTAGCGGGAGAGCGGGAAATACGGACACCAGCGCCTTCCAAGGCTTCGAACTTAGCAGCAGCGGTACCCTTACCACCAGCAACAATGGCACCAGCATGACCCATTCTACGACCCTTAGGGGCAGTGGCACCGGCGATAAAAGAAACAATGGGCTTAGGGTTGCTCTTGGTGAGGTTAGCTTGTTTGATGTATTCAGCAGCATCTTCTTCAGCGCTACCACCAATTTCACCGATCAAGATGATACCATCAGTATTGGGATCGTTCAAAAATAATTTCAAGGCATCAATGAAGTTGGTACCAGGGAAAGGATCACCACCGATACCGATGACGAGGCTTTGACCCAAACCAGCTTGAGTAGTTTGATTAACGGCTTCGTAAGTCAATGTACCACTACGAGAAACGATACCGATACGACCGGGCTTGTGGATGTGAGAAGGCATAATGCCAATCTTGCATTGACCGGGGCGAATGATACCAGGGCAGTTAGGTCCAACTAAACGAGTCTTGTTTTGAGTTTTCAAAATATCAGAAACACGAAGCATGTCATGTTGAGGAATGCCCTCGGTGATGGCAACAACAAGAGGAACTTCAGCTGCAATAGCTTCTTCAATTGCACCGGCGGCCAATGGAGGAGGAACAAAGATACCGGAAGCGTTTGCTTTTGTCTCTCTCATAGCTTCGGCAATGTTACCAAAAACAGGTTTGTCAAGATGTGTGCTGCCAGCCTTCTTGGGGTTGGTACCACCGACGATATTGGTACCATACTGTAAGGCTTGTTGAGCATGGAAGGTACCTTGTTTTCCGGTAAAGCCTTGGAAAACAACTTTGGTATCCGAATTCACCATTAGATTAGGAATAGTCTGTTCGTACAAAGAAGCACCACTCTTTAAACCGGCGGTAGAAGAGAACGTGCGCAAGTTTCGCAAAAGAGTCGTCTTTTGAGTATGTAACATCTTTAAAGTATTAAAATTATTTAAAAATATGTATCGTAAAAAAGCTGGCCGCCTTTGAGTGAACAAAAGATCGATTCTTAAGGACAGCTACAGTTGGTGGTATTAGTAGAAAGCAGTGTATTGTGATAGCGGGTATCGACTGGATGAACAAAGCAAGTGCGATCATAAAAGATGGTCCAGTTTGATAAATAAAAGATTCTACAAATAAAACAATAATTATTAATTCAATGCAACTTTCTTTCTTTCTTTTTTTTTTTTTTTTTTTTTTTTTCTTAAATAACCCAAGTTTTTCTGAGAATATTTAGTTTCAAAACCACAGAAACAATTCATTTAACACTAGAAACTCGATTTCAAAAGTAAAAATAAACTAAACGAAGGTTAAGAATACAGTAGATGAATGGACTGGTGCTTTCACGTATTCATGCATGAAACCAATTCTGGATTGCTGCGACAATTCACTAAGTATATAGGAATAGTAAGACCTGACCTGCAAGCAATTTATGAAACATGTTCTTTTTTATTTGTTATTTGAGAAGCGATGGCTGCAAAGCACGACGCTAGTTGCGGGATCTTTGTATCGAGAATGAAAAAGCTCGACCCGAGCAAGAAGATTTCGAACGAAAAGAGAAATTTATACAAACAAGTTTATGAAACAATCATATATAAGTGTAAATAAAGAAAAGAAAGAAGCCTCATCCTCTTGACCTCATTGATCGGACTATGTTTACTAGTTTGTTTTCTTAGAACTGGGAGGAGAAGCAACTTACTTCGTAGAATTGTTGTGGATGGATTCCAATAAAGATTGAATTGTTTGATTTGACTGACACAGCAGCGACACTTCTCTTAAGCAAGATAAAAAATCATGACCGACAATATCAAAGCTTATCAATTGGGTAAAAAACTTTGGCTTAGGCGAATGATTTTGTAAACGAACCTGAAAAGCAAATGAAGCATTGGCATCTTTTGTTGAAGAAGAAGGTTCTATAGCGCTCAAGTCGATAGAGCATCGGGGCTGTTTGGATAACAAGGCAGCTGGGAGTTGAGCGGCATACAATGGATATTGAGCCTTTTTCTTGGCAAGTTGAAGAAATGCCTAGAGATGAATGTTAATTATCCATAAGAAACAAAACGTGTACCTGTTGAAATTGAGTTTGAAGACGAGAGAGAATTTCCTGTCGATGTTCTAGTTCATCAATAAGTGATAGGACATAATCATTCGTATCCATTATTCATAAAAAATACACAAAAAACAAAAAAGGGAAGTTACCCAACCGGGAGATGTTAAAAGTGAAAACAAACAAACAGACAATGAATTCGTTAGTATTCAAGTGAGGAGGAACTGTTTTAAATTTTGCGTTTATCCAGCTAAGAAAATAAAATAAATACAAATAGATATCATTCCGTTCCTGCTTTTAAAAATAGCTTCCAAGAGAAATTCTAAACGAAAACGAATCACAGCGGACAGAAAACAACGGATGCTACCTATCCAGTTGAAAAACAAACAAACTTGCAATTGCTTTTCTTACCTCTTTCTTTCTTTTCCTTGCTGTTAAGGCTTTATTGCTAGTTGATGGTGTGTCAACAGCAAATCCAAACGGAAAAGACAAGAGAGCTATAGATACAGAAAAATGGATATAAATAGGTGATATGAATGGGTTGTTTCGTTTCTCTTTTTGATGCAACCAGCTACCTTTCCACCAACTCAGCTTTCTTACTCTTGTAATAGATGTATTTGTTACTCTATGGCGTTACTCGTTGTTTTTTTAACGGGCTCCATCCGTTACCGTAAATTCATTTTGCTACTCATTTGCTACCTTCCTGCTACTTACCAACAACACTACTCCAAACGCAAAAAATTTGGTTTGCTGAGAAATACGAGTAAAACGTGTTTTTACGGTTTTAAAAAGGTAAGTTTTTTAGTTTTTTTGCATCTGTTTTATATGCTTTAAAGGGGTGGTCATTTCGTTCGACTGAGATTCATTGTCAATGTTTGCTTCAGGTCACAAGAGAAAAGCCCGCTAGTAACAAAACGAACAACAGGGAAAGACTAACTCACAGAGATTAGGAAGAGAAAAGGTTGCTGAAGCATCGAGTCTATCCACTAAGTGTTTATTTGGTGTGAGGTTGAATTCAATATTGGATACATTCGTTAGCACCTCGCCACTGTGGAGTTTGCCTTTCTCTGAAACATTAACGTCAAAGCCATCAAGTTTCTTTAACATTGTCGAAGGTCCTTCTTCAAGTTACCTGAACAATAGGATTCATTTTAATTTTTCTTTAATTTAATATTTCTAATTATTCTTTGGTCTTAACAACAGTTGTTGTTGGGAAGTTCTGGTTTCTTGTATATAGACTTTCGATTTACGATACATTGTTTGTATTCTTGTTTTTTTTTATTAAGCCGTTTGCATTGTTTTATTTCCAATCACATTCTTTCTTCCGTTCGTCTTACCACTAAACTTTAGAATTGCACTTAGGTCCCCACTAGCAAACGCCCGAATCTTCTGTTTTTCTGTTCTCTGTTCTCTGTTCTCTTCATTCCTTTACTTCCTTCCTTCCTTCCAATATCATGTCCATTGCGCCTCGGCAGATAATGGATGATCCAAACTTAAAAAAAGAAGATTCTACTCATTCTCCCACTGCATCGTCCGTACCCGTTGGTGCTTCTACCATAACTGCAAGTACAGGTCAAGATCCAATATCTACTGGATCTACCGCAACCGACGCAGGTCCTCCTCCACAGACCACCTTAACACCTGCGAGTGCTGGAACTACTCCGAATCCCCCCAAACATCCTTCTACCGGAATTCCTCCTTCTCCCACTGCCACCACTATGTATAGATGTGATAAATGTGACATGGTCTTTGCAAAACAGTCTGGTCTGACAAATCACAAGCGGACGTATCATCAACCTGAAACCGTCGTTATCATTGGCAGACGCAGGTACGTTTGGAGAAGGAATGAAAATGGGCGGTTTCAGTGCGTTTGTGGCCGCCAAAATTGGCGGCGCCCGGTAAACTTTGCTTCTCATGCGAAGCAATGTCCGAGCTTTTTAGCCATGGATCCCAACAATATCCCCCCAGAGATCAATAAAGTTCCACCTCATGAGGACCTCCATTCATTAACTGATTCCAGACGCCGGTTCCGTCGGGGTCATACACAGGATAGTTTAACGCCTGGACCACATCCTTCTCAAGTCGGCGACCCAAATGCTTCTACCAACGCAGCAGTTGCTGCGGCAGCCGTCGCTGCTGCCAACAACTTAACGAACGGCGTACATACTCCTGACGTTTCACGAAATATAAATAGCTCCTTAGTAGATGCTGCAGAGTCGTTGGCGAACGTCTCTCAACAACAGCACAATCACCACCCTTTTGCCCGTCAATCAGATTATTCTGCCCATCCCCTTGCTCGCACTCCTAACGCCTATAGTCATTCCATGAATATGTTTGCTCCTAACAATCCTAATTCCTCGTTATTACAAAGTTCTATGCCTTCTGACGTTTCCATTGCTTCTTCCCTCGTTCAACAACCCATCCATCCCTCGTATGATTCACGATTTTCTAAAGGCACTGATGCTCTTGTTGCTACGGCCTTAGGGTATGGTGCTCCTCCCTCAGCTGCTACTCTTTGTCCTTTATATCGCGATACCCCTGCTGCAATTGTCAGTGAAAAGCTACGTCTACGCTTGGCAAATTTAAGAGTTGCATATTGCGAGGACTGCAGAGAGTTCATATCCTTATCCGCAGCCCTGGATCATCGCCGATCGCAACACTCACAGAGCATTACGCCTGACCTTGTTCACGTGTACAGCGATTTCCTAGATTATCAAAATTGTTAAGCTCATGGCCGCATGAATTACGACTTCTATTTCAGTTAAAACATTTTTACTTGTTTCGTGTCTTGTTACTTTTTTTTTTTATAATTTTTCATGGCCTGTGTTGTAATAATACTTCTAGAATTTTTAATCTCTGGTTACCTTCGTTTCCTTCAATTTTTGATCTCTGAATATGCTTAATTTGATATACTCATAGACTACTTCATTGTTAATGAAGTTTATGCTAGGTGAATTCAATGAGATGAATTACGAATCAATTTAAAAATTTTAAGCCATGTTTATTGATACATTACAATCACATTAGTACCAAAGTACATATATTAAGCCACGACGTAAGACAAGATGACCATGAAATAGCGGTTTATTTGACATTGTTTAGACATAAACTAAATATAATATACATAAAAAACATGGACTAAAATATCAATGAAAGGAGATGTCCCATTGAAGTCCTCAAAAAAGATTGCTTACTTAATTATTCACTTAACCCCAAACCAAATTCTCTAGAGTGGTGGGCTCTCTGACGATTTTTGCGGTCATTCCAGTTGAGCGTGTGTCGTAAAACATCAAACCAATCGACAGAATGCTCAGAACGGTTGAAAGAAGGGAAAGGGAAAGGAGATGCAGAAACGGAAATATAATCACCCAAACCAAGTTCGACACGATGGTGACCGTCAAATGCACACCAAGCATTGCTCCGTGCATCCAAAGGTACGACAATTCTCAAGGTAATACTGTCGGGTAATATAATAGGTCGGAAAGAAAGACTATGCGGGCAAATTGCACTAATCAAAATCGCCGGGATTGCTGGATGGCATAATGAACCTCCCGCTGCTACAGAGTATGCAGTTGAACCAGTGGGAGTAGATACGCAGACACCGTCTGACTGGAGACATGTTATATAAACATTATCAACATACAAATCTAGCATTATCATGAAAGGATTTGGACCTCTATCAATCAGGAGTTCGTTTAACACTGAAAACTGGCCTTCACATATATGTGTTTTCTTCTCACCAACGTAACGCATGATCGAACATTGAAACCTCATTCTAAGATTGACAGTAAACCCTTTTCTAAAAATTACATCCAACGTTTCTTGATAATTGTTGATAGGAAGAACACTAAGAAAGCCAGGATTCGCAATACTATATGAAATCACAGGAGGAACAACATCTTGAAATAGCCAGCTAGCACGTAAAGCAGTGCTATCATCACCTATGGTAATCACACAGTCAAAAACGTTGGGTTGTTGAGTACAAAGTTCAGCTGACCAAAGTCGAACATTTTCCTTAGGAGTAAAGCTATCAAATTCTGGAAGTAAGGATAATTTTTCTTCCAAATAAATAAAAAATTGACTCTTGGGGCTTTTTGGACTAAAATTCTTCTCCAGAGGCGGAGGACTTCCTGAATGATCATTGGAGTCAGAAGATGTCATCCGAGATTGAGAATCCATACTACTGCTTCCAAAATCCTGCTGAGCAGAGGATTCGACAAAATTATCCAGAAGCCATTGCGTTACTTGAACAGCAGCATTCACAGAACTTGATCCATCGCTTGAAATAAGCAAAACTCTACGAAAGCGAAAAGTTAACCTTGCAGCACTGAGTTTTGCTGCTAATTCTTTAACTCTGGTAACTAGGCTCGTTAGATCCCTTTTATCACTTGCTTGTAATAATAAAGAATCAGATCGTAATTGAGCCGCAGCGTGGTTTTGCAATGAAAGATGAAGCTTGCAATTGTTCGAAGAGCTATGCTTTACCCGATCATGTTGACGCTTTCTATGATCGGGATCAAATCTGGGGTTTTTCCTTGCCCAGCGTATTTTCGAAGAACGAACAGTAGAAGGACTCCTCATATAATCCGTCGATGAATCATGGCCGATATTTGACATTGACAGGTTGCTAAAGCTCTTTGACATATTCCGAAAGGTCTCTGGTAGTTCGGTATCGAAAGAACTAATAGCGCCATTCTGTTCTTTTTGATCACTGCTATATATGTCAGACTTCGAGAAAGGGTTATTGGGATCCATTAGGATCAATTCCTTTTAAAATTAATAATAATAATAAAAGTACAATTCTCGTGATTCTTGTCTGGCTTGGATTCTTTTAAAAGGGTAGTCAATGTTCAGCCAGTTTACGGGTTTGTAGGATCAAGAAGATAATGCGATTGAACAAGCTGTTTTTTAATATCTCTGAAGTAAGATTACTGAATAGAGTGTCGATATACAAACGTATCGCAGTACATGTAACTCAAAAGAAACTATGTCGCGTATTCACCGATTGTTCCTTTATAAGAGTGGGCTTAATTATAAATGCTAATCTTCTATGTTTCGCTTTATAAATTCCTTCTGTAATTAGTAATGTTATCGGAAACTGAACATTGTTAAAATGGTGGGTAAGAAAAAGGTCACCCGGTAACTGAAGCGACTAATGACAGATGTCTACTATGCCAGTTTTAATTCATTCCAACAATTGAACAACGTAGTTTATAATATTAGAAATTATAAAAATAATAATAAAAACTCGTTTAAGAGATCTATCTAGCAGTTTGTAGTAAAAGCATATGCATACATATGTTATTACTTTCAATAATACATGGCAAAAAATAAAATGTTCTAATGCTACAATATACTTATAACATTCCCATCTTGTACATCCAGTTTATATTCCATATTGCTTTATTTTCCCCTCTAAACCTAATAGCAGTTGCATTCATTTTCCATAACTAAAATCTGGCTTGACGTTTAATTTGCTCTGTAGCCCAACGAGAAATATCCTTGGTTTGTTGAGTACAGAATTTCGTTTTTCCAGAATTTAGCAACTCCGTTATCCAATCTGCTGCGAAATATTCCTTCAACTGACCACCGGAAAATGATTCAGCCAAATCACCCAACAGGCCTAATGCAGCACGTGTTAAGGATTCAGTACGCTCGCGATCTTTGGTAATCATATGCAACAAAGCGAACATGCTATGTATATAAGGCTGGATTAAATCTAAACGGTTATCAGTGCGAACAGCTTGGGTTATACCAACGAAGGCCTCTACGATTCCTAAACGTAAAGCATCCACATAATCAATCATGCTAAAGCTAGCTCCAGGAGGTGCCTGAACGGACGACGCTTGTTGTAACAGTACCATTACGGCTTCAAGGTAAGTTTCGAAAGCAGCACCGATTGCTAGTGCAATGTCACTGAAGCAAGAAAGAATAGCAGGCTTGACATTACGATCTAATACGGAGCTTTGTAAATCCTGAACCAAGATAGTCATAAATTCATTACAATATGGTAGAATTTTCGCGTTAAGAGCACGAGCCAAGTCGCCAACCAATCCAACAGCAACGGAGCACAGTTGATATTCTTGTTCATTGCTTAAAGCAACAGATAAATAAGGAGCGAAAGAAGAGACATATACCTCAAATTGTTCCTCTAAAGAATTCATCATAGCACCAACGGCTAACAGCACATCCTCATGCACTACCGACTGTTTAGGTGCAGTTTGCATAGTTTGTAATAATAAAGTCATGATTTGATCTGATGTTGATCTAATATCAGGTCCAAAACGACGAATTATGCTGGTAAGAACGTTACAAAGATTAGATTGAAGCTCATCATGATTAGCACGTTCTTCAATGTCCAAAATCTGGTTCTGCACTTGTATGGAAATTTCCAGGCGAGACATTGTTACCGTCAATACATTGGCTATAATTGGCAAAGCTGTGTCAGAACTGAATGTAATAACTGTGCTTAAAGTTTCGTATCCCGAGGTCCGGGAATTGCTTTCATTTCCTTTTTGATCAGTGACATGAAGTAAAGCTGCAATAATAGCTTCATAAAAAGGCGTCATTAAAGACATATGATGACTATCCTCAGGAGCGAAATGGCAAACTAAATTCATAAAAGCCCAACAGCAATTAGCGACAATACGGGGACTGTCAGTAAGACCAGTTAAAAGGGCAGTAACAAGCTCTGGAAGATGGATTTCGGGGTTTATAGCTTCAGCAACGAAATTGGAAATCTGTCCCAGAGCCCAAGCAGTGGTATCTTTTACAAAAATCACAGGATCTTTCATCATGTGGATGAGGACAGGTAAAGCCTGATTAACCAAAGGAGTAAGCATGGCTACATTAGGGCCTTCAAGGACTGAACCAAACGCCATCACAGCCGCCTCACGTTGGTGCCAGTCAGGGGACTGAATGTTTTGTTCAACAAAAGCGAGAACAGGATTCACGATAAGATCACCAATCACCTGAGCAAAAAGTTGCAAGCAAGTGGCAGCAGCCATGGAGATATTCCAGTCGTCTTCGTCCGCGTCTTCGTCTTGCTTGCAAAGAAGTTCAAGCAAAACCGGTAAAATATCAGCTCCTCCTGCTCTAGCAAACTCATGATTTTCTCTCGAGGGTTCTTCATTAAGTTCCTGAGCCTCTTGAACTTCAAGATTAACTTCAATTTCTTCTTCACAAACTGTACTCCAAAACTCAACAGCTTGCAAAGAAACTTGTTCATTGGGGTTATACATTCCTTGAGTTGTGAGAGCAAAAAGAGCCTTTTCCATGTAAAATGGCATTAAATCATAGTAAAGATGCATGATTTTGACCAAGCATCCAAAAGCGGCGGTTTGAACGGGAGCTTCAGGACTTTGAGTGGCCTCGCAAACGACTTGCATTATATAGTTCCGTTCAGCTTCATTATTGAAATTATCACGAACAAATTCAAGGGAATCATATAAAGCACCTAAAGCAGCTAAGCGAACGACGACGTCTGGCTCTTCCTTACGAGCACCAGCAACCACTGCAGTTAAAATAGCATTCGATTGTGTGGACAAAATTTCGGAAGGGACTGCTTCACAAATATAACCAATGGTTTGTAAAGAATGTTGTTTGAGAGAGGACGGTTGACCATCTCCGACATTGGCAACCAATGTAACCATCAAATCGGGCCATTGATTGAGTGCTAATTCAAAAGCTGCAATAGCTGCAACTAACTGAGCAGCAGATTGACCAGCCTGATGTTCTTGAGAAGCTAATGTCTGTAACGCACCAATTTTTACTTGGTGCTTTACTTCGATGGGTAGAGATTGCCATAATTGTTCATATTCTACTTTGCGAGCAGCATCTCGTGCGGTTATTGAGTTTTTAAGAGCCAAACCAGCGGCCATACGAATGTAGGAGGCAGAACTCTCATTAGCCAGTTCCTGAGTGAGCAAAAGCATGTACTGAGCAAAGTCAGTACGGGCAGCATTTTCTAACTGCTTTTCCGCATTTAAACGCACATTTGCATCTGGCGAGAGTGTTTGAGCCAAAAACTCTCCCGCATTCATTTTTAAAATCCTATAATGGCCTTATGTCTATGAAGTATGAAGTTTACGCTTCCAAATGTCAACCTTCAACTTTCCAGTTCCTTTTTGGTTTATAACCGTAAAACAATCAGATTACTTATATCGTTGAAAGAATCTTCTGATTAACAGAAATTAACTTTCCTTCTTTCTGCAAGAAAAGGTTATTTGCGAAAACCTACTAATGTGGATGGTAGAGGAGAAGTGTTTACTATACCGCTACGTGTTTGACAATACTCCAGTCAAACCACACTTTCCGTTTGTAGAATCAAAACATGAAGTACTTAAAACTAACTAATCTGTTTATTTTGTTCATGGACCAACTTGCTCAAATAAATGTTTCAAATTGCTCAACTGTTGATTCATTTACGAAACCCAAAAATTTGTAAATATAGATGATACCTTATTTATATAAGCGTATAATTTTATGTTACATGTACAAAAAAGTTTTATGTACAACCTACAGTTTAGTAACGTATCAAGGATAAACGATCAGCTTGCTACTTTAGTATTCTGCAAAAAGTCTACGAAATCTTACAAACTAAAAAATCTGTTACAAACTTTTTATTTTTTTATACTAACATTATTAGAGACACGATATTCCAGTTCCATAAACGCAGTATTGATCGCTGTTTTCACCTAATTATATAGTCAGTAAAAGGAAAAGATAAAAATTATAATTAGACACAACAATAATAACATACATCTTTGTAACTGACTATAATGCGATTGCAAGAATCTTCTAAAAGTAGTTTTTCCTCTATTCCGGCATCCAGCTATTTTTGTCAGTAATACTGCTTAAGCTAAGTAAGATATTCCACTTACCTTGTTCAGACATTGCAGAAGATGCGACAGATCAATGTTACGTTCGATCAGTTTGGACGCATCAAGCAACTGAGACTTTATAGGGTGCCCATCTCCTCTGGAATATTGCTTAACACGAAACATGTATTTTCTGAACAAGCGAATGATCCAAAATCGCCCGCATGGAGACCAGTCTGGATCTTCCAGAAATTCAGGCCGATCATCAAGGAATTCAAATTTTAAAAGTACTCTCAATAATCGATCGTTTTCTACTTGCTCAGCTAGATGTGACTGATAAACATCTTGCATTCTATAATTTGTTAGCTCTTTGAAACGAAAAAAATAAAAACAATTCGTACAGAGTACTGTTCTCATAATTTGTAATGATATAAGGTATGACAGATGGTAATACATGGTCAATTCGGATACTCTCATCCAGTAGTAAACTTTTTATCAGTTCAAGGAAAGATGATTGAATGTCATATCGGAAACCAAGGTTTGCTATATGATCTCTTGCTGTTGCAATTGATATATTCTCAATGCCAGATGCCAAAGATAATAGCAAAAGACCAAGGTTTCGACAATCCTCCATCTGAAGGTTTTCTAATGAAGTGTTCGGATACTCCGATATCACATCAAAAATGCCTAAACCGAACAATGCCACTCGTAATTTTCCCACCATCAACACATTTTTGGCTGTGATCATTTTCGCTGCCATGCCAGCAGAATGAATGGTATGCAAAGCCCCGATCAATTGACTGGCAATTGTCCAAAGCACTTTTTCAGTACTTAACAATGGCTTTGAGAAATAATAAGATGCAGCCTTCTTACGGAAGACCGGAGAAGAAAAAAACAAGTCATAAAGCGAAGGACAAGAAGGAGTATACTCGTAAACGAATACGACAGCTAGTAGTGTTAGTGAAAAGAAAGAAAGAATAAGAAGAAACTTACAAGGTTGTCCAAAAGCATGAGTTGTAAATGCTTCTTTGATACTCATTATGTACGGAGAACGAATCTTTGTCCACGGTACTACATTTGTGATATTTTTATCACGTAACAATTGGAAATTTTGCAATTGAACAAATATATATGGTTGTCCATTATCTCCATCGATTACTTTGTAAGTACTGGTCGAATATCCCAAAACAGGAAGCGAAGTAGTTATGGTACGTCGAGGGGTCAAACTATGATAATTCAGAATATGAGTTGGTAACTTCGATGAACTTGAGAAAAGAAAATTCTCTCTTGAAAGATGTAAAAGCCATCCTTCGAAATCATCGGCAAGAAAAGTCTCGACTTTTTTCTTTTCTGAATCATTCATGGTATGAAGAAAAGGCGGAAACTTAGCTACGATATGACGATCTAATTCAACCCCTTGAACCTGCTCGGATCCGGTGATAGATGGACTCAAATAATTAGTAGGCTGCACTTGAGAAGGAAAAGGTAGTAAGCCGGGTGACGGCGAGGAAATGGCGGGGACAGCTCCTTTTGTCGAAGTAAACGATGGTGCGTTCACAGAAGGGTATGAAGGAGTAGTAGAACGATCTTTAAGAGGTACCGAAGTAGCCTTGGGGGAAAAAGGCAAAGCGTTACGAGCCAAATATGATTTTCCTGAGGAATCTACGGTAGCCCGAGAGCTAGACGGAGTCAGTGAAATTGTCTTGGGAGGACTATTCACACGACTAGTAGCAACACCATTTTTCCCAGATGATAAAGCAGAAGAATAGGCTATAAGTGTAAGCATAAGAAGTATATTTGTATGAACATACATTTTGTTTTCGTCAATGGAGTAATTTCTTTTTGGCGATTCGATAGTGAAGGAGAGTCTGTGGGCTTGATGACCAAGGATGGAGTGAAAGATGGAGAATTGACGCTGAGTCGACTGGAAGAAGTAACTGAAGAAACAGGTATTTGTTCGGCTTTTCGTGAAGCCTTCCAATCTTCACTCGGTAATGGGTTCTATAATAAAGTAATTAGCATGCCAAGGTATTTTACATCTTAGAAAATTAAGCAAAAGCTAGTCTGATAGCTCGCCAACTTTTCAGTCTATATATATACACCATACCTGCATTTTGTGCTGAAAAATGCATCCTTTATCAATATAAGGGCATCTTCCGTGAATCATTTCATTCCTACAAGGAATGTTGGTGGAGAAAATGGACGAATCTGAAAATGTTGTTAGCGATAATGGCTCTCGATGAATATGTACTAGAAAGGCTCATAACAAAACTTATAATCTAAAGTATGCGCCTGTTTTCTTGCAAGCAAATATCCTTACGTTTTTCCTCCATTTTTCCTTACATAGTTTTATTTACTGTGGTGGTGCTTTAAAGGTCGGATATTCCCAATACACAAATGATGAAATAAGATGCATGCAAAAGTTTGCTAGACTATACGAGGATTAAGAAGAGGATATCCAACTTATTACGATGGAATAACTTTTGAATTTACTTTACATAATTATTTTATTTATCCTAGGTGTTATTGCAAAGGTGAGTAACCCAAAAAACGGAAATGCGAATAGAATCCATGAAATGTTATCAAAAGTTCTTATAACGCTTTTTGACTATCTCTTTTATATACGAAGATTGGATTGAGGCGAAAGGCGTTTGTGGTTTTGCACCGTGAACAGTACATTCAATAAAAGCAGCTTAGCTTGGCTTTCCACTTAGCTTGATAATGGGTTGAAGCACTTTTGAGTTACTCCGAGTTATTCCACAATGACTACAAAATCCTGCGGTTGTATGCCCTGCGTATTTTTTTATGATTTACTCAGCTCGTGGTTGCACACAGACGAAATGTTCAGCAAAACTTCAACCTTACACTTATCGGCTTGTGCCATTATTCATCTGAATTGCGATATACATTCCTGCAAAAGCCAGAAAAGCCAATACTCTTTACCGTGACACTCTGAACAAGAGATCATCAGTCTACTCGCGTCTATTTCATGTATATTATTATTTTAAATGATTCAATTATCCTTGAGCTTTAAGGAGAATATATACATTGCTCTACTATAACCTCGTGAAATAGATTAGCAAGCTATAAGACTGATGTAGTGTGTCTTCTTACGGTCAAACCGACGGATAAAGAAACAAAAAGAAAGAAATAATCCATTATAAAGTTTTTGTTTCTTTATATTATGAATCTTTTCCGGGATGCTTCTACTCACTCCGTCTAGCGCTTCCACGGATACATGCACGTCGAAAAGTTATTTTGGATATACGTTTTCTTAATGCTTACAGATTTTTGTGCTTACTTGTGAAGCTGTATATGAATTATTTATCTGAAAACTACATCTCCGGTGCCAGAAAGTTTGACTGAAAGCATTTCTGGATGATGGCGTCCACCGGCATTCTGCTGCGCCGGTAGTCTGCGCAGTGAAGTTCCTCATGTTTTATATACGTGAAGATGATTATGCATTAAGGAAAACCTTTCTAATGAAAATTTCTTTTTTTAATCGTTGTTAAGATTGCATAAGTCGTTTCCTGATCAATTAGAGTTATAATCTTGGACTTCGTGATTAGCATTGTGAAGAAAAGAGCTTTAGTGATTCGGGCTTACTATTTGCTTACTTTTCTTTTAAAGTTGAAAATAATTATTTGTTAATTAAGTGAAAACTTCTTTCGGAGCTTTGGAGGCACTAATGATGGATATATCCTTGCCGGTTAGATCAACCCCCGAAACTTTTAGTGAAGTCTCAGATCTGGAGGTTGGTATTCGTACTTCTACTGATAATGATCATAGTTTAGACAAGAAGAAGGATTATGTTATTACCAACATTGCAGAGTTTGCTTCCACGAGTCATCCTGCTCATCCAAGAAACTGGCCTTGGTGGAAGCGGTGGCTGATTATGATGGTATATTGTGCTTTGCAGATATATGTTATATGGACTAGTAATGCCTATGGAAGTATATCTACTTCTGTTCAAGATTATTTTCATGTTTCCGCACAAGTGTCTACTTTAAATCTTAGCATGAACATCTTGGGCAGTGGATTAGGCCCAATGTTTCTGGGTCCTTTGTCTGATATTAATGGTAGAAAACCTGTTTATTTTTGTTCGATTTTTCTGTATGTTATATTCAATATTTCTTGTGCGCTTCCAAAAAATGTTGTTCAAATGGTTATTTCCCACTTCATTACAGGTCTGACTGGAAGTACAGCCTTGACTAACGTTGCCGGTGGGATCCCAGATATATTTTCTGAAAATAAATCAGGTATGCCCATGTCTCTATTTGTTTGGGCCTGTGCGGGTGGTGGTATTGGTGCTCCAATTGGTACGGGAGTTGATTCAAATCCTAAATTTGGCTGGCGCTGGCTGTACTATATCAACATCATTGTTGGTGGTTTTTTTTTGGTTTTAATCCTTCTTATTCCAGAAACTTTACCTATGAAGGTTATATCTAGATACGAATTAGCCGAAGGCCGAATTATCGAAGCTCTTCCCAAGGTTAAGACAAGTGAAGTTTTTCAAAAAATGAAATTTATCAGTACTATGGGGTTTCGAATGATGTTTACAGAACCCATAATCATTACTATGGGTCTTTACAACTTCTATGCTTATGGTATAAGTTATTTCTTTCTTGCAGCTATTTGGCCTGTTTTTAATTTGAATTACAAAATGTCTTCAATGAGTGCCAGCTGTACATATCTTGCTGGTTTCGTGGCTTATTCCCTTTTGTTTTGTTATCAACCTATCCAAGACCGGATTTTTCGAAGAAGCAAAAAAGGTAACAATGGAGTCGTCGTTCCTGAGGCTCGTTTTACGAGTGCTTTAGGCTTTACGTTGCTGTTTCCAGCTGGTATGTTTTTGTTTGCTTTCACTTGTAATCCTCCCTTTCATTGGATGGTCCCGATTGTAGGTCTTGCCATGTCCAGTATAGCCAATTCACATAATTGGTCGTCTATCTTAAATTATTTAACTGATTGCTATCCTATGATTTCAGCATCTGCAGTAGCTGCTTTTACCCTTCCTTCGTTTGTTGGTGCTGCTATATTCGCCCATGTTAGTATTATAATGTTTGATAAAATGTCTACAAAGTGGGCTGTTGCTACTATGGCTTTCATAAGCATTTCTATTCCTTTTATAATTTATTCTTTCTACTTTTTTGGTGAAAAAATTCGCGTTCGCAGTGCCTTGACGGGAACAAAAGCCATTAAATATTTGCCAATTTCTGATTGAGCAAAGGCTATTTTTAATAAAATTTTTTCGGCTTTTTTCATGGCCTATATTACTTCTTTCTAATTTTAATAATTTAATATTTAAATACCCTCTACGATGGTAATTTACATTACTATATGAGAGATGTAAACTTGGAATGCAGTATTACTACAATTACGAATTTCAATAATCTGCTTGAAATATGTGTTCGAATTTTTACTTGGGATACGATAGCATTTCCAGAAAATCGTTTATTATTACGCCTGTTTGGCCAAACACATCAATCAAGTGATTATTACTTTACACAGTCGGCTCTAATTATTCGAAAATTTTACTTTTTGTTAAAGAATAATAGTAATTAGTTCTTCCATTATTGTATCTCTCATAGTATTTTGTTTAGTTTGCACTCGTTCTTTTGTTTACCATATATAACATTTGAAATTAACATCAATGCTGTTCTCAACAACATTTCTATTAAGTTATTAAAAACCTGCTTTGACAAACGATGCATATCGTAAAGAAACTAGGCGTTACTGAATTTATAAAGAGGGTAGCTTATTTTATCATTGAAATGTAACTTACAAAAATTAAAAAACAAGCTAGAACTTTCATTAAAAAGAAAAAAGCGAGTTGATAAGCTAACAATAAGGATAAGTATGCAGAGTTGTAAGTGATGAACACTAAGATTGAAAGGTTGTCATCTTAAAATCAGACGGTAAGTAATCTTTACTTGTGGAATATTAGAAATGAGAGTTAAGGTAAATATCTTCTTATGAAAAAAGGTACATAATGTACTTTAGAGGTTCTTTTTAGCAACTTCGGAGTTGGCAGTTTGGGCAGGGCTCAGTTTCTCACCATGAGCACGACGACGAATAGCATCCATCATTTTGAAAACCCAGAAAAGATTTAAGCAATTCAAAGACATGCTGTTTGAGTTAATAAAGCGATCAGTCTAGTATACTTACTTTGCAGCTAAGTAAAACAAGCTAAGGCCGCGAGGAATTTCAGTTACACGGCGAATAATTTCCACTTAAATTAGGTTAGTATTCTGTTATACAAAGGTAATAAGTGACATACTTGAGGTGCTATAAGCAGAGTACCAACCCCAAACGATACGAACGAAGAAAAAGGTAAGGATAAGAAGAATACCATTAAGAATTTGGAATTTGGATCCTGTTTTGTTCGTCTTATCCAAAAAGTAATGAATGTTTAAGAAAGGGGTACTTAATTCCCAAGACAAGTAAGTTGGACCATAGTACATGAGGTATGGGGACTGTGGATATTAGCAAAAAAGTACAAAAAACAAAAAAATAGAGATATATTTCTTACATAGCTGAATGTTACCACGAACAATGCAGCAACCGCATGAACGACAAATCCCAAGCCGGTAATTTTAGCGTAACGAACAGTAATATACAAATCCCAGAGAAAGTAACCATCTGCCAAAGCATATATATCACCTGCATAGACGGAATACCCAAAGAGTTTGTCATTGAAGTTATTCACTTCTCTCAGGATGAGATAGCCTAGAGAAATGAGAAGGACACTCTGAACAGAACTAACAACGTGAGAATCCCAGTTCAGCTTGGTACGCCTGGACAAGTGCTTGTAATGTCTGCTCAGTTTGTTGGATATCCAAGGAGAAAGAAGATTGATAAACTGATAAAACAAAGCACTGAGAATGACTACGTGAATATGCCTGGGTAATTTATAAAGCCCAAGTTTTTCACAATAAGGAGTTACCAAATTCTCTAAAAACAGAGGTCCACGAGGAAATAATCCATCATTGGATGCTGTAGAATTCATTTCGTATGTGGTTTTATATTGCCAGCGTCTATTTACTTCTCTTCTAAAACGAATGAAATTCAAACGTAAGCTTGGAGAAAAAATGGAATTCTTCTCCTTAAACTATTTTTTACTTGTAATGTTATCGTCTAAGCAATTTTAATTGCTTCTTGTTGCACGAAGGTGATGGTAGAAAGTGAATACTTCAATTACACAAACTGCGTCTCAATGGCAATTGTCTGTTTAAAAAATCAAAACAGATCGGAGTGTTGATACTTTTACAAAGAATTTCAAAGGATAAAAAAAAAATTATAAAGATGTATTCAGGTAGGAAATTGTATCGAATATTGATCATGAGTTGGTATCTACGAACAGTCCAAGTCTAAGTCGAATGATTTTCTTCTAGCGTGAGAAACAGTTCATTCCTGATTTAGCTTTATAAATTTAATTATGAGTTTAAAAAATAAAGTAAAAAATTTCGAGTACTGAATGTTATATCGGTATAGGATAATTAATTTGTGCTATCTTGATTACGAAGTCTATATTAGTATAGAGAATCAATAATATGTCAAACTTCCTGTCAATATCATCAAAAAAGTAATATGCCGTGCATAACATTGTATCACATCGAACTCTTATAAACAAACAGAGTAACAAGGTCAATTGATTTGTCACAAAGAACATGCGTAAAAGAAAAAGAGTTTCTTACAAAAGCTGGACATATCTTGTTCGCCTGGTTTCGTTTAGTATTTAAAAAAAAATTAAATTGTTGGAATAATATTAGAAGCCCGATCTTTTTGGTTTTGGCTTATACATTCTGCAATCCACGTAATATTCTGCGTTCATTAGTAAAAGATGCTTTGAATAACCCTCATCAAGTATCAGACATACTCGTATTTCTTGCTCTCTTAATTTTAAGAAGCTGTAGACAATTCCATAATGGAACTAAGAAAATAGTAAGTACAACGAACAACGTGCTAATAATGAAAGTATTACCTGTTGTAAGAATGCAAGCTTGTTAAGCTCAACCTCTGTTTCGAAAAAGCAATCATCAAGAGATTTCTGAGATACTTGATCGAAGAAGGAACTGTACTCCTTCACTAAGCTACAAGCATTCTCTACATCTCCAACATTCTCTGCTTTAGCCAGCATTGAAGTGCCAAATGGAAACAAGCGTCCAAATGAAGGATACATGTTATTCCTTTCTTCTTTGCTTAAATCAGTACCGAAAGAGTTAATTGTAATCTTTAAACGCGTTAGATAACTGAGCCCACTTTACTATGAGAAACTTACCGTTATAGCACGTCGGTCGGCCTCAAATTCGAGGATACGAGACATTGTTTCAAAAGTTCCAGATCCAATTTTTTGACAAAATTCATAAAAGTCTTCTAAATAAGCTTTGTACAATGTGTTTCGGATAATTTCAATATGTTTCTCATCCAAATCATCAGCAGACAGGCAATCCTTGAAGTAAGGTGCAAGTGGACTTTCAACTAAAACAACGCTGTATAGATCTTCCACATTTGTAGCTACACACAAAGCAGGGAGAGTTTCAAACCAACCTAGTGGATGGCAGCGCTCCAAAAGATCATGAGTATCCTGGCCGTTCGCGGTACCGGTTACTAGGAGCATCACATTGTCAATCATATAAGCATAAGTTATAAAGTCCATAAATTTTGATAATTGCTCATCAGCTTGACGTTTAATCATATCGAACTCGTCGATTAATTTGTCAGTAGCCTTCGAGGCAATGATACTGCTAGTCAATTTTTGTTGATTAGCAAGAAAACCGCCATAATCTGTTGATGAAAGCTGTAAACGCAAATCATCCAGCGATTCGCATTGAGATAAATTCCCATATGTATGTTCTGAAAGCAAAGCGGACTTAAATCCTCGTACTAAAGCCTCAATATAGCCGCTGTTTGTACTAGCAAATGAATTAGTAAACTTTATAGACATTACACATACTTAAAACTAAGAGCATCCATTTTACAAGATATAACTTTGAGTCTTTCAGTTTATAGGTTAAGTCAAACAACAATTTGGCCAGACGACACAACAGCGTAGTATAAAAACCTTTCAAAGAAAGAAAAAATAAATTAGTATTCACTTGATGATTAGGAATAAAAAAATTAGAGAGTGATGTAGAATTAAGTTGGTGTATATTCGTCAACTGTGGTAGGTAAGGACGATGAATCTCTGAAACATCTAATGGCTTCTGCTTGAACATAGTACAGCATCCATGGTTGAAAAACGGTAAGTAATATTTCAAATGAACTGATAAATAGAAGAAATTACTTTACATGGAATGGTTAGTTGTGATTCATGCTACCTTGAAAATATGAAATTACATTACAAGTGATGATTAATTTATAGTTTTCCATGAAAGAATAATATTTTTTTTTCCTAAAGTTACCCAATCCAATTTGCAGATTCCTAATTTCACCAAATTGAAATCAACACCGTCCAAAAAGAAAGACAATAGCCAAGAAAGTCCACAATGATATTTGGTTGCGAAGCTCAAGAACTCTTGTTTTGTTTCCAAGAAGTAATAAATGCAGAAGTCTGGGAAGAAGGAACAACATGAAATTGAACAAGGCCGTCTATCAATATAGCCTTTGGATGAATAAGTGCTTGCAACATAGGGACGCGTTTTCCAACTTTCATGAGACCGCCAGTAGAGGTTGCGGCAAAGACGTCTAAAGTTTCGGGGCGGTAAATATATTCAGAATCCCAAGGTGCCTGTTCGGAGAATACCATTTCCAATAGCTCTTGTGGAGTGGTACTTTCAGAAACCGAGGGAAGGAAATCAGACTGTAAAGTCAAAGGATATAGTAATAAAGTAGGCAAATACATTTCACTTCTCGGGTCATCAAATGTGGTCATTGTGACCATGGCATTTCCCATATCGGGGGGACAATCGGAAGTTTTGGTGCGAATGCGACGTAGTTTCATGGCTTCTATAACAACTCTTGCCGCAGTAACTTTTTCCTCGGCAATTCTTCTCTTTTCTGTTTCCATTTTTTCAAAAGTATCTCTCTTTCGTTTTAGGTCTTTGTTCAACGCTTCAACAGCAGGATCGCCTCGTTGTGAAGCGGAAAACAACCGGATACAACTTTCAGCTTCATCGTATCGTTTCAACGCAACAAGGGCTTTTGCGGAGCGAAATAAGGCTTTGGAATGTTGTGGGTCACGTTGGAGAACTTGCCTACAGTCGTTCAGTACTTGTCGATAGTTTTCGAATATCAAATTACATGCCGCACGATTCGAGTAGCAAGGAATTTCAATCTCTGGCTTTCCGCATTTTTCACCCAAAGCTTTCGTATAATACTCGGCAGCTTCACGGTATTGCTTTGTGCTAAAACACTCATTTCCGTGTTCACGAAAATTCTGTGCAACTTCGTGTGGTTGGCCTTCATAAGCCAAGGCTTTCAAGGCCTCCAATTGAGCATTACCTTCTCCCTCTTCTTCAACATCGTCTAAAGACTGCATAAAGAAAGGAATCTTGTTGAGCTCATTGTACATTTCATCGGCGCTCTTATTCTTCGTATTAGGATCAAACTCTGTATTTCTGGATTCCGGCATATTGAATATACTATTTCTCTTTTCTCTTTATCTTTTTCAAGTTCCTTTTCGTTTTACGGCTAAAAATTTAAACCAATTCTCCCAGTATGTCACCAATGTCCAAAGCAAGAGCAGCAGACGGCTAAACAGTTAGGGCTTTTGTTAAACAAAGGCAAACTTGACTTGGTGCTACTAAAGCCAGAAACTGATGCAAACAGAACAATAAAAATAAGACTTTTTTTTTTCTTTTCTTTTCTTTAAACAACGTTTAAGAATGTAAAGACAAAAATTTTTTCACTTACTGTAAGTGAACTGAAAAAAATGACCACTAAGTGACTTGAACACTTGACTTCAAGATTTGGAATCTCACACTCTACCAACTGAGTTAAGCGGCCTTATTACTAACACCAAATACATTGTTTTATATATACTATACAATTGGTATTGATCATTTATGATGCAATAAAACACATAACTGTAAAGCATAGTAACAATCATTCTCAGCGTTTCTTTTGTCGTTTGTCTTTATTTTTTTTTTTTTTTTAAAAAGTTCTACATTGAAGACAAAGAAAGGAAAAGGTCTATTTTCTAGGAAAATACATCTTGTTAGCCAGATTGTTGCTTCTACAACCCTCAACAATCTTGTAGTGGAAGAGAAAAATGACAAGTCAATTTGGATGCAGTATTAGCTTTGGTTTTCCTGTACTAAAATAGACCGTTAAACACGCTTCTCTTTGTTACTCTTTCATAGTGGCGTGTCGAAGGGAACCGGAATAGAATATGTGTAAAATAAACGATGCTCTATTACTCAATTTCATGACATCTTACTAAATTAGGATTTAGTTATTCTTTACCGGTTTTTACAAGTTGTTTTATGTTGTTCTTCAAAGTTCTTGATTTCATCTCCTTCAGATTCGGTATGCTTGTACATTGCAATTTTATCGTAAGATCATGTTGTTATAAGAAGAATCATCACACTTTCTTTTCTAGAAATATTCCATGTCATTGATCCGAGTTTGAATTTTCTTTTATGTTATTTAAGAGAACGACATCCCTTTTTGCTGTTCTGGGTCTACTTTTTGCAAAAGCAGCATTTAAAAACAAGGCAAGTATGTCAATAACGAACAACAATACACAGGCAATTGTTATAGGCGGAGGTTTAGCTGGTCTTTCTGCTACAAATACAATCTTGGAATTGGGAGGGAATGTTCTACTCTTGGATAAAAATAGTATGGATGAACAAAAAGGAACAGTCATGAATTTTGCAGTGAAGTACACATAAGAGACAAGAGACGCCCAAGTTTTGAGAAACAGACTAGTTCTTCTGGGAAAAGAATCGGAGCAGTACGGTCCGGTTTTTTGTATGCATAAATTTTGACATATGTACATACGTGACTTTGCAAAACATGTCTGCTTATTTGTTAGGTCACGTTGAATTGCATTGCTTTTCCCTGTGAATGGAATGACTGGTTCCTGTCTATTAATGCAAATAATGACTAACGTGAAACAATAGCTGCATTCGGTGGAAATAGTGTTAAAGCCGCTAGTGGAATCAACGCTGCTGCTACTCAACTTCAGTTTGATCAAAATGTTCCCGACAGCGTAAATACATTTTATCACGACTCCATCCTTTCAGCAAAGTCTAAAGGCAACCCGGAGTTACTTCGCACGCTGACAAGCAAATCTGGCAGCGCTGTCGATTGGTTAACAGAACGTTTCGGTCTTCAAATGAATGAACTTTCTCTTTTGGCTGGACATAGCCAAGCTCGTACGCATCGTGGAAGTCATCCAGATTATCCATTCAAACCTTTAGCATATGTTATTGCCGACAAAACTGAAAAGTTTTCCGTTGCACATCCGGATCGCTTACAAATAAAGAAAAATACTCGTGTTACTCGTCTAATCACCGACTCTTCAAATTCAACTGTTATCGGTGCAGAATATGAGGACCTAAACGAAAAAACACGCCAGTCTGTCTATGGACCCGTGGTGCTAGCTACCGGTGGGTATGCTGCTGATTTCAGCGATGAATCTCTTTTAAAGTTGCATCACCCAGAGGCGCTCAAACTCAGTACTACAAATGGCCCTTATTGTACTGGTGATGGTCATAAAATGGTCATGTCGATTGGTGGAAACACTGTGGACTTGGATCTTGTTCAAATTCATCCCACTGGTTGGGTTGATCCCAAAGATCCTACTTCTATGACGAAATTCCTAGCTGCTGAGGCTCTCCGTGGCTCTGGTGCAGTTTTACTGACGGACAAGGGAAAGCGTTTCTGCAACGAACTTGGCTATCGTGACTATGTCACTGCCGAAATGATGAAACTGAATACTCCAGTCCAATTAGTTATTCCTGCCAATTGTGTACCTGATGTTGCCAATTTTGTGAAGTTTTACAGCTTCAAGGGACTGATGAGAGAAGTTGATGCTGAAGAGCTCTCTAAGGTACTTAATTGCACAAGCAAGGACCTCGAAAATACATTTTCTTTGGTCAACAAAGCTTCTCGTGGTGAAACTAAAGACGTTTTCGGAAGAGAGCAGTTTGGTAAGCAACCGTTTAATATTTCAGACAAATTCTTTATTGGACAGGTAGAGCCTGTCTTGCATTATACTATGGGTGGTGTTCAAGCAGATTCACAAGCTAGAGTAATGTCTAAGGAAGGTAACCCAATTGAAGGGTTGTTCGCGGCTGGTGAAATTGTTGGTGGTCTTCATGGTGAGAACCGTTTGGGTGGTAGTAGCTTGCTTGCTTGCGTTGTGTTTGGTAGGTTGGCCGGGCAAGGAGCTGCAGGTGAAATGCTTAAACGTCTTATTTCCGCTGCTAAAGGAGCTTCGCATTCTAATTAAATTTAGCAACCTAGATTATGTTTTATTTATTCCAGGTATCAGTCTTAAATACTCCCTTTTTTTGTATGTTTTGAGTAAAAAAATCGGTAGATGGTTTATAGTATTTAAAAAAGACAACTTCTACCTTTAGTTTACTCCTTATCTATTGTTCACGATTAAAAGAAACATGTTCTTATAAACGTATAAGAAATATCTTATTTAATATACGACCAGAGGAAGAGATCATACACTAGTTCTTAAAACTGTACAAAAGTCATTAAATAACATAACCATTACTGTATACTTATTATTCATTATTAGTCGGTAATATCTGCCCAGAGAGAAGTACCTTCATCCTCAGTTTCTTTGAAACCATCTCCTTGGTTTTGTCCGTTTCATCAATTACCACTCCCATTGTTCTTTCACTTAAAGAGCTTCTCATATCGTAAAATTGTTTTCTGTCCCAAAGTAAAGAGCACTCTCGATATAAATCACAGCTTAGGTGAGCATCAGTCATGAACTTCAACAGAAGATCTCGCATGTACGTGTTGCATTCGCGACTTTCAACTGACTTCGCGCAGATTTTTGTAAGCACCGAATCTAACAAAGTCTTGTTCGACTGTACAAATTCAAGAAAAGAATTCAATAAACCCTCAATGCAGTCTAGAACTGTAATCTCAAAGGTTTCCAAAACATCTGATTCACTCTTTAAACTACCGCGGGATAAATTTGCATAAACATCTATCAAACTGAACACTAGCTGCACCCATAGATTAGCAGCCTCTTCTGGTGGAAGACAATTTAAGCATGCTTGATATAGAGGTACAACATTTTGAAGATAGTAAGTTACACGCTCCAGATTCGCTGGCACAACCTTCTTCACATCATCCATTGATATATGAAACACTCTTGTTCTGACATATTTTAAAACTTGAGATAAAGCATGATTATACTGCTCTAATTCTCGATAAATATAGATACTTGCCTCCAAACAGTTATGGCGTAAAAAAACTTCTGTCAGTCCACTCAAATTTTTGAAATCTGGCGATGTTTGCAGTAGCTTTAGTAAAGCATAATCTCCAGAAGTAGCCGAAATTATTTCAAAGTAAGACAGCAACCGCCGATGGCCAAACCATTGAAGCATATTTTTATAGGTAGATAGTTTATACAGAACTTCCAATGCTTGTATTATGGCAAATTTAGAGGATATACTTCCAATCATTTCAGGAAGAGATTTCTCTAGATGACTTAAAGCCAGTCTTAAAAATGTAACACTATCGATATTTAGTAAATCCGAGGTAAAACCCACCAAACATTTGACATATTTGTTATAACGAACAGGTAAGGATGTCAAACTTCTCAAATTATCAAATAGCATAGTGATCAACGCTTCAGAGGACTTGAAAATCAAAAGAGACGAATTTTTTTGATTCCACAAAGCGAAGACTGCTCTAAAATAAGATTCAAAGAAGCCATGATTAAAACCCACAGTCATAATAGCATGGTAAAAGTGCTTGTTCCAGAAACATTCCAGCAGAGATTCAATGTTAGGAGGATCATAAACCAAAAGCAGATTTTCGACAGCTTTTTGAGTATCTTCGTTACTTTTATGGTAGCTTTCAATGCTACATAGACCTTCCATGATTTTTGAATAAAATGATTGTGGGAGTAAAATTTGTTTTGAATACTTAGAAACCGTATTCGCAAGAAAAATATAATAGCTATCACACTGAAAATCAGTAGTATCGAGTATTTGAGACAGACACTCAATTATCCATTGACGACTTACGGTATCAACAGATTTTTTAACAATGGTTACTCTGGCTAAAGAGAAATAAGGGGACTCAAAAGCATTTTCTAGGCATTCAAAAAATGATCTTGCCCTTTTCTTAAGAAAGAGACGTAGATAAGGAAATGATCCTGATTCAAGGACATTAATTTTGAAAGGTAGCAAGTTGGCGGAGAATATTATTTTTAGAAGGGTATGTGTGACAGTATACGCTTCATCTGTTCCATTTGGTTCGCATAAGGGGTACTTGAATCCAGTGAGAGAGTATAACAAATATTGAAACCCATTTTTCACACAATAATTGATCCATTTCGACGGACTGTTGATATCTTCAATTAATAAATTAAGGAATTTAACAAGAGGCATGGAGTAATCATTGAATGCATAAATCGAAACGTAACACAATGAATTGAATAGTCCTTTAGATGATGAAAATTTGGTTGAAAAATCAAGATCCAAATATTTATGTTCAATTGCAGGTATTAATTTATCAGCATAAGCTAGTCTTCCATTTTCTTCCAAATATAAAAGCAATAATTTCTGTAATTCGGGAGAAGGTACTTTAAATCTCTGCTGCAGTATTAAATCCAGTAGTGCTTCCATCATAACGTAATAGACATCTGCTTTGACAAAGCGAGGAAGAATATAATCTAATAAAGACTCCATATCTTGTAAAAGGTCGGCAACTTTAAAACAATAAAGAACTGCATGGTAACAACCAGGATTTGTAACTTCAGCGCTTTGAAGCAATTTTTCTGATACATCTTGCGTAGAAAGAGGGTTAACGCTAGATGATTCCACACACCGAGATGGAGGAAAACTCTTCATCAGTGAGCAAATATATTTTTTCAACAAACTCATTAACTTATGGTTTATATCATGCGAGTAGTAGAACTTGTTAAACAAACTCTCGTTTGCATGATAGTATAGCCCTAACTTCAGCGTATCCTTTATATTATTGTTTTCAAATGCAGCCTGCAGTTGATCATTGGGTGAAACGAATGTACCAACAATGACCGAGTCAGGAGTCAGGAAAAATAGGTACCTAGGAGTTATTGAAAAACTCGAACTAATATAAGGAAATACAGTCTGAGAAAGTCCTCTCATTGTTAATGCTGATTGATACCAATCCCAAGTAAGTAGTTTATATTCGAACATAGAAGATACACCCATGACATTCAATTTGATGCCATTCAAAAACAGTATTCTTTTATCGTTTAACAACACGAAAATAATGTTACTATTAGGAAGATACCATGTTTTCCATACGGGAGCATCAAGATTTGCTTTACTTAGCAGCTCTACCGACAAAACACCTTGATAAAATGTCAACGCATATACACGTACGTGACAGTTGTATGCAACGCAAAAGAAGGCACGAGCCCTAGACTTATTTCCAGAAGTTGGTACAACTACTGAAGAAACAGCATGGCAAGCAGATACAACCTCATCATCGGAAAACCTGAGTGTATAAAGTAACGATAATTTGGGATGAAGGGAAATAATTCGAAGACAAGAAAGAGTCTGGATAAAGAGGAACGACGTATGCTTTACAGAAGTTAAAGATAATTCTTCGAAGGATATGCTTGAGGTGTCGATGACCAACCGACCAACAAATGTAGGTTGAACATCTGGGAAGCAATATTCCCAGGTCGAATGATGTTTATTAATTAAAAGGTTGTAAAATTCATGAATAAAAATTTTTCCAGAAGAATTCGCGGCTAAGAGTACATTATCAGAAACTCCATTGAAGATCAAATGTGTTAGAACAGTTTCTCCTTGGATGGGTTGATAAATAGCATGGCGTTGAATAGGAGGGGAGTGAGTCAAATCCCATACAAATAGAGTTCCATCAGCATGTCCTTGACAAAGAACTTTATGAGTGGGTGCGATTGCAAGACATGTTACTGGCATCAAAGGATTTTCGGAACCGGGAAATTCAGGAACAAGAGTAAAAGATGTGTTGCTTTTTAAATTATTAAATATAACACAGCCATTAGAAGTTCCCACTGCCAACAGATTTCCGGAATGAGTTATACAAGTACCGGTCCCTACAGACGAGTCCGGTTTTGACTCTGCGTTCTCTAATTGCTGTGAAACTCTTCTAAAACGTCCCCATTTTAGCCAATATCTATTCCATTGAAAGTTTTCGTCCTTCAACGATGTAGAGATTGTATGGCTAGATGATTCAACTTGAGCACCGGTTGATTTGGTGTTCGTTAACGGACTTACTGTTGAAGACTTTGAAGTTGGATTACTTAAGGATAATCGTCGATCATTATCATTATGATTATACAAGCTTAAAACGTTCGAGCTTGAAGGCATATCTCTTCTCGCGAATTTTCATAAAAGAGAGCAATTAATCATGAAACTTTTTATTTAAAATACCATTAAACAAGACATAAATAACAGATAGATTATACTAGTAATCCCGAATTGAAGTGAAGAAAGCCGGTTCATGCGTTAGGCATAGTCTTCGAATAAGTTCAGAATAGGGCAAGCATCGTACTACGGTAATTAGGGATTGAACAAAAATAAAATAAAACACCAAAAATAAAAAGAATAAAGAAGATAGAAAACTAAATAAATAAAACGAATGTGAAGCTTCTTCTTTATAGTATATGAGTGCATACCAGTGCACTTGAGTGTTCGGATGTTTCCTGGTAATAAAAAACACCGCGCCTAAAAATATAAAAAGCTTAAGGAATCATTGAAAAATTTAATCCTTAGTTTTAAACTTATCCCACTCAAGGTCGCATGAGAATTGGAGCAATTTGCTAGAGGCATTTCCATGGGTTTTACTGGAAGATGACTTTCCTTCTTCGAATTGTTTCTCTGCTTCTTGCAAGTTATCAGGAATCAATGGAGAGCTATGAGAGTACTCAGGGCAAGGTATACTTTTCATTGAAGGAGGTTGATAAAGAAGGCAATATAAATCTCGTTTCAACTTCTTCTCTAAGGGGGATATAACCGAAAGCTTTAACCTGGATTGTTCTGGTGCACTAAGAGAGGTATTCTTCAATTTATTAGACTCTTCTTCCTCGATTTCAGCATCCAAATCCTCCACGACGACTGTGTACTTATTTTTGTAATAGGCAATTCGATTATGATGAACCATATCGACATCAAGATCTACATAGAACAGGTTAATACTAAAAGAAAAGACATTTATAATTTATGAAATAGGTTTGCCATATTAAATTTCGCATACCACTCGATGGATCTTCAATTGTGAGTTTCTTCAAAGGAACCTCCAAGAGATCCAAAACCTTTTTTGTTGAAACATCATAACCTAAAGAGGAAAAACTTCTTTTGGAACCCATTGGAATTATGTCTTGTAAAGTTTTTGTCTTTAAATTAGTAGCCAATTTCCTGGTTCTACTAATGAATAACATGTTACTTATTCTTTAAAATTGAAGTTCCAAAGTTGACGGAAAGGAATGAATCCTCATTTTATGATAAAAAGATAGTACATATTCGTGAATAAATATTTTTAATGTTAAACTAGCTTGAGAGTGCGATGGTAAAAGTCTAACTATTTGCTATAGATAGTTCCTTACGTATTTCTCACCAAGCGTTGTTGATATAAAACTTTTCCTAGTTCATTTCTCATGTTTATTGTAATAGTAATTAACTTATGTATAAATACCTATTATTATTAGACTACTCAGGACTCGAGGTTTGTCCTTGACCGAGAATTTTGCCGCTGAGAGAAATACAAGATAATTCTTGATATTTATTTGTACTCAACCCTAAGTACGAAGGGTGTACACTTTGGTAAATGACACTTTCGCGGGAGTAGTTGATAAAACCTTGAGAATCCTGAAATACTTCACTAGCTAATGTCCCGCTTCGGAGCTTATGTGATTACGATGTACGTGGAGTCCCATTATGTGTCGATTTAAAGGATTTTTACAAACATGCTCCCTATATGTACGGATAACCTAGGTTTTGTATCATATTCGACGTTCAGAATAGTCCGACAAAGATAAGGTATGCAGAGACTCCAATACCTTCGTGACTAATAAAGAGATTCATCCTAATCTCAAAAGTGACTATTTTGAAATGCCACTTAATTTATTATAGCACAGTATTTTATCATGATAAACCCTGGAGAAACGATGTACAGGCGTAGATTATAAATAATTCATAAACAGTATACATACAACAGCGTTAAGAGGAAAGAGAATTCATATTCTCAATCATATGACTATTTAGTTCCAAAAGAGACTGTTGGATACGTTCTTCTGCTTGTAAGATCTCGTTCTCTTGGTCGAGTAAGCCCTTCATAATTTCTGCTCGTTCTTCTTGTTGAAGTTTTTCAGAAGCTAAAGCTTCTTTTAAGCGTTGTTTTTGTTCTTCTATAGTAAGTATTTTTGGATATTTGAGAGGGAGTTGTACGAAAGTAGATGGATCTGCAAATGCTCCTTTCTGAATCTGAGCTTGTTCCCATGCATGAATTGGGTCAGCAACAGTAATGTCCTCGCTCTCATCCATAGATCTATCATTTTCCTCAAGTGCACTCTGAATTGATTTTTTTCGTAACGTCTCTGGACTATACCGATGTAGTTCTCGGAGACTTTTTTCATCTTCCACAAATGTATTGAATCCATTGTAACCCTCATCCTCTACTTCATCTTCATGTTGAAGTAGTCGGTCTTCGGAATCGTTTTTCCCAGGAAGGTACACCTCTTGACCGGTATCCAAAGCAATATAGTTATCGTTCATCATTCCAAGATTTCTGTGTCGTTCTTTACGTTCTTTTAACTCTTGTATCATTGAAACCTCTGAAATTCCTTGATTCAGCATCCGCGAACTAGCACTTTCTGAATTTTTGTTTAAGGGCTCTTCTGTTCTATGCTGCCCTTGATCGGTATATTGAGCCGGGGTTTGCCGGCTCCTTGATTTCAACTCATTGAGATAGCTTTCGGTATAACCACTAGATGAATCTAATTCCTCTCTTCTTCTGGATATTCTAAACACAATCACTTGTTAGCCACATCTTCTTCATAGTCCGGGGAACAGATCTTACAAATCGTGCGTCGTCGCAATAGGATTTGGCTTTTTCATTCTAGGTAATGTTGATCCTGTTTCAGTTTCTTGGTTGCTTTCATTAAGTTCCTGTTTACTATTTAGTTGACATTCTTCATCAGTGTCCATACATCATCTTGCAAATTGATAGGCTTAATCCCTTTCGTGGGTGGTTTTTTCTTGGATTTCCTAGTGGATGGTTTTTCTACAATCGTTTAGTAATTCATATTCCCTTTATGGCTTCATGTAAGGTTTTGTACGTACGATACGAAAGGCTTGTAGGTGCTTCATTCCCTTTTTCTTCCTCCTCTTCATTGTCACTAGTCTGAATAATTTTTGGCCTTGCTTTTCTTATAGAAGACCTCATATTCTCTTTACTTTCTCTTCCAAATCCAAACTTGAAAAATAGTATAACGTGTGAGTCTGCTTGATTTCTCACTACGAGGAATGAAGCAAAAGTCCCTTGCTACCAAGAATTTTGAAGAAAAGATTAGTAATGAACTTGAGTCGGCAAAATTCAACTTTTTACGATTAAAATAAGCAATGTATAAGAAGAACGCTTGCATCACCACCTCTTACAATCTCCATTCTTCCTTTCGTCGTTTACAACCTACAGTTACAAAAACCTAAGACTCTTTATACACAGCTTCACTACTACTGCAATCAAGATGATAAAACACTGTAATTGATTCTATGAACAATGAGAAAAGAGAAAAAGTTCGAAAAAAGACGTCAAATGAATAGAAAGAAAAACAAACAAAATGACGAAGTAAGGTAAAAAAAAGAAACCCCTAATTCGCTAGTAAAAACAATAACTTAAAAGAAGGAAGGCCATGATAATATATTGACAATAAAACTTTACAACGACAAACAGCATAGAAGACAAAGTAAAATATAAGACAAAACAGGAAGACATCAAAAAGGTAACAATATAATAGAAAATAGTCAACGTAAACCATCAAGCCAAAAGGAAACTACCCTCAATCGATCCATCAAAAGAAATTAAAAAACAGAAATCATAATTTAGAAAAATGCAGAGGATAGTAACGGTGAAAATCGATCATCCCTTTATAAGAAGCGATTATTATAAATATGGAAATTACAAACACCATTAGAGAATTTTAAAAGGAAAAAAAAGACACAACTTGAGAAAAAAAAAATAGACAGTAAGCTACTTCCAGTAACTTACACATCACGGGGGAGACGGTATGTGGGTTGTAATAATTGGGAACCACTAGGGCCGAAGGAATAAGGGCGGGCCAAACGACTTTTAACCCCAATATTAGCACTAGCTCCAATCGAACGTCTATCCATTAAAGACTCTAGCTTTTCTCTTTCATCAGCAACATCTGCGAGAGATGTTTGACGCTCCTTGGCAAAGGGATACCAAGAGTTGGAACGGCCAAGAGAAGTGGGAGGGTAACCAAATGCTTCATCGTCCATCAATTTTAAAGACGACAATCGAGAGGCCAAAATGTCTTGACCTCCAGCGGAAGATTGATCACCGGCATAGGATTGCAACCATTCAGGAAGCTTCACATTAGCCTGAGGCTTGGCCGTAGTATTCATATTGGCAGCATGCAAAACCGAGGAAGGCACTTGCTGTCCGGTGTGATGAGAAAAGTTGGATGAAAGAGGAGTCATACCGGAAGCACTACCACTCAAGGCGGGAGATATAGAGGCAGAACGAGACAATGCTGGAGGGGACAATGGGGTAACATTCAAAGGCTCCATTCCATTTAAGGAATGGACAATAGAATTGGGAAGCAAAGACTGAGCTGCAACAGCACTCCTAGGAGATACTGGACCACTCTTAAGATTGCCGGGATTTGCGCCAACCAAATTGGATGTAGCGGAGGCGTTAGCTGAACCAACAGTTGAAAGAGTACCTTCTTCACTGTCATCACTTGCTCGCTCAAGAGCTGATGCAGGGAGTGTATTATGACCCCAAGCGAGACGAATGTGGGAAGAACCGAGCAAAGCACCTTGCAAAGCATTAATGGCATGCTCAGCGGCAAACTTGTCATTGAATTGAACAAACCCGCATCCTTTACCGTAAGGAATCTTAATGTTCAATATTTTGCCAAAAGGTTGGAAAAAAAGCTGTAAGTCCTTCTCGGACAAATCATTAGAAAGACCACCAACAAAAACGGTGGTATTCAAGGGATCAACACTGCATAAATCCTGATTGGGTTGTCTATTGGAAGTGGGATTGGAAGCAATACCTAATGCAGAATCAGCGGCTATCGAAGCACGCGATTTTGGTGCAGCGACAGAGATACGCAAGGGACGGCCATGGCACAAGTAACCTTGCATATGGATAAGAGCGTGCTGTTGCTCCTTTTCACTAGAAAAACGAACAAAGCCGTATTTTCTGGATAGACCGGTTACGGGGTCAACAATGATCTTGGCCGAGGTACAAGAAGGATAGATGGTATGGAAAGTTAAGAAAAGATCGGAATCCTGGGTAGTAGGAAGTAAATCACCAACAAAAATGCTGTATTCGGGTTCTCTGTTGACATAATTGGCATGATGGATGCCACCGCCAGTAGCCCAGTTGAGTTTAAAGAGGGAATGAGCACCGGGGATAACGGTGTTGTTATACTTCCTGAGAGCAAAATCGGCAGCAGCCGAAGAAGCGAATTGAACAAAGCAGTAGCTAATCAAAGCATCGGAAGAGGCGGTTTTTGAACGCATTACCTTGACGTTAACTGGTTCGCCAAGAGAAGCCCAAAGCTGTTGCAAAAAGGTAGCATCCATCCAACTCTCAAGATCACCCATCCAAAGGGTGTCGTTGTTCTTTGGTTCAAAGCTGACGGGTGAGACAGGGGAGGTGGAGGATGAGTAGGGAGAAGCCAACGAAGGGCGCTTCAGCAAAGGTGGGGCTAAAGTCTGGTAATCCGAGATGCTAGGGCCTGAAGAAGCAGCTGGCATTTTCAATACCGGTTCAGAGGAAGAAGATGGGTTGGCAGACAGGAACGAGGGGTGAAACAAAGAACGCTGATATAAGCAATCAATTGACATTTGAAACTGAAACGCAAAGAAAATAGAAAATACAAATCAAGACAAAAGCAATCAAACAAAAGTGGACGTAAACGGAAACTTTCGAAAACACAAAGGAACTTTTTTGAAACGAGACAAAGAAAACAACAGAGACAACTAAAAAAAAAAAAAAAAAAAAAGAACTGACGCAAACGTTCAATAAAAAAGAAGGTAAAGCAGAAACCTTCTCAAGACAAGCAGCAAGGTAAGAAAATAAAAGTAACTCACAAGAAAGTGGATAATAAACAAACAAAAGAGATGACTTTAGAATTTTGAGATTATCTCAAGAAACAAGAAAAACAAATATAAAAAATGCAAAGGAAAAGGAGACGCACAAAAGTACAGAAAAAGAGACCGTGATAAATTAGTTGGAATACAAAAAAGACAAGAAATCCTCAAGTACTTTTACAATCGATGAAGGGATAAAAAGAGAAATATGAACCAATGCAAAAGACGATGCAAATAAAACCTTTGGAAATTTGTATGAAAGAAAAAGTAGAGTGGAAAGAAGGAATCGACCGTGGATTTGAAATCAAATTCGAATCAAAGGAAACCAATTGAGACAAAAAACCCCGTTAGAATGTTTAGTTTGCAAAAGTACGTGAAATGTAAAGAGCACGGATAAAAGAACAATCCAAGAAAAAGAAAAAAAGGATTGTGAACGCTTCAAAAAGAAATGAAAAAGGGGAGCAATTTCAAAAGAAAGGATGATATAATGAAATGCGTATATATATATATATGTGAGTGAGTGTTGGGGAAAGTCAAAGGAGAAATTGCGATAGACAAAATAAAAGACTATGCAGAGAAAGGAAACGTTACGAAACAAAAACTTGTGGAGTGTGTATATGTTTGAAGAAAACAACAAAAAATAAAAATAATAGGGAAAAAGAAAAAGAACAAAACAACAGACTTTTTTAAAAAAAATAAAAAGAAGAAAAAGCAACGGTTTTGGCACAGGAAAGAAAGAGAATATCAAACTTTAATGATTGGAGAAGAGGAGACGCACACAAGAGCTTGTCAAATAAGAAGAAGGAATAGCCACAAATAGAAGCACTAATAAGACAAAGCTCCAGAACTGAGCGTAACTAACTAAAAAACAGTGTAAAGAAAAAGGGAGAAATAGGGAAAACGCGAAAAAAAAAGGAGGATAAAGCAAGAAGGGGAACTGTTGTGCGCCCCAGTCTACTTATATACTTGGTAGAATAACGAAGAATATAGACAGCGTAATTCTATATGTAAACAGTGCACAAAGGGACACTTTGAACGAGAGCAAACGATACGTTATGAAGGGAAAGAGCAAAGGTGGCAAATTTCCAATCCAAACAAGAATGACTGCACTAGAGAAAGCAACCGAACTGTTATGAGCGAATCAGGCCGGGTGGGGCGAATGAGAAGAATTAGGCGTTAAGAAAGGACGAAATTTTTAGTCCGAGGAAAAGACAAAGTCCGGTGTAGACGGGCAATCGGGGGGAAATCCGGCGAGAGAAAGAGGCACAAAAACAAACGATTCAATGCGATCGATGATGGTGGATGAGGATTGATCAACCACAGGAGAGAAATGAGTGATCAATCTTGAGAGATGAGAAATGAGAAACCAAAAGTAGATAGACTGCTATTTTTAAGTAAAACAACAAGTGAGGACTCTGTATGATAGTAGAGTAGAGTCCGAGTGGAGTAGGAGTAGGAATATGAAAACGGGTGTACGTACGGTAAGAATACCAAAAGCAAAGAAAACAAAGAAAGGCGGCAAAAAAAAAAGGTTTAAAAATAAAGAAGAAGAGAAAAGAAAAGAAAAGGAGATAGAAACAAACACACCAAAAACAAAAACACTAAAACTTAAAGAATATCAATGTTGTTTTTTTTTTTTCCTAGAGTATATAGAACACAGACGAGGGAGGGTCTTCGTCCAGTGGAATCAAAAAAAATAAGAAAACCAAAACAAAACAAATAGGAAAACTAGAATATACTGGGTTGGTTAGGGTAAAAGTAAAAGTAAAAAGTAAGAGCAAAAAGCAAAAGTAAAGAATGGAATACAGAAAAACAGAAAACTGGACGAAAAGGGAAGAAAAAAAGAATGAACCCAGTGGAGGGAAGATAAACAAAACAAACAGCAGTGAATTGTACAGAAAAAAAAATACCAGAGGTAAAGCGACTGCAAAAGCCGGTGTTTGGCTGTTTTAAATAGAGACGCGTCGCGTAGCAACACCTGGAAAGGTTTGTTGCTTTCGTATTCTAAAAGAGGAACATGACATCACTAGAGGAGGAGAAAGAGGAGAAGGTTGCTAAAAGAGGTGTTTGGTAGTTTTTCTTGATGGTGGAGGTGGTTGCTTTTTGTTTTTGTTTTGATTTTCAATGAATCGATTTTTATATAAATACAAAAAACATGGATTTCTCTAGTTTCTTTTGAAAAGAAGGTTTCTTTTTTTAATTATATTATATAGAAATTTCATTTAGTTCGTTTCTTGTTTACTATAAAGTTGTTTTCCTAGCTGGATTTGTTTGTTATGCTGTCATGACTTGGAGGTGGAAAAGGCATTTCGTGGAGCAAACCGAATTTTTTTTATACAACGTTACATGTCAACCGAAGGGATAACTAGATTGCAAGAGCCGAACCAATTTTTATTTTTTGCGACAGATGGCGTCATCCACTACGTAGGTTGTAGAAGGAAAAGAAACAACAAGCAAAGGGAGAAAAAGAGACTCGGAAGAGTCTGCAAAGAAAAAAAAATTGAAAGTGAAATAGTGTACAAATCTACCATTTTTATTTCTTTTTTTTTTCTTTGCAGACTCTTCCGAGTCTCTTTCTCGTCCTCTGCTTCTTCTGTTTGTTGTTTTCCAAATAAAGTAATCAAAAACAAGTTACCGCTGCTTCTCGCAAAAGGTGGCTTTGTTACTTTGGCATCTTAAAAAATTCTAATCTGCCTTATCAGTAAACCTTGATTGGTTCAAGAAAAGAGGGGCTTATAAGTCAATCACGATCAGTGAGGTCAACCTACTCCGCATGATAACGCGCATGCTTACCCCTCATATTTCTTTGCTGGGTCTCGACCGGTACTCAAGCGTTCCTTTTTTTTGATGCTGGGAGAGAGGGGAAGAATGGTTTTGTGTTATAAGCCTTCCTCTTGGTCGCCCGAAAACCCACTGGAAATCAATGAGGTTTGCTTTCCCAAGACCGACTAACGAACAATGGTAAAACCACGAATGAATTAGTCAAAGCTTGGACCATCCATGATTCTACGAATAAAATACTATAGAAATCATTCACTAATGAAATCTCATACAAGTTCAATAGGAACCCATTTCCCACGTTTCAAACTAATCTCCTTCAAACTCTTTCAACCCTGTATATACATACTTCTTTCTCTCTGATTTATGCATGTGTCTCTGTGTCTCTTCTCCTTAGGTTGCAATGGAATCGTTTGGATAACGAATTCAAACGAGCTACTCTTCCTTAGTACTACCACTACCACCACCTCTTTTTGAAACGACAAGTATTATAAAAGGCGCGTTGCTTGTAGATTTCTTTTCTTTTCTTTTCATTTCGTTTCGTTTTTTAATTTTTTTATTAACCTTTTATCCTTTTTCTTTCGTTCTTTCTTGTGTATTCAATTATATTATTCTGTTGTCTCTGTTTTATGGAATGTTACATTAATATCATGACCTTTTTTGTTTCTCTTCTTTCATGTCGTCTTTACCACTTGCTTTAGATCCAGCCGCGTTTTCCTCTACACCACCCGACCAACTCGAGGCTGACGAAGCTTTTGCTCGTTCTCTCCAAGAGGAATTAAACAAACCTTCTTCTCCCCCTCTTCCCAGCATTTCCTCCTCCTCCCGTCCCGTTACGATTAGAAACCAACAGATTCCTTCTACTCATCCTTCTTCCCCTTCCTCTTCCTCCGCACTGTCTACTACCTCTTCTCGTTTCCTTCGTCCACCTTCTTCCTCTCCTCCTCCCAAAAGACACGCTTTTCAACCAAATTCTTCTCGGCGCTGGCGTCAGCAACGTCTTTGGTCATTTCAAAATCGTCCCTTTTGCCCTCCGTCTCGCACTTCCTCTTCCACTTTCACTCCTCTTGCATCGACTTCTACTTCAACTTCAGCATCGCCGTCTCACTCTACCCTTCCAACACCTTCCTCTTCCGGCTCTCAACAACATCCAATTGATCTCGACAAAGAATCTTCTCCACCACCACCACCACCTCCTGCTCCTTCTTCAAAAGCGTCTTCTCTTGGTCCCTTTGTTACTGCAAAAGATCTTAATTGTCGTTCAAACTCCCTTCCTTCTCCGTCTCCTCCTTCTACTTCCCTTTCTCCATCTTACGAACGAGTTCCTGTCCCAAAGCATGTCTCTGACGAACTTCATAGCCTCTTGGAAGACTCTTATACCTCCCGTTCCGACTCCCTTGACGTAGAAAAGGCCCAACACGACCTTTCCCTAGCCGGCCTTCTTGTCCCTCTTCTTATCCATCAGGTCCAAGGCCACCATTGGATGCAGTCCATGGAACAGAGTCCAAAGCACGGCGGTTTATTGGCTGATGATATGGGACTTGGTAAAACCGTGCAGACTATTGCCTTGCTCTTGAGCCATCGTTCTGTCGACTCAAGTCGTAAATCTAATTTGATTATTGTTCCCGTAGCCCTCTTAAGCCAATGGGCCAGTGAACTGTCACTCAAAGTCCATTCTTCCAAACACTTTTCCGTCTACATTCATCATGGCAGCGCAAAAAAAAATTATACCGGTGAACAACTGGCACAATTTGATGTTGTTCTCACCACTTACAGCACGTTGTCTCAGGAGTTGCGACAAAAAGAGCTTTTCCTTCAACAAGCCCGGGATGGCCAGCTTGTTTCTCCCCCTCCAACACCCTTTCTAGATACCCCATGGTACCGAGTTGTCTTGGATGAAGCTCATACCATCCGTAATCGCAATACCCAAGCCGCTAATGCCTGCTTCCAACTAGATTCCATCTACCGTTGGTGCTTGACTGGTACTCCTCTACAAAATAATGTCGATGAGTTGTACAGTCTCATCAAATTCCTGAGGGTAAAACCTTATTCCGTTTGGAGCATGTTTGTCAAAGATTTTTCCCGTCCTCTCAGGTCGTACAGGCAAGATATTGTGAAGGCTGCTATGCAACGACTGCGCGCTCTTTTAAGTGCTCTTATCCTCCGAAGAACTAAAAATACTCACATAAACGATAAACGAATTGTAGAGCTTCCTGAAAAAAGCGTCCAAGTAATCCCTGTATCATTCACTCTTGAGGAACGTTGTATTTATGCAGAACAGATGAACCAAGCTCAATCTCTTCTAGCCAACTATGTCTTAGACCGTTCTTCTTCATATGGAAATGTTCTAGTCTCCTTACTTCGTCTTCGACAATTATGTTGTCATCCTTGGCTTCTGAAAGTCAAGGAACCTGAAACTGCTTTGAAAGTTTGTGATTCTGACTTTTCACGAGAATTGTGTAAAAAACTTGATCCTTCTGCAATTGAAAGAATAAGCGCTATTGAAGACTTTATTTGTAGTGTCTGCCTCGATTCCACTCTTTCTCCTATCTTTATTATTCCTTGCGGCCATTATACTTGCCAGGAGTGTATGGGAATGCTTCTGGGACACTCCGGCAACCAAAGTCAACTTGATCCTAAATGCCCAATGTGCAGGGGCACTTTTGCAAAGGACCACTTGGTTTCGGAAATTACAATTCAAGCGGTGTTTGGAAGCTTGAATTCTATTTCCCAACTTCGGTCTCTCCAAAAACAGAATGAGATAGCGGAAAAACAAAATGAAGAGCATCGTATAGACAAAGTGCTCGTATGGAATAATCGATACGAACAAGACTTTCTAAAAAAGTTTGGAAAGAGATTGGGTGAATGTACCTTTTCGTCAAAAATGGTAAAGTTGTTGGACATCATTAAAAGCGTTATGGCTAAGGGAACTCAAGATAAAATTCTTGTATATTCCCAGTTCTCTCAATATTTGGATATAGTTTCTCATATGCTACGTACGGAAAGTGTGAACCATGTACGATACGATGGAAGCATGTCATCCATCCAAAGAGACCATTCTATCCAAGAGTTTACTCATGATTTGAATGTAAGTGTAATGTTAATTTCACTTAAATGTGGTAGTATTGGATTGAATCTTACCGTTGCCAATCATGTGATCTTACAAGATCCTTTCTACAATCCCAGTCTCGAGGATCAAGCAATTGACCGAGTATATAGAATAGGTCAACGGAAACCAGTTACTGTATATCGTTTAATTACAGAAAATACAGTTGAAGAAAAAATTGTTGCAGTACAAGAGAAAAAGCGTGATCTGATCCAAAATACAATGGGAAACGACCGTATACAGTCTCTAACCAGTCTGGACAAGAAAGAACTTATGTACTTGTTTGGGCTTTAAACGCAGATTTACATAATATTATTATAGCATCTAATCTAAATTGCATTCGAAGAATTTATCCTCCCGTAAATCCAAGAGAGACTGACTCCACCGAAACAACAATAGACATAAGCAAGGAACAAATGAAAGAAACAGCATGTTGACTTCTCAACGATAACCTACGCAAATGTCTACAAGACTAGTAAAAAACATCGGTATCGACTCATATATGCATAGTAAGAATAGCGCATTAATCTTAGAATAAGATTTAATAAAAAAAGTTGCGCATTCATGACATTAAAGAAACAGATCATATCTTAAGCATTGGAGGATTCAGCAGCACGCTGTTTGGGTTCAGACTCGTTTTCGAGGGATGTAGGAGCAGGCTCGTCTTTAGAAGAGTTGTTGTATTCTGCGTCCGAGGTCCATAAAGTTAAATTGTCACGTAGAAGTTGCATAATCAAAGTAGAATCCTTGTAAGATTCTTCTGAAAGGCTGTCAAGTTCGGAAATAGCTTCATCAAATGCTTGCTTGGCCAAGTGGCATGCTCTGTCAGGAGAATCAAGAATTTCGTAGTAGAAAACAGAGAAGTTAAGAGCAAGACCCAAACGCATAGGATCGGTAGGAGGGAGTTCAGCAACAGCAATGTCGGAGGCAGACTTGTAAGCTTCCAAAGAGTTATCAGCGGCTTGTTTGCAGGTTTCACCAACGGCGAATTCTGCAAGGTAGCGGTAGTAATCACCCTTCATTTTGTAGTAGAACACCTTAGATTCACCGGTACCAGCAACAGGGATCAAATGCTTTTCAAGTACTTCAAGAACATCTTTGCAGATATCAGCGAGTTCTTCTTCAATCTTCTTACGATATTCCTTAATCAAACCGACTTGTTTAGTGTTACCCCTGCTTTCTTCCTTTTGCTCTATAGAGGAGATAATACGCCAAGAAGCTCTACGGGCGCCGATGATGTTTTTGTAAGCGACAGACAATAAGTTACGTTCCTCAACTGTAAGTTTCTCATCCAAACCGGCGACTTTCTTCATATTCTCCACCATTTCTGCAAATAGTTAGTCATTACCCTGGATCAACAATAGTTCAAGAGGAAAGATACATATTAAATCCCGCAACCACGCAGATGCAGAAAGCAAACATCTCAATTTGAAAAGTAAAATAAAAGCAGTTGAAAGTCAAGAGTGTTTGAGAAAAAGAACAACGTTACTTGCGACTGAGACAGACAAGAAGAATTTATTAAAGACATTGGGCATTTCATTTGAATAAGTTCGCTTTAAACCTCTTTCATTTTTGAAATGCACAATTCAATGGCTCTTTTAATTTATTCTCACAGACTTTCTCTTACGGAATGACCGATAATATCCTTTTCCTCGACCCACATATCAAGTCACCATCCACAAACAATGGCCCTTTACAATGGTCCAAACATTCGATTGTCCTTTAAATACAAGCCAAAACACAAAGAACCATGCGAACAAAACTACATGACTTTACTCATATTCCAACTGTCTTTACTTTTCTTTCACAAATTCTTGCGTGCAATGCGGAATTCATCACGGGTTATTCTTCTGTATTCCAACAAGGATCAACGCCTCTTACCTTCGTAACGTTCAGCCTGTTCAGCTAATTTGGCTAGATACACATAGTTTTCGCGAGAATCGCTCATCTTTGCAAGACTTCAAAGATTTGTCTCTTAGTACAAGTTGGTAAAGGGTGAGTGTTATATGGTGTTGTTTCGGTTGAACATTACCGTGTATATATGACGCAAATAATGAGCCGCAGAGCAAATTACCATATTTGACCAAACTGCATTATTCATATTCACCGCATCTTTAGAAAAACCACCAAATCTTTTCTGACGTACAAGTAAACAAAACACATAAAAGAAGGCGATAGAAGTCGTGACAAAGAAAAGGCGATAGCAGTCGCGGCAAAGAAGAATAACATCATTCATAAAAATTTTTAATCCATGTCTTTTCTTTGTTTAAAAATAGGAATCATGTAAACGACATGAAAGGCGTTTATGTGATGCTAAATTATTCCTTTGTTTACATGATTCAAGGTTGAGAACTATTTAAATAATTCATTACTATACAGTGTTTTTTCTATTCAACAAGTAACTGTAAAAGCTTTCGAAAAAGGCCTGAAAACAAAAATAACTATAGAAAAAAGTTTCAGTCAGTCGTTGTTTTAACGAAATGTAGAAGCTTTCTTTACATCGATTCGAAAGATTCATTTCTTCATTCAGGTAAGTGTCAAACGAGTAGGAATTTTTGGTTGTGCGTATAAAAGGAACGTTGCTATAATTTTAAAATAATAAAGAATTCCTAAATAGATTGACAATGAATTATACATTCCAAAGTTTTGAAATGGACCATTTTATTGTTACTTCCTGCTCATAGTAGCGTAGACCACCATCGTCAATTCTGCTCGAAACTAACCACAGGGTAAAAACTTTGACTTTTCTGTTGGTACTGATATAATTTGTTTTTAAAGTGAAAGGTTTTCTTTAAAAAAAAAGAAAATTCTAATGTATACCTGAGTATAAAGAGTGAATGCCTACTGATGACACATTAAGCACGTTCACGATGCCTGATCCATCTTCATCTTCGAAACGTCCATCCAACCGCCCTCCTATGAATGTAAGCCATTCATCGGCGCGTGTAATGGATATAAATACGAATAGGAAGCCCCGTATGCATCGTGAGGCTAATCTGGAAAATGATCAAGCTTCTCAATCAGTGCCAAACGACCTAAATCCTGCATTTGATGCTTTGAGGTTTTTAAGCATGCCTCGAAATCCCCGTGGAGGTTTGTCAAACCGATCACGTCCATATTTTCCTTTGGATCCTAGCCTGAAAAATGTACAAAACTCAGATGAGGAGGAGCTGACCGAGGAATCTCGTTTGCTGGATAACTCTAACGGGAAGTCATATCAATACAAAGACAAAAACCATGATAAAGATGTTAATAACCCTCCGTCAATGCCAAGCTCTCTTTGCTCCTCCCCGAACTTTCAAGCAAAGAAGCCTAATGAAAGTGATGAAGAATTTCCCGAAGACATTTCCATGCCTGAGAGCCATCCTGAAAGTATATCAAAACAATCTAAAGAGAAAATACGTAAAGATAGCCATGATGGCGACGTAAGCGAGTTTGGTATTTCCTCTCCGCCCTCGTTTGGTAAATCCCCCAAATCACCCTCAAGTCATTATGAACAATATGCAAATAACCAAGTTAATGAAGAGGCTCCAGAAGTTGTCGAAGGGCGCGACGAATTATTCTTACCCATCTCTACGCATCATCTTCATGATCCCGATTTCTCCGTTATGGATGAGTGGGCAGCGAAAATGAAGGAAACGTTTGATGAATTTACCGAAGATGAGTCTGATCATCGTAAGGAACGAAATCGAAAGATGAGCGAACCATTGCTAGTCAACGGTCGATATCGTATTCGCGATCGATGGGCTCAGTTACGAAAGTCTGAGGTTGACCGTCCTTATAGATTTACGTTCTTTACGGAAGAATTACCTTCAACTGTTCATTCTCATGAGATGTGGGAGCTTACGCATGATAATCAAACATTCGAGAGCCTTTTTCGATCTGGTGGAACTTGGTGGTTGGATGTCTCATCTCCCAAGGAAGAAGAAATACGCATCCTTGCGAAGACATTTGGTATCCATCCTTTGACAGTCGAAGATATTACTATGGCGGAAGATCGTGAAAAGGTAGAGCTTTTCCGATCTTACTATTTTGTAACATTCCGATCTTTTAATCAGCTTCCTTCTGGTCCTGAGTATTTGAAGCCATTGAACTTTTATCTCGTTGTATTTCGCGATGGAATTCTTACTTTCCATATGAATCCTACCCCACATCCGGCAAATGTACGCCGGAGAATACGCCAGTTGAATGGGTACCTGACTATTAATGCGGACTGGATAGCGTATGCTTTACTTGATGATACCACAGATGCGTTTGCCCCCTTCATTGAGAAAATCGAGGACGAAGTAGATACGATTGATGAAATCATCCTGGGTATTCACCATGAACACGTTTTAGAGGTAAAGCCACAGGAAAGCATGTTGAAACGTGTAGGTGAATGCAGAAAATTAATTATGAGTTTGTTGAGACTTCTTGCTAATAAAGCTGATGTTGTTCGAGGTTTATCCAAACGATGCAATGAATCTTGGCAAGTGGCTCCGAGAGGAGAGATTGCTCTTTATCTTGGTGATGTTCAAGATCATATCGTGACAATGGTTCAAAACTTGAATCATTATGAAAAAATTCTATCGAGAAGTCATTCCAACTACTTGGCTCAAATCTCAATAAATATGACATTGGTGTCAAATGAAACCAATGAAGTTTTATCCCGGTTGACAATCTTAGGTACCATTCTTATTCCTTTGAACTTGGTGACAGGTCTTTGGGGCATGAACGTACAGGTTCCGGGTCAAGATGTACCCGGCCTTCAATGGTTTTTTGGTATTCTTGGAAGTCTTATGCTATTTGCAGTGTTTTCCGTACTTCTTTGTAAATGGTATCAAGTGATCTAATGACTTTTTTTGTTATTTATTTATTGTTTTGGCTATAAAATGTGTTAGGCAAGTGTCCTATAGTTAATTAAGTTTTGATATTAGAAGACTTATTTTGGTTTATCCCCGGTTATGCAAAGAGCGTACATGAGTATCCAATGCGCGTCGTTCGCTATGATTATTCCTGCAATTCTTTAGGCCGGACTTTTGTGAGCTATTCAGGAGAACGTCTTGTTGTGCAGTCATTGTTTATTATGTATATAGCAAGCGTTTAACGCGTGCCTTGGTGTAATAGAGTGTTTATAATTAAGGATCTTATTTGCGGTAACTAATAGAAATCAGAGAAAAAAAAATATATAAATAAATACGATTGTTGTTTGTTCTTAACCCGTATATTTTTTTAAAAGCAAGTTGCTCTTTCAATCATAAACCAGTAAATAAAGACTACGATGGAGGAGAGATATTAACCGTGAGACATATTTGGTTCGTCTTTTTCACTTCTCCCTAAATCAAACCATTTATATACCTTTTCAAACCGCTGCATGTTAGACCATGTTTGCAGTTTCCAACACGTTCTTACTGTGAGGAATCCAATGATACTTTTATAACATATATAGCATATAACTACAAGCATAATCATAACAGGATGGGTGTCCGAGTGGTTATGGAGCTGGCTTTAGGCGCCAGTGCGAAAGCTCGCGGGTTCGAGTCCCGTCCCATTCAATACCTTTTTATTTTTTTGTAATTTTCATTACCAAGAAAAATAAAAAGTAATTAAAGGTAAAGCTTAGCAAGTAAACAGATTTTAATTCAAGCCGACCTATGCTGCTTCTAAAAACCAATAAAGTCCATCAATGGGCTTCCAAGTCCATAATTTTTTCTTTCTTTAAACATGTTTAAAACTCAGTTTCAATAGGGTTTCCTTGCTTTCACAATTGCTGCTCGCCATTTGATTGTTTGTAAAGGAGAATGTTCTGTACTATTTAATTTCGCATATCATTTTGAAGCATAAACAGCAAGATATTCCTAGAAAACTGTAGATAATTTTGGATGCAGTTGATTTATTTATTATTAATACTTTTGTAGTTCATTAAATACCAAAAAGATACTTGTTCATTCTTTTGCAATCATTTTATGTTAGTATATATGATTTTTCAATTTTTTTTTTTTTTTTTTTTAGTGAATTAGTCTGGATTCCTAAGGATTAATTTATGTTTTTAGACTTAAAAAAATTCGCAAAAAAATTACAAATTAAATATATCTGTTCGTACAAACTCAAGGTTGATTTTACCATTTTTGTAAACATTAGTCGCCTCGCTAATTTTCCTTGTATGACTGTAAACACGCTGTGATTTCATTAAGTTATCAGCTGTAATTACCATTCAAGAACCAAACTCGATATGAGCAATCAGCTTCTTAATTTTCTTATTTCATTTACAATTTTAATTCACAACTGTCTAGCAATTGTTTTACCTGAAACACTTCACCGAGATTTAAAATGGGGACAGGTAAACATACTTCACACGACAGATATGCATGGTTGGCTTGCTGGACATGCACATGACAAACGTTACTCTGCAGATTTAGGAGAATTTGTTTCTTTTATCATTCATATGAAGCGGTTGGCTAGAGAGAAAGATGTCGACTTACTCGTTGTAGACACCGGTGATCTTCACGATGGAACAGGTTTATCAGATCTTACTGATCCTCCAGGCTCTTGGACTAATGATTTACTAAGAAATGTACCTTATGATTTGCTGGTGGCAGGAAATCATGAATTGTACTTGTCGATTGTCATGAACGATACGTATCATAACTTTATACCCTTCTGGAACGGACGATATTTGGCCAGTAACGTCGAAATTTATGACGAAGAAACTGATAGTTATTATCCTTTTGGAGATAAATATGTCGTCTTTGATACTCCTCACAACGTTCGGATTCTTAGTCTTGGGTTCGTTGGTTCATTTTCAGGTGGATGCAACGAAGCTCGAGTTCTTTCAATGGAAACTATTTTTCAACAACCTTGGTGGAGTGAAATAAGGGAACTACAAGAAATAGATTTAATTTTGGTTGCTGGTCATATTCCCGTGCATGATTCATCTGAACTAGATCAGCTTCTTTTAGAACTTCGTAAGGAATTTCCCGATACCATAATCCAAGTACTCGGAGGACATTCTCATATCCGTGACTATGCTATATACGACGAAAAGGCATCTGGGCTCCAATCAGGCCGTTACTGTGAGACCGTTGGATGGGCTTCTATTCAAGGCATCCCTTCCTTTACATCTTCAAAGGATAGGTCCAATTTTTTTTACAACGTTATTTCTATGCTCTCTCCTTTAATTCATTACCCAAGAAAATTATTAGAAACAGCCGTTTACTTCACCAATCCTTCTATATTTTCCCGTTCTTACATCGACTGGAATCGGAAAGGATTTATTTACCATTCTAATGTTTATGATTCTAAATATGATACCATTGAAGGATTAAAACTATCAAATCAAATTGCTAATGCCAGAAAACGACTTAATTTGCTTGACCCTCTGGGCTGTTCACCAAGAAACTATGGGTTCTCAGAGGTTCCTCGAAATGCTTCCAACTCAATATACAATCTTTTTGAAGAAGAAATATTTCCCAAAATTATTATTAGCAAATCAAGGAAACATATTCCTCGCTACATCATTATGAACACAGGAGGAATTCGTGGTGGTCTACAGCAAGGCCCTTTTGGCTTGGATGAGTTGTTTCAAGTTTCTCCTTTTAAAGGAAACATATTTTATGTTTTGAAGGATGTTCCTTGGTTCATCGTTAAAGACCTTCCTTACTGGTTAGAACATAGTGGTTATCTCAGTACATTTGATAAACCTTCTGTTTCCTTGGATACGTCTAATAGCATTGAAAGCAATTTAGTTTATACAAAATCAAAAAGCAAAGCAGAAGGGGCATCTTATGGCTACCACACACACGATGATATGGGAGATGATGGTGATGATACAATTCATATTCCAATTCCGCACTACGATTCCGGAAACTACTTGTGTTCAAAAGTGAATGTCGAGTTAGATTCGGATCGTCATCCTGAAAAAATTGATCTTGTTACAACTGAGTTTGTCATTCCTAGATTGAATTACATTCTTAACAAGTTAGCTGGAAAACCTTTGTTTAGCAAGGAAGATTGGGACCTTTACTTTTGGCGCGCAGATGGTAGACATTCTATGACTGACCTTCTGGCTTTGTACGCTGAGAAATATTGGGACAGAGAATGCTTATACTCAACATAAGAAAATCGATGATAAAGACAGTTTTTTCCTTTCCACTCCCTTCTTTTTCTCTTATAGGAAATATCACGATTGTTATGAATACTTACGACTCTTTTAATGATATGATTGATTTCAATGACAACTACTTATACTTATAATTATATATAGCTAATAACATCGTAAAAATATATATTCCTGTACTTCGTGAATCATAAACAAATATTAAAACACTCATGTAAACTCAAACATTGTCGATGGTTAAATATCTTTAAAGTAAGATAACATCTTTTTTTCCAAACCCAAAGGTATACAAAAAATTGGATGAGTTGGTAACAAAAAATTCAGAGTCGAATGTAGAGAAGAAGGTTCAATCAACCAATCATTATCTTGTATTTTATAGTCATAAGCTATTGAAGACAATCCTAATAGACAGTAGCAAGTATGGTATTGATCAGGTCGTTTAGGAGGCTTATCGCGTAATCCACCAGACTTTGCTTGACAGCATTGAAGAATGTATTTCATAAGTTTTCGTGAATTGTAAAATAAGGCATGTGTTACATTTTCAGATCTGTTACCAAATCCGGAAGCTAATATAAGGTGGCTTCCACCTACCCACCAACTATAGCAGCCATCGACAAGTTTGTTCGTTCTTCCAGAAAACCCATAAAGAGCAGAATCCTGTCTTTGTACTAGCCATTTTACGAGACTTGGGATATCTAACTTCTGGATTCCTTGTAATAAAGCTATGGCTGCTAAAGCACAGAAAGTGTATCCACCATGTGCTTCAGCATTAGGAACACCCGCTAATCCACCTTCGTATGTTTGGCATTTACAAAGCCATTCTAAGGTGCCGTTAAATAGATCGTGGTCATTAGAAAATCCCAAAAGGGAAGCAACGCAAACAACTGCATAAGCTGAACGAGCATCAGACTCGCCTTCGTGATTCACGCGAAAAGATCCGTCAGCGTTTTTTAAAGAGTAAAGCCACTGTACTAACTTCGCTTTATCGATAAGAGCAAAAGCTTCGTCACAATCACATATACAGATACTTAGAACAGCTGCATAGGTACTCAATACATGTTCTTCTTGACCGTTTCCACCACAAAAACCACCGTTTTTACCTCGTAATTGACGAAGAGTACTAATTGCTCTTGTTTTAGTAGACATGTCTAATCTATTCATAACAGCTAAAGAATTAAGCTCCCAATAAACCATCCAGGCCTTAGAGGCATCCAAAACGGAGAAAAAGCTAGGAAGCGGTTCTAACATTTTCTTTAGATAGTTATGATGCTTGTTAAAATGAAAAAGCTCCTGTCTATCCTGTAGCAAAGGTGCGACAGCTGAAGCTGTTTCTTCTTGTAAGGCTTGCGTATCACTAAGCTCAACCATCATATTGGAAATGTAATATGCTTTAAATTTTTATCAAAGCTGTCATTAGGGTCATTTGCATACGTTTGGGAACAAAGAAAAAAGTAACAACCATCTGTTACCTAACATCGACTTTCTTAGAGATGAAGGTTTCGCATGTTGGAAGACAAGTTAGAATGGTTATCAGCAGAATTCATGTTTGCTAAACATTGAGCTCCTTCCTTTCTTCTACTCAATAATCTCTTTTTCAATTGTGACTCAAATTCTTCTAATTTCAGTTCGAGAGAACGATAGTAATTTGATCCATTTGAAATGCCTTCAGCAATCGCATTTGCAGTGATTGCTGACGAAAGGAGTCGAACGGATACATCTTTGTTTTTTGTAAACGATTGATTATAAATATCCAATTTCCTATTAAAATTAGGATTCCGCTTCAATTTTTGAACAGCATTTCTCATTTCTCCTACGAGTAATTGTTGTTGGCGATAAGATCCGTGCAAACGATTTCGCAAAGGATCAAATTTCTTTAATTGTTGGGCGAAAAGCTGTTCCATAGATATAGAACTCTCAGCCTTGTTCGTGTTTTGCATCAATGCTTCAGATACATCATCATGTAAACACTTTTCTTGTAGTGTCTTGAGGGTAGCTTCACGATGTGGGACAAGTTTTTGTACCCTGGCCTGGAGCTCTTCTAGTAAATCTAACTGAATCTTCATCTCTCTTTCCAGCTCTATATTGTCATCCGGTAGATCTAACAAATTTGGCACATTGGGGCTTTCCATTAAAGAAACCATAGCTGATCCAAAAAGAGCGTCTATCTTATTACTGTCACAAAGCGTCTCAATATCTTCCTTGATCGACTGGTATTGTTGAAAAATAGCTTTATCTATAGAAGCAGCTTTTTCCAGGTCCTGAAAAAAAGAATGAATTTGTTGACGATAAGGTGCCGCGAAAACCTGGCTAGGTGATAATGTCCAGGCCGTACCAAACCGAGAGTTCATTTTCGAATTCTCCAGACTCTCTTTATCCAACTCAGATTCCAATTGAGTTAAATTCCGTTTTAGTTGGACTGGTATCTCTTTCAACATATGAAATTTCTCTGGAAACTGTTGATTGAGTATCTTCGTTCTGGCATCTGCCAACTCCTTAGGTAAAGCAGAAGAACCAGAATCTGAACGTGTCAGTTCTTGTAGATGCTCAATATCTAACGTAGCAAAAACGGTTGCTAGCTGTGTATTCTGCCGTTCAACTTCCTCCTGTTCAGATCGAAAAAGCTTCGCCGTTTCTTCAGAATATAAGGAAATGGCAGTAGTAACGGCAGTAGGTACAAATGCTTTAAATAAATCTTCGCCAATTACAGATTTTGCGGTTTCCTTTCCATTATATAACTTGTCTAAAGTAAGATAAGGGAGCGCTTGTAAAGGTTGAATATGTGGAAGTTCTGCTTCCCGAATGACGGGTTCATGATAAACAAAATCATTATCCTTTTCTGTGCTAGTAATTGATCCTCGTAAGTTTTCCTTTATAAATTTTGAAAGAGAATCCGTGTACTCAGTAGTACTTTGTTTATGTATGAAACTGGAATCTGCTTTTATCCATGAAAACGATTTTTGGCCAGCCTGAAGCATGGATTTAGCTTTATTATAAAAGCCAATAGCAAGCCCATATTTTGAATCTTGTTTACAGCTCTCAGCCATTAAATAACAAGATAAACCTTCTAAAGTCTGATGCTTCGCAGATGATAAAGAAACGAAAAATGCATTTGGAGATGAATCCATAGATTCAAAAGAACGCAGAGAAGACTCATATAAATTAGCAGCACTGGCAGCTATCTTTGCTGCAAGAGACATACTCATTTTAGACATCGACATGTGACCAAGTACACACTCTTGAGCCTGTGCAAGGAGTAAGTGATGTACTCCTAGCAGAAACTGTGATTCAAAATCATCTCCAGGAGCGTGTAAAAAAGATTCGCGAATCATCTTAAAGATACCAGAAGCGCATTGCAGATAGTTTGCCGCTTGCTTGTAATCCTGAACGGTATGACGAGTAGCATGAGTTGCAGCTAATCTTGAAAGTAAACCAGCGAGGTTAAATAAAACGCAAGCACGTTCAAATGCTAAGGAGGACTGTTTGTACCATAAATCACCTTTGGATAAACTATCATTCCATTCAAAGATAATGTTTATTCCATTTCCTCCAGTGGGAAATCGAAACGACAAGTAGTCCAATTGTCCGTAGTAACTGTAAATCACATTCTTTCCAGAGCTGGCATCGTCTGCTCCTAACATATTATCGCGTAAAGTGTTGAAGCTTTTGATCTCATCGTCTATGTCAATACTGTTTCCGTATACTCTTGAAACAAATGCTGTAAAAGGCTCTACCCAGTCAATTCTCTTTGTCTCCTTTTTCTTCAGAAAGAAAAAAGGAGTCAATAACCTTTCCATTGCTACCTACTTCTTTTCAATGGCTTTGCCTTTAGTGTTTACTTGGTAAGTATGATACAGCCTTTGCTATGATCTTTGTTCACCAGGGCTCCTTATTCAGTGTTATGTGATTTTCCATATAATGAGGGTGTACATTTAAGTTTTATCCGTATTAACGAGTAATAGTATTCTGCGGTAATCCTCACCACTTTTGACGTGACTGTTCTTTCTGGTAGTAAATTTCGAAACATGCGAGCTACGAAGTTACAGCAAGACCAATATGAGTGAGGCGGTGACCATTAGAACTCGCAAGTTTATGACCAACCGCTTGCTTCAACGCAAGCAAATGGTAAGAACAAAAGACATTTGGCTATGCCTGACAAGATGACTAACTGGGACGATTAGGTCGTTGACATTTTGCACCCTGGTAAGGCCAACCTTTCCAAGAATGAACTTCGTGAAAAGTTGGCTCAAATGTACAAGGCCGATGCTGACAGCATTACTGCTTTCGGTCTTCGTACCCAATTTGGTGGTGGCAGATCTACCGGTTTCGCCTTGATCTACGACTCCAATGAAGCCATGAAGAAGTTTGAGCCTCATTACCGTTTGGTTCGTGTTGGCCAAGCTCAGCCTATTGAGAAGGTTGCCCGTCAACAACGCAAGCAACGTAAGAATAGAGGCAAGAAGGTCTTCGGTACTGGCAAGCGTCTTGCCAAGAGAAAGGCCAAGAACCAAGATTAATGAAATTTTTGGTGCATAAAAAGGAACTCAATAGTCATTTTAGCGTTTTTTCTCATTGATGAGATTCTCTAGTGATTGGTACATTCAAAATACGTTGCTGGTTATCTACTCTTTATTGAGGTTAATATTGTATAAACAAATGTGAAAAGTTTGAAACAGTAAGCGCCTACTTTTGTTGTTTGCAGCTTAGCTGTCTTGAAAGTACAGTAGCAGGGTTGAAATATTGATCGGGTACACTAGTCCAAACAAACGAAAGTAACTAAAATTTTTCCTTGCCTTCATCAGTAGAAATTCAATAAATACATATCCACTAAGTTGTGATTTATCATTAGTTTTGGTTTTTCGTAAACTGTAAAATAAACATCATAACTAGGAATGAAATGACTACAGCGAGAACCATTCCAATCTGTAACCAAAAGGAAAGCTTTTTAGACTTTGTAAAGTCTTTCACATTTTGATGTGTATTGTCCAGGCTTTTGGCGTTTTTGTCTAGTAAAGAGCCTGCCCGTTCTACCACTTGGTTGTCATTTACTAAAGCATTCGTAAAAGATATAGCATTTTCCTTCAAGATAGAAGCCATGTGAAGTAGAGAGTCAGAAATATCTGCTTGGACGGACCGCTGATGATTCAGTAATTGTGAATTACCAAATTGTAAATGCTGTTCTTGCTGTCGTTCATTGATTTCCCGTTTGCGAATTTCCTCCATCGTCGAAGCTGCTGCTTCTTCTTGTTCCTTTTTTATGTTAATTTCTTCTTGCTCTATTTTAGCTTCAAGAGCTACCCTCAGATCGTTGATCTTTCCTTGTAGAGTCATGATTCGCTTGGACAATCCTTCTGGTTCTCCTACCCTTTCCAATTGGCATTTTCCTTCTTCCCAAAGCTTTTTTCGAGCATAATCCAAATTTTTCTCAACCTTGTAAAGTTCTAGTGGATCCACAAATGAAGACTGTTCTTGCCGGAATCGACGTTCCAATGTGTACACCAAATCTTCACTCATAATTGTCCAAATTTATTTGCTTATATTTAAGAATTAGCTTTATTGCTTTTTTTCGTACTTAGATCTTGGATGCCACAGGGTTTCCTAGTGTTTCTGCTTTTGCGAACTACTATGGTAGAAATCAAGTTATGAGTAACTTACAACCATGCATGTCAAAGACTAAAAACAGTTCTTGCTTTATTATTTGTTTGCAATAAAAATATTTTATTATAAATTGCATATACAGACATATTAAGATGCTGTCTTTGAGGACGATTAGATTGAAGCTGTAAGGATATTCTTAATGTTCTTCCAATTTTAGACGCCTAACATCTTTATGGAACGGCTTTTAATATTTGGGTCTCTCTCTATACGTAAATTTATGGAGATGCTTACACAATTTCAAATTCGGTTTGTTTATTTACTAGTGCAATGGAGCGAGTCAATTAATAGAAAACTGTTTGAAACGATTAAAGAATGAGTGTATAGTCAATTTGTTTATTAAATTTCCTGTTATATATTAACCTTGAACTTGTTGAAGGATTTTGTGCTATCTACCTTTTCTTATAGTGGAACGAGCCATATTTCAAAGGAGACCTAAACTCAGTTTCAGTTTGTATGCTTTAATCTATTCTAATTTCTTTGCATAAATGTTTTATTATTGCGAAATTGATTATATTATGGCTAAGAAAGGGTAAAGCAATGATTAAAGCTTCGTCACCACTCATGTTTCACACACATTCAAAATATCTCTACTTTACCTTTGTAGTTTTATCTTCAAATCATTAAAATCCATGAAAGACATTGGTTTAATATTATAATTCATTTATGAGCTGTCTACTAGGTTGTTAATAACGTATAACAAAAGGGAAGACTGAATAAAGTACTCTCTTGTATGTGTTCATTGAACGGATAGAAATAAGGGGAATTTAAGAGGTTATAAATCTACTATTTTTTTTTATCGGTAAATACTGAAAGAATTGTCAGAAAAACTTAGAATGCAAAATGGCAAACGACGAATTGGCTCTCGAGTTCCATCGAACAACTCAAGGAATACGAATCGAAGCGAAAGTTTCAGTGAATCGATTTGCCTTCAAAAATCCGTTGAATGTCCGATTTGTGGATTGGAGTTACCAAATTTACAATCCTTAAATGATCACATAGACATCACTCACATTACGCCGGAAGAAGAAACACAGCCAAAGAATCAAGATTTTGTGAATTCTTGGTTTTTAAAGACGATTAATGGAGCCACTACTCTACACATAAAAGCAGCCCAGCGGTTATTGAAGTTAGAACCATATGAACAAAATGGGGATCAGACTGGTGCTATTGGAATTGAAGCTACAAAGCTTACAGACCCAGTTATTACTAGAGAGCATTGGCAGCCAGAAGTTGCCGATATGAAATGCCATGATCCTACTTGTGACAAAGTACTAAACTTTGTTAATGGACGTATTCATTGTCGCAAATGTGGTTATGTTTTTTGCAATTACCATACTCTTTATCAAGCCAAGCTTTCGGTTTCTGCAAGTTATGATCCAGATTTTGGGTTCTGGTCCCGCGTATGCAAACAATGTTACGAAAATCGACCAGGCTACAACGACGTGCATGGTCAAACTCGTTCTCGATTTCCAACCTTTGAAAGCTTTCGGAAGCCGATTGCTGATAAGAAAAGGATTGAATTTCTTCGCTTACAGAAACGCATGCAGAGACTTCAATCTCTATGGTCATCTGAAGAGGTATCCGTTTTTGATGCTTTAGTGAAGAACAAAGCAAAGAAAATGGAACAGGAAATTGTAAATTGGCAAGATGATTCAGAGGTAGAAACGTGTCCTGAATGTAATAATGGGTTTACATTAACTCGCCGTCGGCGGCATTGTCGATTATGCGGAAGAGTCGTCTGTCGATTTTGTGTACTCGAAATTTTACATTTGAATCAACTTCAAAATCTTTTAATTTGCAACTCCTGCAATCAAAATTATTTCAAAACCATTTCATTTCAGAAAGACAAGGAGCATATACCGGGATATGTACTACATATCAATCATTTACAAGTGTTTCGCCATGCACTTCAGAACTATATAAAATTGTTCAAGGATAATTTGGCAGTGTTGCTGAGCGGAACAGTAGTAACGTACGACTTGCTACAGAAAACGAAGGAAGTCCGTCAAAGATTTTCAGACTTGTATATGAGATATGAATCCACTATCAAAAAAATATCCTCTTATCCTGTAAATACCGAAGAAGAAGAGCGCCTGAAACATTGTGTATGCGCTGAAGGGAAGAGCTTCCTTCAAGAGACGGCTCTTCATTTACAAGCAATCCCTAAACTCCAGGTTGGACAAAGCTGGTCTTCACAAATGGAACAAGATGCATTGTCCCGGAAGAAAGAAGCAGAAGAACAGCAAAATGAGTATATACAGATGAAAATAGTGATAGAGGAACAAGTGTTTCTTGTCGAGAACATGATACGAAAGGCCAAACTTAAACGAAATTTTTCAGAAGTAGAAATTCTGATGCAGAGTTTAAAGCCTTTGCAAGATGAAATTCAGAAACTTGAAGAAAGCATTGAGAAGCTAAATATGGCTTAACGTTTATTCTCTCCCCATTTAGGTTTCACTTTGCCAGTGCCATTGTTTGTTGGTAACAAGCACAATTAAGTGTAACAACTTATTCATCCAGATGTACCGACCTTCTCTTGTTAATGATTGTCCCATGCATTATACTTAAATGCCCAAACATATCGAAAGTACTTTGAACGAATTTAATCTAATTAACAATAATTCATTCCTTTAATTCTCATCATCAATTGAATTTTAGAAACTTTAGCTCGTCATTCGGAATCGAATATCCATTATTGTTATATGCCTTTCATACTATAGACTATAAACATTTTTGTATGATGTTTTTACAAGTTTACATATAACTCTGCGTATGTTTTTATTTTTTTATTTTTTACTCTCCCACATGAAATGTAAGATTTGATTTCTTTATGTTTACTTAATAAAATCAAAATCTTTTGAATTCGCATGTCATCGAACATAACCTACTTACACTGGAAGAACGAACTTCGTTACCCACATTTACAGTTACGAAACGTATCCACAGCATCTACCTTTTGTTTAAAAACGAAACAGAAATCCATAGAAAGGGAATTTAGCATGAACAGTCCTGCCATACCTTCCCAGAATGATCAAGAAACGCGTGCATTTGCCATCCGGTTCACAAACTATTTGAAATCTCGTCCAGAGTTGAAAACGAAGCCTGCAATACTTAATGGAAAACGTGTCTACTACTTCAGATTAAAAAGAGCTTATCGGTTTTTGTTCTCAGATTCGTACCCACCAAAAAAGGTGAAGGGATTTCCGTCTATTTCAACACGCGAAGATGCAGTCGACTTGTTTAAGCTCTTAATCATGAATTCTATGATGGTTCGCGTTGATAAGCTTCCACCAAGACAAAAAAAGCAGCAAGTTGTCGAGTTGCAGGTGAATCGGACACAAGATTTCCAGGATGACATGCACTACGTCTGGCTGTATGAGCCTTTGCAAAAGCGTGTTATTGCTTTGGCAGTTTTGTTTGCTTTATTAGTGCTAGCACTTGTTCTATTCCCTTTATGGCCCATGTCTATGCGTAAAGGAGCTTGGTATCTCAGTATGGCCGGTTTAGGTATAATTGTTTTGTTCTTTGCCTTAGTTATCTTCCGCTTTATACTCTACTGTCTCACTGCTCTTGTTGCAAGTCCCGGACTTTGGTTGTTCCCTAATCTTCTCGCTGACGTCGGCTTCTGTGATAGTTTCAAACCCGTTTGGGCTTGGCATAGTACTAAATCAGAAGTGAAGTCTAAGAAAGGGAAAAAGAATTTAAAAAAGTCTTCTCCTTCCGCTAGCTCTGCAGAAAAACAATCCTCTGCTGCTACATCCACATCTGCCGAACCTCATTATACAAGTACATCCACAAAAGCTGGTCCTAGAAATCCTACTATAGAAGAAGTGCACGAGTAAAATATATATTTGCAAAAGTTCTCAAAAGTTACGTTCCCAATATAGCTTACTGGCTTTGGATTCAATACGATTCCTAGTTAGCGCATAGACCAATCACTCTCGAACCTTCTCTATAATTGTGTTACATTTTACGAGCTTTGGTCATTTTCTTTGTTTTCATCTCAATCCTAATAATCTTTTAATATGAGCAAGTACTGTCATTTATAGTTGCTAGCTAGTCTTTAATGATTTTGGTAGTAATTCCTGTCTTAAAATAAGAATTCTTACTCTATTTTTTTATCAGGTAAAGCTAAAGTCATCCTGAGAACTGACTTTCTTCCTTTTCCATATTATAAACGATTCTAATTAGAATGCATTGTACCGGTCGTAATATCACCTGAAACAATATTTCATTAAAGCACAACAGTAAAATCAAAAAATTATATTTACAATTTCCATCGATCGTAGATTTCTCTCGTATGAAGCTACTTCCGTAATTCAGCATTTCAATATTTGACTTCGTATATACCATCCATTTTTTGCAAAACCTTACTCAGCGTTCTTCGTGTAACATTAATGTTTCTTATTTTGTTGTATTAAAAATTCTTTGAATTTAAATATCAAAAAGTACATTTATACTATTTACGGAAGTTTAAAACACGAATTTGAATGCTTAAGGGAAAAGTAAAACAAAATGTCTGAACAAGTCCAACCTCCTACCGATTCTAACGTTTCCATGGAGATTGATGAAGAAAAAATAGAAATAGAAGAAAACGGACAGAAGGATGAAGCTAAAGAGTTTTTGTTGAGTCAATTGCCTTCCGTAGAAATTCCTGAATGGGCCCAGTGGTTTGATTTCAGTAATATACATGAAATTGAGAGGAATAGCAATCCTGAGTTCTTTGATAGCAAGAATTCCTCTAAAACCCCTCAAGTTTACAAAGAATATCGCGATTTTATGATTTGCGCTTTTCGACTCAATCCAAAAGTCTACCTGACATTTACTGCTTGCAGACGTAATTTAGCAGGAGATGTTTGTGCAGTTTTACGTGTTCATCGATTCTTGGAACAATGGGGACTTATAAATTATAATATAGACCCTTCTACACGGCCCTCAAAAATTGGACCGCCTTCCACAAGCCATTTCCAAATTTTGGCTGATACTCCGAGAGGGTTGGCACCACTCGTCCCCCCTCCGCCTTCTTCTATTCCTCGTACTCAACCATATAATGTGCAACCCTCTATTCTCCGCAAAAACATCTATGATTCTGAAGTGGAGGAGACCCTAAAGGGCAGTGCTCCCCGACCATCTCCGGCTGCCATAGGAAATCAAAACATTGAAAAAAAAGAAAAGGTCCCTCCCACACATTGCTATTCTTGTAGTGTAATTCTTAGTGGCACTTACTATACCAGCGATTCCGATCCTTCTCATTCAGTTTGTTCAGTTTGCTACGACCAAGAAAGATTTCCTCCACCAAAAACATCTCAGGATTATAGAAAAATTGGTCCTTCTCCAAAAAAGGATGACACTCATTGGACGTCACAAGAAATGCTCCTTTTATATGAAGGGCTTGATATGTTCCCGGAGGACTGGTCCAAAATTTCCGGTCATGTTGGTTCCAAAACGATAGAACAATGTATATTGAAATTTCTAAACCTTCCGTCAACAGATAAGGAGCTTTTTCAATCTTCCTCTACTCCATATCCTGGAGCACGTCCTTTACAAGACAAAAGTCCCATTTTGTCTGTAGTGACATTACTAGCGAAGTTGGTGAAGCCTTCTTCACTGAAAACTTCAAATTCTCTAAAAGCTGGAAGTAATTCAGCTAAAAAAGTAGAAAACCATGTATCATCGCATATCAAAACCGAAACTATGGACATTGACACTGTCAACTATGATATCGTTGAAGATTATCTTCTTGATGAAGAAAAACGAATGTCATCAACTACTAAAGAGGCTATGGATACTCAATTGAAGTTAATAGACTCCAAACTGTCCCATTTTGATTACTTAGATCAACATGTGCGACTTAAATCCCAGGAATTAGATCTATTTGCGCAAGAAACATATAAAGAGAAACTTTTCATGAAAAGAGAATGCATTGCAGCTAAAAAAAAAATTGAACAGAGCTTGCAGTCGAAGGATTCATCTAGTAATGCCTCACCATTTCAATCGTCTACTGCCACCCCAACATTACCTGCTGTGCACTCCTCTTCGGGCACTAACATTTAAAGAAATATTGGGTTTAGACAACCCAAAGCACACAGCGCTTTCGATGTGATACGAACAGGTGGTTTGGATTGTAGTATTATACATTTTCCGACTTTCTCAATTTTATGAATGAAAAATCACTATATACTAATATTATGGGCTTTCTTTAATTTTCTTGATATTGTATTGACTAAAAATAAAACATTAGGAAGAACAAAACTTTTGAATTTTTAATGTAATCAAAATTACATAAGCTTCATGATATGCAACAAATAAAAGAAATCTTATAAAAGAAAAAAAAGAGAGGAATCGAGTAAAATGAATACTAATGCCAATTGAAAAAAAGAACGAAATAAAGGTACAGTCAATTGGAACCCAATTCATGATATCATACGTATTTGAAAGTTTAACATCCATCCATCAATTTGTTTTTAGGACGACTATAACCAGCCATCTCCCAACTAGTAGCATTGTAGTTTTTATAGGCCTTGGGATGTTGCGCAATATACTCAGTTGTTGGGAAACCTTTAGGATCACAGCCAAGCTCATGGTTCGAATTCTTCGATGTATCTTGATAAATACGTACGTAGTCGATGTACTGCGTTTCAGGAAAACTCAATTCGTACCAGTAAAAGTAAACCCATGTAGGTGAAATACCCATATTCAGAATGATAATTAGAGGTTCTTCACTTACACCACGAGGTCCAACGTTTCCATTAGCTCCAATGGCAGGTTGGTACATTGTCCATGTATAATTATCACCAACGAACCATGAAATAAAAGAATCGGGTCCATAACCAGGCTGATAATCAAATCCATATGTTTGATATGCTCTGTTACTCAACCAGGTATTATTCAACTGCGTAGCGACAGACAAAGCTTGCTGATATACACCACCAGTCCAACCGTTTACTGCTGAAATACTTTGGTTATAAACAACAACATAGTCGTAATTGGGGAAGTAAAACATGTCGTAAGGAGCGGTTTGAAGAGATTGAGAAGCGACAGGCATGCTCTCCATATTGATAGATCCATTATAAGGAATTCCACTACCAAAAGTTCCTTCTAGACAGTCAATTTCTGGTGCACCACGACCTTTTCCAGGACTCGGGTGGGGCTCACCATCGCATGTACACTTGGGAAGTCTCTGTCCGCCAAGGAACGATATTCCACTAGGATCAGATTGATTAGGAGTGATACCAGCATCACAGCTGTCATAAGCATAAGGCCAAACACCATCGGAAGTAGCTAAATAACCAGGACGAACTAAATTTCCAATTGTCCAAATACCAGGCCATAGACCAGGAATTCCCGGCTTGCCACCCAATGAAGCGGAAACCTCAATTCTTCCACCTTTGAAGCACAACTTATTCCAACTTGTAATCATACCACTCCTGAAATTCAAATTGTGATTGAAAAATGCATCCATTCGAAGTCTAAGGGTACCATTAGCTGTAGTAGGAGTGTCAGCGTCATAGTATTCATAATCACTAGTAGCGGCATAATGCAAATCCGTAGCTTCCCAAAATTGATCATCACCGTCATAAAATGTACGGCCAGGTTTGTTAAACTCATCCGAAAAGACCAAATCTAAAGTGCCAAGATGGGGAACAGTTTTTTTATAAGCTTCCTGAGGCGTCTCAGAATCAATAAGGGACTTTGAACGAAGAATGCTTAAACTCCTAAACTTATGATTGGTAATACCATTATCGGAAGTACTTGCGAGAGCGTTATGTCCAGTGTAAGTGAGAATTGGCAAGCCAATGAAGAGCATACCGGTACCTGAGATAAGAAAGGCAAGGAAAAGCAATTGCATGAAACCTTCCCCACCGACGAAATAGCTTAATCGCTTAGCATCTTTGGCAGGTAAAGGATAGTGCAAAAAGTCATCAATCTCCTTGTCTTCTTTACTCAGAGCAAAATCATGATCTCCAGCAGTAGGGCCGGCAAAAGCGACAGCTTCTAAGCGGTTGATGTTTTCAATGTCATCCGCGAGACTATTGTTTTGAGGAGGTGAAGTCGAATACATACCAGAGCTATTACTCGCATCCCCATTAGGGTACCTATTATATGTTTGGGGACTCGGGCGAGAATAACCACTAGCTCTTCTACCGCCAACCCCAGCGGCCATCGCGCCGCTGTTGACATTGGCATTAGAACCGTTGTGTAAAAGACGAGTAGAAGAATCATTTAGGTTCGTAAAAGACGAGGCACTGGTGTCCCGCGAATTATACATAGTTCCAATATCATTAACATTCGCGGGAGGCTGATTGCCTCTTGGTAGATCGTCGTACATGCTAGTTTCTTTTTAACTAAAGAAACTTTAAAAAGTAAGGACTGAATTAAAAATTGTTAACAACTTCCAACACAAAATTTATCCACAAAATTATAAAAGTGAATAAGAAAAAGAGAGACTCTTTCAATGCAAAATCGGTTTGTTTAAATCTTCACTTGTTTGCAAAGTGACGAGACCCAAAATCGAAAGGGGGCAGGAACAAACTACACAAACTGATTTGTAGCAACAAAAAATATATGATTACCTTTCAAAGGCCACAATGATCTTTATGATCGCAGAGAAAGAAGGGGAATAGAAGAGCAATTAAACGAGAGAAAACAGCGTACAGCAAATAAAAATTTCTTTGGGTGCTAATTAATCACCTATCTTGATAAGAAAGAAATGCACAGCCTGAAAGCCAGACAAAGAGAATAAAAGTATGTTGGTTATAAATAAATACTAGATACAAGCTTTCCTGTAAATTGCGGGAATATAGATGTCGTAAAATGAATGGAGATTTCCAAAAGAAACGACAGTGTAACAGAAAAAAAAACTACAAAATTAATTAAAATGTCGTGTCTTGAAAAATAGCGCTCAAGTCGATAAATTTAATTTCAAAAGAAACCACTATAAACGCTCTTTAAAGTATTCTGTTGAAGACTAACCGTATACAGAATTGCAGCAAACTCTTGGTCGAATGAAAAGGGCTCAATTTCTCGGAAGCAAATGTAAAAAGGATTCTAGTCAAAATCCTTTCACCCTTTCTTTTTTATTTTTTCAACTGTCTCACAAGAGATCACCCTTTTCCGTAGTTGGTAGCAGTAGTAGTATAGGAAGAAGATAGAATACACTTGAGGCCCTAGCCATCCGTCGTTCCAACGCTTTGCGCCTATTTGTTACCCGGGGTATTAACTCAGGTAACAACAATTAATAGTGAAGAATAGCAGAAACAGGCAGTAAAAGAGTTGTTATATAAAAACAGCTTTTGAATAGATTTCTATTTTCTTTTGTTCTTTTCAATGATTATCTAAAAAACTGTTTCTGTCGTTCAAGTTTTCTTATTGTTGATACTCCCTTGAACAGAGCGATGTCTTGTTCCTATCAACTGTGCGGCAATTCTCTTACTTAGAAAGACAATTTCTATATACTTTCTTTTTATCAAATAATTTTATTCATAGTTTAGCTTTCTTTGTCTTGTATTTTCTTCATCTCGTTTTTGAGAATATCTGTGGAGCTTAGTATAGTGACACTTGAAAAAATAACGAGAAAAGCGATATCCTTGGATATGAACGATTCTACCATCGATTGTTGTCTTAAAAAAGAATCAATCTAGTTTTTATATTCCGCCTCTTTATATCCAAAGCAATAAAGGGCGACTGAAAATTCATGTTAAGTAAATGCTGTATTATCGTAAATCATATTGTATGCTCTGCTGGAGTTCACTATACAAGTCTTGGCCTTCATACACTAAGCAAACGTAGGCCATACAAGGAAACTAGCTTTTCGCCAACCACTGTTGCTTTTTTTGCTATAAAGTAAATTTGAAGAATCCTATTGTTATTTTTTATTGAGAGAATATAGTTCATGACGGTGCCGAGAAAAAACAATAATGATCTTCCTCATGTCGAAAAATATGATTCTTTAAACGGAACGTATGGCATGGATGAATTAAGCAATTTTTGATACTAACCATTGAATAGGTGGGACTTCCTCAAAGATGGCGTCTTGCATATTTTGGATCGATTGGATGAAGGAATGTCAATTACTCGATATATGGAGCTCTATACGTATGTCGACCACTGCTTGAGACAAGAAGTAAAAGTTTTTGACTAACTTGATGTTCTAGTGCTATCCATAATTATTGTGCCGATGCTTCGAAAACAATGTCGGTAGAAAGTTTCAGCGATCAGAGTATGTATAGTTGATTGCTACATACACGTAGCAATCATATATCTTCCCATTATTAAGGATGTATGGACTAACAGAATCATCAGCTGCGAATGTTTTAGGTGAAGCCTTATATAACAACTTGGTATTGTACTTGAAAGAGTATCTGACGCAATTACGAACGGTATGTGTGTGTGTGTGTGTGTGTGTGTGTGTGTGTGAATACTTTTAAAGGAAAATTTCCTTATATTTTATAAGCATTTTTTTTGCCATTTGGTTTTTATGTCAGCTTGAGAACAATTATGCTAACTTTTTGTAATAGTCATCGCTTTCAGAATCAACGCATGAAGACCGATTAGCCGCATATGCAAACTGTTGGACTCAATTTAAGACCTCTTCCAGGTTCCTTCATCATCTTTTTGGATACCTTAACAGATACTGGGTAAAACTGAAAAACCGGTTTTCCGATACTGTGGTTTACGATATCTATACATTGTGTCTCGTTTCGTGGTACCATCATGTTTTTATGCATATATGCGATGATATGCTTGCAAGTTTGTTGTACGTACTCAACAAGAAGCGGTCGCACGAGCCAGTCGATATGAAGGACGTGAAAGTCTGTGTTGATTCCATCACTTCATTAAGTTTCGACAAGGCAGACATGTCGAAGGCCAATCTCAGTTCTTACAAAACATTTTTTGAACAGCGATTTATTTCATCTTCGAGGGAATTTTACGGGACCGAATCGTCTCAGTATATCACAATGCATTCCATAACCGATTACCTTGGAAAAGCAGAGAACCGACTTTTAGAAGAAGAAGAGCTTGTTCACTTGTATTTGCACGAGTCTACGCTGAAACCATTGCTGGAAGCTGTTGAAGATGAACTAATTACTAAACATGCCGAGGTTTTACATAATGATTTTTCGCGCATGCTTGATGAAAACTGCCATAACGATATCGTTAGAATGTATCGTCTAATGTCTAGAACACCAAATGGATTACAACCATTGAGAAAGTCGTTTGAAGAGTTTGTAAAGCGGTCTGGATTTCTTGCCGTTGCTAGAATTGTGCCTGAAGGTAACAAGGTATCTGAGGTAGATCCCAAAGATTACCTTGAAATGCTTTTGTCCACATATCTATCTTCGAAAAACCTTGTCGACACAGCTTTTCATGGGGATGCGGATTTTACAAAATCTTTGGATACATCTTGCAGAGAAATCGTAAATCGCAATATCGTCTGTCACCCTTCTTCGTCAAGGTCTCCTGAACTTTTGGCTAAATACTCGGATTCTGTTTTGCGCAAGAACAGCAAAACGGTAGAGGTTGATGATATAGAAAACATATTAACTTCCATTATCATTATTTTCCGCTATGTCGAGGATAAGGACGTCTTTCAAAACTTTTATACGAAACTCCTGGCCAAACGATTGGTCAATGGAATGTCCAACTCACAAGATGCAGAGGCAGGAATGCTCTCCAAGTTGAAGGAAGTTTGTGGATTCGAATACACCAGCAAATTGCAGAGAATGTTTCAAGATATATCTTTGTCTCAGGAATTAACTGAATCATTCCACCAGCTTCCAGAAATGCAAAAGTCTCCCATTGATTTTTATGCCATGGTTTTAGGAACATCATTCTGGCCGTTAACAGCTAGTTCCTCTAATTTCCATATCCCATCTGAATTAAAATCCCTTTACGAACGGTTTGAAGGTTATTATAATACCTGCCATAATGGTCGGAAGTTAAGTTGGCTTTTCCATTTGTCCAAAGGAGAAATTAAGGCACGTATTAATCCTAATTCTAGCACTACATACGTATTTCAAGTGTCTACCTTCCAAATGGCTGTCCTACTTCTATACAACCAAAGAACTTCATACAAATATGATGAGTTGTTAGAGCTGACTGGATTGAATCAGGACATATTGACCGGAATTCTTAATATTTTCTTACGCGCAAAAGTTTTGTTACTTGAGGAAGGTAAGAACCTTGGAGAGTTGGACAGTGTGTATACATTGAATATGAATTTCAAGATGAAAAAAATTCGTGTTCAACTCAATTTGCCCATAAAGTCTGAACAAAAACAAGAAGTAGTAGAAACACAGAAAACCATCGAAGAAGACCGGAAGTTACTATTGCAATCTGCCATTGTACGCATTATGAAAGCTAGAAGGACACTGAAGCATGTTGTTTTGGTCAAAGAAACTATCGATCAAATCAAAAGCAGATTTGCTCCTCAAGTTTCAGATATCAAGAGATGCATTGATATGTTAATTGAAAAAGAATATCTGGAGCGACAAGGACGTGATGAATATGTTTACCTTGCTTGAGTTTATTTAATTGTTGTTTATTAGAATACCATGGTGTTAATAATTTATCATATTTCATTCCTTTTCTTTTTTGTCTATAGCTTTCATGGAAGTATCCTTTTTACCGTTTACCGTAGAAGTAAAGTACTGTAATTCCTTTTTGGCACGTACAGCGATAGCGAATGTCTAGTAGCTTCGCTTAACGTAACTTAAAAGTACTAACGAACTCTATCTTAAATATTATTACATAGCGTGAAACTCAATTTTACATAGACCTTCGTAGATGTTTCCGGTATTTTCTGGTAACACGACATTAACGACATATATGAGGCACAAATAAGTAACATTAATCTGCCTTCAACAAAATAAAAGAAACTTGTAAACAAACTCAGGATTCCTTTGGTTTGAATTGTTTTGGAGAAAATCATTGAGATGGCAGCCTTCTTTCGTTTAGTAGACCCTCATGGGAATGAATATCAGCATGTGCAAGATCACAGTTTACAACTCGCTCTCAAAGAACTTGATCAACAGATTGAAGTTATACAACAACAAGAACGACAATTAGCATTTCGGAAACGTGCTATTGACGACGCCAGACAAGAAGTGTTACAGCAAATTCAACACAGAAAGTTCCGTCAGTACTTGCATGAGCGAGAACAGGAAGCCCGTTTACAGGAATACTATTTAGAACAATTACGGGAACGTAGAGCCTTCGAACAAGTTATACGCACTATTGTACAAAGGAGATATGAGGATGATGAGTTACAAAGAAACATTCGCCGGGAGAAAGAAGCCAGGAGATTGTTACGAAGAATCTTAGTTTCAGATCCTTCCAATACTCAACTTGTAGTACCCAGAAATTTCCACCAATTTTTCATTAATCATCCTGTAGTGGAGCATCTTAACTCTTCTGATGAGCAACAGGGAACAACCGAAAACACCGATAACTCTCAAAGAACACATTCTCTACCTGAACAATTTAGATCACCTTCGGCGAAGAAGTTAGACATTCCGACACAAGATCCAAAAGATTTTCACATTGGATTACAACAACCTATTTCGGATGAAAGTCCTCATGTCGCGGAAATTCCTTATTCACACGAAATGGCAGAGAAGCGTTCTCACCAGGATCCCTTTGATGATGATTTGACCCATGGCGAGCTCGCTGAACTAAATGAGTATCTTTTAGGTGCTCAACGGCGTCTAAATAAACGTGGCAACGCAAGAAAGCACATAGATGTTTCTCAGACACCCCCTGGTATTTCACCCTTTGAAAAACTGGCTAATGCTGCTCTTAATCCTGATCCAGAAGTTATCGAACCTGAAGACGAAATCTCAACTCAAAGAAGAGATCCTTTGGAGACTCTACTATCTAGCGGACACTATTCAGTCGTAAACAGCGATGATGAATCTAGCCCTTTAGAATTTGAATCCACCCAATCCAATCCTATGAAAGACGAGAATGCTTCTTTTAAAGCTAAAGAAACAGCCACTTCAGAGACAGCGCAATCAGCGAACTTGCAATCCGAGCAACATCCTACCACATCTTCGACGGAACAACCCTCAAGTAAACCTGAATCAACACCGAACAACGAAGAAGCAGTGTCTTCAACCAATCGGCCAATTGGTGAGCAAGACAATGGTGCTTCCGAACGCCCTGTATCTCAAAGTTCTGTTCGGCATAACGTTACAGTTGAAGAAGTTCCTGATGAAGACGCATAATATTTAATTTAGACAATTATTTATGTTCTTTGTTTGTTCCCATAAAGGTTTACGTTCATAATTATCATTTGTATATGAGGTTGAGTCTTATTCGACCAAAGTCATACTCCTTTCTTATTTATATTTTGTTTATGATAAAGTATCACGGTAATTTTACGAATCTTTAAGCTTGTTAATTTTGAAATTATAAGTACTTTTCTCTAGACGTACTGTGGGCGTTTCTAATTGTGTAGTGTTTACAAATGATTTGTAAAAAAGAAAAAAGGTAATTACACACGCTACTACGCAAAATCTATAGTTTTTAACCCATCATTCTCACTAGCTAGAAATACAGAAGAACGAATATAAACAAGAACTTAGTGTATCACCAAAAAAGAAAGTAAAAAGACACAACTGATAGTAAAACAGAAGAGAACGAGGGTACAAAAGGGTAATGTTATATGAATAATTGTAACACCACACCACATTAAACAGATCGCGTAGGAAGGGATTAGAAAGCATAAGGGAATATAAAAATTTTTTTGTTTCTATGAATAAAACTAAGCATTCATGTAAGAGCTGACATCAATTTCATCGGGAAGCTCAGTGATATTAACTTCAAAGCGTTCCTGGATTTTGTCCAAAATTTGAGAATCCTCATCAGAACCAGCAAAGGTAATAGCCAAACCCTTAGTACCGAAACGACCAGCACGTCCGACACGATGAAGATAAGTATCAGGAGAATCAGGCATGTCATAATTGATTACAATGTTAACACGTTCAATATCAATACCACGACCAAAAACATCGGTAGCTACACAAAGACGCTTGTCGAAATCTTTGAAAGCTTTGTAACGGTTGATACGCTCCTCTTGAGGAAGACCACCATGAATGCAAATAGAAGGAAAATTACATTCTCGTAAAAGACGGTCCAATTCGTTAGCACGGCTAACAGATTTTACAAAAATGACCACTTGATTGAACTCCAAGGAGTCGAGTAAGTCATTAATTTTTCTGTTCTTTTCCTTCTCTTCGAGTTTCACATAGTGTTGTTGAAGACCGTGAAGAGTAAGCTTCGTTTCGTCGTCGACGTAAATTTCAAGAGGGTTTTGCATAAATTTCTTGCAAATAGGACGGACTTCGCTGGAAAGAGTAGCACTAAACATCATAACTTGCTTTTGAGGAGGAGTAGCACGGAAAACCTCTTGGATATCACGACGCATATCCACGCTATCTAAGAGCTTGTCACATTCATCGAGAACAAAGTGCTTGACATTGTTCACCCGCATAATCTTCTCACGAACAAGGGCATTTAAACGTCCAGGAGTAGCGACAACGATATGAGGTGCCTTGGTTTTATCTTTGAAAGCTTCCATATCTTGCTTAATGTTGATACCACCATAGAAAACAGAAGTACGGACATCAGGCAAATACTTACTGAAACGAGCATATTCATTCTTGATTTGGAAAGCAAGCTCACGGGTATGGCACAAAACTAAAACAGAAACCTCACCATCAACTGGTTCAATTTGTTGAAGGGTAGATAAAACGAAAACGGCTGTTTTACCCATACCAGATTTAGCTTGACAGAGAACGTCAGTTCCCAAAATGGACTGGGGAATGCAGACCTGCTGCACTTCAGAAGGGTGTTCAAATCCACTGTCCGTGATTGCACGAAGAAGTTCAGGCTTTAACAAAAAGTCACGGAAACCAGTAGAGTGGATACCAACGTAAGAACCTTTCTTGTCAGATTTTTCACCATTTTCAGTAGCTTCAGTTGTAGTGGCGGTTCCTTGAGCAGATTGGTCCTGAACCAAATCTTCCTCTTCTTCGTAATCAATCAAATCCTCCTGAGCAGCTGCCATTTTACCAATTTCTCTTTACTTGGTGGTTGGTGAAAGATAGAATCTCTAGTCAACGTGAACGCGTTCCCATGACTGGTTATCATAATTACGAGTCGTTACATCTCGCTAAACAAAGACGTTACATATCCGTATAATGTAAACAAACCTTTATTTGTGAATTCTTGCTTAACAGTATAATTTTCTTTAGTAATACGTTTATATACTTCCTTTTTATGAACTTTATATGAAGTACAAAGAACAAATAACCTAACTCATATTTCTCAAGACAATTTGTCTACCAAAAAAACAGCTTGTTAAGCAACAAGCAGTATATTGGATATTTTTTCCATATAGTCCAAAAGCTTACAATCCCCGATTAAACTCAACCTTCTCCAAAGCATTTCCATTTTTATCCTTCAAGTCGTGGAACTTAGATTCCAGTTTCATGGGAGAAATGGTTTCTCTACCAGGGAAGATGCCAACAGCCAAAGGTAGCGCAATCAAGGAAGTAATACCAACCAAACCCAAATTCACTGGAATTGTCAACTTGGGGCTCTTGCGAAGCCAGTTTGTTTTTTGAAGTCTCATCAATATGAGAGGAGGAATGACCATAATAGGCGAAGCATTGATGATACGAGAAAGAGCTGTCTCACCAACTGCATACAAGGCGGCTCGATTACTCTTGCCCAAAGAATTGCCTTCGTTATCAAAAACATCAATTCCCTATTTCATTCGTTAAAATACTGCTCTTTTTCTTATAACTTCGTAAAGTACATACCTGACGCAATTCCTCACCGCGCATCAAGAATACATTCAAGACACCTGCAAAAGCAACAGCAGCAAATGGAGTCAAACGTCCAAGAACTGCCTTCGATGTAGGGGGCAAAAATTTTATACGAGGAACAACCTTGTTGAGACCAATTGCAACACCACAACTAGCAGTAACAGCGTACATGTAAGATTTTGCCATCTGGGGTAATGTCAATTGAGTAGACTTGTTGGCATTCGCAGAATTGAATGCTACGTTAACTGACTGGTTTGTCCATTGCCAAAAAACTGTTCCAGCAGTACCTAGATTAGGTTGAAGCATTCCAGCCGTGACAACCAAATTGGTCTAAGACCTATGTTAGTATAAAAGGATAAAAATTCTTAACGTACCAAGGCATAACAAGACATACGGAAAGGAAGAAACACCGGCTCCTTTGTATCAGGATGCAAGGTGGAATCAACAACTAGTTTAAAACACATTAATATCAATTAATTCTCTTCCAACGACATGTATAGACATACCCTTTTTAGCACTCCAAACTTTATCACTCAAAGCACAGTTTCCCTCTTCAAACTCGCGTAAAGTCTTGACAGCATCGTCAATATCCTTTTTTGTAGATAACAGGGTTCTAACAAGAAGAGCGATTAGCAGTCAATGCACACTTAATTATCTTTTGTTTTATGTTAATTACCTTGGATCGGTGATGTCCATTGCATGCTACAACAGTTAATAACCAAACTAAAGAACCAAAGTTGATTTATTTTTTATTTTAGACATATTACATACGCGTACACGTCCCCAATAAGTGGAAAGATCGTATTTTGACGTTGGAATTTTATTGTTTGACATTTTGCTGTTTGTAGGAGGATACGAAATTTTTGTCGTATGTAGTCATCAAATTAGATCTAAATGCATCAATCAAAATAAAGCGTTATAAGAAACTTGTATTACTTTACTTTGTATTTTCAAAAATAAAAAAATAAAGGAAATTACTCGATACTATCTGTCGCTCCCCAGAAGAGATTTTTTTTACGAAAGAGCAATAGCAAGTAAAATATCATAAATTTGCAAAATACAATTTAGCTCTTACTACTCCATCGAATGACATTATAACGTCCTAACTGAAGTATCCTACATATGTACCCGCTCGTTCAAATAAATGCATCAATATATATATCTTTTTTTTTAGGTATCCAAAATCGTATACAATGACTAGGTGAGTTCTTTCTTTTCCTCTTCAAGACTAGATGTTGTTTTAGCTTCTTCACTTCCTTCACTTGAGTAGTCTTCACTTCTTGGTTCTCCCTCAGCATCAGGGTCGTCCTTTATTGACTCCGAAAAAGGAAGAATTGTGTTTACAGCTCGGGAAAGAACATGGACAATCCTTGTTCGAAGAATTTCATTATTGCATTCCACCTTCATGGTGGAGAAGTCGATGGAAGCTTCGTACTGATCGATCTTTATGTAAACTCCGTCCTTTGACTTTGTAATGCTTTCACCAAATTGGCTTTCTAAAAACATCATCAGTTTACTAATTCTGTCTTCAGCCTTCGATTTCCTTGGATGAGTGTGCCCATGAACGCACTTATGATTAGTTAATTTTACAGAAGCTGGGCTACTTTCAATTCCCAATAAAACGGTAATCACTGAATCGGCAATGGTATCATTCATAATATTTCCAGCCCATTCCAAATTTAGTTTATGCTCTGTTGGCATGCTCAAATGAATGGCATCCATGACAGTATAACGTAACGTGCCAGATTTCGTTCGTTCTTCTTTCACATGACCAAACATCTGATTAAGATGATATTTAGCCAGTTCTAAGCTAGAGAAAAAGGGAATAACTTGCTTTTGAGTTAAGACTGTTGTTGTGAGGTCACTAAAATCTCGAAGGTCATCTGCAGACATAAGCTTATAAACCGAATCTTTTTGAACTAAGATTCCACTCATTATATCCCCATCCGTTGGCTTTCGAACAGCAACTTTCCCTAAAGCCTATAAAATAGTAGTTAATTTACAAATTCACAGTCAACCGCGACTTCTAAAGAGACACTTACCCTGACGAGACGCTCTCCTTTGAAGTAAAGAAATAAAGGTACACAATTTCTCGGGGTATAAACTTTGCTATCAAGTTTCTGATTATGAAATTTGCTTAAAAGCGCACTCTTTAAACGACCCATATTAGTCTGCTCGCCATGTACCAAAATCTACATACGTTAGTAAATTGAATACTGATTTGTTGATTATCGAACATACAATATGATCAGCTTTCACTTGGTCAATGAATTCGCTGTTTTGAATATAATCAACATGTGCAGCAAACGAAAGCTCTTCAACAGCCATCCTTCTTGGAATTTTTTGACCCGACATGGATGTAATTTCAACCGGCTCATTAGTTATTTGTTTTGCCATGGTCCCCTCAACAGAATAACCAGTCAATAACAAAGTATTTCGAGGATCAGGAGCCCAGCGCTCTAGTAATGCCCGAGAAACACCATTCTGAAGCATACCTGGACTAGCAATAATAACTGAAGGTCCAATGTCGTCGAATCTATCCAAATTTCTTAAATTCTTTATATATCGGAATATAAAGGGATTCCTTTCAGCAAATGCTTTACGGATATTATCGTTCATCATGTTTACATAAGTTTGAAATACTGCCATACATTTCCTTGCTAAAGAAGAAGCATAATATATCGGTACAGGACGTAAATCATAATGATTGTTCCAATATTCATCCAAAATAAGCAGTAATTCCTGGGCTCTTCCAAGTGCGAAGACGGGCATTAATACACGACCACCATTGCGAATAGTAGAGTGGACAATGTTTAGTAAACGAGCTTCTTTTTCAAGACGAGGTTGGTGTGAAGCAGTACCATACGTAGATTCCGTAATTAAGATATCTGGCTTTGTGGGAGGAACTTCAGCTATATGCAAATGTCGATCTTCCTCTCTAGAATAATCTCCTGTATAGAGAATCTACTACGTTAATATGACCTGTTTTCTGACAAACCACTTACTTTAACTCCCGCCATTTCAATAAAAAACATACAAGCTCCTAAAACATGGCCGGCATGATATGGCGTAAATTTAACTCCTTCAACTTCAATCGTAGAGTGGTAATCAACTGCTTCCATTCTTTCAAAAGCTGCTGTCAAGTCCTTCTCATCGTACAACTGGTCCTCTACGCCGACATTACTGTATGTTAGCTTTTACTTTTTCCATAATAAACAATAATACCTGACTTTAACGTAATCTGATAGAAGCCATTTACAAACAGCCTTTGTAGGATGAGTCATGAACACACGGCCTCTAAAGTTTGTTTTCGTCATTACATAGGGTAAAGATGCAACATGATCCAAGTGAAAACTATTACTAAGTTAATAGAGGAAAAAAAAATAAACAATAGTGGAAATTAACCACTTCACGACTGGCTAATGTTCGCAAATGATACAACTTACTGGCTGACTAGCAAAACATCGACGGTACTGAGATCGAATTCATCGTAGAATGGCAAAGCCGCGAGGCCATTGTACGCAGGGTGTACACCAGCATCCAACTATTACAATTGTTAGAGATAATTGAAAAGTACACAGATTGTTACTGCTCAAAATGTATACCATTACTGTTTTTCCTTTGTATTGAAGGATATGACAGCTTCTTCCAACTTCATTACCAGCCCCTAAATTGATAAACTGTAGCAAATCCTATAACAATTGTCAGTTAAACATGTACTACTATATGTTCGATTTTTTGGCGCATACCGAAGGATCAGGAGAAACCTCCTCGTCAATATCTTTTCTTTTGGACATTTCTTTAGATGATTTCAAAAAAACACCAATTCCAAATATCTGATGGTGTTTGCGCGGGCAAGGTTTGCGGTGTTTGTCTTCCACTTAGGAATTTCCATCAATCCAAATTGATATATCAAAAAATCTATGTTACATTGGAGAACTTTTGAGTTTTTTGGTTCTTTAAATTATTTAAATATTAAATATTTCTCTCTTACGGTTGACAGATGTTTTTACCAAGGCAAGTAAATATTCGCAATAAACCAGCAAAAACTCATATATCGAAGCATACACCCACGGATAAGGAAAATGAAAACACAAGTAGTTCTACCTCAGCTTCTTTAAATAGCATTACAATACCGGGTCCTGAGGATGTGAACAATTTAAAGCCAGAGTTTGTTCGAGCAGTAGAATGTATGATTGAGATACTATTCTATAAAGAAAAAGAAAAAGAAAAATTTCATTTGAGTTACTTAATTAACAAACAAGAATTATGGCAAGGGTTGAGAATGTCGCCCACTCAAGCTAATCTAAAACAATGTGTTAAAACTATGAAAAATGAGCTTTTTACCTTCGATGAAGGTTCGCACTTCATTATAAAAAACGAGAATAAGTTTGATTTCAATTTGGATTTATTCGAACGAATAGTATATGTGGAACCATTTCCAGCAACTGTATCCAACAAGCCGTTTTTGCTCGCCGGGCTGTTACGAGAATGCTTTTCTGGGTTTCTTCCCTACCTTGATGTTATCCCTACTCCTGAAGGATATGCTTTTGTAGTCTTGGCTCAATCTATATCCCAGGAAACTCTGACATCTCTTGTTGTTCCTCAAGGTTGGAAGCTACTGTCGAGAGAGGAATGGACCAAAAGGGAAGAAATGTACATGGAATATCAAAACAACTCTTTGAAATACCCTAAAAGGACATATTTTACGGTGCCTAGCTTGCAGAAAAATCAAAATCAGGCAGTTTTATCCTCACCCACAAATCAAGAACATCATAAACACCCATTGGAAGCATTGGAGGATTCTAGTGAAGAATCAAAAAGTAAGATTCCGAAAAATGAAGGAGAATTTCCGCGAGGGCACCTAACAAGGCTTACTAACCTGCATCGATTAACAAATAAAAGCACCATTCAAAGCTTACTACATTATGTTTTCTCCCGTCAAGACCCCACAGCAATATGTGAACCAATGTACATTGACTATCGAAAGGACGAAACAGAAGCCATAGTGAGATGGAAATCATCTGAGCAAGCAAGCTTATGTGTAGATTGCTTCTCAAACCAGCGTAGGAAACAAGACGCTCATGATGATATTCGTGCACATCGGAAACATGATAAAACTGGCCCATTCATTTCCGCTGAATTAATTGAAGGATTTGAAGAAGAGTCCTACTGGAATCAAATTCAAAGAAAATTAAAAAAATAATTCTTTGACATATTCAGCCATTTCCCTCGTCACGTTCTTTTTTAAATTCCCGTATAGAATTTTACTAAAGCTTTAAAAAAAAGTATGAAAACTGTTGACTATCATCTTTTTACCCCTGTGATTCTACTACTGCAAGTATCGTAAATTAGCTGAGGCAAGACATTCTATCCGTTTCTGAACTTCGTGGCACTGCAATGACTACTTGTCACAAGGACAACAATAATATGATGAAGAATTTCATCCTTGCATTAATTTATAATGCAGCATATCTCATTCATTGATTCTGGGATCTTTTTCCATAACTTAAAGATTCGGTGTAGTAAATTTTGGATCTATACGACTAAGCATTATATTTATTTTATTTTTATTGTATTTTATTTTATTTGTAATTATTTTTTTACTAATAGATGGTTGAAACTAAGATAAAAAGGAGCCTCCATGTTCCATATGTTGTTTGTCATTTTTAGTGATTGCATACTACTAGAACCAATCTTTCTCTATGTCAACGCGAGCATTAAGAAAATTACAAAGACGCCAACAAGAAGTAACTTTTGAGTCGTCGGATTCTGAAAGTGATTCTGATAATGATGTTTCTCGTCCAAATCCTAGAAAAAACGTTTTAAATCCATTTGACATATTAAACGCACAGACCGGTAAAACTGATACTAATCTGGAATCAGACGCGAGTGAATCGGAAAATGAAGTAGAAAAAGAAAAAGATGCGAAAAATCATTATGCCAATGCAGAGCCCCAGAAAAAAGTGAAGAAGAAAAAACAACAAAAGAAAAAAAAATCTGAGTCGACGGCCAAAAATATAACGGAGCAGGAAAACCCAAAAGATGATAATACTGTCGATGAATTAAAAGAAATTGATGAAGCTGTCGCAGAATTAAAGCTTAAATATGGTGACGAAACTAAAAGAACCACAGAAAGAGCTCCTACGGCAACTGAAATTCCTAATGAAACTAAATTGAATAATGAATTAGCAAAATTATTGAGTGTTAACATAAGTTTTTTGAACCCGGACCTAGAAATTCGGAAAATTTTTGGACGAATTGTTGAGAAAAGGCCAGTAAATGCTGGACGTAGCAACGTCAGAAGAAGGAAATATGTCTTAGTACAGCCTCAAGAAGGATGGCCTGTCTTGGCCAGATCTGGCCTCAGTATGCGCTTAATCGAACAGACTCCAGACGGCCTATGCTTTTTTGAACTTACCCAGAGTCGAGCGTATCAGGAAGTCCAAGAAACGTTTGAGTTCTATGTTCAAATTTACGATCCGAATAACTTATTTATGCTTTTGCGCTCACATCCATTTCACATTGATACTTTGTTACAGGTAGCTGAAATTATAGATCAACAAGGCGATCACGAGTTGCCGGTTGACCTAATTGCACGAGCTTTGTTTGCTTTTGACAGTGCCTTACATCCGAAATTCAACTTGGCGACTGGCAATGCTCGTCTGCCATTTCTTTTTCCCACTAACAGAAGACTGTATCTTTGTATTTGGCGATACATGCAAAGCTTGCAAAGTCGTGGTTGTTGGCGAACAGTGTTTGAGTTTTGCAAAGTTCTTTTACAATTGGATCCTTCTGATCCTTACGCAATTGGAACCTGTATTGATACTTATGCCATCCGTCGGGGAGAGTTTGGTTGGGTAGTTTACTTTGCCAATTACCTCGAAAACACTAACCAAATAACCAAATTTCCAAATTTCTTTTATTCTTCGGCGTTAGCCATGTATAAGATGTATGGCGATACTGAGGAAACTCGCATTACTATCCTTGCAGCAATCGAGCGTGCTCCGTTTATGCTAGGTAAATTACTTGAATCAGTAAGGTTGCCTTTGAATCAACTTACTATTCCTGAGCCTAAAGATCCAGTGCAGGAATTGAACTCAGAGCTTTACGCTATGCGCGCTCACGACAATTGGGCATCTCCCGATGTTTTAACGTTCCTACAAACTATTTTGAAAACCGAGAAATTTACCTTAAATGCTGTTCAAGGACAATACTCTGATATAACGGAAAATCTAGCAAGACATCTTATTTTGCTAAACGAAAGAACCTTACAAAGATTTCTGCCTCAACGGATTCTACAGCGTACTATTGTATCGTTTGATCCTCTACCACCAGATAGTTATACGGATGAACCCCAAGTGTTTGGGCGTGATACTTCTCGTCGTCTCGCTAATTATCTTAGCAATACCTTGTTCAGGAATCAAGGCGAAAATGACGATGACACTAATAATGTACAAGAAGCTAATCAAGACCCTAATCATCCGGTTCATCAGGAATTAATGCGAAGATTAGAAGAAGATTTGGGCGATTCAAGTTCTCCCCAACGTCGAACGTTTATGTCCAACTTACGTTCTTTCATAGCTAATTTGTTTGTAGCAACTGATGAGGAAGCTGCCGAACAAAATAATGAAGAATCTGATGCTAGCGAGTTGCTGGAAGAATCGGATTATCATGATGCTATAGATGAGTAACTGGACGAACTATTAAAAAGCTCTGTGCAATATACATCAAAAGGTTACTTCTATATTTTGTAAATTTTTATGAATTTAAAAACCTTTAAAACTAAATGTTCAGTTTTTATGGTAATTTCGTTTAATAGCAAGTATACGAATATATTCAAAATCAACAAAAGTAAGGGTTAAACATGCTTATTGTTCGATAGGTAACTTATGGAGCATTATTTCCAGAATCACCGTTGTTCTGGTTGTTCCTAAAATTGCGTGCCAAATTTTGTAATTGGGGATTTCCGGCCAAGGAACTCAAATCAGGCATACCACCGCCATTTTGGAAATTACGAGCCATATTAGCAATGTTGGGATCACTCATCAAGTTGTTTAATGCTCCTGATTGCATCATGTTTTGAGCCATGTTCATAATAGCTTATAATCGGTTAGTTATTTTCCAGCAACATTTGAGCATTTCACTTACCAGGATTGCTCATTAAGGAGCCCAAATCAGGCATACCGCCAGAAAATAAAGAACTCAAATCAGGCATGCCTCCTGCTCCTGCGTCACGAGGCTGTTCAGCAGTAGAACCTCGAGCTTCAACGTCAGATGATGAGTTGACTTGATTCTTGGCAGCTTCCAAACCGCGTTTCAAAACATCATTACTAGGATCCAACTCTAATCCCTTTGCATACGCATCAGCAGCAGCAGCAGCATCGCCAAGAGAAAGCTTGGCACGACCAAGTCGACCATAGGCACGAGAATGTTTAGGATCAATGCTTAAAGAAGTCAAGGCATCCTCAACGGCAGATTCATATTGACCTAATTGACTATAGGCGGCAGCACGGTTAGAGTAATACACGGGAGAAGTAGGATCGAGCTCGATGGCTTTAGTATAAAGATCGACAGCACCTTGGTACTCTTTCTTGGCAATTGCTTCGTTACCTTGAGCTTTGAATTTTTCTGCCTCGTCTTTAAGATTTGAAGTATCAGAAGAAGTTGCTTCAAGGGGATGCTGCTTTTCGTAGGCATCATAAGCATCTATCAATCGCTTTCCTGATCCAGAAACAATCTCACTTGGATTAATCTTAAAAGAGTCTTTGATACATTGAACTACGCCGTTAGTATTCTAATTCTGCATTATTTATGTTATCCTACCAGCAACCTCTAAACTTTCTTTTTCCTCATCAGAAACTGCATTGGTAGTGGTGGCTTGATTTAAAAAATCAATAATAGCTGTCGCAACATTCTTTGGACTCATGGTTTTACTATTTTACTTAAAATACGCGGTCAATAAAGTGAGGTTACCTTCCCTGGTAGTTGGTAAAGGAGTAAAGAATTACGGCGTATTAGGAAAAGTTTAAGCTGTGTATTATAGCTTTTTTAAAATTATACACAAAAGAATATTTACAATTGTAAAAACATATATTGACTTCAACTAAACTTGCATTAATTATTTGTATCATTATTTAACAAATTATGCGTAAAACTCATTCCGAATTTGTTATTATGCTTCATCTCCCCAAGAATCGCTGTCCGGATTATAATTTAATAAAGAGAAAGGAATATCCAATTGTTCAAGAAAAGTTCCAATGTTGCATGGTTTTGAACGAAGATTATCTACCACGCTCGGAAGAACAGACTCTGGGATTTCCTGTAACATGGTAGTAAATTTTAAAGAAAATACAGGAAAGAGAACCTCAACAGCCAGTTGAGCCGATCGTCTCCACCTTTGAATTTTTTCAAGTAATCCCATCTCATCTTCTTGATTATTTTCCAAATCATTAGCTAATTCAACTACGGATATCTGATCCTGTAGAGTAGATATTTCTGACTGCAACTTATTGATTGTAAGGGACCCAGCAGCAACGTTATCATGGTGTAGTCTTCTTGGACTACTTGCATGTGTCGGTTTTGTCTCTTCATCAATCACATTAAAAGGTGCATCTTTTTTAAAAGGAGGTCGAAATGGCTTAAAAAGCGCCTGCTTGGTTCGATAATTAGAGTTCTTCGAAGCAAAAAGGTTGCTAACAGAAGGTTTCGTTCTCGTATTCAAAAATTTAGTGCTATCCCTTGGACTTTTTAGAAAGTTTGGGTACTTTAAGTTGGCTGGATTTCCAAACGACTTCTTTTCAAATTTGCTTGAACCACTCGATGTCGATGGTATTCGCATTCCAATCTCATTCGCTTTTCCACCAGTATTAGTATTAAATATGTTATTATTCTCTTTCCGATTACCCACCGTAGTACCTCTAGACAATTTCATTACTTCATTCGCACCTTTCTGAGGCGAGGTTTCATTCTGTTCGCAGACCAGAATCTTACGGGAGATGGAATCGGGAGAAGAAAACTGATTTGATTGAACAAAATCATGTGCTTCGAAATCTTGTTCAATTTTATCTAAAGCAGCAAAATCATCTTCCGAAAAACCAAAATTGGTTTCAGACTCAGAATCAGATTGAGCTATATTCAGTGGCTCACCACTACTAGGTAGGTCACTTGAGGAAGGGCCAGTAGTCATAGATTCGAAGGTGAGTCCGGGAACGGGTTCTTCCATTTCGTAATCAGAAGAGTTTGAATCCGGTTTTACGACGGCATCCGCATTAATATCCCAGGTATGGTCGTTCGTTTCGCTTTGGATCCCATTTCTCAAAGCTTCATTATCAGAATCCTCTTTTGAAGTTTCCTTACAATTATTTAACGGCACGACAACCGCATCAAACACACTCTTCGGATTACGTTTTTCACAAGGGGCATCAATCATCTCTATATAAACATCTCTCTCAGGATTCTTTCTCCAGCCTTTTGGTCGACCGCGCTTTCTTTTATGAGAACTATTTGAAGAATCGTCTTCAGCAACATAAGATAGCTTTTTTGGTCTTCCTGCTTTTCGCTTTTCCCTTTGGATTTTCTCAGGCTGAACCATGCAGTCATAACCTTTTGGGATATTCAAATTCCCTAGGTGACTTTCTAAATGGGACGCATTGGCTGCGAGTCTTTCATTTGGGAGGCAACCTTCACATCGATCGTTATCTCCATTTGCTGGTTCTTTTGGACAAACACGATTCCTTGAAATCCCTTTTATACGTCTTCCCGTCTCCTTAATTGATTCAGAACAAACATCCTGCAATGATGGCTCCTCATAACTATCAGACGCTGGTTTGTAACTCAATGGCTTCCTGCTACTGCTTTCGTCACATGTGCCATTCAAGAAATCAGATTCTTTTAAATTGTAATTTTCTCCGTTTACAGCATTTGCTTCTGACCCACGAAATTCATGAACCCTCATGAAGAACCGCTTCCTCTTGTAAAATAACAATCATCAAAACACGTCAAAAATAAAGAAACCTTTAATTAGTTTAAAATATACTTATTTTAATAGATATTTTCCATAACACCAAAAAGCCTGGACTGCCAAAAGATTGAGTTCGTGGAGGATATCTGAGCACTCCAAATTCCATACTACAAAAAAACCAACCACCTCCATATTCTCTATGTCGAAGCTATCGGCCATTCTGAAGGCAAGAAAGGGGCAATTGAAAAATAAAAAAGATGGTAAAATAAAGAAAACTTCTTCCAAGCCTACCAATTCCATAGGAACACAAAAAAAGTTAGATTCTAAAAAAGGTCTGCAAAATGAGGTGAAGGAGTTGTTGAACAAATCCAAAACTGAACCTCTCAGTTCTGAGGATGAAGATGTCACCATGGATGATTTTTTGAATGGTGATTTTGATGAATCTAGTTTGGACAAGTCAGCTACTTCAGGAAAAAACACCAAGCCATCTGAAGAACGTCGGGAGTCTGCAAAGGAGTCATCCCAGCCAAAAAAGAATATAAAACCAAAAACTGTTCAGGAAGAAGACGAAAGTAGTTCTTCTGATGAAGAAGAAGTAGACGCAGAGCAATATCGAGAGCAACTTGATTCGTTGAAGGAGAAAGATCCTGACTTTTACAATTATTTGAAAAAAAATGACAGTGATCTTTTAGAATTCAATGCAGATGAAGCAGCTCAAGAAGATGAGGCCGAGGCAGAGGAAGGCAAACGGTCTAGTGAAGGAAAAACAGAAATTACTATGGATATGCTGAATAAATGGCGGGATAATTTGAGTAGTCAAAAGTCCTTGACAACTTTACAAAAAGTTATTCAAGCTTTTAAAGCCGCTGCTTATTTGAATGAGGAGGAAGGAATGAATCTTAAGTATACGATAACAGATTCTAGGGTATTCAATGACTTATTATTGTTAGCTATTCAATCTGTTCCTCAGGTGTTAAATCATCATATTCCTCTGCAAACAGAAAAAAATGGCAGAAAGGTTGTGAATACCGACAATAAGGTTTTGTCTCGTCTCAGTCCTATATTGAAGTCTTATGGTTTCTCTGTCTTGCGATTATTGGAAGGGATGACTGATGCTAAAAACATTTCCCTACTACTTCGCGAAACTCAAAATGTGCTTCCCTATATGATTACTTATCGAAAATTTTTGAAACAGTTTGTTGAAGCTGTCGTTGAAGTCTGGAGCACCAACCGCGATGATTCTGTTAGAGTTTCATGTGTTTTTGTTTTGCGAAGTGTTTGCCTGACAGCCGATTTAACTTTGTTAGAGTTTGCTTTTAAGCATATGTATTTAACTATGATTCGTATCAGCTCTTATACGACTGTTCACACTCTAGCAGCTATTAATTTTATGAAAAATAGTTGCGCGGATATATTTTTGTTGAATCCAGAAAGTTGTTATTTAATTGCATTTCGATATATTCGACAACTTGCTATTACCCTCAGAAATACAATTCACCAGCCAAAGCCAGAGACTCGGAAGCTTGTACAAAGTTGGTCATATGTACATGCTATTGACTTTTGGTCCCGTTTACTAAGTCGAGCCACCTGGTTGAGCCGTGAGAAGGGATTGGCTGTCGAAATGCAATCTTTGGTATACCCCTTAGTACAAATTGCATTGGGAGTAATTACAACTTCTCCTTCATCTCAAATGTACCCTATGCGATTCCATCTTTCACGAAGTCTTATTTATCTTTCTAGACATACAGGTGTTTTTATTCCAATGGCTCCAGTCTTATTTGATGTCTTGGATTCCCCTGAACTTTCGAGAAAACCTAAGCCCAGTACATTGAAGCCTTTGGATTGGGAAGTAGAGATTCGTGCACCAACTGCTTACTTGAGAACTCGCGTTTATCAAGATGGCATAACTAATCAGCTACTGGAGTTGTTAGGGGAGTATTATGTGTTGTATGCTACAAACGTTGCTTTTCCCGAATTTGTTATACCCGCAATTGTTCGTGCTAAGCGCTTTGCAAAGAGAAGTAAGAATGTCAAGCTTAATCGTTCTCTTTTGACCTTGGTTCAGAAACTTGAACAGCAAAGTGAGTTTGTCTTAAGTCATCGCGCTCAACAAAAAATTAGCCCTGCTAACCTCGATTCACTTGATGCCTTTTTAGCAAACGAGGAATGGGAAAAGACATCATTAGGTATGTATGTAGTCGCGCAACGTGAAATCCGTGAAGAGCAGCGCAGACTTTTGCGTGAAGCAGTTTTGGAAGACCAAAATCATAAGGAAAATATGCGTTTAAAAAAGAAAGAAGCATTGAAAAATGGTGATGACGACCTTAGTTCCGAAGGTGACGAGGAGGTTGATTAATCTTTAGGAAAAAGTGGAGTGTCTGAAAAATGGAAAATATGTATGGTATTTGGGTTTTTATATAGGTTTTCATTCAATAAAATTAGACTGTAAGGTTGTTTATAAAAGATTTATAAGTTAGGAAATCAATCAGTTCTGTTGATTTATGAGATAAATGCGGCTAATAACAAATATATATCTTCTCTATGTGTGTTATTGTTATAAATCATCTGTCTACGGCCACACCTAGGCGAAAACACCAGTTCCCGTCCGATCACTGCAGTTAAGCGTCTGAGGGCCTCGTTAGTACTATGGTTGGAGACAACATGGGAATCCGGGGTGCTGTAGGCTTTTTGTTTTTGTCTCATACAAATGCTTTTTTTGACTTGGGTTATGTAAGTTCATGCATGGAATCACTTCTTGATCGATGTTCCTTAAGAAGTAACAGGAAGCAAGAAGACAGATGACGGGAACTAGTTCTGATAATAACACAGTTGTGGTTTTCCATTTGTTTGTTGGTTCTATCAGTTAAGTCAGTACTTCGTCTATTGACTGTATTATGGTAATGAAGATAGGCGAATTCATTTAGTTCCGTGAACTTCAAGTTTCTAATCATTGAGGATAATAGCTCATATAAGATATGGAACCTATAACACAAGTAAACACTACTGAAGTGCTTAAGATAATATATAGAAATGTTAATGCAACCAAGGTTTTATTAATAGATAGCAAGGTTTATACTACGTGGAAAGGCATAGCAAGGTAATAATTAAGAGGCGACTCATTCCGTGTATCATCATATAATGTTCAAAGAGTACGAAAAACTCACAAAGTTATGAGTCTGCATAAGGACAAACCCCGTACTGACTATTGCTAATTTTACCAATCTTAGCCATAGTGTAACAGTTCTAGCGATTTGCGTTGGCTGTTTCCTACCTTTGAAATACACTAAAAGCAAGTACCTAATCCAAATGAAAGCTATAAGTAGAGGTTACCTGCGCGCAAAATTATCGCTTCAAATGTCTTTTTATATATGTAGTAAAGTTCTTCGAACTTCAAAAGATCAGTACAGTAGTAGGTTTATATATACTAAATTCGAAAATCACGAAGCAAACTGAGTATATTCCGAATATAGCAATCAACTGCTGCAATTCTATTTCAAACTACAACGTGATGCTTCAATCCGCCCAAATAGTAAGAAAATTATATCGTTTTACGCAATACAAATCGTAATACAAGCACAATCGGCGATCTGTCGTTTATTTACCATTTCGCAAACAATAAAAAAATGTTTTTTAACCTGATATTCGTATTCATATTTAATCTTCATTTCATGTCATAACATTATTCTGTAATAATCATTTCGAAGCAGGAGACTATATTGTCGAATCTTCTTCCAGCAATATGAACCTGATTTGTAGCACAATAGGATATTTCATGATGAAATACTTAAGCGGTTAACATAATCCATATATAATATTTTACACTTTATGCAGTTGCTATCTTTAAACGATCATACTGACTTTTCTGTATCATGTAAATAAGATGAGGTCCTTAAACACAACTGCATTTCTAACTCGTAAAAAATATAGAAAGATAAATTCCGATAATAATAGAAACGCTTCTCTTCTATTCCCTTATTACGCATCCGTTTCCTGTGGGGAATGTTAATTCATCCAAGTTCTTTGATACTGCGGGCATAAACATCGCAAACATATTTATTATACAGCAATCGGCTTAACAAAAAGATGGAACCTCAAATGAAGAAGGAATCAATTCATAAACCGATATGGAAAGAAAATGGGAGCCAAACAGGTCCAAGCGTACATTAAATGGCATATCCATGACGTTAATATCTTAACCCAGACAGCTGCATAAGAGAATCCAATACGTACAAAAACATCATTCTTCTTATCCTCATACAGATCCATCGTGTTCCAATTAGTGAGAAGCGAACCTGTGTAACAAGCAGCCAGGATAAAAATAACATGGAACCAAATATAGTTATAGTTACTCTTGAAGTTTGACAGGTCGTTGTCATCTTCAAACTGGGTTTCTAAGCTTCTTTCACGCGAAAAGTTATTAGAGTCACCGTAAAAAAAATCGTAATCTTCATTTTTATCCGATCCGGAAACGGCTCTCAAGGCACTATAAACGATGGTTAAAAAGGTAAAAGCAGCCCCAATTACTTTGCTAAACTCTCGAGTTCCAGTAGCGGATCCACTCCAAGGATTACATTTTCCCTCATCTGGTCTATTCGCTAATGCGGAAAGAATAAGGTAGCTGGTATAGCATGTAACCATAGATGCTTGTGCAAGACCTGATCGAGGATTGTATTCTTGGACAGTAGGATGCACCGAAAGACAGCTAACAGCAATACACAACAAAAAGTTGATTGTATTAATAGCCTGGTTAAAGGAGCATGAAGAAGCGCAGAAATAAACATAAGCAAGAATTGTAAGTAGCAAAGCAATTATATACATGCCAACAGTAGAACCAATTAAGGAAAATTTTGAGGAAGTAGAGTCAGTGACTAAGACCCGTTCGACGCATTTTTCAGCCCATGTGTGTGCAAAATCGACAAGAAGCAATAAACCATAAACAATGAAAAAGGCAGAGCCGATTACGGATAAAACATTCCCCCAAAATGACATGAAAGAAGTAGGGATAAAAAAAGAAGCTACAATAAGGAGAATCCACAAAATAATTTTAAAAGGCCACATACTATTTTGAATTTTTGTGGCAACTGCAGATCGAGAATTAGATAGACTTAAAATAAAGGCGAACAGGCAATGAAACATGACAAGGGCAAAAGATAAACGATGAACCGCAAGTACACTGTAGCATTTTCCATCATCTTGACAACCAAACTCTAAGTACCCAGCGGATAGCTTTGACAGTTTGTTATTAAACCAGGAACTTAGCATGCACCAAGACAACAGCGAATTCAGTAGATACAAAACTGCATAGCTAATAATGGCACCAACAGAGCTTTGAATGTAATTTGTAAGACTTAGCAATGAAGTGAAAACAAAACTACTGCCAATGCCAACAACATTTGTTAAAGAGCCGGCTATGACAGAAGGAATGGAGAGCGCAAGACCCATGAGAAATCGATAGGATTATTATCAAAAACAAAATAAAAAATGGAAAATGGAAAATGGAAAATACGATCGAAACCAAATTAGGAAAAGTGATATGATATGCTTTTGAACGTTTCTTCCTTGATGTTTGAGTCTATCTCACTTGAAGATCCCGAAAAATTCAAAAAAAATGTTAGTATTAAAGTTCTAGTATGCAATAAGTTAGTAAAGTACACTCAATGGTTCGTTCATTTCACACATACATATTCACTATTGATACAGTCAGTCCTTAGTGTATGTGGAGGTACTCCAAAGTAAACCATCGTATTATAGAGGATCGTGAGTAGTATTTTATGAGCCTAGTATAAAGAATGGTGATACAATGAGAAATAGAAAAAGAACTAAAGAACTTTTTCTTTCATCCTCTGTACTATAATTTCTTCTTTTCGTATATTGTAAAGCCGTATATGAAAAATCCTAGTGAAGCGCAAACACAAGAGACATGGACCGTGGTAGTTGACATTTGACTCATAGGAAAATCCTCAAGTTTCATGATTCATCGAGAACTTATTCTGATTGCTCCAAAATCAATTCAAATGCTTTCCATCTTCACAATTTTATCACAAAATAGGATAGTATTAGACGATAAAAAGTGAATTAAGCGGACGTTCAGCTAGGATGATAGGAAGAAAGCAATTGAAGTAATTGAAATTCCGTGTCCATAAAACTTTAAGAAAAATCAACTTGCATCCATTGTTTATGTTGAAGACTTCCTGTACTTCAATGATCGTATTACTGTTAAGCCCTTATATGATATTGTAGTATGTTTCATGGAAGATGATTTGAGTATCCATTTTTAATCACCTTGCTAGTTGTTCTTGACTATAGTCGAAGAGAAGGTCAAATTGAAAGAAAAAAAAGATTCTAAGTAAAATTAAACTCCTTTCATTTCATGTAATCCATCTGACTTAAGTTATATGGTATTTACGAACGCTTCTTTTCTAAATAAGTCGCATTGGTTTACGTAAGTCTCTTACAACTCTGTCATGTAGTACGCTTAGCATACAATAGGAAGTATAAGCAAAAGCACTTGATTTCTATCCTCGTTTAGGCCTTGCCGAGTTCTGGCGCTGTATTCGATTGTCTTCTCCATCGGCCGCTAACTTTATGTTTGTTCGGCTCATTCGGTTCTAAAATAAAAAAGCGGCCGACTTTTTTTTTTGCCTTACAACTTAACCCTTCCAGATCGAACATAACTTCTTAATATAGTCTTATGCCAAGAAGGGAAAACTAGTTTCATTCTATCCCAAGGGAAGTCTTGTTATTAGGTAACTCTGTTCATTCTTCATTGATGCACTGGAAAAGTTAATAAAGGATTAGTTGATGAGGGATAAAGCTCTACATAACGTTTCAACTTCTTTCTATTATATTCACTTGTTTTTCTATTAACTGTCGTTTATTTTGTTGCTTGCGCTTTCTATTTTTTTGGGGGGGTATTGCTTACTATCTTTACTTCATTCATTGTAGTCTTTTATTTGCATTCATTGTTTCTTTCCTTTCTTTTCTTTTTTATTATTCTCTTTTGGTTTGCCTGTCTGTTTGGTTTATTTTCCTTTGGTTTGGCTTTTGCAGTGAATTTCGATTTTAGGCTGCGTCTGTAATTTCGTTTCTTTTATTTTTCTTTCTATCTTTATTTTATGAATGGAAGTTCTTTTGTTTTTCGGTCTTGGCAATTATGAATCTTAAAGTCTTAAATCGAGCGCTTGATCACCCTACATACGATTCGGAGGAGGAGGAACATCATGCTGAATTATCAAACTATATTCCTTCTTCACAATTAGTCTTACGTGAAGAAGACTTTTGTAGTGTTTGGAAGAGTTCTAATTGTCATGAGTCTACTCCTTCTCTTTCTAGGGGAGACCTGACTCGTCAACTATTGCGAGATACGATGATCCCAGTTCCTTCAAAGTTTAGTAAGTATCATAAGGGACTTCTTAGCAAAAATTCGAATAAAAATCTCCTTCGCGCTGACCTAAATTCGATGTTATCGCTGTCTTCTCAACCATTACACAATGATGATGAATTCGCATTTCCTTTCGGTTTTCAACATTTAGCAAGTAATTCTGCTTCTACTTCAACAAACAACTATCGAAAACACCTTGCTTTGGATAATCCTTGCAATTTTAACTCTCGTGCTCGTGGTTTGACGAACCGTAAATTAGATTCTGAGATTAATCGGACATCTAGTAAGTCATCAAATTATTTTCTTAATTTTGTGACTTCCAAAGCTATAAAAGGTGCTCATAATTGTTTAGGTATAAATTTTGCACAACCTGGAAACTTTTACTAATCTCATTGATAGTGTTCGAAGCCGCTGACAACGATCATCCGCTTGCTACAGCGTTGGAATCAAATCATCGAGTTCTTCCTGTTCCTTCTTATCCTTCCTCTTTTCCTTCGGGTCCTTCAAACTCCTGCGGAAAGAGTACTTGTACGTCTCGCAACACAAAACCCTTACGCAAGAGGTCTTTGTTGTCCGATTTATCAATTGTCAGTGTTAAGTTTAGGGAAAAAATTTCTTTTTTTACTTCTAGTATCTTTGGTATTATGTATCCAAAGCACATTTCTAAGGAACAGGTCGCAAACTCAACCGTTGCGAGTCCAAATGGTAGGACAGAGCTGGATAAAGACAACATGTGTATGGAGAATTGTATTTTGCATACCTTTTCTTCATCCGATACACCCTTAATTCCATGGCATGAAGTTCTTGCACGTAGAGAGGTTCGTCGTCCACGTTTAAATTCGGACTTTTTTCGGGTCTACGTGCTGGAAAGACAAATGCGTAAAGCTGGAAAGCTGTCTTCAAATTCCGCTGGTCGAGCCCAATTTATATCTCATCCCAAGCCCAATATGATAAATATGTTTTCAAGTCCTTTACAGATTCAGCTATGAGTTCCTTTTCTTTCCTATATTCTATTCCGTTTAATCTGGGCCGTGCTCGACGCCTCAGCAGTACTGTATCAATAATCTGGTTTTGGTTGTTTGATTTATCTTTATTCCATTCTTTTGTTTTGTTTTATTTCGGATTTCGTTTTGGCGTTTCCTTCTTCGTTATACTTTAGGAGCTCTCACTTTTGATATTTACTCTTGCAAGAGCTCCCTTTGTTTACTTCTGTTCTGTGTTTTTTGTTACAAATTTCCTATGTTGATTTATCTATTTACGACTTAAATTCCTTGGTTTCGATACGTATCATGTTATAACAATTTTCTAATACTTAAATTCTTTATATTCGCTGAGCCTCTCTTACAATGTACATGTGTAAATGCTGGTCTGGATTGGCTTTATTATGGCTAGTAGTAAATTATATTGTAGGAGTGAATCGAGGACCATTCCAAAGCATAAACTAAACTATATAATGTTTCTCCACCCGCATACGGTACATATTTTTATTCACTGATCAAGCTAGGAACTCATCTCATATCTGTTAAGCAAACGTATTGAAATTGCAGATATCTTAAAGCGATGCAACGTTTGGCATTACGAACGACTTCTGAAAAGATTTACTTTGTTTATTCGATAAATTCAAAATAAATTTTGATTTATAATTTCATTAATGATTTTATTCTTTGTAATTTGTACTTCGAGCAATTTTAGACCTCCGTATTTGAGGGCTGCCCTCTACGACTGTAGTGCAACGTTCATACTTTCTAATGCTAAGGATACCTTTAGTCTTGGTATGATATAATATTTTTGTGTGTACTTTCGTCTTTCTGGAAAAGAAAATAGCATAGGAATTTTTGGAATTGTACAGAATTGAGTGCGATAATATGGATATGGAAAACTGCGAAGATAATATCGTAGAGGAGCCATACTTAAACGAAGATGATAGAAATTATACCTGGAAAACCTTTCGTGAACAGGTAGAAAGCCATTTTCAAAGGATTGAAAGTCTGCACCAGATACTTGGAACTGATGGAGACAATTCATCCTTGTTCGAATTGTTCACGACAGCTATGAACGCCCAGCTTCACGAAATGGAACAATGTAAAAAAAATCTAGAAAGTGATTGTCGTCAAAAAATAGATACAATCCGCTTTTTGGCATCTTCCCTCAAGTTGGATGACCCAGAAGCGAATCTTCACATAAACACTCCTTTAATTCAATGTCTAGACGAGCTAACTCATATCGAAAGCCAGTATTTGACCCAATACGATAAGAAACTGGCTAATATCAAAGGTTTGACTCAAATTCAATTCACCTTTAACTAACAGTATAGTTCTATATCAACAGCTAGACCAAACGTGTAAACAATTGGGAACGACTTTCGTTATCCCCGATTTTGAGAATTCTTTTTTGTCTGATGTCTCAGATGCGCTTTTGGATTCTTTAAGACTGCGTAATGAAGAAGCACAAAAGGAATTAGGATCTCGGCTTGAACTCGTAAACAATTTGGAGTCTGAAATTATACAGCTATGGATGGAAACCGGAATAGAAGTAGCAGATGAGCCCTCGTTTCAAGAATTAAAAAACACACACATTAATCGGCCTCCCCAGTTTTGCGTTCCTCAGATACTAATTACTAAATTATACGAGCAAAAGGATATGTTACTAAACACCAAAGAAAATTATGTAATGCAGATAAATTCTTATCGTAATGAAGTTCATGATCTGTGGCAGAAGCTCAATATAAATGCCGCTGACTTCGCTCACCTAGACCAATCTTCTGGGGTTTATCGAGACGACCTGATAAAATGGGAGAGAGAACTACATCAATTACGGGAACTAAAAAAGCAGCATATACCTTTGTTTATAGAAGACGCTCGAGGAAAAATAAGAAAAGCATGGGATGTTTTGTTTTATCCTGATGAGCAACGTCGTTCGTTTTCCCCTGCTTTTGAAGACAATTTGACTGAAGAATCACTTGCCGCTCATGAACAATATCTGCAGTCGCTTGAAAATGAAGCAAGAGAAAACAAGCATTTTCTGAATCTTATAGCTAAATATTCTTCTTTATTGGAAGGTAAACGTGAATTAGATGCAAGTGCTAATGATTCCTCTCGTCTCATGCAGAGAGGCCGTAGAGAACCCGGTTTGTTGTTACGCGAAGAAAAAATTCGAAAGCGTTTGTCGAGGGATTTGCCTAAAGTGCAAGCATTACTTATACCAGAACTTACTTCTTGGGAAGAAAAAAAACAGAGGCTATTTATGTTTGAAGGTGAGCATCTTTTAGAAAAGCTCAAGGAGCCATCTCAAACTAAAACGACTGCTCGAGCGAATGGTACTTATAATCCCAAAGCTCCTACAACCCCTAGTCAAACTGCAAACAAGTCACCTCAAAAGGGAAGGATTGCTACTTTATCTACTCCTACTTCCAGGAACAACCATCGTCCAGTTGCTAGTCCCAAAACACCGCTATCTAGGCAGAAACCAAATGAATTTGGCACGGCTCGATCTGTGAGTGCTGATGAACCGCAAACCAGTGCATTCAGCAAGCGAAGATTACCCACTACCGGGCGGTTAGACTTGAACAATAAGTTTTCCGGAGCCCGGTCACAGAGTGCTAAGCATGAAAATAGTAAAACAACACCATCACCCGATTTTGGAAATACCCCTCTTTTTGGAAGAAGCAATACAAAAAATACACCAACACCCCAAACGACTACTCATGATCGCCATCCACAATTTTCGTTGCAAGCTCGCTCTCAAGTTACTCCTCAGTCTTTACCAACAGTAGTGCCAAAACCTTCATCTAACAGCCCGTCGAAGCCAACAATTAAAAATGATCACATGGTTAAAGATGTTTCAGAAAAGTTTAGAAAGACACGACTCGAAGAAAATGATATTGATGAGACCCTAGAAGAAGACGCAGAAAACGTTCCTTTTTCTCCGATGAAAATATCTCCTATAAAATCGGTGCAAACAACTCCACAAACTACAAATAAGTTAGGGCCTGTCATGCCAATGGAAAATCTCGCCAACTGTACACCCATGGAAGATGAATGGGGCGAAGAAGGGTATTAGAGATTTTTATTATTGACATTGTATTATATGCATTCTTTTTGACGAAATTCATTAAATCTAAATTATTTAACATTGATAATCTATAAAGCAAGTAGGTACCGAGATCTTACTACATAAGTACAGACAACGAAAGAAAGAGTGTATATGGTACACAAACGTAAATGACAGCTTATCCTTTAACGGTACAAATTCACTTAAATTATAGCTGGAAAGGATAGCAACGAAAAGAAATGAAGAGTAACAGTACACCAGCCGGTGTAATTAACGCAACTAGCAGTTACAATTAGAATTATTAGGAGGTTTAGAAAGGATAAGAGGTTCTGAAAAATCATTAACAAAATCATCATGAATGGTCTCGTTTTCTAGAGCATGTCGACTGACTTGTTCAAAAAGCGCCGCAACATTGCTGTTTTCTTTTGCACTGGTTTCAAAATGAGGTAACGGACTTTCTCGTTTAGACTTGCAATAAGCTAAAGCTCGATTTAATGAAACAGCTCGTTTAGAAGGATCCTTGTCTATCTGATTACCCACAACTATAATTGGGAAGGTGGATTCGTCTTGAGATGTCTGTAGAAGGAACTCTTGTTTCCAATTCTCCACTGATTCAAAAGTTTTTGCATTATTCACATTATACACTATTACACAACAGTCTGCGCCACGGTAAAAAGCCATGCCTAAGCTCTGAAACCGCTCCTGACCTGCGGTATCCCATAACTAAATTTGTCAGCGTCGATCAAGGAAAGTGTGCAACGGTCTCACATACCTGAAGGGTGACGGTTTTTCCATCTATAATCACGTCTTTTGTCAAAAAATCAGCACCAATTGTAGCCTTATACTCACGGCTAAATTTTTGGTTTACAAACTGTATTTTCTGGTCAGTTATTTGAAACCTGAAGGGACTGAAACCAGAGGGGAAATCATTGCATATGCTGAAGGTTCTTGCGAAAATATAAAAGTTGGTATTATTTATTTTCTAGTGCACTTGTCCATAAACGTAAATAATCCAGTACGCATCACGCAAGGTGGTAATGCAACCCCAAATCCTTGATAGAGCACTTCCTCATACATTCATGTTTCTATGTACTTAATGATATTTTTTATAGACAATTTACTTCCAAGAATGTTTCAAAGAATGCTTCTATCTCAGTGATAAGCTTTCGCTTCTTTCAGTATTGATTCCTCTGTTCTAAATTCCCAATGACTTCAACGTACCTGATTCATGAGACATGTCTTACCAACACCGCTATCTCCAAGTATAACAACTTTGACAAATAACCGCTTTTGAGACGACATGGATGGATATAAGTCAAGAAGAGAATTAACTTTGAGTATGGAAACACAATCTACCCTATGATGATATCCTTGAAATGCGCTATCTCCACTTAAGCCACTATTCTGCAGAAGGGTAGTAAACAAATCGTAGATTTAGGGTAAAGACGAGTGAAATTCAGGCTTATTTGGAGAAGAAACAATCAGTGAAGAGATTTTTTGTAAGCATCTATTCTGTAAACGGTAGCATCCCGACCGAGTATACGAATTGTATCTGCTAAATTAGCACCTGGAATTGACCCGCATAGGATTTGACGAATCAATGATTGCAGCTTTCCCAATGGAAGATTAAAAGTGATGGCAATATCTTTAAGAAGTTCATGAAGACTTGAAGACTTCCAGGAACAAGTCTGCAGACCATGAAGAAGACGGGATAATACCATAGGCACGTTTGTTGATGAAGGCAATTTATGATGTATCGTATTCTGAAAAGGGTCTTCAAAGAAATAAGCACTAAGGTCTATAAATTCTGGAAGAGTTCGTATACGATTTTGTAACAAAAGCAAACATTGGCGAACATAATCTGAGTCGGAGATTCGAGCTAAGGAATTGGTATATTTTTCTCTCAAGACTTTCTGCATTTCAACTGTAATCTGATCAAGCTGTACAGGATCATTGATCCTTTCCCGAAGATAATGTTTGTTTAAGAACTGTAATTTCTCCAACGCTACTATACAAGAACCTTTTGTCAATCTATCAATGGAAAATATCTCCATGAGCTGCGGTAGGTGGATAATGTCGCTTGTTTGTCTAGACGACCATCCCATGAGTGCTAGAAAATTTAGAATTGCCATGGGCTCGTATCCTCTTTCAAGTAAGCTGGTTACATGGGCATCATTTTGACGTTTACTTAACTTGGACCCATCTGGATTCGTCAGTAAGGGGATATGAGAATACGTGGGAGGCTGCCATTGAAATGCCTTGTAAAGCTGTATGTGTTTTGGCGTCGACGGAATCCATTCTTCTCCTCGTATTACATGAGTGATACCCATTAAATGATCATCGACCACGTTAGCAAAGTGATAAGTTGGATAGCCATCCGACTTCAAAATCACAAAGTCATCGCTAAGTACTTTCGGCGTATTACTCTTGATTGTAATTTTTCCATATACCGTATCAACAAAACTCGTTGCTCCCTCCTGCGAGCAAAATCGGACGACGTATGGCTTTTTCCCTGTTTCGGGAGACGCCGCTGAGCATTCGTCGTAGTATTTATATGCTTTTCCAGAAGCTAGTAGCTGGGAGATGTATTCCAAGTAAATGGGTAATCGTTTGGACTGTTGGTAAGGACCAAAGGGGCCTCCCGAGACTGGGCCTTCATCCCATTGAAGTCCGAAAGTTTGTAACAGATCGTAAATGGATTGCTCTGAGCCATGGACTATCCTTTTTTGGTCGGTATCTTCTAAACGCACAATAAATTTCCCATTACATTTCTTAGCCCATAAGTAATTGAATAAAGCTGTCCTTAAAGATCCGAGGTGCAAAAATCCAGTTGGTGACGGAGCAAATCTTGTTCTTACAACCGTACTATTCGATCGTATAGAATTTTGACTCCTTAAGAGATTTCTAATATTTGCAAATGCATAACGCGACCTAGTATAACAAGAAAGCATTCAAAAATTCTACTTTAAATAACGGGTGATGCGTGCAACTCTATCTTATTCCAGGTGAATGGTATATAAAGTAAAGTTTAGCAAATGAAATAAATCCACGTTTTAAAAAGTTCAGATATATATTATGGAGTGCTAGAAAATTAGCGATATACTCAAGTCAAGGTCTTCACACCGTTGAACCAGTACTTGTATCATCGATGGACGCTTTGAGTCGAAAGTGTTTAGACATATGTGAGACCTAGAGGCCTATCAATCAAAATGAATGGAAACATAAATGACTTACATAGTATGGGTGTTTTAATTGTTCCAACCTAATTAGCTACATACTATTCTACCATTAATTAGACATAAGATACATACACTGACAAGCGTGATCGTTCGTAAAATAGGAATCAAAATTTAAAATTAATATTGCTGCTTCTATAAGATACAACTTTAAAATATAGTTCCCGGAGTTCGTACAAAGTCATTGTTTTAAGAGAAATGACGGCGCATGTAATTGTTCCAGAAAACGCGGTTCGGATCCATTAGATTTCTAAGGTTCAACCATTTTGAGATATTAGGGTGCAATTCTAAAAGCTGCTTCTTATTCAAGTTGAATTCCTTGGCCCAATGAGGTTTACCATTGTATTCACACATAATTTCTTCAAAAGCATTAAAATAGGATTCATACTTAACATTGCGATGATAAGGACGGTACATAATGCATTCTATAAAGCAAGTAGGAACTTTAGAAGCAGTAGAAAGCCAGCACTCATCTTCGGGAGTAGGAGCAGCTACTCGAACTTCCAAGGGCTGGTGAGTGTAAATATTCTGTTCAAGGGCGGGTCCAATTGTATAATTGATAACTTTTTCCAAAGCGTCCGAAGCTGTGTCTAAAGGAACAGAATACTCAGTGACGTGCTGCGAGAAGAAACAAAACATTTGCATAATATCGAATCCGGGTCCAACAATAGTGGAAAGACGACCAGTCCTCCATCCATAGAAAAAGTGATAAGCAAGGCGTTGTATAGTAGGCATAAAGCGTGGAAATAAATTACCAATATAAAGTAAATTTTCGTAAATAAAGGAGGTGAATTTTAGTTGGAAACTAGACGGTCTGGAAGTATGAGGAACGCTACCGGGGATAACTTTGTTTGCACTCCAGACCACAGCACGGTTGGCATATGGAAAGACGTGAACCCGTACAAATTCCGCAGCTTGCCAAATTTCATTTGCCTTCCACTTTTCAAACAATGTTGATATGGGTATACTGGATTCGGTAGCAATTAAGTCGAAAGCGGGTACCACGCGTAAAGTTAAATCAATCACGACACCTAAGGCACCAAGACTGACTTGAGCCGCTGAAAAGACGTCTTTTTGACGTGTACGGGAGCATGTAACGATTGATCCGTCTGCTAACATCAAACGAAGAGATTCGATATAACCAGGAAGGACCTGATGCTGAAGACTAGAGCCATGAGTGCAAGTAGACATGATACCGGCAACAGAAGTACCAGAAATACTACCTACAATAGGTAATGAATAGCCTAGTTTTTCAAGGACTCTCTGTAATTGATCGTAGCGAGTACCAGCTTGAACTGTGACAGTTTGGCTTTCAGGATCGAATGAAACCATTTTGTTCATTTTATCCAAAGAAATGAGATATCCAGTACTACAAACGATATCAGATGGCGAATGACCTGCACCAACAACACGTACATGTTTACGTTTTGTGTTGGCTTCGACTAGGATATCCCGTAGTTGATCTTCGTTTTTAGGGGTATAAAATCCAACAGAAATATTTGTGAACGTTTTTGCCCAGTTGTAAAAACGAACACGTCCGTCAGTAGAAAGCTTATTCACGTTTGGTTGAGTCATTTGTGAAAAATTGGTAGTCAATCGATTCTTTAGTAAAGATTTAGTTTGATACCAAAACAAAAAAGAAACTATGTCTAAAAGAAAAGGGAAAGATTCCTGTAAATATAATGAAAACGAGCCCAGTAAATGTGTGTTTTAAATATTATGCATCCGAAGAGGCAAATAGATGATTTTTTCAAAGAAACAAAAAAAAAATAAAGAATACAAAAGCAATAAAACCACAGTCCACTAAAAGGAGGTCACTTTTTAATGATGCCTTTTTACTAGATTATAATAAAAAGTAGATTCTCCCAGTAAGAAATGCAAAAGCGTGTATGTTTAAAGAAAAAAGATATTAATTAAAAATTTAAAAATGCGACGAAAAGAATTGAAAATTGAAAATTTTCGTTTTCTTCAGCTCAGCATTCGTAATGGTAGTGGCAGAATGTTTGTGAGGTACTCTTCTTCATGAACTCTGACGCTCTGTAATTTGAAAGGAGGTAACAAAGACTCAGGTCACCAACTATGTAAACAAAAGCTATGAAAAATAGCAAAGTAAAAATAATAAAACCTAATAAAGATGGATAAAGAATATAGATTGATCGTTTGTTATTTTTTAAAAGTTCAATGGCTACTAAAATTATATTAACATATACCACAGACGATTGCTATGCGAAACGATTTTATTGTAAAAAGCTATTTGAATAAGATACGTTTCAGAATCGACACAAATTAAAAGAAAAGGAAAATTAAAAAATAGAAAGAATAATAATTAAGGAAAGAAAGAAATATTCTAACAAGGCCAAAACTGGCTGGAATCCATTGTCAAAGGTCCTCAAAACCAATGCTACTACTACTAGCATTAAGGACGAAGCTAGTTCACACGTCAAAAAGACGAATCTTCACCAAAAGCATAGCTTACGACTGTTCAACGTTCATTTATCTAGTAATATTAATTCAAAAGAATCAACCGAGTTGAAATTTAGATATGGACTCTTCAAAGATGGATCAAATACGACAAGGCCTTTTGTCAATAAAATGGGGACAATCACCAGGAATGACTCCGCCGAGTACACCATTTGAAAAGAAAGATGGGATGAAGCAAGACAAAAAAGCGTCGGATCTTGTACATGTATGTTGATGATGATGAGAAAGAAGAATTTTTACCTTCTTCCATCGTGTTCGCATTTTCGTGAACCATACAAACAGGTATTAACCCGTGAGATTAGATGACAAAAGGAAGGGCACATCCACGCTCTCGAAGACCCCCAAAACAAGTTTCACAAACATCGGAAACAAAGTCTGCCACAAGTGTGTTGAATGACAAGGATCATTCAATTGAGAAGCAACGAGAAGTCACTCTTACAAGTAAATTTAATGGAAAAGAAAAAGAAGAGCAAGTTGAAATACGTAAGGAGGAAATTGTGATCAAGCCGACCCAGCAACCCAAGAGTGCATCAGGCTCTGTGCTAGAGCCTGCATTAGTAGCTGATAAAGATTCGGTTCAAGAGAAAGATCGCGTATACAAATCTGAAGATTCCTTGGACAAGGAGGAGAAACAAGAAAACTCGGAAGAAGCAAAAGAAAAAGAGACACTCGAAAGTATAAAAGGAAGTGTTTCGAAAAATAAAAACCGTTTTGAACAAATTGATACTTCAGCATCAATAGGAACACACTCTTTGGCATCAGAAGAATCAAGTACAAGCGGCAAGGTTTCAGAACAAGTTACCAGCGAGAGTTCTCATTCAGTAAATCCGTCGAAAACGGACGAGACGACGAAATTTAATCATTCTTCAGAAGAAAATGTCAATGATTTATCAATTCCCAAACAACGGGCTTCCATAGAGACATCTTTTGCAACTAAAGTGTCTCCTCTCGCTTCGAGCCACCTGTCCCAAAACCTTCTGGACAAAGACAAAGATAAAAACGAAGATGTTGGAAGAAACACGAAGATTCGAGAGCTGAAAAAAAGGATCGCAAGTTTACAGCAAGACACTGCTGCGTCTTCCGCACCCTCATTTCTTAGCAAATCCCGCCATGCTTCGTCCATCTCTTTACCCTCAACCAAAACACCAAGCAGCGATAGCACAATACGACGAGTTACCCCACAATCTCGTTTGGAAGCTGTAAAGGTAATTCCGAACTATAACGAGGAATTGATGGGGCATACTTCTCCCCAAAAATCTGGAGAATTAAGATCTTTCGCGTCGGTTACTCCAGCCAATAAAGAGCAACCATCGCCTGAACCAGTTGAAGTAAAAAAACCAGGCAAAGATGAGGTAACTAAGCTATTGAAGAGTCGTATACCAGAATTTAATCAGTTTACTGGTCCCAGTCAAGCCTGTAGTGAGGCGCTATTAGCCAGATGGAAACGAGAAAAACAGCAAGCCCAAGCATCGAGTACTTCTACTGCCGACCAACGTTGATGGAGCACGGAAGAATGTGAATCGAATCCATTCGCAACCAAGAAAACAACTTTATATTTCTTCCGATCGTTTTTCGTATGCTCTGGAATCTCTACGATTCATTCAGGACAACCTTTTTATGACCTTAACCAGTATAAGCAGTATTGCCAGCAACTAGTTGCCCTATCCGGGAGTCATCAGGATAATCGTTTCGATAACATCATGGAGAAAATGATCGACATATGTTTTGCCGAAAATTTGAAAATGCCGAAGGCACAATGATTCGTGGCTTTGCGAGTATATCATCGGCATTTAAAATGATGAGTGTGAGCTAAATTGCCGACCGGAAGAAAGTCGATTAGATATCGGCAAACGAAACAAGTTGATCCGGATCAATTCTTGAATCGGCAATTGGTTAAATTTCCCCAAATTTAGAAACAAACCGTATTCAGTCACAGATTGATGTTTTGATTTGATTTTTCCTTTTGTTTTTGTTTTTCTTTTGAGATATACCTGTTTGCGTCCTTTTATATTGTTTTTTCTCTTTTTTTTTAAAAAAACAATAGATTTCGGAAAAAATTCAAAAGAACAAAGAAATAAGAGGCTGAAACCGGCATGGAGTCTCGTATAAACAAAGGTTTTGGTAGATGGTATGATGTAAGAGGTTGGCATATGGAAATACCGAGAAGTAACAGGGCTATTACCTTTATTTTAACTCTATTATCATTTTCCGGCACTTGTGGATGGGGCAAACAGATCCTTGCTTCATATATATATATTAGGGGAAATTGCTGCTTTTTGCATCTGTATAGACTTTTGAAAAGGTTTTGTTTGTATCCATTCAGAATAACCTTTTGCTTCTTTTTGTCGCCTAAATCGTCGGGGAATTTTTTTACACGTTGCACGAGTTCCTCTTGTTGAATTTGTTCTACTTGAAGGATTGTGGTTTTTTTTTTTTTTTTGGTATTATTACCAAGCGTTGGTGTTTATTAAAAAGTTACAATTGCACAAAAGTTTTGAATCACATTCATTCACTCAACCCAAGTTAGCTTGTGTTTCATCATGGTCCAATCTATCATAGATACTCCTTGCTGCTCAGCACTTAATTTTAACTCCAAACCCGCCATGGGACAACCATTGCTTCCTATAGAGATTGTTAACTCGGTGATGCAATATATGCCTGCTCACGATGTCATCCAATCCTGCTTTGCTAGTTACCCATTGACTTTAGTCGCAAAGAAAATCCTTCGAGCTCGTCTATCCTTTTTAGATCAATACGCTCTCCGAGTAGTTGCAAAAAACGTCTCTTCCGGCCAAATTGTTTGTAATCTCTCTGCTCATCGTACTAATTACGCTTCTCAATACGATGGATATTCTATGTTTCAATTGGATAAGACTTCTCCTTCAAGCGTCTTCCAAGTGACTTTTGAAGAAGAGGCAGATTTGATCCAATTCGAGCGATACCCGGGAGAATCGCTTCCTCCTTTCCTAAACGTCCGCGTCGCCGTTGATCTTTCTCGCGCTTCCATCAATGATTCCCGTGCTGATTTGTTTTCCTGCTTTCAAAAGCCCATCCGCATTCGTCGGTCTTGGCTAGATTCTCTCAAGGCTGGTCAGCCGAATACATTATGGTTGGATCAAAACACTCAGCACGTTATTGGTTTAGTCATTTCTCGTATGGACGATGTTCCAGGAAAATACGATGTTTCTATCTCATCGGTTATCATAAAAACCGAATACTTGTTATCATCTTTGGAGCAACGACTTCATTGAAAGGACAAATTGTCTTCTCTCTTAGCATTCACAACATTTCTTTCTTCAAATCTTGTTCACCGTTCGAGCCGTTTGAGTCTATGAAGGGACCCTTTTGAATATAGAAGCCCATAATTCTTCGTTCTCTTACAATGACCGTTTTAAAACTAATTTTCCATGACTGGGTTTTCTTCTGTTCACTCCTTCCTTTCGCTTTTGGAATTTTCTACTCTTTGAGGGCCTTGTTTCTTATTTAATAACTGTCTTTCTCTTTTTTTTTAATTCCAACATTTTAATTATGTTGTGTCTATTTCATTTTCGAGCATGGCCCCAATTCTTTGTATACACGAAAGCAAAAGGGTCTAGGAATCATGAGCTGTTTTCTGCTTTTGTCTGTTCCCTTGCGTCTCTATTGAAAGATTTTCCAAATCTTTGTTTTTGTCCTTTTTACGTTAGTTTTCATATGTTTTATTTATTATTACGGGTGAACATTCACTAATTCAAATTTTTGCTGTTTATCAATCCCTGTTCTTTATTTCTCAGTCTGTAAACAAACATGAGTAGTTTTGAACGTATAAAAGAGCAAGCATGAAAAAATAAACAGCGGTAATTTAAAAAAAAAAAAAAAAAAAAAAAACAAGAAAGAGAGCCAAGAAAACAGCGGTTTACAAATATGTTTTTATTGACAACCTTGCTGAACGACTGTTATTGTCACCCGAGTAACAAAAATTGGAGTAGCTATGAAAACATGACTTGACTTGGTATAACATGGTATCTTCCATCTAGAGATGAAATGTGTTGAGTGTAACGCTACAGTTGATTCTTTGTATACAGACTATGGACGGGGGACGAGCAACATTCGGTTAGCACAATGTGTAAGTGGATTGACGGTAGTCATGTCTAAGGGATCTGCATGCGCGTATCCCGTGTGAACAAGAATATTTTTCAGCTTGTTTTAAACTTTAAGATGGAATATAGCCATTATGAGACTTTTGGAATGGCTTGGCAGGATACCGGGACGGTGGACGAATTTAAAGAGATGCTAATGCCAGTTTAGAAAAATTGCAAGCAATTTGCTGATAAATACATTGAATTAGACTTTGTATTAATAAGTATCGATGTAATTTTAATGAAGCCTCAAGTGTATCGCCATTTACTGTTCAATTCTTTGTCTGCTAGGAACTTTCGCAATGTAAGAGCAAACAGCACACACTGCAGAGGCGGATTGCCGACCACCATTTGAAATATAAGAAGCTTACTCGTATAGGTCATAAACTTTTCCATACTAATTGTATTGTTTGATGTCTTTTTAATTTGGTCACGGTTGGAAAAGCGTGCAGCCATTTTCCCCAACACGACTACAGAAAACTCTTTCATTTCGCTACCAATTGTGCGACAATATCTTTATTTATTACTCCTCTGTTTGGTCGAGACGGCCACTTACCAAACCTCTATCCTTACGCTCATGTATGGCCTCATTGGATGGAAGCACTGGACCTCGGCCTCTGGGTCCGTTATTCTGTCTTCCAGCACAAAAATGCTACCAGTGTTTATGGTGATTTGGGACTATGATATTCCTGCAGCCGCCATCATTGTCGAATGGGTCGTTCTCTTCAGTAACATGGAAGCTCTTTCAATTTTGACAGGCAAGGTTCGTTTTACCAAAATTGGGATGATTGTTCTTCTTTCTAGCATCCTTCGATCCTTAGTTGTGTACTTTTTCCTTCACCATACTGCATTAAAGACCATTCAACAGCCCGGTACTTGTGAAAGCTTCGTCAACTACAAACAGCTATTGCTTCAGAGCTTTGAAAAAATTACTTTGACTGCTCAGACAGCGATTTAATACAGCCACTGTTGGTCTTCACTAATTCCATCATGGCGAAGTTGGTTATTTTTGTATAATAAAGATAGAGAATGAATGAATTTGTCAGACTGTCGAAAATCTTTTATTTTTATTTCTTCTTTCCAGAATCTTACTTAACTCTAGTGTTTGTTTGTTCGTTAAGCAATAATAAATGCACGTCTTATCTAAGCGAAGTAAACAAAGTAGACCACCAAAAATAACTAAAAGTAAAAATAATAAAAAAAAAAAAATACTCTGCATAGAAGACAGAGAGAATTAAATGAATAAAGAATATACCATAAATAATAAATAATAAAATAGGTTCTGAAAGCGGTTGATCCGTTTCCCAACTTCGCTTTCTGGGGTTTCCAATCTATTTTCCTTTGCTTCCAGCACACAAAAGTTGCAACCAAAGCAATATTGTTGTCTTCAATTTTTTTGAAAATATTTAAGAAAAAGGTCAAAAATGAATGAACCCAATTTGGAAATCAACCACCATTCTATTGTACATTGCAGTTTGTTTACATGGATCCAAATAGTGCACTCTGAAACGAATGCATCTTTGTCTCGCAAATCTTCACTATATTTTACAACCGGATGGTGGCCGAAGAAGAAACAAGAAACCCAAAGGACAGAATTTATGGAAAAATAAATTTATAAAACAATTAATATATTTTTTCTTTCTTTTCTTTTGTTTTTTCAAAGTATATTTTTACGTCCAATGAAACCCGTTACGATTTGTGGGTAAATTAGCCAACCAAAGAGCCGACCTTTCCACCTCTTACCAACTGCCAAACGCTAGGTCCATCATTAGTATCATGTTGAGCCGTCGAATTCAAGCTATACGCCCTTTTTTTAAAGAATCTTTTCTCTTAAATGCCAGAAGAATGGCTACCGAGGCAAATGTTTCGACTACTGCATCGAAACCCGAAGCAGCGGAAGAAAAACTGAAGACGTTTGAGATTTACCGCTGGAATCCTGAGCGTCCAGATGTAAAGCCTAAGCTTCAAAAGTATCAAGTGAATTTGAAAAATTGCGGACCTATGGTTTTAGATGCGTTAAACTCGATTAAGAATGAACAGGACCCTACTTTGACTTTCCGCCGCTCTTGCCGTGAGGGTATTTGCGGATCTTGTGCTATGAACATTAATGGTAGCAACACTTTAGCTTGTTTATGCCATATTAAGAATGATGATAAGCCAACAAAGATTTATCCTTTACCCCATTGTTTCGTAATTAAAGATTTGGTTCCCGACCTTACCTACTTCTACAAGCAATACAAGGCTATTGAACCTTGGTTGCAAAACAACAACATTCCTAAAGGAAAGGAATTGTACCAATCTCGTGCGGACCGTGAAAAACTCGATGGTTTATATGAATGTATTTTATGTGCTTGCTGCTCTACGTCATGTCCTTCTTACTGGTGGAATTCCGAAGAGTACTTGGGTCCAGCTGTCTTGATGCAAGCTTACAGATGGATCATTGATTCTCGTGATGAAGGTACACCTCGTCGTTTAGCTGCTATGCAAAACTCCATGTCTGTGTACAGATGTCATACCATTATGAACTGTGCCCGTACTTGTCCCAAGGGTTTGAACCCTGGTTTAGCTATCTCCAAATTGAAGGCTCTTATGGCTACTTCTTAAATTAGACATGATTTTGTTTTTTGAATGTACAACATCTTTCCCCCCATTCTTCAATGAACGTTGGAAGCAAATCCGTGGAGGTTTGCCAATGACTGTTTTGGCGCTGTTCAGTTTACGTTCTCCTTTCTATTCCACATCACAATCTCAATATTATATGCGGTTTCAATCTGCATAATTAGGATTATAGGATATTCCTTGCTTCGTTTGGCTAATCTCGTCACCACTTTACTAATGAATCCTAGTTTGAATGTTTCTATTTTATCAAATATTTTAAATCCCCCTCTTAAAAGCCTTTCTAGGTTGCTACAGCCTTGTATTTTCACATAAATAAAGTTTTAAATATATACATATAAAAAAAAGTACATTTGGAAAATCAAGAAACCATTATATGCAGCTTCTCACCAAATCTTTATGTAACACGTATATAGTGGTTTTTACGACTGAAAATTTATGCAGTCCTATTGTATCGTATCGCATTACAAGGAGACATTGTAAGTTATTCGATACAATTATATTATCTTAGTAAGCTGTGAAAATTTATAACCTTTAGATCGGGTGAAATTCTACTTAACCAAAGCACATATCTTATAGATAATTTAAAAAAAGATGGGCAAAAAAATTAGATCTGAAGAGAAGAAGACTTCTAGTAAGAAGGATGTTTCTCCTAAAAAGGGAGACGTTCAAAAACCAACCAAGAATAAGGAAGTAGCCAAGAAGGCTGCAAAGAAGGTTTCCGAAAAGAAGTCCAAATCTAGCTCTAAGAAATCAAAGAAGCAAGAGTCTTCTTCTGAATCCTCTTCCGAATCTGAAGAAGAAAAGCCTGCTCCTAAGAAGTCTAAGAAGGAAGAAAAGAAGGAAAGCAGCAGTGAAGAGTCCTCTTCTGAATCTTCTTCTGAGTCCTCTTCCGAATCTGAAGAAGAAAAGCCTGCCCCTAAGCAAGACAAGAAGAAGGAAGAGAAGAAGGAAAGCAGTAGTGAAGAGTCCTCTTCTGAATCTTCTTCTTCTGAGTCCTCTTCTGAGTCCGATTCCGAATCTGAAGAAGAGAAGCCTGCCCCTAAGCAAGACAAGAAGAAGGAAGAGAAGAAGGAAAGCAGTAGTGAAGAGTCCTCTTCTGAATCTTCTTCTTCTGAGTCCTCTTCTGAGTCCGATTCCGAATCTGAAGAAGAAAAGCCTGCCCCTAAGCAAGACAAGAAGAAGGAAGAGAAGAAGGAAAGCAGCAGTGAGTCCTCCTCTGAGTCTGAATCTTCTTCCGACTCTGAGTCCGATTCCGAAGAAGAAAAGAAGGAAGAAAAGAAGGAAAGCAGCAGTGAGTCCTCCTCTGAATCTGAATCTTCTTCCGACTCTGAGTCCGATTCCGAAGAAGAAAAGAAGGAAGAAAAGAAGGGAAAGAAGAGCTCTAAGTCTAGTTCTTCTGAAAGTGACTCTGACTCTGACTCCTCTGATTCCGATTCTTCTTCTAGTGATGCTTCCTCTGGATCAAGCGAAAAGAAGCGTAAGGCTGAAGCTGTCGAAGAAGAGAAGCCCGCCAAGGTTTCCAAACCCGTTGATTCTAATGAGTCCTGCACCCTTTTCGTCGGCCGTCTTTCTTGGAGTGTCGACGACCAATGGTTAGGCAGTGAATTTGAGGAATTCGGTACCGTTGTTGGTGCTCGTGTTATCATGGATGGCCAAAGTGGTCGATCTAAGGGTTATGGATACGTTGACTTTGACTCTCCTGAAGCAGTGAAGAAGGCATGTGAGGTGTCCGGCCAGAAAGAGATTGATGGTCGTGCTGTTAACTTGGACGTTTCCGCTCCCCGTCCTTCCAACCCTCAACCCTATGGTCAACAACGTGCTGGAAAGTTTGGTGACCAACTTTCTGCACCCAGTGATACCGTATTTGTTGGAAATCTTTCTTTCAACGTTACTGAGGATGATGTTGGCTCTGCATTCGCCACTTGTGGTGAAATTCAATCCGTTCGTTTGCCTACTGACCCTCAATCTGGTCGTCTCAAGGGTTTTGGTTATGTTACCTTCTCCGACATCGACTCTGCTAAGCGCTGTGTTGAAATGAACGGTCATTTCATTACTGGTCGTCCTTGCCGTCTTGACTTCTCCACTCCTCGTACTGGAGGTGGTGGCCGTGGCGGTTTCGGCGGTGGTCGTGGTCGCGGTGCCCCCCGTGGTGGTGGCCGTGGAGGTGCTCGCTCTGGCAACCCCAATCGTGGTTCTGTTACTGAATTCAGCGGCAACAAAGTTACTTTTGACTAAAATGCGTGATATAGACGACGAAAACAGATAATCTTCTGTTTTAAAGTATCGCATATCTAGCTCCGAAGTTTCAGGTGTAAAACTTTCAAATTGGGTTTTATCAATTGTGGGATTTTTTGGGTTTATGTCGGTTTTGGTAAGACATACATTTGGGTTCATGGTTATTGAATAAAAGTAAATTTTAATATTACTATCTACATTTTTAATGGAAGGTATGTTGGGTTATTTTGGGAGGTCGGTTACTATGTATTCCATTTCAAACTTGAAATAATTGGATGACATGTTATGTTGCTTTATTATAAATATAGTCTCTCTTGACTTATTCGGTAAACCTTTAGACCGGCTTTCATTGATCAACGGTTGTATGAAACGGGTTATTTAAGTGGTTTTTGGTAGAGTACTCATTGAGTCTTGCATGAATTAAAAAATAATTTGACCTTGGACAAATAATATATTATAGAAGTAAAAGTATATTTATATGTGTCGTCGTTTAGCGTATTACTGATTTATTACAGATTGTATACCGACATAAAAAAAAGTGCATGCTTCTTACGCTGTTGAAGTAGATACCAACACAAAGAATTCAAGACCATCATGACGTTATGTGTGCAAATTTAGAAAGCCTCATGAAAAGTAGCTAAAACTTGATCAATGAAAACTACAAGTTGTCAGCGTCGATAAAGCAATGAATGAGTTAGTGCGACAAGAGGAGCATACGAAACATCCTAATCCTATCCCAGAAGCTAACAATGCAATTGAGTCTTCTAGAAAAACAGAAAACCTTAAAAAGCAAGAAGACGTAAGATGAGAATATGAACATGAATATAGACCGCTAAACAAACTGGCAGAAACTGACTGGCTGGGAGGATGATTTTCAGGAGCCAGAAATCAGTAAGGAGGAAAAGGCTGAAATTGAAAAGCTGTATAGTCTGTATGTATAATATTGGCACATATCGATTTCAATCTAACGTACTATTCCAGAGAGGTTCCTTTGATTGTGTTCGTGAGAGATGATTCAATGAGAGAAAGCATTGACTAATCGTAAAGACGAATGGAGCGGTTCGTCCAAAAGTATAGAAAAAATCGAAGATGGAACGAAGCAAATCGATCAAGACTTTTTTCAATGTACCTCGCTTTGGGAGGTATCTCGAGCGGTCAAAAGCAATTCACTGGAGGTCTTGATGTGAATGAAGGCGATGATGCTCAATCTACTGAAAATCAAACAGCAATTGATTTCATTCAACATGACATATTGAATGATTATGAGGTGGATTTTGTTTGGGTAGTAGCGGTCTTTTTGTATGTATTGTCTGTGTTGAATACGTGGCATTACTAACTGAAACATTAGATCTTCCCACCTCCTTTATAGAGCAGGTGTTACAGAAGAACATGAACTAAGGATGGCTTCTCAATTAATACAAAACTTTTTGAAAAGCGTTCTCCATCACAAGGTAGCAGCTGAGTATGAAGAGAATATTCAAGCAGCTTTAGAATTGGCAACCAGGGCAGAAAAAGAGCTCGTTGATGATAAAAGGCTTTCTGTTTCTCTTCCAGGTCCTTTAAACAGGGCTTTTTCTCATTTATATGTCGATAATTATAAAGGACTATGGGATAACGTTGACACGTACCATCATTTTGCCCCGTCATCAAATGCAAGAGAAGAAAAAGAGCAAGAAGGCTTTAAAGAAAATAAAAATTCTCATATATTTGATTTAAAGGATTTTCAACCTGATGCTCATACCCGATTTTCTACGGAGCAAGCAAGGTCACATATAAAAAGAACTTTAGGGTCCGATGCACTTGAAGCAGAAGTCTTAGATCAAGAGTACTTGACGGTAGAATTGATTTCTAAAGAATTGATTTATAAATACAAAAACAATCCTTTATGCAAAGCTAGGTACTTAGTATGGAATCCTCCTGGAACAAGCTACCCTCAGCAAACCGAGAAAACAGAAGTAACCATTCTCATTGAACCGGAATTGATGGAACTTATGGTTTTGAAAACACATTTAGAAGCATCTTTTACTTTTCTAAGCAATGGCATAACGATTATGGATACAGTTTTAGCGGTCTTACCTACATTTTATGAAGAAATTGAAGAATAATACGAATCATCTTCCGTTTGAATGGAATTCTATTACTTATCATTAGGCGTGATTTGGAACAAACTGAATCATCTTTAGCTGTAAACGTCTTTTTTAGTTCGATTATAAAACGACCGTGTCAAGTCTAAGAAGAGACTTAAAGAGGGATCGGTTTATTATATATCTGTGTATTAAAGAAAAACAGATTTAATATAGATAGCATTTGTTTATAATTTCTAAACAAATTCTTATAAACGATACGCATACATATACCATAAGCCAAACGTACTCATCAATCGATTCTAATCCCTATGTCACCACCATTTAGTTGGAAGTGAAACGAACATCGTGGCCTACGGTCCATAGTTAAATATAGGAATGGATATATTAAATTAAACTAGCTTTATTGATATCTGAAATAGAATATTAGCAAAGCTTGGCTTCTGCTTACCGCTAAATCAAAATTAGACTTACTTGTACATAAATTGTATTAGAGTCACTAATTGCTAGAACGTTTCTATTATAAGGGTATCGCATTTGGTAATTTATCAGATGGCCCAAAGCAACAAGCAAGCAATCCAGACAGATGCAACAAGCAACCTGACTTTCCTCAGTGAATTAGCACAGGAGAAAGCTAGATTCGAAGAGGAAAAAAAGCAAAGACTTAATAAAAGAATAAATTATGGAACAACAAACAAACGAGATTATGGAATCAAGAAAGATGAACCAAGGTCGAATTATGCGAGAGTTAAAAGACACAGTGAAGAAGACGCTCCTCGAAAGAAGCCTAATAATGAACAGAAACGACGATTCATTTTAAAGAATGAAGATGAAAATGAAGAGGATCTGAGGAAAAGTAGATTGGGTTTGGAGCGTAAAGCTCTGAAGTATAATCAGTTGTTAAACGACAATAGTCAAACAGCTGAGGGCGAAGAGATGCTAGTGGATTTTACGAAAAAATGGGCCGAAGAGAGTCGGGAAAACGAGCTTATTGAGATTACGGATGAATTTGGACGAACTAGGCAAGTATCTATCTATGAAGCGGGACAAGCGCTTCTTCCTTCCAAGGAAGAATACAAACCTGAAAATGTTATTCATGGTGAATATATGCCAGAATACAAGGTTGATGAGCACCATATTGAGGATCTACACCGCCGAGACGAGCAACAAGCGGTACATTACGACGCCTCCAAAGAAATTCGTACAAAAGGAATAGGATTTTTCCAATTTTCACTAGATGAAAATGAAAGGCAACAGCAATTCGAATCTTTAGGTAGGATACATGAAGATACGGTTCGACAACAACCTCGAAAAGTTGGATTAAATATACTAAAAGAGCGAGAAAACAAACTAGCATCCCGAAGAAATACTCTTCAAAAACACTATGAACGAATGATTGGAGAAGAGTGGATAAAACAACAATTCAATGGCATTTAGATTCTATTCATCTATTATATTTTTCTACTTTGATTAAGTTAAACAAGTTGTGTAAAGTAGACATCCGTCTATTGCCCAAGAGATGCATATACTAAGAAGGTAAAAAGTCAATTCTTCCCATCCATAGCAAAATAAGGATTGCAAAGAATGGGCTTTGCTCGTCATGGCTTTTGTAGTATATAGTAATACATCCATGTCAATATAATTAGTTAGAAAGTTTGGAGAAATTAGCAGATCTCAGTTAAATCCGTATAGTCATAAAAATAAACAAAAAAGGACAAGATAATGATACGTTCAAACACAAATAAGGAGTTAAGCAGTCAATTTGGAACATCAAGAGGTTTTCTGATGTTTCTTCTTTGTAAAGGGAATCGCTTGTAGGCCCCATTGAGAAATTCTACGAACTGCGAGGAAACTGCAGACCATAACGTCCAAAGCAATTGCACTGAGTGTAGGCAAAGCCAGAAAAAAAGAGAAAAATATAAGTATAGCAAACGCTAGGTTTGAAATCGTCTGTATAAAACCTGCAACTGTCAGACTCATGGGTAAGACGGATAATGGTTGACGGTTAGTGTAACGAAAACGGATAGTATTAGAACAATGAGTCAAAAAAAAAAAAGAATTTCAGTTGTGCAGAAATCATGATAATATTATATTTAATATGTATTACAAAATGATGAAATCGTTACAGAGCTATAAATAAACAAAACCAGGACCTTTGAAGCCAGTTATGTTCCTGCAGGATAAGGCTGTCTTTGGTACGACATGACCGGTTATACATCAAACAATTTAGTAAATCATTGCACTCATGAATTATTGAAACTGGATACAGTAGAGTCATGGGACCCGTTGCTGCAAAGAAGGTACAGGAAGCCACAGGTTAAGGTAAGTACGTATTATTTAGTATGAAGCGTGGATGTTGTAAAAGAAAAGAAGGTATCTAACGCTTCTTGAATCCAAGTCAATATTCTTGGTTTTTACACGTTACAGAAACCTGTCACATTGTACTTAATAACTCTCGGAAGACGACGAAAGAGCAATCCCTTATATAAAAACGGAAGATCATATTTAAGCAATTCTTAGAGTAAAGACTCACTAAAGTAGATTCGAACACTCTCAAAATGTCAATGTGTTTTAGTAATCTCTAGCAAGGAAGAACGAGCAATCATAATGTTGTCTATATTAAACTAAAAATTGGCTGGACATCTTTTGAAAAGCAAGAAGAAGCAAAAGATGATCAACTGGTGCTTGTGGGTATTGCGAAAATGGATCACAGTGGTTATTTAGAAATTTCATCGGATCTCTTCTAATTATTTACGGAATTATAGAAAACTAAAAGCAATTTAATTTAGTATATTTATTTACCTAGAGAACCCGAAAAAAGGCCCTAAAAAATGATATATGCATTGCATCGCCAAGTTATATATATCGAGTTTCCCGATAACACGTATGTATCATTTCCCAAACACCATTGTTCACAGATGGTGACAGCATATTAATTTTGGAATTGCATTAAGAGTAAAAATAAAAAACACTTTGAAAACATCAAAGTAGAAAAGTATAAAGGACCTTTCCCTTTTTTTCGTGTTTCTTGATAGATATTATATTTTGTCAATTAAACTTTAACCGATTTAAGTTGCTAAAACGTTTAATAATTCATCTCATTTTGAACAGCTGCCTAAAAAGAATTTCGGTTTTGTACTACACTTCGACTGTTTCTCTGAACCTTTTCTCAAAAGCATAGCAAGCTGTTTCATTTTCTGCTTTTATATTCCATTTAAAGCGGTTATCTAACAAAGAATTAATTACCGAGGGCAATTGTCGTATAGCTTTCGGTTAGTTACAAGCAAATTCTTGGTAGCGGAACTCAAATTATATCACTGTTCGCCTAATCGTCCCTTTCTTTGCAGAACGTCGTTTTCCGATCAAGTACGTCCCCTCACTTTTTCTGTTTCAAATTTTCATTAAGGTACAACTCGTCCTTATAGTTTCCTGTCACTGCTATTTTTATTGAAAATTTTCAATTTTTTTCTTCCTTTTTCCTCCTTTTCTTCAAATAGAAGTTACTACTGATAAAATCAGAGGTTCCTCTTTTATTCATCTATCTTTCATAGAAGTGCAGAATAAGAAGGAATTCCTCGATTTTATATTTTCGTGATCAGTGACTATTAGGATCCTCTGGACAATTTATTGATTACTATTTATTTTTTTCTTTACATATATTTCTTCAGTCAGATTCTTACTGACCGCAATTTTGCTATCGCTGGAAGGCACCTTTTCCTGACCGGCCTTTTGCTATCAATTCCTTTTTGCCAATGCCTACACCTGTCATACTCACTCTTTCCGCTTCAAAAAGTTATTTTGTTAATTTGTTGACTTTCTTTGGGCATATTTAAACCGTTACCTGTCATAACAGCAGTGGTTCGCACCTTAGTTTCTTGTTAACATTCGCGACATTTTACTTTTCTCCTAATTTTTATGTTCCAGTTTCATTCGTGTTTCCTAAAACCTAATAATTTCGTTTATATTTCTAATTGGTACCGAATTTTCTTAATCAAAAGTTAATAGAGATAATTCGTCTGACATTAATATTCGAACAGTCCTACTGCATATTTATAATTCTTTCTATCCTGTTAGATCTTTTCAGTTTTTACGGGATTTATTCTTTCTTTTCTTCTTTGTTTATATATGATTTGTACATTACCTAAAAAATGCACTCTTCATCAGTTGGTCGTTCCATCCCTATCTCCCAAGGTTATCCTTCGTTTAATTCTCATTTGAAAAATTGCAGTGTGGTGGAAAGCACCATTCGCGCTCTTCCGGACTCTTCACTTTCCAGTTTATCGAGATCAACCTTTCAGCATCCACCATCTCTACCTAATAATGCATCAGTGGATTCTGATTTACAACAGAGGGCTTATAATGATTCCTCTCCACAAATTCATTCATATAACCATAAAGCCTTTATACATTCCTTTCGAACTCCAGAACCGTCGAAGAGACACTTTTCTTTAAATTCCCCTACTTCCTTACTGCCGCAGAGCGCCTCTTCACCCGAAAATGATATCTCTTTCCAAAATTGGGAAACGAAAGATGAAACCCTGTATGATTTATTAAGACTTACTTCTCCCCCGGAACAGGTGACCTCGCATACTTTACCTACGCGTTCAACTTGCTCTTTTCCCTTTTTTAAAGACAATCCTCGAGGATCATCTTTTCCTACGCAGACCAGTAATAAAAAGAAAGCTCTCTATAAAGCTCGTGATCGGAGAATCGGAAACTCTGTCGTTAATACTCAGTGTGATTTAGACTCGCCTGTTCTTAATTTCAGAGATAGCTCTAAAAATATTAACTTGCCGCGGAAGACTTCCTCTCAGGATAAAGCTCTACAACCTTCTTCTGTAGCTAATAGGATTTTTTGTGAGGAGAATTTTGCCAAACCGATTTCAAGAGATAAATCTTTAGAAACACAAAGCAGTACACATGAAAATAGTGGTATTGTACGCTCTTCCTCAACAAAAGCCGATGATTCCTTTCATTTAAATACTTCAGCTGAGTTGGACAGTTCTGCTGGTTTGAATTTATCAAACAAGTCCTTACTTTCTGCTCAGATCAATCAATCTAAATATTTGGGAACATCTAGTCAAGCGATTGTGACGCAAGACATTGTCGAACGAACATCTGAAGTAGAAGAAGAACAAAGTTCTAATTCATACAAGAATTCGGAGAGAAAAGAGCGCCCTCCGTTATTTAACAATAATTCCTTCGCAGTCGGTGATTTGTACGGTAGCCCAAAAGAGACAGTGACTAATATTTCTTCATTACATTCGCCTACTCGTTCTCGAATTTCCAGAGCAAAAGCATTTGCAAAAAACACCACCAATATTCAGGTCATAAAAAAGAAAAACGAACAGTATATTGCCCACTTTCCTGAGCATAAGGAACGTTTGGATTTTTTATGGCAGCATAAAGCTAGTCCTGCTTTTGCTAACTGTGCATTAGTTAGTAACGATCGGTTTTCGCTTTCGGAGTTGCACATGGATAGTTCTGAGATTTTAGCTCGGACTCTAAAAAAATCGTCAAAAAACAATTGTTTTGGCCCTTTCATTCTGGGGAGGACTATTGGGAGAGGTGAGTTCGGAAAAGTTAAACTAGGATGGCCTCTACCAGGATCCTCTCCATTTAAAAAACACCCAGCGCCCCAAGTAGTCATAAAAATAATTCGTGTGGTTAAAGGAGGGCGTCTGCTACGAAAGGTTATCCGCGAAGCAACGATTCTGAGAGAAGTTGATGATCATCCTAACATTGTGAAGTACGTAGATCTTATCCGAACAAAGCATCATATGGGCATCGTTTTGGATTATGTGAGTGGGGGTGAGTTGTTTGATTATATATTAGCTTCTCGGCGTCTAGAGGATGAAATGGCTTGTAAGCTATTTGCGCAACTCATTAGCGGGGTTGGATACTTACATTCGAAAGGAGTTGTTCATCGAGATTTAAAATTAGAGAATATTTTGCTTGACTCCAAAAAAAATATTATCATTGCCGATTTTGGATTTGCAACAACGTTTGGTCAATTTGGTTCTCAAAATAATCAAGTCAGTACTGCAAAACCTGATTTATTTAGGACTTCTTGTGGGTCGCCTTGCTATGCGGCACCCGAGTTGGTAAACTGCAAAACTGGATCATATGCAGGTACCCAAGCAGATATATGGAGTTGTGGTGTTATTTTATACGCTATGCTTGCAGGTTATCTTCCTTTTGATGATGACCCCCATAATCCAAATGGCGAAAATGTTGTACGGCTCTACAAATACATATGTAGTACTTCCCTCATATTTCCTGAGTATATCAACGATAAACCCCGGGATCTGCTTCGCAAAATTTTGGTGCCTGATCCTTCACGAAGGCTTTCGATGTTTGGGATTATGAGACACCCTTACCTCCGTGCTCATAGGCAACTATTTGAGCGCTACAATGATTTTGGAACTCTACAGTGCCCTGTTGGTGATGTTCTTGCTCAAAAATCAGAAATCAGTGTATCTTCGAGTTCTACCGTTAGCACATTTTCTTCAGTTGATATTCCATCACGTGATGTTAATGTACAACAGATGACCGCTTTACATGGCAGTCTTGAGTTGAAACAACCAACGAAAAAACCATTAATTAGTGATGGTGTTCACGCTTCAGTAATAGTGTGTCCGAAAGATAACAGCAAAACTCGATTGGTTTCTCTGCTTCGCAAACCCAATCAATTTCCAAAAATGTTTGACAACGAACCGTTATTAAAGACCGATTCGAAGCCTAGAGGTCATGAAAAGCGTTTTAGTATAGCCACAGTTGATTATAGCCGTCAAAGAACAGCTTTGGTGCCCCTTGAAATGAAAGTTACCTCATTGGTAACGACGAGTTGTGAAACAAGGCGCAGAAGTGAGGCTACTAATACGCTAAGAAGCCTGTTAAGCAAGCCAAAAAAAAAGTATTTTGGGAAGGATTTTTCTTTTCTCACTAATTTTCTTTCTCTTAAAAGAAGAGGTAAAGATGTATCCCATTGCAAAAAATCTGATTTAGTTTTGGAGACAATAACCCCACTCGTAAGTACATCAGATGCTTCAACTTTAAAGAATCTTCATAAGTTCGAGAAGGGACATAAAAGGCATTATACATTTGCATAGTATGCTGTCCTTCATGAACTTGATAATTCCTCCTCTTTTCTGTATATAAAAAAGGTAATCATTTATGGTGCATTTCTAATCTTCCTCTCTATTTTATTTGTTTAAAAAAATAAAAAATAAAAAACAAGCTTTATTTATTTGGAACTAACACATTCTTTCCATAATTATTCAATCTTAATAGCTGCTTTTCTTCTTTTTACTTAGTTGTATTCGACCCTTTCAGCTCGGATTTCTTTCCTTTTTTTATCAGTTGGGCCAGACTTAAGCCCTAGCAAATAAAATTACTTTTAATATAACCAAAACTTTCATATGTGAGCTTGTAGTATAACTTGGAGTTTTAACTATATGGAATATATAATTCTACCTTTGGTGAAAGTGACAATGGATAGACAAAAATTTGTAAAAAGCTAATATTCATCAAGAAAAGCACTACTTCCTCTTCCTTTGGCACAAAGGCTCTTTGTCTACTTCGTTACCTCCTATTTACAGGAACTGCACTGCAGGTGACATTTTATTGAAAAGCTGTTCAGAACGCGACGCGTCGCACAAACACAGTACTTTTTTTTTTTTTAATATCACAAGATTTCTGGAATTTGGGAATATCCGGAAATTTATTTAATTGTAATTATTTAATTTGCGAATTTGCAAATGGTTTAATGTACTGAGGCTCTACGCACATTTTGTTTTATCTATAAATAACTTTTTATGATGGCAATGTCAAAACTGAAATTTAAGCAGGTTATTGTTCCTAGTCATGACAAACCGATTGCTACCACTGAATTGGTTAAAAGGATGAGGAGTTTACTGGATGAATTGTCGGATATGGAACAGGAAACTACAGATCGTGAGTCACTACTGCCAGTGGCCTCATCTTTAGTCAACCAGAATCTTTTACACCACAGAGATAAAGGTATCCGATCTTTTGTAGGATGTTGTATCGTGGAGCTTCTTCGACTTTGCGCCCCGGATGCTCCTTACACATTATCTCAATTGGAAGAAATATTCCAAGTAATTCTAAAGCTTATGAGCGGACTCGAAAATCCTGAGTCTACATATTATTTACAAGTTTATCGGATACTTGAGAGTCTTTCAAATGTAAAGTCTGCCGTACTCATGGTTGACTTGCCAAATGCAGAGTCCTTTTTGGTTTCCATTTTTCGTCTCTTTTTCGATATCTCCAGAAAAGGGACCAACAAAAATGTGGAATTCTATATGCTTGACATCATTCATCAGTTAATCAACGAAATCAATAGTGTACCACAGGTCGCTATGAACATTCTGTTTGCTCAGTTAATTTCAGGTCATGGGGTAAGGGAATACATAGGTTCACCAGACTCCCAGAACCATGGGCCAGCTTTCCAGTTGGCTAGAAATATATTTCGCGATTCTTCTGATCGCCTACAGCGTTACGTTTGTCAATATTTTTCCGATATTGTGTTTGATACAAAAGACTCCGTTTCGGACGAGAAGACAAATCCAGAGTTTATTTTCGCTCATAATCTCGTTATTCAGCTTTGGCAATACGCGCCTTTAACGTTACTTAATATTGTTCCTCAGTTCGAAAATGAACTTCAAGCTGAGCAAACCAGTGTACGGCGTGTAGCTATCCAAACAGTCCGGCTTATGCTTCCGCATCACTCCCTCTGGTTGGACTACCCAAAGGTTTGGGCGGCTTTTTGCGGTCGTCTCAATGACAAAGTCATAGCTTGCCGAATTGATTGTGTTGAAAAACTAATGGACGTATTAAGGAACCCTTTGGCATCTTCGGACGTAACTACCTATGTTATTCAACTTTATCAAGGAAAGCTTGCAGATTCAGATGAAAAAGTTCGTATAGCTGCCTTGCAGGCTATTGGTCATTTGTCAGTCGACATAATTAAAACCCATGTCCCTGTGGAAATTTTGAAATTAATGGGAGATAGACTTCGCGATAAAAAACTGTCAGTTCGAATTCAAGCAATCCAGACCTTAAGTAAAGTCTATCATAATGCATTTCCTGGGCTAGAAGCAGGTGAAGAAGTTAGTATTCAACTTTTCGGTTGGATACCTTCTTCTTTATTAGAAATTTTCTATATAAATGACGAAGCTACGAACACTACCGTTGACCTCGCGATGAATGAGCTTGTACTCCAGCAATTAAATTCTGACACAGATACTCGAGTAATCAGACTTTTAGTAGCCATGAACCATTTTTCAGAAAAAGCGTTGCGTGTTTTCTTCATGCTACAACAAAGACAGCTTAGATTTTCTGGATATTGTAAATATTTCATTGAATGCTGTAAAAGCTATAATGGTGGAGTCATAGATGAGAATGAGGAAGAAACGATATCCAGACTAAAAAAGGTAATAGGAGCTATATCTTCGAAGACCGTCAATCCCTCTTTAAATGAGTCAGCCTTGCAAAAGTTTGCAGATACAAATGATCGACAGGCATACAAAATGTTAATGGAAATATTTTCTTCCAAAAATGACTATCAGACGGTTTTAAAAAACGTTAAGCACTTATTCAAAAGGGTATCGGCTAGCATGAGTACACAACATTTTGAATGTTTTCGAGTGTTGGTTTATCGCTGTGCATTATTTGTCTTTAACAAAACGACTGTAATAGAGCTAGTCAACAAGATTGGAAGCTTGCAAAACAATTTCCAATATGCAAAGTCTGCTGAGATTTTGCTTCAACAATTACCATTAATTCATCCTGAGATTTACGAGGAATTATTCTCAAACATGGAAAGTATGATTTCATCGTTTGGTCTAAACGCAGATGTTAAGGTATTAAAGACTCTGTCGCATTTCGCAAAGAAAAAGAAGAGTTTTTCCGTGAGTTCTGAAGTTATCGATATTCTTAAATCTCTTTGCTTTCAGGGGACAGATGGTCAGGCGAAACAAGCAGCTACTGTGTTAGCGCTTGCAGATAATTTTTTTGACCTCGATTCCTTCATATCAGAAATTGTTAATGGATTACACTATAATGATACTTTATCCGTTCGGTTGTCAGCCTTAACACAACTGGTTTTATATCGATTAGATGCTGTTGAAAAGCATGCTGATTTTATTACCGAGTGCTTGGTAAAGGAAATAATTCAGATGGTTCCAGAGACGAACGAAGGCGAAGATGAGACTGATGAATGGTGCGACTTTCAATCTTTGGATCACCTGTATCGTTGCAAAGTACTTGCAGTTAAGGTTTTGGTTAATCGCTTGCGAGCTGGACATCAATCCCCGGAAGCATTGGAAATAGCCGCGCCTGTTTTAAAGTTACTGAATGTAATCTTGCTAACAGGAGGTGAGATCAGTCCTCATAAAAATACCCCCAAGTTGGGTAAAGCTCACCTACGAATGATAACGGGGAAATCGTTGCTCAAATTAGCAGCCATACCAACTTATGCAAATTATTTAGACTTTAATACCTACTTACGAACTTCATTATTATGTCAAGACCCTTTTTTTGATGTCCGAAATGCCTTTATACAAAATTTACAAAAGAAGCTACAATATCGAAAGCTTCCAATGCAGTTTTACGCGCTCATATTTCTCGTTGTCCATGATCCTGAGGAAGAGATAGTTGCGAAAATGTCTTTATGGATATGTTCCCAAGTAATTCATTTTCGTAGAATGCACAACTATACTATGGAATATGTTGTCACTTATTTGCTTCACTTGCTGTCGCATCATCCAGATATCTCATTGTCTGACAATGAAAATGTCTTTGATTTTGTGAAATATATACAATTTTATGTAGAAAATGTGGCTTCAAGTGATAATATTCCTATTATCTTTCATCTAGTACAACGGATAAAGCAAAATTATGATGCTGTTGAACCTGAACGAAAGTACGTCTATATGTTGAGTGACATAGCACAGAAAGTTATCCAAGTAAAGGCGCAAACTATGGGATGGAGTTTGACTACTTATCCAAAACAGGTGAGACTTCCAAGCATAGTATTTAAGCCTTTTGACACTCCTGAAGAGAAGCAGAAGATCTTTATAAAGAATTTCCTTACGCCTGAAATAGAATCCGCCATCGAACACATGGTAAGATCTTCTACGATCTCTAGTACTGCAAGGCTACTTACGAGATCAAAGACGACCAAGAAAGGGAATCCTGAAAAGTTGAAGAGGAAGCGGACTGGTACTAAGCAAGCAAAACCAAATAAATTGGACAAAAAGGATCAAAGGCAATCAAATATTCCTCGTAGAGCAAGTACCAGAGTATCTTCAAAGCAGGTAAATTATACAGAAGCAGAGTCTAGTGAAGAAGAGTCTGACAACTCCGAACTCTCTTCTGAGTTTGAGGAAGAGGAATAGAAAATCAGTTTTACGTTGGTCTAACCAGCTTAAAATGTGGAAATTATTTATTTTATATGCATGCCAATATTATTTATGCTTTACGTATAAAAGAAGCACGTTTTTACCTTCGTGTTGCTTATTCCTTTGGTTTAATATTTACAAAATGGGCTGTCTTTCTTCTAACGATGGGTTTCAAGTCGTTGCATTTTTAAAAATCAATGTTGTTTTTTAGGATATAACTTACCGTCCTTGCATGTTTAGTCGTTCTTTTTGTGCAGTCGATTTCTAATGTGTATAAACTTTTTCGCTACCTCCTTTCCTACTCTTTCTTTTATAATAATTAATTTATGAGAACGAAAGGCATCAGCTGATAGGAGTCGAAAATGCTACCAATCTGTTTCTAAATAAAGCTAACGAAAACTTACGTACGGAGCAAAAGGTAATTGCCCGTTGAACAAATATATCGCATATTTGTTTATACTTTTGTAGCTTGAAAGACTTAAGAGTTTGAAAAGCATCAGCTTTTTACGATTCGGATTCATATCGTAAATAATGAGACGAACATCATTAATGAGATAACATTCGCTTACAGTTTAAACCCGCATTAACCGAACAACAGAGATACAGTAGTCACGAAAGAGCTTTCTCAAAGATTTTTAAGAAATTTTATTATTTTCGTTATGTATCACTATTGTGTTTACCAGCATCTTTCGAGATTGTTAATGGTTGGATATGACCGTCATACTGGCTTTGCTTCTTACCTACAACCAACACCGTGTCTGTAAAGGGACTAAGGTTACCATATTCATTTGAATTTGCTTTTCCAAAGGAAATTAGGAATCAATATCAAGCAACATGCCAACTATTAAGTGCGTTGTTGTCGGTGACGGTGCTGTTGGTAAGGTATGTGTTTTGTAAGAGATGTGCAGAGCCCGGTTGAAAGAATTATAAGGTCTTTGAGAAATGAATTGAGTGGAGTAGAGTTTCAAAATCTAATTAGAAAAGAAAATATTTTACCGAAACCTTTATAATAGGCTCTAAGTGTCGAAATGAGACATTCATTTGCTGACGTACATCATAGACCTGCTTGCTGATTTCTTACACGACAAACAAATTCCCAAGTGACTATGTTCCTACGGTTTTTGATAATGTACGTATAAATTATATATATTAAGAACCATTGAGTCTATGACAAAACACACTTGATGGGGCTCGCGTTCATTCATTTTGGGCTTGTTCAGCCACCTGTCGAGACAACGATCTTTTGGCTGGAAGTACTCTTGAATGATAGTACATAAGTTTCATCGGTTTTTTGGTTCATAAACTTGCTGAATTCAAACATGCAAGAAATTAACTCTGTCTAGTATGCTGTAACTGTCATGATTGGTGATGAGCCTTATACTCTCGGCTTATTCGATACAGCTGGTCAAGAGGATTACGATCGCTTACGTCCTTTGTCGTATCCTCAAACTGATGTCTTTTTGGTTTGCTTTAGCGTTACTTCTCCTGCCAGTTTTGAAAACGTCAAAGAAAAGTGGTTTCCCGAAGTGCACCATCATTGCCCCGGTGTTCCTTGTTTGATTGTTGGCACCCAGATTGATTTGCGTGATGACCCTTCTGTTCAGCAAAAGTTGGCTCGTCAACATAAGCACACACTCACTCACGAGCAAGGTGAACGTTTGGCTCGTGAATTGGGTGCTGTTAAATACGTCGAATGCTCTGCGTTAACACAAAGAGGGTTGAAGAACGTATTTGATGAAGCTATTGTGGCAGCGTTAGATCCTCCTGTTCCTCACAAGAAAAAAACGAAATGCCTTATTATGTAATCTGTTCTTGGCCCTCATTTATGTCGACATCTACAAAATTTGGCGGTGCTTTAAAGTAAGCTTTAATTAACTATTCCTCTTATGTAGCATTATATTATGCTAGCCATTTCTGACATCTACACCTTTATATGCGTTTCCCGTCTTCCCATCTATTAACTTCTTTGGTTTCCCCCTGTATGTTTAACTGGGCATTATTTTTCTTTTCCGTTTTACCTGTTGACTTTGTTTGATCTTGTCTGTAGTATACTCTTTGTTGCAAATACAGCAACGTTTCTTCCCATGTTGACTATAAGAATTAGTTGAACATTGATAATCTTATAGAGTATAACTTTCATCTAATTGTATAATTGGAATTATACGCTCTTTACTTTTATTTTCGTTTATGGGAAGGTGAACAATTATTCCTTTACCAACCATCTTACTCGCACCAATTAACAAGCTACATTGCAGCCACATGTAAGACTTCCATAGAACAATAACTATTTTTTAGTAAAACCTAATATCTCCAAAGATAAAACAAAGCCTTTCGGGGATGAACAAAACTATATTAAAACATCATAAGCAAACGGTACCTAAACTTTTTTATTCTTTTTGTTCATCAATTTCCATTTGTTCATTTTGGTTTTCACCCTCACCGTTTTCTTCGGCGACAGGCTCAGCAGGAGGAGGAGGAGGAGCACGACCACCAGTACCAGCTTCAAACTTACCAGAAGGTGCTTCTTGCTCCTTTGACTTTTCAGCAGCGGCTTTGGCAGCGGCATCACGCTCAGCTTGAACCTTTTGACGCTTCTCTTCCTCAGAATCTAAGTAACGTTGACGGATAGGACCTCCAATACGCATAAGATCCTCGAGCTTAGCGGTATAGACAGCCTTTGTGGTATCTTCACCTTCCTCGTACAACCAGTCTTCAGAGGCAGCAAGTAATTCCTTGAATTTGGAGCTTTCCTCTTCATTAGTAAAGGGAGCATAAATGTCATCAAGCTTAGAACGAGTATCGTAGATATATTCTTCTAAGGCGTTCTTGCGGTCCACAGTCTCGGAAACAAGCTTATCGGTGGCAATCATTTGATGCTCCATTTCGGAGTACTTCTCTAAGACCTTTTCGGGAAGACGATCTTCCTCAACGGAAACGCTGAGATCACAGGTCTTGACTAATTTTTTAACCTTGCGCATCTTGACAGGCTCATCCTTTTCTTCTTCACCTTCCTTGGGAGTGGTTTCAACAGGCTCTTCAACTTCTTGCTCTTCAACAATGTAAGCTTGTTCAACAACCAAGATACCGTGTAAATCGAGACGAGCCTTGATCTTAACAATGCTCAAGTCACCTTGAGAGTTAGGCTTAACGTCGTTGATCAAATAACGAGCAATGCTGGGGCGGATGTTACCGGGCAAGAGCTCCTTGTGAGAGTAGAAAGCGTCAAGAGTGAAAGGAGCCTTACGGTAGAAGGTCAAGATCTTGGTAGAAGGAATGGGGTTGTTACGAGAGAAAACTTCCAAGCTAGTGTCTTCTTCTGGGTTTTCGGGAATAGGTTCCCAACTGAATGTGATGGGGTAAGGGGTAATATCATGAACGCTGAAGTCACGAACCCGGAAAACAGGAGACAAGATAGCACAAGAAAGAGCACAACCACGAGCAACGGCTTCGTCTTGGTTCAAGGTGAAAGAAAGGGGCTTACCAAAGAAGTTGGAAACAGTCTCCTTAACGCTGGGAACACGGGTGCAACCACCAACCATTTCAATGCTATAGAGTTCCTCCTTCTTGATACCGGCCTGGTCGAGGGCATCTTGAAGTGGCTTAGTGAGACGCTCCAAAAGGGGCTTGATAAGTTCTTCGAATTCTTCTCTCTTGAGGAAAGAGCTAGCATCAATGTCATTCATAATCATTTCGACATTAATGGGAGCAGAAGCATTAGCGGAAAGAACCTTCTTGAGACGCTCAACAGCTGCGGCCAAACGGAAAGTGGCCTTAGAGTTAGAAAGAACGTCGATCTTGTATTTTTGCTTGAATTCGGCAGCAAAGTGGTCAATAAGAGCCTTGTCCATGTTACGGCTACCGAGGTTACGGTCACAGACAGTAGACTTGATGTGGAATTGGCCACGGCTGAATTCAACAATAGAAACAGAGTAGTTGGAGTGACCAAGATCAACAATGGCAACCTTACGAGGGTCTTCGGCTTCAGGCAAGTCAGTCTTTGTGATACCATAAGTCAAAGCAGCAGCAGCGTTGTCGTTCATCAAACGCAAAGGGTTGAGACCGGCAACGTTGGCAGCTTCCAAGATGGCACGGCGTTGGATGTCAGTAAACCAAGCAGGAATAGAAATAACGACATCACTAACGGAACCAATCAACTCAGCTTCGGCAATAGCCTTAACCTTGGTAAAGTAGGCAGCAATGAGTTGAATGTTGGACAAAGCGGTTTCCTCATTGAGGTAACGTACCTTGGTACCAACAAAACCATCAACCTCAGCGAGAGGAGCAGAAACGAAAGCAGATTCGATCTGTTGAATCTCGGGGTCATCAAGGGAGCGACCAGCCAAACGCTTCAAACTTCCAACGGTGTTCTTGAAGTTGGAAGCTTCTTGAGATTTGGCACCTTCACCCAAGAAACGGCAACGTTCACCGTAAGAGACCAAAGAAGGGGTAGAACGGTTAGAAACTTCATTAACAATGACATCGATAGCACGGTTACGAGCAACAGCAATAACAGTCTTGCTGTTACCGAAATCGATACCGACAACGTTCGTCCTGGAAGACATGATTCTACAAGGAGGGTTAGTATCAATAACGACAGCATTATGTTGCACAGTCTGTTTAAATCAGAATCATTTTGGGAAAGATTGGAAGCGAAAAAATTCAAATAGACCAAACCTAATCGAATGCTCACTGTCTTCCTCAATCTCCTTGTTGACAGGCCAGCATATCATTTAATGCAAATTTTTCAAACTTCACATACCAGTTAAAAAATTCAGGAAATACCTAGATGTGAAATTTATTTAAGCTCTGAATAGTACAGGAGCCTTTACAACAAGTATTTCACAAAAAAAAGAAGAATTAATTACTTCTTACCTTGTTGTGCGAATTGGTTGAGGACAGATCTTAGTGCACTAATAAATCAGAGAGCAGTTTCTAATGTCGAACACTACGAAAGACAAAAATACATAAACTCTATTTTAAAAAAATAAAAAAACAGTTTTGTTATTTTAATTTGATGAAGAATGTCAGTACTTAAAACTGTTTCTTGATTGAGCTCGAAACTTCTTTTTCCATCCACGTATTAGAACCATTTACCGTGGTGCTGTAATTGACGATAAGTAGGATATCAACCAACTGTAAAAGACTTTAAACGAGGTTAACACATAGGAATGTAAAACTTCACAAATAAATAAAAGGCGTGTGTTACAAGGTTAGGCGGTGTTTCCTTACAGAAATAGATTGAATGGAACATTTTCTATTCACAGTGGTCTTTCAAGAAAGATGAAAGAAAGAAGGAAATGCTTAGCTTACCATCGAAAGCTAGGCGTTTTCAACAAGTTTGACGCAAGCTACAAATCAGAGGAGGGGTTCACAAGAAGCAATATGAATGTTCACATGTTCGCAAAGAATCTGTATCAAAGTCCTTTTATGGTCTATATATTACAAGAAAAACCAAGGGTTCGTTGAGTAGAGAAATGTCTGCACACTGGAGTACACTAATAAACAACCAGACATGTTGTCAAAGACAATGAATGGGATAGATCAAACATTCACAGTTTCTGCCAAAAGAAGCATTTCAATATCTTCTATCTAAAAATTAAACATTCAAACAAAGGAGAAGTTTAACAAATTTGAGGAGCGATGCTTAGGAAGAAGGTTTCTTCATGCATGCATATAGTCGAAAGTGAGCAAGGTAAAATATCACTTATGCAAATTCATCATTTAGATAGCCTAGATTGCTGCATATGGATACCTCAATTTCAATTCTCTTTCCTATTCGTGTTACGACATGATGATCTTATATATTCTTTGTGAAGCTGTTGCAACGTGTTGCGTATCCACCCAGGGTTGTTTACTAGAACAGGGTCATGACAATGGTAGCATTTTTTGAAAGAATAGACATATCCCTTGTTTCAAGAAATATTCTTCTCCTTTAGCATATACCACCTTCATATCCTTCCACAATACTTCTTCCCTTTCTCCAATATTTTTTCCTGTATTTACCCATGGAAACAACATGAACAAAATCTAAGATTTTTGTCATATAGCAGCAGCGCGTCGCGCGTTAGGGAAACCGCTACATCCACTAAACACGTAAAATGAAAACGCGTCCACGCTTATTGCTCAATTTATGTAACCGCGACGCGTCGCGACACGAACGCGATACTTCATATATATAAACATTGTAGCTGTGTTTCAAGGCCTTTCTTCAGCAGACTTTGCATTTGTTGCTTCAACAGCGCTTGCAAATCCACAAAAAGTTGGTTGTTCATCAAGTTTAAGCTGTATCCTTTGTTTGTTGACATCCTTCTGTCGGGGTTATGCTAAACGTGTAAGACGTATCTGATTGATTACTTGAAACTTAAAATATATAAGGTAATACGTTGAGGTCTTTCAAAAATAATTTCATTTCTTTGTTTCAATCCCCCGCATCTTTCTTTGTTTGTTCGTCCTAACATTACACTGGCTTATCTAAACCTTGGTGTGCTTCCAAGACTTTACTTTCTTTTATTTCATTTTAATATTACCTCTCTCCCTCTTTTCAATCGTTTCTATCCTTTTAATTTTGTTTATCCTTTCCAATGGCTTCAGTAACAGAGAATGAGTTCTCACTTCCTTCACCCATTCCATCGTCTCCAAATCCTTCTCATAAGAAAAGTTGGATGTCAAAACATCCTAATGGCTCTCTTAATGTAGGGAACCCTCCCTTAGGTAGGTACCTTGTTTTTCATGAAGGGTTGTTGTAATCATCGAATCCATTGTACTCAGTACGTATCAGTGATTTACTCTACCGTCTTCCTTCTTGTCTGTCTACGTAGTTCATACTAGCTATTAGAGAATGCTTTACTAATTGCATTTAGGTCAATTCGTTCTAACTCCGGAGCCTTCCAGTAACACTTTTTATCAACCATCGTCGCCCATTTCAGCCGTAAAACGGGAGCCTTTGACTCCCATGTCTTATGTTAGGATGAGCGTGTCTCGCGTTATTAAGATTGGACGCTCAACACAACAATGCGACCATGTCCTTTCCACCACCGACAAGGCTATTTCACGAGTCCATGCAATCGTTATATGCACACTTGACCGTATGGTCGTTGAGTGTGTGGGTTGGAACGGTATGATTCTTACTGACTCTCTACGTAAAGCCGTATACCACATGAAAAAAAATGACCGTGTTGTTTTGTTCCGTCCAGGACTTGACAGCTGCTCCATTTTAGATGTTTTTGGGTATCGAATGCTGCTTGGCTGGCCCGAAGATCCTTTCGATACCGAAGGAGAAAACTCTGATTATGATTATGGCACCAATGAAAACGAAGCACCAATGTCTCCCTCCACTCGTGAACACCTTCCTTTACTACCTTCTTCTCCTCCTCAAGAGTTTGGAACTGATCCCGAACTTTTTGCTGCCCAAGCATTGACAAAGGCCAGCACCAGAGACTATAGCGAAGAAAATGAACCTGCCAGAAAGCATCGTATGCTCGATAGACTTATTGAGGCTGGAATGGAAGAGGGAAAAGCCAATGCACGTGCCACTCCGGAAGTTGACATGTCTATGATGAACAAATCTGCAGCTAAAATGGAAGAAAGTGATCCCTATCTTAATTTTAATCCCAGCACTGAATCTTATAGCTGTGAACCAAATTATGAACAACAAGATATCAATGTATACCAAGACGAAGAAGATAATAACGGCGAGTTTTACGATAGTGTAGTACCAACGCCGGAAGAGCCCATCGTCGTTCGCCACGACAGTATAGACGAAACTCCTGAAAGCCTCGCAAGCAGAGAAAGTTTAAAGAACCTCATTGCGAGTCAGGAAATGGAAGACAGCCAAGAACCTCCTACTGCCATTTTACCTATTTCTCCCTACCCTAATGATGAAAACGCAAATTCCATGACCCCTAGCTCATATGACGAGGCAAAAGCTGATTATACCACCGGCCTGCAAGAAAACGGCGTTGCTACTGAACTTTCAGAGAATTATGTTGAGTCCTCAAAGGAAAATTCGGCCCCTGAAGGTCTACTCATGGGACTTATTTTGGATGAATTGGTTTTTTCTACAACTTCTACAACGGCTTTGACGGTGTTGGCTCATTTGTTCCCAAGCGGTATGCCTTTGGCTGCCATTCAGGACCATTTGCGCGAGCTTGCTAAACATTACCCATATCTAAAGGAGGTTCGACGTTTTGGAACAGATGCCAATGGCGATCCTCTTTGGAGTCAGTGGTACTATAGTCCGGAAGAAGATGACGATGAAGAGCGCCGTCAGCGCTATGCACCGATTATGCGTCCTGTACGCTCTTCTCGCACAGTTCACAAGCAGTATTTTTGGAAAAAGCCTCGTACTCGTGTGCGTTCATCGAATCACTCCTCTAGAAAACGCCGTTTGGCATAAGCCGAGTGTTTGCTGGCAAACATTTTTTGTCATTCATTATTTTTCAACCGTGTTAGGTACTTACAACAATTGGATAAATGTAGGTTTTTTGTTTTTTAATTTTATATTTCTCTTTTTTTGATATACTTCTCCTTCGAAAGTAATAATGATCTAATGAGTTGTTGCGACGACATTCTTTATAAGTCAATGAAATAAATTGGTTGAAAGTGTATTCCCCTGATCACCGTACTTAGCCTATATTTATAGTAACTAGTCCTTTGGCTTGGCATCCCATTATGTCTTATTATGAACCATCGCCCATTATGTGCCTTTATGAATTCATACCCATTCAGTCATTTTATGAATTTATCTTTTGTTTACAATCCCATTATGTCGTTTTATATGCAGGTAACATTGCTACTTGTTCATAAATCATCTACTACACCACCAAAAGTGTGGAGGACGTAATGAATCGTTGTCTTGGAACTTCCCTGGTAAATAATGAGCAATACCCTCTATAACCATGTATGATCTGTTGTATGGATGAGTAATTAACTTTGATTGTTAGTGTACCAAGTTACTTCAGTCGATACAGAAGGATCTGGACGAATTTGAGCGTGGTGTTGAAGATGAAAACAACACGATATCTTTAGCGGGTATCCAAGGTAATAAAGAATTTGTTATTTGAAAACTATTTTTCTTGTCTTGCGGTCTTTCGCAAGTGAAACTATCCTTCAAAGATGCAACATCCTCAATTCAATGGCTAGCTAACATGAGTAGGTCAAATATCAGCATCCTTTCTTTCACTGAATCGTTCTATTGAGGATTATAATAGTATGGTGAAACGGGAACTGATACCTGCAAAGAAAAATAAAGCTACAGTGCGTGTTCAAGAATTTTACCAAAAGCATTCCCAGCTATCAGAGCATTTTGAGCGACTAAAGGCCCAGGTCCGTGATGCTGCCCATGCGAAAAACAGAAGGGAGTTATTTGGTAGAAGAGGGTATCCGTCTGCAACTCCCGATAACCCATATGGTGAAAACGGAATGACAGATGCTGAATTAGTTGAGAATGGTCCACCTAATCTCACTAGACAGGAAGGCCTTTTGCATGAAAATGATTTTTTAGGAAGAGCTGAGTCTCAAATTGATGAGTATTTAGAACGCGGTCGCTTGCTACTTGGTGACTTGGTTGAGCAGAAAACAATTTTGAAGTCGACAAAGAAGAAAGTGCTAGATGTAGCAAATACACTGGGAATCAGCAGGACGACGCTTTCAGCTATAAACAGGCGCTCAAGACAGGATAAAGTCATATTCTATTCAGGTGCTGCTTTCGTCTTTTTCTGTTTTTATTTAATTGTTCGCTGGCTACGATAGTTCCCGTTTTGAAATTGCCTTCTGGTCGTCTTTAATGTCCTTCTAGCAATACAATGAGTTATATTCTGCTAGAAAACTATGAGCTTTCTTTGACATTTGTTCTTCCAAACGTTCTTCTATTCCACCCATAGTATCAAAGAAAAGATTTCCTCTTCTCTACCCATTCTCAAGTAATAAACTTTTGTTAAGTTCTCCCGTTCTTTGAATTTTCCTTCTCCTTCTCTCTATACTTCCCTTCGGGTGAGTTTTTCTTTTTAATTATGTCTGTTCCAAAGAACGTGCCTTCCACTAGCCAGTTGATTAAAAAACAATTGAATTAGAATTGAAAACGAGAATAATAAATTAAATACAATTCTAAATTCCTTTCTTTTCATTTGTACCCTCTTCCATTCGAAATCTTCTTAGTGTAATCCAAAACCCGATACAATGATATTTTCTTATCTCATATTTTATTTACACCACTATACATACATAATCAGTGTCAATATAAATACTGTCCTTCTTTTTAGATATGTTTCGAAGCAAAGGAAATCCCTTTCTTTTTGCCTTTTCTCGTTCATTCCATCAGCAAATTCCCTTCCTACCCAAAAGACCTGCTTTCAAGTTTCAACAAGTAGCGAAAAATAGACACTACGCTTCCTTCCCCAATTGGTCTTCTAACGGAACCGGAGCTAAAAAATATCGGACATTCAGCCCGAATCCTAGGGACAAGCGTTTTCAGTTAATCGCTGGTGCACTCGTTGCCGCTGGTGGAGCTTACTACTTTACTCATTTGGAATACGTTCCTATTAGCAATCGCAAACGCTTTAACGATGTGTCATTAGATTTTGAGCGAAAGATGGCTCAAAGTGCTTACAAGGAGATCATGGCCGAGTATGGAGATCGTATGCTGCCAAGTTACCATCCTACAACGTTATATGTTTCTCGAGTATTAAAAAGGATTATCGCAGTTTCTGGGATTTCAGATTTGAAATGGGAGTTACATGTCATTCGAGACCCTTCGGCCAATGCATTTGTACTTCCTGGTGGGAAAGTGTTTGTTTTTGAAGGAATATTACCCATATGCCAAAACGAAGATGGATTAGCTGCGGTCTTGGGTCATGAAACCGCCCATCAAGTTGCGAGACATTCTTCAGAAAAAATTGCTTTTACTAGAGCTATAACCTTTGTGTTTTACTTGTTAGCAGCTTCATTGGATTTATCTGGACAGCTTGCTCATTTATTGTTAAACTTTGGGTTACTTCTACCATTTTCCCGAAAAATGGAGGGTGAAGCTGACTACATTGGATTGATGTTGATGAGTCAGGCATGTTTCAATCCTGAAGCTGCCAAGAGCATGTGGGAACGAATGGCTGCTGCAGAATCAAGTATGGGCAGTACACTTGCTTTTGCTAGCACCCATCCTTCTAGTGAAAAAAGGATCCGTAAAATTCAAGAGTGGTTACCAGAGGCAAAAGGAAAATTGGAGACCAGCGATTGTTTTCATCAAACATGGCCACAATTCCAGGCTTTCAAAGAAACTTATTGGTGATGAGAAAACATGCTTCCTTGCAACATTGTACAGTTAAAGCTTTTTCCATTTCAGTTAGGCTTAGCTATTTCTGACTTCTATGTGTCCCCGCTGCCAGTGAAGTGTATCAACTAACATTACCCAAGATAGAAGAGCAAAATCATTGCTCAAACTTACGATACGTTACGATATTAATTATGTTGTTTTTCTTATAGTCTTAGATACGTACTGAACGTTATAATTACCTTGATTTGATGAAAAGAAAGTATAGAAACTATAGTAACCTAAGGGCTTTTATTGCATCATATAAAAATTATTTTAAAAAGGAATATGAACGTAAAATTATACCCATTGCTTGTAATAATAAGCTGTAGAGACAGCACCGAGAACAGTTAGCATCAAAGGAACAGGCTTTCTGGTCTTTGCCAAACGAGGGACACCAGATGCAAACAAAAAGGCAGACCCAGCCAAGGCAAGAGGGACACCGCTAGTAGAATTTTGGCTCATGAGTCGGGAAGAGTAAAGGTAAACACCGCCGAGACCGACACCTGCAATGAGAGAAGCTTTGCTTCCCTTGCTGAAGTAGCCTTTAGCACCACCAAGGGACAAAAGACCACCCAAAACTAAAGCAATTTGATCGGGAGACATAACAATGTAAAAAGCCGTCGAAAATGAACAATCGCTTTTGACAGAAATTTCGTCAGCGTGGGCTACCTTAGTGAGTCAGCCATTTACTTTGTTACCTGGCTGATTTATTTGTTACTTGTTGCTGCAAGTGATTCTACCAAAGTTCTTCATCTGTGTGATTTATTGATTTTCCTCATTTTTGTACACTTTCGTTTGCAATTTTCATAATTTTAACAGATATTGAAACAAAACTAGTAAAAAACTAATGATAATCATACATATCCCAAATGTTACCTGATAGGGATGTACAACAGAAAAGGGTAAAATAAATAGATATCTAAGCAAACGAAGGTATTATGAACTTTTACAACAATCGGAAGCAGAACAAGGTTTATCAGCTTTGCAACACTGTGTAAGACTTTCCAATTGTTCAATCAATACACGCACCTGAGTCTGAATTTCGTTGATGTCGATTTCTTTCAAGTATGGGATGAGCTGATCTAACAGAGCGGGATTGCAATGCTTTTTAAAGGTAGGCAAAGAAAAGATTGACCAAAAAGCCAAAGTCAAATATTTTGCGTCTGAATTAGTATTTTGGAATATAAGTTTATAAGTATCAGTACTTTCGAGGACATTACAAAAATGTTGAAACTCAGCCGATAAGGAGCTATTAGATCGTTGTTGTATGAGCGGTATGGATGATTGATTCAAAGAATCTAAGCGATTAATAAGATCCTGCACGGATTTTGCACTAGTAACTTCATGATGAATGTGATTTGACACGTTTTTCCAACTGTACTTGTTCAACCCAACTGTAAACACACCCACCGGATGTCGCATTGCTTCCAACAGCACGTAACCCCTTGGCTGATTATTAGTGGCATCCAAAGGAAACATGCTTTTGTACATCATTTCCAAGTCTACCCAATAGCTGGGATACTTAAATCTGGCAACGTCTAAAATTAAGACTTTGCCATCCTTTTCGCTATACCCACCCACTGGACTAAAATGACCATCTCCAGTTTGACCCAATACTTTACGACTGAACGAAATTGCCATGATCTTGCCCGTTTGCGTGGAACATATCATGAGATCTTTTAAAAACTCTTCAAAGGAAACGTCTTTCACAGACTTCGTCACAGTTTGCAAACCATTGCAATTTGCCAAACAGGAGAACTCCTCGAGAGTAATCCCATCTCGTTCTATATCCTTTAGTGAACGACAGCAATCCAACATATCTTGATCATACCAACGCCACGACCCCTTCCACAGGCGACCTGGGTCTACCTTCAAGGAATTAAGGATCATGCACAAAGTACCTATTCCGCAAAAGGCTGGCTCATTTTGAGTTACCATTTGCTGAGCTAGAGTAAAGTAATTTTCCATGTGACCTTCTTGGAGCGCCTTTAAGAACACCTGCTTGCCCTGGTGCGAGTCGAACGCCAAGCATTGAGGTGGAAGTGTTCTCTTATAAAACGATTTATTATTAAAAACCGGCAATCGAGTAGGTGGAGACATTCTTTCTTTGACAATGTTTGGCATAGTATCAGCTACTTTTGCAGATGTTATGTATTTTCGTAAGCTTTGTCCTAAAAACTTCATGCAAGCTTTAAAGAGAACGAAAGGAGAAACAGAAAACAAAGAAATAAATAAAGAAATCAAGAAATCAAGAAAATCCAAAAAAGGCAGTTTATATTTTGAGCAGAGTACTTACGATGTATAGAGCATCAATTGCGACTTGTAAAGTAATTTTTTTTTGTTTTAAGTATGAAATATTCAACGTAAGAAATTTTAGGCGTCAACAAAATAACCCAAATAGTCTCAAGAGAGCGTTTTAGTTTGCCAGTGCTTCAATTTCTTCCAGATCTTGGTTTTCCAAAATTCCACACAAAATTATAGGATATAATAAAATATTGTATTTCTCCTTAATAACAACAAATTAAAAGAAGAATGGATCTGTCTTATTTCATATAGAATTGATGCACTTGGGAAGTTTGCCAACAGAAATGGGTTGGAGTAACAATGTACTCTTACTCAATATGCTCACATACTCTTAGAGGCTCTACTAGATATGGTCCTTTATATTTCCCTTTGAAGTGCTTTTTTCTATATTAATTGAAACTCCAATGATTTAATCATTCTCAACCTTTTCAAAGTAGTTACTATTTAAGGAATCGCCAATTTAAACCAAAATTTATATAATCTTCAACAATCGACCAACTCTTTCGAAAACGGTGCTAAAATGAGTGCACCTAAGTCCATAAACATCAGAAGAAAAAGCAGCGAAAGCAATAGTAACAATATTGTTGGCTCGTACTCAAGCAGACGATCTCAGCAGATAAATCGCTTATCGCATTCTCCTATGCAGGAAGGATTTCTCTCTCAACAAAAAGATTTTAAAGATTCACAGCCAAAGAATGATACACCTTCTTCTCAATCAAACTGGCTGTCTAGTCGTCCGTCTGAACATGAAAGACCAGTGTACGCAAATTATGGTTCTCTTGCACGTGAGGAAAGAGTACCGCATCGTCTAGGACTAATTTCTGATGATATGTCAACTACAGAAGACCCAAACATTGTTCGTCGTCACTTAAACACAAAGATTTCAAGAAACGACGATGACTTTTCGTCCTTACATCTGCAAGGTGGTGATGTTCATCGACAGGTGTATCGTTGGCAAGAAGAAATGGATCAGAATCAAGTCATACGTCGTGGGCGCTCTCGTTCTTTTTCAGCTTTAAATCCCAATACTAACGATTTGGGTAGGAATATCCAAGACTTGAAACAAGCTGGCGGTATGCGAAGAGATTTCCTTTTAAACCGACCTAGTAGCGCTTCCCTAGGAGCCCCTAGCAACTTATCTGTACAACCAAATTTTTTAAATAGAAATTTTATTGAGTTTCTTTCCGTTTATGGACATTTTGCTGGTGAAGAATTGAGTGAAGAAGATGAAGAGGAGGAAGAAGATTTTGCCATGCCCAGACGCGTTACTCCATCGATGATCCAATCTTCTGATATCTTGGAGGAAGAGCCTTTGCTTGGTTCTCAACAGATCCGTCATAAAACATTACCAAAAGGTAGTGCTTCCAATGGCAAGGCTGTACTTCTTTTATTGAAATCATTTGTTGGAACCGGTGTTCTTTTTCTACCTAAAGCGTATGTTTTGTATGATATTGATGATTATTAACTTATACTTAGTTTTTTATTGGGTGGTCTTGTTTTTTCTAGTATATGTCTTCTGGTGGTGGGACTCTTATCCCATATCTGTTTTCTTCTTCTTATTGAAACGCGATCAAAAATACCTGGGAGTTTCGGTGACATTGGCGGCACTTTATATGGCCCCAAAATGCGATTAGCAATTTTAACTTCCATCGTTATATCTCAAGTGAGTCTCTTTACTAAGTGATTTTCATTCTAACCAATTTAGATTGGATTTGCTAGTGCATATATATCATTCGTGGCCAGTACTTTACAAGCGTGCGTACGCGCTGTTTTAGCATCCCATAAAGAGTATCATGTTGCCGTTTTTATATTTTTACAATTCCTTGTCTTTGTTCCTTTGTCGATGGTTCGGAAGATATCAAAACTCTCAGCTACTGCATTAATCGCTGATGCCTTTATCCTTCTTGGAATATTGTACCTTTATTTCTGGGATGTCTTTACTTTAGCAACGAAGGGCATTGCCGACGTGGTTTTGTTTAATAGAACAGATTTTAGTCTATTTATTGGCGTTGCTATCTTCACGTATGAAGGTATCTGTCTTATTCTTCCTATACAAGAGCAGATGGCAAAACCCAAAAATCTTCCTAAAGTCTTATCAGGAGTGATGCTCGCTATTTCCCTTTTGTTTATCTCAATTGGTGTTGTTTCGTATGCAGCTTTCGGATCGAAAGTGCAAACCGTTGTCATCCTTAACATGCCTCAGAGCTCTTTCACGGTTGTCATTCAGTTTCTCTATGCTGTAGCTATTTTACTCAGTACACCATTGCAATTATTCCCTGCTATAGCAATTATTGAACAGGGGATATTCACGAGAAGCGGTAAACGTAATCGTAAAGTGAAGTGGAGGAAGAATACATTGCGTGTGTTTATTGTCATGTTCTCCATTTTAGTGTCTTGGGCGTATGTTTAAATCCATGTTTGGTGTTCAGTGTTACTAACTGAATATTATAGGGGATCTTCTCGACTAGATCAATTCGTCAGTATGGTTGGTAGTTTATGTTGTATACCATTGATTTACATGTACCCTCCCATGCTGCATTATAAGGCATGTGCGACGACGTGGAAACTTCGTGCTCTTGACATAACCATGTTCGTTATTGGTTTTGTTTCTATGATCTTTACGGCATATATGACTTTATTCTAGTTTATGAAGTTTACTTGTTTATTATCTTATGGATTAGAAATTATATTGAACTTTGTCAAATTGCTCAAGGTTCTCCTCCATTCCTTGTTTTTCCTTTAGAAGAAGTCTTTGATTTTTTGCTCCCATCCAGGTGATATTGACGAAGATTCATCTTAGTTATAGGCATACTATTTAATTAATTTAATTTTATGAAATTCTATTTAACTCATGAAGACTAAAATATGCGTAACTTCTCATAATATAAACCATTTCATTCATTGTTAAACCAAAATGAGAGCATAGATGAAAAAAAAATAAAAAAAGTAAACAAGAAGATTTCAACTCAAATACTCAATTATTGTAGAGTATGGTGTTTGAAGCCTTCCAGCTATGAAGAGTTAGAGTCTGACTTTCTCCCTATATTGTTCTGTTAACAGACTAACTGACTTTTCGTCAAATTTGCATTTAATTTTTAAGAATGCTTTAAAAAAAGAAACGATTTTTTTCGGTATATTTTAAATCGAAGATACAAGCATCGTTTCTATCTAATTATCGGGTGTCTAATATATCATGTCAAGGATACTAGTAAAGGAAGTAGTTCGGGGGCTCGGTGCAGTTTATTCTAATGCATACAGACCCAATCTACCATCTCATAAAAGACTTGTAGCTTCATATGAGCCAAGTCAAGCCGTTTTACGGAAGTCAACAAGTCGATTGATGCAAGTTGGATATACGCCAGACAAAGCGAAGGCATTTACAAACTTAATGCAAAGGATTACTGCGGAAGCGTATGTTAATTGAAGAGGCTATAATTACTAATAATTTGGATTAGACTTACGGAGTTGGAGAAAAACATAGGGTTGAAGGCGAAGCAAGATTCTGTGTCATTCCAGCAGAAAAAGACATTTATCCAAATCCGAAATTATCTAGAGACGATTGAAGAACAGGAATTCGATAAAATTAGACAAAGCTCACAGTCACTCGTTCAGGAAGTTGAAAAAATGAAATCGTCTGTTCGAGACGATGTCAAGTCATCGCTTGCAGAAGTTCGATTAGCACTTAACTTGGAGAAAGGACGTATGAAAGATGCGGGACTTCGAAAGAACAACTCTGTTCAAGATACCGAGGAAAAGATCATCAAGGAAGTAGAACTTCTAGCTGATGAAATTAAGAGCATGAAGATCCAAACGAACCAATGGTTTATGGGGTTCCTCGGAATTCTTTCATCTGTCTTGATCTTTATTTTATTTTACTTTTAGTTAAAAGAACTTCACGACTAGCGCACTAATGAGATTTATTGATGTACTCTAATATCTATCGAAATCGAAAAGAACCTCCAAAAGCTTAGCTATCTAGCTAACATAATGAATTCATTAAATAGTATTTTTTTGATATAAACATAAAGGCCATAAACTATACAAAGCTAAAGCAAGGTTTGACCCAAGCTTGTACGGATGATGGATCGAGCCAAATTGACAGTGGCTTCCGAGTCCTCCTCATTGCCCAAGCGAGGGTTGACCTCCATAACATCGATGGCAACCAAGGTGCTAGTTTCAGCTGTTGCTTCACAAAGATACATGGCTTCACGAAAAGTCAACCCACCGGGAACACGAGTGCCGGTGGAAGGAGCAACTGCGGGATCGCATGAATCGACGTCAAAAGACAAGTGAACGGGGTGACGGTTGCCGGGGTTAATGTGCTCCAAAGCCATTTCTATAACCTTAGAAATACCGTACTTGTCGACGTGATGCATGGTAAAGGCAGCAATGTTGTGTTCACGAAGGAAGGCACGTTCTTGGGGATCCAAATCACGGAGACCGATAAAAGCGAGACGCTTTTCGTCGATGACACGTTTTGTCCAGGCAAACTCGGGAGGAACAGGGTCAACATAGCCAAGGGAGAAGGCTAAGGGACAGCCGTGAAGATTTTTCGAGGGAGATGACTCTGGGGTATTGATGTCAGCGTGAGCATCAATCCAAAGAACGCAAGCATCGTCGTATACAGATTGAACGCCCTCAATAGTGCCCATGCCCAAAGAATGATCACCACCAACGTTGACAACAAGACGTTGTTGACTCAATTCTTGTTTGACTGTGTCACGCACCTGTCGGCATACATCACTGACATATTGAGGGTTCTTAATGATGTCCTTGCTAGGACCCTCGATCTGAGGAGGGGTTTTAAAGGAAGGATTTTGAATGTAACGAACAGAGTAACCCAAATTTTCCAAATCACTTTGAATACCGGCTTTTTCAATCAATTCAGGAGCATCCTCGGTACCTTTCTTGGGCTGACCACCCGAGAAAGGCAAGTTGATAATGGAAACCTGATTGGTTTGGATAAATTTGTTAAGCATAGAAAGACGATGGGGCAGCATTGAATGGTTCTTGTCTATTAGTATAATTGTTGGTTTCTTATTTCCTTCTTTATGTATCGGGACAACCTCCTCTATCGCTGTTAAAAGATGAGTAATGACACGAAAAGGTATCTAGTTTTTGGAGAAGGAAGAATTATACAATGTCTTTTATAAAATCTTAAGACTGTTTTTTGTAGTGTTAGTATTCATCCGCTGTTTTATTTTTTACTTTTTCGCACTTATATTTCGGGCTTTACGGAGCTTTCGAGTTTTATCTGATAAGAATGACAAATAAATATCCTGCACTGTATATGGTTTTAAGCTTCGTTTATGATCCAATCATGTACTAGCTTCGGAACGTTCTAGGTTTTTTATATTCAATCAAATAAGAGAACGGATAATCTGATCGTTTCTTTAGCATTTATTGGTCCGCACAATTATTTACACATGACGACATATATAAACAAAAAAAGAAAGGAAGATCCTGAAAGACCAAATCGATAGGACTTAAAAGTCTCTATTTGTATATGTATATGTCTTTGTATTGCTTCTTACTCTTTCTTTTTTTTTCTCTTGAACCGCAATGATACATAACAAATGGGCTAAAATAGTGGGTGGATATAAAAATCTATTGCATCGGAAATCATAACTAAATTCGTTTCACTTAGAAGCAAGTAGAAACTAGAAACTACTTCATTTCATGCTTATTCGTTCTTTTTTAACTCCATATAGTCGATAGCGGCCAATCGATCCGTCAAAATGGGATGGCTATGATGATAAGAGGTATAAAGAGGATCGTACTCCAAAGGCGAAAGGTTATCGTTGTGAATACGAATCAAACCATCTCCCAAATCCTTAGCAAGCCCAAGCTTCTTGGCAAAAGCATCAGCTTGATATTCACAAAAGCGAGAAATTTTATTAGAACCATATGTCAAAAGGGAAGACACGGGTCCAAGGGCGTCGGAAAACAATAAAAGGCCAATAATTACGGGCTTCTCCTTTGTAAAGTCAAATGCTTCATAAAGACTGTCGTTACGCAAAAATGCTGCAAACAAAAACAACTGAGCGAGACTCATGCTGTAATCCACTAAAGTGTGAATCATGTTGTGCGACAAGTACCAGTGACCAAGTTCATGTCCCAAAATGGCAAGCAATTCCTCTTCAGTATGATTCTTAACCAAGGTGTCAAACAAAACAATACCCTTGTTCCAAGGAAGGCCGTAAAAAAATGCGTTGGAATGAGCTGAACGGCGACTAGCGTCAATCACATAAAGCTTTTTAAGGGGAAATTTGATAGAGGCGGCAAGGTCCTCAATCTTTGAACGTAAAGAGCCCTGTTCCAATGGAGTAAATTTGTAGAAAAGTGGCATAATAAGAGAAGGTGCAATGGATTGTAAAACTAAGCCAAACATAATGTAGGCACCCCAAGCATAGAGAACAAAGTTGTCACCAAATTTTGTTGTAATTTTTACGAAAATGGAAACTAGGAAGCTCATTAATACACCACCAATGGTAAGCTCTTTAAAGAGGTCCATAAAGAAAATTTTCAAGGTGGACTTGTTGAATCCGTATTTTTCTTCAATCCCAAAAGTAGAGTACAAAGAAAATGGAAGCTGAATGAGGCTAGAGAAGACAGTGAGAGCAAATAAGAATACACAGGAGTGAGAAATAGGGACGGATAAACTAAACTTAGAAGCAGAGGCTGCCAAGCGATCCATCCAAGCGAACTTTGTAAGATTCCACAAGTAAGAAAGACCATTAAATTTGATTAAGAGAAGATCAGTTACTAAGGCAAAAGTAGAAGTGATTGTGCTCAAAAACGATTTATCTCTAGCATAAGCCAAAGCCTTCTGGTACTTCTTGTCGTCGACATGCTCGGCCAAAACTGCAGGTGGACTATCCTTTAACAAGTAGGGAGCCTGTCTGCGTTGCAAATATAAATCCCACACGTATTTGCCTATCGAGAACCCGGCAATCACTGTTTTCCAAGGAAATCCTGGAAAGTCCAGGGCATGCATTAATTGCTAAATAAATCAGTTAGATGTGAACATAGATTATACATTACGAAAGTGAAGTTCGTTTATTATTTTCATGTTTGATATGCCGTGCAACTTTTTAGTACATTGTATTTCAACAAATGAAACCAACTGCTAGAAAATAATTTGCTTTTTTCACTTATGATTGTCGAAACCATACCTGAAGAACCCCCATTCTTTTATTGCTAGAAATGGAAGAAATATCTGAAATTTCTAACAAAGCGTGGTTGTTGGTTGAGGTACAGAAAGTTCGCAACGGATATCTTGGCCATGACCCAAAGTCGATTCTCTGAGTAATTAAGTTGTATTCACTTTTAGTTCCTTAAGAATTTTTTTTAAATAAAAATAAATAAAGTAAACCTTTACTGCATTTTGGAACTCCAACTTCTCCAGCGTGTCCGTCCGTTAGAAATCATAAAAAACAATTTTTATTACTTATTAATTATACATAATTATTTGAAAAGCTGTTTTTTGAGTTAGACAGTACAAGGCTCGTCAGGTTTCTTATTGTAATTTACGTAAGGTTTTGTTGTCACGAAGTAATATTTCCTTCCAGCTTTATTTGAGCTAGAAAAACGAAACATTTAATCTTCATTCTTACTGACATTCAATTTCTAATTGATTGAGTATCTTTTAAGTACAATACTCTGGCTAAAATTCTTTACCACCCCGTAATTGCTTTGCTTCAATTCACCACTCACTCCATTTTCGAGTTTTTCCGTTATAGCACAGGGAAACGCTCTTCTTATGATCGAAACATATTCAGATAGCTAATTATATCTGATAAATTGTAGTTGATGCTCATATCTAGTCTTGCAAGGTCATCTGCGAGACTTGTGCAATCTCACGGGCTTCGATTAGTACCTGTATTCAACTGTTCATCAACTCTTTATGGAATAGGAGAAAGAAATAATTGTCGGCAAATTTATACCTTGAATGGAACGCCTTTGGTTAGACATGAAGGAAATGATCAAACTCGTCTTTCTACAGACCAAATCTTTCGCGCGTTTCGCGTCCAGAAGCGTCTTTTAGAATTAGGAGGATGTTTTCGATTATATTCGACTGAAATCCCTTCAAAACCGCGTATACCTCCTCCTCCTCCTCCTCCTTTATTACCTTCTACCTCATTGAAACCGCCAAGAAAACCTTTGCTTACCCGATTTTTTTCTAGGATAAAGAATGTTCTTTTTAGACAAAACAAATTTTTAACGCTTGATAATGTTACTGCTTTTTTCAGCTGGTGGCTCGTCAGTCATCTTGTTTGGATCATCCTTGGAACGACTACTTTCTTTTCTATATTGTTGTACACACTTAATTCAGTCTCGACTCAGGAATATTTTGGAAAATGGATTGGCCAATTGATGACAAAAAATACTGGGTTTGAAGTTGTCTTTGAAAGCGCAATCGTACCTAACTGGAGAAAAGGTTTAATTACATTTAACAAAATTCAGGTTCGAAGACGACCGGAAGCTTCATCAACAAGTTTAGAAAAGTCCTCAGATAGGCCTGACTATGAAGAAAAATATATGGCGCTACGGCAAAAATTTGATTACGAATCATCACCTTCGGTGTCTGAAGATCTTTCTGTGTTGAAGCAAGGAAACTATACCCAATTTGACTTGTCGATAGACAAGGCTGATGTTTCTTTCAGTTTTGCAAGGTTTCTGAATGGAAAAGGAATTGTTAAAGAGCTTGTCATAAGCGGAGTTCGTGGTGTTGTTGATCGACGATTTGTTCAGTCGGATCTTTCAATAGATCCTAGGTCATATAGAAGACAGCATAATTGGGGAGATTTTGAAATTGAACGCTTCAAACTAGAAGACTTGAGAGTTACGCTTTTGCAACCCGATAATTTTAGACCATTTCCTGTTAGCGTATTTTTCTGTGAACTTCCCAAGCTAAGGAAACAATGGCTATTTTATGATGTAATGAATGCCACAAATTTGACAGGAAGTTTTGATAACAGCATGTTTACGGTACACAGATTGCAGCTCAAACCTGCTTCGCCCTATATGAAACCGTATGAACAATCACCAGATATGCGACATAGCAGACTTAGAATTGATAATCTTGCTATTGACCATTTAAATCGAGGGGTTTCCGGAGCCTTTGGGTGGATTAACGATGGAGCAGTTGACTTCTCAGTTAACATATCTTGTCCATTAGAACATGCTCAAAGTTCATTGAAGCGTTACATAAATCAAGTTTTAGTGAATGCTAAATTGACAGAAAAGAAAGAATATCCAGTTCCAGATGTATATTTTGATGTGGATGTTCAATTGCATAATCCAAAAGCGGCTATACCCATTTTTACAAATCAGATGGGCTACGTGAATAATGCCTTACTTCGACCGATCGTTGCTTACATTAATTCTACCCGTACCTTTATTCCTATTATGTGCCATTTATCGAAACCGTTGTCAGACTTTGATGGGAGCTGGACCTTTTATGATAGTGGTGTACTGCAAGAAATATCTTCGCAGGTAAGTATGACCCTATTTGGATCTGTAAAAAGAAAATTATTTCCAAGAAGTCCATAGGACATTGTAGGTCGGTGTTTGGCGGATAACTATGTAATGTATTATTACTAACATTTGCTAAGGTATATGATTCATTCGCAGAAGACGTGGTTAATCAGGAGCTTCGAAGGAAAAGAATTCGTAAAGTTGGGTATTGGAGTTTACAAAGTATCTTACGTCTCATTCTATTGTCATTACAGGAGTTAGCTCCTACTCCAGCGCCAGTCTCACAGGCCAGTTAACAGTTAAACATTACGGACATTTTGAAGATTATAATAATGAAAAACACTGCATTACAGGTACATTAGGAAGAATGTCATCTGAAAGGAAATATGAATTTTTTTTCTGTTTGTAAAATAAAAATCCTCTTCTAGTTTTTTGATCAATAATATTTATTAATCATATTCATGATGACCTTGGTTCCACTTGGATTTTGATAGATATACAAGCATCAATCGTCCAGCCTTTTTTTTGGGTTTATAGAATATAGAAACGGAATAAAGACATTGATACTAAGAAGGCATCATACATTGAGTCATGTAGTCTTGCGATAAAGAAATTGAATTAAAGTGAGAAAAATGAAGAAATAATACCTATAACCAATTACACTGTGTTAATTTTATGCTGAAGACTTTTGAAAGGCGATTTCGGTTCGATTTTTCTGGTTTTCCTCTCGCTTTCTGATTAAATCCTCTTGTGCCTCTCGTAGCGATTTCGCATAGGCTGAGTTGGGAAGACATTGAGGTATCCAAGTAGCGGAAGGCATCATGGATGCCATAGGATTAGATATACCCGCATACTCTTGCAGAGTATCTAACAACTGAGGATTTAAGAAATTCTCATTTTCCACAAGGCGAGCATGGAAGTGCACATTTTTCCTTTTCAATTCTAAGAATTGTTTTATTTTTTTCTCCAAGAAGCTATCACTATCTCCTTTTGGTGACGAAGGGAAACGCCAATTATTCATTTCTGATGGTGCCCATAATGATTCCTCATTCTCTATATCCTGAGCTTCTTTCTCTTCGTCTGATTCGTAATTTACTAACGACATGATTCCTTGCTGAGGGAAAATAAGTATACAATATATATATATTATTTCACCTGCTGATCATGAATAGACATAGTATGCTATCCTTTGGTGGAGTAGTTCTATTCTACAGTCTAAAAGATTCAGTCAAAGTCTATGCTTTTTTTCCTTGTTAAGTAATCGAAAATAAAGTATTTAAACTATTATTTATAATTAATGAAGTAGAAGTAATTCAAGTACTTAAACCTTTCTATCAAAAATGCCGCGAATAACATGGTCAATTCTTAATATTTACATTTACAAATCAAAAATAAAATCTCACTGATGGATGAAGTGTTAGTTTTATTTTATAAATCTTCGAGTCAAATTGACTCATTCTTTTCAATTTCTTAGCACATAATGTTATATTCAGTTAGGATTGTTAGTTGGTAATGACTGTAATTTGCTATACTTAGTAATTCATCGTTGATGACAATACTTGGTAAAGAAAAAAAGCTAAACCAAGGATATCATAATTCACTTACAATAGAAAAAAAAAACTGGAACTGTGATAAGTACATTTATTTTATTTCATTTTTTTTCCTGATTATGTAAATAAACAAAGCAACTATGGAAGTAACATCGTTACCCTCGGTTTTTCTCATTTCAGCTATGTATGAAATTAACCAAGAGCCACCTTTAAGTCGCCTATTTGTGAAATACAATACAAGTAGGATAGATCTTTATAGAGGGTTCTTCTAGTCATCTTCTTGCTTTAGAAGATACTTCCTCCGGCATATCAGCGATTATTATCGTTTCAGTTAAGTAAACTGGAGAAGATTCGTTACATACACGCTGATCAGGACTAGTTATTTGCACAAATGATTTCAAAGAGACCTGAATTGGAATTTCGACAAATTGCTTCTGAGCGACTTTTAAGTTATGAAGTAAAAAAATGGATCAACGATGTCACTGGCTTTACGGTCGCGTGTGTAAATACTCCCACTACTAGAGTCAATGGCTCGTTTGTCGTAGCTACCGAAGCTCATGACAATTCTGGTTGTCCTCACACTTTAGAGCATTTATGTTTCATGGGGAGTAAGAAATACCCCATGAATGGCATCCTAACCAACTTCGCTGGAAGAGCATGTGGTGACATTAATGCTTATACAGACGTTGACTGTACAGTTTACGAGCTATCTTCGGCGGAAGAAGACGGATTTCTAAGACTGCTTCCTGTTTTTGCCGATCATGTGTTATTCCCACTGCTTAGCGAGGATGCTTTTTGCACAGAAGTATATCATATTAATCAGTTCGGGGAGGAGTCGGGAGTCGTGTATTCTGAAATGCAAGATTCTCAAACTTCTGAAGTTGATGTTATGTTTGATTGTATTAGAACAAATCAATATCCCCCTTCCAGTGGTTATTTCTACGAGACAGGAGGGCACCCGGACGAGCTTCGTAAACTATCTATTCAACAGATTCGTGATTACCACAAGTCTATGTATGTTCCCTCAAATATCTGTCTCGTCGTTGCTGGTTCGATAAACGAAGAACGCCTTCTTGAAACTTCTTCTTCGATAGTTAGAGATATCATTGAAAATGATTTAAAGACTCCTGAAGGGTGGGTACGACCATGGTCCCAAAAAGACGGTAACGGTCAAATTCCTAAATCTTTAGTCAAAAGTGTAAACTTTTCTTCGGAAGATGAGTCGACAGGTTCGCTTTCGATTGCATGGAATGGTCCTACTTTATTAGATCAATTTAAAATATTTGCTATACAAACAATTTGCGATTTCCTCAGCGAGTCAGCTGTGTCTCCTCTCAAACAAGCTTTCGTTGAGATCGAAGATCCATTTTGCTCTTTCATATATTTCTACGTTTTTCCAAAAGATCCCTGTTCCATCCAATTATTCCTTGACAGTATTCCTGTCGAAAAGATAGATGGTTTGGTTGAGAAGGTTATATCTCTTTTATCCAATCTCCAAACTATCGACATGAAGAGACTGCATGATTATCTGGATACCCAAAAAAATCAGTATCTTACCGCGCTAGAGGTGACTCCACGCTTATTATTTACAAAGATTCTTACACTCGACCACGTTTACGGCAGTAGAGATGGGTCAGATATCTCAAAGTTTATGGAGAGTTTGTCCTACAACGAGGAATTAAAAAAATGGACCGAAAAGAATTGGGTAAATCTTATTCGTTCTACTTTTATCGAAAATAATTCCATTTCAGTTTTGGCACTGCCTTCATATGAAATGGCGGAAAGAGTTAAGCAAGAAACCAATAAAACGTTGAGTGATAGAGTAAATACTCTTGGTAAAGAAGGTTTGGAGACTATAAAACACAAGCTCGACTCTGCGAAAGCAATGAACGAGCAAAAGCTTCCTTCTCATTTAGTTTCCTCATTTAAAATTACTCATCCCAGTCAGATACATTTTTATAACTCTACAACGGCGAAAACAAAGTGGTCAGGACAAGCTTTTGAGAATGATGTTCAAAAGTATGTTGATTCTGACGAAAAGAATCTTCCATTATATGTACAATTTGATCATATAGATTCATCGTTTGTTACTATTGTTACGTATTTCGATACCGCTAACATCCCTCCGGCTTTGAAACAATATCTCTCCGTATTTGCTAAATACATTTTAGCAGCTCCAGCGGAATTAGAGAATCTGGGAATTATTTCCCACGAGGAGGTTGTAAAGCGATTGGAGCGTGATACCGTGCTCTTTGATGCATCTTTATTATTTGACAAGCCTTCTTGTTCGTATTCTTACTATGAAACGAAGCGAGAATTGTTTTACCTTGAATGTCGGGTAACTAGAGAAAACTACCAAAAGGGTATCTATTGGATAGGAACATTATTAACGGCAACTTTATGGGACAAGAATAGGCTGTTGTCTGTTATAAATCAACTGTTGGCCGATATTCCTTACCAGAAAAGAGATGCTGAATGCGTTCTGCCATCCTATATTGACATAAGACTGTACAATGAATACTCTTTGAAGTCTTCTTTGAACACATTAACTCAAGAAAAGGTTCTCCGTGAGCTTCGTCAAAAACTTATTAACAACCCTGCGGAGGTATTTTCGTTCTTTGATGATTTGAGAAAGCATTTATTGCAATCTATGTGCCCACGAGTACATGTGGTAGGTAATATACTTCAAACGGCTAATGCCGCCTCGTCCTGGACGAACTTTGTCACTCAAATCCTTCGAAAGAAGGCCCCAGGATCTCAGATCCCAACTTCTTTTTCAAGACTTTACTTGCAAGAAGACGAATTTAAGTCACATAGCTCTCTAACGGTTATACCTATGCCTTCTAATGAAAGCAGCGATTTAGTTGTTGCCATTCCCGGCATTAAAGATTGGAATGACCCCGATCTTCCCATAGTAGTTTTGATAGCAAATTATTTGGGTTTGATGGACGGTCCTTTTTGGAACAGAATACGTGGTTCTGGCTTGGCATATGGATTCAATATGGGAATAGACATTGATGGAGGATTACTATTTTACTCTATCTTAACTTCATCGGACGTTTATAGAGCTTGGTCATCTAGTAAAGATCTTTTAAAATCAATCATCTCTGGAAAAGTTTCAGTTAACAATTTTGATTTGGAGTCCGCCAAGTGCATGGCGTACAGTACAGTATCGGAGCTTGAAAACAATGCCTTTTATTCTGCTAAGAACTCTTTTACTTTGCTTTCGATCAAAAATTTAACGAAAGATTGGGATCGCATCTTTTTGGACAGGATTGCTGCCGTTACGATTAATGAATTTATGGAAAGTCTTAAAAAGTACTGTTTACCATTCTTTTCTCCAAAAAACAATTTGGCTGTTCTAACGTCTTCACTGTCAAGATTAGATCAAACCGTTTCTGAGTTTCAGTCTGAAGGATTTGATGTTAGCGTGAAAAGTATTCATGAGATTCAAGGTTTGGAGCCTAGCTCAGATGAAGAATCAGAATCAGATGAAGATGGTGAAACTGCTTCTGAAGCTTCTGAGGAAGAATAACTATGGTTCATTGAGTATTAACGGCGATTTGCTATTTTTCCTTCTGGACTAGTATAAATTAAAAATGTTTATTTATTCAATACTGAATGTATCTAACAGATACAAAATAAGAAATTTTCAATTCTTTTATTTTTAGATCTTGTGGGGTTAAGCGTAGTTTATTTTTGTAAACTTGTTATTGCCAAAAGACGCGAGGTTGCTGTTCAAGTCGCGGCTTCTTACGAAAAACCTATTTGCTTCTAGTTTAAGCGTTCATGTCTCAAAAAGTGTAATTAACAAGGGTTACTTGTTGGTAATATATATAAAACCAAAAAACTTAAGAAATGGCATCTATTTTAAAGCACGATACCGTAAGCAAGGTATGGATACGATGAATATTTAAAAAGTGATCCCAAACTAATGAAGAAACTATAGGGATGTTATTATGTGAAACCTCGTAGAAAGGAAGAAAAACAGCCTTTGCAAGTAGACGATTTGTTTGTTCCTCTAATCGGAAATCAAGAACCTATGGAATGGGTGAATTTACGAAGGGAACTTTGTCGGAATGTTATGGAAGAATTAAATCATATTGTGCATCAAGCGACTTCTGAAAGCAATGCAAAAGTGATTCAACAGTTAACGGAGCATGCGCTAAAGAGTACTTCAGATGGAAAAAAACTGAAAGCCGCAATTCTGTGCGACGGTAGCAGAAATACGTTTCATCTCCGATTTTTTGAGCAGTTAAAGGAAAGGCTTTATCAGCTGGGTTCGAAACGGTTTGTTGTGCTGGATCTGAAGAACTGCACTGACCTAAAATCCTGTTTTCGACAAATTAAAGGTGGCTCGTTTGGCCTTGGAATTTTATCTTATGATATGGAAGAATTGGGAGAAAGTATTACTTTGATCTTACAAAACGTTGAGGATTGTGATCGGCGATTGCTAAGCGCATTAATGGAGGCACTGAATATGATCTCGCAAAAGTCCGAGGAGCACCAGGTGTATTTAATATTTAATCTAAAGATACCGCTGGAACTTTTCGATGCATCTCTGGATGCTACGTTTTTTAGGCATGTGGAGCCGGAGGTATTTAACATGAAAGCGACGACGGAGATTTTAGAAAGTATGTTTACTCTTATCGACGAGAACCTTAGTTTGAAATTTGGATGGAGAAGTAGAAAACTCTTTCGTTCGATGTTTTATGAAAGATCGTGGAGTGTTGAAAAAGTAGTTAATTGCTTGCGCTATGGTATACTTACACATTTCTATGGAAATGCTCTTAGCCCTTTACCCTATATAATTGAAAGTAATCAAATGGAAAAGATTTCGCGCTTTTACTTGTCTGTGTTACGAACTGTGCCGAGCTTTCAGCACGGAATTGAACAGATGCTACGGGATGTAGGGACAAGTACAAAGGAGTACATTCAGGATCTGTTGGAAAATGATGAAGTATTTTTAAGGTATATAAAAAGCAACTTTGATGGCCTGGCAAGAAGAGAAAGATTTCTGCGAGAGCATGTAAAATGCTGGCAAACGTTGGAAGCTCATATGGAGCGGTCGACAAAGGTGGCATTTGGAGAGTATATGGAAATGTTCCTAGAAGGTCTGTGGCTGGAAAGTGAAGAATATCAAAATCTACGGAAAGATATGTTGCGATTGAATTCTCGGCAAGCGTTTCGTTGCATGGAACACCTGATGAAGCATGTATTTTCTGGGATGCGCATGAATAAAAGCCATGAACTTGCAGAGGAGCTCGAACAACTTGTGAATGGATCGAAAGGCAAGTATTTAGAGACGGTGGAAATGCGAATGAAGAATTATAGCGGAACAGAACATACACGAAAAGTGATGGAAACTGGATTTGACAAAAGCATTCTCCGGTACTCGAGATGGCTGAAAGAACTAGTACAATTGTTGGATGAAGAAATTGAAGAGGGAAGATTGGGAATGCAAGGGATTGATGCGTATCCGTTTTATGAGATTTTCTTTTTCGATTACCGACGCCCACTAGAACAAGGATTTTTGTCTGGACACCAAAGAAGCGTCATCCATAGCTCGTGTATGAACCCAGAGTATTACATTGGAATGCAGAGGAATGAAGGGAGCTCGAAAGAAGGTCAAAGTCAAAGTGAGAGTCGATCATGGGTACCGGATTTATCGATTCTGTACAAGCTGTATAGTGAATCAGGAGCATTTTTAAACCTGTATGATTGGTACATGGCATTTTCGGAGAACTTGCAAGTATCGTCTACGGAAGAGCAGTGGCAGATGAAGCCGGGGTTGAAAAAGCGCAAAGTCGCAGGGGAGGAGGAGCCAAAAGGAGAAAGTGGGAGGGAGAGCAGTGAGAGCGAGAGAGAAAACGAGGCGGATTTGGAGAAGAGTATTGATATGGATGAGAAAGCAAGCATGGAGAATGTGGAATTACAATCTCGGTTTTTATTTGGACTTGAAGAATTGCGATTTTTAGGGTTGATTAAGCCGACAACACGCAAGACTGACCATGTGATGAAGACGATTTATCATCATTAAAGAGAAAGAGTTTGTTGAATTGAAGGGGGGTTTTTTTTGATTGCTCGCGGATATACATTTGATTAATTTTGTTTTTCTTGATCTTTTCTTTCAACTATTCTTTGTATATTCTATGCTATCCTTATGCTATGCTATGCTATGTTGCTTATCGTTACTACGATATTCGCTACTACGTTATCACAAAGAAAAAGACAATTAGGTGGTAGGAAAGCGAGAGAGGGAGAAAGGAGAGAAAAAGGAGAGTAAAAGAATTTGTTGAAAAGGATTTTTTCTTTTTCTTTTTATTTTTATTTTTCGAATCTGCGTCAACTTACAACAGGAAACGAGAACGATAGCGACAAAGGGAAAAAAAGAAAAACAGACACATGCGCTACAAACACGACAAACACACATTCCTCACAACAGATACAACAGTAATGCGTTGTTTTTTCTTTTCTTTTCTAAAAAAGATGGAAAAGAATTGGATTCTGTTAATTTTGAATGAATTTTCTATTAAGGACCCCTCCTTCAACTAGTGACTCTCGCTAACCTTTTACGTAGGGTATATGGTGCCTCTCCTTCGGTCGGTAGGTGAGTAGGTAGATGAGAAGGGAGGAAGGACAAAAGGAGAAAAGCAGGTCAGATCGAAAGGAGATCAAGAGAGGAGACGAAGCAAGGCGAGAGTCGAGTCGAGTCGAGTCGTGGTTGGAAGAAGAGGAGAAACATGCCTTTTTTTTGTTTTTGTTTTTGTTTTTCGGTTTCCAGCTTTTTATTTTTTATTTTTTGTTTTTTTATTTTTTTTTACAATATTCTTGTCATTCTTGTCATTGTATTGTAAGGAAAAAAAAAAAAAAGGCCGCAAATCAAATCAAGAAAAAAACAAAAACAAAACCCCCCAACGGAAACCTGAACAATCTACCCGATCAGATCTCGATGGTTTCGCAAGAATGAATCGGCCGACAAGAATATTGGTTTGTTTGTTTTGGTAATGTTTGCTATGCCATTGCTATGCCAGTGCCAGCAGCTGCTGTGTTTTGCCATGTTTTACTGTGTTATCCTGTTTGCTGTGTTGCATTGTACTCTGCTCTACTACAACTAGACACTAGGACTAGACGAATGTATTCAATACGGATGGATGGATGGATGGATGGTCATAAAAGTGAAAACAAAAGCAAAAAAGAAAATTGAAAAAGAAAAAAAAAGAAAACTCTACAACGACAATGAAAATGTTTGATTCTTCTTTTGTTACATCTTCTTGTCATTGTCATTGTCATAATTATAATTTATAATTATTCTTATTCTTATTCTTATGGAAAATCCCTATAATTATTATTATTATTATCCCTACTCCTATGGCTACTACCATCCTTTGTCTACTGCAGCCGCGGTTGTTCTTCTCCCTCCTTTCTGTAAGGATGCAACCTAACCTAACAAACTACGCTCGGAAGACTTTTGATCTCGTTCCGTTGCATAGCCTTTCAACTGGGGTTTCTATCGTTTTTCTAATTGGTAGACGGTCTCTCCAAGAGGAACAAGGTTACGTCAAGGTGGAGGCGATTTGTGAATCTTCATCCAATAACCTTAGAAAACAACCGAAGGGAATCTAGCCTCTCGGATAACAAACGACTCGAAAAAAAAGGAGGGACGAGGGAAACGAACGGATTGAAATGAAAGTACAAGAAGAATCTACAGAAAGGATCGAGGTGAAACGAAAAAAAAAAAAAAATTCCATTTTCCTTTCTTTTTACTGCTTTCTTTTTCTTTTTATATCATTTCAATCGTTTCTTTTTCTTTTTTTTTTTATCAATTCTTTTTTGAAAACCTCTTGGAAATAATACCTTTCTTTGGTTTTTATTTTCTTTCAAACGAGACGATTTACGACGACGGCTTTTTTTAATCAATCCCGTTTCTAGACCTCTTGTAATATGAGCAACCCTCTTTTTACCCCTCTTATTACAAGAAGGACTGACGTCACAAAACCCTTTGTCTTATCTGGGGAAACTTTAAAGAGTCCCGCCCACTTTTGAGCATCCATGACGAAAAGGGAGGAGATGTACACCTTTAGGCTACCCTATTGATGTTTCGTTTCTTGTTTCTTCCGAACCAATGAATGAATGTTACACAATCTCAGGGGTACATTCGTTAGTTGAAAGATCGTGAAACTAATGTTTATATACTGCTGTTGGCCTCTCTCTTTGTTGCAGAGCCAAACTACGAATCTTTTCCTTTCGCTAGGATTTCCTTTCCTTCTTCTTAACTATTCTTCTTGTTGTTTTTTTTTTTTCTTCTTCTTTTTCTTTTTCTTTTCTTTTTATTTTGCTTTGTTTGTGTATTTCTTTTTCTTTTTTTCTTTTCCTTTTATTTCGTTCTTCTTCTTACACAAACAAACATTCTATATTTCTAGGTCTCTTGGTCTTGTTGTTATTTTTTTTTCTTTTCTTTTCTTCTTTCTTTTTCTCTACTGATTTCTTCTTTGTTTGCTCTTGCTCTGCTTTGCATTGCTTTTTTTCCCAAAAGTCGTTTTGATATTGTTGTCCCTGCTGTCTACATCTACTACTACTACTACTTTTTTTTGTTTTGCTCTTCTCTTTTACTCCCATCTACTCCAATTCTAAAACGAATTGGGTTTCGGGTCTTGATTTCATTTTCATTCCTCTCTATATAGACTCGACTTGGTTTATCTTTTATTTTTTTTCCCATCGTTCCTCTTGCTAAACCTCTATCCGACGTTCAATTATTCCTTTTTTTTTTTTTTTTTCACAAAACGAACAAAAACAATTTTCCTTTTCCTTCGCTTCTTCTTTTCCCCCGTCTTTTTTTTTGACCAGCACTTTCCTTCCCATCGTCTGCTTGTGTCTGTGTCTGTGTCTCGTCTCTTATTCCTTTTTCAAGTTGCTTTTCTTTGCTTCTTACAATTTAAAGACGGTGCCTTTCACATTGGCTTTTATTATATCACCTTTTATTTAATTTCCCTTTTTTTTTTTTTGGTTGCCTGTGGTCCTTTCTCCTTCCTTATCCTTATCCTGTTTTCTTTTTTTTTCCCCGTGAAATTGGATTCCTTCCTTTTCTATATTGCTTAGTTTTGGCGTTTTCTTAACATTCCCAACTTTTGCATCATCCATCTCTTTTCGCGATCTCTATTTTTTTTTTCGCTTTCGGTAACCTTGTTTCTGCTTTTCCTTTTGGGTTGATTGATTTCCTGGAGACAAATCATCGTTCGCTTTTGTTGTAATTCTTCTTACTTCTCTTGCTTACCCTTTATTTTCCTTTCTTTCTTTTCTCTTTTTTTTCCTTTCTCCTCTTCCATCTGGCTTGTTTGCATGACCCTGCGTTAGCATAAACATTTCATCTTTTTTCTTTTTCTTTCTTAATTTTCTTTATTCCTTTTATTCAAACTTCCTTGTTGGTTTGCATTTTTTTTTTCACCCCTTCTCTTTCTCTATTCCATACGTTTCCTTCATGTCCAACAACGTTTCGTTTTTGTCAGCCCCGTCCAATCCATCTTATTCCTTTCCTTTTACTTCTTCTTCTTCTTCCGCTACCACCAACTCCTCCTCTTCCGCCTCATCTTTTCAACAAGCCCCTTCTCCTTCTATGCCTTATCCACATCCTTCTTCTTCTTCTTCCTCCTCCCACCACCATCACGTCAGCCTTCTTCCTCCCTCCGTCTCCTCTAATCCCACTACTACTACGACAACGGCGACTGCTTCCTGCTTTCACCATCCCCACTCCCTCCCTTCTTCCATCTCCTCTTCGGTCAATCACGTCCAACCGTCCAGTGATATTCCCTTGTCCGAACCCCTCACTTCTTTTCTTCCAGCAATCTCCCAGGGTTCACCAAAATCAAGCGTCTTTCCTCCTCAGCTGTCTGCCTCTGCTCCCGACGGCTCTTACGTAGACATGAATTCCTTTCATCCAAACAAACAGTCCTTCCTCTCTTCTCCATACTATTCCAATACCTACTCCTCCGCTCCCTCCTCCTACTATACCTTTGGAAAAGACGCGGCAAACGATTGGTATTCCGATATTGATGGCAATCAGCTTTCCCTCTCTCAGTCTGCGCCGGCAAACGATGATGATTCCTACAGGCATTATTCTCAAGCTTCTTCCAACCTTCAGTATAAGCCTTCCCACGTCGATTCCGAACACGCTTACCACCTTTCTCATTACAACGATTTACACAGGCAGCATTCCTACTTGCCTCAGTCGGATCCTTTTTCGCTTCAATCTTTTTCCAAAGATTATTGCCCTCCTTCTGATACCTCTCTCCTCATGACGCAGCAGTCCAACGAGCCGTCTGGCGCAAGTGTACCCTCTTATAGTACACTTATCTCACATTTGCCTCCCTCTCCCAATTTGACTCCCGTAAATGTTAATGTCAATTTACCCATCGTCTCACCCGACTCTTCCCTGGATACCCTCGACAGGAAAGAGAAAATGCAAGGTGCTCCCCAATCCATGTTTTATTTCGGTACTCCGTCACCAAAAGACGGTTCTGAAAAATCAGATACTGAAAAGGTTCCTCCCTTACCATCTATACGGGATCCATTCTCCTTTGACGATGCACAACGGTCGGCTACTGGTAAAAAGTACAGCCCAAACAAACCAAGGCGATCATCCCGTTCCAAAATACAGGCCCCTCGCTCTCCTGGTGGTACTTCTTTTATCTGTCATATTTGCCAGAAAAAGTTTAAACGCTCCGAACATTTGCGTAGACATATTCATTCTCTTCACACAACCGACAAACCTTTTGCTTGTTTTTGTGGAAAACGCTTTTCACGAAGAGATAATTTGCGTCAACATGAAAGAATGCATGCCAACTCTGGTACTTATTTTACGCGGTCTTTAAAAAACAATAATGTGTCTCCTATTTTACCTCCTGCATCCTCTATTGCCCCGAACACCGTACCCATGTCCGTAAATGACGGAATGTCAAGCAAGTCCTTTTTACCTGAGCAACATCCCGTCCTACTCCCAAAGGTTTCCCTGTTTCCGATGTATTATTCTGCAGACCCCAAAAATGCCGGTTACTTATCAGGATGCGAATAGTAGCAGTTCTCTATTCATGCAACTCCCTATGACAGCTCCTAATAATTTACTGACTGGTATGAGTGATGACTATAATTTCGGTACTATGTAATCATATTTATAAAATGGAAAACAAAAACGTTGGTGTCACATTTTATGGATGTATACCATATGGGTAAATTATTATTATATTAGGGAACGTGGTTATTTATTTAAGCTTGATAGCTATTTTACCAGAATGTAATTAATTGTTCCGTCTCAAAACTTCTAATGTTAATTAAAAAAAGTGTCGTCTTGTTAAAAAAGCTTTGATAGTGCTTCCTTTCTTTATCGGTTTAATAAGAGTAGTCTGCTCAATGAAGATACATAATTTTTTAGATACTCAGTAGTCCCTTAATACTGAATACAATTTACTAAATTTCAAATAAAGTGTAATTAAGACGAAAGATAAACGAAAAGACAAAAGATCTATTATACCTATATAATATTTATGTGTATACATATATACAATAAATAATTTCCCATCCCAAATAAATTAAATAAATATATCGTTAAATACCAAAAAAGTCTAAGCATTGGCAACGGGCACTTCGTTTTCTAAAGAACGTTGAAAATAACAGGTATGGCAAAGCCCTTCGGGCCACCAATATGGACTCGTCGTCGTCGAACATCTACTGCATTTTTCATCAATGACTTGTTGATCTTCGGAAGGCGCATGGGACTGAGCCGTCTGTAAGAAATAAAACGCATGTTTACTATTCATGCCTTCTAAATAAGCCTTCCAGGAATTCTTACCCAACGACGGTACTGTGCTTGCACGAGATATAAAATTGCGCGGAACATTACCAAAACCACGGAGCAAAATCGGTTTCAAAGATATGTAAGGAGTTAAATCCGCTTCATTGTTTACAGGGTCCTGGCCGCTAAAAAATGATAATGTCGACATTCCGAGTTCGATATCAAACTTTGGTGTATCCCTTCGAATCAATTCAAAACAAAGATTCCATCCCGCCTTTAAAGCACAGATTACGTGAGCTGACGATGAATAATCGTTTTGACAACGCACGCTTATACCATGATCATGTCGACAAATTTCACAAGTATTACCCCAAACACCTGAGGGTAAGTTACCAATTCCTAAAATCGGTTCATTATCTCCACTTGAAATCACGACCCCGGGTGTCCAAGCAGCGCATAGGATATGTACCCAGTTACATTCTGCAGTTCTTCTCATCGAGAATTGCGGATCCGTTTGACAGCATAATAAACATTCAGGTGAATTACCAAGCTCTAATCTGGTAACAAAAGTGCAGCTTTCACATAACCATTGACTATTTTCTATCAACTGGTTGGGTTTAGAAGTACTGTTTGCCGCACTTCTAGTTGATCGACTAGTAGATATGGCGGATATCAATTTAGACTGATCGCTTGCTCCTATTTTACTTCCTTGACAAGATTTATGAACAATTAATCCACACTGGTAGCATTCAACCAAATTATCAAGATTGCTTCCGCCGCATAAATTACATTCCTTCTTTGTATTTAGGGGTGAAGAAACGACTTGGGCTTTAGGTTTTGGAGTGCCATTCCTTGAGTTCTTGTTGAGTGGGCTTTGAAGACACGAAGTGCTTTCACCCCCTGTCTTCACATTGTTAGCCTTAGCACTATCAATTGTCAATACAGGTGATATTCCTCGACTATTGTCACGTGATGGATTATCGTCGACAATATTGCGATTGTTAGCAAACCACTGCTCCCATTCCGATTTCTTTCTTTTGACCATTTTGTCAGAGAAACGACCAAGCTCAACATTTAACGCTTGTTGCGAAGTTGTTGCATAGTACTTCCATAAAATACCACATTTTTCACAATATATGACAAGCTTGTTCTTCTCTAAATTGGTGCTATCCGTTCCAGGACCGACATAAAAGTCAGTACTCTTGCGACTTTGACAATTACGACAGACCATCGGCTTTTTATACTTTGCCATTTTATGAGGATCATAAAGTTCGGGATTTGAAAACAAAGTGAATTTTTCCTCCCAACTTCCTTCTTTTTCCTTTGCCTTAGCGAAATCTCTCAGAATTGCTATTCCCTTTGGAGATATACTCCAGGCCAAATAGTATTGTACTAATTCTTTTAAAGAGCAATGAGTTTCCATACGACGATGTATACAATGTAAAGAGCCTCCATAAACTTTAACAAGCTCCTTAAACTTCTTTTCATCTATTTTAAGGGAATTCAGATCTGGAAAATCACTTCCAGTTATAAGCCTTTGCAGATTGTCAAGAGCATTGACCATATTTAGCTGGTTTTGGTATAAAATAGTCATAGAGACATCTAAAAGAACGAAAGGAGATATTTCAATCTTCAGATATTTCCACTGGTTCCAGCTTTTCCTTAAATAGTCATCTAACTCCGAATCGTCAAAGTCTAGAGGGACTAGAAGCATCCCTGCGCGTAAATTCGTTTCAAAAAAAGGGAACAAAAACCCTTTTAAAGGAATATCTTTTAATAATGGCCATTTGAAAAAAAACGAGGGAAGATCTAGCTTTTCATTTCCTAATGAACGCACATTTTGATCGATCTCTTCATCTGCTGTAGTGAGTAACCTAGGAGCTTTCGACTGACTTTCAGCAGTTGGAGAAAATGTCGGCGATGCAATGGAGCGAACACGTGAGGGATACAAATCTGAGTCTTTTTCGTCGTCAAAGTCACTTCGCAAATCTATGTAACGCATATTCCATGGGAGGCGGCGAAGCTTTGTAAAAGTATTATTTGGTTCCATCTCTGAGGATGAAAAGGGTTCTTCAGCAGGAGAGTTTAAGGTATCATCTTGTTTAATGTAGTTATCAGGGGCCATAGCTGAAGCTTGTGAGGACGTGTCCAAAGTAGTATCATTAGTTTTATTAGTAGTATCAATACCTTCTTTGGACAAGGTATCATTCGATTCGGTTTCATTATATGCCATTAATTTTGCGGATTTGCGTAAAGAAGGGTTCCTTTGTCGATGCGAAACAGAACATAACGCGCAAGTCCAACCAAAACCGTGGGGTGGCTTTTTTACCAAAGGAGGTTGTACGCATTTCATGTGATAATGTTTATTACAGTCAGCACATTGTACCGAAAGATCCAAAGAACACCATTCTTTGCACACATTGCACAGTCGAGGGTTTTCCATCAAGGCGCGCCCTTTCGCTAATTCCACAATTGCAAAATCATAATTACTCTGTAAATCAGAAAGGGTATGTTTAGGAAGATTCTTAATATTCTGAACAGGTATTAAGTCGAAAACCTTATTGATGTTTTGATCAAACAAACGATCGTAGTAAAAGCACTTTGACTGTCTTTTGTAGTCATTTAAATTTTGGATTTGAGTTTTGTGTTTCACACTCACGAGTTCCTTTATAAATCCAATATTATAAATATCGCTGTGCATACTTGCATACAAAAGACGCGTATCAGAAGAATTTCGTTGAATATCTCGCGGTCGAAAAAACCAATTCAAGCGAACAGAGTCATATAAATTTGTTCCAAGGCAAGCTTCGGACTTTTCAAAAGACATAACTCGAGCTATTTGAAATGGTTCGCCAGCATATGGGGAAGATACGAAAACAAAGTCATTCGGCTGGATCCGTTGGCCATTCAGTAATGTACAGTATACAATTCCATTTTTAGGTATAGGATTCAATTCAAAAGATCCAGGAATGTGTTGAATTTTCGTTTTCTCCTGCTCTGGAAGTACGAATCGTCTAGTTGTACTTTTTTGCTTATTCTCTGGCGTCACGTACTCTATGGTAACGCTATTTTTAAATCCTTTAATAACCAATCTTCTAATGCCATGTTTTTGCATGTTCTCTTCACTTTTTGCGCTCTGTTCACGACTCCTTTCTTGTGAATGCATGGCGGTAGATGGCAATTTATAGAGTAGCCTTCATTGAATGCTAAACTCAATGCCACTTTAACGAGGATAGATTTAAAAAACACTTATTTTACTAGAAAATGCAATCTTTTTTTAAGAATACATGGAATTCTATTAATCCCCTAATTTCTTCACTCCTGAATAACGATTTGGTCGTGTTAAAAAACGAACAATATAAAGTGCTCCAACTACTCGGTGAAGGGTACGCAACAATATAGAAATAAATAAGAAATTGACAGTATACAGAGGTTATGCATTCGTGTATCTTATTGAACATGCGGAGAACGGCCAGAAATTTGCTCTAAAAAAGATTAAATGCCATTCAGGTCGAGAAGGCACTCAAAAAGCATTAACTGAAGCAAAATTTCATGAGAAGTTTAATAATCCTTACTTACTTAAAAGCTTGGAAGTTCAGTTGCAAAAGGAAAGTGATGGTGTTCAATATGTCTATATTATGTTTCCCTTTTATCAAAAGGGCACTGTTGCACAAATTGTTCAGAATCAGCACGCAAAAGGCTCTTTTGTTTCAAAACGTTATATCTTGAGCTGGTCCATTTGTCTTTTACAGGCTTTAAAATATCTTCATAATGGGACCGACGAATCTGAATCTGAAAATACTGTCGACACTACAAACTTAATTGATTTAGGGATGGAAAGCAAACCAGCGAGAAAACCAAGTTCCAATTGTTATCTGCACGGAGATGTGAAACCTGGTATGTAACGAACTACGGCGAGGACTAATCATAAATTTAGAGAATTTACTGTTGAGCAACGATATGAGGAATGCTGTTCTTACAGATTTTGGGAGTATATATAAGATTCCTTCTTCTATTTCTGATAACTCGCAAGCAATAGCTTTTCAAGATATGGCCTCAGAAAACTGTACAATGTCTTATCGAGCTCCCGAGCTTTTCCATGTAAGACCTGGTACCACAATTACAGAAAAAGCAGATATATGGGTAATGAAAGAAAGAAGACTTAAGTTAAAGAATTTTACTAACTAATAAGAGTTTTGGCTGCTTTTTGTTTGCAGTTATGTTTGGATACACTCCTTTTGAAAAGCAAGTCAGTCAAGGAGGTTCATTGGCTTTGGCTGTTTGTAGCGCACAATACTCTTTTCCGTCAAGGCATCCTTACTGCTCAAATATGGTCAATTTAATCCGTGCATGTTTACAGCTAAATCCAGAGCAACGACCTTCCGCTGAGGACTTAATCCGTCATATTACAGGAATTATGAACGACTGATATTATGGACTTAATATGGATAGACTTACTAATGTATTTACTCTTTTTTAACTTTTTTGTTTTGATATTGTACTATTCATGGTAGCTTCAAGCTATTAGCAACAATTAATCTAATTCATGATCCATGCAAATTCACCTCAGAAAATTTAGTTTGGCCAGTGTTCTGCATTCAAGCGACGTTTAGGACGACCTTGTTGGAACAAGAATGACAAAAACTTATTCATCATTGGTGAATTCGCGTTTGCCCATGCCTTTAACTAGAAAATACTTCGACACATATTAACTCAATTTAGGAATAAATTACCAACAAACCCAAGAAATCAACAAAAAACATTTATTAAGCGTATTTTTATTTTTTTATTTATATAAAAGAAAAGGTTCAAAAATTGCTAGTAATATAAGGGTCCGTCGACAGGTATAGAGTAGAAGAAAAGGCGTAGGTAGTAGTGGTAGTATTTATGCAATAGCAGCAACATTAACCGTCCTAAAAAGTAAATATCAGGCAAAGAGCTGTTTCCGACGGTTTTTGTTTTTTTTTTGAGAATACAAATAATTGCTTGTCATTGTATTGCATTTCTCCTGTCTTATTCCGCACTTCGCATTACAGTCTTATTGTTTGGATACCTAGTTTGGTTTGAAAAGTTTCAAGTGGTGAATCACTTGCTTAATAGATTGATCCTTTTTTTTTACAAAGTTTTCAATAAGAGACACCCAAATAGGATGTTTGAGTCTTCGTTCTTAAGAAATGGCGCCCAATTTCATGGGATTCAAAAATCGGATGGTAATAAGACATTCGACGTATCAGTGACAGTTTTACATGTGAACATGGAGCAGTCGATGCTCTGTGGGTTTTTTAAAATTAGTGGATTGAGTGGAAACAACTCGTCCCTTACCACATACTTTGAGGCAGAAATCATTGGTGATAAATTTGGATTTCTAACAAAATGGCCGGAATGGGGTGCCTCAGAATCAACAGATTATAAGCATTGGAAACGACTGGGTGCTTTTCAATATGCAAAGCGGAAGGTACCTCTGCGCAGGATAAAACCCTACGATCCTTGGAAAAAAGGAACCATCTACATGCGCTGGAAAGAATTGGCAATGCTGGATAAAGTGAATGATTTCCAATTTCGAAGTAGAAATTCTTCATCCGATGTTAGTTTCGAAGGGTTTTACTACATTGCCTTCTCTCAACGAACAGGTCGAATTTCCGGGTACTACTATCATTACAAATTTGATCATTTTCAATACTTGGAATTGGACCCTGTCGTAAACAGGATGTTTCCTATTTTAGAATTTCAATGATTTTTCAACAACTTTTTCGATGAGCAACCACTTGATTTTAATGAAGTATGACAAACCCCCCTCTCTTTTTATGCACTGAATTATGCTATCTTCTAAGATTTACGACAAAAAAAATGACCGATTTTTAATCTCTAATTTCCCTTTTTCCCTCTAATTCTTTGCTTTGCTCATTCCTTTCTTTTTTTTATTTCTTCGCAATAGCTCGATTACAGGGCAATTTTTCAAAAAAATACAATCTCAATCAGTCTTTCGAAAACGGGTATTTTCCGGAATATATAAACAAGAGTTATTAATTACAAAGCAACTTTGTAAATTCGTTCAAATTACCATTATATGTTCCGAAGATTCTCTTTTATTACATTGTAACCAATTGCTGTTCGTTTCTCAGTTTGCCCAGAATATCCATTCATGACTTACTTAATTTACAACATCGCGGCATAATGTAGATTGTAATACATCGACCGCCACTTGTGTTCTTCTAAAACAGCGCTATTTTAACAAGTCTATTATGCTTACTGTTTTCGACTGCTTGTGCAGAATGAGCATAGTCGTGTACTGTAACAATTCTTGAAAGGTACCCAACCAACTCAAGGCGGTCAGAAGGCCAACATTTTATAACTCAGTAATAATGTTGTAGTCTATATATTTTCTAATTTTTCTCCTAGTAGAATGAAATAACTAACTTACTATGAATGGTTAAATCTTCATATTAATCCTGTGAACTCTTCAAATAGGTTTATCGTAGAGTACGTTTCATAATATGTTCCTGTTATTATAGTAATATTTTCTGCGCTTATTCTAAGCCTAATGTAAGCGAGCTTTCCTTATGTTCAGTATTCTATCCCACATGTTGAATAGCTGTTCGTTGGTGGTTAGCCCAGGTAGGAACGTTTTTATTTCTCAACTACCAAAATCCTGTAAAGACCTCCGTTAAGCTCGATTTCCGTATCTTTGCAAAAAAGATCTGTCTGTTATTTTTTTTTTTTTTTTTTCTATTAGAATTGCGATTGTATTTGACTATTCGCTCGTATTTACAAGGAAGCCATTTGGACTTTGTAAATTGAAGTGTCAGTAATTTATCAAGAGGTCAGAGGAGACATCAATTCATATCTCTGCAAGTTCAGTTATAGTGTGAATTCAAGCTCGATACGTGGTTGCTCAAATAAGAGTGGCCTTTAGCAAGCTTTTCTTTGTATGAGTTTCTAATGAACTTTGAGAGCACTCACTATACTTCTAATGATCCTGTCAATTTAGGATTAGAGCAGCTGCGTGATTCCAGTCTAGATATCCTTGAGAATACTCATAATTCCTCTACTGTTAATGACTCCGGTCGCCAATTGACTTCGAAGCCTGCAGATGAATTAGATTCTTCAAAACGACTCTTAAATCCTTCTTCTTTTCCCTATTCTTCCTCTTTCATGACGGGAGAACGATCTAGCTATCCTAAAAGCCTTACCAGTTCATATACTTCTTCTTTGAATCCTGCCTATACGACGAATTCAAGTTCATCTAATTTTCCTCGTACTTTCTCTTCCACTTACCAGCATTATCCTTCTTTGCTCCGTTCTCCATATTATTCCGGAAACAGAAGCTACAGAAGTGATAATAACTTAAGTATCTATCCTCATATCACTCGACCCCGTGAAAGCTCGGACTTCGTTCGTAATTATCAGAAGAGGCCTTTGGATTCATATTATGCTCAAGAAAACTCATATTATAGTAATGCCGATTCGGATTCATCTCTGAATGAAAAGTCGGCACAATCAATAGGCATGATCAATCCGAAGAAGAAAGCGATAATGATACAGAATTTTCTGAGTCTGGTTACCCGGAATTTGATATTGATGCATTTTACAATGTTCCAAGCATTTTGTTTAGTGAACTTGATCTCCAAAACCCCGAAAAACGGGAACGTCTTGAGTGGCATACGATGCTGTCTTCTGTGTTAAAAGGCGATGTCATGCAATCCGAAAAGAAGAGAATGAGTGATACGAAACATACTGGATATAATAAACAAAATATCAATGATATCTGGCTGGGACTTCAGGCATGGCTTCACGGCCGATTAATCTCAGATCAGGCTGAAGTTATCCGGTATAACCGGGAGAAGGTCGAGTTTGTTTTAAAAGATGTTATTAATTTCGAAGTAATACCTTTTGAATTTTGCCAGAAAGCCGCATTTGAGCAGGTTGCAGACCTCCTTGGTAAAGTGGAAGAATGTGAAAGTTATTATATTTCTAACCGCGAAATGGGAGAAGATGTCCCCTTATATGCTTCCAAAAAATTTAACGATAAGTTGAATGCTTTGATATCGTGGCGTAATGTGAAAGAAAATGTCCAAACGGAGACTGTAATTCTTCAAAGATGGGTCGGAAATGAATCATTTGATCTCACAAGCCAAATAACTAATTCACCCTCGTTTGTGGAACGGATATTTCGACAATTTGGTTTACAAAAGACGTTTGAGCAAAGAACGCTGACCACTCTTAATCGTCTTATTCATCAAGCAAAGCAAACCATTGAGGAAAATGCTAAACTTTTTGAGGAAATGAAACTTCCGACATATGGTGCTGAGCTAAGAGCTTTGGTGGATTTTCCAATTAAACTAGTGGATGAAGCATTACGTATTCGATTGATGTACGCCAAGAAAGTCAAAGGATCTAATTCATTCATGGTGGATTCTTTATTAGATGATTTCAAAGTTGCTTTATCGGTTGCTGTACGTGTTAAACTAGAATATATTGACATAGCAAGTCCGCGTTTAGGTTGGGATTTACCCCAAGATGTTGATGCCTGTTTCAACGACATCTTGTTGGAATCTTTAAAGTTTTATTTTAGGTTGCTTGCTACGAAATTGAACTCTTGCAATAAAAGCCTTTACTTTAAAGAAATAGACTTTCTGGAGAACGAGTGGGCTTTCCTTGATAACTACGTGGGATGGATCGACGGTGGAATTTACGAAATGGCTAGCCATTTTGGTTATTTATTAAATCGTCTTTTAATGAATGTGCATCGACATCTTGAAGCTCATCTGAAAGGGCCTGAAGAGCGTTCAACGATGTCTCTGACGAATTGGTTCACAACACTTCTAAAGAATACCCAGGTTCGGTTTCGCAAAATTCTTAGGTTTTTCGATGTATATAACTCCCGGTTACAAAACTCTGCTGAATATATAGTTCACGACAGTTGTTTGAATGAGATGGTTGATCGTTTGTCTTCAACTGGTCATTTTTTGACGTATACGGCCACTTTGGAACGTGATGGTGTCTTCATTATTGCTGATGCATCCTTATTAGAAGCACCGGAAGCAATTAAATCTTTAGCTGTGAGTGCAACGAATAATGATTTGGAATTTACCAAGAAAAATAAATCTTACGTTTTGATTTTGTCTACTAAGCAACCTTTTCTTTGGAAGGGGAGAATAATTAACGTTGATATTCCAGATTTTCCCGTTGACTTAAAAAATAATCACATACGGATTGTTACTTCCAATGATGCTAGTCATCTACAAGATGCAAAGGCTGTATTTCAGGATCTAAATACGGGTCTGGTGAGTCTTCGCATAAATTGTCGATCTAACATTGCTCGCGTTTACAAGGAGTATATTCGATTCAACAAGCTTTGTATTCGCATCGCGTCTACTGTGCTTGATAGTGTGAACAGCATCAGGGAGGCATGTAAGGGTTTGGAATGTTCTGAATTAATATATAGTGCTTTTGCTTTTGCTGCAGAATTTAGCCAGCGTGGTATGCGGTTTATAAATTTCGACTCCCTAGACAATCATTTGCAGAAAAAGACTATGAATTTCGCGATCGATTGGGTTGCTTTTCTTAGTGAAGAATGTGATCCCCTTGATAGAAAAACATTCCGCTGGGCTGTTGGTGCATTGGAGTTTCTAATGGTCGTATTACATGGGACAAATATATTGATGCTTGAGGACCCCAGTTTTGAGAGATTGCGTGATAAGGTTGGTAAAACCATGTCTTTACTACTAAATCATTTTGACATTCTCGGTGCTAAATCTAAAACGACTGATTTTCATGAGTTAGAAGTTGGCAACATGAATGATTCCTCAAGAAGATACCTGAACTATGGTAATGTTGAAGAGGATGAAACCATTACGGTTTTGCAAAAGGAAATGATGCAGCGAATTGAAGAGATTGATGCTGCACGGAATGCAAAACTACATGAGCGATTAGCAATTGGCCATGTACTCGATGTCTCCGTATACCGAAACAGAGATTTCATAAAACTAGCTTCGTCTTTATCCAACATTACAATTCGTTGGCAACAAGGACAGTTTGTTAAAAGCGGGATGTTCGGCGACGTGTACAGTGGTGTAAACCTTGATACAGGTGATCTTTTAGCCGTTAAGGAAATAAAAATTCTAGATAGTCGATCTCTTAAGAGTACTGTTGACCAGATTCATAACGAGATGACTGTGTTAGAAAAACTTAATCATCCGAACATAGTTTCGTATTATGGTGTGGAGGTTCATAGAGAAAAGGTCTACATTTTTATGGAACTATGTCAAGGAGGATCCTTGGCAGATTTGCTTTCTCATGGCCGGATAGAAGATGAGGCAGTCGTTGGCACATATGTTTTACAGTTACTGGAAGCTCTCTGTTATATGCATTCACGGAACGTTTTGCATCGTGATATAAAACCGGGTAATCTTTTGCTGGATAGGAATGGGAATATTAAATTTAGTGACTTTGGTTCAGCACTTTATGTACCTCCTCCGGAAGAATCTACTGCGCGTCTCGAAGATATACAGCTTGAGATGCATAGTTTGGCCGGTACTCCTATGTACACAGCCCCAGAGATTATCGTAGGAACTAAGAAAGGAAGGTTTGGTTCTATGGACATATGGGGACTCGGATGTGTGGTCTTGGAAATGCTGGCTGGATGCACACCTTGGAACCAAATGGATAATGAATGGGCGATTATGTACCATATCGCGGTAATGCATACTCCCACGATTCCTTCAAGCTATCAAATAACTAGTCTTGCCAGGGACTTTTTAGAACGCTGTTTTGAGTGTGATCCAGAAAAACGCCCTACAGCTCTTGAATTGTATTTACATCCTTGGGTTACCAAGTTACGTGAAAAGATAAGAGTTGAAATCCCTGTTGAAATGCAGGAGCTCATAAATACGCATAATGAGTTGGCTTTGGAGGATGAACGTAAGAAGAAGCTGAATGAAATATTACATGCAGAAAATGATGAAAATATGAAGACCGTTGAAAATGATATTCCATCAATGCCTCCTTATTCCTTGAACGACGTTATAGACGGATTGGATGTGGTCAAGTTGGAGGATGAACGTCAAAGATCACCTTTTTCTGATACAGAATCCGCTTTTTAGTTGGCACTTTTTGGAAGATATAAAAAGGCTATATATTGTTGAGCCCGTTTTACGGATTTTTTTTTTTTTTTTACGAATTCGGTAATATGTGACTATATTTAAATGTGTATACTAATGAAACTAATTGGGGATAATACAAAGTATGTACTTTAACTATTTAATTCGTTTTCACAATTTCATAATCGCGTTGGATATATTCCTAATTTGTACATCATAACGTTGACTAGACGATTCTTTATTTCCGATTGAAACAATTGAGTCTATTAATGTTTCGTACGTTTATTTATTTATTCGCTAAAGAAAGACTATCCAGGGCATCCTAGCATATAACAATGAGGATAGTGTAATTATAAATAAATCAGCTATAGGCTGGGCTCAATATGCAAAGCGTATCGTCTCTAATAGTTGCTACCATACACACAGTGAAAAATTACTAGTACATTTAAAATCTTCACAACACTTTTCCAAACTCATACTAAACAATAAATTATGAAAATTTAAAAATTTATTCATTTTGTCTAGGCATCCAAAATGTCAGAGTCACCAGCGTCAGTAATAGCCAAAACACCGACTCTGAAAAGCTTACCACAAGCGGTACCGAGATCAATGCTGCGACAGTTAGTAACATGTATTGAAGATGAAAACTCGTGTGAAATTAACTTACTTAGAACCAGAATAGTGGTGAACATTAGCCTTGGAAAGCATAGCGTAGTATTCAAGCTCGGACTTGCGGAGGGGAGGGCAGTTGCCGGCAATCAAGATGAGTTTGGCCTTACCAGAGCGGAGAGTCTTCAAGGTAGACTTGTAGCCCAAGACGTACTTGCCACTCTTCATAGTGAGGGCAAGCTTGGAGTTGAGGGTATCTCCGCTCTTTTTTCCCTTCTTGGTAACCACAGATGCCATTTTGAATGATGCTGGTAGAAGGTATCACAAAAGCAAATGTAGTAAGTTTCTATTCCGAGTGAAAAATGTGACTGCCCCTTGCCCTACCCTACAGAATGGAAATCGCGAAACAGTGGAGATGACTTATTCAAAACACAAAGTAGAGGATGCAATAAATAAGAAATTATAGCTTTACGAAAAGCCAAAAAGTTGTCCTCATGACCGGTTCGTAAGATGGTCCTTAGAACACTCTTGTTGTCTTTCGTCTTGGATTAAGATATACAGTGCAGTGTCTTATCTTTGTTTGTTTACCTTTGAAACAGGAAAGAAGGCATATCAACAATGAGAGTACTTTCTGTATATTGATTTAATTGTATAAATAGACTTTTTAGTTAGAAAAAAGGATGCTCATACCTGGAAAGCGTATAAGCAATGTGTAATATAGGATTAGGATTCTCCTTGTGTCACTTCCTAGGAAACAATTTCAAAAGTATTGGAAATGAGTTGGAAAGTGAAGAAAATTGGGTACAGAACTAGGAATTGAGAATAAAAAACATTAAATTAATTTCATATCAAAAATATATAAAATTGGTAAACGTATAATCCTTAGAATTTCGCCCAAGTTCTAAAACTTGTAATTCTCCTGCCGCTATGTGTAGAAAACCGAGGATGGATGGAAAACAATTGCATCAATTTAATGAAAGCTTTTGATAACCTCTTTACGAATTGCGTTTCTTCCAACTCGATACAATAAGCTGGATGGTGAAAGAACTACATGAACGAACAGTTTGATTCTGCATTTTAAAGGGGAATAAACAGAAGGAACAGCCTCATCTCAATTCATTACAAGTTCAGATGGTCCTCGTTTCTTTGTTAATATGGAGGAGAGAATGCTTAGATGTATGTATATATCGTTTTTTTACGTAACAAATTGAGGGAAACAAAACAGCCCTGTGAACTCGAATTATGAATCGAAATTTGTTTGATTCCTTTATTATTTAAAAGAGAAACATCTTTTTTAATTCCCTGTTTCTCTAACTTAATTTGCTAAACTTTCTCCATGGTGTTCGTATACCAACCAACGACTTGCCTTCTCTACCTACTCCTAACTAAGTATATCGATCCCTCTCTCTACTCTTTCCTTCTCGAGTGAGTCAAATCAGCCTTTTTTTCAGCTTCAAGGATTCTTTAATATTTTAACATAGCCTCTTTGTTTTCTTTCGTAATTTCGTTGATCCTATTCGGTTCTTTGATCCATTGAAAAGAAAGTCGATCCAATTTCCCTGGACGGCTTGGCTAGTTAAAAACTTTTGCTTTGATTTATTCTGCAAATTTCCTTCTTAGGAGTTTAGTAATTTTCTATTTATTGTTATATCCTTTTATTCGAGAAATTATTTCGGGTTACTGATATGGAAAAATTGATTCCCTTAGTCAATCAACTTCAGGACTTGGTGTTCAACACCATCGGTTCTGATTTTTTGGATTTACCTTCCATTGTCGTTGTCGGATCTCAATCTTGTGGTAAATCGTCGGTCTTGGAAAATATAGGTAAGTGCCGTTGTTTCTTGTGAATCAAGAATCAAACTTTTATGTTTTGCTAACAGATTGTCTAGTTGGTAAAGATTTTTTACCTCGTGGTACTGGGATTGTCACTAGAAGACCCTTAATCTTGCAACTTATCAACTTGAAGGAAGAAGAATACGGTGCCGATAATGAGGATAGTCAGCAGGATTCTTCCAATACTGATGGCGCTACTACTTCCTTAGAAAATAGAAGCGACCAGGAGGGATATGCTGAATTTCTTCATTTACCTAATGTTCGTTTCACGGATTTCGGAAAAGTTCGCGCTGAAATCGAAAATGAAACTATGCGTGTTGCTGGTGCTAATAAAGGAATTAACAAGTTGCCGATAAACTTAAAAGTTTACTCGAAACATGTTTTGAATCTTACCTTGATTGATTTGCCCGGTCTTACAAAAATTCCCGTTGGCGATCAACCTACAGATATCGAGTCTCAAACTCGTTCGTTAATTATGGAGTATATAAGCAAACCCAATTCAATTATTTTAGCTGTTTCTCCCGCTAATTTCGATATTGTTAACAGTGAGGGTTTAAAACTTGCAAGACTTGTTGATCCTAAAGGCAAGCGAACAATTGGTGTTTTGACGAAACTTGATTTAATGGATCAGGGAACTAATGCAATGGATATCTTAAGTGGACGCGTATATCCTCTAAAGCTGGGATTTATTCCAACAGTAAACCGTTCTCAATCCGATATCATATCTCATAAGTCTTTGAGAGATGCTCTTTCCTCGGAAAATGCTTTTTTTGCAAATCATCCTGCGTATCGAGCTATCGTAAATCGATGCGGAACGTTTTATCTTGCTAAAACGTTAAGTAATTTATTGGTTGCTCATATAAGAGATCGTTTACCCGATATTAAAGCACGCTTGAGTACATTAATTTCACAAACTCAGTCCCAGTTAGAGAATTATGGCATTTTCAAAATTTCCGATAAAAGTCAACGTGGAATCATACTTTTACAGGCCATGAACCGATTTGCTAATTCATTCATTGCCAGCATAGATGGTAACTCATCTAATATACCCACAAAGGAGCTTTCTGGAGGTGCTCGTTTATATTCTATTTTTAATAATGTGTTTTCCACCACGTTGAACTCGATTGATCCATTGCAGAACCTGTCTATAATGGATATCCGAACTGCTATTCTTAATAGTACTGGTTCTAGAGCTACGTTATTCCTTTCAGAAATGGCTTTTGATATACTCGTAAAGCCTCAATTAGCTCTACTTGCTCCCCCTTGTCACGAATGTGTTGAGCTTGTGTATGAGGAATTAATGAAAATATGTCATTATTCTGGTGACGCTGATATGTCTAGGTTTCCGAAGCTTCAAACTGCCTTGATTGAGACTGTTAGTGATTTATTACGAGAAAATTTGTCTCCTACATTTTCTTTTGTTGAAAGTTTAATTTCCATACAGATGGCTTACATCAATACTAACCATCCTGATTTCCTGGGCGTTCAGGGTGCCATGTCAAATGTGCTTGCTAGAAAAAATCAGCATCTTACTACTCGTCGTCATTCAACTTCTTATTCAAATCCAGTAGTTGATAACACAAAAAATGACAACCCTGATAGTTCGATTACAGACATAGCGAGCTCAGATGATGTTACATCTGTCACGCCTAACAGAAAGTTACAAAATTTCGGATCAGACAACCTTGAAAGGAAAACATTTCTTAGTTACGTCTTTGGTGCCAATAATTCGCTGAAGCGGGGACCAATGCACTCCAAAACGTTGTCCAACGGCTTGCCTTTGAATGAGCCTGTCCATATGCTCAGTGATCAAACCAATACTCAACCACAATCAAATTTTGCAGATAGCTTTCCAGTGAAAATGACTGATCTTTCTAACGAGGTTGAATCCATGGCACTCGAGGAAATGACAGAGCGTGAAGAGCTTGAAGTTGAATTGATTCAAGAACTTATAACGTCGTATTTCATATTAACTAGAAAGATTATAGTTGATCAGGTTCCCAAAGTAATCATGCATCTGCTTGTTAATGCATCCAAAGATGCTGTGCAGAATCGCCTTGTAAGCAGCCTTTATCGTGAAGAGCTGTTTGATTCTCTATTGATCGAGGATGAAAACATTAAAAGTGAACGCGAAAAGAATGAGCGCTTGCTCTCTGTTTATATGCAAGCTAACAAAATGATTTCTAATGTCTTCTGATGAACTTTTCCACCCTCGTTTGAAGCAACGAAATGGTTTACTATTAAATAAATGAATGATGATATATATTCTTTACACGCTACTCTCGTGCTATTAAACTATTAATGTGAAAAGAAAAAAAGGAGTCCAGTCCTATTTTTATATTAGTTTTAATTCAAAGTCGGCCTTATCAAGCAATAAAGAAATATATGAATAAAACCTTTTATTTGTAACCAAGTAATTTAGCATTGGGCGGCTTCGTGGAAGTAATTATACGCAATCAGGATGCCTTGAAAATGACAAAGAGCAGCGATGACTACACATACATGAAACCATTGATGACTACTTCCAAATACATCGTATTTCCCTGGATACCATTTTTCTGGTATTCTGTTTGCATAAATAGTAGCTCCTACAATGTAAAACACTCCTTGAAGAAATAACCATCCGAGACCCATTCTTACAAGTAAATCTTTGATTGTATAAATGAACAGAGCATGTAGTACGGGGAAGATACCAAACAAACCCATAATGACGAAGAGAATGGCTCGAAAACTTCGCCATTCCGGTTGCCTAAAGCGATCCAGCATACAAGTAAATGCAACAATTACACCAATAGAAAAGATTGTTCCGGTATATAACGTTCGAAAATTCGCATGACAAGCAAAGCCATAATGAAGGCAAGGAACAAATGAGCCAACAATCATAATAACTATACCCAGATAATCAAGTTTATTTCCATATTTGGAAACATGACTTGAATGATTTGATATAGTATGATAAAAAGTTGAGCAGAAAAGCATTGTCAGAGCACTAATCAAAAATACCATAAAGACATAGACATCCTGAGAAGTAGTAGTTTCTCGTACAAGTATCCTCTCTGAACGTATAATAAAGAAAAGAAAGATAATTACTCCGAAAAGGTGGGACCAAATATTTATAGATTCATTATGCAAATAGAGGATGCTTTTGAGGCTTCCGAAATAAGAAAATGAAGCAGGCCGGTATGCTGAAATAATATAATGGTTGTCCTGTTGCCAGGGCTCTAATTCGTCCCAAGTTAAGAGAGACTTGGTATTCTTGGAAGGAACAGCCGATTTTTCAATCCTAACTTCACCCGTTTGAATGACAGATGGATCATTAGAGTCAAATTTCTCTTTCAATTTTGCTCCTGAGCAATTGTTGCCTCGATCTTTTAAATTATTCATGATGAAATAGCTTCACAGTAAAAACTCGGTCTTTAGATATCTTTGAAAAATAAAATAAATCTATCGTAAATAAGAAAAATGCATGTATAGATTAAACGACCAAACTACTATCACACGTTAGAAACTTCTCTGTTTTAAGCATTCCATTTTTGCAACAGTTATGGAAATATTTTTACGCATTTTCTATCCTTTCAGTTACAGAAACCACAAATATAATGCCAGTCATACCTTTTATTTTAGCAAACGGTACTAGTATAATTTGTTGCAATTGAAAGGATGAAAAAGAAATGCCAAAATGAAACGATTATATAGTGTACTCTATTTATGATCGGTAAGTCTTGAATAAACATACGCCAAAGAATAAAAAAAGCATAGAAGGCCGCTAATTTTTATTTATTTATGGCTATCCTCATCTTCCGCTTTTTGGGCACGTAGCGTGCGGCGCATTTTGAGAATCAGCGTTATAGGATAATTCTGAATGTAGACTAGATTGAATGAAAAGTACCTGCATACTAGCATAAGAAAACAACTGTACAAAAAGACATATCTATTAAATAATGCGAATTATAATAATCAAAAGGTAAAGAACTAAACGTACAGAATATACATGATATGGCAAACATAAACGATAAACAAAAGTAAATCAAAGTTTCTAAAGGCCCAACGGAATAATTAAGTAAATGGTAGAAAAAGTGCTACTCCTTCAAAAGGTCATCTTCCATCGTATTATCACCATCAAAAGAGTCATCAGCTTGCTCCTCCATGTCGGTTTTATCGTCCTCCATATCAGCGTCTAATTTATTAAAACTGGCGGCAGATGTACTTTCAGATTGCTTAGAAGTTGTCTGGTTTTCACGATCATTTTTCACGTTCTCTTTCAGCGTTCTGGTCTTTTTCGTCATCTTGTCAGGCGTTTCATTATTGTCTCCATCGTACTTTTTTCCTCGTTGATGACCTTTAGAAAATTCTGCTTCATCCTCATCTTGGGTATTGGCATCATCTTCCCCATCAATTTGACTTGTTTCTTCAGATGTATTATCGTCATTCAAATCAATTCCTGATTTTGTACGTTGCTGCTCAGCATTCACATTGGATTTGACTCCTCTAGCTCTATATCCAGACTTCCTGCCATTACCACTTGCAGCGGTCGATCCATTTTTTCCTTTACCTTCTGATAAGGCCATTTGTTCTTGTTTCCAAGCGCGTAAACTCGTCTCAGAAAACAGGCTGTCAAGAGATGCTGACTTAATCTTCTTCGATTTCTCCTTGGTTAATCCTCTAGACCATCCATCTTCGCTTTCTAACCATTCACGCCATTGCGAAAGTCTGTACCTCTTTATTTTTTCATAAGGTCCGGTATAAACAAGCTCAGAATTACGAGCAAATACATCTTCCGTACTAGGTTCATAAACTATTTTCACAGTATTGATAGGTATCGTGAGCGCCAAACCACTTCTCAAGAAATTCGTGAGTATTGCATGAGCATTGCGCACTACATAGTTGTTCTCATCTTCTTCGTTAACATCATCAATTGGTAAATTCCGATGTAAAAAAGGGACTCGAACTTGTTCAGGCAAAATGCCCTCGGTTGGACTAGACATTATATAACTACCAATATAATAGCACCATTTTTCGGCATCAGTCTTCAGATTCGCCATAGTCAAGTCCTCTCTTCCCATAAGGCGAATAGCCGATTGTTGAGTTTCCGAGTTCCAATCTATACAACACAAGTCTTCATCAGGTCCAAGAACGGTTTCCGTTTGTACACGATACATAATTTGCTGCCGAGGACTGGTTTTTCGCTGAACCCGGTCCCTTTCGAAAAACATAAATAGTTGTGCTATTCGACGGTTGCCGGTTATCGTATGCAGTTGTTTCATCAAAGAGCCGATAATTTTTTCAACAGTGTACATCCTAAATCCATGAATCCCATATAGACATCTCAATGCATCTTCAAATCCATTTTGATCTATCTCTCCTTCAATTATACGCTCGCATAGTTCTAGAGCCTGACCGTAAACGGTATCTGACGAAGGAAGTGTGAATCCCAAGCGTTCTGAAGGATCTCGAATAAGCCCTAAATCAAGTGCTACAGGGTTGGGCTTTATACCGTGCTGTTTCTGGTATGCTTTCTCTTCAAGTCCTTTTAAATGCTCTAATCGGGTGTATAAGATATGAAATAGTCTAAAGAAACAATAAAGTCCCATATTGCCAAACAAATTGAAAACATTACGCTCAGATAATTTAGTTCCGTCATCCAGCAAGGCCCCATCCGAATCGGTAAATCTACAATTAACCCAAACTTCCCCACTGGAAAACATGGATGTTGCCGTTAAATCAGTAGGTTCTTCATTATCAACGGAATAATCATCAACTTCATTCGGCTCGGGAGTTTCTTCAGTAGATTCTGGTGCAGACTCTGATTTTATGCTTCTACTTTCCCGAGGGCCTTTCTGTGATTTTTTGAAAATATCCTTCAAAAGTCCCAAGCCATTATTAGCACCATGAGACGTAGGGGTATTTGAGCGTCTACTTTTATCAAGACTACTCACTTGTGATTCAGTTTCTGACTCATCGTCATTAAAATGACTAGGTAAGAACTGCTCAAATGATTCGTAAGGAATGTCAAAAAATATCGATAAGAACGAACGTAAAAAGCTAGAAAGTTTTTCTCGGTCTTCTACAGATTGTGTTGAGACATGCACCAAAAAAACACCAAACAATCGAGCCATATCAAGAATGATAGACTTATCCTTGTACTCAAATAAGTATTGGTAGGAAGGGGCTGTTTTTCCTACCTCTGTTTCGGTTTTCTGTTGCTTCGATAAATTCCGAAGCTCTCCAATCAAAAACTTAGGAGTAGTGTTTTTCTTGTCAGTAGATTTGAAGGTAATACCTTGATGATCAAGGCTACGGTAGAAATTCTTCTCTTCAATATCGTGCCAAAGCTCATTCCAGTGCTTTTGCAGACCCCTCCATTCGCGGTCCTTCTGTTTTAGTCGATTTAGCACAATGGGAATAGTTATGGCAGGATGTTTTTGTAAGTTTTCAATAACCTCTTGGGCTGCCTCATTTCCATAAACTTTTTTGATGACTTTTTGATAAATACTAGGAGACTTACCACCAAGTCCAACAGGCAAAGTCCAGCCTTCTTTCTCATCCTCAGTTAATTTCTGCATTTTACGGAAGTTCATTTCGAGAAGTTCGATAGCTCTCACATTTGCTCCAATATGACGATCATACTTGTATCTTTCTTCTTCTAATCTATGTAAAGACTCCTCAAACTGGTTTTTCCGATGAGCAATAAAACCTGAATCTTCGGACGCCAATGTTGGATGGCTTACCCAAGCATCATTTAGGATAGTCCAACATGCATCATCTCTTCCCGAACAAGGTAATAATAACTCAATTTTAGGTAGTAGTCGATAACTTGGACCATAACTCTTACATTGGGTTAAGTCAACCCTAGGTCTTGGAACGGGAATACAATCGTTAGGATCCCACTTTACTAAGTCTTTAAGCCAATTCAATAAGTGCTCACTTTCATGGAGAAATTTTTGGCAACGTTCGACTAAAGCATTTTTATCGAATACTTCTTGAGAATATAATTCAAGGAGTTTAATAAACTCGTTATATTTGGATTCGTTGACCAAATATTGACGTACAGCGTCAAGAAAAGCGAGTTCTGTGAGGTTTTTGTTTTGAGCAATTGGAACATTGAAAGCTCTTGGGCTATATTCTTCGGCAGTTTGGGTTGCAGTTCTCGTACGCTTTGCATGACTTCTAGTATATACAGCTGGTTCGACCCGACGCTTTTCAACATGTTGAGTTGGCTTTGAAGGAGCTGGGGGAGCAAATTTTCCAATGGGAGGGAGTGAGGAAGTAGTGGTTGCAGGAGAAACTTTAGAAGCTTGTGCTGAAGAATCAGTGATGGCAGCAGTCGGTTTCTCCTGATTTTCTGAGGCAGCTTTTAGAGAAACATCTGGCAAAAATCGCTTGAACTCCTCTAACAAATCAGGTGCTTCTGCAAACAGTTGGGAAACTTGATAATAAACGAGTTGAATGGGACGCTGATCATGCTGATAAGACTTCAGTATGTCCAAGAAAGCATTGTAAGCTTCAGGCTTATGGGAAAACCTATTTTTCACGTTATTTACAAAATTTATAGCATGATCCAAATCGGCAGCTTGTTTCACAGATGCATCTACAGATGGAAACGAAGGAGGCATCGGAGAAGGAGAAGACTTATATGGAACAGAAGTAGATGATTGAGCAGAAGGAGGAAGTACACCAGTGGATGGAATAGCGGGTTGTGGATTCGTTGGTTGGTAAGCAATTGGCTTTTGGTAACCCTGAGGCAGTTGAGCAGTAGCATGAGGACGATTCCAATCCGTAATTACCAGTGGACCTTGTGGTGTTGTGATATGCACGGCTGGAGGTTTACCATACTCAGAAGGACCAAGTTCAATCCCGTAACCAGGTGGTAGGAATGTATTAAATCCCTGTATTAATGCGGGATAACCAGAAAATAAAGCGGACACTCGGGTAATTACCTCGGGAGTTTCAATCCTGTTCAAGTTAGTAAGATATTACAAAACTGGCTTTCACTTTTATAACAGCACGCTAAGAAGCTAGAGCAAATTGAATATACATACGCCTGCGATTTGAACTCTTTCATTATATCAAGAAATTCATTATAAACTTCAGGTTCGTGGTGGAATTGTAACTTCACCAGGTCCAAATAAGATAAAGCATCAGTTACATTTAATTGCCTGAACTCATTGTTGGCCGGTGATGGTTGACTTGAAGGGCCGGATGTAAGAGGAATATTTTGATTGGTAACAAAAGGAGAAGCAGAGGATCGCACGTTCGTGGTACGAGACATATTGTTGTTGTCTCCTGAAGGAGCCACCATTGCTTGTGATGGATAATCTCCGTTTGTTTTTACTTGACTTCCAGCTGCCGCAGCAGAAGAAGCAGCTTCGCCTGGATGTGGTGGAGCAGGATGACCTTGCAAATGCGGTGATGGACCGTAAACGGCCAATCCATGGCGAGCGGGAGGTATTGATGCTGTAGGAGACGGTGCTATATTTCGATAAAGGACACGTCCGGTAGTAGGGTCATATACTGGGCTTACAGAATTATAAACTGGGTAAAGAGTACCTTGGGGACTGGTATGGGTAGGTACTTGAGCATAGAAGGGAGCTGAGCAGTTAGTAAAACTTTTTTAAAAAAGAAGTAATAAGTAAATTAATAGCAATATACAATCCGCCGCATGATAGTGTTTATTATCATTTCTGGTGATGCATAACTGCATATTATTAGTATTTACGTACTATTCGTTGGATGATATGCCATGGTTCCAGTAGGAGTCACATAAGATCCTGGGTAATTAATAGCTACATTTGGATAATCTTCAATCCTCTGACATTGGCCTAAATGCGCATCTTGCCAGTCTTTTGCCATCCCAGTGTTGTTGGTATTGTACATGTTCTTGAGGACCACGTAACTTGGTGGTTCCTCATTACCGAGGTAAGCGAAGCAAACGAGGAAACATATTATCCCATGAGGCTTATGATTTGCTGCAGTTGACTTCACTGTAAGTTAAAATTTGGTTTTGAGGTAACATTTAGCAAACAATAAACAATGCCGAAGGGTTTATGATGAAAAAAAAAAAAAAAATCGAAAAAGGAAAAAATAAAGAACGAAAACTGATAACATAAAGGTTTATTTCAAATTTGAGCTTATTTCTTGCCATTTTCTTTTTGGAACCTTCAGTATGCTCCATTTTTTGTACATGTCTTTACATACATATCCATCCATACCAAAGTTAAGTTTAAGTGAGCAAAGAGTAAAAATAAGTACATTTGTGTAGTTCAAGGACTCATTTTCAATTAGTTATTCAGACATCGAGAACTAATTCTGAAGTGTCATTTTGAAGCATTAGAAAAACATTTAAAACCATTACGATAGGAAAAGAAGCTTGACATGACCTAGAAACTGTACCAAAGATAGAAGAGCGAGAAACCTTTTGATATTATAAATAAATTTCATATTTATCAGCATTTATGTTGCCTTCTGGATTTTGAGTGTAAATCATATGTATATATATATATATATACATATATGTAATAAATCGGTATGTGGGCTACCAAAGAAGAGAAACGAGCCTTCAACAATACTCAGTTTATAAACTAAATATTTAGAAATTTTTTTTTTTTTCTTGTAAATTGCGATTTTATGAAAATACGTATGGTTGTTATTGCTTTGCTTACACTTTTCAGAACCAAATAAATATTACTATATTAACTTAATGAGCGAAATAAGGTATTCGCGGAATGATTTCAAGTTCAACGTCCGTAATACCAATAAAACATGTAAATATTCTGTATATTTATTATGAAAGAGGAAAAGAACATAATAAGGCTACCAAAAAAACCATCAATGAAAGAAAAATTACTGTGTATTTACACATTTAAGTATTCTACTATCAAGGTTAATCAGACCCCAAAACAAATGGTGACACCAGAATCCCCATTTGAACCTGTACTTCTCCAATATCGTATAAGCATTTGCTTTTATTCTTTCTTTTCTGGATGTGGTAAGTATTATAATCTATTATAGGCCGAATGTGGTTGCTAAACATTTCTATAGCGGTATTTTTGGATACATCAACTATTTAGTTGAAAGAGACCGCGGTTACATCCTTGATACACTTGTTAAAGGTAAGGAACATTATACACTATGAATGAAAACAACGTGAAAAGGGGATATTCATGATAATCCACTCTTGCGCATTGGATGGATGAGTGTTTGTGACAGACTAAACATGACTGTACTTGGCATGGTCTCTTTCATGTAAAGTGATCAAGCAAATTGCCTACATACCTTTTCTTTTATAAAAAGTATCCATAGCTGACACATTTATTTAGGATTAAAGCGACTCGAATACCGTGGTTATGATTCCGCAGGCTGTGCTGTTGATGGCGATGAGGACCAAGATGCATTGATGTTTAAAGAGGTTGGTAACGTTAGTCAGTTAGAAAACACCATCAACAAATCCAATGTCAATAAGGATACTAAATTTATCAACCATTGCGCTATTAGCCATACTCGATGGGCAACCCATGGTCAACCTTCTCCCATCAATTGTCACCCTCAGCGCTCAGATGTTCATAGCGAATTCATTGTTGTACACAATGGAATTCTTACAAACTATCGAGAACTGAAAACTGTCCTTGAATCCAGAGGCATGACTTTTGAAAGCGAGACGGATACGGAGTGTGTCGCCAAGCTCGCAAAATTTATATACGATACTACGCCCGGCATTGATTTTACTTCGCTCGCTAAACTCGTCTTTCGCGAACTGGAAGGAGCGTACGCACTTCTCATAAAGAGCAGTCACTATCCTGGTGAAATAGTTGCAACTCGTCGTGGTTCTCCCCTTATCGTAGGTGTAAAGAGTTCTCAAAACCTAAAGGTCGATTTTGTTGATGTAGAATTTCCCGAATCTTCTGATGGCCTTCCTGGGGCCGCTCCTAATGCTCTACATCCCCGGTTTTCAAAGACTCCGGGAACAAGCGGTATGCTCCGTGGTGACAAACCAGATTTGCTACATCGTGCGCAAAGTCGAGCATTTGTAACGGAGGAAGGTGTACCAGGACCTATTGAGTACTTTTTTGCTTCCGATGCTACTCCCATCATAGAATATACCAAGCGTGTGATGTTCCTTGAAGATGATGATATCGCTCATGTAAGTGATGGTGAGTTACACGTACATCGACTTCGCCGTGAAGAAGGAATGAGTACCACGCGCACGATCGAGACACTTGAGATGGAAATCATGAGCATCATGAAAGGCAATTACGATCACTATATGATTAAGGAAATTTGTGAACAACCCGATAGTCTACTCAATACGATGCGTGGTCGAGTAAACTTCGCCGACCGAGTTGTTACTTTGGGTGGTTTAGAAAGTTACTACGATATAATTCGTCAAAGCCGACGTTTGGTTTTTATTGCTTGTGGTACTTCTTACCATTCATGTATCGCTGTTCGTCCTATTTTCGAAGAGCTCACTGGTATCCCAGTAGTAATAGAGCTTGCTTCCGATTTTATGGATCGGTGTCCAAACATATTCCGTGACGATACTGTCGTTTTCGTCTCTCAATCTGGTGAAACCGCTGATTCCCTGTTGGCCCTTAATTTCTGTTTGGAACGCGGTGCTTTGACGATTGGAGTTGTTAATTGTGTTGGTTCTAGCATCTCAAGAAAGACGCATTGTGGTGTCCATATTAACGCTGGACCTGAAATTTGCGTCGCCTCGACAAAGGCTTATACCTCTCAATATATTGCTTTAGCACTGATGGCTTTGTATCTGTCCCGTGATTCAGTTTCTAAGGCAAAGCGTCGTATTGAAATCATTGATGGCTTAGCTAAAATTGGTGAAAAAGTCCAAGAAGCTCTCCATCTTAGTGCTCGACTAAAAGAATATGCTTCACAACATCTCCTGGAAAAAGACAATATGTTAATAATCGGTAGAGGATACCAATATGCTACGGCAATGGAAGGAGCTCTAAAGGTGAAAGAGATTTCCTATACACATGCTGAAGGTATATTGGCAGGTGAACTTAAGCATGGTGTTTTGGCATTAGTCGAAGAAGGCTTGCCCATCATAATGCTTGTCCCTGATGATTTTCAGCATCCGAAAGCGGTGAACGCACTTGAGCAAATTAGAGCCCGAGGTGGGAAGCCAATTGTCATTACCACAAAAGACTCAGAAATGTTTAAGGGTCTTTCCACTTTCATTGTCCCTAAAACGGTTGATTGTTTACAAGGAATTTTAAACGTCATTCCTTTTCAGTTACTAAGTTACTGGATGGCGGTGTTACGAGGACATAATGTCGATCAACCTCGAAACCTCGCCAAGTCTGTAACCGTGGAATAATAGACAAGATAGAGGTATTCTGCGTTCTTTAAAAAATCTACGTCTACGATTAAGTAATGGTTTAATTTATGTTTTTGTATATGACATATCTGTTTGTCATCAAAACTTTGGAGCTAGAGAGGAAGCGTTACTAGTTTTTTTCGTTCATGCATAAAGCTATGTTGAATGATCATCTATTACCATCCAGCTAAACCATGTCTCTGCTTTTTTACTTTTAATGAATACCTTCGGAATTTATAACAATAGGTCTGCATCTCGTCCCTTTGGCTCAATGGCCAGTATGACCTTTTAAATGGATATGATGATATATTTTCTTTTTCGAAAACGTTGTGTAAGCAAGTCTTTTATACGTAGCGGATGTATGAATTTGTTGAAGATGAAACAATATTAAATTTTGCAGTATCGGCAAAGAGACTTGAACAATTATGAGAGTTCTTTTATCGTCGCTTCACATTGAAGATTATGCTGCTAGAATAAAAGCTCTAGTTTGAGGGAGGGGATCTTTCGGATGGTCTTTTCCTATAGAATGAGTATACATTTATGTTCTACTAGTAGTTTCTTATTTTTTCCATTTTGGAAACATCGCCAATTTTTGTTCTCTTATTCACTTAAAAAATCTCGTTTCAATAAAACATATGTAAAATAATTAGCCTTAAAAAAATTTATGTGATATCGTTGCATCTATTCTACTTTTGTTCAATGACCTCAACCCAGTAGTTGTCAGGGTCAAGAAGGAAGGCAATATCCTTCATTCTGCCATCGGTCAATTTCTTCTTGAAAGGGAGACCCTTTTGCTCAAACTGAGTACAAGCAGCTTGGATATTGTCCACAGAAATACAAATGTGACCATATCCCTTTGTTTCACCGTCGTTGCCATTATGATAAACAGCACCTTCTTGCTTCTCAGTGCCCCAATTGTGAGTCAACTCTAAGATGCCTTCACGGTTATGACGGGTCTGGTCTGAAGGATAAGCCAAGAAATAAAGAGTAAATTGACCATTGGGGTGATCAGACTTGTCAATGAGCTTCATGCCTAGCTTTTCGTAAAAAGCAAGACTGGCCTGAGGGTCCTTCACGCGAACCATTGTATGGTTAAAGCGGAAATTCTCAGTGTGAGCAGCTGATTGTTTCTCGTCTTGAGAAATCAATTCAATCCAGTAGTTGTCGGGATCAAGAGCAAAAGCAATGTTCTTCATTTTACCATCACTAAGCTTCTTCTTGAATGCAACGTCTTTGGATTCAAGGTAGGCACAGGCGGATTCAATGTTGTCAACTGAAAAGCAAATGTGACCGAATCCACGGTGAGGGTCATTGTTTCCGTTCACGTAAATAGGTCCTTCTTCCTTTTCTGTGCCAAAGTTATGGGTAAGTTCCAAAATTCCTTCACGCTTAGAACGCTCAACACCGTGATGAAGAGCAGAAGCTCCGTCGAAAGCCAAAAATGAAAGCGAAAACTGGTTTTCTTCGAAAACCCACTGGTCAATCAACTTCATACCAAACACTTCTGTATAAAACTTGAGACTCTTTTCCAAGTCCTTCACACGAATCATCGTGTGGTTTAATTTGTATGTATTAGCATTCGTAGTAGCAGCCATTTCCTATGTTCTGTTTTATTGCTTTTTCTTGGTTTGGTGTGCTGCATTCTTTCTATAACTGCTACTAATTTTTCCGAGTGATGTCACTAAATTACCATGACCTTGCTAGAAAACTCTTTAGTGTGTTGACGAGTTAATAGCCTCACTGTAAAAATAGATTCTTACAAAGAGATAATCGATCATATCAATAATTAAACCATTAGCATGATAAAACGTATTACCGTAAAAATTTAATATGATAGATGAGCAGCATTTACTGTTTGTCGACTTTCTTATCCTTTTGTTATTATAATCTATTTAAATTAATTGAAAAAAGAAAAAAGAAAAGAAAAGTGTCCAAAAGGAGAAAAAATCTGCTCATAATTTCATGTTTGGATTTTAAAAAACAATGAAAGCCAGCAGAACTATCGCTAGCTATCAAAAGCTTCAAGTACACCCTTGATTATTTATTTCCACTTAGTACGTACAACACTGCATATAGCATTTATAACGGTAGAACGATGATCGCCAAACTATAGCAGAAGAACCAAAAAGAACGCTTTGATTAAAACAAAGGTCCATAGTCTAAGCTTCTCATGAAACAAACAAGTCATAGTAAGATGAAAGCCATTAAAGCATCAAACTCCATCGTTGATTTTGTCGCTTCATTGAGTAATGTACATTTCCGGAAAGTTGTAAAGACACAGGAAAAAGGATTACTTACGATCTACTGATGTGTGCAAGTAAAATTGACGGATTTTGAAAGAAAATACGAGACCCAGGAACGCAAAGAAAGATACTATAGCAAAGGTAATTGTAAATCCATCCACGTAAGATTGGACGACGAGGTTCCGAATGTTTTCTGGAAGACTAGGAATGATGCTGATACTCTCACGCAAACGTTGAATAAGTTCTTCTTTTCCAGGAACGCCAGCAAGTCGTTTGGACAGGTTATTCATTACAAATGTCAATGTAACCGTCTGAGACAGACTAATACCAATGACACTACCGGTAGCGCGGAACAAGTAGGAAAGCCCCGTAGCCACCGCTTGATCTTGGGGAGCAAGAGAGCTAATAATAGCAATTAGCGTGGCAGTCAAATTCATACCGTAAGAAGTTCCCGAAAGACTCAAAAACAAAGTTACCAGCAATAAAGGAATGCGTTGACCAAACGACGTAAGCACACTAAAACCAACGATACTGGTCCACAAGGCAAAATACCCAAACAAAATCAAAGGGCGATACCTACCCGTTTTCTTCATATAAAGACCTCCTGTCACAGATCCCAATGATGTAAAAATAACATGAGGAAAGATGCGTGCTCCTGCCTCAGAGGATGGCATAAACAGTACAGCTTCAAAAAACAAAGGCAGTTCATAAAGAATTACAAAAGCACAGAACGCATTAAAAAAATTGCAAAGGCAAACACTTAAGGGAGTTTTTTGCTTCAAAATATGGACGGGAGCGATCGGTTCTAGCGCGACGTTTTTCTCTACCCAATAAAAGGCATAAAGGAGTAATGCAGATGAAATAAACAACCCAATGATAATTGGAGATAACCAAGAATAAGCATCTCCAGCCCAACTGAATGTCATAATCAACAAACTGGTTCCACTGACAAGAAGAAAGCTCCCGAGATAATCGATTCGTGACAGCAATGAAACATCTGAATCTCGGACAGTCGGGTTTATACGAACTCGCCAAGCAACCACAATCGTTGAGATTATACCAAGTGGGATTTGAAAATAAAACGCAACTCTCCAACCCCATCGCTGAGCAATTAGGCCACCAAGCGGACCGCCTAAGCTACCGCCAATTCCCCAAATAACATTGGTGAATCCCTGCCAAGTACCTCGCTCACGGAGAGGCACTATGTCGCTTGAGATAATGGACGACATGGTCCCCAGACCACCTCCACCTATACCTGCAATTGCACGAGCAATGCAAAGCCCAGCCAAACTACTAGATGAACCACACAAAAAGGTTCCAATTGTAAAAGTAACGTTAGCAAAGACAATAGCAGCACGACGACCAAAGATATCGCTTAATCGTCCATATAAAGGTTGGAATGCCGTATTCGTAATTAAATAGGAAGTAGCAATGTAGGAAGCATTATTCAACAAATTGAATTCACTACCAATAACTGGATATAAGCTAGCAACAATAGTCATATCCAAGGCTGACAAGAAGCCGCCAATCCACAATGCCGGCAAAATAGTCCACTTGTTTGGAAGCTTTTCAGCTTCACCTTGACCCTCTGTTCTTGACCTCAGCAAGGAGGTTTCTTCGGTTGGTGCATTAGAATTATTCATTATCACTATGGCTCCTAACTCATCAAAAATTTACGAAAACAGACGGGATTAAGTTATACCTTATATAGCTTCACAAAATAAAACAGGAAGACTGGAATATATAAAGCAAATGACTAATTACGAGTATTTAAAACAATTAAATAGACAAAGCAAAATTTCAAAATTTGAATCAACAGATCGTTGAAAAAGATCTTTGAGATATATCAGCGAGAAACCGGTTGTTCATTCAATCACTGTAGACAATATCTTGATATAACCTTTAATGTTAGGTTAAATTCAAACGCTTTATCAAAATGAAGGCTCTTCAGTTTAGGACAAAAGTAAACAAACAACTTTCAATAAATTCTTTGGAAAATTAAGTCGTTAATTGCTCTTACCACATTCGTTAATTGCCTGTTTCACCACCTATACACATTGGAAACATTCCGAGAAATTGGGAAAAGTTGAAATAAGTACAACTCTAGTTTTAATATATGTTGTGCGTGATTGTTGTTATTCAAATTCATATTTGTACAAGTAAAGAATCCGTTTAATGAGACCTTAAAATCTGTTTGATAAAGCGCGTGGCAATTGTAATATTCCTAGTGAACATTCCATCCAGGTTAAGTAGACATTATCACTGACCAAAAGTAAAAAATTTTACCCTGGAGCTACTGATTTTTCTTAATGTAAGGCTACGATCACAACGACCCTTACAAACAAAAGAACAGCTTAATTACCAAAAACAATTTTCATTAATGTACCCGAACATTCAAAACAGATATATATGTAAACATATATAGGTATTTTTCCAACAACTATTTCACCAAACAAAAGAATTGCTTGGCTCATATTTCCATGCATAATCATCATAAATAGATTCATATACCACTTTCGCTGATCCAATTATCAGTTAAAAGCAGTTTTCTGACTCATAAATGTAGGAAGTGACTTCCAAATATGGACTAAGAAATAAGGTAAATGAGCGTGAACCAGTTACAACCAGAGAAACCGGCATAGTAAATTAGCACATCTACATATAAATAATTCGTATGGATAAGCACGAACATCGGAAACTGAAAAGCAAGCAGGTGAACATATCAAAGAACGAAAAAAATAAAACAAATGATCGCATGTAAAGTTCTTTTACTTCTAAACACAAGAGGTCAAAATTGATTTCACGGGGGCCTTTTTATCTTTCCTTTCCATATAATTAACGTTTACCATGCATAATTCTTTGCAAATAGTTATCAGCATTTGATGTGCTACTCCCTGGACCTCCCATGGCTCCGGATGAACCAGGATTCATAGGATCTCCATAAACATCAGCAGGCGGATACACACCTTCAGAAGGCATCATTGCATTGTTATACCCTGGTACATAATAGCCATTGTTCATGGACATATTGGGATCGTAATTCATAACGCCAGGATAATTCATTCCATTCATTGGCATTGCGGCACCTTGTTGAGAAACGTCACCATACTCCATCCAGTTATTACCCATAGGCATCTGATAATTGTTAGACTGCATTCCCATATCACTTTGCATGAATGGCTGTCCCGCGCCTTGAAGCTGAATTTCACCAGGAGATGAGGGAACCAATCCAGTTGGTTGTAATTGCAAAGCTGAAGGTTGGGCACCATACGAAGAAACGGAAGAAGGATTATATACATTTGTTCTTAAATTATACGGATCTGCAGAAGATTGAGAGTAATTTACGCCAGAAGCACCATACTGAGGTGCAATAGAAGAACCAAGGTATTGGGATGAAGGAGTTGAAGTTGCGTCGTTTGACTCTGCCAAAGATAATTTACTCATATCTGGCATTGAAATATTATCTGTTGTGTTAGGATAAGAATTACCGTAGTATAAATTGTTGGTATTAGCAGGATAATTCGTAGTTCCTGTCATCCCAGATGTTGAAGGCGTCGGCGAGGAAAAGTCATAAAAAGGATTCGAGCCTGTGCTGTTTGGGGGGATTGTATAATCAGCGCCCAAAGGATAATTATAGTCGTAAGAAGCAAGTCCAGTATGAGAGCGTTGCAAAGGTTGGGCAGGAGGAGGTGCGGCGGATGACGAGCCTGTAGTCTGTGGGTACAGGCCAGAGGAATCTAAATTATAAGAAGGCATATTTACGTTTTCATAAGAAGTTGTTGCTGCAGGTCCAGTCGAAGATGCCTGTAAGGGTTGATTGGGTTCTACTGGAGCCCTAAAAAAGGGGCTTGAAGTGGTTTCAACTCCGGGAGCAACTGACATGCCTTGATTTGTCATAGCCATCATCTGCTCAAAAGGATTTAGCGTAGGAGAGGTCACACGCCCTTCACCAGCACCTGTGCCATCGTCATCATCACCGGGTTTTGAACCATCTTCAAAACGTACATGTAAACGCTTGTTTCTTCTAGAAAGACGTGCCGAAGGTAACTTTGGCGCCTTATAAGATTTTGAGCTTGGCATCGAGGACGAGGACGAGGTAGGATTTGATGGGTTTTTTTGCATTTCCTGGACAATTTTTTCCACGGCACCATTAACTTCACCGTTTGAATCTTCCAACGCTTTCAAATTTATTATATCATTCGTAAATCCCATGTCATGGATAGTTTTGAGAGATACTTTGTAATTAGGTTGAGAACTTGAAACACCAGCAGAACTGGCGGATGAGTTGCTTCTAGGGGGCAAAGACGGGCCTTTTTGGTTTGGCGTTTCCTCTAAAAATAGCTTTTTTTCATATTTGTCGCGAATATATTTTTCCATTACGCTGGAAAAGGTGTTAGTTGCAATGTTTCGAAAGCATTTTTCCAAGGGTATAATAAATGTGAACTTACGTATCATCGCTATGAGCATTCATAGGTAAAGGATGATCCAAAGGACTGGGATTCCAATAACGATTGGCATTTAGATTTCCCCAATCACGCATATTCTAAATTGTAGTTAGAAAAAATACTAAAAGTATCTCTCACGCTTCAGCTTACATTTACTTGATCATCTGTCCATTGGTCGAGTGATACTGATTTTACTTTGGAAATGTGAGACCCAAGCTTTCGGTGAATTGTTGCACATCTCAGACATAAAAAGATACCTATCCTTGTTAGACAAAATCGCTTAAAGATTCACCTACCAATATTCCAGCTGGCCCATTGAACACCGCGCGTATGACAGTCTGCACAAATGTTGTTTCCTGGTACAGACTGAATGAGATGCCGAATTGTGGTTTCATTTCGCCGGCCAGACATACCCAAAGCCTCTCGAAAGAAAGCAAGACAAAAATAAAGCTATTTAAATAAACAAAGAAGAAGGCTCCGTTCTTTTAAGTCCGTCCTTTTGGTATATTTGAAAAACGGATACTAGACTAAGAGTACTTTACTTAGAGGACGACAGCTTCCTTTAAACTAATACCTTCAGGAACCTTAAACCATTTAGCAATTTGTGGTATACATCAGTATTTAGTAAACAATGTAGATGTAAGTTATAATGAATTTATTCTTCTTTTTATACATCAATTCACCATAGTCATTTGGTTGTCTGCTTGCTATGCCTATGCAAGAAGTTAAAATGAATTGATGGAACTGTTATAGAGAATTAATTTCGCTTTTATAACACAACTTCTTTATTGCACATTCTATGGCTTATGATATAGAAACTTACGAACTATTTACACAAAAAAATAAATAGATAAAAATGTTTATAAGTCCAATATTTCATTAACAAGATTTGTAAGTATATTTAAAGAATGAAGACTTTAATTCAAGATGTGATCGTTTTGTTTCACATTAATCTAGAAAGCATGTCTATTTAAGTTTTATAGCTTTTGACATAAATAACGCGATTATTAGTAATTTAAGGATTAAAGTAGCGTTTGAGACCATTATTTTTAATAGTTGACCGCTCTTAATACGACATTCTCAGAACGTTCCCTTTCAGAGCCACTAGAGTAGAAGGGCTTGAATTTTTCTAAGTCAGTAGTTACACCGATTCTGCCATCTGTCAAGGTCAAGAGTTCCAAAGAATGGGAAACGCCATTGTCTGAGTATTTAAATTGGAATTGTCCATCATCATCCTTGAAGATTTCCAAAGAATATGCTTCCCTGTCAGCTTGGTCCATTCTGTAAATTGGTTTCACATCGCAGCAAGTAACAATTCTTTTGCTGTCAGAATCATACACGAATGTATGCTCACTGTTTGTGTAGTTGGAAGATGCGATGGCATAATTGTTTTCATCCAAATGCACATATGAAGGAGAAATATCGTCATTCAAAACCTGGATACGGAAGGAATTATCAGAGTTACAGCGGCTGTTGCATGAAGGGAAGGAGGATGTTGGAGTGGGAACATCTACCAACACGGTGCCGGTTTGGGTACTGCTCGCAGTCGCTATAGTAGAGGTAAATCCTTGGGAACCGGAAGTAGTAGTAGTAGTCACCCAGGCAGGTGTAGGGATGTCAACTAAAACGGTACCAGTCTTAGAACCCTCAGCGGTAGCGATGGTAGAAGTAAATCCTTGAGAACCGGAAGTGATGGTCTTGGTAACCCAGGCAGGTGTAGGGACATCAACTACTACGGTACCAGTCTTAGAACCTTCAGCGGTAGCGACGGTAGAGGTAAACCCTTGGGAACCGGAAGTAGTAGTGGTAGTCACCCAGGCAGGTGTAGGGACATCAACTACTACGGTACCAGTCTTAGAACCCTCAGCGGTAGCGATGGTAGAAGTAAATCCTTGAGAACCGGAAGTGATGGTCTTGGTAACCCAGGCAGGTGTAGGGACATCAACTACAACGGTACCAGTCTTAGAACCTTCAGCGGTAGCTATGGTAGAAGTAAATCCTTGAGAACCGGAGGTGACAGTCTTGGTAACCCAAGAGGGACTAGGGCTAGGAGTATCAATCAACACAGTTCCAGCGGAAGAGCCTGAGGGAGTAGCAATGGTGGAAGTGAATCCTTGAGAGCCAGAGGTGACAGTCTTGGTAACCCAAGAGGGACTAGGGCTGGGAGTATCAATCAACACAGTTCCAGCGGAAGAGCCTGAGGGAGTAGCAATGGTGGAAGTGAATCCTTGAGAACCGGAAGTGATGGTCTTGGTAACCCAAGAGGGAGTACCACTAGGAGTGTTAACAGCAACAGTGTTGTTAGGAGTAGGGCTAGGGGTGTCAATCAACACAGTTCCAGCGGAAGAGCCTGAGGGAGTAGCAATGGTGGAAGTGAATCCTTGAGAACCGGAGGTGACAGTCTTGGTAACCCAAGAGGGACTAGGGCTAGGGGTGTCAATCAACACAGTTCCGGCGGAAGAGCCTGAGGGAGTAGCAATGGTGGAAGTGAATCCTTGAGAGCCAGAGGTGACAGTCTTGGTAACCCAAGAGGGACTAGGGCTGGGAGTATCAATCAACACAGTTCCAGCGGAAGAGCCTGAGGGAGTAGCAATGGTAGAAGTGAATCCTTGAGAACCGGAGGTGACAGTCTTGGTAACCCAAGAGGGACTAGGGCTGGGAGTATCAATTAATACAGTTCCAGGTGAAGAGCCTGAGGGAGTAGCAATGGTAGAAGTGAATCCTTGAGAACCGGAGGTGACAGTCTTGGTAACCCAGGAAGGAGTATTACTGGGAGTGTTAACAGCAACAGTGTTGTTAGGAGTAGGGCTAGGGGTGTCAATCAACACAGTTCCAGCGGAAGAGCCTGAGGGAGTAGCAATGGTGGAAGTGAATCCTTGAGAGCCAGAGGTGACAGTCTTGGTAACCCAGGAAGGAGTATTACTGGGAGTGTTAACAGCAACAGTGTTGTTAGGGGTAGGGCTAGGAGTGTCAATCAACACAGTTCCAGCGGAAGAGCCTGAGGGAGTAGCAATGGTGGAAGTGAATCCTTGAGAGCCAGAGGTGACAGTCTTGGTAACCCAAGAGGGACTAGGTGGATGAGGGACAAGGCTTGCACTTGAAGTTATGGTTGTAGAGATGGTAGATCCAGAACTAGAGATAGTAGTGTAGTAAGTAGTTGCTGAGGTAGCGGTAGAGGTTTGGCCTGTAGCCGTTTCCGAGTTAGGGACAGAAACTTGACCTGTTCCACTTGACGATTTACCAGTAGTCACTGAAATCGAGCTCGAATGTGTAGGTGTGTCACTTGAAGAAGTGGGTGTATTTATCAAAGAAGAAAATGTGCTGGAAGAAGTCACCGGGGTGCTGCTCGAAGCAACAGGGGAAGTCTGCAATGAGGGAGAAGCTGGGGCGCTTGATTTGTTGATGGCACTGGTAGAATGAGGCTTAGTATTCGAGGTGGATGCCAAAGGGACACTGGATTTGGAATGAGGCGTGGAGCTGACTCCTGAGAGAGTACCAGATGTTGGAATAGCAGGCTTGTTTCCGGTTAATGGCCAGGATCCAGAAATAGGAGTACTGTTGTTGAGTATTACCGACGAAATACTTGTTGTTCCGAGAGTTAAAGTCTGACTAACTGTTTTCGTATCACTTTTTCCAGTTGATCCAGAGACAAGGGTGGTGGTATCTGTATAAGCACTGGTTATGCGATCAGTAGAAATGCTTGAAGGATATGGAGATGATGCGGTAGTACTACCAGGGGTCAAACTGTTTACAGATTCAGAAGAAACATGTGTTGCTTGAGGTGGTGGTACACTTGAAGAACCAGTTACAGATGCAATAGAATTGGTAGGCGAGGTGACAGGTGTAGGAGCAACGGAAGTTGAGCTTGGCACGCTGCTTGATGACTCAGTATTTGAAGCAGGAGTGGGTGCACTATTCGTTGGTGAAGTGGTAGATGAAGGACTAGCACTGGTAACAGTAGTAGAAGACGTTGGGCTTCCAGGTGAGCCACTAGAAGTTAAAGAAGAAACAAGATTCGTAGCAGCCACGCAGGGAAGATGCGAAGTAAATGGTTCATAAGCAGTCGTGGTAATGGTAGTAGTAACGAGGCTCCAGTAACTTGAGGCAGTAACGGTTTCCTTTGCTGAATAAAGGGTGATATTAGAAGACAAGAAGCTGTCGTAGGTACAAGTCGGAACATCGAGATTGACAGTAGAAACTTCATCTTTGGTGGAATTCGAGTAAAGCGCTCTCGCGTAAAGGGAGGCTTCCTTTTGGTCTATAAACTTTGCAAAGGAAGGAGAAACGAAAGAATAAAGAAAGAGGGGAAGGAAAAAGTACGTAAGTAAAGACATCATAATGTAAAAGAAGTCCTAAAAGAGCGAATAAAAGGTGGAATGCTTAAAAAGAAAAAGCGATAAGAATGTCGAGTTGATGAAAAATGAAGAAGAGAACTAGTAAAAAAAAGCAAGAAAATTCTAAAAAATATAAAAAAGAGCAAAAACTCTACAAGAAATGAACAAAAACGTGATCTTCTCAAAACGCAACCAAACGAAGGTTAAGTATCTATAGTTTATGCAGAAAAAGTCGTAACAAGGAATTTAAAAAAAAATTATCATCAAAAGTGGATGCAAAAAGGAGTAGTAAGAAATATGGACGGGATAGGGAAACCAAAACCCAGGAAACGAAACACGGACACTTCAGAGAATCTAAACAAACTCAACAAGTTATCACAGACGTCTATTTCGCTAGCGAGTGTTTAAAGGCTTTGTATTTCTTACTGAATCTTCAGTGTAGAACAATGGTTATTGTGTGCCATTGTCTTCATTATATATACTATTGTCTTTTCCATTATGTTTCATATTGTTCTCAATGTTTTAAAAGAAACAAAGGATCCTTTGAAAGTCATTAAAACGCGTTTTCTACTTGACTGATTTGGGACCGTAATGGTGCTAGAGAAAGCATTAGTATCCCAAAACGAAAGTATCTACCCCGGAAGCGACACGACAAGTAACAATAAATGACATTTCAAGAAACAAAGTAAGTAAACAAAAAAGAAAACAAAGCCTGGAGCATCCCAAATTGGAGAATAACAAAAGTAAACGGGCCTTTTGGAGAAAAGAATTAAGGGATAAAGTGATTCTTATTACAAATGAGAAAAACATCGATACCAACTTGCGAGCTTATTGGCAATGTGAACGCGAATACTCGAAAAGGTAAATTTATGCACACAAAAATTGTTTTCAAAGAAATAAAGTATTCTTAACAATGTTTACCTTTGTTTTTTTTTTTTTTTTTTTTTTTTTTTTTTTTTTTTTTTTTCAAAAACGAAACATAGAATGCGCGGTAACTCTTTGGAACTTTCCAAAATATACAAACTTTTATCGACGACCTTTTTCAAACACATTATTGGTTTTAGCATAAAACGCAGAAGTATTTTATGTTCTTTTACTAACGAGACTTCATGTAAGATTACCGATATGGGGAAAAATGAAGATAACTATATTAACAATGAACTATTCAATACCAATAAACCTCAGATATTGAAACCATGTGGGAAATATCTTCTTTCAGTAAGCTCGTTGAAAGACAGTAGGCTTTTTTCCTTCCTCTGCATTTCTAATTCCATGCTTCATAGCAGAATAAGTATATGCATATAGCTAAATAAAAGTACTCATTGTATTCAATTTTGCTCTCCTTTCAGTTTTCACGACACTTTAGGGATTCCAGCAAAACCTTCTTTCTTTAAACGGCTTTTCTGTGTATTGTTTACGTTTTGTTATACTTCTTCGATAGTATTATCACATTTACATAAGTATATGTAAAAATCCAAAATATTGCCTTATAAGAATAATATCAAAGAGTTCTTTATTACAGAAGGTAAACATCGAAATCCTAAAACAAAGAAACCTTATTAAGTAACAATGTTATCTACATACAATATATATAAATATCTAGGTAGAAGTGCGAACTGGGATTGGAACCTTGACTGATCTCACCGAATAAACCAAATTATCACCATAAATACCTAATTAAGTCAGTGATCTCTTTAAATTTTTAAAAAACCTTTCTAAATAGGATCTAACATGTACGGAAATTACTTTTACAAGTCTTAGAATCTGCGTACTTGTCATTGTCATAACTTTGATACGATATTACTATTAGCACGCGATACGATAATACTACCGTATTATCAAATACCTTATTATAAAAAGAAATCCATTTTTGCGTAAAAATAAAAAAGTCAAATTTTACATGATTAATGATATTATGAATCTTAGAAAGATATATATACATTTAGTTAAAAACTCGAATCTTCCCCCATCTAGAAATTTGACCGATCTAGCTACATGTAGTCTACTTAGGTTATTTAGTGAATCAGATCCCTGGAAGCTGTTATTATTCATTAAAGTAGTAGGAAAGCATCCAATTCAAGTACGATTCATCAAAATAGTACACTGTTTTTCCATTGATTTGTTTATTCTTATAAACAGTGAGAGTCCGTCTATGATACATAGTGCTATTACAATATTTATAATCGTAACACAAGCCTTTTATAATACCCTAGACGGCTCGGTGTCTATTCTATGCCTTTACGTTAGGTTCGGTTCTCCACATATTGTCAACATCATCACCAAAGATTATAGGGATATAAGAAACTAGTAGGTCCACCGTGGACTGCCCTTCCAACTTCATCAAATAGTTCCTAGTAAGAGTTAAGAAAGTCGATTAATTCCTTCACGTAAAATTGTATGAGAGACTAAATTGATTTCTTTTGTTTGCTGTATTTGCATTGCTTTTTTATCTTTCCTTTTATTTGTTCGGTCTAGTTTTATTCTTTTTTTAGTAACTGTTATCCTAATTCGTTTCTACCGATTTAGTTTTTTGTTCATCCATACACCATGCTGTTTTCGTCCTGGATAGGTGCTGCGTATTTTGTAGGATCGGCTCTCGCTACTATTTCTTATGATCCGCTTGTCCAAGGTGCTAGTTCCTATAAGTATCAGGTACCAAAGCAAAATCCTAACACAAACCCATATTATGTACAAGAGGAATCGTTGGCAGTTTTCCCTTTTGATGAACCTTTGGGTGGTCATGCATTTGTTTCTGGCCATTTTATAGATCCCATTGTAGAAAATGACACTGAGTCGGCTTATGTGGAATTGCTTCTTAAGCCAAATGTGAGCGCCAGAGCGGTCTTTTTCCGAAGTATTTTCTACCCAGACTTATTTCAAGGTTATAAACACGCAATCGACGGTTTTAAAGATTTTGAATTCCTCAAAAATCTTAGTTCAGGGGACTGGGAGCCTTTTCACATCAGCCCTGACTCAGATGTGCTATACTCGAAGCAACAAATTTATGAACCAGGTATGCACTTTTTTGTTGGGTTTTATGATCCCACATTGGATTATAAATCCTCTTTGCCAGGAGAGTCGATAACCTCCATGTCTAAACAAGAGGTCGAACCTGTTATTCAAATACGTTACAAATCTGGTGATCATAAAGATACCACACAGATATCACGTTTCTTCATCTTTTTGTCGGTAATTTCCAGTTGCATAGGCTTTTATTGGGCTATCCGCTGGTTTCGTAATCCCCAAAAGGTTAGCTTTACTCAACTTTTATTGCTCACTTGGTATATTGCATTTTTGTTTAATCACCCTATAAAGCAATCAGTGTTTTCGAATAAGGATCTTTACAAAAATCATCAAGACTTGACTATGTCTTCAATTTTTTTTAGTTACATCTTCGGTGATGGAATTGAACGTCCTTTATTCAATTCCTTTTCTTTGGCGTCTTCTTTCGGCATGGGTTACGCCCGACGTAGTTCGAAGAAGTTAATTTTCTTGGTCATATTACTAACGTGGTTGCAAATGGCGTTTATTATTTGTGCGCCTCTTGTTTTCCCTATTCTGAGCATATTTGGTTCTTCCAAAGCAAAGTCTTTGCAAGTCTCATGGATGCTTTTCAACTTTGGTTATATCCCATCAGTATTCTTCATCGGATACTTGATAACCGATAGGAAGAGCGTTTTACCGGGTACTAGTAGAGTCGCGAACATTGTAAAACACATGGTGTTTATTTTATTATCAACCTGTGTAAGCTTATCGATTTACATGAATAGCGCGGCATCCTTCGATTATATAAGTGAAACCTTGAAAATCATTTATGGTGTTTTATACTTCTGTGTTGCCGTAGGCTTTCTGAATGAATATGAGCAAATGGTGAACGTTGACACACTTAACAATTCGCAAGAGCTTTCGCCATTATGTGACGATGATATTAAGAAGGTTCCGCTTGAATAAATTGGATCCAAGTTTTTTCGATCTGCATTTGCATAGTCTTTACCAATCTTATTTATAGCAATCATAATACAATCCCTAGAAGAATCTAGTTTACGCAAGTATTAAATTTAGATATAGTACATAAACGCCCAATTCTTTCAATCAAGTATTTACTTTTACAATTACGATGCTGTTCATGAATGTCCCAAACCTATTTGATCTCAAGCATAATTTTTTTCCAATTTAATCATTCCTGAAACTTACAGCTCTGGGCTCAAGTAGTAATGTTCAAAGAACTTTGTTTAAGATGAGCATCCGCAAGTAGAGAATATGTCCTTTAGAAGTATATCTTAGCCAGTATTAAATGCATTTATAGATCTGTTTAAATTTTTTTTTTTGTTCTTACTGGAAGTTAGTGAATCGTAGTTTTGTAAATAAAGGAAAGCCATTTGAGAAGTACTAACTATTTCCCCCTTTTCCACACGGTGTGCGAAATCATATATTCTCGACTGCCCTTTCTGTTAGTAGTCGCCAATGCATCCTCATCTCGATATCAATAATCAAAAGCGATGTGCGCATCTTATATTGGCACTAGAAGAATGTCATAGACATTATGGAAAATTTTTAGGAGAATGCAACTCAATCAAATACAGCTTGAAAGAGTGTTTGAATCAAGATGTACAGTAAACTTTTACATATACTAATAATTATAGTGTAGAAAACTAACTTATATTAATAGAGAAACGAGAAAGCAAAAGTCAATCGAGAAAAAGCACTCCAACAGAAAGCATCTTCTAGGGAGTATCGCCGAAGAATGGAAGAACAGGAGGCAGAAAAAATACAAGAGTTGCTTAGAAGCCGAAGTAAATCTTCTTCCGATTAACGTATTTGATTATTCTATTGCAAGCACAAGTACCAGAATTAAAAATAGAAATAGTTACTTACTAGAACCGATTTAAAGCAAATTTAACAATGAAGTTATTAGGTCTTAATGCTTGGTTTCGATTGTGCAAGCGACATTATCTTCATTGCGTTACTGAGGTCTAATCGTGAACCGGCTCTTGTTCCTTCAGATCTTTGTGGGATTTGTGAAAGCGTTTCATTTTAAAGAGCTTTGTGAAAGAATTCTTATTTCCAATCTTCAATCTTGCACCCAATCTGCCATCGGAAGAGGATGATGGAGTTTCTGACGAATTTGGATCTTGCTCGGTTTCAGGAAGTAGCGGCCCTATAACTCGACTAGTGTAACTGTTTAGTTGCCTTTGTAGTTGCTCTACACTAGATTTTCCAAATGTTTGATAGACTCCCAAGTATGGTCGTTTGTTCTTGCCTTTTCCTAACGCTTGCACATAGATTCCAACTTCGATGAGCTCTTTTAAGCAACTTTGGAATCTCTCTACAAGGACGCTTGCTTCATTTTCATATTCATCCAAATCTTCTTGTCCCTCCGAGTCTTTCATCTCTATCGCTTCACGAACCTGATAATTTGCAATCCTTAGTCCATCAACTGCGCATGATAACACTGAATAGAATTGACGGAATTTCTCATTCTCTTCTTCCTCTGTTACTGCTTTAAAAACTCTAAGTGTATCTTGGTGATTAAATCCTTCTCCCTTAGCTGAGCCGATTGGAATCTTCCCTTGGCTTTCCAGGAATTCATGTATAGAATCTAATACCATAACAAACACTGCAGATACTAGAATGCTACTTTCTTTGCACCATCCGTATTGGTTTTCGATCAACTTATAGTGATTATCATCTACACTTTCTTCAGGTATACTCTTGCAGTACTGTTCCTGTCTTTGAGTTAACATCCTGCTGGTTAGCTTCATAATTCCCTATTTCCGTCTTTTGCATACGTAAAAATGTGTTCTATATCCAAATAATTTGAAAAATCATTTTGGTCTTCTTTAATCGAACCAATCTCTGAGTTTTGAATGCTCGACATATTTGCTCTAGGATGTTTCTTGTTGCCTTGAATTGGGTTATTTATTTTTGTTTAGATTGACAGTCTTTCCGGATAAACAAAAGACCACATTGTTTGGATTACCCACGTAACCCTCGTTCATCCCTTTTTTTTTCAAAACATAAACAAAAATAATTTTGTTTACCAATATCATGATTATTTTTTTTTTGTACAAGATCCAATGAAAGAATAAGTTTTAAAAATTAATCTTATGTGTGTTTCTTTATTTGCTCCATGCTTGTTATTACAGTAAACAAAGAATTCCCAAAAAATCACTTAAACAATACGTATAATTTCATTATTCAAAAAAGTAATGCAAAACCTCTAATTTTAATTGAATAATAATATATTGAACACAGATGACAATGAATTAGCAACAATCTTGTTTTACACAAAGGTAAAGCTACTACGGCACAATGGGCACCGGCTAGCATTTGAAGACTTAAACCATTTGTATAAGCAAGAAGCATGGAACTTGTGTCTGCAAGTGCTGCAGCGCTTATTTGGCAGTGTTCTTTCAACTGATAACACAGAGTAGCAGATAGCACATTCTTCAACACCTTCAAAATGCATTGAAATGTTTCTCTTCAACAATTGCAAAGCATCAATTATCGATCCGTTTTGGGAAGTTAATATACTTTGAGAAGCCAAAATCCATGCTCGCCATTGTCGCTCATTCACACCAACTCTTTCGATTCCTTCTACCTGTACTTGATGAAGAGGGTAGGCCAAAGGTATCCTGATTGCCATCTCAAGCTTGTGCTCATCAACGTGATATATAAAAGATATTTCTTTTGTATTTCTATTTAGTTTTACCACAGTATCTCCGGAGGTTTCAAAGGTTGACGAAGATATAGCGTTTTCTACATCATCCAGTGAAGCAGAAATCAATACTGGAGACACATTCGATTCAGTAAATGATTCAACTGTGTATGTAAATGCTCTGTTTTTTATTTCCGACCAATATCCACGGACTGCTGAAGATAAATGTCGCAAGCATTGATAGTATATATATGTACATAGACAACGAGTTCGGTCAAGTGGAGAAGCATAATCCATAAGGTTGTAGGATATTTTTGGATAATTGCTTACATCAACTGGTCTATCGTAGGACAATTGAAGCACCTCTACAATAATTGCAAGCAATGGTCTTACCAGATCCATTGACAACAACTGTTCAGTAAGAGTAAGCTTAATTTGATACGTCGTTTCTTCAAAATGGTGAAAAACAAGATCCCATGCTAAAAGATAAGATCGTAGAGCAGTTTCCATACTATCAAGTTCACTTATAAGACTCAAAGGATTTTCAGTGTAATCAATCAGTATAGAAAGTAATTCAGGAGCAAAAGAAACATCAGGTTCAGAAGTGCTTTCAACCAAATAATAAACCGTCAAGTCTTTAACCTCATTCGTAATTTTACTATACAATAATTTCATACACATGTCCTCGTTTTGCAAATCCGAAAAGTCTAGTAAATTAGGATAGAGCTCTTGATAGGGAATTTTTGCTATAGTCTTCTCTGAACATTTACCTAACATTCTTATAAGATAGGTATTGCATAAGCCAGCGGTTACTGAAGACTTTAGATTAGATTCATGGTATGAAAGGAAACTCTTCAATCCAAGATAGTGTATATCATCATCATGCTCGAGTAGCCCATCCTGAATGTCGTCGTTTCCCTCAGATATTTTCGTAAGTGCATGATATAAGCGTAGCGCGTAAAACTCCATAGACTTTACTATCGGAATATCAACAGGAGAAAGCTTAAGTGTGAATTTGATTAATTCAAAAATCCGATCCCAGTAAGGACCCGTAAACTTTTGGACGGATGACAGAAAACCATGAAGAAATCTTAACAATAGAGATAATGACAATAAATCCAAAGATTTTACAACATCTCCAGTTGCCCATTCAGTAAGGCTTGTTAACAGTAATGGACAACGAGTTATAGGAAGCAGAGGTTTTGAGTTGCCTCCAGATGGCGTAGCTGCATTCAACATCATTAAGGCACTGGTTACAGACGGGCTAGATACCAACTTATAAGATAACTGACTAGCGCTTCTAAATCTTATTTTTTCGACAATACCAGAATCCAACTCATGAGGTTTAAACCCTTCGAGAAGGGCTACAGCTAAGATATTTGACTTTGAAAGGAAACCATCTAAGTTATTACACAAAGCATCGTATTCATCAAAGCTCAAAGGAAACATTGAAGACGCTAATTTCAATAAGTTCATAATAGCTTGAGCTGAAAAAATACTCATCAAATCAGAAGAGGAGACGGCTATCTTTATCAACTCATGAATAGCGAATCCGACGTTGCTTTCAGGTTGCAAAAGGATGCTTGAATAAAAGGATAATGAATTATCAACAACTATCTTGCTGAATAGTCGCTTAAACAAATTCTCACATCTTTGGCAAAAGTCGTTAGCACTCCCAACAGTTACATCAGGAAAAATTTCAATACCATTTTGAACATAGATAGAGAAAGCAACATAGGACATGGACAAATATGGGAAGAGATTGATGCTTATTTCATCATGTTCACAGAATACTAATGAGTAAAGTGAAGCAAAGAAAAGTTGGGCAAATGTGTGGCTATCGACAACTTCATTAATTTGGGTGTTGTCATTCAGTTCCGCGAACCCGAGACAAGGTACCTGATCCACAAAATGGTTTTTAGCAAAAAATTGTTCAGTGGGTACCAATACAGAAAACCAAAATTCTTTAGAATACCAAAACAAAGACAAAGAAATTTTATCTTTATGAGACTTTTCCAGTCTAACTATCATTTCCGCCAATTTCTGCGCGTCCTGTTTGCCTTCCAAAATGCTTTTATGACTCCAATCCGCAACAATAACGCAAAGAGAATCCATGAAACCACTATTCTTCCCAAATTCCGTATTAAATAACTCCATTACACTATTACGCAGATTGTCATCGACGGCAGAAAACTTGGTGTCTATTTGTAGCAAAGGATATAACAAGTAAAGACTTTCATTTTCTGCAAAGACATCAGTCAGATTATGGCCCAAGCTGTGAAATTCGCAGCACAGGAGACTTAAGTAATCTTCCAAGTGGCTCTGTGGCATATCCACATCAAAATTGTTTGAAGTCAAACTCAAAAATTTTTCAACTAATTTTCCAGGGATAAGAACGTCTTTCGCATCAATTATAAGTTTGATAAGACTTGAGCTGTAATCTTGCTGCTTAATCAGATCAGACACGGTCTCATCATAATAAGAAACAAGTGAATGCACCAAAGGAATTTTACCACGCAAGCGAGAATCTGCAAAACTAGAAGGAAGAGAAGTAAGAATTTCGGTATTCAATGGTTCAATCATTAGCTGATCAACAACGGATATCCAAAGGTTACCGATGTTTTCGGATTCTCTAAATAAGTAAACGATCTCATGAAGCAAATTGAAGTATGTCGATTTCGACGATTGAGTCAAAATAATAGATGGTAAAAAATTCAGCAAATACTGGCTGAAGTCTTCTTGAACAAACCTGGTGAACTTCGTTTTTTCAAATACGTGACAAAGCTTGGTAAGATGCGTAACAGCAAGACCAGCGAATTGCTCATTTTCGTTGGCAGACAAGCGCATCAGAAATTGTAAGCAGGGTCGTACTTTACGTTCGTATTCAACGTCGTAAGGCCTATCATTACTTTTGAAACTCAAAGCGGTTTGCACGGCTAGAGTAACGGATCTAGAAAAGACTTCAAATGATGCAGAGTCAGGAACAAAATGGGTTTCATAAAAACTGTATAATACCTCGTTCCATAAATTGGAAAAAGAATCATTTTTACGAAATATGTTCTGTAAACATTTATCAAACTCAAGAATGGGACACTGTGGCGTCATGGTTCCTTCAAAATAAGAAATAAACATTGACTTGAGGCTTTCTAATACTGTATCTTTGATACGGGAATCCGAAGAATTATTATATACGAATGAAAGGAAGTCGAAATAACAGCTATATACTTCGGTCGCAAAAACCCGTTGTTCTTGTCGAGCAACTTCCAAGAATGCATTAGAAAACTCGGACAGATCATCTGTTGAAGGGACGAGATCTTCAGTAGAAAACTGAGTCATTAAATTCATGAAAGCTGGATAAAAGCCGGAATTTGGCAGTGCTACTCGTTTACGAAGGAGATTTTGTAAACATTTTCGCATAGGACGTTTCGGATGGTTTGCCAAAGTGGTCGACGAAGAAGGATATATGGCTAATAGGGAAGAAAGCATTCCCACCAAAGAAACACACGAAATACTTTCACATCGGGATAGCATACGGGGAACGAGGTTTGTGAATTTATCTTTGAAAGGGAAGAAGAAGTCCTTATCAAAATGTATAAGAGTCTGTAAATATTGGAATAATCTTAGCTTGATGGTTCCATGAGAAGAGGAAAGGAGCTCCCATAGTTGCTTAGATTCAAGCAACACGGAAACCGCCTCAAAGTAATGCTTATGAAAGCTTTGTATTTTTGAGTCTTCCTCTATATTGTTTGTAGAACTTTGATTCAATAGAAAAGAAAGAGTAGAAAAGCAACAGGCAAAAGTGCGCTCATATTTGGCTTCAGCATCTTCGTTGGAAATAAATCGTAAATCAGATATCGAATCAATAGTCTCATACATAAGGATATCAACAATATTATCAACCAAAACATTTCCGAATTTGATCCAAACATGAGACCACTTATCCTCTGGCAGTAGCTTTCTGAGTGAATCGCGGGCAGCTGAGGAAACTGATTTATCAAAATCAAAGAAGCCCATCAACCAGGGTGTGATATAGGATTTAAGCCATGGGGCAAGTCTTTTTTGCAGAGACGAAGACAAAAGACCCGTGAATGTAAAAGCGTATTGACGAACTCGTCGATCTGTCTCAATCGCCAAGCGAGGGAAGAAAACAGCCCAAGCATCCAAAAATTGTTCATTTTCAAATTGATCACATTTTTTCCATTGAATTAAATCTTGCAAAGCACGACATTTGGTAGTAATATCTCTTTTTTGCAGACTTTTGATAACAACTAAACAATCTGCATCAATGGTAGTCAAGTCTGGAGGTTCAAAGATTGTGCTAACCATGGAAGTATTCATCCCAGTATCCATCTGTAGAGATGAAAAGGATCCGGAGAGAGATTGCATCGGCGACGAAGTTTGTCTAAAATAGCGGTTAGCTTAACGAATTCCTTTCGACGTAGAGCATTTGATTATCTCTTATATTGTATTCTCCATCAATAAAGAGTAATCACGAAGTATATGAGCGACTACATCCCACAAAGAGATGCATCATAATTTTATGCGAAATACTTCTCCAAGGAATTAAAACACATACCCTTGAAGAAACCCAAATTTCTTTATAATTTTAACAATGTCTATGCAATGAACCTTTTAATTTTCTCTCACTGTCCGCTAGGAAAAGTGTTGTTTTTTCTTAATTCTTTTACTTCTGACACTTCCTAAGACACGTAATTTTCAATCTTCTTGGAACATTACGTTAAATATGAAGACACGTTAGCACATCCTTATATAACTTTACGTTATTACAACGTACTTTTAGGATACTATGCTAGTATAGGTTAGACGTTGCTAAATGTAAGTAAAAATGTACGCTGAATAGACGCGAAGAGAAGTAAAAGAAAGGAAGAAAGCTGTCTAATCGAGCATATACTCTTTTATAAGAAAATTATTTTCTTGTGAGATATGAAGAAGAATACCTAGTATGAATCTTTCTGAGAACGTTGCTCTTTTACAATGTCTCGACTTAAAAAGGCATCTAGGGGATAACCAAGAGGAAATCCTGAAACGATTGTCTGAGAGTCCATTTCTGCTTGAGCCTTTGGATACACACGAGTTGAAGAGAATATATGATCAGGCAGTTACGAATTTGGAACCAGAAGAGAAGATTGAGCGAGACTTAAACAAGGATAGGCCTATTACAGATCATGCAACAAAATCTGACGAACGGCCGCAATTAAGAGAGGATGTTATCAATGATCTTATTAATGAATTAAATAATTGTATTAAATCTTATAATGCGAGTCTTGAGCAACAGACTGAAGAACGTACAAAAGCCAATGAACAAGACGAGGAAGCGTTACAGGAAACTGCGAATGATACAGAAAATGCTTCCAAAAACTTGCAATCGGATAGAGGATTACCAGAGGAGGTACACGAAGAGCTCGAATCATCTCATAGTCCGGATATTGATGCACCCTCTGGTCCTGTAGCTTCAAGAGCTACTCGTGCCACTAGTAGGAGACAAACTTCACAGGAAGAAGATAAGACAAGCCTTAAAAAGTTTCAGAATGCTATTCTTCCCCTATTAGATAATATTTCGAATCATCGATTTGGTGCACCTTTTAGTCAGCCTGTAAACAGGAAAGAAGCCCAAGACTATGATTCACTGATTTATTGTCCTCAAGATTTAAGGACGGTAAAGAACATGGTTCGTGAAGGCACGCTTACAACTGTTGAAGAAGTTTATCGAGAAGTGTTGCGAATATTCGCTAACTGTAAAATGTACAACGGCGCTGATACCAGCAGTGCGATGTCAATATGGGGAGATGAGTGTTTTCAATTCACAGGAGAATTATTCGAAATGTATAAGCAAGCGAGTCTTAGACGATGATGTTTCTGAACGTTTTTCAGTCTTTTGCGATCAAGAAGTTTTGTGCTTGACAATGTGATAATGTATATACATCATGTATTCATCGGATGTTTATTGTATTTACTTTTTTGATACTTAATATATGGATTTTGTCTAAAAGTTTCTTAACAAAGGGTAGAATATTATTATACATACACAACATCGTGTAACTAAGTGTGAATATAAAAAATTTCCAAATAACATCAATCAATTATATAATTTTTTAGTCGTAGATACACTCATGAACCTTGATAACTTAAATAAGGTTGAAAAGACCGTCTTCTTTCTCACGGAAATCACATACGTTAGTGAGAACTCCATTCGATGGTACTAAGGTCAACTCCTTCTTGTACTAGATCCCACAAAGGACTTAAGTTTCGAAGGAATTCAATTTGATTATGCACGTTAGCAAGGGCATAATCAATTTCTGCCTCTGTTGTGTATCTGCCAATACCAAAGCGAATAGAGCTGTGAGCATCTTCATCGTTTTGGCCAATAGCACGAAGAACATAGGAAGGTTCCAAAGATGCGGAAGTACAGGCGGAACCAGATGAAAGAGCAATATTCTTGAGACCCATCAACAAAGACTCACCTTCAACGTAAGAGAACGAAATGTTTACACAGCCGGGAAATCTTGACTTAGGATCACCATTTAAAGAAGTGTAAGGAATAGCCAAAAGACCATCAATTAAACGCTTTGAGAGCTTAGAAATGTGTTCATGGTCGTAAGCCATTTCTTCTCTACAAAGACGGGCAGCGGTACCAAAACCCACAATTAAAGGAGGAGCCAATGTGCCGCTACGAAGACCACGTTCTTGGCCACCTCCGCTCAACAAGGGAGAAAGACGGACACGGGGGCGACGACGAATAAAAGCAGCACCGACACCTTTGGGTCCGTAGATCTTGTGGCCTGAAATTGACATCAAATCAATGTTCATTTTGTCAACGTCCAAAGGAATTTTGCCAAAACCTTGAGCACCATCAGTGTGGAAAAACACTTTATTAGCACGGCAAATTTTGCCGATTTCCTCAAGAGGTTGAATCACACCAATCTCGTTATTGACAGCCATAACACTCACGAGAACGGTATCAGGGCGAATGGCCTTCTTTAAGTCGTCGAGGCTAATCAAACCATTTGTTTGAACAGGAAGAAATGTGACATCAAAACCTTCTTCTTGTAAAGTACGCAAAGAATCAAGGACACACTTGTGTTCAGTTTGCACAGAAATTATGTGCTTTTTTCGGTTTTGATAAAAGCGAGCTACACCTTTAAGAATAGTATTGTTGGACTCAGTGGCACCAGAAGTAAAAATAATCTCTCGAGGATCGGCCTTGATGACAGCAGCAACCTCCTCACGAGCTTTTTCTACGGCTTTCTCAGCCTCCCATCCGTACTCATGTGTACGGCTATGAGGGTTTCCGTATACACCTGTAAGGTAGGGTAGCATACTGTCCAGTACGCGGTAATCGAGAGGAGAAGTGGCTTGAAAGTCCATGTAAATCGGATGAGTACCAGAAATGGCTTCTAGAGTAGCCTTCGCTCTGGCCACAGTAGGAGATTCCATGGTGGTTGTACCAGGACCAGGAGCAGTTGCTGTCGAAGCAGCGGCTGCGGAAGAAGCTGGCGAGGTCGATTTAAGGATGGAAGGTTCTTGGGGGGAATGAGGGGCTGCGGTAGAATACAATCTGGAAGAGGCAGCATAGGCGCCATTCCAAGGACGACCCAAATGGGAAGGTGAGGTCTTCGGAAGAGCCTTTTGGGAAAGAGACAAAAATTTACTGAATCTCGACATCATGAAAGAATTAGAAATTTACAATCGATAATCAATGGACAAACAGAAAACAAAAAATATTCTTCGAGATAGAGGCAACCTTCAATTTCAGACAAATCAGGAAGAAATAAAGTATAACAAAACTCCTCTTTTAAAGGGCTAAAAGACTTTTGCACGAAAATGTGCAATCAATGCCTATTTCAGCGAAACAGACCACAATATATGAAAAGGGGGTCAAGAAAACGATTTCAGTTCAACAAGATCGTTCTTTAAGTGCACGCGAACTTGTGCAAAGATGTCTTGGTCCTCAGACAAAAAACAGTAGAGTAAGAGTTAATAGCAGTGAAGGATTCTGGATAGCGCTATTCTCTCTTATATAGTGAGACGCACTAATCAACCAATTTGAGTCGGGCCAATCCAAATGCTCAGCGACACTGCTAAGTCAAATAGAAGGCGCACATTGATGAGTCAGGTAACATTAGTAAGCGAACCAAGTAACAAAAACAATTCATGGACCAAGATTTAGTGGCTTTGGTGGCTAATAGGAAACGAAAAGAACATTTAAAATAATGAACGAAAACAAACCAATTAATGAACGGATACTTGGTGAGTTTCGTTTATTATTCTGGCATTCGCTGCAAACTTCGACTCTACACAAACTTGTGGAAGAAGAGAACTTTAGCCACTGCGAACGGATTCCTTATTCTTTTTACGAGAGTTTGTCCACAACGGTAATTATATAACACGGTATGTTAGAATGTGGTATAATTGCTTTGCGCATTTCACTCAATTACGTACCTGTGTTTAAACAACAGTAACGTCATTTTGGTAAAATAGATAACGAAAGTATCGTTATATCTGATATGATGAGCAGAAACAGATGGATTGGAGGAACGTACTCATCTTCCCAAGACACAACACCCAATTGAGACCTAAAATAGACGGAACTGAATGAGCTGGAAAGGATTTAAAAAGTCGGTGGTTCGCGCACCGCAAACATTTCGTAGCAAATTCAACATTGGAGAGCAAACAAAAGATCCAGTGTATGAAGATGCCGGACGACGCTTTAAGTCCTTGGAAACAGAAGCCAAAAAGCTTTCGGATGATTCGAAAAAATATACAGAAGCAATTCGCGGCTTATTGAATCATCAAGTTGGATTCGCAGATGCTTGCATAGAAATCTATAATCCTATTAGCGGGCAAGCCTCTAATCCAGAGTCGTATCATTTGGAAGGAAGTGAGGAAGGAGTTCAGGCAGCCGAGGCTTATAAAGACGTTGTACACGATTTGGAGTCGAGTTTAGCGTCTGAATTGGAAGTGATTCAATCGCGCGTTGTTGAGCCCACAGGAGCATTGCTTAAAATTATCCGAGATGTGGATAAGCTTCTCACGAAGCGTGATCACAAACAGATTGACTACGATCGTCATCGGTCTACCCTAAAGAAGCTACAGGAAAAGAAGGATCGCTCTTTGAAGGATGAAAAGCGTCTATATGAGGCCGAAACCTCCTTTGATCAAGCATCTCAGGAGTATGAATATTATAATGAAATGGTCAAAGAGGAGCTTCCCCGTCTTTTTGAGCTTGAACAAGAGTTTATCGCTCCTCTCTTCCAAGCTCTTTATTATATGCAGCTTAATATATTTTGGATCCTTTATCAAAAAATGAGCAACTGCAACATTCCCTACTTTGACCTAAACACCGACATTATCACTGCGTACGAAAACAAGCGTGGTGATGTCAGAGACCGTACAGAAGCTTTGACCATTACTCGGTTCAAGACAGCAAAACCTATTCACAAGATTTCTGGTAATTCTACTGGTCATTCTTTCCACTCGTCGCCCTCTTCATCTTCCTCCTTTTCCAACAAGCATGAAGAAGCCGCTCTGGATGTTTCTTCTTCCACTGCAAATGGTGAGTCCTCAACCTCAGAAGTCCCCCCTCCTTATACTTCTCTTGGCACCCATCCCTCTACTGCAGCTGCTGCAAATGCCCCAGAAAAGTCTTCCTATCCTTACGCAGAGTCTGCAATTCCAGTTGCCGCAGCTCCCCCTGCCCCACCAACAAAGCCTAAACCCGCTATGCCATCAGCAGAATATGTCACTGCTTTGTATGATTATACAGCTCAGGCTGCGGGTGATTTGTCTTTCCGCGTAGGTGATCGCATTGAGATTGTCTCAAGGTCTAATAATCAAAATGTAAGTCATTCTTTTTCTCTTTCTTGTATTTTTTTGTGGATACTGACTTTTACTAACCGAGTATAGGAATGGTGGATTGGCCGTGTACACGGATACGAAGGTCAGTTTCCGGGTAATTATGTTCAATTAGATCAAATATCCTAAATAATTTTGACGATGCATTCTTTTTGTTAATATTTTCTTTCTATTTTTTGTTACGTGGCTCTGCTACATACGAAAATGGGCGAAACGATCATGCGCAAGTAGAATACTTTCCATTATGTACTTTTGTTCCAATCTTTCTTTTGCATCGTTTGCATAATCTGAAGCTAAGAAAGATATACTTGTTTCGTATTTTTGCCTGAATGTTCAGTTGGAATGGATAATTATTTATCTTGAAAGTTTTGAAAATGACATTATCGAATATGCCCTAATATATGCGCCGTTTGTTTACGAAGTTGTCGAACTTATTATTGCCTCTGAGAATTATGAATTGCGCCTACAAGTTTTCAGTATTCATTTTCTTAGTTTGCAAGTACTACTTCCGTCTTTTTGTCTAATCTTGAATAATTAGCTAATGGAAAGAGTCTGCATGCATTCCTTTAGCTGCTGTACTCTCTACATGAACGGGACCGTATTGATTAAATAACGAACAATAAATGGTCTTAAGCTTTTTTTAAAAATGCAATCAACATCCTAAGTATAGTATTCGTACGTTCTAGATATCCGTATTTTTTTCCTTTGCAATAAGCATATAAGAAAGAAAAATAATTCATATTTTCTTAAATATACTATTTGCTTACATTTACATTTTCATGAACAACATAATCTGCCCATAGAGGGTCACTGGGAAGTAGACAAGGAAGATGCTGCACCACAGTAAAAGTTGGCACGAAAAATTCGGTGACGAGAATAGATGAATCAGAGCCTAATGGGTCGCATAAATACTTCAGAGGATGTTGATTCTATGTGGAATAAGTTTTGTGCCGATTTAGAGCCTATAAAAAAGTTACTAGTTGATCAAAAAGAATGTCATGAAACCGTGGAGAATAAGGACCTTGATTTGGACGCGAGGGTGGAGGCTTCTCGACATGGTTTGCAAGCAACAAAAGATCAAAAGGCTCTATTAGATCCTGCTATACAATCTTTAGAGGTAATTATCCATGTACTGGAAAAAGCGAATGAGAAATCTGCAGCCTCTGTCATGAACAGCCCTCTAACAAGAAGTCGACGAAATCGTAGCGCTTCGCAAATTTTTATTCCTCCTTCTTTAGCACCCGGTATGTCTGTTGCTTTTCGCCTACCGCGTACGCCAGACAACGAAGGAGGTGAATGGATTCAATGTATTATTAATAAGGTGACTGGAGATCCTAAGAATAAGTAAGTCAACTTTTATAAATTATCTGAGGCTTGAAATTTTTTTATTTGGAAACTAGTTTCTACGGTGAACTGCATACACGCAAGGATTTGATACTAACCATTGGCGTTAGATATGAAGTTCAGGATCCCGAGCCCGATGACGATGGAAACCCAGGACAAGTTTATAGAACATCTGCAAATAACCTTATTTATATTCCACCGAAAACGGTTTCTTTGCCATCTCTTGGACCAGGGACAACCGTACTGGCACGCTATCCAGAGACAACCACATTTTATAAAGCAGAAGTAATACGAACCTTACCAAGTGGAGCTTGTAAGCTTCGGTTTGAAGGAGAAGAAGAAGCCGGTAAAGAAACCACTGTGGAACGCCATCTGGTATTGGACTACAATGGATAAATTCACTAATTTGTGATACGTTGTAATGAGCGCAAGGATTTTATAATCTACTGGAACCACATAAGTTTAATTATAATGATGATATATTGTTAACAACACAAAAGCAAAGTTAGCAACTACTTTCTTTACTGACATCTTCGCTTGCAAGACAATGGGAACGATGTAAATGATTTTTTTTGCATATGATGATAGAGATAATTCAATGAATGAATCTAATGGAAACGCTTTAAAACAGATTATCACTTAAATGTACATTGCTTAAGAATTGTTTTATTTACCATTTGCCGAAGTCTAGCGTACCAGTGTTATGCTGCCAGAGTAGCTTTACGTTAATCGGAGAGGAGAAAGAACTTAATCTTACTATCCACAAGAATTGAGAGCCGACTGAAGGTGGTATGTTTGTTTAACCATCTACATATTACTTTTATCTTTTCGTATGGGCATGGTTTTCTTCTGAAGCATCGATTTGCAAAAAGTATTAGTATTCATTCATTACCAATTGAAGTAGTTCTTTCAAGTTTCCATCCGTCCTTCCGTTTACGAATTGCTTTCGTTTTTTCTCAGCTAATATGTCTTCAAACAAGAATACTTTCTTTTCGTATCTGGTCTTGTTCATTTTTGGAATTACCTTCTTTTGCCTCATCATGTACCGGTCATGGTACACCCAAGCAAAGGCGGCTTCCGCATTGGAGGATATATTCCTTGGACCACTATACGTTAACGAGAGCACGGAGCCTCTTCCCTTGCGCTTGTGCCTAGGCGTTTTCTCACATGCAAATAATGTAGAACGAAGACGTTTGTTGCGTGAGGACTACCATCATTACATCAGGGAAGTAGCTAAAAAAGACAAGATTGATCTCAAGTTTGTTTTAGGTGTGCCTAATTCACATGAAGGTCTGGCTACTATACGCGAAGAACAGCGATTGTATGGTGACCTCGAAGTTCTCCCTATTGGGGAAAACGTTGACCGCGGAAAAACTGTAGTATACTTCCAAACATTTTTGAAGGGATATCGATCATATCCCTTACTTTCCAAAGTCGCAGATGGCCATCTGTTAGATGATATACAGTACGAGCATGAAAACCAGGGATCATTCGTCTACAATGAAACGATTGTTACTCATGAGCTTCCAGGAATGAAGGAATTTCGCGATTTGGGTGTAGAACGTGATGAATATGATTTCATAGCAAAGGTTGATGATGATGCGTACGTTAACTTACCCTTATTGCTCTCAGAGCTTCGTCCTCACATTGGTGAGGACGAATTTTACTTTGGAAGAGATTGTAGTCGTAAGGAATTACCGACTTCTGTCCGTCAATTTCCTTACATGTGCGGTTTTGCGTATGTTGTTTCACCAGATATAGCCTATCGCATTGCTAGTCAGCGAAAACTATATTTTCCCTGGGAAGATGCTCAAACTGGTTATAATATCAACAGAAACAATGTAAAAAATATAAAGTTTACTAAATACAATCTGTATGATATGGTTTTGCCTAATGAAGGTTATAATCCACGACAGGCTTTCCTTCGCTTTGACGCCCTTGTCATTCACAAGCTCAAAACAGAAAAGCTATTAGCCTCTGTTATTGGGTGGTTCCGAAAAATGTACGAGCATCGTGCTTACTGTCAAACTCTTTCTGGTGATGAAAACCGTTTTTGTATGAAAGCTTCTTATCCTTCGGTAGCTGTCGAGGAGAATCTTTGATTACATACATCTCTTGTACCAATGTTTTTTCAATTATTTACTCTTGTCATTCATTTTTTATCCTTTTTCTTTTATTTGCATAATCATTTTTCATGGGCTGTGAAACCCCCATTGTCTCTCTTTTCTCCTTTCATTTACGAATTTTTGCTACGTACTTCTTTTTGTGTGCGTTTTATTTTTTTTCTAATTATTTCTTTTTCATCTTATATTTATTTACTTTTAATTTACTGTTTTTATTTTGATTTGCTTCCTTTCAATTTCTTTGTTTTTATTTTTTTCTTTTGTTTACTACCTCAATCTAATCATCATAAACAATGCATTGCGTATGGTAACCACGAAGAAGGTAGTCACGTTTTAACCCTACCCTAGAGATATTGAAAAGTTATAAAAAGGCACCGTTCGCATTCTGTTTCTTTGAATCAAAAATTTAAGAGGTCAGCCACGGTGAATATGTGAATGAATACGTATTACACTGCCAGAGTCATTCGTTGACTTTGCGACCTCGAGATCAAAACTCGTTGACAAAGAACCCTGCTCTTATGACCTATTAAGTTAGGCGATTGGCGTAGGGGCCGACGATGCGAGAAATTCTTTTCATAGACATCTTAATATTATTTAATATATTACTGCATTAATAATACCGAACATTTACGAATATATGCTTTTTGTATTGAGTGTGGATGTTCATTTGTAACATGTAGAAATCTAACAAATTGTGAAATTACGGTGTAATAATATATGTGTCTTAAGACTTCGAATTTATACCATCAAAAATCATCATTTATATTCATAGGAAAATAAGCGTTTTCTTGTCTACCTATGAGTTCACAGTATCATAATAGAAAATTAAGTATCACTAGCTCAACGAATTTCTAGTTAGGCGTAGTTGTTATGCTTGAGCCATTCAGTAATGTCGGTCAACGACTTCTCAATGAAACTAGAGCTGGAGGAAATACTGTCTAAAGACTGCTGGAGTGCACGTTCGTACAACTTGATGTCTTGGTTAGCGAAAAACTTCTTGATGGTCTCAATGTCCGACTTGTGAGTGAATCCGCCAGTTATGATTCTAACGACATGGCCACGCATGGTACCAGCAATTGGAAGTCGCTTCAAGATTTGCTCCCAATGAGTTGTAGCAAACTTCCACATGTTGACAACACCCTTCTTGTGGCTGGACAAGCTAGACAATACCAAGTACAAGTCTTGTTCCTTGACAATAGGATCCAAGGCTAGTTGGAGTGTCTTTTCGATGTATTCATCGTTTTCAGTGTAACCAAATGCTCGCAGACAATTGGTGCGAACATATGGGTCATTTGACTTCTTGTAAATGTCCAACAATTGATCCCAACATTTAGGATCGCCGTGACGGACTGCAATAATGAAAACAGAAGAGCGAAGATTGTCGTTAATGGCTTTCTTGTCTCCTGCAGCGTATGCTTCAAACATTTTGATAGCGTCAGAGACAACCTTCTTGTCACCATTGACACCAGCAAAACCAAAGACCGTACTCTTAAATTGGCGGCTGATATGATCATCAGAACTGTCGAAGGACCATCCAAGTTTGTGGGCTTTGACGGAAGAAATTTCCAATATGAACTTTTTCAAAGCCTCGACAATCTCTGGCTTTTCAAAGCGCAGAGTAGACTTAATACCATTGAGACGAGCTAAAATCTCAGTGAAAACAACGAAACTTGGTTCTTCTTTCCAAGTCTTGGCCAAATCGAGAGTGCTGCTAACATTACCATAGCCAGCTCTGGATAAGGAAGCAACATCTGCAATTAAACCGGCACGGTCTTCGACGCTAAGGAACTCGGGCTTTTCAACGGCAACCTTTGCAAGTTTCTTCAAGTGATCAGCCGTATATTGTACTCGATAAATACCAGATTGTTCTGAATTTAATTTATAAGCATCACGTGATTCTTGAGAAAGGGGAAGCTCAACGGATCTTTCGGACAAAACAAGCTTCTCATCCACTGTGGGCTTTCCATCTTTAATAGTCTTCAACTTTAAGGGGACCCAGTATAGTGTCTTATCATCTTCAGGGGTTACATCACCGGTAGACAAGAAACGATGTTGTTCAATGTGAAGTTTACCTTCTTTGGTTTCTGAAACACTGATAACAGGATAACCGGTGGACTTGGTCCAACACTTCATCATGGTGGAAATATCTTGACCAGACTCTTCAGATATGGCAGCCCATAAATCTTCGGTAATAGTGTTATTATAGCGATGTCTAGAAATGTATTTTTGAATGCCTCTAATGAAAACATCTTCTCCAACGTACTTGCTAATCATACGAATGACGCAAGAACCCTTGGAGTAAGAGATTGCATCGAAGATTTGGTTAATTTCGTATTCGTGAATTATAGGAACTTCAATGGGATGACTAGAGCGAAGAGCATCCAAAGCAAGGGCAGATTGAAGTTCGTCGGTGACATATGATTCCCAAACCTTCCATTCGGGGTAGAAGTTGTGACAACTGAACCAGGACATCCATGTAGCAAACCCTTCGTTAAGCCATAAGCCATCCCAGAATTGCATAGTGACCAAGTTGCCGAACCATTGATGAGCCAATTCGTGTTGTACAACTTCGGCAACACGCTGAATGACAGTGGCAGCAGAGTCTTCAGAAACCAAAATGGCAGAGAGACGATAAGTAATGAGACCCCAGTTTTCCATGGCACCAGCTTCAAAATCAGGAATGGCTACCATGTCACACTTAGGCAAGGGATATGCTTCATTAAAGGCACCAGAAAAGAAGTCGATGGTCTTGGCTCCTAAATCAGCGGCGAATTTACCCTGCTGGGCGAAGCCAGGAGTAGTGTAGACACGAACGGGTAATCGAGGGCAATGTTTACCAGGAGTAAAGCACTCGACATATTCGAGTTCAGCAACGATCCAAGCTAATAAATAAGTAGACATACGGCAAGTCTTTGCGAAACGAGCAGTTTTCATGTCGTCCTTGATAACCTCTTCATTGATATTCATGTTACTTAAAATAGTATAATTGGATTTGGCTGTGATGTCGATGCTAAAAGTTGCCTTTAAAGCGGGCTCATCCCAACAAGGGAAAGCACGACGAGCACTGGTGGGTTCCATTTGAGTAGTAGCAAGATACTTGGTCTTTCCATCGGCATCAACATAACTAGAACGATAGAAACCTTCCATGCCCTTGGAAATAACACCGGTGAAAGCAAGCTTCAAAACTGCAACGGAGTTTGCAGGCACAATTGACGAAAATTGAAGGATAATTCGTTCATCTCTATAAGTAACGTTATTTGTCCAAATGGTTTGATGTCCCCATTCTAAAGCAGCGCTTAGGATACGTAAATTAATACCGTGCAATGTAATCGTGTCTGAGTCCTGAATCACGTCCAAAGACACGTTAACGTTACCCCCGTAAGCAAACGTCTCCAAGTCTGGGTAAAGACTAAGGTCATAGTGAATTGGCTTGACATTCTTGGGTAAGACGTTACGATTTTCATCCTTTTCTAAGGAGGCAGAAACCGATCCAGATGAAGGTACTGTAACTTGCATCGCGGAAAGCAATTTAAGAGAAAAAAAGATGAATAGTTAAGACTGTAAATTAAAAAAATAAAAACAGAATCCAAATTAACGGCTGGAAAGAAGGATAATTCAGCGATTGAACCCCGTAGGTTAGATTCACAACCGATTCTACCTGTACGTATATGTCACAAACACCTCCTCAAAAGGTTTTTGCTAAAATTTTAACTTAAAAAACACAAAACAAGTTTTAGACTTTGTTATATGTCTTTTCTAAAGATTTTTTAAACGTTGGGTTGTAGGCCGAGGTGAGTTGTTGAAGTTAAGTTTGTGTTTATATAGTAAATCCAAGGAACACTGTACTGTGATGCTACTCACAGCAGTACGAGGAAGGAGTATCACGATAAGTCCGATAAGGAAGTCATAAAAGATAATGCTAGTTTATGGATATAAAACTACTAAAAGGAATTTACAATAACATATCCCTATAGATCTTATGTGGACTACTAAACTGGCTCATGCCCCCTTGATTTAATGGTATATGTAAACTAACGTAAATAACAAGTATTCATTAGGAAACCAAAGAAGAGGAACTTCTCGTAAATCGTCAAGAAGCCCTATCTAAGCATAGCACTCGCTTATTGATAGTTTGTGAACTCCTTGACCATGAATTTACTTGCAGCAAAGAGAAGTTGATCGCAGAAGTCAGTAAGCTATTCGCACAACTGAACTGATGCTACTTTCACTCGCGAACACAATCACCGCTTCTGCTTCTACTACTACTTTACCATCTTTTACTACCACCGACGGATGACTTTACACCGATACTTCTAGAAAACCTTCCTACCTTCAAAATTCACTTATTAAATGATTTTCTGAACAAAACATTTCTTTCTCCTTTGTATCGTACCATAACTAACAATAGGAACTAACTATAAAAAGACATTTCTGAACCACCGATCCACAATGACCCGTTTATATTTAACAGGTCACTGTATGGATGCTAAGACGTCCATTTGACTCTGGCCCACGACTGACGCTCAAACCATTCCATGGTATTTAACGAAAAGCGAGCAACACGAATGTGGGCGTCGGTATATAACCGCACGATAGTGTAAAAGTTGGGTTTGTCTGCACTTATATAGTCGCTGAGGAGTGACTGTTTTCTTAACCCTACCCTATTAGAAAGGATAAACAGGAATGGACCCGTGAATGGAAAAGGCTGGTACTTGCGATTATGATGAAGGAATATTCACTAGTATGATTACACATAGGTCCTACTAAACCGAAAATTTGAGAATGTTGGATATGTCCAAAGAATATCCTGACATAATCGTTTGTGATTGTAAACGAAACTTGTAACCATGGTTTTCCTTGTATAATTTTCATCATGCTCGCTTAGATGAGTAGTTTAATATGGGTAAGCTATACTCGGTTTTAAACGAGGAAGGAAATGTCGGACCTTCACCTTAAGCCTAGAACGGTTTTGCACTTTACCAAATTCTCAACATTTCTGTTGGAATTGTGAGAATGCTGCGTAGGAAGCGTGATCGCAAAAATGCTGCCAAGGAAAATGAAATGGCAATCGATAAACCATTAGAAGTTAAGCGAGCACCTACCAAAAACCGCCCACATCATGAACCTCCAGTATCTGTTGTCATCACAGGTCATTCAAAAGCTTCAGAAGATGATTTGATCAGTTTTGTTTGGAGAAAAGCAAAAGTACGTCTTATGAATCTCGTTCTTACTCCCGCTTCTGCTACAGCAGTTGTGAGAAGTCAGGATTTTGCAAAGCTAAATGGATTGAACGGTACTGCCTTTGCTGGTGATCGACTGGCCATTCGAAGTATCACTGGATCTTCTCCCGCTGCTTCTGCATTGAAAAAATCAAAATCGAAGCGACCACGTCAGTTGGCTTCCTCAAGATCAACGTCTGCTTTGCGTTCTCTTTCTTCTTCTTCACAACCAGCCGATCAGGCAAAAAGCTCGTCAGCACCACCATCTTCTTCTACAAGCAATACTATTGAGAAGTTGAAGCAATTCCTTGTGTCTCGTTACCATTCTGAAAGTAAGTTCTTAGATCTAGGGAGTTTACAACAGGATGCTCTTTTGAAAGAAATGGGAATTCTGGCAGAAGCTTCTACAAAAAGTAAAATGTTTCCTGCTTTAATGAAGGTTGCATCGCTTCAATTTTCTGATGTTATATCGGTCAATCTATCTGATAATAACATTGACTCCGTAGCTTCGGTCACCACTCTTGCACAGACTTGGCCTCATTTGTTAAATTTGAGTCTCGCGAATAATCGAATTTCCACACTCAAAGACCTGGAGCCTTGGGCCCCCAAAACGAAATTTCCAGATTTGCAAGAGTTGGTCTTAGTAGGTAATCCAATATCTCAAACCACCTATGCAAACCAACTTTTGCAATATCAATCGGAGATGGTTACAAGATTTCCCAAACTCCGATTACTTGATGGGAATCCTATTCTCCCAGAAGTTTTGGCTGCTCATACTTCTTTACCTTTTCCAGCCTTTCCGCCCTTCTTTGACAAACCCGAAACTCAGCAGCTCATCTATCCTTTTCTTGAGGCTTTTTTTAAAGGTTGGGATTCCGATCGTGCAGCTGTTATTCGGCAGGTATATAGCCCTCAGGCTACGTTTTCCGTTTCTTTAAACTCAAGCAACATTCGGTCTAAGGCTCCATCTTCTAAATCTGATTCGTTGAAATGGGGCATTTACAAAAAGAAAAGTAGAAATCTATTACATGTGCGATCAATTGATGAACAGTCATCACGGTCGCACACTGGACAAGAAGCCATCGTTGCCGCCGGAAACGCCTTACCCAAAACTCGACATGATATGTCGGATTCTTCACAATGGCTAATTGAAGGATGGAATTTGATACTTCCTTCTATTGGAAGCGCTATTAAAATAATAGTACATGGAAAATTTGAAGAACCTCAAAATAAAAACCTCACAAGAAATTTTGATCGTGTCATCGTCATATTACCTGGTGGACCCACAGGTGTCTTAGTTGTCAACGACATGTTAATTGTGCGCTCCTACGTTGGGTCATTCTCTTGGATTTCTCAAACGAATCCTACTCCAAATCCTGTACCAAATACGTCTCCGCAAATGCAGCAGGCTGGTCCAGCTGCATTACCTACCCAAGACATGCAACAACAAATGGTTATGAAGCTCAAGCTGGAGACGGGATTGAACGATCATTTTTCTAGAATGTGCTGTGAGCAGAATAATTGGAACTATTCACAAGCCATGACTTCATTTTTAGAATTAAAAAACCAAGGAGTCATTCCGCCGGAAGCATTTGCTTAGATTTTTGGGTATGGAAAGTAGGATTATCTTCATTCGGGAAAGATTACGAGAAAAGTGATTATATATTTATGAACATCTATTTACAACATGGTCGTGGTCTAAAGTAAAACAAAATAATGCAATAATGTAAAAAATAAATAACGTAAAGCCCTGCTTTTTTATCTGCTAAAGTAAGATACTAATCTGGTCCTCATCCTCAATTTCTAGATTTTCCAAAGTATCCTTTGGTTCTAACCAATCTCCTTCAAATTCTAGTCGTATGCCCTCATGAAACGAAATTTCTGTTTGATTACAATACTTTCGAATGATATCTTCTACCGAAGTATTCACAGGTATCGAAAGGCGGACATCTTGTCCTTTTTTGGGTCGAACCAAAATAGATATAATTCGTTTCAAAGGAATTTCTTTTGGCTCTTCGCTTGAAAGAAGCTTAGCTTCTTCTTGCGCCCTTTGCTGCTGAAGGAGTTCATAGTCTTCCTTGTGATAGGCGTGGATTACCAATCGAGTATCTATTTTCAACATTCCAGCACCTTTAGGGGTACCAAAATCCCAAAGCTTTCGATTTTGGAAGACAAAAACAACATCTTGAATGCGCTTTCTCGCCGTGTATGCATCTCGTACCCGGCGAAACTGTTGGTTAGATTTTACCTTAAAGAGAAGTGGTGATTCCCAATCCGACGGTAGAAACGTGGTACTTCCAGGGACCTTTTGTCCAATGATAGCCAATTGTAATATAACTGGTACGTGGTCTATTTGTGGTGAAGCGAGCGGTTCATTTGGAGCCAGGTTTGACGAGTCAGTTTGGGGTAGGCTATGAGTCCTCAATCCGGAAGCAGTAGCTGTAGTGTCAGCATTTTTGGAGGGGCTAATATCACGTAAGCGAATATTTGCATTAGACTCCGTTTGATCCTTTGATACATTTCGAAATTCTTTCACTTGACGATCTAACTCTTCAAGTCGTTTAGTAAAGTCATCATCGAGAAAAGGAGTTGGTGGTGTATCAACGGTGTTGAGGCTATTGCTGCGAATAACAGAAGTGGCGGCTCTCGTCGCATAAGGATGTAGACCATGTTCCAAATCTATTGAGCCCTCTTTGTTTCTCAATGGGTCGCCATCATGTCTACGTGGAGAACCAGCAGATAGTAAAGTAGACGAAGCAGTAGGCTCCGTCTCCGCGCTCGTCAGAGTGGACGTCCTAGAGGGATGTTTACTTTCGGAACGGATGTGTTTCAGAGGCGGCATTTCGAAAGAGGGCTCTTGATCTGAATTTTCATCTACAGATTGTTAGTAAACGAACTTTTTGTGTTGCAACATTCAAACTTCAACTTACCCGAGTCGGACAAGGAATGGCTTAATCGTTTTGTGACATTCAAAGGCGGCTTTTTAATTGGTTTTGTAAAAAATGCTAGATCATCATCATCTTCCTGCATCTCATAGAATTGAGTAAAAATGCTCTATACAACAGTAATAACTTTTGGTAAATAAAGAAGTACAGTGTGATTTGTTATTGCTTATATTGAGGTATAAGCAATTACATTAGTAAATAAAGAAGATAAAAATTAAATGAATTTAAAAAAAAAGGTGAAAAGTATTAGTAAAAACTAATATCTTTATCATTTAACAGATATAATCCAATTTTTCTATGCGCTTACATTGGCAAATCCTCAATTTAATTCTCTGATTACTCTGCGTAAGAAGTAGAGACGTATGAAATGTAACGCATTTTCGTTACCTTTTTTTATATAAGAAGATTATTATATAAATATATATGTTCTTCAAAGTCAATCTCAACTTGTATCAGTTTAAATAGTTCAAATAATTAATTAATGAATTTCGAAAACACACTGTTTACTAAGCTATTAAACCGTAGGGTGTTAATGCAATTAACGAACCTTACTACCCACTGTACTGCAAAACAGTCACAATCAAACCAAACCGTATGCTTCCTATCTTTAACCAACTCCCTTTTACCAAGCAAATATGCCTGCCCAAGGACACAGATTATACGTTAAAGCCAAGCACCTGTCTTACCAACGCAGTAAGCACCACATTCAACCAAACACATCTTTGGTTAAAGTTGAGGGCTGCGACTCCAAGGAAGATGCTCAATTTTACTTGGGTAAGCGCATTTGCTTTGTTTACAAGTGCAACAAACCTATCCGCGGATCTAAGATCCGTGTCATCTGGGGGTAAGTCTAGAATATACTTTGTCAATTATGTTGACAGGTGAAACTGTTTGAATAGCTTTCCTGTCGTCTAAACCACGACCATTTTCATATTAAGGATGGATCGCTTCTTATTTCACCGTGTTGACTATGCAAAGAGAATTAAAGAAAAATAAAACAAGGGAATTAAATACTAATAATTTACTAGTACCATCGCTCGTGCTCACGGAAACTCTGGTGTAGTCCGTGCTCGCTTTGTTCACAATCTCCCCCCTAAGACCTTTGGTGCATCTCTTCGCGTCATGCTTTACCCTTCTAACATTTAAATAAAATTCATGTTGCGCTTGGTAAAAATGAGCTTTACTTTTCTTTTACACTCACAGGTTTTTCCAATTGATGTGATGGAATTTCATTAAACGACTACCGTAATTTGGTTACTATTATTTGCCAGCGATATACTTTTAAAAAATAATACTAAATGTTTGTAGTCGAGGTAATACTATCTCCGTGTAATCAAGTCAAATGTACTTTGGAGATTAGACGTATGTAGAAAGTTTGTCGTTTGTATAACATTACATCCTACTCACAAGTTTGATTATGAGTGATATCTCCAAACTGATTAGAGAACTAGAATGTCTCTAGTCCTCGACACGTTTCGACTTTAGTTTGTTGGAAAAAGAATTGATATGTAGATGTAAGTTTCGAACCATGTAAGCTTCAAATGTTCAGTGAAACTACTCAATAGTTTTGAATTCTTATTTATTATATAATTTATTAATTAAAATCATGACTATTGCATTAAAGCGTTTCGTGACAGGTACGTATTCATCCAAAAATTGACAGTAACAAAAGGGGCAAAGAGTGAAGTAAGAAACTTCAGGCATTTTTAAGAGTCCTTGTTAATTCAAACTCTTCCAGCCATGCGATAAGAAAGAGTGTTTATACGACGTTATAAGGTTTGGTTCATCATTTAGATTATAACCCATACTTCTAGCATGTACACTGCGGCTATGTTCGTCCGCCTTTTGTAACATACGCAGCCATCTTTCTTTACGATCGATAAAAGATGCCGTTGGTGCTTCAAAGGAAGAATCAGAGCTGAGGCTTGACGAAGGAGTATGTTCCGTATAGCTGGATGACTGTATTGTCATTGGTAAGCTCTCAGAAAAAGAAGAATCCAAGTCCATCGAGAAATCCGTGTCTTTTGAATAACTATTTGAGGTCAAAACATCTACTTCACTTGTGCCACCAGAAGGAAGAGAGTCAAGTATTTCATTTTCGTTCAAATCGCTGAAACTTATGTCAAATGCAAGCTCTTCATTCGTATTAAAACCAACTTGTTCCACGTTATCAGCTCTGAAGTTATCGTTATCTTTTTCTGGTGACATTTTCTCATTTTGATGTGCAAGTGTATTTACTTGCTTGTGATCTTGACCATCCACTTTGCTAGGTTGCTTACCATCGGCAGAGATGACTTCAAATCTGTCTGTGAAAGCAACTTGCTTCTTGGGTTTCTTTTTGCGAAAGTGAAGAGGATGCTTTGTTTCAGGCTTCACACCCTTCGGTTGTTTTCCTTTAGATGAAGGCGAAAAAGCTTTCATTTCACCCTCATAGTGAATTTTAGCTGTATGCAAGGAATTTCGACTCAAGCAAGAAGCTTCCCGTTCAAGATCTTTCGTATACTTCTCATAAGAATCTTGTTGTGAGCGAAGAAATGACAATAGCGCTTGCCGATTTTCCTTCTTTCGTTCAGAAACAAGGTACTTGAAATAATCATCAATTTCAGGATCCATTTGTGACTTATTAGACTGTATTCTGTCTTCCATTCCAACGTTTTGAACTGTACTCAGCATGTCCATGCGAATTCCAAACTGAGATACAGTCTTCAGATCTTTCAAGGTAGAGAGGTACTGTGCTACTTCGTAAATGTAAATATCAACATTGTTTCGCTCATTTTCTTCGAGATAACACTTCAAATCGTGTACCAACCCATTCACGACAAAAAGAGAAATATGACATCCTTTGCAAGCAATAATCGATTTCCCTTGTACTTGATGTATTTGTGAAAGGCTAAATAGTTTCTGGTATGTTAGTTTACAAAATAAAACTACAGACTTACAATTCGTATAAGGTCGCCGGGAACAGAAACCCATTTATGTTTCGCATCATTTGGAATTCCCAGGATCCTTAAATTTAAACAATTACAGCTTAAACCATCTCCAAATGAAACTTGAAGAGGCATGAATAGCTATTTACAGACTATAAATCACTGAATTAAAGATCACAATGTGTAGGCGGTGGGAATGGACAGTATGATATTCTGATACATAGGAATTCGAAATCCTAAAAATCGGAGGCCCTGAAAAAATAAGAAAATTATACTTACTTGTTCCATATAACTTTTATTAACTAATAATCAAAGTTTCTTTCGTAAAAGGGACGCCAATGCCTTTACATACAGTGGGACCTTTTCCAGACTGCAAGATCCCATAGGTTTCGCATGTTGCCGGATTAGCTGAAGCTCTTTTTGAAATGTAGACTGGAGTTGCTGATTTTGAGTCATGATCACCATGGTTGCCTCCAAATCCAGTTGTCGGGATCTGCTTGTATAGTTTGACGAGCCTATTGTAGTTAAGAAGGGAAAAGGTCTTCCAGGATAGGTAAACCAAAATCCTAAAATGTTAGTTAATGATATTTATCTCTTCATTACCTTTAGCATGATATGTATGCCCTGGCCTCTGCCATTGTAAGACATTTATATCTTTCCTCATTCGAGTGGCATCATGTAAGAACTTCTCGGCAATGTATTGATACGCAGGTGGAATCATGTGCGAGGGTCCTTTCGACTTGTAGAACCCATTAGCTTCCTGCGAAGCAACAATTGCTTCTCCCGTTCCCTTACTTTTTAACAATTGCTTTCGTAACTCCGGATAAACATTAAAATAACCAGCCGTCAACGTCCATTCTACCTTTTCATTCATTATAATGTTTCCTAGTAAATCCAATACTTTATCTTCAGTAGACTGCACTTGATCTGTCAGCACAGACATACACTGGAAAAGAGGATATACAATAGCGGTTCGTTCATATGAAATATTATCTATTGTTTTGTTTCTATTTTGATCGATTTCCGTCAGGCTGGATCCGTACGCCGAGGTAAAGGGTCTATTATTGTCTCTTTCGGAAACATCATCTTGACCTCGGCATAAGAGATGTTGAAGTCTATTCGAAGCTTCTTTGATGAATCCAGGAGAATTAATTAGAGGATTAGGAACATCATTGTTCCACTCAAGTCGAAATTCAGATGGAAGGTTATCCTCTATGGTTGACAGAAGTTCACGATTACTAGGCAAGCAATCAAATGACAAATCAGCAAATGTCTTGTGAACATGAAAGAAAAAGTCAGACAATCCTGTGTCATGAAAAAGATAGTAACGATCCTTACGATTGGTAAAATAGTCTCTTGACAAGTTTGCTCTAAAAATCAAATCCATTAGACAAAGCACTCATAACAGTAACTTACCCACTAACAATTAAGGAATCATCTGCTCCATAAATTTTCATATGTTGGAGACCCCAGCCCTCATTAAACCTTTTGGGAACTATTCTTTTCGTGAGACCACGTAGGTTTGGAGTATGATAGAGCTTTATCTCACATCGTTCAGGGAATTCTTCTTTTAATTTAGTAAGTAAAGAGGCTGAAGAATGAGCTGGAAATTCCCTTGTTGACCGCAATTGATCTGCCAAAATAAATACTTGCAATTTTGGTTTTGTAAGCAAAGCTTGTCGAATTACATTTAGGAATTCATCTTCTTCTTTTCCTATGTATAATGTGGAAAGAAATATCCGTTTTTCCGAAGACTTTATTAAATTCTTAAGAGATCCATAAAACTCGTCCGGTTCATGAAGGACCTGAATTTTCGAAGCATCAACGTAAAATTTTGGACAAATGGCATCTATTTTGGTTTCCAAACTGTTAAACAATCGTCTTTCTTGCAGGGAGGACATTGAAGGGGAATAATGAAAACAGGAACTGTCAGTTAAAGTCCGTTTACATCAATTGTTTTGGACAGATGAGCGTTTACATTTCAATCGAAACCGCAGCTAACCAATAGTGTTAAAAATTTGTAGAATCAATTATTTTACTGACGAAAAAAATATAACTTAAAAATCATTATTTACTATTCTACAAGCTCTAATTATTTACAACTAGCAAGATGATGAATTCCGCTTAAATAATTAAATTGTTTCACCCTATTAACATTAACTAATTTAGACCATAAAGATATATTTCGTTGGTTCGAAAAGAACAAATCCAAACTCGGTTCCTTCCTTTCTCAGCTAAATTTGTCAATTTCGTTTGAAGTCTTTGCATATACTCTCTTTGAGAAGCAGGACAACTGTCAACCAACTTTTTCCAAGATTCTTCATTTTTGAGACTGGTGCTTTTCAGCCTTTGCATTGCTGGAGCATCACAGTCTACCGCCAACGCCAAGGCATCTTTAGTACTATCATGTATTGCTGATTGTACAAGATCATAGACTTTGTTCATTGCATTTTGCTTGTGCTTCCATTTGTATTTTCTATCACTGGCACCTTTTAATGGAACAAGCTGTACGTCCAAATTTGTCTCAGATAAAGAATCATTGTATTTCGCATAGTCTTGGATATCAGAATCAATCACCTGCCTTGTTTGGGATAAGTTCTCATTTCGTTTTCGCTCATTAATTTCTCCTAAAAGCCAAACGCCAACTTCTTCTATTTTGATTTCATCATCTTCGTTTTTCATTATATTTCGAGCTTTAACCGAGTGTTCCATTTGCGTGTTTTTTTGCCTAACCACTAAAACCCAATTTACCCCTTCACTTTTGTAGCGCGTCACTATCTCTTCCAAACTAGTAGCACCTCGTAAAACAATATCTGCTCGAATGTTTAAAGACCATAGTTCCTGAAGTAAGGCGCACTTTTCCATTATGGAGTCCTTACCAATACTTGTTACAAGAACATCAACACGACGAGGTAACCAGGAGCCTACTGTTTTTGTTATAGGTGATCTGGTTTGTACTTTCGACTGTTTCCTGGAATGAAAACGAATATAGCGCGATACGGAAGAAACAATGCTCTCCAGCCCTAAACTCATACCAACAACATGCTTTCTCCTAGTCGTTCTCATTAATGGAGGATCAAACAATCTGACAAGCTTATCGTATCTTCCTCCAGCACACAAGAGCTCAGCCTTTTCGGGGGTGTGTACTGCTTGAAACATTATACCCCCTTCATAAAATTCATGACTATGAACGCTGAGCGGAACAAAAAAAACCGGATGCGAAAGTTTCAACCCTTTCAAAAAACACCAAACTTTTTCTAAATAATTCAGAGAGCTGCGCATTTTTATGGTCATCGATTTTCCAAAAATTCTTCTAATTCTATTTATACCCTCTTCAAAATTGACGCAGAAATCAAACTGATTCAAGTCATCCAAAGTTGTTGAGGGTACTAAAGATTCATTTCTGAGCTGGTTTCGAATTTGCGAGAAAGAAAACCCTTGGTTCTTTTGGCCGAGTATTTGACTTGTCCGGTTTCTTTTTTCTCTAGATATTTGCAAAAAGTCAAGAATTGCAGAAAAGATATCGGCGTGGTTTATCCAGATACAACTGTTAACTAAGGATGGAATTTCAAGCAACACTTCATCCAAAACTTTTATACATTCAGCATCAAACCAGTCTAAATTGTCTGAATTCGTAGTCAAATCAAAAGAAATTTTCTTGATCGCTTTTGGTTTACCACCACCGTAAGATTCTCGGTAAACGTCTGCAACTAAATATGTTTTTTCCTCTTCGACAGCATTACGGGCTACATTCCTTGCATAGGGCAATATGGTATCATACGGAAGCTGTAAAAGCGTTCCAGCTTTATCCAACAATGAAACCAGAGCTTTGTTTTCACCATACTGAGTAGATTTTGGAAACAATGCCTGCGACTCTCTTTCCGTTGCACCGTGTCTTCTAAATACTTGAACTATGTGATCTCGGACCAATCCAGCAAAAAGACTATCACAGCCTCTCTCCAAGACCCTAGATATGGCATTGTCGTCTTCTGACAAGTTGAAATCATAAGTATAGTCTTTATGCCTATCTGGAACTTGGCTAAAGAGAACCTTCAATAGTTTCGAATAGTAGGGGCTATTACGATTTGAAAGTAACTTTAAACCTTCTTGTATATATTCTTCGCCAACTTTAGGAGGTATAGCCTCACTTTCTAGTAGTTCTTGACTGGAAGGTCTTTTGGCGGGGTCATGCTGTAATAGGGAATGAATTACTTTGTATTCATGACTCGTCAAAGAGAAGGGGAAATTATCGGGCAATATAATAAAAGGGGACCGAATAGCATCGATTAATCGGATTCGTTCCATAGACGTTGAAAATGACATACACATTTCAAACAATATTATGCCTAAGCTATACATATCCACCTTTGCATCATAGTGTAAACCACTGGTTTTCTTGAGGAGCTCCGGTGCAACATAAAGAGCCGTTCCCACACCCGAAGTAAGCTCACCATCATCGGCATTTCTATTCTTTGATTTATCATTGATAACCTGACTGGGCTCGTTGTCAGTCGCCAACCCAAAATCTCCCAACTTGACATTTCGATTTTCATCTAGAAACACGTTTCCGGGTTTAAGATCACGATGCATCATTCCACGGCTGTGGATATACGCCAAAGCTTCGAGAATCTGTCTAAACAGACGCCAGATTTCGTCGACTTGAAGTTTTTCTCTAATGATATCTTGTAACGAAAGCTTTTCACAGTACTCCATTTGAACATATAAAGTAGCGTTGAGATTTGGCTCTCCACTTTTGCTTGTAGATATCGTTCGAATATCACTTTCACTTTTACGCAAGTTTAGATCTTCAGAAGTACTCGAAGTGGAATATGATGTTTCTGAAGACGTTTCAGAACTTTTTGGACTAGAAGCTTCTCCTTCAAAATGTATATCGAGGTCTGACAAATCGTCTGTGGTGTATCTACTTGATTGCTGTAAATCGCTTGTTATTCTTGACGAAGGAACAAATGACTCTTCTTCGGAATCGGATTCTTTTAATTTTTCGCTAGTATCAGTTTCCACCCATGCAGTATAATACCGAACAACGTGATCATGATGAAGACGTGAAAGAGTCATTACTTCTCGTAAAATTCGGCTGTTCTCTTTGTCGTTGTTGTGAAGTAAGAGTTTTTTGATGGCATAAAATCGTCCGTCAATGCGGTTTTTTACTTTAACCACTTCACCGAATCCACCTTTACCAAGAAACTCAATTTCCTCAAAATCAGTTTCGTAGCGCGAGACGCTTTTTCTATATAACATGTCAATGATTCCATCTTGCCCGCCATACGACATACGAGGGTTTTTTCCCAATGAACCCTGTTCCACTGTAGACAATATAGATGTTCCCAGTCTGATTACCTGACTTGCAAGCAAATCAGTGGCTGTCGGCCTTTTCTTAGGATCCCGCATTAAGCAACGCCGTATAAGTTCCTGATACGGACCCGGCAGTAAAGGTATGACATGACTGAATAAAAGCTTTAACGAAGAGAACTTCTGTAAAACATGCATACCGCACAACATTTGTAAAACCATTAGTCCAAAGCACCAAATATCAGTTTTTCGAGAGGCAGACATGAAAGAGGATTCGTTAACTTCCGGTGGATATAAATCGTCTGGCAAGATTCCAGGAATAGATTGAGATCCTGCGTTAAAAGGAGATGAAGCATTCATATCTCGTAAAGTTCTCGTAAAGCAAAAATCCATAAGTTTAGCGAAAGTTTTATGACCAGATTGGAATAAAATGACATTGTCTAAATGAAGGTTACGATGAGATATTCCTAGTCGATGTAGTTCGGCAAGTCCTTCTAAAATGTTATTAGAAAACGTTCTAACAGTTTCCACGTCCAAGGTCACAATGGTTTGTAACAAACCAGCCAAAGTTAGTTTATTAGAGTATTCTTGTAATATATACAGACGCCAACCGTGGTTTTCTACTTCACGCTGCAATTGATATTCGTAGATGGAAGCCAGCAAATCATGTCGAATGACTTTTAAATCTTCCAGTTCGCTTTCCAAATCTTGAATTGACTTCTTGCCAGCTTCAGTACTATAGTAAGGATTGGTAAACCTTACCATTCTAAGCATGAAGATGCAATCCGGTAAAAGTGCTTCATCGATATGAGCCTTTGCTAGAGCCAGGGTGGAAAGAGGAGAGCTAGATATCCTGTATAACGGGATAACCTCATGAAATTCTACAAGAGAATCTTGGTAGTTCTTTACAGAAATGGAACAGTCAAAATAAACCGAAGAAGGTAACCGATCGAAAGTCAATTTGGTAACATAATCCTTCCGTTTCTCTTTGGGAGATTGAGGGGAATCGTAAGAACGGCGTTGAAGTTCGTCGCGAATCTTATTCTGCAAAATCTTTTCTTCTTCGTAAAGTGCTTCCTTCTCTCTTTCTAGTTTTAACTGCTTATCCATTTCAGCACGCTCTCGATCTTGTTGAAGTTGTACAGCACGCTCTTCTTCCAAACTGGCAAATTGTGAAGACAGATCAGATTGCCAGTCATTTAAATATTCCTGGACTATACTAGCGAATTCAAAAATCATTTCTTCACCCAATAATTCCTTGGCTTTCTGATCCAATTTTTTCAGCAGAAAGCGAATCTGCGACTTTAATACATTTTCTCCATTCTGAAGCTTTACTATTGGTTTGACATAGGGATAGCTTCTTCCTAACTCGATATGGAGATCAACTTTCGCAATGCTTTTCGCACTCGCACTACGAGAACATAAATGAATAGCGAAGACCCTTCCATTGGATACCTAATAAACACGTTTTAGCTTGATAAAAAAAAATAACTTACATTCCAAGCATTTTTAGATTTCAACTCCTCAAAGTCGTCCATGAAAATTGCCTTTAAAGCCGCGATTTCATTCTGTTGTGTTTCCCGACATAACTCCAAACGTTTCGCAGCGTCCATAAACAATTCTTTAAAAAGAATGTCAATTGCATATAATTAGATGCCTTTTGGTTGCTGTTCAGCTTCAATGTTCAATTGACAGTTCGTGGTACGGTAAGTGTAAAAGATACAAGTACTAAGAAAAGAACATCAAAATAGTTCCCCAAAATTATCGGCTTGCTCGTAAGCCTCATAAAGTTAAATGGTAAAAACTGTACGATGGTATATAGTTTCATTAAGTTACTCTCCTGAAAGTCGCTGTGATGGATTTATTATTCACCTAAGAATCGAGACTGTTGATTGATGGCGTGGCACAGACTGTTATACTATCTAAGTTTTCTTAAATAAATATCTGATAAAACCGCAGGAACATAAAATACTTTCGCACAAGTAGATGCATATGAAGCATCATCCTGTGTATGCGACATACGACTCGCAGAAGTACTCTTGACCGATTAAAGTTAGCTGCTGTAGTACTTTGAATACAACTCGTAATGGAATTGATCGACTTGAATTAGCGTGCAATAATCCTGTACACAGATAATGCTCCTAACTAAGCAATCTTTGAAACTGATATTGAAAAACTTGGATTGGAAATCATAATCTTTACCTAAGTGAGTTTAGCGTAATTAAATTCAAATTATTGTCCAAAACAGCTAGAGTATTCTTTTTATTAGCATGCCCTGTGTTTAAGAAGGAATGGAAAAACGAAAATCAAGAAAGGAAGAAAACAAACTTCTAGAAACTGAACATAAAAAGAACAGTATCTTAAAAGGAACATTAAACTGGAAGCTTTTTCAGTAAAAATTCCATAATTCATCTCATGGTAAGGGTAATACACGAAATATCCAAAGAATGTTAGCATAGCTTTTTGGAAATTTCCAACTTTCAGCCAAATTAAATAGATCTTTAAAATATGGACGCCGCAGAAGCCTTTGAGAACCTTGCCAATCTTGAACAAGATTTCGGAAAGGCTGAAATTGAAATCTGTAAGCAGCTTGTCATAAAAGTTCACATTCATTTTGTATCACTAACCTTTGTTACAGTAAGAAAGCAAAATGAATTATTCAAGCCCCTTTTTGAGAAACGCCGCGACATCTTAAAGAACATTCGCAACTTTTGGGTGGTTGTTTTTGAAGCCGCAGGAGACGAAATTAGTAAGTTTGTTGAAAGTCGGATTTTTCGTCAGAACGTTTGCTAACCTTTTCTTTTAGGCCAATACATCACTCCTGAAGATAGCATCCTGTTGGAAAAGTTGGAAAACATCTATGTTGAAAGATATAATAAGGAAGACCCTCGCGATGTTCGCATCACGTTGACTTTCCAGCCCAACGATTATTTGGAGGATGATAACCTTAACTTGGTTAAAGAAGTACATATAAAAGAAAGCACTACAAAGGATGAGGAGGGCTTAGAAAAAACTAACACTTCTCTCGTTTCGAAGCCCGCTGACATCAAGTGGAAGGCAGGAAAAAGCCTTTTCCGCAAGAATAAGGACAGCCCTCCAAACTTCTTTGATTATTTCCGTTGGACTGGTGAGGAAGAAGAAGACGACTTTGACGGTGCCTCTTTGACCATCTTTTTGGCCGAGGACTTATTCCCCAACGCTGTTAAGTATTTCACCGAAGCCATGACTGAAGAAGCTAGTGATGAAGAAGGCTCTGTGGATTTGGAAGAAGAAGAAGACGATGATGATGAGGCCGCAGAAGGCGAGAGTAAGTTTATTTAGTCATCTTACGCAACACCGGTAATGATATTCTTACTAACATGTACAGATCAAGAACCACCCAGCAAAAAATCCAAAAAATAGAGTTAGAAGTAGTGAGAATTAATGAATCTCATGGGTTCGAATTCCTTTTAAGCGAATTATTCTTTTGATAATGAAATATTAAGTAGCATGAAATCCATCTATTACTTGATAATTATAAAATCACTGGAGGTGCGACAAAACTATAAAAGAACAACAAGTACAAGCAAAACTAAAAGTATGAAGATCAACACAGTAATGCAACAGCCTGACCTCGAATCTAAATGAAAAAAATTTGTTAGTACAACCTTTTAAAATGGAATTTCATACCAGCACTAGAAATTGTGAAGTCCTTCAATCTCCGCATTCCTCGACGCAGTTTATGATTCGTGTTTTCTATGGTATGATCAAGGGTATCTATGAGATTTGATTGCTCCCCTAACTCTTGACCCATCGCTTGAGCCATGCCGCGTATATTACCAATACTATCATACACGCCATCCAACATAACATCCTGTTGGTCGTATAATTGTTCCTGCATCTGTCTTCGAGCGTAACGGTCGTCTTCGGTCAAAGCTGTCTTTGTCATGTCATTATTATTTGGCTCTTGGTTCACAGCAACACTTGGAGCTGATCTCATTTGCAAATTGATATTGTTTAATTCAACGTCGAAATCTGCAATAAACTTTCTTCTTGCCGCCAATTCTTGCTCATCCAAACCGTATCGTTCAGAATTGTTCATTGCAATCTCAATAGCTCCTTTCAAATCTTCCAATGTTTCATTCAGCTCTTCAATTGCAAATGAAAGCTCTGTATTTGGTGCTGGAATACCTGCGTTTCGATTCTTCATAAATGATTCAAATAGTTTACGGACATTTTCCATTTGAGCTGAAGCATCACTTCTCTATCATTAGTTTTCCAAAATAATGAAATATACATAGCATAGAAAAGAGCTCAAACTTACGCTTTCACTTCATAGAAAGGGTCCTCCATTGTGGCCGAATGTGAACAAGGCCAAACTTTTTACGAACAAAAAGGTACTCTTTTTATTAATGTATATAATAACAGTATCTGCCTATAGAACGTATGAATAGTAGAATATCATGGAGTACAACGTTTTCGTCCTTAGTGTTTGTCAGAACAAGCTAGCTTCAGTTTGTGATTACAGAGTAAACAACTGAGTAACGAGCAGACGTGTAGGTAACGATACAAAGTGTAAACAAAACGAAGTAGAAATCAACTACTTCATTTTTTATATCCAATTTTATGTTTCAATTAATAGATTCTTTGATATTATTCAATACATGAAGTTGGTAAGTCTGTTTCGACAGAAAACAATGAAAAGTACACCAACAGCTTTGGCAGTTATTTTGAAGCTAGATACCTCACATACACAACTAATTCTCTCGAGATTCAATGCGTATTCATTTATTCATTCACACTTTATAATTCTTTGAAAGTCGTATACTTAACATCATCAACAAAAAGAGCAGATAGGAAAACGCGTTCAATCTTTTTTAGAAAAGACAAATTCTAATTAAATTTAGAGAAATAGTATATTATGTTTTTATTTTGATTTACACATTATCTCAATGATTTCAAGAAGGGATACGCGTCGGGAGTACAATTGAGGTAAACATGGAATTCACCACGAAATTAAACTTGCACTTTCCCCATCTCAGAAAAAGCAATTCCTCAAATAAAAAGATGTCTAATTTAATAAATCAATTGCAAACAGAATTAAGCAACCGACACGCTACTTTCGTTTCACAAGCAGTTCTTTCTTTTAATAAACATCACGATCGCGTCCTTCAATCCTATATCATAGAAGGGCAGGCCAAGTAAGATACTTTTGTAACTTATAACTTTAAACTAAGTCTTAGGGAATCAATTCTTCAGCATTATCAGGACAATCAATTGAAACTTCAAAATATACAGAAATTGTACCAAGACGCCTCAAAGACACTTTTTTTACTACTATCCGAGTACGAGCAGGTTTCTACAGAAATACACGGACTCGATATTGAAGAAGAAAAACTTTCACAAGAAAACTGCACCCTCCTTGATCTTGAGGAACGCGTCAATCGCTTTCAAGTTTCAGTAAAGAACCATTCTAAAGCCTTTCAAGAGAAGCTCAAGCGTTCTATGGAAGTAAGTTACTATAAAAAGAGTAAGCGCACTAATTATTCCCACATTTAGAAACTCAAATCCTCAGAAAATTCCGCTCAGAAAACACTGCTCGAAAACCTCTAACAATCTATCAAGTGACTTTACTTATTACCATCTCTTAAATAATATATTCTTGTTTTCCTTTCTATCTATATCTTTGCTTTTCGGATAGAGTTGTTATTTATCGTTTAGAAGCAACCTTAAGTTGGCTTCCTCGTGAACCAAATTTTATCTTCTTCCTGCCACTGAAAGTATACATCTTGCCCGTTTTACCGTTTGTGTCAATTCGATTTGTTTAGGGGAAAATTATCTATTATACACTTATTTTGATTATTTTTTAAGTGTTTGAGTAAATTGGTTGCTTCTACGGTCCCTCTTGTCATACTTAATTCATAATTAGCTTAATTGAGCTAAAGGGCAGTTGCTTCCACTACGGAAAGCAGAAAGATTAACTAAGCTACAAATATTATATCATTCTATATAAATTGTTGCGACACCAAAAAACACTTACATGTGGTCCTCTATTCATAATGAATGAAAATGAGTCAGCTTATCCGCCTGCCTTGTGTCAGCTATTGATAGACACTCCCGCCGCAGAATGGCAGGCAGATGAAGATGTTGTTTCTTGTACTCAGTGTGGATCTTCTTTTAACTGGTTCCGACGAAAACACCATTGTAGATGGTGTGGAAAGGTATATTGTGCCAATTGCTCAAATTATACTTCTGAACTTCCTTCAGTGAGTGTATCTACCGATTCATCAAATCGACTGATGCTTTTTGACGAAGAGTTTGATGGTGTCGAAGACGATGTTACAAACACTTGTCAAACAGAGCCTATGTGGTGCACTGTCCGTGTATGCGAAAACTGCTTTCATCAATTGTCAGAGCTGAAAACTCTTGATATCCCTTTTCCCATACCCACCTGTATGGATGGTGAATCTTCTCCTCCTGTTTTAGCTTATACCCGGTTTCCACCGCCCCGTGCTGAAGGCTATCCTTCAACAGATGATGCTCACAACTCTGACGACATGGTAGAATGTCCAGTTTGCTACATAGCTCTTTCAAAGTTTAAATCACAAGAAGAAAGAGAAGAGCATATAGCTTCTTGCTTTAATCGTGACGGGTCTTCCCCTCCAAACATAAAGGAGTTTTTGAAACACGCTCGACGGTATATCAGTGTTCAAATTACGGAGAACTCTCCTTGCGTTGGTGAAGAGTGTATAGTATGTTTTGAAGAATTTTCTCCGGGAGACAAAGTTGCGCGAATTGAATATTGCTTATGTATGTTCCATTTAAAATGTTATCGCGATTGGCTAAGTACAGGCGCCGCCGGATGCCCTGTTCATGCTGCTACCCTTCACTAGATTCTTATTTTTTTTATGTTTTAATGGTCTTCTGCTTTTTTCCTTCATTTTTTTACTTTATATGTACTTTATGTTTATGATCGCTATCTAATACTTCTTCTTTGAATTATCTATAATGCTTTCTAATTCAATCACCTCTATAAATAATCGCTCGCTTTATTATTAATTGAAATTCTTCAGATATCTATAATAGAGTTGTGCAATTTCGCACTCTCCTATTCTTCCTCATTTTCTCCCTTGTTAAGCTTGTGTGTTTTTATTATAATTGCATTCGTTTCATATGTACCATCTTGATGATGTTCTACTTTTAGAGAAATGTTAGTCCGTAGTGATTTATACTATTATACAACCTAATTCCAATATTCATTAAATGAAAGAAATTACCAAAACCAAATTCTAATGAACTTTACGTTCTCCAGTAGTCACCCTAAGCTCCTACATCCAGCTTTTTGACAGCAGCTTCTGAAACAGGCGCTTCTTCGAGTTTCCGTTTAGTAACTGATGGCTCTGTCATAGGACGAACATATGGCTGAACACGCCACCAAGGAATCTTGGGATATCCTAGTTCATCCTTGTTTTCTTCATTCGGTTCATCTTCTTCACGTATTTCACCCTTCTCCTTACATTCATCTAGACGTTTTCGGAGAGCGGCTACAGCACGAGGAAAGCTCTCAAAATCACGAGGAGTACACTCAGTAGCCAACATACTTCGAATGTCTGTATGAATACTTAACAAAGGCCTCATTAACTTAAACATATGACCTTTCATGGCAGATCGGGTACTATAATCCGTATCAAGACCAAACTCACGTATAATGTTCAAATATTCATCGCAAATATCATCAACACGGGGATATAATATATTCATGGGTGAGTTAGAAGGAAGAAAAATTTTGGGATTATACAAACTTCCTTCCGCAGACATGACACCGTCTACTCCGGTAGCTTCAATACATCTGTCAATATCACACGAATGAAGAATATTACCGTTCGCAAACAAGACCGTATCAGAAGGAAGACTTTTGCGAAGCATACTAATTTGTTCCCAATCAGCTACTCCAGTAAACTGTCCCTTTTGCTCACGAAAGCGTCCGTGAACAGCTAAAAATGAAGCGCCGGCATTAAGAATCATTTTTGCATATTCAAGCGTCTTTTTAGGATCAGGAAAAATGCGAATCTTAGCAGTTACAGGAATGGGTAACTCTTCATGTAGCTTTTTTATAATAGATTCAATTAAAGGCCAATTTTCTTGCAAAAAGGATCCATATTTACCTTTTTTCGCAATGCCCTGGGGACAACCCAAATTCAAATCCACAGCATCGCAATAAGGAACAGCTAACTGAGCTGCCTTTAACATAATTTCTGGATCATTCCCGCAAAATTGGATAATTAAAGGTTTTTCCTCGGGGATGTCTCTAGTTGAAAATACTTTGCCGCGATAGTCTTCACTTTCGCTAAACAATCTAGAATGAAACATTGGGCTGTAACACAAGTCGGCTCCTGATCGTCTTGCCAATATTCTCCAGGGCAATTCACTTTGATCTACCATTGGAGCCAAAATCCGCTTGGGACATCCAAGTTTCTTATAAAACTCTCTTCCATGAAGCTTTTTCACCGCTGCCATCATTTAATCATAAGAGAACAATGTTTCTCTCTCAAAATTGTATCTGCTATGGCAAATATGCTTTTTGCCCCAATTGAATCCGACTACAAGTGCTTTGCTCCGGTCAAAAGAAATCTTGCGTTGGCAAATGGTGCAGTTCGGTCAATATTGAGCATGAAATTTCAGCACTTTCTATACTTTCTCTTAAACGATTTTATTTTTGATTTATTCTGTTACTTCATGATTTGCATTTTTATCTATACAGTCCTAGCTAAGTAGGTATGTACGTACTCTTTGGGTCGAACATAACTTTTACATTAAATGAAGAAATCATTACTAACATATAGAAATATATATCTCAATCCGTAATTTATATTTTCTATCATCAAAAGAGTGTCTCAGCTGGTAACGAACTCTAAATAAGAGTATTCCACAATTAAATATGCTATGAAAAAAATAAAGTATTGCAAACCCATGCAACTAGTTTGCCATTAAGTGGAAATGACTTTGCCGCCATATACGATTTTGGTTCCTATCCATGGACTTGCAAATAATTAAAGTATGTAAAATAAGATAGGGAAGCAAGGAGTGAAGACACAACAAAAAGGAAGAAGTATAAGTTTGAGAACACTTTTTGAAGAATCGGTATTTTTTTGCATCGTTAACTTTTTTATGCTTACTCACTCATCCTCTTCAGAAGTATCCGTGTTAAAACCATTAGCACTAGGGTCATCCTCTTCATCAGATTCTTCTTCATCTTGGGAGCCTTCATCACCATGCTTAAGCTTTTCGAACTCATCATCGACAAGTCCATCTTCCCCGTCAGAGAACTCATCATCTTCAATAATAGTATCTTGAATCGTTGCTGCATCTTTCACCACGACCGTTAGATTACTTACAATGTCCTCTCCAAGGTAAGAGTTGGATACGATATGCGTTTGGAATTTAAAGGTACCTTCTACTGGTGGTACCTGAAAAGGTATACGAATTGTTCGTTCTGTGCGTGGAATATCCGTTATGCTGAATGGAGGAATAATTACTCGGTTTTGACGGGGATCGACTACATACACCCACCAAGCAGTTTTGTGAGATTGGGTGAAATAAGGGGACCAAGCATGAGGAAGAACCTCCAAATCGCCCAAAACAACATCCTTTTCCATATGCACGCGTTCTGCATCAATCTTGTCTTGTTCAGTAGCCGTTTCTGTACCCTCGACACTGACTTCTGGCATAATTTCTTCTCCATAAGAGCATTTCAAACGCAAAATAAAGTTTGCAATAGCTCCAGTAGTTACAAAATCATCTCCGTCCACAAGCACCTTAGAGTCCAACACTGAGATACGGGGAATGTTATTAGCAATTTCCACCATCTCTTGGATTTGTTCACTAGAATAGCCGGATAAACCCTTCTCTTTCTTTAGTTGTAAGAATTGGGGTATGTGGGTAATACCACGTGACGCAAACTTTTTAGCATCCTCAACACTAAGATGTGGCAGTTGCAACAAAGGAAGTGGAAGCTCCAACGGAATTGCTTGAACAATGTGTTGCCAAAGCTTAAACACGTTATCGGTAGGTTTCGAAAATCCATACGCCGAAATAACAGAGACCAATGCATTCATCACCAAGTCTGTTTCAGATAACAACCGCTGCATATTAAGATTTGACTTCTCCTTCCGATGTAAGTGATTTTGTAAGAGCTGTACGACAACGGTCTTAGAAGCTTCAGGTGAAGAAGAAATCTGAAATTCTTTGCTAGAGGCTAACAACTGCAAAATGTCCTCCATCTCCAAATTTTCGTGAATCTTAGGAAACCAAGCATCTACACTTCCAACGTGAACTTGGTCACGAGTGTAAGTTCGGCTACCATACCACCAACGACCAACACTGTAAGGCAAAAAAATGCCAAAAATAAGACCATAGAAACCGAGTACATAAATACTATTGTTCGAATCCGCAATCCACTTTGGAAGTGCAATTCCAATATCAATGTTTTGGGGAACGTCGGGCGTACCATAAAGTATGTAATTTTCGCGGGTTTCCTCGTCTGTTAAAGCTCTGTAGGCTGTAGTAAGCTCTATGTAATTAGCTTCAACCTCCTCTCTAGTCGTATTGCCCAAGTTTCTTATTTTATCCGGATGAAATTTAATTGAGAGTCGCTTATAATGACGCCGAATGTCATCTACAGCCATGTTTTTTGGTATTCCCAAAATTTCGTATGGATCCCAGACATTAAAGCTCAACTTGGTAAAGGCAACTCGATAAGATAGATATCCAATAATTGCCCATCCAATTAAAATGATAAAATGTCTACAAAATATGATATGAATTAGCTTTATCCAGACGCTTGATTTACTTACCGTAACCGTAATTTCGATTCTTTCTTTTTCTTTATGTCCTTTGGACGATATGCGGCAAATGGATCTGAGACAGAACCATTTTTCTTAGTTGCTACAACGCCATACATGTTAACAAACTTGAATTCATTCACGTGTCACTTACAGACTTGACCAAATAGACTTGAGAAAGTCATGGGAATGATGAAGCAGGACACAGCAACCAGCAAAAATACTGGAAAGAATTGTCCCTGCTCATCATATTTGTACTCAGACGACATTACGAACAGAGGGTTTGGTGAAAGACAACTCAAGTATCACAACTCTTCTAGTAGAAACCCAAATAGGGATATACGCTACTATACACTATACTAAATGAGAATGAGAAAGGAAACAGAAGTAAGGTAGTGAACGTTTGCTCTATAGTTTCAAAATAATTAGTATTTAAATAGTTATTGAAGTCTAAAATTACAAGCTTCACAAAACTAATCAACCAAAAAGTTCTTAAAGAGTAAGTGCACCACTACCGGAGGAGGAATAGTATATAGGAATGCGAAAGTGTAAGTTTTCTTAATACAAGAATCACAACGAAAACCACATAAATTACTGAGAAAAGCGTCCTAAGGCTGAGGACTAGCGGGATAAGGGTGATAGGTGACACTGAACAATCCTTGATAAGTTTGCCGAAGGAAATTACTAACATAGGAATTCAATAAATAAAGCCAAAAATAAAGTCAATAGCCAAAGCCAAAGCATGTCTGTCTCTTAAAAACAGGGAAGGTAAAAATGTCATCAAACCTGAGAAGGTGGATTGTTTTTCTTTAGTTTTTTTCCTTTATTGACCCAAAAATGACCATAGTTAAGTTTTTTAATGGGGCATATGGACACAAGTCTGCTCCACGTAATGGCATCCCGACAAAGTAGAAACTAGCTGGTCATCTATATAAACATCAGCTTTTAAACGTTGTAACCATACAAAAACATAAGGAAGACCAGCCCATATTGATACAATGTCCTTTGCCCATTTTGGAAAGATATTTAATACATCAGTGATACTTTGAACTTCTTCAAGATCTGATGCCAAATGTACACGGATAGGCTTGTCGTCAAGCGTAGATCCCGTGAGCACTCGATCGATATGGGTTGGTAATTGGTATCGTACCCCTTCCACCTGAGAAGAGCCATTCGTTGAATATTCGTTTTTCAAGAGAACAGCAACCAGCTTGTCATCTAGAGTCAAACTAGCTTGAGATCGGAATGTGTCTTCCGAATTTCGGGGAAAATAATGCAAACAAGTTAAAACATTCTTTTTTGAATCGTCAAACAGCAAGCTGTTTTGCCAAGTGTGTCCCAAATTGGTGAACTTATCTTTAAAAAACATCGCGTCAATAAAGACAGCAGTACCAGTAACATCCCTTGTGGTTCCGTGTGCAGTGACGGAACCTTTCAAAGAACTGACTGGAAATATTTTATGTTCCATGTACCCTCCAAGATTTTTCTGGCCAAAATCCGTTAAACCAAATCCGTTGTCTTTCATTTGTATGGTAAGATCGTACATTCCCTCAATCCTTACACGCCAGTTTTGCGAATTAACATCAAAATGCATGAAGTGTTTATGAACGTCAACACTATATCGATCCTTGGAAACCTTCATATTCCTGTACAGGTACGTAGAACTGGAGATAATGGGTTCTTGGAGAGGTTCATCTTTTGAAGGATAGTAAGTCCATCCTAATGGAGCAACCTTCACGAATAATCCGAGATTTCCGTATGCAAATTGAATATATCCAAATGATCCATCATCGAAGCACATGTAAAATGACTTATACTGAGTCGTCAAATGAGACCGCGAAAGGTTCCAAGTTAATTCTTTGCAAGGAATAAACTCATAGTTATTTGCGTTACTACTATAAGTGCTGGCAGTCATATCTACTAATTAGAATATAAGCAAAAAGGCAAACACGATTAGACAAGAAGACACCGATGTTTACTTTGGTAAGTAAATTCGCAATCTAAACAATGCAACAATATTAAAATAGTATTTTTAATACGAAAAGGCCAAATACCACCAAATTTGAGGCAGATATAGTAATTGCAATTCTTACGCGTTCAAAATTAATTAACTATCCAGAGCAGGCGTGGAAACAAAATCATAAAATATTTTCAATTACAAGAAGCGAAAATAATTGAAACAAAGTCTTTTATAAATATGTTTGTACGAACCGAGCCTCAGCTTTCTGGTGGTGTGCTCGTACCACCTGCAGTCAATACAGTAACAGAACATCTGAAGAGTTGTCTGATTTTTAGAGTTGAATCATTCAGGTGCATCATTCGACTTGAAGTTTTCCTTAAACTTTCTTTTCTAATTTTAAAATTTAAATAACTCGCTTGAAAGCAAGATGGAGAAGAATCTATTTATTTATATTTTTACTTACGTCAGATATTGGTATTCATATTAATTGTCAAAGTTTCCACAGAGAATAAGGAAATGTGATTGTCTTTTATATCATAAAGAAAATAGTAAAAACCGCTGCTCAATGCAACATAAGCTTTCCTTCATGAAAATTCTATCATTGACACTACACTATAGTAAGTTCAATGTTAAAGTCCGTTAGCAAGTGAAGGGTTTGAACCCATGACAACTTCAAAGGAAGCAAATACAAGAGCAGAAGCAACAACCACTCCTAATCCAAAAGTAGAAGCAGTGATTCCAGCAAGTAAGCATAGACTGCTCATAACTAATGCAGAAGAGCGAGCAGCACTAGGCACAATTTTTTCCAACTCCTTTAACATACTTACTTCACGGAAACCGGCCATAATAAGCTGGTTTTCCTTAAAGAAAGCAAGAACATCACGAGGTCCGCTGCCAGTGGCTTTCGTCCAAGCGAGAGAAATATAAAGAGATGTAGAGAACAAAAGTACGACATAGACAAGGGTATGGATTGGGCAAGTAATAGTTTCCCATATGCTAAGGGGAGGAACAAAGTAATAAAATAAACCACCAGTTAAACGCAATTGTTGGATAGGATGAGTCTCATACTTCGTGTACTGAACCAAAAAGCGGGTAAAGACAGAGTTGGGGAACATACTGTGAATAAAGTAGGCTAATACTAAAAGATGAGAAACAAAAGAAAAGATAAACAAGAAAGGGCTAATGGAAGTGTAAAACAATTTCAAGGGGAAGTTCTGACGGAATCCACGAACCCGGGATGAACGGATTGAGATGTCAATTCTCATGCTCAAAAGATAAATGAAGGCGAGAAAAGCACTAATACAAGCCAAAAGACTAAAGACATTCAAACGATCAGTACGGAAGAAGATTGATCGAAGGGCGTAAAACTTATCTTTGTATGAGAAGAGGGAGAATACCAAACCAACGAGGGTACCTTCGTATTGACTAATTTCTTCAGTCAATTGGTAACGGTTGAAACTCAGAATCTGCCAGAACAAAGAAGAGACGATATGGGATGCCAAGAGAAGAACAGGACCAGAGCCCATGCCATATCCCTTTTCGACAATTTCGCATAAATAAATACAGATAATTCCGGGTATGAATAACTGAACTATGAAAATGAGAGTCAAAGCAACACCGAGTTCAGAGACAGGGCCATAATAACCTGATACAACGAATGTAATCGAGAAAAGGAGATACAAGAAAGCAGAGAAAACTAAAGAAAGTTAGATATGACTATGACAGAAGAAAAATAAATCAAAAACCTTTTTGGGTATTTTGGAACATGATGCGGTCGCTGATTAAATTAAAATTAACAGCAATTTTACGACCAGCAGCCAAAAGTTGCATTAGAAAGGCAGAAAAGATAATAGGAGCTAAACCGGTAACCATAGCACCACTGCTGTTGTTAGATTTTTGAAATAATAAGACTCCACAAACTGGAAGACGCCGAAAACCAAAAGGACTCAGTACTTCATTTGGTCGTTGAAGCAATTCTACAAAACTGCTTTAATACCATCTTTCTTGTAAAAAAGATGACCAAAGTCTTGCAAGACGTCCTGTTCGCAAATGAGGAACTCAGAAGACTAATGTCCTGGTCCTTGTCCATTCAACATCAGATTTAAACAACTTACGATGCAGAAGAGCCATCTAGCACACGCCAAGCGCTAAATTCAAGTTAGAATATTATCTCACTAAAGAAATTTTATAGTTCATACTTGATAGGGTCTACAAATTCGCGTTTTGGAACGCCGTAAACAGGCATGTTTAGCAAGACCTGATAAATCACAGCGCAACCGGCCATCCAAGCCAATTTTTCAATCATTTGATACTGTAAAAGTTAGTAAAATTCCATTTCCGTTGCCTTCACAGAACGGTCAGGCCTTCATTATACATACTCGAGTCTGCGGTCCTTCGACTTCTGGTAATAAAGAGCCTAGCGGCTTCATAGTGTTTAATAAGCGAGCTGGTTTATATTAATAACAATTCTAAAACAAATTATAGCCAATTCCGACTACTTACACCTGCTCATTTTCAAAGTTTTTATTATGCGCTTATCAACCTTGAACTCCCATATTCTATCCTTACTGATCTGAACCCGGTGAACTAAGATCGGCATATCACCGATATATCTTAAAAGATGACCGAAGAAGAAACCCAGATCACCGAAAATACATAGAAAAACCAAATTACATTCAAAATAAAGATCATGCTGTCGTATACACTTACGATAGGTATGTCTAACTTTTAAAATATTTGTTCAAAAAATAACAGAATTTTATTATACAATGCAATTGCTAAATGTATAGAAAACACTTAGAACCTGCTATGTCCATATTGATTAATCATTATATATACAAATTTCATGTATAACATTACAAAAGAACTTTATAAAAGAAGAAAACTTCCATATTTTCTCGCAACATGTCCACTCCCAACGATAATTTATGGTATTACCATGACCTTTCAATTAAATAATTTTGCTTGTTTACCAACACATTCCTGAGAGCAAGGGATAAAAGTAATACGAATAGTCTTGAAGCAATACAGAGAGTTTTTTATGCTATTGGTAGAATTAAAGACCTCGACCTTCAATACTAACTCCGCTTTTCTTTGCACTTTTACTGCGAATAGCTTTCATCTTAGCCTTCAGTTTTCGGACTTGTTCTGTATCAGCAGGCTTCAACCGACCAGCCACAGACATTCCGTTCTGATTGAGGCGAACTCTGGGGGCAACTTGATACCTGGAATCGATGGACTGAGGAATAACCGTTCTTCCAATTCTGCTAGTGGGATTATTAACATCGTCTTCGGCAATAGCAAGGTCCCTACGACGACGCATGTTTATAAGCTCGGGGTTCAAGGTAGCAATTCCAACAGCACGGTCTCGGTAATTAGCACTTCTCTTGATGATGGGACGACTCCATTCACTAACTAAGCGATCTGCAATGCGCTTAATAAATGGCTCAGGCTTCTTGGATATCGTATAAAATAAGATTACACGGCCAATTTTGCTTTCACGTAAATGTTCAGTTTCAATAGGAAGCTTCGTCAAAATATCGAGCAAAGACTGTTGGATATTAAGTGCTGGAAGAGATCTATCGGGCAACGGTTCTAACCACATCCGCACAGAATCCAGCAAATTGTTATCAAGAATGGTATCGTATAAATGGGTTTTCCGAAGAACGGAGTCCACGAGAGCGAGCATTTTCAGCTTTTCGGTAGCTGGAAGGCGTTCCGAATTCAATTCTGCGTCACGTAGTGCTGCTAAACGCATTTGTTCACGTAAACGAAGGACTTCATCATCGGCTAACTGTTCTAAATTATCTTCGTTTGAGCGCTTTTTTGGACGAACTGGTTTCAAAACTGCATCTATTTGCATATCTAGCTGTCGTTTAGCAGCCACTGAAGGATCTAAGGGGGCTTCTTCTACGGTAGGTTGACGATCTCCTTCATCCAACTCCTCGAGTTCATCTAAAGCGCCTCGTTGAGCAGAGCGACGCGACCTGCCTCTCCGAGCACGCTTTTCTTTTTTGTTATTTTCCACCTTGCCTGGTTTGACATCTTCTGAGCTTTGCTTTTTCTTAAAGGAAGGCAAATTAAAAATGGTAGGCTCATCATCAGCTTCTCGCCCAATCTTCGTTTCATCAAAATTTTCGAATTGGTCTTCATCCAAATCGGAAAGCTCGTCTTCAGAAAAATCAATGTCTACATTGTCACGAGCAGGCACCTCATTATGTGATGGAGATCCCTGTTGAGATTCAGTTATACCAGTATCATTTGCTTCTCCTTCAGCATTCCGTACTTCAGCATCGTGACCGTCTAAATCGGACATCTTTCGAACCCTTGTTTGATATACTTATTCGGGACTTTTCTAGCAACAAAATAAGTTTAAATCAAATCAGTAGTCCAAATTCTATTAGGTTTACTCTTTACTTGGTCGTTGGCAAAAGTATCGTTTGTCAAACCATGAAATAGATGTTCGAATATGGAATCTGAATTCACTGTGCTTCGCTATCTAATATAGCCTCAATTGTTTTACTATTCCTAAACAGTAAATTATCGTATTACTGTGAGCTCTAATGAAGGTACGAACCAGTCCAATTATACTACACCATATACAGTCCGTGTACGAAGTCCCTTCCACCAAAATTCCCTAAAAACTACTTTTATATAACAAAATGTTCGCTGGTTCCGGTCGTCCTTCTAAAGAACAAGTCAAGCAATATGATAACCTTGCTATTTCCGTACGTGCTATGACCTGCAAAATAAGGGTTCAGCTTTGAACGAAAATGCAGCAGTCTGTATTAACCAATGTTATTTCAGGAAATCAAGAAAGGTGCTTCTGTTGCTGCCATTCTTGCTTTAAGTAAGTTTTATTTGTTTTTTTTTTATTGAAAAAATGAGACTAAAATCTTCAAATGAACCATTCTGTTGCTAACACTACTTTTTAAGCTCCTTTTGTCATCTCTTTTGTCAAGAACTTGCGCGCTTAAAGTTTTGACAAGCGTAGCTTACTCTGCTTATATACGCTGTATACGATGAACTCTACGTCGCTACTTGTATAAGGACGCGTTCAGCTTATGAATTGATTGTGCCATACATATTCCCATTTTGGTAAACAGAGAATAAAATCCAAATTTGTCATTTTTATATTAGTGTTGGAGCTTAAATTGGGAAAGCTCAGGGTGATGTCTATAAGTCAATAGTTCGTCGTGGTATCAATGTGATTCGTTATTTTGTAAAGGCTCTTGAATCTTAAATTCACATACTTCCAAAGTGCAAGCCAAGCATCTTTGATAAATTAGCTGGTGGAATGAAATTTCAAGAACTAAGTTGCTAAAGTCCAAATCATAAGTATTAGATGACAAGAGGCAATCAAAGAAGCAGATAATTTTAACTACCGATTTATTTCATGATATAAGGAAATAATATGACAGAGATTTATAAAACAAGAAAGAGAAACAAGTCACCCAAAATAAGATTATATAACCCAAGTACCTATGGTCGTTTCCACTATTGATAATTATGAAAGAAGAAAAGAACAAACAACACTACTAATCTTTGAAACAAAATTACTTCGACGAATTAGTTTGGTCATCCAGTTGTTTGCTCAAGGTACCCAAGTCCTCTTGAATTAATTTCGCAACATATGATAAACCATTTTGATGATCGCGTAGCACATCTGTAATGGTTTGTAACTGATCATTGTTTTTACTCCAATCAATTGCTCCTTTTGCAAGGGAATTCCGTTGTTCATCTGAGACCTTCTTACCCTCGAAAATCAAAGTAATTCGTGCCCAAATTTCGTTCAGGCGGCCAAACACTTCGGGATTATTGAGAGATTTGGCAAGGTCGTCAAGTCGTTTCCGAAGATCTTCTTCATTGGATTTCAAAGCATAACCACGATGTCTCAACACATGTACTTTAATGGCTAGACGAAGAACACGTTCTGAAAGTTGAATGTGACGATTCTTTGCTTCTGCAAGTTTTATATTGGAGCTAAGGTCGTGTTTGTTGCCTAACCTTTCTAGGGTTTCAACGATTTCTCGCATACGAATGCGATAAGCATTAACTTGATTAATCTGCATATTCATTCTCTTTTGCACATCAGGAAACCCAACAGCCAGGACTGGGACAACGCTATTGCTCGGTCTGTTTGCAACAGCTTCATCCCATTTTTGCTGGTTGTGAGTAGCCGGTTTGACATATAGAGCCGCTTGTTCAACAGGAACTTTATTATAGAAATATCTTTGGAAGGCATTATCGGGATGCTTCAAATTCCAAGCATTGAGGACTTTTTGTGTTTGTTCTTCGATAGAAGGGGGTTGGGCAGGGCCGTACTGAGCATTACTGACTGCTGCATTCGGTGACATGGTGGAAGATAACAAAAACCCATTTGGATTAGCAGATGACATGCCCATATCCGAAGACTTTGCTGCGGAGGGGTTTGTACTCCATGAGAACAGAGGTTGAGCTGAAGATGCACCGGCGTTCACAGGAGTAGTAGAAGAAGGGGGTGCCGCAGTTGTGGTAGCACTAAGTCCATTTAAGGGTTGTGTTCCAAATGTAGAAGGATTGCCGATACCACCAGTAGATTGCTGAGGTTGGCCAAATAATGAGGAATTTCCTAAACCTCCGGCGGGATTAGTATTTGAAGGACTGGAACCTGTATTTGATCCTCCAAACAAAGACCCAGATCCAAAGCTTGGTGTGGGAGCATTCTGTTTTTGTTGACCAAACAATCCTGATGTACCAAAGGATGGTGTGTTTGAGGACGACGCAGGTTGACCTGGTAACATGTGTTAGTTCTATGCAATTTCGGAATGCTTCTACGTACCAAAAGAGAATGACATTGTTATAAAATGAGAATGTCTGTCTTGATCAACGACTTCTGTTTTTTGCAGGCACTCCTTAGCTAAGTTGTACAGGTAGAAACAACTGTATATGAGGAATTCACTTCGTAGTGTGGTGTCCTTCATTGCAACTCGTAATATATCTTACTAGACAGCATCGTCAAAGTTCATTTCCATTTAGAGAAAAAAATTGGTGAAAAATACTTACAATTGAATAGTTCTAACTATAATTACTGAGGAAGTAAAACCGTACTTTCTTAGAAATTTGTTTTCCTAAGGAAGAGGGAAATCGTACATATAGTGATATTGCTATATATTAACTTAAATGCATAACAAATTTAATAAGGGTATAATATGATCGTATGATCTTATAATCAAAATCGTATTGGATAATATACTAATTTACTTGGTGTTTTAAGCAAAATGCTTTTAACGTATTTTTAGCATATGCTTATAAAATGAAAGAGAAAAGAACGATTTCTTATATTTTTGGATATGACTTTCGCCTTGTTTTTATTAGTATGGGTAATAAACGAAATAATAGAAAAATTGACTCGATGATTAAAAACTTAATCGTATAAATGTATAGGATGTCTTAAGTTGTAGCAGCTCTTACCGAGTAGGAATGAATTGTCACTATGTCTTTGCAATTCCAAGAACACCACCAAGTTATAAGATATAATTGTAAGGCGAGTCAGTGATATTTATGTAAATTGCTTATTTCCATATATTCCTTTATACCAATAATTTTTCTTTCTTATTTAACTATTCATAATCGGTCACATTTACCGGATTATCAATCTTCCAGAGGACGCTGTTGATTAGTGTAATACCTTCAATTCAATTTACCGGCTTTACTTCCTTTCCATGCAATTTCAATATGACTTTTCCGACTACAAAGGTCGTGACTTTGATCCCAAAAAACAGGCAAAACAGGTGCTAGCTTCAGTTCATGCAGCAACGGATACAGCAGAAGACAAGGCAGTCGCAAAAAAACGATTAGGATATGCTTTGAAGGAAATTGATAACCAAATAAGGGTTTTCATTGGCTCAAATGAACAGAAGCTAGCTGAAAGTGTGGAATCCTTTTTTCAAAATCAATCGAATTTAACGGAGGTTAGAGAGAAAATGAAGCAGCTCACAGATATTTATGAAAGAATGCGTTCTCTTATAACTGTCCCCTATAATTCTGCCTCTCCATTGCACGATTCCATAGTGAATCTTCATTCAACTTATATTAGCTTGTATTGGATACACCGCTTTTTTGATCTGCAAAAACAATTAGTAGCTTTGGCAGACAGCGTTCCTAACGAGTTTGAACGGTATGTAACCAATGTCTCTATCGTTTTATTCATAAGACTGACTGTACAGATTCGAAAACTATTTTCGGGCCGCTACCCTATTACAGGAGATGGATCAACTCCTTGCGCGCTATCCGCTTATCGTATGTCTTATGTTATCTTTAGATTTACAGTCAACTAACAAAATTTAGAAACGCCAGTCTTCAGTGCAATCATTTTCCAAATCGAATATCGGCATTCACTCTAGGATGTTAAAAGAAACATCAAGTTTCTTGCTAGCGCAAGAGGAATCAGACGTGCTAGCAGCAAATTCCTCAACGTTTTCGAATGCTTGCTCTACCTTGTTTTTACTAGACAAATATCTTTTAGAAAGAAACATGTCTCAGTTATTAAGCTCTAAAATCCAAAAAGCAAGCGCTTGTTTCGAATCTATCTTTCAGCTGTCTCCAACAACACGTAGACTTCTGTATTCATCTGCTGATTCTACCGCGGCTAATTCTACAATATGGTCTAAATTTGAAGATGGTTGGTATCAAATTTCACAGTTTGGATCTCAATGCGTATTTTGGGAAAAGACTCTTAGACAAACTACCATCTGCCAACCACATTACTCTAACTTACTAGATTATTTTCAAGCACAACCTAATTTCATTCTTGATGGTGCTACAATTAGCATGTTCTATTTTAAAGAACTGGCTATTTCAATAAGCACAAAGATGCAGAACCTTGATCGTCGAGATCCTACTTTGCTTCTAGTTTTCCGTAACGATTACCAAAGAGTATCACATATAGTTGAACAAGCAATTGCAAAATCATCTTCTGAAATTGTTACAAAAGATACCCGTGAATGCTCTATTGTGATGAACAGTCTTAAAGTATTATTCCCCAAAATTCCTTAGACATTAAAAATAATATTATATAAATAACCCAAACCATTCAAACTCAGTAAAAGATAAAACACAACTTCTAAAAAAACAAGCAAATGGTCATCTAGGAGTTTCTATTCTCTCCGAAGATCACCAGTAACACATTGCAAAGGGGCTGGAACAATCTGTCCACTTTTTAAGAAAAAAAGTTTCATATTTCGAGCTTTATCCTTTAATTGAACTTGATTTCGATGTTTCAAGACTTCATTTTTTTTACCACCTGGACCATAAAGCTCCAAAATTTGACTCCATCGGGGACCCTTTACTAAATCAAGTCCATCCAAAAGAGCTTCCTCTTCCTCTTTCGTCCACGTCCTTCGATTTGCAACTTTCTTGGTCCGCTTGTTGCCATTACCGGTGTTTGTCATGCTACGAACCTGGTCGTATAAAACAACGCTGGATACGTTATTCGCTTCGGAAGTAGCATCTAAAGTAGCTGTTGGTAGACCAAAAGCTAAACCGTCTGTCAAGTCAGAACCAGAATCTGACGGAGACGAATTTTCATCACAAGCTTTATATCTGCCTCCTTGTCTTTTAGCTTTCCGCTTGGCATTACCATTGGGTACAGGAATAGCTGCAATCGATGAGTGGTTATTGTGAATATAACAGGCTATTTCACTTAAAAATTTCCCCCATGGATAAACTTCGTTTAACGCTTCCTGAGGGGTGAAATTCGATAAACGCTCTTTTCGAGCAGCACATTTCTCTAGAATTTGCTTTTCGACGTAAGTAAGCTTATCGTCTAACTTAGCATTACGGCGCAATAAAAACCGATGAGCCATATCAGAAGGAAAAAGGTCATTCAAAATATCTTCCTTAGGTCGTTCTGCTTGTGCCATGGCTGAAATGTAAGCTTGCGTTTTCAATTCCATGTATAAAGTCCCTTGATTGGTAAGAATGTTGGCTTCATCAGGAGCAAACACTTCCAAAAAATTTTCGTTTAAATGAAAGAACCCAATTTGAAGAGCGCCATAAACAGCAGACAAGAAGATTGCCAGATTGGCTCGACGGACTGCACTCCGCTGAGAAGGAGTACGCATGCTAATGACGGCGGGATAAATGAACGAATCTTCAGTATATATGTCTTTGATCATACGAAACATGCTCATTAACTTTGTGAAGGCCATTCCCATTTCTGACGCTGGGTTTGTAACAATGGCCGAAGCCTCCTGTACAGGCTTTCCAAGGATAGACAATATGATATTGCTGAGGTTTGCCAAAGTTGGAACCAGAGAGCTACGAAGTAGGTACTGGGGAGAGGCAACTGGATTCGGCTGATTAAAGGCGTATTCCATATTCTGATTCATTCGCAGATAAAAATCTGGGGTCATGTTGATTGGAATTCCAGAAAGGTCGAACCCGAGCGGAATATCGCCATTGGAAGCAACATTAGGGGAATCCAAGTCAGAAGCATGTTCAGAAAGCTGTTGCAACATCTGACGATCGTGTTCGAGCGCACACTCCGGATCAATTTCTAAATCCTTTTGGGCCTTGAATTCATTAGAAGTATCTATCGGTTGCTTCGACATTTCTCTTTAAAATCAACAATTTTTTAAATAATCTTCGTTTTTCTAAGCAAAGCAAACACGCATCCAATGGTTACAGGACATCAATTATGAGTGCGAATCTCACCTTGCTCGTAAAAGTTGGGATTTTCGCTCCGAAAAGAAAAATTGCATCAAATCAATTACTTCCTTCTAGGATTGTTAAAATTCCCTTTATTTTATACGTGAAGTTGTACGAATTTCCTCAAATCCGCTTATATGTGAAATAGTTGGAAATTCGAAAAATATGAATATTTTTGCTTGTATTATTTTATAACGCAGTACTACTGGCGCCAGTGTTATCCACTCGAATATGACGACGTGACGTTGGAGCTTAATTAAAAAATAAAAGCAATAATACCTAAGAAATATACTAATGTATTTGATGTTCAATTTAAGATAGCTTGTCTTCACATTGATTTGTTAAATTTGCATAAAAAATTTCTCCTCATCTTTAGTGCATATAAGCATATATATGCTCCTGTATATTACATATGCTTTTATAATTAGTCCCTTTGGAATTACGTGTCAGACTCTGCTTCCTAGGAATTTGTTTCGTTGCATATTTTATATTCGGAGACAGTAATTTTATAAAGTAATTTAAAAGCTATAACTTATTGCTCTTTGTTTTATTTCTTTATTACCGGTTCGAAGGTGTGGAATACCAAGATTTATTGATTACCTGGAATCAATCCGAACAGGTTACCAAGATTAAGCAAGCCACTTCATCCTCTATATAAAGCAGTAGTTTTCTTAAAAATACAAAATGGATAAGCTTTGGGAGGAGATGGTCAATGATCCAAAGAATGAATTTTCAGAAGAACAAAAACAATTTTTAGCTCAGTCTCGAGCACGGGCTCGTCGAAACAAATTTATTGGAGTCATTGGAGGGGCTCTTATTCCCATAGTCTTGGGTAAGATTTTTCTTTGAGACATGTTTACTACAGCTGCTAACTATGAATGTTTTATCAGCTCAAAAGCGAAAAGTATCACCATTAAAATTGTATGCTACGTCAATCATATCAGGCATAGCTGGAAACGGAGTACGTCTTTCTTTATAAGTGAGGGTGATAGTATTAACCTACTTGCTCATCCATGAAACTTTCTTCTAGACATTGCTAACAAAACCTCTATAACAGCTTTCCCAGATCTTTACCATGGGATACAATTTATCACAAGTGAATAAGCGTTCTGACTCATCAGATCTAATACGAAAAATGAAGGAATCTTTAATTCGACAACGCACCATGATGGAACAAGGAAATCATATTCCTCCCTCACACGATGGCCCTCTTCCCAGAATGAAGCAGGATAATTTGGAAAATGGAAATCAAGTGACTTCCTCAAGTGGTTCAAACTCCTCAGACATCTTTATGTCTCAGGAGTCTTCCAACCAAGAAGACTCTTCTAGATCAGCATGGGACCGTATCCGAGAAAAAGAGAATATTAATCGAACGAGCTCAAGGAAAGAAAAGAACTATAGCTTCCCCTCTGAATATGAAACCCTTGATATAGCCGAGTCTTCAAATTGGCCAAAAGAAGACACTGCTGACACAAGGGCTCAGACTCCAGAAGACAAAGAATTTGAAAGACAGCAAAGGGAGTTTGATAAATTGGTTTGGGGGTCGGATTCCTCTTCTTCAAGCGGTAATCTCATTACCTGATTCTGAGAGACCCTTCCTTAATAATTATTAGCCGCCATGAGTTCTTTTGTGCGTTTCCAATCAAAAATTTTACCTTCAATTCTTTAATATATGTTCTTTGCTATTAATTTATTCCATGAGCAAATATTTCTGCAAATGAACTTTCGGGAGATACTTTGGTATTTGAAAGTACAAGATCTTCAATAAGGTCTTCCGAACGTCTGAAAAAAAGAAATAAATATTTAAATTAGTCCTAAGAATTTATTTGTCAATGAAATGATTTAAAGACAACCTTTAAGCTACTTCATGGGAAGTTTCAAAATTTTCAGCAAAAGTTTCGTTTAAGTATAATAAATGAGCATTTATTTTCCCCCTTTGCTTTTTGTTTTAAGTAAAATAGCTTATTATCAATTGTAGGCTCCTTTCTTAGATCATCACCGTATAGTACTATGGAAAAGCCTCAAGCTCCTCTTGTTAACCACCAACGTCGTAACGAGACGGAAATCTCGAAATGTCTTTTTTCGGGTTTGATACAAACCTTCCAAAGGAGTCGATGATTCCTAAAAATGGAGAATATGATGAAGATGGGTATGAATGCTGTTTTTTAACCTTTGTTGAAACAAAAAGAATGTTGGTGAGAAACTAACTGTGGATGTGTAGAATTGATTTCGAAGAAACATACGACGATTTAGCGGACAGACTAGAAGAGGAGGGAGATGATTTGAACGATGAAACCTTTGGTATTAGCGCCGGAAATATTGGTATGTGAAGGTGATAGTACAACATCATAGCCCAGGTTATATTTGAGCTCCCCTTTTTTATTATAGAAATGTATCTAATCATTTGTAGGCCGTGATTTTGATTTTTTTCATCAAACTGCACAGGTTTCCACTAAATTGGAGAATGAGCAGGATGATACCAGACACCCCATGGGCAAGGTATATGATGCAAGCACGCAGGCTGCTTCACTTCCTCAGGTAAACCCAACTGCTGCTTCTTCAGCACGTAATCCTGAAGCAAATCTCGATGTTTCAGCCAACACTAATATGCTTTCGGATTTGAGACCCATGGCCTCTATCTGGGAAACTATTGTACCCGAGAAACCCTCTGTTCAAGCGGCCCCTCCTGAAGTGTCTAGCTTTCAGAATCGTTTGGGTGCGCAAAACAGTGAAAAGGTTTTTAGCTTGCAAGAGCTTGAGGAACAATTATTCAATTCCCTTAACGCCCCTGGCTCAGGTCCTAAACCTCAACAGCCTGTTGCTTCTGCAATGCCCCCAGTTAATCCTGTGGTTTCACCAGCAGTTCAGGTTCCTCCTCCTACAAGTTTGGCTCATGATACTTTTGCAGCCTTGGATCCTGCCGTCGCCAGCATTGGAAACGTCTCATTCCCTACTCAACAATCGAATGTCGCCAATCCTGGCTTACCTCTTCCACCTATGATGCAACCTTCGCAGCTGTTTGCAAATTCCAATCTTCCTCCACCTCAAATACCTCCTGTTGTATATCCTAGTAATATGGTGTACGGTGCCGAACCAGTTCCTCCCGTTCCATTATTGAATCTTTTTCAACAAGAAAAATTTGAACAAGCTAGGACCCTTGATGAAAAGCGCCAAAAACTGGAAAGAGATCATATGCTTATGGCACAATGTGCAGGTTTGATGACTCGTAGTGATAAATCTTTCATTGCTCGTATCCAAATATCTCAACTTATGTCTGAAGATCCTGAGTCTGAAGATTTTTACTACCGTGTTTATTCAATAATTCGTGGCCGTAATCCTTCAGAAGAGGATTCTAGTCACTTTATTCGAACCTATTTAGGTCCCAGTAGCAATCGCCGACGTGGAAGACGTTCGGAAAATCCAATGCAAAGATTGCAACAACAGTTACAAAAATTGGTTTCTTCTACCAAGGAACGACCGAAAACTACTCAGCTGTCCCTTGAAGGCGCGTTAGGTAAGATTGCCATAAACACTGTCCGTACTCCTCGACAACTTCTTAACGTTAAGCGTCCTTCCGAACATACGATTAATGCTAAAGAAACTACCTTTAAAGGTTTTGCTACTAAAAAAGATGTTTTGCAAGCAATTGAGAAAATATATGATTGGTTACTTGACTTTGAACATTCTCTTCGTAAATTATCTGTTTCTAATGTTGAGGATGACGAAACTTTTAATCAATGGAAAAATGACCTTAACCATAAATTAGAAAGCATTTGGAATGTTCTTCATATCAATGAGTCTTTAGACAGTTCTTCAAAGGCTCGTCCACCATTTTTATCAGTCATTTCTCATCCTAAAGGAATGCGCCTTCTTCCAAGATTGTTACCTCATCTTTCTAAAGAACAGCAGTTTGCTATCCTCAGTGTCATAGTTGGTAACGTCGATTCTTTAAATATTGTCCTGAAGGGAACTTTTGATGCGAATGGCGAGTTGCCTGCTGGCATTGCAGCCGAGATGATGGCATTTACTCAGTTTGTCATCCCTTCCTTACTTACTATTGTGAATGAGTTGGGCATGGCGAATGTTAATATCTTATTTTCTCAGCTTCTTGGAAGATCCAATCCATTATACCTTATACAAACTAAAATTGGACTTTCCTTCCTAACTATGCTAATCAGCCGAGCCGAGATTCTTAAGCAAACTGGGTCTTGTACTGAAGAAGACAAAGAAAATTGGTATGTGTTGTAGCTTGTTAAATTGATGTACTAACTGAATTACAGGGCGAGAATATTTAATGGATTATTTGACTGCCTTAAAGACCACTTTGCAACAGTTTTTCCTCCCCCAAATGCACGCGCTTACGCCGATGAATCATATCCCTGGGAGTTTTTGGCAGCCTGTGCCACTGCTGCTTCCTCCGACCAGCACTTCGTTTTGGTGTCTGAAACGAGAGATAGAGTACTCGATAATATAATTACAAGTAAGAGATCTCCCGAGGAAATTGCCGTTGTACGTATTGCGAATGTTAATCTATTCTTAAATGCCATGGGTCTTGATGCTCGTCAGCTAAGTGCCTAAACAAATAATTTATGAATATGAATCGTTGTGAATTATGAATCAAAGGTGTTTTATCATTATGCTACGTGTTATCACCGTTTCCTTGTGAACAAACTTATGCAACCAAGACTAAATGGATATTGGTTCAAGTTGTTTTTTGGTAAAGCCTCTAAAAATAACATAGATGGATGTAAATAATAGTGAAAATTGTATCAAACAATGAAGGAAAAGAATAGAAATTCACTCAATAAGAATTAGTATATCCGAGAGTCAATAATACTAGCTGCCATTCTTAATCTTAATTCTGGCATATCTTTTTGAGAAAAATGTAATGGAACCTCTCGGGCAAGACATTCTGCTGTTTTGCAGGCGAAGACACCACAATCGTACCCGTTTTGCTGTCTCGGTGAATTATGATCAATGTAATTTTCCCAGTCCGTAATATCAACAGCACCTTTCGTTTCAGCAACGTAGTATTCTTTTAATAAATCAAACACTTTACCAGGACTTCCGGCCAGCGAGTCCCAATATTCGAATCTTTTTTTCTTTTTATTTATTGCAGCCATACACCAGTGAACATCCAAATGAACTGGAACCAATACACAATCAAAATCTGCAATCTTCATGGAAGCCCTTCTGGCCCATCGGCGAACGCCAGCGTATCCTTTTTTCTGTAGTGTTGTGTAGAAAAAGGTATTAAATACATGAACCCGAGGTAAGGAGGAGTCGGAACGAGAGCGATCTGATAATAAGTTCATATAGAAATTAATAACTTCGTCATTCAACCATTGTCTACTTTTTAAGGTACGAAGATCTCGTAACATTATTGGAATATTATATTTAGTGATTATGGGCTCAGTGTAGGATGACCTTGGAAGATCGTTATCATTTAAAAGATGCAATGCCCGTTCCCTTGCTTCCTTCGGAAATTCTAAAAGTGAAACAAATTTTGGACGAACGGGAGGGGGAGTAACGTGAAGGCCTTTAAGTTGTAAGAAATCAATTTCGTTCCAATCATGAAATGCTTCAGTCTGCTTCTCTTTAAGTTTTTGAATCAGTTGCAAAAGAGAATTCTCATTATCTACGTCTGATGATAAAGGGAAGTTCGAAGGACGAGGATGTAAATCTGTAGATACAAGACGCGGGGGAGGTCGCCAGGGCGTTGAATTCTTGTCAATGGACCTTCTCATTGTAGCGGTAAAAGGTAAATGAGAAGAGCGGATTTGCATTTTTGCATCATGAATTTGTGATGAAGGTGTGACAAATTTGGATTCATGAAGTTTCAACAGGCTCGCTTGCTCTGGTTCAACCGGAGGCACAGAGGTATAATCTTTCGCCGAAAGATTTGAGGAGGGCTCCTGCAAAGTAACCAAGCCTTCATTCTCAACTCGTCGAAAGGGTGAAAGGCCAGAAGGAACCATGATCTCAGCTGTATCTTGGGATACTGCCAGCTTTAGTCGATCACTAGTAGATAGCCGTCTAGAAGGTTGATGGGGACGAGGGATATATTGTAGACGGGACGCGCGAAAACTTTGAGGAGACGGTTCGAGAAGTCCATTAGCGGCGGTAGCAGAGTTATGGTTGCTTGAATGAAAAAACCGCTGCGTAGAAATTGAATTAATTATTTCAGGCGGATTTTGCAACCTGAGTTTTCTTTCTGTTTTAATATTTTTCTCCTTTACACTGGTTGAGAACGAAGCAAGCGATTGATCATCAATAGTTCCTTGAGCTTCAGTAGTACCCGAAGAGTGAGTCGCTGATTCCCCTGATAAAGATGAATTAGTATTGCCAGCAGTACTATCCATGCCTGTCATTGGAGTGCCCGTGAGCAAGACTTTTGCATATGTTACAGTACGGGAACAGATGCCTACGAACGTGTTAAAAATTGTCTTCTTCCGTTTTTTGTATTCTTCTAAGGACGCTGCATCATCTGGATGCGACCGTTTAGTCGCATTACGTTCGCGTATCATTCACAAAAGTCAATGAAAAAGGGAACAGGATTGCTGATGCTGGGAGCGCTGAAGACAAGCAGAAACGCGAAAAATCGCTTTAAAACCTTTCGCTAATCCCAGGTCAAGGTATTTTCTGTCAAAAATACGACCTGAAAGAGAGTTTCCAATGTGTAGTGAATGGAGAAGTTTGAAATGAACGAGTGCTGATGTCGGTATCAATGGTACCTTGAAGGGTATTTAAAAAAAAAAGAAAATCAAATAAACAGATTTGACAAAAATGAAGGATAAAAAACGAAATGATTTAATTATTGAAGATAAATTGGTTGGTACTGTTGTTTTTCTGAGAGAAAAAGCCCTTTGCAAGTGAATAATCATCATTCTCTTATGTTAGTATGCTGTCTTCTACTTCGTATACCATGTAGTGTTGTCTTAGTACTAAGAATGTGAGTTAACAAAGCAATTCCTCAAATGGAGCCTCATGATCGTTTTAGATCTGTCTATCTCTCGTTTTCTTAGTGTATATTGCTAGGTTCTACTCTCATGGAAGATTTCCCGCTAGATGGACCAAATTGAACGACTCAAAATCATTTTTTGGATGCAAAAAATCTATTGCAATTGAAAATATGAACTCTTCTTCTCGGTAGGAATTAGACTAGCCATGACTTCTTTTTCCAAATAACACAATGGACACGTACATCGTACGCTTGAAGTTGCTTTTGTATTTAAATAGAATAAAAATAGAGACTCAAGTAACCAAAGAATTGTAAGCTCAAATCTTCCTTCTTTACAATACCCCTAATATTATAACCCAAGTAACCTAGACTGTTGCTTGTCTTGAGAAATACCTGTACTTTCAGAAACCGCGGAAAACCTTCCAAAACCCCAATCTATGTGGTTTTCCATAGAGCATGACGGCTCCTTGTACATATATTAAAAACTTTTCACCAATTGAAATCCGTCCTTTACCGCATTTGGATTTTCAAGCTGGCTACAATGGAATCCCTGCCTCAGCTCCTAGAATCGTAGGCCTCGTGCAAGTGCGAAGCAAAGAAATAAATCGTCCATTGTCTATCCTACGAGTTACTTTAGAGCTTTGGAGAATTGAATCTGTTGATGTTCCTTCTTTAGGTGTAAGCAATCATATATCTGAACCAAAGCGGTTAGTGCAGCAAGTCCTATTTCCACCATCTTCTTCTTCTTCCTCTTCTAAAAACGATCAGAAAAGCATACTTTACTTCTCCGAAAATGCACAGGCAAGTGACGATGTTTTGTCTCCTTCATCTAGCACTTCCGGCATTAATAATGTTTACGATTTCTACCTACACGATCAACCTTCCCGACATCGTTTTTCAAATCAACCGCCTATACCACCTCCACATGTTCAAAATGTTTCTCAAAGTCCTTCAATGCCTTCTCACGCTTATAGTCAAACTTCAGACACTTCTTCTATGCAAGCCTCATCGGTAACTAGCGATTTACAAAAGTCAACAGAAAAATCCTCTTCTTCATCATCTTATAACATATGGTCTATGGATTTGCCATTCGAAATGAAGTATTCTGAGGGAGAAGTGCTTACCCCAACATTTGACCTTTTTCGCTCGGGTTTTTCATGTTCCACGAAATATCAGTTGCGGGCTGTTCTTAGTCTAGCTGACTCAGAAGATATCTTTGAATGTGTCCCCATTGTAATTCACCGTTACGATACGCTTTCCTCTTGGGGTATGTATAATTCTCCGATTTATTTAAAAGAAGCAAGTATAGACGGTAGAGTTGTTGTGGAAGCTTCCATCCCTAAACAGTGTATTGGCCCTATGGATTTACTTACAGTTTTCATATCTATAAGGGCTTCGAATGGCTCTAAAATTCGGGTACAGCAATTGTCATTGTCTTTGGTAGAATGTGTAAGTTTTCGACATCCGTCTTCTAGTCATTCTCCTATTGTTCGTTCAAAAAAGATTTTAAAAGTTGAACAAGATCTCGACGACGTGAGGTTAGGAAAAGATGGCCTTTCACAAACACTTTCAAAAGTGTTTCCAGATCCTGACTTGGATGATTCTAGCATACAAGGATTCACCACATCTTCTGATTTGTACAAAGTTACTTATATGGTTTTAATAAAAGTGAGACTTTATCGTGCAAGAAATGTTGAAATTTCTTATCCGATTACTGTTTCTCCTGTTCCTCGTTCCGCCAGCTCTTCGATCCTAGGTGATATTCAAACCAGAGTTTTAGATTCCCGGCAATCCCTCAATGGCTCTGTACTTGATACCACTTGTGATATTATCCATGCGAATGATTCCACAAAAAATAACATGTATAGTTATTCAGAAGGCGGTTTGGTGCTTTTGAATTGAAAAGTATTCTGTTTTCTATCTCATATTTATTTATATCTCTGGGTCATTAATGGTTTGATTCTTCCCTAGTCATCAATACCGACACTTCCTTGTCCCAACTAGTCCTTTTTTATGTTATCCCGCGCATTCCGCAATAACCTTTTTTTGTTTATGAATGTTCATGAATATTGTCAGTTTATGGTGCATCTTATACTTGGAGATAAAAATTGGCAACATCAAAAAAACGAAAGTTTCTCCAAAATATCTAAGTATACAATTTATAATTTTTCAAATACTTTAGTGCAGCAGAATTTTATAACCCTAATGAAAGAGCTACTCACCTATAAAAGCGAATGTTTTGTTCATTCTTGATACAAATATAATTGGAATTGTAACAAGTAATTTAAAAATATCGATAACCATCTTGCACCAAGCTTTATGATCTTATTCAAAACTTGATATACAACTATGTCTACTATAATGAAAGTTTTCAAACTTAATTCCTTTTCAGTACATTAGTACAGTTTGTGATGTTAACTTTTATTTGAAAGATACTCCATATACTTATGATAGCATAGGATTGATCGTTTAACTTGAAGTAGCATATTCTGAAAGAACCACACAACAAATACCGGTTTGTCCCTAACAATCGCATTACAGGCCTGGCAGAAGATAAGCTTGTATTATTTTTTTCATTACTTTACGGATTCTAGAAATGCAATAAAGCAAAGTATAGAACATTTATAGACAGTTGCACATGGCATTCAAATGGTTAGTTTCGCAAAATACCCAAAACGTTGCTAAAGTACATCTCACATTACCGACGACGCTTGTAATCCATAGAAGTTATTCTCATGGTTCCCAATGGCGCCCTAAAAGTTATGGTAACCTGAGGTTCCAACGTTTTGCTTCGAATGTGGCATCTTTGAAGGCTGCTCAACAAGAGTTGGATCAAAGAATAAAACAATTAGAAGGAAACTTGGAAACAATAAGGAAAAATCAACTTAATAAATTGGTATGCTTTAATAGTTTGACATCGCTGATATTTTGGTTTTACAAAAGAAACTAATATGTGTAGCATTTTCCTCGCTTTTCTGAACAGGACATAGAGCAAGCTCTTTATTCTATCGAACAACAAGAGGAATCCGATAGTAATAGTACAACACTGAATGTTCAAAAGAGTTTACCTGGTGCTGCTTTTTATTTGGGTCCTGTTTTATCGAAAAGACTGCAGCTTGATCACTACGAGAATGAGGTATTAAATTCTCTTGTGGTTGTAGAAAAAGATTCTCAAAATTTGAATCTCGTTGGAAAAAGCAAGGGAAAGCTTAAAGCGTGGAATAAGAAAGTTCTTGCTCTGCTGGCTGATCCCAATTGTTTCCAGGGAGTCTCAAAGTCACAAATAGAAAACTTTGTTAAGATAATTCCTACTACATTAAAGGTGGGATATATGGAGCAGATTCTCAAGAACTTGGAAAACTCAAATTTAGGTGTTTGGCACGAATTATGCTATCAATTCATGGTTGCCTGTAATGGAAAGAGATTGTTTTCCAAATCCTTAAAACTTTTGGAGCAATACAAAAAAACTGATTCTAATGTACATTCAGATTTATGCCATGCAGAAGCATTCGCATTAAGTCGACTTGGACTCTACAGCGAACTACCGAAGTTAATTAATCTTTATCAAACGGAAGTTAAAGAATTTGAACATTCTTTTTTTAGTCTTTGCTTAGGATCTTTCTGCAAAGCTCAGATGACATCGCAAGCATTTTCTCTGTTCGACTTTATGAAATTTGTGTCAGTCAACACAGCTCCAAATGAAAACGACTATAACTCTTTAATTCATCTTTGTGCTGTCCAGAAAAAACCAGAAAAAGCTCTTGAATTATACAATGATATGACTAAACGGCCTATTAATCCGTTAAGACCAACCGAGCTTACGATTAATAATCTAATCCATGCTTTGTCTACACAAAAAATTTATCATCCCCTTGCATTTGCTTACTTGTCAGAATTCACGAAATTTGGTTTAGCCGCAAATGCACAAACATCATATGAGCTTTTACGGTTGGCTGCTCAAAGCGGTAACATAAATGCCTTAAAGAATTTATATAATCAATACTGGATTGACAATCCAATTCTTCCTAAGATTTGCAGCGTTGAAAGATTGTTTAATTTCGCTTACAAGGCTTATGCAAATACCACCACGGAGGAGTCTTTGGTCATTCCTAGTTTAGATAGAATCCGGGAAAATGCTATCAGAAATTTAGATGAAGGTGAACGATCACCTTTTGGTTCGCGAAATATTAGTACAAAATCGGATTTATTCTATGCTGCTGTATTTACACGCGAGTACACAAAAAAATATCACCCGGAGATAGTTACCAAAACGAGTTTATCATTTTTGAATGTATTTTCCACCCAACAAAATTTAGAACTTTTTAAGGGTGTTTATTCAACGGAATTTTCTCAGCCGGACTCCTCTGAAAAAACTCAGTTGGAAAACAATTTTATTACACAAAGGAATATAATTGCCTACTATTTTGCAATATATGTTTCTTTACATTGCGATAACTTTGTTTTTGGATACAGTACATGGCAAGAATATTACTTGCATAAAGACATGGGTATTATTCCTCCTGATCTCAAGGGATATGAACAAAAGATAACTACTCTCATGATCTCTCTATTTTCTAAACACGGTTACTTGGAATTAGCGAGGAAGTTATTAATAGCTAGTCTCAATGAAGGATGGGAATGGACCCCTCGTTCATTGGGATATTTAAGGAAACTTGCTAGTCTAAAGAAGGATCAAGCAACTGTACAACTAATTGACGGTATTACTGGGACGCAAATTTTGACTTAGAGACGGATAGATTATCAGTTTATTTGTATTTAAAAAAATAAATACTTAGTATGTATTTCTGAATTTAGAACAAACGTCAGTAGCAGAGTATTCTCGTATACCAATTTCCACTTTCCTTATTTTTTTACAAAAAATAAAAAAATAAAAAAACTCGGAGGTGAACCTCTATATAACACCAGGATTTCAACGGGGAGATGGTAAGGTGTACGGAGGATCGCGATGCTCTAGATCCAAATCAATGTGTGACGTGGTAAGTGCATGCCAATCGGCATTCACTTTCATTAAATCAATTTCAGATACATCAATATTATTATAATCATTGATGGGTTGCGAATTAAGAAAGGTATTCTCAGTATCCATGTCTCCTATACCGTTATTAAGAAGATCAAAGTTGTCATTGGTTGCGGGTATTGGAACTTCAGGTATTGTATTAGAGTAAGTATTAGAACCAAAATTATTCTTATAATTATTATCGAATTCGTTTACACGTGAGTGTGCTTCATGAGGTACAAAAGAGTTATTCGGCACAGTTTCTATAGCAGAACCGGAAGATAAAGGAGTGCTAGGGAAATAATCAAAGTGACCGTCGATGCAGGGATGGGCAGTATGTATACGGGTAACTTTTGGCTTTGCCGTACGTCTGGTTTTAAGCGACTGGGTACGTTTTATGGAAGAATAATCAGGGCGGTTTCGCGAGCCATATAGTGTACGTCTAGAAGACACAGGAGGATATTGTGAACCCATGTCTATATCCTTAGGAAGTGAGCCATTGTGTTGAAGAGCAGGAGAAGGAGATAGAATGTCCCGCGTAATCGATAAAGGGGAAGTTGAAGACTGATCCGAAAAGGTGTTGGTCCAATCGCTTGGTAAATTCTCAAGATGTGATTCTCTAGATGAAGGGGAAAACGGTAAATCAAACGAGGAGGTAGAGTTTACACTCAAATTCGGTAAAGGAACACCTTTATGTTTCTCTTTCCGTGGGACAGAATGATAGGAAGTGGAAGACTTCATAGTATAAGCTTGACTATCAAGATCCACGGGTGAATCTGTAAAGTCTTTGTGAGATGATTCGGCACGATACGTGGTGACAGACGCAATGTAGTCATCCTGAGTTTGCCAAGAAGGGGGTGTTTCACCTGGCTGAGGATTTAGGGAAGTATTGTTTCGCAAAGGGTCATTTGTAATGAAGTCTTTCTCCAAAAATGTTCGTAAGAGATTATCACGCTTTTCCTCGGGTTCCTCAGATGAGTAAACATGGCAGGCGTTCTTGGCATCATAAACCAAAACGACAACTTTGGCATCACATAGTACAGAAAGCTCAAAAGCCTTCTTAAACAAGCCTAATCTACGGCGGTTAAATGTGAGAGATTTGTTTTTAGCATCAGCTATGCGCTGGATTGAACGGCGAGGAGACGAAGGAGATGGAGGAACTTTAGAATACGACATAATAGTAATTATAATAGTAAACTTAAATAAACACAAGAATAAAAAACAATTAAAATCGATCAGAAACGATGAAATAAACAAATATAGAATGAAGGGAAATTTATAATAAAATTTCAAAGCCAAAAAACGAACGAATTGTAAAGAAAGAACCGTCAATTAAACGCGACAGGAAAATCAAAAAGAGTGTATAATTAAATAAAAATAACGAGCGACGTTCTTCAGAAGCAAGAACAATAAACCAGCGGAAAAAAAAGGAAAGAAAAGAAAACTCGCAGAAACAAGAGTAGTAAAAGTAGATTATACAATAGGTAAGTTGAACCAAATTAAAAAAAAGACAGAAACAAAACCTCTAAGGGATGATAAATAAAGAAAGAAATCCAGTCGTCAATATACTGTGAGAACAAACCAGTTCAGAAGGGAAAGGCGGCACAAAAAAATTTAACAACCCATGAAACCTAATAATAAAAGTTATTTACAAACCTCAGTCCTTGGGGTTTAGTGTTTAAGTCCCAAAGAAGAATCCACTGTTTTCTTCAACAAACGCCAAAAATTTATGGATAATATAGAACAATCTTCAACGAATTCAAGAGTTCTTAATAACAAAAAGCAAGTCGTTAAACACTACGCTTTTCTTTCCAAAAAAATTAAGAAAATCAAATAATTGCAGTTGCTGAGTATCGCTGACGTGAGTATTGAGAAAATCTTCTGAGTATACACTTCTTTGTTTTCGGTAATCGAGTATACGCATCGTAATTCACCATAAGAAAGTATTGTGAAATTGGCTTAACATGTATAAAGAACTTGTTTCTTTTGTATTTACTAAATTATTTAACCCGTCGTTAGGTATTATTGTGTTCGTCGTTCGAAAGCCCTATTTCCTTTATGCAGTAATCGACGTCTATTTAAGCAAGATGTTTAGATCCATACAAGAAAGGAAAGAAAAGAAAAGAAAAGGCGGTGTACTATTTGTCATAGAGTTAAACAATAGAATCTTTTTTTCATATATTCACAAAATAGAACTGTAAGAATTTAAAGAGTTGGATTCCTTTTGCTCCTGCATGGTCTCGTTCTTCTTAAAAAAGTAGTATGTATTGTAAGCACGTAGGACCGTATTCATCAGAAACGAAGAAACTGAAATAACAGTACATATTGTCAGCAATTTTCAACTTACTTGAACAGGATATCGAACCGGTCTATTTTTATTTTATTTATTTAACAAAGCCCTTTGTCCCATTATAAAGTTCTACGCAAAGAAGAAGAAATAAAGCAAATAAAAATAAAACAAATAACAAAAACTCAATAATAAATATAAATTAGCTTCTTTTTAATTGTTAAACAAAAAATGAAGGAAGATAATATTGTTGCTGCCCATTCTCTATTTATTTACATTGTCGTTTGTTTATATGATGTAGTCTATAGATGCTGCACTCTCATTCGCTCGGATGCTTAACCAGATTGCAACCCCGGCTTGTTCTAAGCCTGACTAGTATGGCTTCAAGCTGTAACAAAGAATCTGCATTACCCTTCCCATTGTGGTTGGCTTGGTCAGGAAAAACCTGGATTGAGTGAACCTGCGAACAACAAACTAAGAATAGTTGTTGGCAAGAAACATTGATTTGTTGATTTCTTGAGAGTCCGATCATAAATTAAAGGACTTCAAGTTATCTATAGAATTGTTATTGCACAACATCCGACCCTTGCTTCTTTCTTAACATTTTTGTAGTTTGGAGAGTGATTTTGGTCCGTATTTCGTGGATTTGAAGGAATAGATAAATTTTTAACATCTGTATTCTATTTACAGACGGGTTTATCTTACTCCTTCCGTGAAATATTGCGGTTTTCCTTTCTCCAGCTGAAAGAAGAAAAAAGTAACGAACACTTTTCTTTGATTCCTTTAGCCTATTCAATCCTTATAAGCATTGTTTGAAGTGAAATAAGGACTTTCGTTCCTTTAAAAAAGTTCGTTCTTTTCTATAGATCCACTCTCAATCTTTTTCTTATTTCTATCCTTTTCTAATACTTTACGAGTGCGGCAACGGCATATACTGAACACGTCTTCGGTTTAAAAATTCCTAAAAACAACTGCTTGACGCTCGCAAAGTTCATATTGCATAAAAGTATCTATCTTTTTAATTTGCATATTATTCAGCATTCGAAAGTTAAAGATAAATCTTGCATTTCGGCATCGCCCACGGTACTGTTGTAATTTATTTATCATATAACCTTTTAAGTCGTATATTTGTTCTTGGTCACGCTATACTATCTAAGGATTTATACGGTGTATGGTTACATCTATTTACTAGAGAACATTAGCTTTCCTATTGTGGTTCTCTTCTCTTATTGTTTATTTCTTTTTCTTTCATTTAGTTAACGGTCTATCGTTATTACATCTTTTCTCTCTTTTGTGCATCTTATTAGCAATTTACAATGGATCAGTATTGGCGTGAGCAAGAAGGCCGTGGCCTTTTCGAAGACGACGCCACCAGTTACACTTCGGAAAATGATGATTCCATGAATTCTTTGCAACGCTTAATTTATGACGATCCATCCGTTCATGACGACCTTCAGTCTGATTATGACAGTAGCTCTTTTAACGTCGACACTAGTCCAGTCGCTTACCCTTCATGGAATCAGGGTGCTGAAGAGCCCCCGGTAAGCATGGAGGGTGTCCAGGAAATCTTGCTTGATCTTACAAACAAGCTTGGGTTTCAAAAGGATAGTATGCGCAATATATTCGATTATGTTATGGTTTTACTCGATTCTCGTGCTTCGCGTATGTCTCCTTCTCAAGCTCTCCTTACTCTTCATGCCGACGTTATTGGTGGTATCCATGCAAACTTCGCAAAGTGGTATTTTGCTTCACATTTTAATGATGGCCATGCCATTGGCTTTCATGATATGTCATCCCCAATCGTTGAAAAAATGACCTTAAAAGAGGCCGAGCAAGCCTGGAGAGACCAGATGGGCGGGTTTTCTCCTCATCGAATGATGGTCCAGCTTTGCTTATACTTTTTATGCTGGGGTGAGGCTAATAATGTACGTTTTATGCCTGAGTGCCTTTGCTTTATCTATAAATGTGCCTATGATTATTATATTTCATCTGAAGCCCGAGATTTGGATTCGGCTTTACCCAAAGAATACTTTTTGGACTCTGTAATTACTCCTGTCTATCGTTTCTTCCATGCTCAACTTTTCGAAGTTTTGGATGGTAAATATGTACGTCGTGAACGGGATCACGCTAGCAACATCGGTTACGACGACATCAACCAATTCTTTTGGTCTTATAAGGGCCTTGAGGAAATTAAGTGCACCGATAAGACTCCTTTGTTGGATTTACCCCCATTTATGCGATACCGCCATTTAGGTAATGTTGAATGGAAATCTTGTTTTTACAAGACGTATTACGAATACCGCTCATGGTTTCACAATATCACGAACTTTTCTCGGATTTGGGTTATGCACATTGCTGCCTATTGGTACTATTCGGCTTACAATTCTTCAAATTTGTATACTTCTCATTTCCATATACGGATGAACAATAAGCCTCCTCCAGCTTGTCGTTGGACTGCTTGTGGTTTGGCTGGCGCCATTGCTTCTTTTATTACTCTTCTCGCTGTTACTTTTGAGTATCTTCACGTTCCAAGACGCTACCACTGTGCTAGACCCCTATGGCCAAGCTTTTTGATGCTTTTGACCGCGCTATTACTCAACATAGCTCCAACTGTTTTTATTTTTGCCTCAACTGAACATCAGCAAACATACGTTTCTCGTTTGGTTGTTGGTATAGTTCATTTCTTTTTCTCATTAGTTTGTGTTGTCTATTTTGCTGTTACACCTTTGAGAAATCTTGTGGGATTCACCACGAAAAGTTCTGGCCATGATTTAGCTAACCGTTATTTCACGTCTAACTTCACCCCAACCTCGAAGGGTGGTGCTATTGTTTCCTGGTGCTTATGGATTACGGTTTTGATCGCTAAGTATTGTGAATCATACTTTTTCCTTGCACTCAACCTTTCAGATTCCATTCGTTATTTAGGTGCTATGCGTCCTTATGATTGTGGTGACTATATCTTGGGGGCCGGTCTTTGCAGAGCTCAACCAAAGATTCTGCTTAGTTTGTTGTACCTTACTGATTTGTCATTGTTCTTTTTGGACACCTATTTATGGTATATTTTGATCAGTACAATTTACTCCTTGGGTTATGCTTTCTACTTGGGCATTAGTGTTTGGACACCTTGGCGTGAGCTTTTTTACCGTGTTCCTAGAAGAATTTACACAAAACTTCTTTACACTGATGACATGGAAATCTCGTTTAAACCCAAGGTATTGGTTTCCCAGGTTTGGAACGCTATCATTATTTCTATGTATAGGGAACACTTAATTTCTCGGGACCAAATTCAAGAACTACTGTATCATCAAGTACCTTCTGAGAAGGCCGGATATCATACTCTTCGTGCACCAAATTTCTTTTATTCTCAGCAAGTGAAACATTATAAGCAGGACCTTTTTCCTGCCAACTCCGAGGCGGCGAGAAGAATTTCCTTTTTTGCTCAATCATTGGCTGAGTCCATCCCCAAACACTGTTCTGTGGATGCTATGCCTACGTTCACTGTCTTGGTACCTCATTACTCTGAAAAGATCTTGCTCTCGCTACGTGAAATTATCCGCGAAGAAGACCAGCTTTCTCGTGTTACCCTTCTGGAATACTTGAAGCAATTATATCCAATTGAATGGAAGAATTTTGTTGATGACACTAAGCTGCTTGCTGATGAAAGTGAATCAATTGATTCTACCATGGATGGTGAGAAGAACGATTTGCAGGCTAAGGCTTACGATCTTCCATTTTACTGCATTGGTTTCAAGTCCGCTACACCTGAGTATACTTTGCGTACAAGAATTTGGGCTTCTTTGCGTACTCAAACCCTTTATCGCACAATCAATGGATTTAGTAACTACAGCAGAGCTATTAAACTTTTATACCGTACTGAATGCCCTGAACTCGTCGAATGGACTAATGGTGATCCAGCTCGATTAGATGAAGAACTGGAAGTAATGGCCAATAGGAAGTTCAGATTCTGTGTTTCTATGCAGCGCTATGCCAAGTTTACCAAAGAAGAATCAGAGAATGCTGAATTCCTTCTTAGAGCGTATCCTGATCTTCAGATTGCTTATATGGATGAAGATCCACCTACTCGTCCTTCTGAAGAAAGAGGTATCTACTCTGTGTTGATTGATGGTCATTGTCCTATTATGGAAAACGGTAAAAGACGTCCCAAATACCGTATTCGTTTGTCTGGTAATCCAATTCTCGGTGATGGTAAATCTGATAACCAAAACATGTCAATTCCTTATATTCGTGGTGAGTATGTTCAAATGGTTGATGCAAACCAGGATAATTATTTGGAAGAATGTCTTAAGATCAGAAACATCCTTGCTGAATTTGAGCAATTTAACCCTCCTCTACATAATCCTTATTCTGTGAACGCCAAGTCTACAACCAATAATCCTGTTGCTATCCTTGGCGCTCGAGAATATATTTTCTCTGAAAATACCGGTATGCTCGGTGATGTTGCCGCTGCCAAAGAACAATGTTTTGGTACTATGTTTGCTCGTATTCTATCCTTAATTGGTGGTAAATTACATTATGGTCATCCAGATTTTATTAACGTTTTGTTTATGACCACTCGAGGTGGTGTATCCAAAGCACAAAAGGGTTTACACGTCAATGAAGATATATATGCTGGTATGACCGCTTTACAAAGAGGTGGTAGAATTAAACATTCTGATTATTACCAATGCGGTAAAGGTCGTGATTTGGGTTTTGGATCTATTCTAAACTTTACAACAAAGATTGGTACTGGTATGGCCGAGCAAATGCTTTCTCGGGAATATTTCCACTTGGGAACACAATTACCATTTGACAGATTTTTATCTTTTTTCTATGCACATGCAGGTTTCCATGTTAATAACATGGTTATTATGTTTTCTTTACAACTTCTTATGCTTGTCATCATCAATCTTGGTGCAATGTTTAGTGTTGTGCCTGTCTGCAAATATCGCCAGTTTGACCCAGTTACTGCTCCTCTTTCTCCAAGGGGTTGCTACCAACTTCAACCCGTTTTGGAATGGCTTAAACGCTGTATTCTATCCATTTTCATTGTCTTCGGTATTGCTTTCGTTCCCTTAGCCGTTTGTGAATTGAATGAACGTGGTGCGCTTAGAATGGTTATCCGTGTATCTAAACAGATTTGCTCCTTGTCACCTATTTTCGAAATTTTCACTTGCCAAATTTATGCTCAAAGTTTAATTGCTAACTTGTCATTTGGCGGAGCTCGATACATTGGTACTAGCAGAGGTTTTGCTACTGTTCGTGTACCATTTGCTTTGTTATATTCACGTTTTAGTAGTCCTTCATTATACTTTGGTTCTAGACTTATGTTTATGCTGCTTTACGGGTCTATCACCGCTTGGTTACCTCATTATATCTATTTCTGGATTACTCTTATCGCTCTTTGCGTTAGTCCATTCCTTTATAATCCCCACCAATTCTCCTGGACGGATTTCTTTGTTGACTATCGAGAATTTATTCGTTGGACATTCCGTGAAAATTCTCGCAACCACTCGAACTCTTGGATTGGAAATTGTCAGCTCACACGAACTCGTGTAACGGGATACAAGCGTAAGATTTATGGCAAGAAAGCCGATAAAATTTCCATGGATTCTCCACGAGCCCGCATTACAACGATGTTTTACGGTGAGATATTAGGTCCTTTGGGTACCTTATTCTTTACCTGCATACCTTTCTTGTTTGCCAATTCTCTACCAGGTAACGAAGATATATCGAAAAGAACGAATGCTTTTATCCGACTAATTATTATGTCTCTTGTTCCTCTTGTTCTTAGTGCTGGTATTGCCATTCTCTTCTTTTGTCTTGGTATCGTACTACGCCCAGTGGTAGGTGGTAAAGCGAGAAAGGTTGGAATTTACATGGCTGCAGCTGCCCATATCCTTTTCGTCTTCATTGACATTATTGTTTTCGAGGTTCTTGGATACTTGGAAGGGTGGACCTTTAGTACAACGTTACTCGGATTTATTGCTATCACCTCTATCCATCGGTTTGCTCATAAAATATTGATTATTTGCTTTTTATCTAGAGAATTCCGTCATGATGGTGCTAACCTAGCATGGTGGTCGGGATTATGGAACGGTCAAGGATTCGGGTATATGGTGCTTACTCAGCCCTGGCGAGAATTCATTTGCAAGACTACTGAAATCAACATGTTTGCTGGTGACTTCTTGCTCAGCCATCTATTGCTCTTCCTTCAATGTCCCGTCATTTTGATTCCGTATATCGATAAGTTCCATTCCATTATTCTTTTCTGGCTCCGTCCTAGTAGACAAATTCGTCCTCCTGTTTACACCATTAGACAAAACAAATTACGCCGACAGATTGTGTTCCGATATGCCACGCTGTACTTTACTTTATTTGTTATCTTCTTCCTTCTCCTAATTTTACCCTTTGTATTTGGTAAATCTGCCGCTGGGGTTTCATATGATAAGTTCAATATGATCCAGCCAGCCATTCATATTATGCGATCTTCCGAGAAGAATTCTTCAGTTTAAGCATGTTCTTTTTTTTCTTCAATATTCTTCTTTCTTCCTCCTTTTTTGAGGTATTACATCTGGACACAGTGGTTTAGAAAATATTTGTACAGATCTGTTCTATTAATTTCACAATTTAATTATATAAAATGTTTTATATCTGACGATGGAAGCAACGGTGATGATAGTGAGATATAATTAAATAAGGAAGTAGGTCAGGTGTTAAACCGGTAGAGGAACGTATTAATTAGTTCAGTGAAAAAAAGTAAATATTAGCATGTTTCATCACATTCTATTTATATTTTAATGATAGATCATCAAGTTTCTGCGTTACATTAAGATAGCCAGGAGACCCAGGTCTCCGAGGTTGCGTTGATACGGTTTGGCGATATTCAGAAGCCACTTTATTCATCAATTCTTTATGTGAGAGCATAGGATAGTGCCGCTTTATCCTTGCCATATTTTCCTTCATATATAGCTGAAAAGGATTAAGTATTCTAGCTACTGGAGCAATTTGAACGAGTCGACTAGTACAAAGTGCGCAAACGTGTCTCTTGGGATCAACAGATTTAGAGTGTCTTTGGTAAAGTTTGTTGCAAGCTTCATTGATGCAAAGCCATTTGTATTTATAATCAATATCATAATTGTGCTTTGAGGTTATTTCAATCGAGGGGAACTTGTTCATCAAACGCTTGGCCCTAAAATACCATGAGTTACTTCAAACCATAAGTTAAAGCAAATGACTTACCAAGCTTTGAAACACGCTCCATGAGGAGATTGCATTTCCCTGTCAATTAACCAGCAAGCCAAGTGACATGACTCATGGGCCAATGTGTTATACAGTCTATATTCGCAATCAACAACTTTTTCAGAAAGTTCAACGTATGCATGAACATGTTGAATCAGATTGCTTTTTGACCGCGGCCGTTTTAAAGTAGCTCTTCCTGCCGTAGTATTAAAAGACTTGGACCACATTACCAAAATTTCATTATCAAGGATACACTCTGTCAGTTTTCCTTGAAAGACTTCCATATTTAGAATATGAAGAAATTGTTTTGCTAGTGAGTCACGATTTCGCTTAAACTGCCTTTTACTACTGCTCGTCACTTTATCGGCGGCATTGCTTTTATTTATGCGGTCCATGATGTGCTCGGATTCCATTGTGAAGAAATCCCTTTTTACTGGTGAAGCAGGGAATAAAGAATTCTCCGAACACGTTGATATATCTGCAACAGGGAAATCATCTTCAGAATTCAGGCCGGAAGTATCGTAAATGTGATTTTGCGTTTGGTAAAAGTCATCAGCAGAAATAACGGAACAGTTATCGGAGCTACTATCTACATCTGATCCTGCACGAATTGATGTTTTAGCTCCTTCTAAAGACTGGGGAGCTTTCAGAGGTTTGGCCAACGTTGGGATACTATACAAACGACATTAGCAATTTCACAAGCAATTAATTATAGACAACACTCACTATTTTAAGAACTCTTCTGCTTCACAATCCTCGTTAACATTATGCTCATACCCAAAACTCATTTCTCTGAACACTTTGGAAATGGTAAACAAGATAAGTAAACAAAAGACACCAGCTGTAAACAATAATCGTTACTTAAATGAAGTAACAATAAGGATGTGACTGTTTTTTTGGGTTGCTCGAGAAAGGTAATATGTGGTAGTATGGATCATCCAGCCACTACCAACAACATGGGAAAAGTTCACGGATCGCTCGCTCGTGCAGGAAAGGTAAGCATCGCCTACCAGTTTGTTTCTGAAAAACCGTTGATTAACACCGCTTATAGGTAAAATCTCAAACCCCCAAGGTTGAGAAGCAAGAAAAGCCCAAGCAACCCAAGGGCCGTGCTTACAAGCGTCTTCTTTACGTTCGCCGCTTCGTTAATGTTACCAACATGGCTGGTGGCAAGAGAAGAGTAAGTTGAGACGTAGAGTGCTCCATTAGTAGTGAATTGAACTTCGTTTTAGGAAGTCAGATCTGTTTAAAATAGCATTGATGGAGTTCTATTTAGAAATGCAGAACATTCATATTAACCTGTCTAGATGAACCCTTCTTCTTAAGCGGAGAACCAAACTTAGGGCTTAGTTACTAAGATTCCTTTGCATATTTTACGAAATGAGTTGAATAAAAGTATCTGCTCACCGTTTTTTAGATTTTCTTTGTGTAGCTTATTTTGGGTATCTTCAACGATGTAGCCGGTAGATAAAAGATGTTTCCTCATTGTACCTGGTAATAAGCCTATAAATTAACACTCATTAGTAAATTATCTTCGATGTTTTGGTAAAGAAGGGTATTCAATGAAATCCAGAAAACTCTACGTACCATGTAGAAGATTCGGCGTGATCCACTGGTTGTCTCGGTGAAATGCAATGTTGAAGATGGTGCTTTCTGTCACAAACCCGCTGGTATTGTAAAGCAAAGCATCTTGGTGTTTGGCGTATTCGATCCCCGTTCTGTGTACTGCATGCGAGTAAATATCTCTAGATGTAGTTTTGTTGACACATGTGACGTTATCCTGAGTGTCAGACGGCTGGGTGTCCAAGAATACAGTGTACTGAGGATGCTCGTTGTGTATAGGAATAGGAACAGCCGTGACTAGAATCTTGCCATCTTTTGAAAGTTCCCATCTTAGCTAATAAGTAATGAGTTAGTTTTGAGAAAGTGAAATACGAATTGATCTAAACATACTCTCGCTTGGTTAAGGGATTCAATAGCATGCAAAAGCTTTTGTATTACAATTTCTTCGCCGGGCCACTGATACCCCAAAGTAGAAGCAGAATTTTTCATTCGATTTAAATGATCATGAAGTAGAAAGATTTCTCCGTTAGAGTACAGGGTAGTCTCGAATAAATTCATAGCTTTATGTTATAAATATGAACCACACGAAAGACAGTGTTTGAGATCGCCAATTCTTGATACTTTTAGCTATATACTACGAGTACTAAGACCTAGAAAAAAAATACTTTTTAAAAAGCTTTTTGTGAAAGAAAGAAAGTAATCATTGCATGTTAAATATTAAAGAGTCGGTGTGTAGTCATTGCATTTATTAATCGTAAAACTGTAGCCGAATGTTAATAGTGTATAACCTACTGAATGCCGACAGATGGACATAAAGTCAATAAATGAATATTTGGATTAACAAATTGCTTTTTAAGATACATACATGTTGTAAATGAATTGAGCAAACGGTTTGATAGACTTTTCGACTTTGAGATCCCTAAGAAGGTACCACTTACCCTACATACATATATTCATATTTGATGTATTGTAAAATAAAACCAAAAGAAAAACAAAAGAAAATTAAAAAGATCAGTGAGTAAAAATTAGGTATTAGGTTTGGAAGACAGACTTGTTGTGCTGAAAGGTAACTTTCAATCTGTCCTTACCAAACTTGCCAGCTGGATTGGCAGTGTAAAACTTCATTTCGTTCCGTTCTGCTATATACATATATATTTATATTTGTAATTTTTTTTAGACTAATAAATACGATACACGCGTAAACTACCAAGTTAGGAAAAAATATAAGCGCGTCTGTACGTCCCAGTTTATGAAGAATGGCCTCTAAAAGTTCGAGTAGCTCGTCTATGAACGGTAAGTCTTTATTTTCTTCTGTAAACATTGTGTTCAATTAACTCTTTCATAGAAAGGACCGATGAGGCTCGTATGTTCTCATTTTACGAGAAGATGCCCAAAGACTCAAACACGCTACGCGTTTTTGATCGTGGAGTAAGTACCATGATATAACTTAAAGTGAAAAATATTGAGTGATGGGTTCAAATTACACTTTATCGATTTATTGACAGGGTTAAAGAGCTATGCTGTATATAGCTTGTAGCAACCGGTGCAGACACTCATTTTCCATTTAAGATATATTGAGCATATATTAACTAAATTTCTAGGAAACGTACGTAGCCATTGGAGAAGATGCTTCTTTCGTTGCAGATAATGCTTACCATACGACCTCAGTCCTTAAATACCATAATCAGTCTAATCTCTCCTTCTGTACTATGTTTCCTTCTTTGTTTATCAAATTTGCTGAGGAAGTATTATCAAATTATGCAAAACGAGTGGAAATTTGGGGTTCTAACAAAAGTAAAACCGGATTTGAATTACTTAACCAAGCTAGTCCTGGTAATATGCAGATGATTGAGGACTTAATGATGAACAGTGATGCAACAAAGGATCCTACAGTTAACATTGATAATTCTGGTGGCTCTATTTTACTAGCTGTTACTACCCGTATGAAACAAGATCAACGTGTTGTCGGTGTAGCGTTTATAGACCCTTTCTCAAGGAAAATAGGTGTCTCTGAATTTGTTGATTCAGACTCATACACAAATTTCGAAGCACTTCTCGTCCAAACTGGTGCGAAGGAATGCCTAATCTCTCAACAAGACGGGGAAAATACCACAACCGGGACTTCAATCACCAAAGCTGAGTTAAACCGCCTTAAAAATATAATAGAAGGATGTGGTGCATTAGCTACTGGCATACGAAACTCATATTTTTCTCCAAAAGACGTTGAATTAGAGCTTGCAAAAGTGTTGGATGTCCCCGTCACACATGCGCGTTTACCAGAGTTAAGTCTTCAACTAGCCATGAGCTCTTGTAACGCTGTTTTACGTTATTTGGGACCAAATTTGGTTGATCCAATTCCCTCAGATGACATTGAAGTACAAAAGGATCTTGCACGAAAATATCATCTCTATGAACACAATTTGGAACAGTATATGCGCCTGGATGTAGCAGCAGTACGCGCATTGAATTTGTTGCCTCCAGCTAATGGAAATGCGCACCGTACAATGAGTTTGTACGGTTTATTGAATCATTGTAGGACTCCGATGGGCTCGAGACAACTTAGACGATGGATTGTACAGCCTCTGTTGGACCCAAAGGCTATTAGAAGAAGACATAATTTAGTTTCTGTTTTTATTGAAGATCCGGAAGTTCGACAACTTTTGTTAGATGATGACCATCTCCTCCGATCCATACCTGATGTACCGCGACTTTGCCGACGTCTTATCCGAGGTTCTTCAACTTTGGAAGATGTTGTTCGAATTTATCAAATGGCTAAAGCTCTTCCAAACATCGTTACTGCTTTAGATTCCTTGAAAACTGAACATAAAGGATTAGTAGACCAAGTCTATACGACGCCGCTTTCCACTCACTGTAAAAACTTAACAAAGCTTATAGAGTTGGTGGAGACCACCATCGATTTAGATGCCCTTGATGCTCATAGATACATCATTCGTGCCGAATTTGATGAAGAGTTATTGGAGTTACGACAAAGGCTTGAAGAGTTGGAAAACTCAATATTTGACGAGCACAAGCAGGCAGGTGCTGATCTTCAACAGGATACCGAGAAGAAGTTGCATCTTGAGCAGCATCATTTGTATGGATGGTGTTTACGCCTTACAAGAGCAGAAGCCGGATGTTTGCGTGGACGTAACACCCGTTATTCAGAACTATCAACTCAAAAAAATGGTGTTTATTTTACTACGAAGCGTCTGCACAATCTTAATAGTACCTACATGGATTATCAAAAGAGCTATAGATATCATCAGAATGGATTGGCGCGGGAAGTCATTAAGATTGCTGCAACCTATAGTTCTCCTTTAGAAGCGGTCGGCCAAATCATATCACATTTAGATGTCATAACCAGTTTTTCTCTAGCAAGCACGCTAGCAGTTACCGCATATGTATGTCCAACAATATTGGATTCAGGGATGGAAATTGATACAGAGATTGGTGATCAGGAAGAGACTATTGATATCGTAGCTTCGGAAGAAAATCCTGATATTAATGAATTGCGTTCTCACTTGCGGTCTTCCCATTGTGCTTGTGTTGAGTTGAAACAAGCGAGACATCCTTGCTTAGAAGCACAGGATGATATTAATTTTATCCCCAACGATATTTTGCTTAAGCAGAATGAATCAGAGATGCTCATAATCACCGGACCAAACATGGGAGGTAAGTCTACGTATATTCGACAAGCTGGCGTGATCGCGGTTATGGCTCAAATTGGATGTTTTGTTCCATGCGATTCAGCTACTATTGATGTTGTAGATAGTATTCTCGCCCGTGTTGGAGCAGGTGATTCTCAATTGAAAGGTGTTTCTACTTTTATGGCCGAAATGTTAGAAACCGCTACGATTTTAAGATCTGCAACCCAGCGTTCTCTTATTATAATTGATGAGTTAGGAAGGGGTACTAGTACGACGGACGGTTTTGGTTTGGCATGGGCAATTACGGAGCACATTGTTAAAAAAATAAATTGTTTTTGTCTTTTCGCTACGCATTATCATGAAATGACTCGGATGTCGGACGAAATTCCAACCGTAAAGAACTTGCATGTGACAGCCCACATTGGAGATACCAATGCTCGCGACGTTGCACTACTATATAATGTTTCTGAAGGGGCAAGTGATAGAAGCTTTGGTATCCATGTAGCGGAATTGGCGCGTTTCCCAGCCAAAATCATCGAAATGGCCCAAGCAAAAGCCATTGAATTAGAGGCCGAGGATGTAGATCAACCAGTGGAAGATGATGAAGGACGAGCGAAAAAAGAAGGTGTTGCGATAATTCGAACGCTTATGTTGGAATGGCAAAATCAAGTGGGAAAGGATATGCCGAAAGAGGAAATGCTCCAAAAGTTTCAGCAAATATTAACTAGTCATGCTTCGGATATTGAAGCAAACGCATGGTTACAAGCAAAGAAAAAGAGTTAGAATGACTAAAGCTACGTTCTTTTGAGTGAGTAGGATCTCTTCACTATGCATTTGACGTTCTTTGTCGATATACATTATATACTAAGTTGCATTTTTGAATAATATTAATTTTATGAACATGAGTATGGCATGACGATGTTTTTATTTTTAGATGATTTGCACCGATTTTAATCACCACTAGCACAACCTCTACAGCCTATGCATTGAGTTAGTAACGGCGTGATCTGATATAGGTCTCAAAACCCAAAGAAAGGGAAAAAAATGACTTACCACAATGTACGCAAGTACTGGGAGCATCTTTGCCGAGTTTGGCTTTGGGGACACGACATATACAAGTGGAACCAAACTTCGATTCTGCGGTTTGAATGCAACGAAGGCAACACAATTTTTCGTAGCCAGGCTAGATCAGTCAGTAAACTAAAATTAAATTCAGTTTATTCCCGTACCTTTTTCCACTTTGCAATTAGATTTGCATCAGCGTAATTCTGTTTTAGCAGCCAGTTGTAAAGCTCAGAAGAAATGGCTTCTCGTTTGTAATAAAGGTCGTAGACATAACGGCTACGTTGATGATGAAGTTGAAAAATAGGAGCTAGAGACTCCGATTTTGAACCTTTTCCGGTTGTATTTTCCACTTGTCTCATTCTCTCTTGGAATTCTAATAACGTTGGCTCAATTTCTTCAAATCCTTCTGGAGGACTGTACAAGACATATATTAGTATTTTCTTTTAAATTAAAAATTTTCAAAATTTTCTTAGGCCTTACCGTTTGGTCCGTGATGTTCTTATGCGTGGCATTGTAGAGAAGTTTTTCTTATTTTTTGGTTTCTAAAGTCCAGCAACAACTAACGTGGAAAAAGTCTCAATACTTCGTAAAAACAACTAAAAACGTAGGAAAAGAATAAAGATACAAAGAGAGAACACGGCCAAGAGTTTGGATCGAAGAATTCAGGAAAGCGAAGATAGGTACAATTTCCTGTTTGTAATGGTAAGTAGTAGTAGATTTATTAAAACTAATAAGGTTATCTTAACGAAATGCTTATACTCGTTATAAAAAATGCTTATTTGTGGGATTGCATAATAACGAATGTGGTACAAGCCTGTTCGTAGTCGTAAGCTGCCTTCAGCGTTTCTGACCTAAACTTGTAAATGGAGTTTACAGATGTTGTTTATACATTAGAAAATGAAAAACAGTTTTGGAATGGTAAGTGCTTGATCTCGAGTTTTTGCGAATCCTTTTGGATGCTTATTTGAGGGACCAGTTCGCTAAAAGAAAATCTGTATTGAAAGCTAATTCTTGAGGATTAGAAGTTGATGAGCTTGTTTTCAATGTTAATAATGAGTCAGAGGTAGAATATGCTGCCTCTAGACTTCTCTCTTTCTTTGTAAGATATGGAAGTAGGTTCTAAACTATGCGAATGTCAACAGAGACCGTTTTGAATGAGGTGTTAATCAAAGTAGAAACCTATTTAATTACAGAGATACAATTGCAAACGATAGCTGACAAGCTCATTCGGAGTCCGCTATTTAAGTTGGACAAGACCACTGTGCGGACGATTTTGTTGGATTGTTTCCTCTTCATGGAAGACATTCATATAATAAAGTTCATTGTTGTATTTTTTCTTTTAGACATTCGACTGGATGACGGGTGTATGAAGTTACTAATTGCAAGCGGTTTTTTTGGTTCTCTTGTGCAGGCAATCATTCGTTTTAGGAACCCTTCCGAAAAGGGAATCTATATTTCTTTTCGTTATGGTCTATGTTTGATGTACCATATGTGTCGTTCTCGGCGACTTCCTCTTACTGACTTAGTGGCAGCGGATGAAACATTCTTAAAAGGCCTGCTTGCTACAGCCGAATTTGCTTGGTCAGAAGAAGATGTTGAGAATTTTTCAATGTGTATGCTTTTACTATTGAGCTTGAACGAGCAGTTCATGCTCGTCAAATTGGCTTCAACTGGAGTCGTCGAAATCCAAAATGGAGTCATGAATTTGCTATCGGAGTCCAAGGTAGACACAGGAGTTTACTGTGAAGGACTTGTTTTTATATTAAATAGGGAACGTACGTACTCGAGATTTTGACATCAAGACGGTTGAGATGTTTTACTTGGTATAGGAAACTAATGAAGAATAGGAGATCCACGGACTAGAATGCTGATCTTAAAGCAACTATACCTTTTATTTACTACTCCGAAAACATACGAAGTATTTTACACTAATGACCTTAACGTGCTAATTGATATATTGATTCGGGAAATAAATGATATCCCTAATGAACTGGCCAAGCTAAGGTATGCTTATTTACAGGTACTCTTGCCCTTATTACAAAACACACAAGTCCGACTCCCTCCTCACTACAAAACTAAACATATTATTCGTGCTGTTCACAATTTATTAATATCCCATACTCATGGACTCAATTGCGTGGATGCCAACACCGTCGAGGTGCTGAATCAAATCTTGCGGATTCCATGGTTACGTGAGGAAGCAAGTAAACTCACCGTAGTTTCTGTATAACCTACAATTTTTGTTCTTTTCACGTTTATGAGAGTGTTTACCGGCATTACTACTATTTATTAATTGTAAGGAAACAGGATAACTAGTTTATTTTTCCTTCTTTTGACGATAATAAAATCTATATTCAGGTTATAATCGATTTTATATTATTCCTAAGTTTTTACAGAGATGGGAAGTTTTGTAAAGCATTATCCATAAAAGGTAAAGAGTGATTGCATGTAGCAAAGAGTTCCTGAAAGGGAAAATGAAGCATATCTTTAAGGTAAATTTTTGGTTGATTAATTGTTTATGCAGACGAAAGAAAAGATGGACAAATGTATTTCACACTATAAACGACGAGCACCACTTTCCTCGAGTTTTCGAATAGCTTCTTGCTGCTTGTGTTGTTGAACTCGAAACTTACAAAAATAATTGACCCAAGACTGGATGCAATTTGACTCAAAATTGGTTTTTTCGGAACTGCACACCTGAGATGCCCGATCATTATCTTTCAATGGATCCAAAATATCATTTTTATTTAAACAGTCAAAGTAGAAGTCTCTCGCTTCCCAGCATTTTTCTCTGGCACTCCGCTTAAATGAAGATGTATTACCGGACATGAGGAAAGGCAAAAAGTCTAGGAGGAAAGCAAATTTAAAACCAGTAACTAACGGAAATTATGCAATCAGTCAAAGCAGGAAAAAAAGGAAAAGCAAGATTCTTGCTTTTACAAAAAGAAATTGGCCGCTGGACTTTCCGTGTACCATCTCCATTCGTGGTGTAGGTATGATATGCTGTAAAGCATATGTAAACCATCATTAAGCATATGTTACTAAACAAAATTTTATAATCATATGCCGTGAGTTTTCTAAATATCATAGTCCATGTATATTATTATTTAATTATTGATACAATTATCATATAACAATAAAGATCCACGTATGTAATAAATAAACAAGGAAATTTGCTGGACGAAAAGTGAAATTGTACAGACAATAATCAAGAGAAGGAATTTATGATACATATAGACTACTAAATTTCAAAAAAATTACTTGTCAAATCTTCTAGTCCGAACATTTGACTGATCTGGCTAAACTAATTGTTCACATAATTTAGTTCGTGAATCAGATCTGCTGAAGCTGCTACTAAACTACTTAATACTCAATTCTAGCAGTAATACAACATATACTTACACCTTGCTATAAATCTCACACATTACTAAAGCTGCATTCTTGCTAGATTCTTGCAATTTTGTTTTCCATCGATTTTGAATATGTTTTCATCCCAAAATTCCTGTTGCTATAGCTCATGAAACTACGCAAAGCAAGTATAACACGTGTTTACGCACCACAAAGGAATAGCGAAACTCGTTTACTGATGTGTAGCGCTACGGAATTCCATGATAAACGGTACGCGACTTTGTAAACTGTTCCTTCCTTTTTTACAATTGCACTAATACAGAGACCATTGGTAAACAACGGGTATTCTTTTTGAATTGTGAAGCAATTTTTCTTCTTGTAGAAGCTATAAAGTAGGTCCTCTGAAAAGTAATCGCGACCAACGAGAAACGACACATAGATGTTGATATTACCATTGCATGTCTTTCTACCATACTTCCTATTTTGATCATGCTGAACTATCTATGGAAAAGTAGATGAATAATAAAAGTCGTTGGTTTTGGAGTCCGAATTGCTGTCATGATATACGAGTTCTCCGACTCCAGCAAACGTACACGATGCTTAATCAGATAGGTGATTTAGTTAATTGAATTGCTCTGCAGCACTTTTCACACTCGGTTCTTATTTATTGTTGCTTACACACCATAAATCGACGTTCCTACGGATTTCGCACAGTATACTATATTCCAGTTTACGTCACGTTGAACACATCAAGAGCTCAGAACGGTTTCTATACTCTACGATCGATCTATGTTCTTATATCATGGAAGGAAAAGTCAAGTATGGTCTACGTAAAGAGTATACGTAGTGGAAGCTATGAAGGAAAAGCAAAGTCAGTCAACACGTGATGATGTTTGTGTGAAGTATACTGACGAGAAACATGAGCGTTTTCGTTCGTCCGATAGTCAACATATAAATAGGCCCAACTCCAGCTCCAATAATCACAGTAAGACACTTGCATCTGAATTAGGCATTCTTTCGTTGAAGTTGATATATTCATAGGCTAGGCCTTATTATCATATTAAAAGTCTATTGTTATCAACCTACCTTTGAAGCGTTTGTTAAACAAGGGTTTTATCTGATTCCCACAATTATTTATTTTTACAAGCGTTTACACAGTTTTTGTACTTGTCTGTCTATTCTTGTTTTCCGCTACTAAGGTCGGATAAGTAAAGCTGTGCACGAATTCATTATTCTTCAATTGACGATTCATTTATTACGATATATATATATTTACAAATATATAAACCGATTTCAAAGATCTATTTTTGGATTTCTTGAATAATACATCTCCTTTCAGTTTTTACGACATTAACGATTTTCTTGGATTAGATTCTTATTATTTTACATCATGAGCGGTACTAGCGATATCCCTAATTCTACTCCTGAAGCTTTGGAAAAGCAAGTTGAAATCGCTGAAAAGCAATCTTTTCCCCCTAGCATGCCTTCTCGCCTTCCCGAAGAAGTATCTTGTCTTCATGTACCTCTCGACACTTCTAAGGTTTCAGACGAAGAAGTTGCTGCTGTCGATCGATTCCAGAGAGCTTGCGACTATTTGGCTTGCTCTTTAATTTTCTTAGCCAAGGACATTTACAGGGGCGGTGACCTTGAAGAGGATGACGTGAAAACTCGACTCCTAGGTCACTGGGGTACTTGTCCTGGTTTGAGCATTGCTTACTCCCACTGTAATCGAATTATTAACAAGTATGATTTGGACATGATCTTCGTTGTTGGTCCTGGTCACGGTGCACCTGCCGTCTTGGGTGCATTGTTTTTAGAAGACTCACTTGGCCCCTTTTATCCCCAATATCAATTCACTCGTGAAGGTCTTAAAAATTTGATTAGCACCTTCTCATTGCCTGGTGGTTTTCCTTCCCACGTAAACGCTGAATGCCCTGGCTCCATACACGAAGGTGGTGAATTAGGCTATTCTTTGTCAGTTAGTTATGGTGCCGTTCAAGATAAACCCGATTTGATCGTCACCTGTGTTGTAGGAGACGGTGAAGCTGAAAGTGGCCCCTTGGCAGGATCATGGCAAACTCACAAGTTCTTAGACCCGGCCGAATCTGGTGCCGTCATTCCTATTTTGAGTTTGAACGGTTATAAGATTTCTGAGCGTACTATCTATGGATGTATGGATGACTTGGAATTATTGGCTCTTTTCAGTGGTTTTGGTTATCAAGTTGCTATTGTCAACTACACTAGCGAATACAACCGTGAAATGGCTGCAGCCATGGATTGGGCTGTTGAGACAATTAAGGATATTCAACATCGTGCTCGTGTGAAGCGTGAACTCATTAAACCCAGATGGCCCATGATCATCCTTCGCTCACCTAAGGGTAAAGGCTGCCCCAAGACTTTAAATGGTACATTTTTAGAGGGAACCTATCATGCTCATCAAGTTCCATTGAAACTTGCCCGCACTGATGGTACACAGCGTAAGATGCTTAAAGACTGGCTTTCGAGCTACCGCTTTGATGACTTTTTGGACGAAGAAGGTCTCCCAACAAAAGGTATTCGTGAATACATCCCTCGTGCTTCTAAGCGTATGGGTCAACGCCCTGAGACTTACAATTCTTATCACCGATTAAATGTGACCGACTGGAAGAAGTTCGGTGTTACCAAGGGTGAGAAGACATCTGCTACTCATGTCGTGGGTAACTACTTAGGCGAGCTTCTTCGTGAAAATGATACTACTTTACGTATCTTTTCCCCTGATGAACTTGAGAGTAACAAGCTTGATGCTGTTCTGAAATATACCGATCGTACTATGCAAACCGATCCAACGTTAATGGCAAAGGGCGGCCGTGTTACAGAAGTGCTTTCCGAACATATTTGCCAAGGACTCATGCAAGGTTACACTCTCACGGGACGTACAGCAATTTTCCCTTCATACGAGGCTTTCATGACTATTGTTGTTAGTATGTTAATTCAATACAGCAAATTTATCAAGATGGGTCTTGAATTACCTTGGCATGGAAAGTTTGGAAGTTTGAACTATGTCACCTCCAGTACTTGGGCACGTCAAGAACACAACGGATACTCTCACCAATCTCCAAGATTTATCACTACCATGCTCTCATTCAAACCTGGTATTAGTCGTGTATACTTCCCAGCCGATGCCAACTGTTTCTTGTCTACTATGGCTAGATGTATGCGTTCTGAAAACACTATCAACCTCATGGTTTCAAGTAAAAATCCTCAACCAAGCTATCTTTCTATTGAAGAGGCTGAAGCACACTGTACTGCCGGAGCTAGTGTGTGGAAATTCTGCAGTACCGACAACGGCTTAAACCCTGATGTTGTTTTGGTTGGTATCGGTAATGAAATTATGTTTGAGGTCGTTAAGGCAGCTGAGATGTTGGCAAATGACATCCCCAGCCTACGTGTGCGTGTTGTTAACGTTACCGATCTCATGTCACTTTCCAGTATGCATCCTCACGGAATGACTCAACTAGAATTCGATTCCTTGTTCACGACCAACCGTCATGTTCATGTGAACTACCACGGTTATGTTATGGACATTAAGAGCTTACTGTTTGACCGCATTGAACCCACTCGTATCACTGTGAACGGCTACCAAGAAGAGGGTACTACTACCACGCCCTTTACTATGATGATGGTCAATAATACCTCACGTTATGATGTTGCTAGAGCAGCATTGCAACATTCCATTCACAACCCTTATGTTGCAGTAAACTGCCACAACTTGAGTTCTAATTACTCTCACAAGTTGGATGAAATTAAGGAATACGTATTTAAATACAAGGACGATCCACCAGAGACCTACGATGTTCCCGACTTTAAGGATAAGCGCACCATTTAAACAGAAGAAGTAAAGAGATAAAAAAAGAATTACAAGCAAGTTGTTTTGGAAAGCCAAATTATTTCTTAATAGGTACTAATAAATCAATGGGTTTGCACTAGATATATTGAAAGTAAGTAGACTTCTAATATGAAGGTAGAACATACAAGCAGTAGTAGGCATTTATAGATTTTTAAGTACTTTCTGATACACGTAACTTTGGGTTCTCTTTCACTTTAAAAAGCTTTTCTCGCTCGTAAATCGTATTCTGTTGCTTAAGATAATGAAGGTTATTTTGTTAGCGACGCTCTTATCCTCTCCGCACCACCTCTCTAGGTAAATGACCAAAAACCTCTGTAAATTGGAGGAATTCTATATAAAACCTAATTCTGTTTTTATATAAAAAGCATTTGCTACAGTGAACTTTTCTATTGTAAAAATCAAAGGTTTACTTACCAGACGGACGCAAATCATTCGTTTCTTCCGTTGGGGAATATATAAGTTTGTTTAATTTCAATAGATTTCATAAATTCAGCGATAACTTTGAATTGAGGTTCCAACAATAAATGGAACATCGAATTACAAGTTTTCAATTTCATTTATGATCACACTTATAATGATAGATATTTCAGAGTTCTTGGATGTGATCATTAATATATTATATGTTTGAGTCCTTTCAGAAGTTATCTAATTCTGCTATGAACCCTTAAACAATTAACTACTAACTAATTGTTGATCTTGCAAGACCAAAAACTATAAATCACTACCCATTTTTGCATTGGCTTTATCATTATTGAATGCTTTTGGCTTTCCAAAAAGGTCGTGGTCACTTTTAATGATAACACTGAATTGTTTAATTTCAACACGATTTTGTATTTTGGTTATTTTTTCTCGGATTCGTTTTCCTTAATTTCTTTCCATACTACAATATGGATGTCATATTTTCTCTTGGGCATTTCTGTGAATTAGAAGGCCCTTCAATAATCTTTTGTACTCAAAAGCTATTTCGTTCTGAATTGGATGATCAGTTCGACATGCCTTCAGAGGCAAGATCTTCCACAGTGCCAGAAAATAATGTTGAGTCTGAAGTTCGGGAATCTTCAGAAGATCCTATGTTAAGTTCAACTGAGTCATTATTTAAAAGTGACACTGAAGACAGCAATCAAAGACAATCAAAAGCAACTGACTCTCCTCATATTCCGTCAGCTGGTTTGACCTCATCGTGTCGACAAAGTCCTGTTGCACGAAAGTCTGCTTGTGTTACTTGTAGCATAGTTCTTCCATGTGAGTACGTACTACCGGATGTTCCTCCACGACTTATTTCTCTTTCTACAAAAAACCCAGACATTGTTTATATCTCTAGTCAATATCCTCGAAATCAGAATCGGTACTCTGTTTTAAGGAGATTGATGGTCCGATGCCTCAGTTGTGAGTATTCCGTATCGTCAGATATTTCCGAATCCATGTCAAACCCGCTATTTTTTGGGGATCAAGAAAACGGATACGTGATTGCTCAGTCTTTTTCGCTACATGATTCGCATGCTCGTGGTGGTCTGCGACGTTACGCATTCGTTGCATTGAGTAAAAGCGATCATGAATTGATCAATAGATATAGCTTTATCGTTGAAAAATTTTCGCAGATGGTCCAATTTCTTCGGCTCTCATCCACAAAGACTACTGCAAACTATCCCATGTATCATAAAAAAACTCCTTCTGTCAACGGAACATTCGCTTCACCAACCTCAAATGCTTCTTCCTTATCAAGTTCATCCAATGTGCCTGGTCAAACACCTTATGGAATGTCTCCGAGCAATGGCACAGCGCCATCTACATACTTGTTATCCCAAAGATTGCCTTCATTTAGTTTTTTACGAAGGCGTGACGGAGTAGGAGAAGGTCGGAATTTGGCCGATATCACCTGCTGGGATGGGGTATTTATCGGCATCCATAGTTCATTCAGTTGGATTCTTGACATATGGGATCGCATTGACTTGACATGCTAAAAATAATTTATTGATATGAAAATAATCTAACTTATGGGTATGAATGGAATTCAATTAATCTGAAAATGCAATAGAAATAAAGTAGATGTTCCAAAATTTCAATCAAATGTCTCGTCTAATTTACCAAAAGGTTTAAAAGTATCTAGGTCTTTCCGTAAGTCATGAACATTGGAAAGATATTTTGAAAGATAGACTTGCTTTTCCGCTCGGGTTTTACGGTAGGGTAAATCCTCCATATTGTAAGGTTCCGGAGATAAATAAAAATAAAAAAATTCAAGGATTTGTAAACGAGTATCCTGACTAGTTTGTTTGTGCTTAAATAACATGCAAATATGGTGTAGACCACCAATTGACTCAAACAGTCGGACAACAAGAGGACGGTCCACCATAATACATACGAGTGCTTTTAAAGCTGCCACTTGAAGGTTTCTAATCTGACTTGGTTCCAATATCTGTATAAAAAGGTGTAAGGTGGTTTTATCCTCAAAAAACAATTGAGACATAGGATGGATTAATACCAGGCCTTCAATAACATGCAACAAATCATCCATTAAACGTTGAATGAAGACATAGTCTTCAAAATAAGCTTCATCATTTTGTTGATAATCCAAAAGGCTGTCCAGCGCATATATACAAGGAACAACAGAGTTGTATAGATGGGAGTCTTGCAGCTTTAAAAAGATCTCTTTCGGAATCTTGTCATGAATATTACTAGGTCGTGCAATATGGTATAGAATGGATTCCAATTGTCGAAGACCGATACGAATGAACTTGGGATTCCGCATACACAAATGGTGACGAGCATTAATTAATAAATCCTCCATTTCGGCACATAACTATAGAAAAAGGCGTTTATTAAAGATATTCTTCTTGTATTAAATTACATCAAGTATGCTCTGGAAATAATAACTTCTTGAAGCTCACTGGTTTAGGGTCTCTACGGTTTTAGGAGGGTGGGGACATGGAAGAGAACTTGTTTCGAAGTATTATCAAGATGAGTATTTGTTTTACCATACTAATGAATATTAAGACAAAGAGTATATTCTTATTGAAAGTTTTTTTATCAAATTAAGTGGTACATAGCTTGTTTCCTAGAATAAAATAAAGATTTCCAAACTTTCCAAAATTCACTTTGCTAGGATATGTCAAAGCGACCCTCATGAATGCAACAATCATAGGAAACAGAATATAAACAACGTTCACCAGAAGAAACAGGTATCTACTACATAGCCGGTATTTAGTGAATATGAATCTATCCTGACTCATGTCCTCATACCATTTGCACGTGTCTCTTGTGCAAAGGCAGATAGTATTTTTGTTAATTTTGCTGTCAATAAGTGTCCTTGTGTACAGAATGGTTTTATATACTGACGAACTGTTTACACAAATATTTATGCTTCGATCTCTTTCATACACAAGAACGAAATTGGATACGTAGTTATATCAATTGATTGGAATAAACGTCCAATTGCTATCTCTTGAGAAATTATACAAAATAATTGTTCGTAATTAAAAAGGCGTTCAAGGGATTCAGACATTCAAGATTTTACTTTGTATCTAGAGAATGATGCTTCATTCTCCGGATTAGCTCCATTTCGCTCATGTCGATCATGTGTCAGCAAGCAGAAAAGAAAGCTCGGACGTGAATAGGACTCATCAGTATTAGAAAATGGACGAAAATTCGTCCTAGCATAAACAGGAAAGATCAATTGTCGGTATTAACAAAACTCGTTGTTCAAAAAGAGTTGAATGCAAGAAGGGTATTACAAAATTATAGGAGATTATATATGTATATATATATGCTGTGGCATGCAGCCACGGAGAGGTTCCAAGTAAACACAGTGCGGTTATTTGAGTGTACGTCACCATAGGATGAATGGTGCTTTTCATCAAGACTATCACTGTCGTCCTTAAAACATTAAAGATTGCAGATTATTCGACATAATTGTATCTTGAACGGAAACCATGACTCGCTGAAGCAAACTCGTATCCGTAGCGGTTGTAAAATGACAGTAGCAGTTACGAGAAGCAATGCGATTTAAGCTTTCAAACTTTAGGTAGAAATAATACATACCGCTTTTTACGGCATTATCAGAAAACGGGCATTGGGTTTGAACAAATGTCGGAGTGGAAGGTGTTTCCTGATAGTCAGGAAAATACTGTTGGATAGGAGAAGTATGGACCTTTCGCTTAAATAAATCCAACTTATTTAGAAACAAAATCATTGCCGATTCTGCAAACCAACTTGAATTGCAAATCGAATCCCACAATAGCAATGCCTCTTGCATTTGGTTGCCACTATTATCTTCGACTAAACATTGGTCATACCCTGCAAGTGAAACGAGGAAGAGCAGTGCTGTGACGGATTCGAAACAATGGATCCATTTTCTACGTTCTGAGCGTTGACCGCCCACATCGAAGAAGCGATATTTATGACGGTTTAATAAAAACGTTTCTTCAGAAATTCCTGTGGTCTTGATTCGGCAATGCAGAATATCCTGATCTGAGGGTAAATATTGGGGGTCAAAAATTCGATCAATATGATCCTGGTAATAATAAAAGTTATCTAAAAGAGAAAGGTTTGTACCACAATTCTGCGCTGTTCTTATTTTTGGATCGAGCGTCAAAGCTCTCAATGCCTCGTAAAGATCTGCTGGAAAAGGCTCGTTTACTTGTATATTGTGCTTTCTCAAAATAATAGGTCGATATTTTTCATTTTCAGGCAACAAGCTCATACCACTGTTTTCCATGGCATCTAAAAGTAGGCACACGGACGTGATTATGTTTTCAAATATCATAATACGGTATTGCCGTCTGGCAGCCTGGTTGAATCCTGGACTGTACAGAAGGCGCATTTGCTTCATGATTGTCGTCTTCCCGCTATCACCAGCACCAAGCAACAAAACTTTAATTTCATTGTCATTTTTGCTAATCCCATTCTGGTTTGATGCTCCTGCGTTCGAATTCTGTGGCTTACCGCGCAAGACTATATTGAGCCAATGCTCCTTAACTGGGTTTCTATCACCTCCAGGAGAAGATTCTCTTCCTTGGTTTTCTAGTTTCACTTGTTGTTTTTGTATAACATCTCCCCCAGTCGAATCTGCATACTTACTGGACATACATCCCATGTTGTAAACACGCTTTTATACTACCAGTATAAACGAGAATGTTTGAAAATTTGCTTTTTAAAGCTACGAAATGATTCAAATTCCCGGAATTTCGAATCCTAAAAAAAGAAGAGTTGAATGTATTCGGAGGCTGGCCTAAGGGACCAAATTTGCAATTATAGGGAAATCCGGGTTGAAAAGAGAGAGAAGAATGAGTGGATCCTAGTATTAAAAAAAGTAAAAAGAAATAGTTTTCTTAAACATCAAAGCAGGTTTCTTTGAGGATTTCAAAATTATTCAGTCTTATACACTAGCGACAAAACCACTCAAAACAACTAAGACTCGTAGTCACTAGGAGCAATCAAGATCAATCCAATAAATATAAAGTGAAGAAATTCAATATAGTTTTGCGAATCCAATCGATTCTGACCGTGAATGGATTTTGTAAAAGATGACACAGATCCAGACAAAGATTAACAGAACCAGTAGATGTTTATGACTTTAATGAGAATAACCAAAAGAGGGAGCAAAAGAAAATACCTCAATTATATGTTCTTTTCAAAAAGCTTTGTTTAATAAGCAAACAAGATATAGGTAGCCGGTGATAAAAGAAGCGACTACAAAGAACAAGTTATACACCTTTTATAACTAATCATTACTTGATAATTTCTCGATAAGAGTGTATCCGCTTTCAATAACGAATTGTAGAGCATAGAGATGGACGGTATGTCGATGATGAAGCAAGATCCGCGATAGAGTCCTAAAAGCACAAATGATCACATCAAATACTTCTTTTAAGGTCGTGACAGCTGTTAAACGACATCATGTAATAGGGAATATTAATGGACAGATTTGCCAATTTATGAAAGGAATTGAAGAAGGCTATCACACGTGCGATCTGAGACTTTGTTCACCCATATTATCATTTATTCAAACATCAATACGAAGTCTCTGAATATTAATTGTAGCATAGTATATCGAGTCCCTTAGTCCTTAGTTGTTTTAGTGTATGGACGGCGGGGTTCCCAAACATTATTAATTACAGGAATTTTGATGTGTTCATATACCATAATCATAAAGCAGCACATCAGCAAGCTTAGAGTTTTATCGCATCTTCATTCAAGGCACACACCATAAGAAGTTTTTCAACCGATCACTAGTTTTGCTTATGACATGGTGGAATTGTATTAAATCTGAGCGATCTCCGGTTTGGGGGGTTTGTTTAAATGATAAAAAGGAAAAAAAAAGAGATGTTTGGCCCTTAAAAACACTATGGAACAGTTTTGAAGAAGACACCCGGATTGCTCAGTTAATCGTCTTTCATGAAAGGTAAAATCAATAAGAATTTGTTGGATATACTTGAAAAAGCAGAAATTTAGATACTTTAAAGAAATAATTGATTTATCGATTGAATATACTATGCTTATAGGTATCTGTAGGTGAAGGTGTTTGTTGAGTAAAGAAAGTAAAGGTTGGGCACAGAGTATCCAAGAAGTGATGAAGCACCCCAATATGACTCCTTCCTACAAATCGTGTTCCAAATAGCAGCACTGATTAGTTTTACTTTTGGAATACTTTAAACTAATTACAAATAGCTACTATTCTAATACTCAATGTGTCTAACACAAGGAGAATAAAAGGCATAGTTAATTGAATTATAAATATTATAGGAATGTCAAGGACAATTATACGACTGAAATCAAGTTCGAGCGTTTGCGAATCGACAAGGAATGAAAGGATAATCGTCTATATAGCGAAGATCGTAAAATGAAATGAAAAAAAAAAAAAAAAAAAAAGACTTGCACAATCATCATGCAGAAGAATTAGCGAGAAATTGTGTCGCCAATGTATCAAATTCTTGAGATTTTTGATTCAACTGTTTTGCTAGAAAAGCACCACAAGAAGAAGTTTCGTAAAGTTGTTTTGCGTCTAAGGGGGCCAAAGGACCTAGAGCAAGAACAGCTGTCTTCAAATTGGCAGCAGCTGGTGTATAGTCGGATTGCATTTCAAGGGCCGATCGTAAAGAGCTTACGGCCTCTTGAGTACGTAATAAGCATAAATCAGAGCAAGCCATGCAAGTCAAAACACGAGGATTGCTTTCACTTCCGTTTAATTCTTCGTATACGTAAAAGGCGTCATTGTAAGAATCTAAACCGCCTTTAGCAAGTTTTACCCAAGATTGAGCAATTTGCAAAACAATTTCTTCATCGGCCCAATCCAAACTTTTCGTTATTGCTGCTTCTGCGGCTTCTAATTTGTGTTGGTATAAACGAATATAGACTTCCAAAGCTACTGCTTCCAAGTTTTCCACAGATTTTTGGAGCAAAGATAAGGCCTCGTCATAAGCTTCTTTATGAATCAAATAGATGGCGCCTAGTGTTTGCACAGCGGCATCTGTATCGCCGTGCTGCTCGATCAAATGGTCCATGTTTCCTTCTCCTGCCAATGCCAAAAGAGCGGCGCCTCCGGCAGACTTTTGAGTAAGCGTGCCCTGAATCGACTCAATACTTTCTCCCAATGCCAGCTTTGCTCTGGCCATGTACAATTCTGTTAGTTCAAGGCCTTTTTCGGATAAGGATGAAGTATCGATTTCAGACAACTTGTCATAGCTACCGCTATAAAAGTATTGCCGAACAAAGTAAAGTTCTTTTAAAGTTAATGATTTATTCATTCAATAAAACGAAATCTCTTACCATTCGATAAACTTGCCTCCCAAGAGAACATTGTGTGGGTCAATTGTTTTGGTGGACGTAGAAAGAAGGTACCTGTAAGCTGGCTAGGAGATATTATCTACTTGGTGCGATCAGATTCTATAACGCATTGAATTAAAAAATTGTTGAATAAAAAGTATGATTAGTTCATGAAAAGAGAGATTAAATTCATCTGCTTTCTCTATCAACGCGGGTACACCGACTATGAGAATTGACTATGACTTTTGGGAGTTTACACAACAATACTTTACAATTACGACTATGAAGTGAAGGCATGAAAGAATGCGAGAGAGGATTTAAAAACGGTAGAAAAATACTATTAATTGTAGGAGAATAAGAGTATCAATCTATGCATAAAAAAATTATTTTGGATTAGTATGCACAAAAAAAAACTTTTGAGGTTCGTGAAGGAAGGAAAGTCACGATTTTTTTTTAAAGGTTAGAGGGGTATAATACGGAATCGGCATAAGCAAAAGTATCCTTGACGGAGCGAGGAGAAACGAAACGTGACAAAATCATACCGCTACCGGCCTTATCGTTGGTACCACTAGCACGAGCACCACCGAAGGGTTGCTCACCAACAACAGCACCAGTACATTTGTCGTTAATGTAAAAGTTTCCGGCAGCGTTACGGAGACGCTCAGTGAGCTTGCGGACGACGATACGGTCTTGAGCAAAGATAGAACCAGTCAAACCGTACGCGTTGGTAGTATCAATCAATTCACAAACCTCCTCCAAAGATTCGTCTTCATAAACGTACACAGCGAGGATGGGGCCAAAGAATTCGGTTTTGAAGATGTCATGCTTGGGGTTCTTGGAAAGGAGGATGGTAGGCTCGACAAAGTAACCAGTAGAATCGTCAGCCTTGCCACCAGCCAAGACTTCGACTTCACTGTCAGCGGCAGCGCTTTGCAAAACAGCCTTCAATTTGTCAAAGCTACCACGGTGAATGACGGGGCCAACAAAGTTGGACAAGTCTTCCAAGGGAGCGCCGACCTTCAAAGCCTTGACTTCCTGTAAGAGTTGGTCACGGAAGCCCGCTTCCCAAGAAGAGCGGGAAACGTAAAGACGAGACAATGCAGAGCACTTTTGTCCTTGGTATTCGTAAGCAGCACGAACGGTGTTGACAACAGCGGAACGGATTTGAGCAGAGTGATGAACAAGGTGGAAGTTCTTACCACCGGTTTCACCGACAATCTTGGGGTAAGTGCGGTACTTGCCGTGAGCGACGTTTTCACCGATGATTCCCCACAAAGAGCGGAAAACGTTGGTGCTTCCGGTAAAGTGAAGGGCGGCAAAGTCAAAGTGATTGAAGCAAGTCTTGGAAACTTCGATAGCGTCACCGGGGACAAATTGTAAAGCGCCGGCGGGAAGACCGGCTTCGACGAAGATGTCATAAACAATGCGGTTGGACAAGACAGCATGGTCGGAAGGCTTCATGAGGACAACGTTGCCCATGAGAAGAGGAGCAGCAGCCAAGTTACCACCGATGGCAGTGAAGTTGAAAGGGGTAATGGCGTAAACAAAGCCCTCCAAGGGACGGTACTCGGTACGGTTCCAGACGCCGGTGGAGTTTTCGGGGGGTTGAACAGAGTACAATTCGCTAGCGTATTTGCAATCGAAACGTAAAAAGTCGACGATTTCCATAGCAGCGTCAATTTCAGCTTGCCAAATGTTCTTGCCTTGGCCGATCATGGTAGCCGCCATAAGCTTGTAGCGGTACTTTGTGCTGATCAAGTGAGCAGCCTTCAAGAAGACAGCAGCACGGTCGGTGAAGGACAAGTTTTCCCATTCCTTCTTGGCTTCGAGAGCAGACTCGATGGCGGCTTGGACATCGGCGGGACTGGCACGGTGGTAACGGGCGACAACCTTCTTGTGGTCAAAAGGACAGCGTTGTTCACCAATGTCGTTAGTCTTGACGTCCTTTCCATTGACACCGAGAGGAATGGTCACAGGAAGTTGGGACTCTAATTCCCGGTAAGCAGCGACAAGTTGTTCGCGCTCCACACTTTGGGGTCCATAATTTTTGGGGGGTTCGTTTTTGATGAGAGGAAGTTGAAAGTCAGCGAATTTCGACATGATGAATTTATAAGAATCGTTTTCTTTTCGAGAATGTGTAAAACAAAAGTAAAAAACCAGCAACAAAGAAATAAAAGAACCGGAATTGTATAAAGTCCGAAACTCCAAATAAGGCAAATAAGGAACTAGTAAAGAAACGTTTTTATGAAAAATATAAAAAACGTAAAAGAAAAAGAAAAAGAAAAAGCAATTGAATAATCTTTTCCAGTAAAGCTACTACTGCTACTTACAATGGATGATGGATTATTCTTTACTATAGCAGTTTCAATCATCCATCCTTCCTACCATATATATATATATATATCTCTCTAATATATGCATATACAAAACACAGTAGGAGGCATTGGCAAACAGGAGAGAGAGCGATAAGCAGTAGAGATGATCATGGAGATAAAAATCTCGATAAAGTCAAAGTACGCAACTTGAAGCCTCTATTGAACGTAGATGGACCACTTGAACGGTTTACTCCTCGTTTTACTATCAGTTTGTATGTAATCATTTATCCAGTACCATGGAAGTGTAACTTGGCAGTTACGCGGTGCATTGCATGTTGATAACAAAGAGATGTTTGTACATGGTACAATCCAAGGGCAGCTAGAGGTAGGAGGCAGGAGAGAGGAGAGAGAAGAGGAGAGAAAAAAAAAGAAAACAAAGAAGAAAAGACACGTTTATGAAACGTACAAGTTTGAAAGCGTAGGTTTGAAAAGGGTTAATAACGGTTGAAAAAGTGTAGAAAGAATAGATCACGAAAAGGATCGTAAATGATAAGAGTTTATTAAAGGAATTGTCTTTTACAAATATTGTAGAGTTAGAAAGTGTAGGATCTTGTGAAAATTTGGTGGGATCTTAATGGAAATGAAATGAAATGAAAAGAAATAGTAGGAATGGCAGGCGGTGGAGTACTAGTAACAACAGTAGAGGAGTAGCAGCTCGCTGGGAACGAAGGAGAGAGGATGAGAAGTGAATGTTGGATGTGGATGTAAAAGAGGAATATTTGTTATACAACCTGGTGCAAACGGTGTAGAACAGAATAGAGTAAAAACGTTACTAGGGATCTACTAGAAACGAAAATAAAAAAAGCAATCCGAATCAACCTGTGGAAAAAAATAACAAATAAAAAAAGATTAAAACTTAAAGATTGAAATCACTCACGATGGACATGTGGATCACAAAAAGTTGCCCAAGAGAACCTGGTGCAAAGATTGCAAGGGCAAGCGGTGTCGTCCGCCAGTGGAACGAACAAGCACTTCGCAAAGATTATCCCGTTCAAATTGCGAACCAACAATAATTACAAACGGGTACCCAATCAGTTCGGCATCCTTCATCTTGTACCCAAACGAATGCTGGCTACGATCTTCTAGTAGGATATTATCAGCACCGACTACATTTGCAACGCCGTCATAGACGGACTCTGCTGCCGCCATGTATTTCATCGATGACGGTACCACCAGCACTTTCCAAGGAGCAACATTTGTCGGCCACACGAGTCCCTTGGAGTCCTTAGTTACATTCGCAATGGCTGCAATCATTCGAGAAATACCAATCCCAAAGCACCCCATATACAAAGGTTCAAGTCGCTGATCCACTTCGACGTTCGCTCCCAGTTTGGAGGAATATGCTTGTCCCAACAAAAACGCATGTCCAACTTCAATCGACGACGACAACGTCAGCTCGTCTTTACAATTTGGACAACTGTGTCCCTTTCCCAATCCTGTCTCTTTCAACAGCTCCGAGTTGGTCGAAAATTCACATGATGGACAAACGCATATTGTATCCTCTCCCGCTTCGCTTCGATAATGAAATTCATGCGATAGTTTTCCCCCAATATTCCCTGTATCTGCATTCACCATCGAAAACGGTAAACCTACCGCCTTAAAAAACTGGTGGTATGCTCCCAGCACCTGTCGGTACGTTCCTTGGGCTTGCTTCCCATCCACATCAAACGTGTACAAATCTTTCATCACAAACTCCTTGCCACGAAGCAATCCTCCTCTTGGTCTTGCTTCGTCTCGATACTTTCTTCCGATCTGATACACCCGAATCGGCAGCTGCTTTTGTGATTCCACAAAACTCGCTATGCATTGGGTAACATCTTCTTCATGCGTAGGCGCAAGGCATAATTCTCGCTCCGTTCGATCCTTCAATCGAAATAGCTCCCGCCCACTTGTTTCCCATCGTCCGCTTCGGTTCCACACTTCTTTGCTCGAAAGGTGAGCCAAGCTAACTTGGGTTGCACCAACTGACTTCATCGACTGTTGAACCAGTCTACATATCTTGTCTTGTACTCGTAGACCAAGCGGTAGTAAATGAAACACCCCCGACATAGACATGTGCACAAATCCTAAATCCTGCAGTAGCTGTCCAGAAGACTCGGGAACGTTATATTTACGAAAAGACCGACTTAACAGCTCTACGGAAGCTCGATTTCTAATAAATTGCAGCATACCGTTCAAAATTCATGCTAGTCCTTTCGCAAAAAAGTGTAATCCCAATTCAAAGTCGTTTCCAACTTTTTATCAATTTTGCAAAAAAGTGCGCTTTGGTTTTCCTCCTAAAACCTCGTTTGCTAACTAGCAACAACAATCACTAGCTCCTTTGTTGTGGAGAACAGGATAATTTAGTTTACAAAAGGAATTATAAATAAAGAAATGTAAAAAACAAGCCTAACAGCATCCCGGATTCCCATGTTGTCTCCAACCATAGTACTAACGAGACCCTCAGACGCTTAACTGCAGTGATCGGACGGGAACTGGTGTTTTCGCCTAGGTGTGGCCGTAGACATTTACAATGTGTAATAAAAAGTATATGTAGTTATATAGTGGATATTCATCATCTCAGATTTTACAAAATTGATAGAGGATGGTTTTTGATACTTTAAAGATTAAAGCACACTGTTTTTCTCTTTTCTAGCTATTCACATTGTGCTAAATTGTCGTTGAGGTCTGAGACCAAATGTCTGAATTTATAGCAGTTGACGAAGCTGTAGTTTGAGAAGTAAATTATTAAACTACATTAGTTGAAACGGCCAATCTGAATACGTCCAGCTTTGAATTAGAAACTAGTTGATTATTTTGCAAAATTATCGTCATAACAACTAAATAATCATTAAAAAGGTTGCATTAACAAGGATGTTCGTCACAGAGAAAACGAACGATTTATAAATAACACTCTTGCGAGACGAATTCTTAAATACATAAAAGAATGAACGTGAAAAGCAATCCAACCTGCCGAATGAAGCTGTGCTTACTTTTGTGGACAAGAATACAGAAACTCGAGGGATTGCAATTGATATGGATGCTTCGAAAGAAAATGTGATTTATAGGAGGGATGGAAAAGATTCGTTAAAACTCAAACTTCAGCGCTTTGCCCAGCAAAAGGTTGAAGCTCAATTTCTTCGTTTTGAGGTGCTTCATTTTCTGGATCTGTCGGTCCTAATTAGGTTAGTCAGATGCTAAGAAAAAAAAAAAGGTATAATAAAGAGTACATACGAACATAATTCGCAGCATTTCTTATGCCGTTTTCCAAGTCATTCACCATGTTTCCCATGAAGTTTCCTGAAGCAGCAATGAAGATTCGAAGTTGTCGCGTATCCGTACCTAGAACCAATTAGAATATTTCGCAGGTTATAAGACATACTCCAAAATAAAACAAACACGGCAACGTTAACAATGCAGACAAAATAGAAAAACCCTTTGTCCATCTTTTCAAATCCTATTACCTTCTTTACAAAATAATACACGGAATAGCAAGGGGCATTCAGAGAGGCCGTACATATTACTGCGACACACATGTTGGACAGTACACTACAAATTTGCGTGAATAAGTAGGACAGCACTCTACCAGTTTGCTTGAACCATTCTTTAGGAATTTGAGAAATTGCTAATAGTTAGTAAAAATAAAACATAGCGCTAACTTACAATAGAGAAATACTACAATGGACACTGGACAGGTAACAGAAAGTCCCCAAAAGGTTTCCGTCCTCACAGGAATCTTGAAATAAAAAACACCACGAGAAAAATGGAAGAAGTTACAACATACACAAGAGACGCAAAAAATAAGAAGATATTCGCTGAAACCCACATCGAATATGTCGAATCCGATCCAGCGTTGTTAGTGGACTCTTGGGCAGAATGCTGAGCAGATCCATCAGCCATTTCTAAATCAATAAATTTGTTCGGAGCTAATGAATGTATTAGTGATGAATGCTTTTGTTGTTTGAGAAGGGATGGAGCGTTTGTCGAGTTTGTTTACAGCACAAGTCTTGAGTCGCTGGAATTATACAAATTGATACAACTGACATTCTTTTGTTCCTTTCTATTTCAACAAATCTTACCTGAATACGGAGGAGGCGTACCCTCTGAAGAATGTATATCTGATTTTTCATCAATGAGCGTTTTAAAAGACTCGTCAGAATCTGAAACAGGACTGTATTTATTCTTCATTTCTGCAATGGCAAACCAAAAACCAAAAGAACACCAATATTTATAGCTAGTTCGAAATCAGCTAGATTTACCAAGAAAAGTCTGTAGAAATCTTTTCCACCGTTCAGAGATCTTTAAAAAAAAGGAATCGTTCCTTGTTTCTAAAGAAAGGCAATGTTTTGAGTAAAATCTGTCTAAAACCAAAGATAGGAATGAAAAAAATCTTGGTAATGGCTTTTCGCATGTCTCAATTTCATAAAGCAGCGACATTATGTCACCGACTGGTCATATCCTCGTTACGATTATTCGAGTTTCGTTATATACCATACTTTTTCGTGATAGTATAATCCAATCGAGAAGCGTATTACAAAAAGTAAACAAAGGACTATCCAACAATAAAACCTTGACGTTGGATTCTCGCAGTTATTTTCAGCATTCACAAACACTCATTCTTTTGAAGCAACTTTTTCTAAATATTCTCAAAGGGTTTCTTCTGAAACCTGTCCATCCAACGGTTCTTAGCTCAGCTGCTCAGCGGAAGTTGATTTAGATTGAATGGAAAGCATTCTTATAATGTTTATAGTCTTTTCGTTGTTCTCTCGCATGATCTGTGCTTAATTTTTTTCTGCATGTTATTCATTGAGCTGCTTTTTCCATGACTATGCTTTCGAATGGGACCACTGCTTTTACGAATTGTCTGCTCTCAATAGTATAAACCAAAACATCATAACGATCAAAAAGGCAATGCTTGCTTCCAAAAATAGCGAAACTTCAACTAAATAAAGCCCAAAGCATCTCAAATTCAATATTGTCTCCAACCACAGTACTAACGACTAAAATGTTCATCTGCAGTGATCCGACGAGAACTGGTATTTTCTCTTAGTTGTAGACGTAGACAACTTATGTCTTTTCAATAACAAAGTGATCATTATAAATTCGGTAAACTTAGAATTGCATTCCATGTTGAATAAATGTAGGTAAGAAACCAGATAACCATCTTCTGGCCTCAATATATTAGCGCATATTGGCATTCAAGAGAAAAGAGTAACAAGTATGAAAAATATAAATCTTCGTTATGATTAGGATTTCCTAGCTCTGCCGAGTTTATGCTCGTTTGGTGTCCTTGTTCACATCCGAACCATCAACCATAACTGTGGCATTTTTAAGAGTGAAGAGGTTCTGAAACAAAAATTGCGATAATAACCCTCCTCTAATATTTTTTAACTATATATATATATTTTTTTTTTCTAACATAGGAGATAGGATACAAAATACAAACGGTATTCATAAGTTATAAAAACAGTTTCGACGATACATTTCCTTCTTTAAAGGTACTTTGATAAAGATTGCTAGCAAACAAACTCCAATATAACTATTAATTATAAAGATAAATTGGAATGGTCCTTGTACAAGACCTAACTTCTCAACTGCCGGAGAAAGATGTTTTTGTCGCGGACGAGATTGGTTTATTTTGGAAACTTGGTCCTTCGAAAAAAGTAAAAAGTGAACAGATTCGTGGGATTCGTCGTGAAAAAGCTAAAGTTACCATCACAGCTTGTTGCAATGCCTCAGGTACAGAGAAGTTACCATTGTGGGTCATAGGTTACTCCCATCTTCCCAGGGCTTTTAAAAATTTAGGAATCCGTCCAGAAAACATTAATGTTAATTGGAAATTTACTGGAAGAGCATTAATGACGACGTCTATTATGGAAGAATGGCTTCGATGGTTTGATGCAAGGATGGAAGGAAGAAAGGTTCTACTCTTACTAGACAATTTCATTGCTCATGGAAGAGCTATCGAAAATATACGACTTTCTGGAAGTGATCTTAAAAATACTGTTATAATTATGCTTCCCAATAGCTCTGTTAATCTTCAAAACCCATTCGAGATCGGCATTATATATAATCTGAAATCCTTATACCGAATTAGCTGGCTGAAATTTCTCCTTAGGCATAAAGAATCTGAATTGAACCCTTATTATAAGATGAATCTGTTCATTGCTATGCAATGGATAAACGAAGCATGGCATTCCAACTTATCACCAACCCTCATTAAAGATTGTTTTCTAAACTCTGGCATTTTTGCATCGAAAAGGGGGGAAGGGAGTGAAAAGATTAATCCAAAACTGCTTGTCTACGATGATAGAATACGAGAATTGTTGGCAAAGCTTGATCCTCAAGCTGCCATCAATATCCAAAATTTTATAAATCCGATAGAAGAAATGGGGATGGACAGCTCAGAAGATATAATTAGTCAGTTTGCGTTTGAGTTATTTGGAGACCGAAATTTTGAAACAGATGAAGAGGAAGAGGTTACCTCAAAAGTTTCCAAAGAAGATGCTCAGCAGGCTATCGAATTATTGTTGGACTACGAACTTCAACAAAAAAATGGTAATCCTGATTTGTATATCTATTTACAGAAATACCTTTATTTTCTTCAAGTACAAGACTAAAATATTCTTCAATGCATATGAGTGGAGATTGTACTATTCTCGCATAGCCAAATAACTGCTAAAACCTTTGCGGTGATTTTTACTTTCAGCATAATCAGCAGTTGCAGTGTCTAGGTTAATTAGATTACAACTATATCAATTCCGAACTAACTTGTACGATTTGAATTAAAATCATGTTAACGTGATAATAAGAAATGAATTTGATGAAGAATGACGGAAATATATCCATTAGTCCAATACGTGTCAAAGCTATTGAAACAAATAAGATAAAAATTAATACTAAATAACTAATGAATGCAAATCGTAAACGAAAGGTAGTAAACGCTACATAAACTTAAAGGAGCACATAAACAAAGAAACCTCAATGAAGCAATAAGATACAAAAATAAATGAAAACAAAAAGCCAATCTTACCCCAATAGATTTGAACCCGCTTCATTTTTTTCATTTTAGTTTCCGAAAGTTATATGGAAACGATTGTTTCACTTCAGATTCTAAAAGATGTTTATTATCACGTGAAGGCGTATCCTTGGGAGAGTTGCTTTGTGAAGAGAATATAAATTTATGACTCTTACTTCGACTTAAAGAAGGGAAAAAGGATCTGCTTTCGCGTTTTAGAAATTTTGGCGAAGCTTCAGTTGATTTGAGATGATTACGCTCAGATTCCATCGAAGAGCTCATGTCAGAACTGAATGGAAAATGAAAGTCCTTATCAGCTTTTTGTGAGTATTGAGAGGAATATGATGTTACCATAGGATCTAAGTCACCATGGGCCAGTGTAGACATTGATTTGGGAGTAGCTGGCGTATTATTTACTTCCGTATTCTCGTTATTAGTCGGATTTGGAATGGATATAGGATATGGAAGTGTGTCATCATTGCTAGTATCCTGATAGTCTTCAAATTCTTCAGCTGCCGTATAAAAAAGGACATACGCAGTTGCTTGTCCAGGTTGATCACCAAAAAATCTTTGTAAATACGATTCATTTACAGGAGTTACTTTTTCATCGTCAAACAATACCCATCCGCTTGACCTTGTGCGAACTATAGAAACATAATGACCATGGTGAGAGCCACCGCCGACATGAACAATTATAGCGGATAGAGAATAAAGCTTTTCAGCATCCTCATTATCATCTGTTGTATTAAAAAGCCTCATTTCGTTTGTAAACACGACAGTATGAAACAGTTTATCATGAGCTTCCAGTGTTTCATTATACTTAAACCGCTTTAAATGCAAGGCTAATATTTTTGGTAGCTTTTTTATTTTCATACGTTTTTCTGCTTCTTGTAAATTCTTGCAAGCATCGCAATGAAACTTGTTTTTTGCACAAAGCATTTCAGAAGCAGAGAATGATCGCAAACAAGAGGTAACAGAGGAGTACTCTTCTATATCAATACTGAGATCCAAAAAGCTTTCATCCCTTGAAGTAATATTTTCGCAAGTAAGACACTTTGTTTCGCTAGTCAAAGTACCCTCAAATAAAGAATGAATCCATCTTGAGTGAGGAATTTCGGGGTGATTTGCATGATATTCATCCAAAATTTCAGTTATAGAGTTAAGTAAAAAATTTAAAAACTCATGTGCATCCTGCTGCCTAGTACTTCGAAAAGATTCATTATCGCGCCTCAAAATTTGAACAAATCTCTCGGGGCTGCACACACCATAACGGCATTCGCAAGAACTGACACATGCATATAAATCTTTCAAGCTCGTATATACATTTTCTTCCATTCCATACGTTGTATAGCTGGTGTTATTCACTTGGATTTGATGCTTTGAACCATTTTCGATACCAGCCATTGTAATATCTACGCAACCGCAACCATTCAAATTAGCTGGTGATGGCTGCTTTTTTGAATCATTGCTTTTCTTACGAGAAGATGAATACCAAGAGCTGGATCCTGATGCATCTGATCCATTTGACTTCACACAGACGCTTTTGCAATTTGGTGGAACACTCGGAATTGGAAAAGCATTCAAACTATCGCGAAATGGCTTTATATGATATAAAGAAACGAGCACAGAACTCACATAACTATGGAGGTTAGATCCCTCGTAATTTACTCCTTCAGATTCAGCGGATTGCTCTCTACATACCAGGTGTTACCATACTAGACACAGAGTTAATAATAGAGCATTAAGAAACGCAATTCCAAATCAAACTTACATTCGTTAATCCAAAAAACCGATCGGTTAATGATTCTGGGACTGATGGTTGCTTCAATTGCTCCAACTCCAACATGCTCTTTCGCCATTCAGAAGAACTCCCAGAACTCTTCCATTGTTAGTATAAAACACATTTTCACTAATATCTAATATAATTACCATTCCCATCCATTTTCGGAACGACATTTCTTTGATGGCCTTATGAATTGGTAAAATCAGAATTTGCGTGTGTGACACAACACTTACTACCACTAGTGGCATCCTCATTGGAATACTATATTAATTGAATATCAAACTTAATAGTATGATATATCATTTTAGGGTGAAGATGATAAAATACAATGTGAAGAAATGGGCTCAATAATAAAGGGAGTGAAAAGATCAAAAACAGAAATTTAGAAATGTCAATAAAATTATACCTAAGTGTTACAATACAAAATTTTTGCTAAAAAATGACAGACATCACATACATTTTTAAGGAAATATAGTATTAGCTGAAACTCAAAGAGATGGGATCAAAATGGATGGCCGATATCAAACAAGAGCATAAACGAAAAGATGACAAGGCGTTCATGTAAGAAAATATCAAATATGTAGAATAGTGAAAATTCGTTAAGTTATCTCAAAACAGTTGCCTCATGAATTTGGAGAGTTTGCGGATTTTACGGGTTGAGAGAGAAGTGACGGACTCTTAGACAGTTCGGCGGGCTCTCGAACAGACGAATTACTGGAAGCATACAAAGTGGGAGAGGATGACGAATTACTTGAATCTTGATTTGAATCATCGTTTTTCCTTTCTTTAGACTCTTCCTTCTCCTTAGAAGATAATGTATGCAATTCCTGTTCCACAGCATGCATTACTTTATGAAGTTCTTCAAAATCCTCATCCGTATGATTATCATTTCTTTCACCTTGGGTACCCTTAACTTTTTTTTCTAACATTTGCTTCTCCAATATACCATTGATACGAATAATTTCTTGTTGAAGCCCAAATATAGCCTCAGTTATATTGTCACGCCGATTCTTTTCTTTTCGTCTCACTCTCCAAGTCTCGAAAAGGATTGCGCCGCCGGCAACAGTACTAAAAACAAATGTCAGAAACCTTTAAAAAGTTTATCAAAAGAAACAACTTGTAGCACGGCATAATACCATCAAGGAACCTCTCTTACTTACAATACAAAAGTTTCGGAAAGAAAATTTGCACCTGCATCTACCGCTTTTGCATCATTTAATGGACGAACTCGAACATTTGTAAGACCACTGCGGGCGCGATTAGCACCCATAATTTTGAATTCTGCTCGATGCATCATTTGCGCGAAATCAATGCAAACCTAGAATGTGTCAGATCAAAAGCAGCGCCTAAACATATACTAAGGATCGTACCTTTCGGAATGTCTTGTGTTCTTTTGCTTGCGCTTTTATTGTATTCGCTATCGGTTTTGACAGCGTCCGCACTAATAAACTTCCAATTTTGAGAGCCAATGAAGACATCGTAAGGAATAGTTTGTAAGTCTAACTTAGAAACAAAAATACTGATTTTTTAATGATAGATAGAAACGGTATGGAGGTTGTGACCTATGGTTGGTAATAAGACACTAAGGCTGTATAGAAAATGCAAACAGAATCCCTTAAGAAAAATGAAATATTTAATAAAATACAGGGAAAAAGAAAGCTAGATGAATTACCATCGAATTGCGGACTCGTAAGTGATACTCGGAATTTTATACAATGATAGAGGGTGGATGCGGATTTTAGACTCAGGGAATAGGAGTATGAACGAAATCCAATAGTTGATATCTCACACCTTTCCAAGGATATTACGTTACATATAACTGAAATTTGATAGTTTAATTTTTTGGCCTTGCTACATAAACCTGACTCATTGACATGCCGAGAAGAAGTTATATGAAAGAATGTCAACAAGAAGCATTGGACAAGCAGATCAAACTTGGTCGCTAATTGTATTAGAAATAGAATAGCATGAAATTCTTCATTTACAAACATCTTCTAGCTAACACTCATGTTTCGCTTCATTGATACAAAGAGAGAAATAACTATAGGAAGCTTACTAGATACACATATACTGTTTAGCATTGTAAAATTTAAGATTTAAGAAATAAAGAACTTCCAATTATTAGGAAAAAGCAAGCTGCTAGTCGTAAACACAATTGTTTATACCTTAGCTAAGGTAGTTGCTGAAGAGAGAAACCCATTGAATCCGTCAAGGAATAAGACCGTAAGACAATTCAAATATTAGTCTCAAGAAGCTTGAATATTTAAGGAAAGTGTTGTCAAATGAACAGATAGATCTTTCAATGAGTATCATAAATACATATAGAACATATAAACACGCGAGAGAGGGAGAGGCCAATTAATACGTATCTTACACGCTTTATACATTAACAGCAACCACTAGAACCTTGGGAGACATTGGTACCTTGGCCTACCTTGACGCTAGATTTGGCGTTTGAAGAGGAAAAGGTGGTGTTTCCCATACGCTCCTTGATTTGTCGTGCCATGGTTAAGAAAGCTTGTTCAACGTTGGTAGAATCCTTGGCAGATGTTTCAAGGAAAGGAATACTTAAGCTATCGGCAAATTCCTTGGCAACAGTATATTCAACTACCTTTTTATCAGTCATATCTGACTTATTGCCGACTAACAGACGATTGACACCTTCAACAGCGTATCTGTCAATTTCCTGTAACCATTGTTTCACGTTACTAAAAGAATCTATACATGGTTAGCTATTGTCCTTTTCTTTTTTGTTTTTTATTTTTATTTTTTTTTTTGTATATCCATACCTTGATCCGTAACGTCGTAAACAATAATGATGCCATGAGCACCACGGTAATAAGAGCTTGTAATTGTGCGAAAACGTTCTTGACCGGCAGTATCCCACTGTAAATACGTTAACAAACAAATTTCTCACAACTTCTCGAGGAAAGAAAATCCCCCTTCTACATAACACATACAATCTGAAGTTTAACTGTCTTTCCTTCTAACTCAATAGTACGAATTTTCTATACAGGTTAGTATTTAATTCAATATTTCAGCTCTCTAATGAACTTACGAAATCGACACCAATGGTAGAAATATATGACTCCGTGTAAGTATCGTCTGCAAATCGCAAGAGAAGGCAACTCTTTCCTACACCGGAATCACCAATAAGTAAAAGCTTGAAGAGATAGTCGTATCTGTTCTGCATTAGCCTTGATTCAACAGTTCCGCTTTCTCTCGAAGCTTTATGTTTCATATAACTGTAACATCAAACTGAATCGAGATCTTCTTATCAATTTCCACTGTTACTCTATTTTTTGTTAACAATTTCCTTTCATTCAAGAAGTAAAACGCGCTATTTCACTTACTACTCTGGATTCATCTTAATTGTACTGTTGTGTAGACGGTCTGAAACGGAGTGCCATCTTCAGTATACAAAGCTTGAATATCTAATAACGAGCTATAAAGGATTACATAATATATATATTTTTTCTCCAAATTAATCTAGCGTAGTTTTCAGTATTGTTTTCCACAACGGTATTAATCCTTAAAATATCACAGGGCAGCTCGAAAATAGCTCGCAATTTCAAACTGATGTACGATCACCATTGCTTCTATACATGTCTAAAAGGTCTATAGTAGAGCTAACATACTATTAAATCGGTATTCCATTTTCAAGGCGTTTCGTTTTTGGAGGATTCAAAGACATGGGGAAAAGCAGGGCAGAGCCCGCATACTACGCGGTGGCTCGTGGACGTAAAACAGGAATTTTCAACTCATGGTAAGGTGTACAGAATAAATATTTTATGAGATTTCTTCTTTTTTTTCCTTCGCTGGGTCACTTCTTATGTACATCCAATTTGATGGACATGTATTATATTGTTTGTTGATCCAAATGTTTCTCTCATAACTGAGCTATAAACTGTTCTGTAGTAATACTAATGAATTAGGAATGATACTGTCCCCAATGTTTCTGGATATCCCAACAGTCGTTACAAAAAGTTCAAAACATATGATGAAGCCAAAGCATTCTGTGAATCAGGAGGTAGCTATAGCGGTCCATCCAATTCTTCTTTGACTGAGTCATTGTATAGCAAGTCTGTCCGGAATCCAGCCTTGTATTCTCCTTATTCTTATAATCGGAAATCTTCTCTTATTAGAGATGGATCGTCGTCCAAGAACAAATCGTTTACTAGAAGTCTTCCTTTGGAAACCCCGTATTCCCAGCCAAATAGTACGGTTCTTAAACGGACAAGTGTATCCAATCCTGAAATTGTTTATACCGATGGATCAAGTCTAGGAAACGGAAAACACGGTGCTGTTGCTGGCTGTGGTGTATACTTTGGACCAGGAGACCCCAGGAATCTTTCTGAACGTCTTCTTACAGGTGAGCAAACAAACAATAGAGCAGAGCTTCAAGCAATTATTCATGCTCTAGAAAATACCAGTGGTGACGTTATTATTCGTGCAGACAGCAAGTATTCCATCCAAGCTCTAACTGTGTGGAATCAAAAATGGAAAAAAACAAATTATATGACGAGTTCCTCGACACCGGTCAAGAATGTTGATTTGATTACTCGGGCTACGCACCTTATGGAAGACAGGAATGTTCAGTTAGAGTACGTAGAGGGCCATAGTAGTGACTATGGAAATCAGCAGGCTGATCTTTTAGCTCGAAGGGCTGCTGCTTTATGAGTTTATTTACGATTACTCGTCTAGCTATTAGAAGTTATGCATGCTTACTCTTCACACTCGTGTTTTAATTTACGCATAATATAATGGAAGAATTCATGAGAATTCCTTGATTCCCTAAGAATGAATGAAGAAGTATTCCATTTAAATTATGATACCTTAAATCGTTTGATTATATGTTCTCTTTGTGGATTTTATATCCTTTGCCATCCCATCTGCTTCGCATAGTATTTACTGGGTTTTGTCACCGCTTGTAAACAAATGAACATGATTTTTATGCTATTACTGATTAGTGACAATGAGGAAAAATAATAGATGAGCAATCTACTCACTTTTTGAATATTTGAAAGCATTTGTGAAACGGGAGCGAGATATTGAGTTATACATACTCAGTTACTCAAAAGCAAGAGCTTTCAGTAGTCACCAAATGTTTAGGTATCATTTTTTAGAAAACTAGAAGAAAAAGGAAGTGGATTTTTTTGAGATATTTTATGTTTATGGCTGAACACCTTTATAATTGAATCAAGTGAATCACTTAAATGTGATATACAAAGGTTTGAACATATATCCTTTATAAAAATACTCTTTTCTCTTGTCTTGCTTTAAAAGCCAGGAATGCTTGTACAACGGTATGATGAAATGATAGGTTCAAGTCTGTTCGATCTCGAATGTTTGATTAAATGTTCGAGGCTAGGATTTATAGCAGTGTCTTGAAGGTTTAGCGGCTTTGTCTTTTCTTTAAATTACTTTTAATATCTTATTTATTCACATACTCTCAACCCAAAAAAAAAAAAAGACTGATTCCATTCCCGTTTATTTATAATATATTAAAGTTTTAAAGATAGAATAGCAATCTAGTATCACAACCGAGACATTATTATTAGAAATAAATAACATTATTTACCAAGACATCTCATCAAACCGCTGAAGTACATCCACAGATTGTTTGAGCTTTTTGTACTCTGCAATTCTCATGTAGAAAATAGGGCAATCTCTGCTTGAACAGATAACGTCTTGATGCATGCTTCCTTGGCATCTTTGGCATTGCGTCCATAATCTAGCAAACCTGATTTCTAAATCATTAACCTGTCCAACCTGAAGTTGGTACAGTTCAGCAGATCGATCTATACAATTGTCACACAACGCTGCTTTGCTTTTTTTGATTGGAGCTTTACACCCTAAACATGTCTCAACTTTAACAGCAAATTTCATGATTCCCCCAACGCTAGGTGCTGCTACTGAAATAGTTCTGGTATGATCTCCGTGAAGCAAAGAACTGGCCTTTTCTCCCAAAATAGGCTCAAAAATACGAAGTAGAGGTTTTGAGAGTTGGTTTTCTAAATAGTACTTGGCGTCAATCGGAATATTGTTTTCCAATACATAAATTGGATCTTCAGAGCGCATGTAAAATTGGTCGCCTCGTGCACCCTTAATTATAACGTAAGCAACACGATCACCAATCGCTGGTGCTGATCCAGCATCTCTTTTACGCATACGCTCAGCCAGTTCAACGTGAGCTTGTTTAGCAGCGTAATCTGTTTTCGAAAGAGCTTTAGTAATTACAAGTTGCGACATATCAACTTTGTTCTGGAGAAGGTCAGATATAACGCTTTTCGTAAATTCTTGAGCTCCTTCAACATCTTGGTCAATCAACATTTTTCGCAAAGCTGTATCGATAACATATGAAACCAAAGGACAGTTATCACGACGAACGGTTTCGATACCTTTAGAATCCATTTTATCAAACGTGTCCGTCCGAGTCCAAAATAAGCCCGCATACCTCTTTTTGGAAATTAAAAGATAAGGGAAATATACCTTCTCGAATTCCAATTTAATAGGGTCGATGAAATGGTTGGAAACGAAATCGGCTGCTTTTTCACCGAGTTTCATAGCCTCCGGTAATGTTTTGACGCCGAACTTAACCATAACGGAATCTGTGTCTCCGTAAATAACAACAGCATCATGTGAATAGCCATTCTGTATGCGAAAATGATCTTCAACAACTTCTTTAGTTTTTTCAATCATTTGACGACCATAAGACGTAACTGATGAAGAAATTGCCAGACAAGGAAGTCGACCGTTAGTAGCACCAGTAAAACCATAAACGGAATTTGCACTGACCTTCAAAGCCAATTGACGACCATCCAAAACAGCTTTTTTAAAAGGATCTTTTTCGTTTTTCAAGTCCGCTTTTGCTCTCTTACGAGCGTTTAATAAATCTGCCAAAATGATCGGAAGTAAACCCTTACGGACCTGCGGCTTCACAAAATAATCGCCATTGGGAGTGATTGAATAATCTTCATTTGGTTTTAAGTTAAGAGACTTAGCAGTATTAGGATCCAACAACGTGGTATAGCAAAGATTATGGGCCTGCATAATAGAGGGGTATAGAGAGCTAAAATCCAAAGTAGCGATCGGGGTATCGTAATATCCCTTCGTGGGTTCAATGACAGTAGCACCTTCATATTGCTCATCTGTTCCATTAACTTTGATATTGGGAACCACTAGGTCATGCTGAAGTGCTTTGCGGAACAATTGTGAAATAACCTTAACTTGTTGCCCACGAGATAATAGATAATTAAATGGTACACCAGTTACTCTTGCCATTTCTGTGTAATTAACGAAGCACATTAGCTTATCCATGAGTCGCTGAGGTAAATACGCATCCTTTAAGCAATAAATAGCTAGACGTCTTCTGGAATCTGCAGTACCGTTATGTAAGTCAGTAATAATAGAATGATGAACATCCTCTTTCTGTTCCCCTAGAAACTGCGCACAAACAGCATTCAAGGAATAAGATCGTAACTTGAAGTCACGCTGCATAACTTGGAGTAAATCCAGTTGAAGTCGTCCGGGGATTTGGATTGACTTACTTTCACGGGTACCGTAAGCCTTACTTGAGAAGGTAGTATCTTTGGCAACAGTATAGTAATTCTTAATGCGACCGATTAAAGGGAAGTCATTGACACGTAAAGTTTTGGCACGATCAAGTAGATAAGGGAAATCAAAATTGCTAATATTATAACCGATCATTACGTCTGGATCAACCTCGCGAACGAATTTTGACCAAGCTAAAAGCATTTCTGATTGACTTTGAAATTCAAAAACATGGGTACCTACTATTTGAGAGCAAGTATCCACACAAAACACATTTCGAACGAAAGGATCTTTATCACCATATTGCGTAACGATGTTTGCGATTTGGATGACTGGATCAATAGAGGCATCAGGAAAAATGCCTTTACGGCCGGCGCATTCTATATCAAAACTCAGAATACGAAGAGGAGCCATTTTTAACCATTCACCTTCTGCAGGAAGACTTATCAAATCTTTATAGTGAATCCAAGCTTCAATTTGACAATCTGAGACGCAGTTCTGATACCGAAATTGGTATTTTCCTGCTGGTAATTGAAGCCAGCTCATACCAGCTACATTACAGTCAATCATAAAACGCATAAGATACTGCGTATTACTTTCAAATGTTATTACAGAGGTAGGAAAGAGCCCTTCAAAATTCATTTCGTTTCTTTCAAACACATTTCGAGCACGAGATACCAATCGAGGATCTGTTATGAAAATCTTGATGAATGGTGATTTCTCGTTTCCTTGAAAACCGTAGAGATTTTCTTTCATTTCAAGAGTGCAATGATCAATTACGCCTCCATTACATACTGCATCCAATTCCCTGGAAAATTGTTCAATCATTTCAGCCCGGAAGCCTACGGGCGCCTTTATGTAGAAGTATGGAAGAAATCCAGTTACATGCGTTAAAATACTATTACCATGATCTGTTACACCAAACAAACGTATAGAAGGTACAGGTCCTTCGGTGAATTCTTCACAATCGATTTGTTGGAAAAATATGTCATCCTTTTCAGTATTGAGAGGCGATAGAGCAGGACGTTGCCATTTCTGATCTTTGGTAGCTAATTATGTTAGTACTTCATTAAACAAAGGCTTCTTTCTATAACATTTTCCTGTTAATCATGCTTATTTTGAACTTACCTTTTTCAACATCTTGATCCACCTCAACAGCATATTCACTTAACTCGTCAAGGAACGTTGAAGATTTTTCTTTAGACTTTATCCCATTCAAGTCGTCCGTCGATTCTGTTCGACGCCTCTTTGGTTCTACCAATTCACCGTTCGTAGACGGTGTTTTACCATTTTGCTTTCCCATCAGATAGTTTTCCTTATTAGACATCTCACTGTCATCTATCCTATTTGCCATCCAGTTTTAATAAAATTACAACGGCAAAGGTACAGGAAGGCAGGAAGACGGTTGATACTTAGTGTTCAATTTTATGTTGCTCTGCTTTCAGTATAGTGTACTACTACTTCGTTATTAGAGGTAAGCTATTGGACCCGTTTTACAAGACAAAGGATTGTTTTTGGCTAAGGATAAAACTGTATAATTTTTTATATTACTACTTCGTTTATCCTGAATAACGTTCGCTGCGTTCGTATAATGTGGATACTCAAGCTAAACAGAAAAGCAGTATAGAGTACTTGCTATTACTCTCGTTCTAATGCTTTTGATCAATGAAGTACAAAATAACACATTCAACAAGTTGGATTCATAAAATGTCAGAGATTGAAACTTCAACAGTATTTCGTATTATTAGTTTTCATTTTTTTTTATTCCCGACTATCTACATAAACAAAACCCAGAAAGGAAATTAATAAACAAAACTAGTAAGGACTGAACATAGGCACCTATTGGCAAAAAAAAGGAGGAAAGGAAAGGAAAGGAAAGGGCGTAACAAGAAACAACGGAATTTACAGGAATTTTTTAGTAAGCAAAGTAAATCCCAAATAAAAAAGAAAAGGAAAGAACAAACGAAGATTGCCATATAAGACGGCAATCATTAATTTTTCAACAACTGAAAACGGAGCAAGCATAAGCAATTTAAACTCTATATATTGGTTTAGCAAAATCATTTGGTAACATCTAGCAAAATTTGAACAAGGAAGTCCTAAGAACCACGCGGTTCTATTGAAAGTGACTTATCAAAAAGATCAGATAAATCCTGGTTCACACGTCGGCAATGTCGGCGAATGGTGTTTGTAAATCTTTCATTTTCATCATAATTATAGAAAACGGATTGGAAAGAACATATTTCATCAACGACACTACATATGCGTTGTCGTTTGCTGAAGTTTATCAAGTGAGGAAAGCCATCAATAATTTCTGAGTTTCCCTCATCGATAAATGTCAAATCGCTTAGAAAGACTCCCAAGAACGGAACACAAGGGAGTTCAATCTGTTTTATCAGAGTTCGGTAAGCAACGAAATTCTTCTTGCTTTCGACTACTTCTTGTAGACCTTTTAACTTATTGGTATCATCCAAAGAGACCTGCTTGTACGCAGCCCGCAAACGGTACACCGGAGCAGAATTTAATGCTGAAACAATGGCTATTAAAGTTGAGAAATTATGAATTGCTAAACATTCATAAGCCACTTGGATAAAATAAGAAATTACGAAGGCACGAGCTTTGACGTTTTTTCTTTCAAGGATACAATTTATTATCCAGAAAGTGAAACAATTGGAAAAATTGATAGAATCTCGTATAGCGCTGCAAGATCTGTGGTCTAACCATCGCTTATTTATCCATTCCGAAGTAGGAATACTTTTGAAACAGTCGAATTCGATGATAGTGGCTTGAATAGCAAAGTCTTTCGGTGAATAAGCAAAAACGTTGACAGTAGCAACCTGGTTAATCGGTTCTGGAACTTCCGGTTCCTTCCATAAATTATCAATTTCCTCAAGGATAACCGTTCCTATATGGAATGAAGGAATAACAAAATCACGTACAAACGCGCTCAACTCAGACAGGCATACTAAAACTCGTTTCGAGTTTAAGTCTTCTGCAAAGTATTTCTGCACCCACAAATTCATAACTGTACATATATTTTTCTTTTTTATCAGGTCCTTCTTTTTCCAAATACTTAGTTTATCTTCGGTAATATCAGGAGGAATTGAGCTGTGATATTTCATAATTAGCAAAGAGAGTAACTCGTTTGCTGTAACAAAACTTCTGTAAGTTAATAAAAAAATATGCCTAAACTCCTTATCCATGTGCACATTAGCTACAAGATAATTAACAAGCGCAGAGAGCGTTCCGCCTCTCAGTTTGTTATTGTTGATAATTAATGGCTCATCCGAGATGTCATCCAAAAGAGTAGAAAGTCGTCGAGACCATCTCCATATAGTAAAACTTTCCCTGCTGCCGCTGCTAACGGCAGTATAGCCAGATGATCTAGAAATCTCTGAAGGGCTATCCATATTTAAAGACAATCTCAATGTTTCGGGTTCATATGATTCATCAGCGAAAGAGTTTTTAAAACTGTTACACAAAAAGTCGGTATTATCGCAATCAACAAACGCTTGACCTTTGACCAAGGAAAATATGGTTTCAAATAGTTGTTGATAGTTTAAACCAATACTTGCTATCCTCATAATAATAGATTGCTTATCAATATTCCCAAGGTCAATCTCCTGAAAAAAACAAGTTAACTCAACGATAAGATCAAAGCAAATCTGTTTTCTGGTAAGAAAAAGATGTAATGAATTATCGTTACTAGAGTCCACTAAAGTGGATAGATTCCACTTCTCAATACAAGTAAGAACCTCCTTGCACTGACTAATTAGAGGATAACATATATCATCAATAAGATTATCATCAACAATTGAGGTTTCACTCTTAAGCTTTTCCATAGACTCAACGCAAATTTGAAAAAGGAAATATAAATAAGTATCCAAGCTACTTAGAGTAGAAGCGCTCGAGAGAAATCGAGCATCATCTGCAGAGTTGGCTAATCCGTTACCAGGCCCATTTTCGGCAGTAGGTATATCTTCAACAAAAGCGATTGAATTTGTATAAAGCCGTAGATAAGAGCTGTTATTAGCACAGGTAATCATAAATGACTGTAATATATAGAACAACTTTTCAGTACACGAACTGAGCATGGGAATCAGTATTCCTCTTGCGAAGTTCACACTTTTTAAATCAGCCAACAAAGCAAGACGGGAAAGATGCGGAAACAGTCTTTCAAAAAAGACGTAAATTGAGCTTCCTGTTTCCGAGCCTCTTGGGGTATTATGTAGTAAAAAATAAAAAACTCCTGTCGAATCAAATAAAGAAAACAGCTCGCGTTGTACAGAATGCACACAGTATGGTACATGATCCAATTCACCGCATTTCAAGCTATAAAAAATATGAGAAAACAAAAAAGATATTCTTTCATATTGAGCGTACAAATCTAATCCTTCGTGTTTTTGCAGTACTAAATTATTGGATAAAGGCAAGGAATTCACTGATGAAGAAGTGTCAATGTTGTACTGAGGAAACGAAGACGCGCTGGACATAAAAGTAGAGGGTCGAATCTTAGGCTGACTCGAGGTCGACGACTGCGGACATGCAGATACTGGATATCCATGAGATTTCCCGCTTAAAAACATCGGTACACCAAAATCATCGAGGGGATAAGATTCCGACCCAGACTGAAACAAGTCTTTGTGTGGACTAGTTGATTCAGTCTTTGAAACTGAATGAAAGTAATTACCATATTGACTACGATCATCGGAAGATGGCGTTGGAAGCGGCGGGGAATTCATTGGGCTATCCAGCGAAGGGGAAGGGGACCCGAAGTCGTCGTTAGCAAATCCAGAATTTCCTGTCGCCGAAAAAGAGTCTGTACGAAAACCAGGGGAGGTGTAGCCATAACTAGATGGAGAAGGAGAGGCCGAAGACGAAAATGTTAGGCTAACTGGAGTATTCGGCTTGGAATGGTTTTGGTCATTGGAACCAAGCTGAAGAGGATTTTGTAATTTGAGCTTGACTTTTCTAAAATTCTTCTTCATTTTATAAAGTTAAATAATATAGACAAAAAATTCAAAAAGAAAAAAGAAAAAAAGAAAAAAAGCGAAGAGTTAGTTGTCTCAAGAAAAAAGCGATAGCAAACCAAAAAATAAGAACTAGAAAAAGACAATTAAGGCATAATATAAAATCGGAATTAATATGCTGTCGTTCTCTAATTTAAAAAGACAAAAGAACTAAGCGTAAAATGAGAAATGATTCTTAAAATATAAGACGTAAACAGACAGTCGATTCACAACGAACAGTCAAGAAAAAATAAAAGAAGAAAATTTAAAGAAGAAGTTTAGGTATTCATGTACTCTAGTTTCCGAGAGTGCAAACCATAAATACGTTGTTCACAGCTCGATTTGGCAAACTGTGGTGGTAGGTAGGAAATTTGGCTTCAGTGGAAAAAGTACGCGAGCTGGAGCAAATACTATTACGTTTGACAAAAGCTCAAATCTCTCTTTAAGAATTTGTTCGTAGAAATTGAAAATAATATTTAATAAAAGAAAAATAGAAAGCAAATGTAGGTGATTTGAAAGAACAGAGTACAACATCGACTACCCCAAGCAGTTTAGCTAAGCTCGTATTTAATTTTTACAGAGTGTACCAATGTAGACAGATAATTACAGTGTAATTGAATAGAAAACAATAAATGAAAGAAGAACAATCATGAAATAATAAAGTCGAGATTATTCCCAAGATTGTATATTATTTAGATTGATTATTTATTTACTAGACAGGAAATTATTAGTCAAACTATGAATACTTTTTAAGCAACCTTCCGACCAAATTACCAATAACCTCAGATACCCTCAAAAAAACAAAAAATAACATAAATAAATGATTCCGTTCGGTTATGCAAAATGTATACCAACTTGATGGAAAGCATGCAATAGAGCCAAGAACTCTGTTTCGCCGCATTTTGATCCACGAGCATCTTGAAGATTGATGCTTGTAAGAACTTGGTCTATTAAAACCTTAACGTCAAAGTTATCTTCAATCATCCGTTCGTTCTGAGAGCACCAAGTCCTGTAATTTCTCTCTATCAATTCTAATACGGATCCTGACTTGAAACAAGCACCAACGGTTTTGTTTTTTCTCATAAAGATGATTCGCAAAAGACCATCCCATTCCTCAAACGAAATTGGAGGAGCTGGGCTCTTAGGTTCAATACGAACGACACTAGACTCGACAAGAGGAGGGGGTCTAAAGTTGTTTTTACCAACCTTCATAATGTGTTTCACGTGAGCCCACATTTGAACGTTTGCAGACAAGCGACAATATAAAGCGTCGCCAGGTCGGGCAATTAAACGCAAAGCAAATTCACGCTGAAACATAAGAATACTTGAACGAGGAGCTGGCTTTTGTTGGAGGATTTTGAAAACCAAAGGTGAAGAAATTTGATATGGTGTGTTGGAGACACAAACATCGAAATAGGGGAGATCTGTTTTGACGACATCTCCTAAAATCACCTGCAACTTCTTTTCGTAAGGAGTACCCTGTACACGTTTCGTCAATTCTGCAGCCATACGAGGATCCATTTCCACGGCAATGACTTTTTTAGCCTTTTCGAGCATACGGACAGTCAAGTTACCAGTACCAGGACCAACTTCAAGTACTGTGTCTGATTGTTTAATGTCAGCCTATAATAAAACGTTAATCGGTTAATTCTCCATATAGTTTTCATAGTTTTCATACCTTGTCAACAATGCCTTGTGCAACAAGAGGATTTTTCAAGATGTGCTGGCCAAAATCTTTATTGAACTTAAAGACTGCATTTCTAGCTTCGGCTTGAGAAGCAGCATTATTTGTACGAGCACGTACTTTGCCCATTGTTCTAAAGGTATTAAAATGAGTAGAGACTCATTGGAATTTTCGTTGGTTTTTCTCTTTTGGATAAGCCACTTGTGTGCAATTCGTTATCCGTTTATTGTGATTTACTGATGATGCTATTTTCCATATCGAGTACCATATATCTCTTTATACTAATATATAAAGCTGCTTTTCATGCTCTATTTTTCTAATGATGTATCAATGTTTGTTTATAAAGTTATGAATTGTAAATAAGACGAGTTTTATAAGTCTTTAGCTACAATGAGTGAATTATTAAGAAGTTAAAAATTGTCTTAAATTTTTATAATCAAAATTCAGCGATGAACAAACTCAAATAATGTTGATTTCATATGTTATTGCCAATTTAAATTGCTTAAATCGAATTATTTACATGCAAGCATATTTATCTTTTATTTCAACAATTTAGTCCAAAAACGAAGATACATACACTAAAATTTATTGTATGAATTATCAAACTTATACGAATGATTTCGTGGTCACTGTTTACAAATGCAAGGTCCGTTCGTTCATTATTCTCTGTTTCGTTTCCTGTCATTTTATTTTTATTTTTATTCTCAATTTATTTAAATTAAATTTATTTTATGTTTTATTGCTTTCAGCATTTTTGACATATAATTTAAATATTATTTACTAAAAATGCCATACCTAATTATGATTTATAAATAATTGATCTTCTATAAATAACATGGTCCTTTTGAGGCGCTCCGTAGTGTTTACGATATAGTTTTGCCAGCTTCCTGAAAGCAAACCAAAAAATACCTCCCATATTGTTTTCCCTTGTAGATCCACCAAGAAATTATAGCATTCCGTAGATACATCACAAAGAAAACTGAAGTTCTCAATTTGCCAATCAACAAATATAGCAACTTTCTCCTCTTCCATTTCTTGTTCTACTGAAGGAATTCCCCCTGCAAATCGCAACAACCCTTTTTCCAAAGCATAAAATTTTGTTATAGTATCATTCAATATTAAACAATGCTTTGCTCTGGTGAGGGCGACATAAAGAATGTTAATCTCTTCCTTCAGATACCGTGAAAACCCAATTCGTGCATAAGAAGTGCTATCAAATTTTGGTCGAAAATCATTACCTAATTGTACATTATCCCATTCCAAACCTTTTGATTGATGTGCAGTCGCCAATATAATTCCATTTTCCCCCTCATCTTTTGACTGAATCAGTCTTTGCTCACAGTTGTCTAACCTCGTAAGAAAAGTTTCACTAAATAACTCTTCTGCCATATCATACACCAAGGCAAGTTCAGGGTCTTCTTCTGCAGAATTTTTTACATGTGTTTCAAATTCAGCCCATGAGGAAAACTCTCTTAATTTCGGATGAGACGGCCGTTGTCCTTGAGCAAGTTCTGAACCGCTACGTAGGAGTTGAAATGCTTTCTTTTTCATCGAACCGAGTATAGTTATAGGGATATTTTTCGGTAAAGACACGGACAAACGAATCGACTGCAAAATGAGCTCTTAAAAATATTTGCTTAGTATTTAAATTCTTATCAGCTTTATCGCTTACCTTTGTTGGTTCTAAATATCATGGTGTGAGGAATAAAACGAAAGTGTTCATTAATCACTGAAAATGGTTCGTTCACGGAACGAAAAACTCGATCATCCTGTACGCCCCTAAGTTTAACATTCTCTCCCTTTAAAGACAAGATGAAATTGGCATATTTAGCCACTGAATTACCAAATCGAAAACTTTTTGTCAAGTATAGCTGTTTTGTAGAAGGATAGAGTGTTTCATCAAATGCACAGGCATCAGCTCCCCGAAACCCGTAAATACATTGATGAGCATCACCAACGATGACAATTCTAGCATGCTTTTGCCTGTATATAACATCTACCATGCACCGAGTAAAATCTTGAGCCTCATCAAATAGTATGTAATCATATTTTGAGAATATATTGGGAAATTCATATAAATGCAGCAACTTCATATACGCATCAGGAATCAAAGGGGCATATGAACAATCAAAATTAATAATTAGAGCCCATAATTTCCTAACATATGATAGTAATTTTTCTTTAGACAGTTGAGTGACTTCTAAAGTACGCTTACTTAGGTGTCGAAAACTCAAATGAGAATCTGTCGAATGCATAAATCGGTTTAAGGTGAACATGATATGAGATGCAACTAGGGTTGCAGAAGGAGTTCCGGGAGACGCCTTTCGATTTGATTTAGGAAACGCAGCTTGCAGTGACAATAAGTTCGCAATATTACTATTAGAGAGTTGTCTTTCGAGCTTTGAGGCAGGAAGATCTGCTTGAGCTAGGATAGCACCGTAAGCTAAACCATGCATAGTGGAGCACTTGACGTTTAAGGGGAAACGTTGTTCAGCTTCTTCTTTAGCGGCTTTGTTGAATGCAACATATAAAATCTTGTTATTTGGTCTATTACGGGAGAACTCTAAGAGAGCTTTTGTTTTTCCGGTTCCTGCAAAAGCTTTGACTTTCAGAACTTCTCCGGGATGCAGTTCACATTCCACAATTCGTTTCTGTTCTGCTGTAAGGCCCTGCTCAAAGGTATTGTCAAATGGTGATTCTATAGAGAAAATGATATCCTGAAATCTGCTACTAGTGGAAATTAAGGTTTGAGAGAGTGGATCGCGGTAATGCTCATAATCAGTTTTTACAATCGTAAGGAGAGTATCAAGAAAATAAGCAAATTCAATAGCTGTTGAAGAGGAAATATCATACAAGACATTAAAAAAATACCACATATCTTCTTCAAAGACCATTCCAACGAATAATGTCTGTAAAAAGCGACTTTGAAGAGTACGACCTTGAAACGAAGCCAATGCTCTTTCAGCAGCTGGAGATAAGTACTGTTGAATTTGAAGACAAACAGATTCCAACCATTCATTATCTACGTCGTTCAAAGAGAAGAAGGATGTTTTGACTTTCTTTCCATGAAGGTCCAGTCCATATTGGGAAGTCAAAAGATTGTCTATACATATGCCGATTTGTTCAACTTTCACTGGTCCTGGGAGTAATCCACAGATGGATTTTAGTTCATCAGATTTAGCATAATACTCACGTTCTGCAACTGTCGAAGATACCTGGGTACCACTCACAAATCCGTTCGAAACTGCAGGTGCATAACCCACACCTAAAGCTTCTTTAAGCAGCTTATTTTTATGCGTATTAAGTTCATAATGTTTCTTTTTCCAAAATAAATCAATTGAGGCCTCCAATACAGGATACACTGATGGTACAACAGCCACTAAGTTTTGAATATCCTGGACAGACAAAAAACGACAAATTAACGGCAAAAGTTCTGTTGGAAGCTGAATAAAAGAAGGATGAAAAGATTGTATACCATTCATATAAATATTTTTACTTGAAGGAGCGTATTATTGAAATGGACAATGACCACATTACCCTATGGTCTTGGTAATGTGACAACAAGTCGAGTCGAAGCAAGTAGTACCTTTTTTCTTTGGTTTGAAAAGAAGACGCTTTTAGATAATTTAGATTCTTAGTTGTTTTTTGTATTTGAATATGACACCTGCCTTTATACGTATCGCGAATTTGGCATTTCTTTCTTTACAAGTACATTCAACGTTAGATCCATTTGAGCTGTTCGCTTTCTTTGAAGAAATATATAATCGATAACTAATACTACCTGTTTTCTTTGAATCGAGAAGAAGGTATGCAAAGCAACCATATGATTGCCTCGACCTACTATAAACTTCCAAGTTCCTTATACTTTTTATACTACATCTAAATTTATTTCATATTCTATAATAAATATGAGATACAGTTCTAAGCTTCAAGACAGGCTCTTCCATTACGATACTTACTCACCTTGCTAGCCTGCTAATGAAACTGTTTGTTTTTTAAATTTCGAATTTACAGTAAACGCCTTATGTTAATTACTAATTACTGATCATATCTAACAAGCATTCTTCTTCCATTGGACTTCTCGATTGTGTGTTGATCAGTTGCCATTATAACATTCCTACCAACATTTTCTCTCTTTACTTTTGTCAACATAGACGCCATTTTCCCCGAGGTTTTCAAACTGTTCTTGAATCAATCAAGATTAGTTTGGGAAGAAATTCCTGCCGTTTTTGTTTGTTTAGGAAATACCTGATAATCGTTTTCAGCTTTACGGTATTAAATTTCTTGGTTCAGTGATCGTCTGAACGGCATATATATAATAACCGGAAGTAATATACTGTTAACGTCTGGTTAATAAAACTCTATGAAGATTTTCGGAACATGCTTTGTTAGTTTGGCCTTTCTTTGGAGTTATCTTGCGTCAATAACTTTAGCGGAAAAGACGCTTCTCGTATGTATCAGATTAATGCCTTAATTGATCTCTTGTTTGGTATACTAACCATCACGATTATACAGAACTCAAAGTTTCAAGAACAGTGCAATGGTATTTATTCCAAATCCGAATCTGGAGGCTCTTTGAATCCTGCAATATATAGTATGTCTTTTATTCCTACATCTATTAATTGGTTATTCTAACGACTCAGTCAATTGGACGCAACCTTGGGATGTGGAAAACGAAATTGAAGTCTTGATCTTCCGTTGGAAAGATATACAGCAAATAGGAAAAACTAAAGAAAATAATGAGAAAGCGTATATTTGTGATTATGATGCTGCTTATACATACCATTTCTGTGAGCCTGAGCAAGTAGGCTTATATATTTGGAATGCTACTTCTGCAAAGACAGTTCGTTCACAAATTGTTTCTTCTTACCCAACCAACATAGTATACGATATAAGCCACTCTGGATATTACTGCATTTGGACACATTCACTAAAGGATAAACCATACCAGGCTCTCGTCAATTGGCAAAATGCGTATGGTAATCTACCAGCTTCTCAATATCCTCGCTTGCCTTTATCTGGCGGAATAACTATTGCATACAGTGCAATTTTGGCTTTATGGATGTTTTTTCGTTTTCAATATAAAAATTCCATTGTACCTGCTCAGCGTGTCTTGCTGTTTGTTTTTGTTTTTTCATGTATCACTCAAGCGTTAACATCTATCATTTTGGATACAAAGAACCTTCGAGATAGGACGAGTTTTACTTGGATCTCAGAATTTATAATCTCGGTAATATTCTCCTTGGAGAAATTGTTTGACTTTATTTTGTTGCTTGTATTTTCTTGGGGATATACGAGCTATTCTCCAAAAATTACTGAGAGATTAATGAAACAGCACAGTCTACCGCTAATCTTTTTGTTCCTTTCTTTATTTTCCGTCAAATTTTTTGGTATATCTATTCAGTCCATTCACCTTGGTTTATGGTATGGAGTCTTTTTAATCATTGCTGTGTCCTCCTCATTGGTATTGTTGTATCAAGCTTTATTATATTTTCCTACTACGCTTCAAGCGATGATAGAAAAAGAATTCGTCTTGTTGCATAACAATTTTAAAGTATTACGCATTTCCGCTACTATAACCATGATCTTGAATGCCGCTTTCGGTCTTGTTGCTTTTGCTCTTTGTTTCAAGACTAATCATTCTTCTTCATCCAAAATTTGGAAGTTCCGATGGTTTTTCATGGATGGTTGGATGGATGCCTTACATCTAATTTGTCTAAGTTTGTTAGCATTCTTATGGAGACCTTCTCCAAAAAACCGTGAACTTGATCCTCATGGATTAAATTACCCAGATTTTGATCCTCGTCTTGAGGAAGAACTACATTTGATACAAGAAGACATTAACCTGCCATAATTGGTATTTTAAAATCGCACGCACAAAGATGATAATAATTATATAATTAATGTATTAGATAAACCTAACTCATGACTTTTTCTTTATGGTTCATAGGGGCTGTTTGCCCTGAAGTTTGTTAAAAGAACAGGAAGGTCAGAGACAAGAATAGCATCCTCAATCCGTACTCCAATCTTATTTGGAATATAAATTCCTGGTTCAACGGTGAATATATTGCCTTTCTGAATATACGTATTATTATTTGCCGAATTTAAGTAAGTACTTTCATGTTCCTCCAAACCTAATCCATGCCCCAATCTGTGAATGAAATAATCACCGTAGCCTGCTTCACGGATAACATTTCTTGCAATTCTATCAACGCTTGCACATGAAGTATGGTTAGAATTTCCAAGGGCGTTAATTCCGGCAGTCTGTGCTTCAAAGACGGTATTCCATATCCTTTCCATTTCTTTCGTCATTTTTTGATCGTTCGGAATGACAGTTCTAGTACAATCACTATGGTAGCCTAAAAGTTCAGTTCCAATGTCAATCAAGGCGAATTCATTTTTGTTCAAGGTGCGTTCAGAAGGCATACCATGGGGCATAGCTGCCCGTTCACCAAATAAAACGATTGGACTGTCTTGGGGTGGAAGACCACCATAAACGAATAGTTTATTGATAGTTTCGGCCAAATGAAGCTCTGTTATACCGGGCTTAAGACATGGCTGAATAGATCGAATTACAGAAATGGTAGCAATATTTACCCGGAACATTATATCAATTTCTGCATCACTCTTGACTTCACGAAGACTAGATACATTTTGGGATTGGCCGACAACCTCAAAACCATTTTCTTGTAAGCCTTGAGCAATGAAGTTCCTTACCGTTCCATCGATCATTAACTTAGATGGTCCAAGGATGTCGTATAACACTTGATAGGGATTTTCATCCTCGTCCCATGTAATGTATTTTGCAGTCAATTTATTTCCAACCAGTTCTTTTGCGCGAGGAAGCTCAAATTTTGGAAGCAAAAAGAACACAGTCGTTTCAGAAGATTTGTCGTCGGCAAAAACGATGCCCAGAAAAGGACGTTCTGACAAAGACCAAGCATTGGAGGAGATATTGGCGTAGTAGTTCATAGAAATAGTAGGCTCCATCACAAAGGCATCGACATTTTCAGAAACCAGGGTAGATGCAAGTCTTTTACGGCGTGCCATAAATTCTTTTTCTTGAATGGCAATCACTTTATTGATCATTGGAGGGACATAGATCATAGAAGGCACAGCGCACTGATACAGTTCGTCAATTGGATTGACTGATGAGAGAAAAACATACTTGAATGATAAAAACCCAAATATTAATGAAAGTAAACCAAGAAAAACGTAGCGAACAAACGGCCGTTTTAGCAAATGCTTTGCTCGTTCAAACCCATACTCCAAATGCACCATTTAAACAGAGCGTAAAACGAATAGAATAATTATTACCAAAAAAAAAAGAATAGAGCCAGAAGAAAAGAATATCTAGAAATCTAAAAATAGAGGCTTCCGTTAAAACAAAGCAGATGTTGATGTTGGAAGTTGCAGTCCGTCATCGAAGCGTCAAAAGCAGAGAACTACCAAATAAGCTGTTTCAAAAGGCTATATTCTAGCTGTCACTATAGTAATTTCCTAAGTTTGTTTTTTGTCTTTTATTTTATTTTTTTTTTGTTTTGATTTAGAAAAAGTTTATGACAGAGTTAGAATGAGTTGGTACAGTTTATCCTCCTTTTACTTACCCATGTTACTCTGGGATTGTGCGATGTAAATATCATAAAAGTAGCTAAGTAAAAGAAAAGCCTGGGTCTATAGGATCTCGGAAACGCCTTCAGGGCTGATCTGATTATTATGAATTGCATTCTACCTACTTTATTGAATGTAGAAATAAACTGACTGGTAGGATGTAGGAAGATTATCTGAAGGAACTAGATACAGTAATCACTCTTAGTACTTTTTGCAAAAACTCAATGAATTCTGCTTTACGATAGCCACCCAAACATAGATCAGTGTTCGCTCGTAGATATGTCTTTCCTGAAACTTTTAATAGAAAGATTCGTATTACAATAAGCCTCCACTTCGATTATTTCAAGCGTAAGATTTGTTAACCAGAAAGTAGATTACTCAAAACACTTATACATACTGCTTGACGGCAGTAGTACATTTTTATTGTCTTTTGAAAACTCATTACTATTACAGAAAGAAAAAAAATTAACACATTAATTATTACAACTATAGAAAACAAAGAAAGTAGCTGCATCACATAGCTATTGGCAGTATTATGGTAGAGAGAGGAAATATTTGAGGAAGAGTACATACAAACCTATACATAATCATACAGCCAAATCAATTATATTTATCTAAATTTATATAACAGTTTTTGGGTAAGAGCAGGTCCCTATATTGAAGTATATGAGATTTAGCACAGGAAAGCTTGATAACGGTCACCGACCACCAAGCCGTCAACCCCCGCTACACCACCAGATAGATTTCATCTTCTACCAAAAACCACCGTCCCATAGAGAAACGACCGTCAAGAGAAGAAATATAAGTATAATGGGTTTGAGCATCAGCAAATTATTTCAAAGTCTCTTTGGCAAGAGAGAGGTAAGAAAAAGTGTTAGAAAGAGGACGGAGTTAACGACAATGATTCTGTATATAGATGCGTATCCTTATGGTTGGTCTTGATGCTGCCGGTAAAACAACTATTTTATATAAACTTAAGCTTGGTGAAATTGTAACCACTATCCCTACTATCGGCTTCAATGTAGAAACTGTTGAGTACCGCAATATTTCTTTCACAGTTTGGGATGTTGGTGGTCAAGACAAGATTCGTCCTTTATGGAGACATTACTTCCAAAACACTCAGGGTATCATTTTCGTTGTTGACTCCAACGATCGTGAACGTATCTCTGAGGCTCATGAAGAATTGCAACGTATGCTTAATGAAGACGAACTTCGCGATGCCCTTTTGTTGGTTTTCGCCAACAAGCAAGATTTGCCAAATGCTATGAATGCTGCTGAAATTACCGACAAGCTCGGTCTTCACTCTCTTCGCCATCGCCAATGGTATATTCAAGCCACTTGTGCTACTAGTGGAGATGGTCTTTACGAAGGTCTTGAATGGCTCTCTACCAACCTCAAGAACCAGTAAACGATTTATACAGCTAACTTATCCTCCGGAGGACGACTATCCTTAAACTTCTAGTTATGCAACCTATGATTTACTATCCCTGCATTTCCTATGCTCTTTTCCTTTTTGTATCGTTCTCGATTCTGCTATAGGCATCTGTGCCCATTGGGCTCCTGTTTTTGGAGTTTCATTGTGCCATATGACTCCAAGTCCTTTGACTTTTATAAGCCAGACATGCTCCGTATTTTAATGCTTCTTGTTGGCTTCCATACATAATTTGTTTATGTTCAATTTGATTAGTCTACATACGTACCAGCGTACCTGTACTGCAAACGAGTAGTTCAGGCTCGATTTTATGCAATACAAGGAAGTTCCTATTGGTTCTTTAGAATTTAGAGTATAAAATTATTCCTATCCAAGAAGCAAAAGTACTTATTTTTGCAAGACCTACATTTTTAGTCAAAATGGTTTCCTGTCACAAGAATAACTTTACATGTTCAGTGTGGGCAGTGCTTGATAATTGTATCGTTTCTGAAACAGGTTCGAAAGCCATTTATTAACCACTCGTTTGTGTAGCATTCTACTTGGTCTTTAAGCAATGCTGCCATGTGTGCGCCTTTGTCTGTCTTTCTTTTTGCGCATAATCGCCGAATCGTTAGCACTAGTTGTTTATCATGATACCTTATACATGTCAGATTCGAAATTTTATGCACAACGTGCTAATCTAGATGTGTACTGGTTAGTGCAGACTGTGCTTGTTAACAATTCCAATTTTAGACAGGAGTACAGTTGAGGTTGAATAAAAGTCGTGGACTGTGTCTTCCCGCCCTTATCAACGCATGTCGATGGAAGAGTTGCAAAAAGTATCGAAAGGATTTAAATCATAGTGTGGGAAGGTCTCAACTCGTGGTACTACTTTAGTATATCCCGAGATTTATGATTCCAGATACTTCTCATTAGAATGGTCCCTCCTCGGAGTTTATTCTATTGTTTTTATGTGCTTATATTAAGATACTAAATAACATATTGATTATGTCCGCACGACTTTTGTAATCTGCTATGGAGTAATAGTTATGAGACGTTCATGGTAGAAATCCATCTCAAACAACCAAGATGAGCAATTTGGCATAAATAGCTACAAACTACATAACGAAGAGTAGAAACTTTGGTTTTCTCTGCTTTCATGTACTGCGCATTTCTACTTTTTGCTGATGCTCTTTCTTTCTATTCTTCGCTTTGTGGAACTTGTTTGGGAAGTGCTACCCAGCTATATCTTTCGTAGGTGCTCTACACTAACACTAGTTTAATTTTATTGCCAAATCTTTTACTCTTTACTATTTCGCCTCTTGCCTACAAACCATATTTCCATAGAACAAACTTTTCTTCTTGTAAATAAACCGAATTTCTCGTAGGACGTTATACTGTTTTTACACGCCTGAACGTAATTCATTATTTGGATTTCTTCTAAAGATTTCTTTCTCGATGAACGCCAATTATAGTAGCTGTGTCTATATAAGAAGATGATGGCCCATGTAATTTACACAACAGAAACATATAAACGATGTTCACCTTACAGAAAGGTATAGCAAATCGAATATTTAACGTTCGGCAGTTCTCTGGGAGTTTGAGGAAGTTGCCCCGTCATCTTATTTCAAGGAATCTTTCTCAGAAATCCGGAATTGGACATGGCATCGGAAGTGTAATTGCTTTTTCGCGTCTTAATCCAATTGTTAAGAGCAATTGGGAGAAATTGAGATGGAATCAACGAAGATTTTATGCAGCAAACCCGAATGGAGGGACTTTTCGAATGAATTTAGGTGGAACACCAAAGCCTGGGGCAGCTTTGGAGGAATTTGGTACTGATCTTACTGCGTTAGCCAAGCAAGGAAAGCTTGATCCTGTAATTGGTCGTGAAGAAGAAATCCAAAGGACAATTCAAATTCTGTCGCGCCGCACAAAAAACAATCCGGCCCTAGTTGGCCCTGCTGGTGTCGGTAAGACCGCCATCATGGAAGGGTTAGCCACGAGAATTGTTCGAGGAGAAGTCCCAGAATCCATGAAAGAAAAAACAGTCATCGTCCTTGATTTGGGCGCTCTAATTTCAGGCGCCAAGTTTCGTGGCGATTTCGAAGAGCGCTTGAAGAGTGTTTTGAGCGATTTGGAGGCTGCTGAAGGAAAGGTGATACTTTTCGTTGACGAAATGCATCTTTTGCTTGGGTTTGGTAAAGCAGAGGGTTCTATTGATGCTAGTAATCTACTCAAGCCGGCTTTGGCTAGAGGAAAGTTACAATGCTGTGGTGCTACTACTTTGGAGGAATATCGAAAGTATATTGAGAAAGATGCAGCCTTAGCTCGTCGATTCCAAGCTGTCATGATAGCGGAGCCTTCTCTTTCCGATTCAATCTCCATTCTCCGCGGTTTAAAAGAACGTTATGAAGTGCATCACGGTGTACGGATAACCGATGACTCTTTGGTTACTGCTGCCACTTATAGCTCGCGTTATATTACCGATAGATTTTTGCCAGATAAAGCTATTGATTTAGTAGACGAGGCCTGTTCTTCCTTGCGACTGCAACAAGAATCCAAACCAGATGAGCTTCGCCGTTTGGATCGTCATATCATGACCATCCAAATTGAGCTTGAGTCTTTGAAGAAAGAAACTGATACGACTTCAATTGAACGTCGTGAGAAGCTTGAAAAGAAATTGTCAGAACTACGTACTGATCAAGAAAAACTTTCTGCCATTTGGGAAGAAGAAAGAAGCGCTTTAAATAATATCAAGGCTGCTAAAATGGATTTAGAAAAAGCCAGAATTGAGCTTGAACGAACACAACGTGAAGGTGATTATACTCGTGCTTCTGAGCTTCAGTATGCCATTATTCCAGAACTGCAGCGCAAGCTTCCAAAGGAAGAGGAAAATTTGGAGAACAAGAAACCTTCTTTGGTACATGACTCCGTGACCAGTGACGATATTGCACTCGTCGTCTCTAGAGCAACAGGCATTCCAACTACAAACTTGATGCGCGGGGAACGTGATCGTTTACTGCATATGGAACAAACAATCGGCAATTCTATTATCGGTCAGGATGAAGCTCTTCATGCGATTGCGGATGCTGTACGCTTGTCGCGTGCTGGTTTGCAAAGTAGTAACCGTCCTTTGGCATCCTTCTTATTCTTAGGCCCTACAGGTGTGGGTAAAACCGCATTAACAAAAGCCCTTGCGGAGTTTTTGTTCGACAGCGAGAAAGCGATGATACGATTTGACATGTCTGAATTTCAGGAAAAGCATACTGTTTCTCGTTTGGTTGGTAGTCCCCCTGGTTATATAGGGTATGAGGAATCAGGCGAACTTACGGAAGCTGTTCGTCGTAAGCCTTATGCTGTCTTACTTTTTGATGAATTGGAGAAGGCCCATAATGATGTTACCAACATCCTGTTGCAAGTATTAGATGAGGGATTTTTAACGGATGCTCAAGGACGAAAGGTTGATTTTCGTTCAACCTTGATTGTAATGACATCTAATCTTGGTAGCGAAATCCTTGTCAACGATCCTAGTACCACTGTTACTCCTGAATCGCGTAAGAAAGTAATTGAAATGGTACAAGGCTATTATCCTCCGGAATTCTTGAACCGGATTGATGAACAGATTGTTTTTAACAAGTTATCTGAAAAGAATTTGGAAGGCATTGTTAATGTTCGTTTGGCTGAAGTTCAAGAGCGTTTGAATGATCGTCGCATTCTGCTTACAGTAAGCGATAGTGCAAAGAAATGGCTCGCTGAAAAAGGATACTCTCCTTCTTATGGTGCTCGTCCATTGAACCGTCTAATTCAAAAGAAGATTTTGAACACGCTGGCTATGAAAATCATTCAAGGAGACATTAAATCCGACGAGAATGTTTTGGTTGAAGTTTTGAATGGAGATTTAGATTTTAAGACGTCAAAATTAGAATCAAAAAAATAATGTACAAACATCGCTCTAAAACTTGAGCTTGCTACTTTTAATGATATGACTGATATAATACCACATTTTAGATTACATTGGTAATGAAATACTTAATTTTGAAAGCAAAAGCTACTCCTACATAGAACCTACTCTAAACATTAAACTACACAAGCGTAAAATATTGTATTTGTAGTCTTTTATATATTTATAAAACCTGAAGTATCAAAATACATTAATACTATGATATTATTACCTTACTTATATGTCATCATAATCAGTCTACTTCATGAAGTAGAAATCCTGAAAACAACCATTTAGCTATTTTTGGAAAGGAAAACAAGAAACTAAAAACGAATGAATTTTTTGATTGCATTATAAAAAGCATATTATATATACCTACTCATTTATAACCGGATTTGTACAAAATGTTTGGAATCAGTAAACTGTTGATAATTTGGCATGCCTTATGGGCATATCTTTTAATCCCCAATAAGGAAGTTGCTTTGACTGAAGTCGATACGGATGCGATTTATGGTATGCAAAGTAGAGTACGATCACTATTCCCGGTCATGACAGAGCAAAGTGATTACTTTTCCAACTACAAACTAAACCTATATCGTGCTGAATGTCCTCTATGGGACAACGATAATGCTATGTGTAGTAGTCAAGGATGCGCCGTGGACACACTGGGAGAAAACGAGGTTCCTAATATCTGGAAACAATTGAGTGAATTTGAACAACCCTCAAAGAAAAATGAAAAGGAGTGTAATTGGGAGCATGATTCTAAGTTAGATTACTGCTATTTAGATGAGGTGTCGTCTGGACAGGAATGTGTTTACGTTTCGCTTGTCGGAAATCCTGAAAGGTTTACAGGCTATTCAGGGGATCATACAGCTACTATCTGGCGCACTATTTATGAACAAAATTGCTTCGTAATAGATGATGATGAAAGCTCACAGGAGAAGTCAAAAAGAGATTCCTTCTATAAGCCAGGCATGTATCCATTTCAACTCACTCCTAAAGAGGATGATATCATATCAGTTTCACCATCCATTGCTTGTCAGGAGAAGCGTATGCTAAACAAGATTATTTCTGGTTTTCACGCTAGTATCTCTTCTCATATTTGTGAAAACTATTATGACGCCGAACGTAATCGCTGGACCCGGAACTTGGAATGTTGGTTAGCCAAAGTTGGAAACTATCCAGAGCGTATTGAAAATATTTTCTTTAACTATGCTCTTTTGCATCAAGCATTTGTAAAAATTGCCGATCAGTTGGAAGATATGGAATACAATAACAACACATTCTGTCCAGATAATTTAGCAATTGATGCGCGAACCAAGTTAGCTTTTGATAATCTGGCTTTTCAATCCCAGCAGGATAGGAAGGTAATAATGAGCTCCAAGTTATTTTCCGACGAAGAATCTCAAAGATTTAAAGAAACTTTCCGCAGACATTTTCACGACATTTCTCGCATTATGGATTGCGTTGGTTGCGATAAATGCAGACTTTGGGGAAAATTGCAAATGACCGGATATGGAACTGCTTTGAAGCTTCTTTTAGAGTCTGAGACTCACCTTAGTGACCTACGCCCATCAGAAATCGTTGCTTTGGTCAATACCTTTGATCGAATCGCTCACTCTGTGCAGTCGTCTTTCTGGTTTCAATTAAGAAGAAGAGCTGACCTTTCTGTTAAGTTTCTGCAATATGTTATTGCTCTTTCTTTTAAAGCACCTATGCGTGAAATCCTTTCCTTCTTCACTGAACAGTTGTGGTACATCTTTTATGCCATCCTTTATATATGCAATGTTCCAAGATTAATCTAATTTTTTGCTTTCATTTATTAAAATCCTCTACTTCCCTTCTAAAAAGCTTTGAATTTTGAAATTTTTTGGTATAAATAAATCCTTGGGGTGGTATTGAAGTTAACTTCAACCAACTACTACGAATGATAATAACAAGTAGAAAAAGTACTTTTTTCTTGAAGGTATGTCAACTTAAAAGATCGTTTCATGGATGGAAATAAGACCAAATATGATGACTAAAATTGGTCCGTGTTACTGAACGGGATTAAGACCCCGGATACGAAGATAAACCCAATTATATATTGCTGATTTTGTTTTTCATTCTTTGAAAAGAATCTTCTTTTAACTTTAGCTCTTTTACTAACGTTTTTAGAATGCTGGAATAAGTATGGATAGTTTCACCATGAATTGGTAGTTAGTATTTAGTTTCATGTAACATAGAAAATGGAATTTATTGGATGTGTATGATAGTCTTTGCATTGCAAAAGTATGGTGTATGTATCTGTAGTTTTGATAAAAAAATATATAATTTTTTATCCTTATTGACAACCAAATAAATGCTTTGCATTTCGTACATCAAAACGAGGATGGGAACAAGTTCAAAATGAAGTTGGTAACATTCCCTAACTGACTTCTCAAGAACGAAATCTACATATACAACCGTCATCCATGTCAGACATTGACGATGAAGAGTTTGAACAGCTAGGCCTTACGGCTCTTGAGCAAGTCGAAAAGACAACGACTTCTGGGAATCGACCTCAACCGATCATTCCCCAAAAGGTTTCAAGAGTGACAGCTCATGCGATCCTTGTGAATTATCGACAGGTACGAGTGCAACGAGAAGGGATATATACTAACTGATGAACTACAGAAAGGAAATCCTTTATTGGTAAGATCAGCACATTGACCTAAGTACTTTGGGAGAAACTAACAATCAAGCCTAATGTTCGGAATGTGCCTTGGGAATATGCAGAGATAGTTCCAGACTTCGTGATGGGAAACGGGATTTGCAGTTTATTTTTAAGGTATTATCTAGTGCTTTTTTTATGCGTAGAGGACTTGTTCATGCTAATGTGTTTCTCATGGTAGTTTAAAATATCATCATCTTCATCCTGAATATATTTACGGAAGAATATCACGACTAGGAAAGGCTTACAATTTACGTGTCATGCTAGTTCTAGTGGATGTCGAAAATCATCAAGCTTCTATCCAAGAGTTAGTGAAGACTAGTATCGTGAATCAGTATACGTTGGTTCTTGCCTGGTCGTCGGAAGAAGCAGCAAGGTATTTGGAAACTTATAAGGCATACGAACATGTAACTCCTACTTCTATTATGGAAAAGCCGTCAATGGATTATTTAAGTCAAGTCCAGACATGTCTTACCTCTGTCCGTGGGATTAATAAAAGTGATAGTTTGACTCTCCTTTCTCAGTTTGGGTCTCTAAAAGGTGCGTTATCTGCCTCCAGAGAAGAATTAGAACAGTTGGAAGGTTGGGGTCCTACCAAAGTAAATCGATTTTTGGAAGCTTCACAGCAACCTTTCATGTCACGTTCAGTGATTAAGAATCCTGGATCGTTGTCGAAAGATATTTAAAATTCAACTTACGAAATTGCATCAATAGACGATCGTTTTTCTACTTCAACCTAAATTAAGTACATACCATCTCTTTTACTGATAATTGCTTTTAATTTTATTGTAAAGAATATTATGCGTACATTAATTTCCCAAAAAACCCGATGTATCTAAAATGTAAAAGAAATGTTAGGTAAAAGTCAACGTGACCAAAATTTTTTTGAATGCATGTTTTTGTAACAAAATCCAATCAAATAAAGAGTGAAATTTGAACGTGATATGCCGCATGAAAACCGTCAAACTTAATGTTTTCGCTGCCTTCTTTTCATACGTTTCTGCTGAATAATTCGAGCAACCTTGGCCTTTTTCTCCTTTTCACTATCATCGCCAGATGAGTCTTTTCGTTTGCGTTTCTGCTGTTGAGCTTCCTCTTCTTTCTTTTCTCGCATTTGTTTTGCCTTTTCGCGGAATGTAATTTCTTTTTCTTGGCGGCGCTTGACTACTTTGATATTTTCAATGGCAAACTCAACAATCAGTCTTCTTGGACGATCATTGAAATCTACTGTAGGCATTTCTGGTTCAGGGAGTTTATGAGAACGTGCCCATTCAATTTCATCTTGGATTATCTTACGAACAGTGACTTCCCTGCCATTTAACCAGCGCAAAGCCATAAGTGCGTACTTGTGAGAAACAAATTGTAAAAAACCATAACCTTTGGATCTACCTGCACCTGATTTTTCCAGTTCGACCTTGGCTTGTTTTAAAACACTACCGTTTTTACCGCGTTGTATGGATTGACCTTTATCGCGAGATTTTTCTTCATCAGAAAGGTCTTGACGTAGTCCCTTTTCAACGTCTTCTTTAAAACAGCGAATAGCTTGACGACCTAAGAATGCCAACATTTTGTGGTCAATGTGGCGAGACATATTTCGAATCGAGAGTCTATTCAAAGACAAGTGAAGAGTAGGATTAGTCTCTAAGAGCTTCTTACGCTGGTTAATAGACATCGATCTCAATGATTTGTCAGTGTCTGATAATTTATCGAAAAGAGGATGACCTGGACCAATACGTCCTTCGTTCAATAAAAACAAGTGTCTTCTATCCACTCCTTTTCCTAATTTCAGTTTTCGCTCGGCTATACTCTTTTGAGTAAGATCTCCAGCTTCTTCTCTAGTAACGGCTTTTGAAATATTAAGAAGACGACCATTCAGCAAGAAACGAGATGCCACAGTGTCCAAATTCATATTTTCCTCCACTAACACCGAAGGCAAAAGACGTTGTTCAGCGACAGTGGGATCGGATTTCGGTACTTGGGCAGCCAATTCAAGACAGTCGTTGCAGTCTTTTTCATAACGAAATTTTACAAAGGCTCTGCCTAATGGTTTATCAGTGACAGGATCTCTGACTATTTTCGCATAAGCTAATGGCCCAAATTGACGGAAATGTTGGTATAATTGTTGTTCGGTACACTCAAAAAGAATATTACGAACAAAGATTGTACCTCCTAAATTTTGCTTCGGCTGAATTACTTCATCTTCGGATTCGGAATTTTCTTCTTCAGTAGAAGATGTGTCTAATTCCTCTTTTTCACCAGTTTGCAAGTCTTCTTCATCACTATTTTCAGGCACAATTGAAGAATGCTGAGCAGCAGAGTTAGTATCTGCATCCTTTTCCATTTCTTCTTGATCACTTTCATCGTTCTCTTGAGCAGGTTCATCATTATCTTCCTGTGATGTTACATTCGACTCATAAGCATCCTTACTCAAAGCCCAATCAACAGCAACAGGGCGGCCATCAAGTTCTGTACCATTAACAGCTTCCATGGCTTTTTGAGCAGCTTCACGGTCTTGCATCCATACAAAAGCGAAACCACACATTCGACCGCCAGCTTTCGTGGGTACTCGAATTTCTCGGATCTTTCCAAATTTTGCAAAGTAGGGTTCCAAATGGTTTGGCTTTTTAATTGACCAAGGAAGATTTCGAATAATCAAGCGAGGACGGTTATCTTTTCGAGGTCCCTGTGGTTTTCGATTACTGACTTCGTTCAGCTCCTTTTCTTTGTCCTCAGAGGGAGCCGTACGTTTACGATGGGCAGCATAATCTATACGCAAAATTCTACCATTGAGTTTTCTATTCTTTAATTCTTGAATGGCGCGTTGCGCATCCTCCACCATGGAAAATGTAACGAATCCATAACCACGATTTTCCCCTGTTTCAGGATTGGTGACAACTACTGTGTGCTTTATAGGACCGATATCTGAAAAGAAATTCGAAAGATCATCCTTTTTTGTCCCAAACGCAAGATTTCGCACAAACAATGTGCTGCTGGTAGTCATGGTTCAGCGACAATTGTATCTACAGCTGAAATCCTCATTTTTACATGAAAGGGATAATGTGGTGCAGTGAGCTCTTAGTCTTTGGCATTATTAGCTTTATCAATATTTAGCACTGGTTTCCGTAATACCATTTACCGTATAGCAAACAATTGGCTCGATACTTCCTTCCTGTGAAGGTGAAATGGAAATCGGCAGTTTGTTGATTGTTTTCAATTTTGCTATGTAAGCAAATTATGAGAGTTACTTTTCAATTTGATTGATTCCGTTTACCTGTGTTCTACGACAAAAAGGAAAGCAAACAAAAAACGGTACGAAAAAAAAGACGACACCAGCAGGATTTGAACCTGCGCGCGGAGACCGCAATAGATTTCTAATCTATCCCTTTAACCACTCAGGCATAGTGTCTTAGTTGCAAATTAGTAGCTTAAAACTGATTTGTACTCGTCTGAAATACGAATTTATTGTTTGCTTTATTTGTCGAAAACAGCACGATGGTGTCTTCATAGTGTCAGTTTCTACTCACTTTTGAACTCTTTCAATGAAGTTTTTGTATGGAAGCATGTAGGAAGAAACACCAATTCTCGTCGATCATTGCAGATGAGTATCTGAGTCGTTGGTACCGCGGTTGAAGACAATATGAGAATTTGGGGTGCTGTAGACTTTTCTTTTTCCTTTTTTCTTTCATAGACAAAGCTGTTTAATGAGTATTATGTAAGAAAATCATAGCCCAAGCTAGAGGAATTTTAAAAGATTGGACCCAACGTAACAATGCTTTCCATTACATCTAAATCAACTTTCGCTGAGCAGCTGAGCTAAGAACCGTTAGATGGGCAGGTTTCTTCCCAAATCTTTGACAAAATTTAGAAAAAGTTGTGTCAAATAATGAGTGTTTGTGATTGCTGAAAATAACTGCGAAAATCCAACGTCAAGGTTCTATAGTTGGATAGGTTCTTTGTTTACTTTTTGTAATACGAACTTCGTTTGGATTATACCATTACTAAAATCCATAGTGAACCCACAGTGTTGAATAATCGTAACGAGGATATGACCAGTCGGTGACATAATGTCGCTGCTTTATGAAATTGAGACATGCGAAAAGCCATTACCAAGATTTTTTTTCATTCCTATCTTTGGTTTTAGACAGATTTTACTCAAAACATTGCCTTTCTTTAGAAACAAGGAACGATTCCTTTTTTTAAAGATCTCTGAACGGTGGAAAAGATTTCTACAGACTTTTCTTGGTAATTCTAGTTAATTTCGAACTAGCTATAAATATTTGTGTTCTTTTGGTTTTTGGTTTGCCATTGCAGAAATGAAGAATAAATACAGTCCTGTTTCAGATTCTGACGAGTCTTTTAAAACGCTCATTGATGAAAAATCAGATATACATTCTTCAGAGGGTACGCCTCCTCCGTATTCAGGTAAGATTTGTTGAAATAGAAAGGAACAAAAGAATGTCAGTTGTATCAATTTGTATAATTCCAGCGACTCAAGACTTGTGCTGTAAACAAACTCGACAAACGCTCCATCCCTTCTCAAACAACAAAAGCATTCATCACTAATACATTCATTAGCTCCGAACAAATTTATTGATTTAGAAATGGCTGATGGATCTGCTCAGCATTCTGCCCAAGAGTCCACTAACAACGCTGGATCGGATTCGAAATATTCGAAGTGGATTATTATCATATATCTCTTTTTTTTTGCATCTCTTGTGTATATTGGGGCTTATGGTATTCTTCTCGTGATGTTCTTTTATTTCAAAGTTCCTGTGAGGGCGCAAGACCTTTGGGGACTTTTTGGCGGATTTATTGGAGCGATATTATTATTTCTCTGTTGTAAGTTATGCTATCTTTTATTTTTACTAACTATTAGCAATTTCTCAAATTCCTAAAGAATGGTTCAAGCAAACTGGTAGAGTGCTGTCCAACATGTGTGTCGCAGTAATATGTACGGCTTCTCTGAATGGTGTTGGTTTCGTCGTCTATTTTAATGTAAAGAACATAATAGGATTTGAAAAGATGAACGATATTGCTTTCTATGGTGTCTGGTTTGTTAACGTTGCCGTGTTTGTTTTATTTTGGAGTATGTCTTATAACCTGCGAAATATTCTAACTGTTCTAGTAAATCCAATTGCCCGTGAACGATTTAGATTATTAGTCATTGATATAGGAAACGGCGCAAATGCCATAGGAAACGGCATAAGAAATTCTGTGAATCGTGTTTTTGGTATGTACACTACGTAAATGCTTCCTATCATAGAGCAATTATTAACCAAGTTAAAAGGAACAAATCAAGGAGATGAAGTACCTCAGAACGAAGAAATCGCCCTTCAACCTCTTGCTGAGCAAAGTGGTGAAGTTTGAATTTTAACGAACCTGGTTTACGTTTTTATAATTCGCATTTCCTTTGGAAGTATTCATGTCAATATTGCAGTCCATCAACCTTGCATTCGCATTATCCTCCAAAGTAAGCATTATCTTAATAAGACGGCTTAAGGTGCTTTTGTCATTCACTCTTTCATGAATCTTTTTTATTCCTCACGCAATATCGTTGTTTATGCTTTGTGAATAGAATTGAACACTCTTTTTAATGATTGTTTAATTACTTTAACGAAAATTCTTCCGTGATTAACTATAACTTCAACACAGTGTCGTGTAATTGCATGTCTTTAATAAATGTAGTCAAGGCCGGAATATCGCAATGTCATCATCATACAGAAGAGTCTTTAACTACAAAATGTAAGAATGTCCTTACTGGATCACAACTGAACTTGTAGTAATCTTACCGACGGGAACAGATGTTTATGGCTATACCTAGACAAAAACAGCACACCAGTTCCCGCTCGATCACTGCAGTTAAGCGACCGAGGGTCTCGTTAGTATTATGGTTGGAGACAACATGGGAATCCGGGATGCTGTAGGCTTTTTCTTCTTGATTTTTCCTTTTCGTTTTTGGAATTCTTAATTATTGCTTCTATATAACTTTCAAACGCCATAGTTCATTCGGCGAGATTACGCGTTGACCTCGTTCGACTGTTGCACAATGCTACTGAATAGGTAACGATCCAAATGTACAATAATAAATCATCCGCATAGGAGAGACATAAATGGAACGTTCAATTATAGATATATGTTCACTCTTTAAACTTATTTTTGAGAATAAAATTTTAAGTAGCCTAGTTGCTACCAAAGCAACATAACATAATGGACACCGATCTTATTCTCATTCTTTGTTTCCTTAATATGGGAATTAGAAATTAAGATGATGGAGATTAGTTTCCCGAATTGAAGCAAAAGTTATAAGTTTGCAAGTGGGATATTCGATGATGCTGCTAGCTTTTTCAACCATTCACTTAAGAAACAAGGAGAACATTGGCGCTGGCATTCATGGAACCAAATTTCTGCAGTGCTTTAAAAAAAGCCGTAGCGTTAGCAAAAAGAGGGCTGTTCTGGGAATCGAACCCAGGACCACCATCACCCTAAGATGGTATCATACCACTAGACCAAACGGCCATTATTAACTTAACCTACAAATAAGAAATATTTGCGATGTATAGAACTACATGGCCAAAAAATTTAATACCATGAAAACCTGCGTTCCAAATTAGCAACTAAATTTTATGCACATTGAGTTACTTAAAGGCTGCCTCATTTGACCTTAGTAGGCAAGCTTTAATATATATACAATCGTAGTATATGGTTCTTATGAGAAAAAAAAAAATTGGCAAAAGAACAAAGGCTTTTGTACCTTAAAATAAAAGTAGTATCATTTTATATTTTTATTTATTGATTAAAACTTCAAGACACTAAGCCGTCGGTCACTACTCTTGTCTTCCTAGAATATTAAATAATGAAGTGGGTTTTTACCAACCATTTCGAGTATTTTGGTTCTTGACAAACTATTCCTTCAAAGTAACCGACATGGCCGTTTGGTCTAGTGGTATGATACCATCTTAGGGTGATGGTGGTCCTGGGTTCGATTCCCAGAACAGCCCTCTTTTTTCAATCACCGATCATCTGAATTTGATGTTCGCTTCATTAGGAGCCCTATGATGCTTTAGTATCTTAGCATCACAGGAGAGCCTCACACGATTCTTACGTTTAGTATTACTTTATAGTCTAAAGAAAAATTTGCGGTTTATATTTGAATATACGACTTTAAAAGACAATTGTTGCTGGTTAGCTAAAGTAGTAAACTATTGTAACCTATTTACTAAGGAAAAGTGGGGAGGAAAACCAGAGAAAAGCAGAGCTATTAAATTGCTAATGAATGATAGAAAAACAAGATTAAATTTAAGCACCAGTAGCAGGGAAACCACAAGCGATCTTGAAGGAGTCATAAATGAGCCATTGAGCACCAGTCAAAGTACCAATCATCACAATACGCATACCAAGACCGTTCCACAAGCCACCAAATCCAATGTTCTTGTAGATACGAGAAGCAGCAGCACCGACACCTTCACCAGGCTGCTTGGAAGAGTTAAGCTTAGAAACCATAGTATCAGCGGGATGGCTAATGATAGCGCAAAGAACACCAGCCATATAACCACCAGCGAAGGAAATACCAATCTTTTCACCCTTGCTGTATTGGTTCTTGGGCTTACCAATGTAGTTGTACAAGCTTTCGACGATCTTTTCAAAAGAAGCGAACTTCATCATAGTATAGGGAATTTGACGGAACCACAAAGGAGTAAGACCACGGTAGAGAGTACCGAAACCTTCAGAAGAAACAACCTTAGACCAAGCCTCACGAGTAGTGTTGGCAAAACGGGGAGTAGTAGTTTGAACACGAACCTTAAGAGCTTCCATAGGGCACAACATAACATCAGCTAACAATTCAGCAGAAGCAGAGGCAGCCAAATAGACACCGGTACGGTAGGTGTGAGCATTTTCGGAACCAACGATCTTTGAGTATTGAGTCTTGAAAACTTCGTAGAAACCATATTTACCCAATCCTTGAAGGGAGTAACCAAGGAAAGTAGGGACACCACCAGTGAAGAGACCACGCATACCTTCCTTACCAAATAAGGAACGCAAACCAGCAACGTTGCTGGGATAAACGTTAGGGTTTACTTGTCTACGGCACTTAACAACATCCAAGGGAGTAATGGCAGTGTGGGTAATACCACAAGCCAAAAGACCACCCAAAGAACATAAACCGTAGTACTCGGGGGAGTAAAGTTGAAGACCCTTCTTTTCGGGAATTATGGGGGCAGCGACGTTCGACATTGTTTCAATGAAAAGATGTAGAAGCAAATGAGAGCTAGGTATTACTTACGAACGAATGTATATTCAGTAAGGCTTTAAAAACGATTTTTTTTGTCGTTTTTAAAGAATAATTAGTATTTATTTTAAAGGAATGGAATTTGGATCACTAGGAGATTGAAATTAGAACAATCTTCAATTTGCTCCAAAGAGGGGGGTGGTTTGTAGAAGGTAGAAGTACGGCACCTGTGCGAGAAAGAAATCTTTCCGCGCGTTACGGAACTTGACTGTTTCGCCCATCCTCTTCCGTTGGCTCGCTGCGATACGCTCTATCCCACTCTGAATAAGAGCTTAGCGTACCATGATCCCATTCCGTATGCTTAATAACGTAAAAATGATTCAGACAAAATTTGTCGTATAATATGAACATTTTTACTATACCTGCAAGAAAGTTCTGAGTATAGAGAAAAGAATTTATAAAAATTTTTGAAATGATATATTTCCTGATCTTGCTGCCGAATTTTGAAAGGTAGCTGATTACCCCAATACTGCGACCTATTCAACACTTTACTCCTACAGTGCTTTCCAACGATTTTTGTATAGGTATTAAATAAATTAATAGAATCTATAATTTAGAGCTTTATTTAGAATTATTCTTTTAACTTATAAACCAGAAAATCCAATACTTCCAACGTATACTGTCGACAAGACTTTACACTCTATTAAATTAATTGAGCTGTGACAACAACCAGAGGAAGGTTTTAAACCCTGCCCAAAACAAGTTTGGTAAAAACATTACCATTCCCAATCCGAGGGTGTTTCAGAGGCCCAATTAAACTTGTCACGTATTGTTTTACTGAACAATTTCTCTATAGGAACTTCTTCTCGTCTGCTAAATGAAAACGTAAGCCGTGGGTCAATGTAGTTAATTTTACTTGTCGTTAAAGCCGTCGTCTTGTTTTCATCTTTGTCAATCATTTGCGTACGCATCACCTTTATACGGTCGTTTAATTTTGACAAGCGGCTCTCCAATCGTTCCAGCGTTGCACGTCCAGGATGTACTTTCGTTGTTCTGTATTCAGCATCCAACACTGCTTTCAACTGATCCGCAGCCGTTAGTCGCTTTTCTAACTCATCGTCAGGAAGCTTGCCTTTCGGGTCTTCAGCCATGATTTTTTCGTTATCACGTTCAAATTTTTTCTTGATCTTTTCTTTTTCTAATTCATAAAGTAATTCGTGATGCCTTTTAACCCATTCATCATCTATACCTTCTTCTCCTTGTACCAATTCCGGCATTTTTTTGGATAGTTTAGGTTCTAAACTTAACATCATCCTGTGTAAACGAAGTCTTTGATATTGCAGAGCTTTGATTCGTTCCTCATAACGTTCCATCTGAACGTCATGATTTTTCGTAACAGACCGCTGATGGTTACATAAAATTGCTACAGTTCTGTTGGCACGATTGTAGAATAAGACCTTATCAGCAAGAGATAAGTTCTTTGGCATTTTCTTCAATTCTTCGTTCATCGTATGAGATGCGTTATATGTACGAAATACCTTGGCTGACAATCCATCCATCAGACTAGTAAGGTATTTGTTCAGTGTGTTGGTGGTTAGACGATCGAATATCAAGTCCCCTTCCTTTTTTGGAGATCGTTTAAAGATTCTCAGATTCTTAAATACTTGTGGGTCTACCTCAACTTCGTTGTAATATCGAATTGAATCTTTACCTAAAAAGTCAAAAATGACAATGTTAGGGGGTTTAAGACTAACATGCTCATATCTTAATGAACAGCAACCGACAGTATCTGCTTCGTCTTCACCTTTTTCGTTACCGGCACGAAGGGCAAAAACATCAATCAAATACATAGCTGTTCCTCGTTGGCGCTCCACTGTTAAATCACTTTTAAGGTCTTTAGTATAACCTTTACGGATATCATCGATATAATCTTTTAGTTTTCGAGATTTCTCGTATTTCTTCAAATCACTTTGTCCCTTTAAAGAACTTCCAGCTGCCAAAAAGACGTATTTTACATTATTATTAACATTTTCATGCCAAGTAGCCAGCCATGTAACTGTGTTATCGTGTCGTACTTCAGCCCAATGATGCCCTGGCAAAGGTTTCGGAACAGGTGCTTCTTTACCAATGTTGATCGTAATTTGTTCTGGAAAAACACGTCGCTTTAATGAACCCGTCTTAGGATGATTGCCTCGACCACGGAAAAGTCCGGGAGGTTCAATGCGGAAATTACCAACACGCTCCTTACGGCCGTCCAGAATACACCATTTATAGCTTTCTTCTTCCTCATCTTTTTTCTTTTTAGCTTCCTTCTTTTGCTCCTTCGGCATATTCCGTTTTTCTTCTCTCTTTCGCTCAAAGTAGTGAAACATTTGAGAAAAATCACATTTTGAAAATTCCTTAATATTATGTTTAAAATTACATTCCTTACACACAGCTAGAAAATCGCGGAAAAAGTTTTTCTGGAACGTTGGATTTTTTGCATGATCAGTTTCTAACATAGCACCAAAAAATCCTGCGACTTCCTCTGCTTCCAAAGGAAGATCTACTGGTTTACCATCATAGTAAAGTTTGACGTCTTTAGGAAGTGGTTCATAAGGAGGAGCGAATAATACACCACTATGCTCCAGAGTCGACCATTTTTGAGTACCATCAATGTTTCCTTGTTCCCACCATTTAAAGTCTTCTTCTTCTTCTTCTTCCTCGTCATCGTTGGGGGAACGATTTCGAGAAGTAACCGCACTGGATTTAGGCGATGGAGATGGAGGCCCGCTTTTTAGTGGAGTTAAATCTCGATCATCCATTTCTTCTTTCTTAACAGTGTTACCATTGGTTTTCTTTGATTCCTTAGATTTCCCTCTGGCTGCTCTCGGTTTCGCTTTCGCTTTGGCGTTTAATGGTAGGTCATCCTCATCTTCTTCCTTGACCTCTTGGTCTTTTTTACGCGTCACTTTTTTGGTTTCATTGTTGTTTTTAGTGCGTTTAGACGGAGGCTTATTCTTTTTCTCAACAGGAGCTCGTTTACTTCCTATAGGAACGTTGTCTTCCTCATCATCGCTTTCAGTTTTCACAGACTTAGCTTCGCTTAAGGGAAGCTCCTTTTAAACAATGGTTAATTAACGAAGCAAAACCTTTACACATACATCAAAACTTTCATTTTCATCGTCTGACTCTTTAAGATTAATTTGTCGGCCAGTGTTTCGACCAGATCGCCTCCGTGCTGAAATAGAAATAGAATCCGAATCTTTTCATATGTTATTACAAATCACAAATGAAAATGTGCGTATTCTTACCTGATGAAGACATTCTTCGATGTTCGTGTGTTGTGAAGGGAGAGTTTATTACTACACGAAGTCAGTGCTGGCATGGCAACCAAGCGACATAACAGCATAAACAAAAGGTGCAAGAAAATATTTTATCAGACGTTATAATGTACACTGTATTAGACAAAAATGGTTTCTTTTCAAAACTAGAACTGTATGGTCCTAGGAACAAACTATTCTACAGCTACCAGCAAGAGATAATTGAAGGGGTTTCTTAAGCCTTGCTCTCCCAAAAAGTTAAATTATTCATCATGATCAATATTCGTTACTTTTTTTATTCATTAAATAGAGATGTACGAATAGGCATTACTCATCAATTAGAGTCTGGATAGATGGCGTAAAAGACTGTACTACTTTACCACCAGTGATCATACCTGTAGTCATAAATGTAAATTCAAACTTACCATGCTTTTCAGCTAACAAACGAAATGCCGAAAGCTCAGTAAAAGTGCAACCTCCAAGGAAGAAAACAAGGATTTTCCTCTTTTTATCCGTTCCTCGAGTAAACGTTCGGGAAAAGCTTCTATCCTGTTGTTTGAACCATTTATCTACGTACTCCCCAGGAAGACTTTTCAACCGCGGAAGCTTCTCAGGATTGTCTCTATTCTGCAGTATATCATAAGACATGTGCACAGACAAGGGCCCATATCCACTATAGGTATAAGAGATGTCTAAAGGATGTTGTTCATTCACTTCCTCATCAATTAATGGATAGTTGTTCAACCAAGTAGTATAGGAGAATGACCTTTGCAAAGAAATGTTACTTGAAGGTCTAACTCGTAACAACCCAGCGTCAATCAAGCATTGAAAAGTCAATATATTTTTATAGCCATAAGTTTGAACAATTTCTTTTCGATAATAATCGATATCTCTCTGCTTCAATCCAGTTGAAACGATGCTAGCTAAACAGAGTATACGGAAAATTTCTTCGACAGGCACATCCATGTATATCAGTTGATCTAGCAAAGGAAATTGACTAGAAGGATCAACACCAGATACGAGTGATTGCTGTATCTGCAAAATCTTACGAAAATTATTACTTTTAGTATGCTGCATCATTAATTCAGCGAGTCCAGTGTCTAGTCGTTAGTTAATTATCATGAAAGTTGCTATATCTTCCACAAGAACATACGTATATTTAATGATGTGTGCTCCGACTGCAAAGAACCCAATTTTGACACGAAATCGCGTATTTGATTCACTGTTTTAGCTTGGCGGCGGCCTTCGTAGTCACTCGAAAGTTTCCTAGCAATTTTTCCCAAATGAGACCCGATACAGTTGAAGTTCACATCTTTAACATCTTTAGTAATGGTACTGTATGACGAACTTAGGGAAAACTTTTTATGCGATCCGGAAGACAAATTCTCATTTCGGCTTACCAAGTTAGGGGGAAGTTTAACATTCACTTTAGGTTATGTTAGTAAGATTTTTAAAATAAATACTCACTCTGTTCAATTCCTAGTATTTCATCTAAGAGACCAAAATACGTTAACTGAGTAAGAAATGGGGTCACCCAATCCATTGAGCGATCCATAATCAAGACACTATCGTAAGAAGTAGACAATTCGTAAACATCTTTTCTTGCATTGTTTATGGACTCTTCTTGATACCATTTATCCCATATTTCGACGAGCTTAGCAGAATTGAAACCACGACCCGATGCCCGTGGAAAACGACCGTTATAGGATTCAAAGTTAACCAGGGCACTGACAGAATGCTTTAATAAGTTTTCTTCCTTAACTCCAGGACCTAATTCTAAAGAAAAAAGATCCTCATCTAATGGTACTACATGTAGCGACCATTCCATAATAACCAGTTCACCGAAAACACCCTCTTCTTGCAGAACGGTCTCAAATAAAACATTTGTACCAGGTAATAAAATTACAGTGTTTTCTGTCTGGTTCATATCCTGCTGATGCTGTCGGACATGAGCAGATACTAATTTGGCATTCTCATATGTGGGTCGGCATAAATATATCACTTTTTGGTCCAACTCTTGAGGTATATTACGATCAAACCAAAACACTTGAGGAATTCCATGCTCTTGGAGGGTATTAGTCGTAATAATCTGCCCTAAAATACCAGATAATTCTCGCTCTAGTAATAAACTCTTCTTTCCCGCAATCTAAAATAATGTAAGCCAGTAGATTCATACGTGAAATTAGCTTACAGAATCTATTAGGTCCAGTAAATAAAACCTGGCTGTTTCTTTTACGTCCTTGCTCATTGAATCATATAGTTGGCCCAAAGTGGTAAAAGTGTGGAACACAGTTCAGCTCAAATGAAACTAAGCGGATGCCTTCGAATCTTCCTTCCTTTCAAGTTAATAAATTATGGCATCTTCAAGATTTTATTTTCCTACAATGTTTGATGCTACTGCTGTCCACAAAGTCTTGTTGATTAGCAAAACAAACCGAATTCACCTAGTAAAAGAAGCTTAAAATACAATGATAGACGGTCCTATTTTTGATGATAGCTTTTTGAAAAAATATTAGAGACTAACTTGGCAATGAGTCGAACGAAATATATTCATTTACGATTAGGCCATAACACGATAATGTTAGTTTCAATTGAAGCTATATAATATACTTTAATTTAATTATGTATCGAATATAATGGTTATTATTTCCATCCTGACATTCTGAAATTTCGTTCGCCTTGCGTACCACTAGCACAAATTTTTAAAATATTTCTGAACGCAGCAATATTGTTAATATATCCCAGTTCTGAATGACAAATGGGGATTTTCATGAGCAATACTTAATACGTACGTAAATAAACAATTGTACTTACATTGTTTTAACATAAATGATTAGCTGAAAGCGGAGCGGTAATTCAGGATTATCTTGACGACTTTCTGTATACATCTTGGTACACGGGAAACCGAAACCTTGTTGAACTTGACAACTTTGGATTTCCTACTGAAGCCAATTTTACTGTAAGCTCTGATCCATTGATCGGGACTACATTTCCTCAAAGTGTTGATTTTCAGGGAATCCCTTGGGGAAATGAAGCCATTGGACCTAGAGAATATTTTCGACTCTACAGACTACATACGTATAGTTTGGCTTGTAATCACTCTGACTGGTCTCCAGATGAATTGTCTCTAGATGATGTTCGAATTTCTCCACATGATCCTTTTTTTGAGTTTCATACATTCTACAAAACCGCTTCTTTCGTAAAAAATCATTTTCATCTTTGCAAAAGTCTTGCTTTCTTTGATGAATTCTCGCTTCTTTATGTTAGTGAATTTGGTATCCAGGGACATAATTTACTGACTAAAGAAATAAGCAACGTGTTTGATCTTCGCGACAGAATTTTACAGAAAAATTCCATTAGCTGTTTGTCAGCTTCTCGACAATTGGGATGTTTTGGTACTTTAAACGGACAGTATGGTATTTTTAATCCGAAAATTCAAACTTGCAGCATTCGCAAAATGCATGATGAGTCGGTGAATCACATTGAGATTTTAAACTACAAAGACTCCGTTGTCCTTGGATGTAATGATGGGTTGGTAGCTTTGGAAAATATAGAAAAACCGGTTAAACAAATGGTTTTCAGCGGTACAGATGCTGTCAACAGTACACATCCTTCTCCTGATTTGTCGCAATTATTAATATGTTCCGATTCCAAAAATGTTCCAATTCTTGATTTTAGATCGAATCAAATAATCAATGAAATTTCTCACTATGATTCTGTCCTCACCGGAGCATGGCACCCAAATGGGCAAATACTTGCTACCGGAGGCCAGGACACCACCTTTAAAATCTGGGATTCAAGGTTTCTAAAGTTTCCCATTCGCACATTGGGAAGCCAAATGAGTGCCATCACTAATGTAATATTCTCTTCAACGGGTGAAAGTCTTGCCGCGGTTGAGCAGGCTGACTTTGTTCAAATCTACAACACCAAGACGTTTAGCGATTGCCAGATTATAGACTTTTTTGGTGAAATTTCTGGTGCCAGCTTCTCTCCTTCTGGAGACACCTTTGTTGTTGGCTTAGATGATCCGATGCTTGGTGGGATCATGGACTTTCGAAAATCTATTCCTAGTCATCTTACTTGTTTTTTCTAACAAGCGTCCTCTTCGTAATAAACGTACTGTCTAGAACTGTAAAAATAATAAATTACTGCTTGGGTTGTTTCATTATGATAACACATTAACTGTATTTAATGTCTAACTTTGAAAGATATTTAGAAAGAAAAAAACCGAACATTACAACATTAACATTAATCTAATCCAAACCCTTAATCTTCAGAGAGCCATCTCATACATCAAAAAACATAATTTATACAAAATATTAGATATATAGGGCGCTTTATTTTTCTTTTTGCTGACGGCATCTCGGGCATTGATCATCGATCTCATCCATTTGTCCATTCTCTGGTGAATCACGATAACATGATTCGTGTACACGGTGACCACATTCGAAATGTAGAAACCTATCGTTTGGATTACAGCTACCTTGGTCTTCGAGTTGACACTGAAGTTTAGTAGATGACGGACGGCTGTACGGATGATGACGAACACTTCTGCGGGCGACAGGAGTAGCCATACGAGGAGTACTAGCTCCTGATGGGACTCTACTTGTTTCTCCAGCATCACTAGTAATTGCTTCAGACGGAGTAGAAACGGAGACTTGACCAACACTATTGTCTTCGTCAATAACGCCAGCTGACTCAACGGAAGGAAGCTCAGATTGGGACGGTTCATCGTTGTTAACTGTGACCTCGGAACTTCGTTGACTTTGTGAAGGTGTTGCGTCACGTGCGGTCGACCTCTGTTGAGATTGTTCACCTGTTTGACGTACACGGTTTTCAAACTCTTCCTGAAATCTTCGAACAATCCGTTGACCCATTTCACTTAGGTGTCTTAAGCCGGTTGGAAGAACAGAAGACAAACCACTACGATTTTCATTATTTTCTAAGGAAGTACTTGCGCCAGTTGCGCCAGTCTCGGGTACATTGCGAGCTTCATTTGGTTCATCATTAGTAGATTCGGCTTCCCCGGCGTTTGTTGAATTGGCGGCAGCACCTTCAGCATTTGGTGGACGGAAGAAATAGATATGAATCATAGGATTTGCAGGGCGAGAGCCTTCGGGCCTTGCGCGATTTTCTACAGAAGGTTCCATAGTGGAAGTGCCTTCTTGTGCATTCGTATTCTCTGCGTCGCCTTCGCTGCCAGCTGAAGGCTGTCCTTCCATAGTCTGGGGCTGCTGAGCACGGTTTTGAAGATTCAACAATCCATTAGGACGAAGTAAACTTTCCAAGACAGTAGGCAAATCTCCGAGAGAAGGTAGCCCATGGAAAGTAATAAATTGATTTGTTGACTGATTTGATGGTCTACCAGGAGCATCCGATGACTCGGTGGCTTGAGGAGCATTTGGTTGACCAGGCGGAGCAAAGTTAGAAGGAATAAAAGGTGGGAAGTTAAGAATATTCGGAGGCTGAACTAGGGTTGATGGTTCAATTGGCCGAGCGGCACCAACTTCGTTGTTCTGATGCTCTGCTGGCTGAGTATTTTGATTTTCTGCATTGGAGGGAGAATCAGTCCGCATGGAGGGCAAATTACGATCCAAAGGATTAGAAAGAAAAGAATTGAAAAGGGATGTCAATGTAACAGGTGGACGAGGGAGGGGGGATCCCGACGGAGCAGGCTCAGTCGTCTGGGCGTTAGGATCAGAATCAACAGGATTTTGAGGTACTGTCTGAGGAGTCGAAGGGGAGTCAGACGCTGTCTCTGTTGGCTGGGGAGTACGATGTGGCGCGAGAACGAAGCGTATACGGTTAAAAGCAATACGAGGAGGTGCAGGTGCACCTTCATTTCCTTCGTTTGTAGGGGAGGCTTCGGTACCATCCGGACGATGTTGTTGCGCGAATGAAAAGAGAGGATTGCTACTTTCAGAAGGAGTTTGTTCGGCATTTTCTCCTGGATTTTGGGGTCGTTGGTTGGAATGGGGAATGATAAAAAGGATAGGAGGATGATTGGATCCGATAGTTTCATGTGGTACTTCCTTACGACAAAGAGGACAGCTACAATGATCTTCTAGCCAAATTTTTAGACAATTTTTGCCAAATATATGACCACAAGGCATACGAGTAGCGCTGGTTTCTTCATCTACGTTCATATCATCATAGCAAATGGGACAACTTTGGTCAGAAAGTTGTTCAGAAGAGACATCCTCGAAAGAATCCCAAGCTTCTTTCAGAGCACGTTTCACTAGAGGCTGAAATGGGTTAATAAAATTTTCATTCTCGTTTCCATCAGCGCCTCCACCACCACCTTGAGGAGCGATAATAAACATAGTACCAATTGAGAACGCCATTTGTTGATCTGGATTTTCTGGGTTACCGGTCTGGCCTTGACCGGGTTGAGACGCAGTGTCTTGAGGAGGAGGTGGTTCAGTACCATTCATTTGACTCTCATTCACGGGTTCTTCTTCCCATGGAAGTGTGGAACGATCTGTCGGGTTGTTGGAATCCATAATAAGCTATATAAGATATACAGACGGAGATGGAACAAAACTCAAAAAAAAGAAAAGAAATAATGAAGACAGGTAAAGGAGCTTCGGATAAACAAAATGATGAACTCAAGAAGCAATGAAAGTCGAAAAAAAATGGAAATAAATAAAAAAGGGATAAACGTATGCAAATTCTGGAATCAAATATGTACCTTCGCAGTTAAGGGTATATTAAATACACGTAAATGACAATTCAACTGAATGAATATATACAACAAAATGCTAGCAAGCAATCTATCCGAGTCAAAGTTGACTAAGATGGATGTTCAAACTAAAATTCAAGAAACTAAACAGGCTTGGAACAAAAAAAAAACACCTAAAAAACTCTTGAATCCTCCATCGAAAGGGCGCGCTGTCTTACTAAAAGTTCAAATAATGTGTCTCAACTATCAAGAACAAGTTTTAAGTATTTAACTCAAACAGCAGCGCTTTAACTTCGTTTATATACAAGGCAAAAGACAAAAATGGATGGAGCTTTCTTGGTTATATAGAGTGTATGATAAATCCAAATTTACGCAACAAAGGAGGAATTGGAATTTATACAAATCGCAAAAGTATTCAAAATCACCCAAAGATGTTCACTAATTCGGATTACGAAACGGAACGTACAATAGAATTTGTAAGAAAATTACGGAACGTTTACATAGTACATCTGGCCAAGGAGAGTGGCAAGGTAACAAGCTGACTTCATGAACCTGGGTTATCATACAATAATATCATCGTATACATTAAACATATCGCTTTAGTAAAATTAATACGAAATGAAGGCAATATAATAATAAAGAAAAGAGTTCATAATATCGGTTTAGGGAACAGGGAAACCAGGCTAAGGCTGTCTTATATAATTTGATGCGAGGGCTAGTAAGGAATGGAAAATAATAGAAAAGAAAGAGAAGAAAAAGAACGGTACATCTTCTTATACATACAACGGATGCGTTAAAAGTGTATATACGGAAATTTAGCCAAAAAATCGGTTCACAAAGATCCTTGACAGGAATTGGGATACATATCCAGAAGAGTTTGATTCAACAAGTTCCGTAGCCCATCGTCTTTTAGCATCTTTATCACATCGGCTGTATGCAGCAGTGTTAACAGACGTTAGGGAAACGCCTATAGCTACAAGAGAAAGCCACAAAAATTGGAAGCGAACCAAGGCTAAAATAGCCAATAGGCACCAAATTGCCGGATAAATATACAATCCATACCAAAATACTTTTTGGTCTATCTTATTTCGAGGACGATTGGGGTCAGCCGACTCAAAAATCCATATACTTTCACCATCAACACCCGTTTCATTTCTCCATCTTAATCCGACAAGCAATCGACCTGAAACGTTTTTCACCGTCCAAAGATCCATTGCCAATAGTGTAAATATTAAGATAAATAACAGCATACTAAATAGAAATTCAGGGTTAGCATACAGCAACTCATATCTTTCACATTCCAAGTTCACAACATACAAGCTAGAGGTAAATAGCATTCCTAAAATATACGCAACAATGGCACTTGTTCGAAAGAACAAAAAGAAGAAAAGAACGATTGGATGAGATGACATTTGAAACATTCTTGGTACTCGAAAAGCGTTCCTCTCTTCATCTGGTATTGCTGGTGCCTCTTGTGAATTCATTTTTTTTTTTCTCTGTAATCCTCTTTAGTCCAAGATATAAGGATAGAAGTATAAAACGAAACTCTCTGTGAGCTTGCTGATGCGTCAACCAACTCCTGGTTGTTGTTGTTTAAATACGGAGCTGCATATTCACAACGATACTCAAAAATTATTGAAACTAAGCACTTTTGCGGTACTAAATAAAACAAATGAATTCTTATATTTTGCAATTCGTAAATACATTCCAATACAGGTCAAAGTAACTATTCATAAAAGAAGTTGAAATATAAACAAATAAAGTCGTAGCAATCCATACTGTCTTGTCTAGTCTTGTCTAATCCTAATGTAGTGTAAACACATGAGCAATAGAACTCATAAGAATCACACCGATATTTGGCTTCATGAACTAAAGACGCAGTTTCGACAGTAAAAATAAAAGAGCGAATGGAAAAATAGTTATCAAAGTGATTGTAAGGTACTGCGTCTCTCAATGACCAAGGCGCATCTCAGCAGTGGAGTACCTGGTGAGTGCTTTATAGAAACTCAAATAACTGGGACTGGTAAAGATCGGATCATGAAAGATTTCACATAAACGTAATTGCCAAGGAGGGAATCCTTGTAACTTGAGGTAGGGTGAGAAAACTATTAATAGGTCGGGTTCAGGAATAACGCTTTCAGTCAACTCTTTATCAATCAAATCTTGGGTTACTTGAGCACTTGTGATTACCTTTTTCTTGGTTAAATCAGCCAGCCCACGCGTTAAGTCAATGATGGCATCTCTTCCATCTTCCTCAGCAATCAAATGAACCGTCAAATCCTTGGGTACCTGTTGCTCTTGTTCAGTGTTTGAACAGGAATTACGAACTTGTACGACACATTTTTCTCGACCAACGTAAAACGGAAGATGAGAATATATAGCCTTCTCCATGGCTTCAGGGTATCGTTTCAGGAACCCTACAGGTTGATTAGTATATTGCAAACTCGGTCATAATGAAATTAGAAATATATTCTATTCGTACCCTTTCGTTCATAAATCGTAAGCTCAGGTATAGCAGAGCAAATGCACCATGCTGCTAGTTCACATGTATCATGAATTAATCCTTCTAACCCGGTATTATCGCGGCATTCCAGTATGACAGACAAATGTCTTGGTTTCTTTTTCAATTTGACTGTATCTCTTCGAATAAGGTCACGACTACAATGATGATGGTAGAGAAAATTCAACAAATAATTGCTACCCCATGAAATCCAGTTCTCACTAGAAACGTAGACGCTAAAAGCTTTATGTATCAGCCAATAGACTAAGAAATAAAGAAGTCTACGAAACATCTTTTTTTTGATTGTTTTTCTTAATCGATGTGAGCTCTTTTTAACTTTTTATTATATCCAGCCGGATGAAATATTGCAGCAATAGAAATAAATTATAAATGGTTGAATAATTAAAAATAAGAAATTATTTCAACAGAAGTATGAGTTGCTATTGTGAAACGTATTTGTTATGATGAGGTTCGTATATGGTTAGTGCTAATAGACCCCCAATTAAACATGTAATTCTATCCTACAGGTAAAGGTAGCGTGTTGGAAGAAACACTTTTAGACCATTCGTTTAAAAAAATTAGAACAATACAATAAACTTATAGCTACAAAACAAAGATCGCTTTACTTTATCGTATAGTTCATAAAAATGCTTTTCAGCTTTTTAGCCTAAGAGATATCTCTTTTCTACATCATGAAACACACAAAAAATTGATAACATCAGTTAGAAACAAACAGACATAAAAGTTTATTAAAAGTTTTTTCAAGAAAGCAAACAAGCTGTATCTATGTGCTCTAGTCACTATCAGAATATTCTTCACCACTTTCGGCGTACTTAACAGGTGCTCTGCAATCATGTTAGTGATTTCTCTTTTGATTTCGCTGACTCGTAGTATTTTCAACGTACCTGCTTGAACGTTTTGGGCGCTCTGAAGCAATCGTTTTCTTAGGAGACTTTACGCTTGAGTCACCGTCATCCAATTCTCCTTCTTCTTCTTCTTCTTCTTCTTCATCATCGTTTTCTGGAGGAAGCTCGTCTTCCTCTTCATCATCATTTATCTCTTCCTCCTCTTCATCGCTCACGATCTCAAGCTTTGGTTTTTTGATGTTTTTCTTTGATGAATTTGGTTCATCTTTTTTAGAAGAAGTTTTAGGACTATGCTTTCGCTTTCCTTTGACTTCTTCCAGAGGTGCTTCTTCTTCCTCTGTGGTCAAATTATCTTTTGTATCTTCCTCTTCATTCTCGTCATCTTCCGGTGCCATGGAACGTGAAGCTTGGACGTCTTCATCATCAACATGACCCTGTTTAAAAGCTCTTATTATTTTTTGCTGAACCTCCTCATCTTCTATTTCATCAAAACCGTCAAGATTGTCGACAATATTTCCTTCCAATTTGGTTTCTACATTTTGAATAACGCGTTCAGTAACACAACCCCAGTGTCTCCACATCCAACTTTGAAAGCGACCAGAATCAACAAACGAGCCAAACCTGAGTTGTCCTCGCTCGATCTTTGACCTGAAGACTATGTTAGCGTATGTTCCATTCAAAGATGATAGTATGGAGTCTTCAGTCAAGCTTCACTTGACCATGAATCTTCCAATGAAAAAAAAAAAAAATCTATAAAAAGAATGCATTACCTTCCGCAAAGGTTACTCTTGCAACCTGCTCTGCCAGTTTTAGCGATTTCTATACGTTAGCACTAGCAAACTTGAGACTTTTGAAAAAATTAACAATAATAGCATAAGAAATGAGATGCAGAAGCGCAATTCATTGCGACAACCTCATTACTACTCATCAGCATTCAACTTCATACCAACACGATAGCCTCCACCGCCTTCAGCCATAATAAAATGTGTATATTAAAACGTAATAAATTTGGAATAAACTAATACTCTGCTTTTAAGATACTTTGGACAACTGTTGCCAGGTATTATTTTTGATTTTATAAACAGGAAGGAAGTAGTGTCATCATATGGCATATGAGTAGGAGCAGTCAAATATGTAGGAACGTATGAAACATTGAATAATTAGACAAAAAAATAAATAAATAAATAAGTTAGATCGAAATTCTTTCAAAAATAAAAATAAAAAGATTCCGACTTGCTGTTATAAAGTGAATGTAAATCACTCGGGTACCAAAGGAAGAGTCACCCAAAATGGAACCTGAAAGTACTAAATGTGAAGCAACGAAAGTGAAATGATGCACGCTAATAAAGATTCACAAAACACTCACTGTGCAGGATGGGTTATATAAGAAGCCTCTCCAGTTGTAAAAGTAACGTTCATCCTTTTATAGACGAATGAGTGCATTAATATTTTGTAGACGAAGAAGAAGAGGGTGTTGTTTTTCTATGATGCTGTTCATAAGCTACAGACGAATTGCGAGGAGTTGCTTCTTGCACACGAACAATAGGAATTGATCTAAAAGGTTCCATTGCTGTTAGTAAACTTTTATTGATAAGGAATTGAAGAATAAAACATACATGGTTCTTCGTTTCAGCAACCGTTGAAAGAAGTGACTTATAGGAAAGCAACAACTAATGTCAGAATTTGGCAAACTATTTGGAGACGAAGACATGGAGCAATTGTTTTCATATCTTTAGAAATACTTTAGTGAAATAACTGAAATGTTCTTCGCCAACCGACAATGGATATTTTTGTTTCGGCTGACTGTTGTTGTCTGTCTATGAACGACTCTTTAAAGGAAAAATATATTTGATTCTGTTCTTTTATTATAATTTTTAGGGTTATCTGACTGCGCCTTTAAGCCAATTCGTCTGAAGCTGGGTAATGCACAGTGGGCTGTTGAAGATGGAATCACCCTATGCCTCATAGAATTCTATCAATGACAATAGATGAAAGACAAATGAAGATATCTACATTAAACAAAAAAAAATAGTTGAATAAAAACTTTCAGAGTTTATTTATTATAGAAGGTTTTCGTGGTTAACCCACTTTTGCATACTCAAACGAACGTTTACAAAAGAGAGGCTTGAACGAATAAAATAATGATAAAAAGTAAAACAAGATTTGTAGTCAATATTGACAGAACCTACACTTAGTTTCTATCAAATTGTTTAGAAGAGTATGGTAGCTCTTCGATAAAAGTCAAACTAGTAGCATTAAAATGAAAAGAAGTTGATCTTTATTCTAAGACCATCATTAAGCAAATCTAAAAATAATACAAACATTATCTGGATCTGAGAAAGGCTTGTAGTTTTGAAATTGATAATTTCAAATTCCGGGTATATCTGAACATGCATGCCTGAATACATTATACATTGAGTCCTTTAAATTTGAAAGCATTCTATCAATATCATTTCTTAAATTACCTTCTTTGTTCAAGAACCCGTAACAAATCAAGGATTTGGGAAAAGCTCATTGAAAATCATCAAGTGAAAAAACGCCAATAAATTAAGACAACAAACAAGAAAACAATGATGGAAACAGGTCCATATTGCTTCCATAAAGCTTCCAAGTTGACACGGCGAGCAGCCTTTTTGTATTTAGCGCTTGAAAACCGTAAATCAGAACTTAAGTCGCTCATTTTTTCCAAGGAATCGCCTCGATAGAGTAAGTCTTCAATATTTTTTGTCATGACTCTCGTAACATCCTTTAATTCTGTATTTAGCTTGTCCAAGTTGTCATTTGCACGAGGTGTATTATAAACACGCTTGGATTTCTGCATGAAAATATCTGTACGTATGAAGTTAGCCTTCTGTTCCATTCTTATCATGTCAAACTTGAACTTACCAAACTGTACGAACGCAAAGGGGCGCAAGCCTGGCTGTAAGGCTTCTTCGCCGTATGTGCCCCAAAATTCAACTGCTAGTTCTTCTAAATAAGAAAATGCAAGCTTCCGAGGATAGGAGCGGTCACAAATGCAAAGATACGAAATTCCATGGTCGATAACATAGCTAAACAGAGTTAATAACCAATTTCTTATACTGCAAGCATCGTGCAGTCTACGATAGGTACTCACTGAAATGAATAGTCACCAGCTTCAATGGAAGCTTGTCTTTCGGATGAAGGTGTTAATCTCTTAAGAATTAATTTCGCCTGTTTTTTATGGCTCTCTAGTTTCCTTTCTGTTGATTCATCATCCACACTTGCCGCCAATGGCAGACCTACGAAAAGTATTAGCTTCCAATTCAAGTTACGCTCAAAAAATTAAAGATAAAGCAATTGAAAAGCAAATTCAACACCAAGATTCCGCCTTAAATGACAATCTCTGAAGGAAGAAGTGTCGGCAACACTCAAGACTACAATCTAAACCTTCCCAAACAGACCATACTAAAACGTTCTCTTTCTTTTCGTACTTACCATCCAGTCGTGTCACGCTTGTTGATTTGACCATCTTCTACTATAGCGTGTTTCTGGTTATAAAATAAAATCTACCTTGGCTTGAGAGACCTTGGCGAGAGTAAAACAACCAAAGAATGTGCCCATGGTGCCAAAATAACATGATTTACAGATTTCGTTATGTAACTTTAGGAGAGTCTTTATCCCTCGTATTAGTACCTTAAATAACATTGAATTGTAATTTTAGTTATATTCTACTCAGAATAATCACTATATTACTAAATGGAGGGACATATAATACAAGTCAAGAAAGTGAATAGAAACAGTAGCAAAGCTGGTCTAGCAAAAACAGTATTATTCATGGATCCTAACGAGGATACCGAGTGGTAAGTCAAAAAGGTTACATTTATAGAAAAATTAATGTATAAGGAACGACATTTTACGTTCGAAAGGTATCTTGCCAGAAAAAGAACCAGATGTGGACGATGTGCTAGACGACGCATTGGTAGATGCCAAAGAGCTCGCACACGAAAATCGGTTAGAAAAGAAAACATTAGACGAACTTGATGAATTAGAAGATGAAGAGGATGATGAGTTCTTACAGATCTATCGAAACAAACGGATTGAGGAATGGAAACAGAGAATGTCAAAAGCGAAATATGGCGCCGTTTACCCAATTTCCAAGCCTGAATACACCAAAGAGGTTACAGAAGATAGTAAAAACGTCTTCGTAGTCGTACACATGTTTCAAGATTCGTAAGTGTCTTATACTGTCTCTTGGCAAATTGTTGCGGAAATGGTTTTGCTAACTTCTATCTAGTATTCCTGCTTGTAAACTCTTAAACGGTATTCTTGAGCGTTTAGCTCCCATGTACCCTCAAATCAAGTTTGTGAAAATTGCCGGTAAACAAGCTGTCGAAAATTATCCAGACATCATGATGCCTACCCTGCTTGTGTATGGTCACGGCGATTTACAGCAGCAATTTTTGACTTTAACAACTTTAGGTGGTATGGGAACTACTGTTTATGATGTAGCTAAGGCATTGGTTCATGCTGGCGCGCTTAAGGAGGAAGATATAGCTCCTCTTCGTGAAGCCAGTTCTCTGAACTTTGAATCTGGTCGTCGTGCCAATGAGGCTGACGAAGAAGAAGATTTTGATGATTTCGATTAATCTAGATAAAAAATATGATTTGCATTCTTTTTTTTTTGTGTGTGTAATTCAAGCTTACAATACATTTTGGTCCACTCTGAATTAATATGAACTGTGAAGAAGCAGCTTTATGAATTTCTTTACATTTTCATATTCCAAGTAGAATATCAATATGCAAATAGAATAGTATATATATGCGATAAAAGATTTTCACCTTGCCTTGCTTGAGCTACCCATCTAACTAAAAGATGAAGATACCCCCATATACAGGTGTCTCAAAATATGCTATTAATCAGGTAATAAGATTCATCCAAAAGTAAGAATACCCTTACAAGAATAAAATCAGCACGCACTCTCACATTGAAATCACGCATCCAGTTTTTAATTAACGATTCTCTTCATGTTTACTGAACGCTATGGAAATTATCAAAATTATTACTCTATGCGAGGTGATGGATCCATATTAGATTCTCGTCTTGAAGCTTTACCAAAAGATTTATTTGAAAACACTTCTGTTTTAGATGTTGGTTGTAATAACGGCACGATTACTACTCAGGTCGCGTCTTTATTTAGCGTCAAGTACGCTTTAGGAATTGACATAGACTCAATTTTAATTAAGAAAGCAGAGAAACACCTAGAGTTTGTTGCTTCCAGGATCGGTCCTTCGAATGATGACTGTCCGATGATTTCAAGATACAATTTTTACCCAATATCTAGTATAAAGAAATTTTCAAGGATTCAAACAAAGTTTCAAGAACCGTTGAATGAAGAAGGGTTTCCTCATAACGTGCAGTTTCAAGCTGTGGATATCCAAAAATGGTATCCCAAAAAGCGCTTTCAAACGATTTTGGCCCTTTCCGTTACCAAGTGGATTCATTTAAATGGACTAGACGAAGGCCTTTTAAATTTTTTTAAGAATATGCATGCGGCACTGGAAACGGACGGTGCGCTAATCATAGAGCCTCAGTCATGGGATTCGTATCTTAAAGCAGCTAAAAAGAATATTGTAAGACAACCTTTTGCATTAAGACATAACTAACAAAATAGATTTTTGAGAGATCACTGTCAAAAATTCGCATACGCCCTGAAAACTTCCCTGAAATTTTAGAGCAAACCGGATTTCATCTTCAGAATGTTATAAGTTCGGAAGACGCAAAACCGAAAAACGTTGAGCGAAAAGGGTATTTGAAAAGAGATTTATTTTTATATAGGAAAAAAAGAAATTCTTAGGTGAAATTGTAATAGTTGCTCATGGAGAATCGTTTGGGAATATTCGTAGCATCAAGACATGACTAAACTTCTATTACGTTTTCTATTTATTTCTAGTATTTATTGAGTTCAAAACTTAAAAGAAATAAGGCGTAACTTAGATTTGCCCTTTAATATCAACGACTGCATGCTTTTTCTTGACGGCATCAAACTTGTCAATGCTTTCTTTCATTAACACACGTTCTGGGTCATTTGGGTCAAACACAGACTGACATTCGAGAAGAAAGTTTCTACATTCATCCATGTCTTCAAAAGCTAGCGTATTGGCAATAAATTCAACAGAAACGGAGGGGCGGTAAGCCTTTGAAATGGTGTACATGGCATTGACCCGTTCTCTTTCGACAAAAAGATCCATCAAATAACCCCCCATGTTGGGAGCAGTTAGATATAATTGAAAGAACCTGTAATAATCAGAAGTAGCGATTGCTGATCTGACTTCTAGAGCGTGCTGAACAGCAGGATTCTTTTTTTCTTCATCTTCCAAATTTGCCAAAAGACTATTCATTTCTATAGTGCGTAAGAAAAAGAAGTAAAATAAACCACTTACCTGATCTGTTTCTCGTATAAAGTATGTAAAGAATTCTGTACGCTAAGAATTCTTTGACTTTTCCAGGGATGTCAAATCCATACAAATGGAACAGTTGAGTCTGGCATTGATTATATTCACCAATATCACCCTAAATGAATGTTAGTAAAAGACATTAAATCGAATGTACCTTTTCTAAAGCTATTCGGGCATGAATTTCATAAACCAATACGGAAAAATCATTTTGAATCCTTTGGACAGTTAGATCTTGTCTGAGACTTTTGAATTGGTCACAGATATACGCGTAGTTTTTCTCTTCTTTCCATTTCTTTTTCAGCAACTCCAGCGTTTGTTTTAGTATCGGAAGCGGTCGAATGGTATTAGGGTCAGGATCTGAGGTTAAACGGAGGTATCTTTTTTCCAAATTAGTGGATCTTCCAACAATTGCACCGTCGTTAACAGACTTCTCAGGTTCCACTGGAGTTGATGGGGTAGATGAGCGCTCATCTGCAAGAAACCTACGTTTTCTCTTCTCTTTTTTTGCTCGTTCTGTTTGATCGCCAGAGAAAGAAACATTACTTGATTGATCCAGCTTACGTTTCTTGTCGTCCTGCATCTGATCCTGAATTGCAGTTAATTTTCGTAAAGCATCCAAGTTCATAGTCGACCAATCTATATTCCATATATTTCCATTTTCATATTGACGAGAAATCAAGACCTTAACTTCGTCCTGCAACCCAACATGATTGTTTTCTTCAGCATCTTGGATACATTTACCTATAAACTCTTTCAACGAGTCAGGCCACGGATTACTTTCCGTATCCTTTTGCATGCTTAATGGATTCAGGCATAAAATAATATTATGACCTTCCTTAACTGGAAACTGCAAAGAAGCAAAGGTGCTGGGGATATACGTACGTAGCTTTGGTACACGCTAAACGTTCAAACGAGCAGATCAAAAACTTTTTGACGGACAATTTTAATTGAATTTTATTTCAGCTAAAATATGAATTAATAAACAAAATTATTGAACAGTGAAGATCATGAATTTATTCGTTTTACTATCCCAGATGGCAAAAACAAATTATTAGGGTATCGCTACGCGAATGTTGGTAAAGTGATTGAAACTTGTTTTGACTAAAAGTAAGGTAAACACGAGAAGGTTTGTTTTATCTGGTTAAAAAGGAAAAAACGATAAAGGTGCGAGTTGAAAAAGGCATTGACCTCTTCTAGCAATCCCTAGATCTCTCTACTGTCAAGAAAAAAGGTACCTTTAATGGAAAGACAACAGGTGATCGATAGCTTTCGAAAACTACTTCCTGAAGAAGAGGAATACAATGATAGACTTTTGAGCCTAGCGGAATCGTTTTTAGCCTGGTCGAGATCCAAAGTTGTGTTGAAAGCAACAGAGGAGCCTTGTAGACCCTACATGGCGGCACATTTAGCATGTGAGGTGTAAGTTTATTTAATTGTATGAAACAGAAAACTAATTCGGGAAAGTATGAAAGGAAGACTCGATTTAGAAGTCCATGTTACTGCAACCCCAATTCCTAAAAAGAAATACGAAAAGCAGTTTACGTATTTTCAAGAAGAACTGCGTCCTTTGACAAAAGATTTGTATGCTCAGCATGATATAATGAACGATGTTCCATTCTTATGTACAAGGATGGGCAGTCTTTCAGCAATTCCTTACGTGAAGGAGTTGGTGAAAACAACTTTGGTGGAGAACATGAGAATAGAACATATGAAGGGTGTACTAATAGCCGCATATCTAATTGTATCTGCTAAAATGAGCGGAAAAGACGAGTTGCGCGTCAACCATGCTGAAAGGAAAGCGGCTCAAGTGATTCTTCAGGACACAAATTCTATATCACAAATTCAATATTGGATGCAGTTGTTGTCTGAGTCCCTAGTGTTTCATCAAATGCCATTGAATGCTATGGAAGGTTATGAAGTCCAAAAGCAGCGGACAAAGCCATGGAGTGGAATTGCGAGTATGGTTCAAATCAATTATGAAAAGAGGCTTAAAAGTTATCCATCATGGAAAGCTAGTATCTACGAACAGTTAGAGCAATTGAGCCAGCCAAGTATTGAGAAATGACAACTAACCAGATTTATAACACGCTGTTGATACGACATATAAAACAAGAAAACTGGGAAAATTAGAGTATATGTGTTTATGAATTAAATTTATTTTTTTCTATAACTTATTTTCGTGCAGGCCGTAACTAGATGCTTTATTATGCTTTCGAGATTGTCCATTGCATATCGGAAATGGAAACCTCCGATCCAGCATTTTCATCATAATCATACCAGTCGTCTTCTAATTCTATTTCTGTAAATTGGGTGCCATTAGCTTCTCCTTTGGCAACCCATTCGCCGTCGGGGACAAACTTGACGAGTTCGCAGCCTCGACACTCCAATTCTAATAGACGTTGTTGGCTTTGGGAATTCGTGTAAGGATGAAAGCGACTGACAATGGCTACAAAAAAAGACATTAGTAAATTTTTCCGAAGTAGAAACATCAAGACCTCTCAAGTCATCAAGTTCTAAACTAAGCGGCACTCGATGTTAACACTTATTCCATACAGATAGTACTTGTTCTCTATATCGGGTTAGCATTAACGTTTTCATAAAAAGAGAAGAAGGAAAAAACAAAGTATGACTTGTAACACTTTAAAAAGCAGATGTTTTTGGACTATATCATACCTTGCAATTTTTACATGTCCAAATCAAGTTGGCTTCTCCCTTGCTTCCAGGAATGTCGTGAACTTCGGATCGACAGATACCGATAGGGTTTTCGTGAATGTCATGACAAGATCCACATTCAACTTCAAACATGTAATAGAAGGCCTCTTCTTCCTTTGGGCTTAAGTTAGAAACGCCAACGAGTTCAGCCTGAAGATTCAATGCAAACTTGACCATTTTATAAAGTTATAAAGAATAAGACTTCCTAATAAACGTCCAAACTGGTTGACAAGTTGGAATTCTGTTTTTGTTAACCGAACTGAAAATTTGTTTCATACTTATGTAGCCTGTATAGTTGGCAAATCTCTAAGTAACAAGGAAGTGACGAATATATTTGACAAAAAACGAGGAAATAGATATTTAGTTTGGCGAGTAAAGAAGAATTCCTGAATGCTTTCAGTTTGTCAATTCTTAAATGCTGCATGCTTTTTTTAGAGAGAATTTTTACCGATTGCCAAAACATCCCGTCAAAAGTGTTTACAGCATTCTTTAATGATTTGACCCTACTGTACTATACAGATAATTAGATCTTGCAAAACAAAAGAAAAAGAGTAATGAGAGAGACCCATTTGGTCCTTAAATTCGAGCTCTTTTCATTCCAAGCTTCGAAAAATGAATTCGCTAGCCAAAATTAAAGATTTCTGAAGAATATAATAGCGATAGACTGCTATAAATTAATAAATGAAAAGTTAACATCAATTATTGAATGTTTATAGTTCAGGCCAAACGGATAAATGAAAACCTTGAATCCATGTATATGCAGATGAGTCTGTGAAGCAATCGGAGAGAAATGGAACGCTACCCATAGTAAGTCGCATTAGCTTTAGATAATCTCAATTGTACATTATACGTATGGATGGACATTCCATTATTACTTGGCCTTGTGTTCCCGCCTACTTCATCAAGGCTTGATTCGTTGACTGTTTGTCATTCTACTCAGAAGAATTCACAAGTTGCTTAGACCAATTCATCAAATTTTATTTCATCTTAATTCATTGAAGCATCAATGTCCATAAAATTCCATTCTTTCTCTAGATCCTTAATATAGCTAGCTTATCCACGGCTTCTTTCATCAACTTTTCGTATGTTCTCGGCTATTATTATATTGGTAAGCGAATTCCAGCGTATAATAATAGAACGTTAATTTGCCTCTTCTTACCAATGTATACACACCAAAACGTATCTCCTTACTAAGAAGTACGATGTTACTTGATTCACTACCACTTGACATCTACCATTGATTTTGCTTTTTACAAACATCCAACTCATTTGAAAGGGAACGGTTAACAAGAATTTATTTATCTATTTTAAAATTGTATTTTTTCTTTTTAATTTTATAATCCTCGAAACCTTTCTCTTTTTGACACGTTGGAAGCTGAACCCATTTCAAGTTTGCCATCTCTTGTGAAATCAGCTATTTGCGTGCGTGCTACTCAAACAACTGAAGCATAGTTGCTTGATTTCTTTTTTTATCTAATAAAAAGATAAAACTGGTCTCTCCTTGCACGCGCTTCTCTTCGGGTTTTGTTTTAGTACACGTAATCACTTCTTCGCAGCGTTATTGAGGTTAATTCTTTACGTTGCCTTTCTTTTTTCTGCTTTTTATTTTTAGATAAATCTACTGTAGGAACCTTTCTTCTTCGTCTGTGTTCCTTAGCTTAGAAGTCGCCTGTAACTTGCCGAGACAGTGATATTTTCCATTGTGGGTTACTTCTTCGTTTTAAGGACTTTAGGAGGTTTGCTCCAGTATTGTTTTTGAAATTTTGTTTCGTTCATAGAGTTCTTTTGAAATCGGATCTCTTGTGTGTTTCCCTTTCGAAGTCAAGTTGACATATACTTTTCTTCTCTCTTACCAATTCGGTACGGAATAATCCAGTTTATCCGTTGTTGAACCGTTCGGCTCGTATACCAATAGGGCGAATAAGAAACGGATATTTGTTACGTAGTGTTCCGGTTTGTTTGTTTACATCTTGCTCTAACGCGGTTAACTTCTCAGGATTAGAACAATTCGAAAAAATTAACGAATTTCCTTCTTTTCCTATCTAAAAAGCTTTCGCTTGTCACTGTTTTTCTATTTTTTCTTCTTCGTTTCAGTGTCGCCAATTTGCATTCACAATTTCCTATTCCAGGTGATCTACCACCTATTCCTCAACCAGCTGTAGTTCATATGAAGGGTGAATTGAATATTCCTTCGCTGAGTCGATTTGGGAAATCGATTTCGGCTTCTTTACATCACCAAAATGACCCTTCAAATGAGGATAACGATACGGGTTCTCAAATTCGTGGCTCATCTAACAGCGGTTTAGGCCGTAGAAACTCCATTTTTAGTATCAACTCCTCGAATGGTTTTGGTTCTTTGTCTGGCAATCGTTCAACCAAGCAGTCCGCTGTACGACCTCCTCCTCTTGCCAGTTCCCCGGATGAAGCTACAATTGCTTTTTCAAACAATAACTCCTCAACTGTTTCTACACCCGTAAATAATACAATGCCTACCAAACCTCCCTTAACTTGGAGTCCTTCTTCAGCGAACCTTTTTGGGACTTCCCGTGTCACTTCTATAATTGGAAACAATGTTTCAGAAATCGTTCCTCCTGTCATCAAGAAAGCTATTGCTTCCTCACATGGTGGTGGTATGTCACTTTCCATTGTTTTATTAGAACCCGTTTTGTACCTTTCCGGATATGACCTCAATGAGTGCCAAAATGAGAATCCTGTCATTTTGCGTGGTGCCTTGGTACTACGTGTCGCCAAGCCAGCAAACATTCGTGGCATTTCTTTGTCGTTTGGTGGCCGTTCTAGGACAGAATGGCCTGAAGGCATTCCGGTCAAAGGACACGAAACTTATGAGGATAAAATTATCATTTGCCACCATTGGAATTTCTACAATCCAAATATGAAAGATGCCGATGCTCCTCAGCATGGAGCTGACGTTGCCCGTCTCGTTGGTCAGCACGTTTCTCTCCCATCTTCCTCTGCTGCTGGTCTTCGAGGCTATAGTGTTTTTGCACCTGGTGAGTATACTTATAATTTTGATTTAGCAATTCCAAATTGCTTTCCCGAATCGGTAGAGGCCAAATTGGGTTGGGTACGCTATTTTTTGGAAGCTACAGTTGAAAGATTTGGTACATTTAAGAGTAATTTGAATGGTCGGACGCCAGTTCAACTGGTTCGTACACCATCACCTGCTAGTTTATCTTCCAGTGAATTAATTAATATTTCGAGAGATTGGGACGAGCGGTTACATTACGAGCTACAAGTCTCTGGTAAGTCTTTTCGTCTTGGTGAGACTGTACCTATCACTTTTAAGTTTTTATTGCTTGACAAAGTCCGACTGTACAAATTGTCCTTGTCTGTTGTCGAAACTGCTGAATATTGGTGCCGCAGCAGGAAGTTCCACCGAGTCGATCCAAAACGCCGTGTGCTTTTGACGGAACGTTCTGTCAAACAACACCAGAACATAGATAGTTTATTCTCTATTCCCGATGAAGGCGATGGCATATCGAGTGCCATTTTTAATTTCGACGTAAAACTTCCTACGTGTTTAGTAAAAGAGCGGGACAGGTTGACGTTCGATACCACTTATAAGTACATAAAGATTCGACACAGGCTTAAAGCTCTTCTGGTTTTGTCTGTTGAAAATGAGAATAATCCGGATAAAAGGAAGTATTTTGAAATTAACATAGAAACTCCTATACGCATCTTGTCTTGTCGGTGTGTAAAAGATTCTACTCTATTACCCCCCTATGAACAAGCTCACCGGGATAGTCAGGTGTTGCTACCATGTCCTTGTCGTTTAGATGCTACTCAGGTTGAACCTACTGAAATCACCCCCTTCACAACGCAGACCGTTTTAGCAAGCTCTTCTGATGGTAGTTCTCGTAAGCCTGCTCGTCCAGAATTATTTCGAATTCCATCAACGAATCCACCTCCCTTTGATGAAGATGTTTGTCCTCCGCCTTGCGAAACTCCTCTCCCTAATTATGACGAACTATTTGATGCTCTTAGTTCTATAAATATTCAAGATTGTGAAACGGATCTTGCTAATGACGACACGATACTGAATAATCGTAACAGAAGAACGCAAGTTACGACCAGTAATAGTACCAGGGTGCCTCGTAGACATTTGTCACGAACTGCTAGTCGCAGCTTTGATGTACATCGTTAGTTTCGATGTCGGATGATCGAACCGCAAAATGTGTAACTTCCGATGTTAAACTTGGGTTTCCTTTTGGTTAAAAATGATGATATGTGGTGACATGTTTGGGTATACCAGCTGGGCTGGTTCTACTGCTACCAGGTTGGATGATATTTAGTTGGTTACATTTTCAACATTGACTTTTTTATGGTCTTAGATTGAAATCGTTGCTTGGGCACATATAAACGGCTGCGTCATTGGAAATACAGTTAAAAAAGAGATTATATGACCGTCAAAAAGCACGTTATTTGTTTTATATATTTACTATTCTTTTTGTTCATGATAATATTATTCCGTAAATCATGATATACTAGATATGTTCGTATAATTGTTATCGTTTACCAGTGGGAAATATTTAATTTTAGTGATAATCATTTAGAACAGCTCTGGAAAATGAAAAATTGTCTTGTGTTTATGGTTATAATTACTTGCTATTGTTTAGGTAGATAAGTGTGTAGAACTTCTGTTTGTTTGGTTGTTTATTTATTATATGAAATATGTGATAGCAAGCCATGACGTATGCCATTTATTTACAAACATGACCAGATGAGCTAAGAACGTACCTGCTAACTGCTTGTCAGTCGTTCTTTTTATAGAAACGAAAATGGGCTTTTCTAACCAGGATATTTACATTTACAGAAAACAGTTCGGTGTAAATTTGGGTGCCTGGTTCGTGCAGGAACGATGGATAAACGATTCTTTGTTTGAAGGACCTGGCGACAGTGAGTTAGATGCTGTCCAAAGTGTTGTTCAGAAACACGGAATAGACGGAGCACGCGGCCTATTTGAAAACCATTGGAATTCTTGGATTACCACGAACGATTTTTCCTACCTTCAGCAGTTAGGTGTCAATACTGTTCGTATACCTATCGGATACTGGACACTTGGACAAAACCAGTTTTTGCAAGGGACACCGTTTGCCCAATATACTGGAGTCTACCAAAACAGCCTTAATATCTTGGTTCAAAAGATTCAAGAAGCGGCGAGCAAATCGATTGGCGTCTTGGTTGACTTTCATGGTGTGTATGGACAAGCAAACGGTGGTTCTCACTCAGGAACCTCTTCTGGAAAAGTGGAATTTTTTAGCAATCCTCAAAATCAACAAAGGATGGTATCCGCTCTTCAATACGCTGCCTCTGTCTTACAGAGTCAACCAAATCTCGTCGGTATTGAGGTGATAAACGAACCAGAATGGGGACAGTATGATGTACTAAATTCCTATTACCAAAATGCTAGAAAAGTGATACCCTCTTATTTGCCTACATACATTGGCGATGGCTGGGACAAAGACCGTACGTAAATGAATTATATAATTGCATTCCTTAGAGAATCAATCGATTGCTAACAATAAAATAGATTGGGTGAACTGGGTGAATGGACAAGAAAACAATGGCCTTTATATTGTTGATCATCACAGTTATTTCTGTTTTGGAGGTGATTTGGTGAACCAGTCCCCTAAGACAATCACCGATAAGCTCAATTCAGGAGAGGAATATGATAAAACATCACTTTCTAACCTTATTGTGGGTGAGTGGAGTTGTACACTTACCGATCAGTCATGGCAAAAAACTAAGCTGCATCAATACAGACGCAAACAGCTCGGAAAGGCACAAGTAAGTCAATATCTAAACAACACTGGAGGATCTCACTTCTGGACTTACAAATTCCTCCATGGAAAAGATGGAGACTGGGATTTCCGGCTTGAAAATGAGGATAAAGTAGTACGTTATCCCACAAAGCTTCCAAGCGCCAGTAATTCAATGCCATGCAAACTTAGTAAAAGCCGGAAACAAAACTATGCTGGTCACTGTTATTATTGGGACCACTTGCACCCAGGTGGTCAATACGATCACGAACTTTACGTTAAGGGTTGGAATCAAGCATGGAACGATCACGTAACGTTCCTTCATCAAGGTGCTCTTCTAGGATTTCCTCACGCATGGACTATGAAGCGCACAGCTGAAATCCAATCTCAGTCTTCCTGGGAGTATCGAGACGGTATGAATGCGTGCTGGACAAGTATGCAACAACTTGGCTACTTTAAGTGCGTCTAAGGATATTTTCTCTTTAACTATGTTGCTATGTTTTTACCATCACTCCTTTGATAATTTCAGTTTAAACTTGGGTGAGTAAGTCTCATTTCTCTTGATACCACTTGCATTTTTTTCAATTATTATTTATGCACGGTTTTTCTTGAGGCTTATTTTAAAGAAAGGACTAAAGCTCATATGATGACCACAGACCTATCTTACACTCATAACTATACTAAATAATGAGATTCAACTAGTGTTATCCAAATAATGAATAGTAATATTCTGCTTATATGTTGTCTACGAAACATGAAAGTACAATGATATGCACGTAATGTCAGTAATATTTTTCTTTGTTGTAGTCTAGTCATTCTCCAATCCATTCGCATAAAGTGACATATACGTTTCTTTGTAAAAACAAAGAAATATCAATCCTTTTATAAATATATTTCCATCTACTTTAGCAAGTAAAAATTCTACCAAGTACAAACAACATTCCAAGTTGTTTCGACTTACTTGCTGTTAGAGCTTCTGGATTACTAACCTCACTCGTTGGTCAACCACAACAATATCCAAAACAAAAGTGAAAACTTAACAGTTGCTCATTAGGGAATAATTTTTGAATTCTTTTAAAATTATTTGGAATTGTCTTAACATTTGAAATTTTAAAAAGAAAAAAGCGAGTTGTTTAAGGCAGAGTTGATAATTTGGAAGTTGTTGACCGTTCTTTTACCAGAACACTTAAAGAGGACAGGAAAGTTCTAATTTAATTTATTAATCTGAAATTTTAATCATATTAAAAGTTAAACCTTTGTGTCTCATCGGATTTTAAACACGGAGCTAATAGGTGACATTCATAAACGAAACTGAACATTAGACTTGGAATTTGTTTTCACACCTAGAAGACAACTCAAATTTGATATTAGGAGAACTGTTTCTGCTTGTCTTCATTAATTGATCTCTACTAAACTTATACATAAAATAAAACTTCAAAGGGTTCTAGCAAAAATCAATTAACTGGCGGGTTTACCTACTTTCATTTATTTGCTATGTCTGTACGCTATGGAATTGAAAACTTGGATCGCATGAAGCGTTTAAGTCATGGATCGAGAGATGATGAGCTGCGTCGCAAAGAGAATTTCGGGAAGAATAAGATTTTAGGTGATCGTTCAAGTTCATTTAAACATGCTGGAGAAGTAAGTCTAGATGCACCTTCTTCCATGAACAGAAAAGTATTTTCTACTTCTGCGAAAGTACTAAATAAGATTGCCAAGAGTCCCTTTCGATCCGATACTCTGAGAGAAGAGCCTCGGTCGGTGGATCCCCACGTTCTCGTTCGGGCACCATACCGCTCTAAAGCAGCTCGCTCTTGGCGTTCTAAAAGTTCTCAAAATAATCCGTCATGTCCTACGAAATCATTTTCCAAAAGGAACAGCTTTGAGGCTATAGATATGAAAAGAACAAACTCACTTCCTAGTATACCTCGACCGTCTTATTTACCTCCTCCAAAATCGTCGGTTGTATGCGTTTCGCTTGTTGTACAACCAAATGGTGCTGCATCTTTGGTTTCAGAAGATATGAATGAGATGTCAAAAAAACAGTCAGACAAAACCAATCTCAATTCAATGAATTCAATTGAAAGTGATTTTTTATCTACAAATCTTACTAGTAGTTCAAATCTTTTTTCGAGAGATCTTGCGGAACCTTACAGTTTCATAGACGATTTGGGAATTGGTATGCAGCGTTCCGCAACATGGACTCCTGGTTTCAAGTCTTTTCAGAATGAAACACCCTCAAAATTTTTGAATTGTCGCTCAGAATTTCCTTTGGAATGTGGAGTACATGATGCGTTTTATTCTAGAAATCCTATTCAGATAGATTCCATTTCCCCGGGAAAGCAACTTTTTGGAAATTTTCCATACTCGGATGCGCTTGAGGATCCTTTTAGTTCTGAAATGTGTGAATCTGGATCATCATTGATGGGTTCCAACTCAGAGCCTGTATCAGAATCTGCAATGATGGGTGGAGAACCCATGAGGGTTTGCTTTAGCGATAGCACGCTTTGCGATGCCCGTGTTGCAGCTAAACAGGCACTAATATCTCGCAAGCGGAGCGAAAAGAGGGAAGCAGGGAGAGATCCACCCGCGACACCTCCTTCCAAGAATCTTCACAAAAACGATAATGTCCTTCTTTTTCACAGTAGTCCTTTATTTGATCGTTTAGGAAATTCTTTATATCATAATACGAAGCCCCCTAAAACCGAAGAACCCTGGTTTCCAAGTTTCGAAATTTGTTCTGAACCAACGCAGCCATCATTATATTCCAGTGGCTTTGGGGCAGAGGGAACCGATGAATTACTAGACTCGAGTTTCTGTAATGACTGGTAAAAAAAATTCGTTACGCAAAGTATAATGTAATTATGATTCAGGGAACGTTCTGGGTGAATTGCTAATACGCAATCCATATGTTTATTATTTTAATGTACACATTTGTTTTATTTATTATTTTAGTTTATGATTAGCAATGATATTAATGTCTGTATATCCAAGTATAGTCTTAAAATATGTTTGATGCCATGCCATCCTTGTGAACATGAAATTTTAAAAAAATGCAGAACTTCGAAAGAGAGGAGAAATCAGTACAATGTAACGGCAAACGCATTATTATTATTATTATAGATCATATGAAAACGAAGGAACACAAAAGAGAGTATGCGGTAACTTTTTTAAGACTTCATGAAGATGTATAATCTTCTAGTGAATTCGGCAGCCAACCGGGATTTGGCCATACACGGGCAATAACTTTAGCTTTAATTAGGCCCATGGGAACAGGACCATAAATTCGGCTGTCTAAGGAATGCATGACATTATCACCAGCCAACCAAACATGACCTTTAGGGACTTTAATTTTATGATCAGACACCAGTGGATCAGCAAAGACCACGTCTCCAGGCATACCAATAATTCGCTTGCAGACATATTGTCTTGGACCGGTAGGTTTTGCAGCAACCACCATATCTCCAACGGTGCAACACCTTCCAAGGCGACCATGATATTTGTCAAGTAGGACAAACTCACCACCGGAATTCAGGGTAGGCATCATACTAGGGCCAGACGTCATTTGAACTTGAAAAAAATGTTCATGGATCTGATGTACAGCTGCAGCGACTTGGAGGGTGTATAAAGGGACTCGTAAAAACGTTCCCGCCATCCTAAAAGAGAACAGACTCTAGTCTGCAATGAGGTGGAAATGAGAGAGGATCGAGAGAAGTAAAACGGAAGATTTCAAGAAAAATAGAAAAAAAGAGAATCGTCTCTTTCAGGACTCACACATACATAAGAGGATAGAAAAATCAAAACATGATTTCTGTAAGTTTTTGGTTTCACTTTCAATTCTCTTAAAAGAAGCAGTGAAGCCAATCCAAGAGTGAATTCTTTCTAACGACGTCAAAACAGAGCCAAAACTAAAGAACAAAACACCCACTTCAAACTTATTTGAGCAAGTAGTACACTTTAAATTCAGAGATTACGAGGAAACTTAAATAACTTTCTTTCTCTATATGCTTCACTGAGGTCCGTTTGCAACGGTAGAAGCGGAAGGGTAAGATGTAGCAGTAGAAGTGGTAGGAGGTGCAAATAGTGAGGGTCTGCGAGCATGCTTCTCGAGTAATGTGGACATCGCTTTGGAATCGATAAATAGTTTACCGTATTTAAGGGCATCTCGGATTTGAAATTCACTAACTGAGCAAAGTTGCAAGTGTTTTCCTTGAGTAGATGCAGCCTTGTAGAAATTGTTTTGTTTAGCATTTGTAGGTTCAAAGAATTCATCATGCAATACAAACAAGGAACGACCGTATGGATGACCAAGCTGGTGTTGAAGAATAATTTCTTGCAAGACACGGCTTTGTGCTAGGGGAATATCAATGCGATCCTCTATAACCATCAAGTCGTTCTTAGCGAATCTGTAGCTCAAAGCCACACGCATTGCCATATCGTAAACTTGGGATTGGAGCTTTGTGCTAAAATCCCTTGGCTTTGGACCATGTGCAACGGCACCTCCTTTGCGAATAGGGCTTGAAGCATCACCTACTCTTGCATAGCCCGTACCTTTTTGGCGGTATAATTTTTTTCCGGAACAGTTAATTTCACTGCGTCGCTTTGTACTGGCAGTTCCTTGTCTATCCGCGTCTGCCTCGTAGACCACAGCACGATGCAAAATGTCGCGTCGAAAGCGTTCCTGTAAAAAGTGTTTAGGAACCTGAAGAATACTGGTGGGTTCAAGAGAAGGGAATTTATATCTTGTGAGATGGAGCATAGTAAATATATGAGTCCTAAAATACGCTTAAATGGCTTGGAATGGCACTGGATAAAAAATGTTGTTTCCTCTGGTTGTGTGGAGGAAGTGATTTCGCAAGTAAGGAGTTCACTCCTATGCGTTGCATTCATACAATGCACTGCGGTATATCTCGCAAATTTATTTTTGCTATGGGTTTGTTTATATGAAGTCAAGAGTAAATATAGAAAAATGATTTTCTTTTTCAATGGTTCACAAAAGGAAAAAGTAAATTGCGTTCTATTAGAAAAAAGAGCAATGTTTCAACCGTGAAACTTGTATTATTTGGAACAAAGTTCATAGACTGGACAATGTTCCTTTAGCCAACTGGAGAAAAGATCGAATGAACTTTTTGAAAAAGCCAATTGAACGACTTATCTGTTATTAACAATATTTCCAAATTAAAGTATTTATATAGAGAAGTTGGTAGCTTAAGCCGTATGACAATTTTCAATCTTTATGTTTTTTAGTACACATTAGTCGTCTTGTTAGAGGCATCATGAATTAACCAAGCCAAGCATTGGTAAAAAAATAAATAAATAAATAAAAGGAAAAGGGAGTTCTCAATATTTGATCGGATTTGCTATGCTTTTCGTATGAAAACAAACATCTGTAAACCAGGTAAATAATGCCCTAACATTTTTTTCTTTTGTTTACTATATTATACTATGTAATAAAAAGTAAAATACTGTAGAACTTTGGAAAACCGGTTTCGCTTGGTTTTCTTACAAAAGAACAGCGATTCAGTTAAATTTATTGGTTTGTTTCTCTTTGAATTTTGATGTTGATATTGATTTGAATCAGAAAAGAATTCGGCGATTATGTGTACAACTTTTGCGCGCAGTTTTTCTTTCAAGATTTATTTCTTCAAAAAAAAAAAATACAAAAAGAAAATAACAATAAAAGTAATAAAAGAATAAATTAGAGAAAAAGACAGATTCTATTTTCGTTTGTAGAAAAGTTATAAAAGACATTATTCCAATAGCATTAGTAAATCAAATTCGATTATATGATGAATAGGGCAGGAGCATGGAAACTAAAGTAGTAGTTTTCTCTATCCATGAAAGAGTAGCTCCAAAACTAGAAAAAGATTAAACATAAGTAAAGCTCAGAATACCATAGTTGAAAATATTGATATGTTCACTCATGGTAGGATGACAACAAAGGAGGGTATACTCTGTAAATTTAAAAAAATACAAAATTCGTTAATTATGACTTGTTTTTGAATAATAAAGGTTTATATTAAGACCAACACATAGTACATTGTTCACCCCAATGACAAGTATCGTCAACACCAAACAACTACCAAAAGAAACCAAGGTGTTGGAATAACCATTTACAATAATTCAATGAATGGAAGAAGCCTAACTATAAGAAGTGGGAATACTATACAGTTTTGTAAACGAAATTATTTATCAGTGAGTCCAATTTGCAATCGTTTCAATATGTCTCGAGCAAGGATTTTGAACCAGAAGTTTAAGGGTACCTTAGCTTCCAACTCGACTTCAGGATCTATTTTGATGGAAAGTAAATTAGGAGCTAGGGTTTTGACCTTAAATCGACCAGAAAAGCTGAATGCAATGAACCTAGAAATGGCTAATTCGCTTCATTCCAAACTTGTAAGGCTGGAGCAATCAGACTTAGCAAAAGTAATCATCCTTAAGGGAAATGGCAGGGCATTCAGTTCTGGTGGTGATGTAAAAGAGGCAGCCATTGGTATAAAGAAAGGAGAATTAGAACGTGTACGAAAAGCATTCACAGAAGAGTACCGTTTATGCCATACAATTGCTACATTTAACAAACCCGTAGTGGCATTTATGAACGGAATCACAATGGGAGGAGGTGCTGGGTTAGTCATGCATACTCCTTTTCGAATTGCATGTGAGGACACTAAATTTGCTATGCCCGAAACCACTATAGGCTACTTTCCCGATGTTGGGTCTAGTTTTTTCTTTAACCGCATGCCATCCCATGTTGGAAAATATCTTGCTTTAACTTCCAAGGTGGTCAATGGGGAAGACTGTGTACCATTGGGAATTGCAACACATTTTGTTCCCAAGCACATGCTTGGAGAACTTGAACAAAGACTTGCAGACTTAAACACTTCTGATATTAATAAAATTAGAGACACAATTTGTGAATTCGGCAGTGAGGTTCCCCAGCCATCCTCTTTGTTGAAGCCTCAGACTCTTCAAACTATTGATAGATGTTTTGCATATCATGATCATGTCAGTATCATTCGTGCACTTCAAAAAGAATCTCAGTCAGGTGAGGCCTCCGAATTCGCCAAAGAAACTTTCGAGACTTTACTCCGGAAGTCACCCCTTTCTTTAGCTGTGACGAACAGTCTCATTGAACGAGCTGGTAAATGGACAATTTCGGAAGCTTTGAAACATGACAGTATTGCTTCTTACCACATGCTCAGTCAACCCGATTTCTTAATTGGGGTGGACGCACAACTCATCTCCAAGACTAGAAATCCCAAATGGTCTTATTCTTGGGATCATCAATTTGGAGATTTGAAGAACATTTATGACGTTCCCCAGGAATACAAAAATGGAGTCCCGTATCACGCAAAGGAGCGATCCCACACTAGTTCTTGGGATTACAACAAATATCCTCACTCCTATTAATGATTTACAGCCATATCATTAATCTGACTATGTCACCTTACTTATATTTTGACCTTTAAAATGAATCGTTACAGCTACAAAATTCTTTAATAGCTAGCACTTAAAAATGACATATTTTGGATTAGTAGCAAGCCAGGGATTAAAAATCATCTTGCCCGTATCTTCATTAACGTCATGTCTAATCCATACTTCTAGTAAAATACATTCTTTTACTTCATTATCTTCCTGATCCTTGTATAATAGACGATGAACAAATACTTGTAGGAGTTACTAATTATTTATATCTTGTAAACAATTTGGCTATTTATATCCGTATCCTTTACAATCTGTTTTTATCGATGTTTTTATTTTTTTCTAATAGATGTAGACAACTTACTTATGGTTGGAGGATCGTTTAAAACAAAACGCTTGTGTATAGAACAGGCAGAAGCTATTCAATTTCAATGTCAATTTCGACAAGGTATGATCTTACTGTGAGAGATGTTAGCAAAATTCACCAACTATTTATGGGTTTCATAGGTATCATGAATTGTTTACTCTTTCTGTAAAATGACCAGAGTATTTTATATAAATTATAGCGAGTAGTTGGTTTTTATTAACAATAGTGATCGCCTATTTCATTTCGTTTAAGAATATTGAAATGAGATTGAGCAGAAAATTACATATACATAAAGTAGAACAACTAAAGCAGCAGTGCATGTTCCCGGATTATAAATGTAGGTGTGCAATAAACTACCTATAAAGATACTACATACACACCGGCTTCCTTGATTTCACTGTAAGCGCATACAAGTACACGTATGCGTCGCAATTGAACTACTTAGTATACTACAATCATGGAACAGTTTGTTTTGATAATTGCCAAAATTAAATGATCAATATTTTTTTAAAGAGCAACAACAGTAACCAACAATTATACCCAAAATTGTTTATTGAACCATCGACCAAAAGCGCCGCAAAAACTTTTTGTCTAGCAAAAAACTAAAGCATTGAAAAGCATGTATATAAATAACATCGGTTTTGGTTTATTGGTGTCTCAAGTATTTACCGACAATGATACAGTGATCACGCTCATAAGGCTCCAAAGTAAGTTGCTCTTGAGGCTTGATTTTCTCTTCTTGCATTTTCTTAACTTCACGTGCGAAAACAACAGAAGCATCAGCAGTAGAATCGATACAAGAAGCCTTGACAGATATAACAACACCACCCTCATTCTTAAGAAAAGCAGCGGCGTTGAGAGCGACAATACGAGCTTGGTCAGGTTGGGCAACATCAGCAAAGATAGCATCAACCATACCGATCAACATACGGTATTTTTGAACGTGACGAGCATCCTCAACAATTGGAATGACATTAGTGCGCTTCTTAGCCATGTTCAACAGATCACGACCAGATCTATGAGAGAACTCGACAGCATAGACAAGACCCTCAGGACCGACGACATCAGCAACGTGAGAAACTGATGTACCGTTGGCAGCACCCAAGTACAAAACCTTGGCACCTGGCTTGATGTAGATGTTGTCTAAACCACCAAGAATACCGGCGGCAAGCTTGGAACGGAAAGGGTTCCAGACACGATATTCAACCTTGGTGCCATCAGCAGAGTCTACACTGATACGCTTCTCATTGTATACGGATTCTCCGGGAACCAAGTTGCGGGTGACAAGAAGATCTTCTTTACCGCGGGCAATAAAGACACCTCCATGACGATGGGGTTCAACGACAACTAACATAATTAGTAACAATTCTCATAAGAATATAATGATTCTGATGGATTGAGTCAAAATTCTTGTTTTAGTTGGCGTTGAAAATTTTTTGAATCTAAAAAATCTTTCCAAGTTACACAAACGTGCCTATTGGGGTCTTCCATACAGCCTTCCTACATTCATCCTGATCAATCCTTTCGATAAGCTTAAACATACCTTTAGAACCTCCTTTAGCTCCGCCACGGGCACCGCCGCGGCCTCCACGAGAAGCACCACGACCACCGCGACCACCGCCGCGAGCACCTCCTCTAGCGCCTCCACGGCCGCCGCCAAAACCTCCACGGCCACCGCCAAAGCCTCCACGGCCTCCTCTACTGCCTCCACGGCCACCGCGTCCGCCTCTTGCGCCAGGTGAATAAGCCATTATTTTATGTTGTGGTTGGTTAAAGGTCAGTAAAATTTTGACCCTCCAGCACCACATAGCAAGTTGCCATGGTTACTGACCTCTAACGATACGTTCATATACTGTTATTCACTGCGGTAAACCAAAATGTCTAGCTCGTTATTTGATTGTACATCAAGGTAAGTGTCCCAGCAATATCTAATGCTTATGGTTGTATTGCTATGATAATGATGGTTTCTTTTCTTTTTATAATTTTACGATCAACTTACAAACTAGATTGTTCCTTTTTTTTAACTTTGTTACATATATCTGTTTGATTTTTCCATTTATTTCTTAACTGATGCTAAAAGACGCATGTCTTTCGTATATGCTAATGTTTATTAGATGAAACTTTCTAAAATTTCTCGAAAGATAACTCAACAGCAACAGATTGCGTAGAACCGAGAATAGTTATATATGACCAAATAATAGAGACGAATATAGACAATTCCACATAGTTTCAACCAGACAACGAAAACAAATCGCCAACTCCATCCAAACAAAAATTTGCATTGTCATCACTATTATATACACATAAAGAGATAAAATTCCAATGCGTTAGATACATTATATGTTTAAACCAGCATTTATCGAACTTGATAGCATCACAAAACCGAAAAAATATTAAGAGAATTACAAACGAGGACGGTTTTCATATATCCAACCCATATACGTACCAAGCTGAAATGATTTACGGAAAAGCTTCCATGGGTATTATAAGGAAATCCTTCTTTCAATGAATCAGTAACGAGAGATATCGCATAGACTCGAAATCCACCCATATGGAACAACGAAGTAATCAAACACTACTAAAACTTCGTTACTTGCCGAGCTTTTCAAAGCTTCTTTTGCATCCAATGATATACAATTCGAAACTAGAATCGCATCAATCACTTTAATCACTGAGTTCACTGCTCAAAACTGCGTCTTCGTCAGAGGACTCATCCAATGCTTGACCGTCCTCGTCACTGAATTCATCTTCATCTTCATTGTCCTCAACATTTCCTAAAAAGCATTCAACTGCAAGGGGAATAATTTGGTCTTTAAAGATTTCACCTAGCTGATAATCTAATTCCATCAATTCAGTCTTGTCCTCAAATCCATCTTCAGAGTCAGATTCCTCTTCATTAACCTGAGGTGGGGCAAAAAAGTTAAAGAAACTATCGGCAGGAACTGTGCTACGGACTAACCGGGTTTGTTTGGTTCGCTTGTTGCGTTGTTTCTTTGTTTCAACCTCGACAGTTAAATTGCAATCAGGTTTCTTCCACTCGATTTCATCGCCTTCTGCACGATCATATAAAAATTCACCAGTAGGACTTAATTCTTGCTTGTAATAGTAAGTCTTCGTCAACACCTTGTTGGAAAAATAGTCATTGGGTGCAAATTCAAACTCCAATCGATAACCTTTTTGACCTTCAGATAAATTCGAGAAGCGAACATCTTTAAGGGATTCCAAAGCAGCTACATCACGGCTACTAATCATTTCGGCTACGAGATAAACGTTTTGCAAACAAGTGAGCCAAAAGTCTGGGATACCTGTTAGGTCTTGACCATTGTTTTCAAAAACCTCAAATTCTTCGTCGAGCTCTTCGGGCTTGGGTTCTGAGATACCTTGAACGATTTCAGCACGTCTCGAAAATAAGGGGTCATACATTTTTTCATACTTCCTTTCCAATTCCAGCATTTTTTCACGATACTCTACTTGAATGCTTTCGCTATCATTCTGTAATCCCTTTAATGCATAAATTCGAGCATGAACATTCGCCGGTAGACTTTCAACGTATCCAGATGATTTGCCTACCAAGGTGCTCAAACGTCCCTGAATCATGGAGAGCATGGCCGGATTATTGGAGATTAAACCTTGAACCTGGTTTTGGACAGAATCTTCTTTCTTAGCAGCCAAATCTTCTCTGGCCTTTTCCAAAGTACTTTTGCTTAAATTGAAGCCAGCAGAAGGTGTGTCTTGAGGCATTTGAAGAGACTTCGCGTCCTTCATCTCTCTGCTTGAATCTGACATCTTAGATATTCCTTATTTACTTATACAAGGTTGTTGGTGCTGGTTTACTTCAAAAACTTTTGCCTTAATTACTATTTCATTGTTATATGATACCAAACCTCGGTATTATAATATATCTATTGTATTCTTAATATTGATTTCAAGAGCCCTTAAGAAATGAACTGTAGGTAGTTTCTTAGTTTTCTATTACATTTACATGAAATTTAGTTCACTTTCATTCATGGGAGACTTACACTTTCAAATTTACGATGATATTTGCAAGTGTAAATAAAAGTGACAAGCAGAATACTTCCAATCGACTACCTTTACCCAAAGCTTAGGTCTGTTAGTTTATATTCAGTAATTTATTGATTTTTCAAATTTTTAGAATTTTATGAGTTTGCTGACATTTTTTTCATTCATATTATAGTAAGAAATTTCTCTTATGAATCCATTAGTAACGGCCACGAAGAGATTTAAGTGATGTTACTTTTTAGTGCCAATTGCTACCTAAGAGAAATGTATACGTTTTGTAAGTTGCCTTTTACCATTACGACAATAGAGCTGTAATAGATTGAAAATGAATTTGACATTCAAGAATTTGCAGCAACAAAAGTTTGTAATTTCTGACGTTTCCTCAGATACAAAAGTACGCACTTTTAGAGATAGTTGTCGTCTAACAAGTTTAGATTTCAGAGTTGAAAGAACGCATTCAGAATCAACAAAGTTATGAAGTTGAAAGGCAAAAATTAATTTATTCTGGTATGTTATAACATGATTTGTATTTCTCCCGTAAAAATACTAATAAATCATTAAGGTCGCATTTTGGCTGACGAAAAAACCGTCGGTGAATACAACATTAAGGAACAAGATTTTATTGTTTGCATGGTTGCTCGCCCCAAGCCTTCATCATCTACTTCACAAAAGTCGACCCCTACTGCTACTACAACTAGTACTCCTGCCCCTGCAGCTACTTCTACTACTCCTCAACAAGCTACTGAAAGTCCTGCTCCTACAACTGCCCCTTCCTCTGTTCCTGCCGCTGATGTATCAGCTACACCTTTGGATTCTAATCTATTGGCAGTAGGCGCACAAAGAAATGTTGCTGTGGAAAACATGGTTGAAATGGGTTATGAGCGTAGTCAAGTTGAGCGTGCCATGCGTGCTGCATTCAACAATCCTGACCGTGCTGTTGAATACTTATTGACTGGCATTCCTGAGAACATTTTGAGCAGTCAAGCTCAAGAACAAGCAGCTGCCGCTGCTGAACAGCAACAGCAACAACAACCTGCATCTGGTGCTCCTTCTGCTTCTCCTGCATCCGGAAATCTTTTTGAACAAGCTGCCGCTATGTCTAATGAGGAAGAGCAACCTGCTCCTAACACAGCTGGTGATCCTTTGGGATTCCTTCGAAATATCCCACAATTCCAACAACTTCGTCAAATTGTCCAACAGAATCCACAGATGCTCGAAACCATTTTACAACAGATTGGTCAAGGTGATCCCGCCCTTGCTCAAGCCATCACTCAAAACCCCGAAGCTTTTCTCCAATTGTTAGCTGAAGGTGGTGATGGAGAATCTCCTTTCCCTTCTGGTGGCATTCAAATTGAAGTCACTCCCGAAGAATCACAAGCCATTGATAGAGTATGTCGTTTTTTTTTCTCCATGATGTATAACTAACCATTTTAAGTTATCCCAACTTGGTTTTGATAGAAATATAGTAATCCAAGCCTATCTTGCTTGTGATAAGAATGAGGAGGTAAGTTTTAAATTCCTTAAAGCATTTTTCTAACCCTTTTAGCTGGCTGCTAATTACCTCTTTGAGCATGGTCATGAATCTGACGGTGATGCATAAAAATTCTTGTTCACAAAGTTTTTGATCATTGATGGGTTGGTGTAAAAATATATAAAGATCATTATTTTGTAGTAATGTGTTAAGTAATACCTACAATGACATCCCCAATATTATTTATAAAGTATTCATTTTTTATTACTCTTAAATTCGTAGCTGAAAACGCAATAAACACTTTGCACCGTAATTAAACTAATTAATTATAGCTTTCCAGTGTTAGCTTAAATTGTTTTATTCTTGGTAGTTGCCTATGAACTTGTCCTCTGCCATTTTATTGTCTACAGTTGTCATTTACGTCGCTCACTGATGCACAGCTACTAATGCTTCAAAGATCATAGAATATGCTTTCCAAATTAAATAAATGAATTCATGATTACCCCCAGCGATCATATGCGTTTAACTGATCATCAAAAGACACTTGTTCATGCATTGGATGATCTTCTGCGTGCATATCCTTTGAATATTCAATATAATGAAATATGCACTATTTCAAGAAGATTTGAGGATGACTTATTGAAAATACTTAAAGAAAATCATGATACTGTGTATCGTGCAGACTTTCTTGCATGGACTTATTGCCATTATAAAGTAACGCAGCATTTCAAGAAATGTTTGAAACTGGTATATGATTACTGGCATATAATATTTTATTAATACCTTAATAGATTAACAAAAAACATGTTGTTGAAAGAAAACATCGAAAGAAGGAATTGACAAGATTTCTCAGTTCTTGTACTGCGTTTTATGAAAACTGTATAAACGAAATAATTATCGGCTCTTGTGTCTTTCAATTAAACCCAGTTTTACAAAATTGGCTTTGGGAACGCACACGGGCTACACTAACTTGCAAAACCCAGAATTACTTAAGTCCGGCGTCGTTTTCTAAAAGATATACGGAAGTGTTAGAACGTATATATCAATGTTTTATATATTTGGGTGATATTGCCAGGTATTTTTCCATTCTATTGAACAGACCCGCTGCTTACGAAAGAGCTTTAAAATACTATCACTTCGCACATAAAACATTCCCTGGAATGGGAATGCACTGCAACCAGATGGGAGTTGTTTGGGCTTTAAAAGGATACACTATCATATCTGTTTATTGGTTCTCAATTGCTTTAGCATCAGAGATACCCCCTAAAGCAGCCTTAGTAAATTTGTTAGGGCAATTGGAAACGTTTTATAAAAGAGCTTACGACAATGGATTTTGTTTTGGATCAGAAACAACAGCTTTACTTTTTGTTTTGAGTGATCTTTTACTAAAACAATCTAAAAATCTAGATTCCTATCGCTGCAGCCGTACAACGTTGAAAAGCTTAATTTCTCAATTTTTTAACTCTGACATTTCTAAATCGCGGAGCTTGAGTGGACACGAGTTATACTGTCTTTCTTCATTTATTTGTAATTTAAGAAACAGGTCTATTTTTCGAAGCAACGAGTCTTTACATAAAGTTTTTATTCATTATATTGCCTGGCTGATTACTCAAACTTTATCTTGCAACAGGAACATCGTCGAACATAAAACATCGTTATCGAGGGTAAATATATATTTACCTAGTTTGAAAATCCTGGTTATTCACATTTTAGAACACTTGCCTTCTTGCGATTACATAGATCAACGGCAACTAAAAAAGCTTTCCTTGTCTCTTCTGGAAATACAGCCTTATTTTCATGCATTCGATGATCCTTTGGATAAGACAAAATTGATTTTGCTGGAAGATTATAATGAATTGGGATTGCATCCATCATTGGCAATGACTGCAAAAACAAATTATGAGGATACTTACTTACCTCCATTCTTAGACGAGATAAAACAAAGCAAATTTCATCCACTTTTGGATGCTAAAATTCGTTTACAACAGGTTCTAGAAATGTTGAAGCTAATTTTATGATATCTTATAACAAATTGAATTGAATTTAATAATACATATAAACATACTGTCATTAGTGAATTTCCATGTGTGCGTTTTAAATGACCATAACGAACGTAAAGACTAAATTAAGTTAACTCTATCTAGAGATCATGCTAACTTTTGCTTTATTTCTTTGATCATTCCGGAGAGGTGAAGTTCATCATAAATTTGATTATCCTCCAATAGAACTAAAAAATTAGAGGAAGCAGGTATAAAACCAACAGAATTGACCTTTCTCTTGATCTCACCAGGATTAACAATGCGTGCAGCCTGCTCAACAGCGTTCAGAAAAGCCTTTGGTAATTGTTCTTCTCCCATACTAGGACGATAGTGATCTAGCAAGCGAATTATCTCGTACGGAGAAAGCAAATTGCAAACAGAAAGAATGATTTTGAAATCTTGTTCGTCTTTCTTCCGTAAAGAAAAAAGCAGAGAAGATTGCATTAAAGGAAGGAGCGAAGTATTACTGTAACTTAATCCTTTTTGATGACACCAATTTATAAGGAGAGATGTGTTGTACGATATTTGAGAGCCATCTTTCCAAGTGTAAGATGCGCGTCTAAAATGTTAGTATATTAATTTCCATTAAATCGTACTTACCCGTTTATCAACTTTGAGAAAGCATTCTCTCCAATATCCTGCAAGATTAAAGTTGTTATTTCTTTTAAAGGAGCTTCTTGTAAAGATGACTTATATATAAGGCCGTATGCATAATCAAGTTTTTCAATCAGTAGATGCATATTTGATTTAGGGCGTTTTTCCATCTCAACGTTTGTATCCATTAGATCTGCAAGAAGTCGTGAACATAAGATAGCCTCGGAGGAATCCTTAATAAATTGACTAGCAGATTTTCGTAAATAATGGAAAAGTGATCCTTCGGCCTCCAACGTAATTTTCGAAAGCTTTGAAAACGAGCCATTCCAATAAGTTTCGTCTTTACGAGTGAAAAGATCTTTTTCGCAAAGAGACTGTAAATATGTAACAAAGGAACGAACTTCATGAACATTTGACAGCCAAAATGCGGAATATTCTACCTTAAATTTAGTAGACGTATTTGGGTCGTATAAAGAAGGATCAGACAACTCAGCGATGGAAGACATGCAGCCACTTAGCTTTCTAACAAATAGATCAAGCTCTTCTTTCAGGGAATAAATACAACCACAATATATGAATAGGTTGATAATTCCTCCAAACACCAGAGAATCTCCTACCATTTGAGATTCTAAATACTTTTTGTTATAATGTTTTAGGATAGCAAGAAAATCATCGGAAATCAAGGTTGATTGGATGCCTTGTACAGAATGCAGCAGCTCCGATTTTAAAAGTGTTTCGAGCCCTTTCAGATTATACCTCTCTTCAGCATTCTTCCAATCATGATCAGGAAGGAACATTAGTGTAGAATGATATTTAAGATACTGCTCACGAGTGTAAAATATGTTGCGTGAGTTCAGCCCTTTGGTATCATAATCGGACTTCATGGACGCAGTTTTTTTTAATACATTAAAGTAAGCGTTAAGATTATCACGAGCAAGCTGAGATTTTATGAATACCGTGTCAGATTTCGATGCGGCAGCTGAAAGTTGTAAGGCAGCTTGTCGTAACTTAATTTCCCCGTGCAAAAGTTCTGAAATTTGTGAATGTTCACTTGCATGCTTATAATTATCATTAATATTAGCGCCTTTTAATTCAGGATCAGTAAAAAGATTTTTCCATCGTTTTAGTGATTTAGTCATCTCAGAGAGTTTATTTCGTAAGCCAACAACTTCTTTGGTAGCGTTTTCTAACAGTGAAGATCCTTCATCAACAGACTTTCTTATTTTTTTCCTCTTTTCCAGCAAAATGCTAGACTTGCCAGCTTTGTCTTTCAATTGGCGTAAATAGCGGCGAGTTAAGACGGATCGAACCAAACATTGAAAACCAATAATCGACATCTTATACTTTCGGAATGTGGTCCTGGCATGGTAAGCGCGCCAATTCATTAAAATTAAGCAACCCGCGTGATTACGAAGTATTTTTCCGTAGTTTATTCTGAGCAAATATCCACGACCAATGGCTTGACAACTTGTGATTAAAATCTTGAAAGCAATGAACTTTTTCCTTTGAGCATAGGTTCTCCAAAGATTCTGAATTACAATAGCAGCTATTTCTTTTTTTCTTCTTTCATAGAGATCTCTCGCCAATTTTCCCCTGGAGAGGGACTGAATCCCTACAATATACTCCATCACCTTTCGGTATTTCTTTCGAGAATTGGACCCCCTAATGAAAGATTGTAGTAATGACACAGACTTACTGCATATCTCTCGACGGCGAGCTTCATAAAGTCCTATTACACCTGACCGAAAGAAGATTTTTGATTTGCCAAATTGAAAATAATCAGCGCTATTAGTATTAGGTAATACCGTAGATATGATATGTAAAGAAAGTTTTTTAGAATCCTGATTCCAGTCTCGCGAGGATACAAGTACTCGGAAACGTTTCGTAAATTCATCATAAAAATACCTTTTTGGAAATCCTAAAGAAGAGATTCGTATTGTTTCAAAAACACCACATGCCCGCAATTGGCTTAAAACTAGAGGGGAGGAGAAAGACCAAGATGACTTTTCCTCGTTTGGCTTAATGCATCTAATATAATGCACATTTGTAGCTGAAATAGTATGCATCAAATGAGACAGCGATGTTCTAAACATTGATGTGAGGGATGGCTTTTTATTATTGATCCTCTTTTTTGTAGCACCATTTTGGGCATCAACGGATTGAGTGCCAAAGTCCAAAAGATATGCTACAAACTGGTTATCAGATGACTTCAGTAAGTTAATAATTTCAACCGGTAAGGAATCCGAGTTCTTGGCTAAGAAATCATGAGCCTGATAAGTAACATCAGAAGCATAGTGCTTGATTGTAAAAGATCCGTCACTGAAACGAGATTTTTTATAGAAAAGTGGATGTTTTTGTGGGGCTTGGTTGTTTAATTTTTGTAAAAAGGACCCATCTGTCCCAGAAGGAAGTCTGCATTCTTCATCTAGTAAGGATAATACACCAAGGTTGTCTTCAATAAGAGATATACAACCTTGGTTATCAGCATAATCAATAAGTCCCCAGTCAAGACCTTCTCTAACATACTCCTCTTGCTCGAGTTTAAAAACATGCCTATTAAATTCCTGCTGGAGCTTTTCGTTTGCGTAATTAATACAAAACTGCTCCAAAGAGTTTCTCTCAAAATGTTCAAAACCATAGATATCAACAACACCAATATGTTTTGAAGCAGATCTTTTCACCTTAGAGTGATCCAATGATGCATTAATCATGTGCACAACCCATGAAAATAATGTTGAATAAAGATATTTTGCTACAGAATCTCTAGTGTTGAGCACATGTTCGTAAGTAGCTGATGTTACTATTGTTTCCGACCGAGTCTTCAACATCTTTTTTGACAATAGCTTAGATAATTCAGAAGAATTAACTCCTAAAATTTCAGAAGCATAACATAAATGCTCATCATCAGTTTTTATTGTAGCTTCACTACGGCTGGTAACGATGGCAATATTACCGAGATGCAGTAATGCCGCGAGTAACTTATAAACCTCCTCTTGTTGATTTTCTAAAATTCCAACGGTCGAAAGGGCGCTAGCAGTTGTAGTAAACTCATCATTGTCATTTACACCTTCTACACTCATGCAATTTCCTTGTGATAAATATTTAAACTCGGAAGGTGACCTCAAATGCCACTTTTCTCTTTGTTCTTCAGTGCAACCTGCAAGCAATTGATAAAATATATGGTAATTTCGTTCACCAAGAGGAGAAGACGTGACACGAGATCTTTCTAAAAGATACGTACTTACATTCGCACCTGTTATAGCCGCCTCTTCGTTGAAAGATATCGTCACGTATTTACCAAATCTTGAAGAATTATCATTACGAACGGTTTTTGCATTTCCAAAGGCTTCCATAATAGGGTTTGTAGCAAGTACTTGATTTTCTACTGACCGTTTTGAACTGGTTTTGTCCAAAGCCTGAACAGAGGTTAAATATCGCATAATGTATCTGGCCGCAACAGTTTTACCAGCACCAGATTCACCAGAGACAATAATTGTTTGATTTTCATTGTCATTAGTTAAAGCACTGTAACATGCACTGGCGATGGAATATAGATGGGGCTCTTTCGTGCATTCCTGGTTTTCATGATATCGTTTAATAACAGACTCATTATAGAGTTCTGAAAGTAATTGATAAGGATTTACAGACACGAGAACTATGCCTGAAAATGTATAAATATGTTGATTTTCGTACCGATACCTCAATGCTTGTAGCACTGATGGCTCATTCAAATATGTTAGGGTTGTTAAGTCTATAGGTGCTTCATTGACGCTTGGATTCCTCGGCTGTAACGATTGGTATTTGACTGAGTCCAATTCTCCGTCGCCCCTCTTGACAGTAGCTACACATTTACCTCCTCCATGATCTTTTAAATCAATTATTTCTGCCGAATCCCAACATCCTTCATCATTTGATACCCAGCATTCCCTTTCAATAACATGTTAGCATAATGACTGAACAGACAAACAAACATCACTTACGAGCCTTTTGATAGCTGTACATGACTCATAGCAGCAGCTTTCAGTTTTTTTAATTTATTTAACCTTTGTTAAACCTTTCTGACACTTTACTTTTTAACAATTATGGTGGGTTTTGTGGGATATAGTTGTGTTGATCTAGTGGTGTATACAAATCGAGCATGGGTGTAAAGAGAATATTGTGCAGTGATATGGTGACCTGGGATGACAAGACAAACATTTAAGTGCCTTTTATTTTATAGCGTTCATTTTTAAACTTAATAAAGTAAGGCAGATTTGTGACTAGTAGTTGCTTCAGTAATCATTTAAAGTAAGACTGCATTAGACCAAAAACTAAAGGATACTAGCAAAGTATACACTCTATTTATTAAAAAATGATAAGTAAGGTTTTAAAAATGATATTCAACATATTCGTGAACTTATGGATCTAAGATGGAATATAAGTAAAAATACTTCATCTTTCTAAAGGAGATTGAAACAACAACCACGTCAGTAATCAGATTGAGCTTTTGTAGATTAAACTGACTTTCGAAAAGATCATCTTAGCTATTTAAGAAATCCATCTAACCATCTAAATTTTAGATGTAGCGCCCAGAGCCTCACTAAAAGCTGCTTGCACCTTGTATTTATTTCTTATTTCCTTGGTTATCAGACGATTGCTCATTCTTTTCGCTAAGAATTTGATTAAGCAGTGAAGAGAATTCATCAAAAACCTTTGTTTCTACGACCTTCATTTCGTTTGGCTTCAATTTTCCTAAAACAAAAGAAGCCACCTCCTGACTCGACCTTGATTCACAGCGCCCGATTCCCACACTTATTCTATGAAATCCCTAGCTTTTCAGTTAGTGTTGTTGCGCAATTGAGTTAATGTGTTATTTACCTCCTTCCCCAAAACGGCTTGACAGGAACGAACGCCATTATGTCCTCTAGAGATTTTAATGTTAATTCTTATCTTAATTCGGATAAGTTAGAACTTACTTATGTGATCCACCTATGCGGTAACGAAGCTTTCCTAAGTCTAGCTCTAATTCATCATGCACGACTATGCAGGCAGCCTTGGCCTTTTCCATTGGAGTTAAGCTACTGAGGTATTGAGATTGTACTTTTCCTAGTAACTTCCCGGAATCGTTCATATAATTTTTTGATGGATAAAGTGTGATGTTATCCTTAGTAGAGGGCCAACCTTTGGGAAATTTCATCCTCTCAGCATACATTTGAACCAGAAGCTTCCCTAGTGAATGTCTGGATTTTGTATATGCCGACCCTGGGTTCCCAAGACCAAAAACCTAAAGGAAAAGTCAATCATCTAGATTTCATTGCTGGTTAAGTTACCAAGGTAAGTTTGAATTTCAAACTTTCCAAGATTGCATTTGTTCAAACAAATAAATATTTTCATGTTCCGAAACATACAAGTAGATGCTTTTCCATTTCTTTTGTCTTGTGTTAAGAACTCTTTTAGACGCCTTCGCTTCTACACATAACCGTGTATCCAAATCAATTATATATCGCCAAAAAATAAAAATATATCTCCTTCCTGTCTTTTCTTCAAGTAACTTGCAATAATTATTGGTTCTGGTATAGATATTCGCTGGCAATAGACCTTATTTCAACCTCTTACGGATAATAGTAATTGAGAAGTGCTCTTGGAGGTTAACACTTCGCAAGAATTTAAGAAAACCATAGTCAATAAGAGTAATGGAAGAAGTAAGTTTCTTTAAATTAAAGACGACTAAATTATGCTAAGACGGATATTAGGAAAGGTTCAAGGCTGAAATCTTTCATGTGACACAGCAAGTTTGTAACAACACCGCTGCTGAATTAAGAGACTCAGAATCACGAAACGTAATTGTAGATGAACTTTACTGCGTGGGAGTAACTGAAATGGTTTGGGAACAAATCCGTGTGTTGGCGAAAGACATTGAGGACTTTGCAGAGTATGTTACATGAAACCGTTATTGAAAGTTTGTTACTAACTATGACTAACTAGACATGCTGGTCGTAAAACGGTTCAACCCCAAGATGTTGTTCTATGTTGTCGTCGTAATGAAGGATTGCATGAAATGATGAATGAATACCAAAGAGAAATTATAAGGTCGAGAAAGAAAAGGAAAGAAAATTCTCCCTAGTATAAATGTTTATTTACTAACCTTTCTTTCTTGTAAGGTTCTTATTCTTTTTTCTTTTTTTTTTAGCTTCTATCATGCATATAATATATTCCCGGGATTGGAGCGTCCAGTCATGCAATCAGCAAAAAGTCCCCAAATTCTTATAAATAAGAGCAGTTCCTTTTTTCCAAAACGGAATGTATTTTTAGAGCTATGCTTTGATGCTAGTATTGGCGATCAACATCCATAGATACATTTACTTTATAAGGCATTTATGATATGGAAGGTACGAGGCACTTGAATTTCGATTGCTAAAATAATTATAATATCAATCTTGAAGCGATTTTTGATTAATTATCTACGTCTATTGTTTTAGGGTTGTTTCTTGTACTCAGCTTGGTCTTGAAGGAAAAACGAGAGATATTTTGGTAAATAATGGAGTTCTTTTTTCATACATTCGTTAAACCAACTAGATAAAAACTAGTTGTGAGTTGTGTAAGTATTAAATACTTTAGTATGTTCATAGTCAAATACAAGTAGAAACTTAGAGCTTCGACTTTGAATGACTATCTCTGTCGCTTTTTTAAAGTCTTTCGGGTAAAACTGTATACCTTCTAGCAAGTCTAGAGTTTATCTTTTCATTATGGATAAAAAAGGAGCGTTTTACCACAATTTTCTTATTTCACTAATGAATGCAGTAAAGTAAATATATCTGCTTAAACTAGCCAAATATCTCCACCTTGATCACGTTGGACATCAGGTTTTATAATATTTTCCCAAAAATTTTTTGTTTCATGTATTTTGCTTTAGAAGACTTGCAGATGTAAATTAGTGCAATTCTTTGCTTTGTTTACATTTTATAATATGCAATTCCTTTAGTATTATCATTAACGGTAATATTTTCTTAATGCATTAATATGGAGTCGTCCAGTAGTTAATTAACCTTGTAAGGTGCCTTTCCTACCGCTCTCGTGTTAACTATTCGCCTTGTACAAGGTCACTTGCTTTGGTAAAAAGGTGTCATATATGGGCTGGTCCCATATTTATTGGTTTTTCTATGATTTTTTTCCAGTTGACATTTATCGTTGATTGCTTGTTTCCTCTCACCGGTGATAATAGTTTGAATAATGATCATGCAGGACGATGATCCCAATTGTGCAAAAGCATTGTATGAAATCCAACAGAGGAGGTTGATATATTTTTTCTCTTTATATCATCTTCTTACAATGGAACTCAAAATGCAGTTCAATACATCAGTACCTCCTGGTGTTCTTCATTATATTTTTTCGGGATATAAAATATTACGACCATGGTTAATGGCCACAAGGATAAAAAAACCAATTAATGATTATTCCTTAATTGTAAATACATTTCAAGAAGTATTGAAGACTGGTTTTTTTGTGAATCCACCACCCGTTGAGGTTTACTCTAGGCAATTACTTAAATTCATATCTGTTGTGGCAGGGAATAAAATTGGAGTACCTATTCAACAACGTGGGTATCCATCTACTTCGCTCACTAATCCTGCTACAGAAATCAATGTACCGACTTCTTCCGGGAAGCCACCGAAACCAGCTAATAGCAGCCTTCCTCAAATGTATCCTAGATCTTTTGGAAGAAACAATTTGAATGCAAATTTTTCGACTTATTCACCGCAGTCTTCTGTAAATAACCGGTTTATTTTATCAGAACAGCCTCGTCCCGAATATCGTACAACATATCCTGCGAGTATCGCTTCTTCTGAAAATCAGAAATATCGCCATCCTGGACTTGCTTTTTCAGCTTCTTCTCATGCTAGTGTACCTACGCAAGCTTCTCGTATATTACCTGTTCCTGGTTTCGTAAATAATCCACTTGCAACTTCGCAGTATAATGGACATACGGATGGATTAGCGCACCCGTCTATTCATTATAATAACATTGATCCTAATGAGTCGCCAAGCCAAGTACGCGCGACTTCTACGTTAAGCAAAAACTCACCATCAAAGCCAAACCAGCCAAGTCAACCATCACAAATATTACCCAAAGTTGACTTACCAGTACCTACAACTGTTGATCCTTCTGATTCTCAATTCAATTATCAAAAAGTCTATCCAGATGTTTCTCCTTATCTGACACCTGATAATATAGGGAGTGCAATTTTGTATTCCACAAATGATTTTTCAAAATCCGAACCTGGTAAGCCTCGATTAAATTTATCCCTTGAATTGAAGCTTATGGAAAATAATCTAGAAAAGGGAGAATTAGGTCCAAATCTGAAAGGTGATTTACGGAATTTGGCTGATTTCGACGCGATTTCTCTTGTTTCTTCACGATTTCCATCGCTTCCTGCCTCTAGCTTCAGGCCTGATGGCTCATTTCTTAAACATCGTCGTTTCAATGATGAAGTTATGGAAAACAAAGAAATTATGGAAAAGGCGATTAAACAGTTGAATCTGTCTGCTTCAGATGCAGAACGCTTACGTGAACGAAATAGAGTTCAAGTCCAAGATGACAAGAAATTGTGTTTCTCATTTTCAAAGAAACATCCATCAAATCATAACCAGCTCTTAGATAAATTCGATAAACTCCATGGCGATAGAAAATCTGACCCGTCTAGGAAAGCTGCTACTGAGACCCCAACGCCGTCTAAGGCAAAGCTTCCGGAAACTGGGCAGACACGAAATAAAGTGATTTTGGAGGATAAGTTTGATGAAAATGTTCCTTTGCTCAATCATTCTCATAACAAACCAACGTTGGCTCACAGTCGAAAACAGAATTCTAAAAGCCCAGCTATGAGCGATAAGGATCACGTGCAAAATAAAAAATCTAATGACAATGGTACATATAAAGACATTGATCTATCATCTATTAAAGCTTCCAAACATGCTAATGAGGTTACGGTTAACAACGATTTGACTAGACATACTGAGGTTACATATGGTGAACAAAACGTAAAGCCAAGTCCTCCAAGTGCTGCCAAAAGTTCAATTGAAGTTTTGGGAAAGCCTATAAATGAGCAAAAGATTCAAGGAATGGATCATACAGACAGTAATAAAAAGGTTTTTTCGAAAAAACTGAACGAAGGATTACCCGAGCGACAGAGTATTATTCAGACTGAAGATGGTTCGAAGCAAGTTGGTGAATATACCAATCGAAATTCTTCATTGGTATCTGATAAGGATGATAAAGTAGTTAATCAGACCAATTCTGAGATTACTGTTGTATCTCCTAACAGAACGAAACGTTCAAGCGTTATGAAGAATGAAAGCTTGAAAACCAATAACTCATATGTGTCTTCGACCATACCAACTGCTCATTCCTCTGATATTGATGAACAATTAAGAAATGTGATATCATTAGAGGCTAATGTTGAGCAGAATAAGGAGTTAGATGGAAATAAAAAGAAACGCTCTATTGAAAGCGTTGATAAATCAAGTGACCATACCGGTTTGACAAACGAAGTTCCCAAAAATCAAGAATTACTGAATATTAAAATGTTATTAAACGACGAATCACATCAACAAATAAGTGCGCCTACTCCAGGTGAAGTAGGTGAAGAAAATGGAGACACTTCAGATATGCAGTCAAGACAGACAGAATTTTCTTTGAAGTCTTATTCTGCTGATACGCTTCAACGCATTAATAAAGAGAAGGAGTCGTTGCAATCATTCGATACGGAATCATTCGAAATTATGATATCTACCGATGAGTTTCAGTCAGTTAGTCATGAGTCGGTTAATGTCTCAAACGATATAAATGATTCTGCGTCGGATCTATCAAAGCAGTTAAAAGCAACGAAGATCAATCAAGATCATACTCTCACGGAAGCTCCAAATTTGCAAAGAGAAGTTGAGACGGATAAACAACACGTTTATAATTCGTTGAAGTCACTTCCCCAAGGTTTCACAGAGTTTAAATGCCATTGGGCTAGTTGTGAAGCTACTTTACATTCTCTGAAAACCTTGTTTATTCATATAAAAAAATTACATACTCAAAGTAGACATGATAATTCCACATTTAAATGTCGCTGGAGTCACTGCTCTGTATCTTTAGATTCGAAGCAAATAGACGCTCACATAAGGGGGCATCTTGAAGCGATACAACATAATTGTTCAGTTCCAGGATGCAAAAAAGGATTTTCTAACTATCAAGAATTCCAAGAGCATCTAACGTTTTCTCATTTGCCATATAAGTTCGAGCCGGCTGCTTTAATTACTACTACAAAATCTGGATTACAAGAAGGAAACCGCCGAACTCGGAACAACCAGGGAGATAAATCTGCTGTTCCTGGTTTTTTTCTTGATACTTCTACTCCAATAGTCGAACCTGCTCCATCAAACTGGTATCCGGTTCCACCTCCTGGCTTTAGTCCAAGTGTTTTTGCCAGGTTGAGTCAAGACAATCAATCAAAGGAGAAAACGATGTCTTCGTTGGCAAAACGAAATGTCTTTCAATCGTTTTCTGGCTTGCATAATGACCATATGAAGACTAGTGATTCTGATAAACGATCGAATACTTCTGATGCTCAGTATGCTCGAGTTGGTCAAGTAGGCCAATTATTTACGACCGTACCAAAGTCTAAATGTCTTCCTTCAATGATTATTGAAGGAACAGTCGTCCAGAGAAAGAACTGGGTTGTACATTAAATATTAGCACTTGTAGAGTCTACGATATTCTGTATTTTATTTTTATTTCTTTTGAGTCAATACTATTTATTTATCAATCGCGTGCTTATAGAACATTGCTTAAGAATGGGAAAAGTGAATAACTAATATACCAAAGTATTATTAATTCAGTTTTTACTCTTACTTTAGATGTATATTGATCCAATTATTATCAAATCAACTATAGTCCACATGTAGGAGTGGTTGAGTTTCATGCTCGCTCCACCATATATTCCCCATCAAAGGTAATATTTATTGACTAAATTAGAGCAACACCGATTAATTTTTTAAACAAGCGAAGTACATTGAAAGCAACTTCCACAAAATTAAACGAAACGGAACCCAATTCTTAACTTACTGTATGATTATTAAGAAACTATTATAGTCAGAACATGGGTAATTCGGGCTTGTGGGAATTTATTACCCTAAGTTCAGCAATTAAGAATGTTGCGAGTACATACTGGAAAAGCGGAAGGTCGGTTTACCTCCAAAAACCGTTTAATAATGTTGCAACGTTGAAGAAAGGACCAATACATCCGAAAACATCTGTTAGAACTGTAGATGATATCAAAGAAAACCCTACTTTCCATGAGATAGAAATTAAGAAATCTACAGAAAGTTTACAGTCTTCGGCGAAGAAGTTTGAAGTATTTCCTCCTGGTGAAGTTCTGAAAGGAAAACATATTCCGATTCAGGATGAAAGGAAGGAATTGAAGAAGGGCTCTAATCTTACAGATAGGCTTAGCGAAAAAAAACCTCAGACGAAATTTAATGATTCCGTTAGCTCTGAAGTAAATCCTACAATTCAAGTAAATGAGCCAAATACGTTTCAAGACCGAAAACAAGATGAGGAAATAACGGAAGAAAAGGCAGATGAAATGAAACCACTAGAAATGGAAACATTTCAAAAGCTCCCTAACATTCCTCTGAAGGCTTCAAAAGTTCCTTCTTCGCAATGGAGCAGACTCTGGCATTATGGAGGCCTTGCGACTTCACTTTCCGTCGGTGCCGTAGGAGAAAAGTTTAAACGTTTGTGGGGATCTAGTAAAGAAGAGGGCGGTGTCTTACTTAATGAAAGGAACATTGAAGTATTGGTAAACAAGTTGAGTCAAATGAGAGGTGCAGCATTAAAGCTCGGACAAATGTTGTCATTTCAAGACAGTAGAATATTTCCAGGGCATATTTCACATATCTTAGAACGTGTGCGTGATAGTGCCCATGCTATGCCTGACAAACAACTTGAGAGGGTGATGGTGCAAAACCTTGGCAAGGATTGGAAAAGTCTCTTTTCCGAGTTTGACAAAAGTCCCATGGCGGCTGCATCCATAGGACAAGTTCACCGAGGGAAATTGGCATCCAACGGTACTTTAGTTGCAATTAAAGTACAATACCCCGGTGTCAAAAACTCAATTGATTCCGATCTGAATAACTTGTCTATATTATTAAGAGCTTCTCGACTTTTACCTAAAGGCCTGTTTCTAGAGAATAGCATTGCGGCTGCCAGAAAAGAACTGGCGTTGGAGTGTGATTACATACGCGAGGCAGATTTCGTAGAAAGGTTTGGAACACTTCTGAATCACGATCAGCGCTTGAAAATTCCCAAGGTGTTTAGAGAAGTATCTGGTCCAACAGTACTAACACTGGAGTATCTACACGGTACTGCATTGGGAAAAATCTTATATACGCAAGAGCTTCGAAACAAAATTGGAACGATCTTGACAGAGCTGTGCTTTAAAGAGATCGCTGAGTTTCATTGCATGCAGACTGACCCTAACTGGTCGAACTTTATGTATAATACGAATACGGACCGGTTGGAGCTTTTAGATTTCGGAGCCTCTATTGAATATAGTCAAGATTTTGTTTCGAAATATTGTCGACTTTTGCTTGCTGGTGCCAAACGGGATAAGGAGGCTTGTCAACGCCTGTCTGAGGAGCTAGGGTATTTGAGTAAACATGAATCCAGAGCAATGATAAATGCTCATGTGGAATCCATATTTACTCTTGCTGAGCCGTTTGCTTTCGATGCCCCTGATGTATATGACTTTGGACACCAAACGATTACAGAACGGGTAAAGAAACAAATACCGCTAATGCTGCAATTGCGACTTCGTCCACCTCCTGAGGAGACGTACTCTCTTCATCGAAGACTGAGTGGACACTTTTTGTTGTGTTCCAAGCTGGGTGCAAAAATACGGTGCAAGCAAATATTTCAAGAAATTTTGAGTCCTTATAATAACTAAAGCAAAACAGTTCTAAAAAAGCGAATGATTTTCTAAAACATTCATGAATTTTGCTAGAAGAAAGCTGATGTAGATGATAGATCTAGTCTTAATATTATTCTATGTGTTTATTTTTTACTACACAAGACTTTTTAAGAAATCCAAACCCACTCAATATAATTTAAACCCAAAAACTAGTTGCAATATGTATGAATAGAGATATTTAGAAAGATGGAGGAGCGCCGAGAATTGTGCCTTTGCCAGCCGGTTGATCAACGCTCATAAAGTTATCCTGTTGCTGTTCTTCAGAATCACCAAAGAGCTTGTTTTTGTTTTTCTTTTCTTTCTTGTCGCTCACGGCTTCAATTTCTATTTCTTGTTAGAGAAACAATGTATTTCCTTGCCAGTAATGCTTACCCATCATCGCATCGTCCAAATGAATTCCTTGTTCAGCGAGACGCTTTATAGACTAATGATCAATTGTTAGTAATACATGATTCCTATAGTCCAATGGAAACATAACATGACTTAAGAGAACTCGTTTTCACGAGGCTCCAGGCCAATATTACTTTTTTGGTGGTACGACATACATATTTTCCATTTCTCAAATGCTTTTTTATCGTTTTTTTGCTAGGAACACGGCCATGGATAATGGCTTCAGGATTTCTTTTTGCAGACTTCTTTCTGTCGTTTCTGTAAGGCATTGTGAATGAATTAAAGCAAAACTCAATGGATTGTTGTTGGATTACTTTGTTTTTAGTATTTGACAATTTCTTTTGCCTTTTCTTTCACTTGAATATGTTAAGGAAATTTGCGAGACAAACCGTACTTGTGATGCAGATGCGCTAAAAGGTAAACAAACCGTGAAATAAAATAGAAAATCATATTAAATCAAGAACGACAACAAGATACGGTCTTTAAAACAGTTGCAATTTTCTTTTTTATTTACTTTTACTGTGTTATTTAGTACTGGATATTTGAGAACACATATCGAATTCGCTTCTCTATTTACATGTTCTGCGCCTAGTCACGAAGAGGATTTTTCTTTTCGAAAACTAGTAAGGATGTGATATTAGATTTGAATAAAAAAATTGAATAAAGCTCTTGCATTGGAAAAGCTTACGTGGATGTTGAACCTGTAATGACAGTTGCCATTATAATTTTTTTTAAGAAGGTATCAAACGAATGGTAAATAAAATCAATTTTGAGAGTACTCTTCTACCTTTACAAATTTAAAGTAGTTTTATACTATTCATCGATGATTAATAGAAAATGTTGACGATTCCGAGCTTCGTCCTCAACCTGTCAAAAAATTACCTGCTACCTTCTACAAACATGTCTGACAGTCGTTCTCGCAGAATCGGAAAAGAATTAGCTGGTAATAACATTTTATACTTATATATAGATGTATATATTTCAATGTTACTAATGATTTAGATGTACGTCGGGATACACAAGCTGGAATCCAGGTTTGGACCGTGAATGAATCCGACATATGTATGTAGCTTGAATTTTTATTTTTATTTTTTATTTTTCATCGCTTTCTAACTTTGAAAATAGCTCGACTCAAGGGAATGTTTAAGGGCCCTCCTGATACCGCTTATGAAGGTATGTTTCAGTAGAGCATTGTCCGCAAAGTAAAACGATAAAGCAATCAAGTAAAAAACCTATGTGGCCTCTTGCTCATATGAATTACTATTACCGGTTGGAAAAGGAAACCTAACATAGTTATGAATTAGGTGGTTACTACACTATCGATGTCGAAATTCCCGTAAGTACTTTTTTCCCTTACTTGATTATTTCTAACCTGAATAGATTGGTATGAATTATTGAAACTATATGCCAGTTTTGTTATTGTTTTATCTAGCATATTCTCACACTATTTTCAGACTATCCTTTTCGTCCTCCTAAAATGAAGTTTGACACAAAGATTTACCATCCAAACATTTCCTCTCAAACCGGAGCTATCTGTCTCGACATTTTGAAAGACCAATGGTCTCCCGTGTATACCGTGAAGTCTGCGTTGATTAGTTTGCAGTCTCTTTTGTGCACCCCGGAACCCTCGAATCCTCAAGATGCACAAGTAGCCCAAGTATACATAGAAAACCATGACCAATTCATTAAAACTGCCAAAGAATGGGTTAGACTTTACGCCCAACCTCCTGCATTTATCGATGTAGAAGAGGAAGGTGACAGTTATAATGGAATTGATCCGAAGGTTGTTCAAAGTCTGCAGAATTTCGGCTTTGATCAGAATGTGATTGTCAGTGCTTTGTCTAAAGAAAACATAAAATCACAAGAGGATGTTGACAATTACCCTAACGGGATCAATGGAATTTTGGACTTGCTTTTGCACTAGTTTGGACTTAGTAACAAGAAACAAAAGAAATCTCACGTTAACCAGTTATTGAATTGAAAGTGAGACAAAGCATTTACTGTTGTTCTCTATTAATGATTTTACGGAAATAAGAAATTAACATTTATTCATTCATCGAAATCAAACAGAGCGTAAACAAGTTCATTAGTGTTAATTAATAAAAAGACAACAACAACAATACAAAAGACAAAGTAAAACCAATCATCTTTAAATATAACGTCAACAGATCGTAAAAAAAAACAGAGGAACGTTAAAGTTGGTTGATATCGACGTCGCCAGTTTGGCTATACATCTTAGCTAACGGAGGCCGTCTTGAAGGGCTAAGAGGTTTCAGCGGAGAGGGCGATTTCTTTTTCGGATTGGTTTCGGGTTTGCCTTCTTCTTCATCGGTTTCAGATGATTGTAATAAAGTCGGTTCAGGCCAAAGTTTCCTTTTGGTATGAAGATTATGAGCCTCTTCAATAGCTTGTTTATCTTCGTAATGAAGTTTACGAGAAGAACGACGATTGTTATCGATATAATGCAAATTACTTGTATCTTGAAGAGCAGGCTTTTGTTCATCATTATTCTCTTCTTGTAATTGTTCAATGATACCTTCGAGATGGGTGATGCATTCGTCTTTCTCTTTGTTGCCCTGTTGTAATCGACGCACCCATTCACCCATTTTTTCGATTTTCTGATCAGTATACTCGATTCCTTGAGCGGTTTCCTCAAGCATTCGATTTAAGAAAGTTTGTTCCACTTGTGAAACTCGTTCCTCCATTTCACGAGTCATTTGTTCACGAATTTGGTATTCTAGATTTACCATTTCGGCGTCAGCGTCAGCGAGAAGTTGACGAAGACAATCATTTTCTCTCAATAACTGCTCGTTTTGTACTTGGATTGCTTCCGAGGATATAGATTTGGATTGCGAAGCGGAATGGTTTAAGGAAGGAGACATGAAATTGTCGGTGTAAGAGGGGGATTGGCTAGGAATGATTTCACGGGCATTTGCACTGTAACGCATGACTTGGGCGTTTTCGTCGAAACTTCCAAGAGGATCGATGTTGACAAGCATGCAAGTTTTAGCAGTGCCGGACAAATGGCCGGAATGAAAAAGGAGTTCGGTTAATTTGCTTTGACGGAAGGGGATGATGTGCTGTCTACCGTCGTGTTTACGACGCAAGGCTTCGAGACACTGACCTAGGGTCAAGAGACTCTTATTGATACTAGCACCTTCTCGGAGAAGTAAGCCAGAAGTTTCGGCGGAACGAGTTCGTTCCGAGCCGGCAAGGTCGACCAAATCGAGTTGACAGCTTTCGATGTGATTTTTAGCGGACTGCAAGCGAAAGAGCTCGATAGAAACGACGAGATGAGAGCGGGAGGAGACAGAGTTGGCTTTTGTGGAAGTAGATTTGCGCAATTGCAAAACTTTATGAACGAGTTGAAAAGCTTCTTGGGGGTTAGCGAGGAAAACCTTTTGAATGCCGGCGACGGATTTTTTGTCGGAAGAGGAAGACTTTTTGAGAGAGAGAGCGTGACGATGGCCAAAGAAGCTTGGCTTTTCGAGCAAGTCGAAGATGCGATCGTTGTAAATTTCAGGAAAGCAAAGATAGATTGCGTATTGAAAGGAGGGATCAGGTTTTTGGGGGAAAAGCGAGGCATAAGCGTCGGGAGGGGGAAGTTGGATAGGATGGGGAGAATCATGTTTGAGGTACTTGGAGCCCTCTAGAACTTTGGACTTGTCGAGTTTGGAGCGAAGGGATTCGACAACGGGAAAGCTGGCTTCACGGCCACGGATGTTGTAGAAGAGGGCATCGAGGGCGAGGTAAACGACGCCAGGATGGGATTGTGGACCAAAGAGGGTATAAGTTTTGCCGGCACCGGAGACGCCCAAGGTAAACAAGAGGGCATCGTTCATATGAAAGAGAGACTGGGAGAGGAGAGGAGCGCAAATAGAAGCAAAGACGTCCCATTGAGAGCAAGTAGGGGAGAAAACCTTGGAAAAGGAAGTTTTTTCAGAGGTTTTGGATTTGGAGACACGAAAAGCATGGGAATCTTCTGGGGAAACTAAGACGACATCATCGTCATTAAGAATGGTAACGAAACCGTAGGTTTGAGAGGCATCATCATCCTCGGATTGGGGAGGAGCCTTTTTTACTCGTAAAAACGTCTAGAGGAAAGATTAGCTTGAAAAAAAGGAAAGGAAGGGAAACAATTCGTAGTGGTGATGGCATACCTGAATCATAGGCCGGTTCGTTGGAGACTACTACGATTCATGGTTTACGAAAAGGAAGAGAAGAAACCACCTGACTTGGAGGAAAAGAACGAGACAGTGCGAGGAAAAAGGAGAGTGTGGACAAATTCACAAGGTGGATGTTGGAATACGTAGGGATATGTAAAAACAGGATTAAAAAAAAAAGAAAGAATTACAACGTATCACGCAAAGCCGCACAATACACGCAACGACACGCATAAAAGCACAGAGAGTCACACAATACCGCGCGACGACATGCACAGTGACACAACGTCGCACACACAGACAAAAGGCGGGAACCCAAAGATACGATAAGGTTAGGGAAGAACGAATGAATTTGTCCCGCAGAGCAAAAATCGAAAGGATAAGGTTTGAAAGAGAAAAAGAGTCAAAAACAAAAAAGAGGAGAAAAAGAGGAGGAGGAGGAGAAGAAGAAGTAAGAGATGGGGGGTTTGAAAAATAAGAGATAAACAAATTTTCTCTTTTTCTTTTTTGTTTCTTGAAGATGAAGACTCTTTAAGTCTCGTTGATTTGATTGTATTTGTTTACGATTTTCTTTTTTGTTTAAAACAAAAAAAATAGATTCGAAGAATCTGCAATGAAAAAAAAAAAAAAAAATTGTTTATGACTTTGTATGTCGATGATTTATTTACTACTTGCTACATACACGTGTGTTGTATGATGACGATGATGATTTCTTCTTTGCTCGTATCGGACGAACGTTGTGGAGAAGAGAAACAGAGAAAAAAGAAGAGCAAAGTCCGAGGTCAAGACCGAGTCCGAGGAGAGAAAAAAAAAAAAGGACCTGTCGGGATTTGATATCATGAACCCAAGTAACCATCAAATGATGTAGAGATACATAACGAGACACAACGAGGGAGAGCTGCACATGAAGAGAGGAAGAGGGAGAGGAGGATGGTTTCGCTAAGAAAAGTCAGAATTAACTAAGCCTTGAGCCGACGATCCGACCGACCGAAAATTACGAAATGGAAGAGAGAGAGAGAGAGACACGGCCGTGATTTGAATTTTTATGAGAGGTTGGTTTTTTTTTTTTTTTTTTTTATCTGCAGATTCTTCGAATCTATTTTTTTGTTTTTTTTTTTCATTGCAGACTCTTCCGAGTCTCTCTCTCTCTCTCTCTCTCTCTCTCTCTCTCTCTCTCTCTTGAAAACAGCTACAACTACAACTACAACGATGGTCTCTTTACAACTCCGAAATTCAAACTCCTTTTCTTTCTCATCATCGGATAACTGGTTATTTCCCGTTTCTTCCCTTTTCTTTCCCTCTCGCTCGCTCTCTTTCACTCACACTATTGAACAAATCGTTTTTCCTCTATCGATTGCATCAATCCCATTTCGTGTCATATTCATTTTCATCCATCCATCCATCCATCCAAACAAACAAACAACGAAAAAACTCTTTCGAATCTCCAATCAATTTTATTTTTTTCGCTGCAGACTCTTCGAGTCTTGTCGTTCTTTTTCTTTTTTTTTTTGGTTTGGTTTGGTTTGGTTTGTTTTCTCTCGTATCGGCGCTCCTTCCTCCCACCCTCGTGCCGACGTTTCATTTCGTTTCTCCTTCCTGCTTTCCTCGTTCTCCTCCTTACCCACTTCTCTCTTTCATCCCTCCTACTCTTGTCCTCTTCATTGGTCTTTTCTCTCTTCTTCTCAACCTGCGTGCATTTCCCTCCCCCTCGGAGAAAGAATTCATAGAAAATCCGGACATTTCCTTCGTTTCTCCAAGCCGAATACCCCTCCATTCTCATTGGCTATTTTCAGCGGAACGTTTGCGTTTACCAAATGACCGAATGCTTATGCATAATCATTTGATGTCATCCTTCCAATCGTTCATTCGGCTTTATCCATGCATCCCATCTCGTCAATTCTCTTTTCTGCCCCGCGAATCCCTCTTATTTAAATTCTCTCGTTTCCCTGTTTTCTCGAGTTCCTCTTCTCCCGAGTATTTTATTTCTCCCAAACGAAGTTAACCAAACATCTTTTTTTTTTCCTTTTTCCTTTTTCTCGTTTTTTTTTGTTTTTTGTTTTACCGCCCCACACAAGCTTCCAGCGTTTGAAAAAAAAAATATATATATATATAAATAGAAATATATATATATATATTATATATATACACACACACAAAAATATACCGTTGGTTGTTGGTAAAATAAAAAAGAAAACAAAAAAGAATTTTATTTTTTTTACCTTTATTTTATTTTATTCTATTTTTTTCGCTTTTTCTTTTCTTATTTAATTGTTCTTTTTCTTCTTCGTCGTCGTCCTTGTTGTTGTCGTTGTTGTTTTCTATTGAACCCTTGTTGATTCTTTCGGGTTTGTTTACGAATTGACATTCTGTTTGTTTGTCTATTTGTTATTTGTCTACTCAAGTGTTTTTCTCTCTTCTTTTTTTTCTTGTTTATTTGTTTGTTTATTTGTTTATTTTCATTTCGCTCGTCGTTCCTTTTTCGCTCTCCTCTTCTTTATTTTTTTTTTCCTACCCTTTTTCAAACAAGAGCTCTTGTTGTTGTTGTTTTTCTTTTCTTTTTATCTTTGATTGTTTTTCCCTTTTTGGTTTCTTTTTTCAACTGCTCTAGAAAACAAAAACAATCATCCTTCCATTCTTCTGTTTTCGGTTTTATTCTTCCCTTTTCTATTTCAATTTCAACTCTACCTTTTTTTTTTCCCTCTTCTTGTGATTTTGTTTCTTTTTTTTTTTCGCTTTTGCTTTTCGTTGTTTTTTTTTTCCTTTTTTTATTGTTGATACATACACTCACTCTTCCACTTTTCTCAAAATGATGAATAATCGTTCTTCCAATTCTCCTCATCAACATCCTCTTGCTGATCATATGCATCCTACTGCCCCTCCTTCCCAAAATCAACATTCTTCTTATACTCCCTATCCCACCTATCAACAAGGCCTTCCTCCCCCCATGTTTCATGTTCAACAACATCCTTCCATGCTAACTCAACTTCCTCCTCTTTCTGCCACCGTCCTTGCTCCTTCCCTTGCTTCTTTGCCTCCCATCTCTTCCGCTCCCAATTACCAACAAGTTTCCTCCCATGCTTCTTCTCCCTACCTCCAACAACATCCAATGCTTTCCTCCTCTTCTAATCCGAATGCCCCATACTCCAATCCTTCTTTCCCACCTCCTTCTACCGCTCCTCCCGCTCCTACCACCACCCCCCATGATCCCTCCTCCGCCTACGCCGTCCCTTCTCCCAATCCCACCTCTATCGCCTCTCCGTCACCCAACGACACTCTCCCCGTCTCTCCTCCTCTTTCAAAAAATTCCGCCCTCAATGGCTCTCTTCCAAACACCACAAACACCTCCAACGGAAACGGCAAAGGCACCTCCTCTCCCCCCGGTGTGTCCAACAGCAGCCTCGTCAAGCGCCAAGCTCGCAAGCGCACCAAAACCGGCTGCCTTACTTGCCGCAAACGTAGAATTAAATGCGACGAGCGGAAACCTGTTTGCTACAACTGTATCAAATCCAAGAGACAATGCGAAGGTTACACCCACTTTCCTCGTCCTACCGGTGCTCTTACCGCCGCCCGTAGAATCCCCGTTTCAAGCTTGCTTTCCGAACCCGCTCCCCATGGCATGGCCGGTCAGCCCACCCATCCTACTTTCCTTTACTACATCCAATCCGTTGCTCCTTCTCTTTGCCTTTGGGATTCTTGCTACTTTCCTCCTCTTAGTCCCTATTCTTCCTTCTCTAGCATCTATTGGTCTTCTACTATTCCTGAACTCGCTTTACGCAACCCAAACATCAGTGTCGCTCTCTATGCGTTCGCTAGTGCTAAGCGTCACTTGACCGACGATGCCATCGCTTTTGCTCGCCAAGCCCGCGTCACCCTCACCAACATTACCACCACCGAGAGCCTCCTTATTTTAGTCCTTTTAGCTGTTACCCAACTTTACATTCCCAAATGCGATATTCAACTCTTCAATTTCGCCGTCGATCAACTCGTCAAATTTGACGCTTCTTTGATGACAAGTCCTAGTGACGAAATTATTACCTACTTACTTCGTCGCATGTTTATCCGTCAAGTCGTCCTCGCCGGTATCGTAAGACCGCTTCACACCGAAATTCCTGCTTTGGACTCCTCAAGGCCGAGTTACCTCCTGCTACCACTCCCACTGCCGTCCTCGACGAGTCCTTGTTTAACCTTGGGCTTCGTTCTCTTTGTCATGAACCCGGTTTAGATTCCGAATTTACCAATTGGTATAATAACTGTCCTGTGGATAAGGTCGATCTTCCCCGTCTCGCCTTGTTGATGATCCATGCTGTCTTTGTTTCTCCTGCCACTTTGGCTCAGTGGGTAGAACTTATTTTGCAGCATCCCGATCCAACCCCCGCCATCCACATCGCTAGAGCCTGCTTGCTTGCCGTCCGAAGTGTCGTAAACCTCAGCGAATTGCAGGTCAAAGTTGACAAGTGCGTTAAGTCTTGTGAAGAAAAGCAGCTTCAAGCAAGTATTTCAAATTTCTCTCAGGATGCCATTCAGGCAAACTCTTCTGCTTTGTCCATTGGGGTTTAGTTTTTGAGAAATAATAGACGCTACTCGGCTACACCCCCATCTAACTCTCCACGACCCTTCCTAATCCTCTCGTACACATCATTCATGCGTTGTTTCGGTTTGTTTCTCCTTGTACATATATAATTCGTCCGAAGAGTCGATATCTTTATACATCTCTGCTTCGTTCTTTTTTGTTTTGCCTTGGAAATAATTTATCAACATAAAAAAAAAAAGGCAGAGTTTCCTTTACGACAACTACTTTAGCTGTTACGTGAGTTTTCCGTGGTTCTAAACTCTCATTTATCCATGAGATGAATATGTAAATATCTTTTAGCACTTTTTGATTTTGGACTTTGTGCATACACATTAGACTGGGGTATCCATTGCTTACGAAATTTTTATGGCTTTCTAAATTCCTAAATCAAACGATGATTGCTTTATTTCGTTTGTACAACTTACTCTCTTATGTTTCCTAGCACTTTTTCTTTTTCACTTGCTATATGGGTTTTGGTTTCATACGAATTATTACGGTTCAAAATCTTCTCCTTGTTTTTATAGAATATATTGTTTCTTTGTTCTTTTTCATTTTACTACTTTTCGAGTTGTATATATTCTTATGCGTAAACATATATGTACTCCATGTCGTATTAGTAGAAACCAAACAGTAAAAGTAACTTCTTCCTTTATACGATACCCGAGCAAAAATAATGATATCCGACGGTATATAGAGTATTCGTCGTTACGGATCTGGTCTACCATCTGATATCGAAATCGGCATTCCTCTAACGAGCCATTTCCTGAATAAACTATATTTCTTCCAAATCCCTTACAACATAGTGGACAGTGTTTCTTACACTCACAAGTATTATAACGAACACTCAACAAACGAAAGCAAAGCCGTAAATTGGTCGGCTGAGACGCATCGGGTTCGAAGGCTCCTATACATGCCAGCCAAATAAATTTCAAGACACCGCCGATGGAAAGCTCAAGATGCGACTTTATGCTACTAAAATAACAGAAAACCAGCCTTTGTATTCTATTACGTCTACAGAAAAACATATAGCAATTGCAGGAGTAAATATTGTTCACATCTTACCAACAAGTTTTTTTCCTGAGGTTTTTTCCAACGAAAGCGTAACTGCTTTAACGGAGGAATGCTTTTCCGCTAAACTACAATTCTCAGCTCCTGTCACATGCGTTCGGTTTTCAAAGGATGGTCGACTCCTTGGAATTGCTACGGAAGACGGAACGTTCCTTTATGAAGAGGAGATTTGGGACTTGCCTTTGCAAACGATCCCAGGGCCTGCCTACGAACTTTGCTGGAGTCAACAAGCTAACCTTCTGGCGACGGCCTGGAAGAGCATTTCTATTTATTTGCGGAAAGAAAAAGAAAACTCAAATACGTCCGAGAATGGTCAAACTACAGAAAGGCTGAAAACTCAGACGAAGAAAACTCAAGGAACTCTGTCTCCTAAGACCGAGCACACCAGTAATAGTAAAGTGATTGAATACAGTCTTTTAAAAGTAATAGATGGACATCATTCTTTTATTTGTGGGCTTGCCTTTGACCCCCTAAGCCAATATCTGGCATCACATAGTTTAGATCGCTCTTTAAAGATTTGGCGACTAGCAACATTTGCCTTGGAGAAAAATATATCCAAGCCTTTTGAACATATGCCCATCAACAGTCGCTATCTTCGTTTAAGTTGGTCTCCGGATGGTGCTCATATTGCCGCTGTTAATGCTATAAATGAAGGAATAAACGTAATTGCTATTGTTCAAAGAGACTCGTGGACATTCGACATTAGTTTAGTGGGTCATCAAGAATCCTTGGAGTGCACATCGTTCAATCCCTATTTGTTCACTCAACCATTTCAAAAGTCCGTCATTGCCAGTGCTGCCCACGACGGATGTATTTGCATCTGGAATACTGCATGTGCACGCCCGGTACTCGTCATTAAGAACATTACATTTGCTGCCTTTTGTGACATACAGTGGTCGAATAGCGGGTTTGAGCTCTACGGAGTATCTTTGGATGGTCACATTTGTTTACTGAGGTTTGAAGAGTCTGAATTTGGTCCAAAGATGAATCAGCTAGAATACCCAGAAGACCTATCAAACTGTAACTTTTTGAAAAAGCCATATGGTCCCAGAAGCACACTGGAACCCACCGTTATAGTTGCTGCACCCTCCCCAAATACAACCAATGATATCCCGAAAGTCCGTTCTCCTCCTCCTTCACCTCCTTCGGTAAAGAAAAGAAAAGTACTAAAGAAAAAAGTTACTGTACGTCCGGTATCAATTCATCCTGCAACGTTGTTTTCCCAAATTCGTTTCGGGTGCCCTTTGGTAAAACCAAGGTGGGAAATTACTAAATCTTTCGGGACTATCAAGATTAAAAATTATTTAGAATGTACAAAGATAGAATGCTATATGGGGGATGAGAGGCAAAGCACTCCTGACTGGGTATCGTATCTCTCTTCTTCAGTAATCCTTGCGAATGGCACGAAGAAGTTTTGGGCTGCAGGAACAGAAGATGCCTCTATTTATGTTTTTAGTCTTCACGGAAGACTTCTGTCTCCTCCTATCGTTATAGGTTCAACGCCATGCTTTTTGGAATGTTGTGAGACATACTTATGCTGCGTGGCCTCGAATGGTTTACTTTACACATGGGATGTAATTTCTTCTAAAGCTGTTCATAATCCTGTTAGTATGCTCCCTCTACTTCACGCGAATTTTACAAATTCAAAGGTCGCAAAAGGTCCTTCATTAGAGCAATTGTTTGTTACCGATGAGGGTAACCCAATTGCTGTTATGAGTGATGGAAACGCTTTTGCATACAGTCCAATTACGAGCTCCTGGCTACGGGTTAGCGAAGGATGGTGGATGATAGGTAGTCAGTACTGGGGTTCACTTGTCACAGACTCTCGAGAAGAAAGCGCATTGAGTTTCTTGGAGCGATGTACGGATGAAGAAATTATTAAAGCTGGAAGAGGAAGATTCTTGCAAAGAATTGTAAAAGCCTCTATGCTCCGCCAAGGTTATGATAATTACGAAATGGTTGTGAGTATACGACATCTTGAAAATCGTCTTATGAGCTCTGAAAAGCTGAATTTACAATTTGACTTTCATGAAAATCTTTTGTTATTTGCGAATCGTATTGCCGAGGAAGGAATGAAGGATAAAATGGATGAGTTATGCCGTGAATTGCTTGGTCCCTTGCGAGTCCCTTTAAGTTGCACGACTCCTGTAAAAATTGGTGATCGTATCTGGAATCCTTTCGTTTCTTCTTTAAACAAGCGGTCACTACTTAAGGAAATTATTTTACATACGGCAAAACATAGAGAAATCCAAAGGATTACATCTCAATACTCTTACCTACTAGAGCATATCCCTGCTTAGATGCTAATTTATTTATTTATCCTATATACAAATTTAGTCAGAAAATACATATTTACGTTTTTTGCTGCAATGTGTTTAGGGAGCTTTTGCGAGTAAGTTCTATTTACTTGACACCACTTTGCATTAACCAGTAATATATAAAGGTTCCATTTACGCAGACCAAGTATCATTGTTTACATATAAAGAGTAGGGATTTGGCGTAGGAAAGCATATGGATAAATTTCCTCATCATTGAAACGATAATTTAATTAAAATGAGCAAGATTATTAGCCTGGGAATATGGGCCCTTGGCATTATGCTAATGGCAAGCCAAAAGCATTCACCATTGCTTTCCAATGTGGGATTATCTGTGCTTGCATATAAAGCAACTGCATTCTTTATTCCTCGTGTTGGAGCGGCCTTCATTCGTCGAGGATTTTCAGGAAAAGACATGAACAAAGTTGAGAAGCGCGTGATTCCAGAAACCATGGGAGCCGTATCTTCAATGGTGTATTTCATGTGCATGATATTGTTCATTCCTGTTTTATTTTACAAGTACTTAGTCCCTGAACAATCTAAAAACCAGCCAGAGAATCCACTTGAAGTCTTGAGTGACGGATACACTTCGGTAGCTAAGGCCCAGTTTCCGCATGACCAACTTGGTGCTTACTTGTCTGCTGTCATTTCCATTTTGTCTATTTCTTTACTTGGTATCTTTGACGACTTATTTGATATTCGTTGGCGTCATAAATTCTTTCTCCCTGCGATTGCAGCCATTCCTTTACTAGTAGTTTACTACGTTGATTATGGAGTCACCTATGTATCCGTTCCCACTCTTTTACGTCCCTTCTTTCAACGCTCTATCGTGGATTTAGGATTTCTATACTATATTTATATGGCAGCGGTTGCTATTTTCTGTCCAAATAGCATCAACATTATTGCAGGTGTGAATGGCGTCGAGGCAGGCCAATCCTTAGTGATAGGTCTTGTAGTCCTTTGCAACGATTTAATTTACGTTTTTCACCCAAGCAATCCAGAAGCTGTGCGTGCTCATCTTTTGTCCATCTATCTCATCCTTCCTTTGCTTGGAGTCACTGCTGGTCTACTAAAATACAATTGGTGGCCTTCTCGTGTGTTCGTTGGAGATACGTTTTGCTATTTCGCCGGCATGGTTCTAGCTGTTGTTGGTATATTGGGACATTTTTCGAAAACGTTGATGTTGTTCTTCATTCCACAAATATTTAATTTCATTCTCTCTGTGCCTCAGTTATTCGGGTTTGTGGAATGTCCTCGTCATCGTCTACCTCGTCTGAACGTGAAGACTGGATTGCTTGAGAACTCTTACACAGAGTTTGCTGAAGGAGTCCCTTTACCTACCAAGACGTTACTAACAATACGTTTATTTGAAGCATTCCGTCTTATCCGCGTTGATTGGGACCAGAAAACGAAAAGACCTATAAGATGCACAAATTTCACAATCATCAACTTTGTACTATATCATACCGGTCCTATGCGAGAAGATCACTTGACCCTATGTATCATGGGAATTCAACTCGCTGTTGGCTTGTTTGGTTTAGCTATACGACATGGGTTGGCTCCATTAGTATATCCTCAAGACAACATTTAATCCCTCAACCGATTTTCCAAAGTAATTTTGTGTTCCTTTTGTCTTCCCTTTTTTTGGCCGTAACTTATCAAGCAAGTTCACCCTCGTTTGCTGAAGTGTTTCTTCCTGTCTAATTATTACACTTTACGAGACAGCAAAGAGTTTCCAAAAGAATCGATCTGCTACAATTTATATGTCTTTCTTTTTTTCCGTTTTTTACGCCTCTCTCGTATTAGATTCAATAGTAAGTTTCAAATGCTTTATGAATTACCCTTAAATAGCTCCGATTCTTTTATTTATTATTTTGAAAAGCTCCATTTTGTTTGTTTTAAATTCTTTCTACTTTATATAGATTAAAAATATATACATTCTTTATTTTTTTGAATCTGTCTTTCGATTACAATGAGATAAAGCTATATCGAATACATAAAAATGCCTATGTTCATATCATGTCAATTTCCAATGTTTCCCTACCTGAAATATCATCGGTTTCTTCATGAAGTCTTGGCATAAGTAGATATCATACTAAAATACATTGTGACTATTTTGTGACTGTCATTTCACACTCAAAGGGTATAAATAGATGCTCCTACACTTCTTGTTCTTTACTTACCTGGCACGGGTTTTCGCAGCTCAAGAATTGTGGGAATTCAGCTGTTTGTCTTTGCATTGCACTGTAGCTCTGACGGACAGTTGCGGACTGGCTACGGTCAGATCCGAGTGCATCATTTTTGAGTTCGTCTCTGTTAAGGAGACATTTTCTCTAATTCTCATGACCATGTTGTGCGAAGTAGAGAGAATGTTTCTGATAGTAAATTGTTTTGTATCTTTTAGTTTGAGATAGTTGATGTTGGAATTGAGTTTCGTTGTGGTCTGAAAATTTTGTAGTGTGGATGTTTTTAAGGTAAAGATTAAAGATGAAAGTGTATGTTTGTCGCTTTTAGTAGATGTCGGTTTCAAATTTGAATGTTTCAGAGTATTGGTGGTTGTGAATTGTAAATTTAATTTGGGTAAGTTGAATTTGTGTAAGATTCATTCATCCTTTTAACCCACACGAAGCTATGTCCAAAGAAACAGAGGAAGCTCCATTGCTAGTAGACGAGTCGGTCATTAGTAAAGATGAACTGCAAGAACTGAATGAACCAGAACCGGTTAACGAAAAGGAGCCTGGTGTCATTGGAAACGAAGATATTGCTTCAGGTATCGGGAATCAGAATTCACCATTCAATTCCGTCGAAGAAGATTCTGGTTCTAAAGCTGTTCCTGTGACAATTTTGACTGGATTTCTGGGTGCAGGAAAAACATCCCTATTGAAATGCATTCTTGAAAATGCACAGGGAAAGCGAGTCGCCGTCCTAATGAACGAAGTCGGAGACTCTGGTGACTTGGAAAGAAATCTAATGGAAGAAGCTGGTGGAGAAGAGCTTTATGAAGAATGGGTGAGTCTTTCAAATGGATGCATGTGTTGCACTGTGAAAGACAGTGGTATCAAAGCGATTGAACAATTAATGAAGCAAAAAGGGAAGTTTGACAGTATAGTGATTGAAACCACTGGGGTTGCCAATCCAGGACCTTTAGCTCAGACATTTTGGCTTGACGATGCTTTGGGTAGCGAGGTACAATTAGACGGTGTTGTAACAGTGATTGATTGCCAGAACCTTGACAGCATTCTCAATGATAGTACTGAAATCGGCAGCATTCAGATAAGCCATGCTGACTGTCTTGTACTGAACAAAACCGATAAAGTAAATACGTCCGAACTTGAACGAATTTACCACGTCGTTCGCTCGATCAATCCCCTCGCTAAGATTTGTGAAACAAGTTATGGTCGAGTTCACGACATTCAAGAAATTCTGGACCTGAACGCATATCGAGAAAGCGAGGATTTTCAGAAGTTTATGATTCCCTCGACTCCCCATACTCACAATAGTCACGATGTTGGACACGGCAAGGCGTGCACGAGTGAGACGCCTGTAACTAGTATAACAAGTCGGACATTTGAATTACCTAGGAGGATGTCTGCTGACGAATACGAACGATGGCTTCAATGGATACGTGGGATTTTATGGCTTTGTTTAGAAACTGGTGAGGGGGAAGAATATATGATATATCGCAGCAAAGCCTTACTTCAAAAAGACGATGGTTCCTGGCATGTCATGCAGGGAGTCCGTGAAGTTTTTGAAGTGTTACCTCTTCCAAGATCTGCTAAAATAAATTCCGACAAACAGCTCCATCCTGTTACCGTTTTGATTGGAAAGAACGTTGACCGTATTCCCCCATTTTTGACATAGGAAGTATATCTTAAACATCATTACAGACCTCTATGTACATCAATACTTCTATAAATATCTACCGGTAAATTTTATAAAGTATTTTAACTTGTTATAATCCTATAGACATGTTATGCTGACTTTGTCATCTGACCTTTCATACAGTGCATCACTATACGTAAAACGCGTTTTCTTTCAACCTGATTTCAGTTTAATAAATTTACACCCTATGTTTTTACCCTAAATCCATAAAAAAGCTACTACTCGTAATGTTGTTTTACAAAACAAAATAGAGCATGCTTGGTGTGACTCAGATGTAATAAAACACTACCCAAGAATGACCCTGCCAAACTGCCGCTTTGGCTAACGAAGCTCAAATTAAGCAATGGTTGAAATTGTTCCCTATCATCATAAATATTTGGAAGAAGTCTGCCAACTTATAAAAAAAGACTTGAGTGAGCCTTATAGTAAATACGTTTACCGGTATTTTGTACATCAATGGTAAGTTCGACACCAGGAATTCACGTTTCTAAATCATCTACTTCTTTCTGTAAACTTACATTCCTATAATTAGGCCTGAATACAGTTTTGTTGCTTTACTCGACGGACAGATGGTCGGTGCTGTTATAAGCAAACAGGATATCCATCGTGGACAAAGTCTTCGAGGCTACATCGCTATGCTCGCTGTCAAAGATTCCCACCGAGGCAAGGGTATTGCAACTCTATTAACAAAGGCGAGTTTAAATGTCATGATTGAAAAGGGTGCCCAAGAAATCGTTTTAGAAACTGAAGTGGATAATGATGCAGCAATGTATTTCTATGAACGACTAGGCTTTTGCAGGTACAAACGACTCTTTCGCTACTATCTAAACGGAACAGATGCATTTCGCTATATATTGTATCCTTAAGGCCGCTACACAGAATTCGATGTTTGTTACTGTCAAAGAGATACTCGGCTACTATACTAGGAAATCAGGGATTTATAAAACAGATATATGTGATTAAGATATCCAGTTATGACTTTAATGTATCAAACGTTCTTTCGACATCTTACCGTATTATTAAAGCCTATACTGCTTCATTTAAAATTAAAAAACCATAATATTAGTTGCGTGAAACAATAAAAACAAAACATCATCATAAACGTAACTTAAACCTGTAATCATCGTGAAGGAAATAAAAATAAGAAAGACATAAGGGCTAATGAAAAGCTCAAGAGCTCTAGAGAGTAGTAATGGGTACCCTGCATACGTATGCTTGCCCTCAAACTATTCTTAATGTGCAATAGCTAATCAAAAGCAAGTCAATCCAGGAAATCATCAGGAGTTTGTTCAGGCACTTTGGGATTCAAGTTCTGTAGAAAGTTTATTCTTGACATCTCAGGTTTATTCTGGAAAGTAGTATTTATCTTCCGAGAACTGACCATTGCTGCCACTGAGTCATACTGAGGATTAGGCTGAAATACGGCATGACTGCAGACATATCCAACACCTTCAACATGCACAGTATGCTCTCTAAAAAAGTCTACTATTTCTTGACTGCAGGCAGGGAAGGTAAAGAAAAGCAATACGGGCGTCAAAAGAATCCCCAGAATCTCCCATAGAACGTTAACTATTCTATAGGTATAAAGGGTGCAAAACTCTTGCTGAATAGATTTACTATCCATGTTTCTCTGCCACCATTCTGGCAAATAATGAGTGAAATAAGCTACTTTACGTAAAGCTTTTTCTGGGTCAAAAATAAGGGTCTCGTCTGGAATCAAAGAACGCATAGCAGCTATTAAAGAACCAAATATACCCAAATAAAATATGACAGTTCGATCCTTCGTCAGTTCAAATGTCATCGTTATCTCTGGGTCGAAAAGGGTTATGATCACCAGCACGGCTGTAAAGCTTCCTAGAATAAAGGAAACATACTTTACGCATCTGATAACATTAAAATCGGGAAACTGGGATACATAATGGGAAGCATATTCATAGCTATTACTAATTCTCTCATCGAAAACGTGAGGAAGTTCATTATATTCGCGAAACGTCCATAAAGCTAGAGGTGTATACCTTCGTATACCTAATAAACTAGGGTTCTTATGAAATTCATCGAAGTACCGAAAAAAGTTATGAACCAATAAGTAGACGGCAACAATAGGAGAGCATAAGCAATTCAAAAACCCAGCCACAATAAAGCGACGTCGAAGTTCTTCTGCGAGACGTTTTCGAGAATTGACATTTCTAAATGTCTCCAATATTTGACCTTGATCATCAAAAACAAAGTTAAAAATACACCAATTAATGTTCCACTCAGTTGTGTGTGTAAGTATCCTTTTCCTCAGAAGGGGCAACTCAAGATCAATAACGTCGTTATTTATTAAAGCAATAAAGTAATTTTCTTTTCTCATAATTCTATTTGTAATTGCTTGTGCATCTAAACGTTTCATATTATGAAGAGATACCACACGGCCATCTTCAGCTGTTAAAGCATTCACGTTTTTTAGTTTGTATAAGCGATACAATATCCGCTGCCATGAAACGGTTGCCATATCAGTACTTGAGATTTTAAGCGCATGAATGAAAAATTCTCGAATATGCCATAACCTTGGTATGTCAGTAAGGTAATATATCCACAGCGCACACAAAAAGCTCATAAACAGCCATAGAAAAAGTGTATCCAAAGGAGACATTTGAGCAATGCAATGTGACTTCGTAGCATTAACCAAAGATCCGTGAGGAATAACGGCAGACCAGTCGATGCAACTAGTAATAAAGGTCGTGAAGCCAATGACAAATGATATGGTTAATATCTGAAACAACCTTTGAACAATCATACAGGAAAATCCTTTTCCTACGTAAAAAGAATACACTTGCTGTAGAAAGTAGTCTAGGTTTTCAACGTTCGCCCAGCGCCAAAGAACACGGTCATGAGGAGTTAAACGATTCCATAAAGTCCGTGCTCCAGAAAACTCATTTCTTGGAAGTTGAGTGTGTACTGATTTGTTTGGATAAGCGCTTGAAACTTTGTCTCTGTCAAGTTTTCCAAATCTTTCGTTTGGCGAGGAAGCCCTCATTGAAGACGAAGCAGCTAGAGGAAAACGGTTCATTGAGAATTTTGAAAAAGAAGCTGTATTGGAGTTCTTTACGACAGAACGGACATCATGTTTTGGTTTAATCGTTTGTTCTGCTGAAGACTCGAAACTTGTTGGATTGATTTCGTTGGTTTCTGAAAAATCAAAAGACTTCTTTGTTCCAAAGCTTGTTTTATTGATAGTTCCTTTAGACGTTGATTTCGAAGGTCCAGTTGTCGGATGTTCTTCAACGGTTGAATGTAGTAAGGGATTTTCATCATCACTGTCTAGAGACTCCTGCCATGCTTCTAACGTTCCATGGTGATTAGGAACCTCATCCTGTGCCTCTATATCCCCTGTGGTTTTAAAGAGCAATTCATTTCGCCTTGGTAAATAATACATACTGTCATCCGTCAAAAAAGTCAAATTCTTTGTCCCTTCATCGGCAACTTTTATTTTTTTCTTAATTCTTCTACAATTTCTTCCAATTGTTCTATACGCTTTAATGCTTTTTTGTGGCTTTCGTTCAGTTTATTCAAATTGGACTGTAAGTGCGTAAAAACACTACTCAGCAAGTGGCAGGAACTCTCTATTAGTTCACCACCAGGAGGTAGTTCTTCTAACTCTGTGTCTGTGAGTTTTACGGTGCTATCGGTATCATCTTCTCTTGCCGTTTCTTCATTATTTAAACGTCTAAAACGCTTGTGGTATGAAGAATTATCGCGCACTTCATCTGTAGGACTAGCAGGTGAAGTGAGTACGCGATTTTCAAAATTTAAAGAAGGATATTCAGACAATAATTGAGGTTCATATGGTAGCGAAACTGGAGGTGTATTTGGGTTTGATTCAGGCATCTCTAAAGCAATAACGAGAAAGGTACCTTACTGATCAAGATTTGAATTGGAGAAGAGATGAAAATAGTACCCCATCAGTTAATGAATAAAAATATGAAACGTTCATTTTCTATTTTACTAATTTTTATTTTTTTGAAACTAATTAAGGACTTATAAATTTTTTAATAAACCTTCTAAAGTAAATGCGAACACTGATGGCATCATAATAATTGACTAAGAAATTAACATTAATATATTCAATTCATTCCTGAAACACTATCATGTACAAAATTTACAATAACTAGATGCACAGAAGCTCTAATTTAGAGCTTCTGAGAATACTGCGGATAGATGCTTTTTCGGTTCCATGCCAACGCTGACACGGACCAGATTTCGATTGATGCCGTTCTCTTCAGCCCAGTCCAATTCTTGGTAATGTGCAATGATAGTGTAAGGGGAAGCCAATGTAAAATTGGTGCCTAAAGAAGGCCCTTTTGCAACACGAATGTGATCATAAAAGCGTCGTGCATCACATGGATCATGAAAAACAACGGATAATAATCCTCCGTAACCTCCATTATTTCTTTTGCAAGCTTCGTAATTGGTCGATGAAATATTGTATTTCGGATAATATAGCTGCTTCACTTTAGGACTCTTCCGTAGTAACTCACATATAACTTCGGCGTTTTCGTTTATGACCTTTGATCTGTCAGCAAAATCACGACTATTTCTCTCCAAGGTTAAGGCATCCTCATCATAGAAATTATCCTCATATAATTTGGTCATTCCCTCCTTCAGTTTTCCATACAAGCGGCTTAATGGATTCAGAACTAAACTACCACCCATGACATTACTGTCTCCACTAAATATTTTTGTTAAGCTGCTAACAACCATATCAGCATATGGAAGAACTTCCACATTTAAGAAGTTTCCAATCGTTTCATCCACAACAACCGCAAAATCGTACTTGTTGGCGAGGCGTCGAATACGGACGAGATCAGGAGTATTTAGTAAAGGATTAGAAGGGAATTCACAGAATAAGCCCAAAACCTTTTCTCCACTTTCCAAAAGATTTTCGAATTCATCCAGCTGAGAAGCATTGCCAAGTCCGTAAAAATAACAACCTTGTCCCCATTTCTCTAATATTTTCAAAGTATCAACATAACAAAATCCAAAACAAACGCTTTTCCTGCTACCATCCAGAGTCTTTCTGAGAATGCGATGAGCATTGTAAATAGAACTCATGCCAGTAGGGAATAGATATACATCTTCATGGGTCAAGCCTTTAATCTGTCTTAACTCGCTTTCCTTTTCATAAGGGAGAGTTTTTTTTAAATCAACTTCATCTTCCAAAGTTCCAGCAATTCGCCTTCTTAGAACAATCTTTGCGGAAGTTGCCAAGCTTAAATCCAAATTACGGCCATATCGTTCCTCTAGGTAACGACTTACATCGGTCATTTCAGCTTCATTGGATTGATTATCGTCACTCATCCAACTCTGTAAAGCTTCCATGTCATGAGCAGAAGCATAGCGGCTTCTACTTTTGCTTTTCAGATGTAATAAAGATTGTTTATACGAGCCTTGTTTTGCCATAGTTTGGACTAACTTAAATGCCTGTAAAAAGCAAGCAGCTCTTCGGCTGGAAATACCTTCACCAGTATGTTGCCAAAACTGCTTCGCTACGCTAAAGTATTCACAGGGAAACAAAACAGCAAAGACATTAGGGATATGAATGTCTTTAACGCGATCAGAACCTAGAGTCCTGAGATGTGATTTTAAAGATTGAGAAGCATCAACTATAGGAAGAGTAGATGGTTCCAGTTGAGCTTTCTCAGCTATAAACTCAACGCATTGCTGAGCAATCGACATGGAAGGATAAAGCATTGTATCGTAATTATTCAGATTTAGCTTTTGAACTTCAGGTGACTTTTTAACTTTGCTAGCGCAGTCTTTAATAAACGTATTTATGAAAAATCTAGGATAGCCTGTTTGCATCCTTGTAGCAACGTCAGGATCCCCTTCCTCATATCCAACGTTAGCTTGCCATGTTGGCAATGTTACAGAAATGGCATGGTCGGTATCAGCAGGAATTGATGACCCAGTTTCGGTAGGAGGATTAACAAGGTACGACAAGTTTAGACTCATTAGTGCTTATTCAACTACTACTCTTCAATCAAAGAAATGAAAGGCTAAATATTTCCTAGAGTACTAAACTTCTATTGTTTTACAAAACAAAATACTTGAAATTAGAATATGGGTGAATTTTGAAGTGGAAAGTATAACTCATCTAAGGACTTCTAAGTATGACCAATTATGTGGTCTGTTAGAATTTAGATGAACAGAGATAATAAGAACAAAATTAATGCACTCTTTCAGTAATAGCGTAAATAAAAGTAAGTTAACATAAATGAATATGAGGTGCCAATATACTCCTTCAGAAATAAGAAAAGTGACATCCTTTTGAAATTACTATTATTGAAGCAATCTACACAGATTCTAACCCTATATCATATTTTTAATAATAACCAAATCTTCATTCTTTTCCGAGAGTCCATTTTTAACTTTCATCATTAACAAAATTGCCGCGGCGGTGGTACAGTGGGAATTTTTCCCAATGTAAATTCAGGCGCTTGAAATTGTTGAATGAATTCCGGCGGAAAATCGGAAGGTACATCTGACACATTTGTGCTTGTAGTTTCAGGCATAGCAGAAGACGCTGAGGGAAAGCTCGGAGCAGGTGGCTGTTGTTGAAAACCAAAATTACTGTTACCCATGGGTTTGTTCATAGAATCGTTGTTCCCTATTCCTTGACCTCCTTCTGCAGTCGGTTGACCAAATCCAAATTGCTGATTTTGACTTCCCATACTAAAACTAGGAGGTGCAGCACTCGCGCTTTGAAATGACCCAAATATACTTGATGGGCTTTGAGCTTGGTTTGGATTCTGAAATCCACTATGAACATTATTTTGCAACATTGGATTAGTCGGCTGCTGAAAAGCTGTCTGGCCAAACACGGGAGCATTAGAAGTACCAAAAGGAGAAGGATTAGGAGGATTTTTAGGCTGTTCAAAAGTTTTTGGTATATTCATGGAATTATTTGCTTGAGTTTGAAAACTAGCCTGTCCAAACAATGATTGACCAAAGGCCGGTTGCTGATTATTAGAAAACCCACCGAATGATGAAGGAGTTTGGGTTGCAAAGCCAGGAACACCAAATTGTGGACTATTCAGTGCATTCTGGGAAAACCCGCCACTAGAGAATGCATTAGGAACTGCTGGTTTATTGTTATTAGAAGAAAATGGGGAAGCACTAGTCTGATTACCAAATACAGACGTCGGAGGAGCAGCTGAACCGCCGAACCCACTGTTTGGTGGTTGATTCTGTTGAAATCCAAATGCAGGAGTCGAACTGGTAAATGGATTTTTGTTTTGGTTTGAAAATGCACCGAAAGAGGCGTTATTATTTGACTGAGTGTTGTTAGTTGGGGTCGTATCGAATATAGATTTCACTCCTGTCTTGCCCACTAAACGATTTCTCATTTCATTGACAGCACCTTCTCGATTTGTTAAAGCAGTCTTTTGTTTATGACTAATATCATTTAGCAGTTCGGTTTGGCGTTGCTCATATTGAGGAATGGCATTTGCTGCTCGTGCTTGATAAAACCACAGTCTGAGTTCCTCTGGAGAAACATCGCCACTATATAAAGAAGGGAAAAAATCTTTCACACTATAGCAAGTTAAAGGCCATAAAGGCTTTTCTGATTCCAAGTTTGTAGTAATGAAACCAGCCGTCTTAGCTATAGGTAAATATCGATCCAATTCGGCCCTCTTCAAATGTTTACTATCAGCCCACTTTGCTGATACATATTAGTCAATCTGTAAATAAAAATTTAGCTTTTACAACATACGGGGTGCTGCGTTCTCTGAACGAAAAATATACGAATTTGTACCAGGCTTTAAATGGGGGTAGACATGCTCAAATCTACAATTGGTTCCGTTACGACAACGGTCTGTATTGGTTAGCAATAGAACTTTAAATAGAATCCATACTCTCCAAAAAGAATTTGCAAACTGCCATTTTTCAAATTATATCGAGCTGAAAAACTTTAAGAGTTAAAGCGTTAAGGTCTTTTTAAACAAAATGTAAACGTAATAAATAAAGTATCTCCACACTATTGCACTTCTAGTTTAGTTACTATGCCCAGTACATCGCGTTCACAGTGTTTGGTAGTCTGTGCATGAAGTAACAAATAATCTTCCACATAGTGGTAGTAGGTGTTAAGCACCCTAATAGAAAATCGAATTCTAGCTTGTCGAATTTGAAGATTTTTGAAATAAAATATAGTGTAAAATATCTTCTAGCCATGTTTTGTATGAAAGGTTTTCCTTACGCCAGATTCTTGAAATTAACGCCCTTATGACTTGTGCTGTAATTTCCTTTTCTTCTAGATATTTTATAAGAGATGACTTTAATACATTAGGAAGTTTTTTCGCCTTGCGTCCACGATATCTAGAACTCTTTCTCAACGCAAGAGCAAGATCAGCGGAGGCAAAGGATGAGTCTTTGTTTTGATCAAATAAGAGACTATCGAAGATAATCTCATCTTTATTTAAGATAAGTGAACAAATCATAGTTCCCTCATCCTATATTTTGTTAGTAAGGCGAATGACCATATTGTAGAATTTATCAAGTCATGCTGGTACATACTTTAGTTATTTGTACATAAGTAGGTATAGACTGTTGAAAGTAACCTAACTCATCTAGGCCATCACTTTTTTCTTCTTCCTCTGTCTGCTCCACATTATTTTTGTCAGTATAAGAAGCCCTCGCACTGTAAACAGGTACTGTGATTCGTATTCTGAAGGTCTAGTCAGCAACAAAATTTCTTCAAAAGATAAAAATTTAAGACTAGCTAAGCCTATAATTCTTGTATACTGAACATGAGTACAAATGTCTTACCTTTCATTCTCCAGTTCCTTGGTAGCCGCAATGTAATTCCGTAGAGGGTTTTCGTGAATAGTAAACGAGCGTAAAGCATGTTCATAATCTTTATTCGGAGTTGTTTCACCTAATACCTGGTTCACAAATCCTAGTTCCGAATCCAATTTCAAAGCAAGTTGTTCCATCAGAATACCGCTAGTAAACCTACGCTTCGGCCTTAGCAGCGTAAAGTAAGAAAATCCTCTATTTGTAAAGGAAGACCCATGCTTGAATAGCCCTAAGCGACTTGTCAATAGCGTCTGTCTAAACATTCCTACTATTCCTAAATGGTAGACGTATTTGCCTATTAGATATACCAACTAAAACAATACGAAGTTATAAGATACTAACGTGTGCCAAAAACCGATAATATACTTGTATAATTCAAATAAATCATATAAAATAAAATTACGTTAATTGAATGTGCTTTATTAATTAGTACTATCTAGAATTTAGTATACAAAACAGAAAACATAATGCCGAAGGAGTATAAGCATTCTATGCACTGTAACCATATTAATCCGTGTAAAGAAAAAGGATAATAATTGAAATAACTTGGCATCACCAATTGCAACGTGAGAAAGATGGATTTTTGCACATTTTGTAAGGTCATAAAAAGCTAACATAATAGAAAAAGAAAAAAAAAAGAAAAAGACAAGGTTGCTTTACGCTATACTCTAAACGGAAGCGGTATAGAATTGAAACTTTTCAAAATTGTTGACGCTTTAATAATATGCCAATGGGTAGGGAATCCCATATTGGTGAGATATGGGATATGCAGGTGGATACCAAACACAATTAATCTGCTTTGATGATTTCGGTTTAAAGCTTCCATTAGACAATGCTGGTTCCGGTTGTTTCATAAAATATTCAGGATAATGAGGTGATGATCGAAAATTCTGCTGTTTCGCGTTTGCGGTAGATTGAGATTTGGATATTTGGTATTTCTTTTGACTGTTCTTGTTTCCTTTTACGTCTGCAGATTTTGACCGAAGAGCATTTTGCTGACTCTCAGCGTTCCGCCTTTGCATATACTCCTCATGGGCCTTTAAAGCAACTTATAAAGTTAACTTCTTAACAATTGAACAAAAAATATCTAATCATACGTTTATGCTTCGTTTTCATTACAGGAGCATAGAATCCGGATTCCTTTATGATATGCCTTGACAATGAGTTGGCTAAAGAACGTTCAGTTAATAGATTTCACAAAATAAGTCATACCACAAGTTGATTTTTCCATTGGACGTATCTGTCATAAAGATACTACGTGAAATAATTGATATGTAAAACCTCCAAAATAAGTATACTAATCAGTTTCCTTTTTACTATAACAAAATTTGTTAGGCACTTTATGTTTATGTTGTAAAGTATAAATAAAAACCCATACCTTTTATACTGCTTCTTCGATTGTTTGTTTACATAGACCTAACCACATACTCGACTTATAAACAGAATCAGTAAGACAAGAAAACAAATAAAATAGAAGCTTAATGCAATGAAATTGAATCTATCTCTTCGTAATACATATCCCCAGGCGGTCCAACAGCACCAGTCTTCATAATGCACAGTTTTGATAGGCTCATGTTTTGAGCCCATGAGTAGTTTACGAACTTCTCCAACACTGGCTTTGCATCAAAGTGCTTTAAGCGCTTTTTCCCTCGTTTCATATATCTTGCGTTTAACAGTGTACAATGTAATGTTAAGGGACGATTGTCTTTAATAAAAATGCCAGCATCTTCAAAGGATTTTCGAAGGTATTCACAAAATTTCTGAACATTAACTCGTCCATGCTGCTCTTGAGGTACTGCATACAAGACGCGAGCCTCGTCAGGCGATTTTCCAAAATAAGAGGTCCCTTGTAAATCGATTGTTTGTAGCTCATCTCCATAAGCCTTTTGAAAATTGTCGGTGTTATTCTTCAGATGATTTATAGAACGTAGCACATCCTCCTCTGAGTTTACCGGGATCATTCCAATTGTCAAATGAGACACTCGAGGTCCACGATAGCTTGTACTCAGAAAAGAATTTCCAAGAAAATTTCGAAATGTCTCAAATGATTCTCTTAGACAACATTCAGGAAGTGGAAGAGCAAGAAAAAGAAGGTTAGGATATCGAAGATTAAACATCGGTTTTGACTTGAATACAAGGCCGTAAAATCCAAATTCGCCGAAAGGTTAAAAATGTAACAAGTGTTGAAAGTAATCCTATACAAGAAGAAATAATATTTACTCAATGACTATAAAAGGCTAATCCGTTGCAAATAAAAGTTTTGTGAAACTTCATCAAGAACCAATTTGGTTTACGAGTGTCTTTCAGAGTAGTTCTTATTTTTTTTACCAAAAAATGAATCCTTTAATTTGCATCATTTTTAGATATAAAATGAAAACTATTTATCAGCTTTTACTGCTATGCACGACATTTTTATGCTCACACTACTTACTGTTAGAACCTGAACAAGTTACCACAACACCAAGTCGGTGTTAGCAGAATATTTAGGTAAATGTATTAAATTTTCTGTTGATTCTTTAAATTTACTATTTGATTAAAATTTTTGTCTTTTTTGGGAACGAAAGAGAGACTTGAAACGAGAAAAAAGGTTGAAGGAACGAAGAAGTGAGAAATACTTATATAATTGCTTGTTCGTATGGAAATAATATTAGATCATTATGGCACAACCTAGCTCATACAATTCAAATAATTCTACCTCGGATCTGAATAAAATTGTCCTGGACTACCTCTATAGAAAGGGGTATTCTAGGACAGAGGCAATGCTGAGGTTGGAAATTTCTAGCGTAGGTGCAATTCCGGAAGAGCAACAAGATTGGCATATTGGCGCACCAGAAACTTATATCCAGGTATACATTCTTCTCAGGGATTGGATTGATGGAACTCTAGATCTCTACAAGCCTAAACTCCAAAAGACGCTTTATCCAGTGTTTGTTCATTCATATCTAGACTTATTACAAAAAAAAGAAAAAGATATGGCGGCATTCTTTTTTGACTCTTTTCGTGGAGAGCATGAAGTTCTTCATGGCCATGACATTCGTTTACTTGATGAACTAAAGACAAACTCTGATGCAGACGAAAGCGAAATTTCACAGCTGTACAGAAAGAATAAATATAGAATAAATCTAACGAAAGCAACGTTTGACTTACTGGTTCAATTTCTTTTTGACAATGAAGCTAATGGAAGTGGAATTATAATTCGTCTTCTAAATCAGTACATTGATATTAAAATAATATACGCTAAAGCAAATGAACCATCAAAACCGGATGTTCAAACTATGCTTGAACTAAATGCTGATAACAAAAATTTAGATGTTGAAGAGCAACCAGAAGGAATACCTGGACATTCAGAACAACTGTTTGATTACAACAAGCAAGATATATATCTCGGGAAGAGAAAAATACCTGAAGAAGTGCTTCCTGAAATCAAAGCAGTACTGGAAGAACGGGATAAAGGTCTTCAGGAGAAGCCGTTTCTTGCTTCAACACATCCGACATTGACGCTAAAAGAATTGTTTGAAAAAGAACAGGAGAGTATTGATGAAAACGCCGATAGTGTACCACCTGATTTACCTTTGCCCTCTTTGCGTATGAAAGACATAGAAGCGTATATTTCTTCCCTGGATAATCGGCGTAACTCGCTGCGTTTGGGAAGAGATGGTACCCCGCCAAGTGTTTTCATGTATACTATGCACAATACCTATTCGTCTCTGAACTGTGCTAAATTTTCTCCTGATGCTTCGATGTTTGCAACAGGGTATGCGGATTCCTCGGTTCAATTACAGATTTCAAAAAATTCCGGTCCTCAGGGTAAGCCATTTTTTATGAATTTATATACAGAACACTAACTTCGTGCAGCTCTAGTGGGTAATCAAAACGAACCTTTGGATACAATTAAACTTATAGGACATACGAGACCAGTATTTGGGGTTAGTATTTCTCCTGATAATGAATATATTCTCTCATGTTCAGAAGATGGGTTCAATCGTCTTTGGAGTAAAGAAACTCAAAGTACTCTTGTCAAGTACGCAGGACATAATGCACCTGTATGGGACGTTTGTTTTTCTCCATATGGTTATTACTTTGCTAGTGCTTCTCATGACCAAACTGTTCGTCTGTGGAGTATCGAGCACACTGCCCCTCTCCGAGTTTTCGTCGGTCATCAAAACGACGTTGATGTATGATATATTTTTCCTATTAATTTAATTGTATTTTCTAACTTTACAATAGTGCCTCTCCTTTCATGAAAATGCGAACTATATAGCCACTGGATCAAGCGATCATACTTGCAGATTTTGGGATATACGTACTGGTAACACTGTACGAGTTTTCACAGGACAAAATTCTTCTGTGTCATCAATAGCCTTATCACCTGATGGATTGTTAATGGCATCTGCAGATGATACTGGATTCGTTCATTTATGGGATTTACGGACTGGTTCCAAACTAGAGGTTTTTGAAAAACACCAGAATCCAGTCTACTCTCTTGCATTTTCTTACGATAATAAGACTTTGGCAACTGGAGGCGCTGATACTGATATCAATGTTTGGGATATTAAAGGCTTAAATGGTAAGGCGGAATCTGCTGAAGACAATTTATTGTATAATTTTAAAACGAAAGAAACGATTGTTTATGATTTACAATTTACTGAGAGGAATTACTGCTTGGGGTTAAGTGCTACCTAATTAGTTGTCTACTGTCTTTTTTTCCTTTTCATAGAAAGGCTGAAACGTGTACATAATAGGAATTCATGAAGCTATATTTATCCTCCAAATCAACAAAGGCATTTCTGCTTTAATGAATATGTTATTTTCCATATAAAGAAAAACACTTCCTACAAAGATGACTATCGAAAAATTTCATAAACAGCCTTCTCGGTATGAAATAAATTTGTATTTATACATGGCCGTAAAGAATTTGACATGCTACTTTAAATGCAAGTAGCACACCTTTGAATATTTAGTCGCTATATTAAGTGAATCAATGAGAAGATATCGAAAACTACGAAGTTTTAATAGAATCTTCAAGCATAACTGATTGTCGTAAGGAATTTGTTTTTCTTTTTTGAACGGATGGATTATTATTTACTACTAAAATAGTTTGTATGACACTTAACAATATGTATTCTTTAAAATCATAATCTTCAGAGACATCTTTAATATATTAGTATTCCATAATATACTATGATCTGAAGTTTATGTCACAGTACCGTTTTCATTTCTTGGCTACGTGTCTTGGATTCTTTCGATCACCACCACCATTACCTTTTTCTTATATTTTCCAAGATGGCTATTAAACTCGAAAAGCCCGATCAATATAAAGAGTTTCTAGACAAATTTGACGTGTTCTTGTTTGATTGCGATGGTATTTTGTTCATGTTGCATGCCCAATACTAACAGAACTACAGGCGTGCTTTGGAGTGGTAATGAGCCCTTGCCTGGAGTTAAGGATACCATGGAGCTATTGCGCTCTTCAGGTATGAAACATATTGGATTCACTATGATAACCATTTGGAATAGGCAAACAAATTATCTTTGTTTCAAATAATTCTACCAAGTCTAGAGAAGATTACATGAAGAAAATTAATGCACACGAAATTGAAGCAAAGTTGGAAGAAATTTATCCTAGTGCTTATTCGTCTGCTATTTATGTAAAGAAGGTTTTGAAGCTTCCCGAAGACAAGAAAGTGTTCATCCTTGGTGAAGGAGGCATTGAAAGTGAACTCGACCGAGTTGGTGTCAAACATACTGGTGGTACTGATGCTTCTTTAAGACGCGCTGTCAACTCTGATGATTTAAATACCATCCGTCCTGACCCTTCTATCGGCGCCGTTTTGTGTGGCATGGACAGACATGTCACCTATCTTAAGTATTGCATGGCTTACCAATACTTACAAGATCCTAACTGCGCTTTTCTCTTGACAAACCAAGATTCTACATTTCCTACAAATGGCACCTTTTTCCCAGGATCCGGTTCCATTTCTTACCCATTAATTTTCTCTACTGGTCGTACTCCTAAAATTTTAGGAAAACCGTATGACGAAATGATGGAGGCTATTGTTGCAGGCGTTAACTTTGACCGTAAAAAGGCTTGTTTTGTTGGTGACCGCCTTAACACCGATATCCAATTTGCTAAAAACTCTGGTTTGGGTGGTTCTCTTTTAGTTCTCACCGGTGTGAGTCAGGAAAGCGAAATATATGAGAAAGATGCTCCTGTTGTACCAGATTACTATATCAATTCCCTCGGCGATTTAGCTAAAAAAGCTTAGTTGCCCACATTTGTATGAAAGAATTTATCTCTTTTTGGGAATTTACCGTTGTTAGAATTTTATCAATCAAATTTAAGCTAGATTTTGTTTATTAGAGACGTAGTACAATCTCATTCGCGTAGAATTCGTATAAGCTTGTATAGCGATATCGCATAACGATAAGTAGTGTGTTCATGAACCATGTAAAGTTCACAACATCTATGGTATTCTTGCTGGTTTGTGCATACTAGAAGAAAAAGACGAAGAATTCAATCTTCTAATGAAATAGAATGCAAGAAACAGTGAAAAATTCTGAAGATCACAGGGAAATGGCGGATACAATACCAACAGAAAGGTCTAACCACAATAATAGTGCAAATGACGAAGAGAAGGATCTTAGTTGGGAAGATAGGCATTACATACCAAAGCGGGCAGATGCTCGCAGAAGCGCTGAGGGTCGCCAGACCGCTGATTCGGGCATGGATCCAAAGTTAGCTCTTCAAAAATTGATGAATACCCGTACAGGTGGAACTTACGTACCTCCTGCAAAATTAAAAGCACTGCAGGCTCAAATTACAGATAAAAACTCTCAAGAATACCAAAGATTACAATGGGAAGGACTAAAGAAATCAATTAACGGACTTGTTAACAAAGTGAACAAATCAAATATCAAGGAAATTATTCCTGATTTATTTCAAGTAAATCTAATCAGAGGACGCGCTTTGTATTGTCGAAGTATTATGAAAGCACAAGCGGTTTCGCTCCCATTTACTCCGGTTTATGCTGCAATGACGGCCGTAATAAACACAAAACTCCCGCAAGTCGGAGAGCTTCTGTTAACAAGACTTATTGTTCAATTTCGAAAATCTTTCCGCAGAAATGATAAAACTATGTGTCTGAGCTCAACAAACTTTATTGCCCATCTGATCAATCACAAGATAGCTCATGAAATTGTTGGCCTACAGATTCTTGCTGTACTTTTGGAAAGACCTACCGGTGATTCTATAGAAGTTGCAGCAGGGTTTCTTCGAGAAGTTGGTGCTTACCTCTCTGACATTTCTTCTAGGGCTTTCAATGGTATATTTGAAAGACTTCGTACGATCTTACATGAAAATCGACTTGAACCTCGAATTCAATTTATTATTGAAGTATTATTTCAAGCAAGAAAGGACAAATTTAAAGACAATCCGACTATACCCAGTGAGCTTGATTTAGTTGAAGAAGAGGATCAAATTACTCATTTCATTAGTTTGGATGATGAATTGGATGTTCAGGAATCCTTGGGAATCTTCCATTTCGATCAAGATTTTGAAGAAAATGAGTCCAGATATGATTTCATTAAACGTGAGATTTTAGGAGAAGATGAAGAATCCGAAGAAGAAGGTGGTGACGAAGAATCTATAGAAAGTAGTGAAGATTCTGAAGAAGATGAACCTGCTGGACAGGTACAAGATAAAATTGTTGACAAAACAAATACAAATATCGTAAACCTAAGAAAGTCAATTTATCTTACGATCATGTCTTCTGTCGATTTTGAGGAATGTTGCCATAAGCTATTAAAGGTACAGTTACCGGAAGGCCAGGAAATAGAGATGTGCAACATGATCATTGAATGTAATAGTCAAGAGAGGACTTATGAAAAATTCTATGGGTTGATCGGCGAACGTTTTTGCAAACTTAATCGAAATTGGCGCTCAACATTCGAACAGACTTTTAAAAATTACTATACTACCATTCACAGATATGAAACAAATCGCTTGCGAAATATTGCTCTGTTTTTTGGAAATCTTTTGAGCACCAATTCCATTTCATGGTCGGTGTTTGAGAATGTCCGATTAACTGAAGATGATACAACCGCGTCCTCTCGTATTTTTTTAAAAATTTTGTTTCAAGAACTTTTGGAAGCTATTGGTTTAAAAACGTTGGTTAACAAATTTCATGACCCAGAATTAGTACCTTATCTGCATGGTGTATTTCCAACGGACGAACCTCAAAATGTTCGGTTTTCGATTAATTATTTTACTTCTATTGGCTTAGGAGCATTAACCGAAGAAATGAGGGAATACTTGTTGACAATGCCAACGCCAAAACCCGATGATGTATCTGATTCTGAGAGCTACACATCTAGGTCTTCGTATTCACGGTCTTCTTCGCCGTATACATCGGACTATTCTCGTAGCAGATCTTCTTCTCGTTCTTTAAGCCCTCCAAGATCTAGAGGACGTTCATATTCTCCTTCTCTCGGCGAGTTAAGTCCTGATAGATCACGAGATGATGATAAGCGTGGAAGAAGTGGATATCCTCATACAGACAGAAGCCGCTCTTATTCAAGGTCTTCGTATTCCAGTTACGGAAGGTCCAGGACCAGATCACAAAGCAGATCACCTTCGTACGATTATAGACGAGAGAGGTCGCTCTCCCGATCATTGAATAGAAGACCATATCGTCTGTCTAATCGTTACAGGAGACATGCACCTAGGAGATCACGTTCCAGATCGATAAGTCCGATCAGTGAAAGAAGTTACTCGCGTTCACCTAGTAGAGGAAGGTCTTATTCTCGTTCAATTTCCCCCCGTGGAGACACTTATTCTTCGCGTCGGCGTTACCGTTCAAGATCTATTTCTTATTCCCCTTCTCCTCCGAGATATAGACGGAATCGTTCATTTTCGCCTTCTCCTCACCGAAGAACAAAACGGGCTAGGGACTCGAATTACAATCAAAGGTCTTACAGAGAAAGAAGTGAAAGAAGTAGATCGCCATCACCGTTCACTCTTAGGAAAATGAAAACCAGTGAGATCCAAACTGAAAGGAATGGCAGAAATTCGCACATGGGTAGATCTTCAAGGAATGATAATGGTAAACTAGAAGCTCCTTGGCTACAGCATTCAGTTGAAGACAGCAGGCACTAACGCAAAACAAAAGTTTTTGTAAATAATGTTTATTCCTTAATATTTTATTATATATGATATTATATAGAAAGTCATTTCAACAGCCCTTTTTGATACTCAACTAATATATAAGCTCCACTGATTTATCACACAAAAAGAATAAATATAATATAAAAATATGAGCGGAAAGTAATAAAAAGAAGAAATAAACAGGACCTTCTGAGGGTACCTACAAAACGTTGGCCACCATTTGAATATACACTTGAGGCGCCATATAATCTAACCAAAACCTATTACATTTATCTACGATCAACTTCACAATTCAGAAAAAGGAGTGCTAGTTTTAATAAATTATGAGTTTTTGTTCTTATTTTTAACTGCAAGTGTTAGTATCTAGGCAAAGAGCTTAGAATAAGGAAGATACACTGAACCACGAACTTTTGGAAATTCAATTTCTCTGTTAGTATTTTTTGGCTGTAATTTAAACAATATTGGCAAGCCCGTGCAGCAATGCTGGATAACGATAAACATAAAGAACAAACTAATCAGAATAATGGGGTTGTACCTGTATTTCAAAAAAAGAGGAAAGGTCGGGATAGAGAAGGTCTGAGACGAAAAAAACCGAATGTTGAATCAATTACTTCAAACAAGGATGATCATTCCGATGAAGATGAGGACGAAACTGAAGACATTCGGTCTATGAGGGACTACTTAATATCCCAGCAAAAAAAACAAACACGACTGGTACCTGACGTATCTTCGGATCACTACAATAAGAAGGATGATCAAAATCTTTCTACATCTAAAGATATAAACGTAGAATACTCTGCAAACTTAAATGTACATGGAGATGACATGAACACGTCCACTGTTACTATCCCTAACGAATCTTCAAATGATGAAGATAGCATCGGTTCTAAGAAAGGTACATTATCGTCAGATTTATTTCAGTCACAAAACGAATATTCAAAATTTTTACCTAAGAAGGAACCGATAAGTAAGAAAGCGCAGAGTGGACCGGTTCGTCCTTCCCCGTCCTCCGCTGCAATCCGTACAATTACAGTGATAGATTACCAACCAGATGTCTGTAAGGACTACAAGTTAACAGGCTTCTGTGGCTATGGTGACACCTGTAAGTTTTTACATATGAGAGAAGATTACAAAGCGGGTTGGCAATTAGATCAAGAATGGAATGAAGCACAGTCCAAATTCCGTAAGGGTATAAGAAATGTCGATGGTGTTCCAAAAAATGAAAAAGAAGAGGAAATTCCATTTGTTTGTTTAATATGCAAAAAGGATTACAAAAACCCGATTGTAACAATTTGCAGGCATCACTTTTGTGAGAGTTGTGCCGTAGAACAGTACAGGAAGTCACCTACCTGTGTACAGTGTGGTGCAGATACTAAGGGATTATTTTCCATTGATAAGCAAATGAATTTGCTTTTGAAGAAAAAAAACCAGGAAAAGGACAAAAATGACCAACCGAAGGAGATTGATAAGTTTCAACCTATATCAAAGGAAAACTTGGTTGGGAATGATAAAGTAACCCAGGAAGAGCAGGATAAGAAGTTTGGACAACCAAATTTTTCAGATACTACTAGTGTCGCTTCCGTAGCTTCTAATAAACCAAGTTCAAGGTATTCACTCGTTGAGCTATCGAATGATAACATCAACTCATTTAAAAGGCTGAATCAAGTCGTTTTGAATACAAATTATAGCGAAACATTTTATAAGAGCATTCTAAAAGATAATGAGCTTTCCCGCGTGGCTTTATTTGAAAACAAAGTTGTAGGCGGTCTGAGTTGCATCAAAAATAAAGACGAAATACTTTACATAGCTACGTTTTCAGTACTAGCCCCTTACAGGAATTTAGGAATTGGTTCAGCACTTTTGGATTTTGCAAACCGTTCAGCCCGCAGATTAGCTTATAATGCAATCACTTTACACGTTCGGTGTTCGAATGAAGATAGTGTCAATTGGTATACTCGGCGTGGTTTCAACATAATTGAACGGGTACCGAAGCTTTATAAGCGCTTTGGTGATGGTGATTCTGATGCATTTCTTATGAGACATGATCTGAATAGTCAAACAAACTAGCTAGTATGATAAAACAATATAAATTATATGATAGCTTTCTAAAAATTGTCTGTAGATCTTTATATATTGCATACTCCTTTATTTTTTGCTAAAGAGTTGCTTTCAAATTGTCATTAAAATTTTTTCATTTACTTTATATCTATACCCGATTTCTTAATAATTACAAGAAATGAGTAAACGAGCATCAACTGTCGTTAGCAGACTCAGAAGATCGAGAGTTCTGATCACCATCTCGTTTATCTTCATCGTCCTGATTTATCGAGCTAAAACTATCATTTTTCTGATTGCCCAGGCCTTCGGTATCAGAGTTTTCTAATGCTAAATTTCCGCCAACTAATGGAGCAACATCTTGAAAGCTTTTCAGTAGCTTTCTCCTTGCACCTAGAGCATGGATTCCCCTGTTTTGTAGGTCTTCGTCTGTCAAAGATACCAAACCATTCCAATCGGTGTCTTTCAAATTATTAGTGTATTTATGTAAACGGAGACTTCTGAGCCAGCTCGGAATATCCTGTGGAAGTTCATTAGTAGATTGTTTTTCGGTACTCTTTAAGTTAGACAAAGATTTTCTGGTTTTGAGGGTAGTCTTAGGTGTTTTAGCATTATTGTTGTAGCCTTGTGATGCTCCGTGAATAGCATCACCGGTTTCAAGATCATTATAGGAAGAGTATGCGTAGGGCACAGGGCACACATGCATCCCCAAAGGTGTTGTATAATTTGAATTATCCAAATTAGCAGAATAAGTAGAGTTCGCAGATGGGGTTAACTGTGCATAAGGGTTAGAATCTTGAAACAGCGAAGAATGCAGAAAGGCGGGTGAGTTCCAATTATTCAACCAAAACCCATTTTTTCTGTAAGAACGTTCAGTTTCAGTACCAGGGTTATATGACAATGAAGTGAAAGGAACAGGTGTTATCGTATGAGGAAGATCATTGACATAGGTTTGCTTACTTAACGGGGTACTTGGTTGTGCATTAGGATTCTCCAGTCGAGTGCTACTGCGAGAAGACGTTTCAGTAGCACCAGGTACATGAGAAAACCGTAAGGAAGAGGAAAGCAAAGGCTTTCCATCAGCACCAGATGGACGCGTTTCTAATCGAGGACGAGGCCCTAGCTGACTAGAACGGTATAAAAAATGGGATTTTTCAGGGACGGAACGCTGATTCGAATTCGCAGTGAGAAGGTCTGGAGGAGGCGGTGGTGGTGGGGGAGAATAGGTGAAATTCTGCCAACGTCCTCGAGGAGATACTTCTTCATTTAGGTGAGGAGAGACGCCAAAAGGAAAAAATGGAGCAGGAGGAGCCGAGAAAGCAGACCTATCATGAGAATCCCAAATATTGGAGCTTGGAGTTTCAAAGAAGGATGAAGAAGGTTTAGAGGGAGTTCCATTAGGTGCAAAAGGCGTCTTTTTTGATGCACTAGGAAACAACTCAGAATTGGCTTGCTTTTGAAAAGCATTATTGGTTAAAGAATACGACTTAGGAGTTCCATTGTTAGCAATGGCATTATGATTGTTCTTAGGACTTGTAGAAATAGGAGCAGAAGGATTAATGGAAGAATATGCAATTGCTTTTGAAAGACGGTTTTTCGTTAATAGATCGCGATCCTGCGCGAAGTTATTATAAGAAGCTGGTGAATTCCTAACAGCTAGAGGAGATGCGGATGAAAGAGTGGTTGATAAGGGATGTTGTTTGTTAGAATAAGAATTGGGTTGATTTTGGATCGAAGGTGCCGAAGGTTGCTTCATTGGAGTTTTTGAAGTAGGTGTTAATGAGGTAAGAGAATCAGACAACGAAGGTGCTTCCACGTCAATGGAAGAAGGAGAAGATGAAGACGAACCAGCCGACAAATTGTATGACAACGACTTACGAGACGGAGATGAAGAAAGGGAATTAGAAAACAACTTGGCTGCGTCTTTAGAGGGATAGCTTTTTAAAAGTTCTTTGAGAACGAGCTCGCGATCAGCTAAAGAAAGACTCTGAAACCATTGACTAATATTTTGAAGCTCGGAGGCGAAGTTTTGGTGATCTTCAGCTGATGAGTGTTCTTGACGATGTTTATTTTTATGCTTTTCTTTTTCCGTATGAGCATCCTCAATACTTAAACTATCAGGAAGTCTTTGTTTCTCATAAATGGAATCATCTGAAAGTTTTAACGGGGTCGAAGTCCTTGGTGACTGGATGGTCGGCGAGCTGTCGGACAAGTCGTAAGCGTCTAAGACATTTACCGTAGATATTAAAGAAGAATCAGCCATATCTCCCGAGCAGACGCTAGAATTCATGTCGGAAAACTTGATGTGCAACGGTCCATCAAGAACATCGACACTAGCTTCTTGTCCTCGTTTGAACGCTTCCATTTAACTAAAAGTACTATTCAGCTAAATTAGAAATTGAAAGGAAATAATAAACACAAAGCAAAGCTATTCGTAGGCCTTCCCGCGATCCCCTAATCTTTCAATGCTAAATTCCTTTCTTGCACCCAACGAAACTCGATAATATACCTTCCCGGTAGAAAAGATTGACGAAAAAAGAACGTTCCGAAAGCGTAATACAAACGACCAGCGTCAGATATTGAAATTTTACTTCTAGCGATTATACCAGTTGGCAGAGGGAGGAAGTTGGACCGGTACACATTCACCACTCTGCAGTTGGTTTAGCGATATGTAAGCCAGTTTTTCCAATTAGAAATAAATAAATACGGGAGGTATTAGTATTTTCCTCTTTGATTTTTCTATTTTTTTTGTATAATAAAAATGTGACATTTTGTATCTTTGTAAATAAATTGATCTTTTTTGGACAACTGATATGACAGGAATGGGCACTCATTTCGTACAAATCTTTACTAAGGTACCAAATTCAGAGTTTATTAATCAAGTACAATCACTATAAGAAGCGTTTTCACTCTACAGGTAAAGAAACACAACGAAGAGTTTAATGATGGATGATTACTTTTGAATTGATTCGTTTTCGCGCGCTAAAGTAGCAGAATGAAAGCATTCATTCTGATGGTTTAATTAATTCATTTCTACTGGTGCACTTGAAATGAGACTGAGGGCCTTTTGAGAGAAGTCTTATATGATTCTCCTTAGGCAGACTTCATAAGCATATATGAAATATCAGAATGTGAATCCTGATTGAGAAACCAGACAACACAACACGTCTTCCATTACCTAGCATTCCTCAGTATGATGATTACTAAAATTGCCCAGAGCTCCAACTTTCATGTGGTTCTATAAGGATTGCACTTGTCATATCTTCGAACACATAATGTCCAAAAATCCTGGCAAGAGCTGGGAGTATATCAAAAGGAAAGAATTTTCCTTTAATTGTTTGTCATCGCGACAATTCTCAGACTTTCTTCGATCACTTAAGGTATTGAGATATATTTTTTACCGGACTAGCATATGTTGGAATACTAAAGACTAGGACGTTGAAAAAAGTAAATAAGAATAAAATACAATTAATTTAAACTAGTTAAACTTTGTGTAATTTCATTGTTGTAGGTACTTTCTAGAGTCGGGCGCGTTTATTTTAATACATATGCATTGGCAGTTCATATTTTATGCTGAGCCATTAAATCAAAAAATATCTTATGGATCATCAAAGAGAAAAAATTTAATATATAAAAAAAGCTATTCTACTCCCACAAAGTTCTAGAAAGAAAAAAGTTATACCATTGTGCTATCATACAAAAGATACTTTCAAAAATTTCCTTTTTTATTTTTCTTTACAAACTAAATAATAAAAAGAAAGTAATTGGAGTTCTTTTGTTCTTCATTTCTAATTTCTAAATTCATGGGTTGTTGGTGGACCCGTCAAACAACTTCCCTTCTACCAAACACTCTTCAGTATGCTTCCTTTGATGAACACTTTCCGTCGGGTTCCATTTTCTCCAAGTTTCTTTAAATTTGCTGCAATTCCTCGTAGAGGATATGCTCAAGCTGCTCAAAAAAATGAAAAGTTGATTCTGTCCATGGCTTTGCCCTACCGAACCGTCTTTGACAAGGTACCTGTGACTCAGGTCGATCTTCCCACTGAGGATGGTGAAATGGGTGTTTTAAAAGATCACGTACCCATGGTGCAATGTTTGCGTCCTGGTGTTATCCAGATTACGGATGAATCTAACGCTGTTTCCAAGTACTTCGTTTCTGGTGGTTTTGCCGTCCAACAACCCTCGAATGAGCTTTCTGTAACTTCCCCCGAAGCCTTTAAGTTGGAGGACTTTTCTTCTTCTGTCGTTACTCAATTGCTCGAGAAGTACAGAGCTGAAGCTGCCTCCTCGGATGAAAAGGTTGCTGCTGAAGCTTCGATTCGCGTAGGAGTTTTGGAAACCCTTTCTGGTGCTTTAAAATAAATTTTTGCCCATGAATAACCTTCTCTTTTAAGTCATCGCTATTGTGAGAAAACATGTAAGCACAGAGGCACTTATAATTGATTTGTTTGGTTATAAAGAGTTTATGAACTCTCGTCTCTGGGTTATAGCTTACAACCTTATTCTATCTTTTTACTTTTTTTTAACTAGCTCCCTTCTCATTGATTATGACTTATAGTCTATGAATAATATATCAACACCTAGGTTTTCCCATCTAAATAAGGAAAGTCTTTCAAAATAGTCTTGAATGGGAATATCCCTTTGTAAGGTAATTTTTTCGCTTAATTGTATTATTTCGACTTTCTTTTTTCTTCGTCTTGTCCTACTCAATAAACAAGCGAAAACAGAATTATACCATTCTTCGTCGAAAATTTGTGAATCCAGCATGTCAAACTTTACCACTCCAGTACAGTAAACGATTGCACCGAGTCGTAGCACGATTGTTATCTAAGATATAGAGTATACTAAAGTTTGTTCAGTATTAAATCAAAACAAACTTACTAAATCATTCAAAGTATTTGTTTACAAGGGCACATATGAATGGACGATTGTCCTGAGACCTAACACTATAGAATCTGGATGGATACGTATCTAAAGGTCTTTGTATACTGTTACTTGTTTCCTCTGCTTGGAATCGCACTTGCGTTTCGACCAAGCTGGTTGCTCAACAAATGGAGGCAGCAATGGCTCACATGTTTGTACCTTTCTTTCTATTACACGGCTATAATCTCGTTTTTTTTTCATCTGAAATTGATATCAATTGAACCTCAGGAAACACTGTTTACGATTGCTCGTGTGCCGGTGGAAGAATTCCTTAACCAGTTTGCACACTTATTAGTCACTTCATCTGTCTATATTTTTATAAAACGAAAGAATTATTACGCTGCTCAAAGATATGCCTCCACTACACGGTTCATTTACTTGACGATTGGATTGGCATGTATCGCTCTGGGTGCTTCCGCATTAGATTCTTCGCTTCTTCCTTGGGGAAGTATTATGTTTTTTATGTGCTCTCTTATTTCTTTCCTTCTTTGCTTTCGGATTATCGCACCTATATTTGCTACGTCCAAATGCATAATTTTATGTTCAATTTATGCTATGTTTGTACAGACGCAGAAGTCGAAGTTTTTACTCACAGTTTCCAATTTTCAAAATTATAATTACTTTTCTATAGCACTTTTTTCAGTGCATATGTTTCAAGGGATATGTAGCGTTACTGCGTTCGAAGTTTCTGATTTCTTGAAGCAAAATAACGAAGAGTCGGCTATTTTAGGTTCCCTTCATGCTCCATCTAAAAGTGTAAGGACTATATGTGAAGAATATTCTCTCGATTATGAATATACTGCTTCTATGCATTTGGAACCCTTCCTACAACTGCGGTTAGCTTTTCTGTGCTCCTGGCTACTGAAGTGTTTTCACGGTCAACATTCAAAAGAAAATAGCCGAATAGATGTTAGAGAGTCAAAACCAAAAGCAAAAGACAATGATCTAAAGAATTCCCATATATCTTCTGAAACAGAAGCACAACTAATGAAAGGAGTATCTTCAATGAAACGTTTAGACTATAAAAATGCTTCATTCTTTTTTACAAGGGGAGTTTTCGATTCGCTTCTTGAATGGTCGAATGAAGCTAATACTACAGAAGGCGACAGAAAGCACTTACATTCCGCCGCCCATCGATGTGCACTTTTACGTTTATCCTCCTCTGAAATACCTGAAGACTCGTTTTCATTATCTGAAATAAATGCTCTGGATTCTTTATCCCCGAATTTGCGAGAAGCTCTTTTGTGTTACGTTTTCTCTCTTTCAACGGGTCCTCGTCATGATCAAGGTAGAATGCCCATTAAGGACGCTATTTCTCATCGATTTTCTATACCTTATTACTTCCATGTTTATCGTCCGTCTAAGTCAACGTTTCTTTTAATGACTGGATTTCTAATACGGGTTATTCTAATCAAATACGGAAACTGGCATGATAATAAATCTGCACTTAAATACACCGACGTTGACTATTTTGTTTTCACGGATGCTGCAAGATACGTTTCTTTGGGCGAGTCACCTTACATGAGGGACACATATCGATATACCCCTCTTTTGGCCATTTTCTTGTTGCCAACTCAATATGGTTTTCCATCTTGGGGAAAATATATGTTTTCCATCTGCGACATACTGGCGGGTTGGATTATAATCAAAATTTTAAAACGTAAACATTCTTTAGATAAGTCACTGCTGTATGCTTCCTTTTGGATACTTAATCCACTCGTCGCCGTTATTAGCACAAGAGGAAATTGCGAAGCAATTTTAGGTGTCTTGAGTGTTGCACTCATCTTACTTATAGAACGAGAACATGTATGGCTAGCAGGGTTCTTGCTTGGGTTTTCGGTACACTTTAAAATTTATCCATTTATCTATGGAATCGCTTTTCTCTTTTACTACGCAAATCCATTTAAGCAAGGACCAGTCGTAAAAAAGGTTGCAAGTTCTGTTTCTGTCAATCAATTCAAGATATTAATTGGGTCTCTTTTAGCCTTCACCTTGTGTAATATTTTGATGTATGTCATTTATGGGAAGCCATTTCTGGAGCATACTTATATATATCATCTTGGACGAACAGATCATAGGCATAACTTTTCAGCTCATCATTTGAGCCTTTATTATGAGTCAGCTTCTAAGCAGAAGCTTTCATCTTTTCTTGCATTTTTTCCACAAATTTCTCTATGTGTCTTGATTGCTGCTGTATATTCCACACAAACTCTTGCTGGTACACTTTTCGCACAGACATTTGCTTTCGTAACCTTTAACAAAGTTTGCACTAGTCAAGTAAGTTTATCTTGTCATTCTTATAGCTAACAATTTTAGTATTTCCTCTGGTATCTGATATTTCTTCCCTTAATTTTACCAAAATCGAAACTTATTAGCAAAAAGGGTTTGATTTGTCTGATTCTCTGGATACTTGGTCAGGCGCTATGGCTTCTTAACGCTTATCGTTTGGAAATGCTTGGAAATTCCGTGTTTATTGAATTATGGCTATCTGGTTTATTCTTTTTCGTTGCAAACGTTTACATCCTGAAGACGATATTGGAATGTTTATAAGAATTCATTGCAATTATTTAGTTTTAATGAATACCTATATTTTATTATAATTATTTATTTTTTTATTTTTTTTTATGCTTTTTGAATTGTCTTCTTATTTTCTATATCACTGAAGCGACACTTTTTGTCGCATAGCTACAAAGCAATGTAAACGACGCTCTCATATACGATATGGCTACGAATGTGTTTTGCGATTCAACAAATTTAAAGGAATCAATTCAGTATGTTAATTACAAACTAAAAGATAAGGGAATTTTGCAAAACGAGAAAGTGCACTTTTCTGACGACGTGAAAGATAAATGTCGAATTGTGAACGTTTTGTATCAATTGCTGAGGAGAAATGAAGCTGATGTTCAAGAAAAGGAAAATCTATTAGAAAGAATTCAAAATGATTCCATTGAATCTGTGAAAAATTTGGAGTTATCAAAACAATTGCAACGAAATTTAGACAAGAGTCTTAACGAGAGACAGGCTCGAGAGGATAGAATACTTATGTTGGAAAAGGAAAACAAAAAATTGAGGAAAGAAAATAAGGATATAATGAATGCACTAGACAAAAAAAAGCACATAGAAGCAGCTATGAAAGCAGAATTATCAATGTCACTCAAGAAACGTGAGCAACAGATGGAATCATTGCGAGGAAACTATGATTCAATAAAACGACGAAAAGGAAACAATTCTTATTGTTCTTTGATTATTAAGGAACCCCAGAAATCGCATGTAAATGCTCCTATTTTACCGGAAACCCACGACACTGAGGAACATGAGCTAAAAAAAGTCTCAGAGCATGAAGATTATTTAGGGGTTTCCTTATTCTTGCAAAATATTAAAAATCAAAACCACAAGCTCCAAAGATGTTTAAATGATAGTGTTACGTCCTTAGAAACTCTACTTCGTCCTCTTTATAAATCATACCCGGATTCACTTATAACATGCTTTGAACAAAACGCTGTTGTTTTGGACGCAAAGCTGCAAAACCTGATCCGGCTTGTTGCAGAAGTGTTAAATCAGGAAAAATACGTGTCCGTACGGGACTTGGAATCATTAACGGTCGAACTGGAGAATTCGATGAAGTATACTAAAAATCTAGAAGAAGAGAATAAGAAACTAATTGATGGTTTGGCCCATGGCTATGCACTTATTTCTGGCCAACTGGATTACAAGCAGCCCATAAATAAAGGACAAAAAGCAGATTTACTGGAAAAAAGGACTATCCCATAATTTGTGTAATTATAATTCCTTTTTCATGTTCTCCAAATGATATCATTATCCCAAAGTTGTTAACATGTATAATACTCAAATAGACTAGATCAGAGCATCGCTTGTACACGGATCTCAAGCTATCATTTATATTTATATAAGTCTCTTTTTCAAAGACAGTTTTCATGTGGTACGACGAGCTTGCACCAAGAGGAACTATTTTTGACATTCATAATCAGCATGTTTAGTGTCTCAGAGTTAATATACTCTTTTAGTGTACAGCATTAATATATACTTCCAGATTAACTAACTAAATAAAAATGTACTAGAGCCACCAAGCATTGTATGATTGTGTGATGTCTTCTGAACCATTGACTCTGAGTTTATAGAAAGAAGAATTTATGAACTCAATATTTTCTTTATTAATATACTTCAACATTTTTTCATTTCGCTGAAGACTTTCCGGGCGGATTCCGATTGTTTTTGATTGACTCAGATAGGACCTAATCACTCCAATCCACCTACCAAGAGCACGGCACTTTTCCAACTTCAACTCCACGAATTGGAATCAAAATAAAAAGCAATGGGCTATACTGCAGCTTTTATTCAATGGGGAATTTTATTAGGAGGATCTTATTACCTCTACCAAAAGATCACTGAGAAATCTAAAAAGCCATCTAATGGAAAGAATGAATTGAAGTCCCGTAAGAATGCTAAAGTCAATAAAAAGAAAAAGAAGACCTCCAAGATTACTTCGAAAGAAGAAGAGTTGGTAAAGGCTGACGAAAGTCAAAAGAAGGTTGATCTTGAAAAGCCAACCAGTTTGCCATCAGAAAGAGTGAAAACGGAATCTAAAAAGCCGACTAAAACTGCTTATAATGGTGGAAAGAAAGAAGAAACCCTTTCTAGTCCTCCGCGCAAACATCAAATTGCTAAAGGAAAAGGGAATGCTTCGAAGAATGATGATCTTCAGAATGACCAGAACATCAGCTCTACTCCGGTAGTTTCAGCGAACCCGGTAAAACAAAATGAACATCCGGAAAATTTTGATAATTCATATTCCGATACACCAAAATCAAAGGAAAATGTAAAGGTGTTGCAAATCCGCTCTTCGGATTCTTGGAATAATGATGATGATTTTGATGATGGCTTTCAAGTCGTCTCTAAATCTAAAAATGGAAGAAAGTCGATATCGACTTCAGTGCCCCAGACGAAAAAGCAACGTCAAAATCAACAACGAAAAGAAAAATTTAGAGAGTTGCAAGAAATCGCTGATCTTGAGCAGCGAAAAAAATTAGCAGCCCACAGAAACGAATTAGAAATGAATATGAAACGGTCCAAAGTAGCTAGTCCAAACAGGTTTTCTCCCTCTTCCTTCGTAGCAGTTGGCCAAGCTGGTTCCTCTTCCAGCGCTCCGAGATACGATACACTCTGGTGAATATCCTTCTCCTTGCTACCCATGAGATTTATAATAGATTAATGATCTTATAATGTAATTTTTCTCAGTTGTGATCAATTTGGACTAGAAGCTTATGAACGTTCGTCTGATTGTACTAATTCTGCATAGACTTAATTTTTAGAAACTGAGATTTTAATCAACATTTCTACATATATGAAATAATAAATGTTTGCTTTCTTTCTATTATTATTATCTTTGAATCTAAACTTATGAAATATTTTTCAGAAGGTAAATTAAAAAAAGATCAATTAGGAACAGAGATGGAAATATGTATAATTCCCAATGAACTTTTCTTTTATTCTTTTTAATAATGAAAGTGATCATTCACTATCACTTTCAATAATACGGCGTCGTGGTCTACGCTGCCCGGTATTATCCGCTTCACCTGACTCATTATCAGCATCATTTAGTGCTTCTTGTTTCTTATCTGGTGACCTACTTTCTCTTTCATCTGCTTCACTTTCAGGGCTTGCAGATTTCTTTGAAGGAGAGTGTCTAGATTGATTGACCGGCTCCTCATCCTCTTCTTCTTCCTCGTCTTCAATAAAATCATCAAGAGCACCTTCATCTTCTTCGTCTTCATAGTTTTCTTCTTCGTTGTAATATTCTCCAGCTCCCTCTTGTTTAATCCGTTTCAGTCGATCCATTCGGTCTTGTTCAGCTGATTCGTCTCTTTGAGAATAGACACCACGAGGACCAACGAATGAAGTGAAATCTTCTTCTTCTTCTTCCATCCCGTTTTTGTAATTATTAAGATATTTTCTTTTCTCGAGACGCCGCCGGGCACGATTCCGTTCTTCTTCAAATTTTTCGGCCTCACGTTTAAGCAGTTCAGGATCTTTCTCGGTAACAATTTCTTGAACGCCTCTATTAACAAGTGGAGGACCTCTCATTCGCATAGAAGGAAGCTTGGATGTAGTAGCTGTACTGATGGCAGAAGGAAGAAAGTTAAAACTTCTTTTGAGAGCCGCCTGGGCACGAAGGAGATGTTGAGCTTCATGAGAAGTAGTAAGGAATGTGGGTTGAGTAATCAGCTTTGACTGGGCATCGTAGATGTCGTGACCAATGCGCAGTGAATAAGAACCATCCGACCATTGAACTACCTGACTATTGGACTCTGGTTTACCCGATTTATCAAAACGCCATCTGATCGTATTATCCACCTTGTGTTTTACACGTTGACCCCATTGTACATCGTGTGCTAATAACGTCTCGTCTGCTTCAGCCTCAACGGCGTATTTTTCAGAGTCAAATGGAGTATGCTCTACTGACATAAAGTTGGGTATGCGAGCATGGAATGCTTTTGAATCTAATGGAGCAGGAGAAGAAAAGTTGGGTACCTCAGATTCCAGGATCTTTTTGACAGGCGCGCTGTATATGTAAGTTAGCATTTTCCTACTTGCCAGACATTGTATATTTGAAGGATCGAAAATTGCTAATCAGCGCTTTCTCAAAAAATGTTCATTAAAGTAAAGATAAAAAGCTTTTTTCTTCTCTAATAGCATTTACTTACCTTTTCTCCGGACTCTCCTGATTTCCTTCTTCATCAGAAAAGAGTCCTTGATCACTCTGATTGTCTTTCAATTCCTCGTTTTCATTCAAGTTTTCGTTATTGGACTCATTCTTCACCGTGTCAACATCGTCTTTTGTGAAACTCTCATCGTCGCTTCCCCCAAACAGATCTTCATTTTCTTCTTTCGAAGAATTCACTTCGGGATCAGACATAAGACCTAATTTTGTAATATTTTAGTGAAATTACAACCAAAATTATAAAAAACACCGTGGTTTTGGCAAAGGTCCAAGTTTGGTACGCTTGCATGCACAGTAAGAAAGTAACAATGCTACTTTTCATGATATCGATACAATTTCGTTCCACTGTAGATGCCAATTTCCAATACTATACTAACAGAAAACCGTTTTACTAATTTCTAATTAAGTATTAATTATCCAAAAAAAAGGAGTTTTATAGCTTATTAGATATTGGAGATATTCCTTAGCGTTTACTGTTGTTTGTTAACCAAACAGACGCGGGACACTTTATTATTTCTTGGATTTAGACTGAATTTAACTAACAATTTTGTAAATGCCTCCCGCTCCTCCTCCTCCCCCTCCAGCACCAGCACCTGCTGCGGCCGCACCCGCTCCTCCTCCCGTAACCAAAGATCGGTCTGCCTTACTTAATTCAATTCAGAAAGGGACGAAGCTAAAAAAGGCGCAAACAAATGATCGATCAGCTCCTATTGTTGGCGGTGGTGGTGTTGTTGGGGACGCTTCAAAAGCAGGTGGTCGTTCTACCAAACCATCGGGTGCACCTCCAGTCCCTATGCCTACTTCTGGCTCCGCTGGAACAAATGAACCTCCTATTCCTGCTAGTGCTCCTAAATTAGGTGGTCTCTTCTCACAAGGAATGCCAAAACTTCGAAAGGTTGGAAATGCTTCTTCCGCCGCGTCTCCACCACAGCCTTCAAAATCATCTACACCCGTGTCTTCTCCCCCTCCTCCACCTGTCTCTTCTGCACCCCCTATACCTCCTTCTGCACCTTCAATTCCCTCCGCTCCTGCTCCTCGCGTTCCTACTTCCCTGCCTCAGAAAATTTCGCGTTCGCCTAGTCCTACCAAAGTACCTTCTTCTCCACCTCCTCCAATTCCGTCTGCACCATCTAAAGCTCCTCCATTGCCTCCACAGTCAGCACCACCGCTAGGCTCACATATACCTATGAGTTCAAGGGTTTCTTCGGGAAATTCACAAACCCTTCCTCCTCCTCCTCCCCCTCCAAGTCATCCTCCTTCATCACCAATTCCTGCTTCATCTTACACTTTACAACATCGTTCAGATAAAGGTATGCCGTTTTTTGAAAGAGATTTTTTTTGCAGCTTGCTAATAGTTATATAGTTGATGATCATGGAAGGTTTCAATTCAAAGATGATAGTTATCTCCCTCAACCACGACGATTCAGAGGAGGTCCAAAAATTTATCGGGGAAGTACTGGATCGACGGTCCCCCTTAGACTTGATTGAGGATACTACAGCGCTTAGAGTAGTGATGTATTTATGATTGTTATTACTATAGACAGAAGTCGTTCTTTACGAATAAATTGAGAAAGTTACATACTCTTGTTTTACTTGTTTTGATAGATAAACGATCCAGAAAAATTAAAATTAAATATTAAACCCATAATGATAACTTCCTAAACTACAAAAATGCAATATACCTATTCGTTAAATAACATGTCAAGTGCTTCATAATTAATTTTCTTTGAAAATGTTCTTTGTTGCATCATCTCTTTTGCACTTTCGGCAGGAGTATTGGCAAGTCCATCACTGGTGCTATCCTTGGGACGATATTTTCGTCGTTTGCGAGGTTGTTTCACAATTCCTTTCTTCAAATCTTCCTGTATTTTCAGATTTTTTGCTTCTTCTTCAGCTAGATACTCTTTATTTAATTCCATCCAAACTTGAGTTTTTGTTTCTACCTCTTCTTTATCGAGAAGTATTTCTTGTATTTCGTCATCATCTACATCTCCTAAACCAATCTCATCCTCGTTCAACTTGACATTTAATTGGGAAGAAAGCTTCTTTAAATCCTCCTGTTTTAAAGTTTCAGAAACCTCTTTTCGAATATTCCGTGATTCCTCCAACAGTTGAGATTGCTGTTCTTGAGAGTCTATCTTGACGTTTTGTGATAGTTCTTCGGATTTCAAAACAGGAGAAGGCTCCCGTGGCTGTGTATTCGGCACATCTTGTTTTTCTAGTTGGGACGGTGAATCTTTTATAGGGGGCGAGGACGATACTGCATCTAAAGGATCGGCACTGGTCTTTTGATTTTTTGCAAAACTCGGGGGATCTGATTGACCCTCAAGCCATATACTGCGAAAATCAGCAATTGATAAATCACCACTCTCAGTAATACGAAATTCATCAAGACGTTTCTGGATAGTGATATCTGCAACCTTTACCACGTGCACAATCTCACGAACACTTCTTCTAAAATTGTTCATACGGGCAGCGATTAATAGACAAGCGCCGCAAATACCAGCAGGACGACGACCGATTTGCATCCAATCCCGATTCATACGTGCAACAAGACGAATTGCGTCGTTAGCAACTCGCGAAGTTTCCGGACCAAATTCTAAAAGAGCAGCAAATCGACTAATATACAAAGAAGGGTCTAGCAAGGGTAGTGTAATTTCTAAGGTACGACAGAGTTTTAAAAAGGTGGAACCAAGTTTGAAGACATTAATTTGTAACATATCGGAGAAGTCAATAAGCATGTGGGACGTTTTAGAATAACGGCAAACAATGTACAGACACGACGCTACCACGTATTGCGACCGGCGGCCTTTGATAAAATTATTGTTAATTGCAAGAGTAAAGTAACGAACGGCAGCCTCAACGTGTCGTTCGTTCAATTTCAATGCGATTGCTAAAGCAGAGATACGACGTCGTCCATTTGCAATGGTCATTTCTCTGGATTCCAAGGAGCTTTGATTTCGAAACGGACCTCCCATAGGTCTAGCATGCGTTTGATCATGACTGACAAGAGAACCTTGCACTACGGCTGCACCACTTGAGGCTTCACCAAAGGTCACCTCTGATACAATTGCATTTTGCTCGACCACAACACCGCACTCTAAACTATAATTATTTTCATTGTTAGTTTCTGCTCACAAAAACCGTTCATATTTTTGCTTATTCTCTTACCAGTATGTATTTCCTGATGCAACATCAGATTCAAATGCCGTCGATCCACAACTCGGGCATCCCATTTTGGATAACTAGAGGCATGTGAAACCCATCGATGTCGAGGCAAATGTCTAGTACATTTCTCTTAGAAACATACGGTACCGCCACCTCGTATATATGTGGGGGTTTTAAAAACAAACAAACGCTGTGAAAGAAAAAAATAAAAATAAATAATAAATAATAAATAATACAGAAATGCAGAAATGCAAGTAAATTGTTACAACAAAAAAAACCTTTTAAACTTTTTATTTTATAAATTTATCAATTGGTCTCAATTATTAAATGGCAACAGGTAGGTAAGTTGTATTAGAAATAATATGCGCCTTAAAATCTAGTAATTGCTATGACACGGATTAGGAAAGTACAATAAATCAATTGTATGTAATTTACGTTATAACATTTATTTAAAAATTTTCTGATTGATGTTTGCAGGATAATACTTTATTTTGATCAGTAAACAAAGACAAGACGTGAATGCATATAATTAGTTAATTACAGTATAAACAAGTTCAAGGTATTTTCTAATCTAGGAGAAAATTCGCCTTGTTCTCGTCCTTCGCCTTGAATAGCTTTGTTCATGATGCATTGTATATCCGGTTCTTCTGGGTGTACTTAGATGTACCCGGGTTCAACTTCTATTTATTGGAAAAATAAGTTTAGAAATGGATAATAAATGAACTTCATTATTTTATCTATACGACAGTCTTGTCAGTGCTTATGTTGGTCTTCAACTTTACCCTTTACCTCTTTCCATATACGCTCAACATATTCAAGGTAAAACTCTAAAGAATTGGATTCATTAATAGGTTAGGAATAATGAATTCTTCTTTTTCTCAGAAATTTTTTCGTACCTTTGGTCAAAAACGATTTTACTACAGGCCTTGGATAAGAATAGAAAATGTTCGACCGACGCCTTTGTGGAAACCAATAACTTTTGCAGTTGGAACAGGATCAGCTACCTTTTACGTAGCGCAATACTTGGACAAGCAAAAACAGCCCAGTGCATGGAGTTCACGAAGTCTTATTGATCGTAGATCAAATCGAAGCGTCATTTATTCAATTATAGGTATAAACGTGGGTATATTCGCTTTATGGAGAATCCCTGCATTTCACAGAGCCCTTGAAAAATACGCTGTAATGAACCCAACTTTCGTAAACTTACCCTCTATTATTGTATCCGCGTTTAGCCATCAATCGGGTTGGCATCTACTTTTCAATATGATGGCCTTCTATTCTTTTGCTCCAGCAATCCTTGATGTTTTTGGAAAAAATCAATTTATTGCATTCTATACTTCGTCAATACTGTTCTCTAACTTAGCTTCGTTACTCCATAATCGTTTTCGCTACGGCGTTAGGGCGCACCCAGGATCCCTAGGTGCTAGTGGAGCCGTATACGCTATTGCTGCTGCCACAGCATATTTTTTCCCAAATGCTTCTGTCTCCATTATTTTCCTCCCTTTTATTCCTATCAAAATTGGTGTAGCACTGCTGGGTTTAATGGCCTTTGATACGTGGGGCCTTGTTTCTAGAAGATTTGCCCAATACACCTTTTTTGATCATGCAGCTCATTTAGGAGGAGGCGTTTTTGGTTGGATTTACGCAAAGTATGGTTACTCTGCTTATAATCGCTCAGTCCATCCTCGTCCACCCCCTTCTTCTAGACACTCCTTTTCTAAAGTTATATCCTTTTAAAAAATTTGTGAATGACTAATTATTTTTTTATGTCTTAAATTAGCAATTGACAAACTTACACTGGATTTTTTTTCAAGAGTCAGAACTATATGTTTAGCATAACTACTGAATTTATTTATTTATTTACTTAGATTATTCACGTTAAATGACACAAAAATGACATTAACGATTTAGAACGTTTATCGTTAAACATAGAAAACAGTCACAAGACGAATCCGACATTCTTACAGCGATAATTGACTTTTTGTTTCAAACGTGAACAACACCTAGGAAAATTTGAAAATGTCGAAGGTATCGGTTGCCAACATTCGTACCAACATTGATGGAATTTTAAAGGGTTCCGAACAAAAGAAGCGTCACTTCACTGAGACCGTGGAGCTTCAAATTGGTTTGAAGAACTACGACCCTCAACGTGATAAGCGTTTCTCTGGTACCATCAAGTTACCCAATGTTCCCCGACCTAACATGGCTCTCTGTATTCTTGGTGATGCCCACGATTTGGACCGTGCTAAGCATGGCGGTGTTGATGCTATGTCCGTTGATGATTTGAAGAAACTCAACAAGAACAAGAAACTTGTTAAGAAGTTGGCTAAAAAATACGATGCTTTTGTTGCTTCTGATGTCCTCATCAAACAAATCCCTCGTTTGTTAGGTCCTGGTTTATCTAAAGGTAAGTGATGTGAAGCTAACGGTTGATGAAGAAGCAAAAGACGGGTTTTATGCACGTCTTCTTCTTCATTGCTTACGTTCTCCTTGTAAAACTTGTAGCATGAAATGTTCGGATGGAACTACAATCCACAGTACGCTAGTGGTTTGTGTACTGTTTATGAAACATAATGTAGACTCGAGGGATATAGAATTTTCCTATAAAATGTAGAACACTAGAGGAAAATTCTCCCTTAGTAGTAGAGTTTGAAAGGAGCGTAGGAAACCGCAGGCCCCACCTTTCAATGATTGCATTGACAAGGAAGAGTTTTTACTAACTCGATGGCTATAGCCGGTAAATTCCCTACTCCCGTTTCTCACAATGATGATTTGTATGGAAAGATTGTTGAAGTTAAGTCTACCATCAAATTTCAACTTAAGAAGGTTCTTTGTTTGGGTGTTGCTGTTGGACATGTCGAAATGTCTGAAGATCAACTAATTGCTAATGTTATGCTTTCCATCAACTTCTTGGTTTCTTTGCTTAAGAAGGGATGGCAAAACATTGGTTCCTTGGTCATCAAATCTACGATGGGTAAGCCCTACCGTTTATATTAAACAACAATCTTTTTGTCATTGTTTTGGAGTTCTTATGACATTTTCGTGGATATGAAGGCGATGGATATTGTATTTATAGGAAATCTACTGTTCTGCTAGTGTCTTTTATTGTACTACTATTAGAGTAATAATGTATTTCGTTAGTGAAGTTGAGCTCCATTGACAAAAAGTCTTTATGATATGCTGAGGAATTGTAGTCAAGATGGATAATCAGTCTGGTCAATTGCAGTTTAATGTCAAATAAATTGTTGTTCTTGAGATCTTCTTCACTTTTCACCATATAACGCGTTTGAACGCTTCCTTTCGAGTTCTCATAATATTAGTTGTTTTGTCATGGACTAGTAATAACTCTACCCTCTTCCTCCGAGCACCTCTGATTTATTACTGCATAATAATCAGTATTGCTGGTACATTTTCCAAATCATTTCATTTTACGTATTATTTAAAGGTAATTACATTTAGGAAGCACCTTCAACTTTCTTTTACGTCGTATTGCATACGTTGTGTTTCCTAAAGAAAATTTTCCTTTCCCTCCACCTTCTTTTTGTGCTGATTCCCTTTCTCTTCGTTTTTAAAACACGTATTTTCTAGCTATTTTGATTTATTGCTGTACAAGTTGAAAAATGTCAAAGAACGCTTTTTCTTCCGTGGCCGATTCGGTCACTTCTTTTTTCCAGTCGTTGACAACATCCAATAGACACGCTGACCCTGCCTTTAACCCCAATCGTCGTGATAAAAATTCAAGACTACCTACTCCCTTACAGTCCATTGCTACCTCTGGGTATACTGGCGTTAATGCTAGTCAGACTGGGCTGTTGAGCGACAGCAGAAGTACTTCTACTCACAATCTATCGAACGCGAACTCCCAAGCTCCCACAAAGGTTCCTTATGTCCCAGGAAGTCGCTCCAACGAACTTGCCAACAATGCAATGGAAATTCAAATGCAAGAGATAAACCCTAATGGAACTGCTAACTTGCCTGCTCCCGTTTCCGAATCTTGGAGACGTATTGATCGATGGGCAGAAGAGAATTACTACGAGTTGTACTGCCAATTATGCCCAGGCGGTACTGCTGCCGATGTTGACAGTCTTGAGTATGAACTAGAGTGCACCCTGCCTCGTGACGTTCGTGAAAGTATGTACATCCATGATGGCCAAGATCGTGGTGGTCAACTCACCGGAATTTTATTTGGTGTTACATTATTGGATATTGAGGAAATTGAAGAAGAATCCGAACTTTGGCGTCGTGTCGCTCAATCTTATGCCGAGGCCACTATAGCTGGAAAGATTGACCAGGCTGTCGCTTCCCGTCAATCATCTTTCCCACCAGGTGCTGTCCAGTGCGTGTATGCTCATCCTGGTTGGATTCCACTCGCCAAGGATTTCGTCGGTAATAATATCGCTGTAGACCTTGCTCCTGGTCCCGCTGGTCATTGGGGACAGGTCATTTTATTCGGTCGCGACCAAGATACAAAATATGTCATTGCTCGTTCTTGGGCTGACTTCTTAGCCATTGTGGCTTACGATATGGAGAATGGAAAATGGGTAGTCGACGAGGATGATAATTCTTTGCGTCTTATCTACGGTCCTCCTCGCGAACAATGGTCCTATCTTGATATATTGAAGTACAGAGCTCGTAAAGCTGAAAAGAGAAAGCTTAGAAAACAAGACTCGAAGAATAACTCTGTCACTCCGAAGGACCAAGGAAGTTCGAATGACCAAGATTTGAGCTCTTCAACTGCTGTTTTGGAAAGTGGGTTGGAAGACGTTCCACTTTATGGTCATTCTAAGGATGATGACCACTTGTTAAAGAAAGAAGCCGAGGAAGAAGATCTTGGCTTAATGGATGCTCCTAAGAATAGCAAGGCATCAAAGCCGGCTTCCGATGACAAAGAAATCAGCAAGGAACCAGCCTTTGAAGATGCCAAAGAAGAATCTTCACCCAAAATTAACGAAAACGACAAAAATAAATCTCCTTCAGAAGCAAAGCAAAGTGGCTCCGACGAATCTCAGAAGGACAGTGCTTCAACGGAGGAGGAACAAGAAGTCTCTAATGAACAAAAAGAAGATTAATTCAAAAATATTTAAAGACTGCATGTGTTTATTCTTAAACTTTGGCATGTATTCACTATTGTTATAATGACCCTTAGTTGTGCATTTCAAAAGATCATTATAAAGTCTATCTATCTATTTTGATGTACCCTCTTGACTATAACTTTGAAGCTATCTTTTTATTCCAATACCCTTTTGTTTGAATTTTTCTTTCTTTTTAAATCTAACTTATGACTGCAATCTACTTTTTTCTACGTTGCAAATATTACTTTTATACTTAACTTTGATAAAAAACTTCAGATGATTCAAGCTATTGTTGTAGTTTTATTTTCGTAACTTCCCATAAAGCTGAATTCATCACAAACGGATTCAATTCGTAGCAGAAGTGCTTGTGACATACCGACGCATTCTATGAAATAGACATATGTCCAAGGATTATGACAAGAAGGGCGAGTAACCAAATTTGTAAAGACCGCGTTTTCTTGAAGAAGTATTTGAAGGATATGATTAAGTTTCTTTGTATGAGAGATTGTGAACTGTAACAATGTCTTTTTTTCTTTCGTACATTCGGGCACAGTTGGGATTGTGCTGGAGACTCGAGAAGCGATTAAAAAAAATCTGGTGCAGTTGTTTGGATCATCTTCAACATCTTTCACCAGCACTTTGTAATTGTATGTATCTGCACAAAACTGGCTTGATATTGCTAGTTTAGAGCCCGTTTGATCATTGGATGCCAGTTCTGCTGCATGACTCGTAGAATTAACCGGAACAGAAATAACATTAGGTAGGTTGTTCTTTATCCATTTTGTACATTGTCCGAAAGCTTGAGGATGACTCAAAAGTCTATTAGCTTTGTCTATAGAATGGCCAATAATACAGTGATGAACAGGTACTAGAATCTCGTCCAATACTATTATGTCTTTCTTATATTTTAAGAGGTCGTAAGCAGGAACAACAGATCCATTAGTAGAGTTTTCAATAGGTAGGACTCCCAAATTTACTTGATGTGATTTAACCGCCTCTACCACAGCTGTTTCAGAATGTTAATACACTGGTTCATTGTCAAAGCCATACCTGCTAGCGTCGGTAATGAAGTATGGACACAATCAGGTTTCGCTAAAAGTGCTGCCTTTCCAACTAGTTAATAGAGATGATCTTATATCGAAGCCCATAGCTAACACTTACTTGATTGCTAAATGTTCCTTTCGGTCCCAAAAAACCAACTTTAACAGAGTTCATACTATTATAGATTATAGATTCCGTTGATATATAGGCTTCCTTTCTAATAATGGACCAATGTCCAATTATTTTTTTATCGGATATACTAAGAATACACTTTTGAGGTATGCGATGTAATTTTGGTATTATAGAAATATTGATGAGATAGTTTGCAATCAACAAAAGGTCAAATTTCCAAAATCAACAACTACAGTGAAACAGACGTGAACTGTTCTGAGATAATATTTAAAGACTTAGTCAAATCTTTGCTACTTGAAAAATTTTCGGATAGTTCCTTTATTTAAAAATGAAGATGTTTGATATTTACTAAGTACATTACAATACTTACTTTTTGTTTAGTTGCGCATACAAAGGAGAAAGTAGTTTTACAATACTAACAACGAGGATATAACCGAAAAAAAAGCACGTCTTTTATTCATTAAAAACAAATCCATGTTAAACCAAAAAAAACAGAAAAAATGAACGAAGTGTAGCTGTCCCATATAACAAACTACAAAAACTTCAATGAATTAACCGACGCAATAACCAAAACCCAAATAGTAAAAGTCCAAGTTAAATTTTGGACGTAATAATTAAAAATGAGGTCGCTTTTATTAATTAGTATTAAGCCCAATCTCTTCGTTGGAATGGAGGCATCGGCCTGTTCTGTCCATGCTGAGCATATGTCGACATGGGGAAGTTGGAAGGCGATACCGCTGGATTGCCCGCTTGAGGCATCTGAAATTGAGGTGACATACCCGTCCTGGTATACTCTCTGTGCTGTGGAAAAGCATTAACATCAGGTACAGGAAGACCATAGTTGGGAAAAGGAACCGAAGGGGGCGGCATAATAAAACCAGGATGGACGGGATAAAAGTTGTATGGTGATCTTACTGGACCTGGTACATGATGAGGGATGGAAGAGAGGGAAGGTGGAGCTGGCATTTCTGGAGCATAACTTGCTCTTGGAGTAGGCCGATAAGAAGCTTCGGCTTCTGTAAGTGAAGCATGAGACGTAGGTTTTGTCTTTCTCTTCTTTTTACGCTTGCTTTGTTTAGCAGCGGCCTCAGCTTCATCATCTGAAAACTCTTGTTCAGAAGGGTTAATTTCCTCATCATATACATTGCTAGCATCACTTCCTTTAATATATTTTAAGGGTTCTGGATCAAGTCGATTTGCCATGGTAGGAACATAAAAAACCCTTTTTCCAACAGAAGGATTAATAGATGCACATTCTTCTTCATTTGTAAATCGAACAACATAAAATGGAGAAGAAACAGGTCCAAAAGTTTCATGGATAAAACCTACAATAGTCCGATCTTCAAAACAAAGAACAGTCTTTTCATCAAAAATAAGCTCTTCATTTTGGACATCACTTTGAATAACCAGTTCCTTTTTAAGCACCTGTAAAACATTTCCCAAAGGTTCTATAGGAGAATCAGGACCAAGCTCGATTGTTGGACGCTCGTAAACCTCTTCGGGTAATTCATGTACAGTCTTGGGTGGAGTAGCTTCGGATTCATGCTCTAATTCTAGCTTTTCATTATCATGTACTTCGGATAAGCTTGAAGTACTATCAGTGCCAGAACCAGAATCGGAGTCTGAGTCTGAGTCTGAAGAGTCATCATCTGAAGATTCGGAATCTGATTGGGAATTAACAGATTTTTCTAATTCTTTTTCTTCCGCTGCTTCTTTGTTCACTTCCTCTACTGTGTTTCCCTTAGATGGCTGGAGAGAATCAGTGAAATTTTCCATTGTGCCAAGTGAATCATTAACATACACCGGCTTCGTAGACGATGGGACAACACTAGCAGCTGGATTTGCAAGTGCCATATCTAAGACGTCCATGGAAGATTCTCCTTGCGCTGGTGGTTGCTTTACTGGTTCTCCATCTTTTGAACCTGCGTTTTCCTCAGATTCTAGTTCGCTAGAAACATCTTCAGTAGTCCTATTGGAGGCAGAAGCTTGGTCTGTTTTTTCAATTTCATTTGAATTTGATGTCACAGAAACATTCTCTGTTACAGGACGGCTGCTTTCTGGAGGCGAAGACTTTTCCGGGTTTTGTAAATTCTCATTTATGGTAGCAGCCCCCGTAGCATTTTCCTGATTAGGAGATTCTTCATTGTAAATTAGAGAAAGTCCAGGAATTTTGCATGGTTGTTCTTGGTCCATCGGACGCCCTATTTACTACCTTTTCGTGATGTTTGCTGAGGGTAAAGGGAGTATATGTCGAGCAGACGATGGTGATTATATTTTTAGGTTAATTCCACATGGCAATTATAAAGAACAGAAGAAAAAAAAAGTAATATTACATTTATTGAAAAATTACAAAATCTAAAATCACGTTGTAGCAGTAGTTGCTAGCATCTCACAACTGTGGTTATGTAGTGTACAGGCAAGTATATTTCAAGAAATAGTTCAAGTAACTGGATCAAACTTTTGTATTTACATGTAATACGAAAAAGATATTGTCTAGTCCTTTAGTTTAGTTTCACCCTTTCAATAGCATTTGGCCTGTATGTCCAACAGTTCACGAAACGATCACTTCATATGAACAAGCGACAAGCAAACATTTAATGAGGAATCTCTCACTATTTAGCGGACTCTAAAGTTTTAATTCTTTAATCTTTCATCAATTGAATGTTACGCTACTTATTATTTCAGAACATAAATAAAAATATAAGGGATATTTTATTTTAAACTAAAAAGAAACATCAAGGTGAATAACAGATGATGATTTCGAAAACAAAAATTATTTCATCAAAGATTGGAAGAAGGTGTTCATCTTTTCATAGCCCTCAAAGAAACACTTTCTGTTGTTGTCATTAGAAAGATCAGCACGAGCAGCCATGAAACCATGATGCATGTCATGGTAAGTTTGGAAACTGGATTGCTTATAAGCAGGATCCTTCTTGAATTCTTCCTCCCAAGCATTTATGATATTGGCATCTTCATCCTTGGAAGACAAAAAGAGAACAGGTACATGAACGTTCTTGGCATCAGCTGGATCGGGGAAGGAAGGGTGGGGACAAGCGATACCAACAAATTCAGAATTGTTAGCATAGGTGAGTAAGATCTTGGCTCCCCAGCATAAGCCATAGGTACCAATTTGAACATCGTTACCATGAGTACTCTTGATGGCATTCAAAACCTTTTCCAATTTGGGGTAGTGCAAATGACTTGGAAGATGATTTGTGAAAAAGTCATTGCGAATCTTTTGCATCTCAGGTGTATCTACGGAGAAAGCATTGACAGGTAAAGCAGCACCATCAAAGAAATCTGGCAAGTAAACAGTGAAACCAGATTGAGCCAACTTGTCGGCACCGATCTTAATTTGCTCTGAAAAACCAAAAACGTCCATTATACCAACAAGAACCTTCTTATTAGAAGGACAACCGACAGCGTAGGTTCTCAAACCTCCAAAGTCCATTTCTTTGCCTTGTAATTTGTACAATCCGGTGGCAGCGGCATACGATATATTGAATACCTCACGCAAAGAATTAACGCCTGGTGTACGAGCAGAAGGTATTTCATCGTCAGCAAATGTGGCAACATCATAGGAATTCAAATCGTGTATTCCCACATATATATATTATATTATATGTAGTAACAACAATTTTCTATCAGGTAACAATTTCAAGGATCCGAGGAGACACTCCGCGGAGTCACCCTCGCATATGATGAACTAGGAAGACAATTGACCGTTTCCTTTTCACTGAAATAAAATATGTATTACTATATTCATTCTTTTTCAATTTTTTTTTTTTTTTTTTTTTTACCAAGTTGGACTTTGAAAAATTTTCACAAGCTATTTACCCATAGAGTATAGCATAGCACATAAAACAATATAATTTTCTTATAGAGGTTCTCAATGATATTCTTTCATGCTGCTGTTGAGCTATTGTGATCAGAGAGAAAGAGAATAGATATTTTCAAGTCTTGAGATAAAAAAGAAAATTAATGCAGATGGTTTCCATTTTTTGGATTCTGTCTATATGAATCAACAGGATTTTGGTTTTCCAAAGGCACGAGCTTTAAGCGAGCGAACGCGGTGCATTGATAAACAAACGAGCTCTGCTCTGGAAAAGAAGGTAGGGGAATAAAGTGAACCGTCAAGGTTCTTTTCCAAGGATTCGGATTAGATTTCATGGGTTCTTCCTTTGCTCTAAAACACCTGTGATCGCGATTCGTGCGTCAGAAGGTATTTGACTCACTGAAAGATATTGAGTATTGAACAAGCACCAATTCATATGGATATGTAGCATGCCTTATTGATTGCATCGAAAGTTCTTTGTATTGTGCCCGAAATTCACATACCATCTACGATCTTTCGACGACGCAAGTTCTGGGACAAGAACGCTTTCAAAGAATTCTCCTTTTTGCAAGGGCATTATAACACAAAGTACCTTTCAATCTTAAATTTTCGCTCTTTCACTGTTCGACTATATGTAAGCTCTTGAAACTATGCCTTTCAGTTTCTGTATTCTAATCAGGATAAATCGTATCAAAGAACTTTCACAAAAAAAAAAGAGGTTTATTAATTCGGCATCACAACAACAACAGCCAAAGTTTCTTATTTGCCTATTCATTTCTGCTTTTCGTCCATGATTCCTTTCCCTCCTTGGCAATTTGGTTGTGTGTTCATTTGGAGGGGGAAGGTTCACTGTCAGCAAGCTAGTCTCAAAGTAATCATTTATGAGGAAAGAATACTTTATTTTCAATTTATATTTCTTTTACATTACCTTACCATCCATCGGATTGCAATTAAATCTATCCTCCTTCTTGATCATATAGTGAATTCACCACTTTTCTCGATATAACAATATTTTCTTTATAGAGAACAATAAGAACCATGTGTCACTATATCGAGGTATTTACTTTTAACTCCTCACACATCCTTTGGTGACTGAGACGATCCACAGACACTTACCAACAGCAAACCTTTTGGGAGCAAGACATTCGTTTGTTTGTTTCTTTTTTCAGTTTTCTCAAATATAAAAAATATGATGCGAATTCAGCAAGTCCGGGCTACGGTTGGAAAGGCCTCATCGGCAAAATGCCTCGGAAATGCCCTCATGAAGCGCTATTCTTCGTCAAGCTCTGGTGTGAAAGAAATGACTGTCCGTGACGCTTTGAACAGTGCTATGGAAGAGGAAATGAGACGTGATGAACGCGTCTTTTTAATGGGTGAAGAAGTCGGTCAATATAATGGTGCTTATAAGGTTTCTCGTGGATTACTTGATAAGTTTGGTCCCAAGCGTGTCATTGATACTCCTATTACGGAAATGGGTTTCACTGGTTTGGCTACGGGTGCTGCATTTGCCGGCTTGCGTCCTATTTGTGAATTTATGACCTTCAATTTCTCCATGCAAGCTATTGATCATATTGTCAACTCTGCTGCTAGAACCAATTACATGTCTGGTGGTAAGCAAGCTTGTCCTATTGTTTTCCGTGGTCCTAATGGTCCCGCTGCTGCTGTCGCTGCCCAACATTCTCAACATTTTGGTCCTTGGTACGGTTCAATTCCTGGTCTCAAGGTTATTTCTCCTTATAGTGCCGAAGACGCTCGTGGTATGTTGAAGGCCGCCATTCGTGACCCCAACCCTGTTGTGGTTCTTGAAAACGAACTTCTTTACGGTAAGAGCTTCCCTATTTCCGAAGAAGCTTTGAGCGAGGACTTCCTCATCCCTTTTGGTCTCGGTAAGGTTGAACGCCCTGGTAAAGACATTACTATTGTCGGTGAATCTATTTCTGTCTCAACTGCCCTTGAAGCAGCTGATATCTTGAAGGAAAAGCATGGTGTTGAAGCCGAAGTTATCAACTTGCGTAGCATTCGCCCTATTGACATGGACATAATTGTTGAGAGTGCCAAGAAGACCAACCGTGTTGTTACCGTTGACCAGGCCTACAGCCAACATGGTCTTGGTAGTGAAATTGCTGCCCAGCTCATGGAATCCTCAGCCTTTGACTATTTGGATTCTCCCGTCGAACGTGTGACTATGGCTGATGTTCCTATGCCTTACAGTACACCTATTGAAGCTGCAACTCTCCCCAATGCAGACGTTCTTGTCGCCGCCGCCGAAAAATCTTTATATATTAAGAAGTAAATAATGTAGCGTTCTTTTTTCCCTTCTGGTTATCTTGTGGTTATGTCTTAACCCGTTCTTGGTTTTCCTTAGCTATATTGCACAACTCTTCATCACGTTAGGAAGACAGAGAAAATTCTTTTTAATGATTTTTCATCTACTTGCTGTTTTTCCAATGCTTAATATGTTGATTTCGTTTTTTAGCCTACATGTCTCCTCGTGGCTGATGCAGTTGCAATGATTTGGGAATATGTGGGTGCTTCCTCTTCAGTCCTTTACCCTTTCCCTTATTTCCTACATTTTAATCTAAGTGTATGTATATATGTATATTTATATATGTATGTATGTATGTATAAATAATAAAATTTGGTAGTATGTCTGATTGGTTTTACTGCTTTATTTTATGATCCTTTTCGTAACTTACAGCTTATTTTAATCGTATGTGCAATATAAAAGGTACATTTTTTTTCCAAAACTTTAGAATTTTCTTGTACATTGGTTTTTCATTACGGATAGACCCGGTTATATTCATGTAAGGAGATGCTGTTTCGATTGATGCCCGTAAACTCATCTTCCTTAAACCCACTAATCTGATGCACTAGTCATCAAAAATTTTTGATCTAAGATTACCCATTCAATTTACTAAGCTGTAATACGTTACATTGCATTTTTGTTTTCGTTCGACAACAAGCTCCTAAAAGGCAGGTTTTTAGAAGACTTATCGTTTACTCCATTCCCTTCTCTTTCTGGTGTTCGGTATAGCTAAGCACACATTTGTAGCATTTTTTTCTATTTTTTATTTTTTTATTACAATTCAAAATGGTTAAAAGAGAAATTCTTGAGGAAATAAAGCAGGTCTCTGCAAATATTTTCCAAACGAATTATAAGTCAAATAACTCTCGGACAGGAAATAAATTTCTTCAAAGAAAATTACAAGGTCCTCGTCTAGCAAGCTATTATCCTACAAAGGTTCCTTTCTCGAGGATGAGAGAGATTACTGGATTGCCTATACCAAACAGTGAACACAGCCTGAGAATGGAAATTCTTGAAGAGTAAGTACAGTTTCTGGAATACTTAATCAAAACTAACAAAATTATAGAAAAACGCGCAAAGGCAAGGGACCAGTCAAGCGTGGAAGTAAATAATTGCGTTCTCCTCAGTCTTTCGCCGATTGAAGAAAAGCTGACATGTTACTCTTTCTTCCCTTTAGCATGTTAAAATACTTCTACCAATGATTTAATTTTTCTTATCTAATGGTTCTTGAATAAAGTCAAATCTATCATCCGGCTTTAATGAATATATGCCTAGCTTCTAGATTACCCAAATGTTCAATGTATGTAAGCGTGAAGGCTCAAGGTATGATGTGTTCGTATTATCAAGAGCTTTATTTACTTTCGAAAAATAGGTTCCATAACTTTTTTGTTGAGACGCGTGGATGAGGAAGCATTGCATATTGAATATTGTACAATTGCTCAGCTGGGATGGGCGGAATAGGACAACCAACCAATAAACTGACTAAACTTTTTTTCGAAAGGTAGTGTGAAATAAGTCTTCTAGCTAATTTTCGGTAGTGGTCAAACATAGACCCAAAAGACATGGGTTTGGATTTACAGAACAGATATAACGTAGGCATAGTGTTTTCTTTCGAAGATTCCGAGTTTACAATTTCTAAACTCAGTCCACTAGGAATTCGGTATGGATCTTTGATTCGAAGCATTGTAACAAACAAGGGAAAGTGATTTAAGAAAGCAAGTATCGTTTCAAATATTGCCAAGCATGTCATGACTGTAATGCGAGTTACAGCAAATGCAAGGTAGAAAACGTATATTGTAGGTAAGAAAAATATGAGTACCGTAAACAAAATTGTCCCCAAAAGCAGTTGATCTAAATCGTACTCATAGGAATCAATTCTATTTCGTAAAACATTCCTTTTTTTCCCTCGAAATAGTTGCAATAAGCTGTATATGATTCTTAATTGCCAATTGTATAAACATGCAGAGGCCAAGTATAGGACATATAGATGGATAGTCATGATGGTCAAAAAATCAGACATCAAGGCTATCATTAAACTTGCACCACAAAAGCCAGAGAACGCAATTGTCCGAACGAACCATGGTATATACTGCCTGAAAGACAACAGTACCGTGTACCAAACATCAATAATCCACACGGACAACTTCACAATAAATTTACAAATGTCGTTATTCAATTTTAACCCGGCAGGTGTGTCTATTAACCAGGTTACCATAACTCGAACGTCTTTAATTGCAAATTTAAACAAAACCTTATCGAGTAAATTAACAACTAAAGGCAAATTTTCTAAGATAAAAGAACACATGGTAATCCCGAAAATTATGTCGTTGGCGACAAGCCATAGATTATTGTACAGACGTATATACTCTTTATAATCCCTCATAACAACATGCTTACTTTTTCGAAGCATCCAAAGTTTCATATATTGCACAGGCCAAAAACATGCCTGCTGGAGACGCAAATCCACCTGCCTGGCAGAAACGAATATATCTCTCATATTCGGAAGGGAAGGATGTACTCGGTAATTAATAACGTGTAAAATAAGCTCATTTAAAACTCTCAAAAATATTAGAAAAAATAAGACAATAGGGTGAAGAAGATTTAGAAAGAATAAGAAATAACGCTTTGAGCTTTGAATTAAGATATTATTTTTTCGGTTTGGATACTGCCGCATAAATACATGGACTTCAAAAGACTGGTTTAATAGTTCAACCAAATCACTGCGAAGACTTCTATTCCAAGTGTTTTCAGGACGACGTGGAAAATGTAAGTCCAGTTTTTGTAGTAAGTCTTTTGTGTGCTGATCCTTTTTATATTCAGGACTTGAGTGATCAAAGACAGAGTTCTTTAACAAAAGAAGGGAGAGAGGTTCAAGAGACAAAATTTGCATTTTCTTGGGTTGAGGAGGGACGTAATAGATCACATGTAAGTTTAGGGACAAATCGGTATCATTAACTCTGTAAATTTGAGGATGAGAGAATTGAGTTCGTAAACGGATATTAAGCCAGTTATCCTGGAATTTATGTTCATAGCAACTGTGAGGTAAATTGAGTGTACCAAGAATCTTCAAACTCTTTATTTCATAATATAAAGACTGCTTAGTTTGAAAAAAATCATCTAGTCGAGTCGGGTCTTTGGCAATAGTTACGATCACAAGATCAAATGGCGAGTAAGACCAGCCCACTAAGTATCCAGACTCCACATGTTGAATTTGATTTTTCGGCCAATACACACGTAAAACAGGATTATCCCGAGTAGAAGAAACGGAGATGGGAGTATGTACCCTCGACATCATGAAACTGTGAATAACGTTATTTTACAGCCTAGGAGTAAGGTTTGGGCTTGCAGATTGAAGAAAAAAAAGTGTTTCAAAAGAAAAATGCTTTGTTATATGCTAAATCTTCCTTAGGGTTTCGTTTAAAAGCTTCCTCGTCTCAATAGCTGTTCTCTAGCTGAGATACGACCACTAGCTAAAGAAGGATTCCGTGCTTCAAATTCTGCAATTCGATTAAGAGGAATCCAAAAAAGAATACCAATAAAGCTGAAAATCGAAACGTAGAGGATGAATCTCGTGAGATCGCTATCCAATGTTAATATGTACTTTAAGCAATTATACAATTCCCCAATTAAAGCTAGTCGTGCAGTAAAAAATCCAAACAAAAATAATATACTATATATAAAAACACGACGCATATCTAGAGCATTGTTCTTTAAGACAACGCTTTCGTTTTTAGTTCTTCGATTTCTTTGATTGCAATGGAGAATCTAGAAAACCCCTTACAAGGATTCTTGACGCTGATTTCAACACGAATATATGTTTTTACTACTTTAGCGAAAGTATGACTTTACTTTTCATATACAAACACAATGTTTACAATTGTTTACTGAAAGGTTACGTTTTTCGAAGCTGCATAGACCCAATTAAAATAAGGAACTCTAACAGAATACCTAAGTCGTATAAGGTACTTACACTACAGTATGTAATGTTCGTCCACTCACTCACGAAGTTCATAAGGGTATTATTAGAAGGAAAAGGATAACTTCTAGTCATTCCACATTATAACAAGATCTGCTTGTGCAAGCAAATAATTGAGCGTAAGCATTATTTGTTTGCAAATGATATTATCAAAAATTCTATTTGATCACGATAAAAAGTTCTAATAGTTGTACGACTTGAATGCGCGCTGTGTTTGAACAAATATCGAGTTGCATTTCAATAGATATCTACATGGTTAACTCAACCTGATATTGATTGATGGAGTGTTTTGCTGATTTACTAAGTAAAAATGAGAGCGTTCAGGTTACGGCGGCCGAAGATTTAAAGGACTTTGTGCATAGTTCTACAAAAGAACTTTCGGGAGAATCACTGGCTCGATTTAATAACGAAATTAATCGGAGGATTTTTGAACTCATTCACAGTCATGATATTCATGAACGTTTCGGTGGTATCCTTGCAATTGGGAAACTAATCGAATATGAAAGCGATGGAGATATCACGAACTTATCGCGTTATGCAAATTATTTGCGTATGACACTTCCAAGTACGGATTTCCGTACTATGGAACTTTCTGCGAAAGTACTTGGGCAGCTGGCTGCTTTAGGTGGAACACTGGCAGCCGAGCTTGTTGAGTTTGAAGTGCAACGTGCATTTGAATGGCTTCAAGGGGATCGACAGGAGCAAAAACGGATGGCGTCTGTACTAATTTTGAAGTCTCTGGCTCAAAACTCACCCACCTTAGTTTATTTGTATATAAGTGAAATTTTCCAAAATCTGTGGATAACCCTTCGTGATCCCAAGCCTTCAATTCGAGAAACTGCCGCAGATGCTTTAGGTGCTTGTTTAGATGTTGTTTGCCAGCGTGAGGCCAAGGTTCAATTACAGTGTTTTAGCAAAGTGCTATTGCAAGCTGAATTTGGGCTGCGGCAATCCAGTGTGGAATATTTGCATGGAAGTTTGCTCGCTTATAAAGAACTTTTTGAAAAGTCAGGTTCGTTTATTCGTGAACACTATGTTGCATTCTGTGATTTGGTACTTCGCTTACGCGAGCATCGCGACGGGACTATACGCCGTTCAATCTTATTGCTACTGCCTACTTTGGCAGAGTATAATCCCAGTAAGTTTCAACTAAGGTACTTAGATCCTTTCATGGTTTACCTGCTATCCCAAATCCGAAAAGACAAAGAGAAACCGCTCGCTTTTGAAGCTATTGGAAGAATTGCGATGGCTGTCAAGGAAGCTATGATCCCGTATCTACAGAGCATTCTGTTAGTTATTCGTGATACTTTGACTACTAAAGTAAGAGATAAACACCAACAAGAAAAACCAGTTTTCGAATGTATAGGTATGCTTGCCGCTGCTGTTAAATTGGAATTGTTGGAAGATTCGCGTAGTCTTTTAGGTCTAATATTTTCTTGCGAGTTAAGTATACATTTACGGCAAGCACTTGTTAAGATGGCTGAGAACATTCCTCCTTTACTTGCTCCTGTTCAAGAACGTTTGTTAAATATGGTTAGTCAGATTCTTACTGGAAAAAATTTCGAGATTCGAAACAACGACACCTATACTCCAAGCTTTACAAATTTATATTCAGCAAAAGAAAATAATCAACGTTGTAAGAACGTTGAGCCTATTATTCTGGCTTTGGAAACGTTAGGTACCTTCAATTTTACGGGATATTCGCTGATTAGTTTCACGCAAGAGTCAGTTTTATCCTATCTCGATAACGACAATCCTGAAGTTCGTATCGCGGCCGCCAGGACGTGCTGCCAAGTTTTTGCTAGAGATCCTGTATGTCGTAAAACTACTCCTTTAGCTATAGAGTCTGTCGCCGAAGTACTTGAGAAGCTTCTTACCTTAGGAATTGCAGATTCGGACCCCCGAATAAGAGAAACTGTGCTCTCATTGCTAGACGAGCGGTTTGATCGTCATTTGGCTCATCCTGATAACATTCGTTGCCTTTTCATAGCTTTAAATGATGAGGTATTTTCTATTCGTGAGATTGCTATTGTAATCATTGGGCGACTCGCGTTATACAATCCGGCTCATGTCATGCCTTCTTTGCGAAAAACAATAATACAGTTGCTTTCCGATTTAGAGTATTCAGGGAACAGCCGTCAAAAAGAAGAAAGTGCTCAGTTGCTAAAACTACTTGTTTCCAAAGCTCGAATGCTCATAAAGCCTTATATTGAATCCATAATGCACGTTATTTTACCGAAAGCTTCCGATCCTAGTCCAGGAGTATCTTCTGCGATTATATCTGCTTTAGGTGAATTAGCAAGTGTAGAAGGAGACGACATTCCTGCTGACGTTCGGTCTTCTTTTATGAACCTCATCTTATTCAGTCTTCAAGACCAAAGCTCAACTCTAAAACGGTTGGCATCTTTAAAATGTTTGAGACAACTCTGTGGTGCTTCCGGTTACGTTATTGAGCCGTACATGGATTATCCTTATTTATTAAACATATTAATCGAGATATTACAATCGGAACAACCAACACCTATAAAAAGAGAAGTTTTAAGGACCTTAGGTGTCTTAGGAGCGCTTGATCCTTATACTTATTTGGCTACCGAGCAATGTTCCGATAAGTTACAGAAAAGTCAGTCTACACATCAAAGCTTTTTTTCTCATTTGCCGAGCTCTCAGTATGACTCTTTAGAGAACTATGCTATGGTTGCCGTTGTTACCTTGGTTCAGATTCTTAAAGACAGCTCTCTAGCAATGCATCATACGTCTGTTGTTCAAGCAGTAATGCATATATGCTCCCAACTGAAGTTTAAATCTGTTGCTTTTCTTCCTCAGTTAGTCCCTACATTTTTGCAGGTAATGACAAGCTTGTCCCCTTCATCTGTTGAATTGTATTTTCAACAACTTACAACTCTGACTTCTATAGTGGGACCGAAAATAAAGGATTATATATCTGAAATTTTCAATTTATCGAAAACTTTTTGGGATACATCTACTTCACTTTTACTTGTAATAATAGATTTGATTGATTCGATCGCCGTTGCATTGGAAGATGAGTTCAAGTTCTATTTACCACAAATTCTTTCTCATATGTTGAAGTCCTTCTCTTCGGATACATCATCAACTAGGGTGATTTCCTATAAAATATTACAGTCATTTGTCATTTTTGGATCTAATATTGAAGAATACATGCACTTAGTACTGCCGGTTATCATTAGAAGCTTCGAACGTGACACGGTTCCATTACAATTTCGGAAGAGTGCATTGAAGTGTATCTCGCAACTTTTGCATCTAGTTAACTTTTCCGATCATGCCTCTCGAATTATTCATCCTTTAGTTCGCATGCTGACAAAGTCAAACAGTGAATTGAAAATGGTCATAATGGACACATTGTGTTCCGTGGTTTCCCAGCTAGGTTATGACTATGCAGTATTTATTCCTATGGTTAATAAGGTTCTCGTACATCACAAAATTACCCACCAAACTTATGACCTTCTTGTCTCAAAATTACTCAAAGGTGAATCCTTACCAAAGGACTTAATAGCCAATGAATTTCAGCAGATATCTTCTTTAAAATTTGAATTGGAGGACCCACCTTTGACCAAATTACCCGTAGATCAATCGTCTTTAAAAGCTTCATGGGAAGCGTCACAGAAACTCACTCGAGATGATTGGCAAGATTGGATACGAAGACTCAGCGTCGAGCTATTGAAGGAATCGCCCTCTTCAGCGTTAAGGTCTTGTTCTAGTCTGGCTGGAATCTACCATCCGCTTTCCCGCGATTTATTCAACGTCAGTTTTCTTTCTTGTTGGGATGAGTTAAGTGCCAGTAATAAAAGAAGTTTAGTCAAATCAATTGAGACGGCATTAAATGCGCCGAACATATCAGTTGAAATTTCTCAAATTTTACTTAATCTTGCGGAATATATGGAGAGAGAAGACAACGCTCTTCCGATATCTATTGAAGCATTAAGTGCACATGCTTCAAAAGCTAACGTGTACGCCAAAGCCTTACATTACACTGAATTACAATTTATGGATGAAACAAAAGAAGATGTCAGTATTGGCACTATTGAATCGTTGATTACGATAAACAATCATCTTCAACAATCCGATGCAGCTGTTGGCATGTTACAATACGCGAAGCAACATAAACAATTTAACCTTAAGGAAACTTGGTACGAGAAACTGCAGAGATGGGATGATGCTTTAGCTGCTTATGAGATGCGAGAAGCTGAAGGTGAACACTCATTTGAAATCAGTTTTGGGAAACTTCGCTGCTATTTTGCTTTAGGTGATTGGGATCATCTTTCACATTTGGCTCAGGAGACTTGGGTAATATCTGAACAAGAACATCGTGAAGCTATTGCTCCACTTGCAGCTGCTGCTGCATGGGGTCTTGGTCAGTGGGATTTAATCGGTGAATATGTCAGTGCCATGGATAGAGAACCTCAAGAGAAAGAGTTTTTTTCCGCTATCCATGCCGTGCATAAGCGGCAGAATGAAAAGGCTTATTTACATATTGAAAGACATCGGGATATACTTGTCAATGACCTTTCTTCTATAATTAGAGGAAGCTACAATCGTGCATATGGTATAATGGTAAAGTCCCAGATGTTATCGGAATTAGAAGAAATTATCGAGTACAAGAATAATGAATCATTTGAGGGGAATTCGGATTCTTTGAAAAAAACTTGGAAAAAACGACTTCAGGGATGCCAGAAAAACGTTGATGTATGGCATAATACCTTACGTTTCAGAGCTCTTGTATTTTCTCCTACACATTCTCCTGAAATGTGGATCGAATTGGCCAATTTGTGCCGTAGATCTGATCGACTGAAGTTGGCTGGTAAATGCTTGAACTACCTAATGGGCCGTGATCCATCAAAACCGTACCCAATCGATTCTTTAAAATCTATAAATCCACGAGTTGTATATACATATTTGAAATTTTTATGGGCAAATAACAATAAAGAGGTTGCTGTGGCAGGCTTAGAAGAATTCACGAGTTATTTATATTCAAGAAACAAAAGCAATAGGACTATACCGTTTATGGATTTAGATGAATTGTCAAATGACTATGAAGTCAGCGATGAACAATCATTTCTTGCAAGATGCTTTCATAAACAGGGAAAATGGAAGAAGATGTTGCAGAGGTCTATGTCAAAGGAAGATGTCACAGAAATACTAATTTCTTATTATAATGCGACTATATGTGACAAAACTTGGTATAAAGCTTGGCATTCTTGGGCACTTGTGAATTTTGAAGTTGTTGGGTATTATGAGCAATCGGACGCAGGCATTGGGAGCGAAATGTATTCGCAATATATTGTTCCAGCGATTAGAGGATTCTTCAAGTCAGCTGCTCTCAGTCCAAGGAATTCTTTGCAGGATATTTTGCGATTATTAAATTTATGGTTCAAATTTGGAGAACACAAAGATGTTTCTGCTGCGATCACAGAAGGGTTCTCAAACGTGCCTATGGATACGTGGTTGGAGGTAATTCCACAACTAATTGCTCGAATCCATACGTCCAGTACGTCAGTTCGTTCTTCTGTTCATCAACTGTTGTCGGATATCGGACGAGTTCACCCTCAGGCATTGGTTTACTCCTTAACGGTGTCTTCCAAGTCTACTAATATTCAACAAAAGCATTCTGCTAAGTCTATTATGGATAATATGCTTTCACATAGTGATACTTTGGTACGTCAAGCTCTTTTAGTCAGTCATGAATTGATTCGCGTTGCTATATTATGGCACGAACTATGGTATGAAGGTTTAGAAGAAGCTTCTCAAGCATATTTTACAGAGCATAATACTTCTTTGATGATTGAAATTATTACACCTCTTCATGAGATATTAGAAAAGGGACCGTCTACATTATCGGAAGTCTCATTTGCGCAGTCATTTGGTTACGATCTTCGCCGAGCCAAAAATTGTTGGAAGAGGTACTTAAGGAGTGATGATTTAACAGAGCTGAATCAGTCTTGGGATATATATTATCAAGTTTTCAGACGTATCCAAAGACAGTTGCCTAAAATTAAGCATATAGAATTGCAGTATGTATCTCCGAAGCTTCTGGACGCTTCCAATTTGGAGTTAGCTGTACCAGGAACATATGGACATAATAAACCTGTGATCAAAATTGCTCATTTTCATCGCAAATTTGAGGTTATATCTTCTAAACAGAGACCCCGGCGGTTTACTATACGCGGTAGTGACGGAAAGGATTATCAATATCTTTTGAAGGGACACGAAGATTTGAGACAAGATGAGCGAGTTATGCAATTATTTGGATTGTGTAATACTTTGTTAACAACTGACTCAGAGACCTTTAAGAGACGACTTAGTATAGAACGGTATCCTGTCATACCTTTGTCTCCAAACTCAGGATTACTTGGATGGGTGCCTCATAGTGACACTCTGCACTCGTTGATTCGCGATTTTCGTGCCAAGCGACATATCATGTTGAACCACGAATATCGCATGATGCTACAAATGGCGCCTGATTATGATAGCTTGACCCTTTTACAAAAGCTAGAAGTTTTTGAGTATGTTTTGGCAAACACGGATGGCCATGACTTATATCATTTACTTTGGCTCAGAAGTCCCAACTCAGAAGCATGGTTAGATCGAAGGATCAGTTTCACCCAAAGTCTAGCATTAATGTCGATGGTAGGCTACATATTAGGCTTGGGCGATAGACACCCTTCAAACTTAATGATGGATCGATATACAGGTAAAATTATTCACATTGATTTCGCCGATTGTTTTGAAGTCGCTATGCATAGAGATAAGTTCCCCGAGCACATACCCTTTAGACTCACTCGTATGCTTATCAACGCCATGGAGGTAAGTGGCATCCAAGGGACCTATACTATCACATGCGAACATGTTATGAGAGTCTTGAGATCCAACACTGAATCTTTAATGGCGGTTTTGGAAGCGTTTGTTTATGATCCTTTAATTAACTGGAGACTCATGACGAAGGGTTCTTTTGGAGTTACGACGACTCTAAAAGCCGGGTCAAGTAGTGTGGAAGAGAAGAGTCGTTCTTTTGTTCATCGAATCCGCCATTTGGACTATGCCAATGAAGATAAAAATAATGGATCTGAAAACTTAAATGAAAGATCTATCCAAGTCCTGAAACGGGTATCTAATAAACTGACCGGAAAAGATTTTCATTTTACAGAAGAATTGCCTGTTAAAACACAAGTAGAAAGACTGATCCAACAAGCTACAGCGCCCGAAAATCTTTGTCGTTGCTACGTGGGTTGGTGCAGTTTCTGGTAACTCCGTTTTGTTTGCTTTAATTCAGATTATATGTAGTCTGTACTATTTATTACTTTCGTGGTGTTTCTTATATACGCTGCTCTAATTATTATTTCATTTTATGTGGTTTTATAATGTTGACTATCAATTGTTAAGTGGACTACTAGATTATTTCTATTTTAACAGAATGAAAATTCATAAAGATATGTTATGAGTAGGGTATATTTGTTATTCCAAGGACTTCTTCCTTGTATATTTGTCTATGAATGGAAAAAGCAACGGGGTTTTCTCTTCATTTGCAGATACTCTACTTATTACATCTAAATATTCAGCTTATGCATGTGATTTTAGTTTGTTCAAGTACGATATTGTATTAAGCGACGTTCTTTACTGCATGAATGAAATCCATATACAAACAATTCCATTGCTTTTAGTTCCTAACTTTAGTCATAAACCTTCGCAAACTGTTTTTAACATCTGTACTTATTATTATTAAGATGGAGATTCTAAGGTAAGCAAGGATAATGAAGTACGAGTAGACTAATTGAATGAGTTAGTACAGTAATTGGAGCTGGATATCCCATATATAAAAGCTTTTTGTTGCTTGAAGTACCTGCCAAAGCTAATCAATTGATCCCAAAGGCTTTTCAAATTCGAAATAATGAACCAAAGACTGTTGGTAAGAAATTTTGTAATAGGTTTTCTTTTTATTGTACCTCCAGAGTATAGATTAGAGACTTACTCAATTAGATGAAGAACGTCGTCGACTAATGGCATACTGGTGTGTTTATGGATGTGTCACTTCAATTGAAGCACTGGTAGGCAGCTACATACGTTGGGTTCCTTTTTATAGCACCACTAAGGTTGTTTTGTGGATATGGTTATTACATCCCAAGACGCGCGGTTCAGAATATGTTTATCAAACGTACATTTCGACCTTCCTTCAGGAGCACAAGAATACAATTCAAGGATTTCTTGAGAAGTTGGTTCATCTAAGTAACTCTGAACAACTTTTGATTAATGCTTGGGGATTTTTACGGTCCATGATTGATCATCTCCCCAAGGGAGATGCTACGGCGCCGGGCTCTAAGAGCGATGCTCCTAAGAAATCTTCCTAAACTTAACAGTGCAAGTGAGGTATTAAAAATGATGGTATACTTATTATTTCTACACGATTGTTTATGTTTGGTTCGACATTTCTTGACTTCTTGAATGTTTGAGGGATACGAATTATACTTATGGGAATTGCATTGAAGGGTTTGAGTATGTACAGGTTTCAAATAAATGATTTCACGACATGGACGAATTTATGAGAGCAAAAAAGACAGAAAAGTAAGTAGTACCTATTTGGTTTTAGGTTTTAGTAGAGAAAAGGTTGCTGGAATTGAGCCAACAATAGTATGTAATATATCAACGGCAATCAAAGGCAATAAATTAAGTACTCAAACGATTATTCTTTGTAAGGATAAGTGAATCTGTCCTCTTTTCTGCGCCATAATTTACGTTTTTTCTTTGTCATCACATTCTCAACGAACACTTCAATGCAACGCTCATGTTTAAAAGCACGAATAAATCTCGGATCCCATAATTCACTTGCAACTCCCAAATCTTTGCAGCATCTCATTAATGCGTTTGATTTGCAACCCTCAGATGCAGTAGCAACTCCTTCAGGATCGAAATAAGTCTGCTCACCTCGAGCAACAGATACAAGCCTACCATGACATACTAGAGCATATTCTCGAGAAACTGATTTACTAGTGACAGTTGTGTTTCCACGAGGGGCAAGTCCCCACCCGCCGGGTCCAAAAGCATTATTTAGTATTCTTCGGTATTTGATTTCAGGTAGGTAAAGAATCCCATCTGGTTTGATTTCCACATCTTCTGGAGATAGAGGAGCAGTTAAAGTACTACTAATCTCCTTGCTGAATGGCTGCGATGACAACCCGTAAAACGAAGTTTGCCAGTTGGGTCCCAAATCCGACATGTTTGGTTCCTGTGCATCCGATAGGAACTCATTCTCTTTTTTCAAAACTTTTTCGTTTTCATTTGGTCTCGGAGGAGCCGTCCTATTATCAGCAAGAAAACTCGAAACATGAAAAGGACGATGATTCAACCATGTAGATGACATGCTTGGAAATACACCAGGGTTGCTAAGTTGTTTAAAACGACCATTGCCATTACAAAGCTTTTTTGTGATTGCTTTTCTTGCACTAGCAATGGCTAATTTTGTATGTCTCATACTATTTTGGTTTTCCTGAATCTTGTTGTAGTTCCCTTTCGAAAGGATCTGGAGTGGACTACTTCGTCAAGTGTAATGTTAACATAAGCTTATGTAAAACGATAATTCATCGTATTTATTTATATTCAATATGGTCAATAATGAATGCAAGCTTTTTTTCTTGTTTCAAGAAATGGTTGCTTTTGATTCTGATTCTTTCGATTTGGTTGTATGTTACAGAAGGATCATCGCTAAATTGAACAAGCGTAAAGAGTCAGTACATCATTCCTGAAGAACAAATATAATGTCTTTTTAATCACAGTGTACATTCTTTGATTAGCCCATATTGCAATTCATACCTGGGTTCCTTGAATTGCTCTCAAAGCAAACAGAGAAAACGAGTTTTACAATAACGACAATACTAACTACAAATCCAGTATTGGGCGCCTTTACGATATCTTAAAAATCCGGAAATAATCATCTCTACTGTTTTTATTACGAACTGAAAAGCAACTAAAGATCACTTATTACCCAACACCACTATATATGCGTAAGTATCAATTTCGGTGGGCTCATTGAAAACCATGAACGTTTTAATATATAATGGAAACGGTGTTTCAAAAGCATGCTTATCACGAACTTTTCAATGCCTTTTTCCTTTCGTAGTGCCGCAATACTCTATGCGATATGTTGATGCTTATACTTTAGAGCATGATCCTTGGCCAAGTAATACCTCTCTTTTAATTATACCAGGAGGAAGGGACCTAGGCTACTGTGGTTCATTCAACGACCTTATATATCGAAAAATTATAGACTTCGTTCGTCGGGGTGGAAGCTATCTTGGTCTATGTGCAGGTGGCTATTTTGCGTCAGCCAATGTCGAATTTCGCATGCCTAATAAAGATTTAAATGTTATCGGATCAAGAAAGCTCCAGTTTTTCCCAGGTACTTGTGCCGGTCCAACGTTTTCCGGATTTGCCTATGATAGTGAAGAGGGAGCAAGGGCTGCTCCTTTGACACTAGAGAAAATGGAAGGCTCTTCAAGAACGACTCGTATTTATTATAATGGGGGTGGATCATTCATAAATGCTGAGTCTTATCCCAAGGTTCGAGTTGTAGCACGCTATTCCGAAGTGGAACAAGAACGTTCAGCAGCAATCATATATATACCCATGGGTAAAGGACATGTCATATTGACAGGTGTTCATCCAGAGTTTGGCGCAGATGCTAATAATGTACTCGATGAAAGCGATGAACCAATGCGATTAGAACTCATCGCGCATATGTTGAAACTTTTACAAATTAGAATACCCCAGAATATTTCGCAGTGCTGTGCTCAACCAAAAGTGACTGATCAGTATTTGTTTCCTTGCAATGAATCCACAAATTGGTTGTTTGACGGGTTCAAGGAAGATGAAATCCATAAGACACTTTATGATAAAACCTACAACTTTCATTTTAAAGATATTTCAGACCGTCATAAAGTATCAAATTTTCCCGCAATGGATCATGATCCAACTGCTGAGTCAGATCAGGAAACAAAACCATCTGTCTCAATTTGCTATGGTAATGAGAAAATCGGATACGAGCATACAAAGTCTCATTTTGACTACAATTTGTATCAAGAACACTTGAAAGATTGTCATTTTGGCTCGCCAATTCTTATATCTCCTGTCATTCGTTCAACCCAAACACTTTTTGATAGCAACCCAAAATTCCTTGAAAAGCTCCCAACGGGATTTACCGCTTTTGCTAATTACCAAACAGCAGGAAGAGGAAGAGGGCAAAATATGTGGGTTTCCCCTTATGGAGTACTAGCTTTTTCTTTTGTTGTGAACGTTCCATCCCGTAATTTTAGTACGGTTCCTGTAGCTCTGTTTCAGTATCTTATGGCCCTGTCCGTCGTAAATGGTATTCGAAATTATGCTCCTGGTTATGAGAATATGCCCGTCTTTATTAAGTGGCCCAACGATGTGTATGCCGCTGTTAATGAAGGTGGAACTTTCTATCAAGAAAAGAGATATACGAAGATTTCAGGTATAATCGTTACATCTACATATGAAAAGGATGTTTTACATTTGGTAATTGGATGTGGAGTAAACGTGAGTAACCTGGGACCTACAGTGTCTTTGAATACACTGGTCGACGAATGGAATGCTCAATATCCAGATCAACCCTTACAGCATTTCCAGTTTGAAATTCTGTTAGCTAAGATTTTTAATTACTTTGAGTATTATTATTACACGCTTCTTCAAGAAGGGTTTGCTCGAATTTTGCCAGAATACTACCAGTACTGGTTACACGATGAGCAGGTTGTCAGTTTGTCGAGTGGCGAAAAGGCTAGAATTAAAGGAATTACATGTGATTTTGGTTTACTAATTGCTGAGCTTCTTAATGATTCCGGAATCGCTAATCGCAAAGATATTTATCTACAGCCTGATGGAAATAGCTTCGATTTGATGAAGAACTTAATTACTAAGAAAGCATAATCTTCTATCTTTTTCACCTATAATTGTTTATAGACCAGACCGTACAGAAATCCTATTTAATAAATTTCATTCCGTGATTGCTTACGGGTACCATTTGTGAATTTGTATTAATATAATTAATATTTTCACTAAGTTTTTAGATTAATTCCGAGTACAATAGGTATTTGAAATTTATTTTAAAGGAGATGCTGTCCTTTTTATTTGCATAGCAAAGATAGGTCCCTTCAAATTATGAGAGACAATTTAAAGATTTTTCTGGTTAATAAATGGACAAAAATAACTTCTCATTCAAAGGTTACACGAAAGAGGTTATAATGCGGAATTAAGAGGATAATGGTTTTACTCCAAGGGAAGCATATTACCTCAGGCAGTTGTATACCAGATTGTTCATTAATAATGAGATCAATTTGCTAATCAAAAGTCGCCATAACTATTATTCTTTTCAATAATGTCCACCTCGTCCACGTCCACGACGATTCGAAGGATTCATGTTTCCATAACCTCCACGGCCGCGCTGTCCACGACCACGGAATCTCGATCCACGAGTTTCACGTTGCTGTGCTTGTTGTTTTCCAACTTGCTCCAAAACTTCATCTTGAATTCGTAAATATTTGATCTGTTCAGGCTAGTTAGCACAGTTCTACCATCGCCAAACAATTACATACGTTATTTCCACGGATATAGCATTCAGGAAGTCGAAAGAATCTATCACCATCAGGCATAGTCCGTATAACTTCGTGTAAAGTCAGATTCATATATGTATCACATTTCTCGAGATGACCATTAAAGGTTTCGCCATTTTTTAGCTCTACAAGTATAGGTCTACCTTGAGCCGCATTTAATAATGTTAAAGGAAGCTATAAACAGATTAGAGTGTAATCTACTTCGTACTTCTTACCATTTCCCAGTAAAGTAATATGCTTGTTCTATGGCAGTACTTGCGTTCGATAAAGCTCAGTATACGTACAAGGAATGACTTGAAAGTTGTGGTTGATTTGTAGAAAATAAAATTTAAAAATATTAAAGTAAAGACTACTAATTTTATTATATGTGAAAATTGATTGCTTATCCTCAAAAATAATCTTGATGCGATCGTTCTACCTTTCTTTGTTTCTTCCTAGTCAAAGGCCACGCAAAGAAAATTATTCTTGTATTTTGCTGATTCTTTTCTCTATTAAATCTAAATAATCATAAAATAGGCTTTGTTCCCAAACTAGAAGAAATAAGGGAAAATGGCCGCTGCTAGATCTTGCTTTCGAAATCTTTGGAGAGCAAGTAGGGAAGTATTTGAAGGTTGTAAATGATTTCCGATAATACAAAATGGAAACTAATTATCATGGTTTAGGAGATAGCGTAATTCTTGAAGACGCTAAAACTCGCATTCGATCTGGATTTCGTGAAAGTGCTGGGCTTGTCGGAGATCAAGCGAATAAGAAAGTCAACCTAGGAAACGAAATTGCTTCTATTTTACGAAAGAATTTGGTTCAAGCTGTAAAAAGAGATGATGGCGTCTACTCGTTGAAGATTCGTGATTCTACTGAAATTAATGAAAACAAGCATAGAACAAAAAAGCTCAAGTATTGAAGTTTTCTTGAGACCTGAAGATAGTAAAGCTTCGCAATACAAAGTACTATATGATAATAGGCCGTTACTGTTAAGAATGTTTGAATTCTGTCATATGTACATATCGATAAGTATACCTATATATGGAAAGGAAATTCAAAGACTTTTTTTATTGCTAAAAGGAAAAGACTATTAACATGATTAAATATATGACAAATTATGGAGTGTAGTAGAATATTCTGAGCGAAAGAACTGACATTGAGTTTTCCAAAATATAAGCATAATTGGAAGTGGCTCACCCACGTCCTTCAGTAGTATTCACATTCACGTACAGAATAACAAGGCTTTGGGAAACTCAAGTAGAAAAAAGTAAATGCACACTCCACGGAATACAGTAGTACCTTGGTCAAACAAAGAACAGCAAAGCAAAGAGACAGAATATGCAGTGTCACAAAAAGAAGGTCTTTCAAAATAAATAAATTTTTTCTTAAGTTGGCACCTAATCCAAATCCTCTATTGACTAAAGAAATTCGAAGGCAATAGCCATTAACTGAAAGAACGAGAATTATCGATGAAAAATAGACAAATCCCTATTCAGATTCTGCCTCGGGAATAACGAATGAAACATCTTCACCATTTTCAATATAGGAATCTTGCTTAGATGGCATGCTCCTTGATCCTATCATGGGAACTTCATCATAAGACACGTTCAGCAGGCTTTCCTGGCCCACTGCATTTGTATCAGCAACTTCGTTGATCCAACCACGTCTGCGCACCTTAACTGAACGCGTGGACCCTAATCTATTCAAGTATGATATAGAATCGTCAAAGGTAGCTCGAGGGTATAATTCATGCGTCCAAATATGATACATAGATAAAATTCTCTTCAGGTCTCCTAACTCATGACCTTTTCCTTTTAATTTAACCTTTTTCCTCAAGCGCTGAAGTTTAGGAATGCCATTCTCGGACGCTAGTCTGATTAAGTTTGTTAGCATACTCGTTCTAGCCGTTCAATCTCATTCCATTTATTGTTATTACCTTTCTTCATCAAACTTTGCTATCTGTCTGCGAGGACGCTTCAATGGAACGTCTTTTTCTTCTAATCCAAGATCAAAGCTCTCATTATCGTTCTCGTTTTCATTTTCAGCGTTTGACTTAGGTAATTCATTCTTGTCAAGTTTGTTTGTTTGATCTCTTTCTTCATTAGGATTCGAAGCCGCCATTCTTCAAAATTGCGTTTAGCATGTAGAAGCTAAAGATATATCTTACTTAAGTTGTGTTAGCCTCTCTAATTCAAGAAAAAAGTGGATATGAAATCCCAATTTTCTTTCTTTCTTTCTTATTTAATTCTTATGGTTTCCATCCGTAAAGGAATATGTCCAAATACCCAGAAACTAAAAATTTTCCGTTGTAGATTTTATGGCAATATGAAACTTACTTTTAGATAGTATTAAGCAAAGTTATAAGATTGGGAAACTGAAATTATATGTCACTTCATAAATGTTTGCTTTCAATTTAGACTGTCTGAAGTAACTCGGTTTAAATATACTTAACATGGATCTCTTTTTCATACCCCATGAACCTACATACTTTAATTCTCAAAATAAAATACAAAACTTTTAGCATGTATCTTTTTTAGAAAAGCTGTGCTGTTTTAAACCACTTTTTCTCACCTTTCTTGGTAACTTACTTATTAACAGTATGGCATCGAGATACCGCGTCGAGTATGCTTTGAAACAGCATCGAAAAGACAACTTTATTGAATGGATTAAGGGACTTTTAGCTGTCCCATTCGTGCTACAGGCTGGTAAACCATCTCAAAAAGAAGTTACAAAGGCAAAGGAAGAAGAAACATTGGAACGCTACGCTCGAATTTTAAAAGATGTTGAGCGTCTGATTGAAAGTCATAGTAAGTGCATTGATTTTATTATTATATTGGAAAAAATGTGGAAGAGTACATTGGGAAGAATTCTTATTAACTACTCTCAGTTGAATTAACGGATCAAGGTCACCATCATAGTCAGCTAAAGATGCTGGTGCCAACTATTACTTCTTTTTGGACACCACTTCCTTTAGTTCAGGCTTTGTATGACCTTGAGCCAAAACTTTGTTTGGCTAAACGCAGCTTCGTAGCACCTAGTTTTAACGATATTCGTACAATCCTAGGTGGTGCTCAGCTTCGCTACCTTGCTCACCATAGCCTTGAGTTGGTAAGCTTCGATGGTGATGTAACTCTTTATGAAGATGGACAGCCCTTGCTTGCTGACAATCCTGTCATTTCGCGTTTAGTGCAACTCTTATCAAGAGACAGTTATGTAGTAATCTTAACTGCTGCTGGATACCCTAGTCCTAGTGGAAAGGAATACATGGATCGGTTCTCTGGACTGTTACAAGCTATAGAGGATAGTGATTTGACCGATACTCAAAAGCGAAGATTGCACGTATTGGGAGGTGAAAGTAACTATTTGTTTGAATACAATCCATTGCATGGACTACAATGGGTAGAACCAGAATCCTGGATGCTACCTATCATGAAGACATGGCCAGCCGACGAAATTTCCCAAATTTTGGACTCTGCTGAAGAAGCTCTTCGTTCTTGCATAAGGGCTCTAAACATTGATGCTAAGATTATCCGTAAGGAACGATCTGTAGGATTTGCACCTTCGCTAGGTCAAAAGTTGAGAAGAGAACAACTGGAAGAAACAGTTTTGGAAGTACAGACGACGTTACAATTAAAGAATTTCTCCGTTCCCTTTACTGCCTTTAACGGAGGTAATGACATTTGGTGCGACATCGGTGACAAAAAACTTGGAGTACATTGCCTTCAGTACTTCTTCGCCATCTCCCATCCTTCGAAGTGTTTACACGTAGGTGACCAGTTCCTTTCCGCCGGTAATAACGATTACAAAGCCGTACGTATTCAAAGTCTTTAAAATACACATAATGAAAATTCAGTTACTAACCATTTACAGAGATCTGCCGCAACTACGGTTTGGGTATCAAGTCCTTCGGAAACTGTAGAGTTTTTGGACTACTATTTTTCTCAATTACCTTAATAACCTTGATGTATCGTATTCGTATCTAGGATTCAGCCTAAATAGTGAAGTATACTTAGATAGTTATCCATCAATCTTTTCAGAATAATGTTTCGTTGTTCATAAGAGAAATATTATGGAAGTACTAGAACTCATCTGTCGAACATGCGAGCCAGTAGGGCCAAGGAGAGTATATAGTATTAGAAATCTTTGCGTTTCGGAGTAGCACTAAATACATAATATACTAGAGAATGAGTATTACAATTTAAAAACTGATCAAAATGTGAGCAAGAAGAGAATATGATAAAATAGGGAAAGAAGTAAACGGTTCGGGAGATAAGAGTTAAACAAAAAAAAAAAAAAAAAATAGGCAAAGATAGACGACTTTACAATGTCCAACTAAAAGACCAAAGACAAGATACATCAAAATTTGAGTGTGAATATCGTAATATTCGTTAAAAAGGTCTACGCAACTGAATCCTCTTCCTTCTTTACTTCTTGCTTTATGTCGCTACCCTCTGAAGGAGAAGTAGAAGCGGCTACAGGTTGATTCATAGAATTTTGGTTTTGGAATCTTTCTCTAGCACGGCTCAAGAGTTCTTCTTGTTGGCGTAACAACTCATCTCTGGAGACTCCGGATTGTTCAAATTTACTTCCTTTCTTTTCACGATTCTGAAAATGTTAGTACTTTAGTGAACTTGACGTGGAACCCTGTAAATACCTTTTGTTGTTCTTTGTGTTCCGCGGCAACTTCTAACACCTCACTGATATATTCCTTAAATTCTAAGTTTTCCAGTGCTTTAATTATATGCTCAGCTGCTATAGTTTTCTTGCTTTCCTTTTCACATATTTCGTTGGCCTCACTGGAAACGAGATGAATAAATTCGACGCAGCACTCAATTAATAAATCCCTGGTCTCTTTTGTGAATGTTAGGTCTTCTGGAAGCATTTCAGAAACCATTTTTTGAACCGTAGCTTCATCTGTTAGCATATCTCCAGGATTTTTCTCTTTTAATTTGCTGCATACCCTTTGGCAAAGACAATTCATCATCTACGAATGCATCATTCATTGTAAAATATTTATATCATGAAAGCAAGATACTCTTTCGTAAAGTTTAAGTCCTCATATAACTTCTACTAATAGCTTTAGTGAAGACTGTTTACCTGGTGGGAATAGTGAGTGTGTTTCATCTCACTAAAAAGAAATGCCATAGTGAGAATTTGAAGAATTAATGATAAGAAAATAGTATTAATTTAGAATAGTTGTAAGAATAGATTGGATCAACTGGAGAACCACGTCTGAATATCCTCGCTATTTCAGGCGAGCTCACAGGTGCAAACAGAACTGACAAATTTTTAATGCATAGAGCCTACAGTCTAGTGAATCATATCACAATACGTGAGAGAAAGTATACGAGTTCTATTGAAATATTCTACTTCTAGTTTTTAAACCCTTTATTTTTAACCGAAGGCAATCCGGAGCTTTTGGAAGCCTTCTTATCAAAATTTAAATAGACGGAGAAGGTATTCAAATATTATTTTTAATTCCTTATTTTTACTTGCCAAAGAAAACAACTTCGCTGGGATTCAAAGAACCACGTTCAATGAACATCTTCGCATATTTGTCGAAAACACCTTTAACAGCAGCAGCACCAGAGTCCTTTTGAGCAGTGATGTCAGCGGCTAAGGAAGCAAGTTCACCGTCACCAAGCTTAGGCATCAAAGCATCGGTATCCTTAAGGACAGTATCAACTTGTGTGGGGGAAGGAACATCAGTCTCGCTGAAGTAGTTGAAGTCCTTCAAGGCGTTCTTAACAATCTTTTTGTCACGCTTCTGAGCCTTCTTCTTGTCTTCCTTAGCCTTCTTGTTTTGGGCACTAGCAGCAGCCTTAGCAGAAGCTTCTTCAGCAGCTATACGCTCCTCCTCTTCCTTCTTCTTTTGAGCGGCGGCAGCAGCTTCACGAGCACCGGCATCACGCTCCCACTTACGAGCTTCCTTAGCAGCCTTTTCTTGTTGTTTGAAGAGTTTAATACGGGGATCAGATGCCAAAGCAGTGTCCACTAATTGACGAAGACGGGCATTGTCACGAGCCTTGTTCTTTTGACGCTCGGAACGGTTTTTCTTTTCTTGATAACGCTTGTTATCACGAGATTCACCATCATCAGGAATATCCTTGTCCAAGTATTCAAAGGTTCTCCAAGAATCAAAGTTGTACCAGAAGTTGTAGAACTTTTCAACGTCGGGGCGGCTGGATTCAATAGTTCCCAAACCAGGAACAGGTTGCTTCTTGGAAAATCTAGCCTCAGCATCAAAAACAGGTGCCCAGAGTTCAAAAAAGTTCTCTTCGGTAGTAGACTCGGGAGCTTCAACTTCAGCGTTTTCATCAACAGAATCATATTGACGACGCTTGGTGGCATCAGTGAGGATTTCATTGGCCTTTTGGATGCACTTGAAGAAAGAGTCATCATTAATGTTGCCAGTAGCGGCCTTCTTATCAGGATGGTGCTTTAAGACCTTCTTCAAATGAGCCTTTTTAATTTGTTCCAAAGTAGCCTTGTAACGGTACTTGGAAAGACCCAAAACGGCATAGTGGTCTTGTTGCTTCCAATCCTTGGGGTCAGCTTGGAGCATACTAGGGTCTTCTTCCTCATCCTCAGATTCCTCCTTAACTTCTTCCTTCTTTTCGTCCTTCTTTTCTAAACGCTCATCTTCACTGAAAGTACGACCATGTCTTTGGCGTCTAGCATGAGCCAGGAAAAAGGGACCGACAGGTTCAACTGAACGACGGACGACTGGGCTAATCTTTCCATTAGGAACAAAAGAGGCTTCTACAGCCTGCTTGGAAGTAGCTGGGTATAACTTGATGCTTTCACCAGCGCTCATTTTGGTGTTTGGCTAAGGAGTCAATTTTACAAATCAACTTTTTTTTCTTTCACTGTTTAGCGTTTTACTGCGAAATGCGTTGTATTATCGTAGTAAACATGGCGAAAATTTTGAGTTGTGAAACTGGTAAGTAAATTCTGAAGAATTGATTAAAACAGTGGCTTTCTTTTCGATTGAAACATTGTGATTTGGTTTTGCTCTTCCCAAGAAGCTCACAAATGGTAGGGAACTTTTCCTCTTTATAATCACTTCTATTGTAATTCTACTTCGTTTCGAGATCTTTTCAAGTTAATTTAATTTAAGTAAATTGAAATGAAACAATATAAATCAATTAAATTGAGGAATAATCATAGCAGAATCAAGGAGACTAAACCCATCATTCAAATGCACCTTTTGATGCCATAGACAGGATCTTAACACCTAACTTACATTTTAAATACTTCAAATATGTTTATTCTTCACGTAGAAACGCGCTTTCCGTTTTGAATCCATATTGACATTGGCTATGTTCTAGGGCAAGCATTCGTTACTTGTTTCTATCAACCGTTTAGTCAAAACTGAAGAAGCATTACGAAAGTCGAATTAGTAAAGAAGAAAAGAGAGTAGTTTTCTCAAAAATGAACAATGTCTGCGCTGTTTACCAAAGATGATGGATCTTCTATGATAATTGCTGTATCAAGATTATTGGAAGCTACACCTGGATTCCAATCAAGCATGGAGGTACGACGCGTCCTTGGCTTTATATGTTAACAAAAATTAAGGCTCATAGTGCGAAAATATTGTTCATAGATTTGAGGGAGTTTGATTTACTTAAACACGACTTGTATATTGTCCCTGAAGAAACCAAAAAAGCCCTCATTCATCGGGAGTTAAATCGCGTTATGAATCTTAAATATGCTATTTTACAACGAATTGTGAAAGTATCTTGGCTTTCCAAGTGCATTGAACAACAAGAGCTGTTGCAGGTTGATGCATTTCGAGTTTTCACTTGTCTGGAGCCCCAGTATATTGAGCAGCCACCACAAAGAAGAGAATTTTTTAGTCTTGAAGATGAAAAGATATTAGTGGAATATGTTCATAAAGCTAATGTTCCCAATTCGGGCGTGAATATGTATAAAGAGTTAGCTCGCAAGGTATAGTCTCGAAGTTTCAAGATATTTTCAAAACTTATACCTTTTTGATCCATGCTAACTATTTAATACTAGTATCCCCAACATACCGCAGAGTCCTGGCGAGAGCACTATAAAATAATTAAGAAAGTACTTCCTCCTATTGAAGATGGTAACCTCACGAATTCTCAAAGCCGAACTGTTAGAATTGTTCCTTCTCAATCGATAAAAAAAGCTGAAAATGGTCTTCCTCATAGGGAAATAAAAAGCACTCCTACGGATGCATCACATGTTCACCAATATCCTCTTCCTGTACGACATCGTGATTCTTCTTCAAAAAAAAGACCACACCATCCGCTAGAAGGTTTAACAACATCTTCTTCAAAGAAACGTTTATCTTCTTCTCTAAGTTATACTAAAACTGATTTAAAACTCTTGGAGTATTACCTTTTTTCTTATGGTGAGGAAAAGAGCTTAGACAGAATTTGTTGGATCCTAAATGAAAGTTATTCCAATTTACATACTTTCTCTGATTGGAAATTACTTTACAAATACTTTTACCCACACCTGAATTTTGACAGCCCAACTCCTGCATTGGCTCATCTAGAAACAAAAGCGCAAGATGACATTTTAGAGAATCTAGATGTTGATGACCAAATGATAGAAAAAAAGTTTCTTGATCATGCTTCTTTCACTTCGGATGCAGCTTCAATTCAAGAAGCTATTTCTCCGCAGTCTTTAAAAAAGCCAACATGGACCAACTTCCAAAATCTGAGAGCAAGGATGATCGATCAATCTACTAATAACTTTGGTGATTTTTCTGGAATTTTAAAGTCCTCTTCCATACCCATTTCTGTTCAAGAATCTCCTTCCAGGATATTGGAAACACCCTCAAAAAATAATCTTCCGTCCTTTCCAAAGTCATATGGTAAGCTTTTTAGCGAAGAAAATGTTATACCTCCAATATATATGAAAGCAAAATCCTCAAATACTGTGTCATCAGCTGAATTATCAAGTAGTTTGAAAGAAGGGAATGTTTTCGTTCAACCAAATGAAGATTTGACAATCCCCCCTTTGGATATTAATAGTGACTCAGAAAGCATCCAAAATTTCAATTCTGAGCTAGATGATGACGCTGAATTTGAAAAGCAAATTACAACTACCTACAGCTCTTCTCCTATTAAAGCTGAAATACAAAAAGCCGACAACCGCAGTGAAACAAACCGTGAAGCATTCTCAGGTAGTTCACCTGATACTTCGGATTCACGTTCGTTCATTGACCGATCTAGTAGTCCTCCTGAAAGTCCCACAGCAGGTAGTCATGATCATGGGATCTCAAATAACCTCTTAATAGCCCGCAATATTCTTAAAAATTTTGATTATACGACCGAGAACCACCAAAAGACTCCGGAAGTTAATAAACATGTAACAATTGATGCTACCCCTTCTAATGAAAAAGGGGATTCTTTCTTCTCTTCACTGAGGAATACGAGTCTTTTCAGTGCAGAATCGACAAATGTATCACCTACGAGAACTTCACCTCTTCGGCATGAAAATAAATCTTTTTCAGATGTTTTACGAGAATTACATGATTATTTGGTAACGATAGAATCTTCTTCAAACAAACAAGAGATTGATGATGCTATAGACATGATATTACAATACACGCAATCAAGCGAACAGCAATTTCTGGACGTGCTTGAATCAACCGAAGGCAATATAAGTGCAGCTATTGCTAGATTATTAATATGGTCTTAATTTTGCAATTTATGAAAAGTTCTATTCTGGTTGGTATGTTTATTTATTGTCATATCCGTTTATAATGATGCCTATATGGATAAAGACTGGTTCTAATACGTATAAATAAAATCTTTTCATTTTCACTATATATGCTTTTCGTAGAAGACTCAATTATAAGTGTCATACGCAAAAGCCTTTATTAAATTTCTGGCGATTGAAAACTCTGGGGGGAAACGGATTGGAGCAGGCTGAGATTCTGAACTCCATTCTAGCGAATTTAAAAGTTCCGATCTCGTAAAAAAACGCACATTTTCTAGTTCCAAATCTTTGTCCATAGATATCTTAGCATCCTTCTTGGCGATCGCAAAGCAGCCCAACATCAAGCTTTGAGGGAAAGGCCAAGGTTGACTAGTATAATACAAAACTTTTTCAACTTCAAGGCCCGACTCTTCATAAACCTCGCGACTAACGGCTTCCTCAATGCTTTCACCGGGTTCCAAAAATCCTGCCAAACAAGCGTATAATCCTGGAGGATGTCTTGCAGCTCTGCCGAGAGCAATAGATTTCATATCATGTGAGAGAACACCCATAATAACACATGGATCAGTTCGAGGAAACTGATAATTGTTAACACCCTGTTTCGATGGACAGTTAGATGTAGGGTCCATGATAGCCTTTGAACACACTAATTTTGTGCCGCCCTGAGTAGGCATGTTCCTTGAACCACATCCTGGACAAAATTTGTATCTCGAAATCCAGTCTAGGAGAGATCGAGCAAAGGCACAAACACCGGAGTCGGAGGCTTGTAATTTGTAACCCTGCGAAAAAATATCACGAAGATTTACAAAAACAGCACCGCTATCCTGAACAAGTTTTTGAAGCTCTTCAATTTCAGTAACGTCTAGAGCGAAAACGTTATTGTGCTCCCATTCTTGACCAGCGTTGCCATTTTCGTCATTACCTAAAAAGACTAACGAAGGTAAAGAAAAGGCATGATTGCTATACTTTTCAGCTAACTGCTTGTCTGAAATCTCAAAGGGAGAAACATGAAAGTACTTGGAAATCTGAGGATAAGACAAGGTAAAAAGCTTTTCTTCCTTGACATTCAAAGCAGGATTTAGATCGCTAAAAGGAAGGAATTTAGTGGTGGGGGAACAAAAGGCTTTTTGCAAAAATTCTCTATTCGAACGAAGAAAAGCTAAACGATTCAAGTGATTTCCTGCAAAGAATTGAGTAGGAGCCGATGGCAGTCTGTTGATGGAAACGTTGGTTAGTAAACGAAAACAATCATTGCAAATGATAATAACTAGCAAACATCACCTAGAAACTTTTGTCCTTCGCATAACAAAGTTAAACGCCCAAATAGGAAGAGTACCGATCAAAGAAAAGCTATTACAACGTGAATGCTGCAGTCTTCTACTTACTCTAATTGTCGAGTCAGTGTAAAACGATTCATTCTCGTTTTAAATTTTTAGTTTTCAATATACTTTGACAATCACTTTTCAATCGTAAATTCAACAGTTCCTTATTTTACCTATCTCTTACTATGGTAAAACCAAAGTTTTAGAATGGACGTTACTGTCTAAGTAGAAGACAATACGTTGTCTGTAAATAGTCTATGCTGAATGGTTTTATATGTGGAAGATGGTCAAGTCTACCTCATTTGTGGATGATACGTAATGCTCTTAATTATATTCTTAAACGACTTCAACGATTTTTAACATGAAAAATATTAAACCACGAGAGGTTTCAAGTACAAAAGAATTTAAGACTAAAAACTGTAGTTGTTACAATACTGTAAAAACAAGAAAGTAGAACATGAAACCCCAACTTAAATAGCATGTACTGCTCTTGTATACTCGCGACGCGTAACGCGTCGCGAGTATATGAGACGCGTAGGCGTGTTTACAGTTTGTTGACAAAAGTAGATTCAAAACAAATAAGTAAGAAACAAAACAAACAAACAAAAAATGAAGCTATATAAATAAAGAGTTATCTTTTTTCAACAATTCACTGTCAGCTGCACTTTGACAGCAGTATCGTCTTGCTTTTCAATTAAATAATCAGCAGTCGAAAGTCTCTTAAATTGGAATCATTTGGAAGAGAGCCATTAGTTTTTCTAGCTCTCCTCATTGCACATACATTAATTAGTAAAGGGATCAAAACTGACAATCAGTTTACAAAGCTTATACCCTTATGAGATCGCCTCTAGTAGATCGCAACTCTGGTATTCAGAATCTTGGAGAAGAGTCAGCGAAACTTCTGCTTGCACCATTTGATTACAATCGTTCTTCATCGGACGGAGAGATTTGTCAAACTACAGCAAATCCTGAATCTTGCATGGACTGGCCCGTTTCAAAGGCAGATATGACAGGAACACAAAACTTGAATTCCGCAACGGCTATTGCAAGACTTGCTCTTCCAGCCACTGCCTTCTCTAACTATTGTCCAAAACCTGCTGTAAATCGACAGAAGGATGCTCCTCGCACCAGTATCCGAGTATGCAAACTTCGTTACTGGCAACGAGATTATCGGACAGCTTTCCCAAATTTTGTGTTCTACTTGGATAGTATCGATGAAGAAATTAAGAGAAGAATCATTCAAAAAATATGCAGCCTTGGAGCGGTAAGTAATCTTGTTCGGCTCAAAATATAGAAGCTAATGCACAATATTACTAGAAAGTTACAACGACCTTCTCTTTTGAGATAACCCATTTTATAACAACAAGAACAGTCGATCCTGAAAGATGTTCTCCATCAGACTTTCTCCATTTAGCGAAAAAGGCAAACATGAAAATATGGTCCATTGATAGTATGTTAAAACTATTTCTCTAAAGAAATCGCTAACAATCTAGAACTTCTAAACAGAATTCTATTCACTTTCCTCGACCCCGACAGTCTTGGTAACACCTCCGCTTCCAGCTTGCAAGCACTTTTAGACGGCGAAAAAGTTTACGGGGCATCGGAGAAGAATTTTTACGTTCCAAGTAAAAATGTAGAGTATTTCCAAGAGAACTTTTTGTGCGTAAGAGACATCACCCAGTTTTATAAACCTATTGTACTTCGAGAATGGGAAAGACCTACTCATAATACGGAAATTCTCTGGCCAACCTTAGGAATGACAGTACAGGGAAGATGCCCCTTTAACACTGGACGCAAGCGCGAGCTTAAGATAACCAAGTATAATCATCCAGCTCAAGAAATTGGAGATCAATTGGCGAATCAGACTTACAAACAAAAGATGATAAACCATACTGAGCAAGATCCTACAAGTGTCATCGTAAAGCAAGTGATGGGTGATATTACTGCCGCCGAATCTGGAGTACCCTTTCAAAAACAGACTCCGGCTGAGCAGTTGAAAGTACCAAACCCATTAACGATGGTGAAGAGGTCAGCAATGACCCCGCTGAATATTCTGGAGCCTCGACTTATGAACATGCAGAATTCAACGGCTAGTCGAGCAACGCGAACACCAACTGGAGCTTATGAGGTAGATCCTTTAGCGCATAAAAAAGTCAAGGTGGACGCAAAAGCTGGTTACTGCGAAAACTGTTGTGAGAGATACAGAGATTTGGAAAAGGTATGAATTGCAATTATCGAGATGGTTTCTAACTGATCTTTTAGCACCTTCAAGGAAGGAGACACAGAGCCTTTTCGGAGAACAACGGAAATTTTGCTAGCCTTGATGAATTTTTCAGTCAAGTTCAAAGACCGTTACGTTCGAAATAAAGTTCGATGATTCATATTCCGTTGAAAAGTAAATATTTTCAGCAAACGATTTAAACCAATCAATAGAAGAACCAGAATGGTATCCGTATAGATAACCTTTTTCTTCATAGTATACCATTCTTAAATTAGTATTTTATAAATAAATTTTCTGGATAAGTAATCCATTTGGTTTTTGGTCTAAAGTACTCCATTTTGCAGTGTTGCTTTCTGTTATTAGCACTCCCGGATCATCCGAGTTTTCCAATTGTAGAAAGCTCGTTCGTTATAGCCTCTTTGAGCCTCTCGGATTTTAGCTGCATCATACCCTCCTTGGCATGTTCATGTCCTACGATACCTAACAGTAAAGGATCTTTGGACATTAATAACCCTTCATGACCTTCCGTGGGTATGGCTGCTATAAGTAGCTTTCCTTTCTCAAATTCAATTATAGTTTCAAACAGGACATCCCGTTGATGAGCGATAATATCATCCGTAGACTCGGCTACTAGCGGACTAGGATTCGTTCCTGAATATAATGAGTATATATTTCCAGCTAAAGCGGAAGTTGATCGAATTTTCTTTACCAAATCCAATCGCTGGAGGGCATCCTCTGGTTCCTCGTAGGATACATATGATATCAAAGAGCCAGTACTGGTGAATACCCTAGAGAATTAGCTTCAAAGTTCCGTGCAACATCAATTCCGGTACTTCTGATTACTGTTCGTATGCGTGATTCACAGAATTCAGAGATTCCTAGCCAAGGATACGCGTTTTACTTACATGACATTAGGCATGCTCTCATCTACGGCTTGCTTCAATAAAATAGCTAGTTGTTTTGGCTTTATCATTGTTTTTATATTAAATGTATGTCCAATGCACAAGTTAAATAAGGTGGTTACGGTGTTCGCTGCCTCTAATTAATCGGTATGGAGTAACAATGGAATGGTGTCGATGAGGATGATCTCACAAGATTTACAGGTAAAAAAGCACACATAACTCTATAATGGAAAAAATATGTTCTAGATAATTCATAATTAAGATATTGTAATGGAAAAAGGAATTTTCATAACTGATAAAAGGTTGAAGATTTGAGTGCAATCTACTTCTCAAACATTACACATATCAACTCTGTCATCATCATCGAAACGAATGTTTTAGACTTAACATAAAATGCGAAAAAATCTGCTTTCATTATTTTGAAAAGAAAGTTACACACCTCGAAGTGCGTACGATAATCTAGAAGAGCAGATATTTCCTCTTTAGACAAAACAGGGACTGAGTAAAGCCAAAGAGGATCTTAACAAAAATTAAATTGACATAATTTACTGGCATAATAGCTGTTATAAAGCTTCATACTTGAAGAAATGACGTCTAAACTACTTACGATGTAGGCATTGAAACGGCAATTACTGGGATTTTAGACAGCCATTAAGCTTCCGATGAAGTGCAAGATAAGGCGTGGTCGAACATTAACAATATCTTCGGGCAAAATGAAAATGACAGCTCCTAGTTTACGAGCAATGGAGATAGCCAAACGAGTGTTTTGAATGGCTAATTCCTCAGTAGAGCCATCAGTAACGAGACTATAGTCAACGTATTCACTTTTAATACCATGAAGTACGTCAAGAACGAATATTCCGTTGGACAAAGAAGGATCGCGGAAAGAACGAATGTGTGAGCCTTTTCCTCCTTTAGCAGCCATAGAATTTGCCCAAGCAACCATATCATTATCTGAAAGGGTCTTACCACCACGGCTGAGACTATGCAAGGTCTTCGTAATATTCATACGCATCATTTGCCAAACCAAAGCCAATGTTAGAGTACGAGAGCCGTCATTGATATCAGCACCTTGGATACCAACTAATGAGAAGCCTTGTTCTTTACCTAGGTCAACTGCATAGTTGCAATTTTCTACAGCTTTGAAACGTAACATTTCGTCACCAGAAGCTGGAGGTTTATTAATCCTTTTCCAGTTAACAGTACCTGGAGTAATCTTATCATAAGCTTGTAATAAGATGCAACCATCTCTTAAATTATTGAAGAAATCATGAATGCTGGGGACGACATCAAGAGAATTCAACCACAAAGTGAATACACGAGCTTCGCGTTCACCTTCAGCATCAAACGGTTCGATTTCTGGCTTTTCTTCTTCATTTAAGGGTTCCAGACCAGGATGAGTGTTAAACAAATGAGCGACGAAAGCCAAGTTCAATTTGGGATTACCGGCAACCATAGCAGTAGCACTAAGATACTTTCGACAATTGAGCTTTTCGGAGTTTTCCAAAACCTTTTCAGCACGTTGCAAAACATTTTGAATTTGCAAGGGGGCACGTGAGCAAAGTTCTGGTGCTAATTGATTCAACAACACGGTATAGTTTTCACCATCGGAAACATCCTTAGAAAAGTTAGAAACTCTGCGATGCCAGTTCGCAGCATTCAAATGGAAGTTGAACCAACGAATCAAGATCTTCTCAGGAGGAAGACGAAGGAATTGATCTAAAGTCTCGTCTTCTTCTAAAAGACGGTACAGTTCGGGATGAAGAGTAATATCAATTTTACCCAACAGACCACGACGGATGATCTGCCAAACGAGACCTAGAATAAGATGTTCTCTGCCTTCTAACAAATCTCCAGCACCAATGTTGGTGATAGAAATGCCACCCATAGCTTTAGCTGAATTGATTACGACATTGTTGTTTTCAATGCTTTTGAAGTTGTCGAGGGGCTTTTGGTTCTTTGGCTTGTTCAAAACACGTTCATCAATAGTGTCTGGCACACTGTCATTGATAAGTTTGGACAAAATTAATCCATCTTTGCATTGATCAAAAAACTCAAAAGTCTCTGTATTGATGGGGATTCGTTCTCCGAGATCAGCATCACCTACAAGAACGGAATTTACATGTTTTATGAATTCTCGGCGTTCTTCCTCGTTAATTGTATGGGAGACACTAGAAGAAGAGCCTTTAATAGTGATACGGCCCTTTCTTACCTCAGTACCTTCAACACCTTTCTTTAAAGCATCGTAAATCTAAAAGACTTGGTTAATCGTTGCTCTATTACACTACAAAAATCGTCATACCCCAACGAAGTCTTCAGCTTCAACACGACCAGACGAATCTATATCGACTTCCCGAATTGCTTCGCGCACTTCATCATAAGTTCCCTTGTGTGAATCTTCAAATGCTTTAATGGTAGCCGCTTGATCCAGGTAGCCCTTTCCATCGACGTCTAACCTGTTGAACTGATCTGTGAGGGAAAGAATCTCCTCATTGGAAAGCCCTGTGAACTTCTTTTGAAGCTTTAGAGCTAGCATGTCTTTAAGAAAAGCCTTATTCCAAAAAACTATAAAGAAAAACCACGTTTAGCTTTGCAAGTGGTGGTTAGTAGAAGGACTGTCGTTGTCCATCATGATGAGCCTGAATGAATATAACGAGTCAAAAGGATAGGTAACGAAACTTTTGACTTGGGAAACTGTTGGTTGTGTAATCATGAGCATCAGATAAGTTAATTATTACTTAAAATTCTCGTTACGATTATCTCAATTACAAAACCTGATACTCTATGTAAATGGATAGAATTATATAAGATTACTATTTAGAATTTGCATATTTAAATATGTAAACAATCCTTTTGGCAACGGTAATGAATATTAATCCTGTAAATAAAAATATTCTGCAAATTGAGTAGTTGGTAAAGATTTTGTTTATTTTTTTTTTATTCTGACGGGCTCTGTAAGCATTCGTAGAAGTCGTTTCCTATTAGTTGGATCTTCAAGTATTCTAGATCAAGCAGAATTATGAACATTACATGAGTACAATTCTTTAACTTCATTCTTTGTCTTCACTAAACCTTTGAAATCGGCTCCTTACTTGTTTACATATTAGTAAGGAAATAAAATAAAAAGTATATACTTTGGAGGAATCGTATGCCACATTGGAAGAGAAGACTTGAAATGTATAGCAATCTCTGATCGTATAAATCTAGTCGTCAGAAGATTGATCTTCGGAATATGGTATATTTTCTTTTGATCGTTTTTTGACTACACATCTAGAATAATGAGAGAGCAATAACTCCAATGCATTACTTTAATTATATTATGAAAAAGAGAAGATAGCCCTTCTAGCATAAAGTATTACTCAACATCTACACTTGCTTTACTCATTGAGTAGTCAGAGATGAACCGCAGACTGGGAGATCTATTGATAGTGCTAACTTCACTAGCTTTCCTTGTCCACCATACTCTACAAATCAACAGTGAAAGGATTTATGGAATACGACGAAGAAGAAGAAAAAATCTTAAAGCAGGTGCTAAGCGCTTTCGTTTTATATCGGAAATATGGTCATACCTTAATTCAACAGAAACGAAAGTTGATGTCTCAACTTTCTTTTGAGCATAAAGATTTACTATTACAAGATAGTGAAAATAACTTTTTAAAGCATCTGTCTAGACTAGATGAGTGTGTGAAGCGAAATAGTGTCGTTGCAGAAGCAATTGTCCAAGCAGGAATACCCGTGTTTTATCCAAGCTTTGATGTAAATAATCTCCCCCATGTCTCAAGTGAGATGATGCAAAAAGTTTGCAGTACTTTAAAACAACTTGCTCGTGATTGGAGTGAAGAATCAGTGAACGAAAGACAGGTAACGTATGTACCAATTCTTCGGGAGCTGGATTCTCTCTTTCCAGCACGATTGACGGATCGTTCGCAAATTCGAATTTTAGTTCCCGGGTCTGGTTTAGGGCGCTTAGCATTTGATATTGCCGCTCAAGGTAAGAATGGCTGACACAGTCAAGTCTGAATATTGGAATACTAACTACTATAAAGGATTTTCTTGTCAGGGAAATGAATTTTCTTATTTCATGTTACTAACTTCACACTATATGCTAAACTGCGTATCTACTGTCAATGAGTTTACCATTCATCCCTATATACATTCTTTTTCCAACCATGTTACAAGAGATAATCAAGCAGCAGAAGTGGCCATCCCCGACGTGGTACCTGCCGAGTACCTTAATCAAGGGGCCTTCTTTTCGATGGCTGCTGGTGATTTTATAGAAGTATACGGAGACAAGTCTAGTGAGAATCAATTCCACGTTGTCGTCACCTGTTTCTTCATTGATACCGCAAAAAATGTCTTAAACTACTTGGACGTAATAAAGAATACTTTGGCAGATGGAGGTTACTGGATTAACGTTGGCCCCCTACTCTATCATTTCGAAAACGACTGCGAATCTCAGAATGAAAATCCAACCATTGAATTAACATTGGATCAACTCTTACATGTGATGGATTCTATGGGCTTTGAAGTGTTAAAACACGATTCCTGTACCACTAGTTATATGGGAGACAGCCGAAGCATGTTGGAATGGATTTATCACCCTCATTTTTGGGTAAGCCGTATCCAGAAGACAAATTTGCAGCATCTTGTAGCGTAGCCTAATTTCTGACAGAACTCTTTGTACATACAATAAAAGCATTATGTTTCATATCTACCTTGGTTCCATATAACGCGCATACTAAAATTTACATAGTCCTATCTTGACAAAATCTGAGCGTTGAATTCTACATACAGCGAGGAATCCTGTATTATACTTCTGAAGTCAAAAAACAGCATACATTTCATATAACATCATAATTAAAGAGCCTTGTTCATAAATCGTCTCTTACTGAAACAAGTCCACCACTTACTAGGGTGTGTCTTCTCCGAAGCATAAACATGGGACAAAAGACGGAAAGCTAATTCTTGGCGGAATTGAGTAAGGTAGCTACGCATCAATTCTAATAACTCGGTTAGCCATCGCTGGAAAACGACAGTGTAAAACTACTACTAATTAGAAAGCTTACCAGAATCCTGAGTCGATGTAGGAGGAGAATAAAGAGCGTTTAATGGAAATCCGGGAGAACCTGGGATAGAGAAGTTCTCAAGAGCAAGACTATTCAAGTGACGTTCAGCATCACGGCAGCTCATTCCAGTCAGTTTCCCTAAACACTCACTAATAAAGAGAGTTCCGTAAATGAGAGTACGGTCGGCAGGGCCCTTAATTTCAAAGTTACGGAAAAAGCAATTTGCACGGAAAAGGCTTATACATTCGTCAATGATATCCATTTGATTTGCATCAGCTAAACGAATAGTCAGAATCTTAAAATCAATCCTTCACAGAAAAAATTGCAAGATCCATGCAAGAAAGCTTACCTGGATAAGCAGGGCCACGGAATTTTGTTTTCAACGGCAACATAGCTAAATTGCCAGTAGTTGGTACATTAGGGATGCTCAAAAAAGAAGAATGATAAGCCTAAATCATAAAGGTTAGAAACATATTAAAAAACATCCCTACTTACAGGCATTATATAAAATTCTTTGCTGTATGTGTCTCTAGTTAAGTGCCTTGGGCAAGGGTAACTTGACCCACTACAAAATAACCTACTCAATATGATTATTTCGTCAGCGTTTAATTACAATATTGAGATTGTACTTCAGTTATATGTTATATATGAATTGCGCTATGGTTCAAATTTCTTGTTTAAATAGTTCTTTAAATAGAAATCTTTTTGTCTTTTTGATATGAATACACAAAGTTGCACATATAACCTAAGTATAAATAAGACAGCAGAACTTCCCTTGTATGATCTAATTATTATTATTATAATATATATGCTTTTAAAATTTGTAAATGCATACGTAAAATAATAATAATATGCATATTGCGTGTTATTATCATATGATTTTACCAAATAACAAACTGAAACGTTCTGTTTTGTTTGTTTTTCGGTATTCATACGTAAGTGCATTATTCAAATCATGTGGGAAAATTCATAGGAAATATATAAATTTTAGAATCAACTCCTTTCGGGAGTCTTAACATTATTTCCACCTAGAAAAGTAAGAAAAAACAAAAATAAATGGTTGCATATACATAGGTTTTGATAGTGCGTTTAGTATCTCTAAGCAGTGAAGGTCGTTTTTGACCTTACAAAAACATTGGCAAAAAGTCGCACATTTATCTTCTATTTTGGTTCAGAGTAATTTGTTAATTGCATTTCACTTTGTTTGGTTTTGTTTGTCTTTTATTTTTGTTTTATTTAATTGATCAAGGAAGCTTTATATATCGATCCGATTGTTTCCAAGCATAACATAAAGCATGGAGCAACTAGAAAAACGAAAAGTCGGTGCTCTCCAACGAATCCAAGAATTGTACCGACTAGGCGATAGTGAGTATCTGGAAGCGGCAGAACCCGTTGAAAAGGAATCCACTATAAAGGCAGAATCGAAAAGTCCTACTCCTGAACAAGTGGATCGTTATGGAAATATACGCGATGATGTGGGCTTGCTGAACATGGGATTCTATAAAATTAGCAAGGATCTATCATTACAGAAAGAGAGCAATTCATTTCGTTTGGGAAAAAAACTCATCGGTCGAGATGACTTGTCAAAGTATATTAAGGAAAGTGTTTTTTCCCCCATGACAAACGAACCTGAGAAAGATCAACAGTTATTATCAGAGCGCGAGCTGTCCCGGATTGAAAAGTGGAAGCATATGTGCACTATACATTTTGAGTCAGGAAATCAGCTTCATTCGTTCCCTATCACCAAAAAGCTTATTCAACGAACAATGAAGGGAATCCCTGATTGTTGGCGCTCAATAGCTTGGTGGTCGTTCTTAATGAATGATTGTCCAGATCCCGATCTCGTTAATTATTACTACGTAAGTTTTGTTTTCTTTCACTCAAACAGTGAAAACTAACTTCTCTATAGGAATTGTGTGATAAAATATGTGAGTATGATGTACAGATCGATTTAGATGTCCCCCGTACCGCGGCTACTCACTTTTTGTTTCGTAAGCGTTATAATGGTGGTCAACGACTATTGTTTCGAGTTTTACATTCTGTAGCTTTGTATCTTCCGCAGGTCGGCTATGTACAAGGAATGGCTTCTATCGCAGCCACCTTACTAATTTATTATCCTGAAGAGATTGCATTTATAATGATGGTTAATATGCTGCAACGTAGAGGAATGGGTGATCTCTTCTCATGCGGTTTTGATGTCTTACTAAACGCTTTTGATAATTTGAAGAGTGAGTTACAGTACCTACCTTCTGGGAAACATTTGTCTAATATTGGTGCCGAACCATCTGCATTTGCTACTCGCTGGTATTTGACAATTTTCCACCAGTGTGTGCCTTTTCATACCCAACTTCGTATATGGGACTTACTTTTTCTTCTAGGAGGTAATGAAGGACAGACTATAAGACTATTACAAGCGTCTTCACTCGCCTTAATACGAGGAATGTGGGATACCTTAATGGATGCTGATTTTGAGATTGTCATGCAAGCTTTATCAGGCATTATCCCTATTCAGAACGATGATGCATATTTGGCCCGCATACAGCACTACTGGCAGAAAATGCCTTCTGAATTAGCTATGAAAAAGTAGTTAAAAATTTGGAGCTTACAACTTCTCTATTTATCTTCTTGGTTTGCGTTACTTTGCATTGTATTTTAACATCTCATTCATGTTATATGTCTTTATCACTTTCTTTATAGTATTGGAGTTCTCTATTCTGGATTTTTTTTCCGTACCAATAATTTCCTTGATACCACCGGTATAGCAAGAGTCTATTTAATAAGCGTTTTATTGCTCTAGAATTAGGGAAGTCTAATGAATTCTGTTTGGTTTTATACAAGAAGTTTAGAAAAACAAACAAAAAATATTATTAACAAAAATGGGCAAAAATTAACCAGAAAATAAATAAAAAAATCACCATAGAGTAATCATAAGGTTAGTCTTCAGGAGAAGACCGATCCAAAGAAGAACGACCGCTACGGTTAAATTTACTAATAACGTCCCTCAAGCGTGATATATTTTCAGAAGTATCTTCAACAATCCAAGCTTCCGTTTCCAAATTAAGCAAGAATCTTTTGGATTTATTATCATCAAATCGTACTTCAACCGAAGGATTATATAAACTGACTTCTGCATCAATAAAAAATCTATCATTTTTCCCTTTAGTTATAAAAGCGCAACGACCCATGTTTGTTAATAGCATTACTCGAGACTTTTTTTTCAAAAACATCTTTGTAATTCCAGAGGGAAATTTACTTCCCTCTGGTAGAGGAGCAGTCAAACTCAGTAAGACAGCTGAAGATAGAACAACTGACTCGTTTGACGGAAACAACCTGTTATAAAACATATCCATTGACGGCTGATTACGCAAAGTAGCCTGCCCATAATGGGCAGGTGGGGAAGCAGATTTTCTGTTTGTTAAATTGCCCATTTTTTGATCAGAGACAAACTTCGGCTGATGCCTCACTATGGATGCAGAAGCATGGGCAGCTGCAGCACCAGCAGCTGCCGCTGCTGTCATATTTGAGCGATAGGTTGGTGGAAGCGAATTCACAGGAATGTGATGGTAATTAGGCCGAAAAGACTGTAGTGGAGGAGGGGTCTGGAAAAATAAATCATTCCATGAAATATCATGGAAAAAGGAAAATTGTTTCAACTCCCGGATAGATGGTCTTTCAGTTGTTTGCAAACGAAAGATAGACGTAAATAACGGAACCATCTCAATTGGCATAAGTTTAGGTAAATCATAATCCAAACTCATTATTTTTCTAAAAATAACACCAGGATCTCTACCATGAAAAGGAGGAGACCCAGTAATCATCTGGAAAACAACACAAGCAAATGCCCAAACATCCGAACTAGAAAGAGTTAATTAATCACCTCAAGTTATAAAGCAATAACGAAACTTACCTTTTAGAAACTACTTGTTTCGAAAGTAGCTCTGGTGCAACGTATTCCGCGGTACCAACGAATGAACTCGAAAACATTGTGGAATCCGGACTATTAGCGTACTTTGGCGGAAGTATTTTAGCTGTACCAAAATCTGTGATTTTAATATGCATATTATGATCAAATAAAATACTGCGAAACTGTTAGCTGATAGATGACGATACCCGAACTTACTTTTCTGGTTTCAAGTCGCGATGTATAATACCGCAGGAATGCATAAACTCTATACTTGAAAGGATCTCGGCAGCATAAAATTGAACCGAAGCTTCATTCAAAAAGCGATACTAGAGAAAACAGTTAATATATACATTCCGATAGAAGGGCACGTGGCAAAGAATACTTTTGGCCTAATCGTAAAACAAGCAAATTATACCTTTTTTATGTAGTGCAATAGCTCACCATTGGGAGCGTACTCAAGAACATAATAAAGCTTCAAATCATCCTGAAATGTGTGAAATAAGCGGGCTATTCCAGGATACCCGTTAAGTCGCATCATGGAATCACGTTCAATATTAACATATTTGACCTTATTTTCTTTGACTATGTAACGCTTGTCCAGCACCTTTATTGCATATTCCTTCCAGCTACGCTTGTCAGTAGCCCTTTTCACCTGAATTGTAAGTAAAATTGTTTTTAGATCCAAATATTTTAATCAGTAATTTACCTTTGAGTACGACCCATCACCAATGATGTCTCCGAAAATATAATCGTTTGGGGTTTTCGCACTACCGATGTGACTGGAAGAATGTTTAGGCAAAGAGCGATGATAGTCGGTTTGCTTATTAACTGCACCATGGTCAAAATAATCAGGATCGGCATAGTCTGGCAATGCACTCATTGGGACACGATTTCGATCCAAATCCATCTTACTCTACAGCTTCTCAGGCATATAAGTTGAATAGTACTATTAAAGACCGTTGATATCGTAAATCGAGAATTCTGAAAAGTAGAAAAAATAACAGTAGTATAAATAAAAAGAACGTCTAAAAAAAGAATGAACAAACAAGCTAGTGTACTTGTTAACTTGTCGAAATGGCGTTGTGTAATGTGGTTAGCTGTTGGCAAGTGTAAACAGAGCAGGTAAAAATCAATCCTGATGTATCGGCTGTCATCCTTACATCACTCTCAAAATGAAGTAGTAAACAAACAAAAGAAAATAAACTAAAAATATTGTTGCTTGATAGGAATTAATCAATAGTTTTTATTGAATTAAAACAAAAAGAAGATAAAAATTTTTTATTGTTGCTGCAGTAGCAATAAATACTGTAAACGATATATTAAAGTGAATTGAAGTAAGCGTATGTATAAGTGAGCAAATTGTACATTGTCACCAAAGAATAGCATCTGTTTCAAATCAGGTTTATCTACAAACCTTTTTTTATATTGCTTCCTAAGTTTTTCATATTCATGAAGCATTCAATTTTGTACGCAATCAACGAACCATTAGTTCCCTACCTTTAATGAGACGGAGACTGGTTAAATTTATTGATTTATTATATAAACGAGCTAAAAATGTATTCATAGACATGCTTCTGTGTCATTATTAGCGAAACACTCGTCCAAAGAAAAAGTATCATTCTAGAGAATTATCATGGACTCTTAATATAATACCGAAGAAACACTCTGGACGATTCCTTTTTACATGGCAAGATATTTGGATTACTATTAAAATGAGTTTTTTATGTGCATAATATTGCTGAAAAGCAGAGGAATTACCTCGCTGGTCACGTCTTAGCTATTTCGTAGCTTGCTTACTCCTGATACTCAGTGGTTTAATCGGAATACTTTTTTGAAGTTAATAAAGAAAAAAAATAAAATATTATTATATTTTGAATCTAAAAGAATTAAACGTAAGAAAGGACAGTAATTTAAGAAAACCTATTTTTCCTTATAAAGTACAAGTTACAACGTTACCCAGTAAAGTTGCATACTTCCATCCTTGTACTTGCACTTCACCTCTACCGATATACATCAAAGATGGCTACTAGTGTAACAGATCCGTTGAATGTTGATATTAACTCTATAAAAAAGGGGTAAGGAATTCATATCTATGGGTATGCTAACATACAGTGAAATTCGTATGGGTACAACCATCACGGCCCTTAAATACAACGAAGGAGTGATTCTGGCCGCAGATTCTAGGACAACAATGGGTACGTATTACATGGATGAAGTGACTATCTTTCTTTCGGAAGCTAACTCTTTCATTTAGGTGCTTATATTGCCAATCGAGTGACGGACAAATTGACTCAACTGACTGATAATATTTGGTGCTGTAGAAGTGGATCTGCTGCAGACACTCAAGCCGTGGCTGATATTTTGAAATATTATCTTTCCATGTACGAGTAAGTATTATTATGAATCGACTTGGCGGTGTTTGCGATGGATATCAGGTTGTGGATCTTTCGTAGACCCTTATACCTTGAAATTATGACTAGATGCTAACGTATTTCAGAGTTCAATATGGTATAACTCCTACTGTTCATACCGCAGCTACTTTGGCTTCTGAGATGTGCTATACAAATAAGAATATGTTGAGTGCTGGTCTCATTATCGGTGGCTATGATGAAAAGACTGGTGGTGAAGTTTACAGTATTCCTCTCGGTGGAAGTCTTCATAAGCAACCCTTAGCGATTGGAGGTAGTGGTTCAGCGGTATGTTTGTCCAAGTAGAATTTTACGAACTGATTACTGACTTTGCGTGCTAGTTCATTTACGGTTTCTGTGATGCAAACTTTAAAGAAAATATGACAAAGGATGAAGCAGTTGAATTCCTTAAGTTCGCTGTCGCCCTTGCTATGGAACGTGACGGCAGCAGTGGCGGTACTATTCGAATGGTTATCTTGAATAAAGAAGGAATGGAGCGTAAATTTTTTGCCATTAATACCGAAAATCCTATTCCTCGCTTCTACCGATAATTTTCTGCCCACCTTATGATTTAGTAAGCGTGTGGTTATACTTATGCATTTTTTTAAGTGGATTACTAAACACAATACCTTTCCATGACTACTCACTACTCATTTTTAGAGAAATTGTTGACTATAACGACCCATTCAATGCAAATAGAATTTATACATTTCCTTCTATACATTTTTGGAATCGGGATCTATAACTATAAAAATTCAGTTAACCTTTCCAGCACTATAAGTAAAAAAAAAAAAGTAAAAAAAAATAAATATAGTATTCTGATTATAGTAAAAATATTCACTACAGAATTTCTAAATAGCTAATTAAAATATGCAAACATAGCCAAGCCATTAATGAGATGAGAAAAAATGTTAAAACAGCATCGGAGAATCGAAAAATTTGAGTCGACATAATAAAGAAATAAAAGATATTAAAAAAATTTAATAATATTTTTCCATGAACAACTTCGTATCAGATAGTTAGTTCTCGCTCTCGTAATTATAAAAGGCAGTCATTTCACCAAATGCTTGACTCCATTCTGCAGCCAACACAGAAGGAAACAATTGATTGTCGTGCTCCCAAAACTTCCCATGAGCCGCGCGAATATAAGGCAGATCTTCATCTGTAATCCAAACCCCATTATAGGAAAAGTCAATCCTTGTCCAAGGGAACCATCCATATGCATTATAAGCTAAATTCAATAAACTTTGCTCCATCATTCTAGCATATTCATACATGTAGGGATACCGAGCTATCATCTTTATACGATGAAGATGAAGTTTGCTGGGATGAACAAGCATCAGACCCGCGTTGAATGTGTCTGATGGTTCGGGAGGAGTAGGATGACCAGGGTTACGGTCATCTGAAGCAGCAATCAAGTAAGGATAAAACTCTTCCTTCGAGCTTCCGTACAATTCGAAATTATCAATAAATTGATAGTCTTCATCGTCATCATCATCGGGCTTTTGAAACAAAGGAAGCCGATTAGTATCCAGTGCTTCTGGAGATGTATATCTGTATGGTGTTTGGAAAATATCGTCAATGTTTTTTCGGATAAGCAAATCACTGTCTAAAATGCAAACCTTATCGAACTGAGTCTGTTCGAAAACACTCAGTTTTGTAAACATATACTCATACCGGTTACTACCTGGAGTAATGGATTGACCTTCATCTACCAAATCTTCTGTTCGCACTCGATCCACCATAATGATATTTGCACCATCTTTGCGTAGGCGATCAATTTTCCATTCATCCACTCCTTTCATAACAAGTATATGAACTGGATATTGGCTTTTTGTTTCAGGATGATGAATTAGCCGGTAGACCAGCAATCTAGTCGCGTTGAAGTACACATCATCATCAGAAGTAGGAAGTGTCAAAAGTCCCATATATGTGTATCGACTTGGATCATCACTAACTTGGTTGTGGAAAGGACCATGCTTGCTTAATCCTAGCTCATAGGCTGCTGAATTTATCAAAGAAGAGGCCGGGTATACATGTAGTACGAACAGTAGGCCAAGGTTCATAACTATTAAAAATGCAACAAGAAGTAATTTTGAGCGAAGAAGTGCCTTCGACACAAACTTTACTCGATTCCATAAATCCATATTGTAACGACTTAATTAAACCTTGGAGTGAACACCTGTTAATGCAACCGATAATTGAAAAGAAAACTATTGTAACCGTCTATCTAGAGTTTCTCTAAGGATTTCATTAATTGTGCGTTATGAGGCGTCCACAACAGGATTATAACTACTTAACGGAGTGATGGTAGTGTAGTCTGACGGAGGAAGACAATTATAGGAATAAATAACTACATCTCCTACAGCCATCCTTTCAAAGTTATAAATCGATAACTATTTATTTTAATTAATAAGTAAATGCATAGAGCAAATTTTTCTATAGCATTCTGATATCGTTTACTTGAATCTCTTGTGAGTTAAAAGAACACTAAGAAAAGGGTTACAGGATTACTATTCCCTCATCTTTTTTAATAAAAAGGGGTTTTCATTATTTGAGTCAAAAAAGGATAGAATATCATCCCATTATTACCTTTGTAATAATTTGTGTAAAGCGGAACAGGAATAGCGATGATATATATGCCCTTTTAAAGTCGACAACTTGCTTATTGAAAAAAGGTCTTAACTTAAAAAAATTAGTGAAATAATGTTGAGACAATAAATAAGCCGGTCTTTTCATTTGAAGGTAACATGCGTTAGTTTGTCCGAGCTACTTCCATCCTAATGTGCTTGCCAGGCAGATATGCTATAATGTTCCTTATAAAAGTGATCCATTTCACGAAAGGCCCTCCACCAAAGGGAGGATGTATCTGGATCGTACCCCATACTTCCCTCTTCTTGCCAAAGCTTTCCGTGAACGTTTTTCAAATACGCAAGATCAGATTTACGAGTCCACACGCCATTATAGGTCCAATCTAAAGGCTGCCATGGGAATTCGCCGGCTGAGCTGTATGCAAAATTCAGCAAACTTTGTTCCATCATGTTTGCTTTATCGTACATTTTAGGAAATCTAGCCAGAGTCATTAGACGCTTATAATGCGCCGTTGATGGGTGAAAGACAAATAAACCTGCATTGAAGTAGTCTTGAAACTGGGGAGGAGTGTCGTGCCACGAACCAGGATCAGAAACGGCGGCAAAAACATACGGATAAAAATCTTTTCTTCGAAGATCGTAAGCAGAAAAATCCTCCCTGAATCTTTTCCCATCCAAGAACCTGCGTAGTTTATTTAGAAGCTCAAAGGAGCTGAGGTAGGCAGAAGTTTGTTCACGAACATCAAAAACTTCGTCCATATTTCTGATTGGAAGAATATCACTGTCTACGAAGCATAGGCGCTCGTATTCGTACATTTCAAAGATGCGCAATTTGGTAAACATCCTGCTCCATCTGGTATCTAGGACCGCCATGTCATTAACATTATCAACGACATCCTGCGCATACAAGGGATCAACCACTTTGACTATAGCTCCGTCCACCTTGAGCTGCTCCACTTTCCAATCCTCAACTCCTCTTGTAGCCATTACGATGACAGGGAATTTGCTCTTTGTTTCAGGATAATGCGATAGCCTGTATACTAATAACCTTGTTGCATTGTAATACCAATCTTGTACTGGTTGATTATTTTCATCGGCTGTCACAGATGAAGCCAGTAGCATAGTAACAAACGCAAAAGGCTTGGCGGGAGAACGACCCGCCAGGGAATTGATAGAACGCTGGATATCTGGACTATTTTTGTAAACATACAAGCATTCCCAAGTCAAGACCAGGAATAACACCGAAGCCAAAAGGAAGACGCAATATCTTTTCGCTTGGCGCGTAGATATAGGATTTGGAAAGGGCGTCGAGGAAATCATATCAATAAAGGCGATGAATCACCAATTGGAGCTGTTGTACTGGCCCAAAGTGGCCCTGACCAACGAAACTATCAGTGTAAACAAATAGGTATTTGAGGAAAGCAAACTGGTAGACCGCAAAAGTATATTCCAAAACTTTTGAATATGTTTATATAAATTTTTTTTTTATTATTATTATTTTGTAGTGTGTAAAAGAGTTTTTAGCATTGTATGGGGTACGAGATGATTCGCTTTAGTACATTTGTAAACAAAAACATAACAGAGAATCTACAATACAACTCACAAGCATCCCAGACAATTTATATAAATAAATCTACTAGCTAAAGGTCTAATCATTCCTTCCAAATAAACATAATATGCTCTTCGTTTTCAAAACCCGAAATGGAACCTAAATTTATTTATAATGTTTTAAGCATCTTAAAATGGAGACTATCTACTACCAAGTATGAGGTTTTGAAATAAACAATAGAAACCTATTAGTGATCAGTTTAGAATACGACAGTCGTCAGCGTTCACTTTTAGAAAAGGAGAATAGTATTATCCATTACCCCTTAAATAGTAGACAACCCACTTAATCAGTGAAAGAAATCCATCAAAACTTCCTTATACTTTAAGGAAGCACATTCAAACGTGAGGCAATATCAATCTGGGTACGAAGGGTATTGGCAAGGTAAACAACGACCAAGACGTCTTGCAAGTGAGAAGAAAAGATTTTCTCAAACTCTTGTCCCTCAATGCTAGGAACAAGACTGAGACATCTTACCAAGTATCTACCGACAGCAACGTTGGCAGGAGAGGAACCATCAATAACATTTTGAACGTAGTCTGAAACTCGCTCAATCATTGAGAGAACTTCCAAAGTGGAGCGCTTTAGTTGTTGGAGGTCAGTGAATAAACCAGCAATACGGGAAGGATCATTCTTGGGAGCAGCGATGGCCTTCAAACCAGAACGAATAGCTTCGTTCTCCCGAATGCTATAAGGAGTAGGGACAAAAGCACAGCTATCGGCAAGTCTTTCGGTGATTCCAACAGGGGAGGAAAGGTAGGTTTGTATGCTTAAAGGAGTGCTCACATCGGTATCAACAGTTAAATGGATACAGGGATGAGGGTAAGTGCCTAAAGCAGGAGAACCTTGTTCAGGGGGAGAGGCATAAAGGTTTTGGATCAAGGCACTAAACGCATCTAAATCTGACGATGTAGCATACCAACCCACAACTACTTCACGGGGATTAGCCTTTAAGTGCAAGTGGTACATAGTTCTGTGATATTCCATTTCTACTTCGACTTGTTCGCTACTCTCATTGTGAGGGACAGCAAAACAACTCTTTACTTCAATTTCGCGACCATCTTCAGAGCGAATTCCTAACAAAGTACCGATCACTCTTTGGTTGTTTTCACTTCTTCTGGTGGAATGGTCAAGAATGGAAAATAAAACCGAAGGATCAATTACAACATGAACAGGGCCTGCCTTAGAGTGTGGCTTCCCCAAATGAAGTGCATGTTTTGCCTCTAAAACCATTTTCCAAAATTTTTTGTGGTTGGCTACACTCAAGTTCAATACTAAGTAAGATTGCTAAGTTTGAGATTTAGCGTACTTCTTTGGAACACACTGTAATATATAAAATACTTTCTAAAACTCATGAGTATAGCAAAGGCGTAGGTAGGAAAGGAAGAAAATGAGAAGAATAGATGTTATTCAAAAACAAAAACAAAGACTAAGAGACAATGATAAATAAACATAGATAAACTAAAGAAATGACTACTCTAAGCAAAACTTTTATGGAAATGACAGCAAGCACATCAAGTTCATTAGCGAAGGTCAACAGAAAGACATCTAGAGAAACGACTAGTAGTCGAAGTATGAAAAGAACACAAAAATGAGAAAGCATTTCTTTATTATGCGTAAAGTATACAATCACGGATTTGCGAGGTGTAAAATGTGGGAACTTCCTTCTCTTCGTAAGCACTTTCCAGAACAGACCTATGGCTTGAACTAGGACTCTCAAGTTCAGGTCGTTCCAGTAGCGTTACCAAACCAGAATTATTTGATTTATGGTTTACTGTAAATTGCAAACCAACTACCGGTTTTCGAACAGCGGCACTTGGACTAACATCAAAGCGAGCTAGCACTTTGAATCCGGAAGAAGGAACCGTAATGTCAGAAAAAGAAAGCTTGAGCTTACTAGTTTTCCTACTAAACTCTCCAGCAGGAGAACTCTGACAACCTTTGACTATAATGTTTTCACCCAAATATACACTCATAACGAGTTTTTTGATAAAAAGAGTGTTTCCAATATCCTTCCATGCTAAATTAGGCTTTACAAAAGCAATCATACTGCTGGCAGTCTCTTCGTGTTTCCACTTTTGAGCAACAGTCAAAGGAATGCAACGAGCACCATTCACACTATCCAACTGCAAGTCATACTTTAAAGCAGGATTAGGTGTTTCCAGCTTGCTCGTGGATACTTGGAAACAGTCATAAGAAGAAGAAGGGTGAACACTGTATTCATCCTGCAATTTGATAGCTAATGGAAAACTTGAAGCAAGTCGAACGCCGACTACTTTACTCAACTGACCAACAATTGCTGCGTATTTCAAATAAACGGTTCCAGAGCAAGATGGACGTAATAATCCTGCATCCGTGAGTTCACCCGAGAAAGTTTCTATAATGGCTGCAGACAAACCAGCAGCCTTCGGTAATTCCGGAAGCCAACCAAGAATTGGCTCTCGATGATCCAGTGACTGTAGAGATGATGTTGAAAGGTTAGGCAAACTACTTAAGTCGCTCAATTGGTCCGCTGAAGATGAGGTCTTTGAGCGTCCCATAGAACGATATCTGCTCAAGCTGGTGTTCCTTCGAAGACTGCCACTAACGCTGTCAATGGCAGCTTTGTCGTTTCCAGATACTTGTTTGTTTTTAGTTGACAAAGTCGGCGAGTTTGCTGAAGGCGAAGAAGGAACTGGGATGGCAGGACTAAAATCACTCGGATCAGAAAATGGAGTACCGCTCTCCTTGATCCGTTCCTTACTAGTTTGAGGTTCAGCGTTCTGGAAGTTTTCATCGAGATTTTGTGAGATATTATTCTGTTCACCTGAATCAGGTTGATCTAGTGAAGGACTGAATCGGTTTCTATCTGACATATTCGGTCGAATGGTATCTTCATTTTCATCTTCCGATGCCCCATGGTCTGCTTGAAAGTCTTGCGCAGGTCTACCGATTGAAGATGCATAAGACTGTTCGGATAAAGAGGGAACACTACTGTTGGTACCAGGAGATGAGACCAATCTTTTAGATTCTTTGTTAGAATCCTTTCCCTGTTTGTTGAAGAGATTACTTAGCTTGTTCGAATGAGGAGACTTCGGAGACGATGCATTACTTTTCTTAGCTGTTTTCCGGCGGAACAAGGTCGTCACACGACTCTTCAATGAACTTTCCCCGCCATGTTCCTTAACTTTGTCGTCGGTGGAAGATAGCGGCGAACCTGCTGCTTCAGTATTTGATGCAGGTTCGGAAAATAACGTAGCAGATTCGGAAAACTTTTTAATCTCTTTTTCAATGGGTAATTCCATATAAACCTCCATAGATTTGGAAAAAAGATCCTGATGTGAGGAACAAGCATCACTTTGCAAGCTAGCGATTGATAAATATACTTGTTTAAGCATTAATAAATGTTCTTCATCCAAGTTTTCCAGTTTTTCAAAAGCCAAAGGAGCTTCCGCATCCCAATTAGCTCTTGAATTTAAGGTATCGGATTTGGAAACCTTTGATAGTTTCTTTAATCCTTGATTTGGCGATATCTCATTAGCAATATTCGTCAAACGCTCGGCAAGTTTCCGAGCTGAGGCAGTTTGCGGAGAGCTGGTATAGTACTCTAAGAGAGGCTTATAAATTTGCGAACTCATTTGATGCGTCATTTGGTTACGATATTTTGCAGTTTCTAGTGTTTCCGCCTCCAACTGCTTCCACGCGTCATGAAAGCTCATAGACTGAGAATTGATATTCTGCATATTCATTGCTAGTTTATGCAGATTCGCCGAATATTGTTTTTCAATCTCTGCGCGCTCACGAATCCAGTATCCCAACACGTCGTTGTCTGAACGAACCTGTTCCAACCTCTGCCGATACAAGGACATGCTGTCCTTCGGAGAACAGTTCGACTACTTCGTTAGATGATGTTTTCTTTAATAACAATAACTCTTACCAGAAACGCTGTAACATATTCCGTTTTTGTCAACGAGTCCATTGTGATGATGGGTGCGGTGTGTGTGGTAGTAAATTGAACTACCAAATGTAACAGGTAAAGAGCGGAGGGTCAGTAGACAATTTCTTCGTTATACAAGTACAATTTCAGGAATATCATGATAAAAGCGATTTTATTGAAATATTCTTAAAATTTAAACATGATGGCCTCCGTTATAAGCGTTCATGGATACCTTCTTGTAAGGCGTTTCTTTACTTGAAAGGAGTATATTTGAATCCAACAATTCCAATTAAAATATGAACTAAGTCCTTACAAATATTCAGTGGAGGTCTCCAGTCTATACAATACTGTAGTTTAAGCATGTTTTTCTGTAAAACGCCTATTTCAGACTCGCTCAATTTATCATTTACAAATTATCCGACTGTTTCTTCGTTCATAATTACTGAAACAGCAAAATTCACTTCTACCGGTAATGAGAATGAAAGTAATTGATCCACGATCAGGTTTCTGATGAAACTTCTTTTCTTTGAAAAGTAAAACAATTAAATGTTGAAACAGACAATTATTTCATATTAAGAACGTTTCTACTGCAAACAAAGTCAGTATTGTCGCATAATCATAGAATATATTTGTTCAGAATAAACGTTACCCAGAGATGTTACCTCAACATAATCTGTTACTAAATTTAACGAACTACTGCGTGTGTAAAACCGAAATTTTTTTAAAAGAATTCACTCACATCTTCACCGGACTTTAGCAAAATACTGCCATCGGAAAACGGTTCCTTTCGTACAGCACCAACGAGGTCTGTAGGTGGATTATATGTGCAAAATCATATATATGAAAAAATAATATTATGAATATTGCACGCCCGATTTCTTCGGAGGTGAAAAATGTCACCTTTGGGATTTACGATGTTGAACAGATTGAAAAGATATCTGTAAAACAAATTATAAATCCAGTTTTATTTGACAATTTAAACCATCCTACCAGCGGAGGTTTGTACGATTTGGCTTTAGGACCTTACTTGAAAAATTCATTATGTGCAACATGCCATTTGGATGAGCGATACTGCCCTGGTCATTTTGGCCATATCGTTCTTCCTACACCCGCATATCATCCTTTGTTTTTCTCTCAAATGTACAATTTGCTTCGTTCTACATGTCTTTACTGCCATCATTTCAAGCTTTCGAAAGTAAAGGTTCATCTGTACGGATGTAAGCTTAAGCTGCTAGACAATGGCTTGTTGAATGAGTCGCAATTAGTTGAGAATGTCAGCCTTACTGAGGCTGCTATTACTAAACCAAAATCTGCATCCGGTACTGAAGGTGGTAGTGATAGTGAGGACAGTGGTCTTGGTAACGACGACATCGCCAAAGATGCTTCTACTTTGATGCGCTTGCGCGATGAATACGTGAACCGTGCCATTGCTGAAGCAAAAGGAAATGTTCACGTTGATTCTCATACCACTACTATTCTTTTACACGAAAGGAAGAAAGTTGTACGTTCTTTTTACCGTGACATTACCTCTCGTAAGCAATGTGATAATTGCCAATCGTTCTCTCCCAACTTTCGTAAAGAAGGATTCGCTAAGATTTTTGAACTCCCCTTAAGCGGTAAAAACTTGCAATACATGGAACAGACCGGCAAAATCCGTTCCGATGTCCTTCGTGACACCAGCAAGAAAGATACTGAAGATGAAGGATATGAAGGAGAATCCGATTCCAACGATGATGAGGGCGAGGGCATCGATTTGATGGAAGAGGACGCTAACCCCATGAAAAAGAAGTCCAAGGTGTCCGCTGCTCACGGTGCAAAGTATATGACCTCTACTGAGGTCCGCAACCATTTACGTCGTCTTTTTGGTAAAGAGAGCTCTGTCCTTACACGCTTATACTCTCACAAGCGTGGCAGTGCTGCTACTGCCGACATGTTTTTCCTTCAAAACATTGCCGTTCCTCCTACACGTTTCCGTCCTGCTTCTAAAATGGGAGACGAGGTACATGAGAACATTCAAAATGAACTTTTAACAAAGATCCTACAATCCTCTATTCAAATTGCTGCTTTAAGCAAGGATACCAATGTTCCTAAGAGTGCTGAAGATAAGGAAGCTTATGAGCGCGGTTCTCGTGCTTTTGAGCTTTTGATCGGCGCCTTTGTTCAACTTCAACATGATGTTAACAGTCTTATCGACAGCAATCGTAATCCTTCTCAGATGGGTCAATCTAGAATGGTTCCACCGGGAATTAAACAAATTTTAGAGAAGAAAGAGGGTTTGTTCCGTAAACACATGATGGGTAAGCGTGTCAACTATGCTGCTAGATCTGTCATTTCTCCTGATCCTAATATTGAGACAAACGAAATTGGTGTTCCACCTGTGTTTGCTACGAAGCTCACTTATCCCGAGCCAGTTACTCTTTATAACTTTAACGAGATGAGAAATGCCGTTGTCAATGGTCCTCACAAATGGCCCGGTGCAACTCATATTCAAAATGAAGACGGTACTCTTGTTTCTTTAATGCCTCTTACTACTGAGCAACGTACTGCACTTGCCAACCAGCTCTTAACACCTCAAAGCAATTTAATTTCTTCCCCTTACTCTTATTCCCGCCTTGTTAACACCAATAAGAAGGTTTACCGCCACGTTCGCAATGGTGATATGCTAATTCTCAATCGTCAACCTACTCTTCATAAACCCTCAATGATGGCCCATAAAGCTCGCGTTCTTCCAGGAGAGAAGACTATCAGAATGCATTATGCGAATTGTAACTCTTATAACGCTGATTTTGATGGTGATGAAATGAATATGCACTTTCCTCAAAGTGCTAACGCTCGTGCGGAAGCTCAATTTATTGCTAATACTGATTCCCAATACTTAGTTCCTACTTCAGGTGACCCTCTTCGTGGTTTAATTCAAGATCACGTTGTTATGGGTGTTTGGCTCACTTGCAAAGATACATTCTATACGCGTGACGAATATCAACAATTGCTCTACCAAGCTTTGAAGCCCGATGAGACTGGATTGTTTGGAAGAATTAAAACAGTACCACCCGCCGTTCTATCTCCCAAAATTTATTGGACAGGAAAACAAGTAATTTCTACTATCTTATTAAACCTGAAGCCTTCAGATCGTCCTGGATTGAATCTGAGGGGTAAGGCCAAGGTTGCTGGTAAATATTGGTCTCCGAACTCTGAAGAAGGCACTGTCTTGTTTGAGGACGGCGAGTTGCTCTGCGGTGTTCTCGACAAGTCGTCCTTTGGTGCTTCTTCCTTTGGTATTGTACATTCCGTTCACGAGCTTTATGGTGCTGATATTGCTGGTCGTTTGTTGTCTGTTTTGAGTCGTCTTTTTACTGCATACGCTCAAATGCGTGGCTTCACTTGCCGTATGGATGACTTGCGACTTGGGGAGGTTGGTGACGTCTGGCGCAGAGAACTTTTAGATGGCGGTAAAGGCTTGGGTCGTGAAGCTGCCAGCGAGTATGTCGGATTGCCCTCGGACGCTAATCTCTCCGTTCTTAACGCCAATTTAGAAGAAGTGTATCGTGATGATGAGAAACTACAAGGTTTGGATGCTACTGTGAAGGGCAAAATGAATGGTCTTACTTCTTCTGTTATTAATAAATGTATTCCTGATGGATTACTCACAAAGTTCCCACAGAATCACATGCAAGCCATGACAGTATCCGGTGCTAAAGGAAGTAATGTCAATGTATCACAAATTTCTTGCTTGCTTGGTCAACAAGAATTAGAAGGTCGTCGTGTACCAGTTATGGTTAGTGGTAAGTCACTTCCATCTTTCCTGCCTTATGAAACTTCTGCCAAGGCGGGTGGCTTTATCGCTAGTCGTTTCTTAACCGGTATTGCTCCCCAAGAATACTTCTTCCATTGTATGGCTGGCCGTGAAGGTCTTATCGATACTGCCGTGAAAACATCTCGATCCGGTTATCTTCAGAGATGCTTAATGAAACATTTGGAAGGTCTTAATGTTGAATATGATCATACTGTTCGAGATGCTGATGGTTCAGTTGTTCAATTCTTCTACGGTGAAGATTCTTTAGATGTTACCAAGCAGAAGCATCTTACGCAGTTCGAATTTTCCGCCAGGAATTACAAGTCATTAATTCAAAAATACAAGGTTAAGTCCGTTTTGTCTGCTGTTGACTCCGAAAAGGCTTCCTCTTATGCTAAAAAGGCACTTAAGAAACCTCATAAATATGATCCTGTCCTGGACAAATACCCCCCTAGTAGATACCTGGGAAGTGTATCTGAGAAGTTTCAACGTGCTGTTGATGACTACACTCAAAAGAATCCTGATAAATTGATTGCCGGTAAAAAGGAGAGCAAACAGGATGAGTCCTTGTTGAACGAAGCCAAGTTTAAGGCATTGATGCAATTGCGTTACCAGCAATCGCTTGTCGATCCTGGTGAAGGTGTTGGTGTCTTGGCTAGTCAATCCATTGGTGAACCCTCCACACAAATGACGCTAAACACTTTCCACTTTGCAGGATTTGGTGCTAAGAACGTTACTTTGGGTATTCCTCGTTTGCGTGAAATTATTATGACCGCTAGTGCTAACATCCAAACCCCACAAATGACTTTGCGCTTGAATGACAATGTTTCGGAAGAGCGCTCTGCTGCTTTCTGCAAGGAGGTTAACAAGCTTGTTTTATCCGAACTTGTTAAACAAGTTCGTGTTGTTGAAAGAATTTCCGGTCAAGGATCTGACGAACAATCAAAATCATATGCTATTCATTTAGATTTGTATCCTCGTAAGGAGTATGAAGAAGAATATGGAGCGCAACAGGAAGAAATTGAACGCACTGTAAGTTCGACTTTCCTACGTGTTCTTAACAGAAACATCAAGGGTTATCTTTCCAAGACGAGACAGAGGAAGTCTGCTGGTGATGAGTCTTCTCCAGAAGTTGGTGAAGCTTTGAGGCCTCTTGAGGATATTGCTGACGCCCCTGTTGAAGGTGCTGCTCAAGAATCTTTGGAGGATGAAGATAATGACGCTACTAATGAGAAGATGGCTGCACGTTCGAAGCAACACGCTTCTTATGAAGGACCTGATGAGGGCGATAGGGACGCTTTGCGTGATTTTAAGAAATCACAAAAGGAAGAAGAAGAAATGGATGAGGATGATGGCTTCAAATCTGACGAAAGTGTTACCGATTACAAGGAGCGCAAACAAGCTGAAAAATTGAAGGCTTCATCAATCAACGAGAAGCGAGCCTTTAACTTACAAACTGCACAAACAGTTCTCCCTAACTGTAAGAACGTTGACTTTGATTATCAAAATGGTGAGTGGGCCACTGTTGAGTTGGTATTCCCCATAAATACTGAAAAGTTGTTGATGGTCTCGTTAGTAGAAGCCGCTTGTGCGCAAACCGTTGTCCATGAGATTTCTGGAATTACTCGTTGTTTCCCTAAGCCTCCTGACTCTGCCATGGATACCGTCCCCAAGGTCATCACCGAAGGTGTAAATTTGAAAGCTATGTGGGAGTTTTACAACGAAATCTCTATGAATGATATTAGCACTAACGATATCGCTGCAATTCTTAGAATTTACGGTGTTGAAGCAGCCCGCAATGCTATTGTCAATGAAGTTTCTGCAGTTTTTGGCGTGTATGGTATCGGTGTCGATAGTCGCCATCTTTCCTTGATTGCTGATTACATGACTTTTGAAGGTGGTTACAAAGCATTTAACCGTATGGGTATTGAATACAACACTTCACCTTTTGCTAAGATGTCATTTGAAACCACTTGTCATTTCCTTACGGAAGCTGCTTTAGCTGGTGATGTTGATACTTTATCTAATCCTTCAGCACGCCTTGTAATGGGTCAAGTTGGTCGATTCGGTACTGGTAGCTTTGATCTTTTGACACCTCTCGTCGATTCTGCCGCTAACTGATTGAATAATCTGCATAAAAAAAGGACTTAATATTTGACATTGTCGAATCTATTGGAATCATATTGATAGGATTGTTAGAATTTTTTACTGAATTCAAAGGGTTTTTGGTATAATTTTTTGTTATATATATTGAATTTAGACAAATAAAAATAAAGGTTTTTTAAGGATATATATGAAGGGACAAAATATTCTCCAAACGGTCTGACAATTACACTTTCTTTTCTCATAATTTACTAAGTTATAATTATAAAACTTATTAATTAACAAACTTATTAAAAATGTTACGAAACTGTATTAAAACATAGTCGACGACTGTCTTGCCAACTGCGGCATCTTTCGTTTCGTGGGAGAAGGCAAATAATTATCGTCCTGGGCAATGGAAGCCCTAGCTAAGGATAGACTGCTCGGAACATGTTTGCGTCTCACCTCACGCCTAATTGGAGAAGCTTTTATAGGGCTAAACACATTAGATGGGATAGCATCACAGTTAAACATGTCCATTGCCTCCAAAAAATCACCGTCAAGCATATCAGAATTATTAGCCCATTGTGGCTTGCTGGGAGTCTCCACAAAGGAAGAATCGCTTTCTTTCGGCTTCTCCAAATCTGACTTAAATCTTTCATTTTTTATAATTGATTGCAAACTGTGAGACAGGATGTCTTCATTGGCTGCAGCCGAAGGCCGGAATGGAGTCAAATTCCAAGAGTCTGTTTCGGTAGAGACTGCAATATTATTAAACTGTTTCGCATCTGGAGTTGCTAGCATTTGTAAAATGCGATTTCGATGTTCCTTTAAATTAGTGGATGGGCTAGCAGACTGTGTACTTGAATCAAACTTCAAAGGGGATAGAAGGGAAGACTTATTATAATCATTAATAGACATATCATCACATAAGGAAAGGGCTCTGGGGCACAATGTACGCGGAGGAGTAGGAAGATCAATGGAAAGAGATCGCTTTGTTTGTTTAAAAGCGCTAGGCTTATGAGTTGGAGAGGCGGGAAGCGATGTCGGAAGATCAGTATCCTCCCTTCGACAGGCTGAAGAAATATTTATTTCATCCCCAAAATTTTCATTATCGGATGTAGCAGTGTTTGTATCAGAAGCAAATTCGCTTGGCGCAGCCCCTTCTAGCGACAATGGTGAAGCTCGAATCCTGTTAGGAGTTTTCAGATCATTCTCATTTCTACTTATTTTAGCTGCATTATCCACATAATTGAGACGATAAGAATCACTCGACTCGGGAGAAGACACTGGCGGTGTTGGCGATTGTATTCCTGGCTGAGAAGAGTCAGCACTCACTATCGATGAGACACCCAAATCGGAAAATCGGGTTTCCAATTCGAACGATCCATTTTCGCCACCTTTAGATTTGCCAAGACCCCAATATTTTGGATAATCGTTAAAGGACTCTCGATCTGTTACGCTAACCTCCCTTACCTCGGGATACTTTTCGGCGGATCCGGTAGAGAGGGTTCTTCTATATCGATAAAACGAATTTTCGTTCTGGAAATTCAGAGATGGAGTAGAGTAATTGGGAAGCGCGGGGGAGATTGACGCATTGTTTTCGAATACAGGTGGAGCTGGTCGTGGATTAACGCTAGATTCTCTAAGCTTCAGTTTTTGAAATTGATCTTCATAACCAGGACGGATAGCCCAAAAATGTCCCTTCCCAGGAAGATTTTTGGACCGTTCAACTTTCATAAAAGCTTTATTAAGACTAAGGTTGTGACGGACAGAGTTTTGCCAGCCGTTACTAGATTTACTGTAAAATGAAAACGTCCCACTGATCCAGTCATAAATAGCACTTAAGGTAAGTCGTTTTTCGGGTGAGCATAGGATGGACATTCCGATTAGCATAGCATATGAATAAGGAGGTTTTCGTCCGTCATCCATTGGAAAATAAAACTGATTAGACTCTTCATAAGAGGGCATAACAGGTGGCTTTCTACCTGTCAAACCCTCAAGAGAATATTCAGAAGGAGGAGGTAAAGGCAGAGGAGGTGCAGAGTATGTTAAACGGGTATAAGATGGAATGTATGGACGGGTTGACTTGTTGGACTTGGGTAAAGAAGCATTTAGCATATTTTGGTTTTCTTTTCCGGATGCATATAACGCAGTTGAATAGTTGTACGTATTAAAAGTCGAGTTTGATGTTTGCGAATAGACATCTGGGTATGGGCGAGAATAAGGATTATAGCTCATGGGAGCCTTTGCAGATAGTGGGATACTTTGAGCTGGTACAAATGACTCTGGATCATTGCCACCGGCAGTCAAGCTGAAGGATGCGTTATTAGAATACTTTGACATAGAGGAAGATAAAAAAAATAGCAGTGACAAAACGAAATAAAAGAGAATAAGATAAACAATAGCGTCAAGAACGTAACTAGAAAAGCACTTGATAAATAGTTAGGTTTCAAGGAATGATCATATAACAATGAAGATAATTAAATGAATAGAGATTTGACCGTCAAAAAATACAAAACATTCCAAAAGAGAAGGATTTGCTAAAAGAATAATAAAAAAGAGAGAAAACAAAAAGAAAGATAGACAAGAAGAATCTGGAGAAAGCTTCGATAAATATACAATCCTTGTACGAAATACGGAAAGAAGGAGCGGTGCAAAAAGAAAAGGGCTCTTAACCGTTTGAGCAAAAAATAATAAAGAAAAGAAAAGAAAAAAAATTAGAGGTCAGAGTACGTTTAATGGAATCAATAACAGGAAGTGTAGGGAGTTTGTACAACTTGGCCTGCGTAAAAAAAGGAAAATAGAGAAGATAATAGAGAGCAGCCTAACCAAGACGGTTACCAGGGTCCAAGAAATACCTTAATAAGACTTAATGAAATAGTAAGGCAGGAAAAGAAAAAGAATGAGCAACTAAATTCAAACGATTAATGAATTGGGGTTAATTTATACAAGACAAAGCAAGTAAAGAAGGAACAAAACGCGAAAGATTCCCGGTAAAAAGAAACATATAGTAGCTTTTTTATATATACTATTTCCCAAAATTCAAAAGGACATGGATTTCTTTTCAAAAAACTTCCAATTCCAAAAAAATCGGTGTTCTGAGAGAACGGCTAAGACCAAATCCTCTTGCAAGATTCTCCTCCTCTATGAGGGAGGGGAAATAAATTCCATAATGAACAGTATCGTTATTCCACATAGCCTGGTGTGGTATACCACATTAACAACTTTGTGCGTATTCGAATGATGTGTAGCGCTGTAGCATTATATAACTTTAATAAACAAATGTTATACGAGTAGTTGATTGCGTTTGAATTTAAGGAAAACGATATAAAAAGTTATTCGATGGAATAAATTTCGAGTTATTTCCACTACTATTGCTTAAATCAATGCGATTGTTCAAGTATTTTGTGAAAGCATTTGGGCTCCTTTTCACAGCAACAGGAAAGCGATGTGCTGGAATCGGATATGCTTTTCATAAAGAATACGTGCTTCTTCCATTCCTATGAATCCCAGTGTACTCGTACTCTTTCGTTTGCTTTCTCTTTGAGTCATGAAAAACTTCTTACACTTCATTATTCAAGGTCTGTCTTGAATTTCGTTATTCGCAAGAGAGGGGATAGCTGTCTACCTACGGTGGTTTTTCGTTTCATCCTACTTTTCTATATTCTTTTTAGGTGCTGTATTATTACGGGCTAAATTTTCCATCCCTAAAATATTCTATAGCCTAAAAAGTATCTTTTGACATATCGTTGTAGATTAAGTAAAAATGTCAAGGCTTCACATCACTTGTCCCCATTGTCCCAGTGTCGTCTTTTCAAACGAGAGACCTGCTGTGGTTGAGAAACCTACGCTACGATCTATCCTAGGTGCTGCTGAAAAAGGTCCGTCGGAATCAGAGCGTTACTATAGTCTTAAGGATCCTTTTGCGTTCGATAATATCAGTGTTTCAAAACCCTTGGCTAGCAACATCAAATTACTGGCATGCGGTGAATGTGAGAAGGGACCATTGGGATACTTTGATCCTGAAGGAAAGGAATATTTATTGCTGTCTTCATTAGAAAAATAGAAACCGTTATGGTTTTTATTGCTGATCCTCGGAAATGAACCTAGACACTATAGAAAAAAGACGCAAAATCTAAGATTTTTAGAAAACGCATTCTACAGAAGAGTTGCTCGAAACGTGAAAACCGAGTAACCCAAGTAGTAAAAGTACAAGCGTGTCATAAATAACAACAAAATACGATTTTTTTTTCTATAAAAAAATAGTTCTAACGAAAGGAATATATAAATTACACAATGTTCCCCAATATTGAACTTTCACATCTATCAAACCATACCCTCTCCAGTACGCGATGATCTTATTTACAAGACACTTGCACCCTCAAACGCTGGAGAAAGAACCATATAAGTACACTCCACGTTATTTTGCTTGAAAATAGTGAGCATTTTCTCAGCAATTTCTTCATAATGATCCGTAGCCAAGGAGAGAATCGTGGGACCGGCACCAGAAAGACAAATACCACATAGGCCTGGTTGAGATTCGGGCGTCATTTGAGCAAGGATCGTTTGAAGTCCAGGAATCAATTGAGAGCGGTAAGGTTGATGAACTTTATCCTTCATTACCTCATGAATAACTTGATGATTCACGGGAGTCTGGCCCAAGGCTGTAGTCAAGAGTGCCAAACGTTGAAGGTTATAAATAACATCTGGCTTCGTATAGGAGGAAGGCAAGACACTTCTAGCTTTTGAGGTGGAAAGGTGGAACTGAGGAATGACAACAAGCGCCTTCAGTTCAGGAGCCCATGGAAGCTTTGTATATCGTCCCATGTTCTCTGGAGGTCTAGAAAATGCTTTATTGTTTAGAAGATCACTGGCAGAAGGAATCATAGCTTCTTTTTCAGTATTCGATAACTCACGAAGAAAAGAGCCTACAAAACCACCCATCATAGAAGCCATAACGTTGTCGGGATGACGCTCAATCATCAAAACGTAATCCATCATTTGTAATTTGGATAACTTCAATTGAGCAAGCTCATTAGCAAGCATAACACCCGCAATAGCAGCAGAACCACTGGAACCCATACCGCGTCCTAAAGGTATAGGATTCTTCACATGAATTTTTGTCGCCATTGGAAATTCATGAATATCGTGGCATCGTAGAACATAAAGAGCAGTCTGAGTAATCATATTTTTATGGATATCCAAAGGTACTTCTTCAGCACCATCTCCTTCGTAAGTCAAAACACATTCACTCTTGTCATCGCTGACTTGCACGTCGAGAGTCATATAGACCTCCAACGACATTCCTAGCACATCGAAGCCAGGGCCGATGTTTGCAGAGGAAGCAGGTACTTTCACTTGAAATTGATGCATAGTACAAAATGCTGATTACAAAAAAAAAAGCAATAAAAAAGTAGGAAAAGAAAAAGATTTGCGAGATCACCAAAAATGCAATAAGAGAAATGACACCCGAAAACGACCCAAACTCTTTAAAACAACACAAAAAACGAATGTAGGTAGTCAAAGATTAAAAATCAAAAAATCCTTAAAACGAAAAAACCGTTACAAAGCTTTCTAGGGAGAAATCAAGTTCACTATCCAACCTTCCTAAAATGATTCGTGTTCGCGTCCGAAAGTAAAAAGAAACTATTTAATTCGCGAAGAGCAAAAGCACGTTCCTACCAATCCAGCATAGATACGTTCACGCAACTTACTCAAAAATGAACGCTCTTTAAGGCCAATATGCCTACTCTTGACGGTTTGCTTTGGAAAAGTTTTCGTTCAAAGATTCCGATGAGACCCCGGTGCTGTTTTGAAAATGCATTTAGTGCAAAATAGCAATCACGGTAAGTCATTTGCACAATATAGTGCGAGTTTGTTAGTAAACAAACTAGAAAGGAAAGATCCAATGTTGGATTGCTCTTCCTGAAACCGTTCATTTCTTTTCCTCTAATAAAAAGAAAAACTAATCGTTTTCTATCTATTGCAAGGCTTGTCATGTGACTTTCAAAATTAATACATGTCGCATGACGATTCTACAAAAAACGCGTCCTCTCGACGTTGGAATCTGTCAAGACTTTTTCCTCAAATACATTGCACTTTTTTTTCTTGTTTAAGATTCTTATAACGTCTTCATCGGCCAGCTTTACGTATTCCATTTTCTTCTCTCTCTTCAAGAAGACGACGATTCTTCAAGGGAAGAAACGCACCTTGACAATGATTTAGCAAGGTACTATATACTTCTTTTTGTATCGTTTATCCACCTTAAATACATTATCAAAAGCTTCCTTCCGACATCATCTTCATCTTTAGTGGCCATGAAGGCATCTCGCTATATATTAGATGAGATCGATATCTAATATCACCCTCTAGGCAATTTATTTTTGCTTTGAACATTCATCTCTCTAGGCTTTAAGCTTAGTATTTCAAGCAACTGTATGTGTTCGATACAATAATTTGGATATCAAAGCCCTTCTTATAGAAGAGGATGCTAACCTCGTAGTCTTTAGCTTGTACTTCATACGGATACCAACATGGAACCAATTGTGGCTCTTTTAATCGGGAATGGTGGACGCGAGCATGCGCTAGCTTGGAAACTTGCTCGATCCCCTCTTGTTTCAAAAATCTACGTTGCACCTGGTACTGGCGGCACTGAGAGTAAAGGACCAGAATGCAAGATCGAGAATGTAAACATTGGAGTTTGTGATTTCGAAAAGCTGGTCCAATTTTCTTTGGAAAAGAAGGTTAACTTGGCTGTTCCTGGCCCCGAATTGCCTCTAGTCCAGGGTATTGAAACTCATTTCCGTAAAGCCGGTATTCCATGCTTTGGCCCTTCCTTGTTGGCTGCTAGAATGGAAGGTAGTAAAGTATTCGCTAAAAACTTTATGCACAGAAACAATATCCCAACTGCTGTTTACCGTATATTTAGCAACTACGACGAAGCCGTACAATTCGTAAATACTTGCTCTTTTGATATTGTCATTAAAGCTGACGGTTTAGCCGGCGGAAAAGGTGTGATTATTCCCCAGACAAAGCATGAAGCAACTACTGCTCTACGTGACATCATGTTGAATGAAGACTTCGGTGCTGCCGGTAAAACTGTTGTTATTGAAGAATTGTTAGTCGGTGAAGAGCTATCTATTTTAACTTTCACAGATGGCTACACCTGCCGGTCTCTCCCCCCGGCCCAAGATCACAAGCGTGCTTTCGACGGCGACCTTGGTCCTAACACCGGTGGTATGGGTGCTTATGCACCTGCCCCTATTGCTACTTCACAATTGGTTAACCAAATTCACTCTACCATCATCCAACCTACTGTCGATGGCATGCGCATTGAAGGTTATCCCTTAGTCGGTATTCTTTTTACTGGCCTTATGATTACTCCTCAAGGTCCTCGCGTCTTGGAATACAATGTTCGTTTTGGTGATCCTGAAACCCAAGCCGTTCTTCCATTGTTAGACAGTGATTTGGCTGAAATTATTGTTGCTGCTTTGGAACGCCGCTTGGATTCTATCGACATTTCTGTATCAGACAAGTTTAGTTGCGCTGTCGTATGTGTAGCTGGTGGTTATCCTGGTTCCTATCCTAAGGGGGATCCTATTACTTTCTCAGAGACCTCAAATGAGAATGTTCATATTTTCCATGCGGGAACTTCTCTTAAAAATGGCCAAATCGTTACTAATGGTGGTCGTGTTCTTGCCGTAAATGCAACCGGCGAAACCGTTGAATCTGCTGTTAAATTGGCTTACGAGGGTGTGAAAACTGTACAATACAAAGATATGTTCTTCCGTAAGGATATTGCCCATCATGCTCTTAAACCCTCCAATGCCTTCAAAGAAAGTTTAACTTACGAAACAGCTGGTGTTTCTGTCGACAATGGAAATCAATTTGTTCAACGCATCAAAGAAATGGTCAAATCTACTCGTCGTCCTGGTGCTGATGCTGACATCGGTGGCTTTGGAGGTGTTTTTGATTTGAAGCGTGCCGGTTGGGAAGATCCTCTGTTGGTCAGCGCTACCGATGGTGTTGGTTCTAAGCTTTTAATTGCATTACATACCAATAAGCATGATACTGTTGGTATTGATTTGGTAGCAATGAATGTCAATGACCTTGTCGTTCAAGGTGCCGAGCCACTTATTTTCCTTGATTACTTTGCAACTGGTAAATTGGATCTTGCGATCTCCACCAGCTTTGTAAAGGGTGTCGTAAATGGCTGCAAGCAGGCTGGCTGTGCTTTAGTCGGAGGAGAGACTTCTGAAATGCCTGGTCTTTATCACGAAGGACATTATGATGCCAATGGTACTTCGGTTGGTGCTGTTTCACGTCAGACAATGTTGCCTAATTACGAAGCATTCCGTTCAGGAGATGTTTTGCTTGGCTTGGCCTCTGATGGTGTCCATTCCAACGGCTACTCACTTGTGCGTCGAATTGTTGAAGTTAGTGGCTTAGACTATAATTCCAAGTGTCCTTGGGATGATAGCACTTCTTTAGGCTTCTCCTTACTTACTCCCACCCGTATCTACGTGAAGCCCTTGCTTCAAATTATCAAGAAGGGTTTAGTTAATGGTATGGCACACATTACCGGCGGAGGACTTGTGGAAAATGTACCTAGAATGCTTCCCAAGAAATTCAAAGCTGTGATAGACGCCAATACTTGGAAGGTCCCAGAAGTATTCAAATGGTTACAGCGCACTGGTAATGTACCTATTTCTGACATGGCGAGAACCTTCAACATGGGTATTGGTATGGTTGTCGTCGTCCCTTCTGAACATGCTGAAGAAGCCATCCAAGATCTCTTCAACTCTGGTGAAACAGTATATCGTATCGGAACACTCGCCGATAATACAGATGAAGAGCAATGCAACTTGCTTAATTTAGAGAAGTGGAATGATCATTATTAATTACGTTCAACTTTGCTTAAACAATCCTTACACTATTAAGAAAAAGACTCTTTAATTAATTTTTGGTAATAGATTTAATAAATTTTGCTTACTCATTAGCTATTGTCTTCTAAATATTACGTATAGATATCTCGTTATGCTCCAGCAATTCCTAACCCAATAAATAAGAATACAATTGCAATGCCGAGACATGAGACAACTCGATTAATAAACCTCCAATATATATGTTTCCATTGCATTCTGTAAGTTCTGCTACCCGGGATAGGAAGAAAGGATGCTATCACCCACAAAGGAGGAAATATAATACCTACAGTGAAGAAGACCATAAATCTAGATATACCATTCTTTACCTGAGTGTGTAAGACATCTGATTCCTTTGGGGTTTGCAAATGCTTAACCTTTTCCAAATTATCAGAATGGTTAGATGAACGATTTCTAAGAATTTCCCTGGTACTGAAAACCTCACTTGCATTTTCGGACTGAGATAATGGATGAGCAATATTCCCAGTGTAGCTTGCACTAGCAACGGGTTTTCGGGCTCCAGACGTGCTACTCATTGAGCTTGAAGAGGATCCATAGTCTAAAAGGTTATGTCTCGAATCTTTCCGTAAATGTGTATTCCCAAGGTTATATTCTCTAAAAGGAACAATATCCTCCACAGGAGCAAAAGGACTAGATTCATCATCAGGATGATGCGAATTGTAAAACGTATTATCAAGTACGGACTGATGTAAAGGAAGCGACACACTTCTTGTATTGTAATTATCAATTTCATTGGAAATCCGGGGAGGATGAGTGACTTCAGACACAATTCTATTCCTGCCATTGCTAGTACTGGGTACTGGACGATTTAATCTAGATACTGGGAGACGGGGAACTCCAGGTTGGGAATTGAGTCGTTCTGGATGAGATGAGAGGGGGAGACTGGTCGAACGTTCCTGCCTATTCGAAGCATCTAATTCATTTCTATTAATTGCAGAAAAGCCGGATTGTCGGCTGGACGGCAGGAGAGGTGAATCATTTTTATCCAGTTCACTCTGAACAAAAGGATTAGCATTATCATAGATGCTATTAGCTTTAGGTGAGGCGGCTGACTGGACCGACACAGATTGAGAAGGAGAGGAAAAGACTGACGAAGTTTCATGAAAAGAAAGATTATCATTTACTGGCTCTTCAACGGCATCGTTTAATATTTCGCTGGACTGTTCAGGTACCAAAGTACTAGCACGTTGAAAATGCGGGCGATCTGTTTTCACTGAAGAATGTCGTATGATAGGTTGTGATGAATGAGATGCATTCAACAAATTGTTTCTGCTTAAAGGTGGATGCTTAAAGCGAACACTTTCTCTTGAGAAACTTGAGTCGTTACTAATTCTCTCTTGTTTTCTGGTGTTTTTTAAACGACTTTTACTACGAGAGAATGCCATTAGACGCTAATATATTTATTATTATCACTGATAATTGATTGCTCAACAATGGATAAAAAACAGAAACGGAAATTATAAAATCCAGCCTGACTTAGAATTCCTTTATAATGTTAAAAGTAAAGAAATAAAGATAGATTAGTAGTCGAAAGAAAGAAAAAAAGCTCGTAAAGAATGATTTGAGAATAGTAAGGAAATAAATACGATGAAATCGAAACGTATAGAAACAGAGAACAAGAAAGACTAAGGAATAAAATAAAGCAAAATAAAATAACAATAAAATAATGGTAAAAACTCACTAGTTCATGTTCGCAAATTTATCAATGGGGTTAGAATGTGGGTGGTAAAGGCTAACCTACTAGATGGATCACTATATATGGGAAGACTTGAATCAAGCAAACGGCAATGACGAGCTTTTTTTATTTATTTTTTCTTTTTAATTTTTTTTAAAAAAAAAGCAAGGATATTTAATCATTAAAGAAAATAAAACAAGTAAGAATAAATATTGTTTATGGCATCTGAATACCATATATCACCATCTGCGAGCACTGCCCGAAAAAAAAAAAGGAAAGAGTGTCTAAAGTAAATAAATAAACATATTTATCAAATAGTAACGAATATAAAGACAAAATTGATATAAGTGAAATCGGAAAAGTTCTCAGACGTAGGTCGTTTGATTATAATTTACAACGATAAACCCAGCGAAGACCAGAAAAGAGCCCAAGATTAAAGTGAAATTGAGATAGTGACCTTTAAGAATTATATCAAAGAATAAGGCTAATGGTATGCTAAGACTCATTCCAAGAGTCACCAACAATGGACTAGTCATTAGCATAGCAATGACCCAGAGATAGTCGGAAACAAAAGTTATACCAGCGTTTAAAAGTAGTACGGCATTACCACTATTAGTGGAAGGGAGCTGGAATTTTTCTACTCCATAGTAATGCAATAGAATTAAAAAGGGCCACAATAGAACAATATCAAACAGTCCAACCAAGCCGAAAAACAAACGCATTGAAACGTAATTCTCTTCTGTAACATGAAATTTTACAAGAACGGAATAGCATCCGTACAAAAAAGCAGCTAATAAAGCAAAAGTATTGCCCAACGCTGGTTGAGAAGGACTGTTATGCCCATCAGGTATCTGCTTTGAATCTTGAATCACGACTAAAATCACTCCTCCGACACTCGCCAATAAGGCCAATAATTTGACAAAAGTAAATTTTTCCACGTTGAAAATAGCGCCCAACCCCAGAGTGAAAAATCCACTCATGCTAGATATAATGGTAAACGATGCAACGTTTGTAAAGGCCAAAGAGCCATTGCTGAAATAATTAGCAGCAAACCATATAATGCAAAAACCTAAACTAAGAGAGGCGGTTTGTCGAACCGTCATAGGCCTGTTTCGAACATATGTGCGTGAATTTTGGTTTCCATCCAAAGATTCGTAAATGGAGGCATGGGTTGTTAAATCTTTCTTCAAATCTTTTCTTTCGAAAAGATACCATGGAATCAAATAAAACACAAAGGTACCGGTGTTCAAATATGTAATGAAAAAGGGATTGAAAAAACCAGGATCATTCAGTAGATTATTCGTAAAAAATGAGCTAACTAGCCATAAGAAAACAACGAAAAGCAACAGAATTACGCCGGTGGCATGTTTTCTGTTAACTTGGTAATACATAATATATATATAAACCGTCTTCTACTCAATAAGCCTCTAGAAGCGAAAAACAAACGGATTGCCTATTGATTCAAACGACAAAAACAAAATAGTTAGATGTAAAGTATGTTAAAGTATATAAAAGAAACAGAAACCACCAGAAATTTAGATAGTGTTGAGGATGTCATGAAACACGATAATTGCTCTGGTTCGTAATACAATTCGCAAAAAAGCATATCGATAATGGTAAACATCGAATGTGAATGCTCACAGAAAAGCATTTATTTGTTTATGTATGCATAAAGAAAACGATAATGAATGAAAGCTATAGAAAATTATGCCAATTTCATCTGTAATCCATTATAAGGACTTGTAGCTTGTATAGCGCAAGAGACTTGTTTAGCACTTATTCGAATATGATGAAAATGAGTATACGAATAATTATTATTATGGAAAGCTAGTAAAGGCATATATCAACTTCAAGTCAGATTGGCGAACGTGAGAAGTACTAGAGTAAACTAAACAAAGGACACATGTGTGTGTAATAGTGCTCGATGTAGACCTTTTAATAGTAAGGCAATTGGAGAGGTAAAAGACAAAGGGATTGTGAGTGTATAAAGTCTTAGGTCATTAATGAACAACGTGAAAACTAACAGAAGGAAGCGAAAAGGATATCCACGAGCAAACGTTACTCCGAACTTTACGGCGTATACTTTGTGAAGAAATTTTCATTAATGAAGAGGGAGAAAAAAACAACCGATTTCTAGCATAGAAAAAAAAATAGCCTAACTTGGGTTGTGTTTTGGTTGAATGATAATTGAGGTATAATCAACAGACGTGCAGAATATATGAAAAATTAAAACTTAAATCAACAAGAGCAAGTAGCCTTTTGACTTTCCATATCTAAGTAAATAGGATCAGCAAAATCACCAGCAGCGTCTTCAGCATCAGAGTTCTCCAAAGCCAGACGAGCAACGGTTTGGAAAGCTTCTTGAACGTTAACAGCCTCCTTAGCGCTAGTTTCAAAGTAAGGAATTTCTCCTCTGTCTTGGCAATAAGCTTGGGCCTTTGATTTCGAAACCTAAAAACACTTGTGTTAGACGAAATGCCTCACATCCAAAACTGAGCAATTCGTACCATTCTTTTCTTTTCTTCTACATCCACTTTGTTACCAATTAGAATGAAAGGGAACGTTTCAGGATTGCTTGGCGAAGCCTGGATAAGAAACTCGTCGCGCCAACTGTCCAACGTTTCGAAGGATTTGCTATTGTTCACATCATAGACTAGTACACAGCAGTCAGCGCCACGGTAAAAGGCGACACCTAAACTTTGGAAACGCTCTTGTCCAGCAGTGTCCCACAGTTGCAAAGTGACCACCTTGTCGTCCACGAGGACTTCTTTGGTAAGGAAATCAGCACCAATGGTTGCTTTATAGTCTTTGCTAAATTTCTTGTTGACATACTAAATTGAACATATATTAACATCTACCCCAATTTTCCATCAATGATGCTTTCTTCATTATGCCGTCGCGTCAATATGCCACAGAAGCGTCCAGAGTAAGCATTGCGACCCAACATAATCTGTAAACCAGAAAAAGAAGAGCTAAAAAAAAGAATAACGTACCTGATTCATAATCGATGTCTTTCCTACGCCGCTTTCACCAAGGATAATCACCTTCAGCAAATGTTTCTTCCTGCCAGTCATTTTAATATTTTATGACAATAGAGTTCTCTTTACTTTCTTTACTAGCAGCAGTAACGGTTTTCTAATCCAACCAGCTTTTATGTCAAGTGAAGAAATATATATCTGGTTGTGCTCCTTGTTGGCTACAAAAGCTCCTTACTTCATGTCATGTAGAATAACAAATGTATCATTCTATCACGTTATTTGGTTACAGAAACTCCTTGCATTTCCTTATTTACGAGGCATTTACAAACAAACCACAGTTCAGACGGCTCATGTAATTAAGACAAAAGCGAGGAGAAAGGAAGATTGAGAGTGTTGATGCTGCCACGGGGTATGCTGCTACGAGGTTTAGACCATTTATTTCTTTAATGTCAATGAAAATTAACATTACAAGGACATCTTATATCTGAAAGCAAACCTATCAGCGTTGAACTTTCGAGTACTTCTCGTCTCGTTTGTATAGAAACCAAAAATCTTGTAAAAGGATCATAATGGAGAACATTGATCTTGTAGAAAGGCTCAAATGGCGAGATTCTCGTGAGAAAGCGTATGTTCAAGTCATTGAGCCATACACAGAGCTATTTCACACAACGCTGTCTCTCGATCAAAGAGAACCGAATGTGAATGAAAAAGATTCCTCTAATGACCATGAAACGTTTCCTGCCGGTTTAAATGCACCAGCCATGTCGCTCCAAGCTATGGCCGATGAACTTCGATCGCTCCAACGTACTTGTGATTTGTACCAGAGAAACATGCAAAAGGCACAGTTTACTTGTAAACAGAAACTACAAGAAAACTCGCTTCTGGAAAAGCAACTTTCCTTACAGAAGGAATTGAACGTTGAAAAGGACAAACGCATTCATCTTCTACAGGATGAGCTATGGGCGCTTCAACTCGAAGTGGCTTCCCTTGAGCGTAAACCAGCTGGTTCATGATGATTTATTGAGTATCCAAGCTTCTCGGGAAAAATCCTAGGACTTCTGCATAACCCTCTATTAGAATTTTCTTTGACTATAGGTTTGCGAAGATTGAGCGTTCTCCAATGAACCTCTCCATGCTTCATGGCTTCTTTTTCTCTTTGCCAAGACTCCTTGTTGACTTTTATAAAGCAATTGATCCTTTTTTTCTAATTTCGTTCAACTTCTAGGATTACGCATTTCAAGGATAGATTCGTTAATCCCTCCAAAGGAATGGCCTTACTTGAGGAAGATGTTTTACTGCTTTTCCAATTTGGGCAAAATTAACAGCTACTCTTTTATATTGTATTGTCTAGTTTAATGATTGAAACGATCAGTCTTTGAAATCATATTTTCAAATTTTTTTTCATTCGTTATAAACTATAGACTTCGAGCTACTTGTAGTTTGATTCTATTTGCAAAAAATACTTGCTTTTAGAGATTCATTCTTAATTCATTTGCAAAAAGCATCCCTTGTTTTTAATTTTTTAATTTTTATCACTAAACGGTTGTATTCTATAGCCCGATTGGCAAACCGTGTTCCATTTGACTTGTCGTTTTGTACAAAGAATAACCTAGGAGGCTACAATCATGGTTGCTGATACTACTCTATATGATATTTTAGAAGTGGACCCTACTGCTTCTGCAGAGGAAATTAAAAAGCGTTATAAAAAGCTGGCTTTGCTAAACCACCCCGACAAGGTAGCAGAATCTGAGCGAGAAGATGCAGCAGCTAGATTTCGTGATATACAAACTGCTTATGATGTTCTTCGGGAACCTGGTTCTCGAGAGATGTATGACATGCACGGTCTTGAACAGGAAGGCCAAGATTCACAAACAGGAGTTGACATTAATGATGTTTTGGCTCAAATGTTCGGTATGAACTTTGGTGATTCCGGTGCCAGAGGTGCGCCGGGGCAGCGAAAGCGTCGAGGTTCAGATGTTGTTCAAGACTATGAGATATCATTAGAAGATATGTTTAAAGGGAAAGAAGTCAAGTTGCGTGCTACTAGAAACGTAATATGCCCTCACTGTTATGGTAAAGGAGGAAAACGTTTTGCTAAAGAACGTTCTTGTTTGTCTTGCGATGGAAAAGGCATGCGACAACACCTTCATAGAGTTGGTCCTCATCATGTGACGACACAACAGTCAGCATGCGAAGATTGCAATGGGAAAGGATCTGCTTTTAGAACCAAAGACCGCTGTAAATACTGCAAAGGAAGCGGAGTCGTTGGAGAAAAGCGAGTCCTTAATTTTTATATCCGTCGTTCTGCAAAAGAGACGGACAAAGTTGTTCAGCCAGAAATGGCTGATGAAGCTTTGGGAATGACTCCGGGAGATGTCGTCTTGCGACTTCGACAAATTCCTCATCCCGTATTCGAACGATTCGGTGATGATTTAAAGGCCAAGCTTCATATCAGCCTCGCCGAAGCTTTGGTAGGTTTTAAGAGAGCGATCATAACTACATTGGATGGCCGCACATTAGAATACCACCAGCCTGCCGGAAAGATACTTCGACCAGGTGATTGCATTGTTATACCAGGTGAAGGTATGTACCGAGGTGATCGAACCGATTTACGTGGTGATCTCTACTTGGAAGTCGAAATAGAATTTCCAAAGGATGACTCATTAGATAAAAAGTCGATGCAATCTTTAGCAAATGTCTTACCCAATTGTTCTAAGCAAGTTCCCGTCTCTCAAGACGCTATCGTGGACTCAGTGACAGGATCCCTTGGAGACGTTTCAAATTTTGGAGGCAACGCTCGTTTTGAAAATCAGTATGCCGAAGAAGAAGATTTCCAATCTGTGCCGGAATGTACGGCTCAATAAGCATTGGAAACGCGAATTAGGGTACAATACCTGGATTTCCTTCTTCAGAAAAATAACTGCATAATCTAAAATTCTAAAAATAATTGAAATGCACCTCTGTCTTTACCCGATTATTGCATTCATTTTTTATCGACAGACTCGCCCATTGTATGGTTATATTTAGGTAATGGTAATGAATTCATTCAACAATGATGGATTTGGATAGAATTGCATTTTGGAGTAAGAACTAATATATAATTGAACGTTTGAACAATGTATAGAACCTGAAGCAATCCACTTGTCACGTGGACAAAGATTGCACATTCCAAGGATGAGTACTTACAGAGTAAAACATTCGATTGAATACTAATAAATGTTTACGATTAAATTTGAACACGAAGAAATATTCTGCTTCAATTACAAAAGCTGAATGGGTTGCATGAAAAGAAACAAATCCACACATCCATACCATGAATCAGAAGGACATTGTAAATTCTTACTTTGTTTTTCAATTAGTAAAAGTCTCGTTTTTTTGTAATCTCAAGAAAACAAATTGAACGAATGTTAAGAACAATCGTACAATCAACTAGAAATGTGTTTTGGAGGACTTGAAAGTTTTTTCCTACACATCATTAACAACTATAACGTTAATATTTCAAAGGATGTCAAAATTAATTTATATGAATAAAACTATGTCAATACTTCTTTTAACATTTGTGATAAAATGCGAAAAAGCAGTATGTTATTTAGGGTAGGGTTATTGGATAACAGTCACGACATATTGTCAAAACTAGTAAAGAAAGGAAGGAAGTAGCGTAGACTTCACACCATGGCTCCTGGACTTGTTGTTGGATTAAACAAGGGCAAGGCTTTGACCAAGCGTCAATTGCCTGAGCGTCCTTCTCGTCGTAAAGGACAACAATCTAAGCGTACCACCTTCGTTCGTTCCATCGTCCGTGAGGTTGCTGGATTTGCTCCTTATGAGCGCCGTGTTATGGAATTAATTCGTAACTCTCAAGATAAGCGTGCTCGTAAGCTTGCTAAGAAGAGAGTAAGTGATGACTAAAAAATAAAACGTGTTGTTTGATACTAACCACACGTATAGCTCGGTACTTTGAAGCGTGCCAAGGGCAAGATTGAAGAGCTCACTGGTGTTATCCAAAGCTCTCGTTTGGCTCACTAAATGGATCCTAATGAATAATAAAATATGGATTCTGTACAAAGAAACTTATTTTCAAGTAAGAGCAAACATTTATCGAATTTCCAATGCCAAATGAAACTGCTGGTAGAAGTAAAGCATTGAATATGTAGCGATTGGTAAAAGGCTAGAAAGCGTTTATGAAACCTATTTTTTGAGCACCTACGGGTGGTGCTAAATATTGAACTAAACTGTATTTACCAGACACAGATGTTGAAATTCTAACTTAGCTAGGAATTGAAATGAAGATGTAAGTCACTTTCTCTTGTCGATACTGCGATACTACTGGCATGTTTAGTCTCAGCTAACCAAGTTAAGTCTTTGAGAATCTTTTTTATTTCTTTTCTTTTTTTTTGGTTGACATGACCTATACCCAATACTTCAAGTCAACATCTTTCTCTCGCTGAACCAACACAAAACTGCTATGCTATAGGAAAACTACTTTGAATAGTCTACAACAACACAGCGGTTGAGATTTCTTTACGACCTTCCAACTATTGATTCCTTGTTTCGCATTTCAAGTAATCCACCTCCTTTTCTTATGGGACTACCCACCCATCTTGATGAACTACTGAAAAGAGGTTTTACGATATAAGGGACTTACGATTAATACATGTTTAAAAGTGTAGAAGAACGTAAAATTTTCCTTCGAAACGAAAGTCTTCGCTTTATTCAACCGTATACCAAAATCGTTTAACGATTGCGTATTGGCCACTTATTATAAAGTCGTGAATCGAGTATGACATGGATGACCATCATGGTAAGAACTCAAGTCCGTTTTGAGTGATCGACGTAATTTAATATATAACAATGAATCGCTGCAGATACATGCAAAAAAATAAATGAGAGTGATGGACGTTTGCGGTCATTATAGGGATCGCAGTGCCAAACCTAAATGCCACCATATGGGAATAGATGTATATGTTGACTGAGTGCGTTTCATTGCCAGGACGAAAATTCAGGACACTCTCGATTTTTAGGCATATACTTACTGAGCACAGGGGCTTTACATTACAAAAGAAATCCTTGAACCAATATCGTTCTCTCCTCCTCTAAATATTTGCATATATATTATATATCAGCATTGACCACTCTATTTCTTAATGTACTATTAAATACATTTTCCTTCCTTCGTTTTTTGGAAGCGCCGAATTATTTTTTCTGTTATCGTTTACTTCTTAAAAGCCTATTTGCCAATTGTACATATCAATTTTTTGTATAAACTTATAATCATTCTGATTCAATACGAATCAGTTACCGGTACTTTTGTCGTATCACATAAGTTTTGGTGGTTTCCTTGCATTTTCCTTCTTCCTGTCAGCACTTGTCAATTGAACTTCAAATTATTTTGAATTGATTATTAGTTGCGTTCATTGTACTTACAGTACATATTACCTTCCTATAGCATCATTGTTGACTCATTTGCTCTTATAGCCTTTAGAGCGTTGAACTGTTCGTCAAATACGTGACGAAACCGTCATAATCGATGGGTAAAGAAAAAAACAGTAACACCATTAATTTACTAGTTTCTTTCATTTAAAGTTTACTTGTCAGCCATACTCTTTGGATCCCGAGGCTATTCTCCCCTCGTAAAGAATTTTCCTCTCCCTGATCTTTTCTACCTGTACTTCTGTACTTCCGATAACTAAAGAGGTTTTGTTATTCTTTTCGAGGCTGGTACCTGTTTCTTTGGATTTTTCCATTTTGGTGGAACGAATTTGCTGTTTTATCGCATACCGTTCTCTTGTCTGAATAAGTGTCTTTAAAAGAAATCGAAGATTGATTGACAGTAGTATATTGAAAACTCTGACTTTCTCTCGCTTTCTCACCCTCAGTCTCTTTCGCTCTCTCTCTATCACTCTTTCTCTCTCTCTCTCTGCGTGTGTGGGTGTATTAGTATTTCAATTGTTTGACCTTTTGGATTTCTCTTTCTGTTTATTTTGGTTTCGTACAACGTCTATCTCTTTTTCGTTCTGTTTCTGAAAAGTTTATTCTTTTTGCTATTGTTAATCCCTTCAAAGATTTTACCTTCAGCTTTTATTCTTTAAATTCGCTATTCCTGCTTTCACTCTCTATCAGTACACATTTACTACTGTTCAACATTCACAATCTCCAATTCCTTCTAGTTTTTAGCAAGTGACATTTGGTGTTCATTATTTCCCTTTATTTAAGTCTTTTTCAGATCCGTTCTTCAATATGGATCCTCATTGGAAGCGATTAGAAGCTAGTGGTCGGCCTCCGCCTCCTGCTTCTTCAACAAACCAAAGAATTGGTGGCATTCCGCCTATAGGTACGTATAAGTAGTAATTACCTCTCTCAGTAGCAGTCTGTGAGTAATTGAACTTCTTCAATCAGCCTCAGTGCATATGGTAGCCTACTTGATTTGAGGTTTTTCGGTTTCAACATTACTAACATGTTTTAATAGCCCCAGATGTAATTCAGTCACAAATTGAGTATTTACAGGCACTGCAAATGCAACAGCAGTCTCAAGCGTTGGCTGAGAATGAAAACTATTCACAGGCAAACTTAACCTCTCCTTTTCAAGCAAACCCATTTTCTAATCCCACAAAACGGGAAAGCTTACTGTTACCAAGACTTAACCCAATTGCTCCTATTGGCGCACGTCAAATGCAGTCTCCTCCAAGCGCTGCTTCAGCGGAATTACAAAGTCCTTCGGTTAAAGCACGTACGGAAGCTTTATTTAGTCCTGCCAAGGAGTCGTTTGATACGTTTGGACCTGGTGCGCATGTTACCAGTCACCGTTCCAACGTGATGGGTGGAATTCCCACAACTCGTATTAGACGTCGTTCTTCCGTTGGAAATGAGTCGCTCTCTCCTGTTTCACCAAAGAGTGCCAATTTTTTAACACCATTAAAACCAATTGAAGGCAATTTCGAATGGCAACAGTCACCAATGGAATCACCTCTTTCTGCTCGCTCGCTTCAAGAAAGCATTTACATGGAACCTGAATCTCCAACGACGCATGTGCCTGTGCAGATGCCGCTTTCCACTGCCTCTCAGCAGTCGTACATTAATCATTCGACAGACGGTGCTTCTCTTCCACAAAGCTCTTTTTTGAATTTTAATAACTCTGGAAAACGGGTTTCGGTGTCTGCTGCTGCACAGCAACATAAGAATCTATTTCTACCTTATTTACCCCAAGCTTCCCTACCTAAATTTATCAGTACAGGGAGACTTCTTGTTGGAACATTACATATAAACCGCAAAAATCGGTCCGACGCATATGTCATAACGGACGCTCTTGATGATTACATTTTTATTTGCGGATCGAAAGACCGAAATCGTACATTGGAGGGTGACTTAGTTGCTGTTGAACTTCTTGACGTAAATGAGATACTCCAAACAAAGCGAGAAAAAGAAGAGAAGAAAATTCGCCGAAATCTTTCACTTTCTGGTACTTCAAAATCATCCGTGAATAGTAAAGCAAAAATGATGTCTATTAGTACGCCAATGGCTTTGGGAATGAACAAAGGAGCTTTGGCTTTCGAAAGATCCATCGAGAAGCGAAAGAATGATTATGAAGTAACTGGACAAAGCCTTTCATTTGTCGATGACATTTCTTTAAACCAAGACAATCTTCCAAAGTATGCCGGTCATATCGTTGCCATTCTTGATCGTCCAAGTGGAGATACTTGTTCAGGTACGTTGGCATTGTATCGACCCAATAGTCTTGCGTCGAAGAACCAGTCTTCTCATCGTCGAAATTCGTCAACTTCTAGTGGAGAAAGCGGTAAAGGTCCAAAAATCGTTTGGTTTAAACCAAGTGATAAACGGATTCCACTGATTGCTATATCTAGTGATCAAGTTCCACCCAAATTTTTCACTAACAATGATGAGTTTAAGGATCAGGTTTTTTTAGCTGGCATTAAGAGATGGCCCACAACGTCTTTGCATCCATTTGGTACATTATACGAAAGCATTGGAAAAGTGGGTGATTCAAATGTTGAATTTACTGCTATTCTTCACGACTATAGTTGTCGTGTTTACGAGTTTCCTGAATCGTTATCTTACAGTATAAAACGATTACCCAGTCCTGTTTCTCCCGAAGAACTAAATAATCGATACGATTTACGAGATAAGTTAACATTCATGGTGGGAACTCGTGACTACGCAATTCACATTGACACTGGTCCATCTGAGGGTGTTATCATTTTAGGTTTTCATGTGACAGACGTTGCTAGCAGTATTAAGCAAGATATGCCCATCGATGATGAGGCTGCCAATCGTGTAGCCCAAGTTCAGCTTTTGCAAGGCTCTGTTCCTTTCTTACCGAAGAAAGTTACTGAGGAGGTGTCTCTTACAACAGGTCATGATTGCCTAACAATCAGCATTGTTATACAATTAGATCTGAAATCTGAAACCGTATTACAGTGCTCTTTGGGACCTTCAGTAATTCGCCCTTCATCTTACATCAGCCTTGAAACCGCTCAAGCCAATATACAATCAAATGAAGCTCTCCAGTTACTTGAGAAAAGTGCTAAAGTACTTACAAAACTAAGACTACAGACAAAAGAGGATGTTGATTTGCAACCTCTTTATTGTTTTGGCTTCCTTGATGACCAGCTTAGGAGCATTCAAGAATTAAATATGAATGTTTTTGAAGCTTATCCGGTTGTTTGTTCTTTGCAACAAATTGAACACTGGATCAATGAGAAAACTGCTTCTCATTTAATGAGTATTTTTCCGAACAAGGTAGTTCTGAGAAAGAACGCACGTCCAAGTAATTTGGACGCTGCAATTCGTGCAGCCCGCCGAGCCGGGTTCCCTCTTACGGCAGAATCTTCATCTACTGATTTTATGGCGGCTTTAGCAACTACAAAGGATAAGAATCTTCAGAGATTACTACAACTAAGCTTAAAAAGACTATCATCAGAATCAGAGTATACGGTGGGTATATCTAACGATAAAGATGTATCGCATTTTGCTTTCGCTAGTCCTTGTTACACTCACTTTTGTCATCCTACTCGTCGATATATTGACATTTGCGTGCAGCGCCAGCTTCACGAGGCTTTTGAAGGTCGTCCTGATTTTTCAAAAGATTATAAAAGCTTGCTTTCAGTTACTCAGTCTTGTAATACACTAAGTAACTTTTATCGATATGCTCAAGAAAAGAGCATCCATGCCAAGCTTTGTGAAGTAGGCCAGATAATAAATTCTCGCTCTGGTCTTATTCAGTTGAAAGGTTTCGTAATAGCCACTGACCAATCTTTCATTGATTTAGTAGTTTACGAATTGGGCTTAGAAAGAAGAATTTATTTGGATCTCTTACCTCTGAATAGCTGTGATTTTAATGACCAAACTGAGGAATTATCTTTTTCATGGAGAAAGTCCTCTCCTTCTTTTTATTACGCCACTTCTTCTTTAGAAATTGACAGTACCTGCTATAGTAACTTTAAGAAAAAATTTTTGGATTCCAATGGGTCTTGCAAACAAACTTGCGATTTGACAGGTCATGGGTTACATGATTTGATTAATATTGCTGAAAGTGCTGAGAAGAATGATAAATCTTCCGATACTTTGAAATTAGACGCATCTTCGGAATCTTATGAAGACGCTGCAGTTGAACGTCTTCATAGTTTGCGTATAAAAGAGCCCGATTTTGTACAGACAATTCGTCCTGGTCAGCAAGTGGATGTTTTTATGTTTGCTGACACTTCTTCTACGTATTCACTTTCGTTACTCACCTTAAAAAATCCGTTTTCCGACTAGTTTATGAGTTCTTGTTCTTGGACTTTATAATATGTTTAACAACATTAATGATTCTTTTTGGTTATTCTTTGTCACTAATGTCTATGGGTGACAACGGTATATTCCTTTTTAATGCTAAAAAGGCCTTACTCATGTAATGCTTTCATTTTCCTTTGTTTCATGTTAATTATTTCATTTCTGTTGGGAATTGTACGTTTAGTACGTGCAAGTTTTTAAATTTTGACAGTTCCCCTATTCTTTTCAATTCTTTGGGTATTTATTTATTTATCTATCTATTTATTTTTTCTTCTTTTTTTGTGCTGCTTCTTTTCCGTTCGTCCCCGACCTTGTTAACATTTGTCTTAGCAGTTCATTTGTATATCAACATTATGTTTGACTTTGAGTCCTTCCAATGTATCGGATAACTTTTCTCAAACGTTGTTTACCTCTCTTCATGGAAAGCTAATTGGTATGGAATTTATCGGTTTCTACAATTATATATATCTGTCAGTGTATATACAAACTAATTTACTCTATAATACTAATTCTAGTAATCCAGTTTCATACGAATAATATAATAGTATATATATTTGAATTTAAATAAAACGTTGTTGTAATTTGTTAACTCAGCGACACTTGTAAACTGGTCAAGTAGTAATTTAACATAGTAAATAAAAGGGTATACTCTTTTTAAAGTACAGAGAGTATGAAGTCTAACTTCGTGAATTAATTCCGACAAACTCACTTCTTTTGTATTTTACTTGAATGAACACGGTTCGATCGATCGTTTCTAGAGGTCGCAGAGGTTTGGACAGTAATGAGGGTTACGGGCATCTAGATTTGGTTGAAATTACGGACAGATTAATTGCAATGTCGACACCAGCTGCTGGTACTCATAGAATCTACAGGAATGACGAAAGGGTCGTTTTGCAATACTTGCTCGATAAGTATTCAGAAAGGTGGACGATAATAAATTTATGTGCTGAATCTAGTGTTTATCACCACAAGTTATTTTTCTCAAGAGTGGAAACTTATGGGTTTGAGGATCATAATCCACCTCCGTTTGCATTGCTGCTTACGATCATCGATAGAATGGCTGTCTTATTAACTCAGGACCCGCTATCCAAGTTAGTAGTTCATTGTAAAGCAGGAAAAGGCCGCACGGGAACGGTGCTTTGTAGTTACCTTGTAGCATATGCAGGGTATACAGTCGTCCAAAGCATTGACCTTTATACGAAAAGACGCATGAAAAGAGGATATGGTCTTACTATTCCATCCCAAATCCGTTATGTCCATTATATTGAAGCTTGGCTGCAGCTTCGAAATCAGCAGCCAGCAGCGAACGTTGGAGCATTGCCACCAGTGCAATCGTTTTTGCAAGAATTTGAAATAGAATCCAAAAACATTCCCAACCTCACTTTAGCTCTCTACACATTTGATTCGAACAATAAGCGTCTGAAATTTCCATTATGGACTTCTAGTAAATGGGACCCATGCACAAATTCCAGCTGCGGAGTCCAAAGGTGGAAGTTAGTTTGTAACTGGTCTTCTCCAATAACTGAGTATATGGTCAGTATCTTTCCCAGCGGTTTTCACGTTTTTCCTCGTGAAGTCCATTTTTGGTTTCATACCCAACTTCAATCCCTGTTGTCGGGATCCATTGAAGGTGGAATTTCCTACTTAAAAAACTGGTATCTAAACAATCATGAAGTTTTCATAACCTGTGAATTCCCGTGGATTGAAATGGATGGTCACCAGTCAGTCAGCGTTCCTTATTTTCACCTACTTTCGCTTCGTTACAGTTTTATGAAAGAAAATTGAAAAAACCGACTAAGTCACATAGAACAATTGTTTATTGAAAATTATCAAATCAGTAGTTGATCATTCTTACATATGAAATTATATAATGGAATATTGTATATGGTGGTAGGCACGACACTTTAGCGATTACCTTGCATCGTCATCTCCGCGAATGTAAAATCTGTCGTTCACCAAAAAAGAACAGCTCCCAAGAATTGGCCTTATGTCTAGGATTTCCTTGTCTCTGCGTCAATTGGAAAACCGGGAATGGCTACATCGAAAAGGTATGGCTTTATTCACGTTAAAAAAATACTGACCATTCAAAAGTTTCACGAGATATCTATGGTAGTCCATCTTGGCTGGCAAATATTGATTTACAGAAGGAATTGAGTTACCATTCAAGTTGTATAAATGCATTAAAGTAAGTTCAAATTTTCTTTGGCAGTTTTATTAACAGGTTCTAGTTGGTCCGAAAATGGAGAATACTTATTGTCTGGCGGCGATGATACCCAATTGGTTATTTGGGATGTTTACAATAATTTTGAACCACTTCATGTGATATCTACAGGACATTTACATAATATCTTTAGTGTCAAGTTTCTACCACATTCAGATAGTCGTAAGGTGATGTCTGCTAGTGGTGACAACCTTGTAAAGCTGTTCGATGTCGAGTTAGGTAATTCTACTGAAGTCAACAAGGGTATAGAAACACAATTGAGATGTTGGAATTGTCACTCAGATTCGGTGAAACGAATCATTCCTTGTGACGATGGATCCACCTTTTTGACTTGTAGCGAAGACGGGACAGTACGACAATTTGATATTCGGGAACCGCATCGCTGCAGTCAGGATCATGATTGTCCCTCTATTTTGGTCAACTACAGCTCATATCGTATTAACCTTTATGCTATGTCGATGTCAAAGTCCAATCCGTTTTACTTTGTTGTTGGAGGTACTCATCCTTATGCTTTTTTGCATGACAGAAGAATGGTAGGAAAAGATCAATGGAGGAAAAATAGCTCCGGTAATTCTCTTACACGAGACACGCGATGTGTTCGAAAATTTAGCCCTAATGGAACCTATAATTCTCAGGGAATACTTGACCATCATATCAATTGCTGCGAATTTGGTACCGCAAATCCAAACGAATTACTTGTTAGCTGGAATTCTGATTATGTATATTTATTTAATATTAACGAAGATAAGGCTTTTGAGCCTACATTTGAAAGGACCGAGGATTCTCCACGGAAATTACCAGTTGCTTCGAAAGATGTGAAAAGTTCCTTTAGGCAGAACAAAGGTACACATTGGTTTAATACACCGTCTCAAGCTTCTGCTCCAGTGACAAGGGTTTTGCGTAGTCCGTATGTGACAACTCAACCAAGGCGGCATACGTTCTACCAAATGTACAAAAATATACAAAAGCTTTTTACTTCGCAAGACAACGGTCTTTATGAAAGTGTCGCAAGCGGATATCAAAATCATATGGTCCATTCTATCCGTTATGTGAAAGACGCTATTTATTATATGGAAAACTACAATTATTTTATAGATACAACGCATTTTGACCATGATATTCGTAATCAAATCTTGCATTACTGGAGGGCCTGTGTTTCGGTCCTTGTGCTAATGGACGATAAAGCATGTTTAGAATCAAACACGATAATACAAGCCGGTTGGGGATGGATATATGATTTTATGAATTGGGTCATACGCTATCTCTTGGGTATTAGTGACCATTGGGCTTTGCAAATGTCTTCTCCTCCAAACGAAGCTCGTCAAAATTTTGTTTTACGCGATCCTGATGAACATGAGCGCGTTTTGTTTTGGAGCGCATCAGAAATGATACGAGGTTTTGCAAGGATTGATACCAACGATTTGTCTTCAGTCAGGAAGTATTTTTGGGTGCATAAAGTCCTTCGTGGTTGTTTGGGTCTAATATCCGCTGACATTAACTGGGGTCTACTACAACCATGGGATCGTGATGAGTCCGAAGAAGCAAATAATATTTCAGACATTGGAGATTCCTCTTATACTGAATCAGAACATTCCATGTCGTATGGGGAAGAAATGGATACTTATGATGACGCATCAGAGCCTGAATTCCAGAGTTTAGATTCGGGTTACACGGAAATGGAAATAGAGGATGAACTAGGTGAAAATAATGGTGATGATTTGGATGATGAGGATTATACATATGTTAGCGAAAACACAGAGGAAAGTGAGGAGGAATCAGATGAAGGTCCAAGTTTACTTTCACTTCGATCGAAGAAGAGAAAGTCTGTTGAGCCAAATGCTCCTATACAGACTCACGTTAAAAGTTATTATGGTCACTGTAATGTCGAGACTGTACGTTCTAATTCAGCCATATTTGCTAGAGACTAATAAGCTAATATTTTTGCCAGGTAAAAGACGTTAATTTTTTTGGATTAAATGATGAATATGTCATGAGCGGTTCTGATGATGGAAAATTTTTTATTTGTAAGACTTAATCTTGCATGATAGTTACTGACTGTTGAAAGGGGATAAAGAGTCAACCTCGATTCTTGCTATTATTCAAGGAGATAGTGAAGTGGTGAATGTTTTAGAAGGACACCCATATTTTCCGACAATCGCAGTGTCTGGAATTGATTCTACCATCAAGATATTCAGTACAGAAAACAATCCAGCTTTGGGTAGATCGCGTAACCAAACTTCAAATAGCTATAAGATTATAGCAGCGAATGAAATGAATCGAGAACAAGGATCTCGAGATTCCTATATAACAAGGTATGTTTTGTTGGATATTGGCAGTTTTCGAAGTGCTAACAAGATTTAGTAGGATGCTCTCTCATTTAGCTTACCGTGCACACATGGACGATGGCTTTGGAAACGAGGTATTAGACACGAACGCTTGTACAATTATGTAATTATTTTCTTTTTTTTTGCTTCCTTGATTTTTACACTTTTTCTTCTTTTCAATCATGCAATTAGTTCTTGCTAAAGTTCAACCATTTGTATCTTGTACTTTCTCTGAGCGTGGCAGTAAATTAAATCTAGCAAGTGAAAAGAAAGATTTTTTTCTCGTTGAATGCAAAAATCTCTTATACACCAGTCCCTCAAGCACAATTTGAGTAGAGTAAATACTTCCTTGCCGGGTTTTCTTGTTTATTTATTATTATTATTATTATTTGGGTTATTCTACCCTATTGTTCTTCTTTTGTTCTACGACTTTAATACAGAAACTATTTTCTGGGATTTTCGAATAACTGCTATTATGTTGTCCTCGTTTGTTTACATACAAAAGACAGAAATGAAGACACGTAAGTTGCATTTACGTTGGTTTTTTCAATTGCTTTTTCTGTTTTTTTTAAACCGTTTTTGCTATGGGTTGGCATCTTTTGTCTAATTCTTTTTAATAATAGATTAAGAAATTGCATTATTCCTTCTAAGGTTACTTATTGAGAGTCAAGGTAATGGAGTAGAGTAAATAAGTAGGCGAATTGTGTAGGTCACCGTTGATGTTGTAAATGTTAGTAAATATGTCTTCATATTCGGAAAGTCGTAATTGAGTATCGATCTGTAAATTTCTTAGTTCGTATGTACTTTGAAAAATAGTGTTTGGAGTATATATTTGAGGAAAAGAACTTGGGTTATAAGGAAGACAGACAGTCGGTTTAAACATGCTTTCTTTTCTGTCGAAGTTTTAAGCCAAGCCAAGACAGTCTGGAGTAACGACAAACGAGAATGTCCTACCTTTTGAATGAACCATGGTTTTCTCACACAAAATCCTTGATTTATAGGAATATATGTAAAAGTAGATATTATAACTCAATGAATATATATACTGAAGCGATACTTACAAACCTTTTGTCTGCTTTTAAATTTTGAGGTAGCAAAATAATATGATAAACTGATATTTTCAAGGTGTTGCTTCTAAGTCCGAACTTTTATGAATTAGCAGTTGATGAATGATAAGTAGAAAGAAGTTTCCATTATTCTAAGCAAGGCGTCTGACATGCGTCTCCAACAAGGTATTTCGACCTGATTTCGGGTAGTTGTATTCAGGCAAACTAGCTCAATGGGCATGTTGTAGCCCTATTCTCCTTCTGATAGAAGGGATACAGAGTTCATCAGTTCACCCACAAAAATTGTATGGGACCATCATATTCGTATTGAGTCGAAAAAAAAAGAAAAAAAAAGGTTCAAGAAGTATATCTTCGGTTGCAGCGATTTACCATACGATGTCTCTAATGAGGGTTTATTACACTAACTTTTATGACGGATTCCAAGTACGTTTTCATCATAAAGTAGGAAATTCGTTGGCCCAGACATTTATCGTTCATCATTAACCTAACGATATTTATATGTATGTCTTCCTGTTGTTTGTCGTATTTAGTGTTCGTTTCTTTCAGTGTATTCAGGTAAAGCCTGACCTGACATGTCTGAGCCGGGAAGTTCGAAGGGTTCTCCCTTCGATAGTCGTTTCTCTCTTTCAATTCTTTCTCTTTCTTTTCTTGGTACTCTAGAACTTAAGCTTTTAGCTCGCATGTAAAAATAACATGTTGTCATCACAATAAACAAAGGAGTAGAAGCTAAATATAAATGATTGACCAAGTCTACTTTCCCATGGTAATTTTTTGTTGCAGCAAGACAGATAATTACAAGACAAACAAGTAAAGTACAACAATTCACGATAAACAACGCTGTGTTGTTCTCTATAATGGCTTGATTGATCCGTTCGTACGAATCGTCTTCAGGTCTCCAATAATTGACTACAATTCTTGGCTTAAACATGTTGGATCAATGAACTTCCTTTACGACTTTTCTTATCAGAAAACTCAGCGTGGTCGTAAAGGAAGGAATATGGTTACTAACATTGACGCATTCATACCCGCTCAAATTCACCACCAACATCAACATATGAAATAGATATATAAGATGAGTTATAAAGAAACGGTAGAGGAAACGGTTCCTTTATCATCTGAAATTTCCCTTAATCCCGAAGAGAATTATAATAGATGTCTTTGGGAACGTCTTCGTAAAAGAAATGAAGGTTTGTCAGTTTTCTGGGAGAAGTTTATTCGTTTAAATTCAATTGTTATGGTTTATTCTTATATATGCTACTTTGCAATTAAAGACAAAGATACCAGTGTTCGTGGTAGTTTCGCATCTTACACGATTATTCCCAGCTCAATTTTTGCTTTAATTTGCCTTCTTGCAATTTACGCCTACTTCCGACCCATTGTTGTCGATATCGATGTGGATTCTATTCCTATGGAAGAATTACCAAGAAAGGATGATGGTAGAGAATAGCCAACCCACGAGCATGGTTAGTACCGAAGGTAGTAATTTGCACAGAGAGTAGGTAATTTGATTCCAAAGACTATCTGTTTGAGCCCCGTTCAAGACTCGAAAATAAATCCTAGTGAGAGGTCCTGAAGTGAACAGTAAGGATATTGCATTACAGGAGAATTGTACATAAGTACTTCTCATGTCGATTCAGGATTAAAACTGATGGACGAATAAAACATACGTATCATTCTGTTTAAGCCAATTGTGTACTATAACCTTTTGCCAAATAGCTATTTCTGAAAACGAGGTTCTTTTATGATGTCCAGGTTGCATTCTAGCAGAGAAAGAACTATTCTACTCACACTTTCATGTTATCTAAAGACGATTTTTCCCTTTTTTCTCCTTGCGTACACCTATCCTTTTCTGTCGCTTATAATACAATCCACCAAACACAGATGCTACTAAGTAGGATTTACGAAATAAAGGATATTTTGGTCATAACCGGCGACGTTTTCCATTGACAAAAGAAATAAAGTTTAACTGTATTCTACGGGTTTATTTTCTATTCAATAGACAAACTTGGGTTTCTTGTCTTTATGCAAATCCCTTTGGACTAAAGTGTCATAGTACCTTTCCATTTTTGTGCTCGAGTCTAAATTGGTTCTCTACTGAAGAGAACTTTTACTGATTTCAATGATTAAATTCCACATAATTATTCTGGATAACTTTGAAAGTGATCGATCGTGATCGGATTTTGTGAACAGACTGTAGGGAAATTGGATCCTATTTGATCATCAACAAAAATAGAATATCTTGTATTTACGACTTGCTATTTGGATGAATTTCAAATCCTAAATATAAGAATGGTAAAAAATTATATATTTTTCTTCTTGATGCCTTTAAAGTTTTGCTAGCCAAACGAATAATTCGGTTTTGCTTTTGTAAATTTCTTTGCATTTAGTAGTTGATTCAGCCTGGAAGGTTGTACAGACTCAAAACAATAATTCAATAGTTTCATCACGTTGAATCCAGTCTCTGGATCTTATTTTAACATATTGTGAGGAATATTCTGCTCAAAAACATCATTTTTATAGTTTTCATTCAGCATTTTAACATATTAAACATATTATATTATCGAGAGACATGTTACGATGTTATCGGTTTATCTCAGTAGGTAACTGTAAATCATTTAAGGAGATATACGAATGTATCTTAAAAAGCAAAGAGGCAAGCAAAAGTAACCTTTCACTTGGGTCTTCCAGAGCATCTTCATTTACGCGTTCAAAATGGCAGCTAAAACTGTTCAGTACGATAATATTTATTTAAATCTAAGTGCACAACCAGGAAAACTTCGAATCGCTCCAAGCGGATTAGGCTGGAAGTCAAGTGCTCTTACAGAACCATTCACTTTGCCTTTAAGTGAAATTCGGAGATTTTGCTGGAGTCATTTTGCGAGAGGTTATGAATTGAAAATTATCTTAAAGAATCGATCCCCTGTTAGTTTAGATGGATTTGCTCAGGAGGTAAGTTGTCATGATTGCTACTTTGGGATGAACATTAACAAATCAATGTAGGACTTTGACGGTTTGGCTAGCTTTATTAAACAGAATTATGACATGGGGATTGAACAAAAAGAGTTTTCTATTAAAGGATGGAATTGGGGAGATTCCGAATTTCTCGGATCAGAGCTCGTTTTCAACGTGAATTCTCGTCCGGCATTTGAAATTCCCATAAGCGCGGTTAACAATAGTAATCTTTCAGGAAAAAATGAAGTTGCCTTAGAATTTTCGAATGTGAAGGATTCTCCCGTCCCTTCTGCTCAGGCGGACGAACTAGTGGAAATGCGTCTTTACATTCCTGGAACTACATCGAAAGAAGACGCTGCCGAAGGCGAAGAAACTGAACAGAACGCTGCAAATCTTTTTTATGAATCGATTAAGGAGCGCGCCGACATTGGACAAGCTGCTGGTGATGCTATTGTTTCTTTCTCTGAAATTCTCTTATTGACACCTCGTGGTCGCTATGATATAGATATGTACGAAACTTCCATGCGTCTTCGTGGTAAAACTTATGACTATAAGGTGGAATACAGTTCTATCAACCGTCTCTTCTTACTTCCAAAACCCGACGAGCAGCATGTTGCATTTGTAATCGGCTTAGATCCTCCATTACGCCAAGGTCAAACCCGCTATCCGTTTCTTGTGACACAGTTCATTCGAGATGAAGACATGGAAGTGGATCTCAACATGGAAGAAGGTGTACTACGCGAAAAATATGCGGATAAACTAAAAACAAGCTATGACCAGCCAGCATATGAGGTTGTTAGTCAGATCTTCCAAGGCTTGACGAATAGAAAGGTTATTACCCCCGCTAATTTTATGAGTCATCATGGTCATGCCGCTGTGAAGTGTTCTTTCAAAGCCAACGAAGGTCAGTTATACATTCTTGATCAATATTTACTCTTTATTCCTAAGCCTACTATCCTTATTACCATTGCTGATTTGGCACGTGTCACTTTGTCTCGTGTAGGCATGTCTGTTTCAGCATCTCGTACTTTTGATTTGACATTTTCTTTACGTTCCGGAACCTCTTATCAATTTTCCAATATTAATAGAGAAGAACAAAATGCCATCGTACGCTACTTAGAGTCTAAACACGTTAAAATTCACAACGACTTGGCTGACGAAGCCCAACAATCCCTTCTCAATGCTGCACTTGCAGACGAAGATGAGGAAGAAGGAGATGAAGCAATGGGTGAATCTATGTCTGAAGATGAAGATTTCCGTGCTGGAAGTGAAAGTGATGTCGCTGAAGAATACGATGAAGAAGCTGGTTCATCCTCGGGCAATGATGAAGATGAAGCTGGTTCATCCTCGGGCAATGATGAAGATGAAGCTGGTTCTGACGAGGAATAATAACTTATAGTTAGTTGAATGCATACCCTTTTTGTATACCGGAAATTTCATATAGTTTCTAATGAGTATTTACAAAATGCCTTTTTATTCATTCATCAATTCTACTTAATACTCTCATCTTAAATTTTTTGTTTTTTTCTTTGACAATGCTGATTTTCGCAGCATACCCTGTTTATATATACGATTACGTAGGCTTTTTTTCGTTTAAGGGTTTACAAAACCCTAAAGAGCTCACTATGTTTTGTGTTGACAGCAGCGCGACAATTTTGTGACTGCTTTTTTGTACTTAATATTTTACTTTTGATTAGTGTCGTACTTTTATCCAGGAACCAAAATGGCCAAGTCTAAAAACCACACTAATGTAAGTTGCTTCGGATACATGAATGATAAAGAGACAAGACTAACATGAATAGCACAACCAAAACAAGAAGGCTCACCGTAACGGTATCAAGCGCCCTCAAAAGCACCGTTATGACTCCTTGAAGTACCGTGACGCCAAGTTCCGTCGTAACCAAAAGTTCGCCAACCGTGGTACTGTCCAGGCCAACAAGGAAGCCAAGGCTGCCGCTTCTGCTGGAAATGCCTAAATCTCTACTTAGGAGATAACTTTTAAGAAATTGGTATTTTCACGTATAAATTTCATTGTCCGGTAGCTGGTTATATGTTTTTGTAAATTCGAATTTGGTTCACTTACAGTTATTTGTTGGGCTCAATTCAATCATGTATTTGTCGAAACTTTTTCTCGTAAGCTGTAGTACCTTGAAAATTGAAACTGGCGTTGTTGAAAATAGTCTTAACGAAAGCACATTTACTAGAGTCAATCGTTGTAACTAGTACGGTTGTCTTGTATTAGTGTGCTAGATTAATTTGTCTGTCTTATACATATTGGCGATGCATCGGTTAATAAACCCGCGTATTGTCAAGAATGGGCGGATACAGCGAAGTTTCTGTTGTATCTATATTGTATACAATAACACGAAACATATAAGATTGATGGTCTATGAAAATATATATAAGAATAGTAGAAGATAATACTAGAATTAACAGAACTATTTAGGTACAGCCGACACTCAAATAAACTCGCTGATGAGCGGTATAAAAATGTTTGATAGTATTTATGTGTAAATGTAAGACGTTGAAAGCTTAGGTTTCAGTGAAGTACAAAGGATGAAATGGTAAAAATGCTACTGAATCAAAGTTCCATCAATTGCTCGTGGTTAACGATGTGACGAAGTATAGTAGATTAAACGAAACGTTAAAGGATATGGGATCCAGCACTAAAAGAAGGAATGCCAAGTCATCAGTAGCCACGCTTGCTTATTCCTTTGTATGCCAAAAAGTACCGTATGTAAAGTAACCTAGCGTAAAAATTTTATCCCCTAGTGAGGTATATATATATTTCATAATAGAATATAGATGAAAGGAAAAGAAAAGATTGAGGTCTAAATTCTTAGTTACATCTAAGGATTAGGGAGAACAGACAGATAAGACGAAGGTAATGTGAAATCAAAAATAAAACCAGGTTGCTCTAATTATCCAAACTAATGCTCATGCAAACAGGCGCAGATAGTGAAACGTTATAAGACAGCGAAGCGCTGGAATCAAAAAACAATTACAGCTTTTAATTTATCACATTCAAAGGCCAAAAGAATAAATAAAGTTCAGGAAAACCATGAGAAACATCAAATGCTTTATTTTGAATTTCCTGCCTTACCTTTCCGAGGAGTATTTATGTGCCAGTTCTGACCCATTCCCTGGTAACCGCCGTAACGTTGTTTTTTCTCTGCGGGTTTTAATATCTAAATTATTTGTTAGTCAACGAAGAAGGCTTTAAAAAATAGGACATACCTGGAAGCTACAAAGAAGACTTTCATCTACGCTCATCATAGCACCAGCGTTATCAAATTCACCACAATAGTTGGGAGCACTGAACAAAGTTACCAACTGGCGTTTCGAGAAAAACTGATAGCCATCTTCAACAACCTGGTGTGCTCGGCACACAAGGTCCATGTCGTGTTTATGCAAAAATCGAGACACAACATCAGGACCAAATGTGAACGAAACACCACGATCATTGTCACCCCAACCAGTAAGGTCGTTGTCAGGATCGGACCACAAAAGATCACAAAGCAGACCAGTGTCGGGAACATCTGTAGGGCGCATGATGCGTTGAATTTGATCCATAGAGTTCAAATCAGGAGAAAGACCACCATGCATAGTAAAGATTTTTTCGTCAATGATAGCAGCAATTGGAAGACAGTTAAAACAATCAGTAAATGTTTTCCAAAGTTTGATGTTGTAGCGACGCTTGCATTCGTCGTAAAAGCCGTAGATACGGTTGATGCTAGCACATTCATGATTACCACGAAGGATAAAGAAATTCTCCGGGTACTTAATTTTATAGGCAAGCAACAAGCAAATAACCTCCAAACTTTGCTTACCACGATCTACATAATCACCCAAAAACAAGTAATTAGCCTCTGGAGGGAAGCCGCCATATTCAAACAGTCGTAAAAGGTCGTAATATTGACCATGAATATCACCGCAGATCTTAAGAGGAGCTTCTAACTCTAATAATATGGGTTGGCTAATAAATATTTCACGGGCTTTGTTGCACAAAAAGCGGATTTCATTTTCAGCCAATTGAACTTGTTTTCCAGGACGGTTGACTCGGACTAAATGGAAAAAGTTAGTAAACGAAAAGCAGAAAAATTATGTCAAAAATAGACTATACAAAATTTTATGCATGAAATCGAGAAGCAGTCGTTCGGCAACCCAAGATCACAAGAAGGTCTCAGATTGTTATCCTTCTACTCAAACACACAAGCCTATTCCTGTCGATTGATGATTTGGAAAAATACTTCCCCCTCCCCTGTAGAAGGAACGAAAAGGAAAAGACCTTCAAGTGAGGGTGCTTGCGTATGAATTTCTGAGCGACCAACTTAACTTCATCGATGATTTTATCCATGCAAATAAAACCAAAATTAATTACAAATCAACATACCCTCCAACAAGCGATCTATAATGGAGTCTAAATCCACATCTTGGTTTGACATTTTATAGCAATAGAAAAACCCGATTAAAAAGGGGTTTAAAAGAAAAACGAAGTAAACAAAAGTATACGTAAGTAAAAAATTGGACTTTTCTTAGGTTTTTACCACTCGAAAATGTCGTTGGAAATTTGTCCTCAATAATCCTTCAATCCAGCGTATCTGTTCACTCTAAAGCGGTAATCTAAAGAAAATCCACTGAAATTTCTTCTTTTGTTGATTTTTCAAAGAGAACGGTTGTTGGCAGATTGCAGAACACGGAGTGCGCTAAAGAGGTGGTTGAGAACTGGCTAATGAGTGACTGAAGTGGGCTTAGGGTACCACCACCCACACATATAGGGAGAAGGACCATGTGAAATTATCAGATAGGTAACAGAAGTCACATCTTCTGTTTACATATAAATAAAAATATAAAAAAAAAGACATAATTTTCATTGTCAAATTTGGAGTTCCATAGAAGAAAATGATTTAAATAAATTTCATTTCTATAAAAGTATACATAAGCTCTTCTTAAATGAAAACGAAAGGAGAAAAAACGCATTAAAAAGAACAGATGTTATAAAGGATTCATATAAACGTCTATTAATGCATGTTGCGAGACATTTATCCAAGAAGATATGATGATACACATTACTTTTAGTTTCAAAAGCCCTTGTAATACCGGAAATGGATGACTAGTACTCACAGTATTGTTTGGGAAATAATTTAATCGGTGACATATTTCTTGTGTAAACAAATGAAGACTTGAATTTCGTCTCTTGAAAACAGTATTAATTCAAATGAATGTATTTTATTACAAATAAAAAAATTTTAAAAATTATTTGTTTAGAGATGTTGAAGAAGGAAACCCTAGAAACAATACGAGAGAATTAATTTGGCATTTGGAATCTAACTCCCTCATATATTTATTGCTATTTGGGCTTCTTCTTATTAAATGTTAGCTTTTCATTCATTTTTTGTAAGAGTTTAAGAAGCAAGAAAGGATTCCCATACCATACCATTTGTTAAGAAGTGCATAATACAGAAAATCGAGAAACGCAGCTACCTCAGCTCATTCATTCTCCTTTAAATCTGAACTTTTTTTTTTTTTTTTTATTATTATTAATATTTTTATTTACACATCCAGATATTCTCGCGAGCAACGATTTTTTAAAGAATCAATTTCGGTTTACCAATGTCTTATTCAAAGACACTGTCTCGCCTTTTTTTTTCATCCTTTCCCAAGAATACATCAATCCCATTGTTTAGATCACACATCTTCAATAGTCAGAAGTCTTTATCGTTCACATCAAACCCAAATCATCGGCCCTGTGCATCTTTCTTCTCTACTGCGACTTTTTCCTCTGCCAACAACCGGTTTCATAAAATGACTGAAAGAACAAACGTAAACGTTGCTATTATCGGTAAGTAAGCTTTGCATTTTTTTCCTTTTCTTTTTCTTTTTGTTTTTCTGAAACAAAGGTGAAAAAGACTTAGGAAGTAGGGAGACCTTTTACTATGGATGTATCTTCTCATTCAACTGGCTACCACCGACCAATGTAATTCTTGTCTGTCCTTTGCTAACAACTACTCAAGGTACTGGTACCATCGGAGGTGAACTGATAAACCAAATCAGGGACTTTAATGTCACTGCCTCCCAAAAAGGTACTCCTTCCTTCAACGTCGTCGCCATTACCAGCACAAGAGGCTACTGCATCTCCAATGACTACAAACCCATTGATTTGACCCAATGGAGAAATTTACATGCTCAAAACCAAGGTGCTCTCTCCGTTGACGTTTTGCTCGATTTCCTTTCGAGTTCTCCTCTCCCTGCCATCGTGGTTGACAACACTTCTTCCGACCTCGTGGCTAGCTCTTACCCCAAATTTTTGGCCAAGAACATTAGCATTGCTACTCCCAACAAGAAGGGTTTCTCTGCAAATGCCGATGTCTACAACTCTTTGGTCGAGGCTTCCAAGACAAGTAATGGTCATTTGATGCACGAGGCCTCCGTTGGTGCTGGCTTGCCCATTATCTCCACACTCAAGGAACTCATTGCTACTGGTGATGAAATTCTCAAGGTTGAAGGTATTTTCTCTGGTACTTTATCTTACATTTTCAACGTTTGGTCTCCCAACGGTAAGAAGGGTACTGCCTCTTTCTCTGACATTGTTAAAATTGCCAAAGAAAATGGTTATACTGAACCCGATCCTCGTGACGATTTGAATGGTATGGACGTTGCTCGTAAAGTCACAATTTTGTCTCGTCTTGCCGGTGTTCAAGTAGAGTCTCCCAGTTCCTTCCCCGTCAAGTCTTTGATTCCTAAGCCTTTGGAATCTGCTGCTAACGCCGATGAATTTATGGCTGGCTTGCCCAATTACGATGCTGAGTTCGCCAAGATCCGTGACGAAGCTGAGAAGGAAGGAAAGGTTGTTCGTTTTGTCGGTGAAGCTGATGTTGTCAACAAGTCAACATTGGTCAAGCTTGAAAAGTATGATGCCTCTCATCCTTTTGCTAACCTCCAATCTTCTGACAACATCATCGCTTTCACCACCAAGCGTTACCAAGCACGCCCTCTGGTCATCATCGGTGCTGGTGCTGGCCCCGCTGTCACTGCAGCTGGCGTTCTTGGTGACATGATCAAGATTATGTCTCAAGTTCGTGCTGGTGATGCTCCTAGCGCTTAATCAACTTATTTTTTTGGATGAGGGTGTTTTGATCATATTTAGAATTTGAAAAATTTAAATTTTTTTTGTTTACATTATATTAGAGGTTTTCCAGTTAAAACACACAAGTACCCTAAACCCATGAAATTGTAATCTGGTTTACTAGGTTTCTTCTTTCGGTATGAAGTCTACATTGCATACAGACAGGCATAAAGGCATAGCAGAAAATCTCTATCCAGCTCTTTCCGGCTTGAGAAGAAGAGCGCAATGAATCAAGATTATAAATTACAATACAATCTTTGTGGCATTTTTACCCAAATGTGTACATTCCGTACCTCTTTTTTCGTAGAACTTACTTGCCCGCTTTAAGAGCATTCTCACTTACTGGGAAATATTTCTTATTTTTAGATTTTATTTTTTAAACCTATATATAGATATAAAACTATTTTAAAAATCATTACATATTTACAAACCTGGGTATAATCTTTAAAAATTGCATTTAGCGTACTTGCATTAATATTCGGTATTATAAACTAGCAATCAATAACGAGTTGACTAAGTGGCTTACCGTGAGGTAAACACATCGTTATATCTCTTTCAATGTGGTCTAACTGGATAAAAGGGAAATGCTTTCATCCATACAACAAAAGAAAGGCTAACAGCCCTGTCTTGAAGGGGGAAAATGGATTTTGAATCAATAGAAGATCAAGATGGTATGTGAAATTTTTGTAGTTTTGATTTTCTAATGAGCTTTTTCCAGGAATTCGTCTGTCGTGGAATATGTTTCCTGCTACAACAGCAGAAACAGCAAGAGCGGTGATCCCCATCGGCGCTATGTACACTCCTTTGCATCCAAAACCCGACCTTGTTACCGCTCCTTATGAACCGATTACTTGTCGGGCTCCTTGTCGAGCAGTTTTGAATCCTTACTGGTACGAATTAGGAACCTTTGTTAGGGAGCTTAGCTGACGATCTTTAGTAATGTAGACTTGCGCGCAAGATTCTGGATCTGTAAGTGAATTGAAGATTCGTTCATCAAGTCCTCTATCTGTAACTCAATAGTGTCTCAATTATGCAGTTGTTGAGAGACCGAGCAGATCCTTGGACTAAATGATTTAAATGAATTAGATGTACTCTTGAGTTTTTACAACTAACTATAATGTTTAGGTCCGTTTTGTTTTCAGAGAAACTCTCTTCCACCTCAATATCATGACATTTCCACCAATAATTTACCTTTGGAACTACTTAGTCAAAATACAACTATGGAATACATTTTAACTCGTCCAGTTAAGGCTCCTCCTGTGTTTTTATTCCTTGTCGATACGGCCGTTTCCGAATCCGAACTTCAGGCCATGAAGGATGCTATCATTGTCAGTCTTAGTCTGCTTCCTCCAGATGCAATTGTAGGATTAATTACTTTTGGATCCGTGATTCAAGTTCATGAAATTGGCTTCCATGCCATCCCCAAGTCGTTTTGTTTCCAACCTGATGCAAACTACTCCAGTATGCAACTTCAGTACTTGCTCGGCTTATCTGGAGGACAATTTCGCCCTATGGGCTCCAAAACTACTATACAAGGTACTGGTGTCACCCTAAACTTAGGTGCTGCATCCCGGTTTCTTTTACCTGTTCAGCATTGTGAACTGCATCTTTTGAATATTCTTGAGCAACTTTCTCCAGATCCATCACCTGTTCCTCTTGGTAAGCGTGCTCTAAGATGTACTGGTTCTGCTTTGAAGATATCAGCAACACTATTAGAAATAGCTTTCCCCAAAAGCGGAGCACGAATTGAATTATTTGCTGGCGGTCCTTGCACTATAGGCCCTGGACAGGTTGTCTCAGTCGAACTAAAAGAACCAATGCGATCCCATTCCGAATTAGAAAACGACAAAGCAAAGCATTTTAAAAAAGCAAGACGATTTTACAAAGAGGAAGCTCAACGTCTATCCGAATTTGGCCATACTGTCGATATATTCGCAGGCTGTTTGGATCAGGTAGGAATAATGGAAATGGAAAGCCTCGTCAATTACACCGGTGGTCATATTGTACTTTCAGATTCTTTCTCAACGTCCATTTTCAGACAAAGTTATCAGAGGTTGTTCAATGCAGATGAATTTGGATATCTCAGAATGGGATTCACATCTACTTTGGATGTCATAACCTCAAAGGGATTAAACGTCTGTGGCATGATTGGCAATGGTTTGGGTGAGAGCAAAAAGAGTAATAATACCAGCGATACTGTGATTGGAATAGGCAAGACGGATTCTTGGAGAATTTCTACAATTTCTCCAAAGTCAACGTTTGCCATATATTTCGATTTGAGCAAAGAAATGAACAACCCTGCTTCTCAACATCCGGCGCAATCATACATTCAGTTTTTAACGTTATATCAACATGCTTCAGGTACTTATCGACTTCGCGTTACAACAATCTCACGCTCTTTTATTACTGGTCATGCCAAAAGTATATCGGACTCATTTGACCAAGAAGCTGCTGCTGTATTGATAGCTCGCATGGCCTTGTTTAAATGCAACAACGATGATGAGTATGGTGTGGCTAGATGGATTGATCGCACTCTTATTAGACTTTGCCAAAATTTTGCCGACTACAGAAAAGGTGACCCACTAAGTTTCCGTCTTTTGCCGAATTTCACCTTATTTCCCCAATTTATGTTCCATCTTCGCCGTAGTCAATTCCTTCAAGTTTTTAACAATTCTCCCGATGAAACATCTTTTTATCGCCATACATTGAATTTTTCCGACGTGATGGACTCGCTAATTATGATTCAACCTACTCTTCAATCTTACAGTTTGGATTGTCCTGAAGGAATTCCCGTTCTACTTGACTCGATGTCCATCAAGTCGGATGTAATTCTCTTATTAGACACATTCTTTCATATTTTAATTTTCCATGGATCAGTAATTGCTCAATGGAGGAATGCTGGATATCAAGATTTGCCAGAGTACACCAACATTAAAGAACTCCTTCTGGCACCCAAACTCGAAGTGACCGAACTTTTGGCAGATCGTTTTCCCATTCCGAGATTTATTGTTTGTGACCAAGGTGGCAGTCAAGCTAGATTTTTGTTATCCAGGATTAACCCTTCAGTGTCTATTGCTGAATCGTCTCCTTACCAAAGCATGTCGGACAGTTCCGAGCCCGTCCTAACTGATGATGTTAACTTGCAAAAGTTTATGGAACATTTACGAAAAATGGTAGTCGTATCATGAATTATAGTTTAAATTAATGTGGAGCAATTATTGGCGTATAGTTTCTACGTTGCCGGAATTGTTTCCAAGCAAAATACTTGATATCGTGTGATAATCCAGTAAATGCATAGTAAATTTGATTTAAGGCCTTCTGACCTACTTAAAAAGCAATGTATTCAAAAAAGTAGTCTATCGACGGAAGAGGAGAGTAGACTGTTATATTATGAGGGTAGTTAATAAATTTCGGATTCTAATGCTTTTGTATGCGAATTGGCCAGGTATTTTCAAGTTTGGGAAATTGATCGATGTATGGGAGTTTGATAAACTGTTTTTACTTTGTTTAAAACTTTCCTTTGTTTATAGAGCCTCAACAACTTCATCTTTGCTAAGGTAATGCTCTGACCTAATAAGTGAATAAATACTCTTTACAGCGAATTATGTAGTCACCCAGCCTACACCTCACACGGAGTTAAAGACGAAGAAAAACCCTTATACTACTGTTATATCTATTCCAAAAAAATCTGGATTCAATAAATCACGCTTATTCCTAGTGCTTATTGTGGGTACGTCGCTATCGTAACCAACCACAATGAACAGTGACGATTCTGAATTTGATTCAGATGCTGAGTCTGGATATTCCATATTTGATGAAAATGATGGATACGCTCTTCATGGACTCGATAACTCATTAGGCTTGTCGGATCTTGTGGACTTTCCAAACATTCTCCGGGTGTACTCCTGGATACAGAACCATTATAAGAAGAAAAAAGGGCAGGTACGTATCGCTTATTTATTTTCGAACAATTAAATTAACAATTGTTTTGAAGCTTCGCCATGGCGTAAACCGTCAGAAGCACAAATTACAACCATTACATCGACAACTCAACCAAGAATCCGAGAAATTGAAAGAGAAATTTGGACATTCCATTGATGAGTTACAGGCAAAGTGGAATTCTGGTCAGATGGTCCGTTTTCGGGACAAAGTATCATTTCTTTTGGGAGTTAGTACCTCCATTTTGACGGCTTTACTTTTGGGAATGGCTCCAGAATACATTCATATATGGTACACAATCCAACTTCTCATTTTCCTTCCACTAAGGTATTAGATTTCTACTTTACTATTTACTGACACAAAATAGATACTATACATACCATCGTAAAGGTTATGTTTATTTCATTGCTGATTTCTGTTATTGGGGGAATATAATGGTACGTTGATTTTTTTGTTTAATTCTTTTTACCGATGAAGGTACTTATTCTGACTTGTCAATAGCTATTAGCATATATATGGGTTTTCCCCTTCAGTCGCAGGTTATTCATTCTGAGTTACTCCGTGAGTTACGGCACTCTTGCTTGGTCGGTTGTAGCTTGGAGAAACAGTCTTTTATTTCACTCTCTGTATGTTGATTCTAGATTCTTTAAATTCCTAACAATAAATAGTGATAAGATCACGAGCCTATTTATTCATTTCTTCCCTCCTCTAGTTTTACATACGCTAGTCCATCTAGTCAACCCATCCCATGTCCAGGAGCGTTTTCCAGCTATACCAAACGTACCGAATATATATTTGGGATCTTCAATAAAAATTGCATCCATATCATACGCCTTATGGCAGATATGGTACTACTTCTTCATCCAAGTTGGAAAACGTGAAGAAATTCAAGCAGGAAAACCGACTTCTTTTACGTGGATGTCAAAAGCGTATGTATTAGGATATATATATACAATTGAAGCTAACAAACTTACCAGCTACTCCAAAACCATTTTAGGAAAAGCAATAAACGCATTGCCTGAAAATCTTCGACCATTCGCTTTTATGGTTCTCCAATATTTATATTCCATTACTACGATGTGTCCATGCTCTATTTGGTACAATAATAAAGTTTATTCAACTGTCTTCTTGGTTATCATATTTGGTTGGTCTGTGTGGAATGGCGCATCTTATTATAGTAAGTGAAGCAGTTGATTAACAAATTCTAACAAATATGTAGTCGATGTTTTTGGTATGCGATTTCAAAAAGAATTGGAAACTCTAAAACTTGAAATTGCTAATGATCCTTCGCGCTCCTCTCCATCTAGCGAGTTAGATCCAGAAAATTCAAAAAGTTCCAAAGTAAAATAAAGTCCAATAATGCTTGAAATATCATAAGAAGGAACTCACAATGAATTATTAAAATTATTATTATTATTATTATTATATAAACCTTTTGCCTTTCTTTTGTTTTCCCAATCTATCAAGAAGTGTCGTAGAAAACTATTAAGTTGAACTACTCCAAGTAAGATTTTATTGAAGCATACATTAGTTTATCAACTTCTGACAAACATGAAAAAAAAATTTGTCCATACTGTGTGGTTAGCATCAATCTAATTAACTAATACCCAATCTCTAATTCATACCTTATGTCGACTCACTTTTTCTAATAATTTCACAACTTTTTCACGGACAATGGTTGATATATGATAAAGTCCGTACGATATTATAGTTAATCCCCCTTCGTGGAGCGGGCATAAACTGAGTAAATAAGTTATATCTTCGTCTGTCTGTATATACTGTTCGAGCGCCAAGTAAATGCGAGCTGCTTCTGCAGAGGACACGGCCTGAAGACGAAGTCTATCTAAATGGTAAGAAACATCCATATATAATGCTACTGATATGTCTGTGTTTGCCATCCTCTGTGCACGTTAGCTTACAACATAAAAGAAATGCACGTACATGACAATAATTTTCGTAAGATTTGGTTTTTCTCCATTCCTCAAATTTCCCGGCCATGAGGGATAATTCATTCACTCCAGAAGTACGATCTGGCCAAAACCAACCAAATCCTTCTACTTTGTATTTTTCTATATGGGGATTAAGTGGAGATGATTCCAAGAACATGTACTCGTAGCTTACTGCTTTTCTAATGAACGATAACAAGTAACTTCGAATTCTCCAACGAACAAGTAATTCTTTGTTCCGATGAATCAACATTTTTTGTAGATCACTTATCAACTGTTGTTCGGTATGTTCCTTCAACTTGTTAATTGAAGAAAGCTGATTATAAGGTACTGAAGCAATTAATTCCAGATTTCTAAAGCTCATGTTTTTCTTTGTTAGTTCAGGCGATACGTGGATGATGCAATTATCTAAATCACAAAGTAAATCCCACCAATCTTGATGATATTGAAACGTCGGGTTCATTGCTCCTGCTATGTAACCTGGAAGCTTTAATAACTCATCGACATTCGATAAATCCACATATGGGAAAGTCATGTTTAAGTACCCTTGTAATAAGCCCGAAGCTCCAGAAGCCAACGCGCTAGCAGATAACACGTAGGAGGTTAACACATGGGCTGGAAGCTTGCTAGTGAGAAAGAGTACTCGCTTTTGAAGAAGTAGAGAGTTTATAAGAACAATAATTGGATTCGTATGAGCTTCATCAATAGGCAGACTGGAAGTATATTTCGATAGAGGAAGAGAACTGTTGATAAATGTTTGAATTAGATTGGATATATCATATTCACCTACACACTCGGGTAGGAAGACAGTAGGGACTTCACAGGTAATGGTTCCTGGTTTACCATATGTCGAACTACTCAGTAAAACTTTTGTAGGCGGAATTTTTTTGTCAGAACTATGAAAGGAGCGAGAATGACTGGCAGTTCTCATTAATGATTTTTGACTTTGGGATTCTGAATTGATATACCGGTGGAAGTCGTTTAGTGTCAGTATAACCGAAGAATTTAAAGAGACATCTAATGTAAATGAATTAAAATCGTAACTGCAGAGTTCTTTAAACACATGCTCTAAGGTTAAGGAAGAAGGTGAAGCATCGAAACGTTTCCAAGCACTATCCAATAACGGCTTCAACACTTGGACGTGAGGAAAAGAAGTGCAAATAGCCATTGCAGATAACGTACCATTTCGTTTAGCTAATTGCTCCCGCTTTGTATGAATAACATTCAGAACATGATAAACTTTAGAGCCGTCTGGCCCTTTTATAGCCTTGGTAACCGAAGGAAAAAGAGAAAACGACTGAAGATCCTCATGAAAATGAAGAAAAAATTGAAGCCAATCCTCATTTCGTTCATGAATCCTATCTGGTAACATTACTTCTGCAAGGAATCGGAAATCATAGTGACCCGTTCGAGGAAACTGGTATTGCAAAACAGGGCCTTGATCAGGATCGAAAACTGCAGTGAATATATAATCGATACTCATGTAGAAGGTAATAAATGAATAAGAAGAAAAAAATATGCAAACAGAGGTAAACAAAGATTAAATCAAAAACTAATGTACAGGAATGATTAAGAACTGAACCATCAATGCCGATGATTCAACAATATTAATTAACCCAAATGAGCAATAAGAATATACAAGGGTATCAAGAGGCTGAATGAGTAGACAATTATTTATGACAGTCTCAGCGCTACCGAAAGTACATACCAGCCGCTCGCGTATATTTTCCAAAAACGATAAGACGCGTATTTCTTTGGATTTTTTTTTTAAATCAACCAAAAGTGATAAAAACAATAAGACCTCTTTCTATTGATATATATCAAGCAATGACAGCAGATTCGACACGTCAAGTTATTTAGAAATCTTCTTGGGACATTCTTTGGACAATACAACAATTAATTGTTATTTCTTACTTTTATGGCAATCAAATGAATAATAATTACATGCACAGATGTATCATTGCCTAAGAAATGAAATACGCGAACGCACGATCAATCCAAGTTTGCATTGACGAGTTCATGCTACTTTCTGTATATTGTACTATATGATGTACTCCAAATACGATATTATAAAAAAAATACAATAATATTACAAAAAAAAGGCATTTTGTGTAATTTTGGAAATATTCATTATACGTTGAAATCCAACCAGCACGCAGCCATTTATTGAATTTTTTTCACTGTAACGATATTCATTCAGAAATGAGTTTTGTTAAGGCTTTTCCTCGTTTTAGAGTAGCTACTCAAGCTATCTTCAAGCAATTTTCTACCAAACGAGCTATTGCTTCTCCTAGAGTTGCACGTTTGCAGAGATTTCAACCTATTGCCAAAGCTCCTTTGGGCATTCGTATGGCTTCAAGTGATTCCAGAAAAGATTTGTTGGCTGCTTTGGAATCTGAAATTGACTACGAAAAGAAACATGTTTTAACTGACACTTCTTTACCTCCCATCCCATATGAAATTGAAGACATCCGTGGAGATGCTACCGTGAAGTTGAAAACACAGAACGGTGATGAAACGTAAGGTTACGCCTTTATATTGTTATACTTTGGCTAATTTTTTTTATAGCATATACATTAAATTCAACGTTTCTGACGACACTCAAGAACCCGCCTTGGAGGATAACGAAATGAGTGAATTTGAAGAATACGAAAACAAAGGTCAAGAACAACCCATTGAAGAAGTTCCGGAAGATGAAGTTGGTACTTCTGAGGATTTAGGTCGCTTCCAACCTTGTACCATTGAAGTTGTTAGACCCGATGTCGGTGTTTTGGCTTTCGAAGCTATGGCTTATGATGAAGGCTTTGAAATTGAAAACATCTTCTTCTCTAAAGATGCCAACGTTTTGACCTCGGACAGCGTTGATGCTGAGTGGTCTCGCCGTAAGCAATATCTCGGACCTTCCTTCAAGGAATTGGATCCTGAGCTTCAAGACCTTTTCCACAATTTCTTGGAAGAACGTCGCATTGATTCTGAAACCGCTTCCTTTGTTATTTCTTTCGGATTAACCAAAGAACTTAAAGAATATGTCCGTTGGTTGGAAAATGTTCGCGATTTCGTCAAGTAAAATGATTTCGCTTAGTTTTGCTTATTTTATTTCTTATACGTACTAGTCCCCACTTTACCCACTTCTCATAAAGTAATCAATGCATTTTTTTGAATTCCTAATTTCTTCCTTATTTTACATGTATAAATGGCTATACTAAAAATAAAATTAACCTTAATCTAAACCAAACCCCAAAATTTTCGCCGTATTTAACTCCAAAATATCCACAAAAAACGATGTTTCGCTTTTTCCATGCTCGTGACCTTTCCTTCAAACTTACATCTAAGTTCAGTTCCAGTTAATGAAAAGATCAGCTCGTTCTAATCATCTATTCTAGTCGTCAATCCTCTATTAAATTTGCAAACGAAGGGACTTAATCAAGTCACCACCGATCTGCTGTATCTGTTGACACACGGCAGTTGTGTCCACGACAACGGAGTCCTTTTCAACAACCTTGAAAGGATAATTTATATTAATTTTGAAATGACGTGGATTCATAATGGCAGGATTGAATATACCACCAATCGTCTTTGGGTCATCTTTGTTGTAAAACAAATAGATCGAATCATTGAAAGCATTTTGTATTTCCTCAATGAAAGCACTGACCGGAGAAAAACCAGGTCTTTCAGTGGATAAAGACTTCAAGTTCTTATACTTAAGTTTTGCATTTTCACGGTATGTAGGAATATTAGCTGCATGTAATTCGATCACGAAATGATATGCGTCCATTGAGCTATTGAACAAAGACTATGAAAAATTAGTAAAAAATTCGTAAAATAGTATGAAAAGGTTTCAAATTACTTACCTTGAAATTTGTAACTGGTTTCATCAGTTCAGATACGGCTGCTCTAGCCAAAACAGTAATTCGATTAGCAATCATCTTAGTCGGTGTTTTCCATCCAACATGCTTGCTTTCTAAATCGTAATCCACGACGATATAGAACGGATTCCGATTCATTGACACATCCTGTTTTCGCAAAATTTCTAACTTCTCAGCAGCTTGTGATTGTATGTTTGTTGGTAATCTTTGGCGGAAATCGATTACAAGGGGTTCAAAACGCCAATCCCAATTGGCCAAGAAATGTAACATTCTACACAAGGCTGTTTCTCCACTAGCAGTAGCCTGCCAAGCATTGGAATTTACGTAGACGCTTGCTATTAAGAGTTCAATCACTTCATCACTTACATGATTGGTAAGCATATGACTGTAAAACCAATGCTTCGCAAGGCGGACGGCCATAGAATAACTTCGATGTTCTTGACAAATAGCCTGAATAGCAAGGGTATGCTGAGGTATGAATTTAAATATATGATCATATGTGTAAAGACCCTCTTGTCCTTTCTGTCTCGTTGCAGGATTTCTTTCAAGTGTTTTCCACAAGGCAGCTTCTCTATCATTTCGTATCCTATAACGAAAGGTAAATCCATTTGTATATAGAACTTGTAAAAAGCAGCAATTTAAAGCCGGATGATCCGTATTCTCGAGTCCTACAGCCGCTTTTTCAACATTTTCCAATCCCTCCATATATTCAGCTATCTTTAGCAAAAATGCAATTTTTGCTCTTTGGATGCCCTCCAATTCATCTGGCCAACGAGAAGAAGATTCAAACTGAAAAACTATGTTTATAGGGGTAGTCGCAAACGTGTCATAACCAGGAACGCGACTGCAACTATATCTTAATGCTTCATCTGCAGGAAGAACTTCCGATATACTAAGAGGGATATCAGAGAAATTGTGAAGTGTCTTAACCGCTTCGTTATAAGCTTCCGTTACCGGTACATAATCATTGTACGTGTCAACATTCGGCGACAATTTAGCATGACTAAATATTTGAAACTCTTCATTATGAAATTTCACCATTTCACCGCATTTGTTTGATATATGACAATCCACGACGTATCTTATAATCCGCATGGGAATCTGGGAACGCTCACTAGGCGTTGAGGATTCCCAATATACACTTTCCGCTATTCTGCCATCCTTAAACTTTCTTAATTCAGATTTTTCTCCCCAAAATTCACGAAATTTCGTAGTAGCTTCACTGTCTTCCAAAGATGGACCGACATCCACCAATCGCAAAGACACTTCTGAATTTAACAAGAGTCCAAACGAAATTTTACTTGGATAACTGTTTTCTAACAAGTCCTTTACATCAGACGAAATAACCTCAGACTGTGATAAAACAAGTCTGTTCACTCGATCGTTCAAACCTATACGCAGTATATTCCATAATTGTGATATATAATATGAGAATTTAGAATCCAAATCCGTCAAATCGGTATAATTTTCAGAAGTTGTTTCTAAATGCACAGGGATGGTACCAGAGACATCAAATTCAAGGATAGGAACATTCACTCGCGTAAGGAAAACCTTTGGAAAGTTTACAATCTCATTTTCATTTAAGAGCTTCAATGAATGCAAAGATGAGGTCTTTAAACAATCAAGATAAGTTTGGTTCATTTTATATAGTAAATTTAAACCAGTCGAACAATCGATAAACGTAGGCGAAGACTGGTCAACAATTGCCAAAGGAGATTTGTCGTGATTCACTTTATGTAACGAGTTTGAAAGACTGTCTGAAGATAGGACCTGCAAAACGCCCTTGAACAGCTGTGTAGCGTTCAAGTATGCAGATAAGACACTACCAGTAGGAAGCCCTGAAGCGCTCATAAGAAGAGAAAGCATTATACACCATTCCCGATGTCCAAATCCATATTGATGCATGCCAGAACAGAAGCCTCTCATGTTTAACCAGACACTGCCCAAACCGCAAGCCTCTATAAACTGAGAATTAATACTGTACTTTTTAACCAAGTCACGATAATATAACGTAGATTGATCCTCCAAAATTGAAGCATTATAGAACGGAGTAGGAAGCAACTCCTCATCAGCTGAAAGATTTCTCAAACAATTTTTATGGGCCAGCAACTTAGATGTCGGGAAAAACGGAGCAACACAAGGTATTATGTCAATAGAAAATCTTTTGCGTGCAGAAGAATCTTCATTCACTGGTTTTATTTTTATTATAGGTCGGCGGACATCCCCATGTAGAGCGACATACTTTACCTCAACATCACTGCCCAATTTCTGGACAATCTCTTTAGCCAAACATGCTAGGAAGTATTGTCGCTTGTGAAAATAACGGTTGTTCAAAAAATCTTTCGGCGTAAACAGAGTCTGAGGCATTTCAACCAGTAAGTCGTACACCCAACCATTCGGAGTTGAAAAATGCTTTCCGCTGCAAGAAAGAATACCCGGTGAAATAGATACTGGACTTGAAGACTTCACTTTAATATTGGTATCTTCAGCAGGATAAGGCTTGTGTAGCGGTACTTTAACGGTACCAGACTTCTCCAACTTATTGCATGCTTGCCAAAAATTGGATTCCTCCTCATCAGGGACACCCTTTAAAACTTTCTTTAACTTTTCAACAAGAGAGAGAGCTACTTTCAAATACTTGTTGCTGACTGACACTTCTCTTACCAGTTCAGCAGCCTGCAGGTCAAAAGCACTCGTTTTTGAAAGAGTCAGATTTTCCAAATCTTCCCGGTCTACTCCTGCTTTAAAGCGTTTTCGATTTGCAGAGTCATTAGTGCTCTGTGTGCCATGTTTTAAGCTATCGTTACTATCGTTGGTCACGTTCATGGATTCATTCTGCTGTTCAATGTTAGCAATTGCCCAATTTAATACTGTTACCAAACTTACCCCAGTGAAATTATTAGATGGCTCACTCAAGACTTTCTCTGAAGCACTCATGACACTCCTAATGAAATTTCCTGAGTCGTTGTCTGCAAATTCGATTACCGGCAATTTTGTAAATGCAGGACACAGGGCATAACGAAAGTATAAAATTATTATACACGATTGCTCTATAAAATTGCTTTAAAACATTTATTTGAATATTAAATATAAATTTCAATTATAATTTGTACAAAATTTACTCGGCATGTTTAGGCTTTGTTTCCAACTGTACACGTCTTAACCTTCCCTATACCAACAACGGCCTCAATTTTCTGGAATACCCTGAAGGGGTTATATATAAGAGTGTAAACGGCCTAAACTGTTAGCAAAAGACGGAAATTGTTAATATTTTGAAATCAAACTGCTTTTTTACGATACTTACTTCTTGTGACCAACGAAAACAATTAAGTATTTTTATTAGATCGTTCTTTCGACAGACATAAAGAAAAGCTTATCATCATGACTGAAAACCTAATTCAAAAACTTGAGAATACGACCTTAAATGAACAGGATTGGAAAGCTCAATTACAAGCCAACAATATTGACAAAAGACCCAAGACTGAGGTAAGTGCTTGAAAAGATAATTGGTCTTTGCTGTTCGAACATTAAAAATCTTTGAACTATATATTAACTTTTTCCTTAGGATGTCACTAAAACTAGAGGTACCGAATTTGAAGATTATTATTTAAAGCGGTAAGTAAACTTGAGATTTATGGAAGTTGTGTCACTAATATTTGAATAGTGAGCTTTTAATGGGTATTTTCGAAGCAGGCTTCGAACGCCCTTCCCCTATTCAAGAAGAATCCATACCTATTGCTCTTAGTGGGCGTGATATTCTCGCTAGAGCTAAGAATGGTACCGGTAAAACTGCTGCCTTCGTTATTCCCTCTTTGGAAAAGGTTGATACCAAAAAAAACAAGATTCAAACTTTAATCCTTGTTCCTACTCGTGAGTTGGCTCTTCAGACTTCTCAGGTTTGTAAAAATTTGGGCAAGCATATGAATGCGAAGGTTATGGTTACTACTGGTGGTACGACTCTCCGAGATGATATTTTACGTTTGAACGACCCTGTCCATATCGTCGTTGGTACTCCTGGCCGTGTACTTGATTTAGCCGGAAAAGGAGTAGCCGACTTCAGTGAATGTATGACCTTTGTAATGGATGAAGCCGACAAATTATTAAGCCCTGAATTTACCCCTATTATTGAGCAGCTACTATCTTACTTCCCTAAAAACCGTCAAATTTCTTTATACAGTGCCACCTTTCCCTTGATAGTTAAAGCCTTCATGGACAAGCATCTCAACAAGCCATATGAAATTAATTTGATGGATGAACTTACTTTGCGAGGTATTACTCAGTACTATGCATTCGTCGATGAAAGTCAGAAGGTACATTGTCTTAATACTTTGTTCTCCAAGCTCCAAATTAATCAGTCGATTATCTTCTGCAACTCTACCAACCGTGTTGAGTTGCTTGCTAAAAAAATTACTGAGTTGGGATATTCCTGCTTCTACTCTCATGCTAAAATGCTTCAATCCCACCGTAACCGAGTTTTCCATAATTTTAGAAATGGTGTTTGTAGAAACTTGGTTTGCTCTGATTTGTTGACCCGTGGTATTGATATTCAAGCTGTAAATGTTGTTGTTAATTTTGATTTTCCCAAGAATGCCGAGACCTATCTTCACCGTATTGGTCGTTCTGGTCGTTTTGGACACCGTGGTCTCGCTATCAGTTTTATCTCTTGGGCTGATCGTTTCAATTTGTACCGCATTGAAAACGAGCTAGGCACTGAGATCCAACCTATTCCTTCTAGCATTGATCCTTCTTTGTATGTGTTCCCCAATGGAAATTACCAGGTTCCCCGTCCTTTAACTGGTACTGCTGAACAAACTCTTGCTGCTCAGCAAGCTAGAGGACAAGAATACAATAATAATCGCAACAATAATCGCAATCATTCTGGACGTGGTAATGGTGGTGGGTACCGCGGTGGTTATGGTGCCAGACGCAACCCTAGATATGGAGGTCCCAACCCGAAGTCTTTATCATAAAACTACGAATCTCTACCTGTAGAAGATCCTTATGATATGATAAAAAATACAGTCTTTTGGACTCTGTCACCTTACAAAGAAGATAATCATATCATTCCGTTTTTTGATTTATTTGAAGACTTAAATTGGGTGTACGTAGTTTAGGTGAAAGCCACCGGTTTGTGAATAAGGAGTCAAAAGTTAATAGTCTTCTTGTTTCTACGATGATGACCTTTAACTCTTGACTCCAAAAAATTTTGAATGATGTAATCAATTACAACTAAATAAGTGTACAGTTATGTTCATCTATTATATTGTGGTCATGGCTTGTTAAGTTAAAAATCGAGAGCTGAATCTATGTTCATGGCAATTTTCAATTCCTCGGTTGATAAAGGCCACACGTATCCAACTATAGGCTGAACCCTTTGAGTGAATTGTTGAAACGATTGAATAAATGTTTTTGCTGTTCTTTTCATCACCTGTTCCATTATTAGTGGAGCTGTAAGAAGTTGAAGATCCGCGATTATTTCTGAGATGGTTATAGTAACAAAAGAATTGAATCTTGAGACATGTTCATCCCAAGGGGCAGATGAAATAGCATTTAGTTCTTCCTTATCGTCCTTGTCCTTTATAAAGTTGATGATATCCGAAAGACCAGATTCAGTTAGATAAGTCTGATATATCAATTCTACCAGCTTTTCAACATATTCATTTTCTTTGTTTTCAAAGCTTTCTCGTATAGGAGCGAGGAATTTGTAGCGCCTTAGGTAAGTAAGACAGCTGTCTAAAATGTTCAGTAGATAAATTACATATTTGTGAAAGGATAATTGATCCTTAACCATAGTTAAACAAATTTGAAACACTTTTTCAAACAAATCAGAGAAGATTGTAATGAATTGCTCCTCATCTACTCCTGATGAACTTAGAGACGTGTTCCGAATTTTGAATACAGAATTTGAATCCCGAAGAAAGCTGGTTACAAAGTCTGGCGGTAGTAAATCGTCAGTGACTTTAGGCAGTGAGGACGAAATAGCATATAACTCATCGTCAATAACTGTTTTCATTCTCTGATAAGTAAAATCTTCAATTCTAAAAGATAAAATTAGTATTATGTGTTAAAAAATAAACGTACGTCTTCAGTATTTTCAAAATTATGCAATTCTCATGAACGATTTTCGAAAATGCTTCTTGATAGAATCCAAGCAGCTCGATTAAGTTATATAAACGGATGGTATCAGCTAAATCGAGTACTGAGGTTTGCGCCCGCGATAGCAAAGGACGGCAAATACCATACAAACTTCCATCTAGTAAATTTATTGATTGTTCTTGTACAGCACTAGGTGTATCCCAAGGGGACACCGGATGACTCCGTACTTGTTGTCTTCTAGCAGCAAGTAAAGAATCAATCAACTCTATTTCATTTACAATCGTTTGATGAGTCCAAGCTAAAAGATCACCTACAAAGCGCATAGTATCTGGGGCTGAAAGTTCAATTGGTTTTGAGGAAGAAAGTGCATCACCTTTTGTTAAAGCAGTAACATATGCCGAATGAAGGTTCTGTTGTCGTACCTGAGTAATCAGGTTTATCGTTTTGTTAATTGTCGTGTGTTCAGACAAAAGTTTTGTTATCGCTCGTTTAATTTCCGGGTTGGTTTCCATAGTTTGAATTACTCGAGGGTTCTTGAGTTCAAGCTCTACAAATCTGTACAGCTTAGTGTAACCAATATCAATATGCCTTGACATATTCTTTATGATTCCTTCAAGAGATTCATAATTAAGGAACTCGCTGACGGGAGTAAAAAGAGAGTTTGTATTATCGTGAATGGACTGGGCTTTCTCAAGAATTAGATAAAAGCGATCATCAACATCATTTTGAGAAGTTAAATGAATTAAATCTTCATCCGAAATTAGAAAATTTTTTTCGAAATATTCAATGCATTTGAGTTTATCATGAACGTGTTTCTTCTCAGCTTCAAAGGATTGGTATTTGCTATACAATTCCATGGCGGCCTTGGATTTAGTATTCCAATGAGAATCATAAGAGTCAACGGAATTTGAGAATGACGAAAAAGACTCTTTCATGGATTCAATATGCTATATGGGTTAGCTTATTCGAACTTATTGTTCATTGTCGTACATTTGTTAAAATAGACAATTCGTGCAAAATAGAGCCATTTGTCCAGATTAAGTCTGAGAACGCTTCAAAAGGCAACTGGTCTCGAGTTTCTTTTTCATTTTTGAAATTCCTTTCTGACAATTGCTGTAATGCTGACTCTAGTTGTGGATTCACATAATTAATAGAAGACAATTGTGCAATACTTTTTGATATCAAGTTCCGAAACGATAGTAATTCATCTCGCTTTAGTCGATAGTCAGGTCTTTCGGTTTTTACCTCCATTCAGGTACTTGGTTAAAAATGGTCGGCCCTCCAGATACAACACGCGAGAAGGACCTGGTTATGAAAGCTAGTTAAATACACTTTTTTTATTGTATGTTTATCATAATTAGTTTTTTACAACTAGGCCCATTCGGTTATTTGTTTCGATAGACAAGTGGACAAATCTTTTATAAGTGTTACAGAAGCCAGAAAGCATTCGCAGTTGTCCTTCAAGAGAACTAAGCTTTTCTTTCGAGCAGCAAAGAAAATTTTATTTTTTAATGTATTAATGTTTTTTTATTCTCAAGCATTTATAAAAATTGAATTACTAAATGACCATCGTAAGTTCCTCGCGGGTTTTTTGTTGTCTGTCTGTTATATACTAATTACTTTGCTTTTAGTTTCTTCATTCAATTTCAGAGTTAACCAAGAATGAATGCTACACCAATAGTGCATGGTTTGTTATTAGATGACTACTCTCGCTGTCAGCATTATCATAGTGAGCTGGATATTGTAGCATTACGCTGCCATGAGTGTAAAAAGTTTTATGCTTGTTTTGCCTGCCATAACACTCTGGAGTCTCATCCTTTTGGGCCATGGAAGGCAACACCAAATATGTTGCCTGTTTTGTGTGGAGCATGCAAACATAGCATGACAAAGGATGAATATCAGCAAGCCAGCAGCTGCCCAAATTGCAGGCGACCATTCAACCCAAACTGCCGAACACACAAAAATTATTACTTTGCATAAACTATAACAAAATTGAAAAGCATCTATCTTGATACTAGTTTGCGTTTACCCAAGGTTAGAAAAGGAGCAGAGCAAAAAGAATTGCTGTATCTAGTATGCTATTGAAGTCGGTGACGACGAAATTAGCAAATGCTCATTAACAAAATCGTTGATTCTGTCAGAATCCATTATTTGATACATTGCTTAATTTGTTTTCTTACCTTTTCACTTTACGTGGCAATTCATCGATTCCAGGCGGATTACGTACAAGTGGTGAATATTTATATAAGTTATGAAACATCTTCGTGTTCGCAGCAACTAATTCATATAAATAATCAGGTAATTAATTATAATGCCGGAATACCACGGTACTTGTCTTTGCAAAGCAGTTCAAGTTTCTGTACAGGTAGAGAAGCCTGAACTTGGCATCTGCCACTGCGACACTTGCAGGAAATGGTGTTCAGCACCTTTTATGGCTTTTGCAGCACAAGATATTAATTTAGAACCCAAGGACAAGGTATCCCAGTATGCATCGTCCAACATAGCCAAACGATCATTTTGCAAGATTTGTGGTACTACTTTATCCTTTTTTTACGACGACATGAAACAGAAATTTGTAAACCCTTGGATTCTTAAGGACGTTCAGAACATAACTACTGGTGTTGAAGTATGCTACGACAATAAGCCTAGTTGTTACTCCTTTGACAGCAAAGCCCAGAAGTATACAGAAGCAGAAACGATGGCGTTCGTGAATCTATCCTAAAGAGTTACGGCTTTTGTGGAGTAATCTTAAGTATAGTCGTCTCCAACGAAAGACATGCTGGATGCAATTCTCAAAGGTGGGTGATTTAATTGTTAACTTGTTAAATTGAGTTGATGGATTGTAAGGACGAATAATTTACTTTATACCAATATGAGCATGAGCGAAAAAGTCTTGGAGGATTCAACAAGTCATTACGATCTTAGTATACACTTACTGGTAACATTATTCTTTCAATAAATCAAATCTTATAGTTCCTACATTGCTGCGAATGCAGGGAAGACAATTTGAAAATATCGTATTATCATGTTTACAACGATGGTGGATATGTGTAAAAACTGTGACTGCTTCTGTACGTGTCCCCTAAACACCAAAACGAAAATTCACGCTTCCTCAGCCCACCACCTAACAGGCGAAATAAAGTATGCCTACTCATCTTGCTAAGAACCGTAAGCTTCGTGGTCACGTTTCCGCCGGTCACGGTCGTATCGGAAAGCACAGGAAGCATCCTGGTGGTCGTGGTCTTGCTGGTGGTCAACATCACCTCCGTACCCACTTGGATAAGTACCACCCTGGTTACTTTGGTAAGGTCGGTATGCGCCGTTTCCACCTTCAAAGAAACCCCTTATGGCGCCCTAGTGTCAACTTGGACCGTCTCTGGACCTTGGTTCCCAACGAAACCCGCGAAAAGTACTTGGGTAAGAACACCGAGGTTGCCCCTGTGATTAACGTCGTCCAATCTGGTTATGCTAAGGTTTTGGGTAAGGGTCGTCTTCCTGAGACTCCTGTCATTGTTCAAGCTCGCTACGTCTCCCGCAGAGCTGAGGAGAAGATCAAGCAAGCTGGTGGTGTTGTTGAGCTCGTTGCTTAAAATGATTAATAAATGTTGTTTGGTTTAATTTTATGACGAATTTTCCTGGGACTGACCAAAAATTGGTTTGTTTAAATGTGTATTTTTTTTTTTCGATTGAGTATATTATATGTAAAGCCGTCATTCGAATTAGAAATGGATACAACAAAGATAGGGAGCGTAATAAAACATTAATAGACATAGTTTGAGATTATTTAGATATAAAGTACAAGACAATTACAGATTGCCATCGATGCTATCACTAGGACGTTTTCTTTTCAGGTCAGATATCTCTTGCATGCTTGAATCATTGTCTTCTCCATCTTTTAAAATGCGAGAGAAGTGCTGAGTGGTTTCGGTAGAGTCGTTCTCCATAGACGGTGAATTAAACCTTGGTTTGTCTAAATTAGCATCGTTACGCTGAAAGCTAAATGGAAACGTTGGGTCATCCAAATACAGAAAGTCATGTGCCATTGCCTCACATGCCGTTATGCGTTTATTACAATCCAATTCTAAACAGCGTTCCAGAAAATCTAGACAGACACTTTCTTCGATACTAGGTTTATGCATTAATTTTTCTTTGTAAATACTAGCCGATCCACAGCTAGCCCACAATATTAATTTTCGAAAATTAACTCTTTTTTCGGTAAGTGTAGTAACATTAGTTTCAAATGCGCAACCTAATTAAATTAAAGTTAGAAATTTCTTGTAAAATCACCAGATATCATACCGTGTAGTGCTGCAACCTGTCGCATTTCGTTTTTTCCAAAAATACAAGCTATCTCCATAAGGGCATCCACGTCGTCCTTGGAATTAAACATTGGAAATCTCTTTGTAAGAAAAGAAAGTAATATGACGCCAGCAGACCAGATATCTATTTTTGTAGTCTGAACAGGACATTTCAACAAAACTTCTGGTGCTCGAAATCCTCGCGTTCCAGCTCGATTTGCCCGTTTGCTAGGTCTAGTATCATTTTTTACATATCCCAAGGCTGGCTCATAATCTTTATATGATTCTCGAGCTAAATTAGCGGTGTCTGATGACGCGCATGGACAGTTTTTGGGGACAGGCAAGCTACAGTGTTCAGCCAAACCGAAATCAACTAAAACGCCGTGTTTTCGTTCAACGTTGAAAAGAAAATTACTCGGTTTGATATCCCGGTGCATGACTTGCATAGCTTCACAAGCGGTTAAAGCACTGAACAGGCAACGAAAGTAAGCACTCATTTCTTTGTAAGAGAAATTGCTATAAAACTGTCGAAAATCGGTATGCTGATAGTAAGGTAGTATGAGCAAAACCTGATCTTCATTTCTTAATGCCGTTATTAAAGGTGCAATTGTATCTATTCCACGTAAAAGATAAAGAATTTCTAGTTCGTTCAGAATGCGCATGGGGCTACTCGTAGCATATATCTTTTTGATAGCAACAAATTTGGGCTTTCTTTTTATAGGGCTGATGGCCCCTTCATTACTTGAACCTTCCAATGTTGGTTGATTTGTTAAACCTTTAGAATCTATATCCCAATCATTAATATAATCGTAGTATTTTAAGTCTTCAGCCTTGTATACGCTTGAAAAAGTCCCTGTATATTATGTCAGTATGTTTTTAAGGATTATGCCAGAAAAAGACACGGTTTGTTTACCCTCTCCAATCTTTTCCATGAGTTTATATTGATTTTCCAGTCCATCAAATACATTAATAATTTCTTCCATTTCTTCTCGGTCCTGTTCGGGCACGTCCGCACGACTTTCCATCATCTCATATTTATCTGATTTTTCTTCATCAATATCCGTAGCCTCACATTCATCAATATCGTCCACGTCTGCTGCTTGTTTCGAAGCATCCAGCTTTTCAGATTGTTTGGTTACAACACTGGACATTGTCAGGTAACTGAAATTTCTTCAAAAAAGAAGTTAGCTAAATAACAGAATTCTGTTTTTACATATGAACAGAAGGTTCAGTACGTTGTAGCATCAGTTTTTTGCTCTATATCGCTTTTATTGTAAGATAGACAAGTTGATGTTTACAATAAAACTAACGTATTAGAATTTCATGCGAGGGAAATAAAGAAAACAAAGAAAAACGCGTATGGTGGGCGCTCTGAATCGTTTGTATATATTAAAGCCAGGACACGAAGAATTTTACGAAAGGTAGCAATGTTACTCAGTTTTTGAGCATTTCACTATGTTTTAAGAGATGCTAAAGCTCTTCTACATTTTTAATTATTATATATTACAATTTATATTTGTAAGATTTAAAGTCTACGAATTCCTCCCATCCAGAAGCATGACATTTACTAGACCGACATCTTAAGTAGTGATAGGTATAGAGACAAAAAATAGACGCAAATACACAAGCATTTTCGTAGACTAAATACTTTCTTTATGAATTGTAACAAAGTAAGTAAGTAATGTACTTAACATCTACTATTTGACAATTCACGCGTTTGTTTACTAAGCCATTTTCTTGCTTTTTCTTAGTAAACAGTTCGATCATTGAAGGGCTCTAACCGTCAAACCCCCACGCAAGCCGAAAGTGTTTGTCCTCTCAATATGTGGGCGTCAACTTGATTATAGTTATGTTATTGAAACATATTATTAACTGGAGTCTTTTCAATAATATCATCCAAATTGAACTACCAAACATAGAATCGTAAACAAAACCTAGAGAATCAACATTTACAGGAAGTCTCGATGTCTTTAGACCTCCTTTCTAGGCTAAAGAAGTATATTCACGATGAAGAAAATTCAATTTTAGATTCCTTATACGCGGACTGTCAAAACGATGGATTGTCGAATGCTGTTAACCGTAAGAGAATGCATGCAGTTTCCTGATTCAGATACTAACTATAATTTTTATTTAGATGTTATTGATACACTACTATTAGGAACTAGCTCTTGTTTTGACAACGACTGTGTTGAGAAGTTGTTCGCGATCTGCCTGTACGTACATTCTTGTGAAGCCAATGAGTAATATTGTCTCTTGCCTTTCTATGAAATTTCTTTCGTGTTGCTAACAGGGACTTAGACATTTCTTCGATTTATCTTCCAACTTGAAGAACAAAGTCTATGATTTACTGACGAGCATCATCGGATCCGAAACAGCTGTGCTTGAAGACTTGATTATTGCGAACGCTACGGATTTTTTTGTTCCACAAACAAATTTGGAATCTGTAGGAATAGCAATTCAACTTACTATCAAATCCCTCTCTGAAAGTAATCAACTTAGCATCATTCACACGTCCTCTAGCAGCTCTAGGGATAAAAAGAAAAATGTTTCACAGCAACAAAGCTCTACTTGGAATGGTCTTATCCACGTCAATTCTTTTCTAGATTCCGTCAGCAATCTTTTCCACAAAAAGCTATCTCGTGTTTGGACAACATCTTCCGAAAGAGATATGTTTTTATCTCTTTTTCTGAAGCCAGTGTATACTCTAATGGAAAGTGAAACAAACATGAAAAACAGTGGTTTTAGAGTACGGATGTTTGACCTAATCAGCCTTGCAGTGAAGTATCACCACCAAACTGCTGCTGCCGAAACCCGTATTATACAAAGTCTTCAATATTTTGAGCATCTTGCTGAATATCTTGCCGATTTGGTTCATTTAACTACCGTGAGATACGAATTTTCTCCTTTGGCTGAAGGTATCCTTCACACCCTTTGTTCTTTGGAGTTCAGTGACAACGATGTGAAAGGACCTAAACAAGTTTCTCTTTTTCTAGTTCATCTCTCATCTTTGTTACCGAGTTTGTGCTTTAAGCAATTGACCATATTGACAAAATTATTGGATTCTGAATCCTACACACTTAGATGCGCCATTATTGAAGTGATTGGAAACGTAATCCTTGACATTATTCAGGATGATTCAGAAGAAGATAATTCCGAGTCTATTTCCTCTAATGTTCAAAGCATTCTTGAAGTTTTGGAAGATAGGTTATTGGATATAAGCCCGTACTGTCGTACAAAGATCCTTCAAGTATTTTTTCGGATTTTCGAGTTACCAATCAAGTATCCTCAAAAGCGCCAAGAAATTGCGGAACTTACTATACGATGTATGCAAGATCGTTCTAGTCATGTTCGAAGAAATGCGATTCGACTATTTTCCAAGTTGTTAACCACTCATCCGTTTTCTGTTATGCACAATGGTATACTCACAAGAAGCGTATGGGAAGAAGGTCTAGGTTTTGTTGAGGAGCAGTTACGTTCACTTCAACCAAAACGCGTCGTCACCAGCACTGATTATGAAAGTAGCGTTGATGAGAATTTACTTGAGGATGCTACTATGATACGGGATGAAGAAGATAATGCGTCAATGGAATTAGAAAGCAGTCAGGATAAAGATAAAGATCCACTGAATGCATACGCCGATTCTGTTCCTGCTGAGGACATCGTCAAAATAAATTTAACCAAGCGTTTTTATGTTGAAGCACTTAAATTTATAGATACTTTGGAAGAAGGGGCAAAAATTATAAGCCAGCTTTTATCGGCAAAAAATAAAAGCGAGGTTATTGAAGCCATGGATTTTTTTGTTTGTTGCAGCTCCTTTTGTTTATCATTTGCCAAGCAATATATCAAACGAATGATTCATTTGATCTGGGTGAAAGGAACTTCTGATGAAGGGAATAGCATACAAAATCATGTTTTAAATTGTTATAAAACTCTTTTCTTTCAACCACCCCCTGGAAGCGATGCAAACGATCGTGCTAATTACATGGCCAGGAACTTAATATCTTTGACTTATGATTCCAGTCTTGCTGAACTAACATCACTTGAGCAAATGCTATCAATTTTAATGAAACAGGACTATTTCCCAGCGTTGGTAATTACTAAGTTATGGCAAGTATATAGTTATGTGAAGAAGGATATATCGAGAACACAACGTCGTGGTGCAATAATTGTTCTAAGTATGCTTGCACTAGGAAATAACGAAATAATTATTCAAGGTTTGGATTACTTGGTACAGATCGGACTTGGCGCTCCTGGCTTGGACGATCTAGTGCTTGCTCGATATAGTTGTATAACCATCAAGAGAATATCAAAAAGTTCTCCTACTTCTTTAGCTATTACATTTCCAAATTCTCATGTTGTCTGTCAAAAGCTTTGCATGTTATTGTTGAGACCTTCTACGTCCGATGAATGGTTTGGACTTCAAGAACAAATTATCGACGCTATATATGCTGTCTCAAAACATCCGGATGAACTTTGTACAAACGTAATTATTTTATTAACAAAAAATTTATTTGAAAGAACGAAAGCTACTGAGAACAGCAACGAAGATGCCATGGACGAAGACATCAATATACCTGAACAAGAGCAAAATGCTGCCACGCAGTTTGCCCATCTTATTTTTGTTGTTGGACATGTTGCTATAAAACAACTCGTTTACATAGAGTATTGTGAGGCCGAATTCAAAAGAAGAAAAGCAGATGCCGAGAGAAATCCCAATGAATCCAATGAAAAAAGTGGTAACCAGTCCGAGTTTGATTTAATTACTGGAACTAGTGAGGATGATTTTGCTGAGGCTATGACATTCATTCGTGAAAGAGAACTGCTGTATGGAGAGAACTCGCTATTGTCTCGTTTCGCTCCTTTGGTAGTAGAAGTTTGTTCACATCACACGGGATCTCATAATGATAGTTTGTTAGTTGCATCTTCGTTGACATTAGCCAAATTTATGTGCTTGTCAAATAATTTTTGCATGGAAAACTTACCGCTACTTATTACCATACTGGAAAAGTGTGAGAATCCATTGATCCGAAACAACCTCGTAATTGCTTTGGCTGATTTAACTGTTTGTTTTAACCATTTTATTGACGAAATATCTGAGTTTTTATATAGAAGACTATTAGATCCTGATCCATCTGTGAAGAAGACTTGTTTCATGACTCTTGCATTCCTTATTCTGGCTGGTCAAATTAAAGTGAAGGGACAATTGGGTATTATGGCACGATCATTAGAAGATGAAGATGCTCGAATTGCGGATTTAGCTAAAATGTTCTTCACGGACTTTTCGGCTAAAGATAACTCTGTATACAATAATTTTATCGATATTTTTAGTGTTTTATCTAAGAGTTCGGAGGACCAAGACGAAGAGGATACCAAGTTTAAACATATAGTCAGATTCTTAATGTCTTTTATTGAAAAAGAACGTTATACGAAACAGCTAACAGAGCGTCTGTCTGCACGCTTGCCTAGGTGCAAGAGCCAGAGGCAGTGGAACCATGTTGCATACGCGCTTTCTCTATTACCTCACAAATCTGATGAAGTGCAAAAGCAATTGGATGATGGTTTCCGAGCTTGATTGCAAATTCATTTAAGAAGCTTATTTTGACATCAATAGATCATGTATAGTAATATTATTTAGGAATTTTAAAAAGGGAGGCTTTGATTGGAAAGTAGTACAAAACAGCTTTTTATTAAAATCCGGAAATAAAATTCAAGAGCAATTCATTGTGAGTAATAAATTCTTCAACTTAATCAAAAAGAAAATTCAGGGAATGTATGTTTATTAACGTGTTGCAGCGTAATCAAAAATAAACGAATTTGTTTAATAAAGCCGAAGCTAAGACTTTCAGTGTCAGTTCCTAAAGGAATTGTGAATTGGTTTCTTCGTAATCCGTCAAAATGCCCGTTAATAAAAGGCAAAAAAGAGTTAAGAAAAAAGCACAAACTAACAGACCTTTACAAGCTCCCGAAGAAACTGAATCTCCTAATGTTACTGAACCGAAACCGACTAAGAATGAAGCAGTAGGAAAGAAAAAAGGCTTTTTTCGAAAACCAAAATTTGGAAGACGCGTTAATTTTATTCTAGGTACTATCATTGGCATTTGCGGTGCCTTTATTTTTGCAGTTAATAGCAATGATGGCATTTTCGATCCGGCTGCTTTAGAAGCTTTAAGCGCAAGGTTAGGATCCTCAGACTTGTTCGAAGATATCAAAGGATTTCTTTCGTATCATATGTTTGACGAGTCAACTACAATGGATTCTAAAACTCGTTCACAATTGAGTACCGAAATAGACGTAGGATTGGATATGCGTGACGAAGGATATTCATACCATCATCCTGTTGTTATGGTAATTATACGAACGTGAAGATAATCCATAGTAACCATATAGACACCTGGTGTTATTAGTTCTGGCTTGGAAAGTTGGTCATTCAGGAATTGCTCGTAAGGAAAAATCATCTGAAATATGAAGATTCTAATATTTAAGAGTGCCTTACTTCAGGAAACGACTATGGGTAAGTAATGCTTTTTTGTTTTTGGGAATTGAAGATTAGACTAACACATCATAGGGAAGTTGGTCTATGCTAAAAGCTATGCTTCTTGATAAACAATGTTGGCTAGTATGAGCTAGGTTGTTTCTTGCGACTAATTTCTCTTTAGGAACATTTAATGTTGGACCCTAAAACCGGATTAGATCCTCCTGGCATTAGGCTTCGAGCTGCACAGGTATGTTTGTAGACAAACTAGGAACTTATATTAATTTTTTAGGGATTTGAAGCTGGTATGTTGTATATGCATTCGCTGCTAAACTATTTTAGCCGACTTTTTCATTACGGGTTATTGGATCTGGAGCAAGGTATAAAAATAGCTTATTTATTACATTCACTTTTTCTAATTTATCAGATAATCGAAAATCTTGCGGCGATTGGATATGAACCGAATAATATGTTAAGTGCTTCATATGACTGGCGACTTTCATATTCAAATTTGGAGGAAAGAGACCGATACTTCAGCAAGCTTAAGGTAAGAGAAATGGTGAAATAAGTTGCTAATCAATAAGTTATTTATTGAATATAGTAAATTAGTACACGGCCGAAAGGTTGTGCTTATTTCTCATTCCATGGGATCCCAAGTCTCGTATTATTTCTTAAAATGGGTGGAAGCTGAGGGATATGGAAACGGAGGCCCTGGTTGGGTGAATGAATACATAGAAAGCTTCATTAACGTATGTTAATATTATAATTGCGGATGTATTAAGACGGTTAGATTTCTGGTTCTTTAATTGGTGCCCCGAAAACATTAGCAGCTCTTTTATCTGGAGAAATGAAAGATACAGGTAAATATTGAAATTTTTTTGGATTTTAAAGCTAACTGAAAGCTCAACTAAATCAATTTTCGGTATATGGGTAAGGCTTTCCAAGTTTTGTATCACTGTACTAATTTATCTCTACAGTTTGGAGAAATTCTTTTCGAGAGCCGAGGTAAGGGGATTCTTTCTGAAATTAAGTATTAATTTTATTAGAGAGCTATGATGGTTCGCACCATGGGTGGGGTTAGCTCAATGCTGCCTAAAGGAGGAAATCTTATATGGGGTAATACAAGTTGGGTATGTCTGATTATATTTTTAATTTTAATGTTAACATTTAAAGGCCGCCGATGACGATGATACAGGAGATTTATCTAATGGTGTTATGATACATTATCGAAACGATGCTTCCGATCCTCACTCACGGTTCGATTCTGAGCAAGCGTTGGAATTTCTGAATAATGTTACAAGTAACGACTTTAGAAACATGCTTAGGACAAATTATTCAAATGGACTAGCTTGGACGAAAGATGAAGTGGAACGTAACAACAAAATACCAGCCAAATGGATTAACCCCCTTGAGGTACGAAAATCACTTTTTAATAATATCTTTAACTAAACTGTCAATAGACAAGCCTTCCATATGCCCCAGATATGAAAATTTATTGTTTCCATGGAGTAGGAAAACCAACTGAGCGTGGATATTTCTACTCAAAAAATGATGAGGGACATCCAGTGATAGACTCCTCGGTAAATGACGGAACAAAAATTGAAAATGTAAGTATAACATTAACTTGAAATGTACTAATATATGCTAGGGAATTGTTATGGATGATGGCGATGGAACTCTCCCATTGATAGCTCTTGGTTTTGTGTGTAACAAAGCTTGGAAGACAGAAAGATTCAATCCTGCAAATATTAGTGTTGTAAATTATGAACTTCGTCACGATCCTGCTGCATTTGACTTACGCGGCGGACCTCGTTCAGCTGAACATGTTGATATACTGGGACACTCTGAACTTAATGTATGTGAAATAAGCAAGGATTTCTAAACAAGATTCTAACTTGCAAATTCTAGGAAATGGTTCTGAAGATCGTTTCAGGACATGGAGACGAAGTAAAAGACCATCGCGAATCTAATATCCTGTAAGTGTAATGCAGAACTTTTACGATAGGAAGACTAGTACTAACAACAACACAGTGAGATTGTAAATAGAATCAATTTGGACTCCCCTGAGAAATAAGAACTCCTACAGTGTTTCTATAAAGCAGCATTCATTTAATACAGAAATATAATGAAATTCATTAAACTAAAAGCATTTTGGTGGGATCTTCAATGTGTTCTTTCACCAAGCGGAGGAAGGTAACAGCTTCACGACCATCGACCATACGGTGATCATAAGTCAATGCCAAATACATCATAGGGCGAGAAACAACCTGGCCATTAACGACAACAGCGCGGTCCTTGACAGCGTGCAAGCCTAGAACGGCAGTTTGAGGGAGGTTAATGATGGGAGTACCGTAGAGGGAACCAAAAACACCACCATTTGAGATAGTGAAAGTACCACTAGCCATGTCCTCAATAGCCAATTTACCATCGCGTGCCTTAACACCAAGGTTAGCAATGGCACTTTCAAGGGCAAGAAGAGACATGCTTTCGGCATTACGGACGACGGGAGTGACCAAACCTTTAGGTGTAGCGACAGCAACACTAAGATCGCAAAAGTCACGATAAACGAGGGTGTCACCATTTCCGGGACCTTCAATTGCACCATTGATAGCAGGGACTTGCTTCATAGCTTGAGTGCAAGCCTTAGAGAAGAAACTCATAAAACCGAGCTTGATACCAGTGGATTTGAGAATTTCATCCTTGTACTTCTTACGGAAGTTGATAACAGCGGACATGTCGCATTCATTAAAAGTAGTAAGAGAAGCAGCGCGTGTTTGAGATTCCTTAAGGCGCTCGGCGATACGAAGGCGCATACGGTTCATTTTTACACGTTCTTCATTTCTGGAAAAGGTGGCAGTACTGGCAGTGAATTCAGGCTTGGGGGGAGATGGTTTTGAGGCAGGCTTGGGAGGAGCTTCACGTTGGGGAGCAGGTTTCACTTCGGGTTCCTTGGCATCGGGAGCAGGCTTTGAAGGAGTAGAAGCAGATTCAGCAGTATTTCCAAGTTCAGAAGCACCAGTCTTTTCGGAGGCACCACCCTTAGCAGGCTTGGAATCGGCGGCCTCGGGTTTGGGAGGAGCAGCACCACCCTTGGGGGCTTCGGCGCTGTCGTCGAGAACAGCGATATTTTGATCAATGGTAATTGTGTCACCTTCGGATACAAGGTGTTCTTTTAATACACCGGATTGGGGTGCAGTAACAGGAGAATCAATTTTATCGGTTTCGACACTTGCGATCTCTTCATCCTTGTTGACAAACTCACCGGGTTGTTTTAACCACTGAGCAAGGGTACCTTCACTAATAGATTCGGGGAAGGGGGGAGTTTTAATTTGTGTGCTAGCAAAACGTCTCCAAACCAAATGAGCAGCGGGTTTCGCAAGACTGAATCCAGCAGGTTGTCCAGTTTGAAGGGAACCAATCAGTTTCGAAAGGCAACGTAAGTTGCTTGTAGTCAAAGGCATTTTGAGTTATTCTTTGTTATTTTTTCCTTTACTTTTCTAGATCGATAGAGGAGCTGAGATGAGAGATGGGTGTGTTGTGATACGTTGGGTTATAGAAACGTATACGAAAAAACCAAAAGTGCTTCTTCGTACAAAACTAAAAGAAAAAAAGAGGATCACAATTAGAGCATTTATAGTACACTCGTAGATACCTCTTTTTACTGACTTCTCAAAAATATGAAAAAATGATGGGAGAGGGTAAAATGTTGGTGCTGGGTTTGCATCATACTCCGTATATATATGTTTTCAGTGCTTTCGTACCGATATAATCCTAAAGCAGTTGCTTAGTCCGTCTATAACTGTACCGTGTATATAATACTAATCACCGCAGTACGCAGGGAAGCGAATGGGTTACCGAGATAAGAATGGAACCATGATACATTGACGTCACTTGTGTCAAGTAACATACCTGTTTGTCTGATACATTTAATTGGGTAGTACAACGGTTTCTGTTTTTCTGGAAGCCAATCATAATTTGTTTAATTTAGGAAAGCAAGGTAACGAACGGTAACAATATACAGAGAAAACGGTAAACAAAGACATAAACGCAGGAAAAGAGAAGAAATAGAAATAATAAAAACCGGATAAAAAAAGAAAAAATTTTGATTGATTCTATGTAAAAAAAAAGTGACTCAAAAGTATGACACCCCCACATAGTTCTTTCGGTAATGACTTGGGAAGATGGGGGACTCAGCAGACCTGGGTTTTCGAGTGGGGGAATTCAATAGTACATGGGGGTATAATTTGTACGACAAGCCTATAATATGATACTATAGTATGATATTCGTTTTGACGCATCAAGTAGCATAGTACAAACATATAAAGCGTGAGAAGGGTTCTCTGTCTTTTATTTTTATTTTTATTTTTTACAGACTCCTCGAGTCTCTTTATTTATTTTTTTATTTATTATTTTTTGTTGCTGTCTATATCATTAATTGTTAGTTTGGTTAACAAAAGAACCTTTGTAGATTTGATTATCATGTCATTCAATATTTGAGATTCAGCATGTTGTAGTGTGCAGAAAAGAGAAAGTACAACTGCTAGACGCTTTCAATCTTTTAATAGAGTTGGTTGGTACAATCCAATTGGACATCGAAGATCTTAAATGCTTTTATTTTTCCATTCTTCTTTGATTGCCATTGTAAAATATAGTAGTTAGGCATCAGCTTTCTTTATTGTGTGATGCTGGCTAGGTAATGTATTCCTCAGATTTAGCTTGCCTTGGTAAACTCAACAAGACATACAGATTCGCCTGAATTTCGAATCGATTAATAAATGGAGGAGATATCTACTTCTCTATGGACAGAGACAAACGAAGAAATGCATACGGACCAACGCTGACCCCTTCACTTGTTTTCTTGCTCTCTGTTACTTCACAAGGAACATCCCTCAAAAAAGGAAGGAAAAAGGTGTCTTCAAGCTTGAATCTGTATAAACAAATAAACAAACTCAACAGAAACAAAGAAAAAAAAAGGAAAAGAATTAAAAACGAAGCGGTAAAAAGCCTACAGCATCCCGGATTCCCATGTTGTCTCCAACCATAGTACTAACGAGACCCTCAGACGCTTAACTGCAGTGATCGGACGGGAACTGGTGTTTTCGCCTAGGTGTGGCCGTAGACAACTGTGGATGTAATAAAAAGTATATGTAGTTATGTAGTGGATATTCATCATCTCAGATTTTACAAAATTGATAGAGGATGGTTTTTGATACTTAAAAGATTAAAGCACACTGTTTTTCTCTTTTCTAGCTATTCACATTGTGCTAGATTGTCATTGAGGTCTGAGACCAAATGTCTGAATTTATAGCAATTGAGAAAGTTGTAGTTTGAGAAGTAAATTATTAAACTACATTAGTTGAAACGGCCAATCTGAATACGTCCAGCTTTGAATTAGAAACTAGTTGATTATTTTGCAAAATTATCGTCATAACAATTAAACAATCATTAAAAAGGTTGTATAACAAGGATGTTCGTCACAGAGAAAACGAACAATTCATAAATAACACTATTGCGAAACGAATTCAAAGATTCATAAAAGAGTGAACGTGAAAAACAATCAAACTTGCCGAATGAAGCTGATGCTTACTTTTGTGGACAAGAATGCAGAAACTTGAGGGATTGCAATCATCATAGATGCTTCCAAAGAAAAGTTATAATAAAAAGTACATACGAACATAATTCGTAGCATTTCTTATGCCGTTTCCCATGGCGTTTCCTAAATCAGCAATGAATATTCAACGTTGTTGCATATCCGGCATATCTAGAACAGTTAGAATATTTCGCAGGGTGTAAGACATACTCCAAAATAAACAAACACGGCAACGTTAACAACGCAGACACCATAGAAAGCAATATCGTTCATCTTTTCAAATCCTATTATTTCCTTTACATTACAATAGACGACGAAACCAACGGCATTCAGAAAAGCTGTACATATTACTGCGGTACACATGTTTGGCAGTACACTACAAATTTGCGTGAATAAGTAGGACAGCATTCTACCAGTTTGCGTGAATAAGTAGGACAGCACTCTACCAGCTTGCTTGTACCACCCCGGGTAGAGCATATGCGCCACTAATAGTCAGTGAAACATTCAGAATAAAAAATAACGCCAACTTACAATAAAGAAATAATGATATTGCCCCAATAAATCCGCCAAAAAGTCCCCAAAAGTCTTGCGCCCTCACAGGAACCTTGAAATAAAGAAACATCACCAGAAGAATACAATAAGCCCCAATGTACCCAAGAGACGCAAAGAAAAAGAAAATAGCTACTGGAATCCACTTCGAATATGCCAAATCCGATCCAGCGTTGTTAGTGGACTCTTGGGCAGAATGCTGAGTGGATCCATCAGCCATTTCTAAATCAATAAATTTGTTCGGAGCTAATAAATGTATTAGTGAGGAATGCTTTTGTTGTTTGAGAAAGGATGGAGCGTTCGTCGAGTTTGTTTACAGCAAGTTTTGAGTCGCTGGAATTATACAAATTGAAGCAATTGACATTCCTTTCTTCTTTTTCTATTTCAACAAATCTTACCTGAGTACGAAGGAGGCGTACCAGTACCATCTAAAGATCTAGCGTCTGACTTTTCATCATTGAGCACTTTGAAAGAGTCATCAGAATCTGAAACAGGAGTATATTGGTTTTTCATATTATCAATGGCAACTTAGTAAATCAAAAAAACACCAATATTTACAAATGAACCGAATTCAGCTAGAATCAACCAACAAAGTCCGCAAGTACTAATTTCACAATTCTCGCGGATGGGGTCAAAAAAAGAATTACTCCTTTTTTTAAAAAAATTAACTATTAACACTTTTCAACAAAAAGCTCCTCTTAAAAGATGAAGCGTAGTTGAAAAAATCTTGGTAGTGGCCTTTCGCATGTCTCAAGCTCATAAAGCAGCGACATTATGTCACTGACTGGTCATATCCTCATTACAATTATTCGACTTTCGTTATATACCATACTTTTTCGTGATAGTATAATCCAATCGAGAAGCGTATTACAAAAAGTAAACAAAGGACTATCCAACAATAAAACCTTGACGTTGGATTCTCGCAGTTATTTTCAGCATTCACAAACACTCATTATTTAAAGCAACTTTTTCTAAATATTCTCAAAGGGTTTCTTCTGAAACCTGTCCATCCAACGGTTCTTAACTAGGCGAAAGTTGATTTAGATTGAATGGAAAGCATTGTTACGTTGGGTCCAATCTTTTGATATTCCTCTACCTTGAATATTCTTAGTGCTTTTCTTTCTATAGTAATCATTAAACTTTTCCACTTACCTGTAGTGATCGGACGTGAACTGATGTCTTCGCCTAGATACGGCAGTAGGCGACTGCTGTGTGACTAGAATACTATTATTCGTTTGTATAGAGCGCCATTGTGTTTTACTCTTTGTTTGGATCCTCGTGCTTTTCAAATAAGGATTTCTTCAGAAAGATTCACCTTTACATTCCCCATTGTACTTCCGTCGAAAGTCCTCAGAGGATACCAATAACCTCTACAGATCTTTAGTTGCATTCGAGTCTAGCTTAGGCACTGAAACATACCATTGCTAGTTTCAGTGAAATTCTTGTTATACAATTTGGAGAATTTTTATTTTATTTAAAAAAAAAAAAAATTTAATTATAGACTTTTTGTTAATGGCATTTTCTACCAAAGATCCTTACGTGCAGCTGCTCGTCAACACGAAATTTGAACAAGTGTTTCGGTCTTTACCTAAATCCAAGTTTATACTGGATGCCTCTGAGACTATAAAACAAAATGCGATCCAAAACTACGAGCCAGGTCACAAGCTAATTCCTCCTAAAATCAATCATCAATATCGGGGATCAAAACCGAAATCTGAGAAAAAAGAAAAAAGGGAACGAATTGAGAAGGGTGCAAAGAAACGAAAGCGGCTATCAATATTGACTGCGAATAACGTTGTCCCCATAAGTCCTTCTATGGACAAGGCATCTCGTGGACAAGAGGAAAATAACTTCAGCTTTGATGATTCATTTAACAAAGAGGAATTTACAACTCCTATAAGAAACCCGTCTGATAATTCTCAACAGCAGTTTATGAGTTCTAGCTCCAATCTAGGTACTAAAGGCACTGATGTTCAAAACCATGTTTCACCCTCAGATGATATTAATATATTTGATGATTCTGATGAACGAAAAAATACAAAAGAATCGAGGAATTCCTCAGCTTTTTCTTCTTCCAAAAACTATAAAGCAAATCCACCGAATCCACAGTTCCTTGGAAATACTGACGATGAGCTGCCCCTAAAGGAAAAATCTACAAGAAATGAATCAGATACTAAAAATTCTAAAACAGAATTAAGGAAGCTACAAACTTTTGGAAAATTGTTTATGAAAGAAGGCAAAAGAAGGGAATCGCCTACGCTTTGATCCCAAAGGTTCTCTGACAATTCAGTCTTTCCGATTTCTGTCACTATTATAAAAGATAAAATAAAACGGAACGAAGGCGAAGGAATTTAACTTCATTTAAGAACTTATATGTCAATGAATGGGTTGTATGTATAGCTTCACATTTCGTATACTTTGATGAAGGGCTTTCTCTCTCTTTAGGATAGGAAACGACTAAAGAAAAGGATTTTGCTCAATAATGAACTTTTTCTTAAATTAAAACCTATAGAAACCTTTAGAGAATGTAATATAATTCTATTTTATAAGAAACTAATTCTTTATATCGGTGTTGTTAAGTATCCAGTTTATACACAGATTTCACTCTCAACTTCCTTCACACCAATTATGGACAAATTGAAAGAAAAGGGCTTTGTTAAGCTCAAAATAACTCTCGATGATTCAGAAAAAAATCAATACATTTTTTTAAGAGCAGACAGCGAAGATCCTGAGGGAAAGTCTGTTTATTTAGTAAACGTTCCAGTTACTACTACTGAAAAAGTTTTACGAAAGGCCATTTCAAATTTAGGTGGACGACTCGTGTCTGTATATCCTTCAATTCAAGGAATACTAAAAGCAGGAACTAATTTACGATTAAAGTTGTTGGAAAAAACTGAAGTAAAGCGTGTGCTCAAGAGTGCCTCAAAGAGTTCAACGAGTATCCCTTGGATTTCCTCACAATCATCAGGACTGAAACGTAAGAATTAATGGGTTTTTATTGTACTAACTTGTTGCTGTAGGTTATTTGGAGAAATATGATCGACAATTTCCCAATGGTCAAGTCTTAGAAGAAAGTGTGGAAGCGTATATGAAGCGATTAACAAAACAAGAAATTTCAGAAAAGAATCGTCTTCGTAAATTGAGAAATCAACCCGACGAAGATGGGTTCATCCCAGTTGTACGGGGTACGCATCAATCGGTTGGTAACCCTGAAGAAGCTGAAAAGCTTTTACAAAAGAAGAAAGAAACCGGAATTCACAAGGATTTTTACCGTTTCCAATTACGAAACGAAAAGAAGAAGAAGTTACAAGACTTGGCTCATAAATTTGAATTGGACAAGCAACGAATTGAACAACTTAAAGTTAATCGACGTTTTAATCCTTATCAAGAAACAAGCTCTAGATAAATGGTTTTGGTATGAATAGCATGGTCTTAGGTTTTAGGGAAAAATACTTTGCGGTTAGCAAATCAATACTATAGAAGTTATATTGTATTATTTACACAAAAACGTTTTAAGAGGTACTCATCGTGGCTTTCTGAACATTGGGATCGTTTTTGGCTGGAAGTTTGTCTTTTGTAAGATCGAAATCAAGACCACTAAAAGCTTCGTATAAGCATCGAAGATGACAATCTTCCACTCTGAAACCGATCGACCTGTTAGGTTCCCTAGCTATTTTATCCATAAAGCTAGAAATAATTAGTAAAGAAACCCTCAATAATAGAAATACATACGGGTCATTATAGTTCTCAATAGAATAATCATAATATTTACTTGTGTTTCTTTCACCCGCTAACGGGCTGAAAGGCACCTGCTCTTCTCTAAGTCTTCGTTGGGCTAACTTTTGAAGATCCGGGTACAAAGCAGAAGACCTTGAAGAAATTGGTTGTGGTGAATCGTTTTTCTCTCGATGTTTTTTGAGCGTTTCTGTAAGTTTCACAATTTTGTTTGGGTCTTTACCAGATGTAGCCAAGTCATGAATAATTTGCTGTTCTACCTGTTCTCGTCGTTCACGTTCCATTTCGTGTTCGCGGACAGCAGCATCTCTGGCTTCTTGTTTTTGTTTCCTTAGTAAGATTTCGTTTTGTGCAAGCAGACGAGATTCAGCAGCAGCTCGTGCAGAATTAAGTGCAATTGACTCGCGATTTTGTTTCTCATATTGTTGAACTTTTGTTTCAGTTTCTTCAACATCAACTTGATATATTAATTTGAAAGCTATGCATAAGGTTAGCAAAGAACTTAAGAACTTTCATTCTTTATCAACATACTTAAATTCTCAACTTCTTCCAAGTAGTCGTTGTATTCTTGCAAGGACTCAAAATCTTGTTGACCCTTGTTGAAGCTAAATTCATCGTTAGAGAAATTCAACAATATTATTTATACATTTTAGCAATCCTCCGGCGGATATCAATCTCCCGCTCGATTTGTGCATCTTCGAAGGTCTGTTCGCGAAACTTGGCTTTTCGCAGAATTTTACCGCATCCTGGTGTTGGACAAGCAGCTGGTCCAGTAGTAAAAATTCTCTAATAACCATAGTTAGTAACACAATTCTTGAACTTATGAGGATGATGAACGCGAACACCTCTTTTAGCATACGTCGACGCAAGATTCACACATTTTGTGATAGCACTCTGGGTTTATAAGCAGTTTCATATTTGGATTTAAATAACGATCAGCTCGACATAGCGGGCATTTTTCGTCTAGACATCATCAGTAAATATAGCATAACAATGGATAATCATAGCATACCATTTTTCTTTGGTACATCTGAATCTTCCATTATCATCAAAAAGAAAAAATATTAAATCGAGTAAGTATCAACACAAGTGATTATGATCATGAAACTCCAAATGATTTTCTAGGTTGTGCTCTATGTTCAACTGAACGACGTTCACTTTAGTTCTTTCTTTTTAAACCTAATGAGAAGCTCAATATATTCGATTGTAAAGTTAATAACTAATGAAATCTTAGTAGAATTTAATGTAGAAATCCGTTGGAGGGGGCGGCAAATGCAAGGATATGCGTGTTTAGGGCAAATTACTATTAAAAATCAATCTTGAACGGTGTTGGATAGAAACAAAGTCATCTTACTGAATTAAAAATAAATAAACTGTATTTATAAATGGATGTCTAAAGATATGACGGTCGTAATAGACTCAAAATGTCCCATAATTTCACGTTTCTTTCGCACTGAATGTAATTAAGATACAATGTACTTAAGCTTAATTATTAGCTATTGAAGTTTCAGATTATTTTTAAAACTGTATGGGTTTAGATTTAGATTACTCAATTAGACAGACAGATTCTTAAAAACTACTTACTGGTATTTTACGCTTTTAGTTTCTTATTGCAGAAAATGGATTAAGATTAACTCTTATAATACTTAACAGTATAGCTTACTTTAATCGGTTTGTTTATATGCTAGGATGTTGAAACTGTGGTAGTTTGTTGAGAAGGCTGGTCAGAAACGTCGTCAACAACCATTATCTTGTCGACGGTAATGGGTACCTGAATTTGCTGAATTTAAATCAAACATGGGAGAAGATGTTCAAGATGTGAATCATAGAAGAGCTGCGCGGATGCGTGGTGCTGAGTACGAATATCAAAAATTTATACTTGATGCTAACCATTATTAGGCGGTACAAAGTCAAAGATGTAGAATTTTCTATCGACCCAAACCTTTTGATAGACATGAATTCGTCTCCATCAAATTCTGAACATCGTAGTCCCTCTTCCACTACTTCTTCTGACGGTAGAAATAAGGATGCATTCAATGGAGTTGCTGCTGGGGATAATCAAGCAGTGAATGGAGAAGATGAACCTCAACAAGCACAAGTACAAAACCATCATGATGTAGTGTCTTTACTTTCGGAGAATCCCGAGATACGGCCTGAACCACGTAGCTCGTCAAAGCGAGGACGTCCTCGAAAAGATCACACTCCAAATAATTCCGCTAGAAAAAGTGATGTAGCATCGGCCAAACGACATCCTTCCGCGAAGAAAGGTAGTGTTAAGAAACGTTCCAAGCAAGAAGTTGTTCGAAAACTCTACGAACCCTTCATTCAACCTTACCGCCCCAATGATAAATCACTGAATAACCAGCTGGAAAACGAGAAATCTCCTTTGTTAAGGCAGCAGTCTGAAATAAACTATGGATCCGAGCATGCAGACTCAAGCATCAGAGCTTTCGTAAGTTCAGAGGCTCCTCAAGAACGGATTCCCTCCCCAATATCTTCATCCGCACATAACTTTCCGAATAAATATGTAAGGAGAGAAACTTCACCAGATATTGTTTCTCCTATAAACCCAACAACGAAAACAACTCCCGCTGAGGAGATCCCACCGTCGCAAGGCATGGATGAGTTGGTGAACATTGAACTGACAAAACTTTCAAAAGATGCTAATGGAAAAAAGCAACTGAATAAATTTGACGTTATACAACAATTATTTCAAGAACTGATCGCAGAAATCGAACCGGGAGATCCATATCTTTTAAAAGTAAAAAATGCTTTTGCTGAGCATGTCTCCGTACGACTTCTGGAGTTTATTGATTTGCTGGATGTAAACCAGGCTTTATATTCAGCTTCAAGGAAGGCGGCGAAAGAAAAATTCTTTTTACAACAGGAGCTATCCAATGTCCGGCAAACAAGACTTGCTCTTCAGAATAAAAAGAGTAGTTTACGGATAAGTTATCGAGAAACCTCTGATGCTTCCCAAGTACGATCGTCTTTTTGCTATCCTTTTGTTATGCACTTTACTGACCCTTTAGAAATTAGAGAATTTGGATGAATTTTTAATAGAATGTGAATCCCTGAAGCGATTGCTAGACATTAATGATTCAGATAGCTCTCAAGATACGGAAGTGTTTTCATTAAACGAGTTTTCAAGTGCCCTGTGTGGTGAAAAGGGCATTTATGAGCAGTTACAAGACTTCAAACAATTACTTGATTCTGTATTTTCGAACTCGAACTGATTTCTAACCTCTTCTAATGCTTTGTCATTGTTGTACATGCTCTATAACGGTTTTCCTTTATTTTTGATTCATCGGTATATTATGGTTTGTGTTTGTTTATTGTTTCTGTGTATAGAGAACGCATTTTGTACATTATTATCGTTTATATTTAATTCTATTTTTTGTTTAATTTGTATGTTTATAGGGGTTTTTCGAATCCAAATGCAAACTCTTCTTGCATGAGTGTTTACTTTTTCGCGATTTTTTTCTCGAGCTTAACTGAACCTAAACTCCCTTACATCATGATCTATTTTACATATAGTGATTTTTCCTAAAACACTACTTTCAAAACAATCCAATTTCTTACGATTTTGAAGAGGAATGATGGTAGAAACATGAAAAACATCAAAGCTTTACTAGGAAGGACGGAGGATTCTCCTAGGCTTTTGAAACCATACATGCAAGAAACTTCTGCGCTTCTAAAAAACTTCAATCCTTTAGAACGTTACAATTTGAAACGTATGATACTTCGGAATAGTAGCTAAGAATTTGCTAATATATGTTAGTAAACTTCAATGCCCTTGCAAGCTTCGAAAATGGGGAGAAGGTCTGGACGGAGGATGCATTGTAAGTTCATGGGTCAAAACACTGATGGATTTTATTTTTTTTACTCATTTTTATTATAATCAGTAACTAACATGCATCATTAAGCGTAACTTTTTTTGGAATCCCTGATACCTTGCAGCTTTCTTCTTTTTTTTATCGGGCAGCTTGTAATTTTGGCTCCCATCATCGTAATGGTTGTTTAACGTTCTCAGCTCTTACAAGGTTTTTAGCTTGTATTACTGAAAGACATCAGAAAATATGGAGCGAAGATAAAAGATTATCACTCATATTTGAGAGTTGGTGCGACACTATTCCTCAAGAAAACAAGGGTATCCTCAACGAAGTCTACGATTTAAAGACTGTTAAGGATGTAGGAAAAAATACATCTGATGTCAAGAACACTCCTCGTATGCGGATTACAAATTTCCATCGAATATGCGTACTTGCTTTATGTATAGTTGACCTTCAGCCGGGGGAATCCATTGGTAATCATATAAGCAAATTTTCTACTCCACACTTCAAAAAGGCAGAAAAGGTTGCTGATATTTTAATATGCGGGGTGAGAAAAGACGGTTTCTCATCGCTTTTGCTTTTCGATGACTTTATAACATTTTTATATGAAAATCCGTTCTTCCTGAATCATATAGGGTGTCTCTTTGACTATATTTTTTATTCACATCCCCATGTGCGACCTGCGGAAATTGACGAATTCTGTTTCAGCACCTTCTCTGTCTTAGACTCTCTTCTTTACGCTCAACTGCGCTTATGTATCCCTGACTTTTCGTTCAATTACAAAAACTTGATTAGTCTCTTCAATTCCAACGATCACGGCTATTCAATGTCCTCAATTGAAAGTCGTGTCCTAAACTTTAATGAACCTACTATCCTGCTTTTTAAGGGTCATAGGATTTCTGAGAGAAAAAGAAATTCTCGACAATTGACATTCGAAAAAAAGTATCCTAAAAAGTATTCAAATGATCCTCATCAATGTACGAAACGACTAGATTTGTTTGAAAATCACAAATCTGAAGAAGAATTCCCAATTGTTCTTGGCGCGTACATTACAACTCCATGGAAACAGTCTCAATCTGAGTTTTTTGGTAACTCAAATTCATTTCTATTTCAGCTTCGTCCAAGACATCAAGTATTTCGTGCTACAAAAACGGATTCCAGTTTCTGTATATTCGATAAAACTCTAGGTATCTGCTTCGGACTCAGACGTAACCATGTAACGAACGATTTGCTAGTGGAAAGTCCTGGAGTAACTATGCTCATTGATGATAGTCTAGAGTATGGATTTTTTAGACACGCTGGGCATGGGGCATTTGAAGAAGGAAAGCAATTAACAGGAGCACTGTTTGAAGAAAGGTTTCTTATACACAACCTTGAAGTAATTGGAATCAAACAATCATGTAATTTAGAAAATAGCATCAAGCTTGGAAAATAAGCGGGAATGGGAATGGAACAAGATATCTTAATCGGAATGACAATCGACGCATGAGAAAATTGGTGTGTTTTAGATTACTTGTGTTAGAAAATTATATTTTTGTTTCGATGTCACATTTCTTAATTCTACTCTGTTTTATTTTGTTCAATGAAGTATCGTCATCTTCCACTGCAGAGTTATAGGGACTTTTGCTTTTTTTCTGCTTGCCGTTATCTTTCTCATCATCTTTTATATTCCTTTCTCTCTTCTTCATTTCCTTTAGATTCTCCTTCTCTCTTGCTTCCTGAATTTCACTTGGTTCGGGTAACTCTGCAAGTTGATGTATAAAATCCCATTCTTCTTGACGAACCTTTGAAATACTAAGCCGTGCCCGATTAAGCAAAGACATTTGTGAAAGTTTTCCATTTAAATGCATTTTTAATTCTCTAAGGGTTATAGACCTTTTTAGTGGATATCTCGATTGTACACCTATTGAGTACCACCTAGGGTTTTCCTTTGTTGATTTCGGATCATAATAAGGATCACTCGGGTCCCAGCAAGAATCTTTATATCTGTTAACTTATCTTAGAGCTAAGGATTGATACTTACCGTCAGGATGAGGATTTGAGCAAATCTAAAAAATCAATTGTGTTAGTAAAAGTATCGAATGTCATAATCATCAATGGTCGAGCAAAGTATATTAAGACTTAACATATTTTCCAACTTCTGCATAGAAGGAAATTGCAAAAATCTTTCCATATCCATTTCATGTTGTAAGTTACCTCCATTACACCTTTCAAACATTTGTTAGCATTCCGAGAACGGAGAGTAAAAGAAATACTTACCTTTAATATGAGGAAATTTACAATTAGAACAATAAAGAAAAGCATAGTCACCTACGGACATCTGATCTCGAATCATATTACGAGCCTCATAGTTTCTGACACCGCTCCAAGATTCCATTTTCCCGTCTTTTGTAATTTTTTCCAGCATTTCAAAGGTGAAAGCAACATCAATCCCTTTAACAATACGAGATTCGCCTTCAGCTTTCATCAGCCAATATTTTCGACCACCTTCTTCCTTGTCTGTCATATTGGTATGCAACACTAGCCAGCAATGAAGTTTCTTGGTATAATCTAGAAAGAACAATAGAGAATCAAAGGGAATTTATGTTCTTAGATAATTAGAATGGTTTGAGGGTCGTTCGGTAAGTTTACTCTCAAGAATACCATAATGCGATGGTAGAGGTCTCAGAACCCAGATTTCTCGTTTGGGTCAGTAAAGTCATCAAATACTTGATTTCATTGACGTTCATACTTTCACAATTCATCTCTATTTAAGTTCTCACTTCATAAATGCTAGAAATGATTGAAAATACAAGGTTTCCTTAAGGGCTCTACCTCTGTTTATTAACGTATTGCTCCTTCATATGTTATCTGTTTTACCGCGCTAGAGTGATATAGTACATATTTGTTTGCTAGAATTAGGTCAGGAACAAGATTCAATTTCTGAATTGTAAAAAAAGCAGGTATCCAGTTGACTGGAAGGGATATTTATTTGCATTAATATTTTTTCTGAACTAGTAAAAAAGTTATCTCGCTATTCTCTTTAATATTTTTGAATTTTTGACCTACAATTTACTGTCAATCTTGAATTGAAATTCAACCTTGGAAAGTAAACTTGAGTGTTTCCAATGGACAGTACTTCATCAGAAAGAGCTGTTGAGTCTTTGGAAGGGATTCGACAAAGAACTACACAAATCGTTCACTCTCTAAGTCATTTCCTAGCAATTTTACACCAGACGGAACAGCTCGCTCCATGGTATGTTTAGATGAAATAAAATGCTTCATCGGGATTGATTGGTGAGAATGAAAATTCCTTTACTAATTGATATATAAAACAGGCCGACAATTCATAAGAACTTCAATATTCTATTATCGCAAATCCATTCTTTAAGCAATACTCTAGCTATCCATTTTCAAAGCTTACGAACTACAAATATCTTTCCTTCTGAGGAATTTCCAGTCCGTGAACAAGAACCGCTTCTTACAACTTTACTGCGAACCCGGCCTCTTCCAGTCGTTGAAGAATGGGAGAGCGCAACCTTAGAGGAGTATGAAAATGATCCGTCTCTGAAATCCAAGAGCCAAAAAAAACCTCTTCCTCAAGACGTCTTATGGGAAGAAGCAAGAGATTTGTTAATGCAAGAGCGTGAACGGTATAATTGGACCGGATATGTGACTCGCCAGGAAGAGCTGCGCGGCGAAATAATCAACCAAAAAGAATTAGAAGAAGAGAGAGCTTTCGAAGAACAAAATGCACAACAAACATTAACGAAAATACTTGGATTTATGAAATCAGGACGAGGGTAATTCATGGTTTTCTAAGTTCGGTAGAAATGAAGGATTAGATATCGCAACACCATTTTGTTCAATACGTGCGATCCTCCTTAATGCTCGAAGCTGAAGTCCTTTAGCCCCTGTCAAAACGGCTATTTCATATATAGTTTTTACGTTGTTTCGATTCAGTGTGTTGTGCAAAAGATGCACGATATATTGAAAAAATGTCTCCATCCCTTCATCGTGTTTGGCAAGGATTAATAAATTACATAATGTTTTCGTGGACAAGTAAGCTTCGTTTATTTTTCCACAATACAGGTAGTACAGAAAAGCAGTGCACGTTTCAAAGTTGAAAGGCATATACAGCATTCGACTACCTGTACTGTTTATAGGTGTAAAAGGTAGCTCGGCTACTTGAGGTCCGAGCTCGGAAAGGCTCATTCGAAAGGCGTCTTGATTACTTTCGGCAGTCTGATCTAACAGTTTTTGAAATTTCGGCCACCGTTTATACAAGATTTTGGAGAGGCAAGGAATATGATTCCGTTCTACTGTTAGAATTTCCATATCGCTTACTCCACTCAATAGTAGCTTCCCTAATTTTTCGCTTCTTTCTGAATAGTGTGGAATCTTTGGTTTTCGATAAACCCCATAGGCTTCAAGCTCAATATAGACCACATTGTCATAGTTTGACTGTCGAACATTATAATCTTGTATAAGTCGTCTCGTCTGATTCCCAAAAATAACAAGTTGATTGCTCTGAGGCATACATAAGCATTTGAACCATGAGCCGTGATTTAATAGACCTAAGGTATCTAACTGAATCCAGTTTTCACGGTCCAGCGAATATACCCATAAAACAAATGCCTGACGAGAGCTAGTGAGGTATATTCCCGAAAGAATCAAATTATTTCCGACCATGTAAACGCGTGGAAATCGAAGTCCTGGAGGCATGGACGTACCAACAAATTTTTCGGTTACGTTTACTTCCTCAAAGTATAGACTAGAGTGATATCCTTTGTGTTCATCTGTTTCCTCTCTGTTTCCTTCGGTATCAGATACTTTGTACAGTTTTAATAGAATAAGTTCACGTTTAACATCGACAAAATTTGAATTGAGATAAAATAGGAGCGAACCAACAAATTGGTCCTGACGCTCCGTTGTGTCTTTGATAGAGCCTTTGCCTTCAGGAGAACAATATCGGAAGAATTCACTTTCACAATGTAAGGATGTACAGTTTGATCTATAGACACCACAGTGATATGCAAATGGAGAAGAATGGACCCATTTCTCCCTTTTCAAATCAAATGCATTGATTTGTTCGATATAATTGTTTGAAAGATCTTGCCCACAGTACACAATCATGTAATCTCCCAAAACACAGTACAAGTGGCCGTACCTTGGTAAAGGTTGACACGTAGAAGCTTCAGCATCTTCCATATTTTCAGATTCATTTGTTTCAGATGGAACAACTCTCCATGTTTTAGTTTCCAAATTAAAAATCTCCGTTGAACTCAAACCACATAATGAATTGTTCTCTTCATCAAGTCCAATCCCGCCAAAAAAGACAAGATTTTCATTCCAATAAACTCCAGAGTGGAAATAGCGAGGAGTCGGTTTCAAAGATCCTTGATTTTCGACCAGTTTCCAAGAGCCCGTTTCCAAATCCACGAAGTACAAATCGTTTACGGGGATGCCATCTTCAGCATCACGACCACCAAATAGGTAAGCATGATTACCAACTTGTACTACGGACTCCCCGATAACTGGTTTTGGAAATGTTCCTGTACTTGTTAAGAGCGAAGAAGTGAATACATTAACCGTATTTTTTAATGTCGCATTTGAAGCTGTATGAGGCATCTCAGATGGATAAAATACAATATTTAAAATATTTTAGCAATAACCTTGAGTATAAGCTAGAGATTCCGAATCAGCGCTTTCAACGGCAATTGAGTTTGTGCATCAGTTATTACTATACCAAATCAAGAGAATGTATAATTTATTTACAAAAAGTTAAGAATAGTCTCCAAAAAAAATGGTTCTTTGTCGAAATTTGTTAATAGAGTACTGAGCGCTTTAGTGAAGAAAAATGAAGTCAGCAAGCACATGTGTAAATAAGAGATTGAAGTTTCTATTTAGAGAATATTTACAGTTCACAGATTCTTGATTATTTGTAACGGTATATTGGAATAATTTGTAAACCTTTAATTTGTTATTTAGTATTAGCAAGAACGAAGCCGCACATTTCACCAGTTCGTCTTTGTACTTTGGAATCGGCTAGTACAACTGATTTTGACGCTTAGAAAGCAATCATCTTCACTTAACTGAACTAGATGAATTTTTCATTACAGCCTAATGCTAAATCAAGAGGGTCAAAAATTTCATTAACATAACTAAGACATTATTAAGGGTAATATTAACGGAAAAGATGCAAAAGTAATGCAAAGGCCTCCGTTACCTTAAACTTGAGACACCAGTAAAGAATTCAAATTACATTGTAACCTGAGTTCATTCGCTCAATTGTAGTATTAACGGTTTACAGCTGCTTTAGATGATTGCTTTGGCGGAGGCATATCTGGTTTTAAGAAAGAAGGGTTACCCTGGATGTATGAGCCTTTCACTTGCTTTAAAAGATCCTTGGCCAACTCCCGGACCAAGACGGAATCACTTGTTCGGCTTTGGTGATGAATTAAATCAGGTAAGTCATTTTGGGATATGTATATTTTGCAATAAGGATTACTTTCACACATGCATTTGACCATTTGAAAAGCATTCAATAGCGTGATTGGTTTGGCCTTTCCGTGTAACAAACGATCTCCTAGTTTTTGGAAAACTAGAGGCTGACCGTAACTTGCTGCTAGTTTAGGAGAAAGTTGGCATATTCTACTAATCCCATCTAACAAGCGATTAAAAGAAGTTGATTGGGCCGAACAAAATACTTTAAGTATCAGGTGTACATATCGTTTTTCCAAAAGAGCATGCTGTATCTCTTTAAATTCGTATTGGAGCCACGCAGATATAGCGTCTAAAGCAGCTGATTGCCAATTTAAGTCTTGCAAAAGTGAAAGAAAGAATTCAAGTCCTCTATTTTTCCACAAGTACTGTCTGCATATGGGACTACACTGTGGAAGTGTTAATAAAATCGGTAACGCAAACTCCTTTAATATCTTGTCTTTCACAGCCGTTTCCTGTAATAATGGTATTGCTCCAGAAATAACTGCTTTTTCTTGCGAAACCTTATCTAGACGGCAGATGTTGAACAAGGTAGCCAGTGATTCATTCCGTATCTCTTTCCTGTTATCTTTTAATTTCGGATCTCCAAGTATATGCGTTAAAAGAGGAATTAAATGCACTTTCCTGAAGAGGTTTATCGACGATGGCACCATAGAAATCTGCTTTACATATTGCAACATTGTCACCATCTCTTCGATAGGTAGATACAAAAGAATGCGTAAGTTTCTCCTAATAATGTTCTCGCTCAAAAGAGCTTCCTTAACGTAAGTTTCCGACTGAGATAGCGCTAATAATATTTCACAAAATCTCGACAAACAAAGTCGAGAAGAGGAGTCATCCGCAGCTAAAGCTTTAAGCATGCTTTTTGTCATAGGTTCTAAGACTTGAGAACGTGCAACTATACGACAAATATCATTTCTTGGTATACAATCCTGTTGTCTAAGCAACTTCCATAATCCTTCCGCGCCCACAAAAACCAAATCTTTACTTTTCGTGTAGTCTTCTTTTAAGAAAGACAATAGAATATGAAGTCCTGAAACACCAATAAACATTTGAAGGGATAGTGATGATGCTCTATACATCTGCTGAATAAAAACAGCACTTTCATAGCGAAAATCCCATGGATAGGATCTTTGAGAGAATTTCAACACAACGGATAATCCACCGGAAAAGCAAAATCTGTGTAACGTGGAATAATTATCATAAACAATCTTTTCAGTTAGCCCAGGATCATCCAATATTGACACATACCGTGTTGATGAGCTTCAATAATAATAATTGTAAAGACATGTCTTCAACTTCGCTCAGTGTTTCAATAAGAGGAAGCATCCCATGTGCTTTCACTAATTCATCCTTTAAACTTATGTCTTCACTTAATATTGAAGCCTATATTCGTTAGCATAAAGAATTTCAAACGTAAACCTCATACTATTTGGGTTACAAGTGAAGATCTTTCTTCCAATTTTTTCTCAATTAATCCTTTTAAAATCTCCTTCAAATAAGAAATTAGTCGAACTCGCTTATCAAGTAAAATATTGTTCTCCATGTCTAAGCTTTCAGCCTCCGAATCAAGGTGATCGAAAAGTTCATTATCATCATCGGTTTCTTCATCCTCATCGTTCCAGGAATTGTATGATTTATTTAAAAGTAGCGTTCCTAGACCTTTTTCTTTACGGAGGCCCTGAATTTTTATTGATGAAGCAGGAAATACATCAGTAAATTCACTATCCTTTTTGGTTTCAACAAACTTCTCCAAACCATCGGGAACATTTTCTTTCAGTTCTGTATGGGTTAATAAGAATTTGACAATTCAACTTACCACTTGAGAGGTATCTATGATGTTTTGGAGTCTGCTGAAGATCAATGGACCTATTAAGTGCCGGCTACTGCATTAGTATCTTAAGTCATTAATAGTACTTACCGTCAATATTTCTGGCGACGAGCGTTTCTGCACCAACTCTGCAACTTCACTTCCCTGGTCGACGCTAATAGATTTCTTGCTTTTGGACGGGGATGAATTTGTAGAGCTCGAACTAGTATTTTTGCTTTTGAAATCCTTATAAAAATTCAAGAAATGTTCAGATTTCTTCAGTACATCATTGTTGATTTTCAGAGTACCCTGAAATTCATCATCCCAAACATCACATCCTAAAAATTAAAGTTAATAAATCAATAACTCGACTACACTTACTTTCTGTCTCAACAGGTGGAGGTGTTTTGGGTGGTTCAGGAGGATGATAAGAGGACTGCTTATCTGAATGCAGAGTTGGATTAATGTTATGTACAGTCGTTTCGTTTATAAAATTCATGTTGTCTTCATTGACTCGTTCGTTATATTTTTGGACTTCATCAATAGCATCTGTAAATTTGGTGGACGCTTGATGAGCAGTAACCCACTGATGTTTGAGTAGTTTCTTAGTTCCAATTCGAAGATTTGGGTCCTTTTGAAAGCATTGAGCTAAAAAGTTCTTTGCCGATAATGAAATGTTTGAAGGAAAAGGAGGATGTTCATCCTTGACCATATGGAATAGAGCTGCTGTTGGATCTAAATCATAATAGGGTGGAGTTCCCTCCAACAATTCTATAACTGTGCATCCAACACTCCAAATATCAGAAGAAGTTGTTGCACCGATTAATTCAATGACTTCGGGTGCCACTGTTTTTGTTAGAAGAAGAACGTAGACACATTTTGTTTCTTGCTTTACATACTCCAATACGGACTACCGACGACACTATGTTCGTCTAAAGCATTCATTTTCGTTGCAACTCCAAAATCCGCGAGCTTGATAGTCCCATCTTTTGTGGTCAGTATATTTGCACCTTTGATATCGCGATGAATAACACCCTGGTTATGCAAGTAATGTAATCCCTGTAAAACCTGGTATGTATATATGGCAACTAAATTTTCAGGTATCTTTCCAAAATTCTTGCATATTGAATGCAACGACCCATTCTCACAATATCTACCATCATTCGTTAGACTCGTACGAGAAATTGTAAATTGTGCATACTCTAAAACAATACAAAGAGAATCATCAAATTGATAGGAACCTCTGTATTTCACAATATTTGGGTGCTATCGTGATGTTAGTAATTTCGGTTGACAACAGTATAGACCATACATCCAAATTTTTTAATAAATCAATTTCCATCTGGCAATTGTACGGTTAGATTTTCTTTGTTATTAAATTAATAATGTACTTCGTACTTTTATGACGGAAAGATCCATTTTCATAATTTTGGACACCTTTATGCGTTTTACGGCCACAGTTTCTCCATTTTTTATATTTAATCCTCGATAAACAGCTCCAAAAGCCCCTTTTCCAAGACAGTCGCCCAGTGTCTATAAATTGATCAGTGACATATTCCTTAAAGAATGAAATGTTAGCTTACTATGCTCGACGCATGATCAAAATTGTGCATGACTCCAAAGAAAGGACAAATAAATAATTATATTTAAATGAAAAAAGCCAAGTAAGTAGCCTTTTCCTTTAGAAGTGCTTTCACTGTTTGTTATTTATTATGGGTGACTTGATCGGACAGCGTAAGGTAGTAGAAATTTAGGCACCTAACATATTATTTCCTTCTTACAAGTAAAGACGAGGAGAGATGTCTTAATTAATTTATCGTTATTTTTACATCCATACTTTGTTGTTTTTATCGCTTTTGGCTCATATTTGCTTTCTTCAAATGTTAAAAGTAGTTATCGATTGTTCTTCCTTAGCAATGACTTGAAGTTATGAATCCTTGAGAAAATTAGAAAACTAGGAATATATTTACTTACTTCGAAATGAATTTTCAAAGCTGGAAGCAGTATGAGACTCATGAGAAGAAGGGTTTTACTTCGGAAAACAGCAATTGAATTTGAATATTCATGGGAAACGGAAACCAAAAATTGAAATTCAAGAAGTTTGATTTAGGTACTAGATTACATTGAAAAATATATTGTCTTTTTTGCACTGGGACATTCGAGCGAACTGGTTGTATAGTTGATGAAGTCCTCACTGCTAGTTCCTAAAATCATCAATATCGAGTGATAGCTTTTTTAAACTCTTCTTTTTAATGTTGATCGTTTCAATTATACGTCCTTTCCTTCACTTTTTCCGACTACAGAAAGGGAAGCTATTAGGATGATCTTAATTGAAATAACATGGGAAAGAGTCTATTGAATTCCCCAAGTTGATTCTATATTTATCGATTAATAGCCTCTATGTATTGTAGGATTATATGTAGCATCTTGATTTATTCGCTAAAAGCTTCTGGTGCAGAATATGTTAGACTGCTCATTGCTCCATAAGTTGATTTCTTGGATTTTGAATTTCATCCGTATTGGTCGATACTTTGTTTCACTTTTTAAAAATTGAAGATGTTCTGGTTCAACCAATATGCTTTATAGCCTATAATCTCATGTACTATTCTGAATTCGTGTAAGTAGTTTACGGCCTTTGTGGTTTTGTTTATTGCAGGACTAGGGCATATTATGTTTAAATACCTTCTCTTGTTTTGATTGAACATAAAGAAATAATCTTTAACGTGTTCTTATCATCTAAACCAGTCGTAGACACTCTTCCTTTGCATCTTATATGAAATAACTACCAAGCTTTTGGAATCTCAATAAAATCAATTATTTACTTTTGATAAAATATACTAAGCAGTTAATTGAACATAAGACGATTTGAATTTACAAACCGATATTTGATAAGCTGGATGATGCAGACCTGAAAGCGTTCCTGTGTCATTACTTTGTAGTGGTACAGGGAACATTTTCAAAGCGACCATGAGCAACATCGTCGGATTGTAACACTTTGGTTTCACCAACTTCGTTAATTTGTGCGTTCCTTTTGGAAGAATTTCTTTGAGGGAACTCACGCAGACTGGTTTCAACATGAGGAACTTTAATCTTGCTTGACGTGGATTTAATAGAATCTCTCTTTTGTAAAGTTTGTCTAGATTTAATACTTGGTGATACAGAATTCATATCCGATTTGGATTGCGCATGTTTAAGTGAGGATTGAGAACTTGTCGGTTCATGGGTTTCAAATTCATACGGTTCATGTGGATTTGTTCCGCTTTGTTTGGATTCGTCATGGTCGACCAGCATATGCCTATATATGGTTAGTATTCGAGTTGTTGGAAAATAACATACGAAGAATTAGAGGACAATGAAGCGTTAGAAAGCCTTTCTGTACGATAGGCTTCATAGAAATATTGTTGCGTAATAAACTTTAGGTGCTGCAAATGCGACATGAACAGGACTGTTTTCAAATCCACAAAGTCAGAGTGTGCTGGATCTTCAATGTTATAGGTTCCCCATGGGAAATGTTTAGCAAGGTCATCAAAATCCTGTTGATTAACACCTGTAGCTGCACCAGATACAGCGAATGGAAGATTCGATCTGAGTCGCTTATTTTCTTCAACAACCTCATCTTCGTCTTCGTCTTCATCGTAAGGGAAGTCAAAGATTTGAATATTTTCATCTGAGAGCTCTTGAACGATCCTTTGTTTGAAAATGCTTAATTCTTCCTTCGTGAAGGCATTAGCAAACCCAATAACAGGTATAACATTGACTCTCTTAGAGAAGCGTCTCATTGCTTCTAAATCAAATTCAGATAAACAATGCCCATATGGCTCAATGAAGTAGAGTAAAGCATCCACTCTCTATCGTATGTTAATAATAAAATAAAATAAAAAAACCTCTAACCTTATCAACAAATTTAGAATTTCTACGAATCTTAGACTCTTCGACTAAAACTTGGTCAAGTTGATTTTCCAAGTAGTCGGTCACAACATCAAAGCTACAGAATATTAGTCATGATTTAAAAACATATTAACCAGTTCATACTTGGAAGATCTGTCAAGCATATCACCAAAGCCGCAGACTTCTATAATAGTCAAAGCAACCCGAAATTCTTCTCCTTGGATGTCTAACAACATTAGCATATGATAACCGGCTTATTAAAATACCTGCTTCATGTTCTATAATTTTCAATGGTCTTTCCAAGTGAGCTTCTTCAGGATTCACATCCAATTGCTCGTCTAAGATTTGCTTTTCGCAAAGAACATTAATACATGATTGATATCCAGTACAACTGGAACCAGTGACCATAAGACGAAATTTTTGTCCTTTTTTCGAATAAAATCTGGGAACGTATCTCATTTTTGCTACTCAATTGATGGTTATTGTTGTAAGAAAGTTGGAAAAGCTTTGTTTACACTGGTTTCAATACCGGTTTTAACCACAAATTCGGTAATGTAAGTAAACAACAACAGACAGAAATGTAAATAAATACTGAATGTTTTTGTTTTTTCTAAATTTGATAAACAGTTTATTACATTGTTTAAGGCGATGTACAATTTTTAACAAATAAATCAAAAATATATGTTAATATTGAAATTTTTTTTTTTTTTTTTTCTTCTAACATGGAAATCGGACTTCGACAAAGTATAGAAAAGAAATAAGAAGAATCAGCTTCACGCATAAACTAGAGCACCAATTTATTCATACTTCAACAGTTCTAATTAATTATCACGATGGATTCGAAAATTATGTAAAGAGTGCTTTCCATAGAGAAAATGTGAAGCTACCATTTAATGAAACATTAGAAACTTTTTAATGTTACTGGTTAAATATTTATATTTATATATAAAAACATTATTCATGGACAAAAGACCGAACGGTGTACTATTTTAACAGTTTGTCGTCTAATTTTCATTGTAAATGAATAAGCATAACAACACGTAACTTCTCATTTGAATTTCATAGAAATAAACCAAATTAGGAAATCTAAAGCAGAACATGGATTACCTTAAATAAGACTGGATTTGTTTGAGTACACGGATTGTTAGAGGAGAAGCCGCTTGTTCTTTAACATTCGGTTCAAGCAGTAGCGAAGAACCATGCAAAGTGTATAAATGTATGCACAAATCTGTAAACTAGAACATAAGTCGTAGAACCAAATTGAAAAGATATAAGGACCAAAATTTCAAAAGAAGGTATATAGCGGGTTAACCAGCTGCAATATTCAGGACTAACTCTTTTCAACAGCACGAGGAATAACTGAACAGTACATATTTCTAACGAACAGATAATGCAAGCGCTTCATTACTTGCACATACAGGATTCTAAATAAAGTGAAGCAAGGAGTGACTTAACTTTATATGCTTATAATTACAAATGCGGATGAGACTTTTCCAAGCTGAATACCGTAACGGCAAAGGTTAAGAGAAGACCAACTAAACTCGAAATGGATTTTTAGAATGGCCCGTCATTGAGCTCTGTAATACATTTTGAGTCTCTTGAGATTGCTTGAGTGCAAAAGGATTTTTTGAAATATTAGAGGGAGCAGAATGTATGTAATTGGGATAATTCATTGTGTTCTGTTGGCTTAAAGATTGCGGGGTATAATTAGCATTCGTGCTATAAACGCTTGTGGGTGTTGGTCTGTCCATTGGTACACCCTTCGGTGCTCCAGAAAATGATGGTATGGTTTCAGTATTGAAGTAAGACGGGGAATTCTGTAAGCCACCAGGAGTCATAGATGGCGACTGAAACCCCGTGGATTGGGATTGGATTGCACTCGGGTTAATATAATTTTGAAAAGGGTTTTTAAAATCAATGTTTACAGATTGAGCTCTATTCGGGGGATTGTATGAACCTGCCACTGATGAAGGACCGTAACCAGTTAGCATTGGTTGAATACCACTTGAGTTTTGGACATAAGGATTCGTTTGGGGACTGTATGACACCTGAGCATAAGGGTTTCCTGTCATTTGCGGAACGGCCATCGGAGCAACTTGGGCCTGTTGAATTTGGTATGGTACAGAGGCATTAAGGAAGGGATTCAATGGATTCGGAGCGGGTTGTTGGTGAGTAGATGAATTGTTTGGCTGGTTATAGGAAGGAGAATTCTGTCTTAAATTCAAAGGAAGATCATTACCCTCTTGTAACATTTCATCCACAAAAGATGAAGTATTATAATTCGGAAATGAGGAGTCCATCTGTTTGCCTTCTTGGGGTATTTGAGGTGTTGTCTCGGAAAGATCTAAAACACTTCCAGACTTATTCGGATTCGTCTTTTTGTTCAAATACTGATTACGATTTTTTTCGAAATCCGGATCATGTAGGTACTCTTCCAAGGAAGCCGTTAAACTAATAGGGGCATGTTTAATATTGGGGACGGGGAATTTGGTAACGAATTCCAAGGAACGAGCTGTGCCCAGAAAATTGATAACATCTTCAGTCTGTCGAACAAAAGTTTTGTAGATACGAAGAGATTGCTCTGCATCGGTATGGCTCATTTCAAAATAATGTTCCAGTAATTTAATTACACCAATATTGATTGCTTTAAAGAGCACCAACAAATCACCCACAAGTAGCCGGAAGGATGTCACGGTTATATCATTGTCTATCTCATCAACGAGGAACTGACATCTCAAAAGCCTCTTAAGCTGCGACTGGATACCATCTATATGGCGTATAAGTCCTTTCTCGACGGTCAATTGTTTGAGTTTTTTCTTAGTTGCATCACCGGCTTGAGCGTAATCAAATCCTAAACGGCCATATTGCCTTACCCTTTCACTTAAAAATCTGCTATAATTATAAATATTTTGACCTTGAGTAGTCAGAGAGGATGCTCGCACGACTTCGAGAATACGAGGACGCTGGGACAGAGCCACAATTGTCGTGCCAGGCGAGCCATCTTTTAACATGAGATGGAAAACAATTAATGATTTGTAAACGACAGTCCACGAAGAATCTTTCATTCGTTCACAAAGGTTCTGAATGACTGTATCTAATGTATCAGGATCTTCAGAGGTAGCTTGCAAAATTAATTCCACATGTTTGCTCTTCGGAGCAGCCAATTTGATCTTTGTAGCCTCTAAAAATTACCGTTAATATTTTATAGCATGAATCAGTACTTACTTTTAACGGCTCGATCATAGGAGGTCATCCATTTGGACGGGGGCATTGCAGCTTCTTGCTCAAGTGAAATTCCCTTCTAAGTACGTGACTTTCTTTAAATTAAATTAAGAATAAAGTATTAACTAAAAGCTATCGTTTACAATTTGAGTTTGTACTGTTTATGGTAAGTATCTGATCTTTACGGAGGTTCGTAAAGCGTTAGTATGGAAATCAAGCATCACATAGTGTCGGATAGTGTTCCCTTGGTAGCTTTCGTTATTATGTAAACAAAAGGTAGAATAGTTCAGTAGTAGTAAAATAGTAAATAAATCAACTAAGTAAAGAGAAAAGCTAGTTAATTAGTGATTTACTTCGAACATAAACGATCGTTGATATTTGCGGAAAATGAACCATGACGCTTTTTGCGAATATTGAATTCAAGAAGATATATGTAAGGATAGCAGAAACGATGGTTATGGAAATTTAACTGTTGCGCTTGTACTCCGAAGGAAGTACCACCCGGTTTCCCTGAGACCAAAGGCAAAGTTTCTTCTTCTTTGCTTTCTTCTCAAGAGAAAGCAATTGTTCCTTCGACGTTGGATAAAAGACTCCATCCGTTCCATCATACACAACGGCCAATCCCTTTTGGACCATAGCCGGACCAATGTCTCTTTTCCAAAAAAAATGGGAAATTGGATAGTACTGTACGCCGGCCACGAGTCTCGAGTATTGATCAACCTTCAGTGGAATTATGCGTACGTTTTTATGCAACAACGTCTTCGACAGATATTGTTTGGCCTCCAAGGAAAAGGGTTGGGCTTTTTTTCCAAAGTGGCCAGATTCTGGTGCATCCACGCCGGCTAGTCGAACAGAAATTGTCTTGGAAGCTAAACCAGACCGTGAGGTAGGCACTTTACGCAACCAGCGCCATCCTAGCCAGTATCCTCCCGGCGTATGGTAAAAACGAAAGTTATCTCCATCACCAACTCGTGTAACATAGCCAAATAGTGATCGAAATCTTTGAGATCGATCCGACCCTTTATTAGGGAAAAGAGATTTAGGGATATCGTGAACTGTTTCAAACCTCCGGAATCGCCACACAGCCCAAATACCAGCGACGATTGCTCCTCCTACTGCTATCGTTGGATATGCTTTTGATTTTTCTGGGGTTTCCTTTTCAGAGTTTTGCATGCTTACCTCGCTGCTGAAGTATAGAAAAGACTACACCAACAGCAGGACTTGCTTGTTGATTGAGAACAAGATTCCCACGAACGTAGAAACTGGACTGTATATGAATTTAGCTACAAATGCTACCTACCTGTACCTGAAAAGTAATTCGCTCGTAGAGTACTACACTCAGTACTAAGAACACTTCAAATTACCATTTCGATTCTTCTCTATTTCTGAAACACGTATAATGTTTCATTTATTGATTACTACACTACACTTCATACTCCCAGACAGTCATACTTTCCACAAATTACCATACAACTACCATTCTTATCCTTCAGTAATACTTGCATTTATCCACTTAAACATCCTACCTTCATCATCCCACGTACCAATTTTCCAGAAATAAGTCTATTCATACAATTCTCTCATCCAGTACTACATACACCTATTCTTGAATAAGCTTCAGAAAACCATTACCCACCTCAGAGCGGTGCTCCAACATTGGTAAAGATTTCCTAAAGCCAGAAGCTTTAGAAACAGGTTACAAAAACTAAACAGTCAAATTAGCACACCTTGCAAACGGCTGTTTCTGGTAAAAGGCAAGAAACAGATACGCTAGCTTTTGCAAAATGCTTTGACGCACAATGAAATCTCAAGGGGGCCTCAAAGCAACTTATATAACTTTTTGGTTTATAACCCTAACCCTGAAAAGTGGGAAAAAGGATAATAAAGCCATTATAGGTAATAAATTATACATAATAAGTTAAAGAAAAATGTAAAAATACTACTAGAACTTTTTTTATATCCCTATAGAAAACTCCCATTTTTTTCCTTATGTTTCCAGCGAAAATGAATTGTTTTTAACGAAGGTCTTGGTGCTTCGTTAGTAAACAAGGAACGTACACAAATTCATAAGCATTCTGATTCCGATATTTTAGTTTTAACAGTTATTTATCAGTAATTAATGAAAAATAATGATTTTTTGGGTTTCTTACGCGATTGCGTGTATCCGTCACCGCTTTGGATAACTCGTTCATGAATTAAAAAGTTTTCTTATGGTAATTCAACATAATTGGTCCCTTCTTATCCTATATTCTATTTCTGCTTTAGAATTATTTTTTTAAAAAAAATTCTGAAAAATCCTTCATCTTCTTCATTTATTCCTACAGTATTATCATAATTTTTTTTAATATATTCAGACCGTGTTTATTTTTCAAGGAAGCACACTAGATATCATAATACCCTTTTAATGAAGTAGAGTGTACCGTAACTAATCATCGTTAACCATGTCCACTAATACCAAATGAAGGAAAAAGGATGAGAACAACTGCCAAGAAATATATTGCCGAACTTAACCTTTGCACCTCCATAGTAATCTCCAAACCCTTTCACAAGGCGCAGAACTTTTTTTATAGATTCGCGTTTTCGAGGAATTATTCATATTTGGGGTCTTTTCTTTTTTTTTTGTAAAAACACGTTTCTTAGTGCCGAATTTTTGACATTTGTTTTACGCGTTTCTCGAAACTAAGGTATTCTAATAACCCTTTTTGTTTCTTTTTGTACACGCGAACCAAATTTGCATTCGTTTTCTTTCATTTATGGTACTTCAAATTCCAGCATGCTCTCAATCAACAAGTTTTCACGTGCCTCTAGGACTTCCACCGTCTTGTCCTTATGTAAAAGACTTCAAAGCACAGCACCTGACCGAAAAGACGCCAGTCTTTTGCGACACGATTACAAGGAAGCAGTTAAAGCTGTCCGAAAAGAGTATGCCACGGAAACCGAATTGGCTATAAAGCGTAGTGAAGAAGCATCCGCAAAACTCAAGGACACTGTGCAGAGACATCGTGCAGCAGTGAAACAGAAAAGCGAAAGGGTCGATATCCGAGTCCCGGGAATTGAGCCTGATACTTATCCCTTACCTGATCCTGATGCAGAGTTGCGCCACCAAACAAAGCAAGAAAATGTTTATAAAAAGGATTATTCTTCAAAAAAGGCATTAGTCAAACAGTTGGCTAAGATTTACTTCGCGGATAGCAAAAAATACGTTGTTGACATGAACGGGTTAGACAACTTAATCAATCATGCTTTTAATAATCCAAATGATGTTTTTGCTTCTCTTCCCACCAAAGAAGAATCTGATTCTTCTAGCATCTTTTTGAATGGTTCTGATTCCAACACGAATGAGGACATAATGAACCATGCTGCTGAAACAGTGATGGATCAATTATACTCGCGTGAACTATCTTCGACTAAAGCTAATGAAGATTCTTAAAGCTTAAATTTTTCCTAAAACGCTTCTTTATATATGCGAATGTGCGTATTGATGTATCAAATTTAATACTAATGCTATATCTATTCCTAAGAGAATGACATTATAATCATGCAGAACGAATCCGTGGGTTTCCAAAAAACATCAAAAATTTAACTAACTATTTTTTGTTCAAAGATTTGTTAGGCCATATGGGTTCCGGTGTAACGATTGTCGTCGCGTCCTTATCTTGCCAGATACCACTAGATTGGCTGCTCTCGTCACTTGCCAGTTTGCTCGGGGCCATGGGAAGAAGATCTTCATCAGAAGGCTTTTCTTCTATTTGTTGCTCAATATCTGGTTCTATTTGCATACCATCCTCAAGATTAATTTCTTTTATGTTAACAATTCTCGTTTTTTTCAAAAGTTTCCATGAAACGTAACTTATAACTAATAGGGGAGCTGCTAGGTATGCTTGAAAGAAGCTTATAGGGTTTGGCGCCCTATCAATTGGAAATATAGCCACGTAAAGTTGTGCTGCTAGTGCTAGAAAAGTCATGACAACTCCGTAAACAGATCCATAAACTCCAAACATGCTGAGATATGGAAGTTCTTCTAAAGAATGATTCTGTGCTTTCCATGCTCTTCTAAACTGAAGGTGACTCAGACATATGCTTCCCCAGATAAACGTAGTGGACAGTCCGCAGATGGACAAAAGCCATCCAAAAAGGGCGCCTCCTACTCCTGCTTCTGTGAAGTATGCGATGCTTCCAAGTGATAGAGTTATGATTATTGCGTAGATTGGATGTCCCCTTTTATTCGTCTTCAACAAAAACTTCGGAGCAAATCCATTCTTGGCTAAAGCGAAAAGCGCCCTTGATGCTGCATATGATGCTGAATTACCAACCGAAAGTGTTGAGCTGAGAATTACTGCATTCATAACACTTGGAAGTGCTTTGATATTTGCTAACTTAATGGCGATTACGAACGGCGACAGAAGAGCTTCAGAATCACCAGAAGTGCGTAGATGCGGGTTATTGGAAGGTATAACCAATGTTAACATGAATAATGCTAGCACGTAAAATAGGATGATTCTCCAAAATATTTGACGTACTGCTTTTGGAATTGTCTTATGAGGGTCTTTTGCTTCAGCAGCTGCTAGTCCTACCAATTCTGTACCGGAAAGTGAGAAGATAGCTATGACAAGGACTGCGCAAAAGCCTTTAATCCCGTTATTGAACGTTAAAGGTGGTTTCCAATAGGAGACGCCAATGACACCTCTGGTATCCGTCGGTACACCTCCAGCGGTGATAATGATACTAAGGAGTAAGAAACCGAAAACGGCGACTAGTTTGACGATGCTCAAAACAAATTCGACCTCACCGTATCCTTTTGTCCCCCATATATTGATCCCAATAATCAACACGTAAAAGACTGAAATCCAGACTGACGCACGTCCAGGGGCATGCCAGACGTTAATAATGAGGGGAGCCACTGTGAGTTCTAGTGGGACGGTGACCGCGAAGGATAACCAGTACTGAATTCCTACTGCAAAGCCCCAGGCGGGATCAATGAAGCGAGAAAAATATGTGTAAAAAGAACCAGAGACGGGATAGAGAACTGAAAGCTCAGCTAGAGCACTTGTGGTGAATATAACATAGAGTCCAATGACTGTGAATGCTATAATAATGCTTGCTGGACCGCCATCTGCTAATGCGTTTCCGGAACCAACAAAAAGTCCTGTTCCAACGCAACCACCAATTGCGATCATTTGCATATGGCGGGGCTTTAGTTGTCTTTTGAGACCTTTTTCATCCTCACTTGTCACAATCTCTACGTTATTTTCCAGGTCATGATCGATATGTTCAAAACTTCGAGATTTTTTGTCGGCGGGTGAACTTATCTTTCCTGTATCTTTAGACATCTCCTTTTCAAGGTTTGTATTGATGTCCTCGTAGAAATTGGAGGTCATGAACGACTTGATCTATGCAATTTATCAAGAGGATAGATATTGGAAGTATCGTGGGGTCTGTGCGATTATGGCTCTTCAAATGGAAGAGTTATAAAGGAATGAATGGGTAATCGCTTAGATTGAGGAGTGAATCAGAGATTTATGTCTTTGGATATTGACTAAAAAGCTCTGGTCGAATTTTATCCAAGAAAAGATATGTTGTTGTTTGCAGTTCTAGGAAGGAAGAAGGAGGGGCATGCGGTGTTTTTGAACTGTTTTAGAAGACGATGTTCTTATGATGATGGAATCGGCTGTCTCATAAGTTACTCAGTTTTGACATCAATTGGGACTGTTTTCAAGTAATATTACTTGATACATAGGCATTTAATAATTCAAAATAGGAGGAGGAATAGTGCTTAGCTTTTAAGTTTCGACGATATATCTGCTGCTTCAATTGAGGCTGATTGTCTTTGGCTTCATCGCTTCTACGCTGTAACTTAGCATAGATTAAATATGTCATCATTAGATGAAATATAACTAAAAGAATGCAATACCTTTTTTACTTTTAGTTTCACATAACATGATTTGAATCCTGCGTTTGGGTGTAAACAAACAAAGACTCAAGTACTTAAACTATAGTTAGTACACAACGTACAATGCTTTCTACGTACTAATAAATAGAAGAAATCAGTATTCAATAGAATGTTATATGAGTGTGCTCTGTAAACTATTCAATACAAATCTCCGTACCTAAACGAACAACGATTTGAGTAGCACCAGTGCTTTATTGCTGCGTAACGAGTCAGGTATCCGTAAAGGCTTTAAAGATTATCCATATCAATTCCCTTTTTAATTTTAATTAAAAGAATAAATTTAAACACTTTACGAAGATATTACTTTTCAAGGGCGGTATTTTTCTTCAGAAGAGGAACGAGCACTACACCTTCGAAACTCAACGGGCGAAAAGTTCGCACCTTCGTTCTAGGGTACATCACTCGAGTTGAATTTGTATAAATTTTTTCAGAGTTTTCTCTAACCTCAATAATACTAGAGCAAGCGCTATGGATATTGAAAAGTCGACCAAATGGTCGTACGTGAAAGAGCGTAAAGTAGGTGAAGGAACATACGCGGTGGTATTTCTAGGTAGGTTAGATGAATTCCCATTAACTGTTAACATATTAAGTGTATCAAATACTAAACGAAATGTGAAATAGGTCGCCAGAAGGAAACGAACCGAAGAGTCGCTATAAAGAAAATCAAAGTGGGACAGTTTAAGGATGGAATAGATTTAAGTGCTTTGCGTGAAATTAAGTTTTTGAAAGAAACAAGACATGTCAATGTCATTGAATTGATGGACGTTTTCGCAACCAAGTCGAATCTTAATATCATTCTTGAGTTCCTTGACAGCGACTTGGAAATGCTTATTAAAGACAAGTTTATTGTTTTCCAACCTGCACACATTAAAGCTTGGATGCTTATGCTTCTTCGGGGTTTACACCATATTCATTCTCGCTTTATCCTGCATCGGGATTTGAAACCAAATAACCTTCTGATCTCTAGTGATGGAGTTCTAAAACTAGCAGATTTCGGTCTTTCCAGAGATTATGGTATGCCTAATCACATGAGTCACCAGGTCATCACTAGATGGTATAGACCCCCGGAATTATTTATGGGTTGCAGAAGCTATGGAACAGGTGTTGATATGTGGAGTGTTGGATGCATTTTTGCAGAACTAATGCTTCGTACTCCTTATCTTCCAGGTGAAACAGATTTGGATCAATTGAGCGTCATTTTCCGTGCCTTAGGTAGTCCGGAGCCGGCCGTTTTACAGAGAATGAAACAATTGCCTAATTATGTTGACATGAAAGCTATTCCACCACCAAGTGGAGGAATGGAAGCATTATTTTCGGCTGCTGGAACTGAAGAGCTGGACTTACTAAAGAAATTTTTTGATTATGATCCTTACAGCAGACCTACAGCCCAACAAGCCTTAGAACATCCGTACTTTTCCTGTCTACCGCGTCCTACTCATCCTTCTGAATTGCCTAAAAAGGGCGGAGAAGAAGGCATCAAGCATGTCTCAAGTGATTTGCAACGTCAGGTAAATAATTCTGTACGGCCAAACATCAAGTTTGTCAGTTAGTCAATTCTTTTTTTGGATCTTCAATCTTCCCTTTTTCTCATCATAGCTCCCTAGATTCTTTAAAAGCTCTTCAAAATAATTTATGAATGACGATTATGTTACCCTATCTTTTTGTTTCTTTTAGATACCAGACTTTCAAACATTTATGTGTAACTCAGTATATTATTCTATAAACACAAACCTTTACCTGCCTCATGCAATACGAACGGTTAATGTTAATCTCTTCACCTATAGCGTGTACTTACAGGACCATGTCGTAGAGTTTTTGCATTCAATCCCAAAACATGACAATGATTGTTTACTAACGTATAATAACGTACTATGCAACATCATGCAACAACCTCAGTAAATGGACGTAAAGCAGTCACATATAGCATTAGGCCAAAATTTTGGCTTGCTGAAACAGCATCCACCAAAAATGGTTCGAGGACCCAAAAAGCATTTAAAGCGTGTCGCCGCCCCTCACCACTGGCTTTTAGACAAGCTTTCTGGTACTTACGCTCCCAAGCCTTCTGCTGGTCCTCATAAGGCTCGTGAGTGCCTTCCCTTGATCGTCTTCTTGCGCAACCGTCTCAAGTATGCCTTGAACGGTCGTGAGGTTAGAGCTATTCTCATGCAACGTTTGATCAAGGTTGACGGAAAGGTTCGTACTGACAACACTTTCCCCACTGGTTTCATGGATGTCATCAGCATTGAGAAGACTGGTGAACACTTCCGCCTTGTCTACGACGTTAAGGGACGTTTCACCGTTCACCGCATCACTGCTGAAGAAGCCAAGTACAAGCTTTGCAAGGTTAAGCGTGTCCAATTGGGTGCCAAGGGTATTCCCTTCATCGTCACTCATGACGGCCGTACCATTCGTTACCCTGATCCCTTGATCAAGGTCAACGATACCATCAAGCTTAACTTGGAAACCAACAAGATTGAAGGATTCATCAAGTTTGATACTTCTGCCCAAGTCATGGTCACCGGTGGCCGTAACATGGGTCGTGTTGGTACCATTATTCACCGTGAACATCACCTTGGTTCCTTTGAAATCATCCACGTTAAGGATGCTTTGGACCGTGAGTTCGCTACCCGTCTCTCCAACGTCTTCGTTATCGGTGAGACCAACAAGAGCTGGATCTCTTTGCCTAAGGGCAAGGGTGTCAAGCTCAGCATCACTGAGGAGCGTGACCGTAGACGTGCCCTTAAGGGACTTGCTTAAATGTCTTTAGGAGTAGAGAAATCAACTTAGGCTTGAATTTCAATAAAAATAAGAGTAGTGATTCCATATGGTGAATAGATGGGCAAATAGTAAACGGTTTGTATGTCTTGTTAGAATGGATAATTACTTGCTAGGGAAGTTGAAACGTGGTCCTATCTATCGCCGTGGGTTACGCTTATGATAACCAAGTGTTCAGTGCTTCTGCATTTGTTGCTTTAAGTGGAGTTCAATTATAATAGCTAGGTGTAATTGTAGGTTGAAAGGTTAGGCCTTTCTATTCCATTCAAGAGATTCAAAAAAGGTCAGCAATGCTTCTTGACTGAAATGTCTGCTTTTCAAATCCTTTTGTAGATATTATATAATTTGTATTTCTCTTCACCCAGAATTCCATCTTACTAAATATAAAGGTATTTTCTGTTTTTTAACGATACATCTACTATTATTTTGTATAACTATTAAACAGCGGTTCGAACTGCGCTATACGCCCTTTTGTCTACCAGCGGGAAATGCAAGAGTAGAGGAGTTTCCTAACGCCAAGAGGAATTGAAACGTAGGATTCATGTCGAGTTCAAAACGCAAGCTTTACCGTTTAATTCGTAAGTTTAGATTTAAGAATTTGAAAGCTAATATCAGAAAATGCTACGGAGCCATTCACATTTGAGCCGGACTTGGCTCTAAACTTGGACATTACTGACTTGATCAATCAAGCTCAGGGAAACATGTATGGATGAAGGCAAAGTAACTTTTGTCTTAGAGTTATGAATTTGACTGACTTTTTGTTTTGCTAGTCCTCGTGAAGCTGCTTTCGCAATCGTCAGGAAAGTCAATGATCGGAATCCAACGGTAGCTTATCTAGCCTTGAATGTATGACTCCCTCGCTGTTTTGTAACCAATACTAATGCCTTATATTCTTTTAGCTTCTCGATATTTGCGTGAAAAACTGTGGTTATGCGTTTCATTTGCAAATCGCTACAAAAGAGTTCCTCAACGAATTCGTTCGTCGTTTTCCTGAAAGACCTCCCTCTCGTTTAAATAAGATTCAGGTTATGATTCTCTCGCTCATTGAAGAATGGCGACGAACCATTTGCCGTACCGACCGTTACCATGAAGACTTAGGCTTCATCCGAGACATGCACAGACTCTTGTCTTATAAAGGTAAGATAAGCCAACCTTCTCATTTTGATTGGTATATGCTTGATTCTAACATTTCTTAGGCTATACATTCCCTGAAATTGCTAAAGATAACCTTGCTGTGTTAAGTCAAAAATCAGTGTTGAAAACTGCTGAAGAACTTGAAAAGGAAGACCGTGATGCTATGTCTGCGAAACTTCAGGAACATATACGTCGTGGTACTCCTCATGATCTTATGGAAGCCAACAAGCTTATGAAAGTAATGGCCGGCTATGACTCTGAACATAAACGCCGATACAAGGAACACGTCTTGGTCGAGCTTGAAAAGGTAAAGAGAAAGGCCTCTCTTTTTGGTGAAATGCTTAATGAAATAAAGGAATCGGATAAGCTCACTCCTGGTGACCTGTACGAAGAACTTGCTTATTCCCTTAAAGCTGCGGTCATTAAAGTAGACAAGATTTTAGAAGAATTAGACTCTTCAGACGAATATTACAATAGCGTTATAGACCTTAAGTCTTTAATTCTCGCTTTACTCTGCCAGTACGACCATCTTTTGAAAGGTGACTTTCACTCCGCTCAGAATACCTCATCGAATGCTCATTCTCTCTTTCAATCAACGTCTAACCTTTCCAAGGATGCAAACGAAAACTTAACCGTTGACCCTGCTTCCACTCCTACTCCTGCATCTCAATCTGCCATGGACTTGCTGATAGACTTAGATATTGGTTCATCTATGCAACCCAGCACTTCAAATGCTCAGATATCGTCCATCCAAAATAGCAGTCCTCTTCAATTGCCTACTGGTCCACCCAAGTCTCTCGATAGAACTGAAACACCTCCAGCTGTGGGTGCAATTTCTCTGTCTGAAAACTTTTCGAACATGTCTTTATCATCTCAACAAACGGATCCTGTCGGCAACAACATTTTGCCAACTACCGTCTTTTCTAATGAGCATGTGGTGTTCCAATTGGCACCAAAAAAAATTACGGATGGAAAATATGTTTTACTTGCTACTTATTCCAATTCTAACTCCTCTAAGAATATTGAAAACTTACAATCTTTTATTGCTTTACCCAAAAAATATTCTTTGGAATTAAAACCTCAATCTGGCACTCGTTTGTCTCCGTTGCAGCAAAAGGGTATTCACCAGGAAATGTTTGTTTCGAACGTATCTACGGATACTACAGAATTACCAATGCGATTTAAGTTTACATACTATGTGAACAACGTGCAAGAAGAACATACAGGACAATCGACGGTTAAACTGAATTAGATCAATTACCATAGATTTGATATGTGCCCTTATGGCTTAATGAAGATCCCTGTTATACATTTATTTCATTTCACTTCCGGCCATATCTATTAGCACTTTTTATAAGATAAACCATCAAATAACTACTAATGAACCCTTTTACTCCCATTGAACACCAACCCATTCCTTTGCATAGCCAACTTGATTCTTATTTAATGGTGGCTTGCAGTCCATAGAACAAGTAGCAACCAATATTGTAGACCATTCTGCCACCTCATCATTGAGTACAGATATGGAGTAAGGCATAAGTTGCATTTCAAAAATTCTTGGCGACTTACATAAAGGACAAACCGGGAAAAAATTAGTGTAAGAGTCAGTTGTCTTAAACATTTTTCCCACGACATCTCTATTAGAAGCCAAGAGAGGTTTCCCGCCCCGTTCGTAACGCACGCACTGAGTAGGGTTATGCGATATAAGTTCAATAAACTTCCGAAAAGCCTTTTCATATACAGCAGGTGATTTTTCATAAGACTCATTTTCCCAATTCCCGTACGAGTCCATCGTTTCCTGCATTTTGAAAGAACTTGAACCTTCTTTCATTTCTTTCGCCTTCAAAGACTTTGGTATATGCTCTAAATCAAGAGTTAAAAACATGCCTGGAAATTTTGGAACCTTGGGATACTCATATACGGTGGTGACCTGAGGATGAATTGGCATATTCTGAGCGTCGACATATACTTTATTGGAAGAGGAGGGTTTCGTTTCCGGTTTCTTGCTAGCACCTGTAAGTGCCATAGCAGCAAATGAATTCTGCATATTTCCTGGGTCCTTTTCATCTTTGACTGCATCAGTATGAGGAACCGGCGGCTGAGAAGACGAGGCGAAAGGATTTGGCGGCGAAAAAGAACTAGAGAAAGGATTGGAAGCTCTTGCTATATTGGAGGAAGAGGTGAATGGATTAACCTTTTCTGGTTTTAGAACTTCTTCGGCATGTGCCTTTTTAGGTGGTTCATTTTCTTGTTTTGAAGATTGAACTACTTGGACACCGCGAAGGCAAATGACAGATTTAGGAGACCTTCTGCAGGCCTGGTCATGACAAGCCCAAATGTATAACGCACGTTCTTTGCTTTCGTCACCTTCTATCGGAGCATAGCATTGAAACAAAAACCGGCAATAAGAGTTACAATTTCCGCAGCGAATGTCATCTGGATTTATAGAAACGTTTTCAAAAAAAACAGGAGTATCACCTAAAAACGTTGAATATTGGTCGGGGACTTCTTCATCTGATATATTCACATCTGGTGTACCAAGCCAAACCTTTGTAGCTAACCAATTACGATTCATAAGTCAATTTACCGAAAAAATAAAGCAATGACGAAAAAAGTGTATAAAAGAGAGTAAAAATCAGAGATCTATAAAATGACAAAGTTCGTAAATATTCTATGGATTTTAATTAGTGTCCAAAGAATTGTTCGCGTTAAAAAGTTTAAGGAAACAGAAGTAGTACGCTAATATACAAAGAGGAGATGAGCATTATTGAATCGCGTTTCGTCGGTTTTGCTCGAAAGCAATAAGCAGAATTAAAACCACGAATATCAAAAAATCTGATTAAGCATCATTTCTGAAATACACAGAAATGATGTGCTGAGGGACGTTGTAACCCAAGAGTGAAAGAGCCCACATAATGAGAAACATCGGTATAGGAATTAGTAGAGTGTGTGTATCTTTCAAAAAAGGTAAAGCTGAACATTGGTTAGCAAAAAGACCCAAAAGGCATAAAAAAAAGACAAGGACTTACTCTGATATCCGATAAATGTTAAATAGGTATAGTAGCAAAGGGCAACTAAATAAAGCGAGTTTCCTAGAAAAAGAGAAATACTTTTTGTTTGTTAGAGGAAGTGACACAGACATAGAAAGTAAATGCACATACAAGTTTGAACCGCTGATAATGGGTAAAAGAATCAACTGGATAATGTACAAAAGAACAAAGACAGGAAAAAAAGAATTGCAATGAATATCAAAGCAATACTTCCATTCCAGCTGATTCTGGAAAGAGCCAATGGATGCGGACTCTCGATAGATGTCTTTTAGGAGAAACCTTTTCGCGACAAAGTAATAAATGGAGGAAAGGATGAACCCGACTGCGAGAAAGTCGACAAAAAGCATGGAACACAAAAGAGAAATGTATCCTTTGAGAGAGTTTTCAAAAAAGAGTGCCCAACAGAATGATGTAAATATAATTAAAGTGGAAAACAAAATAATAAATGAGAGATCTTCACGTCCATACTGGTTAATAGTTTCTGCAGAAAAAAGAATTAGTAAACGAAGCCTATGCATTTTTATCTAGTTGTCTCTTGCATACGTTTCTATACACGTGTTAGAAAATAGGAAAACATCACCAACAAATCCTCTTCAAAAGGGATTTCTACAAGTCACTTACTCGTAAATTAATGGATCTATAAACGCGACGGGGTGCTCGAAACAGGTTTGCCATGTCCCATAATGAGCGTTCAAGATCCTAAAGGTTCAAGAATTAGCAATGTTTCCATAGCGAGAGAACCATACCATCTGAGATAATTTAAAAGAGCGTAATTTCTTATGTATTGAAGCAGACATCTTTGAAGGATGTAAAACTGTAATCTGCTAGGTTTGTTTACGCTTTATGCAAAGGGACGAAGGCCCTCTTGGGGGAAGCCGACACAGATAGCGAGTGCTATGGTAACGTATGACACTCAAATACCGATATGTATTGAATTGTGATAAATAGAATACCGAATTGTGATCACCATCGTTGAGCTAGGAAATCAACAAAGAAGGAAAGGAAATCGAGAAAGAATGAAACAAATCAAGAATAATTTAAAGTAAATTAAACTCTAAAATGAGTAGGATAAAAGGTTATGAAGAGCTGTAAACACCTTTTTTTCCCTTTAAACAAGGTTTACTCGAATTTACAAAAACGGAAATTCACAAAAATTTTTGACCCCGCCAGGAGTCGAACCTGGAATCTCCTGATCCGTAGTCAGGCGCCTTGACCATTGGGCCACGAGGCCTTCGTTGAAAACTAATGATTTTGAAAAGTTATATGGTAAGATCATTTACACGAATGGAAAAAATGTTCAAGAGCAGAGATGGTAAGGTACAAAAGTGTTATTGATAAATCCAGTACGAGTTTGAGAAATGGGTGTGAAGTGATTCTCTTGTTTGTATAAATTTGGATTCATGATATTGCAGAGTTCAGAAATTGTACATTGACTGTACACAGTCTATTGTTCTGGTTATTCGCATTGTCTCTTGTAAATGCGGATTGAATGATATATAGTCGAGAGTTACTGGGAATTCCGTAAAGTTACGTTTTTTGAAAGCAGACAGCAGCCGAATTTAACGAGATATCTTACATGAACTGAGTTCGAAAGGGAATTCCTAACTCACATAAATAAAACTACTGAACGCCAACGGAAAAAAGGTTTCCGTTATCAAAAAAAAGTATTCGTCCTTTTACTAGGCGGTTAAAGGTCACCGATGTTTGTTGAGGATAGTTTTATTGCAGTGAATATAAGACTATCTTGGTCTGTAATCATTCTCACGAAATCTGCAGACTCGTGCCACTCATGAAGAGTACGAAGTGTAATCAAAAGGTTCCATAAATGTTTACATCCAAATTTCCTATGTGATACTTCAAAAATGGTAAGCAAAAATGGTAAACAAAAGATAGGAACTTGGAAGATTGTCTACCATCACCTTCTATACAAAGAAAGAAACCTCTATACGGAGATTTTTCCTTCAGACATGCCTGACACCAAAAAGATGGGAGTTTTGCTTTGCTTTCTTATCTTTGTTGTATTTTTCAAAGAAAGAATTAAAAATCAAGCTGAATGATTAATTCGACAACGTGGTATCCCAAGACTTTGCAAATTTCCGGTATTAAGCATCTTCGGAGTCATTATTTTCAGCAGGTCGCGATGTCCGATGCTTAGGGAGTCCTTGAGCTGCTTCTTGAATTTGGATGTTGAAGTTTTGGGTTTCCAATTGCTTACGGTAATTGCATCCTTCCCATGAAACCAAACTCATACCAAAATACGTACCAAATCCCCAATTTAGAGCTTTACTACGAGGTGCTAGACGCTTGTAAGTAACCTAACTGCCAAAAATAAATGAAAAAGTGTCATCAAAATAGACACACTCGTAAGACGAAAAACCATCTCAATTACCTTTCATAAACAAGTGGATACACCCTACACCAATACCGCAGAGAACACTTGTTATGGTGGATTCTTTAAAGCATGGATGATGAAGCATGTGAACAAAATCGTCCTTTCTTAACGACTATTCAATCCAAGTTAGTATATTTAAACAACTATATTCTAAACTCGTTTATTACCTTAAACGCCTGAACAATGCTTCCTTCTTGAGGTCCATTCTGTTCACTCATAGTGGGAGTGTTGTTGTAGCCGGTGGAAGCCACAAGCTATAACCCAGGGTATTCACATTTCAAGTTTTTGATATACGATGAATAAAAATTTTAGCATTCTGCTTTAATTACTTTTGTTTTGTTAAAAGAAAAATGATTCAACTAGATTAAATCAATTGTGTAGATAAAACCTGCCGGATCCCTATCCATTGTTCAGGAACCAAATACAAATTGGTAGTCAACAACAATATGACTTTTATGCAACTTTATGATAGTTTTGAATTGAGCATTGAAAAGAAAACAGACCGTGTTTTTGGTCTATTTATTTTTTTGAAAAAACGCGACGCGAACGCGCTCTTCATTTCTTGTTCCTCACACTCACTATGCTACCTTCTTCTTCATTACCATAACAACCATCCCAAAAACTTGACATCTTGGCAAATTTCCAATGCATTTTTGTGTTGACTGAGGTGATCTCTCCCATACTTAAAAATTGAAAATACTCTCTTTTACTATCGTTTCGTCTTGTCGTTTTTGATATATTTACAAATCTCTTTTATTAAGCCGCGTTTTCATTCATTTTCATTCGTTTTTGTTATATTTATTTATTGTAATGCCTCCCAAGTTCTCTGGTAAACGTTCCAATCTCCCTCCCAGGTCTTTTCAAAATATCTATAAAAACCCAAATGCCTTCGAGGGCCAGACAAACAGGTCGGCGGATGAGAATGGGCTGAGCGATCCCTTGTTCTATGTCAATCGCAAAAATGAAATTGATCGTATTATGGGATTTAACTCATACGAAGGTGGACCATCTCGTGAAGCTTGGTTAGTGAACGTTCACCCCACTGTGATAGAAAGCCAAAAGCGCAACTCGACACTTAGCGCTGTCGACTTTTATTTTATTGAAGATGACGGTGAAACTTTCCGTGTTACCATTCCTCATTCTCCATACTTCTACATCTCAGCTCGTGAAGGAAAAACAGCGAATGTAGAAGAATACATAAAAAAAAATTTTGCTGGTCTTGTGAAATCTACTTCACGAGAATTCAAAGAAGATTTGAAACTCAAAAATCACATAGTTGGTTACAAAAAATTGTACATAAAATTAACGTTCGACAACTTAACAGATCTTCAGTCGGTCCGACGCACCCTTATGTCCGCAGTAAAGTCAAACAACGCGAAGGAAGAAGCTTTTAATACCTATGCATCTCTTAATGATTCCAATGATTTGGCTTTAGACACTTCCTATGATGATCCTATGGACCATATAATGGATCTCCGCGAATTTGACGTGCCGTATCATGCTAGAACACTGATAGATCTCAACATCCGTGTTGGTATGTGGTATACTGTGTCTTTTCGTGAGGGAGAGCCACAAATAGTTCCTCTTCCGACTCGTATTGAGCGTGCAGAACCTACTATTATGGCTTTTGATATTGAAACTACTAAGCTACCTTTGAAATTCCCAGACAGCTCATTTGATAAAATTATGATGATTTCGTACATGGTAGATGGTCAAGGGTTTTTGATTACCAATCGTGAAATTGTCGGCGAAGATATCGAAGATTTTCACTATACTCCTAAGCCCGAATTTGAAGGACCTTTTATTATCTTTAACGAGCAAGATGAGCTAAGTTTGTTGCATCGCTTTTTCAAGCATGTAAGATCTGCCAGGCCCACCATTATAGTTACCTATAACGGTGACTTTTTTGATTGGCCTTTTGTTGATGCTCGTACTACCTTTCATGGCTTGAATTTAGCAGAAGAAATTGGTTTTAGCAGAGATGCTGAGGACGAATATAAATCATCCTATTGTACTCACATGGACGCTTTTCGTTGGGTAAAAAGAGACAGTTATTTACCTCAGGGTAGTCAAGGCTTAAAGGCAGTTACAGTAGCCAAGTTAGGTTATAACCCTATGGAATTAGATCCTGAATTGATGACTATATATGCTAGCGAAAAAGCTCAGACGTTAGCGCAATACTCAGTTTCAGATGCTGTCGCTACTTATTATCTCTATATGAAGTACGTTCATCCCTTCATTTTTTCCCTTTGTAATATTATTCCTCTTAATCCTGACGAGGTTTTGCGAAAAGGTACTGGTACCCTTTGTGAGACATTGCTCACAGTAGAGGCATCTGCAAATAATATTATTTTACCCAACAAACACGTGGAGGCACCCCAGAAATTTTATGATGGGCATATGCTTACAAGTGAAACATACGTTGGTGGTCACGTTGAAAGTTTAGAATGTGGTGTCTTTCGTAGTGATATTCCTACTGCGTTTGATATGGATCCTGCTGTCTATCAAGATTTGGTTACTCAATTAGACAAAGCATTACAATTCTCAATCGTTACAGAAAACAAGATTGATATGGATGATATAGAAAACTACGAGGAGGTAAAGTCTCAGATTGAAGCGAAGTTATCCGACTTACGGGATAAACCTAAAAGATCAGAGAAACCTAAAATCTATCATCTTGATGTTGCGTCTATGTATCCTAATATTATGATCACAAATCGGTTACAACCTGATTCCGTGAAGGATGAATCTTTTTGTGCTACATGTGATTTTAATGTACCTGATAAAACTTGCGACCGTCGTATGGTGTGGTCATGGAGAGGTGAATTCCACCCTCCTAAAAAGAATGAATACCAGATGATTGTTTCTGCCATGCAGACTGAAAGATTCCCAAGTTTAACACCTTTTGGTCCTTCGAGATCATTTGACGAACTTTCACCCACGGAAAGAGCGGAAAAGATTCAAAAGCGTGTAGCCGATTATAGCCGGAAAGTGTATCACCGATTATATGACAACGAAGTTATTGAACGCGAAACAATTATTTGCCAAAAGGAAAATTCGTTTTACATTGATACAGTAAAAGCTTTCAGAGATCGTCGTTATGATTTTAAAGGCTTACAAAAAAAGTGGAGTAAAATTCTTTCCGCTAGATCAAGTTCTGGTAGCCTTGGTGAGTTGGAGGAAGCCAAGAAAATGGTGATTTTGTATGACTCCCTTCAACTTGCTCATAAAGTTATTTTGAATTCTTTCTACGGTTATGTAATGAGAAAGGGTTCTCGTTGGTATTCAATTGAAATGGCGGGTATTACCTGCTTGACAGGTGCTTCTATTATTCAAATGGCGCGTCAAATTGTTGAGCGTGCGGGACGTCCTTTAGAATTAGATACCGATGGAATTTGGTGCATTTTACCAGAATCATTTCCGGAGAACTATGAGTTTAAAAGGAAATCTGGTGGAAAGGTATTTATCTCTTATCCTTGTGTTATGTTGAATCACTTGGTCCATGAAAAATTTACTAATCACCAATACTCCTTGCTCAAAAACCCTGATACCTTGGAGTACGAAACAACAAGTGAAAATAGTATTTTCTTTGAAGTTGATGGACCTTATCGGGCTATGATTTTACCAGCTTCCAAGGAAGAAGGTAAAACTTTAAAGAAGCGTTACGCTGTTTTCAATTTTGACGGCAGTCTAGCTGAACTTAAGGGGTTTGAAGTTAAGAGACGAGGCGAACTAAAACTCATCAAAGATTTTCAGTCACAAATCTTCAAGATTTTTTTGAAAGGAAATACTCTTGAGGAATGCTATAAAGAAGTCGCATTGGTTGCGGATACATGGCTCGAAGTACTTTTCACAAAAGGAAAGAATGTAACTGATGATGAACTATTTGAACTTATTTCCGAAAATCGAAGTATGTCAAAGTCTCTTGCAGAATACGGATCGCAGAAGTCCACCTCCATTACTACCGCTAAGCGTTTAGCGGACTTTTTGGGTGATCAAATGGTAAAAGACAAGGGTCTTGCTTGTAAGTTTATTATCTCTTCAAGTCCCAAAGGAAGCCCTGTTGCGGAGCGAGCCATCCCTGTGGCTATCTTCTCAACTGAAGAATCTGTCAAAAGACATTTTTTGCAGTTATGGTTGAAAGACAATAGCCTTTATAATATTGATATTCGAGATGTCTTAGACTGGAACTATTATATTGAACGCCTAGGATCGGTGGTACAGAAGTTAATTAGTATTCCGGCAGCTTTACAAAGGATCGCCAATCCCGTACCTAGAATCCCATTGCCTGATTGGTTACATAAACGACTTGCTTCATTAAATTCCGGTTATAAACAAAAAAAGATTGACTCAATATTCAGTGCTGCTCCTGCACCTCCTACCGCTCAGCTTAACGATATTGAAGATTTTGGGTCTCAAGGTAAGAATCCGACTCCAACTATCGCTCGGGTATCCAAAAGAAAAACAACTCAACCATCTGGTAACGATACCCAGGTCTCTTTCAACGAAAAGCCTGTGTCAATTGTTGAAGGGTATAGTGCATGGTTAAAATACCTCAAGAAAAAATGGAAATACCAAAAACAAGTTCGTATTCGAAGACGCCATCTTGTTGGATTCCAATCCAGACAGTTTACGAACGTATTTAAGTCATCCGCTGAAAATATGTACCAAAACTTATGGCATATAGTACAAATAAGGAATACTGACAGTCCTGGTGTTTTGCATGCGTGGGTCATTATAAACAATAGGTTGACTTCGGTTCGTTTTAATCTTCAGAGAAAATTTTATATTTGCTTCAAAGACAACAATTTACCAAACGTTGAAATTGACGATTGTAAGATTGAAAAGAGCAATGCCGTTCTTCCCCATGGAAATGTTTCTGATAAGTTATTCAGTTTGGAGATACCTGAGAAGACATACCTGAATGAGAAAAATGCTATATCAATGATTTTTGCTCATCCATCAGTAGAAGGTATCTACGAAACGAAGATAAAGCCTATTGAGCGTGGAATTTTGCAAATTGGGTGCCATAGAAGATTCAACAATACACTCTCTGGAGCCTTAGGTAAAGCATTCGAAACTGGTTTTGAACCTGAAATGTTTGTGCAACCTTATGAAAGTGATGTCAGTTACCTTGAGGATGTTGATTTGAACTACATATACGCGTTTCATTGTTCATGGAACCAACGCTTTATCTTATGTCTATTTCTCCCTCATTTAGCCAAAGCTGAAGTGGTCGTATACGACGGTCTTTCTGAGGATACCTCCTTTCCTCAATTGGAAGATCTGTATCATGAGATGAGGCATAAATACTCTGATGTATTAAAGGTCTCAGCTATAGAGTATCCTGAGGATATAAAGTTTTCGATTTCATATAGCAAAAACGAAAAGAAAGCATATAAGCTAATTAACGAAAGAATACTGCAGTATCTGGCTGCAAAAACCAAAAATAGCTTGCTAGTAATTGAAACTACCTCTCCGGAAAAGCTTGAAGAAAATCTTAAGCAGTTAGAAGAATTACCTTATACATTACTTACTCGTCGTGAAACAATGGTCCAGTCTCTTTCCTGGAAGCAATACGTGTCCAAGAAAATGATCCAACATTTTCTAGCCGTGGGTGCTTGGATAAATCACCGTATCCAGCTTTCAAGATACGGGGATATCCCTTTTTGTAATTTTGAAAGCGATGAACTTCAGTATGTCATTGATTTGCAATACGCAAGGAAACTTAAGGAACAAAATATAATTTTATGGTGGAACAAGGGTCCGATGCCAGATCTGGGTGGTTTAGAAAAGGATGATGTACTTCACGTTGCGAGTCCAAATGATTCACTTGAGATTAATCGATCGGGTGCCTATTCCAGTGCTTGTGTGGATGTATCTTTTTCGAATTTAGCTGTTTGCAGTGTCCTTAACTCAGCCTTGATTAATGAGATAGAAGGTGCAAACGATTTGGCTGCCTTGAATGATGGCTTTACTGCGAACGTAACAGATGATTTAGAAGCTCGATTGGGAATGTATGATACAGTAGGCTTAGCCCATTCCCTTCCTGTACTAAAAGAGCTCATAAAACGTTGGTGGCAGGAAGCAGCAGGCGGAAACACGCTAGCTGACTTAATGATTCAACATTTGGCAAGATGGATAAATTCTTCAAAGTCATATTTATATAGCCCGCTGTTGGTAAGCCATATACAAGTTGTCATGAAAAAGACATTTTTACAGTTGCTTGCCGAAATTAAAAGACTTGGAGCCCAAATTGTATACGCAACGACTAATCGAATCATCATAGGAACATCCAAAACCACAGTTCAGAACGCTATCTCTTACACGAAATATATTCTAAAATCGCTGAAAACACTTCCCTTATTTCACTTTTTGGATTTAAATATTCAAGAATATTGGGATTACTTGTTATGGATGGATCCGGTAAATTACGGTGGAAAAATGATTTTACCAGAAATCTTGGCGATTAGTCCGTTGAAAGAACCAGAAACTGTTGTATCGTGGCATATCAAAAGCCATCTACCTCCGATTGTTCAACCCGAGTTTCAGAATTGGGTAGTTGAATTTATTGAGGAAATATACAAACAAAAATATTTAACCCAAAATGGAAAGGGTGTTAATATGCGTGTCCGCGATAATGTTTCCGAAGCTGAAGCCGAATTCCAAAGCTTGGGTGCTGGAATTCTTAGTAAAAAGATGATGCCCCCATTGAAAAGACAAATCACTGCGTTACAAAGAAGATTCCAGGAGTTTGGGCTACATGACGAAGTCGTAGAAAACTTACAATTTCCGAAACTCCCAGGTTCTTTCAAAAAATTTTCAAATGTCCCGCTAGAATTTATAAAAACACTGTGCGCTGTCTATGGATTAGTTGAAAACCTAAGCCTTGAAAATCAATTATTAAAGAAAAATCTGTTGTCTGTACTGCAAGTACGCGAATTTTCTACCATTGCTCTCTTTGAGTATCCGAGTCAAAAGCTTAGATTGGAACAAATTTCTTGTCGACAATGCGGTATGGGTCATGATTTTGATCTTTGTCTTCACGAGCAGTTATGGCCAGAACGTAATGAGTCTGGAAATTTAAGTTTCCTAACAGGCTGGACATGTCAAGGATGTAATTCACCTTTTGATCGATGGGTATTTGAGGAAACTCTCATTGACAATATTCAACATCAGCTCGTCCTATACCAAGTGCAAGATTTGACTTGTTCAAAATGTAAACGTGTCAAGGAGTGGGGCCTCAAGGCTCGTTGTGCATGCGGTGGAGAATGGGCGTTGGGATTATCACCCGTGAAATTCCGTGAAACACTGAGGGTTTATCAGTCTGTCGCTGATTTTTATGAATTTACGATTCTAAAAGCAACTGCAGAATCGATAGCTGGCATGTTGTAGTGATAGTTTATAGCGCTGTACTTTGAATCTGGTTTGAGCAACACAGCAATAATAATAAATGCAAGCGCAGGTCGCTTTATGTAATCCTTCTTGAATCTTTAATTTTTATGAAGTGCAATTCATTAGTATGTAAATGTGTACGTGTATAATGCTCAACAAAGACGGAAATAAATATGTATCGTACGTAACAACCGTAACATCCTACGTACGAAAATATCTTTAATTAGTATTACATTTTAAGAAAGAAAATGCTCTTTCTTTTCAAATATCTTGACAAATTTTCATATTCTCTTCAGTATCTTTACCGCACTATAACGCGGTCCTCACAATACCCACTATGGTTGGAATAGTACTAATGCGCGCACATCCTTTCTTCCAAGCACCAAACGACTAGAATTTGAGTAAATTACAGAATGTCTGCAGGGGCCCCTCAAATTCCAATTATTGGTAAGTTTAAGTTTAAAGGATAGCTTCTAATGAATGTGATGTAGTTCTGAAAGAAGGCACTAATGATTCTCAGGGTCGTGGTCAACTTCTCTCGAACATCAATGCTTGTGTCGCTGTCCAAGATACCATTCGGACGACACTTGGACCTTTAGGAGCTGACAAGCTGATGGTGAGTGATAGAGGTGAAGTAGTTATTTCGAACGATGGCGCTACCATCATGAAGCTCCTCGATATTGTTCATCCTGCTGCAAAGACGCTCGTGGATGTTGCTCGTGCTCAGGACGCCGAGGTTGGTGATGGTACTACATCCGTAGTTGTTTTTGCTGGTGAATTATTACGGGAAGCTCGTAATTTTGTCGAAGACGGTGTTAGCTCGCATTCAATTATTCGCGGCTATCGTAAAGCTGCTCAATTGGCAGTAAATAAAATCAAAGAATTGGCTATTCATTTAGATTTGTCAGATGAAGCGTATGTATACGATGAACTTCGTCAGGTGAAGGATGGCTTTTTCATAAGAGCTTGAATTTTGCTTTTGTTCTGTTACCTCTTGTCAGTACTAACCATTATTGATTAGAAAATTACGCGATTTATTGATGAAGTGTGCTGCTACTGCCATGAGTTCCAAATTAATTCGTTCTAATTCATCTTTCTTTACGAACATGGTTGTAGATGCAGTTCTTACTTTAGACAGAGAGGATTTAAATGAAGATTTGATTGGTATTAAGAAGGTTCCAGGTGGATCTATGGAAGACTCTCAATTGGTGAATGGTGTTGCTTTTAAAAAGACTTTCTCATACGCAGGTTTCGAGCAACAGCCTAAGTACTTTAAAGACCCTAAAATCCTCTGCTTAGATGTCGAGTTAGAGTTGAAGGCTGAAAAGGATAATGCCGAAGTTCGTGTCGACAAAGTTCAAGAATACCAGAATATTGTAGATGCTGAATGGCGCATCATCTTTTCAAAATTAGAGGCTATTGTGGCCACCGGTGCTAAGGTTGTTTTGTCTAGACTACCAATTGGAGATTTGGCTACCCAATACTTTGCCGACCGTGATATCTTTTGTGCTGGTAGAGTTGCTAACGATGATTTGAATCGCGTTATTCAAGCTGTTGGTGGTTCCATTCAATCAACATGCTCGAATATTGAAGAGCGTCATCTCGGAACCTGCAGCACTTTTGAAGAGCGCCAGGTTGGTGGTGAACGTTTCAACTTGTTTGAAGGCTGTCCTAGGTCGAAATCTTGCACCCTTATCCTTCGTGGTGGTGCTGATCAATTTATTGCAGAAGTTGAACGCTCTTTACATGATGCTATTATGATTGTCAAGCATGCTTTGAAAAATAACCTCGTTGTTGCCGGTGGTGGTGCTTGTGAAATGGAACTCTCTAGATATCTTCGGGATTATTCTCTAACCATTTCTGGCAAACAACAAAACTTTATTGGCGCTTTCGCTCGTTCTTTAGAAGTCGTTCCTCGTCAACTCTGTGACAATGCCGGGTTTGATTCAACTGATATTTTGAACAAACTTCGAATGATGCATGCTAAAGGTGACAAATGGGCCGGTGTCGATATGGCAAGTGAAGGTGTTGCTAACAATTTTGAAAAGTTTGTGTGGGAGCCAAGTTCTGTCAAATCTAATGCTATCATGTCAGCAACGGAAGCAGCTACTTTGGTTCTTTCTGTCGACGAAACTATAATGAATGAACCTTCGAAACAACCTCAGGGTCCTCCTCGAGGTGGTGGTATGCCTCCTGGTGCTGCACAAAGAATTATGCGTGGTAGAGGTCGTGGTATGCCTCGTTGATATGCTATGTTGATGATTGTTTAAAAGAGAAGGCCGGGAAAAATTAGAATTGGTTACTTTTTATACACCTCTTATTAAAGTATAAAATTAAGTTTAAAGATTTAGTAAGGAGTAATTGATGTTTTTTGCATAGGAGAAGCATTTTCCGCATATATCTTGTCGTTTTCGTTAAGTAAAAAAGAAAAGCTAATATGTAGACTTCTTTTTGTTGAACTTGTTTGTATTGTCGTGTTTTATAATGATGGGAGTATAATCAAAGTGATGATATGTTTAAAGCGTTCCACTGTAAAAACTCATGAAGTGGGCCTATCTAACATATATATATTTGTTTATAGGTAATTTTCTTCTTTTTATTTCTTATATTACATTTCGAAAGCTTTTTGGTTATGCACACTCTCCGTAGCTGGTTTCGTCCTTAACTCAACATCCGTGCTCTATTCCAAGTAATTAGAGCGCGACCTCGCATAACTTTTAAGGATTTGAAATTTAGGGTACTTTCGAGTTGATTAACGCTTAAGTAATAGTGTTGAATGTCTTGTTATAAAATAAAAGACTAGCATTGGATGGACAGGAATCTCGAAGACGCGAAGACGTTGGACGAGCCAAATCTTCATAGGTTAGCAATTGCTCTTCTAAAGAACGACTATTGGAGTCTTTATTTAACTCCAGAACAAAAACGAAAATATGTAAATATAGTTAATGATGTACAGTTATGGAATCGTTTCATAAACGTGAAAAATTGGGATTTACTATGTGACGAAAAAGACACAGGAGGCACTGAAGAAGATGATGAATTAGACATGACAACCCTTTTCCGGTGTCGGTGTATGCTATATGATGCCCAAATTCATGGTGATTTATACGTTACGGGAAACGCTCAAGGTCTTTCTACCCAAGTAACCAAAGGGGAGGATGGGAATCTGCCTCGCTCAAGTGAGAGGAACGAGCATTCCAGTCAAGAAAATATATCTGAGAGAGAAGAACTGAAAAAGAAGACTTCATCTCGAGAGGTTAATGAGAATGACTATGACGAACCAGACAGCGGTGATGATCAGCCAAACAGTGATGAAAAGCAGGAAGTAAATGGTACTTCATCCCATTCTTTTCTAGATTTGGAGTCCATTGACATTGATGATATGGGTAAGCAACCCTCTGGATGCCTTTCGTTTAATTAACCACTTAAAAATAGATGTTTCAGGATCAAGCACTATTGAAGCTAGCAAGGTCCTTAGTAATGTCGCCTATAATTACGTTTATTATACCCTTGAAGATGATTTTCTGTATCTAGAAGAAGTTGAGAAGCTAAACAATAGCGAACCCTCTTCACCTACAAAGGCTTCAGTTCCCCAAAGTGCTTCTGATGCTTCGTTGACTGAAAATTTTTCTGTATGTATTTAACTATTGCTATTGCTCGCGGTAGTATTAGTGTTTTCAGTTATCTAATTTAAATATAGCAACTACATTCCAAGTTTGGACCGTTTACTGCGAACTTCAAGGTTCGTTTCGTTACTTGTGTTAGACAACGACCGCTAATTTCTTGAACAGAACCTTTTAAACTTTATAGAAAACAACCGGAATGCTGTGGGAGCATCTGATTCTGAAATAAAACACTTGTTGGCAGATGTTCGAAAAAGCAGATCAAAATGGGTATTCGATATAAATTTTGGGTAATAACTATTTATTAACGCTCTAGGCAAATGAACAAAGAATAGGTCAGGAAGAATTATATGAAGCAGCTGAGAAAGTCATTATGGATCTTCGTTCGTACACGAAGCATTCCATGCCTTTTTTGACCAAAGTCAGCAAACGTGATGCACCTGACTATTACAATGGTAAATTCATAGTTTTTGTTGTTCTGTTAGTTATTAACATGACTTTTTAGTTATAAAAGAGCCTATGGATTTGGGAACGATGCTTCGGAAATTAAAAGCGCTGCAGTATAACAGTAAAAAAGATATAGTTCATGATTTAATGCTTATTTGGTCTAACTGCCTAACATACAATTCTCATCCGGTATGATTATTTGTACATTATACGTTCTAATTGAAACAGGAACACCCACTGCGTGTACATGCTTTAATGATGAAAAAGAAGTCGCAAGAGCTTGTCAATATCATTCCGGATATTTCTATACAGTCTAGAAAAGATTACGATGAAACTTTGATGGAAGCGGATCTTGAAAGTGATGAAGGTACGTATTGTTATCTTTCTTATGTTGACCATTTAGAAGAGTCAAGTGAAAAAACGTCTAAACATACTACATCGAAGAAAACATCATCAAGAGGTGGACAGAGCAAGCGGTCTGTGGAAGTACATACGGACGTTCCTAATAGTCCAGACGAAGGCGAAAAACAAGGGCGAAAAGAAGATGACCAACAAAATAAGGAAGAAGGTTTACAACCGCAGCCTTCATCTGAAATTGCCGAAATACATGAAGAGAAGCAACCTGCTGGAGAAGAAATTTCTAATCAAGGACAAAGTGCTGCGGAGGATAAAATAGACTCCGACGTTGCGCATGAATTTTGGAAGAAAAATTCAAAGACTGGACGTATGGAAAGTATTTTGCGTAACAGAAATATGCTAAGAAATATGGCTTATGTCGAAAGTTCTTCTTCATCTCATCGAACTCCCAGAATTATGGCTTCTTTTATGAACAGAGAAAAAGCTTATGAAAAATTTTCCGCATGTTCTGAAAACTTAGGGGAATTGTTGGGTACTGATGCAAATCCTAATTACGACTATATGTTCGAATACGATGTAACTTCGGGTATACCAATTCACGAATTTACAGAGGATAATTTTGAACCACAAGAAGATGAAATTTACAATAACTATCAGCTTTGGGAGATGAATTCACGTTCCCCCGGGATTTCTTCTTCGATGTACAGAAATATATCGAAAATGCAGCAGATAAGAAAGCTCTGCAATAAAATCCAGACAGTCAAGCAAATGCAACTTCCTCAGCCGGTATGAATTCTTATTTTCAGAAACTTTATTAACACCTCAGTTTTACTCTGATTATTATCGAAGTAATATTCCCTTTACAAACGAAGAATCGATTTTATTAGATATTCCACAAAATTATGAAGAAGTATCCGATTTTCAACCAATTGCTCATGGAGTTTTAAAGAAACTTTGTTCAGTAATTCTTTTTCACGCTGGGTTTGATTGTACGTGCATATTTAATATACACTATTAACCGATTAGCTTTCCATTCTGAGGCTCTGAACGCATTGACAGATGTAGCAGCAGATTATATGAAGAATGCCGGCGCTTTGATGGAGAAATATGTTTCGAACAAGCAAAATGATTCCAAAGAAGTAAGTAGCAATGTTGTTAAAATGTAAACTTCGTATTAACAATTTAAAGGAAATAATCAGTCAAACCCTTCAAGAACTAGGTGTCTCGGGTCCTGAGACGCTGGTTTCTTACGTTTTTGATGATATTAAACGCTATGGGGTTAAGCTAGATGAAGTCCATCAGAGGCTGCATAGACATCTTGTAGAGCTTCTACGGCCAGCTCTTACAACTACGAATGACGAAGATGCAATTTTTGGGCAGGATAGCGATTCATTTATTACGGGTGGATTTTCATATGATACGGGCGATGATTTCTTTGGATTACGGGAGCTAGGTTTGGAGAAAGAACTCGGATTGGACTCATTGTCTGTACCATTACATTTGTTGCAAAGTAGGCTGAGACTGAACATGAGCCAGCAACCAGAATCGTACGTGAATTTTGTTGAAGGAATTATGTTTATTAATGCTTACATTTTAGAACGGCCGAAAATACAAAAGAATACCCTCTTCCTCCCAGGTATCCGCCAATTACTAGAGAAAGCGTAAAGGACGAAGTAAATCTTATTCAGGAATTTTTGACTGCAAGGATGGACGAATTTGGTTTAGATGAATTAATAGAAGATGAAGATATTCGGCCTCGAAATAAGCCTCCACGGCCCCGATTACCTCCTAACGGAAAGATTACAACAGGAAGAAAGCGTATTGCATCTTCTGTGTTTTTGAATCAGTCTTTACGCAAGAAGAGATGTATAAAAGGTGCTGAAGGTTCTTCTCAATTCAGCGAGATACCTTCTGCGACGCAAGAAGAGAAAACATGAAGTTATTTATTTTCATTTAAAAGTTTGAGATGTTTAATATTTTCTATGTATATTCAAATTGTATTAACGACTTGATGTCCAAATACTGTAATGAACGTAAAAATGAACTATAAACTATGAAGCGATCATCATTTCAATTAAGTAGTAATTGAAGATCTGCATTATTGTTGAGAAACATCCAGTTCTGAGCTCGAATGAGAAAGAGCTTCATTCGATAAACTCTTCTAGTACTTTAGACGAAAGTATAGCTGAATATATATTTTTAGTAGCTAAACAGCTTTCAAATTTTAATAAATCCTATATGTCGTTCTATTAATTTTCTTGTAAGGACTTCTATATCACCATACGTTGGGTGCCCCCATTTTGCATACATTTGGGCTAACCAAAGTAAGAAACATTATAATGGCAAAACGCGATCGTTCAGACACAGGTCAAGGTGGTGTTCCAGTAAAAAAGGTATTTTCATAATCATAACTCTTATTAACCTTTATAAAGCTCAAGTTTAAACGTACGGGCATTGAGAAAAATGAAAGTGGAATTTTGATTACAGTACCTCGTGGTAAAGAGAGACAAGCATCCAACGAAATTATAAATGTCTTCTCTCAAGTATGTCTATAAACTTCTTTATTTTTGCGATGTTAACAAAGTTAATAGCACGTTGCTACCCTTTGGCCTGAAACAGTAGGATCTGAGGAGACGGACAATGAGGAAGGTGATTTGGAAGATGCCATTTCACGCGAATTAGAAGGAATGAAAGAGAAAAAGAAAAGCAAAAAGGAACTATTAACTCCTATCTTGATTGACATACAATGTGGTATGGCATTACAATTATGTGATGATCAGTTTGTAACCATTGAATTATAGTGGTTTTCATTAAAACAAGATCTCCTGTGGACCCTGTAAAACTGGTGGAACACACATGCAAAGAAGGGAGGACAAAAAAGATGACTCGTTTCACCCAAAGATTAACGCCCATAGTTAAGACTACTGGGGCCTCCATTGAAGACTTGGAAAACTTGGCTTCTGAGGTATTAAAACCACATTTTCACGAGGGACAACATAATCTGAAGGTAAGCTGCTCATTCTAGCCTTACGTTTCTAACTTGTTGATATAGTTTGCCGTCCAAGCTACTATTCGAAATCACTCAGTCATAAAGAAGGACGACATTTATAGGTCTATCGCAAAATGCGTCGGACATGATCATAAAGTTGACCTAAAAAATTATGATCTTCTCGTCGTAGTTCAGGTGTTTAAGGTACGTATTCATTCACTTGCATCCATTTCAAAGTCTCTATTAACCCGATTAGAATATCATTGGAATGAGCGTCGTAAAAGACTATGAGCAGCTACGTAGATTTAATTTAAACGAGCTTTATCAGCCAGAAAGTTTGGAATCCAACGAGAAGACGAAAGCTTCAGAAAAGGAAATTGCAAAGGATGAGAACAATCTGACTGAGGAAATAGGAACAACCTCAGATATTCCAGACAAGCAAGAGTCAACCTCCGATGCTTAGATACAAGGACTCAATGGACGTCTGTTGGATTGTAAAAAACAAAAAGGGTTTTATCTGGAATGAGGTTTCATTTAATTAAACAATAAGTTTGTCAGATTTTATGAGAATAGAGGGAAATTTACATAGAATACAATTCTTATTTGAACATCGTCAGCCTTCATAATACCCCACTAGAAAAGAAGCAATCGCAAATTAACAGTATAAATTTCATTAATCTTGCGGTGTATGTCATAATACTATTGGAGAATCGGAGAAATTAGCTTCTGCTTGTATGCGAAAAGACAATAAAACTGTATGCCTCGCACCAAAACTTTTTAAGGAAGAATCATCCGAAAAGAACGCAGGATACATAAAAAAGATTATTCAAAAAGGAAAGGGTTTTAAAGTGAAGTTTTGCAAGCGGATAGCGGATAGACAGCACATATACAAGAGAAGAGTTACATGAACATGTAAATCAATGAGTGAAAGTTCTGGTGGAAAAGTTAAGCTGAGAAACAAAAGTAAGAAAAGAAGTCAATCAATTTTAAGAATCAGATGGGGATTCTTTGAAAGCGCTTGTAAGCGCAACAAATTTTTCTGCAAATGGGCGACAAAGTAGGGATTTATCTGCGTTTTCTGACATGCAAGCAAATAAATCAGACCGAGTGTTTTCAATTTCTTTCCAGGTTTCATTGGTTATGGATTGATGAGCAGCAGATTCTTTCTCCAATCTTTCACGAAAAGCAGTGAACTCGTTCTTCAGGAGGTTTGAGTTTAACGATCCTTCGTTTTGCTTTTCAAGTTGGTTGTTTTGCCTCCATTCTTCATCTTCAAGAACATCAATGACCTTCTTTTGACGGTCCTGAAGTTTTTTTAATTCGGATTGTACGCGTTTTTGGATATAAGCTTCCATGTCCATCCATCTACTTGTGTCTGTTTCCGGAGACTCCTTGAGATGGCGCACCAAGCCTTCCGAAAACTCTGTAGGTGCGTGTAGAACAAATTCTTGCCGAGATGGTTTATTACCCATGGTAAATCCTTCACTTTTCTGTCAACTGTGTAATTGAACGGGAGAGGGGGAAATGGTAGGTTCTCATTTGTCTCTTCGCATACGAAACGCAAAGGGTAACAGTGTTACTTATTGGTGTTAATAATACAAGCATTGAGAATGAAAAATAATGAAGAAAAGATGTATTTATTCTTTTTGTTAAGTATTTTATTCCAAAAAAAATGATATTCCTCGAATTCCTGGTTTGCAAAGGCCAGGACAGATGTTATTGTTTCCTGACGAAACCTGGCCGGCAAGGAACACTTGTAGGACCTAAGAGTGAGTTGAGAACATTATGAACTACAAACAATAAGCTATTTAAATTCAATGTATCTCGAAAAGAGTGAAATAGTTACTAATTCATCCATCCAGAGAAATTTCGCAAGGAAGAGACTTTTATGCTTTGTTAACCGAGTCGCTTAATTTGGCTTATATTTTGTATCGCAAATGTAGTAAAATAGGACTTGCCTAAGTGAAGTAGAGAATTCGAAAAATGGAAACATAAGGATGAATCAATTCATTTCCTTTTTTTACTTAATCCATTCTTTCTATTATCCAAGAAACATTTGTTCGAATTGGAAGAAACAATCGCGCAACGTTGAACTTGATGTTACTATACTAACAGGTGTTAAGCACGAGGGCATTATTACTAAAGTAATAGGAAAACCAAAATTTTTTATTAAAACTTATTTGAAAATCTATTAGAATTCCAGATATGTCTTTTACGATCAATGTATTTCAGGCTGTACGTTCTTCAGTTTACTCGTTTTATTAGTTGCCATCAAGCAAAATACTGCTTTCATATGAAAGCTTTTTGGTAATTATTTATACATTATACATGGAAAGTTAAGAAATAAAATTTTTCGTGTATTGATTAGTTTCGATGAACTTCGACTTGATTTTTGCAATATATGTCTTACCGCTCCTTCCGAATACTACTAGTTACACTAAGTTTGAAATTGTTGTTATTATGCTTGATTAGAGGGTAAAAATTTTAGTAGTAATTTATCATTGGAAAAGAAAGAAGAAGAAAAAGGAAACTCACCGCACTGTAAACCGAAGGCGAATGTTACGAGCCTTGAAAGTTCGCAGCTCCAAGTTCCTGAATATTTCCGTTTAACCCTTTTAACTCAAGATAGCATTTAAGGAATACGGACCAGAATAGAAGGCAGATATCGCCCTCAAATAAAGGTCTTTTGAATTATTGATCAAAACGAATTCGCAGAGTCTGTGGATTTTACTCTTTAGCATCGTTGCATTTAAGCTGCTTCCAATGCTCTTTCCTATAAAACTTCCTAAATCTTGTTGTCTTTCCCTCTTAAAACCTCGAGTCACTGCTTCCCTTTTTCGTTTACCCATTGCCCGATTCCATTCGCGGCTTCTTCCTCCCAGACAGCTTGATAGTGAACTGGATAGTATCCAAAAGAAAGGTTGTAGTTATCATGATCTTGTTGAAAACCGTGGAGAATGGTTTCCTCGAAATGCTTCTAAGAACCAACTACTCATGAATTGTACGGAATTTGATTTTCAAGGAAACGTGAGGGTAATATGTGGCGATTTTAAAAAAATGGATCTTTGCAAGCAGAATGGTTTACTCCCTCGTGATTTACGAAAGCTAAACACTAGTATCAATTCTATTGTTCCAGTAATCCTTGTACGAGAGGGGTCAATTTTAGTTAATCTCTTGCACATTCGAGCCTTAATAAAGGCAGACTCAGTATTATTATTTGATGTCTTTGGATCTCATCACTCCCATTCTCAATCACAATTTATATATGAATTACAGGGACGATTGAAACAAAGCGCCAGTGATTTCGGGTTTCTTCCCTATGAAATGATGGCTTTGGAAACAATATTAATAAGTGTTGTAAACACTCTAGACTCTGAATTACAAGTCTTACAAAACCTTGTTTCAGATCTTTTGGCTGACTTTGAGCTCGATATTAATCAAGATCGGCTTCGAACCCTTCTAATATTTTCAAGACGTCTCTCTGGATTTCTTAAAAAGACTACTTTAATCCGTGACGTGCTAGATGAGCTGTTAGAACAGGACCAGGATTTAGCAGGCATGTACTTAACAGAACGCCTTCAGACTGGCAAGACTAGAGATCATGATAAACATGATGAAATAGAGCTATTGCTTGAAACCTACTACAAGCAAGTAGACGAAATCGTACAGCAGACAGATAATTTAGTGGGCAATATCCGAAGTACAGAAGAAATCTGTAATATTATGTTGGATGCAAACAGAAATTCCCTTATGTTGTTAGGGCTAAAACTGTCTGCGGTCACGCTGGGATTAGGCTTTGGCGCCATAATTGCTGGCATTTATGGAATGAACTTGCCAAATGGCTTTGAAGAATCTCCTGTTGCATTTTATTCCACTGTTGGACTGATCTTTTCAATGGCGGCGGTCTTGAGTGCCGTTGGGATATTGAAAATTAGAAGTTTGAAGAGAATCCAAATGGCTTTCGATAGTCGACCACTATCTTCTTTCACCATTGAGCCAGGGAAGTTACGGCCACCCTATCTGTAATCCTACGAATATCTTATGAGTCTTTCATTAGATGTACTGCTAATTCACACTCTTATACATGTGATGCATTCTTTTATTTTTTGTGTGTTTTAACACTTATAATCTCGGTTTTGGAGTTGCCTATATACCCAGTTTTAGTGAATTTTTGGTATATTTTCCACTTGCATATTGGTACACTAGAAATAATTAAATGAAACGTGCTAACACACATTCTTTTCATTCTCTGAAGACGAAATTAAACCGTAAACTTTGTAGCTGAAATAATTGTAGAAAAAGAAAAGAAAAGAAAATACAACAGTATCGTCTCGTAGTTTCGAAAATTTCGCTACATTATAAATACAATCTGTTGAAAGGACACATGATGGGAAACGAACAAGAAAGGACTACTCTATAAAGTACTAGATATCATAAACCACATACATAGTTTTGTTTTGTTGAATAATTCATTTTATTTTCATGAGCCAGAACGAAACAACCAAGATAGAAATTAACAAGACACAGTTAATTAACAATCTAGGACGGAAATCCGAGTATAATCTTGCTAAAACCATTATATACCGGAGACCAAAACGGGAAAAGAAGGGAGACATAATTTCGGTCATAGAAAGGAAATTTTTTATTTTTTTCTTCTAGTAAAAAATAAAAAGGAAAACCAAGAAACCATACACCAAAAGGAAAATAAGTTGAATACAGACGAACGAGCATTTATTTCAAATATTCCAGCCCAACGGTCTCCATTCACCATATCTTCAAGTGCACCATAAAAAAATTAACTTTTTATTGAATTTAAATAGCATCAACATCAAATTCAAAGTCAAGATCGTCTTCTCCTTCAACACCAAAGTCGGTCTCGTTGATCTTGGCAGTTTCGGGCAACTCACCTTGGTTCTTGAGGGTACGAGCTTCATCGGCGGTGTACTTCAAGATCACATCGCCCTTTTCGTCTTGGAATTCACGAAGGGACAACAAAATAATGTCACCTTGATTGATCCAAACCTTCTTCCTCAACTTACCACGAATGTGACCTAAACGCTTGACACCGTCAAAACAAGCTGCCTCAATACGGCCGTTACCAAGCATTCTGGTAACTTGAGCGTAAATTTGACCTTCTTCAGCATAGGTCAATTCACGCTTTTCATTCTCGTTCTCGTTTTTTCCACGACGGCGGTTCTTACCACCCTTTCCTTTGTTCTTGGGCATTCTGGTTCTGGGTTCGTTTCAGATGCCAAAAAATTTCGAAAAGTGTCTTCATCATCTTGATTTTGATATACACATTTAATTTATTTATTTAACTTTTGTATTTCTATTTTAAAATAAAAGTTTAATTTTTTCTACCTTTTCTGTATTTTGGTCTCTTTTTTCTATCTGAATTTCATTCAGTCCTGTCCTGTCCTCTCCCCATTGTAAAGTATTTAGAGGAGAGCAGAGACTCTGTACAAATGCCTCCAAGACTGTATCATCCTCAACCGACACACGCCATCCCTAGTCCCAATATGCGAACAGGTAGTCGGTATGAACCTCAACCAGGATTCCCTGCTGGAGTCTCCATGTCCTCTCCATACGAAAATCCCAATTTGGCCGCTGGCGGAGGCATGCCTTCGACAACGTCCTATTTACCAAATTCAGCTACTGCCCAAATGGGATTTCAGCTAGGCAGAAATGCTGTCAACGCTGGTCATGAGTATATGGAACAGAACTTTGGAAGGTGGCTTTCCACCACTCAACTTCATCACTACTTTTCTGTAACCAATTCTTATGTTGTAGCAAAGCTATTGTTGATTATTTTCCCTTGGCGCCGTAGGTCCTGGGCTCGTAAGCTGAAACGATCAGAAATGAATGGTAGCGCTGAAGGATACTGCGCTCCAGGAGAAGACTTAAATTCCCCAGACATGTATATTCCTTTAATGGCCTTTGTCACACATCTTCTTCTGATCTGTGCTCTTGCAGGCATGCAGGATAAGTTTCAGCCTGAGCTCTTGGGATTACGTGCTAGCAAAGCCTGCGGCGTTGTCTTATTTGAATTTCTAGCTACTCGTCTCGGTTGTTATTTGTTAAATATCTCAAACCAAAGTCAGGTCTTAGATCTCTTAGCCTTTAGCGGTTACAAGTTTATCGGTCTCATCTTAACCTCCCTCAGTAGATTAGCCGGTATGCCCTGGTTTACTAGATTCACATTTCTTTATACTTACTTGGCCACCGCTTTTTTTCTTCTGCGCTCTTTGAAGTATGCAGTGCTCCCCGAGTCTACAATGGCCATCAATGCAACCATAACTTCTCATCAACGGAGTCGACGCATATACTTTCTTTTCTTCATTGCTGCTTCCCAGATTCTTTTCATGTATATTTTATTATGAGGCTCCTATTTCCTTTTAATTCTCCGCTATCAATGTGAATTTCTTTGGTGAATAAATTGAATGGTTCCTGTTTTCGGTTTATATCGATCTTTGCTGTTTCATTTTTATTCCATGTACTTTCTCTAGCCGTAAATAAAAACCTTTTTATAATTTGCTGGTTGGAGCGGACTAGCTGACGATTCTCGACATGCTCCGTTAATGGTTCTCAATTTTTTACGTTTTTATTAATATTTTACATAAAACACGCAAAACGAGCGTGATGATATGGACTCATGCAAGCAATCAGTTCCTCATAAGTAGGATAAGAGTGTTAGATGAAATACGTACCCAAACTTGATGGATCAATGGAAGTCTAATACCAGTTAATTTCCTTCATTTGAAAGCTACGATGTGCCAGAGCACACCTTTGAATATTATTTTGTACGCCATTTCTTATACGATGTGATTTTAATCACGAGCTTCTGTAGTATAGTTTTTACGGTTTACCTCTTCTCTACGATGCACTTGAACAAGGCATAAAATAAACGTAATGATATTTTTTTCATGTAAAGGAGCCATGAATACAAAATCTACACAATATTTGTATTGCGAGTTTACATAGTAAGTGACATAATGGCGTTCACGACGTCGCTCTGAAAAAGTTAGTAAATAGTAAAAAGTAAAAGCACAGAGTCAGAAGTGTAAAAGAATGGAAGCCTATGGTTTGAAAATACCTATTTCATTATATTCGGCATTTCATTCTTTATCAACTGAATCACTGTATCGATACTTACGTTGTTTTCTTTCAAAGCTTGAACAGCCTTGGCGCGGTTGACGTTGGCTTGAGCCATGACCAATTCGACGTCCTTGGCGTCAACACCACTGTCATCAACAGGCTCTTCAGCTTCTTCGATTTTAGCGGGTTCTTCCTTAGCGGGAGCGGCCTCTTCAGTAGCAGCAGCGCCCTCACCAGCTTCACCATTCTTCTTTTGGGCTTCACTGAAGGCACGGGCTTGAGCAGCCATGTCTTCAACGGTGACCTTACCGAGGACAACGAAAGCATTGTTGCTGCTCTTGTAAACGATGGGGTCGTTAACAATCAATAAAACGTTCTTGGGACGGCGCATGGCAACACGGGTGATGCCTTCGACACGCTTAAGACCCAACTTTTGGACCAACTTTTGAGCCTTTTCGGCATGGACGACGGTGGTAGAACCCTCGGGAAGTTGAGAGACTTGTTCAACGGGTTGAGATTCGACAGACATTTTATTTCTGTTTATAATTTACTTCTCGGTGTTGGAAAAGTTCGAGTGTCAAGCTGCCAATTTTGGTGTTGACCTGTCTCGAACATATGTGACTGCCTTTTCCTGATCCTTTCTCGTCTTTCATCAAAATAGTACACCTGCATGGTAATTTAAGAGGCTGTTTCATCAGATTCTTTCTAAAAGCTCTAATCATTTGACTTTGAAAGCCGTAATTGCTAGTGGGGTTGCATCTAAGGGTTTGGCATCGGCAACATAAAAACATTCCTGCTTGACAAAAGCTTATACCCTCAATCAGTGATTAAGTTCAGTACATTCAATTATTTATAATTGAGTTATTCTTTAATATACTGAATATATATCCATAGCTTCTCTCCTCTCCTATTTGGGCAGGTACTCCATTCTATATCTTTACTTACACTAAACGAGAAAGATTCCACACTTTCTTAAGTAGACAACTTCCTCTTTTTTATAATGAATAATCCTTTCTCTTTGGTACCAGGCGGAAATGGTGCCTCTGGTGAGCTATCGCCAGAGGAAAAATCAATGCTGCTCCAATCTAAAATCGTCACATTTGTACAAGAAAGCTGTGTTTTTAAAAGTATCGCTGCTGGTGGTATGGGTTTTGGTTTGGGTGGTATTTTTGGTCTTTTCATGTCCTCTCTTGACATGCAAAGTATGGACCCCCAAATTTACGAAAAGAAATTTCGTGAACAGTTTCGAATTCAGTTGAGAGAAATGGGTACCCGCTCTTACTCATCTGCAAAAAGTTTTGGTGTCCTTGGTCTCATATTTGCTGGTTCCGAATGCTGCATCGAAGCTTTCCGTGCTAAAACTGACATTTACAACCCAACCATTGCTGGATTTTTCACTGGTGGTGTCTTAGCTAGAAAGGCTGGTCCGAAAGCTATGGTGTTAGGTGGTGCTGGTTTCAGTGCCTTTTCCTATGCAATTGAAAAATGGATGATGAATTGGTACGATTGATATTGTCTGTACAGAATCGTAAACACCCACTTTCTTTGTTTCAAGCTTAATTCCGTTCTTACCTTATATCACTTTTATTTTTGTTGCACTTTTGGTTATTCATGTTTTGTCTCCAATTCTTCTTTAATGCCGCTTACTTTTTTGTTTTCTGTCAACACTGCATATCCTTTTACAGATCTTTACGGAAAAGTTCTACCATGATAACGCTTCTCGTGTGAAGTTCATTAAAAATTTTATATATAATCTAAGCGTTTCATAATTAATCATAGTATGAATAAATAATCATCTCTAAATAAGTACGTCTGTTTTGCAAAAATTTAATCATAGTCAATTATTTGGATTTCTTTCGGGTTCCCGGTGGTGCTGCTGCAGCATGAGGAAACCTATTAGCAATTAGATCCTTAGAATTGCTGGCAGTAGTTGTTATTCCTGAGGCCGACGTAGTTGTCGATATCGTGGTGGCTGTCGGAACTGAAGGCAGTGCTCCTGCTAAAGCCAATTTAGTTGCCCGTATTGGTTCCCGGTAATTATTTTGATGAGAAAGCTGTACTGTACGTAGCCGTTCCAGTAAATCAGACCAGTAAGGATCATCTCTTCGTGTTCTGCTGATGCGTTCATTTGGTAATAAAACACTACTCTTCGTCACGGTAGTACATTGGAGTCGGTCCCGCAAAGTTCTAAAGGCAGAAGACTGGGGTAACAGCATTAGAATTCCGTACAGGGCTTTATGAAGGTAAGGATACTTTTCAGGTTCCAAAAGTTGCAAACGCATGTCTTAATGGTTAGTTAACTTGATTCAATTTATACACGTACATGTAAAAACCGGTGACTCTATAAGTTGCACCAACTTGTCTAACTGAATCAACATGTCGACATTAAATTCAATCTCAGCGCTGTTTTTATTAGAAATTTTCTTTATAATTATTTAAAAGAAACTTACAATACAGTTAAGAGGTTTGCTGCATGCTCGTAGTTTTGAGACAAAAGACATAAAGCAAAGACTGCAACAGAGTTATGACACCATGCACGATAAAGGGTTGTGAAGATGTTCTGTAGCTATTATCGTTAGAAAGTTTCAAAAAAAAGATAAACTTACTTTAAGAGAGCTTTGCTTAAGCTTTTTCCGAAGATCAAACAATTCGGGAGCTGTAAATAAATTATTACTCAAAACCTCAACCATCGTGCTTGCTAATTCCAAGTTCTATATGATTAGTATCATAACAGATAAAACAACTTACCTCTTCTACTTCCAAAATACTAGCAAATGCAGTATAAACCCGTTCTCCTTCAATATGATTGCATAGTTGACGAATAATGAGATTACCACGAGAATTCATAAATTTCCTGTCTTCAGAAAACATTTGTAATAGATACTTTAAGAAAGGAACCAAATTTTCACTTTTATGAGAGATGGCGATATAAGCTAGAAGTTCCAAAATTCGAGAAACAACCAAGTCACTGGGATCTGATAACTGCAACAAGAACGTTTGAAATATTGTATCATGCATACAAATAAGTTTTCCACCTGCCCTCCTTTGCAATAGTAAAACCCATTCAAGAGAACATAGACGAGTTTCTTCGTTATCATTAGAAAGAAGTTTCTGTAAAACTTCTATCAATGTATGGAAATCAACGCTTAGGCTTTTATCATTTTGACTGGTATCAAGTTCAGAAATTTCAATATCCATCACTTTACTTACTAAGATGACCAGGTTTTGACTGAGTTCTTTGGCGATTTGACGGATATTTTCTCCTTTAGACATTAAAGGCAAAAGATTTTCTAATATCTTTGAAATTAAGAAGAGAACGTCCTTTGGTGAAATATATATAAACTCGTAAAGCCATTTCAATGCCTTTTCTTGTATAAGAGGTACAGGCGAACCCAAATGATTGACAATTATTTCTAAAATTTTTTTGCAATCAATTTGTATATGAGCTTCCAAGATAAAGGAGCCGTCTTTCAGCGAACCTTCCACGTATTCTGAAATTTCCTGCATTTCCGAATCAGATGTAACTCGACGAATCATCAAATTAAAAAAATCAGGTTCACTTTCTTCATCACGTTGAAGGATATGGTACTTGACTTTGGCTATTCTCTGAATTTCTCTCAGAAAATCGTATAAACAATTACTCGTAACAATTCGAATACTCTCATTAGGATCACTCAAGTAGTTCATAAGCCCATCCAGAAGATAAGGTAAGTACGAAATGAATTCAAGATCTGGAATGCTGTCTAACAGTCGAATCCAGGAAACTAAGAACATTCTCGTATTCGGGTTTATTACGTACAACCTTTCTGAAAGCAAAGGAACGAGCTTAGCAAGTGAAAATGTTTGCATTTGAGAGGATTCGCAAGATAAAACTGGAACATCCTGCATAGATGAGGTAGCTGTTTTGTCTTTAAAATTATCCAAGTTTTCCACACTCGACATGTATGTTGAAGCTTGTTGAATGACGATGTCTTTAACCAATCTATCCAACAATTCGGCCCCGTTTTTAACAGTGATTTCCGTATCAGCAAATAACTTGCATAATACATCGAACATAAGATTAAAAAAGCGAAACACTTCTCCTTTAGCTACTTTGCCAATATTATACATGCTTTCGCATGCATAGTAACGGATCTTGGAATCGGAATCGTTAAAGCAGTATAGTACTGGCATTATAATTGACTCCATATATCTGTCAATTTTCTAAAATTGATATTAGGATCATATATTGAAACCAAGGAAGTATAGACTTACCGGACCTAGAGCGATAGCAACGGCTGCTAGACCAATAAGTCCGCCAAAGACAGCATTAGATCCTTTCGTAGGTGAATAAATGAAATTGTCTGCTAGCTCATTGATTACATCCTGCACCTTGTCTGTTTCATCTTTTTCCAAGTACTGTCGAACAACACTATTAAGCACATACTGTTAATTTTAAACTGTTCTTTTATGTAATATTCATAAGAAATGAAATAAACCATTTTATAAGGATCATAACTTACCGTTCCAACTCGTATGCAGTAGATTTCCGTTTATCGTATAATTTATGAGTCAAACCATGAGCAATTAAGTTGTCTAGACATTATTAGCCCAACTGTTTTACTTTTGCAATGCAATTACCCATTGGAAATCATTAGACCTCACCTAGTGATAGGATAAGTGACAGTATGGTTGGTAGTAGGATCTTTGAGTAACCGAGATAATTGTATGACGGTCCTTAAATAAATTGTAATTGTTTTAGTTGAAAAAAGAAAGAAAAATTAATATCTAACTATTTGGCTGCCGAAGAGCGCCAATGACTATTAATGAAGGTTTGATCGAATCATTCAACGATAACGCTCCTACTTTCTAGTAAATCAAAATACTTAGTATACTTAATCTAGTTATTTCTACATTACACAATGTTCTGATAGAGATCCAAGCATTCAATGCAGAACTTGTTTTCACTGAAGATATGAATATTGCATTTTTAGTAAATAACCCTAATTCCCAAAATAAAGTTGATCTAGTTCGACAAGCTAGATTACAACTCATTTACGCGAGATTTGGATTCTTTCAGCTTAAGCAATTTCTCAAGGATTTCTTTTACTGGGATGACTTCACCCTTGCTTTGCTTCTTAGGATCATCCCGGTTACGAACATTCACACTTTCAGATTTTTCTTCTTCAGCACCGACAACAAAAATAAAGTTGTATTGAGAAAGTTGTGCAGTACGAACCTTCTTGGGTAAAGTGTTATCCGACAAGTCAACGTCGGAGTAAAGACCAGCGCCGACTAAAGCACGGTTAACTTTATCGGCATAGGCGTAAGCAGAAGCAGAAACTGGAACGATGCAAACCTGACGAGGAGACAACCAGAATGGCCACTTACCAGCAAAATGCTCGGTAAGAATAGCCATCATACGCTCGACACTGCCAAGAATAGCACGATGAATCATGACGGGACGAACGTAGCTGTTGTTATTACCAGATTCCTTAGCTTCTTCCGCATTTACAGGAGCATGGAATTCAAGCTTGAATTGTTCAGGGAGTTGGAAATCGAGCTGAATAGTGGCACATTGATGTTGACGCTTCAAGGCATCAAAGACAGTGATATCAATCTTGGGGCCATAGAAAGCACCATCACCAGCATTCAATTCCCAGTGATAGCCAGAAGAATCTAAAGCAGCCTTTAATTGAGCTTCGGCACGGTCCCAAGTAGCAACATCACCAAGGAATTTCTCTTCTGGTCTAGTAGACAATTCCAAGTGGAAAGTAAAGCCGAAAGTACCGTAAACATGTTGCAAAAAGTCAAAACATCCTTCGATTTCACTCTTGACTTGATCAGGTCTACAGAAGATATGAGCATCATCTTGTTGGAAACGACGCACACGGGTGAGACCACTAAGGGCACCAGAGAACTCGTTTCTATGCAAAACACCGAAGTCAGCAACACGCCAAGGAAGGTCACGATAACTACGATCACGGTTCTTGTAAATTACACAATGACCAGGACAATTCATAGGTTTCAAAGCAAACTTCTCCTTCTCAACATCAAAAGAGAACATGTTTTCGGAATAGTTGTTCCAATGGCCAGAAGTCTTCCAAAGGTTAACGTTGAACATGTTGGGAGTAATGACTTCTTGATAATTGCGTTGAGCATATTGTTCACGCATCCAATTTTGTAAAGTATTGTAAATACGAGTACCATGAGGCAAGAAAAAGCAGCTTCCGGGAGAAATCTCGTTGAAAAAGAAAAGCTCTTGATCACGACCGATCTTACGGTGGTCCCGCTTTGCAGCTTCTTGCAAAAAGGCTTTATACTCTTGCATTTGCTTGTTGTCTGGGAAACTAACGCCATAAACACGTTGAAGAGAGTCATTTTTAGCATCACCCAAAAAGTAAGAAGAAGAGTTCTTCATGACAGAGAAAGATTTGACACGGCCGGTATGGGGGACGTGAGGACCAGTACACAAGTCAATAAGAGGACCACAGCGGTAGACAGTAGTACTGGTACCATCAGGAATCTTGTTTTGAATAATTTGTTGCTTGTATTTGTTATGGCTGAACATTTCAAGAAGGCGTTCCTTAGAAAGGACCAAACGTTCGAAGGGCTGCTTTTGCTTGATAGCTTGTTTAGCCAAGGTTTCTAAACCTTTGTAATCTTCGGAAGTGACGACGCGTTCATTTTCGATAGCCATTTCATAGAAGAAACCATCGTCGGTAGGAGGACCAACGCACAAGTGGCAGCCGTAGAAAAGCTCAGAAGCTTCACCGAGGACGTGAGCACTAGAATGCCAAAATACTCGCTTTCCTTCAGGATCTTCAAAATCTAAAAGTTTTAAGGAGCAGGAAAATTCAAAAGGACGAGTCATATCCCATAACTTATCGTCAACCTTAGCAATGACGGTACGCTCGGCAAGACCCTTGGAAATCGAAGTAGCGACTTCAAGAGGAGTAGTTTCCCAGCTGGTGGCTTTTATAACCTTTCCATCAGGAAGGGTAACATCAATCTCTTCTCTGGGCTTTTGGGCAATCTCCTCTTCAATTTCTTTTTTGTACTTTTCAAAAAGATTGATACGGTGCTGAATGTAAGGGATTTCCAAAGAGACCTGTTCAAGGCCCTTTTGAACTTGATGAACAGCTGCACTCATTCTCTAAAATTTCGAACAAACTAACTGAATTCAAACGTAGAAACGATGACAGATATAACTTTTGGATTGATGAATAAATCAGAGAGACGGTTTCGAGATCTGTTTTTTCTATTCAATGACTAGAATCAGGGTTAACTCTTCGGTTCCAGGACATCTTCAAGATACTAAACGTAAACCGATTTTTCTATTCGGCCAGCGTACATGCATATAGAAAGTCGCATTTTACGAAGAGATTGTTAACTTTGAAATACAGGAAGAACTCTTAAATCCATCTGCATTCACAACATCGTACAATTTCACTTTCACACTATGCACAGACTGTACCGCGGATCCTGTTTTAAACGCAAAAAACCAGTTTGTTCACAATCCACTTTTCATTTCTTTGTTTCCATATTACTTACCTTATTATATATTGCTTTGTAATTCAGACAAGCAATTTGCTCTCCCCGATTTACAACAAGCGATATTTGCTCCTGATAAACTTGTTTGGTGTCTATACAGAAAGTTCAATGTGAATACTGATGGTTGCTTTTACTCTCCTTAAACTTTTTTACTCATCCGTAACGCATTACGTTATCATTATACTACACCAGATTCTACGTGACAGTGAAATTTTCGATTTTACAAAACTCCTTTATATCTGGAGGTAACCTCACGAGCCTAATTAAGCATTAAGAATGAGTTTTCGTGGCGGTCGCGGAGGTGGATTCAGAGGAGGACGTCCTGGATATCGTCCTTTTACCCCTGCTGGTCCTCCTGATCAAGTTTTAGGTAAGAAGCTTTAAAAACGAGACAGCATCGATGGTGTACAAAGTTTCGGTCCTTTTTTATCAGGTCGTAGATTATTAATCGTTGAAACAAATAGAAATTGGTACCTTTATGCATGATTGTGAAGGAGACATGGTTTGTCAATCTACCAATCCCAAGATCCCTTACTTCAATGCTCCTATTTACTTGGAGAACAAGGTAGGTTAATCATTCAGTAATTTTGGATATGAAGATGATGCTAACGAAATTTCAGTCTCAAATTGGCAAGATTGATGAGATTTTGGGCCCCATGAATCAAGTCTACTTCACTGTTAAGCCTTCAGAGGGCATTGTATCTAGCTCTTTCAAGGTCGGTGACAAGGTCTACATTGGAGGCGATAAGCTCCTTCCCTTGGAACGCTTCTTACCCAAGCCTAAGGGCCCTGCTGTTAAAAAGCCAAAAACTGCTGCTGCCGGACGCGGTGGTTTCCGTGGTGGCCGTGGCGGCGGCGGTTTCCGTGGTGGTGGTGCACCTCGCGGCGGTGGCTTCCGTGGTGGCCGTGGAGGAGGTGGTTTCCGTGGTGGTTCATCTCGCGGTGGTTTCCGTGGACGTGGAAGATTTTAAAGGTGAAAGACAAATCGCCTTTGAACGGAATTTATCGGGTTCTTTTTATATCCTTCCGGTGAATTGTGAAGGAGAGTGAAAATATTCTCTATTGGGGTTGGCTTTTTGGATAGAATTTGATTTTTGCATTGTCCACATTCTGAATGGAAGGTTTACAGTCATATTTTCGTGGCTAGCTTTGACTTAAATCAAACGGTGTATGAAGCGCTTTTCCACGAAACAGTTATATCTGCTTTCATTATTTATAAAGAGAACTAGTATAGTTCGTGTTGTATCCTTTAAAAGTATAAACTCTCTTTCGATTCTGTGGTACATTTAATTTAGGTAAAAATAAATTTTTGAATCGTGTATTAAAAATTGATTTTAGATTTCACAGAGTATAAGAATACAGTGTGTAGCAATCGTAAGTAATATGTGAGATACAACTTGAATAGCACACTAGTAAAGAGTTGAATGGAGTGCATGAAGAAGCGAAGATATATATATCTTTTGTTTTAATTGCAAATTTCAGCCAAACATCTCTTTCGTCAGCAAAAGTCATTAATTATTAGTAGACATCACTAACTAATTCAGTTTAAACGTTTCGTAGTAACTCGGCCATATCCCTACTGACTCGTTTATGAAACAAACGATAGTTAGATTCTCTTAAAGGAGGTACATTTGATAAAATATGTGGTTCTGCAACCGGAATCGTTTCAATTACTTCCTTTATTATAGCCATTAATTCCTCAGCAGAGCTATCTGGAGATTCGGAAGCTTTTGTGCTCAAATAACTAATTACTTCAAAAAGGTAATGAGCAGAACGTTGGTTTTTTAGTTTTACTTTTGAAGACACTGACTGAAAGATCTGAGCATTGCGAATTAATTTGTATAACAAGTCTACCATTTCCTCAGTATTTTCAACAAAGGCGTCGGCATTTGCAACTGTGTAGGCAAGCAAATCCATTAATGCCTCCACGATCGGGGGAGCGTTATTGGAAAATTCTGAATTTATGAGCGTGTTGCAAAATCCTAAAAAAGAAAATAAGAATCTCCAAAGCTCTTTCCAATGATATTCCAATCGTATGTGGTTTTGTACCAGCAAAGCAAAAGATTTATGCAAAAATCTAAGATATAAAACATATATTGGAGTATTGATCTTCAATTTTGCATTATGTTGAATCCCAAGGCAACATATATCTAAAATATATCCTATGGGGACGTAAGGTTTTGTAGGAAAAGAAGGGAAAGGATATCGCTGCAAACAGATTCGGACTCGTGATTCTAAATCGGTATTCAGTAGTAGAGAAGAGGTGATAGGATCGTCTATGAAGAAGTGAAAAAGAATTAAGAAGAGCATAGAAAAATGATATGTGCGTTTGGATTGCCTCTGATGAACATTTATATAAGAAGCTAGTGAAACTAAAGTTGATAAAGGAGAATCAGGATTGTTCGGTTTTTGATATTGAAGAAGAAATTTGCAAAAGTATTTGTTACAAGTGCAAAGTTCGTAAATGGTTAAAAACATCACCAATCGTTTATCGGGCAGAGCAGCGAATTGCTGTTCCTGATTAGCATCAGGATTCGAAGGAGAAGACCGAATAGTAAAGAAGCTAAAGAGTGAAGGGACAGGAGGGTCATCTTGCTTTATGGCTACGTATTCATCTCTTATAGCAGTAAGCTGGATGACGGAATATTTTAAGATAGCCTCAAAGAAGGGTTCTTCAGTGATTTGAGACAAATGAATCCGGAGTGTGTTAACGGTTTCAAACTTATCGCAGGCGCTTAGTAGACCGAGTGCATATATAGCATATTCGAAGCCAGGTTTTTCATGCAAGACGGCGGTGACTAAAGTAGTGAAAACATCATAGCTCCCATAGATATGAGATATTAATGAAGAGTTGTATAAAGTAGCAAGGAAATTTAAGAAAAATGATAGGGAATCTTGGACGCACTGAGCATTTTCAGATGTTTTGATGAGATCACACAGATTCTGAATGAACAATGAAAATTGGGTGTCGATAGAATCAATGTTTCCCAGTAACAAATACACAGAAAAACTCGCATCCGAAGACTTATGGTCATACATTGTTGAGACGAACGTCTGTAAAGTTGTTAAAGCGTTATGAATACGTAAATCTTCATCCTTTGATCGAAGCAAGTCTACAGCAAAAAGATACATTCCATGAATCTTCCAGCCATTGTAAATTAAATCTTGTGTCGATGTCTCATTAAGTATTTGCTTCAGCTCCGAAAGACGGGGACTGAGAAGGAAGAATTCACGCCAAAAAACATTATCCAGGTTCCCTGTCCAATTTCGATTAGTTAAGCATTTATAGAGTGTAACTATTTTTGGGGTCGTATCCACAGTCGCTGCTTTATGCATTCAAAATTCCGAATTGCTAGTTGAAATCAATGCTTTGTGAGTTGGGACGTTCTCTTGGAAAAGTGATGTCCTACTATGCACGACTAATGTGAATAGGTAATTTAAAACGAATTTACTGAGAATTTTAGATTCTTTTCATTTTCTTAGTACTTGTTATAAAGAAAGACAAATAAGTCTTTTGATAAAGCAAAGCAACTAACTAATTACATCGTCTCTTATACAAACCCTCCATAGTACCTCTTAATAGACGAGTATAACTATAGAGTATTGGTTAAAAAATGGTTATTTTTAGAAGAATCGGTTTTCAACTAGCGTATACGATTGTACTAGCAAAACCGGAGAGATGGAATATCGAATATTAAAGTAAACAATGGAATAAACGTCAGTAACTGTGATTTTTTACAAGGCTTCAACATGCATTTCATTCTTTTGCGTTTGATTGCCTATGCAAATGAAAAGAGTTCTTAAAAAGCATCCGTAATGTATGCCCATCGGTCAAATACTTCTTTTGCTATAATTAAATTATATATATATTTTTCTTCTTTCGCTTTAAATACAAACTGAGAATTGTAACTAGTTTTAAATTGATAAATTTGATATTTTCCCTTTATTTATGCTACCTTTATTTACATCGTATTATAGAGGAATTGCTACCTAGTTTGTTAATGAAAAAGACAGAATCCTTCTCAGATATCTTCTATTCCTTTTTTTTTATGCTGGACTAAGTTAGCATAAGTAGCAAATAATAATCTGTAGACTATGTATATAAAAATCCGGGAAGGACTACGCGAATGGGTGAATTACCTTCAAAAGTTCAGACTACCATTTAAATTGTTACGAAATTGCACGCAAATCGAAATCGCAACAAATACAAGCGACTCTTTGATACATGCATGCTCTGTATTTAAAGCAAGCGCTGTATATATCTGTTTATACGTTCTTCCTGTAATTCCATATCTTATTTAGTAAACGTCACAGGTAAATAATGCAGTCGAACGTAGGCGAAGGCGATAATGTCATTGGGTTGAAAATGTGTATTTACATATATGTAATTCCACTGCTCAGAAGAATCCTGTCAAAAGCCATAGTGTTTATAAAATGGGCGTGAAAGATAAGTCGCAGGCATATGCGGACGACGAAGCGATGGATACGATCAGTATCCTAAGCAGTTCTATTGATCAGTTAAGTGTTGGATCCTCAGAGGATGCGAATACGTTGGAAAATCCAAAAACATGGAATCAACAGTTTGAAAGTATTGTTGATGACTTATTAGAAGTGAAAAAATATGGATCGAAAGAACGCGAAGGACATTTGAGAAAACTGTACAACTTGTGTACTCGACATTACGTGAAACGAGTTGCTGAAAAAGTCGAACCTTTAGAGGAAATCCTGTTAAAGCTTTTTCATTCTTCGCCTTCAGATACAGAAGTTATTCTTTCGATGAGGTTGCTGTGTGCTCTATGTTTGGCTTCTGTGTTTTCGGTAGAGGGTCTTTGGATTGCTACTGAAGGACGTTTCAATGCTCTCGTAAATGATCCTCACCCGACGGCAGTGAAATGCGAAGCAATGCTTTCCTTTTCCTTATTAACAGTCCTTTTGGATTCCGAACCTGATATAATGGATTTTGGTTATCAGCTTGTGAGCATCATCGAGTCTGATGGTGCCATTGTTGATGCAGAGGACAACGAAGAAGTCGTTGGCATAGCTTGCCAGTCTCTAGGACTTTTAGTTACTGGTATAACCTCCTATAGTGAATTTGCCACCTCTGCTACCGAAGCGATTGCGGAACAGTTAGAAGCTGCCAGCATAGACGTACAGATGGGCGCTGGACAAGCTCTAGCTGCTTTATATGAGCGAATTGCGGATGCTTATTCCGATGAAGACACTTTGAAAAACTCCATTGACAACGATATTTTACCTGATCGCGTTCATTTGATTTCTATCCTCCGTGATCTTTCCACGGAATCCTCAAAAAGCATTGCTAAAAAACATAGAAAAGTTCTGCACCAAACCTTCCGAAGCGTTCTTCAAACAATTGAGAATCCTAATTCACCTGTAAATACAAAATCTTCTATGAGAATAGGCAAATCTACGATCGAGCTTGACACTTGGAAAAAGATTTTGCGAGCTCAAGGTCTCAAGTATATCCTCCGATCAGCGTTTCCCGTATATTTTGCAAAAAGCTCTTTTCTTCGTAATTTTATGGATTATTCTGGGTACGTTGCTGGTGTAGCAACAAGCGATCCAGAATCCGACTATGAAGGTGAAGAAGACAATTATATTGAGGATAAGACACAAGGACTTACAGATGTTGAAAGGAGAGGACTAGATCGTACTCGAGACAGACAAAGACGTCAACAACAGAGAAACAGAACCGATTTCGTTAATTCTTATTACTTCTCTTAACGGTATATGTTCCAAGAAAAACAACTTTAATAACTGTTCGCTAAATACACCTCCTTTTATTGATTTTTATAATGTGTACTATAGATTTACTGTTCTTTTTGGTTTATTGCTCACTTTACTCCCTTGTGTTCTGTTCTTATTTTTGCTATGGATATCTGGTTATGAATGTATTTATCGTATTACTAGGCTCACCTAGAACTATTAAAGATTTTCAGTTTTTAAACAAAAATTAATTTATGATTTTAGAATTATAAACTATTCCTTCCATTCCAAAATTAACTATACCATGTATTGCTGTTGGCTGAAGTCTCTACTGGTCGTCGTGTCGGTATAATGCTATCTTTTAGTTTAAATGTTTGTATAATGTCCTTGTATGTTAGAATGGAAAAAGAGAACATAGAAAAATATACTACTTACTTCATAAAGGTCTAGAGTCATGTCCATAATTAGTTGAACGTTTTTAACTTCACCAGAATCCACTTGTTCATCCAATGGAGGTGTTTTACACTCTTCAATTTATTAGCCATCAAAAGAACAAAATGTAAACATACCTAGCAAAAGCGCTCCTTGGGAATCCTCAGTCAATCCTGCCTTTCCTTCTTTAAAAAGGAAACTGACATAAAACAGATTCTCGACAGTTTGTGAATAACTTTCTGGATTTGTGATAAATTTTAATAGATCGATTGGTTGGTGCTTTCGAAGCAGACGGGAGATCTGCAAAACACTTTTCGTGGTATTATTTTCCTGAGCTGAGATATTCTCCTGATTAAGCTAATAAAATTAGTATAGAAAAATAGAAAGATTCATACCAATATCGGCTGAGTAGATGTATTTGGGGCTCGCTGTAACTTTTCCCTTCTTTGTACTTGCCTTTCCTTTTTTCGAAATGACAAAGGTCCCACCCTGTTCAGTATGTTAGAAAAGGAGAATTAAAATAAACCTACATTAAATTTATAGATGCTGGCCTCCTTTGATACTTCCAAGCAATCTTCCCTAACCTTGACCAGGCGAGTTCATTTTTGTTAGATTCGGAAGAAGTGTTGGAGCTGTTCTGATTTAAAAATTGCTTAATTTGCCTAATATAAAGCTGGATGTTAAATTTTGGCATTCCTATATGCAACTGCTTGGTCCTCAAAGATGCTAAATCCACTGTTTTTGTCAACAATAAAGCATCCAGAGCAGCTTCTGTCGGTGCCTCCACTAGTTTAAAATTAATTAGAATAAAGAATTAAAAAAGTAATTACCTGATGAAAACAAATCATTAGCAGAAGCCACCGTATCGATTAGTGCATTATTTTCCTGGTCCACTAACTCAAGCCGAGACTCTAACTAAAGTTAGTAAACTTTTTTATTACAGTGGAAAAGAATCAATTACCGTGAACCTGGTTAATTAAAGACCGGTACCGCTTTCGCAGGTCGCGCTTGTCGATAGGAGGCATGTTTTCTGGTTGAGTAACCGAGAGCCTGAAAGAAGAGAAATTAGTTCAATTTAGAAGATTCCAAATCGGAGGTGAAATTCCTTATTCAAACAATTGTTTTTGACGACAGCTTAAAATGCAGCTTATACGCGAGAAATGGAGAATCACAATTCAAACAGCTTAAAAATTCGTCTTTTGCGTATAAAAAGCCCCGTGAACGAAAAGAAAAGAGATATGAATGAAAAACAAACAAAAAATGTTGTTAAGCAGATTTTCTACTGTTCTCAGTTGCTTCCACCAAGAGTACGACACATCTTGATGACTGTATGTTACGTTGAAACAATGAGTATATTATAACTATCTATGCTGGCTTAAAATATAATTGGTATATAGTGTTTAATATGTTGCCAAAAAAAGACATCCCTGTACCAAAGTTTGGAAGCTTCAAACCAATTAAGGACGAAAAGGAAAAGCATACGCAGAAAAGAGAACGTAACCAAAATGATAGAGAATTCAGACATGCTAAACATAAACGATCTATTTCGCTCACTGATCGTGACCTGCAGTCGTTGAATATTAGATATGATACAAAGGGAGATAGAAAGGTTTTCTTCTATGGCGGAATCCATAAATATTCTATTCCAAATTATAAACGAAAATCTAAAGTTATAATGGGTAGTGATCCTGAAGAAATCATAGTTCGTCAAATGGACGAAGGGATTTATTTGAAAAACGCTATGTACGTACCCAATTCTGAAGAGATTAATAGGAGCCTTATTGCTGCTTCTTCACTTGGGTCAATTCTGCGTGAGGATGAATATTTACCTTTCCCTGAGAATTCTGCAAATGTCGCCAAAGATAAATCGGCGGTGCAATCTGATCCTATTAGATTGAAAGGAACGCAGAATGAAATTGCCCAACTGCAAAAAGAATTAGAAAAAAATAGTTTGAACCCATCATTATGGCTTCGTTTATGTTCACTGCAGAAAGACTTACTTCTTCAAGAATATGCTCGACCGAACATGTCGGTTCGCGAAGAGAGAAGCCTTCGCCGCTCAATACATGAGATTCAAATCTCTGTATTAGAAAAAGCTATTTTCTTTCATAATCTATCATCTACTGATATTGAACAATTGGCTACTGAATATTTCAAATTAGGGTTTTCTGAATGGGACTCGAAAACAACACAAGATCGTTGGGAGGATTTGCTTTCTAGATATAATATATCGGAAAAATTATGGATTCTATATATTAATTTTCTTATATCTAATGTACACTCATTTTCTGTTGAGTCATGTTTACAAACATTTTCCCATTGCCTTGGTATGATTAACGAAAAAGTTAGTCAAATTTATGAGGAGAATAAAGTATTAAATGAGGATGTACAGAAACTGGAAAAAACTGCCCTTTATGTCTTACTCAGAATCTGTTATTTTGCAAAAGACTCAGGTTTTTTCGAATTAGCTTATGCGATCACCCAAGTGAATATGGAAGTTAATTACTTTCTTCCAGAAACTATGAAATTGGAGGAATTAAGTTATATAAAATGCGAATTGTCGAAGTTTTGGGATTCTGACAAGCCAAAATTTGGAGAACCCAATGCACTTGGTTGGAAAAATAGTTCCAATGCACCGTCATTTTCTAAGGAAAAATTTGATGATTCCCAGTCATCGATTTCAACGTACGATTCGTTTTCACAGTGGACAGAAAATGAGAAAAGATTCCAGGAACAAAAACCTTGGCGCGAACCGAAACTTGCTCGCAAACTGAATAGCACGGATGATCCTTTTCGTCATGTTATTTTTGAAGATTTAAAAGGGTTCGTTTTTCGTTTTCTTTCTCCAAAGGCACTGTTGGATCTGAAATACTGCGTTTTGAACTTCTATGGTCTCCCAGTTCTTCCGCCAGAAGCAAGCAACGAACATTTTTTCGTTTCGGATCCATGGTTTTCATCGAGTTCAAACATTGATAATTCTGCAGAGGGATCTGAAGGTGTGGATGGTCTAGTTTCTTCTTCAAGAACTTTATCACCGGGATTTTTAGAAATCTATTTTCCTTGCTCAGTCGATTTGCCCGACTTTGTTTCAATGGTATTGAAGGATTTTTCCAAAGAAGAAATTGATCGTTTGAATGGAATTCTGTACTTGCTTTTACAAACGGTGGACGATGAATATTTTGCAGGGTTGTATATAATTTTTTTAGAAAAATTATGTCAATTGGAGTTCAACGATCAACAATATAATTTATTTAGGTATGGAATATTGTGTAAGAACCAAATTATGCTAACCCATTTCCAGTTCTACTATAAAAGAAATACTAAAGAAGTATGAAAGTTCAGTTTTTGTTTGGATCTGTTTTGCTGAAACTGAATTTATGAATGGAAAAGTATCCTTGTGTGAAAAGATATATGCAACTGCCTATACTATGCATTCCTCCAAGTTTTCGGATCTGGAAAATGCATGGTTTCATAAGAATTGGGCTATGCAAAAGTACTTTTCGAATGACGAGCTTGGATTTTGGAACGTATTACTTCATTGGTTTCAAATTGATCAAACCTGTCTTAGTTCAACAGACAAGGTTGGATTAGCTAAAAAAGTATCCGTGCTATTTCAAGAGGAACGAGACTGTAAAAAGGCCATTAACATAGGATTAGTTTACCTGCTTCTTTCGATTTTTATAGGAATCGAGCCCGTGTATTCTACTATAGAAAAGTGCCTCTTAAAAGTAAATAGCATGGATGGTATTACGAACGAAAAACTGGAATACTTTTATGTTCTTAGCCTTACAGCGGCAATGCATGATGCAAAAGAACGCGAATTATTCAGCGTAATGAAGATGAGACCTATACTAGAAAAAGCTGTTCAGTTATTTCCCAACAATGTCATTCTGTGGTACGTGTTTTCATGGTTTGAGTCAAAGCAGCAACTTCAGTTTCGGGTTAAAAGAAAAGCTTGGGAACTCGTTCAGACTTATCAAGAAAAGGCTATTTATCCCTCATATGTTTGTCTAATGGAAGAGGCTAAGCTATCGCTGGAGAAAATGAAGAGTGCAGTTGAAAATATATTGTCTATAAGGGGGCTAGATTTCATTACGGGATTTTGGAAAGTTTACCTGAACGCTGTTGTTTCGAAAGCTGACTCGAATGGAATGGATAGCATACTCGGTATAAGGAAATCGATAAGTCAATGTCCGTTTAGAAAAGGTAGGTTTAATATGGTTGGTTTATTTTTTTATTATGCAAATATATTAACAAGTGAATCAGATTTATACGTCTACATTTTCGCACTATTGCAATCAGGAAATTACACGGACGAAGCAAAGAGTTTTTATTTATTGATGATTGAGAAGGGTTTTCGTTTGCATAATGAAGTCGCTTCAACGATTTTGGAATCTACGGTAATGAAGCATTATCTCCAGTTGCCTCAGGATTCTCGCGTAGTACTTACTGAGGAATATTCTAATGAATAAATAAGAATAACTAGTAAAATCATGTATAGCACAATATAATATTAGTTATGATTTTTACGTTGACATCTTGGTGTTGACAATGAAAAACTTTTGAATTTAGTTTGTATTAATCAACAAATAGGTAGAAAAAATATCAACTAAAGAATCAAGTAAATGTAGAATGCTCTTTGAAGGAGATCCCTATATGACACATGAAATAGTCTCCTAAAAGAACTATCAACAACCAAGTATACCGAACACTATATATTATGGCGGCGGTACCTATTCGATCAAACTTGTCTTTACGAGGCTCTTCTAGACTAATTAGTGAATTTTTCGGTAAAGTCAATTAATGCTAAAGAAAACTGGACTAACGTCAACAGAATACGCAGTGAATTCCATTCTTTTCCAACGGGGCATTTATCCTCCTGAGGACTTTAAAGTGGTGCGTAAATATGGAATCAGCATGCTTGTTACGGTAGACGAGGAAGTCAAAACATATATTAGAAAAATTATTTCGCAGCTACATCGTATGGTGCATTCGTAAAACACAGAGACGCGTTTGTAACTGACTTTGACAATAGGTTGGACCTGTGGAGGAAAGATTCAAAAGGTTGCTTTGGTTATAACGAACAAGGACTCAGGGGAAGACTTAGAACGCTGGCAATTTAACGTGGAAATCCTGCAAAAGGATACTCCAATTTCGCCAGAGAACACGGCCCAAGATGACACGAGAATTCAAAAAGAAGTCCAAGCATTAATTCGTCAAATAACAGCAACTGTGACCTTTTTACCCCAACTTGAAGGACGTTGTACATTCAATGTACTGGTTTACGCCGATCGTGACAGTGAAGTCCCTACGGATTGGGTAGACAGTGACCCACGTTTAATTAAGAATGCTGAACAAGTTCAATTGCGAAGCTTTAGTACTAACATGCATAAGATTGATTGTCAAGTAGCCTACCGCTTTGACCCATAGCTTTCATTCCGAATACTTTTCCGACTGAAAAGTAATGTCTCTTACCAGAACCAATCTTTTAGGCTTAATTATTCTAATCTCTTGTCAATGATCTGTACAATGGATCCCATTCCGTCCTTCACGAAGCAGACTTATATGTTATTTTGTTTATTTACTTTCTTTTACCGAGTTGTATGGCTATCGGTATTCATGTTTTCGTTCCCGTAAATTTTTTTGAAGCACTGCCGTTTTCATCGGTAATCGTTTAACGTGTATTATAGATGTAATTTAAAAACAATTCACAAGCGCTATGTAAAAGTGGAATCACCCATTCACCAAGAGATTGCATGAAAAGTGTTTGGGCTTTTAAGGCCATAACAAAGAAATCGAACTCACTTCATACAAAGAAAACAGAAAGGAGATTTTTGAACGTTTCTAATATTTTATCATTCTTCTTCACTGGTTAGGTGTTAAATTGTTTTGGGACATCATATTTAGGGAATATTTTTGTGTGTGCTTTGTTTTTTTCTCCAATTCATCATTGAATTCTCGTTTGTGAAACTGAAAATACATTATTGTTTTAGTTTCCGGTTTGCAGCGAATATTCGACTAATTCATGAGTTTCATTGTTGACGAATTAATTTCTTAAGTCTGTATAAACCGATGAAGGAGGAGGGTCCATTTTCTAGTTTTCTTAATTCTGCAGTAACGCGGTTGAGCGGCGTGGTTAATGAAGCTGTACAACCAAAGCATAACATTCGTATGGGAAATGCAGGAGCAGGTAATAATACATATCGTCGGGCGTTTTCGGAAGCTGATTCAAAACCGGATCAAAATGAGCGTGCCAGGTTTTACAGTGGAAAGACAAGAAGCACTAAAACCAAAGATGAGGCTCCGTTTGGGGAAGGTGAATTAAAGCTGGAAAATTTTGAAAGGGATGATGCCAGGAGCGAAAAGTCAGAATTCGGTCAAGCAGATGCAAACGATACTGAAGATGTAGATGCTGAACGTGAGACGGAAGCTGTTGACACTTCATCTTCTCCAAGAAACAGGGATACAAATGTGCAAACCAATACTTCTAATCTGCCACCTTTGGAGCATACAGCAACACAAGGCTCAGCGATTACTTCTGCATCTCGAAAAGTATCTATAGCTTCCACTGCGGGAGGAGATCCTGGCGGCTTATCTGGTCATGCTTTTGCTAGCAATAAACGAAATCACGATTTTCATGTCATATTTAAAACCCTTCCTTCTGACGATCATCTTATCGACGACTATGGGTGTGCTCTCCAAAGAGACATTTTCCTACATGGAAGGTTGTATCTCTCAGAACAACATATATGTTTTAATTCTAGTATATTTGGTTGGGTCACGAGTATCATTATTCCCGTTACAGAAATTGTTTCTGTTGAAAAAAAGTCCACCGCGGTCGTTTTCCCTAATGCCATACAAATAACTACTCTTCATGCTCGTTATGTGTTTGCTTCATTTATTTCTCGTGATACTACTTTTCAATTGATTATTACTATCTGGAAAAATATTCATCCCTTCTTAAATATGGCTGCTAATGGATATAATGTATCCGACGCTACTCGAAAGCACCTTGGGCATGGTTATAGCCGGTCCGATGGTGAATTTTCCAACAGCTCAGATGACGACGATGATCAATACGACGATTCCGATGGCATAGCCGAGGAGAATGAAGACGTTTCAGACGACGACGATATAAATTCATCACAAAGTTCTGAAGAAGTCGTACAAGAGCCCAACGTTTCGAAAGTTGAAGATGGTTCTGATGAGAATTTAGTAAAAAAAAATAGTAATGAGGTTTCCGATGATAACTTCCAGTTCGTCACTCAAGTTACTTCTCATCCACCAACCTCAGGAAGTGGTGAGCCTCTTGCCCATGTTCTTTGCTCGAAAGAAACTATCCCACTTCCGCTCTCTACTTTTTTCCTGTTGCTTTGGGGATCTGATACTACTTGGCTAACCAATTTTTTCAAGGATGAAAAGCTTTCTGATATTAAATTTGGTAAATGGATGAAGCAGGATGATAAATGGACACGAAAGGTGCAGTACATAAAGCCGGTAGCTCCCCCGTACAGACAAACAACTTGCTACATTACGGATGTTATCGAACATCTTGATATCAATGATTATATCCACGTAATATCTATAGCATCTACTCCAGATATCCCTAGTGGTTCTTCTTTTCTAACTAAAACTCAGTACATTTGCTATTGGGGTACTAATTCGAAAACAAAGCTGGATGCAAGTTACTCTGTTGATTGGAGCAAGAGTTCTTGGCTGAAAGGTCCCATTGAAAAGGGAGCACAAGAAGGTCAAATGGCTTATATAAAGAGCTTGACCAATGCTCTGGAATCTTACAAATCTCCCGAAAAAGGAAAACGAAAACGGAAAACGCCGACAAAAAAGAAAAAGGGACCAATCTCATCGAATTCGGATTCAAAAGAAGCTGAGTCTTCAAATAACCAGTCATTTATAGTTAACCTGTTGAGCAATATTCCTAGAGGATTTTCTTTGCTATCGCAGCCTACCTATTTGCTTTTTTGTTTAATGCTTTTGTTGATTATTTTACAGTGGTGGTACATGGGACGGTTAGTGCATCCTAAAAACCCTACATCGCCTTTTCGAAATGCTGCTTTACAAGGAGATTCAGTGGAGCATATACCAATGGATGACTTCACTTTTAAGCTGTGGCTTTCGTCAAGGATGGACAGCATTGAGCAGGAACGAGATTTATCTTACGATGCTGACGCGATAGACATAGAGAATGGGAAAATTAAAGTAGCTACTGAATATATGGAACGAAAATTACGGAAACTCAGAGATAGACTTGAGAAACTGGAAAGTGAGCGAAATTAAGGGTTTGTTTATGAGAAAGAAAAAGGAACCTATAATTTTGAATGTGTGTATGTGTGTGTTTTTAGGTAAATTACGTTAACGAAAGCACGCTTTATTTTTTTATGATATTTTCTAATGAATTCACCAATTTACCAAAAAGTTTTTAACATGATTGAGTCATCGTTAATTGTAAGTTGTTTAAATCAATCCAAAATTTATCCTAAAAAGAACCTATTTTCTGTAGTTTTCTTTTCAATCAGTCGAGAGCACTGCTCACGAATGAATTCATCTTCGTCATGAGTACTCAAATATTCCAACAATGTAATTACTGATCTTGGCAAATGAGAAGATGAGTTAAGTACCTGAAGAGCAGCTCTTCGCAAGAACTTTTTATCTTCCGTATTTTCTAAATTCAAAATGGCGGCTGCTGATTCAATAAAAGCATCGCTCGATGAATAGCGACATAATAGTTCAGCAATGTTCATAGCAGAAATTTTGATATCTATAATTTCAGCATTTAATAAGACCAAACATGTCTGTTCTATTTGACCATAGTACTTTGAAGTAAGTTCGCCCAGCCGCTCCATACTTTGGTATATGGCTTGTCCAATCAACAAAGTTTCATCAGTGGAATACCTTTGAACCTTTGAATATTCAAGCAGGAGTTGTATCATCATATCTTCATATTTGTCGCATAGAGATACCAAAGCGGCAATGACATTCAAATGCACATAACTATCTTCATCTGTCAAAAGACCTAACAAAGTGTGCAGTATTCGAAGAGGATTTATTCTCTTATCCTTGGCTTCAATTAACTTCCGAAGCATATATATTCCTTGACCTCGAATAGGAACTTGATCATTATGGATATAGGATAAAGCAGATGAATAGTCGTCATTTGCTTTTATAAGAGTTTTATAGACATCATTAGCTAATGCTGATATAATTTGATTGTGGTAATTTGCCAGTTGTTTTAGAGGAGAGAGAAGAGATGGAACTGAATTCTCATAACCCAGTTCTCGATTCCTTCCAATAACGGAAGATAAGAGGTGCAATAAAATAAGTAAAATTTCCTCATTCTCTTCAACTACATCTTTTTTAGAAGTAATATCAAGGACGGACTCGGTGTTGTTTAGATTTTCTATAACCTCGCTGATCAAGTTACTGCAAACTGAAACCATGAGTTCACTGGGAATTTCGTCTGTGTCGACTTTTGTAAGAGCATACTGTACAACTTCAAGTAACTCCAGTCGGTGCTCCGCAGGCTGCCTAACCCATAATTCAAGTAACTGGGGTAAAAATTGAGCAAGTTGGGACTTAGAAAGCAAATGACAAAAAGAACTCAAATGATGAATAGACTCAAGGGATTGAAGCAGTGGACTCGTACCGGTTTTTGAGACAATTGTTAGCAAGCTTTCTTGCGCCTGCTTTCTAAGAGTATTATTAGACTGTAATTGAAGTAATGAAGGAACAAATCCTTCGACTAATTTTATCATATCATCATTTCCAATGGAAGCAAAAACATCCAAAACCTTTAAACAGTTTTCAATGGGCATAAGATCAATAACGGTGGAGGATTTCAGTGGGGAGAATTTTTTAACAAAAAATTCCCAAGTGAAATTTCTATGTGATGATAAAAGTGTAATGGTAATTTGGCAAGCGAGTCTTGGTAAATTAAAAAAGAGGTTCCAAATTTGAGGAAATATCAAGCCTAAATAATTCTATTCGCTTGGTTAGCTATTTGGGAAAAAAATACAAGTCTCAGTTGAGTACTTACCTGTTCGGCCATATTTTTTGGAACAGAGGAGATAAGACGAGCAGCTTGTTGAGCTCTTTCAATTGAATTGGGATTAACTTGCATAAAAACCTTTAAGAATCCTTCAACGCCATTCGACTTGCATAGACTAGTTGTTAGGTAATGATTGAGTCGGTCTCGCATCCATGGAGGGACTTTTGGCTGTAATAATTGTAAACACGCAGAAATCATTTTGGCAGGATCAACATATTCTGGAGACATGACGCGAACCAAAGACTCTTTGGTAACTCCAAAATCTTCTTTTTGGAGATAAGATTCGTTGGTATTTTGCAAGTAAAGATATACCATTAGTAGATCTGCATAATGAAGACTTACTGGACCTTGCAGCAAATTTGGTTTGAGAAGTGCAGGGATTAGAAATTTAAATAGAGAAAGAATGCTCCTTTTGGGGGAAAACGGTGGAAGGGCTTTAGTTTTTGCGGGAGCAAGAAGCTCCTTGGGGACTTGGGTGTAAATGCCTAAGAGAAATACCAAGTGAACGGAGAGTTGCAAACACCGAATGGAAGTTATGCTAACAGGCATATCTGGGTCATAAGAAACGACCTGGTCTAAGTGATTTAAAAGAGTTTCCAAGACGTCTTGGTTTCCAACAGCATTTTGAAGCTTTGTAAACAACGAATTGGAATCGTTTCTATTGTTCAACGACCGTGTCAGGTCCACAATCTTGTCAATTGCATTTTTTGGTTCTTGCACCTTTTCTATACTCATGCTGTTATGTTTATGCAAAATAAATAGTGTACTTATAATTTTCAGATATAAAAACGCTTGCGTTTCAATAATTAGAAAATGAGGAAATCCAAGAATAAGTGGAAGGAAAAGAATACAAAGGTTTGACTATTCTTTTTATTGAAAGGGAGAAATCATAAAGTACAATGCAATGATTGAAACGGCGTGCGAATTCGTTATGGAGTGAAAAGCACTATTGAGCTTTAGAGGAAGTATCGAGAAACAAGAAGAAAAAAAGAAATTAAATATATATTAATACAAGATAAAGAATAAGAATATTGTTTATTAAAGATTCTTTTTGAGCCAAAAAAGTGAATAGGTTTGCAGTTGGATGGTACAAACCATACTACTAAAACACCATGTCGATGACAATTTTACCTTTAGGTATGTAAAAGACGGTAATCTTCGAAAGAATGATAAGGAAAAACACAAAACTAGATTTCTTGTTGAAGCAATTTACGTTATGGAGTCTAAACGTAGCTAATTTGGCAGAGTTAATTGACAAATGCGTTGGATCAAACTTGTGGGTGATTATGAAGAGTGAGAGAGAATTCGTTGGTACTTTAATTGGTTTTGATGATTATGTGAACATCGTTTTGAGAGATGTTACCGAACAGTATGTGAATTTGATATAACGAAAGAATTGTATTGACAATTCATGTAGTGACACGATTCATGGTACAACAGAAAAACATTCGGAAATGCTTTTGAATGGAAATGGGATGTGCATGGTAAGAACTATGAATATAATAATTCCAGTGATGATGGAAAATGGACATGCTAACTAATAATACCAGTTGATTCCTGGAGGCAAACCCGAATAAAAAGCGTACGAACTAAAATTATTTGTGTTTCTATGGAGACTATGTAATACGAGATTAGTCTGAAGAAGTAGTTGATGTGGAGAATCCATGATTTTTGAATTGGACGCTAATGTAAGAGAAGAGTACGAGTGTGAGTAACGCATTAAACGTCAAGAAAGAAACGTATAAATGTAATTGTTTTACAACAGGTTTTTTTTTTACGCATGGTGAAAGACGTTTCTAAACTTTGCATGGTTGGTATTTGAACTAAGAAAATGAGTATTTGTAGATCAAACCAAACAAAAAATTTTAATAAAAGCAAAGCAAATTAAAACAAAGACGTTAAAAATAAAAAGGATGTCAACAGAGAGTGGAACCTTGTATTCATATGTTCTTATACTATGAATTGGAAAACTCTACTGAATAGAAAAAACAAACTGACATCAAGCTGAAAAGGAGGATTTCCGTTCGTCGTCACTTGTTGCCTTTGTAAGGGTGTTGTTTTTAGTGTGAAAGAAAAAAGAGAAATCCAACCAGTGTTTATTCGGTTTTTGAATATCTAAAAAGCTTTCACCTAATATGAAACCTAACAAATGAAAGCAAATATTTTGGGACCATAGAGGCCAGCGTGAGATTCATAAGATTCAAAGGTAGATGATATTCCAGACGCGGACTGGGGATTCGAGGATGTCGTATTTTTCGAAAGCGCTGGTTTTTCATGATGATTCCAATTGTTTTCTCCCTTGATGAACCGTTTGAGGAAAAAAAGCATTTTTAAAAATAAAAATAAAAAAGAGAAAACCCATAAAAAGAGAGAAAGCCAAAACAAAATGGTTTGGGTCAACAAAAAGATATGGACTTTTAAAAATTGGTAAATAAACAAACCTATCAACAAATAAACTCCAGAAGAACCTCCAAATGATCCGCTAGATGGTTAAATTGGATGAATGAAAACCATTGCTTTATGTTGGATTTATTTTCGTAGACATTAGAATTGCCAGCATATCTTGTAGCAATTTCTCTTTCGATTGGTCTTAGAGAATCCAAGTACTGGCAAACTTTTGACAAAGAATCATTCTTACACTGGAAAAATCGTTGAAAAAAAGAGTCTGAGAACAAGGATAAGCATAGGAATTGCAATTTGAAGGTTTGTTGATGGAAACTCGGGACAAGTATTTCGTCCACAGTGAAGTGGAATTATTTAAAGATGGAATTGGAAGGAATATATTTACATTTTCCTTTTTTTACACAAAGCTATTATGATTTTCTTGTTGATGATGGCATTATGCCTTTAAGGAATAATTAGTAAAAGTGCATCGAATTTCTATGCGGTTTGATTTTTGATCTTTGTGTCCTCTGAAATGCTGTTTACTTCAATCTATTTGACTCTTTTTTTTTTTTTTTTTTTTTTCTTGATCCTATTTTCAATGAATTCATCGCCTTTTATTTACACCTGGTGACGAAATGATTCGAGTCCAATTGTAAGTAAGTAAAGAGCGAGCAGTTTTAATGATTTAAAAAAACCAGTAATAAGATCTAATGCAAACTAGTAAGCCTTTTCTCTTGAAATCTTTTACATATGTCAATCCAGAGCATTCATTTAGACCAAGGTAGCTTTTTCTCGACATGGAAAATAAACATTGTATGTTACGAGATGGGGACTTTTTTTTTTTTTTTTTTTCTTTTATCAAAATCGTATAAAACAATATTGGAGTACTTTTTATTTTTAATTATTTTTCTTTTTTTCTTTTTTTCTTTTTATTGCCGTAAATGCTTTCTCTTTGGAAGCAAAACAAATAGTTCAGCGACTGTCTTTTTGAAAAACTCGCTTAAAAACAAGAGATCAGTCGCAAGATTTCAACGACAAAGAAATAAGAACTAAAAAACCAATTTTATCACCATTATAGACAATGTATAACGGCAAATCCTTTACTATTTCGCTCTTCTGTTCCTACTACCAAATTTTAGCATCGCTTAAGCGCTTTGTTTATGTTTTGTAATGTTGAAATATAGACAAAATGAAGCACATTCCATTCAAGATTACATCAATGAAAAGTACTTTTTGTGAAATAGGACAAGATGATGTTTATGAAGGCGATTTCGGGCTGCTTTTGATTTTTATCAAATCTTCAAAATACACCTTTCTGCTAGCGAACGCTTCTTTTCATTTTTACCATTCTCTCTGATATCAAACAAATCCTTCAAATTCATCTTCTATTCTATTCTGTTCTCTTCCTTTCTATTCTATTGTATTCTAATTGCTCCTGCTATTGCTATTCCTTGAAAATGTTGGTTTCCTGAAAAACAATTCTTTTGTTTACATGGTCGCCCTGTTTGTTTACATGGATAACGCGATGTGTTCCGCTCCCCTATTTACTATGGAGATTCGTGAAAAGCCTAATAGAGGATACATACTAAGGTGTGGGTGGGTGGTGTATGAATGTGCTCTTGGTAGGTTTGCGTCATGTATGTTTTCAGTAGAAAAACAATCTTGTCCTTCGCCAACTTTTCTACAAAAAAAAAAAACATCAAGCTCTATGACACTGGCATGTACACTTTTAACATCTGAACAAGATTTATCAAGTATAAAAGAACATGTAGACATATCATCGTTAAACCAAGACTTTTTACTTGAAATCTTGTCGACGTTTCTTTTACGACTAACGCGTTTGAACGACAAACGACAAGAAGGAAAAGATCCTAATGAAATCCCATTTTCAGCGACTAGTTTAAAAAACCCGAGTTTGGTGTTTTCAGCGAAAAACATTCCGTCCATCTCGATTCAATCATATTTACATCGCATCCTTAAATATTGCCCAGCAACGAATGATGTCTTTTTAAGCCTTATAATATATCTCGACCGCGTTGTACGGAATTTTAATTTCTCATTTTTGATTAATAGTTACAACATTCATCGTTTTTTAATCGCTGGCTTTACTGCTGGTAGCAAATTTTTTAGCGACGTCTTTTATACCAATATCCGTTATTCCAAGGTGGGTGGAATTCCCGTGCAGGAATTAAATCATTTGGAACTTAGTTTCTTCTTATTTAACGACTTTAATTTGTTTATTACCCTTGAAGATTTACAATCTTATGCTGATTTATTGGTTTCTTGGCATTCTCACCACACCTCTCCCTCCCCAGTCCTTTCCTTAACGCCTGCCGCAAACCAGTCTCTATACTCTACTACTGCATCATCATCACCTTCTTCTCCTTACCCAAATCCTCCTTCCCAAAGGAATTCCACTACCCATTCTCCTGCGCCAACGTTTCCCTCATCTCCCAAACCCAAGGACTCAAATCACCCTCCATCCCAAAACACTCCCCAGCAACATCAAAAACAGCAATCTGAATCTTCCCCCATATACTCTACATCTCCTCGACAACCCACTGTCGACCATAAACTACTGTCGTCCAATTCCTTAGGCTAAACTAAACACTTTTTTGTTCTCTTCTGGTTCCCCCCAAAAACCTCTCATCATTCCCCGCTATCATCATCACCATATTTGTATGAAAAGTATTTGTCCTTTGTGTTTGTCTCACTTCCCTTTTTTCCCTCCTTTTGTCTCCTTCTTTCTCCTTTTCCCTTGTACATTTATCTTTTTGTCATCTTGTACCACCTCTCATCATGGTTCGATTCGTCTCGTTGCTTGGGAACTTTAAACAGTTTTCCTTTTGACTTTCTCTCTAGTTTTGTAAGTTTCTTTTTTCCATCGATATTCCTTATAAGCTATTTTTCCTATTCCTTTACCAGCGCTCTCTCCTTCCTCCAAACTGCAAAACAAAACCCTCTGTCTGTGATTTCAAAAGTATTTTCTGTACTAGTAGTAGATGTCGTTATTTATGAATTACGTTGTTCTTTCTAATACTTTATTTTTACTATAAGGTAATACGCTAGAGTATCCTATTCTATAAGTTTCAAAAACTCGTCGAGTGTCTCATGCTTTCTGTCTTACGCCATACGTCTTTCTACACTATTTATTCCCACTAATTCCTAACGATTCTTTGTGTTGCTTACGGATATTTATTTTATTTTTTTTTTTTTTTTCAATTGATTTTATTATTTTTTTCTAAATAAATCATACATCCCGAACCGAACCAGAAATCGAAATCTCCTACGGTTTTGTAGTTCGCCTCATTTCCAATCTTCAGGTTTTAATTGCTCTTTGTTCTTGACGGCTATTGCTCTTCTTCTTTTAGTCGGGTTTTTATTCTCTATACTTGTTTGTTTTTATCCTCTGCATTTTCATCCTGGATTTCAAGAATTTTCTGCACTTACAAAAGTTCCATCCGCGGATCGTATCAAATACCCACACATTACTTTTCCATTTTCCTTCCCTTCTACATTCTTCTCGGCCCAAAATGACTCAGAATGACACCATTGTGGAAATGTTTGATATCTGCTTCAAACAAGAAGACGTAGATAGCCTTGAAAAACCTAATTGGTTTACCGACGTGTCTCTTGATTTTGTCGATGCACTAATCGAAAATTTATGGTATCCTTTATACCCAACTCAAGCCAAAGGAATTTTGCTTTTGAGACCTTCCCTTGTGTTCTTGCTTGCTGAGGCTCCTGCATCACTTGACGAGCTTAAATCCGCTCTTCCACCAAACCTTTTGTCCTGCAAGTATATATTCATGCCAATCAATGACATGGACAAATATGCCGCTGGAACAGGGGGCACTCATTGGTCGCTTATGGCCGTTAGCGTCCCAGATTCCCAATGTTACTATTATGATTCCATGAGCAATGGAAAAACAAAGGATTGCTGTAGTGCATTGAATCGTATTTCAAAACTATTTAATAAAGGTACGAATAAATCCCCAGTTTTTTTCTTTAATGTATTAACAATTTCTAGATTTTACAATCGTGTCTGTCCCCGTACAACAACAGCGAAATGGTTATGATTGTGGTGTTTATGGTGCTGCTTTTACCCTAGAGCTTGTTCGCCGTCTATTAAAATCGCCCATGCCAACAAGCTCTCAATGGAAACTCGATAAATTTGATCCCGATCTATCCGTGGTTCGTAAAAAGTTGAGTACTTGTTTGGACCATATTGTAAAGCACTATGGGACGAGAGTCAATTCTATCGATTACCAAACGTTTCCTACGAAGGAAGCTTTTTTTGATATCCAGCAAGAACTTCCTTCTACAACTGATGAATCTTCGTCTATAACGGAACATGATAAATTCGAGGATGCCGAGTTAGCTCCTCCTTCCTCTTCCAACGATTATCCAGAAGATGAGCAAACCAATGCTGATGCTTCACTAAATCCGAACCTGGATAAATCACCAAATCATCACCACCACCATCATCATCGCCATAACCATTCTAATAGCCAATATGAACAATATGAAGAAAAAAAAGTTAATGACTTGAAGCCCCCTTATGAGGAATTTCAAACTTCATCGTTAAGAAATCCGTTTGGTACTCCTCCCGAACCTGCCCAAAGTGTCGGTTTAAATAACCACTTTGCATCCTAAGAAGATGAAAAAATACGTTTTTGTTAAGGTAATGAGATATAACGACAAATTAGGACATATAGTTTAGTAATTTATTTATTTTCGACTTTCTCTACTAGTGATATAGTTTTCTTTTATGAGAGTAATACAAACAACTGAGTAAATTCTTCATATTTTATTCTCCATATAAGGTTACATAAACATTTATTGAGCAACATATTTTCTAAATTCGTCAATTTTCATTATCACAAAACTTCATATATGCTTTATAAGTCTTCATCTAGTGTTTCTAATTGTACATTTCTTGGGTTTCTATGAGTAGACGTTTCACTCATTAAACTTGACGACAAAGCACTTGGGCGCTGACTGAACTGTTCCCTTACAACAGAATTTGATAACGTACTTCTCCTATCTTGATCAAGCTCCCTAAATCCTTCAGAAACAGCACTTTCATTAACCAGTACTCCAAGATTTCGTACTGATGAACGCAGCTCTTGCATATCATAATGTAGCCGCTCCGTCATACCTCGCATTTCGTCTATTTTTTGGTGCAAACTTTGAATAGAGTTTGCTTCGAGAGAAGAAAATCGCTGCATTTCGACAGGTGCGGTATGCAAAGGAGGGCGCATTTGTAAATCAACGTTTGGGAGTGGCATGGAAGAGCCTCCTAAACTAGGAACTTGCTGCTGTAAAGAAGGAGCAACCGGATAGCTATTTCTAGATATCAAACGCCATCCGGGTGGTATAATCCCATCTACGTTTGGATCGGCAACCGACTGTCCTTCAGCGTTGGTATCAGCAGACATATTCGTAGTATTATTAGCGGGAATATTTTGTACACCGGGTATAGGGAGCATACTCCATCCGTTACGCAAAGGAATTGTACCATTAAGATTTTGAAATTGGCCCCATGAAGGAGGAGTAGTACCCGGCCTTATTGTGTGTGTAGGTTGCAAGTTAGCGTTTCTTGGTCCAACATTAGGAGAAAATGTTCGTGGAATGTTTTGATTTGCATTTTCGACAGCAGTAGGAGTAGGAACTGGGAAAGGGTTTACGGCAGTATTTGCAGGGGAGGAAGCATGTTCTCCAAAGACAGGTCTTCGACAAATGGGGCAGGTCTGCTGTCTTTGAAGCCAGTTCCTTAGACAATGAAGATGAAGAATGTGACCACAAGGTAAACGCTTTGGCGTCATATCCAAACCTCTAGGAAGTGGTTCCATTTCCTCAATATTTTCAGGGGGAAAGTCAGGGTGAAACATTTCTTCTCTACAAATGGTACATGTACGATCAGAATTGGATAATTGCTCTTCAGTTGCACTGGGATACATAGCTTCCATATCACGAGTAGCTTGTCGATAGCGAGCATGTTCACGAAGGCGGCGGAACAGAGAATAAAAGCTAATATACAAGTGTCGAATAGCATACAGGGGAAAACTCACATAACTATGTTGAAAAAGGAGTAATATACTGTATGCAAGAAGACGTAAAGCATCCCGAACGACCTCCAATCGAAAAAGATAGATGCTCTTTTCTTGCCATACCTGCTCAGGATGACGAGTTTCATAAACATAAAGTCCAAGCTTTATAGCTTCTGTAACTATATTAACAAATAGCACGGAGAATTCACAAATAAAAAGTATCCTTGTCGAAATATCGCCAAAATACTCGTTGCTGCACAAATAAACGAACGTAATGTCTAAAACAGCCAAAATAAGTAAGGCACATGTGAGCCGATTAAAGATATTAAATTGACGGTCTGTCAATTGAACTTGCTGTCTTTCAGTACGGAATGCGCAAATAGAATGAAATACTCGAGCAAACATCAGAGCACTTAACAACAAAAAAAACGAAATAGAGATCGGATCGCGCAAAGTGGTAATGGAAATCATTGCTTCCGTAAGTGTAATCCAAAATTGTTCATACAACAACTCCAATTCAAACGTTTGTAGGGATCCAAAAAGGAGTGCCTTTAATGCATTTGCAATTGCAAAGAAGATACAAAGACACACATTTAGCCCAATTGTAATATGGATTGGACTCTGCGAGATCATTACCGCCGCAGCATACACGTTGGCGCTGCTGTACAGGCTTAACAAGACAGACAACCCAAATAACAAAATGGAAGCCTGGGGTTCGTAAGAAACAATCTGCTAATATTGACTTACCAATACATAAAGTATGAACTTCATTTTCAAAAAGAAATTGGGAGTGTCGGCCACAATGTTGTTTACAAGTGTGATATGATACTATCCATAATTTGGCAGACTTCGGTCAACTTATCCGGAGTTATGCATACCGGTCACCGAAATTCACCAAATGGTACCCTCAGGTAAATATACGACAATTAGTAAAAAGCATTAATTTATTTATCAATTTTATGAAAGAAACAAAATGATCAGTATATCTTGTTTGCTAAAAGTAGACGATGGTTTTAACAGGCTACGCATATCTTACAATGTACTCTATAAGACGAAACCAAGTAATCCAAGGACTCATAAAAGCCATTTAAGCAATAGCATAGCATAACAAGTGAGACATACCAGTAGAAATCGTCATTCAAAATTTTGGTCTTCCACTTCAGAACGAAGGGATTTGCGATACCTTCATGTCAATGATGATCTAAAGGTTGATAGAAACGATTAGACAAGTAACCTTGTTGATTTATTTATATACATATACATTAGATAAATAGTCTGGAACTTGGTATTCATGAAATCAAAGTATAAATAGTTCATTCCACAAGGGGCGAGCATGGAAATTTCGGCTCGAATTTAAAGTGATTCTACATCTCCACGAAAAGTAATCCCGCAATCCTTTGCAATCTGTATAGAGATATTTCGTGCGCCCATTACTTGTTCTTTCGTAGCACCATGATTCAGAGCACCCTTCAGATGGCCACGAAGCTGGGGATTCACATCTTGTGGAACAAGAGAAGCGATGATAACTAAACTTGTTTCTAGGGGAGTGATGATTTCGTTAAATGAAAGTACTTTTCCATAGGCATAGTCGATAGCGATATGGGCTATACATCAAAACGGTTAGAAGTGAAAAGTCTAAAAAACTGGATTTTTTTATCCAAAGGTCTACGTACCCAAGTCCGAAGAAGAAGACTGCATGGAGTTGAGAACTCGATCTGTCACCTTGCCATAAGTCTTTTCGAAATATAATTTTCCACGAACAGAGGTATTTACTTGTTCATCAGAGGCTCGACTAAAATCGTTTGGAAACGCTTTCGGGGAATTTTGAGCCAATTCTCGCAGTGAATTGATGGTCTTAAACTCGAATTAGTATAGGAAGTGTAGAAGAGATGAAGTTCATTCTATTTCCATGGTTTCAATACTTACTCTAGGAAATCCCACTAATGGAGCGGATTTTACCAAAGCTTCGCGTAATTTTGCAAAGATTGAAGGGCCTACCTCTTCAACGGCCTCTTTTGCAATTCCTCCAATATTTTCTGGACGATTGCTGGATGAATAAGCTATCACAGAAACAATATATAAGTTGGTAGGTTCAAGTAATCCACCAAATCTTTGAAGAATTGACTTTGTCATGCTAATGAATTATCAATTGTTACAAGAAGTACTTTTAGTGTAATGCAGTCTCACGATAGCCCTGATGTGAGTAATAAAAAGTTGAATAAAAATAAAATAAAAATAAAATGCAAAAGAACACTTTAAGTGAAAAAAATGAGAGTTTCCTATTGACCTTGGTTACTCTGCCAATACAGTCAATACCGACTATATATACGAAAATATTATGCGGTCGGCTACTTTAGTTTTGGATCGAAATAAGATGCAAAATTCTTGGATAATTAAATAAAAACTGATGTAAAACGGAAAAAAGAAAATTATTATTTCAACTTATATTATAATCGAAAATCTCATTACAAATATTAAATAAGCCCGTAGTTCATAAAAGAAGACATCTCCAAACAAAAACAAAAGTAGGCCTACGAAAAACCAAAACACTATTCATTTTACTTTTCATCAATTAACGAAGGAACCAAAAATAAAAAACTCTATGGTTCATCTGGCTCATTATCTTTTGTCATTGAACGCGTTCGTCTTTCAGCAATTGGAGGCACTCCAGAGCCATCCACATGCTTATTTAATGAACCCTCCATTTGGGCATCTGATTTTTGGTTCTCCGTGACTATTTCCTGTAGTACTCCTCTTGTTGCAGCGTGAGGTTCTTTTATGGAATCATTTATTTTTTCGTTTTGTATGCTTGGTTTGAGATCAGACAACTGAAACCGACCGTATTTCTCCTCCGAACTGAGATTCATAACGAAACTCTCCAAATTGTTGAAAGTTTCTTCCGAAGGAGTTTCTAGTTTCGCTTGTTCAGTAGTATCAACAAAGCAATCAGGCCAAGCGATACATTCTAATCCGTCTAATTTTAGGGAAGGGAAAGACAAATTCCCTAGGTTATCTTTCTTTAAAGCTTCAGAACTTTGTCGAGCACCCTCGAGTATTTCCTTGGCTTTTGGTTCAAATTGCTGAGCCAATTGTACAACAGCTGTAAGACGCTCCATATCATCTATACTTTGAATAAGTCCATCTATATTCCAAATCTGTGATAGATAATTTTCCAAAGTGTACAAGTCATCAACATCATAACTAAGAATTAGCTGCTTTAACGAAATCCATCCAACCCACCCGTGTTCCAACGGAAAAGTAAACAGTCCATCTTTATCTAACTGTTGAATCTTTTCAAACGTGTCTTCAATAATTTTTTGTAAAGGAAAATATACAACAGTTAGAATTCGCTTTCTTAATTGGGATAATTCACTTTTCACTCGTTGTCTACGAGCGGTCAATTCAACTAAAGACATGAGTTCCCGATATTGTTCACGAAGCCGCTGTGCAATACCTAAAAAATCCTCACGTCTTTTAGTTGCATTGACGGGAAGATTTGCTAGTTCATCCGCAAGTCTTTGAGAGCGTAACAAAGGCGCATCCCGTCGATACTTACGCTTCATTTGATAGTATTTACAAATGTCAATAATGATAGAACTTATTTCGTTGGTGTTATCGTCAAGGTGCATATCTTTGAGGGTAGACGTTACTTTCTCTACTATGTACCGGGGTAATGGCCGAAAATTCCATGGTTCCTCTGGGACAAGAGAAGGTGCTCGGCATGCGACATAATTTAAAGGGACATCATATGCCATTCTCCTATAATACTGAACAGCAAGTGGGTAGAGTCGATGAAGTGCACCGTCGAGATGAGAAGGAAGCGTGTGCCTATCACAGAAACATTCTACTTCTGCTTGGCTATAATTACCGTAAGGAGCATGAAGCTTGTAATAAAATCCGGCACGTCTAGCGCAAGTAATGTGGAATGCTGTATAACAACTTTTCTCAGAGCATTGTACACAAGCACCCCAGCGTAACTTACAAACACAGCAGACCAGCTTCCATCGTGATTTGGGAATATCATAAAAGTCGCGAACCAAATCCAAGCGACTAGTATCATGAAAGGAGATTTCAGGAACTGCCATCCCACATATGGTATGACACCAACGGCCGTCAATGGTAGTGCGGAACGCACCATCACGATCTGGGCAACAGACACAAGAAATGACATCGCTGGCAGCGAGCAAACAACGCTTACAAAACCACTGGCCCTCAGGAACAAAGGGAATACCATAACAGTTTTGGTGAACAGCCATATTACAGTTATCACAAAATATGATTACATTGCTTGTTTCACAGTCTGACTCGTTGCATATAACACAACGCCCATCAAGCTCATCTTCTATACGAACAGGTTCTGTTTTGGGAATCCATGCGTCCAATAAAAGCCAATGTCGAGCAATAACTGTAAGAGCAATTTCTAGAAATTCATGGGACAAGGGTCTCCAAGTAGGATCTGAACAGGCTCGCGATTCATTGTAATAGATCAACCACATGGCGTCTAGCTCATCCAGATCATAAGAAACAGGAAAATTCTCGTCATCATGAGGATCCTTAGCTACAAGGAAAATGTTAGCATTCGTATTTTAGTAATCGGGTGCATAACTACAATAATCCGCACCAACTTACCTATGAACCTTTCAAACCTATTTTCTGGTAATTCTAATTTCGTAGAAGTATTATAACCGCATGCTTTGATCTTAGGAGGCAGAGATTCAGTATGATAATCCACTACTTTGATGTTTTCGACTTTAGCTTCCGGAAGCGTCTTTACCACGTATGAAGAAGGAGGCTGGTAAGCAAAAAGAGAGGAATCAATCCCAGAATACTCTGGATACCTATCTTCGACAATTTCTAACGGCTCATCAGTACGTAAATCAGGATAAAACACTCGATATGAGATTTCCTCTCGTGGTTGAAAAGCAAGATCCTCCGGCCTTAAAAAACTTGGACCATCCAGTGTATTTGATATCGCCTGCATGAAAAGCTCGGCCTGTTTGAGAGTCCTTTACAAACATATTTTCAAGACTTCTCTTCCCTATGGCCGAGTTGTAAGTTCATCCGTGTACTTCAGTGAAATTCTTTATCCCCTTTGCCGAAGTACGTTTGGCTTTCGTATATAGATCGTATTATTTATAAAACGATACAAGAGCTTATGATGCCGTAAGATTATATAGTGGATCTAAATATTCCATAATCAAGGGAAACCCAACTATGCGCTCCAACGCAGAAATCTCCATACAAAAAATTTACCAGAGCTAGTTGAGTTCACAACCGCACAACATGGCACCTCCCCAGGGAAAGCCCGAAAATGTGCTAAGAGTATGTTATTTCTCGTAAATAATTTTGTAATACTAACAGAAATAGCTTGCCGATGAGCTTATTGCTCTTGATCAGCATGGGTCTGCCTTGCAGTCCCTTCATGAGACCATCGTTTTGAAAAGGTCCAGAAATTCTCAAGGATTTTCTTTGGAGCCCATCATGACACGCTTTATTGAACTTTGTGTCTTTTTACGTAAAGGTAAAATTGCCAAAGAAGGTCTCTACATGTACAAGAACGCTGTACAAAATACCTCGGTGACTGCCATTGAAAATGTCGTAAAGCGTTTTATTGAATTGGCCAACGAAAAGGTTCAAGAAGCTCAGGCTAGAGCTGATAAAATTTCCGTTGAATTTGTTGACGATTTGGAGGCTTCTGAAACTCCCGAAAGCATTATGATGTCCTTCGTCTCTGGAGAGATGTCCAAGACCCGAACTGATCGTGCTTTGGTCACTCCTTGGCTCAAGTTCTTGTGGGATGCTTACCGCACAGTTCTTGATATTTTGCGGAATAATGCTCGTTTGGAAGTCATGTATCAATTGATCGCCAACTCTGCCTTCCAATTTTGCTTGAAATATCAACGCAAGACTGAATTCCGTCGTCTCTGTGAGTTGTTGCGTTCCCATCTTGGTAATGCTTCCAAGTTCTCTAATGCTCCTCATTCAATAAACTTGAATGATGCTGAGACCATGCAACGTCACTTGGACATGCGGTTTTCCCAACTTAACGTAGCCGTTGAATTGGAGCTTTGGCAAGAGGCTTTCCGTTCAATTGAGGATATCCACAGTCTTTTAACTTTCTCCAAACGCGCACCTTCTCCTGTCATGCTTGGTAATTACTACCGTAAACTCATTAAGATCTTTTTGGTTTGCGATAATTTCTTGTTGCATGCAGCTGCTTGGAACAGATATTTCACCTTCACTAATGTTCAAAAGCCTGCCACAGCCAATTTTGTTATCCTTAGTGCTCTTTCAATTCCTATTATTGATGCCTCTAAGTTCTCAGGTCCCCCTCTTGATGCTGAAGACGCTAAAAGCAAGAATGCTCGTTTGGCTATCTTGTTAAACATGTCTAAAGCCCCCAACCGTGAGGCTTTGGTAAAGGATGCTGTTAACCGTAACGTTTTGAGCTACTGTGATCCTGCTATTCGGGATCTTTATAGGATTTTGGAAGTTGATTTCCATCCTTTGAGCATCTGCAAAAAATTGCAGCCCATTTTGAAGAAATTGGCTGAAAACACCGATACCGCGCAGTACATCCGTCCCCTTCAGCAAGTTATCCTTACCCGTCTTTTCCAACAACTTTCTCAAGTTTATGATGCTGTTTCATTGAAATTCGTTATGGATTTGGCTACTTTTGATGAACCTTACTCCTGTACCTATGGTCAGATTGAGAAATTTATAATGAATGGCAACAAAAAGGGTGCTTTCTCAATTCGTGTCAATCATATTGAAAACTCTATCACATTCGCATCTGATCTCTTCGCCAACCCTGTTAGCTCTCACGCTGATGCTGCAACTTTGCAATCCACCCCTGCTGAGCTCATCACTAACCAGCTTTCTCGAATTGGAAAATCACTTACGAGTGTATTGATGCGCTTTGATACCGACTTCTATCTTCTCCGTAAGCAACAATCTGAAGCTGCTTACGAGCGCGCCTTAGCAGGTGTTGAGCAAGAAAGAAAGGCTGTTGTTGCTCAACGTAGCTTGCTCGAATTGCGCCGTGGCCAAGCCGATACCTTGGCTACCCAGCGCGAAGCTGAACTTGCTGCTCAACGTGCTCTTAAGCAAAAGCAGGAAGCTGAAGCTGAAGCTCGCCGTGTTCATGAAGAAGCTATGAAGCGTAATGCCGAAAGAATTCGTCGTGAAAAGGAAGCTATTCGCATTGAGGAAGCTAAGAAATTGGCTAACGAACTTAAGGCGAAGGGTGGATTGGAAGTCGACGCTGAAGAATTGGAAAATTTGGATGCTGACAAGTTGAGAGCTATGCAAATCGAGCAGGTTGAGAAGAAGAATAGAAGCATGAACGAGCGTCTTCGTATTATTGGTAAAAGAATTGATCATTTGGAACGTGCCTATCGCCGTGAAGCTATTCCTCTCTTAGAGGAAGATGCTAGAAAACAAGTTGAAGAAGATCATAAGGCCTTTATCCAAAGAGAGAAGCAACGTAAAGAGGTTCAAAGTCAGAAGCATGAAGAAGCTTTGAGAGATAAGAATATATTCTCCAAATTTGCTTCATATATTCAAAGCTATAAGCAAGGAATTGATGATGATCGTGAGAAGGCCTATCAAGATGCTTATGCCCGTACCAAGGACGTAATAGAAGCTGAACGTGAACGACAACGCCAGATGATTTACGAACAGAAGTTGGCTGATGCAGTTGCTGAAGCTGAAGAAGCTGCTGTTAGAGCTGAAGAAGAAGAGAAGATGCATCAGCGAAGAGAGCAAGAAGCTGCTCAACGCAAGGCCGTGGAAGAAAAGGCGCTTGCCTCTAAGGAAGCTAGAGAGCGCGAACAAGCAGAAATGAACGAAAAGCTTGAACGTCAACGAATTATGCAAATGAAGCGTGAAGAAGAAGCCGCTCGCAAGATTGCTGCTAAGAAAGCCAACTTGGGCTTAGGTTCAGGTGCTCAAACTCCTCCGGCTGTTGGTGCATGGAAACGTAGTGGTGCTACTCCCCCTCCTCCTTCCGGTGGTACTCAAAGATATATTCCTCCTCGTGCTCGTGGTGCTGCAGCTGATAGTTCCCGAGACTCCCTACCTCCATCTAGAAGCGGAAGAGGAGCCTATGTTCCTCCTAGCAAGCGCCAACAACAGCAGTAAGTTGCTTACTGTCTTCATGGTTGAATAAAAATATAGTAGGGCTTAATAGTTATCTCCTTGTGGAGATGGAATTTTGAAATATTAAGATGCAGAAGTAATTTCTGTTTATTACTATACTAGGTTTGAATCAAATCACTGATACATTAATATTTAAAGCATTCAGATTTAGTATCAATTCATAATGTGTAGAATTATGACTGTAACATCCCAAATAGTATCATACTTAGTGCTGTGGACTGAAGCTGTTAAGTCGGCTTATATTTTGCTATATAAATTGCATAAGCCAGCTTTAAACAGTTATTTTATAGTAAGATAAAATTAAATTGATTGAAAGTTAGTTACTGTAAGCTAAATATCATCTTGTAGAAGTCAACGTCTAAGTTCCTTGATTCTCAAGTTCGAAAAATTACCAGTCAGGTTACCATGTTCCGAAGTACAAAGAGTAGAGCAGTAGAGAGAAATAGAAATTTTGCAAGAGATATATCGACAAATGTTACTTACCCTACACGATTAAATTTTTACTTGAACCCACCGTATGAGGAAGTTAGTATAGAGGAATTTGAAACATGGGCAATTGATCGACTTTATGGTATGTGAAATGTGTTTGCTAATGTATTTTATTTTTTTTCTTCTATAAAAATTGAAATAGCTACTAACTCTACTGGGAAATAGTGCTGGGTGAAATTGAATCTGCCCTTTTCCGAAATAAGGCAAAAAAAGAACTAGATGTGATTATAAAGCGTGTCGTTGATAAGCACTTGCCTATGAGCAGTAATATGGCCAGAGTTGTCAAAGGATCAGGCCTGGACGAAGAACGTAGGAAGGACCATTATTCTCATTTCATTTTGCGGTTAGCATTTAGTAGATCGTAAGTGGCAGCTGTTATTGAGGACTATGAGAAAGGAATGGTTCATATGAATTTTACAATAGACGCCCTAGTGGATACATTGAAGTTAGGGTGTCTGCTTATATGGTCCATCGTTTGCTTTCTACAATGCTAGTAAACAACTCACCTCTTTTTTTTTTCCATAAAATTTCTTACTTTCCAATGTTTTTATTTTATTAACCTTTACAGTGAGGAATTGAGGTATCGGTTTCTTCGAGCTGAATCTGCTCTTTTCAAATATAGATTCATCAACGAAGAGGCCAGAGAGCGCCAACAATTCGTTGATAGTCTTAACTTTCAATGGAATGCAGTTTCCAAAGAAGAGAAAAGCCAGTACTTAAGTAAAATTCAAGCTGCCTGTCAACGGAATGTCGAGAACGAGTCCTTTTTTAAAGTACCTTTTATGAAGGTACCAGATTTGGTTGAAAGGAGAGCTGTTTTTGTTCATAAAGGGTTAGCATATGTTCCGTTTTCCGAACAAATCAGTATTGTCATCGAGGAATTCGAGAAAAATTTGAAAATATCGCTCGAAAATACAGCCAAAGCTTTACCGCGGTTAGATGAAGATGATCGTCTTTTACCAATTCTAAATCATCTCAGTAGAGGATTTGTAGTACCAGAGGTATCCGTCTCTACAGCCAAGCCTGGCGAAGTTACCGCAGATCAGGTTGATAGTCTGGTACCGCACTTTCCTTTGTGTGCAAGACATCTTCATAATGTGTTACGGAAGGAAAAGCATCTTCGTCACTTTAGTCGTCTTCAATACGGCCTATTTTTAAAGGTATTTTAATTTCAATTATCTTTGCTAATATCTAGGACATTGGTTTATCCGTTGAAGAAGCTCTCATTTTTTGGAAACGTAGCTTTTCAAGTGTTAATGATGATAAATTTAATAAGGAGTATCGCTACAATATTCGCCATTCTTATGGTTTGGAGGGCAATAGGAAAAATTACAAGGGCTACAGTTGTCAGCAAATTTTGACAGGTCCACAGCTAGGGCCTGGCGATGCTCATGGCTGTCCTTATCGAACCTACTCGCTCGATAATTTGGTTACGGCTTTAAGCACACTAGGCATAACGCCAGATTCGTCTGGTTGTCGAGAAGTAGTTGATGCCGTCAAAGGTCGGCATTATCATATTGCATGTACACGTGTCTTTGAGTTAACTCACCCACAGAAGGGTAGTTTGGAAGAAAGCATTCACCATCCTCTTCAATATTATCAGCTCAGCACTGAACGTCAGTAAAGGCAGGGCTAAATGAACCCTAACATTTTATGAAATAATAACAAGGGACACATATGGATAACAGCAACAGCCTTTACCGCTTCATTCACCATACATTCGTTCTATATAATGGGAGCATACTTTTTCATAAGTCAAATTCTCATAATCTACGTATAAATTACAAGCTTATATATATATTGATAAGAATCATCTAGAATAAATCGTAGCAAGCCGTTTCTAACATTTACTTTTTTTTTGTTCACCAGTATGTGATAGATTTAAACTACTCATCATCATCAAAGGGGTATTCGAAATCCTCAGGAGGTGGGGCCTCTTGCTCTGAAGAATCAGTAGCACTAGCCTGTGGAGTAGGAGCATCTCTGTTCAATTCAATCAAATCTGGGGCTTTGTCGGACTCGCGATCGATTAACATCAATACACCACCAGTAAATTTACGAACTGGATAGTATCTTCCATTAGCATTGAACGAAATGTATGGTAATTGAGCAGGTACCACGCGAGTAAAATTCTCTAAAACTTCACGCTTCGGTTCCTCTTTCTTTGCTGGTTCAGATTTAGTAACGTCCTCGGGTTTCTCCTCATCAATTTCCATAGCATTGTTGTCTGCTTCTGGTTCTTCGGGTTTCTTCTCAACCTTCATTTCATCTCCCGTCTCTTTGGCTTGTTTTTCACGTTCAGCACGCTTCGCCCTTGCCTTAGCTTTAACTGTGGTTGATAAAACAGCCGTCTCAACCTTCTGGACGGCCTTTGCAGCAGGTTGGACAGTCTTAGGGGGATAAGCAAACAGCTTAGGCTTAGCATTGGAAACGAAATTAAACTTAGGAGCATCCAAGTTCTGATTTAAACCAATAAGCGCAGTCGGAGAGAAAGAAAGGGACATAAAATGAGTTAAGGGGAACCAGTACCAATATTGTAAGAAAACGGTTAAGCCAACAATGGCGGAAAGTCTCAAACTACCAGTAGCAGTTTGAAGAGCAATTGTAACGTTGCGACCACCAGCATCAATAATACCTTGAGCTAATGTAGCACCCAATTTGGCCAATGCATCTTCGTGCTTCTCGTTGACGACTTGTTCAAAATGCTTGCGAACTCCAGAGACCTTTGTGTTTAGTTGTTCATTATGTTGGGTAAGAATCATTGCTTGAGCAATCATGGCACCCTGGCGAACAAAGTCGGTAGCATCTTCAACCAATCGACCAAGTAACTCCAAGGCTGCATTGGAACCGGAATTAGCACATGCAATACCAAGAGCAATTGCACTTCCGTATCTGACATGAGGATTGTAACTGTCAACAAGTAGTTCAATAGTAGAGATTAAGACCGAAGAATCTTTACAGCAAATAAAACCTAACGCACAAACAGCAACACGTCGAACGTCATCGTTAACATCGCTAACAGAAACATGAAGAAGTTTGCGAATAATCTTACTGTTACCAGTACCGCAGTAAGCTAAAGCAGTGGCAAACATACCACCATAACGAAGAACAGGGTCAGAGTCAGCGTTAAGTTGTTCAATTGTACCATCAGCTTCTTGTTGACGACCATAAACAATCAAAGCAATACCAACACTAAGTCCACGAATAATCTTCTCATGTTGTGTTTCATGAGCATATTGCAGCATCTCATCGATGGCGGTCGATGATGCACTACCGAGCATGATAAGACCCATGGAAATACCAGCAGCAGAGCCAGCAACAGCGTTATCGTTGAAAAGCACGGTCTTAACAGCATCATAAAGTCCTTCATCACGGCTAGCCATACCCGTGAGACCCAAACCAAGTATGAGACCATATTGAACAGTTTCGTCGTCAGAACGCTTCAATTGCTCACGTAAATATTCAGTAACACCACGACCATGGTTTGCATTTATCAAACCCATGGCGTAATAAGCACCACCCTCGGAATAAACAGAACTCGAAGGAGCATCCTCTTCAGGTAAATAAGGACGGAGAATATTCATAGCTTGGTTATAATAGCCTCTGTGAATAACTCCGAGAGCAGCAGTGGCTGTGAACTTTGCCCAGTTGTTTGCTTTAGACAACCAAGAAAGATTTTCACGGAAGAAGTTATCATAAGAGGTTCCAAAATTCATGAAGGCATTTGCAAAGGTAACGGCATTATGGAAAATCGAATTTCTAGATTCTAAAGAATCCTTTGTCTTATTTAAAATGAGCATATCCGTATTGTTGTGGGAATACAAAAATTCACGATGATATTTGACGGTTTGTTCTCCAGACAAAATATAATGAATTCGAGAGATTGGTGAAGATTCATCAATCTGTGTGTTTTCGGGTTCACCCTCAGCATTTGAAGAAGTAGGAGCAGGTAAGAGATCTATAACGCTGTTTAAAAATTCCTGAGGAGCAGAATCTTCTAAATCAAAAGCGAGTTGATAGGCAGTCAATAAGTTCTTGTCATCACTTTGCGAGGATAATTTCATTAAAAGCTTGGCAGCAACGGAAGCGTCATTTAAATGAACTACACACTTTCCAACAGAGAAATAGTCTGGTTCGGCTTCTACCAAAAAGGAGCTCAAAAGCAAACGCAATAAACGATTGCGAAATTCAATATCGAGAACGACAGTCAATACCAATTCAAGGACATATGGTTTTAAATCATCATTCTTGGCAGTATTTAAGATATGTTCAACTAAGTCAAGACGATGAGCCTCGATGGCAATACCCAAGACATGTCGCCATTCCTTATTGGCATAGCATTTTTGAAAAATTCCTTCTACGACACCACTCAAGCGTTCATCCATAGGCTCGAGCTCATAATTAATATAACGTTCTGAGCTTTGTTGAATAAAAGTATCGATGCACTTGAAAATAAGAGTTTCCTTAAAGCTGCTGTTTTTGTCTTGTAAGAACTTTGTGCCAGAGGCCAAAGCGAATTGAAGGGCTTCGTCGTATTCACCCAGGTAATAATAGACCTTTGAAACCACTAAAGCAGCCAATTCCCGTTCAGGAAAAGCGCGATCTTCATACATAACTTCAATTTTTGTAACATCGTCAGAAATCTCAGGCCATAACTGATCTATAAATTCGTAAATCTTTAACAATGCATGTATCTGTAATTCTTTTTCTTGTTCATCCAGCAGGGACATTAAACCACCTTTGAAATCGTTAGCTTTTTCTTACTTTCATTAGATAATTAACCATCATACCTGCTGATGTAACAATAGAGGTGCTTTCTGGATACACCGTAGTCATTTTTAATTAAAAATTATCCTGTCTTGCAATGTAAAAAGGAAATGCAACAGCAGGCGGTATTTCGTTGTTGGATAATTGTTTAGGTCCGGTCATTTGGGCGAGGATTCTAATGTAGTAAGGGTAGGGATTATTCTTAAGCCTTCTACGAATCTTAGTATTATATAACCGTAGCGATTTTATTAATTGTAATATCATATTAGAGTGTCGATATTGGAAGGGGTCTTTATAATGGAAAGAAATTTTACTTTCAGTGATGTCTTCAAAAAGTATGTATTATGAAATTGTTAGGAAAGGCATGTTGTACAAAGATTTGAAACGACTGTCTTTCGCACAGTATGGAAACTCATGAAAGCGTTTGCGTACGTCAGTCTTAAGAGGTAGCATAAGTATAATGGCAAGTTAGTTGCATTGGCATATACTTATATTATTTCTTTCATTTCGATACATTCTGTATGCAAAAGGTGTCTGATGATGTGCTAATGAAAGATGATATTTGTTGCGAAGCATCATGGAATTTATTTTCCATCAAAAGTGTAAAACTAAGAAGGAGCTTTTAAGCATATGAATTTCTTTTCTATTTAAAACACCAAGACTAGGGTGAGAAGCAGAATACGTCGTATCCATTGTGTTTCTGTTGGTGGATGCTTTTTGTCAACAACAACAAAAGCTACGAGAATGAAAGTAAAGAAATAAAATTGACTGCTAGTAAATATTTAATTGGTTTTATTCGATTTACTTTTATCAATGGAATTTTGATCATCTACTATTCTAGTCCATGACGATTTAACGGCCTTGGTTATTAATAATTGTGTTCGATCATTTCATTGAACATAAATTATTTTAACTTTTTTTAATATTCTAATCCATAGGAAATTTGTAATTGCTGGAGGCCTGCTGCGTTGAACTATCTATGGTTTATGGTGTAAGTATGTATACATAAATAAAGGGCTGCAATTACAACACCAACTGCCGCCGCGACTGAAAGGCTGCTTCTTGAAAATTAGGCATCTACACCTTTTATTTCACCGTTTAAGCTGTATTTATTTTGCATTCAGGATATTTAACCTGACTTGATTTTAAAGAGTGCTTGTAGTGGATGCCTAAGCATCAATCCCTCTAATTCTCTTTTCATTCTCTATTACAGTGCAAAGTTTCGAAGCTGAATTCAAAAAGATGACAGACTTGCGAAGAAATCGTTACTCTATTTCTGCAGGAGTAGGGAAATCCACATACGATTCTTTTGGACGATTTTTAAACTCTCCGAGAAAGCCTTTTCCTAGTAAATTTGACAGCGAAAATGAACGGACTGGGTTCGACTTTCCTTGGACGCCTTACGGTTTAGATTGGTTAAAACAAGAAAATAGCACAAAAGAATGGGTAGCCGTAGGAAGTTTGATTGAAGAACCCGCAAACAAGGTAAGTCGTCCGAAAGGTTCTTGGAACTATACATTGCTCGCTTATAACAGATAAGTAACCAAATTCTAGATTCAAATACTTAACGTATCAAATGAAGGAACTGGAAAACCTGAAGTAAAAAAGTCGCTTTCAACGGCAAACGATTTGGAATATCCCGTTACCAAATTAATGTGGAACCCACCTTCTTTAAGTTCAAATGACTCTTCGAAACTATTGGCGTCGACTGATCAAAAATTGAGGATTTGGAATGCGCCAATTGATTCAGAAAGCACTGGCTCTCTTAAGTGCGAAGCTGCTTTGTCTACGGTACGTATACGAAGGCATCTTTCGTCAGTCACTAACGTAGCTATTAGAGTGGAAAGACTCACAGTAGTGCTCCTTTGACGTCGTTTGATTGGTGTAAAGCAGATCCATCTCTTATAATTGTCAGTAGCTTAGATACTACATGCACTGTCTGGGATGTGGCCGCTCAACAATCGAGAACCCAGTTAATTGCTCATGACAGAGAGGTTTACGACGTTGCATTTATCAAAGATAGTATGCATGTATTTGTGAGTGTGGGAGCTGATGGAAGTGTACGAATGTTTGATTTACGGTATGTTTGTACAAGTTAAAAGTAGAAGTGCCGATGATTTTTCTAACATATTAGTTCTCTCGAACATTCTACGATTATTTATGAAGGAGACAGCAGTCATTGGAAGCTCACGGGAGATGGAAACAGCGGCCCTGTTAATGTTTCCAGACCTTTAGTAAGACTAGCTACATGTGACGCTGATGCCAATTTGATGGCTACTTTCCATCATAAATCATCAGACATACAAATGATTGATATTCGAGCTCCAGGGACAGCATACACAAATTTGAGCAGTCTCCGGGGAGGAGATGTAAATGCGGTAAGCTGGATGCCAAATTCGCGAAGCAAGCTAGCTTCATGTGGCGATGATAGCATGGTACATGTTTGGGACTTGTCGCGTCCTTTAACCACAAGCGGAACACCAGCTCGCCGGGGATCAAATTCGGTTACGCCATCTGGTTCAACCGCACCTATATCAGAATACGGTACACCAGTGACGACTGCACATTCCACTGGGTCTTCAACAGAAAACCGATTTTCTCCTATTGGTTCTTGGAAGTTTGAAAGCGAAGTCAACAATATATCTTGGTCCGGAAAGCAAGATTCGATTGCTGCCTTGTACGGGAAGTATGTTCTATTTGAGAGTCAAAAGTACAATTGCTAATCATGAGTTTAGATCTCTAGAGCTGTTCTCACTGTAGTTTTATAGCCGAATATAACAGTAACTGTGCAGAAGACAACACACTCTTAGGAGCAGACATTACAAAATCCCAAAGCAGCTCAAGGAAAAGTGTTAACACCCAAGTGGATTTATGAAAAACTATTTGAACGAAACTATAAAAAAAGGTGAAAAAGGTGAAAAAATAAGCGAAAACATTTACTTCTTGATTAGTTTTTCAACAAACTCTTTCCCTTCTTTCTCATGTAACAATATTACGCTATTTCTATTGTCTCTCGATACGATAATGATTATAACTACCTGAAATAAATTGGTTCGCCCAGTTCTTTCTCGCAAACACACATATCAAGACCGTACGTAATTTATTAAACTTTATTACCGTAAACTCATGCGCATCATTAACTTCAGGTGAGCACAATTTTCCGAGTAGCACACTAAGCAGATATTCTGTAAATACATACTCCTGCGTAAAATCTATCTATGCCATCGTTTCGATTCGTAAAACAAAACAAGCTACATCGCTCAACTACGCAATTTCCTAACATCCTCCATAGAACCCAAGTCACTACACTAAGGTAGGAAAGAGGCACACACTATCAAGAATCAGTCACAAAGCAGTCTTCCGTTGTGACGTTGCTTTCATGGAGTATAAAAGGAAATTGGATTTTTCTTGAAAATGTTTACGAAAAACGAAAAAGTAGAGTCATGCCGCGTGTTACAACGTAAACCGATAGTATAGAGAACTAGTTGATACGTGAACTTTTACAAGAGCAGCCTCTTACTCCTATACCGTCGGAAAGCAAGAGAGAGAATGCTTTCTAGCCGTCTCTCGTTGTCATTGTCGATAACTGAGAGCAATGTGAAGTAAAAGAGCATGGCTTTCTTTGTTTGGAGAACTTTGAGAGTCTTCTAGAGCACGCGTTTTTGCTACTGTCTAGCAAGAACACCTTGCCTAGCCTTTCTTCAACTGCATGCCTTCAAGTGTTGATGATGTTATGTAATCCGCGGGAATAGCGCACTTGTTTATACTACAATAACATAGTGCATCGACGAACGGAAAGCTCGTTTAAGGACGACGAGTGCTGTTCGTTATTTTGAATAAGATTAGCTAGAGAGAAAACCCAATAACATAACCGGGGAAGGTTGGAAATAGCCGCGGAAGTTCCTAGGGAAGAATTAGCCACTTCACATGTTTGGAGAAGGGATCCGTTTCCTAACTACACAAACAACAAGAATCAGATTGGAAGCATTTTCAGTCTGCTAAATCCCTAAGGAAATATATATGCGTGGAGAAACCCAGAATGACTGAAGACGGATTGACAAAGCTTAACCTGGAGGCATTTTTAGGAATGTCTGGGAACACCCAGGAGCTGTTGGATTCGCTCGGTCTTTCAGCCATTCCGGACTTATCCAACTTGGGAACTTTAAATAATAATAATAATTCTCCTTTGTCCTTTGATCCAAATGATCCATCTGCGGCTGCATTCTACATAGCTCAACAGGTATGCTAAAATTTTTAGTCCACCCGAAAGTTTTCTGTTTACTTCGGTTCTTGGGCGCAAGTAGTCTTGAATCATGTTTTTGTCTATATGTTTGTTTTGGATTGTGTTTTGTAATTCGTTTCTTCGATACATGCCCTCTTTGCAAACAAACTGAAACAAAAACATTGATTTAGGGACATGCAACCTTTACCATGGATTACCAACCTCAATGTCGCTTGGTTGGCGTCTTTTTTCATTAGTTGAATGATTCTGACCACTGTACAAACAGGTAGCTGCCATTGAGCATCCACCTCCTCCGAGGAAGATGACTTCCTCGGAAAAAACGCGTTCTGAGAATCGTGAACGGAAAAAGCGTTGGAGGGAACAAAATGAAGAGCGTAACAAAGACAATGATTTGCGTTGTCGTGTTAATAAAAAAGCCAAAAAGCTTTTTGGCGGCGAGCCGAGTATCGAAAAAACGAATTGGATCGAGGCTGAATTCAACCGCCGTCATTCAAAGCGTAAAGAGAAAGAGCGCGCATCGGCTCAAAACAATACGAGCAATGGAGTCTCTCGTTCCAACTCCCAAGGTCTTTTACCGGATTTAGATTTGTTGGCTACCAATTCTTCCGCCAATGCCGTTCTTCAAGGGTCCGCTATTAACAATGCGCTCAGTGCTTTGGCAAAAGACCCCAATCTTATCCATAATCTTTTAACCCAAATGGACTTTGATCCATCCAAGAAAAATGATTTAAGTCTTGGTTCTTTAAATGATGTAGTTCCAAATTCTCAAATTTCTCAGCCAGAACATGAGTTATCTGCTCTTCAGGAGCATAATGAGGCACATGATGCCGCTATGCGTCAGTTTGAACTTGAACGCCAACAAAGTGCCATCCTACCCGGTTTGAATTCTATTGATGGTTTACAAACTTTGCCTAATCTCGATTTTACCGACCCAAGTGTCACAGGTGTACAAGGTCAACCGCAAGCTCCTTTGCATCCTTTGATTTCCCAAGCCGACAATCATTCCATTTTTTCTGCTCTTTCCGATAATTCTACTCCTACCAGCATCGCAGACCCTAGCTCCGACTTCAATATCTCCCAGGTAATGCCTCTTGATCTTCTTGCGCCCTCCATCCATGCTTCAACGGTATCATCGCCAGTTTCTGAAGCGCACCTTAACTTCCCTCCAGCAGATCTTTCTCATCCCAGTCTTTCTAATCATGATTCTTCTTTGCCTATGCGTCCGAGATCCCAAGCTCGTGATAAACATCGTGCATTCCCATATTATAGCAAACGACAGGCCGTTACAACACCATCGTCGCCGTATCATACGAATGCCACTACTTCTCCACAACTATCTCCTGTCGATTTTTCCTCACATACACTTAGCCGACCACAATCTCCCCCCTCTTTTCCTTCGTTTGGTGAAGTTACTTTACCACCCATTCCTAAAACCGACGCTTCAGCAGACATAACTCCTCCTCAGTCAGCTTCTAGCTCATCAGCGTCGGAAAAATCTCATGCTCTTGGTTTTCCTCCACTACCTGGTCAAAAAATTGAGTTTCAACGGTCCTCAAAAACTAATAAACAAAGGGAAATGAATTAATATTAAGCTTTCTAAGCTACATTCCGTTATTCGTTTGTGTATAAACTTAATGATGATTTGGGATATATGGATGATATGCTACCATACCAATCCTGCGTTTGTGTGTAAGGTTACAATTGGGAACCATTGGAAGTGTTGAATTTGGAGTGTATTATTTGTTTGAATAGAAACTCCTTGCTTTTGTTATATTCTCTAATTGGACATTCTGTTGAGGTTATATTCTTTGCTATTCGGAAGTCTAAAAGGCATTCAACTCAACTGAATTTAAGGAAGAGCCCAAAACAGCTGTTGCTTATGCTTTGCATTTGCTTTCTAGTCATTGCCAATTTTGGTTGCTTATGTGTGTTTTCTTGTTCTTATGTTTTTTGGGGGTTTATCGGAAAGCAAACAGGTTGAATTTGACTAATAAAAAGTATTGGATTGGTCACAAAGTGATGGAAACTGAGGCTGTTGAAAGAGGTTTGGGTTCATTCTAAATTCTTCTCTTTCGTGACGCTGTTCGTTATATTATCTTTTGTTTACTGTTTTGTTAAAGGACTATTTCTAAAATGTGCAAATTGAATTCTCTCTTGCCACTATTACTTTAAATGTAATGTTTTTAGTTTGATTTTTTTAAGGAGTTATATTACACAGGAAGTCTTCCATTTTCTTAATACTTCGTTGGTGTGATAAGCTGATGGTTAATGCTTTTTACAATGGAAGACTAATAATAAAAATTTTATCATTGGTGTTATTTTATTTCTTTTGTTTTCGTGCTGTAATTTGTTTGGATTTCCATAATCCTTGATCCTTGTAATTCATATATGCATAGTATAACGTTGCGTAAAGTTAATTATTTTCAATTTGCAACAGTAGGATGATTGAATTAGAGCAGGCATTTTCTCATTCCGATTGATGGAATTTTAGTAATGTATTCAAGTACGCACTAGATACATTCAACCAAAGCACATATTTGGGGCAAACATAGAAAACTCCTACAAAGAGAATGTCTTTTCAGCTTTCAGCTCCAGTACCCTTAAGTGATGATTCAGAAAGTGTATTGACCAAGACAATTGGCGAGTCGTTGAAAGTTGAGGGTGATTTGTCGCATGTATTTGAGGTGGACAAAACTGTCGACTTCATACGCTCGAATGGCTATAAGTCTGTAAGTCTATAATATTTTTTTTAAGCATTTATGAATTATATATGGTAACTCGCTGTTTCAGTTTGGCTAACAGCAATTTGGTTTAGGTAGCATTACAATTTCCTGATGAACATCTTGCAGATGCTGGCCGCGTAGCTTCTTTGATTTCCGAACAAGTGGATGCCAATGTTCAGGTACTTGCTGATACAAATTATGGAAGCTGCTGCGTTGATGAAGTAGCTGCTGAACACATGTTTGCCGATGCCATTGTGCACTATGGAAGAGCATGCCTTTCTCCGTATGTCGATAGGGTATAGAAGAAATTATCTAACTTTTAATTTAGCACATCCAGACTTCCCGTTTTGTATGTGTTTGGAAGACTACCAATTGATGCGAATAAAATGGTTACCAATCTTACCGACAAGTTCGATCTTGACAGTCCAATGTTGATCGTTAGTGATACCCGGTGGTATTATTGTCAAGATACTATTATTCAAAGATTGAAGGAAGCTGGTTTTAAAACCATCATTCCATCCACATTAGTCAAACGAGAGGAACCGGATTTAGAAGTGGAAGCCTGTACGACCATCCCAGGACGTCTTTTTCGTTTACCAGAGAATATCTCACTAGGTGATGTTTCTTTAATCTTCGTAGGACCTGACTCTCCTACGTTAACGTCCATATTGATGTCCCATTACTCAATTGTTAAGGACTTTTGGTCCTTCGATCCTATCAAGGGAAAATTAACTGAAGAATCTTCCTTTGGTGGCACCAAACTTCGTAGACGTTATGCTTTGGTACAAAAATGTCGAGATGCGGGTGTGATTGGCATAATCGTCGGCACTCTTGGTGTTTCGAATTATCTGAACGTTTTAGATAGACTTCGGAAAATGATTCTTAATGCTGGTAAAAAACCATACGTGTTGGCTATTGGAAAACTGAATCCTGCAAAGTTGGCGAACTTTCAAGAAATAGAGTGTTTTGTTTTAATAGCTTGTGGTGAGAATAGCTTAATTGATAGTAGGGTATGGATTTTTTTATTGATGATTTTGTACTGACAAGTTTAGGACTTTTACCGCCCAATCGTCACTCCCTTTGAATTAATGAAGGCGCTTTCATCTGATACTTCATGGCTAAATGAATGCATACTATCCTTTGATCGTGTTCTATCATTAACGGAAGAACAAGAAAATATGCCAGAAAATACCGTACATGAAGAAAGTGAAAGCCCTCATTTTAGTCTTGTCACTGGAAAGCTTGTTAATGCAGCGCCCATGAGGCATATAGAGCTTTCCCTCGATAACGATGAAAATAGCAAGGGACAGTTGAACGAAGATGGGTCTAGCTCTGTTCAAAAGCGTTCTAATTGGGATCTTACAGTTAATGGTGTATATTCACCAGCGGCCGCGTACCTTCAGTCACGCTCGTGGAGTGGTCTAAGTAATGTTCCCGAGGGGGCTTCTCCAAGCAAGCTTTATCAAGGGCAAACAGGCATTGCCAAAGGATATGTTGGTGAAGGTAATAAAGAGGATAAACTTAATGAGGAATCCTCTGATTGAAAATTTATTTTGGTTTAGACTATATACCATTTTTGTGCAGGCATTACAAAAGGTAATAATTATTGGAAAAGGTAGGATAATTATAGAAACAGATGGCCTACACTGTGGGTTTCACTTATAGGTTAATGTTACAAATATTTCTTTTACATGATACTATAGATTCTCAGTAGAAAACTTTCAAATAACCAAACCAGAAATGTGTAACTAGGCATTAAAACGAAATAATAAAAGTAGACGAAGAGTAATGTAAATCTATTTTATATGGTTACGAGCAAACTCTACGCATTCCTTCAACTTGTCGACTTGTATAAAAGAACCACCTAGTTTTGTAATTTTCGAAATGTTTTTGGAAGTGTCCATCATTATAGTAAGGAATTCGTTTGACAAAGATACCTCTTCATCTGTTGGATCTGCCAATAATATGTTGTTGAAAACAGACCAAGAAAAAGAAAATAACTTCGTGCTAAGTTGAACTGGTCGAGTGAGATTAGACGCACAGACAACCTTTTCTAAATCTTCATCCCAAAGAGCAGTAGGAAGCTTGGTTGTTTCTAAGGCAGACATTAAAGCAGTCCAAGCATGATCGAAAGCATTACCATCATAATTCAAGCAGACGATGTCGGCATATAAGACCCAGACGGCTTTCTTTTCGTGAATGCAGAGTGAATGAAGATGTATTAATTTCGTCCTAAAAAATTGTTAGCAGAAGTTGAAAATCTTTTGAAATATTGAAATATTGAAAATTACTTACTTGATCAAAATTTGATATAATTGCTGGGAAATTACTTGAGCCAAATCAGAAGGAGGGCCGGGCTTGAATTTAGAATTGCAAAGGGGGCCTAATTCCACATTAGGAACAATAAAGCCTTGATCGGGTGCATCGGCAGTGGGTTCAGCAATTTCTGCTTTGATGCCGCAAACGAAAACATTTTCACCAGCACGAACAATAGCACTTCCGTTAGCAGTAGATATACAGTCAGTATGAACTTGAGGTTCACGGAATTCTGTTACTGTTCTTCCGTCTGAACGTATATTCTGGTCTAGCAAATGCGACAAGTATTGATCAGGCGCTATTTTTTTGAAAATCCTATATATCAATTGTTATTACAAGATCAGGAAAAAACTCGCCAAGCAAGCAAGAGATATGGATGAATTACTTACGAGGGTGTAAACGAAAGCTGCTTCACGTCGCTCATTATGTGTTATTGTCAAAAGAGAAGTTGTTGAGTTAATCGCTGAAAACTGAGTGCAAAATCCCCCAAAAAAATAAATAAATGTCTAGCCTTTTTAATTAAAAAAATAAGATCTCCAAAAACCGCCTAAGATGTACAAATCCCGGGCGATATAATTTGCGTCTAGGACTTGCAGTTGTCTGTGATGGAGAGGGCATACCTAAATGTGTATGCTTGCCCCCAGGACCGTTAAAACGAAAAAGAATAGCAATGAAATAAAATGAATTAAATTAAATTGAAGGAAAAAAATCGTTAAAGGGAGTCATTCATCTTGGTCTCCAGAGGTTAAAGATTTACGCTCTACATGTCGTGAACGGTGAAGAGTGTTTACGCTTACGGATATATTTTCATCTTTCCATTCAATTAAGTAAATTTGTTTTCTTTGGTTTTGAAGATATTTCATTGGTAGTGTCCTTGACTTGCCTCCGAATTCTTATTTTTTTTGTTTGCAACCAAGCTCTCACCAAAAGAAACTTGCAAAGACTGCAGTTTGACAGCACCGGCCGATTTCACTGAGGTTGGGCTTATTAAACAGTATGCTATGCGCGATTTTGATACACCGCAGTTAGAGGAGAGAGAGGAACGTGAAGGATCTCCTAGTGAGTATGAAGAAGAACCTGTTGTAGAAAAACCATCTCTTTTGCAGAGTGAAGTAGGAGCATACAAGGAGATTATATCAAACTTGAAACAAGAAACAAGAAATGAATTAGCAGTTCAATTATACTTCGTCCATGAGAGTCTTAAAAATCGAGGACAAACACGAAACGGGAATGATGGTAATGTGGAGGATAAAGATACGAAAACTCCAAGAAAATATTGGACGGTTTGGCCTACTAGGGAATCAACGTTCTTGGAACAGAATTCTCCCATTACGGGAGCTTTTCGCTTTCGTCAGGAGGCAGCAGCTTTAGCTATTCGTATTGCCTCACATAAACTTCAAGCCATGAAAAAAGTTCCTTCTTCAGATGAATATCCAAATGCAATGATGCTTCGAAGACTCGCTGCAATGCTTCAGCAAAAACTAGAATGTCTGCTAGATGCCGTGGACTCGTTTCGTCAACAACAGAGGAGTCGTTTGATGCAAGAGCGTTTAGCATATATGGATTGGCAAGTTGTTTACGGCCTTGCGAAACTCACCCGGGGTGCATTTTCATGCACGAAACAAGATTCGATAGCTCTAGAAAAAGCAACAAAGCAGTGCCAGCGTGTGTTTAAAGCTGATCTGTCACAAATGAAGTATTCAGAGGATAGAGAATCTGAATCCCCAACTCCAGATGAAATTGTTCCATTGGAGGACGAAGATATGATCCAACGGATCTTGGATACAATTGAGGAACAACTTCATTCACCAGAAGAACATGAGCACTAGATACTGTTGAGCGACGTGGGGATTACTGTTTTATGTTTTATTTTGGTATACAATGCAGCATTTGTACATTAACTATTTTTCTCTTACCGCTCGTATGAATGATAGAAATAGCATTTTCGAGCTTGTATATCTAACAACTTGGAAACAATGGCCTCTACCAACGCCTAAATTTTTGTAAGTATATTATTTTTTTCTCTATAAATTCACAGCAATTCACAGCTTCATACAAATTGCAAATGTAAGCCGTTTCTTTTCTCTGCTATTACTAGTCATTGTAATCGCACAAATAAATATCTTCTTGTGATTCTTCGTTTATAGAATATCATCTTAAGGACGCATTGAATTTTTCTGCTTTGACTTGTGGAGAGGTGGGGGTCTCCCTAAGAAAACCCGACCGCGACATTTAATCAAAGCAAACCACAAAGCGACGAGAACTTCCTAAAAACAAAGATATTGACGGTTTGATCTTGGAAAAGAGGCCAATTTCTAAAAACCAGAAGTTGTCTTTATGTCGTTCGTAGATGGAGTCAACAGTTGGTTCTCGGCCGGTTCTTATTGGGATGGTCTCGGTCCGACCAACGTTTTTCAGTCAGATGATAATGCTGCCTTTGTAAGTCAATACGAAGAAATTGAATTGGCATCCGACAATTTAATGAAGAATGGAATGATGGCCCCGCGAGCTCGAAAAAGCAGCTTCGCAGCGACGAACGACCCTTTCTCCACCGCGTCTCTTAGTGAAGCTTTAAGTAGCAGTATACCAATGAACCACAATGTAGGCGGTGGTCTATTAAGAAATGCGCTTTCGAGTACTCCCAATGGAGCTTCGAATATGTTGGGGACGTCGCCTGCTGAACCCAGCATGCTCGTTGGTTCCGCCAATCATTCCTCTGGCTTTGGAACATCGTTTCCTGGAAGTACTTCATTAGGAGGAAATACGGGCTCTTCTCTTTTACATCCTCGTCGATCGGTGACCTCTCTCTTATCAAGCAGTGCCCATCATCATCCCCTCTCATCATTTGTCGATTTGGCTGCTCCTGGTAGGTCTTCGTTTTCTTCGTCAACGGTTGGCGGAAGTAGCCTTCCCAACTTTGGCCTTTCTAGCATGCCTCCTCCTTCTGCATTGCGGACGTCGAAGCAGCCTTCGCCATTTAACTTGTTGGAAACTACGTCGAATAGCTATAATCCGTCTTCCTCTTTTATGGACTCGGTAAACTTGGAGTCGCTGCCAGTACCGACGGCACGTCGTCGTCCATCTTCCATAGCTCCAATCGGAACACGTCCTATGAAGAAGGATCTTAACTTTTCATCCAGCAATGGCTCTGCATCGACCGATAACACCCTTCGTCCACCAAATCCTCCTCTTACTAATGGTAATGCTACTCCCATAGCCGCTGTGAACAAGGTTTCTGCTGTTGCAGCCTCTCCTCAAACGACTGGTTCGTCTGCTTCTTCTTCTCTTCCTACTTTAAGCTTAGATTTTAAGCAAGAATACAGTGGAAATAATCAAGACATGTCCGGTTTGTCATCCTCATTGTCCAAGTCGCATCATTCTTCCGTTGCTTTGGGCTCTCAAATATGGTCCTCTCCTCCTGCCAGCTCCGTAGGCGGTGTCAATGTTTGGTAAGCAAGCGTTGTATCAAATGCGGTGGTTATTCCTTTACTTAGAAAATTTAATTAGGAGTGGAATCCTTATTGACTATAACGAACCGTAAAAGGAGCACTAGTATTCATACCGCGTTTTAAAAAGATGCAGATGGTTTTCTATATTTCCTTTCAATGAAGTGGAGGAGTCGTTATGAATCTTGTTCGCTGTTGTCATAGTGAATCTTTCTTTGCATGTCGCATACTGATTTTTTCGCATAGGATGGGAATTTTTTTGAATCCTTAAAATCTGATATCTGGTTATTCCTGTTAAGGTATATAAAAGGCTTTGGGTGAATGAGAATGTGGTTCCATAGATTCTTGGATCAGTGAATATGTTGTGAAGGGTTTTTTCTGCTTTTATTATAACCAACGTATATACTTACAAAAGAAGAAAAGAAAGAAAATTATAAAAAAAATAAACTTGGAAATAGAATACGGTGTTTCAATAGAGCTTTGGGCGTTTTCTATCTTTTTCTTCGGGGCAGGTCTTGTCAAGATAGAATGGAAATAGGGCAAAAAGGAATAAGTTTATTTGCTGTTTGCTTTGCAAAAAACGCTAGGGCATGGATCTCTTTGAAGTGGTTTTACTTTTCATTAGTGTCCACGCTGCACATAGGGATATATGTATGTTTATTAATATACTCTTAATAATTTAGTTTCTGTAATTTGATTTTTTTTGCTTCTATTCTTTTGTTTATGAACTATTTAATTTAGTATCCTTGTCTGTAAAAATACATCATTTTCATCGAAAGCTAGGTGAAGTTCTGCAATAATAATGGATTACACTTCTTGTCAATTGAGCACTTCTTATCTTACTTTCTGGTCCTTTCTCTTTCTCCTTATTATTTTTTTTTGTCTTTTTTTGAAAAAAAATTTTCATTTTCAACATTTTTCAACTTAGCATTGCTATAGTCCAACTGCGGTATTCGCAGAAGGCGATCCTTATAACTTTGCAACTCCCAGCATTATACCAAAAATTTTAAAAATGGGAAAACGCTCAATTAAAGAGGTTAAAGATACCGACTTGGAAAAGAAGGTGGAAGGAGAGAATGTAAAACCCAAAGAAAAGAAGAGCAGTAAGCACGAGCACAAGAAGCAAAAGAAAACGAGCGAGAAATCTGATAAGAAGAAGAAAGACAAGAAGGAAAAGAAAAGAAAGGAAAAATCTGAAGCAGAATCTACTTCTCAGGAGGGAGAAAGTAATGGTGAAGAAGAGAAGACAACCCCCAAACAGGATTCTTCTCAGTCTACCACAAACGAGGCTGCTCGCAAAGAGTATGCAAAGGAGCATGAAATCAACTATTTGGATCCTCTCTCTAAAACTCCGTTGTTGCCTTTATTGGATTTCTCTGAACTTCCAATCCACGATAATTTAAGATTGGGCTTAAAGAACTTTAAGGATCCTACTCCAATTCAAGCTGCTTCATGGCCTTATTTATTTGCTGGAAGAGACGTTGTTGGTATTGCTGAAACTGGTTCTGGTAAGACAGTTGCTTTTGGTATTCCAGCTCTACAGTATCTGCAAAATCTACCCAAAGAAAAGCCAACAACACGTATTTTGGTTGTAAGTCCAACTAGAGAATTGGCTATCCAAACATATGAAAATATTAAAGGTTTAACTTCAGATACTATGTTTAAGGTTGCTGTAGTTTACGGAGGTGCCCCAAAGAATGAACAAGTTCGCGCTGCTCGTGATGCTAGTGTAATCATTGGTACCCCAGGAAGATTGCTTGATTTAATCAACGACGGTGCTGTTGATTGTTCGAATGTTGGTTATTTGGTATTGGACGAAGCCGATCGTATGTTGGATACAGGTTTTGAACAAGACATTCGAAACATTATAAGTCAAACACCCGATCCTCTGAAGGGAGGAGCCCGTCAAACTGTCTTTTATAGTGCTACTTGGCCTGAATCTGTTCGATCACTTGCCGCTACCTTTTTGAAGGATCCCGTAAAAATTACTATTGGTAGTGATGAGTTGTCTGCTTCTCAAAATATCACTCAAATAGTAGAGTTGTTGAATGATTCCAGAGAAAAGGAAAGAACTTTAATTAATATTATTTCCAAGAATTTAGCTTCTGCTAAACAAGGAGATAAGATTTTGGTGTTTGTTTTGTACAAAAAGGAAGCTGCCCGAGTCGAAAATACCTTGGCTAGAAGATTTAATGCTGTAGGAATTCATGGTGATATGTCTCAAGGTGCTCGTATCCAAGCACTCGAAAGCTTCAAATCTAATAAATCACCTGTTTTGGTTGCTACCGATGTTGCAGCTCGTGGTCTCGATATCCCCAAGGTGCAACTTGTGATTAATGTCACCTTCCCATTGACAATTGAGGATTATATCCACCGTATTGGCCGTACTGGAAGAGCAAATACTAAGGGTGTTGCTCATACTTTTTTCACTCCTGAAGACAAATCTCATGCAGGTGAACTCATCAATGTTTTGCGTCAAGCTAAACAGGAGATCCCTGAGGGATTATACAAGTATGGCACCGCTGTAAAGCCCAAAGTAAACGCTTATGGTTCTCGTATCACAAATGATGCTCCTATGAAAGCAGCTACTAAAATTACCTTTGATTGAGCTTGATTTAGCAACAATTGCTTTCCTTTAAATTCCAAGTACTTGGAACTGAATTTTTGAGTCAGTAGTCTTTTATTCTTCCGTTTTCAAATTGAAAACTACAAAAGGAAAAGATGCCTGCCGGTCTTTTGGGAATTTTTAATTTTTTGGTCAAACTGGAAAAGTATTTTTTTTTACGTTTATAAGGGACAAGGTTTATACATTTATATGTATATAATAATAAAATATATTAACTGGTTAATCTTCTATCTATCCTTTCAATGTTGTTTCACCTAAAGTAAAAATGTTTGAGTAATTGACAAGAGAATATTTATCTCGCAGATTTATGTTTCTTGGTATGTTCAAAACCTGCAACCTTCTTTCGTTTCTGCTTTTTTATTTCAGCATAGTTTTCTTCACTGGCGTATGTGGATACCGGAGTTAGCCAAATCTGTAACTGCTTAGTATGGAACGGGAAATTGAGTACATCAATAAAGTAAATGCCTATGTTTCTAGAATTAATGTTAGCAAAATCCGATAATCTAATATAACATACGCAGCTTGTACCAAATCATTAACTAGGATCACGGATTCATCGATCAATTCTTTTTTGTTCAAAAGAAAGAAATGAAGTGCCGTTCGATTTTTGTTCACAAAAATTTTTAAAGTGTGATCTAAAAGCTCCGGAGGACATTTGTAGACAATTTCCATTTGCAGTAATTCACCCATGGATTTGTCAAGCAAAGGGTGCTTATAATTGTACTCTTTTGATTTTTTCAAACCGCTTCCTACCTTTGAAAGAAATCTCAGAAACTCATTACTTTCAATCCCAGTTTGTTTTAAAGTTTTAGCTAAGGGGGCTACTTTTTTGTAAGCCTCTTTAATATCTCTTACGCAGCCTTGGTCGGTACGTCCGTATTGTATAAGAAACCGTATACTTTCCAAGTCGTCGTCTGTTCGGGTTAAGTTCCTCAATAACTTCCTAAGACGCGACTGCCATTGTTGTATAGGTTGTGCAGATGTAGAAAAGGAGTCAGTAATACCTGTCAGAGAAGAAGGATGGAGGTCCCTAATCCTCTGATCAAGCTGCAAAAGACCCTTAAACTTTTGGTTTTCTGATGAAGTTGGAATGCCCCATAATGTTTCTTTGAGAGAACAGCGCAAATGGCCTTCTACTAAAGGTAAACATAAACTAAGGGACAATTGATATTTGGCTGCCTGGGAGCAGGGTATACTGGAATGCATATATTCACGCCTTGTATCCAAGAATAAAACTTGACCTTCATATTTCCTGCACAATTTAGGAGAACCAAGTTTGGTTATAAGACGCTTAAAGGAAGGATAATTATCAAAATCTCCATGATCATTACACAACTTCAGTACCGTATGAAGATTGAACGTATCTTTGTGCGTACAACTTAGAGATCTTCCTGCAAGTTCAGGAGGTGGAGCTTTAATGGGAGCATGTATTACTAAATATTGTTAGCGGTTTAACGAAGATTTAAAAGATACATACATTTTCTTATTAGCGCTTCGACGATTCGGTAGCTTCGCGTATGCCATTGGATTTCACCAGTCTCTAAGTTGGGCACTCCTTCGAAAAGTGAACGTAAGTAATGTTTTATGAATGCGAACTTTTCTGAATGCTTTCTATAGTATTTCTGAGAATGAAACCTATGGACGCAGTTTATGACTTGGTCGATAAATAACCATAACATTGATGATTTTAGAGAACGAGGATTTTTTCGACCCTATAGGTTAGTATTATGATATATTTAATATTCAAATTTCAACTCACAGCTTCAGAATAATATAATGAATTGAATACATAAAAGAACTCTTTGGGCAACTCTTTGTTATGCAAATAGAAGCTGTAAATAATTTCACTGACACTGTGCATTGCAGCGACCTCAAGTGATTTGGTACTGTTTTCTGATTCATAAAAACTGTCCAGTATAAAAGAGGCTCGCTTGTCAAAGAAAGAATCAAAATCCAAGCTAAACGTTAGTGAATTAGATTAACGTTTCAAACACTTACAACAAACTGCTTGAAAATATTTTGGAAATCCACAAAAATACAGAAGACATTCCGCAAGTAACGTCATTGCTTATTGAAGCCGTCTTGTCATTTAATGATGTTACGAGACCTTCGAGTATAAAGTCATTTAATAGTTTACGATCTTTAGTCGTGACTGAAAATCCGAAAAACTTCAACACAAGTAACCCGTAATTTGAAATGTCGACCCTATCAACGCCTGATATTAAGAGTCTTCTCAAAACCGAGATCCATAGAGAAGGATTTTCTTGAAGATAGAATACGACATTATTCAAGATCGGCGGAATTAGCTGATTATAAGTTTCAACAGATGATCCTAACAAAGCTAGCCAGCTCAGATCCAACGAAAGCTCCGGAGAGGGAAGGTGAAACATTTGAGAGTGTAAACAAACCATAATTCGATAAAGTTGCTGACTTTCCTTGACCATTGTTAATCTCTCATCTGCATTAGATGTGTTCAGTAACTTTTCCAGTAAAGGAAGTTTAAGCGTATTCTCTTGAAACTTTTCTCTCATGATATCACGGGTATTTATAGTTGTTCTAAAAAGGTATCCCCTGCATACTGCTTGTAAAGGAATAACCCATGAAGGGGGCCGTTTCGTAGCCAAGATTCTTTCGTTAATTTGAGCACTACTTTGAATATTACGGTGAAGGCGGCCATGGAAATGTTTTTTTAATTTTGTAAAATTAGGAAACTTCCTGGAGCTTCTCAAAGGCAAGATTTGTCGGTTAGTAAGTTCAACCTCATCCCGTTTCAGGTGTATTTTACCAAACAAATGAGGAACATGTTGCGTCGCTTGTAAAAAGTTTAGGAGGTAAGAAAGTGCATGTAAGGAATATATCACACGAGGAATATTTGAGTATTCAAGTAAGTGCTTCGGTTCAAAGCGAAAAGCCTATAATGTCAGTAACTCAATGTCAACATACAAAGGATTCATACACTAAACATTCCAACAAAGTCTAAAAATTCAAAGAAAACTCCCATGTACAAGCTTTTCCCATTAGCAGCACGACATCGTGGCCTCCAATTGCTTGCTAGTTTAGGATAGAACTTCATAGATAAGTCATAAAGCACCTTTCCATCAGCTAGAGAAGCTATGAAGTCGTCTATACTTTTATAAACGACTTCCATCTGATTTTCTATCCATCTTCTCAGTTAGTTTTAAACCAATCTATCGAGACGTACACTTTGGCTTCATATACGTTACACAGGTAATTATACGCTACCCAGATATCAAGATCCAGAGGATCCTTTTGATCTTGCGGGCGAATTTCAGAATCACATTGGGCATCGGATTCTTCTTTCAATTTCTTTGATAAATGTATGGGATCATCTTTCCAAGGATCACTAAAGGGTATAGCATTTACCTGAAGTTCACGCAGTGCTCTTGGGTCTTGTAAATCAACCATTCCGATTATTTTTCTCAATTTCCTTCTCTTTTATATCCTCGGATGTTTTTTGTAAATGCCAATAATTAGGTTTTCCATATATGTATATTTGGGAAGAAGGAAATAAACAAACATTGAGATCTCAAAACCAATGCTAGTAAACAAACATATATGAACCAAATAGAACGAACTATTTGTACTTATATTGCTGAAAGCAACAAGTTTCTGTACTCAATTTAAGGATACATGAAAATACTTGTACCAAAACTATCAGATTAGAATCTGAATGCAACCAAAGGAAGCAGAAGGATAAGCTATAGCATCAAAATTTTTTCTTTTTTAATCAACCTCTGAGACTTTGACAGACTTTAACTTTTACTATAAATCCAAATGTTTGCATCGTGAACGTATTAACGGAAAATAATGTATGTAAGGGTTAATAAAACTGATTTACGAGAAAGAAATAACAAGATGATTTGTTGTACAGTTCAACATTAAAAAAGTACTGTATGTGGATCCGAAAGTGTAGGAAGCGTAAATGATATTGAAAGATCAGTATTCTACCAATGACTCCAAATGCGAGCATATCAAGAAAAGCTTGCAGATAAAGATGATATTAGAATGGATCATGATCATTCGTTTCCATTGCAAACTTTAGAAACAAGTTCGTGTGGAAGCTTTCAGAAAAAGTTTGCTGACATTATGTACCAACAGAAAAAAGACCCATTATCGGAGGACGGCGGCATTTTGCGGTGAACCAAGACATAAGTTCAGACGTAAGAATTCATACTTGTTTTTTAATAGGGTGAGAAGGCTAAGGTATTAGTCCGACGAAGAGGAAAATGCATTTTTTGCGGGCGAGCGTCAGAAAATCAGCAATTTAGAGAGGAACAAGCATTCCTTTACGTACGTAATTAGTTCAAAGGCTGGATTCAAGGCTAACTTGGAACGATAGTGAGACAGCTAAGTCTGGTTTAGAAGCTGAAATTGGACGACGCCAAGAGTACGCATTGGAAACGGTTGACCAAGCTACAAGCTGTAAGTTTTTGGAGAAAAGGAATTTTATATGATTTAGAACATTTTTTCTAATACTAAGGAAGTATCTGAAAAGCCCTGTGTTGTACATCTGGATGGGATTGCTAAACAGACATCTGCAGCAACCTTGAAAGAAGCTTTAGGCGGACGCGACTTTGTGATTGCTACTAATGTCTTTTCACCTGAAGGAAATTATTCAAAAGGAATATCTGTTTTTCGCAATGAAAAGTTTGCACGAGACGCTATACGACGTTTGTCTACTAAACCGGTGGATGGAAGTTACATATCAGCTGCCGTTGGAACAACAGAAGCAAACGATGATTCAATATTTTCTACCCAACGAAAAGAGCTTGAAAAAAAGAAAGAGAAAGATAAGAATGCTGTGTCAGTAGAGCATCTGTCAACTCTAGACAAAGCTAAATTGGAATGGTTATTGTCGCGCATGAGTTGTGAAAAAGGATCTATAGCAAATGTTTTATGCTTTGCCATCGATTATGTTGATAAGTATAAAGAGGCATGGAAATGTTGATGGAATATCGGAGTACTAACCATTTATTGACGTAGATTTCTGAAACAATCGTGCAAGAATTACTGAAAGACGAGGATGTCAATGAGGAAAGAATAAACGATAAATCCACTTTGGAAAAAGGGGAGAGGAAATTGGGATTATTATATGTGATCAATGACCTATTGTTTAACGGGATATCTGGAGTGCCGCTGGTTTGGCGATATCGAATTAGGTAAGGATGAGATTCATGGAATAGTAAAGCATATTCTAACTCTAATATGTAGTTTGGAACCATCTATCAGTTCTATTTTTGATCATTTATACGCTTTTAGTCGACGGCTAGGAGGTCGTCTAAAGATGGATATGTTTTGTAAAAAAGTTGCACAAGTTATAGACGTTTGGCGGATAGCTTTTCCAGAAGAAGTTTTGGATTCAGCGTGGGAAATGTTTAAGAGTAAAGATACCGAAGCATCTATCCGGGCGCTCAACCGAACACCGACAGCTGCTGTTCATGAAAATCGATGGGCAACGGCCGCAGCTGAAATAGAACAAGACCAAGATGATCAAGAATACAACGGGAATCCTGTGAATGTATCAGAGCTTTTGCTAGAAAAAGAAAAAGAATATCTTCAGCATGAATACGAAAGGCATGACCTAGATCAGAATGCTCCATCGTCAAGTTCCTCGGCACGTGTTGCTTCTTCCTCTACTCCAGAGGAACCTGACGACAGTGTGAAAGCTAAATTCAAGCCCAGCTTTACTAAAGGTACATTCGTGTCACGAAAAATGCGAATGCATGCTGAGGATTTGTTTTGATGATGAAGGTGATTCAACAACAATACATGATGCATGAATTTACGATCAATCTACTAGGAACAGACTACATATAGAACATACAACATATAGGTAAAAGGGAACAATTGCCCTGCAATCATAATATCATTAAAAGAGAAAAATCTTAAAACATTGAACAACGTAAGAATCCAAACAAAGAAATATGCATTGTATAAACACAGGTTTACATTTTTATGTGAGGGAATGGAGTAGTATCGGTACAATATTATTACATTTTTCCAGCACTTTCGGTGCGTGCGGCATCTTTGCTTTGTTGAGTAGTTCCAGTATTCCCTTCCTTTTTGACAGCACTTCCAACATCGTCAAAAAAGTTATTTATTCCATGGCGGACACGTTCAATGTTGTAAGTGACTTTGTGATCAGCGTCCTTAACGGTGCTTTTTGCTTGTCTTTCTTCAGCCATAATGTAGATTCAATTGATGCTTGCCGACGAATTAGAAGTAATTCCTTTTTTCAGTAAGTTTCGAACTAAGTCGCTTCAGTATTGTAAAGACCTTTTTGAATTCTGTTTTTGGTAATTGCCAACAAAAGCAGGGACGCGCTTTCTTTATATAATTTCACCGGATGCTCGCGCCTCTATTTTCGGAAGTGATATCATTATGAAACAAGTCTCCAAGTTGAATGTAAATAAAACAAAAAAAATAGATATATCTCATGGAAAGTATATCTTTTTAGGAGCGAAATGGAAAAAAGATGAAATAAACCTTGTAATGAATGATATCGAAGCATTCCTGTTGAGATGGTTTTGAGCTGAGGACTGTATGTAACCGGATTTCGCGGAATACGTCGCATACGCAGCATGCTTCAAAAGGTCTGGGGAACTGAAACCATTAAAAATTTAAAAAAAAAAAAAAAGACAACAACATCGTATTTTTTGTTGTTAATTGACATACTCATTCTATAATTCATCTTGAAACGACCATTGTAATGTCTAATGGGTTCTTGATAAATGTTCAATGTATGCTTCAGAAATAGCGTCGTATTTTCATTAACCTCGCATTTGAGAAAGAGGGTTTCGAACTTACAAGGAAATATCGTGAAAGATGGTCTACGTACCTGCCACATAGAGAGATTCTGTATTCAACGTATAAAATTGATTTGATGCGTCCAGTTTTACGAATTATTCTTTCTTATGAAATCTTTTATTTTGTAAATTCTTATTTTTAAGTGGTCTTTCCTTCATTTTATTGATTTTTTATTTTATTTTAATTTTTTTCCATTTTATTATTTATTATTTATTCTCGCCGTTTATTTACATACTAACCTTACCTTGCATAGCAACGGCTACCATTTATTTACCCTGCCTTCTCTGTTCGTTTACATTGAGGCGTTCACTACCGATTTTGAGGAAATACAGAAAAGACAGCGAGAGAGCATCTTGAGCTTCTCGCAATATTTCATTTTTCGTAGAATGGCTACAACATTAAATTTCAATGCTCAGTCATCAAATCCTCCAAAGAGTTTTTCCAATTACTTCTGGGTAAGACAAATTTTTGGCGTCGTTCTGTCATTTTTCCGTTCTTTTGGAGGATCTCTAACATTTTCTTTGTCTTTAGGGAGTGAATGATGAAGGATACCATGCCTTACTTTCTCGTTTCAGCGAAATAAAACACATCAATGAAGATCTGCGGTCATTTTTCCATGAGAGGTATGTCTCTTTACTGACAGGCCCCAGCATTCTCAAACACGGTCAAACAATTACCTTTTTTTTTTTACCGTTTATTATCTTTGAGTACTGTGGAAAGCGACACGTCAGTTTGAATTTTTCGTTTCTGTTTCTAACAGCTCTTCTGTAGAGCTAGCATTGAAGAAGATTATGCTAAACGGATGACCAAATTGGCCCGCTCCAATGTAGGTGCCAATGAAACAGGAACATTAAGAGAATCTATTCAAATGATGAAGTCAGAGATGGATACTATGGGCAAAAATCGTCTCGCAATTGCCCAGCTTTTACAAGACGATGTCTCCAACGCTTTTAGTCGTTTTGCTATATCTTTGAAAGACAAAAAGAAAACAGTACGTAAATATCTTTTTTTTTTCTTTCTTTTTTTCTTCCTCAAACTAATATAACACTGTTCTAGATCATTGCTAGCATTGAAAAGTGCCACAAAGAGAAAGAATCAAAGAAACAAAATTATGAAAAGGTAAGAGACGCTCTTTCCAAACAGTTTGATCTTCATTGTTGCTAATGAGTTTTATAGGCACAAGACAAATACCATTATTTGTGCAAAAAAGTAAACTATTATGTGTCCCAACAGAATATGTTGGTAGGAAAGGATCTGGAGAGAAACAATTCCAAGTTAAACAAGACTCAAAATGCAATTGCATCCAGCGCTTCTGAATACAAGGCGAGCGTACAAACCATCTCAGATACTTACCAGCGTTGGATAAGAGAGTGGAAGTCAGCTTGTGATAAGTTCCAAGATATTGAAGAAGAACGTCGTCATTTCTTAAGAAGTGTTCTTTGGACTTTCACCCTTCTTGTCTCCCGAGGCGCGTTCAATGATGATGAAGCTTGCGAACGCATTCGAAAATCCCTCGAGACCTGCAACGTCAAAAGCGATGTTTTAGGTTTTATTGAAACTCGAGCTACCGGAACCGGTATTCCTCAACCTCCTAAATTCTACGACTTTTATAAAGGAGAATCACCTGAAGATGTTGTAGAGTTAGTCCAAGCAAACTTTGAGCGCGCACCATCAAACATAGAAAACGATCACATGACCCTAAATCGCCCTTATACCCTTTCCGCTGCTGCTCGTACAGGAAATGCGGCCTTGGAAGGATCCTCAGATCTCCAAAACGTCTCTACCGCTGTCAACCAGGCAGCTACATCAATATCGTCTAATTCCTCTCAATCAGGCCGATTGTCACCACATAAGAAGCTTTTTAATAAATTCAAAAAATCGAGCCGCCCCGTTACTCCCAATGTCTTAAATGCTTCTTCGGATATGTCTCCACTGGATGAAAACTTTCAAAAAATGTCTGTGCAGAACAATAAGCCTGAAACTGACTCTGCACCAAGTAATCTTCCACCAGCATATCAAACGATTTCTCCAATTTCCCGAAGACAACAAATTCAGGATGAATTTAGTAGCGTCATGAGGATGGAGAACAGAGCTGTTTCTCCCATCTCTGATAACCGAAAAAACAGTTCTTCTATCGGACTGAGAAAAAACCAGCCCTCAAGGCCTTCTTCATCTCATTCACGTCGTGTATCAAGGTTACCACGATCTTTAACACCAGGTGCTGTTGAACCGGAGTATGATTACGGAGTCAAGGTAGATCCCGTCCAAGACCTAGGCCGAACCGTGGATGATGACGAGTATCAATCAGAACTTGAATCCTCTATCAAGGATGACTTTTTCGCATCGAACGGATACGGCGTCGCAAACCTCTCATATCCTATTCACGATGATTACGACGCTGAAGATCGTCATTCTTTAGATATAGAAGAAACCCCAACAAGTTCAGACGGACAAAAGATCCTTGGGTACGTTCATGCTCTCTATAACTACGATGCTGCTATACCTGAGGAAATTTCTTTCCAGAAAGGCGATACTATTGCCGTGATAAAACTTTATGAAGATGGATGGTGGGAAGGCTTTGTTGTCGGTGACGATGATCATAATAGAGGACAATTCCCTTCTAATTTTGTGCGTCAAATTGATGTTTAATAATCGATAAATGGTTTCCAGATCTTGTGCATTCTTTTGTTCATGCATACTTTCCATCTTTCTTTTTTTTTTATTTTGATGATCTTTTGTTTATTTATCGTTTTGAAATTTTGTTGGTTGACAACTCTAATAGCTCATATGTACTGGCATTTACAAAATTGAATAGAGACATAAACTAGTAGAATAAATTCCATTTTATTTACTTTGAACCTTGCATTCTAAATTTGTACATAAACTGTTAGTAATTTACCAGCGTTACCAAAATTTTTTGTGCGCAACTTAGAAACTCGGTATATGCTTCTCTAAAATAAGGACAACAATCAACCTATGTTTGTTTACAAATGCAAGATTCTTCGTCTTATGTGAGAAGTAAGTTAAGTTAATTGAATTTTATGATTAATAAATCAAATTCAGGATATTCTCAAGTTCCTTCATCATCAGGCATTCGTAATTCGACATTCGCAGATAATGGACTAGTGAGCGGACGAACAAGTTTAGCGCCTCAGCGTACACTTCTTCCAATTCGTCCTTCTATAGACGTGGATGGAATGACAATGTCTTCTTCTCGACTTGCGACACCTTCTGTGAGACCCAGCTTGGCACCAGGGTAAGATAGTGAACGGACTTTTAGCGGAGACATATTTAAGCATACTAATAACTTTAGAGTACGGAGGTCCAGCATAATGAATCGAAGGATGTCAAGTGCGTCTTTTATGGGTCAAGCTACATCTACGTCGAGCATGAAGGATCCGCGTCCATTGACAGACAAACGATACCAGCAGGAGTGTTCTGCTTATGTAGTCAATTTCTTACTAGAATGCGGTTATCCACAACCATTGGCTCCTAATAACAGGTTTTTACCTACTACAAAGGAGTTTGCTTCTATATTCAAATTTTTATACAATAAGATGGATCCAAAATTTCGGTTTGGGAATCGTTACGAAGAAGATGTTATAAACTGCTTAAAGAATTTGCGGTATCCCTTCATAGATTCCATATCTCGATCCCGGTTGGTAGCTATAGGAACTCCTCATAGCTGGCCTGCTATTTTAGGAATGCTGCATTGGCTTGTATGCTTGATCCAGTGTACAGAGCAGGCTGTTGATATGGCTTATTCGGTAGAAAATGACACCCTAAATGATCACTTCGTCAATAAAACGCTATTTGACTACCTCGTTCGAAAGTACCATTTATTCTTACAGGCTTCTATGGATGAAGAACCAGAACAAGAATTAAAGGCTTCATTTGAAGAACAAAACAAGGAAATCAATACTAAGATTCAATTGCTACAACAGGAAAATGATGAGTTATTAAAGCAAAAGCAAGCAGCTGGTGATTTAGACTCTACCATCGAGCTTTTAGAGGAAAGATTCAAAACCATGCAACGGGATGAAGTTAAGCTTCAATCTTTTATGTCCTCAATTCAATCGAGAATGGAATCCAAGACAACTTTAAAGAAGCAAATTCAGCTGAGTCTTAGCGAAAAAGAAGCACAGTTACATGAGCTGAATGAGAAGAAGAAGTCTTTAAAATCAAGGGTAGATATGCAATCGGTATCAACGGTTGAATATCAAAAAATGGTATCTGAGCAAGAACAATTGGATCGAAACATAAATTCAATTGGCAATAGAATAACTGAGCTGAGAAAAGAAGTTTTTGACAAAGATCTTTTAGTGCAATCAAAAATCGATACTATTGAAAAGGAATGTCAAAGATATAGTAATTTGGCTTATCGGATCGGGATAATTCCTTCAACTGCCCTTCGTGCTAGAAACGGTAATTTCGAGTTAATTTTAGATCCAGAAACTGGATCCATAAATCTTGATTTAAAGAATAACGTACGTCCTTTCTTAAATCAAGTTCGTCATTCAATAACTATGGAATTTCATGAGGAGCAAAACAAATCCCTAAAAGTCCAAGAAGTACTAGACGCGTTAAATGACTCTGTCGCAGAACTACAAGATGAATTGAACACTATCGAGTCCCGTTTAAACGCTGTAGTCAAAGAATGTACTATGCTACGTGAATCAGCAAACCAGGAAAAGACCTCTTTAAATGCGGAATCTCAAAAACTAGAGCATGACTTACAGCAACTTAAACTTTCGTCTCATAACAGCATGTTGCAACTGGATCAGCGAATCCAAACTATAACCATTGAGGCGGATCAACTGGCTCACGCATGCATGGAATATAAAAATGGCATTTACAAAGAAGTCGCTTATATGCTCAGTGAAATTATACAGTTTAAACTGTATATTCAAGATAGCCTAGAGGGTCTCGAGATAGACTATATGAAAGAATTCGAAGAATTACGGTCAAAAATTGTGTAGACCTTCTCCTTCATTTTACGATTTTGGTTACGATCCTAATATTTCATAATTCGTTCATTTGGCTAAATCGCTTGGTTTTTTTTGTTCTTGTATTTCTTATAATCCTTTTTATTCGTGCATATCATGCCATCTTTTTGACGTTGAACATAAGCTAGTTTCTTACTTGTAGGCTGGTGATATTTGACTACCTGTGTACTATAATGCCGTTATAGTCTTTCTTAATAAAAAATTAAATAACTATTGTATCCTATTAATTTAGATGATCATACTGTAAATTATGGACATTCAACTCCTTCTTATTTTGAAGACTGTTCATCCTGCTCAATTTTCAACTGGATAAGCTGTCTAAATCCTTTGACGAATTTAGCATTCGTACGCGAAGGTGCATACCAATCTAAAGAAACAAATTCCACTATGATTTCCTCGGGAATAAAAGAAGTAATCTTTGCTTGAATAGCAAAGAAAATAATGTCAGCAGCCTGCAGCCTTACATTTTCTCGAGAATGAGCAAGAAAGTTAGATGTGTACTTTAAGGAGTATAATGCTAAGGTTTTGTATTTGGATATCAAAAAACTCCTTAGCATATTAAGAATAATAATAACTCCTGCTGTTGAAGTACATTTCGTAGCTCTTTGTTGAGCTAGAAAAGCTACACGAATAACACTTGTACTGTTAGTTCATAAGTTTGGAAAATATGTACATACGGTTTTGAAGAAATAAACTTTTCAAATATACCACTGAGCGATAAGGACGTAAAAGACGACACTACTTGGTAATAAGAACGATTATCCTCTTCCTTAGACGTTAAAAATTTTATATATAACTCGAAAATATCTTGTTTCGACAGCTCATGTTCTGAATGACTTTCATCTCTGAAATCAATCAATTTACGAACATAATGTTTGTAACCATTATAGCAAAAAAATACCTAAATAGTTAATAAATTACAAGGTTTTTAGATTATTGCATACCTTTCCATCACCAAAGCCATTTCCTGTAAAAGTCACTATACCCTTAAAAGCATCTTCACGAAAAGCGGGACATTCAAGGAATCGGATCTTCGAATCCTCTTTTTTAAATTTTTTAAAAGATTCTATCTCGCAAGTGTATGAATTTTGAATGGTATTTTGTAACCCTTCATCATATTTTAGCACTGGATGTCTTCTTAGGTCATTTAAACATTGTAAGGCCAATAAACGAAGATTGTCAATTTTATCGAATGCTTGACGGACCATAAAAGAAAAGATTAAGCTAACCTGAGACTTTAGAAGTTTTTGGAATTGCGAATCCAACGTGATCAATCTATTAAATACAAGCAATGATTGTTTTCTTACCCATGAGCCTACATCTCCTCTTGTATCAACTTTGTAGTTATACGAAATTGAAATAAGGAATGTGGTAAACTCATTTATGGTATTAATCGTTGACTTCTTATACACACTTTGGCATAGGCCTTTAAAGGCCGAAACGATTGAAGACTGTAATTCTATAGATATGTTCTAAATATTAGTATATGCATAACTATAAGCTCTCTTACCTTTGAACAATATGCCGTTTTCAAATACAAAACTATACTTTCTTGATGAGACATATCGATATCAGGCAGTTTTTCAATTATAGAAACGATTGTTGAGAATTCTTCTGGAGAAGAATTTATGTTATATGAAGACATCAATTCAGATAGGTAACTTCCTGATGAGTCGTGTTGTATCAAAGAGTTGAATGCACTGGATATATCCTCAGTTATGCATTCCTCTCGAAGGGAAATTGCAGTTCTTATACAATTGAAGGCAAGATCCGTTATGTTTTTTTCAAATTCGCACCTAGAAGAGAAAACTGAGTTTATCAATCTACAAACTCCAGAAAGTAGTTTAGTTTTTTGCGAACGAGAAAACCTATCAACCGGCATGTAAGTGCCATACTCAAGTAAAGGTCCAACTTCGTCAATAACCATCGAATAATCTTGATCTAATAAGCATCTCAGGGTGCTACCAATGGCGAGAAAATCACCATAAGCATGATCAATATTTCCGGTCGAAAGTCGGTCTTTAAGAAAAGGCAGATTCATCGGAGCTTCCTCGTTGTATATTGAAAATAATCTATACAGACATGCATCTGATAGGTTCTGAATTTTGGAATCAAAATGATGCAAATTCTGCAATAACTTTTGATAAATGCAAGTACGAAAATGCGGGTTTTTGGCAACCTCTAATGTATACACGCAATAGCAGTTCGAAATATCAGATACAGAGGTATAGTTAAGCAATGAAATAAGATTTAAACCATCAGGTACAGAAGCATGCCTTCCGACTATTTCAAATAAAGCGGCTGTTGCTGCTCTGCGAATATTGACTTCTCTGTCAAATAATACGGTTTGAAGCAAATTGATTACAATGTTCAATTGAACAGGCTCAATATCTTTACGAGAATAGGATCTGTATAGAGACCATATGAAATAACAAGAAGCGTCGCGAATGCTCTGACCAGAAACGCGTGTTCCAACGCGAATTTCGTAAGATAAACCCTGCAAAAAAAGTTGTTAGCAGCTTGAATAACAAAATTTTGTTGACAAATGACTCACTAGTTCAATGAGGGGAAGAATATGCAAAATTGTTTTATATTTTAGAAGTCTCATGTTTGCCAATCTAGCAAAAAAAAGAATAGAACCATGCCAAAGATCTGGAAAAGTAATTGATACATTAACAGTGTTATAAATTGGATTTAGAAAGGTGTTATCAAGTGTTAAAACAATGACAGCGTCAATCACTTGTTCGGCCAAGTACCAGGGAAGACGTTCTACAATTCTGGCTAGGCCCTTTGCAGCAGACCACCGCACAAAAGTATCACTGTATTCAACTGAAGAAAGCAGAAAGTCTATAATTTCCTCCAAGTAAGTATGTACGGATATTTCGGTGTCTTGGGGTAAAGAATGAAAAGAGTCTGGAATAAAAGGGTCATATTTCCAACTGGAGGATGCTTTAATAGGAACTAAAAGCAATCCTACTCTTGCATAGCACTTTGAAAGAAGCTTATGTATAGCGGTACTTTTACTACTGGAATTTGAGGCTTGAACGAATCTTAAAAATGACACAACATTGCTTGCATAATCCAAAAAGTCTTCTCTTTGACATATCTTTAAATTTGCTGCCACGGATGAAACAAATCCAATTTTATAAAATAGATTTTTCGAATCCCAGAGATCAATCGTGGACTGTAAGATGTTTGGTAATAAATGTACGCAATCTTGTCTGGAGAGTAAACGCGCCAAAACCAAAGAAGCAGCTTCTCTTTCCAATCCACTCCTGTCTAGAAAAAAGAGAGAAAGGCTCACAATACGTTGTTGGAGATTACTGCTTTGTTCAATAGAAGAAAGAGGGAAGGGGATATTTAGCAATTGAGAAAGCCATAAAAGGTTTACATAAATGGTCTGCCATGACAAAATCTCTTCATTTTTTAGGAAATGATAAAGGATTTCTACTTGCTGCACTTCTGTAGGAAATAAGACGCGAATGACTTTAAGGCCACGTATTCGACAAAAGTTGTACACAACCAAAGAACTGAGAAGGTTGTCTAGACTTTCATTTGAATGAACATAGCTGCTTAATATGGGAACATACTTCGAAAGTATTTTATCTAATAGCGTAGGTTGTTGTTGGCAACCCTGTACCTATAAAACCAAGTCAGAAAAGGATCATGAAGATAGTTAACAACCCATACATATTCTAGCACTTCATCACATAGACGTTGTTTTCCAGAGGGATCGTCAGCAGTCTCAAGACTCTTGCAGAAGGATCCGATACTATAGATGAACCCGCTCAAAAATTTTTCTTCGTGGGGTATAAGAAACCCAGATGTTTCTTCGTCAAATTCCATTTACTAAATATTACATGAAGAAGTTTATCAAGCCAAGGCAAGAGTAATGGATGCACGCACACAAAGGGTCAGGTAGTACGAACGACGTAAAGCAAAGGTCTGCGCTTCTACATATAATTTCAATTTTTTCATTCGCTTTCTATTCCTTTTTACATCAGTAGGATTTCAATCTCTAAATAAGTTTCTTAACAAACCACGATTTCATTATAGTGATTCGATGTGAACAATGTAAGATTTCTCCCAAGAGTATAATGTTATAAAAAAAGGAAACTAGAAGGCAATTACATAGTAGAAAATAATAAATTTTTCTAAGCATTTTTTTTAAAAGACACTCAAACAAATTTTCTTTCAACCGTTTCTTCTTAAATAAATTTCATATTCAATTGTTTATTTACTAACGCAATGCAACAATACCACTAATGCCGTCGTCATGGTAACCGAAATAATTCCTCTCCAATTCCTTCTAAGTTGTTATCCTTCTACCAAGCCTACCGAAGGAGCAACATAGTAAAGATGTGGTGGGTTTACTATCTACTTATTTGGTACTCGATTATTCAATCTGCTTTGGCACAAATTAAATATGTTTTTCCTGGGACCACGGATTCCGTTTCGTATGATTCCGTCGAGATTAAGTGGGAGGAGTCGAATTTCGGAGCTTCTTTAAAAGATATAGAACAAACACAATTTAAGATCTGTACGAATACAGGTCAGAAGCCGGAATATTGTTACACGATTCCAGAGTTGATAAAACCTTCCTCAACAAGTTCTTATGGACCATTCTCTGTGCCAAAGAACTTGGGTCGTCCAGGCAGAGTATGGTTCGTTTGGGCACACTCTACTCTTAGCAATAAGAAAACCGTTGATGACTTCTCTGATTTCTTTACTATCACCGGGCTTGACGGATATTTTGATGACTATAACGTATTTGAAAACCTTATGAAATTAGGTGTTTGGTCAAATCCTCCTGTGTCACCTGCCTTTACCTTATTATGGCCAACCGGTACTATGCGAGATTGGTATTTGCAACAAACCGGCCGAATTCGTACTGGTCCTATGCAACAGAGACCGGGTTCTGTCTTTACTGCTCAAACAACAAGTTTCTCACGTCTTTGGGAAACTTCTTCCTATAGCGTTTTCAAAAAGTACGGTAGCTTGCCTTACCCCACTTCTACCGTCCAGCCTGGCGCATCGTACACGTACACCCTTTATGCAAACTATGCATCCACAGCTTCTTCTCCAGTGGTCACAGCTACTCCTACCCATGGTTTGAGAAGAAGGGATCTCTGGTCTCGTGACGAAGTAGTTGAGTACGAGAAACGCCGCATGCGTATTGATGAGCCTCGTCGTGGTTTGCTCCATCCTTAAACTATAATAGGAGCTTTCCATTGCTTAAAAAAATTCTCACAATTTTTTAATAACTGATCCTTTTTTTTGCTTCCCCTCTTGTATATTTTCAGGCATAGGATATGACAATTCCTTAATTGTCTTGCTGTGATTTGCCTTTGTTGTTCCTATATTACCGAAATGTCTCTTGTCTGAGTGAAATTGATGGAATGGGTAAAGTCATTGCTGGGATTTTACCACGACTTTAACCCATGTTGGGTTCACTTTATTTTTTTCCTATTGAAATGGTGATTATGAGCATTTTCGATTGACATTTAAAGATCAAGTTTCTTTCTTTTCTTTTCTTTAGTTTCTTTTTTTTTACAACGGGTTGCTTTTATTTCTGCATTCGTTTAATTGATATATATATACGCTCTTTATAGTTGCACGTCGATCTTTTTGGGATCAAGTGTTTCATAGATACATTTGTTTCTACGCATATTTGCCTTTGATTAGTAGTGCATGGCGATATTTAGTTTAATTTATGGTTTTTATCTAGTCAATGACAATTTATTTTTTAATTGCTACGAAATTATATGGTGTTTCCTAGAGGAAGTCTTCGTAAGTGACTCGCAATTTCAAGTACCACTCTTAATCCCTTTGATTCTACAATTCTACAAGGAAAGATGTTTTTGTTGGATAAGGCGATATATACTTGGTGGGATTAGCCTGCTTCTACTTTTTTTTAGCCTAAGGGAGCAAAAGTTGGTTTACGGCAAATGTAGATGGACTTTTTTTGAAGCAAAACTATACAACTAAAAGCAAATCACCAATCGCAATTATATCGTAAATTATTCAGGAAAAAGAAATGAGCTCGAAAAGCTCATATGTAGGAATTTGATAAATAAGAAACGTATTAGAATTCAGGAATCATAAGCATCCGTATATAAGGTGAAGTTCATAATGAAATCAAGTAAAATAAAGCAGGGGTGGATCACGAATATACCTCTTTCTCATTGAATACTGTCATCGGGTTTAGTTGGTTTTTTTCTTACAAACCTTTGGCTTTTTATACACAATGGCAGTAGTGGCCAGCAAGATTCCAGCTAATGCGGTACAAGTATACAAGGAACGGTTTGTCAAAGTCTCTGTTTGACGACGATTCAACAAATAAGCAGAAAGAGCACCAATACCAGCAACATCGAGGGAAATTGCAGCTAAAGCAGAAGCCTTACCACCATGGAAAAGTCCAGAAGCTTTTTCGCAAAGGCCTTTGTATTCCTTTTCAGCTTCTTGCTTCTTGTTTCCTCCCTTCTTCTTACCGTGAGTTTCCTTCTTTCCGGTGTCTTCACCAGGTACGCCAGGGTGCAAATAAGAGTCGGCTTCTTGCTCATCCAAGACAACCACCTTTTCGTCTTTCTGAGGATTCTCTTCGCTCAAAACAGGTTCGACCTGAGGAGGAAGGGGAGCAGCCTTCTCTTCCTCCGTCTGTGGAAGTGCATTGTCTTTTACAATATCAGCATAAGAAGGATGACTAGGGGCGTTCGTAGAGTTGGCCATGATAACAATAAGACTTGAAATAGATCAATCAAAATAAAAAACTATCAAAAAAGTACTTTATGTCAAACAAAAAGGCAAATCAAATCCGTAAAAGAGATGAGTATGCTTTCACAATATACACAATAGATATTCAAAAGGGTAAAGCGGTGTTTGCACTAAATACTAGGTAAGCTCTTCAAATTTGTTTAGTTCAAAAGAATATGCTCTTGTTAAGACGGAATCCGCCAATTTATGCATTTCATCATGAACAAAAACAATGATGTCACACTTTGAAGATAGCCAACATAATTCTTTTTAGAGGAACGACTAATGTACGCAAGAGAAATGTTAGAGATTCTTTGTTTTTATGAAATTTCGTTTTCATCCTCAAAATCTCGTTTTATTTACTTAAATCCAATAAAGAAATATAAATAAAAAAGAAAGCTTTTTGGGCTTCGAGGGGGCTCGAACCCCTGACCACTTCGACCCAAACGAAGTATGCTACCACTACACCACGAAGCCAGCTGTTGATAGCGTTAGAATTATTAGGATTATATAGCATAGACAGACTTGAAACTGCAAATTATTTAGCATAGACTTGATGAATGGGAATGAAGCTAAACTTGTTGCTAGTCTTAGCATCCGACATTCAAAAAGAAATTTTAACAGCTAGTAAATTTGATATAACAATGTTCTTTGTTCTATGATTCTCAATCATGGTCACTAGGAAGAACAGTTCCTTGCGATGTTTACTAACGAAGTAGAACGAGAAAAGTCAGAAATACAGAATTTGCTCTGCTAATTAGAAACAAAACTAAACATTGTTAAAGGAAAAAAGGAAAAAATAGTTTGGAGATGAACACAGGAAAGTTACTTCTACTACTTCGTTCATCTCCTTTCTTAAGCTCCTTCCCTGACCAGACACTACTCAAAAAAAAGCGACATTGTACCCTAACCTAACAAAACCAACAAGCAGTCACAGAAAACTACCAAATTTGTTTGGGAAACTTGGAAACAAACCAGCAGCGTTTCTGTCACAATGGTATGTATAAAAGAACTTGTAGAATAGGTGTAAACTAACATAATGTAGGGTATTGACATTGAGAGACACCACGTCAGAAAGTCTCAACGCAGCAAGCCTGCCTCTGAGAACGTCTACTTGAAGCTTTTGGTCAAATTGTACCGCTTCTTAGCCCGTCGTACTGACTCTCGCTTCAACAAGACTATCTTGAAGCGTCTTTTCCAATCCAAGACCAACCGTCCTCCTATCTCGATTTCCAAAATTGCTGCTTTAACCAGTCGCAAGGCTTCCGATCTCGAAGGCAAGACCGTTGTTACCGTTGGTACCGTTACTGATGATGAGCGTATGTTGACCGTCCCTAAGCTCTCCGTCGCCGCTCTTCGCTTCACCAAGTCTGCCCGTGCCCGTATCTTGAAGGCCGGCGGTGAAGTCATGACTTTGGACCAACTTGCCCTCCGTGCTCCTACCGGTAGCAACACCGTTCTTCTCCGTGGTAGAAAGCATGCTCGTGAGGCCTTCCGTCACTTCGGTTTCGGTCCCCACAAGCACAAGGCTCCCCATGTCCGTTCCGAAGGACGCAAATTCGAAAGAGCCCGTGGTCGCAGAAAGTCTCGTGCCTTCAAGGTATAAAATGCTTTTTTCGATTCTTTATTCTTTACCCTTTCTGCACTTTCCTACTTGTTTCATCTTTGGGTTGCTTGCCTGGTTTTTACATCATCTTGTGTGTCTAATTTCACTCGACATTCGTAGATAGATTTCCTACTACTGTGTCTACGATGATATACATCACTACTTTTTCTCTCAAGCATGTAGATAAATAGTTGTAGGAGTTTCAGTATGAATGCAAATTTTTGAGTTTGATGCATTTTTTGTGTGGTTTTTTTTCTTTCCTAGGTTTTTTTGTATACAAAAGCCTAGCAGTTTTTATATTCTCTTAGCACAACATTCAAGATGGCTACGCTAGTTGAAGCATGGTATAAAATTTTAATTTTTGACCAATTCAAAGAGTACAGAATTCATGGTTTTCCATAGAACATTTCCTTTATTTACCTTCCAATAAATCCGAAAAATTTTTATCCATGCCATGCCTAAACTCTCGGTAAACGACTTAGTAACGGCTTGCTCTTCACTATTATATAGGTGTCCTTAGTATTTTGCCAACCACCATCTTGGGTACCATATCGAAGATTTAACAAAAATGAGTCGTAGAAGCCCTCGTACACTTTATGTTACTGGCTTTCGAGATGGACTTCGTGCTCGTGAACTTGCTTACGAGTTTGAGCCGTATGCCTTACATAAACTCTGAAATATAACATACTGACCTCACAGATTTGGCCCATTAGTTCGTTGCGATATTCCTATTCCTCGAACTCGCTCTTCTAGACCGTATGTAATAATGGAGTATAGTAGATAAAACATATCTATTGTTTGACCCTATGCTTCTTCCTCGTACCAAAGCCCAACTAACCTCTGAACAGTTTTGCATTCGTAGAGTATGAAGATTCCCGAGACGCTGAAGATGCTTATTACGAAGTTCATGGTCGTCGTCTCGAACGTGGTGGTGGAACTCTGCGCGTTGAATGGGCCAAGCAACCTCCTCCCCCATCCGGTGGACCCATCCGCCGTACTACTCCCGGTAGAAGAGATCGCGGTGGCCGTGTTCGTGGTCCTGAACGCGGTGAACGTGGACGTCTTGGTACCCGCTCTCCTTCCCCACGTGGTGACCGCTCTCCTTCTCCCAGACGTTCTATGAGCCCTCGCTACCGTTCACGTAGTAGAAGCCCTGTTCGCCGTGATCGCTCTCCTAGCTATGAACGTGGTCGTGAGTCTCCATATTATCGTTCAACCTCTCCCCGCCGTAGTCCCCACCCTGATGAAGTTGAATATCGTCGTGCCGCTGCCTCTCCCCGTGACAACGCTCCTAATGACCTTCAAAATGCTCAGCCTTACGATGAAGCTCCTGCTTCTGCTCAAGCTGTTCCTTCAGAGGAGCCTAAACAGGACACCGCTCCTTCTACTGACCAACAATTCGTAGAGCAACCTGTTGAACAACAGCCTGAACAACACCAAGAACAGCAGCCAACTCAGCAAACAGAAAAACCAGCCGAGTCTGAAGCTCCTGCTGCCGAGCCCACTCCAGCGAATGCTGAATCAAGTGAAGCTGTCGAACCTGCTCAACCCACTGAACACACAGCCGATAGCGAACGTCAAGAGTAAATATAAAAAAAAATGGAGGTAAAATTGTCGCTTCATTCCTATTCCTTTTTCATTAGTCGTTTTCCGTTTTCCTTTTTCGTAAGCGCTTTAGGCGAAAATCGACATTTTCAAGTACCATTACATGTAGATAAAACGAAAACGCCTGGCCGTGAAATGCTCTTTCTGCTTACTTCGCTCGCATTTCAATGGTAAAAACAAGATTTTATGAACTCTAGAAAGGCATTTGAAATGACTATGTCCCACATTTACTTCCTGTTGTCTTTTTCATCCTTTTGTATGTATTTTGAAGGAATCGTATGTGAGTTTTGGTAACATCTTGTGTTCGGTGCCTGGAAGTTCATTGTCAGGAACTATAGGTTGAGCTGTTCTACTAAATGGGCGAAATTTGTTTTGACCCTTCAATATTTTTCCTTTGCTTTATTGTTTTGTTACAGCTAGTAAATTTTTGATTCATTGCTGTTTCGGTGTTGGCTCTCCTATCTTTTAAATTTTAATAGATTATAAAGAAATTGTTTTTTTTTATTTACTTCTACTTTTTGCATACAATGGTATTTGAAGACGGATAAAATTCAAATTACAGGTTTAATAACATCGTTTTTATAGAAATTATATCTGCGATATTTATACAGATCTACAACAATCAATATAGCACAAAATGAAGAATTATTTTTATTGCTAGCAACGCATTTAAACACGACCAGCGGCAGCAACCTTGGCGTTGAAACGCTCCTTGCGTTCCTCGGCAGTAAGCTTTCTTTGCTTGTACTTGAGGGATTCAGCCTTAATGGCATTAAGGTCCTTGTCGCTCTTCTTGGGGGCGGGATCTTCACGGATCTTGGAGAAAGCCTCAGCATAGATGTCCTCAAGTTGGTCACTTTCGATACCGTCGGCAATCAAGCTAGAGAATTGCTTTTGGAAACGCTCTTCATCATCATCAATAAGCATTTCCATGTATTCAGCAACGTGACCACCATAGATGTACTTGCGGAGAGTTTCATCATCCAATTCCTCAGACTCAATGTCGTAACCGGGGAAACGGCTAGGAGAATGGGGAACGTACAAACCACCATCAGAAGCACCCTTCATGGCACCGAAGACACGAGAACCAGTGGAGGTACGCTTCAAACCAACATCCAAGAAAACCTTGAAGGGGCGAGGGCCGTGTTCAATGGCTTCAGTGAGTTCAAATTGACCTTCGGGCTCAGTGATACCCTCATACTTGTCAGCAAGGCCAATCTTGATGAGAGCACGACGAGCGACCAAAAGACCGGTAGCATAAGCAGCGGACCAGTTAGCCAAACCCCACTTAATGCCATAGCGGGGAAGCTCAGAAGAGTGAGCAGCAGCAAGAACATAGTCACCGGTAACTCTGGAGGAAATAACTTGGCAGGTCACGAAACGGTTGGAGAAACGGACAACCAAACGGTACTTGGGAGCATTGTACTTGTTCTTGGCTTGGGAAATCAAGCGCTTACGAGCATAGTAGTCGGTCTTACCTTCACGACGACGACGGTACTTAGTTTGGAAGCGTGAAAAGTAAGGGCTGCTCTTGACCTGCTTAACGAAAGCCATTTTGGTGGTGTGTTTGTTTCGTTTCGCATCTCATTTGCAAAGTTTCGAGTGTGTGACTGTTCATACATTACTGAGAGAAAGTCATGCTCGCTATGTAATATACAGATACCGTTAGCGTAGATAATATATTAGGGCACCTGAACGTGTCGGTATTGTGTAAACAAAAACATTGACAAGTAGATTATGCAGAATATTCTTCCTTGCAAAACACCTGAGGAGTCTGTTGGTCTAACTTAATATTTAAATCTATGTCAATATGTCTTCTAAAAAAATTTAGCTAACAAATACAACAGCAATAGAAAAAAGGCAATGAAAAACAAAAACAAATCTGCGTTCCATGCATTATTTCAGTGCTGTCAGTAAACGTGAGTACAATGACCGAAAGGAAAAGCACTGTTATTCTAATCATTACGAAGCTGTTTCTGCTTTTCTAAAACGGTCATCCTGCTACTTTGTTTACTTTCTTGGAGGCAATGTTTGTTTACATGCGTTCATAAATGCGAAAGATCAGCAACGTTATTTCTTCCAAGAGCAAAACACTAAGTATTTCAGAAAAATATCCTCTTTTTGGGCTTTTATTCATTTCAGTGCCCTCTCGGGTCAGTAACAGCATCCAATTTTGGGCAATGAGTTCCTCCAGTGCAGACAGTTATGGTCAACACATTCGAAACCGTTTCGAGTCCGAGCAGCCAAATCCAAGTGTTGGCACAACCTTCGAATACGGCTGGTACCTAATTTCTAGACGGTGCGCTCAGGATGTCGAAGAAGGCATTACCATGCTTCGACGTTGTATGGAGTGTGATCTTGCTCTGTATCGAGAGTCAATGTATTCAATAGCCCTAGGATACAGCTTTCTAAAAAGATACGACGATGCTTGCTACTGCACGACGGCACTTTTACGTGAATACCCGAATGACTTGGAAGCAGTGAAACTTCACGCTGAGTTAAAGGAAATGAGGGACAGAGAAATGATAGCTGCAAGCTCCTGTATCGCTGTTTGTACAGCCACGACTTTTGGTCTCCTCTTGGCTTCTTGGATCCATGCTTTAGTTACGAAAGATCGTTAACTACAGCATAAAGTTAAAAGAAAAATATAAAAAGTACAAAAGCTCGCCCAAGAACTTTAGATGTCATATCAGTTCTTGCTAGTTTGTCTGAATGTCTCGGCTTTTGAGAAATCGTATATTCAACTACCTCATCCAAAACACTACCATTCACATCGTGCTCGGGTTTTAATTGTCCTTCATAGGCAGAGACAATATTCTCATTCACCCACTAACTGTTGACGAGCGACGCACGATGCGCTCGGATACCAGGTTTAGTTTTAATCTATAAAACAGATTCAGTTATAAAACAACATAATTTCTTTTCACTTTTTCAGGTAAAATTATCCCTGTAGCTCCATAATTTAACATCCAGTAGGCCTTAAACGGTTTATTCACACAAATTTCACATACATATCGAAGAGTAAAGAAGTAAAAAGATTTTAAAACTTTTATTCTTATTCAAACAAAACATTCGTAATTTCCATAATAGGATAAGGGAAACTTGACGAAACCCTTTGATTCATTTGCTCATGAACTTCATCCTTTGCTAACTACCGATATTAACACCACACCACCACAACTTAAGTGTTGGTTGCATTTCTATAAAAACCTGTTGCAAATCGCTTTTGCTTGAGTTATTTATCATAGCGAAATGGAGTCAGGACCGGTCGTTTGGTACTGTCATGCTTGTGGTAATGAATTTGAGCAACCTGGAAATTGTACCAGATGCAATAGTGACTTCGTCGAAATGGTATGTTTAGGATCATTTATAAAAGGAATAAGGGGTATTAATTGATGTTTTTCTTGATAAAAGCATTAAGATAAATCCATTTCCAAGAAACTGAATTTTAAACTTACGTTCTATAGATTGAGTCTAATACAGCTCCTCAAGATGATCCTAGAGTTCAAAACATAATCCCTATACCAGAACTGGCTGATCCTGGTGCTATGTTACAGAACATATTTCGTGCGTTTGGCACCCAGCCCGAACCATCTGAAGCCCAACCCAATCCGACTTCCGAGAATGAAACTGATAATACATTCACCGATCCTCGCTCAGGTCAGTTTTCAAATACCGCACGTTCCGGTTCTACATCAGACTCATCTTTTCCTCGTAATACGACTCCCAATCCAACTGGAACCCCATTTGTTACGCCGGGAATCGTAAACGTAGGGCAAGTTCATAATCTGTTTCAAACCCTACTAGGACCTGGTTTGAACCGCTTGTCTAGATTTCCTAACACAAACCAACCTTCTGCTACCAGTACCCATGAATCGACTGCTCATGATGTAGATCCTGCAGGAAGCAATCCAGCTGAGAATTTAACTGGAGCCTATGTTGATACTCCTCTACAAGAAACGCTTCCTTCGTATGCTTCATCAGTTAATCGGGAAGCTGCAGATGCGAATGCTAGCTCTGGACAACAACCTTCAGTGGAGGAACAAGCTCAGTCCAATGATGAAGCTCAACCCGGGTTTTTCAGATCTAATTCGGGAATGCCTTTTGCTGCTCAAAGTTTTGTCTTCTCTATGGGCCCCAATGGAACTTTCCAACAAGTGAATACTCCTAGTGAAAATACTCAGGAGGCTCAAGCAGGTGCTATTCCTATTGCAGATCTAGGATCTATTTTAGAAAGAGTTTTCGGCTCTCTAAACCAAAATGAAGGCCAAGCTGGTGAAGGTGAAACTCCATTTAATGCTGCAAACCTTTTCTCAAACGTATTTAATTTGGCAGGAAATCCAGGAGATTATGCATGGGGTGCAAGAGGATTAGATGACATTATATCGCAACTAATGGAACAAGCACAAGGCCATAATGCTCCTCCTCCTGCTTCAGAAGAAATAATTTCCAAACTCAAAGTACGATCCCCTCCAGCCGAATTATTAGGAGAAGATAATGAATGTACGATTTGTATGGAAAACTTTAAAGAAACTGATCAGGTTATTGAGCTTCCTTGTAGCCATTTTTTTCATGAGAATTGTGTTAAACCCTGGTTGCGTGTAAATGGAACATGTGCTATCTGCCGTGCTCCTATTGATCCTTCTATTAAAGTAAATGAAGGTTCGAACAATCCTCAACAATCACAAGAACATAATTCTGAAAATCCTTCTCAACATGAAGCTCACACAGCCAATACTTTTGGAGGAAATGAGTCTAATGAACGCAGAACAAGATCTGATGCTGACACGGCATCATCAGCAAATAACTTTATTGATGAAGAACCTTTGGAATAAAATGAGAGTAGAGCTTGATGGATTGCCTTAATTTGGTTTGTTAAATCTCGGTGGATATGCTTCTGATGAATGAGTAACTGAGGTTATGACGGCTATATTTTTGAAAGCTCAGAAACATTGCTATTCGTGGTTTTCATTATATTTTAGTGCGTTTTGTTGTACATATCCTGTAAAAATGTTTGGGACGAACTTATTAATGTACATAGAAGATTTCGGTCTTCACGAGCCGTTAATACTGAAGGAAGGCGTAGAGTGTTTTGCCAAACTAAGTCATGATTTTGTTTATGAAAAATATCCGAAAATTAGAAAAAGTAGAAGATAGGAGATGTAAAGCAAAGAAGTTTTTAAGTTTTGTTTAGTGAAATGGTATAAACTATATTTAGATACAATGAACTATACGTGTTTGGAATAATAATAATGATTCAGGACAATGAAAGATTAATTGAGCTAAAGTTTATAAAAGGGGGCTACATACTACTTCAAATGAATAGTAGTAATGAGGTCGCATGTGTTTACGCTTACTGCAATAAAAAGCAAAGTCATGATTCCGACAATAATGGATTACAGAATAAGAGGCCAGAAACCGAAAGTTGCTCAAATGGAAACATTATTCGCAAATAGTAGGGTCGTAAGAAGAATCGGCATGCCAATGTTCGTCAAGAGAGGTTATTCTGTCTTTTATTTCTTCCGGAATCTGAAAAGAAAAAATGTTCAAGTTATGTTTAATTTGATCTAAATTCGTACACTGGACGATAGGTATATAGCCTTTTTCAAGACTCCAACGAAGCAATAGTCTGGGGACATCGACGCCAACGGAGTTGGCGAGTTCGACAAGTGTTGGATCTTGGAGACGAATTCCATTTGTGAGAGGTGAATAAGCTTCCACAAGGATGTCGTGTCCTTTGCACCAATTCACAATGTCGTCCCTGGCAAGAAAAGGATGCAGTTCGATCTGATTAACTATAGGAAAATACTTTGGTTCGGATGCATATAGTTCTTCAAGGTGCTTGATTCCATAATTGCATACGCCCAAATAACGGATATCTCCTCTATCAACAAATTCTTCCATAACTCTCCAGCTTTCGATTCTAGCCTTACTGCCGGCTGCTGGAGAGAAGATGGAAAAAATGTCAATATAAGTACCCAAATGATGCAAACTACTACGGATGGAAGCCCGTGTAGCCGCATAGTCAGAACAGTTAGCTAATTTCGTACTTAAAATGATATCTGTTCTTGGGGCTCGATTTCGCTCACACCAATCAATTACGGCTTTTCCACACACATCCTCATTTCCATATACTTCAGATGTATCAATACGTCTATATCCAGTGTCCAACGCTGCTGTCACTAAGTCATAGCAATCTGCATACTTGATTCGAAAAACGCCAAATCCAATCCTTGGTAAAGACAATCCATTTGGAAGTTGGATATGATTAGGCTCTCCTTTGATTTCACTCATTATTATCCGAGTATTCTAGCAATTATGTATTTTTTTTACAGTACGAAGAGTTGAGACGTAGAGTCAACCGGGAATCGCTACTACAGTAAGTGACGTAAACTTTACTACAAATAAATAATGTTGGAACATCCTTGAAAATGATCAAAGAGGCTGGCTGAAGTTAAATTTATAGTGTTAAATCATTTTAATTATTTTATATCTCTTCCTTACATATTGTTATTTATCTTTTGTTTTTTTTTTGTTTGTTTGATTCTTCTACATCTGTGTACATTATAAGCCCAGGGTCTTCTGTTTTTTTAGTTACTTAACGATTACATTTCACTTTGAATTTCATTTATTTGGAAAAGCTTGATCCTGTTTACGGGAACGTAAACAATGTTGGGCAACAGTTATTGTTGCCCGACTCGCATAAACAAACGAATAATTCGTTGAATGAAGAATAAAATTTCAGCTCCAACAAACAGGCTATTATTGTTATTATAATTCGAGCTGTATGTTGGATAGTTTAGCAGACTTTATTTGCATTTTTGAAAATCTAACCGAAGGCTCTAATTCACTGAAATTTCCAAAGTATCACCAACTGGATGATACATTACTTTCCTCCTTATCAAAGCCTCTTATATTTTAGGCACCATGATAAAAGATATAAAATGAATATATTAGGTACTTTTAAACAGAATAGAATACTTATGTCCTTCTGTAAACAATTCTGCTTTGCTGAATACTGTTACCTCGGAGGTAACCACTAAGTTCCATAGTAAACAACAGTAGCTTTCATTGATTTAAAACCGAGGAATAACAGTACAAATGTTTAGAAAAAGAAAAGCAATCATAAAAAAAAAGAGCAGCAAAACCAGAGGAAAAAAATCAAGAAAAAGCCTACAGCATCCCGGATTCCCATGTTGTCTCCAACCATAGTACTAACGAGACCCTCAGACGCTTAACTGCAGTGATCGGACGGGAACTGGTGTTTTCGCCTAGGTGTGGCCGTAGACAATTGTCAATGTAATGAAAAGTATATGTATTGGATATTCATCATCTCATATTTTACAAAATTTATAGAGGATGGTTTTTGATACTGATTTTCTCTTTTCTAGCTATTCACATTGTGCTAGATTGTCATTGAGGTATGAGACTGAATGTCTGAATTTATAGCAGTTGACGAAGCTGTAGTTTGAGAAGTAAATTATTAAACTACATTAGTTGAAACGGCCAATCTGAATATATCCAGCTTTGAATTAGAAATCGGTTGATTATTTTGCAAAATTATTGTCATAACAACTAAATAATCATTAAAAAGGTTGCATTAACAAAAATTTTCGTCACAAAGAAAACGAACGATTCATAAATAACACTATTGCGAGACGAATCCAAAGATTCATAAAAGAGTGAACGTGAAAAGCAATCCAACCTGCCGAATGAAGCTGATGCTTACTTTTGTGGACAAGAATGCAGAAACTTGAGGGATTGCAATTGATATGGATGCTTCGAAGGAAAATGTGATTTATAGGAGGGATGGAGAAGATTCGTTAAAACTCAAACTTCAGCGCTTTGCTCAGCAAGAGGTTGAAGCTCAATTTCCTCGTTACGAGGTGCTTCATTTTCTGGATCTGTCGGTCCTAATTAGGTTAGTCAGGTGCTAAGAAAAAAAAAGTTATAACAAACAGTACATACGAACATAATTCGCAGCATTTCTTATGCCGTATCCTATGCTTCCCATGCCGTTTCCTAAATCAGCAATGAATATTCGAAGTTGTCGCGTATCCGTACCTAGAACCAGTTAGAATATTTCGCAAGGTGTAAGACATACTCCAAAATAAAACAAACAAGGCAACGTTAACAATGCAAATACCATAGAAAGCAATGTCGTTCATCTTTTCAAATCCTATTATTTTCTTTACATTATAATAGACGACGAAACCAACGCCATTCAGAGAAGCCGTACATATTACTGCGACACACATGTTGGACAGCACTCTACCAGTTTGCTTGAACCATTCTTTAGGAATTTGAGAAATTGCTAATAGTTAGTAAAAATAAAACATAGCGCTAACTTACAATAGAGAAATACTACAATGGACACTGGACAGGTAACAGAAAGTCCCCAAAAGGTTTCCGTCCTCACAGGAATCTTGAAATAAAAAAACACCACGAGAAAAATGGAAGAAGTTACAACATACACAAGAGACGCAAAAAATAAGAAGATATTCGCTGAAACCCACATCGAATATGTCGAATCCGATCCAGCGTTGTTAGTGGACTCTTGGGCAGAATGCTGAGTGGATCCATCAGCCATTTCTAAATCAATAAATTTGTTCGGAGCTAATGAATGTATTAATGATGAATGCTTTTGTTGTTTAAGAAAGGATAGAGCGTTTGTCAAGTTTGCTGATGGTAATCAACAAGTTTACTAACCTTAAACACAACAAGTAAACAAACAAACATGATTCTTCATCAAAACTGTTTTTAGCCTAGATTTTTTCAACAAACATACAAAAACCAACCCTTCCTTTCTATTTCAATAAATCTTACCTGAATACGGAGGAGGCGTACCCTCTGAAGAATGTATATCTGATTTCTCATCAATGAGCGTTTTGAATGACTCGTCAGAGTCTGAAAGAGGACTGTACTTATTCTTCATTTTCGCAATGGCAAATCAAAAACCAAAAGAACACCAATACTTATAGCTGAAACAAAATCAACTAGAATTACCAAGAAAAGTCTGTAGAAATCGATTCCACTTTTCAGGGACCTGTAAAAAAAGGAATTGTTCCTTGTTTCTAAAGAAAATCAATACCTTGAGTAAATTCTGTCTAAAACCAAAGATAGGTATGAAAAAAATCTTGGTAATGGCTTTTCGCATGTCTCAAGTTCATAAAGCAGCGACATTATGTCACTGACTGGTCACAACCTCGTTATGATTATTTGACTTTCGTTTTTTACCGTACTTTTTCGTAATACTATAGTTCAAACGAATCAAGTATTACAAAAAGTAAATAAAGAACCTTTCATCAAAAATATACAAACTGTATACTTAAAATAATATATACACGAAATAGGAATTAGATATAACTTTATTTAAAAATCCTTGAAGAAATTTGTACATCTAGGGGTTTTAAACGCAGTGGATGTTGATGTAGATGGAAAGGAAATCTTTGTTATGCTGGGTCCGGTCTTCTGTTTTTCCTCTAGCTCGGGGTATACTTGTATTTTTTGCATATTATTCATAACACCGCTTTTCCATGACTATACTCTTGATTGGAGTCTATTGCTTTAGCTTTTTCCATATGCAAAACATCACCTAACTCAAAGTACCATGGCGATCAAAAGGAAATCCAAATGCAACACGATGCATGCATACGTTACGCTAAAACAGGTAAAAAAACAAAAAGAACGAAGGAAAATCCTACAGCACCCCGAATCCCCATGTTGTCTCCAACCATAGTACGAAACTAACGAAGCCGTCTAAAGGTTTTCACTTGCTGCCGTGATCGGACGGGAACTGGTGTTTTCGCCTAGGTGTGGCCGTAGACGTCAAGTTAGTTTTGTATAAATATTTGTAGTAATGTGTTCCTTTGTACAAGGATCTTGATGTTAAATAGTTCAGTAGACCGTTTAGAAGCTTACACTTCATATGAACATATTTGATAAAACAATGCAAATATTGTATAAAAGTCATCATAGGTTATGACTCAATTTAATATAGTAATATGTTAGACGGGTTATAAAGATATCAATATATACGTAATTTAATTCCTTTTTTGACAACTAAAGTATCCGATATAAAAAGAACCTTCAGAATAAAAACCCATAAAATTTATCAAGTATTCTTGATTGAAGTTAATCCCTTCTCTATTCCACTTTATATTCCTCCTAAAAATGAGTCAAAAAATTGACTATAGCGAAAGCTTTACCAACTATTATAAGACCTATTATCCAGCATTCGGTATGCAGAAATTTCCAAGTTGTCAACTAACTCATGAAGCTTTTAGTGGTGCTCGTATGTTGAACGGGATGCGTTCATAATTTGCAAGCTAATCTGGACAGTTTTGGCATCAATACCTAGAGCACTCAAACGCCCTGTGGGAGGACCATTTGCACCAGGCTGTTTACTATGCGGAAGTTTTGTAGCAGTTGGCGGGTATGTATAAATATGTGAAGTAATATGCCATAGACTTCATTTCAATGTTGGAAATGGTCACTAACAATTAATATTGAAGACTGGCAATCGCTAGCGGAGGTAAGTAAAAGAACATCAAAACGAAACCCCTTAGGCTCAATTTTTCTAAAATTATGAAATTCCAAATACATTTACTATCGTTGTTGTCCTTATTGCTAACTTACACTTGCGTCAAGATATAGCGAATGGGTCAGGGATTTCAACAGCATGGTCTTTGGCATATTTTATGATTAACGCAAAGAAATCCATTAAATCATTTCGAATGTATCCTCTAGCATTATGTACATTTGCTGGGATAAACACAATCGGATATGGTCGCACAATATTTCAGGAATATTAATGACTTCCGTGAATCTGTTATTTACAGAAAAAAATTGAAGTTTTGAAAATACAATAATTATTAGAGATGATAATTTGAGTAACTAAATACAAATGATGGGTCCTTTATATACCTGCTGATTACCCCTTTTGCCTGAAAGGCAAGTCTCGGAAAATCACTTTAAATATATAAATTTAATTTATTCAAGCAGCATTAAATCAGTTCCTGAATGATTTCAAAAGGACATTGTAATCAGGTCAACTTGTTACTAACTAAAAAATTCTCAAAAAACATTTGCTTTTAGGGAAGAGAGACACACAAAAATTAAGAGAATTAGTATTCCGTTTATAAATTCCCATTAGCTTGCAAATTCTTTTTTAGTTCATCAGCTAATGTTACAAGGGTAGGATCGCCAGTAAAGTCTCGGATGTACTCTTTATCTACTTCACGTTCTTTTGGATACGAATAAGAACTATTAATTAGTCATTATTTATTGCAATTTTTTGGACGAGTAGAAACTTACACATATTCGTCTATTCTGTCTTGCACAGACCAACCCATTAGTGCACGAAGAGAGCCTACCACGATTCCAGTGCGATGCTAAACATACGCAATTAGTTTTTTTTTCTTTTTAAAATAAGATTAGTGAACCATACCTTGCCTCCGCTACAATGAAGTAGCACTGGCCAAAATTCTTTATTTAATATCACATAAAGCGATTTCTTGACTAAGATATCAATATCTGAATGGTAAGTTACAATGAATTTTCTTTTTTTTTCTCTTTTTTTTTTTTTTTAGAATTAAAGGCAACGGAGACTTCACTGATACCACTCACCTATCAAATCATTTCCTTCTTCTTTCGATACCGAGTCCTGTTTTCTATATTTGCTTCCGGGCATTCCAAAATGATAATATTTTATATTTTTAGTAGCCATATATTCAAGTTCTTGATCAGTATATTCTTCTTGACGCAGCGAGACAATGGTACGGATAAATAAAGATTCAAGGAAAGCAAAATTTGTCCGACTGGGACACGAGGAACGGAATATTATGTTTGGATAAACAATACCGAAGTTTTCTGGTACAACTGATGGACCAGACATTGAGACTGACGATGGAATTTCTGTTCCTTCAAGCAACCTCACAGGTATTTCATCGAAACCAATTAACTCGCAGTTTTTGCTCTCTTTACGTTGTCTACAATCTTCTTCAGTAAGAAATTCATAATTTAAAGGTCTGGATGTAGACATCGGAGTTCCCGCGCTCAGTTTCTTCTTAGAACAGTCTTTCACAGGTTTATCACATAGAATATTCATGAATCAATCAAAAATTTCATATACAGCCTGTTATCCGTTACGAATTTCTTGAGTACGAGACTTTACGGTGTCAATGGCCACTTAAAACGGAACCTCGCGGAATTCACAGAACTGTCTGATTTCTCTAGAAATTACGAACAAAATAGGTTCTACAAAACTAAATCTTCAATGATTACAAGTGTTTCGGAATGAACCATACCCAGAATCGTGATTTTATGATCCTTCAGAAATTACTTCAGTGCGCTAAAAGCAGGAATCCAGCGCATACTCACAATGGCATGCATATTTGGGATTATCAAAACACCATTGATAAAAATAAACTAAAGTATTATTAATACATATATACAACTGACCCAAAAAACAAACTTCCGTTTAGGCGTCACTAGTTTAAGTTTGCAACAGAAACATGAGTTCAATATTGTATCGAAGCTTTCATAAGTATATTCTTTATCCCGTTTTACAGTCTATTATCTAAATCTTAAAGAATTACTTAAGTCATCGAACTGTCTCAAAAATGAAGACTTGATACTTGATAAAATTGATTCGCTATATTCCAAAAAAAAAATGAAGACAATATTCTTTCTAAAGTTTTAACACTACTATAACGAGAAGATATGTGCTCTTCCAATAAATCAAAATTTATCGTAATCATGGGACGGTGGACAGGTCTCTTTAGGCAGCTTCTTTTTGTACATCGACACCACCGTACTTTATACGCCACTTTTCTTCCATGCTTTCGTCAATGCGAGAAAACAAGTATTCAGGTTCTCCGATTCTATGACCAGGAAGCAAAGGAAGAGAGAAACTGTCAGTAATAGCCATTGCAGGAGCATTCAATTGCTTGTTAATACTAGAGCTAACACTAGGCATATATGGGTACATGATAGAACCAAGCAAATATATCAAGTTCAGGGAATAACCAATAGCATCTGCACACTTTTGTCTTTCGTACAAGAAACACTTGTTGTCAACGCGATTATCTTGAAGATATTGATTACCACGAGCAGAAATCTCCATCGCAAGTCGAAGTCCTTCGCGTAATTTCGATTGCTCAAGTGCAGCATTGTATTTTTTCAATAACTTGTTAATGTCTTGAACAAAGTCCGTCTTCAACTTGGCCGCTCCAACAGACGGATTTTCCAAATAATGGGGAATAATTCCATTGTATTTGGCGGTGGTAAATTTGAGGGTGCGGTTAACAAAGTTACCAACATTAGCAAGCAGCTCAGAATTGTGTCTAGTAATGAAATCCTTCCAAGTAAACATGGTATCGGAAGTTTCAGGACGAGTAGACAGAAGATAATAACGCCAAACAGAAGAAGATAAGCCAATATCTTGAGCTGTATTACCAAAAACACCTACACCACGGGATTTCGAAAACTTGCCAGTCTCGTAGTTTAGATAATCAGTGGTGTTGATATGATGCAACATCGTCCATTTCTCCTTTGTACCCAACAAAGAGGAAGGGAAAATAACAGTGTGGAAAGGAACATTATCTTTACCCATGAATTGATACAATTTAACATGCTCAGGATTTCTCCACCACTTCTCCCATTCATCAGTGTAATTAGCAGTGATACTGATGTAACCAATAGGAGCATCAAACCATACATAAAGAACTTTGTCGCTGAATTCTTTCAAAGGAACCGGCGTACCCCATTTCAGGTCACGGGTAATGCAGCGAGGACGAAGTCCTTCTTTCAACCAAGATTCAGTAATGGCCCGTCCATTCACAGTCCACTTACCCTCGACAGCAGCTTCGGTAACCCAAGTTTCGACAGCAGGTTGCAATTTATCTAGTGACAAGAAAATGTGACTCGTTTCACGCTTGACAGGCTCAGAACCATCTAACTTACATTTGGGTTTAATAAGTTCAAAAGCATTCAGAAGACCACCACATTTATCACATTGGTCACCTCGAGCGTCCTCATATTGACATTTAGGGCAGATTCCTTCAACATAACGATCAGCAAGATAACCATTATGGACTTCACAATATAATTGAGTCATAGAGTCGGCGGACATGTATCCGTTTTCATGCAATTTATTGAATATGTGTTGAGCAATCTCAGTCTGTTTAGGTGTAGTTGTACGACCAAACTCATCAAATTCAATTTCAAACCAATTGTAGACCTGCTTATGTAAAGCATTGTACTTGTCACAAAGTTCTTTGGGGGACACACCTTCTTCCAAAGCTTTAGTCTCGGTAGCTGTACCATATTCATCAGTTCCACAAATATAGAGAGTGTTGTGATTGCGGGCACGATGATAACGAGCAAAAACATCAGCACTGAGGGTACTTCCTACGATATTTCCCAAGTGAGGAACATTGTTTACATAAGGCAAAGCAGAGGTAACCAAAATGTTAGGTTCATTTTCTTTAGGAAGAAGTTTTTCGGATGCATTTCGCTCACGCATTAAATTGGTAGTTTGAATATTCCGAGTTTCTGTAGAAATAGGAACCTTAGCGGAAATCTCGGCGGGTTGACCTAAAGATTTCTCAAGACAAACTCGCAAAGCATTAATAAAAGAAGGGTGCTTTTCAGTCTTGAGATACCATTTACTCAATTCTGGGTACCCTTCCAGACCAGCTCCATTGGTGATACAGAAATGGATATCGGCAACAAGAGCAATTTCTGCAGGGGTAAAGTTCTCAGAAATGGAGTCTTGCTTAATTGCTTCTTGTAAAAGGCTCAACAGTTCATTGAATTTTTTCTTCTCGGCAGCTTCTTCCACAAAATTACCAAATGTTATAGCCTCCCAATCTAAAATAGACATCTTTGAGTCCAAAAATTCTTCGAAAGAGACATTTTTTTGTTGCCAGTACAAATAACTAAATGGATGTAAACATCATTACCGTATTTTCAGTGGACTGAACAATTACTTACCTTACAATAGCATTGGCGTCAGAAATAAATCTGCTTGAATCTTTGGCATCTACCAATCGAACAGAAGGGCAATTTGCAGCTATACTGTGTTAATAGTCGACTAAACCTTTTGTTTTTTGAATCTTACCTCCTTCAACAGGAGCCTTTACACCATATTCGTGAATTGAAATAGCAACTTTCAAAGAGTTTGCAAAAGTATATGAAGTTTTTAGAGATGCTGGGAACTCCAATTTTATAGTTGCCATTTTTGGCCCTTTTCCTTTAGTAAAACGTTTTAGCAAAGTTCTGTCTGTCTATTAACAAGCAAATGTATAAGGAGTTGGAGTGCGCCCTTTATTTTAAAGAAGATACCGTAGATACATATTTGGTTCGTTTATAAGTTGATTAAGGAAAAGTAGCGTTTTATAAACTTAAAGCTCGTTGAAAGCAATTATTACATTCAAAATTACAATTAGAAGTTGAATTAATTGAACACAGGAGACGTTATTTTCTGTCTATAGAATGGCATTTTCCTATGAAGATAGCAACTGGAAAAAATTTGACAGAACAATGGCGAATCGTGAAACCAAAACCGCTGAAAATTAAAGCTCATCATGATTTACTAGAAGAATAATTATTAAAAAACGTAGATATGTATAACCAACAGAAGAGGATTCTAGGGGAACACAACTCGTTAATCCAAATTAAAGAATAAACCCCATGTTTCATTCTTATAGAAGGGAAGAATCATCAAGTAGAGAACGATCACGTCTCTAGAAAGACTCAAGGAGCCCAAGTTAAAGTCTATATGAAAGGATGTCAAAAGGAAGTACCACTTTTTTATCCCTTTTTCTATTTTTGTAAATTTCACGAGTATACTTGTACACTAGTATAAGTACATTATTGGACAGAGGAAAAAGAGTAACGAGGGGAAAGGTACACGGAATCAAAGTAGTAGACTTAATAGTAATAGTAATTAGAAAATGTTTTGTGATAGCTGAGTCGAGAAAACTCATCGCAATGAGGTAAAGAAATTTCTTTTGCCCTGCTTAATTTTTCTGCATCAGGAAAGAACCAACCATAAGATTTCCGGATTTGATCCTCCTTATATTCTCTTTCTTTAATGCATTCAGCATGCACTCTCTCCGCATATTGTTGCTCAATCTGATTAGCCAGTCTAAGAGAGTCTCGAGAAGAAAGAGAATTGTATTGCTTTGGATTTACATAGAATGGAACCTTATATTTTGGAGAAATATACTGAGCGGAGTACTTTTCTGTAGGTACAAATGAGTATCCAGCACGGACGGATGAATCACCAGAAGAAGTGAAATTAGACAAAAATGCGAAAATAACAAGGATTAAGATGGGTAAGATTTGATAGAGCATACTCTTGTTGTTAGTATCTTCAGCTTGTTGTCTTCGGTACCTCCGAGGACGACCACCGAATTGATGAACACGAACACCTGGTCCGCCAAAGAAAAACGTATTGGGTCCTCCTAAAAACGAAGTTAGTAACGAATGAAGGGTCAATTATACGAGTATAAATTACCTGAGAAGAACTGATCGCCAAAAAATGAATTGAACAAATCTTCGGGTGACATTTGTGCTTGCGGATAGCCAGAAAAACCTTGGAAGCCAGGTCCAGCCCGTTGAGAAAATGACGAAGTAGAAGCACTCGCTCGTGATTCAGGATCTGCTCCTGTTCTGTCGTAATGTGCCCTCATGTTCGGGTCCGATAAAACCTGAAACGCCTTGGAAACCTCTGAGTATAGAGTTAGCATATTTGAACTCAAGTTGAGTTAAAAAGGAATTTCAATGCATACTTTTGAAAGCCTCATCAGCATTTGGTGCGTGATTTTTATCCGGATGTAATTGTAATGCGAGTTTCCGGTATGACTTCTTTATTTCTATATCTTTGCAATCCTTCTTCAGGTTTAATATTTCATAGTACTCATGTTGTTTTAGTTTTGTTATTTTGTGAACAATCTCCATTTGTTCCCGCGTGTATGAGGCTTGAGAACTATCATTGCTTCTCGGTGAATTCGAGGTTCTATCACGCATGGTTGAAGAGGCATTACTAGTTCCAGTGGAGGCGGCTGAAGGTTTAGTCTTATTAGACGTTCTTTCTTTAGTCATATACGTTCTGAAGTCTTTTGCTTCTGGTGTAGGAAGAATTCGTTCTGACTTATCAGTAAATTTGGATGCTTTTTGGTAATCTCCTGCTTCCAAATATTTCCTAGCCAAACTTATACAGCTACAATAACAACAATTAGCGCCCAAAAACGAACTTTTGTGGAAAAGAACCTTACCGAAGCGCTTCTTCTCGGCTTGCCTCCATTGTACTACACTTTACAAAAAAAAATTATCAAAAGAGTAGAGTTTGCTTTATTTTTACACAATACCACTTCTTTGATGTTTGCAAGTAAAGGAGAGAGGAGTACATCGATTGATTTTCGAAACCCACCAGATAACAATCCCAACACTTGAATCTTGTTTACCAAGTAACAAAGTGTCTTAATAGAAGTGCAGGTTCAAAAAATAACTTCTGCCGTTTTATTTTTGGATTTTTGGGTATTGCATATATTTTTATTCTTAATTTAACTGGCTTTTCCTCTTTTTTATAATCTTCTACGATTTTTTTTGAGCCATCTCCATACTATTAGCAAAAATGGAAGTGCATCAGGATGAGAACACATGGAAGCCCGTATTTAGTGAATTACATTCTTCTGTTCAAGAGGCAGAAGCTACTCTTCGAAATGACGGTTCTATGGAAAAAGCTATCAAACAAGTTGGTTACGCTGACTCTCTAGACCAAATATCGAAAATCGATGAAAATATCTACATCAGCAGCTGGAAAGCCGCATCAAATAACGATTTACTAGAAATGAACAACATTAAATACGTCTTGAGCGCTATGAGCATAGATCCAAAATTGAACTTACCAAGCGATCAACATATATGGATTCCTATTGAGGACGGAAGCTCCCAAAACATTTTGCAGCATATTTCGAAAACCATAAAATTTATAGATGAAGCCGTTGCTTCCAATTCACGCGTCCTTGTACATTGCTTTGCTGGAGTATCAAGGTCCGTCACTTTAGTATCAGCTTACTTAATGAAGAAAAACGATTGGGATCCTGAGAAAGCTTTAAATTATATTTCTACCAAACGTTCAAATATTTCCCCAAACCCAAGCTTTTTGAAACAGTTGCAAGTATATTATGAATGCCGATTTGAGCTTTCTCAACAACAACGTCCATACCGACTTTGGCTTTTCCACAAATACGGTGATTTTGCTGTCCTTAACATAAGGGTTCCATCAGATGTAAATTATACCGAATCTGTTCGGGCTCGAGCAGGGCAAACTGAAATCCGGTGTAAAAAATGCAGATTCATACTTGCATCTTCCGACTATATCATTCCCCATGAACCAAACAACAAACCACAGAATGTGAGATGTACTCATTACTTCCTTGAACCTATTCGTTGGATGCAACCCGAATTGGAATTAGGAAATTTAGAGGGTCGTTTTGATTGTCCCAAATGTAGTTCAAAAATAGGTTCATACCGTTGGCAAGGAATGCAATGCAGTTGTCTTGAATGGGTTTGTCCTGCTCTCAGCGTTATGCAGTCTCGTGTAGATGCTGTTCGAAAAATCATGTAATCATATAAAATTTTTACATATCTCCGTCGTCGCTCTTTTTACGTTTTGAAAAATCTCCTTACACATGTTGGTCTTTACGTCCCAATGTTTACAGTTAATTTACTTAATATATTCTCATATGTTCAATTCTTTTCCTGATTCCTTTTCCTAGTACTATTCCAAATATATTTCAGTAAAACGCCATCAAGTCTTTTAAACTTTGAAAAAGGTATTCTATTATTAATACTTCATCCATTCTGTCTACATTTTTTTTGAAATCCTTACTAATCACCTGTAATGAAATTGATATCGCGTATCGTAACCCTACCCTCGTACTGAAGTTTACGTGTAGTGCCAAATAGTAAAGTACCTTTTCCCGTTCTTATTATCGAAAGACATGGCTCCTACTTCAAAAGCATTTGATTATTTAGTTATTGGCGGTGGAAGCGGTATGTATATGAACACACTAAATTTGATTGAAAATAGCTAATGTCTGGTTCGTTTAGGTGGTCTTGCATCAGCTCGACGTGCAGCCAAATATGGCGCCAAGGTAGCTTTGGTTGAAGCATCTGGCCGCTTAGGTGGTACTTGTGTAAATTATGGTTGTGTTCCCAAGAAGATAATGTGGAACATCGCTGATTTAGTTGCCAAGATGAAAACCGCTCCTCAACAAGGATTTCCAGAAAGCAACATTGGTCGCTTTGATTGGGGCCTCATAAAAAGAAAACGAGATAACTATATTAAAAGATTGAATGGAATCTACGAGCGTAACGTTAACAATGATGGTGTATTATATATTTCTGGTCATGCTAGTTTTGTTTCACCCACGGAAGTTGCCGTGGATATGCTGGATGGTTCTGGCGTCCAAACTTTCTCTGCGAAGAAAATTCTCATTGCCGTAGGTGGCCGACCTATTTGGCCTTCTCATATTCCCGGTGCCGAATACGGTATCGATAGCGACGGATTTTTTGAATTAGAAGAACAACCCAAGAAAGTCGCCGTTGTCGGAGCTGGTTACATTGCTATTGAGTTGGCTGGTGTTTTCGCCGCCCTTGGTACAGAAACCCATTTGTTTATCCGCCGCGACAAGTTTTTGCGTCGCTTTGATCCCATCATCAGTGATGGCGTAATGAAGCACTTTGAGCATCTTGGTATTCATATACATAAAAACTCTAGCGAGTTTCGCAAGATCGAAAAACTCCCATCGTCTCAGTTGCGTCTTCACAGCGAGCAAAGCACTTTAGACGTCGACAGCCTTCTCTGGGCTGTTGGCCGTACCCCCAAGACTGAGGGTTTGCGTCTTGATCGTGCTGGCGTTAAGACTCTCCCTAGTGGACATGTTGTTGCCGATGAATATCAACGCACAAATGTGCCTTCTGTCCTCTCTTTGGGTGACGTCGTTGGCAAGATCGAGCTCACTCCTGTAGCCATCGCTGCCGGTCGTCGCTTGTCTGACCGTCTCTTTGGAGGTGTTAAGGACGCTCATCTGGATTACGTGAACGTCCCCTCTGTTGTTTTCGCTCATCCCGAAGTTGGTACCATAGGTTTAACCGAACAGGAAGCTATTGATAAATATGGCGAAAACCAGATTAAGGTATATAATTCCACTTTCAGAGGTTTGAATTATGCTTTGGTTGATGAGGAAAATAAGGTCCCTACTACATACAAACTTGTCTGTGCTGGTCCACTCCAAAAGGTTGTTGGCTTGCACATGGTTGGTGACTTTTCTTCAGAAATTCTTCAAGGCTTTGGTGTAGCTGTGAAGATGGGTGCAACCAAAGCTGACTTTGATAACTGTGTTGCAATTCATCCTACTTCTGCAGAGGAATTGGTAACTTTAGTTTAAGCCAATTTGACATTTTGATATTATACTGTGATATTTTTTTTTTGTTGAATCTCAAAATCCTTTACACGTAATATATGATTTAAATCACCTATGGTAGTACTTTTTATTTTGTTTCCCATTATCATTTATGTAAATTTATACGAAATAGTTCTTGTACGGAGACAAGTTTTAACATAAGAGAAGACAGACCTGACCTATATCATTGAAATTAGTTGTTGGTGTTCAATTCGCTACTTCCAATTCACTTCCTATAGTTCAGAAAATCCAAATATTATCCCTAGCTCGTAGTATAAACATGGCTCAGATTAAACAGGCAATTCAAAAGAGGTAACTTCATGCATATTAATAAACATTTCATCATGCCTCATACTAATCAAATCCTGTAGTCTTCGGTTTTACGACATTGGATACAACGCAACAGATCCTGTTTTTCGAGGCTTTTATCATGACAAGCAACGCCATATTGATGACTTCGATGCTATCATTTCTCGTGCAGTGTCAAAGGGCGTTCAAAAAATGATGATTACCGGCGACAATGTCGTTAATTCAAGAGAAGCTTTAAAACTGGCAACTCAATACGGTATGAACAGATGCAAAATGATTAAAAAGCATGCATTATAAATACGAATTTATTTACCAAGATTCTAACTTTTAGACTCTTTTACTTGTACCATTGGAGTGCACCCTTGTCAGGCAGAATGCTTTAACAAGAATCCTAACGGACCTGAAGACTATATCAATCAATTAGAATCATTAGTACATGAAGGAAAGAAAACTGGGAAAGTAGCTGCATTCGGTGAATTTGGCTTGGATTATGACAGACTTCATTACGCTTCAGAGGATGTACAGAAAAAGTGAGTAATTTTATGCTAAATTAGCTTTCGTTTGTTTCTAATCAGTTTCAAGATACTTTGAAGAACAATTGAAGTTAGCTGTTAAGGTACAGTTGCCTTTATTTTTACATTCAAGAAACGCAGCCAAAGACTTCTTTGAGATCCTTGAAAAATATTTGCCAAATTTACCCAAAAAGGGCGTTGTACATTCCTTCACTGGTACAATTGAAGAGATGCAACAATGTATTGATCACGGTCTCTACGTTGGAGTTAATGGTTGCTCATTAAAGACTCCTGAAAATGTTGAGGTAGTAAGAGCAATTCCTTTGGATAAGATGTTGTTAGAAACGGGTATGTCTATTATGGAATTAACTGTTAAACGTGGAAAAGTATTCTAATTAGATTTTCTAGATGCCCCTTGGTGCGAAATTCGTCCATCGCATGCTGGCCATGCTTTCTTGGACTCTAAGAACCTTTTTGATACATGTAAAAAAGAGAGATTTAAGGAGGGATGCATGGTTAGGGGTAGGAACGAACCATGCAATACTTTAATCGTTGCAGAGGCTATAGCCAAGATAAAAGGTATAAGTCTTGAAGACTTAGCGGATAAAATTTGGGAGAATAGTATTTCACTGTTAGGTTAAATATTTTTAGATATCCAATCGAGAACAATTAATGCTTCTGAACTAGGAACGCTGTTTAACATAAAAGAATTGATGAACCCCAGTTCATATGCCATCCCTTTCCAAGGATAATTCATTATTTCTTGTTGAAGTCGGTCATTTGAACTCGTGAAATTGAAGTTTTCAATTATACCATGTCGTATAGATATATCGAGTTCAATCTGGTGATTTCCAATAGGTAAATTGTTCGTAGTTATAAGTTGCTTAAAGAATGGAGTTTGCCCAAAAGTCCAATTCCATGATTTGAGCTCTTGCATGGTTTGCATTACATGTGGCACGCCAGCAAGATCATTTGAATCCACAAATACGACGTTATCACGAGAAGAAAGATCAGCAGTCTTTTGATCATCTATAGAAGTATCGGGATTAGTTCCTGAAACATGCCGAGCATCGTCATATTGTAAAAAGCTTAACATTGCTTCTCTCAGAAAGTCCACTTGAGAGAGGTTTACGTTTGCAACATCCGATCGAGTACTTGTAACTCCTTTGGAGATAATTCCCTTTGTTGTGCTTCTCAAATAACTGCTAATTCCTTTTAAATCTGAATTCAGTAGCATCGTCCCGTGATGGTAAGATTTCCCTTTGCTAATTTTGTAAGCAGATCCACTTATTTTCTGTTTTGTATCCTTTAAGACAATATCATGCCGCTGATTTAGTTCTGCTTCAACGTTTAGTTTTTCAAGAGCCTTAACTATCAATTCAGCACCTTTTGTATGAGAGAATTCGTTTCGATTTGTCAAGAGACTATAATTTACGTTTCCTAAATCATGAAATACAGTACCACCTCCAGACTTCCGGCGAATAATGTTGACCAAATTACTTCTGCATTTCCTCACATTGGCTTCCACCCAAGGGTTCTGATTTCTCCCAATAATTACACTGGGAGTATTTGTATATAGAATTAAAGACCTAGGAGATTTGCTGTTGGAGTAGAGAAAGTCTTCGAGAGCCAAGTTGAAGTACGGGTCAACTGACTTACTGATAATAACTTTAGCATGTAACAGCTTGAACCATTGTTTTGAAGTTTTAGAAATTAAACGTCCCCTCAAGTCCATAGAATATATCTACCGTCGTTTTATTTAGGACTGTGGTTATGGTATTTCCTTGACTCGCTTTAAGTTGGCTTGTCTTAATTTTGGCGTCTTTTTTGATTTGTAGATTTAGGAAAAACGTATTTTAATAATTCTATATCAAATACGATCGAGATTAATTTGAGAATTAATTTTTTTGTAGAGAAAAAATAAGTCGTTCCTTTCGTATTACTACTTCATACTCATGGAGTTGTTCGGTTTCGCTAGTCCTCTTCAAATCGGTAAAGTATATTCATTATGTTTTATATGCTTTAGACTAAACTAACAAAATCAGTTATTTCAAATGAAATTGACGATTTATGTACACAATTCTTAAAAGGACAGATAGAAACAACATTCAAAACCCTCGTTTTACCAAGACCTTTTAGAAATTCTGTCGTGCCCCAAGAGTCTTTTTATGTTTTAGCAGATTTCCTTTATCAATTGTCGTGTGTCGGAAGGGGCTCTCTTGGTAATGAGGTCTCAAAAGTATTGTTGGTGAAAAACACTGACAGGCTAGAGAGAGCATCACCGAAGCTTCAGATCTATGAAGTCTTCTTAAATTCAGGATTCCAATATTTAATTTTACTTGCAAAGAAATGGAGTCAGAAAGCTTACCGACGAACAAACACCATACAAAGTCCACATCATGACCATCCAGGCAACCTGGTAATAAAGAATGAACTGGTAAACAGAATATATCTTTTTTTCAAAAAATGGATGCCGGCTTTGTCGCGAATCTTTTCCATCATACGCTTGTTATTTTTCATAAATAAGCATCATTGCCGTACATTATCGCAACTATTCCTCGGCCTTCATTACATTTCAATTGATACCTCAGAAAAAAGTTTCACAAAAAACAAGTTTTTTTTACTTCTACTTTACAACTTCGTAAGACTGACAATATCGATACTGAAGAATACAAAGCGAGGCAAACATTTACTTGTTCAGGAAACCGATAACGACTCTTGGTCGATAGAACCTGCAACGCTAGAAAATCCTGAAACCTTCTCTTTTATACCAGATAGTTCCAGAAAATGTGCTTTATGCATGGAGTGGATGCATAAACCGACAGTTACTGAATGCGGCCATATATATTGCTGGCATTGCATATACAACTGGGCGAAAACCAAGCCAGAATGTCCATTGTGCCGATCTTTTGCCTCCCCTTCGAAGCTAATCTTACTCCGGTAGACATTAACAATTATCGTTAGACTGTCAAAATACTAACCGGTTTTTGAAGCCGTTTCACGTCTATTACAAAGGAATAAAGACAACGTACTTTTTTATACACATTCCACGAATGGCCTATTTATGTACATATAAAAAACTTCAACTCCATTAGAGTTGGATGGTCAGTAGCAAAAAACTATTCATTGCTTGTCTCGAGCAGTAAGAACTCAAATTGCGGCTATAAGATCTTTTAATCTTTATTTTTTATTTTTTTTGAAGAGCGTCACTATATAAAAAATTTTGTTTGGAAGTTATTGTTGAGATTGGTTAAGAGTCTAGTACTAAATACAAGTTAACAAATAAAACATAACTTTAAATAAAAGACATTATAATATTATTTTCAATTTTTATAAACGAAAGTTGGAGTACCGCAAAGGCCTTCTCACTGAATCCTAATTTTCAATCTTTTGGATTTGACAACAACAGCCCTTAAGTTTGTAGACGGCTGCATTTGATACATTAGGGTCTCAAATGCCGCCAACAGATTTCGACAAACAGTTGAAATTTTCAAAAATTCAAAAGTTTCTGGGCGTTGTTTACCCAATTGCGATTCTTTCGGTGACCGGCTATGTAGTATGGGTCTATGTGGCCTTAATATGTGGTATGAAAATCAGTGTAATCAAATTGTTCTTCTAACTATAATCATTGTTCAGTAAATTCCAATATTAAAATCAAACATGGATATAGGGCTATGGGAGCAGGAGGTATGCTACAAAAACTGCAGCGATTAGTGGGTTCCTTTACAAGGGTATAATTAACCAAAATAGTAACATTCCTGGTTTTATTTTTTACCAGTGCGGCAATAAGCTATCTGTGCTATTTTCGAGTTCTATTCTCAAACACATCCTATTGTGGTGATACTAGTGAGTGTTCAATTCCACTTATCTGTTAGTTTATTAACAATTTAAAGATTTGGATTACTACGACAGCACAGCACCGATCTTTGTATGCGGTCCAAATGGCGCTCCTCGTATTTGCGGCACCTGTAAATGTTGGTTGCCAGACAGATCTCATCATAGCAGGGTCAGCATGAAATGTATAAAAAAGTTTGATCATTACTGTGGGTTGTATGTGCTTATGTAATGATGTCTTTTAGCTAACGGTGATCCAGCGTTGGAAAGGATATCTGTTTCAGCAATCACAAGTTTTTTTATCAATTTTTATTCTATGGAACTATTGCGTCCCTTTTTGTTTTGATCAGTACTGCCATAATGTATGCTCGTAAAGGAGAGTATCGAAGCCTTCCGGGAACCTGGATCTTCGTTCTAATTTCGTAAGTTTTTACACATGTCTACTCGTTTTTTTAACATCGTTAGTTCTGGTTTCGGCGTGCTATTCATGGGCACTTTATTATTTCGTCAAACTGTTTTTCTACTGTTAAACTTGAATAGTCATGAAGGAAGAAACTGGAAATCGAGGGTATATCATTTTAGCGTGTTTTTCCCTGAACAAATGACTAGTCGTGTTCATGTACAAAGTGATCCAGGAGATCTTCCTTGGGATTTGGGTTATTCAAAAAATTGGAGATCTGTAATGGGCGATCGTTGGTATGACTGGTTCTTACCATTTCGAAGTTCACCAGGCGATGGTATGCATTATGAATACAATCCTTCTTTTTTACACAAAATGCGCTTAAAGGCTACTTCTGCCCCATCTTAATAAGGAATTATCGCAATAATTTAGAGAAATTATTTAGTCCTTCCATGCCTCTACCCGTCGATATAAAACGTTAAGCACTTCTGCATAATGGAGCTCAATCCCTTTTTCTTTTAATAGTTGATCTACAACTAGGTAATTCTCATCTTTAATGGCAGTAATAAAATCCTTCACACTCATTTCTTTACTCGTATCTAACGAGAGCAGTTCAACAAATGATGTCAATTTTTTAAATGTCAATAATGGATAGTATGAAAATTCCAACAATATTTGCATTATATCTCTTGCAAACTGTATACCACCACGAAGACTAAATTGATGAGACATTATAATGTTACAAAACCATTTTTCGACAATTATTCCTAATTGGTATACAACCTCACGCAAAGAAGCACCTGAAAGAAGATTCTCTAAGCTTTTTAACAACACTTTTAAGGCATTTTGTATGTCCAATATCTCTGATGATACTGAGGATGTAGCAACAGCAACATTCAGCGGTTGATCTTTAATAACCCATGTATCGATGTCAGCATAGTCATTAATTAAAGGCTGTAGCATCTGTACTGCAGCACGTAAAATGAGTCGAAATGATGATGTTTTCAAAGAATCAATTTCATTCTTTATGTTGAAAAAGGAAGAATGTTCTTTGTTACCATATTGACTTCCAATTTCAATATATACTTCTTCATCTTCATAATCATCTATCCACTCTTTCAAGAGATAAAAATTGCTGTACAACTTGCACATACGCTCTACTTCAATAGCTTTGTTTTGACGAGTTGGCTGTAGCGACCCAGGTAATGCTTCGCTTTGAGAGCTTTCATGTGCTTCATAGAATGATTGAAGCCACTGCAGGTAATGTTGTAATGGTCCCAGCTGAACCTTTTCAAAAAAATTCACTTTATACTTGAAAGAAGGTAATAAAAGAAGGGTAGCATATGTTGACTCCATCATATCTCGAAAACGGACTGTAGTCTTTGTTGGAACTGTAAAACTGTAGTCATTAGCTTGATCAAGAGCCAAATCCCAAGCGTCGTTAGAAAATTTTATATCATTTAGCTTTTCATTCATTTGTTGACTTTCCAAGTTAAGCCACTTTTCATATATGAAGGGCTGACAAAACAAAAAGTCTATCAAGTAATCATGATCCGAGCCGAAATACTGTTTCAAATGAACAGTATACTGAAGAGTTTCGTGAGTTAAATGAACTAAATAATCATCAAATATTGCCGTATGAGAAAGCTTTTCCTTAACAAGATCATTAAGCATTAAAATAAAAACTGAAAATAAAGAATATGATGACACCGCTTCACATTTTTTGAGATTAACAAAGAATCCTCTCAATGAGCGAAAAGTTTTTAAGAGATATTCGTAAAACCACTCGGGTTTCGAAATTAAATTGGTTTGCCGTTTAGACATGAAGTGGTAGCGAAATTGATTTGCATAGGGTTCTACAAAAACTTCCAAGAATAGTGGATGTCCTGAATCTCCAATTGCAAAAGCATTAATAGTTCGAAGATGGTCGACAAAGCTTCTGTAAACCGTTAGGGAGTATTCTTTACCGCCCAGAGAAGGCCATTGAAAATCGAGTTTCAGCTGTTCTCGAATAATTTCTTTTAACTTCATTTTATTCTGCTCCTTCTTTTGTTTGTACAATAATTCTGTCATACGAAGAACACAGTTTGGTAATATTCCACTCCGGTCTTCTTGTGTCGATAATCGATTCCAGTCCTTTTCCAGAGAATCAATATTATTATCTTTTCCATAATCTTCGTACTTTCTCAGAAAGTTTTTAATTTCTAAGAGCAGCTCTACCGTATCACGGAGAATCGGCACCGGTTCTTCAAGCTCTGAGGCTTCAAGCCAAGCATCGTCTAATCCAATTCTCGCCTTTTTATATTCAAAATCTTCTCGTATAATTTGTTTTTCCTCGTCCGTAATCTCAGGCAGCGAATTGAGGTCTGGTAGCTGCAGTTGCTCTAGGTCTTGAACAAACTTCGTCAATTCGTCGCTTTTATAAGGCTCCCGAATCCGGAAATCAATGAAGTTGCTAAGACTTAAATCCATGCTAATAACAGTAGAATCCTTACTCCTATTTTATCTTTTCCACACTTCCAACTTTAGTATGTTGTTTTCTACGTATTTTCATTGGTATTATTGTCATTGTCACGATATGTAAAATATTACTTGATATAAGATTGAAGCATTAATATATTACAAACTGTAAACAAAGCGCAAGAAATATAATTTTAGAATTAATATACCTTTTTATTTTTTCTACCTAAGAAACTGAAAACGATTAATTAGAGATTTTGGTAAAATATATATTAAATCGAGAAAAAAAAAACAAAGGAGAAATTATATCCCCGTTGGAATCAGTTTGGAAGATTTGAATGTGAGTAAATGATGTTTTCCCTTGATTTACATATCAATCAAATTGAAATAATGGGTCTAATGACAGTCGTACACTCGAAAGGTCAAAATTATTGATATAACGACGCAAGACTAAATTATTTGCCTTCAATATACGAGATTAAACGACGCGATCTCTAGCTTCACAAACTTTAAGCGATGATATTTTTGAAACATTGAATAAGTCGTAAGAATATTTGGTCGACGAACCCATTGAACCTGCAAATGAAGATGCCTACATGTCTTTCAAACATATGCCAACAGATAAATCATGTATGTCTGCACGTATTTGTTTCATGGAACCCAGAAAAAGCACCGTCCATGGCTTTAGCAGGTTTCATCATAATCTCACTGTCTTTGAATTAAATAAATCTTAAAAATGAGAAACCGATTTTCATGTATTTGAGTAAAATGAATTCTTTAGTATATCTTGCATGTTCGTTGCAAGAACGTTCGCAACAGTCGTATTTGTCGAACGAATTGATAGGCGGATCATATCGTTTTGATAATTAGGCTCAAGCCGAAGTAAACAGCCTATATTCTGGGCATTCAGTTGAAGAATACCTGCACCAACAATGTTACTAACATTGGTATCAATTCCTGAGCATATTCCCCAGTGAAGTCCTGTAACAATTTTCATCAATCGCCTTTCGTCAAGCCTACTATTTATGCCATTTAAGCCAAAAGCCAACTGGGCTTCTCGCTCCACACCAATCAATCCCCATCTTTGAAAAAAAGTAGAGCTATCAAAGGATGTTGGCCGTAAAAATTTGGATAAAACAATAGGTAACATTAAATTGACTTTTCTCATCACACCTGCCAGAAATGAGACACGAATAATAGGTGGATCAAACAGTTCGTCGAGTCGGTCAACCGAGAACCTTTGCTGTAATTGTTTGTCGGGAGAGAATATTGTGTCTGTAAAAGATGAATCGACTTTAAAATTGGGAAATGTTCTAAGTAGAGTCGATGAAAATGAGGTATACGTTTCTGTTTTTCTATTTTCAAAGTATAATGAAAGACAGACTTGTAGATCACGAAATTCTACGAGAGCTCCTACTTGTACTTGAGAGTCCCTATACAATATACCTTTGTCTCTCCAGCAAAGACGGTAGAACCCAGGAAGACTAGAAGAGACATCAATTTCTTTCGTCGACGTTACGGAATCGGTTAAAGAAACATCCGATCTATTACTGATAGACGGCAAACTCTTTTTAGCGGGGATTGTAAAAACAGGAACTTCTTCACAAACAATGGATAAAAATTCTTTAGGAAGAGTCAATAATTGTAAGTATTCACATGCCCTTTGCTGCACTTCCGTATTTAAACTCACAGAATACCGTTTAAAAACGGCTGCGACACGCTTATGTAAATCAGGCTGTAAATTTGATAGCTTTAATAAAGCTGTCAATAAAAGAACACTAGTCCCAACAGATGATGTATGTAATTTCTTGTAAACAGTAATAAACTGCTGTAGAGGACCACTTCCTGGTTCATTGGCAATCAAATAACCATATTCTCCCAATATATAGCAACCGCTTCGGGTGAGACTATCGTGAGTTGAGTCCGACTGAAGTAGTTTAAAAAGGTTGCGAACCGCGTACTGTTGAATACTTTCATTGTTCACAATAACGCGAACAAGTTGATGCCAGACATCATCATTCACGGATTTTCCTGCAACACGAAGAAGCTGTAGATTAACATCCACATACCACTTGTAGTCATCGGCATAAATTTCAGTAAGAGAGGCAACTTTGGATATTAGATCCTCTTGAGAAACAGAATCAAGATAAGGCAAGTATATCAATAACTCATTCACCATGGTTTTAGAGTTCTCTGAGTCACACATCATATACAAAAGCTCTAAACTTTTTTTACGAATAGACACGTCTTTATAACGAAGAGACGATAATATAAGATCTTTGTGTGTTTTCAGGGAGGGTAAACTATGCCCACACGAAATTAAATAAGCTGTCGTATCAAAAGCCAGATACCTTACGTTAGGTTCTTTGTTGGAAATCATTTCACCGAGACATTTCATGCACTTTTGATAAAGTGAACCAGAGTCATCGACTGCAAATGCAAGCTTTATTGCATCAAATAGAATAGCGTTTATGACATTAAGATGCTTATTGTCTTTATAATCTTTAAAAATACTTAACATTCGGTCCAATACATTAATAAGAGTCCTCTTCGTAGTTTCATCAGTCACTTCTTCATGGCAAATTAGTAGTATACGGCAAAGATTTACTTGTAACCAAGGGCATGGGACAGAATAGTAGATATAGCCGGATGAATAGCCTCTTCCAGAAACAATTAACTTTAACTTATGGATAGCCTTTCTACAAACAAGTCCATGTAAAGATGGCTCTCTACATATAATTAAGAAGACAAAATTTGAAACGGCAAGCGAAACGTTTAAATCATCGTCATCAAGGAGCATAATTATGGGTTCTAGCAAGTCCATATCCATTATATCAGAAAACTTTCTGTATATATGAAGTAGGGAAAGGGCTGCCTTTTGACGTACAATGTTTTCAGTTGCGGCAGACATTAGCAACTGTTGTATCTCTGGATATACTGCCTCACACAACTCGCGACCTCCAAAGTTGGCTACAGCATGGAGCGCAAGAGCATTTTTATCTGGATCTAAGCTCAGCAAATCCTTCCTGATGCTATTGATGACCAACCTAATTAAATCGTGATTTTCGTTTAGAAGCAGAGCGACGGCCAAGTATCCAATTTGCTTTTCACTATACTTCGTAGCAGTAAGAAGGTTAACAGCCTCCAAGTGGCCGAAAGATATTGGATATCCCAACATATATATATACAAGAGTTTGCTGACATACTTTTTTCGATCATATGCAGAAAGTGTCGAACTTTGAAACTTAGCGCGTATTTTTGCCAATTCAATATTTATCCGCTTTTCCTCGTCTTTCTCTTCCTTCAAATTTCTTAAATCTGAAATAAACGTCTTCAATCCTTTCATTTGGTTATTAACAACCATTTTTGAAGTCTTCCAATTTATTCGTTTTCAATTCTCACTAAGTTGAATCAATCGATTTCAGTTGAAATACTATAATTTGAGATTTAATGTTTCCGCCTTCTGATATTCCATAATTCTTTCCTTCACGCTTGAGCTTGACTTACACCCGTCCCTTCAATACCGTCTTAAATCCTTCACTTTTGTTTTGTTTAAACTTATTAGTATACAGAAACTTTCAAAATTCTTCGTGTTCGATTGAAGGTATTACGAGAGTAAAATATCGTTAAAGAAAACTAAACTGTTGTAGCTAAAACTCAACCTCCCTGAAGTTTGAAGTTCGCAACATGAAGCTTCCATTTTGCGCTTCAGAGTATTTAATGATTTTCTATATTTATTCTTCTTTTCTTTAATTTTTTATTAATTAATATAGGATAAAGAAAAATACACGAAATGTTCTGAAATATTGTTTACCAACGAAAGTTAACCTAATACACTAAGCTGGGTTCAGTACTTAAAAGACCGTTAACCTCAGCTTCATTTTTGCTTACCAGGAGAAAATTTCATATTTTATTAAATCGCCTGCAATTTTGGGGGTTTGGTTTAAAAATGATAAAACTTCCACTCAGGCACGCGAGTGCTTTTTCAAGATGTCCTTCTTTACAGCTTCGATCTTTCCACCGAACGGTGCAAGCTAGCAAAGAAGCAACCATTGTACCGCCCACTGAAGTACTCTTTTCTGAAAGCAAAGGGATTGCTGAAACGGTAAAAAAAAACCTATCTGCTAATGGATTTCTGAAGGCCACTTCAGTACAAGGACGCGTTATCCAAGAAGTGCTATCAAATCAAGAAAACGCGGTCGTACAGGCGAAAACAGGAACGGGCAAAACATTAGCGTTCCTTTTGGTCGCGATTAAAGATATGCTTAAAGGAAAATCGGCTTTACATTCCAAAAAGATTCATTCTGTTATCCTCAGTCCTACGCGTGAATTGGCTTTACAAATTTTCGAAGAGGCTAAGAAGCTTACTGCTGGTACCAATATTAAAACCAGTTTCTGCATTGGTGGTAATTCAAAGGCTATGGAACAAAGAACAATTCGCAAAGGATTTGCCAATATTTTAATTGCAACTCCTGGTCGTATGAATGACCATCTCTCAAACCCCGAAGTGAGAAGCTCAATAATGGCCAACTCTTTTATTCTAGACGAGGCCGACAGGTTAATGGATATGGGATTCGCTGATACCATTAAAGATATCCATCGTGATGTAGCACGTCCTTTTACCAGAAGACTCTGTTTTAGTGCCACCATGCCTCCGAAAGTGTCAGACGTTTTTGAAGTTATCCTAGGGGATAAGATGAAGATTGTAAATTGCTTGGATCCTAATGAGCCTCCTACGCACGAACGTGTTCCTCAATTTGTCGTCCAAACAAAGTTTGATTCTTTATTTCATGACTCTCTGTCATTATTACGGGATCTTTCCAAGCAGCCATCTCCACGAATTATAGTATTTCTTCCAACCATTGGAATGGTTGATTTTGTTGCCGATCTTTTCCGGAGCCATTTAAGTATCCCGTGCTTCTCACTACACTCCCGACTTAGTACGAGTGATCGACGTCGTATCACAGATAGATTCCGTAGAGCTCCAAAAGGAATTTTGTTTGCTACCGACGTAGTTGCGCGTGGTATGGACTTTCCCAATGTTTCTCAAGTTGTGCAAATCTTTAGTCCTTCGACCCTTGACGATTACATTCATCGCATTGGCCGTACTGGAAGAGCAGGAAAGGACGGTGAGTCTTACCTAGTGGTTCCTAAACAAGAGCAACCTTTCTTACGAAGTCTTTCCAAATTACCCATACAAAATCACTCTGTTAATAAACTTTCTGACGAAGAAATAACTGACTTTAACAGGGATTTGAGTTCTTTACCTATGGAGACACGTACAGATATCATAAAGCCTTTATACTCTGCTAAATCCCACATATTCGAGAATCGTTCACAAAGTGGAGATCCAACTGAATTAGTATTGAAGTTATTTGGCCTTGAGGACGAACCCCTTGCCAAAAAGGAGTTGATGTCGAGTGTATATATAAAAAACGTCATAAGAAAGTCATCTTTTAAGGGTGATCGCGGTTTTCGTCGGGATTCCAGGCGACCATTCCAAAGAAAAGGACAAAAATCATTCAGACGATTTTAGTTATTCAAACTAAAGGCTGTAACTATATTGACAACGGTAATTATCGGTGATTTAATTTTTTTGGGTCTTATCTGTTGGTTTTTTGATCTTACTCTTAATATTCGCACATAAATATGCATAATTGAAATACTTTTCCGATCATTATAATTTACATACCCCTCCTACTTGAATTTTATCCGGGGATAATGTTTCATAGAATGCTTTGCATAACCTATTTTGGTCTAATTAGATGAAATAATAAATCTATATTAACTACAGCAAAAAACAAAGACGAAGGGAATTCCTAAATAGTCTTCTTAGATTCTGCAGATCTATAGAGTGCCAAGACTTCAGTACTCTCTCCAAAAGGGTTCGTTTTTTGTAAATGTCCAACACTATGCATGATCTCTTCAATTCTGCCGTGTAATATATGTTCACGTTCTTGCAGCAAGAATAGCGGTGTTTCTTCAACTGGGCAAAACGAAGATATGATATAGCGAAGCAAAAACCATACATGCTCAGAGAAGAAACCTACCAATAAAGAATAATATAGTTTCTGTTTCGTGAGATTTTGCATCGGGGAATACAAATAACTTATTGAAGGCATGGTAATGCTACCCATCCAACTTATGAAAGATAGACGTTGGTTCCAATCTTGAATGGATTCTATGCGTGCGCCAACCGGACGCTTTGACAACCTGCAAAGTTTGTATACGGAAGAACGAACCATTAAGTGGCTATTCACGTACATAATTAAAGGAGCTAACGGATAAATAGGAGAAAACATAACAAGATAACCAAAAATTAATACCAAGTCTTTGTAGTTGTTGTATCCATCATATTTAGAAAGTTCAGATTGCTTTCTAATAGAGTTAAGAGATTTAGCCTCAGCATCATCGTCTTGGATAGTCAAGCGCGGTTTGGTAAACTTTGATTTCACAAGTCTTTTCAAATATGAAATGATTTGAGGGACAAGCAGAGTCGTGAGATAATTAATAACCTGTGCATTTGTCAGAAAATAAAAATACTGATTGCGAAGTCTTAAAGGATTTAGTTGAAACTTGGAGTCAGTAATGAAAGAAAGCTGCATCGTCATACTGGCAGCTTTGTTTTGCAAGACATTTGACACGAGATGTTCACCAAAGGGTCCATAAATGTATGATATGAGAATTAGAGCTGTATAGGAAAGCATAAAGTGCTGTAAAAATATCTTCGAGCCTAACGACGACTGATACTTGTTCTTTGTTCTCTGATTTTCCCAAGCTGTAAGTTTTTCAGCAACTATTGTATAGATAATATTAAATGGAAGAGTGAGAATTTGGAAGATCAATGCTGGAAGAAGAGCGACCAATGGTTTGAAAGGGCCCGAATAAACCTCAGTAAGCGTTACGTCGAAACCGAAAGCAATTGATATCAAAATCAAGAGAACTATGCCTGAAATAATAAAAAGGGGAGCTGTCGTAATTAAGCTTCGCAGGACCATTTTCCAATGGGGATAGCTTGATTGTAAGGTGCCAGAGGTATTATTTACTTCTATCGAAGAAGGATGAAATTCTTCTCTACTCTTTTCGTAGTACTCACTATGATTCGTAGCCCAACGTCTGGAAAGCTGACTTTCTTTATACTTCCAAAACTGAATGAAACAAATACCCCATATAGACATTCCTATAGAGTAAATAACGGAGTATTGTTGAAGCAAAAAGTGACCTAAAACCCCCCAAAGCGATAAAAGACCAAGCATGCTCCTAAAAAAATCCTGAAATGCAAAATGAAGAGCAATCTGTAACTATTAGCCTCTAATTTCTCTACAATGAAATAATGGTATCGTCCGTAGTACTTACCTGAGAGCCATACTCAGATTTGATTTTATCCAAATCTTGGATTTTCAAAAATAATTTGAACCTCCAGGAGCTCATCCATCGTTGATCCACATTGGCATTGTGAAGAGGGTAGATATCCACTATATTCTTGTAAGGCTCTTCACTTGGGACAATGCCAAGGCAATTTTCTTTTTTTATACCGGTTATGTATTCATAAAGGACACGTATACGATCACTTGTTTCTACTAAAGCAATATCGTAAATTCGGACACTTTCCACATCGTTCAGCGATCCATAAAGGAAGGAACAAGTACGATCCTTGTTTATTAATTGAAGGACTAGTTCTGAAGGAGCTTTAACCAAGAAGAATAAATTGGTCTCTGTTCCAGGTCGAACGGCAACTTCAAACCCAGCCTTTAACAACTCTCGAAGGACTGCGCGAACTGTCTTTTCACTCTCCTGACTTTTGGCGTTTATTTCTACAACTAAGTCAGGAGTGTTCACGATTTCTGTAGAGATTCGACTTTCATCGAGCTTTTCCATATTCACCGGCAGCTTTTGGCTTGTCAGTGAATGGTTGGTAATGTCTGAGTAAACTTCCATACGTAAAGTGAGGCTAAGCTACAATTCAAATAACAGTCTTTTTTACTGTGCATTCTATTTGATCAAATTAAAAATGATAATTTATTTTGATTTGTTTTATATTACATGGAAAAGCATTCAACTCCTTTTGATGAACGCAAATAGGAATCAATGATTCCAATCAATCCTGTAAATTTCTAAACAAAATAATAAATCCATTTCGTAAACACTATTATACCAAAAACATATACCCAATAATCATGCGCTTTGACGCATAATAAACGAATCCTAAACAGATATTACATGTGCATTATACCCGGTATCCCAAATTTGTTGTAGTTTATCAGCTTATTCTTCTTCGCCTGTTTCAATGAGGCGTTTTCCCGTAACAGAAGTTGATCCCGCTTCTGCACGAGCTTCCTTAACGGCCTTGTCCATCGCATGTTCAAAGTCATCCATGCCACTGGTAGAGGCGTACTGGAGCACAAGATGACGACCAAGCAAGTGTGTATGTTTCAAAGCGTTCATAGCATTTTCAGCTTCACGAGCTGTAACAAACTCAGCGAAAGCAAAACCCCGCGCACTTCTATCAAATTTTCGAGGTACACGAACAGAACGCAGCTGTCCGTAAGCCCCAAATAAGGACTGTATATCTTTCTTCGAAGCTTCGAAGGGCAAGTTTTTAACAAGAATCTTAGTTCCCTTTGGCTTGGAAGAATCCCGCTTTCTCGTTTCTGCTGCCGCATCAGCCCCTTGATGAGACAATTTGATTTCAAGCTTATGCCCTGCCAAGACAAACCCATTCATGGCTTGCATAGCCGCAACAGCAAACTGCTTATTTTTAAATTCAACGAATCCAAAACCCATACTAAGAAATTGACCAGGACGCTTTGGATCTGGTTTTGCACGGATAACAGCAGATAAATACCCCTCCAAAGGTTTAAAGATGCTTTGAAATTCTGATTGTTTAGTTGAAAAATTCAAATTCTTAACGTAGAGCGTGGCAGTATCGACAGAGTCAACGTCCTCAGATTCCAATTCCTTAGCAGACTGGGTGGTGATTGCATTAGTTTCAACAGCAACTTCAGGCTCGTGAGCACGAGCCTTCTTGTAAGCTGTTTGAAACACGTCTTTAGGTGCTTTTTCTAAATACAAAATGGAACTTTTAATCCTAGTATAAGCCAACTTACCAAACGCTTGTCGAGCATCAGGAGCATTAATAAATTCAATGACGGCTATAGTACCAGCCGGAGGAATCAAAACTCTTCCTAGTTCACCGTACTGACCAAAGAGAGAGGTCAGCTCCTCAGCACTAGTACCGTAGGGAAAATTTTTCGCCAAAATTACATTATCAGAACGCGCACTGTTTTTAAAAGCATCTAAATCAACCCCATGCTCCTCAAAAAATCGCTTGGTCTCTTGAATGATGTGCGTTTCAGACAGAGCTTGACGGACAGCCGAGACAGAAGAAGTAGGATCTAAAATGTCGGTTTTCTTTACGCCTAACCTGGAAGCTAGGGATGTTACCACAGCGTCATTATTCATGTACAGTGTATTCCAGCTAAAGGTGGAACTTGCAGCAGTTTGTTTTCTCTTCAATTCCTTTTGTTTCTTTAAAGGAAGCTTGCTTAAAGCAAATTCATCTTGAACGATATCGTGACGAGCTTTAGCAGGCAGAATGTGCAGTAAACGTCCCTGAAAAGGTCTTCCGTCCAACTCTTGAAAAGCTTGTACGGCATTTTCTGCATTGCGAAACTCCACATATGCAAACCCTTTCGGAGCATTCGTGCGTTTATCTATCGGCATATGAACTTGTTCCAGTGCACCAAAACGTTGAAAATGAGCACTTATGTCTTCTTCGGTGCAACTGTACGTAAGATTTCTCAAAAACAAACGCTTGGTTTCTTCAATTTTTTCGATAGTTTGATCATAATCGTTCATTTCAGGTTGAGCCTCTTCTTCATGAGAAGAGGAAGGCTTCTCTGCTTCCGATAACTTCACTTCAGATGGAGCGGCCGCCTCTGAAACATTCTGATCTTCACCGGCCTGTGTCTCTTCTTCATTTTCACGAATTCTAGTTCTATGAAGACGAAGCCATTCTTCATCTGACAAAGGTTTTTTCTCGGTATGTTCAGTGTCCTCTCCGCTCTTGTTGGAATCATCTCGATCAGCATCAGACTCATCATTACCTTCTGTGTCTTCAACAACATCTTGAGGACGTCCATCAATCACCATGGAAGCACCATATTTATCGGATACCGGTTGTTCATCTTTATCTGTCTGCTGGCGTTTAGCAAATGGAAGCTCCTGGTATTCATCATCTTCCTCATTTGTTTCGGCTACAGAAGGCTGGTTGTTCAAAGTGTAATCTTCATTATCCCAAGTACGGGAGTTACTAGTAGCTGTAGAAAGTTGCAAGAAAGTGCGTGCCTTATCATCTTGAAGGGTATCTATAAACTTTCTCTTCAGCTTCTTCTCATGTCGCTCTTTTTCTTTTTCCTCTAATTCCTTTTGCTTTTGAATCTTTTTCTCTTGCTCTATAGTCTTCAGTTCTTTTGTCTTTGCTGAATGCTTACTCCATGGCCGTAATTTTTCGTTTGCAGTTTGATAGTCTAGTGCAACACGAACCTGTACCCGCGAGCTGTCTATGAAGGAACGATCCAAATAACGAACTGTCTTCTCCGCATCTTGTTCGTTTTTAAATCCAATGAACGCAAATCTTCGGCTTACACCATCTTTTGTCTTTGCAACGCTGACATCTGTAATTTCAACGTCCAAATTGGACTGCGACTTTAAATACTTGGATAATTGTTCTTTTTCATAGTAACTTGGAAGGTTTTTGACGATGATTCGCGACATGACACGCTCCCAAAATGCCAATGCCTAATTTTGCGAAGTGTAGTTTTTTGACAAAAGACAAGGCGAAGAATAGAAAAGAAATACTAATAATGAAAAATACCAAACTCCAGCAAAGGTTACAATATTACGCTCCACGTTGTTAAGGAATACCGAACGTATTCGAACGCACTAAGGGCTAGCAACAAGTAGGATGCGGCGCTGGTTTCTTGTGAATAGCCAAACTCTTTGAGGAAGCGGATTCAAAAGTTCAAACAATGTCAAGGATCCCAGTGGGAAGTCATGATGGTTTAGAAACAGATGAAGTGCTTGATCCGCAGCTGAGCTATGAACTTGCAAACGAGGTTTCGAGAGATGACCACGAAGACACCTATGGGGATGACATTTGGGAGTCTGAAGATTTGCAACCGGTAATGCAGGAAGGACATTCATCAGAATCACTTTCAGAGTATCCATCAAAGGATTTGACTGAAAAAAAATATTCTCCGTACCATGATGAACAGGTGTCTATGGCACAACGTTCGTATCCTTCGGAATCCCCATTTGGCAGTGCCTCTTCCCTCAATTCTATGGAATCTCCCATGCCATTACAATCTTCAACGCTTCTTTGGGACCCTAGTGTGAAAGAAGTGGATGATATTTTACATAATGAGGACTTCCATGACGGTCGAGATTTTAATGTGTTCACACTTCGTGGTTTTGTTAATATTTTAACCCTTATTTTACTTAGTTGTGGACTTTTGATGCTTTTCATCGGCTATCCAATTTTGTCCGCGGTGAACGTCGAAAAGCAAAGGAAAAAGCAAGAGGCTTAATCTGTCTATCCCTCTCCCCTCTTTTCTTTCTTGCTTACTTGCTTGATTCATTCTTCTTTTTCCTTTGAACACTCTACTCGCTGCTTATCAACCTTCTTTTATATATTTCCTTCTTTCCTCGGGTTGTTAAACCTGGTACATGTCGTTCCTTTGGTTTCTATCTCTTTCATCTTTAAATTTATGATGCATAGTTCTTTTGAAGCAGTTAGTTTGGATAAGATTCGACGGTTCCTTTTACCAAGTGCACGATTTCTCTTGGATTCAATCCTTTTCCATTCTGCCGCTCGTCAGCTTTTCTTTATCTCTTCTATTCTTTCCTCGACACACTCTGCACTTAATATATTGATCGTTGCATAATTTGCATAATAACTTCATCCATATACACATCTTTTCTCTTCTTTTTTATTTTTTTTTTTTCATATTCATCTTCTTACTAAGTTGTTCAAGCGTTAATTCTCGAAAGGAAAACAAGTGTCGTTACGATTATCCCATTGCATGAAAGATGCCCTCCAATGTCTTTTTAGAGTCCTTTTGACCGTGTCATACAGTATAGTACGAAATGAATGTTTGTTGCATTATAAATTGTTGTTAAGAGTAGGATATCTGTAGTTGGATCTCATCGCTTTTCGCTTGTCAACAGGTAAGCGTGCGTTGACCGTGATTGTAGTATTTAAGACAAGATCCTCCAGGAAGTGACATGAAATTGTAGAGCGACAATACCTTTCGTTTGTGGTGTCTTTTCTTTTGCATCTCTCTTTTTTATTCCCTTTGTAATAGTTATCTTTCTCCATTTATAGTTATCATACTACCGTAACATCATAAGCTAATTACCGCACATTCACCTTTCGCTTTGGTAACTGTATTCTGAGCTTATTATGTTTTGTCAATGCATAGAAAGCCCTTTTGGTATTTCTATGGGGACTGTTTTACTTTTTGGCTTTGAATGCTTATCAATGCTATCAAATGATTCCCAGGCTTCCTATTTTATATTAGAGCCCTTCCAGCCCTTTCTGGACTCTGCCAAATACTCTCTACCTGCTTCCTTATAGTGCCTATGTATTACGAGGTTAACATATCATAGAAAGGTCGAAACGTTTCTTTACCTCTTTCTTTTTGGTATACTTCATCTTTTTTTCTGCAGAAAGCAAAATATCCAGAAGCGTGGATGATATAAGAGTCTCCGTTTTGCTAAGCATTTCTTTCTGCTAAGCGACCCTTTAGGAATTAATCTATATTAGCTTGTTTTAATTTTTTTATTCCTTGACAATGCCTTTGTGCTCTTAAAGTCACGCCCAAATTTTAGTCAATCATTATTTCGGCTTGCCTGTAAACGGATCTCTACTGACACTCACACGTAAACAAAGGTGCAACTTCGAAATACTTTGTCTCGGGTTTACCATTGGAAGAAACACTTACAAACGGTAGCTTATCATAAAAGAGTATTGTTTACAAAGAAACTCAACTAAAACTAATCTGTACTGAGAAAAGACCTTTGATTTTCGTTTCCCTATGCTTTTTACTAGAGTCTTTACGCAACTTGAGCGAATCCAGCAAACCTCGCTTGTTGGCTCTCGAAATTTTTCCATTCATGCATCATGCATGTTTTCAAATCTCGGAATTTACCCACAGCCTCCTAAAATACCTTCTAGCTTTGCTATGATATCCCCTGTCTTTTCAAATGTACACCACCGTAAACCAAATGGTTCTTTCCATACTTTTCCTATTTCATACAACAAAAGCTCTCTCTCAAAAAGGGCTGCTTCTTCTACACCCAACACGCTTCATTCCGATATCGCATGGCAGGCAATGACAACTCAAAAGCCGTTTCGTATTTACCAAGCTGAAAACGATAAAACATATCGTTTTTTGTATCTGCTTTTCCTGGCCACCACTCTAAATGCTGCCTTCTTTGCTACCCTCACTGGATTAGATATGTATCGTTCTGGTGAACTGGGTTTCCAGAATTGGTACACCTATACTTACTCTGAGAAAGTCATGAGAATTGGTTCTTGCTTAGTGATTCCGTTGCTATACTTGGCAACTGCTTTTCTATTTTTTCTGCCACGAAGAACCGTTCATTCCGTTTACGCATTGCCTGCACGTCAAATTGAATTCAAGACCGGTCTTCCCGGACCCAACAATCACCTCTATTTCGAAAAGTCTATAAAGCTTCCACGCAATGAAGTGTTCATACTTTCACAATCTCTTGATAAAAATCCCATGGTTATGAAAGTAAATGGTACGCGTTTTTTTTATCTCTTGGACACGAATGGAAACTTCACGGGTGGATCTAAGAACATTCTATCTTGTTTAATTCCAACACAAAAGTTGCGTGGTTAAAGGGTAACTTGGAACGAAGATTCTACGCAAGACATACGATACGGTGGTGACCAATCTAGACTCAATCTATTTGTATATTGGAAAAAACAAAAAAAAATCAAAATTTATTAATTCGACGAGCGGATCTCTTTTAATATACAGGAAAACGTTTGTTTCACCAATGTTAAAACACGTATTCGGTTTACGCCTTCGTGATTGTCCCATATGACATTCGACAATCTAGAATAAATTAAGTCCAACCATTCCATCTTTAAGCCAGAAGTAGCATTAGCAAATTCTTCTGCTAACCGCTCCACGGTTTCGGATTCTTTTCTGTAGTTGGAAGACTCGACCGGATTATTCGGAAGATATGTCAAACTCTTCTTGTTTGGAAAACCCAGCCCAGAAAAGTTTTGAGAAACAGGAATATTTTCCTTCCCAACTTGTAGCTTCAAAATTTCTTTTTCTTCACTTCCGTCTTCATCTTCAGGAGAAGAGCTGGGGATTTCTAGTTCACCAGAATATCGTATATTGTTTTCGGGTGTTGTGTCATTCGCATTCGCATTAACATTATTATTCATTAGTCTTCGATTCATGTCTCTGTTTTCATCTTGGCCTTCTTTGGAAGATCTTTTCTTTTTACGCGTAATTTCTCGTTCTTCCATCTCTTGGCATTCATATATGAAAACTTGATCAATCATCTCTTCCAAATTAAGTTCTGCGCTTAAATACAACTCCTTGGCCTTTGGTTTCAATGTTGGATCACCAAAGTGATTTACATCGTCCAGAATGGATTTCAAATCACGAAGAAATCGCTGAGGTGTACAGTAAAAGCCCGACCAAATACGTCGATCAACCTCTGCTAGATTCATCATGCTGAAGGAGGCACCATCTTCACGTCGTATCACCCTATTACCTTCTATATAATACGGAAAATCTTCAGGTGAAGTTTCAAGAGATGGCCCAATCTCATCATCTCCTGGGTAAATCTCGTCCAAATCCTAAAGGGTTAGTTTGACTATAAGTAAATGGTAACATACCACAATCGGCTTCTTAAATTTCTTGTAACGAGAGCGAAGCAAATCCATGATGGATAATAACTTGATTTTCAGTTTATTCTTTATTTTTCTGTTGTTCAACCGTTCCTGTTTTTCACGATTTTTAGTAATATTAAAGATATCATGAGAAATAGGAGCAATTGGTAACTGTTCCCAGTGAGAAGGGCTAGTATACTCATTGTGTGTCAAGGGCAGCGCCAAAATTTTGTTTAAAATGTTTAAAAAGAAAGAATTTCTGGAAGCATATGATGGTAATGATAATTTGAAGTGTTCGGATGAATTACTGGGAAACCAAGAACGAACGACTTCCGGTAAATCATTATATGTTGTATTGGCTACGCCTATCAGCATTACGGGTTCCGTAGGAATCAAAGAGTTTAACAGCAAGCTGAAAATATCCAAAAAGTTTTGTGAAAACAAAACGGGCCATTGCTCAACATTGTTGACGAAGATAATGCTGGGAGATTGTTGTCTAGCAGAAGCGAATATATTTATAAGGGAAGAATTAAGGGAAACTTCTGAATCCATTAATAACTTTGAAATATCAAGAGACTGCACGTATATCCCGTCCAAAGAACCAAATAAGTCGGTATTCAAATACGACTGACCGTAACCTTGATGACCGGTAATTATTAAACGAGGACGAAAAACCATAGTTTTTTTTAAAGAATAAATTTCTTTTTGTTTTTTGATTTCCGACAACGATATATTTTGAAAAGACGACGACTTAGAAGGAAGAGTGTCTAATCTAAGTAAGTGCGATATTTTCATCGAAAGTAGATCAAAAGTTTCTTTAAGAAGCAATTTATGAGAATCGGAAATAGATGATTTTGGAATTACGCTCCCTCTCTGCGTAGAAACATTCAGCTTTTCCAATGCGCGTTCGAAATCGAGAGCATTGACCTCAATTTTGTTCGGCGATATTAAATATTTTTCAGAAGAATGATATATTTGAGGGTAACACCTGCGTACGGCTTGTAATGCTGCCTCAGTACACAAAGCTTTCAAGTCGGCACCACCGTAACCAGAGGTGGCCGTCGCCAGATCCGACAGATACTTTTCAGACAGGTAAGGAGAACAATGCTTCGTATGTAGTTGAAGTATTTTCATACGTGCTTCATGGTTTGGCAAAGAGAAATAGAATTCGCGATCAAACCTGCCGGGCCTCCTTAAAGCTGAATCAATATCGTTGGGTCTGTTGGTGGCCCCAATGACTACGACTTGGCCGCGACTATCCAAACCATCCATTAAAGCGAGCAAAGTAGATACGATCGAGCTATGAGTCTGATCTTGGCGAGAAGTACGTGTTGGAGCTAGACCATCAATTTCGTCAAAGAAAATAATACTGGGCTGTGCTTTCTTTGCTTCTTCAAATAACAAACGCAATTGACGTTCCGCCTCGCCGACCCATTTGCTCAAACAATCAGAACCTTTTCTAAGGAAAAAACTGACTTTCTGGTTTCCGACAGAGCAATTTGCTGCCAATGCTCTAGCCATTAATGTTTTGCCCGTTCCAGGAGGACCATGAAATAAGACACCTCTTGGTGGGGTCATACGAAAGTGTAAAAATATCTCAGGATACAAAAGTGGAAGTAGAACCATTTCCTTAAGTTGAAGAATTACATCCTCAAGACCACCAATATTATCAAAGCTTAAAGCTTCTTCAGTTGCAAAAGGATCATCTTTCTTAATAGTCCTCCGATCCACTTGCCCAAACGAATGAGATATTGAAGAGGACACATTCTCATCATTTCGTGAAGGAGTCATTGAACTAATGGTTTTCTTTGGTGTAACGTTGACGTCGAAAGAAAATTCCGAGTCTGAATGTGTGGAATCATTAAAACTTTCATCGTTACCGACACCCAGAGGAAGGCTAGCAAAAGCATTAAGAGAAGTTAGATGAGAAGGAGGGTAAGACGTTTTGGTAGGTGGAGTGAAGACTGTTTCTTCAGAAAAATCTACCATCTCGTGGGTTGGACGAGCAGATCGGTTTCGAAGTTTATTACGAACATTTAGAGGAGACTTATTTGAAGATTCGACGCTGCTGCGGGTTTGCACGCGAGAGCTTCTACGTAAAGGCTGACTGAGACGTCTCTTTTTAGGAGGTCTACCTCGACCGCGTTTAATAGGAGGTGAAGATTGTATATAATCATTAGAAGAATCGGATTTTAAGAACTGAGATTGCTCTGTGTTTATAAGCTCGTCCTGGTCATTGTCAGAATGGGGACTGTCGATGGGATCATGGAAGTCGATATCATCCTCATCAGTAGCAGACTTTGGAGGTGAAAGAGTATGAGACGCTTTATCGACTTTGGAAGGCGAAATGATATCAAGTTCATCTTGGTCATCCTCCTGGGAATCCTGTTCGGCTCTTTGAAAGGGCAAGTGATCAGGTAGCAAATCGTCTTCGTATGGCGGGGAGATTGGTTTTGTTTCGGGATGAGCTTGTAAAGGAATAATAGGAATCGATTTTGAAGGAGTCTTAATGCCTTTCAGATGCTGATGCTTCTGAAATCTAGCTGCTTGGGAGGATGGATGAATGGCAACGGAGAAAGTAGATTTGGGACGACTTTGTTTTCCTTGGAAAGGAGACCTCTGCCCAACTTGTGATAAATTTCTTAAAGATGAAAAGCTAGAGTCAGAAGAATCATCCTGTTCAGAAGAATTGAATTGGTCAGGAACTTCAGAACGAGAATAATAGGCATGTAAATTCGCTTCCGACTGCTGAGTTTTGGAATAATAATCATCATCTTCGTCGTCTTCATCATCGTCATAACGGGCGTGTATTGCACGGATATTTCTGCGCATCTTCTTGAAAGGTTATAAATAGAATTGAGGATATGTGAAAAAAGATTGGGCGAGTACCCAAGAATTAAAAAAACCAGTCGAAATCGGAGGAAAATATAAGTGGATGCACAAGCAAATCAAAAAAATGGCAACTAGCAAAAGATTATAGCATAAATTATACAAAAGGAACGAAGGTCACGCCGACAAAAAAGACCATGGATGGTTAAATGCTCATCAATATCGTGTTAGAGATGGAACTTTTGGGGAATCCCACTTGTATTATCTGGAGCAATGATCCTATAGCTGCACAAGGAACAAGCACGAACGAAGAATAAATGGCTAAACTTTGTTCAAATGAATTCGAGTTCTAGGAAAGAAAGAGAGAATAAAAGTTAGATATTGAAAAGACTAAAATAAGATCACTGAGCTATGGTTCAAAGAATTTATTACACTCTGTTGAAGCTAAAGTTCATCTCAGAAGTAGGATGGAAAGAAGCAATAGATCCAGGAGTCAATGTCTTACTTTATAAAACCCAGTGGATGGTTGGGATTTCCTTCCACATCCATGGGCTTTCAGTTGATTTTGATTGTTTTGAATACAATAGAGTAACAATTGTATAGACTCCCCATTGTTTTGCTGACCTCGATAAGAAAGAGTACATAGCTGAGTATGTCCTTTCTTCTAAATCTTTGTATTCTGGATATTAGTATTACAATATAGAGGTTTTTGTATGGACGAAACAGAACCCTTCCACCAAAAGGTGTTTCGGTCATTGCAAGAGCGACTGTAAAGAGATGCGGATTTTAGAAACTATTTTTCTATATTTTTTTTGTAATTATCTACTTACTTTATTATTTCTTTGTACTATCTCATAACTCTTCACTAGTAGTCTTCCTTTTCAATGCTTTTCTGCTAAAGCAGCACAAGTTAAAGATTAGAGGGTGGTATACGACGATCCTCGTCAAGATGTTACAAGAATGCAATTTCTCGTACTATATATAGACAACATTTATTAGCGATAATTATGGAATTCGTAGCATTTTATATCCACAATGAGTTCCATAAGTAGAGTATCTTTACATTCACTCACCGTTTTCTTCTTTCAATTGTGTGCACTTTAAAACTCGATCTAATAATATTGATAAAGCTATCACCATATACAGTATAAACTACTAATCGTCTATTTTCAACCGTCTTGTTTGATTTCTGTTCATTTCCTTTATTAATTATTTTCTTTTCTTTTTGTTTTGGGAAATCCTGGACTGTTTAGAAATCGCTAGTGGAAACTATCACATTACTGCGAAAGCGTTGCGCTTGTCTTAGTTCGAATTGAAGGCTTGGCAAATCAGTTCTTTTCTCATTTATAAGGTAAGTCTTTATTCAGGTTCTAAAAACCTATCTTGATCAAAGGGAATTCTAAAGGTTCTAATTCTCTAAATTCATGTAGCGTCTTTAACACTTCGAGGCAAACAAATTGTGTATAATTGACATTGGCACAGTTGGGCTGGAACAATATTAAGCCATTTACTTTCGTTCTTTTCATACGTTTCACTGTTATTGATCTACAATTTCCCTTTTACTTTTCTTTAACATCTAATTATGCCTCCTAAAACTGTGATTGTAGGTGTCAGGTACGAATCTTATTGTTTCCCTCGCGTTAGTTGATATTAATGTCTTTGTAGTGGTGCTTCTTGTAGTGGAAAATCGGTATGAACTTGGAATCTGCTTCCTCGTTCTCGCATTGTTCTTGTTCTTGTTCTTTTTTTTTTTCTCTTTTTCTTCTTCAAAGCATTAACCTTTCCATGATTGGATTTAGACGTTGACTCAGTTTCTCCATGCTATCTTTAAAGGATCTTCCATTCTGCATGAAGATGATTTCTACAAAGTTCGTCCTTTTCTCGCGCATTCTTCGTTTTTGCTAATGTCACTAATGTTTTTTAGACTGACGCAGATATTCCCGTAAAAGATGGTGTTCCTGATTGGGATTGCAAAGAGTCCCTAAATTTGGATTCCTTTTTGGAAACACTGAAATATATCCGTAAACATGGTGATTTGCCTACTCATCTTCACAACCGCGATAACCTAAACGTTGCAAAGGAAGCACTCACGCAGTATAACGAAATTCTTAAAGAATATCCAGAAAGCCCCATCTCTTCTTCAGACTACAAATTCATTTTTGTGGATGGTTTTATGCTTTATGTGAACCAGGAACTCATTCAATCGTTTGATTTATGCCTTATGCTGGCTTGCGACTTTGATACTTTAAAAGCTCGTAGAGAATCCCGTAAAGGCTATGTCACTCAGGAAGGTATGTTTCTATAATACTCTGCTGCTGTCGATTTTGTAAGTATATTAACTTTAAATTGATTTAGGATTTTGGCAGGATCCGCCCAATTATTTTGAGAACAATGTCTGGCCCGGTTATGTCAACGGACATTCACATCTTTTCGAAAACAAAGACGTTTATGGGAAATTGATAGATTCCAGCATACAGCTTAGTCCCGTAAGCAATATGAGCGTCCAACAAAACGTACAATGGGCGATAAATACCATCCAGAAATTTGTGTCATAATCCTTTTTAGGTTCTCTTTTTATCTTCGTTTTTTAGTTGTTTTTAAATTGCCTACTATAAATAACCTTGAAAGATCATACTTGTTATTATTCGAACAGTTTTGAATTACTGTACTTCTACCTCTCTTAGCTTTTAGTTTTCTATACAGTTTATATCTGCCTTTAATAAATTTTGCATATTTTGAAGAAAAGAAATATGAACATACCTTATTTTAACTTTTCGTTATACGCGACTTGTCGTACACCCTTGTCTACACATTTCATGGCGACTGCCATACAGAAGGAAAAGGTACGAATCGCCGAATCCTGTACTTATGGCAGAGAAAGAAGACCAATTGGACAGCCAAGACGTATTGTCTTTGGTATCAAATAGTTTGAGGACAACGAAGGCTTTATTTGGCCCTGAATTCGCGTCTGCACCTACCTTTGAGAAAACCCTTGGGCAAAGCACCAAAAGAAGTTTCAAAGAAACATTTGAATATGGAAATGTTATAGAAGATTTTAATTATAGAAGAAAAAATGCTGCTGGCAAAGAAAAAGACCTCGAATATGCTCCTAGCAATGCTCTCGCCGTAGCGACAAACCCTAACGCTCCGTCTGAGCAAGCCTTAGTTCGTCAGCAAGGCAGTTTCCAAGGAAATAAAGCCGTTGTTGGTCAAGTTCCTATGCAGTCATTAGAGAAAATCAATAATGTTCCCAGTGCTGCTCATCGACTTGCGCAGGAATCGCAAGCATCCTTGGTAAAGAGAACATTAGCTGAACAAATCCGTCCACAGTGGCATCCTCCTTGGAAACTGATGCGTGTTATTAGTGGTCATTTGGGATGGGTACGTTGTGTGGACGTCGAACCAGGTAATGAATGGTTTTGTACTGGCGCTGGTGATCGAACAATTAAAATTTGGGATCTTGCTTCCGGAACATTAAAACTCACTTTAACTGGACATATTGCTGGTGTTCGTGGTCTTGCTGTTTCACCTAGACATCCTTATTTATTTTCCTGTGGTGAAGATAAAATGGTAAAATGTTGGGATCTAGAAACCAACAAGGTGATCCGTCATTATCATGGACATCTTTCAGGCGTTTATGCTTTGAGTCTTCATCCTACACTCGACGTGCTAATTACCGCTGGCCGTGATGCAGTTGCTCGGGTTTGGGATATGAGAACTCGTCAAAATGTTCATGTACTTGCTGGTCATAAATCCACAGTCTCTTCCCTAGTTTCTCAGGAATTCGATCCTCAGGTAGTTACTGGATCCATGGATTCAACGGTTCGCTTATGGGACCTGGCTGCTGGTAAAACCATGACTACCCTAACACACCATAAGAAAACTGTTCGAGCTCTTGCCCTTCACCCTCAAGAGTTTACGTTTGCCAGTGGCTCTTCTGATAATATCAAGCATTGGAAGTTTCCTGAAGGTGCTTTTATGGGTAATTTTGAAGGTCACAATGCGATCGTTAACACTTTGTCGATTAATCCAGATAATACCATGTTTTCTGGTGCTGATAATGGAAGTATGTGCTTTTGGGATTGGAAATCTGGCCACAAATATCAAGAGCTACAGGCTACTGTTCAACCCGGTTCTTTGGATAGCGAGGCTGGAATATTCGCTAGTACCTTTGACAAAACCGGTCTTCGTTTAATCACTTGTGAAGCTGATAAAAGTATAAAGATTTACAAACAAGATGAAGATGCTACGCCAGAAACACATCCCAATATACCATGGACGCCTTCTAATATGCGGCGGCGTTATTAATCCAGCATATATACGTTTACAGGCTTGTTCATATGCTGTGCTTTTTGGGTTGTGTTGTAAAGTGAAATTGAATGATGAGTATGTTAATGGTTTGCTGGTAAAAAATGAAACTAGATGTCTTTTACGAAGGTTACATCTGTTATCACTTGTATTTCGTTTGATGGTCTTTCAACCAGGTATTGTAAGTCTCCACTGGCAATGTATTTTTCAGTCAAACAAACTGACTACTTACATAAGACATAAAAGCAGTATGTAATCAAGCTTCATCATTTGGATTTATAAAGATTTTTCTTAAATCCTTATTCCTGCAAGCATATTATCCAGCATACATAATCGGACTCCTTCGTATGCCCTATATTATAATCACCAGCGTTATAATAGATCGTTATACATCGCTTATAGTTTGTTGCTTCTCGTTATACCAAATAAAGAATTCAAGGCAAGAGAACAAATATTTTACCCTACCCTAAGGATGGTACCTATGGAGAGCAGTCACTGGTTGTCCACAACACAGAAAGTACATTCTGATCCGTGCAAATTCCTCACCAAAATGCTTATTCCCAAGGAGAACCGCAAGGCCATTCACCAAACTTTGTTCCAACAAGGTGTCCTCGTTGCCAAGAAGGGTAAGTGTGATGCTAATGACTATGCTGAAATAATGACTAACTAGAGTAGACTTCAACCTTCCCAAGCACCCCGAAGTTGGTGTCCCCAACTTGCAAGTCATCAAGGCTTGTCAATCCTTGGACTCCCGTGGTTACATCAAGACCCGTTACAACTGGGGCTACTTCTACTACACTTTGAACAACGAGGGTGTTGAATACTTGCGTGAGTACTTGCATCTTCCTGCTGAGGTTGTGCCCGCTACCCACAAGCGTCAAGTTCGTGCTGCCGCTCCTCGTGCCACTCGTCCTGAACCTCGTGAGCGCGCTGCTGCTGATGCTGGTTACCGCCGTGCTGAAAAGAAGGATGATGGTGCTGCCCCTGGTGGATTCGCTCCTTCCTTCCGTGGTGGATTTGGCCGTCAAGTTGCCGCCTAAGCAGAAAAAGTTTAATATATTTTACTGAAAATGCAATACAATTGGGATTTGTATCTTGCGATACGCTTTTTATACGATCGTAAATTTATAGCATCTTGCGTAGTAGAAATTATCCACGTTGTGCAACTACTGTATGAAGTCATGTACCACACAATCCATTCCAGCTGAAGTAATTAATAAAGTATTAAGTAGGTTATTCTAAAGTTCATGATGTTTCCTGAAAGCCCTGTATGGTTGGTTTATTTTGTTCCAATCCGTCGTAGACATAAAGCATAGATTTGCCTGATTCACCAGTCAGATAGGAAGGCATGGTAATTGGATCCATTGCCCCTTCTTCACAAAGTTCTTTTATGCCTTGAAAAACATGCTGGCCTCGAAACTGTAATGTCAAAACTGGTCTATGCACATCTGAAGTAGAAAGCGGTTTACCTCTAACGCTTGCATTCCTTAGACCCTCCTCTTCATCATCCAAGTAATCGTGGTTTAGACTAATTATGACACGATCGAGAGCCTGGTTCGACAGATCACCAAAACGATTTTGAGTTGCTATTTTTCTGTCGGTTTCACTAAGTGTCTTTGACACAAGTTGTTTTGGATAAAAGTACTTGGCAGCCAAATTTGTTGGACGCAAATCTAACGGCGATGAATCTATTTCGTTATTTCCGTAGATTTGCCAGGCGCCTAAAGCATTGGTTTTTCGGTGGGAGCCCAAAATTTGATATAGGCTTTCCAAACTTTTGCCCGTAATTTCTAATGGTTGTAAAAAACTGGCAGTTTGAAGACGGTCTACGACCCTTGTTAAACATTGTAAAAACAATCTATGACAAACATCGTTCTTCAGAAATATATTATGTAATACTACATCAGAATTTTTCACTATACCAAGGTATAGGACTCGCCGAGAGGAAGGAAGTAGGTGAAGAGATGATGGTTTGCTAGACTCATGTAGTTGGATACGCATTAACCATATAGGGAGTGTCGGGTGTTGCAGCATGTATGTGTGGTAGATGAACAAAGCTTGTAATTCTAACTTAAGCATGTGGAGAACAAGACTGGGATTCGAAAATAGAGAACGCTCATGCTGATGGAAAACCTTGGATGCCGTCCAGCGGAAACTAAATATGCCTTCAGCAATAGCAGCAAGCTCTAAATGGGCTATCTGACCTAAAGAAAATCCATTACGCCAATCCAGGTTGATCATTCTATATGCAATGGCACGTTTGAGCATGGATTTTGGAGGATCGAGATAGAACTGTAAAGGGTTCCAATCTTCCATAGGAAGCTCATCATCCACACCGTCAGCAGTTGCATTTGGTGGATATGTATGTGATTGAATCCAATGTAAACAATTTTTTATCAAAAATTCCTTTGGTAGCCTATTTAGGAGTGTCTGTATCCTCGACCCATTTTTTAGTATAGTCTTGTTTGGTAACTCCGTAGTTGATCCCATTTCGTGAAAGACAAGTTTTAAGAAAAAAAAAACTAGAGGCAAATACTTAAGTAAAGCATTTACTTTAATCCCAAACTTGCTGGCGAGTGAAAGGTGAAAAAATGTAAACAGTTTCTGTTTACTCGGCAAAAAGAGCGTAATAATACATGTAAATGAAATCAGAAAGACAAGACGATAAAAAGAGTATGGACAAAGCTGCCCGTTAAGGCTAATGGTAGTTTTTGGAAAGAATCAAGGAAGTGGTTTGGAAGGTGGTGAAGGTAGGCCTTTCCCAGAATTTAGTAAAAGTCTGGTCTTCCTCTGTGCGGCCAAATTTTTATGAAACTGAAGCCTCATTTCAAATATGTCTCGGTGAAGCATGTAATGTCTGCCGGACATTACTGTATCGGGTGAAACGGAAGAAGATGTGGACGGCGAAGACCCTGTTTCTTTTGAATCAATGACCTGTTCTTTCGTTGACATATTCGAATTGGAATTACTTTCGGATGATTCATGCTCTTTTTCTTGTGATTTGTCTGTCTGATCTATTGTTGGATCATCAGTGCTTGAAACTTCGTTGGAATCGTGGTCCTTCTTAGCAGACGCAGAACTTTCACCTGTTGTACGCCTTGAGACTGATTTATCATGAGGATCATAAGTTAAAGTCGCAAATCCACGATCCCCCAGGTGATTGAAACAAGTGTAAAAACTGAATTGATGGTAAGCTTGACACGGAATGCTAAAGCACAGCAAGTGTTACGTACAAGTCGAATTTGGATTTTGTGATCAGCACCCATTTAGTTAATTTATAGCACTAGATTGTTTTTATGTTAGCACTGGGTTCCAACGGTTTCCATATGCATCTTTATGAAGACCCGCATCTTGCCTTACAATAAAACAAGGTTTTCTATCAGACTCTGAGACTTGTCTTAAAATATAATTGTTTTCCATACTCGTTGGTTTATCAAAGGTTTTTTCTGCCAGATTTCAAGATTTATGTAGGCAGTATTGTTTGCTTACGGCAATGAAAGAAGTTGAAAGTAGTGAAATCACACTTTGGAATTAGTAATTTTACATTTGCTTTTTATTCACATAGCTACACTGTTTAAAGGAAGAAAACAAAAATCTAGTATGCCTTCACCTCTTACGATTGAGTGGACACTTTGTACTATGGTAATGAAAAGTAAAATATTCGCGAAGCCTTCATCGAAAGTAAAAAGAGACGATAATAAGCAAAGCATATATATACAAAGCAATTCAACAAATGCAAAATGTACTATCGGTTTTACGTCGTTACAAAACAAAATATATATATATATGTAGTCCACAATAAATAAATATAATTGAAAATTAAAAGGAAAGTTGTCTTCATGAACATAGGAAGACAGGATGTAAACAAACTAAGATGTCCTATCAATTCCATTCATAAATAACGGCAAAACGGCAAACATTCAAATAAACGAGCGACTGGATTGACCAGCGTAATTAACAAATCACTGAACAATAGAAAATAAGAACATGATGATAAAAACAGGTGCGATGGAAACTCATAAGTTTTTCTTCATCTCAAAAAATTAGCTGCTTTCTCTTTATAGCTAATTGTAGTCTAAAGACCAGACGCGCATAACTAAGCAGTTACTTGCAGAGTAAAAAAAAAAAAAAAGAAAAGAAGACACTTTTTCTATTACCCCTTGATTATGAGCAAGAAATCAAGCATTGAACGTAAAAAGGATTTTAAATAAAGACGCCATGGCGTTTTGGAAATCTTCATAAAAGATATGATATTCCTTCTGTCTTAACGAGCAAGGACGGAAGAAGTGAATGAAGAAAAGCCAAGACAAAAGATTAGTGAATCTCGATGGAATGATTCGCATGAGGTAATGTTTCCGCTCTTTCAACCATCGGAGTAGTCGTATCAAAGAGGTGATTGTTCACTGGAACGCCATTGGCACTTCTGGGCTTGTGGTTTGGAACTTCGGTCGAGGGCGGGGAGAGCAAGTTTTGAGAGAAATCATCATCATAAAGCACAGTATCAAATATTCGTGAAAATATCCTGCTATCCTTTTCGGGATCAGGAACGAAATCTGGAGAATTGGGGATTTTTGATCCGTACTCTGTAATGAGACCAGTGATAATTTGCATCATGTTCTTCCGAATACGATGACTGTCTACCCTAGTATTTTCGATGCTCATGTCCACACGGGGGATGTAAGGCTTCTGCAAGAGTCGATACATGAGAATTCGAGTATTTTCACATACATGTAAGCCACAATCACAATGGTTGATTTGTTGAGGGGTCTTCATATGTCGAATGCGGAATTCTCTATTAAAGAGGATACCGAGGTTTTTGAGGGCGAGATTACAATCATTTGTATTGCCATTGGACATGGAATCGTAATACCAACCTAGACCCTTCTCAACGGAAATGACCAACAAACTCCAGTGGGAGCCACTTTCAATGCCGCATTCATTTGTGTCATTAATAGGTAAAAAGATGAATTTGGCATTGAACATGGCGGGTGGAAGGGCGGAGACGATATCAGCGGGATCGGGAGCCTGAGCGAGGAAAAAGACCATGGCAGGACGAAGAAGATATATTTGGCCGCGATTTTCGGGAGATTGTTTTAAAAGAACCTGACGGACAAGAATTTCATAGTAGAAATCGATGTTTGTGTCGAGAATCCAGTAACCCGGGTTAAAGTGGTCGACATCGTCTTTACGAAGACAAACTTCGTAATACTCAATCCATATCCGATGAAGGGTAGAACAAAGACCTTTGTCATTTTGCTGGTGGTTGTTGGAACTACTTGAAAACAAAGAACGCAAAAACCCCTTTTTCTTTGTTTTTGGAGAAGAAGAATCCGAATTTGAATTGGAGGAAGAAGATCCGTTGGATGGTGGGCGTGCTACAACATTATTTCTCTTGACAACTGGACTGTCGATTTCCTTGTAGAAAATGGAATTAGAGCGCATGGCGAATAGAATCAAAAATAAAAAATAAAGAAAAATAATGCACGTTTTAGTAAATCACAAAGTGTTTGTGTGTGGGAAGGAAATAGATACAAAAAGGGAGACCTTGGAAGGGAAATAAAAAGTGAAAACCCAAGAAAACACTCGACGATTTTAGAATGCAAATCTAATGCAAATGCAAGACGAACAGGAAAGAAACAGTTTAAGGAAGATCGAATTCACGCTAAATAACGTATCCGAAATTAAATAATAGTTTTGGGAGATAGATGGAGGGAGGGAAGGAAAAATGAATATGTTTTTTTATGCTGATATTTTTTTAAGAGGTTTAGTTTAATTCACCACGTTCAGTAAATTCTCTGCAATAAAAATCAACGTTTGAACCCGAACTTTTTTAGAAATACTTTCGAGATTCGTGTTTTTCTTTGTTTTTTTCTTCTTCTTTACAACAAGGGAAGTCACGAAAACAATTTATCTACACAGACGCGCAAATGCTGGATCCCAAAAAAAAAAACAAAACGAAGCGTGTAAAAGGTAAAGGAAAAAGAGAAAACCGAAATGGCATAGAAGCCAATGCACGAAGTGTTCAAAACAGTGATTCAAAGACAATGAACGATGAAAAATCCAAAATTTCCTGGTAGCGTCTTAATCGTGGTGTGGTGTGGTGTGTGGAGGTTTGGGGTAGGTAAAGTAGAAAGGAGCTTCCGCTTAGTTTTTTATGGAGGGGGGAAGAAGCGGGGAACCGGAAATTTAGACGGTAACGAGTCGCACGTAGAAAACGCGTTGTTCCCTCTTTTTTTTTTTAGTTTCAAGTGACGAAAATACAAATGACGTTTTTTAAAAGTAATGAAGTGCGCAAGAGTATCTTGGAGATCGTTAATTCAGGTAACCGATACCAGAGAAGAGAGATCGATCAAGGTTGAGAAAGAGAGGAAAAGGACAAAATAAATTGGAAGAAGAGGATGAAAAAGTTTTTTAGGTTTAATTAAAAAGCGTTAAAGAGGAATTCGAAGGAAGAAAAATTAAGAAAATAACCCTAGAAAGAAAGGACAGAAAAAAAAAAAAAAAAAAAAACAGAGTTAAAAGCGAAGAATGATTTATGGCTGGTAGAAAAAAGGTTCGCTTTTGCGTCGACGAGTTAAAACCTCGGAACTGCGGAGAACATAGATGGGCGGAGTTTCGTTGGATACGGATCTAACTCAATTACCGCGGGTCCATATTTTGAGGTTTTTCATTGGTTATCATATCCGTGGGGCATCAGACATGACATCATCCTAAACAAAGAAAGGAACATCTGAGGGAACAAGATTGGAGAGGGCGGAGATTGTTGGGGCACATTTAGCGAGCAACAAGGTGGGAAGAGGGGGAGGTGCGGTGCGCTGTTTGATGGGTTGTTGTTTGGGGGTGGGAGGATGTTTTTTCGTCGCAGTGGACAGAGAGAGACGGAGGGAGATGGTAGAGAGAATGAGATGGCAGTGATGGAAATGGAATGGGTTTGTTTGGTTTTTTTAAATTGGGTTCTTTGGGTTCTTTTTTTTTTTGGGGGGAGGTTTTGTCAGTTTGATTCTTGGGTTCTTTTCTCTGTCGCCAGCATTGCTCTCTCTCTCTCTCTCTCTCTCTCTCTCCTCTGTCTCTCTGTGTCATATCCTCCCTCCTCTCTGTTCACTTCACACCTTGCTTGCTTTTCGTTCCTTCTCTTTAATTTTATGCTACGCAGTAGAAACGAGTACAAAGAGCTACCTTTTTTTCTTTTTACGACGTTTACGTTATTCTCTTTTATCCAACGCGTTCCGTAGTGAAAAATGGTATTTAGCAACTCATTCTTCAATGAAGAGTCGTTGCTTGCTTCATTGCTTCGACAAGTACAAATAAATACAGAAATAAGGAAACTTGATTTTCTGTTATTCCACCGTTTGATCATTTTTTCGTCTCTTTTTTGTTTTTTATTTTTTGTTTTCACATTTACTAGGTTTTTATTCTTCTATTCCGTTCTCCCTAAACAAGTCTCGTTTGAATTCTTCTTTCGGTTGCCTGGTTACTCTTTTCTCCTTTTTTTTTTGCTTGTTTTTGTTTTCTTTTTCTCTCTCTTTCTCTCTTTCCCTGTCCCTCCTTTCTCTCTCTCATTCCTTCCTACAACTACAACAACCATGTCTGCAATCTTTGCCGAGACCACCTTTCAAGTTTTAAAGTATGGTGGTGCCATCTCGCTTTCCATAACTGTTATAGCTCTCGCTTTTTTGTACCGCTATCAGAAAACCCTTATTTATCCCAGTTCTTTTCCTGAAGGTTCTCGCACCGCCGTAGCTACTCCGAAAGAATTTGGCATAGACTATGAACAGATCTCCTTGAAAACCCGCGATAAGGTTACTCTTGACTCTTACCTGATGCTACAATCTAAAGCCCCCGAGTCTTGTCCCACTCTCCTGTATTTCCATGCCAACGCTGGTAACATGGGTCACCGTCTTCCCATCGCCCGTGTCTTTTACTCTGCTTTAGGAATGAACGTCTTTATTATTTCGTACCGTGGCTACGGAAGAAGCACCGGTTCTTCCAATGAGCTCGGAATGAACATTGATGCTCAAACTGCTTTGGACTTTCTTCAACAACACCCCATCTGCTCTTCCACAAACATTGTTGTTTACGGTCAATCCGTTGGTGGCGCCGTTGCTTTGTCTCTTGCTTCCAAAAATGAGTCTCTCATTTCTGCTTTGGTCCTCGAAAACACTTTTACTTCCATCAAGGATATGATCCCTACTGTCTTTCCATATATCGGATCTCTTCTAAGCCATTTTTGTACCGAAAAGTGGGAAAGCGTACGTGCTATCCGCAAACTTCACAACTTGCCCGTTCTCTTCCTTTCGGGTGCTGAAGACGAAATCGTTCCCCCTCCCCAAATGCAGCTCCTTTACGGCCTCTGCCCTAGCAAGCAAAAACGCCTTTGCATTTTCCCTAAATCCAAGCACAATGATACTTGTCTAGGTGAGGGCTACTTTCACTCAATCGCCGAATTTTTACGCTCCAACAACGTTCGAACCTCTGCCGACTAACTTCCATTCTCTAATGTGTTGTTTCTTGGTATTTCTTTTCCCCTTTTCTTTTGTATAAATTCCTACTCCTTTTTCCATTTTTCCATCCTCTTCCTCTCTTTTCTGCCCAAGTCTTTGTAACCTTTTGTTTCTAGACTCCGTGTCACAGTACTAATTGATGCCAAGCTATTATCAAAGAATAATACAAAAATCATGTTGAATTAACTAACCCTAAACATTATGCTCATTCCAATAACCCAAAATGTTTTGTAAACTTGTACAACATGTAGAATTCCACATTTCCAAATCCAAAAACCTTTTAACTGCTGTTTTTTTACCATGCAGCTTAATCTACAACATCCACCAAACGCTCCACCTTGATCTTGTGGCTTGCCACTGACAAAATGGGTACACCGGGAATCTTTCGGATTCTTTGCTTTAGATTTTTGTCATTGGTAGCTACCAGGTAGCATTTGTGCTGCATTACTCGATTGACTATGCAATCATCTGCATAAACACCCTTGTGCGAACAAGGTAAACGCTCCATGCGTTCATCTTTGGCGATGCGAAGTGCAATTCTATAACGAATTCCCAGTTTCTCCAACTCGGCCATCACACAGTCGGTAATACAAGGAATGGTCTTTGCATACAAACAAGACATCAATCCATCGAACACCTCAATCTTTTGTTGAAGACAAAAGTTGATAAAGTTTGTATCAATCAAAACATGGTAAGGTGGTCCAAGACTTTCGTTGTACTGGAAAAAGAGATTTGAAGCAACTTGAGGTCTACAAACAAATTTGTTAGTTTCTTTCTCGCAATAAAATCATCTTTCATCGTCTTCGGCTCGTCAATTCTACATACATTTCTCTAATTAATTCACCATTTTTTGTTGTGGCAGGCTTATCCTTCTTGTCATTCTTCTTTTGAAGACGCTGGTCTTTGGGATTCAATGTTCGTTTTACCTGAGCAAATTTTCTCGTGGTTTTTGCCTTGCCCATTGTCGTCGAATCTTTAGAGTAGTCTGCAAATTCACGACTCTTCCTTTTTCAATAACAATTCCTTCTTCTAAAGAATGGCTTTCGGTAGATTCTCTTTCTGCATGCTTCCTGTTTGTGCCCACCAACTGCTAGTTTTACGTGCTGGAATCTTATGTGTTATATCCTTTAACGAAAGTTTGCGCGATTGCTATATTGTAAACAAAAGAAGAAATAAAAAAAATTGGTGGCAAGACGTTTGTTCACATACAGGCATAGATACTCAACTAGTTTTAATTATCTTTTGTATAATCTATCATATTGTTTAAGTTAGGCATGTAATGAACAATAACATGAAACGAACTTGGGTCTTTATTCTCATGTATAAGTACTCACCAATCTTTGCAGTTACCACTGACAGTTTACAATAGACGTACAAACAAGGATCAATAACTCCAAACTTTACCTCTTACTTTGTCGAACCTTTCTCTCTACTTGATGAATATGTCTTTTTGGAATGCCTTTTATTTATTTACTAAGAGACTTTTTCGTACATCGGTAAACAAAATAACGAAAAATATTACCATCGGTATACATTTTTCAAGTCAAGTTTTTCAAGGTATTCATTCAACTTTTGCCAATTCCCCATCATGGCCAAATCTGCTCGTTCCAAGACCGTTCGCAGAAACAAAAGAGCTGTAAGTAGAGAGAGTTTGGAGTCTTCCATATAACTTCGACGTGTTTTTTTTGGATTCATAGCATCTGGAAAGCAAGAAAAATGAACTTTTGTACATGGAGGAATTCCAATTCCCAACAGCTTGATTCATTTTACTAACTATGATTAGCTCCGAGCAAATGTTTTTCAACCCGTAGTTGATGAACGAACAAAGAGACTTTCAGCCCATCTTCAAGACCAAGTTAATGACTTGACAAAGTCTCCTGCCAATCGAGATGAAAAAATTGCAGATAAAGCCGTAGAAGAAGTTACCTCTGAGGCCCCCCAAGGTGGCTCTATGGATGAGGATAAGCCTAAGATATCGACATCTGGTCCTCGTGACAATAACAGAAACCGTTGGGCCAAGAAGCATTTAAAGCAAGGAAAGCGTCAAAAGCAAAATTCGTTCGCAAAGTTCATGAAGAAGAAGTAAAGCTTTTATGCTTTATGAATGGAGCTTTTTCTAGATTATTTGGGTACTGTTCTTGTCAATGGGAACAATCGGATGTGTTCTGGTTTTTTGACTGATATCGGTATTTTTATCGCTGCTCATATTCTTATCTCGATTTTTTCTGGGTTTTAATGTAGTTTGTATACAATGGGTTTATTTAAAAAGTGGTAATAATGAATGATGGTATTGTGCGCTTTACAAACTTGAACATCTATGCTATGTAGACTATTAGGTATTATGTGTCTTACACAACAGTGCCAATTCATAATCGTTGAGCTTTCTTAAGATATGCCTGAGTTGCTTTCCATGTTGTATTGATGAAAACAGGCACATCACTCTTTTGTTTATATTCACGTCGTCTGTGTTTGTTTACCAATATAAGCATTTTGGATAAACAAACCACTCGTGAGACAATGTCAATTTCTATTCAAACTCTTTTTCCAAAAAAAGAAAAAGTATAATGTTTCAAGACATTTCTGATATAGAAGATGGCGTAAGCATTTTTTTTATTTACCCAAATCTGTTGCAGAAATTTATTAACTGTTTGTACCATAGTCATATCAATCAGAAGCATTTGACGAATTTCTTCTGGGTCTACGAGATGAGTCATACAACAATGAGAAGTATCTACAACGGTCGTTCATAAATTTGAAAAAGAAAAGGTAATGCTCCGTTTCTCCAATGAATCCTCGCAATAAACGAGTTCTCTACTGGGTTGCACGAAAGCTAACCTACGTGTTATAGATACTCTGAAGTAATTAAAGATTGCACATTTGCTTTGATGATCAATCCTCACGACAATAAAGCTGCTTGGAGACGCGGACTGGCATATCTTCGCATCGGTCATCCAGAATTAGCAAATCGAGATTGGGAACATGCTTTGGATGCTGATTCCGAGAACATTAGTATTCAAAAGGCTTTAACAAAGCTACGTTCTTCTTATACAACTTGTGATCGAAGCTATACAACATGGGATTTACGCCATCCACGGGTAGCCACTAAAGAACAATTACCTGCGTTATTACGAAAAATGTATCCAGACTTTATTCGAGGCTTTTTCCTCTGGAAAAGAGCACACACCGCCTGCAGTCTCTGTCGATTCCGATGTGAACGCCAAAGGGAAAATCTTACATTTTGCAGAGAGTCACTTTACAGAACAAATCAAAGGGTTTCCGAAGAGGAAACAAAAAAGAGAGAACCGCTCAGTGATATTGAGCAAGAGTTCATTGAAAGAGATCGTAGAAAGTCAGAATATATGATGGAAAAGATTCCCGAAGAACTTTACAGTTCCAAATACCCATGTCCTCAAAATATCCATCAATTTCTTTATATGTTGAAAGTCATATCTACTCCTCAAATATACATCGAGATCTATTCCATGCCCCCAGCTAGGGTTGTTCGAATCTTCGGTACATATGGTCTTTCGCTAGAATACTTAAACCTCTTTCTTAAGTCTATCCACTATACCGGGCTTCTCACCAGATTCTGTTCCAAATGGTGTATCCAGGCAAGGCATCTTATTCATACATTGAGTACCTTGCCTTGGTTTTCATTCCTTATCAAGTATTCAATGAGCACCACAGTACTACAAATTTTTTTGCATCTTCCAAAAGTCAGTGAAGAAGAGCTGCACGTATGGGGAGTGTCATCTGATTCTTCTGCGAGTTTGGAACATGGATCAAACTCGGATATGACCTTCTTTGATTGCCTAGCGGATTTGTCTATTGGCTTTCCAGCCTAACTTTTCGAAAGTATTTTGCATCCTTCTTCCTCTTGTTTTCACGCTTTGTTATCCATATTGAATGAAATATATTCTATCAATATGGACACCATCAGCAGATTGCTCTCACATGACAATATATCCTAATTTAGACAATCAAATGACTAGCAATACTTCATGAAGCATACGATATCGCGCAAAAACGTTGTCTTCAAATTACTATAAGTACCAACCTATGTTTTGTTTCTGATTATAATTTTTACTAGTATCTCTAAAAAATCTCACTTATATTATTATAATTCCTTTAGTAAAGTTTTGATCGAATTCATTCAAAAATCGCATATTTACAAGGATCATACAAAGCGACTTTTTTCTAGTGATGTTATCAGGTCACAATCGGTAACTTTTTAGACTACCTTCTGACGTTTAACTTACAGTTACTCTTCGTCAAAGCAAAAGCTACCGTTTAGCTTGTTCCAAAAAAACTTCTTAAATAGAAAACTAACATTAGACGACCTTATAAACCAAGCTTTAACATTGAAAATACCTGCGGAAAGGAAGTTTTTGTCGAACATTGACATTTGGCACCTCTTAAGGACTACACTGTACAGTATAGTTAGGACTGTAATAAACAAATCGCAGGAGGGAATTCCTTCTTTTGGTACAGAACATAAACAGCTGGTTGGGAGGGCGAAATTTAGAAACAGGTTTTTTAAGAAATTGCGAACATGACTAGTCAACCTACTGTAGGATTACAGCACTCTCGTGTCTTAAAGACTCCATTAGGCAAGATACCCAAGGTGGATTGGTCATCCGATGGAAGATATATCTTGTCATCAGCAGAAGATTCTTTGCTCGTTTGGGACGCGAACACATATAACAAGCTTGCCTTATTTCAAGTACCTTCTCTTTGGGTAATGACATGCGCGTTTTCGCCATCTGCGGAGACCATAGCTGCTGGTGGTTTAAACAACAGTTGCAAAATAATCCCCACAGATAAACCAGATGCTGATCCCATTGATCTTGTGGGACACGATGGCTTCATCTCTTCATGCAAATATGTTGACGAGAATCATCTGTTAACCTCTTCCGGTGATCGAAGTTGCATTTTGTGGGACATACAAAAGCAAACCTCTATTACTAAGTATGAGGGACATACTGGAGACGTCATGTCTCTGGATTTTTTGACCGGAAACCCAAATATATTTGTTTCGGGTGGTTGCGATAAAACTTCAAGAGTATGGGACCTACGAACGAATTCCTCTGAGTTAACTATTTCTGGTAATGATTCCGATATCAACTCCGTTTCTCTTTTTCCTTCAGAGACTTCATTCGCTACGGGTGCTGAGGATGGAACTTCTAAATGTTTTGATATTCGCACAAGGTCAGCTATCTTTGAATACCCCTCGCAGAAGTCGAAACCCGTTAGCTCAATTTGTTTTTCTAAATCTGGAAAGTTTTTGATTGTAGCTACAGGTAATGTATGTGAAGTATGGGATTCCGCTTCTGCTACGTTGGTTACTACTTTGTCAGGTCACGATAACCGTGTGAGCAGCATTACACTCAACCCGCGTGGAACTACCTTAGCAAGCGGTTCGTGGGACTCGACGGTCCGACTTTGGTATCCCTAATCTGCTTGGATAAATGAATTTCGAGCTTTACGATTTCGATCTGACATGGATCACATGTTGCATGCATAATGACTCATAGTACTTGTATACAATTACAATTGTTGTTGCATGATATAATATTTGTTTGATGAAGGATATACTAATTTGTAGATACTAGTCTAATTGTTTATAAAAAATAATTTTACGTCGCTCTTAGAAATAATAAAATACTTATGGATGATTCAATTTTTGGGGTAGCCTTTTCGATTACATTCTTGTAAATTAAAGCAGAAAGCGTGTTACCCTTTTTAGTTTTACAATTTATTCATCCAAATACCCACCCATGACTTCAGCCCATCGATTGATGCAAGACCCAAGTCTAGGTTCAATTTCCGGTACAGTTAAAGGACAGTCGCAATTACAACCAAGATCTTGTGCGCAATGTTGAATCGTCGAATGTTGATATCCTAAATCACGAAAATAATGTACTTGAGATCGATTCAATAATAGTCCGACTGCCAACGAATGTACTGGCGCGTCCCCCCACTAAAGAAAAAAGTTAGCAGTTGAAAAGAGAAAATAAAAAAAAATATTGTATATATATAATTATAAACATACTCTTTCTGTCCAAAATCCACCGGCTTCCTCTAGTGCATTCATGTAATCATTGTATTCTTTGCTTCGATAGAAATCGAGCCGAGCAATCTCAAAATTGCTCCAAAAATGACAAAGATTATAGATCTCACCATCAATTTGTTCCAATGGAGGTTCCGGCAATACAAAGACTTGATCGTACTTTTGCTTTTCTTTCAATGTTTGAATGTGTTTATCGTAATCATCGTTAAGGAAAAACCTCCAAAAGTCGGTGGTTTCTAAATTGACAGCTTTCTTATGAGCGATTGTGTAACGAAACAGGTTTGGCACAGTTTCTGCCAGTTCTTTGATAGCAATCACAAAGCCATAGACCTTGTTATACTTTTGCATGTAGTAAAAAGGATCGTAAGAAATATCACAAGAAAAGGAAACATCCGGCTCTAACCGCCAATACCATTCGTACTGTTGTATCAAAGGATGTTTGTAAAATTGTTTAGAAAAGAATCGACACATTTTATGATAGCTCGGCATGTTTGCATAAACGATACCCACTTGTTCGGCAATGGCTTCATCTATGAAATCTTGATCAACTGTAGAAGGAAAGTCCCAAAGCTCTTGACCAAGAATACCAAATTGCACTTTGGACTGTGTCACCTTCTGAACGGCTTCCTTGAACTCATCCGTGAACGACTCATCATTTAAAAAGACATAAGGATAATTAAAATGTTGATTGAACCTTTTTTCAATTGATTTCATGCTCGATAAAACACCATCAAGATCTGAATTGCGCGTAAGCACCATGAACGTAGCATTCATTCTTGGATAGGTATTTGCCTCATAAGCTACATTTTTACAACCTACTGCAAAAGGAGCGTCGAATGTTTCATTTAAAGGTCTCAATTTTTTCACAAACACCCGATATAATCTGTGCCAGTTGTGAAACCACAGAATTCCACATATAAGGAAAAAAATAAGAAAAAAAATATTCTTTTTTCTTACTTCCATTTTACAGGAAAAAACAAAAGCCTACCAACCTCACTTAGAAGCAAGCTTTTCGCTTGTTTCTTGAGGTAGATTTTGTAAAGGATTACCTTGTCGTTCATTATAGGAAAAGACCAGTTGCTCGCCGACGGGGCTTTCAACTAGTCTATCCAAAATAAATGAAATTTAATTAAAAAAATAAAAAGTAAAGGCTTTCATGAAAGCGAACGAATGTGATGAAAAACAGAGTATATTTATGGTCTTCTTCTTTGGCATCCATAAACACAATAAATATGTTTAATTTGAGATCGAATAAAATTCCACGAGATGCCTAGTTTTCCTACATTTTATTTGTAAATTCATAATACTTTTTCATTTTCATAAGTACACTTCATGTCTTTCACATATTATATAGAAAAGATTTAATACTTCTTTATTTACTTGTCAATAAACAAAAAATCATAATGTTTGTAAAGCCTAATAATACTCAGAGTTGTGTCGAAAGCATTTTCCTTTTAATTCTTACCTTTTTTTTTTTCTTTTTACATTTATTTTCATTTACACCTTGGATTCATAGAATTATAATTTTTGACCATGATATATTGACGAGGTGAGACATATACAAGTCAAATCGCCTTAGGATAAATTTCAGTCATATAATTAACAAAAAAAATAAAAAAGGTAAGAATTAAAAGTGAAAACTACGAAAATTGGCTTTCATTATGGCAACAAAAATTGAAAAATGATGACCCCTAAGTGACTTGAACACTTGACTTCAAGATTTGGAATCTCACACTCTACCAACTGAGTTAAGGGGCCTTGTTGTTACATCTGGTCATGTAATGACTATATAAAAGCTTTTTTCATTTTATCGGTAGACATGCTGTAACTAAATTGAATGTTTATACCGCTCTTTAGTGAATTCAGTTCACTGTCCTGAATTGGAGGTTGAAATTTACTTCTTACACTCTGTAGTAAACAATGATCGAGCCTTTCATATGTAATATTCCTGGTTTACTGCTTTCATCGCATCCATCCACGTAGACCAGAAGCCGTAGCTTAGTGTTGTAAAAGCAATGAACATAAATACAACAAATACTCTTTGCAAAATGAACAGTCTCGTACACTCTTTTCTACTTAGCTAGTGTGCTTTCATATAACAATTCTAGCATTGATAACGATATCCTAAGTTCATTACTCGTACTAAACATTATTATTTCATTTTAAAAGGTTTTATCCAAAAGTTTTCCGACCCTATCTAGACTCTACGAAAACGTTCAAATGTTATGAAAATCTACAAGAAATGTACAGCTCTATCAATGACTTTGTCGATTTTCGACAAAACCAGCTGCTTCGAGCTGCTGCCAAAAGGCCTTTCTGCCACGCCCAACCAACAAAAGTACAGACCGACTATCGCCGTTTTTTGCAACAAAGTTCTTACGAATCGACGCATTATAGTAAAGCAGCACTTGATTTTTGCATCTTTTCATAAGAAAGCGAGCATGGTGGTTGGTAAAATTGAAGGTGGTGTATCCCCTTTTATACTGAGGTTACCAGATGTGTGTTGCCATAGCAACTTTTCATGTAAATAAAGAACCTAGTACAGACTTTTTGGTAAATAGATGGATATTTTATGGATTTAACTGCGTTATATGCAAGTTTAAGTCCTACATATGCTGTCATTTCTCCATCGGGTCATTGGATTGCATCTCTTTCTCGCTCTGGCCATGTTTTGATACGAAGCACAGAAACCCTTGAATTGCAGCATGTTTTTCTTTTAAACCCAGGCTTCGTGCAAAAAGCCAACTGGCTGTTTTGGATAACCAGACGAGATTCACCTGAAACCACACAGATATGCGTGGCTTCTACCGAGAAAGCGTTCGTCTTAAATTTTCGCCAAGAATTTTTCTATGCAACCATTGATTGTACTTGGGACCATGTGAAACGTATCGAATGCAGTCCCACTGGTGAATTACTACTTTTCTCTGAGATTCATAATAAAGTAACGATATGGGCTTTGGAATTGAAAAAAGGATTTGCAATATCTCATCCAAAGAATGATATAGATCAAGGTACACTTCATTTATATTTTCGTCATTAATTATTTCATTCTGCTTACTTTTACATTTAGCTGTTGCTTTTCATCCCCATTCCAATCTTTGTTCAATGCTGATTCGGAAATCTGGGTCGGATTTCCTCAATTTCTATCAAACGTCTCTAGATGGATGGTATCTTACACGAAATTACAAATTACCAACCATAGATGCTACCTCTGTCTCATGGTCACCGAATGGTCAGTGGCTGGTCGTCCAAGATATCACTTTGAACCCCATTATTCACTTGTTTTCGTACCCTGGCATATTTCTATTTAGTTACGAGGTCGAAGATGATCTTCATTTGGGATTTTCGACAATAGAATGGAGCCCCGATTCCTCTCTGTTAGCTTTATGTAGCTTACAAAACTCTACGATATATATTTTGAATACCCAAACATTCAGCCCAATATTTCGACTGCGACATGGGTTTCAGCAGCCTTTTGCAATGAACTGTTGGCAAGAACTCGTTTCGTCACAATACAAATTAACATACCAGCGCGCTACATGGCCGTCTATAATGAAAACCCCAAATCAACATGAACATTGTAAAGTTTCTTTTAATGCCAATAGTTCTTTTATAGCGTCTTATACTCTTCTGCAAAAGAATATTGTTTGGATTTGGAATGCACGATCTCAATGCTTGGATACCATACTCATACAACAGCAGCCCATTGAACATCTCTCTTGGCATCCTACTTCTCCGCATCATTTAATGATCCTAACAAAACCAGTGAAACCTAAGGCTGCTAAGGAAATGCAGTCCCTTCATAATTGTTCTATATATTTCTGGTCTTACGAATGGAACGAACCCCGGATCATTTCGATTCCTAAATCAGACTTCTCTATTCAAAAAGCTGAATGGCTTCATGCCGTCCATCAACACTCACTAACGGTGCTGATATCTGGCAGAGATGCTTATATAATCGCATACCTATTGGAAAGTGAAGAGGAAATGTCTTCTCAACTTATTCTTTCTCAAGGATCTCTTGACGAAGAGCTAGAGACAACGCAAACAATCCACATACCGGCCAACTAATTATCTTTTGAGGATGGAATTGTTTATGTAAATGGGCTACCAGGTAGTTCCCAAGATTCTTCTTAATTTTCTTGATATCCCAAAAACATCCTTGTCTTGTTACATATTATGATTTCCGTTATGATCCCTATACGTTCAATGTCATTGTCATTACCGATTACTCGGTTTGTTTAAACCTTTATTGTTCCTCTTAAATTAACACTTTTGAAGAATTCATTCAATGCGAATTATAACGAAACAAAAACTTCCTTGTTGTTTCTTTGTTTTTTTATATCAATATGTAAACATTTCGTCTCTAATTAGTGTAGCCTAAGGAAGTACCCTATTCGAAAAACTTGGACGTTCAACAATATAAAATGTATTCAGCATTGTTCATAAAGTTCATTTAACAGAACGTGTATGTAACAGAAGAGTTTTGTTTGAAATAGAAAATTTTGGGCTGGTTTAGGGTATCTATCATGAAACGCAGCGGTGGTGTTACAAGTGAAAATGAAAAAGTTTCGCGTCGAAAAGTGAATTCAGAATTTCAAAAGCGATTTCAAGGATGTAGCCATCTTTCTTCATATGAACTTATGGAAAAATTAGGTGAAGGAACCTTTGGGTATGCTCGAAAATACACTTGTTAGCGTGCTTGGCTTTTTATTAACAACTATACAGTGAAGTCTATAAATCGAAATATAGGGCGACTGGAAAGCTATATGCCCTAAAAAAGATATTACTACATACAGAACGAGAAGGAGTAAGAAGAAATTATTACCCGAAGACATTCTAAAGCGATGGTCTAATATGGGCATATTGATGTTTACTGCAGAAATGCTGACTAGTTATATAGTTTCCAATAACTGCAATTCGAGAAATCAGAATTTTAAAATCCCTTTGTCATGAGAATGTGATTGCCTTGACGGATATGACGGTTGTACGGGCTAATAAAAAACAACGAAAACGAGGCTCGATTTACATGGTTACTCCTTATATGGATCATGACTTATCGGGCTTATTGAAGAATCCTAGCGTGAAATTTACCGAACCTCAAATTAAATGTTACATGAAGCAATTACTTGCTGGAACAAAGTATCTTCATGATAGCTTAATCCTTCACCGTGATCTGAAAGCTGCAAATTTGCTTATTGACAACCACGGGTTCTTGAAAATAGCAGATTTTGGTTTGGCCCGTGTTATAGACGAAGAATCTTATGCGAATAAGTATCCCGGAATTTCACCTCCAAATCGCCGAGAATATACGGGTTGCGTAGTGACAAGATGGTACCGATCTCCAGAGCTATTATTGAATGAACGTCGTTATACGACAGCAATTGATATGTGGAGTGTGGGTTGTATAATGGCAGAAATGTACAAAGGAAAGCCAATAATGCAAGGTTCAAGCGACTTAGATCAATTAGACAAGATTTTTCGACTTTGTGGATCTCCTACTCAAAGCACGATGCCTAATTGGGAAAAACTTCCTGGGTGTGAAGGTGTTCGTTCATTCCCTGCGCATCCTCGAACACTGGAAACGGCATTCTTTAGTTACGGAAAGGCTATGACCTCCTTATTTGGCTCTATCTTACAATTAGATCCAGATGAACGTTTGTCTGCCGGTATGGCACTGGAACATGAATATTTTACTACTGAGCCTTTACCTGCGGATCCTTCACAACTACAGCATTATACTTCTTCGCATGAATACGATAAAAGAAAAGATAGAGATATTCAAAATGCTAACAGTAACCCGTACAACAAAAAGCGTTCCTTCCGCTTCATTACTCGAGGTCCTGGTGATCCTTGGTATGGAATGCGCAGACCAAATCAACAATATCGCGGTGGCAATCGCCGTGACAATGAAGGAGGTGGACAACAATATCACCAATACTCTCGAAGAAACCAAAATCAATATATGTCGAGCAGGTCAGTATCGTATCAACGTTCCCGTGATTATCCTCTTTCTTCTGGCATTGAGCGTGAAAGACATTATCGTCCCGAGACAAGAAATCGAAATTCGCGGCCTGACGCTTCCAGTTTGCGAGCATCCGTGGAACCCCCCTTGAAACGGTCTAACACTGATCAACAACCTGTTTGGCAACGTCAGCAAAACAACGCGAAGTCCAGCGAGCCTCAATCTTCTATCAATGATCGTGATGATTCTAGGAGATCTTCAATGACGATGCGTAATGCGTCTGGTTCTGAAGAATACGCAAAAAGAAACCAACCTTCGCCTTCTTCCGGTCACTTATAAAATACAAAAGCGAACGCTATGAAGTAAGTTTATGTCCATCCTGGAAATTTGGGGCCTTTCTTAGTTTTTATAATTACCCAAGTACATTATGCATACAAGCTCTCGGTACGTCTTTCTTTTGGTATATGATATTTGCTTGCTCAACTTAAGGGCTCGCATAAGTTAGTTATCGTGCTCTTTATTAAACTCAGATCACGTTGTTTACTCTATTTAATTTGTTTAATACATCTTCGTCTACGTATTTTAGCAGCTAGCATCTCACATCCACAATACATTGGTCCATTCTCGATTTCAAAAAAAGGAACAATTTTTCTTTTTCTTTTTTTATTCAATAATTTTATTTTATGGTTTTTTTTATTTTTAAATATTACCCCTCTGTAATACGTGAATGGTCCATATTTCTATAACGTATGTGGATTGTTTATATTCGACGCTGAACCAGCCTTCTTCATATACTGTCCTTTACCAATATCGGGTAGTCTATTAAACCATAGAAGAACAGGTAATCGGTTTACTTATAAATAATTAATAAAAAAAAATAATTCAAAAGGACTAATGAGTGACAAACGGAAGCCGTTAGGTATTCATGGTGCTAATAATGAAAGGGTAATTCCAATGTTGGGAACAACCTCAAACTTTGATAAAACTGAAACATCCATACCTTTATTAAAGCAAGAGCTTCCTGAAAACTTTGAATCCGAAGTCGAAGAAAACAAGGAGAATCTAAACAGCGAAAGCATTCGCCAGTTGCTCTTCGGAGACGAAATTGCAGGATTTGTTGACACGGGAGAGAAGCCTCCATGCTCATATGCTACATTAATTGGTTTAGCTATTCTTCAAACTCCAGACAGGCAGCTAACTTTGAATGGTATATATACATGGATTCGCAATACCTTCCGCTACTACTTAAACCATGATGGAGGCTGGCAGAATAGCATCCGACACAATTTATCATTAAATAAAGCATTTGTGAAAGTTGGGAAAAGCAAAGGAAAGGTATCAAAGGGTCATTATTGGACAATCGATCCTGAGTATGTTCAAGGGTTTGTTAATATCAGATTAAACCGTGGAGGTTCCACAGATTCAAGCTCTAAAAAGCGGACCTCTTCAAAGAGTAATGAATTTAAACCATCTTTAAAACGGGACAACTCATTCCCTCGTAAAAGAACCCGGATTAATGCTTTCAAATCTGGTGGCTCAAACGCAAACTCTTCAGCCTCCAAACCTACACTTACTAAAAGTAATACGGAACCAGTATTGCCTTTAAACTATGACTTTGGCTTAAAACAAACAAACAAGTCTCCACTTACTTTATCATCTGCTTCAAACTTAATCAAAGCTCCTGAACCTCCTCTTACTGATTTAAAACCACAAGAACAGTCCAACTCATCAGATCAACCATTTTATGAAAACAATGAACCTCCATTTTCCCAACTTTCATCCTATCAGGACTATTCCTTCAGCAGCTTTGCTGATGATGAGCAACCTTATTTCCGTCAAGCATTTTCCTCTAATGATATTTCGTATTCGACAAATACGGAAGATGTCCTACAAGCTGATTTCCCGGTTTCTCAACAACAAAATTTAGTTTCTTCGTATGTTGCTTCTCCGAATTCTCATTCCCCTCAATATTTGTCAAAAAGGATATCAACCTTAACCCGTCCTTCTCGGTTTTTTGACTACCCTGGGTGTCCTTCTTTCCACCGCACTGATACGACTTACTCTGCCCCAGAGAATGATGATCGAACAAAGATTCAGAAAATAATGCCACTGAAAGCCCTTGTACCAAAATATCCCCCAATAGCCCGGCAACTTCTTTAAAGAAACATCGAGAGCATGTGAAATCCTTACTTTGTCCTATGGATTTAGCACCACCTCTCGATGCTTCTGATCCATGGAACACTTCCAGCCAATTATTTTCTGAATCTTTGTTCGATCATCATTCTTTTCAATCTTCGCTTGACGACTTGGTTTCAGCTGCTTGCTTTCAAAATAGTCCAGAAACAGCCATAGAGTCTAGTAATGCTAATGATTCAGGTTCAATTGCTCCCACGTCTTTATGTTCTTCACAAGTATTAAAACAAGGGAACGAATCTTTTGAACAACCATCAGATGACTCAATTGCTGAGCAAGCTCACGAAAGTAAGAAGGATGAGACAAGTTCTTGCTCTAAGGCAAGCCAAAATGCCAACAAAGTTGAAGAATGCTCTGGTAGCAATTTTGAACAATTAGATGAAGCAGATAAACAGCTGCTCCGCCTGGGTTCGGAAATTAATGACTTATGATGAATTACTTTCTTTAATATTTAATGATTAGATAATGCTTGTTGTTTTTTCGAAAGCCATAACTTATGGCCGTTGTATATAATTATTTTCGACCGAAGTTGATGATGCCAATACCGTTAATGATGTTTCATAAAGCAGCCCACTCTGACGATATAGAAAGACCGACATATTCCTTTTATCAATAATCTCATGACTTTGATGCTCCTCCCTATTTATATCCTTACTCATTTTAGGCGACACTCACGCCTTTGCAAAGTATACTTATATCTATTAAGCTCTATGGTGAGAAGGTATGTAAAAGACAATTATCTTATATTCCAACTTATTTAGAAGCTTCATATGGTTTTTTTTTGGGAAACCTGTCTTCTGATTTTCCGACTTCTCTGCCCTATTAGTTTTGAACAAAGTACGTACCGGAATTGACCTCACGGCACGACACACATGGCCGTATGTTCTTAGAAGTATTAAATATATTTATTTATTTATTATCGCATATGCCAGATTTAATTGAATTGACTTTGTAATCGTATACCAAAATGTACCTTCCATTTACTTGAATAACCATTCCTGCTTTATCCACCACCACTGACTACATTACCCAACACATTTTCTGTATAAAAAAAATAAAAACTGTTTATATCATTCATTTATAATAATCTAATTGATAATTGTAGTAAAGAAACCATCAATAGGGAGACATCACACGATGCATCGGTCTTGATGGAAAACCAAAGTGAGAACTTTTTATATTCTATAGACGGAAGCACCGTAGTAATTAATCATGGACAAGATAGTTTGTCCCATATTCATGAACACATATAGAACTCCGTTTTTCTGTCTATACTAGCAAGAATAAGGAAAAAGGAAGAGCATCAGCTAAACGAAAGCAACAAGAAGCAAAGCACCCTGTCCATAACGAAAACTCCCGGTTAGTAGAAAAAAGATAAACCATCGATTATTTTAAAGGTCATTTGAAATAAGGAACACGATATGTAAAGATTGAGGAGCTAGAAAAATATATATCAGAAAGAATCGATGTTATTCAAAAGTACGTAAACGTTACAAAAATGAAAGAACTTAGAAGCACTTGCGGTAAACGATACCAGGACCGCTCTCATCGTATTCCTGCTTGGAGATCCACATTTGTTGGAAAGTAGAAAGAGAGGCGAGAATGGAACCACCAATCCAGACAGAGTACTTACGCTCAGGGGGAGCGACAATCTTAACCTTCATTGAGCTAGGAGCAAGGGCTTGGATTTCCTTCTGCATACGATCGGCGATACCAGGGTACATAGTAGTACCACCAGACATAACAACGTTACCATACAAATCTTTACGAATATCAACATCACACTTCATAATAGAGTTATAAGTAGCTTCATGAACACCGGCGTTTTCAAGACCCAGGACAGAGGGTTGGAACATAGCTTCAGGAGCACGGAAGCGTTCGTTACCAATAGTGATAACTTGACCGTCGGGAAGTTCATAAGACTTCTCGAGAGAAGAAGATTGAGCAGCAGTTTGGAGTTCTTGTTCAAAGTCCAAGGCAACGTAGCAGAGCTTCTCCTTGATATCACGAACAATTTCACGTTCGGCGGTGGTAGAGAAGGTGTAACCACGCTCCATAAGAATCTTCATAAGATAGTCAGTCAAATCACGACCGGCGAGGTCAAGACGCATAATGGCATGAGGAAGAGCATAACCTTCATAAATAGGAACAGTGTGAGTGACACCATCACCAGAGTCCAATACGATACCAGTGGTACGACCGGAAGCGTACAAGGACAAGACGGCTTGAATGGAAACGTAAAAGGCGGGAGCATTGAATGTTTCAAAGATAATTTGAGTCATCTTTTCACGGTTAGACTTGGGGTTCAAAGGAGCTTCAGTCAACAAGCAGGGGTGCTCTTCGGGAGCAACACGCAACTCGTTGTAGAAGGTGTGGTGCCAGATTTTTTCCATATCGTCCCAGTTGTTGACGATACCGTGTTCAATAGGATACTTCAAAGTCAAAATACCACGCTTGCTTTGAGCTTCATCACCAACATAGGAGTCCTTTTGACCCATACCCACCATGATACCGTGGTGACGGGGTCTACCGACGATAGATGGGAAAACAGCTCTAGGGGCATCATCACCGGCAAAACCGGCCTTGCACATACCAGAGCCGTTATCAATAACTAATGCTGCGATTTCTTCTTCCATGGTTTTTGGTTTTTGAGTTTTTGTATTGCTTACAAAAAGTAGTTGGTAAACGGTAAGTTCAATGTAAGGCTGTGGTGACCTGTATGAAGCGGAATTACATAGAGATAACGAAAAAAACTATACTTTATAAATTAGATATATAGTTATAAACAAACAAATTTAAATATCTACTGTATAGTTATGTATGGGTTCTTGATATTTTTCTTACTCGATTGATAATCATCTGTGCCGTCCCCTTCTCTGGCATCACTCTTGAACGGTTGACAGTTTTCCGATGTAATAGCTGTACCAGCCAACCCTATCATAGATAGGGAAGTACGTTTGTATGCACTAGTAAACAATTTTCTAGGTAGTAGAGCAATGAGTGTAAAGGCATTCAGAAATCGAGGTATGCTTCTATTTAATTTCTTTGATAATCTAAGAAGTTGATGGCTTTTACAAAGTGTTTTTTGCAATGGGTGAAATCATAAATTAATAGTCATACACAGCTTCCTATGATACAGATGTTCTCTTTTCTATAGATTAAAAGATTCAACGGATTATAATCGTTATTAAAACTCATCAAAAAAGCTCATTAAATATATATATGTCTATAACAGTCTGATTTTTATATCTTTTTTTATATAGTGAACATGAATAAAACAAATGGGTTGAACACACGAACGAATCACTAAACACCAAAACGCTTGTCTAATTATATGAAAGAGATTAGAGAGCAAGCTGACTTCTTCGGTAATAGTAAAACAGACCTCCAATCGCAATCATTTGACAAATTAAAGCAATGTAAAAACATGGTGAAGAACAAGGCCCAGGTCCTTCCGACGGATTCCAAGCGCCTAAATTGGGAAATACTTTGTCACTCACAGGTATTGTAGGCTTGGCTACCATAATTGTCAAAGAACTGACAACTTGAGAGAGCATTAAGGTGAATGCTACGTGATCACGGGCTAACGTTTGCAGCAACATAACACCAACACCAATTCCTTGAATACCATCCCAAAGTGCCAAATATAGCCAAATCAATTTCGCGAGTACTGGAGCTATCCGACCCGCCCAAGGAAGATTCAAACCTAATCCGGAAGAAGACCAAAATTCTAAGCACCATTTTGGACATAGTAGACCCAATCCAAAAATAACAGGAAACCAAACATTGTTCAATGATAAGAACTTTATCCCGTAAAGGACTATTATCCATACAGCAACGAAGAAAATTAACAGTAAAACGACAATCCCCCAGAAAGGCGTGTGACTAGTGTTCCAAAAGAATCGCCAAGCCTGTCCATAAGGCACTGCCAACCAATAGTTACTTAAAACCTGTGCAATAAAAAACCAAAGTACTATGGAACGTTTGGAGAGAGACCGATAAAACGCAGGAATAATAGAAGGAGTCTGTCTATAATATGTAGGGAGGCCGACAAACGTTATGTATGCCAAAAAGAAGCAAACTACCGATGCGACCAATCCACCTGCGAAAATTCCTGGTCCCACCTTTTGCCCAGTATCCTTTTTGGAAATCAAATCTCCCCATGCCCATAGAATGGCAGACCAAATTTGCTGCACACCGTGAACCAAACAAGCTCTTACAATCCAGTGATGCGTAGCAATTCCACCTTCAGCACCGAAATTCCATGCAAAGTATAACGAACCGGTTGAGCTGGATATTGCATATATATAGGCAGCAATGTGCTGAATTATCGAACAAGCATTAGTCTTTTGAAAGAAATGCGTTATGGAAACCAAAAAGAATGAAATACCAAAACAAAGGAAAGGTAAACTAAGTATGTACCTTCCTTGTACAAATCTTGATAAGAACCACCAGAATAAAGAGAATGCTGAGAAAATAGCGAGCAATATATACATAGAGTTTGTCGACTGTGCTGATTCTCCAGATAACAAAGTTAGTTGATAAGAAGATGCACCAAGGACTTGTCCTAGAGCGAGTACAATTGAGTACAAAGGCCAGCTACCTATGTTATGAAGCATAATCTTTTGTATAGCAGTGTTCTCAACCGTCTCTGTTTCTAGAGGTTTGACAGTTTCAGTAACTGAACATGCTTTCTCCTTATCCTTTTCGGAAAAGAAGTTCAATCTCACATCAATTTCTTGCTTTCTAAGTCCAGAAAAGTATTTTCGCTCATGCTTTCGAATGAAGTGATCAATGGACAAAGACTTCATAGTATTATTACTGGTTAAGTCATCAAGTTTGGACAAAAACAGTCTTCTGGTGTTTCCATCTTCATCGGTAAACGTAACAGACCCATGGAAAACAACAGGCTTAGACTCCACAATAGCATTGTACTTATCGGCATTCAAATTTTCAAAATCGACAGAAGAATCACCAACTGGAATCACATGGTCTCTTATAGTATCTTCTTCGGCTCCGGAGCTTTCTTGAATATCAAAAACTTCCCGTGCATTGGCATAATTATGGGTTTGCAAGTCACGGGCAAAATTGTCAAAGCTTCTATCGTTCTGTTCAACAATTGACTCCTCTGAAGAATAAGGACTAGCCGACTGGGAACTGTTAAGGACGTCACCTAGAGAGTAAAATTCCACTTCTTCTGTTTCTTCTTTTACCTTTGGAGACGATTTTGACATGTATGGCTCATTTATTACCGCGTTTACTTCATCATGTATAGGTGAATTATCATTCAACGCGGGTTGCTCGGTAGACCCTTGATGACGGAGCAAAGCATTACGAGAAAATTTGGACGTGACTCGGTCAGCAGCAGACTTAAAATATTGATAACTCTTGTAAATGAAGCTAGACTTCTTAATTTCCTCTACTTCATGAACGTATATACAAGCTTTTAGTAAGTCATCAGTCTTCTGTTTCCAAACACACACGGGAAAACGTTGTCGTAAAGCTTCAGCTCTAAGTCTTGCTCTCAAATCTGCTGGACTTTGTAGAGCCTTTGAGATGGCATTTTCAAACTGAGCTAGTAAATGTCCTGTGTTTGGAGAAGCCATTTGGAACCACCAACCCGGCATATATCCTAAACCTCCTGTTCGTGATCCAATGCAAAGAACACCCTTTCTTCCAAATTCGACTGCTACTAACCCAAAAGGCTCATCTCTAGAAGGAATTAGAGCGAAATCAGCACCAGCAAAAAGGAATGGAGGAACAGCGGTAAAGACAGGTCTGCAGAAAACTTTATTCGGATAACAGCTCGCAATATACTGAAGCTTTTCAGCAGCAAATTGACCATGCAAATCGATCACAGGACCAATTGTAACAATTTGAACATTGTATTCAGCTAAGAGCTTTGGAGCTAAATCGGCAATCAAATCAATTCCTTTTTGTTGTGACCAACGTCCTACGAAAACCAACAATTGAGCAGACGGATCGACATCTAATCCAGCCCATTCTTGGGTTTGCCTTTTGAAAAGTTTTCGTTTCGCTTCCAGGACAAAGTCGACATCATTACGTTCATCCAGATTACTGATCATTTTCAAATCACTTGGATCAGGATTAGGTAAACCACTAATGTGAACCAAACTCCAAAAGATTGGATATCTTGTTAATGACTGCTTGCTGTATTTATCAGATACAGCTACTACACCGTAACCACCTTGGTGTTTTCTAACGTAAGAGATTATGGAATGAAGCAAATTAAAAACATGGCCGAATTGAACATAATCAGCACAGACTTCTCTAGAAATATTGAATATTGAGCAGACGCAGTCTATTTCTTCCACTTTCCGTAAAGGCCAGAGACCTTGGAATTCGGCATTATGAAGAGAAACTGCTACAGGGATGACCTCAGGCAAGAGATAAAGAGGAGCCAAAGCACCATGATAATCATTCACATGGTAGATGTCTAAAGGATAACGGCGCCATACTTCAGCGATGCACTGATTCCAAGTGGAGTAAAACATTGCCGAGTTTAAGTCATCCATCTTTGAAGGGTAAGGCTCCTTCGTTGATTGCATATAGAAAACTTCGGATTGTACAAAAATGTAAGTAATATTTCTCAACTTGTAAGAGTAACAATTAACAATGAAGTCTACATCATGAATTCTGACTTCAATCTTAGGTTCAGTAGATAATTGCTCGAATGGGTAGTCAAGTCCACTGATAATAGGAATTACCCAAACCATGTCTTGAATCTCTAAATGTTGAGACATGAGCTGAGCCATAACACCCAGACCACCTATTTTGACACGCAGACTCAATTCAGGAATGTCATACTCCAACGTGGCTACCAATACATTACGCTTCTTTGACGAAGGTGGTAGTTGCTTCATTAATTCCGTATTGTTGTCGACCGGTAGAGAGATTCCAAAAGGAAATATTTTAGAGCATGCATTTCCAAATCTCTGTTTCAAGCCTTTCCATCCTTTACTCTTACTTCCGTTAAAGATAGTAACTCGAGAAAAAGCTCCACCGTACAGAAGTACAGACAAACTAGCAGCAGTAGGAGGAAGAAATATTAACAGTGAGACACAAATAATTTGAACGGACCATGAACCTTTAGGAACATAATGTAATTGCCTAGTAAAATCATTGACGTACATTTTATAAGATAAATATGGCTTTGGTGGAGGATCAAGGAACCGGATAAAATTGGATATTCTGCTAGTACCGGGAGGAACTCTATCGATAATTGTATCATTATCCAAATCACCATAGATCCAACCTTCATCAGCGTTGTTGTCTGGATTCATTCCCCAAACATTGAGTACAACTTGGGCTGGCCAAGTGGAAATTAATTCATAAGTCCAAGTCCTATTATTGGGGTTGTAGCGCATTTTACTGGGGATTGATCCGTCGTAACCGAATTTGTTGAATGCACCCTGTACGAACAAATGAGGAAACTGTCTAGGCAGACCCAATGAATCTCCATGCTGGATATGAGCGGTAGACATAGCTAGACTAGACCAATACTGAACAATCACATGTTCTCCATCCCAACCTTGAACATGACTTCCGTTCCAATGCTGTTTGTTAAGTTTTTCGGAAGCAGACGTTATTTGTTTCCAGGGAGAATAGGTACTTCCAAAATTCAACGAATAGCGATACTTGTCAGCTCCTATACCAGTATGGTTTACGTATATATCTCCATCAGCTATATGTAACAAGTCTTTGCTAAAGGTAGCGTTGCTTGGGTAAACCATTGGATTGTCTCCATTACCAACACGCAACAAAAGTCTCGCATGTTTAGCAGCCATGGTACGATTAGCAACACTTTTTATATCATCAAGTACTAATTCATGGAGTCCTTGGGGAACTGATTCCAAAGTAGCATTAAAATACCATCTTGTAGCAGGCGCATTCGTAAATATTTGAGTAGCAGGTTTTTCAAGAGAAGCGCAGGAAATGCTTGATTCTTCAATCTTCGGCTGTGAGTAATTTCCTAGTGTATGAGTATTGATGGTAATCTTTCTAGCTAAAGAATGACAGTCAACAGGCTCTGAAAAACCCAAACTGATATTAATTGAATTCAGTTTAGACGTTGTATATATGCGGTGGTCATGTCCCGGTAAGAAGTCGGTTAAATACAAGGATGGTTTCAGCCAGTTTTCCTTCTTAACAAATATTTTTGATCCATAGGCGTCAATCTCCAGTCGCGGGATACAGCCGATGTTACCAAATTCCGGTGAATCTATAGCGGAAGCCGACAAAGTTATTTCCTCGTATGGATAAAGTAAGTTTTTGATGGTCGTACCATTCTTGAAAGGTCCTAAGGGGGCATAATAGGGAGGAAACTTGTACTCAGCCTTCTCCGAGCAATTGAATTCAAAAGTCTTGGACGTGTTTCGATTGGAAAAGAGTAGCCACATGTAATCACTTTGATTACCAAAATTCTGATAAGGTTTCATTGGTCCTCTTGAAAAAGACCACAAACCCCACATTGTAGGAGTAGCTTCTGCATACTTCTCATTTCCAGGGAATACACCATCCTCTGTCCATCTTCCTAGAGCTACGAGATCCCAACCATCTCTAACTTGTGGATAATGACCTCTAATTTCGTTCATTCTTGAAATATAATTTCTGGTATGGGAGCTTGGATCCAAATGATCGAAACTATTCCAGTCATCATGACAAGCTTTACTAGCAGGCGAAAAATCTAGCTCTGAATACTGTGTATTGCCAATCTGGTAACATCCATGTTTCTGCCAACCAACAGAAGAAGTTATAGGTTGTCTTCCAAAAACATAATTGGCAGCCTGGTTGTCAAGTAACTTCAAATTTTGCTCTTCACCATAGTAAATTAATGGAATTCCAGGCATTAGTAAATGTGTTATAAAAAAACCCAATAGTTGTTTATATTCACCACCTGTAGTCGACGGCCATCTAAAAATATCCTGGTTGGTGACGCCGTAAAGATGTCTAGGATCAAGCTTCCCGGTATTGGCATTAATCAAGTCGTCTTGAATAAGCATTTGCCTCCACATATATGCAAAATCGTGACGATTAAGATCATATGTCGCAAATAGCTTACCTTGGAGTCCTAGTAACAGAGTTATGGCACGATAAATCGAATAATGGAAAGATACGGAGTCCAAAGCAGAATCACCTTCCTTTCTCAAGAAGAATTCCGACTGGTTGTAACCAGTTTTAAGAGCAGCAACGTCATTTTCAGGTCGCTGATCAGCTTGACGACCACGGCCAATGTATATAGAACCAAAATCAGCACCACTTGTAACTTCACCGGGGATGAAGAAGTTGTCTTTTCCTACTTCCCGAGCGCATTTACGAACAGAAGAACTCCAGCTTCCCAAAAAGTCGGCAGTAATTTGGGTTGCTTTATCGATACGAATTCCATCCACGTCAAGCATTTTAACAGCAAGACACGCAACATGTTTTAATTTCTTGGCAACAATAGGATCCCAGTCTCTCAGACGGTCTTGTACTGAAGCGAAGTTTGACAATTGGCGCCACCATGGGGGATGGTTACCAAAAGCTTCAACATCTCCGTAATGATCGAAATCTCCCTGAATACAAGTAATCTGCTCGATCATTTCTTTGTCTGCTGTATCGTTTATAGGTAAACCAGTAATGTCCCAAAACGCAGGTCCCGTACAAGGATACTCAGTTCCATTAGATAACTGAAAGTCGGAGTAGAAGTGCTGAGAATTCTTGTACTTCATTGTATAACCGGTTGTACTAAAAGGTGCGGAAGTATTAGCAAACGAATCACTAACATTGTTAAAAAAACTCAATTCCGACAAGGTAGAAACGGTTAAATCAATTACAACATAAAATCCTCGTTCATGGAGCTTCATAATGGAATCATGCCATTCTTGTAAAGTTCCTGTGTGCTTGTCTAAAAGAGTGAAATCAAGCGGCGAATAGCCATCAGGGGTCCATGGCAAGTTCTCAAATGGAGTACCTGCTATATAGATAGCTTTAATACCCATTCCTTCTAAATAATCAAGAGAACGAGGTGTTGCAAGACCAGCAATATCACCACCAGCACGGAAGGTTACTTCGTAGGGATCATGTTCAAAAACAGTTCCCTCAATGGCATCATTTTCCGGAAGCCCATTCGTCCACTTGTCTAAAATCACGGTGTAGAAAGGAAGGGCTCGCCAATTTGAGGGAGAAGGGAAATAATCATGATCTTTCCATTCAGCGTAGAAATCCAGAATAGTTGTTGCCGTTCGGTTTCGATTCAAGTTCCATTTTTCATTCTTATCCGTTAAGACTGCAGCAGAAACAAATCTTGAAAATAGAAGAAGAAGGATAACATAAATGGAATTTGTAATGCTAGTAAAAAGCATTATACAAAAGAAGGGTGTTTTTATAAAAGAAAGATGTTTCGTTTGAAGTAAACTATCAAAACGGATAAAAAGAAAGAATAAGGAAGGAAAGGAGAGAGATATTTTAGGCTATATCGATATCCTTGCACTCAAAAGAAAGACGACCAAAATTATACTGAGATATATGAACAGGTTTGGTTAAAGGTTGCAGAATTCAGCTACATAAAGGAACTGAGAGCATCTCATGAGACTGTTCCCAATATGAAGAAAAGTAAAGATTGAGTCACTGTTCATGATTCTCTCTTGATGTCAACTTTCGTTGCGGGGCTTCGATTTTCATGAGGGAAGTATTCGGTGTGTAGCAGTCCTAAGAAGAAATCTTCGCAGGTCTGAAGTCAAATGACTGCTAAGATGAGTCATTGCAGTGTAAGCTTAGACTTGAGTGCAAAGGAAAATAAAAACATCCCTGTTCACTCCTAAACTGAATAATTAAATCTTTAGAGAAAGAAAAGCTTAATTTATTTAACCAATAAGTGGTAATAGTGTTAAGGGGAAATGTTTACGGCTGGCAAGCAACATGAAAGAAAGTAAACAAACAATGATGAGAAAGAAATAAGTGAAGTGCCAGTCTTGTTTTCCTTTATATTACGTTATTAATAAATGAATAATAAAGCCGTTGTTGTATTCAACCAGTGTTGTTATTCGAATTGTTGCAAGCGAACGGAGGAGGGTACAGCAATCTTGTACTTTTTAATATGTTCCATAGTTAGTCCTAAAATTTAGATAAAGATCTCCTTTAGGCTTCATTCCTTGTCATTTCTGTCTTATAATAAAAACTTTGATTGTAATAAAGCATAGTCTATTATGAAGGAAGTCAACGCACACAGGCGAATACGACTCATTAAATCAAAAATAATCACATATCTAAATTTACCATCCATAAATCCTGTAATTTTTACCTAAAGTAAGAGGTTTACGAAGTTTTGTAACGAGAAGAGATCTTTGACTTGGAGGTTGAAGTTTGCAGCCCTAACCACCAACACCGAAAGTTAAAGGCCTTTGTATTTATTATCGCAAGCTGAACATAAAGTGTACGAAATATAATGGAAGAAGAAAGTAGCAACATCACTGGAAAAGCTCCCGTGCGAATTGCCTTCATTCATCCCGATTTAGGAATTGGTAATTAAAACATCAGTTATAAAGATTACTGTACTTACTCATTTTATTAAGGAGGAGCAGAAAGATTAGTAGTGGACGCCGCTGTAGGTTTACAATCTCTTGGCAAAGAGGTTATCATCTATACTTCTCATTGTGATAAAACGCATTGTTTTGAAGAAATCAGAGATGGTAAGAATAGCGACATTGCTTTAGGATGCGACGACTTTTAACAAATTTTCACTTTAGGTACCTTGAAAGTTGAAATTTATGGCGACTGGTTACCGTCTTCTATATTTGGCAAACTGTCGATTCTTTGTAGTACAGTGCGACAGATCTACCTAACTTTAGTCCTTCTTTTCAAATTTCGTTATTACGATGCCATATTTGTTGATCAGTTATCTACTTGCGTTCCAATGCTTTTACTCGTCTGTCGTACGCTACTATTCTATTGTCATTTTCCGGACAAGTATCTGGTAAAGCCCGGTGGTGGAATACTAAAGAAACTTTATCGGGTTCCTTTTGATTCATTTGAGGCTTGGTCAGTTCGATTAGCAGATCGCATTGTGGTTAATAGCAACTTTACAGCATCTGTGTTTAAGAAAGCTTTTCCCAAAGTTCGAAAGCCTCTTCGAATCATCCATCCTTGCGTAGATGTTAGAGCTGCAGACCTCTCTTCGCAATACAAAATTTCTGAGTCAATAACGTATGTATCGCTGGTTTAATTATTTTTTTTAATTTACTAACAATCATTCTTGAATGTGACTTGGTGATTTCTTGTTGACTTGACATAGTCTTTTCATACAAGTGATAAAGGAATCATCCAGTCCATTTTTGTCATTAGATCTCGCAAACTGCTTATTTCTGTCAATAGATTTGAATTGAAAAAGGACATAGCCTTGGCGATTGAGTCATTCTCTGCTCTTCGCGATTTATCTTCGGACCAGTTCTCTGACTACCTCTTAGTTATTGCTGGGGGGTTTGACACTCGTGTAACTGAGAATCGTAAATATCTGGAGTTACTTCAAAATTTATGCAAGCAAAAAGGTTTCTCCTATCATACCGTCAAAGACGACTGGAATAATTTATCGATTGATCCTCAAACAAACGTTTTGTTTTTGCTATCCGTACCTTCCGATGTTAGAGATGCATTAATTTCTACTTCCAAAATCCTACTTTATACACCGGAAAACGAGCACTTTGGAATTGTACCCCTCGAGGCGATGCTTCGAAAAGTACCTGTTCTTGCTCAAGCAAATGGTGGTCCTTTAGAAACTGTATACGACGGGAAAACCGGTTGGCTCCGTCCTCGCGATCCTAAAATCTGGGGAAATGTCATACATGAAGCCGCTACTAATTCATCATATGACATAAAAACAATGGGTGAAGAAGGAAGAAAGTCGGTGATAAATGAGTTTTCGGCTGAAGCAATGGCTTCAAAAGTTGAATCAGAGATAATGTCTGGAATTTGCTCTTCAACTCCCAAGCGATATACGATACGCTGCTTTCATGGATTGGTTGCTCTTTTGATATTAGCTGTATTCACCTTGATAGTAGCTTCGATGGTATCTCTTTATCCTTTAAGCTTTTTCAACGGTTTTGCTGGTGTCACCGACTACTCGAATTTTGCATTAAGCCTTTGGTACGGCGGCGCCGTAACAATTGTATTATTCATTACATTGGCTGTTTTCGTCAGAAACGTTTAGTTTCCTAATTTTATACTAGTACTTGTAATTCTCTTTCTTTTTCAATTTACAACCTATTTTTCTGCTAATTACAATGGAATATATAAACATAATGAAAAGTAATTCTATTTTCCTTTCAAAAAGTGAATTTAAACAATAAAAAATTTCCCTAATTAACATAATAAAAGCACTACAATGTACAACCTTTGAGAATTCATGGTCAAACTAATTATAGGAGAAAAGTCTGGAATTCAAGAAATTCTTAGTTTTTTGCATAATATTCCTCTAAAGTATGTCTGAAGGTTTTAAGTAAAGCTGAGACTTCACTTTCTGTGCCAACAGTCATACGCAACGAACCCTCACACATGGGCTCAGTACCACGAAAGCGGACAACGATCTTGTAATCAGTAGCCATTTTCAAATAAACAAACTTTGCAACCTCATTACTAGGCACACCATTCATGGGTTTTGACAATACTTGAACAAGTATGAAATTTGCATCAAAACCACCAATAATCTTTCCTACACCGGGTATAGTAGTAAGTTCTTTGCAAAGTCTTTCACGTTGAGCAAGAGCTCTATCACGATGTTCATACATTTTTGAAACAGATTCGGGTGACAAAGCTTTGATGGCCAAACGAGAGCTAGGTTCACTGATATTATATGGAGCTTTTAATGAGTTCATGATGGTCGCAATTTGAGGATTAGTTAGACAAAATCCAATACTAGCATATGTTAGTACAAATTAAAAGCACAGGCATAATTAAGATTGCAACCTACCGAATACCAGCAAGACCAAAAGACTTAGAAAGAGTTTGACAGACAGCCAAGTTGGGATAATCATTAACAAGAGAAACTGCTGTCTTTTCTGGAGAAGCAAAATCAATATAGGCTTCGTCCATAACAACGATACCATTCCAAGTAGGGTGAGCCAATAATTTTTTAATGCTGTTAAGGTTAAGAGTTTTAGCGGTAGGGTTACCGGGAGAGCAAGCAAAAACTACCTTGATTGAGTTATCCTTAGAAAGGGTATCGTATACAGCGTCAATATCCAAATCAAAATCCGGTTTGAGCAAAACATTAACAACCTGAACGTCATTAATTTTAGCAGAAACAGGATACATTCCGTATGAAGGGGGACAAGCCAAAATTTTGTCTTTACCAGGCACGCAAGAAATGCGAATTAAGGAATCAATGATTTCATCACTACCAACACCAACAACCATATTCTCCGGCTTCAAAGGTTTAGCATTAGGATGCTCCTTATTTCTTAAATCACAAAACCTTTGTTTAATTTCATTTTGTCTAGGGTCTGGATATCGATTGTACTCGACTCCAGCATCATGGAAAACTGAACCGAAAGAGCATTCATTGGCATCCAAAAGAATGCCTCTAACGTGTTTGTTAGCACAATTCTCATACAATAATCGATTGATCTAATGTAGGCGTTCAAATGCAACAGCCAGACACAATACGATTACGATATCCACCACGATGTTTCTTTGGAAAACAACGAAGGCCTGCTAATTACTTACTCTGAAAAGTCACTATACAAAGTTAGTAAAACGCGATCAAACCTCATCTACAGAAGTACTTACTCTCTCGCACAGCGGTAGGGCTGTAAGTCTAAAATGTTCTTACGGATACAAGTATTTAAATCAAACATGACCTAAATTTGAAGATTGTGGTAAAAAGAGAAAGCATCACAATACTTGTGATCTAGCTTCCCAAATTCAAGAAGAATAGCGAACCTCACTAAAGTGTCTTAAAATGGCAGCTTATTAAAAGGCATATTTATGCCTTTATTACTACATATGATTTTACTAATGAAAGTATAAGCATATGCAACTACAGCCAATTAAGAGGAATATTATTTACATATTATTAAATTTAGTTTAAGTAACAGCATATTACCGTAAACAATTTTATTCTATCATATACTTAATAGATGTTCGCGCTGTTCATTCTCACTTGCGGTTATTCTTATTGTTGAATATCAATATTTGTTATTTCATGTTGATTTTCTGTTTCTAATCCATTCGCTCTTTTGTATTTTAAGCACTCATCTAATTAAAGCAAATAGCAATAGCACTTCTCAACAAACGCTTTTTACGACATTTCAACGAACTTGTACACTGGATTGCCTTTTGGACAAACTGACTATAAAACATCCATTATATGTTTAGCGCTTCAGTCAATTAAGGATGGCCGAAACTGAAAACCATGGTGCTTTTCATACTGAATCTTACTTGCAGGAACTCATAGGTCGTCCGTTTAGGGATATTAAAGCGGAAAAAGAACAATTGAGAAGAAGAGCAGAGATTTTGGATCAAGAAAAGCTTTCTTATTTACAGTCCAATTACAAAACGCTGGTTGAATTAGCAGAAAGTCAAGCTGCTACAAAGGAGCTGTTGAGTAAAACTCAAGACATTTCCAAGAATATTTACGGTAAAAGAGATGAGTTACATAATTCCACCTCTCAAAATCAAGACTTTTTGTCCTCGATTTCATCACATTATCAACAAGCCTTACTCATGCACCGAATGCAGCCACAGGTATCAAGTGTTTTGAGAATTCCTGAGTTAATGGATTCTTGTATTCGCAACGAATATTTTTCTGAAGCCTTAGAATTTCAAGGGCTGGCTAATCGTTTACGAGATAGATTTATTTCAAATGCAGTCATACAGGATCTGGTATATCAAGTCGAGGGATTGTCTGAAAAGTTGTCTGCAAAATTCTTGCTCCAACTTCAAAAACCTTTAAAGCAGTATTCCCTTATCAAAATAGTAACATATCTTCGTGTAACTAGCAAGCTTTCAGAGGCGGAAATCAAATACATTTTTCTTTTTTACGCTTGGCAGCAATTGCAAACGAGTTTAAAAAATCTGATTCCCTTGCTCGATTATAATAATCCGGAACTTTATTTGAAAAGATACTTACAAGTGATTCGTGATCGCGCTTTTTCTTTGCTATTTCAATACCAAAGCGTATTCTATGAGTCTAACACATTGTTTACTGATTCAGTAAGCTCGACTATTGATGGTGTTAATTTTTCTTCTAATGATGCCCCTACTCTTCCTGGACTGGATCATGAAAGTTTGCAAAGCTTCAGTCAGAATATCCTTACTTTTTTTGTACATAAAATAGTGAAAGAGATATGTTATGTCGTAGAAACTTTTTTCCCTAGAATCCATGAAACGACTACACGTTCTTCTTTACTTTTACAGTTGTATTATTGCAACCAAAGTTTAGCTAAGGTGGGAACTGACATGACCATTCATCTTTATAGGATTCTCGGAAAGGAATGGCTTAATATGCTGATATCGCAAGCTGAAGAGAAACCACTTTGATTTTCTACTTTCTTTTACCAAATACTTTTTTATTTTAGACTATTCATGATTATTTATGCGTTGTTAATACATCTACACATTTTCGGCGAAGATTATCTAATCTCCCTTTCAAAAAGAAGTAAAACAAAACATAGAGGGACGAAAACTTAGCCAAATGTATATAACATATGATTATATTTGTTACATGGTAATCTCCCTCAAAATTACATCGTCTGTAAGTCCTAAGTTGTTTATACAAGACATGTAGCGCTCAAAGTCCTTCAGTCGCAAATACTTGAGCATCCTTTGTCTTTGATGGACGTAAAAACGAAGTTTCCGTTTAGCAGTCTGATCCTTATGGTTTCGATTACAATGATCTTTCAAAGCTAAAATTTTGCTTGTAAAAGTTGCTGCTTGAACCTCTGGGCTTCCTGTGTCATTCTCTGTCTTCGCGAAATATTCGATGGCGGTCCGTCTATTATTTGCTTCAGCCAATTTAGCATTTGAATTTGAAAGACTAAAAATCCTTCGAATACTCTCTTTTCTGGAGTCATTTATTTGAGACATATTACTCAGTTCTTGTGCTAATTTTTGAAAATATTCAGCAGCGCCTGGAGCTTCATCCAGGTCACGTAAAGATTCAAATACGTTGTCAGTAGATCCTGGAGCGGCAAAGTCATCGATTTTTAGAAATTCGCGAGCTTCCTTTAATGTGGACACATTGAGTTCATCGAATTTTTGCAAGATGTTGTCGACTTCATCCATGGGAATAGGAAATTTAAGAGGAACTAGAGACGTAGTTCTATTCTGTAATTGACTTTGAAAAAATTGTCTTGAGCGAATTAATTGATTAGTCCAGTCTGTAGAATTACCCGTTACAAAATCTCCTAGATTAGCTACGCGTTCCTTATGCAATTCGTTTTGACGCTCTATATTCATCTTCCTTCTGCGGCTTGCCTTTTGTTTTTTTAATCCATAAGCTACTGAACTTGTGTGAAAATTGGATAGGAAGCTGCGTCCATAAAGCCCTTGACTTTGGCAGCATAAAAAGCCAGGTCGATATAACCGCCCAATCGATAACCTCATATTCATTAGGTTTTTTTATTAATGCAGTTTCTTTTTTAGTAATAAAAACGAAGGATCTAAGAATTCATGCCTTTCTTCCAATGCTTGGTTGGTGAGTGGAGGTAGGCGTCGGGAGAAAGCGAATGGAGAGAAACAGATTTCTAGTAAATGATAGTGAGACTAATAAGTTAAGCCTTTTTTTTACTTTATGGAAAAAATGAAGAAAAATAAATATATAAACATGTATTATGCTAAAACTTGGGTTGAAACTATAGGTTGAGGGACGAGAATAAAGATTCTTTGAAGGACGTCAAATCAGAAATTGCAGTGTAATGCATTTCTTCAAATAAAAAAAACTCCTTAGCACTTCGAGTTCCCTCCTGCCAGTTACGTATAAGTCTACTATGACCTGGGGTATTCATGAGGTCTAACTGGAAGCATTTATTCTTGAATATTTGCCAATGAAATAAAAACTGAGTATATATCAAAGAGTAGGAAGACCATTTCCTTTGATATATTTCGAAATCCTGAAAATATTTATCAATGGTTTCATTTGAAATGTCAGTTGGTAACTGGGGAGGAACTGGAGCTTTAATTTGAGGGAAGGTTGGTGGATTAGGAAGTAATTGAGTTATTTCGTCTTCAAATTCTTCTTCCCTTTCTAAAGAACGTAAAACATTTTGAAGCTCATTATGGTATTCGGATGATGAGGAAACAGAATTAGCGGAATCGGGAGGCTTTAAAAAGTCATCTTGGTTTTCTACTATTTTTCCCACTGCTATGTGATTAGGATGATAGCTCGAAATCGACCTAAAATCGGTTGAGATGGAGGTCGGACGATGGTGACGGACATTGTGTTTATAATGCTGAGGTAAACGAGGAGATGGAGAAAGAGATTTGAGCGGAGACGAAAATGATTCAGGACTTTTCGGAGGTCTAGGATGTGATAAAGGTTTTTCTTGATCAGGATATGAAAATTGTGAATGAGAACTTGAAGCAGAAATAGGAGAACGAGTATAAGAGGTACTATCAGATTTAGGAGTTGAACTGAATGATCGTCGCTTTTCTCGTAAAGATTCTAAATAAAGCTTTGCCTCAAACTTGGAGAGAGGTTGAAATCGGTTGTTAGCATTAGTATTATTTGCTGAATTTCGCTCACGGGAGCTGTCATTTGGGGAGAAGTTTAATCCTTTCTGATCTTCATGGTTTATTACTTGAATTGGACTAGAGATGGGAGTCCTCATGAGATACGACGACGAATATCTCTGTCTATCAGAGGACGACGAAGGACGGTACGGAGATCCATATACGCGTTCATTACCTAAATCACCCTTTCTTTTATTTTTGGAAAAGTATTCTGAAACTTTTGAGCTCACTTTTGATGTTATATTAGGGTTCTTTCTATTCGGAGAAGTACTATCTGTTTTTTTAGGGCGAAACCGTGACAATCCATCTAACCTTCCCAGTTCTAAAAGCCGTTTTTGATCATATAATTCCCGTAATTTTCCATCTCGTAAAACTTCGTGTGCTCGTTGAATCAACTGAAAGTGTGGAATCACGTCCTGCTCTCGACCTGGATTTCTGTCAGGATGGAAACGTAAAACTAGTTTTAAATATTGCTGACGGATTTGAACATAATCACTTGTACTTTCGATTCCTAATACATCGTAGTAGTCAATGAATTCTTCTGAGAACGCAGACCCGGTCATGTCTCATGTCCTGTTAAGGTACTACGTATTTAAAGATAAGTGCTTTATAGAAGCTTTTACGGATTTGTATCTAAGGGTTTTCTATTAAAACCCTCGATAAATAACAAGGATGTGAATAACCAAAAGTAGTTTTTTTCACGGCCTACAAATAATTTCAGATTTCAGAAATTAAAAAAAACTAAAAAAATGATCTTGTATGAATGCAGTAAGAAAGGAGTTAAAATGTTCAATCTTCTTTACTTTCTTAAATATGGTCGAGTGACCTCGAAAAACTAATGACAACGCTAGTAAATGTCTGAAGTCTGAGGATATTGAGGGCCAATTTCTTTACGTGTTATAGGATTTACAGAAGACCTTACGAATACGAAAATCAAAATTTTTCAAAAGAATATGGTTAATAGCATTTTGTGTATTCACTGAGAAAGATTGATAAAGAAGGTGATGAATTGGGCATTAAAAAAGTTGCATGGCAAGGATATTAAGTTTGATATCAAAGTACAATTATAATTTATAAGAAACGTTGCTATTTACCTTGAATAGAATTCATACTCTGCTTGTCTAAATGGAAAGCCAAACGGAAATTCATAATACTAAAGCAAACAATCACAATGAACAAGAGATTCTACCCTCTTCTTCACAGTTCATCAGAGAAAATACGGAAGGTGATCTAATTAGAACAGGTAATGACTATACGCTAAAAAAATCCTGTACGAAAATTCGATCGGTTCTGAGTAACCTCATTTCAATTCTGGAAGAAAAAATCAAGAATGCAAAGTTAGATGCTGTCAGAGAGTCACGTGAATTGCGCTTAAATGAACTCCTGCTTTCTGATTCCTCCATAGGTGACATTTGGCTTGGCCTAAGTTTTCTTTTCCATAATGTCTGGGACTCAGCTATGTCCCTGATGGATTCTAATGTTTTGTATCCTACAAATTCGTCATATCAGCTTTGGGAATGCACCCTTGAAACAGGCAAAGTACTACATTTGAACTTACATATATGGCATTGTAATTGTCCACAGTTTACATATAATGCCTTTAAAAATCCCCACACATTTCTCCAAGAAAAATATCATAAAAAATGGGATCGCTGGGGAGGCAAATGCGTATCACAGCATCCTCCGTATTGTGTACATCTTTTAGCAGCAAGTCTTTATGCGACTTGCCGAAGTATAATGTGAACACTAAAGTGCAAACGCAATGATCTTAATTTATTTTCTTCGCTAATGTCTAAGTTTCACGCACAAATATTCATTCATTTCGAAATTTCATTAGTATATATACATATATAGTGTAGTCATGTATGTATATATGGATAGGGTCACAAAGATAGAAGTCCCAAAAAGACACAGTAATCTAATTTACAACGAAAGTAAGAGTTAAAGAAATTAATTTCAGAAAGACATTAGTCATTCATAATATAAGCTCGCAATCATAATATCGCTGGCATGATGTATAAGCGGCATTGTGTAGCATCATGTAGTTTTCTGTTTATTCCAAGATAGGTAACGTGGATCTCCCACGCGTCGTCGTTTAATTAAACATGCGATACCCAGAACTATACCACTGGCAATGTTCAAGCCAGCAATTACCATATACATGATTCCTAAGAAGTAGTTCTTACCGCCTATAGCTGTCGTCGTAGAAAGCATAAAAGACTTGGTGCCTTTAAACTCGGTTACAGGGAAGTGGTATCCTATATCGACTTCATATATACCAGATTCCAATTCAGTCGTTGTATTTTTCTTTGAAAGCTTACTGAAAGTTGGAAGAGCAGCTATTCTCATCCAGACTTGAAGTTCATCCCAAGTTGATATATCAGGGAAATTTTCGTCGTTGTATCCATCAGGATACATCTTAGACCAATTCGGAGGAGGAACAACGTCGGAGGCGTTATAGCTTGTTTTTATATAACGTTCTTTATCCTCTGGCCAAGCAGTTCCATTTGAAGTCATTTGATACTCATCTAACGAGCTTGTGCTATCCCACGAATCGTAGCGAACGAGCGATGAGAAAGTGTCATTAAATAAAGAATTTGCTATTAGTCCACAAGGATAATACGGTTTTCCATCTTCGTTTACTGTTAACGGGCTACATTCACCTTCTTTGATTTCTTCTTTTGTCCTTGGTTCACCACGGAGTTGAAAAACGTCAACACTTGCAGTATACCGACGATGGTTTTGATAAAAATTGGTTAAACGATAAAAGGAATACAATGGAGCACCCAGCTTCTCTGGGATGTGAAATCGTATGTAGCAATGATCATTTTCCGATCTCCACTTAGCAGATACATTATTGTATCCGGTCATTTGATAGACAATGTTTTTTTTAGGTATGTCAGTAAAAGTATTACCGGCGCCTAGGCAATTTGTGTAGTCAAGCCTGACTTCTCTTACCTAGCAACGTTGTTAACTAATGAAACCTTGATATGAACACAAATGAATCCACAGAATAGTTCTAGTGTACGCTGGAAATAATCATTATTCACAAATGTGGATACAAGTATAAAACATACCCTTTGACTAGCAACGAACATTGCCCCACCCAGAGGAGCAAAGATGACACCCAAAACAAATAGCAAAGGAAGAACAGACCATGGTGTAAAGATGAATTGCCAAGCAGGAAGACTCTGTTGTACGAAACGCGATTTATCACTAATTCGAATATGTTAACTTGTCTTTCCATGAAATCACTAAATTACATACGGGCGCTTTAGCTTCATGCCCTTTTTTTTAGTAACGGTTGAGCTGCTACTCATTATATTCTAAAGAAAACTAGAATTGATGTGTGTTCAATAAACTAAACGTCCTGTTTACAATGAATGGTAGTAGAGAGTAACCTCACATCCTCATCGCAATGCTACTTTAGTTGCTACTTTGCATAAGTAACATCTATGACAAGTAAAGGTGTAAACAGAAGGTATAGAACTAAGGAGGTTTATTAGGAGGAAGATTTCGTTTATTAAGTGAACTAGTTGTACTGATTAGTTATGTGATTCCAACTGAGTTACGGACAGCGTTACGATTTTGATAGATTACATCCTTACTTTAGCAAACGGCTTCTAGAGTGAAAGTTGAAGGACTTTTCTTGATAATTACCTCTATATTTCTCACTGGCTTTCTTTTATATTTGGTTTTATACTACTTTAGTTAGTTTAGTCTGTGCGCAGTGGAAAAATTACTAAATTTAGACTTTTCAATGCTGCTTAAGCAGCAAAAAGATGACGACTAAACAGGAGCTCTCTATGAAATTAGATGTAAAGGAAATTATATTTATGCAAGCAAAAACTAACCTAGAAAAAAACCACTTTGTATGTTAGTGTCACTCAATGAGCGATATTGTTATATAATACTAAAATCTCCTAATAATGAGGTAGGCATTTTGCCGGGAGTCTCACATACTGCCAAAACCCAACGACAAATCTACATAGCTGCAAATTATCAGGAATTGGCGCCTTAGTTCGGAAACGCGTTTACGTCCTTTTGCTTTTACTTTGGTCTATTTAATTTGACTATAAGGATTCCTTTACTCCATTATCTTTGAAAGCACCTTTCGTCTTGTTCCTGTTATCTTTTCCCTTTTGAAGTAATAGTCTTTCTAGTAACTAGTTTTTCATATAAAAAATATCGGTATACTAGATTACAAAATGGCTTATCAAACTCGTCAAGGATTACCTGATGGTTGGGTTGCTCAATGGGATCCTCGCTATGAGCGTTACTTTTATGTTAACGAGAAGTCCTCGAAGCCTCAACCTCAATGGGATTGCCCGGTACCAAACTTGAGCATTCCTCCTCCTCCTAGTAAAGAACACTCTGCCCCTACAACTGAACCTCCTCCACCTTACACTAATTCAGCTGCTGGAGGTCCTTCTTCTACCCCAGCTGGTCCTGCAGGTGGTTCAGGAGATAGAGGACTTTTTAGTCGCTTACATCACGGAGGCAGCAACCAACAACCTTACTATGGTGGCCAACCTGGATATGGAGGATATCCTCCTTATGGTGGAGGACCTGGTTATCCTGCTGGTCCTCCTGGCCCAGGATATGGTTATGCTCCTGCTGGAGGATACGGTAGCCGTCCTAGCAGATTTGGAGGTGGTGGTGGACTACTCTCGAATCCCCTAATGACTGGTCTTGGAGGATTGGCAGCTGGTGGTTTAGCGATGCATGCTTTCGACGATGTTTTTGATCGTGATAATGACAATACTGTTGTAGAAAATAACTATTATGGAGATGATGGTTACGGTGGTAACGGTGGTGATTTCGGCGGTGGTGATTTCGGAGGCGGTGATTTTGGCAATAATGACTTTGATGGCGGTGGTGGTTTCTTTTAATTTCTTGTCACATGAAGAAATTGTTTCCTTTTATAAAATTGCCATGCTTTTAATGTTATTTTGAGATGAAATATTCCAAGGATAATGGTGATTCTTTTGCTATGTTTGATGTTTATTCTAATTAATAAATGATGACAAAACAGAACATCGAACATTATTGATCCTTGCATCGTCTACGAAAGTGAAGAATGAAAAAGTCTATGATAAGTCATGGACGATATAAACAAATTTGATTTTATGTTTTTCTTATACCTGGTTTTATCAATTTAGTAAACATAACAAATAAATCTGTATAAATACAGAAGGAAAAAATGAACCACGTTTATTCTAGCAGATAAGTAACTTTTACCCTTGTCAAACCAGTGTAATTGCTTTTTAACTGCAACTTGCAAACAAAAGGATCTTTTACTCTTTTAATATACTGGAGTTTTCTTTTTCGTCCTAATACTTGACGAAGCTCGTCAATTAGTTGACTTGTATCTGTAGTTGTATTCTTCATTGCATCCAATTTCATCTCTCATTTATCTGTTGCTTCCCTAATGTAAACATTATTAAAGTATGTGTCAGTCTGATTTCTTTGTCTGTTCTTTTTTTCTTTTTTTTTATTCTGCAGAGCACATGACTCCACACAGGATTTTCTGCTTTCTTCAAGTAATTATTCCTTCTTAGTTTATACTCTAATAATATGTATTAACTATTTGGTAGCGTATACGTCTGGTTGCTTATATTATTACAATAAATCCTCAGTGTTGCTTCTTTGTTCCTTCTATTTTTTCGTCCAGAGTAATGTTATTGTAGTGGTTCAGTTACTCCACAACACATACCAAATACGCTTCGGAAACTACCAAAAAAAAGTATACCAATAGCTATTTGACTTAACTTTTGTTTTTCCTTCTTTTTCTTCTTCCCCAAGATGGATAACTATGTAAAAGTAGAGAAGATTGGTGAAGGTAAAATCAGTTTCTTAAAGAAAGAGGAAACGTCTTTCACGGATCTTGATGGATTATCTTATTAATGTTTTTTAGGAACCTATGGTGTTGTTTATAAAGCTAAACACAAGTCTTCGGGGCGTATCGTCGCTATGAAAAAAATACGCCTAGAAGACGAGTCCGAAGGAGTTCCAAGTACAGCTATTCGAGAAATTTCACTGTTAAAAGAGGTGAATGATGAAAGTAATCGTTCAAACTGTGTTCGGTATGAAAACGCGAGACTTGCGAACATTCACGATCATGTTGCTTTTCTCTTTATGATTCAGCGGTTTCTTAGTTATAAATGCTAACAATGTATTTAGTCTTTTAGACATCTTGCATGCTGAGTCCAAACTATATTTGGTATTCGAGTTTTTAGATATGGATTTGAAAAAGTACATGGATAGAATATCAGAAACCGGAGCATCCGCATTAGATCCAAGACTAGTGCAAAAGTTTGCATACCAGTTAGTTAACGGCGTTAACTTTTGTCATTCCCGGAGAATCATTCATCGAGATTTGAAGCCTCAAAATTTATTAATTGACAAAGAAGGAAATCTCAAATTAGCAGACTTTGGTCTTGCTAGGTCTTTTGGCGTACCTTTACGTAACTATACACACGAGGTATGGGCTTATCAAGTTAAGTTCGATAGTTAACGAAATTAGATTGTTACGTTGTGGTATCGAGCTCCAGAAGTTCTTTTAGGATCTCGACATTACTCCACCGGCGTTGACATATGGAGTGTTGGTTGCATATTCGCTGAGATGATCCGTCGTACACCATTGTTTCCTGGTGACTCGGAAATTGATGAGATTTTCAAAATATTTCAAGTTTTGGGAACTCCGAACGAGGAAGTGTGGCCGGGGGTTACGCTTTTACAGGATTATAAATCTACCTTTCCTCGTTGGAAACGCGTAGACCTTCACCGAGTTATACCCAATGGTGAAGAAGCAGCAATCGAGTTGCTTTCGGTAAGTTGACCTCCTACTCCTTGTTTTCGTTGAAACACTAACAAATGCTTTAGGCTATGCTTGTTTATGATCCTGCGCATCGAATCAGTGCTAAGAGAGCTTTACAGCAGCCATATTTACGAGAATATGGAGAGACTTTCGTGTGAGCGATGGATGCTGTACTGTCATTTCTTATGCATTTTATATATGTTTATCATTATTACCGGCTATAATTATGCGTATGTGGATCTAAGGTTTTTATTATATATATGATAACTCGTATTTAACCCTCATTTTATTTCTGGGCTATGTTTTCTTATTCTGTATTGAAGTCGTCAGACGATTTGACTGAACAATCTGGTCCAGATACTGACACAGAATGTGCTAAACGATTTGCTATATTTTCAGCCTTCTAAGTCTTATACTTAGATACGCGAGGTTAAACTTATCATTCACTAAAAGGATAAATCGTATGGTCGTTTTGTGAATCTCAATCTTTGTGCTTTTATTATTTACTCGTCTTTTACACTATCGTTTATATACCATCTTTTATTTTTAAACGAGTCTTCACTTAATCTTCAGGAACGTCTAAATTCATTTACCTATGTCCTTCCTTTCATTGATTAGTAATAAATCTATTCTGTTTTATTCAATACCAAATTTACTAATTGTACAATGGTCTTCCAAGACCGACGTAACGTTTCACTTTCCATGGAGATGGAATAGACAACCAAAAGCTTTCAGAGCCAACTTTTCGAACACAGTTTGCTTTAAGGCCCTACATAATGTGCTGGGACCAAATAAACATTAAGAAAATAATTTTTAGTACGCGGCGATAGAGAGAAGTATATATGCTTCAAAAAAAAAAAAAAAATGAAAAGACTCATTCAAAGGAACTTTGCCTGGACATATTAGGAAAGGGCAGAGCTTCCAAAGAAGAACATATAGTTATTTTGAAAATACCCAACTAACTCAGAGAAGCTTCTTCTAAAAACCGTACATAATATATACATACAAGTCCAAGCGTATGAAACGTGAAAGGGATGGCGTACGTCTTAAAAGGACGTTACTACATTCAAAATTACGTTAAAGATGAAAAGCGCGCATCCAAATCATATGTACAATTCGACCATAAACGCTTATGATGATGAAAATCATTAAATGATTTCTTCTTCTTCGGGGTACTTTTCCTTTGTACGTATTAACAATTGTTTGTTGATATGCGGCAAAACACCACCACCAGCAATAGTGGCACGAATTAAAGTATCCAATTCTTCATCTCCACGGATGGCTAACTGCAAATGTCTAGGTGTGATACGCTTGACTTTTAGATCCTTGGCTGCATTCCCAGCCAATTCCAAAACTTCAGCGGTCAAGTATTCCAAGACAGCAGCACTGTAAACAGCGCTCTTTGCTCCGACTCGCATATTATTTTGAGTTTTAGCCTTAAGAAATCTTCTTACACGTCCAACTGGAAATTGGAGTCCAGCTCTAGCTGAATGGGACATTTGTCCTCGCTCACCACCGACTTTGGAACCACCTTTCCCGCCGACATGTTTTCCTTTTCCCCCTCCAGACAGCATTTTTCCTAGATGAAAAGCAATTGATGGTTGTGCGCTGAAGTACGCGGTTTTGGTAAAGGGCAACTTAAGTTGACGCGTCCGTGGCTTCATATGGAGACGCGTATCTAGACAAACAATGAATTTTGAAGCGACTTAAGGTTTTTTAATACATGATTCATTTTTATAGAATTCTTTTATAAGAAAAATGATAATTAAGGTGTATTTTAAAACTACAAAATTTGGTGGAAGAAGTGTATTGAGAACCATTATGTCTTTCGTTCTAGCAATCCGCTATTCGTTTCGTCTTCATAGAAAAATATAAATTTATTCTTTCATAACTAGCGTGCATTCATTAGCATTGATTTATTCATTTTTAAAGGGTTTTTATAACTCATAATAAAAATTATGGAAATATTTGCCCCCACTCGGAATCGAACCGAGGATCTTCGCATTACAAGTGCGATGCTGTACCACTAAGCCATAAGGGCTGACTTGAAAGGGTAAGTAGGAAAAGACAATATATAGAGAAAGTATAGTAAATAAACTATAGTCAGAAATCCTCCTGCTTGAATTTATTACTTGTTGTTTGATTTATGTAGTAAGTTTTTGAAGCAATTATGTAGAAATACTTGACAGCTAATAATATAGTCTCAAGTGACCTGAACCGCAGAATTGATGAGTGCAGTCTGAACTTGTGTGATTTTGAAGAGAAAATATATATTTTTGCAATGTATCTATTCACATAAATACTATTTTAATAGGTTCGTCATAGTGGGAAAGCGTTCTTTATACACAATTGAATTCTGTTTATAACTTATTTTATGGTAATTCGGTTTTAAGACGCTTAAATATAAACGAAAGCTTCTTACAGGATGGTTTCTTTTGTTTAGACAGTAGGTGGGTTCAAGCTATTACTGAGTGTTTTAAAGGTTTTAGCAAAAAAAGAAAAAAAATATATATATGTCGGATTGTTTGATGAAATTCGCTCACACATCGACGTGTGTCACAAGTCTTCATCATAGAAGCTTGAAAAGAAACCATCATAACTCTTTATTTCATCGCTATACTAAACATCAACTTTCACTTCAACTCTTACCAATTGAAATTTCTTTAAATAAAAGCAAATCTTTATCGTACATTTTAAGAAATCATACTTCCTACTGACAAGAGTATAGTGTGAATTTCGTCTATGTAAGTGCCACTGGTTACGATGATGTTTATATGAAAGATTTTCTAATTTTCTCTAATACATAGTTGGAATGATTTGGAAAAGATTACCTAGAACACTTCCGTTTTTCAAGGCAAGGTTTCAATCGCCAATCTTCCGATCGGTAGGGACGATCGAGGCTACCTCTGTCGCTCCCAAGAAAAACCGATTTATCGTCGGTCTTTTGACTGCTGTTCCTATTATTTGTTTTGGATTGGGTACTTGGCAGGTAAAACGACGTGAATGGAAGGTTGGCATCATTGATACATTGACAGAAAAACTGAAACAAAAACCAGTACCCCTTCCCACAAACCTACAGTACGTGTTTAGTTTGTTATGTAAACTCATCAAAATATTAAACAAATGTCACTAACAAACAATACCTAGAGAAAGCGAAATTCAAGACAAGGAGTGGACCAAACTTGCTCTCAAAGGTACATTCTGTAATGATCAAGAAATGCTTGTTGGTCCAAGAACTAAGGATGGAAACACCGGATATCATGTTGTGACCCCTTTCGTTCTCGAAGATGGTCGTCGAATTTTGGTGAACCGGGGTTGGATTTCCAAGTCTTTAAGTGATCCTTCTCTTCGTGATAGCGCTGCTATACCCACTAATACCGTACAAATTGAAGGACTATTAAGAAAGCATACAGAAAAACCAAAACTCATGATAAACAATGACCCATCGACAGGTTCCTTTTTCTTTTTGGATGTTCACGAATTCGCAGGTCTTAAAAATACCCTTCCCATCTTAGTTACTCAGCTCGGTCCCGAACTTACCCAATCTGATGAAGCTTCTTTGATACAGAAAGGCATTCCTTTGGGTCATCCTCCTCGGGTCGAAATTTTTAATCGACATACAGAATATATTATTACTTGGTAATTATACACCAGCATTTCTACAAATTATATTTCTAACGAAATTTAGGTACTCTTTGAGTTTACTGTCTGCTATTATGCTTTACGTTTATTTCCGTAGAGGTTCGGGAACCGTTTCTTTAACATCTGCTTATGAAAGGAGTCGGGTTCGACTTTAAGTGCAATTTATTCTTCCATTTATAATGAATATCTTTAAAATTTCACATACTTCGAAAGCTTTCCAACAGCATCTCCTGTCTGAGTAAATGAATCTATCATACTCTCCATAATTTGTTTGGCAAACTTTTGGTCAAAAGGTACCTATATAAAATGATTAGTTTCTAATAGTTTAATAAATATTATATAAACATACCTGTTTTAAAGATGACTTGTTAAGCCAGGAGTGACTTAACAACTCAGACACAAGCTTCCGAGCGTTTTTCTTTTTGTACTTCGATACGGAGGTAATGCTACCAAGTTTCGAATTAATCACATTCTTTAATCCTTGATATTCTCTCAAAAATTCCTTTTTCTTGGAAGAAGAAACATAAAAAACGAAACTATTGAGACAGGTGATTAAATCATTGAGAATCTATTGATTGTTAGTTTCCGTATTTCAAATATAATTTACATACTTCAGTCTGCTTCGTAATAACAGCAAGGGAAGTACTGTTTTCGTATTGCAAAGACTGAGTCAGTGTAGAAATCTCCTCTAACGTTGATTTATCATAGTTATCGGAAGCAATCGTCAAGCTTAAGTTACCAAGCAAGATCAAAAGGTTCACGTGCTTAATTTCTTCGAGTGTTAGTTGTTCTTCCAAGTTATTGTTATCGCGAATAAACTCCAGTTCCTTAACATGAGATCGTGCTATTTCCCATCTTCCGTTTACGATGTCCTCTTGTACAAGCATGTGACCTATCACAAACAAATGGACCCAAGCGGTAGATGGTTGTGGAGCATTTCTTAGTATTTTTTCGGCAGCAGGGAACTTTGGAGACGCATAATTAACAAACACTTCCAAATCCCGATTGTCTTTTGGATTCGAGCATTTTGGTAAGTATTGTTTGGGAGCTTTGTAGTTATTTAAGTAATAACATCTAGCACGCTCTACTAAGATAATACTTTTCCACATGCTGTGATCAAGACGTGAGCGGAACTGACACATATCCTCAATTTGAGAATAAGCCTGCTCCTCATAAGCATTGGAGATCATTTCTGGAGTCTCAAACTCATTTGAAGCGTAAATTCGCATACTTGCATTAATGTATTGAGCAGACAAGTTTGAAGGGAAATGTGTTGTCGCTCTTGTCAAAAGATAGTGATCCAAAGTATCATTTTGAACTTGTTTGATAGACATAGTGTCATAAATCTTGCAAGCAGCAGGAAATCCTCCGTCCAAGAGCAAATACAACCGAATTAAAGGAAGTTTAAGATGGAAGTTGTGAAGGTTGTTTGTAAGACCTTTCTCTAATAAACAGATGGCATCAAATATAATTCCTGGGATTACATTGCTCGGCAAAGAAGCATATTCCTTGAAATATATGAGCGCATGGACGGCCAGCAGTAAGGCTTCATATCCGTGAGTAAAATCGGTAGGCAATATGTTGTCACTCAAAGACAAGCCGTCTTGGTAAACATTGAAGCAGTCTTGAATAAAATCGGTAATGGCTTCCTCCGTGAAAGATTCGAAACAGAAAAATCTGATCTTAAGGATTAATACCTTAGCGACTAACTTATCAATTTTTTGAGACTTAAACAATGTTAGCGTTATTCTTCACGTGACTAATTAATGAATTACCTTGTTGGTTTCTGGTATGCTCTCAACGGGAAAATTCTTTAGCAATTGAGCTTTGGATTCGTTGCTCAAGTGCTGGAGGAAAGGTACTATGTCCTCAAACACAATAGGTTTGGCGTACATCTTTAAAACATAATTTGAAATTGCATTAAAGAGCTCCTCATTTAGGAAATGAGATGTAAAATGGATCCAAAAAAGATGAAGATTTCTCTGGGTGCAAGATTTAGTTAAAGCATTGTGAGAAAGCTCCTGAACAAGTGTAATTCTTTACTTAAATTAGTTTATATTCATGAGACATCAAATATACTTACTTTTGTTTGTCATGCAAAGAGCAGTCTAGAAGAGCCTTGCAAACTTTCCAGTCAATATTGCCGCTTTCGAAACACTTGGAAGCAACGGAAAACAAGGTGTCCCAGCGCTCGCAGTCGGCAAGAAGTTGAAGTTTTCGAAGAAGAAGGTCAGCATCAGCCTCTACAAATTTCTGTGTTTTTTCATCCAGAAGTAGTTCCAACGCATCGCTTTTTTTCTCGACTAAAGAAAGTATGTCCAGATAAAGATGACATTCTTCACAAGAATCTATATGTCCAGATGGTTCAGAAAATGTAATCCCTGCGGTCTTTTCGGCAAGCGCTTTCAGTAAGCGCTTCTCCATCTCGTTTTCTGAGCGCTTGCATAACATGTACAAAGAGGAAAGAACCCATAGAGTGTGTTTGCGTGAAGGAAAAAGCTTTTGTAATTCGACAGCAGCCTAATAAAATGTTTAGCATCTTACTATAAATAAATATAAATATACCTTTCTCTGGTGGGTAAGGCTCTTTGTCCTTACGGCAGCCTTAAAATAAGCTGATAAGTGTTTTTGATTTTTTCCTTGAACTTGAAGGAATTTTTCCCAAAATTGAAAAGATTCTTCTCCTATAATCCCCTTAGTTAGCACGATATCTTTAATATTATTTCCTCTAGAGGTATTTCTCTGTATCACTTCTGCAAATCAGACAGTAAGACAAGATCCTGTATTTTTGCTAGCTCAACATATTCCCTTAATAAATATGTTTTAGCTAAGATTCGTTCTTTGTGTGAAACAATCTTGAATGATACTCGAGAGAAAAATACTATATTGGAATATCCAACACACCTCTTTTCTGATCCTCATATACGGCCTGTATAATATCAATTAAATCTAGGCTAGTAATAGCAGTCGATTTTAATGGCTCTAAGAGAGCAATAGCCTCAGAACCGCGACCGGATTGTGCCAAAGATAGAGCAGAATAAACCTGCTCAAATAGTTAATATACAAGTAATTTCTTTACTAGAAAGAAATAACATACAACAGTAGATTCTTTACTTCCGCTGCGACGCATTTTTTATTACTTAGAAAATCAACAGTTCAAAGACTCGGTCTATAAAAGAGAGACGCGGTAGTGAAAATGTGTGTTAGTTGGGGAATTCCAACGGATTCTTGGACAGCCATCGGCACATCAACACATCTTTTCTATATTTAATGAAAAAGCAGTTATATCCTTTAAATTTTCTATACAACTTTGGAGCGGCACCACTTCCTTAGGCAGTTTACATTGTGCTATGTCAGATGAACAACAATATCTCTCGCACATGAATCATGGAAAACGGACTCAAAATGTATTTATTGTAAAACAGAATAAGCATACCTATTGTTGAAAATGACTGTCAAGATGGCCGGCCTTCTTAGATTGATCATCATTGAAAGTAAGTAAAATTAATGATACAGGAATTGAGATAAATGAAATGAAACTTGGTAAAAGAATGTAAAACTTCACTTTATAATTAGTACACGACTTGACTTATGAAGAAGTTTTGACTTTTATTCTACATGCTAAATACTTCTCTTGGAGACATGATCGCGTTCTAATTGTGTTTAAAATGTACAGTCAAATAAATTAGTGTTAGATGTTATTTTTAGTTTTTTTAATTTAAAAATTAATTTATTTGAGGAGTAAGCAGCAGCATTCATCAATCAATTTATATCTAATGACTTAAACCGAGACTTGTATTCTTGACGTATAACATATGTTCTAACCACTACGCAGCTGTATTTATAGGAACTATAGAACGAAAGCGTGACTTTTGTGGTTTTCTCGTATTGTTTTTTTCCCTATATTCAATTACTAAACATTCTGTTTGGCTTGGTCTTGAACCTTTTCATTAACGGAAACTTCTAACAGCTGGTTCCAATTCACGGATCGTATAGTACGATTCACACCACTTAAAAACTGGTTGTTAAATAAATACAGATCACTTTCAAATTATCAAAGTTATCCGTAGACAAACCAAGGTTGTCTAAACAAAATCCGCGAGTTGTAGCAAACACTTTATGCCTATCTTTCACGAAACTTATAGAGCGAATTTCTAATTTCTAAGTTTATATTTTTTGTTTTACAATCATCAATTTACTACTGAAATATGATGTCTCCTGTACAACTAACATCTGCGGAACAACAAGCATTTGATGAAATGCTCCAGACTCTACCGGTTGAAGACACGAATTGTTTTCCAGGGTCAGTCATCGGTCCCTTTCTTATGAAATTTGAACTTCCGCAAAAAACATTAGCAAAGGTATATACCATCAATGTCACGTAACAGTCAAGAGATCATATTAACATTTACAGATTTGGGATTTTTGTGACGAAGAAGATAAAGGTTACTTAACCCGGAACCAAGCTTATGTCTGTCTTCGCTTTGTGGCACAAGCTCAGAAAGGTGTTCCTCTGCGGGAGTTGGACGTGACGAAAGGTATGTAAATGTTTTATCTAACGGACTACTAACTATTTAACAAGCTGGTACTCCTCCTTCGTTTCCTCACGCGGATCAGCTAACAGGTCTTCCAACTTCAAACCATACGACGGATTTTAGCCCATTCCGTCAACCTGTAGATCCGCAGCTACGTCTCGAATCTGAGATAGAATTTCGTAACCAATTGGATAATTTCGAAGATAAAGAAAATCCTAATCTAATGCCCAGTTCTATAGCTAAACCGTTGTTTCTTCAATCGGGCCTATCTACTACCGTGTTGGCACAGATTTGGAACTTGGCAGATTCAGGACATGTTGGTTATTTGAACGTTGAGCAATATGTTATAGCCAAGCATTTGGTTATGCTTTGCAAAAAGTATAATCTTGTGCATTTACCTCGATCGCTTCCCTCTTACGTAGTTGACTCGGCAAAGAGTGATGCTTTGTCTTCCTCCGTCAACACTGAACCTTTTCATGAGAATGATGCTGTTCCTGTATCGGATAAGGAACCGAACAATGGAAATTTTGATTCAAGTGTTTTTTTGGATTCTGCGCAGACAGAAACCAAGCCTCATTCATTAGATTTCGTTGCTAAATCTATTAACCCGGAAGATCGCGAGAACTTCTCCAAGTTGTTCAACAAAATTGACAATGAAAATAAAGGCTTTATTACTGGAGATGAAGCCGTTCCCTTTTTCATGGCATCTAAACTAGATCCTGATGAGCTAGCCAAAGTATGGGAAATTGCCGATAAGGACGAAAAAGGTTTTATCGTAAAGACCGAATTTTTAATTGCTATGCAAATTATTAAATTGAGACTTACCGGTCAATCTTTGGATAGCATAATTTCGTCAGGAACCGAAGAACAAATAACATTTCCAAGCAAAGATGAAGCCTTGTCTAACGCAAGTCCACTCGCTAACAATCACCCTATTTATTCAGGGACCGCTGAAGATAGTAGTGTTTTGAAAGACGAAAAAGAGCATCTTTCAAAGTTTCCGGGTGAACCCGTTGAGCATTCACGCTTTAGTAGTACTGCAACGAACCAACCTGGAAATGATGTGTCTCTTCCGACACTTGATCAAACGATTGAAAATTTAGTTCCTGGTGGTGATGAAACCTTTTATGAACCCGAGTCCACGAGAGATGTAACGCAGGCTAACAAACCAGCTTTGGAGAATGACTTCAATGAAAGCGGTTTTCATCCGTCGCATCCATCCCATCTTAATTGGACTACAGAACATCGGACTGATCTCCCGACCACTTCTGCGACTTTTGAGAATAAAGTGGATGAACCAAACTCAAACTTGGCGAAAGAACTTCAAACTGATCAATCATCACCTTCTGAAGCTTTTCCCCACCAAGAACATGAGAGCTTTATGAATCTACCATCCGCGAATACTGTTCAACCGGAAGAGGCTCTTACAAATGAAGAACCAAAGGAAGCTGCTATCGATCCTGCAGAAATCGACGATTTGCAGCAGCAAATTAGTTCTTCCAAATTCAGTTTAGATACGATCCAACAAAGTCATGAGAGAATCGCATCTGACGTTAACCAACAGAAATTACATCTTCAATGCCTTCGTGATGAACTAACTGAAATATCTCGATTGAAAGAAACCACTCAACAATCAATTTCCCGAAACCTAATGACGAATCAACAGCTTAGTGCTCAAGTCGGGTCACTGACGATGGACAAGAGAGAACTAATCAAAGAATTGAAACACTTAAGAACAAAAATAGATGAAGTTCTCGCCGATGCACCAAGCTCGAATGTTACAAGTGGTGTTAATTCACCTGTCTTACTTCCTGAAAGCACTCGTAGCCGAAGAGCGCAACCACCTCTTCCTCCTCATTCCGCTCCTAAGAGTTCTACGAGATCCTCTTTGAGTTCTCCGGTTCAAACGAATCTTTCGGCCAACGTGCCTCCTTACCAAGCTGCTGAAAGCCAAAGTAGTCACCGAGATCCGCAGACAACGAGCAGCGGAACACCTGGCGGAGATAGAAAGTCGGAAATACTACAAGAACTACTGTCAATGGGCTTCCCCAAGGATAAAAGCCTTATTGCTTTGACAGCAGTTAACTATGATGCAAACGAGGTACGTTTCAAAGCTTGAGCTACACTACTGTCAAATGAAAGCTTAAGTATATACAATAAGTTGTTTCATTTCACCTACTAACCATTTTCTAGGCGATAAATATTTTGCTTAGCTCACAATAGATAAAAACAATTAAACACTTTTGGCATTTAAACTTCAACCATTTCACGTAATCTACGAATGGTAGAGCGGGCGCTAGTAGCAGCAGGAGTAGTAACGGTCCAAGCACCACCGGCCATAGCTTTGCCGCAAGCCTTGCCTCTGCAGTTCCAAATACCTAAATTTTGTGTTAGTTTAATTATGCTTGTATGAGAGCAAGTAGAATCCGAGTTACTCTACGCAATCTACCAGCGAATACTGATTTTACATACCAGCAGCACTGCGCTTCACAGTGTTACGTCCGCAGAAAGGGCATTGGTAGCGAGCATGTTGTTGAACTTCGATCTTACGGACATCACGACGCAAAGATGCACCGTAACGGACACCGTACTTGCCAGTGACACCGACCTTTTTAGTACGCTTGGTCATTGTGTTGTTGTCAGATTTAATTCACAGTCTTGTATGTTTCATTTGTTTCGCGTCCCAACTGTGACTGTTTTTCATATTAGGTTAGGTGTGAATCTATGCAATAGTATATCGAGACGTAGGGAGCGTCTTAAATATAAATTAGGATACGGTAAATTAGAAAAGCACCCTGCTAAGAAGTCTAACAAGGTTTGCTAAATGGTTATGATTGTTTTTTCTTTATTATAGCAGTATTTCTTTAGAGGAAAACAAGATAGATAATACTAACAAACTCGAATATGTTTTCTTTAATATTTTTATGGTTTCATAATTCTTTTTTTTATCTTGCTTGCTTACAATGAATCCAGGTTGTAATGAGGATTCATCCTGTCAAACATTGTAGACGATTGTAAGAAAAATAGATATCTATATCTATATTTACGTTGTTTTCATACTGATTAGAATGCTTTTCAATATTTAAATAAGACTTGTCGTAAATAAATTTACAGGCGTGATCGTAAAAATAAAATTCTTCTTTGGAAGACTTATAGTAATGTACGGTTAAATGGAAACGGAATTATTTAAGAAGCATTTGAAGGAATTTGCAAAAATTTAATTCCACGATTTATTTCTTTTATTAGTTCTTGTCTCCGTAAATACAAAAATGAAATGATATATGAAATATTGCATATTGTTTTTATTTATTTACTTTTCGTTTGTTTATATCCTCACGACTATTATAGTGTTGCCCAAGCAACAAATTCATATCCTAGGCATTGCATTTCGTGAACACAAGTACGCTAGCAGCCATCAAGTAAACAATGTCGTTTATGTCTTTTATGGCATCTACGGCTCATGAATTGTGGTATAGCCCATTTCAAATGTCTATGAAGGAACTAGAGAAGGATGAATTGAACCTTGAGAACCAGGTATGTCTATTTGCGGGATTGTTTATGTAGAACGATTCCTTGTGTCAGTGTATTTGCTGACTAGAGATGAAAGGAACTTTCCATTAAGCAACATGGATTTCAATGGATACGACCCATTGGAATAAATAAGACTATGCAGGAACAAGCAGAACTCGGAGAGCGAGAGGCCGAGGCAGGCAATGTGGACACAGAAATTGACGAGGAAGAGCTGAGGAGCGATGACTTTCCTCAGCCAAATGAGCAGGAAACGCAAGACGTGGATTTGGATGCAGACGTTACAAATGCAGATGCCTCTGAATTCTACGACGAAATGAGTGACTTCGATTTCCAAGGATAGGAACCTTCTAGCTGTATTTTTTGTATTTCAGTAACGCCCTAAAAATCATGATGGTGATTTGAGAGATGGGTATGAACGAATCCCTTGACGATCGCTTCTTCGATACTTGTCAATGGGTCCTTTTATGTACTGCATGCTATCCAATTAATGCCTGAAAAGCAGAATCGGCTTTTGAAAGAATTCTTCTAAAAATGAACATGTTTTTCACCAATTTTATTATTGTTACCACCACTATTTCCTGTTTTTATTTTTATTTTTGCGAATGTTGAATGTTTTGGATTTACCGAAGACTAGTGCAATTTACCGCAAAACAATCTTTCCTGATACACGATGTTTTGGGCATACATCATTTGGATTTTTCTTTGCATTACAATTTTTCAACGTTGAGGGGCTTTTCTCTAGACATACTTATAAACTAAACTAATTTATTATTTTCTCTGTTTTCTATAGGTAAACTTACGCGTTGGCGTGCTAAATACGTTTCGGGACACTGAAGTATGAGGTTGCTCTTTTCGTCCCTATGTAGAAATGGGAATCGCTTTCGTACCGTTGCACCACCTTTTCCTTTTCATAGAGCAGCACACTCTTTTGTCGCGCATGACACAAGCCACATCCCTTTAGATAAGAATGAATGCCTCTTCTTCTTGGACAACTTGGTAAATACTCCCACATTCCTGAACGTTCAACGATATGCTGCGGTTTTATTTCAGAAAAACCTTCGTAGCCAGATTCAGCATGCTTTTCCGTCTTCTCCCTCGTTTCATTTGGAGGATGTTATTTTTCGTTGGCAAGACGGTGGTGCTTTTTTGAAGGTTCGACATGAAGACACTGTTGAGGATATTGAACAGATATTTATTTTGCTTCGTAATGCATTCAAAGAACGTCCCGTCACATCGCTCCTCCATCCTTTCTCTAGCTCTACACCGCATATTGTGTATGGACGACCTTGGTTACAGGACCTTTACGCATTTCCCGCTCGGACAATAGCGGTAAATTTTGATGGTCCCAGTTTATCACAAGAAAAGCTTTATAGTATTTTCCGAAAATATGGAAAATTGCGTTCTGTGGAGGTTGTAAGCGAAGAGCGTGCTATCTTGAAGTTTTCCTCTTTAAAGGCTGCTACTTCAGCTTTAAATTGTATGCATGGAATCCGAATTAAAGATACAAAGTTTCATATGCGATATCGACATACCAATCGATTTCTATCACTCAAAGACTGGTTGGTTTCTCACCCACGCTTTGCAATTCCGTTAATAGCTGCCCTCATAACAGTCGTTACGGCATCTTTGTTTGATCCAATTCGGAGGTTCTTTGTAGAAACAAACATTGTACATGGACAAACACTTCGAAACATAAGACTGTTTAGTTTGATAAAAAAAACACGTGATATCGTTTTCAGTTCGTTTCACGATCAAGAATCAATGGAAAAAACTCCTATATGGACTACAAGAGAAAAGGACTGTGAGAAACTAGAAGAGTGGTTGAATGAGGCATTGCATTCATTTATTGTCGTCCAAGGTCCTCGAGGAAGTGGTAAACGTGACTTGGTGGACCGAGCTGTTGGTGATCGCAAACATGTTTTAATATTTGATTGTGATAGATTATTTTCCGGCACCAGTCAAGAGATGTTTGTGAGTTCCTTGGCAAGCCAAACAGGATATTTCCCGTTATTTAGTTTTTTGAATAGTCTGTCTTCTATGATCGACATGGCGGCACAGGGTCTTATCGGCCAGAAGACGGGAATTGTTTCTTCCTCGGAAGGTCAGGTTCGACAAATTCTAAGCACCACACAAGCCGTGCTGCGCAAGTTGGCTTTGGGTGAGCAAAGAGGTACCCAAAACAGTAATGTTCTTGATGAATCTGAATATTTAGAAGTTCATGCCGATAAACTGCCAATAGTAGTTCTTGATAACTTCCAACTACGAAAATTAAGCAACCCTATGCAGCACATGGTCGCCGAATGGGCTGGAAATTTGGTCAAAGAGGGTATTGTACATGTCTTAATGTTAACTCCAGATGTAGGAGGTACAAAAACTTTAGAACAATATGTTGGTGGTTGGGAAAACTGTACTTTATTGTTAGGTGATGCTGATCCCGCACTTGCTCGACGTTATGTTTTAGATTCGATACCGGAAGAAATGCAAACAGAAAAGCTAGAAAAAGAGCTGAAGAAACAACTACCTAAAATTGGTGGCCGGCTTCGAGACTTAGATTACGTTGCTAGACGCTTGAGAGTGAATAATTCAAGCGTATCTGATGCAATTGGTGGTATCATAAGTCAAAACACTTCGGATATTCTGCAAACTTTCTTAAGAACAAATTCACTATCATTTGGTTATGACAAGAAACCAATTTACACTTCGGAACAAGCATGGATTTTAATTAGTTTATTATCACAGCATGAACATGTCCCATATCACAAATTGATGCTTGATCCTTTGTTTAAAGGTTGTGAAGATGCGGTCCGTGCGTTGGAAGAAGACGAACTAATTACAATTACTACTGTGAATGCAAGACCCGACAAGATATTCGCTGGTAAGCCAGTGTATGTTACAGCTTTTCAACAACTAGTAAATGACTCTGTATTGCGGGCATCTATGAGTCAGGCTAGATGCAACGCCATTATAAGCCTTTGCAACTCAGCTATTCGGAAGGATGAAGAAGAATTGCAGCTACTAAAGGGCCTCGGAAATTTCGAATCCGGTATGAAAGAAAGAGCTCGTTACCTCTTCGCTCGGGTTAAGAAAAATCAGAGTGTAATCGAAGAGAATGAAAGGCTTGGCGAAAGATTTACAAGCGAGCTCAATTCCAACGAATAAGCTATAACTTTAATGCAAAATCAACAACATAATCATAATTTATTGATATGCTTAGTACGAAAGTGATGATTAGAAATTTAGCTAATAATGATTACTATTCAAAGAGGCTGATGGATTGTAGAAGTAATAAAGTCCTGAAATACAAGGGGAGTTGAGATATGTTGGTCAAAAAGGTTAGCCTTGCCAGTTGTATGTAGGGGAACCGTAGACAAAATATGGATCACGTTTATCCTTGTCTACTCTTATGCCTGGGATGCTTTTTGCAAAGAATATACAACCGACCTTTTCTACGTACCATATAACAGCTGGAACAACGCTTTTTCACTGAAGCCTTCGTCTTGAAACCATGAGTAGAAATGAGAGGAAGTCGAGAATTTAATGATTGAAAAGGGGATACAGATGGAATGCGGTTATGAAGTCCCAATAAATTACGATTCCAATGGAATCTCATAATGCCAAACAAAGGAATGGATTGGGGTTTCCAAGCCCGCCAAGCAAACCGAGAAAGGAAAGACATCTCGTGATTCGTAATTGAAAAGAATATATAAATTTGAAATAGTTACAAAGTTGAATAACTTAGACGAAAGGACCCGAATGGACGTTGTGAGGTGTATTCAAGCAAAATTCAACATGAACTCTGGGATGACTAAGTAGAAGTCCTTTGGAAGAATTAAGTACTTATAGATAATTAAATTATTTTGAAATAGTACAGCAAGTCGTGAAACGCCGTCACTTACCTTGGCAAGCCAGTGTTCCTGGAGTGATGGTAGTTGACTAAAGATGTTGAACAGTAACCACGGCAAGACAGTCCTTTTTCTCCGACAAAATATATTGAGTAGACTGATAATTAAAAGTAGGGGTTTTCTCTTACATTTGATTTAAGAAAAATGATAATCGTTGTTTTGTTTCAATAGAAACTCTCATGAACTCGAACCAACGTAGATCGGTTATAACCAAAAGTCCCATGGTAGGCAAGAGCAAATACTTTTTTTAAAAAGGAACTACGGATTGATTAATTCAAGAGAGGCAAATTTTTGCTTTCCTTTCAATATTTTATTGAAATCTTCTGTTGACTTGTGAGCTCGTACGACTTCGTTAGCGACATTACCATGTTGATGTGGTGCACAAAATAACTTTGCGTGGTTTATTGTATCCCATGACATAGTCAGTAGTAAGCAAAGGAAATTTCAACAAAAGCCACCATTTAGTGGATGTAAGAGGGAGAATAGAACTTGCGATCAGTCGGTTAATTTCGGATTGTTATGCAAGAGAATGATAAAAGCAAACCGATCGAGACTTCTGATCAGGCTGGAGAACGCGTTTCGTGCAAATTCGAATATGTTGTCGAGGGAACTGATGGAATTCCAGTCGTCAAACCTGTATGTATTTGAGGCATCGTAAAAAAAAAACTATGTACTAATATGAAAATTTAGACTGCTGAAGAGTTTTCAGACATGGAGGCATTTTTTCAAGAAATTCGTGATCTAGGAGAGCGATATGGAGCGATTAAAGTCGTAAAACCAGAAACTACTACGAAACCCTGGGATACCTCCTCGGATGATACTCCTTTGGATAATAAGATAGATGTTTGGGTAGAAAGAAGTGTCCGCCGAAGAGGGGAGTATTTTGAAATAGAGCTCGTATCAGATACAGTCGCACAGCCAAATTCGAGATTGGATTCTACTGTTATAGAGCCTCCAAGATTCGAAAACAATATCTCAAAGGCAATAGCTTATTACTGGCGGTCACTGACACATGATAATTTATGGTATGGCTATTCTCATCATACCGATCGTTTAATTTTTGGAATACCGTCTCGCCGTGCTTTAGAAAGTAAAGTTCATTTACGTTCAAGTCTTCCTGGAAATACGTGGCCGACCTCTGGCAAAATTTTTGCCGGGAAATGGAAAACTACGTTACCTTGGCGGTTAGAGTCTAATAAATTATATGCTGTTCATGTTCATTTAGGAGGCGCTCCTCTTCAATGGTATTTAATACCGTCTTCCCAAGCATTGGCATTTCAGAAACTAGCAGAAAAGCTTGCACCTAATGAGCACTGGCGATGTGCAGATTTTTTATTGCATCAAAATATCCTTTTTCCTCCTTCTACTCTTGCGCAAAGTGGAATAAATATCTCTTCAACTGTTCTTCGAGCAAATGAAATGCTAATTACCTTTCCTGGCTCTTATCATAGTGCTTTCTGTCTTGGCGATACAACTTTACGGCGATTTGCGTTCCATGCACATGATTCCTCACCTTTGCATGGTGATATATGGTCGCTTGGGATTACCGAGTCAGCCTTTTCTTCAAAAAGTAATTGGCCGCACGTACATAAACCGAAGAAAGCTTGCTGTCAAGAAGCTTCCGTTTCAAATACGGAAAAATCAAGTAAGGAAGATAATTCACCTTTACCTAATTTATCCAATCCGTTCCAAAAAAACAGTTCACACTCCGATCAAAGTATTAGATGGAATGGAGTACCAAAAAGTCAAAATAATAAAAACATTTATTCCCCTGCAATGAATCCGGTTTCATCCTCGTCTTCTTCTCCGTCTCCCATTACAGAAAAAGGCACCAATTCCACGTCTTTACCATTGTTTACCTTATGGAATTCAAAATTCCGCTCCGAGTTTATTGAAAAATCTCAAGAGATGACCAACTCTAGTATTGAGTTTTCCCAATTTGAGCCAGTATACCTTCATTCATCTAATCATCCGTTATTCCCGCCTCCTATCTTGGGGCTTCCAGTACCTGCTCAATTTAGTAGAGGTGATGTTTTTTGGGGTCGTATTCTTGAAGATCGTGCTAGTGAACGCATGCTTTTACTCGAGTGTGGTAGCTCTGATACGATAGAGGTTCCTTATGAATGTATTTTAACTTCATCCTCTGCCGCTGGTCGGCGGAGTCCGTCTTATTATAATCCACCTTTAAAAGTTCCCGATATTATTTATGATGATGGTTTTCCAGTGAACTGGAATGATTTTGATGAACTCCCTTCTTTAGACCATTTTGTCCTACCCGAGCTACTTCCTGGAAATCCAATACGTTTTATTCCCTCAACAAAGCCTTCCAAAGGTATTCCCTCAGATATGGAGACATTGAAAGTGAATGGTATGAATTCTTTAAATGAAAGTATATCTTCTGACGTGGAGGTTGCTTCCCCTACTAAGTCAATCGGAATTGCGGAAGGAAACGTCCCTACACCTATATCACCAACACACGAAACTACTCCTGTTTCCGACGAGATAGAGCAAAATGCAGAAGACATGTTAATAGGAAACCGTTCAGAACTTTTGGAGGGTGACAATGACTTGGAAGATCAATTCGATCAACTTGAAGAGCTTCGACGATCTCCTTCACAATTCGGCTTAGAACACGATACGCAAGATACTGTTTCCCATTTAGCAAGAAGAGCCCCAGAAGACTTTTCTGTTTCACTTGAAACTTACGAATTATGTGTAAATGAAGAGCTAGAGGCTGTCAACGATTTTTCTCTTTTTCCTTCATTGGAATAATCCTCCGAATTAAGGTGCTAATATCTATCATAGATCTGCTGTACTTTATACTGTATATTAAAAACAAGTCACTCGTTTGAAATTTATCTCATTTTCTTTACTTACATTTTATTTTTGTTTCTTCTGCATTTTTCTTAATTTATGTAACATAAGACAGCTATTCAATAGAATTAGGTACTTGTAAATAATGTCCTATGTTACGCTAAATTTCGGTATACTATTTTCTTATATCGATTAGTTGAACGCGTGCAGTTCGCAAACACCAAAACAGCAGCAGCAATGTCGATTTCTGTTAGTTCTCAAAATGAAACCTCAAAATTGGAAAGATGTAAGTAATTTGCAAGTTTATATGTATGAGTATTGATGCAGGTTACAATTTGGCCCGGTATACTCATTAAAAACTAGTCCAATGCTAACGCTCATCTGTTATAGTAGGAGCTCATTCTCATATTAAAGGAATTGGTTTAAATGACAATTTGGAGCCAAAAGAATCAAGCGATGGCATGGTAGGCCAGGTGAAGGCTCGTCGAGCTGCTGGTGTAATTCTTCGAATGATTCAGGCTGGAAAAATTGCGGGTCGCTCTATACTCATGGCTGGACCACCTTCAACTGGTAAGACAGCTATCGCAATGGCTATGTCCCAAACCCTTGGCTCAGATACTCCATTTGTCTCGCTTTCTGCTAGTGAGGTATATTCCCTTGAAATGTCAAAGACTGAAGCTTTATTACAAGCACTCCGGAAAAGTATTGGTGTTCGCATTAAAGAAGAAACAGAAATAATTGAAGGTGAAGTTGTGGAAATCCAAATTGATCGCTCGATCACTGGTGGTAATAAACAAGGTAAACTTACAATCCGTACTACGGATATGGAAACGGTATATGATTTGGGTACAAAAATGATTGATGCTTTGACAAAAGAAAAGGTTTTGGCTGGTGATGTTGTAACGATTGACAAGTCCATGGGTAAAGTCACAAAGTTAGGTCGTTCATTTACAAGGGCCCGCGACTACGATGCTATGGGAGCAGATACTCGTTTCGTTCAATGCCCGCAAGGTGAAATTCAAAAGAGAAAGGAAATTGTTCATACTGTTTCCCTTCATGATATTGATGTCATAAACTCTCGAACTCAAGGATTCTTAGCTTTGTTTGCTGGTGATACCGGTGAGATCAAACCGGAAGTCCGTGAACAAATTAACACCAAGGTTAGCGAATGGAGGGAAGAAGGAAAAGCCGAAATTTCTCCTGGTGTTTTGTTTGTGGACGAGGTTCATATGCTTGACATTGAGTGCTTCTCATTTTTTAACCGTGCTCTGGAAGATGAACTTGCTCCTATAGTTATCATGGCTTCTAATCGAGGTATTACTAGAATTCGTGGCACTAACTACCGCTCGCCTCACGGTATCCCTGTGGATTATTTAGATAGAATGCTTATTATCTCTACGCAAACTTACTCTCATGAAGAAGTTAAGGAAATTTTGCATATACGCTGTCAGGAAGAAGACGTTGACATGGCACCTTCTGCTTTAGATTATTTGGCATCCATTGGACGTGAAACTAGTCTTCGATATGCATTACTTCTAATTTCCTCTTCCAACCAGGTTGCGTTGAAACGCAAGAGTGCTACCATCGAAGATTCGGATATTAAGCGCGTTTATGACCTTTTCTTGGATCAAGGAAGAAGCGTGAAGTACTTGGAAGAGTATGAGAAGAACTATGTTGCTGAAACCGAATGGCCTGCCACTGAAGCTGCAGCCATGCAGGAAGACTAGATTCGTTAATGTTTTTTTTTTTTTCTTTTTTTGAATTTCATTCATATACTAAAGAGGTTGGAGAGTGATGAAAACTTTATTTAATAAAATAGGCTGTCTATATTGACTTCATGTCGCAAAATGTATCATGAAAACAGAATGCTCTTTTCACAAGCGTAGCTGTAGTACAAATAAAGGTTAATCAGAAAAGGAAAGGGTAAACATGATTTTAGATTGAGTTTTCGCTCAAATAAGAAACGTTTTGAGGAAACATCCAGCCTTTTTCTGGAGATATGGAAATAAAAGCTGCTTGTTTTGCATTTGTAAAATATCCTTGATTATCCCAAGCCTGCATTTGGGCGGCAGAGTAAGGCCCATATATACCTTCATCCCCTTCCCATTTAAATGAAAAGGAGGGTTTTTCCGTGTCAACGGTCGGCGGCTTCCAAGCTTCATGAGTAATTCGCTGAAACAGCCTTTGTAAAGCCTCCTTAGTTTCTGAGTACAAGCTCTCAATTTTTGTCCGATCTTCCAGGAAGGTAATACAACCTGTTATGGTTTCAATTAACCTTTTACGATATTCATCGGCTGACTGACGTTCTAAAGATACATGTTCTGAGGTATTTTTTTGTTTTCTAGCACGATTAGTCATTAAAGTGCTAATGCTTTGTCTCTGTAGAAAACTCAGGACGTTTTCGTCTGGCTCCATTCGCACAATAAGGAAAGACAATGCTTCTGGAACAGTATGAAAGGGAAGTCTTTTTAATTCTTCCACGTCAGAAAGCATTTTTTTATGAGCATCTTGTTTTCGTGTGAATTCTGCTCTCTTTGCCGCAGCGATACTTCGTTTTGAAGAAACATCACCACTTAACCATGCGTCGTACTGATCATGAGGATCGTTGGACTTTCGTACGAAGTTTCCATTTTCGTCAAAGTCACCCTCTTCCATGTCTTCTTTTAAATTAAACGGCGTGACCTTCGATTTGCCTGAATCCCTTCCTTCACCTTCAGAATCTATACTAACTGAGTCTGAAACCTCTTCTTGACCCTCAATATCCTCGTAACGTAACGTTTCTTGTGCATTTGTGTCCTCATCCTCAAACTCATCATCTAGTTCATTTCGAGAAGATAGACCCCGCTGGGCAAGTCGTTCTGAGGGGTCTTGTTCTTCGGTTTCTCTATCGGCATTTCCTTTTGCTTCATCTCCAGATGACTCTGAGAACATGTCTGACGCATCGCCGTCATTTTTTGGCTTTTTCATCGCAACCTCTTCTTCAGAGTCTGAATCATAGTATCCTTTTTATACAGTTAGTAAAGATGAGATGTCAATGACTGATAGATTTAATTTGTAAACCGTACCTTCTTCTTTTGTTTTGTAACGCTTTTTTCCAACGTTGCTGACATCGTTTTCCAGATACACATCCTCTTCATTTTCGCTGGAAGCGTTTACTCCTTCGTAAGCGCGACTCATGATTTGAAAATTTTCAAAATATGAAACTTGAAGGATTCAAAACTATACAATTCCTTCTCAATTTAGATCACCGAACACAGTCTTTTCTTCAGCTTGGAACTTTGCCAGAAATAGTAATCATCGTTACAAGTCGCTATCCATCCTGACACCATGAAAAGTGTACTTTGTTCTTTGATAAAAGAACCTTGGGATTTCCTATTTACTTCCTGCATCACTGAAAAAAAAATTGCTAAAACATTTTTGTGCTTTGGACAAATTTGAGAAATCCATAATCTGTTTCATCTGAATTGTACTAACTTTAGGTTCCAATCCCAGTAGAATCTTGAACAGTGCATAAGTTTCAGAGAATTAAAAACCGTGGCTGAAATTTTTAATCAGATAGAAGTTAATTTTTTAATATAAAATGAAGCTGTTTTTCATTTTGGGATTATGCTTCGTTTGCTTTGTTCAGTTGTCGATGCAAGCAACAATAGAAGGAAAAATTGCTCCTAATCTGGTAATGAAAAGATTAAAAGATTTGCCATACGATACACGTGCAAAACTAAGCTCAAAAACTTTGATCAAGGATTGTCCAGTTCAACGGAATGGCCGATTCAGCTTTGCAAATGTAGAGAACGGAGTATACCACTTGCATTTTGAAAGCATTGAATATGAATTTGCTCAATTTCACATTATTGTAAACGAATCTCAGGTGGATGCTTATTACACGACGGTTGGAGAAGAGCGATCTTCAACAACCGCTCTGAGAAGCGCGTCGCATCCCATTACAGCTCGGGCTGTGCAAAAGCACGAGTATTTACAAGAACCAAGAAAATTCTCTTTGTTACGTCTCTTGAAGAGCCCAATGATGCTGTTGTCCTTAGCGTCTGTCGGTTTGGTTTTCATTCTTCCCAAAATGAGCGAGCAAGCAAGATCCTTGGAGGTTGCTCAGCAAGAACAAGATGCCGGAATGAAGAAAAAGACTACATAGATATAAGCAAAAAGGTTGTTCTCTTTTTAATTCTCTCATTTCGGCAGATTATTTTTCTCTCAATATACCAAAACCTCGTATGGGTTTACAAAATTTTTAAATGGCTTACGAAAATCATCAATGATGAATTTTTTGCATCCCTTGTTGTTTTAACAAGAGTTATGTTTATGACTCAATTGCTTGGATCGTTTCGTTTCATTTTATAGATATGGATTTCTTACTTGATTCACGTATGTGTGTGTGTCTGCCGTGTCTACTATACATGTAGAAGTGAAGTGTATTAAAAATTGGAAAAAGAAAGCGTATCTTCTTTTAAAAAATGAAACCACACATTGAATATTGGATAGTTACGAAACGCAAAAGTTCTAGTGGCAGGCCATTCACGCTAGCAAGCTTGTTGCGATACAATCCTTGTCTTGTGCGTTTCTGTGATAACTTGCAGATTCTAATTAACTGGCTCTGGAAATTCGTTAAATGTAGACATGTGATGTCAAACTGTATTTCCCACAACATTTTATTTGGATATCTATGATGACTCTTTCATGACATGGTTTTAAAATCACAATGATCAATGATTATATGCAACTAGCAATCGACAAGTTAATAAAACCACATAAGTGATGGATGAAGTAAGGAATTTGCAGCAAGAAAATTTTTTAGCAACCAAAAGGAGTAGTGTAGCCAGCCTCGCAAATCAGTATTGATTTTGTATAAATATTTGTTTTTTATTTATTTTTGCAACAAATCTTTACTAGGACATTTTGAGTGTCACTGCGTGTCTCACTATTTGTTGACATCAGCCACTTGCGACGATCCAAAAGCCAAGATTGTTCATTGCAACAAAACCCGGTAATATCTATACAGAGGAGTTTTTTCTTTCCAGTCAGAAAGTCAGAAATAATTACAAGAGCTTATTTGTTTCTGAAAAACTTCCTTATTCCTAATACCGAAAGAAGTGTATGGATCTATGTCTGTACATGAGAAAATTGAACGGGTCTTGTTCCATGAAAAGATTGGATTCATATTCCTATGTCTTCTATGGTATTTATGTAGCGCGGTAACGTATGTATTGAAAAGAACGACTGGTCATTGAAGGGAGAAAGGAGAAAAGAGTTGTTTACTAACATGGAGTAGAAATACAAGTTCAAAGAGTATTTTTAATGATGTTCGCTGTCCGGTCACTCTAACTTTTTTGCAATTCGGGTTCGTTGCTTTTTTTAGCGCTGTTTGTCTACTCATTCGGCAATTTTTTGGAAATGGCAATGGAATCCAAAAGCCTTCAAAATTAGTGCTTTCGACAACGCTACCACTGAGCGTTTTTCAAATTGGAGGACATGTGTTTGGCAGTTTGGCCACAACCAGGATCCCCGTGTCCACTGTACACACCGTCAAGGCACTTTCTCCCCTTTTCACAGTTTTGGCATATCGATTTCTTTTTCAGCATTCATATTCCTCAACAGCCTACTTTTCTCTTGTCCCGCTTACTTTAGGTGTTACTCTGGCTTGCTCCTTTGAACTTTCCGCGGATTTATGTGGATTGTTTTACGCCCTGATTTCTACATTTATTTTTGTTTCTCAAAATATATTCGGTAAGAAAATCTTTACAGAAGCCAAAAAGCATGGAAACGCTTCAAAAAAGAGTCATTATAACAAATTAAATCTCTTGCTTTATTCTTCAGGTATGGCATTTCTTGTGATGATTCCAGTTTGGCTTCATCAAGAAGGATTCGAATACCTTCCGGTGGCTGGATCGCCGGTCTTCTTTAATGTTATCCATAACGGTTTATCGCACTTTTTCCAAAACATTCTTGCTTTTACGCTACTAAGCATCATTTCACCCGTTGCTTATTCGATTGCCAGTTTGATTAAGCGTATCTTTGTTATTGTCGTCTCCATCTTGTGGTTCCGGCAACCGACCAGTCTAACCCAAGCAATGGGAATTGTTTTGACGGCCGTAGGATTGTACTTGTATGATCGTAGCAAGAAGTTGTCGCCGTTGGATACGAAAAAGGTCAAAGTCTTTGAAGAAAAGGCACTTGATTTGGAATCTCAACCATCTAGCAGAGTTTCCTCTGAAGTGTTCAGTGGAACAAGTTCGCCTTTGTCAGAAAAAAATTTGTCGCACAGGTTTCCTCGCCTCGACAGTGTCGTCCCACTTATTTCCAATTCTCCTTTAACTCCCACCTCTGTATTAACCAAAGAACCCACCTCAGCACCCCTTCAATTTCCTTCCCGTAATTTCCTTATGGAACCAAATCAACGATCCGAAAACTCAACTCTTCACGATGACTCGTCGTATTTAGCCAAACAGCCGAGCTATACGCCACCGCCCGGTGTGTTCAAAGCTCCACGTCCAGAGCGTCCTTGGACTGCGGAGGCATTGCCTGCTTTAAGGATTTAATGCCAGAGTGCTCTGTTCTGGAATGGAGAACAAGCGTAAAACGTCATGCCATCTACTTTGACTAATGAAGTCGGGGGATGTATCTGTGTAGTATAGACTAAAAGGTTGTCGTTGAAGAAGATTGAGTGCATGCCTCAGGCCCAAAAAAAAGAAAAAAAAAAAAAGAAGAAAAAGAAGGAAGCAGAGAGCAGGGGAAAATGGAAGGAAAGGAATCGTTTTATTTTTTTGTCTTTCTTTTTTTGGTTCTTTCATACGACGTCTTGCGTGGAGACAGTGTGAATGAAGGACGGAGAAAGGAAAAGAGAGGAAAGAATAAATAACGCACAAGCCAAAAGAAAAAAGAAAATTGAACGGAAACGGTATATTCCTAGATTATTTTCTTGCATATTTCTTTTGGCTTCTCTTCCAACTTGCTCTGGCTTTTTTTTTTTTTTTTTTTTTTTTTGCTAATATTTATTTAAATCATGTTCCCCATTTCCATCTTTGTTTGTTGTTTTTGCTTTTTCTCTTTGTCTTTGTCTTTTGTCTTTCTTTACTTGAAGATGATGGATTCGTTTTTCTTTTTTTTTTCGTGCAATCAGCTAATTTTTATTTTCAAATCGCTTTCTAACTAAATTATGAATAAAATGATTACCAGCAGTGAATCATTGATGGAAAAGAGGTTGACATTTTGAAAGCCGTGTATGTTACGTCCAACATTTCAGAAAGGAGATGAACTACGATCTCATATGTCGTTTACAAATAATTAAAAAACTATGAGTTTTGTTTCGTACAAATTTTATTCTAGTCAAATCAACCCAAAACAACTTGTAATCAATGAAAGCAAACCAATTCAAACCAAGCTAGGTCAAGCCGAGAAAATAAAATGTAGTGGTGTGTAGTGGTTTTGTGGTAACTAAACAAAAAGACAGAAAAGAGACTAAATACAATATAGAATTACTAAGAGTTCATGAGCGATAGATTGTTACGATGGATATAGACAATGGTAACAACAGTAATGAATATGATGATGCATTCAACAAAGGAAAGGAAAGGAAAGGAAAGGAAAGATTTTAGATTCTCTAATTTAATCTTGATTTCTTTTCCGAAATTTCTAGGCCGATTCCCGTAGATTTAGAAGCTTTTCTTAACTTTTTTCTTTGATTAAATTTTCGCAAAGGACCCTTCTATATCAATTGAATTACATTTATACTCTTTTTTTTTTGTTCTTTTACCAATCAATTTGTAAAGAAAATTTCTTCTACATTCATGTTTTACCTGGATTACATCGATTGATAAATTTCTTTGTTTACATCCAAGTATATATCTATTCGCTTCAATTAATTATGGTAACGATGTTGATTAAGTCTAGATGATTATCGGAACTCTATCAATAGAAATTTTTAGTGCGTTCGCCTAAAAATTTAATAAAAGTTTGTACATATATATATATGTATATATATATGTACATACACACACACATATGTTTGCACATATACAAACAAAAGGCTGCTGGTAAAAAAGTTGGAAAGAACCAAAACTCAAGCCAAAAAATAAAGGCGACAGGATTGCTATAAACAGCACCGATTCAGGGACTTTAAAATAGAATTGTGTTTCCGGACATTATGAAAAATGAGTGAAATTCAAAAGAAACAAACTTCTGCTGCGAATTTGCTCTTGGGCGCAGGCCTAAACCTGTTTGAGTATGTTTTAAAAATTATTTATGGATGAGGGATGCAGAATATAAATTAGTTTTTGGTTTTCTTTTGTTTGTTTGGTTTTGGAAGGATTTCTTAATGTCTCTTTAATTGAGAATTTTTTTTACTAAACAGTTTTTTAGAACCTCTTCTTTGGGTCATCCGTTGGAAGTGACCAAGGTAAGTGTTCCACTAAATAAATAAAGGGTATACGAGTGGCGTTGGAAAAGAGCAATAGAGCCAGTTGATTTCCTTTGTGGTTTGGGCTTGTACTTTGGATCATTGAGAGCTTTCTCTGCATGTTTGCGTGTGCATGCTTACGTGTGTGTGTGTGTGTGTGTGTGTGTGTTTTGAAATTCTTTTCGCTTGATTCACTCTATACTTCTTGTTTCTGCCTTGATAAAACATCAAAAACTAACGAAAACAGGTCCAAATGGCCGCCAACCGTACCCAAACGATGGAACAGGTCTTAAAGTCAATTCTTTCGCGTGGCGGCATCCTTGGTTTTTATCAAGGATTAATTCCCTGGGCTTGGATCGAGGCTTCCACCAAGGGTGCCGTACTTCTCTTTACTTCGGCTGAGTTGGAGTACTGGGGACGCCGTGCTGGTTTCTCTTCCACCGCCGCTGGTGCTTTAGCAGGCATGGGCGGTGGTATTGCCCAAGCGTATGCTACTATGGGCCTTTGTACTTGTATGAAAACCGCCGAGGTCACTCGTGCCAAGCAAGCTGCCACCGGAGTCCCTGTCCCTAGTACTTTCCGTGTCTTTGCCGATTTGTACAAAGAAAAGGGCATCCGTGGTATCAACCGAGGTGTCAATGCTGTTGCCCTTCGCCAAATGTCCAATTGGGGTAGCCGTTTTGCTCTTTCTCGCTTTTTTGAAAAACCTATCCGTTATTTGTCTGGAAGCAAGGATTCAGACCCCTTGACTCCCGCACAGCGATTTGTTGCTAGCGTAACCGGTGGTGCTTTGAGCTGTTGGAACCAACCCGTTGAAGTCGCTCGTGTAGAAATGCAGAGCTTAAGCAATGGCTCTCAAAATTCCTCAAGAGGTATTGTTGCCACGATCCGTTCTGTTTACGACAGCAATGGAATTAAAGGCTTGTATAGAGGTGTCGTTCCTCGAATGGGCCTTGGTGCATATCAAACTGTCATAATGGTCTTTTTAGCAGACAGTATTCGCTCTTTTTTTGATCAAGATTAACCCTTCCCTTGATCTTTGTTGTCCTGCGGCCTTTTACTTTTCCTCCTTGGGTATAATATTGCCGCCTCATACCCAATCGATCTTTTTATCCCCTTATTATCAAGTAATAACTCCTTTCTGGATATCCGTTTGAGTAGTTGAATGTCGGTATTCTCTTTTATTTGCATTTCTTTTATTGTTCAGTAGATGAATCGCCTGATTCAATTTTATTCTATCGCAACCTCTGTCATTTGGATAGTTTTTACAAAAATAGCATAAAGAAACTTTAATTAGATTCTATTTTTTCTTTTCTTACATTTCTTTGACAGTAGATATGGAATATCTTTTTCGTAATGAATCTGCAGAAGCAGCATAAAACTGACTTTTCTATTTTGAGCATAAAAGAATGACTGACATTGATGTTTTCTCTGTAACAAAATATATCTATAGCAAAAACGAAATTCTTTATAGAGAAGGAAGTTCCATTCCCAGAAGCATCCTGTTAAATGTTAGTACTTGCCTTGAGTCACTTATAACAGCTTTGTCACGTACATGGTATAGGTTTTCATAAAATATGCAACGAATGCCTCCAGGTGAAAGATGGATTTGTTACCCATTCGAGCCCGGTGCTCATAATTTGCAACGGATTGGATAAGAAGGGGATGCATTTTAGCATCCACTTTCAGTAAAAAGAAGCCGAGCAGTTCTTTGAAAATGATGGTTGGTGGAATACAATGAGAAAGGAGATCATATAACATGGAACGTACCACCAAGATTCGAGCGGGCGATTGTTCTTGAAGTATGGAAGTCCCCATTTGGATAATAAACGTTTGCCAGTCCGGTAATGGTAGCTGAGATCCATTATCTGTTAACTGACGATTATGAGGTGACTTTGCATGTATAGTTTCTAACAATAAGATGGCTTTTCTTAAATTCCGACTGCAATTATTAGCTATTTTTTCGAGAAGAGAAGCCGGCGCTTCTAATTCTTGAGTAGCAAGGATTTGAGACATGACTTTAATAATATCTGACTCCGAAGGTGCAGCAACACGGACCATTAATGTTCGAGAACGAATGGGTTCAATAATTTTAGAAGTTGAATTGGCAACAAGAATAAGTCGAATATTATTCGAATATTTCTCCATAGTCCGACGAAGAGCCGCTTGAGCATCTCTTGTCAATTCATCAGCTACGTTGATGATCACCACTGGCTTGTGTTAGCTTTCCCACGCCAATTGTGGTGTAAAAATTAAAACTTACCTTTAAATCTCTTTTTAGCCTGTAAATCAACTTGTGCAGATTGGGCAATGTCCTTCAACAACTCCTGCATGACAACTCGATCATAGTTTCCAACATCACTAGGTGTGATCTCTATGTGGTGCAAACTTGAAACAATATTAATTTGGATTTTACGGTTACTTGGTGTTAGGAATGTTCGCTGATCAATTTTTAACTGAGTTGAAGCATTAGCATAATATTCGGTTTTACAAGCTAAAGAAACTTACTTTTTCTGCTCCAGGACCGTATAATTCACGTAAAATAGCAACCGTTCTAGTCTTTTTTCCTGCTCCGCTGGGGCCATAAATTAATAAATGTGGGAATTCATTTGTAGCTGCTAGAGAAATCAACCTCTCGGATAATTGCTTGTGGTAATCTAAAGATGAAAGCGTTTTGGGACGATATTGGTCTAGCCAAAGCATTTTGGAAGCTCAAGACGTGAAAATACGTTTGTTTTCAAGTTGCGGGTGAAGGACAAGCCCTTGGAAGAGAACTGAAACCAAGCCTAAACTTAAGTACTCCAGTAATCCTTGAAGTATGAATATCTATAAAATGTATCTCTTATTATTTGATACTTTTGATATTTAATTCGAACAAGCTTAAAGCAAAAATGATAAGAAATCTCTTACTGTTTTCATTACACGTTCTCCTTGCGCATTGACCCTTTCATACTAGTTTTATAGTAAATATCATGAGAGAATTGATATTCATTCAAAGTAAATTAAAGTGTTGTTTTATGTGGTTTTGGCAGTATCGTTTCAATGCACAGGTTTCGACAAGTCCTTCTCTGGTACAAGCCAGACTTGCGTTGTCTTCTCGCTTAAAAGGACAGATTACAAGAAAAAAAAGAAGTACTTAACGTCGAGTTTCCTCTCTAGATGCATGAACCGAAGGATCAATGTCATTCAACCTGCAAGACTAGTTTGAACCAATTGAGCAGGCTGTCAGCAACAAAACATTTTAATGTAATTTATCTAAACTGCCTACCTTTTAGAAAGAAAGTAATCTTTATGCAACGATATTTCGATAGCAGCCACAAAGGTTATTCAGTTATGTTGATTTTAAGGGCATAACTATAGGACTGCATTCCAATTCACTGCCATCTTATTTTTTCTAACTTGTATTATTAATATCCTTTTTTCTTTACTTTTGGTTTACCTGACACAGTGATCCATGCAAAAGAGGTTTGTGTTTCTGCTATCCCACAGCACACATCTTCCTCTTTCGAGAAATTGGCCATAACAAGGGGAAATTACCATGAAGTTGCTTTGTGGAGATGAATTAGGACAATTAAAATGTAACCTGGTTGCGTCTTTAGTTGATATGTAGCTAACTTTGATAATTTCTAGTAATTGAATTGAAAAAGGGAATTGACGCTTCAAATCCAGAATCGGAGGCTCCCAGGATTCAACGTTTTGGAACCTTAGATAAAAAGAATGGAGTCTTATTTTTCTGTGAGAACGAAAATGTATTACAGACCTTTTCTTGGTAATTTTTCAAGGATAAAACAAATTATGCTATAGAAAGCATAATACGTGTGTAATTTTCCTTTTACCAAATTTTTTCTTATTTTTAAAGCTCTACTAACTAAAAATAGTATGTCTATGTCGTTCGTAAAAATGCTACTATAGAGTGCTGGGATTTGAAGAAAGAGCCCCCAGTTCTTGTCAGCTTATGGCAATTGGATGAAAAGCTGATAGAAAATGCATCCATTGTTTCCTTTCAATATGCTCATGGATGGCTTATGATCGCTTTGAGTAGCGGAACAATCTTGTTCCGAAATCCAGAATTAGGACAAGTACGAAAGATTATGGTTTCTTCACCGTTGTCCTGTGCTACCTTACATCCTCGAATTGCTGGTGTTGTTGCTATAGGAGGAGAAGAAAACGATGTTTCTATATATACCTGCAATCCTAGTTGCACTTCTTCTATTGACTTGTCAACATTATGGGAGCCAAGCAAGGTTGTTCGTCTTTTTCAAGGAAAAAATGTAAAAAATAATGCCTTAGATCTTCGGGTTCGCGTTTGGGTTACAGGTATTGTTTTTACGGAAGAACTCTTCAACGCCATTGATGGCAAAAGTGAAGATGATTCAGCTCCAGCTTTTCATTTCGCTACCATAACTCATTATGGGCAGGTATGTTATTCATCGAATTTTTCTGAAACTTTTTACTAACTATTTAAAAGCTGAGATTTTATTATACTAAGCAGGCTCGACGACCAGTCTACAGTACGGACATCTCTACATCTGAACTCAACCATGTTGGCATTTTACCTTCTGTGAATATGTTATATTTTTCCGATAAGCGTGCTCAGGTCATTGTTTTTGACCCTATAAAGAAGAAGACTGTGGGACGTTTTCAAGGTGTTAAAGGCTCTGCTTCTAGCATTCACAACCTTAATGACCTCGTCGCTATTGTAGGTCTCGACAGACATCTTCGAGTTTATGATGTTCATCGTAATCATCTAGCTAACGCTTACGTTAAAGTAATGCCTACTAGTGTTTTGCTACTGAATGATCGTGATGAAGAAGTTATCAAGGAAGAAGAAGAGAAGCGTGTTGCGAAAGAAGAAGAAGAAGATATATGGCGTAATATGGAGCAATTGGACGACAAGGAAGAGAAAAAGGATGACAGAAAGACAAAAAAGCAAAAAAGATCGTAAAAATGGGTTTTTGGAGGTAGGGAATGTATTTAATAAAATATACTATGGTTTTTGGAATTTAGTTATTGATATTCAAGTAATTTGTTAGATATATATGTATGTAAAACACTTCCACTTTATTGTTTTTAGTTTAAGTATTTTAAAATTTTTAAGAATTTTATTAACTGACCGTCTATACAATTAAATAAAGTGAAAAAAAAAATTGTACTTTTTTTTTTATAGCAAAAAAAATAAATAAACCTCATGAAAACATTCAAAACTCATTATTAGCCTTCTTGAAGGCATTGTCGTACAACATGTCTTGCTAATTGAACCCGGATGGTCAGCCGACTTTCGAATTCATTGTCACCTCCAAAATCACGGGCAGCCTTTAAATAACTATCACATTCTTTCAGAGAGTTTTTAGATTTACTGTCAATTACAAAAAGGACGACAGCCATTTCATAATGAGCAAAAGCGATAGCCCAACGCTCAACATGTTTTGTAACTTGACACAGTTTGTGAAGGAGAATTTTACTTTCATCCAATTTTCCTAAGTTTCTCCATAAAGTAGCTTTAACTAAGGCTTGGCAAATATCATCGCCTTCATCCTGCCAAGGGTGGACCCTATCCACATCGAATTGAGACAATTCTTCCAAATTCATCCTTCGAAAACCATTCCAAACGTAAATTAGCTCATACAACGGAGAAAAGCCAACATATTCTGCCAATCCACCTTGATTGCCAACACTAGCTCGTCGTTCGCAGAGCTTCCTCACTTTCCGTCGTATATATTTATCGAGAGGAGCAGTCTTATCAGTTAATTGCTTATCCAGTGGTTCAAGTAGTTGAGATGCGCTCATTAAAGCCTCGACGTTAGCATGAGCTTGTACGTCTTGCAGAAAACATGCGGCAGCAAAATATGAGTATAACCCAGCGCTAGAATCATTTAAACTAGATAACTTCATAAAGCTTTTCGCACCATCAATGTATCGGTGAGAAAATGCGCAATCCAAAGCATGTTCGAATACAATTAAAACTTCTAATTGCATAAGCTTAGGAGGCGGCTTTGCCATAAGGTCATTCAAAACGTGAATGGCTTCAGTTTGTTTCTTAACCATGGAAAGTAACTTTGCTTCATGCAAAGGCCACATTGGGCCGTCAGGATGAGTTTCTCTAATTTTAGAGAGAAGTTCAAAGCAACGGTGAACGGGCCATCCATCGGGCTCAGATGGAGTAACTCTATAAATACTGCACAATTGCACAGCACCACTGTAATACTGAATAAGTGCCGCAAATGCTACTGCGGCAAAAAAGCCAGAAGGTCTTTGGAGAGCGGGCTTCCACATATAATTGAGAGCCATGTCTCTATCCCCCTTATAACCTAATAAGCTCAATATAGTAATCATTTTTGGAGGAAGCAAAGAAATTAAAAGTGTAAACAAACCCGTACACAAAAGAGTTCCAGTCTGTACGTACTCATTCACTGTATCGATATCCTTGTTGTTGGTACTTTGAAAGCCTTTAGTAAAGGACTCAAAATGACGCTTGTTTATTTTGTTAAAAATTCCATGGGCTTTACGGAGCTTGTATACTGACTTTACACTTGTTACGATGGATTCTGAGCAAAACCCTATAAGGGCAGATAATAAGAGCATAAGTCCAATGGATACGCGGTACTCAATTCCAGGGTCAAATGTACAGAGATAAAGGTCGTTTTTGGCGGCAAAATCCTTGTCTTCTGTAAGAGCTTTAATAGCTAAATCGATTTTTTCCTGAGATTCCCCAAACCGAAATGGCTCAAAAGTCAAAACAGCTTGAATAAAAGAAATAACAGCCTGACCACTTAGATGAAAGGATGTATTGCCGTAGTTAAAAATTTTTACGGCTTCATCCATCTTGTCATCTAAAATATAATTTAAGCCGCGGATGACGGACAGAAGTGCCGGTAGTTTTTCTTCTTGATAGGAATTATACATAGTTTCAACTTTCGGTAGGAAAGGAAAAGTACAGTTATTCTTTGAGCACAACAGAAATAAGAACAGAGGACGATATAAAGTGAACAGTCTTGTCGATCAGAAAATAAACACAATAGTACCGACTCGACAGCAATAAACAGGTTATTTATGGGAAATAGATATCACAACTTAAGAATATAGGATTTCGGGAAATCCTGTTTGAGCTAAATTTCAAAGAACGAACACCAAACGTCCGACGTTTGAAAGGTAATTACACAACAAAGACAAATTATTTTTAAGTTAATTTGGCTTAACTCGGTTCAGATGGGTAAGGAAGGATTGAATGGAACGTATACCGAGAACGGAAGGTGAGATGGATTAGGACCTTTTTCCAATCAATGGTGGATTCAATTGTTTTGTAAAGTCAGGGAAGTAAAAAGCAAAAATCAAAGAGAAAAGAAGTACGTTTATAACAAAAATCAAAAAGACCTTACTAGTAACAATCAGAGATGCCAGAAATGGATTTCAATAAAATCAGCAGATTTTACTACGAAACTAAGATGGCTTTTTTTCAAGTTTTTAGCAAGAAAAGAAGAATCCGCGACAGTGGTAAAAACCGCGTGACAATTCGGTGCTCCCTAATGGTTTCCGGTGCTTTTAATAGTGATTCCAGTCACTTAGATTTCACAAGTAATAATGTTCTAAGCTTTTGTGTACCTTGTTGTTATTGACACGTTTCAAACTAGCCCTTCTAATACCAAAGTAAGGTGTTTGTGAGTCAGTAACCCATTTTGACGTCAATATACAATCATTAGAGTCATTGCATAGAAGAAAATTCCGTTTAGTGAAGTGAAACGGTTCCGTGTTTTTCGTATTTTTCGAAACTTCGTTTTCTCGCGTTATTGTTTAATTCACGGCGCAACAAAGCAAAGATAAATTATCTTAAATGATTTTACCAAATTATTGCGAGGTTCCCTTATCGAAAGCTTCTAGCACTTTCTTATGTTCAGCGGCAACATACTTATATATAGGCAAATCGCAAGTTGAGTTCTTGTTTACCAACTCACAACAACAAAAAGGTTAATTAGAAAAATGTCTGACTGGGATAGCAATATTACTATTGGAAGCCGTGCCGGACCTGGTGCACGCACTCATGTTGCCAAGACACAATCTCAAATTAACAGCGCTCGTCGTGCTGGTGCCATTATTGGAACTGAAAAGAAGTATGGCTCCGGCAATCGCGCACAAGATCCATCTGGACAACACTTGACCAAAATCGATCGTGAAAACGAAGTCAAGCCTCCATCTACCACCAACCGTTCTGTTGCTCAAGCTATCCAAAAGGGACGTCAGGAGAAGAAGTGGGCTCAAAAGGATTTGGCACAAAGAATTAACGAAAAGCCTCAAGTTGTTAACGACTATGAAGGTGGACGTGCTGTTCCCAACCAACAAGTTTTGACCAAGATGGAGCGTGCCTTGGGTGTGAAGTTACGTGGCCAAAACATTGGTGCACCTTTGGGTGGACCTAAAAAGAAGTAAACCCTAAGGAAAGAGTCCTTTCTGTTGGATTTGCATGGTAATTGGATACCATAATCCTTGTCTTTTCCAAGGAAAGGAAAAGAAAAAAAGAAGAAAAGAAAAATTATTAAAGCTTATGTTTTTTTTTCCTTTGTTTATTATAATGATGAAAATATTTATGTCTCTTTTCGGAAAATGCTTTTGAGAGAGTAGGCGTGCAAGTAATGAATGTTTTAGAAGTTTAAAATGACAGTATTTGTTTTCTTCCAGTATCAATATTCAAGTAGAAAAGAACTGTTTTATTTGAGCATGAAAAGTGACATGCATGTAATGTAATGTATGCTATGCTTGCAATGCAGAGAGAATGAAGGGGGAATGCAATCAAACCAAGAAATAGAATATACAAACAATGTAGAAGAAAAATAGGAAATCTAGTGTGAGAGTATTGATCGAGAAAAGGTATTATGTGAAAGAAACATAACAACCCAAAAACGAACCAAAATTGAAAGAGTGAGAATGGATAAATAGTAGTCGAAAGATCAGCAATCAAGGGGAAGAGACGGATATGCATGGCACCATGCGGCTTTAGCGATAGTATGATGAAGGAAACGATTCGCGATGCGATGTGTGAGGAGGAGGAACAGGAGGTAGAGGGTGATAATAGTCAAGATCCTCCTGCACGGTGGGAACGGGTGGAAGAGCGGAATGGGAATATACGGAAGGCTCGTCTAACGGAAATTCGTCGACGGACTCCGGAAAGTCATCCTCGTAGTAATATTCGTCAACCATGGAGGGAGATGGGAAGGAAGGCAGTTCGTTTGCTTGATGAGAATAGGTTAATGCATCGTCGGGGAGTTTGTTGTAAGCATTGGGCGTACTGATGGGAGGAGTAGGAAGAGGATGGTATGTTTTAGAAGTCCGTTGAGTCTTGTCGGTGGAAATAGAGGGCTCTGAGGCAGAGGTTGGTAAAGAAGCCAGAGTAGCGACACTGAATTGGGGAAAAGGAAGGGAAGAAGCTGAGGTAGAAGGATTGGTGAATTTGAAGTAATTTGGATCAGATGGAAGAAATTTAAACTGAATGAAGATTTCACCAGCAAATTGAAAGTCATTTTTTAACTCATACCATTGGCTTTGATCGCCTTGGTTGAGTGCTTTTTGAAATGAAAGCACTGTATCACCGACCAAATGCGCATGTTTCCGGAATCCTTGATGGTATACGTACACTTTCATGATATTATAGCTTTCGCTACGAATGGGAAATTCCAGAACTGCATTCCAAGAAGGTGCTTGTCCGCTCCGTTTGTCGGTATGGGTACGCTTCACAAGTTCACCAACACGGCAGCTACAGTAAGGGTTTTGCTTTCCGATAAGAGCCTTGTTGGGTAAGTTTTTCTATATGGAATATACGTTAGTAATGCAGGAGAACAAGACGAAAGGATTCTGCAATCCAGAGAATGCTAAACTAGGCTAAGCACAACACGCAAAACCGAGAAGAGCAAGAATGGACCAGGTCGAAAAAAAGATCTTGAGAAAAAGGAAAAAAAAATCTATAATCTAAAATCAAAAAACAAGACTTACTGCGTTTGCAATGCGCACAATAAGAGTCCCTAGTTGCTTATTTGACATTGTATGCCTCACCAAACCTACAAACACGAGGTCTCAGGTTTTCACACTCTTTTCAGACAGAAATATAGACAAAGAAAGAAAATATAAAGTAAAAAGATGTTTTTATTAGCAACACTTGCTAACCTCTTTATTGAAACTCAACAAAAAAATGGCTGGTAAATTCAGAGTAGTAGAGCGAGTTGCAGTAAAAGGTAAATAAAACATAGTCATAAATTAAAGAAACCAATTCTCGAAAAAATCAAAGAAAACCTCAATCAATACGAATATAAGTATTAACAATAAAAGATAGAAAGGAAAAAAAAAAAAAAAGCAAGCAAAGAACCTAGATGAAAAAGAAATCTTCTCTCTACGTAGACAAGGCATCGCGTAAAATTTATCAACTCTGTAAAACAAGCTTATCGTTTCATAACTAAGGAAAACAAAATAAAATTGCTGATGATAAAAGGAAAACGAAATCCAAATCCTTACTGCAATTGCTTATAGGATTCTCTTAAAATATTTCATTTTTTCTGCACATCGTGGTTTGTTTACATTTCCCCACAGTCTTTCTACGACAATTCCATTTCTTTCTTCTCTGCCTTTGCCCTTCTGTCCTGGTGCTACTTTTTTTCTTTCGTCACTGTAACGTGTAAGGGCTCGTTTTTCGTCTTTAACGTTCAGTAAACGAAGACTAACGAAGGTTTAGTTTGCTACCTTCGAGACCTTCATGGAATCGGTACCTAATGTGAAATTGCACAATTCTATTGGCTTGAACATCCTCAAAAGTAACACATGACGTAAAGTGCATTTCCAGAATCTGAGTTGCTGGAACCTTGAAAAGAAAACTTGCCATCTACTATACACGCATTCAAGGGCTTGAGAGAAAAATAAAAGAGAAGGCCCATTGAAACTATATATGAGCGACTTTGTTGAACAAATTTGACGAGTCTTCGATTCTTTCAGTTTTTGAGCGTTGACCGAGTTTTTTCATCATTTTTATATAGTGCTCATCGCTTAAGTACACCTGAATAACGATTTCATCAGTTCATGACGAACACCTTGACTCTCCACCCCGGACCTAAACCAAATATAATTTGACTTGATAATAATAAAGTATTACTAGTTTGTTTTGAGGTAAGAAAGTTGTTGGTTCAAGTTTTCGTCATTAAGGGAGACAGCAAAGGTTGGAGTTAGTTTTTTGCTTGTGAAGATGTTTGGTGGAGGCGAATGAAAAGAAAAAAGGAAAAGAGAAACAGGTCAAGTGGGAGCTGTTCTACTCTACTCAACTGACGAGATGTTGGATTTTTTTGAAGTAGTTTCTGGGATTTTCTTGTATGAAAAAAATTTTCATAGATGAAATGTCTGGTCAGAACAGATCAGATTAGGTCCCTTTTCTTCCTTTCTCCTTTTGACTATTCTTTTCCTCTTTTCGAATTTTGCTTTTGTTTCTTACTGCAAAAACCTACGTTCTTTGATCTCTCTCTCTTTTTAGCGCAAAACCATGATGTTTCCCGTGATTTCACTTTCAATGTACTAACATTTCTTGTCTAGTTCCTCTTGACGTTCTGATACAATTACTTCCGCCTGGTCATAGCTTAATTCGGTTCTTTCCCCCCTCGAATCATTTTCTTTCACTTTGTTCAATTCGTTCTTCTTTCCTCCTACAACTTGCACTATTGTCTTTGTTACTTACTACTACACAAATTTTGGGATTCAATTGACTTGAAATAATCGGATTTCTTCTACTGTCATCTATTGTCATATACTGGTATTGAACACACTGTAATTTTACTCCTTTATTTATTTTTTGTTTTTTTATTCTATATTCACCAATTTTTACGTCTACTCTATTCAGCTTGCATCATGTCTCCTTCACCCAACAACGCCCCTAACAACTACAATTCTTCTGAAGTCCCTCCCAACCTTAATTCAAAGTCTGCCGTGAATAATAATAATAATCCTGTCCCTAACAACATAAGTATTCCTTCTACGCAGGCTCCTCAACAATCGCAGTCAAACGATGCTGGTGATTCACTTGAACAGCCTGCAGGTGTGACTCCTTCTTTTGTTGGTTCATTAAAACTGGATTTTGAACCTAACCCTTTTGAGCACTCTTTTGGCTCGACTCCTTCAGTAAACCAACATCCAGGTTCTTCTACGAGTCGCCCTGTTCCTTCCGCAATTCCTCCTTCTCTTTCCCGTACTTTACTTCCCCCCGTATCTTCTATTGCTTCTCCAGATATTTTGGGTGCCCCTGGTATTGCTTCTCCTCTTGCGTATCCTGCTTGGTCTGGATTTAGTCGTCCAGGTGCTCAAAACCCCCTTTCTCCTGCTATTTACGATGCCACCCTTCGACCGGACTATCTCACTCCTTCCGATCCCTCCTCGATGGCTATGGGATCAAGGTTTTCTTTTGGCACTGGATTTACCCCTGGAGGTAATGAATCCTTCCGCTCTTTTTTGACACCAACAGGTGCCGGCTTTCCTGCACCTTCCCCCGGAACTGCTAACCTTTTAGGGTTTCAACCCTTCGATGCACAGTTCCCTGATCAGTATCGGTTCACTCCTAGAGATGGTAAGCCTCCTGTTTCGGCCGGTACGAATGGAGAACAGTCTGATTATTTCGGAGCCAATGCTGCAGTTCATGGTCTTTGCTTACTTTCACAAGTCCCTGAGCAGCAACAACAAAAAGTACAACAGTCCATTCCGAATGAGACGGATCCTTCGACATCGGCAGCTGTTGCTAATTTGCTGAAACAATCTCAATCTCAACAATATCCCGAGTCTATCCGTTCGTCTTTTACGAACAATGGTAATAATCCCATGGAGTCCCACAATATGGGACAACAACCATACTATATAAATGCCAATCAAATGCGTGGTGACATGCAGCCTTCAGTGTATGGTGAAACGGTTAACCCCGCGGATCCTTCTCTGAATTTACGTTCCTCTAACAACTATGATATGCACATGAACAACATGTCTCACATGGGTCACGGTGGAAATAGAGAGGTATCTGGCAACGGTATGCCAGTTCAAGTGAAATCAGAAAACAATGAGCCTCAAGAGTCCCAACCGCGTGGTATGTCGAATGTATCACCTTCAGGATCTCCCAGCGAGACTGACATGAAGGATCTTGACGGTTTCAATGGCGATAGCAATAGTAAGAGTGGCTCGACTCCTCGTCGAAATTCAAAGAATGAAACTGATGATGAAAAGCGGAAAAGCTTTTTGGAACGTAATCGCCAAGCTGCTCTCAAATGTCGCCAACGCAAAAAGCAATGGTTATCCAATCTTCAAGCGAAGGTTGAGTTTTATGGAAATGAAAATGAGATTTTGAGTGCTCAGGTTAGTGCTCTGAGAGAAGAAATTGTCAGTTTGAAAACACTGTTAATTGCTCATAAGGAATGTCCGGTTGCAAAGGGCAATTCTGCGGCAGTAGCTACAACAATCATCGGAAACGGTGATATGTCTCAACGGATTAATTTAGGTTATTAGTTCTTAATATTTAATCGTGAATGAGAAATCCACACTTTAATTGGTTGGTTAATGTGGATTTGGAAAAAGCAAGTAATGCCATAGAAAGGCATCCTAAATTGAAGTTACCGTTTGACACGGTTCATTTAATTATTAATGATTGGAATAATTTTGAAAATAAAAGGCCCATTTACTTTTCAGCGCTTTTTTATTCTTGCTGAAATGTAGTTTGGATTTCAGATACTTGTTTGTCGACAACCTGCTGTTGATTTGTTAATTTACGCAAGAAATTAGGTTTATTATTATGTTCATGTATGATAATTCTTTTGAATCGCTTACTGTTTTTATTATAAGAAAAAAAAAGAAAAGGATGTTTGCAGTGACGGATATCTTTGAAATTACAAAGGGACGAATGAAAGCAGACTGACTTTGACAGAACATTTAGTAAACAAATTTAAAATATCTTATTTTTTGGCATATGATTTCTTTTGTAATAAAAGTTTGAGGCTTTATTGAGTGACGGGAGTATCATCATCATCATCATCATCACCCAGTTGGTGTAATGTAATAGTACTATGAAATTTATTTTACCTTTTAAAATTTTTTGTACGTCGTAGAAAGATGTGATTGAGGGTCGATTGGAATTTTTTAATTAAGTAACGACATCATTTAGGAACGACTCTCGTCACAAAGCTGATGGTGATAGTTTCAAGAGAGGAGATACATGATTGTAGCTTGTTTTGAGAATGCTTCCTCTTGCAAAAGGATATTCTTTTCAAAAGAGCAAAAACAAGTCAGCCAGCTCTGTAGAAAAAGAAAAAACAGATACGAATGTTTACTTGACACAGAATGAGGAAAGCAAAGTGTTTTGTAAAACAAAAATTTATTATTCAGTAAACTATATATATCACAATGTATCACATAAATAAAATCGTTGGAAGCGAATAGAATCAAACACATATTAAAGCAAGGAAGCATAAAAAGCTATTATTATAAAAGTAAAAGAGACAGAAGAATATGCCGACATTAAAATTAGCGACTTCTTTCAAAAAAATCCACCTCTATAAACGGTAGGAAATTATCAAAGAACGTCGATATTACCAGGATTTAGGTCCAAAGAATTCGCCGGCAGTTTCATTTACGGTCCGTAAAACGGCAGTACCACTGGCATCCATAGTATTAAAGGCACCTATATTACCCCACCAGTTTGGAAAGCTAACATTGGGCAGTTGAAGGCAGAAAAAGATGAGGATGAGAGCCAGCTCCATACCTGTATCGAGGGCAGCCGACATATTGAAGTTATACTTCGCCCACCAGTCATAGAATCTGTTCTTGATATAGTGGTTGAAGAAAAGGCCAATGCCGCACCAAACCAAATAGTTGGTAGGGGTAGCAGGAGGCAACATTCCCGTACCGCCAAAAATAATAGGAGCATTGAGCTTTCCCCACCATTTTTGAGGCCACTTTTTCCATAAAACCCAAAATAAGACGGTCGACAGGGTACCGACGAGCCAAAAGTATTGCAAACCAGCATAAAGATAATGACCAGAGAACATACGTTGAGGACCGATTACACCCCAAATAACGGAGGAATTAAAGAAAGTTTTGGCAGAAGGGCAGGTGTATCCATCGGGTTGATTAGGATCGCACACGTTTTTAATATTACCAAGAGCCCAATCCAAGACGCCAATTTGAACAAAGCAAGCCCAAATACTAGCGATTGTTTGAGTCCAAAACATCATTTTTGGAGGAATCTTCATGTAGTGGCCTAACTTGAGATCACTGACAAAAGACAAAGCTTGTGCTTGAGTAATGTAGCCAACGGTCTTGAAGATCATGTTTGCCAAAGGATGTCCAGGATACATATAACCGACAATAAATTCGGTAAAGACGTTCATACCAAGTTCGACGTTAGTAATGGCATAAATGACACCAATAGGTATGAACCAAACGATGGCGATAATCAAACCGACAATGACGACCCAAGCAGGAGTTTCAGTGTGCCATCCATAGCAAACACCCATCATCATACCGAAAAAGACAATGAATATGGTAAAGTACCACCAAAAGGGGACTTCTTCGTACTGTTCCATAAGACGTTCGTGGATGTCTTGCTTAGGAGGGTTGCGAAGGCGGTCCCAGATATCCTTACCATTGTAGAGAGCGACGTGAAAGATAGCTGCAGTCATGGAAGCAAAAGAAAGACCAAATGATACGGCAGAAGCGCTAGGCATAAAAAGAGGGGAGTATTCTTGGAAGGCTTTAAGGTCTAGTCTGAAATCAGGAGTAAGAATGCGACTAACATCATAAGAGTTTCCAAAATGATCTATAATGGAATTACTGCAAATGGGAAGGTATTTTCCATACCAGACGTTGCTATAGTGGACACCAGCAGTAACGATCCAAAAGAAAAGAATGGTGCTAATCAAAGTATTCCAGATGGCACTAGCAGGGGACATAAGAGGAGAACCCAAGTAGCCACTGATGGAGTTCCAGTCAAAGGTGACTGGGACTAACGAAATACCGGTACTTTCACCAAAAAGTTGATTGACAATGGGACTGTTAGGTTTGATCCAAGTGATCCAAGCAAAAAGAGAAAGGGCGGTAAAGATGTAATTAGGGAACCAAGTCCAAAAAAAGATACCAGCAAAGACGATGAGAAAAAAACGATAAGCGGAAATGTTCCAGCCATTTGCTGTTTTTATGTAGGCGGCCTTGCTGGGTAAATGCAGAGTTTTCATAAGGGCAGTATTGATAAGATTAGAGGGCCAAACCATGGCGGCTGGACGAACCAAGATTTTACGGGAAATTCCGGCAAGGCCATAGCCGATGAGTTGGGTAGCGAGAGTGAGACAGATTTCGTAGCCAAAACCGAAGCGTTGTTTATAGAAAGCGCGTTGAGCAAGGATAATGTCTGTGGAATAAGCACTACCGAAAGAGACGGTAGACATGATAACAATGAGAGTGTGTTCCTTCATATTGAAGGGACCAGGTTTGAAGTTGAAACGGAGACGGCCAATGCGGAATTGACGGTTGGGAAAGATAAAGTCCCAACCCTTGAGACAAGGGTAGGCGATGAGTTGGGCGATGAGGACGCTGATGGTAACGGGAGGGTTTCTGAGGGAGAAAAACATGTTAACGGCGGCACCGACAGTAGAGAAGATGAACCCGATGGTCCACATACGGATGGTATTACAAGGCAGAGAAGGGTCATCGGTGGGTAAAACGGAGGCACGAACTTCGGGATAAGGAGAATCGTTTTCGATGTCGCCGAAATCTTTTTCTTCAACATCACCCTGTTCGATATCGTCGGAGGAGCGAGAGGAGCTTTGACCCTTTTTTTCTTTGACGGCGTAAGAGTTAACTTCGGCGGCGTCCTTGCTTTGGTCTTTGATGGAATTTAAAGAAGTAGTGGAAGTCGAGGTATGAATTTCCTCGCCCATTCCTCCTCTTCCAGCTCTGTTGGATGAAGAGGACAAGTCTATGGGCGAGGAAAATGAGGCATCAGCAATAGAAGAGGGCATTGGAAATGTTGAATGTCGTAGAGTACAAGGACGAATTTTTTCTTTTTCTTTAAATTAATCGTCAATCAATTTGTAAATTGGAAAACGAGAAAAGAGAAGAAAAACAAACAAGAAAGTAAAGAAAAAAGAAAGAAAGAAAGAAACCGATACAGTTAGAGAAGAAAAGAAACAGATGAATTCAACATGTGAAGGATATTCAAAGAGGAAACGCAGAAACAGAAAAAGAAAAAGAAAAGGAAAAAAGAAAAGAAAAAAGAAAATCCTGTTGAAACAATAAAACTCCTTTTTTGGTGTTGAATTCAAGAGGGAAACACTCGCCTTTTATGTCTCTATTTTTCTTCATCTCTGAATTGTGGGTTATTATCTATCAGGTAAAACAGAGCAGATTCCCCATAAACGTAGAGGGAGGGGAAACACATGTCAAGGAGGATAAGATAGCTAATCTAGATAAACAAAAGGTTAATAATTCCATAAACAGAGGCAATAGATAGTCCGTGCACACACGAGTTGTTGGATAAAGAAGCAAGCGAATGTTTAAGAGAGAGAGAGAGAGAGAGAGAGATGGATGTAAACAAAAACAGGGCTTGTCGAGTCGAGTCAAGTCGAGTCGATTGAATTTGGTTCAAGTGGAAAAAAAGGTTGATATTTCTTTTCTCTTCTCTTCTCTTCTTTTCTCTTCTTTTCTCTTCTTTTCTTTTTATCCTGTTTTCTAATTGAATTCCTACTCCTCTACTCATTGAATCAAATCAAAACAAATAAAAACAAAATCAACACCTAAATGACGATAAAACCTACATTTCTTAGCGATAAACCGATAAACTTTTCATGTATCGAGGATATCGCCTCTTGCAATCATCAACCATGCATAGACAACATGTTTATCAAACGTGTTTTCGTTGGCTCTAGACTCAAAAAAAAAACCCCATTCTTTTATCCATCCATGTGATACTTGATCATCATCATCATTAAGGTTTTGGTCATTTCTTTTCCCTTACTCTCCTCTCTTCTCCTCTCTTTACACCATATGATTCACGATGGTTAAAGTATGAAAACAAACTTTTGTTATCTGGCGTTATCCTTGGCTTTTAGTGGGAGAATGAATGTATGCGACGCGCGTGCTGCAAAAGGTTGATGGTGATTGCTCATGGTTTGCTTTTGTTTTGCTTGTGTCTTTTTAGAGAGACACGTTGAAACGTAAAAGGAAATAAAATAAAATAAAATAAAAATAAAAAGAAAAATAAAAAAGAAAAAGCAATTCTTATCTTTTTGTATCCATCGTTCTAATTTCTTTCTTTTCTTTTTTTTTTTTATCTTTCGACAATTCCACCTGTACTCATTGATTCAATCGACTGATTGCATGCAATACTAGAGGAAAAGATATCAAGACTTGCATGGTTGGTTCGTTATAGCGTGTCGTAGAACTGGAGCCGTAGATTTGTGTTTCAGTGCAGCAAACACGGAAAGGAATCCCGGAAGGAAGAAGAAGGGTCAGACAAGCAAATACAGAGACAGCTCGAGCGAGAACATTCATCATACACTCTCAAACACCCAAAAGGTATATACCGTGTTAGAATCAACTTTTTTGACATTGACATTGCTACAATAAGCAAGCAAGCAAACAAGCAATCAAAGTAAAAGTATTCTTTAAAAGTTTTAAAAGTTTCTTGTAATTACAAAACCATTTGCTCTTTCTTAAACATATTATACATATTCTATTCTACTCTTTATCTTTTCTTTCCTTTCTATCTACATAATATCCCCTCTCTTCAAACCATCTACTACCCATCCGTTCATCTAGTAATGGTCTGCAGAAAGGAATTCTTCTCCGCAGGACGTTTATGACAGAAAAAGTAAGTTTTCTTCTTCCGCCAAGATAAACCTGCAGTATTTCTTTTTTTTCTACCTATTCTAATTCATTTCATCTCTTTTTTTTTCTTTCTTACTCCCTTTCTCTCTTCTCTCTCTCTCTCTCTCTATAACCTTTTTCCTCACCACTTCTTACACATCTTACTCAATCACTCGCTACTGTCTTGTTTCTTTCAACATCCCCCCACCACATGTACGATCCAGTGCAAAATAAATCCATTTTATAAAATTTACTCGACCTTACCACCCTTGCGAAGGATCAAGTTCTTGCGGTCCTTGTCAAGGTGAAGCTTGTTGATGACAACCTTGGAAGCATCAATACCAAGAGGAGTAGAGGCTCCGTTAGCCTTCTCACGAGTAACACGCTCGATTAACAAGAGGAACTTCTTACGGTAGACAGAAGTAATCTTGCCCTCACGGCCTTTGTTGGATCCACGGACAACGGTGACTTGGTCATCACGACGAACAGGAAGGGAGCGGATGTTGTATTGCTCTCTAAGTTCCTTAGAAAGAGGAGCAGACATCAACACACGGCGAACAGAGGAAGGGGCGGCGAAGTGAGCCTTTCTCTGCTTGCGGCGAGAGTCAGATACATTCCTGGAGAACTTCATTTTGTGTCGTGGGTCTGGTGAAAATCATGTTCTCCCTCATTCAAGGTTTGTGTCGCTTCAGGAAACAGTCACATTTCTTTCCTTTAGGTTAGGGCTTTTCTTCGTTTCCTCGTTTGTTTCCTCTCTTACCGTATTGCCGTCCACTGCGTTAGTAAACACCATTTTCTCCATTCTCCCTTCTCATCCTACCTCTTCCTTTGCATTCCCCCCCCTCCCCCCGGCGGCGCAACTATTTCTACCTATTCTCATTCCATTTCCATTTCTATAGTAGCATCCATAAATCAATTCATTTTTTTATTTCCATTTACAACAACAACAACACCTCCTACAACTAGTACTACTAGTACTACTACCACCACTACTACAATCCCTATTTCATACGTCAATCATCATCATTTCTTGTAGTATTCCGTTTCGTCTATGAGATGGTCATCAATTCAAACACATATCTTTTCTCTCTTTTGTCCAATTCATATTGCGACTTACACTTCCTTTTACCCCTTATAAATGTTCATCACTCAGCTTTTTTGTAAATAAAACACATTCTTCGCCCTTTCTCCACATCACGATAGGTATCTTTTCCGGGACCTGTCCTCGTGCACGCGCCAACCGAACATACCAGTCCTGAATCACTCCATTCGAGTACTTGGTATTCGAGCATGGTGTAAGATAATGAACATTCGGCAACCTGGTCACAGCGTGCTCTACTTGTGTCTTGGCTTTTCTGTACCCTGTATTTCTATCCTCCATAAAGACCCGGTACGTAAAATAACGATGCAGTTGAAACGTTGACGGCTCTGTCCCTTGTTCTTTCTCCAATTGGTAGTACTCTGAAGCATTCTCAACATCCACGTCTTTGTGCGGCTTTTTGTGATTCAATTTGGACCCAATCTCTTCTCCAATGCTTTCCTTTCCTTCCACACTACCAGAAGGATTAACATGGATAGAGTCATTTGGCGCTCTAACTTGCACTTTCCCATGAAAATCAGTTTGCACATCCCGTATAAGTATACCCAGCACTCGATCAGGGAAGCAAGTCGTAATCTCTGCATAAATGTCTAAATCTTGTTCTCCATTATCACCAATTAACAGTAGCTTTCGATCACCAAGATTTCGTATGGTATGCAAGAGCGCCTCACGTTTGCGCTGGGCCGCAGGTTCGACCAGGTTTTGTATAACACTGCTGAAATGTCGCAGCTGTATTGAGGCAATGAGCGGTATATTGCTAGTATCAAAGAATTCAGAAATCATAGGCCAAAGCTGCCAAGGAGAGTTGCTTACAAAATGTATAGTAGCTCCTAAATTTGTCATAACACGGAACCAGTCAGAAACGCCCTCTATGTATTGTTCACTCAAAGGTGCTAATAGTGTGTTTTCAGCTACCTTCTTTGAGCCTTCCACTACCCTAGTATTTTTCACTGTGTCATCTATATCAGAAATGATGGAAACACCCGTGCGACCCAAAACAGGAACCTCACTCAACACAGCGCGAGCTTGCCCATCTGTTGATGAAGGACCAATGGCGACTGCTTCTACTGAAAATTTGTTATTCCTGGTTTTAAAATGCGGAATAATCTCCTTCAATATAAAGTATCCATTTTGATCAGTGATTACTTGAAATTCTGCCACGCAATGTTCCTTAAAACTGTCATCTGTAGAGTAGATTTTTATTAAAACAGTCTCATTCTTGATCGGACGGCTTAGTAAGTTTGCCGACCGAGTGATGAAATTGTGTTCACACCTCTTCAGTCCTATAGACGCGATGTAATTGCTCATTGTGGAAGGACTCATAAATCTTTGAACAAAGTTGGATAAACTATAACTAGACCGAATCGAGGTGTTGGATTGACTCGGGGACACAGTATTCGAATCTTGTTTATGGTATTTCAAATTGGGTTCACTTCGCGAATGACCATTCGTTTCTAATCCTTCCACGGGTTCATTTGTACTTTCCATACAAGGCGTAGTATCTACGAATGTCATCGTTTCTTCCTGAAAGCTCATGTTCGGCTCTATAGAATCCTGAGGCGGAAGCCCTACATAACGACGAAGAAAACTGAACATTACTCGATCTTTTCGACTAAACGGTCTTGCTTTAGGGTCCTCTCGAACCCATCCTTGAACATGAACTGCTATTTGAGTAGGCTCTCCTTGAAACCCATTCCCCGAGGAGCTGATGAAGCATTGAGGAAATAAAGTTAACAAAATGGAGGACGAGACCTCTCGAGGAAGCTCTTCACTCTTTATGAAGAGTCGTTTTAAAGAGCGATACATGAATAAACCAACTTACGCTAGCTTCATCAAGACCTAGAGTTCGCTCAAACATTCGACCTCACAAACTCCAATACGGAGTGTACGTAAACATTCGATATACGGTAAACAAAGTCTTCAATGGGCGATTGGAAGGACCCAATATATATGCTGTTTTCTCATCTTTTGTTCATTTATATTTAATAAAATTATACGACTACGTCTCAACTGAAACTTTACATAGTATAAGATAAAATTGGAAATGAAACACTAGCGTCAATTTATCAAATAGGTAATAACTAACCTTGCCATACAAACGGTTTTTTCTTCTATTATAACAATGCAAGTAAACGTAGTACGCTTTGAACAACAAAGAGATTAACAGCCTTTATGTAATTATACAAGAACACACAGTGGATGATAAACAGAAACGAACGAACACCGTCAATGAATTGAACGATCAAAGAAAGAAAGAAAACTACAAAAAAAAAGAAAAACACCTCTTTACATCGAACAAGCAAACACCTAATCTTCTAAGTGCTCTTGGATGTCAGCATCGTTGTCATCGTCAACATACGCATCTAAAGGAGACTTGTCTTGATTTTTAAAGTATTCATTTCTTTGCTTGCGAATACGTCTGCGAGCCGAATAGCCCCAGCGGAATTCAGCATCGGGATTCTCCTTTTCATCCTCATCATCAGTATCGAACTCGCCATGGAACTTGGCTGTTTTCCCGTGTGTTAATTCAGAGTCAATATTGGCACCTTGTTCTTCCGCTTTCTTGTGGCCCTTCTCCTGAAGCTTGGCTCCAATTTTCATCAAATATGGCCGTAATAGAAGATACCCACAAATGTAGATGCAGATACGAATCCAATCCCTTATTGTGTAGGATCGTAAATAACCACTAACATCAATATTCATGTTTTATCCAAATTAAGGGAACCTGTGTAGAATTGAGACTTTTTAGAAGTTGGAATTATCCACAGCTAAAATCACTCCCTCCGTACTTATTTCTACCGGCTTCTCCGGACTTGCTAGTAAGAACCACAATATGATATAACGAGCCTACCTTGCAATATGCAATAAAATAAACAAACAGAAGTAATTAAAATCTGGAAATAAAAATGAAAGGGTATCCATAAAAATAATAGAAAGTCATAAAAATTACAAAAAATGATAATGCACAGCCGAACTATCTAAAGTTCCCAACTTTCCTCTTTTACCATATTTTCATTGGAATCGTTTAAGGCATCGAATTTCCTTTGTAAGGAAAGACTTCGCTCACCATCTGTTGGATGGAATGAATCACCTAAAGAATGGGGACTAAACTGAATTGTTTTTGGAGGTGACATTCCATTTGGCATAAGACTATCGTTGCTTTCATGTTCGAATTCTGAAAACATAGACAAAGCCGATTTTGATGCTTTTTCTCCAGGCGTTGAAATCGTTTCCATTTTCATGGCAATTGGGGAAGGAGACATTAACGGAGAAGAATCAATGTCCATGTCTTCGTATTTCTTCCTTTCGTGGGGAGTTACTTGGACGTGCCAGTTTGTATCCAGTACTCTATGCAATAGAGCACTACGTCCAGTGTGCTGAGGATTGGCAGTATTGATCTTTCTAGCTGGTGTTTGCAAGCGTGCAGGTATCGGCGTTAGCGATGCATTTTCCAATGAGAGATTTTCAAAGGTTGTGTCTTTCTTAGGAGTAGACTGAGTAACTTGTTCATCCTTGACTTCTTTTGGTTCAAACGCCTCTTGTCTAAAAGAAGAAGGAACGTTTTGGTAAAACATCTCTGTGGTATCCTCGTTTTCCTCAATTTTGGGATCCGTACTGCTCATATATTTTAAATCAGAGGGAACAAAGTCTTCTTTTTGCTTCTCTTGCCCTTGAACTGGTTCTTCAACTCCAGAAAGAGAGACACTTGCGCTTGCTTCAAAGAATTGCTTCCAAAACTATTTGCATTAGCAACTTCCACGTAAATCAACCAGACACTTTATATCTTTATCATACACACCTTTGATGACTCCCATATATTATTGCAGCTTTTTGCGTAGTTCTCGACGACTGGAAGAATCCGAGTTGACACTGTTCGATTGCATTTCGCGAAATTGGCATCAATTTCGTATAATGCCAATGTAATAGATTGTTCCAATCTTTCTAATCTAAAAAACCATTCTCAGTTAGAATATATTCCTTTTTTCTTTCTTTATACCTTTCCAGTTGACTCATGGACTAAGCATTTACGAAATGATTTTTCTTTCACTTCACTGCTACGGATAAGTCTAGTACAGATTGAAGAACCGAAATGAAATGAAGCGAAAGAAAAGAAAAGAAATAGCTATAGATTCTTAAAAAAAAAATCAATGAAGAATTTAATCATTTATTTATATCTGTGTGTTCTACGTCACATAACAAAGTCTCATATGTGAATGTGTTTCTATAGAGTTGCTTTGTTTTGCTTTTCCATATCTGTTTTATTGAATGTTATATTGGTTTTATTTACGAATTTGATTTTTGGCTCGACAATGTTTATTTTGTTCACAGTTTATTGTTGTTGCGCTATTTAAGAAAGATGTAAACAACCATTATACCTGTCTTCTGCCAGTACCTAAAGGGATTAAAAAGATGAAGAATGGATTGGAGATTGGCAAATCCTTTAGCAATGATGAATTGCACCTGAATGGCGGAAGCCACAATCGACTAAACACTGCATCCTCAGATGGTGCTAGTACCGCTGTTCACGACAGACCTTCAAGTCGCAATCTAGGACTATCCTTCTCCAATACCAATCTTAGTACTGTTCCCCCAAAGTCTGCCTCCACGGATGCAAGATTGAGTCCATCATTCTCCAATACTAACCTCAGTACTATTCCCCCAAAGTCTGCTTCTACGGACGCAGGATTGAGTCAAACTACTGAGGGTAATTCATCGATCTTTTCCAGAGGGGCCAGTAAGATATATCAAGCTCTTCAGTTTAGTACAAGCAGTTCTTTACCTTTGACTGTTGAAACTAACTCAACTGGCTCTTTTAATGAACCAATCGATGACCCAGTGTACGTACCTGTCCTTAAACAAATTGGAGGTTTTGATGAAATCAGGGACAACCTGGTGCTAACAGATCCCAATGTTGATGTCAAAGATTATGATGTGAAATTCATGTACCTTCTCAGGAAGTATCTATTAGATGGCCCTGATTGTGGTTTCGTTTTTCAACATGAAAAGCAGATGCCCGATGGACCAAGAGTTGCATCAGCAAAGGCCCATGCTGCTTTATCAGAAAAGCTATCAGCTTCTACGCCAAATTCAAGTTTTTCTGATTTCCGCAGCTCTCAGGCATCTGTCCGTGAAGGCTCTTCCGTTGGACCTACTGCTGAAAGTGTCAAATCGGCGTCGACTAATCAAAACACCAAGTCTTTAAGTCATTCTGTTCAGGTGCAGGAAACGAACGATCGTCTACGAGCGGTATCTCAGCTAGAGGCCATACGCGAGGAAACCTCAGCTTCAGTGATGAGAACTGAAGACTCTAGTCTGTTTTTGACCGATTCTGAAACTCCGGATTATCATTTAGGTAATGAATCGAAACGCAAAGAGATTCTCGATTCATATGCTGAACTTGGAAAAAACAATGACATGATTGCTGGACATACTCTTAAAAATACTTATTATTTCGTATTTACGGATGATAGTCTTCTTCCTTTAGAAAGGTTTGAATACACACCTAAAGAACTTGCTTTATTTAATATTCAACAAAAGGCTTACCGTTGGACATTTCGAAAAACACAAGAAGAACGATTAGTTCACTGGGAGCAGATGCCTTTCAAGGTTGAAGATATTCAAAATATCCCTTTCATTGTTGAAGACAGTACAATCGAACAAAATAAACCGGACAGGCCTAACTCTATTCGAGAAATTGCTTATATGGAAACTCGATTTATTGCTTTAATCTTTCCAAACGAATTGCAGAAAAGGAATTTTGAGATTCATCGTACAATAGCAAGGGCAAGAGATTTCCAATCGCCCAAAGGTAGGGAAGATGAAATTGCGTATAAGACCGAATTGAAACAAAATCCTTCTAAATTTCTTTATGATCTGGATCTTATGGAGAGTCTACCTTCGAGTCAAAGGCGTGCCCTTTGGGTTGAACTCGCTGACTTTTCGTCAAAACAAGAAACTGATCCCTTATTGTCTCTCTGGAAACGGCAAGTGATTAATTGTCGAATTGGACATCCCAAACTTCACACGGTCCCTATTTCGGCCTTCTTTTGCGTTGAAAACCAACCACGTTTAGTTGGTGTGAAAACGGCTACTGCTACTTCTTTTTTCTACATTGATAGAGATTTTACAATATATGATTCAAAAACACAGGCTCTTTTGAGAAGTGCTCCATCTCGGTCTGCTCAAAACTGGCTCCTTATAATTCAACACTTGGAGTTTCTTGGCAGATCTTTTCCTCATCTGATTCACCTTGACAAGTATTACGGTTTTCTTGACTATCAAATGGACTACTTCAAAACTTATACGGAAAACAATTTGGTGCAACCCGTCAAAAGTACCTCAAATCTCCAAGAAATGATTATGCAGCAAGTTTGAGTGTCTATGCATTCAAGTTTTCGCCTTACATTCACGGCTTTAAAATACGAAAGCTGAAAGTCTGAATGCCAAAGCGTTAGAAATTTACGATTGTTTAACCTATATAGATAACAAAATACGTTAGGTTTTTAAGAATTAATGTTGATAATTTCTTTTTCTCTTATATGAATCCAGCAAAATGGAGGTGTATTCAATCAGCATAATAATCGCTAAAAGTACTTGTTTCAATTTAACGTTTTGCTTTATGATTTCTCTATGAAGCGCTCAAGTCATAGTTGTAAATAAACATTTGGGTTGTTTACAGACTTTGTTGTCATGGGAACAGAAATTATTTAAATATTAGGGTAGGTGTAAACAAACAAATATCTGTGAACCAAAGTGAGGTATGGATATGAATGGAGGAACATGTATGACCACACAAAGTTATGAACCAGAATTAAAGGAAAAATATGGAAACCCCGAACCTCCTTCCTCTGGTGTTCTATTAACCACGCAGGTGTTTAATCCGTTTGATCCAAATTTTAAGTACAACCGGAGGGGTTCAAGAGAAAAAGAACATGCTGAAAATGATTCATTACCTAACGATATGCAAGACTTACTCGTCTCGTCAGCTATTAAAGATGCAAGCCATTTCGAATGCTTGAACGGTAAAGAGGTTGAAGAGATTAAGAAGAAGATCAAGGTAATGCGAGGAAATTTGGATATATCAGTAAAAAAACTCGCAGTGGAAGCAAAGATTCGTGAAGCTGCCAAAAATTTGATGCTTGCGCAAACCAAGGAGAAAAAAGGTAAACATAAACAAAGTACCATCGAGCATTACGAACAGTGTTCTAGAAAGGTACGAGAACTCTCATCAAAAATATGGGTAATTGAGCGAAAGCTATCAGAGCTTTATTTTTTTTTGCTTAAGCATATGGTTGCTGTTTGCATTCGTGAAATCAAGAAACAGCCGAAAAACGGTGAACAACCAAACGCTTCAAATGCGGTATCCGAGAAACGTGAGGATGATGATAAAAAACTAGAGGAAGAAGAGGAAGAAGTAATGAATCATGAAGAAATACAACAACTTGTGGAACGTATGGAATGGATGCTCGAGACGGTGCATTCCATGGGTTCATTTGTGCACGAACCTTCCGTAGTGAATGTCGTTGACATGACTAGTGGAGAGAAATTATTAGAACAAGTTAGACATCTTGAAATTCTACTAAAAGGAATGCGCGAAAAAAAAATTGAGGAGGAAGCCGATGCGAAAGATATTGCTCCTCGTTCTATACTGAGTTTTTGGAAAGCATTGAGCCGTTTGTTCCAACAGGAGATTGAACAAAAGGACTTGCAAATAGACCCCTATGATTTAGAACACGTGCAAATGCATTTGAAACCCAGCTTTGACGTTGAGTCTTTTGCTGTCTTGCTGAATTGTTTGTTTACCAAATATCAAAGAGTTAAGCAACTTCATAGTACTAACCAAGAACTTTTGGATATTACTAAACAAGACAACATTAAAAAAATTAATGAACTTGGAAAAGTTGTTGATGCTCAAAATGAGCAGGTTCAGTTTCTTCAGACAGAACTCCGAAAAGTTGGACATACTACCGAGGATGTTTCAAACTCGAATGTTGTTCCTGGGTCTGTTCCTGAATCCAACGGGTCCAACAATCTATTGAGGGATGAGGAGAAGCAAACTTCGTCCTTTGAGGTCATCCAAAACCTCCATTCCCAATGCTCATTACTGTATGGCGAGAAATATGAATTACAACAGAACACATTATTACTTGAGTCCAGAATAGCCGAGCTAGAAAACGAAAAGAAAACGAACAAGCTTCTGGAGAAAGATCTCCTTGCTCAAATTTCCCAGCTACGGTTAGACTATGAGCAGCAGAAAGAGTCTAATGAGTTCACAAAGAAGTTAGTAAATAGTCTACGTGATGAACGAACCGCCATGCAAGCAGAACTTAGTGTTGTTAAAGCAATGAATTCTCAAGCAGGAACATCCACGGAGCCTTTTGAAGGGGAAACACAAAAACATTTGGATGTTTTAAGAAGAGAAAACGAGCTGTTACATTCTCGTATAAATACTTTGGAGTTAGAGAAAGAACAGCATGAGCGAAACCGGGATACTGTAAATGATCTTACTCTCAGACAACTTCAGGTAGAAGAAATGTTCGCAAACTTGGATTCTGATAAGAAGATGGACCTTGGACTTTTTGACTTTCGAGCTGAACAGAACGGAGCTGAGAAGGCAAATAAAGTTGATGAGGTAGATACTGGATTTGTTTCAGTATCTGAATCACCTAATAAAGAAGGGATGAATGAAAATGATTCTCCGCATCCTTTAAATGGGGAAACGGAAAATCGAGCATCTATAAATCAACAACTGCCAAATGACAAAATCGATCATGAAGAAGAAATTGATGCTCTACCTGCTTCAGAAAATCACCTAGAATCAAACGCTGCAACCAACACAGAATAAGTTTCATCCACGGAAGATAACTTAAACCACTTTTTTGTCGTATTATACATTGCGAGTCTTTCTAAGCTTTTTTTTTTTTTTTGAACTTATTTCTTTATGTTTAGGAAGTCCTTTAAAAGTCAGTCAGTTGCAAACAAGCATTCCTTTGGTCAATGTGCATCAGCAAATATGCTTTGCACAAAAATACTCATCTGAAAAGACTGATTGATTATTTTCTTTTATTTTTTTTCCTCATCTCATCTCATTTCATTCATTTTCTTTTTCTTGGCAACTGCAATGATCAAACACTCATTCTCATTTAGCATTTAATACACTTTACGCTCTTTTTAATTTTGATTCTTTGCATTCAATATTCCATGGTAGTAAAAACTATGTGAATATTTAAATAAAATTCTTTTGCATAATTCAATCTTCCTTTTCTTTTTATTTAGAAAACATAGAAGAAAAGTCTTGATTCTACTGCAGTACCAGACGAAAATACTTGCTTATTATATAACATTGTGGTCTTTTTGATAATGTTAAAAGATTTATTTCAGCATTCTTTATGTATATACTACTAATAGTATTTTTTTCTTTCCTTTTTTTTTTCCTGTTCAATTAAGCCTAACATTAAAGCAATGGGAAATACAAAAAAAGATTAGCTTTCTGTAGTTTTTTCTGCCAAAAACAATCAGTTGATACTTAAATTCCTTCTTTCTGAAATTGGACAAAGAATGATGGGTATGGAATTACTCCGACTTGGAAGCGTTAGATGCAATCTTCTCACGACGGGAGCTTTCTGCTAAAATTCGATCATAAATGGAACGTTGTTGCATTAATTTTGGAGACCAGTCAGAACCTTTGTAACCCAACTGAGGAATATCCTCGTTACGAATGACCGAACCGATGGACATGAAGAAACCAAAAGTAGCGGCAGAAGTAAGCATATACTGACCTAAGGTTCTTAAAAAGCCGCGAGGACCAGGTCCATATCGCAATACGGCCATGCCACCGAAAAGGAAACCAATACCAAGTCCAGCAGCCGATCCCATTATAGCTCCCATCTTAACTACAAGACTCCATTAGAAAATACTCATTATATATTTGACTTACGCTTATCGGTAGTAGAAGGTTGAACAGCTTGCATTTTTGTAATTTAGTATCGGGTGGTACCTTTTTTGAGATATGGCGGTTTCCTTGTTTCAGGCGAAGGGTTGGTAAGTAACCCTCGAGAAAGCATGGTGAATAGTAAATCTAATTTAGACTACAAAAGCTGTAAAATGAGTATTCTATTCTTGACGATATATATATATATTACTTTATTTTATAACACAGGATCTATGAATGTTCTGGCTAAATACAATGGATTTTATGCTTTTCCCACTCGAACTTCAATAGTCGGCTAGCCCGTTTTATTATAAATTTACTGTTATGATGTTATTTGCAAAAGTGAAGAAAATTATTCAAACTTACAATTCGAACAGTTTATTTTCCTAACAACCTATGAGAGAAGGGAATTTGATTTTGTATACCAAAATCGAACATGAATAAACAAGGGAATCAATAATCAAAAGATTGGTATAAAGAAAGTGAGATATTAACGTGGTCTTTTATATGTTTCATGAGTGAATTCTTTCATGTTAAACTCAAGGAAGAAGGAATGTTGTAACCTTCAATCTTACGAAATTACTCCTTACAAATAGCCCTCATCGGACAACTTGGAAAGAACGGTAAAAGTGACTTCAGAGACACTTTCATCGTGGCCAACGTTGACTTGAACCCAGTTGGCTGGAATTTGGATGGACTTGTCAGCCTCGGCCAAAGAAACAACTACAGCGGCACCGGCACGTTGAAGTTCTTGGGCAAAAGAAAAAGTAGTAGCGTCTAAACGGGGAATAGAGCTTACGTGGCGACGACCATCTTCATTGAGTGCAGAAACCAAAGCACTAGGGACGAGCTTATCTGCGGTAGCAGGGACGGCCAAAACGAAACCTTGGGCAAACTTTGGGGGATAAGATTGACGCAAAATCGATACGACTTGAGGATAAGAGAACCACTCAGGAATGTGAGCACCTGTAAGAAGACGACGACGAAGTTCGGTACCGCTAATGTTGAGAGTACGAGTACCGGCTTCAACTTGGTCAACAGGCTTGTAAATATCCTCCTCAGGCAAGTAGGTCATCATTTGGAAAGGAACAATACTAATTCCAATTTCATGGGAGTATTGCTCAACCAAGTATTGAGCGTCATAGGGGCCATAAAAGTCTTGGCCTTGGCTGTTCTTTCCAGGACCAGCATGATCACGGCCAATAATGAAATGACTAGCACCATAGTTTTTACGAATGATGGCATGCCATAAGGCCTCACGAGGACCAGCCATACGCATAGCCAAGGGAAGAAGGGAAAGCTTAGCAGATCCCTTGGGATAACGTTGGAGAATGGCTTCATAAACGCGAACACGGGTAAAGTGATCAATGTCACCTGGCTTGGTCATACCCACAACAGGATGAATCAACACACGGGCAGAGTGTTGCTTAGCAGCACGTACTGTAAGTTCACGGTGGGCACGGTGCATAGGGTTACGAGTTTGGAAGGCAACGACACGCTTCCAGTTGTTACGCTCAAACTCAGAACGGAGTTCTGAAGGCGTATAACGGTAGGCAACAAAGTCAAAGTGGCGGATGGGGTTAACGGCTTGAAGCTTACCACCAAGGTAAACATCACCTGCAGTACCGAATAAGTATTCTACAGCAGGGTGGGCACGGTCATTAGCTCCGAAAACCTTTTCAGCCTCAACAACCTTGTCAGGCACGTACTTGTCGTCAACGGTGAGAATGGCCAAGATTGTCTGTTCGTCTCTAGGATCCAAAAGAGAGACGCGGTCTGAGGTCTTGATGGATTCGGCTACCTTTTCACTAACATCCAAGGTAACGGGAATGGGGAATACGGCACCAGACTTCAAGCGCAAGTTATGAACGACACTTTGGTAATCCTCTTGAGTCATAAATCCCTCCAAAGGACTGAAGCCGCCATTTAAAATTAGTTCAAGATCACAGAATTGACGTTCCGACAACACGATCTTTGGCAAAGATGCTGCTTCTTTGTTGAGTTGTTCGCGTAGAGGAGCGTCTCTAGCAAAGAGATCCTTCATAACAACTTGACTCATGGTAATGCTGGTTTCTTTTCAAAAGTGGTATAGACAAAAAAGTAATTCGTATCTTTGCAGGCTATGCTCCAGTGGAAGGAATTTTACTATTGCAAAGAGGAGGTTAAAGGAAACCAATTCTCAAAAATAGCTAACCGCTGAAATTAAATCTTTTCCCTACCCATTGAAATCTGTCGGAATACGATTAGCTCATTTTGCAAATGAATAGTCACAATGTCGTGATTTCTCTTAATTTCGCTTTACGGAATCTTATTCTAACTTTATTTCCATGAAGCGACAATTCTTATATTTTACTAAGAGTAACGTTTCCTTGAAAAATTAACTATTGCTTTCTATTAATGTTTCGTTTTACTTTTTTTCATTGAATTCATTTCGAATTCCTTCCAAAGTCTTCTTCAACCCGACTTTTGGTGAACGGACGATTCTTTGGAGCAAGAGTCTCATCTGATAAGAGTGTAAGCTGTTTTTTATCTTTCTTAACTTCGATACATTATTGAATATATAAAAAAATAATCAAAGGATTCTGTTGAGAATGAATCTCGTTTCATTTTCTTTTAAGATTCTATCTCGTAACCCACGAGTAGGCCTGCAATGTAATTCTTTAAATATCTTCTTCCGATAAGTACTACTACCTACGACCGAAGAATTCGCCTTTAATCATTCCTTTTAAATATAAGCATACACTTTTAATAATAGCATATGCGTATATATATTTAATGGTATGCGTTGGAACACTTTATATAAGCACCTAATGCTTATAGTAATATATATACGAATATAGACATGCATGTAAAACGAGCTTTAATTTACGTAGGTTTGTTGCTCACTAAACAAGTCAACGAGGCGAAATAATGATTCAACATTATTGTGGCACTAGGTTCGAATCGTATTAAACGCATCCTATTCTCTTATGCAATTGACATCGCAAAGTTGCAACTTTTTTTTTTCTGTCTTTACCCACTTTCCCCATTATCTTCCACCTTACCCTCTTTTCGTATCCCTTACAAAGAACACACAGCGCTTATATATTTTGTTCAACTTTTTTTAAAAAAAGATAACTTAAACTGCTCAAGATGCCACCTAAAAAAGCAGCTGAAGGAAAAGGAAAAGCCCAGGGAAAGAACAAGGCCCAGGAGCCTAAACCAAAAAAAGATCCTATGAAAAAGGCCGCTGATGCCACTTTTGGTCTAAAAAACAAAAACAAATCTACCAAAGTGCAAACCAAGATTAGACAAATCGAACAAAATGCTGGTAGCACCAACAGTAAAGAGGCTAAGCGTCAAGAGGTTATGCGTAAGCGCCGTGAAGAAGAAAAGAAAGCTTCTGAACAGGCAAAGGCAGAAGTTTCCGCCTTGTTCAATGCTCTACCCAACAAGCATAATAACCAGCAATTTATTACGCGCAAAGAAGAAGTTAAGGAATCGCAAAAGATCGACTACTACACCGATGTGCGTGATCGACAAACCGATTTGCCTCCTGAAAAACGTCCTTGGACAAATACCGACATTGTTTGCAAGTTCTTTTTGGAAGCTTGCGAACAAGGCAAATATGGCTGGCTTTGGCAATGTCCTAATGGCAACATGGCTTGTATTTACAAGCATTCTTTGCCCCATGGCTACGTTTTAGCCCGTGACAAGAAGAAGATTGACAACGACAAGGAGGAGATTAGCTTGGAAGCCTTTATTGAGATTGAGCGTTATCGCTTAGGTCCAAACCTTACTCGTGTCACTGAAGAAAACTTCAAGCAATGGTGTGACAGGCGTCAAGACCGTTTGAACAAAGAATCTGAAGAACGTCGCAAGAACCGTCCTACCGGTAGAGGTAACATCACTGGTCGTGAATTCTTTGAACGTAATGGTAGTAAGGTGAAGGATGTAGGTGATGCTGAGAATGAAGAGAACTGGGACTTCTCAGCCCTCCGTCGTGAAACAGAGGCTTTGCGAGACTCTCAAGAAAATAATGCTGCTACTGCTTAGACATTTTATAAACTCTAATTTTTTTTAAGTTTTGATATAATTATCTAAAAATTAAAAAAAATTGATTGTTGCGGTGTTTTAGAATGAGCCTATTTCGCAGGTGTTTTATTTATCTTTTTTCTCTCCCCTTTTGTACTATAAGAAGCGAAAGAAAAAAGAATGGGTTCATTCGTTTTTTGTTTTATTGTTAATATTCTATGGTTTATAAGGAGTGTTGATGTTAATTGGTTGTCTATGTTGTTTGGATTGGCTTTTTTATTGGGTATCCTGACTGGAGATTTCATTTAGTGAAGATAGAGGGCAACTTGTTTTTCACAAATAAAGCTATGGAAAAGTTGGATAGCTTAAGAAAAAAGTCGACAGGAGGTGATTTTGTTATATGTTTGAAACAAGAATAGTATAACAAGTTTGCCTCTTGGTAGTTTATGCTTCGGCGTTATAATGAATGTATTGGAAAATAAAATATTCTTGCAAGCTGTAATAACTTGTTCATCGGTTTTGCTCCTAACCTGTTTTGCGTCGATCGTATGCATAGTAGGTACAGACAGGAATTTCCAAGTTTACGAATTAAGTATGTTTCTGTTCATATAGGTGAAGCGAACAGTCTTTTTGTCTACTTGCACTTGTAAAGATTTGTAAGCTTATTCATGTTTGATAAATTTTGTTATTGTCTTTTTCATTGCCTTTTCAATTTTATAGCTATGTAAAGCAACTTTCACCAATCATACATGCATTACTGTAAATAGCGAATATCCTGTATCTCGTTATTTAATGCGATGAAAGGGAGCGTGCTGTGTTTTGGCTTGGCATCTGTTGATTCATAAAGATTTCTATGGAATTTGGCCGTTCGTTTCGAAAACATTGGTTAAAGTAGATACACGCTGTATATAAAAATATCAAGAGACTAAAATATATACGTTAAATAAAATAGATGTATAAATTCTGCAGGTTACATAACTAGTGCTACCTATAAATTTCAGAATGATGGTAAGTTGACCTTAACCATACACTGAAAATCAAGATGTCCAACGTTTTCTTCGACATTATTGCTAACGGCCAACCCTTGGGACGTATTGTCTTCAAGTTGTTCGACGACGTTGTCCCCAAGACCGCCGCCAACTTCCGTACTCTTTGCACTGGTGAAAAGGGCTTTGGCTACGCTGGATCCACTTTCCACCGTGTCATTCCCCAATTTATGCTCCAAGGTGGTGACTTCACTCGCGGAAACGGTACCGGTGGTAAGTCCATCTATGGTGAAAAGTTCCCTGATGAGAACTTCTCTTTGAAGCACAACAAGCCCGGTTTGTTGTCCATGGCTAACGCTGGTCCTAACACCAACGGATCCCAATTCTTCATTACCACCGTTGTTACTCCTTGGTTGGACGGTAGACACGTCGTTTTCGGTGAAGTCACTAGCGGTATGGATGTCGTTAAGAAGGTTGAAAGCTTGGGTTCTAACTCTGGTGCCACCCGTGCTCGCATTGTCATTGACAAGTGTGGTACTGTTTAATTTCCTTTCTGTTTATATGACGATTATGAGCGAAAAGAAAATAGTACATGATTTGCTAAACAAAAGTTGCAACCCTATTTTTTTGACTAGTCGTAAATCACTAAGTATGAGCGTAAAGTAGTAGCGCATAAATCTATTTTATTCTATATACCAAATCATTTTGAAAAGCATTTTCAAATTAAATACAATTATATAATTCGTAAAACATACAAAAGTGTGCGTGTTCTTACAGTAGTAACAGGGTAAGGCAAGGAATGGTACTAGATACTCTTCTATGTTGAAATAACGGGTTTAGATTTTAATGGCAAGTCTTTCTTTCGTGTGAGAAAAACGTTCTTTTCTTAAAGACTTGTCAAAAGCGTAGCGACACGACACTGAATTGAGTTCAGCAATAAATTGCCAAACTGGCTTTCTTGATCTACAAGTTTTTCTCCCATCTCCAATTGGTAATGCTTCCTTTTTCGGTTGCATATTTGGGATTTCTTTCGAGTAGTTTGAATCTCACGTTCCATGTTTTGCAAAATCTCTTCCAATGAGTCAATGTGATTTTTCCAGGCACTTTCTCCATGTTTTTTAAGCAATTCCAAATTGTCTTCCCGTGATCTTAGGTATTCCAAAGCTATCGCCGATTGCATTAGGCTTCCTGGATTTCCTGGAGCTTGTAAATTGATGTAACGATTTATATTAATCGACTGTAGTTTTTCTCCTCTACCGGCTGCTTGAACAGCATTTTGCATTCGCTCAGAGATTTTAAACGGCGTAGTAAACTCATCAAGAGAAGGATTAGGAAGCTTTGTTCCACCGGACCTTACTACTTCTTCTTCTACAAGCTTCATTGCGACTGCACGATCCTGTTCTTGGTACCCTTTTTCATAATCTAAATCATATTAGAAAAAACCATATATTAATAACTTTAACATACAAGGAAGTGCATCTAAAAATGGATGCGCCTGCATTTTATCAAGAAAACCTGGTTTCAATTGGTAAGGGAATGTAAAAGGTTTTACAAGGTGTTTACGCTTTGAGAAGACAAAGACGATATATAAAGAATTGGATGAAAAGAATTGGTTTTTATATGATTTAAATAATAAAATAAAAATTACACTACTTTAAGGAAGAATAATTGGATTCCATGAGGGTTTGCTAACAAAATCCTCATTCCATGTAGTCATCCATGCTACGTCTTGGAAATCCATTTGGAAGTCCATACAACCAGCATTTTCGCTAATACGATCTAGTTTTGTACTCATAAATATTGGTGAAATGTTCCGTTCCAAGCAGTAGCGCAATAGGAGCTGCGATGGTGTCCTCTTGTATTTGGCTGCCAAACTCAAGAGACGAACATCGTCAAGACGTTGTCCGGTAGTAAGAGGAGAAAATGCCATGACAGTAATTCCTTTCTTAAAACAGTATTCCTGTATTTCTATCTTGGTATTGAACGCCGACAACTCGATCTGGTTTACCGCCGGGAGAGGAAGTTGTGAAACACCAATTTCTTCTAAATGGTGAATGTTATAGTTGGAAACACCGATTTTTCGAACAATTCCTTGTTTCTTCAATTCAAGGAGCGCTCGCCAAGATTCCAGACGTCGCTCAGGCCATTTGGGAGAATGTATTAAAACTAAATCCAAAAATGGCCGGTCTACACGCCGTAAAGATTGAAGAGTTGCTTTCCATGTTCGTTCAAATCCTTGCATGGAGTCAGGAATCTTTGTTACTAATGTAATATCATCTCGGGTTACGTCCGGGTTGCTTTTACAAAAGTCTTGAATCGCACATTCACAATCTCGTTCATTACGATAACTTATTGCACTGTCAATTAACCTTATTCCCAATGACAGTGCCTTATATACTTGTTGATAGCAATCCTTTAGTTGATAAACTCCAAAACCAAGTTGGCTATGGGTATCAAATGTGCTTTTGCTCGGGTTCATAGCAAATGCTAAATTTTGCGACCTTCGATGCAAAAATTTTGTTTACAAGGTTACTATTTAAGCTTTGAGGATAAGAAATAAAATAAGAAAATATAGTTCATTAATTATATAACACTAAGTATCTATTCAAACGTAAGATAACTGGGCCATACTAATTCATCTTCGATAATTCTTTTTACTTTCTGTGATACATAACGCTCCACCTTAGCAACGTTTTTTAAAAGCTGTCGATTTGATTCTCCAATAACACTTTCAATTTTGAGATATTTAATTACGCTTGAAGCATTCTCTTCCGTACCGTGAGCCAAAGTGTCGACGAAGCAAAGGTTGATACGAGACCCCATTTTCGCTAACACAGCGATTGCGTCAATGGAAATTTCTTTGAATACTAGTTGAAATGGAAGACTAACAAATTCGGAATTAGGGTAGTTGATAGATATACTTGCTTCCAAACTTAAACTAGCATTCCCGTCGTATTGAACATGGACTGTCACTTGAAAGTCGTCCGAACGGTTTCGTTCTTCACGATTTTTTGAAGCTGGTATAGGACGTTCCTCCCTAAGGGGACTTGTAAGTCCGCTAGCTGATATAATCCCAGGTGTGCTAATTGCTGGATGAAAATAAGCAAGCCTTGGAAACCTGTACTCGGCGCCGTATGGAGGTAAGTCAGAAGTCGAGGTCGGAAAAGTCGTTCTCAAAGATGTATCACCTTCTAATTCATCATTCACCTGATCCAATATTTCATCTTCGTAGAACTGAGGATCGGGATCTCCTATATCCTCAATATTTATTTCAGGTGGTATGTCTCCGAAATGAAATCCGGTAACCTTTAGGTTTTTGATGTAGCTTGGTAGATCTAGCTTTGAAACTCGATCTTCTAGTATATGAAAGAGCCTTTCTTCTAACTCTGAATCAAGCTTAGACCATTCAAATTCAATAGACATTAGATCGTTAAGTTACCGAGATTACTTTCAATTGAGACTAAGCTTCATTTGAAATTCCCTAGTCTTGTTAAATTTAGAAAATATAAACGAGCTGTTAACAAGTTATACCCAAAGAGAATGAAATGTCAATAAAGGAGGTTATAAGGTAAATGGTTCGTGTCATCGGATACAGAACGTTATCGTGAGTCTGGTTTCTGAGTTTGTGTTTCTTCCTTTTTCAATGCGTATATTATGCTTAAGTCTTCTTAATTAATCATTTCGTATAATCTAGCTTATCATACAGATATTGCAAGTAAATCTCACACTTCTCATATAGACAATCTTTGATTTATAAAATTGAAGAGAACGAATTCTTCCTGTACAAAACTATCAAGGAATCTTAATTGCAACGTTCAGTGTATTTACTTGGATTTCGTGGTAGCTTAAAGTATCCCTCTCCCAACATATTCTCAAACCATAGTTTAATAACAGCCTTTTCCGTAGGAAACGCGTTAGTATTAAACTTTATAAAAATTTAATTTAATTTAATTTTCGTGTAGTTACATCTCTTTTGCTACGAAGGAAATTCGTGAAACCACGCGTCAAAGATATATTTAGAGCCAAATACAAGGAACAAGGCTCATTACAAACACATATAACAATGGAAAAGGGTGAAGATAATACGGAATTAGGAATTGAGGCTGATGTGAACTTGACAGGTTCAGCATTGATCGATAACAATAGTAAACAATCAGAGGAGGCCCAGAATATCAATACTGAACTTCCTCCCACACCTTCACGAGATGATCCTGAACTTAAGCCGACTACTCCAAATATCTCTCAGGATAATAGTGATTTACCATCGTTATCAGACATGGAGAAACACAATCCAAATGCCCCATTAAACCCTCCTAATCCAAGGAAACGAGCTAGGGAAGCAAAATCTGTTTTACTAAAGCCGTTCAAGAGCCCTCTTAAATATCCCGCGACACCGAAATCAACTCCTGGAACTTCAAAAGTAAGTAATTATACATCCGATGAGTTGAAATCGTCTGATGAAGTTTCATCTGATCCCGTCTCATCACCTTCCCGCCCTCCTCCAAGAGTAATTAAACGAGCAAAAAAGACTTTTCGCTCCCCAGTATCTTCTGGTAGTAAAGTACAAAGTGATCCTGAAGTTGCGCGTCTTCTATCAGAGCGTCTAATACTCGAAAAGGATGTACGCAACCTTCAGGAACAATTAACAACGGCTGAAACCGCGAAAAAAGTGGAATCTAAAAATGAAGATAAAGATTTGGAGGCTTTAGTATATAAGTGGAGGGGTGTGGCCCAAAGAGCAGCACAGGTTCTGTATCAACCTATGGCAGAGCGTATCCGTTTAGCTGGTGGAGTTATGCAAAAATATACTATTCAAGAAGGTGAGGATGCAGGACAAATAGAAGAAAAACGCACTGAGTTTACAATGGGAATGTTTTTACATCAATTTGGCGTGCCTTTTGATTTAATTGCTTACGACGAAGAATTGGAGGATTGGAAGAATTGAAAGATAACCAACCTTGTATATAAAGTTTTATGATCTTCATGATTGTCTGTTAATTTTCGAAAAAGATAACTTATTCCAAAGTTACTTTAGATCCCAGCAAGTACAAAGATTAGTCTCGTACATGAATACTTCTTTCTGTTATATATATTATTTATTTTAAATATTAATAAATTATGTTATTAAAAAAAGGGTCTATAACGAACGATGGCTTGTATCCAAAATAGTATTATAGGAATTTCTAAACTAAAATCATGTAAAATATATTCATCGTATATGTATCAGGAAGAAAAACAACAGGAGTAAACGAAAATAAATCCAATATACAATTAGTACGTTATTTAACCGTTAACTGCATCATTTGAAGAAGCTAGCTAGCATGTTCACTTTGGATTTGATTACCTAAGTGTATTTGACTCCTCCTTGATTGTTGATGTCGCTTCATTAGAACATAACCAACGATAACCACAAGTAATGTTACAGACAATGTCTCAATAAACTTTCTATCCAACGTGTTCATGTCAGCCAATATGGTTTCTGAGGCACTTGTGCTTGAAGGTACCTCTGATGCTGTTTCCGTATTCGAAGATTCTAACCCTTCTACGTGCGAAGGGATGCTTTCTAGAAATGAGGTGTCAAGTAGGTTATTACTCGTTTTATTTCGTACAAAACTTGAACTTAAAAACAAAATAACTTTTTGAGTACTCTTTAAAACTCCCAGGATAATTGACCGTGTAGCATAATATATCACGGAAAACTTGGAATCGGGATGACTTAGCTTCATTCGTAGTCTAGCCAGAAGGATAGCTAGAAAACCTCTATGGCTTATTTCTAATGAGATGTCGTAATTTTTTTTGGCCATTTCAAAGTCTCTTGGGATCCCACGTCCGTACTCATGCATTTCCCCTAGGCGCCAGTAGGCTAACGAAGAACCACCTGTTGTAGCAGCCTGAGTATATAAAGTAAAAGCTAAGCCAAAATCTGTTGGTGTTCCTATCCCGAATTGATAAAAGTCAGCAACCTTTATTAATGAATCATGGTGATGCCTCACGGCAGCTCGAGAATAATAGGTCAATGCTATTTGTGCCTCGCGATACGTAGTATTAGTATAAGGAAAAATAGCGTTTTTTAAATATGATTTAGAAGGGTCAACGTTTTTTCCTGCTAATACTTGTGACATAACGCTTCCCAGCTCAGCAGAAATTCGGGTAAAAAAATACTTCACCTTTGCATCCATAGACAACGTCCGAAAATCGAAATACATCTGCAATGTTCGACCGATAAAGTGTTTGTGAAATGCGATCGCTTTTTCTTGATTACTATCCGAGTAAAGGTAAGCAAGATATAAAGCTGCTTCTAAATTGGATCCTTCAAATGCATGAAGAAAATAATCAAGGGCCTCCTCGATTTTGTTCTGTGAAATAGCTATTTTCCCTGCAATTGTGTACGCAATCGGATCTCCCTGTGCTATAGCTTCACGTAACAATTGCTTGGCTTGTGATTCATCCATAGCAACTTGATAATTCATAAAATACAGATATGCAAGGGCTGATCGAGAAGAGGAATGATTCAAAGATTTTCCAAACTCGAACCAATTGAACGCAGCGGCTGGATTACGATTTCCGAGATCGCCATGTAATTCCATACATCCGAGATTAAACGCAGTGTTGGCGATACTGTCCACATTCTCCATAGCATGTCTAGGGAAGCCATTCTTGTTTTCTTCTTTTATCTGTACTATCGCTTTTTCAGAAACTTCAGATATTCCTGGATATGCAAGCCGAAGAGCAGACAAATAATGCTTCATTGCTAAAGCAGGTTTCCTTGCTTTGCCTAGTTGACCACGGTGGTACACAGCTGCTAAATTAAGATAGGCAGTAATGTTATTTCCATTCACTGCAAAATCGTTCAAGAATTCTAGCATATCATCTCTTATATTTAGAATGCTAGAATCCGAAGATTGTCGTCCATTAAGATCGTACACATCAACAGGGTAATCATTCGCCATATCTCTAGCAAAATGAGTTAATGGCTGCACTAGTGAAGTTACCTGCTCTGAAACTTGTCGGTAATAGCTTAATCCTTTATCTAATTGTTTGGTAGTCCCAATTCCTGTCGTATACCGATATCCAAGAGCAAGCAATGCATAAGTATAATTTTGTTTTGCAGATAATTCTAAGTATAGCCTTGATAATGCTTCATCTTGTGGTAGCTGAATGATTAAATTGTCATCAGGACCCATTGCATATAGCATTCCCACTAAAAATTGAGACTTCGAGTCACCCGCAATAGCATCGTACATTAGTCCCTTAGGATCATTCCTAAATTTTTCTGTGGCATTTGTGACCAATTCTAACAGCGGAATGATATCGTCTCTAAATCCAGATGAATCGGCTCCTGTTGAATCTGCTGAAATAGCTTTCTTATCGACTAGGTCATATGGGAATGTTGACCCTTCACCAAGCACACATTTTAGAGTAAAACACGAAAAATAAATTAAAATTATGAATAATAGCATAGGCTATTTCTTATAAATCTAAGCTAATGTAAGCTGCTGCAGTAAAAACGTTCATCATCAAGGTTTGGGTGCATGGCGAAACAGGTGACGATGTTACTTTGTAAATAAACAGAGTAAAATAATTAATGAATATTTTTATTCGCTGATAGATTGCAACTGTGTTATTTGACTTCCAGTTGTTAATGCTTATTGATAAATAGGAAACTTCTGATTTGATGCTTCACTAAGTTTCAATATACTTTCAACTGTAAATATCCTTTTAGACATTTGCACATAAAGAAGTACATAAAGTGTTTAGAAAAAACTTGACAGGAAGGATTTCTATATATATAATAAAAAAATACCACGATACATAATTCATGAATGCTCAAACGCACACCTCTTCAGTTACTTTTCATACGAATATTTGAAATATTAAAATAACGATACATCGCTTGTTCTCGCTAATATATATTATTTTCGATGGCGGTACTACCATCGTCTACGAATTATCCTTCCACATATAAGGTATCTGACTTCACCACCATGTCTAATTCTATTGTGGTAAGTAAATGTTAGCTTTTATCGATTTACTGACAGAATATAGGGTGAAGTTTACCAGCATGTCATTCTTGATGTAATTGCGAATTCAAGAACAGATTTTGAGGAAAACGGTGTTGATGAAGCCACTCTTCAAGAATTGCAAAATGTAAGAAAAATTTTTTGGGAAGAAATTAGGTTAACATATAAGTTATGGCAAGGAAAGCTAGTCGCTACAAATGTCGCAACTTTTCCATGGGCTCAAGCCCCAGTTGGAGCGTTTCCTATCGGTCAACTTTTTGATCCCGTTACTGGTTTACGGACTGATTCTTTAGATGTTGCAGCTGCAGCTGCAGCTGGCGCGACGAATTCACCTATTTTGAATAATATAGCCGCCATACGAGCAGTCCAACAAATGGATTCATTGGCTCAGCAACATGGTGGTTCTCCTTTTTATCCTTCTCCTAGTTCTGCAGGTTTAAATCAAACAACTCAACCTGATGCTTCTACAGAAGGATCGTCGCTTTCTGATATTCCAAATAATATCAACACCCCTTTTACATCTTTTAACAAAAACACATCTCTACAGTTACCGTCCAATCCCAATTCTGATAACCCGCCTAATAATTTGTCCTCAAGTGTTATGCCTCCTTCTTCTGACAGGGCAGTTCCCCAAGATCCAAATTTATCTAATAATAACGCATTTGGCGGGCTTTTATTACCTAATCAGAATTCTGTAAAAAATGAGTCGCCTGAGTCATTACAGCAGCCGGGACCTTCAGAACAGTCTGAGAAACAAGACATACCACAGTCAGATGGTACTCTACTAGAGGATGATACAGAAGAGCATATAATTTCAGAAAATAGCAAGTATGAATTGGCTCACGATGCAGACAAAAGGATAAAGGAGATGCTTGCTAATAATCGGGTATTGCAGATAGATGGTACTTTTGATGATAATGAGGAGGAAAAAAAGACAAGTCCTGGCACTCCTTCCGATGAAGCCATCAATTCCGATCTTGATGACCCTGATTCTGATGAGGCTCCAGAAGCCGATGAGGGATCAGACGTAGGACAAGCAATAGTACTTTGTTTATACGATAAGGTAAATCACCACAAAAACAAATGGAAATGTGTTTTTAGAGACGGTATTGTCGGCGTGAATGGGAAGGATTACTTATTTTTTAAAGCTAATGGAGAATTTGAATGGATTTAAGATCCTTTGTTAGTGCTTATCTATGATATGTTTTCTTGTTCGCAATGCTCATTTGAATTTCTGAAATTGTATTGCGAACTGTATATGAATTTGTGTCTATGAATTGCCTCATATTGCATTTTAAAGGTTTAATAATAAATGAATTTTTTGTCAATTAGAAGTTTATAAAGGTTTAAATATTATCCGCAAGTCGAGAACAGGGAAGCATTGATACTCGTAAACATAATATTATTCATTCAAAGACCAAAAGTAAGGTTGTAATCTACATTGTCCAATAGTCCGCCGAAAGGAGATGTATTTGTATTTCTGTCATCGGGTTTTCCAAATAGAGAATCCGGTGTTCGAAGACAATCATTTTGTAGTCGATTATGGAATAAGGGCTGTAATTTTTCTAACCATAGAGATCGTTTGTCCATTAATGATTTAATAGTTGCATAAGAACTTGTTGCAGAAGCATTTATTTTTTCATTAACAATTCTTTTCTTCTTTACCTTCAAAGTTCTGTTTCGTTTCATATATGCATTTTCAATCTGTTTGTCCAAGTCATCTAACACGGCTGAAAATTCTTGAAAGGCCATTTCTTCAGGCAAAAGCTCTAAAATCTTTTGCTTTCTTTGTTGATTTTCTTCTTCAACCCTTTTTAGACGGCACTGTAGTGACCTTAGTGTTTCAGATATTTGGTCATCTTGCCTTTTTGTCCAATCAATATCATCATCGTATATAACACCAAAAGATCGAAGTCGATTCCGTAACCTTTCTTCATAAAACGAAAAGTCTGATTCGAAAAGAATAGACAATTCATTGTTCATACCGTTCATTTCTTCCTTTTCAGCTTCTATTTCCTCTATACCCTCCTTTTTGACATGAGATCCATTCGCATGATCACTTCCATTTACAAGTGTGTTCATTTTATTTTGATTGGATACATCATCAGGAAGCAGCGATGCAAGTAACCTTTCTGTTAATGGGCCGCAACTGATATCTTCACCTGCTGTATCAACTTCCTGAAGCATTTCGATGGAACCATGAGGCATAGTTTTAAGGCTTTGATAAATAGAAGCAGAGCAAAGATTACTAATATCATCTTCCTCGGGGATTTCAGGAAACCGTTCACCCAGAGGAGGGTTTTGATAACTCTTTGAATTATCTGAAGTTTCCTTCAAAAAATTAATATCGTCATCATTCAAATTGCGGAAATAAGGGTCTAAAAAAGAATAAAACGTAGATATTGAGATTTGGTTGTTTGGTTTACTATTAGAGAAATCCTCTGTAACCGGGGTACCAGCAACTAAACAGCGTACATCCTTTTTAGGAAAAGATGAAACACATAGCAAGTCCTTTTTTTCCTCGTAAGTCATATGGTCATCAACAATAAAAGATATAAGAGAACCTGTTGTAAGTTCACTTGCCGATTTATAACAAGCACCTGTCTGATTATCCTTGCTTTTCACAGGCAGGTCAATATTTTCTTGAGAGATTTCTAAAGGCTGCTCCACTGGATTTTTTTCTGCTTTAGGTTCATCAGCTGTCTCGTCCGCAGGTAAGCCTTTGTGTTTTTTTGACGCCGATGAGTCGTCTTGAGCCTCAAGTACCGAGGAAACCGTCCGCTTTTCCTCTTTTACTTCGCCTACATTCAAAGACTCGGACGGTTGATCCTCCGATATCGGGGAAGCTTTCGATGAGTGGTACGGCGATTTGGAACTTTTAAATTGCTCCCCAAATTTAGAAAAGAACTCTTCAGATTCATCATTAAATTTTGAGATCTTTTGAAGTTCAAATAATAACTTCCATAGCATAGATACATGGGGAACAGACTGAGAATTGGAAATTTCATTAAGAGCATACAGAAACTTTTCTGAATCGGTCAAGCTATCATTATTCAGAGAGCTTACAGGAGCATTATTATTAGTATCTGTTTTTTGGTTTAATGACATTAGAATGAACCCTCTTCTTATTCAACAAATTCAAGACATCAAACTGCTCCCTTTTTACAGACGATGTCTTTGGTGGAGCAAAACCTTTCTTCGGTAAATTGCGTAATATAAATTAATAAATATAATTACACTGCATTATAGCATGTATAAAACCACTGTTCGTAGCGCTTTATATGAAAAGTTCTCACTGTTATCGCAATAAAGAGGTTACTGTGATTTATTGTTATAGGGGTACTCAGTTCAAGTGTATGGAAAGAAAGCATTAGAGAAAATCAAGAGAACTCAAGAAATTGACATTAATAATTAAGAATCCTAAAAGATATCATTCAAATCTTCTTTGACTTCATTATATACATCATGCAAGATATGATCTAAAACGTTATGTTTTGTCCGAGATTGAATTTTACAAAATGGATAACTAACATCTATGTACATCTGTCTCCTTATTTGGAAAACAAGTTATACGTATTAATATTATATCAACGAGTATTTAATGTTCTCGGTTTTGCTGTACCTCCTTAGCACTAGCATACCAGATATCCTTACCAGTAATAACCGTTAAGTAAGGGGTGTACAGCCACAACGGGTTTACCACCACCAAAAATTTCGACTACCGCTTTCCTTGCTTCACGGTCTTTTGGTAGCTGACAAATTACTGATAATAAAAGTAATTTTTTGTAAATTATAGCTATATCTAAACAAAACAGGAAAATGGCAGAAGAGCACGGTAATCTTCAAAAGGTATGTTTATTAAGTCTTTATGAGCGCGAATGTCTCGAGTATGATATTGTGCAATAGTTAATTTAACCCACCAATAATTTATGACATTAACAAATATATTAGCTTTCAAACTCGGTTTCTAAACTTGAGGACGCTTTTAAATTAGCTTTAGGAGCATGCCAAGACATCAAAGAATTCCTTCCTATTCTTATAGCTGAGAAAGGGGCTGCTGGTAAACCTCAGGGAAAGACCGATAAAAATGAAAAGCTTGAAAAGCCTAAACAAACTACAAACAAGGAATCAGCTACTTCAACTACCAAAAACGCTGATGTAGAAGGATCTGTTGCACCTGCTTCTGCTGTGCCAGCAACTTCTTCTGTAGAGCCAGTAGCTAGTGCTTCCCCAACCCCTAGCAAGCGCAAAGCTAGAGATCCTGCTCAACCAAAGCGCCCTCCTACCGCTTACAACTTGTTCCAAAAGAATCAACGATCTGAAATTAAGGATTCTTTGGGTGAGAAAGGAAATGACGTGAAGGAAGTCAACAAAGCGATGCATGAAAAGTGGACATCTTTGAACGAAAATGAACGCAAGCCTTTTGAAGATGAGGCTGCAAAGCTTCGTGAAACTTACGATGCCGAGATGACCGCTTTCCAAGCTTCCAGAGAATCTGCTTCTTCACCCGCTCCTGTCCCTGTAGCAGCAGCCGAAGCCGAATCCCAAGGTAATCAAGTTGCCGTATCCATGCCTACTACCCCTGCCAACAAGGACTACGTTGAATTCTCCGAAACAAGACCTTTAGCTCAGGCATCCTTGTCATCTCCCGTCACTACTTCTAAAAAGCAAAATAAGAAGAAGCGCTCAAGTACCAACGCTCCCGTTGAACCCCAACTTCAACAAGAAGAGGGATCTGCAGCTGCTGACAAAACTGAAGCTAACCCTTCTCCGTCAGTTGCGAAGCGTGACAAGAAGAAACGCCGTAAAAGTTCTGTTAACACTAACAATGCTCCAACCGCTACAGCAGCTTCTAATTAATCAGTTGGAAAATTCCTCAGTTGTGAATTTTTGTATAACACTCAGGTACTTTAATTTCTTTTATCTTTTAACTAGAACTTCATTGCTAATGTTACGTTTCAAACGTATTCGAAACCTTTTCTGGGGTTTCTACCTTTGTACATATCAAATTATCTGCGAACAAAACTGGCTGTCCTTAATAAGATGTACTGTAACTGTAGGTTTTCATCTCTCTCAGCGGAACCAGTCTTCTGCCTTATTTGAAGTTTGTTATTGACATTTGGATTTTATTAATTTAAAAAGAAATATATAGCTGTACTTATTGCGCGAAGGGTCAGTGTTTCAACTTACTAAAGTATTATTGTAACTTAAAAGCAGAAACATATAACAAATTTCCCTAAGAAATGCTTCTGGTAGATGAAGCTATCGAAGATGCAATAGGTGGCGATAATAAGAATAACGATTAATACTGAGACTCGTTATGTTTAGTCTGTACAGACTAGTATTACCAATATTAAATTTTCCAGAGGACGTACAACCACCTAATCTTTGCAACTCAGGTAGAATGAGCGGGATTCAGGTAAGAAAGCAATTTTAATTGTTTATTAACATCCAGTTTTCACCTTCATCTGTCCCCCTTCGGTATGGAATTAATTTTAAAGCGTTAGGGTGATAAATTAACAGTTATAGCCGGGTCGAAGAGGTCCAATTTGGAATCTTGTCTCCGGAGGAGATTCGGTCCATGAGTGTCGCGAAGATTGAAGTAAGTATCTCATATTTGAGTTTCCATGTTAACAATACTAGTTTCCCGAAACGATGGACGAAACTGGTCAACGTCCTCGAGTTGGTGGACTTTTGGATCCTCGTTTGGGCACCATAGGTATGAGGATTGATATGCCTTATGTGTATGTTCGCTAACATAAAAAAGATCGACAATTTAAATGTCAAACATGCGGTGAATTGATAGCTGAATGTCCTGGACATTTTGGTAAGGAAAATTACCCGTTAGTGGGATTACGAAAACTAACATTATTTAGGTCATATCGAACTTGCTAAACCTGTATTTCATATCGGATTTTTGAGTAAAATAAAAAAGATTTTAGAGTGTGTTTGCTGGAACTGCGGCAAACTAAAAATTGACCCTGTAAGTTATCGAAACTATGCCAAAATCAACACGATTATTAACATGATTTCAGTCAAATCCAAAATATCAAGAAACACAACGATATCGTGATCCGAAAAACCGACTTAATGCTGTATGGAACGTTTGTAAAACCAAAATGGTTTGTGACACGGGCTTGTCTGGTGGCTCGGATAATTTTGATCCTAGTAATCCCACAGCAAATTTGGGTCATGGTGGTTGCGGAAGTGCCCAACCAACGATTCGTAAAGATGGATTGAAATTGTGGGGTTCGTGGAAAAAAGGAAAAGACGAATCCGATCTTCCCGAAAAACGTCTTCTTACTCCTCTTGAAGTTCACACCATATTTACACATATTTCTTCAGATGACTTAGAACGGTTGGGCCTTAATGAACAGTATGCACGCCCAGACTGGATGATTATTACCGTTTTACCAGTCCCCCCACCCAGTGTTCGCCCTAGTATTTCAGTAGACGGGACTAGTCGTGGTGAAGATGATTTAACGCATAAACTATCTGATATAATAAAAGCCAATGCCAACGTTCGAAGATGCGAACAAGAAGGAGCGCCGGCCCATATCGTGTCTGAGTATGAACAATTATTACAGTTCCACGTCGCTACATATATGGATAACGAAATTGCAGGCCAGCCCCAAGCCCTTCAGAAGTCTGGCAGACCTCTGAAAAGTATTCGTGCTAGACTTAAAGGTAAAGAAGGACGTTTGCGTGGCAATTTGATGGGTAAACGTGTCGATTTTTCAGCTCGTACTGTTATTACTGGTGATCCTAATTTGTCATTGGATGAATTAGGTGTTCCTCGAAGTATTGCAAAGACCTTAACTTACCCCGAAACGGTTACTCCTTATAATATTTATTACCTTCAAGAACTTGTTCGAAACGGTCCAGATGAACATCCTGGAGCTAAGTATATTATTCGAGATACCGGTGAAAGAATTGACCTAAGATATCACAAAAGAGCTGGCGATATTCCTTTGAGATATGGCTGGCGGGTTGAAAGACATATCCGAGATGGTGATATCGTTATTTTCAATAGACAGCCATCATTACATAAAATGAGTATGATGGGTCATAGGATACGAGTTATGCCTTATTCAACCTTTAGACTAAACTTGTCAGTAACATCACCGTATAACGCTGATTTTGATGGTGATGAGATGAACATGCACGTACCACAATCCGAAGAAACAAGAGCCGAAATCCAAGAGATTGCCATGGTCCCTAAACAGATTGTTTCACCACAGTCAAATAAACCAGTAATGGGTATTGTTCAGGACACATTGGCCGGTGTCCGAAAGTTCTCATTACGTGACAATTTCTTAAGTCGTGAAGCGGTTATGAATATTATGCTTTGGGTGCCAGGATGGGATGGAGTTGTTCCTCCGCCGGTAATAGTTAAGCCTAGACCTTTATGGACTGGTAAACAAATTTTGAGCTTGGTGATTCCTAAAGGTATTAATCTCATGAGGGAAGATGACAAACAAGGAATGCTTAACCCATCAGATTTGGGCATGCTAATTGAAAATGGTGAAATTATCTATGGCGTTGTTGACAAAAAAACTGTTGGAGCTTCTCAAGGTGGTTTGGTACATACAATTTGGAAAGAGAAGGGACCTGACACCTGCAAGGGTTTCTTCAATGGTATTCAACGAGTTGTAAATTACTGGTTACTGCATAACGGATTTAGTATTGGTATTGGTGATACCATAGCTGATGCTGATACCATGCGTGAAGTGACTAGAACCGTTAAAGAAGCTCGTTCGCAAGTCGCAGAGTCGATTCAAGATGCTCAACATAACAGATTAAAGCCTGAGCCTGGTATGACACTACGTGAGTCTTTTGAAGCCCAGGTTTCACGCATTCTTAACCAAGCCAGAGACAATGCCGGTAGATCTGCAGAGCACAGCTTGAAAAATTCTAATAATGTGAAGCAAATGGTGGCAGCAGGTTCAAAGGGATCTTTCATCAATATTTCACAAATGTCTGCCTGTGTAGGCCAGCAAATTGTAGAAGGAAAGCGAATTCCATTTGGTTTTAAACATAGAACCCTTCCTCACTTTCCTAAAGATGATGATTCACCCGAGTCTCGTGGATTTATTGAAAATTCATACTTGCGTGGCTTAACACCTCAAGAGTTTTTCTTTCATGCAATGGCTGGAAGAGAAGGTCTGATTGATACTGCCGTAAAAACTGCCGAAACTGGTTATATTCAGCGTCGTCTTGTAAAAGCAATGGAGGATGTAATGGTACGATACGACGGCACCGTACGCAATGCAATGGGAGACATTATTCAGTTTGCGTATGGTGAAGATGGATTGGATGCAACCCTGGTTGAATATCAAGTTTTTGATTCTTTGCGCTTATCTAATGAGCAATTTGAAAGGAAGTACAAGATTGACTTGATGGAAGACAGGAGTATATCTCAATTTATGGAAAATTCTATTGATAATGATCCAGATGTGCAAGATTTGCTTGATGCTGAGTTTGCTCAACTCTCAAATGATAGAGATCTTCTTTGTAATTTTATTTTCCCTAAAGGTGATGCTAGATGGCCAATGCCTGTTAATGTGCAACGAATTATTCAAAATGCTTGCCAGATTTTCCATTTAGAATCTCGCAAACCATCCGATCTTTTGCCCGGAGATATTATTCAAGGTTTAAATGAACTCATAAATAAGTTGAAAATATTCCGCGGTGATGACCGAATCACTCAAGATGTACAAAATAACGCTACATTACTTTTTCAAATACATCTGCGTTCAAAGTTTGCTGTTAAGCGGGTTATCACTGAATATCATTTGAATAAAGTTGCATTTGAATGGATTATGGGTGAAGTCGAAAGTCGATTTCAGCAAGCGGTGGTAAGTCCAGGAGAAATGGTTGGTACCTTAGCTGCGCAATCTATTGGTGAACCTGCAACTCAGATGACTTTAAATACCTTCCATTATGCTGGTGTTTCATCAAAGAATGTCACTTTGGGTGTTCCTCGTCTCAAAGAAATTCTTAACGTTGCAAAGAATATTAAAACACCATCTTTGACTATATATTTATTACCCCATATATCGTCTAATATGGATCTGGCTAAGAATATTCAAACTCAAATAGAGCATACTACTTTAAGCACGGTCACATCTGCTACTGAAATTCATTACGATCCTGATCCACAAAATACGGTGATTGAAGAAGATAAAGATTTTGTTGAAGCCTTTTTTGCTATTCCTGATGAAGAGGTTGAAGAAAATTTGTGGAAACAATCACCGTGGTTACTGAGATTAGAACTTGATCGTGCTAAGATGCTTGACAAAAAGCTAAGTATGAGTGACGTGGCAGGAAAGATTGCGGAGAGTTTTGAGCGCGATTTATTCACTATATGGTCAGAAGACAATGCCGACAAGTTGGTAATCCGTTGTCGTATTATTCGTGATGACGATAGAAAAACTGAGGAGGATGACAATTTAATTGAAGAAGATGTCTTTTTGAAGACAATTGAAGGACACATGTTGGAAAGTATCAGTTTGAGAGGTGTTCCCAATATTACCCGTGTATACATGATGGAACACAAGGTTATTCGACAAAAGGATGCTGGTATATTTGAAAGAGGTGATGAATGGGTTTTGGAAACTGATGGAATCAATTTGACCGAAGCGATGGCTGTTGAAGGTGTTGATTCTTCTAGAATTTACTCTAACTCATTCGTTGAAATCCTGCAAATTCTTGGAATTGAGGCAACTAGATCTGCCTTACTTAAGGAACTCAGAAACGTTATTGAATTTGATGGATCTTATGTAAACTATCGACACTTAGCTCTCCTTTGTGATGTGATGACTTCTCGTGGTCATTTAATGGCAATTACTCGTCATGGTATCAACCGCGCTGAAACTGGTGCTTTAATGAGATGCTCTTTTGAGGAGACTGTAGAAATCTTAATGGATGCGGCTGCGAGTGGAGAGAAAGATGACTGTAAAGGAATTTCAGAGAATATTATGCTCGGCCAAATGGCACCAATGGGTACTGGTGCATTTGATGTTTATCTTGACCAGGGCATGTTGATGAATTACAGTTTGAATGCACCTGCGGCTTCAATAGCAGTTGGTGAATACGGTAAATCACAAATTCCGGAGGGTTCTGCTACACCTTATGAGCGGTCACCAATGGTTGATTCTGGTTATCTTAGCTCGTCTGATGCAGCAGCATTCTCACCATTGATTCAAAGCGGACCTGAAGGTCGAGATGGTTTAGGTGAATATGGAAATATGCTCGGTGCTAGTCCTTTCCATTCTGTCAAATCACCTGGTTACACTAGCCCGTTCTCCAGTGCTATGAGTCCTGGATATGGCTTAACATCTCCAAGTTACAGTCCATCATCACCAGGATACTCTACATCTCCTACCTATATGCCTTCTAGTCCATCCTATTCGCCTACAAGTCCCTCATACTCTCCCACTAGTCCTTCTTATTCTCCAACCAGTCCTTCATACTCTCCTACAAGTCCCTCTTACTCTCCTACTAGTCCTTCATACTCTCCTACTAGTCCCTCATACTCTCCTACTAGCCCCTCATACTCTCCTACTAGTCCTTCATACTCTCCTACTAGTCCCTCATACTCTCCTACTAGCCCCTCATACTCTCCTACTAGCCCCTCCTATTCTCCTACTAGCCCTTCTTATTCTCCTACTAGTCCTTCATACTCCCCTACAAGCCCATCCTACTCTCCTACTAGTCCATCTTACTCTCCAACCAGTCCATCTTATTCTCCAACCAGTCCTTCTTATTCTCCAACTAGTCCTTCTTATTCTCCAACCAGTCCTTCTTATTCTCCAACCAGTCCTTCTTACTCTCCTACTAGTCCTTCTTACTCTCCTACCAGTCCTTCCTATTCCCCTACTAGTCCGTCTTACTCTCCTACTAGTCCTTCCTATTCCCCTACTAGTCCTTCTTACTCTCCTTCTGGACAGTCGTAAGTTAGGTTCTACGTTCCGTTGTGACTCATGGTTGAGAAAATTGTCAATTGTTTAGACTGAAGTTATGTAATATGATTCTGGAAGTCTCAATTAAACACTTTCAAAAAAAGAAAAAAAAAAGAAGTTTGAATAAAAAGAAAGAAAAAGGAAGAGAATCTACGAATAGCTACCGCAATGAGAAGGTCCCTTATTGTTTACTACTAGCAGTAAAATATGATATGAAGTAAATTTATGCTTGCTGTTTAATCAATTTTGATAGTTATTTTACATAATATCATTTGATATTTTGTATTTTGTGTAAAAAATAAAGTAAATCAAATTAGAATGAGCGTAAAGTAACGATTTTAAAGAAAATATTTGAACTTACTTCCTTTCACTTTATATTCCCTAAACGATTAATATCGAAAGTAGATATTGTGCCAGTAGATGTATGTGAGTAAGCTCTATATACCTTGAGTCCAATTATGTAGTTTGCTTCAGGTGATGCTTGGTTTAGTTACACAAACTGTATGACCTCTCAGAAATGCTAGCAAGTCGTGATTCAATAGAACTACTTCCAAAGAACTTGCCCATTCTTCAAACATTTATCGGTTTATAAGTTGAGGATATGAAATATCTGTTCTGAAAGTAAAGTTTCTTAATACAGTTAGGGTCTGGTATAAGTTAATATACTACTCTGAAGTTGTCATCCATTGCCTCAATGATTCCTACAACCATTGATTTTTGCTAAAGATAAAGAGAGTGAATTTTAGTCTACGTCTTCAACCTATACTTCATCTCAATTGTGCCTGAGAACATTGAGTTTTTTGTTACCAACCACATGTTATATATATGAATGATGTTCTCATTTTTACCTAAAAAATAAAACATGTCAGTAGCAACATTATCGAAGATTAGAAAGTTCAATGCTTACTAGCTTTAATTATTTTCAATGTTAAAAGGCAAGTTTGAGAAAGTGAACTATTTGTTAAATACTCAAATTATGTCTAGTATACGACGCAATGAGCAAACGGCTTTGTAAGTATTTCAAATGGGTTTTCAAAATTGTATGTATGGACTCTATTAAGCATGGTATTTTGGCATGGAAAATACCAAGAAAACTCATGTAAATTGGTTGGAAAGCAAATTTATCAAACGCATAACGATTTCTTTGATAATACTCATACATTACTTTGAGTACCAATGGTTCCATGTCTTACATTACAGATATGATGAAATTAAAATTTCAATTCGTCTATGTTGATAAATGATTAAGGGCAAAGTTGAAGACTCGCTGTATATGGCTAGCCACAACAGACAAGCTATCAGTGTTTATACAAATGAAACTTTGACTGTCGAATTTGAAACCGTCATTCATTAATGAATGTAGCGTCAATACATATATATCTATAAAATAAGTTACTTCATTAATCAATGATACTTTGATGCAAAAAGTTGGACAAGCCAGAACTCGAATCTGGGACCTCTTCCATGCTAAGGAAGCGTGATAACCATCTACACCACATGCCCTTGGTTGATATCTTATTCTTTTCTATGTTATGTAAATAGCTCTCTATATCTGACTATTCGAAAATGTGAATCTGTAATTTGGTACTCTTTCAACAAATTTGCGCATTTCAGAGTTGATATATATATATATATATATTCATGACAATTCGACATTCTACATTTGTATGTTACAAGGATTTAAATAAAAAGGACCAAAAAGGTAGTTTTTATTTTGTTTTGTCGTCTTTAGTTTTTCTTTATTTTTTTTCGTATTGTGAAAGCGAGTGAAGTGGTATGCGTATACATTGATTATTTTGTTTGCTGCTTTAGGCCGTTTTATTATACAAATTCAGGCTATTGTGTTGGAAAACTGCACACACTTAGAAACAGCTGGTTGAGGATGAACATGAACATGAGCATGAAACGAGAAAATAATTGTCATCTCATAGCTTGAAGTATCAAAATTAATATGTGTTGTTAAACATCAACGAAGGCCGTGTGGTTTAGATGGTTATAATTTCTGCTTAACATTTGATGTTCGCAGACGGTCCCAAGTTCGAGTCTTGGCACGGTCATAGCCTTCAACTTTTTCAATTTTTTCATTTCTTTTTCTTTCGGTGAATTCTATTAGTTGGATCATTGCAGATCTTTTATATAAAAATAATACACACTTGATTTTCGCTGTTTGCTGCCTTGTTTGCGGTTGCTGAACGGCATGGTCTGCATCTGTCACCCATCACACCATGATTTACTTTGCAACTGACGAAGGAAATATCGCTATGGATGCAGACACTAACTGTAGAATTAAAGAAACAATACAAACAAGAAAACACAAGGAAGAAGAAAAAAGGAAAAAGGAAAAATGAAAAACAGAAAATTACTCTCCCTCCGGGATTCGAACCCGGGCTGCCAGCGTGACAGGCTGGTGTACTACCCCTATACTAAGGAAGATTTGTTGATATCAACTGCAATCTAAACTACATAACATTAAATAACTATTTCAAAAAGTAGAGGTACTTATGGTACTACATGGTATTGTGCTTCTGTTTTAAGTATCTTAAATAACTAATAATCAGTCTTCAAAACCAACGAAAAACTTTCAAACTTCTAATAAATTTGTTTATAAAAATCGACGTCTAAACTCCATTTAAAAAAAAAAAAAAAGATAGGAAATGCTTTTCAGTAACAGAATATACCGTCCTTAATAATGTCCCCAGTTCAGTCAAGTCCAGTGCAGCGCAAGTACACTCTCTATTTTTAGTCGCCTGGAATCAGCGAATTGAACTGAAACCAGCAATTTAAATCACAACTGGATTATTCATGATCTACTTGATTCAATCAAGATTTGCTTAAAATGGTTTGTTATAAAAGCATACCGAATCTTCATGTTTTACCACGCAATGTGAACCGCCGTGGTGCATTATTACTGTAAAATTTTTTGTACTATGATGTTTGGTTGTATATTTTGATACCATATCTTTGTTGCACAATATATTATATTCTTAAATTTGTTTAATACGTTAGATACCGCTGAGTATACCTTTTGAGGCACAAAACATGATTTTGCTAAATCTTGTAAGAACATTGTTTTTCGTTTTTTTTTTTTTTGTTTTGTGCTCCATTTTTAGTTCTTATATAGACTAAAGTTTTTTCACATGTCCGTTAGTTGTGTTTTTGATATGATAGACGCCCAGAACTATCAAGTATGCAAATTTGGAAACATCAAGTTGACATGAAGAATACTAGATCTGAATGGCTGAAAATTAGCATTAACGGTGCAAGCCATCTATGGTAACAACTAATAGCTGTTTGTGACTTTCTTTAAGTTTTTTATTATTTATTTCAGTGTTTATTCTGATGTCTTCCAGTTCTTGTCTATGATTTTTTATCTTATTTAGCCGATGTATGTGATCATGTGCGATATGTAGTAAGTATATGGTTCAAAGATTGCGGAAATAATAAAATATCAAATTAAAACAGCATACACATCTACATAATCTAAGTTATCATGACTTCCGCCTATGATTTATAATATATAACTTAGGCAACCGAAACTTACTATTACAAAAAGAAAAAAAGGAAAAAGTTTTGCATTAATCAGCTT